GAGAACGGCATCCAACCTGACGATATATATAACTTTGATGAGACTGGCTTCGCAATGGGTCTTATTGCTACTGCAAAAGTCGTCACCCGTGCTGAATACTACGGTCGGAGATCTCTTAAACAACCTGGAAATCGTGAATGGGTCACATCTATCGAGTGTATTGGTGCGTCGGGCTTCAAATTACCACCTTGTCTTATCTTCAAATCCAAGACACATCACCAGGCTTGGTACGAAGATAAAGGGGTAGGACCGGACTGGAGGATCGAAATCAGTGATAATGGATGGACAACTGATGCTATTGGCCTTCGCTGGCTGAAAGATCTCTTTATTCCGAGTACGGCGAGCCGTACAAAGGGTAAATATCGTCTTCTAGTCCTTGATGGTCATGGTAGCCATTTGACACCTCAATTCGACCGACTTTGCGCTGAACATGATATTATACCAATTTGCATGCCAGCGCATTCATCTCATTTGCTACAACCACTAGATGTCGGGTGTTTTGCGAACCTAAAGCGCGCATATGGTGGCTTGGTTGAGCGAAAAGCTCGATGCAATATCAACCATATTGACAAGCTTGATTTCCTTGCCGCCTACCCGCACGCTCGCGAGATCTCATATCACTCGGATATAATTCAGAGCGCATTCGAATCTGCTGGTTTAATACCCTTTGATCCCGATCGGGTTATATCGAAGCTTAATATTCAGCTTCGAACACCAACCCCCCAGGAAGCCGACCAGGAAGCCGATCAAGTGAGTGGAGCCCTACAACACCACTCAACACAAAACAATTATATTGGCAAGAATCTTCAGTCAAAGCTCTACTCAAATATCGATCCGTGAGCCCTCCAACGCCTACAAAGCATGTGGTAGAGCAGACTCTTAAAGGCTTCCATGTCACGCTTCAAAGGCTAGCGATGTTGGAGAAAGAAATCCGGGATTTGCGCGCTGCCAATGAGGTTCGGAAACAAAAACGCAAGAGGTCTAATAAACGCATCGACCGTACTGAAGGCATGTCAATTCAGGAGGGAAGAGACGTAATATTCAGTTCGAACCAAGCCGTTGAATCTCTGGATCCTGTTCATCCAGAACTAGCTCCGGTCGCAAATGAGACTAATACACCACGACAACGGGCGCCACCAAGATGCAGTGGTTGTGGAGGGATAGGGCATAAGATAAATAGATGTCCGAAGCAGTGATATCAATAATTTAATGGCGTTGTGGTTATTTTATATGCAAATCAAAATTATAGGTTGAGATGGGTGGGCGGTTCGCTTGTGTGGGCGGTTCGCTTGTGGGTTACGTTAACGTAATTCACAGCTGACCGGGTCACACGGTTGAGCGGGTCACCCCAAAAACACCATACTAAACGCGATATTTTAAGTCATAATATATCAACAACGAGACTATTATTTTGCTTGATTTTAAGTATGCTATGATCTTCTAGCATAAGATTTAGTATAGTATAACTTATATATTCAAAAACTGATTATTTACCAGTATTACCAAAAATACGCTCCGATCGAGCGATGTAGATATATATATCCATATTATCATACCGTATAATATTTCTAGAGCACATAAAAATATCTAGTAGGATATATTTAATACTAGGGTAGCATAAGATCATATAATCAGCCTTAAGCGTTGAAATTTGAAGTGGTGAAATATTCCATTTAGTATGGTGTTTTAGGGTGACCCGCTCAACCGTGTGACCCGGTCAGCCGTGAATTACGTTACTCGATTAGTCATGTTATTTGAGCTTGTAAACAGTACACCGCCTTGGGCAGAATTCTTCTGCAACAGAATGCCAGGTAGGAGACTTGGACCAATTCAGACCTGTTGTCCATCTCGTTGGTGCACCCGTATGATCCACTGCGCCCTCGTTCCGTTAGTAGATAAGGGTCACGTGTATTGGTTTATCTGGAAATGATCCTGCTCAATGTCAAGGAAATACACGTGGCATGCACAATAAGTGGAGGACACGGTGTAATATGGGCCAATCCCATGCCACTGTAATAGAATCCTCCACTTTTCTCGACAGATCTCTCTCAGTATGATGAATAAACAGGTAAAGACTGATTAACTTTCGACCCAACACCTAACTGACTATTGGTTCGCGGTCGGAGCTTGAGGTTATCCATCGACAATGATTTCTAATCGCAGCGTAAAGACTCAATTACGAGTGTAGAGAGGCATAAATAGAACAGACGCCGTGCACCCAATATCATTTACTTCCCTGTGAAGTCAATAGTTTCTGACCACTCTGTACCCTTCCTATTTTCTACCCTGTTTATCACTGTCACGCCAGAGCGAGCGCCTCCAGCTTCCCCCGCACTCCATCACCACCCCACAGCCATGACGACTCCTACCAACATTGATCCCAAGGATATTCAAGCACACTGGGCCAAATATCAGGGCGACAAGTATGTTGAGGGCTGGGCCTCCCTCTGGGACAAAGCTGATAATCTGCCCTGGGATCGAGGCTTCCCCAACCCCGCGCTAGAAGACACCCTGGTCCAGCGAGCTGGCACCATTGGCGGGCCCATCGCCCAGGACGGTCAGAGGCGGAAGACCCTGGTGCCGGGCTGTGGACGTGGAGTCGATGTACTCTTACTGGCGAGCTTTGGGTATGATGCCTATGGCCTGGAGTGCAGCGCCACGGCTGTCGATGCGTGCAAGAAGGAGGAGAAGGAGAACCATAGCCGGTACCGTGTGCGGGACGAGAAAGTTGGGAAAGGGAAGGTCACTTTCGTCCAGGGGGATTTCTTTGATGATACCTGGTTGAGAGAAATTGGAGTACCTCGAAATGGATTTGATGTTATTTATGATTACACGGTATGTATACTCACTGCCGCTGTTGGGCTCCATTCCGTCATTGCTATCATTTTCTCTCCACTTGTACTCTGCGTTCTACAGGGGGACCTGCAAGATGCTTCACTCTCTGTCTTTGGACTTTTGATGTGCCATTTCCGACCCACCCTGGATCTTTCTGGTCTTTCTGGTCATTCCTTCTAATAATCATCTAGTTTTTCTGTGCTCTGAACCCAGAGCTCCGTCCTAAATGGGCTCTCCGACACACCGAGCTCCTTGCTCCCTCACCTGCAGGCAATCTGATCTGTCTGGAATCTCCTCGTCATAAGAACCCCTTAGCCCCCGGCCCTCCATTTGCCTCTCCCTCCGAGGCCTATATGGAGCACCTGAGCTACCCAGGTGAGAAGATTTCCTACAACGATAAGGGTCTTGTCAATGCGGACCCGTTGCGAGAGCCCAGCAAGGCGGGCCTGGAAAGAGTGGCGTACTGGCAGCCAGAGCGCACGCACACTGTGGGCCAGGATGAGAATGGGGTGATCCATGACAGAGTCTCTATTTGGCGTCGACGTGACTAGAAATGTGCCTGCGCATTTGTGTGACCCAAAAAGGGAGAAAATGTGAATGGAAAATATAGGTGATTTTGGAGTCCGGCCATGGATTTCAAAGGCCAGCCCCTAGACGGTAAAGTGATAGTCGAAATGAAGGGCCGGGATGTAAAGGGCGTTTTTTAATGAAATTTCGCGGACATAGGCTCAATCTATATTGAACAAGGCGTTGTAGTGCTCGCCCATTCCGTAGGTGTGCCGATAGTATGCCAGCCAGACCACACGTCTGCGTTGTTCCTCTTCGTCAAAGCTGTCCATATCGCCGCATTCAATTTTCTCTACCGCCCATCCTTCTGCACCACGCTGATATCCCGCTATCGTCTGGAGCGCGTATGCGCCAACCTGGCCCAATATTCAATGAAGGCGAGTTTGGGTGGGTTGAGGCCGGATATCCCTAGGAAGCACCCGTTGAAGCGCCGTTTATAATAGCAAATAATTGCCGTGCATTTATCAGACGAACCTACCGAAGATCTCGAAAGTAGAGTTGAAATACGATGAGCTACTGACTCCTCCCTTGAACAGCGGCCTAATTGATCATGGCCCTTTTTCTAGATAAATTACTGTGGAGGTGAAAAGAGGATGGTGAAAAGAGAGGATTGAACGGTGGAAAATAGTGGGCGCTGAACAGTGGGCGGTGGGAAACGGAGGACGGTGGAAGACTGGCGGCGGTGGAGAATAGAGGGTGGGGAATAAAGAGCGATGAATAGTGAATCGGTGAACAGAGGCCTGTAGGAGTAAGTGGACCAGATGTGAGTCGGCGGGCGGTCCAGCGTCGGTTTAGGTGCCATCGGTCATCCTCGAACTTTCGGTTATGGTTTACCAGTCTTAGGTTCAGCGGGTGATCGGACCATCGATCATGGCAATGGACATCGTTTTAGTGCCTTGAAGTTTTGGCCAAGGCTAGAATCCCACAACAGAACAGTTTTATCAACAAGCCCAAGAGATGTATGCGTGGCAACACCCTGGGGACTCTTAAGCACTAACGGCAGTTCCTGACTTCGCGGCGTTTGAATGAAAATGTACTGTTGAAATCACCCCACACTTCGAATTTCTCTCCGGTTAAAGCTCGGAAGCTTTCTCCACAAATGTCTACTTTTGCCTCGCCGGTGCCGATGCTTCAACACTGACCATAGACCCGTAGCAGTGTTGAAATTCATGATGGTTTCAGCCTAGAGAAAGGGAGGAGGAATATTTGCGACGAAGTGGAAAGAGACATCGCCGTGGGGTACAGCATGGAGGAAGTGTGGCATGCGATGATGGTCATTGCCCAAGCATTCAAACATCTGAGCTTGGTGCATTGAACAACAGTGGCTTGTTACTTGGTGAAGCTGCATATTGTGGGATTGAGAGCCTCAGGATCACCCGGGTCAACCCGGGCTATGGCGAAGGAACGATCAGTAGGCTGGCCAAACGGGAGCCTGATCATTGGTGATACTATAAAAACAATATACGTCGCATTTCTCCTTTCTCCAGGTGTCATAATCAAAGGCGACAGGGACCTCTCCTTATACGCAAATTCGAAATTGGCTTCCATTTCGTTACACACATAGTCAGGAAAATGGTGATATTATTCCGTTTCAGGCAATGAGCATCTTCCGCATCGAGCGTGACGGGGAGGCGAAACGATTCAGACACTTCCAGACCTCTCACGCAAGCCAAGTCGGCGAGCGACGTCTCCTTTGGCATGGATCTCCATCGGTCAATTTCATTGGGATCCTCAGTCAGGGTCTGCGAGGCAATGCACAGCACAAGGCCTTGCCCGGCCGTCAAGGCAGCATTTTCTTTGCTGACATCGCCGACAAATCGACGGGATACAGTCTCAAGAGCAACTCGGCGTCTATGGTAATCCTACTGCTACTATGCGAGGTGGAACTCGGGAAAGGTTTGACTCCGAATACGGTTCGGGGTTCGATTGCGTACCTGTCCCCGGGTTCGACCGATTACAATCGATGGTGCGACGCTGGAAAGGTCCACCCAGATCTTAAGGGCATTCTCATGCCCGACGTTTCTGGTGGCCATTCTTCTGCGACGAGAAGCGCATATACGACAGGAGGACATAAAGAGTGGGTGGTCAGCGACCCTGCCCAGGTCCGCCAGCGGTACTTGTTCCAGGTTAAAGTGACGACAGGTGGTTATTATTACTGAAGCGTAGGTTGGGGCGTGAGGAGCAGCTCTAGAAGGGAATTGAGCAAGGTATCTGATAGCTTTAGAAGGAAGTTTGACTCAGATTGTTTCTGACGATGGTCTCGTTCAGACCGAGAATCGCTTTTGTAGATCGTAGCGAGTCCGTCCGGATGTCCGTTGGCTGTCCGGGGATTGCGAGATGGTGTGGACTGCCAAGGTGCATGCAGCCGGCCTAGAGTCATCACGCCTATGGCGCCAAGTTCGGTGGTCCCTGTAAACGGGGTAATCAGGGGCTCGTATCGTCTCGGGGAGGGCGGAGGTGGAGGAGGCAGCGAGTTGTTAGTGGATGAGGTTGCGTTGAGGCTGCCGGCTTGGCTTGGCCGGGCCCAACCATGTCCCACCTCCCCGCTGATCGGCGACGATGTCTTTGTTTACCATCATAAAACCACGGGTCTCCAGCTCAGCAGCGGGCTCTCGTCTCCTTTCTCGCTTTTACACACGCCCTTCTCGCTGACCATGGTTGTTGCCGCGAATTGGCTTGCGGCTACCTCGGTGGTGGGCATCGCTGCTGCCCAGTACTTCCCGCCCGCGCCAGAGGGGCTGAAAGTAGTCCACTCGAAGCACGAAGAGGGTGTCAAGATTTCCTATAAACAGGTGGGTGTCACTCTTTAATAATTCATGGCTTCTTGCTCATGATTATACGAACATTCGCTCATCTATGCATAGCCTGGTATCTGCGAAACCACGCCCGGCGTCAGATCTTTCTCGGGGTATGTCCATCTACCTCCCGGGACATTGGACGACGTACATGTCTCGCAAGACTACCCAATCAATACGTTCTTCTGGTTTTTCGAAGCCCGTCATAATCCGAAGAATGCGCCTCTCTCGATCTGGATGAACGGTGGGCCCGGCAGTTCGTCCATGATCGGGCTCATGCAGGAAAATGGTCCCTGCCGTGTCAATGAAGATTCCAATTCCACCGAGCTGAACCCCTGGTCGTGGAACAATTATGTCAACATGCTGTACATTGACCAGCCAAATCAGGTAGGGTTCAGCTACGACACCCCGACCAACGGCACCTATGACCAGATCAACATGGCCTGGGATGTATCGGGCTGGAAGCACGGTGTCCCAGAGCAGAACAATACCTTCTACGTCGGTACGACGACTAGTGGGAATCAGTTGGCGAGTGCCAACACCACACAGAACGCTGCCCGCTCGCTGTGGCATTTCGCGCAGACCTGGTTCTCCGAATTTCCAGAGTACAAGCCCCATGACGAACGAGTGAGCATCTGGACGGAATCTTACGGTGGTCGCTATGGCCCCTCCTTTGCCGCATACTTTCAGGAGCAGAACGAGAAGATCGCTAAGGGTAAACTCACCGACCCCGGCGAGTCGCACTATATCCATCTGGACACCCTAGGAATCATCAATGGCTGCGTCGATCTGCTCGTGCAGGAGCCTTCCTATCCTAAGTTCGCGTACAACAATACCTATGGGATTGAGACAATCAACAAGACCGTATACAACAACGCCATGCATGCATGGAGCCGTCCGGGCGGATGCAAGGATCAAATCAAGCGCTGCCGTGCCCTGGCGGCAGAGGGCGACCCGCAGATGTACGGCAACAACAAAACCGTGAATAAGGTATGCCGCCAGGCCGACAGCATCTGCAGCAATGCTGTCGAAGGCGTCTACCCCGAGTTCTCAGGACGGGGCTACTACGACATCGCCCACAAGAACCCCGATCCCTTCCCGCCATCATACTTCCTCGGCTACCTAAACCAGAACTGGGTGCAGGGTGCACTGGGTGTCCCCATCAACTTCACCGAGTCGGTAGATAGTGTCTACTACGGCTTCTCTTCGACGGGCGATTACCCACGCTCCGATGTACGCGGGTATCTGGAAGACATCGCCTATGTCCTAGACTCGGGTATCAAGGTTGCCCTCGTGTACGGCGATCGCGACTATGCCTGCAACTGGATCGGTGGTGAGGACGTGAGTCTGTTGGTCAACCACGCCGAGGCGACCAAATTCCGCGCTGCTGGCTACGCTCCCCTGCGCACCAATGCGTCGTATGTTGGCGGCCAGGTCCGCCAGCATGGCAATTTCTCCTTCACCCGCGTCTACGAGGCGGGCCATGAAGTCCCTGCCTACCAGCCCGAGACCGCATACGAGATCTTCCATCGTGCCCTTTTCAATCGCGATCTAGCCACAGGCAAGGTCAATACAGCCCGCAATGACAGTTACTCTACGAGTGGCCCTGCTTCGACCTGGCATATCAAGAACGAGGTCCCCGATAGCCCAGAGCCTCTCTGCTACATTCTTGCTCTGGAGTCTACGTGCACTGATGACCAGATTGAGAGTGTGATCAACGGCACGGCGATCATCAAGGACTATGTTGTTGTGGGAAACAAGTCTTAATAGATGTATACAGTGGACTGAGGAGCTTTGTACATATTGCCTACTTACGGTACTAGTAGAATCAGATCAATATTGCTCGATACCATACATAGCGTACTCTTTGCACCTGCAACATACAATACTCATCCGGTTGATAATACTCGTCCCTATCTCTCTTCACATCGGCACGTGGAGTCTGCAGGATGCCGCTGACTTCATGGCTGGTTCCATGTGGGGCCGCCGATGATGTCGTGGATCGTGAGCCCGACCAGCCAAATGAGCAGCCTCGCCGTCCGCCAGACGCAGCAGAGCCGGCCCGCACGATCGCAGACGGCTCGTGGGGTCAGCAACGCCCTCGTGCAACTGGCCGATACGACTTGCAAACCACCAATCGCATATTGCGCGCGGACGCAGGGTTGTGGAAACTTCGAGAAGCTTCGGCCACTCGACGTCACACGTCACTCACCTGGAGAGATGGAGACGCTCTAGAGCCTTTCAAGTTTCCAGCGTGCCCCGACAGGGTCTCACTTCCTTTCATCTCCGACCATTTTCTCAGTCCTTTTGTCCACGACCTTCACACCATCTCCGACAACGCCTCTCTAGGCCCCATTCCCAGACCGTTTCCCCGACCGACACCTCTACGTCATTCGAGAAGCTCCTCTGGGGTTCTATTTCGCTGCGCCCGCGAGGAGATCCGTGATTTTAAGCTGACAGCCCTCGCCCGCCCGCGCTGACTCGGGGCTCGTTGTTGCTGGTGCAAACTCAATTCATTCCAACCGATTCTACGCCAACATGGTGGCCGAATCCAAGCTCTACGATGCCTTGAGCATCAAGCCCGATGCCTCACAAGACGAAATCAAGAAGGCCTACCGCAAAGCCGCCTTGAAGTACCACCCTGATAAGAATAAAGATAATCCTCAAGCATCTGAGAAATTCAAAGGTATGTTCTTTGTCTCTGGGGGAGGGGTGTCAGGCTTCACCGACCTCATGCCCCGCACTCCTGGTACTTCTGTCCAGAACGCAGGAAAACTAACAGTCCATATACAGATGTCTCCCAAGCCTACGAAGTCCTTTCCGATCCTGAAAAGCGCAAGGTCTACGACCAATACGGCCTTGATTATCTCATGCGCGGCGGTCCCCCGCCCTCGTCTGGTGGTGGAGCTAGCGGCGGTGCTGGCCCCGGTGGCATGCCTGGAGGATTCAACTTTGGCGGCATGCCCAGTGGCGGTAGCCGGTCATTCCACTTCTCCACTGGCCCTGGAGGTGCCGGTGGCTTCAGCTTCAGCAATGCCGACGATATTTTCCGCGAATTCACGAAAAGCAGCGGCGGTGGTGGCATGGGCGGTTTCGATGACGATGACCTGTTCTCCATGCTGAACGGCGGCATGGGCGGGGGTGGATTCGGCTCGCGCGCTCGTCCTCGCGCAAGTGGATTCCAGCAGCAGCAACGAAAGCGTGCTCCTACCCCCGAACCGACCATCGTTGAGAAGGACCTGCCTGTGACTTTGGAAGAAATCTTCCATGGTGTCACCAAGAAGGTGAAGACAAAGAGCAAGAGCTTCGACTCTAGTGGCAGACTCTCTGCTCGTGAAGTGATCCTGGAAGCCAAAATCAAGCCTGGTCTTCGTGGCGGATCAAAGATCAAGTACAAGAACTTTGGCGACTCCGAGGAAGGTGGTCGTCAAGATATGCACCTTATCGTCAAAGAGGTACGTTAAATACTTGTTTCCTTTAAAGCAGTCTTGCGGACAAATTTTAACAGGATTTGTGCAGCAAAAACACGATATGTACACCCGCTCCGGTGACAACCTCATTATCAATGTCGACCTTAGCTTGAAGGAAGCGCTGACCGGCTGGGAGCGCATCGTCCGCACCATTGACGGAAAATCCATTCGAGTTCAGAAGCCCGGGCCTACCCAGCCCGGTCACGAGGAGCACTACCCCGGTCTCGGCATGGTGATCTCCTCCAAGCCCAGTGAACGCGGTGATTTCGTCGTCCGCGTCAACGTCAAGTTCCCGACCAGTCTGACTCCCGCCGCAAAGGACATTCTGAAGGATGTTCTCCCGTGAAAAGCCTACGGTTTATGATTTTTGTTTTTAATATTGCATCTCTGGCGTTTTGTACTCAGCGTTTTCATTGGGAAGCCAGGTAATGACAGCAACGATTTGTGAATGAAACCAGGATTGGGTGTTGGGAGTTCCTTCGACTCGAGATTTTGTAGTGTATATATTAGCCTAAACCCTTTCGGGGAATGCGGAGAGAGCACCCGCGCCTCGGGGAAATCAACTGCCTTTCCACCTTCACCTCCACCTTCTTTCTCCTACGAGGTAGCAACCATGAAGCGAAGAATCACTTTCATCCAGGGCCCCGCGGCTCCCTTCGATCCCCATCAGGCCATCCTGTCGTCCAACAGCTTTGCGGTCCGCAATCTCGACGCGGCGGCCGAGGACCGCATCACAATCACAACCGACCAGGACAAGCTTCCGCTGGAGGTAGGCCTGCACATAGTAGCGCTCTCGGAACACAATCGACTAATCTTCAATTTTTTCCGATTTCGCTGTGCAGCTTCGCAAAGTGTTTGATCAATCCCAGGAGCTTCACATCCGGTGGGCGACTGAGCAGCCCTTCGACGCCCTCGCGCCCTTTGCCAGCAGAGTCTCGCCTGGTCTCCATGTACACTACACCCCTCGCATCTCTAACCAGTCCTCGTATGTCACCCCGAGAAATATACATTGTTCAGGGCGAAGCTGACCAGGATACCTGCCAGGGACGCACTATGTGACCTACTTCGCACTATGTTCGGTGCTGAAGAGGGGAATGGCGTGGACTGCATGATTCCTAAGGTAAATCAATCATTTTCTCTCCTTCAACCTCTTCAGGCTGCTCGTACTGGTCCTATATGATGCGACAAAGCTCCTAATTTCTCCTTCCTCAGGACTCCTTTACTACACCCCCACCTCTTTCGGCACAGTTCGCGGCGTCAACCGAACTCCAGTATTACACACGCCTCCCCACTCTACAACACCTGGTCGCATTTATTCGGAACATCATATGCCACGACCACGAATGCGATGCAATGGCCGGCTCCCTTCACACCGCAGACTCTGTGGATATCGACTATGACAGGGCTTCGCGTACACTGACGGCATCGGTATTCTGGAGCACCCCGCCTGTGGGTGGTTGGGAAGAGGATATCAAGAAGCCTGCCTCCACTGTGGACAAGGTCGAAGTCGGTATTCTCGGTGCTGAGCCAAACGTGACCCCTGATGAGATTAAGATGGGTGGCCTTTTGGGGGTAGTCGGAGAGGACAAGAAGCTCAGTACGTTGCAGGATTCTCGTTTGCTTGCACTCTGCAAAAGGATTGAAAAACTAACACGTTTACAGAGCCGACCATGTTCTCCTTCCCCTCACGACATCACCCACTTGCCGAGAGCGCCAAATACAGCATCTCATTCTCCCAGCCAACTGGCCTCCATCCTGAGATGTCCATCTCGATCCCGCACTCTGCTCTCGATCGACCACCTGCACCCTTGGACGCAACATGTGCCCTCCATACGTATCTCACGCTCCCGTCCTCTGTTTTCCTAGACCAGTATCAAGTCAGCACTACCGACCCGCTCTTCCTCAAAGAACATAACCTGGTGTCCTTGCGAGCATTCTCCGGCGAGACTGACCTTGAGGCACCGGACTGGGCTGTGGAACTCTGGGGCTCAACCTGGCTCTTCGAGCTCGCCACGCCATCTACAACTGAGAACGGCGATCCCGCTTCTAACTGGACCTCCACGATTCCTCTGCACCTTCGATACCTCAAACCCTCTCAGTCGGGTTACCGATCCGCTCATGTCCCGTGGCCAGTCGTCTTCTGGGCCTGTGTTTCAGATGACCAGTCCAAGATGGGTCTCAACCCGTTCGATCGCACGAATCTGGGCTACGACGGTCTCTTTGGACCACGTACTCTGTTTTACCAGCTTCATCCTGCCTCCGAGCAACTGGTCGAGGAATTGAGCGTGCCCGTTCTTGAACTGGAGGATGGACAAGGTTTGTTCCAGTCTCGCAATATCGAGATTGGGACTAGTATTGTCATTGTGCTGGGATTTTTGTGGATTCTTACGAAGCTTATTCGGGTTGTTTGGGCCACTGGTTTCGAGGCCAACGAAGTAAGAGGCCCTGATCATGAGAAGAAGGAATAAGCTTTTTTTTTTCTCTGTCTACGGTTCTTTCCTTTAGGCGTCTTTATTTCCAGCGTCATGGTATCACGGATTTCATTCTCATCACAGCATTATCAAGACAGGCGTTCGGAATGATATCTCAGACATGACTTAATATCCACATGGTAGATTCAGCCAGAATTAAATGATTAATCACACAATCATGAGTATCGTATTATAGTAATCACACCTAAATTCTATCAAATTCCCATCTCAGGCAGCGGCCACGGCACATCGGTCAACAGAAACTGATCCAGATCAAAATTCTGTAGCGACGGCATATCAATTACCAAATCGCCCAACCAAGACAGCTCCGCATCGAAAACAGGGGTCGCATCCTGCTGCGCTGGCGCCTGCGCCTGTGTCTGGGTCTGAGTCTGTACATTCTGCGACTCTATCTCCAGCAACGAAACCCCCTGGACTTCAGTCCCATTCTCATGTCCACCAACCTGATCGCCCCCGCTTCTCCGAGAAACATCCTGCACAGCCGCAGAGGCATTTGCCCTCATGACCTCCGCCAGAGCTCGAGTATCATCCTCCTTTCTCCGCTGATGCATCGCAACAAGCAAATAAGCCGTCGAATACGCCTCCCGCATAACATTGGTATCATACGCCGCCTGCACCTCCCGCAACGTCTGCATCGCATCCGGAAGCACCGCCAGCGCGGCGTGATTATCAATCGCCAACAGCGTACAGACAACCTGGAACGGCACATTGGCAACTTGGTGCCAGGGACAGGTCTCCACGACCATTTTTCTAGCTGCTGCCAGAGCGCGACTTGCCAGTGCCAGGATTCGATCTTGAAGCTGGAAGCTGAGCGGGGCGTGGGGGTTCAGGGCTCTGGCGCGTCGGTAGATGCAGAGCATTAGGTTGCATTGAACAAGGATTAGGGAGGGTTCGGTGTATACCGGGTTGAGGACGGATGTCAGGGCGGTTTCCAGTTCTGGTAGATCTTGTGGGGATGGGCCTGTTGGGTCTAGGGATTCGGAGAGTGGGAGGAGCTGGAAGAGATCTGCTCCGCCGCCGCCTGTCGTGGAATGAGTTGGTGATTGGGAGGTTGCGCCGTGGAGGACGACGCGTGAGCGGCCTAGGTCGAAGGAGATCCAGGTGTTGAGATGTCGGGCCATGCCGAATAGGCGTCGGCGGATATCGAGGTCATTTGGAGGTTGGGTTATTCTCTTCCCAAGATTGGCACCTGGCGTTGCTTGGGGCTCGCCAGATGTATTGTTGCCGAGACTGATTGTTTCCGGGTCTGTGTTTTCAATATGTAGGCCTGCGGCCTCGATTAGGTGCATCAATGTGCAGCTGGCCATCCATGCTGCATGAGGAGAGGCTGTCATGCGCAAGTAGGCAGTTCGTAGAACCCAGCCCTTTATTATGTAGATAGAAGGTGTTCTCCCGCATAGTACCGATTTGTCAAGAAGGATGCGAGCGGCCTCAGCGAGTTTTACCTCGTGTTCGACGACCTGGCGATTTGAAAAGAGATAAGCCAGAGCTGCAATCCCGCAGAGAACAGTGTCAACAGGTTGCTCGGGGGAATCAAATATCGATTGCTGATTCGACCATCGTTGGACAATATCACTAAGAACCGTCTCCCTCTCCAAGAATTCGTAGCACGGATGGACTTTCTCGAAATATATGTTCGTTAACGCTAGCATCTGAGCTTGCGAGAGATGCTTGGTAATTGACGAAGCCGGCGGTGTCAATTGCTCTAGGGATGATACCGAAAGCCCCGGCGCTTCTTTCCTCTTGCCGACATTCCATGCAAATAAATGCAAGCGTGGTGCTCGAGCCGGGTCAATCCGCAGACCAAGCTTGCGTACAAAGGAAGCTCCCGAGTTGGCCTCGAGAGGGTGTTTGAAGGGTTGCGAATCACTAGCCCGAGGTAAGGAGGCCGGGGACGGAACGCTGCCCGCCGCACTGGTGCTCGGATTGGGGTGGTGACTCGACCAGTTCTCTATATGTCGCTGAGCCTCAACCGGCGCAGACGCAGGAACACTTCCAATGTTCTGAGGGACGCTACTAGCCCGAGAGCGCTTTTTGCGGGGAGCAGCGCTGAATTGACATGGTATGCGGGACTGAACGCAGGTGGTGCATGGCTGGTCGCCTGAGCATTTTCGTTTGCGCGATTGGCATGACAGGCAGGCCGCGCGAGAGCGCTTGCGAAGCGTGGGCTCCGCCATTGTCGCTTGTTGGATGGATTGAATGGAGGTGGAGAGCCGGAGTTGGTTGCCGCCAAGCCTCGGGGCCGCGCTGGTCCTACACAAACTACATTTCTACTTGGCACAAGCTTGGTGATGGCTGCTCCAGTCCACCAGAGAATGAATTTACAACCATGTTTTTTGGAGCCAGGAATCTATTCTGCTTAGATCGTTCCTCAAAGGTTGCTGGGCCTCTAATTTACATGGCGAAAAGACTGCATATTGTGTGCCCCTCACCAGTAATCATACATACTACCTAGTAGGGGGCAGTATCTAGATGCCCTAAGGTATACTCGGCAGCTTGTCCTCGAGAATCCTAAGGTTAGACTCGCACTCAATCTTCATACTTACGCCCGTCTGGGTAGCCCAGCAGATCTTCCAACTCTTCGAGATTGGGCATTCCTGCAGGGCCGGGCATGTACCGCAGATTGTCGCGGGCGCTGGACGCGTTCCACCAGATCTCGTTCTGATGGAGCGCCTCCGTGATCCGTCCTTGGTCAATGTACGTGCGGATCTCCACCATCTGCTTGTTGTGATCCCAACGGGTGACCCACACATTGACGACTTCGAACGGGCTCCCTACGATTTCCGTCAGGGTTTGTCAAACGAACGAGACCGGGACCCGCCGCATTCCGGACACCGCACACCTACCGGAATTCATGATACCCTTGAACTGGATCTCCTGCACCGACCACTGGCTATTGCAGCCGCCGTGGATGGCCTGAGGATGAATCTCAAACTTGTCGGCATGGTCATAAAATAGCACGCTCACCCGGCGAAGGGCATTAACATAGAAATGCATCAGGTCGTGATATCGCCCCGCAATGGGGTGGTGGCCCATCACGGTGAAATCGACATCCTTGTTGATCAGTCGAAACAGCTTGGTCATGTCCTTCTCGAGGTCCTTGAATGCATCCCAGATATGCATCTGCGACACGTATCGGCAGTTGGTGGACGGATTCTCGAACCGGAAGCCCTCGCGGTGGCCCGAGTGGCCGGAGTGGTCAGGGTTCGGGACGAGGCCATCGCCGCTGCAACGACTTGGACTGTCGGGGTCAATCAGGCCTGATCCATCACACTCGGGCGCGTCGAGGATCTTTTGCGTCGCTCGGCAAACGGTGGTTGGGACGAGGATCGCCAGGCCCAAGATGAGGAAGCGATAGACGATCATGGCGTCACATTACCTCACTCAATTGCTTAGTGCGTAGTTTCTGGACCCTCAATGACCCTCAATGACTGTCCGAATTGCTATCTCGCGCTGAGAAAAAGTGGGCTTATCTTTGCCTATCTCTCGCTGCTGTTGGGGACTGAATTGTTGGTAATTGATTTACCATTCTGCAAAACGCGTTATTCCGAATTTCTCTCTTGAATTCTGCCTGCTTTTATATGCTGCCCACGATCCTAACAAATCCAACGTACATAAATGCTCCGTTCTTCTGAGGTTATACAAGCCCAAAATTAGCCGGGGGCTAGAAGTCACCGAGGACGAACTATCGCTGCCCGCTGCAGCCACATCTGCAAACACACTGGAGACGCACTGGCGGTGTGCGACGAGCAGGCGATACGCACTGTACTCTGCCCTCTGGCCAATCGATCCGCGACGAATGATACGCCCAAACACGTAATGTAAATGTGGTAATTTGCCCCAAACGGGTCGAACTGATGAGTCAGCAGCTGGTTACCCAACCGATATCGGCCCGCTTCTCTGATTGGCCATGCCGGAGTCGGTGAGTCCCCCATGGCACGTGCCCGCACTGAGTCAACGAAAACCTTTCCCTTCGCTCTTCCTCCCCCAGTTCCTCTAGTTCCTCATTTTCCCCAAAGCCAATCTCCACCCATGTCGTCTTGAAAATAATTCCCTTTTACTCTTCTCTGACTGGTACATCTTCAGTCGCGTTCATGTGTTTGGCACCCTCAATCTTCACCTCCCAGGTTCGTTACTCTTTGATCTGACTGCACCCGGATCGAGTCGATCATCCCGGCAACATGGCCTTGATGACCATGAGTGCTAACGGGCTTGAATTCGCAGGACTATATCTCGGACCACCTCTGGAAAGCTTCCATTAACTGAATTGACACACACCCTTGTCGTCCAATTCTTCTCGCATTCCTAAACAATCATCAAAAAAATGTTCACGAATCTGTTCAAGGCCATGCCTGCCCGAGCCGGCGCCTTTGCCTCCATGAAGACGCCCGTCCAGGCTCGCTTCATGGCGACTGTGCGTCAACGGGCTGCTATGGAGCCTGCCACCTTCACCATCCGTGACGGCCCCATGTTCACCGGCAAGTCGTTCGGTGCTCGCTCCAACATCTCCGGCGAGGCCGTCTTCACCACCTCTCTGGTCGGTTACCCCGAGTCTTTGACCGACCCCTCCTACCGTGGCCAAATCCTGGTCTTCACCCAGCCTCTTATCGGTAACTACGGTGTGCCGTCCGCCGAGAAGGACAAGAATGGCCTCTTGAAGTACTTCGAGTCCCCCAACCTCCAGGCCGCCGGTGTCGTCGTGGCCGACGTTGCCGAGCAGTACAGCCACTGGACTGCCGTTGAGAGTCTGGGTGAGTGGTGTGCCCGTGAGGGTGTTCCTGCCATCTCCGGTGTGGACACTCGCGCCATTGTCACCTATCTGCGTGAGCAGGGTTCGTCCCTGGCCAAGATCACGGTTGGCGAGGAATACGACGCCAACGAGGACGAGGCCTTCACCGACCCCGAACAGATTCACCTGGTGCGTCAGGTCAGCACCAAGCAGCCGTTCCACATCAGCGCTGCCGATCCCACCTCGCACGTTGCTGTCATCGATTGCGGTGTGAAAGAGAATATCCTGCGGAGCCTGGTTGGCCGTGGCGCCAGCGTCACTGTCTTCCCCTTCGACTTCCCCATCCACAAGGTGGCTCACCACTTCGATGGTGTCTTCATCTCCAACGGCCCTGGTGACCCCACCCACTGCCAGGACACTGTCTTCCACCTGCAGCGCCTGATGGAGACCTCCCAGGTCCCCATCTTCGGTATCTGTCTGGGTCACCAGCTGCTGGCTCTGGCTGCTGGTGCCAGCACCATCAAGCTCAAGTACGGTAACCGGGCTCACAACATCCCGGCCCTGGACCTGAGCACTGGTCGCTGCCACATCACCAGCCAGAACCACGGTTATGCCGTTGATGCTTCCACCCTGCCCTCCGACTGGAAGCCTTATTTCACCAACCTGAACGACGCGAGCAACGAAGGTTAGTATCAACTCACAAAGCAACCAAACCTGTATTCCTTCGCTGACTTTCTATATAAGGCATGATCCACAAGTCTCGCCCTATTTTCAGCACTCAGTTCCACCCCGAGGCCAAGGGAGGTCCTCTGGACTCTTCCTACCTGTTTGACATCTACCTCGACAGTGTCCTGAAGTACAAGCACAACCAGGCCGGTCTGTACCCCCAGCGTGATAGCCGCCCCAGCCCTCTGCTGGTTGATCTGCTTGCCAAGGAGCGTGTGGGTGTTCAGCCCACCATTGGCATGCAGAACGTGGCTGCTGCTGCCGCCGCCGCTGCCGCTGCGTAAATGTCTTGGGAAAATTGGTCCGGGGAGTTTGGTTTTGGATTTTGGAGAACTTCTTTATCATTTCCTTTCGTTTTGTTCATATCTGGTCATACATGCAGTTTCACATCATAGACTTTTTGATTCGTTTGGTTCTCAATTCGTAATAATCCTCTGTAGTACTTAGTCTATTTTGCTACGATCGACACAACGTCCTCGTCCGCGACCATGTGGCCCAATCCCACGCGTTGTGGCATATGTCGGGCACTGGCACCCCATACCAACGCGTACTTGAAAGTCTCTTTCAGCGTGCGATGGATCGAGTCACACACATCTTCGATGGTTGAATCACGGCGGACAATCATAGCCTCGCTAAAGTCGGGGTCTTCTCCCTTTCTGTAAATGCCGTCAGAAGATTGCCTTCATAACCTCAAGTCCATTGTATGAGAAAATCTTACCGCTTCGTGTAAAGACGCATAAGTCTCAGTTCCTTCCAGATGCGTTCCACGACCTCTTGCACGCCGAGGTCAAGCTCGCAACTCATGACGGCGGTGTAGGGTTCGCGGGCCAGTTGGTCCAAGAATTCGAGGCTAACGCCATCGATCTTGTTGTATACGTACAGGCTGTCTGGTGTCAGTGTCTTCTGACATTCGTTTGATTTCGATGAAGTTGAAATCTTACCATCGAATGTACTTGCGGTGATCTTTCATGATGACGTCGATGAAGTCGTCAATTGTGGCTGGTCTCATTAGCCCTGCTTCTTTTTGGAAGGAAATAACTGGTCAGCGGGTCAAGGGGAAACACACCATTCTCATCTCGCACCAAGATCTCGCCGTTCAGAATCTTGTAGTCCCGCAGAACGTTGTAGATCATCTTCTCATCCAGGTTCTTGGGCGGTGTTTGGAAAGTAATCTTCAAGCCACCGGCCTTCTTAACCTTGAGGTAGATGTTAGGAGGCTCCTTGTTCAGTCGAATACCAACGGCATCCAATTCAGCCTCGAGGAGTGCACGCTGCTCAGCGCGTTTTGTAGCATCCAGAACCATAAGAACCAAGTCACTGGTCTATTCATTGACAGAAATTAGATATTGCCCTGGAAATACCACTTCGTGCAAGCATACCTTGGCAGCAGAGATGACCTGACGACCACGACCCTTGCCCTCAGAGGCACCTTCAATGATACCGGGCAAGTCCAGAATCTGGATCTCAGCACCGCCATATTCCAGTACACCAGGAATGGCTGTCAATGTGGTGAAAGAGTAGGCAGCGGCTTCAGACTTAGTCTTGGTGATCTTCGACAGGAAAGTAGACTTTCCGACTGAAGGAAAACCGACCAGTGCGACACGGGCATCACCTGCCTTGCTGACATCAAAACCGGTACCACCACCAGATCCCGCGCCACCGGCAGGTTCAAGCAGTTGAGCTCGAAGACGGGCGAGTTTTCTGGGGTTGTTAGCGGGGATATGCACCTCGGCTGGGAAGTATATATGAGAACATACCCTTTCAATAGACCCAAGTGATATTCTGAAATGTTCAGATTTAGTGCTCGAGTACTCCCAGAATATTCGGCATTCTTTTTGATGACATACCTGTCGCCTTGTTCTCTGCGGGGCATTGTTAGTGGGGGTTCAGTGTGACTCTCGGCGGATTAGGACTCACTCTGCGTCCGGCGCATCTCATCCTCAATCCTGTAAAGAGTCTGATAAGTAGCAACTCATTGACAATTTGATTTTGGTGTCATACTCCTTGATCTTCTCCGTGATGTTCACCATGGTGTCGGCTGCTAAGGCACCTCGCCTGTTCCTTCACTATAATTGTCTTGGTGTCGATATTTCGTTGGAAGCGTCGTCTTTCCTCTTGTCCCAGCAATCCGGGCCGGTGAGAAAATATAATTTCCTGTCGCCCAAGGTGAATCGAATCCCAAGGCCTCGAATCGCTTGCGATATCAAAAGTCTCCAGCGGCGGGAGTTGCTCGTCACGAAATCCTTCTGCCAAGACTTGCTTAGTCATTAATCAGTTGGAGCTTGGACTTTTTGGCTGCCTCAACTCGCGACATTCACCTTATCGCCTTCACCGTTCCCGCTCCGACTTCACTCCTCGCGTACCTTTCCCTTCCGGTGATCAGTATCCCGCGGATCAATTGTCGCATCTTTTGCGGCACCCGCCATCATGGCCGACACCGCGGAGGCTGTCACTGACGCTGTGGAGCCGACCAACGACGCCGTAGTCGCAACCGAGACCGAAATCGAAGAGACGGTTGCACCGAACGAAGAGCAGCAGGACCAACCCGTCAAGAAAAAGAAGAAGATCATCGTTCGCAAGAAAAAGCGCCCCGCACGCGTGCAAGCCGACCCAGCCCTCGTGAAGAAAGATCCGTCTGTGCAGTCCGGACAGCAGTGGAACATCTGGTACGGCAAGTTCGAGGGAGGGCAGCGCGGCGATGAACAGCACAGCTTGAACAAGCCGGCCCCAGGTCGGTGCAACATTGCGAGGGACTCGGGATGGACACAGGCCGATAAAGTCGTCGGCTCCTACTTTTGCCGTGAGTGTCCTACGCTCCAAAACCGAATCGCCACTTTCATGAGATCCTAATCTGGTTTCTCAGTCCATTTTGCCCGAGGCGTCTGCCACCAAGGATCCGCTTGCCAGTATCTGCACCGGCTCCCTGGGATTCATGACCTCTTTCAACCGAATGTCGACTGCTTCGGCAGGTACGTGAATGGATCTATACCTGTAGATAAACGTTCTTGATTATCGGTTCTAACAGCCCACAGAGAAAAGCATTCAGACTACCGTGACGATATGGGAGGAACGGGCTCTTTTCAACGTGAGTTAACTTTCCGAAACACCGGTCGCCTGTGCGAAATGCTGACACAGACCCAAGGTCAGAACCGCGTGCTTTACTGCGGTAGAATCCACGTCCAAGATGGAATTGGTATAGCTCGAATTTTAACAATTACTCTTTCAAAGCTAACAAATGGCAGAGGAGGTCGTTTCTCGTCACTTTGCTGAATGGGGTCAGGTGGTAAGTGGTCATACACCAACCTTCGATCTTGCAATGCTGCCTTGCTGACCTATATATTTTACAGGAGAGAATTCGAGTGCTCACAGGACGTGGTGTTGCGTTCATTACTTACAGTGAGCTAGCCGCCCAAGATCATTTCAGCGTCGAGAATTAATTAACTAATCTTTTTATAGCAAACGAGGCAAACGCTCAATTCGCCAAGGAAGCAATGCACCAGCAGGCACTTGATCACGGTAAGCCCTCTTCTGTTTCTCTACTCCCCTTATTCAACCATTTTAGATTCTAACAAACCCTACAGAAGAAATTCTGAACGTGCGCTGGGCAACCGCTGATCCGAACCCAATGGCACAAAAGCGTGAAGCCCGTCGTCTCGAAGAACAAGCCGCGGAGTCCATCCGAGCGGCTCTCCCGGCGGACTTTATTGCGGAAATCGAGGGCCGGGACCCCGAGGCCCGCAAAAGAAAGAAGATCGAGGGCAGCTTCGGACTTAGCGGATACGATGCTCCCGATGACGTCTGGCATGCGCGTACTCGACAACTGGAAGCACCTGAGTCTGCGGCTGGTTCTGGTCAAGGTCAACTTGGGGCGCCTGAGCAGCCTCAGATGATTGAAGCTGGACAGCCTGAGCCTCAGAGGCCCAACCCCATCATGCAGTTCTTGTCGGAGGCGGATATCGCGCGTATCCAGCAATCTTTTGCGGCTCGCAATGCTCAGGCTGCACCCAAGAGCCCGGGCGGTCCTCTGGTTTCTTACGAAAGCAGCGATGATGAGAGCAACTAAATGTCCTGCAGCGAGTCTGCGCGCATCATTTAATTCAAAATTTCTTTTTCTACATGTACGATACCAGGATACCTCAGGGATTAAAGTTTGCCTTCAGAAGGTTCCCATTCAATTCACTCTTCAATGATGATACTGGCGTTATTCATAACGGGATAACGTCCCGGGCATCGCTAAAAATGACAATGAGGGGGGATGTAGGAGGCGACGTGTTAACATGACAAGGAAACACCCCGAGAACAAGCAAGTGAAGAAAGAAACACAAGACCAACCCACCCATATGTAGGATATGCAAATAGGTTCCAGGCACCAGAAATCAAGTTGAACGCCTCCAGATGAATGTTTAAATATCAGCTACCTGCCGCTAGGTCCGAGGTCGTAGTACACGCATGAACCAGTACGCAAGTTGTAGATGAAAGCGTTGGTGTAGCCATCTGCACCACTACGAGCATGACCTGTCGAAGCCATGTCGCGAAGAAGCTCGTGTACCTGAGTGAGGTACTTGCGTTCGTTTAGTGGCGCGTTTTGAATGGTGGCACGCCAACTGTCAGGGTCGGAGAGTCGCGTATCACGAATGGAGTCAAGGATGTCGTCCCCAATATCAATGGCGGCAATGGGTCCTTTGCAAGCATTTTCAGCAACTTCACGAGAGCAGAAGATAGCTGGTCTTATGGTTAGCGATCTTGAAGAATCACACACAGGAGTGGGATAGACATACCTGATTCAATGATGTTCCTCCGATTGGTCTTTTTGCTTCGGTGTTGCGGAACGAGAATCTGCACGTCCTGGTCACTTTCGAGTGGATTCTGTTGACTTGCCTGGCGGGGTTGGCGTAAACCACCGGCAGTAATGTTGTTGCCCTCGCGCAGTTGTCGCGCTTGGATCTCGGATCGGAGCCAAGTCACAATGTCACTGGAACGAATATCGAGCTCTTCTTTGCGCACGAGATTTCGAACTTTGAAGCCTCGCTCTTTGCTATCTTGTTTCGCGATTACAATCCAGCGGTGGCTGTTGTCTTTGTACTTGGCAATCAGCTCTTCTACCGATGACGCGTCAACTGCGAGTTCAGCACTAATGCCATTGTTCCAGAGGTTTTCGATGAGCTTCACGGCCGTTGTGCGGAGGGCGGTTGGGTCAAAGCTCGCGACGAGAACATCACACTGGTCGAAATTTAGTACATAAGCAGATCAGGTATGGTGGGTACGACTTACTCTGCGAGTTGCCCAATAAATGTCAGGTCCAGTGTCAGAGTCCTTCGAAGGACCCTTCGACTGCACATGTGTAGTCATAAGAGTATCCAAACGGTCGGAACTGAGATTGAATCCCACTGCATGGGCTTGGGGACGGTTTGACAGGACCTTAGGCGAAAATTCTTGGATCAACCGGTCGTACCGACCACCTGCGGCGAAGACATCACGGCGCTTGCCATCAAAGATGCATTGGAATAAAATGCTGCCACGATAGAGATTCTCGTGCAAACTGCTCAGCGGATTGACGTAGACCTTGCGATTCAATCCGAAGCATTGCAGATATGTCATGAGCACATTCAGTCGGGCAAAGATGGGAGGAAGTCGCTCCGCATATTCAGTTCCTTCCATAATGTTTTGCAGTCTCCGCAAAGACTCTTTTGGGGTATCTAGGCAATACTGTTAGCTTAACGCCGACTACCCCAGGACGACTTGGCATACCTCTAAAGTCAAACCGGGCTAAATCATCCAATGAAGTTGAAGCAACACCAATTTCTGGAGACCGAAGCTCACTTCGGATCTTCTGCATCGTGTATCTACCAATATTCAACTTGCTGATGACATCCTTCACCCGGGGAATCTGAGACGGCGTGATAGAACAAAACTCCATAATAAGCTGAAGGAGATCAGAATGGTTGACATGGAAGCACATTTTCGCCGATCGCAGAGGTGGGAACTCTTCAATGATCTCGTCAAGGACCTTGATCACTTCGGCTTCCTTCAATGCCAAGTCCAGAGTGTTGTATGAAACAATGTCGAAATCGACTTCTCGCAGAGGACGAGGCTCACTACCATGAGTTGATTCTCTGTACACCGTCCCAAATGCGAAAGTCTTCTCCAACGAGGGATCTTGTCGGGGAATTGCCCGTGCATTCGGCACCGTGAGGTCATATGGCAATTGAAGAAGATTGCCCGACGCATCCAACAGACGCACAGCCGCAGTAGGGTTGTGCTGGGACCGAGGAAACAGCATTTGTCTGGCTGACTCCACGGCCCCGTGTCGTCGGAAAATAGACATGAGCTTATCTTTAATAAGTCCCTGTAAAAGTAGTTCGTTTGCTGCCGGCGCCTCACGAGAATCTATATCCCACGCAATATCCTCGAACTTCTTCGGGGACTGTGAAAAGATGGCTGAAAGTATCTTTTTGTAGTCCGGTGAGTCTGGATTCGAAAGCAGGTGGACGATGGCTCTTCTGAATGTCTCTTCTTCGACCTGCAGAGGAATTCTACCACTCGATAGAAGCTCCGCTGCTGTAGGCCGTTCGCTCGGAGTGTGGCTCAGTAGAGACTCGATGATCTGGCCCTGGACAGCCTTTTCGGAGTGTTGGAAGGTAGCAGGCAGTGTGTGGTGCTTTTCCCGGATTGCCCTCAACGTCTGGTCACGTTCCATACCCGTAGGCAATGCGTGGCACATTTCGAAGAAGATGACTCCAAGAGAAAACATATCAACCTTCTCGTTGTAATGTCCGGAGAAGCCAGACTTCATCTCTGGAGCAACATAGTAGGTTGTGCCTAAGCTACGAGTGAAGTTTCCTTCGAAATCTGCAGCCGCAGATGAACGTACTGCGGTCATGAACTGACCACTCGTAGCAAGACCGAAATCACCGATTCGAGGATTATTAGCAACATCAATGAAGATGTTGTCAGGTTTGAGGTCTCGATGGATAATTCCATGACTGTGGATATGACTCAATCCATCAAGAATTTGCCGAAAGAGGCGCCAAGATCGATCAATATCATCGTATAAGCCGTTCCTGATCAAGTCACGCAGAGTCTAGTAAAAGCCGAAGGTCAGCAGCAAAATATACAGACGACCGATTGGTTCCACGTACATGCTTCTCGCAATACTCCATCTGAATGTAAAGGGTAGTCAGAACAGGTCTTCCATACGAGCCGGATCGTGTCTGGCTCAATTCGGAATCCTGTGCACATCTTGTTCCGTACTTTCCAGGGCTCCCACTGGGGCCACCGTTGGAAAATGTCCCCTCATCTTCATCGTCATCGTCGTCGTCATCATCGTCATCGTCGTCACTTCCTGAGGCGGCGAATTCAATTTTTGGGTATCCGCTGGAACTGATAAAATCGAGGCCTCCAGTACTAAAGCCCCGATGGTCCTGGCTAGCATATGGGTCGCCCTCCGTGGAGGAGATAGCCTCATCCTCCACATGGTTGAAATCCTCTTCGAGCCAGGCAGTGTAATACCGGACAACATAGGGGTGATTTAGACGAGAAAGCAACATGATCTCGGAAAGCGTATCCTTTAACGATGCAGCTGATGTCTGAGAAATCTTTTTTATGGCGTAGAAACGGCCGTCCAGCTTATTTCGAGCTTTCACAACTTGACCGAAGCCGCCTCGACCGAGGTGGCCAGCGTCATCGAAGTCTTGATGATAACGGGAAAAGACGGGCATGGCTCCAAAGGAGTCCAACCGCGGTCTTCTTTGGAATGATACGGAATCTGACGAGCGATCCCGCATAGTCAGAGGTGCATCAACTCGGAAAAATTCCGATGGCTGGAGTTGGAAGGCTGTCGGGCGCTTCCTTGGATCTGGTCGGAAGAACTCTTGCAACAGATCTTGCAACGGCGGCGAAAGGCCCAGTGAAATCATCAATTGGTTGGCTGAAGTGTATCTGAGAAGAACGTCCTTCCCGAAGGCCATCTGGAGCAGAACAATGCCAAGGTCCCACACGTCAGTCTTCATGGTTGGAGGCCCACTCTCTTCTGTCAGCTCTGGGGGGAGCCACAGAGGAGACTTGGAGGTGGTCAAAGAACGTCGTCCACAAGGGGCATCTGGCAGAGCCTCTTCCAAACTGGTCTGCAGTTTCACAATGGTGCCGCCAGAGACAGATCGACACAGCATCACCCGGCCGCAGTTGATATTACCATGAACGAATCCACTGCGGTGGTAAAATTCAAGGGCTTCCAAGAGCTGAATCATCCAGCCTCGAAGCGTCTCGGCGGCCACTGTGCCCACAATATCCAGTAATTCGGAGAGTGACCCTTTGTTCGCAAATTCGAGAAGGGCGAAGACCGTCCATGAGTTATCTGGTGAATTAAAATCGCTTATTGGGCGAATGATCTTGAATCCAACAAATTCGATCAAATTGGCATGTCGAAGTCGCTTCAGGGCCTCTAGTTTATCTTCGCTGGTCCGCATTTGCTCGCGGAAAGCCAGGGTATCGGCACCTTTGTCTTCCAAAAAGATTTCTTTCAGCACGAGAAGTGGAACATGGCATCGGTTTTCGGATACAACGGGTCGCACAGTAAACGTCTTCTTGCAAGGTTTGGACCGCACAAGCGTTTTGCCATGTACGGCACGGAATACCAACAGCTGCTCATCAGTGTCATTGACAGCCAATGGCGGATCAAAGGTAATTGCGCCGGGGGTATTCTCCACGAGATCATCTCCTGCGTCATTGGCATCCATTCCGCTGGTCCGGCTCTTGCGCCTCATGACTCGAGCTTTATTTCGTTGCCGCATCTTATCTTGAAGCATTTCATGAAAAGCGCGTTCTTCCTCGGCAGTTGCTGCTTCCTGCTTGCGCATTTCTTCCTGCTTTTCCTGTTCCGCTCGCTGAATGGCGGCAGCCTTTTGTTCCATTCGTTCTTCCTCGAGACTGGGGAGGTCCTTGTCTTGTTCGCGTGCTTGGGCAACATCTTCGAGAACATCTTGAATGGCAACGGCTAACTCGTAGATCATCTCAGAGCCGACGAGAGCTTTCGGTTTATTATGAATGATCTCCTGGATCCGCGAGCGGGCGCCATCGCGAAAATCGGCGACATTTTCCAGCGAAAGATTCGGGACGGTTTTGGGGTACGTCGCAGGCAATTCGACAAGTAGCACGAGGCGTACGTCTGGGTTTGTGGAGGCTCGCAAATGGAGCTTGAAGGTCAAGTCGGAAGATTGCTAGATATAATATCTCAAGTCAGTACAGTCCGCGACAAAATTTGCGGGGAAACCCTCGAAGCACCCACATGCCATGCTGAACGTCGCGTTTTGACTTCTTCGTAGTCGTCGCCGTAGATCGAGCGCAAAGCCTCGACCTCGAGCTGGTGTATTTCACGGTAATTGGTTGTGGCTTTCACGGGGGATGTCAAAGGAGAGGAATCGGAGGAGGCTTGCGGTTGCTTTTGCGGCTGTTGCTGTTGCTTTTTCTCGCGGGATGCTTTCTTCTTCTGCTTGGGAGGCATCGCGGGGCGTGGCGCGAAATCGCCCTACATCCGGAACTTGGGACACGACATGGGAGCGATTTGAGTGAGGGTCGAAGGTTGGGCAGGGTTCACGTTGGAATGCCTGGTGTTGGGTTCTTTCCTCTCGAACAGGCGGTCAGCTCACTTGGCCACCTTCCACTTCATCGCGGTGGAGCGGCTGACCATCTTCCCCATCGACGTTGGCTCGCAACTAAAAAATGCCTCCGGGGGGACATTCCAATCTACGCTTCCAAGAATCAATTCGGATGATACTTGCTGGTCCTCGTGGATTGTCTCATCAAGAGTTGGGATCTGATCGTATGCAACAACGCGAGAAAACAAGCGGTAGGTAAGGTACAGGTCCCCTCCATGCCCAAGTGTGGATATCCTGAGTTGTTCCTGATGCCATTGCACATGCAATGGCACGATTGGCGCAGCCGGTCCTCATCTGCGATCAAAGATACCTAGCAGCAGGCTGCCAACCACCGCGATCATCGGCGCATACCCCCAATGACTCCACTGGCCCTGGCCGTGGGTCCAGCACACCGCGCCATCCCCAACTGCAACTGCACTGGCAAAGATCAGGGTCAGACCGAGTGACGCCGATGTTCCGAGAAATGCTGCAGCGTAAATCGCAAGCCCCATGAAGATGTTGCGGATTCCATAGACCGCCATTAGGCTGTCGACGAGTCTGTGATCGGCGGCGCCAACAGGCGGAGCGAACTCGAAAAATGTCAGGGCGTGGTCGGGACGAAGAATGGCATTGATGCCAAAGCCGATAAAAATGGTGCCAAAGGCTGATGCAGCCAAGCGAAGGCCACCCGCTTGTGAAAGAGGCATGTTATTTGGATGGAAGTAGACGCGTGGGACGTAGCGTAATGGTTGACTAGTTTTGCGAGGTCGAAGTATAGAATGGATACCACCCTGCAGTACCTTTGATAGCAGTTTCCAATGTACCGCCGGCAAGGGGGTTAAGGTTCACGAGCTTTTGTATCATTCGCAAAAACGAGTCAGAGTCATATGCAGTGATTTATAGGCAGAGCCTCGTATCTGCCTGTTCGATCCCTGTCAGAATTTAGTTTCTTATGGGGGCCGTTAGACGGTGCTGTGAGCGAGGACCTCAAACGGAAGTCCTCTTTGATGAAATATAGAGCGTAATTTATAATTATCGGCTGCATCGATCCAAACATTAAGGACCTGGTGTGACGGTGGAGTTCGAGATTTCAGTCTTGCTATTGAATGATGATATATACAAATGACTGTCAACATATAAAGGTATATGACCAGTCATATGCGCGATTTTTACAAGGAGCTAAAAAACTAAAGGAACCAACGTCGATAATTGGCGTCAATTCGACACAATTCTGAACCGGTAACTGACAGTAATACCGTAACATTTACAGCGCCATACCTCATTCAGTAGGGGGTGTCCGTTTGGAGGTTCTGCTGAGAGACAAACACAGGAAGCTTGGGTGAGGCAGAGCCTATCGATAAGCCGGCCCGAGTTCACCTGGACGCGTTCAGGCTGTAAACATCAGCAACCTTCCATTCCACCACCGCACAGCACCATGCTGGACTGGATGAAGAGCAACGAGGGCCCCCAGGCGGCAGGTTCGTTTGGTTCCTTTTATTCAATGCTCTTTCACATCACTGACCGAGTTTTCGTCCAGACACCTCCAAAGTCCTGGAGCCGCCCGAGACCCCGGCTCCTGTGTTTGCGATTCGCGCCTTCAAGAGCGCCCTGTTTGGCACCCCAGGAGCAGAAGAGGAGGAAAACGAAGCCAAACAGGCAGAGCGCGTCCCTGACCTCAAACCCTCCGATCACCAATGCAGCAAAAGCGACGCAACCCAACCCTTTTCCATTCCTACTGAAAAGAAGGATGACGCGAAATCGGACGACTCCTTTTTCAACCCTGCTGGCTCCCCCACGAAAAGCATTCTGGTGACGCCCGGCACCATCTCTAATCGGCGGAAGACGGTCTCCTTTGGCGAGGGGGTGGTCGACAATGAAGGGAAGCGCGATAGCCAATCGAGCAAAGTGGTCAAAACACCCCCGAATCCAGCGGGGGAATCTCACCACGCAGTGGATGTCCGGCTCCGCCGATGGAAAGCCTCGCAGCAAGCTTACTCAAACCCTAATAGATGCGCGTGACAATGCATCGAGGAATGCCGACTCCGCCGGCACCACTCCCGAGAAGTCGGACGCGAAACCGGTCGCGCGTGCCCAGCCAAAGGACGAGTCCGGCTCAGAGGATACTATCAATCTAGAGGACCCTCGTTCGGAGTCAGGAAAATACTGGAAGACGGAGTTCGACAACTATCGATCGCGCACCAATCGTGAAATTAAGAAGCTGATCCACTACCGGTCGATCGCCAAGTCCTACGCCCGAAAGAAGGACTCTGAAGCTATACGACTCACGGACAAACTCCTCGAGGAAGAAAAAAAGGTAGCGGAGATGGAATGTCAGGTGTCGCGCCTTGCATCGACGATTGTGGGAGAAGGATCTCAAGGAAACAAGGAGGAATTGATACAGGATCTCACCAAGCAGACAGCCCTGGCCCTGCAGTACAAGCAACAAGTGACATCTTTGCGCAAGATTCTCGAGCAGCAGGGTGTTGTGGAAGGAAGCACCACCAAGGCGCAGGAGCCTGCCAAGGAATCATCATCTTCAAACACCTCGGAAGAGCTCCGCAAAGCACAGCAAGAGCTAAAGCAGGCAAATGCCAAAATTGAGGAGCTGATGCGCCGGCAGAATCAAGATTCTGATCTGAAGGCGCTGAAAAGCCTCGCGCAAAGCTCGGAGAAGAAAGCGCAGGATCTCGAAAAAGAGAACAACTCTCTCAAGCAGACTATGGCGCGTGTCAAGCAAGAGATGTCAAAATATGATGGCCGGCGCAAGGAGAAGGAAAACAGACTCAAGCAGAGGGAGAGCAGACTGGAGACACGGATTCAAGAATATCGCGAACAGCTGAAGAAGACCACCCAGGAGCATCGTGCATCGGAAGACGCACTGCGAGCAAGCTTCGACGAAGAACGCCGTCGTATGCAAACTCAGATCGACCTGCTGAAATCGAGAATCTCTAATACGGAGCGTGTACCGACTCTGCGACCCCAGCAGCGGCAGACTTTCAACCCATGCAAAGAATACTCGGGCGTGCGGGTCTATGATTTCGCGGATCAGAACCGCCCTGAGATAGATGAGGCCACTGAAGACCTCGAAGCACCGCCCAGCCCCAGCCCTCGCAGCAAGGCTCGGCATATACGAAACGCTACAACGGGTACAATTGACCCCAAGCGTGCGACGCAGGACATCAACGCAGACGACGACGAAGTCACGCATTACCTGAACGAAATTCTGGACAACTCGCGTCCTAAATCTTATCATTTCGACGGAGTACCCGCCCCACCTTCATCTCCTCCCGACATCGGTGCGCTCAAATCTCTCGACCGCAACCTCAGGAATTATCAACCCACAACCGACAAGCAACGTACATATCGCTCTCTATATCGCCGGGATCCTGACACGACCGGCACGGGAAATGAACATGACCAGCGATCTCGACCCCATATCAGATCCACTCTCGACAATATCTCTGGTCTTCCCTGCTCACGGACTGGGGCTTATGCTGGGTATACCATTTCAGGAGGGGAACGGGCAAGTAGACAGCAGGGTCTTTCCGAGATGGAACGCAACTTTCTCTCTCCAGAGCGAGTTGCTGCAGCAAAGTCTCGACTCCAGAAGAAGAAGGATGAAAGTCGGAGAAGCAGGACTCTTGGAGGTGGAAGTTTCCGGGCTGTGGCTTCAGCGCGCTCCGCGGGAAGCTGAGCGTCAATTTGTGGCTGTTTCTTGTTTCTCTGGAGTCCCCTTAAGTCTCTTTATGATGAGTGCGTTGTAGCGAATATCTGTTTGGTACTAGATTTGTTCAATTGCGATGGACCTATAGATATCCCAAATCTGTCTTTCTTCCTCGTTGGAAATGCGCCGAAGTGCCCGAAGGACATCAATAATACAATATTCTTTCGAAATTGGCATTGACAAGATTGCTCCGAAGTTCAATCACAACCACTTGTTGAAAGTAAAACTTGTTCGAGCAAGTTGTGGGAAGCATGGGCTTGCGAAATAACCACGACAGACATTATCTCAAACCGAACAGGAGATAAACAAAGCAGCTTTTTGCGTTTTTTCATTCTGGAACTTCTTGTTTGATATCTGTGGATCTCATTCAGCATCTTGGTCAGCAGCTGAGCTGGATGTTTTTGTTTCGGACTCATCTTGAAACATTTCGGGAGCTTCTAGAAGCTTTCGAACGAACCTGTGTCTCTGTTGAAGCTTGAGCAAGTACAAGGATCTTTTCTATTGGACACCATGGGTAATTAAGTATTCTTTGGATCCGAGGCTACCTAGATAGATTCTTGCTCGAGCACATGATTGCCTTTTCAAATCCCGCTCCCCTCGTTTCTCGGCTGCCCAACGGCCCCTAGAGGGTATCCTACACACCACTAATTAGGAAAAGATGAGTTCTCTGTTAATTTGCCTTCGATTGTCGTTATCCCATATCTAGGAACGGACGGTTATGTGTCATATCATCCTGAACCCCAGATTTTGAGTCTTTTCAAGATGAAAGGACCGTTGATATGGCTTAGCCCGAACCTAAATCGCTAGGCAAATCAGTGTCTAAGACGCATATGAACAATCGCCCCGGAGAATAGATCGGGGGCACGAGGACAATGCACACAGGCCCACCGTGAGCCGCGCTAGTAATTCAGACCCCTGCAGGTAGTGCGACATAGACGAAACGCCACTCATCCCGGTGTTTCCCCTTTTCTGCATATGTGAGATGATATGAATGGAAGGCTGGAAAGAACAATGTCGCGGACGATTAGAATTGTTGGTACAGAGTAAGATTTGGGATATTGTTCATTCCGTGGATGTTCATACTGCCAATTCTATACTCTCGAGCATGTGAAAATTCTCCGTCAACGCAGACGCTAGCTTGCCACGCAAGGTTACTCCGTTGCACTTGGTAGTAGTCTCCATCGCCAGACAATGCCACCTCATACTCTGCAGTGGTGGTGACTAGCGGCGGAGGCTAATTCGCCATTAGCACAGCAACAACAGCAACCGGGACCAGGAATTTTCCGTTCGCCCGTCGTCGGCAAATCCGTAGAGAATTCCCCTTTTTTTGTAGACTTCAGGCTAGTCTCACGTCTGTAGCGAGAGGGTGGAGGGATCAGCACTACGGTAAAATGGCACCTTGTTGAAACCATCGTGAGGCAGCGGTGTATGCACAGGATGACGGCCGCGCTAACAGTCAACCATAAGTGTGCTGAATTATTTGAATAAGCTCGACCGAATCAAAGTTCCAGGTTGAGGCTAGAATGACAGATTGCATGATTATTCATTTTTCTATTGTTCCGCACATCGGCAAGCAAGCTCCAACCACGGATGCGAGCGAGTCAAAATAGAGTTCGCGTCGCAATTTTGGGACGCTCCCACTTTTCACCATCTTCTGGTTTTTGAATAAGCTACAGAAAGTCGGAAGAGCCTCTTGAACCCTGGCTGGAAATGTCTTGACATTCTGGGGAATCTAAAGATAATCCAAAGGTAGTAAGCCATCAAGATATCCTGTTCCTGGAAGGCACAGCAAATACTATGCAGTCGCTTTCCAAACTGTTGCCTGGGCCGATAGCTTCGGCCACTATTTGCGATCTACGACAATGAAATCCTGACCGAGTCACTCAAAATGATAGACAGCGTAGTTTGAAATGGTCTTGAATCATGGACTCGCAGGTTGGGCAGCTATTTGGTCTTGAAATTGAGGCAACAAGCCTTCTAGCGGAAGATCTCCAGAAATGATTGATCAGCCAGTCAGATAGACCAGAAATATGACCTGTATGCTTAAGTAGACATGCAGATCCCCGACCTTATTTTCGGGTTTGGATCATCCATAGCCCATCAACTCAAATGCCGTGATCTCCAGTCAGCTCGGCCGGATCCCGCAGGCGGCGAGACTCAACTTGTTGATCAAGGTAACCCCATCAGGCTCGATCAAGCACAACAGATCTCGACCCATCATGAGGATCTAGCCCCTCTAGGAAGTTCAGTCAGAGGTCGCTGGCCGAGAACCGGTGGATCAGTCGGTCTGCATCAGTCTCTTTAGGGCAATTTCAACAGATTCCCGCAGGAACAGGAATAAACTGATGTCAAACAGCCCCGCCAGGAGAATTTTTAGTTGCTGGGTTCGAGGTGAGGAGGGAGGCTACTATGAGGAGTCAGAGAGGGGCAGGGGTCGATCGATGGCCACAAGGCTTAGTGAGAATGTGCATTTTCTTGTCTGCATCAGACTCCGCTCAAATGGTGGTAATGCCGAGTGGGCCATGAGAGCAATCACCTGCCACGACCATTCTTGCTCCATTAATTATTCATGAGGTGGCGGGCGAACGGCAGAAGGGCGAACGGCAGAAGCACCTACTGTTGCAAAAATTGGACAATTGGAGTTTGAGAGGCGACTGCACATCCCATTGCCGACCCTGAACCAGCCAGCACGGCACCGGGGTCCTAATCATGACGGTCCTGTGGCAGGGTTGCGCTCGCTTGCGATGTAGAGCGAATCGCAATGCGGCACTCGGTACGGCGGCCTCATGGCCATCAGCCGTGTCGCCGTATCGCTTGCCGTATGTAGTGGGGCCAGGTCAACGGCTACGGCTGAAGCTCGGTTCTCCGTCCAGGTTGTGGGAAAGTGGCGAAACCCCGGAGCACTCGTCTGATTGCTGAAGCAGAAACCCGTCGGGCCCGTTGGCTCTGGCAGCCACCCCGCACAATTCGCTAAAGAGCTCAAATTGCAATGCGGCTGGCGGAGGTGAAATCGATTTATGTGTTTCTCGCGCGAAACTCTCACATCACGTGGCGTGGCGAGCCTCGGCTGCGGACAGGAATTCTCCGCCGCGGCGACACTTCTGTACTTCGCCCACGACCGCGACAGGGATCGGAGATGCTAAAACGCGCCCCAGGGACGCAGTGGCTTGGGCCTGCTTAATTGTCCGCAGCAAAACAATGGCAATGGCACATTGCGTCTGGATCAAGCCAGGGGTTCGGGCGTCGCTTTCACAGGCATCAGCCTCTCACAGCCTGTGCTTCAGATCAGTCTCGTTCCCAGTGGATCGGAGTGTGAACTATGGGGCTCTGGATCGGCCTATGGGGTTGCCCATATCGACGATGGACCCCGCTCTCCTCGGCCGTATTGCTGCATTGGACTTCGCGCTGCTCGGAAGTGGCCTGAGAATGATGAGTGGCCCAGGACTCATCACCATCGGAGTATGCAAAAACCGTGGCGCGCAGATGGAGTCGTCTGATCGACTGCCCTGACTCGCCGGAACTCAACATAGAAAGTATAAAACACGAATCAGCTGGGACACCTGCAGTTCCAGAGTTTAATCTATTTCCCATGGCTCCTTGAGTCTCGGCTTGTCGCCCTTGATATATCTGTTCCCCAGATCCCTGGCGGGGTGCAACACTGGACGCCTCTTTTTTTTTCTTCTATCCATCATTCACGGTGTGGCCCATATCGCAATTGCTGGACAATGGGCGCATAATTTAAGCATATTTCATTCTTTAATATCGATCAATTTACGACTGCCGGGAAACCCCCACCATGATGCTGCGTGTCGCTACCCACCAGTAATTCATACCCACAACAATTGAAGCCTCGCCCGATTCTTGATACTATTTCGCCGCCGTCTATCATACATCGCTCACCCCAAAGTTGGAATATTTTCCTGACGGTGATCGCCTATCATGCAACTTCCTCCCCTCGCCGTGATGGCGACATGGCCGACGCCAAACTACGTCGACCCGGTAACTCGAGGCCACGGCGCCATGATCGTCAACATTATTGGTACTGCTCTATCATTCTTGGTGGTTATTGCCCGCATCTACACTCGACTTTGTATTACCTGCAGTGCCGGAGTCGATGACATTCTGATCGTGATCGCCATGATATTCGCCATTGCCATGGTAGTGGTGACTACCTATGCCACCGAGGTCTGGGGTTGGAATCGACACATTTGGGATGTCCCGACGACATGGCTCTCGACCGTGCAAAAGCTGAACCTCGTCTTCCAAATCATGTTTTCGATATCCTCCTCCGTCACCAAGATCTCGCTCATGTGGTTCTGTCGGCGGCTTCTGGGTGCTGGCAAGGGCAACTTCAAGGCGTACAACTTTGCTTTCATTGGCTCCATGATCTTTGTCGGAGTTTGCTGCTTGGTCTTTACTCTTCTCAGCATCTTCCAGTGCTCGTGAGTGCAGTCCTGGGTCACATGCTGCGATTTTGAATTCGAACTAATACATTTTGCAGCCCTATCAAGGCGTATTGGGAAATCAGCCCCAAGTACGAATACAAGTGCGCCAACGACGGCAAAATTGTGTTTTCTGCTAGTGTCATCAACATCTTCACGGATTTCCTGGCCACCGCTCTGCCGATGCCGCTCATCTGGAGTTTGAAACTCCCCGCCCGGCAGCGCCTTGCTGTCATCTCAATCTTCGGGCTTGGTATCATCGTCAATGTCGCCGGGTCCGTTCGCACTGTGTACGTGTGGAAAAGCATGGTTGTCGGCTACGATACTACTTGGATTGGATGGCCGGTTCTCGTTGCGGCCTCGATCGAGATCAACCTGGGACTGGTATGTGACCCATTGAGCATCTATCGCTGCTGTAATTTAGCGCATCTAACCTCTTGGATAATAGATTTGCTCCTCAGCCCCGGCTCTTCGTCCACTTATTGCCACTTTCATTCCCCGATTCCTTCAATCAACCCGAAACCTCGGCTCCTCCTACAACCAACGCAGCCGTTCCCAAAAGCTCTGGTCCTCAACCGGCCGCTCTCGCAATTCGCACATGGTTGTCGGTACCAACGACTCTCGTCAAGCAGGTTATGAAAGCGATCGCTTCGAGATCATGCGGACGGTTGAGATGGAAAGCTGGAGTGAATCCCGGCTGGCTCACAATAACGCAATGGGCCATGCTTATGGCATCTCATCGGAGCATTCACGCACAGTCTCTCCCGAGAATGACATTGAACTGAAGCAAGGCGGCATGGTCTACTCGTCAGCTGCCAGCGACAAATCTTCTACGTCGCTGCCGCGCGGTGCAGTTTCACCTTTCGAAGACAGGCGCCCCCATTGACGACCCTAAAATATCTACTTGCAGCTCTTATATCTCTTTGCTTTTTGTTTCAACATTTAAAATCCCGGTGGATCAGCACTATATAAATCACCTGTATATTGTCTACTAGAAGTTACGATGAGCCTTTTCAGGCGCTAACGAACATGATACCTGTACATTTTATGTTATTATCTAGTATGATGTGTCACCCTTCCCATGGGCTATTAGCATAACACAGTGTATACATGCGATGGATCTTCGGAGATTATCATGCATGATATCCTGCAATACCATCTTGCAGCTCCGGTATTTGCCAAATCCGGCAGGATTGGCAGCCAAATGCATTAGTGCGTGGTGTCTGCGGTGGATTTTCCTGGGCTTAGACCACGGTGACCTTCCGAGCCCGGAAGGCACTAAAATCAGCAGCGAAGCTCCTCGAAATTAATTTGAGAACTTGAAAAAACAAGGCGATTATTTACTGGCTCGATGATGCATCACACATTGCATTAATCGAAAGATTGCAAATCCCTCTTGGCATATCGCATATCAAACAGCGTACGCCGCAACACGTGTATTTGGAGTTGAAATATATACTTGGATCCTTCACTGGTGTACGGTGCCGTCGCTAGTGTACATCATGTAAGCATGAGCTAGTATGAGATGGCCTTCCCACTGCGAGAATGCACTTGGGACATCATATCACATCATGGGCCCGTAAAATGGCACCCTTACCGGAATGGCATTGCAGTGCAGAGCTTTCAACGTCCAGTACGAGCATGGTCACGGGTACTTCTTCATTAATAGATAATAGTAACATTCTGAATTCTGGAAAATCGAAAATATTTCAATCAACAATGAACACATATTTCACACACTAACAATTTGGACACTCGGACTGGGCATCCTAACTCTCCACCCGGGAATTACATTCAACAAGTACCCCGGCACTTCTGTCATTGGCCGATGGAAAACATAGTTTCGGCGATATTCCATTATTACTTTCCTCCTTTTCTCTTCGGATAAGCGTCTAAGAAATCTGCTTTCCAGCCCCGATATCTCCGAGGAGTTTCAGAGAAGGTGTGAAGAAATAATCACCGCCATGAGATTGAACGAAAGGCTCGAATGTGATCCGCCCACTCTGGCCATTACCATCTACAATGCCGACGTCGAGAATTTTGTCATCTTCTTCATCTGGGTCTTTGATAGACTGGCCGATGACGACATCTTGTCCTGGAAGCTTGCCGTACATGGCCTTGTTGATCGCCGGGCCGGTGGAGAAATTATCCAAGTTGACCCAGACTTCAAACTCGTTATTCAAAAATTCAACATTATTTCGCTGCGTCGATGGGCTACTTATGGTTTTTGATAAACTGGAACCCATTGGAGAGACTAGTCTGGTAGCACGTGAACATGAGACCACGATCTTGTCTCCAGCAGTCTTCTTGTCTGCGATTTCCTTGGGGTAGACTTCTGCGCCGTAAGGAATTCCACGACGGATGATGTCGAAATTGTCAGCGTTTCTCACCCCTTTTCGAGGCTTGGTCTTGCGCATATGGGATGCAAAGGGGCAAATTCTTTGACTGTCTGGGTCGTAGTCAAAGTTGTTCCACGTTGCTTCTCCCTTGTTGTCCTTGATGGGATTCCGCTGGACAGGGGCACCTCTTGGGATTTTCAGTCGCTGTTCAAGAAAAAAAAAAAAAAGAAAAAGAAAAAACATCGTCGTTAATTCCAACATACCACTCTTCCAACGTCCCACCAGTCGTGCTCCCAACTGGTCTTTGTTGTCAAATTTGAGACGCTTGTAGTTCTTGTCAAGCATACTAAAAAGGTTGCAGAGGTCAGAAAATTGCTCAGTAGATAGAACCTGCGAACTTACTCCTCGAACTCGGGTGCGAACTGTCTTAGCTTGCGGACAACGAGCAGGCTGCCATCCTTGGCCCATGGAGGGTGTTTTCCCATATTCTCATTTCTCACCTCTCCGTCTTATCCAAAAATAATGATTCTAGAAATTCAAATAATTAGCATATTCGAAAGGTTATGTATCAATATCTGCACTTCATACCCTGAACGAGTGGTGTATGGTCGGTCACATTTTCTGGGATCGAGTTTTTTGTCGATACCCTGCAACATAGGCAGCGAGATTCCATCCAAGAACCCAAAGCTAATAGTCATGAGTAAATGCTCACTTGTTCCAAGAATATGAAAGCTCACTGTTATTGTCCCCTATTCCCATCAGGTCTTTCATTCCCCTCCAAAGTCAAGATTTCATTGGTACCTCGAGTTGAACTCAAGTAGCGACTTTTGAGGTCGAGAAATACCATCACTACACCGTCAATCATTTGTTCTTTGAAGCCGTCAAGCCAGTTCTCGATTTTGTCTCTGCCCTCGCCCAACATATCCGCCTGCATGCCCTTGATAAAAGGGTCATCTCGAAATCCAGGACCGCCTAACTGCAGAGCAATACATGGTCGGTGCTGATTTTCATGGTTCAAGCATAGATATTTGAAATACTTTCTCCATTGCTTGCGGGTAATGGAAATATTGACTCCAGCTATACCGACATCCTCTTTTGATTTTGATTCTTTGGCAACCTGGATGGCTTTGCGGTTGTCCAAGATGTTCTGAGATGAAGTGATTTGTTTGTTCGCCATAATCTCCTTGAGAGCACTTTTGAACTTTTCCGCATCTTTGATTTGAAAGAAGAAGAACTTTTGTTTTCTTTTCACCAGTCCAGGCCTTCAGGCTGATTAGCAACAATTCCACCCAAGTTCTTTTTGTGTAGAAACTGGCCAGACATCGCCTTGGATATTGCTAAGATCTTCCTTAAAAAACATTGTTTCGTTTATGAATGCCATTGTATTGCACGCTGTTCAGGCACCGCGGCCGTCCTGTAAATCTTTGCCCGCGTTGACCCGAGAACTCGGATTATCATTTGCTTTCCCTCGTCGATGAATTCAACGAAGAATTAACATGATTATTGCAGCCAGCTGTCACCATTTACAGCAAACCGTTGATTCATATCTGAAGGTATCCCTTATCCTACATGATCTCTTCGTCCACCCTAGTGGGACAATGCATGACATGGGATTCGGATCCCTTGCCTGCATTCTATGTTCCCAACTGGCTACATCCACACTTGGCTCTTTATGTATTTTGGGTCCCTTGATGCTGTCTTCACGATTAAGGGGCTTTCCCCGTGCAGCCCTTGCGGCGGGCGCAATGCTTGTCTCGTTTCCCCCGCGATATCCTGGGAAGCAGCCAACATAGTATTGATGGACCTAGCATACCTTACAAGATGACCGCTTTAAAGCAGCAATTTCGCTCGATGGGCTGGGTTGTAGAGTCGACGAGTATCTATTGAGCTCTTCCACTCACTTAGTTGCAGGATCAGCATCCGATAACCAAGATGAAGCTTGAGTGGGGTGTGGCAGCACTCCAGCTGGGAACAGCAAGAGGCCGAGACATCTCTGAACTTGAGTCTCTCTACCAAGATGGCACGGCCCCCGATCGTGCTATGATTGGAGGCAATGAAGTCGCCACTCCTTCTCAACCTCTTCCTCGCGACGACAAGATCAACCGCGACAAATGGTCACTCAATTGCACGAGTAGCACCAGTGGCAATGAGTGTGCGAAAGCGATTGATGGCTCCACAGACACCTTCTGGCAGAGCCAAAACAGCGCAACTGAATACCAAAATATCACCATCACACTCGAGGCAAATAATTCGGTGAGTGGTCTCACTGTGGTGCCCAGACAGATCAACCCAGTGGCGGCTTTGATCGAGCAACATCAGATCCTAGTTAGCCAAGACAACATAAACTGGGAGCTGGTCGCATATGGAACTTGGTGGAATAATACCGCTCAAAAGCTCTCGGTGTTTCAACCCCGGTACGCTAAATATCTGCGCTTGTCGGCGGCTGCGTCTCAGGGCATTGCTATCGCAGATATCGAAGTATACACAATCGATTATATCCCCCCGAATGATGAGCTGGGGTCATGGGGCCCTACAATCGATTTGCCGCTGGTTCCTGTCGCAGGAGCTGTCGACCCACAGTCTGGCGAGGTGGTGGTCTGGTCTGTCTTCCCGTCCAGAAAATTCGTCGAGGGTAAGGGAGTCAAGACACAAACAGCCACCTGGAATCCTCGGGAAAACGCTGTCACGAGGAGTGCCACCAATACCAATCATGACATGTTCTGTCCAGGTATCGCGACCGACCAGGAAGGAAAGGTCGTTGTGACTGGTGGCACCGCTCCATCTACGACAAGTATCTACAACACCATCACTCAGCAGTGGTATCAGGACGGCTTCTTGAATAAGCCCCGGGGGTATCAGGCATCGAATAGTTTGTCCGACGGACGCATTTTTGTCATCGGTGGATCATATGGCAGCAATGTTTTTGGCAAAGATGGCGAGGTCTATGATATGAAAACCAACAAATGGACTATGCTTCCCAGCGCGTTGGCATCTACGATGCTCACTCATGATCAACGAACTTATCGACAAGACCACCACGGCTGGACATTTGCTTGGGACAATGGGTCTGTTTTCCAGGCGGGTCCCAGTAAAGGAATTCACTGGTACGGTACCGCAGGTGACGGATCTGTTACTCCGGCAGGAAATCATACGGGTGATGAAGATGCCGTGTGCAGCAACGCGGTCATGTATGACAATGGCAAGATCCTGACCTTTGGGGGCTCTCCCGACTACGAAACAGCCCGGCGACCAACCGTGCATCCATCATCTCGATTACCGACGCCAAGCAAGCTGCGACAGTCCTCCCGAATGCGGGAGGTGGAATGAAATCTGTGCGAACTTTTCACACATCAGTTGTTCTCCCTGACGGCTCGGTGTTTGTCAATGGCGGGCAGACTGTCGGGCTTCCCTTCAATGAAACTGGGGCTCAACTGTCCCCAGAAACCTTCTTCCCTGATCTGAAAGATTTGCAGAAGGGGGCCACTTGTAAATCCCAGCAGCCAAATACTGTCATTCGTGTTTACCACAGCATTGCGCTTCTGCTCCAGGACGGTACTGTCTTCACCGGTGGTGGCGGTCTCTATGGCAATTGCGCTGCCAATCACTTTGATGGCTAAATGTATACTCCACCATATCTGCTCCCTGTCAAAGGGACGCCTCGTTCCCGTCCCAAGATCAAGACTATCACACAGGGTCCGGTCCGATCTGGGAACAAGGTCAAAGTCACGACCGATAGTGATGTCCAACTTGGAGCATCAATTATCCGCTATGGGTCTGCGACACACATGGTGAATACCGATCAGCGGCGCATTGTTATTTAGATGACAAAGACTGGCGATAATCAGTACGAGTTCACAGTTCCTTCTTCACGTGCTGCTCCTCTTGGGTTCTATATGGTCTTTGTATTGAAGAATGATGGCAACCCCAGTCATTCCAAGAGCATTCAAGTGACTGTTTAAGACTTGGTTGCCGTAATGATTGAGCTGCTGTGGTCTTCGCTTCCCGGTAGATGTCCTGTGTCGACATTTTGTTTAGGATTGATAAAAAATTTAATGTGTCCATTCGACTTGCGCCTTCTACTATCATTTGAATATTTGTGTCAGTCTGTGTGTGAGAAATAAATTTGGAAGAAGCACATGACTACTAAGCAGAATAATCCATATTGCTTTCCATAGATTGCTTTCCATGGATGGCAGCTCGATGGACGTGAATCGGAGGTGATTATTGTTCCGGTGTGGTGCCATACGCTGAGTGAATTGCCTGTCGACATTTGAATGAGAATCAGTTGAAAAATAAATGTATATAAATAAACAAAAAAAAAAGAAACAGAGAGGAAGGCGTTGTCATGTGTTGATGACCGCCAGGTTAAAAATGTTAAAAATGAAAAAATTTGGTTCCAGAGGGGGTCGAACCCTCGACTTTGGCGTTATTAGCACCACACTCTAACCAACTGAGTTATGGAACCATTTGTCACGACAAGTTTTCGATCTGTGACATCATATTCCTATTAATCATGTTCGCCAAGCCCCAAAAATTGGCTAATCGACCCGCCACCCATAAACTTCAATTTCGTCTACAGACGATGTTGGGAGGGTCGATGGCAATAACGATTTTAATGGAAAGCAAAAAAATGGACTCGCGGGGAATCGAACCCCGGACCACCCCCATGCTAAGGGGGTATTATACCACTAAACCACAAGCCCAATGTTGAAATTAGGGCTTAAACTTTGACTAGATGAGGCTAGTTATTGATTTGCAATGGGATCCACCTACCGCTCTGGACTTCCTAGGGCCCAGGCTGATGTCGGATGAGGTATGCAATTCCGACGGATTGGACTACTATATCAATTTAATCAATGGGTGTGAACTGTCTTGATTTGGTTTAGTTAGCGAGCGAGTATACGTGGTACTTCAAACTGTCTGATTATCAACGCCGTTGGCTGATGAAGGTCAAGTTGCAATGATATATTTAAATCTTTGGTAAATGTGGTCATGCGGATCTTTGAGGGCTTACCTAGTGCAATTGATTTTCCCATTTACCCTGAAGACAGCATACAAGTTTACGAGTTACAGAATCTGGCGACTGATAAATCCCACAGTTATGCCCACCACGACAACTTCAAAATAGTACTGTACAACGTCCAAATACTCAGTACAGTTGTATATTTTAGGGTAGGGTTGAGCGATAAGACGGCCGGTGCCAAGACAGAGCTTATCAGCGCTAGGAAGATCGACCTGGGGTCATGCAAGTTGTCCACGTGAGACCCCTCTCCACTGCCAGAGTCACCATCACCGCCATTTCAGGTAGTCAATGGGAGAAATGGGGCTTGCCTGCAGCAAGGCGCGACAGTGCAAATTGTTGTTAGTAACATCAATGAGCGTGTCCCACTGCATGCTGCGTAGACTTTCTCGATTCGTCGACTTTCCACTTCCGCTGGCTCGGCGTTTCGTTTCCAATCCGCCTCTGTGATTGGCCACCGCCGCCGAGCTCCAATCGTATCAACGCGGGGAATGGCAGCTTTCCAAGCTCTCCGAAAATCGATATCCGGGTTGATAAGTGACCAACACTCAATATAAATCTCCTGCCCCGCGTTCGGTCTCTTCGCTCCTCACACACCTGCAAATTTATCACAATGGCCTCCATCCTCCGTTGCAGCCCAAAGCTGCGCACCGCGGCCCGCGTGCCCGCTGCTCGCGCTCTCTCCACCACTGTTCGCCTTCGCGCGGCCGAGAAGCCTTACTTCCCCAACGAGCCCTCCGCTCCTTCGGTCTCGACTGCCATCCCCGGCCCCAAGAACAAGGCTGCTGCCGCCGAGCTTGACGAGGTCTTTGATGTCCGCAGCTTGAACATGCTCACCGACTACCAGCAATCCATTGGTAACTAGTACGGCCCTTCCCCGCAAGCCCCTCAGCGCAGCGAACATAGAGCTTGGAATATGGATCAATTGAGCTAAATAATGCGACAGTATCGCCGATCTCGATGGTAACAAGCTTCTGGATGTCTATGCCCAGATTGCCTCCATTCCCGTTGGCTACAACAACCCCCACCTCAAGCAGGTGGCCCAGTCCGATGAGATGATCACCTCGCTGATCAACCGTCCTGCTCTGGGTAACTTCCCCTCCGCCGACTGGTCCAATATTCTGCGCACCGGTATTCTCAAGGCTGCCCCCAAGGGCCTGAACCAGGTGTTCACCGCCATGGCCGGTTCCGATGCCAACGAGACTGCCTACAAGGCTGCTTTCATGTACTACCGCCAGCTCCAGCGTGGTGGTCCCGCTGTTGAGTTCACCGAGGAGGAGCTGCAGTCCACCATGAACAACCAGGGCCCCGGTTCTCCCCAGCTCTCCATCCTGTCCTTCAAGTCGGCCTTCCACGGCCGTCTCTTCGGCTCCCTCTCCACCACCCGCAGCAAGCCCATCCACAAGCTTGATATCCCTGCCTTCGACTGGCCCCAGGCTACTTTCCCCGCCCTGAAGTACCCTCTGGAGGACCACGTCCACGAGAACGCCGCCGAGGAGAAGCGCTGCCTCGAGGAGGTCGAGCGTCTTATCAAGGAGTACCACAACCCCGTCGCTGCCGTCATGGTCGAGCCCATCCAGTCCGAGGGTGGTGACAACCACGCCTCCCCCGCTTTCTTCCAGGGCCTGCGTGACATCACCAAGCGCACCAACGTCCTCTTCATTGTCGACGAGGTCCAGACAGGTGTCGGTGCCACTGGTAAGTTCTGGGCTCACGACCACTGGAACCTGTCCTCTCCTCCCGACATGGTTACCTTCTCCAAGAAAGCCCAGACTGCCGGTTACTACTTCGGCAACCCTGCCCTGCGTCCCAACAAGCCTTATCGTCAATTCAACACCTGGATGGGTGACCCCTCCCGTGCTCTGATCTTCCGCGGTATCATTGAGGAGGTTGAGCGTCTCGGCCTGGTCGAGAACACCCGCACCACCGGTGACTACCTGTACGCCGGCCTCGAGCGCCTGGCTCAGAAGTACCCCGCCCACTTCCAAAACCTGCGTGGTAAGGGCCAGGGTACTTTCATTGCCTGGGACACCCCCAAGCGTGATGAGTTCCTCGCCAAGGCCAAGTCCGTTGGTGTCAACATTGGTGGCAGCGGTGCCCAGGCTGTTCGCCTCCGCCCCATGCTGGTCTTCCAGAAGCACCACGCTGATATCCTTCTGGAGAGCATTGAGAAGATCCTCAAGCTCCTCTAAATTCGGGACCTACCCTGATACCCCCGGACTATGCCGGGACTTTTTTCCTTCAGAAAATTTATTTAATGAGCGCTTTTGTTTTTCCTTTTTGTTGGATGTGATGGAAGATTTTCCATCAGTCTTTGCTACGAGTGATGTCACCTAAAATGGGCCCTGTATATTCATAGATCTTCAATGACACTGTCAATCGAACGATTTTCACCCATGAAAATGTGACAATCGAGAAGAATTTCTAAATTCCTAGTTTTTATCTTCGGTAAACTCCTGTGTAAAAGCAAAACAACAAACCCACGTTGTGTTTGTCCTGCATATCGAATGCTAAAGAAACAGAAGAAAGCGCAATGCTACCATCCGATAACGCCCGAGCCCATAAATATTGCTGTATCATGTCCTTAACGAATGCAACCCGGCCGTAGGTAGTAGAAAAGAGGTGGGAATAGTTGGCCGAGTCGGCGTAAAGCGCGCATTGAAGATGTTGAGTGGCAGTTGAGGTGATTCCGTTTCAGGACTCTTCCTCGCCAGTGCTTCCGTCCCGCCTAAAATTATACTTGTCAGCACATCGGAACCAAAGCGAACGAGACATGTTTAGTTGAGAAAGATAGTGGGGTGCATACGGGACGTATTTGATGCCGGCGTCCTCCAAGCTCGAGAGGATGTAATCGGGGAGCTGTATAAGGCAGATCTATTAGCATGGAAGCTTCTTCAGCATTAAATTGAGATGGAGAGAAGCTTACCGATCCAGTGACCATGGTCGCATATGTTCCCGGGACGTAGTTATCCAGGCGCTGCCAGCGCGCAACCCAGCTGTTGGCGGGATCGCGCACCGCGATCAGGCCCTCAAAGACCTGCGAGGTACATTCCTGGACCGCGTCGTTGTTGCCGCGGAGCTGGAGGACGTTTTCGCAGTTCGGGCAGCCGTCGCGCATGAATTTCTGGAGAGGCCAATGGCCGAGTCAGCATTGGAACGGCATCGGGATCGGATGTATTTGCACGGAGACAGGTGCTTACATTCACCGGCTGAACGACCGAACAGACCATGCAGGCGCGCAGCGAGCGCTGCTGGTTGGAGGCGACATAGAAGGACATTTTGGGGGAGAGGATTGGGGATGACGTGAAGAGAAGAGGCGGGCTCTCAAAGCGTGGCCATCGCGGAAAGACAGGGCGGAGCCGCGGTCGACTCTTCTGGAAGCGTGCCAAGACCCGTTGCCATCGGGGAAAAAAAGAACTTACCAGGAACGAAAGGGCCCTTAACCCTGCGCTCTTCACATTCACTCAGGGAGTATTTGGACTCCGTCTCCTCTCCCCATTCACTTCCTGCTCCACTTCTGTCCGGTGCCTGACATCCACTTCTCAAATCCCCTCCCCTCCAGTGAATACACTCTCGATCGCCGCTGTCTCGTGCCCCTCTACCCTCCCCGCCGCGCTCATGGCTTCAGACAAAGAGGCGGCCAACGCACTCAAGCTGCAAGGTAACAAAGCTGTCACAAGCCACGACTGGCCCATGGCTCTCGATTTTTACAATCAAGCCATTGAGAAGTACGACCAGGAACCGTCCTTCTTTTGCAACCGAGCGCACGTATGTCCGGATCCTCGACCCACCACCCCTCGCAGCGAATCGCAATTGCAAAATCGAAGTGCTGCTGCTAACACTGCTTTTTTTCCGCTTGGCAGGCTCAAATAAAACTCGAAGCTTTTGGATTTGCCGTTGCGGATGCTACCAGTGCTTTGGAATTGGACCCGAACTACGTCAAGGTGAGTTCTCGTTGCGAGGCACCAGGGACGGTGGCCCCAGAAGAATTATTACTAAATGCGATATTCGATCAAGGCGTACTGGAGACGTGCTCTGGCCAACACCGCTACGCTGAACTACAAGGCGGCCCTGAAGGATTTTAAGGCCGTAGTCAAGCGCGAACCCAACAACCAAAATGCCAAGTTGAAGCTTGCGGAATGCGAGAAGCTCGTCCGCCGCTTGGAATTCGAGAAGGCTATTGAGGTCTCCGACCCCCCTCCGCTTTTGAGGGCTTGGATATCGATGCGATCAAGGTGGACGATGACTATGACGGTGTGCGACTCGGCGACGAGATGACGCAGGAATTCATTGATGATATGGTGGAGCGGTTCAAGAACGGCAAGAAAATCCACCGCAAATACGTTTTTCAAATCATCAAGGCTGTCAAGGACCTGGTATATAACGAGCCGACTATGGTGGAGATCGGCGTTGATGCTGGTAAGAAGCTGACTGTCTGCGGTGATACTCATGGCCAATTCTTTGATCTGCTGGAGATCTTCCGCCGCAATGGTGCCCCGTCTGATACCCACTCCTATCTGTTCAACGGTGATTTCGTTGATCGTGGCTCATGGTCCACCGAGATTGCCCTGCTCCTGTATGCCTACAAGTGGTTGCGCCCCAACGGTCTGTTCCTGAATCGCGGCAACCACGAGACAGATGACATGAACAAGGTCTATGGATTTGAGGGCGAGTGCAAGGCCAAGTACAATGAGCGAGTCTTCAAGGTCTTCTCCGAGTCCTTCTCCGCTCTGCCGCTGGCCACCCTGATTGGCGACAAATACCTGGTCCTGCACGGCGGTCTCTTCTCCGATGACAAGATCACCCTTGACGACATTCGCAAACTGAACCGCCACAACCAACGACAGCCCGGCCAGCAGGGCCTGATGATGGAGATGCTTTGGACTGATCCGCAGACTGCCCCCGGCCGCGGACCCAGCAAGCGTGGTGTCGGTTTGCAATTTGGCCCTGATATCACTAAGCAATTCTGTGAGAACAACGGCCTCGAGGCAATTATCCGTTCCCACGAGGTGCGCATGGAGGGTTATGAGGTTGAGCACGATGGCCGCTGTATCACCGTATTCTCTGCGCCGAAGTACTGCGACTCGACAGAGAACAAGGGCGCCTATATCAATATCGGTCCTGAGCTGAAGCTCGCGTACGAGGTGTTTGAGGCTGTCCCGCACCCCGATATTAAGCCCATGGTGAATCAACCGCCCCGATATAAGGGTAATTTCGTGCTAACTATTATGACAGGCCTACGCGCAGAACTCGATCCTCTCCCAGATGTGATGAAACCAGTTATTTGCAAGAGCGGGCGTTGTTTTCCAAAAGAGCTAGAGCCATTTGAATGTATTTACGAAGGAAAGAATATCATGCCCAGAGCATTTTTCATACTGCAATGGCAACCACTGCAGCAATTGAATAATTTTTGCCTTTTGCTTGGCAGTACCGAGCCAGATACATCGCCGCCAAGGCACCACGAAGAGCACTGCATTGTGACCGGGGCGGAGCAGTCTTGGACTCAGCCACCCGCTTCACATTGTCGGGTGTCTTTGCAATCTTGAGGACTTGGAATTACCGCGGGAAGCTCGAAAGCACGGCCCTGGACTGGGCTGAGAGTGCCTGTCACACTTTGGTAAGTGGTCGGTTTATGGCGGAGGAGATTAGGGTCTAGAGGAAATGCTGCATTGCCTGTACGACCCCGCGAACCGATCATCCTTGCCAAGCTGCGCAAAAAGTGGATACTAGAATGGCTGAACAAGTCCCTGAACAAAGGCTGCCGGTGTCATCTTCCCCCGTCTCACTACTGGATGACCTGTCCACCCTCCTGGAAGCTTGGAGCGTCTTGGTTCCTGAACAACCTCACAATATCCAACCGATATACCCCTAGAGCATATATCTGCCATGCATCCAGGAGATATACCCAAAACACATTCCCCTATACTCCAGGCGTCCCGCGATCCCGCATCCAGAATGGTGCCAGGCTCGTTGGGTGTACGGACAGGGTAGGCAAAATGAGCTAATGCAGTCGTGAATATCTGGCACATCCTCCCTAAAGTTCGCCCGTCTCCGGTTCATACTACCAGTTGTCTTCCTCCTTCCCTCTTATCGACGTACAACTGCCCGCTAAGGACAAATGGCCAGGAAGGCCATTGATGCCTGGCTGCTCTCCAACTGCCACAGCTAATATATGGCCGCACGAAATGCTACGCACCGGATGGATCAGAGGTGTCTGAGACCACTTACGTCCCTTGTATTGCCGTTGATAGGGTGCACTCAATGTGCTGCAAGATGAATCATACCGATCCGGACACGTGCGGCCCAAACGAATTGTGCTTTTCGACGAAGGACTTATACTGGAGGGAGTTCTGCGCAGACGAAACATGGGAAAGTCCAAACTGCCTACCAAAGACGACCTGTGTTGATGTACGTTCAAATGAGGAATCAGCTAATTTTGGAAAGACCCCGGTCCTCTTTGAACGATCCCAATAACTGTTGACACTAACATATTTGCAATGTAGGCAGGAGGGCGTTCCAATTGGACGGCCGTGATGACTCGCTGTCCAGGCGGATATCTGGCTCCTCATACTGCTGCCGCAGAACCACCGACTGTTGCGGAAACGCCGATGAGCTGATCCTCGCACCGACATTAGTGTCGATCGGTACCTCAAACGCGACGACAATCGAAGCAGTGACCAGCGAGTTCAAGAACAGTGATAGTGGGTCTTCAAAGGTTACAATCGGAGTCGGCGTTGGCGTTCCACGCGGTAAACTCGCGATTTCGGTGCTCGGCTTTGGATTCTATTGGGGAAAGAGGGAAATGTGGGCTGAGAATGAGGCATTACGGAAGCAGTATGAGGAAAAGACAAGGAAAATGCGTTCTTCGCAAATGGCGGAGCTTGATCCGGTATTGTCGAAACCGATACAAGAGGTTGATGATGGAGTTGCCATACCCGCTGAGCTGCCTGACGACGGTGAAGCGAATATTACCCGGAGTTAGTGTAGTTGACGCTCAGTATAATTGATATGGGGTGTATTTTTGTGGTATTATGATGCTAATCTTGAATAATGAAAGCTTGATATTGATAGAGGAGGGATATACATAATAGGTTGAATGTGATATGATACGTTTGCATGATGTGTCTCAAACGATTTGATCGATTGTTTTAATCGGTTTCTTTTTATGATCTACACTGTTGTCTCTAAGTTAGAATGGGGTGTTCGCATAGTCTGAGCCATCATGGCCCTCTCTTCCTGACCACTCGTGTCTCCAAATACTTCATCCAGCTCCTCCAGAGTTTTACCTCCCGTCTCGGGAACCAGAAAATATGCCCACACTCCTGCCGCAAAACACATAACGGCAAAGAATATGTATGTGCCGTACTCGATATTTTCCATCATACTCGGAACAGAAATACCCACGATGAAGTCGCATAGCCAAATGACGCAAGTGGACAATGCAACACCCTTCGATCGATCTGCGGTGGAGAAGACCTCTGAAGGAAGAGCCCATCCCAGGGGTGAGTATGAGACCCCGTAAGTCAATATGAAGCAGAAAGCCATAGCCACACATGCCCAGCCAGCAGCCATGTGAGAGGGCCAGTCTTTGGAGTATAAACCGGACAGGATGGCGATGATGGCGTATGTGACCGCAGTACCGAAACCGCCAAAGATAGCCAACGGTCTTCGGCCAACCCTTTCAATGATAAGGAAGCAGACCACAGCAGCAACCATTTGCAGGATATCCAGGACTCCCGACAGAAGAAGGGATTGTTCAGAAGATTGACCGAGGCTGTGGGATTTGTGAGAAGAGTCTTATGTCAAGACTACATGCACAGCTCAAGACAAGGCTCAAGCCAAAGCTCAGAGATCAGGAAGCTTACCTGGTGAATAATGTTGGCGCATAGTAGATAAATGCATTGATGCCAGAAAACTGCTGGAAGAACGCGACTCCGACACCAACCGCGGTTCTCCGCCAGGTTCGTTTGCGGAAAAGGTCGGACCAGAGCAAGAGTTCCATCTTGAGACCAGTGCAGCCGGGATGGCGCTTTCCCTGGGCGATCTTTTGAAAATTTACCTCGGCTAAGATGCTGTGGTATTCAGCCTGGACTCTATCATCGGTGTTTGGCAAGCCTCGTAGTCGGGTGAGACTTTGAAGACAATCGTCCGACCGATCCACCAGCGCCAGCCATCGAGGTGAGTATGGGAAGAAGTGAATGCCGGCGCCGAGTCCGGTTGCAGTTACCATCTGCAGCCCAAATGGAAGCCGAAATGCTGCTTCGCCCACCATGTGCCGAGTTCCAAAGGTAATAAAGTATGCGATGACGACGCCGGAGGTGATTGAGATGGATTCGAGAACAAGGAGAGTTCCGCGAATGTTCGGGGGAGATATCTCCGAAATGTATAGTGGTGCGCCCTGTCACCAGAGTGTCAGCGAAGGTGTTCATGTTTGAATAGGTTCGAGAGGCGGAGTCTCACCATTGCTAGTGTACCCACTCCGATACCACCGATGAACCGTCCAACAACCAACGTAGCATAGTTCGGTGCCGCGGTTTGAAGGATAGCACCGATGTCAAAGATGATCACGACGACTGTCAACGCCCACTTCCGAGAAAAACGGTCTGCCATGTACGGCATGAAGAGACAGCCAACGAAAGCCCCGAGCAGCAGCATTGCCGTCATGAACTCCTTGCCAAAGGCGGTTGCCGAAAAAGGGTACGCGGTATGGAACTGGTCCATGACATTGATGATGGAAATCACACCCATGTCATAACCCATGGAAAATCCGCCCAGCGACGCCAGGACCGCCGCGCCAGAAACATAGGGGGAACTGATGAGACCCTTGATGCCGCCACTGCCGTACGAGACAGATTGTAAGAAGCTTGGCTCGACTTGAATAGTCTCATCGTGCTCGGCACTTGGCACTCCCGTTTTGTCAGGGTCATGATGGAAGGTGTTTTTGTCAGCCATGTTGATAGCCAGGATGCGAAGAGATCACAGTCGCGGACGAACAACGAACGCAAGCAAGAGACATGGCGATCGGATTGTCCCCTTTTATAGTCCAGGTAAACCACTGTTAGGCTGCGGATTAGTGCATATCTTGTTCCTTTGCGGGGTAGTCTGGGGAAAATGGGGAAATCTCGCCGGGGAGACCCACCGACGCTATCGCCAATGGTGACGTCGCTAACAGTTTGCGAGTGTTTATCGCCGAGAATTACCTCGCCGAGCGGCAAACCGTTGTTTCATCCCCGCCGGGGGAGTTGCCCCGAGCTGAAATCACAGAGTATGCTCTGCCCAAAGCTTATCCTATCCCTTCGAATGTGATTATCAGCTTATTTTTCGTAGTGAGAATAATTAATATTCCAAATTAAAAAGGAGAAGAAGTCAAGAGGCTTATCTTGCGCAAAACCGACGATCGGCTGAGATAGCGACCACAATTCTCGCACATGGCCCCAGAAAAAGCTTCGATATGAATTCATGCATGCTTGGATGCTGTGGTGTACCGCTAATCAGATTAGCTAGGGCAATCGAAATGATCTCATGGTGCCTGTAAACGCATTGCGTGATATTGCGGTGGGTAGGATATGATAGCCCAGGTGCAGCGGATGTACGCGTACTCCCCCCCCCCCCTGAATCGACAAAAAAACGTGCTTCACGCATGGCCATTGTTGGCTGGGTCGAATGTTTGCAGATTCCAATCATTATTGGCCTGGATTTGTGTCCAAGCGGCTGTGGACAGCCGCACGACTCGTCGCTGCTGCCGGGCGCATTAATCCCTCATATCTTTCCATAAGAGGTATAGAGGTCCCAAATACCATTGTCTACCTTTAAGTTTATCGTAGTAGAATAATAATATAATACCGAGGATCTGGGAAAAGGCTACCTCAAGGTGCCATCCACATGTTAACAGTTTCTATCGCTGGTATTGGACGAATTTGCATCTCAAGGAATCTTCACCATACATGGCGAATCTTATGGAGTCAAGTCAATCAGTGCAGATGGTCATGATTACTCCCATGCCAGCACCTGTGAGGACGTTGGCCCCTGAATGTATCCATCCATGGATAGACAAAAGAAGGATATTTTATAGAGTGTCCTGGTCGCGTTTCCGAAGTGCTGAGCACCAATAGTACCTGGTCTATAAGCTGATAATAAGTTGCGACCGGCCAAGGTAGACCGGCTCTTCTTGCCACAAGCCGAGCTCCGCAAACTCAATTTCAAATCAATTTCAAAGCCAGGTTGTATGTTCGGCCGCTCGCGTTCTAGAGATCGGTCGGCGAACGAACGGTTATTGATCTCTACCGATCTTGTGATCGGTAACTGTGGCTCGCGTGATTGCTTCCGGATAGGTACTCGGACCGTGTAGCATATTTGGACGGATTCTCAAAGAGTAAAATATCCCATGATATGCGCTCAGATAGTCTAACAGTGATATATAAGATCAAAAAAGCCCGGAAGGTACTAGATAAAACCATCAAACAGCACCTACAATAGATTCACATTGCTGTTTCAACCGGTGATGGGTTCGACATTCAAGAACTTTTTTGGGTTCTCGGAAGCCAAGGAGCAGGGCACATGCCCCTTTTAAAGAATAAATTGCGCTCCGAGCCCTTCCTCCTAACTGGTATACCTCCGAAGAGATTTATCAGCTAGAGCGATGGGTGATATTTTTGAAAAAGTGGATGCTCATCACTCATGGACTGAGACTTCCTCAACCCGGAAGCTGGTTGCAGTACGACGTCACTGAATACTCCTTCGTTCTGATCCGAGGTCACGATGAGAAGATGAAGGAATTCATTGAAACTTGGGCCGACAGATTCGATGACTTAGTTGCCCCAAAACTGATATCTGAAGACTCGTTCAATTTCAAGAAACACGCAGTCCATGTTCATGTTGATACAGATGGATTTGTCTGGGTCAACTTGGATGCCGGAGAGCAGCCGGAGATTCCTGGGAGCGTGACTTTAGGGATATTGATTTATAGACCAGGTTTTTTGACATCAAATTCAAAGACTATAATTTTCTTTTCGACCACGTCTGGGAATTGAAAGAATCCTACAACTGGAAGATCCTGTCCGACAACTACAACGAGTGCTATCACTGCCTGAGAGCGCACCATGATGTACCGCCGCTAGCAGTCCTCGAGGTCGACGACGTTGATACCGTCGTTGGAATCATTCTGCATTTTTCCAATCCCAAGCAAGACACGGTCGACCGAGGCCTGAAGATCGCGATTACCTATTGTTTCATGACCGTATTGTGAGTATCAACATACCCTGCAAAAGCGAGTACACTCGAGCAAACAATCGCGTACGAAAGACCGCAATCCATTTTCATGCTGATATTAGTGCCAACATCCCCGGACAACTGCGATATGCTGTACGAGGTGTACCGGAACAAAGATTCGAGCGACGAAGATTTCGAGTTGATTAACTCAATGTACAAGCGGATCATGTCTGAGAACAAATAGAACAAATATCTCTGTGACAATGCACAGATAAACTTGAACTCGGGGCGTTCTCATCAACGAGTTGCTTCATCCACACATGGAGAAGGGCCCACTCTATTTCCAGTCCGTCATTCGTGAAGTAGCACAGGAGCACGTTCAACGTGAGAAAGAAGCACGCCATCAAATTTGGCCTGCCCGATGAATTTCGCCCCAATTGGAAACACAGGAAGAGCCACAAAACCTTGGTCAGAAAACTGGGTTCCTGCGTTTGAGCCCAGAACATGGAAAATCTCTTGCGATGGCTCCGCAGGCTAGCACCGCTATGGTCTGTTGATCTGCGTCTGTTTAGGCCTTAGTAGTAGCCTTTTCACCAGCATCCTTGACAACACAAATACGCGATGAATTTTATCTTCCGTTGAAATGTTTCCTAGTGCCTCTCAGCTTCATGAGTTCGCGTAATTGCACGCGTTAACGGCCATGTATTTCCCTGAGAGTCGCAACGCGAAAGAGTATAGTGCCATCCACCCCTTGATTGAATCATATCCAGCATGTCCCTTAATAATGCCAGACCCACGAGGAGGATTGCAATAGCAACGGCCATTATTGCACGAGAAGCTCCAAAGGCACGTTGGAATCACGAATAGAATCACGAATGTTGACTTGGACCGACGTGGGCGACTAGTGAACAAGCGTGTGGGGCTGTACCACGAGATGGGTATTTGATCTACCCCAAAACCTGGTTGACGGTGGATCGGATTCTTCACACTGGAGAACTACTGTATGTTTTGGCGCTTCATCAGGGAGAAAATCGAGTGGTGAGAGCGCGATCGCAGGATCGGAGTGGATTGTATACAACCCCTTGGCGGCAATAAGTCTGCGCCAACAACCCTGCGAGATGGTCTCCAGCGCTGTGATTTTATGCTGCAGATCGCCGATCGTACTGCTTTCGACGCGCTACTGTAAGTATATGGCGGCTGTGTGTAGGTAGACTCCACTTCAAGTTGTTTTTCACGACGATCTTAGGCGTGTCTCAGAATCACTCTGGATTTCCGGTGGGCCAATAAGCCTGACTACTATGGATATTGGATTCAACTTCTTTGGCGAGCAGTCGAATGTCTCAAGTACCAACCACGCGAGTATGAAGTGACGAATCTGACTCGGCGGCGAGGATGCGACTGATCGCAATCGACTTGTATCGGTGTTTGACCCGACTTTGTATAATCGTTCACTGGCCACTGCACGCCATCGGTGACCGCAAAAATGGCCGATCGAGTTGGGTATGACGAACATAGTCCTGCCCCTCCAATTCTACGTGGTCGACGCCTTTCCCAGGCACGCGGCCCCTGCGAACGCCTCGAACGCTGCGCTGACCGTGGATGGCCGGCAGCCGGCAGTGGAAGGATCGAATGTTAGACACGCCGCGGTCGGAACGGGGCAGCTGGCTGCTGCAACTCGTTGCAGTGGCACTTATGTCCGTTCCAATCACCTTGCGGCGTGGTCAGCGCATGCACGAAAAACTCCGGGTGGATCTGGAGAAAAGGGGCCGAGCGAAAAGGGAAGTGCGCGAAGTGCGGGAAAACTCGTCTCGGGCCGGGCAAGTACACTTCCGCCAGACACACCTTAAAACGTAGTACATGCTAGTGCTAGGAGCAGCACGCCCTCTCAATCAAGGCCGAAAACGCAGAAATTGAACGGCCTCGATGCGTTTAGTAGTGCACTTACCTTGTTCTGCCAATGGATTCTCCTGAGGCCCATCTAAAATTAACCCTCCCCTACGTGGCAGTGAAGCTCCACTTGGTGACAGCGCGGCACTGGTCTAGATCGCGATGAAACCGCCACCCCTGGGCGAATTCTGCAAGGCTTTGTTTCACCTCAGTTATTCTTCCCCGACTTTCTTTCTTCTTCACGTTCTTTTCTCCTGAATTCGTTTCTCTCATTATCGACCCTCGGTCTCGTTTTCCGTGTTTGCTTTAATTTTCGTCTCGAACACCTTCGCTTTACAAACCCACGCTCGTTGAAAACCAAACCGACTTATTCTTGACTTTAGCCTCCACTTTACTTTTTCTACTGCATTTTTTCTTTTTGTTACCTCGACATGACCGACGGACATAGTTCCCCGGCCCACGAAGCAGCCCCCGCCTCAACTGGCGATAATACCGCTGCACCTGTGCCGGCCGATGTGCGCGCCCATGGCGACCACCATACACCAAGCCACCCTCAGGGCCTGAAGGAGCAGGACTCCGCCGAGAGGCTTACCCCGCGACCGACATTCATGGAACATTTGGTTGCCTCGCGCGACGCCCAGTTCCACCTGGACCGACGCGATTCGAGCGAATTGGACCGGTACTTTGTACGTGAACTTTTCCTCACCAGTCCGACATGCTTGGTGGAAGGAGAAGAACTAACATATCTTGTTGGCTATAGCACGGACCCCGTGACATGGAAAAGCACTCGAAATGGCCCATTTTCATGCGTATGCACGGAAGTGTCACGCCGAAGATGATTCTCCCAATGATCTGGATCGCCGGTTGGTCAACAGCCATTACTTGCATCTCGAAATATCTTCACGATCGTAAGTATTTTGTCCCTCGCGTCAGCAATGCGTCGCAAAAGTCTGATTAGTGTACCTGCATGCAGTGAGTATCGACAACATCCTTCTCACCGTGCTGGGTTTCGTGGTGGGTTTGGCATTGTCGTTCCGTAGTTCAACTGCCTACGAAAGGTAATGCTTGTGAAAATTTCGTAAAGATGATACAGAAGGACTGACCTGAATTCAGATGGGCCGACGGACGCAAGTACTGGTCTCAACTGATCCAAACTTCGCGGAACCTCGCCCGTACGATCTGGATCAACACGGGCGAGCGCGAAGGTGATTTGGGCAAGGAGGATCTTTTGCGAAAGTTGTAAGTGACCCCTAGCGGCTATCATTGAATATTCGACTAACCAGCATAAAAATTGAAGGTCTGCCATGAACCTCATTCTCTCCTTCGCTGTTTCTTTGAAGCACAAGCTTCGTTTCGAACCCGATATCGCATATGAGGACTTGGCCGGTCTTGCCGGCCACTTGGATACGTTCGCCCGCGACGCTCATGACCGTAGTGTTATTACTCCTCGGAGGAAGTCTCTATGGAAGTCTGCCGGCGAGTATCTGGGCGTTTCATTCGCCGAGTCCAACCCTCGCAAACTGATCAAGCGTTCCAAGAAGCCCCTGGGACATCTGCCGCTGGAGATTCTTAACCACTTGTCTACTTATATCGATTCTTGCGTGGCAAATGGCACCTTAGTGTCCACTCTGCACCAAGGTCAAGCTAGTAAGTGGTCATCAAGATTTCTCACCGATGGAGACCGTTCTAATAAGAAGATAGTCACCCTGATGTCCACCCTCAACGAAATTCTGACCGGCACCGAACGAGTTCTCGACACCCCTCTGCCAACCGCCTACTCCATCGCCATCGCTCAAATCTCCTGGATTTACGTCCTGGTTCTTCCCTTCCAGCTGTATGGAGCTCTGAAGTGGGTTACCATCCCAGCTTCGATGGTTGCCGCGTATATCATTCTCGGTCTGGCAACCATCGGCAGCGAAATAGAGAACCCCTTCGGCCAGGATGTCAACGATCTTCCTCTTGACACCTACTGCCGACAGATCGCCATCGAGTTGGACATCATTACAGCCACCCCGCGCCCCAACGTGGATGACTTCATGACGCGTGCCGATAACTTGGTCTTATTCCCGCTCAGCCAAAGTGGCTATGATGAGTGGAAAGACCGGTCTGTGGAAGATATCCGTGGAGCTCTTCGGGCAAAGGTGGTTGCCAGCCCAGCTGCTCTTGGATCAGATGGCTCGACTGTAGTGCCGAGTATCACAACACAGACCAAGCAATCTGTGTGATTCGAGATGTGTGACCGGTGTGGCTCATGGATTCATTTGGATCAGGGCCAGGTTGACCTGAATATAGTAGAGGGGACTTGTGCAAGCGATTAAGCGGAACTAAATTGATCTTGAGAACATTTGTTCAGCAGCGAGAGAGTTACGGCGTTCGAACCAGGGCAATATACACCGAAGCCCAAAAAAATATCTGTGATCATTGTGTTTTTTTTAGTCTGATATTTTGAATCGTAGGTATTATTTTGCATCGTCGACTATTGAATGTGCCAACAAGTAAATCATTTGCGGCACCGTTCGGAGATAGACCGTATCCAAGATATTTTATGTGTCCCGGCGGCTTGAATACGACCGAGTTTCGTCGACATGTGAGGCTGCATTTGACGAGCCCCAACCGCCAGAACAAGTCTGATGTGGTTGCTCTCGGAGCCAGAATTTCAGCTCACGTTTCAGAGTCCAAGCCAAGTGGATATCGAGTCTGCGATGAGCTTTTCTTGCAAGGATTCGGAGTTGACAGGCAACGTGGGAAGGCGGGCCCATTTCGTGTAGATGCGTCGATATCGCCGGTGCTCTTCAGATATGGTTAAAAAGAGCGGCTAGAGACACACCCAAATCAAGGAATGAACAAATCTTTCCCAGAACCAGCAACCAAAGCGCCCAGGTAGTTACCCTTCGCGCAGACTCTCCATGCGACATTGGCACCACTTCCGCTGCTACTTCCGCCAATCCACGAGCTGAGCGCCGCGACAACAGCAGCGGAATCCTCGCGCGGTACGCGTATCCACGCGCAGTCATATTTTTTCGTCATGCTGGGGGGTAAGCTCTGCTTCTCTGCGCTCTTTGGTGTGGCATCGTTCCCAATTTTGAGGATATCGATTGGAATGGCGGTTCCTGTGAGTCCGAGGAATTGGGAGAGCGCGGAGGAGAGGTATGTGCGAGCCGATAAGGCATCAAGAGGCTGCAGAGATGAGGCATCTGGCTGCGGAATGCTGTGTGATTTCGCCGTGTGAGATAGAGCTTTTGAGAATGGTGGTATGGAAGCGTTGCTTACAGTTGAAGCTTGAGATAGGTCCAGGGCGGGTTGCGCGAGGTGAAATGAATGGTTGAACTGGATTCCTGAGGTTTCCGCTTCGTGCTCGAAGATGGTGCGCTCGTCGCCATTTCTTGATTCGTGATGTTGGCCATTTTCAAGTTGAGTGACGAAAATCGTTCAAACGTTCAAGTTGAAAAACTGGCGGCAGAATCTCAAGGTGTACCTACCGCCCCATTCACCGCCTCTGTTACAATGGATCACATAACTAATTCGTGCGGCGACTAACTGGTTGGTTAGTTAAGTAGAACATTGTAGCGTCACCTGATTAAAATCATCACCTTCGTTATTGGATTCTCATGTAGTCCACTAGAACCAAGGGAGGCGCTGATTGACTAGTCCACATTGTTAGGTATGTGGGTGCATAACCAGACAGCTCTCGGTGTCTCCATCTGCGGAAATGGCTAGCAGCTTATTATGGGGCTGCCTTGCCACAAAGTTCCTAATTGCGATTGCTTCTGTACGCTACAAGATAATTTAAATAATTTCCCCCAAGTAGACAGCGAAACTATACGGTACATTCGTTCTGCTTAGTGCGCGGAAGCTGTCGAGCTACATTTACTGATGCCTGCCTCATCGACGGAAGCTGGGATCTCTTCATTGACGAATAGCTTGCAACCTGTTCTGCCTGGTAGAAATGCGTAACTGATGAATACGCACCTGATATTTGACAGATGGTTTCAAACATTTTGCATAGTTTCAATGATCCACTTCTGGAAGGTGTCGCGATGTCTAGCCATGGATATCTTCATCATGGACTCCATCACTTGTTCGTCGTGCATTTGCCACAGTCTCAGAAACCACTTCCGGATAGACTATCTGTAGCATCATAACAAATTTGGCAACATAATCAACAAAGAGCTCATCTGAGCCTGCCAGTACGAGAGCCTTGTTGACGGGCAAGTCCTGAAAACAGTCCTTCGAAGCTGTTAATGGTTCTAGATATGGATCGGAGGGCACTCCGTCATGGAAGACTTTCGACAATCGATTAAGAACTGGAACAGCCAACTTCTGGCCTGTCATGTTGCAACCCACAATACGGCGGGTCTGTTTGACACAAGATTCTTTCTCGGTGCCACCGAGGCAGCCGTCTCTCCTGGTCTTAGGTACTATCTGCCACCTCTGGTCTGAAGTTGATCTCTATATACTGACATGACATTGAGTCTCGTCACCGGTATGTGGTATACTCGAGAGAGACAGCCTCTCAGACATGTTATATGGTTCGTAAGGATCTCCTTTGCAATGGCAATTGGTGGCCTGATTGCGTACGGAGTGACTCATATTCATGGAAGTCGTGGCATGGAAAGTCAGTATACCTAACGAGATTGATATAATGCGAAACTAAATCAGATTTAGTGGCTTTACATCATTTATGGCGTAATTACCATGATAGTAGGGATTGACTAGCTCATCTTCCTCCCCGACTCTCCACTCTCTGCCCATTTCTTGAAAGAGTAAAGCGCCGCGAGGCTTTGGAACGACTTAAATCAAATCAAACAGGAATTAAGAGCGAGGTAATTCAGTGGAATCAATTTTGGGAGGCACTGACTGATTACCGTATCTAAATCCTTTTGTTTTACCAGATTGCGAAGAATATCGTTAATGGAGGCTTGACTATGGTGAGTTAGTGACGGAAAGTGATCGAGTCTTCTCCACACTTCATTCAAGATGCCCTCGTCGTAGGTACTACATGAGCGGACAAGCCATTGTGAATAGTAATTAAGCGAGACGTAGATAATTGAAGTCGGATTAGTAGATGTAGAAGAAATCCAATAGGAGCAAGGGCTAGATTTTACATCCAAGCCATAGCTGCCACCACTTTGTGAGCGACGGACGAGATTATCTAAAACAGCAGTAGATCCATGAGCGCCTGGGCTACAGAATTCAGTTAGCTTTGGTCACCTTGAATATTGCCAGCTCACATATCAATAGACAGAGTTTGGGAACACAGGCGTCATAGCCTCACCGTGCCACATCGTTTGCAAATAGGCTCGTGATGCACCACAGCACTATGTTGAATACATTGGTTATCGAACTGAACCCCAGAAAAAAGTAGAATATGAGATTTCCATACCACGTCACTGATCTGCTGCCAGCCACTATGGTGGACCCATGGCTCATACCATTCTAAACAGTTTTCTTGCACGTGTATGATTCCACGGGGGTGACACTTTTACGAGATCAAAGACAGTCTGACACCCGAAGCCAAATCTGTCCATCACCCCTCGACGATATCCGTCCACGACCACATCCGCCTCGCGAATAGGCTGTCGCAAACTCTCTGCATCTGCCACATTCTTCAGATGGAGATAAGCATTCCACTTCCCCCAGTTCAATTCCGGGTGAACGGGAGACAAATCTATCACGAGGGGAGACCACGCGCATGACACTGGCTCCCATCTCAGCAAGAGAGCGGGTGATTGTGGGACCTGCGATGACTCTCGTCAAATCGATCACTTTGAGCCCGCAAGAGGTCTCTTAAGTGATGAAGAGATAGAATAGTGTTCGGGCCACCAGGAAGGCCACTGTGTAGATTTGGGATCTTTGAATAATTCATATGGCCCAACATTCGCACAGGTCGTCCAATGCTCAGTTGCGAAGAACTCATCGGCCGACCAATTTTTGAGCGTAATCTCTTACGTTTATTGTATACAATACAAAAACACCTAATACCATAGTGACTAGTTAGGGGGCTGGTTGACGATCCTTCGGGTGTGCGTCACCTACTTCTAATGTGGACAAGGGCAGTCAACCGTGCCCCTAAGCTTGAGTGTAGTGGCTATGTATTATTTGGGGGCTACCGCATTTTGCACAAGTCCGCCTCCAGTCTTTTGTGGCAAAATGGGCTGTGCAAGGCTGATTGATTAATCATTGGCCTTGAGTCTGTACTTTTAGACCCAATAGACACTCAAAATTCCATAGATAATTCTGACTCTTGCAATCACCTGCAGAATCAAACTTGGGAAAGTCATACTGGAGCTTGAAATGGACCAGTCTTCAGATACCGGAATCCCTTTAAGCTCGAAGGACCGAAGCGATCAGCCCCCACTCTACAACGACCTGGCCGACCCGGGTCGTTCCACCGCAGTCGACGTCTCGATCCCGGGCGCCCTGAAGGGGATTGGAATTTTCAAAGATTGGCTATATTCACTATCACCATCGCTCTCTCGAAATCCTCGCATCCTCCATCGCGTAATTTCGGCGCAGATCCATAATACACCGATACTACGCATCCATATCAAAGGTTTTAAGGAAGGAGATGACTCAACAGAGTTCAGCTTTGCGCTTGACTTGTCGTCGACCTTGCTGAAAAATGGCGACGAATGGCGGAAAATCCGAATTATATCTGGAGGAAGCCAAGCCGTGCATTTCAGCAAAGCAAAAGATGTCGAGGAAGGCACTGCACAGTTCGAAGATCATCATGCGTTGGTAGGGGCGGGAGCAGCCCCCGAAGTCGACTACGCAGGCGAAAGAAACCCCGACCTTATCAACTGGTGCGAACAGTTCTGTCAGGACCCTGCAAAGGTCAAGGTGCTGAATATCAAACGATTCGTGGGGGAATTTGACTTTGAGACCTTCCGCTCGGAACTGATCGCCTATATTCGTTCCACGGAATATCGTGGACATGTTGAAATCACCACATCTATTCCCCACAGTGTGATAACGATATATTCCTCCCACTGGATCAACAAAATGCGAACCAACTTTTTCATATTTTGGTTTTTCATTGTGGCACAGCTATGGATTATCACGTTGCCTCTATTGTGCCTCCTTGACCAGAAATATGAGATAGCGTCCGAATGGAGGTCATCGCAGACGTTCAAAGATTCCAATGCATCTCTGCGAAAGGTCTATGCGCTGGGTCGTGATGAAGCAAAACTAGCAGATTTCTGGACCGCAACGGTAGTCGGTGCGGTTACGGATCGATTAAATGATGGCGTCGTGTTGAATGTGGGAAGTCTGCAACGTATGCGGCGGCGCGCGCAGGAACGCAGGGAAAATATTGAATCTTTCTTACCCCGACCGAGCGCCACAGATAGCTCCACTGCCTAGAGTGCCGAGAATTAGTCGCGGGAATATGAGAAAATGTCTGAACGTGGCGCTTGGGGCAAGATATTCAAATGTGGCAAGGTGAAAATGAAGGCCCCTGGCACGGGCCTGGATGCTCAAAAATGTCGGTTAAATTCCTTGCAAACTTATCACTCGTCCCAGTATATCGGAAGGCGAACTGTCAGGTTCTCGGATGCAATGCTAGGCCATGGAATCCTGCGTCTTATTCCCTCACTAGCTACGAATATGAGAGGAACTCTCAATTGAATGCGGCTATTTCGAGCCTCTCTTGACAGTAGCTTCGACGAGTTTCCGTGTAGCTTGTTGTATGAATACTTCCTCCCCGTCGTCGCCGATGTTGAGATCTGCGATGCACAACGTTTTTTCGCGCGTCTTGGCTCCGCGGATCACCTCGACATTCGACTTGGGAACTCTGAAGATCTAAATCCAAATATTAGCTTCGGAGAAGCTCCACGTAACAAGCCTCGGACTATCACCGATCATACTGCAGCTATGATCTGCGAAACAGCGAGATTGGCTGCTCCGTCGCGGGGGACCGCCGCCACTGAGATATCCAACCGGTCTTCTCCAACAGTCGTCACCCCCACGCGATTTGAAGCGGTGTTGGGCTTCACATAGCAGGAAATCTGAAGGCTGTATTTCTTGGTCGAGGACTTTGGCTGTGCAATCAAGCGGAGAAGCGCTGGTCGGCTCATTTGGGCTCGGTGGTTGTCGGGGAGTGAAGGCCGGGGAGACCAAGTGCTTGGGGCGGAGCGGGACTCAATGCCCCGAAGTCTCGTCGGCGCGGGGTAGCTCCGGACCGATGCATCCCACGCTTGAACGATTCACAGACCGACTCGGTTGCATTAACAAGAGCCTAAATGAACTCTGCCTACGGACACATGTCCTCCGAAATATGATACCCCACATGCGCTGTGGCGCGCCCCGGACCTCCAGTTGTGTGAAGATGGAGCGGAACATTTCCTAGTATAGGAAACGCTGCCGCGCAAGCTCTGGTAACCAAACACCACTGGCCAGCTAGTGTGAGCTCCACATGAAGTGGACAGTCGGTAGAGCAATCGTGATGCGGGAGAGGACAGAAAGGAAATCCCACCCGCAAAAGGCCACTGATCTTCGTCCCAGGAACCAGACCAACTACCCCGGCCCGTAAATATCAAGGAGCATCCTCGCCGTCCTCGTGCCCGACTCGTTCTTACACCCCGCCCACATCTTGCACCCTCGACCCCTAGACCCTCTTTTCAGTTGATATCCACTTGGATTTGCAACCATCGGAATATGGCTGTCTCTCATTTATCATGGCTCGATGCCCTTGCGCAGCAGAGTGAGTGATTTTCGAGGCGAATTAGGCAGTTTTCAGCTGTTCTGGTATTATATCTGACACTGCTGCAGCTAATGTCGACATTGACTCCATGGACCCAACCTCCACTCTGAGCCTACTGCCCATCATACCCCATGATATGACAAGCAACCAAGGCTATGTTCACGAACAGATGTGCCACCCCGCCAACGAAAACCTGTTTCGGGATGTAGTGAAGGAGTACAAGGACCAGGGATGGGAGGAAATCTATGCACGAATGGTATGAGTGTGCCAGAATGACTATCCACGAACTGTATTTGGGATATTGACACGATTTCCAGGTGGCTCTCATGTGCAAGGCCAATATTGATAACATCAAAGGGCGCGTCCTTGTCCAAACGCTCCCGACCTCGGCCTACGATACAGAGAAGACCCTTGAGAGCGCCCGCGCCTATGCGCGAGAGTTCGAAAAGGTTGGAATTTCGAAGGACCAATTCTGCATCAAAATTCCGTCCACGGGCCCGGCGCTAAACGCATGTCCAATCCTGCTCACCGAGGGAATTCGTACCCTTGCTACTGCTGTCTTCAGCGTACATCAGGCAATTGCGGCGAGCCAGGCTGGTTGTCTGTATATCAGTCCTTATTACAATGGTGAATATTTCTCGCATAATCGAGTGCCAGCTTGACTAGGTAACTTACACAAAGCTTTAATCCAGACATTCAAGCACACAAAGATCCGCAATTCTGGCCCAAAACTTCGGATCCGGCGTTGTTGCACCCGTTCTCTTCACGGTTTATTCAAATTCTGGAGACGTATAAGAGACTTTACAAAGAGACCGGCAAGGAACAGCCGTTTGTAAAGCATGCTGGGTACGTTCAAATTTTGTCTAATATCAATTAAGTGCAACAGCTAATTTTGATCTAAGATTCCTTTCACCAGAAGAGGCAATGGCAGCGGGCGAGATAGGATGCCATTCCGTGACTATTCCATACCGAATATTGAAAAAACTGTCCGAACGGTCTTATGACAGCTCGCAGCAACCTGGAAAAGGTGTCCCCAAGCCAGATCATCCATATTTGGCAGCAGCACCAACTCCTGCCCGTTTGCAGACGATTGCTCAGTTGGATCCGCTGGCACCTAAGACATGGGATGGAAAATTAGCGAGCGACAAGATTGACTATCTCGCGGATGGGGGAGCCCTGTTGGACAAGTCGAATGACGCAGATCCAGAGACCAAGAGGAGACTCCACGAAGCTTTGGAATTTTTCATTGAGATTGAGACTAAGAGCCGGGCAAAAATTGAGGAGGCTATGAAGACCGTCTGATTTTTGAGTCGTACATTGGGGCTCTTAACTAGAGAAGAAAAGGAAATAAAAGGAGGATTAATTCATGACGAGAATTCTCTCGACCTATTTATGTTTCTGTATCAAAAAAGAACTCGGCGTGAGATAGCCCAGATAAATGGAAATAGAATAGCGATGTGGTTGTGTTACGCATGAACGTCCGCCATTGCAGGACCTTTAGGAATATCGTAAGAATAGATAGCATTGTGACATACCTAGTGACCGGGATGAGGTATCCTGTGGATAAATCAAGTTCACACAGCGGGGAAATAGAACAAGGAACTAGAACAAAGATTGACAGAGTAAGAGGGAAATATCCGATTCAGATTCATCAAGGGGCTTCTCTCGGATCGTTGGGTTGTATTGGATGCAAACCTTTGAGAAAACGGCTCGAAATGCTGACGTCCCACGGCAGAAGAAGCCACGCCAGAATGAGCCGAGTTCAGACAGCCTTTGAGGCCTCTTTGTCGGCAGTGACCTCCAGAATTCCTTGGATCTCAGTCAACCCTGTGCCAGCCACTCCATCATAACGGTAAAGCGAAGGAGAATTCAGGCTCTTGCGCCCCAAGATGTAACGCTTGACCCACCAAGGGAGCACTTGGGTCAGTTGGTACTTGGCATGGGTCCGAGTAGGTACGCCGAAGACATAATCCAGCTCCTCCAGTGAGCGCTGCTTAGTCTCAGGTAGGAAGAAAAATATCAGAATCAATGCGATAATGTTCAAACCTGCGTAGAACCCAAAAGCGCCTTGTGGAGTCAGGGCACGCAGCATGTAAGGAAAAGTGAGAGACAGTGCCGCAGCCCAGAAATTGTTGGTAGCGACGGCCCAGGCCATACCGACCTCGCGATGAGAGAGAGGAAAAACCTCGGCCGAGTAGGTAAAGGGGACGGGTCCTTCTCCGGGAGAATAGAAGGCATCGAAGATGTAGATGAAGAATGCGATCATTCCTAGGTGAGCATTGCTGCTCTTGGGAATCCAGAAACAGAATCCAGCAGCCAGCAGAGTCCAGCACATATTGGGGAAAGTGAACAGAAGCAAGCCGCGGCGACCAAAAGTATCAATTGTCCACACCGCGGGCCATGCAAAGATGAAGTTGATCAAGCCAAATCCCCATGAAGCAAGAAGCGCATGGATATTATTGGCACCGGCGAGACTGAAGATCGTTGAAGAGTAGAACGCAATGATGTTGACTATAACCCAGGTCAGTTAGACGTGAAAAAAAGAATCATCAATAGGGAAATAGGGACAATGAACGTACTGCCGCACATCTGTTGAGCAATCATAACAATTCCTGATGCCTGTGTCGCACGACGAAGTCGAGGAACCGTGAACAGTTCTATGAAACGGGTGAACATATTATTTGTCTTGGCGAAGCCGGACTGCTCAAGCATTTCCTTCTCCATACCAAGCTGGGCATGGATCATGTAAAGATCTCGGGCGGCTTGAAGCGGACTGTTGCGGAGACGAAGAAGAGAGGCATATGCCTTGCGGTGCTTTCCTTTGGTAATCAACCAGCGTGGAGACTCCGGGCACCAGGGGATTCCAATCAGCAAGGGCACCGCGGGAATGAATGCCGATCCAAGTTGTAGACGCCAGGAGATATCACCGGTATTTGCAACAGCCAGGTTTGCGCACGTACCCAGGAAAATCCCGAATGCTGTCCAAAGCTGCCAGGACATGACGAGGCCACCTCGAACGTTGGTGGGGGCATTTTCGGCGGAGTAGACAGGGACGGTGACTTCCTTGAGACCCATCCCAATCCCCAGGAGCACTCGGCAGGCAACGAGCTGGCCCCAGTGCTGGGTGAGGGCCGACCCAATAGGAGCAAGAAGACTAAAGACAGCTGCGATGAAGATGCACCCTTTCCGGCCGAAAAAGTGGTTAAGGGGGTCCGACAACCAACCGGCACTAGGATGAACAAAAATGTTAGCAAGAATCAAAGACCCCGGAAGGAGAATGTTCATACAAAAGGGCAATGGTGATGTAAGGAACGGCATTTATGAAGCCGACAATCCACTGGTTACGATCACACTCGGACTTGGTCGCGCAGTAGGGGCTGTTGTTGGGGATACCGAAGACGCGGTCGAAGGTCAAATTGGCACCGTTCGAGCCTGTTTAATACTAGTCAGTAGATGAAGTCACTCGAAAATTTGTGAGAGCTCTGAGCATACCAGTCTGATCCCAGCCTTGAATGGCTGCGGCGATGGAGTTGAGGACGATGGTGTAATACAGCGCCCAGGGATGCTTCCAACGGCGAGTCACTTCTTCATGAAGAATCTGGCAGTCTCCCTCAGTCAGTTCCGTGATGGTGTCGATTCCAGTCGGGTTTTGGCCAACAAGAGCGCCCTTCTGAAGGAGTTCTGTGAGATCGGTAAGTTCATGCTGGGCTGCATATGCGTTAACGTCTTCTTTCAGCTGTTGGCGACTCAAACCCTCGAGGGGATTCTGAATCCTGGGGAACAAGTAAGCTGGATGGACCAATAGAAGACGTAGGAATGAGACCTCGCTTACTCCCCCGTGAGGTTGTTTGTCATGCTAAGTGAAGAAACAATGTTAGTATTGATCTGCAGCAAAGGTGGTAAGGTCTGATAACTCACCCTCCAAGGACATCCTTGGTGACACGGGCCGCCATGGCGGCACAAAGGAGCGAGAGGGTGTATGGTCAAGTAGTAAGTGGTCGGGTTTGAGGTTGTCTTTGACTGGTTGAGTTGTAAACGCGAATATGAAGAGGGGGAAGGAGGGTGTAGGAGAGAGAAAGTAATAAGTGGGAAAGAGATGATTTAAAAGCGAAAGTGGTCATAGAAGCCAGTGTTGTTGACTGGGGCTCAAACCGGAAGGTGCCGTTTGCTGGAGCGGATCTCTCATTTTCTCACCCCTCGGCGGCCTACGGATATCAGCGCAATTTACTGCATATTACCTGAATCGAAACTAGCAATACAAGAACCCCTGCGCTCAAAATAATTTGAAGAATTGCATAACGAAAGGAATTAGCACCCTTGCATGTCATCACATGAAGCGTGAATCCAATATGGGTGGTCGAGTGGGCCAGGAGAAGCAGTCGCGATCAGGCAGTGTTGTCCTTGTTCGAATGGGTTCTCGGAGAAGAGCTCAGCACAGTGGCTAGATTTGGGGATGCAGCTGCTGCAGTCAGCATTAGAATAAGACAGGAGGAAGACTCGACAAGTGGTGCAACGGTCATCTATACAAGGAACTAAACTGCAGGAGTGTACCCCTCAGCAGGATCATCTGACAGGCTTAGCGTGGCTTAATTTATAGCCAATTTAGAGAAGCGGAGAAGTCTGCCCTAGTGAGAGACCTTGATGGGACGAAATTGAGATTTGAATTTGGATTTGGTCGCGTTGGAGGCACAGAGTTCGTCCCGATACCCGGTTCAATACGAGGATGTCAGTGCACCCATCCAATCGGGCGAAACTACGGGGAGTTCTAGACCGACCAGCCGATCATCACGGTGACAAACGAGTGAGATCCGGATAATGAATCATAGCACGAGATAGTCATTGCATACCTATGTAATACAATGGTGTGTAAATCCGAGCATTAATGCGCTGGTGCTAATGAATTGCGCAGGACCCCACACCACTCTATAGAATAGTACCCTATAACTCACTGCAATGAGAAAGATGATACCGTTGAATTCTTCCATAAAATTGAAAGATATTGGTTCATGTTTGACGTGACACAATCACGGCTTGAAAGGAATATCATTCGAGTAGGAGGATCGGATGCCTAAACCTGCTAACGCTCACAAGTCAATCACATTTGCGAAATAAGAAACAACCTATATACTTGGGTAGATAAATCGAACTTTCCAGTAGCATATGTTCTAGCCAAGAGTATCGAATATTATAATAGTCTATCGCGTCTAAGATCCTAGTAGAGAAGTATGCTATCCAAACTCGAGAAGCCAGCAGCCACACCACCTTCGTTGACCTCTTGGCCTTTGGTCCGCAGCAGCCACCCGCCTTGATCATTGTGAAGAGCCTTTCCAGTACTATCCCACAAAATAGTGCCATAGACGCCTAGCTCAGAAATGACCTTGCCCCGGAGGACCTCCCCATCGTTGCGCAAAGCAACATTTTCAGCATTGGGCGCCGGGTTGATCAGTTCCATCAACACCCAGCCCTTCCAATCCTTTTCGGGAATCGAACGCAAGAAATCTGGAATCTCAGACTTGTAGATATTATTCCCACCACCTTCCCGTTGTGGTTTGAGGACATGCTTCATGGCGGTCTCGGGGTTGAGTGCTAGTTCTCGGCCCCGGCCATCTGACGACAGGTCATATTGAGGCGCAAACGTTTCTCGCAGCCTGGCAACGACAGCAGGATCACTGCCGCTCATAAAGCTGGAGAGGTGGTCAGGCCCTGTAGGCTCGGCTAAAACTTGCTGAATCTTTTTGCAGCCGGAGAGTTGATTAAGTACTGTCGGGCACTTGATAGCAGCAGAGCGCTCCAGATGAACGCGAGCTGTCCAATCTTTACTGGACTTGTACTCATCGGGGGCATAGTATGCTCGTAGATACACCGTGGTCACCTCGAATGCTGACCCTGGGGAGTGGGGAGGGTGATAGATTAATGGCCGAGAAGAGTTCGAGCTGGGAATGAGTGTGTCATTCAAGATTCTGTTGCTCGGCAAGCGAAAGACAGGAATCTTGTGAACTTGAGTGAGGTGTTTCGAGAGTGCCAGCTGGTCGAATATGTTCCGTTCTCCATCTTGGACTACGAAAAGAACACACAACGGGAGCGCCGGTGTCGATTTGGACATGCCATAGGCTGTATGGGCCGCGGCTAGTCCACCGGAGAGAGTTTCAACGGCATTGTTCTCTGGTGGGATATTGGATTCGAAGAGATGATGTGGCGGGTAGCTAATTGGAAACCCGGGAGGGGACATCAAGAGCTCCGCATGCAACGTGCGCACCAGTGCAGATAGTCCTCCAAAAGATGAAGATATCGTGTTGAATTCCACTTGTTTTAGTGATGGTGTACTTCCAGGCGTGACATGCGCCATGTAGTCGGATCGAAAAAGACCCAAGGATAGCGGTTGGACGTAGCCTTCCTTCTTTACCTCCAGATGTGTTTTCCAAAGGTTTGCAACGAAGTCGTCCACGTCGATCAGACTGAGAGCAACGGCTATATTTAGTGGAAGGCTTTTCACCAGGGATGACAGGTAACCTTACTCTTCAATGACCCTTCCTAGCCATTCCTCGTTGCAAGTAATTGTCGCATAGAGTTGGTTATAAACAGTCTGTAGGGCCTTGGCCTCTTCAAAGCAAACAGCCGGGAATGGACTGGGGAAAAGGGTCACGGGAGCATTTGTAGCTAGAACTCGGTGAAGATCTGTGCCATCAGGAATCGCAGCTGGAGGCGGCCGCACTGCAAGACCGTTCTGGATCGCCCAGTCCTTGATTGTCGTCACTAGGTATTCTTGTTGGGCTTGGGATAAACCCGGCGGATATTCGGAAAATATTGAGTCGGTCATTATGGATTGAAGGTCTGTCCTGCTGTATGAACGCCTGAGGAAAGCAAGAGTTCAATCTGGCTCTCGACATCGAATAAATCCCACCATTCGCGGGGAGCCCACGAGTGATTTGTCAGCTTCTATGCCCCGCGCATATTCACCGCCTTCTATTTTTCAGGAAGGATCACATGTGGCGCAGAAAGGACCGCCTATTCCACCGCCTACTCAACCGCCTGCTGTAGCGGTTACCGCCAGGCAGTATTTACAAGAGCTTCAGGGATCTAGATCGTTTTGTTTGTACTTTCCTCACTTTCCTCAGCAAATCCTCCATCCTCGAATCTTCGACGCGTTCGCCTTGCAAGATATCTGCTATTCCCACTTTATTATCCCGCAAAAGCTTTGAACCTTCACGAACGAACCGGACCTAAGTCTTACATTCTGTGTGTTGGGGGGCCGGCATTGGTGAGAATGACACAGCGACGTTCAGAAGCTAGAAATATCCATTGACACGAACAGGCCCTCCCTCACGAACGAAAATGGACCCTCTCACAGACCCTGCAGATTGGGATGTTGAGGAGGTTGTGAAAGTCCTTTGCACCTCGGAGTCTCGCCCATGGGCCGAGGCCTCGAACGTTCCTTATCCTAAACTCGACGACTTCGCAAAAGCACTTCACGAGAACTACATCACCGGCGAAATTCTACTCGAGGAGCTTGACAAGGACTCTCTGAGAGACGAGCTGGGAATCAAACCCTTGGGTCATCGATCTGGTATTATGAAAGCTGTTGAGTGGTTGCGGAGCCGATCTGCGAAGTATCAAGCCAAGAATGCCCAATTCCAGCAAAGTACATTGGTAGTCTCTACAGAGGAGAGAGATTCTCCCACTCCAATGGCTATGTCGCTCGGACCCACTGCTCAGGCACCAGGCACTTATCCCCCTCAAACACCTAACACAAAAGAAACTCCGAGGAGCCCGCAAGCGAAACGCCGAATTCGACCTCAGCTAATCAGCACAAGTGGAACATGTACGGCCTTGAATGAATCTACAAGTACATCTCAGGAACAACCTTCTTCGGTAACGGAACACCAGGCATCGAGAACCGACCAGGTCCCTGCACCCAAGGGCGCTGCCGTGACAACGGAGACGGACAAAGGCACATCGAGCGCACCTATCTCCACGGCTCCCGGTATAACTGGCGTTGAACAAGCAAAATATGAAGGGATGTCAAAGCCCTTGGCTTCCACACTCGAAGGGGATTTCTACCAACAACTGCTTAAGAGGTATCCACCCGGTGGTGAAGGTTCCGACCTTCTGCCTGTCTATGGGGATTCTGGATCTGAAGGAGAGTACGATGATTCGACCCTGGAGGAGATTGAAGATGAAGAAAGGGACCGCGAGGAAGCTCGGACCCAGTCAAACGCGGGCGAACAACCAGCACTCCCCAGCCTTTCGCGGGAGGAGCGTCTGCTCCTGATATCGCAGCATGTTACCGCGGGAAATGCGCGCTGGGAGGAGACTCGTTTACCTAAGATACTGCACAAGGCTCGGCCAATGTGGCTGGAATCTGAGAGACTTGGCACTCGCGCACAAGACAAGCAGGATCTCGCCCAAAGTATCGCCTCACTCGAGACACGCATGGGCAAACTCCAGAAAGCGCTTTTAGAGGTTGACTACCACGACAGCGCTTCGTTTCTCAAAGCATGTGCAAACCTTGATCCTACCATACATAACATGTGCCTCGAGAAATGGAACCTTGCAACCTTGGAGTGCGACCAATGCCCAGATCCAGCTCAGCCGCCGCCAAAAACTCCTCGTACAAGGAAGGAGAGGCCTCGTCCCCAAGAGGATGAAAGTCTGACATCCGAGTCAGATCCGGACAGCGGAGAGGAGATCGCTTCTAACGGAATCGAAAACGATGAAGACGAAAGCATGCCTATCGAAGGCGACGATGACGTTGGAAATGCAAAGCACCAAGCGTTTCTTGCGAGACTGCCCTTCTCTTTGGAGTCGTCTTCGTCTGCTTCTCCTCGGAAGAAGCGACGGGTCCATTTCGGAGATAAATCACAAGAAGACGAAAGTGCATCTGATGCAGATTCTACTCAGCCGGAGACATCCAACCCAGCCAAGGAAGAGGATTTGGAGATTTCGACCCCGCCCTTGAATGCGGTTTCACGGGTAAGTTCGACAAAGACAGCCCATCTTGACTGTCTGCCAACTTCGAAGCTAAACCCACCCATGCAAAAGCTCAAGCTGTTAGGGACACGACCCCCATACCCCGACGAAATAGCGCCGATCTTTGGGGAGAATAAAAGCCACGACCCTGGCGATTCGACGCCCTGCCCTGTCAATGACATAAATAGGGTCCCCGAGCCCCACGATACGGTACTTCACATGGACGTTGACCCGGCATTGTTCGACATTGTCTCCCGTGCAGAACCTGCAGACCTTGCGGCATCCCAGAACCGTCTTCATCTGCTGGCCTGGACTATAACCGGACTCCAGACCCACGAACCCGGCCAGATCATGAAACACCTGGAAGATTATTTGCCAGCTCACCTCGCCGATAATGTCCATGAGGCTTTGATGGCCATGCAGCAAAACAAATGGCACCTAGAGGACAGAGATGAGGCTGAGTCAATGACAATACTCCGCCTGGGAGCGCTCTACCTTTCTTGGTATCACTGTATGTTCTTGCAGAGTCAAGGCATCAATCCGCTGCACCTTCAAGGGACAATTGATGCGCTTGAATCGAGCGAGTTCGAGTCCAGGTTTCCCGAATTTCTGGATACACTGAGAAGGTTATTCTCCGCCTATGATAACTGGCGCGTGCGGAAGCCGAAGTCCTCATTGACTACTAGTGGTATATCTCCCATCCCTTCCATCGTGTCAAATCCCAGAGACTCAAGCTCTCGCAACAGACCTGCTACCTCAATCTCTGCCAAAAAACCAAAGACGAAATTCGCACCAAGATATCTGAGTGGGATGCAGAAAGAAGCAAAGTTGAGACAAGACAGGCAAGATGCTTTGCGAAAGGACTTAATAGAACGAGGCCTGAGCAACCACGATCCTCATAAGCAAGCCGTGACCTTGAAAGATCCAGTTATCTATTTGCACAGGGATATTGGTAAGCTTGTCAAACCCCATCAGCTTGCGGGTATTCAGTTCATGTGGCGGGAGTTGATGGAGCCCGAAAGAGCGCAAGGCTGTTTGCTTGCCCATGTCATGGGTCTCGGAAAGACAATGCAAGTGTACGTGGCCCTATATTGACCAAATATAATTTTTTCGAGAAGAGAATGTTTGATGGCTAACTCATGCACAGTATTTCAGTTCTAGTCACAATTGCCGCTGCTGTCAACTCAGAAAACCCCGAGATACGGAAACAGATCCCCGAAAAGTTCCATCGCTCTCAGACTATTGTCTTATGCCCTTCTGCCATGGTCCCGAACTGGGGCGACGAATTCGCCATGTGGACTCCTCGTGATGTCTTGAGCTTTTTAGGCCCAATCAGACTGGTCGTAGCACGCAACACGTACAAAGGGGTTGATGAGCGAATGGTCAATATCAGCGCTTGGATGAAAGACGGTGGTGTTCTCGTAATGAGTTACGAGATGTTCCGCCAGTTTGTCATGAACACGTCAACCAGAACAGGATCAGCAAGGGAATGGTTGTCGGATGAAGAGCATAGAATGCTGAGAGAAGCTTTGTTGGACGGGCCGAACATCGTCGTTGCCGACGAGGCACACAAGATCAAAAACGAGAAAAGTGCTATTTCTCAGGCCGCAGCGGGGTTCAAGACCATGAGTCGCATCGCCTTGACTGGGTCACCTCTGGCAAACAACCTTTTAGAGTACTTCCAAATGGTCGACTGGGTTGCCCCAGGCTACCTGGAGAGTCTCTCGAAATTCAAGGAAAAGTTTCTGGAGCCTATTCAATCTGGGTCTTACCTCGACAGCAGTCCCCAGCAGCAGAGAGAGAGCCTTTGTGCATTGAAAATTCTCGATGGAATCCTGCAGCCGAAAGTTCTTCGAGCGGACACTTCAGTGATTGAAGGGGATCTGCCTCCCAAAACCGAATATCTCATTCAAGTGCCTCTCACAAAAATACAAGAGGAGGCCTACAACCTGTTCGTGTCTCAAGTCCAGCGCGGCGAGAGTCATATCAATAGGGCTTTGTATTCTTGGCTAGCCCTCCTGCAGCTTTGCTGCAATCATCCTTATCCGTTCCGAGAAAAGCTCAACAACCGCATCCAAGCAGCCGAAGATGCTGAATCCCATTTACCTCATGCAATGGAGGATGCTCAGCTTCCAACCACCTTGGTTTCAGATCTCGATGTGTTGTTTGACAAGATCGACCGACTTTCAGCAAAAGATCATTCCCATCGTGTCCGGGTACTCATCAAGATCATCAAGAAGTCAAAAGAGGCTGGGGATAAAGTTCTTGTTTTCACTCAAAGCATTCCGACCATGAACTACATTGAACAGGTGCTGAAAGAATATAAATGTGGATTTCAGCGTATCGATGGAGCAGTGCCAGGGATCAACCGCCAAGCCGCCACGAAAAGCTTCAACACCGACCCAAAACAGCATGTGCTCTTGATCTCCACCAAAGCTGGTGGCCTAGGTCTCAATATGTTTGGAGCCAATCGCGTGGTTATCTTTGACTTTCAATTCAATCCCGTTCATGAAGAACAAGCCGTTGGGCGAGCATACCGACTGGGCCAGACGAAACCTGTTTTTGTCTACCGATTCATCTCGGCCGGAACCTATGAGGATAGTCTGTTCAATAAGGCACAGTACAAGAGGCAGCTTGCAGTCCGCGTGGTTGATAAAAAGACCCCCGCGCCTGAGGCCCGGAAGGAAAACAGGACGCTCCTTCACCCAGTGAAAAATGTTGTACGAGGTAACTTTAATGGGATTCAAGGCACGGACCCGCTTGTACTTGACATGATCCTAGACAAGCTGATTCGGAATGGCAGCATTGTGAATGTTTCTTTCTCGCACATCCGGGATGACGAAAAGGGGAATCTCACAGAAGCTGAGAAGCGCCACGTCGCCAATCAACTCATGCTAGAGCGCCTCAAACGGGACGATCCTCAAAAATACGCCGCTGAGATGAAAAAGCGAGAAGATGCCCTCAAACAAATGTCCCAGCAACAAATGGCGCTGCTGCAGGGGACATCTGCAGTGGTCTCTCAACACCTCTCCGGAGGACCGGCCCTTCCACCAGCGTTGCAAGAATTGGGGATGTTCCGAGGGACGTCCGCATTGGTATCCCAACCTCACGCTGGAGGTCCGCCCCTTCCATTGACGCTTGCTCAAAATCCGCCTCACTCCAGCAGCCCGTCCCGTCCACCAGCGTTAGCTCGATATATGCCAAGCTCGATCCCTCTCGCTGCTAGCTCTTCGGCAACGGGTGGCGTAGTAGGGTACACTCCGAGTTCATTTTTCCTGCAGCAGACTCACGCCTCGGTGGATCTAGAGCATCAGTCAGGTCGGCAACCCGGCCCCCTTCCGCCTGTGCATACTGCGGGTGATTCGGCAAGGGCTCCAAATTCACCCATTCCAGTCATTGATTTGACTTCTTCTGGTATGTTACCCCTCACAATTTCAGTAACCCCACACTCAGTGATGCTTACCGGCCATATCAGTGTTCAACTCCCCGACATCTTTGACGATCCCGCCGCCTGCAATTGGTGAACCGGCTTCAAACTATGGTGACGAAACCAAACTCTTATCTATCAGCGATGATGAAATGCAGGAAGCCTCGCCGAACGCTTAGGTGCGAAGGTAGCAGAGCATGTTCGTTGATATTTCCCCTCGTCATCACCTTCGAGATGTTCTACTTTGTCCTTTATTGTGATTTGTCTGTTTACAATGTACGATACCCCTTGTCACATTGACTTTCAACGTAGGCCACATCAAGCTCCACGTGAGATGGCTATGTCAGGTAATGCAGATTCCTACAATGGTAATGAATCTCGCAGTCACTCTATGCAGTGGACCTAGCTAGGTGAATACATGTCAATATATTCGATTCACCAAAAATTCTACACATGCGTAATGTTTTTACTAGTCGTGGTATAGTGTGAGAATCTCACATACCTAGGTATCATGATGTTGTTGTCGATGAGTTCGATTATATATCACTATCACAGAGCATACGTCCACGGGTCTATGATAGGAACATTCAGAAAGCAGACTCCGAACCGTACAATCATATTCTCATCAATACTAAACTAGCTAGTTGAGTTATCAGCGCATGACCAGGCAGCCGAACCACCCGACTCCTGATAGCTCTTAATGATGAGCATAACAGACCCGTAGGTTCCTCCGATCATCAAAAAGGTTCCAGCCACGATGACGAAGACGCACCAGGCGACCATCAGGTACCATGTGAGCGACCTCTTGCTCCTGCTCCAGTTGTCATACAGCCACATGCCACCCATGGGCTGGAAGCACATGGGGGTACCAAGCAAAGCACCGACAAGGGAGACAAGATCACTGAACACCGGAATGGCACTGGCAATGATATATGAGATCAAGCCGACGCCAAAGGTACATCCGATCCAGACCACCCAGTGTGTCATGGTATTTGACGAAAGGTGGCGAGATCCTTGGAGGATGCGGACGAAGAGATACTTGCCCGTAATGTGGATGAAGAGCAATGTACTCGCCAGCAGGCCCGGAAGCGCAAACCCGTAGCTGACCTTCTTCACTACGGGTCCACCCGAGCCAAGAGCGGGAGACGAGACATAGGAGCCGCAGTAATAGTAAATCACCACACCGATGGCAAGGTAGAATCCCGTGACAACCGACTGGCAGATGATGAGGGATCTGTTGAAATGGCGAGGCTCGCGCATCTCCGACGCAAGGGAGAAGAATGCCGGGGTACCGGCATAAGCGAAAACGAGGGTGCAAATGGCGGAGATGGCATCGGTGAAGGAGGGGTTGTTAGCGATCTTGTAGTCTGGAACCCAGACAGTGTCCTTGGGTGCGGCGGCTGGGCGGTCTTGAATGCCCACGGCGACAGTCACGATGAGAACTAGATGTCGAGGGTTAGATTGTGGTTCTGCAACGGCGACGGAAAGCCAAGTGAAGGAAAGGGCACTTGGAAACATACTCGAAGTAAGGATGCAGAACAGGCCCAGCCAGGCAATCCATGAGATACGTCCCAGGGTCTGGATGCTACCCAGGACAAATGAAACAATGAAAGCAATTGCAACGTAGACCGCGGTACAAGTTGCGTGATCACTCACGGCATTCAGCCCGATGGAGATGCCCAGCATTCCAGAGCCAGCCACAAAAATCCACCCTATCAAAGAGGTTAGAAAGTGTGCTCCAAGTGTTGGTTCCATGCGATGACTTACAGAGACAGAATGCAGTTCCGAGAACAATCCGTCCCGGAACTCCACACAGCAAATATCCCACATCATCGATACCATACACCTCCCGATGCCGCAGTTTGAAGCTACCGACGATAAAATCGGACCATGTGGTGATTCCGGCGATGACAATCAGACAGATAACACCTGGTACGACACCGAGAGCATCGAAGGCGACGGGGATGGAGAGGACACCCAAACCGATCTGGGTTTTCATCATGAGGACCGCAGTTCCGAGCCAGCCGACCTATACGTATATAACAAACATGTTAGTTGGCTGCGCAGGTTTGGAATAAACCAGGGAAGAAAGGTCAGGTCCTCGTACATTGCGGTAGTTTGGGCCCTCGCCAGTAATTTCTCCAAAGACAGCATCATGTGCGCCCTCCACGACGTCGCCGTTCTGGGACGGGACTCGCTCGAGGGATTTGTCAGAATTCTTCTCATCATACATGGTGAGGCATAGAGTCCGAGTCAAGGTCGTACAAAGTACAGAGGAAAAGAAAATAAGAATGGAGCTGAGATTCGAAGGGCGCTGGTGTCACTTTATGTGCTTCCCACTTTATGTACTTTTCCACGGTTGACCCCAAGACGGGCTAGGCCCAAATTAGCCACCCCATCTTGGCTGAATCTTGGCCGTCAGGGGCGGCTGTTGATGGGGTACCCCTCGGAATGGGAGGCTGTGCCCAATTCAACCCAGGTACTCACCGGCGAAAACTGCACTAAGCCTAACGGGGCGGCAAGGTTGTCTTACCTAACCCTAGTCGTTATCGCGGTCCCGCCACAATCGACACAGAGGCAAAAGATAAGGCTTATCTTGGTTTTACCAGCCTAATCAGCGCGCTTGGTTCAGCGGCGGCGTTTGCATACTTTCCTCCCCGTTGCTTGATTTCTTTCTGCTTTTTTCTGCTCGCTTTCATCCTACTACTTCCCCAGTCCGTTCCCAACACTGCCAAGTGGCTGCGGGTCATCGTGCTCCCCCAGATTCCGCTGCTCCCCGCATTCGAACCGTCAATCCGTCCAACCCACTTTTTTGAGTGTGGGGAGCCTCTCACATTACGTCGGTCGCCCCCCTAAAATCCCGCAGTTGTTTGGGCAAGTTCCACCGGCCTACGACACTACCATCCCCGGCTAGCATCTTTCCGGAAGGTCGCCTCCACTTTTACGGGCTGCTACAACACATGGGCTCCTTCAGCCGCTGCACACCCGGTTGGTCCGGCTTCCTGCCTTCGATAGGCATGACCTACCACGGAGAAGCCTGCCTCTTCCGCCGTTTGCCACGGCCCGTATCATAGGACAACATAGGCCGTGTGAGAGGAATCCTGACATCTTCGCAGCCATGGCACTGGAAAGGCGTGGATGCGCGCAGTGGTCAAGGCTTCATGAAGGAAGGTGATACCATTTTAGCAACTGAGACACCGCCCCCGAGAGGCGAGGATGCCCAATGCACCTGGAGAGCACCGGCGATGCAACCGACCTGACTCCGGGTGATAGACCCGGTGGTGACCATCATTGCGTAAGCGTGCCCGTGTCCTCATCTCATCAAACCATACCAGTATCTCGGAAATCAGGACTCGTCAGAATCAGGCACCTAGTCGGCAGCTGCATGACATCGTTGATGATGCAGAATGTCAATCAGCCGTGAATCGCGTGGTACTGGTGCAACTAGTGCTCCAAAAAAGGCGCAGATCTGGGCAATTTTACCCTCACCCGGCCCGGGTCGGGCTAGGGGTTAGTTTGCACGCCTCTCGAGATCTGCCCCATGGCTGATCACGCCACAAAGCAGATGTGGTTCTGGCTGGCGAGTCGGTGTAGTCTATCAATTGGCTAATGCCCAGCGATATCTGGTTTTGTTTGCTAATCCTTTTCAGGGGCGAGAGCCGCCAACCTCTCGGCGTGCGGAGGAAGTCGACATCAGCGCCCCGTTGCATGGCTTGGTCTCTTGGGGTACTTGTATGGGCTTTTTTTTCTTTTTCTCAGGGACTGTGCCCTTCAATGCAGCCCGGGCCGGTTACTGCGTTCCCTGTTCTGGACCCGCGGAATAAACATTGGAATGGGAGCGCCACAAAAGCCTAATGCAGCAACGAGCCTGCGGTCTGGACGACCGGGGTGATTAGGTAACCTGATGTGCTCTAGAAACATTCTCGAAGAAAGTAGACTCGCGTTGAGTAACTGACAATAATCAATGATGGGTACACTCGCAAGTATCGAGCTGTCCCTTGCCCCTCTCTTCGAGAGTAAATCAGTCAAAGCGTGCGGCCCTTGCTTTGTTGACGTACAACCACGCACTTGCTTCTCCAGTCTTCAATTGCAACTCAGTATTCATTCCAAAATTCAATCGCCTGAGAATAAGATCAGTATTTCATTCAGGAGCTATTTAAAAAACTAGATGACTTAGTCAATAATCCCTCAGCATCCCTTCAACGAGTAGAAACTACATGGTATCTTCTATTTGGTAGATAAATGTACAAAGGCCGAAGTTCACTCCAAGAGGGTTTCAAGATCCGCCACTCGCTGCGTCCTATCCTCGGCCTTTCTCCTACCAGTCTCACGGAACGCAGCCTGCATGAGCGCTCGCTTGCGCTCCTGGACGTGAATCACGCGCTCCTCAATGGTATCTTCCATGACAAGCCGCCACACGGTCGTCTCCCGGTTCTGCCCGAGGCGATAAACTCGATCGATGGCCTGATCCTCGATGGCCGGTGCCCACCACGAATCACAGAGAATAACTTGATTGCCGGCAACCAGGTTGAGACCAACACTGCACACGTTCAGACTCGCAAGAAGAACAGTGCAAGAGGGGTCGTTGGAGAACATGTTGATGGAGTTGTCGCGTTTGATAGACTGCATGCTGCCATCCACCCGTGCGAATTTGATACTGCGCTGCTCAAGCTGGGGTTCGATGAGCGTCAAGAAAGAAGTCCACTGTGAGAACACGACTGTTTTCGTGTTTTCGGCTTGGCCCTTCGCTGTGAGAACCTTCATGAGCGCCTCGATCTTGGAACTTGGCTTGCTGGCATCCGCGACCGCTGTTGAAGGATCTTCGCCCAGATCGACCACGGGAAAAACCAACACCGATTCATCTTTGATTTCGGCTCGGCAGAGCGGGCATTTGTGCTGGCGAATGATTGTTTCTTTGATGCAACCACTGCAGAAGGAGTGGGCGCACGCAGTGATAACAGGCTCTTCGAGGTTATCCAAGCAGATGGCACAGATCTCTTGGCTCTCAATTGCGAGCTGAAGCAAATCCTGTAGAGCTTTGACGTTCTCCGTAGTAAGAGGCACGACCTTGTTCTCCTCGAGAGTTTTCATGAGCGTCTCAATGCGGTCCTTGCATAGCCCCCAATGATTGCAAACCTGGCGCATGCGTAGGAGTACTTCGAGGAGATTCGAATACGACCCTTGGTTATCCTTGAACTGGAGCAAGGCACCCTTGGCCTCCTGTTGGAGGGCATCGTATTTCTTCTGCTCATGGTCATGGAACTTGACGCGAAGAATACGAGATGTCATCTCCGGAAGTCGGATATCCACGAATTTCATGCTCTTGGTGCGCCGAAGACAGATCGTTGCCATGAGTGCCTCAAGTAGCAGGCGAGCCTCGGGATCGCGACTAGTCAGAGGTCGAATCAAGACACTGTTGAACACCCCGAGATCTTCTAATCCTCCGGACAGCTTCAAGAAGCGAACTTGCGAGTATAAATCCTTGAGGTTGTTGATGATGGGTGTTCCAGTCAATGTCCAACGCGAATCCGCACGCAAGCCCGACGCCGCAAGGGATGCCTTGCTTCGTGGGTTACGAATGGTGTGACCTTCGTCTAGGACCACACGGCGCCAGTGAAGGGAAAAGATGCCCTTTGCTGGTGGTTTATTAGCCTGTGGGTTGAATTCCATGTGAAGGGCGCCGTAGCTTGTGATCACAACATCGTAGTTGGCCAGGTTCTTTGCTTCTTTCTTCCCAGTTCCGTGATAAATGAAAACTTTCGGCGCTGTTTCAGGGCGGGTGTGGTCTTGGATTTGGTTCCGCCAGTTGCTCATCACACCGACAGGAGAAATGATCAAAGTAGTCTTGCTAGAGCTGGGAGTTCGAGGGGTGGGGTTGGCCAGGATCAAAGCGATGGTCTGTAGGGTTTTACCCAGTCCCATGTCGTCAGCTAGAATACCACCACTTGCCAAAGGCGGCTCTGTAGTAGTGGAAAAGTTTGTTGCGATATTGAGATAACTGGATTTGTCATGTTTCCATAGTTGCACAATGGCATCCGAGCCCGGAGCAGGGAAAACGGGCGACTCGCGGCTAATCATCCACTTCAAGCCCTGGCGTTGATATGGAAGCAACGTGGTGGCAAGAGTCTCCGGCGAGTCTGCCATTGGCATTTTCGCCAGGTCGTCTTCCTTCTGACCAAAAGTCTCCACAACGCGGCCAATTTCCCTGGGATTGAAAACTTTGCTTTGGTCCATCAAGTCTTCCAGGCTGTCCTCACTCTTGCCTGTACCTTCTGGGGCTGAAAGATTGGAAAAGGTCGGATCATCATTGGTCTGCCAACCCTGCGCCGCTTGGCCGAGAGCCAGGGCACGAGCATGCGTAGCGGCCGCCTCTTGTTGCCTTCTTTGCTCCTGTTGTTGCTTCTTCCGCTCACGTTCTGCTACATCGATCTCGTGAGCCAGAAGACCATCCACTTTCAAGCGCATCTGGAGCTCTTCGGCCTTGTCCGGATCAGCAGTCCCGTAGAGCTTCAGCATGATAGGGCAAGTAAAGCTTCCGATCGTGCCAGTGAGCACAGCTTCGATAACAATCTCATGGGGGTCCTACTATATCGGTGAGCATATGAAGTATGGGGTTGGAGATCCAGCGGAGCTGACCATGTATTTCGCAAGCTTTGCGGCTACTCCCCGGCCGATATGGCCAATTTGACACCGCATCACATTCTCGACGCAGATCTGGGAAGATTCGAATCAGCAAGTTACAAGCGCAAGGATAAATATTCGGCTACTCACGGCGTTCCTGTCGTACTTGTTCTGAGGCTCCCGTCTCAAGATGACATGTTCACCGCGGGTAGCACGCCCTCGGTAGTAACGCACTCCCACAATCGTGGTTTTAAAACTTCCTGGCAAGCTCGTTAGCACTTTATTTATCAAAGGATACATGAGAGGAGACTTAATGTACCGTAATGTACAAAGTTCGATGTTGCAGCATCATCGGCATCTTCGCTACCCTGAGCAACCTCAGTGGCCTCCGCATCCTCTTCTTCGGCACCAACTACTTGAGGGAGCTGATTCAGAGGGATGTATTCCGTCGTTTCACCGAACCTCTGACCCAGGGAAGCATTGGATGGAGTTGTGGTTTCTGCCGTTCGGCTAGTCTTAGACGCGCGATTTGCACTTTCTTCTAGTCCATCCACAGTTAGAGGTCCCGCATTGGCCTTGCGTTTCGGTCGGGCCATAATAAAAATCTCGTCCTTTGGAGAATGTAGCCTTGATTGAAAAAAGAGCGTGTGGCAGAAAGAAGTGAAAGGTGACTGACTGCGGCCGGACATGTTCCCCATGTTCTCCTGGCTCGAGCATTACGACATGCGCTAGTCCCAATATGGAATCGACGCCAGCCGCGAACACGCGCGCTATCACGTGATGTTGAACGCTTGCTGAACTCGCCTCGTCAGAAAAAGAAAAGAAAAAGCACCTGCACACATTTCGAGGGGCACCGGCCAGCTGTCCCTCAGTTCGCTCTCTTTGCCGTCGAACATCTACGGGCGCTCAATCCCCGTCGAGCAGAACCAGTGATTTTGATGATCCAACTGCATATCTTGTTAGCGCCTCCCTAGAACAATAAGGCAACCCTAACTACGGCCTCCCGCCGCCAGCGGAGCCCTCGCCAGTGTGGTATCAGTGGCCCTTCCACCAAACCACCCTACATATGGCGGACCTCCACTATGAGGAACTAGTCAGATTTCGTGAACGGCAGCTAGAATCGCTGTTGATAGAAGGCGTCTACAAGCCGATACTAGTCCATCACCTTGTTCTCCTGAATCTTCTGCCGCTGATTGGCTTGTTGATACCTCGCCACTCTGCCCGTTATGTCCGCCCATCTATCTTTGCCCTGAGCCTGGGGCTTGCATGGCAGGCTCTCAGATCTCATCGAGCCATTCTTGGCGGAAATGGTTACATGATCGGACTTATGACCGCTTGGTGGCTGGTCTCGAGTGCTGGATTACTTGTGTTTACCGACATCGAACAAGATTGCCGGAGAATCGAAAGAGGTCCTGCAACAACTGGAAAAAGGAAGGATGAGCAAGGCGCCAGATTCCACTGGCAGTCTTATCCACACAGGTTCTCGCATCGCCTTGAATGGTGCGCAGGCTTATTGTTCAATCTGCGAGGGCCTGAATGGAATTGGCGAGCTCCTCACTTGGGTCCTCTCCCTCGGTCAGTTCACCATGAACTCCATGCTGGTTTCACCTCCGACAAGTTCCAAGCAGAGGATGATGCCACATATCCAAGTTCAAAAGCACGTCTCAAACAAGCTTTTCGCACCTGCCTGATCTCCTACCTTTTGCTGGATACACTCAAGGTGGTCATGATGCGAGATCCTTATTTCCGTGGAACGGCCACGGCTGATTCACTACCACCATTTCCATTCTCCTACCTCGAGTCCATTCCCCTGGCCAATCGCTTTTATCGTGTCTTCCTCAGCGCCATGGGTGTCTATGTGGCACTCAACTTCGTCACTTCCTTCAATCCTATTGTTTTTCTCGGGTTAAGCATGGCCTTCCCCAATGCATCCAGAAGCCTGACAGCTGCGCCTCTCGATGCATCTTGGCTATATGCTGATAGCTTTGGGTTTTTCTGCGAACCTATTGCAGACCATGGGTTAGCTGGCTGTTGGGGTCGCTGGTGGCACCAGCTTTTCCGCAACGGTTTCACTGTCACTGCCAATTGGATTCTGAACTTTTTGCCCAACTCGGTGAGGAGAAAGCCAGTGGAGCGCTGTGTTCATGTTATAGTTGCGTTTTTTTTAAGCGGATTCATTCACGCATGTGGGAGTTACACCCAGCTCCCCGAGACCAAGCCTCTTTCCGGTCCGTTTCTTTTCTTTGCGATGCAAAGCGTTGCCGTAATCGGCGAATACATCTTCAAAACCATCGTTTTTCCGAAGCTACCTCTTTCCAACACTCCGAAGTGGCTTCGAAGAACGGCAAATATTGCGTTGACTTTCTCCTGGTTGCTTTTCTCCGGAGCTTGGATCGCTGATGACTTCGCGAGAGGTGGGTTGTGGCTCGTGCAGCCTATACCGGCCTCGCCGCTCGGGTTTGTTACTGGAAATGATTTCTGGGTGTGGAAGGAACCTTGGTTTCAGTCCACATCAGGTGGGTATCGGGTTATATAGACTAGACTGCTCGTATAAACGCACTTAGATTTGAGTATAAACACGTTTCAATATAAGTCCAAAGACTGAATCACATTATGGCACATTACATCACATACATTCAGCGTTGAACTTTTGTCTGGTGTTTCGGCGCTATATACTATTTTCCTGTATGCAGGACATCAAAATATGACTTCACAATGTTGTATCATATACAATTCTCGAAAATATGTATTCAAAGACGCTATCCAGGATTATAATGGAGCTGAATAATGTAGTGTGGCGGACGACTCTCCCTAAGGCCATGTCACAGGGAGGTTGAATATATATAATCGCCTACCCTTCCATTGTGATATCGTCATCGTCTTCATCCTCTGTATCAGGATCCATGTTCAAGGTGGGCAGCTCATCGTCGCTATCGTCAACAGAAAGTTGTGCGGTAGGTTGCGATGAAGTCGAAACAGTTGAAACTTGAGTTTCGAACTGCGGCTGCTTGGGTGCACTCGATGCCTCATAATGCACAGGCAGGGTTGAGGAGCTAGTCATCTGAGTGACAGTGACGGGTGGCTGGGAAGCAGTCGCAGAGGCACTATCTTCAAATCGTGCCTTCTTGGTTTGAGTTGGCTTTTGTTCAGGTATCGAGGCGAATCCTGATGACTGAAGGGTAGACTCCTCGGCGTAGGTCCGTTTGTGAACAGATGGCGCGGCTGGCGTAGGTTCGGGCTGTTGAGGCTCGGCTTCAGGGGCCTTCAAGAAACCTGCGGTTGCCGGTACTGTATTATACGCTTCTTCAGCAATTTCTTCGGCCTCATCAGCCTCTCCCTCCTCATTTGCGGCATACGTGTCAAGCTCCGGAACAGTCATGAGAACTGGCATCCTAGGACGGATCAGAGCTTCAATTTCCATTTGATCGGAGTAGCTCCGGGCCAAGAAGGGAACGATGCTAGCACCGGCCCCACGACCCTTAAACGCTGGAATCGGGTTGAGGACACTGGCAAGCATCGCATCCTTGTCGGCAGTCAGGATGATGGCACGGTCAATCTCAGCCCGGACTGAGGCCGTGAGAAGCTCAGAGGGAACAGACGAGAGCGCAGCACGAAGGAGCCCGGAAGCTGCTCCTCCGGGATAGTTCGAGCTTTCAGGAGACTGCCGGTTGTTCTGGAGGTTGGGGTTCAGAAATGAGTCTGCATTGGTTGTGCCAGGGCCGGCCTTCGATTTCGATTTGGAATCCGCTTGAGGCTTGAATTGCGAGACGGAGTCTCCAGACAAAGGTAGGATATCATGGCAGCAAGAGCGAAGGACATTGGAGATGGAAGCCATGGTCTGCTTCGTCATTGCCGGCCCGTTCAATGACACGAGGGGCTGAAGTAGTCCATAAGTGGCCAAGCGAACATCTTTACTGAATTTTTCGTTTCGGAAAACCCAGGTGGCTTGATCCAAGATGGATTGGGTGATGGACGTAGTGCTGTTTTCAAGCACGCCGACAACTTGCGCAAGCAACTCCATCACAGCAATGTGGATCCGAGGCAATTCCGTCCAGAGCTGCTCTCGCTCCTCCCGTCCAATCTGAGGGTTAGCCCGTGCCCCGGAGGCTTCCCCATTTGCCGGAACGACCACCGAGGTAAGCCGCGAGGTCAGATCGAGGATTGATCCTAAGGGAATGGCGATGCCGGAGGCAGATGGCATGGAGATGAAGCCAGCGAGGATCCTCAGAAGTGAGAGGATCCTATCAGTTCCGTTATGGATACCTTCCCACCTGGGCAGACCCAGATGGTCCGCGCTTCCATCGCCCACTTCTTTGGTGTAACTGATTCTTGTCGGAATTAGGGACGCATCAACAGATTCCCACTGTTCCACCACAGCGCGGAACACATGATCAACCGCCCGATGAAGAGACAGTATAGTTGAGCGGCAATCATCGGACCAGCCAGAGCCAGATTTGTCTTTGGGCGCGCATTTGTACAAAGATGCAAACAACTGCTCCGCGACATCAACCACCGGCTCCGGGTAGAACATGGGCGGAGCAACACCAAGAATCTCTGTGAGCAACGAACGAAGCTGCGAACCAAAGGGACGGAAGATTGTAGGGTGGCGAGGAATCAATTCCAAAATCGCATGAAGTACAATCTCCATGAACGGCGAATTCGGTTTGGGTTTGCGGCTGGAGCCTGAGGGCAGCTTGGCGAGGGTTGAAACAAGGTTCAAGGCAGCAGTGACAAACCCAGGCAGGTGCGGAGTTGTGATTTCACGGACAAGAGTCGGATACTGGTAGGTGAGGTGGAAAATGCGAGTCAAGGTAATAATACACATCTTTCTCGTGGAGATAGGATCCGGCTTCTATCAACACCGATCAAAGTTAGTCAACTGAGCAGATTGAATCTCAAACTGCTTATAGGACAATTCATACCGCCAGGATACCAATCAAGCTGCGAACAATGGGCTCGTATCCCCGCAAAATCTCCCATTGGCCTGCCTCGACAGTTGCCTTCACCAAGACGACGGCCGTCCATCGTCCTTCGACGCTGCGATCCTGCAACAGACTAGCCAGGCGAGTCTTCAACTTGTGGATCTGAACAGCATTGTCCGAGTCTGTTTTGCCCGGTTTCTGATTCTGCGGTGCCGACAGAAGCTCGGCGCAATCATTCAACGAGGTTGCAAGAAACGAAGCTATCGAAGGCAATTGCTCAACGGGCGTAGTGGTCAGGCGGTGTGTGACCGCACGCAATGTTGTGGACGCCATTGCAACCGGTGCAAAGCTTCCAAACGGTTCTCACAGGCTTTGCAAGACACGAAAGCAGGACCGTCGGCGAGGAAGATCGTTGTAGAAGAGGGAAGGTTCTTATCGGTAATTTTTTTCGGGCGGAACCAACCGTCCAAAACCAAAAGCTTGGGCCACATGAAGCCGAGGCCGTAAATTACGGTTACGGCGTTACCAGCACTCCACACCCCTGGGCGATCATTCTTGGGCCTGATGATGCCGCGCTGGACTGCGCATGGCCTTCTGTCCTTCTACACCTCCCTCCGCGCATTCTTAGCACTCCTCCTGAACCATGGCGGTAAGTTGGTGAACTCTCAATGTCGTCTCAGCGACTCTTTTCTTCGTCTCTCTCCGAGCTATACTGACACGTGCGAGTAGGGAGGTAATGCCGAGAAGGGACAACGCTACATCGCGTCCTTGGACCAGGCGCGGGCCCAGGGTAAATGGGACGAAGTGCCTGAATTGATTCGCAAGGTCACCAAACATGCGCCTCAGCGAACCTGTATGTTTGCGATTGATTCGTTATCCCACACGCACCGGCGGAAGCTAACAAGGGTGATCTCTCCTCCAGGTGTCATCCAAACCGCAACAGCGGAGACTCGAGTGGTTGCATTTCTACAGCAAAGGCCGGCCACCGATTCTACTACGACGCCTCATCTTCCCGAATTGATTCCGGCCTTGCTGACGACGATCGAGAACAACGATGGAACCTTGCAGGAGATCCTCCAGGCACAGGTCTGCCTTGGATGGATCCATTGGACCCTCAACGAGCCAGGACTGGCAGCTGCGCGCCTTCCAAAGGACTTCACTGCGACGGTCGATACCTTGACAGCCGATGGGCAGACTCTGTCCCCATGGACCGAGGTCTGCCTGGTCAAAGGATGCTATCTGAAGGGTATGCTGTGTTTATAATCTGGTCATATTGAAAGACCGACTCGCTGACCACAGTTATAGGTTCCGCCCAGTCAGCAGTAGCTCCTGTTGAGGAGATTCTGGAGACGTTCGCCTCCTTAGCTCTGTGGCTCGAAAAAGGACAGCTTGCTACGTCCAACCAGCAGTTCCTAAGCTGGTCCGAAACTATGATGGGAAGAGGTGCCTTGATTGCGACCGAAGCAGCCACAAACAACACCCCATACTCCGATCCCAGACATGTGGAGATTGCGCTCCGACTATTTCGACTGTGGGCTGCTCTTCCCGCCGTCAAACAGGGAAATGCCCCCAACAAGGCCGCCTTCGCAGACAACTCAGGAGCACTCTCGCGCCCTGTGATCTGGAAAGCCTACTATGGTTTTCTGACGACTGTCCTTCAGGACGACCTGATCTACACGCCTCCCATCGAAGCCATTCCCGAGCGCCCCCAGCTTGCTAGTGAACTGCGCCGCATTGAATCGATTTGTGAGAACAACCTCCTCCGGGAGGTCAAATTCCCCACCGCCAGTTCCAACAATTCCCAAGTCGAGGAGTGGGTGGAACAGGTAATCAGCAACTGGGAAGTGCTTTGTGGACCCCACTGGCAGGATCAGGACCTCGGCGAAGGGGGGTCAGAATGCCGTGGGCAGGAATGTTTTGGATGTAAGCAGTAATGATTGACATTCCTCATCCAACCACTGACACTCTATCTAGATCCTATACAGGGCAGCAACCAAGACCTACCACTCCCATTTGATTCTAAGACGACTGTTCCATGTTCACTCGGCGTTGGCCGACTTTGATCTCGCAATCCAGGCTCTGGAGTCTTACATCGAGATCGTCACCGCTGCCAAGGAAAGAGCAGAGAAGGCGGCCGAGTATGGCGAATTGGAAAAGGATGAGATCCTCTTGCAGACTCTTTCCGAGGGTGTCACTCTTCTGACCTGCCTCGGTTCCTTCGAAGAGGCCGAGAAGGCCAAGAATTTGACGGAACTCATCAGAGAATACATCGAGAAGCACGAGACGAACCGAGCGAATGGCCAAGCTAATGGCAAGTTGCTGCTGTCTCAGGGACCCAGTACCCCCGACTTTGCGGACATCCCGTCATCCGTGCTTGCCATGGCTTATCGATCTGTTGGTATTGGACTTGCCAATTGGGCAAATTATACTGCACAGAATGAATCTCGGGACTTGATTCGGGGAGAAGCGATCGATTATTTGGAGAAGAGCGTGGCTCCGGAGCTGGGAAATCAATTGAGCTATGCCTCTCTCTACACGCTGTCTTTGGTGCTTGCTGAAAACAGAGACCTCGATACTGCAATTAGCTATGTCAAGTCGGCCCTTACGTCAAACGACTCACCTAGCACCGAGGATCTTGCCCAAGAACGCGATCTTGTGCCGCTTTGGCATCTGCTTGCACTGCTACTCAGTGCAAAGCAAGAATTCGATATCGCTGAGCGTTCGTGCGAAGCAGCTTTTGAGCAATTTCCATCGGAGATCTTCCCAAAGAGCAGCCGCGAGCGACGTTCTTCGAGACATTCACACTGCAAGGACCATGGGTCTAATGGCCCTAAGCGATCGCTTCTCAGTCGATTGTCGGGCCGCGAAAAGGAACGCATTCTTCAAACTCGCATCACGCAGCTTGCCTTCGTTGAGCTCCTGGAGGGCCCCGAAGCTGCTGTCAACCAAACTGAACAGTTATTGAGTCTTTTCAGCTCTTTGTTTAGTGACCTGAATCTTGATAACGGGGGCACGAAAGCGAAACCGGACAACCTTGTGCCTCCAAAGAGTTCTGCAGGTACAACCAAGAGCTTCAGAAGCAGTATCTTCAGTCGAAACAGATCATCCCAGCTGCCGGACCGTCGAGCTGATCAGACAGCTGGAGCTCCCGCGGTGCCACCAATCCCCAATGGCCACAGCACTGGGAACGATGCGCCTGCCATCCATATCACCGATGAAGACCATGAGAGCCAACAAGAGCAACAATCTTCTCTTGTTCGATCGGACTCGAAGAGGCTAAGAAAGCGCAGTAGCAGTTTCCACAGCAGACAGGAGAAGCCCAGAGAGCAGGTGCATCCGCCGCTGCCAAGCGGAATGGAATCTCCGGACATGGTTGGCATTGCGGTTTCTGGAAACGCATCGCCTGTCTCCCCGGCGCCTTCACCGAGTGGCAAGCAGCCTCTACAGCCTATCGCGCATAACATTCATCATAAGCAGCAGCCGGCTCCGGCTGGCCATGAGCGCCAACCACCTGTTCAAGATACTCGTCTTCCAAATTCTCGTCGATTCGACTCCCCCACCAACGCTATCACCAAATTTTCCACCCTTCAGTCCAACAAGCATGCTCTCGGCTTGCTTGTTAAGATCTGGCTCATAATTGCCGGATTGTACCGTCGGGCCTCATTATTTGATGATGCTCGTGAGGCATGCGAGGAAGCTGGCAAGCAAGCTGCTCGAGTCGAAATCGTTGCCTCATCTCACGAATCTTCAGCGTGCTCTTTCAGCAAGCGTGGTTGGGGTAATGCCAAGAGCTCGGAGGAGCTTTGGGCTGACGTCTACGCTGAGCAAGGCCTTCTATACCAGGCTCAATCGAAGCCTCACCAGGCTATTAAGCAATTCGAAGATGCTCTTTTGCGATTCCCCGACCACCCCACAGCGACTATCGCACTCGCAAACCTTCTCCTGGACGTGTGGGACCAGACGCTTCCCCTTGAGCCCACGAACGCCGATATCGACCTTGACGCTTCGCGTATTTCGCTACTTTCTGAGCTGCCCAAATTGAAATCCGCCAAGGCCGTGTCGACCGATGAATTGAAACTCACCAATGACGACAAGCGCTCGAAATCTGAGGCCGCTGTCTCTGCTCACGATGTTGAGCCTAAGCACCTCCATCGTCTTGCGGCTCGTGATCGCGCCTATGGTCTCCTATCTGCGCTGACCAAATTGGGCAGCTCATGGGATAACTCTGATGCATGGTTCGCACTGTCGCGAGCCTACGAGGCTGGCGAGCAAACCGAGAAACTCAAGGAGGTTCTATGGTGGTGTATTGAACTTGAAGACCGCCGACCTATTCGTCACTGGTCGAATATCGGATCGGGTCTTTATGTTCTCTGAAAAGGGTTAAGGTTTTGAAAATGCGCGTTTGTTTTTATAATATATTCTTGTATCTACTTGATCTTCCCCCTGCTGGTTTCTGGATTTCCCCTTTCATCACCTTCAACAATTGAGATACCATGTCGATAGCACCGGATTAGGACCTAATAGTATGGCCAAACGGACATGGTTGCCAGCGAACTTCAAAAATGCAAACAATTTCCAAAAAGACTGGTATTCAGTGTGACCACAACTCGTCTTTGTATTTTTAGGCATCTATCAGTTCTTCACAATCGGACTGGGCTTTTAACTGTCCGAGTATATTACCCTAGGGTAGAAGAACAGACTTTCTGCTCAGCATAAAAACTTGAACCATGTGAAAGCCCATTTATTCGCCTCGACTCGCGAGGCATCAGTACACTATACTGAGTAGGTGAGCATGCAGATGATTATTCAGGTGACTGGGTAGATGAACAGGTAGATGATTAGATGGATGACCGGGTAAGTAATCAGCTACAAAGTAGGTAGCTAGGTAAGATGTCGCATCCAAAAGGGCAAGACCACAGTGAAGATGGCATCTGATGGCATGTGGTACCGTGGTTGACCAAGTTTCTAGTTGAATATCAGAGAACGTCATGGTATGTGGTAGAAGTAACCTCAGGAGATTTTCAGAATTGTCTCTTGCAAAACCAACTAGTAGTAGCAAACGTTATGTACATCCCTTGGTATATAGCCCTTATGCCGAGCTCCAAAGGTTTTAAAGAAGAAAACGGATTCTAATCAGATTTCCAAATTTGTATTCACCTCCTCAAACGTCCCATTTGGTCGATTGATTTACCGCGGGGCAGCGACAGGAGTCCAAGCGGAGTACTTGGGGCGGGTGCTATAAGCGAGGTTAGTCTCCAAAAAAACATGACTCCCAGGCTTTACGTAGGTTGAACGTACGTAGAGTAGGTCTTGAAAGCAGCGCGGCTGAGAGTGAGGTTGGGACGGTGCTCGGGGATCTCCCAGGTGCGGTGGCCCGACTGGAGGATCTTGTCGGCGGTTGGGGGAGCGTCCACCATGTAAGAGATCCAGGCGTGCCTAAAGTCCTAGTCAGTTCTGATCATGGCCTCTCTCCCTGGGCACGGAGATTCGTTCGAGCGGAGCTTACCAGCCAGGCTCAATCTGGCAGGGCATGTATTCATGCTCCTTGTAGTCAACCCATCGTGTTCGGACTATATGCAGTCAACCATTCAGTATTTCCTGCGACTGTCGATTGTATGTGGTTGAATGTAGTTCTTACGGGGCAGCTCCTCGGTCATGTTCTCGTAGTACTTGTTGCCGAAACGGTCGGTTCCGATCAGAGTACCGGCCTTGGTATCACCTATGAGATTGCGCGAATTAGTAAAGCACCACTCCCAAGGCAAATCCCACAATGGAGCAACATACCGATGTACTGTGAAAATCAAACAGTTCGTCTGGTCAGTCTCTTGTCCGTGGTATCCTGCTTGTCTCCCAGGGCTCGCGGCGTCAATCATACCAGCATCTGATGGAAATAATCCTGTGGCAGCCTGTTAGCATTGGGTTTTGGCGCAGAAAAGATAGCGGACGACAAACCTTCACGCCGACCCGGCGGAGGTTGCGCAGAGTACGCGTAATAGTCGACATCGTGGGGGGTGCAACGGGAGAAGAAGTGGTTCAACGTTGCCCGGCAGCGATGGAAGGAAGTGAGGAACGAAGTCGCTGTGTTTGTCATGTTTGCATCCACCTTCCTGATTCAGAAACCTCCAGCTCTGCGGACTTGGCGGACTTTCTGGACTTTCGGAGGAAACCTGGCAATGTTCAGTCGTATTGGAAGCCAGGCGCTTCGCTGCGCAGCTCGTCGCCCTGCTGCCCGCCGGAGGCTCTGCTATCGCAACTTTTCGGCGCATACCGGCCCAAATGCTGCCCCTGCTTCTGCACCGTCACCGCTCGGCAGCATCACTGTCGAGCTCGATCGCATCGCGCCACGATTCGAGATTCCAGCGTCCCAGGTCACCATTCTTGACTCTCCGTCGAATTTCTATTCTACTTTGAAGGTGCGATATTTGCTCTGAAACGTGTTAATGAGTGTGGCGTTGCTAATGAACAGTTTCCCTTCGCAGTCCAAAATCCTTAATGCCCGCCGCCGCGTTTACCTATCGACGCTATATATTGGCAAAACGGAGTTTGATCTCATCGAGACCTTGTCGCAGGCGCTACGTGACAATCCAGATCTCAAGGTTTCGGTCCTCACTGATGCGTTGCGCGGCACACGCGAAACCCCGAACCCGTCATCCGCATCGTTACTGTCCTCCTTGGTGGAAAAGTATGGACCAGAACGAGTTGAGATTCGCATGTTCCACACTCCTAATCTGACGGGCTTGCGGAAGAAGTGGATTCCTCGCCGGATAAATGAGGGTTGGGGTCTGCAGCACATGAAGCTGTACGGCATCGACGATGAGATCATCCTTTCTGGGTATATATGCACGCAGCCCTCGTCGGATCCCTCTTATGCTGATAATATACTCCCAGGGCAAACCTCTCTTCGGACTATTTCACCAATCGCCTGGACCGCTACCACGTATTCAGCTCTAAGGAGATTACTGAATATTATGCTCGCATCCACCATGCGGTCTGCAGCCTCAGCTTTCAGGTCCTGCCAGACCCTCACAACAATACAGGATATCTCTTGGACTGGCCCAATTCCAATGGTGCACCGTCACCACTTGATAGCCCCCAGGACTTCATTGGCTACGCCTCAACCGTCTTGAATCCGCTTATCCAGGCTTCCGACAACAAGCCTGCTGTTCCATCCTCATCAAGCCAAACCTATGTGTACCCCGTGGCCCAGTTCACTCCTCTCTTAAAGCCAGACACCTCTACAGAGTTCCCCGCCGTCACCAGTATCTTGCGTCTCTTGTCTCAATCATCAGCGTTCGCCGGGGCTCGCTGGCTCTTCACGGCTGGATATTTCAACATCCACCCTGTCCTCTCCTCGCTCTTGATATCCAGCACTTCAGCCGTCTCCAAGTCCTCATCGACCACCCAGGGCACGGTCTTGACAGCTTCCCCCTGGGCCAATGGATTTTACGGGTCTTCTGGGATTTCAGGCATGCTCCCTGCCGCTTACACGCACCTCTCTGCGCGCTTCCTCGACCGTGTTGCCGAGGCCCAAGCCACAAATTCCATCCAACTCAAGGAATGGCAACGCGGTATCGTCGGCACTCCTGGGGGCTGGACCTACCACGCCAAGGGACTTTGGATTACCCTGCCCCACGAAGAGAACCCTAGCTTGACCTTTGTCGGTAGCAGCAATTACACAAAGCGAAGCTACAGCCTTGACATTGAAGTCGGAGCGCTAGTCGTGACGAACGACCAAAATTTGAAGCAAAAGCTGGGTGAGGAGACCAAGTGGCTGCAAGAAGACTCCAAGGCTATATCTAGGGAAGACCTGATGCGCACAGAGCGACGAGTCGGATGGAATGTGCGACTGGCGATGTGGATTGTCGAGAAGGTCGGCGGCGCTCTCTAATTTCCCCTGAGCCATTTGCATTCAGTGTGTATAAACTATATTTCCCCATTGGGGGACCTCCCGCTTGTACAATAGATCTGATCATCGTGGCTGTCCCGCGGGATCACGCCATCAGGAACATATCACTCAAATTAGTCATAATTTATCTAGCGTTCTACTCTTTCTTACATACCCTGAGGAAAAAACCTCAATTCAACAACATTCGTCCCATCTGGCGATTTATCATGTCCTTATCCGCCTCGACTTTACCTTCAATCATCGCTTCCAAAAAATGGTTCGGCTTCGACCTCGATGACACCCTCCATGAATTTCGAAAAGCCTCCGCACAGGCTTCGCAAAGTGTATTCGAATCAATACATGCACAGTACGGAATTGGCATCGATTCCTTGAAATCAAGCTATAGCCAAGTACTGCAAACAACAACCGCAGGTGCCTTTACAGATGGACGTACGTCGACAGACTATCGACGCGAAAGATTTACGCGTCTTCTCCAAACTCATGGAATCAATGACGCGAACCAAGACACTGATGTCGAATCCCTCTTGACTATTTACAAGTCGTCCTTGAAATCTAGCCTGGCCCTCAAAGCGGGTGCCCTTTCTTTTCTTCGAGCTATACAAGACCGTGGCAAGAAGATTATCGTTGTAACCGAGGGCCCTGCTGATGCGCAAGAGTGGACTATTCGAGAACTGGGCTTAGAGCCTCTTGTGGATGTGGCTGTTACCACCAACGAGATTGGCAAGTCGAAAGTCGAAGGTCTTTTTAGTATTGTGCTTTACAAGTATGATATTAACCGCGAAGAGATTATTTACTTCGGTGATAATGCGATTCGTGATATAAAGGCATCTCAAGAAGAGGGTATTGTCGCTGTGCTCTATGATGAGAAGCAGAATAATCAGCTTTCTGACAAGTTTTCATTACGAATCAATTCATGGAAGGCCATGCAGGACATACTCGAGCTAGAAAGTTAGAAATGTCCATCAATTCAACTTTTAATCTAGGAGGTACATCAACCGAAACTACCTAGGGTATGCATAAAGAATATCTTCAATGGAAGAAATAGTAGTAACCAAACGCCGTTTCATGATAGGGGAATCCATTCAATGTCGTGTCATAGCAGTGCCGTGTGTCCATTTATGCGCGTCCCGGAACTTTGCTGGAAGGGTTGAAACGAGCAGGGCCTAGACCAGAGCGAACCTCGTCAAGCATGCGAATGCCAATGGCCTCATTTCCGTTCTTGCCGCGCTTGTTTTTAGTTCCCTTGCGCTTGGCCTGGGCGCTAGTATTGTCATCCCAGTTAGCCAGGAAGTCATCCATGACATTGTGGAAGTCACTGCGCGAGACATTGGCGCCGCCGGCATCAACCAGACTGGGCGCTTGGGAGGAGGTAGTCGACATGCCAGTCATGCCAGTGGCACCGGTCATACCACTGAGCACCGACATGCTGTCATCATATTCATCTTCCTCGTCAAGGGAGTAGAGGGCCTCAACCTTGTCGAACCGGTCATCGAGAAGACGGTGTCCCTCGGTACGAGCCAGAGCAGACGATGTCATCGAATAAGCAGAAGGGTTGGTCATGGCACCCTTGCGCTTCTTGCGCCGGATCGGGGTTCCTCCGGCTGTGAAAGCCGTTGATGCGGCCGTCTGAGAGGGGGCGATTGTGGGAGCAGCTGGGGCAGCAGTCTTGCCGGCTTTGGCGTCCTTCTTGAACTTGGCAAATTCGTGCATCCAGCCTTGATCTTGCGGTTGCAGATCTGGGGCTGGGCGATCGTGTTCAGGGAGTTCACCGGGCTCAAGGTCCCGAGCATCATCCGTGTCGGCATCATGCTCGACATTGGTGTTGTCCATCTGCACTGGCGCCTTCTCGGTCGCATCTGATTCCCATCCTTCGTCTTCTTCATCGTGATCGAACATAGTATCCTCCCAGTCTCCCTGCTCAATTTCCTCTCCGCCCTTCGTCAACTCGCCAAAAACGTCATCGTCGTCGTCGTCAACGAAGGCCTCGTCCTCCAGAGCCTCCAGCGCTTCTCGTAGACGTGGATCCATATCAGGCTGGAAACCAGCGATCGCGTCGGGAACATTCTGTTGATCCTGGTATGTCGGCTTCCGCGTGTACGCTGTCGTAGTCGAGCGCATGTCTCCATACTCGGATCCATTGACACTGGGCTCGTCGTTCAACGAGGCCTGGGCCAAAGCATCCTCCAACTTCATTCCCTTGACCTTGGCCTTTCCTTTCTCGGGCTTGGCCTCCACGAAGTAGGAGTCACCGCTACCGGTACCAAGCTCGCGCAAGTGCTGCATGTAGTCATAGCGGGAGTCATCGTAGTAGATACCATAATTGGCAGCCTCTCCCTCGTTGCGGCGGATTGCCTCTTGGTTGAATTCGTTCTGAAGTTCGGCGAGGTTGCGGGAGGGCTTCTGCGAAGTCGAAGAGGCCGATGAGCGAGCAGGCGCAGGGCCGCCGACATGGTGAAGGACTCGGTCGTCCGCTTCGGGGTCGTGAATTAACGGATCATTCTGGGAACGGTGAAAGAGCTGGAAGGTGCTCGCCTGCTTCTTGTCGCTTCGAAAAAGTTAGTATAGTATCTTTTCGAAAGAAACTCGGAGAGCACTTACATCCACTGGCGGGGCGGCATGATTGCTGGCAGTGTTGGACTCAAAGTTGGACCATCGCGAAAAAAAGATCAAAGTGGGATAGGATAGATAGGGTCACGTGGCGCCGAGCCCCTCGGGTCCTCAGGGGTGGCGGCCTGACGGAATGAACAGGAACCACAAATTAAGCGAGTGTAATTGGTATCAAAATATGCAGAAAACATTGAATACTAGATAGAAAAATTTCTTAACATAATATCCAGAAAACGTTTTTCAAGTAGGCCATTTTTGATTCGAATCTAGGAAATTTTTCGCTGAGTAATCGTTATCTTATCCGTCTGAATAATCCAAAAGATTTGCCTTTTTCAGGCGGGGTTATATTCTTCGAATTGTTGGAGACCTCACCACATTTTCGCACCGCACCAGATTAACCGCAATCATGGTGCTCGCAAAGTCAAAGAACTCCGTGGGGCTGGGTAACAGCCTCATGAACGATCGCTTTGGAAAAGGCAAAGCTGCGAAGGAGAAGAAGGCGTCGCACAATAATTCTATCGCGCGCCAGGGTATTAACGGCGAAACATACCTCACCAATGTCGCCCAAGAAGCCTCTTGGGTGAAGATGCGCTCTATCACCGAGCAAGCTGCCCTCGATGAATTCCTCAGCACCGCCGAGCTGGCAGGCACCGACTTTACCGCCGAAAAAATCAACAACGTGAAGATTATCCACTCCGACCAGAAGAACCCCTACCTCCTGTCCGCGACCGAAGAGAAGTCTGCTGTTAAGAAGCAGAAGGAGAACAAGAACAAGTTGACGGTTCCGAGACGACCCAAGTGGGATAAATCGACAACCGCCGCGCAGTTGGAAATGATGGAGCGCCAGAGTCTCTTGAACTGGCGTCGCGGATTGGCGGAACTGCAGGAGAACCACGATCTGTTGATGACTCCATTCGAGCGAAACTTGGAGGTTTGGCGTCAGTTGTGGCGTGTCATTGAGCGCTCAGATCTCGTCGTGCAGATTGTCGATGCGCGAAACCCGCTCCAGTTCCGCTCGGAAGATCTGGAGAACTATGTGAAGGAGATTGACCCGCGGAAGAAGAACTTGCTTTTGGTCAACAAGGCCGATATGTTGTCTCTTAAGCAAAGAGAGACCTGGGCCGACTACTTCGAGAAGAACAACATCAACTTCCGTTTCTTCTCGGCTCATCTCGCTAAGGAGAAGATGGAGGCTCAAATGTTGGAGGAGGGCCAGGCCGGAAGCGACGGTGAGGACCTGGCTGAGTCTACGAAGAAGATGAATGTTGAGGATGAGGAAAAGGAGGAGGCATCTGGCAATGAAGAACAGGCTGCTGAGCAGACCACTGCCAAGCTTGCCGACCCTGATCAGTCCCTCGGACCGCACATTTTGGACGTGGAAGAGCTGGAAGAGCTATTTCTGGCCAACACTCCCGAGACACTTCCCCAGAATCAAGACCCAGTCCAGAAATCAAAGGCAAAAACTGTCATTGGTCTGGTTGGCTATCCCAACGTGGGTAAGTCTAGTACTATCAACGCCCTGCTTGGTGCAAAGAAGGTCTCCGTCTCTGCCACCCCCGGTAAGACCAAGCACTTCCAGACTCTGTACCTCTCCCCCGAGATCATGCTGTGCGATTGCCCTGGTCTGGTGTTCCCCAACTTTGCCTCTACTAAGGCCGACCTGGTGGTGAACGGTGTGCTGCCCATCGACCAGCAGCGTGAGTTCACCGGTCCTGCCGGCCTGGTCGCCAAGCGCATCCCCAAGAGCTTCCTGGAGAATGTGTATGGTGTTCAGATTAAGACTCGCCCTGTTGAGGAGGGCGGTACCGGTATCCCCACTGCTAGTGAGATTCTACGTGCCTATGCCCGCGCTCGTGGTTTCTCGACGCAGGGTCTGGGCCAACCTGATGAATCTCGTGCTGCGCGGTATGTCCTCAAGGACTACGTGAACGGCAAGCTTCTCTTCGTTCACCCTCCCCCTCAACCTGAGGGCGAAGAGCCCCTCGACCCCAACGAGTTCAACCAAGATCTCTACGATATCGCTCACCTGCCCCCGAAGCGTCAGGCCATGCTGGCCAAGTCCATTGTGGACCTCGATGCAGATGTGGATTCGGATATTTCCACCCTTGTTTCTGCACAGAACGAACAGGGTAACCTTTCCAAGAACATTGATAGCGGCTTCTTCGGTACCGCCACTGGACCGTCCGCTGGCCGCTTGAACATGCCTTTTAACCACAAATATACGGAGCAAGGACAGGAAATGCGCAAGATGCCCACTGGCCGCAAGGAACGCATGATGATTGCATTGGAGCGTGGCGTTGATGTCTCTGAAGTGCGGGGCGCAGGCTCCAAGAAGCATAACAAGGGCAACAAGCGCCGGGCCAAGGGCAAGCGCAACACCCCTCAAGATGATGACTACTACTAAAAGTGATTACTGTTTTCCTTTGCTCTCTTTACGATGGACATATGAACCTCTTGTTTACGTTTTGATGTCAGCTATGTGGCTATGTGCTCATGTTTTCTCCTGTCCGGATTGCACAAGGCCATGCTTTGGGAAGGGATTGGAGATACGAACCTCGCATGTCATGTTCATTTTGGATCTACACTCTACATTTGCAGGCGTTTGGGGGTCCGATTAGATTAAGATTAAGGTAGCACCCGTCAAATCTACTTATACCACCATGGACCATACGGCAAAAGGGTGTCTGTCAGATGTAATAACCTAAAATTTCGTAGCTATGGTACTCTTAATTACCCGCGTATCGCTCAGGTGGTCCTATAATATAGACTGTCTACTTATTCACAGATGGCTTTTAGCTTTAAACCCAGCAGCCAGAAGCAGGCGATCCGACTCCTCGCGCTGCCACTTCAACTTGGCCGTAACAGCGTCCTTGCGGGAGCGGTTTTCCCTACGACCGAGCTGCTGCAGGTGGACCTCATCAGGACCATCAGCAATACGCAGAGTACGGATGCCAGCCCACAAGTAGGCAAGCGGGGTGTCCTGGCAAACACCAGCGGCACCGTAGGCCTGCACAGCACGATCAATGATAGTCAGAGCAGTCTGGGGAACCAGAACCTTGGCCTGGGCAATCTCCTTCAGCGCCGACTTGGCATCACCCTGATCAATCTTGATAGCGGCGTTAAGGACAACCATACGGGCAGCATCCACCTCAATTCGCGATTTGGCAATCCATTCAAGGATAACGCCGTGAGCAGCAAGGGGCTTGCCGAAGGTCTGCTTCTTCTCATCGTTGATGCGGGCAATCATCCACTCGAGGGCCTTCTCGGCGGCACCGATGGTACGCATAGCGTGGTGAATACGGCCGGGGCCCAGACGGCCCTGGATAATCTCGAATCCACGGCCTTCGCCGAGGACCATGGCGGAGAGGGGTACACGGACGTTGTTGAAAGTGATGTGACCGTGACCGTGCGGAGCGTCGTCATAGCCGTAGACGTGCAGCATGCGGTGCACAGTGACGCCGGGGGTACCGGCAGGCACCAGGACGACGGACTGCTGCTTATAAGTGTCGCGGTTGTTGGGGTCCGACTTTCCCATAACAAGATAGACCTTGCAACGGGGGTCACCGGCACCGGAGGACCACCATTTCTAGAGGAATATGATTAAATTTTGAACGACAGGAGAGTGCAAGATAGGGACATACCGATCCGTTAAGAACGTATTCATTGCCCTCACGGCGAATATTTAACTCGATGTTGGTGGCATCACTGGACGCAACATCGGGCTCGGTCATCAGGAACGCAGAGCGGATCTTGCCCTCCAGCAGAGGAGCCAGCCACTGCTGCTTCTGGGCGTCATTGCCGTACTTGGCCAGCACCTCCATGTTACCAGTATCCGGCGCGGCGTTGTTGGTGGCCTCGGAGGCGATCTTGCTCTTGCCGAGCAGCTCGGCCATCAAACCATACTCGAGGTTACTGAAGCCGGCGCCCTGCTTGAAGTGGTTCTTGGGCAGGAACATGTTCCACAGACCGAGCTTCTTGGCCTTCTCCTTCAGGTTCTCCAGGACAACGGGGGTAGTCTGCCATCGCTTCTCGCCTTCGCCGAGCTCGGCGGAGAAGACGGCGTCGGCGGGGATGCAGTCCTTTTCGACGAATTCCTCGACCTGTACAGAGTGGATAGACAGTCAGCTTTGATCTTTCGCAAGCAAGCGGGCAGCGTGGGTTGGGGCGGCATCGTGAAGCCAAGCGGAGCTTAACGAGAGGAGCTTTACCAGGTCGAGGGTCTTCTTGGCCCGGTCGCTGACGAAGGGCTGGGCGATGGGAGGAATACGGGTGGAGGCAGACATGATAGCGGTTGAATGGGGGTCAAAAGAGAGAAACAGCGTGGGCTGCGACGCTGAATATAAGTCGGGCGATCCAGAATTGCGGAGTAGCGCGGTGTGGAGAAAGCCGAGCCAGCGGGATTTTGCCTCGGCCCAGCAGCTCTTTACTACGAGAGTACTACCACCAAGTACAGCGCGGCCACCACCGCAAGCTTAGGCGAGAGAGGCTAGTCCTTGCGCCTTTTACAGTACCTTCATTAATTGGTTAACTGAAACCCCGGATTAGAAATCCAAATGTACCTGAGCGGCCGTCTTTCTTCTTAGGAGTAGCCCGTCTTAGCCGGTTACCGATGCGCTGAGGCGACCTCGGCCAAAACGCCGGACTCAGCATCACACCACCAAAATCTAGACAACGGGACAGATCATGTAGGTACTCTTTTTAATTGAAGTTAGACGAGTCGCCAAGGAACAGTTACTAGAGTTTCAACTATCCAGCTGAAGATCCCATCGACGACGCCTTACAGTATTTGCCACATAGCATGCTGCAAAGCGCAAGAGGACCTCAGCTACCGCCTCAACATTGAAAAAATAAAGAGTGATACAGGTAAGGCATCTCATCCAATTGCTCCTATACCAGTTCCTAAGGAACAAATTACCAGAATTCCATAACCAGAACCCCCCATAATACAAGAAATCCGACGTAAAACCGATGGAATCACACAAGAGAAGAAGACAAGGCATTGCGGGTCATCACAAAAGAAAAAAAAAAAGCGAACGACAGCCACAGATCATGCTCGAACCCAATCTATCCCAGCTTCAGGTAGATCATACTGTCATATGAATAAATACCCCATCGAGAACGACCAGCGCCCATGAAATGGGGCCCAGATATGTGTCAATCGAGGAGTAGAGCGGGATCGAGATGCAAGCTGTGACAGTTTTAAAACTTCTACTCGCCAGTTCGGCCTTGTTCGGCGGATGATTGCTCGTAGCTCTTCTTTCCGAGCTTGGCGAAGAGAGACTGGGGCTTGCCGGCACTGGAAACAAACATTAGCATTCGTCCTTGGTCGCCCGTAGTTTGAAGACGGTTGCGGAACATACTTCTTGAATCGCTTGCCCTTAATGTCACTCAGTTTCTTGCTACAGGGACTCATAATGTCATCCGAGGGCGACACGTAGGCAGTTGGTTGCCTGCGGAGAGCACTATTAGGTTGCTGCCTTTCGCTTTCGTCTGATGGTCTGCGTGAGACTTCGCGATGAAATAACTTACTTCTCGCCACTCTCCAACTTATCCTGCAGTACCTGGCGGTGGTGCTCCATTGATGAGATGTCCGCGGCCTTGAGATCTGTCTTGTCGGTGTTGGCGTTGGCCAGGTGGGTGTTAGTCGGGCGGTCCGCGAGGGGCTGCGCTTGTGTTGTAGCGTCCATTGTGGATGTGAAGGGTATAGAATCGAGATCTTTGATTCGTAAGAGAAGACCGTAGTCAGTTTCTTTTTGCGTGGTCACAAAGCAGGGATGAAGCGAAGTGATCGGATCGGATAAGAGAAAAACGTGTTGTTGGTGCAGGTGGGCGAGGAAAAATGCGGTTTGATTGTTGGCCCAGCAACGGCTGCCCGACCACACGATGACGCACGGCTGGGCATTCCTGCGCTTGCTTTTGCGGCTATTTGTAGATGTTTCATTTTTTTCAGAGCCACGGTGGCAAGCTACGCTATTTACTGTCTCGCAATTGAGTTGTCAGAGAATTCGACCGAGCATGCATTGATTAAATAGTACATAGGTCCAAGCTATTTGACATCGTACACAACTGTACTGGGAATCTTATCGTAGTAGGATAGGAAAGTCATTCAAAACATCAAATACAATCACTTCCCAAATCAAGGAAAAATGCCCTTAAAACGCCACACGATACAGGAAAATGCACAAGAATATCGAAAGATCGTTCGCACTGCGCAAACATTAGATGAAGTTGGGCCAGCCAACGTAGTGTAATCTCCGTATTTTTGTGGAGAGTCGGAGGAAGGACGAGATTCGAGGATGTCCTATGACGTTTGAGGCGGGCCCTTGTCTGTTGGTGTCGGGGCCTGGATCTCGGACGATAATATCCCGCTCTCTTCTTCTTCGTCCAAATCAAGGTCTGGCGTATGGCCATTCAATACGGGCGGGGTGCTCTGGGAACGGAATTGCGCTGTCCCGAGCGTGGGTAGTGGCATCGAGTCAGGCGATCGAGGATGATCGTGATCAGCCTTGTCATCCTCCATCTCCCGCTCGACGTCAGACGTCGGTGTCGGTGGGACGTAGGCCACATTGGGGCTAGCGGGGCTACCGTGGGAAGAGGAAGTATCCGACAGGTTCCGCTGGTGACTGGCATTCTCGCGACACGAGGAAGGACGCGTGGAGCCAGGACTGGCTGATGGGGACTCGTAGATGGGCGATGAAGATCGTAGACTATAAGATCGAGCGACCATCCGCTGAACCCGCGGGAATTCCATGTAGTTGCTCACTGATCCGCGCGAGAATAAGACCATGGTGAAGCAGCACAGAACCATGACGCTCTGGACCACAAGAACTCGTTTCTGGAAAACGAGTTCTTCTGCCAGAACGCCCAGTTGGCCACTGAGGGATTGTACCTCCTGGTGGTAGCGAACACGTTGATGTTCAAACTCAAAGGCGACAGACTTCCAGACGTGGTCGTATTGCTCGCGGAATTCTTTGAGCTCGCTGAGGACGGTGACATTCAGGTTCTCGAGGAAATTAGATGTCTTTGCGAGTTGCCGCTTTTCAACTTTATTGAAAGCGTCACGCAAGATCCGTGATTGTTCTTCAATATAAAGCAGGGATAGGGTGGAGTTGGATTCGAGCATTTGCAATCGTTTGTGAACGGATTTGTAGAAAGATTCTTGGGTGGTCGGGTTTGGGGCGGGAGGTTGCGTAGGTCTGGTTGACTCTGGAGGCACGGTTTGCTGCTGCTGCTGCTGCTGCTCTTCCTCCTTCGGATTTGGTGTTGATTTCCCCGTGTTTTCGGTGGTGGAATTCTGCTGAGCCGGCTCGACAGCTGCGACTGGTGCGTCGGGGGTTGTCGCCATAACCTTTGCAGATTCGCTCGATTTGCGAGTATCTTCGGCAGCCTTGTGTGGTGTAGAAGAGCCGGAGTTCGTTGCAGGGACAATGTCCCCGAATATAGCGGTGGAGTTCATATGAGACTGTACATTTGTCTGACCTGTGCTAGAGGCGGCCGCTGATTTTGGTGGCATGGGAGGCTTTTCATCCATGCCACATCTTTCAATGGAGAGTCCTAGCAGAACAGCTTCAATCTCTGTAAGAGGATTGAGGCATATCTGTGCCTTGGTGACTTCAGGTTGTATCTCTTCAACCACAGGTTGGACATTCTCGGCTTCGGATGTACCAATTTGCTGGCTGGTCTCCATTGGCTGCTCAATCTCGGCTTCGGGCAGACCGTGGCTTTCATCGTGCTTATATTCCTCCATCATTGTCGTTCCGTGAATACGGATCAGACTGACGGGGCAGTAGAACTCATGGCCATAGTGGGTCAGGAATTCGATGCGAAGATATCGAGCCCAGATAAGCGAGTTTTCGACCGCAAATGCCTGCACCTCGCGGGTATTTCGTGCTTCATAGACACCCAGTTCTTTCCACTGATCTGGCTTCGCGGGATAGCGATCCGAAACACTGACGCGGAAAGTGTGGAAGATCGAACTGAAGAACTCGTAGTTGGCCAGCACCACCGTATCAACCAGGATATCATCGCAAAGTTCAAGGATGAGAAACTTGTTCTGAGCACGACACTCATTCAACATGTAACTATCCTTGTTTTCGACAAGGACAGACGACGAGCCTTTGCACTCAGAATTCGTCTTAAGTACCGTAGCCGCACAATCAAAGGATGCATAATTGAACCGTTCCTTGCAAGTGGTACCAGCATCCTTCCGCCGCGAGACATCCGCCTGCGGAATACCCTGCACCTGGACTTCACGGTTCATATCCTTATTCGTATTGTCAGGATACTGCGATGAAATCGGCGTACCCCAAGCCGTGGGACTGGCTTCAGGTGTCTCGGCGCCAAACCCACCAAAATCCAATTCAATTTCTGCATCATCCCCTAGCGAGTCCAATGCATTATTAATGCCCGGTTGTCGACGGCTCTCTTTACCAGCCGCCACCGACCGTCGACTCCCTCCAACATTATCAGCCGATTGTCCAACCTTGGCCAGATTTTGTTTCTTCCAATCCTCGAAGGAGAGGAAGCTCGCACTATCCAGAAGAGAATCCGCATCGTGCTCCTGCTCTGAACTCTGCGTGGCAGCGGGCTCAGCAGAGCTTGCTGCTGCTGTTACAGAGTCGGCCGCCACGGTATTGTTTCCAATAATAGTACCCGGTGATGTTGGGTCGAAATGAAGTTCTTGTCCCCTTCTCCCCCAGTGAGTCTCGAGACAGATAGGGTACTGGAACAGCTCTGCTTCAACTTCCCAGTCGCTTTTGGTAGGGCATATCCTCTCAAGAGCCGTCGCACGTTCAGGAGCTTGCGTGGAGATCTGGGCAGCAGAGTTTCCGGTCACAATAGACAGATTTGCGAGAACAACCAGAGCCCGGCATATCCAGCCTATCTGCGCGACCAACATGGTTTCGCCGCGTTGTCGATTAGCGCCCGCGGCAAGCGTGGTCGGTCTTGCGATGATACCCTGGCAATCCCAGCCACACAATAACGTGGCAGGACTATGCCGCTTTATGATCCGCACACAGGTAGCAGCGACCTTGTGGTTATTTCACTCCCGGTAATCCGAAACTTATGATATGCGCATCGTCAAGTTGGAAGCGAGACGAATCGCGACCTCGGGCGTTATCTAACGGGGAGTATTTGGACTAGTGACGGCGTGGACGGTAGGGAGAAGAGAATATAGGTGTGAGTGTGGTTACGTGGGTATGGTCGGAGTAGGGCGATATCGGCACTGGCAGTAGTGAAGCTCTAGGGAAATTGGAGGTGAAGAGCCACGCGAAGCGAGCTCGGTGGGAAGTCCAAGTGGACCCGGTGGCATCTCAACGGTTGGCGGGTCACCGCCTGCCTCACCGCTGATTATGCGCCAGTCTATATGAGGCATGCTCAGAGAGGGAATGGCAGGAATAATGTAGGTCGGAGGCTGAGTGAGATATGCTGTGGAATATTCGAAGTATTAGATTGAATTATGAAGCTCATTTAGATCCTATACATACCTTGGGGTAAGGTAAATGTGCAAGGTACAAAATGCAAGTACCGGATGCCCCGGTTTGACCCACCTCCCGCTGCGTTGCCGGCGAAGTTGCCAAGCAGCCAATTCTCCAATCTATTTGATACAATCTACAAGTCTACGAGTAGAATGCTTGCACTTACACCGACTACTGCTGTGGCAAGACAAATCTTTCACGGATGGGGTTCTTCATTCGACAATCCCTGGCTAGTTACAATACATAATTGGGGGTTCGAGAAATGCTTGTCAAAAAGAAGAACTTCGGTTCCTGACCTCCACCACACCCAATCTCATCACAAAATCCTGCTTTTTTTTCACATAGTCGTTTCGGTCCAAATGCAATGATAAAGAAAGCCCACCCCCAGAACAAATCCTCCCGCCTTCTAGTCTTTTTGGTGCTCGATGCCTTGACCCAAAACTCCGCCACCCACGGCCCGTATAGTACATAAAGAGAACAAGAAAGAAGAATTAGATGGGACCGCGGGTAGTTGCCAGGATGCAGCAGACAAAGATGCCACATTGGTTGGAAGAGCAGGCGGAGACATCGGCAAACACGCAAAGCCGAAAATAGAAAGACAGAATCAAACAGGCGATTAGTTTATTGTTGATAATTTTTGGACTTTTTTCCCAACTGAATCGAAAAAGTTAAACTGGACGCGTGGACGACGACGGAAAAAAGAAAGCGAAATGATGCGAATGAGAGAAGGCAAGCATAGACGCAAAGTATGCTACAGGTGCAGATCGTGCCATCCGCCCACGAGGTCGAGATCATCGTCGATGGTGGTATCGTAGGATGAAGTCTTGACTGGAAAGGGCTTCGACGGGACTTCGTCGTGGTGGCGCCAGTCCTTTTCCAGGAACAACCGGCGACGGCGATCGAGATGAGGGGAGTCTCGCTTGGGCCGGAATCCATGGTCGAAACCCGAGGACCCAAGACCCCAATCGCGTCGCCAGGTGTTGGCCGCTCGCGCAAGACCAAAGGGCTCGCGAGTTTTGCAATTGCGGCGTTTGTCGCCAAGCTCCGCCCATTTGTCCAAGTTGGATTTCTTGGGAGAGGCCTGGTGTATCGGACGTGGCGTGCTGCTGGAAGTTCCCGTATCGCTCTCAACCTCGAAGGTGATGGATCGAATGGCACGGGGTGCAGAGGCGGAGGTGGAAGTCTCCGAGGTAGTAGGATTGGCGACGGTCGGAATAGCGGAGTCCAGCTCGCGCAGTTCGGAAAGGGGACCCGGGGAGGCCTCCCGACTCTCCTGGCTCCAGCTGCGAGAGTTCTGCTCATGTCGCTGCTGGAGGGCCAGGTCCTCATTCTCAGATTCCTCCTCGTCCCAAAGATCACTCCAACTCTTGGAGATTTGATCGGTGGAGTTCTTGCCAAAAACCATCGACAAGGATGGCAGAGGTTTGGTAGCATGACTCGGCAGGGAGCCAGTGATAGGAACCGGATCGGATCGGGGAAGGAAGTGACCGCGGGTCTTGGGAGGATTGGTCGAGCGGAAAGACTCACCCATCGCGGAATCCAAAACAGATGCCATAGACGGAGTGTCGGGGTGCGCGGAGAACCAAGATGTACCGGCCACCTCGGAAGGTGGGAAAAGATCCTCCGTGTAGCTCTCGTTGTCCGGGATGACGGAAAGCTGGCGAGAAGCTTGGGGAGGGCTAGAATGCAGCATCTTGGTCCAGGGGAAGGAATCGCCTTGGTTGATGTGAGGGCTCTGGATAGAGGGAGTGCGAAGAGGCTCGCGGTTGGCACTGGCGGTGACAACCTCACGATCCTCGGTGCAGAATTCATCCAAAGACTCGTCATCAGTTGTGAACGAGACCGTCCGCAAGATGCATTCGCGCACCTCGGACAACGACCGTTTCGATGGGTCAATAGCCAGCGCATGGGTAAGAATTTCAAAGGTGTCCTGAGACATGTTCGGGAAGATGTCGAACAGAGACTGGCGGTCACGCACGTAATCCGCAAACAAAACATCGGACTCCGAAGGCGAAGTGAAAGGATTGCGGGAAAACAGAATGTTCAGCAAGCACACTCCCACGGACCAAATGTCAGCTTGAGCCGGAGAATAGCCGGTGGCAGGAGGTTCATATTGCTCGGGAGCCATATAACGGTCACTGCCGACACAGGCCTCGTGGCACCACGACTCGCGAGTGGCAAGACCAAAGTCTCCCAGTTTCATCGAGCCATCAGACATCAGGAAGATGTTCTCAGGCTTGATGTCGCGGTGGTAGAGGCCGTTGGCGTGCATATATTCAACTGCACTGACAAGCTGAAGCATAATGTCACGCACATGCTCCGTTTCCAAGGGACCGCGATCATGGCGGATGGCTTCGTATAGATCACCGTTGGCACAGTACTCCAAGACGAGGTACATGTGGTGATCGGTCTCGAACGAATGGATCAAGTTTACCAAGTTGGCATGGTGGCCAAAGCGGCGGTGGCATTCCAACTCCTCGAACTGATCATCCATGGGGAACGGAGCCGAGGAGTCGGCGGAGGCCGTCTTGGTCAGGCATTTGATCGCAACGTCCTGGCCGGTGACAGTGTCTGTCGCAAGGAACACCATACCAAAAGATCCATGGTTGAGGGGGGCGACAGTGCGGAAACGACCATCCAAGATGCGGTCCTTCTCGAAGGAGTCTCTGAGACAATCGACGGAAGACATGATGCGAATCGAGAGTGATGTGTGGAGAGCAGGGAGGATGCAAAGTAGAGATGCACGAGCAAGAAGAGTGCCAAAAAAAAAAAAAAACCAACGATAATAGAAAGAATCTATAAACCGCTCGAAAGCACACGCGTTGAAGGGACGCGTCAAACAGCAACCAGGCTTATGAGGGTGATTAATTGTCAAGAAGAGAAGAGTTCAGGCCTGAGTCCCAACGGGAAGGGAATCCAGAGGAGTGGTGGAAATGGGAGGCGAACAGGGATTTCGGGTGCCACTCAAAATAGTCATAAAAAAATATACCGGTCGAATAAGATTGATAGGCAAGGAAAAAGGAGACGAGTCGACGCAGAGGCGCGGTTTGGAGATGTGGTACCCACGGGTGGAGGGTAGGACGCTTTCAAGGAAAATGTGTAAAGACCGTTATGTGCTCATTTGTATGTCGTTTTTCCGTTTGTTTTTGGGGGGGGTGATGCGATAGCCAAACAGACGAGGAAAAGAAAAGGTTGTTATATGTCACGAAGGAATGGACAGAGGTTGGAAAGTCGAGAAGTCGAGATAGGCCTGAAGGGGGCGAGGAGGAATCGAAGAGTTTGAGTTTGCGCTGCGTAATATCGTAACTTGGTGGAAAAGGTAAGGCAAAGAAGACGTAAAAGAGCCTTTGAACACCGGGTTCAAGGTTGGCGGTGGCCGTGACTCAGATTGAAGATGTTGCGGATTAATGAGTCATGAGTGGGCCAGTTGAGAGATGAACGGGGTCTAGTTGCTCAGTTGAGAAGAATAGGTGTTCGAATCGTGAAGAAATCAGTCTTGAGATGCAAGACGTGATTCCACGAAACGAGACAAGTCGAGGGGGATCCTGGAGGGAGCAACCTTCTCAAGCCACTGATGACGGAAGAAGGCGGAGCACTCAAAGCCAGGCTCCCAACCCGCAGAACAGTTTCTGAACCTCAAATCGGGTATGCTCGCAAAGGCACGTATGGGTTATTCGCAGTAGCGGGCCTTCGTAGAGGATTGGATAAGACGAAGGGCGATGCGAATCAAGAGTTGCTGCGTTGTCACGGAGGGAAATCGAGGTGACGGCGACGGTGACGATCAAATCAGTTCAGACTTCGGGGAATCCGGAGCGGCCGAAGTGAACAGAGATGAGGGTCGAGAGAGAGAGAAGATGGCGAGATGGGTGAAGCACTCTAAAGCACGAGTCGAGATCGATTGATATGGCAAATAGCGATCGATAGAGTGGTATCGTCCCAGGGAGGCGTGGTAGGGATGAGAGTCGTAGGGAGATGGGTGGCGAGATGGAAGTGAGAAGGAGAAGAAGAAGGGCAACGGAGGAAACGAAGGGAAGCGGAGGAAAGGAGATGGTAGGAGAGTAGGAGGAGATGTGGTATACAAGAAGGGGAAGATCAGGAGAGAACGCTGGAAGGTACGGAGTTGGCAGAGTCACGGTAGTCACGACCACGCCGAGCACGTCGTCGGAGTCATTGGGGACCGCCTCGAAGTGGAGACGGGCGGTACCAATACGCGTACGAAACGGGTCACCTCGTGGAGATTGGATCTGCAGGGCCAAGTTGACGCTCTCCAATGCGGGTGATTCGCAGCGTCACGCCGGGCTAAGGGGGTCCTTGGGCCACGGGGGACGCTGGCCGCGGTACGGTACGGAAACGGTTCTGGACCATACCGCCACGCAATCCCGAGGCCCATCTTCATGAACCTTCTAGACATTCCATGACCCTTGGGCGGCGTCACTCCAGACTTTGTTGGGAGGTGGACAGAGTTCCTCCAGTATGTCACCGCATGTCGCCCAAATTCTGGATTCTGAATTCTTGCCCGCTCCATTCTTTTTGGCCGGGCACTACGAGCAACTATTGATGAGCGAGGTCTAACTTGGGCAGCAGTGCTGTCTATCGCCATCTGCCATTGTTGATCTGCATGCGACAGACCCATCCACGCTCCTTCCCCCCTAAACACCAAAGGTTTAACGGGGACCTGCAGTACAGTTTGCTCCCCCAGTCAGAGCAACGCAGAGTATCAGCAGGGGCGGTCCACCCCCCTCAACTCGCAAGTTTTGCTCGCGGCCGAGGGCGGATCCAGGTGGCGCGCTAAGCCGAATCCGGTGCAATGCGCAGCCGATTCTGGGGCAACGGCCAATGAGGGATGGAAAAGGGGGTCACTATTTCCAGGCTGCATGACGCCATGGATGGGGATGGCGTGATGGACGGTGATTGGCGGCGGTGGGGCGTCGCTGCCCCCTACTGCAGGCCCCGGAGTTTCTTTGCCGGCAGGTACACTCAGGACTGCAGTACATCCACTGTGAGAGTACTGAGAACCCGAAGTACTGGAAGGTACTGGAAGTACTGAAAGGACTATGCAGTTCCCTCCTGCCACAGCCATGTCTGGGGCCGAAGCCACGATACGATTCGGCCCCATGCTCCCGTAGGCGCCCGCTATACTTAGCAATGCACCCGATGTCTATCAACGCATCATCACCCTCCGGACTCGACCGCTGAGAATGTCAATGATAGGTACCGGCCGTCCATACAGTAGAACAGCGGTTGCACCATGGTGCCGCCCATGCCGGGTTAATGGCGCGCGGAATCTTGAGACACAACTTGTCTGACCTAGTCCACCTTCTTTGCGGGGTTCCATCCATTCAGCAGCATCAACGATGTAGATTGTTGATTCGATCCGGTGGGCCGTTGCTCCTTACGGGGTTGCCAACGAGACACGTACATCCACGGCGGGTGGATCATGCTACCACTGCTACGGCCACTACCAGGTGCCGCCGACACCACCAAAAGCCCTGGAGAGGACTATGTACATCAACACAGAGGTCAACGCAAGTTCCAACCTCTTCCCCCTCCATGTTTGGACATCTACGCAGCCACCACGGGACAGAGTCCCGGTGCCGCGATCCAGCGGTGAAGGGCGGAGTCTGGCCCAGGGCTGACCGCCTCCTGCGAGGGCCGCAAGGTTTGTCCTTGCATCGGGCGAGGCATTTCTCGGAGTGGCACGACTTTGCGTGAGCGGCCTTTCATGACGTGGTTTCACGGCCATCAGGCGAGCGTCCTCGCTTTCCTTCCGCCCTCTGCTCGTCTCGGCGACTCGCCCGTTTCGTACAAATGTGAAGCTATATTGTGACCGATCATGGCGAATCTATGGCGTCAATGCAATCTCTTATTACAGCTGTATAGTACCAGACGGGGGGCGATGCCAAATGGCGTGCACGGCTCAGTTTGGGATCTCCCCCTCCATCTCGGCCGTCGCCGTTGACTCCCTACCTTCGCCGGGCAGAGCGGTTGATGCTGCATGTTTCGTCATTTGGGTTGGATGGTTCGATGCACGTCCTGCGCGACGACTGGCAGATTGCCAGGTCGAGTCTCTCACGCGCCGAGCATTGCTTTACTCTTTGTAGCCGTGAGGACGGGGTCCAGTGTAGACTTCCTAATACAGTACCAGAAGTATAGAGGGCAGTGTAGAGTTCACTCGAGTACGGTGCAGTAGACACCTTCCCGTCCTCTCGGGACCAACTCCTCATACTTCCTCCGTCATGATGATCATGGATGATCCGACGAGTTGCAACGTGTCCCGTTTTGGGACGCGTTCGGTAGATTACTCTTTCGGGGGATTACTCAAGTGGTTGATCAACATGAGACGGAAGCCAGGTCCGTTCCGATGTTGGAGTAATCCTCGGGTTCCTAGGTTCTGACGCGATGCGATATGCGATATGCGTTATCTAGGGACCCCTCGGGGAGTGGCGAATACCCCAAGATAGGGTCTGCAATTTACAGTACAATTCTCGCAGCGTCCAGGGCATGGCCAAAGTACGTATCTATGGTTCACAGGACGAAGAGTCCGCGATAACAGCCTTAGTTTATCAGGCCTCGATGGTAGGCCAGAGATAGACGACCCCAGGGTCTGGTTAAGGACGGCGGTTCCATGGTGCTATCGCCCTTATTTTGGGCTTATCGTACCCCGCACGATCGGCATTCAGAGCATCACGATTGCAGTCGTATTCTAAATTCCTGGGAAGGGATGGACCGCCAATAATGGAAGTCTGTTTGGATGCCGTTTATTGATTTCCAGTCGTGATGGTGATGTACAATCAGTACGACCAGAGTTTGTAGAGTTCCAGAGGGGCTATCCCAGGCAAACTGTATCTACTCGGCTAACCTCAGCCCGCCTAGTCCATCTGGTTTCTTCCCAATGGATCCTCTATCTGTGGGAGATGAAAACGATGATCTCACTCAGCACCTTGGGGGCATATTTTTTTTTAACCCACAAGCGCTCGAGCCAACGACCGGCGAACGAGCCAATCGTCCGAACGTGTGACACCATCGTCTCACCTTGGGGTCAATCTGCAGGGGAGGAGGGTGGAGCAGCTCCTCCCAGTCCCTTAGGGAATGGGAGTATCACTCCTCGACTCCATACTAGCTCCAGCTGACCAGAGCGTTTCCCCGGATTCTGGTCCAAACGGGGCACCCCATGATCCTCCCATTTCTTCGTCTGCTAGTAGGATGGCTTCCCAGCCAGAATTGGCTCTGAGGTCCCTGTTTCCGACCCCAATTTCTGGCCTCTGCCCGTTTGATTGGCTGCACGGCTTCCAATAGACATCCTCCACGAAAGCAATGACCTCCTCATTTCCTCAGGGCTGAACTGCATCGCATCCGCTCCGTTGCCGGGCACTCGTCACTCGTGTCTCGAGTCTCGTGCCCCGCGCCGCGTTGGCTTTTCTCTGCCGTTCTATTGATTTCCATTTCCATGGCTTGAGCTTGGGTCGGTCTGCTTCTGACAGGGCCGCGCATGCGATCGATCCGATAGGCAATTTCCTGCACCCAGGCTCCAAGGCACGGATCGACGGATGGTGCGACTCGAGACGGCCAAGGGGGGCCGGGGGGGGGGGGGGGGCGGGGGTCCTCTGGAGTCGGAGCATGCTGGCAGCATACGGCATACGCCGTACTCTCCAGAACTACAGCTCAACTCAGTTCAGGGTCGCACGCAGGCGGCAGGTCGCAGGGTACATTGGATAGGTTGCGCGATGTATGCCATGAACCCAGCCTCCCGTAGGTCTGTTTTTTACTTTTCTCTTTTTTTTTTTTTTTCTCCGTGTGCGACCTTGCACTCCGCACTGCAGCCTCAACAGAAATCAGATCGTTCGTTGCCTGATGTCGATGTCAGGGGGACCGGAAGATGCAGCCCTTTGCTTGTTTACGGACCGAAGATTTTTTTGTTGTGGTGTCAATGCGTAGCTGAGCTGTAAAGTTCTCCTCAGCCCTCGATCGGTCAGAGGCCTTGCGTTGATATCAAAGTTGTAGAGGTCTTGTTTTTACTGCAGAAGCAGACGCATGCAACATGCCGGACGTATGGATAGAATACCACGATCTGAGATGCAGCATCTTAGACAAGATCTGTCCATGCATCTCCAATGCTCCCCTTCACCTCCATCGCCGGCCTCCCCACCATGCCCTTCCAGAACTGCGACGTCCCAGCCGGAACCAGCTCGTCCACCTCCAACGAAATCAACGTAGTAAACACCCAATCCTGACACTTCCTCGCTCCATCTCGGGGCGGCGGTTCAGACCTGATCACCTCCATGGCCCGCCGTCGCTGCGGCGGCGATAGCACTGCCAGCCTGCATAGGCCGAGAGCCGCCATGTCGACAATATTGGTACTGGAGCGGGACTCAAACTCGTACCACAGGCGGTCCAGATCAATCAGGCGCACATGGAGCAGGTCGCCCGTTGTGCCTGGTGGCTGATGGATCATAAACCCCCAGTGCGAACGGGCGCTAGGTTCATCGCCTTTGCCGAAGACTTCGATGGAGAGCTGGTAGGCCATGGCTGCGGTGTGTCAGCGGTGGTTCCGTGCCCTCCATGATGGCACGTACGCAGCTACCAAATACTCCGGCTAAGGGTACTCTCTTCGTCGTGCAAACACGGGCCACATTGGTCGAACGTGATGGCTGCTGGGACTCGTGGAGAATCGAAGCTGTCACCCGCGGTCGGCGGGTGGCCCGTTCTCTCAGGTCTGCCAGAGGTCCCTGCAGCCGAAAGGCGCGCAGCATCTCAATAGTCTGCTCTCAGTCGAATGCTGGTTTCTATAAATCTGCAATAGAGCAGGACATTATAGTCTGTCATCTACAAGACTGCCGCTGCCAAGCATTATTATCAAAATGTGTCACCCCCATTACTGTTGACAGGTCAAGTTTCTCCAAAACGGTTGCCAAGTCAACCAACTACATACGATGTCTACAGTATGTACACATCATGCCACGGGGAGATCCACCGAATCTCCTGCATTGTACAATGAATAGTACGGGGTACAGTCAGGCCAGAAATTGCCGCACCAGCTTAGTCGACATCGCAATCGTCAGCTCCGTTGCATACCCAGACACCCTGGGCCGATCCATTTCCACTCTGCCACGGCGCATTCTAGACCTGCCAGAGACAGGGGAGTTCTGAGGGTTATTCAACATTCAGGATATTTCAGGACCAGACTGTCGGCACCATTCGCCACCGGGAGGTTCCATACACATACTCCCTGCCACATTACATCTGACCCGTCAACGTCATTCTGGCCGGAGATGCAGACATGATGGCTGGTTGCCGCGCCCTATACAGTACCTCGGTATGTACTGCTGTATACAATACAACGCGTGTAATGAATCGATGCTCATGGCAGTGTCGATGTCGATGCGTGGATCCCTGAGACCTGACTAAGATGCCCATGATGGTGCGCGAGACAACGCTGAAACGCGCCGAAAGCGTCGTCTGCCAACGAGCGCGCGGGCGGTGGAGTTGGGCGCTTCTATTTCCATCCCGAGTTGCTATTTCCAGCCGGCGCGAAGACACTGGCTCCGGGTCGCTGGAGCGGTGACGTGCGACGTGGATCTTGGATTGCTTGCGGAATCCAATGTCTTTTGACATCTATTTCGAGGTTTCTGGCAACGAGGTAACAGTGTCCAAGGATGACGATTGTGGTCGATGGTGGCGCGACGGGTGTTTGGTTGGGTTGGCAATAGGCAAATGAATTCTGAATCAATCGGCTCCGGTGGCGTCGGCGAGTCGGACTGACGATTCACATGTAGACCTGGCGTTTGTTTCGTTTGCGATTATGTACATTACACTAAGTCGTAGTGCAGTGCGGAGGGTCCTTGTGCGGAGGCCGGGTCCAGACCGCTGACTGAACTCAGTCCTTCGATGTTGTCCATTGCCTTTTGATAGTTCACAAACAGGTCATAGTGGAATCTATCTTTCCTAGGAAGCTGATTTGTTTGCTTTCTTGTGGACATTGTCGGTTCTCTAACACCCTACACCCTTAGTGCTGGTTCTCGAGATCAATGCTACATGATGCTGATTTTCCGGGGTTGCCGATATATACTTCCCACGTTCCACCACCACCATAATAGATCCCACTTAGTAACCCGTACATTATACACCCCAACACGACACAGTTGACCAACCTGATCGTTCCCTACTTCCTCTCTTGCAATTATCTGCCATTGTAGAGACCAAAGCCGAGGCAAACCAAGCGATGATTCACACCAGCGCGGCCTCCCATTGGCGGAGCGACAGCCGCGCCCCACCGGCGACGAAAAAAGAAGGGCATCAAGGAGTGACGCCACGGGAAATATCAAACCGGCGGAGCATCCATGTATATATATGATGCACCATGAGCAAGCGCTCGCTCGAAGAGTCCAGGGGCCTGCCCGAGGATAACAACGCCTCGCTGGCCATCCAGGACCTGCTCTCGCCCGATGAGCGCGAGTCGACTCCGCCATCCGGACCAACCAAGAAGCCCCGTAACTTCATTGCCACGGTGGTGCGCAATCCCCTGCCCCGGAACGCGATGGTATACCTCTCTGAGTATGTCCGCTAACACGGAAAACAGGCCTGTGAGACATGTCGCGTGAAGAAGACGCGATGCGACGAGTCTCGGCCCAAATGTGGCCTGTGCAAGTCCCTCGGCATCGAGTGTGTCTACAATGAGCGCAAGTCATCCAAGTAAGCCATGTCCAACTACCTTGTTTGATGTATAAAATGAACAAGTAGCTGACTACGATAGACGAGATCAATCTCTGACAATGATTATGAGCACTCTCCATCGTCTCGAGACCAAATTGGAGAATATTCCATCGTCAATCTTGAGCGATATCCGCGGCCAGGTGCGCCAGATCGCTGGAAGCTCCCACGAGGCACATCCATCGCCTACAGTCGGCGATGAGAGTCGACCGACGGCGATGCCAACATCCCTCAGCTATAGCTTCACACCGGCGGCTGGGGATGGATATGACTTCGATTTCGAAGAGAATGATACAACGCCGGACGCCTCCGGCCGTATCTCCATCTCATTCAGTCAGCACGGAGTCATCCTCTGGCCTGGTGCGCGGCAACTTCTCCCTGAGAAACTACTCAATACCTACAAATTGCTAGGAAAGAACTACGTGATTGAACTGGAATCGACACGGTCCCCGCTGCCGATGTTCATCAGTCCATTTCCATTACACGTGGGCGAGCATTGGCTGGAAGTACTTCCCCTTGCCATGATCAAGGGCCTAGCCGATGCTTTCTTCAACGTGTTCAACCCTTTCACGCCGATTATGGACAAGAGCTTTTTCTTCTCTTTTACCCTGGGCGCGGCCATTGAGAGCAATTTCGGCTATACTCTGGAAAGCTGTTTGGTTTTAAATGTTCTGGCTTTGGGCTGCATAGCCGTGCTGGCCTATCAGGAGGGAAACTATCCATTGCCTGGTGCCCAGGGTCATCTCTTCGAGCCACCAGAATGGATAAATGTGATCTACGAGGAGCAGCCAGGCTTGCGATTTTTTAACGAGGCGCGCAGACGCATTGGGTTTCTGATGTGCGACAACGACATCCAAGGTTGTCAATTTTATCTGCTATCGTCGTATGTACCCCAGTCATCCACTATCTTTGGACGAACTCAAACTGACTGGCTGCAGAGTATACTATAGCCAAATCTTACGCCCGATGGATGCGTGGGCTATGATTCATCGTGCTGCAACATGCTGTCTTTCGATGCTAACGAAGTATGTCCCTTGATCTTCTCATGAATAATATAGTATGCTAACCCGGCTATAGCCACGACGTAAACTTCGACGAATGGGAGGGAGACATGAAGTCTCGTGTGTACTGGAATTGCCTCATGAACGAGACCATTCTTGTGCAAGAACTTCACCTCCCACCAAGTGGTCTATCACGCCTCGAAGAACGAGTCCCCATTCCAAAATTCATCGGCTTCGAAACAACTGGCTACGTCTCAACCCGATATCCCTCGTCAATAGTTGTCGACGACTCATACTTCCAATACCACTTCCTCGCCCAGGTGGCTCACAGAATCATCCTCACCCGCATCCGCCACTCACTCTATTTCTACTGTTCGTCGAAAATCCCCTCCGCCAAAGAAGAATCTAGCTAACCTGCTGTTCCAGCCGACTCCGGAGCAATTCCGCTACCTGCCGTCAATGCAGAACTCCACCATCAACTCGAACAATGGCGAACCAATCTCCCAACTGCCATCCAGTTCAGCGACTCGCAGCTCACAAATTCCCACTCCACACCCGCTGACCTATCAGCCTCCGTCCACCCATCACCATCGTCAGCTGCATCTCCACACCCTACCACTCCTCGAACCACCGAACCTCACCGGCCCCTCTCGCCTGCTGTAGCAGTTACAGACGCAATGCTACGGGGCCGACATATGATTGCCCAATTCCACATCGGACGACCATACCTATACAAGGCCCTTCGAACCCCAAACCTCCTCACGGACGACGATCTAGAGCAGATCAAGAGCGGGTTACGCAACGCCATGGATTGGCCCGTAACCCAGGGAATTTTCAGGAAGATGAAAAGTTGCATCCCGATTAAATTTGCCTTTTGTTCACAGTGCGTTCCCTCTCCAAAGCTCTTTCTCAAGTATTGGCACTGACTTCATTTCCTAGGTTCTTCGGTCAAATCTTGCTGTTCTATTGCATCGCTCACTCGCCTAGTCCTCGTGTCCGCGAAACATTGCCGACTGGTTGGGAGCGATGGAATGAGGAAATGATGCATTTTCTCGAGGACTGCGCGCCATATAGCCCTGCTGTGGCGCAGGATTTGGATTTACTGCGGTCTTTGTGGGACGAATAGATGATAATTTCTGCCCATCCTGTACATTCACGTTCAGTCATTTTTCTTCTACCCATGGGGTTCATGAGGCCTTCTATTAATTTACGTGCAGTTTACGCTATGTCGGGAGTCCGGGGTTCGGCTCAAGGTTGCATGAGTACAAGAAATAATGATAGATTCCCCATTCTATACCAGCAACTATTTACGACTGAGGGTGTCAAAACAAACGGTATTGCAAAATGAAAACATGGCCCTCTGCAATAGAAAAAATAAACATATAATGGCATGGATTGCCCTCCAAGATCCTGTCAACCCACTTTAGAAAGTGAAAATCAAGTTCATAATGCCCATTCATCCAATGAGTCCGAGGCCGTGATAAAGGGTTTGTCGATTTGCTTGATAGCATGGTCACCACACAGAATGCTGCCGTGCATTAGAAATAGGTCATTTATCAAGACAGGAAGAGAACAGCTTACCAAGCTTCAGCAACGAGTCCATCCAATTCCTTTACTATCTCCTCTCTCCGCGACGCAGAGATATCACCCTTGCTTAGCTGCGCCTGCAAATCCCGAATGTACTTCTTCTTTCCGCCGGCGCCCTCTAGGACCTCCTTTCCGAGGCAGTCACTGTGAAAGGCATGCTGGCAGGGGAAGACAAAGAATTGACGACTCAGAAGAGGCAGCGAGCAGATCCAGCACTTCTCGCCGGGTTCCACGATGGCATAACGGGAGTCCAAACCGGCAATTTCGGAGCGAATTTGTCGAGCAGTCTGTGCCGAATTATCCATTTCTTGACGTAGTTCATCAATGTGGTGCGAGTACTCTTCCAATGCAGTACAGATCTCGTCTTTGAAGTCATCAATGACAACAAAGTCCGGGAAGAAGGGGATCAGATCTTCAATGCGCAGGAGCTCGCAGCGACCCAGGAACTCAATCGCATCTTTGATTCCAGTACCTGGCTGGCAAATCTTTTTTCGGCCACAAGAAGCCACAGCTTTTTGCGAAGTTTATCGTTGCCCTCGGGACGGTCCGCGACGATGGCCGCGAGGTCAATATCGTCGTGGTCCAGAGCCAATTCTACTGCCTGCAGGTATTGACCCATGGCGCTGTAGATGTGGATGCAGGACTGAACTCGCTTGTATTGGATACAGAGGCGGAGAGCAAAGTCTGCATCGTAGGGAGGTGGCGAGGACGGCTGCGTTTGGAGGTATGTGAGAAGGCCGCCTTCGGAGGATGACGGACTGGAGGCGTGGATTGAGATGAGGGTGTTGTGAACGGCTGCAGATGGCCTGGGGTGGTTGATTATGATGAAGTTCAGGTAGCGCACAGCCTGGTTCTGACTGAGAGAGACGTTGGTAGTTTTGTTATAGTTTAGCAGCGCGGGAATGAGCCTCTCCGGTTCGAGGTTGGTTTGTCGCATCAAGATCTCGATTAAACCGGTAGCGGCGTGTGTCATGAGCACACTGCTGTATTTGTAGAAGACATCGGGTTCACTTTGGCGTTGGAGAACATTGAGAGCTTCTGACCATTTCTCCCTTTGGATCCAGTAGGAGAGAACGTAGTTGTAATCGTTGGCAGCAGTTGCGAAGAAAAGTAGCTCTTCCTCTCGGCCATGGCTACTGATGATGCTGTACACGGTCTTCTTGTCCAAGTCTGATTTGTGATTGTTCACAAAATCTTGGAACTCGGATCGGACACTGCCGAGTTGATCCTCGATCTCTCCGGTCGTCACACCCTCGGTCAGTTCTGCTTTGGTGGCAATGTTATCGTCGAGGGAGTTCAACTTCGACATGAAGAGCTCCACGAGCCAGCTCGCTACCATAATTCTTTGCATGATAGATGTATTCTTGTATGTCGACAGCTGAGACAGCAGGTATTTCCGCAAGGCATCGTATTCCTTGTTGTCCACCATCGTCAGACAGACCTCCTCGAATCCTTTGCTGCTCTTGCCCCAGACTTTGGCGGCTTCGAGGAACTTGCCTTCTCCGGCCAGGAAATCACCCGATGCAGTCAAGATCGCATCTTTCTGCGCCTGAGTTCGAGCAAATTGAAGCGCCTCATCGAATTTCTTCTCTTTTAACAGAACCTTCCACACATCCCTGTCTTCATCATTTGCTACAACTTCGAAGATCTCCTGGCCGGTAAAGAGCCAGTAGGTTTTATGTGTCAAATCGGTCAGAAGACCCAACGCACTCTGCCTGGGCTCCAGAACTGCTTCATCGTACACAGTCTCTGCATTTAGGCGATTGACGGCAACAACTCGCCCTTCGACAAGCGCTAAGACATGCCACTGGGACAAAGTCATTGCAGAGATAGGATCTTGTATCATCTTCCTGCCACCTCGCGCGGATTGAGAGGCGGGGAACTTGGACCGGGGAAGCATTTTGGCCTTGTCAAACGGGGATTCAGATGCAAGTTGCCCATGGAAGATCCCCTGCGAGGTAAGCCAAGCAAATTCCTTCTCAGTAAACCCCTCTGCATGGGGACCTTCTGATGTCGACGAAAGCACTAAAGAAGAAGGCACGGCGCCAGATGCGTTTTGAACCTCGTGGATCAATGCTGTCTCGCGCTGGAACAGATCCGCATATATAGGCCCGCCACCTTCCCGTCCATGTTTCACTGATCCCGTACGTCCCAGGTAGTGTGTCAACTTTCCATGTGTCGCTATCAGAATTCGCCTTTGCTCTGGTTTCAACGAAGCAAGCTCAACACATATCCCGATCACCGGGGAGGCATCCGGCACTTTGTAAACTGCTGCGACATATTTCTCTTCGCGCCGATAGAACTCCGTAGATGGCTCGATGTAGGTCTCGTAGACATTTCCATCAGTTGTGCCCAGCAGGATTTCACGCGTCGAGGCAGTTGGCAGGGAAGGATTCCAGGCAATGCTTTCGATGGAGACACCCTTTAACCGGGATAAGATCTTGGGCTGTCGCGACTGGGTATGAAGGTAGTAGTTCTCGCCGAGGGTAGTCGTGATAATCAAATGAGATGCGGTAGGGTCGAGAAACATGCGCCGGATAAGACCAGTCTCCGAAGACTTCTTAGGCAGGTCGATGTCTGTTATGAGGGGACACAGTTAGACTCCGGACGGCGCGGACAGCATTGCGGGGTCATGGTCGCATACCATCGATATCTTCAGGGGTATCCAGGTCAATACGGAGGATCCGGCCCGTGGAAAGGGCCAAAACTAGCACATTGTTGGCGACTTGAGCTGCCACGAAGTCCGCAGCGATCTGGAACTGGAGCTGCACCCGTTGGACGTCGAAGATGGGTAGGGAGTCGTCTGCGGACCCCATCAGGTTGTTGGGGGCGACATAACTGCTGGAACCGTCCAGCGCCATGGTGCGCAATGTTCCGCTATATCATGCCGATCGCGCAAGATCTCGAAGCAAGTTGGCAAGCTTGAGGGAGCTTGAGGGCGGGAAGAGGAGCTGGTGGAATGCGGAGGTGCCTGTCTGCCTGAGGCCACCAACAAGGAAAGAGGCTGGGCACCTCGGCTTGACTACATTCAATTTGATAGCACCATCATAGCGTACTAGTAGTAATGCATTAAACCAAATGAAATAGGCTATTATCCGATTGATATAATTCTACTTATGCATTGCAGGGGTATCATCCATGGTCAAGATGCAAAAGTTGGAAAAATATACATGAGCTGGGTATTGGGTATCACGGAAAGCTTCGACTATAACCCTTCTGGGAACAAATCACCAAAAGAAAATTTCCACTGGGTATTCGGAACTTAAAATGCCCTTCCAATTCTCCTTCGACTTACCTATGGTATCATAAATTCTGTCCCTCAAAGCGTGGTCATTCATTCGACCTCATACGCAGTTGGAGAAAGTTCCATATCATCGGGGACCCCGTCACCACTCAATTTGTAAGAACCCCTGGAATCACATCAAAATGCACTCCCTTTCGGGTTTTCGACTCTTCTCTTTGTCTTTCTCTTTATCCTTCTCCTTCGACTTATCTTTGCTTTTGCCTCTCGAAGTCCGGTCCGTCGTTCGGCCTCGTCCACCCTTCTCTTTACCCTCGTATGCAGTTGGGCCCAGCTTCATATCATCTGGAGCCCCATCGTCGGCCTCGAATGAGGAATCATAGCCTTCGCCTTCACCATCACTGGTGAATTTATCTTTACTCAATCGCCCTGTAAAACGGGAGATGGTCACCCCAATTCTATTCTCGCCAGTCTGGCTCCCAGCACGGCTCCCAGAGTTGCTTTTGGTGTGAGGGCGAGAACCGCGACGAGAAAAGGTGAACGGGTTCTTCGTTGATTCTTCCTCCATTGGTGCCAGCCTCGGGGACATCGACGGCATAGACCGCGCTTGAGGGCCACTCGGGGCTGTCTCGGAAAATATGACGCTGGACGGTCTTCTTCCAGTATAATTCAAGGCCAACAGAGTTTGATTGTCGGGCCCAGTGATTTCAACGCTAGGCCTATTTGAAGGCACGTCACTTGTGGTCCCATTTGTTTGGTTTGAAAAGGCCCCAAGTCTCTGGGTGATATCGACCATATCCCCATCAAGAGTGGAGTTGGATGTGCGTGACGAAGGCGCATTGGCTAGCGAGGCATCTTGGTCAATAGGAAGGATTTGGTAGAAAAGGAGGTATGGCGATTCGGTCTTCAGTGCCGTCTCAATGTCGATGAGTGTCACTCGCTCAGAGGCTAGGTCATCGAATCTCATCCAGTGCTTTGGAGACTCGCTGTTGCCATTAGGCACAGGGTCAGGTGCAGGAGGGTTAGCACTAGTTCCCCGAACAATGGAAATGTAGTGCCCTGAGTCGACAGAATTACCCCTATGACAAACCATGGCTTGGAGAGACAGCTTGAAATTCCCATAAATGGGCGCGTCTGCATCCATGTTGTCATCTTGGATGAAGTGCGGCAGTCCAATTTCAGTAGGTATGTCGACGTATGTATTCCGTCGTATAGCTACTCCATTTGGAGTGAATGAATATCGCTTCAAACAAATGCCCAGTATGGGCCGCTTGGAAGCGAAGTGAGCTGCTACTTGGGCATCATTCTTTGGTGTATTTTCCGTGTACCATGCTTCATAAGAACAAGTTAGCATAAGCACTAAGATCTTCTTGTCAGGGAGAAGGGAAACTCACGAATAAGACTGAAGAATTGCCAAGCCGGCATCATCACTTCCTTCCTGAATATGCCCCTTCGCTGCTGAGGATCTGAGCCCGGTGATAGCTGGTTGGCCTTTTCATCGGTGGGGTCCGGAATAAATCGTTCACGGACGATGCTACCTCGTCGACTAATACTATTTGGCCCTAGGGTCTCAGTTGATTGCTCGACGGACGACCACGGGTTTGGCTTTTCTCCCTGGGGCGAGTTTGATTGCACTGGAGATACTGTTGGTGTGGTAACAACCTCCTCGACATGTGATGCAAAGCCTTTTGAGATAGACATGGAATCCACAGAGCGCGTTGAGGCCAGTGTATTCCGTCGCTCCATGTGTCGCTTTACTTCGATTCGGTTGTTAAAGTACGCTTCCAAGCAATCTTCGAGGGTGAGGGTTGATCCATCGGTAGGCTCTGGTGGAAGGGCCACCTCAAGCAGTCTTTCGTTGATGAATTTATGGTCGTCACTGGCATCTTCCTTGCCCGTATGGTAAATATCCATCTTGAGGGTAAGAAGCGGAAGCTCCAACGTCCCCGTAATGAAGGTGAATGCTTCGGAAGCATCCTGTTGTCGGAGATTAGCAGCATCCTCCCAGCCGCATTCCGCGAGCGCATCTTGAATATGTTTGGTCTGTATGACTGATTAGCCCGGCGCCCCGATAAGGGAAACTTGCACAGAGAAAGGATCCCATACAATATCCGTGGTAATGAGCTTCCCGCTTCGCAACAAATTCACCCAGAACCTCAATAAAATCGCGAGCTTCCGACGAGGTTGATCCGATTCATCGAAGGTTTTGTACAAAATTGCTTCGAAGCAGTCGAGCCGCGCAAACATGGAGAAAAGGAGCGCATCGAGGTAGCATGTAACACCGTTCCGATTCTCAGCGCCAAGGAGCTTAGTGTTGGGCTTGTAGTTTTCAATGATCCCCTCGATGGAGTCTTCCAACAGGAGCAGCAGGCTGATCGCTTCGTCCACATCCTCTTGGGTACGAGTGAGAGCATAGCTGAAATGTTCCTCCTGCAAAGATGTTATCCCTTTCGATCTGAAAAAATTCTCGACTGTCTTGATCTGTGGATGACCAAAATCGTTAGAACGTGCACATCTGACCGGGTGAACGTTGGGAACCGCATACCTTCTTCTGGTGTTCTTGATCGTTCTCTGTAGTCGTCTGGGGCGTGAAGAAGCCTCGAAATAGCGGTAGTGTAAGAATATTGGGTTTCTAGATAAGCGCTGAGTTAGCAAACTTTGTATCTTGCTTCCCAGTAAGCAGCCATGAGGGGAATTTCTGAGTATGCATGCTTCATGTGTGCCCGTACCTCTTCCTTATCTTTACTCTGTCGTGATCGACTGCGGCGATCGCGGCGAGTGAGGAACCGATGAATGCCGCTCATGGTGGAGGTATGCCCCTACTTGCAGGGGTCCGGATCGTTTCAGATCGTTGGAGTTGACGTATCTCGAGAAGGCGACATGCGGGGAGAAGAGCTCTTAGTCAAGAGCTTCGTTGAGGCTGCAGAATTTCCATCAGGCGCACGGAAACGCGGGGCCATCATATGCCTAGTGCTTCTGACTTGGGCACGGGACAACAGGCAGTGACCAGTCAGGAGTGTGAGAGTCGCCCATGCGAAATGACAGGAGATCGCGGGACGATCGAATGGGAGCTAATCTGTTAATCACTTTGCGCGGGGCTGGTTACGCCGCGGTTGCAGCCCGATATCTAAGGTGTCAATCAATGAACCACGTGACCTAACACCGGCAAACAATTTTCGGCCGCGACGGACACCTCTGGATGAATCTCCGAATCCAACAACACCCCATTATACACAAAATGGCTGCTAGGGAGCCATCTAGACACCTGGCTAGGGCACTCCCTAGGGCTTTTGCGCCCTCGGCTCGTCCTCAGGCTTTCATCGGCCGACGCAATGCCTCTGACGAAGCCCCGACAAGACGTTTATCGGATCAGCTCGATGAGCTGGAGTCGGCCTCGTCTTTGACCTCGAAGGTCTCCGACAGTGCAGCGAAGTCCTTCGATCCGGTTACCCGGGCCAAGTCTCGCAGAGCCCAGCTTCCTCGCAGTCGGTACGTGAAACTACCAGAAGACTTGTTCCACTCCTTGAACGAGTCAACGCGATAACCTTGAAGCATAAGCTAACATCACTCCCCAACCAGATACCAATTCCGATCTCCTAAATATGACCGCGGTCCTCTCCACCCTCACCAACCTCCTGCCCCCTCCGATCCATCCTCCCGCCTGTTCGTCCCAGGCCCGTTCTCCCTCCCGCGCACCGAGCAGACCTACAACTCGACCATCGCATCGGACATCATGACCCTGTGCTACGTGCACACACCCCCTGGCTTCAAGCCTCCCCCAAAGCCCCGCGTCTGCGCGAGTGGGACGACTGCTCGCCCTACCATAAGAACCGTCCGCTCCGCGGACCCCGCGGTGGTGATGTGCTGCGGTTACTGCGCAAGCCAATCCGATTCAACAACATCCCCAAGATCGAGCGGATTACCATCCACAGTTATGTCAAGCAAGCGGCGCAGGAGAACTCGTCCTGGATTCACGTTGCCGGTATCGCCATCCAGGCTATCTCCAATATGCGCGTTGAGACCTTCAAGTCCAAGTCTAGCGTTGCCACTTGGAGCATTGCCCCTGGTCGCGACACCGTCGCTGTCAAGGCTGAGCTGCAAGGAGAGAATATGCACCACTTCCTTGGCAAGCTGATTGACGTTGTCTTGCCTCGCATCAAGGACTGGCAGGGTGTCAAGGGTAGCAGTGGTGATAGCAGTGGAAACATCACCTTCGGTCTGGAACCGGAGCAAGTTGCCCTGTTCCCTGAGATTGAGGTCAACTACGACATGTAAGATTTTGCGCCACCGCATTTACTCATGACCAGCTCGATGCTAATATGGCTATAGGTATCCTCCCAAGATGATCCCCGGTTGCCACATCACCCTCCACACCACTGCCAAGGCGGATAAGGATGCCCGTCTCCTTTTGAGCGCCATGGGCATTCCCTTCTACGGAAAGATCGTCCAGTAAGCTTTCAGCGGAAACTTGAGCCCTAGCTGATTTTCTGCTGTCTTTGTGCATCTGGCGTTGTGTCGCCATCCAACCTGTAACTTTAGAGGTGACCTGCATAGTGGTCACTGTGATTCCAAACCTGTGTATTATCTCGTTTAACTTCATTTATATCAAGCGCCAATTACTCAGTCAAGCTGCTACCAGTACTACTCGAAGTGTTATCGTAAATTACTTGGAACTTGAAGGTATTAGCATTACTCATTCCAATGTAATTCTTTTTTGAATCAAACCATCATCAAATACAAGACAGTCAACCAGGTCCCGTTCAGCCACGATCTCATCGAATTACTTGCCGGAAGGAGGAAAGTCCGAGACAAATAAACGGCTCAGAACAGCGGCAGCCAGGTAAAATATCATCGTACATAGACACGAGAGGTAGTAAGGATATGATCGCAAGGCGTTACACAGAGACATTGATATCATGTGATGGGCATCGCCAGGAACTTGCACTTCAACAGCTCATCGGCACTGGGTCTTTTCTCATATTCATGCTGGAAGGTCATATCCAAGAACTCGGCGGCCTCTTCGCTAACATGCTCGGGAGTATGAGGACGAGCCTTGTTACTGCCGATAGCAAAGATCGCCTGCAGCTGACTGCAATCCGGAAAGGGGTGAGCACCAATGAACATTTCCACGACGAGACAGCCAAGACTCCAGATATCGGCCTTCTTGGTGTGGGCTGTTTGCCGCACGACTTCCGGTGCCATCCAGTACACACTGCCTTGCATGGAGGGTCGGTGCATGTGTCCGGCACTGCCACCGCCTGTACTAGCTCGCGAACCGAGGACAGTGGAAGCTTCCACGCGCTTGGAGATACCGAAATCGGAGATCTTGACGCCGCCCTTGTTGTCGACCAGAATGTTCGCTCCCTTGATGTCTCGGTGGATGATGTCGCAGCTGTGCAGGTAGGATAGGCCGGCCAGGATCTGACGGACAAAGTTCTTGACCAGAGGCTCCTGGAAGGTGTTGTATTGCGTCAGCATAGTGGCAATGGAGCCACCAGGCACATACTCCAGGAAAATGTTCAGGTATTGGTCATCAGTAGCGGTACCCAGGTACTGCACAATGTTGGGATGGTGCATCCCCTGCAGAAGTTCTATTTCATGCTTAAGGGCAGTAACCATGAGATTCTTGCGCTTGTCAAATTCGGTTCCCTGGGTAGCGGAAGGAATTTCGACCTGCTTGACGGCCATGAGCTCCCCAGTGATGGCATGGAGAGCCAGGAAGACACTTCCAAAGGAACCTTCGCCAATGAGCGAACCCTTCATCCAGTTCTTGGGTGCGAAGTTGTTTCCAGCCAAGAAGTCGCTCATCAAGCCTGCATCATCCTCTTCTTCTCCCTCTTCACCCTCATTGATGTTGAGAGTGCTCATGCTGTCATTGAAAGAATCGCCATCGGTAGCCGCGACGCTCATACTCTCATCGAAAATGCTGTGGCGCGAAAGATTGGGCTCATCGGAGCTACTGTCAAAGGAGACATATGATTTGCGGTTGGGCTCGATGGGAGATTCTTCTTGGAGAGGCTGAAGGGAACTCGACGCAATCGAGTCCCGGTATGAGGTGTGAGGAAGGTTGAATTTGGAGAGAGACGGAGGCCGTGAGGCACGGGCTGCCTGTGCCCCGGCTTGGCCTTGGGATGGCTGGAACCATGTGTCGGCGATATTGGGCATCGGGGGGATAGGAGGAATGGGAGGTAGGGGAGGGAGCGGAGGTGCATCTTTGAGACTTGATGCAACGCTATAGTTGCTGACAACACTCAGGCGACTCGCTGCGCGACTGAGGCGTTGGGATCTGCGCATTGTCTTCGCAATATCCTCTCGGTCGTGACTAGGGAAGAAGGATTGGAGCTCGTGGATGATCATTTCACTCGGAGGTCTCTGGCCGAAGAAGGACCGCAGCTTGGCCACGGGGTTGCGCTCGTTGCCTGGAGATTGTTGACCTTGGTCGGCCGGAGTAGGGGACGGACGATGGCGCGGGGGGCCCAGTGGGGAGATGGGCTGCTTGGTGTTGATGACATTCCATGGCTCGCCCGTGAGCTGCTGGATTTTGTTCTTTTGCCGATGATTGGACTTATTGAGCGCGTTCTCGTGGGTAACCTTGCTTTCATCGTAGGCCAGCTGGGACGCGCGACGAAGCTCTTCTTGGTCGGGCTCTCCAGCATGAATCTTCCGTAGAATCAAACGACCGCGTTCCGACTTGTTCACGCCATCGCAGATCTCCATCAGCTCGTTCTCGGATAGTCGTCGGCAGTTCGACAGGACCGGCTCGAGGCCATCCAGGACATAGAAGCAGTAATTCCTGTACTGGTGCTCAGGGAGCTGCAGCTTCTTGAGAACCGAAATGATGAGTTCATCGGGAGTCCTACTGTTCCGAATGTCCAGAACTTTGGTCTGGCCACCGGTGTAGATGACCCGGATGACCGGGCTATGTTGCGGGAGAGGGCCCATCGTGAGACCGTCCAGACTGTTGTTGCGTGGGTGAGATGAACCAGGCGTGCTTGGATTGCGTCCTGAGCCGGAGCCGCTTGTGAGATAGCCATCCTTGCGGTAGGCGCGGTCGGAGTCTGCAGGCGGTGATGCCGGTTGAGACGAAGACTTGTAGCCATATCCCTCCCGGGACCAACGCCCGCTGTTCAGCGTCGAGCGAGTGTTATCCGTCAGCACTGCGGCTTCCATTGCAGCGATTTTTTTCTACACGCAAGTCAGAGGAGGTCATACAGATACAGAGCAACAGAAACGGTTTCTACTTACCATGTTCTTTTGCCGTGGGTCGACCATGGTCTTGTTACGAAGCTGCTTGATCGCAACAAAGATGCGGACCCGATCACCCACTTTCTTAATGCCCATCTCCTGCAGGATTTTTTGATCGCAGTCAATTAAATTATCCCCATTGAAATTATTCGCTGCAACAAATTAACTTCTGTCTGTCCTCAGGTGCGCAAGGAGCCTTACCTCGAAAGAGCGACTCATACTGGCCGCACTTGATGCTGTGAAGCCATGCCACGACCTTCTTCTCGTCCCACGCCCTATAGTGAATTCAGCAAACGTGCGTCTTGCAAATTGGCTCCCAGTAGTATACCACTACTGGCTCATCTGAGGCATACCGGACACCAAAGTGCTCATCCTGTCCATCCGAAAACTCCGACTTGGTTGGGCTGGCGAAGCCAAATCCATCGGACACTTTGGTCGCCGTCGCGGGCCTGGCAGTGTTTGTGTGGGAGGAGGTGGTCGACGCCTGAGCCGCTGGAATCCCCATGCCGGCCGAGTACTGCGGTTTTGAGGCCAGCATTGTGGCTGTGATTCGCTTCGAGACCCGTTCCTCCTACTCGTGCTTGCTTGTTCTCCCGCGGGTGCAATTGATCTCGGTCGCAATGCTCCCTTCCTCCGCCTGCGGGCAAGAGCGTGTCGCGCCGATATCGATGGTGAGTCGTCAATTTGTGTGTCGGTCAGCACATAGTCTCGCCCGGAATCGTCGACGCGGTCAGCTCGCGGGCCCAGTGGATGGTAGTGATAGTTAAGGGCGGGCGGGATGTTGGATGTTGTGGATGGTTCCGCCTTTGCGGCGTCGGGCTCGCAGGTCCGAGGGCAGCCAGCACTATAAAACCTCGCACGCACTCGCAAGGCCAGGGAGGGACGAGGAGGCATACAATCACCGCTGAGAGTCCCGGTCCAGCACGAGCAACTTGCAGGCAGTGAGGAAGGGACGATCGCGATGTCTGAGCTTTTTTGGGGTGAGATCGGAGCCACTTTCGGACAGTTAGTGCGGTCGAGATCGGGCGTTAATCACAGAGAGACTCACCCCACCGCGTCCAATCGACGATGCGACAGCCCAAAAGCAGGCCGGGCGACTGGTTTTGTAGTCCCGGCTGAAACGCGGCCGTCATCAAGGGGGCCTTCACGTTCCCCACGCGTTTCACCCCATCGGAGATGTCATCTCGTCTCCCTTGCCACAAACAGCCTGCACCTTGCGCGCCGGTCCATCCCATCCACGGCGACAGCAAAATCGCTCCTCAGATATCGCCCTCGGAATCACAGCAACTAGGATCATGGGGGGTTGCGGACACGCAGAGAGGCCCCACTCCTGAAACGGCGGCTCTGAAACACGCCCTGGCTGTGACCCAGTTGCATTTCACCGATAGGCGTGGCCCAGCACGGTTTCCGTGGTTTATCCTCCTGCCAGAATTAGAACAAAGACGCCGAAACATGGCTGTGCGGTACTCAGAGTGCGGACCACCGGTGCCATGTTGCCTCAGCTACCGACCAGCGGTGCATACGAGGCCAGCCCTACCTAGGTACCTGCTACTGTAGTAGGTGTTTCTGAAGTACACCTGCGGGCGGTCCCTATACGAGTCTCAGCGGTGAGACAAATGAACCAGTTCAAGCTAAGTACAGGTTGCAGGCGTACGTATGCACCAGCATGCCACAAGTCCCATCTCCACTGCAACAAAAATTCCAAATCCCCAAAGTCGCTCACTGCCGCTTCTCCGCACCGGTGGAGCCACCTTGGGCCTCTGAAGGACAATACCGAAAGGTCCTTGTGGCCTCAGATGCTGATTCTCTGTCAAGAAAACATCTAGGTTTGTAGCTTTTGATTTGGGGCTTGAATTTCCAATCTCTCTTGGATCCCAACCACACTGATGCGGTATCTGATATTATCAGCCTTGCCGGTGGGTATGATATATCCAAGATTGATCACCTCTGTGGATGACCACCTTCTATCAAAACTCATTAAAATAGAGAGTTGACACCAGACTGAAAATCTGCCAACCTTGGAAGATTGTTGAACTGTCTATCTTCTTGCCCTTCCAGAGTAGATGTGATCATTATTATTTTGAGATGATAACTTGCAACAATATCACTACACCAAAGGATAAAGTTACAATTGTAACAATCAAGCTTCACATTTGCGAGTGTTAGTTGGCACCAACCTAATAGGTTCGCGTGGTATAACCACATCGCAGCATCTATGAGCTGTTCCACGCGGAATATGTCGCAAACATAGCTTATAAAATACACTACTCTAAGTGTCTTCCAGTAATCTTGGCAGTTCAAATATTCCAGATTCTGGGTTTCTGCGCGTAAAACTCTGACATGCTGTATATAATTTAATCTGTAGCGTGTAAATGCGCGCTTGTAGAAATGATTATCTGTTTCTGCTACTAACTACCCTAGGGCTTCCTAAGGGTTTTTCCGAGGTTTGATATCATGAGAAATTGGCAAAAACACTTGCCCAAATAGTATATGTAGTGTGATTAGGCCCAGAGGCCTCGATAAGCTGCGTGTCCAATATTTGAGAAATATTCCCTTTTATCTCTCGTACACCTAGTCGCAGCTTGAGTTTCCCGCGGATAATTCTACATGGTAAACCCCGGGGCTTGCAGACGCCAAGAGACTCTACAGCAATTGGCCATATAAAAGCTTATTCTCAGTAGGATACCACAATAATATTTCCCTCATCTTCCCCAGGGAGACTAGCCTTTCGATGTTTGTTTATGGAGCATCGCGTCGGCTGTCGGCTTGGGTGTCCACTCCTCCGGCAAGTACGTCTCGATGCAGGTATTCGAAGCGCGCCAGGACGGTCACAGCACCACCTCCGCAGAAATAATCGCCAATTCGCCTCAGCTGCTGCCATGCTGCCTCTCGCGGATTTCCATTTCTACACTGCTCCCCTGGGTGCTGGGCCTGCCACATGGCCCACGTGACCGTCTCCCCCTCACTGGCGCCAAACCCCACAGTTTTTTCTTTCCCCGCTCAGCGCTGGGCCTCGAATTCTTTCCCCTCTCTTCCCCCCAGACGGAACCCCAACCCCAAATATGGATGACGAGAAGGCCAAAGTCAAGAAGAAGGGTGCCACTCACCGCAAGTCCCTATCCTGCGAATACTGCAGCCGATCGTTCGCCCGCCTCGAGCATCTCCAACGCCATCTCCGCACCCGTTGAGTAACCCCCTCTTACCCTGTCGCCGCGACCCTTCTCCTAATGTAGGACAACAGATACCAAAGAGAAACCCTTCTCATGTGACATATGCTCCAAGTCCTTTGCGCGCAGGTAAGGCTCAATTCACTTACCCAATCGGACAATCGCTGATATTGTTGGCATTCGCAGTGACCTCCTGGTGCGACATGAGCGATTGGTCCACCCTGCCGAAAGTGCGGCCAGTCGCGAACATCGCACGCACAACGGGACCGAGAATAGCCACCACGAGATTCCAATCCAGTCGTCCATCATTCAACCTGCCCATCATGAGTCGCGCATGTTAGAGCTGGCCGACGCCATTCCAGTCCATACCCAAGTCCCGCCGCCTCCACCTCCCGAGGTGCAGGTCCAGCCTCCCCCGATTGTCGAGACTCCCCACTTCAATCCCTCCTGGGGCTACGACTTAAACCTCTTGTCGCATGCCGCGAGCCATGTCGCCTTGGAAGGCCAGCAGGAGAGCTTGGATTCCATCCGAAAACCTTCGCATGCCGTCGATACCCCCTCCCAACCAATCCCCCCGCCCCCGGAGAGAGCCATCACCGACAACTATGGCGTAGAGCCCTCCTTCCTCGACCTCACAGACCTTGGTGATCCCGTTCAAGACTTTACCGTCTTTTTGGAAAGCGTTGGTCTATCGTCCGACTGGGACTCGGGAGTCTTCTCATCGGTCGAGGAACCCATGCTGCCACCAAGCCTTTCCATTGATTCGAAACAGCAAGTGCGAGATACGCCAGGCTCATCGAGATTGGGTGCTGATTTAATGAGCGATCCGCGAGTCCAGGCGGATGAGCCGCCTTCGTTTTCCAATTTTGGTTCGCGTCTACCATCGTTACAGCCAGAGTCTCATGAAATGGAGGACCGGATTGGCCTTTCGGACGATAGCTCACGGCCAGCGTGGGATATCACCAATGCTGACCGTCAGGTGTTCATTTCGAAACTGGAGGAGTTTTCTTTTATTCTCCCCAAGGGCTTTGTGCCGCCCTCCCGCCATGCTCTCTCCAGATTCTTTGCAGGGTATATAAATGGTCTAAATGAGCATTTGCCCTTTGTTCATGTTCCTACTCTGTCGATTGCCAAATGTTCACCAGAGCTCACACTTGCAACGGCAGCGGCTGGCTCGCATTATCGATTTGAAAATGGCCGAGGAATCGACCTCTTCCACGCGGCTAAGGCTATCCTGCTGGAGCGTCTCCGTCGACGAGATAGCAGACAGGTCCCCCATCCATCATGGAACTACATCTCTCCACCATCCAATTATCAAAACTCGCGAGGCTCATCGATGATCTCAAATACTGCAAGCAGCCCTTTCCAGAGCCACCACATGCCGAATCCTCCTGTTAATGCGTCGATTTACACTCCCGATGACTCGGATGCACACATGGAAGTGATTCGAACCTTCTTGCTGCTGACCGTGTTTGCTTCCTGGGAGAGACAACCAGAGCTACTGCGCGAGATTCTCTCGCTTCAAAGCACATTGGCAAGACTTGTTCGCGAGCATGGCCTGGCAGAACCCCCACCCACCCCCGAGCCGATTAGCTGGGAGGAGTGGATACGGAGAGAGGGGAACAGGCGGACGAAACTCATCGTTTACTGTTTCTTTAATCTTCATTCGATCATGTACAACATACCCCCCTTGATCCTCAACGGCGAACTGAAGCTCAATATGCCCTGCTCGCATGACCTGTGGAAGGCTACCAATGCGCCGCAGTGGCGACGACTTCACCGTACCCGTCAAGGACAAGATGTTTCTTTCCAGGATGCATTTGCCCGCCTGTTCCTCAAAGCATCCGTCTCTTTCCCGTCCGCTCCAATTTCTCCTCTGGGCAACTACATCCTCATCCATGCTATCATACAACAAATTTTCTTCGCTCGTCAGCTATGCTTGTCGGCTCCCAATATGCACGGCACTAGTCTGCGGCAGGAAGATCTCAACGTGCTCGATAATTCTCTGGGTGCTTGGAAGGCGCTGTGGAAACGCACACCTGAGTCCAGCATCGACCCTCAAAACCCCGCGGGTCCCATTGCATTTACATCCACGGCACTATTGGGCCTCGCGTACATTCGACTGCATGTTGACCTGGGCCCTTGCCGCCATCTCATTACCCAAGATCCGATGCAGATTGCGGGGGCACTGATCGAATCACCGCCGATCGTCCGCAGCCCACGGCTGATCATGGCATTGCTCCATTCAGCCCATGCCCTCTCGATTCCTGTCCGACTGGGAATTGATTTTGTGGCCAGAACCCACTCGTTCTTCTGGAGTATCCAACATTCTCTATGCAGCCTGGAATGCGCCTTTCTTCTTAGTCGCTGGTTGCTGGCCATTCCCGCCACGCAGTCAGACCAGCGGCTGTCAGAACACGAACGGAAGCTGCTTTTGTGGATCAAGAGCATGATGGATGAAACCGACATGGCTGTTGATCCACCTGGAGCACCGGACCTAGAGTTCATGGCAAACCCGTACAAGGTACGCCAGCTTAGCGTTGCTATTGTCCGCGTTTGGGCCCGGACATTCAAGGGCAATACGAGCTGGGCCATTGTTGACCTAGTCGGGTCGAGTCTGGATGCTTATGCGGAACTGTTGGAAAATTGAGAATATCTCGCGAGGTTGTCTCAAGGCAAAGATGTGAACAGCATTGTTGCGATGCCACCAATTTCAACGTGGCATGCTTAATGACGTTATTGTTTGTTTTCTGTGCTTGTCTTCTTTTATTTCCTTTTTCTTATCTTTTTTTCGGATGGACATGATATCTCACGGAGTTCCTTTGTATATGCAAGCTTGGAAGGCTTGGGACTTTGGTTTGGATGGAATTCTTCATGCTTTATCTGTATATAAGTATAGGCCCGTTACTTGGACCCCAGGTTGGAGTCTTTGCATTGGACTGCTGCTTCTTTAATGATACCTCGAAATGATGATGATTCCAAGAGCCAGCTAGTTCACCCCGAAAATTTATCATATAAATCAAATATTCGTAGTACTGGTATGTAACGTGGTGTATAGGGAATGTGCTGCAATCTATGGGATGCTGATAGTTTGGTTCTATGGGGCATGTATATCGAGTATCTTTACGAACATTGGAAATCGGGATCATTTCAGTCATTAACTCATCAACTATCCCCAGCGCTTTTAGGAACTTTTGGGGGCGCCTTTGCGCAGTTTCTCGCCACGCTTGCGGGCACAAATCGGAGTGCTGACATGGAGCGTTCTAATTCAACGATCTCCATGTCATCCTTTTCTTCTTGAGGAATAGTCGCCGGGGGGTTCGATTGTGACGCTGAGCTGCGACGGCGCAGTCTTCCCTCATGAGTAGATGAGACGGACGCAGTTGAAAGGCGTCGCCTGCTGCTATTCAGCGGACGTAACAGGGAGGTCTGCCGATCTAAACCGTCATTTACAATATAGAAATTATAGCCCTTGAATCTCATCTATTAGCCAAAGTGCAACACCAGTATTCCAGGAGCAGAGTGGACATACCCGAGGAAACATATGCTTGTCTATCAAATGGAGTCTTCGCTTCTGGGGAGTCGAGCATTTCCGCTCGCAGTCCTCAATAAAGCAGCCATACTATTCGAGTGTTAGCTTCAGCACAAGGCCATGGCTTGGCTGGGATTCTAGGATTGGACGTACAGTTTTCTCCCCGCGCGCTCGCCTCGCTGCGGCCAGGGCATCATGATTCTCTTCGATATGTAGATTCAAGAAATGACCCGTGGGAAAGTTCTTGCTACATTCAGAGCAACGATTGACATGGGCCTGGAGGTAATGTACCTCATAATCCTCGTACGATGCGAACGACAGCGTCTCCCGATGCGGTGGAAGCTCACAATGCATGACCTCGGCGTAATCTTGCTCCCAATGAAGGATCTTATTGCGTTCCTGTGGCATGCCGGCGGTGCTGGGAGTTGAGGTCCTTGGGCGTACTGGAGAGGGCGTCCGCGAACGACTTCTTGATCGTTTGGACATCTTGCGGTGACTTGCTGGCGCTTCAGGCACCGGAGGTATGTGATTGATCCACTCGGCGGGGCTCAGTGCAGCCGTACACTGCGAGGGCACGCGTCCGGGAAGCCCATCCAGCGCCCAAGCGTGAAGTGTACAAGAGGCGCGGGTGCAATTGCACCTCTGTGGGTTGCTACCTAGGTGTTGTTCGAAGAGAAGTGAGCGCGGCGTGCTTAACTCCAGTATTTCCGCATCAAAGTCGACGTGACTGGGTGGCCCACCCTCGCCAATCAGCACCGCCCCAGGGGCGATTCCGCCGAAGTACTCCACGCGCATTTTCCTTTCGATAATCCCCCATCACTCACTCACTGTCACTTCGCTCGCTCGTTCTCATGGCGTCTTTCCTGCGGTCGCTTGTCTATGCCAGAGCCATCTGACAGCCGCGGACTGCGGTCAGGTTTTCGCTGGCATGGCCTCCTTCCAGGATGCGTGGCAGTCAGTCCTCCCTCTTTTACCCCCCCAGTGTCCCGCAAAGCTCGGGAAGTCGGAACAGGAATGGAATCTCACAAAGATCATGACAGAACCGCGCTCAGCGCCGAAAGCGAACTGACACGATGCCTCGCCCAGAAGGAGCCGACATTTGCTGAGATCTCACACTTCCTCTCAGAGTACGTCAACGCCGCACTGTCCCTCAGCTCACGGCCAGATCCCGCTAACACAACGTCTTACTTTGACAGATTTCGCTCCATATGCCAGGATGCCATTCTGCTCGACTTCGATACCGCCCGCGACACGGATGTGGAGGGTCGCCTGTGGGACGCGCACCTGAAAGTGAACAATCGGTTTCGCAAGTTGCTTTCTCGCGTAAGTCCAGCTTCATGGGTGGGATCATTGGCAACAGTGATTAATATGGCTTTTATAGTATCGCGATGAGAACGCAAAGAAGAAGCCGGTCGAAAAGCGCAAGCTTGAGAAGCATTACTTGGATTTCATCAAGTCCAGCCAACGGTTCTATCGTGGCTACATCCAACACATCTCGTCGCATTTTGGAGGCATTGTGGAACTGGAGAAAGTCGCGCGCAAGTTCAACTTTGAGAGTACGAATACCCTAATTGAATTTAATGGGCTGCCGGTTCTCCGGCGCCCTGTGAATAACACCGATACTAATCACCAACCCCTTCCAGACCTGTCTGCGCAACCTCCGATTCCCACAACTCCCGACCTACGGAAACGAATCCTCCAATCCTGCCACGCTACCCTGATCAGGCTGGGTGACCTCTCTCGTTATCGAGAGACCGAACTCGTGAACAAGGATCGTAAATGGGGACCCGCGATTGGATACTATGACCTCGCATCCGTGATTTATCCCGCCTCCGGAACGTCGCATAACCAGCTGGCCGTTATTGCTCTCGCCGATGGCAACCATTTCCGGGCCACCTATCATTTGTACCGAGCTTTGTCTACCCAGAAATCCCACCCCTCGGCCAAAGGGAACCTGGAAATTGAGTTCAAGAAGGTGATGAGCCTATGGGCCAAACGAGAGCTGATCCGTCCTGAGGATGCTGGAATTCCCGGTAGAGCTCTCGCTCCATGGTTCGTATATCTTCACGCCCAGTGCTACAGAGGCAATGATTTCCCAGAACACGACGAGTTGGAGAGCGAGGTCATGAGCCAACTCGCAGTCGAAATCAGGGAAAGACCTCTTGAGGGAATGCTGCAGAAATTCTGCCTGGTTAACATTGCCGCCGAGGATTTTGCCAGAGCACGATCAAATGAGGAGCCAGTATCCAATGCGCGCTTGTTCTTTCAGCGAATCAACGTCAAAACATTCTTTACTCTACTGCAGATCCTTCTTGTTGAGCTCGAGCGATTCGCGGCCGAGGATTCGAGCGCAAGCAGCAACGGCAAAGATGTTGCCAAAAATGGCCCGGATAAGCTCACTGTTGTTGCCCGTCGAATTCTTCCAGCATTGAGGCACTATAGCTCTTGGCTTCTAGTGACCAACGAGTTCCTCGTTGCGCAAAAGGAAGAGAAGGACTCTGCCCTGTCTATTCAGATCCAAGAGTTCTGGAAGATTTATGCAGGAACTCTGACACTTCTTACATCTACATTTGATGTTGCACAGCTCCCGGAGATTGACTATCTCCTCGAAGATGACGAAGAGAGTCTTGGTTTTTTGCCTCTTGATCAGTCCTCCACATCTCGCCGATACATCGGCATCAATGGACAGCTCAAACCCCGAATGAACGATCCAGGTATTGAGAGAAGCCACCCGAACATGGAAATGATGTACAGAATCCGCGAGTTTGTTATCGACGGCCTTGATCTGGTAGTGGGCAACAAAATTCCAGTTGCGCTTATCGATGACGAAGACAAGAAGACCTTCCTCTACCGAGAAGATGGGTTGCCGTCCCAGTTTTTCTCGAGTCCACATGGCCACGAGCAGACATTGCCGACCCCAAATGTTGAACGGGAGGATATCCCTCCGCCTCCAGCAGCTCAAGACGCCAACTCCGCCGCGGAGGGTCGCAGCATGTTTGGTGGCTCTCAGGCTGCATCAGCATCCATGTCGGCGAACATGAACCGTATTGTGGAAGGCGTGGAGCGACTGGTAGAATCTGATACATACGAAAATGCGCCCAACGTTCCAGGCCCATATGCCTTTCTTAACGAGCCTCAAGATATCGACACACCTCCGGCGCATATGGGCTCCACAATGAACGGATTTCCTTTCAACGAACAGACCACGCCTCAGCTTGGAACACCCATTCCGCCTCCTGGACTTGCTCCCCCGAACCCCGGGGCAGCAGACTCCCTCCGCGCATCAATTTCTCAGTCGTACTCGCCGCTTGCATCTGTCCCTGGAATGCCCAGTATCTGGAACACGGCATCGCCTCCAGCTCCGCTCAGAGAGCGTACGTCTCCTCGTACGCCTCCTGGCCTAGGACAACAACCCCAGATGCACTCGATGGCACCCCCAAGTGCCGGTTTGCAGCGGACACCATCTCAAGGCCAGATCGCAAATGACCTCCTCCATCAAAGTATGATGGGTCATATTCAAACACCCAGTTTCTTTGATCCGGCTGGCCCAGTCCCTTCGTCGTGGATCCCACCAACAAACTCCTCAACAGCCCTATCTCGGCAACCCCCAGGCACTTGGGATGGTGATAATTTCAATCACATGGCCTATGGCTCGTATTCCAGCCAGCCTATGTCGAGCGCTTTGCCAAACCAAACCTGGGCCAATGAAGCTTTTATCGCCAGCGGTTTTCCGGCAAGCGGAGGGCCCTTTGCCCCGGGTTTTGGCAGCCACCGCAAATCAACCAGTCAGCTCGGAGCTATCGGTCAGACTCCCCCATGCGGGCAAGGAGGCTGATAAGCGAAGTAGTCTGCTTCTTTGCAAGCCTTATGTACAATGCATTTGCGGAATATGCCTACAACTCAGACCGGCCATCCGAGCAAGATACGTCAACGTCCAGTGCATGAAGTCAGATCTTCTCAACCGTTCTGGCCCATGTACACCGTTCTCTCGGGTGATCAGCGTGCGCTCGAAGAAGGTGAATTCAATGATAAGCTGTCCTGTTTCACATTTAGAAGTTGTGGATGTTCCCGCCAGAGCTGGCTCTGGCTCTTGTGAACGGCTCTAACCCAACCACTTCCTAGCAATGCGTGCGTTTGATGGGTGTTGAGTTATATTTTCCCTGTGCGGGATGCCTTCGGCCTCTGATGCTATCCGACTTTTTGATCCTGCGTGGCAGCCATGCGAATGCTGTGCCTCTTCCGTTTCCCCTTCTAGGGCCGAGTTCCCTGGCTACGCGTTCAACACGCAGCACGAGTTGAGATCAAAGTCTGGAAGGTGAGCCTCAGAAGAGGACTTCAGCATGGCCAAATTGCTTTTTTTTCTTCTTTTTTTTAAGGCCACTTGTTTGATGCGAGATGAATTTGTTTCGTGAGACCCCCTTTTTTTCGAAATGCCCTCCCCATACTCTGTGTTCTGTTTTTGATTGGAGATTTAGCCATGGAGCAGCAGATGAGCGACCGGGATATTCCTTTCCCAGAGGTCTGGAATTGGTTACTCCAAGTTGGATCTTTTCTCAGTCGGAAAGATGAGGCGTGCCGGCTGGCAATCAATATGAGCATTACCCCTAGTACGACTGATGGTTCCTTTGCCCCTTTTTCCTGGACCTTCTAAAATCGTAGCTGCCCTGTCATAACTCTTTCAGATAATACAGAACTAGAGCCCTGGCCAAACACGGTGCCAATTTCGACGTCAAGTGCCACATCGACTATGGTCTGGATAAACAAACCTTCACTCTGCCTACTGCCAGGTTCATTGCTCAGTCATCTATCTGGTCAGCTACCTGGTCAGCTACCCAATCATCTACACGATCAGCTGTCTGGCTAGCTACTGCTCTAGAGAGCGATGCTGAATGAATTGGTTCGGGCAAAAGAATATTTTCTTCAGAGAGCAGAAGGATCATTTTTAGACTCTAATTGCCTGGACACACAAGCCGAAGAACTAGCATTTTCCTGAAAGGTCAGGGAGGGGGGTGTGGCCGTATCTACTCCCTACTTACAGCATCTATGGATTTTCCATTTATTCATAAATTCGTTGTTGAAAACGGGGCCCATCGCACAGCCCGTTCATGTAGGTTGCGAAGATACCTTTCATCATGTTAAGTGGTTCGTGACGGCAGTAGTAGAAGGAAATTAAGAAGAAAAAGGTGCTGTCAAAAAGGACAGTGTAAAGACAGTGTACCTTTCGATTCTTATTTTCTCGACGTTGGGTCGTTATCTCGATAAAAAATAGGAGCAGGAAATGAAAATTGGGTATAGAGGGTTGAATCATCCAAGGGTTAAGTGGCAAATGTTCAACCGGATGGGCTGAGCAGAGCCGAGATCTTCCTGGATAGGAGATCTATGTGTTGAAAATCTTCATTCAAATCTATTCTTTTAAGCTTGCAGAGTCGTTATCGCTTAAGAGCGGGAGTAGGTCTGCTTGGGGGAGGGGAAGCTGTGTTTATCATGTTAGTATAAAGGTCCGTGTACGGGTATCCATGTTAGAACTTACGAAGGTCCAAGCTCCTGGATGCTCTTGCTGGCCAGCCACTGACCCATATCAATGCTGTCCTCAAGGGACTGGCCCGAGACAATACCGGCGCAGAAACCACCGGCGAACGCATCACTGTGTTACGGAATCAGCAAAGGGCTTTGGTTTGATCTTACGTGAGAAAATATGAGCTTACCCCGCACCGTTAGTGTCATTGATGGCGTCCTTGGAGATCTCGTGGACACTGAACTGCTTGATCTCAACGTTTCCGTCGGCGGAGGCAATACCAACGACAGTGGGGTCAGTGCCCTGAGTGACAATGGCCACACGGGGACGCTGGGTGTTCTTCTTGGGGAGAAGAGCGAGCTTCTTGGCGATCTCGACAACGTCCTCGGTACCCCACTCGTGGCTGGCGGCGTAAGCGCGAGCCTCAGTCTCGTTACAAAAAGTGTAGTCGGTGTAGGGCAGGACAGTGTCCAGCTGCTCCTTGAAAAACTGGGGGATGAAGGGGGCAGAGAGGGAAAGCATGAAGACCTAAATCATGTGTGAGCGATCGTTGCTAGATTTGAACAAGTTTCAATCTACTTACCTTGTTCTTAGCAGCAGCCTCCTGACCCAGAGCCTCAATGGCGGGGACGCAGACAGTCAGGTGGTAGCCACCGACATAGTAGACCTGGGCCTTCTCGACGAGGGACCAGATGTGGGGCTGCTTTAGGTGCTCGATCTTGTACTCGTTGGCAGCGGCGAGGTGGGTGCACATGCTACGGTTGTGACCGGTGATAACAACACCGCACTTGCCGGTGGGCTGAGTCTCGTCGACACGGTATTCGGTGTGAACACCAGCCTCCTCACAGGTCTTCTTGAGGATAGCGCCGTACTTGTCGTTACCGACGCAGCCAATGTACACGACCTGGTTGTCGGGAAGCATGTACTGCGAATTTCATCAGTATCAGAATTTTCAATTATTATTGCCAACAGTTATGCCATACCTGAGCACCACGGGCGGTGTTCTGAGCGGCACCACCGGGGATCAGCTTAGCGTCCCGGGCCAGGAGGTCCTCGTAGATGCCCATGTGCTTCTCCTCGGCGAGGATGGCATCGTTGTCCTTCAGGCCATACTTCTCGAGGAGAGCAGCATCACTGCATCATACATATCAGAAATCGGGATCGCTATGGTTCGATTAAAAAGTCAATTCATACCCACGAGCCTGAATGTCTATTGGGAACTTGAAGTCAGCAATCTATACAACCTGCCTGGAAAGGTGTGGATACAACATACCAAGGAGAGGATTCTCCAGGCACAGAAGAGGATATCCTTGAGCGGCAGCCATTGTGAGGGAAATGAAGATCAAAAGTGAACTGAGGGGAGGGAAGAGGAGAGGGATGAAGGTGGGAGGGTGGAGGGGCCCGGCAGAAAAGAAGCCGGGCGGGAAGCCCGCGGATCAGCCAACGCTCCACCTCGACCTCCGACTTCCCAAACAACTTGAACTAGCCCCAACATCATCATCCTCACGACTCGGATCAGCCGCCACAATGGCCAATCCGGCGCTGGAAATCCCTGAGGCCATTCAGGCGGCGCATGTCCGCTCGGATCCCTCTCCTGCTCACGATTTGAACCCGTCCACTGCGGCCTCCGAGAAACAGCCCGTTGTCGCGGCCCCGGCTTCCGACGCAGGCAGCTTCCCTTCAGACTTTGTCGACCCCAGTCGTGTTATTCGCCCCGTTCGCCGCCGTCAGACCCTGCCGCCCCTCCCGGATCTCCGCTTTGAGCAAAGCTACCTGGCTAGCATCAAGGATGCCGATACATGGGGGCGAGTTGCATGGATCACTATTCGAGACCAGGTATGATATGCTTTGAAACAGCAGTGAATTACGCGGAGGATAAATTTTGGGGCTTGGTTGGATTGAAGACACCGTGCTAACACCGCTGTTCTTATACAGGTTCTCCTTCCCCTCATCCAAGGCACAGTCTGGACACTCGCGCTCTCGGGTTGGCGCTACTGGAACCGCACCGCCTCGCTGAGCGGACAGACCCTCGGAAGCCGAATTCGTAGATGGTGGTATGATGTCAACAACTGGAAGCTGCCACCCCTGAAATTGTCCCGGGACCCCAAGCTGGCAGAGCAAGTTGGAGAGGTGAGTTGACCTCTTTCCATGCGAGCAGTTTGAATCGAGCGCTCGCTTAAATGAACAGACAGACTAACGGATGTGGAGTTCTTGCAGTTTTATGGAGCTCAGTTCTCCAACGCAGGTGCGGACTGATTGCGCCAAAGGATTGACTGACTTCCACAGTAAATATCGGAGTCCTGTGGCACAATCTGCCTTACTTTCAGTAGCATCGGTTCAAGGCGTTTGGTATTTTCTTGATTTGTGGCTTAATGAGCTAGGCCTCTGTTTGATATCCCACCACTTAGAGTGGTTCTCTGTCTTTATCATCAATCGACAAGCGCGTCTAGTCGCAGTATTCTTGACTCCATTCGATTGTAGATTTTGGCTTGGTTGAGTAGGAGTATTGCAAGGAACCCTAAGGTGGTGTGCTCGGAGACTCATCTCATCGAGAATAATCTGATATCTTCCCAGGTGTTAATCCTTCCAGGTCTATCTACAATTATCAGATTGGCGACAAGAAACAACAACAAAACCCCATGAGCAAACTCCATTCTCAGCTTTGAACCCCACAATCAAAATTTCTTCCAAGAGAAGACATGCAACTTGACAATGACTTACAGGTTCACAGCCAGTAGACTCCTAGCCTTGGAAAGGGGCCTGCTGTTGGGGTGTTTGGATGCCAGGCTGGCTTCCAGCACCAAGGCTAGGCTCAGTAGGGGCCACATTTGGCTCTGCTAGCTGAGTGGTCTTGGGAATACCATCGGGTACGGGAAAGGGAGTGTTTGTGGCTGGGAACATACTTGATGCTCCTTCTGATGTCTGAGGAGCCATTTCTTCAGAAGACGGCGCTGCAGCTGCTGATGCAAACGGGGCTTGCTGGGGTGCAGGTGCTTCAAAACCGAAGGAAGACGCAGTCATCGCTGGTGCCGATTGTTCAGTCTCTGGCCCTTTCAACATGGTTTCTGGGGCGTAGCTTGGTCGTAGGACGTCTGTAGCGGTGGACGATGGTGCCGGTACTTCGACCTTGCTCATCTGCATTGGCTCGAACTTTTCGCCGGGAGGAGGTTCGTCAACTGGGACAGGATTGTTCGGTGCTTTTCCTTTGCCATATCTAAGCTGAACAACAAGGCTAGGGGGCTCTCCGTTCACGATTGACTCGTCGCCACTGGCGACCTCTCCATCGTCATCTCCGTCATTGTCATGTTCATCGTCATCCCCAACTTTCCATTCGTTGCCGCTCTCGTTACCTGACGATGCGGCATCAGACTCGTCCTCCAAGTCATCGGCATCATAGCCGGAATAGCCATTAGGGTGAACAGAGGTGCGGTTTCGCTGTGGTCTTGGGTTATCATCCTCATCTTCGGAATCCCCGCGTTGTCCACTGAGTAAAGAGGCGCCATACAGGCCACCGGCACGGGACCGAATCTGTCGTCCACTTGCGGTGAATCTGGGTCGCGATGGCTCAGCCGGTGTCACCGTAGTAGTGTTGCGGGCGGATCTTCTGGACGGGCCTTCATCGGAGAAGATATCCTCATCGTCGGAATATGTGTACTTCAGCTTCTTTCCGCGAGTGCGGCCTTCGTACATGGAGAAACCAGGCTCAGGCCGAGCAAACGCAGCTTTGCGCGCAAGACGATAGTCCCGACGTTTGCGTTTCTAGAGATATTGTCAGTGGCAATCCGATTTGAATCTCAAGTAACCAACATACATCTTCTGAAGCCTCAAAACGAGGGATCGCACTCAAAATTTTTTCACTGAGTTTCTTCGAGTTTGTGCCCTTTTCTTCTTGAAGCTTATTGGCAACGGCCTGTAACTCTGGGATGTCTCCAGCGACACTCCACCACGTGATGTGTTTCAGACTTGGGTTGCTTTCCCTGTATAAGCGAAAATGAGTGTCGTCTTGGCCCTCGATGAGCCAGTATCGTCGCTTTAAGCTATCGCGGCCCCAGGGTTGAACAGACAAAGGCTGGTTGAGATCATCATCGTGGCGGGCCTGCTTGTAGGACTCCTTCAGCTTAGCCTGGATTGCATCGGAAGATGAGAGGGACCATAGGATCAAGGATCTCAGTAGCTCGATCTAAGTGAAACCAACGTTAGAATCGTGCTGCGATGTAGTTTCGATGATTTGATAGCATACGCGTTCTTCCGGGGTCATTGTCGCAAAGCTGCGACCTCCGGAGAGGGGATTCTTGCCCTCCCACGCCTTGGGCCACTGTGAGTGGTGTGTGGATATTGCCTCCTCGAGTGGCCGGGTGAAGTGGTTTCGTCTGTAATAGCCAGATATCGCATTAGCTGTTGTTCTGGGGTCAATTGGCGGGTGGGAGCCAAAAGCGCATGTTGCGCGAGGTCTCCGCGCGGGCTTCGGGCATTAGGTGGCGACCATACTCAACATCCTTCTTGCGATTCAAAACGAGACCCAGCAATGCGCAAAGCAGTCTTTCGATGTATTCTCCAGGTGGATCCTCCACAACGCCTCTCTCGATATCCTGAGGTCCATAGTGCGGCAGTCCTCGAGGGAAAGCATCATGGAAACGCGCGCGGAACATGACGATGAACTAAGTAATGCGACAGATCAGTAAACGTGTCTGAGAGGTGTTGAACGCGTCATGAACGTGTCCATTGCTCTAAAACGGAGCTTGAACCATCATCAATCAAGCATCACTCACAGCGATATTGGGGTTGTCCGCGATAACGTATTCATGCGGTGGTGACGGCTCTCGTTTCGGCGGAGGAGTCGACGACTCCTTCTTGAAGTATTTCGTGATACCGACGGGTTGTTCAACATCCATGGTGGCTTCATCGTCTGTTGGCGGTGCCGAAGAGAGTGAGGAGGAGTCTGAGTCTGAGGTGGCCATGTTGGATGTCGTGGTGGAAGGTGCGAGGTTGAAGTCGGGAGTTCGCGCAGGAAGCCGTCACGTCGGCCCAGCACTGGCTCTGGCTAAGGTCTCCTGCGCCCGCAGGGCGATTACTTCACGGATTCCTCACGCGCCAGTGATTCGGTTATTACATGTTTTCCCCTTGGCGATTCCGAGAAAAATGCCTTGGGGTCCTAGGGTCGATATATCAAGAAAGCCTGAGTATTGAAGCTTTGTTGTTCGATCTAGTACAAAATGAATAGTCTACTATATAGGGCGGTTTCGGTTGCTTCTCTTTCTAGCACTTTCGTACAATTCATCCAAACAAATAGTATATCAGTGAAGGTAGGGTAGTTGTGCTTTCGATTCTCCAACACTTCCTAGCTCTTTCGTCTCAAACTACCCTAGAGTAGGTATCGCGACTGCCATTTGCAGCAGAGAGTATCTTGAAGTTGCTTTGCGGCTTGTTTGAATTAAATCTTGAGAGCAAGTCTTTCAAGGTAAGATAAAGGCGGCTATGGTGTGAAACATCCCACGCTGGTGCGGTAGATGGGAAAGGTCCATATGTAGTAGGGTACTTGACAGTGTACTGTAGAGCTGACGCTTCATTCTCCGCAGGGTGCCTGGTCGCGGCGTCAGGGCTACGGGGATGGTCACGTGGGATTAGGTCAGAGATCCTCAAAGTATGCAATGGACACAATCGCTCAACAGGCACCATTTGTCCGATAATATGACAGATGACATAAATATGATAGTTCAAATACTCTACTTCGTTGAAAATTTTTCTTTCTCCAATCAAGTTCCTCTTTTTCTATGGCTGCGAGGCGACTTGGATTTCCCCGGACTCGCTTGCATCGCTGAACGCTGAGGTAATCGACAATGCGCTAGACCCGATTGGGCTAGGTTAGCGACCACACCCTAAAGCCCACACAGTCCCAATCTCCGTCGATTTCTCATCCTCCCAACGACAAGCCCATCTTCAATTCGAGGTACGACCTTTTCCCACCACACGACTCCGACAACGCCGGAACTCGACTGTCGATTCCCGAATACTAACCTCTCTCACAGACAGTCGCCATGGGTCGCGTTATCCGCAACCAGAGGAAGGGCCGTGGCTCCATTTTCAGTGAGTTTCGACCGCAACAATTTATCCTACCCATCCACGCACGGTTTTTCGTCGGGACTGCGCACAAAGCAGTCGGGAGAATTGGAAGCGCTTGAGGGAATACTGTGAAATTGGAATTCGATTGCTGATACGAATTTTTCTTCTCATAGCGGCTCACACCCGTCTGAACAAGGCGCCCGCCCAGTTCCGTACCCTCGACTATGCTGAGCGTCACGGATACACCCGTGGTGTCGTCAAGGAGATCGTCCACGATGCCGGCCGTGGTGCTCCCCTCGCCAAGGTCCAGTTCCGCCACCCCTACAAGTTCAAGATGGTGACCGAGACCTTCATCGCCAACGAGGGCATGTACACCGGCCAGTTCATCTACGCCGGTAAGAACGCTCAGCTCACCGTCGGCAACGTTCTGCCCCTCGCCTCCATGCCCGAGGGTACCGTCGTCACCAACGTCGAGGAGAAGTCTGGTGACCGTGGTGCGCTTGGCCGTACCTCCGGTAACTACGTTACCGTCATCGGCCACAACCCCGAGGATGGCAAGACCCGTGTCAAGCTGCCCTCCGGTGCCAAGAAGGTCGTTAAGAACACCGCCCGTGGTATGGTTGGTATCGTCGCCGGTGGTGGCCGTACCGACAAGCCCCTGCTCAAGGCTTCCCGCGCCAAGCACAAGTTCGCTGTCAAGCGCAACTCTTGGCCCAAGACTCGTGGTGTTGCCATGAACCCCGTCGATCACGTATGTTACGCTTCGCAATCAGACCTCCACGACTGCATTGTCGCTAACCAGTTTTCTTCCTACAGCCTCACGGTGGTGGTAACCACCAGCACATCGGTAAGGCCTCGACCATTTCCCGCTACGCCGCCCAGGGTCAGAAGGCCGGTCTTATCGCTGCCCGCAGAACCGGTCTGCTCCGTGGTACCCAGAAGACCAAGGATTAAGCGCGATATATCTTGGAGTTTTTCTTGTGACGGGTTGAAAATGGACTTCTGCTATGAGACATATGTACTTAGGCGACTGCGGATAAGCGTCCCATGCGCCCTTAGCGAATTAAGGTTGTGGCCACCATCCTTTTCTTTTATTCAAATTACAAAGGGTGATGGAATGGGGTCCGGGGCTGGCCTCATGTCAAGGCAGAACGGAAAAGTCAAAAAAGCCCCTTTGGGGCTAGGAAATGATACACCTTTGAAATTCATCTGTCCTTGGCACCCAGTAGATCTAGCCTGGCTGTATTCCTGCTATCTGATGCGGTGCTGTTGTCGTAGAGCGTATCCCGTCGCCTAGATCTGAATATGCCATTGGGCGCAACAACATTGCGTGATATTACTATTGTACTTGCGTTCTATGTTGTCTATCCTTGCAACTTATTGACATTGACCCCTTGACTTCACCGCGGCACCGTCTTTACTGTGGGTGTTGGATTGATGTGATCTGCAGCATCTGAATGTCAACCGGTACGCAGGGCCACTTCAGTTCATAGGAAGAAAATCGACGTGTGATGGATGTTTCTTATGGTTGTTGTTACAAATATTCACTTATATTTTCTATCCAATGCAATTTTATACTTCACACGGTAGTTTGCAGGTTGAATTACAGTGTGGTCTGCACCATCATACATTATATATATGATGTGTTGTGGTGGAGGTGTCATAATGTGTGCGAAACATTTATATATCTTGGGCGTTTGGTGCAGGGATCAGATCATAATATTCGAAAATACCCAAAATAAATCTATCTAGGTATCTCTAAGCCCTGCCAGCTGGAATATACCCAAAACCGACCAAATTTAGATACCAATATCCTCGAAAGTCAATAATTATGGTGGAAAATCGATTTTTCTGATGGTTCGTGTTGGTCTCGGTCCCGATCGCTGATTGGCTACATTGAGATCAACGCCCAGATCATTCATTTTCCGGGGAACCACGCCGCCAAACCTTCGAGTTCTTCCTCGATCTTGCAGTTTGAGACGGCTACCACAATGCCCTAGACACACTCGAGTCTGGGACACAGAGTCTATCTAATTCCAAGAGAATGGCCTCTTCATCGAATTCCCCACAGAGAATTCCCCGCCTCAGTCGAACGACCGACGCACTCACCTCTGCACAGCGGTGGCAAGCGGTAGTCAAGCGGGACGCAACGATTGACAGCTTTGTGTACGCCGTCCTAACGACAAAGATCTACTGTCGCCCTTCATGTTCAGCGCGACTGGCCCGACGCGCGAACATCCGGTTCTACGATACCCCGCCAGAGGCCGAGAAAGCAGGGTTCCGGCCCTGTAAGCGCTGCCGGCCACAGTCGGGTCAAACGGCGGCACAAAACAACCCCCAAACGGCGATGGTCTACCGGGCCTGTGAGCAGATACGCGAGGAGCTAGCGGCAGGGCTGAAACCGCGGCTGCAGGACCTGGCGGTTCGGGCTGGCCTGACACCGAGCCACTTCCATCGCGTGTTTAAGAAACATACCGGCGTCACGCCTGGCCAGTATGCGAGTGGTCTCGTTGAGAGTGCCATGCGGCCTTCGTCCGACTCCTTGACGCCTGATACCTTGTTTGAGCTTGGGACGCCACCGGCGCCTTATGGGTCTATCGAAGGGAGTGGAGATGAAGGTCTGAATTTAGATACGGGAGGGCGTCAGTTTGCGCCGTTGGCCAGTTTGTCGGCGACTGAGAGGGAAGGTTGCACCCTTTCTTCAATTAGCAAGGACCCGGACGAAAGTGGGTGGAATGAATTTGATTTCTTGTTGGCCGCCGAGGGGCGGACGTCGCCGAATCCTCTATTTATTGATCCCCACATGCTCTCAGCATGATCCAGCTACAGGATGTATCAACTTGTACATGAATGGATAGCATATATTTTATAACATTTTGATATCAGATCTTTGGATTGCATTTGTAATTTGATTTTACCGCAGGAAGCTTGGGACCTGGACTATTTATCAAGCGTAACATTTGAATTCTGGGATGTTGGGAACGGGAGGTTATGACGTGCAGGGACCTTAGGCTAGTGCGTCAAATCGAGCAGTAATCTACTCGACGTTAGACATCCCCGCCTGTTGTTCTCATATGGTCCACATTTTCTACCACCTCTTTGCGTCCACCTTAAAACATGGCAGATTCAGACTATCCTCATCCAGCCTGACCTTGACTGATAACCTTCTTCTCCAACCAAGAACTTACAGCAGAGAGATTTCCTTTCACAAAACTGGCCGAGTCCACAAGTTCCCATCAAGCTTGTATTTGAGAGCGGTGAGCTTGACTCACATTGACACGGGGATACCCCCGTTGACCCTTTGGGAGAACGAATCGGTGCCTCTAACACCGGCATATGTACTCAGGGGACTTATACTGAAGCTTGACAGTAGACAATGTACCACTATTTGACTACGTAGAGGGGTACTCGCAGGGAGGGTACATACTAGTATGTACCTCCTCTATCTTAAGGTTTATGTGGCGGGGAAGGTGCTTGTCTCCACCATCAACTGTTCATATGTACAGCCAACAGGTGATTATGGTACAGAGTGTGGTACCTACTGTTAAGTACTATTCGGAAACACAGCCTGACCCTGATGGGCTGAGCCAGCCAATGACTATTCCATGAAATGAGTTTATCCCGCTTGGAAGTGAACAATTCATCTGATGAGGCGCAGATCAACGCTGTTACGTACCCGGGAAGACCGGGGGACTGGGTAGACCCGGCGTGCCAAGGGGTACACGGCAGACCAAAGTGCTGATTGTCCCAGAGTCAATGGATTGGATCGACGAGGCTTTGACGTCGCCACCACCACAATTATCGGCAAGGGTCCCTGAAACACCGAGGCAACAGGGCAAGCGACAACCGTGCGGGTGTGTGCAGATGGTGGGAGCCATTGGGCGCGATGAGCAGCTGTATACATAGTAACTCGAGGGTATCATGAAACCCAAATCAGAATCCGGATCCCGATCTTAAGCTCTCCTGGCACGACCGGACCCTGGTGGCGAGCCAGCAGAGGATATAATTAGTGACAAGCAGAGGTGATCTGGGTCGGTTCCTGGCCTTCCAATTGGAATGAGGCCCCACCGTCGCCCCACCAACGCGTGTCACATCAGCCGCCAGGCCTCGACTTTTGAAACAATGTCGTCGTGTCTCAGGTGTACTTCTCCTTACTACTGTAAGTAGTAGTGGCCTTTGTAGGATTCTTAGCTGGAACACGGCGTGGTACGGACAATACAATGTGTCGCCGTAAGAAAGCAAAATGGCCTCGGTGGCGTCTGGACCAGCGCATTCTCCACCGATCGACGCACTGAGTGGTGTCGTCTGCATGCAGTGAAACGCTTTGAGGGATTCCAGAAACTTTTGGTGGCGTCGCTAATCATATTATTGAACGGGTGGGCATGGCCTCCCCCAGGGATGTTTTAATTAACCTGTACTCCGTACCGCTCTGGTTCTTCGAAGCCTCTTTCCCGCCTTCCCATTATTCTCCTTTCTCCACCCCCTCCGACGATCGTCTTTCTTTGATTTCCTTGAACCGTGCTCAGATCCCATTCCAATCGTTCCATCGCTTCTTGCGCTGTTCGTCTTTCTCTTCACTCTCACCGACACGCATTCTCTTACCCGGACGATACCCTGTACCAGACCGGTCGTGTTGACACCCCGGCGATCGTGATTCACCATGCACGTGAACAAGAGAATCGGCCGCTTCAGGCAATGGGCCGGCGAGCGCATGGGCGGAGAGGCCAAGACGACCGTCTCCGATGATTTCAAGGCAATGGAAACGGAGATGGGCGTGCGACATGAAGGTAGGAACCAACCCTGGCCGGCTAGTTTGTCGTCGCATCTGTACTAACCTTTTCACCACTCCAGGCGTTGATCGCATTCACAAGTCTATGACCGCATATGTCAAGGCCATTTCGAAGCGCAGCGAGGGAGATGACAAGGAGAAGACCCTTCCGGTAGCCCATCTCGGCAGCAGTATGGTCAGCCATGGAGAGGACTTTGACGGAAACTCTGAATATGGGCAGTGCCTCATCAGTAAGTACCCGTCTTGCTGGAAGTTGTTTGTTTCATTGTGAACAGGACACATGTCACTAACTAGTACACCAGTGTTTGGACGGACCGAAGAGCGCATCGCGCGCGTTCAAGAGAACTACATTGGACAGGCGACTTCGAGCTGGCTTGAATCCCTGGAGAGATCTCTGACACAGATGAAGGACTATCAGGTTCGACCAACCGAGCACCGCACTCAGGAAAGAAGTGATTAACATATCTTTCAGCAAGCTCGAAAGAAGCTCGACAGCCGCCGGCTGGCTTATGATACGTCGCTTTCCAAAATGGAAAAGGCCAAGAGAGAAGATTTCCGCGTGGAGGAAGAGCTGCGTTCCCAGAAGGTGAAATACGAAGAAGCCAACGACGACGTGATCCGCCGCATGCAGGACATCAAGGACGCGGAAGTCGATAATGTTATGGACATGGGGACTTTCCTGGATGCTCAGTTAGAATATCACGAGCGCTGTCGCGAAGCGCTGCTACAGTTGAAGAACGAATGGCCTGGGTGAGTATCCTATTCCAAAGTGTCGGTCTCTGTTTTATATATTGGTTTTGCTAACATACAGACAGATCGAGCCAAGGTCCACCACCAGCCCGTCGCGCGACGCGAGCCCGTTCGAATACCACTCAATCATACTCGGAGCGGTATGATCCAGTGCAGGAAGAGCTCGCGAATGCCATGGAGAGCCGCCCAGCTATTCGGCCGAGTCGGACAATCGTAACCGAGAGCCCTGCAAGAGAACTTTATCCCAACCAGGGAGTTCCCCGACCAGTTTTGAGCCGCACGTCCACATTTGAAGGACCCACGCAGCTACGTCAAGAGCAAGCCCCGGTGGCATCACAATGGGTCCAGCGAACTACGAGCGACTCACTGGCTGGACAACGACGAGCTCCTACCGTCGATCCCTATGCCGACTCCGAAGAGGTCAGCTCATATGGCCGTTCTAGCCCCGAGCGCAGTTACGATGGCCGATCAGGCTCGCCAGCGACTTCACATGGCAGTGTGGCCTCTCGACGTCCCAGTGCGACAGCATTGAGTAGCACTACCGGAATACTAAGCAAGAAAGCACCCCCGCCTCCTCCCCCATCTCGGGCTAAGAAGCCTCCACCTCCACCACCGCCCATGAAGCGGACTCTGGCAGCAGGAGACTATTAATGTGGTGGCCGGAGTGGTATCTTTTTGTTTTCAGCATGGGGGTTCTGGAGTTTGGGGGAATACGACATTGACAAATGGATTATCTTTATTGATTTGCCGATTCTTTCATGGTCGATAGCCGCGGAGCTATTCCTTTGTTGCCGACATTCTCATTGTTTGGTCTACTCTCACAGTGCATATTCTGTTTAGTTGCGTTCGAATAACCCTTCAAAATTCGTATGACAATCGGATGCGTCCCCTATTTGATGTAGCTCTGGATTTTGCCAAGTGCCTAAAGATGTATGTGGTTGGCCGAATTATCTGTGGATGGATGTTGCTTTGTAGGGCAGTAGAAGGAAGAAGGATTCATTTTGGACGATGTGGCCTTGGAGCCTTGGAGCCTTAGAGCCTTCTTCTGCCTTGATGCCTGACTCTTGCCAGTACTACGGATGCGCTTATTGCGTACTGGCCAGCACATGCCCGACCGCGTACAGTCAGCATCAGGTGACCCGCACGAAATCTCCTCCCTCCTGTTGTCGCCGTCCTCTGAGAGCACCAGGTTTCCCCGAGCGAGTCGCGCAACTCGGTCCCCTCTATCGTCCCTATCCATCCACGTCGCCCACCCCCATTCGCGTCGCATTTGGCGTCGACTGCTTACCCAGTCTGGGCGCCTTCCGACGCTTAATTCGCGTTCCTCGATTCCCCTTTCTTTACACCATTCATCAACCCCGGTACCCGCCCCCCATACTCCATCGATCGCATCCTCGGAGCTCCGACCACGGGCCCCAAACATCACGCCTCCCATCGCCAAGAGTCCCGACAAACACCTTTTGGTCGCCTCTACCATCCGCGGGCCATCCCCCGTCGCGCTCGTCGCCTTCCCCATCGCGCCTCCCTCCCCCTTCACTTCCGGACGCGACCGGGCGTTTGTCGAGTGGAGCCTGTGACTTTCACTCCGCTCCCACGCATTGTACCACCCCCACGCGTCGCTTTCGATACTTATGAATTGAAGAACCACGCGCGAAAAACATGGCTTCGCTGCAGTCGGCGCCCCAGGTGGCGCCCGGCAACATGTCCTTGCCGCCGAACCTGACCCAGCAGCATATCCAAGAGGCTATTCAGGTAAGTTGCCTCCCCTTAACGAGAATGTTCTTCGTCTTTCATTTTACCCACACAGAATCTAATATTGTCGCAGAGAATCAAGGACATGCAAGCTGCGGGAGTTCCAACTGATAGCCCTGATTACATCAAATACCAAAACCTTCTTATGGCCGTTCAGCGCCAGCAACAGTACCAAAAGCAAAAGCTTGCTGCGCAACGCCAACAACAGCAGCAACAGCAGCAGCAGATGAACGGTGCTGCTTCAGCTGGTGATGTAGCTCCCAATGGTACTCACGGTACGTTATTATCGCGATCATCATGCTATCTATGGCGCCCAACTTCTTTGGTCTTTCTCATGCTGACATGTTTCTTTCCTAGGTCGTACGGTATCTACCTCTTCCGCAACAGGCGGTACTCCTGACGCCAACGCTGCACGCAAGCCCGCCGCAGTTGGCAGCGGTACATTTTCCCCCGAGCAATTGGCTACCCTCCGCAATCAGATCTTTGCCTTCAAGAAGTTGTCAAAGAATGAACTTATTCCGCCTGCGCTACGTCAACAACTCTTCGCTGCCAAGAAAGTACAGACACCTACACCGACGGAAAATGTCGCCGCTGCTGAGAAAACCGTCGAAGGTGCCGACAAGAGCACCCCTGACAAGGCTGGCGAACAGCCGAATAAAGAGGTCCTTTCCAAGGAATGGTACAGCAGCTATGAGGTACCTGAGCGGGTTCTGAACAAGATCTCTTACCGGGATCATGCCATTCTCAAGAAGCGTGGACGTGTTCCCGCTTTCTCGACCCCCTTCCTCGATCGCGTGTCCATTGACGAAGACCGAGAAGTGGCTCGGTACAATCGTATGACTAGCCGCGCCAAAGCCATCCAGGAACTTCCTGTCAACATTGGCGTTTGGGATACTAGCAAGGGTGACGCCCCCGCAAATGAATCTACAGCAAACACGAAACTTCTTATCGAATACAAGTCACTCAGTTTATTCGAACGACAGCGATTGCTTCGCGACAAACTGCGCCGGGCTATCGCACACGACAGGAACCAAGTGAACACTGCTGCACAGCGTCGCATGAAGAGGCCATCTCTTCGTGAGGCACGGATCACTGAAAAGCTTGAGGCGCAACAACGGTCCGCTCGTGAGTCTCGCGAGAAAGAAAAGCAAAATGCCCAGTTGCAGGCTATCCTCAACCATCGCGCTGCACTCGCGCAGGCCACTGAAGCCAACAAGGCCCGTCTTGATAAGATGGGTCGTGCCATGTACCAGCACCATCAGTTCATGGAGCGTGAAGAGCAAAAGCGTGTTGAGCGAACTGCTAAGCAGCGTCTGCAGGCTCTCAAGGCCAACGATGAAGAGACCTACATGAAACTACTCGGACAAGCTAAGAACTCGCGTCTTGACCACCTGGTTGGCCAAACCAACAAGTGGATGCGTCAGCTCAAGGGTAGCGTTCGAGAGCAGCAGGGTCGGGCTAAGGCCGATGATGCTGATGATGACGGATCTGGCGATGATGAGACCAACGACTATTACGAGGTCGCTCACTCTGTGAAAGAGGAGGTCACCGAACAGCCCAAGATTCTTGTTGGCGGCACTCTGAAGGAGTACCAGCTCAAGGGTCTCCAGTGGATGATCTCGCTCTACAACAACAACTTGAACGGTATTCTGGCTGATGAGATGGGTCTCGGAAAAACCATTCAGACCATCAGTTTGATCACGTACATCATCGAGAAGAAGCAGAACAATGGTCCGTTTTTGGTCATCGTGCCACTGAGTACGTTGACCAATTGGAATGTCGAGTTCGACAAATGGGCCCCTGCGATTCGCAAGGTTGTTTACAAGGGTCCTCCGAACGCACGAAAGCAGCAACAACAGGCCATCCGCTGGGGTAACTTCCAGGTCTTGTTGACCACCTACGAATACATTATCAAGGATCGACCTCTTCTCAGCAAGATCAAGTGGACTCACATGATTATTGATGAGGGTCACCGCATGAAGAACGCCAATTCCAAGCTGAGCACCTGCCTGGCACAGTACTACACCAGTCGTTTCCGTTTGATTCTGACCGGTACGCCGCTGCAGAACAACTTGCCCGAGCTGTGGGCCCTGTTGAACTTTGTTCTACCGAAGATTTTCAAGTCTGTGAAGTCGTTTGATGAGTGGTTCAATACACCGTTCGCAAACACTGGCGGCCAAGATCGAATTGATCTTACCGAAGAAGAACAGCTGCTTGTCATTCGCCGACTGCATAAGGTTCTTCGTCCGTTCTTGCTTCGTCGCTTGAAGAAGGATGTCGAGAAGGATCTTCCTGATAAACAGGAGCGCGTCGTCAAGTGTCGTTTCTCTGCTCTGCAGGCAAAATTGTACAAGCAGCTTGTTACCCATAACAAGATGGTTGTTAGCGACGGGAAGGGCGGCAAGACTGGTATGCGTGGTCTCAGCAACATGCTGATGCAGCTTCGAAAGTTGTGCAACCATCCCTTTGTCTTCGAACCCGTTGAAGATCAAATGAACCCGAGTCGCATGTCCAATGACCTTCTTTGGCGAACGGCCGGAAAATTCGAATTGCTTGATCGAATTCTGCCCAAGTTCCGGGCCACTGGTCACAGAGTCCTTATGTTCTTCCAAATGACTCAGATCATGAACATCATGGAGGATTTCCTTCGTCTTCGTGGCCTAAAGTACCTTCGTCTGGATGGTGCTACCAAATCTGATGACCGATCAGAGCTCTTGAAACTCTTCAACGCACCGAATTCCGAATACTTCTGCTTCCTTCTTTCGACACGTGCCGGTGGTCTGGGTCTGAACCTGCAGTCTGCAGATACCGTCATCATTTATGACTCGGATTGGAATCCTCACCAGGATTTGCAGGCTCAAGATCGTGCCCATCGTATTGGACAGAAGAACGAGGTTCGCATCATGCGATTGATCAGCTCTAACTCCGTCGAGGAGAAGATCCTCGAACGTGCACAGTTCAAGCTCGACATGGACGGCAAGGTTATCCAAGCCGGAAAGTTCGATAACAAGTCGACCAACGAGGAACGAGACGCCCTTCTTCGAACACTACTGGAGACAGCAGAAGCTGCCGACCAAATCGGAGAGTCCGATGAAATGGACGACGATGACTTGAACCAAATGATGGCTCGTTCCGAAAACGAGTTGGAAGTCTTCCAGAACATTGATAAGGAGCGGATGGCGACCGAGCAATACGGACCTGGCCACAAGTATCCACGTCTAATGTGTGAGGAAGAACTGCCGGACATCTACATGCAGGAAGACAATCCTGTTACTGAGACAGTTGAGGCAGAAGTCTACGGCCGTGGCGCCCGTGAGCGCAAGGTCACTCGATACGACGATGGTCTGTCTGAGCTTCAATTCTTGAGGGCAGTAGATGCCATGGAAGGCGGAGAAGAAGACGCGCCTACTCTGGAAGAAGTTGTCGAAGAGAACGCTCGTCGTGCGGCGGAGAAGGCGGCCAGAAAGGAGAAGCGATCCAAGAGGGCATCTGGTGTTGTCGAATCGTCCCCTGACCCATCAGTTGATGATGAGACTCCCAAGAAGAAGCGTCGTCGTAACCCTCCGCCTACTAAGCGTAAGGCCGAAGAGGTTGCCGAAGAGACCCCACAACCTAAGCGCAAGCGTGGACGCCAACCCAAGATTCCCGACACATTGAGCAGCGCCGACCGTGCTACTCTGAACCGCATCGTGACCAGTGTCCTTCAGTCCCTGAAGGAGATGGAGCAGGAGATCCCGGCTGAATCGTCGGACAGCGAAGAAGGCCCAATGGTGCGGGCAATCATCGATCCATTCATGAAACCGCCGCCGCGTTCGCAATATCCCGACTACTACATGATCATCAAGAATCCAATTGCCGTCGACACGATCGAGAAAAAGATCAAGCGCGATGATTACCAGAGCCTTAAGGAGTTCCGGGATGACATTCATTTGCTTTGCCAGAATGCCAGGACGTACAACGAGGACGGCAGTCTTCTTTTCCAGGATGCCAATGATATCGAGGTGAGCTTCACCCTCCCCAGACTGCTACTTGTGAAATCATCTTGCTGACCCATTTCATTTAGGCCAAATGCGTGGTGGAGTTGAAGAAATTGACCGAGGGCCACCCGGAGTTTGCCAACTTTGACGATCCTGGCTCTGTCGTCGGCGACGGGCAGTCTACAGGCGCCGATACCCCTATGACTGCCAGTACCCCTGGTCAGCCGAAAATCAAGCTCACGTTCAACAACTCCAACTTTGACAGCGCCAGCACTCAGAACGGAACCGACCCTGGTGCCGATGAAGTTTGATGGCCTGTTGCCTTCGAAAGTTGGCTTCGTTACTTACGCCTCACGTGCTACCTATGTTTTCACAATGGAGTTTTCGTTTTTCACATTTGGAGATTATGTGTTTTGACTGCTTTGCAGTCTGGAAGGGGCGTTCCCATGAATATTCGGCCTGGTTGATTCCGGAAAAGGATGCGCTTTCGCGCAAATGGTGGGAATCTGTTTTTTATCAGATCAGCGTCTCATCGGGTGGGCTTCCTCTGTGCTCGATGCGTTCTAGACATTCGGCCAGAGACGTGCCCCCAATCTGTTTCAAATATGTACCTTTAGTTACTCGTTTCAGGGATTCAAACATACTATTGAATCAATACTCGTTTCGATTCCGATGTACTTGGGTACTCTCGTATCTGCTGATATGCGTAGTCAGCAACTCCTCTCACAACTGACGAGGCGCGCGGGACGATCCGAGTGGGTCTTTGTGCCGCATTCGGGCAGTCGCGAACAAGCCATGGAAGCCACCCCGAGGCAGCAAGCGAGGGTTGCAGATAGCCTCTCACCGAGTTTTGCGTTGCATTGCGCTGCAGCTGTGTCCCGTATAAGAATGTCTGAGACCCCACCATCCAACAGAGCCCGTCAGCCAGTCGATCCCCCACCCTAGCCATGTCCACGAACAGAGATCTAGCCGGCAAAGTCGCCATCGGTATACTGAACCCAGCCTGGGTCAATTTATGCGAAAGGAGAGGCTGACACGGATACAGTCACGGGATCCAGCCGGGGCATCGGCGCTTCTATCGCGCTGAAATTCGCCTCGCGCGGCGCAGACATCGCTATCAACTATGTTTCCAATAAGGACGCCGCTGAATCGGTTGCAATCCAAGCCCAGGAATATGGCGTGCGCGCGATCACGATCAAAGCAGATGTCTCGGACGAAAAGCAAGTAGCAACGATGTTCGAAGAGCTGATGAAAGAGCTCGGTCGTCTTGACATCGTCGTGAGTAATTCGGGTATCGAACATTTTGGTTCCTTGTCTGAGGTGACAGGCGCCGATATCGATGCCGTCTTTGCGGTCAATGTGAAGGGCCAGTACTTTGTTGCTCAACAGGCGTATAAGTACATGGCCGACTTTGGGAGGGTTATGCTTACTTCCTCGATCTCTGCCGTCAAGGTGGGTTTCCTTGATACCCTCAATCTCCTACTCTATTCGCTCTCCTTGCTCCATTTCATCAAGACATCAATTTGTTGAATTCCTGACTAAATCTTGGTTCAGGGAGTTCCCCGACACGCAGTCTATGCTGCATCCAAGGCAGCCGTCCAAGGAATGACCAAATGTCTGGCTGTAGACTTTGGTCCACGCAATATCACCGTGAATTGCATTGCGGCTGGTGGCGTGAAAACAGACATGTACACTGAGATGGCAGCCAAGTACATCCCAGGTGGAGCAAGCATGAGCGAAGAGGAGATTGAAGCTATGCTGTCGAAGTGGTCGCCTCTTGGTCGTGTTGGACTTCCGGAGGACGTATCAGGTATTGCTGCGTTGATTGCGAGCCCGGACTCGCAATGGATGACAGGTCAGACATTCCAGGTTTCTGGTGGAGCTTACATGGTCTAAGAATTGGCCCGAAGAGGTTCTAGTACCTTTGGATCTGTCAGGATGGCGGAAGGGCTTTAAATAATTATTGATTTGATTTGGTTTCTTATTTCCAAGGAAACTTATGCTGAGATGGGAACCCATTGCTATGATTTGCCTGTTCATATGGGTATATTTGGCAACAACTATGCTAAAATGTAGATGATATCCCGATCGATGAAAGTTTAGGTGCTCTATGTCTTACGCCCCAAGATTTCACTCAAATATTACCGATCTGTGCTTGAAATAAGTCCCAATGGGTCTATCCACTTGTCTAACTAGCAGGGCAATAGGGGCCGTTTCATTAATTTGTGATGCTTGATGTCCTCTGGTAGCCGCACTTCCGTCCCAGATGTGATATCTGCGTGAATTGCCCGGCATTTCTCCAAAATGCTCTACATTAGCCCCAAAGAATGTTCAATTTGCGCCATCCAGCCGCTGCAGGCGGGATGGTTTCTGGGTTGTCATGTGCGATTCGAAGGAATCCACGAATTGGAATTTCTTCCAGGGGAACGACCTTAGTCTTTCGCCAGAATTTGTAGCCGAAGTACAAAATGAAGATAAGCGGAATGTTGAAGTAAGATGAAACGAAGGTCTGGGGACTCCAATAACCATCAATGAAAATGTAGAAGCCACCAGTCAGAAGAATGATGCCAAACGAGAACATGGATATCCACGCCGCATAGGGTTGGAAAGGACTTTTCCATGGGAGTTCATCGCGGCTTATATTTTGCTTCTGACAACCGTAATAGAACCTCAGATAGATTATTTCGATGTTGATCCAGTGCACTAATGATGCAGCCGAGACCAATTCTTGTAGCCAATCAAAAACAACAGAAGCCGCTGACGATAGAGTCATATATCCCAACAGCATGAAAGATCCAACCGCGGTGACAGAGAGCCAAGGAACTCCAAACCGGTTGATGCAAGTGAAAAATTTGGGAGCATGTCCATCTTGAGCGAGACCATATAATGTCCTGGTTCCAACCAGCATGGCTGTTCTTCGTCAGTAGCTGCTTCCTAGTAGCTTCTAGGAATGACTATGACTCACCAGAATTACCAGCACTCCAAGCACTTGTCACAACGACAGCATTAATGATAGAAGGAACCGCTCTGATCCCAACATTCGTAGCCGCGATTGCAAATGGAGAAGCCCCGGCATCTCCAGCATTAGACAGCAGCCCCTTATCATCCGACGAGACAACAAGACCCATGAAGAACATGGTAATAATGTAGAAGATCAATATCCTCCAAAAAACTCGCTGAGCAGCCTTGGGAATGTTGTGACGAGGGTTCTGGGTTTCGGCCGCTGCAACTGATATGTTCTCGACGTTGGAAAATGCATAGGCTGCACTCCCCAACACCCGCCAGAATCCCAGAAACTGGCCCCATGAGCCCGCGATACCGAGGAACTGCACAAAAGGTCCTGGATCTCCCCAAAACCGGAAACCAATTGGCTCGCCCTGGGGGCTTGCACCACATGTGATGCAGAGACTCTGTTGGAAACAGTCAGAGAAGGCAACCCAGCGGCGTCAATGCAAAAGGACGTCGAATACTGACCATAATGTTTATGCCAACGATCAAGGCAATCTTCAACATTGCAAAGATGAATTCTAATTCGCCGTAAAAGCTCACCAGGAGCATATTGCTCGTGATCAGAAGCGCACCAAGAACGCTTATCCACACCGCATGGTTGATATGAGTCCAAAAGTCGATGATGACAGCACAGGCAACCATCTCGGCTGGGAGTAAGATGGCATTTGCGTACACACTGTTCCATCCCTGTGCGAACGCCAGGCCGGGATCCACAAACCACTCTGCATGTCGGATGATACCACCAGAAAGAGGAACCAGAGCGCTCATTTCGGCTACTGAGAGGACCACGCAGCAAATGAGCATACCCACGATGCAATACGCGATCAGGATACCGAGTGGTCCACCCCTTGCTAGAGATTTGCCTGTTGCGAGGAATAACCCGGTACCGATCGTTCCGGCCAAGGCTATCATTTGGATGTGGCGCTGTTTCAGCCCTCTTTTGGCACTGACAATCTCCGCAATGGCTGCATCAGCCCTCGCGTTGGGTTCTCCCTTGTTGAGGGTGTGTTGCGGGTCATCTGTATATTCATTGTCGTTTTCCGTGATGTGATCATTTCTCTCGATATCTTGACGAGGATTGTCCATTCTGAATAAATCAGCGAAAGGACCAGAAAAAATGACCGGGAGGCGGGTGGAGGTTGAAGTTGTTGAAGGTACCCCAAGGTAGTTAAGTATCCTTCCCCGCAGATAATCTTATCACGCAGTCTACAGAGCTTGGCAGAAGCTATCACGTTGCATGGAAGCGAGCTGATCTGCATGCGCACGTGTAGGATCTTGAAAACAATTTCCAGGCTGTTATTTACTATCTTGGATTTGAAAGCTGATTCAACAATGATTCAAGTTTTCCATGAGTTCACATGAATCGAGCCAAATTTGGAGAGATCTCCTAGCTCAGAGCTAATTACATTCTTCGGTTCATCCGGCTTTAAGTATCTATCCCAGGTAGAGTCATTCCTCATGACTTCCGCGCCAATCATGCACACTAATATTAGGACAAAGGAAAAGGCATAAAACTCGCATCACGTTTCCATATTGTGGATTGTTCATGTCTCCATCAAGGCGCACGCTTAGTGGCGACTGGGGCTTCAAGAGAAAAATAGTTCCAGAATAATAGAGATTTCATGCGTCGAACTTTAAATGGTCAGAGTACGAGCTACTTCTGGAATTGGGGTTGGGCTTTAATGTCAGATATTTTATGGAACCCGAGAGCTAACTGAGTTTGTGAACGAGGGAATTCCTTGGAGGGCCGTGAAAAGGCCATTATCTCAAAGTAAACAGGCACAGGGAAAGTTGAAAGGCGTGCGAAGTTACGCCATACGTAGACGATACATGTTCTGGCCACAGAGTGACAGGGAATGTAAAAGGTCGGATAATGTCGACGTTACTCAAACTTCCCGCAAAGGTGAATCAATTTTAGTCGTGATGAAAGTTCATCTCAATTCTCACTTGTGGATCTCTAAGAGAGGACACCCGTATACTTCGCCAACGCATCTTGGAACGCGAGTGGTTTACGCCCTGCAAGCATCCCAACAGCATTGTTAGCATTAGCCATATATCCTTTGGCAACCATCTCACGACAGCACAAAAGATCGTCTATGCAGAGCTTCATAGGTGTCTGCGAGAAGTCTCCTGACACTGGAGTGGGCAAACCACGCTGCAGCCAGTAATCCTTCATTTCCTGATCAGACACAGTGCTAATGTGTCCCTGATCCTTGACATTGTCGCAGATCCATCGGAACACTTGTTCGTTGGTGATAGCCTCAAGGCCTGTCACATTATACACAGTGTTCGGTTTACCTCGACCCAAGAGGAGGGGAGCCAGCACTCGACCGCACTCTTCACGCGCGACATAGGCACCAGGTACCGCCCCGGAATTTGACAGCCACCTGTTCCCACAAAACATCCAAGAGGGAGCGAAGAAGTTGGGGATGTTGTCGATGTACAGATGTACAGGTAGTCACGCTGGATGTTAAATTCCAGTCAGGAGGCCCGGATCGGAGCCTCAGTCTGTTTGTGATTCCGAGGCAAGAAGTGCATCTCATTTACCGGGGCGGGGTCGTCGGCACCAACGAAAGAGGTGTAGCAGATTCGACGAACCCCGCAAGTCTTTGCAGCATCAATCACGTTCTGGGCTTGTTGGTGTCGACGGCCAGATGCCCAGGTAGAGGTCAGAGTCACAGCTTCAGGTCCTGCGAAGACCTTCTGGAGACTGTCGATATCATCGTAATTTGCCAGAGACATAGTAGCCCATTTCTCTGACCAGGAATGACGAGCCTCAACTGGAATCTCTTGGGGATCGGAGTGGTAAAAACAGAGTGGTATCCGGCGGGGCGATCTCTAGTGCATAAGATGCCGCGATACTGCCGATGTTCCCACCAACGCCGGTAAGGACGTATTTCGGCATTATATATTGAATCTTAAACAAGATCCCACTGCAAAGAGGATGATGGAATGAAGAGAGAAATTGGGGAGAAAATATGTGATGGTAGTTGAGATAATAGGCTAAAAAGGACAAGAGGAAGGGTAGAAGAGTGACACTGGGGACTCGTTCGCCACCTTTAAGCGAAGAGGTTCTCAAACGGAAAACACCGGAAGATCCTCAAACCACATGTCTTTGTAGAAGTGAGATGGTACCCTGTCCATATCAAATGTGGAGGCTATGGTCCTAGCTGCATGTCACGCTTGGCTCATGGGAGACAGAATGGGCATGGGCCACATTGACGGCGGGGTCTTCACACGTATGTTTAAATGATCCACCAGTGTGGGTAAATTGCATGAACAGTTTCAACCGAACCTCCAAGACATACTATTGCTGGTCGGTTTTGCATCCCGTTGTAGTTAGGGCTTGCTTCCATTGATCGCCAGTCTTGGCATTTCTGGAAACCTTTTCCATCCCGCAAATCAAATCTTGACCTCCGCACTATCGACACCCTGAATGATCAGACATGGTGCTTCGACGCTCGCGGCCGCCATTTGGATCTACGAAAGGGCCCGTGGCATTCCAGGTACTATCCGACCTTCATCTGGAAGTCAGTGGGGAATACGACTCGGTCGAAATTCCCGTGCGATCGAAATATCTGATCCTGGCCGGTGACGTTGGACGTTTAGCGGATTACAAAGAGTATCTTGAATTTCTGCAGAAGCAGACACGGAATTTCCAGACCGTTTTTCTCGTTCTCGGAAACCATGAATTTCACGATTTATCTTTTGAATCGACTCTCGAAAAGGCTAGGGATCTTGAACAAGAACCATGTCTGAATGGACGGCTAGTCTTGCTCCACCAGCGTCGCTTCGACGTGCCAGAAAGCAGCATTACGATTGTGGGAAGTGCGCTTTGGTCTCATATTCCAGATGAGGCTAAAGATAACGTCCGATCCAGATCCAAAGACTTCAAACGAATTGAAGATTGGACAGTAGAGAAGCATAACGCGGCCCACGAGTCTGACTTGATCTGGCTGCGTGAAGAAGTTCATTCCATCCATCAAGAAAATCAAAATCGACATTCAGACGAAAGGTCCATCGTGGTTGTGACACATCATGCTCCTTCTCTACATAAAACCTCGAAACCCGAATATGCGAATAGCCCGTGGAGCTCGAGCTTTGCAACAGATCTTCTATCCCAACAATGGGATGGTGTCAAGGCTTGGGTTTTCGGACATACTCACTACTCGACCAGATTTAAGGACAATGGGATTTTGGTTGTGAGTAACCAGCTAGGATATAAACCATTATCGGAAACCGGGCCAAATCAGTTTGACCCTGCAATGGTGATTTGCATATGATATCTGAAACGGAGCTTGATTCATAAGGCAATCTCTGCGCAGTACCTCGACATGTTCAGAAGATTTCTCAATCACAGATAATAGACAATAGATCAACGGCAAGAAGTGAATTTCTAAAGCTGCTTTCGAGAAGCCAGTCCATTTTTTGTGGTGGTGGCCCAAAGGGATTGAACACACCATCCGTGCTGGCAGCCCTCAATTCTCCTATGCTCATCACACCTATTTCAACATTGATCGCCTGAGCGTTAGTCTGCTCTGGTACAACTCACAGTATCGATTTTATCATCTCCGTTGCGTCTCAGAGATTGGACCATAAGCAACGTCTTGTCATTCGCTGTTTTCTCATCTGCAACAAAGAAGATCCTTCTGCTGATACCATCATCGTGACAATTCTCTGAGAGGTATCGTTGACCTGATCCACCCTTCAGCCTATAAAGGGAGAGTCGAACGTCAGATCTACCGGCGGCATTGTTGGATCTGCGGGGACGAGGAGTGGTTCTTTGCCGGTATGCGACAAGAGAAGAAGTTTGGGATATCCATTCAATTTCGCGGGTGTTTCGTAGGCGATTCTCAGGATTTCTGTCGGAGTCTTGTACTCCAATTAGTGCGGTGATTTGACGTGATGTGCAATGCTGTGTACCTCAGATGGGACTCTGTATGTGCATATGAGACAGGCGAGAGTCAAAAGGTGCCATTTTGGTATAATAGCAAAAGCACTCCGGTGCCTAGGTAGGCAGCTTGAAAGCGAGACGAGATGAAGTTTCAGGAGACATGGCCCCCACGAGGCGTGATGAGATGATGTCAGGCATGCCGCTGGAGGTCTATATGTAATCAAGATAAAATAGATGAGGTCGTTGCCATGAAGTCTAATCTTCAATGTACGCGATGGGGCATGTGCGTAAGACTGTGCCTGATGATATGTACAAAGGAGTGGCGTCATCCAAATTCAAACTTCCAGTAGATGCATCACTGCATTTATCTAGTGCCTCCAAAAGCGGTGTCCTTGACCTTCGCTCGTTGAATAGAGGTGTTCGAGGCAAGTCCATCAGGAAATGCACGACCATCGGTGAGTTTTGGTTCAGGTGGGGTCAACCCCGGAGCAGCAACATCACGGCTATGAGCCTCAAGCGCAGCAAATACATGGCCAAACACTTGGCGGTCAACATCTGTTGCCCACAAGAAGTCGAGATGCTCGTAGGTGGGAAATTCCCTGGCCACAGTCCCACATGGAAGACCTCGCAACATCACGTTGATATCAACGAGACTGTCGCTGCCGCCATAAAGAAGCACAATGGGGGTCTTGATGTTCCGGGTTGGGTATTTGACTGGCTTGTAAAACCGCTCGCTTGCGACAATGCTGAAGGGAGCATGAATTTCATCATCGTAGAATTGAAAGCTCTTGTTGCGAATGATTTGGAACCAGTGCACCACGGACTTGGTGCTCGTGAAGGAGTAAAGGTGGTGATAGGCGGCAAGTTTCTGTGTGCGGGCGATGTTGCGGCACTGCCAGTTGAACAAGGCTGCCAACGCCGTGTCGATGATCCGGACGTAGATTGGCGGGTAGAGGATTGTCTGCCACATTGTTGTCGAGGAGAGGATGCTGCGCCGGCCGAAAAGCAAGAATAGGAAATCCGGAGAAGCTTTCATCAGCGAGTCGACAATGCGATTTCGCAAACCCGATGGGGCCATTGCGGGAGCCAGGGCCACAAACACATCAACCTTTTGATTCAGAAGCGGATGGATGGAAAGAGTTGCAAATGCCTGTGCGGTTCCCTGGGAGAATCCGATATATGAGAGCGACGGCTGGCCCGTTACTTCGAGGATGTACTCGATGCTGTTAGGAATATCGTGGAAAGCGAACTGATCGATCGAGAAATCCCAAAATTCGTTCGAGCCTGGTGAATGATGGACCGATTTCTTGGAGTACTTGTTGCCCCGGTTATTACCCAGCCAGACATCGTATCCCTTTTCAACCAGTTGGAAGGGGAGGCATCGTTGCTCGTCTGTTAAGGCAACCCAGACCTCGCTGGACATGAGAAGACCATGGTGGAGGTAGACAACTTTCTTATTAAGGCCCCCGGGCCCTTGGTTGACCCGCCTTCCCTCCTCGCCCTTGCGGTATGCCAATCGGTGCAATCCCAGTAGGTATCCGTCACTCGTCTGGACAATGTGTTCCTCCGCCTCGTATCCAAAGAGGGCGCAGATGTCGGTAAAATCAGACGCCTCGGCGACCGAACCAGCGAACGTCTCCTCTTTCGAGCGCTTGTAGCGATTTTCAGTTGGGATCAAGACGTTGAACAGGGACTTGGATTGTTCGTAACAGAAGCGAATGATCGGCGTTGCTGTATCGCGAGTCAGTGACAGTTCCTACATAAGGGTGGAGTAGGGAATTCACTCACGCAAGCAGAAGGTAATAAGATGAATAATTGTCTCGAGTAACACAAGTATCAGCGATCCAAACAGTGCCAGGTACTCGAACCTGGAGAGTTTTGTGTTAGGTTGCCACGACTTGGCCAGGTACCGGGTACCTCGCGAGGACTGCAGGTCAGATGCATACCAAAAAAGCCTCCCGATCAGAGGAACCCGCGCCATGATGAGAGGTGGCTCTGTCCCAGTCTATACATAAATAATTTCAGACCAAGCCGGTGTATCGAAATCGCAAACATGAAGAACGAAGGGCGAAGGAAGCGACGTCATGGGAGAGCTCCGCATGTGAAAGGTGCGCTTACCTCATCCGGGGTCGGCCAATCGGGCTGAGCGTGATTGTCCGAGTTTGCTATTGATTGCGACGCCAAATCGAAACGTGAAGCCGAAGTAGAAAGCTGCGATCGTCCCTCTGCCGAATTTAAGCAAGGCGCGCACTTCGAGTCATCATGCCGGGCTCGTGCCAGGAACTCCGTGAGTCGCACTGCATCCCCGGGTGTCCCTTCAGCCATCCACCGCGGCCGCGAGACCAGCCCGATTCGCATCATCTGAGCTAATCTGCGTGCGACACTTCTAGGCGATGCGGTGGCTCAATGCCTCCAGAACTCGGACTGTATCATGGTCCAGCGCAATAAGCCCGCGGACTGTCTCAGATCACCAAACTTCGAGACCCTCTCCGAACAATGTCAGCAGCTAGGCAAGGCCTTTAACCAGTGCAAGTGAGTCGATCAGTCGATCACCTGTTCCTTTCGCGATCGGAGACTGGATCTAGAGAAGTAGAGACAATGGCTGACGGAACTTCTGTCACAGGCGCAATCAGATCGATATGACGAAGCGATTCCGTGGAAATACCCCCATTGCCGCCGCGAAGGAAATGGAGGGCCGCAAGTCGGGCTCTTCGGACCAGCTGTATGCCGGTCGTCCTGCTTATACAACTGTGAAGGAACTGAGCGGAGATGAGGTACAAATGGACCCGGAGAAGACACGAGGTCTGTGAATCAATAAGCTGAGAGGACCCAAGGCTACTCTGCCTCTTAAGCGGACAACGTGAAGGTTGCATGATGGGCCAAGACAGCGGTGGTGTGCATGACAACCATCGATGCACGGAGTGCTCTGATTCATGCTGGCATGGTCTGGAGTTCTTTTGATTTATTTCTTTTTGTCCTTCCACTCGGGTATCTCAGCGCAATCCTCCATTTCCAATAGACACCGGTATATAGGTCACATAAAATGCATTACACCAGTACCACTTCATCTACGGAACACTTCCTCGACTGAATAATGAGTATGATGGCAAACAGCAAAATGATATCATATTTGTACTGGAAAAGTCCACATCGTTATCAGAAAAATTCAATGGTATTCAGATCTACTGTGTCTTCTTGTTCTTGTCGGCAACGGGAGCCGAGTAGAGCCAAACAACGACAAATGCCAGGAATCCAGCAATCACTGACCAGAGACCGGCAATCCAGACCCAGCCACCGCTGATGGCCCAGCTGCGCGGGTACTCGTCGTGCGCAAAGTGACGCACTGTCACCTCATGCTTCTCCTCGACATTGGTGAGGAAAGGACGCTTGTAGTTCACACGAAAAGAAAAGATGCCGTGCTGGTCAGGTGTGACAAACTGGGTGCTGTAGATGACGCCGGTCTCGGTGCGGCCAGTGGGCTGAAGATTCAGACGGTGGAAGGGCGAGAGCATGGTGAACTCCAGCTGCAGCTCATCGCCGGCGGGAACCTCGAACGGAACCCACTTGTCGTAATCATACTCCGACATCTCGATGCTGAAGAACTGTTAGACCGAAGGTCCGTTAGCACAAACACCACTCAGCCTGTGAGATAAAGGTTTACATACAGTCTCGTTCTTGATACGGTAGATCTTGGGGTTGAGATCCTCCGCAGCGATCTCACCGTCGGTGGCGAGGTGATGCTCGATGTTGTTGACCTTCAGAACACCAGTTTCCTTAAAGGTCCAAGCAGTTAATTGCTTCACGAACTCCCGGTTGGCTGTGGGGGTCTTCTTGCCGCCGACGGTCTTGACAGTGGCCGAAAACCACTGGTCCTCCAGAGCCTCGACAGAGCCGAGGATTGTGAAGCGAGCAGAGCTACGGGACTGCATGGCAGAGACAATGCTCAGTTGAGATCCGGTGGCTTCGATATCATCGGCTGACGGCATCTCCTCCTTGGGGTTGTAGGCATAGGCGGTCTCGGGGGCGCGGAGGATAGGCGAGACAAGGGGACTAGTATTGCCCAGAGTCTGGGGAGCGACTCGAGGGAGAGCAATGACGCCCTCACCATCGAAGAATGCCTTAATGTCGGATCGCAGAGGTCCAGGGCGGTTGAGAAGGAGCACGTCGTGCTTCTCGGCGGCCGAGACGGTATCATAGTTGAAGTGGTCAACGACAACGGCTGACCGGTCATTGGCGAGGTGAATGTCGACTTCCAAAAGGAGGGAGCTGACGGCGCTGGAGGTCGAGGCCCGGCCAGAGAGGGCCAGAATGATATTACCGTCCTTGTCGAGGAAGTCCAGGATGTTCTTCGGGGTAAGGTTGGGGCCGAGACCTAAGCCATTGAGTCAATTGATAGATATGTATGATATTTTTTGGTGTTGCTCACCCTTAGATTTCGGCGGAAGGATCAGGAGGTGGTCGTAAGCTCGCTCGCCATGCTGGAAGAGGGACAAGCTGTCGCTCTTGGGCGACTCGAAGGCAAGGTCATATCCTCGTCCTAGGATCGGTGTTAGCATAGACCGGCGACATTTAGGAAGCCTCAGTTACCTTCCAAGTCAGACCACAATGTTGAGTAAAGGCTCTTCTCTGTGCTGTCGTCCAAAACGACAAGCAGGCGGCTGCCGGAGCTACTCAGAGCGTTGACCGCAGCCAAGAAGCAGAAGAGAAGCAAGGCAAGGCACCACCGCATCTTGGAACACTTCCGCACAGCGGATTGCACACCAAGGTTAGAAGAGAGACCGAGAAGAAAAGGGCGAACCTGTGGCGGAGGGGGAGTTGAAGGTTGTATAGATCACCCGAAAGGGCGACGTGTTAATGGGACGGGCGCCAAGACTTCTGGGTCGCATCTCCGAACTGCGAACTTCGCTTCTTCCCCACGGCCTTCCGACTTCGATCCTCCCCGCCCACCTCTCACCACCTCAACTTGCTAACTACCGGGTTGGTACTTGTCGCTCTCGATCCGTCTCGTTCCGAGCTTGTGATCGACTATCTTCCCGGGTCCCGCAACGACTCTTCCGTCGAAAAACTTCGCTCGAATTCCTCGTCGTCCGTCGACCTTCACAATCGCCATGTCTCACCCCATGCTCTGGAAGGAGCCTGCCCGCTGGTTCCGCTGGGCAGCGCACGAGAAGCCCGCGCTCTTCTTCGCCTCTCTCATCGGTCTCTCCGGCCCTGTCGTTCTGGCCGTTGTCCCTCCCATTCGCCGCTACCTGGGCGACGTTGACCCTGCGCCGATCCCCATGTCATATCCTCGTAAGGACCCAACTCCCTCCCAGGCACCGTCTGATACGCGTTCTGAAAAAATTACATGCGATGTAAGTTTCGAGCTAACCATCACTCTCAATGCCAACAGTTCCGTCTGGCCCGCGTAACCCGCCCAAGGGTTTCGAGGACGAGTAAAGCGATCGCACCCTGAACTTCGAACTTTCGGAACGATAAAAATAAAAGTTCGATTTTTGTCGAATCAGGATGTGGATTGAGCGAATGGTGACCCGAGGAAGTTACGAGGTTCAGTATAGTCACTTGTGTTTGGCTTGGTTGCCGTTGATCGAGACCGACTGGACCTTTGATCCCTTGTGCTTCACGGAGAGGTGCTTTTATACCAATTTTGCGAGTGTGTGCTGTCTTGGAATCCCGGATCTCGAGAACTGACGCTACTGTGTACCTACTAAGTTTTTGAGAGTTATCATATAACCGACAAGCAAGTCGCTTTCCCCCATTCATCATCTTTCTAATATCCTCGCACATCTGTGGGAAAGACTGCTTTGGGCTTGAAAAAACATCCTTGTGTCTTAATATTACGGTTGCTCCTGGTAGTTCGCAAGCCATGGACCTTCTACGTTAGAAATGGGATAGTGGGGGTGGATAAAATTTTGGCAAGTCAGTCATAATAAAGCTCGAGAGTTATTCACTGTACAAGCTTGGCACTTTTCATATACAGCGCGTACACTGCATTGTGTAGAAGTATCGTGGATTAATATTGACAACCCTCAAGTAATGTCATGGCATCTGGTACATTATACACTTTACACTAAACACTTGGACTGGTGTGACCTGTAACAATACACGCCCGCGCGGGCGAAGCCCATGTGAGCCGGTGAATCAGAAAATGTTACGCAAGTCGTTGGCCGGCTGTTCTTTACTCTCCTGCCCTTTGTCCACGAAAATTTCATCCAAGAACGAGTATACAGAGTGTAACCTAAGAATCAAACAGAGCTTAAATGATAAAGGGTTCGTTATATTGAGAAAACGATCAAAAATTCAGAACGTCAGCCAGATCAGATGAACGCCGTATATGCTCATATCTACATGTTGGTTCATCAGCGTCGCTTTATAGCAGCAATCTCTCCCATCAGCCACGAGGAAGGAAAATAGATATATGAAAAAAGCAAACAGGAACCGGACAAGCCTCGGGCACCTTCATGGACACGGCCAGTCAGGGCAAAAGAAATCAAATGGAAATGTCAAAATTGCTCGGCAAAAAAGAACCACATGTCCTGTACACCGTGAAACAAGCATCCGAAGCAAAAAAAGAAAAGAAAAAGAAAAGGAAGTCAAGCACAGCGAGTATCCGGGGAACAAGTCATTAAGGACAAAAGTTCAGATCCAAGGAAGCAACATTCCGGAAACCCCATTTCAACAGACAATGCTCCTACTCCTATCTGGCAAACTGCACAATAGCGCAGGATATTAAAACAGAGGAAGTTCCTCTGACAAGACCATACTCGTAGGACAAGGAATGGCCGAATGGTTTCCAGCGGATATCCAGTCCACGGCAAAAGGGATAAAGCAATCCATGTCCCACGGATGGTAGAAATTGGTCCCGACAGGGGGGGGGGCCATGCACATGATGAAGTCAAATCAGGCTTCAAGTCCGGCCTGGCGCCGGAGACTTTCCTGGACATTTCAAGAAGGGAAATATGGAGTTCGAGAGGAAGAAAAGCATAGCATAGTCGATATGGTATAAGCGGAGAGTGTCCAGGATAATTTTGTGTTCGTCGACATCATTATTTCCCAGGTTTGCAGCATGTTCCGGAAAGAGAAGGCAAAAAACAAAGCAATTGATCATCATTCCAGTCGGCGACAAAAGGTGGGGAGGAGAGACAAAGGATCGGTGTCAATTCTGGGAGATTTTCTGTTGTTTGTGTTTTTTTTTTTCTTTCTCTTTTACCGCCGACGATGGGGGTCTCTTTCGCGGGTTGGCTGCGGCCTACTGCGCTCGTATTCCGGAGTGTATCTCGGCTCCATTCCTATCCGGGGATCCGGGGCAGTAGTGGTAGGGTATGCCATCCCGGAGGTCACGGGAGAATAGTCCGACTCGGCATCATAACCAGGTCCTGGGTATCTGGGGGCATTTCGGCCGCCACCGCCCTCGTAACCATAGCCAGTGTTCGAGTAGGTATAAGAAGAAGGGTGCATGTCAGCAGCCGTCACGACGGGCTGGGACGGGCCCGAGTAGGAGACCTGAGGCGGAGGATAGGGAGCCTGGCCAGAAGCGTAGGGCGAGTGAGTGGAGCTGTAGGAAGGGTTGTTGTTGTAAGGGGCATTCTGGGATCCGCTGTACGGACTCTGGGAATAAGGATCCATGTATTGCTGTGCGGGAGCAGCACTGAAAGTGGTTGGGGAAGGCCCCTGTTGTTGGCGAACCTCATGGATGGCCGAAGTGGCATAGTTGGCTGGGACAGTGTTAGGGGCGTGAGAGATGTTCATATCTTGAACATAACTACCTCTCGGATAGCCTAGGTCAGCCCGCCGCGACACGTCTGCCTCCCAACGAGCGGAGTCAGCTTTTAGATCAGCGATCATCTCCTGGATGTCCGACAAGTCCGTTGGTCAGCTGGGTGGTCCTTTTGGATCCGGATGGAAGCCCTGGGTTTGGTGGGTTGGTTGGTATTTGCGGGGTTTCACTTACAGATGTGAGGTTTCGATAGGCACGGATGAAAAATCCCTGGCGGCCCTGTTGGTTGGGTCAGTCTCAACGCTCTGAAAATTACGACGAAGCAAAGGGCAAGAGGGGACGGACACCGTGGTTGCCGGGTCGCACGAGCGCATCGTTCCCCAGATAGCGACAGATATCTGCTTGGATCACCTCGCGGCTGATTCCATCGCCCGGAATGAAGTATTCATTTTGACGACCTGTCATAATGTGGTCCGAGGAAATATCCAGCGAGCAAGGGAAGCCTCAGGTCCGACGGGCCAAGAGAGAAAATGAAATGTCCGGTGGGAGAAGATGTGAGATCCTTGGGAGTCCTTGAGGGTAGTTGACGGCAGATAGTTGGTGTCCGTTATATTGAGTGGGAAGTACAAGGTTTGTCTATTGAGCGACCGGGGCAGAGGGTCCGAGGTCGTCCGTCAATGCTTTAATTGACGCGGAGGAGAGTTTTTTTTTTGTTTTCTTTTTTTTTTTTTTGTTGGAGATCCAGGGGAGTATGCAGCAGAATCGACAGAACAGTCCAGGGAAGATGGCCTCAAAGAGAATTCATGGGATCCTTGTGGTCGGCAGAATAGCAAAACTGGTGTCCTTGGGAAAACAATATCCGGGAGATCCTTGGGACGGGTCACAACTGGTTGTCCGGTGGTATCCTTTTAAGAGGGTATATCGAAGTCAAATCAACGTGGCCGAGCGACTGAATCAAGTCTGCGAGGCTCGAAGATGAAGGAGTTTCAGGAGAGAAGGAAACGGGAGACCGAGGAGTGGCTGATGTTCCTCTGGACTGAGTTGTGGCCGCACTATAGTATTCCGGTCGGGTTCCAAGTGGGGGGTGGATTGCAGAGGCTGGGGAGAGGAGGTTTGGGGAGAGAAAGAAGAGGAAAGGTTGAAGGAGGGGGAAAGGAAGAGAAGAAGGGGAGGGGGCGAACTAAAGTGGGCTCTGGGAAGAGGGCGGTTGGGCCGTCCTCTTGGGCTGGTGCCACGACTCCCCACTATCAAGGCAAAGCATGCACGGTCGAATACGGTTTAGAGGGATGCGCGACCCTGCCCGCAGCCGCCTTATGCGGTCGCAGGAGTCATCGACCCTGGTCAGGCACACACATCCACCCTGGCTACGTTGAAAAAGGGTCGATCCCCCCATCATCTTCCAGCTTGGATTGCTACTGAGTCTGTGCCCTCCACGGTGACGACCATAGTCCCCACCCCAATCATCTCTTGAGGATCGGAGGGAAACGATGCTGCTCCGAGGAGCAGTACGACGGAGCGGTCAATCCGACGAGAGACACTAAGGCACGTAGCTCCGTAGTAGGGTGCGTTATGAAGTGTATGTACTCCGTAACCCTCCTCGGGACCGACCCTCCGAGCTCGTGAGCAGGTCCAAGTTGGACAAATCGGGCCTGGAGAGAGGGTGATCTTCTCGCCTTCTGCAACTTCGGGGGTCGGTCAAGACCAATCTGATGGCAGACCGTGCAGGGCGAGCACAAAGACGTTGCCACCGGTCCAACCTGGCGGAGTAGGGCGTTGGGCAGGAATGCGTGGCTTTGGGCAGCGCAGCCCGCCACTCAGCGATCGCATCTGTCAGCGCGCTCAGATCGGAGATCGCACAGTTGTCTGGTCTCGACTCGGCGGATCCTGCAGGAGAGTGAGGTGACGGTCGCAGCATGGCCCACCGTGTTTGATGCCATGAAGGGGCAGGAAAAAGAAAGTCATCGTCGTCCTTTCGAATCCGACGAGATTTGACTTTGAACCATGTGAGATTGGAGGTTCGCAGGCCTGCACGTCAACTCCCCAGCACTTACTACTGAGTAGTGCGTAGATGAAGAAAAGGTCTCATATGTGAAGAAGTAAAGCTTGGGCCGGGATTCTCTCCCGCATCTCCTTGGTGAACTCTACTGTACATACTACATAGCAGTTCCCTTCCAATTGACTGTTTACTCCCAACGCGATCCGTGGATCCACGGATCGGAATGACTAATCTCAGCCTGAGGCTCTCGACCACGTGTCGCTGCGCTAGCCCCTTTCGGGTCGCTCTTGCTAGGGACGACTCGTGTCCCAGCGTGAAGCTTTGTGTAGACCTATCGAGTTGCATGGAGCAAAAAATACCTCGGAGGGTTTGACTTGGCCGCCAGTCGCCATGACGAAGCACCGAGCATGTCGTCTGCAGACCCGCCCAACGCGTCTCCCGATGCCGTGAAACGTTCTCGCTATACCCTCCGCCAGTTGCATCTGCTCCGCCAGGGCTCGACAGCGACGCCGCTGCGGGCGATCGCTCACATCGATCTCGATGCGTTCTATGCGCAATGCGAGATGGTGCGTCTGGGGATTCCCCGCGACACCCCGCTTGCGGTTCGCCAGTGGGATTCCCTGATCGCCGTCAATTACGCCGCGCGGCCGTTCGGCATCACTCGGATGCTCAATGCAGTCGACGCCCGGAAAGCATGCCCGAACATCGTCCTCCAACATGTCGCGACATTCCGGGAAGGGGAAGGAGGTCGATGGGCGTACCGCGATGATTCCTTCAGAAGCATCAAGACGGACAAGGTCTCGCTGGATCCATACCGTGCAGAATCACGAAAGATCCTCAAAACAATGAAGGAGGAGCTGGACCGGTGGACAACGGAGTATACTGATGATGAAATACACTCTCTCACCCAGGGGATTTCTGCAGGTTTAGAGAAGGCAAGTATCGATGAGGTGTTTATCGATCTCTCTCCTTTGATCTATCGCGTTCTCCTTCAAAGATATCCTGAAATACGGCCCAACCCCCACGATGAGGACCGAGACGCTGAACTTCCCCAACCGCCAACAACGGCTGTTCAATGGGACTCCGAGGATTGTCTCATTGGGTTGGATCGAGAAGAACGCGAAGAAGATGATCCGGATTGGGATGATATCGTCATGCAAATTGCGGCTGACATCGTTCGCTCGGTACGGATGGCTGTGTGGGAGAAGTTGCATTATACCTGCTCTGCCGGTATAGCACGCAACAAAATGCTATCAAAGCTAGGCAGTGCCTGCAACAAGCCTGACAAACAGACTGTTGTTCGCAACCGTGCCATTCAAATTTTCTTGGGCGGTTACAAGTTCACCCAGATCCGCATGCTTGGTGGTAAACTAGGCGATCAGATCACCGCGGACTTTGGGACAGAGAAAGTCAGTGATCTGCTCAAGTTCTCGCTCGATCAGTTGCGCGCCAAACTTGACGACCATACGGCAACGTGGCTGTATGGTGTCATCCGTGGAGAGGATCGGAGTGAAGTCAGTCCTCGAACACAGATGAAGTCGATGTTATCGGCCAAATCCTTCCGTCCAAGTATAAACTCGGCTGGGCAGGCAGAGAAATGGCTTCGAATCTTCGCTGCCGACATCTATGGTCGTCTGGTGGAAGATGGCGTACTCGAGAATAGACGCCGTCCCCGCGTCATCACGCTCCATCATCGAGTAGTACAGTCACGATCCCGCCAGATCCCCATACCTGGCTCAAATACCATTGACGAGAATCTGCTTTTCGAGCTAGCCAAGACCTTACTTCGGCAAGTCATCGCGGACGGACAGGCATGGCCCTGTGCCAATCTGTCTCTAAGCGTGGGTAGTTTCGAGGATGGTGTTGGTAAGAACAGAGCCATTGAAGGATTTCTCCTTCGGGGTGACCGGGCAAAATCCGTCACTCAATCTACAAGTGTTCGCGAAGCCGACAGCACCGCCAACGATCACATCCCCCCGGAGAAAAAGCGAAAAGTCGACATCAAGCGCTTTTTCGCCCATCCTCCGCCTCCGGGTGATCCAACATCTATCGGTCATGATAGTGCGCAGCACACAGACCAGGAGGTGTCCAATGCGCCTTCGGATGAACCCGAGGCACCGGCTCTAGCCCCTGCGGATGTATTGCCGCAGTATAACTGCGATCGGTGCTCGAAATCCATACCCGAGTACGAGAAGGAAGAACATGACGACTGGCATTTTGCCAAGGATCTGGAGACCCAGGATCGGCAAGAAGCAAGAAATGCACAGCAGCAGAATCAACAGCAAACCCCTCCCGCGAATACTTCTCGGCGCTCAGGCAGTCGTGGGAGAGGAGGACGGAGCCGTGGTAAACCTGAGAAAGGGCAGATGCGTCTGGCCTTTGAGTGATAAGTGCGCATACTGTGACTGATATAGAGTCAATACCTTTCTGCCTGAAATATTGCAAGACTATGATAAATTGATCCTGGTGGCGCCAACAATGTAAAGTATGATGCTATAAAACCACAACAGTCGCAACACTCAATGCAGCTGCTTTGGGCTAGTTTTAAATAATATATAACTTCGAGTTCAATATTTCATTTATCATCAAAAAGCGATTGTTATATTTGTGTTTGTCGGAACTTATCGTGTGTAGGTCTACCTAGGTATGAGACCAGGGAGATATATAGTGCGTCACACGTGTGGCTGGTTCGACCCGACCGGATCCTGGATACCCCGCCCCAGAGCCATGGATGAGCAAGTATTTCCCTAAATTCAATTCCTGGTAAACAAAAAATAGTCAGGAATGCATTGATTTTGTCTGTAGGATTTACGCCAACTTCACAATTACACCAAATCAACCCTGTGAGCCCCCTTCCCGCCATGCCTCCAGCCGCCGATCGCCTGCCCAACATGCGATGGCCCGCGTGGCTGTGACATCAGCGGTCGCGGGGTCATCGGGCATTTCCAAGGGGTGTTGCTCAGCCTCCACTTGTTTGCTACCCTACAGTCATACTCAGACTGTGGCTGGGAGATACTCTTCGTCTCCTCAATTCTCTGCGTTATACTATACTCAGGCTGTTTTGCAGCCTGATATTTGCCGGGTTTGCAACTCGGGATCTGCCGTGATCGGCCAGCATGCGCCAAACCCCGCCGCTGCCTTGACCCGACCATATTCCTGATAGCGACCTCATCGCGCCGACGCTTGCCTGTTCATCACCGGTCCCGCCATCCAGTCACGAGCCTGCAAGCGACCTGCCTGATCGCAGGCCCAATGACCAAGACCTCGGCCCTCGTGAATCTCTTCACCAGTCCCGACGGCTGCCAATATCTTGCCTGAACGAATGCCTCTCGAGTCGCGTTCTCGCTTCAAGATCACTTCTCGAAAGTCTCAAGGACTTGAACAGGCAGCACCTGCTTGAACCCCCGAGTAGCGACCATCGCTCAATGAATCGTGCCCAACCCATTTCAGCACCCAGGACACCAGCACCGTCGCCATGTCTCGCCGTACGCCGCTGCGCGACTACGACGACGAAGAGGACTTTGAGTATGAGCATGAGCGGTACGCACGCCCACGTCGACGAGAGCGCGAATTCGAAGATGACATGGAGTATCGTCGCCGACGATCTATGCCCCCGGTCGAAGAAATGGAGCACCTGCGAATCCGAGAGCGCCCACCTCGCGATTTTGTTCGAGAAGGCTTCACCCCACCGAGGGAACGCGGCCCGGTGGCTATGAGAAGATCGGCCGATGATGACTTTCGACCAGTGGAGCGTGATGAACCATACCCACCTTCGCGTAGACGCCACAGTTACCGGCCACGCGAGATGGACGATGAAAGATACATAGTCGATGAGAGGGAGAGGCGGCGTGAGCGCCGCCCCCGTGAATTTGATGAAGAGCAGGTCATACTGGAAGAAAGAGAGCGACGCCGCATGCGTCGGCCCCGAGACAGAGAGGAGGATCTTATCGCCGAGGACAAAGGAAGGCGTCGTCGGCGTCGACCTTCAGAGGTAGGCGATGATGGATTCATTGTCGAGGAAAGAGAGCAACATCGCGAGCGTCTGCCGCGTGTTGCCGATGAAGAAGAACTGGTTATCGATGAAAGGGAGCGGCGTCGTGGTCCTCGTCCACGGGAGGTCGACGAAGAACTCATAATTGACGACAGGGAAAGACGCAGGGGTCCGCGCTACGATGAGTTCGATGAGCGTGAAACAATAATTGACGAAAAGGAAAAAAGACGTATGCGCCGCCCTCGCACTCTTGATGAGGAAGACCTAGTCATCGAGGCGAAAGAAAAGCGCCGGAGTCGCTGTTCGCGAGGGGTTGATGAAGAAGAGCTCATCGTGGACGACAGAGAAAGGCGCCGTGGTCCTCGGCCTCGTGGCGTCGAAGATGAAGAATTTATTATAGCTGAAAGAGAAAGACGTGAAGGAAGGCGTCACCGGCCAGATCGAGATATTGAAGAAGACCTGCTTGCGGAACGCAGAGAGCGGGAGACACCTCGAGGCTACGAGAGCGAGGACGAGTATCGATCGCGCGAGAAAAGATTTGAACATGACAGAGACGAGGAACGATTGTCAACTCCAGAATCACGCAGGAGACCTCGTCTGCGAGACCCGCAGTTAGTAGAAGAGATTATCATTGACGACAGAAAACGTGAACGACCTTCACGCAGCGGGAGGCATCGCCGAGATCCCGGATTCAACAAAGAGATTATCATGCGGTGGAAGGACCGGCCATCACCGCGCGAGCTGGACGAAGAGGAGCGTTTCCGCGAAACAGCGCGGCACAGACGCAGTCCACCAGAGCACGTACTGGCGCCAGAAGCACCAGAACCACCGGGGACCTTCCCCACCGGACCAGAAGATGTCATATCCGAAGAAGACATCATGGTAGAGGCGAGCAAGAGGCGGTCACGATCACGGCCTCGTCGAACACCAGAAATCGTAGAGGAAGCCGACGAGATCGAGGTTACCAAGAATAAAATAGTATCTCCGCCTCGAGAGGTTTCTCCGGAGCCCTTACGTGCACCTCCTATTCACGAGGATGTGATAACTCATCATCGACATATTAACCACGGTAGGCAAAGAGTCACTGTGCACGTCACGTTCGAGGCTGAAGCTGAACAAACGTCAGGCCATGAAAATCCTCGATCAGTACGCGCACCAAGTCCGGAGATCCCATCGACAAGAACAAGCTTTGATGAAGTCGATGTCCACCATCAGTATGTATATGAAAAATACAGAGCTCTTGAAGTTACATGCTAACTACGTAATAGAAGCGTTAAGGGCAGCCGGAGTTCCGAGGATGATCTGGTTTCCAAGCACCGCGAGGAAGATGAGTCTGTTTCTCCAACTAGTGGGCCCTCTGTGGAGTTTTCAAATCCATGGGATCACAAAGACACCTCTTCAAGACAAGGCTCACGTTCAGTTATCGATGATACACGCGCCTCCATGGCGTCAGAAAGTTTTCACACCCGTGGGCGACGGACTATGCCCCGCGGAGTTGAAGTGGATGACCTCGAGGAGGAAGTGGTCGAGGTTCACGAGAAGCGTAACACTCCCCGCTCAACTGCTGGCCTTTCCAAGAACATCACAGACGAAATTTCTCTAGCCGACACCCCATCAAAGGCCGACTCGGCGGAGATGAGCGGAGCATTGAGTGTTATTGAGGTGGCTCCAAAATATGCCGTGGAGGAGGAACTTGAACGAGACATAAAGATCGGTCAGCAGGTGGAGAAACAACATCGCGATGAGCGATGGACAGAAATAACTAAGGAACTGGTTGTCCGAGAAGCCATTGAGCGGCTCGGATACGAGTTCGAAGAGACAAGGATGTATTATTACGTTTTCTCCTTCCTTGAACAGGTATAATTCCCCAAATATACACCCAAGAAGTCAAGTTTACTAACACGGCATCTTCTACAGCGTGACATTGATGAACTCATCGAACTGTCTGACGAGATACGACGGGCAAGACGGCGACGTATTCGCGAGATGCACCGGGAGCGAGAATCACTTCCACCACCTCGGCCACGCCGCTCTTCGTTTGTCGATCGGCTGCCAATTCGTCCGCCGCGAGTAACTGGGGAGCGACGAGTGCGGGAGCGAGAATGGATCATTGATCCTCGCCGTTCTGGGCGATTCTGAGGACTATTTTGAATATTTGATACGAATGAATGAGAATTATCTATGATATCTACCTTGCTAATTTTGGTAGACCCAATCGAAGGTCATGTAGTGTAGTCCCCCAATATGAATTCCTGTTAATTTCAATTATGGCACCAAAGGATTTGTCGAGAAGAACAAATACGCTGGTACCAGAGGGTAATGCAGGCTCAACAGTATATCGCAGTGTTCTAGTGTACGTAGGGTATTGCGTAGGGTATGGAGTACCTAAAGCATTGATTTCCCGGCATCATGCATGGTTGCCAGGTTTACATTCTCTGGCGGCCTCTTCCAACGCGTATCTCCTTGACCACATTACTACCGTGACTGCTTCAAAGCCCCTTTCCATTGTCACTCACCATGCTCAAATAGCAAATTCGAATCATCAAGTCGGCGACTTGAACAGAGACGCCATCATGGATACCCCACGCAGAGCTTCTGGTGACTCCCCGGACGTCTCCATGGATGTCTCCACGCCGCAACAGAAACAGGACGTCCAACCTCAGCCTCCGAGCGAAACCACAACCCTCCGAGCTAAAACCGATGCCGATTTCAACGTCCAATCCCCCGAAAGAGCCGCGCTGCTCCAGCAGTTGTCCAACGCCCCGAACGGGAAGTGGGTATCTACATCATTCTGGGCCTGCCTCCAGGTCTGCGATCTTGGCAATCTAGCGTATATACTCGACCTGGCACACCATGACCCCGTCTTCTTTGCTGAGATCTCAGACCTGTGTGTCGATCTCCCAAAGAAATGGCTTGAAGACCACGCCGCGTTCTACAGCATTGCCTCTGGGGCGTCCAGCACCTCCCGAGACAGCCTATCCAAGTGTCTGCGCATCGTCGCGAGAAGCCGAGACTCTCACCAGTGTGTCTTGAGCGGCACAAAAAAGACATACCAGCCTATCTGGATCTTCCCGGAGAGACTAACTCGACCAGCCTTCGAAATCGACTACCACTCCCCTAGCATCTGGCGATACATCGAGGTCTTCTGGGACCAGTCGACAACTCAGCGATGGCGCGATGCCGTCTTCAATAACCCCTCCAATGCAACAAATGCAACCAGTGGAAGCTCGAGCCTCATTTGTCTGCGAAACGACCTGGCCTACGGCTTCAAGTCCGGGCAATACGGCCTGCGCCCCGTCGAATTGTCCCAGGACAAGCGTGAACTAGAGGTAGAGTTCCACTGGCTTCCACGGGAGAGCCACGGCTTTGGAGATTTGGTGGATATGCGGAAGCAGCCGCTTTCATACAAGGATCTGGACAACTTTGAGGGACTGAAGTTCTCTCCGACAGGATCGGACGAGCTGGTGAAGTCGGGACATCGGTTCAAGTTGGTCACCAATGACCCTTACCAACGACCGCTCCCGGATTTCGACTTGCTGGATATGGCATGGCACTTCTCGCGGATTGTCGCCATGTCGTCGGCGATTGAGTTCGTTAGCTCTGCGCAGGCGGGAAAAGGACCAGACAGCGATGATGATGATCGAACCCTGCGGGGCCTTTTCGAGCCGGCGCGTCGGTTGTCGTCGAATTTCGACCCTACGCAGAGGACTGCTGAGTGGGTTGCGAGCAGTGCGGTGTGAAGGTGCTGCTGCAGTGTGGATGAAAGGTTCAGATCTGGATGGTGTGTAGGTAAATTCTTGGGGATGTTTCGACCTTTGAAAACAATCTATTGCTACAATGTACCGGCATCGAGGATGTGATAGAAATCTGGAAACTATTCACACAAGAACGACTCATCATTTGATTTCACCTGCGAGCACTTCAGTATCGCATTCGATTGTTCTTTCTGATAGTGCATAGCGAGAAAGAGAAAAGACGGTTTGAAAATTGTTATGCCTTACAAATCGACTCGAGGCTCATTGTGTGAAAGCAAGGACTGGCCACGATTGGCTGCCCGGGAAATAATACTCTTTGCACGCCAAACATGCCTAGCAATTGATTCAGACCTTTAAAAATAGAAATCGAATCCCACACTAAGAATCGCTCTTTCTGAGACATTGACTTGTTAGCTTGTTGGAATCTACAAGCTGAAGAAGGCAGTGTCGATTCCACTTCAGCCCCTGGAAGGTTAACAACCGGAATATACGCGTCCCCAAGCCCGCAATTAAGTATACTTCTTCCCTTTTGTTAGTCGCAAGCCCTACAAGGAAGAGTTCGTCGGCACGAGTTTCGAACACAGTAAAACAAACGAATGTTGTGTGTTCAAACGATATTCTTTGAAAGCCGCCCAGCGGGCCCCATCGGCATCGGCACTCAATGCGAATTGTGCAGTGCGACAACGAATCACCATCGCCGGCGGAATTCTAGACCTTGCTTGGAACGCAAGCCACCAGCACGCACTGCCCTGCCGGTTCCCAGATCAGGACCTCGTACCTGGCAGGTAGGTACACCCGTACGGCCACAGCAAGGTCCAGATGCGTTCCATGGCAGGCCGGGACCAGGCGGACGGTCTGAGACGAGACGAAGAATCTGACGGGCGATCATCGGGACTTCGAACTCCATCCTCGACCCATTTTCTGCATGCGTTGATTCATCCTTCCCCCTGGTGCGACCCAAGAAGAATTACACACCCCTGCCGCCGCCCGGGTCATTGTGGGTGGGTGTCTCAAGGATATGAAATCAGGAAAATCTGTGTGGAGAGGTGTGGGGAACGCGAATGATCTAGGCATGCGAAGGACTGTGGAAATCTCCTGGGATTCGGATGGAGCGACGGCGTCTGGTCCTGGACTTGTGGATAATAGCTTTCCCTGGGCATCGCAGTCCTCCGTCCTCCGGCGGGCGAGTTTTACGCAGATGGCCCTGTGGCCCAGGGTGGACTCCGTAATGTCGTGACTGGGTCAGGAACTGGGTCTCGGGAAGTCTCGAGATCTCAATTTGCGACAACGAATAATGGTCGCGGAGCGTCAGCAAGTACGGACTGTCGTGCACAGGGTCGATATATCACGACGAACGGGTCCTAGGATGGCCATTGTGGAATTGCAGCGACCTGCGACCTGCGAGCGAAGGCAGCCGGTGCATGTGCCGGGTCACAATCGATCGATCGATAACACAAAATGCATAATGTCATGACGGTCCTCCTGCGACAGCCAATTTACCAGTTTACACTGTGGGCCTGTAACCCACTTTTTCCCCTCTGGGATTCGCCGTCAGACAGTCGATCGGCCCCATTGCCGGCCGAAATATTGGTTGAGGTTTTGTCTGGCATTACGATACGATTTGAGGTACCAATCCGCTGGAAATGGTGGTGGGTTCGATCTGATATCAGATGGGAAGGGATGGTTTTCACTATGGACGGAGTCTGTAAGAATGGATGGGTAGAGAGCGTTGGAAAATTGGTAGCGAATTGATTCATTGACGGGCACGGCGATCGAGTTTTGTTTACTAGGTCGGAAAACGATGACGACAATCATCAGGTACATGCCGTATACTGTCGTACATAAAATAGAGTCGAATAAACTCCGCTGAGGGGGCAACGATGGGCCGCGGCAGATGCAGCACCGTCACATTCTACCGGGATAGCTTCCCCTTCCAAATGTGGCGGGATAAGGATCGTCGGAACTGGCGTTTATGCCTTGAATTTGAGCAATCAGCACCCGCCAGCATATCGGTCGCCGAACCGGCTGCTAGCCAATGAGCCCCGGGGGACCGGGGTGGCAGTAGCTTTCCGTCATCGGCGCCGGTGGTTCGACGACTCGATGATGCCAGACTGCGTCGAGACCCTGCCCGATGCAGACCAGGGGGCTTCGGGTGGAAAAGACTGCCATCGACCAGGTTCCGACCAGGTTCCGACCAGGAACAGTATCGATGTACTACTGCACATGGGATGGCATGATGGCCTGGGGGGATGGGGGAGGGGAAATCGCAGTCAGCTGTCAGGATCGTGGTACTTTGGCCAGCCCGACGGCATGGAAACAAAGTACAACGGTGCTTGCGAGTTGCTCTTCAGCCCGGCACTCGACTCGTACTAGCGGACTTCATGTGGCGGGAGCAAAGTGGCTTTGGGCGCAGTTCTGAGACAACCCTCTATCCACCCCATTACGTATGTCCGCACTATCGCTATGGGATGGCCCTCTCGTTGCACGGCGAGGGACAGGCTGGGACGTCATGACGTGCAACCTCGTCGAGAAGACACGATCGAATGACCGTCGTCGTCCACGTTGAATCGACGAGCAGCACCGAAGTAGAACAAGGTATGAAGGGTGGAATGCTGACCGGAATCTCGACCTGGCACCAGAGTTTCGCCGAGCCCCTTCAGCCAATGTTACGCATGGCGGTGGAGCCCAGCACCAAATTGGTATTCGGTTTACTGTGCGCCGCGTCAGGAGCAAAACAAGCAGCGATGGCCCTGAATTGGAGTGAGCTGGGATTGAATCAGCTGGGAAATCGGGATCGCGAGGGCGAAATCACCGTAGATGGAGTCGTAGCAACCCGCACGACGAGTGTATCAATTTCACCCACTGCTAACGGCGTATCGACCAAATAATACATGGTTGCACTTGCAGTACACGGACGTGCGCGACAATTCAGTCGTGAGGATCCACCGAGTTAGCGGTAATGCCGAGATGCGCAACAGAGAAACGTCGCCCCGTGACTCCCGCCCTTCCTCCTCTTGTTGTTCTCTCCCTCATCATCACCTCTCCAACACTCCACGAGGGGGACGATGCCAGCTGCGCTCTGAGTCCCGACACCAGGCACCCGGAGGACGCTCACTAGGCAGACGCCTATTTTCTCGACTTCCCCTACCTACCACCTAACTCCCCCGGTGTATGGGTGATCGACATCGTCACCGGTCGGCACACACTGCTCCCTCCGATATTTCGATCCAAATCCACTCGCCGACTCGACTCCCCTCGTTCGCGGCGACCGAGTACTGAGGAGTCGAAAACCACAGAAAAGAGGAGAAGAAAATCAACCACACATCGGAAAAGAAAATTAGAAAGGACCAGCGATTTCAGGATCAACAAACAGCAACTCGCACCGGATCGGAGGTGGTTTCGCCAAACATCACCCGCCATGCAGCTTTGGCACCTCGCTACGGCTGTTGCCCTGCTGGCAGAGTCGTTCGTCGCGGCTGATCTCGCCTACTGTGCCACGGATAACACTGGTTCTGACTACTCAGCTGGTATGTCTCATCGATCCTTGGGATACCTATGGTATCAAATACAGGTGGCCGAGCTCTTGCTGACTCGAAATAGTGACCAATACCTACCAATCCAACGGAGCTTGCCAGAAAACTTGCGCTAAGTACGCTCTCGGTGTCCTCCAGGGCAAGAAGTGTTGGTGCACGAACGTGGTGCCGTCGAAGTCTTCGCAAAAGGCCACCTCCAAGTGTGACACTTCATGCCCAGGCTACCCCGATGATAGTTGTGGTAGTGCTGCCGATGGTGTCTTCGCCTATGTCTCTGTCTCTGGAAACAGCCCGACCAGCACCGAGGGTGGCAGCTCGGGAACAACTACGGTATGTCCATACTCCCCTTTCTTATTGTGATACCCAACCATGTGCAAGTCAAGTCGACTTTCCCCTACTTGGTTCTCTGTCTGGTTCCTCTTTTTGGGTACTGTGCTCTTTCATGAAACGGTATTCTTATTCTTGGGACAGGGAACCACTAGCGGTACTTCGGCGAGCACATCCACATCATCCTCCAATAATTCGACCATTGTACATATCAAATAACCATGATAACACATTTCGGTCCGGATTGCTAACGATTTCTCGCAGACAAACACATCCGGCACCACGACCTCGGGCAGTGTCGTCAAGGAGACGACGTCGGGCGGCGAGGTCAAGACCATCACCGTTGCCGGATCGAGTGCCACGTCCGGTGCCGACACCTCGAAGGCCACCGCCGACGAGAAGTCTGGTCTGAGTGGTGGCTCCATTGCCGGAGTAGTCATTGGTGTTCTGGGAGGATTGGCCCTGATCGGAGGTCTCATCTTCCTGATCTTCTTCTACCGTCGCCGGGCCCGCTCCGCTAGCCCTATTCCGAGCAATGCAGACATGACTGACAACCGAACGAGCCAAGGCTCAAGCTTCGTCAGGGGTGTCTTCACCCAGGGTAGCGACACCGGAAACGGTCTCGGACGCCAGAACACCTATACCGACAACCGCATGAAGAACGTGTACCCAAATGGGCCTCGGGACAGCAGCGTTTCCCTGCAAGACAACGAGGACTACTCACGTCCTGTGCTCCGGGTAAGTGAATACAATGTCATCTTTCCAAAGACATCAATTTGCCAAAACTGGGCCTAACAAACCCCCCTAGCTCACAAATCCCGACTAAAACCCCGACTAATTCTAACCTCCGGCCTTTCTTTCACACGCTCGCTTTCCCGAGACATGGTCCTCCATTTATTTCTGTGCGAATTCGCTGAAAACAGCTTTGTTATGATACCCAATTGTCACTTTGAATTCTTTCCTTCTATTCCATTACGGTGACACTGGAGAAAGACCACTCCTCTCAGACGGAAGAACTTCAAAAGGCCGGTTCTCGACAACCCCATTCCGCCAGCAAACGCCTCGCGATCCTAGACGAGCGGAAAAGCGACAACGAATTTGAGAAAGCAGAAAATATGAAAAGAAATATCTTCCAAAAACAGTTTCCCCAGGGAACCGATGGTCCGCTGTCGAGACGAGTTCACGAGCTATCACATACATACCTTTGCATACATACCGGCTGACGGCGCCAGCCCGTGTGACCATCCGCCTCCGCGTACATAAATCCTTTCGACTCCTGGCCGCCAAACTCCAACATCGCCTGATCTCGTTTCTAATTGTGATATCGTTCCCCAACCCTATTGTAACATCGAGCCAGCTTTTGTCTTTACCTTAATTCACACCACTAGCCTTGTATCCGGGATTTTTTAGGGCGTTGGGGCATGTCATTAGATCTCAATCTATGATCAGTACTATTTTGAGCTGCATTTACCGTGGAGACATCGTTTTCACCTTAGATCGTCCTCTAGATCGAAGCTTGTAGATCTGTAGATCTGGATGCTTGGCATAGGATCCGGCTTGGCCAATGATGCCTTTGGCAACGAGTCACATGCTCAGGAACTACGCTGTAGTGGCTCGGCCAATCTGAATTGTCAAGTCTCAGCCCTGCACCCTTGTCAAGAGCCCGTGGCAACCCGATGGCCTGTGCGGGCTCCAAATCCGAGGAGGTGTTCCTATTGTTTGGATGACGATAAATGAGGATGAGTGACTGACAGCATTGACTCCTAACTTGCCAGAAACAACCTGTCAACATGAACAAGTAGATTGTCTATCCAAACAAGATTCCCCATCCACGCCTCTTGTACGCGATTCGCCTCCGTATTTTCATAGGGATTCACGTGATAAATTTTTCGACTCGCACGTAAGCACCTTGACCATGAACATCAGATCAAGCTCCTCGTAAGAACGGTCTTTGGTTTCCGGCAGACGGAAGAAGGCCCACGCAACAGTCAGAGAAGCAAAAACACACCGAAAGGAACCCGCTTTTCCTGTAAGATGTGTAAGCAAAGTTTTGAATATGTCGATAGGAATGCGTAGACAATGGGAGTAGGTGGAAGGTTAAGATTTGCTCACATACGTTTCCAATTCCATGCAAGAGAATTAATCATATAAGGCTGGATGACATTGGCAAGAACCTGAGCAACATAGTAGTTAACCGTTCCGAGCCAGGACCACAGTCTTGGAGCGTAGGCGGGGGGACAAGACCTCGGCTGGAATGGTCCAACCGACAGGTCCGACGTTGAGTGAGAAGGTAAGAAGCCAGAATATCCAAAGTACATACTGGACTCGTTTCAAGCTTGCATTGGTGGTGTTGATTGCCAGAGCCCCAGTTATAAAAAACCAAAGAGCCGTCCCGGACATGCTCGTGAGAGAAAGTGTATGACGACCGATTCGACGCCAAAAAAAAAAAAAAAAAAAAAAAAAAAAAAAAAAGGAGACAAGTGTGTCCACAAATTCAATGGCCGTTCACCCGAGATTCAGCTTACAGGAATCATCTGGAATGAGTCCAGTTTGTTGGAAGAAGTAAGTGGCAGAGAATGCGAACTGGGCCCCGCAGGTAATTTGACCTAGAAATGTGACGATGGCGATCTCAGTGCGGCGCAGATCAACGCCATTGAAGCTATCTCAATATGAAGTTCTTTGTGAGATATCGCGCTCGAGATCATTCGTGTGGATCATGAGAGCAACAAGGAACTTGGCGTGTGGCCTTTCGTGCTCTGTCATTAGTCGAAGAACGTTTTTCTCGGCTTGGGCATATCTGCTCTTGCGGACGAGATACCATGGCGACTCGGGCATAAAGAAGGCATCAATTGCCAGGATAGGAATCCAGATCCATTGTAGGGCAAAGGGGTAGCGCCACGCCTCATGGTCTTGACGACCGATGAAGCTTTGCAGTACACCGGCGCCGATGAACTTGCTCCCCGCGAAGCAGAAGTTTGTGTAGGCTGTCAGGTAACCTCGCAGTGGTAAGGGTGTAGCTCTGAGGCATATACAGGGACAATCGTAGCGAAAAGGCCTCAGGGTATGCTATAGAAGCACGAGTGATCCTAGTATCTCCGTCTTTGAGAGGCACACATCAAATAACATTGGTGAGGAATTACCCACACATAATCTGGCCAACTGCGACGATGCCAAAAGCAAAAGCTGGTCTAAATCCAAAGCACTGAATGATGAATCCATTTACCAGAGCCTCAATAATAACCCAGCCTGAGTGCCGCTGCTCATGGCACTCTGCCACCCAGCGGAGTTCTGGTAAAGACCAGTGCTTGCATCGACAGTGCCAAAGCGGCGGGCGTAGGTCGGGTATGCGTGGAGTGATCCAGTGAGGATTGTATCATATCCTTCCATGACAATTCAGAGATCAGTAATGACCATCGAACAGCCCAGGGGTATCCTTTGAGGGCCGAGCGAGCGGTAAGCGAGTGCTCGTGGGTGTTTGCTGCTCGAGAATCATCAATCGTGGCCCTCCCAGTGGCCGCGAGTGCCAATCAGCATGTTGTCGAGCTCCCTGGTAGGGGTGTTCGTTGAATGGCCGATATATCCTCCTCGTGCTCGACGAGGGGAGGCATTTTGCCGTTCATAGTGCTGTTGTGTTTGATACTGCTGGGATCTCGCGAGGTTTGCACTGGCAGTGTTACTAGTACTACTGGCAGTCGTAGTACTAGCGGGCAACTCGGACTTACACCGCGCCGCAGTTGAAAGCAACGCTCCTTTGTCAACACTCAACTCGCACATTTCACAGCTGAAATGCATGACTCCAGATCCAGTCATCTTCGAGCTGCTCTCAGCAGTAGCGATGGTCGTCAATCCTCTTCGAACTCCAGCATTCTGCCAGACGGCCATCTGTTCCGTGACTGCGTGTACTGTTGCCAGACCAAACCACTTGGTCAGTTCCCCTCCGTGCCTCGCGCCGAAATTCCTCGACATTGTGCCTCATGTAGGCCAAACAGAGCTGCTTCATCGTCCAGCATCCGTGAGTTTCCCCCGACCCCTCGCTATTATGCTCCATTCCCGTTTCCAGCTTTTCCGGGGCTACTTCCCAGCTTTATGCGCCCAACACTCGCCTCTCAACTTCGCCAGCCAACAGCTGACCAGCGTCCGTACGAAATGCAGAGGCCCGAGGGGGCGATCTCAAGAATGCGGCAGCTCGACATTCAACGCGAGCACCACCTCCAGGAATGGCTGAATGCCCTGACCCCGAATCCCATCACACCCACAATCTCCCCTCCCAGACCCCCTCCTGGCTATCAAGAACCTTCGCCACGGAAAGTCGACAATATCCCTACGCCCAGAGAAGAGCGTCCGCTTCTCCCGAAAATGCCACAGCAGGTAAGCCTGATTGAATCCATCCAACAGGAGCTATTCTCCCGTCAGCTCTCCGTCACTGCAGACACATCACACTTTACCCGCCAAACCTTGTCGATGCTCGTTAATTCCCAGCAGCCAGATATCATTTATGGTCCACAGGCTGACAGTCTGGAATCCGATGTCTGATCGAGGGAACTTTCATTTCAATTTCTCACATCATTTCCAAATGTGTCGGAGAACTGATGCGGAATCTACGAATATGGCCACGATGAGATAATGGCGGAGAATAGCGAAATGCTGAATTCAAAGTGAGGTAAGTACCTACGTCACTGATTGTGATTTTGGCCGTGGTTCTGATAGTTAATCAGTGTACTTTTACCAAATCTCCCAAGTACTATTAATGCAACATTCTAATCCGGAGAGTGAAAACAGAAAGTGACTGTATTCTAGGTGATGGAGTACATGTAACTAGCTCATTTTGATAAAAAAAGAGTTAATGAGTTGGGATACCAAAGACCAGTGCGAGAAGGACACCAAGGGAGACATGTCTTATCGCCAAACAAGTATTCCCAACCTCAGTCCCGGTAAACATTCAAAGAATTTAACAGAAGTGACCCCTCTGCCTCTCAAATCTAGGGCCTGCTTCGCTTTCGAAGTAGCAGGGCTTGGATACGACCTTGTACTGCTCCATTTGGAATGAGCATAACGTCTTGAGACAGCGTCTTGTCGCAACCGTCTTTCAGATCCGGATTTTCCCGTTGACCACTCCCTAGGAAACAATCCAGCATCCCCGCGCTGGTCTCCTGAACTGCGAAGTGCAGAGGACTGCCATTCTTGGGCTGACCCTTAGCAAAGCGTAGAGCATTAATGTCTGCTCCTCGAGCAAGAAGCGCCTGGATGATGTGCATGTTTCGCTTTCTAACCGCAAGATGCAACTCAGTACGTCCACACTGATCAAAATCATCGATGCGAATTTTCTTTTGCTCAATCAGTTCAATCGCCACCCCGGTTTGGCCCAAAGAAATTGCCTCGTGGAGGACTGTCCAACCGCGATTATACTTGATGTTGATTTCGATGCCCATGTTGAAGAAGTTCGCCAGGAAGGGTGTTTGGACTGTGAAACAACATAGTACAGAGCAGTCCTAACATAATCATCCTGAGCGTTAAACAGCCTACGAGGCATCCGATTCTTGACCAGCCAAAGCACGATGCGGTCGTTGCGCAATGCAGCAGAGTGAAGAGCTGTACCTCCTTCATCCCCTATAAAGCCGAAGGAACCTCCTTGCACAACAGCCTTCAGAACCATGTCTAGGCTGAAGGCTCGCAAAATACCGGCCATAACATTCCCCTGACTCAAACTTGAGCCTGCAATGACAAGCAAGTGGATGATAGGAATCAGCTCCGGGTGAGGCGTGTGCGTCGCATGGGCGAGAGGCGTACTTTCATCAATCAGATCACACTGGTTGGGGTGTGCTCCAAATTCCAGCATCATTTCCACCATATCCAGGGACTTCGACAGCACAGCTAGACTCAGCATCCTCGTTCCGCCTACTGTATACGCATCCGCTCTGGCGCCATTGCTTCCCAGCAGGGCCCGCACGTCTGCGACATGTCCGTCGTAGATGACCTGGGAAAGAGCTCCTGGTCTGGGCCAGAGTTTTGGATACTACCAGGAGGGTAATAGATTGTCACCTCAGATTTCTCCCGGACACGGCGTGGCTCAGTAAATTCGGGAATAACAGGTTCTTCTCCATAGATATAATTGATGGGATAAAACCCTGAGTCCAACGTAGCAGGTGTAGCCATTTTCCATTTTCCTCTAAACTCAGCGTCGTGGACAGCCCAAGATCTTTGAGATTCTGTGTGTGCACACTGTTCCGAACCCACTTTCTAAAGTCCTCCTGTAACTTCGATGCAAGTTCGAGGTCTCGGAGTATGTCCGGGTTTTCCGTGATCTTGCGCCCTTGGAGATGCATGATCATTGATTTGGATGGTAGGAAGAACTCGGGTACGTCGACTCATGTTGCCATCTGTAATTGAAGGGCTGTGTAGAAGGGGTTTGCTACCGCAGCATGAATTCAGCGATGATACTATAGTTCATCTTGCTCCTTTTTGCTGGAAGAACGAATACATAGAACGAGAAATCTCTCGATATTTATCTTCATCCGAGTACCTCGAGTCGTGAAGAGTCAAGGACACGGATGAAAGAACTATATTTAGGCTTCCGGCTAGAATGCCTTCTTTGTCTATGCAATGTCCGGGGGACAGGAAGACCCTAGCTTGGTATTACCCTATATAAGTGGTCAATTTGCCCTTCAGGTGAATGATGAATTCCTGCTTTGGACCCTGGTAATGCGACGTGATAAGGATATGATCTGCTGTCGACCATTATTTTATGCTGGAACCGCAGCTAGCCTTTTTGCACATGAAGATCCATTCTACCCCCGAGAATTGGGAAATCCGAACGCGGAGTTGATATTGAAATCAACATAAGGTTAATCAAAAGCATCATCAAATTACTGATACAGAAGAAAAGAAACATAAGTCAGAGATTATCGTGCACTTTCATCTCGCTCAAGACACAGAGAATGAGTTTGAAGACATCCTGGAGGCGCTTTGATTGTAGCCTTCGTAGCCAGGAAGCCGACTAAGAAGAACTGTGAGAAGAATCGGGCTTCTCATATACACTTTCTCGAACTCTCTCATTTTGCTCAAATTCGGCAATATACTCTGACTTGAGTTGCCCATTCTTATCATAACGGTGTGGCTCATTCAAAGAATTCGTAACAGCATTGAACAGGTTGGTAGATTTCTTGAAAATGTCGTCCATCTCCTCAAGAGAGCGGTAGCGCGTCTCCGGGAAGAAGAAAAAGACTACCGGGAAGATAAATGCGTTGCTAAAACGATATTAGCCCTGGGACATTTGGGAGGGGGCGGGGGTGTAAATCGACAGAGGGACATACATGACGGCAAAGATAATGTAAGTCTGATATCCAATGTTGTTGAAGGCAATTGGGGTGATCATGACAACAAGGAAGTTGAAAATCCAATTTGCACTAGCAAAGTCAGGTCAGAAACATTCACAGAACTCTAGATATTGGAACCGGCGGAATCTCACCTAGTCGACAGAGCGTTGGTCGGGGCACGAATACGCAGTGGGACAATCTCGGCAGGATATAGCCAGGTCATTCCAAGCCATCCTATAGCAAAGAAGGTGTTGAACACAAAGAGGAACACTGCTTGACCAGGCCCGCCTGATGGGTGCCCGTTATCCAAAGCCCACAATGTGATAGCAAGGGCGACCATTGACAGTGACATTCCTGCGGCCTGAACGATAATGTGAGTCAGTATGGCATAGAGACATAATGGGGCAAGTAGCTTACTCCGAACAGCATCAGTTTGCGGCGTCCAACCCTTTCGATAATGAAGATCGGAATCAGGGATGCCAGGAAGTATTCAGTTCCGTTGCAAGCCGACAGAAGCTTGGGATAGTTATTCTGCGATAGATTGATTTTCTTGAACAGTTTTGGCGCCTATAGGTGAAAAGATTAGCCTTAGCAAGTCAACTTTGATCGCAGAGGATGGCCATACATAGTATGTAATGAGGTTAATGCCCGATATTTGCTGGAACATTTGGTTGATATAGGCAAGAGAAACACGATGAAACTCGCGATAATCAGACATCTCAAAAAGACTCCTGTAAGAGCCCTTGGACATCTCTAGAACCGTAAGTTTGACTGACTGGAACTCATTTTTAATAAATGGATCCTCTGGTGGCTTTTCGTTCAAGGCGACGAGAACCTCGATCGCTTCTTCATCGCGGCCTTGCATCACGAGCCACCGCGGTGACTCTGGAAGGTTCAAAATACCTCCGAAGATAATGAGAGCAAAGAATATTTGGAAGGCCAGCGGGAAGCGCCAAGCGACTTCACTTTCGCCAATCCATGCGAACCCTGTCGTCGGAATTAGAAGGGAACAGCCGTGTAGTCTAAGCCTTTGGTAGAACTGACCATAGTTAATCCAGTAGCTAATCGTGATGCCAGCTGTGATGAGCATGCCTTCTATCATGACTAGCTTGCCTCGCTGGTGGGCTTGTGCAGTCTCCGACTGCCAGGTTGCTAGGATGAAGTCAGCCAAGACATAGTGGACTAGGCATATGCCAGGCGATCTAGACTGCATTCACTTACGGACAGTACTTGTGTTCATTCCATTTCCCCAGCCAGTCACGATTCGACCAACAATGAACTGGGGGAGCTGGTATGATGTGCATTGTAGGATGGCACCGACCGTCATAATCACTGAGCCGAAGAAGATAGTCTTCTTGCGACCCAGGGGGTTGCCAACGAAGATTGTGAAAACGGCACCCAAAAAACAGCCCAAGTTGTAAGCGGCGACAGCAATTCCCTGATTCGTCTCGCGATCTGCTTTCAGGGTACCTTCGACGGACTCCGGATCGATGTCAGGGAAGTATTTGGTAAACGACGGCAGGTCCAAAAGACCGCCGGTCACACCTTGATCATATCCGAATAGACTAGAGCTTTTGTGAGCAGAGGTACCCTAGTCGTTGATAAATACATGGGACTTACAGAAAATCAAGACCCGCAATCCAACTGATAGCCAGGTTGAGGGCGTTGCCTCGCAGACCAAAATATCTCGGAACACCTAGCATAGTAGCGATGTTCACTCTGAACTGCCATAGACCAAGCAGACGATGCAGAGGAAAACGAAAGGACCGACAAAGAAAGTGGGTACATAGATCTCGAAATAAATAGAGCCCTGCTCAGAATCGCATCTTACGAAATCACGGCCCCTGACCACGGATTTTCTAGATGCAGTTAGCGGGCAGAGGCGATGGCTCATTTCAGAGTACGACATTGTAAATAACAAGGCGACAAGCCCTTGGCATCACGATACCTCCAAGCCAAGGGGCCCGCTGCAGGCTGGGCAGGTACTCCGGAGCCCTCTGTTGGACGCACTGGTCGTTACATCCTTGACAGCCAAGCTGACCAAGATTACCAAGCCCACCAAGCTTTCATACAAGAAGCTACAAGCAAAGAAGAGGCGTCGACCATAATTCACGGTCCGACATTGTATACGTCCTTCATCATGGAGGTCGGTTTAGAGTGCAAAATGTGGCGTCCGCTGCCCCGGGTTGGATGTACACATGCCGTACGGGTGCTCAGACCCTGGAAACGCCCCGATCCCATGCAGCTGGGCGTACGCACTCGACTGGTAAGGATGGAGAAAATTACACGTTCTCCACGTCGGTCGGGCTCGCCCAGGGACGTCTGGAGATGATCCCCGAGGGGACTCGTGGGGCCCCTGGGCAAAAGGCTGGGGCCGAACAGCGTGCACGCGGCGTACAAAATTGACAAATCTGTCGACAAAGGGTCTTCTGAGCCCTGGCAGGGCCACCATGAGTACGTCATCGCCGACCAGTTCCACTATGTGCCTCGGGATGTTCATATGAAGTAGTGATTATCGTCGATGGATCCAGGCTGGGGCAACGCGCAACGAGCATGCAAATGATCAGGCGACGCCGAGGCCGTGCCTAGAAGCCGCCAAGAGTCTCCCGAATTTCGACCTGGCGATGCATTGGATATGCGGAACAATTTGATGCTAAGAGAGCGATATTATCTTCGGGTTCGAGCGGTCAATTCAGACGCGTTTTCAGTGTTTATACTGGAGGGACGAGGGACAGAGTAAAGTAACGACATTGCTTGGGCCAGGACAGGTGCCCGCAAGACATCTCGGGTGAACTTGCATTTCCCGGGGATTTTAATGGCATTAGCCGAAATATAACTGCGTGTGCGCCGTTCGGGCCCTTAGCGCGCTGATCAGAACTCGGAGGTTTATTAGTTGTGGTCCACACGTGAAGGGAGTATGGCGCAAAGGATGCGATTTCGATCGCGTGAGTTCAAGGTTTCCAATCTGCATGCTTGCCTAGCACTTGGCCAAAGTAAACCCACGTCGATGATATGATATGTGTCAGTTTCACTAGAATGAAGTTGAATTTAAAGGGGAAAAGCGGGATTATGTCCAGGCTTCAGTTGTGATCAAATCGGGAGGATGACAAGACAGCATGTGTGGCCTGAGGCAGCCAGGCACTTCCTAAGTAACTAGTGAAGAGGGAAACGCTCGATGGCAGCACGCGCTGAGACGTGCGGGTCAATTCAGCAGAAACCCACCACAAAACATACGCGTAGCTGTCAGGAAATAGCGAGAAACCCGAATGTAGGGATCAGGCCGGGGAGGTGTAAGAAGGTGTATTCTAGATCTAGCTATCCGGCCACTGTATACTGCCGGCTGTGTCACATAGTCTGGATGGCACCCATGTAGTAGGGGGAGGGGGTCTCCCCACTACACTAGTTAACTATAATTAACTACCTGGCAGCCCATTATTCTACCTCGCTGGGCAAAGCCCCGTGGGAACTCTAGGGGCTTCAAGCGCTCAGCACTGCTTCCTGAAAGCGACTTGAAACTTTGAATAAGAGCTATCTCTGTTTAAAAAGTAAGGAAGTTCTGGTCAAGTGATTCCCGCGTAAATATTTACACATCAATTAGTCCAACTTCAGTACATGCACTGTGTATGCTGTTTTCTAGGCCGCCATACGTTCAACACGAAGCTGTAGCTCCTTGACCAAGTCTATCCCCACTTTGGTTGACTCATCCAGGCTCTCATCCGGCAATCCAAGCAGCTCATTCTGTGCCTTGGCCGAGAAATCATTGGGATCATCCGGGTAAAACGCCCTTGCGTACAGCATCTTGCTGAAGCCAGCCATGTTGCCCAGTTTGACTTGCGCCAGGCCATCCTCGTATCGCTTCTTGCTATCCTCATGCGTAATCGTCCAGTCGGCGTCGGTGGTACCGGTGACACGTTTGACGCTCTCAAACATGTCGTTTTGGCTGACCACAAAGCTCTTAAAGTATACTCCCTTATTGAGGAAGGTCGACACAGTAAGGCTTTTATCGTTTTCATCCTCGGGAAGCTCATCGAGACTCAGAACCTTGGCCACGGCGCGCCCAACCTGCGATAAAGTCGACGTCAAGATCTTGGTGTTGCCATCATCATAGATGGTCAGGGAACGTTTGTCAAAGTCGAATCCAAAGCGCGCATCGCCACCCGCCAGGCTGTAATCGTACCAGAACCCACAGCACACTGTGATCCACAGCATGCCGAGAGTCTCAATCTCGACCCTGTCAGCCTTAGCAACGGGTCCCAGCAATGTGTCTTCGCCGAGTTTAATGTTGCCAATGTCGCCGGCGTACCCGTTAGGCATAACGTAGGGAATTCCGGCTTTTGCGGCCGCCCGGACAAGCTTGCTGTGGGTGTCCCGGGGCGCGGTAGGGGCCATGGTGATGATCAGAAATTGCTGGCCCTTGAGGGCGGCAACAATGGTGGCCTCATCATCGTAGTCGACAGGGGCGACTAGGACGCCCTCGGGGAGCTTGGTACCGCTGTCTTTGCGGGATAGAGCCGTGACATTGTGTTTTCCGGTTTCTAGAAGGGCATTGGCAATGTGCGATCCAATCGTACCTCCAGCCTTAGTGTGTTTGTTAGTCATGTTGTATACGTGGTGTTGTTGATGGATTTACTTACGCCGACAATAGCGACTCTTTCGATGGCGTTTTTGAAGCCGACGGGCTGGTTTTTGGCGTACTTGGGCATGATGGTTGGATTGATTGTTCAAGGCGTTGAAGCTAGTGAAAGAGTGGTAACTGTGTGTGTCTGAAAATAATTTTCTGGTGCAGGAAATGCCCATCTATTTATGGATTTCAGGCCCAATCTCGAGTGCTGTAGTTCTCGGCGGTTTTCATCTTAGCCTTGTCATATTGGATCGTACACGAAAATATCAGTCAAAAGATCTCCACCTTTCTCGAGTATCTCCGAGTGAATTATACCAGTACTTCAAACTAGATTCGCCCGGAGATAATAGCTCTGGGGGGGAAGGAGCGACAACGGGCGACGCCAGCCTCATTAGTGACGGCGATGGCGATCGACTGAGGTAAGCCCGCGTTTCTCCGCCGCAGCTGCCGCATCCAAAGGTCAGCCAACACTTTCTGATAGGCTGGTGCGGCGATAGGGGAGTAACTCCGCAATAGCCGCACATAAAGCCGCACAAGGCGCATGGCATTGATGATTTACCTTCGGACCGACTGATGGAGCTCCGAGCATGTCTTTAACCTCCAAAATGATAAGGATAAAAAAATTCCAAACAAGGGCCACAGATCTACGCATACTCGATTGTGTTTCGCGGCGAGGCGTCATCGGATTGCACGTCCTCTACCCAACGACATCTGCGTCACTAGAACTGGAGGTCAGAGCCGAGCATGGTCAGATATGGCTCGATGAAGAATTGATCCCAGTCCAAATCCCAATCTATGTCTGGCACCGCGGTGTTGGCCTCGGATGCCGGCTGTGTCTGAAAGAATTCATATCCCGCCTCGACAGCTTTTAGCTGGGTAAGTTCTTTTCGCTTCTTTGCCATACTAAGGCTGAGCAGGTGCCGCGCCATCGACAATGCCTCACGCGTCAGTCCTGTATCAGCAGCCTGGACAAGGTTCTCCAGGCCCTTGAAAGCGGCGCCGATGTGGGCGGAGGCCGCTGGCGTGTCGATGGCCAACAGGATGCATGTATATTGGAAGACGCTGCCAATGACGTTCCAGAACAGATGACCCTGGCTAGCTTGCCGCTCGGCCGCCTCCACTGCGGAATTGCCGCTATCAATGACGCGCTCAATGATATCGTCCGGTACGCGGATCTTGAGCTGGTAAAGGCGTCGATAGAAGCAGAACGCAATATCAGCCTTGGTCACCACGAGAAACGGATGGGTAACTTTGAGCTCATCCAGCGCCTTGAGTCGTTGAAATAGCTCTTCACTCGGAGTTGAAGGCTGCGATTTATGCTGGAACGGAGAATTAGGCGATGGAATGATTTGGATCAGTTGTACGAACTGATCGGCAACGGACCCTGGTATTCCGATGATAGGCTGGCAAGTGACGACCCGAAATCCTACAGGCGAACGATCGTACTCATAGGACAACATGTTATGTCCAGCCCATGAGATCCAGAAAATTCTCCTCAGCCGGTCCTCATCATGTCCAAGAACAGCGGCGCCAGCGATGGACGCTATTTTCTTGATGTTGTCTTCCTCGTGCAGCCCTATTGCTTCGCAGAGGTGCATTTGCGTGCACGAAGCGATCCAAGCATTGCTGGGCCGGGTTGTGGCCCGTAGGTAAAGCACTCGCATACCCCACGCGACGATATGGTCGATGCCATGCAAACGCATAGAGGACGGGTCATCGAGGACGGATTTGGCGTGCTGTATCAGGTCAGACTCCCTCGGGTGTCTTTTGGGAGATAGGAACGATCCGAGAGCAGCAATGCCAGCGGCAACAGCGGCAAAGGCGACCGTGTTGCTGGTGTCTGTGTTGCTGCGGGGACTATGGTAATAATTCCGACATCGCTGAGCGTAGATTCTTGGGTCCATTACGTCGCCGATGGGGCCTAGTACCGAGAAGTATATACCCGAGAAGTAGCAAAGGTCTTCCTCCGAGATGAGGTTTCCCAAAAAGCAGTGAGCGTTAGATGCCTCCTCGGGGCGAATGCCAAAGTTGTAAGCGAACGACCGCGTCTTTGGAGGGCTGTCGGAACCGAGAGCGACACTCAGGATGTGCGGGAATGCCATGGCCGCCGATGCCCCGGAGTATCTGAATTTCTGCTCGTCGAAGATGCCCGGAGACGCGCCGGCCACGACGGTGGGACTCTTCGTCGACGAGCCATCCCCTTGAGACCGGCTGGTCGGACTGTGGTCTGTGGCGGACAGATTCGCCAGACGATTGTCACCGTCGATTATGCGCTTGGGTGCAAGCGGAGAGTTGTCGTTGATGTACCTGCAGGTGTATCCGTAGGTGGAACACGTGCCACAAGGATACACAGTGTCGCATTTTCGCTTGCGCTGATGGCAAGGGATGCATGCCTTCATTGCACGCTTGCGCTTGGCAATTATAGTCGACATGACTGGCAAGATTTGATGACCTTCAAAGCCCACTGTGTAGTAGAATTGATCTTCTAGCCCCCATTTCGGGGCGGGGTTGACGCGATTATTTTCTGCCAGTCAGTGACTGTGTGCGTATATCGCTAAACATGGGTCGTCGTAATATATTAGCTACCGCTAACGCACAAAGCGGCCCTTAAAGGTGACAATTCTTATAAGGTAGCTTTATTTCAGTATCTGCCAGGTGGAGGCTGGTGGGCTTTAGGGCGAGTGAGATCATGCTTGGTCTAGCTCAAAGCGGATGCTTAGACTGCCAGTGAGAAGCTGCACTTGCCAATGATGGTTTCTTTAGTCGCGATTCAAGATCCAAGTGAGCCAAAAATGATGCTCAAGGTTGTTATTAATGCATTGAATGCTGAGAAGTACTGCTAGGAGACCACGTAGTTCACCAAGTCGACCTGTTTCCATTAGGAAAGCAAGCCAGAAAATGGGTTCGTTGTATTTTGTTTATACAGTATTCCAATGTCCTACTAGCAGGTGAGTTAATGGATTATCCCTTTTAATTGTCTTAATTGTGTTATTACAAACATTCAGATAATTTTCGACCTGATTATGCGTCTCTTCTTGCTTAGTTGTTATCATAGTTATCAAATGCTGGTGCGCTAGGTATACTAGCCTCTTGTCTGCAACGAGCCGAGGCATTCACGATAAGCTTTATAGGATAAAACAATAACTCCCAGCTTCTCCACGCAACGGCAGCTGATGGAAATCCGGGGTTGGTCATCCGTGATCTCATTCGTCCAATGTCTGGACAATTTTGCCGTTTCGGGTATAGCAGAACCAGTCTTCCCGATTAGTACATTATATCCAGTCCTAGTATCCCTTATCTTTGCTCTAGTCTCAGCTGTCTATCCATCAGACTTATTGCCGACTTTCGTGTGTATTGAATGAGAGATATTGCGACCGGGTTGGATCCAGTCGGCAAAGTGGGACCTCGAGAGGGCCCAGGCCGGGTCACCACACAAGATATTCGATGATAATATCCAGCAACTATTGGATGTAGATGTCGATAAGAGCTCAGCCACAAGGATAACTTGAAGGGCAGAAGATAATCGCAAGCGTTAAACTCTACCCCGTTAAATCAAATAACCTGCCAGTGGTCTGCATTTCCTCGCCAAACACGGAAAAAGTAGTCGTGCCATTATCACCGCAGCCAACCGAAGGAGAGATTCGGTGCGTCCTTCCTATGTCATCGACTCAGATGCGAGCTTCCCCGCTTCGAAGATCCTGGCTTGGGTGCAGCACAAGATTATCATCTCACCATTGGCGTCGCTATCGTTTCCAGGGTCAGGAGTATTTATTGCCCTCGTCTCCTTCGCGGTCGAATTTGCTGTTACATATAAACTATACCAAATATTACCAAGACGGATATCATCCCCTCGCCAAAAAATATACCTTCAGCAGCCCAGTTCAAACAAGCCCAGATATACAACCATCCCCTGTCAGCCCCAATGCGCCTCAACTGAACAACCATGGATTTCCTCCCAAGCCCAGAGAGCGCCTCGCGAATCGGACTGTTCCTCCTTGCGGCAAGTGCAGTCTATATTCTCCTCAGCCGGTCGTCCAACAAATCCCTGTTAAGCAGACTATCCATACGCGGCCGCAAAGACTCAACAGCTCGAACCCCACCGCGATCCATATCCCCAGACAGGAAACAAGCCAACAGCGCCACATCGCCGTCAAGCTATGACCATGCCCTTCCACCCTCACGTAGAGAGTCCCTCCTCCAGCAAAAAGGGGCCATCATACGTTGGAAGGAGGGCGAGGAAGCCGAAATGCGCCAGAGGATGTTGCCCATGACCGCAGATTATAGGACCAGCCCAGGAAATTTGTACACGCCGACTGGGTTCTCGGTAGACGACGTGAAAGCCCTGGGAGACTTCCCCGACTATGCAACACTGAGCGGAGTTCCGCTTCCCAAGCCTTATCCCGAACATCAACTTGAAAAGGCATTACCGCGCCCATATCGCCCATTTAGATGGTCGTACCACCAAACCATGTGTAAGTGCCAGATGCTTCTTCCCGTCATTCTGAAAGTGGATATCTGATCGTCTTAAGGTCTCAATAGCTCTAACCAAGTTGGAAAATGACTGGTGGATCGAACTCGAAAGCACATATAAGAGCCGCATAGCCCAGCGCAAAGAGCTCTTCACGAAGAACGGCAAAGCCGTGCTCGATGCTCTCCCTGGCTCTGAGTTGGCATGCAAGGAACTCATGGAGATGGTGTTGCAGTACATCTGTACTAGATACCCGCAGTACTTCACGCTCATCGACAAGCGAATCTTGCAAAACTACATCCTCGGTACCGAGCAGGATATCCGAGCCAAACCTCCGTTAGAGGTTCTTCTCGACAATGTCCCCGAAGACTTTGCGCTGATGTTGCGCGATGACAAGACCGGCTATTACTATTTGCGAGCGGCTGTGATTTGTTCTGCCCTCGGATGGAATGTTGAGTCCAAGATCGGGCGTCGTCTGGACGCGATCCATGCTCCGATTCCGGATTATAAGGAAAAGATGCAGTTTTCAATGGATCGGTATGTCAATGCTCGTCCACTAGCAATATTCGGCCCATTGTAGAGTGAGCTAATTCGTGCTTCTAGCTTCTTCACCAAAATGCCGACAGAAAAGCCGATCCAGCGAGGCTCATGGGGTCTCGAGGTCGGAGAACCACTGTATATGCCTCCAGGCGACCCGCATGAGGAAGTTCGAAACTCCCAAGACCCAAAGCTGAAGATTGAATATTGCTCTTTACGGGTCGATTGGCAGACTCTGCGTCGCCTCCCGCTGTCCGCGGCTGTGGTGTTCAACTTCAAGGCTGTATTTAGCCCCATCACTGAATTCCGGGACGAGCCTGGCGTACCGGCACTGGTAGCCAAGGTGCTCAGGGAGGGGAAGAAAAGCATCATGGAATACAAGGGCGTATGGCATGTTCAGCATGTCATTTTGCCGAAATTGGAGGAGTGGGCAAAGGAGCAGGAGGAGAAAGGCCTCATTCCAAAGGATTGGGAGGTTGCTACCTTGGATGATAGCCCGTGGTTCAAGGGCTGGGAGGAGAAATGGCATCGGCAACAGGGATTTTAGGTTGATTAATTCTGTATTTCCATTTGATTCTCATGTCTTGGGTATGGCGGCCAAAGATCTTTGACGACTATAATACAAACAACCCGTGCTTTGGATATATCGATGAGCAGCTAGAATGAAGCTTGTGAACTCCACACTAGACTTCTCTGGTGGAAGGTCAGAGTAGATGCGATTGTCACAGGTATCATTAATTTTGGCGGCCGGTCCATGTTCCATGGCAAACGTGTCGTATGGTTATATGGTGCATCCGGCAGTGACTGCTAGGCCTGTCTGCTTCCTCAGCATTGGCCGGGCGGTATTTTTGGTTATGCAATTTGAGATTGCAGCTGCGCTTGCACTTAAGACGATCGTCGACTGTGTCGCATTTCGGTACGAAAGCCGTCAGCAATTATCAACGATTCGTGGTTGAAAGGTGAAGATAGGAACTCGAGTGATTCAGTCTTCATCTTCATCCTTCTGTCCAGAAGATGCTTTGTCACTGTGTTCACGATCATCTTTATCACCATCTTCATCGCCGTTGTCACTGTCTCGATCGAGCTCTTCCAACTCATCCTGCAGCGGACTAACTCGTTCGTCCAACATATCCAGATCCTCCAGTTGTGAACGTGGGGGGAGTTTCCACAGACTCGTACCACACACGCGATCCTTGGTGAGAAGGTCATCGACGAATTGGTCCATGTATGTCAATGTGAATGTATCCCGAACTCTGCGCTTCAATTTCCGGTAGTCGAGGAGAAGTGGTTCCAACGTCTTGTACACATCGACCGCATCAAAGGTGAGACGAACGTAGAATGCAGCCAAAGCACGAAGGTACTTAAAGTCACCACGCTCTTTTACTACTCCATCGTCTTCGTCCTCATTGTCGCTGCCGGGGTCGGTGAAGTTGAGGTATTCGAGAATCACGCTGCGCTCCGGATTGAGCTGCAGAAGTTTGAAGGCAAGGCAAAGAAAGGGCGCCGGTTTTTCGGATACTCCGTAGGTACCGCCGATGGAGGTCAATTCAACGGCGCGGTCGCATAGGGTGGCGGCGTTCAAACCGAAGCACTGCTCCTTCCAGTAGTAGGAGTCAGTGATGCGATCGCGCACAGCTTTCTCAAATAGGGTGATCGGATTGACTCCGCGCACGAGCGGGCCACTGTATCCACGGTTGTCAAGGAAATTACTGGCATCCGCGCGGTGAGATGCCATGGCTGCAGGATATCGAGGACAGCTGGCGTGCAAAAGAAACCTCGGACCTAGAGATCGCCCAAGCTGAAAGCTGAAAAGTGGCCCCGAAGGTGTCAGCCGCAATGTGGCCGCGCACCGCCACAGCTGCTTATCGATAGTCGCACCGCCAACCGCTCGCTGGGTTGCCCTCCGTAAACAAGTCTGCGCCTGATGTCATGCGACTCTAGGGCCGACTTTGAGACATCGAACAAAAGAGGGCGGCCAGCCATGCATGGTTGATATTCCAATTATATCCACTCTTTCCTCACTTTCCATGTCGGCCACCTTTGCGCCATGGTGCTCCTCACTTCGTCCACGGTCTCCACCATCGTGTCAATGGGAGTAGTGTGCATCTTCACCCTACTATTATTTCTATCAGGATACGTGTTGCAGCAGCAATCAGTAAAGAACATCCAGCATGCCATCCGCCCACCCCTTGAGCCGGCTACCCGATCACGCGAGGCCCTAGGATCTGCATTCCAGAAGCGAGGCCTGTCAGATTCAGATTTGGATGCAGGCGTCGATCAGGAGAGCTCGCTAGGCAGTCAGGATCGCCATGCGAAGCCGCGAGGCAATTTTGCATATCTGCAGCTTTTGTCTGAACCCGACCCTTCAGATATTTGCTCTGCGGTCCTCTTTTTCAAGCAGCTTGCGACAAATGGCACCCGCGTCCAGGACCGTCTCTTTATGTACCCACAAGAATGGGATCGAATGTCAACGAAGAAACTCGGGAAGCCAGCCTCGATTGCGCTTTCCATACTGCGTGCCGCCAGTATCAAATATGGTATCTGGCTACTTCCTATCGATATGACTGCAGCTACGTCGGCGGGTTACTCAACAACAAACACCAAGCTTTTGCGTTTGGGTCAGATCCAATTTATGCAATATGACAGCGTTCTCTACGTCCAAACACCTGGCATGATCCTCGACACAGAAAGGCTTGATGACGTATTGTTCTCTCGACCATTGCCCCTTCGACACGATAAGAATAGGCCGGAGTCATTTAACAACGAGGCATGGATTCCCATGCCCCTTCGTGCAGAACGCGATGCCGACCTGCCACCGGTATACCTTATCACAGTCAACAACATCCGCGGCGCTTCCATTGAAACTCGTACGCACATTCCAAACATCCACCTTCCTGGATTTGGTGGTCTCGTGACGGGGCCATGGGGCGTAAAGCCTGAGTCGGATGATGGCGAGCCAATTCAGCAACCGGCATATGTGTACTTTTCCAACGACCGTGACGGTCACGTCAAGTGGGCTGGCAATCCACTTTTTGGGACATGGCGATCACAGCAAAGTGAAGTTTGCGACGGTTTAGAGCTTGACGCCTTTTATCACGACGAGATGAAATGACCTGGAGTTATTTGGCATTTACATTTGATGCGAACAATTTGAATTTTGGGCAAAACTGGACTGGATGGCGTTGATTCACGTTCATATTGACTTGAGTTATGAGAAACTATCTGCGATCTGTCAATCACAATGCTATTAAGATCTTGCCATGCTTTCTTTGGTGCAAATGATTGTTCGTATTTGTGATTTTCACAATAGCATTTTGGGCGAATTATATTGATGATGCTAGCTACAATACAAGCTAGCAACGCAGTAGATGCTACTAAAAGCTCGGGTTGTAGCGTTTATCGTCCGCGAGTCGAGCTCATACGTGATCTTTTGTCAGCCAATCCAGATCTACCTTGGGCATTTTCGCTTTGGGCTACTGAGGAACACCGATCTCATAGCCCAGTAAAACCTCTGTAGTGTTTCCTTCCCAGCCACGATTACCACTAGTAGAGATCATGAAGCGGCACGCATTATCTATATAGAGTTGTGAGATTGTTCCTGTGCGATGGCCCGGAATGATGAGGAAAGGCACAGTGGAATGGCGAGATGTTTGCTCCTGGTTAAGATCATACAGGCGAAGAATATCATGGGAGGCACTGACTAGTAGTTAGTGGGCTGAGTTGAGGGTAATTAATCAAGAGGAACCTACCAGACAAGGTGACGGCCGTTGGGCATAGCCTTCAGAGCTGTCACAGGGCCACTTCCTTGAGGGAATTTGAATGTACGTTCAGCCTCTCGAAGACCCTTATGCAGACTGAATTCCTCGACCGTGCCATTTCGCCGTCCGGCGTAAATGAAGTTTCCATCAGGAGACCAGCATGCGTTCATGCACCAAGGGGGGACATTACGAGGGCTGATCCGAGCCACGGGATCGGGTTGCCTCCGGTCCCATACACGGATGGTCCCGTCGATGGAGGCCGCGAGGAAGGTTGTGTCGGTCCCAGATGTCTGCTCTGATTGCATGCCCTGCGATATGTCGTGCTCCATAGACGTCTCCAGTTCCTCGGCCTTGGGTAGCCCACCAGCAGCAGGTTGTGCTGGCTCTGTAGTAATCTCCGTCTTCCGAAATTCGTTGTTCGCCTGCGAGTCATGCGCATTGGCGTCTGCGGTCTCTCCGGCGACAGAATTCGTTTGAGGCACAGAGTCGGACTGTGGCATCTCAGTGTCAATTTCTCCAGGGGCGTCTGCATCTGCAAGAACACCATGGGCCATTGCGCGGCCGAACTCATCATCCTCGTCTACGCCAAATACACCTCCGGAGGGTTCTCCTCCATCTACCGCCCCGCCATCTGCATCGCCGAACAAGGAGTCAGCCCCGCCGAAAAGAGAGTCAGCCGGCGAGCCCGCCTGCGGGTTCTCGGCTCCCTGATCTCCAGAATCATGAGATGCGTCCATGGAGTTGAACTTGTCTAAGCCGCTTGCCTGGTAATTCGACGCGTAAGTACCGCTTGGCAGCGACGGATCGATCGTGTCCTGCGGGACTGGCAAACTCGACTCTGGTCGAATCTGCACTGCAGAGATCTGGCGTGCGCTCCCTCCAAAGGCATGGCGGACCTGTCCGGTGTTGAGGTCCCAGTCAAAAACTCGCTTGTCCCAGCTTCCCGAGAGCAAAGATTGCTCATCGGATGTGAGATTGAGGGAAGACACCGCGGATGTGTGCTGGCCTAGCGAAACAATTTCTTTGCCCTCATCATGTCGCAGTGTCTGCAGTCGAATGGCCCCAGACTCCAGGCCAGAAAGTAACCATAAGCCCTCGCTCTGGCAGGCCAAAGAGTAGACTGGCGACAGACTGTTGCCATCCATATTCTCCCAGTATGTCATCAGCACGCCGGCCTTGACCACGCTATCGACAAAGGGATGCCTTTGCGCAACGGTCAGCATGAGCTTGCTGTTGATCGACTCGGCCCAGTTAAATTTCCTGACAAACCCATCAGATCCTCCACTGAATACCCATCGCATATCTGCTGTGGCTGTCACCGCATTGATCGATGTGCTGTGGGGCGCGGCGGTCGTAGGAACAATATCGTAGGTCTTGGCCGTCAGGCATTCCGAGCGCACGCTAGGGTGATAAATGGAGAAGGATTCTAGCATGGAGGTATCGCCAGTTCCTGGCTCCGCGATGGTCGTGGTGTCAGGGTTTTGCTGCGAAGAAATCCCAGCACCATCTGAGGCCTGACTTGCATTCGAGGGGCTGCCCGGATCTTCGTCTTGATCTTGGTCCTGATCGGCGTCGGCGTCCACGTCCTGCTCATTATCGTTGTCGTTGTCGTCGTTGTTGTCTCCTTCGTTATCGTCCACATCTCGCATAGCATCGTCGATCTCGTTATCGGAACTTCCATCCTGCGAACCTAGAGAAAGCTTGTTGGCGCAAGCAACTGCGAATGGTGGATTGGAGAGACTCACCCGCCAGGTCGCGGTCCTCATCCTCTTCTAGTGAAGCCATTACGCTTGTACACAGGTCGCGACTCGACTCACGCTCGGGTATTCAATCGCGCCGTGGTCAATTGGGCCCCGGGGTTTGCTCGTGTGGTCTAGTGCGGAGAGCTTCGGCGCAAACGACTTTCCGAACCTCCACAATACCGAGGTAGGTGCTTCTAGATGAGAGAGAAGATAAGCCGGTGTTTTCAGTAAGCTAGCCGCCAGGTTGTGTCCACAAAGTACTCTCAAACCACAAGAGTCGGTCGGTCAGCAGAGGTCGGGCGAAGACCGCGAGCGAGTTGATGTGAACGAAAGCGCGCAGGGCGGTCTCGCCCGCCTTCTCCGCCAGGTCCGACCAATCAGATCGCGCCGCTCTAGATCTACACATCAGAATGCATTTCAAAGGCATTCTGAGGTGAAAACCAGGTGGAGATGAGAATTCGGGATCTCGGTATTTAATAAAATGGCTATTTGAAACTACTATGGATACTACAAGCATTACTGTTGATAGTAGAGCTGCTGGTACACCAATCGGACTCCCTGGCATCTCAAGACAGACAACGGTGCACTGAATTCACACCAGGGTCACCTTCCCGATCGCGCCTTACTTTGTAAGATTTCTACCTCGTGTCTTTCCAGACTTCTCGCTACCATTATTGCACTGTTCTGCCATCTTGAATTTGACGTCGCTCGTTTAAAGGCGGCCGTCGTATCTTCTCTATCCCCTCTTCCCCTTGTCTTCTTCGCCACTCCACATCTACCCACACGCCGCGTTCCGTCAACACTCGATAGCAAATAGACTCGTCCCGGAGCGTTCATGGCTACTATGACGAATATGACTTGCCCATGTCCGACGAGCTCGAGGACTGGCAGTAAAAGCCGCTCTGCCTTCCTGGCAGCCTTAGTCAAAGCCAAACAAAGTTCACAGTGGTTGATCCTCCAGAGAGGAATATCTCAAGAGGAATTACAATCTGATTCGGGGACTCGATCCTGCCCCTTCGTGATGCGGTGGCCGAGTTCATGAAAGATCAGACATTGGTGAGCACGGATGCCACCATCTTCTACGAAAAGGTATCCTCGACCCACTCAATTGCTTCTTGATTTTCTGAAGCTCTACTGGCACTGCATGCGCACCCCAATAGGTCTTTCTCGATAACATCATATTGGCAGACAAAGGCCTTGCTTATCGATTCAGATTTTCCACTCGCCGTGCGAGGGAGAGTATCCGGTGGGATCAATCGGAACACCCCCAGACAAGTAAGACCGTGGCCTTGATTTCGGGGGACCGTGCTCATGCTCCCACCTGCATTATCGATATTGTCGCAGCAAGATCCTTGCAGGTTCTAAAAGAGACTTCTTTCAAGTCGACAGATTCTTTGCCGACTCCGGTGATGTATCAGTTGACGCCCAAAATGAATGGACCATGATCGAGGCAAGGGACAGCCATTACGAGGCCAATCAGCACACGATGCTGGCTCTCCAGAGGCTTTTTAGGGAAACGTGTGTGCGTGCAAGTGCCAAACTGACGCCCTGGGGCGTCTATGTGTGATATGGGAATGACAATTTCTAAATTTATTGACAAAAAGGTTGCCCCTCAGTGAGCATATTTCCAACTCAAGTACTGCAGTTGAAACTCCTTCGCACGCCATTGAGCATATCCAGTCTAGCACGTGTGACAATTTCATTTCCAGTATCAGCTCACACCGGGAGTATGTAGAAGCCCGAGACATTGATACTTCATTTTATCGATGCAGCACCTAGACGATCAATCCTGTACATTTCCAATAGGTGTGGTATGTGATCAATTTTTTTTCGCAGACACATAATTGGCGTCATCCAAGATACATGTGAATAATTATTGGAAAAAGCGGGCATTAAAAAAAGCTAAATCATGGTCATATACTGTTCCAGGCTCTGGCCAAGACAGTTTATGAATGGCCACTGTGTGTTTCGCTTGAATAGCCTGGACCACAGCTTGAGAACCGCTATTCCCAACGATGCCGGCTCGAGGTTGGGTGGCGCTTCAGATTCATCTTCCAGATCAATAGATGTGTATGCCTCTTCGACAATACACTGCGTCCAGCGGAGTATTCGGCTCTCGTTCTCTGCCAGGAATGTTATTAAGGTGCCTTAATAGATCTTGATTGAATGACTTACCACTTAGCGCTTGGTCTGGACCTGCCTCGGCAAGTGTGAAGAGCCACTTGCTCAGGAGAACTGCACATTCTAGACTCGCAAGCGAGTGGCGGACACTCCAGAAAAAAGCTTGACTGCGTGCTATATGATCAATTCCAAGTCGAACGGGGATACTGAGCGCGTGAGCCGCATAAATTAGCGCCGGTATAAGGCGATAGCTTCGCTCTGGCTTGGGAGAACGACGTAGTGCCGAAGCTATTGTTGTAGGGTCACGGGTTTCTAAGCGGCGGTAGGGGCCAAGATTCAAAGATAGTCGCACGTAGGCGAGGCCAAGTAGAGAACTAGAAGTGAACGGAATGGGACCGTTGGCGTTGTGTGGATCGAGGCTTGATTCCGGGGCTTGTTGCCAGACGCTGGTCCAGGAGCGGAGGGCTCGTCTAGGTTCAGAAGTCAGCATACTTTCTTGAAAATAGCGAAATTTGGTCAGACTCACTCAATCTTGTTCAGTTCCTCGGTCGGAAGGCTGGTTGAATGAAGCCCATTTGGTAATGAAAGCTCGCTGACAATGTGAATCCTCTGGAGCAGGCCGTGGAGGAGAATGTAGTTGCCCAGAGGAGCAGGAATAGGCACCAATGGCACAGCGGATCGTGACTTTTGCAGCAAAAGTGTCAATGCATCCTGAAAGAATAGCTGTTGGGGCCCGCGATCTCTCTGAGCAGCTTCCCACTCGGCGGCATTATTCGCTATCCATTCCTTTGTAGAACAAGGAAGCCGCATGTGTATTTCGCTGCTGCGCAGCGATGGATAGACATTGTATGCCACGCTGTGGATATGAATGAAGCAAAATGAAATCAGTTTGGTCCGACGAACAGACTCCTGATCTGCCCACTCGTACCAGTCCAGGACTTGGCCACGCGGATCAGAATGTGGCTCTGTCAGTCCAGCATCACGAAGGTGTTGAACCAGCTGCGCTTGAATTTGAAATGCTTCTTGGACAAGGCCTGCTCGCTCCCAGGTAGCGTAGCTCATGAGCACGAGAAGACATCGGATCACCTCCATTTGACGGGATGAGCTAGTGGTGCCCACGCTCCCAGAATGGGCCTGATCACCATATTGGGAGCCCATTGGATAACCCGAACGGGATTCCCTGTTCATGCGCTCATAGAGAACCGCTTTAGAAACATGGAATATCTTCTCGGCGTTACGATGCTCAAAGCGGTATTGGGCTCCAATAGTCATTATAGCCAGAATCAATTCTGCGGAGCACTCATTGAAGCGGAACGTGGGGACGTGAATGAATGGAATATGAGGATGGAATCCCTCAAAGTAGGAGGTGAGGTAGCGAGTTAAAGTGTGGCGAGAAGGAAGGGTAAAATCGGGAATGACATTGCGAAAGTCCTCGAGTGAAGCAGCCAATCGGAAACGTTGGTCTTCAGAGACATGGAATCGAGAGGCTTTGGTAACTTGTGGCGGTTCTGGAATATCGTCAGACATCACTCTAAAGTAGCAGGAATTAAGGAAGACATACCTGGGTCGGAAAGATTGCCTAGACTCTGGTCTTCTCTCGGTACTGAGGGCAGCCATGATCGGAACGGCGAATCACCCCTCGAGCCTTCTCTGATGCTGCTTGAACGCTTGGGTTGTTCTTGAGTTGACTGGCTAGGCTTTGGCACGTCTTCCACCCCAATATCCTGCATCTGTGAGGGATCACCCTCGAAGGGCAGCCATTCTGCTGGGAGACCAATGGAATCCAAGAAGTGAGTAAACTCTTGGAAATGGTTTAGGTCCTCCGGTAGGTACGGCAGTGCTTTTTAGTTGTTAACACATCGATCCTTCCTCGTCCACGATACTTTACTTACAGGGAGCTTGATAGTCGCCGGGAAGTAGTAACTGGGCCGCCTGGAGCATCGCCGGATCGTGCATTCCAGGATGCCCTTCCGGTGGGGCATTGGGATTCGGTGGCCCTGGGGTCAGCAGGCCCGGTGGCTGAGGCTGAGGCAAGTAGGCCGTCTGTTGCGGCGGCTGTCCCGACCATTGATGCATCGCGCTTGTGACTGGTGCTGGAATCGACGCAGACCGGGTAGATGCATCATATTGCTGCGGCTGCGGGAGGGCTGCAGGCGCCGGGGGTGGGGGGCCTGGGGCTGGGCTGCTACTGGAGCTGGCGCTTGGAGACCGGACTGTGAGCCTGGCGAGGTGAGCCCATCCTGGTGGGAGATGCGATTATGTCTCTTGAGTAGATCGCGCCTAGTGAACGCTGCCCCACAGAAGCAGATGAACGGCTTCTCCTTGGTATCTGGCGTGGTCAGTCTCGTCGCCTTGCAGGTTACCCCAACACAACTTACGGGTTCGGACGTGACGCTCCAAATGTTCGGTGCGACGAAAGGCCCGGCCACAATGGACACAGATCCGTGCTTTTGCGCGGCCCGTCTGGGGTGATGGGGATGGCATTGCTCGGAGTCACTTGGAGAAGAGGAGAAAGTGGAGGGCGGCCGACGAGCGCCTTGGGGGAACTCCCCAAGCGGTGACTCCAACGGCCCATCGCGCGCTCTCCACTATCGCCATCAACCGGTATCTCTTCGAGCGCTATAAACATACTCGCCAAACGGCAATACTGCAGGTTCTCCCTTCGATCGCAATCACTACTTGCGTCCATGTCCCTTCTCAATTCGCTCTTTCCAGGCGTCGCCGTCGTGACGGGCGCTGGCGGAACCGGTATGCTACCCTGAATGCGGAGATTGAGGATGATCCACAGATCCACTCACGCAGGAATCGAGTGTAGGCATCGGCGCCGCGGTCGCCAGGGCCTTTGCGGCCGCAGGGTGTGAGAAAATCGCCATCACAGACGTGAATCCATCGACTCTGGAGCAGACTCGGCAATCAGTGGCCGCAGACCACCCCAAGGTGCAGCTGTTCTCTCATGCCGGCAGTGTCGCCGAGGATCGATTTGCGCAGTCATTTATCGATCAAGTAGTGAAGAAGTTTGGCCGTGTCGACTACGCTGTCAACTGTGCTGGTGTCCTGGGTCTTCCCATGCGATCGGCAGAAACCAGCCTCGAGGAATTCGACCGCGTCAATAACATCAATTATCGCGGGTGTTGGTTGTCGTCGCGGGCTCAGCTTAAGCAGATGGTTTCACAGAAACCGCTTCCTAGCCACGATCCCAACCGTCCTCCTCAGCGAGGCGCGGTGGTAAACATCGCCAGTCAACTAGGGATTGTCAGCCGACCGAATGCTCGTGAGTGGCCTTCATACTTCCTTTGTCGAATTTCCCTAGCAAATTTCCATCTCTAATGACCCGGATCGGATTATAGCGGCATATTGTGCATCTAAATCAGCTATCATCGGGTTGTCTCGTGCAGATGCGATAGATTACTCGGCGGATGGGATCCGAGTCAACTGTGTCTGCCCGGGTGTCATCGAGACGCCTTTAGTCATGGAAAAGAAGGAAGTACGTGAAGCCATCACTCCTGCTGTAGAGATCGCACCAATGAAACGGATGGGAAAACCGGAGGAAGTGGCAGATGCAGTGCTGTTTCTCTGTTCGACGCAGGCGTCGTTCGTTCAAGGCCATGCCATGGTGGTGGATGGCGGATATATAACCGTGTAGAGTAAATACATATACAAATAGTGTCAGAAACCGGGAGCAAATTGAAAGCTATTTTAAACCAAATCTATCAAAAAAACAATATACATCATATCATACTTGGTGCATCACATGGTCGTCAATGAAGTCGCAAGTTGCTGAATCCTATATACATTGACTATGCGAATCGAGGCTCGCTCAGATGCTATCTAGTTCTTGTCCGTTGAATACTGCATCTTCTTCCAGTCGAAGTTATTTTCCCATGCATAACCAACCTGCAATATCTTCTCCTCCTGCCACAAGCCCCCGACAATCTGCATGCCGACGGGCAACATGACTTGGTCATCATCCTTGGCCGCTGCAAATCCAATAGGAATCGACATGGCTGGGTGACCCGTCACATTAAAGACGGCAGTGTTGATTGTCAAGCCCATGCTGGGTTTGAGCGATTCCAACGGAAGACCCCAGTTTCCGTGCCTTGGAGCAACAACAGGAGTCGTAGGCATGACGATCGCATCGTATTTCTCAAACAATTCTTGATACTTATCACTTACTTGTCGACCAATGTTCACCGTCTTGCCATAGATATTCGGGAAGCGGGACATCAGATAGAGCCCATTGATAATGACATTTTTCGTTGACGGGAAGGCACGTTGGAAACCCTCGTCGCTCCAAGGCAGTCTGCTCTGCTCGGCCTCAGTCATAGATAGGCCCCGTCGCCCAGTGTTGTGACCGAGAAGTGTTTGAGCACCTGCGATTCGCGAAAGTATAGTCCAAAGTGCTGGCCCGTGATAATGGTCTGGCAGTGATACTTCCTCCACGACTGAACCAAGGTCTTCAAACTTTTTGGCGGCAATGGTCACAGATTTCCGGACACTGGAATCCACTGCACTGTGCTCGAACCCTTCCTTGAGGATACCAATCTTGAGACCATCGAGTCTTTGTGAACTTTCATGGAGTGCTGCTGCGAATTTGGTTGAGCCCGGCTTCGGGCTTGCCAGTGATCGGTCGTCAATGCCATCATAACCACTGATGACATCTAAACATGTAGCAACTTCGAGAGTCGAGCGAGCGAGAGGGCCAGCATGGTCAACCAAGGCATCGCCGCTCGAAATCCCTGTGTAAGGAACCCGGCCATGAGTAGGCTTGAGGCCAACACCTACAATCAGTCAGTTATGCTCCGTATGTTTTAAACCGGAAGACTTACATCCACACAAAGCTGCAGGGACCCGAATACTTCCACCTTGGTCGCCACCAATAGTGACATCGACCAAGCCAGCTGACACTAAGGCAGCGCCGCCAGATGTGCTCCCTCCTGCGGAATAGCCTGCCGCATGGGGATTCTCCACCGTGCCCTGGGCACTAGTATAGGAAGAGGTGGAGTGGCAATAGTTTTCGCACGTAGAAGTCCCATGAATATTGGCACCGGCGTCCAGCAATCGGGTCACGACGGTTGCATCAGTTTTCGGCGTCCAGGCAGGCGTGATATCACTTCCGAGTAGCTGAGGCACCCCGGCCACCGCAATGACATCTTTCAAGCTCACTGATTTCCCCGCCATGGCGCCGCCTTGGGAGTTTCCCCGAATCAGAAACTTATGGGACCATGCCTGCCCCAGAACCTGCTCGTCATTTCCACACCGACGGACATTCTCGCGTGGGTATTTGGCCTGACCAGATAGTGGTTGATAATCAGGCAGGGCCGCCACACCCTCAGCACAGTCATGCACAGCTGCGAGCAAGGTGTGGAAATCACTCGACTCGCTGGGGTCGATAGTGAGACCCAGGGGCTGGATCAGGGCTTCAGCATCCCCAGGCTTGACGGGGTTGTTTCTGTATCAAACGGTTAATTGGGCCATCGATAGGGGCAAATAGGCTATATTGGATCCTCTCACTCTGAAATGCTCGTGAAAAGGACCGACATCGTGGGATATGGGAAAGTGGTACGCGCTCTTTCGCATCACCGGGGAATTGAAGATTTTATGAGACGGCATCATGCAACAATTCTTTTTGTCTCATCGGCAATCCCCGATCACCCACTTGGAGACCCATCTTTGCCGACGAGGCCAGCAATGTCCTGCGAAAAAAAAGGGTCTTCGATCCGACTCCAAATCGACCCCAACATTCTGATCTACGGCCCACCGGATGGGGGTTCGGCCTATCTTGAAGCGAGGTCAGAACGACCCTCAGGGAATCAAACAATCGGAAATTCATGTGCTCGAGACGCGATAACACTGAGATGACACATTTTTCCTGACCAACCCCCATTCTTGTCGATCACCTGGCGATGTGCGGCGACTCCGACAGCCCCGAGGAGGCGGAGAGGGGTTCGGCTTCCCCGCATTGCCTGAGTAACCATGTTCCCTTACAAAGAAACCGCCGAGCTCTCCTTTCCCACTTTTGACCAAGAAGCAATTGAGCACTCACAATGGGCCCAAAGCGAGTTCTCATTACTTATGGAGTCGACGTGGATGCCGTGGCGGGATGGCTCGGCTCGTATGGAGGCGAGGATTCTACGAACGACATTAGCCGGGGTAGGTTCGTCGAACTAGGCAATATGAGCCTCTGCTAACGAGCAGCTATTCAGGTGTCTGGGCGGGAACTGTCGGGACTCGGCGCCTCCTGAAGCTTTTCGACAAGTACGACATCAAGACAACCTGGTTTATTCCCGGTCATTCGTTGGAGACTTTCCCGGAAGAGATGGCCGCAGTTCGTGACGCTGGGCACGAGATCGGACTTCACGGTTATTCGCACGAGAACCCAACGGATATGAGCATTGAGCAACAGCGAGACGTGCTCGACAAGACCTACCGCATGCTCACCGAGTTTGCTGGTAAACCACCTCGAGGAAGCGTTGCGCCCTGGTATGCCTACACTTGTCAATCACACCGGTCCAGTCGCTCATATTTTCATCTAGGTGGGAGACCAGCCAGGAGGGCGCACAGCTCCTCCTCGACTACGGAATTGAGTATGATCACAGCATGAGCCACGAGGACTGCCAGGCCTACTACTTGCGCACCGGTGACAGTTGGACAAAGATTGACTATGGCAAGAATGCAGAGACTTGGATGAAGCCGTTGGAGCATGGTCCGCAGACAGGTCTCGTGGAGATTCCATCCAACTGGTACATCGACGACTTGCCTCCGATGATGTTCATCAAGAAAGCGCCGAACAGCCATGGATTCGTCAACGCGCGTGATGTAGAAGATATCTGGCGCGACCATTTCGATTATTTCTATCGCGAGTACGACGAATTCATCTTTCCCATCACAATTCACCCGGATGTCTCCGGAAGACCACATGTGCTTCTAATGCATGAACGGTATGTCTCCGTCGACTTTTCAAATTGATATAAGCTAACTTTGAATAGTCTGATTGAGCACTTCAAGAAACACGACGGCGTGGAGTTTGTGACGATGGAGCAAATGTGCGACGAGTTCAAGAGAAAGAACCCGGAACCTGAGGGGGCATTGATGCCTGCACCCGCCGGAGCGATGCTTAAGAAGTAGATACAGATAGGCCAATCAATTCGATACTATTTTCGACCTTATCATCAGCTGCACTTCTGCTGGGTACATTCCAAAAAACCCCAAATTGGAAACTCTGACCCCAACATCCCTGGTGTCTCTAGCACGATCTCCAACTCGCGCTGGTTGCGTCGTCATTCTCCAGCCGCCACTCGCACGCTCTTATCTCGAATTCATTCTCCGGCTATATCTCATGGGATACACATTTACCCCAACAATGTGACCCCAATTGAGGCTCGACTGAGGCTCATTCAGCTTTCAACCCACATTACACCCGACAATGTAGCTCACGAGACTTTGCTGGGTTCAGATGTCATTGGGGTCACTCTTGTCGAGAAATTGGAGACGAGGGACAACAACTACAATGTTGTTTTCGATATTTTGCCAACTTACTACAATTATCTTATCATACTGTCATGACCTTCGCTCTGATGATGCGGGTGCCCCTGTATAACTAGCCTCATAATAGCTCTTTTGAAGATTCTGGTCCAGTTTTTCGCCATATCCATTATATTATTTCTCTGTTAATATGTCTTTGATCTAGCGAAGTTGAATGCGATGGTTGTATATAGTTGTCGACTCGTGATAGCCATCTACCCCAACCGTGACCCCAACCGTGACCCCAACGGCTAGCCCCATCCGGCGCCTCTACCGGGACTCCAACTGCCAACTCCCAACTGTCGCAGCTCGAGGGGCGTATCCACGCTTTGAGGTCACTCAAACCCACCCGGCCTAAGAAAATCGTCCCCTCGTTATCAGACAGCTCGAATTCGTGGGGAAGCATTCAGTGGAGAAGTCCCACTCTTTCTCAGCCCTCAGTGTCGCGCCCTGCCTGAACCCCAGAAACTCTAAGCAGGCGCCCGTTGAAAAGGGAAATGAGAAGCTCATGCCGGGAAGAACCCGAGTCGTGAGATACGTTCGCCTTGAATGGGTCTGCTCGTGTTATATATCGGATATCCCCTTCGAAGCCATTTTTACTTCGCGTTCTTGACTCTATCTTTTCTTATATTTGTCCATTTTGGGATCGGCTCTGAACAAGTCGCCGTTCTCTCGCCTCGTCACCATGTTGGCCTCGTCCGACGAGATCAAGGTTGCCCCTCACGACTCTCACTCCCCCGATACACAGACAGCCGAGCTAGAAGACCGGTTCGAAGTCTTCAAGAAGGGAGATGGCCAAGTTGATTTCCGTACCGTGAGCTGGATCCGGGCGGGTGTGATCTTTCTGAAGAGTAAGGGGTTTTGTCCCGACAGCGCCTGTGCTTGGGTGTTTCATCTGCTAACCATGGCTATTTGCTAGTCATCTTCGCAACGGGTGTGCTCTCTATTCCATCACTGATGTATGAACTGGGCGCGTTTCCTGGCGCCGTCAATGTCGTCGGCTGGACTCTCCTGAACACGTACTGCGCCATCGTCCAGGGCAATTTTCGCAACAAATATCCGGGCTGCCACTCTATTGCCGACATGGCTCAGATTGTCGGCGGCCCCCTTTTGAAAGAGCTCTGCGGTGTTCTGTTCACCATTAGCTACGTGATTGTAGCTGCCTCGGGCATTATCGGTGTCTCGACCGCGCTCAATGCGCTGTCACTACACTCCATCTGCACCGTTTGGTTTTCATTTATTGCGACCGTGATCATCGCTGGCTGTGCGAGTGTTCGCAAGTTTTCTCACATTGGCTGGTTGACGTGGGTTGGGTTCGCCAGTGTCTATATTGCGGTATTCATCATTGTGTATGTTGGAAATCTTTTTCTCTTGGAAGTTGAACACGCTAACAGTATATCAGAATTGGTGTCACGACGAGGGATCGACCCGCCGCTGCACCACAGACAGGCGATTTCGATCTGGGCTACCGAGTCATCGGCAATCCTAGCTTCACCACGGGAATCACTGCAGCAGCAACAATCTTTGTGTCTAGCGCAGCGACATCTGCATTCCTGCCCGTGATCTCCGAAATGCGTAAGCCGAAGGACTACCCGAAGGCTGTCTATATGAGTATGAGTCTGGTGACCGCGTCCTACCTGACTTTCAGCCTGGTCATCTACGCCTGGTGTGGCAAATGGATCGCGTCGCCATCACTCGGCAGCGCAGGTACAACAGTAAAGCGGGTCGCGTACGGCATCGCATTGCCGGGCCTGATCATCAGTGGTTGTCTGTACGTGCATGTCGCGGCGAAGTACATTTTCGTCCGAATCCTGCGCAATTCGCGACATCTTCAGGCGAATACGGTCGTCCACTGGGGTACTTGGTTGAGTTGCACCCTTGGGATGGCTGCCATCTCTTTCATTCTGGCTTGTGCCATTCCCATTTTTAATTATGTGTTGGCCCTGGTTGGCAGCCTCTGCTTTGCGCCGCTGGCTATCAGTCTCCCAGGGTGGCTCTGGTTGTATAGCCATTCCGAGTATTTGAAAGGGAGTATGTGGCGCAAAACAGTGTATGGACTGCACATACTGTTGGTATTGCTCGGACTGTTCATGACGGTGGGCGGCACATATGGGGTGATTATTCAAATCAACGAGGCGTATCGAGATGGGCAGATCTCGTCGGCATTTTCCTGCGCCGACAACAGTGGGTCGGTGGGGACCTAAGGTATACACTAAAAACTACCGAAGTTCAGGCGATGGATGGGTCTTCAATGCACATTGTATTGCGCGTCATAAATTTCTACATAATCTAACAATGTTTTTCCGCTTCACGACCCACTTGCTACACATTTTCCATTGTGCAATTGCATTTGCCTGATGTTGGTTCGGATGTCTCGGTCAAAGAGTACACTGCTAATATGAAGTACCCACTCATCTGGAACCGCAAGTACCCTACTTCAATTGTACTAAGTACTACAAGCCTGGGTACCCTAACGTAACCCGCACATCTCGGCCAAGTTGGGTGGAGTTTCACCATCAACAACCCTGGTCAATCTATCCATCCGACCTTAATCATCCGGCCCAGGCCCCATTCTTCATTAATTGTATAACGCACCGCAGATGGCCTATGACCGGCGGATGACTGCTGGACTTTAGCGCAATCTCCGGGCCCGCCAAGACCGGCTCCGTGTGCAGCCGCCGAATCCGGGCCTTATCTTGGGCGCTCTTGCACTTTCTTCTGTTCTTTCTTCTTTTTCTTTGATCTTCCCTTACTATTTCGATTCACCCACCAGCTCCTCGACGGTCAGTGCTGTGACCATTGGTCTTGCGAGATCTCCCAGCACACCGTTATCCCGTTGCCGTGCGACCCCCACAATTCGTCCCAACCCGGTAGTACAACCAGAAACACTCCGCACACACGCCTGTTGCAACCGCCATGCTCCTCGCCCGCCTTACCCTCGTTCTGCTCCTCAGCAGCTTCGTCTCCGCCGCACCCGTGCCTTCTGCCAGCTTGGTCAGATCGGAACCCGAAACCCCCATTAGCTCAGAATGGCCAACGCCGAAAGCCGCGTCACTACTACCGTCCACCCAATCATCTGACCTGAACAACGAGAACCATCTGGGCAAACGGGCGCCCTACTACTTCCCTGAAACCGTGCCCGACGAGGAGGAAATCGTTGCCAGACTGACCGCTCTTCGCGAGGCCGGCTTCCTGCCAGATACGCAGCAAGGACAAGATCAGAAGTCAATCGGCACTCCGGATGCAAATGCAGCGATCGACACTGCCCGTGCACGGCCGTCGCCCATTCGGGAGGTCTCCTCCGCTCTATCCGAACGAGAGATTTCGCAGTCCGTCTGGCAGGCCACGCCGATGCTCCCCGCCGCGCGGTTCTTGGTGGCGGCCTCCATGTTCGTCTGCGTCGCGACTGTCATCAGGGGCCTCCGGGACAACGGCAAGCATTGAACCCGGCGCGAGGCGAAACCCCCCCCCCGTCGCATATTACGTTTTTGACACCTTACTTTACTCCCCCTCTTTTTTTCGTCGCTCCCGCAAGGTGTGCGATCGGCGTAATTCTGCCGCCAGCATTGTTTTTATGCCGAGACATTATTACTCTACACCCCCGCGCGAAGAATCACCCGGAGATACAGCCACCCACCTCCCCCCCCTCGGTCGAAAACTCGGTCGCATCGCGACTCCCATCCGAGACAATTGATGAAACTATCAATATGATGGCGCAAGGCTGCTATATACCGCCAGGCCACAGGCAATTGCTCAGTCTGATACGAGGACTTTGAACCAGAATCCAACCTACCAACAATCCCATCCTGGCTGGGCTGGGTCCGCGCGTGGCGGGTCCTTTCTCCACCATCGTCGACCTGCAGCAGCGCGCCTGGAGCTCGAGGGGGCTGGGGGGCCGCTGTATTCGGGGCTCGGGGCAAGACAGGCACCAACGAGACTAGCTGCGTCAACCTGCGCGAATATTCTTCCCAGCCGAAATCCTTGCCGCAATCGTCCTGTCCACTTTATTCGCTCCGTCCCGTTCCTGTTTTAGAATTTTCTCACTTGATGATGGGCGTCGGTGGATTTACGGCGTGGTGGATGAACGCCACGACTGCTTGGCTACTCCAGTGAAGCCGACTACCACCCATTCACGTGCTTCTGTATGTGGAACCTTCGTTAGCGTTGCGACAATCGTTATGTCGCTCTCCCGCAGCGTAGCGGCAACTGGACTCGGATATATACGAACACGAAGCCTTCCATTTTCGGGCAATGCATGGGCCAAGGCGACTACCTAAATCTTCTGACTTGACAAAAAAATAATTGCGTCCGGCTTATGCGAGATCAGGCCAAGAGTTGCGGGGCCAAAACTCATTATGAATCATTTCATCTGCAGGTCTTTGTTGCCTGGAAGCTTCTAGAGCTATGAACGAGACATGAGTTACGTACGATTTAATTATGTATATATGCAAGGAAAGCGAAAGAAATCAATATGAAATCATTTCCCATTGTCTATCTTCTCTGCAGACATGGTAGTGCCCGTAGTCAGCTCTTCGAGAACTCGAGTCCCAGGGGAGTGTAGTGCATTACAAAGAAAGAATGAAAATATATAAAGATGATCAGCAAGAATGGGAAGGAGGAATGATATGGCAATGCCCATGACGCCATGAGAGAAAGCAGAAGTAATAATGGCCAAGGATTGATGATGACCAGGACACATGAAAGAGCCACCCAAGTTGATAAAACAAACACTCTTTTTTTTGCAAGGCTCCCACCCGAACGTGTGGAGATGAAATGTGATAGGCAACGAAATGCGAACACGAGGACAAGATATTTACGCGAATGATGAATTCCAGGGGCAAGAGGATTTTAGGAATCGTCGACAAGACGCTTCTGGGTCCAGGCGCGCTTGGCTCCATCCAGCAGGACGTCCATGTTTCCGCTGTTCTCGCACATGCTCCGGAACAGGCCCTCATCGCGGTTGATCAGACCCCAGGGGTGATCGAACTCGATAACGCGGCCGTGGTCGAGAACCAGGACCTTGTCGTAGTCGATGATGGTCTGCAGGCGGTGCGCAATAGTGATGATGGTGCTGTCGCGCAGCTCACGCAGGGTCTCTTGGATCTTAGCGTCGGTGGCGTAGTCGATGGAAGCGGTGGCTTCGTCCATCATCAAGACACGGGGCTTCTTGAGGAGAGCGCGCGCGAGACACAGGAGCTGTCGCTGGCCCTGAGACAAGTTCGAACCGGATTCCGAGACCAGGCTGTCGAGATTATGGAAGACGTTCTTGTTATCGGCGATGGTGGCAGTGCTACCGTTCATGCCGTTGGCTTCGGTGGCTGTAAAGGTGCTCGAGGTCATGGGTGTTGCGGTGCCGGAAGCATCAGAGCCGATCAGGTGCACACGGCGGAGGGCAGTGAAGATCTCCTCATCGCTGAAGAGGCCGAATGGGTCAAGGTTGCTGCGGATAGTGCCAGTGAACAGAGTCGGGTCTTGGGGTACAATGGTGATCGCCTCGCGGAGATCCCGCAGGCCAATAGAACCGATGTCAATGCCATCAATCATGATCTTACCCTTCTCGGCTTCCAAGCCACGGAAGAGAGCCAGTGCCAGAGAACTCTTGCCAGCACCGGTACGACCAACAATTCCAACCTTCTCACCGGGCTTGACGAAAAAGACACTTCCTTCAGCACGGCGTCGAGGTCGGGGCGGTATCGGGTAGTGTAGCCCTTGAACTCAACGGCACCTTCAGTGGGCCAGCCAGCCGCCGGGCGAGACTCAGGGATGACAGGAGCAGCCTCCTGTTCGACATCCAGATACTCGCGCACACGCTCGACCGAGTTCATATTTTGCTGAACTTCTGAGTAGAGGCGGACGAGCCAGAGGACGTTTTCCGTAAAGGTGACAGCGTAGGTAAGAGACAGACCGGCAGCACCAGCATCGATGCTTCCAACATTGATCAAGACGAAGGTGGCCGAGAAGAAAGAGACAAGAGCACCAGTCCAGTCCACACGAAGAGCAAGCCAGCGGTTGCTGGCCCAGAGGTAAATGTGGGGTCGGTTGTAGGAGTTGATACGACGGTGGTTATCGACAATGAATCGAGGGCCATCGCCATAAGCCCGAATTGTGACAATGCCGTTGAGCGTCTCGCCGAATTGCTGGTACAAAGGACTGCGCTGGACGGACTCCAATCGCTTCAGATCGCGAGACGAATTCAGGTAGATAGCACCTAGGGCAGTGTACACAAGAGTAATAAACACGCCGGCAATGAGGAAACCGGGCGTGATAACCGAGATCAAAATCACAATCATGATCACAGATGCCAAGCTATGGAGCATACCGATTGCCACGGGTGCAACTTCCTGGTCGACAGATTCAACGTCCTTGGAGAATCGGTTCATGAGCTGACCGAGAGGTGTCGAGTCAAAAAATCGGAACTTTGCGTGCATAACCGTCTTCAAAAGACGATCATGGATCTTCCAGGATGCGTGGAGGGAACCCCAGAATAGCACTGCTTCTCGGCTCAGGGAGATAGAGATGTACAAGAAGCCTAGCAGCGCATACACACCTAGATAGTAAGCGACATTGACCTGCCCATCAGGAGTAGTGCCTGAGGTGCGTGTGCTCAGCTGAGGAGGCCCCCATGTGCTCATCTTAGAAACACTTCCCACATTAAAGGACGGGGGCTTCAGGTGAGCAGCGGCGGCATAACTACCGGCATCCTCGGAGCTAGCACTGGAAGTGTGATAGGAATTGGCCCACTGTCGGATCCAGATATTGGTAGAAACCGAACCCAGCTGTTGCAGGCAGAAAACAGTGACAGCCAAGATCCAGTAGTACCAAGAACCCATTGACTTCAGGTACATGGCGACAGTCGACATTTTGATGCTTCCAGTGGCTTTGCCTTCCTTCATGCGGGAGGTTTCGTCCTTCTTAGCATTGCCTGTTGTGCCATTGGCAGTTCCATTTGCACCGGATTCAGTGGAGTCTTCTTCGTGCTCTGAAGGCACACGGGAGAGACCTCGTGAACTTGCTCGGGATCCAGGTCGGGACTTGAAGAACTCATCACCAAGCGCACCAGCAGCAGCAACATCATCAGGACGGCCTTGCGAGGCAATCCTGCCGTTGTCGAGGACAACGACATGATCGGCCTGGGGCACAGTCAGAGCCACATTGTGAGTAACCAGAATGCAAGTACGGTTCATCATAAGCGGGCCGGTCAGAGCTTGACGGAAGATGTGTTTGGCAGTGTGGGAGTCAACAGCGGAAAGACAGTCATCGAGAAGCAAGTGGCGGGCACTGCTGTAAACAGCTCGGGCAAGAGAGATTCTCTGCTTCTGACCACCAGACAGACTGATACCCTTCTCTCCAACAAGGGTTTGGTCACCAGCATCCAGGATTTCAATGTCACGCTCCAAAGCGCATGCCTTCAGGACTGCGCGGTAACGTTTCTCGTCGTACGGGGAGGCAAAGATAATGTTTTCCTTGACTGTGTCATTAACCAACCAAGCCTCCTGGGCGCAGTAAGCAACGCTATCAATCAGGCCAGTTTCAGGATCAACTGGAAGATCTGAACGATTCGACATTCCACCAGGAAGGTAGATGCGACCTTCGACAATCCGCATTTCACCAAGCAAGCCCATAAGCAATGAGGTCTTTCCAGAACCAGTGGGGCCAGCAATTATACTGAGGCGGCCAATGGGGAATTCCACGTCAATGTTGATCAACCGGAAGGCATCAGCGCCGTCAGCAGAAGAAGAATCTTGCGGCTTAGACTTGGTGGTTCCCCAGGTCAAAGTGGCCTTTTCAATTCCAATCTTGGTCGGACCTTCTGAGGCACTGCTGTCACGCAGTTGATCATACTTTCCAGTTTCTTCCTCGTTCAGATACTTGTCCACACGGTCCAGTGACACCTTCGATTCCTGAACGTGGGCAACCATATCCGCCAATTGATCCAATGGCACACGGAGCAGAGAGAACATCGACAATGCCGGGAAGGCAATCGATGGGGTCAATTGCTTCTTCTCGACGACGGTGTACAGGAAGAACGACAGGAATGTAATCAAGATCGGGGTGCCATACCAGACAGTAGCGGCAGACGACCAAAGGATATAACGGCGGCGCAGAGACTTCAGTTCAGCCTTGCGCTTCTCGTTGACGATGTCCTGGAAACGCTGCTCCCACGCGAAATACTTGATGATGCGAATGTTCTGCAGAACCTCGTTGGTCGCGTGGATACGAGCGTCAGTGCCCTTAAGAATCATATTCTGCACCTTGTTGAATTGACGAGCGATAAAGAGGTTGATCGGCAACATCAAAACCATCAGGGCAATACCAGCAAATGAGCTGAAGCCCATGATCTTATAGAGCAGGGTGACAGCCATGATAATTTGTACTGGAACGCTAGCCCACAGGAAGTGCAGGTAAGCACCAACTTCGCTGACCTTGAAGGAATCAATCGCCATCAGGTTAATTATGGTACCAACATTGGCCTGCACGGCAGCGTCTTCCAAGTCAGATTTCGCGTTTTCGCCAGTCTCGGTGTCATTAGAATTAGCGTTCTTCTTACGGCCGAAGGAGAGGAGACCTTTCTTTTTCTTTTGTGCCGAGTCCTTGGGCGCGGAAGGCTCCTCGACTGCCTTGCGGACAGCATCCATGGAGGCGCCCGCTTTTCGTCGGAGGGCCTTGGCATATATTTCTCCAATAATGATCGCGCGGATCTTGACACCCATCTTGCGGCCAATGAAAAGAGCCTGGCCATCTGCAACACCTTGCACAATAGCCGAGCAAAACAGGAGAATGGCGTACAGCCACGCCGCATTGGGAGTGGTCGAGCGGGGGTTTTCAACGTATTCGAGAATAGCCTTGAGAAGAAGACTCGGAACAAAGACGAACATATTGGCAAAAATGGTCCAAGCACCCTGCTTCATAAGGGTGCCAAAGAAGTACCGTAGAAGCTTCCATGCCAAAGAGCCCTTCATCTCTCGTTTCCGGAAGTCCGCAATAACCGTAGCGGCCTTTTGAGATGGAGTCAAGTTCCACACATCCTCCAGTTCCAACGGTTGTCGGTATCCCTTCAAAACCAGCGGGTCCAGCCAGGCGAATGTTGCAAGCGACAGAAGACTCGCCATGGGGTGGCGTGGAGGCTCCAATCCATCCTCGCGTTGAACCAAAACCGGCTTGTTGCCTCGACGGGTCGTGAGGGCGACAATGAAGAGCAGCGTGCTCAAGACGAACTCAATAATGCTGAGGATCAAGGCGCGTCGGGAAATCGGGTGGATGACGGCGGATCGGAAGACCATGACGTTGAAGAGCCATTGGGCGCTGTATAGCATTGCCGTATGGGTCCAGATTCTTGGTGCGGAGAACAGATCCATCGAGGACAGCAACAAGCGCACCAGAACCAAGAACAGGATATAACCCCACGAGACCAGGCCCGCGATCGCGGGGAGAGTTCCATGGCGACCCCAGCCGTGAGAGGTCAAAATGACGACATAGAGGGCGATCTGACCGATCAGGGCGGCGACCTCGAGGGTGACGATTGTGATTTCTCCCTTCGGGCGATCCACCTCAAGTTGCACATGTTCATTCTCGCTCTGCACGGCATGGGAGAGCATGGGATCGGAATCGCTTTCGCGGCCATTGGGAATGTCGCCTGCGGACGCATCGTTGGGGAGGACCTTGTACGCGACGCCTTTGTGGGAGACAGCATAACGGTATGCGACGCTGGAGATTATGAGAAGGAGAGAAATGCTGCATGCCGCCAGCGGGAGCGAGACTTGCAGGACACTATCCGATTTAAACGATCAGCGCAGTTCCGGATCGCCCAACAGTCGCCAACGGTCGGAGCAACCCCGGTCGCAAAGGCGGGAGTGGAGACTTACTTGCGTTGGAAGCACCGAGAGAGGTCATCGATGGCCCAAACAGGGCCCTCGCAGTGCGGTAGCATGATCTGCGGGGAGCAATGCAGGCTGGGCGAGCAATGAACTCGAATGGGGAGATGGGATAAGCTCCCGGGCGAACTGAGGGCAATCGATTCACGACAATAAAAATAGGTAATGCGATCGAGAGGATGAGAAAAGAGCAATCTTCACCCCTGGTGGGTTAGCAGCGATCTTCCACGACTAGCACGCAGGACAGGGCTGGCATTGCAAAGTCGAGTGAAACCGGAAGTGCAGCGTTTCGGGGCGAAGACGATCCGAGACCGACGACAGCTCTATTTTGTGGAGCGGGGAGGCCAGCCGGTTAGGGGGTGATGAGGAAGACGAGGCTGCTGCGGAGAGTAGAGGGTCAAGAGGGGGAAAGTGAGCGAAGATGCGACGCCGAGTATAGTGATGGGCGGAGTGGAGAGAGAAACGAAGGGAAATACAAGCAGGGATTGCACGCGGCGTCCCAAAGCGGCGGTGGACGGGTTCGCCCGTAGGGTGACATGCGCCGCCACCAAATCCACGCGGTGGAGCGAAGTACCAACGAAGTCCGTCGACCAAACTACCATACGAACCGAGCTTCACACCAGGGCGATTCGGCATGGGCTTAAACCCGTTGGAGAGCAGCTGCGTGCTTCATGCGCATCGGAGGATGACTTGATGCAGCGCTGATCGTTGCTTATCGCGGACAGTTCCCCACTGTTTATCGTCGCAAGGCACGGGGTGGATTTGATTGCGGGAGAGTCATACTACCTTAGCAGTAACTACAGTATTCCCCCACGGTACTTGAATGAGGTATTGAGGAAGGGTGTGAAAGATTCACCTGATGCACAATAGTTATTGTTGAGCAAACCATCTGAATTCATTGTCTCGGCTTACTTCAGCACTCCCCCACAAGCTTTGCACTCCCCGTTGGTCCCCAATTGCCACACTTGGAGTGACTAACCGCATTGGATCTTATTTTTGCGGCCCCCGACATCACCGCCGATCCACCCGCCGCCTCGCCGCCTCGCCGCCTCGTCTCCTTCTCACTCCCTGTGTCCCCCACCACTCTCGGCTTCTTCCCAGCGCGCTGCATCTCTCTCTCGACGTCACCGCCCAGCCATGGCTGAACGCATCCTCATGAACGAATACCGCACACTCTCCAAAGAGAAGTGGGTGAACATCGAAGTTAGTCCCTCATTCCCCCGAAACTATAAATCTTAGGGCCAGACCGGCGCCCGACTCCCAAGAACTATCAGCATCCTAACAAGAGAACAGTTGAAGGAAGATGATATCTTCTCGTGGGATCTCGCCCTGTTCGTGCTCAACAAGGACTCCCTCTACTATGACGGCTATTTGAAGGCGACCATGACCTTCCCCAAGAACTACCCATACTCTCCGCCAAGTACGTGAACCCCCTGCCCTGCTGTGTTCCCTGGAATAACCTTCTGGTCTGAAGATGTGTGACCATGTCGCTAACCAACGAGCGCGGTTCGCGCCTTACAGAGTTCCGGTTCCTCGTGCCCCTATACCACCCGAACATTTACCCGAACGGCGACCTCTGCATCTCTATCCTGCACCCCCCGGGCGACGACGAAATGTCCGGTGAGCTGGCATCCGAGCGCTGGTCCCCGGCGCAACGTGTCGAATCTGTCCTCATCTCAATCCTGTCTCTCCTCGACGATGCCGAAGTGTCTTCCCCTGCGAATGTGGATGCAGCCGTCATGCTTCGCAAGAACCCAACCGAGTACCGTGCGATCGTCAAGTCCAACGTGGAGGAATCCCGCAAACTCGCCCCTGCCGGCTTTACCATGCCTGTCGATGATGATGAACCTGTGATGCGTGAGGTCGAGAAGGATGATGACGATTTCTGGGTGGAGAGCGACGTTGACAGCTTCGGCGGTAGCGATTCAGACTCGGATCTGGATATGGACCAGCTGTCGGGGAGCGATGCAGACGACGACGATGATGACGACGACAGCGAGGATTCATGCGAGCAGCAGCAAAAGGCTTAGTGCTTCTTTGTCTTGTCTGCTCCTGCAGTCAACATTCGTGACACTTTCGGGCATGCATGGTATTGCGGCGTACGCATAGCGTGGATCGGTTTTTTTTTGCTACATCAGCTATCTTTTCGTGGGGGCATATTCATTCTCTAGGTCGTTTGGCGTGGTATCATTGCTGACTGGGCCAATCAGTTTATCGAATTTTTCGGAGAAATATCACATAGATTATCTTTTCAAATCATTACCAGAAAGCACTCATAGGGCCCTGCTTAGCATAATCCTCATATACTATATCTACCTGAGCTCCGTCCGAGTACTCCACTTTCAACTTGATTCCATGTTCGGTCCCATCCGATCATCTAGCCGATCTTCTCCCAAGTCGTCTATGGGACAACAGCCTAGTCTCCTACCCGTACACACCAAGGTATTCCCCGATGTCTCGGGGTTCAAGACGGAAGGCATAAGCACGAGGTCGATGGGTCGTATATGTGTACTAATATGTTTACAGCATAAGCGTCTCGAAAATGACTTCATCGGCGCTAGAGTGATCCGTAATGAGACATGCGTCCCCACTCCAAGCCTCCGCCCAAGTATGGGATCTAACCCTCCTATATCGGAGCACCCTCATCTCACCACCTCAATCGATGCCGCCAAGCCTATCACGGCATAGCCCTTACAGCAAAAGGAATAAGCAATTGAGGATGGCGACCCAGACACTCGCAAACTGGGCCGTGGCCCTACAATTTGCATCATTGCCACGAGGAGTCATCAACGCCGCCATCCGCAGCTTCTACAAACTGGGCCGGTTGCACAGTTGGTGGGAGCGCCCACCCCGCAACGACAATAGCACTCACCGCACTGGCACGGTTCGCCGGCGCTCCTACCTCTAGACTGCTTAGCTCCGATGGCGTAGATCTTGACGCTATGCACGCCGCCCTGCTGAATGGGATTGCGTCGCATGTCCACGATTACGACGATACGCATCTGGATACGATTATTCACCCCACCGGCCCGGTTGCCTCGGCTCTGTTGGCTATGGCGGAATCGCTGGATCGGTCAGTTTCTGGAGAGGAGTTTATTCTCGCTCTTGTTGTTGGAATTGAGTCGGAGTGTAAGGTTGGGTTGAGTGTGTGGCCTGATCATTATGATGTTGGATGGTAGGTTGTATATCTTGATGAGCTCGGGTATTGTTGTTGCACACGAAACCGACCATTTCATCTACTTCCATCAGGCACATTACGAGCTCAACTGGATCGATCGGCGCAGCAGTAGCTGTTTCACAATTATTAAATTTATCACCGGCACAAACGGCACATGCCATCGGTCTCGCGGCGACCCAGGTGACAGGATTGCGTGAGATGTTTGGTTCGCATACCAAATCCTTGCATCCCGGTCGGGCCGCACAAAACGGGCTCTTAGCAGCCATTCTGGCTTCAGCGGATTACACCAGCTCGACGCAGGCGTTGGAAGCGAAGCGTGGCTGGGCGAATGTAGTCAGTTCCATGCAGCATCTCGACGAGCAGATGGCAACTCTCCCGCCCAATGGACGGTGGGAAATCGAACGGAACTCGTTCAAGCCCTTCCCTTGTGGAATTGTGGTACATCCAGTCATTGATGGGAGTATCTTTCTCCATGGACAGCTGGAGCGAAATGGAATTAAGATAAAGGATATACGGAAAGTTGAGGTAATTGTTCACCCGTTGGTCATTGAGTTGGCTGGTAAGACGGCGCCGAAAGATGGACTTGAGGCCAAATTCAGCGTTTACCATGGGGCGTCGGTGGGCCTTTTGTTTGGGAAAGCCACGCCGGCGCAGTATGAGGAACCAGTTGTCAATGATAGTCAGGTAGTGTGGCTGAGAGATCGGACGAGAGCCACCGTCGACGAAAAACTGCGACCTGATGAGGCTGTCGTTATCATCCGTGTATCGAACGATGGGGATGATTCAGTTACAGAGGTCCATATTGACCATGCAGTGGGCAGTCGGGAACGCCCCATGTCTGATTCTCAATTGACACACAAGTTTGTTGATCAATGTGTTCTGGTTTTGGGACAGGATCAGACTGAGCGAGCGAGTCGCTGGTGCTGGGACTTGGAGAACCAGGCCGATGTGCGTGACATCAAGAGTGTCTTATAGATAATATTGCCGAAATGGTACTACTAGGCAGTACTAGCGCTACAATGTACCCACGGAAAGTTACAAACCATTGCAGAATGATCCAGGCGACGTTGATCATTAGAGTTATCGTTCCAATGCGAGAGCTTTATGCATCCACGAATTCTAGATTGTGTCTCAATGTATATAGTTGTGGTCAAGTATACTACGGGTAATGATGAAAAATCAGGAGCGAAACGACAGTCTGTGTAAGAAAAGGGTGCGAGTGAACACGCCCAGGAGTTGATCGAAACAGTAAAGCAGATAAAACCAAGTCAAATGTGATCTGCGCCAGTGGTAAAACCATCCACCCAAATGCCCAAAAGAAACCCGTCCCGGACGGGTTGTGATCGGTTGTCTACTCTAGACGGCAACAGCATCTTTGATCTCGCTGTAGATAGCGCCAAGCTCCTTGTGCATGACCTGCTCAGCGTGGCCGATGGCCTCGTGAATGCGGTCCTCAACATCCTGGATGGTAGAACCGGCCTTGTAGCCACCTTTGGCGAGGATGTCGGTGTAGTTGGAAGAACCACCACCGTTCCAGGCGAGAAGCTATAACAACCAGTCAGTATTTGGATGAACTTATGACGTAAGGTATCAAGAAACTTACGTTGGGGGTGTCGGAGGGAATGTCAGAGAGGGCGCCGACGGTGGCAATCTCAATCAAAGCCTCCTTCAGCTTCCTGGGGGTGACCTTCTCGACAGCGTAGGCAGAGTCATCCGCGGGCTGGAGAGAGACGTAGTAGGCCAGCAGACCAGCAATGTGAGGAGAGGCCATGGAAGTACCAGAGATGGTGTTGACGGCGTACTTGCTGCCGATCCAGGTGGACAGAATGTTCAGGCCAGGGGCAAAGATGTCAGTGCACTTTCCGTAGTTGGAGAAGTAGGCACGCTCATCAGCCAGAGTGGAGGCGCCGACAGTGACAGCCTTCTCAGCAGCAGCGGGGGAGTAGTTGCAAGCATCAGCGTTGTCATTGCCAGCGGCAACGGCAAAGTGAATACCAGCATCGACAGCAGCGTTCACGGCAAGGTCGAGGGTACGGGAGGAGCCACCGCCCAGAGACATGTTGGCAACGCTACCCTTGAAGCCCTTCTTGCCAGACTTGGCCTTCTTGATGTGAGCCTCGGCGGCCCACTCGACACCCTTCACGACATCGGACATGGTACCGGAGCCGTTGGAGCGAAGGACCTTGACAGCGTAGACGTTGGCCTTCTTGGCGACACCGTGCTTCTTACCGGCAATGGTACCAGAGCAGTGAGTACCGTGACCGTTGCCATCCTCATCAGCATCGCCCTCGGGGATGGTCTTGCCCCAGTTGGCACGACCCTCGAAGTCAACGTGGTCGGTGTTGGTACCGGTGTCGATGACGTAGGCATCAACACCCTCACCACCATCCTCGGCATAGAGATACTTATTAAAGGTGCCAAAAGAAAGGCTATCGCGGTGGGAAATACGAGCGAGACCCCAGGGGGCGTTCTTCTCAACAGCGGGGTCTTCGAAGTGGTGAACCTCAGTGTCCTTCTCAATGTACTCGACCTAGATTGGCAGAGCGGTACAGTCAGCGATGTCGGCGGCTACTTGGGAGCTCGCCAGTGATGAGGTACTCACATCCGGATGCCGGCGGACCTGCTCAATGACATCCTCGTGGAAGTGACCGGCATAGCCCATCAATGAGCCAGCCACGTGGAAAGAGTGCTTGATGCCCAGGAAGGCCTCGGTGTCGAAGCCGAACAGACCGCGCTTCTTCAGCTCCAAGCGACCGTTGGTCGTGGCGTGGATGTCCTGCACCCAGCTGTGGTGAGCAGCGGCAGCTGAGGAATCAACATGCTTCTTGAATACGACGATGTAGGAGTCCGGAATCTCCTGGGCGTTCATGGCGGAGAGGATGGGAGCTGCTCCGTTGTGGATAGACTCCACACCCATGGTGGGCGAGGCAGCTGTGAGGAGCGGCAGAAGTGCCAGACCGAGGAAGCCCTTCATGATGACGGATGGGCTCGAACGGTTGGAAAAGAGAGTGAAAAAATAAGGATGGCAGCTATGGGGGTGATGAGGTGAGTGATATAGGAAGGGGTAGATGGGTGGGGGAGGATGGTGAGAGGAGATGAGGAGATGAGGAGGTCGGAGTCACTGGACCTTATCTAGGGGAGGCGGAGAGAGCGCTCCGCTTGCATCATACCTGTACCATACATGTCGGATGACCATCGATTGGCGCCGATCATTTAGTGGGGAAGGGAGGACTGGGGACGGCAGACAGGTATGTTACAATTATTACCATTCTTACCGTACGCCGGACTGGGTCGTCCAGATTGCGTCTTCTGCCAACTATCGAAGACCATACCAAACGTATCTCCATACTCATAGTAGATACTATGTACACGGATAGTACGTAGGAGGACATCCTTGTTACTGGGTACCCACCCAATACTCCGATCTGCATACTGTACAGTAGGGTACACAGAACACTGCCTGTGCTTGTACAAGGCGCCTACTAGGACACTGACAGGTTGCTTTGTCGCTGCTGGCGGTTCGGATGGGGCTGTGCTTGCCAATAATCGAGATGACTCAACCCTGCCTCCAAGGTTCCCTGTTTCCCAAGGCAACCCGGGTACCTGGCAGCTTTGCGCAAGGTTGCGGTCGCACGGCCATCTGGATCTCTGCGTGACGTCCTCATTCTCCGAAGTCGCGTGCTTGCTACCCGCCTCATGCGAGCTCACCACTGGCTTTGGGTACGGCTTTGCGCTAGACAATCGGGTACTGTGACCTCCAGACGCGGCTCCACCTGAGAGCTCCATTGTGGGCATCTCCTATGGTATCAAAGGGCGCTCGAGGGTTGCCATCCCTGCAAGCTAGTACTAGTAGCAAGGCGCAATGCCATGTCGCACTTATCGTCTTATCGGCGATCTCGTAACCTTTACCGCCCGTTACGCTGACACACTCCATTCTGCCTGGAACGTCGAGTGGAGCTGCGCGGCGCCCCCAAAGTCACCTGATCCGTGTCCACCCCGCCAGTGTTGATAGCGAGGCGACGATCCATTTTTGGGGTCTTCAGACGCACAAGGCAAACACTCTCGAGCTGCTCGTCACGCCAGCCGGTTCGGACTCGAGGTGCTTGCCCCTCCTTCTACCCTGGCTCCTCCCCCTCTGCTTCGGATGGCATACCCCCCGTGTCTCATCCGGACCCGCTAGCACAACACATACCAATGCAGACCGCCTCAACCGACACGCCAATCGCGCATTCACGGTCTCTGGTGGTCACCCGCCATCGGTCCGGTCGTGGATAAGATTTGGTGATGGCTCCGCCGCCCCTCCCCCTCCTTCCCCGTCCGGATCGACCGAACGGTTGGCCGAAGAGCTAGCTCCGGCCCTCGATCAGCTGAAGAACCTCACGACCGACACGAACCTGACCGTCTCGCAAGCCTTCACAGCTACTGAACCTCTCCTCCGCTTACGCCATACTTTCATTGACGATGCTCGTCCTGACACTGCCAAGGATGCCTTCCGACATCTGCTGGGCTTCCAGGCGCTGCTGGACCTGGCCCGCCAGCTCGCGGAGCTCTACGATCGCGATGCGCTTTCGAAAAACGACAGAAAAAGCTTGCTGGTGATTTTTAAGGACGTATTGGCACTCTTGGCGGAGGGCTTGAAGGACCATTTTGGAAACAAACGATACTTTGTCCGCAAGATTTCCGGTGGAGGAATTGCAACACTAGAGCGAACTCTCAAGGTCCTGGTAGGGAAGATAGGTGATACGGAAGCCGATGCACAGCAGCTGTATGGAGGTATTCTGGCTGCTGCGCTCTGCCAGGAGGCCGTGGCGGGCATCTTCGTATCTCTGAGCGGCAAGCTTCTGCAGAGTGGGAGCTCAGAATCCCCGAAAGATATCCGATATGCCGTGGACCAGTCCATGGGCTCCGCCGAAACTGTCGAGGTTGCAGAATTGCTGGGTCCTTTGCTCCGCGTGTGGGTTACTCACTCCATGACACCTGGGAATGATATCCTCCGCGTGGCTCTCCCCGCATGTCTATGCCAATTGGCCTCCCAATCTCGACGGAACGTCGTAGCTTTGCATGCCACCGGGATGTTGACCTCAATCCTCCCGCTCTTGTTCGATGACGGCAGGTCCGACACCGAAACAGCGCTTTACCAAGACCTGGCTCGTTATCTCAGTGCTCAGGGTATGAGTAGTCTGGGCGATGCTGTTTCTCTGTACCGGCGCGCGCACGAAAGCCCCCAGGTCCTTGAATTCCTCCTCTCTGCACTCAAGGTCTCTAAAGAACCCCCATCAATCCAATTCGATCTCTCCCTGCATGGCTTCTGCTCCGTCGAATTTGCAACACTGGGCCGCTCATTCCCTCCGAGTGCTTCGGCTGGATACACCCTGTCAGCTTGGGTGCGCTTCGATGAATTTGATCCAAACGCGCACACAACCATATTTGGAGCATTCGATGCGAGCCAGACCTGCTTCATTCTTGCATACCTGGAAAGAGATACACGCAACTTTATTCTCCAAACCGCGATCCAAGGCCCACGACCGAGTGTGCGCTTCAAGTCTGCCAGGTTCGAACCGAATCGCTCGTACCATATCTGCCTTATTCATAGACGCCCAAAGCCCACGTCTTCCTCCAAGGCATCTCTATTCATAGACGGCGAATTTGCTGAGCAGCTGAAGATCGACTATCCGTCGGTCCCAGTCAGTTCTCATCCAAGTCGGCCACCCCGGATTCAAGCTTTCTTTGGAACACCCCGGGACTTAGCCATGCGTCTTGGCAAGGGAGTGTCGACATCGCGATGGTCGCTTGCAAATGGTATCCTCTTTGAGGATGCTTTCAGCGATGACATGGTGTCTGTGTTTTATAATCTTGGTCCACGGTATTATGGAAACTTTCAGGATTGCCTGGGCTCCTTCCAGACGTACAAAGCCTCCGCTTCTCTCAACCTGCGACATGAACACCTGCACCCTGGGAAAGAAGAGAACTCGGATATCGTCACTGCTATTCGACGAAGAGCTAGTACCTTGGTTCGGGAGAGCTCAATTTTGATCAATGTCTCGCCTATCGCTGTTCTCGACGACGATGATAGCAACAACGTGGATGAGTCACAGCTTGTCAAATGCTTATCCAGGCAGGCAGCCAAATCTCTTCAGCAATTGACCAAGGCAGGAGGGAACGCTGTTGCTGTCAATGGGGCTACTCCTGCCATAAACGATGGCCTCACGCAGCCTCAGGGCGTTGGTATCTTGACTGGTGATCCGGTTGTCGAAGTTCCAAGATCGTTGGATGACGCTAGCTGGTGTCTCGGGGGCTGTGCTGCCGTCCATTTAAGTCTCATTCAAGCTGCCGATACCGCTGAAGCTACGCGACTGGCGGTTGAGGCACTCTATGAGGCCGTCCGAGACAACTGGAGAAACAGTGAAGCAATGGAGAGGGAGAATGGTTATGGAATCCTTGCGGCGCAGCTGCGTGAAAAGCTAGGGTACCATCTTGGCAGCACGGCTCCATCGAACAAGACTGCGATGGTTGGGTCAAGTACGGAACAAAGCTCATTGACTCTTGATCTACTTCGTCTCACCCTAGAATTTGTGGGATACGATTTCAAGCGCCCCACTTATTCTATCATCACGAATCCCCTCGCTTATCGGGTCCTCCTTGTTGACATGGATGTCTGGCGATTTGGTGACCCACAGGTCCTGGATCTTTACTATTCACAGTTCCAGATATTCGCGACCAGAAGCAACTACTGCCGGTTCAATGCAAGGAGACTTGGCCGTATGCGTGAGTGTCCCTTGAACTTACATTTGCGCGGTCCCGAGATCGAAGAACTAATGATATCAGGCGCTAGCAAGAGACTTCTAGAGACTCTGAAAGGAGGGGAGCTAACACCAGAAACCCTAAAGCCTTGTCTATCTGCATTCCGCTCTTTAATGGAGAGCAGTCCATCCCCTGATCTTCTCCGATCCCTCGCTCTATCCATCACCTATACCCTCCACAAGCCGAGCTCATCTGCCGCTCTCAAGAAAAAGAAGAGCCTCCGTTTCGTGGAGCTTCGTCCCGACCCAGCTCTTCGAAATCTGATTCGGGGAAGTATGTATCAAGCATTGCTCTTGGGATTGAGATGCTACGGCTGTATGCCGATATTTTGTGCAATACTCATGATCCTACCGCTCTGAAGAAGTTTGCCAAAGCGGTCACCAACAAGGTTAGTAACGAACCGACACCCGATGGAGTCCTCTTGATCACGTCTGACTTGTTGCAGTGGCTCTTGTACCTTGCTTGTGAAGACGAGCCTGAGGTTGTGACTCTTGCTGTCAAAATTCTGGCAAGGCTGCTAGTTGTCCATGGGAGCAGCTACAGCAAAAAGCTATCTGAAAAGAATGGAGGATATACAGTTTTGGAACATCATCTGCAACGATGGTGGAATCTCCCTTCTCTATGGATAGTCTGCTTCTCCATCTTCTTTGGCCAAGATATTGCCCGTCTCGATCTTGAACGTCCCTTCAATGCTCCCGCTCTGCTCAATCTTTTCTTGGCTGACGGGGAGCTCCGCATCGTTTTCCCCGAGATGCTTCCAGTCATAATGGCGATGCTCAAAGCTGGCTCAAAAGAATTAATGTCAACATGGGGAGAGACGGTGGAGCATGCGCAAACTCATTTCGAAGAGGCCGCTATCAGCTCTAAAAACCCAAACATGTCATTGTGCACTTTGACTGGCGTGGCTTTGCCGGACCAGGTGAAATTTGGCGTTGCGGTCCTGTCCTCCGTCGTCAAATTCTTGGCAGAGGCACGCTCAGTATCCCGGAACTTCCAGGATTTCACATCTCAGTCAACGTACGTGCATGAGCTTCTCGCTATTCTTTACCCTTCTGTTGTTGGTACGGATCCCATAGGCTCCGCCACCGAGTTGAGCTCTCGACCAAGTGGAATCAGCTTCGACGAGAGCAATCTTGTTGCCCGACCTCGGTCGAGCACTGCAAATACTTCTACGGTGTTCCAAACGACTACAGTTGATGTGACTGGAAGCCCCAACGAAAGCACAGATTCTCTTCGTCGCGGTTCATCGTTTGTCCTTGTCTCGTCAGAAAGAGCCAAGCACCAGCCATCTAATGCCCGTATCCGTCGAGTAATCAATCCAAAATCCGCGGACGATGGAGGAGTGGTTGAGCACCCACTTACGAAGGCTATTTTTGGCCTCGTGCTTCCTATGCTGGAAGAACAATTACTGGAGAAAAAGGATTTCTCGGGGCTCGGTCTCTATCAAAAGACACCTCCCGGGTTTTTGGAACACCAAGCGCATTTCAATTCTTGGATTTTCAATTGCCTTCTTTCAACATTGAAAGAATTGCCGACATCGAAACCTTGTATTCTCCAGGAGCCCCGCGTATTGACGAATCTCTCCCGATTTGCGACTCACCTTGCAGAAGCAGTCTACGAGGGCTGGTTCATCAATGGGCCCGTTTCCACCTTGGAATGCCTTGGTACACTCATAGAGTATTTGCAGCGCCCGGATATCGCGAACCTCAAGAGCATTAGACTGTGCAGTCAAGCAGTTGCTACCATTCATTTGACTCTTTATCGGGTGGTGTTATTCCAGTTGTCCGAAGCGGATGATACAGAATCCCTTTTCGTTTTGAAACGGCTCAACTACTGGCAAGTCGTGCTGCTGTCCGCAGCCGATACGCAGTCAAGGCATCTTCATTTGCTCTTCTATTTATTGTACACGAAGTTGATCAGCACAGACCAAGATGTCCGCTTAGCTGCTGCAAGTCTCTGGCGGATAATCCTTGTCCAGAAGCCAGATGAGGTCACAATGCTTCTCGGTAATGCGCCGCACTCTCTCCAACGCCGACTTGCCGACGGTTTTGATGCTCTCGTGGGCATGGAAGATGAGGCTTTTCTCCCATGGATTGACGAGCAAAGGGATGATCTCGACGCTTTGTTCTTCGGCATTTTGTCTCGGTCCTGGGATTCATTCGTTCAGGAAGAGAATTCGAAGAGTGAAGATTCAGCAAAGAACCGCATATCAAGACGTAGGGACAAGCTCAAACAATGGAGCCAGTTGGAGAAGTTCAATGAAGATATGATCAAAAAGAACGACGCCATTCTGCCCCACTGGATTTCCAACATTTCTGCGTCCGAATTCCTGAAGTCTCAGAGATTCCTGCAAGACATGCAAGATAATTCCGTCTTCATGTGGTCGGCATTCTCTAATCTCCTGATGGATCTGCGGCGGCCGGGTGGTCTGCTTGCAGAAGAAAAGGAGAGAAAATGGAGACTTGATCAAACCGAAGGCCGCAGTCGGATGCGATTGCGTGTTGTCCCAGATGATTCAGATGAGCGGCAGGACTATCAACCAAAGCGCAAAGCGTCTGAGCCACCTGCAGTCAAAATCGATACCCGGTTTCGCGCCCTGTCTGAAGGAGAGGTGATTTCAACGCCCACGGGGATGACAGCCGAGCCTGCGGTCATAGAGTCAGAGCCACAATACGGAGAGGCTGAAAACGCTACTAATTCTGAAGACCCAAGCATGCTCGAGGAAAATTTTGAAATGATTGATGATCCCAAGATTGAGCTCGATGCCAGTGAATATGAAGATAAGAATCGCAAGGTCATGCGGTCTCTCCATCGCGGCGATCAAGTTCAGAACGTTTGCAACATGTCGCGAATCATCGGGTTGGAAGCCATCGAAGGTCTTTTGATTCTCGGCAAGGATTGTATTTACATTCTTGACAATTTCTTCCAGAGGGCTGACGGAGAAATCGTTAACGTTTGGCAAGCTCCTGCAGAGGAACGCGACTCTTACGTACGGATGATTGCTGGTCGAGAATCCAACGACCGTCGTTCCCAAGAGCATGAGACCCGGAGCTGGAAATGGTCGGATTTGGTCAGCGTTTCCAAGCGTCGCTTCCTCTTTCGTGATGTTGCTCTAGAGATCTTCTTCACGGATGGCACCAGTTACCTTCTGACTCTGTATTCTGCGCGGGTTCGAGATGAATTGTGCAATCAACTCGGCTCTAAAGCTCCTCAAGTTACTGGAAGCGCAGGTCATTCGCGACCCGAGGATATATCGCGATTTGAGACCCTGCGCAGTCAAGAAGATGCACCGCAATCTCTTGGTTCGAAGTTCGCGAGCGTCTTTGGACATCTCCCGTCAAACCCTGCCACTCGAAAATGGGTCAAGGGCGAAATTTCAAATTTCCACTACCTCATGTTGATCAATACTCTTGCTGGACGAACTTTCAATGACTTGACCCAGTATCCAGTCTTCCCCTGGGTACTGGCAGACTACACCAGCGAGGAACTCGATCTCACCGACCCCAAGACTTTCCGCGATCTCTCCAAGCCTATGGGATGTCAAAATCCTGATCGCGAGGCAGGCTTCCGGGAACGGTACAATGCTTTCGCGGAGATGGGCGACGATAATTCTCCGCCTTTCCATTACGGAACACATTATTCCTCAGCCATGATAGTTAGCTCATATCTCATTCGCCTCCAACCGTTCGTCAAATCATACCTTCTTCTCCAAGGAGGGACATTCGATCACGCAGATCGGTTGTTCTACTCGATCCGCAAAGCGTTCGAATCAGCATCGCGAGGCAACATGTCCGACGTCCGCGAATTGATCCCAGAGTTCTTTTATCTTCCGGAATTCCTCGTCAACTCCAACAAATACGACTTTGGTATCCCTCAAAACATGACAACTGCCATTGATTCGGTCGAGCTTCCCCCTTGGGCCAAGGGAGACCCGAAAATATTCATCGAAAAGCACAGGGAGGCTCTTGAGAGCCCGTATGTGTCCGAGAATCTCCACCATTGGATCGACCTTGTTTTCGGTAGCAAGCAGAAAGGAGAGGCAGCCGTCGAGGCCGTTAATGTCTTCCATCACTTGTCCTACAAGGGCGCCAAGGATCTAGATGCAATCGACGATCCTATGGAACGATTGGCAACAATTGGGATCATTCATAACTTTGGACAGACCCCTCATCAAATCTTCCAACGACCTCATGCTCAGCGAGAAGATCAGCGGCACCGCACTCCTCAATTGGATACCCTTGCAGAATCACTGACCCAGATGCCGCTCTCATTACTTGGTATTAATATCCTTTTCTTTTTTGACTACATACACTTTATCGCTAACCATTGAACACCCAGATACCGAGGAGCGCGTGGCCAATTTGTCCATGAGACAGGACCGTTTGCTGTGTACACCAGCGCTTCGGCTGAATGTTCCACCATCCTTTGATCACTACATGGAATGGGGCTTTTTCGATGGCAGTGTTCGTTTCTATTCTGCGGATAGTCGCAAGGTACAACGTCTTTCTCGAGCCCCAAGAAGTAATTCATTCAGCTAACTTGGTACAGTTACTTGGACACTTCGAACATCTCCATGTTGGCCAACTCTCCCATGCCAGCTTTGCGGACTCGCGAACTCTGGTAACTTGCGGTACGGACTGTACGATTTCTTTGTGGACCGTGACCGCAACACCCAGGGCGGTTGATCTTCAGCCTCTTGGATCGCTTTTCGGCCATCGTGCTCCTGTCACCGTGCTCGCAATTTCGCGCTCTTTCAGTGCATTGCTATCTGCGTCTAGCGATGGGCATATCATGTTATGGGATCTCAATCGACGAGGTTTCGTGCGGACTTTGCCCGCTGATGGTACAGTCGAGGTAAGCATTTGTGCTCTATCTGTTCTGTCAACTTCGTGCTAACTATAGATCTAGTGCGCTCGTATCAACGACGTTACAGGCAACATCGTTGTCTGTCGAGGAAAGCGAATCACCATGTACACCCTGAATGGAGAGGTTTTGGTCGACCAGCCCGTCTGCGACGCCGCCGATGACCATGTCCTTTCTTGTGTCTTCTACGAGGGCATCCAGAACGAATGGCTGGAGCGTGAACTTGTCCTTACGGGCCACAGCCGTGGTGTTGTCAATATCTGGAGCAAAACGATTCGAAACGGACGGTTTGAGCTGGAACTCATCCGTCAGCTCCATCATACCGATAGCACCCGCGACACTGGTGCCAATATCTCCACGGGTATCAGTTGTATTCTTGCCCAGCCTCAGGTGGTCTACACTGGAGATGAAGCCGGGCGAGTGGTGAGTGATTTTTGATTTTCCCTCCTTCCCTGATTTTCCAGACACTCCGTTTAGAACCCCATACTAACCGGATTTTCTTTCCCGCAGTATGAATGGAATTGCATCCAGAGGCGCTAAGCTTTGCCGTTTTGGACAAACCCCGTGCCGTGCGGCTATTGAGGTACACGGCTTCTCCGCTTTTTATGGGTTGGTTTGTTAGGAGGGTCCAAAAAGCATCTGCACATGTAGATAGCCCGGCGTTTCCTTCTGGGAGGATATTCTCATTCTTTATTATTTTGCCCTTCCATTGTTTGTACCATCACGCCCGTCCCGTTCGTTCACATGCAGGCATCTCGCATCATGAAGAGTGGAATCAACCACAGCTGTCATCATCATAGAGACACGGATCCCCCAGCCCCAAACGCCATCCGGAGTAGATCGCGATATTTAACCGGGTCTCGGTGAGGGAGATGCAGGACCACTGCAGTAGTGGGCCGTTGGCCGGTCGACCATACTCCGGTTGGGTTCCCGGAGCACACTGGGCCGAGCTCATGAACTGGAACCTGGGGGTGGTCTTGCAGTAGCAGACCTGTTAATTTTGGTCTGGTAGATTGTAGACTGGAGGACCAGTGAGTAATATGAGGCGACGGGAAACCGGTTGGGGACTCGAATTCCGTGAAGTTCGTCACTGCGTGCAAGCAGTGGTTGTCAGGACGGAGGGGGAGTGATTTCATTGTGCAGCGTCATTCGCCCCACCTTCCATCCCACCTTCGCGCGTGCACGGGCCAGGTACATACATTCAGTATGGGCGGGCCATACTACACCGAAGTACCCGTTAGGATCCTGACTGGCGCCGGTCCAGAGTGCCCCTCCGCTAAATACCGGTCTCATCGCCACTTCTCCCTCCTTCATCTCTCTTTCTTAAACCCATTCGATTCATCGTCTTGTGCAACCTCCTTCCACAGATAACCCCTTCAATCATCATGTCTTCCTCTCTCGAGCAGCTCAAGGCCTCCGGCACCGTTGTCGTCTGCGACTCTGGTAAGTTCCACCGATCAGCCAGGATGCATGCATTGAACACTCCACTAACACGCGATTTCTAGGTGACTTTGCCAGTATGTGACTCCCGCTCGCCACCACAACCCGGCGCCATTGGATTTCTTGCTAACGTGTCACAGCCATCGGCAAGTACAAGCCCCAGGATGCCACCACCAACCCCTCCCTGATCTTGGCTGCTTCCAAGAAGCCCGAGTACGCCGCTCTGATCGATGCTGCCGTTGCCCACGGTAAGGTCATCGGCAAGACCGTCGATGAGCAGGTCGAGGCTACTCTGGACCGTCTCCTGGTCGAGTTCGGCAAGAAGATTCTCGAGATCATTCCCGGCAAGGTCTCCACTGAGGTCGACGCCAAGCTGTCTTTCGACACCCAAGGCTCTGTCAACAAGGCCCTTGAGATCATCGAGGTATGCAAAAGTCCCCGGGCCAACTTTGCGATGTCATGGATGAAGTACTAATCGATTTGCACCTATAGCTGTACAAGCAGAACGGTATCTCCAAGGACCGCGTCCTGATCAAGATCGCCTCCACCTGGGAGGGTATCCAGGCTGCCCACATCTTGCAGTCCCAGCACGGTATCAACTGCAACCTGACCCTCATGTTCTCCCTGGTCCAGGCCATCGCCGCCGCCGAGGCCGGTGCCTTCCTGATCTCTCCCTTCGTCGGCCGTATCCTCGACTGGTACAAGGCTGCCCACAAGCGCGACTACACTGCCCAGGAGGACCCTGGTGTCAAGTCCGTCCAGGACATCTTCAACTACTACAAGAAGCACGGCTACAACACTATCGTCATGGGTGCTTCCTTCCGTAACACCGGCGAGATCACCGAGCTTGCCGGCTGCGACTACCTGACCATCTCCCCCAACCTGCTGGAGGACCTCTTCAACTCCACCGCCGCCGTCCCTAAGAAGCTCGACTCCGCCAACGCCACCGGCCTCGACATCCCCAAGCGCGCCTACCTCAAGCACGAGGCTGAGTTCCGCTTCGACTTCAACGAGGAGGCTATGGCCGTTGAGAAGCTCCGTGAGGGTATCTCCAAGTTCGCTGCTGATGCCGTCACCCTCAAGGACCTGCTCAAGGCCAAGATCCAGGCTTAAAATGGTACGGAGGATTAAATTGCTTTTCTCATGTTTTTGTAAATTGGCGATCCCCAAAATGTCGGAATCGGTAGATACGAATTGATGAATCTTTTACTACTGTTCAATGAAATGGATTTTAATTCCCACGATCACTATCCTCATCAACTTAAAATCTTCTTGTCTTAGGTTTGTACTGATTTTGAGTCTGTAGCTTGATCAAAATCACAGGTCCATGAATAGACCAGTTATGCCCTGAGTCACTCACTACTTAGTAGGCTACCTCTACAGTACACTACTAGTGGTACCGATTTCTCGAACTGTAATGAATATTGGTCTCAGCACTGTAGATCTGGATGCACTTGAAAAATATTTATTGTAGATCAGCGTCATGAGCTATCACCTGGATCCAATGGCAAGGGAATCTCCGATCTCGGGCAACAGTAGGCCGACGCATCCGAGGCCAGTAGTCGTGCGGAAATCTGGGCTGGCCGGCTTATTCATACTGTGAGCAACCCCGCAGAGCTCGGTGCGACTCTGTACCACACCAGCCGAGGTCAGTCTGGACTTCAAGTGATCGCAGCGAGGTACAATGGGTGCGGATAGCGTAGAATAGATCTCGCAATATGCGCATATGTTCCAATTCAAGCTCGAAATCCGCTTGTAGGTAGGGGATGGTGAGGTTGAACGCAGGATTATGTCATTTCCCCTCGTTCCGTTCGCCGCCCGCTTAGGAAGGTGGGGTGTGTTTTGGCGCGGTAATGCGTACCGGTACACGGCCACACAGCAATTGTTGGGTGTGTCAAGAGGTATTGGGTACAAGGGAGGTAATCGCCCCAGCGCAGTCACGTCAACATCATCCGCTTATTATCCTCGACTCCGCCCGCCTCTTCTCTGCTCTTTTTCCCCTCCGTCAATTCCACAAGCTCCCATTTTCCGTCTATAATAACATTTATATATCTACCAACCGCCATAATGGTCAAGGCTGGTAAGCACGCACTCATCTTCCAATGAACTTCCCTCAAAACGCATTCGGCTCCACGCTCGACGCCCCAGGGACCTTGGGGTGAGCAGATTTGAGCACCTTGTGATCATCCTGCCACTCCTGGGCCTATCGGCTTGCTTCCCCTCTCCACTGCGCGCCAGGGGCTCCAGGGTCCCCGCGACCTGAGCTTAAGCTTATCTACGAGCATCCAAATGGGTTGTACTGCAATGCAGCTCGTTCGGTGCAGCTTGGAGGAGCTGGAGCTGGAGCTGCCCTGCAGGGTTCGGTCCCGACGGCGGGAGACGGCCCGATGCAAACATGGAACATCTCGCTAACCACCATGTCGATAGTTGCTGTCCTCCGCGGTGACGCGAAGATCTCTGGTACTGTCACCTTCGAGCAGGCCGACGAGAACGCCCCCACCACCATCTCCTGGAACATCACCGGCCACGACGCCAACGCCGAGCGTGCTTTCCACGTCCACCAGTTCGGTGACAACACCAACGGCTGCACCTCCGCCGGCCCTCACTGTATGTTGTCTGATGATGCAGATACTGGAAGACATTGAAACTAGTGACTGACTATCTCCAGTCAACCCCTTCGGCAAGCCCCACGGTGCTCCCACCGATGCCGACCGCCACGTTGGTGACCTGGGCAACTTCAAGACCGATGCCGAGGGTAACTCCGTTGGCACCACTCAGGACAAGCTCGTCAAGCTGATTGGCGCTGAGAGCGTTCTGGGCGTAAGTCCTCCAACCTCTTTTCATTCACTACACCTTCAAAAGGTAGTAGAAACTGTACGGCGGAATATGTACTAACTCGAGCTTAGCGCACCCTGGTCGTCCACGCCGGCACTGATGATCTCGGCCGTGGTGGCAACGAGGAGTCCAAGAAGACTGGTAACGCTGGTCTCCGCCCGGCCTGCGGTAAGTTAATATGTTTCCTCTGGTAGTGAGTGTATATATCCCTAACGATTGTGCAGGTGTCATCGGCATTGCCGCCTAAATATGGAGAACTCCGTCCAATGATAATCCCATGTAGTTGGGTCATGATATTTCCCGATCTCTTGAGATGAAAAGTTCAGGATAGTTAGCCTGGCTAGGATGCAATGAATGTCATTTCAGAAAACAATTGCCCCTTTTCCCACTTGTAGAGAGACACTCTCCACTCTAGAAGGGATGTAGCTGCTAGTTGTGTGCTGCCGTAGCATAGCGCCCCGACCGCTTTCCCCCACAAACACCGGCCACGTTTCTCCTCCGAAGGTCTCCCGCTCCGATCATTCCATTCGAATTGGTCCTTTTATCTTTTCTCTCCTCTTTGGTTTTCTCCTCGGTTCTCTCTATCGGTTTATCCTCGGCTACCTGCGTGTGGTAGCGGTGTTCTCCTCCCAGCATGCCTTTCGAAGCCCGCGTCAAGTCCGTTCTGTCGGGCGACACGGTCGTGCTGTCGCATGTCGCCAACCCTACACAAGAACGGATCCTGAGTTTGGCCTATGTCTCTGCGCCGCGCCTTAGGAGGGAGGGCGATGAGGTTCGTGTTTGATTGCTTCACAGCTGTTTAATCATAGCTCAATTCGAACGAGGGGATGGGTCGTGAGATGTTCTGCTGATCGTCCCATGTCGGCCATCTTCAATCGTCCGAAGGATGCTGCAATCTGTATTCATCTGAACTAACAATGCTGTGTTCAGGCATTCGGCTTCCAATCCCGTGAATTCCTACGTGAGCTTCTGGTCGGCAAAGTCATTCGCTTCGAAGTCATCTATTCCATCCCTACTGGCGCTAAACGTGAATATGGTATAATTACCCTCCCCGGTCACAACGCCCAGCTGCCCGATATCAGTGTCCAAGAGGGTTGGACCCGAGTCCGTGAGGAGGCTGGCAAGCGTGGAGATGAGTCGGAGGTCACCCTGGGATTGCTGGACCGATTGCGGGCGCTGGAGTCGCTCGCCCAGGATGAAAAGAAGGGTGTCTGGTCCGGCTCCGATAAGGGACTCATCGAGACAAGCTACGAATTGGCCAATGGACAGGCTCTCGTCAACGAACACAAGGGTCAACAGTTGGAGGGTATCATTGAGAAGGTCCTGAATGGAGACCGTGTCGTGCTGCGTCTCCTGATTGCGCCTCAGGAGCATCTGCAGACCGTCGTTGCGGTTGCCGGTATCCGGGCTCCGGCTGCCAAGCGGACCACCGCTGACGGCAAGGAGCAGGCTGGTGAGCCGTTTGGTGATGAGGCTTTCCAGTTCTTCGAGTCGCGCCTGTTGCAGCGCAAGGTCAAGGTCTCCCTCCTTGGCGTGACGCCCCAAGGCCAGCTGGTCGCTTCTCTCCTCCACCCCAACGGAAACATCGCCCGCTTCCTCCTTGAGGAGGGCCTCGCCCGCTGCCAGGACCACCACGTTACCCTTCTCGGTCAGGATATGGCTATTCTCCGCCAGGCTGAGCGCTCAGCGAAGGATGCTCGCAAGGGTGTTTTCACCGGACACGTTGGACCCAAGACCTCCGGCGCCGCTGCTGTGGATTACATTGTCAGCCGTGTGCTGAACGCCGACACTTTGTTCCTTCGCAGCAAGGCTGGCCAGGAAAAGAAGATCAGCCTGACTAGCATCCGTCAACCCAAGCCCTCCGACCCTAAGCAGGCTCCATTTGCTGCTGAGGCCAAGGAGTACCTGCGCAAGCGTGTTATTGCCAAGAACGTCAAGGTTACTGTGAATGGCAAGAAGCCCGCCAACGAGGGATATGAGGAGCGCGAGGTTGCCACTGTTGTCCAGGGCAACACCAACGTTGGACTGGCGCTTGTTGAGGCCGGCTATGCCTCTGTCATCCGGCACCGCATGGACGATGACGACCGCTCGCCTGACTACGATGCCCTGTTGGCTGCCGAGGCTGATGCTCAGAGGGAGGGCCGCGGCATGTGGTCGCCCAAGCCGCCCAAGGCTAAGCAGGTCGTGGACTACTCGGAGAGTGTTCAGAAGGCCAAGCTGGAGGTTGGTGTTCTCCAACGGTCGAAGCGCATTCCGGCTGTTGTCGACTTTGTCAAGTCTGGCTCCCGCTTTACTGTGATCGTGCCTCGCGAGAATGCCAAGTTGACTCTTGTTCTCTCAGGCATTCGTGCCCCCGATCTGCCCGCGGGCCGGGCGAGGCCGGTGAGCCGTTTGGACAGGAAGCTCACGACCTGGCTAACCGCCGCTGCATGCAGCGCGATGTTGAGATTGATGTTGAGACCATTGACAAGGTCGGTGGTTTCATCGGTACACTGTACGTTGGCAAGGAGAACTTCACCAAGGTTCTGCTGGAGGAGGGTCTGGCTACTGTGCATGCCTACTCGGCTGAGCAGTCCGGCAATGCCAATGCTTACTTCGCCGCTGAGGAGCGGGCCAAGGAAGCCCGCAAGGGTCTGTGGCACGATTGGGACCCTAGCAAGGAGGCTGCTGCTGCCGAGGAGTCTGAGGCTGCTAACGGCACTGGCAACGAGAGCGAGGCTGCTGCTCCTAGCCAGCGCCGCAAGGACTATCGCGACGTCATGGTCACCTTCGTTGACCCTAGCAATGGACGCCTGAAGCTTCAGCAGATTGGTGCCGGCACTAGCGCCCTGACCGAGCTCATGTCTGCATTCCGATCTTTCCACATCAATAAGGCCAACGACACTCCGCTGCCTGGTCCTCCCAAGGCTGGCGACTGGGTTGCCGCCAAGTTTTCCGAGGACGGCGATTGGTACCGTGCTAAGGTGCGCCGTAACGATCGCGAGAAGAAGGAGGCTGAGGTGGTCTACGTCGACTACGGCAACTCGGAGTCCCTGCCCTGGTCTAGCCTGCGCCCCCTCACTCAGCCACAGTTCTCGAGCCAGAAGCTGCGCCCACAAGCCCTTGACGCTGTCCTCTCTCTTCTTCAGTTCCCCACTTCCCCGGACTATCTCGAGGACGCCGTCGCCTTTGTTGGTGAGCAGACCGGCAACCGCCAGCTGGTGGCTAACGTGGACCACATCGAGCCCGATGGTACTCTGCACGTCACTCTTCTCGACCCGAGTGTCTCCAAGAGCCTCGACCAGAGCATTAACGCGGACATCGTCCTTGAAGGTATGGCCATGGTCCCTCGCAAGTTGAAGGCTTGGGAGCGTGCCTCTGCCGACACACTGGCCAACCTGCGCGAGCTCGAGGAGGAGGCCAAGGCTGAGCGCCGGGGAATGTGGGAGTACGGTGATCTGACCGAGGATTAAACCTTCTTGTATCTATGAGCGAATTGGGCAGCGCGTTCTGTACAAAAGCGTGGGATTGAGCCCATTTGGAAAACATGTCCCATACTATATCCATGGGTTTGCACTAGCTTGATTGTTGAATTATCCATCTATTTTTGGCTTTTAATTATATTGAATGAATGAACCGAGGCCTGCAAATCAGGACCGGGGTTTCTGTCGATCAATCCAAGGGGTCTCAGATGTGGTGCCCGATTAACTTTGCCCCAGATTTTGTCCCATGCGGTGGGGAGTATTTCGGTCTATTTTGGATGGGCGTAACGTTGCAGCATCCAGAGAGTATCTGCATGTCCAATGCTGATTCGCCGAGGAGCGTATATTAAGGAAATTATCCTAACCTACTAATGATCGATTCTACCTTATATTAAGTTCCATGCTTCCCCGCCTATCATCGGACCCCAAACAGGGTCCACGCGGGCGGCGTCGCCAATTCCGCCAGATTTGATCTGACCGCCTCCTTCTTACTCCTCCGCCACCGATCATCTCAAACCACCGGGGCCAATCGCGCCAATAACTCCACCGGGAACTTCCAGGGAAAAAAAAAAAAAAAGAGAAAAGACACAATCATGTTCTGGCGAACCAAGTCGCACGACAGCCATGCGTCCGAGGACCCGGCCCTGGCACGCACCACATCCGCATCGAAGAATGACCCTGCCGCCTCCGCAGACCAAGCCTCCGGAACCGCATGGCTTGCCGGACATTTGAATCATTTGACTCCCGAGCAGGAGGAGAAGTTGCGCGAGTTCAAGAGTATCTGCTCTGAGCGTGGATACTATACCGCTGTCGTGGAACCGGCAGAGGGCGTGGAGGCGAAGGACGCTAGCCATGACGATGCGACTATGCTGTAGGTTGCACCACTTCACTGCTGTGTTCCAGGAGAACGACACATTCGGAACGAACATGGGAGAACAGGACTGACGACTTGTCTTCTAGCCGATTCTTGCGGGCTCGCAGATTCGATGTCGAGGGTGCGTGGGGTCAATTCAAGGATACGGAGGACTGGCGCAAGGATAATGCGATCGAGTCGCTGTATGAGAATATTGGTGTGGACTCGTATGAGGCTGCACGTCGGATGGTACGTATCCCCTTTTTGTGAGATATTGGTAGTGAATTAACCTGATGCCCATTGATCTGTAGTATCCTCAATGGACCGGCCGTCGCGATCGCCGCGGTATCCCTGTCTACGTCTTCGAGATCCGCCACCTGAATAACAAGGAGATGGCTGCGTACAATGATACCATGTCGACTGGTACTCCCGAAAGCCACAAGTCGTCGACTATCCCAGCCCGTCTCCTAAACCTGTTCGCTTTGTACGAGAACTTGCTTAACTTTGTCATGCCTCTGTGCTCCTCGCTCTCGCGTCCGAACCCCGAGACTCCGATCGTGACCTCGACCAATATCGTCGATGTGAGCGGCGTTGGGCTGAAGCAGTTCTGGAACCTCAAGTCCCACATGCAGGATGCTAGTGTGTTGGCCACCGCTCACTACCCCGAGACTCTGGATCGTATCTTTGTAAGTCTGCAGATATCTTCTTGCACGGGGTCTTTTATCGCTGACTAGTATAGATCATTGGCGCACCTGCTTTCTTTCCTACCGTCTGGGGCTGGATCAAGCGCTGGTTCGACCCAGTAACCACATCCAAGATTTTCATCTTGTCCGCTGCTGAGGTGAAGCCCACCCTAACTTCTTTCATGGACCTCTCCAGCATTCCCAAGCAGTATGGTGGCGAGCTCGAGTGGCAATGGGGCGATATGCCCAACCTGGACGAGCCCGCTCAGGAGCTCCTGCAAGGTCTGGAGCAAGAGCCTGCTGAGGGCAAGACGAAGAAGGAGCTCATCAAGGGCCCGGTTCTTTTCAAGGGCGACAAGGTTGAGGTGCTGGGCACTGTGGACGGCAAAGAGCGTCGGTCCACTATTCCCGTTCCCCAAAAGGACCAGACGACCACCACCGAGAACTCGGAGCCGGCGAACGAAGACTCTACTGAGACACCAGCCAATGGCGACGCCGAGAAGCCCGTTGAAAATGTGACTGTGAACGTCGAGGAGACCCAGACCACCACTGCTACCGCATAGAGGACATCGGACTTTACGTGGGGTGGGCTCCTGCGAAAGTGACTCTGCTCGTTGGGCATGAACACAATGGCATGAGCCCTTGAAAATTCACATGACCGAGGCACGCAAGGCCTTTCCCCCACAAAGGTCGGTCTCGATCATTCCAGTTTTGCATGCTCTGAACGTTTCTGCCTGGGAATTCTTTGATTATGTGATTACATTTTGACAATTGCATGTGCATGGCCCGGCATACTGTAGAGGGGTCCTTTTTTTTTTTTTTTTGCACTAACCTTTTCTTTCCTTCGCATCGATTGTCGAAATTGGTCTCTGACAATCTGCCGTTGGTCTATCATATGGAGAGCCGGTTGTAGGCTTTCGTTGATTGATGCCTTCATGTTTATTCCCCTTCTTTGTCCGGTCTTTGTGACGAGGTATGGTATGGCAGTAAGTGGGAAGCCTGCCTTGGATGAGAGATCTTATGACGATACATTTCCATATGTTGATATTCCCCTTTTGTTTGTGGGGTGTTGGTAAATAGAACATCTCTTTTTCGGGTTTTTAGATCAGATCAATGATTCCTGACCGGGAATATACTTTGAGCATTCTTCTTTCCAACTTGTGATGAGCATAGAAACAGTGAAAAAACTATGACAGGACCAGGTACAGACTATGTGGCAACTGACAGTAAACAGCACGCCTCTTACAATGTACTTCACGATCCTATCTTCAATCTTTCGCCCAAAGGGTATAGAGGTATTGTAGACAATACGAACATGTGACCTCAAGGTTCCAAAATAGCATCTACTTCAGTCAGTTTGACATCAACATGAAGTTCAAAGAACAATGTGTACAGAGTACCCGAAAGTACGTACCATGGTGTGTTCATGTATAAACCAGCGATTGGCGAAGAAGCGTAGGCACGTCTTTTGCCCTAGTCCTAATCAGGAAAGAACCCTCCGGACGAATTGTTTGCAAGCAGGTTGGTTGTGATTCCACAAAGCTCCTGCGTCTGGCTAGTCAACGGGAATGACAGTCCCAAAAATGAAAGACCATCCGATTGTTCTCGAGTCGTGCAGAATGAGTCAGAACAGTACAACCCCATGTGGCGGATGGCACGATAATCGACAAGTACGAAGTACATACGAAGTATAGAGTAGCCTGCCAGACCAAGGCTAGACCCGATTAGAGATCTTCCCCAACACTTTCGACCTTCACATGGACGATCTAATCAGATGGGAGAGTTTGGTGTAACGGAAGATAGCAAACATCCGATTGTTTTCTTTCTGTGAATGTGCCTGGCTCACTCTGTCTGTTACAGGGTGGGCCACCCTTGTAGGTCACCTGACCGTCAGGGGCACATGTTGCACAGGAACTCTATCTATACACATCGGCGAATTTGGCATGCAGCACGTCGTCCGCCAGGGCCTGGCAAGGCGAGGACGATCCTGGCCCCAATCTGGGGTAGTTGGGCGAATCATGGTCTGTGTGGTTCAATCATCGTGCCATCATTCCACATTTCGACCGTTTGACACCCTCCCTCCCCCCCACCCCGGAGACGCCCGATGGCCACGCTGGGCCCAAGAAAGGGCGCTAGCAGCGTCTGAAATCGTTGGGGGAGATGCCCGGCCAGGATCAGCTGCGATCGACGTCATGTTTAATCCAGTCCGCGTGCTGAAAATGGTGCCCCCGAGGCTCGTTTTTGCGGAGGGGTGGGGGTTCACATGCGCCGAGCGCCTACCGAACGACTGGGGTGAAAGGGGATCGACAACGCCAAATCTCATTTAAACCCATCTGCCTCCGCCATACTACGAGGCCCGAAAATCTTGCATCCCCAGATCATCGCTGCTCCCCCCTCATTGTTCGCCATGAGTGCTCAGCGCAACCCCAAGGACTCGATGAAGTCCACCTGGCGGCAACAGGCCCGCTCAGAGTGGACGCTTTTCCACTGGTTTTACGAGCTGCTCGGCATCCATCCGGAGCATCTCGACAAGCAGGTGCCAACGCACCTGAAGGAGGATGCGGTGCCCTATGTCCCAGACTGGTCGATGCACCGCTGGGTCCTCATGCATGCCGCCGTTCCGCTTCTCCTCCACCACGCCTACGTCCAGTTCACCGGCCACAACTTTGGCATGCTGGGCGCATTCATTCTTTACAGCATCAGCTTCAAGGCCATCGCCATCCACGAACTCCACGTACTCCGTCGTCTCGGTCACATCCATGGATTCCTCGATGGTGACAAGCATGCCCGTGATGGTGTTCCCGATATAGGGGTCGCCAAGGTTGTTCGCTCGTTATTGTCTACTTCGACCTTCCGCCCTATGTTCACCGTCATGCTGGCCTACCGCACTAGCCAGGCCCCTGCCGACATGAGCTTCGCCTGGCTGCCAATTGAGGCTGGCCTCTACGGCATCATCCTGGACTTCTGGTTCTACTGGTACCATCGTCTGATGCATGATGTCGGCAGCCTCTGGCAGTACCACCGCACCCACCACCTCACCAAGCACCCGAACCCGCTCCTGACCCTGTACGCCGATTTGGAACAGGAGTTCTTCGATATCGCCGGTATCCCACTGATGACCTACTTCACTATGAAGTTCATGGGCATGCCGATGGGTTTCTATGAGTGGTGGATCTGCCACCAGTACGTCGTCTTCGCCGAGCTGGCCGGCCACAGCGGCCTGCGTGTCCACGCCACCCCACCTTCCACCTTCAGCTGGGCTCTTCGCTACTTTAATGCCGAGCTCGTCATTGAAGACCATGATTTGCACCACCGCAAGGGCTGGAAGAAGAGCTACAACTACGGCAAGCAGACCCGTCTTTGGGACCGAATCTTCGGTACTTGCTGTGACCGCATCGAATCTGTGCCTAATAACGTCGACTACGTCAACCAGTCGCCAATGCCACTATACTGAGCAGATCTAACGTGGACGTTTTATCAGTTTTGTCGCGCTTCCTGTAAATTTCCTTGCGGCAAAATGTGATTGGAATGAAAATAGTGCTTTCTTTTGATACCTTTTGCTTGTGCTTATATATGCGATCTGATACCATGCTAGATTTTTATATCAATGAATTCATGAATCTAAGATATGTCATTTGAGACTTTAGTTGTCTAGTACCACTCCTGTATCATCATATCAGTGTTGTAGAGTGGTGGCCTGATCGGGCTGGCTGTGAGCTCCATCGTATATGCCCCATTGCGTGGGTGCTAGCACATAGTGTAGGGGCGCACTATATACGAACATACCGTTGTCATATGGTTGTTTAGGGTTTCGAAAAAGAGAATTGTTTGCATACCATATTGAGCATATAAAATAGTTACCATACAGTTTGCATTCGAATATGGTAATGAAAACGATTTAGTATTATGGCACCAATGCTATTGTGGCGCTCAATACGGTGTGGCTCCGGTAATATTTTGCCACTTCAATACTATATTGAAACCAATACCGTTATACAACCGTTGTCATACCGTATTTTGATATATAATGTGGCCCTATGTTCAGGTGTCAAGTGGTAGTGCATCTTTTACCATGCCGTACTTTGGATGTAATTACGATTGGAAACAATATGACTAATGTATGAAGCCCATTCCACATTGATAAATCCGGCGAGGTATGTCTTTAGCCTTGGTTTATATATGTGAAGCATGGATTACAAAATGCTCTTGCGAGTTTTCTTACATTAATGGCTGGTTTGCTTGATTACTGGCTAAGCTGGAGGTTGCAGTCACCAATTTAGACGGACCTTGGGATATACAACCAGGAACGTCGAACTAATAGTATAGGAAAGTAATGTCTCATCCTATATGCTCAAAATGACAATAGATACCAAAAATGGGAAATGTCGAGAAAACCTGTGAACAAGAAGTGATAAGAAATACCAAGAGGCTAAATAACAGGATATATAGTGTAGATCGTGAGCCAGAATTATTGCTCAATGTGAGGCGATTAAGAACGTATTGGTGATGAGACACACAACCATGACCACCACTCCGTAGCATGCTAGGCCCAAGCTCAGGCGTCGCAGCAATGTTTTGCGCCAGTGTCGGGTAGGTCGAGGCAGGAAGCCACTGCCTGTCAGTGATTGGGTCAAAGAACCTTCACCGTCATCGCCGTCGTAACCTTCATCATCCGACAGATCGTCATTCGCCTCATCATCTTCCTTGAGAAGACCGCGGTGGGCGGGAGAGTCAGGAGAGGAGATCTTGTAGTAGAAAAGACCCGGCAGAATGAAACTGATACTCGTGCTACCAGTACTGCCAACATAAGCCAGCACTGCCTCCAGAGAGGATACTGTCATGGCGACAAGGTAGCTAAGGATAAGAATGGTAGTGGTGATGATTGAGAAGCGCAGGTCACTCATCGGCTCGGGGGTCCGGGTACCGCGCGGACCCAGCAGAGGATGCCGATGGGGCGAGCCCTCATTCGAGCTGGGCATGGATTTGGGGCGCCACTTCATAACCGCGTCCAGCGAAGCCCGGCAGGGGTGGCATTGAAGCGGGTAAGAGAAGACGACGAGCATGACAATTGCAGCACGGCCGATTGTTGCTGCAACACCTGGTGGGTACATGCCGACGATATTACCGGCAACACTATTGCCGAACGAAAGATAGCCGGTGATGGCGACAAGAATGTAGGTTGCCGCTGCACTGCCAATGCTAGCGAAGACGACGCTGGTTGTTCGGAAGTGGCTATTATTCTTGATCTCGTTGAGAATAGAGAACATCTAGAAGATAGGGTCAGATATGATAATTGAAGTAGTGAATGGCACCCCCAAAAACTTACGTTTTGGTGGCAGGTAAACGCGAACACAATCACGGGGAAACTGCTCAAGGTAGGAAGGGGACCAGCCCAGTGGATCACACGAATTGGACCACGATCCGCCATTGTGTCACCCTTGACGAAGTGATAAACGACCAAGACAACCAAATACGCCATTGAAACCAAAGCCGCGATGCTGGTATATTTTAACGAATCGAGCCGTCGAAGGTAAGAGAGGGGGATCACAATCAACCTATTAATTCGACAAGTATCAGTATCAAGACCATTCGCAGCCCTCACGGGGGCGAAGCTCACATGAAAGCAGTCACCCAGAAGTGACGATCCACCAGAAAGTCATACGAGGGGTCGCCCCCAACGAAGCCCTGGACGACGCCCGGCATCAGGTCACCGATGATAATCAGATAGCTCACGCCAACTCCGAAACATTTGATGGCAATCGCGGCATCAAAAACCACCGCCGCGTTAGGGTAAGTCAATTGCGAGAGGGCAAAGAAGGAAGCGCCTCCCCGATCGAGGTATTGGGCGCATCGCGATTGAAGATAGAGTCCGAAACCCGCTGTAACCCCAGACCATAAGATCACGCATGTCCCCAGGAGAATTCCCATGTGTGAAATCGCAAGTGGCATGGCCAGAACACCGGCACCGATGACTAAATCATGAATCCTCCGATCAGCCTCTGACAAAAAGTCCCCAAATACCCTCAATCGTTTTTCACTCACTCGTATTGACCAAATTGATGACACTGCTGGCCCAACTGGCCTCTCCCGTGGCGCCGGAAACTCGCTTGCTTCGGTGGGCACGTCTTTCAAGACCATTTCATGTTAGTCGTCGTCCCGACAGGTGGTATCTCCGCCCGACTTACCGTCGCAGTGCGCTCTGAGGCACACCAGAAGGGCCGACGCCCGCTGCCGCCTCCTCCTCCTCCATGATGTCTGAAAAAGGAACGGCCGATGTCTTCGCAATAAGTGGTTCAGGCACAAGACATCCCAGCGACGATGGACGGGGCCAGTGAAATGTAACGGGGAAGAGAGACGGAAGGCTGCGGTGGCCTCGTTCTTATCGGAGCCGATAGCCTTGGCCACACCTGACTTCCCAATGGCGTCTCCGCACCGCTCTGCCTACTTTGCCTTCTTGGCTGCCCCCCGCCATTTGGCTACGCTCGCGTGCAGGATGGCATCGTAATCGTCATTATTAGATGGCGTGATCGTGGCTAAAATGACTAATTCTACAGCTTCGGTCGTCCCCATCCGGGCTGCGCTAACAGTTGGAAACTCTCCTCTTCTACCGCAGCGTGATCGGACGCAGTGTTGCCCGGCCGGTCGCCAGGCCCTTCGTCGTTGAACTGGTTGACCAGTCGGACGGTTTTGGATACTTCATAGATGTTGCCGCCGGATACCTTGAACTGCTTGCCTCGTCCAGACCGATCTCCGATCACCTCGCTCACTTGCTCCTGCTGCACGAGGGCCAACATTACCTCACCGACCTCTTCAGGCGTCACCCAGACGTCGGAGTCGTCGACCATCTTGATCTTCTCGGGATGGTCTGTCCACAAGGGAGTCTTGATCACTCCTGGGGCGACAGCTGTCACTCGGATGCCGAGTCTCTCGAGCTTGCCCAGCGATCGTACCAGGCCGTTGATAGCGTGTTTCGTGGCCACATAGATAGGCGCAGCAAGGGCAGAGGTCTGCCCAGCAATGCTAGAGATGTGGACGAGGTGCTTAGGACGACCATTGTCGCGATGGCGCAGAAAATGCGCAATTGCCAGCTGCGATGTGCGGATAGGGTGTGTGATATTGATGTCGACCAGGGCATATCGGCCGCCGGTGGGAGAGTCCTTACTGGGAGCGGAGCCGGGAGGACGCCAGAAGTTGCTCCAATGCTTTTGCATAACAATATTCGTTAGCCGAAGCACTTTGTTCGGATTCTAGATGGGATTCGTGAACATACCGGCTCGTAGACTCCGGCGCCGGGACAGACAATATCGATTTCGCCAAACTCTCGCTCGGCCACTTCAAACATCCGCTCCAATTGCTGCCAATCGATCACGTCGGTCTTCTGGAATACGGCGCGCACAGGGCCCTTGGAGTGTTTCTCGACCAGCACCTGGGCTTCAGGGCGCAAGGCCAAGTCCGCAATGAGGACGTTACATCCATTTTTTACCAGTAGCTCGGCGAAGGCGAAGTTGATACCTGACGCGAGTATGGGCATCAGTCACAGTACTTTCTAAAGACTGAAAATCTGAAAGATAAACCTACCAGAGCCTGCGCCGGTCACGATAGCAGTTCTACCTTGAACTGGGAGGGCCATACTTTCAAATGCTGCGGGTTCAGTGTAGGCTTATAGCTAACTTCGAGTGAGAACGCTTCCCCTCTTTCCGGGATGCTACTGCTCATTTATGCCTGGACACCCTGTGGAACCGGCTGTGGGACTTCGGGCCCTTTTGCAGCGCGTACATAGCCATTTTAGAGAAAGAGAGGGGCCCCGCGTGGGATTTACCCGGGGCTGTCGTCGAGCAACTCGATCGAGATCGGCGTGATGGCCGAGACTTCCTTTCATGCGACTGATTCGCAGCTTCCTGAGGGTCGTTGCTTTTTCCCCTCCGTGTCAACTGACAGTTTCCGGCAGTACAAGAGGAGACAGCTTCCCTCCCTCTTCTGCGAATCCAATAGATCGGCAGTGGGTCACCAAAGGTCCTGAGGGGCTCGGCAGAATTACCGATTCAAACAGAGAGTCGGGACGTATCCCTTGTTCGAGAGAGGGTTTAATATTTCCGATCCCTGATAGCCTAATTCCGGTATCCCGCTCAGAATCTGTTTGCGATTCTCTGGTTGTCGCCACATCATGGAGCCGATTTGATGCGGTTTGCAGAGTCCCGGGTCGGCACAGCGCCGAGTGCAAGTGCCCCGCAAGTCAAATGACTTCATCACCCACTCTGCCTCTCCATAAAGCGGTTAAATTTCCTAAACGGGCCACTGATGCTGCAGAACCAGAGAACTTCTCGGCAGTATGAGCCGAGATGCTGTTATACCGACCAACGCATGTCTACTTTATTGCGGCCACGACGGTAGAACATTTGTGTACCTAAAATGAAGCGCAGGTCATTCTGATTATATATGCAAATTTACCAGACCAGCTACTGGATATGGCGGGCATTGAAGTGTCTTCTGATAGTCCCAAAATAGGAGATTCCTTCGGGTCTGTTCCTCTTGCTCGAGACAGAGAGAAGGAAAATCCAAATCTAAGCTCTGAGTGGAGGGAGCATATACAGCAACACCAACCACGCACACCAAAGGGTAAAATTTTCCTTGTCTCTTTTCACACACCGGCTCAGGAGCACACCAACGGCTATGGTGAAGCCCATGGCATTCCAACAGATAAGCACGGCTAGACTCCTGATGCCGAACAGAGGCGGAATAGTCAAAGAGCATACCATAATCGCCCCGGCGGTCATAATTCGACTTTTCCAATCTCCCAAAACAAGAGGAGCAGTCAGACGATTTCGAGCAGAATCTCCCTCTTGGTCGTACAGATCTTGTATTGAAATTGTCGAGAACACAAATGCTCCAACTGTTGCAAGCCAGAGAAGACCCAATGCAGAGAACGACGATTGCGGACCCGCAATAACACGACTTGCTCCCGCCACAAAGTCCATGAACCCAAAGGCGTTCATCAGATTGCGGAGGATGAAGTGTTCGTTCGCGACACCACAATCATTGTAGATGTAATTGAGAACAGCCATCACGACCGATTCTCGAAAACCACCACTGAAGTAGCTGAAGCCTAAGGTGCATGGAATCGCGATACACAAGAGATTGGTTGCCTCTCTCTGACTTAAACGCCCAGTCGGAATGGGTCGCCATGGTTTGTTGATGAAATCCTCTTGGACTGACTCATCCAGGCGCTGGTTTGCCAAGTCGAGACAGAACAGATTCAGTAAAACCCAGGCAGCCATCAATGTAAAACGAAGAATCCAGTTCCATGGCGAGTCAATAACAGAATACGACTGCAGGACCCAGCCAGATAAATAGTTTGCCAGGCCTGCAAACATGTGAGGGATGGTCACCGGGACCATGTCGCTGTAGATAATCAACCAGATTGTTCTCAAATGAAATGAGAGCGACCTCTGGCGTCTTATCATAATGGTTGTCTGAAAGAGCTTTTTTATAATTAGCCCATATGCTTATAAAATGAAAAAAGCTCAATCAAAACCCCATACATCTCTAGATTCAGTCAATTGTGAGTTGCATCGTTTGCGAGAAGCTGCCGCGTTTGTAATTGTGACAGTAGACTCCATAGCGAAAGATGTTTGAAGCTCTTCTTGAGACAAAAGAAAAGATAAAATCTTGATCAACAGGCTGAAAATGAAAAGCGAAGTTGCTCAAAATATACCTGTACCAATGCACAGGCCCTCTTGTCAAACAGAGCCCTCAACATTTAACAACATCAAGCCACTACAGCTCGGGGGCCTAAGGCTGTGATTTGCCCTGGCGCAGATTTACTTTCCAAGGTTGAGCCCCAATATTACACCTGGGTAGATTAACTAGCACCCGGGCAGGGCGTTCTGGTCCCATCTTCGAGCGATTATGTTTGCACACTATCCATTCCTAATCCTATTTCCAGGCTGATGCCCCGCAAAAGGCTACTGCTATTTGGTACATACGGATGCTGTACACTGCTGGCCGAGGCGTTGTTGGCCCCGATATGTGACTCAACCTTGGGCTTTTCTGTGACATCACCAGCGGGCTGTGGTTTGAAAATGATTGCCTCATGATAACTGTGTATCAGGTCCAGGTTAAATTCTGCTTACAGCACTATGTTATATCCAAGCGCGATATCCAGTTGGAGGGAAGCCAGATAAATGCGATTTGGATGATAGATCGCGCATACATTTGGATCGACGCTTCACATATCCCTTCGTTGAAAATAGCAGAACAGTCAGTCTTGTGGCCGCTAAACCAGGGCACCGAGGTTGCCTGACGGGGTGTATTTACAGAGAGGCTGCCACCTGGGCTGAACCATAATACCGCAGTGGAGACTGGAGCCGGAAAGCAAAATTTATATGAGCACCCTGTGAAGCTGCACCTGGGTAATTGCACGCCTGGGTGTAAGGCTGTTTTTGCCCAGACTTCAAATTACCATGATCATGACTGACTGTCGAATAATACCCAAACGCAATTATTGTTGCCATGGGAGAAGTGACGTATTCATCCCAGAATGAATGCCTTTCATCCAAACTCCACAGTCTTACTGGTAATTATGTACAACAAGCATTGCAACTCAATGGACGAATCAGCGAGCGTGAATTGTGGCTGAACAAGCACTAATCCTGCTTAGGTAGCCTTCCCGCCGTCGGGCGGGTAGGTATCCGAAAATGGAAGTATGCCGACTGTGCTGTTGACGGTCATGTACATCCCGCATGGAGACGAACGTATAAAAGACATGTTCAAACCCCTCCTCGAGTCTTTGGTCAATGAGCACTCCAGAATTCAATTATGGCGTCCCGACATCTTTCAAAGACCGTTGCCCGCGCGGCATCAACCTCCACTGCGTCGCAGACCACCAAAGCGACTGGAGACATTTCATCTGTCTTTCCCAGTTTGAGACCAGACTACCGGCCGGAGCCTCTTCCCCCGCGTTTTCGGGATCTCAAGATAAGGCTCTTCGAGAAGCATGAAAAGGCTTTGACAGACAGCTGGAAGAGACTTTTGCCCAGCCTCGAAGAAGAGGTCGACAAGATAAAGACCAAAGGCAGCGACGTATGTCCGAATACGGCATGATCATACTCTTACACAAGATTTAAAGTGCTGACCATTTAACAGATAATCCCATCAGTGGAATATGCTGACGTGGTCGCGGGCAAGGTGCCCGAAGCCACGATGAACGAGATCCGCTACCGCGGCACTGTAGTGATTCGCAATGTCGTACCTCGAAAAGAGGCGCGTGACTACAAGAACCGCATCGAGGAATATGTTGCGACCAACAAGGAGCGTGTCAAGGCTTTCCCACCCGACTCGCCTGCCGTCTACGAGCTCTACTGGACGCCCTCGCAGGCCGACGCCCGCGCTCATCCCAACATGCTTGATTCACAGCGCTTCCTGCAACGATTGTGGCACTCGTCTGACCCTCAAACCAAGCTGTCGACATCAAATCCACTCACTTATGGGGATCGCCTGCGGATCCGAGACCCCGGTGATGCCAAATTCACACTCGGCCCGCATATCGACGGAGGCTCGCTCGAGCGTTGGGAGGATCCGGAGTATGCCAGTGTGTACACCAAGATCCTCGAAGGAAAATGGGAGGAATACGATCCTTGGGACGCAAAACACCGTCTCGGCGCCAATATGGACCTGTACAACGGTGCGGGTGCCTGCTCTATGCTCCGCTTCTTCCAGGGCTGGCTCTCAATGTCCCAAACTGCACCGGGAGAAGGCTCGCTGCATGTGTGCCCTATGATCCGTCACAGCACAGCATACACCATTTTGCGACCTTTCTTCGATGTCAACAGCCACCAGCCCAGTCTAGATAATTCATTCCCGGGTTCTGTTCCCGGCGCCTGCCAGGAGTACAACCCCGTGACACATCCTCAGCTTGAGCTGGAGACCACTATGGTCTCGGTCCCGAAGGTCGAGCCGGGAGACTTTGTTGCATGGCACTGCGACATGCTCCACTCGGTCGACAAGGAACACCGTGGTACCGGTGACTCGAGTGTTCTTTACATCCCCGCTACCCCTCTGTGCGACATGAACATCGACTATCTCAAGAAGCAACGTCAGGCTGCTATCGACTACTCTCCGCCGTGGGACTTCCCCGGCGCCGGTGGTCCTGGTGAGCGGGGATTCAAGGGTGCTGTTGACTGGTCGTCTGTGAATGCCGACGGACAGCGTGCCATGGGCATGGGCAACAAACCCTGGGAGATTAATGAGTCCATGAGCGAGGGCGAGAAGGAGGCCGTTAGATCTGCCAACCAGGCCTGCTTTAATTTGTAAAAAGCTGAATATCTTCTGTCATCGTTCGGCGTTATCTTTAAGCCTCTCGGGGGCAAATGTGTTGTATACTCTGGGCTTCCTTTACGCTTTCACCTTACCAAAATATCGAATGTATCATGAAATAACAATGGGTTCAGTCCATTTTCCGGTTTAAATGATTTAAATCTAGATAATGTTCAAATATGTTATTTCGCCGATGACTCACCTAATCGTTAACGTATACGGCAAGTCTCTGCGGGGCACCGGTTTATAAAACGCGGGGTCGCCCTTTTTGGGCTGCCTTCAAAGCTCAATTCCAAAGAAAACAACTCATAAGAAGATTGTGTTCCAGGCCCAAGGTACACCGATCAATGACAATGACTAGCACGCTATATTATCAGCTGACAGCCGCGTTGTAACAGGAATACTGTCAAATCAAGCAGCAGAGATATAGGCCATTCAGTTGAGCCATGGCCCCAGAAACCAGCACCGGCACGAAACGCTTTTATAGCACTTCGTCTCCATGGGAGGCCCGATTCGGCTACTATCGCGCTGTACGCCATGGCCAGCACATCTTCGTGTCAGGGTCAACGGCAGCAGATCCCGATTCTCCAACAGAAGCACCACGAGTTCGCTTCCCAGGTGACGCTCGACAGCAGGCACGTGTGACCCTCGAAGAGATTGTTCAAGCGATCCAAGCTGTTGGAGGAAGGGGAGCGGAGAGTGTGGTTCGGTGTCGAATGTTTGTGAGTAGAAAAGAGGACTGCGGTGTTGTGGGCGAGGCTTTCCGAGAGGTCTTGGGCAAGAAGAATGGAGGGCAGGTCGGTGCTGCTGCGACTATGATCGTTGTCGCCAACAGTTTTGTAGATGATGACATGCTGGTTGAGATTGAAGTGGATGCCATTGCGGAGGATGATTAGTAGCTAGTCAGCGACACAATGATGAAGCAATCAGTTTGGATTAATGTTTCAGGCATTCCGTATGCGCATTTTTCAGAATTAATGACTCCGAGAGACTCAAAGGGCACATGGGTGCGTGTCGTGCGTGTTTTCCCATCTCCGACTGACGGGAAGTTGGAGAAAACAATCTGGGGTGTACCGCCCGGATCTGCCAGCTGCCACTTGCAGCACCGCTCGCTAGCTGTCGACAACACCTCCTCCACCACCTGTCGTTCACCAACATGCGGCTTCAGGCGGCGCTTTTTGTCGCTGCGTGCGTGTCGCCCGCAGCGGCCATTTATCCGGACGAGGTCAACCAGATTGACTTCCACCACGCCCTCCTCGGGGCTCCCTCTTTCGACTCGACCTTCTTCCTCAAGCCTTCATCCGCCTCGAATGCATCCCTCCTCTACACTATTTCCGAAAACTCGATTCTAGGCGCGATCAATCCCCGTGATGGCGCGCTTGTTTGGAGGCATAACATCTCGCGACCAGCTGGCGGGGCTGGTCTTCTGCGTGGGTTGGACGGAAACAACGCTGTGGTCGGCGCCGCCGGCGACTACATCTCGTCATGGGGCGCCCAGGACGGGAAATTGATTTGGGAGACTCAATTTGATGGAGGTAGCGTCGCTGATATTGAGCTTCTCGAGATGGAGGATGCTACTGCGGCATCTGGCGTTCGGGATACCATTGCGCTTATTGCTGGAAAGAGCTTTGGCACCGTGAGACGCTTTGATGGAGACTCAGGAGCGGTCAAATGGGAATACATTGATGACAGGTGAGTTGGACAGTCTGCATCCATGTGATCATACTAAAATCGACTTCAGTGGTGATGTTCCGTTCCAAGTATCCTCTTCTCCCACCGAGATCTTCTACATTTCGCTCCAGTCTGGACTACTGAAGAGCTCCAAAGTCAAGATCACCTCGCTCGACCCAGTGACCGGCCAACAAGTTAGGCAGCATATCTTGAACACGGAAGGAGATATCACTGGTCCCGAATCTGTTCTTTTTGTTGGCGCCAACAGCGCATCGCCGTTGATTGCTTGGACCGATAAATCACAGAAGACACTCAAGGTCAATGTCATTGGCACCAAGCGAGTTAGCTCGGTCACTATTGACAACACCTCTGGTGAGGAGATTCAGGAGATCACCGTTCACGCGCCCCACAAGCTCAGCTCCCTGCCGCATTTCCTGGTTCATTACAAGACAGAGTCTGGGGCATGGGCCGAGGTCTACCACGTGGATTTGAAGTCTGCGGTAGTGTCCAAGGCGTACCACCTGCCATATCTGCAGGGCCAGTCTGTCATCGCAACGAGCAACATTGACGCTAATGTCTACTTCACCCGGATTTCCGACTTGGAAGCTGTTGTTGTCTCCTCTGCGTCCCATGGCATCCTGGGTCGTTGGGACATGGATGCCCCATCGTCCGACCGTTCCGTAGCCGCAGTCACCGAGGTCGTTTCCAAGGGCAAATCTGTGGCTGTTCGCTCAGTCATTCTTCGAAAGTCCGGAGACTGGCAGCTCATTCGCAATGGCCAGGTCGAGTGGACTCGCCCTGAATCCCTGATCGATGCCGTCGCAGCTACCTGGGCCGAAGTCGAGGAGCAAGAAGAACTTGCGCACGAGTTGGAGGTCGAGGGCCATGAAAGTCTGCTCGGTGCCTACATCCACCGTGTCAAGCGCCATGCGCGTGACCTTCAGCACCTGCCCCAATGGCTCCAGGAGCTACCGCAGCGCATAATCAGTAGTATCTTGGCCGATGAAGTGACCAACTTGGATAGCTTTGGCGTCTCCAAGCCTGTCATCGTTGCCACTAACAGTGGCAGAGTCTACTCTCTCGACACTGGTCGCCAAGGGGCCGTGATCTGGAGCACCCAGGCCGCAGAGAAGCCGTGGGATGTGAAGAACATCTACGCTCGCGCTGGTGTTGTCACAATTGACTCGGGCGATGGATCCAGCGTCGTGGTCAACGCCTCTACCGGAGCAATTGTCTCGCGTTCCGCGCAACAGGGTCCTAAGCTTCAAAGCATTGTCAACTTCGAAGGACACGATGGATCTTCGCCTGTCCGACTTGGCCTCCTGGGTGTTCAAGAGGATGGCAGCCCCGTCGCGCCATTTGACGATATCACCGGGTTCTTGGTCACCACGAGCGCTGATGGCCGGGTTCTCGGCTGGGTTGAGTCCGACAACAAGACTCCTGTGTGGGAATTTGTTCCTCCGTCTGGCCAGAAGATAGTCAAGGCGACTGCCCGACCGGCACATGACCCCGTTGCATCGATCGGAAAGGTCCTTGGAAACCGTTCTGTTCTATACAAGTACCTCAACTCCAACTTGGTGCTGGTGACTGCTGTCAACGAGAAGGAACACGTCGCTGGCTTTTACTTGCTGGATGGAGTTTCTGGAAAGGTGCTGCACTCTATCAGCCAGGCGGGCGTCGATCCGTTGCAGCCTATTGCGTCTGTGGTTTCTGAGAACTGGTTCGCATACTCTTTCTTCGGAGACGTTGTGGGTGATTCATCCGCCAAGGGCTATCAGCTGGCGGTTTCTGAGCTCTTCGAATCTTCGATCCCCAACGACCGTGGTCCCCTTGATGCGGCTGGAAACTACTCTAGTCTGCACAGAACTGGCAACAGCCTCCCTCTTCCCCATGTCGTCTCGCAATCATTCATGATTGCCGAGCCCATCTCTCACATGGCTGTTACCCAGACACGCCAGGGCATTACCACTCGCCAGCTGCTCTGCACGCTTTCATCCTCCAACTCGATTGTTGCCATTCCTCGCCCTGTGCTGGACCCCCGCCGTCCCGTCGATCGCGACCCAACCTCTGCCGAAGCTGAAGAGGGTCTTTTCCGCTACGTCCCGTTCCTTGATTTTGATGGCCGGTGGTACCTCACACACTCGCGCGATGTGACCGGCATCAAAAATGTTCTGTCACGCCCTACTCTGTTGGAGAGCACCAGTCTCATCCTCGCCTATGGCGGTGACGTCTTTGGCACCCGTGCTACCCCTAGCCAGGCATTTGATGTTCTTGGCAAGAGCTTCTCCAAGTTGCAGTTGGTGTTGACTGTGGTCGCACTGGCTATTGGAGTTGCCTTCCTTGCACCGATAGTAAGCATTTCTCTTCTATCCTCGATTTTTTCCACCTGGTTGTTCAATCTTTGCTAATCCTTCATCTTGCAGACTCGGAAGAAGCAAGTTAACATGCTTTGGAGGGCGACTTAGTGTGTGTTAGAACATTCTAAGATGTGTGAATATATACCCGTATGGTCTTTAGTAGAAATGTAAACGGGGACCTAATGTGATGTATTGCTTTTCAATTTTGTTTAGCCGTTTCCAGATTTTTCCAGATTCACCCCTCCATATGGTAATACACTTCCCTGTAACAATTCCTTCTCGCAGGTACTACGTTCTGAGATTGTAGGCATATCATTCCCACATTGGAGCAATTGATCCTACAGTTGGCTGCCAAGGACACAGTGTAGTGATTTCACGATATTGCACCAGTTTAGATTTCATGAACGATGATTATACACTAGAGTCAATTTCAAATTGGTATATTTGGAACAGAGAAACATGGAAATATCAGCAGCTGGCCACTACCTGGATGAGGCTGCGCCATTCTGGGCCATCAAATGCTCCAGCTGATAAACAGATTCTTGCACCTCTTCCTGGCTGGGCAGGCTCACGACAAAGAAGTACAGGATGTCTTCCTGCAACAACCTCTTGATCATTCCCTTGCGCTGCTTCTTGTTCCTCGTCTTCCTCGGACCTCTTGGTGAACGACCTCGAGCAACACGTCTGGCATCTCGTCGGATTTGTCTGTCATCTCGTCGCGCTTGCCTAGCTGCTCGTCGTGCTTTCCTTCTCGGTACTGGATCCACGGCGCCGCCGGTCAGAAGAGCAACCAAAGATCCACTATTGGCGGGATGATTGGGATCATTATAGCGCGATTTGAATTGTGGCGCCTGTGAGGACTGCATAGGCCGTGATGGATCCGGGTTTTTGGCCTCCTATCAAGTTTAAATATCAGTATGTAACTCATCAGGTCAGGGTAAAATGTTGACTTACATAGAATGTCTGTCCTCGTCGATCAAAATAGTCTTGCGTCCATGAACTCGCGCTTTTGAGCTTATCAGCCACACTGGCATCTTTGCCTTTGCCTTGTCCGTGCAGAGCGTGTTCTGCAATCCGATCTAGATCGGGGTAGATCAATTCTGCCGACTGAGAGAGCTCGATCTCTCCGTCTATGCAGCCACTTGCAAGCCGAATATTCTGCAGTCCTTTGTTCATCTTCGACATGTTTGGATTGGGGTTACTGTATTTTGCAGCCACTTCGTCGATCCCGAGCTTTTTGTTTGTGAAAAAAGTTTTGCCCACTTCAGCAGAGAGCTTCTGCAAAGCTCCCTTCTGCTGATCTGGGATGGATTCTTTGAACGTCATAATCATGCTGAAGAGGCCGCGTGGCATGAGTACGTCCTCATTGAACTTGTCGAGGAACGTATTCCGGCGTGAGCGCGATTGGAGCTCCTTTGCTGTGCCGGCCGCTGTCGCCACGATCGGGCTTATAATTTGAGCTGCTAATTCCGGAACGAATCCGACAACATTGGCAGCAACATAGACGACATTAATCCATGAATCAGACTGCGAGAAGTACAGTCAATCAGTTGTTCGTCTCTTTAAAAGATCAATATTTGTGGCTCACCTTGCTTGTCTTCTCCCAGTCCGACAAGAACTGCAAGAAAACGTCTTGACTGACACCAGAATCGGCGAGTACAGGCGCATAAGCCCGGACAAAACCATACTGCTTCTTTCTTGGTCTCCTCTGGGGGATGATAACCGGACAAGGGAGTCGCTGCGCCGGCCGGGGAGGGCCAGCCATGTGGACGAGGCCACGAATCATTTCTTCCTCCTTCATCATCCTCGCATCTTCCGAGCCACCCGCCGACAGCGCTTCTGATTCCTCGTATGAGGGAGGTCGCATCTGCTCGGCCATTTCATCCAGTTCCCATGTCACTTCATCGCGACCAATGGCGTCTTGCTCATCTGAATCCGAGCTATCGCTCTCCGAGTCGTACCCAGCCTCGGCAGATTTAGAGCAATGCTTTTTTTCGTCGATGTGGTCGACATCTCCCCGAGTAGGTACACTGCGAGAAGACTCTCCAGTCTGTCCAGCATAAGCACTGGCAGAGTGGTCATACGAGGATGGGGCATGGTCGGTCATTATCGAGGAAGGTCCAGCTGGCGATGATTCGCGCGACCTGGCACGAGAGGCCTGGATGGCCTCGGACGTGAACCCGATACCCGCGCCGAGCAATTTGACGAGCTTGCCCATGATGATTCCGTATGATTCCGCATAATTCGAGGATCTATCAGACCAAGGGCGGACTTTATACTGCCAACACCCGTGCCAAACCTTAGAAATGCTTATGCTTAGCGGCACAGCCCCACGCCCTACGCGCAATGCTTACTCCAAACGGAAGCTCGTCAGCCATCGGCGTAGTGGTTGCTCTTTCGGGCCGGTCTAGGGTAATATCACCGATGCTGTCAGCATCTTGTTTGGGAATTATTCTTGCTCTTCTCTTCACCTTAAATTGTCTGGATCCTTGCGAATATTTCGGATGTTTATCTGATTACCAGAGGGTCGGCATCCACCCTGGAATCAACCAACCGGCGGCAGAATTCGAGTCATGTAGTTCTTTTCAGCACAAAACACGAGACTATATTACTACTAGATCTGTTTATTTCTGCACCATGAGACAGGACGTATTTACAACTCTGACATTAATGCGAGTGGCACTACCAAATGGACGGAAAAAGCTGATAAAAAACAACAGTAGGAAATATTTGAGTTCAGAAGACGGATGTAAAACAGGACTACTTATGGACGAAGAGTTAATCCACAAAATAGGAAAGAGAGACATTGCTCAAGAAACCAGCTCCGAGGAGCGCCCGGTATTGCAAGCCTTCCAGGCCTGCACCCACTAATCTTGTCAGATAATCCAAATCATAGCCCGAAATTTCCTCTGCTTCACATTAATAAACCCTAGAAACAGAAGTTAAGCCAGTGAAGCCGAAGTGCTTAGTTGTTGTTGTTTCCATTCAGAATGCGCAGAATGGACATGAACAAGTTCAGCACATCGAGGTACAACGACATGGCAGCAGCAATCTCCTCCTCGACGTGGTAGTGACGCATCACCAATTGAGTGTCAACGAGAATGTATCCCGAGAAGATCAGGGCACCCAGGACACCGTAGACGATCTCGATGGTGCTGTTGAACGGAATGAATGTCGCGACGAAACCGAACAAGATCATGAACCACAACGCACCAAAGAGGTACGGCATCCAGTTCGTGAAGTCGTACTTGGTCTGGCATGCAAATAGAGTCAGAGCGACAAAGATACCCAGTGTCAGGACGAGCGCTTGCACGACGACTCGAGCATCATAGAAGGATGTTGCAACGCTGATGGCGTAGGCTTCCATGAACGTGAAGCCGGAGAGGAAGAGAAGGTTTGTCGGGTAGGACTTGCGCTTCCACCAAGTTGCAAGCATGAATCCGAGGGCGCCGAATACGGAGATGATCATAAGCCAGAAGTTGGACTGGATCCAGTTCCGGTAGGTGTTGTTGAAGAAGGAGATGGAGCTGAGGACGGTGGTAAGGAGGATCTGGACGGTCCTGTGGAAGATTGTATTAGTTCTTGCTCGATATAAAAAGATACGCGAGGCCTCTTTCTGGGAATATTGGCTAGATAGCGGGGTCGGTGCACTTACAAGATCGAGTACACCTTGCGGACGAACTGCATCCGGATATCGATGGTACCCTCCGCGACGGTGCCGCCAAACTAAATAAATATCAGTATCTTGCTACTTAGTCCACTTGAGCATCAATATATCATCTCTCATACCTTGAAGTCATCGGGCAGGTTGTCATCTTCGGTGCGCGGCGCGGGCTCCGCGGTTGACTGATAAGATGGCGGTGCCTGGGTGTATTGCTGATCCTCGAAAGAGTCTCGCGTAGGAGCAGGCTCATATCGAGCGTTGGCAGCCATGGTGTCGTAGTTTCAGATGCTGCCTCAAACAGTATCGGGGGATGGAGGAATGCGGAGAGATGTGAAGATGAGAACGTGACGTCCAGCTGGAAGGCATCAATCATCTGGGGGCGCAGGTACCATGTGACGTTGGTTCACGTGACCTGGTCGACAAAAAGCGGAGGAGTTGCGGCTGAGCCGCGGGGTGGGACTCGAACGGTTTAAAGTACAATCAGATAACCCTACATTGTGAAACTTGTTCTTTTTGTTGAGGACGAAAGGGAGATGAATTCGCACTACATTTATATCCTGCTACACCATTGCCCTGACTATTAAGATTTTTACTTGGATATAATGTCCAGCTTCTATCAGTACAAAAAATTAACAAAGTCTACGAATGGGTCCCACCATGGGGCAGGGATAAGGAGCAAATAATATGTGCATTTCATCGTAAGATGGTTGAGGCATATCTGGTAAGTCTAAAATCATTAATGTTCACCGAAACAACCATCGGGAGCTTTGTTCTATCCAAGAATTTGTCATCGCCTGGTTCTCAGTGGGCCACATGTCTTTCCTTCTGCCCACCATCGACGGTCGACCCAGAATCTTCATCTGTGGTAATGGCACCCTCATCATCCTCATCACTCGTGTCCTCCGTGCTGCGAGTCACATCATGGACCACGTCATTCCTCGACATATAAGTGGGGAGACGCCGACGCTCGAAATCCTGAGCATGTGCAGACGCAACGATAGTGCCGACTCGAATGACACTAGCAGATGGGCGCCTGTTACGAGCACGTATAGATGTCGACGGAGTGCCATGCTCGAGATCAGCCGGTGCGAGGAATGGTGTTGCCACATGTTGTTCCTGCAGAGGCACGTCGTCGATCTGGCTACCGTCAAGGCCTGGGATTGGCTGGGATGGGATGTCGTATGGAAGTGGAACATCTCGTGAGGCACGGAACAAGAGTACGTTGGTACAGTGCTCATTTTCCACGCGGAAGATTGACCAGATTCCACGACGGCATACCTCGGAAAAGGCGACGACGAAGCTGAGCACGGCTGAGTGCTGGATGTCGTGGGACCAAATGGCGTAAAAGATCCAGTTGAAACGAACCACAACATCTACCACCATAGCTGCGTAGTAGACCCAGACTCGATGGAAGGCAAGTACCTCACGTAGAAGTGGATTCTTGGAATATGGGTTTCCCAAACTCCAGTCCATTATGAGGTCCCAGACAGATGTGTAGACCGCATTTAGAAGTGCAAACGTGATGAAAGATGCTTGGAATCGAGTGCCCCGATCGATGCGATACATGCTGAGAGTAGCATAGTAAAGAACACCGAAAATGTACTTCCCCAAATTGAGCAGGTGAGGGAATGCATTCTTCGTGTCGGTGTATCGACGAATACACTGGAAGGCTCGCCATACTGACGGGAGGCAGGTGAAGAACCCCAAAAGCCTGGAGTGATTTGAGTTGCATTTTATCATATCTGTCCAGTATGAGGCATACAGACAGAAAAACAACTCGATGTTCTATTACAAAGGTCAGAAGGTTCCGATGGGGTTGGAACTGAACAAACTTACCCCCATGGCATAGGTCTGCGAACAATACATGTCTCCCAGGAAGAAATCACGAAACTCGACAGGGTAAATTCCCGCCAACAGCAGACGCCACTGTTATGGTTAGATATAGTCAGTATAACAGAAGGCCAGAGGTGTCACTCACGTTTGAAAAGGCGAACCATTTTCGGCTTCGATGGTACAGCACGCGAGCGGGCAGGAAAACAAGAAGAACCGTCAGGCCGATCAGCACAACCGGCCAGTATATGTACATGGAGTTAATCCATGAAAAATTAAGCCACATGAAAAGACCCATAATGAAAATAAAGAAAGAAGGGATCTTGGCAATTGGTCAGCAATTCAGCTCTGCCAAAAGCAAGCATGGAGACTTCGGACGTACCTCTAATAGCTGGCGCCACTCTAAGGTGTGCCTGGTATCATATTCAAAAACAAATGCATAGTTGATCTTCGACTTTGTCCATATCATGCAATCCATGCAAAAAAGCAAGACGTGAAATACGACGAGGAAGTATCCTCCGTAAATCTATCCTCATGTCAGTCTTGAGTCCCATGTGACACATCGAGCGGGGAGAAAGGGATGCAAGGGAGCACAAACCTGCAACAAATAACTTGTTCGAGACTTTTCAGTCGCATCCGCAGAACGAAGATGATCTGAAGCATACACCAGCGCTTGAATAGCGAAAAGGGTGCCAGCCATGAGCAAAAGGCCGGACCGGAATGTGCTCGGTGAATAGTCGCCCGATTTTCTCATCTTCTGCCGCAGCTTCGAAACGGCCACCTTGCGATTGCCACGCTCAAAGTACCGAGCGTACAAATCCTCTGCAGCCACCATCAGGCTTTCAATAACCTCGCTCTGCACAAAGGTCGCCTTGTTGACTCGTTCCGACATGTACCGCAATGGCGGCCGGGCATTGGTAGCCTTGTCATACTTCTTGTTGATCTTACGGAACGCCGTTCTGTTCAAATAGGCGTATCCCTTCAAGAGCTCGATCCCGCGGTGAAACTCTTGCAAGGCATGCTTGAGCTTTCGCTTCGCAGAGCGATACGACACATCGTTGGGCGGCGGCTCCTGCCGCCGCATGAAATCCCTTCTATTCTGAATGTTCTCGCGGTCACGAGCATCCATTCCCGGCGTCGCCATTTGCGCAAAGGCCTGTGAGTTCTTGCCAAAGCGATGCTTGCCGGTCAGCGTATCTTTCAGTCGAGAGCCATTCAGCTTGCCAAATCCATTCTGGCGAGAGTTTTCTTTGTCGTTCCTTTTCGCCGCTTGGACTTCATGGATCCGCTGATCCCTCATGACGTGGAGCTGCTGGCGAAGAACCTTGAGTCGTTCAGTGGCCTCTTGTTCCTTCATCTGGTAGAAGGAGTCGATCTTGTTGAGCTCACTATCCAAAAAGGCAAAGAATTCATCCCTTCGTCTCTCCACCTCGTTGGCCGAATCCACTGTTGCTCTTTTACCCAAGGTCTCAGCTTCTGCGTGGGATAGTACACGCCGGAGCAGGTGTGAAGTTCTATTGCTAGACTTGGTGAGGTCTGCATCCCGGGGGCTCTGGGCTGTTGGCTGTCGGGTTATGGGTGGGATCTGATCGGGCGAGCCGTCGGTGTCGGTATGCAAATTCGAAAAGGTAGCACGGCGTGCCATCACGGGAGATGGGGTCTTGACATCTCCACCGGGGTCTCGCCTTGTCTGGGGAGGCACATATTCCTCACCTGGGTCGAGTGCCGGGTCTGGCAGCTCGAATGATCCGGTATCCGATCCGAGTCCGTTTTGGGGTGGAGTGGCGAGGATGCTTCCATAGCTCCCCACGCTTTCGTTAAATCGAGATCCTGGAGTCCTCAGTGGCTGTCGTTCAGTCCTAGAGATTGGTGTCGGGCGCGAACCTTGGAGGCCTGTCCTAGTTGGGGTCCTATTGGAATTGGTCGGGTCTTTGAAATCCGCGGCATCGATCTGCTTATCGGAGGCAGATGGCGTCAACGAGTCGGGTGCAGGTCGGGAGGAAGTAGGCCGTCGAAAGGATGGAGATCGCGGACTTCGGTGTGATCTAAGGGCGCGGGTAATCGCCTTGACTTTCTTTTTCCCGCCCTACAAACGATGCGATTGTCAACGGGTCTTACATCCTCCGCATGGGTGGGTACAGCTTGGGGGGTGGGGTGATCGAGATCGAGGGTGCGACGTACCTTGTAGTCGAGATACTTCGCCCGCCATTCAGGAACCAGCTCCTGTTCCAACTCTCTGTGAACGAGCGAATCAGCCACTGGAATGCCCAGCAATCCTCGGAGGGGAAAGAAACCAACTTGGCGAATTTCATGCTGACTAGCGAATGACCGTCATGGCATGCCTAGCGGTGGTTGGGCCTGATAACTCCAAAGCCTGGCGAACATGCACTGATGAAGGAGGCGAGGGTCGTTGGTGGGAGCGCAGTTGGAGGGGAAATCGCACAGCGTTGACGCCAGGACTTTGGGTGCGATTGATTGGATGCCCGTTGAGAAAAAGCTGAGTTAGGCGCAATGGTCCGATAAGCTGCAGCTCGAGGAAAAAATCCTCACAAGAAGGAAAAGAAAATAAAATAGGTCGAAGATTTTCCCCCACCCAAAACGAAGTATGGGGCGTCGAGTGCCTGAGCAGTTTCCAAGAGATCTTTCTCTTCGAGAACCGCCGGAATCGCAACAATCAACGAGCCCTACGCGGGCACGTGCGGAGTTGCGATGAGCTCATCTCCGGGTTAGCAGCCTGGATGATCAGGCAGCCACGACCCTATTGGTAAGGGCCCGCACTGATTGGGCGAGATCCCGGCGTCGGGCCCACTGGCTCCGGATTCCGGTGGGCGTGTGGAATCCAGAATGGGCAACTCAGCGTCGCCCTGCACCTGCAGCGTGCATGACATGTCCCACGACAGCGGCTCCGATCTTTTCTCTCCGAATCCCCAGCAAGAAGTAGATGGAAAAAGCAAAAACAGCACGAGGGTGCAACGATCATCGTTGGATAAAATTATTGAACATCAAATACGGATCCCAATGGCCTGCAACCCACTAGTCCCTCGAGGATCTACATTTGGGTTGGAATGCAGTGTGGGCTGGCATGCCTTTCGGCGGGTTCTCATGGCGATGACTGGCTAGCAGAAATCCGTATCTGCAACCCTACAGCTCGGTCGGGACTGCAGGAGCTCGACAAGGAGTCCATGCATACGTACGCGCCGCCTACCCGACTCTCCGATGATCGAGGAGTACGTTGGCCCAAATGCTTGGCCCATAGGGCGAACATAGGGCGACGAACATGACAGTGATGTAGCCGCGGATGACTGCATGCTACACAATGACATACGCCCTACAGGTTATTCCTCGATACAATTACAGCAGATGATCATGATGAGCAATTTACATAATTTTATTGTTTCATGGTTTGTGAGGTCCATTTTCCACCTCCTTACATTCACAGCGTACTCATGGCCATATAGTATGTATAAATATCATCATAATTGTTCGTCATTCATGCTCCCCATTTACCAGCGACGGGGGCCGTCGAAGCGAGGAGGAGGGGGAAGCGGGAGGGATCGTACACGTCGGCACCGTGGCCGCGCTCGTAGTGCTCTTCGTACATGTGGTGGGCGTTCTTCTTTGCGTGCTCGTGGGCCTTGACGCGGTCGACCTCATCCATGCCCTTGGTCTCGGCGAGCTTGTCAACCTCGGCGCCGACAAGACCGGCAAGAGCCTCCTTGGCGAAAGCGTGCTTGACAGTCTTGCCTATAACAGAAACATGTTAGACCCCATTGTTTCTTCCCAAGTGTTGAGCCATGTAAACATACCTTCCTTGCGCTGGTGGTCCTCCCAGGCCTTCATACCGGCAAAAGATGCGGCACCGGCAATGAGCTCGTGAGAGAACTTGCCCTCGTGCTTCTCCTCGCCGTACACCTTGCGGTGAGCATCATCAGATTCGCCTGTGAGCCACTTGGTTAGCCGGGTTCTTTTTCTGGTGCTTCCAACGGACACTATTGTCGTCCGGCCATGCATATAGGGCTATGCAACCTGCAAGGACTCCCCTCGTGCATGCAATGCATGGAGAATGTACTTGACAGGCGCAGGCGTGGAGGAATCAGAAAAGGAAGACGTACCCCAGCCGAAAGCCATTGTGAATAAGGTAGAGTGGTGGAAGAAAAAGGTTTCTTGGAAAGGGTAGAAGAGTGTGATGGATGAAAGGAAAATGGGTCAAGCTAAGCTGGGAAGAGGAAGGAATTTTATACCCCAGCAACACCGCTACAGAATAGTCCAGAAAGGCTACGTATTCAGCTCAGGATATTCAGGAGCTTTCCCCCCTCTTCCTCTGTCTCAGCTCGCGCTGACCCACTGCATCCGCGGCCGGAGTGGCTGAGGGACTTCTCTGTGAGGTACTCAACTTAGGATAGTAGCCAGGGTGATGGGGAAGAGCCCATCCAGCATATGGCTGGACCACGGATCTGACTGATTATCCGTGTTTGAGCGCCTCCGTGGCTGGGTGGAGCAGGCAGATCGGGCTGTCTGCTCGGCCACGGTTGGATGTCTGGGGCGCTGAGAAGAGGGGCCATGGAGATACTGACCCAGTGAGATTATAGAGGACGGAGCGTGTTAGCCGACCACGCCATTGGAGGATCAGATCGGGGCGAGAGCCAAGAAGTTCGCTCGGAAAGGGTGGTGCCTATCACGGTCCCTGAGCCGCGGCGGGGGAAGTGTCGGAGCCAAAGTTCAGCTCAAAGTGATTGTGGTTCTTCTGGCAAAAGCATATGAAAGTAGAATATACAATGCAGCGATAAACGTCCAGCCCTGTGAAGAGCATCCTGATATCCCTGTAGTAGAGATGTATGCCTTGTTCATGCCACCAGAATGAAAACAACATCTTGCGCTTCCCTATTTCCGCCGGAGTGGACCGTCGATGTAGCAGCCCAACAGCAATCTCTCTGGAACCGGTGCGATACATTGTCCCAGAGGGAGCAAGTACGCGTCCCACCAGGCCCAATGTAGCGCCGATCGGAATGAGCCAGCGGGGCCCATTCAGCCCTACTCCATCGGCATCTGGGCAAATCGCATGCGCCAATGCCGTGGCCCTTACCCCATTCGTTATAGTAGTACACGCTTCGTACCTCGGAATACACGGTACGAAATGGAGCGTCGAAGGATGGACGTACAACAAGCCGGAGTTGCCGGGCCAAGCTTCTCTTGTCCGAGGCTTGTCCGCGCCCTACAAGGCCAGACGGGGTTCTTGGCATTTAAGCCACGCAAGTGGCGGTGAACAGGGCGACATCATCAATAATGGGCCCATATTTTCGGCGACTTCCAGGTTAGCTTTTAGTAGAATTCTCGTATGCCCTCACTCAAAATCGGGGCGGATAAGTGTTCTTCGCGGTGCCGATATCGACGGAGGCTTGGCGTTCATTTTGGGAAGGAGAGGTTCCCATTACGTACCGGCACCGCCCGGTGTGGCGCGGACACCCGCCACATCCGGCTGACTGTGCAAGTCTGCCTGTGATATCGCAGGTAGCCTAAAGTTCCAGAGTACACTGAGAATGTTGAGTCGACGAGCACAACCCCGAGGTTGATCGCATGTGCCGGATCTTCAAGCGCTTCAAATTGAGTTTGATCTTCACTCGCAGTGAACTGCTCAATTGCAACCTCAAGAAATTGCCTGTACATAGACTCGAGTCACCTCGAATTGTTCAATTGCCACTAATGATGGCATCTGATCGAGAATCGTAATATAGAGTCTAAGAATAGCATTGATCCCCAATTAGTGACCACCGGAATGCCATCTCGATAGGGCGTCGAATGGTGCCGAAACAATACGCGCCGCAGACAGAATGGTCGATCAGCGCTAGGCAGCGACTTTACCGGTGTATGCGTGTATCAAATGTAATGGTGATCAGTCACCGCCCCGCCCAACCTCCCACCTTCATCCCATCAAGTGCAGGGTAAGATCGCCCCGACCATCCTGGGGGCCAACTGTACTAACTCCAGAATAGTGACGTGGCAAGTGTTCAGTCCTCAATTGCACAAAGTCAGCCACAGACAGCCACAGCAACCCCCGGTAACGCCCCGCGGCGACGCGAAATCCAGCCAGCCCAGCTGTGAAGCTTGCATAGCTCCGAGACCGAATCAATTGGAGGAGGCCGCGACAGCACACGCCGAGCGTCAAACACTCCTCTGCTGCTTTCTCCAAGGTTACAATTGCAATCTGGTGGGCTTGGCCAAGCCTGCACAGAACCCGATTGAGCACCTCGCACCTCACACCATCAACAACACATCTTCACCATGCCCACCAAAGTCCCCGCCCCGTCCGACTTCCCCTCCAACCTCACCGTCACGGTCAATCCCCCGTCCTCCCCCTCTCCCTCTCCCTCTCCCTCCCAAAACATCCTTATTCTTCTTCATGGCATCGGCGACTCCGCCGCAGGCTTCTCTGCCTTCGGCCGCGCGCTCAACCTCCCCGAGACAACAGTCGTAACCATGCAAGCACCAACACCCCTCCCATTCGACCTAGGCGGATACCACTGGGGCAATGATGTTGAATTCGACGCCAGAACCGGATCCCTGGACATGGACGCCGGGTTCACGCGCAGCACGACGATATTAGTCGAGGTTGTGCGGGGGACCCTAGTCCAAAAATGCGGATATCGTCTGCGCGAGATTCTCATCCTGGGCTTTGGGCAGGGTGGTATGGTGGGTCTGGCCTTGGCAAGAGAACTCGGTCTGTCGTCTGCGGCTGCTAGTAGTGAGGATAAGGAGCCGTTGGCGGGAGTGATATCCATCGGGGCGCCATACCCGTTATCTGGGCAACGGACGGGTCCAAAGAACCGTACGCCGATATTGGTGGTCTCGGGGAAAGACTCGGTTGTTGTTTCGGATGGTGCGGTGAAGAGGACGAAGGGAGTGTTTGAGTTTGTTGAAGTTAGCCGGTATGCGAGGAAAGGCGATGGCATGCCCTCGAATCGGGATGAGATGATGCCTGTAATGCAGTTCTTTGCGAGACGGTTGCGCAGTCGCCAAGGTGTGCCTGAAGGTAGTGTTGAGATCGGATGAATATACTTATATACCCCTAGATTCAATATCAAATGGAATAAAAAAAATATTTCAAATTGCACTGTGAGTTTGATTCAAACCGTGTAAGATAGCTCTCGAAAGCACAAGTATAGTTACATGTATCTGATTATTGCAGTCGTCAGCGTGTACTATGCCACTTCAGCCTCAATGATACCCTGTCCATCTCCGGGAGGATACCAAAACTTCATCATTCGAAAACCAGCTGATGCCAATAACTGCTCCCAGTGATCCCGAGTGCACTCCATGCTGCTCAAATGGACAAGCATCTCCCAATCCCGCATAGTCGGAAGCAAAGCAGCATGTTTATCTGCCAGTATAAATTCTTCAATAATGAGCTTGGAATTGCCTTTCTTTATAGGTATTCGAAGCTGCCTCAATATCTGGCGACATTGACCATCGGCCCAGTCGTGAAGGATGAATTTCATGAAGTATGTTCATGCATCTAGACCACGTCAGAAAATTCATCCGACACCACTAATCCAAACTCACCTCGAACTGGCTGCGGCTTAAACAGGTCAAACGATTGCATCTCAATTCGACTTCCAAGCCGAAGTCCCTCCCACACATGTGGTAAGTCCTGCAGGTTAAAAACGACCCGGCCAACAAGGATATTTTTTTTTAGAAACGCAGTCAAATCATGGCCTCGTCCACCACCCATATCAACGAGGAGGACATCGCTTTCACCGGACGAAAAGCCGTCAATAATACGCTCCTGCACAGGGAACCAATCTATCCAGCTCGTTCGATCCCCACGAAAACCCTCCATAAAAGTGCGGCAGCTTTCCATGCAACCTGGGTGGTCGAATAACTAGCCCCATTGTGATCTATTTGTTTTCTCAACGTACTGAAAATGCTCTGTGTTTGCGGAAGTACTTGGGCGTCTTGGCCAGGGTGGGCATGGGGACGTCGAACCTGCAATTTGAAAGGGTTATTCAGTAAAGCCTTTGGAGATAGCTCTAGGATTTGCAGGCTCAGAAGTAACTTACAGATATTTCACAGTGCCAATCATTTTTCGGTCACTCATTTGTCTCGTCACATCGTTGGCGGTATAGACTCTGGTATCGTGCTCTATGACGAACCCGATTCTTGTCAAGACTTGCGGAACTCGCTCTAGATACAATCCTTTTCAAAGATTAAATGACCTCCTCATACTTGCTAGTAGTGGATCAGCGTTCCTGGTCGAAGCCAATTCCTCGAGCGTGAGGTGCCCTTTCTTTTCAACCAGTGCAGTGAATACACCCAGGTCGACGCCAATTCAAACACATAGGATTTGTACAGGCTGGACAGTAAGCCAGTATAACGTCTCTTATCTGAGCTATTGTAAAACTGCCAGATTCTCACCGAAAAAGCAAGCTCTGATCACTGCATCTTGGGGTCGTTCAAGCAATTGAACCAGTTCTTGGACGGCTCTGATAGCTGCCAGTCGGTCAACTTCCCCATTCTCTCTCTGCAGACCATCAACTGCCTGAGATATTTGACTGAGCAAATAGTCCATCATCTGAGTCTTAGAGATGTTGTCCGACATGGTTGTATGAGGATAGAAGTATGAGATATGAGTTAGCTAGTGACATTGATAGAGATGAAGAAAAGCAAAAAGAAATTGGCGCGTGATTTTGCGGTGCCTCACTTTCTTCCGATGCATCGGGCAGCAAAAGCAGCTTGCCAAGTGCGAGTATCTATCACGCTGATCAGCAAATAATCACGGTATGAACACCTTGTAGGAACGATCGTCGTTACACAAGCCAATCGAGCGGTGGACAAGACGATGTCAAATCCCATCCCTCGCCAGCCTTGTGTGATCAAATGCAGGCTACGAGAGCATGGACATGAGAGTAAATTTCAATTTATGGATGACACGACACCAAGTTTGGAGAATGGTAGCCTCAGCCGCGTTCAGTGCCAAGTTCTGGTCTGCAAGAGCCTCGCCGTGAACCTGAGCATCTATGAGATAGGGCCAAGCGCCTTTCAGTAGGAAGATTCAGATGATAATAAATCATCGATAATTATTCGAAATAGAGCAAAAGTGGCATTTCTGGGAATTCACATTTGCAGATATACATTCATAAACATCATTTGCGGGCAGTTGCAATTCCCAGTGGGTAGGTACACGCGCATCCGACAGCACCCGTCAGTGTAGCCTTGCAAAATCAACAAATTCGAGAAAACTGGGATGTCCACTAGGTAGATATTATTCTTAGTAGTTCATCTCTAAAATATGCATAGTTGTTCTAACTATGGGTCTCAAGTTGACAGTATCACATGTAGTTATCTAAACACGTGATCACGGGGAAGCTGACAGCTCTCCGTCGATACTCCGACTTCTCCCAGCCATATACCCCAGAGACCACAACAATGGAGCACACCGACCCCTTCCTCCAAGTGCAGGCGTAAGTGAAGCCCGCAGACAAGCTACAATCGTTGGAGACTAACAACCCACCACAGAGACGTCCTGTCAACCCTCCAATCCAGCCGCCCCCTCTTCTCCTCATACCTACGCATCCGGTCACTAGCAAAGAGCCCATCAAACCCCGAACTCAAACAAGCACGCTCCGAACTCGAAAGCACAATAACTGAACTAAGCGCCGACCTCGACGACCTCGTCGAAAGTGTCCGGGCGATCGAACAAGACCCATATCGCTTCGGTCTGGAACTGGAAGAGGTACAGCGCCGTCGCAAACTAGTCGAAGATGTCGGTGCCGAGGTCGAGAAGATGCGACTGGAGTTGCAGCAAACGGTCAATCACAGCGCGACGGAGACACAATTGCCCAACCCGACGGAATTCGACGCCGCGCTGGAAGAAGAGGAGCAGCGCGGTCGCGACCGCGGCGGAGATGATTACTACGCTTCCATGGAGCAGCAACGGCAGACGGAGCTTATGCATGAGCAGGATGAGCAGCTTGATGGCGTGTTTCGGACAGTGGGCAATCTGCGTGAGCAGGCGAATGTTATGGGGCGGGAGTTGGAAGATCAGGCTGTTATGATTGATGAAGTTGATACGCTGGCTGAACGGGTCGGCGGGAAATTGAATAATGGCATGGCGAGGATAAAGCACGTTGTCCGAAAGAATGAGGGTAAGTCAAGAGTTTCCTTTACAGGTGGTTTTATTCCTACGTCGCGCTCGCACGAGGAAAGCGGGCTGGGGAGTGGCAAGTTGAAGTGGGAATCATGATTCAGAAGCTAACTGTGTTTTTTTTTTCCGCCTAGATACATGGTCCTCCTTCTGCATCGCGGCGCTCATTTTTGCGCTCGTTCTCTTATTAATTCTCGTTATCGTCCTGTGATAGTTCATCAATGGAGGCGCCAGAACCACCACAATCACAGGGAATAAGGCGATTCGTTACGGACAATTTCGAAAGATTTAGTTGCGAGCCTTCTTGCGGGGGCGGGACTCGCCCTCACCCTGAGCCTCACCCTCATCCTCGTCTTCGTCCATCTCGTCGAGGCCCTCGAGCTCCTCCATGTCGAGCTCATCGAGGTCGTCGCCGAGCTCGAAAGATTGGACTTGAAGTGACACTTAGTTTGGGGGTTGTTTCTAAAGCGGATCAAGAGAGTGAAAGACTCACTGTAGTACTTCATAGCATCGGTCCAAAGATCCTCGGCAAGTGCAATGGCGAACTCCTCACCGTCGGGGAAGATCTCGGCGTCCTCGAGGTCGTCAACGAGGTCATCCTCGTCATCGTCCTCATCCTCGTCGTCGTCCTCGACTTCCTCACCCTTGGAAATCTTGGCAAAACGCTCGTCGTCCTCCTTGTTAGCCTCCTTGGACTGCTCGGCGGTGACATCACGGCCACGGTAACCGAAGAAAGCGAAGAAGCTAGTGCCGGCGGGGCTCTCGGGGTCCTCGTCATCGTCGTTCTCCTCCTCATCTTCGCCCTCGGCCTCGGCCTCGACCTCGCCGATCTTCTTGACGAGAGCCTCGTACTCGGGCAGCTTCTTGCGGTCACCACCCTTCTTCTTCTCGGCCTCGGCAAGGTCGCAGGCGGCATTCAACAGACCCTTGGTCAAGTCCATGCCCTCCTTCCAGTTGATGCGGACGGGCTCGGATACAAGACCCTCCCACGTACGGCGCTTGCCGCTGGAGGTCTTGATGATCTGCTTACGCCAGTAGAACTCCTTGACGAGCTGGGTGTTCTCGAAGGGGAGGTCCTCGCTGGCCTCAAAGTCGAAAGTGAAGCGGAGGGAGCGGGGCTCGCCGTTGCCCTGGGCATCAACCTCGAAGCGCTCGACGTTCAGGTTCTTCAGGCCGGCACCGATCGCGGCGGCGTCGGTGGGCAGGACGTACTCATCGATCTCAGCGGGGGCGCTGGAGAAGACGCGGATCCAGAAGTCACTTTGGACCTCGGGGATGGAGATGACTTCGTTGCGCTTCTTGAAGAGAGGCTGCAGGAGGGGAACAGACTTGCGCACTGTGCGAGAGGGGGGGTTTTGTTAGCCATGGATAATTCATAGGCATAGAAGCACCGGGAATGAAATCCGCGAGAAGCGGGCAGCCATTGAACAAGATCTGTAACAGAATTTGCCCTGTACAAATTTTCCTGGCAATCCCCTCCCTTCAATCGGTTGTACCGCGGGAGGGGTCAGGGGATGGATGGGGAATGGCAAGTCAAGGGGGATAACGTACGCTGCTCGACCTCAGCGCGGAGGAACTCCTCCTGGAGATGGGCAATCTTCTTCTGCGCATCGCGGGGGATGGCAGGGAACTCGATGCCCTCGACGAGCGACTGGTCTTCAGCACCGGACATGATGGTCGATAAGAATGGTAAAGTGGGGTAGCTTGAAAAAGAAAACAAAAATCCAGGAGCTTCGTAAAGAAGAAGTAAAATCGAGGATTACAGGTGGGAAAGGGTATCAAGATAAAGGTCCGGGAGGATGATGGAGGGAAGGAGAGAGAGGGACAGAGAAGGCGAAAGACGCTAGCAGAAAAAAAAAATTTCGAAAGTCTGGCAGATCAGCGCAAGCTGTCGATGCGCGCATCAGAAACTTTCGGCGGAGAGCTGGACTGTACTTTGCGGGACGGAAAGGTACGCGACAGTACTTCAGTGGCAACAGTGGCTACGCACAGTGGGGAAGTATCGCCGGGTACTGCGAGGTCACTGCCGGTCGCCGCAACGACGGATTGGGGCGGTCTACCCTGCACGGACGACATGGTGCCTGAGGTGTCATCGGAGGTTACTGTCCACAAGTGGGAAGGGCGAGACGCCGCATGCGATGGTAGTAATAGTGGATTCGAGGTACTACTACTTTGGTACTGCCATTAATTAATTACTATATACAAACTATGCCTGGTACCTATGGGAAGAGTGGTAGCTGAGGTATCCAGCCTGACGTGAAGGATTCAGATATTGTACTGTACTTTGATGAGGAGGATGAACTCATCAGTCTTACACAAAGCCAATAGGCAAAGCCACACTGGCCGATCACTCAAACGAAAGAGGAGCAGTGCCAGCCCATGATCAACCCTAACCCAGCACAGTTGAATGCCATTGGAGCCATCTTATCTCGACAAACCCCCATTGCAATGGTTGCTTTTTCCGACCCTCACAGCTTAACCTTCTTGAGCGGGCGGGCCCTGAAGAAAGGCAATCTTAGCATGACTTTATTTCAACCCCATCTGGCCTCGACCATCGCAACCCCCGGGCCTTGAGGCATCAACCTCACCCTCTCCACATGTGATCGGTCCATTGATTCGGTTGCCGATCGCTGCGACTCGCCTCATCATGCTACGCAGTTATTGGACGTCGGGTGATAAAGGAGCGGTCTGCAATGGGCCGTTATTGGCGGAGAACGTGCGTGTCAGTGCGATTGATAGCGTGCTCGAGTTTGAGTGGAGGGTGGTGCCTCGTCTGGAGATGAGCTTGATGCGGACCCCTGCACAACTACTTAACGTTACCTAGGAACCCGCGCCCCGGGGGAGGGTGACGTTTTGTATCAAAGATAAAATGGGGACAAAAAACCGATGTTGAGATATACTCTAGGGTCGAATCTAGAGCTGGAGGTATCATGATAGACTCATGAGCATAACGTCGTAATGTCTCATTCAGTTTTTCGGGAACCTATTCCCATTCCCGACCATGGTGGGGGAAATGGGCACGTCGGTCCGCACGCAAGCAAAGAACTTTTTTGGTGCCAGAGGATCCCCCTGGCTTCCGGGGCATCTTTCCAATTAAACAAGTAAAGTCATGATGTCCCATATATCCCATGCCCATTCGCCAACAATGCAATGATTAGATCAGAAACAAAAAAGCAATCGCGAGGCAGGTTTCTCATGCATGGACATCATCACCATGCACGTCTGCCGGGGATAGAACTGTCGTAAAAAATGGCAAAGAATAGAAAAGAAGAGGAAGGAGAAGAAAAAGGAAAAGGAACAGGCAGATCTCGACACCGCGTTGTCATCACCGACAATGGGATCACGCCCGCGAAGGACATATAAATGGAAGAAAAAGGAACAAGCGGAATGGAGCTACCCTTAACAAGGAGATTTAGAGCATCCAATCCAGCCCATTTGCCTCTTCTTCCACGGGGAACACCTCACGCGCATACTCCTCCATATCGCGCCATCCCTGCCACAGATGCCTAGCCTCATCCGTCACTCGCAGCGAGACAACGCCACCCGGTCCTTGCATCATACCGGCGCCAGCGCCCTTTCCACCCGCCGGACCCAGACCCTTGGGCGAACCTGCCGCGGGTTGCGAGAATTCCGGCTGCGGGAAGTAGGGGGCGTTGCACTCGCCGAAGAGCACTTCGAGCGTCTCGAGTTGTTCCCGGTAGCCGGGCGGGATGTTGACTTTGATGTCGATCTTGGGCACGCGCACGTACCGACAGGGCCGATTCAGGGCCCGTTGGAAGGCGGCGCAAACTTGGTTGGGGGAAAGGGTTTCGAATGTGAGGGCGATTCTGTTGGGGAGAGTGTTAGCCGTCTCGTTCACGGAGACAACGGTTGGTTCGGACAGGAGGAGTTGAGGCTGAGAGGGGCAATTGGGGAGGCGCGGCCGCCGAGCCGGAACTCACCGATGACCATTCCATTTCTTAGGACCGTCTTTGAAGATCTGGAGCAGGGTTGGGCCGACATCGTGTTCCGCGTCCAGCCAGGGAAGCGGAGTCTCCTCGTCAAAGGGTGCGCGCCATTCAAAGCTCCCGTCGGCGAGGACCTCCATCTGGAAGAGCGGGTAAGGCAGACTGGTAAAGTTGTTGTTGTAAATTCCGGCGTAGACAAAGGTGGCGGGCATGCCGAGCTGGCGCACGTAGTTCTCGACGGTGAATTTGGGCGCCCACTGCGGGACGGCAGGCCACGGCCCATGCACGGAGTGGTCCGGCATGCTGCTGTAGATATAGTGCTGGACGGTACCGGCGCGTTTGGCGGCGTCGGCAAGAGCGCGGCCGATGGCGACCTCATCGCCGGCTTGCGACATGGTGTTGATAAAGGCATAGTTGGCGCCTTCGAAAAGGGCGTCCATCAACTCCGGGTTGTTGAGGAGGGGGCCGTGGATGAGGGTGACATTGGGCAGGCCCTGGAGCTCCTCTGCGACAATGCCCTTGAGCGAATGGATCTGCGCGCGTACTGAGTACCCGACGGCGGACGCGACACGGATGAGCGAGGCGGCTTGCCGGCCGGCCGCATTGACGACGGCTATGGTCTTCTGTGGTTGTGTCATGGTTTTGTCGCGGGCAATCGGGGAGAGAGAAGAGAAGGAGGCCGGGGGAGGGGAGGAGGGCGGAGAGAGAGAGGGGGTTGAGCCCTGGGATCGCAGAATCGGGGAATGTAGAAGATGGAGGCGGGCAAAGTGAAAGTGGATCGAGGAGGAAGGGCAAAGATAAAAGAAAATCCGGAGTAACAGTCTTGGCGAGAAAAATGGAGGTGAGGGCTTTGATGGTGGGGTACCTTGGGAGGGGAGTATGGAACGCTCCACCGAGGATATTATGCGATGGAAACAGTCATGAGGACGATCGTAAAAATTCAATTCTCCCGGGCTGAGCCCGTGGTTCGTACGGGCCGGGAGAGCTAAGGTATTCTGCTAGCCCATGCAGTACATACTTTCTATGTAGTCGTAGTAGTAGTGGTCGTGGACACACAGTTGGCCTCGGGCATACTCTTATACAGCAGCCTCCCGTGACAATCCCCCCAGCAATCTTGGTGCCCTAGGCCTATTCCCGTCCAATCTGCTGCAGAGACTTCTAGAAACTGTCACCATTTGGCCTTCCCGAGTTGTGCTGCTCCATGACACCATCGCGCACCCCCGGTGCTCGCACGCTTTTTCTTTACGTAAATCGGCCTCCAGTCGGCCCCAGGTCTACGGGATCATCCTGGCTACGCTTCGGCTTCCAGCTTGATAGGCGCCGTCGCTGAGCTGTTAAGCTATGCCAAGCCAGTCCAGACTGAGGGCAGCAGACGGTGGTTCTGGAAGTTGGTCGTGGAGTTGGTCGTGGAGTTGTCGTGGATACCGTCCCCTACGACTGTAAAGGAACGGGGAGTTGCTGGCGGCTTGCGACGGGGGAAAATCGCGCAGAAGGCCGACCAACCTGCTGTCAGGGGCGCTCTCACGTGGTGGGAAGTGGATTCCTGCGCCTCCAATTGGCATTTGATCCTGGTCGAGGCTGGCCTGAGTGCTGGAGGTGAAAGAGGAAGGCGAGAGATCACCTGGACAGGCAACCCCGCAATCGGGTGCTCTTCCCTAATCTACTACCTAGTATGCTTGCTAGCAATGCAGCAATACCTTAGGGTAAGTACCTGGGAGAGTACTAATCTGCCAGATATAGCAGGTAAGAAGTTGGATATTTTGGGTACCCTCAGTACAGGTAGCTGCCAATATTTCAATATGGTCATAGTATAACAAATCTACTCTTCAGTATTTACCCAAAAATCTACACACTACCAGTATCTACACTCTACTACCCTACACTGCATCCTACCCCTGGGGAAATAGTAATTAATGCTCATTACTCGTGTAGTCAAATGACTTCATCTCTTATCGCTCCCCACTCGGCGGCAAGGCCCGATCTCCGCGGAAGCGGACTGTCTCGCCGAATCCAGCCCCGTCTTTCTGGCGTGATCATTGCACTTGTTCCTCTTGTGCCACCGCGCTCTTCTCTACTTAGACACCTATTGTAGGGAGGTACTTGGCACTAGGTTCTAGGGTCCCTGAGGGCAGATACGATCTCTCCTCTCGATGCTGGATTCTGAGCATGGGCTACGGCGCTGACCCTGCCATCGCCCGACTCCGCCCGCCCAGCTCCAGCTCCTCATCCAGCTCACGCTGGCTGTTCTCTCTGGGATCAATGCCCGCCATACCCCAGATGCCCGGTCGTCGACGGGCCAGTAGCTCTGCCGCCGGCCGCTCATCTGAATGCAGGTGCGCCCCCGACTGGCGCAAAAGCAGCACATGCTCCGACAGCCCGGCGTTGGCGGCCAGGAACAGCGGGGTGCGTCCACTGCGATTTCGTAGATGTACGGATCCGCCCTGCGACAGCAGGAAGTGCAGGATCGATACCCACGGCGCCGTCGCCGCGACGTGCTGAAAAAATGGCCGTATTAGCATGTCCGATCCGAATTTCCTGTCCCAAAAGTTGGGTATGGTACGACCAGAGGGCAGATAATACAATAGGAGTAGACTTACAATCGGCGTATTCCCGGAGTAATCGGCGTCGTTCAAGAGCCAGTGGTGCTCCGTCTTCATGATCGTCTTGACCCGTTCGAGATCTCCGTGGGCGATGGCGTAACCCATCGCGGTGAGGGTCTGTACCCGCTCGGGAAGGGGCCCGTCTGGATGACGGAAGACCGGGAGCGAGGATTCGGTGAGCTCGCCCCGGAGCGATATCGACATGTTCTTGGTCACCGTCTCCTGCGACGAGTCGGGGAGCGCCAGCAGGTACGCCAGTTTCGTCAAGGCGCCCTCCGTCGTCATATCCAGTCCGGCGATGACGCCTGCCCGGGATAGGCTCATGCCGGTGGCATAGACAGGGCTGACACTACCCGTCAGACCTATGAGGGGAGAGTCCGATGAGTATAAAAAGTAAACTAAGTCATCGAGGTGGGGCACCGATTCCACAACTCACATTGGGTAACGTTGACAATCACAATGCCGCGCTGGATGGCGCTAGCCAGCACGTTAATCATGGCATTATCCTGTCCCGACGGAGCATTGCCTGCGCCAAAGGTCTCGAGCACGAGACCACGCAGCCCCTCCAATCTAAGCACGGCATCCACCATCTCCGGCTTGATACCGGGGAAGATGCGCAAGCACGCGACGTGGGCTGTGTCGAGGTTCGTTTGGATTCGGAAGTGCTCCAGGCTGGTGGGTCGGTGCACCATATCCCAATTGACATTCGTGCGCATCGAGGTCGTCACGGCTAGCGGCGGACAATTGGGCGCATTGAAAGCGGCAAAGTCACTCGCGGCCACCTTGGTCGTGCGATTCCCTCGGAAGAGCTTGTTGTTGAAGTACAGGCACACCTCGGGAATCATAAAGTGTCCCGCCACAACGAGCGATCCGAGCAGGTTATCCGTGGCGTCGTTTTGGAGCTCGAGCATCGGCGCCTGCGATCCCGTGAGCACGACGGGCTTGCCAAGGTTCTGCAGCATGAAGCTCAGCGCCGAGCAAGTATACGCGAGACTGTCAGTGCCGTGGAGGATCACGAAGCCATCGAAGAGCGTGTAGTTTTGATAGACGGTCTGCGCAATTTCCGCCCAACCCTTGGCATCAATGGAGCTGCTGTCCAGCAGCTCTTCGAACTCGTAAACGGTATACCGCACCTGGCGGCCGTAGGTGGTGATCGGGGTCCGCAGACTGGGATGCGCGGTGACATCGCCCGTGGGCTTGGTCACCACGTCCATGGCCGTGTGGAGAGAGCCATCGTTGAAGCAGGGCACGCGGGCCATACACTTCTCCTGGAAGCCTCTGGCGGGCACGAAGCCGGACGGGGACTGTTGCATACAAATTGTGCCGCCCGTCATGATGATCAACACGCGCGACTCTTGAACAGCCTCTTCGCCCGCCAATTCTCCCACTGGGAGCTTTGTCGCAGCCGCAGTCATCTTGACTGAATGCGCGGGGGCTGATGTAGAGGAGTGTAATGGACGGGTAGGAGAGCAAACACAGGCGCAGGCGACGGGAACTCTGGTGAACCCTGTTCTCTAGTCCGGATGCGAATCGACCCTGGCAAAGCTTGATCTTTCCCCAGACTCTCCGATCAATTATCAAATTGCCTTAGGGTACCTGGCAGCTAGGGTAGTTTGCAGTCGCAATGCAAACCCCAAGATTAAACTCGGCCCCTCCTTTGATTGGAGATCGTGCGGTTCGAATGTGGGGAGCGATGACGTCCGATCAGAAATTTTTTCTTCTTTTTTATCTCCCGCGTTCTCGACTCGCACCCTACACCGCGATCCGATCACCGAAAAAAAGAAAAGAAAAAGCAGGCCATCGACCTGAAACCACGCGATGCAGGGCTGGCTGTGATTGAGTCGTTTGGCCGAGTGCAAAGTGGAAACCCCAACGGGCCTCCAATCGCATTACGTACGGGGCTCCGATTGGCGAGGGATTTTCACCGGGCTGGACCAACTCTAAAAATGACTCCACTGGGGAGGCGGCATTAGAAATGGATTGAGAAAGGTAGGGGTAATAGATTGAATAAAGTAGGGGTAATGGAAACCGGCGGGAGAAAAGTAGGGGTAATGGAATCAGAAAGCGAGGGGTAATGGAATCAATAAAGTAGGGGTAATGGAATCACATCTCGGAACAATAAGGGAGAAAACTCTGCAGAGATTCAGGAGTTCCGATGGTGCCATGTGTTTGTTGTATGTAGGAGTATGGAGAATAGTGTTGTAGATAGAAACAAACAATTGAATATGCATCTAACTCCGGCGTATGCATCTAATCAAACAAGGTGGTATATAGCGATAATTGACATTTCCAGCATCCTCATTCTTCAAATCGAAACATTTCAAAAGGTTGAAGCACACGCTTACTCCGAATCGTCCATCTTCACCTCCAACTCGCCCTTTTCCTCGCTCTTGAACGACCGGTGTCCACGAATAAACCAATCCGCCAGCATAATCACCACCACCACAAAGTACACAACCGACACATAGTTCATGTTCGAGGTCGTGGCCGGCATCGAAGACGGGAACGAGTACATCACAATACAGAAGATCGTCCAGAGAATCGTCATGATGTTAGCCGCCGCACCCAGCTTGCCGAGCCAGAAGGGACCGTGCTGGATCTTGTCGCGGCCCTGGTACCACAGGCACACGACGGGGATGGCATAGGAGACGTAGAGCAGAGAGATACAGGCGGTCATCATACTGTTAAACGCAGTGGACGAACCAAGGTACAGCAGGCCCAGGGCTCCGACGATGAAGCAGCTGACGGAGTGCGCCACCAGAGGCACATCCAGTGTCTTGTTCACCTGCGACAGCCACTGGTGACCGGGCAGACCACGGTCACGGGCGAAGGCCCAGCACAGACGCGACTGCCAGGTGTGGCAGGCGATCTGGCAGCCCATACCAGTCACTATCAAGAGGGTCTCGAGGACGATGGCACCGGCCTTGTTGTTGAGGGCTTGGTAATAGAGCTCAAGGATGGGGACACCGGTGGTGGAGCTGACCAGGGTACTCAGGTCCTTGATACCGAAGAACATGGACACGCAGTAGGTCCACGAGGTCACGGCGCCGATAGCCACGGTGGCCATGATGGCGATAGGAATGTTCTTCTCGGGTTGGGGGACCTCCTCGGCAAGGTGGGTGGCAGAGTCGAGGCAGGCGAAGATCCAGTTGGGGTTGATCAGGCCGACGATGAAAGCCATGCCGTCAGACTTCCAGCCGGTCTGGTTGCTAAAGTGGCCGAAGACGAACTCGGCACTGGCGTGCGGACGAGCACAGGCGGGGACGGTCACCAGGATGATGAAGTAGCTCGCAAGCGAGATGTAGAGGGTCATCTTGGCTACCCAGGGCAGAGTCTTGCCCCAGCAGTTGAATAGGTAGCACCAGAAGTTGATCACCTGGTATGTGGCAACGATATGCCAGGCCTCGATCTCACTGCGAGGTATTAGCGACACACGAGGTCATATCAACAGAGAAATGGTTCTTGGCCTACAAATCAGGGTGACCCAGCTTCCACATGCCCACACAGCCTTGTGCCAGACCCAGGACGACACTGGAGCACGCGAAGATGGCACCTGCATAGCCGAACCAGCCGGTCAGATACGAGGCAAAGCGAGCCCACTTCCGCGGAGCCAGTTCGTGCGCCCAGAAGTACTGGCCACCGGCGTTGGGCATGGCACTGGCCAGTTCAGCGAGGGACGATCCCACCGCCATCGACACAATGGTGATCCAGAGCAGACCGTAGATGATCAGCACCGTTCCACCGGAGCTGATACCCGTAATCATGGAGGCGGAGATACCGAACCACGAGTTGGACATGCAGAAGGCAATTCCCACCAGCGAGAGGATGGAGAAGTTGCGGTTCAGGTCCTGGGTATAACCCATCTCGGCGAGACGGGTGGCGTCTGAATCGACCATGTTGGACGAGTCGCTGCTCGAAGCAGGCTTCACGCTGGCTGTTTTTTCTAAGTCAAATTCTCCCATTTTGGCGCGCTGGTTTAAATATCTCGGTTCGTGTTCGGCTTGGCGCAGGGGTTTTCAGGATGGTTGCAGGGGTTGTTGCACAGGATGCTGTGTAGCTTATAATGAGTTGGCCACTGGTTGCATGTGGGAGTGGATTTGATAGTTCGCTCGATTCGGCTATGGCGCTGCGGGATGATAGTCTATGCTGAGGCGGGTATAGTTGTTGCTGTAGGCACAATTGCGGTTCGAGTTGCAGTGGGTGTCGAGATTTCGCAAGGGGAATCCAAATGCTGCGAAGGGTCCAAAGGGCTGCACGGTATATTGAGACGGATCGTACGCGACAGCAGTGACACAATTACAGAATGCGATCTGTATGAATGATTCTTCTTTTGTCCTTCAGCGAGTTATCAACATAAGCGGATAGTGTCGAAATGAGCGTGTCGAGTGAATCGAAGCACACCAGGTGAAATCAAGGGCACTGCCTCAAGATGGTGTAGGGAGGAGTTGAATCGAAGAAAGAGAAAGGTAAAGGTGCAGTCGAGTGAGAATTGGAGGAGTACGGCGCCTTTTCAGTTGTTTCTTTGCACCATGGAGCCTCCCTCTCCACACCAATGCATCAGAGAACGTCTAGTGGCCATCCATTGATCCTCCTTTCGCCGTCAAACAAGGCAGCCCCTCTCACCAAATGCTCAAAAGACGATGGTAGAGATTCGGTTCGCAACATCATCGCGGGGCGGGTCCGACCCGCCTGGCGCTATACCCTCCGTGATTCACCAGGCCCCTTTTCCTGCTCGGAAGAGCACCGTTTCCGTGCAAGCGTGCCCTATGAGGATCCAGCCTCGCGCCGCATCCAGAGATGCGGATCTCCACTTGGTGCCGAGTGGAGGCGGAAGAAGTGAGAGATTTTGTGGGCGAACGTCATACCGCGCCGACGCTGAGCGGCCTACTCGCAATTTCCCTTACTTAATATCCCAGCCCGGTCTTCGGCACGAGTATGCCCGCTGCCAGGCGGTCTTTTTCGGGGCTATTTGGAGTGGTTTTTTTGTCGGTGTTTGCTTCTGTTGTATCATATTACGATCGCATTTTAGGCGAGAAAAAGAAATTGAAAATTTGCACGCTGATGCGTTGTTGGACAGTGCAAAGTGGAGCACCAATTTTTTTTTCGCGAAGTTCTGTCGAAGTTCGGTTCAGCGAGTGGCCATCCACCGATGAGTTTCATTGCCCATCGTTTTGTCTCACGGCGCTCAGGGACAATCCACACCGAGATTGCCGGGCCTCCTAGCGACCTCCGATTATATCATGCCGGGCCAGAGTATGGCCTAGGTATGGTTGCTGCGCATAGTTCTACGTCAATAGCTGCTTAGAGGACATCGGTTCTGCAAGGCACCGCAATTGGCCACATTGGGATGGCCGACCGATTCATCCCAGTCCCACCTGCTGCGGATGAGGGATTAAGAGGGCTACGTTTTTATACGATAGTGTACAGCCCAATCACCTTCTCCAAAGAGTAAGATGTCCTGTACTCCTGACGCCGTGCTGCGTAGTGTAACCCACTGGCGGACAGTGTCCGGAAGTATATGCTTGTGGCGGTGATCGGTGGCTTCTGGATGTTGATCCTTGGCCTTAAGGGCAGGTAGCCACGCGGGTATCCCGGGAGCCCATTTCAGTCAAGTTCATTTTATCTGTGTTTGTTTTGTTTTACTCGGAGCAACGATAATGAGGTCCGACGTCAACATACAGCGGACCGAGGTTGATTTTGGGCTCTCAAAACCGGATGAAATGCAGACAGTCAGATTTTGCTTTAATTAAACGTTTTCATATACCGAAATGCAAATCCCCCCATACAGAATATCGTTAGCACGCGACCTCAAAAAAGTCTGACGCAAGTCATACAACTTCGCTTGCGCCCGAAGAATTACCATCCCAAGTGCATCAACACTTATTCGAATAACAGCTTCGGCGCTGAGTAACAAAATGGTAAGGCGAACCACGAAAACCACCGAATAATCTAAAACCCCGTTCTGTCCATCGTGCGACAAGCAGACTGACAGGGACAGTTGTCGCGAGGGCTTGCAATCAAGTGATACGATGAACCATCGTTTCCGTGGACTTTGAAAAACCTGCGACCAGCCTCGTTGAGGCATTCAGAGTTTCGGAGGTCGACTGATCTACCAGCATTGTCGCGGCAGCTCCCGTCGTCGTAGAAAACAGCCCAGTATACTTCGATATCTGTAGAATTGGCGAATGCAAGAGGAGATAGGGAGAAGACAGTTGTACTGAGGATCTGGCAGATGAGCATTCCGAAGGGCTTTATGGTCTCAACTAATATCTAGCTTTGGTTCTGTCCTATTTAAATGCTGAGGGTTTCGGATAACCATTCTTGATACTAAATGATATGGTCCAGAACTTTGCAATCGGAAAATCGAAAGTAGTGAAATTGATCCTTTTATACTAACAGACACAATTCTACAGTTCGGGTATTTTACAAATCCCCCGGATGGCATACAATTGACCGATGCAGTTCGCATTGCAGTGATCAACCGAAGTCATCCTGTAACTGAATTTTGAGAGGTCTTTAAGAGACAAAACGATTTAGTTTGAGAGCAAAAGACGGGCCACAAGTTCATACTGTCGCGAGAACAGTGCGTCTATTTACAATTTCCGCTGCATCATATAATATTCTATAGTCCAGTCTCAAATCCAAAATCCGTCCATAAGAGAATATTCATCTCAAATATCAAAAGTCACACTACATGTATAACTCTGATCAGACACTCCAAAGCTACTCGAAACCTCAGGGTCATCGACCTTCCCATCAATCTTATCGCCGCCATTATAAGCAGCATTGCACCAGTCGTATCCACCAGTCTCCCACTTCTGGTCCCAGACAATGTCTCCCTCAAGGCCGGTATCAGAAGCCTTGATAGTCTGAGCGATGGGCATATCTCCACCATTATCCCAGCTGACCCCGTTGCTGCACTTTAATTCCAGTGTCCTGGAGACCGCGATGCAGTTGACCGCTTGACCGCAGGTGGACTGGCTCATTCCGGTTGTACCCAGAATTGTACAGGTGTCGCCGCGTTTTTGATGAGCGGGCGCTGCAAGGGCTGCGGTGATACAGGCAAGGAAGATTGGAGCTTTGGCGAATTGCATTCTGGTGGAGTTCTTCGGTGGACCGTGGCAACGAAACGGTAGACTTGAGAGGAACAATCCAAGTTGGAAAGTGATGGGAGGAATAGGTCAATTGATGAGATGGAACAATTGGACTGGCTGTTCTAGAGAACTTTATATACTTGTAATCCGGGGGCAAGAGGTACCTTTTTCTCATATACTAATGTCGTCTATCTCCTCGAAGCGGAAATACATTTGGAATCCTCAATCAAAAACCTCATCGATGTAACAAAAGTCAGCAAAATAGAGATGCCCCCAAAGCCACCATCCTTGGTGAACGTCACAATCTACAAGGCTGGCTATGATGCTTCAACAATTTACCGTAAGTCACCCCCGGCCCCAAGTGAAAAGGTCCCATCTGGAAACAAACTTGGCCAGGGTTGGCACTAGCGCTCCGCCGGATTGCAGATCCTACAGACTAAGTCCCTAGATGTGGGGGCCAAATTGAGAGTTCGTGCTCATCCTCGGCAAAGTAATTGGTAATCTTAGTGTTTCTGCGAATAGTGATCTTTCGTCGAACTTTGTGCGTCATTTCGGAGTTCGGATGAGTGTAAATTTTGCCAATATTGGGGCCGTAATGTACAGATTGCCTAAATTGAGTGGCGAGGCGCTGATCCTTCTTTACATGGAAGATCACGCATTTGGATTAAAATGAAACATATCTTCTTCCAACAATCCCATCATGTATTGGTTCCCAGAGAACCAATTCCCGAGCTGAGTCGCCTGCGACATTTCAGCCATAGACATTCCCTCTTGAGGTTGAGGTTGCGGCGTTGGCGCAGAGAATCCAGGTGTCCCCAACGGGGGCTCCGAAACACCCATTTGCATCGGTGGAACATCAGGCTGAAGATAGGTCTGACCGTTCGGAACCATGTTTCCTGGGGCCATGTTGCCCGGTGCCAAGCCCAGGGCACTGAGGTAGACGTCGAATTCCTCGCCTACCGAGGCAAGAGTCTGATCTTCGCCTGTTTGGGTGCGGCTTTTTGCCTCAACATATAAGCGAGCGACTGTGCCAAGCACCGAACAGAGACTGTGTAGTCGATCGACGGACTGGGAGAAGGGGCAGAGGGGGCGAAGAGAGGCGATGAAGTCTTCGAGGCGAGTTAGGTCTTTCTGATCAGATGTTACAATCACATGGCAGAATATGACAATGAAGGGAACGAATGGAGAAAGGAAGACGGCCCTATTGTTTTATTAGCTTGATTCACATTGTGTGAATTCCAGTCGAAAGTGTAGGTTGTGCATACCAATGCATATATGATATTCTGATCATCTCACTCGTTTCCTTGAGAGATGAAACGCAGGTCTGGTGGATTTCTAAGGCCGCGCGAGCTGACTCGATGCATTCAGGAATGAATGTGGTTGTCGAATTCGGCCCAGCCGGTATGGCCCGATATATCAAAGTCAAGGTTGCCATTCGGCTGACTTTGTCGGATTGGAGGTAGATAAGATCGACATCAGAAAGCCTTCGCTCACCAGATGATAGAATGCACTAGCTAGAGTTAGTATATACACAGGTTGGAACAAAAGGCGAGTGGCAACACATACGTCGAATGGCTCCACGACACTCGTCTGCATTTCTGCAGCGAGACGGCGAGCGTGAGAGACTCGTTCGCTCTCGGATCGATTCAGTGCAGCGGGACTATACAACATTGTATAAACTTGGACTTGGATCATGGACTGTTTAGCCCACAAACCACAGACCGTTGCCCACGGCCCACTGTTCGCAATGCTTTCGGTCGGCGAAGGTAAAGCAATATCGTAATCTTGGATCACCGTCCCTCGCCCCAGCCTCAATGACAAGATGTTCAATAATGTGTACACCGTCCAGAAAAGGCTTTGTCTTTTTTGCTTGACTTCTTCGGATTCGTGTTCCATGGATGACAGACGATGATAACCCAGGGTCTGACACATGTGGATAGCCATCGAAGCCAGAGTCCAGCCTACTGATGGCTTTGATATCTCGATGCCATGTAGCGACTATGTGTGTCAGTATGGCCTCATTTAGAATTAACGTTGAACACAAACTTACCCCAAGAGCTAATGCCGCAACTGAATCAAAGTTTGCAGGCATCAAGATATTGAGATTCGCAAGGGCAGTCTCCAGGTTTTCTTTGCATAAGTGCATGTAATGCTGATACTCATCTCGAGTGGCTTGCTCTTTTGCAATTATGTGATACTCAATGAAGATGGAATAGAGGCCAAAATTGGTGATGATAAATGTCGTGTCCGAATAGGAGTAATCTGTGCAGAAGTACACTTCCTGGCACTTTTCGATGAAATAGTCGATTGTGAAAAATGGAATCCATCCAGAGAATGAAGAGGGAGGATTTTCTGCCGAAGTAAATTTAAAATGAGATCTTCAAGATCGGAAATGGTCTGTCCATACCTTTGGCCTCTCGTATGATCGACAAAACAACCGGCAAGGGTGGCATTTCCAAGTCGCGAATATCGCACCGCATACCTAGGCGACTATCATGTCTATACGCCGGGCCTTTGTTGATGTCTGCCTCTCGTTTTTTATTCTGCATTTCGACTATCTGCTTCAGCGATGAAAGCGCCTCGCTGATCTTCGGACTCGAAAGCATCTCCGGAGTGCCATGCGAGACGGCAGACTCAAGAAACTCTCTGGCATATGCCGAATGGGCAGAAAGAGAGGAGCCACCCTCAAACCCAGAATTTGAGTCATGCTGCTCAATGGCCGCATTGGATCTGTAGCTGGGCTCTCTGGGGTTCGAAGGGTCATTCTTTGCTGCAGGCTGCAGTGGCGGATTTCGTCGAGGTAGAGCTTGTGATGATCTATGGAGCTTTGTCGTTGGTGGCCCTGCTTGTTGTCGCGATGTAGCCAAAAGCTCGCGTAGGGCTTGTTCCATGCCCCCGAGGCGTTCTTCGATTAAGTCGACCTTTTTTTCACTGTACCTTGATGTTAATGCAGAATTCCAAATAGTGCCCATATCTCGATTACGCACTATTGGCTTGAAATCAGAACGCGCCGCCGAGGCTCATGCGGTTTCTGGCCTTCACCAGTCGACCGACAGACAATATTCGAACTTCGACAGTTCGAACATGGCGAGCGCTTATCACATCGAATCTGGATGAATTGTCAGTTGGGAACTTTCAGTAAGGTACTAGTGACAGAAGCGATTTTTTACCTTGCGAAGTCGACATTGGTCACACTGTTTCAATTATGCAATGTCAGTCGCAATTGCTTCTTTGCGCCAATTGTCCGGTCTACCGAATGCCTCCGACTCCGGGGAAGTGGAGTACATACTGCGCGTCGGGCCAAAGCGCTCGGCGCCTCGCGACCGTCAGGCTCGGAATCCGCGGGTTCCATGGCAAGGGCTATTTGTGGGCGCAACAAAACACTCGTTTGCTCAGGCAAGATTGCTATTCAGGCGGGAGGGAAGAAGCAGTGCGGATGGAGCCGGTTCGAGTGCTGCCTGGCTTCGGTCTGTGCGGTCACGTGAGGTCCCCCGGGACGAAAGGCACAGCCTTGCATGATATTGAATACTTCTACGACTTGAAAATGGTATGTAAGAAATATGAAAAGGGGCTATCCAATCCGTAAGATCTTCATTCGGCGTATCGGGGCGTCAGGGAGTGTAGCGAAACTTATTCGCCGACTACTCATACGGGCAGCGCGGCCAGCACACGTACCACCGTTGTATAATATTCTATCCGGCAGAATGGAAAAGAAGGCAACAAAGTAGAAATCAAAAGAATGAAAAGAACCCGAAACTGCTGCTCATTGCTTTGGAGAAGTCGGGGACATCCAAACTCCGTCGCTTCTCCAGACACCAGCAGGTCCGTACGCACCTGCCTCGGCGCCTCGTAGGAAAGCAAACCGGAAGAAGAGGTCTTCGGGTTTGTCCTTCGGGTCGCTGTCCACAAGAAGAACGGATTGTGTCTTGAAATCGGGAGTCTCGGTATCACGGCGATTGAGCACGGGCATCTCTAAAAGTTCCAAACCGTCATGGCCATGGCGGTGCCAGGTAAACTCTCCGCCTTTGTCCTCGTCAAGATACCCACGCCAGCGCTCTACATCATTGAGCAACACCGAAATTCCATCCACGGCGAGTTTCGCCATCCGCTCGTGTTCCCACAGGGCAAAGGTGATGTTGCCGTTGCCATAATGAGGTTCGTCGGCCCCGGGGTCAGGCAAAGAGATCTCGACGGATGCACTTGTAATATTGGGGTATGTAGATCCCCACCATCCGTTCGACCCGCTACGTCCCGGAGCAAGCTCTCCAAGGGCAGCTGGGGTCTCAATAATAGACGCAAAGCCCCACCTAGCAACACCATTGATGAAAAGCCCAAGCAACAGTCCCTGGTAGATCAACGAAGGGCGTGTAGGGAAAGCAGTGCCGGGCATCAGAAGGATGGCAAGGATATAATGGTGGATTCGGAGCCGAAGACCGGGAAGCGGTAGAAGAATAAGGATGATCAGACCCATTGTGCAGTAAATCTTGAGATAGCGAGGCAATAGTCCACCCTGGCGGATCTGCCATGCTTGAGTCAAGATGATCGTGATAACGGTTGGGATCACGATTGCAAGGGCAAGCTTGGCCCCGGGCTGTTGTTGGATGTCCATTGGTGTCAAGCGTTGCAGGGGAATCAAGCGCGCGAAAGTATAATTGTTGAGAGCACCGATGAAAAGAGGCGGCAGGTATAGAAGGAGCTTCGAGAGCTGATAGATGGGCGAAGAGATTGGTCGCAGGAGAGGCGCCGCGCAGAATTTGTACAGCACATATACAACAAACGAGGCAGGCAAAAGCCTGGACAACAGGCTTGAAACGAGGTCCGTCAGATAAGGATAGGACGGAGGGTCCCCAACCAATCCAGTATGGCTAAACACCATAAAGAATGTACTGAAGAAGAGGATTGGCGGAGAAGTACAAAACAGCCAGAGAACTCCAATGGCAGCAGCCGTTACTCCGAGAAGCGGCCAGCGGGGATCTGACGGACAGTTGGCTTGCGAGGAAGACGGGTGGAGGAAACTGAATGACTTGGGGAAAGTAGATGGGAACGCGACAGAGAGTATCCCATGCTGTTTCACCGAAGGGAAGGAGTGCGCTGCACCCTCCAACTTAGCAACACCACAGCCACCATCATTGGAAATGGCACCAGCATGGATCGCAGCTTGACAGACAAAACTGTCAGCGCGATAAATTGCAGGATCTTCAGATCGGGGTTGTGGTCCACCGATCACGAGTCCTTGGTAATTGAAGGATTGATTCCCGACGATATGAGGCTCCAACAGTTTCGCATCGCGGCAATTGGCGGGACATCGGAACGCAATGGTGGATGAGGAGAATGGACGACAGTCATTTCCGTTTAGACCACACCCATTATCAAATTCCCTGTCAAACCCAAGGTCAGTTTGTTGGAGTCTAATTCACATCCAAGTTGGTTATCGGTACTTACCACAAGTTCGTAGCGCATGAGAGGGTCTGCAGCTGTCCGTACCCTTCGATGTAGCCAGCCGAACGAGAGTGAAGAAGGACCAAAAAGCACGGTAAAAACCACGATAGGTATAGCACACCAAGGAGCAGGCCTTTCTGCTTGCGCTTAGGGAAGAAGTGGTCAAGGTATTGGACGGGTAATTCCTGGATGCGCGGGAACAGCGGTTTCAGGAGCAGCATATGCGGTGGATCGGGACCCTTGACCCAGTTCGCAGTCGCGCGACCAGCTTTTCGGAGCGGCAAGGGCACCCAACCCCAGCGAAAGGACTTGGAAGACTCCTGCAGCCAGATAGGCAGCGGGCTACCAGCTTCAACATCGGGTGGTGGAAGATCCTCGGAAGTGTCGGGATTAGCGTAGTGCTCCTCGTTCTCGAGGAGCGGAGGCACGTAAAGGCGGGCGGCCTCGTCGCGGCCCTCTCCGATCATGGTGAGAGGCTGAGATGCAAAGAAGAATAAGATCGGGACGAGTAGAACGAGCGACAAGAGCTATGATGTCGGGGCCGGAGCGGTCGGCACGCTAGTTGAGGTGGAGATGGCCCGAGTGGATTCGTTTGGCTGAAGATCACCAGGAACACCAGCCATGAACTCCTCGAATGTGGCGGTGAAAAGATCGGACTATTGGTAGCGTATGCCACGCGAATAAGAGAGTGATGTAGAGGAGAAAGCGAGCCCGGAATCGGCCAAGAATTCAAGGCAATCCGGGGGCGACACCCATTCCCGATCGGGGCTCAGGCAACGAGGCAGAAAGGCAGCAAGGCAGCAATCTCCACGCGGTGGCGACCACATGACCAGCGCCAGCCCATGCGGCCTGCTTATTGTTTCTCTTTGTTTTGTCAGCTGTCAAACATGAGGCTGCTGTCTGTCACAACTCAAAAGTCAATTCTCAACGGACAAACTTCAAAGTCAGACCCGCAGACTAATGCAGGACAGTACGACACGGTCGACTCCTTTCCCCGCAAGGATCCCGATGATCAATGCTCGTTTGCTTCATGACAGGTCCGAGCCAAACTAAACACTACCCTAAGGTATGCAGTCTACCCTCGGATACATAAAACGACTAGGCACTCCATGAGATGGGAAGGCTTGCTCTTATCTTGACCACGAGGGATTCGTTGTTCCAATGGCAGTCCCCTCAGCCTTACTCCGTCCCGTTGTTGGAGTAGAATTCGAGCATGACTCGGGGTGGGCCAACGGTCCGCTTATCAAGCACACGGGCTCCCACGGCTGGAGAAGCGGGGGATTTGTTAGGGGCATGGCAAGATTAGAAATCAAGATAGCACCGAAATAGCACCGTTCTGGCAATTCATATTCGACGAGGATTCCATCAGTTCCCATTTCCCACCCCCATTCGCGCCTGTCAAACGGGCCACCTGCATGAGCGTTGAGCTGCAGCGATCGTCGTGATGACAGCCATGGCTGCTCCACTGGACCTGTCGCACCACTTTTCTTATGCGACCAGGAATCGCAATCCCAGCAGCGTCAAGGACTTCTACAAATACTTCCTCATCCCAAACATCGCCAATTTTGCAGGTGGTATGGGCCATATGGACCCCATTGGAAAGACCAGACACCCAAACTAATTCATTATCTCAGGATTGCCACACCCTTCCTATTTTCCTTATGATACCCTTGAAGCGACCGTCGCCCGACCGCAGCGGCTACAACCATCCACCAAAGATGATACCAAATCAGACCGCGTCACCGTCCCGAAAGAAATCCAGACCAGCAATCCCGCACGCCGCATCGATTTATCAACGGCCTTGCAGTATGGAACTGCCGAGGGATATCCGCCACTGTACTCCTTCCTCCGGACATTCGTGAAAGAACACCTTCACCCCAATGTACCCTACGAGGGTGGCCCGGAGATCCTCCTTTCCTGCGGAAACACAGATGGATTCTCTAAGGCCGTTGAGCTACTCACCAATGTCTGGAACCCCGACCGTGACTGGATCCAGCAGCGCCAGGGGGTCTTGTGCGAGGAATTTGCCTATATGAATGCTATCCAGACCGTCAGGCCCCGGGGTTTGAATGTCGTCGGCGTATCAATGGATGGCCAGGGAATGTGTGTCGACGGGAAAGGGGGCTTGCAAGACGTGTTAGAAAACTGGGACTTTCGACGAGGCCGGCGGCCACACATGATGTACACTGTAACGTGTGTTCTCTTTCGACAAACCCAGAGGATATGAAGAAAAAATAACTAACTGCACTTAACAGGATTGGTCAAAATCCTACTGGTGGTACTCTCTCCATTGAGCGCCGCAAACAGATTTACGCACTCTGCCAGAAATATGATGTGATCATCGTCGAGGATGAGCCCTACTGGAATTTACAGTTCCCCTCTGCCTACAAAAGGGAGGCACAATATCGTGGCTCGATACTGGAACAGAACTCCTATAATCGAAAATACAATGCGGAAGGCAAGTCTTCGGGATACGCCTTCCTGGACTCCCTCATCCCCTCTTATCTGTCCATCGATACCGAGGGACGAGTCATCAGATTGGATACATTTTCAAAGACAATCGCCCCGGGAAGTCGCCTGGGCTGGATTACGGCACAGCCCGCTTTTATTGAGCGTCTGGCTCGTATCACAGAAGTGACAACCCAGCAACCCTCCGGGTTTGTTCAATCCGTGGTTGCGGAAACGCTCATGGGAAAGCAGGATGATGAGAATGAAGCTCGTATGTCGAAGAAACCAAATGGAAACGGCTGGCACATGGACGGCTGGGTCCGGTGGCTGGAAGGTCTTCGCGGAGGCTACGAAAGGCGAATGAACGCCATGTGCACCGTCCTGGAAGAGAACAGGTTCCTATTCCACGAGAATTCAGAGAACTCTGCCACTGACACCGATCATGTCGACAACTGGGAAGTCGTGGACTGCGTCCAAATGTACGATTTTGTGTGGCCCAAAGGGGGCATGTTCGCCTGGGTGGAGATCCTGTTCGACACGCACCCTCTTCGATCCCAATATAGTTCTGAGAGGCTATCCAGGGCTTTCTGGATTCATCTCACCAAAAAACCACATTTGTGTCTAGTGGGGCCAGGCAGCTTATTTGCGGCAACCCCCAATTCTGTGGAGAAGGCGTACAAGTATATACGGCTTGCGTTCGCTCCAATGGATGCTAACGATGTGGCGCCTTTTACTAATCGATTGGTGGAAGGCATCAAGACCTTCTGGCAGCGAAAAGATCTGGACGGTTTGAACGATGATGATGCTGTGCTTGCCATGCAGAATTTGCAGCTGAGTGGAAGCGCTAATTTCATGGGCAACGGGTATTAGGAATTCGTGAGGATTAGAAATCGCGCACGACACAACGGTCGTTCTGGCTAGACATATGAACTTTTATGCCATATCATATTGCTAAACGAATTTTCACCGTTTGATTTTGTGTGCTCAGCCAGCACTGTATCACTATTTCGCAGTACAGTGAATGTATAATCTCGCGTAGCTCAACCTAGAAAGCAGTGTGAGGGGAGCATATATATTACATATATCTACCACCATCAGTGGTCGACAAATATAAACAGTTGAGATTGTTGAGATAGGCTATGACGAAGCACTGAATATTGAATGAGGGCCTGCTAGACAAATCGACCTTGATGTAATTGACAGAACTTGACTTCACTGTACTGTATCGAACTGTCTACATGCGATTCTGGGGGTATTTATCCCTGAATGGGCGGCAAGCCCCTGACAGTAGTATATCCCTCATAATCGGTCTCGATCGGTGTTCTTCCATGAAGATCCCCTGAATGTAGAATATAATGGCGGCAAGAGCGCTTGAAGCGAATATCAAGCTCAGTGCCTCCGGTTTCCCTGGACAGGCATACCGACAGAAGTTGGGAATGAGGCATCAATTCGGTGCCTTATCCTGGGACCTCAACAGAGATAAGTTCCATCAGACAGATTGTATTCCCGAACTATATTAGACATGTAATAAGATAAAATATAATAGTTTCAAAATCTATAATGTTCAGGCTATGGCCAGGGTATAAGTAAGGTTATAACAATAGTGGCGTACCAGAGCCATTTTAGTAATTTCGAGCTTTTTAGGGGCGGATAATCTATAGCTATCTACCATATACAAACTCCAAATACAAAATTGTTACAGAAAAAGGATATTTATGGCTTGGAATAGAGAACTTAAATTTCACGACCTCCCGACTGTACTTTTGTTCTTGGTGTGATGTTTTCTGGAATCCTTCGATGCATACCGTGTTGATGCCTTGATGCCTGGGATGACCAGAGTGGGGAATCAGATTCTCTCCGCAGTCGGCATTCAAACTCAACACAGAATATGCGAGACAATGTCACAACTAGACGACTTACCGAACCGGGAGCTAGCCGAGGAAATTGAAGCAATCAATGCCATATATGAGCCCGACACAATCGCTATAAGCCAGACGGCGTCTTCCACCAACAGCACCCTCGATTTGGGCAGCTCCCGGTCACTAAATGACCCCGCACAAACGACGGTGACACTCCAGCTACCTGGCCAGCCGCATCTGTCCTTTGTAATTGGGTTTGGCGCAGCGTATCCCGAGACACGGCCTTATGTTATTGGGACAGCGTCAACCGCGGCGCGGGGGGAGGGCAAGATCGCTGTCGATGTCTTGGAAGAGATTGTGCAGCGGACATGGCAGCCTGGTGCTGTTTGTCTATTCGACGTGATTAGTGAAGCCGTCGAGGTGTTTCCGGAGTTGAATATTGGGGGTAACAAAGATGGTGAACAAGCCATAGCGACCGAATCGATCTCAGCCGGCCAACCTTCAAGTTCAAGAGAGAAAGCCGACGAAGATGCCACAGTTCCAACAGAAGACTTCGCCACTCTCTCATTAAAAGACGCATTCGGGATCGATAGCCCGCCCGATTGGGTCCTCTCTGATGTTGTGAACGAGAAGAAATCCGTATTCCTCGCCCGAGCGGTGCAGATAGCAAGCATGGCGCAAGCGCAGGCATACCTGGATCATCTGACGGCTACAGACAAAAAGGCCGCAGTGGCGACACACAATATATCTGCCTGGCGCATTAAGCAGAAGAAGGAAGGAGGCAAGGGCGGTGCAGATGCTGGGGAAGCCATTGTGCAGGATTACGACGACGATGGGGAAACTGCTGCAGGGGGTCGGCTACTACATGTCATGCAGCTAATGGATGTGTGGAATGTTCTTGTGGTGGTCTCGCGATGGTATGGTGGTATCCAACTAGGACCGGCACGGTTTCGTCTCATCAATGATGTCGGCCGGGATGCTTTGGTTAAGGGTGGATTCCGAAAAGAGGAGACATTGGCGACTCCGGAGAAGGGAAAAAAGAAGGGGAAGAAATGAAGAGAATGAATTGCGAAGGATCTTCCCTTTCAAGGCTTGCATTCGCAGAATCAAGACTGGGTATGGCCTTCAGAACCGAAAATCTGAATTGCTTGTGTTGTGACAGAACCAAACCAAGCATCACGCCAGAGAACACTGGCTCGAGACGTGCTTTTGGCAATTTTGACACACAGAAATTGGCTTCAAATCCGTCTTAATCAACTTGCATCCGATGGCTTGTCTTGGGTTGCATTCGGTCGTCGCTGGATTGCTGGAAGAAGATGGCATAGAATAGAGAATCGGGGCATTGCACCTATACCAAAGTGTAAATCATCACAATGATTGAAATGACTTAAGATAAACAATCCACGAAATACCTAAACTGGTAAACTGCACGATATTACCGTCCGCGTTTGCTGAGCTGTGAAGTGGTTTGTCTGGTGGACCACATGACCCATCTGCCTCAAACGACTGCGGCTCCCAACTGCCTCAACCTCAATTTCTTCACGGTGATCCAGGGTCACCTGCCCCAACAGCAACATCCACCCTCTTTTCCCTTGATGTGACCATGGGGCCAGGAAGCATCAAACTGGTCCTTTGATCTCAGCAGCATCGCGAGCGAAATCAAGACCCAGAACGATGTCACGCACGCTCCCTTGACCTGAGGGCATTGCCAGCCTCACCGAGCATCTCCGACCACAAGTTCCCATGGTTTTCTGACTACTCACTTTTGAGGTTATATCCACTGTCGACGCTTTCTCGAAATAGTCATGCCCATGCGAAAAGAGGAGAAGTAGAAGGAGGGGTTTGATTACGGTGATCGAAGAGTTTTATTTGACAGTTCCAAGTGACCTGTGTGGTCCGAGAGCAAAACCTGCGTTTGTCCGATCTAGCGACAATTTTAACCTCTGATTTAATCCCCGAGATGCACCGAACTGCTAAATGTACCGTGGTTCGGGGAATTGAAGAACGAGTCGGAGATGTTCTCGGCAGGCTTCGCGATCAAGTGGGCTCGGACATGTCGAATTTCTGCGAGTTCTCAAGTGCTCGAACGCCAGGAACCCAGTCCTCTTGAAGATATCCACATGTCCCTGACTGCCAAGTCGAATTGACGGTTAACCGAGATTTTGCGGGCCTGATAGTGCAGGGCGAGTCAACCTAAGAATTCTCATTCGCCGCAGCCGAGAAGACCAGTTCGAGATGGGACCCAGATGGTCGCTACCGGGCTACTATCAACATGAAACGCGTCTAAAATGCGATTTTATGGTACGCAGGTGATCGCGGGTGCGGAGAACTCGATCCATGGATTCGACGTGGGTTGACGGGTGACCTGGCAATCTCAACAACAACATGCGATCGTGCGGATTTCTCCTCCGCACGGGAGAAAATCTTGATCGCGTGGAGCTGGACAAATTTCCCAGTATCATCTGCTTTCGAGAGATCCAAAATACGAGGCTCCCAGGGGAAATTTTGCCGATGACGTCCGTCCACGGCAGACCCTGAAACACTAACAGAGTTCGGTTGACACCTTCCAGTCCTCCCCGGGATACCCACGATATCCACCTCGTGATCTTCCTCGCGCTAAAACCGCACCATCTCAGCCGTCAGTCTTGGGGATGGGCATTTTCCAGCGTGGTGGGTTGTTCCAGGCCCACGAGCATTTCCTTTTTCGAGAAAGGGCGATGCATCCTACCGATGGCAATACTACCATCCCCGACAGTGACAATGATCAGGAACACTACCAGATGACAAGGATTGCAGGTCATTCAAGGGGTTATGAGATGCGATGTAATACAATGGGGGGTGGCTTGTCAGAAAAGAACGCAGCGAGGCATCAGAAACACAGAGACACACAGATCCCCCAGCTTCTTTCGGCATGTTGCGTCATTCCGGGCGCCTCCAGACGATTTACAGGTCGCAAGGGCGGTGTCGTGAATGCATGGACATGCCAATCGCAGGCACGTAACCGTTCTCTCCTAGTGAATGCCGACATCTGCGGTGGAACTATCACGCCCGGACAGTGAAAAGCGAACGCTGAAACGAAGACGTTCACAGTCACAACCCCTGTCAGTGGGACAATCGGTATATTCCGTCGACTCTGATTTACATCGGGCCCGCCGACAAGAAACTGAGGGCGCTAAAGGCCGCCATCTCCACAGCCAATACCCTGGTCCAAGTGCCGGTCGCCGGACCAGACACATGGGAGCCGGATGGAGACGATGCAGAATTTCCAAGAAATGGTGCGGCAGGGAGACAGTTGTCAGGGGGCGGCGAAAGGCATGCCTTGCGTGGTTTACGCCGGTGGTTGGCCACCTCGCCAGCCGCCGAGACCAGCTGGCAGATCGCTAGGTCCGGGGACTCGCATCCTTGCACGCTAACTGGCCAGGCCACACTTGCCATAGACTCCCACTGACCACCACTCACCGCATCGCAGCTCCGTCTGAGGTGGCAGCAGAGCCAGACTCTGAAACATCCCAGCTTCCATGAATGCCCATATGGTCACTTCCAGTCACTTTTAGTCACCGTCTCCACCCATTGCAGCCTCCTGTTTGGCATATCCACGATCGACGATGGCACCGCTATAGGCCCGGGTTGGCGCGATGTGGAGGACGATCAAACTTTTGAGGTGTCCGATTGATTGAGATACATCCGGTCATCCATGGCTCCCTCGTCTCCATTCAGGGTCCCGAGTTCCTGATGGCTCCTGCGTGGACTCCGCTGAGTCTCCTGCCAGGGCGCACGGCCGTCGTCCAATCGTTACCTGTAGGCTCAACTTAGATATAAAATCCTTGGACGCGTCAACCGTGCATTTTTTTTTTCTTCTGCTCGTGCGTTTCGATACTTATTCTTCTTCCCTTCACGGTTCGACAAACCAACAGGCGAGTCCTGTATTCCTTTCTCTCTTTCAATCTTGCTTGGTAGTCCAGCCTGTGGCCGACTACGACATTCCTTCAAGCACCTTAGCTTCCTCACAAAAATTCATACGTTTTGGGAAGTTTCTGCCTGTGGCAAAACTCCAATCGTCACCTCCACAAGCGATCTAGCTTGCAGACTTCATAACTTTTGAAAGGAAACACATTGTGGTTTCTTTGCTTTACATCCTAGACATTCTGTGCTCTGGCAGGGTGTTTTAAAAGCCTCAAAATCTTAGCCGGAGTGTTTTTGACACATTTCCTGCTACTTTCATTAAAAGGTATTGTTTTTCTTTTGTTGTGCAGTGAATCGTCCCGCAGCAGACTATTATCTCATTTGTCTCATTATACCCGGCGATCAATGGAGGCTGGTGAATGTGCCACGGACATCTCCAGGACAAAGTGTCATGGTTACCTATATTTAATTCCCGCGGAGCATTCACTGGCCTTCAGCGACATACTTCAACGAGACCGATCATGATTGTCCACTCTCTTCTTCCTACTAACAACTTGGCGCAGGAAGCCATCGCTCATTTCGCTCTCGTGACTACCAACATCCAATCCTTTACCGTGTGATCTCACTCGTCTGGCACGAATCAGATCTACGTTTTCAAAAATCTTCTGTCGAACCGACCAAAGAAAAATACCCCGATCGAAATCCAAAATGATGTTCACCAAGTCCCTCCTTGCCGCCGTCGCCGGTGCATCGATGGTCAATGCCCACATGATCATGAGCAACCCTGTCCCTTACAGCAAGGATTCACTCAACAACTCCCCTCTGGCTGCCGACGGAAGCGATTTCCCTTGCAAGCTCCGCCCTAACACCTTCGACGTTACCAAGGAAAACATCATCGCCCAGGGTGCAAGCCAGGAATTGACCTTCGAGGGTAGTGCCGTTCACGGCGGTGGCTCCTGCCAGATCAGTCTGACCACTGATCGTCAGCCCACCAAGGACTCCACCTGGAAGGTCATCAAGTCTTTCGAGGGTGGCTGCCCTGCCAATGCTGATGCCAATCTTCCCGGCAATGATGATGCTGTATTCCATTTCGAGATGCCCGAGGACATTGAGGCTGGCAAGTACACCCTCGCCTGGACCTGGTTCAACCGCATCGGAAACCGTGAGATGTACATGAACTGCGCTCCCGTCACTGTGACTAGTGGATCCAAGAAGCGAGCTCCTGAGGAAGACAAGGTCATTGAGAAGCGCACCGCAAACTACCCTCCCATGTTCGTTGCCAATATCAACGGCTGCACCACCAAGGAAGGCATCGACATTCGCTTCCCTCAGCCTGGTGGGAACGTCCAGTATCTTGGCCGGACGGCCAACCTGGCACCCGAAGGCCAAGACGCATGCACTGGCACTCCCTCCTTCGGCGGTGCTGGTAACTCTGGCTCGGGCTCGGGCTCGGGCTCGGGCTCCAGTTCTGGTTCTGGTTCTGGCTCCTCTGCTGAGCCTACCACTGCTCTCACTACCACTGCTGCCCCTGTTCCGGTTCCCACCCAGACTACTGCTCCTGTGGTTCCCCAGCCTGTTCCCTCGAGCACTTCGGCTGCCCCTGCTCCATCTGCATCTTCCGGAGGATCTTCGGGCACCACATCCAGCGCTGGTACTCTCACTGGTGCTTGCAGCCCGGAGGGCCTGTGGAACTGCATCGCCGGCACTTCATTCCAACGCTGCGCTGGTGGCCAGTGGTCCATCGCTCAGCAACTGGCCTCTGGTACCAAGTGTGACGCCGGCCAAGGCTCTGAGCTTTCCGTGTCTGCCACTAAGAGGGCCCGTGAGATCTCCGCTCTGCGCTTCCGCAAGCGCACCGTCGGTGATTCACACCATGCTTAGATCATACGTTTCTTAAGCTGCTTTGCTTAAGTCAATTGTCAACCTCGCTGGCGTGGGTTGATTGTTTTTCTTCCTTTCGCTATTTAACACGTTATCTTTACTTTCTTTCGTTTCCATTCCTGGTTAAGGCGCCCCAGGGTGGACCTTCTTTAACTTTTTCGATGCACCATCTTCGTCTTTTATCATGTACATTATGGAGATAGGGCTGGAGAAATCGGACATCAAATGACCTTTTAAAATACTCTATTTCAAAGCTTAATTTAGACATGAAGAGTCTGGAAATGCGTGCATTATAGTTTCGTCTGTGGCCGGAAAAAGGGAACAGTCAATGTTCATCCACTACGCCTCTAAATGAGATATGTATGAAAGTTGACGGCTTGTAGCTGATTAAATGAATCTATATGCGCTAAATTTCGTCATGGTTGTTAGGTGTGCCACTTCCAATCATCAAAGTTCCCGTGCTTGCGTTTTTAGTTGTCTATGGTCGATGGCGAACAGCCTTTTGTTGATCTCAGGAGTTCCTACCCCTTCGCTTCCCCACCAGCCAAGACGAAAACGGTGACGAACAAAAGCTTGACTGAGCTGTTTATTCTCTGGGCTCCACAATCCTTGCTCAAACTCATCCAAGAAATTGGAATCTGCCAGCATGCTCGCGACCGAGGCGATGCTGCATGGATTTTTCGGAAGAATGCGGTCCGTGTTCAGCAATAGTGACCCGGTGATTCCCAATGCTAGTATAAGAGCCAGTAATCCTTCCAGCAGCCGAGTCGAAGTTACATCTTGGACGACCCGGAGGCGATTCGGGGTCGTAACATTTCCCAGGAGTGGAGCATGGTTTATGCTGTCGTTTGCGGTTCCTCTGGTGTAGTTGTTAAATTGCTGAGCACTGATAATCTTGTACTGGCGCTTGATTGCATCGATAACTGTTAGGTCGTGCTCTGAACTTTCGAAATTCTCGATCGGGATCGCGTATCTCCCGGAGGTGAGATCTTGAAAGAATCCATCGAAATTTGGGTATTTTCCATTCGAATTGAGAATCCACCATTCGGGTATTGGAGTGTATAGATCAGGCGCCAATTTGGCGGACGATTCGTCTGGTATAGGTGGTGTCTCCTCATCAATATCCAACCCAGGCAGCTTGAAGCGTGTCCACACATCGACCGTTTCGGCATATTGAATGCAAGAGAGGCCCCTGATATGTTGAATAGAGCTTTCATTGATAAATCCCCACACATAGAATGTCGTGTAGTGAGTCATGCCTATCAGGCCTGTGTTATACTTTGGTTTGACGAAGCATTGGTTCTGAAACGATTTCCCAAAAGGCTGAGATTCGAGATCTTTCACACTGAGCACCGAAATGTTCCCATGGCTATAGGTGTTATGTCCAGGACAAGGCATCGTGGTCTCATTGATGGAAAGATCGTAGCTCCCCGATGTCTCATCCCCATCGTAGAATCCGAAGGTGGCTTGTAACTCTGTAGAAGTATATGGTTCACAAACGGGGACAAGTCTCAATGCTGGCACTTTGATGTCCACATAGGAACCATTGATAATTTTGTTGTCTGAAACCTTATCTATCGAGATTTCTGCGAACGCAAGGTCTTCGTAGGTCCATCGAGGGTAGGTGAAATTGTACTGGAGAATGTACTCAGCAGTAAACATACCATTAACTTCCTTGGCTTCGTTCATCAGCCGCTGGGGCCCAGCGATAGTCCTCGGATCAGGGAAACCGCCGACTCTTGTGAAATTGACATTGGCATGAAAAGGGACTTCAATCACCGAGTATAGACCGCTGGTGACAATAGTTAAGAAAAATGCTGCGCTCGTGGCCAGTGTTGTCGCTTGGACTGCAAAATGTCGAGAGGTGATCGATCGAAAACTATTTATTATTCCCAGGGAGTTGAGAAAGCTCAAATTCATGGAGCGTTCGAAAATAGCCCCTTCCGCTCGCACAAGGGGTGCGTATGGTGCAAGGCATCTGATATTGAAGTCCATACTTCCAAACAAAAGACTGATTCCGACCATTGCCAGTGCAGGGACAATTGTCCAGGAGTAGTGCAAATATTCATTAGATAAGTTTGCATCACCAAGTCCGTTGTTAGCCTGAGAAACACGCAATAGCGTTTCCAAGGCCGCAATGGTGGATGAAACTAGGATGAAAATGACGATTCGGCCAACGCGTGCTGGGAATGGCTTCCATGTAGCATAGTCCGAGCCGAAATTGGGATCAAATTGGGACTCCCGACGACTGTCATCCGTGATTTCGATAGATGTGCCTTTGGGCGTCGGGTGCGAGCAGTAATGTTTACCCACAAGACGGGTCTGGAGATTTTTGTGGGAAACCACACCATTACCGCAAAGCGATGATCGGAATGCTGCACTGTTTGCCGTGATGGCCGCAATTGTAGTGATGAAGTTCGGATCCCAAGTAGCCGTGGGAGTCGTGGGTAGAAGCAATATCATAGAGATAGCTAATAGAATCCCGAGCCCTAGGCATACCTCCATCCCACGAAGTGGTAGCTCGGCCATGGTGACACGATTTTCATGTACAATTGCAGATCCAACTGCTGCTGACTGCTCTCTCTTGACGAGGCCCATATGCATCAATAGGGCTGTAATTGCCCGATAGAAAGCTCTTGCCGTGTCCTGGAGCATTCCATCCTCCCAAAGAGTTTTGACTGCCAGGTCTGCTCCAATTAAATGCAATCCGAGATTAAACCCTCTGTCGATTTGGGCGTAATATTCAAATTCGCCACTATCCTCGACGGGTCTGAAGCCTGTTGTGGCAGTTGAGTTGTTGACAATGAATTGCGCAATATCCCCTGCAGTCATCCCAGGCAAGGCGGCGTCTTCGGAAGCGAGATTTTGGATGTGAACATTGGACAATGATTCGGTTGCATTTCCTTCCGCCCGCAGTTTGAGGAGAGAAAGACTCGGCTTGCATATCATCGGTATCGCTCGCTTGATTCCAATATGTACCCTTTTCCAACCAGTTGAACCGTCATGGCGATGACCAGCAGGTGGTTTCGACGCAGTGACATGCTTTTTATATGGCTGGGCCATTGTGAGAACGATTCGATAGTCGTCTGAATCAGTCGTGTCTTGGCAATTTCCTCCTTGAAAGAGACCCGTTGGTGTCGTCTCATCTGATATGAGACTTATATTGGCAATTCTGCATGACGATGTGTATATGTCGACTTCAGAGTCGACTGATTCGCGTGAAGAGGCATCGTAATACATGTATGACAACTCCTTGATGTCTAGAATGGCCTCCTCGCATGTGAAGTCGGCCATCAGTCCATTTATGGGTGCAGTAATAATTGAATTGGATGCGATATTCGGGGCAGAGAATTCTTGAAATGTCAGGTTCATATTTGTTCCCATTGGAGACGTGACATTCTCGAAAAGTATGCCGTTGAGGATGTCGTATGGCTGGGATCCAACAGTATCCATGGTCGAGTCCTGAGCACTGAACTTATCATGTATTTGGATAGTTACGTTGCTTTGTTTGACCTGAACGTCTTGCAAGGAGAACAAGCTCGTTGAGAAAATGATGAGGAGTCGTAGTAGCAGAGAGCATGAGACGGCCGAAGCGACGGCAAAATGCTTATGTTTAAAGGCCTTCCAAATCGCTACTGGCTGCATATCAGATATATAGTCGAGTAGCACGCTTTTATCTGCCGGCTGTGGGCTCTCGAGCATTGCCTGCCATGGCGCGCTTTGTTTTGTTTGGAATTCGACCCGTGACCAGAGAGTAGCGACGACGGTAAGAATGGCAGTGGGTCCGTAAGTCCAGAGGTAGTGTCGGCTTTCGGTAGAAGCGGCGATGCCATTGCGGGCTTCGGATGATTGGTATAGTATCTCAAGTGCGGCAATAATCGCGCTGAAGGTGATGACAAAAAGGCTCAGAATCCGTCTCCGCAGGTATGATGGTATCCAGCCAGGCTCTCGCGAGATAGTTGTAAGACTCTCCGGTAACCTGTGGACGAAATTGTATCCCATACCGGGAATGATGCCGTTCCCGGCCTATAGTACTAGCGGCAACGTATAGGATTGGCCTGCGGAGGCCGATTTAGTGAGTGGATGATATCGGGGAAGGATTGTAGTATTTCGAACCATTAAGGGGCGACGCCAGCTATATTTTAAATCTGGGATTTGAATAGACGCCGAGGCGGCTTTTTAGTTTATCTGCATGTTAACCGCCGGCCCCTCTCCAAGACTCCATATGCAGCTAAACAGGTAGCTGAAACGACGGACTGGACGACGAGGAGTCCAAGGCGCTTATAATTGCTGGATACATATCATCCACCAGTCATATGGGGTCTTTCTGTCTTCCTTATCCGCAGATTAAGGAGACATGCAGGTCAGGCTGAACCGAAATAGGTTCGTATGTGATTGCTGTTCCTGGGCGGACGTCGGCGCTTAAATCGCGAATGTCCGAAGCCTGCGCTATATAGACGGCATTGAGACGCGATGGAAGGCATTTGCACTCTGAGATCAAACGTCTTAACGCTAAGCATCTCGAGTGCAGCATTGGGTCGCAAGGATGTTCAAAAATAAGAGCGCGGAGATCAGCGCAAGAAGTAGTTCTGCTGCAGTGCGTCTTGTTGGAACAGGCACCAAGGCAGAAAGACGTGGGGAAGCTGTCTGACATAATCGGGTCCGTGCTGGCATTAGTCCCACGCTAGTCCCGATATAGGAACGAGGGTTTAGGGCTTCCCGCACCCACGACCCGCAGCTCAGTAAGCGAAAAAATCCACAGGTGAGCCCCAACTGGGAATCACGTTGGTCTTCAACCTCACCATCGACATCGACCGACAACAATGGCGTCTCGTCCGACCGTCTCTATCGCCACGGCTGAGGGCAAGGCCTCTGGGGCCTCCCAGCCCCTGCCCGCCGTCTTCTCTGCGCCCATCCGCTCGGACGTTGTCCAGTACGCCAACCCGAAAATTCGAAGATAATTCTGGGAGAGATGGAAATGCTGACGGATATCTTTTTTTACAGGCAGGTGCACGTCGGCATGGCCAAGAACAAGCGTCAGCCTTACGCCGTGAGCGAGAAGGCTGGCGAGCAGACCTCTGCTGAGTCCTGGGGTACCGGTACGTGGATTATCTGAAAATTTTCAAGATGGGATGGAATCGTTTCAAGATCGGACATCTTCTTTCGGGGAGAAAGATTCTTTCGGCATGGGGAAAAGCGACAATTGGCAAAACAGAGTACTAACGAGACGTCTTGTCATCCTACAGGTCGCGCTGTCGCCCGTATCCCCCGTGTCTCTGGTGGTGGTACTCACCGTGCCGGTCAGGCTGCCTTCGGTAACCAGTGCCGTTCCGGTCGTATGTTCGCTCCCACCAAGGTCTGGCGCAAGTGGCACCAGAAGATCAACCTGAACCAGAAGCGCTTCGCTACCGCCTCTGCTCTGGCTGCTTCTTCCGTCCCCGCCCTTCTGTTCGCCCGCGGCCACCGCGTCGCCAAGGTCCCCGAGGTTCCCCTCGTTGTCGAGTCCAAGACCTTCGGTGGTGCCCTGACCAAGACCAAGGCCGCCATTGCCCTCCTCCAGGCCCTCGGTGCCGGTGACGACCTCGTCAAGGTCCAGAAGTCCAAGAAGATGCGCGCTGGTAAGGGTAAGCTCCGTAACCGCCGCTTCCGCCAGCGCCGCGGTCCTCTGGTTGTCTACAACCCCGAGACCGACGGCAAGGAGCTCGTCAAGGCCTTCCGCAACGTCCCCGGTGTTGAGACCTCCTCCGTCTTCGCCCTGAACCTCCTTCAGCTCGCCCCCGGTGGCCACGTCGGTCGCTTCATCGTCTGGACCTCCTCCGCCTTCGAGGCCCTCGACCAGGTCTACGGTACCACCACCACCCCCTCGGCTCTCAAGAAGGACTTCCTCCTGCCCTCCAACAACGTTGCCAACGCCGACCTGGCCCGCCTCATCAACTCTTCTGAAATCCAGTCCGTCCTCCGTGCTCCCAAGGGCGAGGCCCGCACCAAGCGTGGTGTTGTCCAGAAGAAGAACCCTCTCCGCAACAAGCAGGTCATGCTCCGTCTCAACCCCTACGCCGCTGCCTACTCCAAGCAGAAGCTCGGCCAGCAGAAGGTTGACGGTGGCAAGCCCACCCGTGCCGGTGATGCCTTCAACAAGGTTCTGTCTGAGGAGTGAGCGTGTGCTCGCATGTGCTTTTCTTCGGTTATGTTGAATGGATGAAAAATGGTAGTCTCAGAGCAAAAATGAATCAATGCCTTTTTTGCAATACCCAAGTGTCTCGGAGTATAATATGATCGGTTTATTCTCTCACAATATTCCTTGTAGAATTCTCAACGGTGAGTCCGTGTCGTAGTAATTGCTATTGGATCTGCTATCTTGTTGCAATACGCCACTGTAGTATTCAGAGCCTTCAAGTATTTATATTTACGCAAGTGTTATTTATTGATTTGAGCTGCTGCGCTGTCTGAGCTTTGGGTTTGACTATTACATCCACACTGCAAAGAAGCTACACGTTCAATTCTTGGTCACCACTTCCGAGGTTTTTTATTAAACTTGAGCATGAGACGTACAATGAACATCAATTTTCCATTCTCTTGCGAATAAGATACAAGAGTCTTGGGTTTCCGATATGGCTAGTGATTTTTCCTGTCTAATACACTAATACACTAATTTTTCTCGCAACACTGAGTGGTGCTAAGTCAATTTTCCTTCCCAGGTTAAATTTTCCACCACACAGCAGTCAGGATATATTTCCCTTCGAGAACTCACCAAAAAGCACCATTTGTAACCACGCCCATGCCAATTGAATGACTTGTTATTTGAAAGTGCGGTCTATCAACATGACAGGAGTGTCAATGGAGATAAATACGAAATTTCCTCACTATAAGATGTAATGCGGAGTGCTTTGACGCTATAGAGCTATACTGGACCAACTCCAAAGCTGACTTTGACGCTTGCAAATACTGCCGACTTCAGCTCCGCAGATCTCAGCAAACTGGTATATCTCCGAAATGCACAAGTCGTCACCTGCGGCCATTATCACACGATCAAATTAAGCCATGTGTTCATGCCAGTTGTCGACTTCTGACAGCTAGTCTTTCATTCGGCGCCGGCGCGGGTCGATCACATGTTTCACAATGCCGAATCCTTGCCTAGGCATAGCAAAATCTGTCCTGATAGATATTTATTGTGTATAGCAACCGTTGAAAAAAAGACAAGCAATGGATTCGATTGTGGCAGTGCTCTAGAGATCAAGGTGAAACCGCGCCCGGCACTAAAGAAGAAACCGAGCTCCGGTAGCGTCGCCCTGAACCGGACCTTACGATGTTAGCAGGGCCAGCACGCTCACAACGGACGAGCTGTCACTAGGATGATCCCCGTTCCTCAGGGCGATCATAATTAACATTCTGAGGTTGTCCAGGGGCTCGTTGGGACGGCACTTAAGGTGAAACGCGGAGAAAGGGATCAGCTAGGGAGGTCCTTCCTACCATCGCGGTACTCCGGAGGAGCGCACTCATGGATGTAGTAATTGCATGCAGGAGGGACTCGGTACGCCGGTCTCCGTAGGTACCCTGTCCTATCTTGGCCTCGCTGCACCGCAAGCGACGTGGGAGGTTGTAGTTCACATGTCAGAAGGCCTTCTAGAAGCTCAATCTAATTAAGTTTCATCGGCAGGCGCCGGGCACCAGGCATCGCAGACATCGCAGGCATCCCAGCAAGCGCATGACCTTATGGAACCTCATGGTACGGGTAGGTGGATATCGCAGGACGTGCCCCCCGCTCGAGCTGCTGAAGAATCTGAAGAGGGGCGTCGCCAATCGAGCATCGCCAATCGACCGCACAGACGCGGGCGAGGGTCGGGATTGGGACGACAGATGACGATGGCATTGAAGCGAAGTCCGGGAGAGACGAAGATCAACGCACGTGCGACGCGCCAAGGCGACCGTCAGGGTCCGCGGCTGATAGTCGCACGCACCGAACGGGGTGGTAGAACTGAGTGGGGATGATGTGCGTCAGTCCCGGCGGTGCGGACTTGCCGTGCAAGTTCTTACTAGTAGTGTGTGGTATGTAAATAGGATACCTTAGGGTAGGTATCGCATCCAGGCGAGACTCGGAAGGATGAACTCTATTGAACCGTTGAGTCCAGGGGAACGCATTGGGTTCGCGTGATGCGCCATGGCACCAGATATCATCGTGTTGCGCCCGCATGGAGACGCTAGAGACTAGGCAAATGCATTGGGAGCCATTTCATGGCGGCTGGCCTGGAGTTCCGAGGTTTAATTCAATCGTATGTACTTTGATGAAAAGTGTGTTAGTAAATAGTATATACCCTAGGGTACTAGGCTACTATGTATGAATAGCTGCACTGGAATAGAATTTTCCTCCCATGAAGCTTCGAGCCGCAGAGTTGCAGCGGGCCTCCACTAGCGAATCCACCATGAGTTAAAATGTACGGGAGCCGAACGGCCAGATGCAACCTGGATTCTCCCCAGCACTAACCGAGATCCTTTCCTGGTGATAGCGCTGCCAATCCAGGACCCAGCTTTGCACCAGCGACGGAGCATGAAAACTCTCCGATGCCCAGGACGGTGCTGCGCGGGTTGCGCTCTTGGGTAAGCATGATTGCGGTCGGACGCGACAGGAACAGCTGGCACGAGCACCGGGCTCCGGTACGATCAACCGATCTAGCGAGTCCAGAGGCCAACACGGTCCCAGAGGGCAGATCCAATATTACCTGCACCCTGCAAGAGCCGGATGCACGGTGGCAGTTGGTACTACTCTCCTGACTATTGAGTAGGTACCAGGCCCCGTACGAGAGACAAAAAAAAACCAATTTAAACCAGGTGGATGCGTGGAAATGGATTCCACCCGTTAGGTCACGGAGCTCAACTCGTAGATCCAATTCCCCGACGTAGCTGTCACTAAGTATAGACTTGCCGGACCGCGGTGAGCATGTCTCACCCAACACAAATCGGTTCAGGGGGAGAAAAACAAGGCATGCTATCGGCAGCCCAGCCGGCGCGACGACTAGTTCTTAGGTACATTAGTACCCAGCATACAGGACGCACGATGCAAAACATCCGAAGATTGTCGACCCGGCATGCAGTAGCAGAGTCGTAGCACATATGATAGCCGTGCCACGGTGGCCAGGAACGTGCAACCATCATCACAATGATTGTATGTCTGTAAGAACAATAAAATGTGTAGGTTTTTCTGTTTCGCAGAAACCAGTATGTAATCAACAGCAGTTGCTCCACTTGCAGCTCCATTCAGATTATATTGCCGCATGGCCCTAAACTCTTAGCACTGCAGACACGGCGTGGCCCGTTTCGCTGTATCACATCCTCCATTTGCCGGGCACATATGAGAAGGCTTTCGATGCCTGTGAGGCTAGCAAATCTAATTACCCGAAAGGAGTGCAACCGGGCGCTGCGGCGTTACATACCTCGTACTAGTATCAGGGGACAGTAGCGCGGTGGATAGATTGCAATCATGCACTTCTGTGTAGATTGCCAAACGGCGATTGGAATTGAAGTGCACTGAGGCAGCCTCGCGCACAGCACATACAGCATTGACACACCCGTCCCTTGTGCTCTCGTTTGTTCTCCCATGCCCACTCGGCAATGAGACCTCGGATTTGTACTCCGCAACGTCGCAATCGGTATTTGCTCGGAGCAAAATTGGGTCCGAGGACCAATTGGCCAATGGCGTGATCATACCCTAACCCTGGTGAGCGAGGCTTGCGAGTTCTCGGGTGGGAATGCCAGATGGAGGCCCATCAGAAATGCCGGTTGGAGTCGCGGATCGCATCGTTCTAAGCGGGCTCTAGCGACACATCAAGGCCCGATGACCGGGATCATCCGTGTTTCAACACTGGTGTAATGCCAGATACCTCGGATTTCCCACTCTCCACTGCACTGCAAGCGGGTGGGATTCGAGGAGAGACTAAACTTGTTTAGTGATTTTTTAAGTGTGGAATTTTTTTTTTTTCAATGGGTTCTCCGCTGGCAGATTCCTGGACCAGGGGCTGAGACGAAATGGCGGCGATCGTGGATGACGGCTTGCAGATCGGATCGCCATGCTTTTGAGACACCATACGTGGTCAACTCCGGAGTGTATCGCCGTTGGAGTAAGAAGTCAAGTGGGCACAGTGGAGCACAGCGCCCTGGCGGGCCCATTGGACGGCGTGTCGTCGGCGAAACCAGGGTTCCCTGTCGACATGGGATCGTGGATGCTGTTTCTACCCTAGGCTGTCCTCGAGTAGAGGGCTAGAGCAGAGCAGGAGCAGAGACACGATGGAGGCGGGGGAGGGACCACGACGGAGTCCGGATTCGAAACGAACAGAGGAACTGGTAAATTCTTAAATCGAGTTTATACTTTGTGGTGTCTTGGCCGTGTCTGATCTTGTCCTGTTGATCGTGGAGATAGCAGAATCTGCACATGCCGGCCTAGGCATTCTGCTCCGAGCACCGCCCTACTAACACTCCTACATACTGCGACACACTACCCTAAGGTACAGTAGAAACACATGAGGAACACAGGCAATACGGAAAACCCAGGCACAATCAACGTCCAAACGAAAAAATTGAAATCAGAAAAAGCAAAACCAACCCACCCAGCCCAAATAATCAGTGCCCGAACAGTCTCGGCTTTGGCTCTCCATGCAGTAAGTCTGAGTTGGTGCAGCGAGGAAACCATTTTTCTTACGCTGCCACTCCCTCCACCAATCGAGGGTCCTGCGCAAAAATTGGAACCCATCGGAACCCACCCAGTCCACCTGCGCGCATTCGATCCAGCGATCTTCGCGAAAAGAACGATAAGCCCTGCGGTACCAACGGAGCCAGGAGGATTTGCCCGACTAGGCATCAGGTCGCCCGCGCCACCGGCCGAGGGCACCACCAGTCTCCACTGCAGGCTATTCGCGGCCAGCATTCCGGGCCACCAAGACAAGCTCTCTGTTGCGAGTGGGGGGAAGGGGGCGCGTTTCTTCAGCCAACGGTTTGGCGCTTCCGGAGGTATTCTGATTACCGACATGGGGAAGATACCTGAGGATACCTACCCTAGACCTACCCTAGGGTAAGGTACAATGGCTATGTACTACATCCATTGTGCATACCTTAGGGTATGTTATATGGCATACACATCGGCGTGACCACCCAGAAATCAACAAAGTCAAGACAAAGAAAAACAAGACTATGGACAATGCTTCGCCGGGCAAGGATGGTCTCCAGATCCCGAACGCCCTCGTGCCATCATTGGGCGCATGCTCGAGCTGCAGCTCCCTCAATATGAGACTGGTCATGAAGCAGAATCGAGGAGGACTCCACGAGCGCGGCACATCTGAGGGCAGGTACCGGTACGCCGAAGTCCGTGAACTCTGACTACGACTAAGGCAAAAAAATGTAGAGCCAAGGTGGAAAGACTTGGCCGGTCTCTACCATGAGAGGCAGACGCAACAGCCGATCAGGAGTCTCCGAGATGTCACCGAGGCATTTCCAACCCGCCGCTCACGATACGCTCAATACGCCTGCATGCTGGATGCCGGATGGGGGAGTCGTGATTAATATAAAGCCACAGGGAATGGAGCTCCCATGTGTCCCTCGGATAAACCGAGGACCCAGCGAGCCATCGGCGAGTGTGCTGGACTGCATGTCGTATGGAGCATGGCGAACGGAGGAACTGCTAGCAAGGCCAGACAATATGGAATTACAGTGGAATAAAATTCGGACGACTCCGTTGTTCCTCAACGGCAGTGCGTCGCAAGTGCCGGTCTCAAGGGACGGCCCTGCGCGGGAGGAACCTGGAACCCCCCATACTTTATGTATGTAATGTACGCCGTACTTGTACTTGGGGAGGGGGAAGGGGACAAATCCTCCTGGGTCCAGCTCCTTAACAGGATCGAAATGCCGAATGGTTGATCAGATTGGACCGGTTACTCCACCAGGCAAGCGCAAGATGATCATGACCTCAATTTTTCGATGACCCGAACCGCCTCGGAGAGACCAATCCTGGCCACCGGGCCTGGCTCCCCAGCTACACTACTGCCAGCTGCTGCGAGACCCTGCGAGGCCTTGGGAGCCCGGTGGCGTCGTTAGGAGCCGCGTGCAGGTGCGACCCAGGGCTAAACGGGAGCTGGGCAAATACGGCGGGGGGGGCCATGTCTCATCCTGAATTTTCCATGTGTCTTGGGTTGAACCTGTGAGATTTTACTCGGACGGGGCGCACCCAGAAGAGTATAGATCGATCCCACTGCGTCGATCGTATGGTTGTATGGTTGTCATGGGTCGTAGGTAGCTAAATTAACGGCCTCGAGTACTTTTGGTGTAATCAGCGTACCACCGTACCCTCTCTTAGCAGTACAATTGGACCCGTGGCCGTTAAGGGTACATTACTTCTTGTACTCGCGATTACATACTCCTCGACGCTGCTTCCCTGAAGTCGAGGCTGGAGCCCCTCTTCCACTTCTCTCTTCCCCTTTTGCCCTCTATCCGTTGGGTCCTGTTGGGTCCCTTTTTTTCCATTTTTATTTTTTTCTTCTTTTTATTTATTTTATTTTTACTTCTCATCGGCCCCTCTCGACTAGTACGGATTCGGTATCGCCCCAGTGGTTTTATTTCTATTTTCCGTTGCAGGGGGGGATCCAGCTCGCATCCACCAGGGAGTGAACCGCCCACCGGTCAAACGTCGCTACTCGCGGGGCAAACCGCCATCGCTTTTCCTTGAGTGTATTGCATTTGCCGCGGGGACGCTACTCTTTAGCTATTTTCCCAGGATCCCTTGCAATCCAACCAGTGGTTGCGACCAGGCCACCTATTCCCTGTATAGTCAAGCCGTGTGCCACCATCGGCTCGCTAGATCGATCGTCCCGACCTCATTATCGTCGGCGTTATCGTCTATTTTAGTGCTCGCGCCTTCCACTCGGTGTTTGGAGAGCGTGAATATCTCGGTGTGTGCAGGTGAGGGCAGTTGCTATTGTTGTCGCCATCGTCATTCGTTGTTCTTTCCTCGACGACCTGAGGGATTCGTCGGAGCGAGTGCGATTGCCTGCAGTTGGAGTGTTTGATCTGGCAACTTGGAAAGACTACCGTGGACGGATTCCAGGTGCACCACGCCTTGTCGCCCTGAATTATTCGGCCCGACGTCCGCGACCTTCTCGGGAGGGTTGCTGAATGTTTGCGACTCGCTGGTCTCCATCCTCGACGCCATCCTGGGACACGCCGGCTCTTGGAAGCGTATGCAACTCACTGGGATCCTGCAGCCACCCTGGTATGCTGAACATGCACCCACGACTGTGACTGCCAGGACTGTTTGCGACATGTTGGTCTTTTGAACCCGTCTCTATTTCCTTTCGATTCATTTCCACCGACGATTCCGGCAACGGGCCGCCAACCGCGTGCTGAAGGTGTCGAGAACTCGATCCATTTGGCCACGGACATTTCGAACCTATTTGGACGCCAATTCTCGGCGCCATTGGAGTTCCTCGTTGTCTTCAGAAAAGTTACTGCCCGATAAATTCGGCGGATTCGCGATCATTATCTCGATTTGACTCCTAATTCACGATCTAATCTCGCAACTACTCCTGCCTTCTACCGGCAGAAAGTGGACTTTGTGAGTGAGATTCCATCTCGACCTCATCACTGGCAGTGGCCAGTGGGATCGAGTCTCATTGCTAATCGCATTCGTGTGCATTAGTCCTTTTTCATCTTCATTGTCTTCCTCACGGCACGAGTGTCGAGACCTCGATCCACCGAGCCCAACAGAAGGAAACAAGACAATCGCGACGAAATCCTTCAACCGTCGAATTCAACCCTCTAGACTGTCTGGATCTTCTCCCTGCAGAACGCCAGCTGGAAGGTCGAGACCCATTGAGTAATAAACAGCCTAGTGCTGTCCATCCTGCGTGGGAGTGCCATGTAGATGGGTGCCCAGTGTCGAATCTATCGTCCGTTTACCCTCGATCCACACACCGGCCATGTCTGGCTACTATGTTGGACCATTCGGTCGTATGTTACCCGCCACAGATGGTCCACCGTCGGAGCAGCCCCCGGAGCATGGAGCTAATCAGTCAGAACCCGGGGACAACAACCCTTACCAGCTTCCACCTCCACGGCCGGCCAATTTGCAATTTGGATCGGATCCATTCTTACGCCAGCGCCAGCCAGGAAATACCCCGGAACAAGCGAGAGCTCCTCCAACGACAGAGACTCCTTCGCAGCAACTTCCGTCTGTGAGGTCTCTATTAACACCTGTCACGGGCCCAACTTCACCCCCAGCCTACCATCCTCCATACGGGGCCCCTCCACCCCATATTGACCATCGCGAACATACATATCCTTTCCGGCAACATGAACCCAGCGCCATCTCGCAGGTTTCCCCAGTTGGTGGACAGGACAGAGTCCTCAGCCGTTCGGAGTCTCTCCCGCAGCCGCAGACTCCGAGTCTACCACCACTCTCTCACGTCGCCATGGGCAGTCCCAGGGAGATGAGCCACCATGCCACACGGAGCGACCCTTTATCCGCGAGTCTGCAACACAGGCAGCTACCTTTGCATGGAGCGGTTTTCCAGCACGAGCCAGCTCCCGCCGGAGACCTTTCTTCGCCCGAGAGCGCGAGTCGGCCACAAGGCAACACCCGCTTGCAGACTGTGGTCGACGAGCGATATGTGGAGGGCAAGGGGATCTGCTATATCTACGCGGACGGAACAGAGCTGCCAAAAGTGATCGAGGGAGTGCCGGTCAATGCCAACTGGGGCGTCACAAAAGCAGGCAAACCGAGGAAACGCCTTGCCCAGGCCTGCTTGACGTGTCGCGAGAAGAAGATCAAGTGTCAACCAAATCTGCCAAAATGTGACCAATGTCAAAAGTCCAAACGCGAATGCAGGTTTGAGAGTGCTCCTCGTGGGATCCGCTCCTTTAGAGGTTCTCTGTCAGCTGGGATGTCTGGTCGAACTGACGGAGGCGAAGGCCAGTCTCCCGGCCCACAGGGTTACTCGGAAGTATCTTCGTCGATCTATAGCATGGGAAGGGCTTCGGACAGCGCTACCTCCCTACCAGGCACCAGTGGACCTTCGCCTACATCCGAGGGTGCCATGCTGACCCCCTCTGTCAACGATGGCACCTACGAAACCGACGCAGACCGAGCATACCGAGCACGATTCCGTCACTACTCCGAAGGCGACCTCGCTGCCAGACAAGCAGAGCAAATCGAGTCGTACCGGCGTCAGCAATACTCGGAGATTTTGGCAGACTTGCAGGACATGAACCCGAGTGATCCGCTTGCCAGCTCCTGGAACATCGACCCTTACGAGAGCCACCCGGAGATGACGCTGCATTATGTGGAGTCCTTCTTCTCGAATGTGAACGACAACCTATACCATATCTTTCCCCATACTCGTTTCATTCTATGGTTGAGGTCTTGTCATACCAAGTCTGCTGAGGACAAAATGCTTCTGTACGCCATGATAGCACTAGGAGCGATTTTCTCAGAGCGACCTGATAGGATTGCCGCCTTGAGACAAAATTACCAGATTGCCCGTTTTGCCATCCAGAGACGTCAACACGTCTTGTCTCTGCAGCTCGCTCAGAGCCACCTCATCATGAGTCTGCTGTACTACGCCGCTGGATCCTTGGTTGGCTCCTGGGACTCGGTTGGCGCTGCAGGACGTGCAGTTTCTGGCCTTCGGTATAATATGGAGTCTGGTGGTGTTGTTATCGACCCGAATCATGCGTGTGACTTTGGTTTACATCCGCAGGCATTGATGGAATGCCGTCGTCGTACCTTCTGGGTGGCATTTACTCTAGACGTGAGAATAGCCCCTAGAGAACAATGCCAGAAGAAACACAAGCTAACAAATTCACAGCGAGTCTCTAGTTTCTTCCTCTCATCGTCAACATCCATCTCCTCCGAATCAGCCTTGATCCGTCTACCATGCCGCGAGGAAACCTACGAAGCACAACAATACGTAACGGCACCCTTTTTCCAATCCATTCTGAACCAAGCAACTCTTTCGGCGGAGGATGAACAATCGGCTCTCAGCACCATGGCATATCTGGTTCAGATATTGTCAATTTGGGGCGACGTTTCTCATCACATTTTCCGCCTGTCACATACCCCGTCCGACAGCTATGCTCGTCTCGCAGAAGACTTCCACACCAACATCATTCACCAAACCGACGATTGGTTGAAGCGACTACCTGAATATCTTGTCTATACTGCTGGTAACCTCGAACGGGCCAGCCAGGCAAAGAAATTAGACAACTTCATTTCGATACACATGTTTTACCACGCCACTTTAACCAAGCTCTACAGAAATGTGCGCTACCAGAGCCTTCGGCCCGAGATGTTGGCCGAGTACATCCATCGAGCTCGATACCACGCCGCAGAGACATTGCGGATCGCTGCCACTGTCCTCGAATTGGCGAACGAGCTCGAGTCCATGCGGGCCAGCCCGGACCTACCTCGTCGACCAGTCCTGTTGAGCCCATTCCTGGGCTATGTCATTCTGCCTGCGGTGGATGTACTAAGCGCGGCTGGTCCGGTCGCCGAACTCCCGGACTGCATCTCCTTCATTAACGGCGCTTTTGGTATGGTGCAAATGCTCGGTCGCCACTGGGATAGCTCGCTGGAGCTTGCGAGCGCGATCCACAAGCGACTGGGCTCAATGATCGAATACCTGAACGATCGCGCTCGAACGCAAGACAAGCTCTGCTTTACACTAGATGGACCGGCCCTGGAGACCAGGATCCATAAAGGTGCGCCAAATTCCTCTGGAATCTTCGAGGATGATGTGTTCTACGGATCTACCCCCCGAGAAATCCTTCTTCGCGCCATGAGAGTCGACGAAAAGAGTGTCTCCGAGCACAACATTGTTTGCCTGAGAGATCACTGAGCAGGTATTTCGCTTGCTCTCATATTATACATAATCTTCGCTTGTGAAGGAACTCTCTATTGTGATTCTTATTTGCTCAACATGGGAGGTATTTCGCTTCTCTGCATGGCCTAGAATTAGCGACCCATATGCATACGCACACCTTCCAGGATTCATGGAAGGTCTTGTTTCCCAGCTCGGATATGAGCAGAGTGGAACTCATGATTCACCTCGAATGATTTCCCTTGTTCCTGCTTTACGACGTGATGGATTTGATCTCAATTTTAGCGGTTGCTTGCGATTGCATACTTTATTCGCATGACCTGGCGACCTTCGGGGAGGGATTCCCCGACCTTGCCCGTGTACTATAGCATACGTCTTAGCTTCTGTTCCCACTTTGAGCCCATTTAGTGCTTGCTGTTTGTATTTATACCAGGTGGACTCTTCATCACTGCAATGGCGGCTGAGAATCGATTATCGCATTATGACTGCATATCGTTCATCGAACGTACTTAGCGGAAATCCGATGCAAGGTCATGGCGCTCCTCTTCCGTTTTAGTGCTCAGGGAGCGCCGCTTTTTCTTGGCGTCAGGAGCGATATTCTCTGTCCCAGGTGCTAGACGAATGGTCTGGCGGACTGTGGACGTCACATGAATTCGTCCGTGTTTCGTGGCTAATGCCATTTGATGTCATTGCGATCTTATACCTAAATCCTAAATTTACCTAAGGGAACAATTGGTAGACAGGTCAGTCTGGATCCTGAGCATGCAATTTCACCGGGCCTTCTTGTCATCCCAACGCTAGTCATACTTGTGCGGATATAAGTTTCCTTTGTCAGACTGCGTACGAGCCTTTCGCCTGCTTCACCATCTACCCCTGAGGGCAGGAAGTCCAAGGTTTATCTTTTCCATTTTAGGTTTGACACCCGACACAATCCACCCCTCACTTCCAGCGACGAGCCACCGAATGACCGCTTACCCACCCACCACCTATTCGATTGCAACCTCTGCACGAATAATAGTGGCTTAAATCCTCCGCTCTTATATTTCCAACGGCACTAGCATGGGCGCCTCACTATCGCATCTACTTCCCCCGCTGTTCCGGAAGAAGGAGTATCGAATATTGATGAAGGGACTTGTACGTTCGACGTTTTACGCGGAGATGCATACCTGCTTTTATATTGACCACCACGCGTTGCATGCTTAGTGGTTTTCAGGAAAGACTACCATCCTCTATTCGCAACTGAAGGTAATAGCGAGCATGGGCAGTCTCCTTGTTAAACGCTAACCATCGGCTATTTCTAGAATCTCGGGCCCGTTGACACAGTGGACACAATCGGATTTAACGTGGAGTCTGTGACATATAGAGATGTGGATCTCGTCGTTTGGGTATATCACTTTCCATTTTCGACTAGAGAGCCATTTTTTTAGGTAACCCGGGCGTGCTCTTGTTACTGATTCACTTGCCATTGCCATAAGGACCTAGGAGGCCGAGACAAATTGCGTCCGTCATGGGCCTCCTACTTTAGCGACCTTGACGCGGTCATATTTGTGGTCGATTCCACCGAGATCGACCGGCTGGACGACGCTGCTTCTGAACTGCGGTGCTTACTAGATTTCGAGGGTAAACGAGACCTCCGCGATGCTCCGCTTCTAGTGCTCGCCAACAAACAGGATCTAGAGGGGGCTAAGACGCCGGAGGAGATAACGACGGCGTTGAAATTAGAGGATTTTCGGGGCCGAGAGTGGAAAACTATTGCGTGCTCTGCTGTGGATGGCTCTGGTATTGCTGAGGGTATGGATTGGCTCGTAGTGAGTGATGCTCGTCCTCTCCAATTGTCTGCCATGGATCCTTCCCCCGAAGACTGACGTGTGATTGTGCAGCAATGTCTCCGATCCAAGAAGACATAGGGTACAGAGTGTCAACCTGACATGTGATAAATTTACCACTATCTCAGCGCTAGTGTGGTTATTCAGCCCCCGCCCACATTGCCACAGTATTTATATGGCAAATCGGGTCATTTCTGAAAACCTGCATGGTTACATGCAGTATAGAGACTTGCGACCACATCTTCGACGAGATCGTGGATAGACCTTCTTTGAACTCAGTCAACCATTCGAACAATTGCTTTACTGCAGCGCTTTATGTGCTTTTTGGTCCCATCTTGGGCTAAGATGATAGGCAATTTTATTTCGAGGTCTCATTATCGCTGTTACCACGTTACGACATAGTATGTTATTGAACATCGGACTACCGACTAGTGATTTGTAGCTTCGATAAAACCATACTCCGCTTTCGGTAGTCTTGTGCTGACTCTAATCTTTTCGTACCTTACTGGCCCTAGTCTGGGTGGGTGGCAGTGGTTGCCTAGACTGCGCAGGTTTGGGTTAGTGTTCTTTTGGCGCGTGCGGGGTTACAAGAACGCGCTGAGAACTGTACAGCAATTACAGATAGTCAAATAGGCTCCTGCAAGTATAGTACCCTAGTAGCGGACTAGTAGGGGACTGCTCAGATGACTGTTCAGCTACCCGTTCAGAAGACTTTTTGGGCGACTGTTTTGATGACTGTCATGTAGGGCAGTGAAATTGAAGTACATATTTCTATACTTCAGACATGAAGTCCTGCTGAAATTGGAAGTGAGCTTTGGCCGCTATATCCTTCCGTACTCATACACTGTAGAATCTGGCAATCGTCGCAGACGCCAGTTGTATACAGGATGCCTGGTGGACCGAATTTGGCATGCTAATGTTGATGAACCCCACTGCCAGCGTTTGGGGAGGGATTCGCGCATTCTCGAACGTTTCGCTGCGGGTTTCTTATCAGTAGGATAAGGCGAGCTATGTCACTAGCACCTGCTCACAACTGTAGGAGAGCACCTTCCCAAGGCATCAAACCTCCAGTTCATGCCCATTCACTCTGAAGGACTACAGCACCGTTTGTTTGTACTGGACTGCCGTTTTTCGGCCTCAGGCATTGTTTACTCCGGGTTCCCGATACGGATGCTTTGTCCATCTATAGATCGATGAAAAGACACAACACTGTGTTATTTCTCAAGTCACTGCCAATAAAATTGCAACTGTGTATACTGCCAGCTAGGTAGTAACAAGTACCTTAGTAATAGGTGCCCTCGGATCCCTAATTCAGGCACTTCATCGTTGCGATTCACTGGCCCACTGCCTCCGGAAGGCTCCCGCGGGTGAACCCCACACGAGCTACATATTTCTCCCTCGTGCCGCGCAAAGTTTCTCCGTTCGCCTTTCACCCTTCCACCTCTCTCCGCACCACCTTTTTCGTCACATTCTTCGTCACAACATCCATCCCCACGGTCATCCGATTCGTCGAGAACTCGCGACTCTCTAGCGAGTCCACGATGCCCTCCTCCTTCGGTCGGCGTCGCGGCCCCTTCCCCGGGGCCCCGCCCCAGGAAGGTGTCGGTGGACTCAGTGAGCTCAACAATGACGCGTTCGAAGATGAGGATACCCCAAAGGAAACCGAATACTACGACCGCCTGGGCCTCGCCCCCCGACCTCCCCCGACCTCAGCCCAAATTCGTTCCGCTTATCGCCATCTGACTCTCACCTTCCACCCGGATAAGCAGCCTCCACACCTTCGCGAAGCTGCCGAGCGAGCATTCAACCAGATCAAAGTAGCATATGACGTCCTGAGCGACCCCCACAAGCGCACGGTCTATGACCTGGAGGGTGCCGCTGCCGTCAAGCGAGAATGGGGCCTGAGTGGTATCTTCGGACCTGGTGGAGAGGCCGAGAGTGACGAAATCGGCGTGAAGGCTATGTCGCCCGAACAATTTCGGCGGTGGTTCCTCAAGAGAATGGAGAAACGTAATCTGCAGGCTCTGGAGGATCATTTGTCGTGCGAGGTGAGCATCGCCGATGCAATCAAAAAGTGTTGTGATAGGGCTCCCTTACTGATTCGAATACCTTTTCATGTTGGAAGACCTCTCTCAATCTCGGAATCTATGCTGCGAATGCAATGACCGTAGATGAGGATGATGATGTGCAGATTCACATTCCAAACCCAAGAATCGTCACAATGGGCATGAGAACCCAATGGCGCCTTCCGTGTTCGCTGCTCTCGCTGCTCGACCATTGGAAAGCAGAGACGCAACATGACGAAGCCCAGACTCAAGATGACACTGCCGAGGACTCAGACGAAGAAGAAGAGGATCTTCTGCCGCTTGAGATTGACATGGGCTTGAACGGCCACATCACTTACCCGCCTACAAATGTCACAATAGTTGGCGACGACAACTCCCAACAAGTCATTCAGGTAGGTGAACACTTTACAGACCCTTGGGGTGACTGTACAAGGCTATTCATTACTGACTTTCAAGATGCCTGGCCGGGCGGTTTTTAATGCTAGAGAGCTCGAGCTTGGAGCTACGTTGACACCCAATTTCGTGGGCCTGTTCGGTACTCGGCCGGCATGGAACAGATTCCCTCTCTCGATCCTGACCAGCTCGGAGGTCTCTGTATCTGCGCTTCTTTTCCCAGCACCGGCCCTCAACACTACCCTTACCCGAACATTTGCACCGATTCCTGGCACCAAGCCGTTCCATATGGTCCTCACTAGTACCATCAACCGATCCCTTGGCGCATCTCCCCCTTCATTTCAGCTACAATTGTCGAGGTCACTTGCCCACCGAAAGGTTGGGGCTGTTACTTGGAACACTGGGCCCTGGCAGTGGCCCGAGTTCCTGACACGGTCTGTCCCATCAATGTTCGGGATGTCTATGACGGACTATCTTGCCGCTTATACGTCCGGAAGTAGCTCTTTACAACTCGCCCTGATTTCCTACGCCGAGGCGCCGACCAGATTAGAACATGCCGGGAACAGCCACGAATCCGATGCGCCTCGTAGCCCCGCATCCAAGAATGATGATGTCGCGGAAGCATGGCAGACTTTCATTACGGCTGCCCCGCAAGCAGTCAGCTTTGGCATGAGCTACTCGCGGAACGTGTTCACAGGTTTCTCAACTAAGGACTTGGAGAAGGCCCAATGGAACTATGAAGGCTATTCTCCCATGCCGATGACTGACGAGCAGCGCCCAATCCGGATCGAATTGACATGTGTGTACAATCTTGGAGGCGGTGTTGCCTGGAACGTGGAGGGTAGTCGCCAAGTCGGAGAACATTCCAAAATCGGGATTGGCGCTGGAATCATGGCTGGTCATGTTAATCTGACCATTTCCTGGAGCCGACTTACTCAGAAGCTCAAGATTCCCGTCATCATTCTGCCTATTGCTCACCACGGCGCTGCCAGTTTGGCGACTCTCTTTCCCTGGCTATCTTACTGTGCGCTTGAGTTTGGCTACATTCGTCCCCGTGACCGAAAGAGACGCCGTGAAGCAAATGCCCGTCGCCACAAAGAACTCAAGGGCGTCATCCCCCAGAAGCGCCAAGAAAGCGAGAAGGCCATTGAGATGATGGCCGAGGGAGTCATTCGACGACAAGAGCGCGAAGCAGCTCTTCCTGATGGCTTGGTGGTTGCCAAGGCGGAATACGGCTACTATCCTCCCACGAACAAGAAGCCAAAGGCCGGATTCACAGAGCCGCGGGTTACCGATGTTACTATCCCCGTTGCTTCCCTCGTGGACCGGAGCCAGCTGGTGATCCCTGGCAATCAAACCAAGTTCAACATCCGGGGCTTCTATGACCCTGCACCACTTTTGCCCAAGCGTCTCAAGATCTGGTACAAGTTTCAGGGATTCGACCACTTCGTGGAACTTCGTGACAAGGAGGGCACTGCCTGCCCACTACGTGCTCACATGATCTCCGAGTGAGCGTGATGCATTCATTTACAAGGAATATCTGAGGGAATCTGAGAGATATTTACCTTACTGTATTTGTACGGGATTCTTTTCATTTTCACTGAGATCTTTCTATTCTAAGATCCGGTTTATTCATACTGGGAATGTTTATTCTTACTTGGAGTTGTTTGTTTTTACTGGGAACTGGTTGCATTATCACTATCGGAGCATTTTTTTTTGGGATACATTTACTTTTTCTGGGTATCTCTCTTCTCAGAGAGTGGGACTTGTTTTACTTTAAAACCCCGAGGGAGTGTTGTATGTACGGACCATATGGGGGATACTCTGCTGCTCATCATCTAGCACGGATAATCACCCTTTCGGTTGAACATAGCAATGCACCTTTGGTGTAGCGCAGGAATACGGACACTTCGAATCCTCTGATATGGGACATTACTCTGCCCGTAGAGTATTATCATCAGGAACTCACAACTTTGACAACAAGCACCTTCTCCATTTCTCCTCCACCATGTAGCTCCAACTCTTGTAGTAAGGCACTTCCTATTCAAGTTCAATCAGCCCAAGTCCGATTTCCACTCGCACCAATTGATACTTTGCGGTACATTTTTGGGTAAGCTATGGAAGTGACTGTAACAATATCAAACAGATGACCAAGTGCTCTTCCAGGAGTCATAATTTTCGTACTTATTGCTGGGATATTTTGGTAATGGCAAACATTTGCCACATGATCTCCCATATGATGCCATGTCTGAAGGGCATTAACTGCCTCTGCAAACCAGCAACCTCAATTTAGAACACGATTTTATTATCGAGTTATAAGTCTACCTTCTTATAATTCTTTCCATTTAAACAATTTGAACAATCGTAGTCTGCAAAGAATTAAATTTGTGAGCGGACTTGCAGAGCCGCGGCAGAAGGCGATATAGAAAGGCTTGGCGTACGGCAGCCGAAACCCGCCACTTGCGTCGTTCGGGCAAAGCCAAGCGCATCACTCGAGTTTCTCCCCTCCGCCCAACCACCCCGACTTGATAGCTCAGTCCCGCGTTACAAGTCTTACAATGGCTTCTCTCGCCTCGGGACTTTTCAAGTCCCTTCCAAAGCCCCAGTACAGTGGTGAGGAAGAGGAGGTGCCCCAGCATGCGCAACAGCGTGGTGCGCGTGTGGTGGGTGACAACCAGCTCGACGAAACACAGATCGTTCTTCAGGTGAGTCTGTCTCTTTGGTCTAATATGAACCAGAAGCTCATCAAGTGTTTTCTGCAAATACAGAAAACCGGACCCCCGCCTTACGGAAACCGCGCAGGATGGCGACCCCGAGCCCCCGAAGATTTTGGCGATGGCGGCGCGTTCCCCGAGATCTTAGTCGCACAGTACCCTCTTGATATGGGCCGGAAAGGAACCTCGTCAAAATCGAATGCACTTGCGACCCAGGTCGACGCGGAAGGCAAGATTAAGTTCGATGCGATCGCGCGCCGTGGACACGGCGACAACCATATTGTCCATGCCTCATTCAAAGATCTGATCCCGCTCCGGCAGCGAGTGGATATGGGAGAAGTCTCACTGGACCGACCTTCGGAGGAGGAAGTTGCGGCTCAGATGGAAAAGACAAAAAATGCACTGGCTGGTTTGGTGGAAGGAGCTGTTGCGGCCCAGAAGCCGAAGAACGTCAAGGGCGGACGCCGAAACGAGCCCACCTTCGTGCGATACACTCCTGCCAACCAAATGGGCAATAACGACAAGAAGAACGACCGAATTATGAAGATCGTGGACCGACAGCAGGATCCCATGGAGCCACCCAAGTTCAAGCACAAGAAGATCCCCCGTGGCCCGCCATCCCCTCCACCCCCGGTTATGCACTCGCCGCCGAGAAAGCTCACAGCCGAAGACCAAGAAGCATGGAAGATTCCCCCACCGGTATCGAACTGGAAGAACCCGAAGGGTTATACCGTTCCCTTGGACAAGCGCCTGGCAGCCGATGGCCGTGGATTACAGGATGTCACTATCAACGACAAGTTCGCTCAATTTGCCGAGGCATTGTTCACAGCAGATCGTCACGCTCGTGAGGAGGTGCAGCTGCGCGCCTCAATGCAGCAGAAGCTTGCCGAGAAGGAGAAGGAAGAGAAGGAAGAGCATCTCAGACAGCTGGCTCAAAAGGCACGCCTGGAGCGTGCCGGCCCCAGCCAGCGCCGGACGTCAGATGCGCGGTCCCGCTCCCGTTCTCGCTCCCGCAGCGCCAGCCGAACTGCATCACCGTATTCTTCACGATCTGCCACCCCCGACGAGGAAGAGCAAGCTGCTCGTGCCCGCGAGCAGCAGCGCCGTGAGCGCCGCCAAGAGAATGAGCGACAGCTCCGCCAGTCTCGGATGGGCACTGAGCGCCGTATCCAGGCTATGGCTCGCGAGCAGAATCGCGATATCTCTGAGAAGGTGGCTCTTGGATTAGCAAAGCCGACTCAAAGCTCTGAATCTATGTGGGATTCGCGTTTGTTCAACCAGAGCAGCGGTATGAATGCAGGATTCAACGAAGACAACCCTTACGACAAGCCGCTGTTTGCTGCGCAGGACGCCATCAACAGCATCTACCGCCCTCGGGCACAGGCCGACGCCGATGATGAGGACGCAGGTGAAGGCGAGATGAGCAAGATCCAGAAGACCAACCGCTTCGAGGTCCTGGGTCGCGCCAAGGAGGGCTTCCGCGGTGCGGCTGATGCCGAGGAGCGCCAGGGCCCTGTGCAATTCGAGAAAGACTCTACCGATCCGTTTGGCATCGACAGTATGATTGCCGACGTCACGGCTGGTCAGAAGCGCTACGGTATGCAAGAGGCCGATTCAGACGATCGGGGCTCGAAGCGCGCGCGGGTTGATGACGATGCTTAAATGCTGTAATATTGTGCCATATCTCTTTTTTTCTGTGTCGGGTATGCTTGCCGGATAGGTCTTTCATGCATTGCGGGCGTTTTAAGTGCGATCCAAAACTACAAATGGACACGATTTGATGGGATGGATCAAATTAGCAATCTGCTATTACATGCCATTTCTTTCAAGCAATGGCCTTGTGCCAACTTCCAAAGCGATACTCCCATAACCAATTGTTCACTTCACTGCTGTAGATTCCCTTCCTTCAATGACACGTCGCGTGTTAAGAAATTGCGTACTTCAATTCAATTTGGGTTTGTTGACTCAACAGATAACACAATGACAAAAATTCAAGCAATCTGAACAAAACTAGTTCTTCACCTCGGTCTTGTTGGGAGACAAAACTTCCTCCAACCACTTGTACGAGACTGGTAGGCTGTTGGGGTATCCCATATGCACCATTCCCTCGAAGAATCGGCCTTCCTTGGGACCACCGTGGTTAAACAGAACGAGGCAGTCCTCAATGGGGACAACACCGTCATCAACGCCCTGTAGAATGTCAGTAAATCACCCCAACACATCATCTTCTGAGGGAAAACATACATTCAGCAAAAGCAATCGGCAGTTGGGCTGATCAACAACGCCAGTCTCAACGAGCGAGAACTTCTTCTGCGCGTTCTGAATGAACTCCTCCGTACTGTCGTAGCCGTACTTCTCAGCCCAGCTATCAGTGATGCTATCAATCTGTCAGTATCAATACAAAATATGGGATAATATCTTGCAATACTCACGTAAACGGATACTCATGGTCATTGACCTTGCGCAACCAATCCGGGTTCAAGAAGTGGTGACTGCCAGGACCATGCGCCATGGATCCAACAAGACGATCACGGTGCGTGCAAGCAGCCCGAATAGCATAGAAACCACCAGCACTCAGACCCCAAACCGCCACACGGGTCATATCAAACTCGGGCCGTTGCGCCATGTAGTCCAGAACACTGGACCACAAACGATCCGGCGACTCAGGATCCGCAGGGTCAGCAGGTGAGTCCGCCGTACCGGGGATCTCTACGATGACAGTAGCCCAGCCACGGTTGATAATCTCGTGCGTGCGCTGGCTGTTGTCCGGTCTGTAGCCGTCCAGTCCCGTCATGATCAGGACGACGGGGACAGGGCCGTGACTCGCTTCGTCGGGAAGACGGATGTAGATCGGGATCTGGGCACCATCTTTACCAGCGGCGTGCTTGTGCGGGATGATTTCCTCTTTGATGATCGGGTTCCACAGCGAGGCGGCTTTCAGGTAGACGTCTTTCTGTCGGTCGAAGGCGACCCGCTTGATGGAGTTTTCGGGGCGACTGTTGGGGCTCACGTAGGGGAAACGCGAGATGCGAAGGACGACCGAGGCACGGCGGTAGAGTTCGGCTGCTTTGTCGGGGTGGCCGTAGTTCAAGGCTTCCGCGGCTTGGGACTCGAGGCTGGAGGCGATGGGGAGGAAGGCGTTTGTGTAGGCGTCGGAAAATGCATCGTTGATGTTTTCCTGACTGCGTTAGCTCAGTTGTTCCTTTTCTTTTTGTTTCTGTAGCTTCAAGGATCTGCAATGAGACATACGGCAATGAGCTTCTCGAAGATGGGCTCGAAGTCCTCGAATGCGCCGTCGTGGAATGGATAGATAGATTTCGACGCCTGTCGATCATTGAGATTAGTATCTTGTTTGGCCATCGGGGACTGTCAAGGCATACGCAGAACTTCCACTTGGTCTCCCACAAAGCTTTGATCGAGCCTTTGTGGGGATAAGTGGTTTCGAACCGATCTCCAAGAATCCACTGAGGCATAATGAAATGATGAGAGGATTGAATTGAGGAGATTCTGAATTTGTACTATCGTCAGCGTATCTGGGAGAAATGGAGCCTCGAGTAGTAGGTGGTACAAGACTTGCTACGTGCTACCATACGGCATTTGAATAATATCTATGACTACAAGTAGGCTGAGAACAGGGCTTTCCGGATCGGGAGGGTGATAGTTGGGATGCAAACAGTGGTGGAAGACTACTAATCTGTCTGCCAGGGTTCAGGTAAGAATGAGGGTTTAGCTCATTACGCATAAATCAACTGTCTGACTGGCCAAAGCTCACCAAGATTTTCCGCATATTGAATGGGCCAAAGAGCTGACTGGCGAGGTTCCGAATGCGGATGTGTCAAACATCGCGAAGGTACTACTTAGCAGTCGGCCGATCTAGGGCTTCGTGCTGGCGCGCAGTACGTGAAGCATTGGCGATAGAAATTCGACATAATGACACAGAAAAGATAGAATACATTCAAATTCATTTTCAATCATGCTAGTAGCCCCTTCTTTTGTACTAATTTTTTGGTGGGTTTGGTGTTGGATCGCGATCGAGAAATGCATTCCTGGATGACATTACCGGATGCGGAAAGCCGGTTGTCGCGGCACGACTCGGGAGTCCCTTGCAGATGATGTGGCATTACGGAATGGCGTTACATTGGGAAAATACATCTGAAGCTTGTTCGATGCAAAACAAATTGAATTTATGCTTGGTATTTTGATAGAGTATGATGAGAATCGAATCAGCGCCAAATTATTCCATTTCTTGCATTAGCATTCGGAATACCCTCAATCAAATAGACATTAGGCGGAAAAGAGGCTTATATACAAGCTCCTTTGAACATTGGGAGGCAGTGATCTACTGCTTGCGTTCATATTGGCCCCAGTACTGGTAGTCCTTCGGCAGGTTAGGGTAAGTGTCTTCGGGAGTCTTGTAAGTATGACCACCCTCCTTAACGTAGCCGTTGTTGGTATGGGGGTTTGGCCAAGGGCCCTTTGTGTCCTCGGTATGAGCGACGAGAGGTTGGTCCTCGTGATCATCGCCGACTTGTCCATGCGACTTGTCAGTGTGGGGCTGGGGCCATGGGCCCTTTGTATCCTGAGAGTCGCCATAGGTGGGAGCAACACCGTCCTTGCCATCACCGACCTGGCCGTGGCCGTGGTCGTGATTCTGGCCATCCTGCTCTTGGGCGTAGATGGGCTCGTTCTCTGGGTACGACTCAGGGTAGTACTCAGTAAAGGGAATGGGCTCATACTGGGGTACGACCTCCGGAGCAGGTTGAGCAGGAGCCGGAGCCGGAGCATGAGGAGGAGCGTGAGGGGCAGGGGCAGGCTGCTCAGCGGTAGGCTTGGGAGCTGGAGGCTGGAATGGAGGCGGGCCATGAGGGTGGGTAGGCTTAGGTGCCGGGGGCTGCTCTGGTGGCGGCGACTGGGTGTGCGTTGGCTGAGCCGGAGGCGGGGGAGCGGCCGATGTAGTCTCTGGCGGCGGCGGAGCAGCAGCGGTGGTCACAGGCAGAGGAGCAACAGGCTTAGCATTGGGCGGGTACATAGCACCGTTGCTACCGACGGGGACCACAGTGTGGGCGCCCTTCAAGTCAAGACCATGCTTTCCAGCAGCGTTACCATTGCTAGGGTCCGGATAGGCAGCGCAAGCCTCGTAGTGACTCTTGAGGGGAGCCTTCTGGGACTGAGGGAAAGTCTCCGGAGCCTCGATGATAGTAGCCATCAGGCCAGCCTCGACGTGCCATTCAACGTGGCAGTGCAGAAGCCAAACACCAGGGTTGTCAGCACGGAAGCGAATGACAGCATGGCCGTGGTTCTGCACCATGATGGTATCGCGGCGGACAGGGGTGTGCGAGATGTTTTGCCAGTAAGCACCAGTGAAATAGCCACCGTCAACAGTAGTACGCTGGACAACCTGGAATTGATGGCCGTGCAAGTGCCACGGGTGCAGGTTGTTGTGGTGGTTGTTAATGACAATCTCAACGATCTCGCCATACTTGACAATGATAGGGTTAACCTGCCCATAGACCTCAGGGTTGGAAGAGAAATTGGCTCCAATTGTGTTGGCAGTGTACAGAGTGGGAACATCCTGAGGGATGTAGGTCTTGTTGTTGATGGTGAAGCGCTTCACACCGTTGATCTCGGTATCATACGTGTCCAGAATGATCTGGTGGTGCATAGGCTGAAGTAGCGGCTCCTTGTCGACCGGAACGAATGAAAGGTCATCAACAAAGTCCAGCTCGCTGAAACTCGGCGGAGGAGGCAGGGGCTTAGCATCGTCGTAGACCAACCAGGCGGTAGCATTGGGGTTGTAGCCATCGGGAATGGGACGGTCCTGGTAGAAGAACATCATGTTGACATCCATGGTGTCCCAGATGGCAAAGTTCTGACTGGCATCATTCTTGGTATGAATGAGGACACCCATACGCTGACCAGGAGCAATACGCAGCATCTTGTCCCCGGCAGGATATGGGTCAACATAGACGCCGTCAATTTCAACTACGGTCATCTCGTGGCCATCGAACACCCAGGCGTGGCCTGGCCAGTTACCGAGACAGATGATGTGAACCAGGTAGGTCTTTCCAGGCTGGACCTTGATCTTGGTGTTGGTCGAGTCGTTGATCAAGGCCGAGTCTGGGAGAGGCTCAAGTCCACGGTTGTTCTTCTGGTTTTCCAAGGACTCATACTGGTTGAGGAGGTTGGGCATCTGCTCGTGATACCAGTCGCTCAGCGTGAGAGTGAACTCCTCGTCGTAATGGAATGGTGGGTTGGGGTCATGGACAATGAAAGAACCGCGGAAGCCATCTGGGTACTGACCCATGTTGTGCGAGTGGTACCAGTAGGTTCCAGTTTGGTTGGCCTATGCAAACTCGTTAGAATTCATCGTCCCTCTGAACGAAACGGAACAATCTACTCACGTCGAAGTGGTATTGCATGTGGGAACCAGGGGGATCGGGCATTGAGTGACGGAGCTGCTGCCGTCCATGATGCCAGTACCATACTGGTGGAAGCCATGCCAGTGGATGCCGGTAGACTGGTTGCCCAGTCCGTTGTAAACGTCGACAATCACGCGGTCACCCACTTCCACATCAACTTGCGGGCATGGCCATTGACCATTGATTCCGATCACGGGTCGCTCAAATCCATCGGGGGAGGCATTGACCCAAGTGACGTTCCAGTCAAGATAGACTTCCTTGGCTACTGCCAGGTTGGCAGCCAGGCCGGCCAGAGCCAGCAGATTAAACTTGCCCATTGAGACGGCTCATATAACGAATGACAATCGACTTTAATGCGGAAAGATAACTAAATCCTCCGAAGCAGAAGCCGGTAGGCCTCTCAATCGGGTCGATGGCAAATAAAAATTAGAAAATTAGACCAAACGAATGTCGACGGAAAGAGCAAGCGAGTGTCGGCTGCGATTATGTTGTCGGATGAGATCCAAGTCGCGTCCCAATGGGAGTTCCTTCCTTTAACAATGAGTGCAATGTCGATCGGCACTAGGGGCATTGTTTTGGGACCTTGAATCCAATGCCGGATCCTGCGCAATGCCAGTCTCCGGACGCTCCCCTTCCAGGGCCAGACAATCAAAGCCCGAAAAGGCAGCGCAGACCCAAACCGGGCCCTACAGGGTTACCTGTGAGCCCTGCCCAGGCATTCCGCCGGTGGACATTGCCAGGGTCGGCATGCTGCAGAATGGCCATCCTCGGCCACAGCTCGGAGAGCGCACGCAAGGGGCTGCATACCGGGCCGACAGCCCCAGCGGGCATAAACAAAGATGTGGATGAGCGAGGGTTGGCAAGCTTTCGATTAAGATGAGATTGCATGATCGATCAATGGTCTGTTCCAGGTCATCAATGCTGTTGTGATGTGGAGTGACGGCATTTGATAATATGGGCACCTGATCGGGAAATCGATAACAGACCTTACGTGGTCATGTGACGGGTTCCGGGGCTGAATACCGGATGTAGATCAACCAGAAACGAGAAAACAGTGCCCAATTCGTCCTGATTTGCTCTGATAAATGAGATTCTGTATATAACGTGTTCATTTAACCGTGTCTATACTAGCTCTGCTCGTTCTTGCAAGAAAATCACCGAGCTTTGATACCTTGCGATGCAGTATTTCTAAGCTGTACTAGTCCAATTGCTCCGATATATTCTTCAGGTGCAATTGCAGGCCGCTGCTGTGGTATCCAAGATCTACATCGCCTCGGGGACAAGGTATCCCGCTCTTCACGTAGAACCGATGCTTTCGAGGTAGTCAATGTGTCTCTACATGAACATCTCTGGTAAGAAGATGTGAAAGATGTGAACAGCATCTCATTGTTCAATTAACGTCCTCAATCGCGAAGCATGGTATTGTCGTGCCGGGCCAGCACCCACGGGCAGCGATTATATTTCCGTCAGCTGAGGTCATCGCCTCGACTGCACCTCGTGCGCCCCATTTCGGGGACTTTTGGGACCTTTCGGGTCATCGTATCAGCGGGGTCAAACCTGGGAAACCTTCTGTTCGTCCCACTTGGCCACGTCAGAGGACAAGCGGCCTCTGGGCGAGTGGCTTGGAGGTGGTGGCGATGTTGGCTCTTGCACAGCCGCTGGAGGTACAGTCCGGCAGCTCCAAGCGTCAGGAGAGACCGGCGACCCGATGATGTCTTTCTCAGGCCGAGTCAAGCCGGGTGCATATCCGGTCGATCAATGGGACTGCGCGGGGCCGTCGGATTGATAAATTAGCCACGCGTTATTGACGAGCCGTAGGCCGAATCCATTGTATAGAGGCGCATCAGGGCCAGTGCAGGTCGGATGACATGTCCAGGGGTTCCCCAAAGTGTTCGCGGGCTTCAGGTACGGCGCCACTGGCCGTGCGAGCCTGGGAGCCTGGGAGCCTGAGCGAGCGGCGCCTAGCGCGGGGGCCGATAAGCTGTGGGGAATGCACGAGATAAAGCTGGGAACGTTGCATGAAGTGATTTGGTAACGAGGGGGAAGACGATAAAGACGAACATCGACAGGGCTGGCAACGCAGCTGGGATATCGAAGATGGGCGGAGTGGAAAGTCTCGCTGAGTTTTTTTTTTTCTTTGGCGGCCCTCACCTTTGTGCTTTCCTTTCTTCTTCCCGCACTTTGCACTCCGCGCCAACTTCAACGTGCTTCCGGCATCCCAAATCGGATCTCCCAGCTGCTGTCTTGACTCATCGGTGACTCGATCACTGAAATTCCTCGTACTTTTCCTCGTGCTCGCCTCCGTGGATGGCGTCGGTCCTGTCGCAGCCCCCGCGAACCATCACGTCAATGGCGTAATCGATTCACATCATGCACATTACGCTGGCCAGCCTCAAAGAAAACCTGTGACTTCCCGTCTGCTTCGATCTGCTCTATCACTCCGTCCCTGAGGCCGAATTGCACTGCACGTTTTCGTGCTTCGTGCTTCGTGCTTCGTGAATCCTCAATCCTCGACCATAGTACCCCGACGCGTTGACGGTCCAACGCCGAGATGGATCAATCCTTAGCTCTGATCGATGCCCAGGTGCACTTTCTGGTAAGTAAACCCTCCAGGCCGGTGTATCCAGACCATCAGCTAATCCACTCCTAGGAGGAACGCCTGGCATTGGTGCACATTCCGCTGGATCTATATCCTTACTTCTTCCAGTCTGTGCTGAGATTGATCTTTGATGAGATCACGCCGCTGCCAGGACAGACCAAGGAAGATGATAGTGGATCTAAAGGAAACGCTGATGTTGATTTTGATGTCGATGCAACTTCAGAAAATGGCTCTGGGTACAAACCGCCTGCGTTCCTCAATGTCTCAATAACGCCAGTGGAGGTTTCTGTGATATGCCCCCGACGTTTGGTCGAGAAGTACTTTGTGCCTTTCAGACAAAAGTTGGGTGCACTGAAAAAGTCGCTGGACTCTCAGCTCGATGTCAGCAGCAATGACTACATTGCCATGCAGGTCATCGGCGAAGGCCTCGAGGCTGGAAAACGAGTTCTGGAATTAACCAGCCCACTCGCAATGGCGGGAATGTAAGCTCCAATGAACCTCTAATAAAATCTTCAATGTAATAATGTACTGACGCATATCCCAGCTCCATTTTCTTCATCTCAACCTATTTCTCAGACTACATCATCGTTCCGCTCCACAGCAAGACCAGCGTGGTGTCTGCCCTCGAAAGCAGAGGCTTCCAGTTTGAAAATGCGACAGCATCCTTCATCAACCCCGTCAGCCCAACCTCTCCACGTCCGGAACGGACCCTAAGCGACGCCGCACCCCCCCCCATCTCCACCCCCATTATCGGTAGCAGAGCTTCAAGCCCACACCTTCGAAAACCTCCGCAAGCGCCAAATTACCCCGTATGTAGACGAGAGTCTCCGTCTCGTCCAGTGCGCGGCCCATCACCAATTCGGATATGGCAGTGAAGAGAGCTCCATGTCCATCATCCGCGATGCCCTTGCAATAGTTCTCCTCGTTGATAACCCGCGTTTCCTCTCCTTGACCCAGGCGTCCCTGGACCCTGCCGCCTCCCTTCTGCTTGAGAAACGACTTCTCCCCCGCTTCGCCGAACCCTCAGGTCCACACAAAGACTATGAAGACGGCTCCGGTCTTCTCCTCGGCTCGAAAGAGAACTACCTCGTACCGATCATGCTGGACCTCCGTGATCTTCCCCTCGAAGCATCCGGTATTGTCTGCGGCGTGGCAGGTCGACTCGCCGACGCGGCGGAGGTTCCGCTCTCCAGCATGGCCTCGATCAAGGGCACCAGTAAGAGCGTCGACCTGAGTTCCGGCACGAGCAATAGCAGCAGTGTCATGGGAGCAGTTCCCGCATTATTTGATTCATTCGGAACGCGCCTTGCGCTGGGGAGTAACTCTGATTCAGAAAAGAAGACCTCTAAGGGGTGTCACTCTCTCGCTCCGTGGGCTACGACACATCATCTACAGCCAGATGTTGATGTCGGGGGAGACGCAGTCGAGATTAGTTTCTTGAGTACGGCGCGTGCTGGCACGATTATTGTCGAAGAGGATGAGCTGCGTAGGGCGATTCATGCGTTAGAGGCAGAGAAGATGCAGAGCTCTGAGGAAGGTCCCGAGGAAGACGCTGAAAAATATGCCGAGAAACATACCGAACCTAGCTAGGAGCAGTCGGAAGTTGACCGGCAGGATGATACTAGCAGTATATTTGACTGGCTACTACATCTTGGGTGAGCTGGATGGGACAACTGAATTGTTTGAGACGGAGTTCTATGGGTTGAAAAGTGGGTTTTTTATGCCTGGACATCAGATTTACAAGCGCCTGTGTATGAATAAACGAGATTTTTTTTTCTATGTTCAAATGCTTCGGTGTTATTTATTGATTGTGCTGATGCCTGAAGTGGTAGTCTTAGGGCGCTTGTATTTACTTTATAATATTTGTTCCTGCGTTTTCTAGTTGATATTCGATGGTCATCTGGGTAGGCTTAAGTGACGACGGGGCAGACGGAATGAATATGAGATGAGAATAAATGAAAAATGAAAGGCCTGATCGAATCCTAAACAGATTTAGTATCCATATAACGTAGATTCCTAGAATTACAATGTAAAAAACCCACCGTGGCCATTTTAAGCTGCTTTGTGCAGATGGCCAGGAAGGCAATATAGATCCTCATATTGCCATCCAAAACAGTGGCATTGATGGGATTTTGGGTACGGTCCTTCTTTGCCAGAATACCTAACAGATCCGCTGAGGTATAATACAAGGTATCGTCCGCGACACGAGTTGTACCCTCTCTGGCTTGTCGGCATCTCCTTCAAAAGGCAATTTGGGAACGAGGCTCCAATGGGTTGAACGACCGAGGCTTGCGAAAACTTGAACAATATACTCAGAGGCATGCGATCGAGGCAGTCGGTAGCCAGACACACAAGGCTTATTGGGCCGAGAAACGGTGACCAGGGCAGCCATGCTGGTAGCGACAGCAGCGGAGGTTGTGAATAAACCCCTGGTGTTGAAAGCAGCCCTTAGGAAGCAGTTGGCACGCCGAATCACTTCCGCGAGACTTCCTTTTGGTTTTTCACTCTGGCTCAAATGGGCATGTCCGTAAACGGCAATTTTCGGCTAAAACGATCACTTGCTGGCTCATCCGAAGACTCGAACGGTACCTGCATCACATCAGCATTGTTGATAACGACTAGCAGTACCTTAACCCGAAGGTAAAAGAAGATCAGAGGACATACCGTCGGGACATCCACCGGCCCAGAAACCCGCCTCATTCCATGCCACACAACTCACCACCTTAACCCGACCTCCCATCGGCACTGTTGCAACATTCTCGCCGGTCAAGATATCCCAGGCGAACACAGCAGCGCCAAGGCCGGACCCATCATCTTTGTGAGCCTCACTGCCACTAAGCACGACCCCGTCGCCTTGGGCAAAGACAGAGCGAACTCGCAACTCTGCATTCTTATATTTATGGCGAGGGCCAGTGAGGAGACCAGCCGGCGCTTGCTCTTCCTTTCGATCTGAACCCCCGAAGGCTGCAAGAAGCTTGCCGTCCCTCCGGTCTAGCATTCGAATGTAGCTATCCAGTGTAGATACGAGGAGCGCGTTGCCGTCCGCAGAACATCTGACGCTCGTCACGGGATGCGCCATAACATCGACGGTCGTTTGGCCCATGCGGAGATCATACACGCGCACATGACCATCGTAGCTACCACTCGCAATGGAATAGGAAGGCATATGGACGTGGAGTGATGAGACGGTATCACTAGCTTCAGTGAGGGTTTGGATAGGCTTGGTCCCCTTCGAACGGGTGTCCCAGAGGTTGATTGTGGTATCGGCACTACCTGAAGTGATAGAGAAGAAGTGTTTTAGCTCAAGCAATCCGTGTAGGTATAACGACATAAGAGTTTATACCTGTGACAACAACAGAGTCCCCATCGCCAGCGAATTGAACCGTCTCAACCCGATTATTATGCCCTGTCCAGCGTCGAGCCGTACTGCCTTGCTCAACGTCCCATAGGAAAACCTGACGATCACCGCCTACACTGGCGAAGCGCGCATTGTCGGAGGCAACTGCCACATCGAGGACGGAATAGCCATGCGCTTCGTACCGCTGGATAGGAGTGGTGGTCTCTACTGCCGAAGTAGAGTTTTCTGCATTATTGGGGACCGCCCGCGAGAGATGAACTGCGCGATCTGAGGAGCCGGTGAGGATGTAGGTGCCGGGGTAGCTGGAGAAAGTGACCGCATTGACCGGGGCTGGCGCGCCACGAATGTAAGTATTTGGTCGGTGGCCGAGTAAGGGATCGCTGCCATACCGTTGTGAGTCTTGAGAGTGTGAATGTGTCGGGTAGGGAATTGTTTTGGGGCCATGGCCGGTAAGCGGTGCCTGCACCGGAAGAAATGTGAGGTTGGCGTCTAGCGGTTTGAAGCTTGTGGAATGCGGATGATACGCGCGGGCCTCGGCCGAACTACACCCGAACCCACTAACTACTCGTAGTAAGCAACGAAGAGCTCCGAGCTTCGAGCTTCATAGATCGATCCCAGCTATACAAGTATGGCCTGGAACTACGCGTACTTCAAAGAAGCAAGAATTAACTCTGTATTTTCCGCGCTACAGAATACAGGAGGGTTATTATCAAGGATGTAGACACCATCGCTAGCTACCAGCGGTAAATGGATATAACAGAACAAAACGAACCAGCCCCTCCGGGCGAAGGTGCGCCCTCCCAAGCGCGTGAATGGCAAGGCATAGGGTACTCAAGAAGAAAACGACGAGGAAGCATGCGCAGTTGAATACTCCCTTTTTGAACGACCCGGGGTACTTCCCCGCCCAACAACTTAACGACGACCATGGCTGCGGGTGCTGGAGCCCTGCAGACCCTCGATCTCCTGTTCGAGCGATTTGATCCTGCGGAGAAGCGGTTAGTATCAGTCAACTGAGCGCGAGTTCGTGAGGAATTTTCAGGAACATACGCAGCGTGAGTAGCCTCCAGATCCTTGTTGAGTCTGTCGCGCTCGGAAATGAGCTTCTGCTCCCATTGGCGGAAACGCTGCTCCTCGACCTTGACCTGCTCGGTGAAGCGCTTGCGCAGGTTCTCTTCCTCCTCCTTGAACTTGGGGTTGTCCAGCTTGCGTGGCCGGGCCTCGCCGAACTTGCGGGTTTCCATCTGCTGGGCGCGGTAGGCCTCGTAGTGTGACTCTTCGGTAGTGTGGATGAGATCGAGCATGTGAGTACGGATCAGGATCGATCGGAGCTTCTTGAAGTCGCAGTGGTCCTCGTTCTCCACCTCAGCGACACCCCAGGCGTACTGGCGACCCTTGACGACACGGCCATCGTTGGCCTTGACATCCTTCTCAGAACCGATAACGGCGAAAGGCATAGCAGCCATCAAGCTGCGAGCGTGAGTAGCGGCGTGTTCATCATCCTCCTCGATGGGTGGGGTGTAAATCTTGATGCCCTGGGCCTCGATGACGCGACGGATCTAGTCAACCGTTAGTCAGAACAGTTCACTGCACGTATCCTCCATATGTGTGCTTTCAACTCACTCTGTCCTTGTAGCGGTTCAGGTCGGCGTGGCTGAGGGTATCGGCCTTGGCGACAACGGGAATCAGATTAACGCGGGAGCTCAGGCGCTTCATGACCTCAATGTCGAGAGGCTTCAGGGTGTGTCCGGTGGGTCTGATGAAGTACAAGCAGGCGTGCACACGCATGTCAATCTTCTCGGTACGGCGGGGCTGCTGCTCCTGGAGCATGTAGGACTCGTGCTGGTCATCCAGGAACTCGATGATGGGCTGCCAGGAGTCGCGGTTGTTGACATAGTCGCCGAAACCGGGGGTATCAATAACGGTCAGGCGAACTGAAAAAAAGAAGGCAGTGTCAGCATATCATATGAGACCCGATAAGCGGAATCTCTCCAATTCACGCCTCTCCAGGAAGTTGTTGTGGCCTCTCACCCTTGAAAAACTTCTCCTCAAGCTCGGCCTTGGTAATCTCGATCTCAACGGTGCGGTCGACCTGCTTCTGGTGGCGGCGCTTGTGGTCGGCGTAGTTCTTAATGGTGGTCGAGAACAGAGTATTGATGAAGGTTGTCTTTCCCAATCCCGACTCTCCAGCAACCTGTAGACGGCGTCATTAGCACTGAACAACCCGGCATGGGACATTCCAAGCTTAAACACACCATAATCGTGAATGCCGCACCCCGCTTCGCAACAATCTTGTGTCTAGACGGATTCTCGTTAGATTCCCTTCATCTCTGCCAAAAATCGAACATTGTTATCTGGGGAAGGTACACACCGCTGGTTGGGGAGCTAGAGGCAGAACGTCACGGTTAGCAGTGAACGCAATCAACGCAGAGTACGCAGATCCAGGATGGAGACTTACATTGGCAATGCCAATAGGCGTGGCGGTCTCGGTCGTCGACATTGTGAAAATGGGGGGTTGCGGGAGAATTGCAGAAGCAAGAAGAGAAGCGAGCGACCCCTCAGAAATTGACCGGGCGAAAGTGGGAAGATGGTCGAGTCTCTCGGGGAATAGGGGAAGAGCTGCTCGATTGCTGCTTCCCCCTGAATCTCCTTTCGTTTTCTGGAGTATAGCTGGCCTTGCCCATCTTGGACTAGCGCTCACGCTATACTATTCTGGGTGCGGGATCGGACTATTGCTGATCCGCCCGTTCTTATCACTTGCGCTTCAGGAATTTTTGACGGAGCGCAAGCTTGTCGCAAAGGGAAAATGAAGACGGACTTCAAGGTACGTGAGCTGCTAGCTGCCTTCTATTAATCAGAACTGACACCATCTGTAGTTCTCCAATCTGTTGGGGACGGTCTACCGTCAGGGCAACCTGCTCTTTACTCCCGATGGCACCTGCTTGCTTTCGCCGGTAGGCAATCGAGTCACAGTCTTTGATCTCGTGCAGTATGTCCCCAATGGTTTTCAAAATCTACTTTGCAAAATTGCTGATTTCTTGTCACAGCAACACGTCATATACCCTTCCCTTCGCTCATCGCACGAACATCGACCGTCTAGATCTATCCCCGCGAGGCAATCTGCTGTTGACCGTGGATGAAACAGGCCGTGCAATCCTGACCAATTTCCACCGGCGCATCGCTATTCACCACTTCTCCTTCAAGTCCCGCGTGTCTGCTCTTAAGTTTTCCCCTTCCGGTCGACACTTCGCAGTAGGTGTCGGGAGACGGTTGCAAATTTGGCAGACTCCCTCCACTCCCGGCACTGAGACGAATGGTGAAATCGAGTTCGCTCCCTTCGTTCTGCACCGTGACTCGGCTGCACACTTCGACACCGTTCAGAGCATTGAATGGTCCAGTGATTCTCGGTTCCTGCTCTCGGCATCCCGTGATCTTACAGCGCGAGTGTGGAGTTTGGACGCGGAGGAAGGATTTGAGCCAACCACCTTGGCGGGACATCGTCAAGGAGTGGTTGCCGCGTATTTCAATGCAGAGCAAGAATCGGTATGGAAAAGAAAAGAACATTGCATTTAATCAACTGTGAGATCTAACGGCGTTGATAGATCTACACCGTCAGTCAAGATGGTGCGCTATTCCGTTGGGAGTACGTGACAAAAAAGGATCCCGAGACGGACGAGGATATCGCAGACGCTCGGTGGAGGATTGTCAAGAAGGACTTGTTCATGCAGAACGACGCCAAGGTCAACTGTGCGGCGTTCCATGCGCAGTCTAACCTGCTCGTGGTGGGCTTCTCGAACGGCCTCTTTGGACTTTACGATTTGCCCGAGTTCAACATGATCCATCTTCTCAGGTTCGTATTGGGCCCTCAAGTCCCCAATAGTACAGGTGCTAATTGAGGTTGCAGTGTCTCCCAGAGCAATATCGATGTGGTGACGGTCAACAAATCCGGCGAATGGCTTGCGTTTGGCTCGTCTAAGCACGGCCAGCTTCTGGTATGGGAGTGGCAATCGGAGTCATACATTTTGAAGCAGCAGGGCCATCTTGATTCCTTGAACTCCCTGGTTTATTCACCGGACGGGCAGAAGATCGTTACGACCGCCGATGATGGCAAGGTTAAGGTTTGGGATGTCAAGTCGGGGTTCTGTATTGTGACCTTTACGGAACACACCAGTGGAGTCACCGCATGTGAATTCGCAAAGAAGGGAAGCGTTCTTTTTACCGCTTCTCTGGATGGGTCAGTGCGAGCATGGGATCTGATCCGGTACCGCAACTTCCGTACATTCACGGCCCCTTCGCGGCTGTCCTTCTCTTCTCTCGCGGTGGACCCAAGCGGTGAAGTGGTCTGCGCCGGCTCGCCGGACTCTTTTGATATCCACGTTTGGTCCGTACAGACCGGCCAATTGTTGGACCAACTTACTGGTCACGAGGGTCCTGTTTCGAGTCTGGCTTTTGCGGGCGATGGTAACCACCTAGTCAGTGGCAGCTGGGATCGCACTGTCCGCATTTGGAGCATTTTTGGCCGCTCCCAAACCAGTGAGCCCTCCCAGCTCCTCTCGGATGTTTTGAGTGTGGCTTTCCGACCAGATGGCAAACAGGTCGCTGCGTCCACACTCGATGGCCAGCTCTCGTTCTGGAATGTCGCCGATGCCATCCAAGAAGGTAATGTGGATGGGCGCCGTGATGTCTCCGGAGGCCGAAAAGTGTCCGATCGGACAACCGCCGCGAACGCTGCCGGAACCAAGTCATTCAATCGCATCACCTACAGTGCTGATGGCAGCTGTATTCTCGCGGCCGGAAACAGCAAGTACATTTGCTTGTATGATGTGACCACCGGATCTATGATCAAAAAGTTCACGGTCTCGGTGAACCTTTCATTGGATGGTACACAAGAGTTCCTCAACAGTCGCAATCTGACCGAGGCCGGACCTCGTGCCCTTATCGACGAGACTGGCGAGGCCTCTGACAAGGAGGATCGTATTGACCGTACCCTGCCTGGCGCAAAGCGTGGCGATGCGGGAGCCCGCACCACCCGCCCTGAGGTGCGGGTGACTTGTGTGGATTTTGCTCCTACAGGCCGTGCATTCTGTGCTGCGTCAACTGAAGGTCTTCTGATCTATAGTCTGGACACAGACTTTGTCTTCGATCCAATCGACCTTGATATCACGATTACCCCGTCGACGATCCTCGCTACACTGGACGCTGCCAAGGCTTCTGCCGAATCCAACACCGTCGACGATGATAACACTTTTCTTAAGGCCCTTATCATGGCCTTCCGCTTGAACGAGTCTAAGTTCATTCGTGCCGTCTACGAAGCGATCCCCCCATCGGACATCCCCCATGTGGTTCGTTCGGTGCCGACTGTCTATCTGCCTCGCCTTCTCCGCTTCGTTGCGCTCGCCGCCGAGGAGACCCCTCACCTCGAATTCAATTTGTTGTGGTTTGAATCCCTGTTCAGCTGCCATGGCCGGTATTTCAAAGATAACTCGGGAACATTCGCTCCGGAGCTTCGTGCTGTCCAGCGTGCCATTGACGACATCCGGGAAAATCTCAAACGGCTGACGGAGAAGAATCTTTACGATCTCAACTATCTCCTGTCCAAGCCCATCCTTGCGGACAAGAAACCGACCAGTGTCCTATTGCCTATTGCTGCCGATGATGTCGAGGGAGGTGATGATGAAATGGCTGATGCCGACGACTCAGAGGGCGAGGGCGAGGGCGAGTGGATTGGCCTTGAATGATTCCCCATGTAATGTCTATTTGCATATGCGCAGGCGTTTGTATATTAGGTATCAAAAGTGTATAGATGAGAAATCAATATCTAACCTCAAACTTTCCGACGCGATAAAGAAGATGCATTCTAGACCTTCTCGATGCTTAGCAAAGTCGTCCTCTCAATGCCTTTTGTCACGATTCAAGGGTTTCTCATCTCAAGTCTACCACACACATTTAGTCACAATGCGTAGAATTGCTAATTTTCGCTTGGAGTGCAAATCTACGAAATAAGCATGGTAGTCCTTGTAAAAGAAATAGTAGTACGGGCATACGACGGCTGGAAATTATAGACGCTAAAATTAAAAAGAAAAACCGAAATAAGGGTAGCAGCATGGAAGCCACTTCGATCACATCATACTTGTTTTTTGGCCATTTTTACCCTAGACATCGCAGATGCATTTCAGCACAAAATTGGAAGCAAATCTCCTCTGAGGCCACCCTAGATTCTTGGAGTTGGAAGATGATCAATGCGAGGTACCTAGGGTAGTATTCTACTCCCAAACGGGCAGCTCAACAAACATTTGGAAGGTTTCAGTTTTCTTCTCGCTTTGACGCAACCAAGCAGGCCTCGCTGTTCTTTGTATCAGCACATTCTGGGTGTTACCTAATACTATCCGACGCTATCTTGTACCACCTTATTCATTATCCCTCACACGATCAAATTCTCCTTAATCCCTTCCATATTTTACTAGAATCCTAAATCTTGTTCGAATTCTACATGGCTGGTTTATTGACGGGGCCCTTTCTTGGGGCCGCGCTGCTGTTCTTCCTTTTTTTCAGGAAGTGGAATTCAGGGCTTGATCATATACCCCTCGTCAAATACAACTCATACCTTCCCGATATCCTTAATAGGATCATCTATTATCCCAAGGCATGGCTGATGATACAACGAGGCTATGAACTGGTTTGGACATCCTCGAATTGCCATTCGTTGTTTTGTATGAGCTATATTGACAATTCACAGTACAAAGAAAGCCCATTCCGCATGCTCACCGGTGATGGCGAAGTCGTTGTTTTGCCAACCAAGTACCTAGATGAACTGAGATACATGGTGGCCTCCGATCTGAGCTCGCTGCATGCGCAATATGAGGTATGAGTTTTTTTGCTCTCCACTATAACGTGCACATGGTCTTTGACATTGCAGCTCTGATGAGTAGTCGATTTAGAATGCATTGGGGGACTATACCAATATCGTGATTAGCAGCTATTTGCCGGCCACTACGATCAGAAAGTGTCTGAATCCCAGTCTTGGTAGGTCGCGACTGTTCTGGAACAATTCACATCCCGTTCCAACTTCATTCCCTAAATATCCTTCTCATCACCAGCTCGAGTCATACCCTGGATAATCGACGAGTTACAAGATGCGTTTCAAGAAGCGATGCCAGATTGCGAGGGTAAGTAATCGTTTCCAATATACAGAGAATTATCAACTAAGCTCACATCGCATAGATGACTGGGTCGCCATAGAGCCTCATGACGTTTTCGTACGTCTGATTGTCCGAGCAACGTCGCGTGTCGGAGCCGGCCACGTCCTTCGGCGCAATGAAAAATGGATTCAAGCTGCAAGCAATTATTCAGTCAATGTGGGGATAACAATTTTGCTTTTGCGCCCATTACCGAACTTCCTCCGACCCTTCGTCGCGCCATTTCTGCCATCGGTACGACAGATAAACCAACAACTACGGTACGTTAAGCAGCTATTTGCGCCGATGGTCAACGAGCGCCGAGTAGCTGAAGCTGCCAATGACCCGACCTACAAGAAGCCGGACGACTTCCTACAATGGATGATGGACGGGGCCGAAGATGAGCAAGACTTTGACCCTGAGTTGCTAGCACACCATATGCTTCTCATTATGAGTCTGGCAATTACGCATACAAGCTCCATAGCACTGACCCATACTCTCTATGATCTGATTGCAAGACCGGAGTATCAAGCGCCTCTGCGCGAAGAGGTACGAAGAACTCTACAGAGTGGATGGGAGAAGGCGACAAAGGCATCGTTCGATGCGCAGCGACGCTTGGATAGCTTTATGCGAGAATCACAGCGGTTTAATCCACCAGGCGATTGTGAGTAACATCCTATGCCCCTATCAATTACATGCCTAGGTACAAATGACAATTAACTGCCCGCTCAGTGTCCATGCATCGTATTGTTATGCATCCATTGACCCTATCTGATGGTATTGTCCTTCCCCGAGGCACTCACATCTGCTTTCCCTCCGGTCCGATGACGAGAGATTCTACCTTCATCGATGATCCCAACGCCTTCGACGGATTCCGATGGTGCCGAGACCCAAACGATCGAAACGCTCTCGCGCTGACAAAGAAAATTGGAGATCCAGATGATATCGACAGTGAAAAGCTGCAGCCTCTTTCACGCAAGTCGACAAATCCGGGTAGCTACGTGACAATTACTCCTGCGACCATGCACTTTGGATTCGGGCGCCAGTCTTGTCCGGGCCGATTCTTTGCGTCGTATTTACTCAAAGCCATTCTGAGCCGGATCCTGATGGACTATGAGTTCAAGTTCGCGAAGGATCAGGCTGGATGGCGGCCAGCCAATCTTTATGTAGGCGAGCATATCTTTCCGAATACTCATACGCCTGTATTGCTGCGGAAGAGACAAGTCAGAGCGTGAATGCGGACGTGAACACGACCATGCTTCCCAGTTAAGTAATCAACACGAGTACTTGTACTAGATCCACAGGGGACGGTGGGGGAAGGGTTGATACTACAGTTGTTGGATAGTTTATTTCGCAATGGCAAGTGAAACCTTGGCTTTGACACCGAATAAATTCCTACCCATCTCAGAGCAGACTAAGGGACAATCGTTGTAGTAATACAGTCAAAATGACAAGTAGACGCTCGAAAATATCCCATAGAACGTCTAAATATCCTACACATGGGGACAATAAAACCCCCTTTCCTGTCATAAATGCCAGATCACCTTGCATGAGATCACTCTGAAGTGTCTAGCTGTTCGCTGTAGCAGTACCTCGACCGCGACCGCGACCGCTATTGCCGCGGCCACGGCCACGACCACGGCCACGACCACGTTGCTGATCTAAGCCCTGTGGTGGCGGCACCTGGGTGTAATTTTGAGGCCGGAAGTTAGGGTTATTCTGGACGATGCCCTCGGTGGGATCGCCGCTCTCGACAGAGACGTAGCCGCCGCGAGTGAGCTGCTGTCCACCGCGACCACGGCCACGGGGTCCACGTGGAGTGCCACCGTTATGCTGAGGACGGAATGGAAGGTCGGTAGCCCGGCCCCTGGCAAAGCCGCCGCGATCTCCTTGTCCGGTCACGATGCCCTTGAAGGATCCTCGTAGGGGCGGAGGGGCCGGCGCGTTTCGCAGCTGGCCTTGTCCATTGGGCCCGAGAGGCGCACCGTAGCCAGCAACGGTCAGCGGCGTCTGTTGCTGCTGGGTCTGCTGGCTTGTTGCAGCGCGAGAGTTGGCAAGCAGTTGCCGGTGGGAAACGTTCAGCACGGAGGAGGCAAGAACAGTCTGGCCGCGGAATGGAGAGCAACGGTCGCCAAGTGTTGTACCGCTCATGAAAGAAACATCAAACACCACGTCGAGAAGCAGGACTCGAGCGGTTCGCGTAAGACCAATAACGGTTCCGCGAGTGGCAATGGGAACTTTGCCAGAATCCTGAGCATAGACAACCCGATCGCCTAGCTTGAACGACTGATTGCCCAGACGATGTTCGACATCGGAAGGCTTAAGAAGAGCACTACGGGGAACCCCGCGAACCTTCTTAGGATGCATTTGTGCCTGCTGCTGTACCAAACTGTCGGCATCCTTTTCAATCAATGAGACTATATCGGAGTCCAGCTGCTCGGCATCAAGTGGAACTTTCTCGAAATTCTTAGCTTCAATGGACTTGAGCCAGTCCCGAATTTCCTTCATCTTCAGATGCGCATCCTCCTCCGCATAGAAATCGGTGGGGACATAACGGTCCTTCTGGGGTTGGCGTTGGATGCCAGCGATGAATTCAGGGAAATTGATCATGTACTGTTGAAGCAGCTCCACGGCTTTCTGGCTGAACTCCCAACCAGAGTCGCCGCGACGAGAATATCCAAGGACCTTTTGTTGCCGAGCCTGGAATTTCAGGTTCAGACCAAGGTTGACGCGCTGACCGTCCATATCAACTGAGAAAGAAGAGGTAATTTTGGCGAGCACCAGGGGGTTGAGGCGAAGATTACGTGCAATCGCGTAAGACGGCATGTAAGGGCAATAACGCTCTGCTTCCTTGACACGCTCTTTTCCAAATTCATTCTCGCGGCCTTTAACGGCTGCAAGAAGGCCGTTGACCTTGCCATTTTCATGGCCGGTAATATGGACTGGTCGTCCGTAGTTGAACTCGCCGAGGAAAAAGGCACGGGAATTTGCAGGGAATTCTTCCTCGATCGGGAGGGCCTCCCGTTCGATGAAACGCGCATCAGGATGAACCACATCGTCAACAATGACCTGGAGAGCAAAGTCGGTCTCTTGTCCCGGGATGTCCCCAAATTCCTTGATTGTGGCACCTTCTTCGGTCTTGTTCATGCCTTTCAGCAGCTGAATGTGGACCAAAGATTCGACGCTTCCGATGATGATTCCAAGCCGTTTGCTATAATTGCTTTCGATCTTATCAGCTTTCTTCTTCCATTGCTCGATTTGTTGTGGGGTATGCGGTATTGAAACGACATGCTGTTCGCCTGGAGGGAGAATGTAGTCGAACAGTTCGTCCGAGACACGGATCACAAGGGCCTCTTGCAGGAACGGGTATCCAACATGAACGCGCTTGCCAAGCTTTGTTTTAGCCGTTTCAATGTTGGAGCGACTCTCTGGATCAAGAAGAGTAATGATCTGACTCTCGTTGCGACTCTCTTGTTGGAACACGCAAACTCCGTGGAAGCCGAGTTGACCGGCATGCGGGAGAGTCTTGATACTGGGAAAGCCAGCCAAAGCGGCTTTGCCCAAATAGGCACCATCCATAAGTCCATTATATGGCTCCAGGCCATCCATTGTGGGCAGGTCGAAAACATTCTCAACACAATGGCAATTCGGAAGATCGGGGAACACCCCAGGCAAAGAAGAGGGATAGACAAAGTTCAGATCAGGAGAATAGGTGAACTTGAGACTGACCCCAAAATCATTTCGAGCCTTCTCTGCCGGGCTCAAGGCCTTCTCCTTTGTTTTGAGGGCATCCAAGAGTCGCTTTTCATCGATGAAGGGGATTTTGACAACAGCCTCCCATTCCATTTTCTTTCCATTCATATCCAGATCGAATTCTCGAGGATAGAAATCAATGATAGGGGAATCCGGCGAAGTCATGAGATCCCAGTAAGCAGGAGGTACAATTTTCTTGCTGCGATCGGGCAAGACACCCATCAGCTGGTCGAATGGGCGGAATGGCTGCCCAAGTCGGAAGTTCATATCAACACCGAGGCCCATGACCACGTCTGCCCTAATGTCAGTTGGGGGTAAGGGGGAGCAGGTTGTTCGTTGAGGCGCAATTACCGGAAATCATAGGGGCGTAGTGATACTTGAAAAACCAAGGCCACGATGCAATACCCCGGTAATAATAAAACAAGACCCATTGCAATCCTTGCACATAGTTCTCGGCCAACTTTGTCAATTCCTCCTCATTATCAAGTCCCCAGCCAAACTTGGACCGATAGTAATTATCCTTCCACTCTCGGAACTTAGCATCGTACTTCTCCTCCGCAGCACGCTGTGCTTCCTCTGGGGATATGTCCTGAATCTTGGCCTTCTCGTACTTCCGAATGACACGATGAACAGCCATGGATGCCTCCTCGTCACCATCATCATCACTTTCAGTATCGTTGTTGCCCTGAGGTTGAGGGAACTGAAGCCTCATGAATCGGTCCCCGCTATCAGTCTCCGTAGTGGACCAGGGAACACGAAGTTCATCCGCCAACTGCTCCACAAAGTTGCGATCCCGAGCTGGTAATGTAGGAGGGAAGTCCAAGGGCTTCGGCTCCGCGCTCTTACCTGGACGATTCAAAACGTACTGCTTGACCTTCTTGAGAAGATCCTTCTGTGCGGAAGTGATCGTCATTTCCTTTGGCTTCTTTTCCAGCTGAAGAGAACCATCATCGCCGTTCTGCTTAGACTTGATCCATTTCGCATCTGAAAATTCAGCCTCGAAAAACCGATGTTCAAAACCACTCATCGCCTCAACAAGAATTCCCAGTCGCTTCAGGTTAATCACACCCTCTTCATTGATATAACCACCCATCTTTCGTAGGACATCTTTGTAGATCTTGAACATGAGAGCCAGCGCACCCTCGTTGATGTGTAGATTCGGAAGGTTTGGCAAGAAATCGTTTCCAACAAAAAACGCCATTAGAATGAAATCATCAATGACACGTTCCATGTCGAATGGAAAGTTGAGAGCGCCTGGCTCCTCTAGCTCCTGGAATTCCAGTTCCAAATATTCTCGGACCAAACTCAAGTGTAAGAGATAGAAATTCTGATGTTCGAGTTCTTTGGGTTTGGATTTTGTTTGGCGGCCGAAAGTTACTTCTTCTCGAAGCAAACAGAAGTGCGGGTCATGGCTGAGCAGGCCCAGCATGATAAGATCAGCATCCAGACCGTAAAGACAGTGGCGCATATTTGGAGCATAGTCAGGTTGTGCTTTCGCGTTTCTGATGTACTCCATGATCTTGTGCTCACCCTCGCCAGGGACTTCATGGCCTGAGAGCACTATTTCCACACCTTGCCAGTCCTTGTCCTCGGAAATCTTCTTGCTGACGAAATACTTCAGCTGTTGCGTCAACTTTTGCATGAACTCGGTACCTGGTGTAATGCAGTTGCTGTCAAATGGGTCCTCTTTCGGCATCTCCAGACCTTGCTGAATAGCCTTGTTCTTCGCATTCTCGGCGTCCAGCGCCGTTCGGAAACGGCGCGCACGCTGCTGGTTCATCTTTGCGCGTGGGGCAACACCGTCCACGGCCATGAAAAACAGCTTCTTCGGTTTGATTGTCCCAAACAAGTGCTCGATATAATTGAAGATCGCAATGAACATCTGTTCCTCGGTCATGCGGAATGTAGGAGAGTCGCTATCTTTATGCGTGCAGTTGTGGATAATGCCGTTCATATCAAGATAAAGGTTGTCGAACTCGGGGATGCGGCTCTCTGCGATCAGCATTGAGATGGTGGGATACCGCTCGCTGAGCCATCGGAAGAACTTGGGAACACCCATGGCGAAAGATCGTGTCTCGTCAGAAAATCGAATAGGATAATATCGTTACAGATGATGGGCCGGCCGTGAGATTCGGCCAAGGTGGAGGGAGTGGAGGGAGAAGGTTGTCGGAAGAAAAGGAACAGGGCTTGTGACTAAACAGGAAGAGCCAGTCGTAAATCGAAGGATCTCGGATATGTGAAGAATGCGACGGGCGGGCGTCAGAACAGAAACCCGGCAAGAAGAAAACAAAGAAAACCACGCGGGCTTGGAGAGGAGGGGTGGTGAGAGATGAGGGAGCTTGCCAGCGGAAGCTCAGATTCCGCAGGTTTGGCGGTTCGAGTCACCGCCAAGTTTCCGCTTCCGATTATGGCCTAGTTCCATCCGGCGCCCATTAACGCGTTCTCCAAGCGGCGCGTTGCCCACGCTCCCCTTCCACCGTGGACCCTCTCCAACTCCGGCCAGCCGCCTTTCACTCTTATTCTGTGTCGCATTGTGCTCGAAATTTGATTACTAGGAAGATGGAGCCTTATGATGAGAACCCTCGTGAGTGTTGACAGCTGTCCCAGCTAGCGGAAATCTCGATCTAACATCGCACAGCTGCAGTGGAGGAGCAGGACCAAGATCAGGAGCACGAAGGCGAGAAGACCATCAACGAAGGTAACTGCCCTGCTCATGGCTGCGATGGTCGAGGGCCACTGGGATGGCTGACCTTTGAGCGCACACAGAATACAAGACATGGAAGAAGAACGCGCCTTTTCTCTACGACATGATCCTCAGCACAGCTCTTGAATGGCCCACACTCACGACTCAGTGGCTTCCGGATAAGCAGGAGTTCGTCTATCCTAATATATCTGTTAATGAAGCTATCCAACTAACGCATTGCCCTATACCAGAGTCCCCGATAAGCCTTATTCCACACACCGTCTTTTGATCGGCACACATACCGCCGGTGACGCTCAAAACTATCTCCAGATTGCCCATGTACAGCTCCCGAACCCCAATGCTCCCAATCCCGAAGACTATGACGAGGACAGGGGCGAGATTGGTGGCTACGGTGGAGGCTCCAAAAAGCCACAAATGGAAGTGAAGTTCAACATCGCGCAGAAAATCGACCACAAGGGAGAGGTGAACAAGGCGCGTTATCAGCCGCAGAACCCCAATATTATCGCAACCATGTGCACGGATGGTCGGGTAATGATCTGGGATCGCTCTAAGCACCCTAGTCAGCCGACTGGAAATGTGAACCCCCAGATGGAGCTTCTGGGTCATGAAGCTGAGGGCTTCGGACTCAGCTGGAATCCTCACGAAGCTGGTCACCTCGCCACAGGCAGCGAGGACAAGACTGTTCGTCTTTGGTTAGTCATTTTGCATGATTGACAACACGGCTGCCGAAGAAGAAAACTTACACTGGACTACAGGGACCTAACCACATACACCAAGGGCAACAAGGCTCTTCGGCCCACCCGCACCTACACTCACCACTCCTCGATCGTTAACGATGTGCAACACCATCCCCTGCACTCGTCTCTCATCGGAACCGTGTCCGATGATATCACCCTCCAAATTCTCGATGTTCGTGCAGCTGACACCACCCGCGCTGCTGCCTCAGCCGAAGGTCAGCACCGCGATGCGATCAACTCCATCTCGTTCAACCCCGCCGCAGAGACGATCCTGGCTACTGGATCCGCAGACAAGACCATCGGATTGTGGGATCTACGAAACCTGAAGACCAAGCTTCACTCGCTTGAAGGCCACAGCGATTCCGTACAATCGATCTCGTGGCATCCCTTTGAAGAATCCGTCCTGGCAAGTTCCAGCTACGATCGGAAGATCATGTTCTGGGACCTCAGCCGAGCAGGCGAGGAGCAGACTCCGGAAGATGCGCAAGACGGACCCCCTGAACTGTACGTCCTTTTTGGTATACTCCCTTGACTGTCCAACTACTAACTTTATCAGCTTGTTCATGCACGGCGGACACACCAACCGGATCTCTGATTTCAGCTGGAACCTCAGCGACCCTTGGGTTCTTTGCTCGGCTGCCGAGGACAATTTGCTCCAGGTGTGGAAGGTTGCCGATGCGATTGTTGGCAAGGATCTGGACGATGTTCCGACTGAGGAGCTGGAGGCATGATTTATTGTGCAATGGATTCTTGGCGCCTTCATTTTCGAACTAATTGCAACTTTTTCAAAAACTGTTATGGTTTCTGGCGAATCATCGGGTTGGTCATAATGATTTACAATTCAAAAATACCATTTGGAAGTTTCTCAATCCTTTACATTGCTGCCCAGGTGTAACCTTGCGGCATGGGATATTACCTTAACCTTCACGTGGACCCTTGGCATGTACCTCATATTGTATTATGTATCCTTCATGGATGTCCACGATGATTTCTGGCAAAATACACTACTGTAGTGTCAACCTTAGAACCCCGAGGTGGTCGACGGTGTAGTGTAGCGCACTGACGCGCGTGGTGTGATATGAGTATTTGATTTGATAGTCACTGATTGGTTCCAGCTTTTAACTTAACGGCCATGCATCACACCTTTTCGGGAGATGTGTACTTCGGATTCCGACCGATGGAACTATTCGACTAAATCGGTATACATGTCCATACTCGTAGCTCCGAATGCCCCGTCTGATATCGCCACAATACCCACTTTAGCAGCCTTACATACCTGGCGAAAAGCTGCTCCTCCTTAATGCTCCGAATTCTTTCCCTAGGGTTGATCCATCGAGTAGGGGATCCCGCGGAGGGGCTGTCGCCACCGGCGGGCGACCGTTCGGACAGGCAGGCGGTGTCGGAATAATGAGGGGATCTTACCACAATTGGACTAGCGCCCCGTGATCGGATTGCAATTGGAAAAAGTAGTCATGATGGCGCTGACAATGTGCTGCAAGGTTGCTCTTATTTACCTCTCACGCTCCTCGATTTATCTGTGATATCCCTCGCAACACCCACGTCGTCCGCCCAGTCACCATGGGCTCAGGTTCCCCCCAGAATCGAGGCCTTCGGCCATCCCGTCCCACATGCTCAACGGCAGCTCCCCACTACAATTATCCTCGTCGCCGGGCAGTGGCACCCGTGTCCGGGATGCTCGTGAGCGGGAGGTCCTCAATACTTCCATCAGGTCTTCGTTCGCTCCTCGCATCCCGGCTGGATTTCAACCGGCCGAAGAAGGCAGCGAGTCGAACGTGGCGGGGTCGTCCCCTGCTACAGATTCCACCCCCGTTGTCGGCGACACTGTTGCAGCTCCCCACGGTGCCTTGTCGTTGCGGTATGATAGGAGTTGGATTTTACTCCAAATATAGTGGATACTAATATGCTGGCAGTGGCCGACCCAGTTTGAACGACCCTCCCCGCGACCCCCGTGACGAAGGCGGACCATTGACTCCGCCGGCTACGGCGAGCCGTCCTGCTAGCCCCTATACTCTGAACCCACCAATTGACTTTGACGGACTCAGCTGGCCTTGTGAGTGATACCAAATTAGCTGCTACGCTGCGATGACCTGCCTAATGCCCTCGAACTAGGTCCTGGAACCAGACAGCGCCTGGAGTCAACCCCAGAAGAGAACGAACAGCGGATCCAGAAGCTTGCGGGTGCTGTGCGGACAATTCTGGAATGTGTTGGCGAAGATCCAGAGCGCGAGGGCCTACGTGAGACCCCAGAGCGCTATGCCAAAGCCATGTTGTATTTCACGAAGGGCTACGAGGAGAACGTGCGGGACCTTGTCAACGGTGCTGTTTTCCACGAGGACCACGATGAGCTTGTTATTGTCAAGGACATCGACGTTTTCTCCCTCTGTGAACACCACATGGTACCGTTTACCGGAAAGGTAGGTGATACTGCATATGTGTGCTGCGAATCATACTGACCATGTGGGGCAGATGCATATCGGATACATCCCGGATCGCCGCGTCCTTGGCCTTTCCAAATTGGCTCGTTTGGCTGAGATGTTCTCCCGCCGATTGCAAGTCCAGGAGCGCTTGACAAAGCAGGTTGCTCTGGCCATTTCTGAAGTTCTGAAACCTCGTGGTGTTGGCGTTGTCATGGAATCCTCCCATCTTTGCATGGTGATGCGCGGCGTGCAAAAGACCGGCAGCACCACAACCACTAGCTGCATGTTAGGCTGTATGCGGTCCAGTGCTAAGACTAGAGAAGAATTCTTGGCTTTGTTGCATCGGAGATAAGACATCTATCTGACTTATTCTATTGTCTTCGGCCTTTAACTTTCCGGCTTGGATTTGCTTACGACTTTGGAGTTTCGGCGGCGGCCTTTCAACAGGTTTATTAATGTTGGATTTTTTTAGAGCTATGTGCTCGGGCATGGTTGGACCCTCGTCTGTTTCCTTGTCTTTCAGATTTCCCCTTCTTTGACCTTTGCATACACCTTCAAACGGCAATATCTGCTTGTGCACCACTTCCTTTCTGCCTGCATACCATCATTTGCACTTTTCCTGATCGCTTGACATGGGAACCTACGACAAAACCTGAAAAATTCGAAACCTCAACACCCCGAGTTCCTCCTCCTATGCGTTCACTGGAGGAGAACTCTCTTGCTTTTCATGACCTCTAGACCTTCCTCAACGGGACGTTTTCACCGTGCGAATTTTGTCGGCGTTTGATTTTTGGAGACACAACCCCTCTTTGCGGCGCCGAGGCTGTTTCAACACCTGATGTTTCACAATGTACACTCAACACTGAATGACAAGCCATTGAGCTTTGTCTGTATATGTCTCAACCCTATATACCGAATGCCATGTACCACAGATACTACCCAAACCGCGATAACTACCGCAGTATTATTGCCAAACGTTTGTAGTCTCAAAGGAGGCTGCAACGTAGTAAGCATTCTCGGACATTCGCCTCACCAGAGATTCGAAAATATCTTGTAAGATGCCACTAGGAGGGGCCAATGATGATTCACAAAAATCATCGAATGACATTCTTATTGCTTTTCACCTGCTTTCACTCAAGGCGTTTAACCAGCGGAGTGCGCTGTTCAGCCCATGCAAAGTCCAAAAGGGTGACGTTGTCAGCGGAGGTAAAGACTTGGAGACTCTCAGCCCTGTCTTGACTCAAATGGTGTCGGACGCGGTCGCAGAATAATCCAAGATTGACAGCGGACGTGATACCGCCCGCGAAGGCGGCCAGCGAGTCACGCGCTCCTTCCAAAGATGCCGGACGAGGTGCGCTTCTCAGTGAATTAAGGCTTCATTCACTGTCACCGCTCGACTCATTCACCCCGAAGCGACGAATTTATAAACATGATGGAGTGCTACGCTTTTTTATCTTCGAAACACCCTCCTCTTTCAGCCCCAGTCCCGCCTTCCTTGCTATCTCATACCTTTCAATCACAAGATCCTCCGAGGTATTCTCGAAAAAAAAGTCCTTGAGCTGAGGCCATCGTGGAAAAGCCAGCCGCGGCTTCAATACCAGGTTTGGTGTACAAACGCCACACGCGATCTGCACAGCACCCGACAAAATCTCGTCGAAACCAAACTCGATCGGAAAGCTATCGAGTCCAGTCCTGAATTTCGACCGGGTCTTGTTTGCTGTCCAAGATGCTCGGCGACCAGGAACTTACGGATACACCTATGGAGAATAATATGGGAGATGGTCCCTTTTCCAATGGTACGTCGATGTCCCAGAATACAACCTACTGGGGTTCTCAGAGTCAACTTCAAGATCCTTTCGGTCAGTCTTCTTTTCGCAATTCAGCGTTTTTCTCCACCTTGACTGAGAACCCCAATCCACCCCAGCCCTCTACCTCTACATCGGTGAATTTCATCGATAGATACGACACCTGGTTTGATACTACCATGACAGGGGCTACCAACGATCCCCAGATGCTTGAGCCCTTCCAAGACATTACCGAGAGTCACACTCCTGGGCAGAGGACCACGGGTGAATCACTGTCCGCTGTGGATGGGAATGCTCCTTCAGCACAATTCCCAGTTACGCCCGACAATGATGCTTTCGCATACCCAACACCTGCAACTACAAACAATAACCTTGGGAACGTTTCATCCATGGGCCTGGGATCGCGTGGTATCCAGCAGCCAGCAATCCCAACCAATATGGCGAACCCCCAGGTAAGTGTTTCTTCTGGAAACACAAATCCCGCAACTGCTAACAATAGGTTCAGAGATCTTGCCTGGGTAGAGCTAGGGGCTCCTATTACCAACGAGCCAGCAGTCCTTGTCCCCCGACAAAGGAACCCAAGACCCGAAGCTGCAGCAGAAGCCCCTCCGCCCGGCCACTGGTGGTATCGGCTTTTCGGGACTCAGCTATTCGGGGATCCAAATGAGGCAGCTGGAACATCGTCGGCAGATGAGACAGATGAAAATTCGACGGCAGATGAGACAGATGAAACTTCGACTACATATAATCCCTTCCCGGCTGCGCAGTCTAGATCTGCTGCGCTCCAAGGGTACTTTCAACCTCGGCATGGTCAGCAAAGCACAGAATTTGGCCTATTCCATTACCTGATTCAACAGCAGCTTGTTGCTGGAATACCCTCTAGTGGTCTCCAGGTGATGCCCGACCTGAACTGTCGCCGCCAAAATCCAAGACCACGGCTCTCGAGAATAATGGAACTTTATAGGCCAGAGTACGGGTATGTCATGGAGGACTACCCGAGATACAATGGCACTGTACCCTCAATTCCCACAAATGCCCGGCTGGCACCTATGCAGCCTTCGCCGATGCAGCCTACACCTACGCTACCCATGAGTACTCAGGGCCCTGAGCCGTCTAACCATGAGGACTTCGATGTTTCGGATCGGGGACTAATGCAGCTGGAATCGGCCGATGAAAGCATACCTAGCCTTTTTGGTATCCCTGAACTCGAGTCACTGCTACAGATCGGATCCATTGACCTTGATGAGATGGAAGAGGATAACGATGGAAATGGCAACAATCTCGATTCGCTTTTTCGCAAATAATGGAAAGAATGGCGATGCGCTCGCCTCGCCTGTGGCATGTGCTACGATCTGGTTATCACCCTATTGTGTGTCTTCTAGCTCAACTCAAATCGAACGAGAAGCAAAAATAGTTTAAGGTACGAAAGGTAGTTACAAAATGAAACAACCCCATATCGCACCCTAGGGTACAGTTGAAATCTATAAAGATATCCCGTGTAGAACAAAAATCGAAATATGTTCTATAAGCTTGCAAGATCATTGGACCAGGGTATCTCGCCAAGTCGGATGTGCAATCAGACTCCCGGCAGCCTGATGATACGTACCAACCGCCACTTTCATTCGCCTCGACAAGGCCGATGAACTGATTTGCTTGCTAGAGACGAGTTGGATGTGATGATGCGACAAGATTACAGGTTCGACTGACATCCTATCGAAAGAAGGAATACCCCACCACTGAACCAAAAAGGGCAGTATTCGAGTGTTGTGGCACATTCCTGCAGCGATAATCGCTTTGACCTTGAATAGGGTGGCTTGGAATATTGACACCTATAGCCCAGGTTCCAGAACTTCAGAGACAAGAATGAGCAGGTCATGATCCACTCAACGACAGTTAATTAGGGGGCTTATTCTCCGGATAGATATAGGCATACACTGTCTACCTCGTTAGGGCAGCACATGCAACGCTCTAGTCTAGTCCCACGCTGTCACAGCTTGACGTCCAATCGTGCAATGCAGCTTGGAATATTGTGATCGCACCATGTCCAATTATTTCCCGGGGCTAAGTCCGTCACTGTTGGTTCTCAGGTATATAAAGGGCCTCCTTCCCCCAGCCGGCTGCATGCTCTAATATTCTCTTTTCCTCTTCCCAGGCCGGCTTGTATCGGCTTTCCTCCCTTGAGCGTGGCGACTAAGATCACGATGGCAAGCCATTCCAACGCGATTATTATAGCCGATGACGAGGAATTGCCAAGCCTCGAGGCAGGCAGCTCACGACCTCGGAGGGCCCCTCGCCGTGATTACAGTTACCGGGATTTCGAGAGCATGATCGTTAAAGCAGTCGAAGATGAGGCGAATACGACCCCATGACGCAAACACAAAAGAACTGAAACAAAGGAGCCGTCTGCTTTGGTACAGTATGGTATGAATGGTAATGCATATAAACCTCTCAATTTCAGACAGTGAATGGCTGAAAAGGTGGGTCTGCCTCAAATAAGGGACATTTTTGCTTTTCCAATGGATGGGAAGCTATGGTATGTCACACCATGTACACCACCATGCGCCGTAGTCTACATACCGTAGTGCTAAAAAATCCAGAATTACTGACGAGCCAAATCTATGCTAGATGTCCATCAGATGTTCAATTATAATTTGCGATTATGATGGTCCTAGCCGCTCTAAATTGACGGGCACCGTAAAATGCCCTCAGTATGTGATAATACATAACTCCGTAATATTACACCATGCTGCCGTGGAATTTTATGGAAGCCAATAGTGGAGTCTATGGAAAAGGCTACCTCACACCTGGTTCCTGGACGATCTGCCAGATAAGCAGAGCTTTATGCAACACCTTTCTTCATAGATAGCTAACAACCTCGGGGAAGAAGAGGAAACTGACGTCATTTTTTATAGCTATTGTAGTGGGGAGACCCCCTCCCCCTAATACATGGGTGCCATCCAGACTATGTGACATAGCCGGCAGTATACAGTGGCCGGATAGCTAGTTCTAGAATACACCTTCTTACACCTCCCCGACCTGACCCCTACATTTGGGGTTCTCGCTGTTTCCTGATTGCTACGCGTGTGATTGTGGTGGTTTTCTGCTGAATCGACCCGCACGTCTCAGCGCGTGCTGCCATCGAGCGTTCCCCTCTTCACTATATACAAAATCTGATAAAAGAAATTCGCCCTGATATGTGTCCCAGGGCAAGTGTGTCGCCATTGATCTCGAAGCATCGGGGCCGTGACTCGACAGGAAGCCAGAGAATCTTGTCACCATTCAATTTTATCCATTGGCCCTGCTCAATAGATATAGCTAGATTCGCGTGAGGTTGATGAGTTGTAGGATTGTCTCTCCTGGATTGAATATCATGAAGGCCAGCATTGGTGTGAATAGATAAACCGTCGTCAGAAAATTTTAATGTGGTGACCATTGTTCCAACATCCCGAGTTTGCAATAGGACCCCCGTCGCTGCGTCCCAAAGCCGCATTGTGTTATCTACAGAGCCGGAAGCCAACAGCCGGCTGTCAGGAGAGAAGGCCACTGACAAAACCAAATCTGAATGACCCTCGAGTATCTGGGTGAGCAGGCCTATCACTGGGTTCCAGAGCCGCACTGTGTTATCTATAGAGCCGGACGCCAGTAGCCGACCATTGGGAGAGAACACCACTGACACAACGGAATTTGAATGACCTTCGAGTGTCTGAATCAGCGCGCCCGTTGCCCGGTCCCAGAGTCGCACTGTCTTATCACTAGAGCCGGATGCCAGCAGCCGACTATCGGGCGAGAAGACCACTGACTGAACCCAATCCGAATGGCCTTTGAGCGTCTGGGTGAGTGCTCCTGTCACCGGGTCCCAGAGCCGCACTGTCTTATCCATAGAGCCGGACGCCAGCAGTCGACCATTGGGCGAGAAGGCCATTGACTCAACTGAACTTGAATGGCCTTCAAGCGTTTGGGTGAGCGCGCCCATCGCTGCGTCCCAGAGCCGCACTGTCTTATCCATAGAGCCGGACGCTAGCAGCCGACCATTGGGCGAGAAGACAACTGACTCAACTGAACTTGAATGGCCTTTGAGTGTCTGGATGAGAGCGCCTGTCGCTGGGTCCCAGAGCTGTATTGTGCTATCACTAGAGCCAGATGCCAGCAGCTGACTATTGGGCGAGAAGGCCACCGACTGAACTGAGCTCGAATGGCCTCTGAGTGTCTCGGTGAGCGCGCCTGTCGCTGGGTCCCAGAGCCGTATTGTCTTATCAGTAGAGCCGGATGCTAGTAGCCGACAGTCGGGCGAGAAGGCCACTAACTGAACCCAATCTGAATGGCCTTTGAGCGTTTGAATGAGCGCGCCTGTTGCTGGGTTCCAGAGTCGCACTGTCCTATCATAAGAGCCGGACGCCAGCAGACGACCATTATGCGAGAAGACTACCGACCGAACTGAACTCGAATGGCCTTCGAGGGTTTGGGTGAGCGCGCCCGTCGCCGGGTCCCAGAGCAGTATTGTCTTATCACTAGATCCGGACGCCAATAGCCGGCCGTCGGACGAGAAGGCCACTGACAGAACCAAATCTGAGTGGCCTTTAAGCGTCTGGGTGAGTGCGCCTGTCACCGGGTCCCAGAGCCGCACTGTGTTATTACTAGACCCAGACGCCAACAACCGACCATTAGGCAAGAAGGCCACTGACTCAACCGGACTCTTATAGCCTTCGATTGGCTCTGTGAGCGTCTGGGTGAGTGCGCCTGTCACCGGGTCCCAGAGCCGCACTGTGTTATCATAAGAGCTAGAAGCCAATAGCCGGCCGTCAGGCGAGAAAGCCACCGACCGAACCGAATCCCAATGACCTTCGAGCGTCTGTAGTTCTGCACCCCATCGTTCCTCAACTTGTGGTAACTGGCATATCCAAGTTGGAATCTCTTGTTTGAACTGTGTACGGATTATTGCTGTCTGGGGTGCAAATATAAGCCCTGCACAATAAATTTGAAGGGGCACTTGATCAATAATCTGGTGGTTTTTCATAATAAATCGCTTTGCATCGTGAAGAAAATTTGAAGTTGAGGAAGAGTCATTACCCTAAAGCTGTTAATGCGAGTCACATGACCTATCTGCGTAACTTACCGATGTGGCCGTTTGGAGACGATCAAGAATGCCTAGTATCTCAGACATAAGACCAAGTAGACTCATGGCTTCCACCCAATGTAGAAAATGTTTCCGTAGAAAATTCCTCTGCAGAAACAATAAAGCACTATATGCCATATTCCCGGAGTCAGTACATTTAACTAGATGATATGCCCAATATCGACAGGCATATTGAAACTCCGGGGGAAAGTACGCATCGACAGTCTGACGATCAACTTCTGTACGTTGGGTCCCATTACTTGGCAGCCGACAAATATTTTTTCGCAGGGTTTGACACATGAGGAGGCATTGTCTCGCCAATTTGTAATGCATTTCCGTCTCGTTTATCCCAAACGGAGTTTTTTTGGCGGTGTCTGGATCCAGAAGAAAGTCTCGAAATGACAGGTGAAAGAGTCGCACAGGTACTGTTTCATTATCCGGCACCCTGAGCACGGAGCGTAGTGGGTCTAGCCGAAGGTGAATAAGCCGCTCAGGAAGGTCCAGAAGCTTTGCAAGCGAGAGGACTGAGAGTGGATTCTCTAGTGTCACGATAGCTCCGATCACTTGCTGGAACTCGGAGACCAGTTTTTCTTTGTGTTTCTCGTGCTGTCTGCTGAAAAGATGATCAAGGACCGGAAGATACGTCTTGTCCAGCTTAGATTGGTCGTTCTGATGTGTTAAGATCTCAGTGAGACTGTCTATCGGGTCCCAGTCAGGTTCCTCCAATATACGACAGATAGTGGCCGCGAAAATGAATAACGGAACAGATAGTGCCACTAGCTTTTGAAACCGTTCGTCGCCGGGCCAGTCTGTTGGGAGGAAGCGTTCTGTTCTGATCCCTCTTAGTCGGTATTCTAAGAATAATGATATGTCATGCTTGATCACTTCGAGAGGGATGTTATGAAGAACAAAGTCCCTATGAGCATCGTCCGCAATCTTCAAAAACCCCAGGCGAATCGGTAGATCAGGTCTACTAGTCAAAAGCAGTCGTAGACGCATAGCCGCTAGATTTTGTAGCCGTGGGAGAAGTTGGAGTATCATTCGAATATCACTATCTCCCTCGCATTCGTCTAATGCGTCAATCACTATCACCATGGTCTGGATCGGGATTCTGGATCGCTCGAGGCTTTGGAATGGTTGAAGGAGGAGTTTCTCGAATTGCTCTCGCAATGTCTTTGCTGTGATACCCGGGTTATCGTGGACTGCTTCCTGAAGGACTGGGGTGATCTGGGGAATGCTAATCGCTAGCTGCCTTGCGATTGTCGGGAAAAGCTTCCTAGCATTCCCTCGATCCCCCTCGCCTCTTTTGAAGAAAAAGCTTGCTCCCAATAACTTGGATTGGCTGAATGATGTTGCCGTTGTCCGAGAGATGGTCGATTTTCCTGTTCCCGCTACTCCATTCAACCAAAATATGCACCTGCCCTGGGGTGACACAGCCCATTCTCTGATTTGGGAGAGGAGATCAGTTCGTGTGCCTGGAAGACATTGATCTTCATGCTGATCTGCGTATGAGTCGAAAGCAGCCCCAGGCACGGGGGATAACTTGTCGTCAAGATCTGCACAAAGGTTAGTACGGTCGACACCAAATAAAGGTCTCGTAAAATACCCAGTGGAAGATGAAACTCGTTTGTGACCGAACCGTAGTTGATCCCTATCTCTGATCCATGATTGGAGCCACGAAATGACACCGTTGAACTCATGATCCATGGAAAGAGAAGACCCTTTGGCACTTGGAAGGAACGTGCGGGGTTAAGTGACCGAATGTGACAGGAATAGAATGTCCGCATGTTATCTTCTGGCCCACGTCATCGGAAGGAGTGCCGGCCCGAACCATTCCCCACCACGCTCACTACCGAGCCATTTGCCAGGCAGAGATATGTTGTCATTCGGCTCGGGTTATTGTCGGTCCGCATAGAAGATACTGATCTTGCGTCGAGGGCCTTCTCACGACAACCACGTACGTTTCATTTAGTATTTATTTGACAGCGGAATTACGAATAAATTCATGGAAAATAACATGGAGGTGAGCTGAATGGCCCCCAGATATTTAGCACTGCAGATGACTTTCTCGAGCATGGTTCTTTGTTTAGAATCATCGGCGCCCCAGGCGCATATGTACACTATATTTTTGGCAATGAAGCAGAAAAAATGTGTATCAGGACAACCGCCTCTTTAAGTTCTTCAGAAGTCCGTAAATATTTCCAAAAATAGTAGTGAACAGGATAAACTTTATTTAAAGAACTATTCTCGGTATAAGCCTCTTTTGCGTAATTTTAGGGCCGCGCATCTGGGAGGCAGTCACTGTAACTACTGTAACGAGCCGGTTGAACATGAAATGGATTTAAGAAGGCACGCGCATAAGAAACGTCGACTAAAAATCTAGATGAATGTTGTTTCAGCCAGCTACATTCTTGTGGTATTCCACGGTTTCTTGGAAAGAGTATACTCCGTGTCGAGAGAATAGGGACCAGACATACAGGTACTTTTCTGTTTTGCCACCATTCATCAACGTATAAATGACTGACTAATGTCGAAAGGCGGCGCAGGATGTAGATCTTCTTCGAAATTATACCGATCCCAGCGGTTATTGGGTCCTGGATGTGGGACTCTTCATTGATCGTATGCACTTAGTGAACCTAAATTGGTTGTTATTACCCTTCTGACAAGAACAGATCTCATTCAGTCCGGCATTTGCCTCGGTAGCTACCCGGCGTTTCGCCGAGAATACGTCGAGCATACGTTCCGCCTCGCATTGGGTAGAAGCTTCTTGGACTCTTCGATGTGATGTGATTATATTCACAGAAATAAGCCTGTGCCCACAGGATGTGCACATATAAAGCTTGCTATATACCTACCAGTCTCCGGTTCGTCTGTGCTGACGGCTAATTCGGACAATTTATCTGTCACTATAAAATACTATTTTGTTCTCAATGCTTTCCACGTGGAACCTGGGATACTTGGAATGGTGTTCATTACATGTGACAGTCTGACGTTAGTTTAAGAAACTTATGATACCAAACACGACGTGCGATGGCGAATGTGTTAACTGATAAACAAGTTTGCAAGCGTATCTATCATTCGAGAATGGAGTCCCTATGATCGGGATGCACATGAGTCTTAGTTACCGCTCTACCATCACGGTAGTCGTCCAGCAGGTTGTTGACCTTCATCGCGTCAAGTCCGTCAATAACTTGAAAGTCTAATGGCTTCAGCTCGCCATTTTCGATCCAGCCTGGCAACTCCCTCCAGAACTTGGCAGCCAGCTCTTGGTGCAGGTCACTAACTCCGAGAACTTGGTTTTTCTTGAAACCAGCGGTCTTTGTAGCTGCAATTGCAGGATCAGCCTCTCCACGCACCAATGTTACCAAAGACCCTTTCTTCGTGGTCGACAGAAGCGAGAGCGCCAGCCGGTGGCTGACACCACCCGAGTAAGCACCGTTGACCGTGTCAAAGGCGTACAACAATTCATCGCCGACCATCGCACGAATCTGGTCTTCCACATCCGCTGCCTCCCGATCTATGATATGAGTGGCACCAAAGTCACGGAGTGATTGGCCCCCATCGATGCGGACCTTGGCTGTTGCAATAATCTTCCCAAAGCCTGCGAGACGAGAGAACTGAAGGGCAAATTTCCCACTATTAGAGCCGCCTCCAATGATGACAATCGCTTCTTTCGCGTAGTCCAAATCATGGCCCAGGAACTTTGGTGCCAAATCCAATCCCGACGAACTGAATAGGGCGATAAAACTCGCAATGGCATTGACGGGGAATGTCGCTGCCATGTCAAAGCTAATATGGTGTGGTATGTGAGCCGCAAAGTTTGCGTCGAGGATGCAGAACTGCTGCAAGCCAGCTTGGTCAGGACCACCCGACAGGATATTAGACTGCCCAACGACGCGATCTCCAACGGAAAACTTTTGGACATCTGGTCCTATTTTCTCGACAATACCACTGATGTCATTTGCTAGAATCGCATGAGGCAAGTAGTTCTCCACAAGTACACCTCGATCTCGACCCTACAAGGGATTAGAATTCGACAAAAAGACAATTCTTCAACGAGTTTTCTCCACCATACCTTTTGGTCATGAGGATTAACTATGGGTTGTTAGCTTTTTCTTTCATACAATTAATGCATTAACGGATCATACTTCCTGCTGTAATGATCCTCACAAGAACTTGATTCCCATTTGGCTCAGGGATAGGTCGCCTGCCTAGTACCAGTGGTCTTTGGACCTTTTTGAGGATCAATGCTTGCTGCTTATCCATTTTGTGTAAAACACTCGTTTGTTCCGCTGAGTTGTAGAAGGAAATTGAAAATATCAAGGAAAGTAGACAGAAGATGATCCAACAACCCATTGATCTAAAGTGAACAAGCATACGTAACTTCGTCGCCCTATTTTTAATGAAACCATTAATCAGCCGAAAATGTTAGTTAACTAACAGTATTTCTAATCAGACCTCTGACCTCGGCTAAGAACCGATATGATCGCTCATTTTCGTAGGGGAACCTTATCCATCGCGAACTATGGTAGCTACTTTGACTACTCAAGGTCTAACCGGATCAGTCACTAGTTGGGACAGGTCCATTGCTGAAGCTTCTAGAAAAAAGCTATTTAGCAAAACGTCCCACTCCTACCCTCGGCTGATCTGCTCATCGCTCATCGACGAATCTCGCTGAGTCATCCGTCTACTTTGGGACTCTCTCCGATATGACCACTATGTCCGATCGGGCAAAAACAACATGAAATGGGAAGTTGCTTGAGAAAGGCATAGTCTTCCGGCGCTTATTCATGGCTTCAGTTTGTAATCATCACTTATCTGCCTGTGCATTCATCAGCTTTCCATCCTGGGCTGGATTCGTGCCAATTTTCGAAGGATCAGCTGTGAGACAGCCAATCGAACTGTATAAGTAGCTCCATGGCGCACATGGAATTGGAGGGCATAGAAGCTAATTATTGACATAATCTGCACGTCAGCTATGATCGAGTTTGGCTTCCAACTACGGGCTGCAAGCTGCATGCATATCTTTGCTTATGCAGCCCCTCCGGCGAACGATCCATTCGATCTACGCCCTTTTCATATTGAATTATTAGCTAGAGTACCTCCGATGCTCGATCAGATCCAAAACACTCGATTTCCTGAACGGTTTCCTTATTCCGGCGTTGACTCATTCTTTCGGGATGGACCTTGATGGACCTTAATTTCCTGAAAGCGTTGCGAAGAGAATGGGTGACTGGTTTCAACTGGGAAACAGAACAAGATTCGATGAATCGGTTTGTATAGACACCTTGATAAATAATCTCTATTTCTATCATGACATGTAGGTTCAATTACTACAAAACTCCGATTGAAGACCTAAGCATTCACTTCGTCTTCGAGAAGTCTGCTGCGCCAAACGCCATACCGCTGCTTCTGGTCAATGGCTTGCCAGGATCTTCTCTGGAATTTGCTCCGATCATCAACCAATTGACCAAAGAAGCGACGGCCTCTTTAGGAAAGTCTGTGTCATTTGATGTTATCATACCTTCCCTCCCTGGTTTTGCTTTCTCATCCCCTCCTCCGCTCAATTGGACGATTACAGATACAGCTCGTATATTAAACACGATGATGGTAGATATCCTGGGATATGAAATCTACGCAATACACGGAATGGACTGGGGAAGCGCTGTTTCCTATAATATGTACGACAAATTTAACGAAACCATCGGTGTGGTACATTTTGTATTCCTGCCCTTCTATCCGTAGACCCCAGGGGAACTTGCCACTGGGAATCTCACACTCTCCGAAGCGGAGCAGGTTGAAGAGCAAAATGTGATGAACTGGGCTAACACGGGTAACGGATACTTTATTGAGCAAACTACGAAGGCAAGCAAGATCCACATCGTTGTGAATTAAGAACTTGCTCTGATCCTCTCCGCTTATTGCAGTCCAATACAGTCGGCCTGGCGCTTCAGGATAATCCAGTAGGACAAATAGCTTAGCTTGGAGAGAAATTTATGAATTGTGAGTGCACTTCTCTCACATCAACTAGTCATTACTAATCCAATTATCGCGAAGGGTCCGATCCAAATGCCGGAACATGACCGTCGGTACTCAACCCTGAGATATTCCGCAGCGAGTCTCTGTACTACCTCACTGAAATTTTCGCCTCGTCTGTTCTGATATACTTTCAGAATCCGAACACCTGGAAAAAAGAGTACTGCAAAGCATATAACGACGCACCGCTCCTGTTTAGTTCTTTCAGATATAATGTTGGCTTCTGGCCCGCAAGGCTCGTTTCGAAGGTTGGAAACTTGGTGCTCTATAGAAGTTAGTATACACGGACGATTCTTTGAAGATTTGTATCTAACACGATGTATTAGACCACTACTTTGGAGGCAAGTTCCCTGGCTTGGATAACCACCAGATATTGGGCTCTTGATTTTGTTGCCCGATACAAAACGGTCTTCTGCATCTTGTCCGGGAAGTATGGGCTAATCGGCATCTTTCATAAATTACTACTTTTTACGACCTTCGAAGGGCCCAGCCCATTAGGACACCGGCCGAGGTTCAGCAAATCCTGATGACTAATCGGTCTCAAGTTGCGACCAGATGCTGATGAGCGCCTCGGTAGGCATGCCATTGGAGCCGAAAAGGCTGGGGTCCACTACGTCACCCTCGGTAGCTTCGTTGACTAATCATGCATCTCTTTGCACTTGCGGTTGCATCGACATCCGAAAGGATCTACAGCGGCTTCCACGAACGCCTAAACGTCTCTTGCCTATAAAAACCAAGAAGCCAAAAGTAAAATGACTTCTAGCTGTGCTTTCGAAGACCAACACCAACCCGACAAAACCAGGCACGACTCAAAGTTCTTTGTGCGATGGATTCATTGATAGCAGAGTCATGGTTAAAGGTGATGGCATTTCCAGCACCGCGCAACATCACATCGTCCTCCGCGCTATTCACTAACTCAGTTTAGGTAGAAAATGCCATTGGCCAACGGCCTCAATTGACCGGCGATGTCTTTGCCATGCGGGAGCAGTATAAGGCACTGGCGGATGGGGCAAATGCAACCCGAACCATTTCGCCTAATATTACCGTCGGTAAGAGCGATTTTCGGGCTCCTGTTACGTACGAAGATAAGATGTGATCCCACTCACTGTGCACACAGAAGATATAAAACTCAGTCCCAATCTCACCGTGAGAACTTACACGCCAACAGTCCGTCAAGCAGAATCTAACCCACGTCCAGTCGGATTGTACTTCCACGGGGGCGGGTTTTGCTGTGGTAATTTAGACTCCGAGGACAACTTCTGCAGGCTTCTAGCCGAACGCCTGCCTTGTATTGTCATCTCGGTGGGCTATAGGCTTGCACCGGAGCACAAGGCCCCCGCTCAGCTGGATGATGCGCTCGAGGCTTGGAATTGGGTGAGTTGCACAACTTACCTCACCATCTCACTCTGACAATTAAGTTTTGCTTACATTTCAGGCTTACAACAACGCGAGTACTTTGAACGGTGATCGTGGGAGATACTTCACTGTTGGTCAGAGTGCAGGGGGTAGCCTCGCTCTGGCAGTGGCACGCCGATTGATCGTGCTTGGCCGGAAACATGAATTAAAGGGAATCGCAGCCATTTCTCCGTTCGTTGTCCACCCGGATGGTGTTCCTTCGCGTTATATGGCCCAATATCGTGCTTTTGACGAGCTCGGAGACGGTCCCATCAACACGAAGCAAGCCATGACCCATTTCTACAGTTGGTGACGCCTGTACATTGACAAGCCGACATTTCGTTGACCAGGGTGGTTACAGAAGCAATCCAAGCGCCGCCCTGCGACCCAGACGTCTACGTTCTCAATGCGGAGGCGGATTTACACCAGTTCCCTCCGACCTACCTTGCAGTCTGTGAGATTGATCCACTGCGAGATGACGGCCTTATCATCCACGACGCCTTGAAGAAAGCTGGGTATGTTTGCCTTCTGCTTTAGTCCCTGCCTATGGATTTTGTTCAATCTAACCTTGCTTGCAGAGTTTCTGTAAAACTGGATTATTACCAAGGTTTGCCACACGTGTTCTGGGCCTTTGAGTGTCCTGCTCCAAGTGGTGATTTCGTGGCGGATGTCATGGCTGGTATTAGGATTTTCACGAATACTTGACAGATCATTGCCGCGCAAGACTAGGTCGACAGTGCTCAATATATGCCAGGTGCAGGGCGGTATGTTATTTGCAGCAATGCACTGAGAGATTTCCGTGAGATATGGAAGATTGGACAACTTTTTTCTCAACAATAGGTAGATAATATGAACAGAGGAAAGTGGAAGACTGATTTGGGCCAAAAGTGGACTAGTGATCACTAAGTTAGAACTAGCGCAGAGTGAAACAGACTATATCTTCAAAGCAGGATGGACGTGCCAAAATGGAAGTTAACTGTAGAGAAATTGTCGGAATGAAGCAGATAAGTAAATTCCCCAGAGTCGGGAGATACTAGTTAGTTAACTAGTTTAACTAGTTAGTGTAGTGGGGAGACCCCCTCCCCCTACTACATGGGTGCCATCCAGACTATGCCACATAGCCGGCAGTATACGGTGGCCGGATAGCTAGTTCTAGAATACACCTTCTTACACCTCCCCGACCTGACCCCTACATTTAGGGTTCTCGCTATTTCCTGATTGCTACGCGTTGTGCCCATAAACCCGAGGCTCTCACTTTCGAACTACCTACAGCATCGGCTTTTGCGGATATCCAATAATGGAACGCCTCTATATCGGACATCCTCTATTACTAGAGGAAACTGTCCCCTATTCCGCGCTTACTCACAGTGACCAGTTAGCAAGCGTAACATATTCTTTGGCATGATGACCTAGGAAATATTCTATGATGGTATTACTCAAAACTTTAAACTGATCAGCTCTAAATATATATTTTTGCGCCACAAACCAATCTATAATTGGCGGGACTTTGTAGATATGCTAGATCCACTATAGAGAGTATACTTTAAAACCATGAGCTCGGATAATCCATAGTTGTTGAGATATGCAGTTGTTAAACGTCGCATTTCATGTAGTGTTTTGGGGGTAACGGGTCGTAGGTGGTGGCGACTCACTAGTGAGCTACCGGGTTGAGTTTGTAATCGATGATGCGGAGAACAGGTCGACAGAGCCTTTAAGCGCATAGTCCACAGACCTACTATTGTTAAGCATAAATCAGCTACAAGCCTGCAGAGATTAAGATTTTCTAAGTCCTGTTCGTGTAATATAGAAGCCTAAGGGGCGATCATAGAACTCAAGGTTAACTAGCGCTAAGTCCGAAAGGTTTGTCAGCCAAACTAGTCCCACGAGCTAGGCCGAAAGAGGAGACAATGTCATCGAGTCTATGCATCTATAACTCGTAAGAACGGTTATTTGGTTACATAAGTTGACTCTGACTGCATACGTTTTAGCTACATAAAACTTGGACTAATTTTTGCACTCCTTTTCTTACCGAGCACCGTTGTCGTAACGCGGCGGGGCGACGACTGAAACATGGTGGTAGTCATGCGGAAAGCCCTGGTTCTCGTGGGTCGGCTCCCAGGGGCGTAAGTCTGTGTCACTAAATTGGCCGTGGCCGGTACTCCAGGGCTCGACCAGGTTGGTCAGGTTCTGCTTCGAGGACACTCCAAACGCTAAGACGTCTACATCCATGTTCGACTCCGCTCCATAGACGCTGGCAGGATCTAACCGCTCTGGATGCGCCGGATCGCACTGCCACATGGCGAAGATCCGATCAACGTTCGAGTGGAGCAAGAAGACGAACGGGTCGCGGAAGGCAAAGTGCGGGCCGACCTTTGCAAAGTAAATATGTGCTTTGAAGTGAACGCTTTCCCAGGCTGTTCGGAAAAAGTTGGGCATGGTGTTGGCTTGGAAATTGGTATCGTTTTGATGGTTCTGGGCAATCGCGGGGCCGAAGTTCTGAAGACCCAGGATACGGTTCTCCTCGGCTGCGGTCATGAAAGGAACCGGTGGGGGTCCCGTGTAGGTATTAGGCCTAGTGACGCTCATCGGAGGATCGGCTGGATTTAAGCTGACATCTCGGCCCCTTGGGTGGCCAGGTGTGCCAGCTTGCGGATCATAGAAGCCTGCAGAAAGCCAAGGTTCTCCAATCTCTCCCTGTGGAGACCCCATGAAGTCGGCATCGAATAGGTTGACTGGACCAGTGTTTCCTGCTCCCAAGTTCCCGTTAGGGATGCTGCGGGGATCTTCTTTGAAGTCCCAGTAGTGAAGCGACAGCTGGGGATTGATCTGGCGCAGGAGGGCCTCGAAGTGATTTGTCAACTCGCGATGCCATGGGAGGAACTCGGGACCGCCATGGACATGGGTGGCTTGATGAATCTCGTCCTGTTTAAACCACAAGCTGACGCCTCCCGGCGGTATCTCGCTAGGAGAGCCAGGATAGTACTGCTGGTTCAGCTGCTTGATGGCGTCGCGCAGCAAGGCGCGTTCGGAAGGATCAACATGGGCAATGTTTCGTCTGATTCCGTCACCGAGGGTCATCTTGCTTTCCCTCTGTTATTAAGCTTGCTATTTAAATGTGAGCACGAGGTTTGTGCTAGGTCCGATGTATATATTATTCAGCTGCGTTTTCAGTCTTGGGCCGTAATCGCGGGCTGTTTTATGGACGAAAACTTTTTCATCAAGCTACAAATTGTACCGAGAACATAAGACTTTACAGATGATACTGACGTTGCTTTTTCGTCATATTTACTAGTTCACTTTTCGATCGTTCGAGATCCAATTTCATGCCACTTACGGAGTCCAAAATGCTTGATCCGATAGGCTTCGTGGAAGGCCTTGGATGATCATGGACGCTTTCCGTAATTTGCGGAAGGGTACAGTAGTCGGGACCCTGCTATCTATAGTAGATCGCTCTGGACTTGGGAGGAGGCGAAAAGCCTATGTAGCATTAGGTTTGGCATACGTCACGAACCTCGGCTTGGCAGCCGTGAGTTCGAGCTGATCAGATAAAGTACCAACTAAATTAGATGGCTGTGATGAGCGGGCAATTCTGAGCATAAGGAAACACGACTTGATAAACAGCCCAGATAGGTGGCTGTATCCATGTTCACGAATTTCCTGGAAGAGCATATCATTGCAGCCAACAGCTTTCTATTCCTTTTCATGTGCTGGTCCATATGTAAGATTTATTCGGGCAAGAGTGGGTAGGGGTTGGGGTAGGGGTAGGGGACGCATAACGAGTTGCAAGCAGCTGAACCAAAAAGTCCAATGAGAGTTCCGAGCCACCGGAAAACTATTCCGGCTTCTAGTCGTTTTGCCAAAAAGTCTACTTGTCGCGTTGTATCTCAATCCGTCGAATCATAATCAGAGAATTGAAATATAAATATCCGTAAATCGTTGTAATTGTTCTAGACAGTGGAGGTGCTGTTTGAATTGCGTTAGCTTTGTCCAATGATATTTCCGAGCTGCACTGACGCTTAACTTCAGTCTTGAGAGTGATGGAAATTCCGTGGTACGGGCCAAGCCTTCAACAATGCCTCTCCGCAAACGGACAAGCGAATGTTCGAGATTCGGGAAATACTGCAGAACGTCGCCGTTATCATGTGAGGTGACTACCTGAGCTTTTCTATGTTCTTATGCTATTCTAAGATGCTCTGCACCTTGGTGTAGTGAGCGCGATTGGAAAACTCCTCAGCTCTTATGATTATCTTAACTCTGCAAAGACACTTACGTGGTAATGCCTTTTTAATCCAGTTGTTGTTGATTCCCAAATCCTAGCCATCCATGCCGCTCTCCTTCCGACTGGCGGTAATGGGGAGGTCCTGCTCTTCGGTGGAGACGAACATTGGGTAGAACAGCAGGAGCCCCATGGCAATTTCCGTAAGACACGCATTTACGATGTACAATCACATTCGGTGGTTGGGAATTCCATTCCCTCCCCAGACAGCGATGTCTTCTGAGCTGGCCATGCTTTCATCGGAGACGGTCGGCTACTTATCATTGGGGGAACTAGCAAATGGCCTAACCCTAACCTCCCCGGTCATCCACAACTTCTTGCCTTCGGAGGCCACCGACATTGCTGGTTGTTTAATCCACTCGAGCACAAATGGGACGAAGTAGCTCAGCTCCTACCGGATCCATATGGGGATGGCGCATCCGGTGGAGGTCGTTGGTACCCAGGTGCACTAACACTGGGAAATGGTGATGTTCTTACGCTTTTTGGGCATGTCAGGGAGGATGACTCGCGGCATCGTAACGCCAACCCGGAACGTTTCAATGCGAGCTCAAATAACTGGTATTTGATGCCGAAGCTTGCCATTGATTCTCCTATCCATCAGCCGGACAAAGGTAGCCCAATCGTCCGACCCTTATTCGTTTCCCGCACCTTTCAACTTCCTGATGGACGGCTTTTCTTCGCAACAGCGATGCCAGCTGAATGGGAGACCTATACTGATAATCCCAATCGTACCGATGGGCCTCACTTCAGCACATTCTACGATGTCGTGAACGGAACTTATACTGGTCCTTTATTCTCTGAACCTACTGGTTACGATAATTGGAGATTTCCTTGTGTGTTACTTCCTCTTCTACCAGAAGATGATTACCATCCGCGCGTGATGCACTGCGGGCGAGCGGAAGCAATGCGTATGGACCTTAATTCGCCTGAACCCGCATGGAGACCAATACGAACAACCCAGAACATTGATCGCTTTAACAGTTGTGCTGTATTACTTCCCACCGGACAGGTCTGCCTTATTTGGGGGGGGGGGGGGGGTTGAGTCTCAAGAACCCGATAATGGCCAGCTCATACCAGCTGAGATTTACGATCCCGATATTGACTGGGTAGCTGGTCAGTACAGGCCAGGATTAGGCAACTGGACTGTGGAAACTGGCATGCCAACACAAAGTCGCAACTACCACTCGGCGGCATTGTTGCTTCCTAATGGTTCGATTTTGACGTCTGGAGGGAACGCTAACGCGCAATCCGGCGACCCAGACACAGTCGGTGTCAAGCGAATTGAGCTCTATGACCCTCCGTATCCAACCGGCACACGCCTTCAAATATTTAATTGCCCAGCTAAAGTGACATATAATGAAGAGTTTGAAGTGGAAGTCTCTGCAGCTGCAGAAGTTCAGCGGATTGCGCTAATCCGCATGGTTCATGCACCCATGCCTTTGACTTCGATCAACGTTACATCGGCCTCTCACTCATGAGTCGCTCAGACAAAAGTAATTATTTCAGGACAATTGCTCCTCGAGATGGCAACTTGGCTCCTCCTGGGTATTACATGTTGTGGGTGGTGGACAAGGTCGGGCGGTCGTGCCAAAGTTCGAAATTTGTGCAGCTCTGGTAGTGGTTATCCCAGTGACACAGCTGAATTGCTTTAGGTGCTTTATCAATATTCGAAAGAGGAGTTGAATGTACTGTAATCATCTCGTCTTGATGCCATTTAGTACGCTTCACTCTTACTTTTTCATCCCTTTTGCTTCTGAGAAGGTACGCTGACAGGGAAGATGGGCCGAACTAAGTCCACGGCAGAAGAAACGACAGTGAATTCTCTATCAATTGGATCGAGCTGGAGACATATACGCCTATGAGAGAAAAAAAATCCGATGCTGTTATCCCTGACCGTTTCCCACCAGGATTTGTCAGTTAAGATACAACTAATGCTGGGACTCTCCACGGCATTATCTGGCTAATTCAACTTTGGCGCCCCTACACACAAAAGGACTGATTCCTAATTAGTTAACTATCTCTTTCGTCCCAGCCCCGTCTTTTCTGGTGGCCTGAACTGATCCGGACCCGGACACGGAACATAGATTCACGGTCGCCACTATCTGGTTTCCAACCTCCGCATCTTGACTCCACATTTCTGACCCAGACGTACTGCATTTCCAGGGACGGCTTCAACGTCAGAGTCTTCCCTGTCGTATGCCTTGTGCCATGCTCATCTCTCGACCTGTCCCACTGTTAACTCTTCTCTTGGCTATCATCAACTTCCCCTCGGCCGGTTGCTCATCCACCCGTGGTATCCCAATCGTGAAAGCCACCTCCACAATCTCCATCATTAGCCCCCAATACCTCGAAGGTCATGTTTACTGTCTGTTAAATTTACGTCGAGCTTGTGTGGCAGAATTAAATCCCAGTTTATCAGAAAGTGAACAGAATGAACTAGTAATTTAAAGGTTCTCGCACCAATTCAATGAGATCGTGATTCTTTCCGAACGTGAATCGTTGTTTTGAAATGCTCGCCTATAAGAATATGCAGGTCATTTTTTTTGTTGCATCATGAACACCCTCAACTGCGTTCGCAACTCCATCGAGCAAGGCCCTATTCTGAGGCGGCCTTTCATCATTTGCGGTGAGAAAAAAAGTCTGTTGAATGGCTTGCTATCTTCAGGGGCAATTAGTATGTTAATTAAGTATTTCAGACTTGAAACTTGCTGTATTGCTGTCCTGGGTCAAGCTATCGCCATTGCCTGCGTATTTCCAATATATACATTCAAAGTCTGAGAAACACCTAGCTACTGCTGTACACGTAGATCACTGAGCTGCCTTCTCACTCTACTTCCTCACATGTCCTTCACCAGAGAATCACTTCTTTCATCCCACCAAATAGGGCTGATGATCCCATAATCCGAGCCTCGCATTTGGAGAAGGGTACTTTATGCCTTCGCAATGCGTTAGCTACTCAGTTGTGACGCTCTAGTCACCCGATCTACTCACTAGTCGTTGTTTATGCCTGGCGTAGGACATTCTGTGTTTGGAAAACAACAGCCTCCGTGGGGAGATGCTTCGCGAGCAGAGCTGTATCCCAGTACAGCCAGACCTCCCTGAAATTCAATCCGTCCACAGCATCGGCGAGGTCAGCAGGGCCGATAATAGATATCCAGCTGAGTGGGACGCTGACAGTCGGCTCTTCGGTGTTGTTTCCAGGAAGCCAGATATTGCGGGTCCACTGAGTCATGATGGTGGTTGTATCATCATCATTTTTGACTTCCCAGAGGCTGTGGAAGTCGTGTCGCAGTCGTTCAAACTGTCCGAAAAGACGCTTCATCCACGCCCACATCTCGTCTCCACCATTGTACTGGGCGTTGTTCTGGTTGTGGAAAATGACGTTTTTGGAATAGAACCGCAAGCCAGATCCGTGGTTGAAGCCATAAGAATCAACTGTATCAACATATTTTTTAAAAAATTGTTGAGCTGGAGTCTCTGGTCCGGACGTATCCCAGGTAGGAGCGAAAACACAGCTTACCAACTCAGGCATGATTGGAGAACAAAAGTCAACGAAAGGAGACACGGAATAGGACGAGAACTCTCTTGTTTGATCTGAATTAATGTCTTGATATTCGCTAGCATCTTATACTTAGTTATGCTGACGCCACCTCCGGGAGCCGAAGGGTCTGTTCTGCGATTTCTTGATTATAATATTACCGAGGCGCAAGTCGTTTCACATCTTCGTAATCCATGGAAATGTACTAAAAAGCCGACATTTCAATTTCCGACGACCGCAGAAACTATAAAGTACTGTGGGTCAAGATCGCTACTCTCGGGTTCCCGAGGTCAAAATGATCAGTAATCGCTCGCCACCTTAGTTCACCGACATCTGGGTGACAGTTCTATTGAACTATACCCAGCATTTATATATAGACCTAAGAACAATTTTGCAATTTATGTGTGTCAAATTCCTCTTCATTAATGAAAGTCGATTCAACCCCAATTCTCTACAATATGGGTCTCGACTACAAAGTATTCACCAGCAGACGTTCCGGCGTGAATCGGTCCACCCCAGCCGGTCACGATCATCTCAAGTGGGTGCCGACCACTTCGACATTGATATTCGGCCAAAAAGATGCAGTGCTGGTCGATACGCAGTTAACTATGGCTGCTGCCAAAGATTTGGTAGACTGGGTAGTAGCCACTGGGAAAAACCTCACGACGATCTATGTCTCTCATGCCCATGCCGATCATTTTTATGGTACCGGTGCCCTCCTCGAGAAATTTCCAGAGGCAAAAGTAGTGGCTACGCCGGAGACTGTCTCTCATATGGCTGAAGCCATATCTCCCGAAGGGATGGACGCCTTTTGGAGAGATCTTTTCCCTGGTCAGATCCCAGAAAAGCTCGTGATGGCCACCCCCCTGGAGCAAGACCACTTCATGTTGGAAAACGAGCGATTGGAAGTGGTCAGACTGGGCCATACAGACACAGATGATACAACGGCTCTCTGGGTGCCTGCAATCGGCTTGGTTGTTGCGGGCGACGCAGTCTACAACAACACCCACCCATACCTTGGCGAGTCGAAATCCCAAGAGGCCAGATCGAGATGGGTGGAAGCGCTCAGTAAGATTGCGACCCTTAAACCGAGAATTGTCGTTGGCGGTCATAGTGATCCATCTAAGGGATTCTCCCCCAATGCCGTCAAAGCGACCAAGGATTATTTGGATGACTTCGCGCGACTGGATGGGCAAACATCCACTCCGGAGGAATTATACTCCCAGATGATGGAATTGCACCCCACTCGACTGAATATCGGCTCGCTATGGGGAGGTGCAACGCTCGTGAAAAAATGATTCTATGTGTTCCCCATGTTGACCGAGTAACCAAGGGTTGAATTAGTGCACCGTGATTCGGTATTAGCTTGGGATAACTAAGAGCACATTCCTTGTCATTTTATTATGAGAGGATATCTTCTTAAGAAATTTGTACCAATAATGCACTCTGCTGTTACCAATAGGTATATACGTAGGTATACTTCTCAGTGGCAGAGATCGATCTTACAGACTTCTTATTATGATATAGACTCGAAATTTGCGTATCTCGAGCCGTCAAAAGTAATTTCAAGCCTCAATCATTAATAGTTGTGTTGTGGCTGGTTTCTTGTCAATGACGTCTCAACTTATAAATGCACTAAGACATATCAAGAGGACTGCACTCTATTATTGGTGGCGTGGAGAAAGTTTATATATGCAACAAAAGAAATGTCCAATTGAATCAAATTTCATTCTGCGAATGAAACGTTGGAGAACTTGATCCGCATGCGTTGCGCGTGTCGCGTCTCAAGAAGAGCCAAGCCATTTCCCTAAGAAGTCAATCTGTCCTTGAATGTTCTGTTCAAACCAATCCCCGGTATAGATATCAAAATGACCTGCGCCATCAATATACAAAAGCTGCTTTGGCTCTCTTGCCTTTTCGTAGGTCGCCATCTGAGATGCCGTGGTGACAAGGATATCATTCCCGGGAACAACCATCAACAGCGGTGTCGGCGAGATACGATGCACCATACCCTGTCCTTCAAACGCAAGCATATTGAGCTGTGTCTGAATTGTAACAAAATTCTCCCAACGAGCACCGCAATCGTACGAGCCGCGCACCTGCTCGTAAGCATGAACTCCGGGAAACATGGCAGTAGTGGTCCCTGACTGCGCTGCTTCCAGATTTTCCGCAATAAGCGGAACCCTTTCTGGTTCTGATCCTGCAGTGATACGAGCACGCTCTTTCAGAATGCCAGGGATCCGGTCTTTGAAGGCCAAGGATCGCGTCTCTCCAGAAACTGCAGGGCACTGTACGATAGCAGCCTTGATCCGTTTGTCCACAGCGGCTGCGTATAGAACATTTCCTCCGGAGAAACTCGTGCCCCAATATACTATGCGAGTATCATCCACACTAGGGAATGATGTTGCGAAATTGAACGCATCGTAGTAATCGGCTTGTTGAAGGGTCGGGTTTGACTCTTGCCGCGGTAATCCCTCACTATCACCCCAGTTCCGATTATCATAGAGGAGTACATTGTACCCCGCTTGCTGGAATCGATCCGCGAAATTCGGGAGCCAATAGTGGCGGACACCACCCAGCTAGTTGTAATAAACGGACGAGTATCAGCCAATTTCATAGGAAAATCCAATATCTTAATATGTCAAGGTGTACGCACCCCATGGGTCATGATCACACATGCCGATTTCTCAACTTGGGGATAGAACCATCCCCGGAGCATAGTGCCATCGCATGCGTTGAACTCAATGGTTTCACGAGCGAGGACCATTATCGCAGAGATATTGATTGTAAGCCGAAATTGAAGATTGCCGAGTTGGCTGTTTGAGAACGACAAACAAATTAGCAGAGGCAATATTATATTACTGTCTTCCTGCTCTTTTGCGAGCCTCGGTTTTACAAAAGACGAGTAATCCAGAAAATCATCGAACCTCCTTGAGCTTTCGGTTATTGCTCTAGCCGACCGAGCCGCACAGCAAATTATGTAATACCTGCATCACGCAAGTTAACCTAGTTAACTAGTTAAACGCTGTTGTGTCCCTAGTAATCCACGACCGAGGTTGCTCAAATCATCAGCCAAGACATATCAAGCTTTTTATTATGCCGAAACGGCGATCGTGTCTGCGTTCTTCATTTTGATTGGTTTACGTGTAGCCAATCATATTCAATTTATTGACTGACTAATACAGAATCAAAGTTGGCTAAACTATATTGGTAGGAATCTACGAATATGGCTCTCCAATCGCTCAATATAACTTACGCATCACGAAGCGATAGAAGGAATTAATAGACTACTAAAATTTTGCAGTAAGCGATACAGAAAAGCATCGTTTCGTCTATGTGTTGACTTCATACTGCATACTCTGCCTTAGTAATAACAAGGGGTGTTTGGGGGGGGGGGGTTCCCTTGCGTCCTTTCATTTGTCTTTCATATATGTATTTACCAGAAACAAAGAGCGGCAACGTGGTTAATCACCGTTTCATATACAGTCCATTCAGGTTAATCGAGAGAGTTTGTAAGTAAAGCAGCTTGTATAAGCAATCAAGAAGCATGCAATTCGGTTCTCGGGGGAAGTTCGCAAGTATCCGAATGCGCCATCATTCGAAGCCTTGTTCAACGGAGCAATCCAGCCTCAAGAAAATGGAGCCCCTTCGCCTGGCTCTTCTACCCCTAGAGCAAGTTTTCCCACAGTGGTTGCAGACTCAATTAGCCGATGAGCTTCCTTCAGTCCAGCAAGATTCAACTTAAGACGTTTGTTGAGGTTTGGTACCAATTTGCCCTCGTCTATGTAACGGGCCAAGACCCCAAAGATTCTGCCATAATTCTCCAGATTGGTACGATGATAAGCTGACGAGCCTAGCCAGTCCCAAGAGAAGGTCATCGACTTTGACATAAAGTCGGTCCCATAGAGATCGAACTTGGCTTGCACGATTGAGCAAACTTTGGCGAAGGGTGCACAGATTTTTCCTAGGGGGTGGATATATTGCTCCGTCCTTGCGACCACGTAGACGTACCTGGAAGTACTAGTGTCAGTTTTTGAGATGCAAAGAACACGACAGTAAGAGAGGGCGGAGCGGACCTTATTGGGACATCCAGGTTCAAGGCTTTGATTTGGGACTCGAGATCCACCCTATGATTCACAACATGGGTGGCACCCATTTTCCTGCATGACTCCATGGTCTCAGGTCGGGATGCAGTTGCAATCACCACGGGAAGTTGCAAAACTTTCCTGGCGATTTGGATGGCAGCACTTCCAACTCCACCTCCGCCATTGATCTAGAACGGTCAGATGTGTGTTCAAAATGCAACCAAGGTAGCAATAGCCATTATAACGTAGGCTCAATGCATTAGTGAAACTCACAATCAGAATACCAACGTTTTCGTTCTGCTTAATCTCCAGCCTGTCAACAAGAGACTGGTATGCTGTACCGAAGGTCAGGCCCATACTAGCGGCTTCCACGAAGTCAAGCGACTTCGGCTTCTCGGCACAGAGACGCTCATCAACTAGGAGGTACTCTGCAGCACTGCCCTGGCGAGTAGTGGAGCTCACGTAGAAGACATCATCGCCTGGTTGTAAATTTGTGCACTCAGGCCCGACCTCTAAAACGGTTCCGGCACCGTCAAACCCAATGATATGGAAATCCTTGGGCACAAACTTGTAGTAGTCTTTATTTGATAAGCACGAAAGTCTCTCAAAATCAAAAAGTAGCAGTATCATTACCTGGAGCGTCATCATAAGTCCCTTTGCGAACTTTCGTGTCGATAGGATTCACAGAACAGGCCTTGACTCTAAGTGACGTCAGAATTAATGTGGCAGTATATTATCTGCGAATACTCACTGAATAAGAATGTCCATTCCTGTAGGGCTCTCCGGTCGCGGAACGTTGCGAGACTCGAAGTTGTCGACTGCACCATACTTGGCAACTCCAATTGCTTTCATTGTTTTTGTTTCCATCGTGACAACGGTTAGACGCTTTCTCACAAGGATCCTAGGCAGGGAGTTTAATTCCTATTTTATATTTCAAAAAAGCAAAATCCTGTACTCTCAAACCGAGGTTTTGTGAAATATGATTATGATATCCTGCTGCATTTATGATTATTCTTCTTACTTCGGAGCGGTAATCCCCGAACGCCGATCTCGGCACCCTGAAACATCGGGCCGCCACTTTAATGACAATAACACTTCCATCCTTCGAACGTTATGATAAAGTCTAATTCCATGGAATATGGCTTTCCCCGGCTTTTAACCTGCTCTCACTATGTAGTAGTATGCGACTCGGGTATACTGGATGATGATTGGCTTTTAACTATAAGTGGGGTATATTATCACGTGACACACTCCTTCCGACTCCCGAACTCAGCCTGACGTGACATCAACACCACGAACTCCTCCATCAACGTCGATGGGCTGGAACTGTCGTACTGCCCCCGGGTCGCTGGATGGCCTCATCACCATGTCGTGCTCTGCACTTACAATCTCTTTTCTGCTATTGTTTCTTTGATTTCTACATATGGATGACAGCGTTCGGGTCATTCTGTCACAGCTCAGCTCACCCGGTCGCAGGCCGACCTCCAGGTCTTAATGGAGCCGCATCTCCACCAATTTCGCCATTCAGCATGCCACTCTGTGATATTTGAATACTCGACAAATAGTTCTGCTGGGACACGTGGGGCTTCCTTCCATTTGAGAGACTACTCGACCGGAACGCGGGGCTGAATAGACACTCACTGGCATCAAGGCTGCAAAATGAAGATTCCAACCTTGCCATACTACAAAACCGCCGGATATCAGATTTGACATGCCCAGGGAACGTTGGTTCTCATAATCGTTGTGCTTGACCTTGGCGACTGCTGCACTGTTCACATATGGTGCGCAAGAGCCTTGATTTCATGATATCCTACGAATGACCGGCCTCCCCCTCCCTCCCAAGAAGTTGACAGTGAATGGGCTTGGATGGAATCCGCCTACATTTGGTCTCCAAAACAGAGGAAGTGTGCGAAGCGACGGGGTTATCACCGTTCTACCCCTCTTATTTAGCCGTGGTTCGGTATCTGTTCTTCGGATTGACATGGCGCATGTCTTTTTGCTGTAAAAACTGGGACCAGGTCTGCATTGCAGTCAGACTATCGTCCCGTGTCACCGATGGCTGAGGAGGCCGAGGAAGCGGGACGTCAGCTTTGACAAGGATTCCAACACGAAAGCTACGCACCAGCCAGTGAACCTGGGCGGGAACTTCCGATGGGGGGATTTGCCAGTCTACCGACACTGCAGGAAATGTTTCCTCGTTGCTCTGGGCTTCCATTAGCAATACGCCGAGCACAGAGGTCGTCGTGATCGGCATCGGCGTGCGGGGCATGATCTGTCCCGGATTCTTGCAGATGTCAGGGAGCCCGGGTCATGTCTGGAACAGAATTGCAGCCTTGGCCTTTCATTCTCAAACGTAGATAGATCATCCTGGGAGATGGTCCCATGAACCCCGGATTCTTTTGAACAGAGGCGTTCGTGGCACCCAAAAAGGAAGAAAGAAGAAAGAAACCAAGCAGCCCATTAACCGGCTCGAAGGCTACAGGGATGACCAGAGGTTTGCTCTGCAGAACTAACTCATGAGCCAAGAGGCCACCAGGGTGCATTCACAGGAGACGCCACTGGCAATCGCCAGACTTGCAAATTGCGCAACTTGCTTTCGAGAAGCCGAACTGGGCCCCACCGGAACCTCTGGAGTGCCAGGTGAATGCCATCGCTTCGGAGTTGTGTTGTAGAGCCGCATCGCGCCGCACGCGCCCTGGTCGCCACCTTTCGGAACAGCCCTAAATTCCCTGGCACCCATTCACTTTCTGGGCCGAGCTGGGCTATAAGTAAACCCGTTCAGCTTTTTTTTAATCTTGAAAGGGTGCGTTCTCTTTTTCCCTCCCTCGATTCTCCGCGTGAAATCTCGTGCAAGTCAAAAACTCACACCCTCGACAGTGCTCGGAAAAACAGCTACCCCGACCCGCCCAGTTCTCTCAAGTCGAACCGCGGACACCTCGAATCGGGTCCACCTACTGCGCTCAAGTTCGTTCAAGTCGACCTACCTGACTCCTATTCATCAACTCCCCACGTGCTGCCGCCGCCTTATCTTTTCCCCCCGTCGAACGCCAGATGCTGGCGACGTCGCCATGGCTGGGTCCCGCAGGAGTCCGGTGTTAAGAGACCAGTGGAGTGCCGACACCGATCGCGATCCCCGTGACAGGGACCGGCGGAGAGGTCGAGGGTCTCATCAGAATCGAGGTCGTGGTCGATACAGGGACAGGGGCCGTCATCCTCGTGGTAGCGATCGTCATTATGACTATCCTGGACGTTCGCCTTCACGCGCGTCTCGCTTCGGACTGGACTCATCTCACGACTCGGGTGCTTTTGCCCCAGAACGATCGCCTCCGCATGGCTCGCGAGACAACCCTTCTGGATATCACGAATCCCGACGACCGAATTACTCACGCCCTCCACCATCCGCCGATTGGAATGCTCACCCCTCCGGCTCACTAGAAAGAGGCAACGCGGGCCCCCGACGAGAAGAGTCCCCGCTTGGACCACCCCCGAAACGCAAGCGGACTCGCAGTCCTTCCCCCGGTAGTCGCCGTGGATCCTTTTCAAGTCGCCGACCTTCCTTTAGTAAACCCGGCGATAGACGTGATAGGAGCCCTTTTCGAGGTCGTGGCCGGTTTCAAGGGCGTGGCGCTCCTCCACGTCGAGCCCGGGACCGCCGAGGAAAAGACCGCCGTCGCTCTGATATTCCACGACGAGGATACTCACCATCGCCTGTTCGAGACAGGGGCTTCCATCCATCACCGGACCAACGCACTCGATCGCCTAGTGATGATTACAGTGATCGTGATTATCGACGGCGGACTCGATCTCTGTCCCGGGAGTCGGCTCGATCTGTGTCATCACGGGGTCATGGACAATCGTCTCATACGCGGGGTTCACCTCGCAATGAGCAAATGAGCTCAAGTCGACCTACTCAATTCGCTCTCAGGGACTCGACACGATCTCCATCTTCTACACGTCCTACTTCAACCCGTGAATCTCGCAAGATGAACGACGCCGGTGGTGACTCTGCGAGCATGCATGGGATGCGATCATCGGACGTGCAAAAACAGCGCCGACGATCACCACAGTTCACGTCACCGACAAATTCTCGTCACGGCTCGCCTCAGCCTAGCTCCCCATATCGCAGTGGACGAGGTACGAGTGGGCAGCCTCATTTTTCGCAAAATGGACACTCGGGGCAGTCATATAATTCACGTAGTGGACGTGAACCCCCCAAATCATCCTCAGAGCCCCTCTGGCGGACCATCATATCGCGACAGCCACTCCAGTTCTCGAGGAAATCATGCAAACCAAGGACCAGATCGTCGACTTTCTGACTCCGGGCCGCGCAACAACGGCCCTCCTTCACATCGCAGCTCCAGAGGCGATCTCAACAGCCTACAATGGACCACATCTGGGTTCCATGGTCGTGATGGACAATTTAGTCCTCGCGGCATACATGGCCACGACTCTCAAGCGCTCTCAACCAAACCCTCGTCTACCACTGATCCTCAATCCCCGAGGACGATAGAAGATCAGGACCACGCTGCACCTGCATCCAGGGGCATTTCGAGAGGGAATGACAAGTCTCAGGTTACGAATGGAGATGCTGGTGCTCAGGATATACTTCCGCCTGCCCGCGAAACGCAGCCCTCAACACCTGCAGATAAAGGCGGGAAGTTTAGCTTCACCTTCAAAAAGGCGAAGACCACACCAACACCAGCTCCGAAACCCGTGCCTGACCTTGAGGAACGAATGCAAGTCCATGAACCGCCGCCTCGAGCTCCCCCCGCCCAACCCCGATCACCTCGCAACCGTCTAACGAATGGGCCATTGCCCAAGTTCAAGCCTGATTCACGATTCGACCGTCGTGATCGAGACCGACGGGATCGGGATAGAGACCGGGATCGCGATTGGAATCGTCGTGATTTCCGCGATGCTCGAGACACGCGAAGTATCAGGGAGTCGCGTGAGCGAAAAGATGATAGTCGTTTTGGCCAGCGCCGTGACCGAGGTGGGCGGGGTGATCGTCGTCCAGACTTCCGACAAGATCGCCATAGACACATGTCCCCAGAGCCGTTGAGGGCTCCAGAGCCGTTGAGAGAACCCCCACCAAAACAAACAAGAATCCTCACACGCCTTAAGCAACGCCCGACGCTTTCGGAGGAGTTTGCCAAAACCAACTCCGTATATTACCGCAAGCCCGGCAACGAATCCGTCATCGGCGCGGGTACTTACGGAAAAGTCTTCAAAGGAATCCATGTTTACACTCAGCGCCAAGTTGCACTCAAGAAGATCCGAATGGAAGGCGAAAAAGACGGTTTTCCTATCACAGCCGTGCGCGAGGTCAAACTCCTCCAGCACCTTCGCAACCACAATGTCGTCAGCCTGCTAGAGGTCATGGTTGAACGGAACGAATGTTTCATGGTCTTTGAGTATCTTTCGCACGATCTGACCGGCCTGATCAACCATCCGACTTTCTCCCTCTCCCTAGCCCACAAGAAGGACCTGGCAAAGCAGCTGTTTGAAGGGTTGGACTACCTCCATCACCGAGGTGTCCTTCACCGTGACATCAAAGCTGCCAATATCTTGATCAGCAACCAGGGGCTACTGAAGTATGCGGATTTCGGATTGGCCCGGTTCTTTTCCAAGAGTCGACCTCTGGATTATACAAATCGTGTGATCACCATCTGGTACCGGCCCCCGGAGCTGCTGCTTGGCGAGACGCAATATGGCCCCGCGGTGGATGTATGGAGCGCCGCGTGCGTTTTCATTGAAATGTTCACGAAGAAAGCCGCCTTTCCGGGCGAGGGAGGTGAAATCAGCCAGTTAGACAAGCTCTACAATAGCCTGGGTACACCAACTCGGAACGACTGGCCTGATTTGGTGGAGATGCCCTGGTTTCAGTTGATGCGACCTACTGAACGGAGGAGTCGAGTATTTGAGGATACATATCGTGATGTACTATCACCGGCCGCATTGGACCTCATGTCCCAAATTTTCCGTTACGATCCTGCCAAGCGGCCGAGCGCGGAGGAAGTGCTGAAACACCCATACTTCACATCCGAAGAACCAGCTCCGCAGCAAGCACTAGAGTAAGTTATAAGACCTCCGACCCGCCCTTCATCTCGTCCAGGCAGGTTTACTAACTGCTTCCAGGCTGGAGCACATTAAAGGGGACTGGCATGAATTCGAATCCAAAGCGCTTCGGAAGGAAGCCCGGCGTGCGGCCGAGCATCAGAGCCAGAAGGAACGGGAAAAGCGCAAGGCAGAGGCCTCTGCGCCACCGCTTGATCGAGACGCGAAGCGCATCCGACAAGAGCAGCAATAGCGTGGGCCAGATAAGAGCACCGATTAAATACAAAGACATTTATGCTACGCTAGTTGGTACTTTTACCTTGTAGAAGTTCCTAGCTTTCTCTATAAATTTCGTATGCCCGCACCCACATCTCACCGTGTCTTCGTGGATCTGTAGAGCCACAGGCCCTTCTCCACGCACCTTTTTACATCATATGATCTTGCCCTTTCGGGCCTCCAAGATCTTGGCGCTGTTGTTTTTGCAGGCCTTGCCTATTCGGACAACGCAATCTGTGATGATTCCCCTCACTTCCCCTTCACTTTCTTTCGCTTGGCTACTTCGATCCCTTCTACTGTCAGATGTGGTATACTATACAGTTCCGACATATTAAGTAATAAGCCAATATTGGTGTAAGTCCATTTGCAAGATACCTACTTTGTCTTTTTCGCAGACTCAACCATGCGATCTCAAGGGAAGCCAGAGCCCTGTATACTGCGGTTTTAATTTGGCAGGGTGCTTTTCATGGTAGGTTGCAAGGGCGAATATTTCCAAATTTTGGTGCTTGTATGAGATTTGCTCTATTATGTCTAGCATTGCGGGTGGTCAGGAGTGCAATGCATCTTCATTCGTGGTTTGTTTCGGTTCTGCAAGGCAACAGGGCTCATTCGTGACATATTTCCTATAGACCCTGACGACGATATTGCTCCTAAATATGAGTGATTTACATGAGGTCCCGGGTGCCATTCGGTAGCGCATGTAAAGATATGTGTTTGTTATTGGGGAAGGGGACGGGTAGAAACAGGACAAGTGGCTCGCAGAAACGATATCTTATACCGGCGCCCACTATGACATTTGGAGTTATTCGAGGACTGCAATGTCTGATTAGCGACTGTTTGCGAACAAGCCGACGGCCTAGTATTATGATAGAGGGTAGGATGGGTTCGTATCAGACTTTGCCAATCGACCTCATGCCCAACCAGCCCAGGCAAAGTGATTTTACCCGATAGGAGGCGGTTGAGACGTTGGATTACCAGAGAGCTCATGGATTATCATCATCTAGAAGGGAAGGGCGTATGGGAGGAATCACGGTGGAAATTCGAGTTCTATTCGTGAACATACCCTACAGCTATCGACATAAACTTCAACATTCGCGTAAGCTTGGGAGTGTGTCGTCAATCAGGTCATCAACGTATCATGGGAAGCTGAGAGCCCTCGTGATGATGGTTTTAGATGCGACATTTTGATCTCGACACACTCATCGGAAACGCCGGTGCAGGGGAGAAAGCGAAACGCCGACGTTGATTTGAGTTGGTGGTCTTGGGTTAAAGAAGAAGAAAAAGAAATGGCGAAAAAATCGCGGCTTTTGATCGCCGCCTCGGGAAAAAGACGGTGCGGGCGGCAGGCGAGGCCCGTGCTGATTGGCCGCGATGGAGCTGTTCGAGTCTCCAATTCATCTGCCATCGTCTGTTCCTTTGAAACGAATTACTCCTCCACGACCCTCTCGCCTCGCAACTTCGACTACGATCCCGCCTCCCTCGCTTCCTTCTGAACTTCATCCGCCCGTGCCCTTTCATCGCCTCCCGACTTCTCAACGATACCCCTCCCGCCTCCTCAATTCCGCTTCCTCCGCCGACCACATCCATCCCGCCTCTTTTCCTGCGCGCACCTTCGCATCTTGCTCCCCTCACATACATCACTAAATCGACCAGAGTCCGCGCGTGTCCCTCCATTGTCGCTCTTTACAAGCCTTTTGTTCTCCCGGATGACCTCTCGTGTCTCCGCCCGCCTAACCCGCCGCGATGGATAATGCCAACCTGTGGACTCGCCGAGCAAAGTAAGTGGCCTTTCTGTCGCTCTCCATACGAACAAGTGATACTGACAACTGTTTTTTTTGGTGCGCAGCTCTTCCAAGTTGTCCCTGTCCATGTCCGGGACGGATGGCAAGGACGGTGCTCGTGTTGAAATGCCCCGCTCATCCAAACGGTTCGGCCCTGATAGCTCCCACGGGCGCTCGAATCCCTTTAATGCCATATCCCCCATGTCCGGCGGTGTCTCATCCCCGTCCACGAACGCATCATCTGCTTTCGGTCTCGGATCCGGCGCCTTCGCCTCATTCGGCGCCCCGAAGACACCCGGCGGTACCTCAGATGTGAAAACCTCTGGGGAGAAGCGGGATTTCTCCGGAGACAACGAAGAGGCTCTCCAGGCCAAGGTCATGGCCAACTCCGCGGTTGCCGGCTTTGGCGAGCACCCGCTCAAGTCTACCTGGATTGTTTGGTACCGTCCTCCCACACCCAAGTACTCCGACTACGAGAAGTCGACGGTACCGCTCGCGTCGATATCGTCAGTGGAGAGCTTCTGGGCCGTGTACTCGCATCTCAAACGGCCATCCCTTCTGCCGACAGTGTCGGATTATCACATTTTCAAGAAGGGCATTCGCCCTGTGTGGGAGGATGAGGCTAATAAGCGGGGTGGCAAGTGGATTGTTCGTTTGAAGAAGGGCGTGGCCGATAGATACTGGGAAGACTTGCTCCTGGCCATGGTGGGCGATCAATTCGCCGAGGCTGGCGACGAAGTTTGCGGCGCCGTGCTGAGTGTGCGTGGTGGCGAAGACGTCTTGAGTGTGTGGACGCGAATTGATGGTGGGCGGAACATTAAAATCAGGTAAGATCAGGAGCTGCGTTGCTGGGAGCCCACCTGCTTTGGAGAATTTGAGCTAATTCATGCCACAGAGAAACAATCAAGCGTCTGCTCGCCTTCCCTCTCGACACCAACATCGTCTGGAAAAGTCACGACGACAGCATTGCCCAGCGCTCTGCCATCGATCAGGCGCGCCAGGAGAAGGCTGCCGCGGTTGCAGCTAACCCTGGTGCCCACCTCGGAACCGAGCGACGGCGCAACACGCATGATGACTCGGATAAAGGCAAGGGCGTCGCTCTTTCATGAACCTAACCTCGAGCTTGGCCTATGGGCCCTGTACAGTAAAGTCATTTAAAAAAGAAAAAAAGGATATCATGCACAACAATTACTCATTGGGACGCGTTTGGGTCTGGGGGACGGTGGGGCATCGAGGCGAACTCAGCGGTTTGATTTAAATTTATGTCTTGAGTGGACTCATTATGTCTGTTCCGTTTTTGTACCTTCAAGCTCACGCGTGATGTTTTCTGCCTCTCTTCTTTTTTTTTACTTCTCTCTTTTTTGTTCTTTTTCATGATCTATACAAAACAAGGCTGCTGCATCTGCGGATGGATGTATGTCAGTATAGGTCTAACTAAACTCACGCTATTGTATCAGTCGGGTCGATGGCTCCTAATTACCCATCCCTGGCCAATATGCTCAATGTATCTGATGATTCCTCTTCTTTCACTCCTAACATTTGACATATCTTAAATTCTCTATCTTCAATACCATATTGTTCATTTGATCTGCATTGAACACTGCATCTGTCGCCTGCTTCCGGCAAAACGGGCGCCCGTCGCTGACCGCCTTGTGATAGAAGATAGCAGTAACTTTGACCGCATGGGATATTTCGCGCCCATGCGCGAAGAAAGATAGCACTTAGGATGGGACCGATGCTGCGCATGGTCCTGTCATAGTCGAGGCGCTGCCCGAATGCCTTTCTTCAGCAGTCTGAATGAGATCCTGACCAGCCTGTCCCCGCAACGCCTTAGTCAACGTCAAACCGACAATCGCCAACAACCGACCCAGCACCAGCAACCACTTCTGACACGCGAACACTCGCCAGTACGCCGGCGAGAACTTTCTCATTCACTGACACGAAAAGGTCGACAAAGGAAACGATCCCGCCCCGAGTTCTCTCTTTTGCTACAGGACGAAGACGCCCCGCTACACGAAACCGAACTCTCCCCTCCGCACAACATCACTGCTCCCCCGCAGGTACGTTAGCTTCGCAGTACGGTTTCTGCTTCACTGCGGCATCTCTTTATTCAATCTCCTGTGGCGTGCACCATAAATGGCCTGAGAAGAAGACATGCTGCGGATTTTAGTCACTTATCGTCAGCATTGTCGCTCATCTTTTCTCTTAATTTCTGGATTTAAGCCCATACTGATCCCACATTTTCTACCTTCAGAACTCCCAGAGTTATGCGAACAATTCCAACCCCAATTCTGTATCTACCTCCATCCGTGGACAATTGCGATCGCCGACTTCGCAGTTCGCCATAGATTCTACAAGTGACAGGTAGATCAGCCCTTTCAGCGCGTCTTTACCAGCGGCCACGAGCTAATTTTCACCGCCGCCAGCTCGAGCGACGATACTTCGCAAATGTCGAACAAGACCAAAATTCCCGATGACCGCCAGAACCGCGCAGAAGAGGCTCGGCTATTCGGGGCGACATACCGGTATGCCCTGCTGCTGGTTGTTGGTTCGCATGAACTGAAGGACATTAGGCTAACCTTCTTTTCTTTCTTTGTTAGTGACAAGAATGCCGTGAAGATTGTCCCTGGAGCTTCCAAGAAGAAGGTGAATCCTGGGGTATGTTCCTGACTATGTTCTCTATCGTGGAATATGTTCTTACTCCCGGTTTTCATAGGCTTCAGCTGCTCCCAAGCCCATTGACAGGATCTCCCATAACCAACGTGATAGTGGCCCGGTTCGCGCCCAGGGTAAGTCTGCCCAGGGGAAGGCAGAACTTGCGTCCTATCCCAAAATGAATCGGCCCCGCGCCGATGAGGCTCTTGAGCCCGAACAATCAACTCGCCCAAGCAAACGGCACCGACATGATGGCAACACCAAAACACACGACCTGACATATGGCAAGTATACTCGCAAGGGCGGGGATATGGGGCACAGGCATCATGCTTCTCGGTTTTCTTCTGTCCAGAAGAAAATTACTTCCAACCAGCAACATCTCGAATTCCGCGACGTAGAAGGCAGTGTCATGGTACCTCGAAGCCCTGTCCAAGGCCGACGCTCAAGCGTACAATCTGAATCTCCTACAGACGAAAAATTCACCTCACAAGCTAAGAAGCAAAGACTTGCCGGTCCTGAAGCCAACGCTTCTAGGAGAGAAGGTATTGCTTCGAATCTTGCGACACCAGCTTCGCGGCAGATCCTCGATTCTAGAGAAAGTCCAGATGAGTTACAAGGCGATGTAACTACCAAACCATTACCGAGACAATTGAACGATAAGCAAAAGCGGGTCCGCGAGGGCAAAAACAAGCATTTGTCACCCTCTCCAACACGAAAACGCTCGCCCACTGATATCCAGCCTACGGAGTTTGCAAGTTCCCCGCCAAGGGGCCGAAGAGGATCAAACGCAATCACAAACCTTCGAGGGAATCCTTCAGTTTTGTGTATCTTCGATCTGGTCCTGTGAGGAAGCCACGTGAGAATGGCCATGGCAACATCATCTATCTAAGCGATGAGAGCATTGACCTGGGAGAGTTTGGCTCGCATGGACACATGAGCATCCCCCTACGTCAGATTCAGATGATCTTTCATGGGAGCAAGCCCAGCTGCAAAGTAAGGGTCATGTTATCCCAGCGCATTGAAGGTTTGGATGACCGGGTGGACATCGAATTTACGGAGTTGGCGCAGAAGGGTCGATTCATGGCATCGATTCAGGCACAAGAGGTTAAGACAAAGGGGAAATGGCGGCGTGACATAGATTCGGTCTTCAAAACCTATGAACAGGATATGGCTGGGCATGGCGACGGCCCTGGAAAGCCGTTGATCGACAGCTCTTCAGCTGAGCCAGGTCAACCCCCGTCTTCTCCCCCGCCTCGTCAAAAGCTGTCCTCTGCTTTGCAGGGCGATCCACTTGAACCTACAAAAGAAAGGTCCGGTATTCGCAAATTTGAGAATATCCCCAAGGCCGACCCGCCTGCCAAGAACAGAGAGCGCAGCGAACGCGAAAATGAAAGCGATATTGGGCTTCCAAAGAAGAAGAAGTTGAAGCAGACAAATCTTACCGGAGAACAGTCTCATTCGACAGAACGACGCTCAGCTCGACTATCTAACGTAACGAAAGACCATGACCACGATACGATCGAACAACTTCCGAAATTCCCCTTGAAGGATGACCCATTCCGAAAAAATTGGGAACATCCATTGATCTATCCTCCGTACGGAAAGAAAAAGGCCGAAGTCGCCCTTGAAGATCGTGATCGGCTGCGTGATGACGAGTTCTTGAATGATAATCTCATTGCATTCTACATGCGGTTCTTACAAGACCATCTGGAGCGAACCAATAAGGAGGCCGCGAAACAAATCTACTTCTTCAATTCCTACTTCTACGACACGCTCACAAAGATGCCCCGAGGTCAACGCGGTATCAACTACAACGGTGTCGCGAAGTGGACAAGAAATGTCGACTTATTTAGCTACGATTACGTTGTCGTACCCATCAACCAGAGCGCACACTGGTACGTTGCTATTATCTGCAACCTGCCAAGTCTGCTCGGTGACTCCGACGGGGAAGCTGAGGCCCAGAGTGATGATGAATCAACACCAGCCGCCGCAAAGGATACGGAGCCCTCCAGCGAATCGAGAAGCGAGGTTCAGGAAGTTCCTGAGTCTCCTGAGCCCGAGTTCAACCCCTCCACACTCTCTATCACCGAGACGACTGCGCAGAAGGCGCAAAGCCCGACGTCTTCCGAATCCCCAAATTCACAAAATGCGGAGCGTTCTCTTAACTCCAAAATCTCAGCCTTGGCACTGGGTGCGACGCCTCCCGAAATCCAGACAGATTCCATCCATACCTCTCAGCAAACATCGAGCCCCAAGAAGAAGGGAAATGCTGGTCACAAACTCGATCCTAGCCAGACGACAATTATTACTTTCGACTCTCTCGACCTTGGCCGTTCGCCGACCATCAAGATCCTGCGTGATTACATCTGCCAGGAATCCACCTCCAAACGGGGCAAGGATGTGGACCCCAAGGATATCAAGGGGATGCGCGCTCGTCAGATCCCCCTTCAAAACAATTACTCGGATTGCGGTCTCTACCTGCTGGCCTACCTGGAGAAGTTCGCCCAAGATCCTGATCAGTTTATTATCAAGCTTCTTCAACGCGAAATGGAACAGGAGGACTGGCCGCCATTTGGCTCAGGACTGCTCCGCCAGCGACTTCGCGATTTCCTTGATCGGCTCTACCAGGAGCAGGATAAAGTCAACAATGGTCAATCCGCGGGAGAAAAAATCTTGGCAGACCAACAACCTGTCTCTTATCTCTTGGGCTCTTGTGCGAGCGAGGCGAATGTGGAAGTAAAGAAGGAAAATATGGACGAGCCACTGAAGCATGAAGACCCTCCTCTGGCTGAAGAGGCTACCAAAAATTCCCCGCCGAGTTCTCCCAGTGTTCAGGCCCAAAAAGAGCCGGAAGATGACTCCGCGGACCAGCTTCAGCTAGTACCGAATAACACGACGCCGCTTACTTCAACCGACAAATCCTCCAAGACATCCACTGCGAACGATCCTCCGAAACTTCTCCCAAGTGCACTGGAGGACGACGATGTGGTCGAGGTGCCTGATAGTCAAAAGGCGAAGCAAGTCTCTTCTTCTAACTGTTCAGAGGTCAAGCCTGCTTCGGAGAACAAGGCCTCAAAAAAGAGGGTAAAAAACAAAGCGGCCAAAGAAAGTCATGCTCCTGCGGATAAGAAAAAACACCACAAGAATGTGACGATCGCCGCCGAGTCCGACCACCCTCTTGACCCCCGCCACTCAAAGCCCACAAAGAAACGAGCTCCGGCAGTCGAAATTCAGGTCCGGGCATCACCCACCCCATCCAGCCCGAAGGAAGCACGGAAAAGCTCCCATGGGAACAGCCGCAAAGACTGAACCCATTCATTTGCTTCGTTATTTCTCTTTCGATGTGTTCTAGACTTCATTCTTTACATCGAAGCATCCTGTTCGAGGTTAAGCCTGAGAAGTTTCATTTTCAATTTGTTTTCACTTATTTATCTTGCTGTGCATTTTCCTGCTCCGGGATAGAGGCGTTCAAGAATGGAGGGACCTATTCTTATTCATTTTTTCATGTACGACTATTCTTACCTTTCGTGTTATTTTCTTGAGATGCATGAGATACCAATTTATTTTTATTTGAAGTCGTAAAGACATCCTTTTAGTACTAGTATGACCTAGCATGGTCCTATATCAATTACCCCACAGTGTCTGGGCATTCGCATATTCGCCTGTAATGCACCAAGCAAGTTCATTGAGATGTAGGCTGAAGGACTTCTCACATGCTTTGCCACTGTCGCTCATCTGCTCCAATCCAGCGGGCAAGCTTATCTCGCTTGAAGGTTTCAAAATCCCACTCCTCCTCGAGATGTTCCTCCCCGAGCGTGAAGACATAGGTTACAGCAACCACTTCCTCGCCTTTGCCGTCACTATCTTCCCCAGCAGAACTCAGAATATCCTGCAACTTTCCTTGCCCATTATCACCCTCTCGTAATGTGCGAACCGTCACCTGCTCTTTGGAATACTCTTCTCCTTCAAAAAGGTCCAGCCGGTAGATATCCCCATCCGTGAGACCAGATACAAGCGTGCCTAGCACAGACGTGCTTATGGGCGCAGATCCACCAGATGGTGCATTAGAAGGTTTTGCCGGCACGATGCCTGGGTACTCCGCGTGTCGGACACGATGGCGCCTGTAGCCATGTAGAATGGCAGGTCGAAATCTGAGAAGGCCTTTTTGCCATGGCTCTGGATCTGTACGGCCGTGGATGACGCGGTGGAGTATTTGTGGCGCCATCAGGGTTCCTGGTATTATTAGGATATGGAGTTGTCGTGCGCTGATCTCGCGGGAATTTACCATAGAAAAAGAGAGCGTGATCGCCCATGGTGGGAGCTCTTTCAAGTTTGGGATAGGATGTCGATATGTTTGAGGCGGACACAGTTCTGGTTGTTGAGGTCTGCGGGGTTGGATCCACCGCCGGCCGCCGAATTGGGTCTACTAAAGCGATTGCTTGGACGTGACAAGACATATATGTGTCCATGTTACCCTGAGGTGCCCAAAGGCAAATTCTGACATTATACGTGCGTCTGTCACTATATTTTTACTACATAAAGGGATTAAAATTAGGCATAGCCATCGGCCCCAGCCAAGCATTCAACAACTCCTCGACTGTGACATCCTGAAGATCTGCCCAAGGGAAATCGGTGTCCTGCGGAGGATCTCCATAGAGACCATTGTCAGCGACACCGCTTGCAGAAATCGCCAGTCCGCCATCATTGATCTCGGAGCTGTCTAGCTCCGCCAATCGATACTTTCCTGCAAACCACTCGCCGAGGTGTCGCAGCCACTCTTGATAGAAAAACGTCTCGTGCTGATCCCCGCTGCTCCCTTTGCACTCTCTATCGACAGCATACATGCGCTGGGTAAGGTTTGAAAGCTCACGGGGATAGTCTAGTGACTCTCGGAGCTCTTTGACTTGGGGATTATGTCGGACGGAAGGTTCAAGAGATGCGATAGCCAGTTTGCATGAAGCTGCGATGATGAATCCGGCATTTACCCAATGGAGGTAACTGTAGCTCTTTTCGATGCCGAGTGGAAGGCTGAAATAAAATGTGATGAAGTCTTTGGCAGCTGAGAGACCATGGCAAAGAGCTTCGATTCGAGGCAAAGCCAGAGACTGATCGGTAATATTGTGAAAAGGTGGGTAGAAGTCGAAAACAGCCGATTGATAAATATGGACCCTGAATGCACGAACTTGTAGGGCCGCGAGCACTAGTTGGATTGTGTGTTAATAATTTTCGAACGTTGGACATCGGGGCCAAGCTTAACTCACCATCACTGTCGACAGGGAAAGGAAGCTGGGATTTGTATTCTTCAAAATCGGCTAGGAGCGAGCGAATGATACCATTGACCTCTAATGGTGGGACTTGCTCCTCTCTTATAACCAAAGCATCAATTCTCCCAAGCATGTGTTGCAGCTGAACATAGTTTATTAAATGACGGTCTGTGGGATACTCGCATTCCTGCGACAACTTCAGAGCACATGACTCTAAGAAAGGTGACCAGGGCATTGTCCCTGCCTTTTGCATCACCAAGGAAGAGCTTTTTATTGATACGTCAGCAAAATTTGGAGGTAGCAAAGTAAATTAGCGCGCGATTGATCAGACTCACGTTGCATCAAGTAGATAGAACCCAATCAACGCTCGTCTTTCCTCCCTCTGTATGGCCGAGGTTTCGGCCGGACCGGCCTCGTCCAGCATGACATCAAGCCGTTGTCTCATCATTCGTATTTTTGTCGAGCGATCAAATTTGCAGCAATTGATGATAGCATGTGCAAGATGAAGATATTTTGAGAATCGCATGAGGTGAGATTTTTGCTTAGTTCTGTCATTTTTATCAGCATGTCGATACATTCACCAAAACATTGTAGAAATATACCCTGCTAAAATAATCAATATCCCCTGTACCGTGTCGAGGGGCTGTGGATGATTTCCTTGGAGAACGTGAGCCCCGAGGTAGTTCTTGGAAATCTCCTCGAGGGCCATGTGCAAAGGCACATCCTGAAACGAGGACACCAATAGGATCGAAAGTAGTAAAAACGGCTTCTCCGATCTGAGGTCTTTGATAGTTGTGTCTTTTGATAATTGCACAAATGGGAAACATGGGATCATGTCTCGGAAACTATTGAGCAGGAAAGCTGCCTCGTCTTCGCTAATAAATCCGTTGCCAATCACATCGCACGGATGTGGGCTACTCTCGCAGCTCTTCGGCGTCGGTGGCGCGTTTTGAGGCTTTGGCTGAGATGTGGAGTTTAATTGACCCAGTATCTGATCGACTTTGTCTTCCAGCAGCCCTATTCGTCTGGAATTCAGATGCGGTCAGCTTTTCGCATACGAATTCGTATAAGCAGTAAGCAAAGGCGGAGCACGCTTACGTCGCCTTCTTCTTGGTGTTATTGCGAGACTTGATCGGTCGGAAAAAGCAGTCTTTGTGTAGACGAAGACATCTTGTCGAGATCATTAGTCTTCTCGATCTAGAGTGTAAAAGGAAGGCGGAATAGCTCGGCGTACCGATCACAACTTGGTGAATTCGGCGCCCGAGAACACCTAATTTTAGCTCGGACACAGTTTTCGCAGGTCTTCACCCGATCCGTACCACTCGTGGCTGACATCGCCGTTAATCCGGCAGACTGGACAAGAAGTAAGATGGCGGATACGGGGTGGACTTTATGTGGTCCGCGGACACGGAGTGAACTCGTGCGGGTCGCCGATCCGCGGACTCTCTCGCGCACTCCGAGTCCGTCTTGGCGGCTCCCAGCCCGCGGGCGAAGTACATCTATCACCAATCACCCTCCACACGCGCAGAGCCCCCAAACGCCAAAGGATCGAGCATGGCGAAGCCTGGAAATATGGAGGCCTGCTCGTATATTGCTTAAGGCACGAAGATGACAACGAGCTGTATAAGACCATATGAGACTGCCATGAAGATGGTGAGACACCACTCTATATCCCGAATATCCTGAAATACTGGCCTCTGAAGACCGATTCGACATGTCACAAATCAATACAGAAGGTTGCACTTTGACAACTTGTCCCATGGACTGGGCCTATATCAAGTACCTCCCCAACGTTCCTGCCAACGCCTTTTTCCTCGCCCTGTTCGGCGTCCTGCTGGCTGTACAACTTTTGTTTGGTATACGATTTAAAACATGGACCTATACGGTGGCAATGGTACCGGGGCTCATTCTCGAAGTACTGGGATATGTCGGACGAGTCATGATGCACAATAATCCGTTTAACTTTACCGCCTTCCTCCTGTACGTGATCTCTTTGCAAACAACAATGTTCACAGATATAATGGGTCAGAATAGCTAACATCTTCGTTCAAAGGTACCTCATCCCCCTCACCATTGCTCCCGCCTTCTTCACCGCTGGTATCTACCTTTGCCTTGGAAGAATCGTCATCATCTACGGGGAACAAATCTCCCGAATCCGCCCGCGTACCTATACAATTATCTTCGTCTCTTGCGATATACTTGCTTTGATTCTCCAGGCAGCAGGTGGTGCAATCACTTCCATTGCACAGTCTGACGAACAAAGCCTAAGCGATGCCGGTGTCAACATTATGATTGCAGGTTTGGCTTTCCAGGTCGCGTCGCTGACACTGTTCATCATTCTGGCTGGAGAGTTTGCCCTGCGAGTGCGCCGTAGTCCAGAAGAGACCCGGAACGAGGCCACAGACTCTCTACGTCATAACTGGAAGTGGAAGATGTTCTTGTTGGGTATGTTCATCTGAAACTAACCATAAGCTAAGATGGAATGCATGCTAACAGACCTCCCAGGTCTCGCCATCGCCATTCTGACGATTTTTACCCGATCGATCTTCCGTGTCGCAGAGCTCAAGGGTGGATTCGACAGTAGCTTGGCAAATGATGAGGTTGCTCTCATGGTTCTGGAAAGTACCATGATCGCGATCGCCTGTATCAGCATGACCGGCGCGCATCCCGCAGTGGCTATGGGACATCGCTGGAAAGAGTTTACTGTGAAGCCGCGCAAGAATGTGATTTCCGAAGAGCCCAAGACCTCGCTCAGTGGGTCAGGCTATACCAGTGAAATTTAGAGGATATAAAGAGGTATTGAATCGGCACATGAGAAATACAGCGGGGTGACGGACCTTACACTAGAGCAACCTTGGAATTATGTGATTTTTTTTGTTTTGTTACTGTAAGATTTTGGCGAGATAGATTTCAGCCAAGCGACAACAAAGCGATATGATTTTTAGCCTGAGTTATCAATTTAAACCGAACAATATTATCCCATTGGCCTATGATTATTGTCCATTAATCTGCCTACACTTCAACTAGCGTGCAGACCAGGAGTGGCCCCAGAAAAGTGGCCCCGTATACATTAGCAGCTGGCTTATCGATAACGCCAAACACGCCCAGCTGGCTTCATCCGCTGTGTCAACTCCGACGACCTGCCACTCCCCACACGCAATGCATTCCTCCATCAATCGCTTGCAGTCGGTCTTCGGCTTCTTCACCACCGTCGCCCTGGTGGTGGCCGGATTCGCCGCGCTGTCAACACTCCTCTTCCCCACAGATGCTACGACAGCATCGGTGCAGCTGAAGAACGTCCAGGTGTAAGTTACCAATCGACAAGGGCACATTGGGAAAAGCAAAGCCGCAGGGCAAGAGATGCTACATGCGCTCTACGAAACAACCGGGAGACTAATCGCACGCCTGCATTCAGTGTCAAGGGCCGACCGCACTACTATTCCAGCAAGCGCGAGGAATACGCGCAAATCCGCTTCGACCTCGACGCAGACCTCTCTCCCCTCTTCAACTGGAACACCAAACAACTCTTCGTCTACGTCTATGCCAGCTACTCCTCTTCCGACAACAAGAACACCCAGCTCCGCGACTCGGAAGCTCTGATCTGGGACACCATCATCCCAGCCACGCCCTCCCCGTACTCTTGGGATGTTTTGAAAGAGAAAGTCACTCCTCTCCTCCCGGCCTCTATCACTGGCGCAAGCCCAAAGAAAGCAAAGCGCAGTGGAAAGGCAACCGACAAGAAGACGAGGAGCAAGAAGGCTGAAGCCGAGGCTCAAACACCTGGCGTTCTGAGACTTCGGGGTCAGAAGGCCAAGTATCAGATCAGTGATATTACGGGTCGCCTGGCGGAACGCGAGAACGTGACGCTCTCCGTTGGGTGGAATGTGCAGCCTTGGGTTGGGGCTTTGTGGTGGAGTCCTGGTACGGGGGCCGTGCCAAGGACTGAGGGGACGGTGGTGAGAAGCAAGGCGTTTGATTTCCCGCCATTGAAGGTGAAGAAGGCCGAGAACCAGGAAAGCTCGTGAGAAGGTGTGGCGGGGCTTTCATGTTGAAACTCAAGAATGTCTTTATTTTCTTTCTATTTTGATCATCTACATCGGGTGTTTACGCATAACGCAATTCAAATGCTTTTAATGCATCGCATTTGACATACAATGGAAAACCAACAGTTCTCAGTGCATGGATTGTTTTACTCGACACGAGAATATTCCAAGTGTCTGAATGCGTATTGATAGTTCCACCACTTTAGCAGTTCCTTCGAAAATTGCAGAACACCATACGACCAGAAAAACAACCAAAAAAATTCACTGAAGAGCACGAAGCACCGTCGCTGAGCAGAGAATCGCCACGAGGATATCTTAGGAGTACACCAACGCAGGAAGACCAAGAAGGAGGAGGTTGCTTAGATAGTGCCATAGTTCCGGGCATTCGAGTGACCTCCGTTCTGGATGCGTTCCGAGTAGACACCGGGAGCCGGGCGCTGCGACGCGCGAGTCAAGGGATCCCGGTCGCGACGCTGGTAGTAGACATATTCGAGGTAGAATGCATGAATGTGGCCTGGGAAGTATCTGCAAGCGCGGACAGTCAGCTTTGGTCTGCGTTGATTGTCGATAGACATTAAGAATAGGACTTACCCAAGAATGGTGAGCAGAACGTTGATCCAAAAGTCAACGCCGCAGCCGGAAATGAGGAAAACGCCAAGCGGTGGAACTTAAAGCAGTGTTAGCTGCTGGACAGATATATTGGCAGGGCTGCACTCTTAGTGGACGCCAAGGTACACCAAGCAGGGAAGCGGGTCACTCTTGTCCCATGCTGAAATGTCTGCCCGGGAGACGTGGGAACTGGAGAGCTGGCAAGACAGTCCTGGATGAAAAAATAACTGAAAGGACTCACTGAAGATTGTGATGATGATCAAGCACAACATTGAACAGGCGCCGGCCATGGTTGCAAGTGTGGAATTGTGGTTGGTTAATGCGGAAGGGTGGTTTTGTTGGATCGTTTGAAGAGGTCGGCGGTCGCCAGGAAGCTGAGAAAGAGGATGGTGAAGAGGAGGAGGAAGATATAAATAGGGACATCGTCGTCCTTGGCAGAGTTGAGGCGTTTCATGATCGACGTGAAGACGTCAGAGCCAGCGAATTGCTCACGAGGTTCATAGGTTGATCGCAAGCTTCGACTGGGTCTGCTCAGCGGTAGGGCTGATGTGACGTCATCCCGCGCGGTCACTCCACCAGAGGTACGTCCAACTGCTCAGGAAGGTACATTGCCCTACGGCAGTACTGCTACAATAGTACGTAGTCCCCTGGAGTACCCTTGAGTACGTCCAGCACCACCGGTTGACATCCATGCATCGCAGCATGGGGGTGGAGAAAAAGGTCTCAGTTCACAACAGGCCACTTTCTCACACGGCGTCGATGGCCGCCCGAGTGGTCACCTGCTCGTTCTTGTTCCCCAGCTTGGAGATCTGGAGGAAGGCATCCACGCCGTACCCCTCCAGGCTATGAAGCTCGAGACTGCCCGCCCAATACTCGGCATAGACCCGGCTCATGGGCAACCCCATTCCCAGTCGGAGATTGGGGTGCCGCGAGGTCAGAGTGTCGAGGGAGCCCTCGTGCCAGCCTTCACCATGCTTCCGTTCGGACACCTTGAGCTCCTGCATCGTGGCGGCCATGGCGGGCACCTTGCCCAGATTCTCCAGTCGTGTCTGCGTCCGCGGTCCCTTGCTGAAGGACCACAAGTACGGTAGGATCTCCCGCGGGATGCCGCCGCCCTGGTCGGATATGCGCATAATCACGTGCTGGGGGGTTTCGCAGATGAGTACCTCGATGGGAGGCGGCGGCTGCGAAGCGTCCTGGTACTTCTCAATCACGGCCTGGACGGAGTTACGCAGGAGCTCTCCGATGATATATTCGAGGTGGCTGAGAATGTAGGGAAAAGTCGCCTCGAGGTGACCCTGCACCTTGATTTCGGGAATCTGAGTCGACTGCGAGGTCTGTCGCATCAACTCCTGCGCCACCCGGCCGCATCGCTCGACCACTTCTTTGGCCTTGCACTTCAGGAATACCTCGCCCACAAAGTCCGCATTCATGTCCGTTCGCTCGTGGGAGTCGGGGAAGTGCCATGGCGAGTTGAAGGTGTCTGTGAGAGCGAGATGTTGCTCTGCAATGACCCGACGAGAGATTCTCTGTTATATGATATATCAGTCAGAAAAAAGTTCTATCATTCTATCCCACATTTCACGTGGCCATGGTCTCCGGGTTGAAGCGTACCGCTCGCAGCAAGGTGTTCATGAACCGGTCCATGTCGTCGGGTGGCATGAGTTCCTGACATTCCAGAACTCCCATAGCGAGGTTGGGGATGATGACGAGGTGTTCCTTCAGCGTCTCGCGGAGGACATCGCAAAAACGGTCATTGTCATCGAGGCTGCGAATTTCGGGCACGACTCGGAATCGTTCGAAAGCTTTATAGTACAATTCGTAGACAAGCGAGAGGTGCGGATTGGAGACGATCACGTAGGGTAACTGCTGAATGTCGCGGAGACGATGTGCCAGTCTATTTGTTCCAACGGTTTCGCATTAGCATCGTGATCTCTTCGCAAGCTGGCTTCCTCCCCGCGTCATGTCTCACTCCCCGCGCCTCAAGCTCCAGGTGTCATGACATACCGAGTGGGCAGCTCCGTCCGCACATAGTTGGCCGAGCTAATGAGTCGTGGCTCTGTTAAAGTCCGGCCGAAGAAGGTCAACTGGCGTAGACTGATGGGGCGGATCTGGCGCTCCACCCATCTGTGTCGAGCAGTTCAGCATTGGGACGGGTACCGGTCTCGATCAGAGCTCTCCGAGTCATACTCATCTAGGGCCGAGACAGGTCGCCATGGAGGCGGACCTCCCGAATAAAAGCGCGGGCCAGGAGCCCAACGGCGCGAGAGCCAGCATCGAGCTGGACGACTCCACCGCATTTTGCTCCATCAAATGTTTGTGAGACGAGGACGAGGAGCTGCGCATGTGCTTCGACTGTCTCGATTTGGGCGGGCGGTGAGCGTGTGGAGTGGCTGCTACCGGCGAAAACAAGGCACATGCCGATCCCAAACGTGCAAATCCGAGCAGCACGAGGGCAAGGGGGGATGTGCGAGAGGAATCACAAGAAAAATGACCACTGTTTCTGAAGTGCTGAAAAAGAGGTCAAATGGCGGCCATCGTCGACTCCAACAGCGCCGGCGGTGCCTCCTCGCGGGCGCCTTATACTTCGACCGTTGGGAGCCGATGGGACGCAGAATCTGATGGCCAGAACACGAGTAGATGAGAACCGAGGGCTTTTTACAATACTGTAATCGAATTCATAATAGAAATACATTTTCTTCAAAAATTAAATGCAAATCAGCCAGATGTGATGAATTGCTGAGCTGTGGTGTGGGCAGCTCCTGTAGCTCTGGCCGAGATCGCCCAGTTGAGTCCAGCATCCTTGACGGTTAGCATCCGACTGTGAGGACTGTGAGCTGTGTTGGCCCACCACATCAATGAACGCTCGTGCCGTCACTTGGCCCTACGTTCGAAATTTCTCAAACAAGGCGGCGCCCATCAAAGAAGCAGGAACCTGGCGGCGAGCGAGCAGGGGTGCCGGACCCAGGTGCTTTGTACTGCCAACCGAGCCTGAAGTGTTCGAGGGCTCCGCCACCGCTAGCTCCGGCCCTCGTCGGTCTGCGGGTTCAGAAGAATTTCCTCCCGACAACGCCCCGGCCTCACGTCTTGACGCCCCCGTTTCTTCCTTCACCCCCCATTCCGAACAGGTGCCTTCCGGCTGGACGGGAGGGCCCCTTTCGCCATGGAAAACGTGTGTCTGCCCTGCCCCTCGTGTGTGTCGTCATTGCAGATCTAACCGTTGCCCAGCTCGCGGAGAACGACATGCTCGTCGACGAGTACGACCAGTACCCCAATGAAAAGACGACCGACGTCGTCGTCTCTCGCTCTGACTCTGATGAGCCCGAGGCTCCCTCCGCTGCCGACCGTACGTTCCCTGCCAATATCCCTCTCCCCCTCCCAACGGTGGACCCCTCTGCCCGTGAGCAAACAGGACCGGATTCCAGATGGTGGCATACCGTCCCGTGGCGCTCGTGGATAGCCATGGCGATTGGTTCTGCTCGCCAACGGACCGGTTCGCCGGCTCTGACTTCAGCACTGGGTTTGGAAAATGTTTCTAACCGATGGAATAATGTCTTTCTAGACGAAGCAATGATGGCCGCAGTGCTCCCCAAGAACACCGATCTCGAAGTCGAGGAGGAGGCCTACCACACATGGCACATCCAGGATTGGAGAAAATCCGAACGCAAGCTTCATGGTCCGACCTTCAAGTGCGGCGGGTTCCCTTGGTGGGTATTATCTGGATATCTGGCGGCAAGCCGTAGGTCGATGCAGTTGCTGACGAAAGGACAGGCGCATTCTTTTCTTCCCTTACGGAAATCACACCGAGACCGCCTCATTCTATCTGGAGCATGCGTGGGATGGCGAACCACCTGAAAACTGGTACGCTTGTGTGCAATTTGCATTGGTTTTGTCCAATGTCAAGGACCCCTCGATCTATGTCTCCCACGGTAAGATTATACACTCCCTCCCGTAGCGAGTGCGAGAACAAGGAACTAATAGTCGAGCTTAGTGGCCACTCATCGATTTACGGCCGACGAAGGGGACTGGGGCTTCACCCGCTTCTACGACCTGCGAAACCTTTTCAGCGAACCGTGGAAAAACAAGGGAGTTCCGCTAGTCCAGGATGATGAGGCGAACATCACAGCCTATGTTCGTGTGGTGAAGGACCCTACCGGTGTCCTCTGGCATAGCTTCCAGAAGTGAGCTAACGCCCCCTCCCTCTATTCCCAAAAGAACCCGATAATAACCATCATCTATAGCTACGATTCCAAGAAGGAGACTGGTATGGTGGGACTCAAAAACCAGGGTGCCACTTGCTACCTGAATTCGCTTCTTCAATCCCTCTATTTCACCAATGCCTTCCGTAAAGCTGTGTATCAAATTCCTACCGAGGAGGAGGCATCTCGCGAAAACAGCGCATGGACCCTCCAAAGACTCTTCTACAACTTGCAGACTAGCGACTCCGCCGTTTCCACGACTGAATTGACCACCTCGTTTGGCTGGGATTCGCGCCAGGCCTTCGAACAGCAGGATGTTCAGGAGCTCTCTCGAAAGCTGATGGAACGATTGGAGGAGAAGATGAAGGGTACCGTTGCCGAGACGGCCCTTCCCGATATGTTCGTGGGAAAGACAAAGACCTATATTTCTTGCATCAACGTCGATTACGAATCCTCCCGCGTGGAAGACTTTTGGGATATCCAACTGAATGTCCGAGGCAACAAGACTCTGGATGACAGCTTCCGGGATTATATCCAGGTGGAAACACTCGAAGGAGAGAACAAGTACGATGCCGGTCCTCCCTATGGCCTGCAGGATGCCAAGAAGGGTGTTATCTTCGAGAGCTTCCCGCCAATTCTGCATCTCCACCTCAAGCGGTTCGAATATGACCTGAACCTCCTGACCATGATGAAAGTTAACGACCGACACGTCTTCCCAATGGAATTTGATGCTGCTCCGTACCTCTCGGAAAATGCCGACAAGTCCGAGCCATGGGTTTATGAGTTGCACGGCGTGCTAGTCCACAGCGGAGGTCTAGACGCTGGTCACTACTATGCGTTCCTGAAGCCTACCAAAGACGGACACTGGTACCGGTTCGATGACGACCGGGTAAACCGCTGCACCGAAAAGGAGGTGCTGGAAGAGAACTATGGCGGTGAATATGAGAATGTGAATGGCGCGCGACAGCCGTACACGCGAACATACTCCACCAAGCGCTCGATGAATGCCTACATGTTGGTTTATGTCCGAAAGACGAGATCGGACGATGTTCTTCTTCCTATCGAGAAAGAAGATGTTCCTTCTCACATTGCGTCTCAAATGGCCACGGACCGAGCGGACGCGCTGCGGAGGAAGAAGGAGAGGGAAGAGGCGCATCTTTACATTCCCGTCGGCATTCTCACGGAGCAGACGTTCCAGTCGCACCATGGCTTTGACCTGACTAGTATGGACCTGCCAGCTGACGATCCAGCTTTGCCTGCGCAGTACCGAGTTCTACGAACCAAGAAGATCGGCGAGCTCGCGAAGGAGATCGCCGAGGAGCGCAGCCTCAACGCGGACGCTATCCGATTCTGGGTGATGGTCAATCGCCAGAACAAGACGATCCGTCCCGATCAAGTCATTCGGGACCCGGAGATGACTGTTGAGGATGCCTACACCAAGTTTGGCACCAAGAACAACCACTTCAGACTCTGGATGGAGGTTGCCACGCCTGGACCTGACGGCCAGCTGCCCCCTTGGCCCGAGGCAGATACCATTCTGGTTTTCCTGAAGCACTTTGATGTGGTGGCTCAAACCTTATCTGGTGTTGGTCCCGTGTACGTTCGCAAGAGCCAGAAGGTGGCAGAGCTGGCTTCTACAATCCTCGCAAGAATGGATTGGCCCCCGGGTACCGAATTCCACCTTTACGAGGAAATCAAGCACAACATGATCGACCTCATGAAGCCCAAGCAGACCTTCCAACAGTCTGAGATCCAAGACGGTGATATCATCACCTTCCAGCGCTCTTTGAAGGAGTCGGAAGTTCCAGCCACCGCGCTGTACACCGATGCTCGGCAATTCTACGACCATCTTCTGAACCGCATGGACGTCACATTTGCGCCTACCAGAAGCACCGATGGAGAAGAGTTTACTCTGCTGCTCAACAAGAAGATGAATTACGACCAGGTGTCAAAGAAGGTTGCCGAGCACTTGCAGGTCGAGCCGACACACCTGCGGTTCGCACCTGTCATGGCCAGCACCGGCAAGCCAAAGGCCTTTTTGAAGCGGTCGACGACTTCGACTCTTCAACAGATTCTCAATGGCCAATACGGAGCCTACGGCTATACTATGCACCGATCGGATGCTCTGTACTACGAGGTCCTGGATATGAGCCTCAGTGACTACGAAAGCAAAAAGAGTTTGAAGATTACACTAGTCCTCGAGGGCATTACCAAGGAAGAGTCTGTCGAGGTCCTGGTGGCTCGTAATGGAACGGTCGCTGAAATTGTAGAGGCTCTGCAGAAGAAGGCGAACCTTGATCCTGAGACGACTCGTGATCTGAGAATTCTTGAGGTACACAATGGAAAGATCTATAAAGATCTGCGCGAGGATGTTAACGTTGCGACCATCAACGAATATTCCACGCTATATGCAGAGAAGACTCCAGTTGAAGAACTCAATCTGGAGGGTGAAGATCGGGTTATTGGAGCTTTCAATTTCGACCGCGAACCTACTAGGACTCACGGGGTTCCATTTAAATTTGTTGTGAAGCAGGTCAGAATTCCTTCTTATCCTCCCTCTTTTTCAACATACAGATTTTCTGACATGATACAGGGCGAGATTTTCAAGGAAACCAAGGAGCGTCTGTCAAAGCGGACCGGTATCAAGGGCAAGCCCTTTGAGAAGATCAAGTTCGCCGTTGTCCCGCGTGCTTCTTTCTCAACTCCCAAGTACATCGAAGATGGTAAGTGCCCTACCAATGCGTGCTTTGTCTCTGCCACTAGCAAAACCGTAAGGAAATACTAACCAGATCTTCTAGACGACATTCTTTCCGACATGGCCGGCCCTGATGATTACCTCGGACTCGACCATCAAAGCAAATCTCGGGGATTCTGGGGTAAGAGTGAGAGTTTCTTCATTCGATAAAGTGTTTTCTTGCGGCGTAGCGGGGTTTATTGTGGGAGGGCTAGATGCTGCGAATTCGGTACATGAGCAGTGATGCCTGATGCAATCAAATGTTTATGCCCTTATCTTCTCTACAACTTGACTTTTCCTTTCTATAATTTTTCTATCTTTGTTCTCCGTTTTTGCCCCTCAGATTTGCCTCTGGGCTCATTGCATGCCTTAGCTGGTTCCCATTGTGTGGAGTAAAACTAGGATACAAATGCAAACCGCCAAGTTTGTTTGGGTGCAAACAGTGCAAACCCTCCGACCTCCAGGTTGGCCAGAACTCCTGACACGCGATTGTCTCCGTAGTCCACTGTCAACATCAACCTCCATAGCCAACATGCGGTTCGCACTCTTCGCCGGCCTGGCCTCCTTGGTCTCATCCGTTACCGCAACAGCCCTGACCTACCGGCTTGAGGCGAACGAGAAGGCATGCTTCTACACCAACGTTGATCAGGCCAACGCCAAGGTGGCATTCTACTTTGCGGTTCGTATGCTCTTATGTACTCTCTCCGGTCAATGTTTCGCTGGACAATTGGATTTTGGTGGGCCACCTCTGACATTCTCGTCCTACAGGTCCAATCTGGCGGTTCCTTCGATGTTGACTACGCCGTGACAGCACCGGGCGGCAAGATAGTGCTGGACGGAACGAAGGAGCGACAGGGTGACCACGTCTTCACTGCTCAGAGCAACGGCGAATACTCGTTCTGCTTCAACAACGAGATGTCCACATTCGCCGAGAAGATGGTTGATTTCGAGATTGCTGTAAGTTCTGTGCCGGAATCACAACACCGGCATCCAAACAAACCCTCGAAGCCACTCATCCCCCAACCAGCTACGTGGCCTCTCCTAACGCATTGCCTCTAGGTTGAGAACGAGTCCCGCGCTCAGCTTCCTTCCCGCCAGGGTGCCAGCCCCGAACAAACCACCAGCCTCGAGGAGTCGATCTACAAGCTGTCGGCACAGCTGTCAACCATCTCCCGGAACCAAAAGTACTTCCGCACTCGTGAGAACCGTAATTTCAGCACCGTCCGCAGCACTGAGCGCCGGATTTTCAATTTCAGCGTGATCGAGGGTTTGATGATGGTGTCAATGGCCGCGTTGCAGGTCTTTGTGGTGCGCTTCTTCTTTCAGGGCGCTCGGAAGGGTAAGTACTTGCTAGCAATGACCTTCGATGTGTGTAGCTCTCACACCGCTCGGAGTTCAAATTTTCTAGCACCGCCCACTTTTTCTCATATTCCAGGCAACATTTACTAACATCTTTTCCAAGGTTATGTGTGATGAGCATGAAGTCCATAATATGATGCATATCTTTATCTTAATTTCCAAAATCCTTGGCTTGTCGTCCCAGTGTATTCATTTCTGCCCTAGGCTAGAATCCTACCTTTTTGGTTGAACAGAACAGAAAACAGGATTCTTTCCTTCGATGGCATCGGTTGCTGTCTAACCTAGGAACCGCTGCCACCTCAGGCATACGTACTCCACCATCCGCTATTCTCTTCATTTGTGAGGCGCGCCGACTCAGCGTAAGCGAAGAGTGAAGGTGCGTATGGAGCAGGTATTCGATCGAGGTTCGGGGGAAAGGGTGAAGGTCCGGTTTGTGATCAAACACTGACCTCCTCGTAGGAATAGAAAATTGGACCTCCGTCGACGCGCCCCGTGCTGTACCACAACATCGGTACAGGCTCTCAAGTCGGACGATGCCCGGTTCGTCATGTTTTCTTGCTTGCTCGTCGCGCGGAGTTGATCCTGTTCTCCATCATGCATTGTACCGTCATCAGCAACTCGTTAGAGAGTCCTGCGTCATTCAATGCCAGCTCAAGTCCAATGATCTGGTGGCTAGTCACGACAAGATGATCTCATGCCCAATTCAGAAATGTTTCGGTCGTTATTGGGGTCGAGACCGAGTAGCGGCGCAGATGCTCGCGCCGGATAATTCCCGTTAATATTAGTCGCTTGTGACGAACAGATCATCTATTCTGCTACATTTCTTTCTCGTCACGGGGAGGTCGAGACCGAGAAGCGGCGCACTAGTCTGTCGCCAGCAGCATCGCTGGCTTCGTGGCGAGGACACCATGTATCTTGGGATAGCTGAGATCAAAACATCGAAGGATGTTCATCGGATGTCACTGTCACGATGAGAGTAGCGTCGAAGCACGATTCGGTCCACTTCACCGATCGAAACAGGTTTGTTGTGCTGGTGCTGTCGCTGTAAACGCTCATACGATTAAGACTGAGGTTGATTAACCGACGGTCCAGATTCGCCAAGATGCACTCATAAAAATTCAAATTGGACTCAGGGTTGCTGAGAATGCTCTTGAAGGGATGTACCGTCTGTACATATTATCTGGATCGATGATGCAACAGGGGTTTCGGTAAAAGGCTGCGAGGCACAATCACCAGGGCATATGACGTTGGAAGCTGGCGGCAATGATCCCTGAGACAACGAAGTAGGTGAGTCAAGCTCCAAAGCGCATTAGTGCCTGATCCTTGCGCTCAGTGCCTTTGCCTTGCTAGCCACTAGCCTGTTTCATTGTACTTTCTACAGCCTAAGCGGAATGCAGCCGTTGAGGCTGGGAAAAGCGAAGTGATATCATCGGCGGACCGCTAGCGACCGACTATCGTCTGCCACGAGGGTGGATTGACAAGACAGTCCTGATCGCGTCCCAAATGGCCGTGCTACTTTCGATGCCCATCTGGTTGCAGATCAGAATTGGAAATCATGATATGAAAAAGCAAAATTTTGATTCTCTGGCTAAGAGACCATGTTGCCATCGTAACACAAGCGCGAGATCGTCAAGGTATGTGCCCATTATTCCGAAATATAATGTCTGCAATGTGCTTTCACGGTCCCAAATTTCCTTTCACTGGGGCTCTTGGGGCCTGCCGGCCTACTCCCTGCATGGCACACGTATACGGAAAGCGCTTATTGAGATGATGCGCTACGTATGGACGACCGCAAATGTCCTACGCGGCGATCAGACCTTCGGAGATATCACTGCTAGATCCCGCTGGGCTGAGCTCCATCGAAGGGGGTGTGCTCCACAAGTTCCTTTTGGACTTACGACATCGCACAGGGCAAAGTGTTGACGCTGATATCACTCAACATCATTGCTCGAGAAAAGGTGGTCCCCTGTCTCCTAAAGCACCCGACGATAATTGCTTATTTTAGTTTATTTTCTATTTCGTCCGTTTAGGGTAACTCGTGGCCTCCTAAAAAATGGCTATCAATTTGAGTCGATCGTTGAATCGAATTGTCGGCATGGCTACATCGGCTGTTCCTCAGGAGCTCCACAATAGTGAAGGTTCTGTTCATGACAATCCACATCTGACGTCGATCGATTGCTCCCAACTCACAAATCATCTTCTGTGACCAGCACTCCCTAGCTGGCAAATCTGGACAATGTACCCTTATCGGCTGTTGGTAATTCAAAAGGTTTCTCTACCATACCTGTTGCACCATAATGTCCGTGGGTGGGGACATACAGTAGGTCGATATTGCTCGCAAAGGTTCCGTTCACTCTACCCCAACCGTACATGGGACATGCACGAGACCTATATCGCCTCCCCCGCTACGATGGCGATGAACGATCTTCTGAACCCTGGTGCACTGCAAGATGGTCCCCAGATTTGCCTGTCACTCAGCCAGTGTGCGCTTGGGGGATTTATACCCACCGTCATAGATTTCAGCAAGCCTTATATTTTCATTGTACAGCAGAGGGGTGTCGATTGAAGCTTGAGGGGGTGAGATCCATTTATTGGCCCCTCTTTTCTCAGCGACGTGCTTTTGCCACACGTCATATTCCGCATACTTCGGTTTCGGTATGCATAGATTGCATCCATGGGTCCTTTCTCCCTGACGTCAGGTGCCCTTGCTGCCTCAGGCCACGAAATTTGTCTTTTTTGGGATCTCCCACGAGAACGCTGGCTGGTCGATTCCTCTCCAGACTGATCCACTGTGGCCATTGTGTCTGTCCCCGTGATCGATGCGATTGAGTTTGGTCAGAGGCGGTCTGTCCCTAGTAATCCGAATTTCCATCAAATCTCTCTACGTTAGTATGTACAGTAGTATGATGACAGTATGGGATCTGGGGAACGGACGAGATAAGTGATAGCTTTGATAAGCAACCAGTCGATAGCCGAGATAGTTCGACGGCATCTCCCCAATACTGAGTGCATGTGGTGGTCGAGGGCGTTCCTGCATACAGCTCGGATCGCCCCCACTCCAGGCGGATGACGACATGGATGGCTCCACTCCCGAGCCTCAGCAGTCCTCTCCGTCTGCACTCTCCCAACGGCCATCACGAACTCTCAAGTTGAGCAACCATGGGAGTAATTCAAAAGCACGTTCTGTGAGCGGCCGAGCAACGCTAAGTCGACTCTGCTGGTCGACACCTAATACTCCAAACTCTGCTGCAGAGTAGCGTGGGCTTCACCCGCAACTGCACGACTCCGCTGAAAGATATCCACTTTGCGTTCCGCTGCCCTCGAATACGCCTATCCCGGCGCACCGCAGAGTGCGAAACGCGAAATGGGCCTCGATGTTCGCAAGCTCCCATTTACCATGCCGATGATTCGTTCGCTAGACGTCAGGCGCAGATCTGCAGAGGACCGGTCTGCTGCGCTGCCGATCGCCAGAGCGCCATTGCTTGTGGTCCATTTGCGCATTCCCAAGTGACCTCATAGGGGCATCCTAGCTCTTCCACCGGTAGACCCTCTGATGCTACCGGGTGCCGCAATACTCTAGTCTATGTCGAGGTGTGGAGAATGGGTTATTTCCTGATGATTGCCCTGTCCACCATCCACACGCAACAGAGACAGCGGCTACCACACTCTCGAGCACCAGGTGGAGCCCCACCCCCGGTTCTTATGATGTCGCCCAGCTCGGCCTCCAGCCCCTCTCGCAGCCAATGATGTCACTGCACCTTAGTCCGTCGATGGATTCTGTCGAAGATGATCCATCAGCCCCTCTCGGGAACTATACCCTCCCTGTCTGAGCCTATCAGCCAGGACCTATGTGCCGGTGTGCTTTTGCCATCCTCGATCAGCCACGGTCATTACATACGCTACAGAAGGTGGAGAACCGCCCGTGCCCATGTTACGTATATTCGAAATCGGGAATTAGGTCGTCCCTCTTGTGTTTCTTTGAGTCTATAATTGCCCTAACCCTGCCTGCCCGTCCCATAACTGTCCCATTTTCTCCCCAGCCGTGGTGCCAGCAATCACACAAGACAGGATCAAGAATTTGATTTCCTTAAACCGCTTAACCAATTTCCTACCTTGGTTCTCCCCTTCCCCAAGCCGCTTGATTGACACTGGGTTCCTGCTACAAAGGTAAGCGCGCTCTTAAACCCCCACCCTCACTTTCCAAGCTCCCACCGGATTTGTTTTCCTGCTACTGGTCCGATTTTACCTGGCCTGGGCTGTGGGTGTCTCCTGCCGCTGCTTGTTCCACACTCTGATCGTCTTCTGCTCTTCAAAGGTGTCGCCTCACCTTTGGTATCTGATCCCAACTAACATCCATCCTTGCGTCTAGACGATTTCCACCATGACTGAAAGCTCTCGCATGCAACAGCCCGCGGAGAACATCCAGGGCATGTTCACTGCTGACTCTGGAGCTGGCCCTCCAACAGGAAGCACTGTGCAGACCCAGCGGGCCCTGGACCCTCACAGTTCCCTCGAGGATTACAACCGTACCTTGCTCGAGTACACCCAGAGACAGATGTCGTCTTTTGTTGACCTCGACGATGGCGGCCATCGCGGCAGTGGCGCCAGCAGTCGGAGCAGCCAAAGCAGCGGCAACAGTGGCCAGAGTGGTTCCTCCAACAACGGCACGCTTGCTCACCAGGCCAATGGACCTCCTCCCACTTCGGCTAGTGCCCAGCACCAGGCCTTCCAGCGGATTGGCCGAAATCCCGAGGGCAGCCCTAACGAGGCCAAGCCTTCGCGCTACTAGAACCGTGGTGGTTACGAGGTATGTTAAGTATTCTCCTGCGCTCGTCGATGATCCATCATATCTGACTGCCTTTTTCAGCGGCCCTACTCTTTCTTGACCGCAATCTGGCCTCAAGACGATTCTCTTTCTTGGAGTTCGATGGCGCCACCGATGAGAGTCAGGAAGCAATACGACCTAGCCTCTTGTCGGTATTGTCCGGAGGCGGAGTTACAACGGCGTTTACGAGTGCTTGCCCATCCTTGCGTTATTTTCACAGCATTGAGTTTTCCTGTGTTCCCGACGAGAGTCGAGTCACTGTGAAAATGGTTGCTCTTTTTTCACAGGCCCTACTCCCTATAGCCCCTCTCGCCCATCCTGTTTGTGAACATCTTATTTTTTGACCCCATTTGTGCTGGGAACCGAAAGGTTTTCCCCTCGAGCCTTTTCGCCACGTCTGATTACTTGAACGCGAAATCGTGATGCAGGTATGCAGATTCGCCATCATCCTCGTTTACATTGAATTTTGCAAAATCCCTGCACAAAAAGGCGAAATCAGCACTGGATCTAAATACCCCTGCCCCATCACTCTTCACTTCACACTCGCTCTTGACTCAAACGTCTGCCCTCTGCTACACGACTGTTTCGGCGTTTGACTTGGGACATATGAGCAGTCAACAATGATGTTCCATTCACAAAGTCCACATTTTCTCAGGGCTTGACCGGCTCCGTGTATTAACAGTTTCTCTTGTCACTTCCTCTGCGAGGGATCAACGCGCGTGTACCAAATTTCTTGATTATAGATGTTCAGCGAAACGAGCGAGTTGATTTTATTTTGGGGTTTTCTTTATTTTCTGCTCCTTGTGTGACCACCAGCCCGATCATCGCGAACGCCAACTTGCCCTAGGAGAATTGCCGCCTTGTGATTTGATACCCCCTTATCCCTCGACCAGCACCCTGGTTGGCACTGACGACCTGCACAACAACGAATCCGATGTGAATAGTCAGGAGCAAGCAATGTTTTCATTTTGTTGCAAGGGTTTCCTTAGTATCTTTTTTCTCCGGTAAGAACTCGTAGAGATAAAGACCGATAAAATGATGCTAGCTTCTTACAAATTCTGAAGGGCAAAGACTCCTAATCTGCCCACTAATAATTATTTTGATGTGGAGGTATGTTAAATTAGTACAGTATGTGACATAGTAGATTCGGCCATTGGGGATTTATACAGCCACACACCCCCTCCCTGACCTTTCAGGTATCTGCTAGTTCTTCGGCTTGGGTGTCCTGGCTATACGAGTCGAAAAATGAGCATTCTGCTCTATGAGGGAGAATAATTCTGGCCCGATCCCATTCATTTTGCATAGCGCATCACTCTCTAGAATAGTTATCCAGACAGTTGATCACGTAGGTGACTGAATAGATGACCAGCTGGAGATGGGTGACTGAGCAATCAACCTGACGGCCATCAATACCATAGTCGACGAGGTATTCAGCGTCGAACTGACACCATGTTTGATCAAGGTTCTAGTTCTGTATTATCTGAGCAAAGCCATGGCGGGGGTGCGGAAGCATCAATCTCTTACTAATATTGCATCGTAAGATAGCCTAATCGACTGTACAACGGTTGTCTTGCTTGAAATATGATCAATAGGTCACGACGTGTATCTTATCATTCGGAATATGATGTGTTCATTTTCTTTGACATAACAATGCATTCGAAATAGTGTTCCTACATGTTTGTTCCTACATGTTACACAAGTGTGGCTGAACGAGAGCCACCAAATAATCAATTTGGACAGAAAAATCCAATGATTGTTGGCTACAACACTGTGTACGAATCAAATTTTTTCTGCCCACCTTTGTCTTCACTTTCCTTGGATGATATGTCCTCCGAATTCTCTCACGGGTACTGTCTCTTGGCCCTAAACCCACACTGCAGACTTACACTAGTGTACACTTTCAACACTTGAAAAAGCCATGCAACAAGTGCCACGAGGTAGAATAGTACCTGCGTGGTGAAGGGAAATCTACCCCTAGATTGCGCAGGCCAATTATAGTGGAGCGTTCTCACATTCTCACAAACCTCAGACATGTCCCTTGCTTCTGCCGAGAATCGTGCGAGGATCTCACCACGTACCTTTCCACGAAGGCCAATTCTCTTTAAAATTTTCTTTTCAATGTTGTATGGTGCAATGTGATGGTGCAGCTTGCAGAATCTTTACCATTAGCAATAACCAAAGCTCAATTACATATACACAAGCCTCGTCGCTTGACCTATTCAGGAAGCGCGCGAGAAGAAACTTTCAATGAAATTCAATGGCATGCGGGCAATAAGGCCCCACCACAAGCCAATGGAAAACCAAATTTTGATTTTGTACATTCCAATTACCTCAAAAAGTCCGTTGAATGGCCAATCCAGCCACTGTTGCCCCTCTCGACTGGGGTGAAACCCCTGGAATCCGAAGCAAACGCGACGAGTAAACAAGGGCGAGCACCAAGACAAGGGCGAGCAACAGAACGCGATTTACGTGAGGACCGAAAATCTTAGTCGAGGGCCTCTCACTCCATCCCCTCTTCAGCCTACGCATCGTGTCAAGACAGGGCCAGCTCCCTTTTTCCCTTCCGACATCCCATGCTTCTCTTGTATCGACAACCCTCAACGCCATCGACGCCCATGACGGCCTAATCTCCTGCTCCTGTCTTCCTTTTCGCTCCGTCTAGGCACCAACCGTTTTACACTCTTTTGAATGATACCAACCACAGACAATCTTTTCGAATAGAGCCACCGCATACGCCCGAAGTCATCGAGTCTCTCTTTTACGCGCACATCTTCTATCATATATTCAAATCGTGACACGAAGTGGAAACAAATAATAACAAAGAAGACAACTCAACATGCGTCTCGCAGTCGTCCTTCCAACCCTCGCAACCCTCACCATGACCAGCGCCGTCCCCGTTGTGCAGGATCGTAACCCAATGCCCACGCCCACGCAGCCTGCTGTCCAGTCAGCATCTACAGCCACCCCGACACCTTCGGCCTCGGCGACTCCTGTCGGACCCTACACCTGCCCACAGAAACAAACCAAGAAGTGCTGCATGTCGCTAAGTCAGACGTCAAAAAATCTTATGAAGCCTTTGGGTGATCTCTTGCCAATTCTGCGCGGAGTCCAGATCAGTTCGTCGGTATCGTTTCAATGTATGTCCATACTCTTCCCATTTTCCAGGTCATTTCTATATTGAGATAATGCTGACGTGTCTCCAAAATCTATAGGCAGGGATATGCGAGAAAGCGAGGCCCCCGACCATTGCGTCGACGACGATTACAGTCCCATGTGCTGCATCAACGAGATCACGGTAAACTGAATACCTGTTATCCAGCAATGTTGCAAAATTATCGTAACTAATCTGTCTATTATATCCAGGAGGGCATCGACAAGTGTAAGCCATTCGCACTCGCCAAGGAAGAATACTACCGGACATTTGGATACGGCCAGGAGAGCCAAGTGGACTTGATCAATGACGTTGTTTGAACGAGCATGATACTGGCACTGGCGGCCATGGACCTGCGAATTTTGGAACTCTGTACTAGGAAATTCGCTTTCCTGGGGAGAATGTGGGATGCATTCTGGCTTTATCTTCTTCTCTCGATATAACTTTGGCAGTCTTCAATATCATTGTACTTTTCGTATAATATCGTCTACACTGGATTCAATTCACCTTTCTATGCTTGCTTCTTTTCTCAATCAGGTCGCCCTTTATCCTCTGATTTTGATGGACTCCACGTGCTTCAAAAGGATTGATGTCGATGAATTGAAATTGAGTGTGGGGTTCGTGAAACTGGTTGAGAGACATTCTGCGCGTAATTCTTTTATTCTTTTAATTCAAATTCAAAAGCAAATATTGGGTATGGGAGCTATCTGTTCACTGCAGAGCTATGGAGCTCCAGCTGAGTTTCACGTTCTGAGAGAAATGTTATATTTCGAGAATTGATACAGCCACACTTACCTGGAATCTTTTATATGTTTCATGTAACATAGCATTGCACAGTCGCCTAGTCCTGGACACTAGTCAACATAGCAGAAAAATGTTGTATGTGGCCGAAGTGCACCATTCTGAACAGGCCTCTACGAGATTATGCACGCGAAAAGTCGGGACATAGAGGTAGTTTGAGGTAACCCATACCAATAAATTGAGCGGCAATGCGTAAGAATTCATCGTCGGTGCTGTCTACCTGGCGGACTCTAGGAACCGCCATGTTGGCCACCCGAATGGGGAGGGAAACGATTCTGCCCAGGAGGAAGAGGCCCCCAAGGATGAAGAGGCTGTCCGGGAGGAACAGGACCCGGGGCTGGGTGGCCAGTAAATTGTGGAGGGAAGGCTGTAGGGTTGCTCCCCATACCCGGTGGGGGAAATTGAATGGTCGGCATGTGTGGGGGCGGGGCAGGTGGCCAAGCTCCGGAGGCACCGGAGTAGTGTTCAGGTGGGGGAGCATTATGGTAGGTACGAGGTTGTGCAGGGTAAGGATGTGCGGGATGAGGCGGAGGAGAGTGTGACGGTTGATGAGGAGGCGGGAATCGGGACTCATGTCGACTACGCTTATGCCGACCAGCTGTAGACCAGGACTGAGACCCGCGAGTGTCATCTGGATGTCTGTTTCGAATCATCTCCTGGCAGAATGGACGACACCAGCCGTAGTATGTCCGGCCGTTGAGAATATCACCGGTTGTGGCGTCTCGGACAACTCTTTGGCCCAGCTCGTTTATGTCGAGGACCTCGTCATCCTTGGTGGTCACCTCAGTGTCGTAGATCTCGTCTGCCTCCCTCAGGAGTTTCTTGAGCACCTCCACCGTTTCTGGAGGGGCAGGGCCCTCATACATTCCCATGGCCCTGATATTTTCAGGGCGCACAGGCATGGTCTTGTCAAGCGGAATGTCGAAGTGGTGGAGGAAGTTGCCTGCCGGGAGATCGTACCATGGTCCGTTACGGTCACCATGTGTTTTTGGTATGATATAAGCCTCCTCCTTAGATTGATTCTTTGTGGCATCTAGCTCAACAGCCAAGATATCAGTCGACGAGGGTGGGGCGGCGCCAGTCAAAGCCGCGTCCTTGGCCACCTCTCGCAGCTGGTGAATCAGGTCGGGACTGAAGTATCCGTGCTCGGACCAGATTTCCAGCAGATCATCGAGCCGTCGATGATGTCGGGGATATTTCTGTCGATCATAGGCCGCCGCATATCCCAACAAGTCCACCATGTAGGGTTGCAGGGATCCGCTCACTGTGGAGAAGGTCGTCGTGCCGGCCAGGTGGTACTTGCTGTGGTGAAGCAGATCGTTAAGGAGATAGAGTATGTGGAGCTTCCGACGCTTCGGTGAAGGATTGGACCGAGCAGCTGCGGGTGGTTCATCGAGAGGGCCTGCCAATATCACGAGGTACTTGGCCAGACCTCCGATGCGATTTGCGGACGAGGTCACATGTTGGAAAAGCAGTTCTTTGCAGGCCTGTTGTATTCAAAAGTTCAGCAAGAAGGCAGGGAAAAAACGGCGAGGCACCTATGAATCAGTTCACACCTGGATGTATGCCGGGGAGCCACGTGACAGAGCGCGGTCAATGGCGGAGTGGAGGGCGTTGATTTCGGGGGAGGGGACGGATGTGGGATCGGGGCGCAGGAGACTGGCGGAGAAGGCAGCCTTGGCCACAGCCATCTTATTGTACGCCATGTCGTGTGGGCGATACTGTGAGCTGTGCGCCAGCCGGTTGGAGAAGCACGCGTGCACTGAGTTTGATCTGGGAGCTCCTCATCAACTCGAGCTTCTGGGAAGGAAACTGAAGCTTGGGTGAGTTTGGGGACAAAGCAGATACGCACGTGACTGGGAGGAGCTCCGTCTTGATGCCTGAGGCAACGATGCGGCTGTTATTCTCCGTTTGGAGCGTGACCTCCAAATTAACTAACAGGATGCGTGTAGTTGCCAGTGCTTACTTTTGCGAGGATTTCCAATAGAAGCCTGAGGTTATACGCGCTAGTTAGTAGATACCACTACATATTGAGTCTTTTCAAGCACCTGATCTTCGTCGGAAATACGAACTCGAAGTCGAAGGATATATATTTTCGAAAAGTTAGCTAAAACGTGTAGCTATCTTGAGAGTGCTTTCTACTCGAGTACTATCCATCGTATCATTACAGCCATTTTTAGGGAATTTGCCGCCCTTCGAGCCTGCTATGGTTGACGGGAGCTCTACACCGCGTCATAGCTGCGAAGCGCCCGGCAGATGGGGGTGAAGTATATCCGACGATCAGCTCAAATTGGACCCAAATGATAAGATTACCTACCACCGGCAAGAAGGCCGGTTGTCCTTCGGCCTCACCCTGACCTCCACTACAGCCTACTATTAATATACTGCTGAGTGTACACAGCACCTATGAGTCAGTCCGAGTGCCTCAGGTCTCTAGGTAACTGTGGCACTCTTCTGTCTGCCTTGACCATCGTCATGGGGACGACTCCACCAGCTGCCTCACATCCTCAACTCGCGGAGGGGCAAATTCCGCCCCACAACATGCACCCCTCCAGCACATCGAGGAGCTCATCCCCCGCGATGGCGTGAGGCGCGATTTGCGCGCACTTGCCGACCGGCCGATCGGTCTGATCACCCCGGATGAAGGCTTCCACACCTGCGAGCATCAGCCCATTCGGCGGTTCCCCCCACACGGGCCAGCTGCCCTCGCATGGTCTGACTCGTCGATGGCGCCATCTATAAAACACCCGTCCTCGTCCATACCTGAGTAGTCGTAGCTCCTCCTACCCCCTGCATCCTACATCTTCTCTCACCTCTACCGCCCACAACTTGAACCTCACCACATTTGTGAACTGTGAACCATCATGGCCGCCGTCGTCGCTGTACAGCTCGCCCGCCCAACCATCCGGCACTTCTCTGCCCACCGGCCGCGTCCCGATAGCCGCGCAGCTCGCGCCGTGACCACTTCCTGCCTGGCCGCCGCCGTGGCTCTGCCTTTTGTTCCTCCAGCCCTCGAAAGCTCGCGTCAGAAGAGTTCTGGCTTTCCCGACGGCAATAAGTGAGTGTTTGCGCCCGACTGAGCCGTCCTGCATACGCGGCCGGATATGTACACAAGAAGAACAACCCGACTGACGCTGGATAGGCCCCACCCTCCGCTCTGCTTCCATGCACGCTAGTCGCCAGATCCGCTGAGATGAATGCGCAATATTTCGCGTTGCGACTTTTCCACATTCATGGGTTCTGCTGTTCGGTGCGGGCGCCAACATACGGATCCGGTCATGATGCATGAGGTCGAGGGTGTTTGGGGACTGGCGTTTTCTATATTTCTATCTTTCGACTGGTGACATACGCCACGGCGTCCTTGCGAGATTGGATGGTACAACCCGGGACAACACTATTTGTTGATGGTCGAAAGCATCGATGCACTAACGTGCCTAGCTAGACAACCCTGCCAATTTACGAGCATACCTATTAAGACAGTGCATTTGTCCTGAATTGAGAGCATAGAGTAGAGCAACCCTAGGAACCCATAAGTCAAGATCGAGATCGATCATGATCGACACGGGAGGCCCCTAGTACATTGATGTACATACAATTGTAACGAGATGACAAGGTAGAGCTTGGCTTCCTCAGGGTAGGCAAAACCACACATTAGATAGGGCCATGCATGCCACCCAAAACACGGCATGCACACACACCACCTGTAATTTACAAGATCAAAATGTACACAAGGGTCCCAACCCCTAACTAAATCGGTTCCCACGGGGAGGACTAAACGGCTGTGCAGTCTCGTATTTTCCCTTCTCCAGCACTCGGTCGTCATCCGTCATGGGCTCGTGGCGAGTCGGGGCTGGGTCGTGTGAAGCTTCGGCGCTGGGCGAGGCGACATCGTCCGCCGCATTTTGGAACCGTGTCATGTTGGCTCGCTTCAAGCTGGCGCCGTCGGTCGAGTCGGGGGTGGGCGCGGTCATGGCGGCCTGCCGCTTATGATCGTTTTCCATGGCCTTTAGCTGCGCCTTGCGCTTCATCTCGGCCTCAAACCGGGCCTGTCGGTCGGCATTGATGGACTGTTTGGCAAAGTAGTAGGCCCCGCCGCCAGCTGGAGGATGAGAAGTGTCAGACTCGATGACTAGGAATATTCATGTGATTAACCAGATACCAACCGACGCAAAGGGTGCCCCAGCCAACCCTGTATGATCAGAAGCGTGCTCCATCAGTATTTCCAGTGTCCGGCGGGCTTCCTCCCGTTCCTATAATGGGACAGATGGGTGTGGGCTCACCAGGTAGACCGAATCTAAGAGGACGGTTAAGTTAGCAATTGTGTGAGACCAGTGGGTATGAGACTTACTGTGTTCATGGCTGCAATGTGGTCGGATTCCTTGTGAAAAGAGATGTTGGCGGTGCAGTTCCTCTACGTCAGTCGGAGGCGCGGCTCCGCGCTAGTGACCGGTTTCTGCCTCAGGCCGACTATCAACCTATCAGCGCAACAGACCGAATCACCTTTAACCTTTTGCCTTCGCCTCTTCCACCACCCCTCCTCCTCTTGCACCCGTACTCTTTCTTTGATCTCACACATCTAAATCACTCTCGATCGAGATACCGAGTACCTGCTACGAAACCGCTGACAGGGCCGCCTGTTCCCTGCGACCCTGCACTTTCGTGGCATGCACACCTGAACTCACCTGGGCATTGCTACGAGGCGGTTGTCGCCTCTTCCTATAGCACGCCCTTCCTTCCGATCAAACCCAAGTAGTGGTTTGCATTCGATCTTTCGCTTCGTTGAGAAAAACTTGACAACTCCACACGATGCCTCCCAAGCGCAAGGCGACTGACAGTCGGTAGTACCCGATCGTTTGATATGACAAACTCGCTCACATTGCCCAGGTGGTCGGTCTAGCAGTGCGTCGAAGCGTCCCACCCCCGTTCCCGATGTCAGCGATGTTTCGAGCGAAGACGAATACTCAGACCAGGACGATGTTCCGGAAGGAAACAACAACTTAAAAGGTATACAGTGGCACCTTACTCACGCCAGGTGAAGTGCGGGATTAACGTTGGAGGTTACAGATGTCGTCAACAAATTCTCTCTCGAAACATTCAGTAAACGATCCCAACCCCAGAAGACCGACCCTCGATTTGGCTACAAGGATCTTTCGGAGCTACCTCTCAAACGCGACCACTACAACCGTCCGCTATGGATCGAGCCGGTAAAAGGCACAATCACCCTTGAGAGTTTCTCTCCACTGGCGTCCCAAGCCCAGGATTTCCTCACAACTATTGCGGAACCATTGTCGCGTCCTCAACATATGCATGAATACCGCTTGACGGGCCACAGTCTGTATGCAGCGGTGTCGGTTGGGTTGAAACCTGAGGATATCGTGAAAGTCCTGGATCGTATGTCCAAGACTCCACTGCCGGAAAGTATCCGGGCCTTCGTTATTGAATTCACCAAGTCATACGGCAAGATCAAGATGGTTCTGCGTCACAACCGATACTATGTGGAGACCTCAGATCCTGAGATGTTGCAGCGTCTGCTCAAGGATGAGGTCATTGGACCGCAGAGGATTGAGAGCTCCGAAGGAATCATCAAGCGAGCAGCCCCCAAGATGGGAGGACTTGTCATTCCTGGAACGAAGGATGCCGCTGGTGTAAGAGAAACGGGCCCCCAGCAAGATGCTGCTCAACGAGAGGAGAACCAAGAGGCTACAGTGGACTATGGAATCGACGAAGTTGGTGAGGATGAGAACGACGAGGCAGCTGCCTACAGTTTCGAGATTCCCCCAGCAGGTGTCGAAGTGGTCAAGGCCCGCTGCCAAGCCATTGGATGCCCAGCCCTGGAAGAATATGACTTCCAGGGAGACACGGTCAACCCAAATCTTGACATGGATTTGAAGCCCACAGCTCGGATACGTGACTACCAAGAGAAGAGTCTGAGTAAGATGTTTGGTAACGGACGAGCCAAAAGTGGTATCATCGTTCTTCCATGCGGAGCTGGCAAGACCCTGGTCGGCATTACTGCAGCAGCGACCATCAAAAAAGGTACAATCGTGCTGTGCACTAGTTCTATGTCCGTCGTGCAGTGGCGCAACGAGTTCTTGCGCTGGACGACTATCGACCCGGGTGATATCGCTATCTTCACTTCTGACCACAAAGAAAAATTCAAGCGGTCGACGGGTATCATTGTATCCACCTATTCAATGGTGTCGCAGACACGAGCACGTTCCTACGATGCGCAGAAGATGATGGATTGGCTTCAGTCTCGCGAATGGGGTATGATGATTCTTGACGAGGTGCACGTCGTGCCAGCTTCAATGTTCCGAAAGGTTACGTCTGCTATCGCCGCACAGAGCAAGCTCGGACTCACGGCCACGCTTCTGCGTGAAGATGACAAGATCAAGGATCTGAACTTCCTCATCGGACCCAAGCTGTATGAAGCCAACTGGATGGAGCTTGCTGCCCAAGGACACATTGCCAAGGTCCAATGTGCCGAGGTATGGTGCCCGATGACAACAGAATTCTATACTGAATATCTTCGAGAAAGCTCGAGGAAGCAAGCTTTGCTCTACATCATGAACCCGCGCAAGTTCCAAGCTTGCCAGTACCTGATTGAATATCACGAGAAACGAGGTGATAAGATTATTGTGTTCTCCGATAATGTTTATGCTCTGGAGCGGTACGCGCTCAAGCTGAACAAAGCATACATTTACGGTGGAACCCCCCAGAACGAGCGAATGCGCATTCTGGAGAACTTTCAACACAACGAGCAGGTCAATACCATCTTCTTGTCCAAGATCGGTGACACCTCTCTTGATCTGCCCGAGGCCACTTGCCTGATCCAAATCTCATCTCACTATGGTTCTCGTCGTCAGGAGGCACAGCGACTCGGCCGTATTCTGCGAGCCAAGCGCCGTAATGACGAGGGCTTTAACGCATTTTTTTATTCCCTGGTATCCAAGGACACCCATGAGATGCAATACTCGAATAAACGACAGGCGTTCCTGGTCGACCAGGGCTACGCATTCAAGGTTATCACCCATCTTCAAGGCATCGGCGACTATGAGGGACTGTCGTACTCCACTCCGGCTGAGCGTCGGGAACTGCTCCAAGAAGTCATGCTGCAGAACGAATCTTCAGCCGACGTGGAGCAGGTGAACGATGACCTTTTCTCCATGCGCTCTGCTAAGGGCCAGAAGAAGAAGCCCAATGCCAAGCGCAGCGCAGCCACCCTGAGTGGTCTGGCCGGCGGTGATGATATGGCATATGTTGAATACAACAAGAGCAAGAATAAGCAGCTCAAAGACAAGGGTGGCCATCACCCTCTGTTCAAGAAGATGCAACGAGACCGCGAGCGACAGAGAAAGGCACGGGAGGCGATGTAAAAAAAACAATACACTTTAATTGTCAGCTCGAGGGGCTGTTCTGGGTGGGTATGCTTTCCCCCTCCCATCGCATTCGAACATTTGATGAACCTGTTCTTGAGGCGTGTTATTACCAAAGGTACTATCATTAAAATGTGCGTATGCGACAATGTCATTCTGAACAGCCGTCCATTATGTAGCGGAAGGCGATATGACGCAGCGTAGAAGAAAAAGGCTCAACAGGATTCGTGGATATGATATTTTTGATCTAGAAAAGAAACTGTTTCAACAGGATCCGTGGATATGATATTTTTGATCTAGAGAAGAAACGCCTGGTTTTTTTTTTGCATAATGTGCAACTGAAACGTCCTTTAAGGACATTCTGCTCGGACAAAATTGAAGACCCAATCACCCAAACAAGAGCTGGCCCCGCCTGGTCCCTCTAGACCAGGCGTGCATTACTCAGAATACGAGGCCGCGCTCAGCAGCTGATGCGGGTTTAAGCTCATCAGTCAGCAAGCCGGGTCCAGTCCCGCGCCCAAATGACGTCGGTTCGTCGCGACGGAACGCCGAGCCCCCGACGATGCCGACAGTTTCCGCCTGGCAACTCGCAAACAGGGTCCATTCCCACTAATCACCGCCTCCTGATAGGCCTACAAAGATGGGGACCTATGCAGAGCTTACTCCGGAGTCGTATACGAGGCTGGTAACAACCTTCCTACATCTACCCTGGTGTCATGTTGCGATCGAGTGGCTATAAAGCAAAGCGATTTCCCCAGGCTCTCAAACAGATCACCAGCCTCGAGACTCTCAGATCACAAACTTGTCTGAAGAGCACGTTTATGGTGTCCGATCCTCCAACGGCACTTTCCCATTCGACGCGCCTGTCATACGACAACAAATCAAGCTTGTGTTTACCGCCCCTAGCCGTTTCGTCTGCACTTTGGCCTCGGTTCACTTCTTACTCCTCTCCTGCACGCCGGGATTGCTCTTCGACCATGGCGACTGCGACAGAGATTCATCTATCGTGCTCCACGGATTCTGGCGTGTTCACGACCGGTACCACGGAGGAGGCAGCCCGTGTGGCCGGTGAGGTCTTGCAGGAGGATATGGAGAACCATCATGTTTTCTTCAACAATCAGGGATTCCACAGTATGTGAGCTTGTCTTGAATCTTACAAGGACCATATAGCTGATAATGAGACCAGACCATATAGTGCACCTGGTGCTTAGCAATTTTGCCCTCGGCGCATCCCCTGAGGATATCAGGGCTGCCTATGAGAGAAACAAATCCTACCAAAGACCCGCTTTCCCCGTGGACAAAGATGTCGTCGCTAGTTTTCACAATACAAGCAAGTTCCAGGAGGGCTTTTTCAAGGAGGAGAACTATTCCAATTATTTGGCCTTTTTCCAGGAGGAAATTGACCGGAAGACTGTGGCCGGCGCCCTGAAGGAATACGTGTTTGCCGGCGACGAGCGAGCAGAGAGCATGCTGTCAAGACTATTTGGAGGTGTGTACTATCCCATAACAAACCCCTACTTTTGTCATGCCAGAAGCTAACGAGAGTCAGGCCTCATCCACCCATTTATCCAATTGGGGTTCGGACTCGAATTCAATCAGCCGGCCATTGTGGCCCAGGCATTGGCCCAGGCAGCCGTTCACGATGACTGGATGGGACCCGAATACTTTTTGCCTGCCGAGAAGTTGGCCGGTGGCATTGGAAAGCCTGGGCAGAAGACGATGTTGGAGCTTCTGAATGAGATCCGCGCCGATAAAAAGTTGGCGAATAGCACAAAGTGGACAGATGGGAACAAGATTCGCGAGGGACCGCTGCATCGGGCTAGAGACGAGATACTGAAATATGCTTCCCAGTACAGGGTCTCTGAAGATCAAATTGAGGAGCGGATGGCGGATATGATCAATACTATCGGTAAGTATCCTCTTCCTGCATTGCTTTGTCGCATCGTACAGCTACTGATCTTTTCTCGACTAGTATATTACACCAGTGCCGCTCAGAGACCTGAGAAGGCAGTGAAGATCGACTTCTTCTTTATCCACTGCGTGAACTCATCGATCTTCTTCTCCAGGATCATCCAGCTTCCTTTCATTGATACGCAGACAAAGCTCCGTCTGCTTGAATGGAAGGGCCGCATGGATTTAATCATGTACGTCTCGCGCAACTCGCCTGAGTTACGACTTAATGAGGTAGCTCAGTATCCCGCGGAGAGCGACTGGGCTACTGTGTTCTCTCGTTGTGTTAAACACCCGGGCGATGATGGACACTTGACCAAGTTTGCGCGAGCCATCGCACATGGAGAGAAGATCTGCAAGGAATTTGATAAGGACTCGAAGATGCCCATTTCCGGAGATATGTGGTTGCGGATTGGTAATATGGGTGAGTATAGAGTGACGATCTGTTATTGAGTTTCATTTACTGACCTTTTCCTAGCTATTGACTCCACTGCTGAAGGTCAGAATGATGGGGCGATGTGGATCCGATCTGCAGGATTTGATGAGGCTTGGGAGAATTTGTCTGGACGTGCCCGTCTGTGAGATGGGTTTGCCCCGGAGAATCAACTGAATTTGGGAGTATTAACGAGATAGTCGGCTGCGGGTCTTCGATCTGCTTGTTTCTAGTTGAGTTGAACAAATTGAACGAGTCCAAGTCAATTGTATGTGGCCAGTGTACCCAGCGCAACATTTATGAAATATTACTGAGTATTAATGGATCGGAAGAACTACTGTACCGACACTGTGAAGAGCTTTAATTTGTTGTCGGTGACAGAAATGCAGAGCTTTACTGTTGTTCGTATAAGTTAAACGTTGAAGCTGTCCCAAGTCGACCTTACAAGCGACCCTACTTGTGCAACAACGTACCGATGCTTTATAAATGCCATATATTAAGATATAATGTGGATTTTAGTAGCTTATGCGCCCCAAATCCGACTACAACGAAGGCAGCTCGCTACTAGTCCTCTACTGGTAAATGTATTTATACTGCGGCTAGCATCGCCGAGGCGGGAACCGCTGGGGTCGGGCCCGCTTAGAAGCTGCAGTGGGTCGGGCCATGACGCACGCGACCTCGGATAAAAGTCAGGAGTATTATGTCGAACTTGGTCGGTGATTAGACCGGATAGATTAGAGAGAGATACTTGGCATATTGCGAGCACATTATAGTAGGGCGCGTTCATGCAGGACGAAAATGGAAGAAAAAGAACGGAGTATCATACAACCAATGGGGCTCACGTGGCGAGGTGGGGCTCCCCAACAGCTTCAGCTTCTTCAACCCTCCCGATTTCTTTCTCATATCAGCAACCGAAGTCGACTTCGATTCCATTCACCATGCCGAACGATCGTGACAATGAGGACAAGAAACGTGATCAGGAGAACCCAAGGATGCCCCAAGACCAGGACTGGGAGGCCGAGAGCAACCCATTCGTGGCCTTCCGCCGCTTTGCCGACGAGCAGGTCTCCTCACTGCTTCAATCAGTCACCGGACTTCCGTCGAGCGTCTCTCGTCCCCAATCAGATAGATGGACTATATTCACCGATGACAGTGGATATAACAGCATGAAGTATCGCGAACGCGGTGGTGGTGCGGATAATGCTGGGCAGTGCAACTACGCGCCGCGAGACGAAGGCGCAGGCGGGTCTGCATCGCGTGACCAGGACAACTCCAACGACAATGACAACAACGGCAACAACAATTCTGGTGGCTCCTCAGGCTCGTCGCAGCGTCGAAAGCCTGACGATTACGACTCGCGGCCTTCGCAACACGGGCGAAATGCCCGCACAGCGCATTCCGACTTCTTCGGTATCGAGTCCTTCTTCGATCGCTTCGAGGATCAATTCTTGCCCTTCTCCTCGCCATTCTCGTCGCTTTTCCACCCGCACCAACGCTTCTTCTTTCCCGACATGTTCGAAGACAGCAACTCGCCCACCTGGCCACTCGTCTACATTACATTCAGTCCCTACTCGCCCCTCCACCTCGAGCACCAGGCCCACTATCGTGTACAGCGAGGCCAGGGAGTCTTCTCCTCTATCATGTCATCTTTCCGACCTGACTCAGACCGTGACCCGAGTGAGCCCCAGTGGCGCGAAGCCTTTGAGGATCTTCTCCGACTGGAAAATGGCAAGCCTATGCTTGACGAAGAAACCCTCAAGGCAGGCAAGACTGAGAATGGAACGGAATGGTTGCATGGCCTCGCGAAGCGAGGAAGCCTGGGTGACCGCTGGAAGTACGTGTCTGGAGGTGTTGATGGCCATCCTTGGTCCGGCATCACTTTCACGGGACACAATGAAGAAACTCGCACATTGCCTGAAAAGAATTTGGAGAGTGAGCAGAAGCAGCAACTTCGGGATGACCAAGATGTCGCGACCGAAAGCGAGTTGGACGTTTATGAGCGCTTCTTACGCGACATCGAGGCCCGGGAACAAGAGGTCCTGCGTGGGGAGGTTGGAAGTCCTCTCGTTCGATTCCTCCTCGAAGAGCGCCGCCGAGAGCAAGACCAAATTGACCGATACAGACGTAACCTCTCGCACCCAGCGGACGACCAGGGCACCGAAGACACTGAGAGCTGGCTAGATCTTGTCTCTGGTGGGAATCGAAAGTCTGTCCCTGAGACATCGGCCGAGTCAGGGGATGCAGATGTCTCACAGCAATCCACACCGGTTCGCGTTATTTCGACTATATCTCGAACAGAACGCAAACGGCTGGCTGATGGCTCGGTTGAGACCAAGACGGTTAAGACTAAGCGCTTCACCGATGGCCGGGAAGAAACCGACGAGTCTGTGGAGGTAACTCACCCGCGTTCCAACGACGGAGGCTCTGGAGACAAGTCCAAAGGCGGTTGGTTCTGGAAGGACTAGGCGTTTCGCTTGCACAAAATAAAGTGTGATGCATGACATCCTTTCTGTGTCGGTATGGCGCAGGATATGACCCACGACTTGCTTTGGACAGCTCATCAGCGATTTCATTCTTGCTTACTTTGGCGTTGATCTTCTTTTAATCTTGGAATTTATATTACTTTTTCTTCATCTAATCAATGCATTCTATCACCATGCACTCCGCCTTGTGGAATTCCTTACCCCATTAAAGTCATTTGCCTGGCTGGGTCATGCTATACTTTAGCATTGTTGCACGTGATGGCTGCCGAGATCCAAATCGCTAGCGTGGGGGCGGAAACCCCCAGGGTGAACGGCTGAAAGGATCGCCGTTGGAAATCGTTGATTTAGCCGACAGTGACTGGCAGGGCTGACCTCCTGAACGACTTTGGTCTTCGTCATCACGCCTGCTCCGCCTAACAGAGTTGCGAGGCGGGTCTTTTCCTCTCCACAGACGCGAAGACTGAGCACACTCTGCAGGTCCGGATCGCCACCAACAGACTTCTATGGAGCTTCTTTGGATACAATATGAAGATGAGAAAGCCCAGAGCCATGAATCCTCCCGGAAAAAGGCGGCCTTCATAACAGCAAATCGGCATCGAGCTCAGAGAAAAGTGCGCTTGAAGAATCTAAAAAATTATAAGCTACCCCCCTCCGAGCGGCGTTAGGCCTCCTGCTTCCAGTCGTGCCTTGGTTCATTCCTCAAACATGGATAGCGATGCTTCACCAAAGACCAATTGCCGACTCGAGTCCGAGTCGCACGAACCCGTACTGTTTCGGTCGATTGAGACAGGGGTCTTAGAAAGCTTTCCATCTTTCTCCGTCAAATTGAATCAAAGTGTGAACCTATACTATCACCACCGCAAGTATACTCTTGTTTCTTCTTAAATTATGCGGACAGTGTGCTGACTGCATATTGATAGATGGTGTCTATACTGCTAAGACGTGCTTTCCGTTTAGTTCGACTGACATGGCTTCTTGGTTTTGGCAAGAAGCACAAAACGAGCTTGCAATGGTCCAAATTATTCTTTCCACGAGTGCCTCACATCGAGCTGGCTCTTTGTGTGCGTCAGGTGCACCTCGAGGCATTGTGAGAGAGTCGATCCAGGATGCCCTTCAGCTACGTGCCCAGACAATCGAATCTATCAAGCAAATCATGGCCGACGTATCGAAAATCTACACAGAATCAACGGTGTTGGTTCTGGCTCATGTTGTTTGCATAGAGGTAAGAATTTTAATAGCTGTTTTGATCACACGGCAAGAAGCACGGTGACTCATGATTGTATTACTAGGCCGGCGAAAGTAATATCCAGGCTGCTGAAGCCCATGCCTGTGGCCTCAAAAATATCATTGATGGGGTAGGCGGACTGGATTCTTTGAGGTTTCAGACTCTCACCAACTTATATTGGTAAAGAAGACCCTCTTGATCAAGCTACGCCAACACCTCGACTGATTCGGGTTAAATTCTAGTTGCAACCTCATGATTGGATTTGTTCAACATCCGCCAAAACTTTTTGTCATTTCTGAAAAGTGGGAGAAAAAGGTTCTTGTAGAAGCATCCAAATTGGAGGATATCTGTGCCAGTACAAAAACTTCAACACTAGGATCACGCTTTTTCAAATCTGCCTGGTGGAGTGATCTTCATCCGGTGCTCAAGACAACCATCCGATCGCTACGAAAACTTATTCTTTCGCACGAGAACACCATCAAGTCGGGCTCGAAGCCATTTCCCACCAACGGCGAATACCTGATTCTTCTGGCTCATCACCTATTTTATCTCTCAGGCGACACGTCCTTATCACCCCTTGAAGAAACCCTTCGTCTTGCACTCTTGGTCTATACCGGCTCACGGGTCTGGTCGTTTCAAGGCATGGGATGTTTGAAAACACTCGTGGGAACACTTGAAAAGTTTTTAAGGCCGAACATTGGACTACTACGTGACAAGGACCCGCAATTTCTGCTTTGGACTATGTTTGTTGCCTCGGTTGCGTCCCACGGTGTATCCGATGGTTCCTGGTTGATAGCGAACATTGCAGACATCGCAAATGAATCGTCAATTACGGATTGGAGAATCGCACGCGATACTCTATCTGAATACTTCTATGTATTTCGGATGACGGATGAGCCAGCAAAGGATATTTGGGAGACTGTACGCAAGCAAAGGAAAATTCGAGATATGGTTTAAATGTCTGTATCATGTTAAATTGACGAACACAATACTGAGTAGGAATACCCTAATCACGAACCATCACATGTCTCATTGAACAATTCCACCTCATCACAAATAGTGCCTAGATTCTCCTGCAATCTCCTTAGTACTTAATGAAATGAGTGGTGAACTCTTCTTGAGGATATTCGCTAATTTCAAAGGCAAAACCGGGCATGTTGATGAGTACAGAATGAGTTAATATGCACATGAGCTGACCCTTAGGGTGCTACTACCAGGTACTCAAGAATCATGCTAATTTCTTAGCAATCGGCCGCCATAGATCCAGGCCTGTCACGTGCGTGGGGAGGCTGCTTCCCCACTCTCTCGTTCCTGTATTACAGATTGATTACCGGACTTCGCCACTTGGCACGCCATATCGGCCCAAATCCGACGAATGGGCCGTCAGCAGGATACAAGGCACCGCATCTGCCGAGCTGATTAATCGCCTCCATGCCGGCTAGTCATGACAGTTGAGCCGAAAAACAGGCCGATCAATTTGTCGCATCCCCCCTTGCATTCATTCTAACGCCCTCGAACCGCCGTGGGTGATACTTCTTGACCGAACAGAATGAGCGCGCCTTCCCAAATCCCCACCCCGGCCCATACGCTCGCGGATTCAATGTTGTCGCGGCGTTTTGGCAAAGAGACGGTGAACTATTTCTCCAGTATGATATGATCAATGGCGCTTCGGCGAAGGAGGCAAAAATACAAATTGAAGCAGCATGACTGAATTGCGTAGGCTCTCCCATCAACCGGCTATCATTCCTGCGCTCCGAGCACCCGTTCCTCTCCTCGGCCCTGAAGCACCCCTCCACTCGGTTCGTCCTGCTGAACAACCTCGCCCCGCTCACCCGATCACCCTCCGAACCATACTACGCCAAGTACGATGAAGTGCGCAAGCTCGTGGCGCCGGAATTTTTCGAGCCGTCCGAAGAGGACATGGTCAAGGCTTTTGACTCTCGCAAGACGAACCCGAACCTGATCTTCCTCGGTCTGGACGAGAGTCGCAAGGAGGGTGGTATGGCGTGGAAGATCTATCAGGGCACGCCATATTTTGCCCTCGATGTTACGGCCAAGGGCTCGGAGGCGCAGCAGAGTGCCGCGAAGGATGTCGTCAGTGCAATGGAGGACAAGGGCCTGTCTTTCTTCCAGACTCGGGTTATCACCACATTCACCCCGGACGACGGTATGTTTACCATGGAGGTAGATCGTGGAATAAAGACATCTCGGACTCTTTGCTGATACTGGTTCCCAGCTGCCATTTATGCACAGGCGCGGGCTTTGATGGACTGGAACAACCGGAACACCTTCTGCGGCACTTGCGGTAATCCAACGCTATCAGTGAACGCAGGAACCAAGCGTGCCTGTCCCCCCACCGATGCGGCTCGTGAAGCCCAGGGCCAGTCGACAGAGCGTCCAGCCTGTAGCACCCGTACAACAATCTCCAACCTGTCTTTCCCCCGCACTGATCCCACGATTATCGTCGCAGTTGTCTCTCATGACAACAAGCGGGTCCTGCTCGGCCGGTCTAAGCGATTCCCCCCGAATTGGTACTCAACTTTGGCTGGATTTATTGAACCGGCAGAGTCGATTGAGGATGCTGTGCGGAGAGAGGTCTGGGAAGAGGCTGGTGTGACGTTGTCCCGGGTTGTCATCCACTCTTCGCAGCCATGGCCCTACCCTGCTAACCTGATGATCGGTGCCATTGCGCAGGTGAGCGAACCTGCTCATGAGAATATCAATCTTGAACATGATCCCGAGCTGGAGGATGCGAGGTGGTTCAAGGTGGAAGAAGTGGAGGAGGCCTTGCGCATTGGCACGAGTGACTTGAGTGCTGGTGCTGGTCCAGAGTATAAGGGTGGCTTGAGACTGCCTCCTCCCACTGCCATTGCCAATCAGTTGATCCGATCTGCAGTCGATGCGGATTACTTTCGCGGTGGTGATAAGTGCTCCCTCTAGAAGAGGCGTCAGTCATTTGGCGGTTCAAGTACATATACGCGTGGACATAGAATAGGCGTGTACAGAAGATTATAGCGGCGAAAGCTTATTTTCCAATTCCAGTAGGGCTTGATGCTTGAATTATAGAGATCTGTACCGCAATCTGACCGCCCTACAGCAGTCATCAAAACAGTCGCCCAAGCAGTCTTCTGAACGGCCATTTGAAGAGTCACCTAAAGAGTCATCTAAACAGTCATCTGAACAGGATACAGGGTACAGGAATACCGAAGCAATGTTATGTGAGTTTAGTTTCGTAAATGACAGGTGGAGAAAAACAAGCTATTTCACCTCGGCTTACTTTACCGAGCCGGAGTAGCATAGACAGTCCCGTCTCGCAGTTCATGAATGCTCTCCCGAGTACTGGGAGAGCCAACCTCGGCGTAGCGAAAACCGTCTCGGAGCTCATGGATAGTCACTTGTCGGTAGTTCTTCCGCGAGCGCCGGCGAGAAGATTGGGCCGAGTTCTCTCGCGAGCCCGAGTCCATGCTGCCCGTCTCACTGATGATTGCACTGCCGGGAGTATGTTCTCTGTCCACGTAGCTATCCCTGGCAATGGCTGCCTGCAGCTCATAATCTGCGACCCAGCGCGTACCGACATCAGCGTACCATCGGCGTAGACCGGATGCATAATCCGCTTCCTCAGATGTGTACTCAACTGGAGGTCCGTTCATTTCAGGCTCGGAGCCGGTGTGGTCGAAGACTGCCCAGGCACTAGATTGAACGCTGACAAGCATGAATTCATGGTCATAGGTTCGCACCTTGAAATCACGCAGCAAAATGGCGCTTCCTGGGATAATTGAAGGCATGGCAGATTTATTTCGCCGGAAGATCTGGGCCTGGAGGGTGGTACCAGCCAGGGAGGGGTCGGTAAGCTGGATGGTCACGAAGAAATCCTTGGAGCCACCCGTCGCCTTGGATATCGGGCTTGTCTTGTGAACAATGGAGACTGTGTCAACAAGAGAGTTGTAGTATTCGACGAGGGAAGCAAGGGGAGCGAAATAGGAGAGTTTGCTGCGAAAACCCTGAGCATAGCGATCGGGAGCCTCACGGCTGGGAATGGAGACCTCTGGGGATTGGGGAGTGGCGTCTCGAGAAGCAACGTCGGGAGTCTGGCGTTCGCTGTCTGGCTGCTTACTTCGCAAGTTGTCCTCGTCCTCGTCAGGAGCATCATCTGACACATCCTCCGCCACCTCAATGGACGCGTCAGGCGCACGTTGGTACGTGATGTTCTGTCCCATGGGTGGTGCGTGTGTGCCAAAGATAGACGAAGGACAGGCCGCGTTGCGGACATTGATGGGTTCCACTTCGCTGCCTAGAAATGGTTCCTGAGTAGGATCGGGAGTAGGAAGCTGCTGCTCAAGCGTCTTTGACAGATCAGGTTCGAGGGGTGCTTCGCTGAGAACCGCATCTTGCGGATTTTGCTGAAATTGCTCTGTTCTAGCTTCTGTAGCCTCTGTTTCGTTGGCCGCGAGTTGATATGGCTCGTAGAACGAGGATGGTGACGGTGTGTTGCCATCACCAGCGCCATCCAATCCGTCACTAGTCAATCGACCACCGTGGTCCTGGTATAAAGACTCTGACTCGGATTCGGGCTCACTAGGGTTTTGGATACCCTCTTGGCTTCGCTCTCCTTTGTCCTCAACCTTAAACTCGATCTCGCCCTCATCCTCGGCCGTATCCTCGTTCTCAACCACATCCCCGTTCTCGATCACGTCCTCATCCTGGTCCTTCTCTGCGTTTGCGTTTGAATCGACGCCAACAATCGGCTCGGGCTCCTCGACAGTTCCGAAATCATCCTCAATATTGTCTTCCACCGCTGTCTGCGCATCTGTATGTGCATCTAGAGCCGACTCTGCAACTCCAACACCGCCCTGCCCCCGTTCCAGGGAAGCATCGCGCGTAGACTGCTGATCCTTGTGATGATCCCGCGCCAGTATGTCCACCGAAGACTCGTCATTTTCAAGATCACTATCAGCAACTCGATCGTTGTCGTCGACATGATCGTCTTCATCATAATTTGACTCCGCCTCCGCGTCCTCCATGTCATCGTATCCAGCTTCTTCCTCAGCGGCAGACCAGTCGTCCTCACTGTCCACTCTGACCAAAGATGAGAGAGTGCGTTGCACAGGCGACGAGAAATCAGCTCGACTCCCCTGGGCCATAGCAAGTGCCGGAGTTGGCATGGCCGGCTGGTCAGAAGTAAGCTCATCTTCGCTATCACTGTCCAGCACAATCACCTCCTGCTGAGTAGATTGAGGCCGAGGCAGATCTTCAGCTTGAGAAGCTTCTTCCTCGTCCTCCCCCGTGTACTTGTCTTGGTCTTCATCGTCACTGTCAGTCTCTGAAATATCGTCCGTCTTATCAAATCCACTGTAGATGGCTTCATGAGCATCACTCTTTTCTTCGCTAGCGTGGGATTGGCGTTCACTATGTTCAATTTCCTGACGCGTCTCTTGGTTCTCATCCTCGCTCTCCATATCCTCAGTCCCGGGCACATGTTCTTCTGTTTCTTCTTCAACGAAGTCCATATCGACTCGCCGGTGCATGTGTATGTCGTCGATATCCTGCATTTCGGGACTGGATTCTGGAGCAACAAAACCTTGTTCGTCCACATGCACCGCCTCGATATCTCCATTCTCATTTTCGAAAAGACCATCGAGGTCGTCCTCTTCCACTGGTCGGTCATGCAGATTTTCCTCGAGTCTTTGCTGGGTATCGTCCATGTATTGGAATCCATCATGAGACTTGTCCACCTCTTGTTGATCGACGAATTCCGGGGACGGAGGACAAGGCAACCGCATTGCCTCCGTAGCCACTTCATCATTGTTTTGCAGGTCGGGATAGCCTGGTAATTCTGAACGGTAATGATGGGCGATAATGGCGTCCTGGTCTGGACCCATATCTCTGTCGTGTTCCTTATTTTCTACTTCTGCTGCGTCTGTGGACATTGTTTGCGTCTGCAAGTCGTTGGTGGTGTCAATATTGACATCGGCGGAGAGGGACTGCGCATTCTGAGCCTGTGGGACGGCTTGGAATGGAGAGAAGTATCCCTGGGCATTGTTCTGATTGGAAACAATGGGCGATGGAATAGGGAGTCCTGGTGATGGGACGGGGCGAAGTTGCGGCGTATCCGTAGGCAGGTGAAAGGCCGGTGCCGACAAACTGCTGTCGAAAATTCCTCCAGTCGTGGCTTCGTTTGAAGCTAGCGCTCGTCTTCCGAAAAGTCCTCCAGCCGGCTCCAGAGACGGCTTCGCGAAAAGATCAGAATGGTCCAAGAACGGATCGTCGTTGCTCGTATTCTCTGACGCCTGGACATCAGGAGCTGAGGTTTCTGTAGGAAGCTGGGTGTCCATTTGAGACTCAGCATCCTGATCCAGATTCATTTCATCTTCAATGACTTTGTCCCAATCCACGGTTCCTTCGCGCTCACGAGGGCTCGAGGGCTCATCTAAAATGCGCCATTCTTCCCTCCGCAAACTGTATCTAGGCCGCTTCCTCCCTCTGCCAGGAACAAATCCATCTTTTTCCGCAAATGGATCGTAGTAAGAATCGAGAGCTTCGCCATATGAATACCGAGCAGTTCGTAAGAAGGCAGGGGAGCCCCATGCGCCTGGGCCGTTCGTGGTATCTTGCGATTCGATGGAGGTCACCTGGGGGGTCGAGGGAGGCGAGCCGACTGGTTCTTCGTCGATAATAACTACTGATTGATTCCGAGAAGTGCGATCCACCTAGGTCACGCTCGTCAGCAGTGATCTCCTATACTTAGCCTATCAGGGGAAACATACCTCAAGCGATACATTTCTCTTGAAATGAATATCCCACGCGACAGACCTACTAGGTGTCTGTGCCGCCGTATTATTCTCAACAAGATTCGAACCTTTCAGTGCAAGACGAACATGATCACCGATTCCGACCAACGAGCCCGCAACCTTTTCCGCGACGCGCCCATGAAAGACCGCTTTCACCTGTCCGTTCGACCGGCGCAGTCGGATGTCAGGTTCGGCGAGGAGCAGAGCGAGTGATTTGGTAGACGAGGAGTACGGCCAGACCAGAGTGACAGTCGCATAAATGCATTTTCCTTCCAGCTGTTCGAGTGTTGGGGACAGCTGCGCGATCGGAACTTTCGTCGGTTGCGACAGCGGACTCAGCGCCGACGAGGCCTCGGACGCGTCCATTGCGCTGGTTATTTCGTGAGCAGTATAGGCATGTCGCATTCACACGAAGATGTAGAGGGAAAGGCCGCCCAAAAGGCCAAGTGATTTTTGCGTCGAACGCCAGGGCAAACGCGGCGGGTTCAGTGAATTGCGAGCTGCAAATTGCGGCGCTTGCATTATGGGCGGTATGTTACCATGATGTTAAATACATCACCCTTCCCGAGTATTAGCGGTGTTATATCGGTAATACAATTCCATATATTACGCATATCATGTGGACCCCTGAACAGGTCTGCATCATTCCCTTTTCTTTGAACATGCCTGAAGTGACTGGCAAAATGGTATTTGTGGTTGGAAATGTTGTCTTTGCAGTTGCTCAGCGATATGTCTCATTCTAGCTAGCTGCCAGAGCCCAGACGGCGCGTGGCAGCTGGCACATACAATTGCGGTAGTAGATCCCGATAAGCTACCTAAGCTGGGTCCCACTCCACTATGGAGACAGCGCTTGGCCCTTCCCCTCTTCAACAACCCCTCCGTGAAGTCGTGAGAAGTGGCCATGACACTGGTGCACCCTGTCCGTCGGGTAGCAGTCATTGGGGCTGGGCCAGCTGGTCTTGCGTCCGTCAAGTACGTTCAATCCCTGACGATTTGTCCCCGCGTGATTCATGACTCCGTGCCTCGGGAAATCGGATGCCACTGACCACCGGACTAGGTATCTGCTGGCAGAAAAATACTTTGAAGTAATAGACGTGTTTGAACAGAGAAGCTCGGTTGGTGGCGCCTGGAACTACAGCCCTAGCTCCAAAGCTGGAATATCAACATCGGTTCCGCATCTCAATCCGCATGAACCGGCCGAAAAGCCAACATGGATGAACCAACCCGGAGCGGATCCAGAGGCCGTCTTTGTTTCTCCACTCTATGACAGACTCGAAACCAACATTCCCAAGGACCTCATGAGATACTCGGATAAAGCTTTTCCGCCAGACGCGCAGCTTTTTCCTAAACACCAGACGGTTAAACAATATCTGGAAGAATATGCTGAAGAAACAAAAAATCTTATACACTTTGAGAGTCAAGTTGTTGATGTGAGACTCAATGATCCCAGTATTAGCACATGGGACTTGGTGACGGCCAATCTACACACTGGTGCTGAAACCACTCGCACATATGACGCAATCGTGGTGGCTAGTGGTCATTTCACCGTCCCATATCTTCCGGAGATTCGAGGCATCGAGGCTTGGGATAAGTCATACCCAGGGACAATCTCACACTCCAAGTTCTATGACACCCCCGAAGCGTTTCGAGATAAGAAGGTCGTCGTGGTTGGAAGCTCGGCCTCGGGCCTCGATATCGGTTCTCAGATCAGCGAGGTCAGCAAGGGCAGCATAGTGGTCTCTCAGCGCGCAGAATCGTACTTGGCAGCATCTGCCCCTGGAGACAAGATTATTTGCCCCGAGATTATTGAATTTCTTTCCCCGTCTACTCACGACAGAGCCATCAAGTTTGCAGATGGCCGGGTGGAAGACCAAATCGATGCCATCGTCTTTTGCACAGGTTATTTTTACTCGTATCCATTCTTGTCGTCCCTCAGTCCTCCTGTTGTCACCGATGGCTGGCGAACCAAGGATGTCTACCAGCAACTCTTTTACATAGACCATCCTACGATGGTATTCCCGGTACTTTCACAGAGGGTCATTCCATTCCCGATGGCCGAGAACCAGGCAGCTGTTTTCGCTCGAGTCTGGTCGTCGCGGCTACAGCTTCCGTCGAGAGCGGAGATGCATGCATCGGAAGAGTCGGAACTAGCAAACAGAGGCGACGGTCGAGGATTCCATATACTGCCTTTTCCCATGGATGCCGACTATCTGAACTCGCTCTACGACTGGGCTACCAAATCCAAGCAACGCTCGGGGCTCGACCGCGGCGGTCAAGGAAAGATTGGGACGTATTGGGGCGAGCGGGAGAGGTGGATGCGCTCCAAATTCCCTGAAATTCGAAGAGCATTTGTTCAAAGGGGAGATCGTCGACGCGAAATCAAAACCTTGGCAGAGGTCGGATTCGACTTTTACCAGTGGAAGCAAGAGCAGGAGCAGAATGCCAGGTTATAGCTTCGTACCTGCATCCTGTGATTCAAATCGATCATATAGATGTTCATAGACACTGCAGCGGTATATCTGAGGAGATCAAAGAATCGTCAGCTTCCTTATTGACAGCTCACACAGTGCAAAATCCTCCAAACTACCCTAAAGAGAGATGATGATCCCTACTGGATTGGGTGCAGATCAGGGCGATAGTCGATAACAGTCACGTGACATACCGTGCTCTGGACAGACGCCGCGCCCACGTCTCCGCGGTGATGCGCTTCTCCCTCTTCCACCACCCACGACCACCCCATGAATATCCTTTGAATTCGCTGGTGGTGAAACTGTGCGAAAAAAATAGTGTAATCCTTTCACTCCTGATCAAGAGGTATCGATATCCCCTTCATGTTCATCGATTCCATCCCCTCTTTTACCATACTCAATCCCATTGTCCTACTGCATACTCCCGAACAATGCCGCGACCATGGATTTACAATCCCTAGTCCTTTTCCTACTGTGCATTTCATGAATTCTAATAATAGATACAGCCCTTGAAAGCCTCTCGGTTTTCTTTGTTCTGCCCCGACCCGGTCTTCGTCTTCCGAGTCCTGGAAACCGGCAGCAAGTCCTTAGTGGCACGATTGTCTTGACCAGGACCTTTCTCGAACCCAGGATCACTTAGTGCTTCTCTACTGAGACAAAACGTCGATAAGGTGTCTCAGTGCTCTTGCAAATCTCAGTCGGGCAAACTTCTTGCGCCCTGGAATTAAGGCTGGTACCGGCGCCTCTGATTTGAACTGAGCTAGCCTGAGGGGTGTATTTTACGCCGTGAGAGTGAACTGAGAGTAGTTTCGCTTCAACCAGCTCCACAAGTCCCAAGGATTTGGCTCGCTTTCTCTAAGGTCCAACCTATCGGGCCCTGACAGTCTACACGTACCTTGTTCACCACGGCTGCTCTGCCTCTGCTACTTCTCTCTGCCACTCGCTTTTTCACTCACTGGTCTGAGTTTTGAGGCTTTTTTTGTGGATTGCTTGATAGGTGGACCCAGGAGTCCAAGTGTCGCTATGGACGACAAGCAAACCAAGCCTTTTGTTGACACGCCGTCATCCGTCGGCGATATTGAGCCCTCAGTGCCTGAAATTCCCGAGAAGGTGATGCCGCTCAGTGTCCGTCCTGACACAGACTCGATCGCGCACTCGCACACATCAATTCACCACACTCATGCCGAGTTACTGCTTCACGCATCGCATTACGCTGGTCAGAATACCATGCAGACGATTCAGCCCAGCGACCTGAGTGTTGGAAATGCGGACGAAGCCCCTCCCGGATCGGTACGTCTCGGGCGGTCCGAGTTTGCCGTCACTCTTCCTATGGACTCCCGTTTGAAAGACGAATATGATCGAATTTTATCAGGCGCGGCTGAGGACATACGTCAATTCCTTGCAATGTCTAATCCAACCACCCAGGTGTCCCCTTCTGATGTAAGGAAAAATATTCCCTCGCCGCTCTTTGCTGGTCTGCTTGCTGATAAGAACTTAGCGAGACTACTCTCTTTCACGCATGCAAGAAGTCACTGCTCAGTTGAACAATGTAGCGACCCACCCGGACCTGAATATTGCCCACCACCTGACCTACAACGATTCAAACATGGAAAATGAGGCCTCATGGGCTGAATATTCGAGCTCAAAATTTTACATGCTCGGGTACCTTGTGCAGGTCGCGAGCACATACGACCTTCATCTAATTATAGAGGTCCGCGGCGAAATGAAACAAAAAGTTCTGGAGAGGTACCTACTCGGAAAAGGTTTTGCTTACACCAGACCACGAGAAGAGATGGGATCCAGCATCGAAATTTCGATGGTCAAGGATTCTCTGAGTTTCGGTATCCACTCCCATGATGGCGTACGAGAGCTCATGAAGCCGCCCGCCGCCATATTTGCCCTAGACTCCTCGTTCGATCCAAATAGCCCGTCGGTGCAACACATCAGAACGACCTACACGCGAAACAATGATCTTCTCCCTGTGATATGGTTCCTAGTCTCCAACACATGTGAACATATCGAACGCTGTCTCCCGGATCTACCCCCGGCCGACCGTATGCGTTTGCTCCTTCAGTACACGGCTCACCTCCATGACGACGTAGGTGACCTCCAAGACAACGCTCTCGGCGTGTACGAGGATGTCGATGAAATCCTGATGTACTTGCGGGACCGATTTGCCACGTGGTCTTTACCTGCTATCGAGCCTTTGCCTATGATCTCCCCGGAAACCCTGGAGTCGTCGACTCCCTCATCTGACGGTCAAGTTCCAACCTCTCAGAAGCGCTTTCTTGTAAATCCCGGCTCTATGTGATCACATTTGTTGCATTTCAGTACTAACACGCTTCTGCAGGACGACGACAGTGAAGATTACCGTTCGAAACGTACGCGGTTGGAAGATGTGAGCCAACTAACCCAATCCATCAAACCCCCTAGTCAACACTTGAGCCGTGATCTTCAATATTTGGAGAAGAACATTCTCCAAATGCAACGTACGCATGCAAGCGAGAAGGAACAACTTCAGGCCGAGCTCTCCCGTGTGTCTTCTCGAGCGCAGACTCTAGAGAAGGCGTTGAGCGAGCTGCAACATCGGTATGAAAGCCGGACCAAAGAGCTACACCAGGTTCGCCAAGAGCGCGATGCTGTAGTTGGGGGAAAAGCGTCTCTCGAACAGCGTGTCGATAGGCAAAAGGAAGACATTTCCAAGTTGAAGGAAGAACGATCTCAACTGCGGCGTGATTTGGACGAAGCTCGCCAGGAGCTCAAATCGGGTGGCGGCACCATGGCTGATATCGAAAAGGCACGGGAGGAGAATCGTCAATTGATCAAGGAACAGGCAGGTCTTGAGCGCAAGGCTGACTATGAGCGTAACCAAGCTGAGTACACTCGGGAGCAATACCAAAACGCATCCACGGCAGCGGCTCAAGCCGGAAATGAACTTCGACAGCTTCGCAATGAAAACGAAGAATTGGCCCGTAAGGTGGAAGGCAATTCCGCACGTCTCCGCGAGCTCAATCTAAAGAACGATTCCGAAATTCACATTCGCCGGATCAAAGAGCTCGAATTGACATTGGTTACTCGGGAGGACCTACTGCGCCGGAAGGAGGAGGAGCTACGGGAGATTCGCAAAAACAGACCGTCGACTCGCTCCACCAGTACTCAGCCAAGAAGCCCCAAGATCACAGCCGGCAGCCGTCCTACCAGCCCAGGTGTCGGCAATGGGAATGGCAATGGAAACGGCAACGGCCTATCCGGGCGTGGAAGTGCATTGCGATTCAGCTCGGAGATGCGCTTTTGAACTTTCTTCCGAAGAGCGCGATTTCCTTTTTTTATCCTCTGCATCCACTGCATTTCAGCGTTTCCTGGACGTCCTCATAGATGGTGTTCGCTCTCAAACAGTGCATATTTATATTTCATCGTGGAATCCGCTTCTTCATGCATTCTTAATGTAGACACATAACCCTTAGTCGACTGACCTGATTTAACATTCTATTGAAGTTGCATCCACAACAACGTATCATCTATATAGTGAAGAGGGGGACGCTCGATGGCAGCACGCGCTGAGACGTGCGGGTCGATTCAGCAGAAAAACCACCACAAAACACGCGTAGCAATCAGGAAATAGCGAGAACCCCAAATGTAGAGGTCAGGCCGGGGAGGTGTAAGAAGGTGTATTCTAGAACTAGCTATCCGGCCACCGTATACTGCCGGCTATGTCACATAACATGGATGGCACCCACGTAATAGGGGGAGGCGGTCTCCCCACTACAATAGTTATATGATGAGGTGGGAGGGCGTTTGTGGATGTGGAGGTTGACAGTGCGTGGGCTGTCATTTATCCGGTGACTCGCTGCGAACTTTGGGAAACCCTTGCACCAGTACTGGCATCGATGACGCTTACATGTTGATTCAAGTTTTAGGTCAGTGCCGGAATCATGAACTGTTATTTCTGATATTTTGTCAAGATGAAATGTCATTGCCAAAATTTGGTATTTGAGAGCATTAAAGTCCTAGTAATAATGGGCTTAGTGACTAAGTTACTATGTATACATAATGAAGGACGCAAAACAAAGTGTGAGAACAGAGAAAAACAATATAATGATTAACTCTATCATAGTCTGGTGCAGGCAAAGATGCTTTCGTGTTTTTGAGATTTTAAGCAGTGTTCATTGCTCCCGCAATGAACGCCGCCAGCTCCTTTGCTTTTTCACCACGCGTCATGGTGAAATGATTAGCTCCCTCCATGACGGTGATGCCGCCGACATTCTTCGACCCGACGAGGGTATCCCATCCGTTCGGGCCGAGATCAGTGCGGTTGTTCAGCAGCCAGAGCATCTCGCGGGGATCAGGGCTGCCGTCCTCTGCGGGCGCAGGACGCGGGTCATTTGGTCCGCTGCAGACGCCATCCTTAGCCCAGACCATGAATGTCTTCGGAATTTTCTCCGCGTGCTGGCTGTCGTTGAAGGGGAGCGGCACGGCCTTGTATGCATCAAGTGAATCGATGAAGGCCAGGAAATGAGGGAGCAGCCAGCTGGGCGGGGGAGTCTTGCCCTCTCCGAAGAGACCGATCGTATCGAAGAATCTGTACAGACGGCGAGGGAGCTTCTCCAGTCCGATCGGGAAAGGAGAGTCGAGGAGAAGCAAGCGCTCGACACGCTCGCCTTCTTCGAAGATCAAGTGGCGAGCTGCATCATAAGCGCAGATACCTCCTGCGGACCATCCACCGAAGTTGTATGGACCATGTGGTTGACGGCGCCGAATCTCAGCCACATAGGGGTGGGTGAGCTCATCCAGGCTAAACTTCAAGTTCTCCGGATTCCGCATATAAGGACAGTTGAGCCCATACACGCAGACTTGGGGGGAGATACCCGGAATTGTGGCATAGGAGGTTGCAGACCCGGAGCCGTCAGGGAACAAGAACAACTTTTGAGTAGCCGTCTTGGGGTTTCCTTGGAGAAGAATCGAGGTGGCAGATGGATGCTGAATGGCCGTGCTTGATGTAGCCTTTGGGGCCTGAACCTGAATCTGTTCGGGCTTTTTGACTTGCTCAGGAGCCATAACCTTAGGCTTCAGATCAAGGGCGACCTCAACTTCGTCGATGGTCTGGTTTTCAATGAAGAACTCCCCAGAAAGATCGAGGTCAAGAGTCTCCCGAATCTTACCCAGGACAGTGAGCGACATCAAAGAGTCGAGACCCATCTCTCCAAGGTTGGCGTCTCCCTGTAGTTCGTGAGGCTCAACGCCGATTTCCTCAGCTAGAATCTCGCAGATTTGTTTCATGCTGTCATTCTGCTCAAGGGTCATATTCTTCTCGTTTGCAGGCGTGGGGAGACCACTCGAGTTAGGAGAAGAAATGTCTGTAGAGGAGGCGGCAGACGAGATGTCAGGCTCGCTACCGGATCCGTCGGTGCTGCTCTCAGCAGGGCCCATGGATGCCAAAAGTTGTTTGAAGTCCTTGATTGTAGGTTGATCAACAAAGACAGATGACTCCAGGTCAAGATTCATCTCCTCACGGTAGCGGCCGGTCACAGTCAAGGAGAGCAGCGAATCGACACCGTAGTCTGCGAAGTTCAGATCATCCGTCATGTCAGATGCAGAGAGCCCAACCTCCTCGGCCAGAATAGCAAGTGCACTAGTAGTAATGCTCGGCCCCGTGGACTTCGGTGTCGATGACTTCTTTGCTGGTGTCGCCTTGGACTTCTGGACATCGATGTGTGCAGGCTTGGCCTTGGCAGCAGGTCTAGCGGCAGGTTTGGCACTAGTAGGGGGAAGAACAGTGTCAAGGATCTTCCGCGCCAGCGCTTGGAATTTGACTCCACCGTACACCGCAACAATGTTGTCTTCCTCAAAGAGATACACATCACCAGCCCATATGGAGTCCTTCCATGGCTGCATACGCACGTATGTGCGGTATGTGACGCTAGGGTCGAACTTCTTCAGGCACCGCATCGAGTCCCAGCCGTGATTCACGAACACCTGGTTCTTGGAATCGGTCACATCACTGGCATTCATGATGAATCCAGAAAGGTGGCCAATGCTGTCAATCCAGAATGGATTGCGGTGGAAGTTGCCTGGTGGGGCCTGGAATTTGACCAGGGCAGTAGCTTCATGTTGGTCACTGTCCAGAATGACTTCTTGAATAGACTTGAAGTTGTCATCATAGTCAACAAGAGAGGCAAACAGCTTGTAGACCATACCGCGCTTCATGCGGTGAGCTTCACCAGTCTCCGTACTCTCCTTCAGGTGTTCAATGCTGCGCTTGATAAGGTAGGTGCTGCGCTTCCACTCAAGCTCAGCGGCACTAGTGTCGAAGTATTTGACAGTGCAGGTGGCATGGTCCATGATCTTCTTTCCTTCCGCAGTAACAGACCAGACTTGGATCTCAGCGTTCTCCTTCGCCCAGTTGGCCGTTGCAGAGACACGGAAGAGTTGTTGGCCACCCTTTGCAATCATCGGCTTGGGAACCACCACGTTGCAAACGTCGAAACCACGCTCTTTCCACTCCGGCTTGTACTTCTCCACGAGATATTCGCCCAGTGTCTGAGCAATATCTGCATACAGAGACGAGGGGCAAAGGGCTGCTCCATTGACCTTGTGGCCCTGAATGACCCGGTTGAGCTCTGGTTCCGAGATATCATTCTCAATGACAACAGTCGCAGTCTTCTCGTCACCGCTGGTCTCCAAAATCTTTTGAGCAGAACTTGTCAGGAAGGTCGAGGCCGATGCAACCTCGGCCGCAGGCTTCGCAGGAGCACCCTTCAATAAGCAGAAGTTGTTGGTGTACGGAATCCAGTAGTTCTTCAGATCCCACTTGTAAGCAGGAAGAGGAAGAACTTCATGGGTGGCACTGAAGTCTTGGTGGTATTCCTTCCAGCGCAGATCAACCCCGGCCATGTAGAGTGAGGAAAGACTGTTGGACAGAACCTTCCAAGTGTCCTCCTGACGGCGAAGAGATGGCACAGTAGGCGCTTGAGGACCGAACGTCGATTTGACCATCCCGGAGCATACAGGGTGGGACCCAATCTCAACCCACAGGGTTTTGTCGTTCATAAGTTTGGCGTGGCGAGTTGCCTCCAGAGCCGCAAGGAAGTTGACAGTCTCACGGCAATGCCTCGTCAGATAGCTGGGAGCGAGAAGATCAGGGTTGGCCTCCTTGATAACATCTCCAAGGAGAGCAGACACGAATGGAATGGCAGGCTCATGGAAAGTGATATCCTTGGCAACCTCGGCCAGGCTCTTGAGGATAGGATCAACCTGGGCAGAATGGAAGGCAAAAGGCACCTTCAGCTTAGTAGCCTTGAAGCCCTCGTTTGCCAGCTTGTCGGCAAGTTGGTCGATCTTCTCACTCGCTCCACTGATGACGGTCTCACTAGGAGCATTGATGCAGGCAACTTCGGCAGCATCATCGTCGAGGAACTGTTTGACTTGAGCGACCGAAGACTTCACTGCCAGCATAGCGTGGGTTCCCATCTGGCACTGCTCTGTCAGGAGCTGAGCACGGCGGCCAGCCAGATAGATGGTATCACTGGTAGTTAAGACACCGGCCGCGTTCAATGCAGCATATTCACCCAAGCTGTGGCCAAGAACAAAAGTCGGAATGACTCCGAGAGAGATCCAGAACTTGGTCAAAGCCATCTGCACACAGGTAGTTCCCAGCTGGGTGACAACAGGACCGAGATCCTCGATGGGAATGCTCCCATCAATCAGCGGAACTATAGATGGGTATCCTTGGCTCTGGGAAATGCGGTCAAGATGCTCGATATGAGATCGGAATTCAGAGCTGTTCTCATACAGCTGGCTACCCATGCCAGTGTACTGAGCACCCTGGCCAGTAAAGATGAAGCCGACTCCAGGAGCGGTCGTGGGAACAGGTGTAATGCTCTCACGGCCGACGCTGGAGTTGAGACCATTTTTGATTTCTTCCAGAGTAGAGCCAACAGCAAAAGCCCGGAAGGGGTGGTGAATGCGTCGCGCAGTGGTAGTGTACGACAGGTTGGCGAGAAGATCTGCCTCGTTGACATTGAACAAATTCTTGTTCGTGTCAATGTACTGAGCCATGGCAGCTACATTGCTTTTTAACGCAGATTGAGATCGCGCAGAGACAAGCACAGGGTGAACGGCTCGCGGGTCTTCGCCCTCTCGCTCCCTGATAGGGGCATCCTCGACCAACAAAGCAGTATTTCCACCTGCCGCCGAGAAATTGTTGACAAAAGTCTTTCGTGCACCACCAGCAGGACGGTTCCAAGGAGTGGGCTCCATCGCGATGTGAACATTACGCTGCGCCAGGTCCGTGGGGAAGTTGTGGTTGATCTTCGTTTTGATGCCACAATGAGGCGGGATCATGTTCTTCCGCATCATCATCAACACCTTGACAAGGGCTGAAACACCCGAGGCAGACTCTCCGTGACCAATATTCGCTTTCGCGGAGCCGAGATGGAGAGACTGGGTCGGACCACGGCGGTAGTCCGGTGCGAAGACATCCAGCACTGATTGCATCTCCACGGCATCACCCGCTTGGGTTCCCGTGCCGTGCATCTCGATGTAGCTCACTTCCTTGGGCTCGATGTTGGCTTCGTTCAGCAGCTTGTCGAAGATAAAAGACTGTGCGCCAACATGGGGACGGGTGATCGAGACAGCCTCGGCCGAGTGGTTGGTATAGGCGCCAGAAATGATACCATAGATCGGGTCATTGTCCAAGTAGGCGTCCTCCAGTCGCTTCAGCACGATGGATCCAATTCCATCGGCACGGCAGTACCCATCGGCTCCATCGTCGAAAGTGTTGCAGTTGCCAGTTCGCGAAAGGAAGTGGCCACGATCCAGACCAGCGTGGTTGTCGGGGTTGGTCAAGACGTTGACACCGCCAGCAACGGCGGAGTCGCAGTCGTTCCGCCAGAGCGAGTTACAGGCCACGTGAATCGCCGCCAGACTGGAAGAGCAGGCGGTATCAACACTAACGCTGGGCCCGCTGAATTTGAAGTAGTAGTTGATGCGCCCAGGCGTGAACGCGCGGTTACCACCAGGGATGAAGTAGGTGTCGATGTCCTGTCCGCTGTTGATTTCACGGTAGTCGTCACTGGTCATTCCATAGAACACCCCGACTCGGTTCTTCTGCGTGGAAGGAGTGCTGTCGGGGATGAATCCGGCCATCTCAAAGGCCTCATATGCGGTCAAGAGGGCGAGTCTCTGAGCAGGATCGGCCTGCAAAGCCTCGCGCGGAGACATGTTGAAAAAGCGCGGATCAAAGGAACCAGGCTCGTTGATCCAACATCCATATTGCACCTTGCTGGTGTTGCGCGTGTTCCCTTCCATGTCGACGTGGGCCTTCACATCCCAGCGATCAGCCGGGACCTCGCGGTGGACATCCAGTCCCTTGTATAGCAGGTCCCAGAAAGCCTCGGTATCCTGCGCCTCTGGAAATCGGCCGGACAGACCGATGATAGCAATCTTGGACTGCTCGGCACGGCCAGTTTGGTTGACGCCCTCGGTGTTCTTCTGGACATTGCCAATTTCGCTGTCAATCTCGAGGTTGGAAATACCGGCCTTCTTCAAAGAAGTGTACAGGCTCTGAGTCGCGGTGCTGGAGATTGGAAGGAGTGTACATTTGGCGGCAGTCGCATCCAAGGCCGAAGAGCACGCCTCAATAACCTTGTCCCAGCAAAGTTGGCGCAGCAAAACTTCTTCCAGGGAGATTCTAAGCAGCTGCTCGAGATTTTGCGCCTGAACTGGCTCACCAGTCTCGCTGGAGAAAATCGGAATGTGAGGTACATAGGCGTCGAATCTTTCCTTGGGCCATGACTCCAGGATGCGATTGATATCCCTTGCATCGTAGAGATGCGATGCGTGATACGGGCCATGAATTGGGACCCTGACGGGCTTCTGATCCTTTGAGAGGCAGCTATCGATGAACTGGCCCAGGGAACGTGGTGGTCCGCTAATCGTCAGTCCATTGCGACTGACTGCGCTGATATATGGCAGGGAAACCCGGGGCAAAGCCTTCAGAATATCAGTATTGAATTGATCATTGGTTCTTCAAACACCGTACTAACCTTCGTTTGACCGAAAGCTTGAATCAGATTTTGAGCATCCTGCTCTTTGATTCCAGATACCAGTACAGACCAGCTTGGTGATGGCGATTCGCTCGCTTCCACGAGTCCTCGCACCTTGGAAACACACATTCCCAACCGGAGGGCCAATACAACTGTCTCAACTCCGGCAAGCATGAGCTCTCCGATTGTTTGCGAGGAGCTTACGGCTGCTGCTGCAAGCTGCCCAGTGCAGAGACCGATGATACAGCTATCATATCCAGAAGGATAAGCATGGCCAAGGTCTCCATAATAGCTAATCAAACTTGGTCAGTATTCCTATGCTTCCAAAGCTCCTGATTCCGTGATTTCTTCAGAGATTCTTACTGTATGAAGCATCCCAATTGATAAATGGTTGTCAATGCGCTCTCCAATGCCGCGCTTGGGCCGGACTCGCGATATCTGGCAAGCAGGTCGACAATGCTTGTAAATCGAGGAAACATTTGTCGCTGCGATGGCGGCAGCTGACTGATTTCTTTCCGCAATGCATAGTAGCTTTTTTGAAAGAATGCGCTCAAGAGCGAATCATTCTTGGCTTGCAACAGGCGGCGAAGACCCGAGTCGAAATTAGCAGTCTGATCTCCGAAGAGATACACGCGACTAGGGCCCTCCATTGTCAAACCTGGTGCTAGCCAGAGGTGCAAAATTCTACAAAGAAAAGAGTCCAGGCCAAGCGCGCATGGCTGGGGATCATACTTTATACGTGCTACTCTGGTAATATTCTCCCCAGTGGGGCTAAGCCAGATCAAAAAGTCTCTTCGGGATATGGATTCTCTCAGCACATGGGATAAAACGTAGAGAAGCTGCTCTACAACCTGTTTCTCCCTAGAAATGAGCTGTGGAGCTCATCCCACGGTTTGATAGAAGGCATTTACTTCGGGTGGTACTCCGTTCGAGTGGATCGTGGCTAGCCAAGCCTGTCAAAGCAGGACCAATGGAACGGTTACCGCCGTCAAGCTTGTGTCAAGCGCGCAAAATGCGATGTTTTCCCTGCTCGACTGGGCCCGATTTGTGGAAACTGTGGGCCAGCTACTGTTGATTCTCTGGAAATCCGGTAGGAACCTGCTCGACTTCTTGGGATAGTATAGGTACTGGAGTCTCTGTTAGAATCGCTGTTTGCGGATAAAGCAACCCCGGGTCAAACGAATAAGATTCGAGATTACCGCCCTTGGATGAGTTCTCCGTGAAGAATTAGCTAATTGAGGCACCGCCATACGGAAAGTTCAGCTGAAGACAGGTCCAGGTGGAATATCGTTGCAGTGTCAGGACAGCGATGGCTGTTTGCAGAAGGTTGCACCCGCGCGGGCCGATTTGTATGAATCACGTGACCAACATGCCTTGCTCCAGTTGTGTTTCTCCAGAACCAGAGCTTCGAAAATTGAACGATTTAAAGGAGGGATCAAGATGAAAATACAATTTTGAGTTCGAATTCATAAATACCAAGAAATTGCGTTGGTCTATAATGTACAGTAGTGTACTCGAGAACTTTGATTGTTGGTAGTGTACATTCACCTAATGGACCAAAATATATTTTCGCCCAAGGTAAGATCGGTGACCAGTGTTGTCAGCTGGAATGCAACAACAGGTCATATCGAGAAAGATACTTGTCCGATCGCCCCAAGGTATCATATCCAGGTATACAATACGTCACGACTTCCCCAATGCTCCGATCTAGAGTAGCCCACACATTGATCATGAAAAAAAATCTACGATCAGCTCGGGACCGGATGCGATCTGCTTTCCGCAGAAAAAAAGCCGGCAAGCGTAGATTTTTTTTCGAAGGAAGATAGCCCGTTTTGTGCAGTGTCCTGGTGGGAACTGAAGGAAAACCTGGAGGTTGATGTTGGTTTGAGAAGTATCTGAAGGTTGGAAGTTTCGCGGAGCATTTTCCAAAGTCAATGTCATAATGTGCCTACACCATTGCATTGCAAAATTCTACTTTCTAACCCACACAGAGATGGCAGTCCTGTAGTCAAACACTTTTCAATAGCCCTCGTCATATGCCAGTGAAGATCGACATCAACTGCCCGAGTGGGGCCGACTGCGGACCGAGACTTCCGCCAAAGCAGGTGTAACTACGAAGATCAAGATGAGACTCAAGATGAGGTCAAGAGGCGATTGATTTTTCAGTTATAGCATCGAGCTATTATAGACTAAGATTACCTGGCAAGCTACGAGGCCTGACCAAATCAAAATAATGAGTGAGCTTTCTCGCGGAAAAAACAAGACAAAAAGAGGGCTTCTAGTGGTGGCGGGCCCGCCGAACACTTTGCGTCTCGCGAGCGGACTCCGCGTCGAGACGCTCAGAGATTTTGTTCCCGAGAATACTCATCATTTTTAGCTCACGAGCTTGGTACCATTCACCATAATCCTCAATCTCTGGTGTTACCTGAGGGGCTGTAGGAGGGGTAGCCTGAGTCGGAGTTGGTGGAGATGGCGGTCTGCTCGTAGAAATCGGAGGGATTTGTGGAGGTGGTTGGGGAGAAGATGTAGAGGTAAGAAGGGGAGTTGATGAAGGCTTCACGCTGGCAGGGGTTAGAGTCTGCGAGTGACTAGCCCACCAGGAGCTCATACTGGCACTCTGATCTTGCCCTTGACCAGCACTCTGACCTTGACTGGCACTTTGGCCTTGGCCGGTGCCCTGGCTTTGGCCTGCACCCTGTCCCTGACCAACACCTTGACCTGGAGGGGGTCCTTGCCAACCGCCAGGACTCTGGTCCTCGCCGGGCGGTATTTGGGGCCAAGCATCAACACCATCAAGGAGAGCGACAGCCATGCCATTAGACATGTGTGTTTCAATATGACAGTGTAAGAGGAAGGGGCCGGGATTGACCACCTGATACCGGACAATCATCCAGGACGGACCAGTGGGACCTTGAGTGACGAATGTATCTCTTCGCTGAGGATTATCCAGCTGGAAGTATTCTGGGTGTGCCGCAATCGCATCCTCAGTACTGGCCCAGTTGAAGAAGCCAGGACCGACACCAAGGATGAATGCCTTGTTGGAATGCTTGTGCATCACATGAGGCGCCTGAATAGCGGGTGTGTGGGGCATGGAGCCGAGTTGCAAAATCAAGTCGACCCAAGTGCCGTTCTTGGTCTGGATAGTGACCTGCTCAGCAAGTTTGTTCTTGGCATTGAGATCGTAGAGAATCGGATCATCCCAGTTGGCCATCATGTCATAGAGAGCATTCCCGGAGGCGGTCCAAGTGTAAGACGAGCCCAAGCGTCCAAGAGTAAGGTTAACCAGTTGGTCCGCATGGTCAGGGATAGATACAGGAGGATAAGGGCGAATAGCCCTGTTATCCAAAGCGACAACCGCGGCGGAAGTGTTCCGACCGCCATAGTCCAGATAGGGCGCAGAGGGTCCTGTGTTTTCAGAGCCCTTATAACGCATGGTGGCAAAGCCAGAGATCACTTGGTCTCCCTGGGTGTCTGGCACCCGGATGGTGTAGTCCTTATGGGGCTTGTCCAGCTTGATCATTGCAGCGTAACGCTCTCCGTTGAAGATGGCAACGCTCTCGGCAAGCTGCGGCTCAATATACGCTCCGTCGACTTCGTAAATGTACATGGGGTGCTCATCAATCGAGAACATCAGCGCTTTCAATGAGGCAGCACTGATGAACTTGAGACTGACCCAGCCAACCTGAGGGTCCACCTCGATAATTTCGTGCAGACCAACAGTGGGGGTACAGCCCGAGTTCAAACCGGGTGGGATTTTCTCGGGATGAGTCGGAGGAAAATTGCCCTGAGTCTCATAGATGTTGGGCAGACACCTGATAAGAGTAAGGAAAGTTAGTTGGGACTTTTTGTCATGTCTGTTTTGAGAAAATATGATGCCTACCCTTTATCCGTCAGAGGCTGATTGTTGATGGCAGTGCTAAGATATGGCAATTCGACGCTTGAGATATTGGCGGTACCAGGGCAGTATACTGCACCACGGCCATTGATAAGGATACTGTCGGAACAGCTGAACACAGTTAGCATACGACAAATGAATGATCGAAAAAGCTTGGACCCACAAAATGTTCACGCCGGTGTCTTCCTGCACCTTTTGGTACTCGGCGGCAGTCAAGTGATCCCAGTCGGACAGCATAATAAGCTGGGGATCCTGCTCTGCCTTCTTCATCGCAGCAATATCGGTTGGATTGTTTGAGATGAAGTGGAAAGGATCTGGAGTTTGAGGGGCGGGACTGAGACTGTTATATGTGAGTTCCAATGGAGAAATATGCACATTAACTTACCTGATCCAAATGGCCCCATAAAGACCGTCCATAATCTCAGATTGAGCATGGGCGTGATACCAGTATGTGCCATATTGGGTAGCCGTCCACCGATAGGTCCAGCTGTGGCCAGGCTGGATTGGCTTTTGCGTAAGGCCTGGAACACCGTCTGACCAGGGAGTACCTCTTTGTTCAATTCCATGGAAGTGAATGGAGGTGTTGAACGGTAAGTGGTTGTGGACAACCACCTCAACATCATCGCCCTCAGATAGTCTCAGTTCTGGTCCAGGAAACTGCTCGTTCATAAAGACCATATCCCGAACATTCCCATCTGGTGCACCTTTTTGCCAAGTCAGGTCCAAGTCAAAGTGAACCTGCTTCGCCCATGCCAAAGGAATCAGCCCAGAGCTGGCCAGCGTCAGCAGTGTCTTAATAGGCGCCATGATGGATGGATCGCCTTTGGGACCAAAATCAAGTCCAAAGGAACAATTGATTGAGGACTGGTTGTGCGGACGTAGTGAGGACGAAGAGCTAGTTTAGATTAACTATCGACCTGGAGTTGGTCACCGGGGAATCACTACATTTTTAAAGTCTCGACAATCTCCTCGAGGTATGCTGGAAAATTTAGCGGTAAGCCCACCGAGCGCCTCAATATCACTGATTAGGGCCGCGAACGGTCTTTGCATTTTTGAGAAAACACCGTCTGTCTTCGTCTCATGTCATTCGTGTTTGACAACTCTGCAAGATTAAGGAAACACAAGTCCCGATTTTGGAAGGCTTGTGATGTTGAGAAGGCTGGTCAGCGAGGAAATCATCGTGATGTTTTGTTGCCAAGAAGGAAATAGGCGGCCGACTCGAAAATCCATTCAGAGAACGAGCCGCAAGGCCTTGGTAGATTGAAGTTAGATGCATCCTCGATTGAGTGGGATCGGCAAAGGAATTCCCGTGAAAGTATCTGGAAAGATAACCAGCCTTCCCTCTGCGGAAAACTGTTTTGTAGTGGCTGGGAATTCCTGGGTTTGTCCTGGAATGTACGCCAGGCCTGATTTGACCAGCTCGGCACGGAGCGCCAAAACATAGACCAGCCCCACATCTTGTAGCAACGGCATGAGTGAGGAAGTAAAGGCACCACCTAAGCAAAGATGAGCTGATTGGGTTAATGATGATTGCCACAGGATACAGCAGCTGTTTCATTTCTCTTATTTCTGTTTTCAGGATAGAAAGGAGCGAGAAGTTCTGAAGCTCAAGTGGACTCTTCTGTAAGGGCATTTCGCTAGAACCAGTCATTTTGAAGCACAAGCCTCAAGTGAATTCCTTTGAAAAGGCCGATGGAATTGATATTTCACCCCCTGCTCGCACCATTTGGCGTTCTCAAGTTTGCTTGTTAGTGAACTTTGACACCCCTTTCATGCGAGAAAATCGCGCATCAGTATAGTTAGGTCAGACCGCTTGGGAATTAAGCGCGGCGCACAGTTGGTCCGAGTACTGAATCCCCTCGGCTATGACGATGAGGAGCACTTGGGGTCGGTCGTATGGCCCCAACTAGTGGGGAGCGGGTTGCCAGGGCTGGGGTGCGGCGCAAACCGTGGATCGACTTGGGAGCAACCATCATGTGCTGCACAATGAGCAGCATAAACGCAGCCATACTGGTCTTAGGCTCGGTTCCAAAAAGCCACGCTCCCACTTCTTGTACAATGCACACCGCAATGTCAAGCAGAAAAGTGTAGAATTTCCCAAGGACAGGGCGTTGCGCTGGAAACCACACGCATGACATAAGCGCATTAAGCTTATCGATAAGGGCCATCTCCGCCGCTAGTCCCGATCGGGCCACCACGTAAACAACCCGACTGCTCGGGCCTCACCGTCTGAACCTGCCTTCGTCCTTGTCTTCCCTCCCGCCTCTACCCAGTCGCATTCGCCCCTGGACCCAAATCCCAGTCCACTCTGTGGATTCAAGATCATTCCCTTTCTTTGCGGCCCTCCGAGTGCCATGGCTGCCTGAGTCGAACTTGCTTCAACGGCCGTGCGTTACCTAGCGACCCCATCTGGCTTCCACTCTTCAGCTCCGCCCGCGACAGCCTTACTCCAACCTGCCAACGTCCCAACAATTGACCTCTCTCCCGCCACAATCATTTCTAGAATTGTCTCATACCAGTCGCCCCAACCGTCCTCGCACTTGAAATCGTGTCTGCGCTCGTCAAATCAAGCGTTTATCAATCGCGATGGCACCCAATGCACCACAGCTGCCATCGCGGTTCCCGTGTTGGTGTCGGGCTGTATATTCCTGGGGAGGAGAGACAACTCGAGACCTGGGATTTGTAGAAGGCGATCTGATCGAATGTCTGAATGCCGGAGACGGACAATGGTGGATGGGACGGTTGCGCCGTGATAGACGTGCAGTTGGACTCTTTCCGTCCAATTTCGTCGAACTCATGAGCGAAGACTTTGTCCCCGTCAGTCGAGATACCAGTCCCATGGTTTTAGCAGGCTCGTCTCCCATCAATAATCCCACATCGGCTCCAAAGAAAACGAAGACCGTCTTTCGAAAACCCTTTCAGGCGCACAAGGAAGCCTTGTCCCCGTCATCCAATCTCGCAAGGAGCGAGTCAAACACGCCGGTCAAGAGCTCAATCCCGCAAACTCCGCCCCGAGATGGAAGTGTCCCGCGCAGCGTCAAGCCTTTGCGTACACATGCCACCGCAGTCAAGAACCAAGGGTCCATTTCTCGTCCCTCATCGGTCTCCTCGCGCCCATCATCTCGTGGGGTTTCCCCAGTGGTTTCTCCTCGCGCATCAGTAGAACCGGAAAGATCACCATCCGCCATGATGCCCCGAAATAGCGTCTCATCGTCACGTCCATCATCTCGTGAAGTATCCCCCATGGCCCTGCCAGCGACAGAACGTGAAGACTCGCCTCCACCCCCTCCCCCTCCTCCACATCGTGTTGTGGTTCAACGGCCTCTATCGCACTCCCCTCAGCCGTCTCATTCGCCCCAACCACCTGTTCATTACCAGCCCCCGCGCTCTCCGCAGCCACCTGTGCACTATCAACAACCTCCTTCCCCGCAGCCGTCCGTGCACTACCAACCGTCGCACTCCCCGCAGCCTCCGATGCACTATCAACCACCCCCTTCTCCGCAACCGCCTATGCACCATGGGCCGCCTCGATCACCACGACCTCCTATGCACCACCAACAGCGACGTACGCACTCTCCGCAGCCACCGCCATCTAGATCTCCTCGGCCTTCAAGATCACCCACGCCTTTGAATATGAATGATCGCTACGTGATATTCACGCGCACTCCATCACCAGGCGCGCTCTCAACACACTCAGCCCATTCAGCTGTGTCGACGCAATCAGATGCAAATGGCAATACCCCCTCGCCACTGAGAGATGCTATGGAGGATGTCATGACTTCGCTGGAAGATATGGGTCTACCTCGGCAGGCTCCTTTACCTTCCCCACGTCAAGCACCCTCCCCATCTCCGCCTCCGACATTCAATAATCCTTGGTCAGCTGATCAATTTAACGAAATTGATGAGCGTACTCCGCCTGCAACTAGACGGCGGCCTCTAACTTCTCTCGGCTTTGACGGGCACCAGGCTCATCCTCAGGCAGTGCCAGTTCACCGCAACAGTGTCTACTCGCATGATCACTACATGGATGGGCCTCCCCAACTCAACAATTACGTGCAAAGAATGGAAAGCCGTCTCCGCCAGCTCGAAGATCAGAACCGCCTATCGGAGGATGATGGCCAGCCCCCTGTCGACGATGATGATGCACCACCTCCTCCCCCCAAACACGCCACTTATCACCCGCGTCATAACTCCATTCCGTCTCAGTACTCGCACTTGCGCAGCCGTCGGTCTGGCCAGGATCTGCGGGGAGATGTCCTGAACCGAACGTTCACGAACAAGTCTAATGCTACCAGCTCGAGTGGTGTTCAAAGCATTGGTACCAATGTGACTGCAAGCACAGACAAAACAAGTCAAAGCTTGATGAGCGGTGCGTCTGCAAGTGGCTTCAGCGCGACCAGTGCCGGCAGTTATGCACGCCGGAATGGTGCTCAGGAGCGCCCGAATACTGCCATGGACACATTCCGATCCCGAGGCTTCAGCGATGCGGGTAATCTGGATCGACCCGAGACTCCTATGACTGGCGTTTCCTATCACTCAAGTCACAACACCTCTCGTCAAGGAGCGTCCTCTGCTATCCCTTGGTCCTCTGCGGACAATGACAACGGCGATTCTGGTGGTGTGTTTGGTGGATTATCTACCCCAAAGTCCAAGAAACAAGGATTCTTCAAGAAGATTTTTGAATCAGCTAAGACAGGTGCTGCGAGTGCAAGGAGCAGTATTTCCGTCGGACATGGAGGAAGCTCGCAATCTCCCACCAAGGGAAACAGGGCTGCAGACGTTGTGTCCCCAATGCTCACCCCCCATTCGGGCCGTGAAAGTGCTCGGGATATGGGTCTGGGCACCAGTCCTATTGACTGGGTACAGGTTCGCCGAGATGTGAATCGAGCATCCTCTCCGAGCAGAAATGAAAGAATTGAACGAGCCGAGCGGTGCCAGATGATGGACTTCCCAGTGGTATATGCGATTGAGGAACTCTACGACACTGCAGAGGGTGACGAAAGCATCGACGGACTCCCGATCAGTGAGCCGACGAATTTCAACGCGGCGAATATGAACCTCGTGGACAAGAGCGCTCGGTTTATCAGCAGCCTCCCGCCGATGACCAACCCCATGAGTCTCGCCCAGGGCTACATCTGTCGGCCATACAAGAGTGATGTCCAACGTCTTCGCGCTATATTCACGTGGGTCAGCGAAAAGATCGCCTGGGAAGAGCCCGTAGATGGCCTCGAGGTGGACATCAAACGAGTCTTGCATGCCAAACGTGGCAGCCCTGAGGAAATTGCGTTGCTGGTGCACGAGATGTGCGGTGCTGTTGGTCTGCATTCCGAAATCATCCACGGCTTTCTGAAGAACCCAGGTGATTCGCTCGACCTCGACAGTCTCTCACGACCAAACCACTGGTGGAATGCTGTTCTCGTTGACGGAGAGTGGCGTATCATGGACTGTGCCCTCGCAAACCCAACCAACCCTCAGCGAAGCCGTTTCGTCACGACCAACTCTTCCATTGCCGAGAGCTGGTATTTCCTCGTCCGGCCACTGGAGATATGCTACACCCATGTCCCTCTCTACCCCGAGGAACAACACATCGTTCCTCCTATTTCTCCGGATGTCTTGCTGGCATTACCAACTGTGTCGCCGCAGTTTTTCAAATTGAGGTCCCAATTCCCTGATTACGACACAAGTATGACGCGGATAGAGGGACTGGAATGTATGCATATTTGCTTAGTTGTTCCTCCTGATGTTGAATGTGCCGCAGAAGTCGAAGCGCCTGCCTTCGCCTGTGACGCAGATGGCGATTTCTTTGAAAGCGGAGACATTGTGCGCAAACGTGCTTTGGTTCAGCCCGACTGGTTCCGAGGACAGAAGCGAATCACCGTGAAGGCTGTGCTGCCTGGCGATGAGGGCCAGGGTGTCTTGAAGATATATGCTGGCAAGAAGGGCTTGATGCACTCGAGCAAGGATATCCCCCATCCCTTGGCACTCACTCTGCCTATTATCCATACTGGCGAAAACACGCCATATGAATTCGTCCTCCGCCATCCCACACCTCATGCCCAGCGCCATGATCTGTACATCATGCAGCCACAGTGCTCGCGCCTGGCGGTCAACAACACCTTTGTCTTCGCCGTTCGACAACATCCTGCTTCGCCGGCCACCGCTCCTAAGGAAGATTATATGTCCAATGGCCGAGCTTCTCCGTCAGTTTTCAACCGTCCCTCCAGTGCCCTCAGTATGGTGTCAAGTACAGCTGGAGCTTCGACGATCTCTAGCAACTCCAATGAATTCTCTGCCTCGACCTCAGCAATTTCATCCACGAAATCCGCCCATGGAAGAGAAAAGCCTGCGAAGTTGGCCATTCAATCACCATCTGGCAAAATTCTTCGCCTTACCCGAAAGGCCGAGCACATGATCGGTAACGATCACACTAGCAACACTGTCACCGATGCTGTCGCCGATGGCAGTGTCTGGGAAACAGTGATCAAGATTGGCGAACGCGGCACCTGGCGTGGCTTGGTCCTCGCAGACCGAGTTGCTCGCTGGTGCGTGTTCTGCGAATGGGAGTGTGCGTGATATGTCACATTGTTCATTCGAAATGAAGCATTTACATTACGATACATATTGTGGAGCGGTTGTTTGATTGTGTTTCAGTGTTTTGCATATTCAGTGTTCTGATTATTCCGGCGACGAGTTTTCTGATTTATTTGCCTCCTTTTATTTTTTCCAATTTCCTTTTCTCCATACTGGCATTTGCATCAGGTCGGCTTGGAGCATTGCATATATTGCATTTCCATTTCTTGTTCTATTCTGAACGCATGTATGTGCCTGCAGTATCGGTGTTTGGTGTTAAGCATAAATAGGTATCCTTATTCGATAACAGAATTAAAATCTGCATCAAGCTGAGTATACTCAATTGCCCAGGGGTGGTTTCTATTGTAGTATAAGAATCGTGTCTTCGCGTATCTTCGTAAGGTATCATCATCTATAGCTTGGCCACAGCCTCGCGGAGCATCGGAGCCACCTGTTTCCTGCTCGCAGTCGAGTTTGCCTGCACCCAAATTCGACTCCAGAGACCGGTGTCTCCATCTAAAGTGGATCGAATTTCTTCGTCGTTCAGTTCGACGCACTCTCCGTCCAGTGGTGTCCATTTGCTAAGCTTAAGTTGGGCGCCAGATTGATCAACAAAAGCATTAACTCCCTTAACAGACAGGCCGTTCTGTCCAGTCACGCAGACGAATAGTTCACGGGAGTGTTGGTTATTTGGAGAAGTAAAATGTGTCATGACAACAACAATATCCAACCATTTCCCTTCGGAAGTGCCAAAGGTGCGTACTCCCTGGAGAAACTCTTCACATCCACCAGCTTTCTCAATGACCCAGCGGATTGGCTTGACCGACGAGCAAAAGCCGATGTTGAGGCTCCGTTCCGATGACTGTGTTTTCTCAGCCCATTCTTTATAATCTCGGTCCAAAACCTCTTGCAAGGTCAAAAGATCCAAACTGTTCTTCTTGGCATCAGAAATCACCTCATAGAAAGCCTCCATATCCCAAGCGGCATCTACAGGGGTAACCTTTTGACGAAGGAAATCAACAGATCGCACATCAACATCTGTGACCTTGCCCTCAGCAGTTAAGTTTGTCGTGTCAATGAGCATGGGTGCCAAAGTGAGCTTGGCGACCTGCGCAATCTCTGCTTCGGATGACGCTTCCTGGCAAGAATTCCAAAGACCGCGCTTCTCCAGCTCATCTGTGATCAAGGAGGAGCAAGATCCAGGACCGACTTGTATAACAACCGGCTGGCCCTTCGGGAGAGACTCGGGGGAAGGAACGAACCCCTCATCGACATGATGATCGATACATCCCACCGTGCGGAAGGAGACCTGTCCCAGTCCGCTCACCGACCCAGTTCCTTTCTGCTGGTCACGAATTGGCATCGCGTTCCAGTCGACCATGGTCACATCTGCGACGAGTTTATTCGCTTGCGACGATTCCCTCAAACTTTGTGCAAAGTCTGCCACTGTCAATATGTGCTCGCGCAGCAGCTTCCCAGCAGATTCGGACGCGTTTTCGAAGCGCTCGTCGGGTTTCAAAGCGGGGAAGTTGGTCGACAGCCATAACGCAGTAACGAACTCCGGTCGCAGGCGATACAGCTCTGGGCCGGCAGAAACATTCGGGAGGTTGAGAAGAGGTACATGAGGGCGCGGCTTGGTGGCTGGGAGACGATTGCTGGCGCAGTAAGAGTACACGATCGCGGAGATGATCGAGTCGAGGTCGGCGGAGGGATTGCCCAGCACGTAAATAGGAGACTCGGTGAGCTTTCCCGCAAGGAATGCGAGATGCACCTGGCGTGAGAGGCGGAGGAACTGGAGGAGAGTCATGACGTGGAGGGTCATGGCGAGCAGAGAGGTACCGGAGGCTGCGGCGAAGCTGCCGGCGATGTTGATTTTGTTCTGCCGCCGCTCCGCACTTTTCGGTCATCCGTCAAACAACTCGCGATAGGCCACCAGCCGAACTACTACGGCGTCTCTAACGCGACTCGGGGTTTCAGGGGAAATATTACAAATTGAAGCTAATTCCCTTGTGTGGGTTTTGCACACTGAGTGGCACCTATGCCCTTGTGCCTGTTCTCATGAAGAAAGGTCGTTCAATTCATCCTGCGAGCAAGATCTATCTTTGCAAGTAGTCATCGGTTGACACTACTTCCTCCCTCGTACGAGTGACATGTACAGAGTCGGCCGTGTCCTCCATCTCGTCCACGGCAGGTCCGATATAATTCTTCCGACCCCAAACCAGGTACCAAGCAGCAGACACGAGAACAAACCCGACGAAGACGATACAAGCATAATTCATGGAGTTTTTGGTGACAGGGACTGAAGTGGGCATGCAGAACAATGGAATAGCGAGGAGACACCAGCCTTTTCACATGAGATTATTAGTTCCGATGAAGATTCGGAGGGGGAAAAGTGGCCTTACAGATACAGACGACGTTGCAGAAGACACCGAGCGAACCGAGGTTGAATGATCCCTGCGTAACATCACGACGACCGCGAAGAAGCAGCGACACTGCCACCGGGCACGCATAACTGAGGGTCAGGAAGATAACACCCACGCCGGAGAAGGCGTTAAACGCAGCACTCGAGCCAAAGTAGATCAAACCCAGCAGGATTTCAATCACCATCCCCAGGAGCATGGAATTGAGTGGGATTCCGAGACGCCTATTGACCTTCTTCCACATCCGAGAGCCTGGGACCGCACCATCTCGAGCGAACGCCCAAGTGCATCGTGATGTCGCAGTCACGCAGCCAATTCCACAGATCAATCCTAGGACCAGCAATGGGACCAGAAGACAAAAGGCTCCTGCAGGGTTTCCTGTTGCGGACTTCATAATAGACGGTACTGGCTGTCCGGATGGAATGCTTGCCAGCATGGAGATATCTGGAAGGACGAACGCGATTGGTAGCAGAAAAGCGAGTCCGGCAAGCATATTAAGGGCAACACCACCGACGATGGCTCGTGGGACTTGAATAGCTGGCTGCTTGACTTCTTCACACATACTGGAGTGCGCGTCAGAAATTTGGAAGATCCAATCAGCGACAACAAGAAAAGCACTCACGATGTCACCATTCCTGAGGCCGAAAGACCGTATGCGGCTTGAAGCAAGCCAATGCAGAAAGACCAACCGTCCGGCCATCCCGACTGAGGCTCAAAGGATGTAAATACCCATTTCGCCGAGCGCCGGCCATTATGCGCGACAACAAGGATTGTGATTATGATCGCGCTAACTCCTACCAACGTCCAGAATATGGCGAATGTCTTCAGAGGGAAACAAGATGTTCTTTGTCAGAAAGGGCCTACCTCAAGGACCTCGAGCTCTGGGACTTACCTCGAGATGAGTGAGCCACCGATTACCAAAGGCTGGCATCGAATGGCAGATCAGTGTAATAACAACAAAAATGAGGAACTCTTGATAGGGCTGGAAGTTTTCCGCAATGCCATTTCCCGATGAGTTCTCAAACACATTCAGGCTCTCCACGAAGAACAGCGCGGTCGCAAAATTGACTGCAAGGGTGATAGTGATGTTGCCAGCAATATACGACCAGCCGCAAATCCAGGCCGTGGAGCGACGGCACCATGAGGGGGAAAGGGCAAAGGTCTGATAGTAAACACCGCCGGCAGTGGGAAAGACCGACGTGATCTCCGCTAGAGAGCTACCTACGCACAGCATGATGAGGGAGACAATGATCCAGCCCCAGATCATAGCGACCGAGCCGCCACCCGTTATAGAGTACGACATGGTTGTCGAAAGACCGTAGGGCACCGAGGCCAGGATGAAGCACATGAACACCACCTGCCATGTTGACCGATTCCGGGACAGTTCGGCCGTATATCCAAGGGCTTCGAGATTTGAATCCGCAGTGGGTTGGTAATTGAGGGGATCTTTATGCATGGTATGTCGCTTTGGCTTCTCTTTCTAGTCGAGAGATGTGGCTGTCGCGTCTGGTTGGGAGGTCGAGCTGTCGAATAAGGAGGGATGGCCTCAGCGAACTTCACTGGTCTCGGAAATAGAGACTCGGTATTAAGGCTGCCTTTTTCAATTTATTGCATTACGCACCCCGCCTTGAGCGTGAATTCTGGAAATGAATTCCTATTCAAGCGGAGCATAAGAGGAGACTATCGTCATTTTTCGCCGTAAAGACCCACTGCCTGTAACAAAAAGTACAGGGCCCAGTTTTCGGCAAGAGGTCTCTTAGACCCGATCAAGTGCTGCCTCCGTGGCCGAGTGACCCTTTCAAAGCGTTCAAATGCCTGTTGCTGAAATTCGAGGATATTGATGTTGATATATGCGATCATGCAAGATCAAATTTATCGAGGGAATTGATACAACCACATCCCTTCCCGATCTTTCAGGTATCTGCTAGCTCTTCGAATTGAGTGTACTGGTGATTCAAGTAGAAAAATGAATTTTCTGCTCTAGTGGGGAGAATATTCTAGCTCGAAGCCCATTTATTTGGCACTATGATAACGCATTACTCTCCAAGGTAGCTATCCAAGAAGCTGATTACATAGGTAACTGGGAAGATGACCAGGTAGCTAACGAGATAGGCGACAGAGCAATGAACCTGGTAGCAGTAGGTAGAATAAAGGAGTCGGGTTACCAAGACCATGGTGGAGGTATCATTTGGCGTCGAAATTGGCACCATGTTTGATCAAGGTGTTCCAGTCCTGAATCATCTGAGCGAAGCCATGACAGGGGTGTGGTCTGAGACAAATGGGAGTGTAGAAGCATCAATCTTTATCAATAAAAGCAATATATGTCTATTCCGAGGAGATGCTAGTTACTGTAAAACTCTAAAGAGAACACCGGAAATTCCGAATCATTGTCATTGATTTAAACAATTCACATATGTCCCATTGATCATGATGTGTCAGATCTCATATCGTGGGGGAGATTTAGCCACATCCTGGTAGCATGGTAGGTTGCCTTGGCACATCATATCCTGGACGCCAACTTCCGCCATCTCGAATACACTGAGCGGGAAAGATGCATTTATCGCAACCAGCAGAGGTTTGCGGTCCACCAATTTCTCGTTTTTGATATGAAATGTATCTTCGTTCGTCAGCACATCAAGCTTCAGCCGGTGTTCAACCGTCATCATTGTCTTGCCTTTCGCTGAAGAAGGAAAGAGCTCTTGCAGTGGCGATGGAAGGGTGTCTGGAGATGGAACATCGAAGCCATGTGAGGGAAGGCCAATGCCCGATGAGAAGCCTTCCTTACGAGGAAGATTGACATTGAAGTCAATGTCGATGAAAGAAAGATTAATTTGCTGCGAGGCTTTCGTAAGGGGATTGTTCGGTGTCCCCCAATAGCCTCTCTGGGACCCGCTAGATATCACACGAGTAGAGGACTGTTCTTCCATAGCCTCAGATTCTGTTTGAACTTGAAATGCTGGCTGACTTATTTGACGTGATCCATCCAAAAGCGACGTCACTTCCTCAATGCGCCATCTCATCTCACGTATCGCCACAAATTTGATTTCTGTAGAGCGTTCGGCAGGTATGGGCTGTCCACGAGGAAATAATTTTGCGGTAATAGCAATCGTTGAACCCGTGCTTTCAGTGATATTTTGTGAGAGATGAATTTTTGCTATCGCACTTGGCTTGGGGTAGAGACGGGTATGCTGGATGGAATTGTGTTCGGGCAATATGCGACGAGAAATCGAGATCTCTTGACTCGCACAAAATGAGGTCCCACTTTTGGCGGTCATAAAGGCGACCACATGGTATGTTATATCCCCAAGTTCCGTTTTTGTCGTGCCCGGGATATTGGCGACAACAGGCATATAGAAGGGAAATTTGAATTTCTTGTCGAATACCTGGCGATTTGTGGGAACAGGAGGGACTCGCAGAGTCAGGCTTTCAATGATTGAACAAGATCGTGTGGTCAATGAATATCTCGGTGGAGCTTTCGATAAAAATTGGCAGCAGAAGCGGCTCATGATATGCGTGTTGTCATTATTGTGGTTTTCGTCCTTTGTCGAAAGGTTTTGTACAAGACAGATGCGGATTTTATTCGGTTCAGACAGCTCTTCTCCCTCGTTGGATTTGAGCTTTAGTACTGCAGATGCAGGAATGGGCTCAGAATAGCTGTCTCCCTTGAATGTCGAGTATAAGTCATGCCTGGCTGGCAGCTCCAACTCCAAGCGCAAGGATTCCATAGCCGGGATGACTGGACAGTCGATCGACAACGATGGTTTGGAAGACTGGCATTCATAGTGAGGCAACACCTCGTCAAAAGATTCATTCACTATTTGATACGAGCAAGACATTACAGGCACTATACTTCCCTCGGGATTGCTGGGAGAGGGCCACTTTTCCCGCTAGCCCAAAAGAGGCTGCCCAGATGAAGGATTAGAGTTAAAGGTGGGGCGGGCCGCCCCACTGCATAAAGAAAGCTAAATCTTGACTCTCACGCATCAGCGGCGGGTGGGCATTCTAGGTGAACGAGAAGCGAAATTTCGGGACCAAACGGCAATTTCGGGCTTCCAGAATGCCGTCAAGTTATTTTTGGTTCGGAACGATGCTAGATCCGTTCAAGTGGCTTCGCTGAATACCGGATCAATTATCTGTCTGGCGCTAGAACAGCCCGGTTCCTCATTCTTCACCATGCCAAGCGAATCCAAAAACTGATCATTTATAAAAAGAATTCCCATCGCTGTGTCTCTGTCGCCCCGTATCTATCTCTTGAATCCTGACCCTACAAAATCCGTCGATAATATCCACCGGAATGCCACCTTTACTTCATCTAGTTAGGCATGCAGAGGTTTGCCTCACAATGGTCGTACCTTTAGAGCCTCCTAACATGGTATAGGGCTACCACAATCTCGGACCCCAGTATTGGAAACTCCCAGACCCTTTACTCACAGAAGCTGGAAAACGACAATGCTGGGAACTGAGGGAGAGTTTTTCCGCAAAATCAACAGTCGATTTGGTTGTCACTTCGCCTATGCGCCGCGCTATCTACACTGGTCTGGGAGCATTCAATTTTGTTTTTGAATATCACCCGGACCGGAAATTGATCGCCCTCCCGAGCCTGCAGGAACTCAGTGAATTTCCTTGTGATGTGGGCAGCAAATTGGAGGACTTGCAAAACGAAGTTCAACAGCAGAATCTTCCTGTAGACTTGGGATATGTCGAAGAAGGCTGGTATATCAAAGTAAGCTTTTGTCCTGCTAGCCACATATGTCAAGCTGATACAGATTGAGCAGACTGGCAAGTACAAGTCAACACTTGAGAGCATACGGGATCGCGCTCAGAGTACCAGGTCTTGGTTGAAAGCACGGCCAGAGAAGGAAATTGTGGTTGTCACGCATGGCGGTTTTTTGCACTTCTTGACTGATGATTGGGAAGACGGTGCCAAATATGAAGGTATACCGATAACACTACATGGCTTCAGTTGTGAAGCAGATGAGCTTACTCAATCCATTTAGCAACAGGCTGGAACAATGTGGAGTGCCGAACATATGAGTTTCTCTCAGACCGTGGGAATTCAGGAGGGCCAGACGATGCAGAGTTGCAGGAAACCATGAATTCACGGCGAAGACGGGGTAAACTGGATCTACCACTATCACCCGATACACAAGACCGACTACGCAGGGGGATATTGCTGGATTGGGCGAAACAAGGGTATACAATTGGTTCGCCCACTGTCACAGAGAATAGCTCACCTGATTTTCAGCTTTAATTACTAGAATAGACCCGAAATTATTTCAAATGGAGTTAATGCCCTCGGGTCCCGCCGAAATCTTGTGACCTCTTATCATAGATTCCTGGGACAACACAAGCTTATCCATGAAGAACCCCATACTAAGATTGCCCTAGGAGGCGTCTTCTGTCGAGGGTCCATTGCCATCACATTGTAACGTAATACCTGGTACCGTATTGATCGAACAGGCCAATCACGTTGCCACTGGCAGTTTACGAGAAAAGTCGCCGCGTGACCCTCAGGCGAATGCAGCGACAGCAAATGCCAACCGACCCCTCCAAACCTCCGACTTGTGGAATTGAAAACAGACGATCTTCGTCGCATGCTGTGCACGGCCCTCTCAACTGGCACGCATGGCTCGTCTCGTTCCGCGCTCCCCATTTAAGGCAACTTTCCCAGTCATCCAACTCGACAAAACGTCACACTTCTCCGCCAAACTGCTCATCCACTCGGGGCGGGAAATGTCGTAGGCTGGCCGTTGGGGCAACTAGCGGGTTTCATCTAATCACGTCTTTCCTATGGCCCCAACTGATTATGACGGTGCAAGCGTCAGTGCGGAAAAAGGTACTCACGCTACATCGAATCTTAGTATCGACGATCAAACTAATCGAGGCAAGACTGTCAAAAATGCAGATCCAGGCGAATCCTGTGTGATCGCACCCTGCCAACGTGTAGGAAATGTGCTTCCCGTGGACTCCAATGTCCCGCATATGGACTCACGCTTCGGTGGGGTCAGGGAGTCGCCAGCAGAGGCAGGCTAGCGGGAAAGCAGCTGCCAGTCCGGGGATCTGATGATGGCAATCCCAATCGCCCCAGAACCCCTTTGAGCTTGGCGACCATACCTAGTCCGCTTGGCATATCAGGGCAGGCAGTCAACCATTTGATATTGAACCTCATGCATCATTATCAACAGAATGTCGCGGGAAAACTCGCTTGGGTGGATGGCCCAAACAATCCGTGGCGCCAGGTCATCATTCCCCTGGTATGGGCTTCTCCGACGATCTTTTACACTGTTCTATCATTGTCGTCGGAGGATCTCGCCCGCAGATATGACGATAATCACCGACAGCGCCTCGAGTTGCAAGATGTTTCCCTTCGTTTCCGAAACAATGCTTTGTCTTTGCTCGCGGCCCAGATAGGCTCTATAAGAGCCAACCAGCCACTGCAATTCAGTAACGAGATTGTGAGCGAAGCACGAAATGCCTTGGCATCAACGCTCATCCTTTACAACGTTGAACTTCTTGGGGCAGAAGCTATAAAATGGAGAATGCACCTACAAGGTGCTAGAGTGATACATCAATGGCTGGAGCATTCTACGTCCTATCCTGCCTCATTTGATAACATCGACAAATTCTTACTGTACGAGCACTACTACTCTAGTGTCTTCGCAGGTCTCACAACATTCGGCATGGTCAATGCACCGACCGGGGACAATCTTCAAAACATGGGCGATATCGCTGTCTTCGGTGAATTTGTTCGTGTGATACAGTTAGTGACTGAGCTTGAGCGATCTAAATACGTTCATGGTCTCGTCATTAATCCAAGCGAATTCCCTAATATTATTGGCACTGTGGAAACAGCAAAGGACAAAATGATTCTCTATAGCCAGAAGTCCCATTTCTGGAATGACCAGGTCCAGCGGGACTTCCAGCATCTGGTTTTCATCTTTTATCATGCCAGCTTGATATACACTCATCGAGCCCTTTCTGAAGACCCATCAACAAATGAATACATCCAAGTTTCGCGCGACTCGATCTTGGATTGGATCAACCTCCTGTCCGACAGAAGCACCTTCGCACATGATCTTGTGTGGCCATTGTTCATTCTCGGAACCGAAAGCAAGGGACGCCCAGAATTGCAGAATTTCGTTTCCAGGGAAATGGAAGCTGTCATGAAAATCAGCGGTGTTCTTGATCGACGCAAAGTCTTGTCGTTTCTGCAGCTCTATTGGTCGACCGATCTTCAGCACAGTGTTACATGGATTCAGTTTATGAGAGAGAAGGTACCTGAAAATAGCATGTTGATTCTATAACCAGGTGAATTGTTGAATAGAAAATTAAAGATTAGTGCAACTACGCCCTGTCGGCTTTCTAACTGTCTGATGGTGCTGAATACCGCCAATTATCTACGAGGTATGGCTGGGATTTCTAATACAAGAAACGGTCTTGCCTCAATTCGCGGGATCTTCCATTGCCCTGCAAGCCAGCCTACCGAAAGTAAATAGTGCACTGGGTAGCAACATGGCCAGATAAATGGCTGCCCAGGTGGAGAAACTGACTACTTCAGCACCTATTACCTTACTGTACGGTCGGTCTATGGGCGAGTTTTGAATAAGTAATTGGGTATTTTCCATTTAGCACTTAGGACCCAGCTGCCGCCACCACCAGCTAGCTCTAGGCAGCTCTTGACACCTAGAAGTACGTAGAAGTTACTGAAAAATGGAGTGGGTGATGTTGGCTTGACTGACGCCTAAACCGACCAACATCACATCAACCCGACTCTTCCTCCTTCACCTCTCCAACTTCTCCCTCCACCCAACTTCAACTCTCAACCACCCACACATCGGATCCCATCGCGTCGCGTCATCGAACCAAATTCTGTCACATCAAATCGCAGTTGCCTCGCAGCATCAAATACGAGCAAGATGCCGGTCGCGCTTCCAGAAATCTTTAGCCAGATCCCCCGGTATCCGATCCTCTACCCGCATCCATCTCCCATTCATTACCTACCGGCTATTTCGAAGCTCAGAGGCAGGAACTTCTATTTCAAACGCGACGACCAAGCCTCTCCACTCGCATGTTCAGGCAATAAATACCGCAAACTGGAATACATCGTTCCAGACATTCTTTCAGATGATCCCAAATATTTTCGCCACGAAAAGCATCCAGAGAGCATTCAACGCAACGACCGCCGAATGTCCATGCTCGTCACCGAGGGAGCCGTGCAGAGCAACCACATGGTCCAAGTTGCTGCATTGGCTTGTAAGCTAAACATGAAATCGTACCTCCTCGCAGGTCAGGGTGTAGGAGGGGGCCTCACAACAAGCCGTAACCCCGTGGCGTTCGCCCGCCTCGGAAACTCCCATATCAACCGGATGTTCACCCACGGCATCCGAGGATTGGATCCAGGCCATCCACTCGTCGATGATGCAGAGCCCATGCTCGAAGAGTTACGCTTTCGAGGTGAAAGGCCCTACTGGATTCCTGGCGGGGCAAGTCTTCATCCACTCGGTGGACTAGGTTACGCGCGGGCGGCATTTGAAATCGTCGAACAGGAGGCTGAGATGGAGCTCGGTGGATCGGGTCGATTCGACATCATTGTTGTTGCGTGTGGGAGCGGCAGCACGGTCGCCGGACTGATTGCCGGATTCAAGCTGCAAGAGAAGTTGCGTAATGAGAAGGATGAACAGGATCGGAAGGAGAAGGGTGCAATCAAAGATGAACGTCGCCGACCTCCTCAACGAAAGGTTGTTGGCGTGCTTGTCTCGCCTACCAACCCGCGCTCGTATCATGAAGAACGGGTGCTTCGATTTGCGCGGCAGGCCGGTGGCCTCATTGGGCTTGATCCAGAGCAGGATATCACGATGGAGGACGTGCACCTTGATGATAAGTTTGTTGGCCCGGGGTATGGTATCTACGACGAGGACACAAAGTGGACCGTTGAGCATTTCGCAGCGGTGGAGGCTATTCTTCTTGACCCGGTGTACACTGGAAAGGCTGCCAGGGGTATGATCGAGGCTGACTACCAGTGGGAATACCTGGGGAAATCTGTATGCGTGCAGCAAGATCCCAACATTCTGTTTATCCATACTGGAGGACAGAATACGCTCAGTGCGTACACAAACGGAACTGTGAGTCAGTCCCCATTTTGTCAGTGCGCTTCTGCGCCGGACTTGAACTCGCCGGATCTCTACGACAAGTACATGTGAGCTAGCTGCATTCTACACTAGTGAATGATCATATCAGCGGAAGATAGGAAATTTCACACTTGATATTTAAAAATCGTTGCATCCACTAATATTACACTGCCTGGCAAAAGCAAAAGTCAAAAAACACCAGACTGCCTCGGTCATCAAAACATAGCCTTAGTGGCGTGGGGAACAATAAATCACTGGCAACGAAGATTGCAGGAAGGAAACACAAAGAACCGCTTAAAAAGAAAAACCTCAAGAGACATTCGCCTGGCCCTGTAATACACCCGTTAAGAATCCGACTCGTAACCAAGGGTGGAGCATAGCAGAAATAAAAAGAAACGATATCTCAGGCATGAATCACATTCAGAATATCGAGCCCAGAACAGAAAAGCAGAGTGAACAGTGTCGTGGAGAAGGAAATAGACAATACAAACAGTACTCAAAGCTCCGATTCAGGGTCCTCTGTCGCGGCAACGGCAACTTTAGCACAGGGCGCATCCGCCTCGGTCTCAGCTTGTGCAGGGGCCGGGATAGGAGCGGAATCAGAGACAGGCGCTGGTGCAGAAACAGAAGCTTGGTCTTCGTTCGGAGACGGTGCCCGACTGCTACCATTACTGGCATTAAGAGCTTCAAGCGCCTCGTTCGCATGGAGATTCTCCATGGGCTCAGCCTCGGGTTCGACATCTTGATTTGTGAGATCCGCGAAGACATCATCCATATTCTGACGAGGACTACTGCTGGCGAATTGAGGTTCCGGGCCGAAGCGGGGTGGGCTGAAGAGAGAAGGTTCGATATCTTGTTGCGGAGTTGGAGAGCGAGGGAGGAACGATGGTGATTGAGAAGCCGCCGCAGCATGGGGAAGGAATGCAGTAGGAGTTGGCGCGAATGCCGGAGTAGAGTCACTAACAGCCAAAGAATAGTTGGCAGAGAACGGGTACGTCGCAGAGGCGGAATCTGACATGGGGGTCAGAGTTGGCCCTGTGGTCGTTGGAGGATTGTTGCTCGGAGTAGGCGGCGCAGGTTGCAAAGGAGCGGGCCGAGTAGCATGTGTATTATCCACCGACTTCCGTTTCGCTGCAGCCATGTGTTTGGCACGAAGATGCTCAGGGAGGTCTTCTGGACGATCAACACCGAACTGGGCCAAAATCTTCTGCTGCTTGGTCGGGCGAGGCTTTCGGGTCGAAAGCGACTGCTCCAGAATTGGCGGTGCCTCCGGGGCAACTGGCGCCCATTTATGGATCTCTTGCCGGAAGAAATTCGTCTCATACGCAAGAAGAACCTCGGCGCCTTCGATCTTTCGCAGGTAGAAGATTAAGGTAGGAACTTCCTCAGTGGTAGTGCAGGCGGCATTGGTGAAACCTTGCAGGAAATCTCGGAAAGCAGTCGCCTGACTGACAATGCTATCCAACACTTCTTCCTCCTCCGGCTGGAACGGGAGACCGGCGATCTCTGCTTGCCAATCCTGTAAATCTTCCAGTTTTGGGCGAGCTGCATCACGAGGAATCTTCTGTCGCCAGTCGCAAATCGGGCACGTGTATTTGTCGAATTCCTTAACCTTGCCCCTGGCAATCTTGAGGCATTTGCCGTGGTACCTGGTATGGCGTTAGCGATATCGGCGGATTTTTCCTTCAGAAAATAATATGGATGTAGAGCCTAGGGCAACTTACCACTCATGACAGACTTCACACTCAATCATCATTCCTGCTTCAGAATGCCGGCAGATGCAAAACACATCGCGCTTTTTCGACTTGGGGCCCCAGACGTTGGTGGTGGGGTTCTCAAGCAGACCATCCGGGGTATTGTCTCGAGAAGACGGTTCTACCGGTGGCCGGTAGCTGTCCTCAAGGTCAAAACAGTATGAATTCCGCTTCTCCACATATTCCATATGAGATTTCAGAATGTGCAAAGGCGCATTGGCCTTGCCAAACAACTTCTTGCCTTTCCTCATCCAGTCCTCGTGACGCTTCTGCTCACGCTCAAGATCGATGGCGCCGATTGGCCGGCTGTTCAAATGCTCCAAAGATTCTGTGAGTTCGCGAACATCCTTATACTTTGGCCGATTTCTCAGATCAGGATCTCTGCTTTTTTCGCAGAGAGATTGAATCCGCTTCTGTGCCTCTCGCTGCTTGGTGAGGATGGCATCCACAGCCGCGAGAGTCTCCTGGGAAACTGGAACATGTGATGCTTGCGCAGAGAGGGCCTCAAGCTGTTGGTAGTGTACAGCTTCCACAGACATCAGCTCCTTCGCCTTCACTTCCCAAGTTTCGCCATGCCGGGTAAGTTCCTTGAAATGAAGCAAGTGCTCGTTGGAATCCGGAATATGCAGCTGCTCGCCGGTGGAGACGATCTCCTGGCATTCCCTGAGGTTGAGGCGCTGGTCGCGTTTTCGAGTACAATCCTCAGTCCATTTCAGCTGTCGGAAAATTTGCTCCAAATGCTCGAATTCCGGGATTTCCACGTTGAAGTTTCGGCCATTTTCCAGAAGTTCCTCGATCTTGGTGGCCGACCGGGTATGCGGGTTCATCAGGGCATTATTGACGTCCTGGCGGAATCTCTCGATTTCGCGGGTCTTCTCTTCCAGGGCCGCCATCTGTGGACAGTCGAAGGAAAGTTTATCAGCCTCTGCCAGAAGGGCGTAGATGTTCTCCACTCTGCGAACTTCAGGGGCGCGATCGTCCAGCTGCGCGGCCTTGGTACTGGCCCTGCGCCAAGCTTTTTCGTTTTTTCTCCGGTTTTGCTGTTTCCGGGTAATGTAGTTGTTCGCTTCTTCAACCCATTTATCGCAACGCTGGACGAAGGCCGCAAGATCTTGGAGGCCAGGTAGGTGGTATGGGATTTTCTCACCTTCACTGAGCAAATTGTGGAGAGCTTTCAGCTGAGGCTTCGGCTCGTCCTCCAAGGTCTTGTCGAGCTTCTTTCCCCAAGCCTTTGGGATGTTTGCTCTTTCTTGGACTCTTTGCACCGACGCTTTCAGCTCTTCATCGCTGACTCGGTAGCGTAGAAAATGGTCCAGACCAAATAGCTTTTGCTGAGGAGAATCACCGCAGCAGACATAATCATACACATGAAGCAGGCAAATGGTCTTGCCTGACTTTTGACAACGAAACTGGGTAAGGTAGGTGAGAGCCTTGCAGTGCTGACACTGATAATCATCCTCCGGAACGTCCTCTTCCTCCACTACGAGTCTCAGGGGGCATTGACTGGTAGATGAATCAGCGGTTCCCAGCGTACAATTGTGCGCGATGGCGTTCTTGTGGCTGGCTAAAAAGTTGGCTCTTTCGCTGAGCTCTCGGTTAACAGTCCTTTCCAGGGCAGGTGCAAGCCATTTGGCAGTCGCTATTGACGTGTCCCGCGCAGCAGCGGTGAACAGCAATTCATCGTGTGAAAAGCAGGGGTGTCGGCGGAAGGCTTGAAGGCGTTCCACGCCCGCAGCACCCCAGGGTTCCCAGTCTGCTGGGGCAAAATTGACAGCCTCGTTAAAGTTGAAGCCATGGTTGAAGCCGGCATGATACGCCTGGGGGAATGTGAGGACAAATTGACCTGCTCTCTGATCCACGGCGTAGACGTTCACACCAGCCTTGCGAAGTTTATCAGGAGGCATCAAAGTGACTAGCTGAAACAAAAGATCCGGTTGCCCTTCGAAAAGCTCGGGAACCGCCGCCCGCATCGCCGACTCAAATGCTTCCGCGTCGGCCCCGGGTATACCATACCAGGTCTTTGTCGCACCAAAATGCTGGTAGTTGGCGGAATAGGCGTAGTGATCTTCGTTGTGCCAGCAGAAAGTAGAAAAGCACATGCCGACATAAACCCAGGGAACGGTCATGCCCGAGATATCAGACTTGATATGGCGGAAGAGGGAATCACCGTGGAATGGGAGGACGTTCAAGTTCCAGGGATCTTCTGAATACGGGTCAAGCGGGTTTCTTTCTATGGTCGGGAAACCACTACCATGGGTGGTTGAGTGGATATCCGCGCCATACTCGACCTCGACGGTTTCGTGTAGATCAACGACCAGTTTCCAGAATTCAGCTTCCACGTCATCCTCGGTTTCCCGGCGGCGTGTGTTGAGAACGGGGTCGAATGGCATTTTGGAGGCGAAATAGCCCTTCTTGAATTCATTGGCCTTCTCCTGAAATTGTTTCAAAGAGTAAACACCACCATCCTCGAATCCAAACTCGCCGGTGCCGACTAAGCACTTTGGACAGTGCCAATCATGATCAGAGGATGCGATTGTCGAAGGATCCAGACAGGATTGGTGATATCCGAGGTCGCATCCTTCGCAAACGAGAATGGTGGAGGGGTTGTCGAATTTCCCGCACGATTCACATTTCTGTAGAACAACAGATTTAGTATCTGCTCCTTTAAGTTCAGAAGCCAGAAATAGCACTTACATCTCCGATCCTCTGCACCCCGTCTTTTCGAACCTTTGCTGGCGCAGGACGAAGGAGAGACATGTGTGAACCAGCCACGGTAGGAGGGGCATCTGGAAATGAAGAAATTGAAGTTAGCAAAGAAACATAACATAAGATGCCTCGATCAGCCCAGCAGATGTGATACCTTTCTTCAGACGCTTGCTACGGCGTCCACTGCCACCATCGTCGCCGTTCTCAGCCTGGGAACCACTTTCATGGCTAATAGCACGCTTCACAGATGGGCCCGATTGGCCATTCGGTCCAGGAGTCGAATGAGGCGGGTGCTCGGAAACACTCTTGGGTGTCGATGTTCCATTCTCTCCCTCGTGTTTGATTGCCGGGGCATTGTTGACCGGTGTGAAGGACGGGGCTGGGGAGTGATTCACTGCGGTAAACCCACCCGGGGCGGAATTCACGGGTGTGAAACCAGATGGTGCTGGACGAGCAGGAGGGGGTGTAGGTTCCACGGATGGAGTGTGTTGATCAACGGGCTTTTCCAGCGGAGTGTTTGAGCCCGTGGCCATGCGCATGGTAGGAGTAGCTTCTCGTGTCTTAGACGGAGTACCATTCTCCTCCATGACTGGCTTCTTCGTCATGGGTGAGTTTCGTGGGGATGGAGTGAAGGGTCCGCCATTTTCCATCTCAAGCTGCTGCTGGACACCAGGTTTTGCCCGAGCCAGATACTCCTCATATGGTTGCAAATAGCGCTGATACGAGTTTTTCAAGGAGGTGGACAACGAAGACATGATCTTGCCGCTGTAGCCCAGGTCGCGACCGATCTCGGCCCACTTCTTTGTCTTGCAGACGGTTTCAAACCCACCACGAACCTCCACTGCTTTTTTTAGCTTGTACAGGTCCAACGGGCGCTTGTCCACGCTGGGAAGACGGCTGTAGTTTGTCCCGTGCTGCTTGTGAAACATGGCCAGTCCATCGACATAGTTCATATTGGCGCGGTTACCTGAATTAGAGTCTTGGTTAGGACTGCACTGCGGAGGGGCTTCATTGGCAGTGAATGGGGGAGGGAATCCTTACCTCCTTCGACCGAATTCAGTTCTTGCCGACGGGTCTTGAAATGGAATCTCTGTGGGAAGTAATAGTTAGCTTCGGTTCTATGTTTTGCTGAGCTGATGGGCCTCGAGAAGCAGGAACGCCCAGCCGTGACTAGCCTAGTCCGTGTGGCTCCGGGGAATCATGAAAGACGGCGGCAGTAGGTGTGGGGGGCTCACCTCAGTATCGATCGCAAAGGGCGGTTGCCAGTTCTCGGGCGGAACGACTCTGCAAATTCCGTATTTCTTTCCTTCAGGAGCAATTTTCTGGATGTATGCAACGGGATCCTTGAATTCCTCCTCCGTTGGACGAAACGTCGGGGCTTCTGGGATGCCATGAGGGCGGACTCGCTTCGACGGTTCACGGGGAGTATTGGGTTGTCCGCGGCGCTCGACGGTAGAAAGGTCTAGTGGTGCTGACCTGCGAGCGCTCAAGGGAACATTGTGCGAATGCGACGGGTGAGTGCTTGAAGAGCGGGTGGGCAGACGGCCCATGGAAGTTTGGCCGGCCATCGCGTTTGCTCCAGTAGAGGCCGGAGCCACCATTCTCTTTTATGTGGAATTAAACAAGCCGAGGTATGGGGTCTCAGGCGACTTGCGCACGCGTAATCGTGAGAGTGTCGAGATTTATCGGCGCGCGAGAGGGAGCATTGGAGGGAAGGGTGATGGGTGAGATCAGAGAGCAAGGGAGCGAATCGCGGACCGGAGGGATTGGGGGGAGACTTAATTCGGGTGGTGGATATCGGAAGATGTTTGTTGGGTCGACGATTCCCAAAAAAACGAGATGAGACGTGGATATGAAAAGAGGGAAAGCAGGGCGGAAGAGCAGGGGAGAAACACGAATTTGATAGTGGAATGAGATTGCAGAGTACTCCGGCGGTCACTCTGGGCGGCGCAGCCTATGGGAAAGCGACCAGCGGGTGACTCGGCGCCGCGGCGCGGCTGCGGTACATACTCTGGTATCGTACGGTACCGTCACTTTGGGCGTCCGTGCCTGAGCACACATGCGGTAACCATTACATACCGTCAGCCGCAAACGGCATGGGCATCGTACGGTTTTCGAAGTGATACATCCAGTCGAAGCGCACATGGGGCATCGTCGCCATGAGATAAAATGGCGGAGGGCCACGAACAGTATCACTTAATCCAGCAAATTTTTATCAGGGGGGATTTTCCATGAGCTGCTCTGCACCATATGCGCCTATTTCGCAAATAAGTGTGACCTCACATTTGACTCAAGTCAAGCAATTGATGACATAGGCGAGCATAGAAGGTCTCAGGGGAAAAGTTTTCGTAGATTTACCCAGAAACTCACTGATCCTGGATTGGGTGGAACTCATAAAGTCAAGGCATGATGTGTCGACGTCCCGACAAGGTAGATCGGCGAGATCTGCCGACTTGGTCCCGTCAGCAGCATGGAGACCGAACAGGGTCCACGAATCTCACTGCATACCGCGATGGGTCTCGCAGAGTTCACCTGGCTGCACATAATGACAATGCAATCACTCTTTTCCTTTCTTTCGGGCTTCCTGTATAACGGTTCGTATCACCATCCCCGGTCCGAATTGACTCGCCCAGCCGACATCATGTGATCCCTTGTTTACCGTGGTGGGCCGGCGTCGATACCGAGATACAGACTGAGGTGTACGCATATACCTACCCTACCCCCGGCTGCCCTAGCTTGCGCTGGACGGGACTCTCGCACCGGCGCTCCCCGATGGACTTGACGTAACGAGTCTGCAGTTCAAACCATCCAATGCCGATTTGATGGACACGCAGGAAGAGCCTCGGCCTATCCCGGCCTACTACTGCTGCTACCTGCTCCGTTCGACCGTCAGGCACTCGTCGCTTTATATCGGCTCAACACCAAACCCCATCAGACGACTATCCCAGCACAATGGTGCGGCCAAGGGTGGGGCCAAGCGAACAGCACGAGATAAATTACGGCCCTGGGAAATGGTTCTCGTCGCGGAAGGGTTCACGAGTCGTGTGGGCGCCCTTCAATTTGAGTAGGTTCAATTTTACAGTAGCATCACGGGGTAGTGGATCCTTGCTTATATCGGTCGCACTTGCAGATGGGCCTGGCAACATCCAGAGAGAACTCGTCATATCGAGTCCGATGATGAGGTATCCCGATCGAAGGTCATTGTCAATTCCAAAACGGGCAAGACAAAACCACGCAACTCGCGCTCGCGGAGATCATTGACGGCTCACCTGGAGGATCTCCATACTCTACTACGATCTGCCTACTTTGCCAGCTGGCCGCTACGTGTACGCTTTTTCTGCACGGATGTTCATCGCGTATGGCGAATGTGGAATGATCGCGTGGATACACCCCTGCCAGATCAAAAATCGATTTTGGACGGAGACTGCCCCGCCAGGGCCACTGACAATGACGCTGTGGGCAGTATCAATCAGCTAACAGTGGATTATTCAAAGTTGGAAAATTACTTGGAGAAGTCCATGTTCCTTCTAGATGACGCGGAAGATCTAATATGTCAGATCTGCAAAGCTTCAACCATCCCGGCTGCCGAACAAATCGTTGTTTGTCCACAAGACTCATGCCGCAGCGCAAATCATCTGCTGTGTCTATCAGGGGAATTCCTCGAGGCCGAGGACGACCCGGACAATCTAATTCCCACCAAAGGAACCTGTCCAACATGCAAAGAAACTGTGCATTGGCCATTGATGATGCAAGAGCTGAGCGTGCGCAATCGGGCTGAGAAGGAAGCCCGGGCAATTCTGCGAAGAAAGGACAGGCGCGACCGCAAGAAGAAACCAATTACAGCACGAGAGACTTCTGTTGATCCACCATTTAGCAGCCAGTCGCAGCAGGCAGGGGATGCTGAGTGCACACTGGCTCGAGATGATACCCAACTGGAAGATGACTGGCTCGACGGCGGAGACCTAGACTCGGATTCGGATTACGAGGGTCGACAGCGAATTCCAACACCTCCCCCTCCTTCTAGGCTCGAGATTGTCATCGAAGATAGTGAATGGGACGATGCCGAGATTGTTGAATGATGCTCGAGGTGTTCATTAAATATGATATGAATTAAAATGCCAAGCTAGTTGGCAAGCGGACCCAACGTCCTTAGCGACCCAGTCGCCCCGAGACGTTGAAAGCAACTTGAAACGGCCGCTTGGATGTCTTGAGCGACGTATTCTATCGAATTGCCAGCATCAATTATGTACGCATCCTCCTGGCGTTCAAATAGCGTCCGGAAGAGTTCTCGCACACGAGTCTGCATCGTCTCATTTTCGTATCGCTCCGCACCGAACCCTCCCCGCTTCGCGGCCTCCTCGGCTGATATACTGAGGAAGAGACAGATATCTGGGCGGGGAAGACCAATCTCCGGTTGCCACGCCCATTCGAGGGAGAGCCCAGGGTTAGCCTTAGCAGCTGAATAAACGGCGCCAGAGTATGAATATCGATCGACAATGAGAGTAATGCCGTTGGCAATATCTTCCTCGATACTCCTCGCGACTTCCCAGCGGTTTGCTGAAAATAGGAGGTGAATGGCATGGTCTTCTTGGTTTGTTGAGCCGCGTAAATAGCCGTCTATGAGCTTTCCGATGGGGGTGGTCCTGGCTGCGCATAACGTAAGCGATGGGAAATTGCCATTTTGTCAGAAGATTTAAGTACCTGGGAACCGAATATATTTAACAGAGTGCCCTTGTTCTGTCAAGTAATCCCCTAGCCTCTCGCATTGGCTCGATTTGCCGGCGCGATCGAGGCCCTCAACGACGATGAGCGCTCCGCGACGCGTCGACTCGTGGCTCGCCTGGGCTGACATTGAGAGAATTCGACAGGGCGTAGTGGAAGCGACAGTGTGTTTTCGAGAACAAAATGTGCCTACGAATGTGACCACGTAATTCAAAGACCGGTGAATTAGTCAAGTGCTGGAAGGGTGTTCAGGCAGCGGAGCGGCACCAAGCGGGTTCCTGGGGCCGCGGGCTTCTTTTTCTGCCGTCCGATAAGATCACGGCATGGCCACGACTTGGATTCAACCCTAGCATGGCCTTGCAATGACAGCAACCACCATGGGCTCCGAGGAGGCCCAGTCCCACAGTATGAACTTCAGCGTCCTAGGCTCATCTGCGCCTGTTCTGGCGCCTCGAGTGGGCAAATTGGCGCTCGCCAGCCGCAAGACACTCTCGACGCCGCATTATGTCCCTCTCACGTCGCGGGGCACAGTCCCTCACATTGCGCACGACATGGTTCGCAAGGCAACGGCTATTAACAGTCTGTATATTGGCCTAGAGGATTGTATGTGCCCATCAATGCTCATCAATGCTGGCATACCTTGCCACAACCTTATATCTTACTTGGCACGCGACTGACACTTCTGAATAGTCATCACGAGAAAAGCTCCTGCACCGGTATACAAAATCCCCGTTACCGACGAAGAATCACGTTTAAGAAAGTTCATCGCCGCCGCTCCTGATGTTCCTTTGATTATGGCGCCGCGCCGATTCCCTGCAATTCCTTGCCCGCCCAACAATACCGATACCTCGATTGCGATTTTGACATCCGTTGGATTCAGACAACTTGAAGCGCAACAATATCTAGATTCCATTCGGATGTTAAAACCAGATATCGCCATCGGGTTTGCAGATCTTGTGTACGGAAAAACCCCGGGCGTGAAGAGACGGGGAAAGATGGTGGACCGCACGCATGCATATACCCAAGACGCTCTACAAAAGCTGTATGGAGCCTCCGTCGCAGAGGAAGAAAGATCAAAGGCCGCATACTTCGCGCCTGTGCTGCCTCTGGAGAATACGCAACAGTCACTGTACTTGGAAGATCTGGAATACGAGTTCCACGATCGACTTTCCGGCCTGGCGCTTTACGAGTCTGCCTCACTGGGCTTCATCCCCGAAGCCTTGGGTGACCTCCCTCGCTTGGTTCTCAGTGAGCCTTCTAGTCCTCACGATCTCCTCCGTGACATCTCTCTCGGTGGTGATCTTTTAACACTCCCCTTCGTCGGCGAATGCTCTGATGCAGGAATCGCTCTGGAGTTTTCCTTCCCTGCTCCTTCTGGCGCCCATTATCAACGTGAACCTAGGGCGCTTGGCATAGATCTGTGGGGATCAGAACATGCAAAGGATGTTTCCACCCTGAGCGAGGGTTGCGAATGTTACACCTGCCGAAATCACCACCGAGCATATATCAACCATCTCCTCAATGCAAAGGAGATGACGGCGTGGGCTCTTCTCCAAATGCATAACTATCATGTAATGGATCTCTTCTTCGCTGACGTGCGAGGAAGTATTCAGCGCGGTACTTTCGACGAGGATGTCCAGTTGTTCAATCGGGCATATGTGTCGACCCTGCCGGAACGTACGGGCGAGGGCCCTAGGTAAGTCGACTCTCCTTCAAAGGTCGCCTATTTCTTCCTAACTCACGAATAGACTACGTGGCTACCAACTTTCATCCGGCCCCAATAAGCGTGCGCCTAAGGTTTATGGTCGCCTTGATGATGTTTCACAGAAATTCGCCAAATCGCAGTCTTCTGTTGCGACTCCAGATACTGACGCAAGTGGGCTCGAGCATCATGGGTTCGCCAAGAAAGTACGATAGCTTGAGACAAGGGGGGGGGGGGTTTTCAAGTTTACGATTGATGCATTCTGTATTGGCGTCCTTTCATCAGACAAGCGTGTAATTACGAAGACTTGCCAAAATCTACCTGGCATCCCATGGCGTATTAAGTCCGCATTCAAGTTCATAAAATTCATCCATCAATCGCAAAAGCCCAAGAGTACTGTACAGAACCCAATATCTTGTGATGCCGTCTCCGCATATCCAATTCAAACTTGTCGTTCACGCTGTCGTGTCTCCAAGGGGTATATCGAGCATATATGAACGTGGGAATTCTTTATTCTTGAATCTCGCCCGACAAAACTCTCCACATCCACTTCACCTCATCTTCTTCCTCCTTCGATCCAGCTGGGACGCCAGCTCCGAATTGCTGGCCGACCACGCAGACCAGCCAAGCCTCATTCTTGGTGGTTTCAAGGAAACGCTCGGTGGGTGAGCCACGTGGGTAGATGCGACGCCACTCGTCCCAAATTCGAAAGGCTTCCTCACCCCAGGCGCGGAAGCTGACCTCTTCGATGATGGTGGGGGTGACAATTTCCTTTCCACGGAAGACACCCCAGGTGACAGCGTTGACACTCTCGGGGTTCGAGCCGAGATCATCAATATCGACGTCAGCAGGCTGAACGGGGAGCGAGGACTCAAATGCTCCGGTAGTGTTTGTAGCGAACCAGGTTAGCTTATCGTGGCCATGCTTCTCAAAGAGCGGCTTCAAGATGTTGACATAGTCCTTGTTAGGGCAGAAAAATTCAACAAAGGGCTTCTGGAAGACGAAACCCTCGCGTTGCGGGCCCCAGCCGAAGATGTGGTGGTCGCTACGGACGCCGTTGACCGCGGGCTGGGAGGCCAAAGTCCACCACCCACGGCCGTCAATGAGTTTGAGAAGCTCGGGTCGAATCAGTTCTGTCTCGGGATTCAAGCCATCACTTCCTTCTTCAGCGCCGCCCTCTGACCAGGGGACCATGTGCAAATCTCCAGAAACATGGCGCCGGAAAAGTGTGTTGATGTCTTTGTGTTCAACGGGGTGACCCCACAGACGGCGAGCGGCCGCAGAGGTAACGTGAAGAGATGGGCCGTATCCATCAATCTCACCAAAAGCGGGCGAGCGTGCGTCACCCCATCGACCGTTGGGGAAGTCATCCCAGGTTGCTTCTCTGCCAAGCGCTCCGAGTCCCTCAGAGATCTGTAGGGTGGTACCGCGGCCAGGAGGCATGGCAGGGAGGCCGGCACTGTTTGCGAGAGCTTCATGTACCGAGTCCCGAGAAGATTCATGTTCTGAAATCTTGTCTACGATCACACGATTGTGAGGTTGCGAGTTGATAGATGAAGCTCGACGTCTCGCCAATGAACGGACCTGAGAATCGATGGGTGTGGGTCCATCCATTTCCTCGATGACAGTGTCGTCTTGAATGGCCGAGAATGGTGGGATCAAGTCACACCGTTCGAGGATGAATGAGACCGTCTTCTCCAGGTTCAGGGTATAGAAATGGAAACCGCGTGGTCCTGGAGAGGGAAGCTCTTGAATACCTCCAACAATATCGCTCACGATGTCCACACCTGCCCGCTTGACTGCATCGTCATCATGCTTCAATTCTTCCATGCGCTTGGCTATCGGGTCGGGGATCTTGACGTGACTGAGTTTTGTTACACGGGTGAGAATCTTGTAGCTGTGAACGGGCATCAGGCCCGGGATGATAGGAATTGTCTTGAAAACGCCGGACTCGTGGTTGCGAAGCATATTCTCATATCGCTGGTACGCTTCCAGATCGTATGTGAGTTGAGTCATGATGAAGTCGGCGCCAGCCTTAGTCTTCTCAATCAGATAAGGCAGATCGCGGGCAGGATCCTGTACATCTTGGAAAGAGTCGGCGGGATGACCCTCGGGATATCCAGCGACACCAACACAGAAATAGTCCCCATGCTGCTTGCGAATGTAGCGCACGAGATCGACGGCGAAAGTGAAGTCCTTGTTGCTATCGTCCTCTCCGTGCATGTTATATTCCTCGCTGCGGGGCGGGTCCCCACGAAGGGCCAGGATATTGCGAATACCGAGCACCTTGGCTTCCTCCAATGCCATGTCCACCAATGCGCGACTCATGTTGGTGCATGTCAGATGCAGTACGGTTGTCAACTGCAACTGCCGCTGGCAGACCTCAGCCAGTTCGAGGGAACGGGCCGCTGTGCTTCCGCCTGCACCCCAGGTGACAGTGACGAACAGCGGGCGCAGAGCCTGGGCCATCCGCTCCAAACGCGCAGACAGGTTCGCGAAACCCTACAATACCGCATCTCGTTAGCATTCATTTCCTCATGGACTGCAAAGAGGGCCGCGGGGTTACCCCACCATCCGGGTCTTAGGAGGGAAGAACTCCAGCGAGAAGTAATTTGCGTCCGGCGGCAGCGCCGCGATCTTCTCCGTAATCTTCTTCTCCATTGCGAAGGGTGTTGGAGGGCAATGGAAGGGGAGGGGGAAGAATGGAAGAAGAAGTGGGCTGAAGTGGACCGTCATGGACTTTCTAAAAGGTCACACCCGCTCGCGGGAAATCTGATGTTGACGCATGCCGGTCACGGCCATCCCGCTGAATCAACGCTGCGTGAGAGTTTCCCGCGGCGAATTTACATCTTTCAAGTGCTCGTACGGTTGAGTGTATTTATTCTAGACTAGCCTCATCTTTTGGGTGGAAAATAAGAATCAGAAGCGAACAGATTAACAAGAAGGATCGACCGGGAAAAGATTACCTCAGCGCGATACAGGACGCGATCGACCGAACCCAACCGGGCATTTGATTCGAGCACGACATCTCGGGAGGGTCTCCTTTGCCAAAGCAAGTCATGCTTTCCGCCCGTTTTTGAGCCGTTTCCTCCCGATCTGTTTTACCTCGTCTGCTTCGTCGACTATGGCCAACCACAGTCCAACCAGCTTCCTTCGTTCAATACGCCTCCAGGCCGCGCAATGGCCGTGGCCCAGGCCGCAGCTGCGCCGATATCTCTCAACGCCTCCGTCACCATGTGGCAGGCCAGCTGCTTCTGCTCCCAAGGATGCTCATTCGCGCCTACGCCGTTTCAATGACCGTCTCCCTCGATTCCTTCGTACCGTCACAACGCCATTACTCGGGGCTCCAATTACTCATATTACGTCCTTCCTCATCTTGCACGAGATCACGGCCATATTGCCATTGTTTGGGCTGGCAGGCGCATTTCATTATGGGTCTTGGATGCCAGATCTGAGCTCTGGCTCCGGGGAAGGCAATGCTCTTGATGAGGGAGCTGCGCGAATCGGGCGATGGCTGCGAAAGAAAGGCTGGGTTGAGGAGGCAGACGTGAGTGTGGTGCAAGACCACGAGACCGTCGGACTAGAGCGCGACAATGGGCGGGAACGGGCTGGTGTGCGATTAGTTTTGGAATTTGCGACGGCCTACGCGATCACGAAGGCTTTGCTGCCGGTGCGGATCGCCGCAAGTGTCTGGGCTACGCCGTGGTTTGCGAGAACTATCGTTGGTCCAACAACTCGTGCGGCTCGAAGGTTGCTCGGCAGAGGCTGAACAGGTTCCCTACACTCTGACCATTGTACTATATATACCCAAGCGACAGAAAGAGATATAGTCATAAATCATACGATCCTGTATATGGTGTTTGATTTTTCGTAGCCGTTCAGGCCTATCTTCAGCTATCGCAATTTTACACTGCAGGAAGCCGAGGGCAGACACCCGTCAGGCTAAGGCTCCATGGATCGAGAAATTTACTCGAAGACCCAGTTGGCCTGGGAGTGCTTCCACTTGAGGAGCTCGGAGGCGGTGAACCAGAGGTTGATCTCCTTTTTGGCGTTCTCGACGGAGTCGGAGCCGTGGCAGACGTTGCGGCCAACGTCAAGGGCGTAGTCACCACGGATGGTGCCGGGGGCGGAGGCCAGGGGGTTGGTGGCACCCAGGATGGTGCGGCCGGTCTTGACGGCGTCCTTGCCCTCCCAGACCATGGCGCAGATGGGGCCGCTCAACATGTCTAAAATTGGGTTAGCAGCTTGTTTCGAGTTAACGGAGCCTTCGCAAGGGCGGCAACTCACAGGCGACAAGACCCTTGAAGAAGGGCTTGCCAGCGAGGTCAGCGTAGTGCTTCTCAAGGTGCTCCTGGGTGGGGGAGGTGAGCTTCATGGCAACGAGCTTGAAGCCACGGTTCTCGAAGCGAGAGATGATGGGGCCAATGAGTCCACGCTGCAGCAGGCGTTAGCTGATAGGGCTCAATTGGTGATTGGGCCGATTCTATGAGATGACATCGGTCTGTAGTGTGCTGTATTCATACCTGGACACCATCGGGCTTGATGGCAATGAAGCTGAAGCAATTAGTTAGCTTGACCGCCGACGAAGGAGGGGTAGTAGGGAGAACAGAGAGGTATAGTAGATAGGAAGTGGGGGGTAGAAGCATAAAAACAGTGACTTACGTCTGCTCGTCGGCCATTGTGATAGATGTGGGATTGAAGATCTAGGATCAGCAAGGGGTGGGAAGCGGAAGAGAAGGAGGGAGGGAGGAGAATTAAATACTGTGAGTCTTTTTTTGCCCGCTGCTCCTCTGGTGGGGCACGAGGGGGTTGACTGCCTGAATGCCTTACAGCCTGAGTGCCTTGTTGCCCTTCTGCCAGCCGTTTCAGGCGTCTTACCCCAGCCTCCGCTCCACCCTCAGGCCAGCCTGGAGCTTCCTTGTTGACATCCTCGGTTTAACTGCCCTCGGATGCAGGCAAACATCTTACCCAACCGCATCCTTTTGCCAGAGAGCGAAGGTATCTGATTGCACTAAGTAGCTACCACCATGGCCAAGAGCCGGCCGACGTCCCATTGGACGCTCTTCGTCTCTCTGGTGGTCCTTATCGCATGCATTGTGGTCCCCGGAGGTGAGATCCCACTTCTCCCGCGCAGGAGTGGCTCAATCGCTGACTTACATTGCGCGTCCAGCGACGGTGAAACACGAAAACTTCAAGACCTGCCAGCAATCCGGATTCTGCAAGCGCAATCGAGCTTTGGCCGACAACGCCGCCGCCCAAGGTGCCTCATGGAACTCGCCCTACGAGCTTGATCCCGCCACCATCCAATTCAAGGATGGTCAATTGACAGGTGTTATTATTAAGACGACCTCTACGAACGAAAAACACCGCCTGCCTGTCACAGTCTCCTTCCTCGAATCGGGAGTCGCGCGAGTTATCGTCGATGAAGAGAAGCGCCTGAAGGGCGATATCGAAGTCCGACATGGCAGCAAGGCAAATAAAAAACGATATGATGAGACGGAAAAATGGGTCCTCGTTGACGGCTTGAAGGTCAGCAAGTCAGCCACATTGAACTCCCAGACAAATAGCGGATTCACCAATGTCTTGTACGGACCGGAGGACAAATACCAAGCTGTCATTCGCCATTCACCCTTCGGCGTTGAATTCCAAAGGGATGGCGAGACCCACGTGCAGCTTAACCATCAGGGCCTCTTCAATCTGGAGCACTGGCGGCCAAAGGTTGAAAGGGAAGGTGAATCCGAGGAGGATGAGAGCACTTGGTGGGAGGAGTCCTTTGGTGGCAACACCGACACTAAGCCGCGTGGTCCTGAGAGCGTCGGTCTTGACATTACCTTTCCCGGATATGGACATGTCTTTGGTATTCCTGAGCACGCCGACTCCCTCTCTCTCCGTGAGACCAGGTATGCATCCTTATCTATTGAATTTTCCAAGCATGATGACTGACCACCGCTACAGAGGCGGGCCTGGAAATCATGAGCAGCCATATCGCATGTACAACTCGGATGTTTTCGAGTATGAGCTCGACAGTCCTATGACCTTGTATGGGGCTATTCCGTTCATGCAAGCGCATCGCAAGAATTCCACTGTCGGCGTGTTTTGGCTCAACGCTGCGGAAACCTGGGTTGATATTACCAAGGAAGCAGCAAACTCAAACCCGCTGGCCATGAGTTCCCACGCCAAAACCAACACCAAGACACATTGGTTCTCTGAGGCTGGTCGAATCGATCTTTTTGTCTTCTTGGGACCCTCGCCGCAGGAGATCCTCAAGACATATGGTCAACTGACTGGATATAGTCAACTTCCCCAGCACTTCGCTATTGCGTACCATCAGTGCCGCTGGAATTACGTGACTGACGAGGATGTCAAAGAAGTGGACGCAAAGTTTGATAAATACCAAATTCCTTACGATGTCATCTGGCTTGACCTTGAATATACCGATGACCGGAAATATTTCACTTGGGACTCTTTGACTTTCCCCAACCCGAAGGGTATGCTGGAGAAACTTGACGAATCCGACCGCAAACTCGTGGCTCTGATCGACCCTCACATCAAGAACGTGGACAATTACTTTGTCTCTCAGGAACTAAAGAGCAAGGGACTCGCCGTTTTGAACAAAGATGGGGAGATTTATGACGGATGGTGCTGGCCTGGTTCATCTAACTGGGTCGATTGTTTCAACCCAGCTGCACTTCCATGGTGGATTAGTTTACACAAGTTCGATCGATTCAAGGGATCGCTTTCTAACCTATTTGTCTGGAATGACATGAGTGAACCATCCGTCTTCAATGGTCCCGAAACAACCATGCCGAAAGATAATTTGCATTTCGGCGACTGGGAGCACCGCGATATCCATAATATCAACGGTCTTACTCTCCTAGGCTACTCCTATGATGCCTTGCTCGAGCGCAAGAAGGGCGAAGTGCGCCGACCCTTTATCCTGACTCGTTCCTACTATGCTGGTGCCCAGCGCACTTCTGCCACGTGGACCGGCGATAACCAGGCTACTTGGGAGCACCTTGCCATCTCTCTACCAATGGTTTTGACCAACGGCATTGCAGGTTTCCCATTCATTGGTGCAGATGTTGGTGGTTTCTTCCACAACCCCGACAAAGACCTTCTTACTCGCTGGTACCAGGCTGGTATCTGGTATCCCTTCTTCCGCGCCCACGCTCACATTGATACACGCCGCCGTGAGCCGTATCTGATTTCCGAGCCACACCGCACCATCATCTCCCAGGCGATCCGTCTGCGATACCAGCTCTTGCCAGCATGGTACACCGCCTTCCACGAGGCTTCGATCAACGGTGCCCCCATCGTGCGTCCACAGTATTACGTCTTCCCTGATGATGAAGCAGGCTTTGCCATCGGCGACCAGCTGTACCTTGGAGCTACTGGTCTTCTTGCCAAGCCCGTTCTGACTCCGGACACATTTACCACGGACATTTACATCGCAGATGACGAAAAGTACTATGACTATTTCGACTTCACTGTTTACCAGGGAGCAGGAAAGAGACATACAGTTCCTGCTCCCGAAGACAAGATCCCTCTGCTGATCCAGGGTGGACATATTGTGCCTCGCCGTGACCGTCCTCGTCGCAGCAGCAACCTAATGAAATGGGACCCTTATACTCTTATCCTTACACTCAACAAGAACGGCCAATCCGAAGGCAGCCTTTACTTTGATGACGGTGAGACCTTCGACTACGAGAAGGGTGCCTACATCCATCGCCATTTCCAGTTCCGCGACTCGGTTCTGTCCTCTGATGACCTTGCAACCAAGGGCGCCAAAACTGCTGAGTACTTGAAGGCGATGGCAGGCGTCACTGTCGAGCGGGTCGTTATCATCGATCCCCCTCAGGAGTGGAAGGCCAAGAACACCGTTACCATCATTGAAGATGGAGCTAAGGCCGGCTCGACTGCCTCTTTGCAATTCTATGAGCAGCAGGGTGGCAAGGCATCGTACGCCGTGGTCAAGAGCCCGAATGTTGGAATCGGAAAGAGTTGGCGGATAGAGTTCTAAGGAACGTGCCCATGCTCCTAAGGCACGTGAAATTTAGAATCGCACTTTGTTACTGCATCCAATGATTTGACTTGTCGTATCTTTGGCATACTAAGCATTCTTTGTGTAGTGTCTACGATTTGCAAGATCTAAGTTTGATGTAGTGCATCGCAAAATGGCCAACCCTTATGCGGTAGGAATCGAGTGTATACAACTGGCCAACCAGAATAAACAAGCTTTCCCGCGATTGTTTGGGTGGATCCGCTGAGTCAGCCAGCAAAAAAAGCCGCAAGCGTCGCCCGCGAGTTTCGCTTCCGCCCATTCCGTTGGTTTACGGTCCCTGTTCCTGGAGGATTGGTTGCTCGCCGTGGGTTCTTTTTGTTGTCGATTGCTGTCTCATCCTCGCGACAACTTCGCCCACCGCTCATCCGGCCGCTCGCTCTCCCGCGGAACCTGCGGAATATCTGCACCAGCGCCATGTGGCTCATCCAGCTGGCCATTGAATATGGCGCGCCCATCTTGTACGCTTCGAATTCACAAATAGAGCCATTCGAGGATTTTTGTACTAATTCTGTTTCGCTGCGCAGCCTAATCACATCACCCCTCACCTCCTACCTCGACCAGATCCTCAGCATTCATCGGAATAGGAGTTCGGCGGGTTTCTCGCTGGACATTCCATTGATTATGCTTGTCGCGTCGATCCTCAAGTAAGGCCCCCGCAGCAGACGAAATACTGCGAGCCAATTTCTGGGTTGAATATGGAATTAACGCGTCTACCAGGGTCTTCTACTGGTTTGGAGAGTACTACTCTGGCGCTTTGCTGGCGCAGGCCGTGGTGATGATCGCCGTTCAGGCGGCGCTCCTCAAAGTTGCGCTCGACAACCGACCGAAGGATGCAGCCGAACATGCCCCTTTCAGCGGCGTGAAAGATGGCTTCCAGCGTCCGTACAAATTCTGGCAGTGGCGTGATACCAAGCCGTAAGTACTACCCTATTATATTGGGCCCACGCACTGCTAGGCCCTTATCCTCGATCGGACAGTTTCCCTAACGTCTTTTTGCTGCAGTTACTGGGCATTTCTGGGCTACTTTGTCGCCGCGCTGACCGTGATCCACCTTACCCCGATCTCCAGCCTCAACACCTACATCAGCCTGCTGGGCTGCATTGGTCTCGCTGTCGAGGCCACCCTCCCGGTCCCCCAGATCCTCGCCAACCACCGGTCGGGCTCGTGCAAGGGTTTCCGCCTGTCCGTCCTCGCAGCTTGGATTATTGGTGACAGCATGAAGATGAGCTACTTTTTCATGAGTGCCGAGCCCATCCCCTGGGCTTTCAAGCTGTGCGGTATGTTCCAATGCGTATGCGACTGCTACTTGGGCATCCAGTATTGGATGTTCACGCACGGCTCTGGCAAGGCTGCAGGCAGCTCCCAGGAGGACGAGGAGGAGAAGGAAATTCGGCTGAACCGCATCGGTTAAGCTCAAGAGCTCACCAAGGTGAGCGCATTCTGCATTGCTTGCAGATAGACGGAATTCATGGCACCATAGCGACTTATAGACTCTGTAATACTGAATGGACGATGTTAATACCAATTTGGTCCCTCTCTTCTCTATTTTCTGGAATGGGCCTCCATTCTTCATGCTGCGGTTGCTGGTTAAAATCTCCGTGAGGTCATCGTTAACTCCGGTTCCGCTTCGGGACTGGAACTGCCCCACGATCAGCTCGACTTGGTTACTTCTTCGGATCAGCGGACTCTTCCCCACGAACCTCCCTTCTTTAATTCGCTCTGCTTTCCCTCTTGCAGCTCGTCCAAGACTCCCCAGTCAAGATATTCACAATGGCTGCCCTACCGACGATTCGCATCGGCTATGTGCCTGGTACGTACCAAGCCTCAGGCCCCGCGCAGTTCATTGCGCCCTGGGGACCCGAATCTGGCGCACATTGTCTAGCCTTCTAGGATATTTGAAATGCATTGAGATCAATGGGCTAATACCGAATCGTCCTGTCTTCCAGAACACTATCTCACCCCTCTTCATCTCGCCCTTCGCTCTCCGGCCGTCGCCTCGCTCCCGTTCAAGATCGCCTTGACTCCTTTCCCCGCCGGTACGGGCCACATGATCACCTCATTGCGCGGCAATGAGATCGATATCGGTATTGGTCTGACCGAGGGCTGGGTGGCCGGTTTGACCGGAAAGACGCAGCCTCAAAACCCCGAGGAGGGTGGATACAAAATCGTTGGTCACTGGGTCGATAACCCACTTCGATGGGCAATTGTCACAGGTCGCAACCGCGACAACATCAATGGTGTGGCAGACTTGCAGGACAAGAGAGTCGGTGTTAGCCGGCTAGGAAGGTACGGATCTATATGCCCCTCGGCATCCAAGGGGAACTGCGCCGAATGCCAAGGATGAAACACTAACCGATATATCCAGTGGCTCTCACATTATGTCCTTTGTCCTCGCTCAACAGCAAAAGTGGAAAGCAGACTCGCTGACCACTGTCCCTCTCGGTCCCTTTGGGCCCCTCCGGAACGGAGTCACTGGTCTGGATGAGGCCAACCCAAGCCAAGAGCCCAACCCATCGGCGGAGTTCTTTATGTGGGAACATTTCACGACCAAGCCATACTTCCACCCAACCGCCGAAACCCCCAACCCGCCGCTGAAGAAGATCGGCGAAATCTTTACTCCCTGGCCCTCATGGATGATCGTGGCTTCGACGGCTGTGTTCCCGAACCCAGAGCAGGATGACCGGCTGAAGGCTCTTTTCCAAGCTCTGGACCAGGGTGTGAAGGATTTCGAGGCTGATACTGCTCATGTCGTCAGATTGTTAGGTACTGGCGAGCTGGGATGCAACTATATCGAGGAAGACGCTACTGAATGGCTCAAGGATGTCAAGTTCACAAATGCCACCCGTGGCGTGGACCGCAAAGTTATCGAAGGCGTTGTAGACATTCTCAAGGTGGCAGGTGTCATTGACACTGCTATGGGTAACGATGAGGCTATGCAGCGCGTGATTGGCATTCCTCGGTAGGTCTCTGAGCGAGAATTCAAGAGCAGTGTAAAAGAATGAATATGGGTTCTCTATATAGAATCTGATATACATGGTAAACGCATTATAGCGAGCAGAATCTCATGGATTCGAAGTGATTTATGTTATCTAATGGACTAGATTCAAGTGGTGATTCTGCACTGTTGATACTCCACAGCAACCCCACTTGATGAACTCGATCGGTGTGGCTGTGATGCGTCAGCGTGGCACTTGTCTACAGCAAAGCCCTCGTTTGATAGTTTTACTCCTTTCACCTTCGACCTTCAAACAAAAGCAAGAACCTGATACCATGGAATCCATCCCGGGGACATTCATAATCAAAGTCGATTACCAGCCTGTATCCGTCGTCAAGGATGGAAACGAAGACAAAACCCACGCATGTCTAGGCCCAGATCCTGCAGTCTTCACGCTTGTCGACGGTCATCTTGAGAGTGGAGACTGGATTCTGGGTAGATCTCTGGTTGAAGATCGAAGTCTTCTCCCGAAAAGAGTTCTGTGGTTCAATAAACAGAGCACTCGTACCGACATGGTTCACAAGGTCTTGGCTTTTCCGGATGGGGATTCCTATCGACTGGAATTTCTTGGTATGAGACAATATCTTCAAAATTAAAGGGGTGATATGTTCTAATAATTATATTAGGTGCACCTCTTATCTCGCATGAGGGAAAGCTCTTTGCCGATCTGATGAAAGGTGAGCCTGTTCCCACAAATTATTTTCAGATCGTGGCCAAGAGAACTGACATGAATCTTTCAAGATCAACCTCAGGATGTGCAAATTATAATCCAATAGGTTTTTTTTTTTTTTTTTCCATCGTATGAGTCCATTTGTTGGTTTTGTTATCTTAGTATGTCACGCTTTGCACATATTACCTGCACCTACCTAGGTATTCGCGGTTCAGGCCCAAGCAAGTGCTGAGGGCGTATTCCTTTCAGCAGTATTCACGGCCCTGAAAGCTTCACCTTTTCAACACCTGCGAATTATCTTTGCGAAAATGTCAGATCCATGCATATCTACAAGAGCTATGCCTCGAGTACACTGTATCGCACACTATGAGGGTACACTACTTTATGTCATAGTATGATGGTGCAGTGTGCTGATAAATATCTCGCATTCATCCCAGCACCGACATTATATTAAAACCGCGAAAATAAAAAGAAGAGCGAAAAATTATTAGCAACATCACTTGCTCAATTACAAATTGCTAATAGACACGCTGCTGCACTGGAGAATTCAAGGACGCGACGCTGCCCGGAGGTGAAGGGGTTCCCGTGGGCGTGGCCTCCCTCCCGAGGGCTCCCGAAAAGACTAGAAGAATCATCAGCTCCATGAGAGTTGTGGGTACCAGTCTGCCGAAATTATCTACGATCATAAACGAATAACTGTGCTGTATCTGAAAGCCAATCAATCGTAGCACAATTTTCTCCCAAAAAGAAGCGCAAATACACTCACATCAAGGCAGTGCTCTTTTCAGTAACTCGACGATGAACAAACGAACGATGTCATCGACCATATGACAGGATCCAATATGTTATCCAGTCCAACTATCTCTTCCCGGGTAATGAGCGGTAGTAGCGGCCTAGAACGCGTCCTAGAGTCGGTTCTTGCACAATTCGACCAACATTCCTCGATCATCCGTCAGCCCCCTGGCAACGACCTCGGAATGCAGGCCAGCCAGCCCAGTAGGCGTACGATCCAATGAACATACCGCAGTCAAGTATTTCCGCCAAGTAATATGCAGCGACCGACCGTGAGAGCTGGGATTGAAGGCTGTTGGGAGGGTTGCTGGCGTGGACATTTGCGGGCCAAACCATGCAGTCGGTGCGTCACTTGGCAGACCGGGACGAGTTGTTTGTGTCGGAGGCATGCAGACCAGTAGGCAAAATAACTCAAAGCCTCCTATTTAAGAAATACTCGTCACAAGGGTCTTGCGCGTGTCCTTGTGCGTCCTCGACTTTTTTTGTTCTTTCCCTGGGCATTGATCCCGCCGTTCATTTATTTGGAGTGGAATACATCCTTTTAATCCCCAACTTTATCTATACTCCAGTCATTCTTTATATACTATCAGAATGCGTCGCTCTCAGACGTATGTTCCGTGGTCGGTACTGCTGACCTCGCTCATTGGAGTGCAGGCAAAGCTCGACTTGAACTCGACATCTAATATTGCTATCTACTGGGGTGAGAATTCGATGGTATTAGACTTTGCCGTTTGCCAACGTTACTTACAAAGGTGTTTCTTAAAGGCCAGAACTCCTTACAAGGAAAGGGCGGCGATCTTCAAAAGCCTCTGGGCGAATACTGCGAGAGTAAGTCTGCGAATTATTGAGAAGAAGGACCAAGCAACTGCTAATATTTCTTCCAGACAACGCCATCGACGTAGGGATTCTTCACAAACTGGGAAGTGAGGATATATCTAACAGTGAAATTGTATTAGGTCATCCCAATCGCATTTAACATGATGGTCAATGGACCTGGTGGAGCTCCCGAGATCGACTTCTCGGTGACCTCGCAGGACTGCGATGTGTTCGAGGGGACACAGCTGAAGAACTGCCCCAAGATTGGGTATGTATGACCGGCGAGAAGGCACGATCCCTCGTCTAACACGCGACAGTGCGGATATCAAGAAGTGCCAGGAGAAGGGCACCACCATCCTCCTGTCCATCGGTGGCGCCACCTACAGCGAGGGCGGCTTCAAGTCCGAGGACGACGCGAAGGCCGGCGCGAAGCTCATCTGGGAGACGTTCGGTCCTGTGCAGGATGGCTCCAAGGCTAAGCGACCATTCGGCGATGCTGCCCTCGACGGTTTCGATTTCGACTTCGAGGCCAATGTCATGCACATGGCGTCCTTCGCCAACGAGCTCCGCTCCCTTATGAACAAAGAGAACGACAAGCAGTACTTCCTTACTGCTGCTCCTCAATGCCCCTACCCCGACCAGTCGGACAAGGACATCCTCAATGGTCCGGTTGACATCGACGCCGTCTGGGTGCAGTTCTACAACAACTACTGCGGCGTCAACAACTTCGACAAGGATTCCAATAAGTCCAAGTACAACTTCGAAGAGTGGGACAACTGGGCCAAGACCGTCTCGAAGAACAAGGAAGTCAAGGTCCTGGTCGGGGTCCCAGCCGACACCACCGCTGCCAGCACTGGTTACGTCCCCGCTGACAAGCTTGCAGACGTGATCCAGTACTCGAAGAAGTTCGAGAGCTTTGGTGGTGTAATGATGTGGGATATGACTCAGGCATACGCGAACAAGGGGTTCATTGACGGGGTGCAAAAGGCTCTCGGTGGTGGTGATTCTGGTTCGTCGTCGTCGTCCAACTCGGCGTCGACCACGGCGTCTGCACCTTCGTCCACTAACTCACCGAATACCTCGCAATATTCCAATGTACCCGACTCCTCGTCCTCCTCTTCCTCCTCATCTGCATCTGGACACTCGTCCAATGATCCCGCGAAGCCCACCACCACGGCACCCAAGCCGACGACCGAAGCTCCCCCGGCCGAGCCCAAGCCGACTACCTCGGCGGCCTCGACTTCGACCACGTCGACAACGACGGCTGCCCCGAACACCAAGCCAGCTCCCAAGCCGACCACCACGTCGACTACGACTACCAAGCCAGCTCCCAAGCCGACCAGCACGTCGACCGCGACTACCAAGCCAACTGTCGCGGCTGAGCCTGAGCCTGAGCCCACGACCACTGCTGCTCAGTCGGCTCCTAAGCCTCCTGTCAACGACGACGACGACGACAACAACAATGATAACTCGACGGATGACACTGATATTCCACCTGCTACCAACAACTCGTCTGACAACGACGATACTCCAGCCGCTGAGCAGTCTGACGATGATGGCACCAAGGGACTTGGCGGCGTACTTCCCTCTCTCCTGACCTCTGACCTCTTTGGTCTCCTGAATGGTCTCCGTCAAGCCAATGGCCCCGTTAAAGACGTCACCAACGGTCTGACGAAGAATCTTCGCTTCGCCCGCCGCATCCAGAACTAGAACGCTGCTTTTCCCATAGCTTCAAGTAAATGGGTGAAAATACAAGTGAGGAAACAGGGAACGTAGTCTGGTCTGCATAACTCCTTCCATCTCGCAGACTTGATCTTCATTTCACTTCTGGTGTCACTCTTTCTATCTCCATGTACCTTTTTTTTTTTTTTTTTTTTTTTTTTTCAATTCCCTCGATACCCATAATCCATAATCTTCTAATTCTTCATGGAAGCCACCTCAGAAGCTTACGTCCACTGGTACTAAGTTCGATCGCACATACCTCTATAGACCTAAATCCAAACAAGGGCTATGGAAATCACGTGATAAACACAAGGGGCATTTAAATTACTATATATCTTCTGATTGTGATTGGAACTATCAGAACTAACAATGAGCGAATACTAGGTGCCGGGAGGTAAGAATAAAACTACTTTCACCTCACTTTGAAATCAGAATCTCCCACCGAAATGAAGCATACATCCTAAAATTCTTCCGGATCAACCTCGTCGGGTGCTCGCAAGCAAGGGAGTACGAAGTACGCCAGGAATGCTCACTCACCGTATCCAGGGCTCATCCCCAGCACAACTTACCTGACCCCTTTACTCGACATCCTCTTCCTCCTTGCTGGCCGCCAGGAAGAAGCGACCCACCGGCTTACCCGGCTCCTCGTACTCAACCGTCAAGCGGGATAGGTGGCCCAGCAAATTCTCGATCTTGATATCACCTTTGCTGCGCTTCGCGCGGCCGAGATCATCAAGCCACTGAATCTTGTTCAGAATAAAATAGACGAGGGCTATGACAATCTCAACGCCCAGCGAGTAGCCCCAGACCCGGACAACAGTGACAATGTCAGTCCAGCCGTTCGTGGTCTCCACGAGCTGATCTGCAGGGTGCGTCTTCATATCCTGATTCGAGAACCAGCCAAACAAGCAAAAGATGGTGGCAAGAACGTCCACGCCCAGAATCGCGCTTACCAGTTGTAGAGATGGCCAGGCGTCGATGCCTCTGGTAACGAAGATCAGCCAGTTCTCCGTAAGTGCCACCTCCAAGAATACCACTTCCTGAATGGAACCCCAGTTTTGAATGACGCCGCCATTGGGAAGAAACATGGAGCCGCGTACCACCCACGTGCCCAGTGCAAGAAGCACTCCTAGCAGCGAGGAGATAAACCAGATCTTTGGGAGTTGCCACTCAACCGGACGTAGTTCAAACGATGCATTATCGTACGCCACAGCCACAGTTGCAAGGTCAGCGAAGAGAGCCAGAAAAACGACCAGCTCGACACGAATGCTTTCATTGAGGATAATCATCGCCGTCACGAGATAGATCTCCAGGTGCAAGCAAAGGGCAATCCGATACTGAATGTATGCCTTCATGCGGTGGAAAATCTGTCGTGCGACTTTGATCGAGTCGATGATAGTCGAGAGGCCAGGTTCGAGGAACACAATATCAGACGCAGACTGAGCGGCTTCAGATGCACCTTCCACAGCGATACCGCAATCAGCTTTCTTGAGCGAAGGAGCGTCATTCACACCGTCACCGGTCATAGCAGTCAAATGGCCGCGCTCTTGAAGCATCTGGACTACTTGGTACTTGTGCTCAGGGAACACCTCTGCAAAGCCATCTGCCTTTTCGACGAGATCCCCGGCCATTGCGCCGCTAAGGCCGCCATGAATAAGCTTGTCTGAGTTGTAGACTTTTGTGCCCAGTGCCAACATCTTGCACGTCTCTTTCGCAATAGCAATAGCATCACCAGTCAGCATTTTGACACTAATGCCAAGGTTCTGAGCTTCGCTAATGGTCTGAGCGGTATCTTCACGGGGTGGGTCGAACATAGGCAACATCCCAAGCAAGGTCCAGTCCTCGCCTTCCTTCTGAACGGCAACACCAAGAGATCGGAAGCCACGGTGCGCAAATTCTTGTGCTTTTGCCTTGTACACATTCGCAACTTCATTCGAGCAGTTCGTCAGTTGGAGTACTGCCTTAGGAGCACCCTTTGTGCAAGTGTAACGAGTTCCCTCACACGTGGCCACAGTGACAATTCGCTTCGATACTGGGTCAAACGGTGTAAAATTTTCAGTTGTCCAACCACGACGTAGGATCTCACGAGCTCGCGGATATTGCCGCAGTGACAGAACTGTTACCTTGTCAATCGGATCAAGCGACTCAGTGTTGTGCGAAGATGCGAGGGCAGCCACGGCAAATAGCCAGTCCACGTCAACGCCTTCGGCCACATATGGATCTCGGATACTCAGCTTGTTGGCAGTGAGAGTTCCGGTCTTGTCAGAACAGAGGATATCCACACCCTGTCTTCAGTTAGTATTTAACTCTGACAGATGTATGCTCAATATTTAGAGGGCAATACTCACAGCAAGAGATTCGATAGCCGTTAGTTTCTGCACAATCGCCTTCTTTTTCGCAAGATATGCTGCACCTACCGCCATGGTCGTAGTGGTCACTACAGGAAGACCCACTGGGACACCGATAATCAGGAGAGACAAGGTGTAATGTAACAGTGTCTGTTGTCCAGGTGAAGCAATGGGGATATGGCGGAAGAAGCCGCCAATCCAAGCAGCAAGAATCCAGGCCATAACGAGTATTAGCAGTGACGTTCCGATGTTATCCATGACAACTTCGAAGTGTCCAGCGCCCTTGGCGGATTGCACCATACTAGCAGTTCGGCCAACAAAGGAAGTCTTCGCGGGGGTTTGAACAACAGCGTAGGCCTTGCCGCGCTTGCAGCCAGTCGTGTAGTAAATCACGTCGCCCATATACCGGTCCACAGCGAGAGACTCTCCAGTGATGGCGGAATGATCGCAGGCGAGAATAGGATAGCCACGCTTCCGGGTCTTCTGCTGCAAGTTCTCCTCGCCTTTTTCATCCTGGGCATCACCTGCAGACCCGGCATGAGCATTCTCCTCTGCGTTCTTCTTACTCTCGTCCTCTTCATCATCCGATTCGGATCCTCCGCCAAGCATGCCTTGTTCTTGAAGCTGGTTGAACTCCTCCCATCCATTGGGGTCCTTGAAGTCGCAGATGATGTTTGCATCAGCGGGAACAACTTGGCCTTCTCCCACGATGATCTGATACTTAGTTAGCAAATTAAAAGAAAAGAAAAAAAGACAGGGTGATATCAATGACTTACCACATCACCTGGAACCAGCTCACGAGCCAGACACTCTTGTTGAGAATTATCACGCACGACAATGGCTCGCATGGCGATATCACCCTTAAGGCTGGCCACCACGTCAGCCGCCTGTTTCTCCTGGTACCAACCGACGGCGGCGTTCAGGCACAGAATGCCAATGATAACGCCGAAGTCAACCCAGTCTTCCAGACCAGCAGCAAGCAGTACCGCCAGCTCCATCACTAGATGAATCACATATTAGCATGTTCAGTTTGTCCGGGACAAAGAGAGAATATCGCATACCGTAGAGAATGGGGCCCTGGAAATACGACAGAATCTTGGCGATGGGGTTCTCTTTCTCGGAGACCAGTTCGTTCCAGCCTGAGCGACGTCGGCGAGTATTGACTTCCTCGCTGGAGAGCCCTTCTCGAATATCGGTGATGAGCCATTCATCGGGAAATCTCGGCCCCCTATCGTCAACCTGTCGAACATGCACCTTGCGCTTCTTCCACGGAGCGTACCAGACTCGTTGCTCTTCCACGCTGGCGGTGTCATCCGCAGTTGCACCGGGGTCTCGGTATGTCGACACGTATTTAACGAGTTTTCCATACTCATCCAAAGTGGCCCAATCCTCCTTAAGGGAGGCCCTTGAGATACGAGAACCGCGGCGGCCATCAGCGCGCTCTGCGTCGCCTTGGCTCGACATCCTGGTTGAACAGGTCGAGTAGGGGTGGGGTATCACAAGAAACACAGCGATGAGAGCGAGGCGAAGAGCGGGGAATGGATGAAGATGATTATGGTGGTGGTAAAGAGAGATGGAGAGGATGAAGAGGATGGGAGGGCAGGCAACCAACGGTGGTGGGAGGCAGTAAAGTGAGGGAGGCGCGCCTTCCCTTCCAGTTTCAACGGCAAACACACTGAAAAAAACCAACGACGAGCAACAGGCAACAAGCAGCAAACAATCCCCGAGTTGTTTTCCTTCCAATATTACCTCCCCCTCTTTCAGACCCTCATGCTGACGTCGACCGCAGGAAGCATTCGACACGATACCCCCCAGAGTCGTATACTCCTGTCTGCGGCCCGCTGGTACGGGACAGCGCTCGCCAAAAAGGGACCAACCGGCAGCGATTCGAGGAGATCTGACCGGCTTTGACGTATGCGACATTGGATAGGACCCTCCAGACGAACCTTTTCAACGCCGGGCCGTTTCTCGCAGCCATGGACCATGAGTGCGACCAGCCAGTGCCGGGGGCCCATTGGCACACATCCACGGATGCGCGCAAGGGTACCACCAGCACTTCCCCGTGGAACAATGGCTCAAGCCTTGTCGACCGGAAACTGATTCGCCAAATTACTAGTATTGAAATACCCTCGGGTACCGTTGCAGCTTGTTGCAGCTTCCATCTCGACTGTTTTATTGGCGCACATCCGGGTGGTTTCCTTTCGGCATGCCCACAAGGATGATCGTTTCGAGCAATCTTCTAACTACAAATCAGGATCTAGTTAATCTGGACGGAATGTCTAGGACAGTCGGAAACAGGAAGCATTCCGGATATTCACTGACCTTGCTTGTCCTAGTCTTTGTCAAAACCATTCCGCTGCTTGCCGAACATTGCGACCAACAAACACCTCGATGTCTTGCTATACCTACAGTACGGTTATTCATAAGGGAGGAAGCTGCAAGAATTTTCGAAGCGGGTTTACGTGTGCCCAAGCAGCAAATTGTCCAGCTACCAAGACCTTAGCTTTGGATAATATCAAGTTTATTCTATGACAGCCTATTCCACATTACAGCTATTAATCATCTGTATGTTCAAAGTATGTGAGATATCTATATGAGAGCAAGCGGAATTGAGCTTTTCGGGAGTGGGACGACAGAAGTCAGTCCAGGGAGCTCAAATTTGGAGTAATGTATACATCCCCGAGGGTCGCGTGGTAACTTTTGTGGACACTACACTTTAATATCTAGAGTCAGTCGCGGTGCTTCCATGGTGTTTAAGCGCAACACTTCAACGTTGCGATACCTCACATATCTTTTGATATTGCATGGACGGCTAGGCCAGGTTAACTGCGTACCTTTTTCTCATTCAAGTAACATCAAACACATTGCCTCTCGTTTCTTTACCAATCTACTTTTGCTTGCCAGTGGGAATGTTGAAGAACACGGCCGGAACACCAGGGGCAGCAGCACGGTCAACACGGTAGTAGCCCTTACGGTCGAACTGGATGATATCCCCAACCTTGAGCTCAGAAACGTTGCCGTCGGCGACAGCACTATCACGGAACTCAGTGTTGAGGTTGAGAACATCCTCCAGCTTGTCATCCTCGGACAGAGAGTCCTTGTTCAGCAGGTAGTCGAAGTCAACCAGCTCAACGGGGACGAGCTCCTGCCCCTCGGTGGCCAGCCAAGTGACCTTCTTCTCGGTCTTCTTCACATCACCGCCGGGGTTCAGCTCGAGCTCAAGCGCAGTGACGACGCCAGAAGCATCAGTGGTGATCTTGCGGACGAAAGCATTGCCCCAGTTCATCAGGGTGATCTCCTCGTCCTGCTTGAAGAGCTTGACATCCTCCTGCTCAAGGAGAACATTGGAGCTGAAAGCAACCGTCTTCATGCCAACAGCAGCATTCTTGGCGTGCTTGGCCTTCTGCTCGGTGTACGGGGTAGCCGGGCCGTTGGTGATGCTAGCCTTGACGACGTCCTTGTTCACGATGGCAGTGTGGCGGGGCGCAACAGGGTCAATGTACTTCTTGTTGGTGGCCCAGACTGTAATTTTTCAGTGTTAGAACTGAACTCGATCATGCTATTTGCTAGTGGATCAAAGAAATACATACTGAGAGCCCAGTCGAAGAGAGTGACGGCCTTGGAGGGACCCTGCTTGAGGATGAATTCCCGGAGAGCAGGAATGGTCATACCGCGACGTCTGATACCGCGGATAGTAGGGAATCGAGGGTCGTCCCAGCCCCAGACAACGCCAGACTCCACAAGCTTGGTCAGCTTACGCTTCGACAGAAGGGTGCGGATGAAGTTCATGCGAGCAAAGTCCCAGACCTGGACACCGCGCAGGTTGAGGGCATCCAGCATCCACTGGTACTGGGGGTTGCGGTCACGGTACTCGCTTTGAACAACGTCAGCCTGGTTGATAAAAACTAATCGAATAGAAGGAACACATACATGGTACGCAGGGCGTGGGTAACACCCTCCATCGAATCGACGATAGGGCACTAAATAAATGAATTAGTCAAAAGGCCGAGGCCAACGGGGTTGGATGTGACATACCGCACTGTCAATCGTTAGTTATCCTTTCTCATTCATAGATTGAGCGGACAGAGCGGCTACTTACAAGTCATAGGTGGGGTAGATCTTCCACTTGGTGCCGGTTCGGTGGTGAGAAGCCGGGTTGCAACGGTAGATGACAGGGTCGCGAAGAGCCTTGTTCTTGTCATCCGCAGAGATCTTGGCACGAATGCACCAGCGGAGACCCTCAGGGGTGCCCTTCTTCATCTCCTCAAAATGAGTCAAGCTCTCCTCGGGAGTAAGCTCACGGCGCTGGCTGGGGATACCATCGAAACGCTGGGCCTGCATAGTCTCCTTGTCAGTGTCATCGGCGTAGGCCTTGCCAGCCTTAATGATCTCAAGACCATAAGAATAGCTGGGAAGAGTTAGTGAATTCTCATCCGGTTGGGAGTGGTGGTTGCAAGACTAACAGCTCATCGAAGTAGTCGCTAGTGTAGGACACCTTGTTGGGCTTGATGCCCATCAGAGCAAGGTCTTCCACGATCTATAAAATTGTCAGCAAGCTTCTCCGAAAGGATTGGGGAAACTGGTGAAACTAACTGCATCCTGGAACTCCTGCTTCTCGTTGGAGGGGTTGGTATCGTCGAAACGCAGGAGAAGAGTGCCGTTGTACTTCTCATGAGCAAAGTAGTCGTTGAGAAGAGCAGCTTTGGCCTGAAGAGAGTTAGCTTATGCTGTTCAGTATTTGACAATTAGTTAAGAGGAAATTTACATGTCCAATGTGCAGGTATCCACTAAAACGGATAGTTAGCCTTCTGTCACGTCAAGGGAGGGAATATGCAACTTACGAAGGCTCGGGAGGGAAGCGAGTGACGACTCCCTACATTGAGGCTCTTGGTTAGTTTTGCTATGTTCACAACAAGAAAGCCAATTTGCAGAATTGACAAACCTGCTCGGTGTTCTTCAGAGCAATATCGTAGCTAGCACCCTCCTTGGACTTGGCACTCTTCTTCTCCTTTGCGGCAGCGTTCAGAGCATCAACAGCACCAGCGGTCCAGGGACACAACTCCTCCAGGAAACGGTACCAACGTGTCAAGTTGACGAGAGAGCCCTTCTTCAAAGCAGCAACGGCAACACGGTTGCCTCGCAGAGCACCCCAAATCGCAATGTCTGGGGTCGAAAGAGAGTAGCCGCAGACGAAAGAACGGAGAAGAAGGTGGGTATCAAGACGCTGCAGGGTAGGGTCAAGCGCCTTGAAGTCGAGGGTAGCCAGGGAATCGAGCTGGGAAATCCATTCGGCCTCCTATGTCAAAAACTCGAGTCAGATACTATGTAGATTGCGTCCTTAGGTGGGGGTGACTCGCGAGCTTGGTATCCTTGCCGGAAAGGAAGGGGAAGGCAGAGCAGAGCTCGTTGATGCAGTCCAGAGTGCCGATGACAGACTTTCCGCTGGTAGTGAGCTGGACAATGGCCTTGTCTCCCCCGCTCAAAACCGCGGTATCCTCATAATTAATATCGATAACCGGAGCGGGACGAGCGGCGTTGAGAGAAGTCGCAATGAGCACAGCTGGGAGAAGAGCGGCGTGGTTCCCGCGGGTGGCCACGGTAAGCTGAAATTGGGTCATTTTGTAGGATTTCGCACAACAGGAAGATGTGTGAATTAACCAATTTGACTCCACGGTAAATTAATTTGACGGAGGGGTAGTCATTATCGCGATCGGTAGTCGGCCACACATTTATCCGGGCACCGGAAGCTTGCCGGCAGAAAACAGTTACATCTCCGTCTGATCATCCAACACCAGCCATGTCGTCCCTCGGCGTCACACTGCCCGCTGCGGCACGCAGCATTCTCTCGTCATGCCGATCGTCGATCCGGGAGGCTACCATTGTCCCTGCTTTCCCGGCCTTTCGTCAGGTTCGGGGTATGGGAAGCAATCCGCAAGCCAAGGGCAAGGGGAAGAAAGCAGCAGCCAAGACTTCTCGCCGCGGGCCCCAGGAATTCAGGCAAAAGAGCTTGAAGGATATGGAGCAATTTGCTTTGTGTGATGCGATGCGGTAAGTCCGATATTTGTTCTTCGCTGGCTAATTGCAGCATCTCGGTGGTTCGGGTTTCTGACGTTTTTTCTACAACAGCTATATTCGTGCCCTGGAGGTCGGCCGCAATCCCACATCTGTGAAATACGAGGCGCACATTCGCTTGCGAACGAGGAAAGATGGTCCCGTTATCCGAAACATGATCCGATTTCCCCATGCCGTCCAAACAGAATCCCGCATCTGTGTTATCTGTCCCCCGGACTCGAAGCAAGCGAAGGATGCGCTCGCTGCAGGCGCAGTGCTTGTGGGCGAAGAGGAGGTCTTTGAAGCTGTGAAGGCAGGCATAATTGAGTTCGACCGGTGTTTGGCTCACCCAGACAGTGTTCCGGCTTTGAACAAGGCTGGACTGGGTCGTATCCTCGGTCCCCGAGGCCTGATGCCCAGCGCCAAGGCCGGTACTGTTGTCGAAGACGTTGCTTCTCGTGTCGAGGATCTTCGCGGAGGTACCGTCTACCGTGAGCGTGATGCTGTCATTCGTCTTCCTATTGGTCAACTGGGATTCTCTCCGGAGCAATTGCGCGACAACCTGCGGACAACGATTGAGCAAATCAAGAAGGATGCCTCCGGTCTTAACGACCGTATCAACAAGGAAATCTACGAAGTGGTACGTGATTAGCTATGTCGCGATCTCTTTGAATAACCTGCTAACGATTGGTGCAATAGGTCCTGAGCTCTTCTAATGGCCCCGGCTTCAGCCTGAATGGAGAGTTTAAGACCGACGCCTCCCCCGAAACCTCTGCCTTGACCGGCGTGTAAAGTATTTGCTGTCTAATATTTCTATTGGCGTGTACAGATTTTGTTTTATTAGGAAAGGGCATGGTGTATCATGGTATCATTTCTATTGAATAGAGACTCCCACAAACCTGAACGCCGACGCTATGCATTTCCAGCCCGTATTTGATGCTGGGGCGATCTATACCTTCAAATTTTTTAGTGCTGCAATTGCACTCACGTCCTCGCCCATTAAGTCGTAGAGACGCAAGACCGCCATGGTTCTTTTATCTCGCGTGGCGACGGCCTGGCTGGCCTGCTCCAGCGCAGTCTTGAGATCCAACAGCACTGTGGATCTGATTTTGTTCTCGCGCGGTTGTTGTGCAAGAAGGAAGGGGTGCTTTTCACCAACCCGAGAAGCGATCGATGTGAGGACGACATATTTCTGAACATGGCGTTCAAGCCGTTTCAGTGACACAGGTGCAGCTCCATCTTCAAGCTCCTCTTCATCACTATCCTCGCTGCTGCCATCGTAAAAATCGGATTCGGTGGCGGATTCATCGGTGTCCATTGTCTTCTCCTCTGGAGTCGACGCATTCTTGATCATCAGTCGATGTTCCAATTCTTCCATCCGATCCGCATAGTCAAGCAAGTCCTTGCCAATGTCTGCATGCGCGCGCAGTTGTCGTTTCTGGTTCAACAGCCCATCCACCTCTCGTCGCCGAGCTTCCACTTTGTCCCGAATCGACTGCAGGTCTCGTTGAAAGGACAGTAGGCCCACTTTCACACCTTCAATCTTCTCCTCGCCTCCGCGTAGAGCTGTGCCCAGCGAGAGGAAGTCTTGGTAGTTCTCATTGACCAGATCCAATAGTTCCTTGTTCAGCGATTGCTCTAAACTCCGTAGTTCTTGCCGCAAATCCTCCAGGCTCTGATGTCGGTTGGTCAAGGATGAAAGAAACGTCGCCGGGTCGAAATCAGGGGCCAGAAAGGACACTCGAGATAGCGGCTCGGGGAAGGGGAGGCCAGAGGGGTCCTCGTCGAAGTCGGAGTCGGAGTCCGACCCATCAGGGTCACCAAACTGGCGGAATTAGTTAGCGTTCATGAAGATGTGCAAGTGGATTTGGAAATATGGTGTCATACATGGAACCGATTCATGGCCGTTGCACGCAACAACAAACAAGCAACAAGCAGTCGAGGTGGCAGATGCAGCGGAGTGATGGAGCGGGCCAGCCTAACGTGGCCGAGTCTTGGCGTCTGTTTGGGACGAAACCGCCTTGAGGTTCCATCCAAAGTAATCCTCCACCCCAAATGTCTCCCGGGCCTCCACAACTCACTTGCTGCCAGCGCATAGGAAGCGCATGCACCGCGCGCCTGCGACTTGGATGCACCTCTCCTCGTGAGTTGTAGCCGTGTGGCCTCCTGCAGACTTTCGAGATAACCGAAGCGGGGTATGCCTCCGCGCGCTGTCCTGCGAAGATAGTGCTGTGTCGCATTGGTGAGCGATGGATCCAGACGCCCAGGCCCCACGCTGGGATGGCAGTCGGATGTCCTCGTCGTCATTCCCTCGACACGGATGGTCCCGACTGTCTCCGCCCTACGCGCCCCCGGCGGGCGATGTAGGACCCTCCCACTATGCAAGCTGGCGCCCCTTCAATGCTGCAGCCGATGAACCAGATCCCGAGTCCCTTCTTCACACAACGTCCCTGCGTCAAATGAACCAAGATCTCCGGCACTTGTCTCGAAACAATCACAGCAACCCTCGGACTGACTCTAAACGACCCTCAACGCAACCCTCTCAACCGGTCCTGGTGCGCGCATACTCCGGCAATGCAGACGACACGGCTGTCAAGCCATCGACCATGTCACCTCGTCGGCTCTTCCCATTCACGACCTCGAAGAGCTCGGCTGCCTCCCGTCCGTCGGGGCCGCCGCTCCCAGCAGACAAGGAATTCAGTATCGAGAGCATATTGCAGGCCATCGAGCCCGATATCCGCGGCACATTGGACTCGATCGCCGAGATCTGTGGACGCAGCAAACTGAGTCTTGCCAATGAATATGGAAGCCATATTGCACCGTTGGGCGAGATTCGTGCTCCGCCCGGCGGCCTCGGGCCCGTGGAAGAGGCCAGCTCGACCGATGAACGACGTGCCGATGAAGGAGTAGCCATTTTTGATGGCGAGGCTGGTCTGATGGACCCGGGCCGAGAAATCCATCTGTTCTCTTTCTATCGGTATCTGGAACGTCTCCGGCAAGCTGCTTCTGTGCGAGAACACGATGGTACCACTGGCTTAGGCCTTTCCATACAGGCGGATATATCACGATCTGCGACACAGCTGGATGCTGTTCCTGTTGGAGACCTTCCAGTTCCGCAGCCGACTCGTGAATTTTTCTCCAAGTCACAGAGTGGCCGAGATCTTCTGGCGAAAAATGGCACCTCTGATCATGAGGACGGCAAATTCCGGAGCATTGCGACCTCTCTAGAAGTGCATCTTGATGCACAGGCAGATGGGCCGGAAAGTTCTACCGAACCCCTGTCGTCTGCATCAAGCTTACCCAATCCCCATCCTTCACGCTCAGCGCCCAAAGCATCATGGTATGCGCCAGAGGCGGTTCGCTCTGTGCTAGGCTGGTTGAGATGGACTGCTTGCTTGGCAGAGCCTGAATCTCAACCGGCGCTGCAGTCTGCTGAAAGTCGACTGCGCGCCATGCTTGAACGAACCACCGATGATAGTGCCATCTGACTTCGGGACCTCGGCCTGGGTCGTGCAGATATAGATCCGAACTATAACGATTTTACGAACGCGTCGTCTCATTCAATGATTCCTTTTATTGGTTCTTTCTAGCAAGTTCATATAATACTTATAAGATGGAATCGCCTCCAAATTAACGTTGTCTTTTAATGAAAACGATTGCTGAACCACTCCGCCCGTTCTTGGCTTTCCAGGTATCCAATAGCACTTACATTCAAACTCCTACCTGGAGCGGCACATAAGGACAATGGTAGATGTGATATTCTGCTCTGCACATAAATAACCTGCACCGATTTTACCCGTTTCTTTACCCCGAGCCATTAGCCATCAAGTTACGGTGTAGGTGACGAGGCAGCTAATTGGATAGGTGACCGGGCAAGGAGCCCGGTATAAAGTAGGTCATAGGCTATTCAATATGGTAAGAACGGGGTAATTTTGAAATGGAAACAAATGGAGAGATATCCACATGCAACGCCTGAATCAATGCGATGTAATAGTATAAGTTGGATATTGTAAACAACAGGCCTGACAAACTTTTCAGTCGCATTCCAAGCGAATGCTCTAAGATGTCCGATCGGTATGTTGCACGCCTCCGATGATAGTCTTCGCAAAGTCTTCAAATCGCGGATATGACCAGCCGTCCTTATATCGTTCAACGAGTGGCCTCAAATCTGGTTCGGCAGGAGGCTGTGCTTCTTTCCCCTCGTCCTCTTCTTCCTCATCTTCGTCATCACTCGCAGGCTCCATTTTGCCTTCGACCAATTCCCCAAACTTCACATCTACGGGCACTTTGCCCAGGAAAGGAATGCTCAATTGCTGCGCCATGACCTCGCCGCCACCACTGGAGAAAAGATTGCTGACCTCCCCGCAGCAAGGGCAGGCATATCCAGACATATTTTCAATAACACCCAGCACAGGAATACTCGTTTTGACACAGAAGTTCGCTTCCTTGCGTACATCCGACGTTGCAACCGCCTGGGGTGTCGTTACGAGCACCGCGCCCGTGAGTCTAGGCATATTATTCTGTGCCGCAAGTGCCGCATCCGCCGTGGAGAGTGTCAAAAGCTGCTCCGCCAAAGCGATATGCTCGTCACTGGTACCAGGAGGCGTATCAATGAGAAGATAGTCTGTCAAACCCCAGGCCACATCGGACAAAAATTGGCGAATCATAGCTGTTTTCTTGGGGCCGCGCCAAATAACGGCATCGCCCCGATCGCGGAGAAGGAAACCGAGGGACATGCATCGGAGAGAGCCACGGGGATGTGATGAGGATGAAGAGGTCGCATCTGTTGGCTGCGCGGCATCATGGACTGCAACTGGAAGCCATCCTCCCGGCGACTGCGTTATTTTTGCGCCTTCGAGACCGACTAGTCGCGGGATTGAAGGGCCTGTCAAATCGATATCGAGAATTCCGACGGATTTGCCTTGAAGAGAGAGCGCCAGCGCGAGTTGGAGGGTCACTGAGGATTTGCCGACGCCTCCTTTGCCGGAAAGGACCTATCATCCCTCTCAGTTAGCTCTGTAATCCTTCAGGCACATCGTCAAGTGAATTATGCCGCGCAAGACTTGCATTCGCGCCTTCGTTATCGATAAGAGGCTGGTGAGGGGCAAAGTCTGCAGTGGCGTTGCTTTCGAAGTCTTCGGCAAGGCGCGCATTCTGCAAGCTAGGGTAGACCTACTAGGACGATATTCTTCACCCCGTCGAGAGGCATCTTTGCGCAGTCAATATTGGTGCGGAAAATTGGAGAAAAGCAGAAGGGATCCTGTTAAGGTTCAAATGTAGAGGTGGGGGCCGATGTTCGGATTGCTTATCAATCGCCCTCTGACTAAAACAACGACCGTCTAGTTATGGACAAATGAGACGCTTCTACGAGATTGGAACATGGATCATTGGGTAGAATTCTCTTATTACTAAGATCAATATAGTCTACCTAGATTTAATGTGCTTCACGTCTTGTGTGCACTGCGTGTATCATTAAGCGTCCGTGGAGATCTATCCAGCGACAACTCGTTTTCGTGACTCCCGACGGCAAGTAGAGCAAATGACATGGCGCTCTAGGTCCATTTCTGAACAACCACGCCTCCGCGCTTGAACTCGGGCAGGTCACCAAGGGTGACAGCCCGGTCGTTCAGTTCCTTGCTCGGGAATGTAGTCATTAGCACCCAGGAGCGGCTCTGACTATCGGGGGATGCGGCAGCAACGAATGAATAGACATCGCCCATTGTCGCAGTGGTGTTGAAACGAGAAGTCAGACGAGTTCCGTCGCCCAGGCGAATTTGAAGAGTAACTGCGGGTTGCGATTCATCCACCTGGGGCTCGGGGGGCCACCACTCGACTGGGCGGGAGCGGCGGGGGGTGCAGATGGCTGGCTCTGGATACCAGGAGTCGGGCTTCCAAGACGCTGGCCAGCGCCAGAGAAGGGCTTGTACTTGGGCTTCGGTTTGGTGAATTTCTCTTCGTGTTGCTTCAATTCAACGTCCACTTCCTGTCCTGCCTGAACATTCATAATCGTCAGAGGGGCGCGACCCTGGCGGATACCCTCAAGAATCTCGGCGTTACGAGGATCGTCGGATCGATAAAGATCACCATCGTCAACCGAGAATCCATCGGCCCAGAAGTGGAGGGTTCGCTGAACGCGCTGGGCACGCTCTGGTGCAGGGCCGGCCAGGTCTTCAACTACACGGCTTGGGGCGTCGTCGCCGCCGAGGGTGCGCGCGGTGCCGGTGAAATGAGAAGGACGCGATTGAGGTTCGTCTGAAGGCGGGGGCTGGGCCCTATTCGCTCAGAAATTAGCACCAGAGTCATAGATCACTAGTTCGATGTTCCACAGCTTACCGTCGAGCCTTTTCGAGAATCTTCTTCTTGAGATCGTCCGGGTTTTGCACAGCCAGTCCGGACTTCTCTCCTCCCGCAAAGAAATCTTGATCCACCGAGTCATCGTCATCCGACGAGTCGTGGCCGCCGTCTCCCGTAGAAAAATCCCCCAGTGTCGCAAACTTCTTTTTGGGTGCCGAGAGGCGGGAAGATGACGAAGCCTCCGGAGCAGCCGAAGTAGCTGTAGCAGCACCTCCACCCAGTGTACGGCCTCCTCCAGGTGCATTAGAAGATTGTTCAGTGCCGAGTTGTCGGCCACCGCCTGTGTTCATTTCCTGTAAGGCCTCATCTTGCTCCGCGAAGAACTCGGTTACAGCCGCTTCGATGTCGCCGTGGTTGGCTGCCAGGTATTGCTGGGCCTAGAAAAAGACATCCGTACGTAAGGCGACTGATGTGAGTGTTCTGTGGAGTTTGTTATCTTACCTGTTCAGGCTGTGTGCCTGTCATAGCACAGAACTGAGATACGACCTCATCGTGCTCTGCGGGGTTGTGGTCCATGTTCGAGCTTGTTGATAGCTCTAGATTCAACGGTAAGCAGGTTCGAGTTTCGCAATAGTTTTCAAGGAAAATAAAACAGGTGTTTCAGGTTGTGTGATGTGACGAAGAGGTGTTTTGGAGAAGACAGCCAGCAGTGATGGATGAGCCAGCTAAACAGCCGCGGGCAGGTACGTCACTGCAATTGGTCAGCCGGAGCGGAGGATCTTCCGGTCGACGCCTGAGGCCGACAACGGCCATTACTGTAGTGTGCCTCAACACTTTTTGCATTTTCTTCCATTCATGATTGATCAAAATTAGATACGGGTATTTAGGGGGAAACTGAGCTTGTACACATTTATTTAGGCATGATAGTACATTCCGGCCTCGAATTCACAGCTTTGCTAGAGCTCGGTCTTGAGTGGCCTGGGAAGTATATAACTATGCGTGCACACTAGTGTAGTGTATTCACCTATCCAAAACAAACACCTCGCAGTGTTTCCACAACTATGTGATCACATATTACCAGTGCTACTATTTAAATATATGTGACTCCATTTTAGAAGTGTGAGCAACGTGAAATTTCCTGGCTCTGCTAAGAAGACATGTGAATGTGAAGTATTTTCCTCAGTTCAGACGTTGTCTCGCTCTCATCCCACTACTTTACCTTGGATTCCGAGAAGCCTGACAGGTAGAGCACGGCACCGAGCTTGAGAAATCTCAAGGATGTTGAGAAGGTTCCTTATAATATGCAACGCAAACACATGCCCTTATACTGCATTAGAGTATGCCTGCTAAGACGCGATGCCCAGGTATAAGCTGTGAGAAAGGGGGTATTGTAGTTATTCAATTGAAACGTGGCGGTTTGCAATATACCAACTATCTATTGCCATAGTAAAGAGAAAGATGCTATTACACAATGTACCGTGGATTACACCTCAAACATTGTCACCTCTGATCTGGCCATTAGCCTCTTCCCCGTCTCAAGGCCCTGAAGCAGTAACCAAGCAATATCGCTTACCTAATCCGACCCACAGAGGAACACCTCCATGGCGGGTCCCAGGTTAACCATCCCGTGCCTCTCGCCGTCTCGATCTCCGTTGTTGACCCCTCGCAATACCTGTTATCCTTCTGTGGTCATGGCCTCCCACTCTGCTGGCTCGCGAACCGAGCTCTTTGACTCCGCCGTCGCTGTTCCCTCCGATTCGGAAAACTACTCGGCAAACAACGAGATGACTTCGACACAGTCGGAGTCTCCATCAAGCTCCAGTTCTAGTGCACCTATGATCCTCTACCAGCCTCCTAGCATCTGGGGTCTCCTGCGTGGTGCTGCGATCAATTTATTCCTTCCCTTCGTGAACGGCCTGATGCTGGGATTCGGCGAACTGTTCGCCCATGAAGCGGCTTTCCGCCTGGGATGGTCGAATACCAAGGTACGTCGCATATAGATACAACATCATATCCTATTCGATTTGTTCATCCATTAACGGTAAATCACTCTCAGATCTTCCCGACTTATCGCCGTGCACACCCCGTGGGCCCGGGTGTCGAGATTCGCGAGCTTCCGTCAGAGCGCCGTAGGATCTTGAACGATACAGCCTCTCTGGAGTGAACATTGTTGATTCACTCAGCCACCTCATATATTGCAACACGTCTTTTTTGCGAAGTCCCAAGAGCTGCATTCGCCTGGGAAATACAAAAGCGGCATATTTTTGATTTGAGTGATACCTGCCGTACCCCGTTACATGGACTTTTCTTTTTCTTTTTCTTTTTCTTCATGTACATAGAGTACTCAGATGGCGCTTGGTGAACTGGAAAATACGCGAATTTTTGAAAGAATAAAACCAAATATCCCCTGGTAGCGAGCTGTACGCTGAATGACCCCATGTATCTCGCGCAGTCTGAACCCGCAGTTGCGACGGCTGTTTACCCGTCTTGGCCGCCCGGCAGAAAAAGTCTCCCCGACAAACGCAGGAGACTCTACTCTCCGCTACCGCAATCCGATCTACGTTCGTTATAACCACAAAATGATGGGAGCTGCCGGCCTGAAAGGGCCCAGTGCGGCCGCCGTATTTGCGCAGCAACGGCTGACCGCAGTGCCTCGATCCTATCGATCGGTTAGTCTCGTTCCTGGCATCACCCGTCGAACATCGAAATTGACTGATTCCCTGCCCAGATCTCGACTTTCCGATCACAGCACTCGCGAATTACCACCCGACCGGGCCAATTGGCCTCAGGTCTTTCTGGAAATGCTCCCTGGCGGACCGCGTCCATTGCTGCTGGACCGGCTGCTGTCCGTTTTAACTCGACTTCCTCCAGCGAGACACCTGCTTCTACCTCGGAACCCATTGCGTCGGACGGAGCATCGCAGGCCACCGACCTCCTCTCTTCTGATATCAGTTCGATCCCCGAGCACCTTGGATACCTGAAGGAGCTTGGACTGGATTATGGCATCGGTCCTTCGTCGATGATCGAGTGGTTGATCGAGCATATCCACATCTGGGGTGGTTTGCCATGGTGGGCTAGTATTGTTGGCGCGGGTGTCGCTGTTCGCCTCGCGCTGCTCAAACCTATGCTTGATGCCTCGGACAACGCCGCCAAAATGCACAACATGAAACCCCAGAGCGAGCCTCTCCGAGCGGAGATGACGCGCGCTATGAAGGAGAATAACCAGATTGAAATGCAGAAGAAGAGAGCCGAGCTGTCGCAGCTCAACAAGGAACATGGTGTCAGTGCTTGGAAGAGTCTTGTCTCCATGTTGCAGATCCCTCTTGGATTCGGTACTTTCCGAGTTGTGAGAGGCATGTGCTCTCTTCCCGTTCCGGCCTTGCTGGACGAAAGTCTGCTCTGGATCAAAGATCTTACAGTGCATGACCCGCTTTATATTCTGCCGGCGCTGAGCTCAATGATGATGTACTTTACATTCAAGGTTTGTGATTTGCCCATGTTTGACTGAGCTATATAACCCAACTAACGTCGATCATAATAGCGCGGTGGCGAGACCGGCCTCTCGGACATGTTCAATACAAGTATGGGCAAGACTATACTGATAGGTCTGCCGACGCTTTCTTTCGCCTTCATCGCGACCATGCCAGGCGCCCTTCAGCTCTACTTCTGTGCCACTGGTGCTTTCGCCCTTGCCCAGGCCTATGTGATCAATAACACAACCATCCGCACGATGTTGGGCATGACCATTCCTAGAAAAGTCACTGCTAATTCTGCAGCTGGAGCGGAGACTAGAAACTACCTGGCGGAGCTTCAGGAGCGCGTGAACAAGCGCCAAAAGCAACTGAGGGAGGAATACAAGAACGCTTCCGAACCTGCAGAGCCGAAAGAAGTCAGCAAAATCGACAGCATGATGTCCGGCGTCAGTAGCCATTTCAAGAAGGTGGCGGGTGAGGTCAATGACACTATGCGGGAAAAGATGGGCCAGGGTCCAGCCAAGAATGCTGATGGCTCCCCCGCTGCGCCGCCGCGTCTCACTGATGCTGAGCGAAGGAAGGCAGAGGAATATGAGAAGGAGCAGCGGTCCCTCGATGAGTACCGTCGCGCGGAGCGCAACCATGCTCGTCGGAAGGCCCAAATGCAAGCCCTTCGAAATGAGCGGGACAAGGCCCAGGCTTCTCTGAAGCGGCATCAGGACGCTGCCAAACAGCAGCAGTCCCAAAACCGGAAGTGATCTCTATCAGCATGTATAAAGTGTAAATTATGGCGCTGTGCTTGGCATTTGTGTTTTCATGTATTCCAGGGTTAGATCTACGTTCAACCACACTCCACCACAATTAGTGTATATTAGCTTTGACTTGCAATAGAGGTGACTGGAAAAAGTGCTACGTATTAGTAGAAACAAGTAAGCGAGATTAAGATCACAACGGTATGTCGTATTCCAATCCAGTTACAGAACAATATACACAGCTTTAGTGTACATGAAACAGAAAATGTAACTGTCGGCGGTCTTCATGTTGTGCGCATAGGGACCGAAGTAGAGGGCAAAGGCAACGCAGCCTTTTCGTCCTCCTCGAAAACAGCCCTCTCAAGCTTCTGCGTCATCGATGCACAGAATGTATCGACGTATGCAGTCCACACCGCTGCACAGGCATAAACAATTCCGATCCAAATGGGAATACAAATGGATACGACCCACGGCGGGCGTAGATGCAACCACTCTCGATCATCCTCAGTCGCAGCCTCGCCTCCCTCCCAGGGCTGACCACTGATTCCATAAAGCATCCAAACCAGCACCACACGCAGCAAGGTGCCGTGAACGAGGTAAACCGCGAAGCTTTGTTTTCCGAGCCAGAGCAGCAGGCGATTCGAGAGAAATTCCTTCGTAGAAGGTGATACGTAAATTGCGAGAATCATCATGTCAAGTCCGAGGGCTGAATAGCGTTTTCCAATATTGACATCTGGTGGGAAAATGTACTCGGACGCCTTGAACATGATATCAGACCATGATGCCCATTCTGGGTGCTCGCCTGGATATGAAGCAACGAGGAGTCCAAATATCGTTAGTGGAATGGAAATCATCTTGCGACCGTATGGGTGGTTCTCGATCCAGCCTCTAACCGTTGCGTTGTAGGACATGTCGCTGAGTAGCATGCCATAGACAGCTTGCATTTGGAACGTTTCTGTACGAATTATGTCAGTCGTTCCATTTTTGAAATGAGAATGGTTCCAAAAAAAAAAAAGAGATCCTTACCTGTATCAGGTGCAGCATCTTGATGGAAGTATAAAATCATGCCGATGTAAACCACCATCCTGTATCGGAATCGCATGAACATGGTGGCAAATAGCAAGAGATAAATCAGCATCGATGTCTCAAGCAGAGGCAAAAGAGCCCACTGGTGGTCATCATAGACCATGTATTTAGTGGTCCAAACGGACAGAAAGTTCTCGCCCAATCGAATAATCTCCTTCCAAAGCGAATCCTCCACTTCCGGAGCAGCATAACGGCACCACCAACAATCTGATCGATTGGCAACAGTGAATGCACCAAACTGGGCAACGGTCCACGAGATAGCCATAGCAATTGCCGCAGGGAAGATCAGGCGCGGGGGTCGGCGGAATGCGCTTTTCGAAATAGTCGTAAAGGAGCCCATGATATCGCCTCCTCGGGATAGTTTCAGTGGCTTCAAGGCGCAAACGTACCCAGTGAGAAAGCCAAATATTGTGACGCCGATTCGACCTTGCCATGGAATGCGTAGAATCGGCCATTGTAGAATTCGAGGTGTTGCATCTTCATTGTCTCTCGGGGAGAAAAGTTCGTAGTCCCAGCCACGAGCGAGGTGGGTGAGGATTACGATGAACGAAGCGATTCCGCGGAGGCCCTAGAAACAGAACGCATGTCGTTAATGTATAGAACTCATCTTCACCAAGATTTCACATACGTCAATCCATTTGACACTTTTGCGCGGGTCGCCTTTGGTCGACGTGCCTCCTTGGTTCCCCAGAATGACGGCAGAAATCGGAGCGGGCATAGATGGCGTGGGGAGATTGTCTCGCAAACGAGTGTACAGGTGGGAGGCCTGGAAATACGCCATGGTGACGGCTGGTCCCAATTGAATCAGTCAAGTCACAATCATTTATGGCGTGAAGAAGGTGTCGAAGCTGATGGTATCAAGAGCGGCCAAACCGGCGGAAGAAAGTCGTCGAGGGAGGCGGGTGATGCTGCGAGAAGTGAGTCCCCAAGTGCGTAAGGACTGACGCTGAGAAAGGAATAGCTTCCCCTCCCTCTCAAAGGGGCGGAGATAATAGAAGAGATAGTGTGTACAGGAATATCCTCCTGCTGGAAGAACCAATCCGCCAAGAAAGAAGGGGCTACAGAAGAAGCAGGCTCTGACGCGACACAGACAAACTTCGAAAACCTGCCGAAGGGCTCTGTTCCCGATGTAAATAATACATCGAGAAATAACGAACACCCCTCTAGGGCTACGATAGCGCGATCTAGAGCCCAGTGCAAGTCATATCTACGCGGGCTAGAGCCGGCTGGATGTGTTTATGGACATCGTCATGAGCGAGGGGTATCGCGTCGTCGATGGGATTGGTATGCCAGGAGGGTGAGGGCTTGCCATGCAGAAGGTTCGAAGGACGCGGGTGGTGTTTGGCCCTTGCAGCAAGTAACATACTACATTTTAATATTTTATGGACCAGACCGGGTTAGCCCAGCGGGCGGCGATCTGCTTATTGGGCTGGGCGATCCACTCTGGGCAGTTTATCTGGATTCGGCCGTGAGCTTATATGGGATTGTGGGGTTGGACCCTGGACCCTGATTTCGGATAGCATCTCTGAGGGGGTTGACATAGTCTTGTTTGGGATAGATTAGAGCTTGCTGCTTGTTCCTGGAAGGATGAGAATTGGACATTTTTCCACTCCATGCGAGTCTGTTCCTTGCCAAGGAGTGCTGGCCTCCTAGATCGACAGATGAATCAGATGCACTGGAATGTGCATTCTAAATTTGGAATTATGCTACGTAGTACACCAGCCGAGGTGCCGATAAATAGCAGTATGGAATGTAGCACGCCACTGGAACACTCATATTGAACAGAAGGGGCACATAGCAGAAGCTGGCAATAAAATCAATGGTATCAAGTTTTGTGTCATGAAACAAAAGAAAACAGCGAATGAGAACAGCCCGGTAGTGCCTTTAACGGAAGAGTCTGCGACCACCGACACTGCCAGAATTCCATGTAAAAGCACCTCTAACACCGAGATTTTCCAGACTCAGTCCCGAATAGCCAACGCCGCCGCCTTCACCGTCACGCTTGATGCGTCGCACCGCCTCACGCAAATGCGAGGGAAGAAGTTGGCCGCGGTGGGGATTAGGAGGAGGTCGGAATTCCTGGCGAGGCCGGGCGGGGGCAGGGCTTCCTGCTGAGATATGGGCGAGATTTGGGTCAGATGGCTCTTTCTTGACTCCATTATTAATAGCAGACTCAGAGCCCGGCCCCGGGATGGGAGTCCCCGACTGTGTAGGCGTCGCTGTCTTGGACTGCGCAGCGGCACCGTCAGCTCGAGCTTGAGCGACCTGTTCGGCAGCTGCCTCCTCGGCTTCAAAAGCGTGACGGGCGGCGAGATCGTGAGCATCCGCCCACTCAGCTTGGATGGTTCGTGCCTTCTCGGTGATTTCACCGGCGAAAACTTTGGTAAAGCCATTGACGGTCGTGACGACGCTAGCCGGAACAGACTGTGAGAGCGCGTGGTTGACAATGCGACGGAGCGACTCTTTTCGAAGCTTAGCCCGCTTGAACAAGTTGTATCGATCTGATTGTTCACGATTGAATGCATCCACCAGGATCCTGTACATTGAAAAAAAATTCCAGTTAGTTACTTGGTCAAATCCTTTCGTAGTAAGAGGGACATCATACGCAAGATTCTTCTTCTCGGCCTCCGTATCAGTGGTACCCTCTTCTCGACCCAAAAGCTCTCCCTCATCATCGTCATCGTCGTCATCGTCATCCGCATTTCCTGCGCCGCCGCCGCCTCCCATACCGCCCCTCACAGAACCTTCGGCATCAACCGATCCCATCCGCGTTGTATCGCCAGCTCGGGAACTCAGCGCATCCTCACGCTCGCGCTCGCGCTCCTTCTCCGCCTTGCTCTTGCGACCGCGCTTCTTGCCTCGTGCTGCACCCGCAAAGACACCGTCCGCGCTTGTTCCACCCATGCTTCCGGTATAGCTTCCTGTCACGCTGCCGGCATCGCTGGTTGCGCCGAAGCTGCGCTCCGCTGTGTCCATGTTCGCTGGGAAGGAAGTTTGGCGGAGTGGGTGCACGCGCGCTTTCTTTCCTACCGGTTGCGAGGAGACTGAAGAAATGGAAGGCCGCTTTAAAGGATTGGGCGATTGTTGGTAGGGCGGTGGTGAGGACATCTTGACGGTGGGAAGGCCTAGGTATTTTTTTAAGAGTTCGTTCGAAGTGAATGTTAACTCCTGGGAGGAGTGGGTTCCGTCAAGGTCGAATCCGTTCTATTGAATGAGACGTGACGAAAGATGGAAGGAGACACGGGCGCGCGGGTTTCACTGCTGCGGAGCCGGATTCAGGAGATCGAGAGCAACATCGGTGTAGCAGGAGATGAGGAAGTATCCGGTATCGGTTCACTTAAATTTCGAATTTCAGACAACGGTGTAGGGTGATGGCCAGCTGCTCGGTAAACCGAAAGTCCACTGTCGCGCGATATAGTGAAGGTCAATCCGATACCGCGAGCTGCCACCAATCCGCGACCCTCCCGTCACCGCCTTCTGTATTCAGATAATAGGTACAACGTTATGGCCAGGGTATCTACAGCTTGAAGCGAACTCGGCATATTCGACTAATTGGCGTTTATAAGTTACCATACAGTCTCTCTACTTGGGTAAAAAAGGGTTTGATGGCAAATAATAACATAAAAGTGCATTATGAAAAGAGAATGGCTGGAAAAGTCACAGGAAAAAAGCCCCGAAAATCGCTGATGGAGTCCAGCTGAAGCATCAATAAGGGAACGAGACGCTTGGTGCATAAATATGCAATGATGCCTATGATGTAAAGACAGGAAGGGGCAAAGTACACATAAAGAGAACTTAAAGTTGAGAAGATAAAAAGCTGTGCAAATACGTCGAGTATAATCGACGGGCTAGCACAATAACTGGAAGAGGCCGGCCAGAGGAGAGTAAAACTGGCGGGAGTCCGAAGAGCTCAACGAGAGGTAGAGCTTTTAGAACTTCTCTCCGATCCGGGGTGCCCCCCTTCCAGTCGTTGCGCTCATAGTAGCGGAACACAAGATCGTAGCCATTCAAATCGTGCACAATACGGTCGACACGGCGGTAGCCTTCGACATGCTCCATCTTGGGGCTGCGGCGCAAAGCCTGGCGTTGCGAGTGAGCGGCCTCGTGGAAACCGTTCACGTCGGCATCAAGCTCCTCAGCAGAGGGCTTGGTCTCGAACAAGGTGATGCTGAAACGACCAGGCTTGAAGATGTTGACAACCTGCTGGATAATGTCGTGCGTGGTCTGGCCATTCTGAGAGTGCGGCACATTGGTCTCGAAGGACGCGTATGAGCAGTGCGGCTCGGGGGTGACATGCACGGTGAAGTAGTGGGTCGGTCCCTTGTTCTCCGGAGCAGGCACAACACCGTTGGCGGAGAAGCCACAGGGCGTGAAGAGGTACGCATCGATGCGCGCATCGGGGAACTTGGCCTTGGGGTACACGTCCGAGAGACCGCACGATTCCGAGACCACAGTACCGAGAGCATGACCCTCCGTGGTAAGTTCCGGCGGCAAGATCCCGCTGTCCTTCATGTCCATGTCATCTGGATCAGAGCAGTTGCTGAAAACATCCAAATGCTCAACACCTTCCTCCTTGTCAAAGTTGCGGTAGCGCTTCTCGGCCACAGCAGTGGCATTGTCCAGATAGAACTGCTTCGCATTCTCCTCGTCCAAATCAGTCATCAGAACCTCCAAAGTCTCATCATGCTCGTCACAGTCGGCGGAGACAGGTGCGCTCTTGGGGAATTCGAGGACCTTGGTCTCGGTTTCAACAAATTCTACCTCCTCTTGAGGGCTCGCCGGTGGGGTGAGCAGAGTGTGAGGCTCAGTCAGGTAGAGGTACCAATGCTCGCCGTTCATCTTGCCGATCATGTAGGCGCTGCCATTAAGGAACAACTTGTCCATGGTACGAACTTCATCACGCCAGCTGCGGTGAGGGCCGCGCTGACGGTCAGGGAACAGGAAGTTCTTGCGGCTGTAGAAGACCCGGTAGGGAGCCGCAGCGATGGTAATTCCGCGAGATGCGGGAGCCGTGGCGCGCGGGAAGCCTGCGAACAGAGCAGCGATCTCCAAGATGCGAGGGAGACCAGACAACAGAGTAGTGGTGCCGCAGGTCTTCAGGATCAGCTTGTGTGGCCAGACAAACATGCTAGACTCGGACAGCAGATAGGCATCGGCGTCCTCGGAGGAGACAATGGAGAGAACTTGGCAGTTGACAAGGTCGAGCATGTCCTTCCAGATGTCGCTGGGGACCTTCTTTAGGCCCTCAGGACCAGCAGGGCCGAGCTCAGAGGCCGATGGCGCAAACCACACCTCGAGAAGCTTTTCGGGACCTGGATTTGAGAGCTGGTTAGTAATTGTGCATATTCGATAGCATGGTGATGTTGACTAACCTTCGAAGGCATTGGTGGAGTCTAGGTCCTGAGTGGCCTCATAGTTGATGGTCAGAGAAGGCGTCCCGGCAAACGAGGACGGCGAGGTGGTGTAATTCTTCGGAATACCGACGTAAACCATTTCCGTGTAATGATGCAGCCGAGGCTGGAACCTTTTGAACACTGAACGGAATGAAGAAGGTGGAGGAGACGTCGGACCGCCCTAGGAACCGTGTGATGGAGACAAAAGGCTTTAGAAGCACTGTCTACTTACCCAGACGAACAAGGGGGCGGTGCCCGTCTGAGAAGAGAAGGCCCTTGGGACAGAAAATAACTGGCTGACAGACCAGCGAGATGTAAAACCCGAACAGACCTGAAGGGCCGCTAGGGAGGGAGAAACGCGAAGGCGAGGAAGAAGATCGTACAAGGAATGGTGACGATCAGTCCGGTACCCTCGTGCTGGAAGATACCGATACCGGTGAAAGTATCGGGTCTAGCAGACGAGAGTATCTGCTCTGGTAGAAGGTAGTGGGAAAAGGTGGTGGCGGAGAACGACTTGCGTGAGTCGTGTTATCTAGGCCTGGAGCGGGAAAGCAAAGTCAGTAACGACCATGGAGCTCGGAAGATAGAAAAGGTAGAAAGTAAAAGGCAAGGGGGGGAAATCGTCAAGACCCAATTGCTTTTGTACAAAAGCAAGTGCTGTGGTCCGTTCGGATCTATCACAGCCAAACGGGAACACGATCTGCATGTTGCAGATTGTTGTAGGACAAGAAACAATGGGGCCATAAGAATATGCATAGCACACGTACTTCGCAGGCTTGGACAGGAATCGCAGAAGAACCTTCGGGCTCATAGAAGGCGGGCAAGAAAGTGCCGACTTAGTATTGCACGATGTCGCGCGAGGCCACAATCGTGAACATTCGTGAGGGGCAAAGAAAAAAATGGACACGCGAATGTCGGTCAGACTGTGCAGAAGCCCAAGTCTAGTGCCCGAGTGCAATTGATTTCTCCGGGCGCAGGTCGAGACGGATCAGGGCTTGCTCTCTCGGGTTTAGTTGGTCAAAAATTCCGCCGGTAGTCGATTTGAAGACCTCGAGAGGAGGGGTGACAGCTGCAAAATGTTTGCCGTACTGAACGTTTTCGTTGGTAATGAGCGATTTTATCTGTGGGCCCGGGCTCGTGGGGCGCGATCAAAATCTGACATCAGGGAATGAGCGCCTCCGTTAGTGGTGTTCGCCTGCAGTCGAATTGACGACCGGAACTGGGGACACGTTACACACCGGAAGAGCAGCACGAGAGAGGTAGAGATTTCGAGTAGAAGACAACGAATTCTGAACAGAGCGAAAAAAAGAAGAGGAAAAGGCAAAGTGAACGCGAAGGCAATCTGAATCGGGCCTCACACGAGCGGTGAGGAGCGGCAGAACTGGGGGGTGGAAGTACCTCTTCGGGGAAAGTACGGCTGGGAGGTACCGAAGGTTGGTGCCTGGCGGAGCGCGACGATCGACGACGGGAACCGCCGCGATAGGCTGGTCCGCACGCGGGGTTCGACAATTGGAGTCCCGAGCACCTCTTTTTATGGAAAACCGGTCGAGTTGAGTAATTACATACCTCGATCGCGGGGCCTAGAATCCGCCATGGGAAACGTCATTGTCATAGCTACTCCAGGGATCCTCCTCAACGCCGACTCAAGAGCGAATACAGTCTACCATACACTTTGCAATCGACAGGAATATGGAACGTCCTGATCCTTTCGTGAATATTGAATCACATCAAGTTTCTTTGCCACCCCTTTCACGCCATTGGAACATGTTTTAAGATACACAGGAGCAAAAAGAAAGAGGTGCAAAATAAAAATTAAAAAAAAAAAAAAATAAAACTGAGCCTCTAGGCTTCCAGGATGCAATGGGCCAATTGGACTTCGTTGGCCTCGGCAATGCGAGTCGCGATCAGATCGCCCACTTTTTCGGTCAGTTTAGACCGCAATTCATCAGTCACAGCTGCAGGATGTCCATTCGCCAAGGCAGGCTGGCCAGCAAGCAGCGACGTCAGCACGGCCACGAGGGCGTTCAGAACGCGTTCGGCGGCTGGTCGACGAGCTGAATCTTCGACACCGTCGCTGAGCAATTTGGCGTAGTCGCTGAGATTGGGGATAATCAGCACTCGCACCACCTCCGCTCCGCCCACGGCTTGCATTCCGATCACGGCTCCGTAGTGGGAACCAAATGGCTTGGACGGGTCTAGGAAGGTCTTCAGGCACGATCGCACGAGACGAGGCTTGAGCATGTGGGAGGAGTGGGAGTATTTCTTCGCGATGTGTCCGAGAAGGCTGGCTGCGAGGTCGCGCAGCGCGAATTGCTCGGCCAGATCGGGGGTGTTACCGAGTTGCCGGCCGATCAGGCAGGTCAAGATAGAAGGTACAAGGGAGGGGATCTAGGGCCATGTCAGTGTCGTTCAGACAAAGAAATAAAATAGGGATAAACTCACATAAGGGTCGACGTAGAGTGATGAGTTCTGCACCAGGGCTTCGGCCATGTGCATCACCTGGGTGAGGGTGAAGATGCTGTTGAGGTTATGAGTGACCTTTTCAGCAATGAACTGATTGAAGTATGGAACCAGCTGGTGCAGGCCCGGGTCCTCGCGCAGACTGGAATATCCGGATGTTCGGAATTCCTCGCTGTTCGCATCCAAGATAGCGCTGCACACCTTCTCAAAGTACAGTTGCAATTCCTTCGAGAGCACATGCTTCACCAGCGGCTTTACGGTTACATCTCCAGTACCGCTCATGGCAGCCAGTGTAGAATTGGCGTTTGGTCCCTTCGATGTAAGTTCGAGATTGCGAGAGTCGGACGAAGAAGGATTCTGGGGAATCGAGGGCTGCACGCCTTCCACGGCGAGCCAGTGGCCTGTAGACAAGAAAGAAGATTAGTCGCCATCATTGTACAATCGTAAAGGAGTATAGACTGACCAGTGAAAGTTACTTCGCGAGGAACCTTGGGTAGGGGCGCGTTGATCAGCTTCTCGAAATCCACCTCTTCATCCTCAACGTAGAACAGGGGCTGTCCAGGCCCCAATGAAGCCTCACCGAATCGCAGAGGACGCAGGGATTCGTACCCATAGAGAGGCTCGACATCGAGGTTTCGCAACGCAAGAGAGATGTCTTGGGTGGTGAGGATGGTGCGCTTCGCGTGGCGCATCGATTTGAGTGCCTCCTCTAGCACCTGCGCAACGCGGTATTCGACGTCGCGCGCAAGATTCTCGGTCACATCATGGTTGAGATTGTTGATACCGACAGACTCGGCGACATCGCGTATATTGTCTGGATTCCAGACGGACATGGTGGAACAGTGAAGGGCACGGGGATTGCGCGGATGGACGATCGGGAGGGTTCAGCGTGAAGCGACGGGAGGCGTGGTTGAGAGGGTAAATCAGAATTGGACGTCGTGGAATAGAGAAGAAAAGACCCGTCACATTCTGAGCACCAAAACACTTCACTTGCAACAGGAACAGTGAGGATTAGGGTGTTCACTGCGGCAAGTCCAGTGACTCCGGCGGCCATCCGATCAATTTGCGGCGGAAGCTGGGCGATAAGAGTGAAACTGCGTCTGTGGTTCTTGCAGCCGTCCGAATGAGCTTCTACTATCCCAGGGATCCAGCCGTGAACGCCATAATGGACCAAGTCGACATATTTGCGTTCTTACGAAATGACCAATTTCAGGCACATGGGATGCGTGGTCTCTACCAAGGTATCCATAGAAGCCAATTTTGATGATAAGATTTGAAGATGGGTAACATCTTGATTCTCGATTACGAGTTTATCACGCTGTACGTTCACCCAATTCGGCTTAGCAATGTGAAACTTTTGTTCAGAGCAACTGGAGCTTCCTATGGTATTATGGGTACTATCTAAAGAGACGGACAGGCTTTCGCACCAAAACAAGAGTGGAGAGTGTTGCAGCACTGCTCCTCCGGGTATCACAATAGACGCTCAACGGAAACAGGCGAGCTTTTACTTGGACTCCTCCTTGGAGTCATCCTTGGCAGTCTCCTTGGCAGGTTCGGCAGCCGCAGCGTCTTCCTTGGGAGCCTCAGTAAGCTCCTCAGTCTTGACGGGGACCCCGGCAGCAGCGTTTTGATCAGACACATCGGCGGGCTTGGTGTCATCCTTCTGCTCATTCTTCTGCTCGTCCTTCTTCTCAACCTTATCCTCCACCAGCTTGATCGACCGGGCCTCGTCCTTCAACTCCAGACCCTTTCCGCCGTAGGCCTTGGGAATCTTTTCCGCAATGGCAACAGGGAACTCACGAGCCAGATTGACGCCGTTGGTGATGGGGTGGAATTTGCGAGTGGTATTCTTGCTCAGGATAAGCTTCATGGCCGAGAACATCCAGCCCATGATGGCGGGGACATTGACGAAGAATTTCTCGCGGAGCAGCTCGGGATAAGCGGTGGAAAAGACGTCGATGGTCTTTTTCGTGGCGGCACGCACAGCAGGATCCATGCGGAAGAATTTGACGTTGAGGTAGTCGTGGACCTGGATCATCTGGTACGGGTCATTCTCGCCATCATAGTCGATCACAGTGGTGGCGTCCTTCATCTTGAGTTCTTGAACAGCCAACTCCATGAGAGCCGCGCGCCATTTGACAAATCTGGTCATGTTAGAGAGATGCTCGTTGTTTGGAATCGATACTGTTACTAACTCGTCTGAGTCACCGAAGGTCGCGCTCATATCCTTGACGGCTCCATAAATATTCCACGTAAACACGAGAGGGTGACCATCCTGTGCATAGATGGTCAAGTATCCCAGGCCTTCATATTTGCTGGCGGGATACTGGCCAGACTCGACCAGCGCCAAAGGATTCGTTTCCTTGCGCCACTCGAGTGCCTTGCTGAGCTGGTCTTCGGCGGCTTGCAGGTTACCCTCGTTGGCACGCAGGAACTTGATCAGTACGTTGACAGTAGGAATATCTTCGCTATCTTTCAGCAAAACGCCCCACATCTCATCGTGGCCGGTCTTGGAGAGAATGGCAGGAAGGTGGTCGAAGAATTCACTCAAGGAAGGAATACTCGTCAGGTACGCCGGCTTCTGGGGCTTTTGCTCCTCGGACTTGGTTTCCTGTTCGGGGGAGGCAGTGGCAGCAGGCTCAGCTTTCGCGGTCTCTTCGGTGTTCACCAGCTCGTCTTTGGCGGGTTCTTCAGTATTGGTTCCGGCCTCGGTGCCATTGGGATCGGCAGTAGCGGCCGGGGTCTCAGAGGGCTTGTCGGCCGATTCCACGACCTCCTGGGAGTTCTCGGCCTCAGCGACGGGGGTCTGTTCGATAGGCTTCTGTTCAGACATAATGGGTGTGCTCGGGAAAACAAGATGGTGGGAAGAAAGGAAGTTGAGATCAGGGGGAAAAAGAAGCAGGGGCGGCCTTGTTGACGCCCTATCAATCAGGGGCCCACCCGAACCCCACCTGTCATCCCGACCTACATTTCCACATTCCCACGCTAATTAAAGTACGGAGCGACATCGTCATCCCTCAAGGACTTTATTCAGACCCGACTATGATTGGCCCAAAATACGTCGAAAATAGAAATGCGGTGACTCGTGCAGATCGCCGGTGGGACAGCCTGGGCAGCTCAACAATCGTCCGACCGCCGATGCAAGTCTAGGCCCTGACAGGAACATCTTGGCCGCCTGGACCAAATTAGAACAATGATCTACCGACTCCAATTGGGCCAGAGGAGGGTTTCCATGGAAATCGGGAGCTTGCCGCGATTTAACGGTTCTTTTCAAAGGTTCAAATTGTTATGAATTTTCTGTTTCGGGACAATAGGAATAGTACTAGTACTAAGACCATTACACAAACCTCAGAGCGACATTGTAAGAACTCGAGGGCATACAATGATTACAGCAATTATGGAGAGCTATAATACGAACCTAAAAGCAACGGTATCAAGACTAGGGATTTTTATTCCTTTGCTCACGGAAGATCGTTGGAACTTACACTGAACTGGGAATTGGAGACGGAGGGCCAGCTGCCCGACATCGAGCCATGGAAATGCGTCTAAGATATCACAACTTTAATGATAATGTACTGCAAAAGACTCTGGGCCAAGGTTCCTTTCGGAAATATTACAATATTGCGAAAAGGCACCTCCCTTGCAATCACAGCGGCCCGCTCGATGTGATTCGTGATCGCTGCTTCGGAGAACAGGCCCTTTCGCGACGGAGACGATTCTGTTGCTTTGGTATAGCCTGAGCCGAAGAGCTACAAATAACTGAAAACGACCGCGATTATCCTGGCCATCCAGTCGATTGGCCAGGGCATGGGGTAGAAGACACCCATATAAGAGCACCGGATTGGCTTGAAAGCTCAGAAACAGAAGGCTGAAATGCTATCAACAGCAAGTCTCCGCTACAAGTTGACGCACATCTAGCGCCATTCACATCATCGCGTACTATCCATATTGTAGGGGCTGTTCAATCAGATAGTCGGTCTCTATTGAGCAGATAGGCTAATGAGGAATATTCATCTTCGTTGACTCTCGGTAAGATAGTCTAAATCCAGAAGGAAAGAGAAGAAATCCATTTTGTATGATTGTCACTGTCATCAAGCAAGAGCAAAGATCGAAGGGCCTGGCAAAACAGAAGACAGATTGGGAAAAGGATCCAGAAACGGAAAAAGGTTTAGGCGCTAGGGGAATATACAGATGACAAAATAAATGCAGGGATAAAAAGGATAAATAAGCAGAGCGAAACAGACGAAAGTCGCCATAAGGATGTTTTCCTCGCCTTAGACAGATATTCATAAAAATAAAAGGCAGATCTGGGATAATGGCAACTATTGGGCATTACGGAAGCGATCAGGGATCTGAGGCATAGGTGGTGGGGGACCAGCCTCTTCGTCGTCCTCTTCCATTTCGTCCAGCTCCTCGGGGTGCCTGAAAAAGGGTTATTAGTAACATATCAGGTTACTTGCGAAGATGGGAAGACTTACGCAAGCAGTTCTTTGATGTTTCTCATCTCGTAGTGCTTCTTCCGGTGCTCCTCAAACTGGCGGTGCTTCTCCTTTGCCTCATCCGAGGTAACGAGGCCATCACCATTGACCTCGTCACCAACGACAACATGCTTGTCGCTCTTGTGTGAGTCCATGCTCAAGCTTCGGTCACGGTAGATGCGAGGGTCCGATGTAGCGTCCGCGGGGCCGTGGTAAGAATCAGCTTCACCGAGCTCCAGGCCGGGAATGTCATCCTCGGAGACGCCCTTTTTGGGGTGGTTGGTGCTCTTGGAAGGGTTGTCGAGCTCGTCAACAACGATTTCCTGAGCATCAATCAAGCTTTCCTTGGCCTCTTCCAACCGCATCTCCTCGTCGTCCTCGGCGGGATCATAGTGCGGGGCGTATGGAGTCTTGGGTTCGTCGATCTTCATTTTCGCGGTACGATCCTGCTCAGCCAGGTACAAGTTGGCCTCGTCCCACTTGAGGCGAGGCTCGTTTTCGTCTTGGGCACTTTGGACGGATTGTCGGCGAGAACCTGAGCCGGGCCGTGTCGTCGAAGAGGACCGACGCCGGCCTGCGTTTTGCAGGGTGTTTTGGAGTGTGAGTTCCTTGGTGTCGGATGGTTCGGCGATGGTGGGCACCGGAATGGACTCGTTGGCTGCACCAGCGGGAGGCGCGGTCGTGTAGGACTTGGTGTTCTTGAGGATACCTAGCGCGTGGAGAAAAGACCTTCCTGTTAATTTCAGGGTCCTTGTGTGTTCGAGCTAGAGGTGCTTTAGAGGTGGAGAAAAAAGCTCACCCTTTGGGCGTGGGTGCACATCTTCGGCGCTGTGTGCCTTGGTCGGCATATGCGGTGCGGTTGTCATGGTGGATTGCTAGTGAAAAGAGACGAGAGCACCGTCCGATTTTCAAGTGGGCGCAGGCACGAAATCTTCCGGAGGGGTAGAAGAATGACTTGTTACCCGCTGTGTCAGATAGGCTGGTGGGCGTATTCAGCTGGAGTCGATGAGTCTGACGAAAGTAGTATTCAGCTTGGCCGGTACAGTATAGAAGAAATAAGCCAGGGATACGAACCCTGAGATGTGTAGAAGTCAGCTGCGACTTGAGGTCGAAGGGGGCACGTGGGGCCCGATGACGTCGACTTTGACGCCTGACGTCTTCAGATTGGTGCCTTAGGCAGGAACACCCGTAGGTTAACTAGCTAGGTTAACTATTTAACTAGTTAACCCGTCTCGCCCCGGGGGTTGTGGTTGACTCGTTCCTTGCCTGAACGATCCCTTCTCCGGGTCTGGTGTGAGTGTTAGTTAACTAGTTAACTAGTTAGGCACCTTTTCCGTAGTATCATGATGTTGCACTGTAGCATTGGTATATGCCAGGTGAAGCTGCTTATTTCAGGTTGACTTGCTGACTTGGAATGTGAATGCGTTGAGTGGGCTCTACATCGAATCATCATTGAGTAAGAAATAGATCTGATGTTGTACATTGGTCTCCCGGTCATCTATACACCCAGGAGCGCCCGGTACGCCCCTACAATCCTAGCATCACGGAAAAAAGGTAGAAGAATATGATTGTCCTCTAACACCAGATGAGTCGCCCAAGATGGGGGTATCGTTATATGCAAACAAGCAAGGCCCGCCTCGTGTAGCTAAACAATAAAGGAAATGGATGCAAAAGGAAAGAAAAATATATAAAGAATGGGAAGAGAAAGCATCAAGAGACGATTTCTCATGCAATAGAATCGAACTCTTCTCTTTCGCGGAGTCGGTTGCGCGCGAGAACGTCCCCCCGCTCGCAGACAGCTGCATCCAGTGCAGCGCCAGACACATGCTCTGAGGATCAGACTTGGAGTCTTTGCCACGCATGTACATCATCTCGGCCTTGAAAGTATCCCGTGGGCGGGTAAGTGGTAGCGTGACACGGGGAAGAAGTTCTGGATGAGTAAGATAAAGGATGGCGAGTTCGCGCTGAGCTACTGGATTTCCTTCTTTGGCAGTGACGATCCACATCGATGCCGCGTCTTCGATGGCGTGGCCAGGCCGAGGATAGAAATCTGATCCGGGCAATGGATGTCGGCACATGAGCTCTTGAGACACGATGCGATCTGCGATCTCAACCATGCTATTGCATACTTCATCCTTCAGGCTCAGTGCGGCAAGACCGAATTGGAGGAAGGCTGTACCGCGATCTGTCTTGCTCAGCTGGTCACCGGGAACAAAAGCTGAAATAAATTGAAGGTCGCGAAAAAGTGTCTTAGGCTTGACCTCCAGGATCAAGTCACGTAGGGTTGCCACAATTTGATCCTCAGATGGTGTGGAGTAGTCGGAGGATCGAGAGCCGCAAGTGACCGATGCAGCCGCAGTTGATGTAGGAAGCGCCATATTCAGGATGTTGTGTCCCGATGGCCGCGATTCCGAAAAACTATGGCGAGCGGCCCGGGTGAGTGGTCGGGGAGGATTCCGCAAGCCGTCGGTCCCTTCAGATGGGATACTTGGCAGTGCACCAGAGCCAATGGAATCGTGCGACGCGACGAGAGAGGCAACTACAAGTGATCTCAGGTCTCGGAGAGCATTGAGTTTGACGAAGGGGTTGCCGTGTCGAGAGAAAACCTCGATTAAGCGATGGAATACCGCCTCGTATGAGAAGGCTGATTGATCATCTTGAGGAGATTCTGAACTGGCCCTTGAGGACGCGTCATGGTCTTGCTTGTTGCGAGCACGGGTGGTTGTAGGTCCAAGAGACACGCTTCGCCGACCGCCTGTTGCCCGGCGATGCTCTTTCGCACGCCGTGAGCGATCTTCATAATCTACCCAGAATTTTTCAACGGCCGCGTGCCTATGCATTTGCACTCGGACGCGTGTTTCGTCGAGTTTGTTGGTGAACCAAGCATCTGTTTCACTCCCACAACTCCAGACGGGAGATCCCAGATCGCTCAGAAGTAGACTGGTGAGGGTCTGCTTCAGATCATCCATGAAAGCTGTCTTGCCGTGTGCTTTACGCTCAGAACGATGAGGCTGTCGTGTTGCAGTTTCACTGAACATCGAGGGTGGCCGCGACCACACGCTTGAGACACTGGTGGCATACATGGGGTGCCGCTGTGGCGCGGACCAGAAAGTACTATATGTATCGCCTGTTGAGGTGGAAGCAGCGCGACCAGGCGAGCCTCCAATGGATGGTAGGTCGATGAAAGGTATATCCCGTGCGGGTCGATATTTGTCTGACATGAGGCTTTGGATCGAGGACTTTCGACCTATGGTTGGGATGTCTTGAGAGACCCGTGACACTGAATCCGGTATTGGTATATTACCGCCAAAGTGTGGAGTTATATGTGCTGGGTCTTCACTCGCGGTGGTCGAAGGACGAGGTGTCGTTGGCATGGACAGTCCAGGGAAGGGTCTAGTCCCGTAGCCTTCGTACCTTGCTCGCTCTCGTTGGAATAGCTCACTGGCCCACAACACAGGCGTATCTGACATGGTCTCACCAACAAGACGATTGATGCTTGTCTGAACCTCGTAGCAGAATCTGTGAATGCGTTCTTCGCCCTTGCAGAAATTGTCGATTTGATTGTGGGCCAGCCACTTGCGAGTCAAATCTACCTGCTCATCGGACAACTTCTTCGGGCCACCTTGGCTGCTTGGCGCTTTCATCATATTCATAACCTGTACTTCGGGCTTCTGGAATAGACTTCCCCCTAGTGACCGTGCACCAGCGCGGGAACGGGGTTCATCAGGCAGGTCCATATACGGCCGGGCTGAGTAGATCATGGTTTTTAAGGCCATAGCCACATGTCGAGCCTCCTCATACCTCATGGAATTCTTGACATCGGTCATGTACCACATCTTGTTGCGAACTTTGGAAACAGTGGCCATCAAATCCTTGACTTGTGTGCGCAGCCTGCGAAGACTTTGATCCAGAGACACGAAGTCGCTTTCACACCGATCAATAATGGCTCGTGATTTGTTCAAAGAGCGAAGACATGAGTTATGCATGGGCTCTAGAATCCATGAATCAGTTCCGCCGGGTGGCCGATCGGGTGCATGGCCTTGTCGAAGTTGACGCGATGCATTCCACCAGTAATGTGCATTGACAAAATCAGAGGCGTGGTGGGAAGCAGCCATAGCTTGATTGAATCTTTGCCTCAGTGACTTTGATTTCGTCTCATGGGACATTGATTGGAAGCTGAAGTCATCTGCGTCATAAACACGGTTTTCCTGAACAAGTCGAACGATGGCTGTCTGTAGGGCCTCATAATTCTCTTCGAAACCCAAGCTGGTGGACTGAGCATCATCGTCACTTTCAATAACCGAGGTTCCTCGTGATCCACAATCGGGAAGAAGGCTCCAGGTAAGACTACAACCATCCTGGGCAAGAGAGAATATTGTCCAATTTTCGTCCGAGGGAGCCTCCAACCGGGAGCGTTCAGCCGGTTCCTCCAGACCTGACAGTTCGAAGCGAATTCGTGAGGCAGTCTGACTCATGCTGTTCTCTGGAATAGAAGTAGGAGATGTCTCAATGGAAAAGACAGAGCTACTTTGGGATGTGGGTCGTGGAATTGCATCGCGCGGCGAGCGGAAGAAGCCAGGTCCAAGACGAGAATCTGGGCGAATACCATAAGAATGCGATAGACCCGAGGACCAAGAGGGAACCCCTGTGGATGCCGGAGAGGTGTGACTGAAAGGAAGTGGTTGTGGGAAAAGAGCGTCTAGTAGTGTAAGTATATCGCTAGAAGATAGCAAGAGGAATCTTGACGAAGAGTTGCCCGAAGACGGGGTTGAAAAATCAACCGTGGCAGGCTCTGAAGGAGATGGCTGAAAGCAAGAGATCATATTGTCAACGTGTTGTTTAATCGTGGGTCGAAGGATCGAGAAATGATTCCTGCTTTGCTGTTAGTCCCTGCATAAATACAACGGAATAAAGAGGCGGAGATTGGTGTCTATGAAAACCCACATCGAACGCAGAACGGCAAAGACCTGGGAGTAGGCTCTCAAGCCAACCTGCCCCAGTAGCTTCTCACGAGCATCTTTGCGAATGTGGAAGTCCAGCAGTAACCCATGAGTCTGAAGAGTAAAAAGACCATTAGACTGGTTCTTGTTCGACTGATTGGAGAAGGTTCATACCTCTGGATAAGTCAAAGCGCTGTAAAGGAATTTTGGGAAGAACCACTGGACAAAAATGTACTCAAGAAAACGGCTGCGGTTGTCAGGGTTGTCCATTTTGAGGAGTACGGCCCTTGCAAAGCGAAGGACTGTCCGTGGGAAGCCACCATCCGGGTCATCAAGTACACGGAATAAGCCATCCACGGCAGAAGCAAAGAATTCTTCTGCGGCATCGGTCCGCAGGGGATCCAAGGCCTCGGCAGCAAAGTCCAAACCGGCAGGGGTGTCTATGTGTTCCAAGAGGAAAGCCCCGGTTTGCAGAATGTCCATGAGGTAGAGTTCAAACTTGGGGCGGGCTCTCCAGTTACTCCCAGTGGCCCAGGAAGACAGGATTTGGCCAATGAGAGGGTAGAATTTACTGCTGCTCTGGGACATTAGCTGAGCGCAGACGGACGACCACATATCCAGCCGTAACCTAGACTCCGGCGTCTCGGGTTCCAATGGTGCGGCAAAAACGTTACAAAGCAAGATAGACAGTGGGTCGGTCCGTTCAAAGGCATAGGCATGGTCCTTGAATGAGGTGGGCTGAGTTGAATTTCGATTAAAGGAATATTGGCCCCGAAAGGAGCGGGAAGAAGAAGGGAATGCAGGGTCTCCAGAGTCCAGGGTGGTGGCTGGGGCGGTAAAAGCGGCCAGTTGGGCGGAAGTAAAACTGCGGAGACGGTCGACCAGGAATTGCGGATCAGAGCGAACCAGTCGCAAAATCTCCAGTAAGTCCGCCCGGGACTGAGGACTTAATTGATGAAAGAAATCAGAAGAGCGATCGACTTCGGGTTCCGAGGGTGGTTCCTGATCGTCCGGCGATTCATCTCGGTCATCGCGCCATGCGCTGGATGCACACGACTCCTGAAGATCATAGAGCATTTGATAGAGGGCAACAAAATTGGCCTTGTCATCATGTTTGAGTGCTTCAACCAGACCGCGTTGAACTGTATTCCCAATACGGATCATGCGCGCCGAGACGCCGATGGAGACCTTGGTGGCACGGAGACGCTCTTCCAGTCGTTTCCTCTGGACCAGTTTGCGCTGACTTTGTCGAAAGCGCGTGGCAAAGTCCTCGAACGATACCTGGGCGTTGTCCTTTCGGGTCACCGTGAGCATCGCGGGGATAGTTGTGCGCGGGGCGCCTTTGGGCGTGATGGCCATGGACTTCTTGGGACTGGAACGGGCCGAGCCATCCAACTCACCTGGCCCCACGTCGCCATCCGCCAGACGGGCGGGCGAAGCGTCAAAGGGCATGGTCGCTGGCGGCGACGTTGATGGTGAAGGAGGAAGAGGCATCGATGCCGGGTCCGCCCGATGCGATGGATCGCAAGGTGGATCGGGCTGGAGAGCGGGAATCCGCACGGCTGGAGCAGATCAGATTGGATCAAATCAGGCACCGAAACGGGAGGAGGAGCCAGGGGGAGTGGGTTCCACCCCACGAAAGTCACTTCGTCAGGTGAGCACAGAGGGAAGAAAAACGAAACACATACTGCTAATAGATGCCAGTGAGGATGAGAAATGATCCTCTCGTTGATGGTCCACCATCTTGCTCTGGGTTGCGCCAACGAGCGGAGCGCACGATCGCGAAAAGCCCCCAAGCCTGGCCGCGGAGGGCGGATCCTTATCGCATGGTTCTATCGCGGGGTAAGACACCGGCGGGTGGTCATGGGAATGTTGACGCACCCGAGCGGAGGGGACGGAGCAACTGGCGAACGGGTCCAGGATGGAAACGGACGGGAGAAGACGAGCAGACAGGAGGAGAGAGGTCGACGGACGGGAAGGGGTATGAGAGGAGGTATAAAATCACCAAGTTGTCCTGGGACCAAGTCGGAGGAGAAGGGTCGACTCGAAGCGGACAGTTGCAGATGGCGATGTGTCTCGGAGGCATGTAGTACCGGAGCACTTAGCCAGCAGGTCACGGCCGGTCTGCAGCAAGGGGAAAGTCTGGCTGCAGAGTACATTGGCCGCGAGTACCGAGTACACGGCCACGATGCGCTGGCACTGCATGCAGGCGTGAGGTGGACAGCCCGGCCGCCACTGCTGATTCGCCCACGACCCCCCTTGGCCTCTGCGGAGTCAGCTTCTGCTGGACGTGGATCGCGTGCGGTGGCCAATCGTGGAGGCTGGCGCGCATGGAAACCCTGGGAGATGGTCGTAGCGAGGGAAATCGGATGCTGCGTGCCATGCTGTGGGGTGGGAGCCACCTGGGAAAAAAAAGGGAGCGACGGTGAGTGGAGTGGTCGAGACAAGCCTCCGATACATCACAACGCATCGTTGAGTCTCCATCAAATCAGGCTCGGTGCAGGGCGCTCGATCGGCCAACCCCGGGATGCAGGAGGTGTGTTCTCATGCACATAGCTAGTTAACTAACTTAACGTAGTGACGTTGGAGCTCTGCCTAATACCCTAGATACCGTGAACCTGAGAACTGACTACTAGCTTTACATAGCTTACGATATTATCATTTTGGCACTACTTTATACTACCACCACAATAGGAGGTAAAATTCGGTGGACCAATTCGTGGTCAGCAGATCAGAACGTCAAGAGTAATCAAGAACCGTTGCTTATAGATCTTCGAACCGCTGCTCAGGCACCCCTTCTTCGAGATCTCCACACTTTCTCAGCTAGTCAGTACTTCCCGTATGCCTGCGAATGAGAAGCCACATAAATATCAGAAAAGAGGGCCTTTGACTCGAGAATTTTCCTCTTGAGGAGCATGGGTGATCCATCATACAGAATGTGCACGGATCCATTTGTCGACGGTATTAGTAATCAAACGGCGGCAATGCCCCCAGGCGGTGTCAAGGATGCATCACTCGATTCACATGACTTCATAATTGATTCCAAGTCTCCCAAAAACTAAAGATGGAAGCTTCATCCATCAGTGCATTCATCAGTTCTCCATCACCCACATTCCCGAATGCGCCATCACCAAGTTGACTATAATCCGGGGCCTCAGCTTCCACAGGCGAGCTTTCAGGCTGCACTGTAGTCTTAGAAACCGAGGGTGGGCTAAAAGGCGCTCGAGGCGCAGAGTATCCCGGAAAGATCAGCTGAATGGCCTTGGTGAATATCGCGCGGTAGATCGAGCCGACCGTGTATGTTTTCTGAAGCTCCTCCATGACCAGCATGCACATTTCGAGCTTGTTGAGTCGGACCCGCTTAGAAAGTATGTCCCCAGTCTTGCAATGAAGCAAATGCACTTGCATTGCTGGGACGAGAAGTGGAGGACTTGATACGGTGGTAATGTCAGACAGGCACGGCAACATTATAAAGATCCATGTCAAGGAGACTCACGTCATAGGACCGGCAAATCCCAAGAGATTATCTTGAACTAGTGCGTCAAGTATCTCGTTGGTTTGAGACGCTGCTGCGTCCGCTCTCAGTCTCATTCGATGCTGCCATTCTTTACCAGCTGAGGAACTGATGTCGCTGGGGAGCTCCATGCACCAGGGCCGGTAGAAAGTAATCAGCATCGCCCTGTCAGCCTTCATCAGCACACATGTCCAGACAGGGGAATGGGTCAATACCCACCGGTAATGCAAATGGACATGGTTTGCATGAAACCTCGAGCTTGGCGTCAAACAACTCTCGTACTGGTCTGGCAGTCTGATTTGTAGCAGTTGTTTCTCGAGCGTTTCAACTTCATGTAACGATGGTTTGGTCCGCACAAGCCTGTAATTCATGGCCAATATTCTGCCAAGATGACAGCTGAGTTCAATAAGAATAATCCAGTATTCTGCCAATCGTTGTATGTCGCCTAGAGCGATGGGAACATGATTTGTCTCTCTTAAAACGCCACTGTCGAACAGCATGTCTCCAACTGAGGGCATGGGAATATCGCAGTCATCAAGATTGATGCGCAGGGGTCTTCCCAGGGTAAGGCCGAGCCAACGATCTCGAAAGAGGCAGCACCACCAAAGTCGCCGCCAGAAAAACCTCTGTCGGTCCGTAATGGAAGAGTTGTAACTCGATGTGCCAGGGTCTCGATGCAGGCCAAGAATCTGACAAAGGCTTATTGCAATGCCCGTCCAATACCATGGTGTGGTATGTTCTTCTATGTCCGAGTGCCAGAATCCCATGAGTAGCGACGACTGTAATAGAACAATATTACTCCTTTCATTGCCATTGTTGTACATGCACTATTCCAAGTAGTCAGCCAAAGACACATGTGTCACATTCGGGGAAGAAATAAAGGATGCTTCTCACTTTTGCTCGAGAGTACATTTCAAACCTCATTGCCCTTTTTGATGCGAAACCTTCCTCCTCGCAGATGCTTGTGGGGATAAACTGTATCTCTGGCTCAGCTCAACACAAGTCATGAAGTTGCTTTGATGACATACATTGACCCCGACAAAGAACAGGCTCCAGAGGAGTAATATGTTGTAATCCTGTAGCCTCCCAGCGGAATGATACTGTAAAAGCACGTCGGCTTCTACCACCGGAAGTATGGGATGCACATTGAGGAGATATGCCTCAATCATGCCATCACAGGCGCGTTTGCCAGGTAGTGTGAAAACTCCTTTCCTGCTAAGAAAATCACGGTCCTCATCAGATAGGCTTTTTCTGTGGGATGGAATAAGGAAATGCTTTGGTAGAGACTGGCCGGGTGAGCAAATATCGAGAGCCGAGGTTGGACCAGTCCATTCTCCTAATTCGATGTCAGCAAATTGTAAAAGCACAATTCGAGGAGGGACGATCTTTACCGGTATAATAGGGTACCTCCCCAGTTCTTTCTGGTTGGCCCAACGCGGCCGAAACGATCTCACGTCCGTTGCGCTCCTCATCTTCGATATTTGGAAACCTAGGATCGGAAACGCTATTCTCATCAAGCACATCCTGTGCCGATTGGACATGAACAGCGGGCAAATCGTCGGAACCGGTCGCCCCGGTGAATGAGGGATCTTGGCTAAGGCCAGGCATGAAGTTTGAGCCAATTGGCTGACTCTGTACCCGGCGAGCACGCCGTGGCGTTAGCTGGTTGAGCTGTTTGGGGCTGTTGACAGAATTGTCCTCATTAGCATCGCGGACAAAACAGTATGGGTTGAATTCTTCTAACAGTTTTGCCCGGTCCATATCCACAACACACTCAGAACCATCCTGGGTACAGCCAGCACAAGGTACACCAGTGACAGTCAAGCTGCAGCGCACTTTCCGCTGGCGACACGCCTGGCACGCAACAGCAGACCGATGGCGGCGCGTGCGAGGAGTTTGACTTGTTGGCGGCATGGCTTCCCGCGCAAATTTAGAATCCGAGGTTCGAGGATCATGGATAATCGGATTTGTTAACTAAGAAGTTATTCGGGATGTTGTTCAAACCTCGCTTCTGTGTTTCGTTGATCGGGTGCTCGGGACTTCCGGGAAATACATTCAGCTACCTCGGAAAGACCTCGGTATTGATGACGTCATCGGTTCGGGGTCCCGGGGTTTGCGATGAATCCGAACTGTGAATTGGTTTCGGATACAGATTCAATTTGACTCAGTTGTTGAAGAAGGAGCATATTGTATAGTTGCTATAACCTATTAACAGAGAATAAAGAACCTTGAAGGAGTTTCATGCTTCCACACCCTCGTCATGGCTTTGCTCAGATTATATAGAAGTAGAACCTTGTTCAAACATGCCAAGTTCGACGCCAATACCCTTTCGGCTACGGTCTTGATAACGCCAGGTTATCGAGACTATTGTTCAGTCACCTGTCTGGTCATTTACCCAGTCACCTACGTGATCAGCTGCCTGGCTAGCTACTCTACAGAGTGAGGTGCTACCAAAATCCCAAATGGATATATCGATTTCGGGCTAGAACAATTTTCCATGGAAATCAGAGTGTTCATTATTCTACTCCAATAGCCAGACACCAATGCCGAAGAACTATCAAATATCTGAAAGGTCAGTGAGGGGGTGTAGTCTGAGGCAAAAGGATTGTGACTGTATCAATTCCCATCTTTAATTCGTCTAATCAATTTACTACCTGAAGTATGTTCATACCCGTTTCTATGAATAGGCCAAATATACACTCCGCTATAGCAAATTCAGATAGGTAGCAGTACAAGGTAGTATTCTTCCTTGGATTATTCCGGTGGTTGACTTAAATATCTTTTTATTTAGAATTAAATGAGCGACGATCTCTATTTGCGCTAAGGAAGCAAGAAATTTCAGACCAGACGATCTTGGGAACAAATTTGTTTAATCCGAAATCCAATTACTCCGAGATGTTTCGTGTCCGGGTTGATCAGATAAAAGTGATTCCAGTGAACGCCCGAGAATTATCTGAGTGCACCACCGATTTCTGATTACCGTTCAAGTCGCAGCGATAGATGCTGCCGCCAAGATCGGTCACGTAGATTGACTCGTTCTTGCCATCGACTTTCAGACCAATTGCTTCATTGAAATGGCGAGTGAGAATTTCATGCTTGTTTGGTGCTGTAGTCTCTGACGGTCGGCCAAGGGCGTCAAGCTTCATGCGATTCAACGAGTTTCCACATGGAATTTCGCCACGATCTGTCCAGTATAGAAAGCCAGAATCTTCATCGACCTCGAGATCAATAGGCTCTGGAAGCCCGCCGATGATACACTCAATGTCGGACCTGAACAGGGCGGATTGGTTATCTGGCATTGTGATATTGGCGCAAAAGATACGGCCCTGTCCAGCTTTAGAGGGTCCCTTTTGGGTCCAATAAAACCTCCCGAGCCTCGGCGCAATGGCGATACCAACACACCACTTTCTAGCATCAGAAACATCTTTGGGGTCTTCAGGGTTGCCAGCATGCACAATTTTCTCCAGTTTACTTCCGTCATAGTCGCAACGGTAAACAGAAAGCCCTTCGCGGTCACAAAAGTATACCTTTCTTGCGGTGGTGTCCAGGGCCAGCTGCTTTGGAGTATTGATGACTCCGCTAGGCACGATCGTTTCAACCGAGTTTGACTTGCGATCGAAAGTAAGCACACTTCCATCATTCTTCCCAGGAACCCCCATGTTGGTCCAGAACAACCGGCCGTTGTGTGGGTCAACACTCACGCCATCAGGCAGTGACTGGTTTTCTACCAAAGTCTTCTGGAAATGACCGTCAGAAGAGTATTCAAGGACTGCTCCGGATTTCATTGAGGGCGCAGCGGCAGACAATCCGAGATCAAGAACCACCAAATTAGGCTTTTCAATGACACTCGCGGTCTCGGATTTGACCGAAGGAAAGAGGCCACCATGCGAGCTCTTTGTACCCAGCTTTCCATGTTTGACAAAATTCTCGTTTAGGTAGTCCACAGTATACTTGGGAGACAGGCCACGCTCCTTCGTATAGTGTGACTCAATGAAAGCAACCGTATCCAGGCCAACATCTAAATGGAATGTTAGGAAGTAAAAAAAATGGAAATGGGACTTAGTGCAGCCTACCATCCATTGTCTTGCAGGGAGTTGAACCTCCCTTGACAAACATTTCAGTCCACAGAGAATCAATTTCCTCTGGCACTGAAACACCTTCCGCCAGAATGGTGAGCGTTTCTCTTTTCACGGCTGCCCAAAGGCGATTGAAAATAAACCCAGTCGACTGCTTCCTAGCAACGTAAGGTAATGTGTTACCCTCTTTGCAGCGCTCAGCCAGAAAAGGAAAAATTTCGTCTTTGGTATGCCCATCAGTCATAAGCTCAACGACCATACACTTCGGCGGCATATAATAATGCATGTTCAGGATTCGCTTCATTGTCGATTCGGAAACCTTCTCAAGCATCTCCGAAGACCTGTACGACGACGAATTTGAGGCCAGTATGCAATCGGCCGGGGTTAGCGATTCGAGTTCCGCGAATGTATCAATCTTGAGTTGGATCTTCTCCGGAACAGCTTCGATGACAAGCCAAGCGTTCTCCACGGCCTCTCGCATGTTCTCGAATGCATGTGCAGTACCGACTGTCTTGCCCGTCTTCTTGGCGTATGAATGAACATTATCTTGGATGTAAGATATTCCATCCTGTCGCTGCTGATGACTAGGATCTCGTATGTGTACATTGAAGCCCGTCGATGCCCAGATACATCCTGTGATAGCTGTCAGTCATGAATCCCGGTGTGCATGCTTGTATGGGACGCTAACCGATTCGTCTCCCTAGCACACCAGCACCAAGAATAGCGACAGGTCTGGACCTATAGTCCCGAGGAGGGGCCCAAGTTTGATGCATTGTCAAAGTTTGGAAATTGAGATGTGGAGAGTAGGAATGATCAGGTGAGGGTATGATTTCTGAGTAATGAAGAATGGTTGTGAAATGTGGTAACCCGGTGCTGAGATATTCCATTTTCTCGAGAAGGTATGAGAAGGGGTTAATATATCTCACCAAGTCTCGACATATCCGTGGTTCTACGGAATTATGACCAGTGACGCTCAAGACTACAAGTCCATCCCGAGGCCTTCTATTACTCGGCATGCCGAAACGGTTTGCCGCTTATGCGCGGCTTCCTTTTGGCTCGGAACAACAACCTCGGGACCCGAGAAAGTTTGCCTCGACCTCGGAAAGCTTACCTCGGAAAGACTGGTCCTTCTGGAAAGGTGGTTGAGCACTTTATGTACATGAGGTCGAATTACATTTTCAGTGTCGCTGGTGCAACCGGATTCTAGGAATTGTGCTCCTTAGAGCAGTGTGACACTGCACCGGGTGCCAAATATATATTTCCGAATCCAGGCGGGTTTAATGTTTCCACTAAGACAATACACACTAGTGTTCAGTGATGCGTCACAATATGATGATCTTTGGCAACATTAGCCAAGAAACGATGAACCTTTGTTAGTGTTACAAATAAATAGATGATCTCGATGTCATAAAAATACAACAACGACAATACAATATAACAAACGAACAGAGAAGCCGTGGTAAAAGAAGGCATGAGATTATCTAGAAAGTCTATTGGAAAAGCCTTCAGGAATACAAAAGCCATAGAAAGATAAATGATAAATGACAACCACAAGCTTAAAAATTCCACAAAGAGCCCGAGAGAGAGAGAGAGAGAGAGAGAGAGAAGAAGGTATAACATCTCAAAAGCAAAATATCTGATCTGCCATTTTCGCGACAGGGCCTGGTGCTTCGAATCCCAGGCTGCACAGTGCTTTCTTTGAGGCATTGACCATACCAGGGGGGCCGCACAACATGATCTTGGTCTCAGAAGATGGACTGGGTAATTTCTCGGTCATGACTTGTGGCGTGACATAGCCTTTGCCGTATTTCCAAGACTGCGAAGGATGATCCAGCATATACCACACTTGCAGATTTTTGGGATATTTCCGAGCAAAGTTGTCGAGTTCGTCCCGAAGAAGAATATCTTCCTCTGTTCGATTTGCGTAGATCAAGCTAATTTGCGTTGTATCTTTGTCGTCTTCACAGATAGCCCTGATGAGTTGATACATCGGTGTAACTCCAGTACCACCCGCAATCATCCCAATACGATTGCACGTACCCCTGGAATATTTCATGGCACCTTTGGGTCCTCGGAAGAGAACCTTTTCGCCAATTTCCAGGTTTGCGAGATAATTCCCAGTGAGAAGGCCGTCTGGGTAGCACTTGATGACCAGTTCCAGGACCCCTAAATCCATATTGTTGGACGTCGGAGTGTATGAGCGAGAAACAGACTGACCTTCAACAGTAGCTTTGATAGCCACATGCTGACCGATTGGCAGTCCGATAACATCTCGGGACCCAGGCAGTGCAAAGGTGAATCGATAAACATTTGGCGATAATTGTTCCTTTGCAACAAGAGGAAGCTCTTTGAAGTCACGTGGGTCAAGGAATCCCTTGACCAGATGTGGATCAGCTAGAGGCATTCTTTTGCTTTTGATATGTGACGGATAGCGAGTGAATCCGGACTGGATTTGAGTAAGCTTGGACAGCTTATTGCCTAAAACAGCACCAAGAGTCATAAAGCCACCAGTTGCCGAGAGAACCCCATTAGAAAACCCACCCTTGGCAAATCCAAGTTTTGGTGCGGGAAAAGTGTGAATCCAGCGAGGCTTGAGATGAGACACTTTTGTAAGGTTTTCTGGCAGGGAGATATGACCACGCGTGTAGAGGAAAGTGAACATGGCCACTCCCCCTCCAACGACAACAGCAATCACAACTCTGCCAAGTCTGAAGAGGGGATTTGTAGTAGTAATTTGCTGTGGTGCTTGCTGTACCACCCGGACTGCTCTGGGACGCGTGAACTCGCGAGCATCTTTCAAGCTGCCAACCAGATATGCAGCCAAGATCTCATTGGCGTCTTCGGAGTGCCCAATATCTTCGTATGCTTCAGTGGCATCCGTTCCGGCAACGTCACAGAGCACGTCTGCTCCACCAGGATGATCGCGAACGTAGTCGGTGACATTGTAAACTGAAAAGGCCCGTAGTCAGCATCGAGTGTATGGATAATGTAATCGTCTAATGTTTTACCTTTTCCGTGAATGGAAACCCATAGATCATTTTTCGACTTGTGCATTGCAACATCCTCGGCTGTATACTCTTTAGGAGACGTCATTTTCGAAATGCTCTGGAGAAGTGACCGTGACCGTGCTTGTGATTTTGTGAGATCAGGCGAATTGAATGATGACCCGAGGAGTTTCCAGGAAACAATAGTAAAATCGCCAAAAGGAATCGAGATGGGTACACGAAGGCGATAAGGCAATGTTCAAATACCTGAAGGTTGAAAAGTGAATGCTCCACATTCTAATGAGAGAAATTACCTGACCGAGGATCAATTTCCACACCTTGCATTATCGATCCTGGACACATCAAACTTTGCATGTCACCATGACCAGCGTGCCGTTATCCCGAAAATGGTTGCTTTCATTGGCTCTTTCCGAAACTTGCGTGGTCGGTGAGTTCCGAGGCTTTCCCAAGCTTTCCTCGGAACGTCCTTCGTCCCGAGGTAGGCTACCTCGGGAAGCCGAAATCCTACCAGGAAAATTGTAGGGCCCTAATTGGCGATGCAATTGTCAACCAATCCAAAATTAGAAACTGTGAGCCAGTCAAATTTATTTAAGGCCAACTTCCTACATACAAATCTTGATAATAAATTGCAAGATACTGCTTTTCACAATCAATGATCTCTACTTAAGCATGACACTGCAAAAGTTTGTTCTCCTAGATGATGATATTTCATCAGCTAGATATATTGAAATCGACCCGAAATCCGACTTTGTCAGCTTGAAACATCTGATTGCATCGCATTTTGCTATCGTTGAGCCTAATGGTAATTGGCCCTGCCGTTCTTCTGATAGACATCCCAATCATCTCAGTCCATGTTCTTTGAACTTACAAAAATGTTAGGAATTGGATTCCAAGGCAATGACAACAGATACCTTTCTGATGTGGCAGAAGTAGTATCTGCACACGGGCTCGTGTCTATTACAATCGATGGCCATGGTGTACGCGACCCACCAGGACCTACCGGCTTGCCCTATGTCGGAAATTACTTCGAAGTTTACCCGGATCATCTTGGCAACCATCAACGGCTTTTCGAGCAATTCGGACGATTTATCAAAACGACGAACATGGGGCGAACCATCTACCATACCAACGATCCGGAAATCTCCGCAATTGTGTTTACCGAGTCTGATTTCTTTACCAAGAAGATCAATGAAGCGCATCCACTTGCTGCCCTCAAGCAGCCAGAGGCTGGTGTTTTCCTCGGGGATACTGATACGCCTGAGTGGAAGGTTGCTCATAAATTCCTGCCACCTGCCTTGGGGCCGAAAGCCGTTCGCCACTATGCTCCAACAATGCAAAAGACTGTTGAAGATGCCTTTCAAGTCTTCGATGCCTTCGATGAACAGGATGAATCTTGGAATGTTTACCATTACATGCTAAAGCTTGGCTCACAAGCTGTGGGAAAATTGACCCTGGGACTGGATTTTCAGCATTTCGAAGCCACGGATGCTCCTTTGCACGAGATGGTCCACTCTATCGCCGAAATCCTGACCCTCAACAAAAAGGTCACCTCTAAAGGGGACTGGTATGGGCGTTTGCCGTTTGGTGACCCCCAAAGACTGCGGCGCATTAAAGCTCGCGTAGAGGCCATGGTGGAGCAATCGATTGAGCAGGCTACACGCGGTGGTGTTGCAGACCTTCCCCTCCAAGATGCTGCACTAAAAGCCTCGAATATGGTTGGTATGTGTTGCTGCTTTGCGCTTGGATTCCATCTTTTTCTAACACCGCTCAGATTATGCAATCCGTGCCACTGATAATAAGGGAGAAAAATTGCCGAAGTCTAGTCTGGTGTGGGCACTCGTGGTTGCGACTGGGGCGGGTTTCACAACGACCAGCTCCCTTCTCTCATGGTTGATCTATGGCCTTGTTACCTATCCGGGCATGCAGGAAAAGCTGCTGCAAGAGCTGATCGACAACGATATCGACGACAACACAGAAATCACCGCTGATGTCACTGATCGTCTGGATTTTCTCGATAAATACATCAAGGAAACGCAGCGTCGGCACAATCCTTCATTTCAGCCTGGTCGAACGGCCAAAATCGACATGATCCTCCCAGGTGGTTACAGGTTGCCAAAAGACGCTGTGGTCATCCCTGCTTTGCATCATATCCATAACAACCCTGCACTTTGGGATAATCCCCAGAGATTCAATCCCGATAGATGGGACACCGATGAAGTGAAGTTCAGACACAAAGCTGCATACATCCCATTTGCAACTGGGCAACGGATGTGCATTGGCTTCAATTTTGCTTTGCAAGAGATCAAGGTTTTCCTTCCCAAACTCATTTATCGATACAAATTCAGCCGCGAAGGGGACGGACCTATTGAGTACGATCCGATGTTCCAGCTCATTCGACCGAACAATCTTTATGTTCGGGCTGAGAGGCGAGTCAAATGGCCTCCAAAGACGGAGAAGTATGAGGCCACGGAGTGATTGGTTGACTCTGACCTGGAGACTAGATGGCCCGAGTTTTCGTTTAGTCTTCAATCGGGTATTTGAAACTAGAAAATCAACTGCTCACCTGAATTGAAACGCATTATTGCCACAGGTACTGAAGAATATTTACATGGACTCCGATTTTGCCGAAAGTTTTTCTGCAAGTCGCTTTCCGGCCGAAGAACATCCAGTAATTAGACAGCATTGGAGTACCATTTCTTGTGTAGAGGACTGAGACACACCAAAATCACTTGCTGGGCCGATGACGCCACCCAAGGACAACAATAACCAGTTCGAGATATGGTTTCAAAGGACTTTTGGCTTGGAATATCCACACTCAACAGTTCAGATCACCAGGTGCGGGCTTTCATTTCATAATAGACATGATAGATGTTGTACCGTCACGAAACAGAACTCCGGCCGAATAATATGCAACAAATAAGTCATACCTGACAAGACAAGGCGAAAAACATGGCTAGCAGGTAGCCGAAACTAGCCAGCGATTACACTATTCTCGACACACCCACTTCTTGTCAACTTCCTTCTGACCAACGCGAACAGCAACTTGGTCCAATGTCGTCTTTAGTGTGTCCTTTGATACTTTCGGGAATCTAGAGGGAGTCAGTACTAGGCAGGTTTGCTGGATATTCATGGGGGAAAAAGGAAACATACCGCTTCTTTAGGAGTTCCACCACACCGAGTTTGCTCAAATCGCATCCATCGACAATCTTTTTGAACTCCGGAAGATCGTCAGGGGGAAAGGTCGCTTGGCTTTGCTCGTGGGAGGCGGAAGAAGTGCAGCACTAACAGCCGTCGCATCAGTTCCGGATGGAACTCTGAACACGTCCAGGGTTTGCCCGCGGTTGGACGCTGGGCCTGACGCAACCTTGTTCTTCGCAGTCGGTGGTTCAACGACACGTGGCTTTTGCCAGTAAGCCGTGGAAAATGGATCGACGGGGAATTTGACACTATCGGAGATGGGCTGAATCTGATATTGTTTGAATTCGTCATCCACACCATCCGTTGCCCATCTGATCCCACTGGAGACCGGCTCAAGGTCTCCCACAATGAGACGACGTTTGCCTCCTACCAAAGCATCGTCCTCATCATCCAAAAAACCGTCCATATCATCCTCGCCCTCATCACTGCCCTCGTCCTCCTCTTCCGAGTCGAGGTCTTCACCTTCCTCAGGCTCTTCCCACTCAGCCTCCGAATCATAATCATAGTTAGTATCTGGCAAGCCACGGTGGTACGGGTTGCGCGAGATTTTCACCGCAATCGATTCCGGCACAATGCGGGTATATGTCCCTTGATAAGGCGGGCGGACATCCTCCCCAAATTTCAGGGACTTCATAGTGATATGTCGCAGTTGATCTTGAGGCTTTGGGCCTTTTGTCTCCGTCAATGGTGTTGAACCGCCTTGAGAAGTCTGAATCTGGTGCAGAATATCTCGCACAGTCTTGCTCTGAGCGCCCCGGCGTCGCCGATAGGGAATCATATGAAAGATTTCGGAAGGACGGAATGGCAAATGCTGATGACTGTCATTTGTCGGATCCAGACTGACATCAATAGTTTCGCGAACATGTTTGAGGGCTTCAGAATCCCGCTCGAATCTATGGGGAGGGGCGACAGTTGTATGGGATTGGAGGAAAAACTCGGGAAACGCTTTTTGGTAATCGGATTCGGCTGGTTGTGCAGTCTCAGCCGTAGCCTCGTCGCTGGCACGTCTCTTGTTAGGCGAGAGAGGGACACCCGACGATGCCGATGAAGGTACTTGTGGCTTTGCGAAGAAGTTATTTAACTTCATTTGAGACTGTCCGACGTTAGTTAGAACGTTGCCCATGGCGCAGTATACACGATTGACAGAACATACTCTCTCCTTCTTCAGCTTCTCCTCCTCCTTCTTGCGCCTCTCCTCTTCCTTTGCAGCATCTTTGGCTGCCTTCTCTTCATCTTTGGCCTTTTTCTTCTCTTCGCGGTCGGCCTCCCGCTTTTTCTTCTCCTCTTCCTTTAGTCGTTTCTCCTCTTCTCGCTCAGCATCGCGTTTCTTCTTCTCCTCCGCCTTTTCTTCTGCCTTTAGGCGTTTTTCTTCTTCCTTTCGTTGTTTCTCCTCTAGTTTCTGTCGCTCCTTAGCGTCCCTTTCCTGCTGCTTTTCCTGCTGCTTAGCTTGTTGGCTAGCCGGGGAAAGCTTTCGTTTCTTGGCAATTGGAGTTGCCTCCGACCCTGCATTCCCAGAGGGCCCTATGTGCTGTTTTTCGGGGGGATTCATTTGGGTACTGGTGTCGGCCGAAGGAAGAGGATTGGTGGACGCAGGACTACCTTGAGACGGACTCATCATTGGAATATCAACAATCGGCATGGGGTTGGCAGGGATAGGACTATCTTTTGGGGGTGTCAAAGTGTCCTTTGTCACTGCGGGTTTGTCGGGGTCGTGGTTCTCTTGGTTCTCGCTAGGGTGATCTGTCAAAGGCCTCTTAGGACTCGACGAAGGTATAGCAGCGTCTTCAACTTCATGAATAGAGCGTTTTCGTGGCCCGGAAGATGGCGACGGCGGAATGGATAGGGGTGGTGGTAGTGGTGATAGACTCATGGCCGAGTCTTGTGGTATGAGAGGGACGTGTCGATTGGTGTCAGCGCTTAGGTCATGAGTCCTGGGACGGACAGAAAAAAAATTTCAGAGAAAAACAATTCAGAACGTCAAACGAAAGAGGGTCCAAGGGAGGACAGGGCGCGTCGCGAACGACAATAGGGATAGAGGTGATCTATCTTGAGGTCCGCAGGAGAGTTGACAGGGGACGCGTTAATCGTTTCGCGCGGCGCGTCCGATAAGGCACGTGTGGGCTTACTAAGGACAAAACCAAGCGCGCAACTAACTACTACATTTGTATGGGACTGGAGGATAAATTTCGTAGTTGATCGTGTTGCAATATTCTTGTTCAGATTTTCTAGATCACAACATTTTCGTGGTTAATGGGGCAGTGTCCACTGAGTGATTGGACTCCTCATATAAGATCTATGTTTGGTCAAAAGAACCTAACAATGTCCCCTGACAAACCAGCATAAAGAACCATGATCTAGACGAAAACAAGCGTTCATCAAGGAACTATCGTGTTACAATTATTATTTCTGTTCAAACTGCAAGCTATGAAGCATAAATAAGGCCGGGAAAGACCCGGATGCAGGGATCAAAAGCGGAGCGCTGAGCTAAAGAAGCCGATTTATTGACTTCCTGCACGAGTATTGTCGCGAGACCGATGTTGTAAGACTGTGAGCCACCGGGAACTGAGAGGACCAGGGGGGTATGGACACGGTAGCAGTCGAAATCAGATCGTCAAGATCTGGAGAGACAAAGCAAAGTAATAGAGTTTCAAGCAGTGGAGGTATTATGTGCAGCGTTGAGAACGTAATCAAAACACTTGGAGATCGTGGAACGGAAAATAACACAAAAAAGATCGGAAGAAGAGATGTAGAGGGACAAGCGCTGCGTGAAAAAAGTACGAGTCTCTGGGACGATCCTCAGTCGCTGAGGTCGGGATTAGCCACGAATAACCGCACGTTGGTCATGGAGGTTGTCCGCTCATCCACACTGCCGCGTCGCCGTAGCTCGTCCGCCTTGCTGGCCTTTTGCGCTGCATGGACGGCCGCACTGGGGGCCTCCATGTCGCCTACCACATCTTCTTGCTCGCTGCTATTCGTTGTGTGGGTTGTGGCAGCATCGTCCTTCACCAATGATGAGACACGGCTCTTCTCCTCGTGAATTTCGGCAGGGGTGTTCTCGGAGACATCAGGGAGATCGGACTTTTCGTTTGGAGGTGTGCTGTTGCTACCCATGGTGCCCTGTGGCCGCTGGTAACCACTGGGATACCGGTTGCTACCCAGAGAACTGCGACCACTTCCCGTTCTTCGGTGCATCATGCCACCTTCAATGCTATGAGAGTCGTCGTCGCCGTCGCCCACCTCATTGGCACTAAGACGGACAGGCACCTTGGCGCCCACCAAGTTGGATGGCGAGAAGTCCAGACCAGCCTTGCCGCCGTGTCTGATCTTGCCGTGAGCGCCTCCTCGGCCGGCGCCGGCGCCGTGAACCTCGAGGTAAGCTCTCTTCTTATCCCGAAGGGCCTGCTCTCGCATCCTGGCATCTTCTGGTTGTGCGCGATCACACCAAACGGTCGCCTTTTGTCGCCGCATGAGGGCTACATATCCGAGCTGAGAGTTGGCCGAACGGTTGGAGGCGCTCCGACGGATATCGACGTCACCGTGCGCCATGGGGTTGCCAGTGGAGTTTGTGGATGTAGTTGTGCTCGACAGGCGTCGCGACTGGGGGAACGGCGCAGGAGGGGCCATCGTCTGCTGAGGCATAGGATGTGGAGGGGCACTTTGATAGTGCTGAGAGCCGCCGTACGGAAGGACTTGGGAGGAAGTGGTGCGGGTTCGGCTGTGTGTAGTCTGGGGTATGGCCGAGTGCGGTGCAAGGTTTCTCGGGGCATCATAGGCCTGATATTGGTAGTTCTGCTGAGGAGGTAGGGGTTTCCGGGGCGGGGGACCCTGGTGAAGAGGCATTCGAAATTCAGTCATGGTGGATGAAGGCTGGGCACCAGCCATGCAATCCTTCGTTTTCAGGTCTTGGGTGACTCTTGTTCACTTGCGCCGGCGCAGGGGGCCGGTAAGTGAAAGGGATAGTAGGGAAGAATATAGGGCACACGTCGCCGTGTACTGTCAGGCAGGAAGGCGTGGTGAGCGAGTCCGATGCGCGCGGCTGACAGGGAACGGGTTCTGCAGTTTCAGCGCCCACCGCAGGATACAGCCACAGGGTCCGCTTTAGGTCCGTCGAAGCGGGGGACTAGCGATTCAAAGTGTCGACCGAGTCGCGGTGTCAACCAATGGAAGGCAAACAATGGCCAGGAACAATATCGTTGGCACCACCGAAGCGCCGAGTTGGGCGTTGACAGATCGGAACGAGGGCTGAGGGTGGCCGCGGCTGGTCAATTGAGGCAAGGGCGTCTGGACGCGGTCGTCGAAGAGAATGCGACGAGCGAGATGTGCACGACTCGAGGGTGGTGAGAGGATAGAAGGAGGGAGCAGAAACAACCTTGGAAGTAGTAGGGAGAGAGGGGAGCGAGGAGACTTTGGCTATCCGCTGCCTTGTAATGTGATTGGACGGCGTGGCGGAACCCGGCGGACGCTGAGCCACCGTCACGCAAACTGAAAATTACAGCGATAACGAGTAAATTACGCTTACCCTCGAGTACTACCCTGGAGTTACAAGTTACAGCCTCTCAAGCTTACTACTCCGATCAGTCCTGGGGCTAGTCATGCCACCCGTCCCCGTCACAGTCACCTTCGCCTCGTTCGGCGAGTGCGACTGCGATCGTGAGTGCGCAAATGCAACGTGCCCGTATTCGCGGTATCCCCGATTGTGTTCCCGCAGAATGGCTGCCCGCTGGCGGAAGTGATTAGTGTGATGATACGCGTCATGCACCTCCAGACTCGCCCATCCCACATACACCACATACGACGGCTGGCCCTCCACCGACTCCACCATCCAGCCGCCCGTCACGCCAATGCAGCCAGGTACCGTCGATACGATGCTCGTCCACAGCTCCCACGTCTTCTCCCACCCGGCCTGGTCACGCGTCAAGTAGATAGCCGTGCCCGTCACTGGCGCCCCATTCCCCAGGCTTTTCGGCTCGGCTGAGAACTCCGAAATCATGGCATGCCGCACGACGAGCGACGCCGTGTCGCTGACCCCTAACGACCTGAGTTGATCGCCGATCCGCTGCCACGCCGGGGACGCGAGGAGGGCGAAATGCTGATGCAGGTTGTCGCGGACTGCAGCCTCGCCAACGGTTATTGCTTTTTCTTCTTTTACGAGCCATGCTTCTAGACTCTGTTGGCTCGGGAATGCTTCTCACCGATGTGTAGGTGGACCTGCGCAGGCTCCTCCACGTGTCGCCCCCAATACAGACGCCGGAATCCTGGCCATTGTTCCAGAATATCCAGTATCTGCGTCCACGTCTGACCGTGTTGGGAGGGTTGGTCCAGCTGGATTTCCTCCTGGATAGGGAGGACGATCATCTGAGTGGGGGCTGCTGGGCGGGTCATCTCGACTGGAGAGAGTTGCTTGTTTTGAACAGGATCGAAGGGCTTGGTTGAACTTAAAAGAACGAGGTCCAAAAAGCTTCCTATATTCTCGGATCTTGTAGAATGCAAATGTCGAGCTACAAGCTAATTGTATTGCCGAGGACCGATGACCGCGGGTGCTTGGATCGTCATGCTGCGGGGTATACATACCCTGCTTCAGGGGTGTTTTTTAAGCGATCGCTGAAAGAATATGATTGTTCGGTCCTTGTCGGCTGCTTAGCACTGACGAGATGCGAAAAGAACCAAAGAGTAACGAGGTATCTGTGTACACGCTCCCAATATGTCTGTTTTGTATGGGGCCCACAGTCAGGGCCTATACAGTGCTTGGCATGAACCGATCCCATTTCAGGGGGAAAGTGACATGATGACCGAAGATGCTAAGAACAAAGCGATAATTGACGGTGTGGCTGGTTCCCAATCAACAATGGGTTGATAATTGTACTATAATCTTTCAACCCCGCTTCCCCCGTTCTCCTTGTTCCCATTGTCACCAAGGAACAACGAACTTTAAACGAGGAAGTTGAATTTCCCAGCGATAAGTCTGACTCTATGCACTAGCCGGGGGCCCATGTCAAGTGTCCAAGCCCCAGGGCGGTAATCCTCGTTTTCTCGGGCGGCTATTGTCCCAGTATACCCCGGGATATTCCCGAGCAGCCAATGACCAGCACTAACCTGCGCAGGATTAATCTGCCGCGAGTCTTGGAATCTTGGAGTAGCTGCAGCATATCATAGGTAAGATGGATGGCATGACGTATTAGGCCTAACTGAGCGTTTGTTCTTTATGCTTGGCCGAAATACTATCTACCGTACATGGATGGGAATCTCACTATTTCTCACATGTCGTGCCTCCAGCCTCTGATAGATAACACCAATCAAGCCCCCTTGCGGCCATGCCAAGCGATCCCACCACCAGTGAGCACACAGTCGATAGGGAATTGGATCATTTTGAATCACCTATAGCAGATATCAGACTAGGCAACTTGTCCGAACGATCGATCAAATCTGGTGTTTCAATAGGGTACCATTCACTGTATTTGCATCGATACGTACAGTAAGGCGCCTTCGAGAAATTTAAGCCACAGCTGCTAGTCCAGTATTGCGCGACCTTAATCCTATCTTGCTAGTAAAAGGTGCGATTGGCCTACAAAGCACGGCATGCCAGCAGATGCAAGACATCTACCTTTTTTTTGCAGAACCAACCCTGACCAGGGACTGCACACGGCATGAGATACCGTTGTAAAGCGGGTCTGCAAATTGACAGACTGCGCCACGCTGCGCCACACAGCACGTGGGGAGGTGGTACTTAGTGGATCCAGATTGGGAAATTTGTTAGTCGTGACGTAAAGATGTTTCAGTGATTCCGGGGTTTCATTCGCAGACAATCGGAGAATCCAAATGTGCCTGATGATGGCAGTCGGTCGAAATCGGGATCAGGTACTGCCCCGAGGCGCGCCTGATAGGAGGCTGAGGCATGACTATCATTGCCGAGTCAGGCGACAGGGCTGACCACAAGAATACGGTATACGAGATCTCTATTGTGGCTGGTATGTACAAGGTGAGACCCCGGAGACCCGTCTCGAGGTGATCTTCTTCATCGGAATTTGGAAGGGTCGTCTCAATCCAAACCGGTTTCATAACTTCGCCCTCCCGTCCACCGAGAAGAGTGCGCCATCCTTCCGAACGACAAAGTCCTTATTGGGCTCCCATCCCATCCACGCCCGCAATGTCTCCACTCCCCCGTCTCCAGGCATGAGACCTCCTCCAGTCCACCCGCCCTCGTCCGGCTTGATAGGGTAGGCGGGTGTCTGCGACAGGTGGACCGCCGGGCGCTGGTCATATCCCGCTGCCTCCAACTCGCTTTGCTCGAAGACGGGGGTGGCGCACGCATCGGTGCCGTCGAAAATGGCTTCCCACTCGGCGCGAGTCTTCTCTCTGAAACGGCGAGTGAAAATTTCGCGGAGAGCAGACCAATTGTCGCGGTCTTCCCGGGCGGGGAGAGACTTTGAATCAAAGCCCAGCCCGCGGAGAAGCGCGGCATAGAATTGTGGCTCGAGAGCGCCGACGGCGAAGTATTTCCCGGCGTCCTTGGTCTCGTAGGTATCATAGTAGGGGCACCCACTGTCCAGCAAATTATCTCCTCGTGGTTTATCCCAGGCAGGAGTCTGGAGTCCTAGGCGCGGGAACGTAGCGAGGTACGCCGATCCGTCCACCATGTTGGCCTCGACGACTTGTCCGCGGCCAGTATGCGACCGAGAGATCAGGGCGAGAAGGATTCCGAGAAAGCACATTGCACCTCCGCCGGCAAAGTCACCAAGAATGTTGCCCGGCGCGAATGGCTTCTCACCTTTCCGTCCGAGCATGGACAGGACACCTGAAACGGCAATATAGTTAATGTCATGACCTGCCATGTCTTTGTATTTGCCATCACGACGGAATCCAGTCATGCGTGCCACGATCAGTCGTGGATTATGCTTGAGCAAAACATCTTTGGGAGAAAGATCGAGTCGTTCTAGTACTCCTGGGCGGAAAGGGTCGATCAAGACGTCGGCCCCTGCGAGGAGGCGAAGAAGAATTTCGCGCGATTTCGGGTCACGGATATCAATAGTAATAGATGTTTTGCGGCGAGTCAATTGGTCGCCGCTGATAGCAGCTGGACGGTCGACGCGAAGGACTGATGCGCCGTAGTCGGCTAGAAGTAGTCCGGCAAAAGGGCCTGCGTGGAAATGGTCAGTGCATGCAATATCCACTCAGTCGAGAGGGCGTACCTGGAGCTAGACCAGCAAGTTCGATGACTCGAACGCCCTGTAATGGTGGAGCAGACATGGTTGTCGAGAGTTTTAGGGTCAACGTCAACGGCATTGGGCGTTTTATTGGGGATCGACGGGACTCCGCAACCGAGGTCCGGGGCGGCACAGCGGGGAACATGTCTGACTTGTGAACAACTTTATGCTTCTTGCAATCCATCTACAGAATCCCGATTTGAGTATTTCAACACAAGTACATTGTTCGGTCCGGATGGTGAACACTTAATCGCCCTCGCCATCGTCGCTATTATCGCTCCCACTGTCGTCATCGTCATCATCATCATCTTCTTCTTCCTCCTCCTCCTCCTCTTCTTCTTCTTCAGACTCCTTTACACTCTCAAAGGCATCTTCCAGATCCTCCTCTGCCTTCTTTGCCTTGGCCTTGATCTTGTGTCACCATTTGGATGCCCTCTCGGGTGCTTCTTCGACGCCGTCCGGGATGTTTTCGACTGCGCCGACCTGACAGCGTATGGTAAACATAACGGTGCCCAAGAAGAGAAGTCGAAAATGGAATAGACTTACTTTTTCGCCGGCTCCATGTGCTATGTTTTCGGACGTATCGGAGATTCCCTTTCCAAACACATACTTATTCTCATGAATCCTTTGGCCTGTTCGCGCAGACTTAAATTAGCACAGCCGATTCCAATGCCTTTCACGGGCCATCAAGATACTGGCTCAGCTCATGAGTGCAAGCTCTGTCCACTTTTCGTCCTCCCGGGCAAATTGCTGCTGCTGAGAAGCTGTGTAGGGATCAACCTCCGGCACAGGAGCGACGACGGAAGCTGCAGCAATTGGCGCCGCAGCTGCAGGAGCTGTATATGCCGCATTGTTGTATTGACCGGACGTATGTGTGTGCTAGAATTGCCATGAACGTTCACCAGTCTGAGCGTTCACATAGTATTGCTGGGATGTCGAGTTGAACTCTGCTGTCCATGGATAGGGAAGAGTCTGCGGAGGCTGAGGAGCATAATATGAATTTCCAAAGCCCTGCTGACTCGGACTCATGGGTTTGTATGTCTGATGCCCATAGACTTGAGCAGGAGCTGTATAGATGGAGTTGTATGGCTGGTAGGTGGGTCTTGATCTGGGGGGCTGTTGTGAGGTGCTGCTATTCCCGAGCTTTTCACTGAGCTTGTGGAAAAGTCCCATTGTTCCAGCTTCACGGAGTGGAATGACTGCGAAAGAATAGCTGATGGAGGTGAAATAAATCTTCAGCTGCAAATCCACAGAATTAATGTACAAAGGCAATGGAGGCTTGTCTAAATAGCAAACCTCCCTGTCAGGCTAATGGGGAATATAGCACGAGGCTGTATAGAGGATCCACCCCCGTGATTTTCCACATAGCATCGCGCCGATAGTCACTTTATTTTACCAATTCCCAAGCTGCAATAACTTCTGGTAGCTGCCATGTGATATAGCTGAGTGGTTAAACCAAAAATCGATGGATTCCGTAGTGATTGTCGCATTCGGACAGCCTTGTCAATTCTCACAGGGAAAGTGGAGAGCTGTCAATCGTACACGAACTCAGCAGCTCAGAAGAACTGGGTTAAAAATTTTATTTCAAAATTATACACGAGCATGTAAGTATCGTGTATCGTCAATCTAACTCATTCATCTCACAACTTAACATCACATCTCAGCTCCAGCTTTGCGCCCCATTCTCCAACCTCACTGACATTTCCTCACCAATGGGAGATCAAGATCAACCCAACAGCTGCCACTGCAGAAATAATCATTCATATCCCACGAAAGGCTGAGCCAGCCTCAAATATTGGAGGCCAAATTGCGACAGGCCGAGATACTCCTGATAATCAACGCCTCCTCATTGAACTGGGTGTGATACTTCTGCTTCATCGCAGCAGTCAAATCCCTCGCATCAGAGATCCCCTCATCCAAAAGGTTCTCAAAATTCTCAATATACCATCTGGTGTTTTCCAGATGAAAAGTCCCATCCATCTCATGAGGCGTGTCCCGGCACAACCAGTTCAGGATGTAATATCTCAACCTTGCGCGCGCTGGCGATCCACGCCCCACGCTTCTCTCGTGTGTTCGTCTCAGAAAGCATCTGGTGCACATCGCCGCACACGTCTAGTTCGAGAATCTGGGGTCCAGAGAATCGTCGAGTCGTGCGTATCCGTTTGTCCGACCTCGATCGCGTGAAGGGTATGCAATTCGAGCTTGATGGTTCGTTCGGGGCCTATGGACTTGGCGAATTTCTGGTGTGCGGGTATTTGCCGCGCGAATCGAGAGGCCCATGTTCGCTGGAAAGTATGTTGTTCGAGCTGTTCTTTCATGTGCGCAATGGTGCCGGGTGTTACAAGGGCTGTCAGGCCCGTCAAGGCTTGTTGGAGGACCGGGATGCCGAAATGGTCTCCATTGCCGTGGGTTATGTGGACAATTGTTAGTTTCTTTGATGGGATGCGGGCCTTGATCCAATCTATTAAGTGCTGCATCTATTCTGTTGTGATCGGCGTGTCTACTAGACTGCTTCAGATGTACCGTGGATGAGGGTGCAGGAGACCGGGGATCAGAAGCCGCCTTGCTTGCCGTTAGGCTTGGTCCAGGGGACGACGGGGCGACGTAGATGTCCGCTCGGAGGGAAGTCATGATGGATCCAGATGAATTAATTTTTTACCAAGGCACTGACTACTCAGCCATCTCGATTTCAGAGACGTGGTTTTGCTCGATTTCGTAATCGCGAAGTACAAGATACCCCGGGCCGTGTTTGGCACCCTCACGGGAGAGCAAATGAGATGAATAAACAAGACAAGAGGGATGGTGCAAAAGTCCGTATGAGACGATAATGCAATGATCGCAACAGAGTATTCGTAAAAGCGTCAAGGGCGGGGCGGCAGTTGACTTACAAAAACCATTGAATGAATCACTCTACCAATTCTAAGCTAACGAGATCAGAGAAGAGGCACAGATCGGTGAAAAGAAGAGAAGGAAAAAACAATCATAGCCTAGCAAGTACAGTCCGACAGCCAACATTTCAAGTAGGAAAAAGTGGCATGTGCGACTCGATATTCAAGAATATAAACCAAGAAGCTCAAAAGTTCACATCAACACAACCGTAGAAACGAAAGCGGCGAGACCGATGCTGAAGAGGTTTAGCAGACCGACCTGAGATCCAGCTGCGTTGAATACCGGTGAGACACCCTCTCCACTGCCGGTAGGACTGGAAGTCTGCACAGGGGCGGCGGACGAGGTTTGGATGGTAAAGCTGGATGTCAGGGTAACCGGACGGGGACCTCCGCTCGAAGCTCCCTTGATAGACGACGAGCCATGAGGAGGGAGCACAATCACAGAGCTGCTGGCGCTGACCTGGGGATAACCACCGGGGCCAGATCCCGCACCCTGTCCCTGGGAGGTCCCGGCGGTCTCCACGGCTGTCGTGGTCGAGGCAGCGGGAGTGTAGGGCACCGTGACAGTGATCGATGAGCCAGTAACACCGCAGTGCTTGCAGAAAGTGACAGTGGTGGTCCAGTGGACTGTCTCGATGGCCAAGGCTGCAGGAGGGATCTCCACTGCAGACTCAGTTGCCGTCGTGGTGGCAATGGGCTTAGTGAGGGTGACAGTAGTCGGGGTCGTGGCACAGTGGATGCAGACAGCCACCGTGGTGGTCCATCCCTCGGGAACTGATGGAGTGGTCGAAACAGCACCAGAAGGAGGGTTGGTCACACTAGCGGTAGCGGTGGCTTCAGGGCAGACAGTTGTTGTGATAGTAGTTGTGACGGTGGTAAATCCAGTTGAGCAAATGTCCGTGTACGATGTAACGATAATAGTGGTAGTCGTCGGAGGGGTCGTAACTTCTGGCACGGAAGTAACTGCTGGGGAGGTCGCGGCACCCGAAGATCCAGTTGTGGTCGCACCGCTGCTTCCAGTGGGGTTAGCACCTCCAGATGATCCATTGTCAGTGGTACCGCCAGTGGTGCTTGAGCTTTCGGTAGCAGATGCGCCTCTGGTAGTCGAAGACTCTGAAACGCCAGTAGAAGAGGCAGTGGATCCAGACTCGGTCGAAGAGCTGGTACTGGAGCCGGTACCGCTTGTCTGACTTGAGACGGGAATGCTGCTAGCCAGAGTATGAGACGGCTTTCCAGAGGCAGAAGGCGAGTGAGGAACAACAGTGGTACTGCTAGCAGATCCGGAAGCAGATGACTCCGTGACGGTCTCGGCCGTGGAGGAAGTGGACGACTGGCTCGATGAGATCACGGGACCGGAAGAGGGTCTGCTGGTTCCCGGAATGTGAGTTGGCTTGACTAGCGACGAACTCGAGTGACCGGCAGGCGTGGTATGTGCCCCAGAGGGAGTCGAAACGGCAGAGCTGCTTGATCCCGAGGACGATGTCTCACAGGGAGTAGTGCTGGGCTTGGCGGTAGGCTTTCCAGAAGAGGGCTTGCTGGTTGAAGCCAGATGGCTAGAATATGGGGAAGAGCTCGAGCTGCCACCGGTAGGATGAACGGGCGAAGAGGTGGATGAGCCAGTCACGGAGCTGGAAGAGACGACAGCGCTGCTAGAGTGCGAATGGCTCGAGGTTGAGGGGGAGCTAGAGGGCACGATGGAGCTAGACGAAACGACGGAGCTGGAAGGCGCAGAGCTGCTAGAGTGCACATGGCCGGAGGGCGAGCTAGATGGCACGGCAGATGGAGTAGCAGATGGAGTGGCAGACGGGGTAGCAGACGGGGTAGCGGACGGGTTAGCAGAGCTGCTGTGAACCGGAGAGCTTGGGGTGGACGAAGCGGGCTTGGACGTAGGAGTGACCCAGATGGTGGAAGTTGAGCTCGGCGGGGGAGGGAGAGGCGAAGGATCACAGTCCCACAGGATGTGTTTCATCTGCTGCGAGTAGTCGAGTCCATCGATGGAGTTGTTGTCCGCTGCCGTAGCCTCCCAAAGCATGACACCTCCAAAGGTGTCAGGGTAGAGGTTCATATACAAATCAATGAGCGGGTACACTTCCTCGGGTGTCAGGTAGAAACCGTCGGCGGCAGCCTCCTCCGATGCTGGCAGACCGACGAACAACTTTGCATCGGAATTGGCACTGTTTTGGATGACATTCACCCAGTCAATGAAATTAAAACCGCCGGTGCCGTTGACGAAGTCCATGGCCGAGCATCCAGCGGTGTTGTACCACTGAACCCAAATAAAGTCAAAAGCCGCGTGGGAAATAGCATAGCTGAGTTGTTCATCCGGGAGTTGGCACTGGGGAGCACCAGAGATGTAGAATTTTTGGTCGGGGAAGTCGTCGAAGTGGGAGCGGAGGCGGTTGATCATGGTAGCGTAGCCTGGATCAGTTAGATTTTGACACCTGCAGCAGGTATGTGTTCTCCGGGGGAGACCGTCTTACCGTAGCCACCATCGTGCTCAATATCGAAGTCGAATCCATCAATGGTGTTGTCTTGGAACGGGCGAGGGAAGCTCGAGTTCTGATTAGGAGGACCGAATGAATACCACAAAAAGTCGGCAAACCACTCAGCAACTTCGTGCGTGGGAATGTTTTGGTAGGCCGTGTCACCACCAATGGACAGCAGGATAGTCTTTCCCATGGCCTTGCAGACAGGAATATCCTCCCAGATTTGGTGGCATCCCTTCAGAAGCTCAGTGCCCTCATACAAAGTGCCGTCACACTGATTGCCGAAGTTGGAACCTGGCCAGTCTCCGACAGCAGTGGGAAAAACATTAATGAATCCCAGGTTGATAATATCAAGCGAAGTCTCCTTGCAGAAATGGCTGAGCCGTTGCTGGTAGGCACCTTGACCCTAGAAGCAGTGTAAGTTAGACGCCGACTATTGAGATGGTGAGAGGTTTGGTAGTCATGAACGTACGTAGTAGATGGCCACATTAGACTTTGAATCAACGTTTAAAGCAGATGAAACAGGAACGAGGGCTGAAAGCGCCGCCGCAGCGGCGAATGACTTCATGAAACCCATTTTCTCAACGCAAGACGAATAATGAATGGCAGCTTGAGTCGAATGAATCGACCAGCTCGTAATAAAGGAGCGAAGGGACCGTCTGTCCGGACAAGGAGAACGAAAGGACGCGAACGAAAGTCCGCTTGGGCAGTTTGTCACCTCAGGATGAAGGATGGAGCACCCTTTCGTCTATATATGCAGGAGAACCAGGGGGAAATGGAAGGGAAGCTGCATTAAAAAGCCACGAAATTATACATCGTCTTCGGAGGATCGCTAACGTAACGCCGCCATCAGGTGGCCCACCCGATAGATAGTCTTTGCTGCTAGCCGGCTAAGAGAAATGACTACCACGAGTCAGTCGTAGCAGGGACAACATGGTGATGCTGTGGCTCATCAAAGCAAATCCTTGTTTTCTTCCAGCCTAATAAGCTAGCCTCGGGCTTGAAGCCACTCCACATTGCGCCATCGACGAATGACAGGCGTATGTACTGCTCCAATTGAACAGGTCGGATCCGAAGGAGAATGGCGGGGCATCTCTCGGTCAGATGCCTTTGCGGCTGTCATGGAGAATTTACCACTCTTGTGAATTCTTGCAGAATTATCCGGCTTGAATGATTCTGAATCTGGAGCATTGAGATGAAGATGAGCATTTCCATTCGAGATTGGTTTGTCGAATGCAACAAACACCTGGGACAAAGCGCAGCGTTGGCTTGTGTGCTGGCGCGGAGGGGTTGCAGCGAGCCACGCGCCCTTGGCATCATCAGAAGAGCCGCATGAACGAGGCTTAAGCGGAGACAGAACCAGGGTCCGGGCACCGTTCGGAGCAAATTAGGAACGGGGGCGATTTCCGAGCATCAGAATCGGGTCTAATGTCCGGTGAAGTCCGCTCTGGCAGACCATAGGCAGGGTCTTGATCGGGCTAAGCAACGCTAACCCAGTAGTTCACCTTGGAGCCAGGAACCACCGAATCGTCTGGATTGCTCGGCCGGACGAAGTCGGTGCCCAGCAAAAGGGTCGGTATGATTTATCAGTTTGCAGTTCTGTAGATTGCACTGGTACACAGGCAGTATGGTATCGCTATAATTGACCACATCAATCGCGATGCTGACGTATACCGATCGGGCTTGTCTGGTGGTAGAAATGAGGCGACTGCAGGTTTGCAAGCGAGCGCAGAGGGAGCGTCCAGCCTGCGCTAGCGCCAGCCTAGCGTGCCAGGCACGCCAATCACGGCGGAGAGCTGGCAGGGTCGGAAGTCAACCGGATCAGCACGCCGTTTGCCATCTCGGTTAGAAAAAGCAAGCCTTGGCTTGTGCCTGTCCAGTGTGGTGCCTCAGAGTGGTAAAGGCGATAAGAGTACGCTGGAAGTCGGTCTGATCCCGCTCTCCGACACCAAGCGTATACTATAGGAGCGGGGGAGGCGGTCAACCATCGAAATTACCAAGGTAGCCCTGCCATAATTTCCGATCTACCACGAATGCTACCCTAATCACTAGGGTACTTGAGGCTAATGTCCTAGTATTTCGGGTTGGCCTTGACTAATTGTACGATTGTTTTTTTTCTTTAACCCTTTCGACACCATTCAGGTCTATTCGAGGGTCGTTGCATAACCAGGAAGTACTTCGGAGAGACATACTGGATGTACATACTAGAAGTAACGATGCGATAAGATGTTTGAGAGGCTCGTGGATAGACTGAATTTACAGGCACTGCGAATCTCTTCGGCCCCCAAACTCATCTGCCGGTAAGGCTAGCCTGCACCAAAGTTCACCTTCGCCCCATACCGACCAAATCGACCAAATCGACCAAATGGCTACCAATATCGCAAGCAGGTACCCCAACGGGGCGAGCTAATCTCGTAAATGTCTCGGTAGCCACCGCGCTTGCTCAATAGTGTCTATTGAGCGACCCTTTATTCTCCGTATCCCGACCGATTGATACCATATACCTGCTACGGGTGGGAGTGCGAGCAACTGGAGCCAGGACCACCATCAATGCAAAAAGACAGGGGAAGATAGTGGATATTGAAGAATACTCTTGAAAGATCCTGCATTTGATTCTCTATGTTTGCTCTCGTGGGTCTTGCCTAATGATATCCACTCGTATATTACAACAAGCTCATGACAGAATCACCGCCTTGATCGATTTGCTCTCGGGGTTCGACGCCGTCTGGAAGGCCTCGACATCCTTTCCAGTGAAATTCGATGCATAGTGCGTCGAACCAAATCAATCATTCCACTCTCCAACACCCGAACAGCCCTCGGCCACATACTGACATAACGCTGCTGGAGCTGCAGATCGACCTCATTCGCACTGCACCGCGTCAACGGGATTTCCATATTATCCTTGCCAACCCGATGACAAAAATCTTTCCTCCGAATTTGACTGTCGGGATAGGACTGCAGACGGAACTCTGCGCTCCAGTACAATCCAACGCTGTCGCGATCTCGACGTTGTCACCCAACTGTTCGGCAATACTCGTCCCAAACAGCTCCAGCATTTCTCCCTTCGTGACTTGGTGCGTGAAGACGCGAGGCATGATAAGACTTGGCAAACTCCAGTCATGTCTCATCAATGTCCGTAATAACAATATGATATGCTCCCGCCGCTTGACAGACATGTAAGGTAATTAGACCGATTGGTCCGGCATCCACAGATCAGTACTGGACCTCCAATCTTCACCTCAGAGCGAGTCACGGCTGTCAGCGCCACACTCTGCAGCTCGAGCAACGCGCCCTGATCGAATGAAAGGCTGCAAATCTTATGACACCAAGTGGCAGGTTGGTTGACATATCGGCGCATGAGACCGTGAGAAGGAGGACTCGAGCGGAAGATCAAGTTCTTGCAGTCATTATAGCGGCCGATGAGGCAAGGCTCGCAAGCACCGCAAGTGATATACGGCTCGACAGCCACGTGGTCGCCCACGGCGAGCTTCGTGACGCTCAGATGCACGGCAATTACCATGTCTGCAGGTTCGTGGCCCAGAAGGTATGGGTTGGTCACTTGCCAGGGTCCAATACCGCCATGCTTCCAGAAGTGAACGTCAGAACTACAACCATCTCGTTAGCTGACTTACCCCAACATACGAGTATCGGACTCTATTTTCATTCCGATGAAGGAATTTGGAAAGAATTTGGACTTAACCGCAGATTCCTGTCAATTTGACGATAGTGACCTCCCCAGGCTGCAGGCCATTTGGGGTCGTTGCATCCTGAGCAGTGGGAGCTGCCTCGTCCAGCCAGAGGTTATGCTGTGCACCGATGTACATGCCCACGTTTGAGGCCATATTTTAAGATGTTTCATCAGCAATGGAACCTATCTTGCTCTGCAACAACTTCCACTCTGAGAACTGCGAAGAACTTGGACTTCTCTTACTCCGGGTAGCACAATGCCTTTTATGCTGGATGTCCAGAGAGAGCCCACCGCAACAAATGCCTTTTTTTTTTGAGAAGTAAGCGAGCCGAATGCCTCTCTGTCTTACGCCAACTGCATTGTACTCCATGTACTGGCTACAAATGCACTGAGGAGAGTGGAATATGGCGCATTATTTCCCCCGTTCATAAAATATAGGGAACGCTTAAATTTCCGGGGGAGGCAACCATCGGATGACCCACATGTACCTCTTCATTAGATACTATGAGGTGCGACTTTCGAATACCACTCGCACCTATAAAGCAACGTAGAAATACCAAAATTCATCAAGTGACAAACCTGTTCAGTTTCATTCCTCTCAAGTCTTTCTTTGGTGTGAATATACTATCATTTCGTCCAATATACTGCAAATATTCACAAAACCCGCTCCTTTACCAAGCCCAATATACCAAAATCAAAATTTCGCTTCCCGTCGCAAGCTCCAAGAGACTCCTAGGCCTCCTCAGCCTCAATGAAAGGTGGTAGTCGTCACAGGTGCCTCCGGCACCCAGGGCATTGGAATCGAAGCAGCCCGCGCCTGCGCAGAGCTCAGCGCCGACATCGCCCTGACATACCTTTCCCGCACCGAATCCTGCCTACAGAATGTGGAAGACCTGACTCGCGAGTTTGGCGTCACCGTTTATGCTTACTCTTGCGACATCCGTGAATGGTCCTCTGTCCAGGAAACCGTCTCTCAAGTCCTGGCTCGGACGAATCGACACTTTTATTGCGAACGCGGGCCATCCGACTGACTGCGGGGTCCTTGAAGGATCTGTCGAAGCCTGGGAGAAATTTATCCATTCTGATTTGAATGGGACATTCCACTGCGCCAAGGCTGTTGGTCCCCACTTTGAGGAGAGGGGATCCGGAAGCTTCGTGATCAGTTCGTCAATTTCGGGGCATGTCGCAATTTATCCGCACGAGCAGACGTCATATAATGTTGCGAACGCTGGATATATTTATCTGGCGAAGCCTTTGGCGAATGAATGGTGGGATTTCGCGAGAGTTAACTCGGTCTCGCCTGGTTATGTTGAGACTGGGACTTTGGACTATATCCCCAAGGAAACAAAGGAAATTTGGGAGTTGTTGACTCTTATTGGATGCATAGATAGTCCGAAATCTGAAGGCCATCAATGCTTATCTGGCGAGTGATGCTAGTTCCTATACTACCGGTTCACATATTGTTATCGATGGGGTTATACCGTCCGTTAAGTACCTAGAAGGATTCATCTCAGTGGTACAACTTGTCACAAGAGACCAAGGCTATCATTCCCTAATTCCTGAAAGGAATACGGATCTGAATGACGTTGGAATCACCTCCCAAGCAAATGTCTGACGGATTTCGGTAATTGTTGGATACTCGGATATCCGGTATACTCACTCATTCCAAGATGCGACTCGACACTGATATCATGACGAGGGGTCAACATCGATTCTATGTAGGGCGCAAACACATTATTTCCCTGCATTCCCAGATTACTGGTCAGTTTTAGCACACATTTCCTGAGACGCAGAAAAGATCGTCGCTGGCAGCGCGGCGGGGAAACCCCCACTTGCGGCGACCCCCACTCGATGTCAAGGCGCCACGCTGGAGAAAAGACCAGCCCACCCCGGAAATTTCAAGACGCCAAGCCACTTTCTACATCAATTTCACGATCTGGACACTGCACCCCCGATCTTCAAAATGAGCGGCCCGATAGAGTCATTCACCACCGGCCCACCCATCTACTGCCCTCCAAAGGGCCGCATGGTCCTGGGCGAGGGTCCTATTTACCGCGCCAGCGATTCCACGCTGCACTGGTTTGACTGTCTGTCCACACCAGCTGAACTATACATCCTTCCAGTCGATCCAGTAACCGGACTGCCGACAGGCAAAGAAGCTCGCATTCTGCCCCTAGCCGATAGCATCAGCGTTGCGGCGTTTCGTCGCGATAGGCCCGGTAGCTATATTGCGGCACATTACCAGGGCGTTTGCTTCCTGGACGAAGCAAGTGGCCAGTTTGAACTTGTTCGCGAGATTATCCCGAAAGCAGAGCGAGATCAGCGTCGGTTTAATGATGGGGGTGTCGATGCTGCTGGTCGTTTCTGGTTGGCAGAGATAGATGTCAACGGTGTGAACTTTGACCAAAATGCTTGGCCCGAGGGCTATGGTGAGCCTAAGGGAAGACTCTGGAGATATGATCCCGATGGCAGTTTGCATATGATGATCTCTGGTGGGATTTTGTGTGGGAATGGAGTGAAGTGGAGCCCTGATAATAAGACCAGTAAGTAGTTGAGAGTTGATCTCAAGTTTCTGGACTGCGGGTAGAGCTAATGAGACATGCATAGTGTATCTCAATGACTCTGTCGGGATGAAGATTACGGCTCTCGACTTCGACCTCGAAACTGGCAATGTTTCGAATCGGCGTACCTTGGTTGATTTCCGTGCCACTGGTGCGGAGCCAGATGGATTGGTTCTCGAGTAAGCTATACCCTCCTCCGATCGAAATCAAATGCTTACCGAGCCTCGTAATAGCACCGATGGTAACCTGTGGGTTGCTGTATATGCCACGAGCAGCATCATGGTCTTCAACCCGGACGGCCAAAAACTCAAGGAAATCAAGCTGCCAGCAAAGTACATTACGTGTCCGACATGGGGTGGCAAAAACAATGACATTCTATACATGACGACCGCACGCGATCGTACAGATAATCCGGATCCCAGCGATGATGGTGGACACATGTACATGTTTAAGCCCAGCGGCGTCCAAGGGCACGTGAAGTATGAGTTCCCAGGCTAAGCCAGCCGGGATTCCGCCATCTACAGAACGGGAAAGAATCACTAAATAGGTCACATATGCATCCATCACTTGGAATAACTAGGGAAAAAGCATGAGATAATAGAAATTCTGGATTTAATGGATATGGCCGAGGGTGGCTTTTTTCTCCCAGAAGGCATCATATACTTGACACGCGTATTAGAAAAGAGTCCAAGCAGAGTAATGCTGAAAGCGTTGAGCGAATCGATTATTCGGTCTGAAATAAAAGGGTCGCGTAATTTACGTGGAGACTTGGCAGTAAATCGTGTACTTCCAGACCAAATTCGATGGAATGGGCCTCGCGTGGCCCTTGCTCGTACTGACCAGGCATGCTGGAGTATAACCGTCGCGTTTGAGCGACGAAGTTCACTGTAGCCCGCTTGGAGCAGCTCGTATAGAGGATACTTGCACATTCCACTTTTTAGCAGCAAGCGAGACAGCTCCTGTGCGATCCGATGTCAAGTATGATGGGTCTTAAAAGCTCCTGGATGCTCGGCCAGCAAGGACCGGCCCTTGAGGCCGCTCGGGCCACATGAGAGCAGCTTTTCGATGGCAGCTTCCGTATTTGCGGTTAATCGATTAGCGAGTAATTCGATCACAAAAATGAGGTTTTATTAAGCAGCCTCCAGTTGCGTTCGTGTTGTATCGCTGGATATGTGTTATCGGAAAGGGTGGGCGGCCATCGACTTCCGCGTCATCGAGGGATGTTCACCTGCGGGAAACCAACGCCGTTCCACTCACCACTCACCACCCACCACAGCACCAGGCGAACAGCCCTGTCTGGCTGCCCCTCGAGGGCGACCCTGCTCAATTGTCCGGCAAATGACACTGGATTCTTGAAAACCTCCGAGGCTTCCATTCTCAGGGACTGAAACGACCTGACGTCGAACGGAGTCGATCCACAGGGATGGCGACAGCGCGCTTGTTGGCAAACACACCCCTAGGTCTGCCGAAGGCTCCCCCGCTGGCAACATTCCAGTAGATCAGCAGATTAGATCATCGACAGGAGATGAAGTGCGCTGGTGCAGGCTGAGGTCGCGGCTGGGATTCTTGCCATGCCGACCCCTCGGCTGGCACATTCCACCCCTCCACACTCTGGCGCGTCGACGCGCTCTCAGCCTGCCAGCGCCTCATTTAATTCCCTTTTTAGTCCTGGCCTGTTCCGCGGCACTCGACACGCCTTTCTTTTTGCCCATTGATGATTTCCTAAGCGGGCTGCACCTGGGTCAGGCGGTTGTTCGGCGTGTTTCCGATTCTATACTCGCTGTGCCTCTCCTCGGTGACTTTCACAGTCACCTTTCTAGGGCTCGCTGCTTCGATCGGAATATTCAAGCGAAGCTTCAAAGCAGCTCGCACCGGAATACCCATCATGGCTACCGGATTTTCACCAGCACCGCGGAAAGAGGGCACTTGGACCAAACTTGTGATCTTTGTTGCCCTCTATCTCTTGATTCTCGAGTCGATGCTACAGCTAGTCCTCGTCTTGTTCCTCTATGGCAATCACCAGGTCGACTCGAAGATGACCGTGAGTCTGGTACTATCTTTGGTCTCGGTATGTCGTCCATCGTTCTTCCCACTGCTTGTGCGTCACTAACCTCATATAGTCTTTTTTGACGATTCCTCTTGTATCCCTTCAAAGCCTCGTCGCTTGGCAATACAACAAAATTGGTGGATTTGGCGAGCAAAAGACAGTCTTGCACAATGTTTGCTCTTACGTCTACCGACTTGACCTCATGCTTTGGCTGGCTACCAGTGTCTCAGGCCTGGTAGTTGCGGCCCAGCAGGTCTACTGTTTGCCAGAAGGAACGGATGCCACCTTCTGGCGAGTTGGAATGAGCTGTGCTTTTCACCGTTCGACTGTCATCGTCTCCGTCGTGACTTTGTGAGTTCTTCGTCATCTATCCTTCCCAGACTTATTCTAATCATATCCAAACAGAGTCACTGTCTGTACTATGTATTGCGCGAGGGAACTATGCGACCGACCATATGACGTCTCGATCATCGGCATCTACAAACGCCAGCAGGCTATCCGGAATGGCAGCATTCTGTCAGGACACAGCTGGGATAGTGATGAGACCCTCAAAAACGAAATTCTCAATCTCTGTCGCCAACACGATGGCAAGGTAGGGGAGGAACCTTGGTACATCGATCCTATTGCGAACAAGGTCAGCTGCCATCCGAGTATCCGGCACCCTGCTCCAGTTCGCCTGCGACCCCAGCTTCGTGTCAATACCAACCCGGGCTCGGAATACGGCGAGATCACCTCTGGTACCACCCTATCTCCAGATGATTCGTACCCTCGTATTTCTCCTAGCGGTCAAACGCTCACTAGTGACTTCTGCCCTATCTCTCGAACATCTACCGTCTTGACCACCCACACCTCCGAGTCCAAAAATTTGCTCGCCGACTTCATGGCTCCCAAAGTGCCACCAATCCCCAAGCAATATACTGCCTATCACAAACGCGGAAAGTCGTCTCTGTCTTCGCTGAAACGCTTCCTTCCCAAGTCATTCCCGCTTTCCTTGCCTTTGTCTTCGGATCCCCAGATTCGCGCCCTGACCGACCCCAATGCCGCATCAGATGTCGAAAAACAAAGTGTCACTCCTTCCATCAGCAAGGACCAGCCCGAGACCACAACTCAAGTGAAAACCACAAGTGGTGAGACGACTGTTTCGACAAAACCCACAACAACTCAAACTCCATCGAACCCCACCGATCAAACCACTGCCAAAAAGCCCGAGAGTCACAATCGGACTATGACTATGAACTCCGCCGATGCCCCTGAGGTTGTCGTCGCACCGGAGCCAGCTAAGGTGCGACGATCTCAGACAGAATGTCTCACCACAGCCGGCGGCTCCATTCACCATCCCCATCATCCTAACTACGTCCCCGGTGCCGCGCCATCGCCTTCGCTTGTCTCTACTCCTGGCCCAATCAACCCTCGCAAATACTCGGCGTCTTGCAGACAAAACAACGCCATTCTCCCGATGCTTATTCCAGCACCTCCCCGAAGCACTTCCCGTCAAGCCCCGCAACAGCCCCGTGTTGCGCAACTCCCTGCCCCGGTCCGAAGCAGCTCCTACTCCTTCGAGCAATCACACATCTCTCGCCATACTCAGAGCCAGTATCACCCTCAATACTACCCTCCTCAGCCGCTCCCCACCCGCTGGGCAAGTCAGCATGTCTTCGACCCCAGCTGTGTCATCCCGCCTTCTCGCCGTAATGACGTCGAAATCATCTATCCGAGCACTCGTCGGCCCCGCAGCAGTACCCACGGTGGACTGAATGCCCCCTGAGCTGCATCCTGGAGGGAACTCCTGACCCTCGTGCGTCCGTGGACGAAATCCAACTTGGTGCCACTGAACCCCGACGCAGTGTCATTGATCAGAATACCTACCGTGGTGCAAACCGTACCAGCATGAGCTTCTATTAGAAGAGTCTCATAATGTACTACACTGTCTGCCGGTCAGACTTCATTCTATTTTGCTTTCTCAGTGTTGCTCAACTTGAAGGTTATACGATTGTATTGTGAGGACTGTTTGCAATAGGGAGCGTTGTTCTTGTCGTTACTGTTCCTGTACTTCGAGATCTCGATACCAAGCTTTTGATCTATACTACTTTTTCTATAGTCAAAAATTGAATTCAAAAAATACGACTTAACGAAAGCAATTGAACTTGAAATTTTCAATTCGAACTATCTTAACACCGAGAAACGAAGATTCGCAATGCGCCCTCGTTACATGCTTAGAATGAACCTCATGCACCGACCCATTGACAGTATGCGCATGAAGGAAAGAATCCCAGAAAAGTAGAAAGGCTAATACAAAAGTTGAAGTCGAAAAAAGAAGGCAAGTCAGAATTCAAAAGCCAGCAAACAAACAGTCCAGAATTTAAGTCTTCCGCTCGCTATTCTTAGATTTGTCTTTCTTTGCGTTCTTGTACCGATACGCCTGGCCTTGTCGGGCGCCGGTAGACTCACCAGTCTCACCAGCCAAAGGACCAGGCCCAGGACCCATTTCCTGTTCACCCCAAGTCTGCATAAGAGCCTTGGCCATGCGGTCACGGTCCTTCAGCAGCAGATCCACTCGTCGCTCCCATTCCTGCTCTCTCTTGTCAACGGACAAGGCAATGCGCTTATCGAGCTCGGCGGCTGTTTCATCCTTAGCAGCGATGATCTCATCCTTCGCAGAAATGACGGCTTCAAGACGCTTCATCTCCGTCTTGAACGACTTGCGCAATTTGGATTCTCGCGTCTTTACTTCGCTGCGCATATTCGTGAGTTCAGTGCGAAGGTCGGACTCTCGTCTTTCGGCGGCCTCGAGAAGGTTGCGGATCTTGCGCATCGATTCAGCGTGGGAGGAGCGAAGTGTCGACACGGCAGTTGAGTGAGCAGTTTGAATGCTCCGGATCTGGGCTTGATGCGACTCTTCCAGAGCGGCAGTATCGACATATCCTTGTTCGTCTTGAGCACCACGGGTCATTGGTGGTGATGGAGGAGGGCTAGGTGGTTGGCCGAGTGACTCTTCTTGCAGCCGAGCAACAATTTCAAGAGACTCCGCGTGCTCCTCTTGGGTGCGATTCAGTTCATGCTGTGTCTTGTTGAGAGTTGCGCTCAGTTCCTCGACTCGCTTGGAAAGTCGAGAATTCTCTGTTTCGATGGTCTTGAAGAATGACTGAGACTCGGCAGCTTGTTCACGAAGGCGGCTGACTTCGGCGTCTGCGGCCTTTTGGGCAGCAGTGGCATCTTGAGCTTCTTGCTGAAGTCTGCTGATTTCATTCTTCACATCAATAAGATCATTCTCGTACGGGAAATGATCCTTCGCAGGTGATTCAGGGCCAAGGTCGACGTTCGAGTGGCCCAGGTCCTTGATCAAGTCGAGAATTTCGCTGTAGGTGGTGTGACCACCAGCGTTGCTGCCGCCAGGGAGATCGGCGGCAACTGCCTTCAGGGCGTTCTCTTGTGCCTCAACCTGAGATTGGACACGGCTGAGGTCTGCTTCGAGAGACAGGTTCTTTTCCTCGAGATCCTCGAGGGGCTGGTTCTGTGTTTCCATAGCAGTAAGGCGATCCTCAAGAGCTTGGTACTCAGTGTTGACTCGATCCAGTTCCCAGTCCAGGCGCTCGTTCTTTAGGGCCTGTTCGCTCATCTCTGCTTTGAGGCCGTCGATTTCGGTGTTCTTTTCGCTAAGCTGTATCTCATTCGCCCGTGTAGCCTCTCTCAGTTTCTCCAGTGCTTCGGCGAGGCTTTGATCGCGCTGTTTCAGTTGATCCTGGCTCAGGTTGAGTTGCTCGCGCAAATGGGCGATTGTCTCCAATCTCTCCGCCTCCAGAGAATCCTGCAAGCCCCGGTTTTGGAGCTGGTGTTGCAAGTCACGAACTTGTTGTTCAAGAGCATTCACACTCTCCGCCTTGGTCTGCGACTGATCTAGGAGCTTCTGGCGTTCCTCGCTTTGCTTCTGCAACGACTCGAGCTGCTCTCGGAGGATTTCCTCTCCGTTCTCCCGAGCCTCGAGCTCCTCCACGTAGTCATTCTTGCGTTGAATCTCCATCTGGAGGTGCTTGATTTGTTCGCCTGCTGAGGCAGCCTCAAGGACACGCTTGCGATTCCTTTCGAGTTGATCATCGCGATCCCGTACATCCTCTTCCAGATATTCAATGCGATGAAGCAAACGCTGCATTTCTTCCTCTTGAGCATCCTGGCGGTCTTCATCTTCCGCTTCCATTGACAAACTTCGATTGGATGGCGATGCTGGGCTGGGTAGGCCATCGGCAGGGTCCTCTTCGATATCTTCCAGGTTCGAGTCTCGCGCCAGTCCGCTTGTCCGATTCAGAACGTGCGAGGGAGTCGACATGTCGACCGGAGGACCAAATTCGCTGTAATCCGCTGAATCGCCATCTTCTTCGACGGCAGGCTGCTTCGACCGCACAGAGCTGTGCTGCAGGGCCGATCCAGACACCTCGCGCCTTTCGATTTTGCGCGTCTTTTTAATACTAGACATACCCTCGCCCATCAAGTATTTCTCTATGTTGGCCGTGAAGTCTTCGGGGCCCCCCACGTCAGACAGTTTATCTTCCTCGTCGTCCTTCAGCTCTGGCAGTGGTGCGCCGTCTCTGGCATCGGAAAATTGGCCGCTCGGAAATTGGCTGAAGTCTAGGGTGTAATTGGCGAGGCGGGCATCCAGGTCCGACGGGGATGGGCTCGGCGGCCCTTCGTTGTGGCGATCGTTTGGGAAGTCTTGTCCACGGTCGTCCTCGTCTTCGCTCGCAAATTCGCGATCTGCTGGTTCGTCGGGGTAGATGGGACTATCTTCCGGGAGCGGCGAGTCTGGCGGGCTCTCGGGGTGTTGCGGAGGAGAAGAGCGCATGAAGAGAGGAGTCGCTAGGGTCGACTGCCCTATCGTGTCGTGGGAGGTTGGGAAAGGCGACGTGTAGGCTGCATTGGCCATTGTCGCGGATGCGTCCAAGAACGTGCTAAATGAGTTTTAGCAGCACACCCCGGTGCTGATCCAAATCAACATGAGTTGTACTTACAGGATATCTTAGCGAAAGCACATTCCTTGTGCAGCAGTTTGCGCGACCAGTGGATAACAATAAGGTCTGCGGGGAGAGAAAGACGATCTGGGAGGCTCTCGATGCGCGTAAATGCGGGCGCGGATCATCCGTCGGCGCCTCAGGCACAAGTGTTTACACCCTCCCTCTTCGGGACTAGCGTGAACTACAGCTGAAACAGCGGAGAAGTTTTTTTTGATCTATTTGATTCACGATCGTATACTACTGTCTCAGATTTGTCCAGTCACCGACCCTCGCCATTATGTTTGCCACTCTTCAAAGGTCGGTGGAATTACCGCCGCTCGACTGCGTCGTTTGGATTCTTCCACGGCCTCTTCAAGCTGCAAGGCGGCTTTCCTACCGGCGCGACCACCTTTGGATGCAATGGAGCGCTGGAAAACGACATGATAGTCAGCTCGGTTTCAATGTACGAAAACCTCCAGCTGTAGCCTAAGTAGAAAATGGGACCATCCGCTCATACCTTTTTCTCCGGGTCCATGTTATGAAAACCACCCACTCCTCTTGCTTTTCCGCCCTGTTTTCCGCCCCGATGGCCTATCTCCGAAAGCACTTCTCGTGGTTGATTAGCAAAGTTGCCAGAGTTGGGGTGCGGCCCAGGTGCTGCTGTGGCGATGTCGCAGCGATCCCCATTGACGATGCGCTTGGATCGCGAGGATGGCTGCAGACGTGATAGAATGCGTAGCATGTTTCTGAGTACTGAAGATAGATAGATCACATTATTATTATTAGTGTCTCACTTTACGTCCGGCATTCTGAGGTGTGTAAAGAAAACAATTGTGAATAGCTTACCTTCGAGATATTCATTTGGACTACGTCCGAACGGTTTGGGCTTTGCCTCTGAGGCCGCTTTTAAATAAGTACTTTGTGAGGCGACTTGATGTCATTTCCACACTGCATGATTCTCTGTGCAAACAATAATTCGAACGTTGCACAGATTTCCATACTTCATCAATCCAATCAAGACAGCCTCCATATGAAGGCGATGTTTTATTCTTTGTCCATCATTGGATCTCGTACAGGTAGCTCCACTTCTATTTGAAAGGTACACCAATTGTAATTTCCATTTTTATCGGTCAACGTGATCAAGGTGGCACAGTAATAGTCAAAATCATTTGCTCGGAACTTGATCCGAGTCTTCGGCTTGATGTCATTTACTTTTGTCTCGATCCAGCATCATAATTTCATGAACCATGGGACCACATCATTTCAAATCAGATAAAGTTCTTCAAATTCACAGTGCACCAGCTTCACACCACGTGACGTGTTGTTTTGAAGCTTTTGAGTAATTCACAACAAAGTAGCTAGAATGATATATATGTTATTCGTCCATGAATGACTCTCCTGAACTTATCAGTCTCAATTTAACTCTTCAGACTAACCTTCACCGCGTGATAAAGCCCAACAGCTTCGCCCCAAGAGCCTAAAGCTCTTACCAGATAGAATCAATAGCCAATTATCTGATCTCATCCAAGACATGTTGGCATCGGGTGTGCACAGAAACCTCGTGGCGTGGCCGTGTGAGCGCTTAGTCATGACGCGGCGCGCCGAACCGGAGGCAGCGGCGCCGCAACATCCACCAACGTGGGACCGACGAAGGGACAGGCAGAGCCAATTTGGGTCTCCTGCTATTATCATATGTTGCTATCACTTGATACGACTATTGCAGGTCGTCCTCAGTGCCAACGTTTCGCAACATTCGTCGTGCACGAAGCCATAATCTCATCATATAAAGGTTGCAGTTTCCACCTCGGCTTCAAGAATCCAGGGGTAGAAGCTCCAGAAGCATTGTGAGCGACGCTGGCCTTTTTGAATAGTGTGCTCCACTTTACTACCGACAAGATGCCACCGATTCCAGGAGTGGATGGAGACCGTCGACGGGTGATTCTCTATCACCAAACCCTCATCCCAGGTGCGGGGCCTTACGTCTCCATGATGCCCCTTCTGCATAATCATACCGGCACCACGCATGTTATTATCGCCGCAATTCATATCAATGAAGATCCGGAGCATATTACTCTCAATGATGATCCTCCAGATAGCCCCAAGTTCGACCCGTTGTGGGAAGAAGTACCTCGAGTGAAGGAAGGCGGCATCAAAGTGATGGGCATGCTGGGCGGTGCCGCCCCAGGCTCCTACCGGCGACTGGATGGCGACCAAGAGAAATTTGAACGATACTACCGCCCTTTACTAAACATGATTCGCCGCCATGAACTAGAGGGACTGGACCTTGACGTCGAAGAAGGGATGTCCCTTCAGGGCATCATTCGACTCATCGACCGGCTCAAGAGTGATTTTGGCGACCAATTTATCATCACGTTGGCACCCGTCGCTGCTGCACTGTTGGGACTCGGCAATCTATCTGGCTTTGATTATAGAGCGCTTGAACAGGCTCGCGCCTCCAAAATCTGCTGGTATAACGCTCAATTCTATAATGGATGGGGCCCTGCGGACGATCCTCGAATGTACGCAGCAATGATCGCACAAGGATGGTCTCCCAGTCGGATTGTTTATGGGCTTTTGACGAATCCCGGAAACGGCTCCCAAGGTTACGTCCCTCGGGAAAAGATAAGCGCTGTGCTTTCCGCGCTGATTGAGCGGTTTCCGAATTTCGGAGGTGTGATGGGGTGGGAATACTTTAATGCGCTCCCCGGTGAGCGTGCTCGGCCTTGGGAGTGGGCATCAGAAATGTCTATCAGCATGGGAATGAAGGACTTGGTGGTTGCAGCTCGCCAGGTGCTCACAGCTGGACCCATGGTGGATAGCTTGAACAATTTATTTCAAGATATGATGAATCAAGGACGGCACCCTTGATCGCGAAATGAGACCTGATATGGATCTATCGATCTGCACCTATGATGAACCGAATTGGATGCGCAAACTGGTGCGACATACCGCTGCATCATTCCGGGATAAAAATAGATCCATTTACCTCTCAATCTGTTAAGCGTTTACCTAGAAGTGGCGCGTTTCTATGAGGCATTTTACTTTACGCAGCTAAATCTACTGAGACATCAATCGAAATATCCACAACGGCTATGGATGCTATAGAATTACTACTAGGTACGGCTCTCGCTGAGCAACTCAGTTCCTGAATTATCCTTTCAAGTACAGCGACTGCTACAGATAACATCGAATGGCCTTTGTAACAGTGTGTAAAAGGCCGACAAAGTCCGCCTACTCAATGACGAGTTCAATCAAATATGGGGTTACCGCATAAATATTCTCTCCGCGTAGTAATTGTCTCAGAAAGATCACGAGTCACGGACGGGCATACCAATGCTCCAACCAGCGGTCGATAAGCTTCTCAGGACCCACCCACGCCATTTATTTCAAGAATGGCAGTACGCACAAGCATGGTCTATATCACACAATACAGCTTCAATAGTATTTAATAATTCTCAACTTACAATGGACTATGGAGCTTTGCTTGATCTCCTATGGGATGTTTTCTATACGGTCAAAACATGTTGCCAGGCTAGTATTTAGTATGATACAAAATGAACCACTGTGCCAGAGCTATGGTCTCACATGACTCAAATAATCCTTGTCACTTGGTGGATATCAAGTGTGGAAATGTTATGCATAGAGTGATTGCCATGAGTGAGTGGAATGTCATCTCGGTCCATGGTTTGCTTGGTGGATTCTGTCTGACCTGACCCCATCAGCCTTCAGGCACAGAGCTGTATACAGCGAACCTGAGAGAGCTGGAGACCTTTGGGGGGCTATTTTACCGTCAGAGAAGAAATACCTTCGGTCTCGTGGATTCCCGAGGCCGCCATTGAGGCGGTCACCACATTTGACACTTTAGTTTCAGGCTGCAAATGGATCAAAATGTTGCAATGCACAACTTGAGGACCTTTGGGGTGATTACTACCTATTGCATATCTAAACAAAGCTTACCAAATATTTAGCTGACTATCAAATATATTTCACATTTCTTTCGATGACTGATATTCTATGCCCAGGTGCCGGGCGCAGAAAGCATAGGAGCAGCAAAACTGACTCAACTACAAATGCCAATTGAACCAAAAAAACACATTGGAAAGACCCAAATTCCCAGAAAACATGAATAATCGGTGTTTGCGTGATCTTTCAAAATCGCAATTGACCTAAAAAAGGGACGTGCATGCGTTAGGGATTGTCTCAACAAACACCCTGAAGCTGAAACGAACTATGCCGATCGCCCAAGTTCTGGGGCGCCCACCATCGCAGAGCGCTGCAATGGTGCTTTTTTCTGCTACGACCCAAAGGACGCCACATGTATCACTGCTTTAGATCCTGCAGCTTGCTGATATTAACTGCAGGGAAGATGCATCATGTGTCTGGGGAAGACTGCAGGAAGAGGACTCGTTGCTACATCGCATAACTGAGGGGGTCGAGAAAAGTTCTAGAAAATCCCAATCAGAAAACCAATCAGCCCTAAATTCAAATCCGTTATGGACGGCTTACCATGTGATCGCAAAACTCTACATACCTTGTTGGGCGAACCTTAAAATGGTCAACTCTGGTAGCTCAGGCTGCTATATCGGAAACTGGCCAGCGATATACTCTTGTAGTATTCAACCCACGGACTCCTTAATTAATTCAATGCAGCAAACCACCTAAAAATAAGTACTGCACGCACAAATTAGGTTTTTGACGAACGGTTCGGCGTTCGGGATGATCGGGAGTCAGACGAACCCCATTCTGGGTCCACTCGGTCCATGTTCCAGATCAGGCTAAATCCCTCATTTTTGGGCGATCCTCGCCGACAGCCTTACCCAATTCATCTAGTAAAAACAGTTCTCTACACTAGGCTGGTGGGCCCTGGGGTTTGGCCAGACTGCCTGAGGGGAGGAAACACGGTGCTGAGAGTGGTTCAACCGTGAAAAATCGCTGCCCATGTTTACTACGTGTATACTACCCAGCACAAACAACAACAACAACAACAACCACCATATTGCGATCATGAAACATAGCCCAATGCTTTTATCAGTAACTCATGGTAGAAGAATTCAGACGATATTTGCAATGAAAATAAGCTCGATCTACGAGCAACCAAGAGATCTGCATATCGAAAGCAAGCCTAACCGTGGTACCTTGAAACAAGACGGGACGAGACAGGGGCAATCGTTTCACCAACCTTCACTAACCTCGCAAGTCAATGAATCGGTCAATGCAGTGCACGATGAGAAGATCACTGACCAAAATAGACATCGTCGTCGGCCCGGACGTATGCTTCAACTCGACTATAAGAGGCACAGCTGTCGCTGCCTTCTGTTCTGGTCATCAACACATTGTCTTTCGCTTCAGTTGACTGGATCAACTTTACAGTCTTTCTTTGCTTCTATTTTTGTTATACCTCCTTGAATTGAGCTCTCGGCACTCTTTTATTTTCCCTGCTTTGCCTCTATCCAGTCGTTCGACAACAACAACAATGAAGAATGCTGCCATTCTCTTCCTCGCGGGCACAGCTCTCGCAGCTCCCGCCAACAAAACTCTCGAGGCCCGCAAGCCCTGCCTTCTCCTCGATGGCCTCATGAACGGAGGCTCGGGCAGTTCTTCAGCTGGCGGTGGTCTCAGCTCCCTTCTCAACTGGGGCGGCTCTGGTTCGGGCTCGGGCTCCGGTTCTGCTTCGGGCTCCGGCTCTGCTGATCTCGGTGCTGACCTCGGCCTGAGTGGCTCTGCCAGCGGCTCTAGTGGAGCGTCTGCCACTGGCTCTGCAGGTGCTTCTGGCTCTGGCTCTGGTGGTGGCTCTGGTGGCCTCGGCCTCGGTGGCTTTGGAAGCGGCGACCTTGGTGGTAGTCTTGGTCTTGGCCTCGGCGGCTCTGGCAGCGGTGGTCTCGGAGGATCTGGTACTGCCACTGGCGGAGCAGGTGCATCTGGTACTGGAGCTGCCGGTGCTTATGGCTCAGGCTCTGCTGGTGGTTCCGGCTCCGGTGGTCTGAGCGGTGGTCTTGGTGGTGGCCTTGGCCTTGGTGGTTCTGGTAGCGCTGGTCTCGGTGGCTCTGGCAGTGCTTCCGGCAGTGCCTCTGGTACCGGATCTGCTGGTGCTTCTGGATCTGGATCTGCCGGCCTTGGTGGATCAGGCAGCGCTGGTCTTGGCGGAAGCGCTGGCCTCGGCGGCTCTGGTAGCGCTTCTGGCGGTGTTTCCGGCACTGGTTCTTTCGGCGCAGGTGCCTCCGGTGGTGCCTCCGGTGGTGCTGATCTTGGTGGCTCTGGTAGCGCTTCTGGTGATGCTTCCGGTGCTGGCTCTCTCGGTGCCGGTGCCTCTGGTACTAGTTCTCTTGGTGCTGGTGCCTCCGGGGGTGCTAGCCTTGGTGGCTCTGGTGGTGTCTCTGGTGGTGCTGATGCTTCTGGAACTGGAGCTGCTGGTGCTGGTGCTTCTGGTGCTAGCCCGCTCAGCGGTGGTGCTCAGGGCGGTGCTTCTAGCGGTGCTTCCGGTGGCGCCTCGGGCGATGCCTCTGGCACTGGGTCTGCCGGCGCGAGTTCTTCTGGCGCAGCCTCCTCCGGTGCTGGCGCCTCGGGCGAAGGTTCCGACTCGGGCTCTGCTGGCGCTGGCGCTTCTGGCAGCGGCTCCACTGGTGCTAGCGGTTCCGGATCTGGTTCAGGCGGCTCTTCGGTCTCTGGAGGTGTAGACGGTGGCTCCGGCACTGGTTCTTCTCCCTCCTGGTCCACCAGCGTCAGCTTCAGCACTGAAATCCCCGGCCCTACCGGCACTGTTGGCGAGGGCTCCATCGGCGGCTCTGGCTCCCTCTCTCTGCCGGTGCTAGCGCTGAGGCGACCGCTTCCGCTCACGCTTCGGCTTCGGCCCACGCCAGCGCCAACGCCTCGGCTGACGCTGATGCCTCCGCCGACGCTTCTATCTAAGCGCCCCACAATATCGACAACACTACTCATTTCCCGGCTCCTGATACCTTCTACCTCGCCCAATTTGACAACTGTCTGATGGAACAACCCTTCCTGGATATGGTGGAACTGTGGTGGAAAACTACTTGGATTTGATGTTGGCTTTCTGAATGTGAATTAATATCAGATATTCTGGTGCAGCCTCTGCACATATACGCTCATTATGTTATACGAGTTTGTGATTATCAGGCAAGTCCTTTGTGACTTAATAAACAAATCAATTTTGGATTAATTCAAATATTGTTGAACACTTCTAAGGTCTTCTTTTACATTGTATGTCAACTGTTCACACATCCGCTTTGTTTAGTTTGTTCGGGTTTAGCGCCTGAATGCTATATCAATGTACCATGGGACGTGCCTTCCATCTTGATGTCTTTCTTGACATTTGAGTGATTGATAAACTATATTCTATAGTCTGGTCCATCTTGATTCTTCAAATGCGCTTCTTTCTAAGGTGAACGTTTCAAAATCAAGGGAGACCTGATGGTTTACGAGGAAGACTTCAAGGCCGAGAACCCAAGATAAAAAGGTTTGGTCACATGTTCGGTTGTTTTTTATTTCATCGCAAGAGTACATGACTAGCGTAGATGGGTCAATAAAACATCGGTTAGATTCTTGGTTTAATTACTAGTCAAGACCGACCATCTTGGCGATGCTCGGCCCCGTTGGGCACGACGGGCACGCCCGGGCGATGAGCCTGAGGCTGAACTGCTAGTTACATTCCTGCCGAACCGAAAGATTGTCTTCCTCACAACAACCATCATGCCACGCGGTAGCCATGCCTCCCGCGGAAGACAAAGGCAGCGATGACTTCAAATTCAGTCTCTGGGCGCCCCCGCGCGGCGGCTATGCAGCATGCGACACCATTGTGGGGAGCCTCATCCGCAAGACGCCAGTCGTCGCACCCGAAGCAGTCATCACGCTGTCCTTGACAGGTCGCGCCAAGACCAGGTTCACAAAAACCAAGGCAGTCTACCGGAACTCGCGACAGCTCGTCAGTACCGGCGAAACAGTCATTTTCAAAGGCCCTATTCATCTGGCTGCCGACAGCAAAGAGCCACTCCGCTGGCCTTTCGCAGTGGGTATCCCGCTTGAGCCGGCGACATCATGCAAAAATGATCATAGTTCGGAGGCAAGCTTGTTACCAGTGGATCAAGATCACCCGGGCCATCATCTGTTACCGGGCACATTTGTCTCCATGGACCCGAGTTTTGCAGAACCGGCACGGTGCTATGTGGAGTATTATCTCACTGCTCGTCTGCATTTCAGGTCCTCCCGTCGATCCGAGTCGCATGAATCGATTCGAAGAATCATTCTCCGACACCCTCTGGAGCCACTCTTAAAGTCACCGAGTCTCAAGGTCTTTGAGACGAGGCGAATGATTCAAAGCCATCGTCTCATGCCTGAAAAGGGAAATGCGGGGTTGTCTTTCCGACAAAAAATGCAGACGTTCTTCGAATCATCCAAAGTGCCCCAGTTTCATTACAACATCATTCTTACGGTACCAGAAATCATTCAGCTGGATAATCCAGAGCCATTCCCTCTTTTACTCCAAATCCGGCCTCAAATAGACCGGACAAGTGAGCGCATTCAAGATGTCATGCCAGACATCTTAGCGGCTGATGTGAGAATGATACTCAAGGAGAACACAGCGGTGATTGCGGCGGATATATGGGATAAGATAAGGTCTAGGTCCTACTGGGAGCCAGTTGAGCTGGGCTTGAGTCATGCATTTCGACAGCTCGAGTCTCCAATCATCATCCCCACGGCCACAGAAAGCAAGCCGGTGAACCTTGGGAAACTATTCGGGCTCGTTCTTCACCAGAATGGCCTCTCTTCACACAAGCGGGTGCTGCCGAGCAAAGCGGGCATTCATCCGGATTTTATGACTTATAACATCCGACGCACACATGAGGTTGGGTGGCAAGTCACTCTGCTGGTTGCCGGGCAGCTACAAGAGGCGAAATTCAGTTCGGCAGTAACGATCCTTTCGGGTCCCAGCTCAGGCCAGAGCACCTAGCAAGAATTTCATCCATACATTGCTTGAGAGGCATATCTATATGGTTCGAGTATTTTAGCAAGTTCGCGTCGCGCTTAGCATACATCTTAAGCTGCGCGTCCTCATAGAATCGGCCGCAGCCAAACAATTGATTCAAATGCTAAAACTTCGGTCATGTAAAAATATACACTGAATAGAAGTTATTAAATTGTGGAATACCCCAATGCTGTCCATTCATCTGTATACTATGAACCTACTGCAGGGATGGCGGAGTGGAGTGAGGCTGTGAGGCTACGTCATCCCGCCAATCACCGCGACGCCAAACAAGGTGACTTGGACCCTGCGATTCCCCTGGGCTTTCCACCGTCCCTCTCCTCCTGTACATCTCCCTCGACGATCTTCCATCGATGGTCGGCTCAGCCAGTGACTGACTTGGCACCATGGCATCCCTGCGTCGCGTCGCGGTGGCCACCAGCTCCACCGCCATTCGCTTGTTTTCCTTCGTCTTCCTGCGATGGGTATGTCCACGGAGCCTTCAGTTTACTTCAGCTCATGCGCTAAGCATTGCAGATCCCGGGCCATCTATTCGGCCCTATCGTATTCACCTCCCTGGCGGTGTATCTCTCGTCGCTATTTTCATTGCTAAGTGGTGACGAGACCACTCAACGTGAGTCAAAGAAGAACCAGAAGAGCTCTGCTAGTAAGTATACTCTACATCCTTATGTTTCTATTTTGTCTTAGACATGATAGCTCACATTCCATATAGGATTATCTAAAGATTTGGGCGCAAACCAGCCACGCGATTCCGCGCTGAAGACACTGTTGACAGGTCTTCCTTCGAGGCGGTCGCGACTGTGGACCTGGACAACAGGGCTCATTAACGTTGTACTGGCACTGCTGACCCTCGACTTCCTCGTTCGTGGCCTGGTCGCATACCCTAGCAATGATGTGTCTTTTTCTCGCATCGGGTTTGTATCTCCGACTACGGCCAACTTGCTCTTCCGCGAGCCAGACTCGTCCCAGCTACCCGTTGTCGTCTCATACCAGGAGGTCACGACAATCTCGCCTGAGAAGTGGATCCGAGAAGGCACTGTCTACAAGCTCGAAAATGAAACGGATTTCACAGCCACTGTGACACTGAAGAACCTGAAGCCGTCAACCCACTACCGATACTCGCTATCCAACAATAAATCAGGCACCTTCACAACCTCAGCACGACCTGGATCGCCAGAAGCAAACAGGCTTTCCTTCGTCACATCAAGCTGCCTGAAGCCGAATTTCCCCTACAACATCCTCTCGCATCCATTGCGAGTACCCGGAATCGAGCAATTGACGGAAGCAATCGGCAAACTCCCAGCGCTTCTTCGACCAGCGTTCATGCTCTTCCTCGGTGATTTCGTCTATATCGATGTTCCATTCCGCTTCGGCTCCTCGGTGTCTCACTACCGCAGCGAGTACCGACGGATCTATTCTTCCCCTTCCTGGAACGCTAAGTCAGAGGCTGGGTCCGCAATTGACTTACCCTGGATCCATACTCTGGACGACCACGAGATCGAAAACGACTGGTCCAAAGGCAACAAGACCGCGCCTTATCCCGCGGCTGCCGACCCTTTCATCCACTACCATGTGAGCGCGAACCCGCCAGTACCAGCGGCCTCATTCGCCCACCCAGACGATGTCACCTACTTCTCTTTCGTCAACGGTCCGGCCTCATTCTTCATGCTGGACACTCGTACCTACCGCTCCGAGCCAGCAAAGGAAGATTCCACCATCCTTGGCTACGCTCAGCTTCAATCCCTGTTGGCATACCTCTCGACACCCGAACCAGCTGGCGTGTACTGGAAAATCATCGCCTCCAGTGTCCCCTTCACCAAGAACTGGCACGTCGGCACAACAGATACATGGGGCGGCTTCTTGAACGAGCGCCGTACAGTCTTTGAAGCCATGTGGCGCGCCGAGCGCGAGCTTGGTGCCCGCATCATCCTACTTAGTGGTGATCGCCACGAATTCGCCGCAACGCGATTCCCAGATCCCGCACTTGGACTCACTTCCGACGAGCTCCAACCGAACACGGCTGGTTTTGGACTTCATGAGTTCAGTGTTGGCCCGTTGAGCATGTTCTACCTTCCTATTCGGACGTATCGCCAGACAGACCCCGAAGACGTCTCTGTGAAATATGCGCCAGATGGAAATAGCAAGTTTGGTCTCATTGATATTGCTGATGATGTTGAGGATGATCCTACTGCGCCTGAGCATGTGCCTGTCCGCAGCTCTGTGCTTACGTACTCGCTCTATGTGGATGGAGAGGTTGTCTGGAAGTATCGTCTCAGTGTCCCTCATTTTAAGAATACGAAATCGCATTTTAAGCCTGGAAATGTTGTTGAGGATAAGCTGGTGACGGAAAGTTGGGGTGTTGTTGTTAAGACGACGATTGGGAGGATAGAGGAGCTTGCGCATTTCGTCGTGGAAAAAGCAACTGACTTGTATGATGCTGCAATTGTCCTTTACCAGGGAATGTGATGATGCAAAATTGAAAATTTGAGTCGGTTTGAATGCAGAGAGGTTGAATTCCGGCATTGATTGACTCTTTCTGTGCGATTTAGAGATAACCTTTGAGACAATTGCATTTCGTTGAGCTATCCGAATAGATGAGAACACTGAACGATTTCCCTTAGACTTTGTATACTACAGTATAGTAGCTTGATAGATGCCGGAGGATGTTTTAGATATGAATTATCATTGCAGCGCAATTGTCGTATTGCAAATTGAGGAATGTACGATAGGTTCAAACGCCAAACACCGTCCCAGATGCAAAGTCGACGAGCCACGAGTGTGTACAGAGGACGTATTTATGAGCAAGCGAAGGCAGCTAAGCACTACCGTCCGCGTCCACGGCCACCACCTCCACCGCCGCCCATTCCACCCATTCCGCCCATCAGCCCACCCATCTGGCTCATCATGCTTTGCAAGTCCATACCACCAAGTCCAGGCATACCGCCGCCACCACCCTGGCCTCCACCCATCATCTGCATCATCTTAGCCATATCGCCCATACCGGGCATGCCAGGCATTCCACCGCCGCCACCCATGGCAGCCATACGCTTCTGCATAGCGGCGAGTTGCTGCTGGTTGTTGCCGCCCTTGAGCATGTTCTGTGCACGCTGCATCTGCTTCTTCTGGCCGCCGACCTTCTTGGCCATACCGGCCATCATGCGGTGCTGGGAAAGGAGATCCTCCACCTCACGGACAGTAGTACCACTGCCGTGGGCGATACGGACCATGCGGCTGGGCTTCTCAACAAACATCTTGCCATCACTGTCCAGCTCGGCGGCGGTCATGCTGTCGAAAATGTAAATCATGCGGCGGAGCTTCAGTGATCCATCCTCATCATCGAGGCCTTGAGTCAGGTTCGACAGGCCGGGAATCATGCCGGACAGCTTGGATAGAGGGCCCATCTTCATGATCGAGGTGATGTTCTCGCGGAAATCACGAACTGTATAGATACCCTCGGCAATATGCTTGTAGGTTTCCTTGGCACCGGCCGAGTCCTTGGTGATAGCTTGAACGTGCTCAACCAGACCAGCGACATCACCCATACCCAAAAGCTTCTGGATAAATGCGCGAGGCTCAAACCGCTCGAGATCCATCATGTGCTCACCAGTACCCAAGAAAATAATGGGAGTGTGGGTAGCAGCAACGGCAGAGATAGCACCACCACCTGCAGCGTGACCATCGGTCTTGGTAATGATGATAGCACCGAAGTCTGCAGTAGCTTTGAAAGCGGCCGACTGGCCCTCGGCAGCCTGACCAATTGTGCTGTCGAGAACCAGGATTGTCTGGTCAGGAGTGACAGCGGTTTGAATCTGAGTCATTTCGGTGAACAGCTCTTCCTCTTGACGGTGTCGACCACTGGTATCAACAATAATGATATCGAATCGCTCCTTCTTGAACTTCGCGACACCCTCGGCGGCGACAACAGCGGGGTCAGTCTGGGTCAGACTACCGTAGTAAGGAATCTTGGCTTTTGTGGCATTCTGCTTCAACTGATCGAAAGCACCGGCACGGAATGTATCGGCGCAGACTAGCGCCGTCTTGAACCCGCGCGTCTGGTAGTGGCGAGCAAGCTTGGTGCAAGTTGTCGTCTTACCGGCACCCTGCAGACCAACAAACATGATCACATTAGGCCGGCCCTTCTTGGGGCGGAAGGGGTCCGCATGAGGATCAACCAGTGCCACCAACTCATCGAAAACAGTCTTCTGGATGAGGCGCTTCTTGTTGACGGCGGCGGGGATCTGAGAGAAGTTCACACTGGACTTGATCGACTTGCGGAGGGTTTGGACGAGTTTGACGTTAACATCGGCAGACAGGAGAGCCGCGCAGATCTCCTTCAGCATGTCATCGAATGCCTAGATGGTCAGTCTGGGGAATCCGCCACAGTGGTTGTGCGCCACTTACTTTCTCATCGAGGTTGCTAGACCTCGTCAAATCATTGACGGCGGAGTTAATACGCCGCCCAAGATCCTGGAGGACCATGATGAATTACTGTCAAGCACAAACCGGCGAACCGTGAACTGGAGATGGGATATGTGTTCACAGAACCGAAGAGGGTGGAGGGGGAAAGGCCCCAGTGCGGAGTGCCAATCGGAGAGCGGGATGGTCTCACCGCCCAAAAAAAGTTGACCGGCGCATCGCAGCTCTCTGCTTTTGGTTCCAACTTTCCCACCAGCATTCAATTCTCTTGGATTTTCACAATGGTGGGTTCTTACTCGAAAAAGCGCAAGGTCCATGATGGCATGCGCGGCAAAACCGCCAGGCCCAAGAAATTTCGCAGACAAACCGCCTATCACAGCAGCTCGGAAGACGAAAAGGACGACAATGAAGATTTCAAGGCCGTCAATCTCGCCGATTCTGACGAAGAGGAGGACGGTGGCGTTTCAGTGAACAAGGACTCGGCTGTCGAGCCTTTCTCCAAAAAAACAAAGGCAAAGCCTGCGCCGGAACCAAAGACCAAACCCGCCAAAGACGACGAAGAATCCGAATCCAGCGTCGACGAGAAGGACGACGAGTATGAAGACGAACCCGCCGTGGACTTGGAAGACAACGATACTTCTGGCTCTGAAGAGGAAGACAACCTCTCCGACTCAGGCGAGTCCGACGCAGGGAACAAGGGCCGTGCCATTCCCAAGCGCAACGATCCTTCCGCCTTCTCGACCTCCATCTCCAAAATTCTGTCTACGAAGCTCCCCTCCTCTGCTCGCGCTGATCCCGTTCTTTCCCGAAGCAGAATTGCTCAACAATCCAGAGATGAATTTGCCAACGAAAAACTCGACAAGCAAGCGCGGGCCAAGTTGCGCGCCGACAAAAAGGAAGAATTGGACCGCGGTCGTGTCCGCGATGTCATGGGTATTGAGAGAGGGGTCGCTGGAAACGTCGCCGAAGATGAGAAACGACTGCGCAAGATGGCTCAGCGCGGTGTGGTGAAGCTTTTCAATGCCGTGCGCGCAGCACAGGTCCGCGGCGAGGAAGCTGCCAAGGATGAACGCAAGAAGGGAACCATTGGCATTGACGAGCGTGAGAAGGCCGTCAACGAAGTCAGCAAGCAAGGATTCCTCGACTTGATCAATGGCAAGAAGGGCAAGCCTCTCAACATTGAGGAGGCTTAGACAAAAGCAAAAAAAGCCTTATGATGAATTATCCATGGCATGTTTATGGCGTTGGGAGATTCTGTATCCTTGGTTACTTCACACTGTACATCGCTTTTCCCCGTTGTGATTCCACTCTGTTTGATAAATAAATAGTACAGGAGATTTTCAATTCGGTATCCTTGGTTCTGCTAGACGCATCCAATGCAAAATAATACAGGGTCCCTTGGGACCAATTCTTCCATCTTCGAGTCCGGTGAAGGTCTACTTCACGAACATTTCCCTCTCCAATGAATTATAGGATACTTATGCCCACTTTATTTCTTCTCAAAGTCGCTTGCCTGGAGATTCCGTGTCATAGTCGGCAAGCGCACAACGAGGCCATCCAGCTCTTTGTTCATAAGGACCTGACAGCCCAGTCGCGAGGTTTCGGTCAGACCGAAGGCCAGATCCAGCATATCGTTCTCGTCATCCGAGGGTTCCTCCATCTTATCGAACATATCGGGTTCATCAACAATCACATGGCAGGTAGAGCAAGCACATGAGCCACCGCAGGCACCTAGAAGCAAGAAACGTTAGTCATAACGATTCAATATGGTATCTGATATCGTGGCATTGCACATACCCTCCATTTCGAGATCGTTCGCCTGCGCGATGTCGAGTAGGTTATCCCCCTCCGCAACCTGTAGCTTCACCTCGTTGCCATCCTTGTCAATGAAGGTGACGTTGATCCTACAAGTGTCGGTGGTTAATGTCTTGGGGGGGGGATGACTGCTTGGTGCCGGATAGTACTCACTCCTCGCCGGGCTTGGGCGGCGTGATATGGCCGTGAGCGACTTGCGCCGACACGGAAAAGGAACGCTGTGCCGTCTTCAATGACTGTAAAGACGGACGCAGGCCCTTGTATGTTCCCAACCCCCACCGGTGTGTGTTTGCGACCGTTCCGGTTCTCCACGGCGTTGCCGAGTGAGTGACGTATCTCCGCGACTGAGCCAGGCACATCTCACCGGCCGTGGCCTTGGGCACAGCACGCTGCAATTGCAGACCGAGTTCTCTCCAGATAGCCATTGTGCCAGAGGGTAGCGACGACAAAGGAAAAGAGCGCGGCGGAGAACGGTCGGGAAAAAGATCTGGGGTGGAGGAGGGAGGGAAGCAATGATCGTCCAATCGCCGCCGACGAAAAAAATGACTGACAAAGCTAAGGCGGCGTCGGACTTGGCTGCCTTTCCCCGAGCTCTGCACCTTTCCACCACCCACACCTCGTCATTAATCATGGCGTCGACGTCTCGTGAAGGGATCAATCCCTTGCGGCCGTACTATATCCCTCAGTCCGGCCTCTCGCCCACCAACAGCTCGACCGAGGCGAGCTCCCCCTCTTCGGCCCAGGTGTTTGGGAGCACCGCGCGAGACCTCATCCACGACCTCGACTATGCCGACTATCTGGATGCCTCGCCATCGGTATCCGACTGGGTTCGCGAGTCTCTGAATTCGGCAATCACCCGCTATTGTCAGGTTCTGACTGCACAACCCTTTGATGTCGCCAAAACCATACTGCAGGTATATGTTGTGCCTGATGTCACCGAGGAGCCGCGGGACCGGAAGTCAGATGCTGGAGCTGGAAGCAGCTCATACGAATCGGTAAGTATATTATGAGGTAGCTTGGACTCGAGAGGAACACCTCTGACAGTTTACTTGCAGGACTTGGAATCATCCGACGATGAAAGTACCTACTTCACATCCGCTGCCCCGTCGACACCGACCCCTGCCACGCCGCGATCTCGCAGGGGCCGGCAGCACATCACCGATCGCAGCGGCTACATTCGCCCCGATGCTGCGCCGGCGCAGTCGAAGCATGCCCTGAATATTCGCAACCCGAGCTCCTTGATGGATGTTCTCTCCCAGCTGTGGACGAACAACGGACCGAGCTCCCCGTGGAAGTCGTCCAACGCCACTTTCATCTACTCTCTGTTGCTGCCGACTTTAAACACCTTCATCCGCAGTCTCCTGTCCGCGATCGTGGGCCTGCCCGAGGAGGATATCTCCTCGTCAACGGCGGCAGACATCCTCAATGCGTCCTCACCCCTGGCCACACTGCTCCTATCATTTATCTCATCATCTCTCTCCGCTATGATCCTTTCCCCGATCGATACCGCTCGTACCTTCCTAATGCTCACGCCCGCAACCCACGGCCCACGCTCTCTGGTCCGCGCCATTCGCCAGCTCCCCACTCCCAACTGCACCATCCCGCCGCACCTCGTCCCAATTACCATTCTCCACTCCAGCCTTCCTAGCTTTATCACCACCTCGACCCCACTCTTCCTCAAATCGTACATGTCAATTGACCCGATCCTCAATCCATCCATGTGGAACCTGTTTAGCTTCCTCGGCTCCGGTCTCGAACTTGCCGTGCGCTTCCCTCTCGAGACTGTCCTTCGCCGCGCCCAGATCGCTACCTACACATCCCTCAGTCTGCGCCAGAAGTCGTCCGGTGGCAGTATCGACGCTTCGTCTATTGATGCCTCAGACGTGGAGACTATTGTCCCTACCCCGCGCACATACCGCGGTATCATTGGTACAATGTGGCATATCGTGAACGAGGAGGGCGTCAGCCCCGACCCCTCAGATGCCGAGCGCGCACGCCACCTCTTCGCCAAACCTTCTACTCAGCAACTAATTCAGAAGCGCCGTCAGGGTCAGGGTATCCAGGGTCTGTACCGGGGCTGGCGGATAGGCATGTGGGGAGTTGCTGGTATTTGGGGGGCCAACCTCCTTGGCGGAGTCGCTGGCGGCAACGAGGAGGAAGTGACCATGCGCGGTGGCCATGGTCGGGACAGCGGTGGACGTTTCTAGTCATATACACGCAACTCACCTTCTACTCCAGCCCGGGACTGTGGAAGCTGGAAAGCTCGCAATAATTTGGATGTTTGGTCTTTTCCTTATGTTCCTTGCTTTCTTGCTAGTGCGAAAGCCTCTCTGACTTGCGTCGTCTTCCTGCCCGTGCGGATGGAACCCTTTTTACGGTACTCATGGTCTTCTCTCGACTCTCCCCTCCTCCCTCCGCTCACACCGATACCCCAGGGAATGGATCTAGGGGGCAGTCAATCGGCGTCGTTTCTTTTCTTTCCCGCGCCATGTACAAAATCTTGCACCACATAGCAGCAACCGAATATTTAGTGATCATTAAATTTTAGAAACTTTTGTTTCATGTAGCATAATAAAAGAAGCGAGGTTTCAAACAATCACCATTTGCATCCTAAAATCCCCATATAAGGCTACGATACTTAAAGTTCGGCGAGGGAACCTTGGGAATACAGATATTGACTACTCCTAAGAAGGATCAATATATTTAGATATAAAAGATCATTCCATTCATAAAAACAGTGTACACGTGTGTAAATGTAACATCAACTCCAGAATCCATATCCGTCTAGTGGAGAATGGACCGGATAGCAAGAAAACGATGTAAAAGGCCACCACAGAGACCAACCATGGACCATGTTCATATCGGTCGAAAGTCTCCATGCCTCGGGACCACTGCCGCTTTTGCAGAGTCAGGGTGCTATGGAGGGCGTAGAAAAATACGTAATTTTGGGTGGGTTAGGGTTGATGATGATGATGAAAGACATAACAGGAATATACCCAGCTTTTCGATATGGCTGAGTATTCCGATGCCTGTTGAGAATGTCATGCAGACAAGGGGATAGAAGAATGTAGACCGTATGGTGATACATGGAGCAATCGAGATGTGGGTATCAAAATGCCCTCCCGAGGAAGGTAAAAAAATAAACAATAAAAATCAAAAAAGAAGCCCGATGCAGAAAAAAGAAGACAAAGAATCATGCGATTTCGTTTATTTTTCCGCGAAGCGGCGATCGAAGTAGCGCAGCACGCCCATGACACTGGCCGCTTCAACTTCCATGGCGGCCCGGCCGCCACGGCTCTCGGCCAGTGCGAGATCACGCGGGTTGGGCAGAGTGTGCAACTTCGGAAGCCAGGCAGAGATCTCGTCGCTGGCACGGGAGAAGTTCGGGTGACGCGAGAGGGTGGTGAAGGCGTCGGCGCAGCTCAGGGTGAGTGCATTGGGCGTAGAGGGCTTGGCTGGGGGAGGTTGCGCAGACATGGGGGGGTTGTTACGCGTGGTCGGGGTGGTGGGGGCATTTCTTGACATGCAGCATCCGCCGTCGGCTCCCTTGCCGCCGCCGCCGCAGCAGCCTCCTCCCGCTGGAGTTCCGCTCGCTGACCGGGAGGCTGCCAGCGTCTTGCAAAAAGGGTGCTTCGAGGATCAGCTTGGCATTGGGCGCAGGTGCCGGGTCCATTGGCACAGGGGTTGGTAGCTTGGCTGATAGGCGGCAGAGTCACTTCGGAACGGACGTCGCCATCAGACGGAGGCGGAGTAAATTGAGAGATGGACTGGATGGGTGCGAGGCGTGGGTTCTCGAAGGAGTTGCGGCGGCCGCGCTGTTGCTCTTGCGCGGCCATCTCGGCACATATGCAGGGTGTGCCATCCTGGCAGAATCCACAGGGGTCGACGGGGGGCGAGGAGGCTTCGTTGTTGTTGTTGTTGTTGTTGTTGATATTGCTATTAGAGCTAGATGTGCTAGATTGGGCGGGCACACCGGCGAAGCGAGATGTAAAGTCGATTTCCATCTCCTCGGGGTCCGGCTTGATTTTGGGCTCGGCGTGGTCACGTTCAGGGCTTCCGACGCCGTGAGGAGGATGCCTAGCACGAGATGATTCATGCGTATCAATCTGCATGCCAAATGCATCTTCGATGCACTGGCAGTGGGTTTGCGAGCAGTTGTTGCAGCCGAGAGGCACATTCTGCTGGCCGTCTTCCTTGTTACGGTCGGCACAGGTGGAAACCACATCTTCCATGCGGGAGCTTCGGGTTGAGGGACGTGTGCGAGGAGGCAGAGGAACTGAGTCCGGGATTTCGGGTGACTTGTGGCTGCTAGATCCAGAGAACGAAGTCCGGAATTCCTTGACGATGGCCTCCTTCGCACTGCGTTCAATTGACACTTCCTTTTCCAGGGAGTGGCATCGGTCACGCCACCAGCTCATCTCCTCATGACACTGCTCAACCTCGCGGGAGAGGTTGCTAATTTGCTCGTTCAGGCCGGCCACGCGGATGTCATGGCTGTCCTCGATTTCCTTCATTTGCTCCTCAAGTTCCTGGACCCGGGCTGCCCGGCGCTCACGAAAAGCTCGCTGGGCAGCGCGGTTCTGCGCCTTGCGCTTGGTAGGTGGCGTATCGGTCGCTGGCTTGCGACCAGGCTTCGGGCGCGGCGGGATCACCCACTCTTTCGAGGTCACCGAGCCCGGAGTCCCAGGTCCGGGCGAGGGAGCGACGGAAGGCCTAGCGGCCAGCGCGGGCGCCAGGCTCACAGGGGGAGGAACGGCCGCCAGAGCAGGCGTAGGCGTGAGAGCCACGCCGGTGGTGGCCATGGTGTGGGATCACTTCGTATGCTGTTGGGTGGTGTTAGGAGGCACATTTGGAGGGGAGCACGAGTCGGGCGGGTTCGGGGGAGACGCACGAGCCCTCGGTCGGAAGAGCGGAAGTGCGCTCATGCGAGCCGGTAAGCGAGATTGGCTGGGACGAGGGCACCCAGCAGGCCAGCTACAGAGGGGAGGGGAGGGAGGAGGAAGATCGAAACGATCGAACAGGATCAGAAAAATGCAGGGGTAAGCAAAAAGCTTCGGGGGGATGTGGAAAGTGGGAAAAGCAGCAGAGAAAAGAGCGATGATCAGATTAGATTGCTGCCCTCACATGATGCCGGTTTCGGACGCGCTGCTCGGCTGCGAGGAACCCACCAGCGAATTTTTTATCAGATCCGTGTAAGAGGTGTGGAGGCCGGCAAGCTCGACCGACGAGTGGGCTGACGCCTTTTCGTCGGTCGACACTGGCTGGCTTCATGCCCTAGGGTAAGGTTACTCGGGTGCAATGGCCCTTTTCTCGAGGTATAGGCTACAGCTGGGCGGCCGCAATGAAATTTTCCTTCGCCAACCGCGTCTATCATTTCTCATGTCTAGCAACAACAGTGATCGAGGAGGGTGCCAGCCCTCAGCTATCCCGGTAACTATTGCTGATCACTGAAGAATGGCAGGCGAGCCTGGCGCCCAAAAACAGAGAACGAATCCCACTTGCGGCGGGCCTCAAACAGGGTAACTAATCCTTTAACCGTGGATGGCCAAGCCCCCCTTTTCGGACCTACGCCCGTCTATTACCTAGCAGAATCGGCGCTCGCACCAATCAGACAGGCCTGCAACGCAAGAGGTCTTTTCCAGGGCCCAGTAGCCAGCAGTGAAGGGCATGGATCTGCTGGGAACTCTGGATTCCTCGCAGCCCTAACGCCGCTGTCGGGAGGATCTTATCTGATGGCGCTAGCCGTCCCCCTGCTGCGTTGGGCAACCCGGACGGCGGCGATCCACTTCTCCTACGGATCGATGATGCTGCGAGGCAAATATTCTGCGCTGGAGACACGGACCACCTTTTGCCTGCTTAATTGCTGCCCATCATTGGTGGTTCGTGCGTACAAACTCCCTAGGTGCTTCAACGCCCCCACACTGGAAAACTCTTATCAATCAGTGGCTGTTCCCTGCCTCCTGCTGCTCACCGCATGCCGAACGAGGGCCGAAAGTCGGACCCCTCGCAAACCCGAGTCCTTTTAGGCAGTTTGGGACTGGGGCACACGGAGTCGCAACAAAATTCTACCCGCTACTTAAACCCGCTTATGGGAGCTTTCCTTGCGGGAGGCGGATCGCGGCATCTCCAGTGGGCTTTCTGTCGTCATACGAATGTTAACTGCGGACATCGCTTGGTGGCAACTCAGTGCCCCACTGTTTCGGTGGTCCATTCCGTTTCTTTCCAGCAGGCTCGGCTGGTTTCTAGCGTTGTACATGCCTGTTGGACTCGGGCGGTCCAGTGAGCAAGGTTGAGAGGTTCGAATGCATCTTGGTGCTGGGACAGGACCTGCTTCATGTAGATGCAAATTTGGTGATCGATGTTCGAGAATGGGGTCTGAACAGTGATGGTGCATGAGACCATAACGACAGAGCTTGTACGGCGCTGGGACCAGCTGTATGTCCGGTCCCGCTTGTCAGATACAGCGTAGGGCGTGTCCATCAGCTTGGGGTGCATGGATGACCCGATGGGTCATCTTGATGAACGGCTCATTTTGCCTCTTCTGGCCTCTGTGGGTGCTTGAAACCAGCCGCCCTAGGCGATCCTTATCCCTTGTCGGCATTAGGTTGCCGACCAGCTTGAGTGGATTTGCTCAGAGGATATCCTCCGAAGCTAAGCGCCTTTCTCTTTTCTCGTCTATTAACCAATCTGTCCCGGAAAATGTTGGTGGTATAGAAGGCAATCACCTTGGCTGAGGTGGGCACAGCTCGCTGTACCCTTGAGACGATCATTGATCAATCATGGATCAATTTCAGCCAGCAGCCCTGGAATGATAATTGCGCGATTCGACCTGGAAATCTTGCGCTTCTTGCAACTTGTTTCGTTTGATTGTCTTTCCAATATTGAGATCCTGTGCTGTTGCTAGCTTTAATCTTGGAAGCTATCCATGGATCTCTATCTCTCCGGTCCCAGATTTTGCCAATGGATACATTGTCTTGATTCAGACTCCGCGTGAAAATATCATAAGCTTGATCTGTCTGTCGCTATTATGAAACTACATAGGCAGGAGTCATCTCCACGTATACTTAAAGTAATGCTTCGGGTTCTCCCTATTTGAGTAACCTACCAAGCGACCATGAACTCCAAAGACTAATGTGAATATTACTGTAGATTTTCAAGGTCAGACCTGGACCAGTACACTAGTGTTTTGTTGAAATGATCACTAGAGTGTTCAGCACCTGAGCCTCGAATTCAATATTTGGCGAATGAGCTCGTAGATGCTTTGTGTTGAGATGAGGGATAGGATCTGGAGGGAATCGCTTAAGCCAGCAATGAAGTAATATTGAAGATGTCTGATAATCTAAGATAACCCCTGAGTGGAAGTGTGCATAGCACACTTCCCGAAGCTCCGCGTTACCGTATAAGGCTAGAGCGACTCAGGGAGGATGGCATAGTAGCCCTCATGGCCTCAGCGGCATTGAAGACTGCTGAAAACTCAACACTTTGACCGATCGTGATCTACTCTGAAGCCTTGGCACTGCAGGTACTGTAGTGGCCGATATATATTTCCAGTACTGATTTAGCAAGTGCCGCGTCATGGTTTTTCTAACGGCGGAAATAACTTGAATCAGAATGACTCGCCTTAATACATCATGTTATGAAGTACCCCCATTCTGCCAACAGATATACAAGCAGTCTCACATTCAAGTTATGCGTGCAGGTTCTGTTTGTGATCACGCGAGAGAGCCCGTTATCGTTCAACGCCGGGCCCGGCGATAAGCAAGGGGCCCCCAGCCTCCGCTCCAACTCGTCCTCGGCTCCGCTCTTCCCCTCATGACTCCTCCCATCTCCAACTTACTCACTCCAGTATACTCCCGACCTTATAAAATCCCTCATCATGACTCGGCGACACGCCTCCGGACTCGATCGCCCTTGGGCGGCGCACATGTATGCGCAGCTGCCCGAGGATAACCACATTCCTCAAGCTCGAGCTCCACCAGCTCCAGCCCCAGCCCCAGCTCCGGCACCCACGACGACCGATGCGCCCATTCGCCCCGAGGATTACTCTAGGCCCTACTGCGAGTTCATGACCTCCAACCCGACCATCTTCCACGCTGTCAGCTCCTTTGGCAAGCAGCTTGAGCAGCACGGCTACAAGTACCTCTCCGAACGGGCGGTGTGGAACGACGAGCTCAAGCAGGGCGGCAAGTTCTATACTAGTCGGAACGGCAGCTCGCTGATCGCTTTCAACATCGGCAAGGAATATGAGAGTGGAAATGGTGTGGCCATTGTGGCTGGTCATGTGGATGCCCTGACAGCGAAGCTGAAGCCCGTCTCGAAGCTTCCTGTGAAGGCAGGCTTCCAGCAGCTCGGTGTTGCTCCATACGCCAGTGGCCTGGGACCTACCTGGTGGGATCGTGATCTTGGTATTGGTGGTCGTGTTCTGATCCGCGACCCGCACACCGGCAAGGTCGAGAACAAGCTGGTCAAGCTGGACTGGCCGATCGCGCGCATCCCCACCCTTGCCCAGCACTTCGGTGCTCCGGCGAGCGGCCCGTTTAACAAGGAGACCCAAATGGTGCCCATCACCGGTGTCGATAACTCGGATCTGTTTGAAAAGCCAACAACCGAGAGTTCTGATATCCCAGCTGGAACATTTGCCGCAACCCAGCCCGAGAAGCTGGTCAAGATTATCTCCAAGGAGATTGGTGTGACGGATTACAGCTCAATCCTTGAGTGGGAGTTGGAGTTGTTCGATACACAGCCTGCCCAGCTTGGTGGATTGGATAAGGACCTCATCTTTGCGGGTCGCATTGACGACAAGCTTTGCTGCTACGCCGCTCAAGAAGCCCTTATTGCCTCTGAGGATACCACCTCTACTGGAACTGTGAAGATGATTGGCATGTTCGATGATGAGGAAATTGGCAGTCTGCTGCGCCAGGGCGCTCGCTCAAACTTCATGAGCAGCATCATTGAGCGTATTACAGAGGCCTTTGCCAAGGATAACTACGGCCCCAACCTTCTCTCACAGACCGTCGCCAATAGCTTCCTGGTCTCCTCAGATGTCATCCACGCCGTGAACCCCAACTTCCTGAATGTGTATCTGGAAAACCACTCCCCTCGCTTGAACATCGGTGTGGCCATCTCTGCCGATTCCAACGGCCATATGACTACCGATAGCGTTAGCTGTGGCATCCTGAAGACCGTTGCCGCTCGCTGTGGTTCCACCCTGCAGGTATTCCAAATTCGGAACGATTCGCGCAGTGGTGGCACAATTGGCCCCATGACTAGTGCCCGCATTGGTATGCGCGCTATTGACTGCGGTATCCCCCAGCTAAGCATGCATAGCATTCGTGCGACCACCGGTAGCCTGGATCCTGGTCTGGGTGTCAAGCTCTTCAAGGGTTTCTTCGACTACTTCGAGGAAGTGGATAAGCAATTTGCTGATATCTAAATCGGTTTTCAAGGCGAATTTCGGGTATAGATCTTTCCTCATAAGCCATACCTGGCGGGGTCTCGGTATTTTGTATAGCATAGCAAGCAAGCTAGAAAGCTAGAATTATTAAAGCGCGTGAAATTTACTTCCATTCTGATGCACCAACATTTGGAATCTCCAAACTTCAGCGTTGAAGTAGAGATCAAGTCTAATTGCTTTTAACAAGAAGTGAAACTTTTTCAACTCAGGAACACTATTCATTCTATCTATTCGAGCTATATATCCGTCTTAATATTTGGGGTCGAGAAAAGAAAACATTAACTAGATGACAAGAAAGGGAGTGAGGGTGTTCTCGCCAAACCGAAAAGAATGAACAGCCGTGGCGGGACCTGTTCCTAGATCCGAATATTTCACTGACCCCCTTAGAATCCAAGACACCCGCGAAGACTACCTTTAGATTGATTTGGCGGGACAGATTTGAGGCGTTTATTTCAGTGAAGGCATGGAATCATTCGACTGAGTGCGGTGATTGTTCATCTCGGCAAGCTCCGTAACAGCAGCCGAGTCCATGACATGAAGCTTCTCGTCTCTTGCCACAGCCGCTCCTCCATATTTGAGGCCGCCGCTCGGAGCAAGTGAGAGGATGCGCTTAGGATCCCCGGCACCGTATTCGGGGTCTTCACCAGGCGCACCAATGGTGGATTCGTCATTCCAGGTTCCTCGGCGAGTGGTTGACTGGCCGGTACCGTAGCGGTTCCCGCTCAAAGTTGAAATCAAGCCTGGGATCAATTTGGAGATGAGAGGCTTCAAGGTTGGCAGACAAGCGCAGATGATGCCTGTATTGCATTCGATAGCAGACCAGGAAGCGGCGCCCACGTTGTCATCTCGGTATTGATTAGTTTCAATCCTCAGCCCAGTGATGAAGATGAGTACATACAGGTAGGATCTGTAGAGTCAGAGATCTGTTTCAAGCTGATCAGACGAACAATACTAGTGATGCAAACGCTAGATGAAGCAAGTTAGCCTACCCGTCATAAATCCTCGAATATTGGCGCTCACTTACAATCCACCCAGAGCGAATATGATAATCAGAGCCATCTTTTGCTTCCTGGGAATGTCGATTGCTATCAAAGCTGGAATAGGAATGATGAGAATAACCAGATCAGTGGTGATATGCATACTAGCATTCGAGAACCACAGCCCAGGCTTGTTCAAGCAGAAACCGTCGATAGAATCATTCCAGAACTTAGCGACGGGAACACAGTTCAGGAATGCACTGACGACGGCCCAAGTGCCGTAGCTTGCTAAGATTATGATCATGATCCAACAGACGACACGCATGCGTTGCGTAGGGAATACACGCCAATATTGCATTAGGATCGAGGCTTTGGCGCAAAGGACGGCGGCATTGTAAAATGGGATCGTGAGCCAGAATGCCTGTAGGGTGTAACATATTAGAAGGAAGAATGGAAATGTTAAGTGTATTCGTCTTACCTTCATCTGCCTCTCGAAAATATCAGGCGGAATGTCCTTGAGATGCATTCCCATTCCGCTAGTAGCTTCAACAATATCGAGTCCCATGAAAACGAAGGAATTAATCTAGATAATGGGCGTAAAATGTGAGTACGTCATTTCAATACAGACCATGACCCGTCGAGGCGCCTTACCAATGCGACGATGATCATCCAGTCATTTCCTTCCAAAGTTCGCAAGAATCGAAGTCGAGTATAGATGCGGATTACGACAAAGGCAGTCGCTAGGCTCGTGAAAACAACACTCACGACTAAACCTTTGGTACCTCGGGAGGATAGGTAGACATCACCATATTCCCGCTTGGAAAAAACATTGTCGTGAAACTCGAGTAGCGTCATGGTCGACAACTACCGGGATTTCGTGAGTGAATTCGTGGACTGCAGGTTGAACGAAGAGGCACGACCGACCAATTTGCGAAATCTAGAGTAGCCAAATCCCCTTGATGTCAGAAGGAACAAATCGGGGAAAGTGATCGAGATGTTAAACGAGTGATAATAGTCACTAGATCCCAAGTCCGGGGAAAGAAGGGGGAAGGCACCGAGGATCGTTCTCCTCATATAACGCAAGCCACCGCGTACCCTGCATCCCGATGTGACAGGAACTAGCGGGTGCAGGCCCATAAACAATACAACCAGACGCAACGGTCGGGGCCAAAATCCGCTAGTCTTGTCGCCCTAGGTGAGAGAGCATGACGCAGATCTCCGTGCATCCTGGACTTACTCCTTCTGAGATTGGTGGAGTCGCAGCGGTGCAAAACAGGTACCCGGGTTGAAGGAGGGCGAGTGCAGTGTCGTGCGCAAGGGACATCCGACGAATTGGAACCTTGGTGTGCCCCAGCTGTACTCGATGCATGCGTGCTTCCCACCAAAAATGTTTTGAAGCTTTGTTACTCCCTTCTTTTTTGACTGTCTGGAATGTGGCATGTCTTGGTGATCTCTATAGCTAATTCTATTCCTTTGTAGACATCCGAAGATTTAAGGTTGGCCGTCTGAAACACTCATAGAAGTTTAATTCATCCGAAGTCGAGGGCTTATTCATCCCACCACTTGGGAAGGGAGAAGGACCGTCCCTTCTTTCTAACAGTCACAAATCGAGCCTTCATGTTGGACGATCAACGCTATTCCACATGAGGAATGAGCTGTCCGATATTGGTATATTCATCAGATCCGACCGCGGCTTCGGGATGGAGATCTACGGTTTTCAAACTTAAGAACGACCTCAGATAAAACGGACGAAAGTTATACTCCGAAGGCTTAAAGTGCATCACGAAGTTTTTGCACTCATACCCCTGACCAAATTTACTCTTTTCGTCTCTATCTCACATGCACTCCTTCAAGAAGAGTTCAATTGAGATCACGTCACACCAAAGAAGCACCGACAATGTCCTGTGTCATGACGGGCATAGAGATCAATGCGTAAGGTGCTCAAGTCATATTGCTTCATCCAATTCAGCCACCCTTGCAGTCCGCTTCAGCTGTCACCGTGGGGATCTGGTTCCGCCTCATCAGTGATGTCGTAAACACCAAGGGGATGTTCATGTCATTGGCTGCTCAAAAGCGCGTGGCAACGTTAAGCGATCCGGCAAGAACCGGCTCTCCGCATTGGTCTTTTATAAGCCCTACGCAATGGGAGCTAGGGCGCTGAGCTGCATTATGCACATGTAACCGGAGACGAGCGACGGAAATCAGATGGGCCCGAGGGCCGGGATGCAGCTGGATTCGATCTATCTAAAAGAAAGTGCAGATCACCCGACGATCAACAAGCTTTCAGCTTGCATCCTCGTTCTTCCCCTCCTCCTGGAGCGATTAGAATAATCAGAAAACAAATCGTCTTATGAAATTGATTCTGGATTTTGATGAAATTTGGTGGGGAGTTGACCAGTAAATAGCGAATTTGTGAAGCGGAATTCATTTCCAATGCTAGAGCGATCGTTAAGCTCGCCCACCTAGAGCTTTTGTCGTAAGGGATGACTCCATATTCGCGACTCCCTCTCTCAGAAATTCTCCGTCTTGTTGGGCTCTTATTTGGAATAGCGTTCCCGGAAGAAGCCGACCCAACAGACCAGGCGGTCATAGAAAATGGAGCTTCGACCAATTGGCCGATTCTAAAATTGGTCAAGGTACAAAGACCGTTCGGGACTTTTTCAAGGAGATCTGCGCGTATGATGAATGCGTACAGGACCCAATTATCCAGCAACATCGAGGATTACGATTCCTTCGTGAGCTCGGGTCCACTTTCTATTTCTTCGAGGCCAAAGCCAGAGCTTCTGTCTACGCACAAGTAAGTCTTCCATGGATACGATCTCGCACATACTGTTAATAAATATGGCGCCGTAAAGCTTGCAAGCAAATTCACTAGAGAGAACAAAACGAAGAAGCTAAAAAGTTGAAAGAGGATGAATGAGGCATCCTTCCATGTGACCGGCCAACTTTGCCCCAAGGGAGCTGACGCCACTCCCGCTCAGGGTTATGTATGATCCATCACTTTGCTTCAGCCACACGAGGTTTTCAACCATCAACTACGCAAACCCGAACTTCTAACCCAAAAATTGTCTCCGTACGGAGGACTTCCAAGTTTGTAGTTCCTGCCGGGTGACTCGTTTCTCTGCAGTTGTCCACATGTGCCCGGTATCGCAGAAAAACGCTCGATTACCGTGGGCCAGTCCAGTCGAATTTCGAATTCAGTCAATTGCATGAACACCTGACGTTGAACATAGCAATGATCGGGAGTATACTCAGCTTGTACCTGAGAGATTACTGTCTCACATTGATGCAGTTTCACGACCTATGACAAAAGGCAGAGGAGGGGGAAGGGGGGGGGGGGGCTTTACTTTGCTTCAAAGGCCTGTATCGTCGGCCACATAGCGAAAGAATCCAATAAAAAAGATGAGGCAGATATTTTATTGGTTTATTGGTTAGCGTGGCCGACCTTGAATTAAGATTCCATAGCACAAGCTGCATGGTTGACCTTGGCAAACGGAGATTTGCACTCGGTAAGTTGCTTCAGGTCCCATGAAGACGAAACGGTTGACCACTGATGAATGAAGCCCAGCTCTCATCGGCGCGGATAGTTAGATTCAAAAGCGCAAGATAAGTTAATTCAGCCGTGTGCTTTACTAAGTTATTGTAAACTCGAGGCCTAGATGTCACACTGCTCTCAGTAACTGAGCACCTGAGATGACATACATGCAGGTGCAGCTGTAGGTACCAGATATTATATGTCACCTTACAGGATAGTATTCCAAATCATCAGAACAGAATGGAAGATATTATTTTGGGCAGACTGGCCTTGCTATTTGTTCGAGCTTACCTTAGGGTAGGCCATACGTACATTCGTCCCAACATTGGATGAGTCTTAACCATATAATTGCCTCTGTGAAGGGCTACGGCCGAATTGATTCAATTGAGCGGTGCCAACATGCTGTTTATCTGAAGCTTGGGGAAGTTTAGAAATAGGGGGTGGCCAGCGGTGACTAAATATCCTGGGGAGTTGATAGATCACATCGCACAGGCTTGGCCTGGGCAATAGATCGGGACCTGGCATGTTACAGCCTCAATGTTGCAGGCGGCAATCTTTCAAATATGATGGGACAGTGAAAACTATATGAAAACTAAGAATGACTGTTCAAAGACACCCAATTCATTAATATCTCCCATTAAACTTTCATAGTTGCTCGACAATGCTCTTGTGTGTCCAATAACTGAGGAAGCCTGGGAACAACTACTTGAATGGCGGGGCATAAGGAAGCGATAAGATAGAGAGAGCGCACAGACCAACATCCGAGAAATTTCCTTTCCACTGCACCACCTTGGAAGCAAACCACGAAAATCCCTCTACTCTCTTGCTACGATCGTTGCATTCCGTCCATTTCACGCGATTTGCAAGTTACGCACATTATGGCGGAACCTGTCTCATCGCCCGCTAAGCCCGTCCACACAATCGTGCTGGACGCCGGCCCCATCATCAAAAATTCCCCGCCGCTTTCCACTTTGCTCGCCCAATGCGACGAAATTATCACCACCCCGAAAGTGGTGAGCGAAATTCGCGATCCCGACGCCCGCGCCCGTATCGAGACCCTCTATCTGCCCTTCCTCAAGCAGCGAACCCCCACCCCGAACAGCTTCAGCGTTGTTAGCGAATTCGCCCGAAAGACCGGTGACCGTTCTGTGCTGAGTCGAAACGATATCGAAGTGCTGGCCCTCGCCTATGAGATCGAATGTGAACGTAATGGAGGCGACTGGCGACTGCGAAGCGTCCCGGGTCAAAAGCGTGTGAATGGAAAGCCGCCCGTGAAAGAGGACGAGCCCAAGGAACAGGGGTCGAAGGAAAACTCTGAGGCCACTGGCGTGGATGCAATCACCGAAGGTGTTAAAGGCGCAGTCGTTATCGACAGCGTTGAGAAGGCAGAGGCGAAGATCAAGGAGAACGGTGCAGCCTCCGAGACCGCCCCCGAGACCGCCACCCCGACCGAGGTTGTGAATGAGGATACCGCCGAGGCTCAAGGCGAGGACGCAGAAGAAGATGACACCGTTGACTCGGATGGCGGAGAATGGATCACACCCTCCAACTACAAGAAGCGGCTGGCCCGCGACGAAGCTGGTGGTGCTGCATCGGCCGCCTCGGAGCCGAAAACCATGCAGGTTGCAACCATGACCACTGATTTCGCAGTAAGTAAGCACTTGAAAAGAGTCTCTACAGGCCACCTCTAACTTGAACTTAGTGCCAAAACGTTCTTCTCCAAATGAACCTCAACCTTCTGTCGACAACCACTCTGCAGAGAATCCAGCATCTGCGCACTTTCATCAAGCGCTGCCATGCCTGCTTCCTCACCACCAAGGACATGAACAAGCAGTTCTGCCCTCGTTGCGGTAAAGATACTCTTACTCGTGTTTCCTGCACTACCACTGCCAATGGCCAATTCACCATGCACCTGAAGAAGAACATGCAGTGGAATAACCGTGGTAATGTGTACAGTGTCCCCAAGCCTGTCGCAGGTACCGCCAACGGCAAGTGGAAGGGAGGCGGTGGCAAGGGTGGATGGGGTCGAGATCTTGTCCTCGCCGAAGATCAGAAGGAGTTTGTCCGCGCTAACGCTGAAGAGGAGCGCCGCCAGCGTCGGGAGCGTGACCTGATGGACGAGGACTACCTGCCCGGTATCCTGACCGGTGAGCGCAACAGACAGGGAGGACGTACCAAGGTTGGCGCTGGCCGAAACGTCAACTCGCGAAAGCGCTAAACGCTGTGAACGACCTTGCATTACGGATTACATGGATGGAGTTTGGGACATGCGCAACAAAAAGTCATTGAATTGTCTTCCGTCATGATGGATCTACGGCATTTCTTGCACATAGATTTAGTACGACTTATATAGAGAACCACATATGGACGACGTTTATGAGAATATTTCAATTGGTAGCCATGAGTCAATCACCGAACAATATGTTGACCCCACTGCTTGTAGCAAAGAATCCAAGGAAATGCAATTCCAGTTGTCTGCAGACTGTACAAAACACCTTGCGCCATATCGGATAGAAACCGTTCAACCCATTTTTCCCAAGCAGAACTTTTGAATTTATTTCTCTGCAGCACCGATTATGTTAGTGTCGAGCGAAAGCTGTAAGGCGAGGAAATATTCATACCGGGCTGCTGGGTGAGCAGAAGACCGTAGCGCTTCTTCAAGGTAACGCGGTGGCTAGAGAAAAGAAGCGTCAATACCGTGACTCCTCTTGTGACTGCATCGAACTTGAGAGGTAAGGCACATACCGAGAGTACTTGTCATCGGGGGAAAAACGGGCGGGGTGGGCGGACTTGGAGACCTTGCCATCGACGACCTTCTTAAGTGTATAGACGCGCTTGCCGTCGGGACCGAGAGTGTACTGGGGTCTTGTCAGTAAAATGCCCAAGACAATTCATTGCTGTCACGAGGGTCGATTCGGAGTTCGCGAACGGTGGCAACGTACCATAAGATGCATTCTATGCGCGCAAAAAAGTCAGCATGACAGCTTCGTGAGGAGAAATTGGTGAGAAAATGGGGTAAGAGCACTTACTTGGCGGTATTTGGTGTTCTGTTGATCGAGACGTGCGGCGTTGACGGTGCGGAGGATTCTTGGAATTTTTTTGACACCGAACACTCGGACCACCTGCTTAGTCACCAGCGCGCTTAAAACCACGAAAATCATTTTCGCCCTCGGCAGCTTTTCCTCATCATCTTCTTGAGTGAATGATGCACCAGCGCACGCACTAAGTTGCCTTGCACACATCTTGCTCGGCCTGAAACGTCCCATGACGATGAATTAACGTTACCACAGTTGCCCAAAAGCCTCCAGAGCTCTGTGACCACTACAGGTATGTTTTCACCATAGCTCTCGAAGCTATCTCTTTTTCTGCTTCCCACCTCCCGCCCACTGCCCCCCTCTTCAATGATGACCAAATATACCCAAGCCAAGGCAGACGGCACTGATTTCTAGCTGTCTGTCAATGAGTATGCTTATTTTGACTACTACGGTATCTGAGAAAATTCATCAAAGCACAACATGTTCACCAACTTGCTTCGTGGAAGAGATTGCTAATTGGACTCTTCGATCAGGATTCTTTCGTTCATTTCAGTAACAAATACTTGAAGATGGCTGAAGTTACCAGCCCAGCAAAGGCGAGCCCTGCGGTCGGCCCCGAGAAAGCGAATACTCGCCCGGCCCGGGGGTCTCGTCCTCCTAGACCGAATTACAAACACATTCATCGCTTTCCTTTTCCACTCAATGTTCAGCCTGTTCTTCTTCCACCTGTAATTCCTCATAACCCCGTCTCAATCATTAGTGCTGTCCTCTCGTACCTTACCTTCCTTATCTCTCCACCTAGCCAAGAAATCTACTCTGCATACTTCGACCCGGCGACCTCCTCCATCCATGTGACGGACGAGAGGGCGATCAGAGCACTGTGGGAGAGGGGCTTCTTCGGCAAAGGCAACCTGAGCCGGAGTGAGCCCAGTTGGTTGGAGCGCGAGAAGAAGAGACGGGGCTTGCTCGGCGGTCAATCCAGCGAGGAGGTCACCAGGAAGCGCAGGGCAGAACGACGTGAATTGAAGCTGGAACGAGCGAGATCGGAAAGGCTTCTCATTGAGGAACGGCTCAAAGTTGAGGCGGCTGCTCGAGAGTCCGGCAGGGCAACACCGTCGACAGACGGTGTCGCCGATGCGACAGCAATCACAATCGAAAAATTTTCAGTCAAGAAGGCGATGGACGCCAAGTATCGCGAATCCCGCGAAGCACGACTACGCACAGCGCAAAACGGAGAGCCTGTGCCAGCCCCCGATGCGTCGTCGTCTGCCAATGGCAAATCCGTGCGCTTTTCGTCTGTCGCTGAAGAGAAGGAGGTAACGTCGACCTCGACTATTCCGCTCCAGGACTCGAGTTCCACCTATGGTGACGACGTCGATGCCGATGATATCTTTGAGAACCAGGAGCACCTTCAAATTTCTAATGAAGAAGCATTCTTCCTTGTCTACGGATTAGGCGTTTTGCGAGTCTTCGATCGTGAACAAAGTTCCGCCATCCCAGCATCATCTCTACTTCCTCTTCTCCGCCGGCACTCCTACTTCCCTCCCAATGACGATTCCGCCAAGTTGGAGCCGGACGATCCTTTCATGCTATCCTACGTCGTGTACCACCACTTTCGATCCCTTGGGTGGGTAGTGCGGTCTGGTGTGAAATTCGGAACTGACTACTTGCTCTACAACCGCGGGCCAGTCTTTTCTCACGCCGAGTTCGCTGTCATTATTGTTCCTTCCTATACCCATTCATACTGGTCGCAGACAGAGAAACTGAAGGAGTATGCAGCTGCCAAGCAGGCTCGTAGCTGGTGGTGGCTGCACTGCGTCAATCGTGTCCAGGCCCAGGTCAAGAAGAGTCTCGTTATCTGTTATGTCGAGGTGCCGCCGCCGGTCGATTCATCGCAGGATATTGGAACCCTGCTAGGCCAATACCGCGTGCGGGAATTCCTTTTGCGACGATGGATCCCTAATCGCACTCGTGACTAGGGAGACTTCGGCACCATATTGAATGCTGATTCATAAAATATAGCATTCAACATCAAGTATGAGATTGGGCTTCAGACACCCCCTCATCAGTCTGTATATTTAAATGTGAATTAAGATACCCCTAATCGCATTTGTCATTATCATCGTAATTCGTCCTGGGTTTTACTTTGTTACATTAAATATTTGGTCGTACTTGGAACACATAAATTCTACAATTTGCGTCCATTGAACAGCCAATATCGTATGGTACGCTATGCTAAATTAGGCAATATTACTGGTGATGCACGTGACTGACGCGTTTCGCGTTTTTGACTTCGTTTGCCACGACAGTTTGACGTCCTGGACTTTGTTTGCCAAGGTCCGCCTCAGTACTAGGCCAGAACATGCCTTTTATACGGACGAGAAGAATAATTGTCTGCTGAAATACTGTCTCGCGAGGCATGGAGACGCAAGATAGCCTCGACATCGCCAAGCTGCAACGCGTCGCGTTGGGACTAGTATGTAACGTCCTGCGGCGTTCCAGAATCTCATTGGGCTGACCTCGGTCTTTTCAGGAGCACGAACCATCGCAATCGTTTCCAACCGACCAGGCAGGGATTGACAGTGCCTCTCTCAAGGATTCCCTCTGTCTCTACGACCTTCCTGCCAGTCGTTCTTATGGTGACGCATCGCCGACTTACCAAGGGTTCTCCTCCATACCTCCGTCGAACCGTGCCAAGTCGGACCTCTCGCACCGCTCCTCCCACCCCTCTGCCGCAACACACCATGAAAAAGCCTCAATGAGCTACCATAATCCTGCGACTGCGTCGAGTGAAGTACAGCCTTTGCAAAGGTCACCGCCCGAGCAGATGGAGTCTGCCGAATGTGACCCCGGGGATACCCAGGTCGTCTCGCAATCGGTCTATGACAGCATTATTCGGCAAAATGGAGAATCCATGTATCAGGAGTGTACGCAAAATGGGGCCGATGGTGCGACGCTCATGACTCTACATGAAGGCGACAGTGGTCATCTCGATCTTCTCGCCGAATTCGACAGCGCACGCGAAAGGAACCAGTCACCGAACAACGACGACGAAAGTGTTTACGGACAGAGCCCATCCTCCCCAATTGCTGACCATGGCCTCCAACCCGAGTTTTTCCCCGAATCACAACGCTTCTTGACAGCCACGCCGGCGACCGCAATCAAAAAGAACCAGACACCGGGCACCTCCCAGACCCCGAGTGTTTCCCGGAATCCGTTACAGGGGGATGTTGGATCAAGTGGCGGTCTTCTGATGGGCCTCAGCCAGGCCTTCAAGAATACACAAGCTCCATCCTCTCCGCTGGTCCACGGTCTGCAGTCGGAATTGGCATCAGACCGGCCGTCCCCCAATATCCCAATTCAACAACGCATTCACAACCCCATCTCATCGCCTCTCATGAACTTCCCCGGACATTTAGCACACGAGTCGTCTGAACCGAACCTGAATTACATTTCATTGAAGGAGTCGCAAAATAACCGTAACAAGACTTTGGGGAGGAGGTTGACGCGATCTGAAGAAAATCTACACTCGGGCGATCAGATTGATCAGGAATTCTACAAAGAACCATCTTTCGTGGAAGCGGCGAGACGTCGGCGAGAAATCGATGAGGAAACAGCTGCACAATTTCTTGCTCTGAATTCTCCTGAACGCCCCGAAAGTAATGCCTGTGAATTATCACCGGCCCACTCGATCCATATACATGAAGACGAGGCAATCGGTATGGAAGGTGCTGGGAGAGAAGACGGAATGGAAGCTGCTGGGAGCGAAGAGGAAACGGAGCAGGAAGAGGACCATGCTCCCCAGGTTCCTCAGTCGCAGGAGTCTGGTCCCAATTCATCTATGGAAGAAGATAAGGAAAATTATGTCGGTCCTCACGACGCAGTCGTTGCTACCAACAGCGCACATGATCGTCTCTCTCAGGCTCTTGGTATAGACGGAAGTCAGTTGAGACTGGACCATGATGCGAACACGGCGCCTCAAGAACCCAGCGCTTTTGATGACTCTCGCCCTGACGAGTTTGTGGCAAGGTCATCTCAAGTAATGGTGAAAGACTCTCAGCAGTCACCACAAGCTTCACCGCAACATGGCAATGCAATCTTGGGACCACAGCCAGTATTTGCTCCTATGCAAATCGACTCCCATATTCACGTCGCTCAAACGTCTCCCGTCCGACAAGACCAGCTTTCACCTCTTGGCTCACGACCGGGGATGAGGGATTCTCAGCACCCTCAAGAAAACCTACAACACCAGCAAATTCCACAGTCTTCAGACCATGTTGATCCTAGAAACATGAACGGACATTCGACTAGTCAGAGTAGAACTGTCGACTCCAGCAATTCCTTCAGCCGACCTCAACCTGCCGGATCATTACATCGCAGGACTGAATCAGGCCAGGGGGAGAAATCATCGTCACTGCCTTCTCAAATTAAGGAGACTCCAATCCATTTGCGGCAAAGCCCCGAACGTGTGGGATCAAGCAGATGGGAGGGCGAGTCAAATGCCGATGCCACGAACGAAGATGATGATGATCTTCCTCCTATGTTCCCGGCCGGCCATGGCCCTCGTTTCAGTCAGCAACAGCGCCCATCTCAAACCCGAGCACAATCTTCGCCAATAAAAGCCAAGCCGCCGATATTGTCAAGCCCGAGTGGACGACAACGCCGAAGATTGACTGACATCGCCTCGGATACATCCCCTCAAGTTAATGCCAAAATGGGCGATATCGATATGAGTTTTTTCGCAAATGACCCTGATTTCAACGCATTGATACAAGGGTCACCCACTCGCCCGAGAAAAAGGCGCTGCGGAAATTTAGGACAGACGTTTCATACAATACCCGACACTGCCATTCCTTCTACCCCTCGTACTCAGCCTCCCAAGACAATCGAACCTATTCGCGAGGTCTCTAGTCCTGCACAGGCATATGCAAACCACTCTTCGCCCGGAATTCGCGTTCCTATAACCACCAGTCGCAGGCAGTCTGGGCTCTCTCGGCGTACGGATGAGAGTGTATGGGAAATCGAGAACTCTCCCCAGCAAGTCATTCGCCGCAGATCAAGGTCAGCTCGTCAACCCGCTTGTTCTGGTCGCCGACTACGGACCCCACAGCCTATTCCAGAACAGCCTCAGGATGAGCAGCCTCGGGATGAACAGCCGGATCCACCAGCCGCCGTCAATGAAGCGCCTGAAACAGCTGATGTTGAGGAAGCTCCTGTCAAGGTACCGGCTTCTGAACCAACAGCTCCTCCCGCACCAACCCCATCCGAGCCACCCCCGTCATCTGAACTCATGGAAATGGAAAATGGCTCTGAAGACTTGTTGCCATCAGGCAATTTGCCCGCGAGCACTCCTACCTCGCCTCAACTACCCGTGGCTGTCTATGACGACCGTCAGATCGCCCCCAGTCAAATACTCGCTTTATGGATGGGCCAAAAGCGAGCCTATTATCCAGGAACTTGCTTTGGAACACCGCTTGGATGCTCAGCAACTAAATACTCTGTTAAATTCGAGGACAGTCCGCCTGTTGAAGTTAATAGGGGTGCAGTGAAGAGGCTGGAACTTCGAATCGGAGATGGTGTCAAAGTCGACATGCCTGGTGTTCCCAAGGTTACGCACATTGTCCGTGGGTTTGAGGATAAACTCACTCGTGACGAGCTGGGTGACGCTGCAGACCGTGGTGTTTATCCCCAAACTGACGTTTTTGGCTACTCAACCCTTATTCTCGGTCCGAAACAGCGCAAGAGTCTTCCCAATGGCGGCCTGAATAACAGTGACAATATTATCAGGGTCCCCGTTGGCCGCATATACTTTGATATGATCCTATGGAATCAACTCAAGGACCGAGCATTTACATACCAACCCGAACCTGCGTCTGTCCGTGAAAGCGTGCCTCAGACACCCTCTCAGAAATCGTCTCTCCCCGCATCCCCGAGCGCCAGATTTTCACGCAGTTTCCAAGGCGTTGGTCTTTTTTCCAACATGGCATTTGCTGTTTCATACAAGGAAGATGACGGATCAAAGAACCGCGTTACAACGCTCATCAAAGAAAATGGTGGGTCCATCTTGGAGAACGGTTTCACCGAACTTTTTGAGTCTTCCTCTGTCCTGCCCATATCAACTCCAACCAAGGGCCAGTCCAAGGAGCGAAGAATTCGCCCTGGACTCCATCTCACCGATTTGGCTGAAAATGTCGGTTTCGCCTGCCTGATAGCCGACACGCATTCGCGCCGTGAGAAGTACATGCAGGCACTAGCACTTAACCTACCTTGTCTTTCAGGACGGTGGATCGAGGACTGTGTGGCCAAGGGTCGTGTCCTAAATTGGGACATCTACCTCCTCCCTGCAGGAGACTCTATGTATCTCAATGGCGCCACGAAATCGCGAGTGATGACCCCAACTCCGCCATCCGAAGCACGCCTAGTTCGCACAATCTCCACACGACCAAGGCTGCTTGCCGGAAACTCAGTCCTCATCGTCATGGGTCGCGGCAAAGCCGAAGAAAAGCGCAAGGCTTACGTCTTTCTCACATTTGCGTTGGGCGCCTCCCGAGTTGAGCGTGTTCCCGATTTGGAGACGGCTCGCGCAATGATGGATTCGCAGTTCGAGTCCGGTCTTCCTTGTACCTGGGACTTCATTTATGTCGATGATGCCGACCAGGATGCTGCCCGGGAGATGTTGGCACCTCGGCCAAAGATGCAAAGGATTCACTTGGTACATGGGAAGAAACGGAAGAAGTCTGCCACCTGGACCTTGGATAACTCCGACACAAATACCACCGCAAGAGTTGTCGGAAACGAGTTCGTCTGTCAGAGCTTAATTCTGGGTCGACTATTTGAGGAGTGATGTTTTGATTATATTTTATTTTTAAACCTTGATACCAATCTCACCGAGCATACTAAATCATATCAATGCCATACATTCATCCATATCCCAGTGACCAAGGAACGCGAGGCGGCCCGGCCCGACTAGCAACTTCGCTCTGAAGTACGACTTAAATACCAAGTTTGAAGCCACCCCAGTTGAGCCTGGAGAAGATGCCCTTAGGGTCGTAAGAAGACCTGATCTCTCTCATGCGGGCAACATTTTCTTTCGGGAATCCCGCGAATGGATCCTGCCACTCTCCAGCGTCGCCCATGTAGACGAACTCAGAGGCTATTCCCTTCTTGACATTGATAGCATGGAGATGCTCTGCAAGCTGACGAGACCAGGCCTCGACACGAAGGTCATCCTGAGCCAACGCCCAGCCAGTACTAAATTGCCATACTGGGAGATAGGTTAGCTAAAGGACAATGTATGAACAATGGGATGCTTTAAACGTACGGATATGAGACTCTTCTTCAAGTCCCCAGACATTTCCAACTCCATTGGTCCGGGCAACCCGGGCAGCACTCGCAGATGCAATGTTGATCACGAATGTCGGATAGAGGCCCTCAATGTCGGCGATCTGATCAACTGCGTCTTTCCAAGTTTTGTAAATAGAGTGGAGAACATCTGCATCTGGCTTCATTGTCTTGTGGGAGAACATGACCCTAAAAAGTAAAGTGGATTAGCAGACTTGGATATCGGTCTCGATGGTGTTATAGTCGAGGTATTTACCTAAACATCTGCTTAGGAGAATCAAGATCAGTCGCCCATTGCTTCATGGTCGTGACATTGTTGATCCTCGTCGTAGCAGGGATTGCAGAGAAGTTGGCAAATTGAGACGGGGGCCTGCTGACACCCTCCTGAACACCCAGAAGTGAGGCGGATGCCACTTTTGTTGTAGCATTATATTGCACGGTGGCAACCATGCCGGCAGCAATGGGATCCTTGTCGTCAAGCATAGCCATATCACACACCGCAGTCAAGAAATCTGGAATCCCACTCTCATTGTAAACCTGAATGGTGGTGCTGACCTTGGGGATATCGAACGTTCGCAACGTAAATTTTGTGACAATGCCATAGTTGTTGGCACCGCCCTTCAATGCCCAGAATAGATCGGGGTGGGATGACTTGTTGACTGTTATTTGGCTTGCATTGCCCAGCACAATATCGTAGCTCACAACGTTGTCCATAGCATAGCCATATTTGTTGTTGAAATAGTGGAATCCGCCGATGAGACTAAGTCCAGGAACACCGATCGTCTTCAAGCGACCCCCAATCGCGGCGCGACCGTACGGCTCGAGAGCCGAATAGACATCATACCAGTTCAGTCCAGGCCCTACTTCGATAGTATCCCTTTTGACGATAACGTTGTTCAATTTCTCCAAGGCCAAAAGAACGCCGCCATCGATATTGTTCGATCCTGGGTACTGGGTTGATGTTAGCGATGCTACCAAATGTAGTATTCAATAAAGGCGACAACACACATTCATGTGACCTCCACCTCGCACTGCAAATTGAGCATTGCAAGATTTAAAAATCGAGACGGCCTTGGACACTTCGTCTGCGGATGCAGGTAGAAAAATGCACGCAGGAGATAAATCTGCGCGTACATCCCAATAGTTTTCCGCAGCTTGGACAACATAGGTTGCGCTGCTTGGGAGGATGACTTCGCCAAGCTCACAAGAGAGCTTTTTGCACGCACAAGTAGATCCCTTTGTAGGCGCGAAATCTCCCAGCGGAGTGGTGACTGATGAACCGGCCCCAGTGCTGGAACTGGCAGCCACCAGAGTTAGAAGAGATAATTCGACAAGGAGTCTCATCGTGAATTGAAATCAAGTAGTGGTTCAAACACGTCGAGTCGGGTATTTGATGAGTGTTATTCGGTTCTCCAGCCTTTATAACTTCCATGTGAGCGATTGATTGCAGCCTCCCAATGCCGCCTGTATGTAGCTACCAGAGGCTCGGCCTGCTCGGCAGTAGGTGTTTGAAACGCTGATCACTCTGTTCGACCGTCGTCCCGCTCGGGTGCAGAAGAAACCGGTCATGTCTTTCGGAACCGTGAGCAGATGGAACTCCACATTTGGGATGTATGATCGCGACACTGGGTCGTGATTAGACCGATTGACGAAAGCATTGAGGCTTAGCATTGTGCTTGAAACTCGTCTGCCTTCCAGGCAGGCAGAATCTGTCGATTTTATCTCTGCGCACGCTTGAAAGCAGACATTCTGCGGGTATAAGCATGAATATCACAGGGGAAAGAAAGGATGAAATGGCGATCAGCGGGGATATCCGAACCCGAACCCGAACCCGAGCTCGCGCTGCCAAATGTTGATGCGGTTGGGTTCTTATTCGGGTTCGGCAACATCCCCATTGGGACGCTGCTCGTAGGTAGCGCCAGTCTAAAATAAGGAAATATTGAGAGACTCTGCATGAAATATGGTTGTCGTTTTCTACACCCACGAAATAGCCGCACCTGAAATTAGGAGTTGTTCTAGAATGATTCTAGCTTCTCCAGTTTTCATCTAATCCTTTTATCATCCGAAATTCATAACCGAGCTCCAATTTGGGTTACATGAAGAAATGTCAAGATGGATAACGAAATTTCATATTTGGAACATGAAATTATCATTCCAAGCTTGAAACTTGCATTGTTTCTCATAGAGTCAAGGCCTGGCTACTTCCCGATCAGTACGCAGCGTACTATTCATGTCCAACGAACGCACTTTGATTCGAATATTCTGCAGTTTTCAACGTGAAAATTGCTCAGATTCATTTTAGCACGCGGTTTATGTAGTTCGTTCACTTCTCCAATTTCTGTAGTAAAGTTGGAGTAGGTGGAGCGCATACAATCGTCGAGCGGGTCTTGAGTGTACACTTCCCCGCTCTCATATCCTTGTCAACTTTCATCGCTCGCGATACATCTCCAATTCTTCAATCATCTCCCATTCTTACTACAGATACCCCGAAGGTGCTCTCTGCACAGAATGTCATTCACTGGGAACTTCGCAGACAAGGTCGTTCTTATCACAGGAGCGAGCAGCGGTATTGGCAAAGCGACCGCTATCAAAGCAGCGACATGTGGCGCAACACTTGCCCTTGCTGATATTAACGGGCCAGCACTGGAGGAAGTGCTAAATATATGCGAAAAATCATCCACGATAAAGGCTAGCCACCTCAAGTACACCTTGGATGTTAGTGCTGCCCATGACTGCGCCAGTTTTATGGAAGCCACTGTCAAAGCTTTTGGCCGAATTGACTATGTTTTCAGCTGCGCTGGAATCAACCCAACTTCTGTCCCGATCGAATCAGTCTCGGATGAATACTGGGATAAATTGATGAACACCAATCTCCGCGGTACATTCAACATATGCAGAGTGTGCTTGCCCCATATGCAGAGTGGCTCAGCCATCGTCAATGTATCATCTGTATGCGGGAACTACCCAGTGGCCAACTTTTCTGTATATTGCGCCGCCAAATATGCTGTCATTGGTTTTTCAAAGAGTGTGGCCTTGGAGGTCGGCCCTCGAGGAATCCGCGTGAATGTGGTCGCGCCGGGCTACACCGACACCCCGACAAATGTGTCTGTACGCACTGGTGCGGAGGCAATGCAGCGTACTGCGGAAAGCGTTGGAATGAAGAGAATGGGTCATGCAGATGAAATTGCCAACACTGTTCTCTTCCTTTTTTCTGAACAGAGCAGCTATATGAATGGCGCAGTTGTGGACGTTGACGGAGGAGTTGGCATGTTGGGATAAGAAAAGAAGATTCGGCGTCATATTTGCCTTTGCGTACAATATGGAAGTGTATCTTATAATAGAATTTTGAACTGCCTCGAGGCAGAAAGTTTGACAATCTTTTCGAAAGACCGTTAGTTATTTCTAACCTAGGTTAACGTCATTGCTGCCTTGGAATTCAGGCTACAGAGTTTTCGGGCCTTCGACCTCCTTCTTTCTTTGTTTTCCTGTCTCTGGTTCCAGAATTTTACGTTTAAGCCGTTAGGTACCTTTTCTTTGTCATTTTCCGATCACCTCCCTGATCGCTATTTGAGCCTCTGGTCAACCCTCGTCTTCGAAGGCGGCGTCAAGACTGGGCTGTGGCCTTGGGAAACGCTGCGCAGCCTCTTCGTCTGACCTTTCTCGTCAATTTAACGAATATGCATGAAAGTCAACCATGGGGCCCAGGCGAACACACAGAAAGTCGCGAAACGGATGTCAGTCTTGCAAGACCCGCAAAGTCAAGGTAAGCAGCATCCTCCCCGCTATATACTCCATGTCAGCCCTGGCTAAAGTTGGGATCTCGATGAAAATTGAAGTGCGATGAAGCAAAGCCGCAATGCAACAATTGCATTCGACATGGGGTAGATTGTAGTTTTGGCTCTTCTCAATCCACGGCTAGCAACACGACACCTTCACCCAATGGTCACGCCCTTGAAACAAGCCTTGAAAGCCTGACCCCAGTTATGGGCATGGCCGAGATGGCATTGTTACATCATTACTCGACCTCAACATGCTACACGATCTCGCGGCATTCAGTCCTGCAAACAGTTTGGCAAATCACGATTCCCCAGTGTGGGCTCACTTCTCAATCTCAGTTTGTGCTTCGTGGGATACTGGCTCTTGCTGCGCTGCACATGGGCCATATAAAGCCCGAGCTCGAAGCGCAATACCGCGCCACTGCAGAATACCATCACAACAATGCTCTCCAAATGGTCTCCGCGGCTATACCGCAGATCAATGAAGACAACGGCCCTGCACTATACATTTTTTTCAATCATTACCTGCATCATAACTTGTGCGATGCGGCGCAATTTCGATGAGCACTGGTTCAGCAACGATCATTTCTTCGAATGGCTTCATCTTGTGCGTGGTACGAAGGCGATAATAGCCTCTGTCAACAGTGTTCTCAAGTCCGGGCCGCTCGCGCCTATGTTTACCCTGGGAGGGCGCAAGAGTCGCGCCCGGGAAGTCAGGTCCACCGATAATCAGCCATTTATGGAAAACCTGCGGCAATTGCTTACAGAGTCTGTGAAAGACCCGAACGAGTTACGCTGTTATCAAGAAGCGCTCGATGACCTCGCTAAGTCCTTTGCCGCCGTTTTTGATACTCAGAGCATAGAGACGGCAGATGTCTTCATATGGCTTTATCAAATTTCAGATGAATACTTGAATTTGCTACGCAACCGTACCCCCGAGGCACTGGTTATTTTTGGCTACTTCACTGTCATTACGAAAGAGTTGGAATGGGCTTGGTGGTTGCAAGGTTTCAGTGTTCATTTAATGCGCGCCATATACAATCATCTCGATCAGGAGCATCGCTACTGGCTGCAATGGCCTATACAGCAGTTGGGATGGGTTTTTTGATTTTTGCATCAATTGTCAGTGGGAAACACGGGCTTCAAGCAAATATACCATATGTAATTCCTCTATGCGCTATACGGATTGAATGGCCGGATAAGAAGAGGGGGTAGAGATATCAAATATATGCGTGAGATGACTTGTGAGATAACATTTCTATAATACAGAGAAACACCAGAGGAAGACCTCATATCGCTACAGAAACCCAGACTTCATGGTTCAAAGAATCATACACCCTTATTTGCCCTTCTTGGCAGACTTCTTCTTGCCCTTCAGACTCTTCATCTGGGCAGCGCGCTCAGCACGGGCCTGTCTCTTCCTCCATGCGAGCCAGCGGTTTCTCCGGTCGTAGGGCATAGCGGTGATACCAGCCTTCTCCGCGGCACGACCAATGATCCAATTGGCCTCACGGTACATATAACCAGGGCGCAGCTGAGGGCCAGACTCGGCATTGACAGCCTCAACGCTGCCAACTTGGGTGCCATTCTCATCAATTGAAGCAATCATGTCAGACTGGAAGGCAACAGGCTCCATCCGGGGAACAGTAACCATGTTCAACTTGCGGCGGCTGGGCGCATTGCGAGGGTGCGGGAGCTTGCCATCCTTCTCGAAAACAACTCCGATGTATCGACGGTCGGGGTGACGCTCAGGATCAGCGTAGTAACGGACATAGCCAGCCTGAGTGGCGTAGATTGTGTGGTCGCGTCCCATCGCGCAGTTGTCACCGGGGAACCACTTCGAGCCGCGCTGCTTGAAGATGATGCATCCCGGAACGACGTACTCGCCGCCGGTGCGCTTCGCACCGAGACGCTTACCGGCGGGATCGCGAGAGTGTCGATTGGCAGTACCCTGAGAAGCATGCGAGGCGTATCGCACCTGTGAGAAAGGGAGGAGTGTGCGGGAGATTGATGGCGTGGGTTTCGGGAGGGCGATGGATGCGGAGAGGGTGCGTTGCATCAGCGACTGTGGTTGATAGGCGTACTGAACGGAGAGAATTGAGGGAGTAAAGGCTCGCTCCAACGCCCGCAGGGGCGTGAGCAATCTGGGTTGCAACATGGCGATTGACGGCGAGTGTTGCGGAGGAGGCAGCTCCAAAGGGGAAACTTTTCTCGGAGGTGAGGCTTGGCGTCACGTGCCGCGGGTAAACTGGCCAGAACTGCGAGGTCAATCGGCCACTTCTCAACTGTCACTTGCATGAGTCGTCTCCATTTTCAAGAGTTTTCTCACGCAGACCAGTTCTTTCAGGATGTTGCGAAACTTTATTCATTCAGTTTGGGCTCTGTGCCTGCTGGTCGCTGTCGTCCAGGGCCAATTCAACTTCTTCGAGCACATGTTTGGAGGCGGCCAACAACAAGCGCAGCAGCAACAAGGTGCTCAAAATGTCCCTAGCGACAGTGGCAGATACCAGAAAATGTGGCAGCAATGTAAGTGCAAACGCCATCTGATCCGAAAATGATCGTTCTTTCGAAGTGCAATTCCTGACTTTCGAATTTCCACATAGCTCAATGCAGTAACTATCTTTGCCCCGGGACTCTCGCCTGTGTGCACTTCCCGCATCACTGCCCTTGCCCACACCCCGACGTTGAAGAAAAAGTTGAGCTTGGAGAGGGGAGTGCGATCTGTGTGTCAAAGGGAGGATACAAAGCCGGCGAGGCAGCTCGAAAGATCGAGCTTGCCCGGAAGGGTCTTCTGTGACGAGGTTGACATTGTTTAAAGCGAGCGTTCATCTTTTTTTTAATTTATTGATATCACGGACTCGTTGATCATGGCCAAAGGCTCGTTGAGTTGTCAACCACATACCTGCTAGTCTTGCTATGGTTATATACACACACCTCTACCAATTAACACTCCGCGTTGGACATTATTGGCAGACACAAGGTTCCAGAATCTCAGATTGAATTTGGATGAATACTAGTAGCAGATATTCCAATAAGTCGTGTCGAAAGCGGGGAAAGTGAACAGTTGCACAGATCTTTCAAACTTTACCCTGAGGTGTACCAGTGTGGCTTACATTGGGCCCTGGGCAGAGAATGTCCGTGAGAGTTATCAGCAGAATATTGATCGCTTGTAAGCCTAGCAAAATGGCAATTTCGTCTCATTTTTTTTGGTGGAGAACTCATTGAAGTTTGCGATGGTTCAAGCTACTCTAAGGTTTGACCTACCAGGAAGTATTTGTAGGACATTACTTTGTGCTGGACAGATCAAGGGCGATCTGCGCTATCTCCGGTTAACCCCGCAGCCGCCCAGCCTGCATTGTGCCGTCATCAGAACTTCCGACTCGGACCTTCGTAATTCACATCTCTGTTTCACCTCGACGTTTCTCGCAACCCTACCTTTCCCGGCACTCTCTTCGAAGATTCACACGAAATAGCGAAGGTTAATATATTTTTAACGCTAATATGTGGAGTGCTCGCCTCCGACCACGGTCGCTGCGAGTCATTTTCTCCTCGCGCCAGCTGTCGAGCCTTCGAGGTAGAGGGACTCATCGTGGCCCGCGCAACAGCATAATCCGACCCCCTCCTATCCCTCCAGCGAGAAGACAAGTTGAGACACCCAAGCAACCATATGTACCAGACGCCGAATCTCAGCCTGAGCGCCAGCCTCAAGATGCGTATCGAGCCAACTACGATCCGGCGCAAAATACTCTACTCGCCCCTGTCCATATCCCGGAAGACCCAAATGGAGTCCTCAAGGAGAGCCACCCTGCTGTAAGCGTCCTGGCAAACTCAGGAGTCGTGGTTCAACGGCAGTTGGAGATGATGAACGTCATGATGTGAGGGAACATCGCGTCTCAACTTCGAGTCTATTTCGAGCTGGCTAACCGTTATTCTCTAGTGGATTTGAGCAAGCCAATAAATACGTAATAATGGATGCACAAGGGAACCATATTGGGTACATGGCAGAGCAGGAAAAGGGGATGACCAACGCCATGGCGCGGCAATGGTTTCGGACACACCGAAGCTTCGTGACGCATGTATTCGATCGTCACGAGAATGAAGTCCTCCGAGTAAGTTGAAACTTTCGATATCGTAAGTTTTTTTTTGCAAAGCTTCCTCGCCACTGACCAGTCTCAGTTTCACCGTCCTTTCTCCTGGATCAATTCCCGAATCCAAGTATACGACCCTCTCGATACCACTACCAGAAGCCATTCTTCTTCAACCGCTCTTCACAATACCACACCCGGTTCGCTCGTACAGGCCGAGGTATCATCCAATGCGCGCGTGTCGCCACTTGGATTCGACGAAATGCGCGTCATCGGTGAAGCCCAGCAGCAGTGGGCACCATTGCGACGAAAGTACAACCTATTCACCTATCATCAGTCACCGAACCCCGCGACCGATATGGGCACTCAGAAATTCCCCTTGGCAGGATCAGAGCTGTCCAACGCTCAACAATTGCATCTGACACAGAAATCCCCACAAGGCGAGGGCGAATTCAACCAGTTTGCCTACGTCAACGAGCCATTCCTGTCCTGGGACTTCTCTCTACTTTCCGCCGATAACCGCCTGATAGGGTCTGTCAATCGTGATTTTGCAGGCTTCGCGCGTGAATTCTTTACTGATACCGGTGTATATGCCCTGAGAATGGACTCTGCAGGGCTTGGTACTCAATCCGCTGACGGCAATATCCCCACAGCGATGACCCTTGACCAACGCGCTGTGATGTTGGCCACGGCTGTCAGTGTCGATTTTGACTACTTCAGCCGACACAGTGGATCAGGAGGCTTCGGTTTCATGCCTCTCTGGTTCCCCGGTATGGGCGGCGGAGCCGCTGAAGGAGCTGCTGCTGGAGAAGCCACCGGGGCTGCTGGTGGTGCTGCTGCCGGTGAAGCTGGCGCCATTGGTGAAACCGCTGCAGGCACTCTTGGAAGAGCGGGGGCTGCTGGTGGTATGGCCGACGGCATGGCTGCGGGTGCCACAGGTGCTGGAGCCATGGCTGGATACGAGGCGATGCAACGAGGATTCTCAGGTGATCAAAGCTCGCAACCAGTTCCCCCCGAGCAGGCTGATGCACCGCAATCGCCTGACCAGCCCGATTTCTATCATGACTACAACCCTCCGCCTTCCAATGAACAGCAGGAAGATGTATGGGGCTTTGGCGAGGACCCTTGGAGCGACGGCGGTGGCGATGAAGGAGGCGGCGATGATTTTGACTGGTTTTAGACTGGTAAATTTTGTACAATAGAAACAACTTGAAGATACCTCATAGAACTGCCGAACCGTAATTTAGTGCGTGGCGGGATCGACCCGCCGATCCAACGGGGAGCAGGTCTGTACCCCGCCAGTCCCCATCAACTTTCGCCGCTTTCTTCCTCTCTTTCATTCTTTCGCTTTTACACCAACCCCCCTTCATCCCATATTCTTTCCCACCTCTTATTCAACGATATCGCTTCGAGCTCCTCGATCGACCTCAGCAATCCCTATCCGCTCACCATCACCGCGGAATTTCCTCCTCGCCACCCGCGGAACCAAACCCACCGACGCTCGCCGCGCAGAACCCGACCTCTCCTCATACCCTCACAAGTTCACCGATCCCATAAATCGCCTCCTATTCGGCAATATGGGCTCCTCAATTGCTCAGAAGCGCCTCTTCCACGAATACAAGAACCTCTCTACCAACCCTCCGGAGGGCATCACCGCAGGCCCGGTGTCGGAAGATGACATGTTCTACTGGGAAGCCCTGATCCAGGGCCCCGAGGGCACCCCCTTCGAAGGTGGCGTGTTTGCCGCCGAGCTTAAATTCTCCAAGGACTACCCCCTCAGCCCACCGACTATGAAATTCGTCGGAGGCGGGGTCTGGCATCCAAACGGTACGTCATTGTGCCCGCGAAGCTCCCCAGTCGCAAGACCCGGCTATTGCGCACTGCAGAAACCGGCCCCGAAGCACTTGCATCTAACCTATGTTTGTTCTTGCGAATACAGTCTACCCCAATGGCACCGTCTGCATTTCTATCCTTCACCCGCCCGGTGACGACCCCAACCACTACGAACATGCCTCGGAGCGCTGGTCGCCTATCCAGAGCGTGGAGAAGATTCTCATCTCCGTTATGAGTATGCTTGCTGAGCCCAACGACGAGAGTCCTGCGAACGTCGAGGCTGCGAAGATGTGGCGTGAACGCCGGGCTGAGTACGAGCAGAAGGTACGGGATGAGGTGCGCAAGGGCCTGGGATTGTGATTGCGAATCTTTCACCCCTGGGGAAGTTTAACATCGGCCTCCTATGAAGAATACGCTTTGATGATCGGAGTCCAGGGCTCAGTTATGATACAATTTTCCGTTTCTTACGTGCATTGCTAGGCTGGCGAGAGCCTTTTGTTTTCTAACTTCTATCTGTATCTAGCATGTGGATTGAGAGCCTCTGTTCATCACAATTGTACAGACTAGCTATCCTTGTCCTTCTGGTCAGGTGTAGGCATTAATTTTCGTGGATATCATCGTGAACGATTTAGGATATATATTCTACCACTGATGGTTTGAATAGCGGCGGTAGTTGCCATCGACGATCAACATCGTTACATCCATGGATGCACCTAGTGTGATAATGCATCTGTGGTTCCAATCACTTTTGTCGAAACATCTTACTGTCAATCCACGCTTCAATACCACCGTCACCGTTATACAGACTTTCAATTTCTACTTTCACATTCAACATCAGCATGCGCTGCAGCTCAAGTCGCCATTCCGGCTCCGGACCATCACTCGCCCATATCGGGCCTTGACGGAGCATCGCAGTAATCCTTCTACGATCCGCTGCTGTCAATGGAAGCAGGGGGCTTTCGTTGCCATCTCGTGTTTCTGCCATCGCATCGGTCACTTTCAGCCCCAGCCAGTGTAATTCCGGGACGATCAGCCGCTCGTTTTCGTGGACGTGCGCTAATGAGCCGTATTTGTACGTCGACATAATTCCCATACCGTGTGGATCTCCGTCAACGAGTGCATAGAAGCGGGGTGGTCGTTGATTTCCATTGTTCGCAATCTGGAAGAGCTGGTGGAGGAAGCGGCGAGTGCAGATGTCAGGATATCCTTTTCCCTGTTTCAGCAAGTCAGTTGTTTGCGAACTGTGAAATTGCGTATTCTGAAGTTTACTTACGGTGACCAGGATTCCCTCTCCTGCAAGGGCTGTGGTATGGTAGCTATTTCGGACGAGGCGATGAAAGACCGCCTATTTCGGAATTCGCAGATATCAGCTCTTTGTTTGAAACATATCAACGAGCTGGGGCTTCGTACCTCTTTCTCGATGATCAGTATCCAGCGAGTGCCTGAGACATTTATCTCATCGTCGTCTTGTACCTGCGGGATGAGAGTATCCTAGGACGATTAGTTTCAGTAGCTGTGAAACCTGAACTATGAAACCCACCTCGGACGCAGAGCGCGCGTCCAGTAATACATCAGATTCTCGTATCAAGCAAAAAGAACCGGCAATCAGTCCCTTTGCTGCTGCTTCCTGGAGACAAGACGGTGTCAGCTGGTGTCGGCCTTCCCTCGTCTTGTTTTGAATGTAGAACACTTGTGGACTGACCACGTTCAGATCTATGCGGCTCACCCCGATAGTATAGGCAAGGTCGTCGATGACACTGTTCACCGCCTCTTGGGTCCCAAAGTAGGCCGGATCAATATAGTATATATCTCTGGGAACGTATTAGCCGATTAGTGATACTGCATTTCAGAGAGTGGACCATTTGCTTACCTTTTGGATATCAATTGTCCTTGTCGCAGTGCCTGATCAACCACGGCCAGGATGCGAATGATGACCGCTTCCGGCAAGATACACGTCAGTCTTCCGAGAATTGAGCTGCACGCTGCTTCCGCGGAAAGCACATACTGAATTTCCACGATTCAAAGGCAGTCCTTCCTGGCCACGAGTATGTGCAGTAACTGTCATATCCTTGCACCGTCTCTAAAGCCCCACTAGCTGGGTTGATGACACAATCGGCGGGTGTGGCTCTGCATCGCAAGGTGACCGACGGCTGGCCTTCGGGCGGAGACAATGAGAGCTCGCGGACGAGCGCGGCGAGGGTCTCCTCGACATAGACGCGGACCGAGGAATCTTGTACCTCGTTGGGCAAGGCAGCCTGCGGGGAAAGGGGCCTGAGGGCCATCGAGGAGTCACTCGCGCATTCTGAGGACATGGAACGACGGAGGGTCGAGGATGGGATGGTTGCCGAGTAGGCGTCGCTGGCGAAGTCGAGCCGCACCTGCCGTTTTGGAGGAGTCAACCAGGTCTCCCCGCGTTTTGAGAACAATGGGGCCACTGCGGGGTGCATCGTTCTGCAGCCTTCGATCCTCGTTGTTTTCTCGGGTTAACATGGCTCATATGGTTCACAGTGTTTGCTTTGATTTTGACAGATGAAGTATACATTTGTATATATGAGCTGCATGCTGTCTTAAGTACACCTCTCAGAGCAGCGGCATTGAGGCCCCTCCGTCCGCCACCACTTCCCCGTTTCTTCTTCTCGAAACCTTCATGTCCTCTTCAATTCGTCCCAATGAGACTTTCAAGCTATTAGGCAGACATTTATTTTCTCTGGACGATCTCACATGCAGGCATTCACGCTGGTCTTGGTTGTACACCGCAGTCGTGAGACTTGATGAGTCAGCACGGTGGAGCTGTTTATATCCACCTGGCGGTCTGAGCAATCCGCCAGTATCGACCCATCACTTCCCGGCACCATCTGCAATTGACGGGGCCACAACTGTAATGCCTTCACCCATTGCCCCTTGGAGGTCCTCTGCTCAGGGCCACCTCAAGCCTGACGAAAATGGCGACTTGAAAACGGATTATTCCCGCTGGCGGCTGGTGAACGAGGAAGGTCGCCAGACCTGGAAGTATCTCGAATCCGACGAGGAAAACAGTGCTTGGCTCCAGACTGTTGCTGATAAGTACCATTTGGGTCTCCCAACTGTAAGTGCCTGCCAGACCTATTTTTGAACGCAATTTTAACATTTCCTTTTCAGGGTCTTCCCATTTTGCCTGAGGCCAAGACACCGCTGCAAGCCGCGGAGAATGGTCTGTCCTTCTTCTCTCACCTGCAGCTCGATGCTGGTAACTGGGCTTGCGAGTACGGTGGGCCTATGTTTATGTTGCCTAGCATTATCATCTCATACTACGTGACCAACACGCCTATCCCTCCAGAGTATGCCACGGAAATCAAGCGCTACCTCTTTGCTCGCCAGCACCCCGAGGATGGTGGTTGGGGTCTTCACATTGAAGGCCACAGCTCAGTCTTTGGCACATCCATGAACTACGTGGTACTCCGAATCATCGGTGTCAGCGAGGATGACCCTCGTATGATCAAGGCCCGTGGTCTTTTGCACAAGTTCGGAGGCGCCATTTATGGTCCCCATTGGGCCAAGGCCTTCCTCAGCATCCTTGGTGTAATGGAGTGGGATGCCGTGAACCCAGTACCTCCCGAAATTTGGATGCTTCCGGACTGGGTGCCTTTCGCTCCCTGGCGTTGGTGGATCCATATCCGACAGGTGTTCTTGCCCCTGTCCTACATTTGGTCCAAGAAGTGGTCCATGCCCCTGAATGACTTCACCAAGCAGCTCCGGGAGGAGCTTTATACTCAATCATATAACACTATCAACTTCGCCGCTCATCGCAATTCGATCCACGAGGCTGATAACTACTACCCTAAAACCTGGGTTTTGAACAGCATTAATGAAATCCTGGTCCGTTTTTACAATCCGCTCTTCCGAGTTGGCCCCGTTGTCAAGCGGTCTGAGGATTGGGTGTGGGAATTGATCTGCATGGAAGACGAGAACACCGACTATGCAGGAGTTGGACCAGTCAGCAACCCTCTGAACATGATCTGCTGCTACATCCATGATGGCCCTGGTAGCCATACCGTTCGCCGCCATGAATACCGGCTGAATGACTACATGTGGATGAAGGGCGAGGGCATGCTCGCAAATGGTACCAATGGTGTTCAGGTGTGGGATACAACCTTCGTCACCCAGGCTGTTGTCGTCGCTGGTCTCGCCGATGACCCCAAGTGGCGGCCCATGTTGACCAAGGCACTCGCGTTCATCGAAGACCACCAGCTGCGAGAAAATGTTCCTCGTCAGGAGGAGTGCTACCGTCAGCACCGCAAAGGAGCTTGGCCATTTAGCACCAAGGTCCAGGGATACACCGTCAGTGATTGCACAGCTGAGGGCTTGCGTTCGACCCTCCAGCTCCAGAACATGCACGGATTCCCCGAGATGATCTCTTTGGATCGCTTAAAGGACAGCGTTGACTGCCTGCTTCTGCTGCAAAATCCTACCGGTGGCTTTTCAGAGTACGAGATTACTCGTGCATCTCCCCTGATCGAGTGCCTCAACGCCGCTGAGGTCTTTGGTGGAATCATGATCGGCTACGACCACCCCGAGTGTACTACTGCCTCTGTGACGGCACTATCGCTGTTCAGCAAATTCTACCCCGACTACCGCGCGGATGAAATCCGCGCCGCAAAGGAGAAGGCCGTTGGCTATATCAAGCGTGTTCAGCGCGCTGATGGCAGCTGGTACGGTTCCTGGGGAATCTGCTTCACCTACGCCGCCATGTTTGCCTTGGAGAGTCTCGCCAGTATTGGCGAAACATACGAGACGAGCGAGAACTCTCACCGGGGCTGCGAGTTCCTTATTTCCAAGCAACAAGCCGACGGTGGCTGGGGCGAATCTTATTTGAGCAGCGAAAAGCATGTCTATGTTCAGCATGAAAAGTCGCAGGTTTGCCAAACTGCTTGGGCGTTGTTGGCATTGATGGAGGCACAGTATCCCCACAAGGAGCCGCTTGAGAGGGGCATCAAGCTGCTGATGTCCCGCCAGCAAGCCAATGGTGAGTGGCTCCAGGAGTCTATTGAGGGTGTCTTCAACCAGTCCTGGTAAGTTGAAATTTTCTCCGTTCTTTGAAGTTCCCATACTGACTTTCTGGCAGCATGATCTCCTATCCCAACTACAAGTTCTACTGGCCCATCCGCGCCCTCGGCCTTTACAGTCGCAAGTTTGGCAATGCCGAACTCCGGTAAATGCTCAAATTTAGCGATCTCATGTACAACAACCCTATTACTTCATACCATAATAATTCACATCTATCGGGTTTCGAGGGGCTTTTCAAACTGTGACGCTGGAATGCCAGTAGTGCTAATGCGAACACTCAAGAAAATAATTTCGCATCATGATTTCTTAAACGGAATGTCAAAATACGTAGCTATTTAATACAAAGACTAAAAAGCAAAAAGACTTCAGATTCTGCAGGCCGGGTACTTCCACCAGCAAACGAGTAGCGAAGAGGTTGAGACCAGTAGAGGATTCTAGCGGTTTCGGCCCACTGGGGAGCTCGGAGCTCGGACCACCCGTGCGGAGCCTCACTGCTTGCTTCACGTTCGCACCTCCGCTTCCGCTTCTTCTTCTTCTTCTTCTTCTTCTTCTTCTTCTCGGCGTCTGCTTCAGTTACTTCCTTTGCGCGACCGAGCCGACAAAATGAGCGCTGCGGCAGCACTGGGCGAAGAGGCCCTTAAATCATCGAACGCACCCCTGGCGATCCAGCACTACACCCGCGCCCTGACACAGCTACCCCGCGCCGTCAACTACTATCTTCAACGCTCAATCGCCCATTCCCGTGTGAAGCCCGCAGATGGTGGACCCAAGTCCAACGCCGCTCTACGCGACGCGGAAATTGCCTTGGCACTCGCTGTTCAACGCGGCAGGCGTGAGATGATTCTCGCAGCGCAGATGCGCCGCGGTATCGCCCTCTTCCAGCTTGAACAATATGGGGATGCGAATTTTATTTTTGAACTGGTCGAGTCGAAGGCGGCAGATGAGAGAGCACCCAAGGATCAAAATACTTTAGCGACGGCGATGGGGGGTGGAAGTAAGAAGAATGGGTATGATGCTGAGGCGCCAATTTGGCTGATGAAGGTTCGTCGCAAGCTTGGCGAACTTGCCGAGGGCGACCAGAGGGCTGTGGTTTCTGTCGCAGAATACCCTAGAGATACCCATATTCCGACGGAAGAAGAGTTGGTGGCAGAGTTGAATGGTCTCGGAATTGAGAAGTCGACACCGGCAGCGAATGTGTCGAAGAAGCGAGACAGTCTGCCAACCTCGAGTGCTGCTTCTGCTCCTAGCAAGTCAACATCTGAAACAACCGCAGAGAAGCCGGCCATTGGTCCGGCTCCTTCAGACAAAATTCGCCATGAATGGTATCAATCGCGTGATTCCGTCGTTGTGACCCTTTACATTAAAGGTGTTCCTAAAGAATCTGTCCAAACTGAGCTACAGGAACAGTCCGTAAGTAACAGGCCCAATACCAAGCACCAATCATGGAGACCGGAAACCAACACATATATAGGTATCTTTGCAATTCCCTCTGCCTTCTGGATCAGAATACGATTTCAGCCTTGACCCTCTTTACGGGCCTATTGACCCGACAACTTCCAAGGCCTCGGTCATGAGCACAAAGATCGAAGTCGTTCTAACCAAGAGAACACCGGGCCAAAAGTGGGGTGCCCTGGAATCATCGTCTGCCGATACAACGAAGTTCTCGGATCGTCCTGCTCTCCCGCCAGCGCCAGCTGCCTCTGGGCCCGCTTACCCGACTTCATCTCGTCATGGCGCCAGGGATTGGGACAAGGTTGCCTCTTCCCTCGAATCGAAGGGGAAGCAAAAGGTCACGGACAATGCAGGCGACAATTCCGACGCGGAGTCGGTTGACTCAGAATACGGTGGAGATGCTGTGGATGGCTTCTTCAAGAAGCTGTACGCCGGCGCCGATGATGACACCCGTCGCGCCATGATGAAGAGCTTCATTGAGAGCCAGGGCACATCGCTCAGCACCAACTGGTCCGAGGTTGGGAGCAAGAACATGGCGATGCATAAGGATTCGGACTAAGAAAAAGCCCACTTGCGCCTATTGCTTCTTTTCTTTCCTTGCTTTTTTACCTATCGCATCTAGCTCAAGGAGTTCGCGGTTTTCCCGCCATTTTCCCAAGGACTTATGATCAAAACACGATTCTTGCTTTACGGTTTCTCAAATATCCTTCTCTACCAAGCCGTACGTCTAAGTTACACTGTACAGAATGGCTTTGAAATGTTCTCAATCTCGTTACTTTCCCGAAAGTAGTCGTGATTGTGGCAACCCAAGAAGTCGGCTCTCAGTCGCGATCCCATCCTTCCCTCCCTGGGATCTCTAGAAACACCGAGCCTCATGACTTACTTCTACAATAATTTATTTCCCAACCATTGTCAGAAGAGACCTGGGGAACTGAAAATTCCATAGGGTAATTGAATTTGGCTTTCGCTTACGTCGCAAGCGGTAGCATCTTTACCTCCGGAAGGTTTCTGTTTTGTCAGATACTCCCAAGGTTGGCTACGGTTATTACGTACGTCATAACTTTGCGGGGATGCTACGGTGCACAGGTATTTTATGTGCCCATCTGTTTATTTTCCTCTGCTTTGACAGTCGAGAGGGCACAGTTGGAGTTGATCTGCAACGAGATTTTCACTGTAAACGTCGCCGGGCGAACCAAAAGGCGGCGAGTGGGTGGGACTCAAAATAAGCTCGTCGCCGGTCAACCCTAACTTTTACCTAATGATTCCGATCCGTTGGGGTCACTTGGAGTCTCGCTGCGAAGATCGTGTACAATCCACCGATTTTCATTATTCACGGATTTCAAATAGCTTCTACGACGCTTATTCTTTTACCTAAATGAATCCGATGGCACCTTGGAGCCCACGACAGTATAATTTCCCCAGCCTCTTCGCAACTTCCTGAGCTATCGTTCCTCTTCATCCTCGATAAACAGACACCACCAAGTGAGCCCAAGCTTTTACATTCACCGAAATCCAAAATGGTTCGCAACATCCACATCGCCGTGCTGGATGTTGACATCCCAGCCCGAGGCCTCTACGAAGCGCGCGGTTTGTGTAGCGCGCATTTCCGCAGCGTCCTGCGCGAGACAGCAGCGCAACTGAACGAATCCAACCCCGACATCGATAATCCCATTAATATAACCGTCACACCTTACGATATTCGCGGAGGCCACTATCCGGAGTTCCACCTCATGCGCGGCCACAAAGTCCAAGATGGATATCCCGTGCTGAACCCCATTGACGCCATCCTTATCACCGGCGGCTCGCCCGGTGTCTACGAAATGCCGCATTCTCCTTGGATGCAAGTGTTGGAGAAATTCATCAAGACAGTTTACGACCAATACACCCAAGTTCGCCTCATGGGCACTTGCTTTGGGCACCAGCTCATTTCCCATGCGCTGGTTCGCGATATCAAAGACCCTGTGCGCGACGTTTACGTTGAGAAGTGCCCGCTCGGCAGAGAAGTCGGCATCTATACCGTTGATCTCAACAAAGAATTTATTCAATCGTTCCCGTCTGCGCTCTCACACCTTCCGGAGGGCCGCATGCGCATTCAAATGTTCCACGGTGACCGTGTGATGGCTGTTGAGAAGGGGGCTCCCGTGTCGCTGAGCGATACACCACCTGTTTCCCTGCCTGCGCCGTGGATTAATGTTGGAAGTACACCCATCTGCCCTGTTCAGGGGCTTTACAACCCGGGTCGCGTCTTGACCGTCCAGGGCCACTATGAGATGGATGCATTTGGTTTGATGAAGATGTGCAAGGATGCTGCGCCGACTATGGGATGGAAGGAGTCTAAGCTTGCCATCTTCCTGGAGCAAGTTGGACCTGACCTGCAGGAGCGCCAGGATGATGCCAAGTGCTTTGCTACCGCTGTTGTTTCCTTTTTGGCTGACCTTGAGCAATGACTCTCAAAAGTTCATAATTATTTCGATAGACAATATACGATTCGATATGCCTCAAAGCCTTTTCTATATGGTCATCTCAGATGCAACTTTTTAAGACGATCGTCGGTCCTCTTTGCTATTTACTCCTCCCCCTCATGCTCATAATCGAAATCCTTCTCGTCGCGATAAAGGAAGAACTGCACGAAAATTGCCATGTCCAACAATAGTGTGCCGGCGCTTCCAACAAGCCAGGACATATTGACCAGAATGTATCGCCCGTACAAGGCGGCGGCTTCACCCGGCTGACAATGAGCGTGATGACGATGGGCAGACGTCTCCGGGCCATCGACAAGTGAAGAGACACCACGACAGACAGGCGAGTATGCGAAGATAGAGAGGACGTAAGTCAGGTTACCTATGCAAGCGAACAAGAAGAAAAGAAGGGACACGCCGTCCGTAGACTTGCGGCGATAATTCAGCAGAAGCTGAGGCAGACGCGAGCCCAGATAGAGGACAGCGCAAAGGTATCCAAAGACCTGGCCAAGCGGGTCCATAGTGAGTGGCTCTGGCTCAGAGCTAGAGGATTTAGAGCCAGGGCTAAAGTACCAGCCGACAATCCCAGCTGCACAAACAAGAAAAATGGCCGTGAGGTTGAAGAGGCATGTCTGGAGGGTGGTAATGCGTCGACGGCTACGCCGGATAGCAGCAGTAGAAGTGTCGTTCGAATCGATGAATGGCGTCGCTGGCGATAGATGCGTTCCATCTACGTGGTGGTGCAGAATATCACGGAAGGAACTCGCAGAATGACGCCTTTCTCGCGCGGAGGATGAAACAGGTTGCTGCCCGCTCTGGGTGTTATATTCGCTTTGGCCACCAGCAGCTTGCTGGAGATTGGAGTGGCCATTGGTCTTGGGCAGGAGCGATGAGCGCTCAGTCGCCGTGGGTGTCGTCTCGCCATCCCCTTCCTGGTCTTCCAGCGCACCAGTAGCGACCGGGTCCGACTCGGAAGGCGGCGTAGGAGAAAGTTCATCCCTGATGTCAAAGCCTCTGTAATAGAAGCATTGCCCTAAGAGAACAATGTCGGCCAGAGTATAGTAGACAGCCAAGATAATCATGGTCGGCAGGACGCCCTGCAGGACAGCGCCCAAAATGTTGAATACATCGCCAGCCAGCCACACAATAAGAAATAGAAGGGAAAGACCATCGGCAGATCCACGTCGGAAATTCTCAATGATTTGTGGCGAGAAAACGACTACCCAGCAAGCGATGGAGATTGATCTGGAATGGGTCAGCCGATATTCAATGATCGCCGAGTCGGAGAATAAATGACAGGTGCATGCATGAGCTTTACGATGTACCACCTGAAATATGATAGCACAACATCACAGAAAGCAAGTGAAAATATCAAAGGAACCTCCGCAAAATTGACTTACCCGCAAATTCCGCTCAGCGCCTCTATGTTCAGGTTGACGGCCTGTGGGGGGAACATGCTGTCGGCGTGGAACGATATGATCGACCCGGGAGCCGGTCGCAAATTTCTTGGTCGACAGGCACTAGAATGTGCAGAGTATCTTTTATGGCTCTTTAGAAACGAGGATCAAGTTAAATCTTGTTTCCCTCGTCCGTCACAACATGTCAATTGGATGGGGAAGGAAAAGTTGGAGAAATCCGCGGGACGGTTGTGGATGACGTATGGTCACGTGATAGTAGATATACATGGTTTCAGTGCAGCCACCAACCATCTCAACCTTATACTGCCCTAAACTACTATTGGTGTAATTATTTGGAAGACGGAACTAGAATTCTGACAATGATGATACATACAGGAGTTGGTTGATCAAGCATTCTCCTTGCGTATCCACTGATAGAGGTGAACTATTGCTTGGCGGCGACGCCGAATCTCGCTACCACTCAAAGGACGACCCCAGGCCTGTGAAAGTGCGCTGCGCATCACTTGCCGAAACATCTTTCCATATTCTGTGCTTCTAGAGACCAAGCATGATTCTGTGGCTCGTATGATGGTCTCTCCTGCATTGAGAATGTCGGTGCCCGACTCTTTTTGAAAACGGTCGACGACGAGCAGGACCGGGAAGCCTGCCAAAACCAGCTGAATGCCGAAGAAGGAAGGCATAAACCTGGTATCCGGGTCAAATCGCAGGATCTGTTTTAACCAAAAGTCTGCCTCTATTGTGTGAGACACTGTGTCTGCGAAAACTGAAGAAGTCCCGAAGTCGTTGCTTTCAATCAGGGACGGCCAGTCGCACTTTCCCAATAACAGTAGTAGTTTAAGAGCATGGGCCAAGTAAGAAGAGTAGGCATCCACTGTTTCTCTGTGCCAGGCTTCATTTTTGTCAGCCTGTGGGTTGACGAATGGTTCGGAGGCTTCGAGGTTGAAATCCAAAGAGGTCGTGGACGGGGTAAAATCCATTAAACTGGCATGATATATTTCGATATGTCGCAGAACTTGCGCCACTGTCACTTCCTTGTCATGCTGCCGCCCATAATTGAGCTGAATAATATCCCCCATGATTGTCATAACCGGAAGCAACAATCCGAACAAGGAAGAGTCGTGACAGCGGAAGTCAGGAAAACACCGTCGTTCGCTTTTCCTCTCTGATTGTGAGTCATGAGAAGAATTGTTGGTTTCATTCAGCCAGGAAGCTTCATCCAGTGGAAAGAGCAAGCCGTGGCATTCTTTATCAAGTAGGGATACGGAACGGTTGTGGCATAATGCGAGATGACGATCCATCGTGTAAAGAAGCCACCATGTTCGCCTGCGCTCTTCACGATACACTTCTGTCAAGATAGAACGGGTCGGAAAATCACGGCATGGATATTCAGTTTGGTTGCTAAGATCTGCAATGGTCATGTCTGGGATCTCCTGGTTGAGATTGAGCTGCTTAGCTGAAGCAAAACACGCCTCCCACCTTCTCATAGGAACATTAGTATTCGATCATATACCGGCAGGACTTGACATACCATGCTAGAGCTGCAGTGTCTTGTACAGCAGAGAGAATGTAAGCAATATGGATGTAGGTTATAAGGTCATCCAGATTTCCGGCGGGCTTTGGCAGGCCACCATCACCCTTCAAACTTTCAAGAATGTCATTTGTTGTCGGAGATAATGCCTCATCTGCCGTTAGTGTGCCAAATTTCATTGAACAACCTGGGCTGCTGACGTGGTCGCTGCCTGAAGGCTGCAACAAAGTCTTTGTCAGGTCACTTAGAAACTGACACACCCGCCGCTGCTCCGACAGCGAAGAAAAGACCCCATCGTTCGAGGCAGCTAGCCAGAGTATACTTGCCAACAGTGCAGGCTTCGCAGAGCAGCACTCCTGACTTAAAAAAGAAGGCCTGTGCAAGATCTGGCAATGGACATTCTGACCAGTGAAGTATAGTTCGAGCAAATCGTTGACAAGTCGGGGCGAAAGATGTGTTTCGAGAAAGGGCATCATGGTTTTCAGCACCTGATATTTCAAAGGGGGTCTCGCAGTCGATTCGGAAGCAGCTTTATCGCGTTTCGGCGGGGAGGGTGGTTGTGGAGGCATCAGACCCGCCTCTCGGGGAGCAATGCCATCCACCGTCCAAATATCTGGCAGTGGTGATAGAGCAGCTTCATCATCTGGGCTTAAAACAGGAAAATCACGCGTCGACACCCAATCATCTGGTATGCCCATGCCCAATCCTTCCAAGAGTTGCGCATCAGTCGTTCCCTGACAACCGTCGCCCATTTCCAAGGCCAAGAGCGCGTCGATTTCGTTGAATACCGGCGAGGGTTGCTGTGTAACTGAATCTGGGGTAAGGAGGTTGATAGGTGACGAGCTCGGTGGCGAGATGGTACTACATTTCTCCTCGATCTTCATTTCCTCAGCGCAGCCTGCAGGGGTGTTAAAGAACTCAGAGGTATCATGCCCCCCGCTAGCCTTAGCTAGCTTGGATTTTGCGATTCGCCCGCGTTTCCGCCGAGTGCGCGTAATAGCACAGTTAACATCCCTGGCCTGGCAGCGGGAGCATGGTGCCGGGGAGACCATGTCGCATCGAACTCGACGAGAATGGCATGCGTCGCAGGCGACTTGGTTTCGTCGCCATCGTTGCTTGCTGATCGGGAGGCCGATCGGGCCGTGGTCGGGAAGTGAGGACAAAATCGGCCACTGTAGCTCCATGTCGGTGTCGTGAAATATCGACACCGTGTATAATCGAATGATAGACGGGAGTTGTTGGATGTACGTTTGGCTACGATTCAGAAAGACGCAGCGTGGGACTAGATACACAACCCTATTTTTACGATACTCGACATCTGGTCTCTCGCCCCTTCTACCACAAAATCCTCTGTCTTGGAAATAAACATGATCGGAATATCTCCAGAAAAGCCATTAATGCCTCACCCAGTCAGCCAGTCATACACCCTTGCCATCACAACGGCGGGCGGTTCTGCTAACCCGGGGTGTTCCCTTTGAGCAAATTTAGTCCGCGAAGAAACACGCCGTCCGATCGGCATCCATTTCCCCGGTCCGCCGAGATTCTGATTGGATCCGAGTGTCAAGCCTAAACTTAATTTAACACTAGCTCGTTCGCTTCGGGTGGGTCGACCCATACGGGCATTCGGTGCCTCCGCAGTGCTGTTGGAAGTCCTCCGTAAATTCTTGGTAGTGCCGAGGAGATGGGGACCGACATGGAATCGGCGAAATTGTCATATGTACTCCAATGGTTTAGAAACAGAAGGTACACCAGAGCAAATGCGTTCATGCTCGCTTTTTCTGCACATTCCAACGAGCTATCTTCTACAAGGAGATTGAAGAAGCCGGCAAGAGGTATGTTTGTTTGGCAATTGCTGGCTGGACTTCCATGATAACAATCATCGCCACAACTCAAAACCGTGCAACATTCTCCATTTCGTCTCCATCTGGGGTCGGGACCGTACGGTTCCCGACGCGTGACGTTCCTAGCGCACCACAGTGTACCTATATCGGCCCGGCAAGATTAAGGTATATAAGACCGGTGATATCGCCCCTTCAGTGCCTCTCCCAGAGTCATCACGGTCTCTTTCCATCAGATCAACTGTCCATTCTATCATTCTCTCGAGTCAATGGCCATGGCATTCACGAAGAAGCCCTTTCTCGGGCTCACTGGAGGATGGCTTACTTTTTGGCTCACAGTACGTTCACCATACTACCATTCCCTGTCTCACCCGAGCCGATTCTGATTTGAAATCCCCTTAAGGTTGCTTGTGCTACTGACATGATGCTTTTTGGATATGACCAAGGCGTCTTCAGTATGTATCCTCTTTCCCCTGCCTCGACATGCTGGATACTAATCGTCTTTCTCGTCCACAGGTGGTGTAGTAGTCACCCCTGACTTCTTAGAAGTCCACGATCTAGCCGGGCCTTCAAAAACCAAAGTCCTCTCCACGGTCGCCGCCATCTACGACATCGGTTGTTTTTTCGGAGCCATACTTGCTTTTACGGTAGGCGAACGACTGGGCCGCAAGCGATCCATTCTATTGGGTACTGTCATCATGGCCGCCGGGACTATCCTTCAAGCATCCTCGTATAGCCTAACGCAGATAATCATCGGTCGAATTGTGCTCGGGTAAGTAGATGCAAAGTGTCCACCTCGATCAACTATCTGTACTGATGATTTGCGTAGTCTCGGAAACGGAATAAACACGGCAACAGCACCAATTTGGCAGGCTGAGACTGTACAGGCCAAATGGAGAGGCAAGCTCGTTATTCTAGATCTTGGGTTGAATGTCGGTGGATATTGTGTTGTCAACTGGATTAACTATGGCCTTTCATTCCGCGAGGGTGCCATTGCTTGGAGATTGCCGATTTCCCTGCAGCTTATATTCATCCTTGTCTTGCTCGTCACAATCCCTTGGCTGCCGGAGTCCCCTCGGTAAGTCTCAAATTTTTACCCAGCACTCCAGCAAGGAAACTGAGCATGGCTCTAACAATCACTATATTAGGTGGCTCATGACGCAAGCCCGCGAAAATGAGGCGACTGAGGTACTTGCCTGTGTCGAGGCCACATCTACCGATGACCCGTTGGTTATAACCCAACGCGATGAGATCAGGTTTAGCATCACGTATGAATACGACAATGCCGTCAGCTGGTGTGACCTCCTGCGTCCAAACAAGAACGATAATACGAGAACCCTTCGCCGATTGCTCCTGGGTGCTGGCACACAGGCAATGCAGCAGTTTCAAGGCATTAATATCATGAGTTATTACATGCCACTGGTACTCATCAACTCGGTCGGTCTTTCGGACAAAATGGCACGACTGCTGACGGCATGCAATGCAACCTCATATTTCATCTTCTCGTGTGCCGCGGCAGCGATAGTTGAACGGGTCGGACGTCGAGGGTTGATGTTGCTTTCTGGCTTTGGTCAGTTTTTTTCGTTCCTGGTAATTACAATCCTCCTTTACATGGCTCAGAAGGATACAATTTACGCCACTGCGTCTGTCGCCTTTTTCTTTTTATTTCACCTGGCCTTCGGAATGGGCATGCTGGGTGTACCGTGGCTGTACCCCACTGAGATCAACTCTCTACCTATGAGAACGAAGGGTGCAGCAGTTTCCACCGCGACTAATTGGTAAGTAGCTCTAACCTCACACTGAGGTAGATACTAATACGCGTTTTCTATCTTACAGGATCACCAACTTTGCCATTGTTGAGATTACCCCTATTGGTATTCAAAGCATCGGATGGAGGTTTTGGATTGTGTGGACCGTTCTCAATGCCGTATTTCTACCGGTTATCTACATGCTATACCCAGAAACAGGTCAGTTGGTTCAATAAGTTAGCAAAACTACCATTAAATGCTAATTTATCCTAGCAAACCGAACCTTAGAAGATATGGATGCGTACTATCGTTCTAACCCGCCACTCATGGTGGTCGGAGACAGAGATGCTATCTCGACCAAGAGACCGGCCCAGTTCGCTTACCAGGAAGAGGAAGAGATTCAGAAGAACGCCAAGCATGCTATATCTGGTAGCACAGGGCATGCGGAATATGTCGACTAGGTGGTCATGTCTACGAAGGGGAGATTCGACGGGTCGTCGTATGGACCAGTATAGTATTCTTCATGTCCATACTTTTAGGATGTGTCGAAGAGTCATAATCACATATGATATAAATTCTGCATCATTGATGAAGGATGTTCGTAACTGCTAGCCAAGTGCTTTTGGGATAGATACTAGAGGAAGTTCTTATTTTCAAAACGTAACATCGGATCTTCCATAGCGGAAGCGCTATATGAATCGCGCATTTTGCTCATCGGCCTTTTAGCTCCTGACTCAAACATACTATCAGAAAGGACAATGGCACTAGCTACGATATTTGCTGATTTAAGCTGATTCATCTGTATTCTTTTCCGTCGCCAAGGCTTCCGTAGTAATGCCCCAGGCCCCACCATGGAAGTACGAGTTCCCTACTCCTACCTCCTCCTCTCATCCTCGACCTACCTAAATTGCCATTTGTGAAGACTCCACTACAATTCTCCCAAGTAAAAATGCCTGACAGCTATTCCTTAAGGAGCTCTGGCACTAACAGACAGGTAAATAGTCACCAAAGCCTACAATAAACCCATCATTTGCAGCACCTCCTATCCTCAAGACCGCATGCCCTCATCAATCAATCTATCCAAACGATGCTTCCCGAATCTTTGCTAACAATACAAGGTAGCCACTACTGTGCCCGTGACTATGGTCCTAGTGCCCGTAACTCTAACACCTACCATCACCCCAACTTGTTCGTTACTGCCTATGCATATCTCCTATCTCACATCAACATACATCGCGCTCATATTCTGCAGGGACGGTTCTTACTCTTATTCGAGCCCGAATAGAAGCACCTACTATAACAACGGAAAGGGGTATCCGAACTATACCCCGCCTTCCGGATCTTCTGGCTCCTCCGACAAGAAATGATTATCATGAAATCCGACAGGTTGCCTCTATTTTCTGGGACGATTACATTTGAATGACTGCCTCTTCATGGTTATTAACAGAGTCGGATGAATCCGATTATAGTAATTTATTACTGCTATTCGAGTTATCACTTCCTCAACCTAATAACACGTTTCGTCCCAGGACGATATCTCATAGAACACTAAGCAGGTGACCTATTCGGTGCTTCGATTCAGTACCGTATACCCTACTAGGTCAAATGAGCACTCGATGAATCTACAATGGAACTTAGTCCATCTGGTGTCAAAATCACTTCAACCCCCAAAAATCAAATAGGAAAATTCATCTGTTTTTTGATGAAAATAATCTACTGTAAAGGTATACCGAAACGCCCCGCGAATGCAAGATAGGAAATGAATCAGCCCAAGATTCTCCCCATAATCCCAACTCTCCCAGTGAAATCAACATGCTTTTGTTTATTTAGCCTGGGCGGTCGTCCATGCCTCATGCGCCTTCTTCTGGCGCTCCCAGTCCTTGCGAAGCTTCTTCGCGCGGCTCTTGGTGATCTCCTCGCCCGCAGCGTCGTGGGTCGGAAGACCCTCATCATCCCAGGCACTGTACTCGTTGGTACGGAACATCTCAAGATGGCTCAGCTTGCCCTTTTCGAGTTGCTTGAGAGCCTCCTGCTCCCGCTTTTGCTTTTCCAGCTGCTTCTGACGAGCGCGAGCCTCCTTCTCCTCGCGTGCCTGGATCATCTCGCGAGTCACGGGACGGACAAGGGCAGGGAGATTGTCACGATCTTCCAAGTAGATGCCCAGGTCGAAGAGATCAATGTCGCGGACACGATCGCAGAGCGCCAGTACTTCCTTTCCGGCAGACTCGGATGACTGCAGCGAGGAGATCTTGGTGCGGAAGTTGGTAAGGACTTCTGCATAGGGCTTGGCAGCCTCGGAGACGTCTTGCGGACCCTCAAGCTTGACAGCTTCGGCGATCTGGCTGGAGGAAATGCCCTCCTTAGAGCGAGCTGCTTGGCGGACAGTATCACGAATGGTAGAAAGCGGGAAGAGGAAAGGCTTGGCTTCCTCGGGGACGTCGATGCCCGACCATCCAATCTCAGTGCTATCGACAGTAGCGTTGCCGTTGAGGCCAAAAAGGTTAACAATCGAAGTGACGAAGCGAGCGGTGGCCTCGACGTCCTTGGGGTTCAGAGTGGCCTTGTCCGCGCTGTTATACTTGGTGATGAGCTCGGAGATGGACTGCATAACTCCAACAGTGTTGAAAGAGTCACAGAGATGGTTGTCCACAGCAGACTTGGCAGCTTCAAGGTCGGCAGCCAGGCTAGTGTCACTACCCGAACCCTGCATAGCAGCAGGGTCCTTCATCTTGAGGAAAAAGTTGCTGACCTTGTCCTCCCAGGAGGTACCAGTGCTCACGAGCTCATCCGTGATCTCAATGCCTTCCTTCCAACCGCCAAGCAGGAAGACAATACGCAGACTGCGCGGGGTCCAATCCTTACGATCCAGAGCCTCGCGAATAGTAGTGAAGTTCTTCAGAGACTTGGACATCTTTGATCCGGCAATGGACAGGTGGCCCATGTGAAGGAAGTAGTTGACCCACTGCTCATGCTTGCAAGGGTCATGCCAATACGCCTCACTCTGGGCCAATTCGTTATCGTGATGCGGGAAAGCAAGATCAATACCGCCAGAGTGGATATCCATTTGCTGGCCCAGACGTGCCGAGGCCATGGCCGAGCACTCGATGTGCCAGCCGGGACGGCCCTTGCCCCAGGAACTAGCCCAGCTGGGTTCACCTGGCTTGGAGGACTTCCATAGGGCGAAGTCTGAAGCCCCACGCTTCACAGTAGTCTTGCTAGCCAGAGAACCCTCTCCCTCGGCAGCCAGCTTGTTATCCGACCGACTCCACGGCGCCAGGCGCGCGTACGAGTGACCGGCATTCTCGAAGGCGTTGATATCAAAATAAACCGAGCCATCATCGGTCACATATCCAAACTTGTTCTTAACGATCCGCTCGACGAAATCGGCGATCTCGGCACCGTATTCGGTAACACGGGTCAGTGCGTCGGGGTCAAGAACGTTCAGGTCCCGCATATCATTCAAGAAACGGTCTTCGTACTTCTTCGTAAGCTTGGTGAAGATTCCGTAGTCATCGGCATCGATCGAAGCGCCCTTCAGCGCATCGAGGTAAGGCAGGATAACATCCTGCACATTGGTGTAGAAAGCCTCGGCGAACGTAGCGGCATCCCCAGCCTTGCTGGCGCCAGTCTCGGCATCCTTCAGGGCCTCAGCGGCCGATGAAGCGGTCTTGATGTGCATCTTCACCTTGGCCTCATCATCGCCAGCCTTCTCATTACCAGGTAGGGCCCCTCCGCTCAGAACAGTTGCGTACGCCTTCTCAACCTCAGCCTTGTACTGCGCAGGGGGCAGCGCGGGGTCCAACTCGCCCAAATTCTTCTTCAGGTATGCAGAGTAGGCCTTTTTGGCGGTATCGATCACCTCGGGGGTAATAGTAGGGTTGATACCGACAAACTCGTTGAACAGGTGCTGTTGTCTCGCGCGCAGGATAATCTACAGAGACGACAACGTGTCAGCTTCAATTTCCATTCAATGGCAATGGAGATGATATGATGATATCATGTATTTCCCGTACCTTATCATCCACGTCCGTAATGTTCATCACAAAGTTGACGTCGAACTTGAAGTAGTCGCGCATAATGCGCCGAATTATATCGGTGCTGACATAGTTGCGGGCGTGACCCAAATGCGCATCGTCGTAGACCGTAGGACCGCAAGCGTACCAAGTAACCTTCTTGCCGGCAGGATCGATTGGAATGAAAGGCGTCTTCGACTTGGTCAACGAGTTCCACACCTTCAGCGGGGGAGATGAGCCTCCGAATGGGTCGGAGGCTGCTGCCAGGGCGGCTGCTGGCGAGACGTCATCCTGGACACGGACCGAAAGGCAAACCGTCGTGGAACCAGAAATGAACGAGAGGAGGAGAAGAGGGCGAGGGGCATAAAGAAGGAAGAAAGGACGAAAGGCGCGGGGCACTGCGCATGCGAACCACGATGACTCGTCGCATCAACACCCACTGATTGGCCCCGGCGGCCAGAGGGGCGGCCCTATGCCCTAATTTCCTCTTCGGGACGGACTTTTTCTGCGGAGAACCGCGAACTTTGGAGGCTCCGACGACTCACTCTCGACGCACCGCCGACTTATTCCTCTGGAGTCACTCGCGAGGCATCTCGGTGGACAAAATGCCGTCTCCCTTTCTGACGCCGGGCGTCAACGCCGGCGCCGACACTCTCGCCCTCCTCCATCTGCGCCGCGACCAGATCATGCCGACAATCCTCCGCACCTATGACGATCAGAACGAGGGCTACAGCGAGGGAAAGGTCTCCAACACTCGTTTCGGCTCATTCCCGCACAGCACCATGATCGGCCAACCATGGGGCTCCCAAATTGCCGCCTCTAAGGTCGACACAGGCTCGCGCGGTCGCAAAGCAACCAAGCGCAAGGCGGATGACCTTGATGAGTCCACACCCGGAGCTGATGAGGAGACAGCAGCTAGCTTCAAGCAGCCTGTGACTGCAAGCAGTGGCTTCCTGCACATGACGTACCCGACACCTGAGTCATGGACTCTATCGCTGCCCCATCGTACCCAGGTCGTCTACACCCCGGACTACAGCTATATCCTTCATCGCTTACGTGCGCGCCCTGGTTGTACTGTCATCGAAGCTGGTGCAGGAAGTGGCTCATTCACTCACGCATCTGTTCGCGCTGTCTTCAATGGATACCCTGGTGGCGAGCCTGCGACCAAGAAGCAACGGCTAGGCAAGGTGTGCAGCTTCGAGTTCCACGAGCAGCGCGCTCTGCGAGTACGAGAGGAGATTACGGATCACGGTCTGGACGGATTGGTGGAAGTAACGCATCGCGATGTCTATGAAGATGGTTTCTTGCTCGGTGACCCCAAGACCGGCCGATCTCCTCAGGCCAGTGCCATCTTCCTTGATTTGCCTGCGCCCTGGTTAGCTCTGAAGCATTTGGTACGCAACCCGGAATCCGGAGAGTCGCCCTTGGACCCCAATTCGACAGTTTATCTGTGCACCTTCTCTCCCTGCCTGGAGCAGGCCGAACGGACAATTCGTACCATGCGTAAGCTGTCGTGGTTGAACATCTCGATGGTCGAGGTGCAACACAACCGCATTGACGTAAAAAGGGAACGCGTCGGACTGGACGCTGAGGGGGTCCGGGGTGCCACCGTTTTCCCCAGAACCGTTGACGAAGCCGTCAACAAGCTCCGGACCGATGAACAACGTGCTAAGCGCTTCCGCTTGGCCCACATGGATGGCGAAGAGCAGTTTGCGGCTGCGAAAGACGACGAGAAAGAAAAGGCTGCGGCTGCGGCTGCTGCCCAGGGACCACCTGTTCCCGTGTACAATATGGGCCGTTTAACCCACCGCTCAGAACCAGAGCTGCGAACACATACTTCATATCTGGTCTTTGCCATCTTGCCCCGTGACTGGACCGAGGAGGATGAGCAAAGATGTCGTCAGAAGTGGCTTTCTGACATAGCAGAGCTTCCCGAGGGCCAGTCAGGCAAGTCCAATAAGCAGATGAAGCGAGAGTTCAAGGCCCTCCGCATAAAAGAGGAACAAGAGAAAAAGGCACAGGCTAAACAGGATGCCGGGGTGGAACCTGCGGCGAACCCCGAGACAAAAGAGCTCTGATGAGCTTCCGGGAGGCTTACTGTATATCATGGCATAATAATTCGGTGTATCAATAAAAAGGGCATTTGCAAAAGCATTCCACGCAGTCTATATACTTTCTCTATGGGGTTCAATGCAAACTAGATTCACACGCGGATGGATTTTATGATCGTAGCTCATATGCACTCAAGCCTGTTCAGGCCGTGCAAGGAATATGTTCTAATATACGCTTTGTGGTGCTAAATCTGACATGGCCAAAATAGTTGTGGCATGAAGCAGGCTCAAAAAGCACAGAAGCAAAACAGGGGCATCCGCAGGCAGCTCAGAGGTTGTTCTCAACCCGGAACTTGTCCCACGCCTCGTTCAATGTTCCAAAAACCGCACTGGAAATCATGCGCTGCTCAGTGGTGGCAGTAGTAGGGATCTGGTACATGTCGTTAATTAGAAAAAAGCGCAACCCACTCCAAACCGGCTGGGGATACATACCTTGTCGGGGTGCACCTTTGCAATACCCTTCATATATTGGATCTTCACCTTATTCGGCAAAACCAGCTCTGACAGATTGATCTTCTTCCACCCAGATTCGGCCCAGAGAACGGTATCCAGACTACCGAGCAAAGCACGCAAGTTATCTTGCTTGCCACTCCTCCACTTTGCAATTCTCGCATCAACACTCTCAGACAGAGCGAACTTCTCGTCGTCCTCACGCTCGGCAGCCTTGTTAGCCTCTCGAAGACGACTAACAGCGGCAGAATCCTGACCAGAGCTCGAGTCACCAGACAGATCTGACAGGGCGGAGGGCTTCTTAGGTGCCGGAGTAGGCTTCTTTTTCGCTGGTGCTGCTGGCTTGGATGGTGGTTTGATGATTCCTGCAGCTTTCTCGCAACGATTGCGGCCTTGGATACTCGTGCTTCCACCATGTCCAGCCTCCACGGCCAGCTTCCATGTCTGCGCAGCATCAATCCATCGCTCAAGTTGCTCAAGAGCCTCGGCTTTGCGCATTAAGGCCTTGCCGTAGAAATCCCTCATTGGCTTCGGAGCATCGCCGTTGCCGAGATCGATTGTTTCCGCTTCACCCTTGGAGGAGCCAATGACGGCCAGCATTGTATCGGCATCATCAATGGTTGACTTTGGCTCACCCACTTTCAGGCCGGTCATGGCACGGTTACTGCGAATGATGATTGTGATCGGATGCTTGTCAGGCAGCATGCCGAGAGCGGTGGAATAGCTTTCATGTGCTGCAGCAAAGTCTCCACGCTTCCATGCCTCTGCCGCTTTTTCGCGATGACGATTCGTAGATTGTAGGGCTTCCGGGGAGAGTTGGGGTATAGACCGCGTTGGAGCTGTCAGACGAACTGGTACAGACGCCGATCTTGGCGGCTGAGCTGCCGGCGCAGGCGATGCCGGTTTAGGGCGTTGAGACGGAGCAGCAGAATCAAACAATTCGACATTGGGCTCGGGAGCTGGAGCTGATGGCTGAAGTCGTCTGCGCCTAGCGGGGCTGACATATGCCTGGGCTGACTGTTCCTCCGCGGCGAATCTTGAAGCGCGGGACTTGGGTTCGGTAGAGCTCGGGCGGGGTGATCTCTGGAGGAAATTGCCAGCAGGCTGTTGTAGGTGCTGGGAAGGAGACGGCTGGCGCATGTCACTTCCATCCGGTGCAGTGGGACGTGCGGGCTTCCGAGGTGGTCGTGCATCCCCGCTTTCGAGTAGAAGCGCCTCATCGGTCATATCTGGAGCACTAGCCTGCGGTTGCCCAGCGTCAACACGACGGGGGGTCGTGGAGGCAGTGGCTCTTCACGTGGCGACGATGCATCTCTCATCCACTTTGGCTGGTTTGGATCATGTTCAGCGTTGAATTCATTCACAGCCTGCTGAAACTTCTTACTTCCTGCTTTCCAGAAAGAACCCGCAGTCTTCAACAGGTTATTGCCGAATTGGGAAGCCATTTGAGCCGGGTCCCTCTCTGCGGCCCCTGGGCTCCGGGTGTCCTGGCGTGACTGAGGAGTTTGCGACCTGCCTTCGTACATCCATGACGGACCATCCCGGTTGCGACTACCATTACGGTTTTCTCGGTCACTAGACGGGCCGTTTGAAGGTGGTCGGCCTTGAGACTTTTGTCGTGCCTCCGAGTCTGCGTGTGCTTGCGTCAAGAGATAGCTGCATGCTGCTGGAACATCAAGTCCAGACCGTGTTGTGCGGAGAGCCTGGCGGGCTTTATCCGCGGGGAATCCCATATCAACTATCTGGGCAATGGCGTGGTCTTCAGCGCTTGACGGCATAGGGGACACATCCTGGCCCCTATCAAGACTGGGAGGCGGTGACGGTTCCTTGGGGGATTGTGGTCGAGGAAGTTCGGAGACAGGCTTACCCAGCAGCCCGAGGAAGTCGTCATCGTCATCTTGTGCAGGGGCCGGTGGAGCCGCGGGCTTCGAGCTCAATTGATTGAGGCCAAATGGATCATCATCGTCAAACGCATCTATCCCACCACCATTGCTAGTCTTGGAAAACCCTCCGCTTGAGTTATCCTGCGTTGTGATGCCTATACTGGGCGTGGCTTGGCGGGAAGCGGGATCGATCTGCGGAGACGACGTGGAGCTTGGAATAGGGAAATTCGTTGAAGCGTCTACTGGCGCGGCGGCATTGAAGGCGGCCAGAATATCATCTTCATCCTCGGCAGATGGCGATTTGGTTTGCGAAGCCGGTGGTACAGCCGGGCTGCTTGTACGGCCCTGCTCGAGACTATCCCAGAAATGGTTCTGCGCTTCGTTTCGCTTGCGATTCTCAGCTTCTTTCTTCGCCTTCTCTTCCTGCATGCGCTTCTGTTGTTCCATGAGGGAGAGATTCTTGTTGTTCGCAGAGGAGTTGAAAGACACGAGGTTCGCGAAGCTGTCTCCGGTCGATGTGGCGGGCTTCGCGGGGGAACTGGAGCGGTTCGAGGTGGCGGACATTGGGGTTGAGCGGCCAGAGGAACCATTCGGTCGGGCATGCGGGAACATGAAGCCAGAGCCCATCGGCGGCGGCTTGTTAGAGGGCGCATTCGAGTTGGCTGACCCGTTGGAGTTGGACCAACTCAGCCCGTTAAGGTCGTCCATGGCGGGATAGGTGGTGCTCCAGGATGGAGCTTGAAATGAGTGTCTGCCAGAGTGTCGGATGGGAGTTAGGAATCCATCACAAGTGATGACGTACAAATAGCGGTCTCACCACACGCGGAGGAAATGAATTGAAGTTGATGATTCCAAGTCTACCTGTCCGGAGTGCATCCAATGGATAACGGTCACGCCCCCTATGCCTGTGGGGAGGACGGCACGTGATTGTGATTTATCATTGCCTGCGGGTGGATCCAGTCCCGACCTGCACTGCCCTGCCCTGCCACAATCCACATTGTACTCAGTAGAGTCGAGTGCTGGGTTTCAACGAGAATTGTTGAGGTATTAGCTTGGGCGAGTTTATTTTGGTTTTAGTCGATTGGTGTCTGTGCGATATGGGAGTCCCGGCTACAGCCCTGGAGGCGTTGATTTATATATTGTGGAGTAATGCATGGCTAGGACGCCTCCACATGTAAAGGCCTGCCTCCTAGTAGTATAGATCACTCAAGGATAGTCCAATGCTTATTTAACCATTTCGCCTGCCATGGCTGCATCTAAGGAAACATACTGAGAGGCCAATTTTGTACAACTATCAAATAAAAATTGTGAACGGTCGAGTCAATTATTTCCGTTGGTATTTCCTCTACGCTAGTGTACTAACATAGCAGCACAGTGGGCTCGCAGGACTCAATAAAACACGAACATTTTTTAGAACATTTAGTAAAGGTTATATCCACGTTCAAGGAGATTTAAGAGCTTGCCAGAGGAGAGTGGTTCAGGCCACGAAGAGGAGTCCTAATGGCAAAGAATACCTGATAAGATCGTATAGAAGGAGAGCAACCTTCCTTTCAGGCATGGTAGGCCCGGACTTAAACGATCCATGTCAGAACCAATACCTGACGCACCACGCGATTCAATAACTAGTGTTTGAATGGTGTAACTATGCCCTCGACCACCTTCGGGGAGTCTACGCTTGAAGCAAAAGGTTATCTGGCTTCAAGTCACCGTCCACATCACATTGCTCCGCTTTCCCGTAAAGACTACTGACACTGACACCTATGCAACGACAAGCTTTCTAGAGCCGAGCCCCGTCATCTTGTATAGAAGCATGAACGATGATCAGTTGATGAAGAAGAGCACGTTTGGTCCTTTATCACTTCTCAGGAGGGAAATTGTTGCTCTTCATACATTGTAACATCGTAATGGCGCAGTCTACCGCCAAGCTGAACCTAATCTCACGGCGGAGACGTCTTCCTCCGGCCATTCGATTCTCTGCCCACTCCAGATACCGTGTCCGTGTCAGCATATTCCCGACCGACACTCGATAGAAGAACGAGCGGCGACGATCTAGGCCGAAGACATTTCCGGGCCATGTGTTGGGGACGTGCAACCGGCATCTGGGCGTTCTTGGCACAGCGCCAGCCCTGTGGGGGGCGCATTGGGCACAGCCGACGGGCGGGCTGATCTTAGTCGGTCAACTCCATCTTCCATGGGATTGTCTACACTGAGTGGCTAATTGACCGATACTTCCACCGTCTACTCTTCCCGTGCAAGAGCTGCAGTTGTTCTCAAGCCGTCATCTGCGGAGGGTCTGCCTCTGATTGGGCATGTCATTTTCGATGGGTCACAAACAACGCTACCGTCGACACCGGTTGCAATCGCGCCATTGTACTGCATGGTGCTAAGGCGATTGTCTTCTCCAATCTGGCAAGTAACCCGACTCAGCAGTTAAGTTCATTTGCCACTGAAATATGGACAGCATAAAGTCCATCTGCGCATTCCACTGGGGGAAGTGCAGAGTGAAGAGGCCAAGGTGGTCGGCTGTCGATACTGGTCACATTGAGCGGACCAAGTTCGACGCGATCGGAGAAGATGCATCAAAACAATATAATGGATCTACATGGACCTGACCCGATGAATGATTCTGTTCCTCGGACAAAGCCTTGGGGGCGAAATGGCATCTGGGGGATTAGGCAGGATTCCGTGCGTTTGCCAATCGGACCAAACAGCCGTTGGGCGGCTGCACTAATCGTTCTATTCTCCGAATTTGAGTTTGGACTAAGGGGAAACGACGAGAAACAGCAGGTTTTGCTGACCTGGTGCTCATGGGACTGGATGAGAACCCAATGAGGGTTACCCCTGAGCCGCTCGAGGATTGCAAATCCTCCTACACTCCGGGCACTCCACCGCCAAAAGAAAATATCAAGCGTACAGTAGTGGATTCGGGGGAACGGAGCGACCGAGTGCGACGAGAACCGTTCAGTCTGGCAAGCAAAAGCATTTCCCAACAAGATGAAGGCCTCGATCGGGCCCACACGTGTAGGTGCAGTGCATGGAATCGACCAGCAAGATGCAAAACGGACCACTCAAAGCGAGTGCCGAAGGGCAGCAGCCAATGCGATTCGACGATAACGCAGCGTTCACCGGCGATGGCACAATTGGATTGCAACGTGAGGTACTTGCCTTAGAGTGCCTTAGGGCAGCTTTAGGGCAGCTTAGGGTGAAGACTGGCACCGCAAATGAAGATGCGCAGCTGTTTCAGATGGGCGACTCCTTGCCTGGCAACATCGCCAACGCAGGCAAGCCGCGGCAGCCAACAAAGTCAATTTTTTGTCCTCCAGCCACCCGATCCATTGGGCCTATTGTACTTACAGCACCCAGAGGAGCCACTTAGGAACAATGCATGCACGGCACCGGCACCGTTGTGAGAGGCCGCCGGAGGTGCAGCACAACAAGTCGATGTTCGAGGACCAGTCAACACATCGAGTGTCACCGCCCCACTCGCGAACCCCTAGTTGGAATGGCGCCAATACCTCCGAGACCCTCGCTCTTGGTCGCTCGAGTATACCTCCTGTACACGGTACATGCTTCTTGCAGCTGTCGCCCGTGCAGCTCCTCGACGGTGAACATGGACTTGACACATACAGTACATACACCTGTACATGTACCTTTCCATCCGCGCCTAAACGAGCCGCCCAGCCTGAGAAGGCGGGCACTATTGAAGCCGCATTGTGACTGGTCATGGGAATTGGCGCTGTGCTCGACTCGCATTCCGCGCGTTGGCCCAGAGATCTACAAGGCTTGGAGCGGATCAGCAGGCTTTTCTTGTTTGTGTAGTCTCACTCTGGCATGACCAGCAGCGAGCCCGGCCAAGCTTGTAAGTAACAGTCTGTCCCGAAGCCCCCTGGCGGACTGGCCGGCTAAGAGCACCGAGGGATCAACTAGGACCAGAAAAATCAGCCTAGCGACATTAGCAAGGCACTAAGCCGGTGGGTGAGGAGGGGCCCATCAAATTTCAAAGCAAGCGGCGGATCTCGTAATTTCTTTTCGTCGCGAGGGACCGCCACTTATGCAGCGTCGGGAGCCGATCCTTGCTAGATCGACAGCTCTCGATCGGTGGGTCGATGGATAGATAGCTCACGGACTCGCGCAGTCGATACTCGCGTGGGCGTCCATTGTCCATTTTTCTTGTCAACCCTGCCCCCGAAAAACTCAAATGACGGCTCATTTGCGAGCCCCGCGTTCTGGAATTCCTGGCCATCCGTTAATATGTAGGGGGAGTCTGGGGCTGGGCCGGGGCTTTTTTTTTTTTGGTTGTTTTGCTATTTTCATCACATATAGCCCGATGGGCTCACGACGCGCCGCGCCTAGACTATTAATACGATTTGCGATTATTCAATCCAATACCGGCCTCCTCCCCAGCCAGGATCATTTTTAATATTACATATACATACACGCGAACTGGAAACTGGGAGATGCGATCAGCCTTCGGAACCTCTACATAATACTATCACGACGATCAACCGCTGCTGAACCCCCACCGAGATAACAAAGCGTGTCGTTGAGCCAGATCAAGCAATATGCGGTGGTCAATATGCATCGCCCTCATTCTTTTCAGCTTCTACTGCGGGGAGGCATTGGCTGCTCCAGCCGTCGAACACGAGCGTCGGACCGTCGCGACTCTCGATAGAGAAGAACCCAGCGCGTCAGCAACAGAAACCGCAACTACTGCAACGAACAATGACTCGTCTCAAACATCCACTGCAACTACGACAGACGCAAAGTCAGCTACGAAAACAACAGCCGCGACCACCCGCACGATTTCCTCAGACGACAGCGATGCTACGGCTGTCACAACATCAGTACCATCTTTGGACACCTCCAACTCGCCGGGTGAATCATTGTCTCAAAACTCGAATAAGTCAACATATACCGGGGGTCTGCCCATTCAACCGGAAATCTCGCCGGCCTTGGGCGTGGGTGGCTTTATACTCTTGGTATCTGGCGCGGCGCTGGCTCTTATTGGCATTCGGAAACGATGGTATGCTTTACGCACCAACCACTGGAATCTTATAGCAGCAGCTAAATCTCGACAGGCTGTATATTTCCTTCTCGACAGCATTTTGCGCGGCATTGGGCGTGACGGTTAGTGACTGCTGATATCTCGAGACCCATCACAGAATCGCTAATCATGACATCTGCATCCAGGTCTTGATTGAATACGTGATGAATCCACCCGTGACAAACGCGGTTCAAGGTGGATACCTGGTGGCTGTTGTTATAACCGGGGCTGTCTTCGGTGGACTGGCACTGGTATTCAAGGAAATCACCGAAGGACTTTGTTGTCTTCTTGGTGGCTTCTGCATCGGCATGTGGCTGATGACCGTGAAAGCTGGGGGCCTTGTCACCGAAAGCGGCGCGAAGGTCGGAGTTATTATTGCCTTTGCTGTCGGCTTTTATTGTTTGTCCTTCAGCCACTATACTCGATCCTATGGGTCGATGGTGTGCACGTCTTTTGCAGGCGCGACGGCATTGGTCCTTGGTATCGATTGTTTTAGCCGGGCTGGCTTGAAGGAGTTCTGGCTCTACATCTGGGGTGAGTTACCCTTCTCGGTGTTCAACTCATATACCAGAAATCTAACCTGCCCAGGACTCAATGATAACATGTTCCCGTTGGGAACGAATACCTACCCCGTCACCCGCAACATTCGCGTCGAGCTGGCCATCACCATTATTATGGCGGTCTTCGGAGTCATCGCACAAATGCGTCTGTGGAAAGTGATCAAAGAGCGCCGCGCCAACGAGGAAAGTTCTCGCAAAGAAGAAGAGCGGAAGAAGGAAGAGACCGAGGCCGAAGTAGGCCGACAATTAGAGGAGAAGAACCTGCGTGAGCGCGCTGAATGGGAGCATATGTATGGCAACGGCAGCTCGGCAAAGGAACCCTCCATGACCGAAACGGTGGTGGTCGATGATTCAAGGAGAGGATCGGACGGCTTCAAGTCATCGAACAACGAGAAGGGCACTTCCTTTGAAATGAAGGAGATGGCCAGCCCGGCACATGGCGGGACGTCCGATGCTGGAAATAATCTTGATGCTGTCGAGGAGGTTGTTCGCGAGACTCTGGAGAATGAGGAAGATGGAGTTCCACGACAGCAAAGCGATGGCCAAGAAGATCATGAAAATGCTCACCCGGATACAAAGGACACATCGAAAGCCGCGTCACAGTGTGAGGATGACATGTCCAGGCCTGCGACTCCACCACCTGAAAAGGCATTCCACGTCAACACAAACATGCGTGACGATGAATCCGAGAACGGGGCTATAATCGGCTCGGAGGCTGGAACACCGCGCTCTAAACGCTTCTCGGGAAGATCGTTCAGAAATCGACTATCATGGCGCAGTGGAAATGACGTGAAGACGAACCATGAGTCGCATTCTCAAGAAGCGCTCATTGAGCATGACGATGCCACGTCCTCGGTGGCCGGTATTATCGATGATGTTCAGTCGCTGAGTTCCCGCCGGTATAGCATTGAATCTGGTATCCACAATGATGCAGACAACGCGACGCAGCAAAGTGAGTCGACTGCGAAGAATTTGCTTAGGGAAATTGTCCTGGCCGAAGCGAGCGATAAGAACCTCAGTCCCCAGCCTTCTCAAGCTTCTGAGGCTATTGTCGAGGAAACTCCAGTTGCTTCACAGGAAAACGAAGAGAATCAGCATGTCTCATCCCAGGATGACGCCTCGAAACATCCGGATCAAACCACTACTTCTGTTGAAAACCCCACAGTCGAGCCAACCAAGAATTTTAAGGACCAAACGGCGGAGCCCAAGGCACCAGAGCCAGACCATGACGTTCAGAAAAGCCAACCGGTAACTGAAGTAACTGAACAACCGCATGTGTCCGCCGATTCGCCACAGAAAAATGAAAAACAAGACCAGCAAATCAGCCCTGACGAGCCCTTGACCGTGGAAAAGGACGCAGAACACGCGGCGGAAGCTGCTGAACCGCAAATAACCGCGACAGAAACCAAATCTGAAATCAAGCCTGTCTCGCAGACCTTCACGGAGAAGACCATGGAGACCATAGAGAAGTCCGATGAGCCCGCAGAGGAGCTTGTGCAAATCGTCGAAAAGCCTGTCGCGAAGCCGACCAAGAAACTCGTGAAACAGAAGCTTGACATGTCGACCGTGAAACGAATTCCCGAGCAAACCTCCAAGGTGGTGCATACATTCCGCACTAACGAGTGGGCAAAGCACCTGTCCGACGCCGAAGTCCCGCAACTCGAGCCGCTTGAATTTGATTATGAACAACCTGTCGATACCCCCGGCTGCGAAGAGGCCGCTGCTCCGGTGAATGTTGAAGGACTACTTCAAACGCCTCTCAACGCCCAGCCACCCCCAGCGGTATCCAGCCCCATGGACACTCCCACCCGCCCGGAGCAAAGCCGTCGTCAATCGCGCCTCTCGATGGCCCCAGCCGCCGACCTCCCCCGAACAAAGACTAGGAATAGCATGCAAGACAAAACGACGAGGTCACCACCGATCTCTCGAAATGTTTCATCAGCTTCTTTGAGTCCACCCCAGGAGCATGATGATAGCGCTGGTCTCCAAAGTCCCTCGGCGCCATACTTGACCATTACTGCTCCAAGTCACGGCCGAGACAGCACCAATGAACAAACAGACTCACCACGATGGAGCGGGCCCCCACCTCTTCTTGCCGTCCGCGAGAACATGGTGCGCAACCGACTCTCATCAACATCCCTTCGCTACGACCCCTATGCCTCCCGCAGCGCATCTCGCCAATCCCTCGGCGAACCAACCCGAATCTCACCAACCTTCTCTATTCTAGAAGAAAGCGACGAACAACACATGACCATGGCATCCCCCAACCCTCCACTCCACGACGAAGACGACATGCCCCTCTCCAGACGCCGAACCTTGCTCCAACGGCAAACAATCGAGTCCCCGTCCGCAGCAAGTCTACAAAGCCTCGAACAACGAGCCCGGTCACCCGGCCCGGATTCTGGACGATCCGCTTCCGTCATGGCGGCATGGCGTCAATCCGTCCGAGAAGATATCTCGTCACGACGTGGTCCACTCGCGCTCAATTCTCCGCCCCTTGGATCGACCAGTCCCGAGAGGCCAAGAAATCTGTGGGGATCCGTACAGCAGATGAAGGATGCCTCAGCGGCGCAGGTGGGAGATGCCATCGCAGATGGAATGCAACGAGGCAGTATGACGGACCTGCATCGGCAGGCCATGCGGCGAATGCAGGCGTCCGCGAACCGCAAGTTGTAGATGTTGAGTTTTGATACCCTCTTTTTCACCTACAGACTTCTCTTTTCGGGCATTAGCTCGGATGATAGATATAGAGGAGACGTGACCATAAAGTTCGATGCACATAATTCTAATGAACAATTCGATTGACGCACTCCTTCCTCGCTTTGTAAAGAAGACGTAGCTCCTAGAGAGCCTTCCAACCAAGAAATCACTGCAAGACGTGCTTCGGCGCGCTCTCAAACACCTTGATAGCCTGTTCCCACCTCTTCTCATACTCCTCTTCCATCCCCTCTTGTTCCCCCGCCATCAACCCATCATCTCGCTCTTCAAGCCCAAGCTCAACTTCCCTTCCCTCCCCTCCCCGTGCCGTATTTACAGACATGACATCCCGATACAACCCTATCATGCCATCGGCAATTTGACCCCATCAATCCCGCCTTTCACAAGCGAAAGAGGTGCAGCAATTGCCGGGTGCGCCGAAGACTGCTTCAATCTCTGAGGCTGTTCACGAACTACGGCTTTTGCGGTCACTCACTGCACTGAAGAGTTCACCTCCAGAAAAGGAGACCGAGGTCATTCAACTGCGAGATGAAATTCGAGTCTTGGAAGAAGATAGCAATTTGTCTTCGGTGACAAGCTTCATCGAGACGGTCAACTCTGTCATCCAACCTGCGATGCTCTGGAAGAGCACCGACGAGAACGCTGTTGTGATCGAACCTCCTTCGGACCGCGTGGATTTGTCGCCTTTGCATTGTTGAGAGACGGTATCCAAAATAGGATTCAAGGGCCGATCCGGAATGTGGATATACGGTGGCCCGTCATGATCGTCATGCAAACCATGCGAGAGAGGACGGGGTATATCGGAGACGACGAGACTAAAGGCAAAGCAACACTGAATCAGCAATCGAGACAAATCTCCGACATCCTGCTGACACCATTTGCCGAAACAATCCGATCCAAATCCTATGTCATCTTCTCGATATCCAATCCACTGACGGCCTTCCCGTCCTCGGTTTTGATCTTTGACGACAAGCCTCTAGTCATGCACGCATGCGTGTCCTAAGTTCCCAGCCTCACGGTCCTCTACTACCTCTCCCAACGGAAATCCGAGTCCGCAAGACCGACTGTTTCTGTTCTGGCGAAGTCACCGACCGAGGGACCGGCAGGGTCTACCCGTGCGGACAGGGAGGTAAATCTGCACAAGGCAGACATCGAAACCGTGAACATCGCGCGTTTATTCGCAACCTGGCCCATCGAGGCATCCAAGCTCTCTCGAAAGGTGTTCCAGGATTACGTAGAGGGCGGATCTCAGATCATGCATATCGGCACGCATATGTCAACCCGCGCAACCCCTTGCTTTCATCCATCTCGACCGGACAGGCCCAGGAGTTCCCTGTTGTGGACATGTCTGCCATCCGCAGCTGAGTGAATCTACTCGTATTTGCAGCCTGTCTGAGCGGATTCGGTAAGGGCACCCTTGAGAGTGAAGTGCTGGGATTCTCTCATATTGTCTTGAGCACAGGGTGCCAGGCATATATTGGGCCGTTGTGGAAATTATGTGATTTTGGATCGATGCTTCTCATGACAATTTTCTATCGGCATTTGAAAAAGAGACCTCATGTAGCTGTGGCCGAGTTGGTGCGGCAAGCGCAGCTGGATCTTCTTTGTCTTGACTGTGGAGCGGCCGAGGCTCTGCTGGATGAGATTGTGAGCAAGTGGAGCTCGAGCTCCGAGGAAGATGGGTCACATTGTCCGGCGGAATTTGTGCTGGATGTCAAGTTTCTGTTGTTTACGCTGAAGATGATTATGGGACAGCTGGACTGGAGTAGTCCATTCTACTGGGTGCCGTTCACGCTGGTTGGATATGGGGGTTTCAGAGTCCTGCGCGAGGTGTAGTTTTCCTGCTGGATACTGACACTAGATCATTTCAGATCTGCCTTTTCGACATTCGGGGATGTCTTCACGGGACAAATGGTGTCGCGCGAACCGCGGACTCGATAAATGGCATATACGGGACGGGTGCGAAAGGGGTGGATATTGATGGCGGATGCAGGTGGACAGAGGCGTAGCGCGTTTGGCACCCCCACAGCTGGCCTGTGCTAGTAGGTCCAGTGCGTCGACTAGCACTTGACATCAGAGGCAATGCAGTAGCTGCGCATCCATCGAGCCCCTAGATGTGTCAGTGGTGTTTTGTGTTGGTTGCCGAGCTCTGTGACTGCTTCGTCGTCAGGCTGTAGGTCTGTCCGTCGTCGAGGCGCTGAGTGTGGAGGGACAGGATCGACAGCCACAACTCCCTCTGGCTGTACTTTAAGTAGTCGCAGTAGTTGTATGTACCAGTTTCTCTGTCTGCAGGTTCGGTTTGGAACTTTGGAGCGAGACAAGGCGAGGTTAGGGCGGGAGATTCCCGGGAGAAGTGAAACAAGGGAGAAGATGGGGTACATAAACAAGCTCTTTCCTCCATGACCCCAACGTAGTAAGGGTGCTCAACTCAGGAACTATACATAGTGCTCTTCCCCAGGCTGGAGGGTAGTCTACCCTCACCCTTCTTGGGAATGCTCTCTATTGCTCTGGATTGTCCTCGTCATACGATAGCAATTGTCCTAGGATGGTCGATGGAGTGGACACTAAAACACGGCAACCTGGGAGGATCTGATTTTTTGCCTTGTTTTTGAGCCTGGCAGCCCCAGGCTCTCTTCCTCTGTCCGATCTCTTCGTCTCCGTCTTCTGGTCGATCCGATCGCGTCTCCGGGGTTGAAACACTCGCTCAGCAACCCGCGGACTCCGCCGATCCCACGCTCCTTTTCCACCGTTCGCTCGGTCCCTTCAAAACGGCGTCCTCCACGGCTCGATCCAGGGAGGTTGACCACCGCTCCCGCTTGTCTTCTGCTGTAGGAATTCCTCGAGGGAATCCTCCACATCTTTCTCGTGCGGCCGAGCCCTCGACCTCCCTGTGCGCGAGTGTGGTGCCCAACCTGAACGTGAACCTGGGGAAGGCTTCCGCAGCTGCACTCCGTCGCCCGCCCGCCGTCCGCCTCGCCAACCCCGTCAACCACGTCCCTCGCATCACCCCCATCACCCTCCCGCCCTTCGAGTCCAACGAGAGCCTCCCGTTGGGCCCGCAATCGCCGCTGCTGAGCGTCCCCGAACGCCGCCGAAGTCGCCTGACCCCCTCGCCGTCCAGTCTCCTCGTCGAGCGCAGTCAGGGCGAGACCGACAGCGGCCGCACCAGCATCGCCCTGCCTCCACGCCACCGGCGCAGTGAGCAGTTGTCCCCGACATCAATGGCCGCAGCGTTCGCCGGCAGTGCGGCCCGCGAGGTCGAGAACCTGCGACCTCCCGAGGCCGTTCATCTGGCGTCCGATGGCACCCGCCGCGACAACCAGCCGCGACATGCTCAGTCCCAGACCTCCCTGCGATCGCAATCCCAGATCGCCTCCATTCCCTCCAACACCGGCCAGGCCCCCGCAGATGTCGCCGAAGAACTGGCCTGGGGTCCCGCGCACCCCTGCTACCCTCACCTCAACCCCCACGTCCCCATCGGCTCGCGCGAGTACCTCACCACACGAGTCATCCGTATCCGCCGCGACTGGATGGTGAAGGGCGACTTGGCTCCGACCTTTTCCAATCTCTACCCCGAGATCCTGGACCCGTTGCTCTCCGAGCAGGAGTTCCGGAAGGTGATTGCGACAGTCAACAATGGCGTTGTCAAGGCATTCGACCCGTTCAGCCTGCGCAATTGGTTTGACGGGGCCATTGGCCTCTTGACTGGCTGGGTTTGGGATGACATGAACGCCCCCGGCATCAAAGGCGAGCTGCAGCAGGTGGAGTCCTGGCTGGAGAAATGGAACCGCGAAGTCGGGGACAAGGACGGGGTGCACATCTGGAGTCTGCGCCGGACGGCCTACATGTCGCTCGATATCCAGATCCCTGATCCCAAAGTCGGCATCGTCCCAAGTGAAGGGCCCTCGCTCCCCAATACCAGGCCCAGTACGGGTGTTGGGAATTGATCCTGGGTTCCATGTCTACGACCCTTGTCCTGCTGCACATTTGCATGCTCCAAAATCCTCTCCTTTCTCTTCTTCTTCTTCTTTTTTTTTTTTTTTTTTTTTTTTTCTTTTGCTGTACATTTTCTAATTTCCGTTGTCCTGTTCGGGTCTTTGCATGATATCCCACTTCCACCCCAGCCGCTATCCTTCTCTCCTTTCTTTCTCCAGTTCCTTGTCCTTGTCCCAACGCTGTAAATACTGTTCCAATGGGTCTTCATCTCTATTCCGATTTAATCCGCTCTCCTACCCTGTTGCTTGGGGGGCTTGAATTTTTGTCATTTTTCGGATTTACCCCTGGAACCAGGGTCTTGTCCATACTTTTATGCCGGTGCGTTGTTGATATACCGGAGTTGAACAGCAAATACAAACTTGTTTTGATCATGTCCCATACAATTATGTGAAATAATAATTTCTACCATAAGATAAATTGAAAAAGAAAGCCTCCTATATGAGCATATTGTATCCCCTTAAGCAATACCGCTGGTAATCCCCACCGGGCGGTGTCGATCGACCCCCCCATCCCCGTCGAAGCTCCTTTAAACCTGCGAAACCCGCACCGGCATGAGCCCACCACCACCACCACCATGCTGTCGGGCATCCTGATATTCAACCAGAAGGGCGAGAACCTCATCTTCCGCGCCTTTCGCAGCGACTGCCGCCCGCGGCTCGCCGACATCTTCCGCATCCAGGTCATCTCCAACCCGCAGGTCCGCTCCCCGATCCTGACCCTGGGCTCGACCACCTTCAGCCATGTCAAGCACGAGAACATCTACCTGGTCGCCGTGACCAAGAGCAATGCCAATGCCGCCCTCGTCTTCGAGTTCCTCTACCGGCTCATTGTGCTGGGCCGGAGCTACTTTGGCAAGTTTGACGAGGAAGCTGTCAAGAACAACTTTGTCTTGATCTACGAATTGCTGGATGGTGAGCAACTACCCCTAGGCATTGGCAGGGCATTTGCAGCAGTGCTAACACCCTCGCAGAGATCCTCGACTTCGGATATCCCCAAAACACCGAGACCGATACCCTGAAAATGTACATTACCACCGAAGGAGTCAAGTCCGCCATCGCCAACTCCCCCACCGACTCCAGCCGTATCACCATGCAAGCCACCGGCGCCCTCTCATGGCGCCGCTCCGACATCAAATACCGCAAGAATGAAGCCTTCGTCGACGTAATCGAAGACGTCAACCTGCTCATGTCCGCGACCGGCACCGTCCTTCGCGCCGATGTCAACGGCCAGATCGTAATGCGCGCCTACCTCTCCGGCACGCCAGAGTGCAAATTTGGCCTGAACGACCGCCTTCTCCTCGACAACGGCGAGTCTTCTGGCGGCAATGGCAGCCGCGGCGGATTCAGCGGGGCCGCAGGGAAAGCCACGCGCGCTGCGGCGGGCTCCGTCACACTGGAAGACTGCCAGTTCCACCAGTGCGTGAAGCTGGGCCGATTCGACTCGGACCGAATCATCTCTTTCGTCCCGCCGGACGGCGAGTTCGAGCTGATGCGGTACCGCGCGACGGAGAATGTGAATTTGCCGTTCAAGGTGCATCCGATTGTGCGGGAGATTGGGACTACGAAGGTCGAGTACAGCGTTGCGATTAAGGCGAATTATAGCGCGAAGCTCTTCGCGACAAATGTCATTGTGCGCATTCCCACGCCGCTGAATACGGCCTCGACGACTGAGCGGACGAGCCAGGGACGCGCCAAGTATGAGCCCGAGCATAACAATATTGTCTGGAAGATCCCGCGGTTCTCGGGCCAGAGCGAGTTTGTGCTTAATGCGGAGGCGACTCTTACTTCCATGACGCATCAGAAGGCGTGGAGTCGGCCGCCGCTCAGTCTGTCGTTTAGTATTCTGATGTTTACGTCGTCGGGTTTGTTGGTGCGGTACTTGAAGGTCTTTGAGAAAAGCAATTACAGCTCTGTGAAGTGGGTGCGGTATATGACGAGGGCGGGAAGCTATGAGATTCGGTTCTAGGATCTTGTTTTCGTGAGCACAGGCTGGGTGTCTGGCGTTGCATGGTGTTGTACATACTCGAGCTTATTCTTCTTCCATAATGCATCACTGTACGGAGGGTCTACCCTAAGTCTCTTGCAGCAGTTAAGCCGGGCTTTTCTACGTTGAAAGTGAAAGTCATGCCATATCTCTTTTCAATTTGGTGCTTCGTTTGCTAGATTTGAACGAAGTAGCTGTTAACTTAATCTTCGTGGACCACTTCAGGACTCATAATCCGAGCTTTCGTACTTGGACTTCCAAAGTAGATCGCCATCCTCGTCGATGTCTTCAATCGTGACCGCATTGGGAATCACCTTTTTCACACCCTCAATTGTCTTCAGTGTAGACAATCCCGATTCACAGAGCGACACAAGAGCATCCATCTGCGCATCATGGTCTTCGTTTACGCCTCTTTTGTAGCCTCGGACACAAATATGTTCGAGTTTCGGCGGCAAACAATCGACCAGGGGGCGCTTTTCGCACTTTTCGTCGGGTTCGCCACTGACGCCCTTGGCCAAGTACAGCAGGAAGTTGATACTCAGGCTCAAATATTTCAGAGCCACAAAGTCTTGGAGTGACCCGCTCCGCGACCAGACCCGTTTAATCAGCTTGATCATTTCCTCGTCTTCGCCAAGGTCCCACGCACTTCCATGGCTATCCATCTCGGCTTCCCAGTCCTCTTCCTTGAGTTGAAAAGGGAGACATTCACCTTCAACATCAACATCAAGAGTCTGTAATCTTTGTTTATGCCCGCAGAGTGCCTTAATGACAGCCTTGGGATTGAACATCGGATAACCCCCCTCAATGCTTTCCCTGCCACCAACAGAATACCGAAACTCCTTCAGAACCCTGGGCATTAAGATAAGCCGGACAAGATAGTTGGAATTAAGAGAGGAATGCTTTATGCAGATCTTGCTGATGTCGATGGACTCTTCAGGGAGTGGAGGCTCAAGGTCGGGTAACTCAACTGCATCTGTCGCGGCAGATTCAATAGACGGAAGATTGCCAAATAGCATCATACCACCCCCAAATTCCAGATGGACATAAGAGCGACCATCTCCTGTTTTGTCGAGGTTGATGAAATAAACGTGGCGCAGTTGGCGCAGGTACGGCACCGGTTCAGGGCTCATTTGGATAGATAGCATCCGGCGAAGAAACAGGTCGAGTGGCATTGCAATATCCGGGCAGTATATGGGGTCATAGCACGCGAAGGGCAATGTAATAGCCAAGGACTGTAGGTTCGGACATACGATCATGAGAGATGTAACGAAAGCCTGAGAAATGAATGTCTCGCAGGCCTTTGAATAGCTTTTCACACCATTAGACACCTTCTCGGCTCAAACGAGGTTGATGGAGACCTACCGATATGCCGCAAAATCCAGAGCGTTCGATGTCTCTACCTTTGCCGTTTTCTGCAGAAGCATACTGACCACGCGCTCTTTTTCCAGACCCTCAAATCCCGCTTCTCGAACCATGCTTTGGACAAGATTCATCTCCTCTTCTGCTAGGTGTCGCTGAGGCGTCCCCGTCCACTCGTGGGTGATGGTCGTCAGGACGGGACACTCGATGTGATTTACAAAAGTGCCCAGACGAGGCTTCTTTAAGATTTCTATGAGCAGATTGAATACCGTTTCGATGTCCTCATCTTTCGCGGTAACCTTGATTCGGTGGAACCTTTGGCGCAGTTCCAAGTCACAAAGCGAGTAGAGCTGGCGGCATTGGTGCGACAGGGCCGCAATGTCACGATTTGCGGGGACAAAAGAGATAACGAGCGACTGGATCTCCGGCGGAAGATCGGCCAGCATGGTGGTTGTGTGTGTTGATCTGGGGATCTCGATGGGTGTTGGGTTTTGTTGATGGTAGAGAGGCGAGTGAGACTAGCGCCGCCGCGGCGCTCGAGTCAACAACCGCAGGTCCAAGGCAACCGCCGCCGGCCTAGAATCGACGGAAAGTGGCTTCCAAAATTGATAGTGCGCCCAGTTCATTATTGCTTGCTCTAAGATAAGTACGGGGCTACAGCGGAACCTACCTAGGTCGCACGCCAGAGTACAGAAGCTGGGCGCTCCCATACAACAGCAAGCTGAGCTGTATAGCTGTATACTAGTAGTATCTCACATGGGCTGAACAACGGTAGATGCTTGTTGGCTAAAAGCGCCTTCATACAGCGTAACAGTAGCTTCAGTTTCTCTTCTCTCATGCGCCTCCTCTCGAACAATCGAACACACCCCGCCAACACCTCGACTCCCTAAACCACACCGTCCCTTCCAAATCGAACACAGACCTAGAAGAACTGAACAGCCATCCGTCCATCGTCCACCTTGCCCGCCTTCATCAGATCCATCATCTCATTGATATCCTCCAATTGGAACTTTCTCGGGTGGACCTTAGGATAGATTCCTTTGCGATGGCAGAAATCCAAACAAGCCGCTGTGCCAATCTGGCCAGGTACTTTGGCACCGATGATCCTATTCAAGGTCAGAAGATTGCATTCCATCAGAGAAGGGAAGAAAAGCATACTTGATAGCCTGGGTAGCCACTAGCCCCATATTAATTGGAACATACTCCCCAGGAATCCCAACAGCCATCAACCGACCCTCAGCTCTGAGAATATTAAGAGCAGTAAGATACGCCGGCTTCGAACCCGACGTAACAACCGCCGCATCAACACCACGTCCCTTATTCAACTCCCGCACGCGCTCCTTCACCTCCGTCAGCTTTAAATCGCGCGAATTCAGAATCTCATCCGCACTCCCACCCTCCTTAACTCCAATCAACTGCTCATCCCGCACATCAATCCCAACAACCTTCACTCCAAGGGCCTGCGCATACTTGGTCGCAATCTCCCCAAGCCCACCAACCCCGACAACAGCAAGCGTCTCACCCGGCTTCAAACAAGCTCGACTAAGCGCATCCCAAACCGTGACCCCCGCGCAGAAAATCGGCGAAAGCTGCACCGGACTCGCGGGCGTATTTTCCGGGATCACCACTGCAGTCGCTGCGTCCACGGTCGTATACTCGCAGAAGTATCCGGGGGCATTCACGCCCTTCATGGTAATCTTGGGGCAAAATTGCGGGGCGATCTCTTTGCATTCATAGCATTCGAAACACCAGTCTTGCCAGAGGGGCGTGCCGACCCGATCACCGACTTTGATGCCATATTTGGCGGCGTCGGGGCCGAGCTCTTCGACGACGGAGATGGCTTCATGGCCGATTATCAGGGGGACAGGTGGTCCGCCTAGGACTGCGCCTGTGACGATGCTTACGTCGGAGTGGCAGAGGGATGCGACTTGGACGCGGACGAGGAGGTGCCGGCCTTCTGGTTTGGGGACAGGGACTTCTTCGATGACGAGGGGTTGGCCAACCTATGCATCACGTTGTACAGACGCGTTAGTGTTCTTCGTCCAAGTACTCCCGGACCTAGATTATTCCCTTGTGGCTTAGAGGGTCACAGGTCAAATACCTCTTTGCAGACGGCAGCTTTCATCATTGTTGGCGCCATCGTGACGTTCAGGATGTTTAGTACAGGTCTGAAAGCTTTAATATTTCTCGGTAAGTAAGCAGTGTTTATATGCACCGTGTCCTAAGACTGCACCTGTCAGCACCAGCGTTATATACACATCAAAAGCGGAGTCAACAAGTCCCATCAGCAAAAACATACATTCCTCCCCCGCTTCGACCGGCAAATCATCGGCTAGTCACTCACACTGAGGAGTTCTCTATCCCCAGTCTATTCCGGCCGCCATTGCATCCTCGGAAACGCCCAGAACATACCCTAGTCCAAAACGGAACACCCCGCATTTCAAGCAGACCCGGATGAGGCGGATGTGGATGCTAGTGCTAAGATATTGGTTTGTATCTGGGCGGCGCCGCGTTGTGGATGGTGAAGATGAGGGGAAGTGATGGCTGCATGTTGTAGCTGCAGTGAGATGCGTCATGCAGCGATGCCGAAATCTTGGCGATTGTATTCGAATTGTGCATAATGTTTTGCATTGGATTAAATGACAGCATCCATGGCTGTGACGCTATTGGGATTGGCGTAGTTCCGAGGCAAGTGTTGGATTTCATTCTGATAAATATTGAACTTTATCCGAGAGTTCACAGTAGCATAGACGTGCACCTAGATACCGAGGCGCCACACTAGCAACGTTACAATAGATTATCAATCACAATCTGCCGGAGGGGTAGCCGAGTCATTTCTTTTGTTTACACTAAGTGTCAAAACCATGAAAATAGTTGCCAAAAATACAATAGTGGTATCATGTTCAGGTAAAAGTGCAGTAGTAGTAACAATAGGTAATAGTACAAAGCTCAAATAGCGAAACTTGCGAGCAGGACAATCAATGTGCACGAGAAAACCACCCGATTAAAGCACTCAGACAATAGCGCATTCGTCAGACGGAAGAAAGAGGAATATATTCACATAACCAGATGCGAAAATGACAGACGAGAGAACAATCTTGTGCGAAGAAACCGGGAAAGAAAAAGATATCAAGTAACATGGTTCAAGGGAAATGATAATACAGGGGGGTTTCTTGCAGCAAAGAGGATATTGGGGACATGAGGTCGTATGATACAGAGTTCGGGTGAAAAGAAAGGAAAAAAAAAAAAAATTTTCAACGGCGAGCGCGTCGAAGTCCAACGCGGCCCTCTTTGACAAAAGAGTTCCATCGTCGTCCGACGTCGCCGCTGTTGCGGCGGCCCATCTGGCGCGCACAATCGTCCCATTCTTTTTGGGAGAGACGGAACTTCTCCAGGACGACCTCAAGAAGGCGCTGATCTTCATCGGCGGACCATTTCTCAGCAGAGGGCTCTGAGGTAGATGGCTCGCTTTCCTCAATTGAGGGAAGAGGAGCATCAGGATCGATGCGCGCACCAAACTCTTGGAGGCGCTCGTGGAGACGGCGCTGGGCGGGAGAGGGAGGAGATTGTGTGATGGGAGGAGAGCGTATGGAATAAAAGTCCGACGTGGTGAGGCCAAGCGGCAGCTCGTATGGCACTTGTCGTTGGCGTTTCGGGGTCGATGGGCGATCGTGCCCGCGGCTCATGTTCACGTCGCCGTCGTCATAGTCGAGAGAGCGCCGGCGCTTGTTGGCGCCGCGTGCGGGCGCAGAGGGAGGAGGTGGAGGTGTAGTAGCGAGCGTAGCGGGAGGAGGAGTCGGGCGCGGCGATGCAGGCCGGGCGACTTTGCGCGATCGCGCTGAGCGACGCGGCGGGTTGATGGGCAGAGGGCTCTGGAGGCGTGACGGCTTGACGGAGCGTCGCGGCGAAGGCGCCGGCGATCCGTTCAGCAAAGATTGGAGGGCACGACAGGTGCCGAAAAGACCGTTGCCGGCTTGGTTTCCTCTGTCTGGAGGAGGAGGAGTCGAGAAGAGGCGACTGGGGGTGAAGCGAGACGACCGGCGCACATCGCATGGGAGGGCAGATGGAAGAAGCATTTTGTCGCAGATGATTGTTTTATGCAACAGAGTGACAGAGAAGAGTGTAGAGGATTGTAAATGGTCGGATGTTGGGGTGTGGTTGTGTTGGTTGTGTTGTTGCGCTGGACGCGAACGGATTTGTGCGCGCGATTTGCGCTGGGAGGATGCGCCGGAGGCGGTTGCGAAGCGCGACGACGCAGTTGGGGAGAAAAGAACGAGAGGAGGTTGATGTCGTCGAGATGCGCTTCGAATCCCACCAGGTCCGGGGGGATGCGACGAAAGAGGTCGGGTGGTTGTTATGGTTGAGCGAGTGGTTGTTAGGGAGAAGAATTGGCGGGGGGCGGACGGGCGATAAAAGAAAAGTGGCCGCAAACGGTCAAGCGAACATCTCCCGGGGCTCCACTTTGCGGGCAACCACAGCACCGTGCGAGAACGAGCACTGAGCACTGATGTGATACTGACTGCGGGGATGAAATAGCGAGAGGAGACCAAAGAGCCAAAGAACGAATGAGTGAAAGAAAAGCCGAAAAGTTGAAAGATGGGACGAAAGAGTGAAGTCAGCGAGCAGGGGTGCCTGGGACAACGAATGACTGAACCGATTACGATTCGGGATGATAGACAGTATACTCTCTCACACACTGAAGATAATGGCTACGAGTCTCCTCTTTTCTATTATACTACTAACTCGGCAAAGCTCGCGAAAGGGCTGCAGGTCCTGCGACCCCTCGTTCACTGCTCCGCTCGTGCTCTTTGCCAGTGAAACACGAGTGAAGGAGCACAGGCAGCCCGAGAAGAGTGCACGCAAGGGGACCCTCGCCGGCCACCCAACCTTTGCCAGGGGAGCACGAGGCAATTCGGCCCCTGAAACGACCGCCGATCGCCCGCACTAGCTTATCCTTTCTGCTTTGCCTCTCATGTTCGAGCGATTTTTCAATTACATTTCCTGATCGGGTCGAGGGCCCGCGACGACCCGCTCCGCCTCCCACGCGCCTCCATTCAACGCGCCCGACATTGTACAGAAGTGGCCCCGGCTCTCGAGGATCGTCGCTATCGATATCACGATGGCTGCATCACCGCCGCAAACACCAGTCTGGTGACCGGGCAACCGGCTTGTGATGCAATCGCCATGACATGCAGCAGGTGGGTTGCAGCGAACGGCTGTCCAGTGCCTCTCCCGTAAGAGCTGCAGGCGCTACTTGTATAGCTGCGCAGTCGCCTGATCATAATGTCTTTCGTGGAGGGTGGCTCCCCGTCCCAATTGGTGGCGACACGCGTTTTAATAGATCTTTGACCTTAGGGCTCTGTCTAGGGTCGGCCTTTCCTTTCGTCCTGCCATACCGCCCTTCACCAGCCCTGAAGGGCCCCGGCCCTGCCATGCCAGCCCTCCCAAAGGAGATACGGGCGCCTAAAGAATTCCCAGCTTCTCTAGTCAGTCAATGTCTTTGAGATTAGGCTGTCACAAATTGATGAGGCTGCAAGTTCGCGCGTCTGTCAGCCACGCGTTTTTTCACGCGTGTTCGCGCGCGTGGGATTCGCGTACCGCGTCGGCCAATCAGCGACGCCACCACCGTGCAGAAGGTCCCGCCTGAGGTGTCGAGGCACCATATCTACTATCGACCTGCGCCAAATGGGATACTTCCTAGAAAGGAAGCCATGCCTCGTGCAGATAACCTTGATAGTCTGTGGCCCTGGGCAACGGTGGAAGTTTGTGCGAGCGCAGGGTGGGGGAGGGGCTTGAGCTTTTGCTCAGAATTGAGGACTCTGCCTGCGGAGTCTGCAATGGATTGCATTTTGGACTATCCTGCCTACCTCGACATTCAACCCACAATGCTCGAACTCTACGACTTCGTATTCAACTTACATGTTCGACTATTCTACGCTAATCACAAACTCACAGCTCTGTTCAGGCTCGAATCTCTGCTGAAGTTGTTTGCTTGTTGACGCCGCTATCAAAGTTTCGATATTGCATCGTGTGATCAAGTGATAGCCCTTGCTTCGTGCAGGGTCGGCTTCTCAGCAAGAGCCCGTGAGAAATAAGCTTATGCTCTGCATTATCTCGCATCGCCTTGGTATCGTGTCATTATCAACCTTTCCGGGGTGCAGACTGCAGCTGGCGGCCCTGCTGCACCGTGCGCGACATAGTTCTCTACCACATACAATATCGACCACTTCAATGGAGTAATTCATGCCACTTTAGTCTGGGTCCTTGAACACTTCGATTTCAGCCTGTGGGTCCCGACCGTATCCCATCTTTCTCCCTCTCCCTCCAAGGGCTGCCGTCCTCAGCTCCGTTCCTATGCCACAACCAAGGAGGCCACAAAACCTTCTCCCATTCACCGCAGTGGCTGGAGCCAAAGGAACCCCATCCACTCCTTTACCCTGCTTCTACCCCTCTGCCCCTCTGCCCCTCTGTCCCACTGTCCAGGCCCCAGCCCCCACCTAGAGCCCAGTCCCATGCAAGGGATAAACAAATCCGATGCGACTATTGCGAACCACGACAAGCGATAGGTGCAGACAAGATTAGTCTCGCAAGCTATGAGGGCACGGCGACGCCACGATCTATATTCATGGATTCTCAACGGCTGCAAGTGATATTTAGCCTTTTGGCACTTGTACACAACAAAAAAAAAAAAAAAAAAAAGAGGCTCGAGGACAACCTTCCCCACGATCTGGACGGCCCTGCAAACCAAGGCGTCGGCATCCCTGCAGAAACCTGCACAGTCGGATGCAAGACATCTCCCTGTCCGCAACGGGCGCTAGTGCAGATCTTTCTCCGCAAAACTCAATAGCTTTCGTGCGTCGGTGTGGCTGGGCGCTCCCGTTGCCCTTCCAACGAGCGTCAGCTAGGGTTTCGAGGTTCCTTTGTAGGGTGACTGCGCTGAAGGTTTCACTTCTTCAACTCTTGTCTCCTACCTTCTGACCCTGTCAGACCCACCTGTATCTTGGAATGGGCCGTGATTTGTTCCAAAGGGAGTATGTCTTATCTTCCATTCCAGTTGTGGAATTATCGCATTCTTTGGCTGTGACAGGTGATCGTCAGGCCTCTACTGATTGACAACCGGCCTTGATCTTTGTTCCTTTAGCTGGACCAGCTGAGGGAATTGGGTCCAATGTGGATTTCTGTGAGTTTTGCTGGGTCTCACTAGACAGAGATGTTGGAATCACAGGCTGCGCTTTTTTCGATATCCCTTCGGAATCATCTTGTGGATCTGCGCTGATTTCATGCAGCTTCGTCCAATAACACCAACGGCTGTCTGTCCAAACCTCGGTCAGTTGACGAACCTGTTTGTCAATACACATCGTCAAAGCGGCGAATCAAACCATAATCGAAAAGTATCGAATGCACTCGGACCTCGACAACGACCGTCGGACTCGAAAGCACCTTCGATAAGACATCTCAGCCCAATGACCCACTCCTGACTCTTCAATGTGTGACCTCATTGATTCCAGTGGACCGTGAAGACCAATCCACAATCGAGACAGGAGGGCACTCCTTTCCCAACTGAACCTACCAATCCCATCACACACTGACACTCCACTGAACCCCCTCAACCGAGATGCCCTTCTTGGTGGCCACTCACCCAACCCTAGACATCTAGGGGTAATGCCCGCAAATAGGCACACAGGCAGCACAGGGCCCTCAGCTCAGCCCAACAAGGCACAGCCAATGGATTACATTCGCCCCCCTCCAGCTCACCATGCACCCAAGGGCTTTCTTCGAGGGTACCCTCCATTGCCACAGTGGGTATTCGCAACGATCTATTGATCATGAGAACCTCCTGTAGGTGGAAAGGTGGATTTCCCTCCTTGGCACTGAATCCTTCTCAAGGTCGCCAGAATAGAAGGGGTTCCGCTGGAAACTCACGACTCCTTGTCAACATCTGGACCTATAAGGATATGTGCCTTTTTAAGGGGATCTTGCCACTTGCGTTGATTGTTATTATTATTGATTCCCTTGATACCATGGCAACCTGGTGAGACATGGGATCAATTATTTGTTTGGGATTCAAGAGACATATCGTCCTGGGGAAGTGCCGAGTTGGCCTTTCTTCTCTTGCGATCGAGAGTGTAATGCTCTGTTTGTCAGCTGCTGGCAGTGGCAGGCCTGGAACCGAGCAATTGCGTGCGCTTACTACGCCACTACACTCATCCTGGCTGCTCGGTATAGCAGGCAGCCAACTAAACCATGGGACGTAGAGGAGACATTTCCGGCTTTCGGACTAACCTACCATAGATTATACTCCACGAATCTCTCGGGCCATGTCTGGAGAGCCTTTTTTTTTTTTTTTTTTTTTGCCTCACTAAACACCCGAGAATCCAACGACCACGCGGGTGTGCAGTTTGTCCATGGGTCTAGATAGGATGTTTCTCCGAATGAGGACCTCCTAATAATACCTTGAAGATATTTTGGATTTGGATTTCCCTTTAAGACGGTTCAAGTAGAGCCGTGGGTTGAGAAATACCTTGGCGAGGATATACCAAGGCTTGCTGGTATATCATGGAATAAAATGTCGGAGTCGGAACCAAGAGCATAAAGCCTCTGATATATGAACCTTTACCGTATCGATGTTGACTCGGAAAAAGCTTACGATAAATGGTGCGCTTCATCATAAGGTAAGTCTAGAGTTTCATTCAAGGTCCTTGGGGTAAGAATACTGACCTGGAAACAAAACAAAGAAAGAAACAAGACAGAAAAGCACCAATGGCAAACCATGGCATCGAGGCTAACTGGTGCGGAGTAAGGAAGGGGGTATCATCCTTCCTTTCATGACTCACTAAACCCATTTCGCTAGCTCATCCACCTCCCAGCCATAGATACATCTCTTTTTCCTGCCGGTGACTGAATTGACCACCTCTTCGTAAACCTCGTCTGTCTTCTCACCAGAGGATAGAGTATGCGCTGACTGGCTGATGCTTTGTGATGCCATGAACAGAATATTGCGCAGCTTTGTATCCGGTGTGTCGAGGGCTCTTTTCGTAGGAATTCGTATTCTTTTCGCTTGATATTCAACCGTGAAGAATGGACTACTTTCCAGCTCCTTTGGAAGAGAGTCAGATAAATTTGTGGGGCTCTGGGCAAGACTGGCTGCGGTAAGTACTAACCTGCTCTGGGGTCTCGGGAACATGATCGCGCGGTTTGTCTGCTGACTTTTTTGGCGGAGCAGTTCGCAGAATAACGCAGGAGGATTCAGTCCGCTGGGCCGGTGTCCAGTGTTTCGTACCATTCGCGTAGCACTCGGCGATTTTCGTCTCGGTGGCCGGTTCGGTAAGCCAGCGGTGTCGTAGGGCCTCCTTCACATTCATACGCTCGACCTCATCCAGGATGAGCAGGCTGGTGACGAATTCTATCACCCGGACTCTGAGTTCGGCTTTGCGCATACTGCATACTAGATCATCGACTTGTTCTTGGATCAGTTCTCTCTCGCTGTTGAATGGGTATTCTCCAGTCAGAAGAACTGCTGTCACAGAACCGACTGCCCACATGTCGACGGCCTTTGTATAACTATGCTTGCGGCGTCCGTGATAATCGAAATATCGTCGAATCTCCCTACTTGCGAAATGTTAAAATAAGAACTCATTCTCTATAGGAGGTGAGGGGCGGGGGGACACTTACGGAGCGGCGTAATCAAAGGTCCCGACCGAAGCGGACATTCTCTTGTCTGGCGAGTTGGCCACCCTTGCCAAGCCAAAGTCTGTCAGAACCACCCGATAGTCCTGCCCGACAATATCCATAAGGATGTTGTCCGGCTTGATGTCTCTGTGCACGATTTCCTGATCGTGCAAGTAATCAACGGCCAAGAGGAGTTGGTGTGTGATTTTAGCTGAGGCGAGCTCATCGAGATGTCCCCTTTGCCCTTTCGACCGGATGAAGGAATAGAGATCCCCGCCTGTGATCATCTCAGAAAATATGTAACTGGTGAATTGTTAGCGTAACATCAATGATTTCTTTGTTTCTGTTTCTACACACATTGTTCGGGGAGATCGGAAGACGTTGTGCACGGTCACGATATTCGGCTGTGTGATAATTAGTCCAGCTGGTACGGAAAAGGGCAGAGACAAGGAAAATTCACATGAGAGAGTTTGAGAAGGATCTGGGATTCCCGCTGACTGCGTGGAACTTTCTCCTCCGGTGTTGTTTGACCTGAAGCTTGGTTGGAACCGAGCTTGCCAACTTCGAGGAATCGGTGGAACTTTCCTTCTCCGGATTCTGCAGGCGATTTGTCATGGGAGGACTTGACACGGACAATCTTACAAGCCAACTGCTTGCCGCTGGCTTTTTTGATAGCCACGTGGACGTTAGCAAAGGCACCGACGCCCAGCCTGCGTGGAGACACCTCATAGTCATCCTCGAATTCCTATTCACGTTATCAGAACTTCCTGTCAAATTCATCTGCTGATTCGATCATCTTTTTACTCACCCTCATCTCACTATTCTCAAGCTCGGTAAATCGAGGCTCAGGGCAGGGGTACCGTGCATGGAATTGGATGGTGGAACGCCCGGGTCCGATTGCAAGCAGATCGCCGTCACCAAGTAGCACGGTGCTCCCCTGCTCCATTGGAATCCCATTCCACCTGGTTCCGTTTCTGGAAACATCCTGTGCATAGACCATTGGAGGCACTGGTCCAGTAGGATCCCCTTCGTTGAAGAGGACAGTGTAGAATCGCAAATGGCAGTGCGATGCATAGACGTCGATGACATGCATGTGGCTGCAATCCTGTTAGAATTAAGCCTGACAAGGATGCTTCAGGTAGCGTGATGTACCATAGATGGCGGTCTCGGCCAGCCAAAATCTCAGTCTCGCTGTAGACTGGCTGTTCGCAGAACAGCTTGGTGGCCGAGTTCCTTAGAACCAAGGTGCCCACCACCATTCCTTCACCCCTCACCGGGGAGGAAGAGGAGGGCGACCGCGACCGGGGCCGCCGCGACATTTCGGCAGTTTATTGTACTGTCAGGGAGGGTGCTGAAAGATAAGGGGGGAAGGGAGGACGAAGTGAGGTGAGAGAAAAGAAAGAACTCGGTACCGGTTGATTACTTCGAGCCTCTGGAATGAAAGCTCGAGAGAACGAGGGGACACGAAAGAGAGTTGGCGATGCAGAAAGCAACAGGCGGCGAGTTGTGGGAAGAAAAAGAGGAGGCCAGGCTGCCACAGTGAATGGTTTGGCTGGCGACGACCGCCTCAAGCCCAGCATGTGACTCGAGACTACCCTAAGGTGATATTATGAAAGCAAAGGCAGGCGGCTCCCAAGGGTTTGTATCACTGGATTTCATTGCTCATAATTGTTCCTGTACAGATCTATTTTCTTATGCTAATCAATGCTGGACGCCGATTGACGAAGGCATAAAAATCGTGCTCAATTACCCTGCATCCTCCGAAAGCGCTCTTCAGCAGCTCTCGCCCGTCGTTCTCGCTCTAATCGCATTCGCATCTCTGGTGTCATGCCTCGAGTCTCCTCTTCGCGTTTCTCTGCGGCGGTCTTTTCCACTGTTGCTCCAAGCGTCCGACCACCTTTGCTGGTCCTCTGATGGGCTTCTCGTTCGGCATCTTCTTTCTTAAGGCGTTCCAGGTCAGCCTTGCGACGCTTACTCTCTTCCTCCTCGGCATCCCTGCGCTCTCGCTCGGCGCGACTATCAGCATCTGCTTTAGACACAGCCGACGGGACCTTGGCGGCATTCCAATCCCATTTCGATTCACCCAGCCCATGTCGAGAAACACGGAAAGCGTCACGCGTCGGACGGTCACCAGCTAATTCGAATGGGGTACGTCCCTCGTTGTTGATAGAGGTTGGATCTGCTCCGGCCTTTGTCAAGAGTGCGGCAACAACAGCAGGGGCGTTCGAGTTTGCGGCAAGATGGAGAGGGGTCGGACAACGGAAGTTCTGAGGTGAGTCGGCAGGCGTGAATGTGAACGAAGAAGGAATGGAGTTGTTTGAGATATAGGACATCAGGGCAGGGACCTTGGAGCGGCGAATGAGAGCTTGAATTTGCGAGGTATGCAACAAAGCCTCTTCCTCCTCCTTGGACAGCTTCGGCTTTTGCGGCTGCGGACGTGGCGTTGATGGTTTTGAATCTTCCTTCTTCTTGGCCTCGGCAGCTGCAGCGGCAGCAAGTGCAGCTTCGTCAATTTCACTGACCTTGATACGGGTCAGCTCCTTGAAGCATCGCATAAGCTCCCCCTGCGTTGCTCTTCGGGTGTTGAAAGGGAACCCTCTCAGCCGAGGATCATTCTGCTTGAGTACATGATTGTCATATTTCTCGAAAAGAATCCTCTTGTTTGTCTTGCCCGTAGCTCGGACAAACAGCAACTCAGCGGTATCAATCATCTCCTTCCAATCCGCTAGCAGATCGCGAACGTCTTTTTCTAGAGCTGCTTCATTGTAGCGACGCAGACTAGAACCGGCCGAATGGGCAGCACCTCGCGATGCATCACTGGCAGATTGAGATCCACCCTGCTTGCGTCGGGTAGTATACCGGTGGAAGGTCTTGTGTGCAATCACTCGAGCTTGTCTTTCTTCAACGCCTCCTTGCTTGCGATGAAGCTCCGGGGCGAGTGATACCAACATAGCGGCAAAATGGCCACCACCAATCATGCACATGAACATGTGGGGACTCGAATCCGAAGGGCTTTGTTGGGCCTGGGCGTTGTTCGTTCGCGCCTTGACGGGGGCTAATTGTTTTCTCCGTAGTGTTTCCACCAAGTGACCCGGCTCATCCTGTTCCACGTCCGAAAAGATTGCCCGGTACACTCCCAATGACTTGTTCGAGGGGATACCGGAGCTCGACAGCCAGAACAGTGGCTGCTTGGCTGTCCCGCCTTTCACGGTGGTCGCCTCCTCGTTTGGCTCGGCGAGCTTGGCCTGTCGCTTCAGCAACGCAGTGAGTGTTGTGTCGGCATCCCCCTCGGCTTCTTCCTCTTCAGACTCTGACGATTCCGATCCGGATATAGACTCATCAAGTTCCCCGATCGCTTTGATGAATTGAGCCTCGTCCAGTGGTGTGTTGCCCCGCAGTTGGGCCTTCAAGTTATATCGATGCTGATCGGATCGGACATGGCTGCGCTGCTCTTCGACATTACGGTAGGCGACATTGCATAGGGAGCATGATGTCGAAGTTGCGATCGCAGACTCCTGCGCCGCGAGTTCAAGGTCTTGGGGTGTTGATTCGGGCGTCTGTTCGGCGACTGCTTCATTCGCATTTTTCGCGGTCAAGGTCGCGAGAAGCTCCTGCGGAAGATCATAGACTGCGCGAGTCAGCGAGAGAAAAGGAGATCGCGGTTGCAGAATCGCTCACCATAGAGAGGTCTCTTGAGGAGCTCCTCGATCCGAGAATCACTGGCAGCCATGGCTGGTGAGGTGCAGAATGTCGGAATGCTTGAGCCCCTCCAATGACGCCGGTGGTCTTACTGCCGGGCGGCATCGCTGGTTTTATGCGCCGCAGTGGGGCGGCGCTCTTCCAAGACATCACAGCCTCTTTGACTCATCGTGTGTCAATCCTCGTTTTACGAGGCTGCGTCAGAATTTATCGTGCAAGTTCAGCTACGTTGAATGACTAATAGGGCTATTACACATGCCATCTAAATGAGGCTCTTCATATTCATGCATGGCGACCGTATGGTTCCAGGAATCACTGGATGGCGAGCCAGAGTACAAATATTCTCTTAATTCGGCGTCATTTTGATGCGGTATGAAAGTCGGACTATCTACGACACATTAACGGCACTTGCTTTATTCAAATGTCTGAGTCAAACGTTTATCGGGAACTCCATTAAGCATGCCTTGTCAGACTTGCGCGTGTCTTCGGACCCACACTTCCTTGTCATTACTCGAGGACCTGCCATCAGGTACAGATGAAGGATCCCGCAGATCGATATCCCACAAACTCAACTTGTGTGGGCCACGGTCGCCCTTTCCAGTGAAGAGGTCAAACTTCCAGCCATGTCTAAAGCACCGGATTCCAGCACCAATATCTTCAATGTCGAAAACATTGCCTTGCTTAAGCGGAAACGAGGAATGCGGGCATTGCTGAGCTACGTTAGCTTGGAACCAGAAGACCACGAGTAGTTATTGCAGGCATACATTGTCAATGGCATGCAGGAACCCCTTGTACTTGAAAACAAGCACTTGATCATCTAGATCTGATAACCGATTCGCCCGGCTTTTCTCAGGGTCTTCTGTTTTGGGGATACTTTTGATCGTACATCCAGGCAAGACTCGGCATTTTTCCTCCAGGCCAATATCTGGGAATGAAGATACCCGGCCAACTAGATGCCATTCATCTGATTTTGCTGTCTCCTTCGATACTTCCATGGTGGGTGTATAGAAGGTTGCGCTCAAGACCATCGGGTATTAGTACCCCGGATCGGCGAATGCTTAATTCTATAGCCGTTCCGATCGGTCACGATTTTCCGGATGGCGAAAACAAGACCCCCGGCCGTGAGAAAGTGTTGTGAAAGATGAGTATTTCGACGATGATACGCGAAAGCTGAGACACATGATATTCAAAGGCGTCATAATTTATCTGATCCACATTACAAGCTAGAAATGCAATTCTCAATCGACGATGGGCAGCCCGTCACTATCGCCTGGGAATCGTGACTATCAAATACATTGATCAAAGTAAAACACATCGCACCTTGCTGCAAAAGACATGTGCGTGCAGCCAATGGGGTGATGAGAAAGACAAGAGGCTTCGGACTTTGTCACGTCACTTCGGATTGTAATTGTGTTCCGAAGCGTCCTCATTAGGAACTGTCAGTTCTGCAATGAAGGTTTTAGAATCCATCTCGTCTGTCACCGTATTGGTATCGCTCCCCGGCGCCTCTGCCATACTATGTGATAGCTCGTTCGCTTCAACTTCAGTGGGAGGAACTGGTTGCTGCTCCTTTTCCAACGCAGCTGAGCGGTCTTGTCTCCCGGAAAGGACTCATAGCCATCTCCCACGAATCCCCTTGAGACCGTCTGGCTTCTGTTGACGTTTCTTCTTGCGAAGGTAGGAAATGATGACTGTAGCGGTGATAGCAGCACCACCAATCAAGCCTCCGACAACTCCACCAGCAATGGCCCTTGTGGACGCCGATGAACTGGCTCTGCCTGAGCCTTCGCTGGTATGGGTGGCTTTGCTCGATGAAGAGGCAATTACTCCTGCCAAGGCCTTTGCCACTGAAGACGATACTTCGTAGGATGAAGAGTATGACCTGAGAGCATCGTCTCCAATCGTCATAGTGTAGAGAACCGAGGCATAAGTCATTATCAGGCCATTGTAGTGCACCAGCATCAGCTAATTCGCGCTCGAAACTAGGTAAGTACTTTTCAAATGGCTGATTCATCTTCTGCTTGAGTGTGTATAATAGTTGAATCGCCCTCGCTTCCACATTCGGGTTCCCATAGATTCGGTTAAGATACGTGAGCAAATCTTCTGGGGTTCCGTTTGTTCGTCGTTCTCTCGTGAAGGTGGTCGTGTTCTTTAGTGCCATTTTTTCAAATCGTGAATAGATATAGGCACATTGATCCAATGGGGAGGTAAAACATGTACCATCCACTCGCAGTTTATTTTCCATCTGCATCTGCCATGCAGGCCATTCGCTGGTTGATCCTCCGAACATTTGTGGGTTCGGTAGGGTCGCCCTTGGTCGACTAGCAACGACCGGTTCGCTATTTCTGCTAGTTTTTGCTATTTCCGTTGTTTTCGATGTGAGGACCGGCGGTGTTGGTCGTTTCAAGTTCGGTTCGTGGGTGTTCCGACATCGATTCGCTAGGCGTACGCGCAAATCCGCGTGGCTACCCATTGCATGCGAGTTGCCTGTGATGCCGCTGAAAATGAGCTATGGCCAAACCATTACTGCGTTACACCATGCCGAGACATCTGTCGAGTATCTTGACCTAGAAGCCAATTTCCTCGTCCCGACATTGTACACTATCGGAATGCAAATGGCACGAAATCCCGACCGAAAGCGCATATTTAAGTTCATCGAAACGCTGAAGCAAAAAGGGTTTGCTGTTAACGATGAATTTCTAACTACCATTCAGAGAGTGTGGTCGCCAGCTGAAGACGCCAAAGAAATGAGATCGACAAATTGAAAGGCCACCAGTTCGCCTCGGGGTATCGCATCTTTGATGGCTGATTTAGTACATTTTGGCTCACAGGTGTTAAACGGGCTTACATGGCCCGGCCTGTGGGCCAAGCTGCGGGCCATGAACTAACCCAACCGAGAATAGAATGCGTATCGATTTCTAAGCCGCAAAATGCCGTTGCGATCTTACGCGCTGTTTTTTAATTCCGACCACATGAAATCATAAAGATGTAGTAATAGGTCGAGATGTCCATGTTTTCTTTGACTGATGCACACACGTAATTAATTGGCACATTGCGTCATCGCTGTCGCGCGGCAGCCACCAATTTCGCAGATTCTCGTTGGACAGTAGCGTTGGACAAGCATTTTAAGAACTGAGATGATCTGGGGAAATAGATCTAATGGTAAAAAGTACGTGTTTGTACTACCTGCTTGTCTAAGCATTGCTGGTGGTGGAAAGCTGAGGGCTGGTTTCGCAGATATACGGGCCCTCGAAGCACTGCAGGAAAGGCACACCATCCCAGTCGGCTTGTAAACTGCACCGTCTCCCTGCAACATCAATGCATGGATAATATAGCAAATTTGACCATTATTTGGAAGTTAAATCAAGCTCGAGCCCTAACAAGATACCTGAGAGCTTCGAGGCTATCCATTGCTCACAAATTTTCCAACTTATCTTGGCTCGTACGTGCTGACACAGTACGCAATGGACGCTCGGACATTCGGTCACTTTTATCGCCGAGTTCAGTCAATATCACGTGATCTCAGAAGTCGTATTCCGGTTGTAAATCAGTGAGTCACTGGACAAACATCCTAAGAAAACACATTACTAGATTAAATTAGTCAACTGTAATTGTGTGTAAGTACTCATTCGTAGGAAACCGTTTCTGGGGCACATCAAAAGCAATTCTCGCCTGCGCAGCTCCAGCGCATGTTACAACGCGGAGTGGGGACGAATCCAGTGAGTGGGGCCGCCCGGATTTGCGGAATTTGGAAAGCGTCAGAAGCTCGGATTTTACTAAGCAGACTGCAAAGCTCCCCGACACCGCCGTCCCCGTCTTCTTTGCTTGCCTGCGCAACCCAGAAGGACACACCAGTCCTGTTGCATGACAACAAGAATGTTAGATGGCAATTCCCAGGTGGTCCTGGGGGACTCCCATCCGGGGAATCACTCTCAGTCGCACCTAGAGTCGGCCTTCCGTCCCCGCCCCCAACATGCCTTCTGCAGCGATGCTGAGGGCTGGGGCCCCCTCGGTCCGCGTGGATTTCACCTTACTCCATGCTTCGTCGATGCGATCGTGGCCGCAACAGCCGTTTGGGGTGCGCTGGCTGGCGCCGGTGCGTTGTGGCTCTTGCTGAAGAAGCGCATCCCCCAACCCGTCTCGAAGAACTGGCACTTTTATGCCAAGCTGGTTTGTCGATCTTTCCCATAGCCTCGTCCATCAATGATGGCTATTGCTAACAGATCTTTCTTTTGCAGGTCGTTATCGCGTCGTTGATTTTCGTCACTGCCCTGCAGGCCGCTTTGCAAGCCGAAACCCAACCGAAAACCTTTTTTGCTGATTTCCGGTTCTGGTCTACGATCCTCACTTTGGCCTCGCAGGGTGTAATCTTTGCAGTGCAATACTACGAGCATTGGCGAAGCCGCCAGCCCAACGGTGTCGTCCTCTTCTACTGGCTATTTTTCCTTATCGCCAATGCCGTCAAGCTCCACTCGCTCGTCGATCGCAAGGACTATGTGGACCAGGTTCTATTCTTTGTCTGCGTCAACATCAGCCTGGGACTGGGATTGCTGGAATTCGTTCTGGAATATTTCGTTCCGAAGAAGCAGAGCGCTTATGACGCCCTGGGCGATGAAGACGAATGTCCCTACAACTATGCCGATATCTTCTCGGTCCTTACTTTCAGCTGGATGACGCCCATGATGAAGTTTGGTTATCAGAACTATCTCACTCAGGACGATTTGTGGAATCTGCGTCGTCGCGATACCACCCGTTCCACACTCGATGACCTGAGCCAGGCATGGGAGCAGGAGCTCGAAAAGAAGAAGCCGTCCTTGTGGATTGCCCTCTTCAAGGCCTTTGGCGGACCATACCTTCGTGGTTCGATCATCAAATCGGGAAGCGATATCCTCGCTTTTGTTCAGCCGCAGCTGCTGCGCTACCTTATCGCCTTCATCGACTCATACCGTTCTCCGGACCCGCAGCCTGTGATCAGGGGTGTTGTCATTGCTTTGGCCATGTTTGTCGTGTCGGTGTGCCAGACCAGCTGTCTTCATCAGTATTTCCAGCGCGCCTTCGATACCGGAATGCGCGTGAAGTCGTCTTTAACTGCTCTGATCTACTCCAAGGCACTCCGCCTTTCTTGCGAGGGCCGTTTGTCGAAGACCACTGGAGATATTGTCAACCATATGGCTGTCGACCAGCAACGTCTTTCTGATCTGACTCAATTTGGCACGCAGCTCTTATCTGCTCCGTTCCAGATCACTCTCTGCATGGTATCTCTCTACCAGCTCCTGGGCCCTAGTATGTTCGCCGGTGTGGGTGTCATGATTCTTATGATTCCTCTTAACGGCGTCATCGCCCGCATGATGAAGAAGCTCCAGATCACTCAGATGAAAAACAAAGACTCGCGTACGCGTCTGATGACCGAGATTCTGAACAACATCAAGAGCATCAAGCTCTATGCTTGGAACACAGCATTCATGAATAAGCTCAGTCATATCAGAAACGATCTTGAACTGAACACGCTCCGGAAAATCGGTGCGACGCAGTCCATCGCGAACTTCACCTGGCAATCTACTCCGTTCCTTGTCTCCTGCTCGACCTTCACTGTCTTCGTCTTGACTAGCGACAAGCCCCTGACGACCGAAATCGTTTTCCCTGCCTTAACTCTCTTCAACCTACTCACATTCCCTCTGTCGATCCTTCCCATGGTTATTACCTCTGTCATTGAATCATCCGTGGCTGTGAAACGCCTGATGGAATACTTTACGGCAGAGGAACTGCAAACCGAATCTGTGGTTTTCCAGGACCCCGTGGAACACGTCGGCGACGAGTCCGTACGCGTTCGTGATGCCTCATGGACCTGGAACCGTTACACTGGAGTCCCTGTTCTCGAGAATATCGACCTGAGCGCCCGCAAGGGAGAGCTGAGCTGCATTGTTGGCCGTGTTGGTTCTGGCAAGTCTTCTCTACTCCAGGCACTTCTCGGCGAACTCTGGAAGAACCATGGTGAAGTTGTTATGCGGGGCCGTGTCGCATATGTCGCTCAGGCACCTTGGGTAATGAACGCCAGTGTTCGTGAGAACATTGTTTTTGGTCACCGATGGGACCCTGACTTCTACGATCTCACAGTTGAAGCCTGCGCTCTTCTCGACGACTTCAAGATAATGCCTGACGGAGATCAGACTGAAGTTGGAGAGCGTGGTATTTCCCTGTCCGGAGGACAAAAGGCACGTTTGACTCTTGCCAGAGCAGTGTACGCTCGTGCGGATGTCTACCTTCTTGACGACGTTCTCTCGGCCGTCGACCAGCATGTCGGACGCCATATCATAAACAAGGTTCTTGGCAGCTCTGGTATCCTGAGCGGCAAAACCAGGATCCTTGCCACCAATGCTATCACAGTTCTCAAGGAGGCCGACTTCATCGGTCTTTTGCGTGACAAGACCATCATTGAGAAGGGCACATACGAACAACTAATGGCAATGAAGGGCGAGATCTTCAACCTTGTCAAGACAAACCTGGCTGACTCGGACGACGAGCGCTCTGAGGAATCTGACGATGGCCTAGCCAGCCCCGGTAACTCTGATTCCACCGCTGTGATTGGAAACGATGAGGATACCGATAGCGAAGAGCTAGAGCAGCCAGGATCCCTTGTGCCCATTAAGAGTGGACGCAGCCCTCAGCGGAAGACTAGCCATGTCACTTTGCGCCGAGCTAGCACTGCGACCTGGCAGGGTCCTCGTCGTAAGTTGGGAGACGAAGAGAATATGCTGAAGAGCAAACAGACCCAGGAAAGCACACAGCAGGGTAAAGTCAAGTGGAGCGTCTACGGAGAATACGCCAAAAACAGCAATATTGGAGCAGTCACCTTCTACCTGCTCGCCCTTGTGGCTGCGCAGACTGCTCAAGTGCTTGGCAACTTCTGGCTCAAGAGCTGGACTGAACACAACGAGGAGAATGGCTCTAACGACAGTGTTGGAAAGTTCATCGGTATCTACCTCGCATTCGGACTGGGTTCTTCGCTCCTAGTCATCATGCAGAATCTGATTCTTTGGATCTTCTGCTCTATTGAGGCATCGCGTAAACTCCACGAGCGGATGGCCTTCGCCATTTTCCGTTCTCCCATGAACTTCTTCGAGACTACGCCTTCTGGTCGTATCCTGAACAGATTCTCCAGCGATATTTACCGTGTTGATGAGGTCCTTGCCCGTACCTTCAATATGCTGTTTGCCAACTCTGCTCGTGCTATTTTCACCATGGTTGTCATTGGAACCGCGACACCTGCTTTCCTGTTCTTTGTTATTCCCCTTCTCTGGGTCTATCTCAGCTACCAGAAGTACTACTTGCGAACCTCTCGTGAGTTGAAACGGCTGGACAGTGTCACCCGCAGTCCCATCTATGCCCATTTCCAGGAATCTCTCGGTGGTATCTCGACTATTCGTGCATACCGACAAGAGAACCGGTTTGCCCTCGAGAACGAGTGGCGCATGGATGCCAATCTGCGCGCCTACTTCCCGTCTATCAGCGCGAACCGCTGGCTTGCGGTGAGGTTGGAATTCATCGGTTCTGTTATCATTCTGGCATCCGCGGGACTTGCCATTGTCTCTGTTTCGACTGGCAGCGGTCTGTCAGCGGGTATGGCTGGTCTGGCCATGTCCTATGCCCTTCAAATCACCCAGTCCCTGAACTGGATTGTTCGCCAGACTGTCGAGGTCGAGACCAACATTGTGTCCGTTGAGCGAGTGCTCGAGTATGCCAACCTTCCCAGCGAGGCGCCTGAGGTCATCTTCAAGCGTCGTCCTGCCATCGGCTGGCCTGCCCAGGGGGCCGTTTCCTTCAAGAACTACAGCACTCGTTACCGTGAGGGTCTCGACTTGGTGTTGAAGGATATCAACCTCGACATCAAGCCCCATGAGAAGATCGGTGTCGTGGGTCGGACTGGTGCTGGAAAGAGTTCTCTTACTTTGGCTCTTTTCCGAATCATCGAGGCCGCCAATGGCAATATTAGGTATGACACTCCCTACCACATTCCCTCAACTTCACTGTTTTCCTAACTCGACTTCTAGCATTGATGGACTCGATGTGTCTACCATCGGCCTGTTCGACCTCCGTGGTCGTCTGGCTATTATTCCTCAGGACCCTGCAATGTTTGAGGGTACTCTGCGTGACAACCTGGACCCTCGCCACGTTCACGATGACACTGAGCTTTGGAGCGTCCTAGGTAAGCTAATCCCATCTAATCTTGCATCTAGTACAGAAACTGATCATCTTTTTGTAGACCACGCTAAACTCAAGGAACACGTCGCCGCGATGGACTGTCAACTCGACGCCCAGGTTCAAGAAGGTGGCTCGAACCTGAGCCAGGGCCAGCGTCAGCTGGTCTCGCTCGCCCGTGCCTTGCTGACACCCAGCAACATCCTGGTACTGGACGAGGCAACCGCGGCCGTGGACGTGGAGACAGACGCACTGCTCCAGCGCACTCTGCGCAGCAGCATCTTCCAGGATCGTACTATTATCACCATTGCGCACCGGATCAACACGATCATCGACTCCGATCGCATTGTGGTCCTGGATAAGGGTCGGGTCGCGGAATTCGACACTCCAGCTGAGCTGATCAAGAGTGGCGGACGCTTCTACGAGCTCGCCAAGGAGGCAGGTCTGCTGGACGGCGACGGTCTCGCCAGCTCCTCGCAATAATGTAATAGCCAATCGGCTATCAACTAGCACTGACTGAGTTCCCGCGTCATACGGCAGCATGCCTCCAGCCAGCAAGTTTGCGCCCATAGAGGCGTCAAGCCTCTGCAATTTGAGTGGCTCGGGGAATCCGGTCCTGCTCTGGTTTCCCTCGGGCCGATCGTTGGGTAAGTCTGGTTTCTGATTGTCCAATCCCACGCCGCCTGCATGGATCATGCCTTTACGCTGCTTGCCCTGGTCATTTCCAACTGCATCTGGGCGGCCCTGTTTGTGGCGCAGGTTGTCTGTGCATGGCGGTGGTGGCCAATGTGGCCAGTATGGAGAAGGGAGAAAAATCTTTTGAATGCAACATACCCCAGTCATCGCATTCCCAAACCCCCTTTGACAGCAGTACTCCGCACAAGTTTGCATCACCATGGACAAAAGTTTGTAATTTTTTACACAAATCAACCCTCTTCCTGCCCCTTCGTTCGTGCTCTGCCTCCTGTGTCTCGATTTTCTTGCGCCTCAATGCAACGCGATCGATGTGGAGCGATTGGTTTGCGCTGTCTGTGGTAACAAAGAAAAAAAAGTGCTTTGATATTTCCCTTTTCGGCCTCTACATCATCTCCTAGTATTTTTTTTTTTTCCAATTTATTGCTCTCCTTTGTTCTTGCGGCCGAGATTGCGGTCGTTGTACAGTGTTATTTTGCTTCGTTTCAGCTTTTTCCAAGGTTGTGCATCATGCACACGCACATACGCGAGATTAGAAAAGTTCGGAATGTCGGTGTCCGGAGGGGAACAACAGCAGAGCAATGTTAGCTTAGGGTAGTTTGCATATACAGAATGACATGGCTGCCTCCGGAGCCCAAGAACCAATTTTCAATGTGATTATTTGCATTAGCGCCGAGTCCAAACGTGGCGGTGACATATCGATATCAAAATTTTCATCTCTGCAGTGTCGAAGTGCTCGTCGGTGCTAAATATATTTGGGATTGGGGTGTAGCGGTGAGGACTCCTGCCAGTTGTCCGCCCGCCATGGCGTCTGCACTCAAACACATAGAAGCAATCACCAAGCACAGTGGTTTGAAATCTCCTTCTTTTTGCTAGAGATGCTTTGGAATTGCTGGAAATTTGCAGCTGGAAATCTGAGCCGAGTTCGACGACATCCGCCTGCAGCAGTTACACGTAGTCCATTAGATAGTCGGACACGGGCTGACCGCCAGAACGTCCACGGTCCCACAGTGTTCATTGCAATTCGATTTCCCGAGGATAAGTAGCTAGATTCAAGATAAAATCGGGAAATTTTTCAATCAAGATATTAATGAATGTAGTCGCTTAGAATGGCTATGCTGGGTGGCTCAGCCTTTAGCTCTACGGGGATATCGGTGTTGCTGTACGCAATCAATAGTGGCAAACGCAGAACGGCCCACCCCTTGCTGGTGGCTCACGTATCCCCGTATCTGCGAGAGGAATTCTTCTCCATGTGGTGCGAGGATTACATAGAATTGCATATTCGATCCCGTATGTACTTTCTTTTGATGTGCATACAACAGCATTATGCTCGATATTATGGTCTATGCGGGATCCAGGAGAAGCACCTCGATGAACGATCATTTGCGATGCAGGTTGCAATTAACTTCGATATCCAGCCAACGGCGAATTCACCCGGATGTTCTTGGTCGAATGCAATCGGACATCCCCTTCTAGGTGACACAAATTCTGGACTATCTCCATACATGGCTCTAACCCATCTCCTATAGGATGCTGGATCAATTCCCGTTACCTGGTGCTGCAGGCGTAACAGGATTATGAAGTGCAGTTGGCGGGCTTACTTGCATTGTTCCTGAGTCTGGACAATTACGAATGGGTGCTCGTCTCCACTTGCCCGAGAGACGAGTCAATATATCAGATCTCGCGTGGCACCAAAATGTCGCATGTCATATTGTTTTGCATGTTCCAGGGCTTATCGGATTGTTTTCCTGGGTTGCCACTGGGAGTCCCCTCCACAAACTCAACTCTCCTGCATTTCTGAGGAGGATGGACTGCAGAACTTCGTACTGGGTCGAAAGGTAGAAACACATCCTACATCCTACCCCATCTGTGCGACCAGGTGGGCCTCCATTAGCCCTGCTTCCTGGCGGATACATGCCCCGATCGCCTGGCAGGAGGTTCGTTTCAGCTATCGAAGATCCAGGCAAGGGGACCAGGCTGAAGGTCAGTGCTTAATGTCTCGGGGAATCATCGAGGCCGTCCACTGATCTTGGTGGATGGGTCTGGGTGCGCCGATGATCCAATCACAGGGATCAAAACTGGGATCCTGGTTGAAATCACAATATCAGCTTCTGTCATGTTCGGTCCCCAAAATCATAATCTGATGGCAGATCGATCTTGCATACACACGACTAGGGTCCCTGCAACGATCCTGGACCGGTGCGAGGCTTTGGAGAATAAAATATCACTGTATTTGCGACGGCGGGGGAGATCAGTTGACGGCGAGATCAGTTGACGGCCTCTCGCAAATCCCTAACCCCTCTGCTAATCTCACTGCCGAGCATATCCGAATAGATGGGCGTTTCTCATTGTGCATTCTGTACTCTTTTCCTCCTCTTCCCTCTCTCCCTCTTGATTTTGTAGCTGTGTGGCGGGCTGTCCTGTACAGTGCTTGTGCGACGTCGCACAATTCACTTTCGCTGTACATGAAGGACCGGAAATCCCGACACAGGACGGTGCTCTCCACCTTGCTCTCTAGCTGCAGGAGCAAAGAGTGGTTCCTTCTGTAGAGTTCTTTGTGTCTGCAGAGGAGGACAGAAAGCAGGATCGTGACGCAGCCACAGCGGGGGTCCGTGAATCCTCCTCATGGCGAATTAGCTGGAGCCCAGTACATGGGGCCCAGGCCAACCAGCCTCACGATATTTCCCCTCGCGATCGACTGCCTCAATTGCCCTGACAGTAGATACCAGTAGGCTCGATGTTGTACAGCGTTTGCAGATACATCCTTCAGCAGCACCCGTCATGATCTGCATGGGTCTCGGGCCCAGGGACGGGGACAAGGCTTGCAGGAGCCCCGGGTACGAAGCTCCAATTTCTGCAATCCCAGCACTGTGGGATCCATTCCTCAACCCTGCCCTTGCACCCGCTAGAACACTACAATAGGTATGGGAGGAGGGGCTCACACCAGAGGGGGGCCGCTTTTGGTTTCTCTCTTTTCTAGCTGCATATCCGGATGCATATGATCCGCGATGAGAACCAGGACTTCGGATCCAGATCCAGGAAAACGACGCTTAGGCCTCATGAGGGGCACGAAAATCAAGGTTGGGTCTGTGGCTTTTCTTTTGCTCCTCTCTGTTCCTCCACCTTGGCGTGGGACTTTTTCCTACTGGATGCCGGAGTGCCTTGCATCGGGGAATTGGGAATTCGATCTCAACTGCAGGCGCGATTTTATCTCCCGCGTGGGCGAGTTGCCCTTCACGAACGGTGGGTGTGTGTCATGAAGGCACGTAGTATATTCTGTGGGGCTCGGTGGGCGCTGTGGATACGCAACAGGCTGGTGATGTTCCTTTTATCCCTGAAGAATTTGTATATCCTTAGTAGGCATCGCTAGGAAATCTTTTCCGGGCCAGTCTGAGTAGTGTATTCGGCATGACCATGGGGTATTTTGAATGGGTTCGCACGAATGCCCGGTCATTTCATCTCCAGCCACCGATCGCTCGCGTGGGTCGGGCCTCCCCGGCCAAGTGGACACTAGAGTCCGTAGTGTCGGGGCTGGGAACAGCCATGACGAATGGGCTTGGAAGCCAGCTCTGCCCCTTCCCGTCTGCCTTCCCTTGCTCCCAGCTTTGAATTTAGGAATGGAGGGCATTTCGGGACGGTCATTGGTTTCCAAGAAGTGTTTGTATGATTCAAGGATCTAGACGAGATCCAAGTGAACTGGCAGCACAATGGCATTGTTTCAGCCACGATTTCTCCTCCAGGTCGGCTGCACCCTTCGATCGGGACCAGGCGCGAAGATCTCAGGGACGATCTCGTCCGCTGTTTCGAGCAATTTGTCCGTGGTTGCAGGCGTGAAGGCTGGAGTGCAGTGCATCTCTGAGCCAGCTTTTCCAGCTCTGCCAGTAGGAAAATTGTGTCAGGTGCGGTGAAAGCGCGATTAGCTCTGGGAGTGGATGGTGCCTGCTTCATGGTGGGTTTTAGAGCAGTGAACGGAGCGAAAAATATGCATGGCATGGCGACATCATCCAGCGTGGTGGGTTCTCTCCGGGAAGGAGGAAGCTTTTGATGAAGGTGGTCCGTTTGGGACAAGAGATTGGACGCCGCCACGGGGAACTTTTTAGCGTTGGGGAGAGTTTGCACCATCGCCGCATGGAGGACTAGAGCATGGACTGTGCGATGGATTGGGGCTGGTGATTGGCCGGTCAATGGACTTTTTGTCCAGACGAGATGCGAGGATCAGTGGTGTATCCGTGCTGGGGGATCTCTGGCGCCCCGAGGCTGTGGGTGGGCGCGGGTCTAAGGCTGGTATCCAGGTAACTGGGACGCAGATCCTGCGTCCTGGTTCTCTTCTCCCCGTTTGGCTTGTTCTCCTCCATAGCCTGCTCCACCGGGTTCTCCCAGGATCTCAGCTGTATCCCGACAGACTGTTAGCGGTTGCCTCTGCCGAGTCTATCCCGCTAGCTCTGAGAAACTCGTCCATGTCGGTGGCACCTGCGAGGCTCTATAGCTATCGAAGCCTTCGATCACGAAGCATCGCTCCATGTGTCCTCACACATGGCGCTGCGCAGCATGTCCATGTGGACAAGGGCGCACAGGGCTCTTGAATGAGCGAAGCAAGGGCGATGTTCACATTGCGGAGCGAGGCCGATCCCAAGGCCCAGGCCCACCACCAGCAGCGAAGTGGAGCGGCGTCATGGTGCAGCAGTGGTGGCATCAAAAGGGCAAAAAAGGGCCGCTCATTTCGTACTTTGTGAGAGGGCGTAAAGTTGGCGCAAGGACCAGGTGTCATGTTCCACGCGGGCGGGCTCTGGGCGTTCTTCCCCTTTCCTACTCCCGAATACACGGCACCATTTGATTAACGTCTGTTCGCGTGAGGCGAGCCCCAGCGTCCCATTGGCATATCAAGCTGCAAAGCGCTTAGACGGGATACACGAGAAGATGGGCCTGTGACCTGGTGGTACGGGCCAAGGCCAAGGGAGAAGGTCGCATCCTTCGCACTGCTCGCTCGATCCGGAAGACAAAAGGACCGCCATTACGTACGGGGCCATTGTCGAAAAGTATACCAGAGTACTAAGGTACAAGTTACGAGGTGATACCGACCCAAGGCCAGAGATAGTAGCTGGTCGAGGCGGCGCCTGCGATCCTTTCATTCAATATACCTGCACGTCCGAACAATGGGGACCACCTGCAGTAGGGCTGCCCCAAGAATGGGGAACCCTAGTCGGCTACCTGTGGCTTGTTGGGTACCTACCTATGAGGCCGTGAGTACTACTCAATACCGTAGAACCCTAAGCTATGGATGTACTCCAGCGCCCGTCATCTATGTAGGTACCAGTAGTCGTGTCAAGTCCGACACTGGTTCGCGGGCCGGGCCACTATGGAGTCGCTTGAATTATTTCCTGCAGTCTCACATTGCTTTTTCCTCTCCAGTCTTGCTGTTCTCCTTTCTCGGACATCGGTCGCGGAAAGGAGGCCTGTTTTGCATTGGCATTGGCTGCTTCACTGCAAAATCTTCCTCGCTCGTAGTCTGCTTTAGGACCATGCTCGCCCGCCAGACTCCAAACTAGTGGTTTCCAGTACTTCTGGAGATGATCCAGGCCTCCAATGTGGTCCATTTATCCTCGTATTGGATACGATGGTCCTGCTCGAGGGGAAGGAAATGAGAGAATCGCTTGATGAAACCTGAGACGAACAGACGAACCTGAGCTCCCCTGCAAGTGTCTCAAGACGGACGAGATTCTAGCAGCGGTCCTGCGATCCCCGATGATTGCCAGGACCCTCTTGCTGGGTTCCGGTGGAGCGCCATGCGGGCGGTTTGACAGCGCTAGCGTCGCCGGACCGAAATCCGCGGGCCGGTGGCTTCTGGGGAGGCTTCGCGTCGTCGCCTCTGACCCTATCCTTCCTCGTGAGTGGACCCCGCCTCCCGAGGATCTGAGATATTCATTGGATATGCAAAAGTACTGCATATCCATTGCCCATCCCAGACCAGCCCAGCTGACCATGAACCACCCCGTCAAATCACTCTGGCGCCAGGACGGCGGGCCCCGCGGAGCGACAACCCTAGGCTTGTATGGCGTCGTCCAGCTCGAGGTCGGCCCGATCATGGCTCGATCGCTACGCATCATTGATCGATCGTGCGTGCGGCGCCCCGGTTCTGCATGCTCCGGTGCGTTAGTCAACAAGCCCCTCTGCCAGTCCGGTCTGCGTGTCCCGAGAAATCAAATAGAGTACGGCAAACGATCATCCGGATATTCGTCAAGGATACGAGACGGAGCTAGTCGTCTGCCTCCTGCCTCGTCCCCTATCTTAAGGATGATTCCATTCAGGATCGGTTGCCTCCACTCTTTTTCGCAGCAGTACACTAAGTACCTTTGTCGAGTGCTCCCCTATGCACACGGAAACGACGGCCTCGATTGCGAACAGACGTCCATCCCTTTGTCCAGGCCTCTGATTTGAGTTGCCCCCTTCCTTCGATCGATACGAAGTCATCTGGCCACGCAATCGGGGGCCGTAGTCTATTGTTCTGTGAAAGTGTATCCTGAGGCTACACGGTGTGAGGTCTAGGGCGGTACTTTGTGTTGTTTATACTCGTTCGGCGGTGAGCATCAGCCCGCCATCACGCACCGCCGTTTCCACTCTGGCATTTTCAATGCACACTGCAACGGGCACAGACAGGACGCTTCTGCAGATCAAGGAGGAATGACAATCCGCTCTTCTGATCCAATCCAATCCCCTCCATCGCACACCCACCATCGCAATCAGCCGGGTGGGGACGTAGCAAGAACGACAATCTCATCTCCCGCCCCCACACCCCCCTCAGTGCTCGTCCGCTGTCACAGTCAGTACCCCGGCCAAGCCAGCGCCTCACCATGACAGTTTCAGTGTGATTGCATCACCATCGACCGAACATCTCCGGGCTTCCAGTCGATTTCTCGATCGGGCGGCAAAGGCGGTCTCGACCAAACCATTCTGGGTTGGTCACTGAGATAGCGTGAGATTCAGAGAACAAGACCAGCATCACGTTTGCCCAACACGGCTCTTCTTCCAACTCAATCACCAGTCACCAGACCTCTGAGACCGCCAAGCCTGTCACTCCCTCACTATCTTGTCATTCAGACATTCACCCCTGGTCCGAGACAAACCGGACGACGCCTGGGGCGGTGGCTGACTTTGGGGGGAGGGGGACCGAGATCGTCCACCATCAGGCATGTCAGCAGGACCGGGGGCTTGGTTTGACAGGGCCCCTCCCTGCACTTTAATGTCCCGATGGCCGATGGGCATCTAGGCTCGATGGTAGGCTCGAGGACAAGTGTGGCGGTGGTCGACGCCAGCTGAAGTCGCGGCAAGTTCACAGACCCGGGCCTGTATGCGGGAGGTGCATATTGTGTCTTGAGGGAGTACATACGAAGTACATACGAGGGACAGAGGATGGCCTGCTGCGACTACGTGCTGTACAGACTGTGCCACGTTGTGGCTGAACTGTCTGAGCGTTGCAGACACCAGCGACGATGATTGGCAGAGCGAGCGAGACCAAGACCGGGAGCCTAGGCCCGTCCACGTCTGCACTTCGACTGTCCTAATAATATTCTTCATAGGCGGACGACGCGCTGCGGTTGGATCTACTCCAATGATCGTCGGTTTTTCGGCTGCCCGTTGGCGGCCCCTTTTCTCGCCAATATGACATTTCAACGGGCAGGCCGATTTCGCATTGCTGATGGATGGTGGGGGGCGAAAATAACCGGGAAAAGCAAAAACAACCCCCAAAAGAAAAAATAAAAAGAAAAGAAAAAAAAAAGAAAAAGAAAGAAAAAGAAATTGGCAATCGCCCTCCACCACTGACCACTCGGGGCACAGAACGGTCGCAGGTCTGCGGGGACCGCAAACAATGACTCCGAAACCAACCCCTTGCGACTGGCAGTGGGGTGGACTCGCGGCGTCAAGCCGTCGCCGTTAGTGTGGTTGACATCGGGGGGGTTCAATATTGAGGGCTATGACAAATAGGAACGAGGAGCAACGAAGTACCTGACCGTCCTTGAAGAGCCCGAAACGGGGCAGACGACGAACTGCCTCGAAAGAGGAAGAAGTGCGGTCGTTGCCATTGGTCTGGCGGGCACCCTAGGCGATATGCCCGAGTGATATGATGATTGCACTTTCCAATTTGACAGTGTCCAAGCTCTGGATGCAGAAGGACGGAGGCGGTGGACTTGATGGAGGCTACACCAACAACGACGCCCACCGGCACAGGCGATCATGGTGGGCAGCGGGCAGGCCTCGTATACAGCAGCGTGGCGGGCCATAGTGGGCGCTAGAACTCGCAGCCGCGAGCTAATAATGGGCGCGGAAGAGGGTGTTGGGGAAGGGCCGATGGGGCGCGGATGCAGATGGACAGAAACGATAATTGTCATATCAGGTAGATGAAGGGACTCTTAAAAATTGGAAGGATCCAACGATGCGCAGGTGCGGATTGTTTGCGCCGGGCTGCATCTCATACTTGATCTGGCGCAGCACTCGATCAGTGGCAAGATCTTCTTCAGTGTCTGAATTTGAAGTCAGTATTGACTCCATTCTACTGTATGTGCATGTTGGTTGAGTTTGAAGTACAGTAGCTCAGGAGCTACTGGAGCCACCATCGATGGTCCTTTGCCTAGTACTTCCTGTGCTACTCTGTTGCTTTACATTGTACCCTAGGGTATCTACTAATCCTTAGTTGCTTAGGGGAACTCAAATAGTTGCCTCGGGTCCCAGGAGTCCGTCACGGCGCGAATCCCGGGAGATGGACGCACTGACAGGAGCTTGGATCGATGTTCCCTTTCTTTGGGCCCGACATCCACTTGGGCGACTAATCTAGTGTTAGTCTCTAGTGTCAGACTCTTAGTACTCGAGTGTTAGTATGGTAGTACTGCTACTGTTGGGGGGCTAAGGTACTTCAGAGAAGCAGTCAGATACGAGCGTGGGGGGCGCTGGGTTCGCCAGTGGGCACAACAGAGAAAAGTACGGCGCTTAACCCCGGCGGGTATAATTACTCGACCCATTTTGCGACCGGAGGGCCATCCCCGGTGATCACACACGTCCCTTGGCGAAAACCTCTTTGTCTGCCTCGTCTCGATTCGTGCTAGCCCTACTAGCCTAGGGTATGAGGTATTAGGGTATACCAGTACCAGATGTCAAGCTTGGTAGCATTCCGCGGCTATGCCCTTCGGCCGTACCTTTTTGCCCTAATTTTACTCGGACGTATTTTTGTATCTCCCATTTTCTTCGTGAAGGCCTAGGCTGATGAAGATAGAGGGTCTGATCTCAGGGGCGTCCAGCTTCAGCCACGAACCCATTACGTCGACGAACCCTCCTGTCGCGAAGTCCGCTACGAACCCCGCGGGTCTTGTCAGGAGGATCTACCAACACCCTGACGAGTGAAGGGCCAATGTGGACGGCGTAAAAAATTAGAAAGATGGAGTTCCCAGGATCCAGGATGTTGGGCCACGCACAAGCCGCACCTTGATAGGTTCGTAGAAAACATAGCCCGACAGCAGACAGCAGTGTCAACCCCCGAGACGGGCTTCGCATTGGCCGAGCGGCCCCTGCAACTAGTACGTTAGTCGTGTCGGGGCAGCACACCCCAAGATCCGACGATCGAGCACGGCCTTTTTGGCGTCCCGTCAGAGCGGGCGAGGGGCAGTCGAGTACCTGGGCTGTCAGCTAGAGGAAGAGGCAGCGGGATATCGAAAGTAGCTTACCCGCGGGAACCCGACTTGAGGGTAAAGTATAGAGTTAATCGGATGCCCTCGGCCCTAGCGAGACCCCCCAAAGCAGAGAGATGCACAATGATCGCGCACAGAGCGGAAGCTCCGAAGCTGAGCCGATCTGCATTGTGCTGGGCCCCGACGCAAGGCCTGTGCGGTTCTCTGACGAACGCGGTCCTGACAGCTGGTGTGACCCGGTTTGATACAGCACGCTTGACATCAAGATCTAACCCTCCGGTACTTTCGAGAGGTACAAGAGGTATTCGGGGCAGGTACTGGTGGGTAGCCGTGCCCCTCACGACTAGGAGTCACACCTCGACACTCACTACGACATTACCAGTACTAACAGTCAAACAAAGAAACCCTGGGTCGCGTGGATCCGCGCGGTTTAACCCGCCGTCAACAAGGGAGCAAGTGGGCGCGAAACCGTTTTGACCTCCCCGTTGAATCTACTCTCAATACCCTTTCGCCAGAGCGAGCACACACAATGCGAGTCGAACACTGTCAAGGCAAGATGATCGTTCGCGGACATTTGGAATTGACAGCGCCTTGGACGAGTGGGGAGAACAACAGCATAGGCAGATCGATAATCGACAGCGCCACGCTGTTTTGGGGTGCTCCGACGCTAAGGCGGGGCTGTCAATTAATTCATTAATTAAAGAATAAAAAAAATTCGATTTTTTTGATAATAAATCAAATAAAAAAATCCCAAAAATCCGCGATCTACAAATAGTAGGACAGGGATCCCGAATCGGGACAGGGACTTTTGGACCCGCGCTAACAGCAACTAAAGCACTGGAACTGCACTACGCCAATCTGCATGCTGCATAGCGCGATCAGAGAGAAGCTGCCGGGGATCCCCCGGCTTGTTCATCCTGCCCAGGATTATCCCTCCTCGATGTGGCACAGTATGGCCACCGCGTTATTCGCAGGTACTTCGTACTTTGTTCCCAACCCCAATTCGCCTGGACCGCTGAAATAGCCACTCTTCCCCAGGCCTGCGCTTTTTTCTCGAGTAGATGCCCAGGATTTAAACCTCCTCCCTCCCCTCTTGCAATTCATCAGTCTGTCAATTCTTGGGTTCATTCTCTTCAACCGACCCCACCGCAACCCGTTGTCGACCTACTACTACGACAACTAGTAGTATACTACGGGTCCAAGTCTAAGCTTCAACCCACCCGGTCCAGATATTGCCTACACAACCGGCCCATCCCCGTCTGTGTCACCCGTCCACCTTACAGCATTCGTCCGGGGAACTCGTTACGCCTGCTCTAGTTCCTGCATTCGCCCACTCGGCGGTTGCCAGCAGCAACTGGTTTCTGTTCGACCTGCAGTCTTCCCTCGCATTCCAGGCGAACCATTGGAATATCATCGGCCTCCACCGCTCGTCTTCGATCGTCGACTACTGTATGTATATCCCTGCTCGTCACCTCGAGGATAGTTCCGTTTCCAATAAGCGTGACTGCGATCCGCCAGCGGGATGTCATCCAGTTGTTCGCCCCGCCGGGGGCACACGCACTGGAGAACGACCGTTGGCCATCGGCACGCTGTCAGTGACCGCATTGGGAAGCGGATGGACCCCATACGGGCTCTCGCTCTGAGCAAAGCAGGAAACTGACAGACTTGCTCCACCAGCACAATCTAGAGCTGTTCCGGGCCTGTCAAGCGGTGTCTTCGATTCTATAAGAAGGACTATCCCGATCTCTTGACGCTCTCGGGCACAAGCTTAACCCCACACCGCACTATTTACAAGAATTCCAATACAACTTCAACACGGAATCACTGGTCTCGATTCGCCCGCAAGAACAGTGCCTTCCTGCGCATCCCGTGCCACAACCACGGTCGAGCGTCCAATCTTCACTTCACCATGGTCTATCACCACAAACCCAATCCTTCCTCTGGCGCCATGAAGCGCTCTGCTTCCGCCATGGAAGGACCTCCCGGCTGGGACGTGGCTCCTGTGAGTTAGGAACTACACAACACGCCCTGGATTTTGATCTAGATTTTGGTCCTAACAACCGCAGCCTATGATGGCTATCCGCCCGCCTCGTCACACGGCCAACCCGTTGAACCTTCCCTTCGCCCACTACGCCCTTATCTACCTTGACAAGGATGGTAAGGTGAAGACTGAGGAGTCCGCTTCGATGGAGGACAACTATTCCTACCGCAGCACTTTCACTGCTGAAGTTCGCGAGAGATTTCTTGATATGATTGATGAGAGCGAGCGCATTCAAGGCCGCCAGCCTATTTCCCGACGTATGCCTACCTTGCAATGCTTTGCTTTGTATTATACCCTAAGAACTCGACACTAACCAACTCAACAGCATCCCCGCGTCGTGTTCGACGCCGCCGCGACAACATCCCAGTTTCGGCCTCGGCCTCTTTCACTGAGGACCACGCTGCTGAAGACTCTGACAGCGATGACATCTCCCCTGGTGGCCGTGAAACCACCGCGCTCCGCATTGGAGACACTCAGAAGATCATCAACTACTACGAAGGTGCTCTTAAGCACTTCCAGCAACTGAACTGCCGCATGGTGGCCAAGGCCTTCATCAAGTTCATTGAGCCTCGCAAGCAAGTGCGACACCCATACAACGGCGGCAAGCCTCCTGCCGGGTCTGCACCTGGTACCACTGGCGACCCCGAAAAGACTAAGCCTGAGTGGTGGCCCCCGGGTGTTATGCACAAGGAGCCTGATCACTTGCGCAAGGAGTGTATGTTTTCTTTCTCCTCTCTCTGATTGCCACTTGCTAATCGCACTAGACCGTATTGAACTTCTACTTCACATTATTCGCAAGCTTGGCCACTACCACATCACTGCTGATAAGCTTAAGGAGGTCGCTGGCGACACAAAGCGGAGCTTGAAGCACCCCTCGCACATCGGAATAATCTTCGAGATTCTTCGGGTCCGCAAGATGGAAGAGCGCTATGAGCGCGGTGAGGTTGATGGTAACACTCTGGTCTATGTTGAGAATCGTGGACCCAGCCCCAAGGGGGATGGTGACGGTGACGAGGAGGAAGACTCGGGCGATGTTCCTGCCCTGCCTGCCAATTTCGATGCTGCTGAGCGGATCGAGGAGGGCCTTTTGACCCCAAGCTCCACTGTTGAACAGGCCCCTGCCACTCTGACCACCCCTATCGACAACATGCCAGTGGGTATGCCTCCTCGCTCTTTGCCAGGAGGCTTCTCCCTTGGTGAGCCTCTGACCTTCGAAGGCCGGCAAGATCGCCACTTCTACGCCACCCCGCCTCAATACACCGACTCCTTCTCGCAAGGCATGCTCAGCACTCCAATCGCGACTGAGATGCTCAGTCCTCACGAGGTCCCTGTTTTTGACTACCCCCAGAACGGCTTCCCAAGCTCAACACCGGATCAGCCCCGCGGTCCTGGTTATGATTCCTGGTCGACGCCTTCATTCCGTCAGAACATCTTCGGTCCTGTCGACTACAAGGTGGATTACAGTGCGCCGCCCTCTTCGCAGCCGCTGCCCCATACATCCATGCCCTACGGTATGCCAATGGCTCCGCCTCACATGCACGAGATGTCTCCTCATGCCCAGTCGCCTGTGGACCCGGCCACTGGACGGGCTCTGCCTTTCCGCACTGGCTCGCTGGGTCACCCACATGGCCTGCCTCCTGTTACTCTTTCTCACTCTGTCTGATTCAATCGACCGGTCGGGCTGGTCCCGGGTTGATATGGATGGTTTGTTGAAGGATATTAATGGGTTTTGATGACTTAAACGACTGAATGGCTCTGATTATCATACCATGCATACCATGTGAAAGCGCACTCTATACAAGGTGGTTTTGCGCGGGTGTTTATTACTTGTTGGTCTCTTGGAGTTGGTTCTGCGTTCCTCATTGATGTTTCTTCTGTGAATCAAAAAAGGTCGGTATCGCTAAGATGGTTGGTGCCTGCAGACTTGGGTTAAAATGCTGTTTTGCTTCTTATTCCTGAAAATACTTTGGGTTCTGGTTCTGCTTTTACTGTTGGTTGTTTTATCTTCCGGTTGCTCTTTTACGCTTTGGATTTTGGGACCTTTTACATATTTTTGCCCTTCTTCACTCTCGCTAATACTCGTTGCTTACCTCTGCTCATAGCTTTTGTACATGCTTCTTTTTGTTCCCTGTGCATCTTTGGGGCTTTGTTTATAAACACGATATCTGGTAGATAGTGGATCGAAATGATGTCAATCGATCCTTTTCCAGGAAAATACCACGAAGTCGCTTGCTTCCTTTGATATCGTCCTCGTGCAATTTAACAGAGCATGCAACACTCTAATTAGAAATTCCTCCTTGTGATGATGAACCTCAATCATGTCTTCCCTTCGTGCGGATAGGGACTAGCGCTTCCGCGCGGCTAATAGTGGAGCCGCGTCCGAGTCTTAGGAGCTCGAGAGGATGCAGGCGCGATCACATTCATCTTCATCTCCCACCTCACCCAACCCATCACCGCCTCCAAATCGTTGCCGTGTTGCACATCGTTAAAACACAATCGCAGCAGCCATTTTTCACTGCCCAGAGAGGGCAACGCCGCCTTCTTTGCCACATCTTCTCACCGTCTTCACCTTTGCTCACCCGTCACCACCCTGAACATCAACCCCATCGCGCGCTTTACGACTCCCTTCACGAAACCACGAATTTGATGACCCCAGAGGCTCATTACTAGCCTTAGCATCTCAAACTCGGCTATTCGATAAGGTATATCGCCAACATCCCGTGTGACTCGTGCCCCGCGAACCCATCTGCGACCGGTCTCCCCGATCTGAAGCCGATTCTTCATTTATGTCGCATGGGCTTTTTACGCGCAGATATAATGCGCAGCAACAATATGCAACATGCACTAACTATTAGGACGCCGCTCCGGCGGACGGTTCGGTCGAACAGCTTGATATTTTCCTTAATCAACCCCGAAATCCGAGCCCAACTGTCGAAACCCCGATCGCGCATTGTACTCCGAAGGAATTTTAGGCTGGGAGGAACGTGAAGTGGCCGGAGGTGGTGCGCCCTCCCATTCGCTGGTTGACAAGAGGTTGACTGTGAATCAGATGGCCACCACGTTCAACCCGTTTGGCGGCGTCGGCCGTGGCCAGCGAGGCGGACAGACCGGTACCGGCTCGACAGGTCGTGGTCGAGGAGCGCATTCGGCGCGCGGCACGTCTTCATTTCCTCCAAGAGGAGCAAGCAATTCTCGGGGGGCCAAATACCGCGGTCGAGGCCGTGGTGCAGGTGCGAACGCAAGTCGTGGTCGTGGTGCAGGCACCACAGGTGCACACCAGTCGACTGCCTCGGGATTGCAAGCGAATACCCCCCCGCACACCAATTCACCGTTCGGCCAATTTCAAAAGAAACAGTCGCCCTGGTCCACTTTCGGCCAACCGAGCCAAGCCGCCAACATCAACTCGCCATTTGCCGCTTCCGCTCACAATACCAATTTTGGCAAACAAGGAGCGCAGAAACATTACCTGACTTCGTCGGAGAGGAGGAAGCAAGCCGCCGGTCAACCCGTACCTGTGGAGGACAGCTCTGCTATGGCAGAATATGCAGAACGATACGAACAGGTCAGCTCATCCTCAAATGGTTTCACGGTCAACTTCAAGACATGGACAACTGACTGACCATTCGTATAGTTGAAACTCGATCGTGACCGCCAGAGGAAGCAAGCCATCAAAGATGGCCACATGGCTGATCCTAATCAGCCTACTTCTCTCAAACAAGCAATTACCCCGGTGGGTACTTGCGAAGACATGTGCCCCGAATTCGAAATGGTCCAGCGGATTGTGCAAAAGATGGTGGATAAGAGTGAAAAGGTATGCAAATCTTCGTTAATTGATTTAAGCAATTCTGACTTCCTTTTAGTACCTCCACCCGTCGACCGGTGCTCTTCAAAACATGGAGGGGAAAATGCTGAAGCGTTTCCGACGATCGGCTGCTGGCTACGATGAGCAACTTCCGTCTGACATTCGAACACCCAAGGCTCTTCTGCAGTCAACGAATTATCTCATTCGATATGTTCTCGATGGACCCGAGCCGCTGGGTCTCATTCACAAGTTCGTCTGGGATCGGACTCGGTCCATCCGCAATGACTTTTCTGTCCAACAGGTTACCAACGTGAGCGATGTTAAGATCGCAGTGACCTGCTTGGAGCGGATTGCCCGTTTCCATATCGTTGCGCTCCATCTCCTCTCGAGCCCAGCGAACGAGGAGCCGTTTGACAGTCATCAGGAGCGTGAGCAGCTGAACAACACCATGCTCTCCCTGATGTACTACTATGACGACAACCGAGGCCGTATCATGTTTCCCAACGAGGCTGAATTCCGCGCCTACTACATCATTTTCTCAATCCACGACCAGCGGCCCGATCTCGAGGCGCGTGTGCAGAGGTGGCCTGTTTATCTAGTGAGGTCTCCTCCAGTCCAAGTGGCCTTGGAACTCTATGCTGCTTCCTGCAACACGTGGCAACTTCAGGGCACTCTCGATGCACGTCGACCGAACGCAGTCGCTCAGGGATTCTATCAGCGGTTTTTCAACATCGTCAATTCCCCCGGTGTCTCGTATCTCATGGGCTGTGTTGCAGAAATCTATTTCAACTATGTCCGGCAAACAACCATTCGGGACATCTGGAGGGCCTACTGTCGAATGCCGCTGTCCCAGCAGCACAAGAACGACGAATGGACCCTGGATGAGCTGACGCGGGTGTTGCATTTCGATGACGATGCCGAGACCATCTTGTTTATCGAGGAACAAGGCCTCGAATTTGCTCGTGATGAAGAAGGGAGGCAATATGTGAATTGGGGCCAACGCCATATTGACTCAGTGGGTAAGTTCATCTCACCTCCCTCGTCCCTGTCTTGACATTTGTCGCGCTACCCCATAATCAATACCAATTACTAAACTTCTCTCAGCGTTTTCTCCATCCTCGGGTCATGCCTATTCCGAAACTTGCGTTGAGAACAAGCGCGTGGGCAGAAGCTTGGTTGCCATTATCCTAGGCATGTCCATTCGCGAAGCGGCGAGAATGGGAATGGTGGATCAATCTTTACTCCCACAACGCCCGAGTAAGACTCCAGAGGACACTGGACTTGAGGAAGAGGGTACGACTGCCATGGAAGGTATTTCTGCCTGGCAGGAAGTTCAGCAGCCTGCACCGACATCCAACCCCTTCCAAAATCAGACCCTTCCATCCTTCGCAACCCCCCGACTTCCATACTTCCAAATCAGACAGCTGGAACTGAAACTACCTCGATTCCAAACCCCTTCGGAACCGCACAACCTCCTAATTCGTTTGCTTCAACGTTCGGCGCACCCTCGCAAGCTTCGGTCGCGCCCACCCCCGCGCCGGCTCCCGCTGCTTCAAATCCATTTGCTGCAGCACCGGCCTCGACAATGACCAACCCATTCGGTATGTCCGTTACTTTTGTACCACCGGCACTGGCTACGACTAACCCGTTTGCCATGGCCAAAGACTCGAAGGCTGCAGCTGCGGCTCAGCCTCCAAACCCTTTCTCTTTCCTCAAGCCGGCCGGCACTGCACCGGAGACCCAAACCGAGCCCAAAGCAGCAAAACCGGCTACCGAAGCACCGAAGCCACTGTTCGCCACCCCGGTTATGTCTAATCCATTCGGTGTTACGAAAGACTCGCAAACGGTTGGTCCCGCTCAGCCGTCGGCTTCACCCTTTACTTCCCCCAAACCGGCCGAGAAAACTCCCGATACCCAAACCGAGGGTAAACCAGCCGTGTCGGCCACCAAAGCGCCGAAGTCGCTTTTCTCGACAGCCAGTGGATCGAACCCGTTTGCTTTTGCTCCGCCGTCGCAGACTGCTAGTCAGCCTGCTTCCACACCTTCTGCTTTGCCACAGTCGACATCCATCTTCGCGAACAGCGACGCGGGCAACACCGATGGGCAAAGGACCCCGGCACCTAATCCCTCCGCTTCTCTCTTCGCCGGTCCCAATTCTTCGGACTCGACTCCCTCTGGTCCTGACAATGTCACTCAGCCATCCTCCCAACCTGCAACATCCCTCTTCACACCCGCCAAATCCCCACTTCCGGCGACAGAGACAAAGGAGCCAGCCACGGCAACGACGAACGCTGCACCTGAATCCGCCCGTCCAGCTTCTGTATTTCCGGCAACTTCTCAACCTGCTCCTGCGAATCCTTTCAGCTTCCTGGCACCAAATACCACCCCTCAGCCCCTTCAGCTATCCTCTTCAATTGGACCTGGAATCAGCTCGAGCAATGAGTCTTCCAGCATTTTCGATAATGTTAAGCCTGCAGGCTTCAATGGCTTCAAGAAGCCCTCGATGTATGAAGCCCCACAGGGTTCAAGCAATGAAAAATCAGCCCCCCAGGCAACTTCGGCATTGGCTTTCGACTTTTCAAAGTCGGTTCCTGCGAAACCCCTGCCTCAACCAAGTCTGTTTGCACCTGCCTCAACCGGACCTTCGCCTTTTGCGCCGTCGGCTTTCTCGGCGCCCGAGCCCTTGTTCCCGCCTGTCAATGCTTCTGCGGGGCCCACTACGGATCAGAAAACCCAGGTGCTCGGAAGAGAAAAGCCAGCATTGCCCAAGCAACCTGAGCCTATCCAACCTCAGGCAGTGGCCACGATCGACAATGACGGAAACAAAGTACCGAAGACACAGCCCACCACGGCTCCGAAGCTGACCGAGCCAGCTCAAACATTGACCCACAAACACAGATCGCAGGAAGAGCCCCTTCAGCTGCCCTCTGCCCCTCAATCTCACAAGAGAACCCCTGATGAGTCGACTGTGACCGCCAGCTCTAATGCTCTCGAGGCTTCGAGCTCTAGCGAGTCCTCCGCTCCGGTTACGAAATGGTCGGTTGCTGAATACTATGCCAAAGAGCTGCCAAAACTCCCTTGCTTGCAACGTGCTCAGGAGGTGATTGATCGCCACCGACGAATTAAGCAAGCACCTGCAGCCGAGAACAAACCCCGGCGCGAATTTGAAATTGACGAGCACGAGTTCTTAGCTACTCAAGCCCGCATTGCTGCTGAGAACTTCCGCAATCGACCTGGCATGTTCGACCCGCCAACGCCCGAGGAGCTTCGACGCTGGAACTCCCCCGAATTCGGTAAACCCAAGTCCAAGTCTGTCAGCAGCTCCAGCTACAACCCGACGTCGCTTTTGTACCTGCAGCCCAAGGCCCGCACTCCGGTAAGTGAAACCCCGAAACGTCCATTGTACGGTTCGCTGTCGTACGGCGCCGAGATGTGCCGGTCTTATCGTGACCCGATCGAGAAGCTGACCTGCCGTATGAACAAGGGCATGAATATCGTGAAGCGCTACAAGGCAAGCGAGTTTTCCAAGCCTAGCCAGTATCTTCCGCCTGCCCTGTCTCCCGCATCTCACGGATACGAGGTAGCGCATGCCCCGGATGTCGCCGAGGGCTTGGGTCGAAGCATGTCTGCTTCCGAGCGCCGAATTCGCGCGACTGGCGCCCACGGACTAGCCTACAAGCCTCTGGACTTCTCGCGCGCGAAAAAGCGCAAGGCAGACCAACAGAAGGATAAGGGGAGCAAGAAGGAGCGCAAGGACGACGAGAAGGAGAGAGAGTGAGATATTGGGGGGTGGGGGGAAGGACGATGTTTGGGGGGCGCTTATCTTGTCATGACGCAGAAGTTTATTTGGAGTTTTGAAGTGGTCCGCATTTTTACCAGGAGTTACAAAGGTTCTGTACAATATTTTTTCTATCTTGTGGGCAGAAGTTGAAGGTTACCGTTGGATACATTCATCTTCGTCTATCATGCGCACACTTGCACATTTACCTGGTGTTAGGGCGACCATAAATTTAGTCAATACCCCATTTATTTTAAATATTCAATTGATGGTCCATCAAGTATCTTAGTACCTTTTTGCCATTTTCAATCGCGTAAAAAGTTTCTCTCTAGATACTTTGTTCACGCTTGGCGTACGCGGATGTTGTTGTCGGGCAGCGGCGATCCTCTGTCTCAGTCAGCAATCCGAGGTTCCGCACTCTGCTCAATGCTTCTTCACCACGCGCTACAGCATCACAATCTCCCTGCGAAACGCATGTCCGAGTCTCTATTCAAATCTCGCTCACTATTATTTCATCGCTCAATCACCTCACTCGGAGAAAGATTGACGCCTCGTGGTATCTGCCGGCGCCATTCTGGCCGCTACAGCTCTCAGCTGCGTCCGCCTCGGACCTAGGACACAAGCGCTTCGACGCCGCGCGACAAACAGGTCGCTATTGGATATTTGCTCAAACCACCTGTCTTCAAGACAAGAATTATCCCGGAGCAGAGAATTTTGCAGGATAAGAGGGTTTTCAAGCTCAACACGCGCAAAAATGAGAATTGCTACGCTACAAATCGCCCCGAAACTGGGTGATGTGGATGGGAACATCCGACGCGCAAATGAGCTGCTCAAGAATGGCAAGGCCGTTTCCATTGGTGGACAGGATCTAGGGATTGGGATTGGAGCGGAGCAGTTGAGACCGGAGCTTTTGGTCTTGCCTGAGATGGCCTTGACAGGTACGTTTCGAGATGAGTGCAGGGGAAGGAAAGGCTGAAGCGCACTGCGTGCACGGCTGGCTGCTTCTGCTTTATCGTGCTGTTACTATTTCTCATTGTTTTGTGTGACTTGAGACATCTTTGCTCACTGTTTCAGGTTACAATTTCCCCTCATTAGAGGCGGTAAAACCCTTCCTTGAGCCCGTCGGCAAAGGCCCCAGCGCTGCATGGGCACGCGAAACGGCGCAACGCCTCCAATGCAAAGTCTGCGTGGGATACCCTGAGATCGAGAACGATGAGTTGAGTCAAGACATAAGATTTTACAACTCGCTCGTGGTCGTCGATGAGAACGGCGACGTCATCCACAACTACCGCAAGAGCTATCTGTATTTTACCGATGAGACCTGGGCTGCAGAGGGGGATGTGGAGCGGGGATTTCGCGAGCTCTGCTTTCCCTCTCAGGGTAAGTTTGAAAAGGGACAAGGGTCGGTGTCTACTGCCGATCATGCAGATGCAAGTGATACCCCCCGACATGCATCCGAGAAGCGGGTCGCCGCCACTTTTGGCATCTGCATGGATATCAACCCCTACAAATTCGAAGCGCCATATACAGCATATGAATTTGCCAACCGAGTCCTCGACTCCAAGACGCAGCTGGTCGTTTTGTCCATGGCGTGGTTGACGCATATGAGTCGGGAAGAGCTGGATGGACTACATGGCGAGCCGGATCTGGATACATTGAACTACTGGATTCAGCGGTTCTGGCCGCTGATCGAGAAGAAGATGCAACATGCGGAGAATGTGGACGGGCCCGATCTGGAAGGAGACGGGACCGCCAAGCACGAGCACAAGAAAGGAAAGCAGGTGGTGATCGTCTTTGCCAATCGCTCCGGGGAAGAACCCGCGGCAGATGATGAGAAGCCACCCGCACGTTATGCGGGGACGAGCACCGTCATTGCTGTGACGCAGCGGCCTCGAGGGGGTTCGGATGGGTCAGGTGTTGGGGGCGCGGTGGAGATCGACGAGGGCCGCGACTTTGATGTGAAGATCCTCTGCTGGGATCTGCTGGGCGCGGGGGAAGAAGGCATCTGTTTCGCGGATACCACGGCAGATCCGAAAATGGTGTTTGGATTGAGGAGCAAGTCGCGCGGGGAGTGAGACATTTCTCTACGTACTCAGGTACTGTAAGGAGGGGCACGTTGATGAGGGGTGGAGAAGGCGTCTGGTATGGTTGCCTGTGGTTTGCATTTATGTCTTGAAACGACGACCACGCGGTTTGGGTACTACTTATCTTTGGGCACATCCAACTTGAGGGTGGCCAAGGAGGCCCTAGAAAGACCCCTGGGCAGATATCAGTTTCATATTTCTTACTCTAGGTCAAATGGTTTTTTCTCCATGCTCGTTCTGTGGAGAGGCCTGGCCGGGATCCATCGATGCCGACTACCCGCACAGCCCGGGGATCTAACGGGCCCGATGATCGTGATCGCATGGGAGATCGTCGAGGTCTGCAGAATGTCCACCTTATTTCATCGATAAAGTCTCATGACCGGGTGATCGCAGACTGCCCGGGTGCAACCCTAGCGCGAGTTTTCTACTAGTAGGGTGGAGGAGGATTCTCATGTGATAAAGACATGATCAACGAGGTGATGGGGAAGAGGGCGTATTGTTGCATTTGAATGGAAGATATTGTTCATGGTCCAGATGTGTGGGTTTGGTAGTTGTACGGGAGTGGTAATTGTATGACTGTTCTCTAGATATAACTCGACGGGAGTCTGAAGTATAGAATGTATATACACCTCGACGCGCAAATCCAGCGAAGGCCGCCAAGCCGCTGATGGAGGGTGGCCCGTGCATTCACGTGATTCTGCGGCTGCGGGAGGCCCGCCAATCAGACGGCAGAATGGCAGAGTGTGCTGAGGGGCACGGGATCCGGGCACATGATTGCTGCAATAGATGTCGACTCGAGCAGGATTCCTGATGGGCCTCCGAAGAGAACGGAGATAAATTATTGGAGTAAAATGACACAAGGCCGCCTATTTCGGACTGTAATTGGGATGTGCAACGGGCCAAAATTATATAGAATACGTGAAAGGACGTGGCGGACGGCGGTCCAGGCTCGCGGAACAGAGGGACGGTCAGGTGACATTCCTTCACCTCTGGTCGCTACGGCCGCCCCCAGCGCACCTCACTCCTCCTTCCACGTGAGCAGTCCCTCTCGACGCCGTCGCTCGACACCCTCAAGAACATCCCTTTTGCGTGAAAAATTTCCTGCTTAGACCTCATTACCGAGTCCATCGCGCTCGCCATTTTCGCTTCCCTCATATTCTTTCCCCCTCTTTTTTGGGGCATCTATTTCGAAGTTCCGATATCGCGAACAACGTGACCTCGTCTTGTTGTCGTCCGTGGCAGGTGACTTCCTGTCAGGTGATAAAGAGATCATCCAAGGTAACGACTCCATCGGCCCCTTCAGCTCCCTCCCCCATGTCCAAAATTCATGTCGTGTCGATGCTGTCGCGATGCGATCGCCATCGCACCATCATGAGCCTGTCCCCCCTTTCCCCCTCCTCGCCGGTCGCATCGGTCGTTGGCCATGACGCGCCTCTGATGTCTACGCGCCGCGCCGCGAAGGCCTGAGGAGCTTGTCGAGGAGCTTGAGCAATGTCTTAGATAGCCTAAGCTCTGCGCATCCCCTGAGCAGCTGCCCAAGGATATCCCACAGGCAGGAGACTGCTTGGGGCCTCTGGCCCGGGTGGGAAGAGCCAGTCTTAGTGGGCGCGCCCGGCTTCACGCGTTTCCCTGTTTACCCCAAGGGAGACCGTCGATCTTACCGAGGAAGGGTCCAACCTACCATCCCATACATTCATCGTCGGGCACACTTCACTTACACTCTCCCACATCGGACACCGCTTTCGTGTTTTCACTTTTGCCCATCTTTGTTTCCCCGTCGATGACTAACCCTCTTGCCTGGCCAGAACCATCGCGACTATTATGTCCGACCCCACCATGAACAGCCCCGACGGTGCTCACAAGCGCAAGCGTGAGGGATCTGAAGACCTTGGCCACGACGCCCAACGCATGAACCGCTCGTCTCACGGCAGCAACGGCAGCATGGGTCCCGACAACCAGCACAACTTCCACAACCTCAACTATGACCATGGCCTCCCCAACACCGGCTCTGAGTTGAACATCGACCAGCAAATCTTGCAGCATGTTGGTCCCCAGAACGGCATGTCCGATGACAACGCTCTCACCGCGAACGCGAAGGCTGCCCTCGCTGCCCACAACACTCCTCAACACAAGTACCCGCCTCCTCCTGACTCTGCTTTCGATGCGAACAACTTGACCCAGGGTCTGAGCTTCCCTGATGATATGGGCCAAGGCCCGATGCCTGGCGCCCACAACCACAACTCCACCGCTGCTGCTGTGTATGCTGCCCGTGAGGCCCAGAGCATGAACTCGAAGCCCACCGTCGGTTCCCCGGAGTGGCACCAGATCCGCAAGAACAACCACAAAGAGGGTACGTTACATTTTCATCTGTCCCTATGATTCGTCGTATACTAAATAATGTTCTCAACAGTTGAACGCCGCCGCCGCGAGGCCATCAACGAGGGTATCAATCAGATCGCCCGTGTTGTCCCCAACTGCGACAAGAACAAGGGTGCCATCCTGCAGCGCGCCCTCGAGTACATTTGCCAGCTCCAGGAGGAAAAGAAGAACATCGACGAGCGGTTTGAGCAACACAGCTTGACTACCAACCACGCCCTGTCGGAGATCAGCGCCTCAAACCAGAAGTTGAAGCTCGAGGTTAGCCGTCGCAACAACATTGCACAGAAGTGGCTGAACCGCTGCCGCGAGGCTGGCCTCGAGTTTGACGATTATGAGGAGGCCAAGGAGCTCGAGAGCTTCGACTTGGAGTAAGCCGATCCTCCGACGACCTTCGGCTGTGCACGTTTTACGACCGTCTATTCCTTTATTTTTCGACGGCCAATTTTTTCTGAACATACCCTCTCTTCGCGTCCCGGTCCTTTCTTCTTAGGGGTCGGATTTTCGATTATTCTTTCCCTTTTTACTTTCATCAATCACGGCTTTTTATGAACTGGCCATATTTATCTGCCCCGCTACGGTCATGCTTTAGTGATCTATGTCAACCTGGCTAACCATCGCAGACTCAGGTAAGAACACACTATAACCAAAGGTATATACCCGCCGGAGTTGCTAATTGTTTTATACAGTGGCGTAATCATTTTGCTTTATGGCTATTTTCTTATCATCACCCCTCTGTCTATTCCTGCTGTTTGTATGCTATTATGCTGAATTCTCTATCTTTATTTGTGGTTCACATCGTTACCTGGGATGGCTGGCGAATCGGGATCGGATGGGTTTCTGGTGCTGTCGGTAATCATGCAATTTCATTGGAATTTCAATTCCATATCATTATTACACTTCCACCTGTATATTTTTAGTGATGGCATGGTTGTATAAACAGAACGTTGTCAAGGCCGAAGCGTAGGTATGTCCATTGCAGGAAGGTAGAGTAGTTGCATTGATTTAGCCAGATGAGAAGTTGACATCTATCACATGTACAGGTGCATCTCATCGTTCCATTGCCAGTTTTGCGCCTAAGAAGCAAACTGCCTGTAGGCCTGGAGAACCGCCTCCCGGCCACATGAATGGTTATACTCGCTGGGATTGGACTGATCATCCAAGATCATGACATCGGCCTTACGAGTTCCAATCGAGTACCAGACCAAGTTCTCAGGACTATTAGCCACACGCATCATATTCGTTTGGCAAGATCCATCACACTGAGAACCATAGTCTCCATTCCATTCACCATTGAAGAACGCCCACGCCGCACTGTTATAAAGCAGGATATCCTTCCCGCCATCAACATTCGTGGCCAGAGAAGTCCGACACTTCTGATCCCGTCGTCACACCAAGCGAAATCGGGGTCACCGAGCGAAGATTCCGCAGTCCAGGGTGCAGGCGCTGTCTGCGTCGCACCATCACCCTGCATGTAAGGGTTTTCGGCCTGTAGCAGGCCGGCATAGACATTCTGAGCAGAGTGGAAGTTGTAGTTGTATAGCCAGTGATGCTCGGATCCAGTACCAGTAAGCCAGGTACCCTTTGTCGCTTCGAGAACATCACGGCCAGTCGAGATAATCGTCTTCGAAAATCCGCCGTCGAGGTTATGGTCAGCAGTCCAGCCCCAGAAGTTCTCGAGGTAGGCAGAGGATGACTCCGTCAGATGCGCCACCATGTACGCGGCCATGCACTTCGATGTATCCTGATTGTTGCAGTTGTCCTTGACACTTGTCTCAGTTGTCCCGCCAACAGTTACCATGGTGTTCCACAAGCCCACGTCGCCGGGGTTCTTGCCCGCGGCCTTAATATCCAGAATTGTCGCGCCGGGAAGGACCTCGCCGACGCTGAATCGCATGTCCTGGATCTCGATCACGCCTTCGTCGTTGGCTTCACCGACTTGCACGACTGGCTTGGGGATGGAGTCGTCTTTGAATGCGTCACCGGCGCCAGAAATCACCGCCCAGGCTTCGCCCAAGATGCGCGAGCCGATGGGGATCTTGAGTGTGTCCTTAAGGTGTAAACGCCGTAGGGGAAGTAGGTGATTTTGCAGTTGGCGGCGTTATCCTTAAGAATGGCGTTCAGCGAGTCGACGTCGTCGGTTGATCCGTCAAGCTCATGGTCACTTCACATTGAAAGGAGATTCATTAATTATCTGATGATATTGTACAATGTTTTCGGCCCCAATCCAGTATTGTAAGAGTGTATGAGCCTCGATCTAGTCAATTTTGTGCGTATATCGTCACAGCGCCGGAACAGCTGCCTCTTTGTTCTCGCCAGCCTTTTTCACACTTTTCCACTCCACGAAGAGACTCGCCACAAACGCAACAATCATGAGCGCCAGACTCACGCGGTACGAGTCTCTCAATCCGCTCATGTAGGCTTTGATAACGCCATCCAGCTGGTCCAATTTACCAAGGTCGCCGAGTACCTTGCGCATCTCAGTGGCGCCGGCGCCAACAATGGCAACAGGGTTCACATCAGTCGTGTACTTGGAGATCCCACTGATCAATCCGTTCTGGAAGACAGATTGACCCACGGCAATGAACAGAGCACCACCGAGAGTCTGGAAGAACATCACGGCCGCTGTGCCGACCGGGATATCCTCCGGTGCCAGGACGGTTTGAACGGCCGTCATGGGGACTTGGAATCCTGCACCCACGCCCGCTCCAACAACAATCTGGTATCCGATCCACTTGCCGGTGGAGATGTCGACATCAAACATGGTGATCAGGCCGGTTCCAATCGCGGCAATTGCGGTGCTGCCAATCAAGAATGGTGTGTAGTATCCGACAGCCGTGATCAAACCACCGAAGACAACGGAGGAAACGACGGTCGCTAACATCAGCGGCAGAAGCTGGATACCCGACTTCATTGCTGAAGATCCCTTGACACTCTGGAAGTAGATGGGCACGTAGTAGACCAGCAAGAAGAACGCGCCACCGAAGAACAGGGCGTACAATGAGGCCGCAGCGACAGTTCGTTTCTTCAAAATATGTGGTGGTAGCGTCGCTTTTTCTCCGAGATAGAGCTGCGAGGCGACGAAGAGAATAATCATCAGGCCGAAGCCGACAAATAGTCCGATAATGCGAGAATTGTTCCACGGGTATTTGTTTCCTCCCCACTGCAGGGCAAGCAGGAGACAAACGATCGCTGGAATGAGCAGACTGGCACCGATGAGATCCAGCTGCTTGATTCTGCTCAAAACAGAGGTTCCAGTGAACTCATTCTTGTTGGGCACGCGAAGGACCAGGAGAATAACGGCGATGGAAAGGCCGCCGATGGGCAGGTTAATATAGAAGCACCATCTCCATGTAATGCCATCTGTGAATGCGCCGCCAAGCAACGGTCCGGCGATGGAGGCAATGCCCCAGACCATACCAAATGCACCAAAGACGAGAGGTCTCTTTGGTAGCGGGACGGTGACGGCAATAATGACCATGGCGCCAGAGAAGATGCCCGCGACGCCAATGCCTGCAATGGCTCGTCCGACGATGAGGACAGTGCTTGATGGTGCGACAGCACAGATGAGAGAACCGATTTCGAAGATTAGAACTGCTACCAAGAATCCCCATTTGACCTAACAATCATTTAGCGATGAAAAGATGCGAGTCAGTGCTGGTGAGGCATACGCTGAATATCTTATAGATCCTGCCATAGGAAGGTTGCAGGGCAGTAGATGTCAAAAAGTATGCGCTGCCATACCACGCGATATCTGCGATGCTCTTAAATTGATCGGTGATTTTGGGAATGGCGACACCAATGATGGTCTGATCGAGTGCCACCAAGAAGACGGCTAGATATAGGGCGAGGATAATGATGATCACTTTTGAAAGTGCAGGATATTCTGGCTGGGGGTTTTCTTGCACTTCGATATCCTTTACGACTTTCTCTGGTGAACTTTCGACGCCCACGTCTGTGGTGCTGCTGGCGGGTGTCATAGTGGCTGATTCAACGCGATGAACCAAAAACCGATGAGTGCCAGGTCAGGTTGGTTGCCGAGATCTTTCAGGTTGTCCAGGGGTAGACCAAAGGGAACAAAAACCCTCCAACGACGCGATCGTCATGATCTTATAAAAGTCGCCTTCCACAGCTCGGGCATCGGCGTCAAACAGGCCGATGCCGACCAAAAAATGAGAAAACCCAGCGGAACAAACAAGAGCCTTGGATGGGCTTTGCGTAGCGCCCGCCAAATACGAGGTGGAAGTACACAACCGTCCAATCAGCGACTCGGCTGCGTCGGGATAGCCTCAAATCCTCTTCCCAGCACGAGACCAGCGCGACCATAGCGACCTGCGGTGACTCACCCGGACGAATACCCGGACGAAAAACATGACAGGTTTCGTGCAGCTCGGGCAGCCGTTGGCGATACCTGAGAAGGACAGCTCCGGGGGAAAACCCTGGTTGTAGCCTGCGGGCGCCTTACCCTTTCCCAGGGAGAACGCCAACTCGGGGCGTATATTGGGCCGGCCCCGTTCGAGTGGTGACCTTAAGGCCGGGATTAGTTGAACCATGCTTAAGTCCATTCCGACCCACCGCGTTCCATGCTTGTTTCGTGCTCAAAGCAGACCCTGAGTGACGGGCCCTGATGCGGTGTGAGTAAAATGTACCCAGAGGCTATGCAATGCCACGCGGGTCAACATCACATGGATTGAAATTAATCGATGTGATCGCCTTCAATCAGGTGCTGGCGGTCTTGGCGTCGTCAATGGGGTTTGTCGAGGTCATCGTATACTGTAGGATGTCGGGGAAAGCCGTTCGGGCTTTCGGCTGACCGTGACCTTGCTTTCCACGTGGTCTTCGCCCCGGTTCTTATTCAAGGGCCACGCATTGCTGGTCTTATGCTAGCACCGTAGTAGAGGCCGACAGCCAGACTTTGCAATTATTTTCCAGAGATTGGAGCGATTATTTTTCGTCGCATTGGTGAACTCACAATTTGCCCGCTTGGGCGACAGTGGTTCTCCATTGTCGCATTTGCTAGGCACAGCATATTGCCGGGCAATCTGGAATAGATTGGTCGTGGTCTCTTAGAATCATCAGACTTGCTCAGCTGTGTGATGACCGAATTTTTGTTGAATTATTGAAAATCCCGATTAGTGAACTTTTCTATGGTTGATTGTCACAATGTGAAGATTCCGATCGCTTTGGCCTCCAGCGTGACATAGACACTGCCCAGGCGAACTCGGAGCTTCTTTACTTCCGAAGCGATGACAAAGACAAAGGCAGCACTATCCAGCATGCATGTAATACAAAAAAGCTGAAATCCTCTACGTCAAATTTCCTTGTATAGATTGATCGTATTGGCTAGGCTCCGCAGGCTTAAACCTAGCTTCGAAGCTGATGCCTATTTTTCTACCTCTGAATCGATATGTATGACAAATGGCATACGAGCTTCCAACTACGGGCATATATCGCGAACCACTCAGAGATCGGCTCTCGTACGATGCCATTGAAGACAAACTCCACAATCTCGTATCTCAGGAACATGAAAATTTTAAGGAGATTGATGCTTCCACACCCCCTTTGTCTCAGACCACACCCCTGTCATGTCTTTGCTCAGATAATCCAGGACAAGAACATTGATCAAAGATGGTGCCAATTTCGACGCTAAATGCAACATCCAGTACATAAGTGTAGGTATGGCCTTGATAACCTAAAAACTTCATATACTCAGCCACCTACCCGGCCAGCTACCTTCAGTCACGTACATGATTAGCTGTCTGGCTAGCTGCTCTAGAGAGTGATGCGCTATGCCAACCTTACTGAATGGGCTTCGGACTAGAATATTTTCCCCCAATAGAGCAGAAAGGAAAGTGTTCATTTTCTACTCGAATTGCCAGGATACCCAACTGAAGATCTAGCATATACCTGAAAGGCGAGGGAACGGGTGTGGTCTGAGGCAGAAGGGGTGTAGTTGTATCAAGCCCAATTTCAAAGTATTTCAATTATAGAAGTAAATAATCTCGACTTTCCTATCCAACCTCCATCTTAGAGCGTGATGTAATTGACAATATACTCAACTCGTACATCACAAGTTCTTGCTAGCAGTAACCTCCGACCCAGAGTCACAGCCCACACTATTCACAACAACAGTATTCCCCGACTCCCCGGTAACACGCACATCAACAGTGCTACTACCAAATCCAGAGTCGTTCTCAAAGTAGTTATAGTAGGTACGGGTAGTGCTTTGCCAAGTACTGCCACCGTCGGTGCTAACCTCCAACTTGGTTACCGGCTCATTGGCATTGACAACCTGCATCGAAAACCAGTACTCGGACGTACCCTCCTTGTTCTTCAGCTTGAGCGGACCGTCAAGGTTGCAGGAGGTGTAGGACCAGGTGATGTCGATGACGCCGGTGGATAGAGCCGAGAGCTCGGAGAAGGCGTCTTGAAAGAGATCGAAGTGGCCGCTTGTGCAGGAAGGGCATTGGTCGACGATCTATCTATGTTAGGGGCTTTCCTTGCAACTTGCGTATGCTTTGTTATGTGGTTTGTCCGAACTCACCATTGCCTTGATGGTCTTGCCGTTCGGTCCGGTGACGGCAACGCAGGCACCGCACTTGGAGGCATCGTCCCAGGAGTCCACGGAGAGGGCAGTGCCAAAGAGGCTGCTGGGCAGGGTGTAGCCGGAGAAAGAGCAGGTGCCGCCGGCGACATTGCCGCCGTAGAAAGTGGCTTCACCGGAGGAACCGCCTGATGAGGATGGAGAGGAAGACGAAGATGAAGAGGAGCTAGAAGAGGAGGTTGCGGCCCCCTGGGCCGCGGTAGTGGTTTGTGAGGTGGTCGTCTCCTCGACAGCGGACGAGATAGTCGAGGCCACGGCGTGGACAACGGGAGTCTCAATGGATGAAGTGGTAGTCACGACAATGGATTGGGTAGTCTCGGTGACAGGAGCCCCAGATGTCGAGATCGGGGAAGAAGCCGAAGCAGCGGCATCGCCGACAGGAGTTTGCGTCTCGGTGACGGGAGTAGGTGTCGAGGGAGTGCTTGTAGCTTCCTCAGTCGCGATCGGTGTCGGGGTCGGCGTAATGGGCACGGAAATAGTGATGAGGGTCGGCGAGTAGCCCTTGGGACACACACCAGTGTCTCCACGCACAGCTAGAGGGCCAGCAGAGGCGTTGACTGCGCCGCCGAGAAGGGCAAGACCGACTGAAGCGAGACTTTGATACTTCATTGTCGATCGCGGTTGTCGTACGAATATAGGTAGGTAGATACCAGATTAAAATGAAGGGAAGGGCTATTGTGTAAAGATCGGACACAATGGCACCAGGAAGGAATGGCCGTTTGGATATCGAATCCCAAACTGTAGAACAGAACTGTCGCAGACAGGTGAGAATGGAAGAGAAAAGAGGAGAGCAGGGTAGATATAAGGAAAGACAACGTATAGATTGGATGGATCCAGGCCATCGCCTTAGGCGCTGACGGTGGGCACATTGTTTACAGCCACAGGGCTTTAGAGAAATGAGATCTCGAGACTTGAAACACGCGTGGAACTCGGCCGCCAGTGATGAGGCTCGGAGGAGATCCGAAAACGGTGCGCGCCGTGCCCGGCTCGGCTTAGCGGGTGCTGCTTAATCAAACGAGATTCAGAATCATCAAACGAGCGGGGTGCTACTGGGAACCTAAGCTGGTCTATTGGACGGTGCGATCCTGAAATGAAGTGTGAGGTTGTAAGTTTGGGGCCACACCTGCGGCCCCGACGGGCCCTGTTCTACATCAAAGACGAAAATCAACAGGTAAAAAACTGGGTTACATTACACGATCAACTAAACAACCGCGATTCTATCGCGCATCCCACATTACCTCGTTCAGGCGCAGTAGTGCATCGGCACTGGCCTTCTTGGATGACATGAAGTCCTCGCGACTCTCCGCACCTCGCGGACCACGCAGGACCTCTGAGAAACAAAGATCCACCAACACGCGCAATTCATCGTATGTGAACGGCTCCCCGTTGCCTGCTGCCAAGGCGCGATCCCCCTCGGCGGCGAACGCATCCTTTTCGTCCTTGGAGTAGTCTAGTGCCTTCTCGGCGCCCTCCAGGAACCAGTCCAGGAATTTGGCGCTGCGGGGCAGGGCCACAATTTCGTGGGAAACCCCTTCGATCGTGCTGGATGAATCAGCAGTCGGGTCAATGATGATGTTCTTCAGATTCTGCTGCAGAACAAGCACATCGAGTTGCAGGCGCAAGGCACCATTCTCGTTCATAGCTCCAATGTACTTCGTACAAGCAACAAACACCCGGTCAATGAACCGGGCCAGGCCGGATGTAATGAACCAGTGCTCGGAGGATCCGAGGTAGGTAGAGATATTGGTGTCAAAGGCAATTAAATCGCTGTTCAGCTCCAGGATTGTCGGAGAGGCCGCTGTTGGTTGATTCATAATGATATGCCACCAATTTTCGGTGGTACTCGGGGACGGTGTGGCAGGCTCGGAATTTCGAACGGTGGGAGGGTTCGGTCCCGACATGGTCTTCGTGAGCATGTGGATGATGCCGCAGCGGATGTCGACATGCAATGTCAGAAGTGCGGTAGACCCGAGACCATGCAATGATTGCAACGTTTTATCAAAAGCTGCCGCGGTCTCATTATTAAGCGGGAGGTAGACCGGGTTATTGATGCTGTCGTGCTTGGGCTTCATCGCTCCAAACAGTGTCCATCTTCGAGAAGGCCGCCCATTCGAGGATAGTGACGATGACTGTTCCGTGGACGAGTCGACAACGAGCCGAATCTTCGAAAGATGGCTTCCGAGCCATTGCTGTAGAAATAGTCTTAGTATTCACAGGTCGGGGATACAGTGGATGTGACAACACTCACCATGCTATTATACAAGAGCGATAGAGCCACAACCGTCTTGGGGTCGGAGATAATGTCGTATGGCTCCAAGGGAACCTGGTCTGTCCGCTTGAGAAGCAGATCGATTTCCTGTGCCTATTAGCATAATTTAAGGTGGAGATGGATCTATGGGAATTCTCACAGTATCGATCAGCGTTTGCTTCTTCTCCCCAGCTCCCTTCCACAGTTCATCCACAATATCGTGGATATCACCAGTTTCGGCAAAGGAAGCTGCAGCTTTAAGCCGGACCTCACCTCCGCGGTTGCGAGCGGAAACCTTCGTTACCATCGCTGCAAATAATTTTAGCCATTGTTTGGGTACGACATGGCCTCGCCATTTGCTTTATGAACATACCTTTGTACCATCCACAGCACTTGTCATAGTACGTGACAATCTGGTCGATCAAAAGCTGTGTGAATGCTTGGTCGTGTGGGATACTCGAAAGCATCTTGCTGAACTCTCGCACAATGGACATGAATTTCACCGTTCCCTGAAAAATAGAACTATTAGCCACAACCCAAAGTAGCATGAGAAGGGCGATGCACATACCTTGAAGATAGGTCGTGGTGAGACCTTGGTCCACTGAGAGTCCTCGGTAAATGCATCAGCAGCAATAAAGCTGAGTGTGCACAAGTCTGTCACGGTCTCATCCAATTGGGGAAGGAAAACGTTGACCATGAAGTCATCTAGGAAAAGAAGTCAACGTGCTCATGGAGATATCAGAATCAACCGGAACAATATCTTTGAGACGTTGGATAAAGGAGAGAGAAGGTGGAAGAAGAAGCCGCATGTTGAACACGCTTGGCTCGAGGAGGATCTTGTGACCAGTCCCTGAGTTTCCTTGTCGAGACTGGGCGACATCGGTTGCAGCCGCCTTCTGTCTCGTCTTTGAAACCAATCCCGGGACCGACGTCTTCAGAATTTCATCCAGCTCATCCTGCTCGGCCTTCATTTCAGAGCCCTGATCAATGTCAGATAGCTTGAACATCTTTTTGTTCTTATCACGGTGGCTCGCGTAGAGGTTTCGGCGGGCATCCGCCTCTTCACTTCTGGATCCGAAAGAGCCATCCCCATCAGTTGCGAGATAGTCGTGCAACAAAGAACGAATCTATGAGAGAAATGCATCAGTATAGAATTGCGATACTTGCCTGGGGCTCATTTACCTCGCTCTGTAGCAGCTTCCACAATTCTTTAAATCCACCACCAAGGGTCTCGGCCTTTGCCAGGCCTTCCCTTTCCACAATGGCCGCAACAACGTCATGCACAACCCGATGGCCCTCGGCGATCGATTCAAACTTGGCGTAAAGGGCCCATAGGAATTCAGACAGCACGTGACCGCGTTTCTCAATGGTCTCTGTCGGCAGGTTGGACTTGAGTTGATTGTCGTGAGATGAGAATGTACGGTTCGGAGTCGGATACCGGTTGTCCACTTCAGCATTTGTCTTGTCAACCACTGCAAATAGCTCAACCGGGAGTCGCTGTTCGATTCGATCAACAGCGGTGTCGAGATGGCCCATCTTATTAAGAGCTTCAATCAACAGCTGGATGTAGGAGAATGTGTCAGCTTCTGGGTTTCGGGATGCGTCTTCGACCATTGGCGTGGTTGGGTCAAATTTAGCTAAGAAGCTGTAAACAGGTCGTTCCCAAGAGCGATTACCTGCCCAAGTTGAGGAATTGGTATCGCCGTCACCGACGGGAGCCTTCCATCGGTCTGAACAATAAGGAGATTTGAGATAGAGGTGATCGTGCAGCTCCTCTATAAGAATTTCTGTCAGTGAAGTCTCCTGATTACTGAAATAGGCTCGGATATCGGACAAAGCCCCAATCTCTTCGAGTTCTGAGCGACGTAGCAAGCGTGATCCAGTGTGAAGAACTTCAACAGCCGCAAGGAATCGTTTGTCTGAAATTCGAGACTCGAGCTTCTCCGGGAGTGACTGAATTTCCTCGATCTGGGTGAACAATTGCAAGATATCGTCGTAATTTTGAGAAGAGGTCGCCAGCCCTTTCAGTTCTGGCTTGGTTGACAATAACCCGGATTTGGCCTCCTCCAAAGAATGTCTGAGGTTGCGAACTCGACCTTGGGAGCTTGAAATATTGGACTGGATCATGTGGTATGTACCAATCGAACTGTTGAATCCCTGGTGATGTTCTGCAACAAATATCGTCAGTACGAAAGCCGATCAAATTTGGGACTATTACTCACCGTTCACGATTGATTTGAGAGTGCGCTGGATCTGGTTGTACATATTCAGGAATTCCGGCTCGCGCTCTGCCTTACCCAAAGTGCTCGTGTCCATCAGACTGAGAGCAACGTGGACGGGAATACATTCGGCATCAGTCATGAAATCCCAGTCGCGTTGGATTGACTGGAGAACCGCTGTACCAGGAAAGTCAGTAAGCAATGATAATATCTCATGCGAATCACAGGAATCAATGCACCTTCGACCGATTGGATCTCCCCGGAAGTATTGACCATGGCGGCTGGAGGAGCGTTCCGGTCCCGACTGCGACTGTCCGCATAACGCGCAGCATCTCTCGAATGATCTTGTCTAGGTCGGCCCTCTCGAGGCCTCTCGTCCCTAAAGCTCTGGTAGCTCGTTTCCGACCTCGCCGAGTCACCGCCTCGTGTCCGAGACCGCGAGGCTGATGCAGACTGCGACGAGGCCGGCGGTCGATCTCGCTCTGACCGGTCATGCCGGCGCTCCGGGGACCGGTTTGGCGACAAAGACGGCTGCTGAGTAGCCTCCGGATAAAATCCACCATAGCCACCGGGGCGGCGATCCCGACTTGAAGCCGATGAGCTGGCACCGCCTCGACCGCCGTATCCGTTCACTCCCAGGTTACTGTTACCCCCATATCCATTTTCGCCGTGCTCGTACCGGCTCGAATCGCTGTAGCCGTATCCGTTGCCATATCCGCTTCGGCCGCTCATTCCTAACGGCTCCTGGTCGCTCGCGCCAGGTGCTTAGGCCGATCTGGCGGGACGTTCGTTCGCTGCGACAAGGGGCGCCGGGGCCGCAATGGGCGTGGAGGAGTACAGAATCCAAGTGATAGAGTTTCCGCACGACGAGTTTCGAGGAGGGTCAGCGACCATTCTTGGCCGAGGAATTCGGAGAGGTGAAAACAATGCGTGTTGGAGGGAACAACGTTGAAGACACCGGGGCGGGATGGGGAAGTCGGGCGTGTCGGTGCTCCACATGAGCTTGGCTTCCGCATGCCAACGTGGTTCCGCGCAATCATGCCCATTTACGATCTTGCGCCATAATTCTTCTTTACTTGTGGCCTTCGAGCCAGTGGTATCTTACGTTCTTATAGGTGGCATACGTTATAAATTATGGACGTGATTTGTAAGAGTAGAACTTGAATTGGGGATATCTCTATGCCTAGTAGTACTTCCGACCACTTCCAATGTTTACTTTGAAATGGACTGGGTCTCACGCTCAAGCCATTTCTGAGTCAACTCGTCATCGTTGAAGAAGTGGTGAGTCTTATCCCACACCTCAGCATGGTAGTCATTCACCCACTTGAGCTCGGAGTCGCTCAGGAGAGAGGGTTCAATCAAGTTGCGACCCAAGGGAGTCATGGTAACATGTTCAAAGCCGAGCCATTGCTTGTCGCCGAACTTGTGAGGAGTGTTGACTTCGCGGCACATTACAACATCTGCAAGCAACCAGTTAGAAACGAGTCCATGTTCAAGAGGTTGTGTAGCGAATTTGAACTTACTCTCGATGCGAATACCAAACTTGCCGTCCTCGTAGTATCCAGGCTCTACAGCAGTTGGGTCAGTGGTGAAAGGCGATAATGGAGGTCAAAGTTACGAACCATCTGAAATCACGTTCCCAGCAGCGATTGGGACCTCGGTGTACTGCACACGAGTGCCGATGCCCATAGGACCTTCGTGAACGTTCTGGTTGAAGTTTAGTAAGCGTCACCGGGGGGGGGGGGGGGGTTGGCGTAACACAAAGCAGCTTACCAGGTAAGAGCCAACACCATGACCAGTACCGTGGAGGAAATCAAGACCTTCCTTCCAGAGGTGCTGGCGAGCCAGGACATCAATTGCAAAGCCGCTGGTACCCTTGGGGAAGACTGCAGTATCAATACCAATCATCCCCTTGAGAACCAAGGTGAAAGCCCGCTTCTCAAACTCTTCGGGACGACCAAAGTGGTGAGTACGGGTGGTATCGGTGGTTCCATCAAAGTACTGGCAGCCGGAGTCACACAGATAGATAGCATTCGGGTCGATGATGGAGCAGCTGCCCTTCTCCGGTTTGTAGTGAATCACAGCGCCGTTGGGGCCGGTAGAAGAGATGGTATCGAAGGAGAGACCGGCGAAAAGATCGTGCTTGGAACGAATCTGCTCCAGCTTGTCAGCACCATCAACCTCGTCCAGAACGGTCTTCTTGTTAACGAGCTCGTTCTCCAGCCATGCGAAATACTCGGTCAGCGCGGCTCCGTCGCGAATGTGGCATGCACGCATGCCCTCCAGTTCGGCCTCGTTCTTGACAGCCTTGGCATCGGCGATCGGGCTACGGGTCTCTTCGACTTGGTCTTCGCCGCCGAGGTTCAGGCTAAGAGCCCACGAGGCCTTGTTGGACAGCAGGAACTTGGCCGCCGTTTCGTCTGCCGCTTGGCTTCGGGCCAGGCTCAGGGCCTTGGCATCCGCAAAGATGGAATCGTAGGGCTTGATGACCACGTCTTGGCCGAGTTGGGCCTTGACCTCGGGGGTGAGTTTCTCATCGTCAACGTAGAGCTCCGCGGTGGTAGGGGTAATGATGGCATAGGAGAAGAACACAGGGTTGTAGGGAATACTGGTAGCGGTCAGTCACTTCAATTCGGTGTCAGGCTAACTGGGGCAATTCTTACTCGTTTCCGCGCAGGTTGAACAGCCAGGCGATTTCGTCAAGCATAGCTATTTATCAGGTGTTAGCGACTCGGAGCTCTCTTTCTAATCGCAAAGGGTATCAAGAGCAACTTACAGACAACAAATCCAGCCTTCTTCTTCGTCTCCAGCTCTTTGCGCAGCTCGGCAATCTTGTCTTGGAAGGGCTTGCCGGCATACTTGATAGGGTGCACGCGCACCTCCTCACTAGGACGCGCCGGGCGGTCCTTGCCCCAGACCAGATCCACCAAGTTCTGTTGAATACCCATGAGTGACGAGCCATTCTTTTCAAGGGTCTCTGCGAGCTTTCGCGCGCCGGCTAAGTAGGGAAAAGTAGAAGTCAGCCTTGACGCCCGAATCTATCAGTCGGGATCGCAAGAGAGCTCACAAGCCGTGATCAGGGAAGGATCAACACCAACAGCCTTGCCTCCTTGGGAATGTTCCGTAGTCCTATTTCACGATCAGTCTCCGCATCCCCACTCGTCTGAGTCGTTTTCATTAAGGTCATTCATACCACTCTTGCCATGTGGGCACTCCTTCAACTCCGCGCTTGAGGAGTTGCCAATTAGCGTCGAGCTGTTTGGCAGCCTGGTTGAAGTAGCGACCGTCGGTAGACAGAGCGGCCTTGTCCAGGGAAATAATCGCAGTACCGGCAGAGCCAGAGAAACCCGAGATGAACTCTGAATGTGGGATAGTATCATGTCAGTACTGGAGGGGATCGAAGTGAACGGGAGGGATCGTGCGATTGCTAACCTCGACGGCCATCGCATGGCGCAATGTATTCGGACTGGTGGCTATCCTCGGAGGGAACAACTGAAACGCGAGTTAGCAATAGCTCGAGCTTTGCATGAGCTCACGGGGAGCGTCTATTCCGAGGCATACTGTAGACATCCACGTTATGATCCCGCATCAGCTGCCGCAGCTGCGACAGCCGCTGTGTTGTATCCACGGTCCCCATGTCGATGATGTATCGAGGGCGGGATATGGAGAAGAGGCGTGAAGGTTGGAGGGGCCGCAGCGATCGCAGGGATGTCCAGGGAAGATGAATGGGCCGGGGGAAGAGCATGGACAACGAGCTCACGGGAGGGTCCAATGCCTAACAAGAGGAGACGCAGCGCAGGAAGCTGGATCGGGCAGATAAATTATAATCCGTGGCTGCAATTGCGCCGGTCGTGTGAGTTCTGGTGGCTGTTGCTCATAGGACGACGAACCTAGGTCGCATCCACCGGCCCACCGCGCGGTTGTCATGTTTGCATCGCGGTTGGCAGCGGAGGGGCAGTCGCGAGCCTTCGAGCTAAGATAGGCCATGAGCTTGTCCGCAACTTTTGCGAGCTTTTTCTATTCTCTTACGAGTGTTAATAACAGACAGATCACACATGCCATGGCTATACCCATATATAGGTAGTATTGCTAGGAAACAGCCTGCCACACCCCAAGGTTCCTTCTTTCAAACAATTGAGGTTTTGATCATACAATATACAATGTTGATTTCATTTGGTTTACCCCCGTTTTATTCGGTGCTATGGGTACATCTGGTTGCCAGGACTCTACTAGTAAGTTGTGACAGTCGGTGCGGCGGTATATAGTTTGTAACCATCGGTTTTCAATTACCATCGAACTTCGCAATGATATTGCTCTACACTTGATTAGCAGAAGAGCTTTCACAGTCAGGATTCGAAATATTTTAAGATAGTAAAAGCCATTCCAAACCTTCAAAATTTGGCAAAGTGCGTAGCCGTTCAAGTTCACTTCAGCTCCTGTAAAGGAAATGTTTATTTCCACCGCTGCCCAAAACCCCGCGTTTGACCGACCTTTCCTACCGCCCTCTACCCCACCAATAGGCGGCGGTGCACATGCAGATTCTCTGGAATATGACCGGCAAAAATGCAGCTATCACCACGTGATCCCTTCTATACCGATTGTTTAACCCTTTTTCCTCTTCAACACTTCATCCCAATCTCCTGCGAGAGAGCCTGATAGATCAGCGCAACACACGTTGATGTCATCATGTCACGCCAGGGGTATGCTGATCCAGCCTACGAAGCACATACGGTATGACAATCCCCGAGCCAACCGGCTAGACTCTGGAACTAACATTTCTTAGCTGGTAACCAGCCTGTATGATCCAGCTAACCAGCGCGTCCCGGCCCGGATCAATGAGATTCAGAAGCGACTGCAACAGCTCCAAAAGGGCGAAGATGCCTGGGAAATTGCAGATTCCCTTCTTCGCGAGCGATCCGCGCACCATAGGTTCATGGGTGCTCTTACTTTCACAGTGAAGCTGAACGTATCGGGGTGAGCGAGCCTATCCCTATCATGTCAAAGCATCCAGCAAAATCGCTAATTCATGACTATTAGGGGTGATATCGAAGAGCCGATGATTCTGCAAATCCTGGAACGCTTGGTAAATCATTTCGTTGCCATCGTCAACGAGGGTGAGCAAGCAATGGTGATCAGGAAACTGGCCTCCAGCCTGACCACTATTTTCCGACACCCCAAATCTCCCTGGACAAAGGCTATCTGGAACCTGGCTGCAAGTCTTGCCAATGGAGGATTCGTCTCAGAGGAGCAGACTCAGACAGTCAATTTCGTGGACGGTGTCCTACCAGCGCTAAATACGCAGCAAGCGTTGGCATTGTCGTTCTTCTCGGTCGCGTTAGCTGAAGATGGATTGCGATTGGAGGTCGAACCGCAGGATGTTAAGCCAATTCTCGAGAGGTGTCAAGCAAATATTGAAGATGGTTTTCTGCTTGTTCAATACATAATACAGCAGATTTCCCATTCGCAGGCTGCACTTCGAGAAGGATCCCCAGAGGTGGCTTTAGCCGAGGAAGCGATGAGCTCGTGGAAGGTAGATTGCCCCTTTATTCGATATTTATACTCGGATCTCGTCGCAATGCTGACAAATTTCTCGACCCCAGGCCTGGTTGGGTGTTTATGCAAGTCGGTACACATCCAGCGACGAAAGTCTTCGAGGCCACGCTATCTCATGCGGACAAGATATTATCAAAATGCTCAGGACACCAACTTTGAGTGAAAATGCTGCCTCTACTCTCACAATAGCCTTTGAAAATCGACGCTGGTCTTTTGATGATAACTCCATCGAGGCATTGTCACAAATCCTCTCCGATTCAATCGTGACGAGGCACATCGTTGCTGTCACCCAGGGGGAGGAAGGTTCTGAGAGCTTGGCCTTCATAGATCTTCTCGTGGCCTATCTTTCATTTATGCACTTGGATCTATTCACGGATCCGGTCAAACCCCAGAATATCCAGATCTTGTCCATCGCACAAAGCATCTTCAAAACACCCGGATATGCATCCATTGACGATTCGGCAACTCCTCGAGTCTTGGAATACTGGAATGAAATTGCGGAATGTATAACCGATGAAGTCAGCTCGGATAGCGAGAAGTCTGAAAAGCTCAAGGGCGAGCTTCTCAAGGGCCAATTAGCCGAAGTTGTGCTTGGTCTGTTCCAAAAACTCTTGTATCCCGCACCTGAGGATATGGAAGACTGGGGCGACGATGAGCGGAGTGAATTTCATGCATTTCGATACGAAGCTTGCGACTACCTGCTAGCAGCCTACCCTATCCTGGGCGTAGAGCTAGTGAGCGTTTTCCAGGAAAGCGCAACAACGCACCTCGGCAATCAAGATTGGCGTGGCTTTGAAGCCGCGATGTTTTGTATTGCCCAGCTCTCCGAGGCAGTTGATGAAAACGGACATGCAGATCAATGCCTAGATGCCATTTTTGGCAGTGAAGCCTTTACTCAACTCTGCACATACAGTCACGCCAATATCTCCCTCAAAGCCCGCCAAACACTGGTGGATACTTTCGGAAAATATCAGTCATACTTTGAACGTCACAACTCCCTTCTTCCGGGAGTATTGAACATTCTTTTCCAGTCACTCAGCTATGAACCATGCGCGCATGCAGCCTCGCGATCTATTTTGACACTTTCAAAATCCTGCGCTCGTGTCTTGACCGTAGAGCTCCCTGTTTTCCTCGACCAGTTTGACCAATTCCGCACGAAGCCGACCGCGACTGTGTCGACCATGCCGAAGGTCCTCGAGGGCATTGCGGCCATCATTCAGAGGTTACCTGCCGATGAAGAGAAGGCTCAAACACTAGAAAGAATCTTTGGATTCTTTGTTCAGGAGGCTAAAAGAGCGCGAGAAGAGGCTAGCTCGGCATATGAAGCAGCCCGCGAACACGGTCACCTTATTCTAGGCTGCATAGCTAGCATTGGAAAGGGCCTTCGCACGGAATCAGACGAAGTAATCAATCTTGACGCAGCAGAGGAGCAGAACCCGTATCCACCATCATTCTGGAATGCTGGACCAGGCTCTGGAGTACAGCAGCTGATTATGGAAGCAATGCGTCTTCTCATTGTGGATTTCCCAGTAGATAGTGGCATCATAGAATCGGCTTGTGATATTCTCAAGGCTGGGTACACCGAGTCATCGGGGCTTTTCGTCTTTCCTCCCTCATTGACCGTTGATTTCATCAAAAACTTCCCGCTGGGTATTTCTGGGACAGATGTGATTATGGCCACTGCATCCTCTTTCCTTGCTTCCCACGCCTCGCACTCGGCACACATTCGCGACGAAGCCATTTCCTTGATCGTTCACGTGGCCCAATTGTTCGCCTCCATGCTCGAAAACCCGGACCTCTACGATCCGGAAACCGCCAATGCCGGCATAGACTTCCTTGCTCGCCTTCTCCCGAAATACTACCACATTTTGTTCTCGTTCTCGCTTTCGACACCAGTCCCATCTTCGAACGGTGATACCTCAGTGCAACGTCCACCGGTTTTCATTATCCTTCTGAATTTCACAATCCATGCACTCAGCAGACCTGAACCTCTGACCATACGCTCCGGTTCGAACTTCTGGGTCACCCTGATGGATCTCCGTGGCCGCACACCAGAAGAGACAGCAGACATCGAACGAGTCCTGGAGCAATTTATTCCTCCACTGTGTCAAACCTTAATCCGACAGTTCGCTGGGCGCTGCTCACGGTCCGATCTCCCATCCCTCACTGATGCACTCCGACGTACGATCTTCAACAAGATGAGACAGGCACGGCCTAGCCTGGAGGCCGCGTTGGAGACACTCGACGCTCAGGTGATCGATGCGAATGGCAACTTGGTGCCGGTTTTCTCTCCGCAGGACAAATCGCGTTTCCTGGAGACTCTTATGGTTGCCAGGGGTGCCCGGTCGCAAACGTTGGAACTCGTTAGGTCGTTTTGGTTGAAATGTCGCAACATGAGCTTTGATTACACTCAATAGTGCTCCTCCCTCTAATAAAGAATGAGATCATGATCATATTACACAAATTACGAAGTTCTCTAGATCATTTGGTGGAAATGGAGTATTGGATTCGTTGCATCATTTTCTGAAAACCTTACATCTATGGAGCAAAGTGTCACCAAAAAGCACTGTCGGACATATCAGAAAATGCCAAAGAACATAGACGATCAGTATCTCAGAGTAGCTAATAAAATGCAATATATATGTCGTATGGTAAATATTTTAGGGTAATTTAGTGCTATGCGATGCTTCGCACTCTTGTCTCTGAGTCTTGTTGCTACGTTTAACCATCGGCCTGATACGACCCATCAGATTTGTTGGTTCTCTGCATCAAGCGGGAGCCTGGACCACACTGCACCCGGTTTCTCCTGTGATACCCGCCATCCCCAATCATCCCACTATGTCTTTGGAGAGAAAAAAAGGAGGAAACCACTTTTTGCAAACGACCGAACAGTGTGAGCTAAAAAAAAACGTTAAAAAAAGAAAAGAAAATTGCTCACGTCCAGATTCGAACTGAAGACCTCGGCATTACTAGTGCCGCGCTCTACCAACTGAGCTACGCGAGCTGGTTGATATGTGGATATCATAAGAGCGGAATATCACCTGAAATGGTCAATTTGCACTTGACAGTGACTAAGCATGGCTCATGTGTCTCTGCCACCGATACAGCCACAACGAGGCGGTGCTGGTCACAAACAAAACATGCAAATGACTGGAGACCACAGAGAAATTAAAAATAACATCCTTTCGCGCCTGACGTGGTCAAGTGGAGTCTGAGGCTGCCTGGGCATTCCTGCGTCTCACCGCACCGCGGGCCTGCAGGCCTTTCAGGAGCCTTTTTAGCCGGGGATCTTCTTTCAATACTTCTAGCCTTACGCGACCCAGGGTTATACGTTCTTTGTTCCCACCCTTGGTTGCAGACCAACGCATGTCTTATATATCAAATACACCAGAGTCTTTGCTACCACGTTCGGATTCTCGGAATCCTGCAACCACATGTAGAGGCATCACCACGCAAGGCAGGCCATGTCGCCGCGCTGTCGCACCATCTCAGAGCCCACCGGGTGCCTCAATCCCTCGAAAGAAAGGGACTCGACATGAAACAATAGATGCGGTGTCTTTGTTCTGCTGGCAGCACAAAGATCAGGCATCTTTTTCGACTCCACAGCATCATGCGCCTATCCCAGAGAAACAGGAGAAACCAAGAACCAGTATCGATACCCTCATGGATCGACTGGGTGTACTGGAGATCAATGATCAGCCGCAAAAGCCGCCGCCGAGACGGCGCACCAACCAAACCGGACTGAGCGAAAAGCCTCGGCCTCGTCCGAAAAAGAAGAAGAAAAGGACTTTCTGCTGCTTCGAGATCATAGACGAAGAGAGCGACGATGATTCTAGACCGCCGCTCCCAGTCCAGAAACCAATGCAGACTCTTCCAGCTCATGGTCCCTCGCCGTTTCCGCAGAATCCATACCAGGGCCGACAAAATGACCGCATCCCGTCATCTGCACAGCAAATATCATCCACCTTGCAGACATCATCTCGTCCTTCTGTCCAAAACTCGAGAAAGTCGTCGCAGACGCAGTCTCTTCTGTCATGGATTCCTTCTGTACATTCTCCACAGACGACGTCCATCCTTCTCACCGAGCTGGCCAAGCCGATCTCCCGTGCTGATGAAGAAGGCTATATTTATATGTTCTGGGTAACACCAACAACATCATCGCGAGGAAACGGGACCGCAGGACCTCCTGTGCCAAGGGATATCGCATCTTCCCTTTTTCCTGAGACTCCTCAGAAGAGCGGCTCTCTTCGGCCTCCGCCACAATCGCACAGCGTCAGCGATGCTATTCGTGTAGCGCGAGACCTCAACGCATTGGCTTCTAACCCATCATCTACCGGGCCTGGGACAATCAGACTGAAGATTGGGAGAACAAGTAATGTCCATCGACGACTTGCTGAGTGGACACGCCAATGCTCGCACGATCTTACCTTGATCCGTTATTATCCTTATACACCGTCCTCGTTCACGTCCTCTTCGCCGGCTCGAGTGCCGCAGTCTGGAGCTCCCGAGGCGTCCTTGGTACCAGGCAGAAAAGTCCCCCATGTGCATCGTGTAGAAAGACTAATTCATCTCGAGCTCGCCGATTTGAGGATCCGTGATCTTGGACAGTGCGCTGAGTGTGGGAAAGAGCATCGCGAGTGGTTCGAGGTTGAGGCACACAAAGAAGCGCTGCGTCGCGTAGACGAGTGTGTCCGGCGATGGGTCTTGTGGGGCGAAGCGATGAGATGAGCTGTAAATTTAGAGATCATTAGCATGGTACTGAAATGACGAGTCAGAATGCCCCTCCAGAAGCTAAGAGTCAAGTAAATCATTCCTGTTGTTCCTCGAACGCGAGTACAAAGAGAACTCGGCGCCACCGGACAACACCCACCCCGTTGCACTTTCCATCACAAAGGCGAGACCACGCCGCGTCCCTGACAACCACAACAAAGCCCACATCCTCCGGTCTTCCTATCTCTCCTATTCTATCTCACCCCCACTATCCACCCCCTCCTCAAACACTCACGCAATTCCCACGCAACTCATCATTCACTGGTCGGCCACTACTTTACAAGGCATTTCTGTGAATCACTGAGCCACTGGCTCAGTCTGTCAACATGGATGCGCCACCCATCCTTAGCGATGAACCCTTCAACCCGGCAGGTTGCATTAATAACCCCAATCCCCAAATTGGTAACTTGATCCGATCGGACCAAGTTTTATTGATCGATGCCCTCGACGACCAAGAAAGAACCTATTACTTCAATCAGACGTGGCAGCACTGGGAAACTATCATCGACAATGATGAAGGAAGCGACGCGTACAAAGCTGCATTTGCAGAACTCCTCGAGCTGTCCATCTTCATGGGAACAATTATCGAGGCATGGCAGCAAATTCAGGCCCATCAAGCTCAGAACCAGCAAGCTCAGAACCAGCAAGCTCATGTCCAGCAGGATCAGGTCCAGCAGGCTCAATTCCAGCAGCTACAGGGCCCGAGTCAGCAACTCCAGGCTCAGCAACTCCAGGCTCAGCAACTCCAGGCTCAGCAACTCCAGGCTCAGCAACTCCAGGCTCAGCAACTCCAGGCTCAGCAACTCCAGCCTCAGCAACTCCAGCCTCAGCAACTCCAGCCTCAGCAACTCCAGCCTCAGCAATTCGCAGTCCAGCAGGCTCTAGCCCAGCACGTTCAGCCCAATCCTACCGAGCAGCCGTCGAATGAACAAGCACCTCAGAGCACACAGACGAAGCGGAAGAGAGAAAACGAAGAGGATGAAGAAAGCAATGCTCCGCAGCCTGCTCCTCTGTCCCAGGCTGGTCCTCAACCTGGCCCTCGAAATGGACAGCCTGCTTTCAAACGCCCGGCTTTGCAGCAGAAGAGAAACCCGCTCGACAACTATCCAACGGTGATCAAGGACCAGGTAATGAAGTACGTTATTTACCTCCCTGTGGACCTGCCCGAGAACCAAGTCGGTGAATGGATTGAGCAAACTCGAGCGATACTAGCCAAAGCCATGTGGGGAATTGCCATGACACAGACTCGGATCGATCAGACAGCCGATGTACGCATCGCGCGCCAGAAGGCAGGCAAGGATCTCGAAGGCGAAGAACTGAGGGTTTGGGAGAAGCAAATCGGGAAGTTTCATGAATTGAACCGGAATTGCCTCCTCGCCACATACAACATGCGTATGGCGAACGAGAATCGTCGGATGCAGGGTGGAAAGGCTTACAACCCCTCCAACCGACGCTGAAGGGGATCACCGTCAAGACTTCGCATACCTCCAAGGAATTGCGAAGGAAATTGAAAATCACCAGAAAGATTGGTGCAATGTGTTTGAGCTTCCGCTAACTGAAGGATGGATGAAAAGGTTTCTCTAGCCAGCGTGAAGTTCCAGGGGATGGACAATCTTCCGATAAACGGCTGCAATGTATTTGTGTCTTAAAATACCGATCAATGTACGCAGATATTTCTCTAGCTGTATCAAGTATCTCCATGAGAAATCAAATGATCATCAAATGACAATATTCCAGATCAAGCTTCGATCCTCCCAATATGCAGCCCCCCAGTAATAGCGATATCTGCCCCGTTGGTATAGGCGGAGGCGTCACTGAGCAGGTAGATAACTGCGCCAGCCAGGTCATTGAAATTCCCAATTCGAGAGAGCGGAGGCGCTGTATCCATGCTGGCAGAGTCTTCGGGGCTCTTGAGGTCCCACACAAACCGAGTCCGCTCCGAATCAATGAGCCCAGGGGATATCGAGTTGATCCGGATACCATGTGGAGCAAGCTCGACACCCTTATTTCAATGTTTGAAACAAAGCAAAGCTCTACTTCAGGAGTAGAAGCAGATAAGGTTATATGGATCATGAATTCTTATCACCTAAAAGTAATAAAGAAAAGTTAGAGTCGTGAAGTTGTCTCGCTTGCCTGCCACATAGTGCCCAGACGAACTTCTAGGACAGCCAAAACCCCATTCTGAACGCTTTCAACAGCCTGGGGCAATAGATGCCCAAGATTTTCAGCATTTATAGCAATTCCAGTCCAGACATGGTTCCCAGCAGCAGCCTTGGCAATCCCAGGAAAGTCGGGAGTAGGAGTGAACGAGATGTTCAGGTCGATGTTGTTCACCTTCGAACCAAGCCCAGTGGGATGAACCAGCTCCAGAGAATTTCGAGTAGCGTTCCACCCTATCAAAATCGTCAGTGTCGACATATCTTTCTGTGAAGGGATTATCTGGACTCACCCTTGTTATTCAGCACGATGGTCAGCGTGGCCAACTCATACCGCCTCGCAATCCAATACACTGTCCCGGGCGACCCAAACATGTACGTTCCATCTCCGACAATCTCGCATACGAACTTGCCTTTCCCTACCCCACCAGCAAGATGATCGGTTGCCATCTAGACTTCGAGCGTCGCGCCGCCAGACCAGCCGAGACCGCCAGCGCCACACTTTACCAGGTGACCTGGCCTATCGACTTGTAGCTGGTTTGTTATGGGCGTCGCGTTGGTCACCGTTTCCAGACACCAGATCTTATCCGAAGGCAGGGACTCGCGGAGTACCCGACCGAGATAATGAATATTGACTGGTGCTGCGAGACCGGAAGGCATCTCCGCTGCTTTAGCAAGTGCAGCAAGACGCTCGGCATGGGCTTGCTTCAGCGCAGTAGCTCTTCGACGAAATTCATTGGTGGCGAGGATCTTTCGGAAAACGTCACTGGACGTGATATGGGTATGGATCTGGCGGAATGTAATCGTCGCATCGGCACGGAAAGTCTGCTTCGCGAGGATGTAACAGAGAGACAAATTCTTCTTCAACGGATCGATGTCGATATGAACGATCTGCACATCCGGCGATGGTCGGCAGAGGGTTGGAATCCAGGGTACAACAGCGTGGACAACAAGGATGACATCTGCCTTTGGAATAATTTCGTGCGTCCCAATCCCCAGACCCAACGAAGCAGGGTGCGAAAAGGGAAAGCAGGCGTGCTCCCCAGACAATCGAGTACACGCAGACCAGTTCTGGCAGCGTCGTGTGTTTACGACCCGTATGACCAACGATAACCGTCGGATTCTTTGCAAACACAAGCAGCTCAGCGATGCTCCAATACCCCGTTCTCATGCAGAGACGCTGGCTCAACGCATCCCCACTGAGACTGGTCGATATCATACGGCTCAATCTCCTCCTCCAAATACCTCTCGGCCGGCAGTCAGGTACATCGGACCGGGTGGGTCACTCTTTGCAAATTGCAGGGCACGATTGACCATTTGCTTGATATTCCTCTCCGTTCGAACCTCGTCCGTATACCGACAATACTGATCGACAATACGTCTCTGATATTTTGCATCCTGTAACCAGTGGACATATTCAGTGCGGGACCCACGGAGTTCACCATCGATGGTGTAGGGTGAGAGGCCCGCGAAGATCAGAACAGGGCAGTACGCTGCGGATGCGTTGTGGACCGCGCAGCCTAGTGCTTGTGTTCCGACATCGACGTGGACGATGACGGCTTGTTGTTTGCCGTAGGCGAGCGAAGCCGTCTGCCATGGATACTGCGACCATCTGACAGAGTCAGCGATGGAGAGTCTCGAGATTCATGATTCATACCTCTTGCGGGCACGTCACGATTTCTGGACACTGTCCCTTTTTGTGTGTTTTACTGTGCACAATTGCCTCCATGATGGCTGGGTGTCCGAGCCTAGGTTCACGAATACATGGGCGACCCCGGCCTATGAGAGTCAGTGGAGATTCTGGATTCCATAGGAATGTGTTGCTTTACTTACGTGCCATAGCGCCTCGAAGAGGGCTTTTGATGCAGTATAGATCCTTCATGAAATTGTTAGTGACTGCCTTAGGGTGTAGTTTTGCAGGTCTGGTACGCTCACATCTTGTTCAGACTGAATACGAAAATTCAAAGCAAGGTTGGGATCAAAACACGGGATATTTCTGGGTCCAGGATATCTTGTTGTGGACTTGGAAGCTTTCATTCCGTTATCAGGGACTTGATCATTCTACATGCTAGTTCCCGCCTACTCCTTCCGATAATGGAGAATTGTATTCCGAAAATGTGAAGGGAATTCCATTCCAAAGCCAACCCCAGGAAAAGCTTGAGAGTAATTACTAGTATTTTTCTTAAGGAAAAAAAAAAATTTTTTTTGCTCGAGGCCATGATATTACCGCGGAGCAAGACTAGGCACCAGAAAAGGACCACGGACATCTCAATTGATGTGACTACCGTTGGTATCACCAGCTAGGTACTGTGTACACAGTTAAGTGGACAGTGTGTATGCTCCAAAGCAAAAGACAATTGATTCATGTAGATAGATGTAGATTGATCAGTCTAGTTGGAAATCACCCTAGATCCCACACGCCGGCCCTCGGCGGTCACAACACCGGAGCCGCAGCCCAGTGCAAGAATGCGTACACCAAGCAAGAGATGTTATTCATCAGACGCTAGCAGTGGGTCATCGCTAGTTTGTTCTGACAGGAGGATATGCCCCGACAACTACAAATTTCTCAAATTTGATTTGAGATAAAGTAAGACCCGAGATATTGAAATATTGCTATCTTAAATAATCTCTAGAGCTTGTTCTGTCGCCCGATAACATCCTTCGCAGATAGGCCATATTTAGGGGGCAACAAGTGATCCACGCCAGCCGTATTAAGATAGGCTGGACTAGCATCCCGCATCAAGTCCGTCATTCCAAGCAACTGAGTAGCCGTTTGGATCTCCTCCTTCATCACTACAAGAAGTTAGCCAATTCACCACATGCAAAATTTAGGGTATAATGTATACTCACAACCAACAGCATGTTCAATCCCCTCCTGCCCATAATTAAGAGCAAAAGCAAAAGACCTGCCCAAACCCACAGCAGAAGCCCCAAGACAGATAGCCTTGACAACATCCGAGCCCCGGCGGAATCCCCCATCCACAAGAACTTTCATTCTCCTAAAGACCTCGGGACAGTACCGGTGGATCTCAAGTAAGACAAGAATGGAAGGTGCGGCGGTATCCGCAGCTCGTCCCCCGTGATTGCTGATTACTATCCCGTCGAATCCAGCCTTCATCGCGAGAAGCGCGTCCTCCGCCCGTTGCACACCTTTCAGTATAATCGGGAGTTTCGAGGTGTTCCTGAGCCAGCGCAGGTCATCCCATGTCAGACTGGAGTCTATGAATGAGCTCGCTGCCTTCGCGAGCCCAGTACTCTTCTTCGGCTTGTTATCTTTTGCCACGTTGATCCATTGAATATTTCCCTCCGGCTTGATCCGCTCGTCCGCTTCGCGCTTCGACATAACTGGTAGATCAGCTGTGGTAAATAGTGCCTTGACCTTACCAGTGCTCTCCGCCTGTCGCACCAGCGCCTCAGTCTTGGCCCTTTCTTTATTGATATAAAGCTGGTAAAACGCCTGCTGGGGAGTCTCATCCAGAATTTCAGAAAGAGAATACGATGCCATGGTAGAAATACAATGGACAATTCCCGAGGAAGCAGCACCTCTGGCAAGAGGTAATTCCCCTTCTTCATGACTCGTCTTCGCAGCACCAACAGGCGATATATAAACTGGAATGTCAAGATCACAGCCAAAAAGAGTCGACTTGGTATTGACGGTAGACACATCGCGCATGATAGCAGGTCGAAGCCATATGCGCTGGAAAAAGTCGCGGTTAGCGTCTCGCGTGAAACAGTCGTTCGCGGCACCGCTGATGTAGGCCCATGATTTGGGGGTGAAGGTGTTCTTCGCGACGTGCTCGAAGTCGTCCAGGTTGATTATTTCGTCTAGGGCGGGCTGTCGGTACTCCCCAGAGTTGGAGGTTGGTTTGACTGGTTCTTTTCCATTGCGCCATTCTTCTGTGATAGTTGCTGGATCCAAGTCTCCGACGATACACTCGTCGATGTCCTTGATCAAAGCTGGGGAGTGTGTGCTATTGTATGTTTGTGAGGCATTGCGACCGGCGAATTGGTAAATAACTTATTTTTATTAGTTTCGACATTCCAGGTTTCATTGTTGAGAGGGTTATACCTTCCGCACCGCCAGGATGCTCCGGCGCAAATTTGGTCACGTCGTAGACCTTGCCGTTGACCACGATCCAAATATCGTCCGGCTGGGCGTGTTGTGCGATTTCCTGCGTCGACACTTTCCTGGCCATCGTGGCTTGCTTGGGACTCGGATCGCAAGGCGATCAACTCAGCGAGGGGAAGAGGGTAATTAGTTGGTGCTAATTCGATGGCGATCCCTTGAACGCTCTGGGTTAGAAGGGGTCCAAGCGCGTCGGAATGAGGGGATCAGAATCTTCGCACAGAAGACGCATGGAATCAACTCCTTCGACTAAGGGTAATCAGAAATACAATTCTGCTGCTATCTGTGACATAATATGTAATAATTTATGCTGATCAAAGGTGGTATTTGATCCTGAATACCAGTAGTGTTACTGGCTATGGTCATACATGGTACCGTACTCGGGCCGTGAATCGCCAAGATCCATAGGCGACTCCGCCGAATGCAGACGAGACACCAGCAATTTATCCAGCTCGTTCCAAATAGTCCCATTCAAAAAAGTATCCATTTGCGGGTGATCATCTTGATAGAAGGGGATCGTATCAGATATAGACTCCTGATGCTGCGACTGTCCTGTCCCAGCCGAGGTCAAGGGCGGCGATGTATAGAAGGACGAGCCCAAGTCCGCTGATTCGGGCATATATACAGCCATCGGGGAGTGCGCGGGCTTCTGTGCGTGGGCGATATGCTGTTCGCGTGGATTGCCAGAATCAACGTCCAGCGAAAGAATATCCAGGCGCGCTAGCAGTCCCACTATCGATAGAAGTCGTCTGTGTAGTTGCTGGGAGTAGTTCGAGATGCCGGAGTACTCTGTAATCAGCTCGATGGCTCGTTGGAGTGACTTACAAATATCCTGTGGGTTGAAGACGCTTGGCTCAATGGTCGAGAGATCGGGACCTCCACGGTACGTGATGATGAGGAGGATCAAAGACGTTGCGGAGATGAGGAAGTGGCTGAAGAAGGGGTGTTGTTTGCGGTAGATGTCGGTTGTCGAGTTCAAATGGTATATGACGGATATGGTGCGTATGGCGAGCTGTAGACTAGCCGATATCTTTGTCCGATCTGGTTTGACAGGACTTTCGGCGAAAAAGAGAGGCCGCAGCAAAAGGATGCGGAGTTGGTTGGCGCGAAGGTAAAGGAGCGTACTGACTGAGTCAAAGGGATCGCTAGTCATGTTGTGTCCGGCTGCAGGGTTGGTGATGAAGCCGTCTAGCACAGTCAGCTGCCAGCGATCGATCTGATAGTTCAGAAATTGGAACTGTTCGTCCTCGTAGACCTGAGCATCGACAGGGACCTTGCTTGTGGCATTTACGATCTTGGTGCTAATAACACAGTACGATGCCATCGATCGTAAATAAACAGAGTCGCTCTGGTCAAGTACAAACTCCAAGTCAAAAATCTGTACATAAGCGGGAATGCGATGTAGCTAGGACCTACCGGGACCAACTGTGTGCTATCGAGAGCCGCATCATCAAAGTTCCGCGGCAGGCCAAGAGCAGCACTCCATCCGTGATCGAGAATAAAGATGCTCCACATGACCCGTACAGCTTTGAATCGCTCTGAATCGTTGGGAAATGCCTTCTGTAGTGTTTCCGGGCGATGAAGACCAAGCTCCATAGCGAGAGACGCGGAAGTGCCGCACAGTCTCCATGCCATTCGCACCCGATTCGAATAGAGGTGATAGATAGCCTAGCAAATGATATTAGCATCACGATACCAGTGCGTCTGGCTCGCTCAGTTTGTGATCTTACCCAAAGCAATACCAACGTCACGCCGCGCAAACTGACAGTCTCCGAGCAGAGAATCGACTTGAGCTCCTGCTCCACTCCCTCGTAGCAGCTCTCAATCAAAGCCGAGTTGTGTTTCTGCTCTGATAGCAACGCAATAGCCAAAATCAATCGAACCACAATCACATCATATCGACCAGTCTGCCTCTCCGGGTTATCCTTCGTTGCTTCCAGTCGAGCATACAATCCATCCACACATTCAAGCACGATGGAAATATCCACGATCGGGTGCAGTGACCCCACCACTTCAGAGTACAATATCACAAGCTCTCGTGCTTTTGAGTGGGATATTTCCGTAAAGACTTGCACAGAAACCTGGTCGGATGAGGACTGGGAACCCATCTCAGAGACCTTGGTCTCACTTGGCGATTTCTCTTTGCCTTCGCCGCGATCATAGCAGGCATCTAGATCCGACGGTTTTGCACCCGTGGGATTTTGCATCTGGGCAAGATTGAGGCTTGTCAGCTTGAGACTGTAATCTGCACTGGTAAGGCCTTGGTAGCGCGGGCCCTGGATTGGCGGCGGGGAAACCGCGATGGTAGCTGGAGGTGGCAGCTTCCGCTTTTTGGACTGTCGCTGCTCAAACAGCTCCCGTTTGTCTCTGAGAGAATCACTGCCAGATGTTTCCTCTAGCTCTTCAATGCCCGTCACCTGCTTGAGAGACCGAATCTCGGCCTGCATGGACTCAACCTGGCTATTCAGCGCCTTGACTTGGCTGTCGGAGGGTCAGTCGGTGCACCTCGTCCAATTTGCAGATTGAAATTGCTCACCTAGTGACCGCCGTAAGATAGTCGGTCGCCGGCTCATTCAGAATGGGCGGACTGTCATTGTTGCTATACTTGCATCGGACCGATCGACTCTCGCAATTCTTGCAGGGATCATGGCCGCTGCAGCGCTGTTTGCGACGTTTGCATTCGATGCAGGCGCGTTGGATGTATGGCGCCCGGGTCTTGCGTTGCGATGCACTGTCCTGTTCATTTGCTTCTTGCCCTGCTGATGACATTTTGTCACATTGTCATGTTGCCTGTGGAGGAAGTGTTTCTTGGAGGAGGTTGGAGGTTGGGAAAGGAGTGTTCTACGGGTAATCGTCACGGGCGTCCCCGCATGAGGAGGCATCGCTAATGACTGCTGGCGCTGATTGGCGGGGAAGATGGTATCTTTCTTTATCGTAGTCGCCTGGAAGAGCCTACCTTAAGTTACAATAGGCTACGATTGTATAATTACCGAAGTGATTACAGTAGGTATGCTGTACACTGGTGGCAACTAGTAGATAGCATAGTAGCGGTACGGACGTGTCTAGCTAAATTGTCGACATGGTCTATGACAATTCGAAAATATCGACCAGCGATAGGTCATTTTTAGTGTCTTCCTACCTGTGTGCATTGGGGCTTCTCGAGTGGAGTGAAGATTCCGAAAATTGAGGAAACAGGGAGGAAAGTCCGAAACCGTGGATCGACCCCCATGCGTTCCCCACTCAACTTCCCTTACAACAGACCATCTCCACTATGATGTATATGAGTATATCCCCCCGATCCCGTTGGCCAGCCAGCACCCGGCAATCGAAGAACCTCTTTTTGGGTAGAGGCGATGTGTATGCAGGACCGATGCCATGACGTTGTCTAAGCTTGCTGGCGCATCCACTCTCCGCCAGGCCATTCCACTCTGGATTAACGGCCGCCAACGAGTCACTACCAATCCCTTCACAGTCCACAGCGCCATTACCGAGAAGACCATCTATCAATGCTCGAGCGCCTCGTCGACAGACGCAGATGATGCCTTAGCTGCTGCTTCAGCAGCCTTTCCAGCATGGGCTACCACCAAACCCTCATTTCGCCGCGATATACTCCTGCGATCCGCAGATCTATTTGACAAACGCCGCGATGAACTCGAAGACACGATCCGCGAGGAGATCGGCACAGACGCAGGCTTCGCTCGATTCAATACAGCCTCCGCAGCCGAAATGCTCAGAGACGCAGCAGGACGACTTTCTCAGAGCCTAATGTGGCAAATTCCACACCCACGAGAGAACGGACAGAATGCCCTGCTCTACAAAGTATCCTACGGCGTCGTCCTGAGAATAGCCCCCCTGGAACGCAGCGTACCTCCTCGGCGTTCCGCAACTCTATATCCGATAGCAGCGGGTAATTCGTGCATCCTAAAAGGCGCAGAAATGAGCCCACGCTGCTTCCATCATATTGGCGAGATATTCCACGAAGCGGGTCTTCCGCCCGGTGTGCTGAATGTGCTTTAATACGGAGCGTCATGGTTCAGCGACCGTGACGAATCGTCTGATGCATGCTCCGGAAGTGCGCAAGATGAATTTCACCGGAAGCTCGACGGTCGGCGCAATTGTTGCGGTTGAGGCTGCAAAGGCTCTGAATTTTCCCAGAGGACATATAGCGGTATCCTGGGAACTTTGAACCTTCGAAAATACCAACTCGTGCCTGTACATCACTTACGGGATCGGAGATTCAAGCAGACTGCTGGCATTTGACTGGCTGTAGCACATACCCACAGAAAATTCAAAAACGGTGATTATACCCGCAATACCGGTCGACATGATAGCTTTCGGAATGATACGAGTAGGCTCCAGACACTCTTCAGCAAGGTGCATCGTCGCATCAATTCCGATCAGCATATATGACGGAGTAGATAGCTCCGTCAGAAAGCTAATGCCGTTTGACCATCCTCCTGAGCTGTTGATGAATCGCATCCAGACCTGGCTGGTATCGGGTCGAGAAGACGAGCGAACTGGGCAAATAATAGAAACAACGATGAACAAGGCGATCGAGAAGAAGCCTATCTCGTTGAATAAAAAAAAATCAGAAAGGAACATCCGAAAGAGCACAGCTCCACATACACGTCACATCATAAATCTAGATGGTCTTATGAATGGCATAAAGATTATAGCAAAATATGACCAACTGCACAGCCTGGTATAGCAGGAAATATTGCCACCGTTTGGTCTGCAGGTCCGGGTTGTAGCTGATGGTCAGAGAAAAGACGAACTCCGTAACTATCAGACCGATCGATGCCGCAATCGCAATCCAGGAGAAAACACCGGGCAACCCGCAAAAGTAAGATATCCATTTGCTGTGTCGCTTCGGAGCAATGATGGAGCTGAGATGGTACTGTCCTCCTTCTGTTGGGTAGACACTGGCCAGCTCTGCCAAACTGACTCCAGTGCAAGTGATCGTGAAAGAAATGACAATGGTCCCATATAGAAGAGAGACTCTTCCTCTCGCGGCAAGTACGAGTGGAATGTTGGATCCAATACCCACCCAGCTATCCGAAGTGTTGAAGCTCAGTGCGATCAAACTGATGAGGCTAAATTTAACTTCATGTGGATCTCCTCCGAGTCCGAGATCTGGACTTCGTCAGGTTGGGGACCTGCTTCGAGTTTTTTCTGCCCCATGATTTCTCAAGCTTACGCGTGCTTGGTATGGAGACAGTTGCAAGGAAACAACAAGAATAAAATTTCATCTAATGCATAACTTCCTTTAGAAACCAGCCCGTTCCTGAGCAGCAACAATCCACCAGAATATAAACATTGGATATTCCAAAAGTACTAGATCATCGTCCAGTGATTCGAACCTATCAGGATTCATCAAGATGGCAGCGCTTCATTAGACTGTATTTCGTATTTACCCGCATTGCCACAGTGAATGTTCATCTGGTGGCTTGAATTTTTTGGGAGGCTTCGGTCCTCAAGACGCACTGATAGTGAAATCAAGTCTGCCTGCTTATCACGACATGGCCCAAATAGCGTTGCTGGGCAGATGGGAACACGATAAGCAATCGGTATATCGGAAAAGTTCCATCGATTCCTTCGGGGACTTTCTTGACGGTATACACATCGTCTAATCTCTCAAGCGACGAAGTCTGGTTTTTGTGATCGTGCCAGCGCCATAGGTAGTCTAGTATGCTCTCCCGCATGATTGCGGCAATACAGCTTACTCGAAGACAGCGTCGGACAAATATTGTCCTTCTTGTGTCGGCAGGGTGTCATGGTAGGTCCATGCTAGAGAACTGCCAGTATTATGCATCATATTTCATAATGGCACCAATAACTTGAAGCCAGGAAGGTAGGCCATAGTCAAGCACAGGCAGGTGCATGGCTTAGACATTGACCACCTGTAACTTCGTAAAATACATAACGTACCAATACATACGCATACGCGCGGCGCCGAACTCGCAGGCTCCGCAGACGGGTAGACTCGGTGCCAGTTCCAAGCCCATCCCGCACCGATTGGACATGCTGCTTGGGGGTAACAGAAGCGGACTCGCGAGGATCCGCCGCAGCGTGGCTTGCAAGTCGCGCTGGGAGACTGGCAGTGCTTTCCCCAGAGTGTTTTTCGGCGATCGGTTCGGAGGCGTGAACCTATCAGATGATCGGTGATCTGCCCTACCCGTTCACTATTGTGTGGTTACCATACATGCTTGTGGCCTTACACTGTACCCAAAGGTCCTTAGGGTGCCAAGGTGCCTGAGGGTAGGCTGCTCCATTTGACTCAGTGCTATGTTACTAATATCTGCTTTTGGGAGGATTCTAGAACGTGACTGGCGGTTGGGTCGCCCGACGGGGTGGAATGGGAGGGGCAAAAGTTTGGATTGGACCAGCCTGCGAAGTGACGACCCCCAGTCGGAGTCGTGGCGATGCAATTGTGCCTACAACAGTATATGTAGAGATAGGAATCAGATTAAGACAGAATCTAATTTTGTGTATCTATGCAAAAAAGGCATCGGCTCGTGGCTCATATATGAGGTAATTTTGAAATTCGCCCCAAAAAACCCGTAAAGAACAAGGGGCAAGAAATGTACATTAACAAAATGAGAGGCACCCAACTTACCAACCGCGACCAGCCAGCTTGTCACCAGCAGGCATCTGCGACACATTGATGCCGACAATAGCCTCACCAAGACCCTCGCTAACCTGAGCAAGGACCTTGGGGTCCTTGAAGTGAGTAGTGGCCTGGACAATGGCACGGGCACGCTTCTTGGGGTCACCGGACTTGAAGATACCGGAGCCAACGAAGACACCGTCGCAGCCCAGCTGCATCATGAGAGCCGCATCGGCGGGGGTCGCAACACCACCGGCAGCGAAGTTAACGACGGGTAGACGACCCTTCTCGGCGCACTCACGGAGGAGCTCGTAGGGAGCCTCGAGCTCACGGGCGTATGCGCGCAGCTCGGGCTCGGGGTCGGCGCTGGACTGCAGAATGCCGCGGGCACGGCTGATCTGGGCGTTGACGGTGCGCATGTGCTTAACGGCCTCGACGACGTCGCCGGTGCCAGCCTCGCCCTTGGTGCGGATCATGGCGGCACCCTCGGAGATACGGCGGAGGGCCTCGCCGAGGTTGCGGCAGCCGCAGACGAAGGGGACCTTGAAGGGGGTCTTGGTGACGTGGTAGACATCGTCGGCGGGGGTCAGGACTTCGGACTCGTCGATGTAGTCGACGCCGATGGACTCGAGGATCTGCGCGAGGCAACATGTTAGTATGGTGTCAAAAATTTTTTTTTTTTTTTTGCCCCCCGCACGAGGGGGAAATTCTGTGGGGTTCACAACGTACCTGACACTCAACGAAGTGGCCGATACGGGCCTTGGCCATGACGGGAATGGTAACGGCCTCCATGATCTCCTTGATCATGCTGGGATCAGACATGCGCGCAACGCCACCCTCGACACGAATATCGGCGGGGACACGCTCAAGTGCCATAACGGCGGCAGCACCGGCCTCTTCGGCAATGCGGGCCTAGGCAGGACACAACAGGTGTTAGCAAGTTCAATTGAAACGATCAAAGACAAAATCGCAAGCATACCTGCTCAGCATTGACCACGTCCATAATCACGCCACCCTTCAGCATCTGCGCAAGGCCGGCCTTGACAGTGAAGTCACTGCTGGAGGAACCGTTCTGTTGGGCCATTGTGATGGATGAGGGGGGTGAAGTTGGGGTGAAAGAAAAAGAAAGGAGGAGGACGGAAAGATTGAAGAGTCACACTGCAGAGGACGGGGTTTTAAGAAGAGAAGAGTGAGTCAACCGCAATCCGCGTTTCCATGAGAATTACTTCCCCGCCAACGCTGGTAGCCTCAGGCCAATCATGCCGGGGCTGCCCCTCGCCGCGAATTAAGCTCGCCGTACAGAGAGTTACCCGAGGAGACACGGTACCGTACCATACCGTCACGCTCTGACAGAGATCTGGACGGGGCGTCGCTTGCCATTTGCAGTATAACAGTGGCTTGCAACAATTATTGGGTCCCCGTGATCACTTGATAGCTGGGAAAGATGTCTGTCTTCATGGTCATAAGATCTCACTTTCCTCAATGGGAAAAAATGTGTCTGTCGGCTTGGCGAGGAGCAAAATTACGCCCTTCTGTTTAAACTTTGCCTCGCCTATTGCACTCACCGAGGGCAATTCCGGCGGGTGTAGGTCCATCGAGACTTGGCTTGATTAACGGCTGCCTCCCGGGATTCTTGGCTAAACCGGCCGATAGCTAGTCCGAGATCTACGTTGTATATACACGACTGTATATAGACATTAGACAAAGGGGGTGAATGGCATAGACCATTTCCAAGTACTTCATGGTAATAGTCGGAGAATGTGGTAACAATAAGAATAGATTTGGTTTTTATCAAATATGGTTACAGGGCCCTTGACAGGGCCTCCCACTGTTGACTGTCAACGACAGCAACAGACCCTTCACAGCGCCGGCATGACAACAGCTCAACCCCAACCAGGTATTGAGCCTCACCATGCCGCGACATCTGTGCACACATTCATTCTGCCATAGGCAATAAAAATAAGAGCGGGAATTGAAAGACAAAAAACTCAACGAAGAAAGGCAAAGGACTCAAATGAGATCCCTTTACCATGCTATTCGTGAAAAATTGGTCAGCAGAGTATTTAGCTGCCGGGGACCAGGCCCTTCAGGCCGGCACCGATGTCACCCTCGCGGGCGGCAATCTCAAAGTAGCCGTAGATGATACTATAAACAAGATTAGTCATGTTACTAATGCTTAACTGTACGGGTGTGGGGTCGATCAAAAACTTACGTCACGGCAAGCAGGATACCAGTACCACTGCCCAGGGCACCGAGAAGGTCAGAGGCAACGGACAGAGCACCAATGCAGGCACCACCGAAAGCGGCGGCGGTGGGAATAACGCGCTTGAGCTCCTTGTACATGCTTTGCTCACGGTGGCCGGACATGACGAGACCCTGGTCCTTGAGCTGCTTGGCGACATCACGGGGAGCGGAGCCGGAGACCTCAATCCAGGTCTTGGAAAAGAGGGCACAAGCAACCAGCATGAATGCAATGTAGACAGCGGTGTGGATAGGGTCGAGGAGAGCCTCCTTGAAGTTCAGAGGGGGAGACATGTAGTAGGCGATACCGGAGGAGGCGAACAGCTGAGCAGAGCCCTCACGAGGCTCCCAGACTCCGAGAAGCTTGACAAGGAGGTTGTCGGAAAAGCGGGAGTACAGCATCTGGGAGATCAGGAAGATGTTGGAGGACAGAGCGGACTGGAGCATGATGGGCATGTTCGAGGTGTAGAACAGGCGAACGGGGTAGGAACCGCGCATGCCACGCTGGCGGGCAGACTTGACGGGGATCTCAACACGGAAGCCCTGCAGGTAGATGACGGCGGCGAAGACGACGAGGGTGGCCAGGAGGTTCATAACGTTGGGCAGGTTCTGGCGGTAGAAGGCCTCGTACAGGGCGCGCTGCTTATCGGGCCAGGTCAAAAGAAGGTGGAACAGGGCGATAATAGCACCCTCGAACTCGGGGCCGCGACCGGTGTTGATGGTGGTCGGGGAAAAAGCCTTCCAGACTATGGACTCGCAAATGTTGGTAGCGATAAATAGCGAAATACCGCTGCCCAGACCGTACCCCTTCTGCAGAAGCTCATCCAGCAGAATGACAACAAGACCGGCAACAACCAGCTGGACAATCAGGAGGACACAGATACCCGCTCCAAGGTCGCTGGGCTGACCATACAGACCTGTCAGGACGTACACACAGGCCTGGCCGAAGGACAGGATGATGGCAAACAGCTTCTGAGCGGTCTGATAGAGCTCGCGGTCGGTCTTAAGGTCCAGGTTGACATCGATGAGGTGGGTCCCGGCAAGGAGCTATGGGAAAAGAAGAATAGGTCAGCATTGAGTGGTCCCGTAGCCATAGGTAACAATTGGCGTTATTGTACATACCTGGAAGACCATACCGGAGGAGATGATCGGTGTGATACCCAGCTCCATTAGAGTACCACGGTTACTGGCCAGCATCATACGCAGCCAGTATAGGGGGTCGGAGGTATCGGAGGAGACGATACCGTAAAGGGGCATCTGGCTCATGACCAGGAAAATCAAGAGAGTCAACTAGAGGAGAGGAGTATTAGGATTGGTTACAGAAGGTTCGCGGTTTTGTAGCAACGTACGCCCGTCCACATCAACTTCTGGTTGAACGGCACCTTGGTCTCAGGCGCAGCCACCTCCGGGAGGAGGGGCGTGAAGGGCTTGATCAAGTCAAGGAAGCGAACTGGTTGCCATGGTGAGTCTGAGGTGCGAGCAGATTGAGGGCGAGCTCGAGGCAACTTCCGCTTGGAGTTGCGACGATCGCGTAGCCTCATTTGATGGGTGATGAACTTACGACCGCTCATGATGAATGTCTTCCCTCCAATCCGTCGAAAAAGAAAAAGAGGTAGCTGGAATTGACACCAGCAGAAGGAGTGGAAAGGCTGGGGAAGAGATGGGAGAAAGAAAAGAAAGGAGAGGGGGAGGTGGAAGACGGGGATGTCGGAAGGAGATGAGGGAGGAAAGTCGCAGAAGAGGTTCGCTGGCCACTTTTCGCTTCGCGCTAATTAAGGCCACTTGGTCTTCGCCGCACACCACCCCCGTTGACTCAACCCAACACCTGCAGGCGGCGATCGTTTCATGCTGGCGAGCTCAATTGATTGGACCCTTTCTACGACTTTCGATTTTACTGTCCCAGCTGTCCTTTTACGAGGTGTACAGTATGTGTCCAGAGGGTGTACCCCAGTGTCGCGCGACCCGAGCTTATCCCCACACTACAGCCCGGCGGCCTCAGGGTCTACCAGCGTACGCATATCCTATGGGAACAGCTCTCCCACCACGCATTTCATCAAGAACCCTATATTATCGCCCGGGACTCGCGGGCTGCTATGGAGTATCGGAACATTCGTAGAACAGATCATGTGCAAAAAAATAGGAAAAACAAACAGCCGCCGCGCTATTCTATAGAGACACCAGGTCTATGCGAGATTGCAAATGGACATAATCAATTCAATAACCAAGTCGTCATGCGAGCCTCGCTCAAGGACCAACAAGACCAATGCAGTCATCAATGACCAATTCCAGCTCGCCCAATCGAGTCTTCAGTCCTCTGTTCTCGTCCTTGAGAACTCCCATCACGCTCCAGGCCTCCGAGGCTGGAACACCATGGCAGTTGCTGCACTGGTTCGGGTTCCCATTGTTTCCAACAAAAGAGCTACCCAGACGTGTCGATGCAAGACCCTTGATTACACGGTCGTAAGCCGACGAACGGGTTGGGGTTGGTGAGCTCGTGACATTGGCGAGGCTCTTTTGGATTGCGGTTATGGGGGTTTGGGTTGGAGCAACGGTGGGTGTGGAGAGGACGACCTGCGAGAGATTGGGGGAGGGCGCGGTGAGGGTGGATGTAGGAGACTCCACGCCTTCTTTGTGAGAGAAGACGCTATCGGCAACACTCTCATCTCCGGATTCGAAACCAGAGTCACTGGTGAGGGTACCGTGGCTGGCACGTTTGCCGCCCCGGTGGGGAGTCTGAAGTACGAGCGATGGAATTTCTTCGTCATTGGGGATCGCACGCATCGTGCGGCCGCGGCTACGACTCTCTTCTTGCTGTCGTAGGCGTCGCTCCTGTTCAAGTTCTTCGGCCATGGCTTTCATGGCCTTCTCCTGATCCAGAACTTTAGCTGCCATGCCGTCTAATTGCATTCGAAGATTGTCGGCGCGAGCCCGGGTTTCCTCGAGCTCTTCTTGCTTTTCATTTTTCGCAGCGAGGGCTTGGTGCATGGCAAAGGTTCTTTCCTTGTAGGCCTCCTGCATTTGTTGGATGACCGTGCTGGCCTGCTCTCGCAGGGTGTCGAGGGCATCTTCGTTGTCGACGTCGGAGTTTGGCAGAGACAAGGCCACGGCGATGTCCAAGTTCAGGAACTCGTCGTCGGCGGGCGCCGGAGGTGGAGGAAGAGGCTTCTCATCTGGCAGTTTACGCAGACCAAAGAAGGAAAAGCCCGAGTTGGTCCGGGTATGTGAGGAGCGGAAGGTGGTGAAGCGAGCGTTCTCCATGTCGTCTGGTTCGGGTTGTCCGCTGGAACGTGTCGTGATTCCCAAATTGACTGGATCTGATCTGCCCTGGAACCAATCCGACAGGATCCTTGCTCGTGCCTCAAGCTTCTTTTTGGGGAATGTATCGGTCCAGGAGGGGGCGGAGGGGGCCAAGCTGTGCTTTGACCGGCGGTCACTCGCGGTGGAATCGTAGAGGTCTTCTTCAAAGATAGGGGGCCGGGCGATGTACTCGGTGTTTGCTCGGCGGTGTGAGGGCAAACTGTGGAAGTGGTTTTCCAGAGAGGTCAGAGGGATCGTCGATTTCGGGGGTGACGAGGCAACAGTCTCGTGTGGCCCCTGGGAGTCATCGGAATGTAGGGAGATTGAGGAGGAGAGATGGGACGACATGGCAGCGAAGGAGTCTAGGTCGATGATTCGACCTTTCGGAGAGTCAGGAGGGCCGACTCGATTGCAATGCCACGTCGAACTGCGTTGCTGTGGCGTCGCTGGTGTGTTACTTGGCCAAGTGGAGAGTCTGGAGGAAGGCAGTCGGCACTTGACCTTACACTAGGGTATGTGGTCGAGATGGGGGGAAGACGAAACAACCCCTGAGCACAATCGCCGAGAAAATCAGGACCCAACGGAGGATAGACTCGACTGTGTCGGTTTCACCGTCTGCACTCGTCCCTTATTTTTCCTTTTGAAACGCGGCGCCGGCCAAACAAACGGAGAGGCTGGGAAGTATGAAATAGCGGTGGCTGACCAGCTCCTCCTGCTCCACCACGGCGGCTCCACCATGGAATCTTCTCTCCATTCTCGAAGCGATCCCAGGCAGCCGGGTGGAATTCTTATCCACGCAGATTTACTGACGGAACATTCGATCACGACGGTTGTTGCGCCTTGTCAGACAGCCGATCGGTCCAGCAAGATTCCGCACGAGCTTCGCGTCATCGTGCCCACGTTCGCACATCTTCGTCTTCCCGGCCACCATGACGCCCGCCAACCCCGGCCTGAAGCACCTGTCGAATGCCCTCGCCACTCCGGACCAGCTCTCAAACACCTCCTCGTCGATTGATGGTGTTCCGACGGACTTGGAAACGTCGATCCGCTGCGCCGGTGCTCAGCTCACACAGGCCGCAGGCATCCTGCTACACCTGCCGCAGGATACCATTGCGCAGGCCATCGTGATTTTCACGCGCTTCTGGCTTGGAGCAGATGGGGGTAGCCTACGAATCTATTCGGCCAAGGTGTGCAAACAACCCCATGTCATCGGCAATTACAGTCAGTCTTGGAATACCTTCTAACCTCGAATCAACCTCTCGCTCGACAGGATGTATCAGCCGCCGCCCTCTTCCTCACAGCCAAGCTTTCCTTCAACCCCACCTCACCACGCTCTATCCTAAATGTCTACAACTTCCTCCTTTCACAAGAAGTCTCACCGCTATGGTTTGTCAACCCGCGCGGGGCACCCAGGGAGCCCCCGCCCTCAGAGAGCTATATCCTCACCGAAGGTGGCTATCAATCGGCACGATTGGTCCTGATGCGCATCGAATCCGTCATCCTACGCACCCTGAGCTTCGACACACATGTCGCGCTCCCCCATACCATCGCCCTCACCTACCTCCAAACACTCGGCGTGACAAAATCCGCAGTGGCCCGCCGAACCGTCGAGCACCTTAACGCTACACTATTCTCACCCCAGCTACTATACGTGACACATCAACCAAATGCCCTGGCAGTAGCGGCCATATATCTTGCAGCGCGCGAAGAAGAGTTCAAGTTAGTTGACGGTGAATGGTGGGAGGTATTTGATGTTGATAGAGAAGAGCTGGGATTTCTCGTGGTTGGCATGAGAAGTACCGAAGGCTTCATGCGCGCGGAAGTAGAACAGTGGAGAAATAGGCCGATTCCTTTGGTGATTGATCAGGTTGACGCGGAGATAGATCGCAGGCAAAATATGAGAGAAGGCGAGTGAATCTAAAGAGATCAAAGCTGAAAAACTTGCAAGCATGAATCTCACAGCCTTCTAGAGCTGGTGACTCAGTGCACAAACTGAACCGGTCCACAGTCTAGGCAGTTGATAGCCACAGACGGACTCTAGGCATCAAGTCGGAGTATTGGCTGCGGAGGGGCCTAGTAAACACTAGTAGTAGAATGCTGGGGTCACCCGGCCTACTATGAGTCACCTCAACATGCCGAAAACTGTAGATTCAATCAGAACTCAGCAAAGGTGAAGAGCGCAATCAGCTGAAAAAGAGGCAACTCTGGCAAAAGGTGTAGAGATCAAATGGCGATGCAATGAGCTCACGCGGGGCGGATCATGTGCTCCACCGCTTATCAAGATTAGCCCCCGCCTTCATCTCCAACATCACCGCTGGTTGCTATTGTCCTCTCCAATACGCTCCTACTGTGCCATAGCACACAGACGAAACCATGAATATCCTTCATTCAACGATATCCACCTGGCGCGACCGTCTGGCCCCCGTCTCTCGAACCTCCACCTTCCGTTCCACCGGCCAAATCACTCCCGAGGAGTTCGTTCTTGCAGGCGATTACCTTGTTTACAAGTTTCCAACATGGTCCTGGGCCGACGCCTCCAGCCCTGCCAAGCGTGTTTCCTACCTTCCTGAAGGGAAACAGTTCCTCGTCACCCGCGGCGTTCCGTGCCACCGACGCTTGAATGACAACTTTGCTGGCGATGCGGACCACGAAGATGAGCTTGTGCGGGACATGTTGTCCGGGGACGCTGGTGAAAGCGCCGGTACTGCTGACGGTGACGACGGCTGGTTGAGGACCGGCGGTGGTCGTGATGTTGCGGCGGATCGAGCAGAGCAGGAGGCTCGAATTCGGGACGTACGGACTCTCAACGAGTCTGGTAATCTCGGCGAGCAGGAGGAAGACGAGGAGATCCCCGACATGGAAGACGATGATGACGATGAGGAGGCCATTATCCGCGAGCCTGCTGGGCAGTCCAGCACCACGCAGTAAGTACTATCTACCTTGAGCTTGTATCTATCTGCATTGCTCCCATCTATCTCTGGAAGTTACTTCGGATGCTAACATACCATCAAACTCAGGCCGCTTCGAACCTACACCCTCTATATCACATACGCCAACTTCTACCGGACCCCCCGCCTTTACCTTTCGGGCTACCTCTCCCCATCCGAGCCTCTTCCGCCCCATCTTATGATGGAAGATATCGTAGGGGATTACAAGGACAAGACCGTGACACTCGAAGACTTCCCTTGGTTCGACGGCGGTGTGAAGATGGCTTCAGTGCATCCCTGCCGCCACGCCTCCGTCATGAAGACTCTCCTAGACCGTGCCGACGCAGCTCTCAAGCTCCGCCGTGAGAAGCTGAAGCAGACCCAGTCTCGCGAAGAAGCCAACCGCGTTCTCCAAACCGGCGGCGGTCTTGATGGCCTGGTCGATGGGACGCAGGGCCTCTCACTGGGCGAGCAGCAACAGCACCCTAGCGGCGACGAATGGGAGGTTCTGCAAGCCGATGAGGAGGAACAGTCTGCCATTCGGGTTGACCAGTATCTGGTTGTCTTCTTGAAGTTCATTGCCAGCGTAACTCCGGGCATCGAGCACGATTTCACGATGGGAGTTTGATGGTCCGCGCCACCCATCATCTCCTTTTTTTCATAGCGAAAATTTCGATGACCGAGCCCTACTGGGCTAGGTTTTGTGTGTGTGAGGCCGAGGATGGGCCTCGGCTTCTAGAAACGTGATAACGGATGATACGATATGACTCGGCGTTGATTTGCTGACACCCAATCTATTTTGATTTGCCTCTTGGGTACTTCGTCGTAACTATTGAATGCGTTTAGTGCAACGTAGGCTCCCCTAAGGTAGATACAGAGATAGCGGTCTGTGCTTGTTTTCCTTTGATAATGGATTCTGCGAGGTGATGCATCACATCACAGACCAAACTATTGCATTCAGACCATCTACGACCCCTAGCGTCATTTCTCTGCACATCCAGGCCCAGACCTGTGGGAGATTGCCTTCTCCACCGATAGAGACCGAAGAATCACAAATCAATGTCCAAAAAGCAAGATGCCATTCATTAAAGTCTGCAGTTATCAACATTATACAGACAATTTTATTTGGAAATGCTGAAGAGGTGAAAATTCAATAAATGTAAATGCAGATGCAAATGTATTCAATCCAATTCCAGACAGAGATAACAGTAAATTGTAAACAGTGCGGAATGTTGAAAGCACGCCCGGACTCCCAACCACCTAGAACAAGCCAATCCTAAACATTCAAAAGGTAATAGTAAACATGGCCCTATGTATCAGCCGAGATACAGGTATCTGTGGTTGTGTGTAAATGCGATCCATCGAAACATGATGGACCCATCAAAAAATGGTAACAAAAGTGTGCGCAAGAAGAAAAATTAGGCCCCAAGTACATCAGATAGAAAAAAATACAAAATCCACCGAGAATACATAAATGTAAAAAAAGACATGTTCAACGAAGAACCCGACGGATCCAATCGTAGTCGATCTCATATATCAATGATCACTGCATGTTCCCCAGACTTAGGCGAAGAAACCCAGAATGATAGGAAGAGCAAGGGCCATGAGCGAAGAGCTCGGGGCCATGGTAGAACCGGCGTTGTACACAGGCTGCGAGGGGGTAACCGAAGGCGCGGGGTGCGGGATCAGAGGAGTCGAGGTGACAGGGACCGGGGTCGGGGGAGCATAAGCGGCCGGCGTGGTGATGGTGGGAATTACGATGGGGGTGGTGTAAGTGGGAGGGATGTACGAGGGCACATAGGTCTCCGTGTGGACCTCAGTGATAGCCGGGGGAGGAACCTCCTCAACGATCTCAGGGCAAGGCACGGCTTCGTGCTGGTCGTGGGTGCCGGCACCGAAGCGGACGCCAGGACCCCCGGGAATACTGACGTCGTAGCCAGCACCAGCGTCATGCTCGCTGTTGATGCCAGGGCCGCAGGGGCCATGGTGCTCGCTGTGAGTTCCGGCGCCGAACTTGACTCCAGGGCCACCGGGGATGGCGACGTCGAAGCCGGCTCCGGCATCGTGCTCGCTGTTGCCATTTGCGGGAGTAGTGTCGGCATCGTGGTCACCACCAAGAATGGGAAGACCGTTCTATTTTTTTCGGTGTTAGCTGTCGATCTTTGTGGGTTGTGGAGCGAGGAAGATCGATCCATGTGGTTCGGAAACTTACCAGCTGGGGTGCAGAGAGAACGGCGGCGGGGCCAACGGCGAGGAGAAGGCACAGGGCCGAAGAGACAGTGAAAGAGGTGGAAGGCATTGTTGTTGTTGTTGTTGTTGTTGTTGTTGTTGTTGTTGTTGTTGTTGTTGTTGTTGTTGTTGTTGTTGTTGTTGTTGTTGTTGTTGTTGTTGTTGTTGTGAATTGAAAGCGTAAAAGCTCGAAAGGAAGTAATCCGTATTAAAGATTGTTCGTTGGAAGTTGAAGCGAAGGCTTAGGGAGCTAGCTCCGAGAGAATGAGAATGTGAAGAGGAGAGAAAGAATGACTGTCCGAGACTTTGTTGTCGAATGGATGATGGAAAGAAGAACTTGAATCGAAGTCACCGGCCCTTTATGTAGTTTCTGAGAGGGCCAGAATTCGAAGTATCCGAGGGGCATTGTGGGGGAGAAACCAAGGGCCAAGGGCCAAGGGCCAGCCAGGAACCAAGACGCTGCAAGGCTACGGACTAGCCCTTGGTGGCTTTCCCTTAACGACCGCCACAAGGACGACGATCGGCAAGGTACCAGGGGTATGACAGTTGCCAATGATAAGAAACAGGCGAGATGAGAGGTATCAGGTCTTGTGCAGAGGCATTCGTTGCTCTGATTTGCGAACGTGGTCAATATCGAGAATTCGGCTGTGCATGGCCTAGAGCGAGCATTGGAAGCTTATGCACGAGACCGATGCCCGAGCCATCCGAGCTACTGTACTGTAGCCTGCATTGGTGCATTGGAGGAAGGACGACCCGGATCTTCGCTGTCGCTGTGAGTAACATGGGGATTAACGAACCACACGTGAGGCCGGGGTCGAAGCTTGCAGAAGCCATGCAAGGGACGGCACAGGGAGCCCTAGAGTCGAGGCCCACTTCCGCAGGACTCCGCAGGAGGCGCCTGTAGGGCGAGAGTGGGCTCAGCCAACTGGTTGCCCCAGAGTCGACACATCACACGCAAGGAACGTCAATATCAAAGACCACAGGAGACATCAGACGAGAATCGTGGGTGCCTGGGCTGCTCCAGTGCCGCATTGTCCTAGAAACAAAATTGAAAACAGAAGAAAGGAAGTAAGATCATATTGCAATGAAAGGAAATAATAATGAAAAATGAGGATAATTTATGGTATTCAAACAAATTGAGCGTATCTCGTCAAATCGTAAGGTATCTTCGCCGATAAAAAAACAGAAATTTGGACAGAGGATGCAATTCAAGATGAAGGTGAAAGTCAAAAAGTAACATGCATACTCCACAGGGCACCGTGACTGAATGAATAGATCACAAAAAGTCAAGTGCCAATGGTGGGGAAGTCTGTGTCCCCTCAGAATTTACCACAGCTCGATAGTCCGAAGGCCGTACCAAAATTGGTCGACTTCCGAAACTTGATTTCCGGTTCTTGTTCTCCCTGGTTCATCGACAGCTCGGGATCGCTTTCCTCCACCTCGCCAGAGTCGGCTGAGGTAGATAGAATCCGCTTGGCTTGGTCAAGGAGCTTTTGATCCAGTTCACTCAGGAAACTATTGTCGTGGTCCTCGTCATTGATGAGACCAAGGGCCCCCTTCAGGGCCGGATCTTCCGGCAGATCGGGGAAATAGGAGGCCCTGTTTTCGGTTGGTTGGTGGACATGTGTTGCCATGGGGGCCAGAGGGGCTTCCTCATCGCACGGGGGCTCCGGCGCCTGCTCCTGCTTCTCGATGGGAGAAGCCTCCTTGGTAGATCGTTGGCTCACGTCGGCTTCGATGATCGCCATTGGGGTGTGACCTGCATTCTTCACGAGGTTCTCACTGGGTGGGCCGAGTTCTGACAGCTTCAACTTGAGACTGTTTCGGTGTTCCATGTCGGGCCTTGCAGGTGCCGAAGGGGCCGTTGCAGGGGAAGACGTCTCCAGGGACGACGGGGAGGGCGGGGTGATCACTCGAGCGACTACCCCAGGTGGCAATGCAGAGGATTTGAGTGTAATTCCGTCGAGACTACTGTCAAGCTTCTCGATCGGCACTGGCACACTGACGGCCGCGCCGGCCGCATCTATCGCTCGTGACTGGGGTGAAAGTGCTGCATCAAGGGAGGGAGGGATGCTGTCACTCCCTTGGCCAGTGGGCGACAGGTGAGCGTTGTCTGGGACATCTTCATCACGGAAGACCCTTGTCGGTCGGCCGCCAGGGCTTGAACCCTCCCAAATCTGCGCTGAATGCACGGAGGGCTCGTTGGCTGCTCGGTATTGAGGCATTCCGAATGCAGGCTTCGCAGTATGCGACAATGAAGAACTCGACTGACTCTTTTGGCCTTTGAGCATCGATCCCAGTTCCGCAATTTTTGTCCTTAACAGTGTTCGTTCCTGCTCCCACAATTGGCGCTCCTGGGCAAAGAGCTTCCTCTCTCTCTCGAAATTGGCCCGCTGGCTGTCCATCAAAGCTCGCGATTGGTCGATGTAGGAAGTATCTAATCCAAGAGGTGCATTTTCTGGGACGCATGACATTTTGGCCCGTTGATAATTTGTTGACGCCGCGGAGGGGGTACTTCCCGAGACGGATTTGGTACGGCGCAGGGGTGTCGCAGTCGGCGAGAAACGCACTTCCTTATAGACGCTTCCATGGCCGTCGGGCAGATCGGTCGCGGAGGATTTCATGATTCTGTCGCGAAGGATATGAGGTCCTCCACGCCGTGCAAAGGGAAATTCGGTGCCTTAAATTGCCGGTCCTGGCGGTCTGGGGAAGTTTTCGCTGGAGGGGCGTGTGGATCCTGGAGGGGAAATAATGGAGACGAATATACTACAAGCACACCACCACGGATTCGGTGCAAAAAGGGGCCAGCTCAGCTCGCAGGTGGTTTTTCTACGAGGTTGCCGGCTTATCTGAGCAACGGTCCAGACCCATGTTAGTGGACCCGTGTGAAGCATGTTATCGCAGCTCGGCAAAGCTGCAGTGGAGTACTTACGAGAGGCGGTCAATAACGACTGCGATGCAAACCGAGGGCACACAGTCCCATCTACCCTCCAGGAACTAGCGCGTTCATGCGAGGTCCCTGAGGGAGCGTTGGGAGGGTACAGGTGGCTTGTCGGTGGGATTCGCTGTTCAGGCACCACGCGTCCAGCGACGACTGGCTTGCGTGGGACAGAGTTGGGCAGCTTCGAATCTGCGCTGGGCGAGTTGGGAAGGGTGTATGTCTGGAGATGAGACGAGTAAAATAGGTATAACGGGAGATCGTGGAACCGAGGTCGGTCGAATGGGGTGAGGATTAAAAGCAAAGCGTGGGCATCTCAGGGACTCTTCATATGACTCGGATGACGTCAAAGGGGCCCGATGCGACCCCGGATTCCCCCGCTTGCCCCAACTGGGCCTCCCGAGAGTCAAGAAACTGGTCCCTTGGATGTACCTGTAGTCGTACCAGAGGTCAAGTCGCAGGTGTCGCCGTTTTCGATGTTCGGATTGTACTAATTTGTGATCGTTGCTACTCCACATTTCCAGTGTTGAGATCAGATTAATCGGGCCATCAGATAGCAGCCCTACAGCAAGCCCTAGGCACCCGGCTAGTAGGTCGTAAATTTAGAGATCAAGAATAGTGCAAACCGAGTTACAACATCCTAGTGTATTCTTGTCGATTATTCCCACTGTGCGGCGCTGATCTACGGTGCTCTATCTAATTTGAGCTGGCGTGTCAACAATGCTGATTACACACTTGATATATATCCGTGCGTCATTTGATGGTCACTATGTAACATTCTGTAGACTACTGTATACAAAGGAATATCGTTTCATCCAATTACGCTGGTGCATGATTTTGTCAGTATAAAGGTGATACACTGTATAATAAAGACAGGATAATTGATGTACATTGCATCATACGGAATGGCATCATCCAAATGGTCGACTTGATGTGATTGTAATCGTTGTTACCATCTGGTTACAATTGATCAAATACAGGTGCTTTTGCAGACACTACCTAGGCACGTCGCATGCAGGATGAAGCGCGAAAAAGTGCGAAAACAAATGGATGCTCAACCGAAATAAATCCTTTCGCCAGGTCTATACGCTGGACGTTTGGGTGTCGAAACCATCAAACGCAGCAGAAACAAGCCCACTCCTATGTGCGGTAATCACCGTTGATAGTCACGTACTCGTGGCTGAAATCGCAGAACCAGTAAACTGCATCCTCACCACCACGGCCAGCATCGCCCTTCTCACCACCACCAAGGTCGATCTCAATCTCCAGGTCCTCGTTCTGCAGAATGGCACTAGCACGCTCCTCATCTACAGTCTCGGGCTCGCCGTTGACCAGCAGCTTCAGGATAGGGCTACCGTCCACAGGGCGGAAGCTCACAGAGGTACGCTCAGGAACAACGGTACCGTCACGAACACCCTGAGTGTATCCGACAGCGCAGAGGATACGGCCCCAGTTGGCATCCCGGCCGTAGAGAGCAGTCTTGACCAGAGGAGAGCGGGCAATGGTAGAAGCAATCAGGCGGGCGGACTCGTAGTCGGGCGAGTTGCGCACGCGGACAGTCACGAACTTGGTAGCGCCCTCACCGTCACGGACGACGAGCTGCGAAAGCTCCTGGGCAAAGTCGGTCAGAACAGTCTGCAGCGCCTTGTAGTCCTCGTTGGACTCGGAAGCGGGCACGGTGTTTCCACCGGCCGCTCCGTTGGCCAGCACGGCGATGGTGTCATTAGTACTGGTGTCACCGTCGATGGAGATGGAGTTGAAGGAGCGGGACACGGCGTGCTTGAGGAGGGATCGCAGAGCGGCGGGTTCAATGGCGGCGTCGGTGCACAGAACACCCAGTAGAGTGGCCATGTTGGGGTGGATCATACCAGCACCCTTGGTCATACCGGCAAGACGGTAGGTGCGGCCCGGGGAGGAAGGCAGGGTGAATTCGCGCGAGAGAAGCTTGGGGAAGGTATCGGTGGTGCAGATAGCACGGGCGGTGGTGAGCCAGGCCTCGTGCGAGGAGGCGAGGTTAGAGTATGCGGTGGGAATGAGGTCAATGATCTTGCTGATGGGCAGGCTGTTCAAAGAATTGGTTGGTATAGGCTCGCCAGGCACCTGTCATTCAAAGAGTCAACTTACCGCTGTCCAATGACACCGGTGCTCATTACCAGCGAGCTATCATTCTCGACACCATTGCACTGGTCCACTGTGCGACCCATCTGGACAGCATCCTCCAGACCACCCTTTCCAGTCACAGCATTGGCGCAGCCAGAGTTGATGACGACAGCCCGGATGCCCTCTCCCTTGCGAGTGCGCAGCGTTTCCCTGCTCACCTGCACCGGCGCGGCTTGGAACTTGTTCGTGGTGAAGACGGCGGCGGCAGAGCACGGGGTCTCCGAAGCGATCAGCGCGAGATCGGGGAAACGCGTGTTGGAGGCCTTGACACCGACATGGGTGCCGGACACCAGGAAGCCCTGGGGATACGTGCCGGAGGTGGGGATGTAGCGCTGCTTGGAGGGCGGAATGGCCATGTCCAGCGGTGCGGAGTAGCATCGCACTTGGCCCTTGAGCATGCGGGCAAAGGAGCTAACCGCCATGGTAGCGGTGGGCGAACTGGAAACCATGTGTCGTAGTTGGAGGACGACCAGTCTGTCTAAGACGTGGTGAGCTCAGGCGGATTGAGTATGGAGGGAAGCGGACAATCCCTGCACCGCAATGACTCCGGAAAGTAGAGAGTCAATCAGCTGCGATAAGAAAAAGCTCACCGATCTCGGCGCTGATCGTCTCCGGGATGGTGCGGCGTGAGCCCACAGCAGCTCGCGACGGAACAGCCTAAACTTCCTGAGGTACAGCTGCCTATTTGAAAAGAGAAAAGAATCGGCTTCTGGGATTGACGGTCGCTTGAGTTGGAGATGGCTATTGTGTTGTACTAGTAGGGGATTCTACTGCGACGCTCACATGACCTGCTCCGAACCAAGGTCTTGTAATTCGAGGAACCGTGAAAAGAAGCAATGATTTGGAACTATAAATTGCGCATCCAATACAAATCCCAACGCGAGAGGCGGCCGGTAAATACCTCGTGGACGAGCGCATTTTCGTCGCAGAGCGGAGCCGGAGAAACCGCAGAAAATCCACCCGCGCGTTTAATCATTGGAAACTCCACCGAGCCTCTATCTCTGTCCTGCCTTCTGTCTAGACACCGCGTCAATTCTCGCATTTCAAGGGAAGATCCGTGACTGCTCTGTACTACACTGCATCGTGCATGACACGCTGAAACAGCCCTTCGAAAAGAGCCCCCCCCTCCAGCCAAGGCTAAGGCTCCCCTTGCGTCGCGTCCCTGTATACATTCCTTGGATCTGATGGTAGTAAGTGTTGCTTCCCTTCCCCATTGCCCTCTCAATCCAGAAACGTCCTCTGACTCACCAACCATGAAGCGCAAGCTGTCGGATTCCGGCCTGGAAAATGAGCATCCGGCCGTCTCAACCCCGAAGAGACCACGGACGGCTCTCCAGCAGGCGAATGGCGCCCTTAACGGCCAACACCCTCCTCCGAACGACGATGACACCTACGAACTGCCTCCTGTGCCGAATGGCCAATCGACACCCAAGAAGACAAATGGTGTCGCCGCAACTCCGCTCAGGGAATCGGGATTGAGGACGCCGTCACAGAAGTCGAAAGCCCGGTCACTTTTTGCTACGCCCACGAAGCCCAAATCCACGACAGCTGCGACTCCGTCCCGCATCAAGAATGCAGATCGATCGGCGAAGAAGAAAAGTGCGCGCGTTTTATTCGAACAGGATGAAGATGGCGAGTGGGATGGATCGGAACAACTGGCGGCGGAGATTCTCCAAGATGATGAGCCGCAAGTCGACAAGGCCGGCGACACAGTCATGGAGACGGTTGAGGCCGATGGCGCGGAGAAGCCAGCAGGGACAGAAGCGAAAGCCCCCAAGCGCCGAGCGGGTCGACCGAAAGGAGCAAGGAATAAGCGATCTCCGACCCCAGAAGGCGAGCTGCCGGCGCATGAGCGCTATTTCTTCCAGAACCGTGCTGGAACGACCAAGACATCCAACACAACCTTGAACAAGGTCCCGCTGTTGACACATGAGGAGTATTTCGAGAAATTGGGTCAATTTGTCGATCCTTGCAAGGACGAGAAGGAATATTTGCTGTCGTTGCACCACCGATCATTCCCGCAGTGGTACTTTGAGCTGGAGCAAGGGTTCAATATCTGTCTATTTGGTTACGGATCGAAGCGCAGACTGGTCCAGCAGTTTGCCGACTGGCTGTATCATCGATCCGCACCAGGGAGCCCGCCATCTATAATTATCGTAAATGGTTATACACCCGGTATCTCCATTCGATCGATTTTCGCTACCATCGCCTCTGCGATTTTGGGCGATGAACTACCCTCCAAGCTGGGTGCGCAGCCGACGGAGGTGCTCGAACTTTTACAATCAGCGTTAAAGGCTCGACCGAACCTCGCGCCCATCACAGTCCTTATCAACTCTGTCGATGCGCCGCCTCTCCGACGTGCTGCCAACCAAGCCCTTCTCAGTCGTCTCGCTGCTACACCGCGTATCCGACTTCTTCTTACGGCTGATACCCCCAATTTCCCCGTCATGTGGGACATCAGTGTACGGGACCATCTGAACCTGGTGTTCCATGACAGTACTACCTTTTTCCCCTTTGCCGTCGAGGCAGACGTTGTGGAAGAAGTCCACGAACTACTTGGTCGGAAGGGCCGTCGCATTGGTGGCAAAGAGGGTGTGGGCTTCGTTCTGAAGAGTCTTCCAGAGAATGCTCGCAACCTCTACCGACTCCTGCTGACAGAAGTGATTACTGTGATGGACGACGGCCACCAGTCCGACGACGAGGGAACCGGCGACGGTTCTGGCGGTAAGGCGGGCGAAGAGAATGGCATTGAGTTCCGCCTGCTGTACCAAAAGGCAACGGAGGAGTTCATTGCATCTTCCGAGATGATGTTCCGCACCTTGCTGAAGGAATTCCACGACCATCAAATGATCACTTCGCGAATGGATCCCAGCGGTATGGAAATCCTCGGCGTACCACTGTCTCGCGACGAAATGGAAGGTGTGCTGGAGGACCTGGTGCTGGGATAAGATCGAGTATACCTTATTTGATCCCCGAAGCCTGTGGAGCCGATCGCTGTCATGATACCCCTGTATGAAATATATTGACCAATTTACATTGGAAGTGCTTCGTAGCACCGATGAGTGGATTCATTCCACGGTGTCGTAGACCGCAGAACTTAAAACCTTCTAGGATTTTTATTTACAAACAGATGCCCTGTTCCCTAAAATTGCGCGAAAGCAGCGAGAGCCATTGTCATCCCGAAACTAATCTTGAAAGGCCGGTATTCAGACATAGACCGACGCAAGTCGACATTCTTAACGTATCTTTGCAGTCGATTCAGAGGAAGGATATTGTAGCCTTTCGATGCCGCATACTACACTCACCGTTCGTGTCAGCGTTAAACTCGAGCAAGAGACATGTCCCAGTTAAAACCCAGCCGCAAATCCACTGTGCCGGTGTACCGAGTCTCAAACGAGAACGAGGAGGAATAACAAACCTCAATAAGAACGACGCCCATTCCCAGCAGAACAACCAGCGCCTTCGAAAACGCCCGCAATCCCACCCCCGCAACAAGACCTAGCACACTACCCAGACTAACCTGGCGCATATTCTCCTTCGTCATGAATCCACTGCGCTGCGCCAAGCCCGTTTTTCCCTGCTTCTGAAGAATCGGGTCCTCGGGCTTCACGGCCCATCCGGTCTCCACGTTGGCCTGCGTCTCAGGGCGGTAGTAGGGTGCAGTGTATTGGCATTGCATGGGGGCGGTCCGAAAGGGCGAGAGGGGGTGGAGGGTTGCGGCGGTGACACCAAGGCCGACGCCTAGGCCGAGTCGGGAGAAGAGGGGGAGTGCCATTGCGATTGTTGTTGATGATGGTTGTGAGAGGAGGATTGGAGGAGAGGAGGTTGAGCTCCCTTCAGAGCTGTAGATGCTGCGTGATGTCATAGGCGGTCACAGGTGGGCGGGCCGCGGGCGCAGATTGGTTGCCTGTTGTATACATTCCAGATGCTCTACCCTAGGGAACAGGCAGATATTGATTCACTGGATCATCTCAAATATTGAATTTAGCTGAGTGATTACAGTAACTAGATGGATGCAGGAAGAAAAATTAGCCGAAGCTACAATGTTGACTGCGGAAGTGCGAGTCATTGAGATTTGAATGGTTGGAAGCTTCAACCACCCGAACCTAACGCGACGCATGAGTCGAATAAACACATCGCCACACCCAGTATAGCATACTTTCTATCTTGCGGAAAAAGGTGTTATAATTGGCACTAGGCATAAGGATCAGGTACAGGCAGATTTCGAAATTACTTTCCACAAATCTGATCCCGGACATACTGATCATGGCTGAGGAGCAACAGGGTTCGACCTCTAAATCACAGGCAGAACAGTCCGTGCTGCGATGTTATGCTAATTGTGCTTGGATACCTCATATGGAGTGGGAGTTTTGAGAACAGACAAGGTACCCTTAGGTATTCAAAGGAGATCAATTAAACAGCACACCCACCATGCTCTTCTTCCTTTGGACGCCGCATACTACCCCCCACCTGGTTCCAAGTTCTTACCCGGTCACTTACCAGATCATCTACGTGGTCACTTACCAATGGAAAGGGATCTTCTCTTGCTGTCCAATTTTACATGTATCTGGGTTTAGAGTATTCTGCTGTCTTGGGGTGTTTGTCCTTTTCAAGGACTTTTACTTCAAAGCGCTTAAAACGTCCCTTCCTCATGTGAGTAATACCATTTTATCGGTACTCGAGTACCCACTTAGAAAATCTACCAGGGCCATTTTACTGTACCAGATAAATGTAGTAGAGATGTCATTGAAGAGAGGCGTAATCATCATAACCAATCCATGCAAAGCAACCCGCTGAATCAAATCCCAAGAATGCAAAAAAGTCCATTCCCAAACTCTCAACGCTGAAGAAACCAAAACAGGCAATATACCCTTCAAACCACACTGCACTAGCGTCGATGCCATGCAGACGAGCAAGTGGAAGTCAGGTGTGTAGAACCAACGCTCGGACGTCACATTGGCAGCGCGCAAACACCTCTGCAAATGCAGGTCCGCGCACCCAACCATTCCTTCCAAATAGCCGATCCCACCCCCTTCATCCTCTCATCTAAGTGCCATACCGCATAACGAAGATGCTTCGGCAAAGCCACTCGCAGATCCACCAATGACGTCTCAAGACGCTGTCCTGATCACAAATGAATCGGCCGGTGGTGGATAGACATCGACGCAAAGTACCCTTCAAGATCATCTTCGTTTGGATCTTGTGAAGAACACTTCATCGATCGGCGGCTCTCGCCCGGAGCGCGCCGGTCCGGCGAGCTACTTCGCCAGACGATTTGCTGGGCCTCCTCAAGGAGATGGTGATCGCTCTCTGGTAAAGGGGAGAAGGTGACATCGTTGCACACCACCCCGAAACGAGTCGCTAGATCGAGGACACCGCGAGCAGGACCTTTGCCTTTCCCGCCTCCGGCTTGGGTGGAGGGATAGTAGAATCGTGGATCGAGGTAGAAAAAGACACTCTTCCATCGGGGGAGTCTTTCTGCAAGGATTTTGCTAGCGCGGGCGTACTGCTTCATGGTCCGTTTGGGGACACCTGGCTCGGCATGGACGAAGAAGAATATTTCGAATCCGACGCTGCGAATCCGATGGCGTGCTGTACGGCTCAGCGTGTCGAGGAACTGTCCTATTCGGTCGAGATCAAACGAGTTCCGGAAGAATAATGTGTGTTGAGAGTATAGGAAGTCTTCTGTTTCGTCGTGGATCTGGTGATTAAGGCCTAGCAGCTTGCGTGCTGTGCCATCATCACCTTGCCAGCTCGGACACATTGACATGGCTCTATACTTGCCGCGTGTGGTGAAGACATTGCCGCGATCCTGAATGACTATCATCGGCTTGTCGACATAGTCATTTGGACAGATGAGAGCTTCTTCGTAGATCCTCAGACGAAGCTCGGGCGGTAATTGCAAGAACGAGGTCTTGGGTGGGATGTTATTTCGCTTTTGTCCCATTTTCAAAGCTGGCAAAAAGAAAGAAAATAAAGGTATAGGATGAGCCCGTGAAATAAATTTCTTTCTGAAAGAACTCAAAATTAAAAACGTCGTCGGAAGTCGGTGGCGAGAAACCGGAGGACTTCCTGGAGAACGTGGCGGCTCTTTGTACACCTTTTTTTATTCGCAAACGTGTAATACAAATGACGGAAGTATTTCTGCAGGTACGCCCAGCTAACTGAGACAATCTACGTGCTGGCGATTTGACCCTTTTTTCAAACTAATGCAGCAAAAGCCGAGTTCGCCCTGAATCGGAGACGGTCGAAACTGGCGATGGCGGCATTTCCAGGAAAAAAAATTTACTTTGCTCGGACGATTGACCCATCGAGCCGGCAAGCCGACGGGAAATGCCCATCGAACCATGGGCTGACGTCCGGCCAAGAACAAAACGTCAGTCCCGAACTCAGATGATCGGCCCCTGTACGCAAGTGATACAATGAATACAGCATTCCTATACACAAGCCAGCTCATCGTGGCAACTATCAAATCACCGACCAAGCAAACAGTAAACGATCATGCGCGGCCACGTTTTTTGCAAATCAAGAATGAAACTCCACGATGTCGCGATGGACCTACCAGAAAGCCAAGGCGGGCGGATATCTATTCCTCATGATGCACACACTACTCTGCTATTTTCAGGACATCAACAGAGGGGGCCGCGAAGGAGATATGTGCGTGATCGGGGCAGACGGGTGAAAGGGAGGGTTGAACAAAAGGGACGAAAGAGACCCGATGCTGTGGATTCATGGGATAACCTTGCATTCCACCACCACCGCGACGAAAAGATCGGCGTTCTGCAGAGATGGAAATCGTTACCTGCGCGTATCGATGCAAAAGCATGGTTTCTACTGGCGGGCCGAACCCATTCAGTTCGTCTTGATTCAAACTTATTCGACGCAGATTGGGTTATAGGGCGTCCCGCACGGTGCGATGGCGACGTCTGTATGAGCATGAGCTTGATGAGGGGGTGAGAAATGACCCCCCTACTAGTAGATCTAGGTGTAGCTCTACCGTTGTGGTAATGCTCCTTGATCGGAGGGAAGAGAACGATCGTCGGAGATCGGCTGATGCAGTGGTTCCACTACTTGCGAACGCATCCCGAGAACCAGAACCAGGGATCCTGAGGACCCATGACATCTCGGGTCTTGATAACATACGATCTGCATAGTACGGTAGATTGGGTCCAATGTCTGTATACCCGCTGTGATATGTACTTTAGGTATCGCCCTGAAACAGTGCTACCTGTAGGAGGAGAGCCAAGAGCCCTATATGGATAATTGACCGAGAAACGCCTAGAAAATCACGAGATAATGATATGCTTGGATGCTAGAGGTGGAACAATGTAAATGACCTGCACTGCCTGTTTCAAGTTTTCATCTCTGTCTATACACGCCCAGAGACCAGGCGGCCCGGAGGACCGCCAACCCCCACGCCATGCCTATACTGTCATAGATGACATTCAGCTTGCTGCCCGTGACCTCGCGCCATCCAATGGGGACTTCGGCGACGGGGATCTGGGCGAACTCGGCCAGCATGAGCATCTCGACATCGAAGATCCAGCCTTCGGAGTGCATGTATGGCACGATGTAGGGCAGTGCGGCGCGGGAGAAGAGTTTAAATCCGCACTGTGTGTCCTTGACGGTGGCCGTCTTGGGCGGCGTCATGAGCCACAGAATCAAGTGAAAGGAGTGCATGAGGAAGTTGCGCAACTTGGATCGCTGGATGGATGTTAGCATATCAACCTTGATTAGGCCCTTCGAACTCAGACTCGGACCCCGAGCTTCAAATACTCAATAAGAGACTCACCTTGACAACAGCCTCGCTGCCCACCATATGGGCCCGCGAACCAACAGCCACCCCACGACCATCCTCATCCTCAATCTCCTGACAAGCTGTAACCAGCTTACCAAGATCCCCAAACTTACTCGCACCGTCCGCATCCGCAAAAACTACATACCGTCCCCGAACATGGCGCATCCCATGCGTCACGGCACCGCCTTTCCCCCGATTATGAGTCAAGCTCACAACACGAATAGTGCCAGGCGGGATATGAACGCCTTCGTGGACCTGCGGCGTCCAGGGCCCCGCATTCCCCTTTGGATGGAGCGATAGCTGGTGATCCTTCGCAAAGCGGAAAGCCACCTCCTCAGTGCGGTCCGTCGAGCCGTCGGAGACAATAACGATTTCCCATCCTCGGTCCGATGCCGAGCCCGTGGCATGACCGTTCGATGAGTCGTCGTTCGGTTTCCGCTTGCGCATCGACCGAGTTTCGACCGCGTCTGCCCCGTTCGACTTGCCTAATGTCCCGTACATGTGTTCCAGGTAGTTGACCGCTTCTTCGAGCATGCCCGGGAGTCGGTCCTCTTCGTTATAGGCGGGGACAACGACGGACATGAATAGCTCGGCTGGTTCGATGGATACGTGTTTTTCGGTTGGGCGGGTTTCTTTCAATGATTTGAGGGTGTCGAGCCAGCAGGGGAGCTTCTCGGGGGTTGTGATGGCTCCATCTTTGGAGAGGGTCTTGTACTTCTTTTCTTCGGGAAGGGGCTTTCGCGGGACTGGCGCGACGAAGGAGACGAAGAGGTAGAACTGCAAGAAGGATAGGTCAGTATGAGCAAAATAGTGATGTTGAGTCCTCAATGAATTGGCACGGCAGCCAGCGTCACACAGCTCGATCTGCGCAGCTGTCGCAGGACCGGCGCGGAGGGTACGACTCACCAGGACAAACAAACCAAGCCCCGTGGAGAGAAACGCAACGAGCAGAATTGACGCAGGTACAGCCGCTACCGTGCTCACACACTGGTGACAAATGCCGCTCCAGGACTCCGCCATGGTGGGTGACCGCGGTTGAGGCGCCGCGAAGGCGGGCGCGGGCGAGACGGGGAGAGGGTGCGAACCAAGAGACGCGAGGGGGAATTGACAAGGCGATTTACTCGGCCATGCGATGCCAACAACTCAAAAGGCCATGCAAACGCTGCGTAAAGGAAATTGGGCGGACCCTGTCTGGGGGAGGAGGGAGGTTGCAGTTGGAGATAATCGCCAGCTTGGCCTTTCGACAACGCGCAAGCCGCAAGTTTGGCGCGCCTAAAATAAACTCGAGTGGAGCGGGGGAATGTCACCCCGGGGGATTTCCCCTACGAAATGCGAGGTGGGAGTGTTTGAGAATAAAGGATTTGTTAAATGGGGTGTTTCTGATTTGTTCAGAGTCAATTGCGATTTTACTGACAGCTACTAGCATCAAGGTGCCAAGCAAGGAAGGGTATCTATGGTCGAACAGCTAATCGATCTCAATGTGAGCGTCCACTGAACTATGATGGAAATATAGAAGAATTACTCAAATAATCAGAGTTGTCTAGACAAGGCAAACAAATTACCACGCAGCACACGTCTCCCGCAGAGGCAGTGCTGCAATACTAGAAATCTCATCGTCGTGGTGTTGTACGTACCCCCAAACGGACTGGTGGAGATGGGGCCGAAACTCATCTGCAAGCCGACTCCACTCGACAAAGTGCGGCCAATCGCCGCCGTTGCAACTTACACTCTCCAAGAGCTCGTACACTAAAAGTTTACATCAGCACCTTACAAATGATCAAAGCTACATAAGTCGAGGTATATTTGATTCGTGAAATCGTGCAAGCACGGTCGGAAGCCATGCAATCCGCTGATATGAACTAAGTTAGACAAAGACACAACAATTCCATAAAGATGCGATCTTTAGGCAAGTAATGAGGCTATGCGAAGTTGGATATCGTTCAAAAGCAGATGGCCGACCCAACGCAAAACAAAAGCAATAATGTAACAAGAAAACACTCGAATCGGCATTCCTGGGCAGGACATACCGCCACCTCCTCTGGCTCACCAGCTCTCACTGCAGTGCCTTTCCTCATGTCAGTATTTCTGGTTCCCGACTCCGTCCGAGAGTCTCGCAAGTACCATTCAAATAACGAGCACATCGACTGTCTATTCCGATGTAGCAGTACATGGGTACTGCCACAAGTAGCCGGGTAAGGACCACGAGGTTCGCGGTCTGACTTCGATGGCAAGGTCAAGCCAATTCCTGGATTTGGATTTGATCGTCCGGGACTTTCCACAAGATAGTCCGAAGAGGCATTGTCCGTAGGAAGGAACCAGGGATCCAGTTGAATAGATGGGACGGCTCCGTCGTAATGTTTCCAGAAAAAGATCCAGATCAGAGGGGAACTGATCATCCGCGGCTTCCATTCGTGGCTCATGATTTCTGTTTCGTGTGATCTGTCGAGTAGCCGTGGCGACTATATTGAAAGACTCCGTGTATGTAAGGAAAATAACGAAACGAGCGGTCCATATGTCAAGGTAGGTTTGGAATGTCCAGATCCAGTTACGATAAGAGTCAAGCGGTTCCTCCTGCCAGTTTCCCCCAAGAGATACACCAATATCTTTTATAGAAAGCACAGCTGGGCGCTTTCGTATTATGTTTTCTGTTCACGCTGCGAGCATGTCGTGGTCTACTATGTCGGATGAAGATGGATCAGCGTCAATCCTGGGGAGACTGTTCCGAGTTGCAGATGCAAGTCAAGATTTGCTGTCGAGGCCGCCACATGTTGCGGCGAATGGGGCGTAGTCATGTGCGAGTTGTGTTGCTTCGAATTTTTCGGGGCGAAGGCAGTTATATGTTATCCAGCGGTTGAACTGCAGCGAAATTGTTAGGTTGTTGAGGCATTGACATTGCTTGTCGGGATATTTGCACAAACCGTTGATATCCGAACTCCCAGCCACAGACATCGGTGCCGTCTTGGCCTGTCCATGCCGCTCTTCTCAATGAAGGGCCTATCTTCCTCCGGTGGTGCTCCGTCAAAAAAGGTCGCCGAGTAGTACAGCTGACTCCACGATTGGCCTCGAATGAAGAAGTCTTCAGGCAACTGTCGCGGGAGACCATCGCCCAGCTCAGGGTAAGAATTTCTCGCAATAGCTTCGAGATTGGTGTCAGGAAGGAATTGAGTGTTCAAATATTGAACTATTTTGAGCCACGGGATCATCGGTTCGAGTTGCTGCATGGCGAGTGGGTGGATGGCTAAGCACCAGATGAACGCCAGTGAAGTGTGGATACCCGGATGTGCACTCTGATCATTCCAGTAGTCCAGGAATATAGACAGAGAGTGAAATGCAAGAGCACTTCCCCGGATAGCCGTCTCTGAAAGTGCCTGCGAGATAACTTCGGCAGGGTTGTGTATCATTTCGGTGTTATCATTGCCGGTCCAGTGAAGGGCAAGCTCATATGCCGTTTCGGCAGTATGTTGTGTCTGGGAGAACTCCATTGCCATCACGCGCTCCGGTTCACCGTACTGAAGAATTGCCGCAAAATTACTAGACATGACAAAGACGCCCTCTTGCCCTTTTCGATCCAGCCGGGGAATATCTCGTCGTAGAATAGCCAGGTAGTTATTTGCCAAAGTCACGAACTGAGTGGGCGAACCTTTGTTGAAAATCACACTATGTGTTGCAATCAAAGCTGGTGCCAGAGTATACTGCTGTCCGCGAAAGCCGCTGAAGAGTAGGATAATGCTCTCGCGGGCATTGGGGAATGGACGCACGCAGACCAAGGCCTTGGTGTAGTAGAAGAGCTGGGCGAGAACATCCGGGCGAGCGAGCACGGCCAAATGATGTTGAATTCGGCCCACATCGGGACTCAGGTCGGCATCTTGATTGTACCAGTATCGTGAGACGGCAGCCCAGACTTCCCGATCCCTCATATCCGACTCCTCAATCGCCATGCGGTACCGCGCTAAGTCCCCCAGACACTCGATCCAGGTCTCTTGAAAATCCGGGATATTCTCCAGCAACAGAGTCACCATGCTGTAGGCGACGTATATAAAATTGAGCATATACTCCAGCGAGCCGGGCAGTCGTTGTCGCAGCACTTCTAAGAACGAATGGATCCCGTACCGCCACATCCTTGCTGGCATGGAGTATTTTTCGGCAAGCATTTTGAGTTCAGGCTTAGCAGTTGGATGTTGTGAGGCTAGGAAGAAATCGTGGTGCTCATGAAGCAGGGTGCTATGTATAGAAATCAAAGCCTGCCATTGAGGGGCGCTCAGCTCCGCCTTGGACTCAGCCTGCTCCTTGTCGATTTTCATGCACTTGTGCTCGACCATGGCCAGACCCCGATAGATAGTCCGCACTTCCTGGGCCAATTGGTCGTCGCCGATAGGGTTGGTGTCCAGCTGCTTGACCATGGCATATTGGCTGTGCGGAGCGGGGGAGTCTGCAGAGAGCATTTTCTGCTCCTTCTCCTGCTCTTGTTCCTGTTCCTGCCCTTGACTTGCAGGATGCTTGACTGTCGGTGATACTTTCAGCTGTTTTGATGGGGGTTCATCCAGTTCCATTTCGCCACCTTGGTCATCACCTCCATTCGGACTTAGCACCACATTAGGCATCGAATTGTATCTCTTAAGCTCTGCTCGGGGATCGCCATGGCTATGCACATAATTTCGCTCCCCGGAGCGTGCGGATTCCGCCGCCTCTTCATAGCGAGCTCGACGACTACGAGTCTGACTCTGACTCTGACTGTTGCTCTGGTTCTGACTTTGAGTCTGATTTTGATTTAGCAGCTGGGTTTGAACCTGATGTTGCGTCGTCGACGGCGTCCGGCGACCCCGCGGCGTGGACGGTTTGCGGCGAAACCGGTCTGTGCGGGTGACACTCGTACGAGGCGACGAGGGCTTGGTGACCCGGCCGCCACGACTGCTGAGCGTCTCCTGGGTGCAATCGTCGGGGATGAGGCCGGACTGCCGGCCACTGGAATATGGGGGGCTGGCGGGACGAAACCCGCGACTGGCCATTGACAGCTCCGGGCGACCTGGAATACCACGACGGAGCGATCGACCAGGACTAGAATGGCGGGTTAGAGGGGGTTCTGCAACAGCAACACGGACCGGACAGAACTTGCCTGGGTTCATGGAATGCTCTGCCGGTCCTGAGGGCCTTACCGAATCGGGGCTCGGTTCTGGTGCGCCGCGACTCCTTACCGCAAGACAGGGATGGTGATGGTCTCAAATCGGCCATCGTTGGCTTTACTGGGCCATCATCTGTGCCAGAATTAGCGATCACAATCGATTTTGTTTTGTTGCCCCCTCGGCCCAGGACGATTCGCCATCGCCTGAACGGGCAGTGCGAATCAGGCGAGCAAGGCGGGTAGTGCGAGTAGAGCGGATGGGGGTGGCTGAAGGGGGCGATTCAGCGCTGTGGGGGCAACTCACGTCCGCAGGGGCTGGCTAAGCATCCGGAGGATTCCTTTTGCACTCCCAGAGCAGCCTGAGGAGGGCGTGTTTTATAGCAGTTCCGGTGGCTGCCTCTCAAGCTGTAAGGCTGCCAGAAGTACAAAGCGAGCCAGGTTATCGCGGCCAGGGTGCGGTTCAGGTCCACTCAGCGTAATGGTTGCGGTTGCCTTATTGTACCTTTCGCCTGGGCTGACGCGAGCCCTATACCTCAGAGTACACTATCCACTGGCAGCGTACTTTACATCCAGTCTTTACATCACATTTTTCACGCCCTGCCCCAGGTCCAAAAAGTGATGGATTCTTTCGGCGTCTCGCCCCAATGCCCGATCAGTCTCCCAGAGCCTGAATTGCCCCAGAATCGCGTTTCTGAAACAGCTTAGCCGCCCGAAAAGAGGCTGCAGCGAAATAATGCTGGCGAAATGATTACCCTACGCTACTGCCTTTGCACCCTTGGAGTAATCTAGGAGAAACACAAGGCACGGTCTCGTTGAGAGGTCATCGACCCTCCGTTTGCCTTGTATGCGCCCTGTCCCAGCTCCAGAGTGACTTATGCGCCGAAGCCCGGCAGAACCCTTGGAAATATTTCATCAAGGATAGGGCCAGCGGTAAGGTCATTCGACAGCTTTCCGCGGCATTTTATGCGCGCAGGTAGTGACGCTGCAGCTGTCTACTCCTTACCCGGTGCGGTCCCATCAGCCCGGGTATGGGCATGTATGAGGAAGAACAGCGACTACCGAAACCAAACTCAAGCCCCCATTACGACAATCTGTATTTCCTTTACTGCTTGCACACTGAACTTTCAGTCTTCATTGGGTGAGGTATTTCTCTTTGATGCCCTTGCGTGGAGACCGATCTGGCAGTCACCGCTCTGCCGAGGCGAGATGCCTCTCACCGACTGTTCCTGCACTGACCACCAACGGTACCTTACCCTTAGGCTCACTGTTCTAAGCAGACATGAAACCATTCAGGTTGACAAGGCGAATAGGGACCTTCGGGCGTGACTCCCGTCCCACTTGCTCACTAATCATCTCGACAGCAGGACGCCAAATCCCAGAGTTCACGTCCCACGCCGATCCGAATGGCAAGATGGAGGAGACCCAATGGGCCATTGGGCCTCGTCCTCAAGGCATCTAGGGTCCAGCCCGCGGCCTAAGTCACCCGCCAGTCTGCCTGCTTCCGATTTCATTATCGTCAGGAAGATCTAGCCGTGTCCTGGGTGCTTCGCGAGCGTGACACCCTCTCAAATCGCGCGATAGCCGATATCATGGGGTCGAGCGAGCTCCGATGATGATCTTGTATCCCAGTATCGCGAGAACACATGGCCAGCGAACGCTCGGAGACGCACGAACACGTTGGTGTGCTTTTTCCGATACCCTGGTTCTCTGTGCTTTGTCTGTGACTCTGCCAGGACGCCCGGGGTTCTGGTCATGACTCGGAATCAATAGCAGCGTTCTTACAATGACAAATTTCTTTACTGTCCAGTGGGGAGCAGCTCGCACGGTGTCTCTTACTCTACAATTCTATGCTTTCTATTCGTATTCCTCGGTGCTCGGAGTGGGTCATAAAAATAAAAATAGTCGAGTCAAAACTAGGCCGCAGCGTCCATCACCAACGTCAGCCTACGGCGAGACGCCGATAATCCTGTCACTGTCCGGTGACCTCTTCTCATAGTATGTGATAGTATCTAGCTGTGAGAATCGTGATACCAACCAAGTCCGGAGCGCGGACAGCTCCAAATCCCTGGATCTAGACGTTGGGTAGTCCACTGTACCACAGCAGCTACCACATACACTATTAATTGGCCCGGGGAAATAAATTACCATCACAGTGACCGATCTGAGCTTGCCCAACTCGCCAATTAATCGGTTTGATTCATAGTATATCCCTGTCGACGGTTACGCATGCGACAAGAAAGATACTTGCATACAGCGTGGCAGGGTGTTACGGGTAGGGGTTGAGCGGGTGGGTCTCCACGGTAGCTCAATGCACGATTTCCACATTCATACCTAGCACCTGTGAGGTAGAGTATACTCTACTATGAACCAATGTATTACATCAAGTATAAACGGGATTTGGAACGCATCGGAAAATATAATCACAATGCAGTCGATCATATGCGCTCTGCCCCAAGTATCTGCAGGCTGTACCACTCGAATTCCTATGGTTCGCACCTCGCAGCAGGCAACCAGCCCGTTCCTCGTCTGATAGCCCCTTCCCCTACAATACTCCCCGAGCCACAGATACCCCTGCGTGGATTAACGCCCATCGTCCAGGCCATGATGTAACGCGCATCCAGGGATGTTATCATGATGGATCCTGCGAGGAACGTGCGATCAAACTAAGCCCACCTTTACCTACACTAGTGTAGAAATGACTAGCAGTATGTGACTTTCAGGGTGACCTAGCTAGGATAAGCTGGTGGTACCCTTCTGGAGTGGCCGCGCCCGGGTGAAAAAGCGCAAATACCGGTATCACCCCCGCCCTACACAGTGTAGACAAGGTCGTAGTAGTCAAATCCTGAAACCTGCAAGATTGCGATGATCATGATCAGCTCACATGTAGAATGGCAGGGCGGAACGATGGGTGACACTGGATAGGGGCCGAATGTGATCCCTGTACAGCGGAAGATGTGAAAGGGAGCAAAGGGAGGGGGCTGGTCCCGAAGCTAAGTAGATTTCACCCGGGTGAAATGCGACACTAGCACCAGCGGGGTGTCATGGTGCATCCGAGACATGAAACTAGCTCGGCAGGGCAATTCTAGATTTTTACTCGAATGATCCATGCGGCCGGGCCTGATGCATATGCACGGACTAAAATTCTTTAGCCCCAAGCATAAAATAACGCTGTCATTGGCGTTGAGCTGGTGATAACATGTTTCATTGGCCCTGGGGCTATGGAGCGACCGGTCTCAATTTTTGAGCCGACCACACATTACGGTAGGTACACTAGGCTGCACCGAGGGGCAGAGCCAGCCAGCCGCTAGTTCTTTTGTCGCGGGATCTTAGTGTGCATTTAGTGTTAGGAGCCGTTGAGGTCAGGGGTCAATCAGTTTAGGGTGAAGAGGTATGGTGATGGGGCCATGGGGACGGTCAGATGAGCTAGAAGCGGGGTTGGATGCGCACTGGAGTAGCCTTGCGGTATTTTGATATCGTGAAAGATGCTCTATTAGGATAAATTTTGATTGAAGTATAGTGTTACTCCAAGTTGTTTTTAGTGTAGTGTTTGCCGGTTGCGTTCAAGCCGGATACATTCAAATCGAGGAGGTATATTCCAGCAGATCATCACACTGCATGAGGTAAACCACAGCAAAACAAACGAAAATCAACCACAATGCTTTAAAAATACGTTTTACAGCGATACACATAAAGAACATATTATTCAATACCATTATTCAGATCAACTCCTATCAATTCCACCCGCAGTCTGTGTGGTGCATTCGCAGTCGTGGCTGCTTTCATAGATGGAGACCGCATCTCCACCACAACGTCATCCCGAGGGTCGAGCAATAACGACACTCCAACAACCACCGCCGTGCAACCAACTGGCAATCATCTCACAGCGCCGTATAACACGACCAAATTAGATCCAAAAAAAACCGTCAATTCCAATCGTCACAGACTCTGAAATCACAATCACGTCTATTCTTCACGATCGCAGATCTCAAAAGCCACCTCTTCACCGCCGGAGATCAACGATCATACTCGACCGATCCATGTACACAAGACTGCACGCAACCGCGCGACAGACACTCAGTCCCGGAATATTCCCAGATCAAATACTCAAAGCCACTTGCGGGTGCATCATGTCGGCACGGGCATCAACATGGACACTGCCGGGGCTCAATGCCCGCGTGAACTCCACGCCTGACATCACCCAGGACGACCTGCAGTCTTTCCCTGCATTCAGAACCTGGGTCTCGACATTGCAGGCGTCCTTGGCGCGACAGCGGGATCCATCGCACGAGTTCAACTCTGACCCGTATGTCCTGCGTCAGATTGATATTCAGTCGGTTGATCGATTTGGCGGGGGCCGGCTGGGCTTTGTCAAGCTGAAGGCGGATGTGTCGAATGGTGCTGGGGAGCGGTTGCCTGGGAGTGTCTTTTTGCGAGGGGGCAGTGTTGGGATGCTGGTGAGTTGTATCCTTGTTGTTTTTCCTATCCTTTTTATTATGTCTGCGTGTTTCCTACCGATGTCCTATTCGGGATTCCCCTTCGTGCTTGACTGAACTGAACCCACATCTGACTACGTGTTCCAGCTCATCCTGCAACCAAATGATATCCCTGCCTCTCAGGAAGAAGGGAAACAGGCCATCCTCACGATTCAGCCTCGTATTCCAGCTGGATCTTTAGCGTTTGCTGAGATTCCAGCTGGCATGCTTGACGGTAGCGGTACTTTTGCCGGAGGGGCCGCGAAAGAAATTGAAGAAGAGACTGGGCTATCTGTCAAACAAGATGAGTTGATTGATCTCACCTCGATGGCTCTACATTCTAATGAGGAATCGGATGGGGAAACGTTGCAGAAAGCGGTGTATCCTTCCGCTGGGGGTAGTGACGAGTTTATTCCGTTATTCTTGTGCCAGAAGCGTATGCCTCGGAAGGAGATTGAGGAGCTGCAGGGAAAGCTGACTGGACTGCGGGAGCATGGCGAAAAGATTACGCTAAAGGTTGTGCCGCTTGAGGATTTGTGGAAGGAAGGGTTGAGGGATGGGAAGACTTTGGCTGCGTGGGCGCTCTACAAAGGGTTGCAACAGGAAGGCAGAATTTGAGCTGGGCCATATACGTTGACACTCGTAAAATATTAAGCATCGAATAACTTTGTGAAAATTTATTATGTTCGAGTGTATTGGTTGATATGGTTAAGCAATGTTGTTTTCACAACTGGCCGGGGTAAATATTGTGGGGCATACTTTCGGATATTTCAGCTCATCTGTTTTGTTCGAATACATAATCCACTGGCAAAGAGTCACCCCTGAATTCATCACCGAAATTCATAGCTTGAGCTTCTTCATGAGCTCCAGCCCCTCAGCAAGAGTGCCGACGCGGGCATCGATAGCATAGCCCTCCTGTTCCAGTCTCTTCGTTTCCTCAAACAAAGAGGCCATCGGCACAGAGAAGCACTCAATGAACTCATTCTCCTCAAGCTCTGGCTTGGGGTTCTGATTCTCAGATAGAGTCATATCGACACGCACGTGAACCATGTTCAGATTGGTATTGCAAAAGCCAGGGTCTAGACGTGTCCACAATTAGTCGATCCCGTCGTAGATCAAGCCACGCCGTCACATATACACCGGAGGGAAAATTGTTGGGTCACAAACCATTGTACATCACCGGGCTCGTCTGCTCAGCCACACCGACGTAGCCGGTCTCCTCTTTGAGCTCACGCACAGCGCATTGCTCGGGCGTCTCGCCAGCATCGATAAGGCCAGCCGGAACTTCAATGACGACCTTGCCAATAGGGGGTCTGTATTGCTTTTGCAAGAGTAGCTCAGGCCCCGACGGCTTGTTCAGGATAGCGACGATTCCTACACCATCGATTTCGCAATTGGCGGGGCGGGTCTGGCAAATCCAGTTAGTGAAAAGTCAAAGACGGAAGTGACGTTTCCGATCACTGCCCTGATTTGGCATAGATCATATGAGACAGAGCACAAGAGAAAAGCGAGATCCTGAAACGGCCCCGTGTTAGGTTTGAGGCAACCAATCCCAAGATGGCGGTGCTTGACGGCAGCGTGCTGTCCCCACACATTCCGCTGCGTGCCTAACGATATGACAACCCATACCCAGATCCACTGTAAGCTGATGCCCGCGCAAGACGAACCACCTGAGAAAATCACAATGCGGCTGAACTCTTGGGGACATAAGAGTGGAGAGAGGCAGCCCTTCCAAGGCTGTTCGCATTTCGAATTTCGCGCTCTGCTCTTTTTTCGGGGCGGTGCAGATACTCTTCGGCCAGGGGCAGCAATCACGATGCACAATGCAGAGGGACCCAACCGAAAAAAATGAGGCACGAAACAAATCTTACCTGTCGCTCTGCCGATTCCCACGTTCTTTCAACGCCGAGGGGATCGGTGTAGGTGGTTTTCACCAATCGAGCCCAGCGAGCTTCGGCCGGGTCCTATTGACGTTTCAAAGTTAGAAGTCCGATAATGCAATGAATGAGAGCATCTAATGAGCGACTGGGTACATTGAGGGAGACAGATGGGGCTGGAAGTTTTACTTCTGCTGGCGCACCGCCTTCTCCGCCGGGGAAGTTTAATGGAGCTCAGAAACAAACAGAGGGAAGCGTACCAGTGGACCTCGTGAAACGATCGTGGACTTGGCCTGTGTGGGTGTCGACATATTGCCGGATTGGTATGGCTGTGTATGCAAGCTGACGGAAACGAGGGCGATTGTTCTCGTCGAGGTTTCTAAACTCGAAGTCTGGGGTGCCTGGAGTATGCCTGGGGTATGCCTTGGGCCGCAGCGGTCGTTAGGGTTGGGGACTACTCCAACTGTTGCAGAGTGGAGGAATGAGGGGCGGGCGTGATGCCGCCTCGACGCTGTAGGCGGGGTGGGTCCTTATCTAATCACGAAATACATTGTTCTGCATTCTTTGCGAACATATTTGAGTGTCGTTTTGAAAAAAAAAAAATGCCATAAGGACATAACAATTCAAAGTAATGGAAAATTTGGAAATGTGCTTTGTCCTGCAGGTTCCGTTGGCAATCGGGGTGAGCTTGGCAGGGGAGTTGGGCAAACAAGGCTGCGAACAACAACAAAGGTACAGTGTATAGTTTGTTTGATAGAATCGTAAGCAAATTTGTATCCATGGATGCGTTGTTTGCCCTTCTCGGAGCTGAATTGGTCCAGCGATGTTCATCTATTCAGAGTTTATAGCTGTGAAATAAGAACAGAATCATCCAACAAATTCACAGGGCAGTCTTCGAATAAGCTCGAAACTGTCTCTTAGTGTGCCCTTCCCTTACACGCACATGGCCTACAAAACCACCATATGAAACCATACCATGAGCCTTCATGGCTCTCAGGCACACTTGAATTGCGTTGAATACTAGTATCTCCATTCGATTACCCGCAAACCTAAGTTACCTAGACACGAAGGCGAACCACGCCGAGCCCTCAAAGCCACAGACAAAGACAACCACAATCTGCTTAGAAATACATGATAAATCGTTTTCAGGGCTAGCACACACACTTAAGCCAAGAGACCAGGGATTTTAAAATGAGCCATTTTCCCACGTTTCATTCCAGAAGCACTCTAGACTAACGGAAAATGGAGGACTCCACGAGACACTGCCCCGGACGGCTCGGGAGTGGCCGGGGAACTTGTTTTAGTAAAGGCCCACGACTGTTCCGTTGTCCCAATAGCAGAAACGAAAGAAAACATGTGAAAATGGCAAGGGATGTGATTAGTTGGAGTCATTTTTCAGGAGGAGGCAGCGGAGTTGCAGGCGTTGCGGATAGATGTGATTGATAACGCTAAGATGGAGAGGGCTGTGTTACACAGTGTGGCGATCAGAACCACGCACGCCTTATTGGTTGCTCGCAAATTTCTACCAAAATCGAGATCTTGGGTTATCTATTTGGCTCTTCACTGAAATAATCGACGACTTCGGTATCTTATTGCCTATGAAACCTGTCTATGCAAATAAAATAGTAATGCAAAGAGAAAGAAAAAGTGGTCACATCTTGATCTAGAGTAGTCAACAGGGCTCCCAAGGCCCTTCATTTCCCACATTGAAGTCATCTCTCTTCGATGTTTGAGGAGTTGGATGCGAAACAGACAGGCGCATCCAAGGCCAGGCGAACGCAAGACAAGTCCCAAAAACGCAACAAAAACAAATAAAGCTCCCAAACTACCTTCGCTTGCTAACATGATTCGTGTGTGAGGATATTTAACGCGGGGTAATCACAGGCTCGATTGAGGGATGTCAGCGGGAGCGTTCTCGAGATACTCAAGGCATTTCTCGAACTCAGACCAGTCTCGCATGAGGACCTTCGCGCCGAGGTCCATCAAGCGCTGACCCATTTCCTCCCGCATCTCGCCATCATAGCTGCCAACATATGCAATGACGGGAATGCCAGCCCGGATAGCAGAGAGAGCACCGGACTTGCTGTCTTCCACCGTAATCGTCTCGGCCGCTGTCTTGCCAACCTTCTCCAGGGCATGCAGGTAGATGGCCGGGTCGGGCTTGGTAGTCGGCGTGGGAAGCGAAGTGGCGGCGCTGAAGACCTTGTCCGCATCAAAGTACTTGTCCTGATCGACCTTTTTGATAGATGCCTGCACGCGACGGAGCGCCGACGAGGAAACGACAGCGAGACCGTACTTCTTGGAAGCGAAGAGCTTGTCCAAGACCTCGTTGGCGCCGACACAGGGCTTAGCCTTGGCTTCCAACTTCGCAATGACCTTGTCCTCTTCCTTCTTGACATAGGCCTCCAGGGCGTCCTTCTCGATTTCAAATTTATACTTGGCCTGCAGGGAGACCATCATGCCGCGGAAGTTCTGGCCGACAAAGTCCTTGATGAGCTGGTCGCCGGTGTAGCGGTCGGGAATGCCATTTGCTTCGAGGATCTCGTTGGCCAGGTCGGCGCAGGCCTCGAAGGCCAGCTCCTCGGACAGGACGAGGGTGTTGTCGCAGTCGAAAAATATCTCGGTGATCTGCATGTCGCCGGTTAGCGTCGGGTGGGTCTGCAGACGAGGGGTAATGGGATCACCGTACTTTAGGCATGGTGGATATGCGGAGAGAAGATCCGGGAATCTCTAAGTCTTGTTGATCTAGACGTGGGAAGAATTGAATGAAGGGAAGAGCAATGGCCAATTTTTCAAGGGATGTAAATCGCGGCGTTGGGAAGGGAAGGCGGAAGGGGGAGAAAGGGCGAGCGGGGTACGGCAGTAAGGCACCGTCAACACACAGGAGGAACCGGGATGCCTTTTAAGGACAGGCACAACCCTGTACGACCGCGTCGTCGAGGAAGGAACCGGGCGGGTGCGGGTGGGGTAATGACAAGCCCGAGGTACAGCTACCTGCGACGTCATGGGCGGCAGTATGCGCCAGAAGGTACCAGTACCTTCATTTCTAGCGCCGCCCGAGAATCCGCCAATAGAACCGCCCAGATTGACGAGGTCGCCCACTAGGCGATTCGGAGCTTAGCGCTGGGCTTTGCTCTCGTGGGGCTTTGCTCTCGTGGAAAGTCGCAGAAGCCCGGTCCTGGTTACACTAGAATTCTCACCGGTTGGGTAGGAAGTTGTGTCCCTCGGCAGATTCTCGGATCACAGGTGAACCATCTGTGCCTACAGTATACTGTGTTCACGATCGCCTTTAAGTTGTTGCTCGATTTGAGTCTAAAGCACATATGATCTATGTCGGTCTGTGAGGTATGGACGGACGTCAACGTGACAAAAATGCAGTCGCGGACCGTGCATTTGTCTTTGTATTAGGTCTGGTGTTCATCGCCAGGGCCTGAACTCGGTCCGCACGGTTGTACGAACGTCATATTCGTATTGGGCCCTGATTTTGCGACTTGCCAGCGGGGCTTGATATGACCCAATTTACTTCAACGGAGAAGTGCCCTAATATTATTCTAGAATCAGAACTTACTCGAAAGAGCTGGAATCTAGTACGAATAGATTAACCTCTAGAGACCATCACAGAGATGTCAAAAACACTACTAGTATGTGCCGAACCTCGAAGTAGCTTGTTACCATTACTCTTAGTTGGCCTAAGCACGTACAGAAGCCAACGTCTCACGTAAGGTAATCAATCATCTGTGAGAGACCACTTTCTTCATATACTAGTTCTGTCAGAACTAGTTTTATCATCGGATGCTTTTGCTTTGCTTTTTTCGATTAGAGGCAGAGGTTTTCTCGCCGTTAGAGCATCTACGCTGTGGCATGGGCGAGAAGTCTACCTTAGGATAGGCAAAACATGGAAACGCGTAGAATCCACCCACACCCACTTTGTACTACTAGTAACTCCACTTCTCATTCCATCTGCTTCTACCTCGCTGTCCCCAGCAGAGCTCCATCCCCTACCTTAAAATTCATTCACGGGTATCCACCTTGTACTTCACCCACGCCCTGATTGGCCAAGTCAACCTGGTGGATCACAAACGCACCTCATTTTCACAGCAGCCAACGACCGAATTGGCCATCTTTTTGCGAGCTGTATTCACAACGCCTCTGCATTCTCTGTCGACAACCAACAAGCATTATACCTCGCCCGGTACTGACCAAATTCTCAATAACGACCCCCTGGTCGGACATTAGCGCGGGGCACTCTCGGCACGACCCTAAAATACGACAGCATTGTGCCCCTCCATATACATCCCTACCCCAGGAAAGTCTACCCTAGGTAAGGTAAAGCGTACAGTACTCTTGGCGTGCCGAAACCGACAAGATGTCCGGAGAATCATCGGGTTCATTCCCGACCCTGGAGTCGCTCCATTTCCCGTCCGCTCAAATGTCCATCTCGCAGACCCTGTCCTCCCTGCGTCGGTCTGCGCTTTCGGTCTCAAACCGACTCCAGTCCATTGAGACAGATGCAGCTTTTGTGCGCGAGGTAGCGTACCATTATGATCTGCCGCTGGTCGCGAATGAGCGTTGCGGCAGTTGGTATATTGATCCCGAGACGAAGGCTGGTAGTGCATATTTCAAAAGCACGGATGGTCACACCGGGCAGTGGGACTTTAGCTTTCGTAGGCTGAATTTGCAGCTTCTGCCGCTGGCAAGGGATAATGGAGGGTTAGTCTGAATTGATTTTGTGATTTTGTTTGTGACGGGCTGCTATCAGATGATTGATTATGGTCATCTTTTTGCCATTTCCCGCTCAACGCCCCAGTCCTTTGATAACCTCCGCCTGCATGAAAATCGTCGAAACTAACCGAATCAATCAATCCCGACAGATGCGTTATAGTCGATTCAACCCGCCGAGGCAAATGTACGTACCAACTCCAGACGTGGCAGCCTAGCCGACGCCATCTCGCTCTGAAACGCTCGCAGCCACGATGCACGGAAATAGCACAGGTATACTGACTATCCCACACAGTAATGCCAGACGCCCTTTCTAAAACAGTCCCGATCTGGAGCGCCGTTCTAAATCGAGCCCTCTTCCCAGAAAAGACGGAATACCACCCAGTCCAACTCCCGCCAAACTACCTCGGCGCCTCCGAAGAATCACAAATAGAATCGCGAATCGACAGCTTCGTTTCATCCCTCAAGGTACACCCTCCGGTCTAACCCTTGCCCTCCACACCGCCAGTACCCCAATATGAACGCGTTCGAACATGTCAGGGTTGCAGCTATCATGTGACCCCTCCCACACCCTCACCCTAGGGCTTCACCCGGGTGAAGGGTGACGAGGCTAGGCACCAAATCACATACATACCTCGACGAGGAAAGCAAGGCTAATTACGAACGCAGGGCCTCAAATTGGATCTGGAACAGCTGCGTTCGCAGCTCGGCAAGCCCATTCGTGTTGCCTGGGCCAATCGCTCGTACTTTCACCCGACGGATCTGTACAAGGGCGATGCATACTGCTTGCTCGTGCTATGCTCCGCTTCCAGGCGGGTGCAGGGCGCTGAGATATCGGAAGGAGGGTATATCCAGGGTGCGGGTGATGATAGCGAGGGATGGGCGCATGGACTGACGCCCTCCGTGTTCTGGGAGAACCAGGATATTCTCAAGTCCACACCGGAAGAGGGATTGCCGGCCTTGATTAAGGAGTTGGTGGCTGGTCAGTCGCGGCAGGGTGCGGGTCACGATGCGACGCTTATTGGGCCGACGTCGAATCTCTTTATTGGGGTGTCTGATGCGCTCAAGGAGGCTGGTGTCGGTCCATATGATCTTGTTATTGATTGCAATGGGGATCCGGCTGCTGTAGAGGGGAAACCGAAGCGGTTGAATCTGGGCTGTGCGTCTGCGAAGCTGGGGAGTCGAGATCTACGAAAGTCGCTGGATAAAGTGCGGGACTTTGTTTGGGGGCATCTGGGGTCGGATTCGTCGTTGTCGTTGTTGGTGATGTGCGAGAATGGGAAGGATCTTTCGGCAGGGACGCTGCTTGCGATTATTTGTCTCTTTTACAATGATGAAGGTAAGGTGACAAGCATAGTGCCAGGAAAAGAACTTTGCTGGATATATTCAGACGCTAGATGGAACGGAAAAGGGAATCAAGGGACTGACTATATATCGTCTAGGGAAATTCGACGTCTCGCAGGGAGAGCATTCCGTCAGCAAACAATATATCCGACAGCGGCTAGCCTGGATCGTATCATCAAAGCACGACGTGAATCCGTCCCGCTCGACGCTTCAGTCGGTCAACGCGTTTCTCATGTCGTGATGCTGTCCCCAGATGGGAGGCCTCAGCTCGTGATTGAGTCCTGCCAGATCGAGTCGCAAGCAGCTCGACCTTACAGTTCCGTGCGCAATGTGGCACTCACTCGTTCTCGACAGCTTCCACGATGGCACCGGCACTTCCTTGATCTAGGGTATCCAAAATATCCATGTCCTCTGTGCTAATATCGAAGTCGAAGACATCAGCATTGGAGGCGATCCGCTCCGCGTCATCGGTCTTGGGCAAGGGCACCCATTCCTTCTGCAGCGCGTAACGGATCAAGACCTGCTGCGTGGACTTGTTATATTTCTTGGCGACGTCGACCAGAGTCGGGTCATGGGCTTTGTTGTTGCGGACAATGGGGGAGTAGGCTTCGACGATGATGCCGTTTTTCTTGCAGTATTCATCGATCGTCCGCTGCTGACACCACGGGTGGAGCTGAAGAGTGAACCGTTAGCAATCTTTCTTGCACATGACCATAAATACAACGAAATGAATCAAGACGAACCTCAATCTGGTTGACATGCGGCGGCCACACCTTGGCATAGGAGCGCATCTCTTCAATGTGCTTCACCCCAAAATTACTCACGCCAATGCTCTTCGCCCGGCCCTCACCGTGGAGCTTCTCCAGCGCCTGCCACAGCTGCTTCCTCCCGGAAGGACCCGAGCTGGAGCTGTGAATGAGGAACAGATCAACATATCCGCCCGGTCCGCCGATCTTCTCCACGCTGGCCAGCAGCTTATCGTAGGTCGCCTCGACGGAGCCGGCGGGGCTGAGGATTTTGGTCGTGACGAAGACCTGGTCGCGCGGCAGGCCGGAGGTGCGCACCGCCTCGCCAACCTCGGTCTCGTTGGCGTAGAATTGCGCAGTGTCGATGTGTCGGTACCCTACGTCGAGGGCCTTGAGGCAGGACTGGACGCACTGGTCGGTGGGCGAGCGGTAGACGCCAAAACCGAGGCGCGGGATGCGCTCGGCGGAGTTGGGGAGGGGCAGAAGGTCGGTGATGCTGTAGTTTGGCATGGTGACGGGGGGATTGGCGAGGTGGGAGAATGCGAAGAATGCGAATTCTCGGAGCTGCCAGTTCCTTCAAATTGTCCCCTCGCGCCCCGCTCTTTGCCGGCCCACGCCATTCGCATGATATCATCTGATTACTCATGGCTTCCCCCGATGCTTCTAGCAGACCGCGTCATTCAAAAATTTCCCATCACACAATTTGTGAGTAATGAGAATAGTAGTAGAGTAGGGTAAGTTTATTAGTGCCAGTATGTATTTTAGTATTTAGTTGTGCGAAAGTGCAGTCCAATGCTATATGTGCTACTAGTAGTGTGTGGTACTTTCACAATCACCTTATGCTAAAGTATGGTACCGCCAATGCCAATCGCCAAGCAATAAACCACTAAGTACTCTAATTAAGTTGACGAACCCGCAATAATAATTGAATCTCATTGCGAAATCCAATCTCGTCTGCTGGCCGCGATTGGCCTGTCGCTGGCCAGGGCCCGACTGTCTATGCGCCCGATCGCCAGGGGTGAGGCACCCATGGTAGCGCGAATCGCTGGGATCGGATCCAAACAATGGCGATCTAGTCACATCGTACCCTAAATAGACCACGTAATGTCGAGGGGCTGTCTCAGACAAAGCCTTTGGCCAGCAATCGAGAACTGACAGAAGTGACAGACTATAAAAAGCGCGGTTGCTGGGGGGATTGGCAGAACTAGCACCCCGCCCCTGGCCGATCGCCCGGCTGGAAATTACTCTCGCATCCTTCCCCTTGCCATCTCTAGTCCCGAACCGGTCGTGACCTGAAGCGTCGATCCCGAACACCCAATTCTTTGCTCCTCCCGACGTCTGCACCCCGCTCAAATCGCAATCAGCCCTGAATGTCGCCGTGAACATGTTGACGGTCGACGAGAAGCAGTGGATTAACGTGCAGCAGAAGACCTTCACCAAATGGTATGCCCCGCCCCTGTCTGCCCCTCGTCCTCGCGGGGTTCCTTGAGGCATGCTCGCAGCGCCCGCTAACTAATTCACTTTCCAGGCTGAATGATAAGCTGAAGGCCCGGAACCTGGCAATCGAGGACTTGGTGACGGATCTCTCCGATGGAGTAAGTCCTCCGGCCAGGGCATTGTTTACACTTTCACCCGCCGTCCTTCGCTCGCTGCCTGTGCCTGTGCAGACAACGCATTCCCGCGATACCTGTGTGACTGACAGATTGCCTGAATTTAGGTGATCCTGATCCATCTCCTCGAGATCCTCGGCAATGAGTCCCTCGGTCGATATGCCTCGAAGCCGAAGCTGCGCGTCCAGCGATTTGAAAATGTCAATAAGAGTCTCGATTTTATCAAGGGCAGGAAGATCCAGATGACCAACATTGGTGCCGAAGACATCGTCGATGGTAACCAGAAGATCATTCTGGGTCTTATCTGGACCCTCATTTTGCGATTCACCATCAGCGATATCAACGAGGAGGGAATGACCGCGAAAGAGGGTCTGCTATTATGGTGTCAGCGAAAAACCGCATGCTATGAGGATGTGGAAGTGCGCGACTTCTCTACTAGCTGGAATGACGGATTGGCCTTTTGCGCTCTACTGGATATTCACCGACCGGATCTGATCGACTACGATTCCCTCGATAAGACCGACCACCGTGGGAACATGAAGCTGGCTTTTGACATTGCTTCCAACGAGATCGGTATCCCCGACCTTCTGGACGTGGACGATGTGTGCGACGTGCCTCGACCCGACGAGCGCTCGCTTATGACATACATTGCGTACTGGTTCCATGCCTTTTCCCAGCTGGAGAGAGTCGAGAACGCCGGGCGCCGTGTGGAGAAGTTCGTGAACAACATGCATGGGGCTTGGGATATGCAGTCGGGCTATGAGCGCCGGATGAAGGCGCTGCTCGAGGCAATTCGTGCCCAGCGCGATCATTGGCAGAACTCCTCGTTCGAGGGAACGTACAAGGACGTCAAGGAACAGGCACATCAATTCTCCATGTACAAGCGGAACCAAAAGCGCGAATGGGTTGCCGAAAAGTCGGATCTAGCCGCTCTGCTTGGTAATATCAAGACGAAGCTAGGCACGTATCGACTGCGCGCCTATGAACCACCTGCGGAGCTGAGCCTGGAGACGTGTGACTTGGAGTGGGAGCTTCTGACCCGAGACGAGCACCAACGCAGCCAGCTGATCAACGAGACAATTCGCGATATCAAGAATTCCCTGCGCCGATCATTCGCTGACAAGGCCAACGATTTCGCTCTGACATTGAAGACACTGTCCTTGGCCATTTCCGGTTTGGATGGTGATGTTGAAGATCAACTGGACCATGTGAAGAAGCTCAATGACAATCTTCCGCCGCTGGACGCCTTCCTCGATACCATCGCTGAACTCGACGAGCAATGCGCCGAGGCCAACATCGAGGAAAATGATTTCACCACTTACACCCTGGACGAACTGTCCTATGAGCTCAGTCTCGTCAAGTCCAGCATCTCCAAGAAGCTGGCATTCCTCGATAACCAGATGGTGGCTCGAAATATGACCAACCTCACCCCCATCCAACTGGAGGAATTCGAGTCCGTTTTCCGCCACTTCGACCGAGATTCCTCGAATACTCTCCAAGAACTTGAATTCTCGGCGGCACTGGCCAGTCTGGGCCTAGTCTATGATGAGGAGGAGATGCACCACACGTACCTGGAGACCTGTGGCCCCAATCGCCTGGCCCAGAATGCGGGTGTGAGTTTCGAGCAGTTTATTCGCTTCATGGTCAGTGTCACGGAGGACCAGAACACCGCCGAGCAAGTCTTCCAGAGTTTCAAGGAAGTCGCCGACGGCAAGGTACGTAACATGCAACCCCTCTAACCTGTATTTTCGCGCTAATCTTTGATGCAGCCCTATGTCACCGAGCTCGATCTCCGACACTCTCTCATCCCCGACGAAGTTATCGAACATCTGGTCAAGACCATGCCCGCGCACGAGGGACCCGACATGCTCGAGGATCGCGATCTGGCCAAATTCGACTACATCAGCTTCATGGAGAAGATGATCGAGGAGAACAAAAAGAATGGGATGGATTGAAGGGGAAATTACTTTGAGTTGTTCTTTGCACAGCGTCGCCGGTCATACTGGAGGGTCTTGCTTCGAAAGGCGTTGTGATTTCTGGCGGTGTTTCTGTCTTGTGCTCGATTTTCTACCTTCGGGTAGCCTGCAGCTTCTTTCCTGTTTGAATATTTATCCTGCATCCTGGGGTTCGGGGGTCTGCCTCTTTCTTGTTATTTCTATCTTCTATTCAACGTGCTCTTGTTTGTAACAGCTAGGATACCAGGATACCATTGAATCAGAATATCTTAATCTACCCATCTTTCGTTGAAACCGGAGGCTTCTACGTGGCAATATATGTGTCGGACTTCATCGAGAGCCACTTATGATACTGGTGTAGCAAGTTGTAATCATCTCGGCGATGTTCTATCATATAAATTGTAGCTCCGCCTTGCCGAGTCCATCCACCAAGCCCGTGTCTTGTTGCAAAAGACATGTGATTCCCCTAGGTCTGCATGACAATCATTTGCTAGGAACAGAATGGAATAGCTCCATCAATATTTTAGGAACCTGGATTTTTCAGTTATGCCATACTGCGTCGTGGAGCTGTTGCACCCCCAAATCTGGGAAGGCAACTTACCCTATTGCCATTCACTCGATATGGTCTTTGATAACAGTCACGTGATAGCCCCAGCTCTTGAGCGCGTTCCTCGGCGGCGATCATCATCCATCCACGTCCTTCGTTGCAGACGCAGATTGTCGGCCGCCACCCAATCATCCCCCGGTCGATACTTTTGCTCGCCCTCAATTTCTTCATTCATCTTCTCTTTACCGCTCACCCCTTCTCACCTCACTCATCCGCCGCCATGGACCGCAGCCTGGAAGAGATCATTGCAGAAGACACTGTAAGCGTGCCCGTCCCTCTATGATGTTTCCCCCAACTGACCCAGGTTTTTGTATACACAGCACAAGACGGGTCGTTCCTCCGGTGGCCGTCGCGGCCAAGGCCGCCGTCGTGGTGATCGCGATGGCATCAAAAAGGTATATTCACCAGCTCCTGTCCAAAGGCGACGGTGCATTCCACCGTCGCATTGACGATGAGTCTCTCCGCTGACTTTTTCTGTCAATCACAGGTGCTGATTCCATTCCCCGCCTCGAATTACTCTAAGCTGTGACACACCGTCGTTACCCGTTCTCTGGGAGGTTCCGGAGCCTCGACGAGGACGCCGCGCCAGACTCGAAACGATTCTGTGTGCACGCTGAATCCGTGCTAATACGATCCCAACAGCCACGCGCCCAAGAGCCATTCGACCTGAACCTGTGTGCAGCCCTCCCCGTTTGACATGATTCGAATGCACCGCTGACAGAATCTAGCGACTGGGTTCACGACAAGTACAAGGACGTTGCCGACGAACGTCACGGTAGGTTTCATTTGGAATTGGCCATCTTATAACATCTTCTGACTTTGAATTAGTTCCCTCCCGTACATCCCGCCGTCGCCAATCCCCCAACCGGTAAGGGCTTCCTTGCCAAACCCCCAGCAGATTGAACGACAACTTAAACAATTTAGCGGTAGCTCGGGTCTGACCAAGGTTCGCGTCGAGAATCTCCACTACGATGTTTCCGAAGGCGAACTTGAAGAACTTTTTGAACGAATTGGCCCGGTTACCGAACTCAACGTCGCTTACGACCGCGCTGGACGCTCCGAAGGCGTTGCGTACATCACGTACAAGCACCTCAAAGACGCACACGAGTCGATCGAACGGTTTGACGGTGCGAATGCGAAGGGCCAACCGATCCGCCTGAGTCTCATTCCCGGCCGTCGCGGCGGTGACCGCGATGAACGTGGCGGCGGCAGTCTCTTCGACCGTGTGGGGGGTCGCGGACATGACCGCAGCCTGAGCCCTGGCGGTCGTCGCAGCGACGTCTCCAAGCCCGCACCCGAGCACATTGACCGATATGTTCCCGGATCACAGACCTCCAACCGTCGCGATGGACGCGATGCACGCGATGCACGCCGTGGCCGACGCGACAGACGCCCCCGAAACGCCAATGGCAATGCCGAGAACGGTGGCCGCCGCTCTAACGTTCGGCCCCGTAAGACTCAGGAAGAGCTTGATCAGGAGATGGAGGACTACTGGGGTGGAAACAATGGTGGAGAGACTGCTGCACAGCCCGAACAGGTCGGTCAACAGGCTGCCCCCGCCGAGACCGCTGCTGCTGCTGCTGCTCCTGCGGCTACCGCGCCGGCTGCTGCAGACGATGACATCGACATGATCGAGTAAAGGAATACCTTAAGGAACTTTGTTAGGGTACCCTCAGTACCGGTAAGCTCGATGTTACTTCTATTTCTGCGCAAATGATGATGATTCTCACATTTCTTGACTTCTAGCTGGTCTGCATATTTTTTGTTTGTTCATTCAAGAGTAAAGTAAGAATCCTGGGGTAGTCTTTGCTCGATTCGCCGCAATTTGATCTGCGATATGGACCTGTAATTTTACCAACATTATGAATTTGCCCTGGGTTGATTAAATAGGATTTTATGGCTTTGAAATTTATGGAAGTCCTCGGGTTTTTTGTCACCTTTTCGCATATCGGATTGCTCTAATACTTTTGCTCCGTTACAAAAATTAGAAAGGATTCTAGATCTATGATCTGACGACACTGCATTCATCTTCTTCCGTACCTGTATTACTCTAGAATGATTGAAGTGCTTGAATTCTAGCCCTTGCGACTCTGATTTCTCGATCTTGCAGTGACTGTGCCTGTTCCTTTTGTGGAGAAATTCATGCAAGGAAAGATGGAAGTGTAATCAAAAATCCGGCGAGAGTACCGGTGCCCGATTTCTTTTGCTTTCTGCTTTCATGTTGTTTTCAAGTGTCCGATCAACGCCACAGTCCATATTGCTCTCGGCAGGCCTTCCACAATTTGATGGTACCGTCTTCGCTGCCAGTACCGTAGAGCTTACCGTCGGGCGAGAAGCTAATGGACCAGATAGGACCGTGGTGACCTTTTTGCACCTCTGCACGAAAAGGTTAGTCTCTGTTTAAAAAAGGCAAAAGGGGAATTAAATGACAGAGGGTCACATACCAAGTTCTTCATCGTTGTTGAGGTCGTACACACGAGCCCAGGTATCTCCAGCATTACCTGTAACCAAACGAGCCGAATCACTATTGACGGCGGCACTAGCGACCTCATAGTCGAAATCAGCCTTTTTCAGTAGACGGCCTGGCTGCATCGCGTCGAAAAGATAGACGCTCTTGCCAGCGGCGACAGTCAGGATACCGGAGTCGTTGGGGCGAGTGGCGAGGGTGTTCAATTCACACGAGCCGATGGCTCCATCAACGCCGTACTCGACGATTGGATGACGCGAGCGCAGATCCCACCAGCGGATCTTACGGTCTTCGGCGGCGCTGGTCAGGATGTTGTAGTCCTTGTTCCAGACAATGGATTTGATGGTGCCACCGTGGACGCCGGCGCCGATCTCATAGCTTGTTGCTTCGCCGCCTGTGGGTGGGAGGGGAGGAGAGGATCCGGCACTACCACCTCCGCTGGAGCCGCGGGAGAGATCCCAGATACGCAGCTTCTTCTCTGCCCCGCCTGTGGCGAGAACTTGGGGGCTTGCCTGGATTGGGAAAGCAATCGAGCGCACGATGTGATTGTGCTGGAGAGTGTGGAGGCATTCACCCGTGTAAGTGTCCCAGACCTTGCTGATCTCAGTTAGTAAAAAACAAATTCTCTTCGAATTCAGGAAGGAAAACTTACGCGGAGAAGTCTGCTGCCGCGGTAGCTGAAATAGCAGCATCGGCAGACAGTCGGGACTGCCATACTGCACCTTTGTGGCCAAGAAATGTGCCGATCCTAAGCAAGAATTAGTAAACTTCCATACTGAATGTTCTCGCCTTAGTGGGTCGGGCTTACCAGTCACCTGTAATACCATCCCGCAGCATAGGATTGTTATCTACAAACCGGTTAGCTTTTGATATTCTTGAAACACGCAGTTCTAGGCGAATCGAAGGGTCATTCCACATACCTTTGCATGCCGAGATGAGGTAGTACAGCTCTTCTTCCACAGTGGAGGAGAAGCTCAAATGGGTCACAGGGCGTGAGTGCCCGTGACAGGTAAGAGGAACGACTTTGGGGATATCTGAAGATGAAGTTAGTTTCATTACGCATATTGATTTTGATTGGGGCTGGCTCACCGGACGCCATATTTGCGCAGGTATTTGCGGGTAGGTTGGTAAGGGTTATTCCAAGTTAAAGAGATGATTTAATCATCCACTTTGAACACTGCGAAGCGTGTGGGAGAAGTGGCAGAATCCAGAAAGTGAGGATGCGAGTGAGGGTGCGAGCGAGCCGGAAAAGTACAAAGGACAAAAGAGATTCGTCAGGGTCGTCAATTCGTCAAGATCTTGTACAGAAGGACCGAACCGTGGGATCGTACCCCACGTCAACTGTCAAATGCCTCGAGGCCACAAGAATATCGCGATGCCCATGCGATATGAATTGAGGGTCACCTGCACGCTGAGGTAATCCGCTAGTCCTGATTTGGTTTAGAGCTGCCTCGGCTTGGGGCTTCCTTCGAAAACCTAATTGTTATGTACGATGTACGCATCGATACCTGCTCAATACGCATACAGTGGAGATGTCCCTTCTATCGCATACTGATAAATTCCGAATTGCGTCCTGATTTTCAATGCGTGGTGATGGGAGCATGATTGAGAAACCTTGGACGCCCTTACAGCCTCTCAACCCCGCCGAGGGGTTCTGTTCACCGCCAATTCCTTTCCGCTTGGGCACACACCGAATAGCTCTCCTGGCAGATACACCCTAATGGGGCATGGCATGCTCACTCGGACAGACCACCATAGGCTGGAATAGCTACAGGGTGGCCTCGTCCCACCAGTACCCATAGACATTTGATATCGGAGCTTCTTTCGATAAGAAATGCTTCGTAGACCTTCAGGTTTGCGAATCAACATGCACCCACTATAGCCATAACTCACAAATAAATATAGATCTTCCTAGGTTTTAATAGCACCAAACTCACCACTCATACCACATACTACTGCACTGGCAGATATCTCGAAATAAACCCGTTAATAATCGCATTCTAGCAGGTTCGTCATAGCTCCACCGCCCACGTGATATGATGCAGGCGGGGACCCCAGAACGACCAAAGGACAACAACGGTCACTCTCAAAGCTCTGCATTGCTCGTGACCTTCTTCTTGGTTTCCTTTCTTCCCCTTCGCATACTTGTCACGGTTATATGTATGCCTGACTTCAAGCTTTCCGCGTCCCTTGAGGGCCACGGCGACGACGTAAGTATCCCGATCCCCGCCGACCATCTTGGGGCACCTTGATGGCACAGCAAGGTCCAATGTACTGATCTCTGTTCTTGACCATAGGTTCGTGCCGTGGCCTTTCCCAACCCAAATGCAGTCTTCTCAGCATCGCGCGACGGTACCGTCCGGCTCTGGAAACTTGTTTCTTCCTCCCCTCCTACATATGATTACACCATCACCGCACACGGCCAGGCGTTCATCAACTCCTTAGCCTACTTCCCTCCTACACCCGAGTTTCCCGAAGGTTTATCTCTCTCTGGTGGTCAGGATACTATCATCGAAGCCCGACAGCCTGGCAAGACGGCGAGTGACAATGCAGATGCGATGCTACTGGGCCATGGTCATAACATCTGTGCATTAGATGTTTCCCATGACGGCGGTTGGATTGTCAGTGGTAGCTGGGACTCTACCGCTCGTCTCTGGAATGTTGGACACTGGGAAACCGAGAAGGTACTTGGCGAACATGGAGGAAGCGTCTGGGCCGTGCTGGCCTATGATAAGAACACCATAATCACTGGTAAGTTCGCCAGCTATAGATCTTGGGAGCTATTGAAGAAGGTAACTGGCCTCTAAATGACTGCCTCTAACTGAATTCATCAGGTTGCGCCGATCAAATGATTCGCATATTCGACACCTCTGGCAATCTCCGAGGAAGCGTTAAGAACTCCAATGACGTCGTCCGCGCTCTTTGCAAGGTCCCACCCTCGAACCCAACCGGCGCACATTTCGCATCAGCCAGTAATGATGGAATCATTCGACTTTACACTCTGGAGGGCCGTCTTGTTGCTTCTCTACATGGACATGAGAGCTTTGTCTACTCGCTTGCTGCACTTCCCTCTGGAGAGTTGGTGAGCTCCGGCGAGGACCGCACTGTGCGTGTATGGAATGGAACCCAGTGTGTCCAAACCATTACTCACCCTGCGATCTCAGTTTGGAGCGTTGCAGCATGCAGTGAGAATGGTGATATTGTTACTGGTGCTAGCGATCGGATTACCCGTGTCTTCACCAGGAGTCCGGACCGTGTCGCGGCCCCGGAAGCCGTACAACAATTCGAAGAGGCCGTTAAAGGCTCTGCTATCCCAGCGGAGCAAGTCGGTAAGATCAACAAGGAGCAACTCCCTGGCCCCGAATTCCTCCAGCAAAAGTCAGGTACCAAGGAGGGTCAAGTTCAAATGATCCGTGAGACGGATGGCAGCGTCACCGCTCACACCTGGTCGTCTGCCACGCAAGAGTGGATTGCCGTGGGTACAGTTGTCGAGTCTGCAGGAAGCAGTGGACGCAAAACAGAGTATCTTGGACAGGATTACGATTATGTATTCGACGTCGACATTGAGGACGGAAAGCCGCCCCTCAAACTCCCATACAATGTCTCTCAGAACCCCTATGAAGCAGCCACAAAGTTCATTGGGGACAACGAGCTGCCCATGTCATATCTCGACCAAGTCGCCAGCTTCATCACACAGAATACCCAAGGTGCTACCCTTGGTCAGGCTGAGGAGCCCACTCCTGCTGGCGGAGACCCTTGGGGCACTGAGCGACGATACCGACCCGGCGATGCGGCCAATGAAGCAGCCCAGCAACCCATTCCCGAGCCACGACCTCAGGTTCTCCCTCAAAAGACCTATCTCTCAATCAAGTCTGCGAATCTGAAAGTGATTTCAAAGAAGCTCCAGGAAATCAATGACAAGCTTCTTTCCGAGGGTCCAAAGGAAGTTACTCTAACTTCATCCGAGGTGGACGCTCTTGCCGCCCTTTGTGGTCAACTGGAATCGGGGAAGCAGTTAGCCGATTCACCGATCCTTGAGAACGGGGTTCCACTGATCTTCAGAATTGCTACTTCGTGGCCTGTTGCCAACAGACTTCCGGGGCTGGATCTCCTTCGCCTGCTGGCTGCCGCTGCACCCTTCGTTGCCACCACGGAGTACAATGGCGACAACCTCGTTGCGGTCCTGCTAGGAAGTGGAATATTCGACGCTCCCCTCAATGCGAACAATGCAATGCTTTCCGTTCGCACCTTTGCCAATTTATTCGAGACTACTGCGGGTCGGGACTTGGCTATCAGCTCTTTCGATCAGATTCTAGCCGGTGTGAGATCCGCACTGTCGAATGCTGCTGACAACCGGAACCTTACTATTGCCGTCACGACTCTGTTCATCAACTTTGCCGTCTACATCACATCGGACGGCAGAGAGAATTCTCCCGGCTCTGCTGAGAAGGCCCTTGTTCTTCTCGAGGACTTGACTAAGATTATCGCCAACGAAAAGGATTCTGAGGCGATATACCGTGGCCTCGTCGCAGTGGGTACCTTGGTCAAGGCTCTGGGAACTGAGGTCAAAAGTGCTGCAAAGGAGGTTTACGAGATCGACAGAGTCCTGTCCCGGGTTTCTGGATCTGGTCCCGGAAAGGAGCCACGTGTCAAGGGGATTATCGGTGAGATGAGAGAGGCTCTGTAATTCCGAGAGGTGATGCGATCTGGGGGATGCATAGATAGATTCACGCTACTACCTTTTAACGACGACAACGTGATATCCAACTCTTCAGGTCTTTTCAAGTCGTACTTCATTTCCCTCTTGATCCCTTCGTAGTTCAGCCCACAGTGTCGTATCTACAATCGACAAGCTTAGATCCTCGCATCGGCATCAACTCCAACCTCCATAACCTGATCAATTCCAGGATACTTAGGCAAATCAAGCCCATACTTCTCCGCAATATCCTTCGTCAAGAATCGACCACCGATAAAGTGGCGTCCAGAATAAAACTTCACGCAAGGCTTTGGCGCAGAAAGACTAATCAATGCACTAGGCATGAATCTCGCACCAGGTCCCTCCTCCGGCGGGCCGGTCGCGATATCCCAGGAACTGGGCGCATCAACGCTAAGAACAGGGACACTGGAGCGTTCAATTTCAGAGATGACGGTTCCAAAGGGCTCGCGGAGGGGTCCGCCGAACGAGAAGCCGAAGATTGCGTCGACGAGGAGGGAGGTTTCTTTCAGGGCGATACTGAAGGCATCTCCGTCGGCAATGATTGGGATTGAGAGGTTTTCGAGCTGTGTGCGGAGCCGGCTGTAGAGCTCATTTTTGCCTTGCTTTGGGTAGAAAACTGATGGGTTGTAGCCGTAGTGTGCTAGGTGGCGTGCTGCGACGAGACCGTCGCCGCCTATTTTATGTTAGGTATCAGATAGGGTTTGATGCGATTGGATCAAATCGTACCATTGTTGCCTGGTCCGCAGACCACAAGCACATTCTTTCCTGCAGAAGGAGGGTGCACACGCCATACTAGAAACGTTAAAATATGCTTCGTCAGATTAACTGAGCAGAGCGATGGGATAGTGCTCACCAGCTTGCGAAACCGACAGGCCAGCCAGCTCCATCAGCTGATCAAGAGACCAGCCGCCGATCTCCATCAGGTCTTTATCCAGAGAGGCGGCATCTTTGGCTGAGATCGCCTGAAGCTCGATTAGTCTTATTGTTTCTGGAAACAAGCAGTCAGAACAAACCTTCAATGACATTGTGGCGGCTTTGCTGTAACGACGAATGACGGGGAGCTGGAATCGTCTCACAAACGCTGAACGGAACATACAACGTATGTAGCTGCCTGAGTTTATTGTTTGTGCGTAGACTGTAATTATAGGTCTCAGGTCTTTTGACTAGCCGTTTTGCGGTCGGTGAGAAAAGAATAGGGCACAGGAAAAGCTAGCTGGCAGTTCGCAAGGTCCCATATACCTCACATTGCATCATCCCAACGACGCTATTCCTGATTGGGATATCCCGGAAAAACCCACCCGCCGAACCTCTTAACTTTTGCGGAGTTTTGGTCTCCAGCACCAGACAGTGTCTCGATCAAAGCAAACACCACACATCCGCCGCCATGGTCCTCCGAATTCGACTGGCCCGCTTCGGCAATAAGCACCAACCCTTCTACAACATTGTTGTTGCGCAAGCACGGTACGTCCGAGCCTCCCCAGTCCTCCCGAACAATCTTCTTCCGTGCGAACACCAGGCCCTCAACCCATTGCGCCGGACATGGCAGATCAGGCTATTACCGCGAATCAGATGAGACCGGAGTGGACGCAATGAAGGAAAATCAATTGAACTGGACACCACTGACTCGTCTGTCTAGGTCCGCCCGCGGCGCGAAGCCCCTCGAAGTCATCGGCACCTACAACCCCATCCCGACGGCCCGGACGGATGTACCGGACGCCAATGTGGCCCCGCGCTCGTACAAGGACATCACTCTCGACAAGGCGCGGGCGAAGTACTGGTTGGGTGTTGGTGCGCAGGCCAGTGACCCAGTGTGGAAGCTGTTGAACTTGGTGAGTGGCTCTCTACGTGAGTTGGGTGCTGCGGAAGGACGATACGGAGAGCATTTGAATACTGTCTGCACTGATCCTGAGCTCTCAAAATCCAGGTCCGTTGCTTGATATTGTTCTGTGACTGACTAGTGTGATAGGCTCGTTTGGTGGAACCCAAGCCCAAGACCTACAACAAGGCGTGATGTTGATGTTGATGGAACCGTTCTTTTCGCTGAAGACGCTTTCTGGGTGTCAGGATTCCTGAGAGACCTGGTATCTCGTGCGGTATCGACTGCCTTCGGTACCTTGGGATATAATATACCTAGAGCCTGGTACTTCTGTCCTGGCACGGCGGTCTGAACGGCTGTACTTTTGTTTCGACTCTGGCATTAGCGGCGTTTAATTGGGAAGGCCTGGTGACAACCGGACTATGTATATTATGTGATAGCGCGAACTGAGCACGTTCAACACACCATGACTACTATGTGCTAGTAGTAATCATATGAGTAGTGGACTATTAGGATAAGGTAGATCCAGACAGAATGTACCGCAATCAGGTACTACACTAATAGGAACCATAGTCCTCTGATACCACGTACAATTGTACCTTCGGCATGTGCCTGGAGCGGTCATTAGCGCGTCACTGACTCAGCTGTGGAAATCGGTCATGAATCATCCCGACTAGACCACATCGGGCCCCCCCTGGGCTGGCTCGACTGCAGGGCTCTCTGGTGCAATTAACACCACGGCCCAACCACACCCGCCGGCGGCCCTCGATAAGCCCAAGCCATTCCCTCATGCCCGCCAATCCGCGGCGCGGCTGGGCCGCCGCTGGAGGCCATTGGCCCACCGTCGAGGATCGCCCGCTTTTGAGTTTGCAGATTCCATGGGCGAGTGAGCAGGGGGGAATCCTGCTCTTCTTTGTCCCTTCATGACTGCGCGGGACTATGGCGGAGTGCTACTGTAGGTGTGCTAGCTGAGGAGAGTTAGATAGACGGTGGTTACCGTCAGGTGGGACTTGAACTTCCCCAGATCACCCGGAATGCGCACGGTCGCTCGGCTGCCCCCTTGGGCTGTCACCCCCTGCCAGCGCGCCCTTTGTTGCGAGGTTCGCGCACGAGGTGATGTGCAAGGAACCCCGTGGCGGCCCTGTCGCACTTTACCTCATGCCGATCAAGGCCTCGCGCCTTCAAGGCTTGTCGGCTCGGCTCCCCGGATGCCTGATATCGCCAACCCCGGCCTATAACAATGGATGCCGCCTGATTTCATTCTCGACTGCTGCACGTCCGTTGAAGAAGATGTCATCACCCGGCGCCGACCCCATGCCTGGTTCTGGATCTTTCTCCCTGCCGGAGGCTGAAGGCCGCGAATGCTGTAACGGTGCCTGGAGCTGCGGCCGACTCGTATCTGCGCATGCAGCCTACCCTAAGTACCGCGTAGTTTAGAGTAGAGCCAGACGATCGGTCCTCCGGTACTGACCTTGCTACCTTATTAGGGTACTCTATAATACAAGTAGCTATTGAAGATTCGTGCAGACAATTGCACGACCTCCTGCAGCGTCAACGGCACGCCAGCTTAGAAATTCTAGAAGGCGCAGCAAAACCGGGGGCATTCTTGCTCGGGGCACGCACTTCACCCACGTTCTGCAAGCGGCCAGGTTCAGGGTGGCTGCTCTGTAACCTGGTGACGGTGTATTGTCATATTGCGGACTGGTACATCCCCCAGTATGGGCAACTCCGCGCGGGACCCAAGTTCCCCCAGGCCCGGCGCTCCTGTATCGTACGCGTACCCCTGTTGAGGCGCGTCGTGGGCAGATCCATGGATCTGGCACCTGTGGACTCTCGACCGTTCCTAGTCCGGACTCTTTTCGTTCCCCCCTTCTTCCTCTCCTCCCCTCCTCAGCTTTCTCCTATCACCCAACCTCCAACTCCATCTCCCCTCGGCGCCGCGCAGGTAAAATCGATCATCCTCACTGCCCCAACTTGCGCGCTTCGCCCTCTCATTGCTCTTCCCAACCCCTGCTCTGTTCCAGACACAACGCGCGCCCCGTCGCAGATCTGATGAGGAGCGATCCTCCTGCGACAACTGATTGAGACCCGTGTCACGGTCGCCACCGTTCTTCCGCCACGCGACCGCGCCTCGCGCTTCGTCCAATTCTCACCCTCTTTTCAGTCGCGCACGACGCTCCGAGCCCGATTTGAAGCCGATTCAACTCCGTCGCCGGATCGCCTGCCCGCAACCCTCCGTCTCGTGTCGCGACCAGGAAAATCTCGACGCCACAGACCAGTCCTTTGTGAGGCATGAGCGGCAGCTCGAACCAATCCACTCGAACGAGTCCAGGCTCTTTCGGAACGACCCAGCGCACTGAATCGGTGTCCTCTGGTTCGTCGCCGACACAAATCCCCTCCAAGGCGACTGCGACAACTCAGCATGCGATGTCGACCGACGTGTACAGCCCATCGACAGTTGCGCCCAGCTCTCTAGCCCCCACCTTCACCTACCCGTTTTCGCCCCTCTCCTCTCCCCACGACGGCGCAATGCGCCTAGGATCAGCTCCGGATAACAACCTCCAGGGCCTGAATGGCTTTGGGCGCACTTCAAGCGGGAGCGGCGCGATTTTGATGCGCAAGCTCCCGCGCAACACCAGCAAGGAAGCGCTCCGCAGCATGCTGCTTTTTGCCAAGGATTTCGTTGATGCCGATTTCGTGAACTCCGACCTTCCCGAAGACGATGGCTTTTTGAGCGCGATCGCGCGCTTCAACACTTTGCCCGCCGCCGAGGAGGCGCGGGCTCTTCTCGATGGAAAACCGAACTCCAAGAACGACGCGACCATGGTGGTTGAGATGTACCCGGGCGCTCTGGGAACGAACCTTTCGAACGCGCGTCGCAACACGATCGATCACACCAATGCCCGTGGAGTTTTGGGTGGTGTTCCATCAAACGGCCCTCTCTCTCGTCAATCTTCGCGCTTCAATGGTACTTTCCAGAGCCTGGAGAGACTCTCAGCGAATGCGATCAACCCATCGGTGCAAGGTGGTCATCTCGGTCAGGGACACAGCCCTGGCGAGCTCCAAGCCATCGGCGAATTCCGTACTCCTGCCTCTGCCAATGCCTCCGACACCGGCTCTCGTCTGCACAATCTTTTCTCGCCTCAGTCTCCAATCGGAAACGGTGTTGGCGATCTGCCCCGTGTGACCGGTAAATCGATGATCGATGAAGACCCTGACGAGGAGACAAATGAGATGCTGAAGGATCCTATCGGCTATGCAGAGAATGGACATTCTGCATCGGTCTCGGCTCCCCGACGATCTACCAATCCCCAGCTCCCCACTAGTCGATTTGCCAATCTCTCTCTTTCCGCGATGTCGTCCCCGCCGCTGCCGAACTACGCTTCTGCCGATCCGCGACAGCAACGCATGAGTGTCAGTGGACCTCAGACACAATACCAGAACTCGGTTGGTCACGCTCATGGCCATGGTTTCCCCTATGGCAGCCAGCACACTCCGCGCCACAGTCTGCCCGCGGCGAACCCCAACGACTTGAACCCACCGTGCAACACTCTCTACGTGGGTAACCTGCCTCCGGATACGTCTGAGGAGGAGCTCAAGGCTCTCTTCTCGAAGCAGCGCGGCTACAAACGACTTTGCTTCCGCAACAAGCAAAACGGACCCATGTGTTTCGTGGAATTTGACGAAGTTGCCATGGCCAGCAAAGCACTGAATGAGCTGTATGGCTACAAGCTCTCCAACAGCGTCAAGACTGGCATCCGCCTCAGCTTCTCGAAGAACCCTCTCGGTGTCCGCTCTGGCCAGCCTGGTAGCATGAACCCAGCTGGTCCTCTCTCCGGCCCCGGTGGAGCCGCTGGGGCTAGCACTATGGGCAATCATAGCCACATGTTTTCCTCCGTCAGCGGTCCACCCCTGGACTCGCCGCCCCCCGGGACTGCAGATGCCCATGCCTGGCCGCCACGGTGGAGGTAACGCAATGCACGGTCAGGGCCACCCTCACGCTGTGACCAACAACCCCTCTGCATACCATAACCCCAACACCGGTCCGGGAATTCGCACTAATGGAGGCAACTCGATGATGATGTCGCCCCCTCCGCCGCCGTCTGCAGGCAATGCTCCCAACGCTGCAGCCCAGAACATGAACGGCTTCAACTCCTTCTACCCTGATTACATGATGGGTCGTTAGGACGTCAAACAATTTCCGTTTCTTGAGATTATGACCGGCATGTTTGATGAACTGGGGTATAGGGCGCATCGGTGGTTCCTTTCCTTTTCGCGAGTTAGATCAGCATTCGGCGGCTGCATTCATCTCGGGAGTATTGATTCGGGACTTTGCTTTCTTTTCTTTTCTTTTCTTTTTTTTTTTTTGTTTTGGTGACTCTTTTCCAGTTCAGGCTATCCCATTGCGTGTTGCGTTTCTGTTCTATTTGCATGTGGATTCCGGCGCACTTTTTCCGTTCCTTTTTTTCTTGTTTGCCTCGGAGGGATTTTGCATTGCAGGTCATCATCAAATTTGTACCATTTCTTACCCTTTATGTGGTCGGGGTGCAGCGCTTTCACGGCGTAATTTCTTGTCCACCATTCGTGTTTAGCATTGCCACCTCATACCCTTTGTGTTTTTATTTGCTTTTATTTGCTTTCCTGTGGCTTCCGCCCCCTTTATCTTCCATCCCTCCTCGCCTCGTCCGCGCATCTGGATTCGAAGATCCAGAGGGTCCATCTCAAAAGCTTGAGAAGACTGGACTTGAACTCACCTGAAGTACACGCAAGAGGCCTTCTAATTTAACCAAGATTCCCCTTCCATTTACTGTTTTATGGCAGCATTTTCACCGCGTACCGGATATGGATTTTGCTCTTTGCCTTGCCGCAATGCCCTTCCTATGTCAACGGATTTGTGAGCAGGGCTGTTTGATGAGGCTTCTTTTCGACCACTCTATTCTTGCCTGTATCCCTTGACCGACTTTCTTAATTTGTATTCATTTCCCATACATTTCTCTTGGCATGAATGAGTGATTCTTTGTAGCCTCGATCTCACGCGCTTTGCTTTCTCGGTATTGATTTTGACTCTTCCATTTTTGACTACCTTCCCCAATCATACATTCCGACTTTGATTTACGGGCTAGCAATGGAGAAAAAAAGAAAAAGGCGTCCGGCTCATCTGGGACGGTGTTTTCTTTACGGCACAGCACAATAACACATGGTGTCTTGCTTCGGCGCTTGGGACTCCCTTCCGATCTCGCGCATTTTACCATCTTTTCAATTTATTTTTCCTCGCATTCGGGATCGGTAGGAGAAGTACGGGCTCTTCTTTGTGGTTTTTTACCTGGGCATCTTTCATTCTTCCGATGGTTGTGTGTGTTGGTTTCATTGGATATGCTTATGAATACGACGAGGATATGAGGTGCCTTTTGTTATTGGTGCTACTTGTTACCGGTGCTACTTTGTGTTTGCGTCGCATTGCTTGGTGGCACTGATACTGATACATTTGCTTCGATTTGTACGTGATAAATTGGACTGGTTTGCACTTGGGCTGAGTTGTCTAGTTGTTATTGGACATCGAGTAGTATCAATCTATTTGAGTGATTCTAGATTTATCTTGAACACTTCCAAGTTCAAAATATTGGGGCTTGCAGTAATATTGTAATCCACTTTTTATTGGAACAGCGAGAACCAATCACGCGATGCAAGGTCTTAACGAGAAATAACCAATTCTACGCTGTGGTAGGGCTTGTACGGATGGTAATAGTGCAACGACCAAAGCTCACTTTCCTTTTTCGCCCATGTCAATGCTCCATGTCTGTTTTCAATCGATGGCTGAGCCAACATTGACAGAAGCAATGAAAGATTACTGAAAATATGAAAGGTTTCAAGCGCTACACTAATGTACAATGCACCTAGTGTACCCCTACACGTACTGAAGCTTCATCGAGGTTGGTGTAGTGTGACCAGATTCACAACGGTGCATCTAAGCCCTGTTGCAAACATCGAATATATACATTGGTTGTATAACATTCCATCACATGTATTGCCCACCGACAAATTATCGACAATAAAATGGAGATCCCATGAAAAATAGGCCCATATAAAGGAAGAGAAGTTCTGACAAGCAAAGAACCCCTACGAAATATTGATTGTTGCATGAAGCTTCTCTAGTGCTTCCCCGGCCTGCTTGTTGGTGTTGGATGTTGGACCTGATCACGTGACATTATTGGTCAAGTCGACTTTTCGGAGCGGGAAAGTTTCTTCCACAAAACATCACTCCAACCACGCGAATTCCCATCCACCAATTGCAGTACTGCGCTATTGAGGGCCGCTGCACTTGCTGTATTATAATCCATACCCTGGATCCTCCTATTTAATACTTTTTATTTACGATTTCCGGTTTTTCCGGGGTCGTCCTCAACACCCCCAAGATGGCACCCCGGATACAGAGCCGGAGTGTGTCCACTCTCCTCCCCTACCTCACCTCCTCTTCCACCTCCAAATCCTCCTCAATTCCTTCTCTATGCTCTTCCTCACAATCCTCGCGCCAATTCTCGGTCAGCGCCGCTCAACAGACCAAGCTTCGCCGGCAAATGTTCGAATGGCTCGCTACCCAAGGATCTGGTCTTAAGCACCACGTGCCCGGCGAGACCAACTATCTCAAATGGGCCGATGGCACCCAGAATAACCGACCGTTTCCGAATAACCCGAACTTCGTGAGCGAGTCTATTCTCAGCGAGGAATTAAGGAATGAGGTTTACGTGCGGGTGATTGAGAAGAAGAAGAGTCCGCGTGCTGTTAGTGTCGAGCTTGGTATCGACATGAACCGCATTGCGGCCGTGGTGCGATTGGTAGAACTGGAGCGGAGGCAACGAGAAAAGGTATGTAATTTTTGTGCTTGTTCCATTTTGACTTCACCTTCACCATTCACCTCCCCGACGCTATTGATATGATGAGACAAAAAAAATTCGATTAGTCTTGAAGACACAGGCTTTGCTTGACTGGTTAAAACTCCCTTTTTACTGAATCATTTGCTGTCATCCCACCCGCTACACTGTTCATACTACTGCTTTAATGACTCGGCGACGTGGCTAACACATCTTGACCGAATCAGGGCAAATCCCTAGCCTTGCCATACGCCCGTGCCGTGCACGAAATGGTTCCCACCACCCCTCTCGCCCCGGCCGGCGAGCGCCAAACCTACCACGAGCCCATCAACGACCTCCCCGTCCACCCAGCCACCGGTGCTCAGATCTTCTACCCCGTGCCCGAATCACGATCCTTCACCCGTGTCGATGCCGGCCGCGTCTTCTCCGGTGCCCCGGCCCTGGAGAAGGACGTCTCAGACAAGATCACCCACCCCTCCGATCTCGCCGAGAACCTCATCCAAAGACCCGGCGCTATTGAGTGGGTTGGCAAAGGCGATAATGCTCGCCAGGTCCTCCAGCCCGCGGATGTGCGTATCCCGCACCCGCAACTAGTCCAGCTGGCCCGCGACCGTGCCGCTCACCCTGAAGAGCGCCGTACTGTCGCCTACCGCCACGCGGAGCGTCTGGAGCGCCAGGAGAAAGCTGAGAAGCAGCGCCTGCAGCGCTCCCAGCAGCGTCGTGCGATGAACGAGGAGACTGTTAAGCCCCAGGGCAGTCGCTTCAGCTTCCGTATCAAGGATGCTGTCGTCACCAAGGAGAGTGTGGGCAAGGATGGTCGTGCTCCTTGGGCCCCTGGTCGCCGCTACGGTGTGCCGACTAATGATCGCAAGCGCGGAACAGTTAAGATTCCCACCCGTGTGGAGATCTAGGCTGTAACCGAAGTTTGGATCTGTATCTCCTGTTTGGAGAGCCATTGTAACTTGTACTTATACTATGTATGGCGGTGTTCTAGTCGACCGTGTATCTATACCACATCATGGATTTATTCATATCTCGAATTCGTGTTTATTACTACCCTAGGGTACCTTGAGTAGTTCGTCCCGTATTCCGTGCCTCAGTTGGATATCGCATGTGCCCTATATTCACAAATGAAACAACGTCCTCAAATTTGAATCCTTCAATCAATGAACCTCTCCAACAGACCGACATCGCCCTTTCCCCTTTCGCATTCCAACCCATCCAGACAACGCATCTGACTCCGGCTCCTTGGAGGCTGGCTCGCGAGTAAAGAGGTCACGGATGGACGCAATGAAACTCTGAGTCCAGGTATTTGTGTTCTTATTGACATTTGTGCTCGACGTCGCCGGTATCGCAGCCTCACCAGCGGGATCAGCTGGTGATTGCATCTTCGCGAGTTAAGAGAGGTTGAGGGGCGAGTGAAATTAGCGCTTGTAGACGAAGGCGACTGCGATAGCTCTAAGTATAACTAGCCGTCGAGCCTGATGGCCGAATCGAAGTTTCTGTGCAATAAACACGGACTGAAAATACTTGTGCTTGATTTTTAGAAGGGCTGTCTGACCTGGTTATATGTAGACAGTAGAGGAAGAAGAGCGGGGGAGATGCGCATGTAGAATAGAGGAAGAGGAGCTCGTGATATTTGAATGGTGGCGTCGAGCTGCAGGAGCTGCAGACGCAGACTTGCGACGTGAACAAAGCAAAGGACAACAATAGGTAGTACAATCGATCCGAGGATCCCACAGCCCAAAGAAACAGTGAAGACGAGGTGAAGGGACAGGTTTGATTAGGAAATGAAATCTTCACTGTTGTTTTCGAACCAAATCCGACGTTTCGGTGCAAGCCTCCTTAGGAAGCCCATTTCATTTTGCCTAGGCTAGCTTAGGCTGTAACGCAGCCTTGGGCAATAGGAAGCGAAGTTATGCCTAGGCGAAGGATAGGGCAAGTGACTCTCTCACATGAAGATGTACTCCTGCCCGCGCCCCAACCATCTCCGTTCAGGGAGTCTCTGTACGACGTCACGTCTAGACCATTTTTGCTGCACTACCGCTCAGACCTGTCGAGTGATCTACATCTGCATTGCGGTACCTCTAGAAGTGGGGGTGGACCCCTACGTCGTTTTGCTGCTGATCGAGCCTGGTTTGTACTGGGAGATCATGCGGGGTGCGTTTTGCCTCATTCCAGTTGAAGACGAGAGTTTGGATTGACGAATGATGCTATAGGCCACGTGATACCTACGTAGAAGTAATGAAGATAAAATCTCACATGCTGTGTGGCGAATCAGAGTCTTTACGCTTTTGTCCGTGTTTGAATCATTGAAGGGTTTGCTTTTTTTGTTGGTCTCATGCAGGGCTGAGACCGGACTTCACCTGCAACCTGTTGTTTTGGTCAGGAGGCTGACTCCCTATGAAAGTGGCAAGTAAATTGTGAGGCGTTTGTAGGGGTCCAACGAGACAGAATAGAATAGGTTTTCATTCTTATAAAAACACGGACAAATGAGTGCGGTGCTTATCGGCCACAGTGCCAGTATGCTTCTGTCTGCTTTGCCGGGCCAAGTTTCACACCATCAACCCACTTAATAAGGAGTCTGCTGATGGAAGTAATCCATGATAAGCTTCACCTGCTCCGGCTTCGCAATGGGAACATTTCCGAAGGAGTTTCCAAGCTCCATAACCTTCTGCGTACCTTTGGCACTGTTGGGGCTCCAGTGAGGCAGCGAGCCCTTGCCGGTATAGGAACCACCATGGTTGGGATTCAGCGTCTTGGCAAAGTTGGCCCAGTACGCCGACATCTTCTTCTGGATTTCATAGTCTACGGAAGTGAAGGGGTAGTCGCCAGCATTGGCGTACAGAGCGTTGAGTGCGTACATGATCTCCGACTGATGGAACGCACCCATGCTCTGGCCCGGAGGAGCGTGGGTCCAATAGTAAGTGTAGAAATCGGCAGATGCAGCCTTGTACCAATCGGTAGCGTATGCCCAGGAACCGATCAGCGAGGTATCACGAGCGGCGGCATTCCAAGCCTGGTTGGCGATGGTTTGGTTGTTGTGGGCTGGGTACTGCTGGAAGTATCGGCTGGAGAGATTGCCATACTTGAGCGTGCAGTAGTACTCGTACTCGGCGACGGTATAGTCAGTTGACGGTGAGGCACCAGACTCATCCTTGGTGTTACCAGTGATAACGGGAACATCGTTGGCTGGTCCGTTCATCAAGGTCTCGATATATTTCTCAGGCAGCACGTAACCGTCCAGAACGGGCTTGAAGATCAATGGGTATTGCGCGGAGAGAGCGGTCACCCACCAGATCGACTCGTTGCCAACACGGTCCTGGGAGCCGATGAGCAGATCATCCATGGACAAGGTGCGCAGTTCGGCGATGCTGGAGACGTTGTGGAAGTTGGTGTAGTTCACGCCGTGCTCGATAGCGGTGGACATGTTGACGTAAGAGGTTGCAAGGCCGGCTAGAAGGGTATCGTAGGGATATCTGATGCCAGACTCGGAGATACCGCCGTGGAAGTAGCCCTTGAAAAGAGGACTGTTGACGGCATGGTAGACCTGAGAAGAGCCAAACGACTGTCCAGCAACAGTGACGCGGTCCGGGTCACCACCGAAGCGGGCAATGTTCATCTGCACCCATTTGAGAACCTCTAGTTGATCCAGAACACCGTAATTACCGGAGGTGTGGTGACCAGTAGCCTCATATCCCTCGGCATTGAGCTCTGGGTGGGCGAGGAAACCGAATGCATCGTCACGGCGGTTGAAGGTAATGAGAATAACATCCTTCAGGGCCATGCCTCCACCGTACCACCAGGTATTATCGCTGGTCTCATCAGAACCCTGGTTCCACACCATCACGGGCAGCTTCGCATCCTTGGAGCCAGCGTTGGTCCAAATATTGAGATTAAGACAATCTTCACTGATGTCAGAGGCATCCTTGCTGGGGCAGGCAGGGCCAAAGTCGGTGGCCTGAAGAGTCTTGTTCCAGCGCTCGCGAGGCTGAGGTGCCTTCCACCGGTTTTGGTAACCAGTGTCGGCAGCGAAGGGAACACCCAAGAATGCCGTCACATTGGATTCAGAGATATCGAAGTGTCTCTCGAGGGTCGACTGGTTAAAGTACTGGAAACCCTGAACTGGACCGTATGAGGTCTCAATGACTTGGTCCCATAGCTGGGCTTGAGCGACAGCAGCGCCCAGGACCAGCGAAGCAATGCCCTTGGTGATGAAGGAGGCCATCCTGCAGGCCTAAATTGATTCAGGTGGGTTCGAAAATCGAATTGGGGTGATGGGTGGAGCGATTGTATGATGATCTATGAAATCAATTGACTGGCGATCGTCGCTTTATATACCCGGGCTGCACACATGGTAGGATTGCTTGGGAACGGGATGTGGTCCGGTTTCTCGGAGCAAAGTTTAGTTGCAAATAGACTTGCATGCATGGTCAACGTGTGAAGAAAGGCTGTACCCGAAGCTCCGAAGTTGCAAGATTGTCTATGGTGGATTAGGGGTTGTGGGGACGCGGGTGCTGGTTGAATGATGAAGCTAATCCACAAGAGGAGTCTACATAGTACCTGAAGTACTCTACATCAAGACCTTCCTACCTGACCCGTATTAGCATTCTGATCACCCATGAGATAATGCTCTTTATCGGAATAGAATATAGTTGCTTCGAGGAATTCTAATGACTCTACAATCATTTGACGAGCGAAAGACAAAGTTGAACCGTACTTTAACCCCGAAAAGCTCCAGCGTCTCAACTGCCAGGGGCAAGTGGATATCTAAAAATCGCGACCTATTTAGTACTCAAGATCCGAGCGAAATGAAGGCCGCGTGTTCGGGGTGATGTCGCATCTTGACTTTGGGCTCCGAGAAGCTCGGCCTGCCTTGCTTGATCGAGAATCTCGGGCCGACTTTGCTCGGCGTTAGTATTTCGGCCTTCGATTTATGTGCATGATCAAAGCGAAGGGTTGGTGTGCATGGGTGTGAGATAGCCGATCTCCAAAATCCACACTGGAAACATCGGAAGACTCAACAGCAGCCTTCTGGCCTTCAAGGCTGGCAATGGAGTGCAGTAGGGAGTTGTCTGGCATTCGAAGTCATCACTGTACAGGTGACGAACTCCTCGCGATCCCGGAAGAGGGGGGTGGGGAGATCCTCCGCTGTCTTTTATCTTAGCAAAGTCGGAGACATCATTGAACCAAGCAGTTGCTGCACGTAAAACCTTCAGTGATATCATCAACACCGCCATGTCAATTCCAGGCTTGCCAAACGAGCTCATCTACTGAATATCCGAGTGTCTCGATGACGATTACTATATCAATACACTACTCCAAACATGCAGACATTTCTTTCTGTAGCTGAATCCTAATACGTACGTATTTGCTATTCTATCCTCTGCTCTCGCATGGACGCACTGAATGGGTTCGAAACGACAGCATACTACGCTCTAGAAGCCGAGGCTTGTATTGATAGGATACCCTTCGACTTTCACGACGAAACGAGCGACCCTGACGACCAAGAATCCAATGACGACAGAGTTGATCATGTTAGAATGGCAAAGACCACGGAAAGGAGTGTGCGCCAATAGCTCTGGCTTGTGTCCGCGGACATGAAAATGTCGTCCGTCTGCTGCTGACCGGCGTGTAGACCCCAATGCTGCCAAAGGCTGGATCGATCGCGAAGAAATGCCTCTTTCCTACAAAATTATGGCTGCTTGTTATGAATAGCGGCATATAATGATGCATGTGTCGTAGACCTGTAATTGGAATAAGGCGCTGAAACTTGTACTGGTATAAGCACAACGCCTTTCGAGCTAGCAGCAGCAAACGGCCATCTCTCAGTGGTGAAGATCTTGCTAGAAGCTGAATGTGAGCTTTTACCATGGGACGAACCTTACAGCGACCATCCCGGCAAAGATGTCTATACAAAGCACACCGGGATCGTTTGTCGTTCATTGAAATATGGTGCTCTGATGGACTTTGACCAGTGAAACGACAGTCATATTTTCTATGAAGTAGCACGGAGAGGCCAACTAGGGTGGGTAAGTCTTCTCTTAGAAGAATACGAGGATCTGCGGGCTTTTTTGGGATAACCTGTTTATGGCTGCAGTGTATGGACACCAGGCTACTGCCCAAAGACTCCTAGAGCATACAGATTGGGAGAGCATTCTCCCTCCGCGTCAGTCCGCTGATTATGAAACTCAATGCTTTCCCTAGCAACCATTGCCTGTGGATGGGAGGAAATCGTGCGGCGTATCCTCGAGCAAGGTATTGCCTCGCCAGATACTGTCTTCTCCGAAACACTAAAGCTTCCTAGGAAACAAACCCCATTTCCCGACATTTACCCTCAATTGGCCAACCTCACGGCTATAGCCCTGGCCGTTCATCGGGGCCATGTGCTGTAGTCAGGCAGTTGCTCTTCCGAAGACATAAGACGAGTGGCTTACTTTCACTGGCTTTTTCAGCGGGTCATAAACATATTGTCAATCTACTATTGGACCATGGAGCAATGTCAAACGATCAAGATCCCTTCGGGGGAATTATCTATTCAGAGCCGTCAAGAAACGGAAATATTTATCTGCGAGGTCGACCATGTGGCTTCCTCTCTAGACAGCATCATTGATGTGTTTGAGAAGTTCCAAAGTCGTCAGGAGGACCGAATGCTCGAGCAAATATTTCAGCTGCCGCTTGATAAGGGTGCTGATCGCTTTGCTCGAATTTTGGGAATTGGACCAGCCCTGGCAAGGTCAGGAAGTTTTGAAATAGTGGAAATCTAGCTGCAGAAGACGCCATTGCGAATGTACTCGCATTTGCAGCTTCCATCAAATTTCAGAGAAACAGATTCATTGTTCGTGGAAGCAGCAGATAATGGTCAGCCAATGGTTGAGCGCATTCTCTGCCATGGTTATCCCATTGAGCCTGGTAGTCGCGAGGCGGAAGCGGCCCTGTATTCTGCACTAAGTTGCGCTGACTCTGCGCTTACAATTTTATTCTTTGAAGAGGGTCTGATATGCAGCATATCCAAATGCCCAAATGATTCTCTGTTAGGGATGCTTGACGTGCTCCTTGCCATGGGTTGATCAAGATAGCAAAACATTTCATTTTCAAATACTCTTGGACGGAGGTGCAGATCCGTTGATGTGTTACCACGATCCAGGCGCAGACCCGACTGACGGTGCTGGATCAAGTTCACTTGGACATGAAGCAGGAAAAGGACGCAGAAAGGTGGTGCAGATGATGCTCAAATCTATAGACTCTCGAGAAATCCCACTCGAAAAGCTATGGGAAAAACTTGCATGGGCAGAAGAGCGCGCTCTTGAGAAGGGCCATTCGGAGATTGTACCCCTTTTGCAGCGTGCCTACAGGAGAGAAAATACCGGTATATTTGATTCTGTAATAATTTTGACATATCAAAAGCCATCAATCTTGATTAAGAGAATTGATGTTACTTCCAACATGGGGTTTACATGACTTGGTCTCATCAACTGATAGTACCTGACTTAACCAGACATAATCTCCGCATGAGGCTTCATGTCGAAATGGATCACTATTTCCTTTGTGCCTGGAAATTTAAATTTAATTGGTTTTTGTTGAGGTGTAGCCGACAGACGACGTGCTGGGTGGCGCGGGAAGTTCGTAGTGAATTGTGAGAAGATCTAGTGGTATCGCAGTAACATCCAAGTAAAGAAGAAGCCACCCATGGACTCGTCCTGGTTGATTCAAAGAATTCAACAAGACCAGTTGATGCCGTTCTACGTCGTAATCTTATAATCATGATGATGCAGGTCCCTTCTTACCGCCACGCCCGCGACGGCCGCCGCGGCCGCCGCGGCCACCTCCACGACCACCCCCATTCTGAGCTTCACGGTTTTTATCGATACCACCTCTCTGATCTCTTCGACCGGCTCCAGGGCTAAGCGCATCACGGTGTTTGCTCTTGGAACGTTCGCGAGGCCGCGCTCGAGCAGCGTTTCCTCCCCTCAGATCACCACCGCTTGAATAGTTGAAGCCAGGAACACCCTTCAGACCCATCTTGCCAATGACCTTCTTGTCCATGGGCGGAGGCTCGGGGCATGCCATACCCTTCACTGCGAGTTCGTTTGCGAGTTGTACGAGACCAGGCTTGTCGAGACGGACCTGCTTCAGAAGACCCGAGCCAGCAAAGAAACCGATATAAGAAGAATAGGCGCGCTGCTTGGTTTCTTCATCAACTTCGTACATGGCATTGTTCACAGCGTCAGCGCACGCAGATGCGTCTTCGTTGATTTTGTCTGTGTCAGGATGGGGTTTGATAGGCAAGTGGCGATTCACTTTCATGAAGAACGATTCGGCTTGGGTGAGAAGAATGATGGCGCGACCGTCGTTTCCAGCTCGGGCAGTACGACCGACACGGTGAACGTATTGCTCGCCATTCGGGGGTAGACCGACCTGAACGACGAGGTCGACATTAGGGAAATCCATTCCGCGGCCGATAACATCAGAAGCGAACATGATGCCGGAATCTGCCTCTTTGAACTGGGTCGTTGTCCGTGTGCGAGCATTCTGGCTGAGCCGGGAGTGGATCTCGAACACCTTCAAAGGAGTCAGGCCCTGAGAAAAGGCGCGAGCGAAAAGAGCCACCATGTTCGCGGTGACACCGAAGACAATGATCTTCGCGTTGTTCTTGATTTCGAGGTTGAGGAGTGCGGCCAACGCGTTGAAGGTCTCTGCAACACCCGGGATAAGCACGTGGTACTGAGGCACTCTCTCGTGGGTTGGCGTTTCGTTCTTCTGGATGGTTGAAATGTTACTGTAGCCCTGCTTCAAGACAATGCTAATAACATCCTTGACTTTGGGCGGAACAGTAGCTGAGAAACACATGCCTTGCCAGCCGGTGCTCTTGGGAGGGATAAGTTGGAGAATCTTCTTGATGTCGGCAATAAAGCCGGTCTCGAGCATAGTGTCGGCCTCATCCAGAATCAGGGTTTTGATGTTGGACAGCTTTTCGGCCGTGGATTCATCAGACAGATAGTCCTTGAGTCGTCCAGGGGTTGCCACCAGCAAGGACGGCGATCCCTTCATGAAGCGAGAATGAGCCGACTGGCGAGCAGTCCCGCCGACTGCAATGTGGCACTCCAGTTTCTGGGCGAGTTGGGAGGTGAGCTGATCGCATGACTTGGCGATTTGCTGAGCAAGTTCTCTTGTCGGAGTAATAATTAAGATGCCGACTTGGCCCTTTGGCGGCGCGTGTCCTTGCAGAAGGCAGTGCAGAACCGGAAGCAGAAACGCGAGGGTTTTTCCAGTGCCAGTTTTAGCCTGGACGAGACAATCACTGCGCCAATTGGGAAGCTCGGTTAAAACACGCTGTTGGACAGGCGTCATGGAAGTGAAGCCCATCACATCGAGAGCCTGAAGAAGTTTGGCATCCAGCTTGCCAGCCATAGATGAATATGGCTGGGCGCCATCTTCGATTTGAGGACCCTCCATGAGGATTGAATTTTCGCGGATTTATCCAAATCTTGAAGGAGAAGGCTTGCTTTGCTGTGCTGGAGGAAAATTCAAGTCACGTGATGCAACGGCAAATAATGTCTCTTAGCGCCTTTTTTGGAAAAACTTTTTTATTGTTTTAAATTTTTTTTTTTTTTTTTTTTTTTTGAGACATAATCATAAAAGACCGCACCTTTCTAATAAAATGAAAGAACATTAGTGACTGCCATAATGATTTCCCTGAACCGTGATTAACGCCATTGCTATTGAGAGAGCAGAGATTTGTTGCCAAGCAACTGAACTAAAATAGACGGCGTGGGTTCGCCCCACATTTCATTATTGCAGTTCTCCAGGTTGAACATGAAAACAATGTCCTTGGCATTTTACAGAGCGAGAATCCAGGAGGCGCTCTCTCCGGGGGTGCAGATAAAGCAAGAAGCTTCTCAGTCCTGGAATCGAACCTGGGACTTTGGCGGAGTAGAACAAGTGTTTGCACTTCATACTGGGAGGGATGCAATGATAAATGGATCATCTGAAATGTACTAGTGTGTGATGTCTCCCAGGTTCAAATTTCGAAAACAAGCCTGTCAAATTATCTCAATGCACTTCTCAATAATATTTGACAGATGATTCGAAAAGAATGGTACCGGAACATGGAGTTGGACCACGGCGGGACCTCGGATATAAGGGCGGGACATTTGGCGGGACCTAACATATGAAGTCGAACATTGGAGCAAGGCGTTGGAGACTAATGCTTAGTCCTTTTGCAGACTACGCTGCTCTGTAATAAGTTTCAAAATGGAGACGAAAGATTGATTCCCGATGTTCTCATCTAACAAATCGTAAGAAACCCCAACAAACACCGAACTAGGCACATGCAAAACAACCCGAGATTTCTTTCACATAGCGGAAGACGAATTGGCAGAAGCTTCGACCTGCTCAACATCGTAGGCAGATTTAGGCCCGCTCAGGGCAATGTTCCTTTTTGTTGAGGTGCTCCAAGCCTTTGTATTGGACACAAAATAATCATCAATTTGCTCCAGTGTTAATTGCGACGTTTCTGGGACAAATAAGAAAGTCAAAAAGAGAACGCCAACAGTCACACCAAAGTAGAAGTAGCCAACGTTGACACCCATGTTCCCGTATTCTGGGTTCAACATATATGGCGTCCAGAAAGCGGCCCCGAAAGCAAAGATTCCGTAAAGAAAAGTCGTGTTGGCTTGGCCATAAGTGCGGAGTCGAATGCTGTGCATTTCCGCAGAGGCAAGCCATGTACTTGATCCGATCAGTCCACCGAATATAAAGGCCCAGATGCAAAGAAATGCAACGACGATCGTTCTGAGCGATAGGATTGTCCGGGCCAAGACCGGTGCTGACAGAAGAGAAGATGAGCATGCAAATAGCCATGCCCCCATATCCGACTAACATAGAGAGTCTTCTGCCTCCGTAATCGAGAGCCAGTGGGCCGGTGAAAGCCCCGGCAAAAATACATAGTCCGATAATGGCATTTATGAGGTACGGATTGTTTATTCCCACCCCTTTGAGGAATAGGGCCGCATAGGGAGCAACGAATTGGATACCTGTGATCGGCAGACCGATCAAGATTAATGCAGAGACAGCAGTTCGACGTAAGTTGTTGCCACGGTATATCTCGACCCAAGATGTGGTGGCATCAATGCTTCTTTCAAAATCGAGATGCTGCTGGACATCCTCCATTTGCTTTTTCACTTCAAGTGAATGTGGGTCATGGCACAAAAATGATGCAAATGATACGCGAGCTGCTTCGTCTTTGCCTTTCGATAAAAGCCATCGCGGTGACTCGGGGAACATGAACATTCCAAACCCGAGAGTCACGGCGAGAGGAATCTGGCAAACGATGGGCGTTTTCCACTGCCAATCATCATCCGGACCGAGTGTTGCTGATCCGGCACATACTGCTGCTACTATCAGGTTGCCCAGGGCTAAGCCAATGTTGTAGATTCCAAGAAGCAGACCTCGTTTGCTTGCAACAACACATTCTGAGCCGTAAACGACACTGGAAGCGTATAATTGCCCAATACCGACGCCACTGATACACTTACACACAATGTAACTGCTGAATTTTCCAGATGTGCCAAGCATACCAGCGGCTCCAAAGACGCAAAAGACACACGCGACTTGAATTGTACCCCTGCGGCCCAGTTTAGAGCCACAAAATCCGGAAAGGATACACCCGAGGGCAATGAACAATATAGAGATGCTGATGAGAGACTGTTGGAGCGTGTTCAGGTCACAAATTTCGACCTGATCTTGAGTATTGGGGTCGAACTTGGTCTCGCAGTGACCAAACGCCTTTTGGTACGAGGGCATGATCAGCACAGTGCCGGCGAAACCATTGTCGAAGCTTGAAATCGTTGCTGCCCAAGAAACCCAGAGGGAAAGAAAAAACATCTTCAAGGTAACTTTCTGGGGGTCTCCATTTCTGGAGCAAGGGGTTTCCGGCGTGGTTGGAGCGATCTGCTCAGAAGGGTGACGATCGGCCACCATTTCGATGAAGGTTGCAACTGAAACTGTCGATATTGCGCCCCATGAAATGAGGGGAAAATCTGGAAATCAGAACGATGCTGCTACAAGGCTGATTATATGCGCTCAGGCCTTGGCCTTGTCGAAGAGGATCTGAATCAAGGATCTGCGATTATCGGTTGCTTCGGAATCCTGGGTGGCCTTGCGTTACATTGCTTTTTTCCAACTCCTGTTTGGGTTGAAATCAAATGTTATCAATTAATAATCGCGCCACAGATCACCATAAGTTGCTTTTTCAATGACTCCGAGTACAAGACTATACTAAAGTGTGAAACACCTAGCATGACATCACGAAGGCTTCCGTGTTACGACGAACCTATGATTTAGACTAAGGGAAATGGCTACAGGTAGTAAGCATGCCGCAGTCCACAGGTGGATACGTATACAACAGAAAAGCAGAGCATATCTGGGAGACGATGAGATTGATATTTCACTTTCTCAAATAACTTTTACCTGTGGATATAGTCGACTTATTTGATCTTGCACCTAAATTTAAAAAGTAGCGGCCCGATCCTTGTTGCAAATGACGGCACCGAGACTGGATCGAACACCCCCGCCCAGCCCCTTGCTTGATCTTTCATATTAGGAACCCGTGGAATTCGCTTCTCGGACGAATGATAGATGGCGAGAATAAAAAGGAAAATTTCAAGTAAATTAGGTCGGGTGCGCGAGGTGCTCGCAAAATCGCCCTCGCATATCATGATGAAGCGCAGACAAGTGTACTTGCGATCATGCACTTGGATGTATGCATAGAACTATCACATATCGAAGTTGAAAATGGCGATTGCAGTTAATCAACACTAGAGTCTCACACCTAAGACCCTTTAGTGTCCTCGCAAAATTTGAATACTTTATGTAGGAGATTATGAGAGCCCAATTTAAGTAAGGAATGGTTAGTAATATTGTAATCGAAGCATTTTCATCACGGAAAAGTCGCCCACGAAGAAACGACAACGAGGCTTCATCGCATTGGACTAAATTTGTGAGTCTTGGTGTCTAAAATTGGCAGCTCGTGGAAATTCAGAAGTCTGCTCTCGGCTTCAAATTCTAAAACTGTCTCTGTCAGTCCGTTGGAATGCGTTATCGCAAAGACCTTATTTTGAAGCTCATCGCCGCCTGGCGGGACCACAACGGAGATGTTTGCGATACTCACGCCTGGGAATGCCGGCCCCGCATTTTCTCGCTGCGTGGGACATGAATTCACAACCCCCTTAAGTCCCTTGGAATTCACTCAAGACATTTCCCAATATCCCCAAAGCTTGGGTGCTGAATACGACACCGTCGGAAATCAAACTGAGGCAAAGTCTGAGAAGAATCAGTCAGGGACAAGGCCATATCCTCTTAGCTTTTCACTTTACTTGAAAATAGTATACCCACGACACTAAACAAAATACTCGATATGATGGGAGATCGGGGAATACTTGATGGTGATATAGTCCCAGAAACAGTGGTAATGTGTGACTGGGAAGACGCAGGTATAACCAGGACCTCCCAGGATGGTCTAATGTAAGAAATATCTTATCCTTTCTCGACAATGATCTCTTAAAGTCCGCGACAATCTCGTTCCACGTCCCACGACCGACCCAGGCGACCCTCTTAACTGGTCGAAAACCTGGAAGTGTAAGCAAGTAAATGCTTCGAATGTGTTTTGAGCGACTGACATCGAAACAGTTAAGACCTGGTCATAACAACCCAATTTTTGTTCCTGTTTGTCGCCGTCGAGTCAGCCCTCTCAATGGGCCCGATGTCCAATATTCGCGGCCGAGTTCCACCTCGATGATACCATTTGAGTCTCCTCACTGGCGCATGTGTGCTGGCACTCGGGGACTCAAATTTCATTATATTTCCTTGTTCCAACATCTTCGGACGGCGCCCGACAAGTCTGGTCTTCTGTGGACTGGGGATTGCGTCGTGTGCCTGGCAGGCTCTGTCCACGTACCATTCTAGCCTCCTCGCTGCTCGAGTGCTTAACGGTGTCGCTACTGCGACAAGTGAAACGCTGTTGATTCAAGTTGTCACTGACATGTTGTTTCTCCACGAATGTGGTTTGTGGACTGGTGTCAATTGTGAGTAATGAACCTTTCCAGCTGTGAGCTCATGCGAACTGATTACTCTCCAGTATTGGTAATTTAATGGGGTTGTTCATTGGACCTGTATCTCCGGAAACCTTGCAGGGAGGTAGGAGGGCGCGACTCTCTCGTTTAGCCTCCATATCTGAGATATGTTGGTTAACCCTTGTTGATGTTCTCCCAGATTCGGTTGGCGCAGCTTTTTCTGGCTTTCCCTAGCCATGGCCAGCTTCAACTTCCAGACACACCTCTTCACCTTTCCCGAAACCAAATCTCGCACCAAAAAAGTCGACGATACAGATACATTGGAGCTCAACCGTAGAATATCTACGAATAAATTGCGCAAGACAGATGACTCTCCGGGAAGACAACACCTTTAAAGTGTTGAAGGCATACCGACGATAGTGGGCACCGGTCAACCCACCAGGGCTCAGTTTCAACATTGGAAAGTCCCAGCAGATGATTGGAAGCAATTTCTCCTTCGAGATATTGTCTCGCCTGACAAGCTTTTCCTTTTCCCGATAATCTCCTGGGCAGGTCTGAATGTAGCTGGACCGGCAAATCTCCTGTTCTGGAACTTGACACAGTCGGGTTTTCTCAGTGCTCCGCCGTATAGTTTTAGTCCAGCAGGGGTCGGATAATCCAACTTCGCTTTCGCCGTGGGAGGTATCACAGGTCTTGCCACATCAGGGCCCTTGTCCGATTGGGTAACCATGAAAGCCACGAGGCGCAACAATGGAATCCGTGAGGCTGAGATGCGGCTACTGGCATTGATACCATACTTTTTACGACAGTCGTTGGGATTGTCGTTAGTGACATGGGATACCAAAGACAGTGGGAGTGGCCAACTGTCCTGATCATAGGATATGGACTCAATGGTCTCTGTGTGACATGTGTGCCTACTATTGCGATTGCCTACGCCGTGGACTGCTACAAGCCTATATCCGGGGAAATTATGGTTGTGGCCACTGTCCTTAAGAATACCTTCGGTTTTGCAATGAGCTACTGGGTTCCTCCACTTGCTGCAAGAAGGGGGATTGATTGCACCTTCGATGGTTTAGTTTGCCTTTATAATTGGGCCAATGATGTTAGGAATCCCCATCTACTTTTTTGGCAAGCGTCTACGCAAAATGACTAGAAGCTCGGCGGTGCACTTATATATCGAATAGAGGCGTAACTATATATTAGAAGATGTTGTCAGGATGTCGGATACGTGTATAATCTAGTATCGAGGGACGGCCAATTGATGCATGAGATGGATTAACGAGAGTGTGTCTGTGTGTTCCGATCTGTTGAAAATGATCCAGGGGCTATAAACTGCGTATTACATCACAGTTCTTCCGAGAATGACCCGAATTACCATACAATTACTATTGCAATGTGGGTGGATGCTGAATAACCAAGAGCAGTGGAGAATCCACAGTATTTTACCTCTCTCAGAGTTGACAGATGTCTTAATGGTCTATGATGTTCAAAAGAAATCTCGTAGAAAACCACTGTGTTTTGATGTGTTTGCTTTGCGGCTGAGCATGGCAAATCGGCATTCCGTTAGCCTTCTTCTGCCCCCGCTCAACTTACCTCCTCTCCCAGACAACTACGAATACGCTCTGTTTTGTGCTACCTCCGCTCTTCACACCCCCGCCACGAATTCTGGGCTCTACCGAGCGAGGTATATCCGAGGGCACTGCGGGATGTGGGGAAAACGCTGGGTCTGCGGGAGGTCCCTCAAGTACCACAAAACCCCCATACTCGGCAGCATCGCGGCATGCAGCGTCTGAATACTGACACACAAAGCGAATTACCTCAGAAAACCATGCATTAGGCGCGAGGCAGTGCTAGGAGACAGCGCATTTGTCCCCGGTGCTCGTTGAAATTTTCGAAAGAGGATCATCTGGCTCGACACATCCGCTCGCACACGAAAGAAAAGCCCTTCAGTTGGCGCTGTCTGTGGGCATTCATTTACAAGACAGTGAGTCCGATCACTCTGATTGAAGTCCCGCTCGTCTCTGATATTCCTTCAGTGACTCGCCTCTGCGACACATGAGATCTCACGACATTGCGGGGGTGAAAAGAGATTTCTCTGAATTACTTATAGCATCCTTAGATACACCGAACGTGACCAACCAAATAGCTGCCAATTCAGTCTCTGGTGAAAGCCACAATAGCCAGACTACAGCATTTCAGCCTCATAACGCGGCCATGGCAAGCCTGCTGTTACCGAACCAGCATAATTCCAATTCCCAGACACAAGCCCGGTTGCCTGGCTGGCTTGAGAATATTGTCCAGACACCAAACTCGTCGCATGGAAATGCACAATCGCAAACCTCACTATTAATGTCTAACAGTATATGGGATCCCACGTCGAATGAAGCTGTGAGTTTTGGTCAATACTCGCAAGCACCAACCTGGCTAGCTGACGAGCACTTCGACTTAAATGCTATGAATCTGTCGGTCACTGAAAGCGCGCTTGGCTTTTACTCGCCTGCTTACACCACAAACGAGGAGCATACGAATACTGTGATCCAGCCCCCGAGAGAAACGATCCACGAACACAAGGAGGATCAAGTTCGCGAACTTTGGTTCACTTACGTGGGAACTCACACCGGCAAAATTACACCAGATATTGCCGCAGAGAATGTGGAGTTGGATGAGCAGTATCGCCAAAACCTATCTCAACGACTGCAGCAGCGGGTTCCGACAGAGCCCTTGCCGTCAACTGAATTTCTAGTAAGTTCCTGGCTGTCTGCGTCTCCCCTGTTTCGAGCTAACTTTTTCCAGAATCTTTGTACACAATTATTCTTCACGCATTTGAACCCAGTATTCCCGATCGTTCATGCTCCTACCTTTCGACCCTTGGCTAAGAGCTCACTTCTCCTCTTATCCATATGTTCGATTGGAAGCCTCTTCGTTGGTTCGAATTATGCGGTAACGCAAAGGTCGATCATCTTCGAGAGACTGAACAAGGCTATTTTAGCGACGGTAAGCTGATCTTTTGAATGCTCACATGACCCCGATTACGTTCACCGGAGCATTGGCTGACAAGTCTAGTGGGAAAAATACCTACTTGGTTGCAAAGGGGAAGCACTGGCGATGACGCAGGCGGCTCTCATAGGCCAAACATTCGCTATGCTCTTATGTGTAGGTTACTTGAGACGGCCACTGAAGTCTATGACTGATTCGGAAAGTAGAAACCGAGAAACCTATTAGTATTGTAGACATTTCATGGCACAGTCACCGCAGTGAGTGATACTCATAATGCAGCACACAAAACGTTGATCGCATGACGAAAATAGTGGGATCGTATTTACAAAATGTTCGATCTTCGGAGAGCGACGGACCGTTTGGGCTCCCGACTAGAGACACGCACCCCGGAGGAGTCATGGAGAATCTGGGCCCAGGCCGAAGAGCAGATCCGGTTAGAGGCTCCACCTCATTGAAACATACCGTTGCTGACTTAGTCTTCACCAACAAGACACCGAGATATCCGAGCTTGTTCTCACGCATCCGCTCATGCGACATGACAACACATTAACTCCATTGACTGCGAGCCATGATCTCTGGACTGCTCCAAATGCTACGCAATGGAGGGATATTTTGAGACGCAGGGCTCCGCGAGCCTCACCTGAAATTGTTTTGCAACTGTCAAACGACCATCCCCAGCTCATAAATGAGCACACCGAAGGGTTTCAAAGTTACACAAAGTTAGAGAGCATCTCTGCGAGATTCATGTTTGGGATCAAAATCTCCGATACAAGCCAGGAAATCCGGAGAGCGATCCATTTTGCCTGGAAGTGCTTTGACACTCAAGCTTCATGTCGCTCTTGGTGGACTTCAATCGCCTGGAGTTAGCGATCGGCAGAGAAGGCTATGGAGGAGTCATTATCTCATCGCAATTATGTTCACCGATGGTCCTCTTCCCAGAAAGCGCATCGCTGCACTCTGCATGGGGCCTTGATTCTTCGCAAACTACAGAATATGCCGTTGGGCAAAGAACCCGCGATCCATGTCCCCAAAGCGCTCTACCGCGCGGCCATGGTGTGGTATGCATATTCCGAATACGGATCTGGGGAATTCGACTACCCAGGCATGTAACCTCCTTCCAAACTTGATTTCCCGGAATTCGCCTCGTTGAAAGTCAATAGTCAGGCTCTGCTATTTGAAGTCAATGGGTATCGAACTTCCAGGCCAAAGACCTCTGAATCGAGTACGTTGTATGGACTCGTGGATCTGTTGCGCCGGATAGGTCATTGGGGGCTGTCAAGGAAGTTTGCCGAGCAGCTGAGTTTTTTGTTTGTGCAGACGCAGAGCTAGAGCTAATAGACCTGTAAAAATAAAATGTTTCTGGCGCACAGGCCAAATAAAACGTCTTCGCTCCCCCCGGGAGTTGATCCTCGATTTTGGTCGTGATTTGTGGCATTCCTCAAATTTAGGTCTGCATGTCAGACAGAGCCAACTCCAACTCCATTTCTCGGTGTGAACGTTAACCTCAACAACAGTATTATCCCGATAGAAGAGGATTTAAAACATTTTAACAATGACCAGCTTTACTCATGGAAACACTGTGCCTATAATAGTGGAGTTGTACCCCATGCCAGAGGCGTTCAGCCCTCACTCTCTGCTGACCCCTTCTATCTTTCCAGCTAACGTAATCGGTAAGCGAGCCGCGCATGTAAGCCAGTCGCGCACCTTAAGCAACCTATTAATTTTAAATGCATTTATTTCAACAAAAACGCTATTAATCTAATTCAGCTAACTTGCTGGTCTATCTGGGCATGTCTCCCTTCTATGTCCCGGGCGCCTACATATTCCACATCCTCGCTGGGCCCGCGTAGGTGGCTGTAAACCCTCCGAAGGCCTTCCATCCCCGGGGGGTGGAGCGGGTTCAATTGCTTGCTGCGACTGCATTTTTAATGCAGAGGCCTCGAAAACCGAGAGGCCCTCAGTGGAAGGCATCTGCCTGCGAGATCTAGTGCGTTTTTGTTTCTTCTTCTCGTTTTCCGCCCGTAATCCTTTGACTTCCTCCGCTAGTAAAGTAGCGCTCTGCATCGAAAGTTGGCAGCCTTTAATAAGCTGGTTTAACGCTCGATCTGATGGGCTTGGTGGACTTCGAGACCCCGTACGAAGTAAAGCTTTGATTGATGAAGCTTGCCGACGTACTTGTTTATCGGTAAAAGGGGTTTTTGGTGTAAAATTCTGGCTTGATTCGCTATCCCGGCTCGGAGGGGGGTCGGGGTTCGAAGACAAATATCAAGCTTTAAGATCACTTGATCGGGTGAAAAAGGTACCAAACCAGCTGCTCTGAAGCTATTTATAATAGTATCGGAGCGGAAGGCTTCGTTTCGCGCGGAAGGATAAGCCTCGAGGAAATCAAGTTTGTCGATATGGTTGATTCCGTTCCGCATTTTCGTTTCAACTAGCCGACCGTACGAGCGCTTTAACACGGCAAAACAGCCGATATCGAGTGGCTGTAAAAGGTGAGACGAATGCGCAGGCATACAGATTGGTATAATATCGTTTTTTTCACAAAGTTCATCGAATTTCGGAGTCAAATGGCTTCCGTGACCATCGAGTATCAAAAGTCGATACCTTCCCTTCACACGCGAAGAAGTCGACGGAATAAAGAGCTTTTCGAGCCAACGAAGGCCGATCTCATCGGAAGTCCAGCCATTCGGACTAACCTCGAATCTCCAGTCTATCGGAAGATTATCGAACCAACCCTCGATCAAAACTTTGCCTTTAAAAATCACACACGGAGGGAGCGCCCACCCTGAAGCATTCGTACACTCGATTGTAGTCACCCACTCGCGATTTCCGGGCTGTAAAAGCGATCGCCGACCGTAGTATTCAGCCCTCGAGATAACCTTCGCGGTCGCTGTTAATCCCATCGCGAAACCAGTCTCATCGAAGTTATAAATATCGTCGGGATCGATGCCGTATTGAAGAATGGTTTTTTGAACAAGATCAAACCACTCCCTAATGATTCTTGGATCTTCGCACTTCGCACGTTCGTAATTATAACGTCTTGAGAATCGGGATGATAGGCTTGGGTGTCGTTTTACGAAGTTATAAACCCATTTTTCTCCGACGGTTTGAACTGGTGTAGTTCCGCGGGCCGCGAGAAGAAGATTCGCAGTTTCGCGTACAGTAGATGGCCGGGGCGCTGCTCCGCGATCATCTAAAGAGAGTATCCATTTTTGAAGTGATTCCTCTTCGATTTCTGTTAATTTATGCGAATTTGCGCGAGAAATCGCGCGATTTGTGGTGCCGTGACGACGATCGCGAAGTGTAGTTTCAGGCACATTATAAATGCGCGCAGCTTTGCGAACGGAGGATATTTCTTGATTTTTAATAGCCTGGATGGCTAATAATATCCTACCCTCTTGCTCTGTTGAATTTGTAGAGCCTCTGGCACGAATTGGTGGCATGGTGGGTGGTTGAATGAATTAAGTGCTAATTCATAGACGCGTTTTGGGGTGGGTGCGCGACTGGCTTACATGCGCGGCTCGCTTACCGATTACGTTATGTTTCCCCCTCTCTTTTCGTTGTTTCAGCCTCACATATCATGTGTCTGCTGAGACACCTAGCGTGTGGGCCTGGTAGGAGACAAACGAGAGCAGATGGAAGTAAGAAGCACCTGCTACACCATAATGCTATTGGCTAGTGTCAACAGTTCGGGCTTATCGGACTTACGGGACGGGTAGAATGCCGACAATTTCTCTTCCGCCAGCAGAAAAAGTAAACATTTTTCAGATATCTTAGGGTACGCCACAGGTGCCCTCAAATTTAGGCGTGTAAATCAGACACAGCGCGTTCTGAACACCACATAGAAATCAGGATCCATACAGCGCCGCATGTTTCCAGTTGATTTTCGGTTGCCAACGCTCGGTTCGTCCGTTTCCACTGTTTGGTCCAGCGATCACGGGTAGACGGTCGATCGTCGAAGTCTCCAAAAGGTCGTTCGCGTATGACTAACCAACGCTTTCCAGGGTTCCGCAGCTGTCGCGCTATCAATATCCTGTCAAAAGAACGACCAGATGTCACACGAATACTACAGACACAATACAAAGCCATTGTCTGGGTTCTAGACCGTGGGAACTCTGCGTTGCAGGTCAACCGCCTCGGCATTTTGCCATTGTCTGCTCGCCGTCTGCTCGCCGACTAGCGGACCAGCTGCCAATTTGGGATGACCGACCCGCGCGACAGTGGAGTGCACAACATTAGTCGGAGCTAGCTAATGCTCTTAATGCTCCCTCTGGCCCGAACCGTCTCCTCGGAACGCATCGGATCCATTGCTGCACACAAGAGTCCCTGAGAAGAGTGGTGACGGCCCTCTACGCGAGAAATCTCCACCTGCACGTCGGCTGTCGAGATTGCGGCCAAGGGGTTTAGTTTGTGTGCAGTTCCCAGCAGGCCGTTTGAACCGCGCGCCACCGAGTCGATCCCTTTTTTCCATTCGCCTAGGGCTAGTCTGAACATTCTGTCTGTAATGCGCTAGAGGTGCGCTAGACACGCCCCTGACGCGCCGGAGGATATCGATCTCCGGTCTGTCTCCAGAGTCCGTGACCTCGGGCGGCACGCCGGACGTCTTGTTAAAGTCGGATATTCCCCACAAATTTTCGCTCCATCCTCTATCGAACATGCGTCGCGCCCCCCACTATGATGAGCGAGGATGAGCATCAAAGGGTGCTGGCCGTTAGGACGGTCGCGGCCGTTTTCATGCCCATAGCCGTTATCACGGTGATGCTGCGCTGTTATGTGCGCGGATGGGTCGTCAAAGGCTTTGGATTGGATGATGGTTCCATGGTGCTTGCAGCGGTAATACACCCTTTTACGTTGATCCGCGCTGACACGAACCCACGGACTAATGGCAGTAGGCATGCTATATCATGTTTTGTGCGTGTATGATCGGTGGCACTCGGTATGGTACAGGTCAATTGTACGAGCATGAAACCGCGGAGCATCGAGTAATAGCTATGAGGGTATGCACTGCTACGACCTTTCTTCAGGCCAAAGGTCAATCGCTAACAACTCAAATAGTATTGGTGGCTCTGCGAGATCGCCTACTGCTTCGCCTCGATTTTTTGCAAAATTTCGATTTGCATTTTCCTCATGCGAATCACAGTCAAGAGACATCATATCTGGACGCTTTACATCGTCATGATCCTGACCGTTATTGCTGGTCTGGTATTCATGTTTCTAATGCTTTTGCAATGCAAGCCACTGTCCTATTTCTGGACACGACTGGGCACCGATGCCGAAGGCTACTGCATCAGTATCGAAATTATTATTATTATGACTTATGTCTACAGTGTTTTTGCCGCAGTTTGCGATTTCACCGTTGGCATTTTGCCAATTTTCCTCGTGCGAAATTTGCACATGAAACGACAAGCAAAGTATGCCGTCGTTGGGATTCTCAGTATGGCTTGCATGTATGTCACTATCACCACTGACTTTTGAGACACTCAATTAACATACTACAGTGCGTCCTCTGCTGTGATCATTAGGTTGCCATTCGTGCAAACCTTCGCGGACTACCAGTTCCTCTGTACGTTGATCCCAGTGACCTTGCCAGAGTCTCACTAACATCATACAGATGCCACCTACCAAATCGCGATCTGGTCGAACATCGAAGCCGGCCTTGGAATCACAGCCGGCAGTCTCGCAACTCTCCGACCCCTCCTTCGCAAAATGATGGGCTCTCGCTCCGACGGAGACTATTCATCAGGGTTCCCTAGGGCATCGACCTCACGCCGAGCTGGGGCCAGTGGACAACGACCGGTGCCACTGGACTCCCTTGATGGAACAGGGCACAGCGAATTGCGACCGGATAAACTGGCGGTTGTGGTTACAAATATTGAAAGCCAGAGGGACGTGGATAATTCGTGGCTGCAACCTTCGAGTCCGAACAGTAGCGAGGAAAGGTTGACCAACGAACCTCCGACCCCCGGGAGAATGGAAGTCGGCATTCATCGTACATTCGAGGTCACGACGACCGCGGATCCATATGAAGGCGAAGGGTCACATCGAATGGTCAAGGAACACCTATAAAAAGCTGCTGTACTAGTATTGACGAATATTAACGTCTAATGAAATCTTGAAAACGAGATAAAATCATGCGAGTGTAAGGTATGTCATTCTATGTAAAGTACGGTGTTTGATCAAAAATGCGACCCTACAAGTCCCGATTTATCGCTCAAAATTCCTGGATTGAATCATGTTTAGCGTACATTGTATTGGTCATCCTGTAGAAATCTCAGGGGCAACAAGGCTGGAGCCAACGCCAAGTGCATAAATCCAGCATCCTCGGCTCTCATATGAATGTTTCAGAGTACAATGCCGATTACAGCCCCCACAGCTCACAATGGCTTTGATCCTCGCTTTGCCTCCAGCTTCCCTGAGCCATCTCCACATGTATCCACTGACAATTGAAGATGGCCCGTCCTCGGGTGTCATGGTGTTGAGAAAATCTCCGAATGGTAGAAAACTACCCACTTCGCACCTCAGTGCCATTTATGGCATAAGGCTCGGGTCGGGTAGGAGATGACATGCGAGATTTGTTTGACAGTCATTTTAGCCTCAAAATTTCAGAAGAGAATTTTTATTTGCCGGCAGACCCAAAAACATTTAAATTCCATGATTGAGTGATGGGCAGTTTTCCGTCATCTTGTCGTCTTCCGGTCGCGCCTGTGATATCAAAATTACACTATCCTGCCCTTCCGTTACTATATCTTCTTTTTCACAATCAATATCACACCATGAATTGCACCCTTGACCTTCTCCTTTCCCTTCTCAACTCCAGCCTCATGCAAGTGACGTTCAATAACCCTACGGAGCATCCTCACGACATCCTTTTCAGTACCAACAGCATCCGGATGAGCCTCTCGCCAACGAGTCACTGGACTAGCGGTCGACGTAATCTTCTCGAACACATCCATATTGACCTCGGGCTGGAAAGCAAAAAAGTCCTCAGCGACATCCCAATCCTTGCGGAAGAAAGCACTCTCATCAAACTCAGGAATGGGCTGCTCCAAGGCCCACGGAAGTGGAAGGTCTACATAACGCGAGCGTGTGAGTAGATTTCCCGGCTCGAAGAACGGTCTGAGATGTCTCTCTTCAATCTCATCTAGGGCGCTCTGCATCGCGGCAGCATTTGGCACCGAGGAATGAATGCGATTTCTTCCACTAGTCCACAGCGCAACACTGCCTCCAGGTTTCAGCACGCGGGCGGCACTCGCCCAAAACAGAGACATGTCGAACCAATGCGCAGCATTAGCTGCGGTTATGAGATCGACACTTTCATCTAGAATTGGTTGTGGGAGGGTTGTTCCGAGGTCTTCGGCCGTGGAAACTTCGTAGCGAATAAGTCCAGATGCAGAGGTAGTACCGCCGAGTGAGCGAGCCGTGGTTAGCATGCCTTCAGAGGGATCCAGGCCGATGGCGTAGTTGAAATGCGAGCTTAGTGCTCGGACGACATTGCCAGGACCACACCCGACATCAAGGATGGTCTCGAGTTGGCCGTTGCTGTCCAGGTGGTGGTCGATGATTGTCTGATACAGCGTGGGGTGATAGTCTGGACGGGCTTGGGCATAAGCATTGCCTTGCTCCTGGCTGTAGAAAGTGAACGTCTTCTCTGTTGACAGAGTCGGAGTGGAAAAAGACCCGGACATGGCTGTGTGCGAGCTTTTCTTGCTTGTCGATAGTATTCGGAGACAGCGAAGGCTGATGGCTACCTGTTACAAGTTAACTTGCGGCATACGAGGACTGGTAATTCGGTAGTCCGCGATCCGTGCTCGGACGATGAGGAATACGGGGTCGGCGCGGAGTTGTGCTTTGAATGCCGGAACCCGACCGTTGAGGCTGAGCAGGTGGAGTTTGACTTGGCGGGCGATTGGAAACCATTGTCCAAGTCCGCCTATTCGTTCAGTTTCTGACCATCTTGATCGTCGCTGCAAAGTGTAGAATGAGTCAACTGTCTTCCCAACAGTGACCAACCCGAGTGGGGCCAAATGCCCTGCAGCAACGTGAATTGCCACCCCAGAAGTCTGTGGGAAGTTCCTTGCCATCGTGCATTGCAATGAAATGCCAGCTGGGTTATTGATCGATATCGTGATCACGTTTGGTGGAAACCTGAAGTTGTCTCAGATATCCAGGTCAAACGGCAGTAGATGCTTGCCCCCGTCACGTGTCATTATTTAAATGCATCACGCTTTCACCTCACTTCTTCCCGCGATTTTCTGGAAGGAGCAAACATGCAGCCACTACTCATTCCATCGTCAAAGCAGCCAATCTCGGCGTCACTCGGAGGTAGCCAGCCGACCGACGAAACAGAAGCTCAACATCGAATCGACCCCGCATGGCTTCCTCCCCACTTTAGCCGAGGCCTCCATCCTCATTTGCTATCTCATCGAGGAGTAGCATTCGGCCAGACAAGACAGCTTCCAAGAAAACATGATTACTGCCGATTGGCACTGTTCTCGTTACCCCTCAGAAGGGTTGTCTGGACATATATCTGAGAGAAACCCCCCTCCCCCAAGAACACCTTGACCAACATCTAGAAACAGACACTGGCGCACTTCTAGCAGTACTCGACGCATCAATTCAACATGGGGTCCACCGACAAAAGCATCCCCTGGCAGGAAAGAGTGGCCAAGAAGCAGCTACAGTGTGCAGAGAAAATACCATCGACATGGAAATTGTCCGAGGCATTTTGGTCCAACTTTCAAACTCCTTTAGCGGACAACAAAACCGACCTTGTCCAGGAGCAAGTGATTCGCAAGTCTGGCATTCTCACGGACCGCGAGTTTGAGATTACTGAGAGCTATACTGTGTCAAGACTTCTATCAGCTTTGGCAACTGGAGCATTGACTTCTGCGGAGGTGACACTGGCTTATTGCAAGCGCGCTGCGGTTGCGCAGCAGCTGGTATGTCTCTTTCTTTTTACCTCATATGATGTTGAGATTGACTAACGCAATGCGACTCAAATAGGTGAATTGCCTTTCAGAGACAATGTTTGATGAAGCCCAGAAGAGAGCTGAGCACCTGGACAGTCTGCGAGCTCAGGGCCAGCTGGCTGGTCCACTACATGGACTTCCTATTAGTATCAAAGATAATTTTCATCATAAGGGAACCGAAGCAACAATTGGGATGCTGTCTTTCCTCGGTGAGGTGTCATCAGAAAGCTCGCCCCTGGTTCAGCTTCTACTGAAGCTGGGAGCGGTCATTTATGTCAAGACTAATGTTCCCCAAACTATGATGGTGGGCTCAAGTTTCTCCATTTCCTCAAGCATTCAGCTGACATTATCTGTTGGTAGACCACAGACTCCCACAATAATGTATTCGGGCGCACTTTGAATCCTCGAAATACCATGCTGGGTCCCGGTGGATCTAGCGGCGGCGAGGGTGCCTTAATTACTCTTCGAGGCTCACCACTGGGAGTCGGAACCGACATTGGCGGTAAGAATGAAAGTTTTTTAGCTCAAAATATGCAGTGCTAATTAGGCTCAAGGCTCTGTCCGCATTCCTGCCCTATGCTGTGGAACATATGGATTTCGACCCAGTGCAGCAAGGGTGCCAAACGGAGGAATGCGAGCGTGCACTACCAGCGGAATGAAATTTGTTCTGTCCTGTGCGGGTCCCCTTTGTCAAGATCTTGATGGCATCGAGACATTCTTCAAGTCTCTCTTTGACGGCCGTCCCGCTCTGTACGATTCCACCATCCTGGACATTCCGTGGAGACAGGTCTCCACCAAGCAAAGACTCAGAATCGGAGTTATTCCCGAAAGCCCTAACTTTCCCCTCCACCCCCTGTTCGGAGGACCTTGGCGGAGGCGGCTCGCATACTAGAGGCCCAGGGTCACCAGATCATTCCACTGGATTCGCAGGAATGCCGAATCATGGAGGCCAATGAGATTGCTTTTGCGATCTTTTCTCTGGACCCGGGTGCTAGGAACCACCTCGAAGCGTCCGGAGACCCCCCAGTCCCAGCTTTGCTCCACATTGGTCAACAGGGCGAAAAGCTGAGGAAGTATGCAAAGTCAACTCTACCAGACGTGAGCTCACTGGATCGTATGGGTCAGCTTGCTGCACTCAATACTCTCCGTGCAGGCCTGCGGGAAAGTTACCGGAAACTGTGGCTGAAACACGACTTGGATATTTGCCTTTCTCCCCCGGCCCAGAGTACAGCTGTTCAGCACGACACATTCGGAATACCCCCGTATACAGCATTCTTGAACTGTCTCGACGTATGTTTCATGTTATACCCACCATTTCAGAGTATTAGCTAATTTTCTCATCTTTGATCTCCTTGCAGTTCCCATCCTGCATTCTTCCATTTGGACACGTGGGAGAGGAAGATGCAGGGCAGACTTTCGCACTGAGAGATGACCAAGTTGGCCCAGAATGTGGGTTACCATTTGACCTGAGCCATTCAAGATGCTTTACTAAAATTTAGTCACAGATAACTTCCAGGTGCTCAATGGTGCCCCGTGCTCTGTTCAGCTTTTCACTCCTAATATGCGCGACGAAGAGTGCTTGCAAATGGCCAAGCAGATTGATCAATGTCTCAGGAATAGGGACTAGCTCTGTAAGATGAGCTCAATCTACTCTGGCATGTAGTTAATCGATTTGATGTAAGGAATTTCAGACAATTCGTATGCTCATCGGGCGAAGTCATTTCAGAATCGTATTCGGTTTGCTATATGGGTACAAAATGAAACCTCCTCCTCATCATCACACTGGAGTCGTCGAAAGGCTGATATCTGCTTTCAACTTCTCTTGCCCCAATACATTGTTTGGCTGATGACGCGGCAGCTCCTTAGCGCGCTGAACAACATCCAAAACTCCCTTCGAGACTGTGAAGATCTCATCTATCTCCTCAAGTTCGCGGCCCGACGTTTCAGGGAACAAGTAGTAAACACAAGGCACAATAGTAGCATTGAAGGCAGCGAAGAAGAAAAAGTACTTCTGTCCAATACTTTCAAATGCAATCGGGGTGACATTAGCAACCAAAATGCTAAGAGCCCACGAGATGCTGATGCTGAAACTGTTGATGGTCGTTCGTAGATGCAATGGCGCAATTTCTGTCGCATAGAGGTATGGGATTCCCCCGAATCCGATAATGTAACTGAAATGGAAGAGGAAAATGAAGAAAACGGCGGCATGAGCGGACGTAATGCTTCCGGTCAGTGATCCGAGACTTGCGACGAGTAGGAGGCAAATGGCATTTCCTGATGCACTGAGCATCATCAATTTGCGTCGTCCAAAGCCTTCGATTGTGAGGACTGAAACCATTCCGCCGATGGGGCCGACGAGTTGGTAAGATGCAGCGAGGAGTCGAGATGTTGATTCGCTGAGGTGGAGGTCATGCTCAAAGATCGCGGTAGCTGCAATGGTTCAAATTAATGAGATATTCCCCGAAGGAGTCTTGACAAGTACATACTGTAGAAAGTCGTCACTGTTGCACCGGTCAGCTGGAGGAACACCATCACTCCAACAGCAAGCATCGCACGATGGAAAGTTCTCTGAGTCCCGACCTGATAGGCCGTTCCAAGAGGCACTTTGTTGCTGGCCAGGTCGAGAGATGACTGCACCTCATTGATTCTGCGATCAATGATATCGCTGTTGGCACTTGTGTCTTCCAAAGCCGCCAGTATCTCCCGAGCCTCGCTGATTTTGCTCTGCCGAATTAGCCAACGAGGGGATTCTGGCAGGCAAGCCATAAAGCTCAGGATAATGACAGACAAAAACATGGGGAATGCAGATGGCAAGCGCCATGTGATGCTTCCATGCATGAAAGACATCCCAAAGTCGAGAAAAAGGGCAAGTGCACATCCCAGCCCACTGAATATTCCCTTCGTGGCAACATGCGCACCTCGCTTGTGCGCTGGTGAGATCTCAGATTGCCAGAGAGGAATCGTGGCCAGGATAGCACCGGTACCGACGCCGATAGTCACCCTTGAGACTATCAATTGCGTCAGGGAGTAGGCACTGGCATTGAGAGCAGCACCAAAGATCTGGACAAGCGATGCAGTCATTATCGTCCGCCGGCGGCCGAGAATATCTCCCAGCCAAATGCATGAAAAGGTTCCCAGGAAGCCACCAATCGCATAAACAGCAACCACCGTCCCTTGGATAGTGGAAGTGTGCGCTCGATCCTGGGCATGGTCCACATCGATAGCGGGGAACTGGCCCTCGAAACTCGCCAGGGTCAACACGCCACCAAGGGAGGCCGCGTTATAACCAACTGACATGATCCCGGGCATCAAGACCCCAAGAATGGCCACAATGTTGAGGCTATTGCCACGACATCCGAGAAACCGGGTCATACTTGCGTGTTGATCGTGCCGGGGATCTGCACAGCCAAGAGATCAGGGGAGATAGATCAGCGTGATCGACTTCGATCCACGCGTCAAAAGGAGAATAAAGCACGAGGCAGACAGCTGGAAAGATAAAGCTAGTCTTTAATTCCCGAGTTTCTTCTGTATTTAAGAGAAAATATCATCGGTCTCGCCTGCCCCCCCCACCCCCCCCCGGGTCGCTCCAAATCGTCGTAACTGGTGCATTCCAGTCTCTAAGTCTCTGGGTGACATGCGGTAAATTCCCCTCAGGGTTCGCGAGCCAGAGGGGCGATTTGAGCAACGAGGGTCCAACTGGAATACTCGGAGCTTTATGCAAGGCACGTCGCTCAGACGCCGGCCGGAATCGCTCGCAATGAGCTACTTCTCATTAAGACTAGACCGTGCATGAGGGAATCCCAGGATGGAAGATCCTTGTGTCCCAGCATGGTGTTTCCGTGTGGTATCCCAATCGTAGTATCGCCGAGTCTCCAATCATGAGAATTCCTATCGTTTTGGCTCGGTTGTTTCTTGTTTCCTCATCTTTCGTCTGCTGATGAAGCTGAAAAGCGAATGATTAATTCGGATATGCATAATTATCATGGACATGGACCTTCGGAGACATGTGCCGGGTTTCTAATGGGATATCCGCTTTTTTCTCCCTCACCCCCTTGCCTCCAGCTCTGGCATGTGGCCAGTCCCTCGGCTATCCAGCTCCGAGGGCCTAGAAGCGGCCTTCCCAGAAGGCGCCTCGACAGCGACAGGTGCACCATTGAAGCTTGGGCCCGGAGCAGTGGAATTAGCCATGGCCTTGCTCAGTCGATTTGCTCTCCTCCTTTCCATGAATGCCCATACCAACGACCCCAGCGCGACAAGTCCCAGTGGAACACCCAGTCCAGCCCCGATGGCCACATCGTGTGACCCGCTCGAGGAGGGGCTTGAAGTGGCTGTTGGGCAGATGCCCGAGGAGTTGGAGGAATTCGACGATGCAGATAATGAAGTGACGTTCTGGAGGGCAGTGTGTCCAGCAAGGATTTCGCCGTCGTCGATTTCGAAGCTGTCCTTCTCGAATGGACACACGATTTCGCTTCCATTGATCACGGGTGTGCCACAGCAGTATTTAGAGGTGCCATTGATGAAGGACAAGTTAATAATCGACGCGCCTTTGTCATCGAAGGTATCCTCTAGTGCCGCATCGTTAGTATAGTGTATACCCCTTGGGTCGACCCCACAGGGGCCAGGATTCTTCAGACTTACGGCAGTGGGTCGGACATCCAGCGCCCCAGTTTTGGCTTGTGCAGGACCCTCGCGAGAGAACGAATGGTTGAACGGTATCCAGGCAGTATCCGTTCGATAGACAGATGTTGTCCTTGCCGCAGCAAAATGTGGTATCGTCGGAGGTGCATGGATAGCTATTCGCGGCCGTGTTGCCGTGCGGGAAGTAGCACGTTCGAGCGTCGATTGGCATGGTGACTTTTCGTAGTGGTGAATTGTAGAAAACGAAGGACACTAACTCCAAAGAGCCGAGAAATTGCGCTGGAGAGGTTGAATAGGGGACTTGGGCGGCCGAGGCTCGCGAAGTCGTTTTGACAGCGGAGACACAAGCTGGCGGTGGTCGTTATGGTGCCAAGGGGAGCTATCCAATATCTTACGCGATCTGCAATCGCGTGTGCATTGCAGAGACTAAATTAGTCTTAGGTGAGAGTGAAGATAACACAGATCGGCGATACCCTCGGTGTCTATCGCGTCGGGTTTGGTGTGGCAGACTTCTCTCGGGCTTTCTTTTGGTCTCGCATCCGATTCGGGTCAACTCCATCGATCCAAAGGCGACTTGCGTGGCAGTGGATTGTCACATTGAGCTTTGAAGTTGAGCGTGGAAACGGATCTTGAGCCTAACGACAATATGGAGGTTTCAGCGATCGACTTCAGCCGTCCAGGGTCTAGTACCCAGTAGCGGGGCACAAATCCCGCCACCGGGCCTACCACTGCAAGCATCAGGCCCGCCCAGGAAAGCATGAGGAGGGAAGATCGCAAGTTGTGAGGAACTTAATATGTCATCTTACTTGGGGGCCGCCGGTTCACGTGGCATGATTGGTTTCCAAGACAATTGTGACACCGCTCTCGAATACAGTCACTCCTTAGATTACTATATGGCAAACCTCTGCCAATGTCACTGTGCCTACTAGTATTCACCTTAAATCACATCCTCATCATCGACCCCTCTTCTCTTTCTTTTTCTTTGCACGATTTGTATTGTTATGGTGTTTTGTTTGGTTGACTCGTAATTTCAAGTTCGGCATGAGCCACGCGGAATCCACCCCAATTTGGGGCCAAGTCCCAATCTGGCAATATATGGCGCCGCTCTGTTGTGCCCCTGCCAGGGCTGAGTCCAGGATGCATTGGGGGCTGTAATGGCACGATCGCCATGCCCATGCCCAACTCAGAAACCAGTTCTAGATGCCTCGATTCTCAGCTGCCCCCAGCATTTCAGCATTAATGGAAAGCATGACTGTTGGCAAGTCAGAGAGAAACTCTGACCTTATTCAATAAGGAAATGTAGAAGAAAAATAAATATTTCCACTTGGAATGAGCCTATGCCGGCCATGCACGGCGCTTTTCGCAGCCAAGTCATCTGAGGGCAAGGCGCGGACCTCCCCTCACCTTACTCTCGCTTTACTACATGCACCGTCTGGGAGTGCCCTTGAAGCAAGAGAGTACATGTATTACATGTCGCTATGTCATCCAACACTTTCGGCGACCTGAACTCTAGGATTCAGGTGGGTCCAAATTGCGGTCCTATCAACGCAGAGTTTAATCTCCCTCCCGGTATGGTCTTTCCGGATGTACAAATCCTCCCAAGCCCATGAAATTCAGCCAAGCTGATTATGTCGCAGAGTCCAAGATCAACTTCTTCAATACTTCGTCTTACCAGGCTAACAAAAACATCAACCCTCATCTAGTCAAAGAAACCTGCAAGTGGTTTATGGAGCACTCAACCTTCCAAAAATGGAGGAACAACACTCTCAAGACGACCTCATGGCTTTCTGCCGACCCGGCTGTGGCAATCCCGTCCTTGCAAAAGTTTTGATTGATGAGAAACTACTCGACGATGGGTCGGCTACGGTGTACTACTTCTTCAAAGACAACAAGGAGAGCGGTTGCAACCTGTGCATTGCTGCATCGGCTATTTTGCGCCCGCAAAGACCTCTTCCGCGAGCACGCCAGCAAAGCGATAGATCACTATGGAAGTGGATTAAGGGCTGATTTCGACGCTCTTTGGAATTTGTGGACAATCGCAATCTTCGATCCCTCAAATCAAGATGTCGTCTGTGTAATCGACGCCTTGGACGAATGCCGCCAGCCAGACCGCCATCGACTAATAGCGGAGCTCGATCGGTTCTACACATTCTCCCCAGAAAGATCAAGAATCGGACCGAAAGTGAAGTTCCTGATTATGAGTCGACCGTATGGTGATATTGAACGCAGATACGGCAGACTTACCAACCGGTTTCCTACTATTCGTCTAGCTGGTGAAGAGGAGTGGGTGAACATTAGCCAAGAGATCGGCCTGGTGATGCAAGTCAAGGTAGACGAAACTGTGGAAGAAAGAGGCCTCTCTGATGAGATTCGGAAAGCTCTGAAAAGCCAATTCTCAGAAACTCGAAACACGACTTTTCTCTAATTATATTTACAATGGAGGTGCTTCGAGACTGCCTGGGCCAGATGGAATCAAAGCTGCTTCGAAAGATCAAGGAATTGCCAGAAAGTGTTGAGCAGGCATACGAAATTATCTTGCGGCGATGTCATCAACAGAATCGTCAAGACGGGAGACGCCTGCTGAATATCATCGTCGCAGCGCAACGGCCCCTGAAAGTATCCGAGATCGATGTTGCTTTAGAGGTCCAACCTGATATGATCTCTCGCACTGATTTGGATCTTGAGGGCTCCCACAGAAAGCAGTGGATATGAGATGAATGTGGACTGTTTGTTAGCATTTACCAATCGCGTGTCTATCTTATCCATCGAACTGCAAGATAACTTTTGCTTCAACGGACAGATGAAAAGGTAGCCCCAGGAGGATGGGACACTCCATCAATCTGATGGATGCACATCGACTCCTTGCAAGGATATGCGTCACATACTCCAGTTTCGGGATTTCCAGAGGAGTTATCTGCCTCTCGGACCCCCTTCGATGGGTGGCAAAGAGGCAATTTTTCGATATTCAGCAGAGCACTGATCTGAACACATGCGTCAAGTCAGCTGCGAGGAGGACCTGCTGGTGAAAACTAGTTGATTATCTGAGGTTGGGGATGGAAATCCGTCTCCAAAATCTGTGGCTCCGTTTCAACAGTTCTCTTCCTCAACAATGATTGAGACGCCGTCCACCTCTGATCTGGGTGATAAATGTACACTTATAGAGGTTGTGGGCTTACTACTTCGAAGATCCAAATTGGAGATAACAGAAGTAGTAGTCGAGGAGGTTGCAGCAAACCCGGAAATAAGACATGCCATGATAGAGATTTTTTTGATCAAAGAAGCTTCGAGACAAGAATTACCCCAGGTGTAGTTCTGGCTGCCGCAGGAAACGGCTCAAAGGGACTTTCGGCGATGAAGACTCTTCTTGAACGAAGAGGAGCAGAAATCCAAATCACTGATCAGGCTCTCAAAGCGGCTGCAGCGAACTGGAGTTTCGGAGAACCCTATAATAAAACTCTTACTTGATCATCAAGGGACAGAAGTCAGAATCACAGAGGACATTATCATAGCCGCACAAAAAACTGCCAGAATGGAGATGCTGTCATGAGGAGATTGCTTGAATATGGAGGGAAGAAAACCAAAGCCACTGACGAGGTTTTCGAGGCAGCTGCAGCAAATTGGCAATTAGCAGCCGCTGTGACAGAAATTCTTCTTGAAAAAAGGGAGTGCAGTTCGAAATAACCGAGTAAATTATTTTAGCCGCTATGGAGAACCAAAGCGGAAGCGGAAGCGGAAGCGCCGTGATGAAGCTCCTGCTCGAGCAGAATAAGGTGGCAAATCAAATCACCAAGAGAATAGTGGACGCCGCTATGAAGAGCCGGGGAAACGCGAAGGCTGTGATGGGGCTTCTACTCGAAGAAAAGAGAGTGAATTTTCAATTCATTGATGAGGCGCTCAAGGAGTATACCCGGGAGAACCAGTATCCGAAACGAATCTCTCCCAGGATGACAAACGGAGGGATGAAATCGAAGTCGCCAAACAGCTTCTTTATGCTGCTACGGTAGATCAATGGGGTGGACTCATTGAGTAAAGGTTCTACTTGACAGAAGACCGGGCATTCAGATAGTCGATCAGGCTCTGAAGGCGACTGCATTGAATGAAATGCGTGGAGGCACCGTGATGAAAGCTCTTATTGAACAAGGAGCAAATTTTGAAGTGATATTATTTGTGTAGCTGCGGCGAATCAGAGGTGCGGTTATGGTGTGGTGAAAATTCCACTCGGACAAAGAGGAGTGGAAATTGAAGTCACCCGGGGGGCGGCATTGGTAGCTGCTGCTGAAAACCTGAAAAGTAAAGATCTTGTGATGAACCTTCTACTCGAACAGAGAGGATCAGAAATGAAAATCACTGACAACGTGATGAAAGAGGAGAATGTTCATATACTGTCATGGTGCTTCTCCTGAAAAAAGAGTAGCGAATGTCAAATCACCGAGGGCATCTTGACGTACTGTGACTTATCAAGTGAAGCCGAGTCTCATAGATATCACGCTCTACGCCCAATATTCAAGACGTGCAAAGAAATAACAACGTAGAGCGCACTGAGATGTACCTTGCCCAAATAAAATGTAAAATGTGAACTGACTCAGCCCATCACTATATTTCAATGTCAACCTCAATTAGACAAACCCTAAGCCCGATACGGCCCTACCTGCGGTTCTTGGCAACCGTCACGAGCCCCGCATACCTAACTTAAGCATACTACACAGCGGCATATTCCAACTTCCGATGACGAGAATTTAGACTCAAATTCCTCCTTGACTTCGGGAACTCCTGACGGCCCCCAATCCGGTTTCCGCCGGATACTCAACACCGACGGATAAAATCTCTAATCACCGCCAAACCACACGGAGATAAGCAATGATTGTACCTTAGGATTCCGTAAATACACGCGTTGCATCATTAACCCCGACCGTATAGTACAAGGACATCTATACACGCGAACAGAAAAGAGAATATAAAAATACAGAGCCTGTTGCTCTGCTAATCATCTCAACAATCACTCGAATCGACACTCAGTCAATCTCAAATTCAAACAACTACACCAGTGTACAACACCAAGTCAAACCAATCAACCAAGATGTCCACCCACCAAGCTGCCACCCTCCTCGAAAAGGGCACCCCCCTCGAAATCACCGAGCGACAAACCCCAACCCTAGGACCAAACGAGCTCCTAATCGAAGTGCATGCCGCAGCTCTCAACCCAGTGGACCACTTCCAGCGAGACCTGGGCATGTTCGTCCGCGAGTTCCCAGCCATACTCGGCTCAGACGTCTCCGGCATCGTCGCGAAAGCCGGCTCCGACGTACGTCCCGACACGCCCAAGCCCGGCACGCGCGTCACGGCATTCGCTAGCTCCTGGTTCAACGGCAAGGCGGACTACGGCGCTTTGCAGAAATATGTGATTGTTTCTGAAGACATCGTCTCCGTCCTTCCGGACTCTTACTCCTTCGTTGAGGGAAGTGTGTTTCCCATGGCGGCATTGACATCTTGGTGCGGATGGCTTTGGGCTGGAATCTCGCCTTCCTCGCCCCCGAGCCAGAAGGAGGGTGTTTTTGTCTGGGGCGCGTCGAGTAGTATGGGGACATTTGCGGTGCAGGAGGCGAAGTTGATGGGGTATACTGTCTATGCGACGGCTGGTGCGCAGCATCATGAGTATATCAAGGGTCTTGGTGCGGCGCGGGTCTTCGATTATAAGAACGAGGATATCCTGGGCCAGATGGTGAATTCTGCGAAGGAAGATGGGATTACCGTTCGAGCTGGGTATCTGGCTACCGGTGATCAGCAGCTGGCTATTGATGTCCTTGCTGCGCTGAGTGGTGGGGAGAAGGCGAAGTTGGCTGTTGCACCCATCTTAAAGAAAGACTTGACGCTTCCTGAGGGTATTGAAGCGGCGTTTGTCAGTCACCCTGAGGACCCGGTTGAGTTGAAGGGGAGGATTCGCTGGGTGTTTAGGGATTGGCTTGAGGCGAGACTTGCGGCTAAGGAGCTGGTTGCTAGTCCTCATATCAAGGTGGTAAAGGGAGGATTGGCTGCTGTTAATTGGGCCCTGGATGAGCTCAAGGGTGGAGTTAGCTGCTCAAAGCTTGTGGTGGAGCTTTAGATGTTACGCCATTGAAATGGCCTGCTTGAGTCAGTATCATATACACTGCCACTTCTCTGTTAGTTTGGTTTTGACTGATTTTATAAGTTTGTTCTCCAGAAGATCACAATCGTTATTATCCACCTTATGCTACAACCAGTAGTCTGGAAAGTGAACCGTAGACCCTATTTGGAATACATGCCTGGCAAGGACCTGATCCCGCCCGTCGAGAATTAAAGGATCGGACACTGGAACATTCCGCATTGAGCAGACGAAAGCCGAGGCATGAAACATCTCTTTCGTGTACGTGAGTATGTCCTGCGTGTATATACATGTAGTAGGTATGCCGCAACTTTGAACTAAAAAGGGATAACAAAGGCGAATGCATAAGATGTCATCATCGACAGATGCATGATGAGGGGTGAAGATGAATGCTAGGATACAGTGCCTCAAAGCACAAATGCTACCAAACTAAATTTCAAAGCAAAATGTCGAGTTATGAGAAAAAAAAATCGGTGCTAGAGGGGTATCCAATGGAAAAGACAGAGTCGAGACATATGGAAAGATCGAAAGGGCCATGCGTAAAGTCATTATTCACCATCGTATATAGATTGAATAATGCTCATTCTGCGTTCGAAGTCGGGGCTTCGTTGAAGGAAGGCTGTGCCTCAGATTCTCCAGGCGTCGCCTGGGAACTTGGACCCGTATCTGTGGTATCACCACTGCCGCTGCCCCATGAGTCTTCACGCATGATCTCGGCAGCATCCGGCAGAGTAGGTCTAGCCAGCTCTTGGCGAGATTGCTTGGCTTTGGAGGCGCGAGTTGAAAAAGAGGGAGAAGAAGGTTCTGTACTCTGTAGGTAATCATTCCGACCACCCGTCTGCATCGGACTGGTGCCACTATCGAGGCTGACAGGCGAGGACTGGGTTGAGTCCAGGAATCCACGCCATTTTCGCCAACCCTCAAAATCGATCAGTGCTTGCATGCAACCCCATTCGGTGACCTTTTGGGACAGCCATGGGAAGCCAATAGGCTTGGTAAGGAAATCGTTACAACCAGCAGCCAATGCCTCATGTCGATCGCTTTGCAAGCTACTAGCGGTCAAAGCGACGATAATGACAGGGCTGCGGAACAGAGACAGATCCGTCAAGGTATCTTCCTCACTGACGGACCGGTGAAGACCCGGCCTCCTCTCTGAAGTGGCGCTCGAAACACTTGAACGACCAGAGGCATTCTTAGGGAAGACTCCAATTCCGTTTAGTCGTTCTAGCCGACGAATCTCCTTGGTAGCATCCAATCCGTTCATGACAGGTAGTTGGATATCCATCAGTACCAAATGGAATCCACCTTGTCGCCATTTCCGCACGGCCTCCTCTCCGTTTGCTGCACACTTCCATCGCACACTCAATCGTTTCATGAACGCTTCGAGTAGCTTTTGGTTGATGATATTATCTTCGACGATCAAAACATTGATTGGAGGTACCGTGCCGTCAATCAATCCCCCAAAGACTGCACCGGGTGATGCAGCGGCCTTGGACTTCCTGGAAGCACGTGGGGATGTGACGGGTGCCGGCGGGGTGTGGATTTTGGTTTGGGGAGATTCGGCTGCTGGCGCGGGAGGTGTAGGGATGCTTTGCGGCGGTGCTGGAGTGGGTTGAGAGTGGGGTGATATGCCGGGTTCTTCGAAGGGTTAGTAGGCGAGTGCTTTGAAAGATATTTCCGTAGTGAATTGAACGTACCTGTTACATTGACAGTGGGCGCTTGTCCCAAGTGTGTCGGCGAGTTCGTCGTATGCCGTTGAAGGGGTGGCCGGCGATGATGCCATGCACCGCTTCGTCCGGGAGAATGCAGTGGAGGGGGCACGCCCGTGCTCATGATGGACGACATCGCCGCCTGGTTATTTGCGCCAGGATTTGATGGATGTAAGGGAGGAGTCGAGGTTTTGGTGGGGTTGACGGGCATAAGCGGAAAGTATTCGCCATGTTCGCCAGGCTCTGGGTGATGGTGATGATAAACACTGTGGCGTGGGGAGGGTTTGGGGGTCCGGCGAGTTGGTGCATCAATCACCAGGGCCTCCTCCACTGTTTGACCTCCCGGATAGTATGAGTCGAGCACAGACACCAGAGATTCTTCAGGGCTGAGAAGACGCTCTGGATGGCTGTTCCGGCTCGAGCCCTCTCGTGAGGTAATCCTGATCACGATATCTGGGGAGTCAAATGTCCTTCCTAATGAGTTGGCGTATTTCATGATCACCTGGTCACGCAGCTCGTCCACGACCGCGTCTTCCAGGCAGGGCACGAGGGTAGCCGAGCCACCTGGCCGCTTGACCCAGATTCGACGTTGAACCATCTCGTCTGCCACGACCGGGGCGCGAAATTGATTCGGATCACCTGGCGCAGCGAAAAGATTCTGTTCTAGCAGACCCGAGATCAAATGCTGATGTGACGCAGGCAGCAGAGACTGTCTGCGGATGGCAATGCTCGGGCGCTTGCTCGATGGGGGCGCGGGAAAAGATGACGATGGCCGGCGTTCGGGTGCGGTTTGCTCGATGACGGCATTCAAGGTCGGGGTCAATTGGAGCTCGGTGGGCGCGGATGCTCGGACTTTGACGACCGCGGATTGGAAAGACGTATCGTCGGAATGCCGAGGGGTCGGGAGCGGAGACTCGAGGGGGGATGGCAGGTCTTCGGTCAGCGGCGTGTGCAGCAGCGACGAGCCGGCCTCTGTCGGTAGTGGGGTGGAGGATGATCGTTCCGGCTCGTGACGATGCTGGGACTGCTGGTCGGCAGGTGGAGGCGTGGAGGAATGAGACGAGAGATCGGCTTGGGACTCGAACACGGGCGCGTTTCCCTGTGGATGGGGCTCGGACTCGGGACCGGGGCCGATCGCGTCAGAGGAATGGGCGGTGGAGGAGACGACGCTATAGGGAGACTTTTCGCTGGCGGAGTCGAAGGGATGTGGAGGGCAGGAGTTGGCGTTGGAGGTGTGAACGGTTAATGAAGTTGGGTGGACACGCGGGTCCGCCCCGTTGCCCGCTTTGGGGACGGACGTCGATGATCGCCGCAACAGCTTGGCCTTGAGCAGACGCGAGAGACGTCTCTCTGACATTGTGATGGCGGGGCTCAGACGCGAAGCATGGTCAAGAAGCGAGAGGGGCGAGACTTGTGAAATTCGAGACAGGGGCTGCGCAGCTGGCCCGAATGGGGCTGGTCTGATGCTTAGCAGCTCCGCACCGGCAGCTGCAGCCCGTTGTCAACACGCCAACACGGCTGGCACGGTGCTTTGGGAAGGTCGACGGAGCTGGGGGGAAGCTGGACGATGTGAAGCAGCAGAGGAGAGGAGAAGGTCCAAATTACCAGTGGTAACACAGACAGCTCCCGCCAGCTGCTGATCTCCCGGCAGTTGGCCAAAGACAGCTGATTCTCACGCTAGGCCGAAACACGCTGCATGGACCACTGCAAGGTTTGGCGTGTTGGCGGTGTACACTTTGCTGCCGGGATGGCCGTTGTTTACTGCAATTCCTGCTGCTTGACAGCCAGTAGTACATAGTACATAGTATACATTGGCCTCGTATCCGTTGTTGGCACGCATCCCGCCATGTGTACTACGTGACCTATCTGCTAGTTCAATCCCTGCACGGTCGAATCATCCCAATCGACCAAGCTCGAAGCATGAAACGCAGCCCAGGAACCATGGTTCCATAAGGCTGAAACGAACGTTTTCCGCCAACAGCTTCACAGTGGTGTATGAATCCTACCACGAAGTAGATATTAGTATAGGTAAGGTTTGCTTGGTTCGGTTCATATAGACCATCGCCCTAAGGACTCTAGTCCATTACTCCGTAATACCAGGTTCGATTTGTCCTAACCTTGAATCACCTGTTGTCTGCTTCGACGATTTTTGAGATCAGGCAGCACCATTTTAAGATTAAAGTGCATCTAATCACCCGAATTTACACTAGTCTAGAACAGAGCCAGCAGAACAAATTGGATAACATGCATACCCGACCATACTCTACTCGGAGGTACTGTGGCCATCGTCTATTGTACGTGATATGGTGCAAGAACTTTGACAGAAGTACCGGACTACATTTGCCACTGAGCTCTATAAAATATAGATCGACAGATCAAACAGCCTAAATGCAGATCCGAACCTCTAGGCTTTTCATGCGGAGAAAGAAACAGAGTCTGCCACAGAAGTTTCCAGACGAACTCCGTTACAATGACCCATTTCTAAGCATGAGAATCATACAAAAGCACCTGAACCATAACGCGCAAAGAAAAGCGGGCAAAACCACCCGCTAACACAAAAACCAAGCCAGATCAACAGAGAATACGTGCCAAGGAAAGATGAAGTTCGAGGGAAGGAAGGCCAACTTGCGTTGGAAAGTAGAGTAAATGGAAATGAAGAGAGGAGGCCATCAAGACATCACGTTAAGAGGAACCAAAAGTACACACACGTCGAGAAAGGATCCGAAGGGTATCAAAGAGTACAATGTTTTGCGATAAGCTTCAAAAAATCAAACGGAGGGACACAAAAGAGAAGAAGGCATTACAAAAACATCCGATCACAGAAGAATCAGGTAGTTTGAGGGCGCAATGCCGGTCTCTCCGCTCGATTTTCGAGCCTGCCACCATCGGCCGCTGACATCGGACACTTCGAGGATCTCGTGCTTTGTGAAGCTGATCTCGTTGGCGTCTTCGGGGTTCGCGTCGTACGAGTAAATGGCCTTGGCCCGGTATGGGTACTCGGTTGGCTGGGGCACCTCGCTGCCGTCGGGGTTGACGGCGGGAGCCGTGGCATTGCCTGGAGCAGGGCTGGGGGTAGCGCCGAAGCGTGCCGAGGAGTTACGCTCGGCACCGGGGGCACCACCGGGGTATCCGGACACAGGGGAGGAGGTCTCGAAGCCGCTCAGCTGGGCGGAGGTGTACATCTGCGGGGTGTTGCCGGTGGCCATGGTCTCGGGACGAGCACCGAATGCGCTGGACATGGGGCGGCTGCCACGGTAGGAGCCGGGCTGTTCCTTGTTCAGGGCGAAGGAGTCGATGAATCCGCGGTGCGAGGCCTGGGGAGTGGACCCGAAGTAGAAGATCCAGATGATGATCACCATGGAGAGAAGAATGAAACCAGCGCCGGCGGCTTGCTCGGAGCCCTGGGAACCGTAGACCATGTTGTTTGCGCTGATAGAGGTCAAGACGAGGGCGGCGGCCAGATAGCCCACGATTGCGACGCCGTAGACATTGCCAGTGTCGGTGCCGAACACGAAAATCAGACCCGAGTTGATGCAGAACATATAACTGATCGCCCACCAGTCCAGGTTCGGATAATCATTTGAGATGTCGGCGATGATCGAGGAGATGAAGGCAATGAGCCAGGCCAGGATGGAGATGGAGAGGGTCGCGAGCGCGAACGGGTCGCCGAGGATGTTGCTGGGGCGGAAGTTGGGCATTTTGAACGGATTGCCGTAGGGGCTCGGTTCTCTTCAATTGGTGGAGTGTGCGCAGAGGGTGCCGCTATACACAGAGTGTCAAGGAAGGGATGCGGAATCGATGAGGGGCGGTCGATTTCGCTGAATGAAGGTTTCCACGGGATCGGCGAATTGCTCAATCGAGTGGTACACGAGATTTTCGGTAAATGTTGTGGCTGCCGATGAATGCCAGGTGTCTCGAGTCTGGCAGGGTTGGGGATGGGTGAGAGAGCGATGAGACTGCGCCTAGTCAGTACAATGATCGAGGGACGGTCGCGTGGGGTCGAAAATGAGGGTCGTCAGGCACCAGCGAGATTGGACAGGCCCACGATGGAAGCGACGATGGGGGAAGCGCAGAAGGCAGGTACCGGCACAAGCACAGGAACTTTCCAGGAGAGAAAAAAAAGGTTAAGTGCTGGTGTTTCCAGTGGTTCGTACCTTTTTCTTGTGAGACAGACGTGGGTTTCAATAATTCACCAAGGGGCGGAACCGGACAGGAACGCAAGTCGACTGTCGGGAACCGAAAAAAGGGCGTCAAAGAAAGTGAAGGTAAGCAGAGGGCCGAGAGGGCGAAGACACAGCACCAGGCTGGAGAACGGAAGGATTAACGAGTGGATGGTGAATTGGGGGGATGCGAGAAGGAGAAGAGATGAAGTGGCCGTGGCAGTGGCAGTGGCAGTGGGCCGCCCCAAACACACAGACGCGCCCCTGGAATCGAGACCAAAGTGGAATCCGGGAAATGAGGCCTCCACCGATTCCACCCGGGCCTGGCCGGAATGGCAAGCCGTTGCGCAGTGGAGTGTCAGGGTTCATGTTTGATGAGCCCTATTTTACATATCTAAGTATCCCTTTGTTAACTACCGTAGGGTATTCACGATCATCTCAGGGTCAGGCACGTCCTGGAATGAGGTGAAAGCGGTTTCTATAAATAACGCCTTAGTAAGTGGCTCCGCTTTGCAGACGACGCGCGGGTTACATCGTCAGCACTGCAGGAGAGACAAAGAGATCAAAGAATTACACTTGTATAGTGTTATAGGGAACAATCAATCGCTCAAGACTCTGAGTATACATTGTATACTCCATGCGAATCCACTCCATCATTTTTACATAGCACTACAAACTGTTAGTGCATGCTGAATGAACATGCCATCCCCACGCCCCACTCCGATCGGATCGCTTACACTGGCGTCGTTTGCTTCTTCTGCGCCCCATCAGGCCTCGTGTTGGTCGTTCAATAGTCCATGCACTGGCCGTGTTGGCCGAGGTATATGTATGTAATTGCTTATATTTATAGCGGCCATCACTATTTTAGACTATGGCTATATCAAGGGACCCGATATTCATATCACTGACTCCTATCGTTCTCAACCAGCCCAGCGGACTCCGAACTGTCAGCCCACACAGTTCACCAACAATCCGGGGTAGACGTCGCAGCATTCCAGCTGATCTCACTGGAATGCCCGATACGTCTCGTGTCCTGCGCTCCGTTCTCCATTCCGATCGGCCTCGTCCGAGGTTGTCGGAAGCGACAGCCCTCATTGCAGATGGCACCGGTATGTGATCGGATGCCCGACGGCGCTGTCCGTTGCTCAGCTCGTCCTTCCAGCATAAAAACAAGGATAAAATTCCTGCTACGACGATGGGCCGGAGAACAATACCTATGTAAAATTCTTCACTGGTGGCCTCCGCCCTAGAGACTACGCTGATCAAAGAATGGATTATATCAACCGCGTGGATTGAGGTCATCGGTATTCACCACTAACCCACTAACACCATACTCTTCAAGGTATAATATGACACAGGGAATATAAACATGAACGCCAAACACAGAGGATATCATAAACAGACCCAACCAGACACTCAATCAAAGCAGAGCAGAGCAAAGACTCAAATCTCATTCTCCCTCCTCTCCTTAAAAACTTCCCGCCTCCTAACCTCCCTCTCTACTCCCTCCAATCGCCCCTCCCACTCAGCCCAACACTCCCCACTCCCAACAAGCCCAATCTCATACCACCGCTGCAAAACACGTGCCGAACGAACCCTCAGTTCCGAGATTGCGCCCGCCTGTTCGGCCTGTGTCGCCGCAAGCCGGTCAAGCTGCGGCTGCAGCTCGATGAGCGCCGCTGAACTCTGCGCGTCAGGGATGGGGAGGTCATTGAGTGAGGTCAGTCGGGAGGCGGTTTCGGGGAAGGCGGTCGCGTAGGAGAGGACGATGGAGGCGAGGGTTTTGTGAGTGAGACCTTCGGGAATGCAGGCTGGATCGGTGGGGTGGAAAAGGTCTTTGTTGTTGTCATCTTTCGGGTGTCGTTAGCTTATATTGTATTTATCTCCTCGTTGGATGTGGAATTGAAGAGGAGTGTGTGTTAACTCCATTGGAGTCCATGTTCTTGGACAATATTGGCAACGAGAGCGCTTGCTCACCCGTAAACAACGACGAGACTGGACAACTTACGTAGCTTAATCACATCTCGGACAGCCGGGACCGCTCTGCTGAGATTTTCAAGCTCCTTCACGAGCCGGGCCATTCGACGCGACACTGTTTCGTCGTGCGAGGCGGGCTTATGCGGTGTGGTTGGCACCCCCGTCCAGTCCGATCCGCCGGTCAGGAGGTATGAGAGGCGATGCAGGCGAGCCTCGAGGAGCTCGATCGTGGCACCGGCCACCGCGTCGCTCTCGACTGACATTGTGCTTTTCTTCTGAGGGATTGGGGGTGGGATTAGACGTGGGATGTTGAGCTCGGCGGGCGTGTTGATGAAAGGCGGATAGCTTGGAAGTGCAAACACGGCAAATGTGGAGACGGTCTATAGCACTACCTCAACGTACAGAACTTCTGTGTAACGAGTTATCGTCCTCGGGTACTTAGTAATAGGTCTATAGCTTCAAATTTCTACAAGGTTGGAAGAAATAAGGTAGTGACCCATGATGTTGGGTATTTTATGGTATTCGGTGATGTTGTCACTTGGCTCTAGATTCATCATTCATGATTTATAGTCTTAACCCGGTCGATCAAGACTTCGCATCCTCGACATGGTCCACCATCTCCTGGTCTTCATCCCCTGAATTCCACACCGAATCATCATCCAAGGCTCGAGAGACTGTAGCCTCACGAGAAGCCTTGTTCTTGCTGGCACTCAGAAGACTGGTCTGAGACTTCTCTTGCATCTCTTTGCCCGATCCGCGCTCGCTGTCAAAGTCGGAAACCTCGTAGTCGAAGACATTCACGTTTCGATCACGGTCGCGCTCTTGAGAGGAGGGATACTGGGTGCTCATGCTGTTATCCTTGCCCGAAGAATCGGACATGTGAGTGTCGCCAGCATTAGCGGTACTTTGCTCGCATTCGGTAGTGAATTCTGCATTGTCCTTTCTGACGAAGCCCTGTTTGGTAGATATTAGCTTCAATGAAATCATCTCAAGAACATAGGCTTTGCTTACCTGGAGCTGCATCGGTGCCGGGCCGGCCTTGGCACCCATCGCGCTTTCACTGGCATACACAAGAAGAACTGTTCTCCATTCCTCTCGAGCGGCGTCGAGGGCTTCACTCTCTTCCACTCTGCGAACAGTGTATCCCATGAAATCGCCGTTTCGCGAGGCCGGCTGCTTGCCCTTCGAGCCTGGCTTTTCTGCCTGGCGAGTCTGGCCATCTTCTGCAGAGTAGCTAATTCGCCACCATTGCTCTTGACCGTTACTACCTTCATCAACCTTCATCGCATCGCCGGAGCTTGTCGTCTCGTTGCGCTTCAAGATGTAGGTGACGTGTGGCTGGGTGCAAACACCACGCAGAGTGTACTTGTGAGTTGGTGGGCTGTTGGGAGAGTCGCTGGGCTCCGTGAGGAATTTCGAATAGCTGCGCATTTTCTCCAGCACTTCCTGTTTCTTGGTTTCAAGACCTAATCACGTTAGCCAAACCATCCTCTCTCTATTATTTGTATGTCAGGTCCTTACCATCCAATTTGGACTGCACCTTTCCCGCCCTGTATTTCAGGTCACGCACAAGTTTCTCCTTTCTCTCTGTAGTCCATGAGGGGTCATTCCTCGCAACGTGACCTCTCATCACCACAGGTACAGCCTCGGCAGTTTGCTCGAAGAGCTCCTTCACCGTAAGATTTCCACAGGGCTTTCGCGGCCAGGTCCAAGTACTGATTTGCTTCTCAAGGTCCTGGATCTCTGCCATGACTTCCAGTCTCCTGGCCCGGAAATCGAGCGCGATTTCTCTGCAACTGCTCAGATAGCGGTCCGGGTAGAAAACGACTGGAGCTTCAACATTCAAGGACTTAGAGTTCTCGAAGGAATCCAGTTTCATAACGAGAATTTCTCCGACGTGCTCAAGCCATACATCATCAAGTTCCTGGCCGGGCTGATCACTCCACATCGCAGTGTCTAGAACATCATAAAGAGTCTGACCGTGCTCTTGCTCGACCTGGGGCCCGAAAACAAACATATCTTTTTCAATTGGTTCGTCGCCTTCCATTCCGTCGAATGGAGTCCGTTTGTAGGCGTGAGACATGAAAATTGTCGACAGTGGATTTTCAGGATCCGCTCGGAGTGCTGCACGATGCCAGGACTCTAGGAACCGAGAGATGACTTCCTCCGAATCGGATGAGCCGTCGTTGAGAGCCTTGAGGTTTGCGAGCGCATCGCTGCTACCATAGGCGCGTTCCGTAGAGTCCAGGAATGCCATCAGTCGCTGAGTTTCATAGATGATGTCGTCCCAGTCATTGTCCGCACTATGCCCGTCGTGAACGGTCACAATTTTCGGTAAATTGATCGGTTGTCCATTCCACCACTGTGAGTCTTGTCCATAATCAAAAAGAACCTTTTTTCTGAGCATGAAAGCCTCCCGCGCAAGAGGGATCCCGTGGAGGATAGTGAGCAATCCGCCGAGGTAGAGATTGTTGTTTGTGGGCCGGATGAAGGCAGGCTGGTCCATAACTCTCTTTCGATCTTCGGGGTCAGGGCCCGTCATGACTTCTTGCGAGGTAGCGTTGAAAAGGGTCATGGCCCATGCGCCCGAGTCGTAATCGTCACGCGTCGTTGAACCGGATTGCGCTTGTTTGTTCGTAACTCCGGTCTCCTGTTGTCCCATGCCCTGATTGAGCGACATGGCGACAGCCTGCTGCAGATCTTGTTCCTCGCGCTGAGCCAAGGACATATTATTGCCCGAAACTGATTTGCCTTCGCCATACGACGGGTGTGTGTCAGCACGGGGTACTTTGTCCACCCACCAATTCCACCAGTCCTCGGATGTGTGACGTAGCTCACCGATGTTTCTCTGCGCAGGTTGTGCAGTGGCATTATCATAACCCGGAGGCTGCGTCGCATCGATCATGTTAGTTCGAGAAGGGGGGCGAGAAGGAGGAGCCGTAGGTGGTACGCTTGGGGTATGGTCTTGCTGGCCGAATCCGATCGCTGTAACGAGCTCCGTTAGCTTCGTAAGTCAAATAAGAGGGCATGAGATACCAACGAGTCCCACTATTGTCATTGTAGAAGCCAGGTGTCTGTTGTAGTAAAGGCCTGTCAATGTCCATTCCTTTGTCTGGGCTCTTGCCTAATGTGAGGTCTTTCGGAGTTTCAATCACCTTTGGGTGGGGACCTGTAGGGTCTTCGAAATACGCGTTAATGGCTCGTTGTGAATCGAGGCTGTGTGCCTATCATATTGTATGAGTCAATCATCATACTAGCAACGGGGACAGGAAAACAGAGCAGTACTGACCTTGAGAAAGCCAATCGCTTGTTCGCGGGTCGTGCTGGTGAAGCTGACAAAATTGTCGATCGCGTCCTCCGGCGGTTCGGAAGCCATGATGGCAGACTCGAGGACTACCTGGCTGAGTCGGAGAGGGCGATCAATTGTCGAGCATGCACGTTGCGGAGCGAGGTTCAGGTCCAGAAACAAAGCGCGTGGAGAGCGGATTACCGCAACCGCATGCTTCCCCACCACATGACGCCAAGCCCCACCGCTTCTGATACCGCTTTCCCTTTCTTTGGCTTCCCGCGGGCTATTGCCCCGCTTATTTGGTAGGTACTACTAAGCTAGTACACCAAACAGGTCGGCCAGGGGAATCTTGCCGCATCTGATTTTGAACTTGCCATTGATATATTACTATGATCACATCTGCTTATTCTATATCTTGAATCTCGCAGCAGCTTTACCCGCCCTTCACAGTTGACGTCAACTATGCGAAACATCTAGGAACGTATATTTCCAAAGCCATGGCCCATCAATCGCAACAGCATGGTCGACTAAGAGAAGATATCACCATATCTGTCTCACATACATTCCCCAAACGCACACACATCATGCTAATAGGTTGCGGCAGGCATATTCCTCATCGGCAGCGCGGGCAACACGGCTGGACCTCTGGTCAAGTCGCCAACAATACCATTCAAACGGCGATTTTCAAAAGGATGATAAACCTCAAACGAGGAATTACCTATTAAGCTATTGGCTGCCTTTGTGATAAAGCTGCTCTTTGTTGTGCTGAGTGGACGCTTTAGTCCAGCTCTTGAACAATGGCGCTATTTCAAGGCTTTTGTTCGTCCTTACTCATCAATGGATCCCTTGTGCAGGATGAAATCATTATCCTGATCCATCACTCGTTTCACTTTTACTCAGCTCGAGGTGTGGAGAAATATAAAGCGACCAGAATCCATCCTCAGACCTTCATCGGTCGAGGCAGTCATCTTCAGACATTCAAAAAGATACCAACGAGTTCACAACGAGAGCCTCTTGCCTAACGACTATGTTGCCCTTTCGCTTCTCATCGCAAAAGATTGAAAACGATGTCCAAGCGTCCTGTACAAGCCGAAATGGAGGGTCAGCCCGTTGCAAAGCACAGCCAACCGAATCTCCAGCAGATGGATCTCGTCGATCGTTGCAATGAGATCATCAGTGCAATATTTTGGGATCTCAATGCTGCCTGTCAAATGCCCTTGATTGTCCAAGGTAAACCCGAAGGAATAGATTGGCAATACTATGAGATAATGAAAAACTCTACTCAAGCGTTCATCGATCAGACCTTTATGGCATTGGTTGAATGTGAGTCGAACCCCGCCAACGCGAGCCGACACATCCAGGCACTTGATATACTCTCTTGGAAAATTTACACTATTTGTGCTCACGCAGAAGCATTTCGCAGACTTTTTGAGACTGAGACCGATGAAATCTGGGACAAGGTATTGGAGCTCGTCAAAGCTGAAGAACGCAGTGTTGAGGTCTTTGCATGCACTCGAGGTTTGGAATGGCGTGGGCCCCTGCTAACTAAAGCTAGTGACAGAGAGTGGCCACATTTGCAAGAGGCGCTAGCTCCAGAGATCAATACCGCGGTCTTCCACCCCCATCAAGTGGTGCAGACCCAGGATGGCTATCTTCGGCTGGCTACCTTCGAAGGGCATGTTCAAGCCAATATTTCAGAGAGTTTTCACAATGCAAAGAATTTCCCGGAAGGCAAATACCTCCGACTGAGAGATGCTGATACCTATCCCCTGCTTCGTGAGCCAAAATGGGGCCCCTGCGCTCTTTGCGGAAGCCTTGAGAGATGCAATTGTCAGCCAGTCTTTTTAGCTGGTGATCTGGTTGAACTCAGGGAGTATCCAGGCAAGGGCATTGGTACACGAACTTTGACTAACCTTCAGCCAGACACCTGGATTGGCAATTTTGTCGGGGAGTTGTTTCCTACCTCTCATCGCGAAGGCTACTGGAGCTTCGCCGGCACATTCTGCCCGCCAGGTCGTACTCGCAGATTGCAAGATTACAAGGCCAACATTAACCCCGAACGATTTGGCAACTGGACTCGTTTTGCTAACCACCACTGTGAAGAGAATACGCACGCCGGTTCATTTCTCGCAGGAGGTCGTGCCAATATAGCATTCAAGGTGGACCAAAAGATCAATGCTTTTGACGAGGTCCTCATTAACTATGGCAGGGGATACTGGCAAGGTGCTGGAAGAAAATGCCTATGTGGTAGTAAGAACTGTGTTTCCAAGAGGTGATACGAGTTCTCACATGTGTAAGGGTAGCTAGGCTCAATAATTAAAGACGCATAAGCTTCTCAAGGTATATCCATATGTTTTCTACATATACTCAGTCTCGTTCGTACACTATGATAACATGAAGTATTCGTAGTGAATGTGATACGGCCTGACTCCACGCAGGAACCTCGGACCAGCTCAAACCCGCAGCCGCAACCGTGCGGGGAAGCTTCCGCCCGCAGCATGCGATCTTCCACTTCGCGACACTTGGAGTCCCCAGGTGTCTTTGCTCTCTATCCGAGGACTACTTCTCAATTATCTCGGAAAATAGCCATGCAGCTGTCGTGACCGCAGATTGACATCGGAAATTTGCTCGGTACCATGCGACTTTGCGGGGGGATCTTCGGCAGCCTTCGCGCTGGACGACAGCTGCAGTCTGTCCACTTGCATAAGCGAACTGTACTGACCGAGAGCTACGTGCGTGGTCCATTGGATGTAAGTTGCTCTGCTGAAGCTTCCGACGCATCTCTCAACGAACGAAATGGAAGACTGTAGCTGACAAGAATGCGTCTTGGATAGCCGCCCTTGCTTCAGTCAACCGTCGGCGATCACTTTGCGAAAATCGTGGCCCAACATGGAGATCGAACAGCGTCAGTAATACTGCCACTTGAGGAACCTGCTTCCTTAATCTTGCAATGCTGACTAGCAAATACGCGCAGTGTTATCTCGAAACACCAGAACGATCGAGTAACCTATGCCTCCCTTGATGCCAGAAGTAACGCACTTGCTCGGGGCTTGGAGTCGGTTGGCGTGAGAAAGGGTGAAAGAGTAGGCGTGATGCTCGGAAACTCGATGGAATACGCAGTGGTATGTTGCATATTGACTCCGTGGTCCTGAATCAGGCAGCAGACTCACTGATCTCAGGCAACATATGCACTGTTCAAGCTCGGGGCGATCCTGGTATAGCAACCCCACTACGATCCCTGAAAGACATCGTTTTTCTCTGACACAGACGCAGGTTCCACTTAACCCGTCATTTAATTCGACGCAGGTTGTCTCTGCCTTGAGCCACCTCGAATCCAGTCATCTCATCATCAGCGCCGAGTCCAACCTACCTCGCAAGGAGCCCCGCAGCAATATCGCTCTCCTGAAGCATATGGTCGAAGATCTCTCCAGCTCGAGACTCCAATCGGCCCTCATCCCATCCCTCGAGCAAGTTATACTGGTCAACAATTCCGGTGGTCGTGTAGACATTTCTTCTTACAAAAGTCTCACACCCTTCTCCTCCGTCATGTCCCAGCTACCCGGAGACGGCCGTCCCCTGCCCGAACAAAATCTCTCTCCACAGGATATCGTCAATATCCAATTCACATCCGGAACAACTGCTATGCCAAAGGCAGCTTGCCTGAGCCACCATTCTATTCTGAACAATGGTTCTCAGATCGGCGATCGTATGCTGCTTACACCAAACGATGTGATCTGCTGCCCACCTCCAATGTTTCATTGCTTCGGCTCTATCTTGGGCTTCATGGCAACAGCAACGCATGGATCGGCGCTCGTTTTCCCGAGTGAGTCATTCAATGCTCGCGCAGCACTCCAATCCGTACAAGAAGAGAGGTGCACTGCACTCTACGGTGTCCCCACTATGTTCCTCGAAGAACTTGGGCTCATCGCCTCGGGAGAAGTCTCAGAAAATGGCTTCCAACACCTACGTACAGGCATTGCAGCTGGAAGCAGCATTCCCGCTGAATTGATGAAGAAGCTACACCGGATCCTGAACCTGACCGAGCTGACAATTTGCTACGGCATGACGGAGACAAGCCCTGTGTCTGCTATGACGACTACGGATGATCCGATCGACAAGAGAATCAGCACTGTCGGACGATTGATGCCACATGTGGAGGCTAAGGTCGTAAATCCAGAAAATAAGTCCCAGGTCCTTCCTATTGAGACTCGTGGTGAGCTCGCGGTCAGTGGTTACCTTCTGATGAAGGAGTACTGGGGAGATCCCAAACGAACCGCCGAAGTGATGATTCCAGACGCATCCGGGAAGATGTGGATGCATGTGAGTTGCTCTTGGTGTCCTAAAACCCATGCGAGATCTAACATCTTTCATTACAGACCGGAGATGAAGCGTCTATTACAGAGGACGGCTATATCACGATCACTGGCCGCATCAAAGACCTAATTATCCGGGGTGGAGAAAACATCCATCCCCTGGAGATCGAAAATTGTCTCCTGGCCCATTCTGGTGTCGCCGATGTTTCTGTCGTCGGTGTACCAGACGAACGATATGGAGAAGTGGTCGCCGCGTTCGTCGCCCCAGAGCAAGGCATCAAGCAGGTTACTGTCGAAGAAATACAGCAGTGGGTGCGTGGGGAGCTTAGCAACCATCTGGGTAAGTGTCCCTATAAAACACGAAGTTTTTTGGGTACTAATTTGCTCTAGTTCCCAGATATGTCTTCTTCCTCGGTCCCTCGGACACATTCCCTAAGACTGCTAGCGGCAAGATTCAGAAATTTAAGCTCCGAGAACAGGCCATCGAGCTACTCGCCAGTGCTTGAGGAGTTTTTGAACGAAGCATAAATACATCAGCACGACATATCCACCCAGCGGTGGCAACTGAAGGATCACATTGTGATGCGGAATCATCCTTACACCACAACACTATGTGACTGTAAAATGAGCGCCGAAATGGCTATATTCGACGTCATCCTAAGCGTTCATTTTACCAATATCGTAGTCATCAAATTATCACATGATCGAAATCAACCCACTCTAATCATTTGCTCCCGGAATACTCCCGGAGCACTCATGGCTAGTCAGGGATCAGCCCCGCCCTATTCAGACTGCTCGATGATTAGGTACGTCATAAGTGTCTCTTCACTAGCATTTCTTTGTAGCCCATTGTATAAAAATAAATCGATGGCTTTGTCAGGTATTGATGCCACCTCAGGCCTTGGGCTTCAATACATAAATAGTCCCTGCTCCCGCCTGCTCGTAATTTTTCTTCAGAGCTATTCATCCAAAACAATTTCTTTCAATAAACGATAAGAAGGGCTTGATGTATAAAAGACACCCATTCACGCACATGCACCTAGTTTTTTCTCGATCAATCTTACATTGTTATTTTGATATACCTTTGATTATATCTTCACTGTTCGACCAAGCCAAACATTCTACAAGAAGGGAGCTCTTCGGACTGGCCTACTTGGCACACTCGACTGGCGCACCTTTGCAGGCATCCTAAAGACCCGAAACCGCAGTAAGGCGTGGCGTCGCAACGGTACAGTTGCGGACCGCTTGAAGACTCAGCATACTAGGCAAGTATCACCCAGGAAACCCCGTTTCACACCGTGCCCAGTCGCGCCCCTTGTAACGGGCGGCGTATCGGTCCCTTCCTTTCCGTCGTTCTTCACCTGCTAGCCCTGAATTTATTGAGAGTCATTGCGGTTTCCGTCACCTTCTACTCACCCTCTACTCACCCTACATCCAATTTTCCCATTCTGTGAGGATGCCAAAAATGGCATCTTGCTACCAGCGCTCATTGGTCGGAGGTACTATAGAGGACTACAGCCTGGATAGGCCATAAAACCGCCAGATCACCTTCTCTTTCTCGTCTTAGTTTTCTTTGGAGGAAAAGTGTTGTCTCGTGAGTGATACAATTGAGATAAGAATCTTGCTATGGTGACTGTACTTGCTGGAAATTTAAAAGTAGGACCGAATTTATCTGTGTACTGACGAGACCAGTCTAGGTACCATTGAGTCGGCAAATATTTTAGAAACAGTGACGCCGAAAGTCAGCACCGTAGGCCAAGGAGTGTTCATGTTTGAGGCATCAATAGACTCGACCCTCGGGGTGAGTAAGCGGTGAACATCCAGACGCGCTTTCTCCCTTGACGGTCCATTGCCGCGCCAGGTGGCGGACCCCAGGACGGCGTCAACTCCCAATTTACATAGTTCGATTAGATAACGAATAATGCTTTCCAATAGGGATGGAAGATACAATCGCCGAGCTTCGTCGTCAGCTTGAAGAGAGACAGGCGCGAGAAGAGGCGGAGCACCGCCAGGGAGAGGAAAGAGCTTAGGATGTCACACGTGAACAGATCATACTATTAAATCATCTATCACTGTAGCCAAGCTTATCAAGATTCTCTAAATTTTGAATTAGAGTGCAAATCCAATGACATTTTAGATGCCACTTCCACAACGCCTTTTTTTGAGCACCGTATACTACTATTCTACCTGATTCCATGCCTGTTCACCTATGGTGCTGATCGTGATGCCACCTGGTCATCTACCCAGTCACCTACTAGTAGAAACTAGAATGGCTTGGCTAGGCATGCCATGGGAGCTTCACGCGGTGGGGTGGTTTTCAATCCGAAGGATTCCGCGTGACGTAGGCTCTGGGACAGGAGCTGCAAGTGCGAGGACTAGATCCCAGAAGACCGTCCCATACGCATAGGTCGCAGTTTGCAGTTTGCAGGAGTGGCGTCATGGCAATGGCAAGAATCGTGTTGGGAAATACGACGCAGCTCGGTGCCCCATATTCCCTTCATATAGATTCCAACCCTTATACCAGCAGTCCATCTGTAGACTCATCCGGGTGCTGAGAGCGCTGTTTTCAAACATATCCGGGGGTGTTTGAGCGCTATCACCCTCTCATGGGCGAGGTCATGATACGCGAAGCGTCATCCTGGTGACTTGTTGCCTCCGGGCTCCCCATTCAAAAATCCTGAATGCCAGTCTCGCCTTGAAGTTGGGCCTTAGCCTCTTCGCCACGGACATCACCGACTACCCACTCCGGCTCCTCATCTGCAAAGTATTTGTCCTGCTCCTCCGACAAGTCATCGTACTCTTCGTTTTCGTCGACGGTCTTATAGTCGAAATCCATGTCACCACCCCGTATAAATCGCAATCCCATCTCCCACTTCCAAGCTTCCTCTCCGTCCTCCTTGCTGGTAGGGATGTCGTCACGGTCCTCGGCCAGTATCTCCCCATCCGGTCCGCGGGTGTAGCTGAACATGGCTTGGGGATCCGGGTGTGCCAGCGCATCTATCTTCGCCTCAGAGCGCATCAAGTCTGCCTGCAAGATACCCGAGAAGCCTTTCTCGCGGCCGTCGGCCTCTCTTTCCTGCGACGTCTGGAATCGGCGGATGAGGCGATCGTACAACAAGGGGTCTAAACCGGTGAATCCCACAGTAATTAGCATCAGTACTTTTAGGGCTCCGCTGCATGCGCATTCAACCTGCATCTCGCAGCACCATGCGACAGACAGGTTAGGTGCGTGGGCAGTTAGGGAAAAGAGCGAGCACACCGGCTAGCTCGAGCTCCGCCGAGAAGTATTCTGGGTGCTGGTCGAGGTACCGCTTGCGACGGTTCTTGACCTGGACAGAAAGACGCTTCCCGTCGGGCGTGCCTGGGTACGTAAACCCGGTGTCGTTGGGTAAATGTGGCATCTTCGCGCTCTGCTAACGGTTGTTTCAAGTTGAGTCGCGAAGTTGTGGGGAACTGCAAGTTGGGAACGCGGAAGACGGCGGCAAAAGGCGTTGTTTCTGCCACTTCGCGGCTTCTTTTTTTTCTGCGGTTTGAGATGCTGTCGGTCTGAACAAGTAAGTCGAGTGAGCCCTAGAAAAGGCCCCTGGGTTTTCCGAGGGCCTATGTCTCCGATGATTCACATCGGACTTGACTGACAATTCCTCCCAGCTGCGCCCTTAAGCTACCTCGCCGTTGATATTGGCTCCAAAGGTCTGATAGCTTGATAATCATGTCTATCGAACAATTCATCCGGCAAGTCGATCTCCCTCGGCTCGGCTCAGGCTTGGTATTGCTGTTTCTGGCGGCCTTTTACTCGCCGGTCATGTTGCTGGTGCTGTCGCCGGTGTATGGCTCCCTTCCGTCGCACATCTTCCACGGCTACGGCGTGGCAATCTTCGCCGGTGCTGGTTGGTTCCTGAAAGATCAGATCATGAAGCGCGTTGGTCGTATAGCCGCGTACATGCTTCCTGTCCTGGCTTTCTGGGTGCCGACTTTGCAGTACTTCCTAATGCAACAGAGCTCCAAGCTGGGTAACCCGGCCGGCCCTGTCATCACGGAGCTATTCGGTTACTTCCCTTTGATCACACTTACTGTGGCCATTGCTGGAAAGCAAATCCAGTACGCCCTACACCTGGAGGCCCAGGGTGACCTGGTGGTTGAGCATGTGCCCCTTTTGGCCTCATATGCCATTTACTCCCTTGGCGAGCACATTGCGAAGGCCATCCTGTCTTATGCGATCGGTTTTACCGTTTTCTTCACCCGCGCTGGTCTTCAATTTGTTATTGCGGCTCTTTACGCTGCGGTTATTCCCTCCAAGATGCTTCTTCTGGCCATTCCGTCTATCCTTTTCTCTCTGACTTCGGATGTCCACTTTGGCGGAATCAACGGTGTCAACTCTGCCATCCGTCACGAGGGCTATTCGCTCATTGAGCGACAGGAGTCATACACTGGATACATCTCTATCCTGGAAAACCAGCACGATGGCTTCCGTGTCATGCGCTGCGACCACAGTCTCCTCGGCGGTCAGTGGATCAAGACAGCACCCGGCTACCACCCTGAGGTTGAGGACCCCATCTATGCTATCTTTGCTATGCTTGAAGCTGTCCGCTTAGTCGAGCCTGACCACGGTCACCCTCGTGTGGACGCAAACAGCAAGGCTTTGGTCATGTAAGTTGAGAGCTTGATAAAGATGGGCATGCTAGATCGATATACTGACAGGAATTAGCGGTCTTGGAATTGGCACTACCCCGGCCGCTCTGATGAAGCACGGCATTGACACAACCATTGTTGAAATTGACCCTGTTGTGCACAAATTTGCCGCCAAGTACTTCAACCTCCCGTCTAACCACAATGTCGCTATCGAGGACGCAACCAAGTTCGTCGAACGCTCCCTCAAGTCGACACCCGCTCCTCAGTACGACTTCATCGTCCACGATGTTTTCACTGGCGGTGCTGAGCCCGCGGAACTTTTCACCGTCGAATTTCTGAAGGACCTGAGATCACTGCTGAAGGAGGACGGTGCCATCGCTATTGTAAATTCTATTCCCTAAACCCCGCACCCAGAAAAATCAGAACTAATAATCTCATGTCAGAACTACGCCGGTGACCTGGAACTCTACCCCACAGGCCTCATTGTCCGCACCATCCAAGCCGTCTTCTCCTCTTGCCGCATTTTCCGCGAACAGCCAGCCGCCCAGGATGACGCAAACCCGAACTTCACCAACATGGTCCTTTTCTGCAAGAAGAGCTCCAGCAGCCCTCTTGAATTCCGCGATGCTGTGCCATCGGATTACCTGCGGAGCCGATCGCGCCAGAGCTACCTTGTCCCGAAGCACGAGCTGAGCCCTGCTCTGTTTTCCACTATTCCCAAGGGGGAAGATCGGTTCTCATTGCGAAGGAGGTTGGCCGACTGCACAAGTACCAGGATCGTGGTGCTTTGGAGCACTGGGGGATTATGCGGAAGGTGATGCCTGATGCTGTGTGGGAGAACTGGTGAACAATTGTATGTGAGAGTTCACAATATTCGACGTGCCTATCGAATGTGTAATTATTTTGGTTATTACCTTAAGGTCAAAACACACTATTTTCATCAAGCGATGATAGTTCCTTTTCATGACGCTTGTTCCGCTTTTTCTGAGAATGCGTTTGATGTGAGATGAAGCCAACGATGTGATTATATCACCATAGCAGTAGAATAGCGCCATCAATATAGCCCAGCAGCTTTCAAATTTCGGTCCGAGGCGGAGATCAAGACATCCAGGCATATACTCGAAAAAGGATTTCGTATTGGTATCATTATCTAACACCCCGCAAAGCCATCAAGATCCTCTGAGAGAAAAACAGTTATGCACAAGTTTGCATAGTCCCCCTCCATCTCCTATATCAAAGAAACAAAGCTGTCATCAGACTGGCAAGATCACCCCCTCCACAATATGTACGCTCACAAAACTAAAATACAGCGCAGGCAGAGGAAGTGTTGTAAGAAAAGAGAAACGAAAGGGGTTTGTGAGGTGATTAGGCAGATGGGCTGCCACGGGGGCTGCTGCCCGGTTTCTTTACGAGACCGGCGAAGAATTGTGCCAGGGCTTGGTTGTGAGCTTTCTCATCGCCTGGGTTTGTGGGGAGTCCCTCTTTTCGTTGAGTCCGACTGGCCTCGCGGTCCTTTGGAAATGTTAGATAAAATCGAGGCCCATGAGCGGTCGTCTGAACTTACCCTAAGCTTCTTGAGCATGTCGTCCGCGTCCACTTGAATACCTCCCATATTGAATTGGACAGGTCCAATGTGCTCGTTGACCTTGCCCTGGTCGTCCATGGGGGACATCTCTAGCTGAGGGGTTTCCTGGCTAGAGCGGTCTTTCTCGTCCTCTGCTTTGAGCTGTTCGAGGACTTCAACCTGCTTGGACAGGAAGCTTTGTGTGTCGGATGTTTCGACCTCGATCTTAGTACCGCTAGGGGTGCTGCTCGGATGGGTAATCGTGATATCACGCTTCGGGTCTTGAATGGTTTGCTCGAACACTGTGACGGCACTCGTGCCATCGTCAGGCTCTACGTTCTCATCTTGAGGGGCAGTATCGGCGAATTGGTTGAGCGGCTCGGGTGCATCCTGAATCTCAATAGACCAGGCGGTCGATACTCCCTCCATATCGAAACCTTCGCGAATAATGCGGATCTTGCCCCATGAGTCCCAGTTGGCCGGTACTAGGATCTTATCGCGGTCGATCACGTTGTGTTTTAATGACTGTCGTTTCAGAAGAGAGTGGACACCAAGTGAGGAGTGAATCAGGCTCTGAAGAGAATTGGCGAGGAAAGGTGTAGTGTAAATGAGCGATGCGCCGTCTATAGGTGGTCAGCCAAAGCCTCACTCAGGTCATAATGGGGGCCTTGAAGAGGAACTCACGTTTAAGCAGAATTGTTCGCATGAACTGAAGGATGAAATCGAATTGCTCTTCGTGCCAACCGTGGTCTTTCTCCAGCTTCTCGATTTTGTCCGCCTGTGGTGAGCTTGGATTAGCAAACACTGCCCAAGGAAAGAAGCTTTAGTCCCGGTGAAACATACTCCTTGACAAACAACACACATCGGGATTCCAAGTCCTTCATCCCATTCGCCAGGTCCCAACGGAATTGTGACAGGACCACCGGAGTTTGGCAAGCCTCCGGTCGCCGCAGAGCTAGCGTCCATGCCTCTCTTGCGATCCCGCCACTCGGTCATGGTCTCTTCCATCACAAGCTTCGTATCGTCGTCGAGAGAAACAAGCACAGAGCGCAAGAGGCGAACCCATTCTCGTAGTCGCCGGATCCAAGTCCAGGGGTCGGACCAGTCCATTAGAATGACGACCAGAGTTTCAGGCACGGATTGAGGGGTCAGGAGCGGTTTGAGGAGCGGAGCAAATGAAGGAGAGGGTTCGGACATCAGGTAGGCTGAGACACGCGCCAGCGTATCTTCTTGGTCGGCGTCGAGCACGTCGCGATATGTGTACCCCAGGCCAAACTGGTTGGCGATCGGAGGCATCTTCGCCTTTCGCTTCTCGTTCACTAGGCTGGGGTCGGCGGAGGTATCTGCGGAGAATGTCTCAAGGAATTCTCTCTGGCTTTCCGGAGTGCCACCTATAACTCAATAATCAGTCTGCTGTTACCATCGACCAAGTGGGACGTCCAGCTGAAGCGATAGCATGGACGTCGCAATTGGGTCAACCACGAACCTAAGATCAGCAGATTCTTCTCAGGCAAGCGCTTTCCATTGGCGACACCGTCGAGCAGTGACGACCAAATGTTTTTCTTTGAGCCATCCTTGCTCGAGGGCCGACTGTTGGCACCAGGCGCTTTGGAGCCGCGAGTTGGACTGGACGAAGACATCGTCTGGTCTAGTCCCACCATGAAGGGGCCTGCACCATTCCAAGCACCGGATCAGAACGTAGCGAGGACCGACCGGGGCGGCGCAGAGCAGAAAGGAATGTCAAGTCCGTGTCGGGGGCGGAGGGGGAGGTGAAAGAAGCCAGGCGCGCGGCGCGGTCAGGGGAATCTGGAGAAAGCGGGACGGTGGGTAGATCGCCGAGTAGCTGTCTCGCTTTGAGCAGCAGCAGACAAGACGCCTTTTCGCGTCGAACAAACTGATCGTTGGGCGCAGAACAACGACGTCACGGAGGATGGGGGAGCAGGGGGTTTCGGGGTCGAGTAAACAATTGGCGATTTTACGGTTCCGCCGATGCTCCGAGTGGAACCCGCCTCTTCCCAACTTTCTTTCTTTTCTGCACAACCATGAACTCCATAAAGAGCGTCCAGGCGCTCAACAAGCGCGAGCTGGAAAATGCAGTGTAAGTTGCAGCTTCCCATGCGATTTTGCTTTTTGTTTGATCCCCGTTTCTACGAAATTGCGAGCTCACACGCCTTGCGCGTCGTCTAGGCCTCCGGAAGCATCATGGCACGCAGACTACCGAGACACCGCATATATTTACATAGGCGGTCTGCCGTTTGACCTGTCCGAGGGAGATATCGTTACAATCTTTTCTCAGTATGGTGAACCGGTCCACGTCAACCTAGTCCGTGACAAGGAAACGGGCAAGAGCCGGGGTTTCGCGTTTCTGAAATATGAAGACCAGCGCAGCACAGACCTGGCCGTGGACAATCTGGGCGGTACAACAGTCATGGGGCGAATGCTACGAGTCGACCATACACGGTACAAGCGGCGCGACGATGAAGAGGAGGGCGATAATGTTGCTCGGCTCATGGGCGATGCGGCAATCGACAACAGCAAGGAAGACGATGAGGCTCGGCACAGTCGCAGGAGGCCAAGAATTGAAGACAAGGAGAGAGAAGAGCCGCCGCGTCCGTTGTTAAAGGAGGAGAAGGAGCTGCAAGAGCTGATTGTCAACCACGACGATGAAGACCCAATGAAGGAGTTCCTCATTGACGAAAAGAAAGAGGAAGTGGCGCAAGCTATCGCAAGGTACGAGAGCGAGAAGAAGAGATCCTCTAGACGACGGGACGACAGCAGAGAACGTTCGGGCAGACACCATCGCCGCCATCGCTCTCGCTCCCGCGAACGCAGACACAGGGATGATCGTTCGCCCGACAGAGAGAAGAGATCTCGCCGCCGCTCCACGGAACGGGAAGACAGACCTCGAAGAGATAGACATCGGACACCTGAACGGTCTCGCTCTCCCGCATCTCGCAGGCATCGAAACGATCGAGACAGGCACGAGCGCCGCCGCTGAAAGCTCTACTCAAGCCCTACGTCGCTTGCCTGCATGGGCATACCCATTACATTTCATTGGGTCCTGGTTGAAGGATTGATTGCTGGCAACTTGTTCTTTTCGCCAAGACTGGCCACCATTGTGGCTCATACTATTCTGGCTGTTCCTTATCTCCGAGCAGGTATTCTAGTTCATGTACTCCCCTTTTTTCCATGGACTGGCCGAGTCCTTGCATCATCCCCCGAGATATCGTTTCCAGCCCTCGCGCATGCAGTATCGCTTCCCATCATCGCCATCGCGAATCAGAAACTTCTCCCAGCGCCCTTCCCTACCAGAGCCTATCACCAGGATTGTGTGTTCATCCAGCCAGCCAATGACTCCCCTTGGTGGTCGACCCAACGAAGAGCTGAATGACTGGACACCGGGGGATCCCGGTGTAGCCTCGTCGCCCATCTCGAAATGCGCATTAGCAAATGAGTACACATCCGAGAATACACGTGGAAGCAAAGGGAGTTTTCCAAGGAAGCCCCATTTCTGATTTGTGGTTTCCTCGGTTGCCGAAGCGGGGGATTGACTACGGCGAGCGGTATGATGCGGGTGGGGTACATCGAAAACATGAAGAGTCGATTTGTCGGAGGTGACTGCTAAGCAGGTGTCGGAAGGGGAGAATGAAAGGGAGAAGATGACCGCATGGTCTACGCCGCGGCGCAGTTCCGCTAGTTTCGTACAGTTGCCGGTAGAGAATACGCGAATCAAAGTTCCCTGCTCGATATTAGCTGGACATTGCCTAACAACATGAACGACTCCATCAACGTACAGCTTCGCTCGCTGTAGCCAGTAGCTCTCCATCGGGACTCAGAGCCATCGCCCGTAGTGGGGAGCTATGAGCCGGGATGATACTAATATTCCCTGTTTCCAGTTCGATCAGCTGCACCTGTCCCGGGGATCTTCCAGGGAAGGCGAGCAGCTTCTTGCCCAGACAAGCCAGGCCGAGCGGATTATCCGTTGTCTCGTAAACCGAAAGCTTCTTTGGCGGCGTAGAGAAGGCAAAGACGTGAATACTGTTCAATAGTGCGGCAACGATTCTGGACTTGGAGAGGCGAACTCCAAGGACGGATGTGCGGAATTCGAGCGTGATGGCGGCTTTCTGCTTTGCATCGTCCCAGATGACCAGCTGAAGAAGCTGGACGTCAATTATATGAGCTTCTAGGCTATGGCAACGATGGAGCGTACCTTGTTCTGGGGAAACTTGGGGTTCCGTCCTCCACCGACGATGCCCAGGTAGTTCGACTGGCCGAGCATTTCCACGACGCCGATGCCTGCATTGAAGTCTGCCGGACAACTCATAGATCCAATTAGTATTGGTTCTTTTCTTTTCGAATGAGGAAGTCCGGTGAAAACTTACCTCTCGAGACCTTCAGCTCACACGGATTCGAGTTGAACACTGCTCGATATAGATGTGAGTCTCGGCTCTCCGATTCGAGATCCCAAAACAAGTTGCGAAATCATATTGTCGACGATGCAATATTTGCTTACCACAAAATCCTCCCTCCAAGCCAACCGAGAAGCAGCTAGTGTCATTGTTGAACGCTGCCGACAGGGAATAGGGCCCCACGGACTCATCGATAACCTGGCGGGTGTTCATAGTCGCAACGCATGACGTGATTCGGAAACCGGGATCGCGAGTAGAATTTAGTTGAATGCGACGTCGTAGATTGTAAGATCCGAGTCGTACTGTCCTAGTTCACGGGCAGGGGCCGCGCGGGGGAGAGGATGCGAGGGACGATGGCGTGCACCGCAACGGCGGAGTGCTTGGTTGGAGCTCTCCCCCAGTTGCCCGTCGATCGGCGATAAGCCGCCAAATCAGGCCGATTGGCAAATGCGGGCGGCCGGGGAGCTCTTGCGGCCTCAGGCAGCAACATATGCTTACATAACTGCCTCCGGTGGACAGCAGTGACCCACCGCGCCTGCAACCCCTGAGTGCCAGCCAGCAGCAATTTGTATGCGCGGAGTCGAAGAACAATGGTGACAGAGCAGATAGAATGACTCGAAATAATTCTAAGGTTCAACTGAATATGATAATTGCCCTCGATTGCCGGTGGATCGATCGAAAACCCATATTCGAGTCGCTGTAGAGCTGGAGAGGAGGGCGTCCCGTGATTGGCCCGCGGGCTAGGGAAAGGGGAAACACGACGAGGAACGATGTCTTTCCTCCGCCCCCCTACTCTCTCCAGTCGAGGATCCTCAGGAGAGTTTCACCTTCAACTTCTTCTTTGTCGGTGCCTTGCATTGGAATCTTCTCTTCTTTCTGCTTTCCATCTCGCTCCTTTCTCTTTAGCCCACCATGTCGTCGGCTCTTAACGCGGTATGTTTCCCCTTTTATTCCCTCCCGGCCAGCTGCTGCCCCATACTTCAACCAAAGAAAAAAAAAGTTCACCGAGCTAACTTCTGTCCCCTTGTGGGCAGATCAAGATCCGTCGCAAGAAGAATGTCAAGAAGGGTATCCAGTTTTGCCTGATGGTCTGTGGTGCCAGCGGAACCGGTACGATTCTCTCTCTGACAACCCCCCGAACGTGTCCTTCGCCCAATTGTCCGCTAACTTCGCTTTCGCTCAGGACGCACAACCTTCGTGAACACCCTCTGTGGCAAACAAGTGTTGGAGGGCAAGGACGCTGATGACCCCGAGCACGCCCACGAGGAGGAGGGTGTGCGCATCAAGCCCGTCACCGTTGGTGAGTCGAGTCCCGCCGCGCACACATCCATATCTTCGAATGCTGACCAGCGCGCTATCACAGAGCTCGAGTTGGACGAGGAGGGCACCCGTATCTCCCTGACTATCGTCGATACCCCCGGTTTTGGTGACCAGATTGACAATGAGGCCAGGCATGTCCCCTGAAACCAGGTTATCCCCTGTCTTGATGAAACCCCTCCCCCGCTAACAACCTCTATAGCTTCGGCGAGATCGTCGGCTATCTCGAGCGCCAATACGATGATATCCTCGCAGAGGAGTCCCGAATTAAGCGTAACCCCCGCTTCAGAGACAACCGTGTCCACGTGCTCCTTTATTTCATCACACCCACGGGCCACGGCCTCCGCGAACTCGATATTGAACTGATGAAGCGCCTGTCGCCGCGTGTGAACGTCATCCCCGTTATTGGAAAGGCCGACTCCCTTACCCCCGCAGAATTGGCCGAGTCGAAGAAGTTGATCATGGAGGATATCGAGCATTACCGCATTCCCGTTTACAACTTCCCCTACGATATCGAGGAGGACGATGAGGACACCGTCGAGGAGAACGCCGAGCTCCGTGGATTGATGCCCTTCGCCATTGTTGGCTCCGAGGACTTTGTCGAAATTGATAACAAGAAAGTGCGCGCCCGTCAGTACCCATGGGGTGTGGTCGAGGTCGAGAACCCACGACACTCCGACTTCCTGGCCATCCGCAGTGCTCTACTCCACAGCCACCTCGCCGATCTGAAGGAGATCACCCACGACTTCCTCTACGAGAACTACCGTACCGAGAAGCTCAGCAAGAGCGTGGACGGTGCCACTCCGTATGTTGACACTCGTTTCGATGTTGAACCCATTATTAGTGATAAGTGATCATGCTAACAATCATCAATAGTGCTCAAGACTCCACCATGAACCCCGAGGACCTCGCCTCTCAATCTGTCCGCCTCAAGGAGGAGCAACTCCGCCGCGAGGAGGAAAAGCTGCGCGAGATCGAACTCAAGGTGCAGCGCGAAATTGCCGAGAAGCGGCAAGAGCTGCTGGCTCGCGAGAGCCAACTCAGAGAGATCGAGGCTCGCATGGCACGCGAGGCCAGCCAGGGCAATGTCAGCGAAGCCACTGGAGAGGCTTAGATACCCTGTCGAGATGCGGCTCATTCAGCGAGGCGCCGGTTCGCAATGTGATACCGTTTGTGCCAACATCATGGACTTCAAGGCACAAAGTTGGTTTCTGTTTATGGGGATAATATTGACTGTTTATTCACGTTAATAGCTTTTTATTTTCTTTTTTTCTTCTTTTCCATTGCTTCCTGGTGTCTCTGCGGAGATGGTCAAGATCCCAACATAGAATGCAACGCTCCGGTTTCGACGATGGGCACAACCACTGTTCCTTGTCTCCAATTGAAACAAAAAGCATTTCGTTCTCGCTGGGATGATCTTGCGATCGATGCAGCCTCCCCTCGGCTCCGTTCATGCGATGTTACCCCTTGTCTCTGTCATTTGATATCAAGCTCATGGACCGCCATTCCATCCTATTGAACCGTTCAGGTTTGCCCGAGGAACTTGGAAACACGGGCACAAGCACATTCTTCTGCTGATTATTCCGTTAATTTGCTTTGGGGCCCGAGGACCACTTTCGATTTCCTGCATACTGTCTACTACCCCATTTACTGTCCACTCCCTGCTGTCCTCGGGTCTTTTCTATCCCTTCACACTGATTTCTCATTCTGGTACCTTGTCCAAAGTCCGCAGCGCAGCAAGATTCCCTTTTCTCTTTGTGTTTTGTGTTTGTGGGTCTATCTCACTCTTTATCCCCTTTTTCCCGTGGTCTTCCTAGTCCGAATCAATGAGGAAAAAAAAGTACTTTGGTCTCTTTTTGGACTGGACTCGTAGATTAGGTATTAGTCATTGGTGTTTCCATGTAATAGATTTCTGTCCCACGTTACGCTGACAATAGAGTCCAGGAAGGTTGTAGTAAATGTGATAGTTTTCACTCTTTTAAGTATAATAATACAAATGGCAATTTCGAGATGTCACTCCGTATCATTTTGATTTTTATACATATCATGCAGGTGGATGTTCAGTCGAGTATCGACCCTCTTTGGGAAAATATATCTCACAATAGCAATCTGACAATGTTCAAGAGGTTCCAAGGCTTCCTACCCATTTCATATATTTAAGTGGCAGATTCACATCACAATTTATTGTTATTGTAACACTACAATAGTATCCACGATTTTTCTATGGGTTTATTACCAGATGCATTGCGTGATGTGCCATCAAGGCCCTGTGGTAGCTAGGAAACCCTGGGGATAGCACCTGTGGCATCATATGGATCAAATTTCAAATAACACACTAAGCGTCCACTGGATTTGAACTCGGCATTACATTACACTAATCGGTGCACATGTGATACACTATTCTCTAGTGACTAACCTCTACAAAAGTTCTACCAACGCACAGAGCACAGCATTCCACATCAATGGCATTGAAAGTAGGGAATACTTCAAGATCAACAGTACAGGAAGGAGATGTGAAAAAGCTAAGAACATATTGTAAAAAGGACATGGTCATCACTTCGCAGGCCATGAGGGGAAACACAGAAAGTGGAATAAAATTTTAAGAAAACGAAGAAGAAATCGGGGAAGAAAGAAGAAAAATGCAACAAGAAAAGCGGGGGTGCAGCGCAAAATAACGACGAAGGTGATACGCAAGAAGTGGTATTTGCGCTTCATTGTACACAGAAACGAGACAAGAAATGAATCTCCAGGGGGTGTGGAGATGGTCTTTTGGACTTCGATAAGGCAGATGGGGGTTGGGCGGAGTGGTAGAGACGAAGTCGATGGAGCGAGCTCGAGGAGTCGGTAGTGAGATTCGAGCGACCGAAAGAGCATGGAGAGGTGGGCAAATCCGTGTGAAGTAGGGAAGCAGGAGGATGCGAAATTGGATCCTCTTTTGCTTTACTCCCTCTTCACAGGCCCCTTTGCTCTGATTCAATAACCGCTCAACGTAGCGGGTGGGAGGATCTCATGGCCTCAAGGAAGAAGTGTCAAGACGGAGGGAGGGTGGTTTCAGTTGCACATTGTCATGCACTTGGTGTGAATTAGATGTACTGTTGGGGCTTGTGCCAGAAATCCAGACTAGCAACCACGTCCTCGCCTGATTCATCCTCATAGGCATAGATGATCTGAGGAGGAGCACTGTCAATATATACTCGAGTTGGCGGTCGGGCGTGATAACTTACCTCGCGAGTGGAGGAATGCAGCATGCGAATGTTCCTTCCGGTCATAATGTGGATCAATTCGCTGGTCTCGACGTGACGAATCTCGACGAAATTGGGTTCGAATGCCAGAATGTAAGGATAAGATAGCGCAAATGCGTTCGGGTTGCCCTCCCACGAAATCCTCCAGTCCGGTCGAGCACGCCATCCATTGCGATTAACAAAGAATGAGAAGTCGCTGTAGTTCAAAAGAAACTCTCCGTTCATGCGCTCGATGTGAATAGGCTTAACGTTCTCCTTGCGAGCAACGAAATCAAGAGATGTATCTGCCTGATCCAAGAGAGACTGTGTCTCGGTGGTTTCAAGACTGACAACCTCGAAACCACGAGCACAACCAACACACAGGGTAGACCGCAAGAAATGGATCGAGGAAGATTCGGCCGGGATGTAGTATTCCTTGAACGGCTTGAGGGTGTCTTGGCCGCTCTGGAACATCTTGCTCACAGCAGATTTCTTCTTGCCCTTTGCCAGGTTGTCCATCGGCTCGTAAACCTTGATGGTGCTGGACAAAGCAGAAGTTTTAACTGAGCATACAAGATGTCTGCCAAGACCAATGCCTGCCTTGAAGAAATTGGCATGTCCTTGAATCTTCTTGGGGCGCTTGGCAAGTGCATTCTTGTTATCCTCTCCCAGCTCCAGGGCATCCATAGGGTAAGATGAGAGCGTCTTGTTTGCCAAGACCAGAAGCAATTGGTACTCCTCCAAAGTATCAATTTGAGTGACTTGACTGGCCTCCAGAACCTTCTTGGGCTTGGCCGACTTGTCCTTGGGCCAGCGCTCGGACAGATAAATGCCGCTATCGGTTCCGTAGACCAACTTCCGCCCACCATCGACGGGAACGCAGCAATTCACGCGATTAACAGAAGAGAAGAAGTTCTCACTAAGAACCGTCTTGTTATAAAAGTTGCTGTTGCGTTCCCAAAGCTTCCTTTGTTGTTCCTCTACCATCTCAATGAACTTTCTCCGCTGAGTTGGTGAAGTGGCATAAAGAGTTTGCTCATAACCACCCTTACCAAGATGACGGAAAGTAATCGGTAACTGGCCATCCTTGGCAGGAGGAGGGTTGGGAGCAGCTTTGTTGGACAAAAGACTGGAAGAGGGTCGCTTCGCTATTCCCACTCGAGGGATCACTTCATCCATTTGCGCAATCACCAAGAGCTCCAGGGGAATCGGCTTCTTGTACACTCGGTACTCCTCACGTTTGTTCACCACCTTGATACGAACGAGAAGTACTGCATGGTCAAAGAGATATGCCGTCACCTCCGAACTTTCAGCCGTGGTCTTCTTGAAAGCCATCTTCGTGAGCATTTGTCGGTTCTCCTCAGTGAGCTTGAGGTCCACGTAGTCTCCTGGGTTGAACTTCAATGAGGCATTCAGCTGTACCAAGTTAAAGTGATTCTCGGCCTTTCCACTCTCAGTGTTGACACGAGACAAAAAACTCTTAATCAATGCAATTGCCTTCGGAATGTCTTCTTTGTCGGGACTGTCGTCCGCGGTATACTTCAGGACCGATCCAAGAAGAAGCGGGTATCGGGCAAGTCGAGTTGTCGGCTTAGTGAGGTAACCGTTCAGTTCCAGTTTGCGGGACTCCTTGAGGCGTTCTGTATCCTCGACAAATTTGGCAAAGCCAGGATTGGACGACTTCTCTTTTTCGAACTCGTATTTTCCGTAAAGCTGGTTCGCACCATACTTGATGAAAGGGTCGAAGCGAGGCACGTGCGTCAGGAAGATATCGCCAACAGTCTTGACGACATGGCTCTCTTTCTGGCGGGTGTTCAAAGCCTCACATAGGCCGCCGTTGACTTTCAGCACCTCCAAGCAGTTACCAAACACAGTTCGGATAAACTTCTCCCGTCGGTGCTCTGGAATAGGAGAGTGGGTGTTGGGGCCAGCGGCACGCAGTGGGCGCATCCAAAAGTCTCGCAAGTATTCCAGATCCTTAACGAAGTCACGCTCAGTATACATGATCTCAAAAATGATCTCCTGTCGCTTCTTCTCGTTGTCGGCGACGGTGTCAGAAATTTCCTTGGGAACCATGTTGATCCACAGCTTTTGGTTATCATTGTCTTCATCGTCGTCAATATGTAAGGCACCCTTGGTGCCTGCAGTTCCCAGAACTGGCTGAGGCTTCAGGTTGAGCCTTGCCTGCTGTTCTAATCGTCGTGGGCAGGCAATGGAGTAGCAAAGACTATCCCGCGTGCAGGTAGGAGAGTAACATTCAGTTAAGAGAGTGAAAACTCCGTTCACTTCCGATCCTGGTGTGTCCTCTCCCATAGTTTCCTTGAACTGGTAAACCTCGCCGGGGGCATCTCGAAGACGGTGATCATAGGTAACGTCGTGGAAGAATTTCTGGGCATCCAATGCACGTCCCAACAGAAGAGCGAGGTTGCGGTCATTCGTCCTGATGATTGTGGCAATCAGATCAACAGCATCCGTACCAGAGAAAGAGTTCTGGTAGGAGAGACCGTTCTTCTGCCGCTCGCCAAGCGACACCTTCTCCCGGAACACATCAGCAACACGAGAAAGGAGAGCTGGGTAGACAACAGGTAACCGGTTCCGACGCGAATTGTTGGAAACAAGTGTCGTTTGACCATTGGAACTTTGCGTTGCCTGGCTCTGGACACTCATTGCACGGTCCGCCATCACAGTTGACGCCATAGACATGGTGCGAGATCGAGTAGACGCATCACTCGGTGGACGAGGCTTCACGTAGTTATCGGCAACCGTTGCGACATGTGCTGGCATGGTCTCGAAGCGTTGCTGTGGGGGGCGGCACCGGGTCATGGCTTCCTCCAGACGGTGGGCGCCGTGACGGAATGGCTCTTCCGGTTTGAGAAATTTGAGGATGTTCTGTCGCGGAATAGGTGGTCATCGACATGGCTCGTTCATTGGCATGCCTTTCTGGAACGGTTCGACCCAATTGGGTCATTGTCGTGCCAACCGAGTATGGCTCGCGACGTGAAGCGGCCGCGGAGGTGTGGTTGAAATTGCTAGGTGGGGCAGGCACTGGGTAGGACGGTCCATTGAGTCTCGCCATCGATCGAGATCGAGTCGCATCGGAGTTCAAGGCGGGAGGAGGCATTGGTCGACCCAGATCCCGCGGATCCGGATACTGGGGCGGCGGACCAGGTCTAGAATCCAAGCGTTGGGGTCGGGGATAGGCGAAGCGTCCCCCCGCTCCCGGGTACGGTCGCGGTTGTTGCGGCTGCGAAGACATTGTCGCGGCCCCGGTGCCTGGGTTGTATGCTTGGTACTGATTTGTAGGCGGCGGCGGAGGGTATCCGTTTGGCGGCGCAGATGGCGGTGGTCCATATCCATTCGGCATTTGGCGTGTTGGCGGCGGCGGCGGCGCCCTCTGGAATTGAGGCTGCGCCACGTGCGACGACATTGTGTGAGCGCGGCCCTGCGTGAACTGCGGAGTCTGCGAGTTCATGGTCTGCGAGCGACCCGGCGGGGGCGCGGCCCCGAAAATATCGTTGTATGCGGCATCTCGTTGCGTGGACGAGGCAGGGCCATAGGGCCGGTAGTTCCGGTTACGCTGACCCCCCAAATCCGCCATGTTTACCACACCAGCGATCGATCGACGAACGGGTTTCAGATTAAGGTCGGAATGTAAAGGCGTTTATGCTGCGGGGTGAATCGGATGAAAAAAAGTGAGGGGGGTATCCGGGGTCGATCGTAGAGAGCGTTCAGGGCGTCGCAAGAGTTCTTCCGGATCGTGGGTGATGAAAATCAGAGAGTAGAACGAAAGTGGCAATCCCACAGGGGACGAGAGCCTAGTGAGAAGAGTAAAGAGCCGGTCTTCATGCAGAGTCGGTCTTCAATATGTCATAGCTCCCCTCCAGATTAACAGCTGGGGGGTTTGGCGGGATTCAAAAGTCGAAGAGCGCCAGGAGCCGTGAGCGCAGCGAAATCAGGGCTCCTTGGAATTTCATACCCTCAGCATCTTCCTATGCCCAAAGAAGAAAAAGATGGCGAGGGGGGAGAGGAGAGGGGCGGCTGGTGGTGGGGGGAAAGGTAGAGGTGAATGTTGAAAATGCAGCGATAGACTGGGGGGGGCCAGGAGACGATGAGGCGAGAAGTGGTTCTGCCCGGTAATTCCGTATTACCAGTACCAGGTCCCACGGCACGCGACGGGGCACGGCACCTCCGGGCGGGCGGCCAGTGTGTAATGGTATGGTCACCTAGGGGAAGCGCGGCAATGCGCTACGGCGGGCCAAGTGACCCTCTGCAACACCCAGGGAGATCCCGTTGGAAAGGCCGACCTGCCCATCCAGACGTTCTTCGCTCTCGGCCGTCCCCCCAGCGCTCACCCTGACTCTCGACCTTTTGTGATTTCCCAGATCCCGAACGAATATCCATCATGGCGGACAGCGAGCTTGCGCCCAAGTTTGCCCCGTTCTTCTCCTTTGTGAGTGGCCTCGTGAAGCTCCAGTCCCAACGGTGCAGCTATACTAACAACACCACCCGTTCATAGGCCGGCATTGCCGCTGCAGTGAGTAACTACGATACTTGACCCTGACCGACAGAATGCTAACGATTTGCCTTGAAGATGGTCTTCGGATGTATGTGGCTCAATACACTGCACTAGTTAGTTGGGGGTTGATCAGGACACGCAGCTGACAGCTTCACAGCGGCAGGAGCAGCTTACGGCACAGCCAAGTCAGGCATTGGTATTTCAGGTGTCGGCACCTTTCGGTCCGACCTGATTATGAAGGCAAGTCCAAACAGTGTTCGGTGATTCCGATGCAGCACAAGCTGACCGATCCGATCCCTGCAGTCTCTCATTCCCGTCGTCATGTCCGGTATTATCGCGGTTTATGGTCTCGTGGTCGCCGTCCTCATTTCGCAAGCACTGAACCCGACATCGAATCTGAGCTTGTACACGTATGGTTTACAACTCCGGAAGTGAAGACTAGAGACTGACGGAAGTGGATATAGTTCGTTCATGCACCTCGGTGCTGGGCTGTCGGTCGGCCTGACCGGTATTGCAGCTGGTTATACTATTGGAATTGTCGGCGATGCGGTAAATACTTCCCGGTTGCGCATACTCTATCGAGGGTGTGCAATGCTAACGGATGCCTTTCTTACCAGGGTGTGCGAGCTTATATGCAACAATCCCGTGTTTACGTCGGCATGATCCTGATCCTGATTTTCGGTGAAGTTCTTGGTCTTTACGGGTATGTCTTAAAGAGTGAAGAGAATCAGAGGGAGAAAGGGCGCATTCGGAGGTCCTGTGCTAACTCGTCGACTAGTTTGATTGTTGGCCTGATCTTGAACTCAAAGTCTTGAACGCGCGCGCTGTCCATTTTCACCAGTGCTTGCTTCTATGTGATCGCTTCTTTTCCTCGCACGCATCACGCATATTTCCTGCGACCAAATTGGACCGGGTTGCGTTTCGTCGCCCCAACGTACTGGCAAAGAGAGGGCCCTGCGCTCAAGAGGCCCGAAGGATCCAGATCCCAGGTCCAGATCCAGATCCGGGCTGGCTGTCTTCGGAATCGCAAGGAGTCTAGTATTGTTATATTTATTTTTCTTTCGGGATGTATTATAGGGGAGCACATGCTCGCATATAGATCCGGGTCGAATACCAAATGGCGACGAGACCGTCAGCCCAAGATTCCGATTTATCACCGTAGTTCCCTATCCGTCCAGCCCCGCCCCCATGGGAATACGTCAGAGCTGGCAGAACTCTCCTTAGCCAACTCTCTTGCCCCGCGATTTCTACGAACCCCCCGCGTTTACTCCAGGGGATCTCGACCGGCAAATGCTCCCTGTTCTGGTTTGATAAAAGCCCCCGGATCGAGCTGGGAAGCCGACGCGACTGGTGGCGCGCTAACCGGGTGGGCTCCTATACCTTTTACCCGCTCGCCTTCGCCGCGGGAGGCTCTATGCTCTGCCACTGCAATGGCGACCGGTACAGTTCAACCCTCTGCCCCAGAGGTGCAAGGCAGTCCTATCGCCTCGCGAAACATCGACATGCGGTCCCATGAGATCCACGAGAAGGATAAGCACCTCGTTCAGTCCGTCCGCTCTACGTCGCATCGCTCCGCAAACCCATTCCTCGTCACCGAACGTCAAGAGGAGAAGCAGCTGTCGATCTCGTCGCGAAGCCTGCATGTCAGCGACTTCACCCTCATCAAAACTTTGGGCACTGGTTAGAAACCCCCGAGCCGCAATATTCGACTGCATGCTGACAGTTTGCCTTTTGGTCGCATTTAGGCACGTTCGCTCGAGTCAGCCTCGCAAGATTGAAGGAATCGACAGATAAAAACAAGGTTTATGCGATGAAGATCTTGCGCAAAGCAGATGGTAAGCACGGACTTTGTCGCGACACTGCCTGTGGGCTTGAGCTGACGGCCTTCGAAAACAGTGATCAAACTGAAGCAGGTCGAGCATGTGCGCAACGAACGCAAAACCCTTGCCGCAGTGGTCGGCCACCCTTTCATCACGACCCTCGTCGCATCTTTCTCGGACGAACAGAATTTGTATATGCTGGTACGTTTGGTAGAACCCTTACCAATATCGGTTTCTCCTACACAATCGTGGTCTTGGATATGTATAGTGAACTAATCATTCCCAGTTGGATTTCTGCCCGGGGGGCGAAATCTTTAGTTATCTTCGACGCGCGCGACGATTTAACGAAGACACGTCGAGATTCTATGCGGCCGAAATCACCATGACAATTGAATACCTGCATGACGTGCAGGGGGTGGCTTATCGTGACCTCAAGCCGGAGAATATCCTACTCGACGCAAACGGCCATATCAAGCTTGTGGACTTCGGGTTTGCCAAGCAAGTGCACAACCGCGAGACGTATACGCTTTGCGGTACTCCTGAATATCTGGCCCCCGAGGTCATTCACAATAGCGGTCACGGACTCGCGGTTGATTGGTGGGCTCTTGGGATTCTGATATACGAATTCCTTGTTGGACAACCTCCATTTTGGGATCAAAGTCCCATCCGCATTTACGAACAGATTGTCGAGGGTCGTCTTCGCTTCCCGCCCAATATGCCCCCTGCGGCCCAAAACATCGTCTCTTTGCTCTGCAAAACGAATCCAACGGAGCGACTAGGCTACATTTCCGGTGGCTCAGCCCGTGTGAAGGCTCACCCGTTCTTCCAGGGTATTGCCTGGGACGATCTTTTCTACCATCGAGTTAAAGGCCCGATCATCCCTCGAGTTTCACATCCCGCGGATACTGGAAACTTCGAAGAATACCCTGACTCTGACAATCGAAATCAAAACATCTACACCGATGACCTCAAAAAGAAATACGAGCCTCTTTTCAGCGATTTCTAAATGAGGTTTTCTTTTTGTTGCTTTGCGCATACCTTTGTTTCAACAACCTTCTCTATTTTGACGCGGGCCCAGACCATCGCAGTCAGTTTGAGGGAACACGGCAAAGTTCCGCATCCTCCTAGCCGACTTTTGCGTATGCTCTCTCTCATCCATGGCCTCCACCCACCAAAGTCTTTGCAGTTCTGTGACCCACGATCAACCTTTCGGCCAGAAGGTCAGCTTTCGCCTACCATCTTTCCAAATACCCCGCTTCTGCTCAATACCCAATACTCCAGTGGAGTCTCATTTGATACTTCCTTTTCTCCTTCTAGTCAGGGAATTCAAGTTGCTGTCTTGATTTCAGCGCTCCCTACCCAGTAGCTTCGACAGACTAATTTGGTAAGTGTCAACCCCCTGTCATCTTCATTTGGAATATAACTTTCTAACAATACTAGATAACATTGGTGGAACGATATATCAACTCGTTCGGCCTAATGTTCTAAATTAAGCCTAATTGGACAGATTCGTGTCAAAAAGGTTGTTGCTTGAAGACACAAATTACACAGATCTAAATTGGCGGGGCTTTGTCATTCTGTCCAGACTGTGCTGACAATGCACAAGTCGACTAGTATATACTTCAGATTTTTGGACCGCGGAGACGATAAGGTCCAGTTCAGTTCATATTATGTGCCACACCTCAGGGTAATAACTACTAGTACAATGTATTCGCGAGATGTATGAATTGACGATCTAAAACTGAAGTGTGTTTTCAAAAGTACTATGTCATCGAGACGTATTCTCTCTTGTTTTCTAGTCTAAATATTGGAAGGCAGCACCTGTGAATGAACAGCTAGGAGCAAAAGCGGTAATTTATATCACAAGACGGGTCTGGGAATCATATGTACTAGGATCATGAAACATGGACGCGCTCATCATGAAGAATAACTTGTCCATTCCTGGGACGTATCCGAAGGCTGCTCGCAGCCGTATGGCCAAAAAGAATTAATGGCATGGTGGGCCACAGAGAGAAGAAAGAGGACTAGAGGGCGAGATGTCTAAGATCTCGCGGCCTTTTTACCAACAGGGTGGCAAAATTCCACTGCTTAAACGCCGAGCAAGGTAGGTATATTGCCTGTTGAAGCTGATTATGGCACGCTTGTGGGAAACGTGGTCGAGAAGATTGAAGAGGTATGTCGAAAGCTTCTATTATAATGATGGGTCCGTCTTCCATGTTCCTGGAAAGAGCAATGTCAATATGGTATTTATACGTACTGAGTAGAGCAGAAATGACCTACCATCGAACATGTGCTTCACAAAGGCCATCGGGTGATCGGTATCACCTGCACCCATCTGTCCAACACCAGGACTGAAGCTCGTAATGGGCAGAACAACCACGTCACCAACCTTGCGATGCGTAGTTTGACCACTGAAATCTTCATAAGCGACATTCTTGTCCCCAGGCAAGATATTGAAATAGTCCGGATCATTGAAATAGCGGAACACAGCATCAGTCCAGGCTCCTGGACCGGTAAACTCCATGACCGTCCTATCCATCTTGCCCACTTTAAGGATACCAGCTCTCTTCATGCGCAGCGCTTCCTCCGTAATGTACGCGACCATATCGCGCAAAATCGGATGGCCCGGCTTGGCAACAATAGTCCATTGGCAGAATTGGATGCGGCGCGTGTACCAATCATGCCAATCCGGTCGATCGGGGTCAGCTTCAATGCCGACCATGAAACCGATAGTCTTGCGATCGAGGTCCTCGGGTAGCCAGAAATGAGCAGGCTTGAGAGCTCGAGTATCAATGTCGCTGTAGATTCCACCCCGCGCAAGGAGCACAAGATACCGGAAGAAATCTGCCTTCATCACCGCCAGCGGCAAGGAATCGTAGGCCTCGAAGACATCCGGCACTGAACCGTACAAGTACTCGATTAAGTGGCGCTGGGTATCATCGCCAATAACCTGGTGCATGAAGTATGGGTGCATCTCCGTCCATGATGCCTCCATGTCGCGAAGATCGGCATCGAAGTATTTTGATGATGGGGCGTATTTCCATGTCTGCCAGATATATGCGGGGAATTGGGTCTCGAGGTTGTAGGGGAATTGGAAGCGCAAGCGTTCGCGTAACGGGGCCGTCGGCGGCGGAGCGAGCGGTTGTTGCAGGCTTGATTTGCCGTTTCTCCTCGGATTCCGTAGCGCGTTTTGTTCTTCTGTGAAGATGTCCGGTACAGGTTTATATCCAGGCGCACCGGGGATGTCGGATGGTCGGGTCGATCGGAGGAGGTAGACGAAGGCGATCAGACAGATGGCGGCGAACACGGACTTGCGGAACGTCGGCATGGTGGGCAGCGGATGTCGGTGCAACCGGGGGTCGAATCCCTATTCCTCCTCAGGGTTCTCGACGGCCACGCGCACCGGCGATCCAGGTGCTCCGGGGACGTGGTTGACAGGAGGCACGAAGCTCGATGGGTTCAGGAGGCTCGGGGATTCGAAGGGCAATTGGCGTTGCCGTGGCAAGAATCGCGTGCGTGCGTCGAAAATTAAGATCCAAGCGATCGGGAATTTGACATCGCGGTATTTTGCTTAGGGCTGTTGCTTGTGCCAGGTGCGTAACTCAGAATGCGACTCCCGGTGCCGGTCGGCGGTACCGCTGGCAGAAACAGGAGGCACCGGCGTGCGGGTCAGGAACTTCGGGCCGAGCCTGGAGACGAGAGCGGTGGGATCTGGGGATGAGAAGAGAAATGAACCCAAGGGCCACCTCAAATAAGAGCGAGGCACCAGATTTAAAGGTGGAGGAAGGATTGCGTATGCCACCAGCAACAAGGCGCATCTACAAGCCGTTGGGTGGAGCCGGCTCACGTGGCCTGGCACTCGATGTCCGCGCGGTGTTTTGCGCAGCGTGCTTCTCTTTCTTTTATACAGAACGCATATAACGATGATGCCCTCCCGTTCCATCATGGAGATAGCCCATTCCAACTACCTAGGTACAGCTTGACATTATCAGTTGTTTGACATATAGTTGCTCCCCGCAATTACGCGATCGCGGGCGACGATCGTACTCAACCCGGCGATAGATACGAGGCTCAACATGCACTGTGACCAGAGCTGAGACGCGTCGTTCAGGTTCAGAGGTTTCTTGAGAGACGATTATTGTGCAATTTGCAGAAAATCATCCCACCGTATCTCTCTCGGTCCTCCATTCAAGAAGGCGTTTGCTACCGTGTTCGGCGCCGAATAACTGCGTCGTCAGTGACGATAGGGTGCCCCTTCAGGCATGGATCGTCTGTTCTGCGGATTCGAAACAACTATCTCCGCTGTCTTGCACTTTTCATCTCCAGGAGAGACCACGGTGTCATGTTTCAAGACCCCAGACTCCTTGATGGAGATCCTGAGCAATGTCATGAACAGGAGGCCCTGAAGTTTGGAGTAGGCGAATCCCTGCGAACCGTCCCGTGTGACAAGAGCTCGGCATGCGTCGTCCAGCCACTAGCCGGTGTGATGGCCGTTCAGGAGATACAGGTCGAACCAATCTGAAGCTGTGTCGATGGGGTTGAAGCTTCAAGAGATTGGCTTAGCTGTCTCTCGTTTTCGGCCATTCTTCTAGACAAGCTTAAGCCACTTGTTCGATTCTATGCCGATCCAGGAACGCCAAGCCAGCCAAGCTCTGCTTACATCTGATCTGGGCAGTGGAAGTGGAGGAGGTCGGGTGGTAAACCAGACCTACCTAGGCGCGGGGATCTTCCCAGGTATCTCAATGCCTGGCTTCTACATCCCCTAGAGCATCTAATATGGCTTCATAGAAACTTATAAATCATTTTTGGTGGTTGGGTGATACACAATATTGAGAGGATCAAACAAACATTATTGGTGGTGGGAACAACTACAATTTTTGACTAGATATATCACATATTCAAGCTCCGCAGTCAAGTCACAAAGATTGGCTGCAGTGGACTCGGCACTTGGTGGTTGTCATAAAGGTAGACATAAAACCCGTATATCGCGTGTGTATCGAGTCACGTGTCGAATTCTTCACATTGTTCCGTTGGATGTAGTGTTATAATCACAATTGTAATCGCAGGATGGAGGGCAGAATTTGCATTGAGTTATGGTCATTGTCCAGATCCCACTGTCATCCACCGACTTCCGATGTCGTGAATATACTAATAATTAAAAGACATATTTGCATCACTAGATATCATCTACTACACTAGTTAATGTCGCGGAGCAGCTTTTGTAATGGTCTTCTGTCCAACGGGTGTTATTCCAATTGAGGAACAGCATAGCCTTGACTGCGCCTCTGCCTCGGTTGAACAATTCCGCGTCTACAACAATCCGAACTTGGCACGGTGCAATGAAGACTATCGTATAGTGTATGTACTGGACTCGGCGGGTGAACCCCACGTGGGCGCAGCGGACAGCGTGGGTGGCCACGCCGGCATGCTTTCTGTCGCGTGTCTCACATTGAGGCCTATTTTCATCCGACTTTTCAGAATTGACCTGGGCACCCCTATCAATCCATGAAAATCTCAACGGAGAAACTATTGATTCAATTGTGCTGCCTGTTTGATCCGACTTGCCTACTGCCGTGGAACGGCTGTATTCTCCACACTGCTATGAGACCCGAAACATGATCCCATACCGCCGGGCTGCCGGACGAAGAGTCGCGCGGACGAGATGGCAACCATCAGAAGCTGCCAGCTCTAGTCGCGCATTCTCATGTGGACGATTCCTTTATCAGGAATATTTTGCCACTCGGAGGTGACAGCGCTAAAGGAGACGGTCAGCACGGCAACGAGGAGAGAGCGATCCAAGCGTGGATCAACAGAGGCCCACGCTAAACCACAACCCGCAAAAGAGGGACAATTGGCTGACCCTCGCGCAGTGTCCATTGGCTACTGCATCTCCTCGCTGGCCGCTCTCAAAAGCTTGGCATGCGGATGGACTCGAATTCTCGCCCTTGCGCTGTTAGCCTCATGAGAAATGGGGGCGAGGAGGGTCCAGCGATCAGAAATGCAGTGATCTATCGGGCTCTGCGGCCGCGGCACCCAAAGATTCCCCCAAGATTTTCCTCCCACCGCCACTGGCAGTGAACCGTCTCGGGTGTTTTCCTCTCTCGGTTTAGGTTCATGGTCTCATCCGAATCAACGCTTGTGTGATTTGGGATGCCTGCGCCTCGCCCACGAACAATGGCACCCCCTCTTTTCTTTTTCGTTCCCTTCAGGGTCTGGATTGCCCTGCATCCTTCCCACGGCTCCAGTAAAACCTTACAGCTGTCGCGATAGTTTCTGCCTTAACTTCCGACAGCCAATCCACACTCGCGTCGGCCCAGTAATCCCCGTTTCACATCATTTTGCCCTCGCATTAGCTGCCCCATCGCACTCGGCACTCCCGTAGCTGGTCGTATAAATAAACCCGTCCGCTCGCTCGCTCGCTCACTCGTAGCTTAATTTTCGGCCCCAAGATCAGCCAAAGTAGACCCAGAGGGGAACGGCGTGCGATGGACAGCCTTGCATTTGCTTTGTACACTTTCCCTCTTTGAATCGGCAGAGTCTTGTCCATCCACAGCCCATACCTTCGATCGACCTACCTTGTTCCCCACGGTTATTTATAGCCGTCAGAGCTCTCTATTCAAATTGAGCTCAGGTTCCTGCCTAAGCAAAGACCCGAGAAATCATTCACATTACTTCGTGCGCCGCGATGAGGAATTTCTTCTCACCTGGGCGTCCGAGTGAGCCAAGCTCGCCAGCTGCCGTCAGCGCCCAACCTGACAATCAACTCTCCGACACTGAAGGGAGCCAGGCCACAGTCGAGCCGAAACAGCTGGAGGCAAACGACGCCGCATCAGAGAAGAAGGGCCTTCTCGCGCGACCATGGACACGACGAGATATTGGCATCCTCAGCTCACTGGTATTCCTGGGACTGGGGCTTATCGCAGTCATCATCGCGCTTCCAATCGTCTATACAAGAGACATGAACCAGGACATGGGAGATGTGTACAACCTTTACAATTCCAAACATGAGGATCCCAGCTACCACATGAAGGAGAACCATCCTGTCTTCGGCATTCACAATTTCCCCGACCCGGGACTCATCGAACATAACGGCACATGGTATGCGTTTGGAACGAACCCCAAGAAACACGACCCGAACACGATCCACATCCCAGTGGCTACGTCCACCAACTTCGTGAACTGGACTCTGCACCATGACTATGATGCAATGCCAACCATCGGCAACTGGGAGAAGGAGGTCAACCACTGGGCCCCAGACGTGATCCAGCGCGTAAGCTGCAACTCCCTCAATACCACAAAAATGACCATGCTAACACCTTCACAGGATGATGGCAAATTTGTTCTCTACTACTCAGGACAAACCAAAAACTTCGACCGACACCACTGCATCGGAGCCGCAGTCTCCACCAGCACCGATCCCATGGGCCCCTACATCCCTCTAAACGAATCCCTGGCCTGCCCCCACGAATACGGCGGCGCAATCGACCCCTCCCCATTCAAAGACGCAGACGGCAAGCTCTACGTCGTCTACAAAGGTGATGGAAACAGCGTCGGCCGCGGCGGCTATTGCGGCAACAGCATCAAGCCACTACACCCCGTCCCGCTCATCCTGCAAGAACTGGAGTCAAACGGCTTCACGAAAGTCGGCGAGCCCAAGATCATCCTTGATATCGACGACTCAGATGGCCCGCTCATCGAAGCCCCGGATATCATCCGCACCGACGATGGGACATATTACCTCGCCTTCTCCTCGCACTGCTTCACGTCGCTGGGGTATAACGTCAAATACGCCCATGCGAAGTCTGTTAAAGGTCCATATACCCGTGTTGATCGCCCTCTCCTTCAAACGACTGATTTCGGCCTCGAGGCGCCCGGTGGCGCTACACTTTCAAAGGATGGGACGAAGATGGTGTTCCATGCGAACTGTGGCGGATGGCGGTGCATGTATGCTTCTGCGATTGATATTCGTTCTCACAATAGTACGATCGTCTTGGCTTCGCTTGACTTGGAGATCTCCAAGATCGGTACGACGACGTCTGTGAATTTGACTTCATAATCCTGAGTGGAGTTCCCATCAGGCCTGGTGGGTTGGGTGACTCGTATCCTTGTTTATTTACTTTAGCATAGTGTTCAGCGGTCGGCGTTCTTGCTCTTTGACGAGCTGATGATACCCGCATGGTTCATGGATTGATGCAACGAAATGGCGTTTTGAGCTTTCGATAGAAATTCATTCCGTGAAAAACAAAAGGGTCTCCTGGTAAATCCACTGTATGACAAAAAACCCGAGGATGTGAGCGTCGCATTTCGCTGTAAGTCGTAAGCACATGGACTTGATTTTCGATCCGTAGCAGTCATAGGGGTTTCCAAGGCTGATGGTGAAAGCTTGTCGTCGGTGGCTGCAGGAGTAGAGAGCACTACTCCATTGCAGTATAAGAGCATCCTAAAGAAAAGGTTGAGATTTTCCGATATCTTCTTCAATCAACAATAGTGGAACCAAAAAAGACAAACAATGACGCAGAAGTTGGAGGGAAATGCTCTCAGTTATGCTCTCGTATGCATCACAGGCTTCCAGCGTCAGACCGCGAAGGGAAATCGGCGAATGCCACGATCAGATTTGGCTTAGTTGTAACATCATCGAGCAAGAGAAGCGCCGAAGGGAAACGAGAGGGGAAATGAGGGGAGAGAGGGGGTATTATAGCCTTCTTAGCGAGGGTGCGTGGAACCTGTTACAATTCAATACGTCGAGTAGCATCCATCCCACAGGGAAATGAAAAGTTCAATTTTTGCTCGGGTTGCAATTTGGTTCATTTGATGTATAGGACTTGGTACAGTTAGTGAGAAAAACATGACAAGAGGTCAGGTGAGCAAATTACCTAGTAGTTTGTTGCTATTGAGTTCTGGTGCTGAGAAGCAATTCCAAGATTTTATGCCAATGTCCTCGGATTGAAAACTACCTTTTTTCACTCGTCACCAGCATGCTCGACGCGGTTACCCCCGAGGGGTGTACACACGGAGCAGTAAAATGAGCCTCGGAGTGTGCTAGTGGATTTCGTCATTGGACAGGCTTTCGATATGAGCTGGTGCGCCCTTGAGAAATTGATTCCGCCGCGTCGTCGATGTAGGCCGGGTGTTTTGCCATAGGAAGAATGATGCAGAAGATGGTGGATGGAAAATTGCGGGTTTGCATTCGATCGATTGATGTGTTATGTACATGCTCAAAGACACTCCTAGATTAGATGGTTAGCAGCCTATAAAGGCCTGATATCAACAAAGGAAGGGGGTTTGCAGGAAATTTGTAGGATAGCTTGCAGGGGAGATGGTGATTTAGGACAAGAATGTGCTGAGGAAGTCTTCTCAGATCTCTGTTCATTCTCAGTCACCCACATGGGATAACGTCTTCTTCCACTTGAGCAACGGCAAAGCTGCGAGGGATGAATGTCGCCGCCCTGTCCAGGAAACCTGGATGTGTCGTGAGAAGCTCTAAGTGAGGGTTATCGTCATCGAGACATGAATGAGAGGGTATTCTCCCAGATCTGTCTCGACGTGTCAGGCCTCATCCACAAGAACCTTTTCCAGCTCACTGCGCGGGGTACAGTATACTCACCTGCTACGCAGACTTGCATAAGCGTTGCTGATGGGAGACGCGTCGGAGTTGGCGTTTGGCGTCAGCAAAGCCGCGGTATATCACGTGATCCTGAAATCGTGGTTCCACTGATGAGCGCATGGCTTGCAGATGAGCATTCTTTATTAGAGGCCCAATTGCCCGGCCCTGTGACGGTGAGTGCTGCCCAGTGCGAAGACTGCCCGAGAAACCCATGGCGCCCCTAGGACCTAAATGGTGGCAGGCGCCCGATGAGGGCGATCTTGACTATGGATTCGATTCTGACGATTTGGACGCTAGATTCGCCGAACCTGAGCGCAATTCCCACCGCCCGCGCACTCGAGAAGCTGGTGACTGGGACGCAGACCGAGAGCAAGGAAAGCAGGAACCAAGCGAGAAAGGAGTATTTGGAAATATGTCGTCGTGGCTGCAGCGTCAGGCTGGTTCGTCCAATAACCAGCTTGCAACGACTGCCGTACTGTCCGGAGCTGCGGTTGCGAGTGCAATCTTTGGATACCAGGCCTACAAGCGGAAGGAAGCTGTTCATGACCTGAAGGCTTCTATTCCGGTCCTCGATGAGAAGCACCGCGCGGAGAAGGTGAGATTATAGCAGCTACACCGAGGTCATATGGGTCAAGCATAGGATGGAGGACTGATTAGGATCCAAGCTTACCGACTTTGGCGCGGCCGACAATGGGGCTCCGATGAGCAAGGACGACGAGCGCAGTGCTGCTTTAGCTCGCCGGGCGCAACAGGGCGACTATGACGATGGTTTGAATGCCCGAACCCGTACCTCATCGCTGAACTCAAGCTGACCGACTTCGATTCGTTGGACAGATCTGATCTTGGAACAACTGGCTCGGAACCGTGTTTTCCTTACCGATGACGGACTAGCTAAGCTCCGGTCATCCTTCATCGTTGTTGTCGGCTGTGGAGGTGTTGGATCCCACGCGGCCGCAGCGCTGGCTCGCTCAGGAGTGTCCAAGATTCGCCTCATCGATTTCGACCAAGTTACACTGTCATCACTCAACCGCCATGCGCTGGCTACATTGGCCGACGTGGGAACATCGAAGGTACACTGCATCCGGAGACGATTGGAACAGATTGCCCCGTGGGTAATGTTCGACTGTCGCAACGAGCTCTTTGGCAAGGAGGCAGCCGATTCTCTTCTCAGCTCTTGGACCTTGACACACGATGGAGAGGGGCGTCGACCGGATTTCGTGCTGGATTGCATTGACAACATTACCTCGAAAGTCGACCTTCTTCACTACTGTCACACCAACTCGCTCCCTGTCATTTCGTCTATGGGTGCGGGTTGCAAGTCTGACCCCACTCGTGTCGTCGTTGGAGATATCTCTACTAGCACAGATGATCCTCTCTCCCGCAGCACGCGGCGGAGACTGAAGGCCAAGGGTGTCACTTCTGGCATTGCGACTGTTTTCTCAACTGAGAAGCCCGGCCCCGGAAAGGCAAGCCTCCTCCCTCTTCCCGAGGAAGAGTTCGCCAAGGGCAAGGTTGGCGAGCTGGGTGTCCTTCCCGACTTCCGGGTCCGTATTCTCCCTGTCCTCGGAACCATGCCTGCGGTCTTCGGCTATACCGTGGCCAACCATGTCATATGCAGTGTTACAGGCTACCCGATCGACTATCACATGGGCCCCAAGGGCCGTGACAAGCTGTATGACGGTGTCTATTCTACCCTGCAGGGTCTGATGGAGAAGCTGAACCGACAAGTGGCTGGACAAGACCCGACGGGCCTGCGTCTGCCTATCAGCAAAGAAGACATTACCTTCTTGATCGAGGAGGTGTGGAGAGGACGAAGCGTTATCAGCGGCCTATACAACCGTATCGTTTTGATCCCCTGGAAGAGCCCCGCAAATGGATATGTTGTGGATCCAACCATGGAGAAAGAGGGACAAAAACACCTTCCGCTCGACCTGAAGGATCTTGTGTGCATGACCAAGGATGAGGCCACCCGCCATGAACGGGAGGTGCTGCGCGGAGACAAGACGGTTGAGGATCTGTACGACGGGACGGTCCTGCAGCGGGTGAGCCTGCGGCGACAGGAGGCCGAGGAGCTTGAGCAGTACCGATGAACTTGATACGTGTACTTAAATATATAACGACCATGCCTATATCAAAAATGAATATGAACATAACCGTTCCACCGTTCGAAAGTAATACCATAGCCTTATGGCCTGAAGCGGGTCGATCGGCGGCGATCCCAAAAATTAAAGTGGGTCGCTGGTTCCCGCGACGTCGCCAGCTGATGACAGAAACAAGGGCAACCCCAAGGCGCTGCCTCCGCCAAGCTTTGGGCACCGTCTGACATCTCCGACTTCCCCCTCTTCCTTGGTGGCTGTACTCTGTGCACCTGTTTGACTCGACGAGGGCCCTTCGATGTTGGGCCTTCTTTCACCCTCATAATGGCCTCCCCCGACACATACCACGACGACCGCGATGCCGAGTACCACGAGCTCCGACATTCCTCTACCAGCCGCTTCGCCCGCCTCTCTCGGCCCCTGATCGACTCCGTTCGGAATGGCTGGCAGTCTCATTCTCCAGCCTACCACCCTCTCACTTTCGCGAACGATGATAAGCACCCTCGCTGGGTGCAGATGGCCCTGTCCGTCATTGCGGCTCCACGATTCCGCCGCTACGTCGTCATTTACCTGACGCTCTTCCTGCTCGGCTGGGCCGGCTGGGGTCTGGTGATCTCGCCGCGGTTAGAGGAGCGGGCTAGGATGTTGCGGGCATTGGACCCCAGTTCGAAGACAAAGACAGGTTGGTTTGGGACGAATTCGTTGCCGCGGTTTGATGATTTGATCCAGATCCGGACACTGGATTCTGGTCTGGTGCCTGGTGGCCGGATCGACGTGGGGAATCTGGACGAAGGGAAGAGGAGGCGATTGGTAGTTGTTGGGGATGTTCATGGGTGCAAGGATGAATGTAGGTTGCTTGAATACCCCCGAGCATAAGCCTTCGATATACCTGCCTGGCAAACATACTGACAAGTTGGTGCAGTGTCGGAGCTTCTTCAGAAAGTTTCCTTTTCGAATATGAATGGCGACCACTTGGTCTTCACTGGTGATCTTATCAACAAGGGGCCTGACAGCGCTGGGGTTGTGGAAATGGCACGCGAGCTGGGCGCCTCGTGTGTGCGTGGGAACCACGAAGACCGAATCCTGCTTCTGCGAAACGAAATGATTGCGACGAAGACGTTCCTCGAGGAGGAGGATATTGGCAAGAACCTTTATTCAGAGAGGCAGTTAAACGAGCGTGCGCTGGCTCGCACCTTGAGCGAGGAGCAGGCAAATTGGCTTTATAACTGTCCGGTGATCCTGGATGTTGGTCAGGTACCCGGTATGGGCCAAGTGGTTGTTGTCCACGGTGGTGTTGTACCAGGTGTCGAGCTTGAGAAGCAGGATCCCTCGCTCGTGATGACCATGCGAACCATTGATATGGACACACATGTACCAAGTGCATCGAGCGAGGGTCTGAACTGGGCCAAGGTGAGCTCAACCGACCTTAATGCAACATTGGGTGATGCTAATTACAAAAAGTTGTATGATAAACACCAGACCATCCTCGAGAAGAGCCTCAAGGCAACAAGTGACGACCCTCGCTCGGAGCTGATGACCGTTATTTACGGACACGACGCCAAGACCTCCCTCAAGATCCGTACATACACGAAGGGTCTTGACTCTGGATGTGTCAAAGGCGGTAAATTGACCGCATTTGTCATCGAGGAAGACGGCAAACAAGAAATCGTCCAAGTGAAATGCCATAAACACTCAAAGGATTGATTATCATAGCTCCCCTGGAGCTCTTTATTTCGCCTCACTTTTATTTCAGTTATTCATTGCATCTACGGGCTGGCGTTTGGCTTTGGCGGCTCTTGGAATGTAAAAATTTGCGGGTTGTTCATTTTCGGATATATTTCATTCAGCTGCATTTTGTAGCGTGTGCTATATTGCTCTCGGTTTGTGTGCTGGGATGGAATTGAACATTATCCTCTTATGTGTTCAATTTGACTCTGGGAAGAGAATATCCGAGTCGGCATACATGCACATGAATCAACTGTCATTCATCTTACTATGCTGCGCCTGTTCCGACAATTCATGTTATATAGGGAAACATCCAGAATTGTATGATATCGCATTCTATACTCGACGTCAGGAAGAGGCGGCTCATCAGATTCAACGAATCATGCACACTTTCCAGATTCGGTAGAGATCGGCAACATCTGGAATTGCTTCGGAGCTGATTACTCGAGATATCTTAAAACCCCGAGCTGCCTATTTGAGGCGTACAATTGATAATAGTATCTTCTGGATACCATTAGCTAGGACGATTTAGGAGACTGTAGGTGTCGCGGAGTGTCACCTGCGGATATCTCATTTTTAACAACCCACAACCTAGGAAAAGCTCCACAACTCATGGTTAATGGTTTTTGATGCTGACGAAAATATGGCGTCCATGGATAGGATGGTCGCTGTCCAGCGGGGAAGTGAGTTTTTGGTGGATCTAGAACTAGGAAGTTTTAGCATTAAAGCCCCGTGCTATGTTCCCGCAAAAATGATAGGCTTTCACATATGATTCTTATAGGCATTCGAATGAAGTTTTGCTCCCTCAGAGAAAATTGATACTTCATTACTGAGCTATTTTCCTTCTCGGATACTAAATAGGGGAGGGTTACTTGGTCCAGTGTCCATACTAAGGGGCTAAAACCAGAATGGTAAAGCATCCCATTTCTTCTACAAGGACAAGATGGCATAAATCAAGCTTACAAGGGCCGAAATGAGTCGAAATAAGCCGAAATAAGTTTATTGAGGGTCAAATAACTAGTGGTGAAGAATCCAGAAGAAATTCACTTTTCTGACAGTTGTTGGCCCTTGGCCGCGTGTGCGAGTGGATCAAGTTTTGATATCAATGTGGACCTAGCTCGCTCAAAATAGACCAGCTTGTTGAAGATGTGCATAGCTTTACTGCTTAGCACTAGCACCAAGCTTTCCGCTTACGTTGCTTGTTCTTGTTTAATGCTTGGTGTATCATATCCCCTTGCAGAGAGAAGCAGGAGAAGGGTATAAATACCCCATCGCCGTCGGAGACTTTCTAAGAATTATTTATACAAAAAGAACACAGACTCAGTAAGATCGTCTGATTTTCTACTCATCCTAAATACTCTCCGTCTGACTCATTTTACCTCCAGAGCCATCAGGGCTCCTCAAAACCATCCAAGAAGTTCACCAAACCCCTCCTCATCCTCTGCGCAGCCACAACGGCCCTCGCAACAAGTAACCTGAACCTCATCTACTCAACCTCCTCGTACCACAACATCCAAAATGCAGGAAGCGGCTACTTCACCGGCTTCAGTATCAAAGATACTAGCGGCCACAAACTATGGAGCACCGACGACCCCGACGGCTACGCCTCCTGCATGTCAGAACAGCGAAAGTTCACCATGACTTCCGACTGCTGGTCCGGCACCTGGACCTTTGGGTGCGAGTCCGCTTTTAGCGGTAACCCCAAGCTGTGCGCGGCGTTTGGTCCTGATGGGACGAAGTACTCCGGAGCTGTGGACTCCAGTGAAGAATTTATTGGGGTTAGTTCTGGGGACTTGTGGTGGGAGCTTTTATGCTGAGGGGGAGAACATGTAGCTCTGATAGTACTTTTACTGTTACTGGGCGCTACCGTGGTGATTACATGGGTTGAATGAGAGGACTTATCTGTCCGAGGGCTGGGATGATTTGTCTCTTATGATCCATGCCCGCATGCATTCAGTGTATCTGCAAACCTCCCCAGAGATAGTAAGCAGTCAAACAATGTGAATTTCTAATTTTATGTGCCAATCCCCGTGTGCTATGCTACAATCTTGTCTAACCAAAACGCAATATTTACCCAAGCGAGCACCCTACTCATCGGTAGATGCTGACATTGTATAATTGTACCCCGGAATGACATACTGACCCGTAGCCCGCCAGGTCGCAGCCTCCGAAAAGTCCTCATACCAAACACCGCCCAAAGCGTTAGTGTGAACATAGCCAAACCGGAAATATTCTTCTTGAGCGATATGTTCACGCTTCCAGTCCAGCGGGGGTACAGTATGACTATCCTTGGGCCTGAACTCCTGGTAGCGCAAGACGTCATTGATGATGACACCAAGACCATCGACGTTGGGAGGAAGTTCAGGGAAATTGAATACCACGTGGTTCAGGTCTGGGATTTGAGGCGGGTCGACTTTTGGAGGGATTGTTCCCATCTTGCCACCGTCAAGGAGGGCTGCAGGCGTTTGGAGGATCGAGTCGAAGCCCCATCGGGCAATCCCGTTGATGAAAAGCCCCACTAGGATACCCTGGAAGAGAAGACTAGGACGGGTTTGAAGGGTTGTTCCAGGAATCAGGAGGAGGGAGAGAATGTAGTGGTGGATGCGAAGGTTCATTTTCGGCACGGCGACGAGGATGAGGACGCCCAAGACGAGAGCTGCGTAGACGCGCAGCATCGGGAAGAAGCGGCCTTCGCGGCGGAAGCCGAAGGCTTGGAGGAAGGTAATGCCTACTAATAGGCCGACGATAATTATAAGGGCCGGGATAGCGCCGGGCTGTTGTTCGAGGTCGTGGGGTGTCAGACGAGAAATGGGAATGCGGTCAAAGGTGTCGGTATTGAGCGCGCCGACCCAGCAGCCGCCTAGCCAGAGAACTGTTTTGTCGATGTGGGCATCGAGATTCTTGAGTGTGCGCCAGATGCAGAAGTAGTAAAGGACGAATCCTACGAATGCGCCTGGGAGAAATCGACCTACTCCCATGGAGATCAGGCCGTAATAGCCGGATGTCGGTGGGTCGGAGGCCATGGCCACCTGGAACCACACTATGAAGAACATCGAGGCGTAGAAGGCTGGTGCAGATGTGACTGTCATCGAAAGGATAACAGTCACAACCAGTGTGAATGCAAACAGGGACCAGCGAATGTCGGAGCATTCGACAAGCTTGGCGTCACTCGACCCCGATGAAGTCGCCTGCCGGGTCACCTTGAAGGACATGGGGAAATTCGATTGGAAATCGATACTGTCGATGCCGTGCTTCGATACATTCACGAACTTATCCTGCAGACCCGTGCGATGCAGGATGCCGCACCCGCCTGTCGCGTCATCGATGACTCCTGCATGCAGGGCCGACGCGCAGATTGACGAGTCGCCACGATAGTGTCCGCTCATGGGGCCGTTGTTCCGGAAAGCCTTGCCACCGATGACCAAAGGTCGGTAGTTATATTCCTCGGCGCCTACATTATAGGGTTCAAGGAGAATGGCAGCAGAACAACCAGATGGGCAGCGAAACGCAAACGACTGATCATCAAATGGACGGCACAGGTCTCCATTCAACCCGCAGTCTGTGGCGTTGCTCCTTTTGGGGAGTTGTTAATACCGGAGAATTTAATTGAGGCCGGACGTTAAGGTGTGATTGACGTACCACAAGCGCGCGTGGCACGAAAGCTTGACCGGTTGGCCATATCCCAGCACTTCCTGGTCCGCAATCGAAGCCTTGACGAGCGAGAAGAACACGGCGATCCAAACCACGACCGCGGCGACCAACAAAGCGATCTTGGCGGCTCTTGGTTTCACCCAGCGATCAACCAGACGCGCCGGCGCAGCCTGCCATTTCGGGAATGACGGCTCAATGTGGTAGATATGCGGCGGCACCGGCCCGCGGAGCCACTGAAGAAATAGCCAGGAGCTCGAACAATCAAACTCCGGGTCGCGACGAGTACGAGTACTTGGCAGGTCCTGCTGCTGGTAATCCAAATCCGACAGCGAATCCTGCGAGTCACGGCGCTGGTCGAAGTCGTCCGGCAGCAATGGGACATTGCCCAGCTCTATGTCGGCCCCAATGGAGTCGCCGCTAAAACGAGGCTCGCGCGCGCCGCGCTGGGGCTCTGCGTCTGTATATCGCGTCTCTTGTGCGGCAGTCAGGCTGGTAGTCGGATGTGCGAGTAGTGGGGAGTTGCCCCCTTGGTCGCCGGCAGCCACATGCGACTGCATATTTGGACACGGATTTTCGAGGTCGAAAATGTGTCTCGAGGAGACGTGGACCTTTCAGGAGGGTCCATCTTGCCAAGCTGCTAAATGTATGGGCGGATCCAGATTGGCGCCTTAGTCATCTGGCGTGATGATCGACGAGTATTGCTGAACCTGCCATTGTGGATGTTTCAAGTGCTGTTTCAATTTGTGCTTGCGCTGATCTTGTTGGTCCGTCTCTTGTCGCCGCTGGAGCTGGTTGGACTCGTCTAAAGTACCCGGAAGGAGATGCAGGAAGATGCGTTACCGCCCATCTTAGCATTCTGCCGTTGACACTACTAGAGGCTCCTAGTCGCCAACTTGACAAATAGGATTTAGGAAATTAATCAACTGAATTGGGAGGCGTGCGGCGGTAGCACTTCCATTGATTCAGTGAGAATATGACATGCCATCATTTTTAGCATATTCCCGCCGGAGCTACTTCGGTCTCGAGTCTCGACATTTGAACAGATGAAAGATGATGGCTTCTTTTATAACTAGCGCAAACAACTCAGTCCACAATAGAATGCCCATCTCTAGGGCATATCAGATAGTCTAATCGTTGGTCGCCGTTCAATGCCCTGCTCATTGCTGTCCCCTGGAAATATCTTGGTCCACCCGTACCATATCAGAACACACACGAGCGTCGTAGGGATAGCAAACGCCCAATATATCCAAATTTTCTCAGACACTCGCCAACCCGAGTCAGCGTAGTTGAAAAAAGACATGCTGAAAACTGCGCAAATGAAAGTTGGCGGTAGAAAGGTAAGAGTGACCAAGGAAAGGGTTTTCATAGTCCCGCTATCTTCTTTGGTCGCTCGGCTGATCTCCACAGTGATAGCCGCATTGTCCTGGGCACCCATATTAAAACTCAACGCTATCTCATTGTGGACTCGCTTCTCGTTTGCCACTGACCGATGGCGGAGGCTGGCGAAATAGCTCTGGAAAAATGCGAGCCGGGCGTGCACATCTTCCCATACCTCGACAGATACTTCTTTACCATATAGATCGGAGTCTGCCCGCTTCGGCCCGATATGGCTCTCGTGGTACCTCAAAATATGGTCCAAGGTGTTCACAGTAACATCCAGGGATTCAGAGACATGGTACGCATGCCGCGCAACATCGTGGTGGAGTCGGCGATAATCTGTTTTCACTTCTTTTTCTTTCATCCGTACTTGGTCGCGTATGTTCCAAACAGCCTTTTCGCTGAATTGCGCGACTCGCTCCAAAGCATGAGTGTACATCCAAAGGGGGTCTCTCAAATGTGCGAAATGTGTCTTTCCATTTTCGGATTCCATGACGAACGGTCGGAATTCCTCTGTGTCGAACATGAGGATACCGGTCTGATTCGTCGCTTGCGTATGTCGAGTAAAGATGTTGAATTTCCACCAGTAATAGCACATGTTCCTATCGAGAAGTTTTGTTTCGAAGAATGCCCATGTATCTTTAAGTTTTCTCATTAGAGGATCCCTTTCGTTTCGTCTCAAGTGTGGATTGCTCACTGAGGCCCTCAGTGCCTGGCTCTCGAGTCGTTTCAGACCCGAAGAAGCCATTTGAGCTTCTCACATAATCCTCCCACCATAATGATGGCATGTGGAGAATAGCGGACAGATTTTTTCGACATTCTTTACAAGACCGGATACTATTTGCTTTTGCAAGACTTCACGACGGGGGCATTTAGACAAGTCCTTGTTCCAGATGGTCCGGAGCTGACAAACATTAGGAAAACTTGTGTGTCGGCCGACAATATATGAGCGGGCTCCTGTAGTTCACTCAGGTACGCATCTTGGCTTTCCCATTCATGACCTTTGGTTCGATGTCAGCTTTCGGTTCGAAATTATTTGGTAGAATGAGAAATTGACCTTGTTTCCACCGTGAAACATTTACCCTCGGGCAAGACTTGCAATAGGTATCCTGCGCAGCCATCTAGAGAGCTGTGAGTGTTAATCACGTCGTAGGGCGAAGTGCTTCTTTATTAAAACGATAAGCACGCGATGGCAGTCAGATCAAAATACTGGGTTGGAGACAGTAGTGGGGTTTGATTGAGGGCAAGGCTGCCTGGGCGGGGCTGTGCGAGGAACTCGGGCGCTTATCCTATCACAAGGATCACCCGCAAAGCGGCAGGTAGCCGCTCCCGAACAGGAGCAGGAATGCTTACATATGCTGGTAACTTGTAGCAAACAATAGTACATAGGTATGAATGCATGATCACATGGGTTGGCCAGGATTCCACTGACACGTCACACCAATAATCACCAGCGTGGGGCTTGTCGATGGCAAGGGAAGAAATTATCAGCGTGAACACACATACGAGTTGACAAACGGGGAAGAGAAGAAGAAGGCGTCATCCAGAGTTGAATAAATTTCTTGCTTTGCCGATAAATTGTTCGACTTTTTTGGGGGCAGATATTTAAGAAGCAATTCAGCAACTCGACGAAAAACATCGAAGGAAGATTCGAGCTCGAAAACAAGAGTCTATCGGCCTCCAAATCGTGTTATCCAGCGCCTAGGAGAAGCAGAAAGAGTTCTTGTCAGCGTACTGGAAATTCAAAAAGCGAGAAGGATCTGAGGTAGAAATATGTGAGGTGTTTGGCCGGGTTGTCGAACGACTTTCTAAGCTCAGGACTATTGGTGATTGTGTGGCTGCGATCGATCCTACCCCCGTGGAAGTTCCCTGGACAGTAATTGATATAATTATTCATGTGCGTGGGCAATTGTTGTGACTCCTTCTGATCTTGAAGACTGAAGACGCTAATATGGTGTTATACGCTAGATTACCGTGAAGGATGTTGAGACTTACCAGATTGTGTTTGACGGAATTGGATTTCCTCCAGTCTGGTTCCGAGATACGCCTTGCTCGAGCATTCATACTTGTGGCCTACATACCTCTTCAAAAGGACTGAAGCAGGCACTGGTAAAACTATATGCTACGGCATTGACGTACCCTCCAAAAAAACCTCTTTGAGATGCGTTAGGTCCACTAGTGACCAGGACAACGACGCAAGAAAGGATAATGATCTTGATGACAAACACAACTCTGATGATCTGATGTTGATGATTGAGGTGAGCATGGCCATGATGATGATGATGATGGTGATGATGATAATGATGCTGGTAGTATTTATGGTAATGATCATTATAATGACGGGCACTACGATCGGTATTATGGTCATAAGATGGCGCTGATGATCGTATCTTCGTCTAGCATCATGTTGAAGGGACAAAGTGAAGCTAACAGAGAAAGTGAGATAATTAAACCGGTGCCGCTCTGCGTATGTGCGCTCCCAGATCTAGAGAAATCGCACTCTCATATTGTCCCATATCCTGGATGCAGCACCGTATCGGCTGCACCGTAAGTGCATACCTGTGGGTAGCTGTGCATATTCAGAGCGGTGCGACCACAGTCAAGTCACAAATTTCTGCATAGGCAATTCCATGTCTGCATCTCGGGTCTGCGCTGACATCGATTCCAGAAAGGCAGACTTCACGAAAATGAAGTCGGCTGCAGATTGTCTACAGCAAATGTCGAGCTGAGGAAATGTCTTGATATATCAGTAGATCTTTCATATAATTGTTTTTTCATACATAAATTTATCGTAACGAGTGACAATCATAACACATAACATCAAAACCAACACCAAGTCATGAGTTCCACCAAGGGTATCAACGTAAGTCGTAATTCGTTTGCCCCATTATCATGAGGAGAATGCGACGAGAAGGTCAAAAGTAATCATGAAACTACCGGGATTCACCGTAAGTTGCATAAAGTGCGCCAAGCAAGAGCGACACCCAGATAACTCGCTGGAGCGTGAATGGATGTGTTGATCCAGATTATTGAGGAGTCCGGTTGCTTGTAAAATTGTCTTGCATATTTAAGCGGCATCAGCGCCGCGCTTGCGGCCCCAACGGCGGCCACTGCCCTCGGCGGAGTCACGCTTGCGGAAAGTGAACCACAGACCCTGTTTTATTGGTTAGGATTCTGAATTGTTTGGACTGAGAGGTGAAATGGGTACTCACCACGAGAGCAGAGACGAGCCAGATGATAGCGGACAGGAAGCTGAATGCCTCAGCAGCCTTCCAACGAGTACACATGTTATTACCACGGAAGTGCCAGGACCAGATGCTACCGCAGGGCAGTTGGTGGATAGCGTCGACAAGGACACCGAAGGCAGCAAACCAGGCAAAGGAGATGAGAACATCGACTAGATTCCATGTTAGAAAGGGTGTATACTTGAGAATAGAGGCTTTTGCGGGAACATACGAGGCCAAGAGAAGAAGCCGGAGGAGAAGGGAATCAACCATATCAAACCGAATAGTATGGACACACCGGCGATGACTTCGGTGTAGATCCAGCGAGCTTGCGGCCAGGGCTCGATCTCATTGAACGAGTGGAGGTAGTGGCCAATGATACCCGCGACGACCTATGACGTTGGAAATTAGAACCATGTCGCATGTCGGCGGAGGTGCATGTAGAGGATAGACATACCGCAGCAAAGGCGATCTCCGCAATGCGGAGGGGAATGGATGCAAGACGCGAAACGACAGGCATGATGAAGTATATCGAACGTGGCTTCAACTAGTCCGTAAATATAGCAAGCAGAATGCACTGATGAGAGAACTCTGGGGTTGGATGAGCTGATGCAGGAAGCTTGAAACTTGAACTCGAAGTGCAGAAGTTCGCGGGGACAGAAGGAGGTATATAAAGGGTCGGGTGATTGTCACACAGGCAGGCAGATTCCGAGCGAACGAGGGAGAGACCCGCCTCTTAAGCAAGGGCCCACAACACTATGTGCCAGCCGATCACAAAGCATACACCAAAAATAAATGCAATTATTAATTTGCAGGAAAAAAGGGCAGCATCCAGAAAGCACCAAGTCAGACACACCCTGCAGACTCCATCCCCCAGCTGATGTCATCAGATCCTCTCTCGAAGCAGCTAATCTGCAGCCGAGATGCCTTTGAAGACACCGGGAAGTCGCGAGACAGGTGGGTACACCATTGGACACCATGCATCACTTTTACGTCGAGGCCCAACCTCACGCCAGAATCCCTTGGGAACGCACCGAGAGGATTAGTCTTTCCCTCCAAGACGGATCCTAGACCTTTCTTTGGCCCACCGACCGCCGCTGATGTAGTTCGTGTGGCTTGAGCTTTCTTCGATCGGAGCAAGGAGCTCACTGACGCATGGTCCTGTCAGAAACCCGGCCCAGGAGATGATCGGAGGGTGAATTGTCTTGTTTCTGCCCGCCTTTCTGGCCAGTCGTACATGTTTCACTGGGCCACCCCTGTCTTCTGATGGCTTAGCCGGGGATGGCTACTCCCCGAGGACTTCGACGCGGCTTCACACGAATCGCGCGTGTGATGCGCTGGCGGCGTAGATTAATCATCATCCAGTCAGGAATGTACTGGACGTGTGTGGCTGATCCCGTGGCCGTTGCCGATCGCTGGCGCTATTGACGATGTTGGCTCACGACGATCATTGCAGCCTGGGCTCAGGCCTTCCCACCTGCAGAGGTGCGATGAGTCCATTTGCAAGGGTATCCACTGTGCCAGGCACGGTGGGGAGACTAGAGAGCCCCAGAGGCAGTGGTAAGCGGGTAGTGGTGTCGGATGTCGTGAGGAGTGGATGCTGAGAGCAAGGTCGCGGTGCCCTTGCCTGCCATTCAAATTCAGCCCTATGACGCGGGGACAAACCATTGTTAGCATTGTATGATGGCACTCTCGCAGGTCGTTATTCTGATCTCGGCAAGCGGTGCCGTCTGCAATGGACTCTGCATTGGTTCCTCGCAGTGGCCTTTTCGACATGCACGAACGATCGACTGCACAGAAGCATTTTTAGATGTACACTCGGGTGGCTGAGGCGATGTCAGTTCCCCACCGCGACTCGGCATCGGGCGGTGCTCCGAGGAAAAAGCAATGGTTATGAAGCTGCCTATTTCTATTTCTATTTTGGAATTCTTGATTATCCCTGAAGGTCGTTGTCAATAGGTAGTTATATTCTTAGCTTACAAAAATAATGATACGAAGTTCAACACACCCAACTCCAACCCCCAGAGCGCGAGACACCACAAGAACCCGCCTTCTCGCTACGAAATAGGTTACATCGAAGAAAAATGAAGACCGCGGTTAGGAAGAATCATCACGTCATCGTCATCACTCAGAAACTCGTCCCCAGCAGGGTGCGCAGGCATCTCAGACATGCTTCGAATCCTCTCGCAGGAACCAAGCCATCACGTTCTGAAACACGGACTTGGCACTCGTCTCAATGACATCTCCATGGCATGGGATTAGCCGATCGAAATCCCAGCGCGCAATTCGCCGAACAGACTCGGTGAAAGCAGTGCGGTCGTGAGATGACAGAATATACCAAGCAAAGCGTCGCTGGCCAGTAGCGGGATAAGAAGAGCTCGAGAGTAGAGGGAGCACCAGTTTTGTCGCAAAGTTCATCGGCTCCTTATCTTCAGTCTTGGAGTACTGCTCGTTGGCAGGCAGATTAAAGAGCAGATCGGCCTCGATGACCGTGCGCGAAGGCTTGTGCAGGAAGACGAGCTCGCGCGAGCCGTGACCATGCACATACTCGGTTTCAAACTCAGCATGCCACTCCTCCGAGATCATCGGCGGCGCCGCATCTTTCTTGAACACATGCTGGAACTGCGTCTCACGGAACTCGGGGTTGGATTGGCGCTTCTCCCAGAGACCTTCGGGCGCAAGGATTTTCGCCTGCGGAAAGGCCTTCTTCCAGGCAGTGATGTTCAGGTGGTGTTGGAGATCGGGCGCAGCGATGTACTTGACGTTGCCGCCCAGCGATTCGACTTTGGCGCGGACTTCCGGGGTGAGGCTGACGGGGGAGATAACGGCGAGGGAACCCGTGGAGAGTTTGACTGTGCCACGCAAGGAGTGGTCAGCTTGAGCTTAGACAGTATCGTGGGGGAGTCAAGAGCAAAAAAAGACTTTAGCTGGCATGCGCCAGCCCTCTAGCTCTGTAAGGGTGTTTGCGACTCACCTAGCGTCCCTCGGCCGCCGAATCGCATGATGCCGAATCGTGCAAATGGCAGACTCATGGTGACGATATTAGGAGTGACATTGCGGATCACCATCGTCTCCGACGGGTTGAAGGGGAAGAGCTGAGGCATTTTGGGAGCTCTTGCGCAGCCTCGGTAGCTCGGATGCGCTGTCCCTGGCGTTGAATGTCTCAGTTACCAGCGACAGACTGGAGCTTTGCGGAAATGGCTGGGAGAGCTCAAAGATTTTCAAATCTCGAGAGGCGAAGGGGTTGCGAGGGCTGCTGTAAGAGAGCGTAGAGCGGCAGGGATTGGGGAGGGGCAAGAGGGAGGAGCGATGGAGCTTGCAACTGCGACGGCGATGACGTGCGGCCGGCTTATCGACGGCTCGGGCCAGCTCCACCAAGCCATTCGTCCAACTGGCTGCAGAACACCGAATATACTACACGATACATAGTAGGCAATTCTACGTAATACAAAGTCCACTAGTGCAGGAAACACACGAAGAAATATAAACAAATGAATGCCAATATTTACGATCTCTTCAAAATTAATTCACGGGGTATCATGGCGGTCATAAACAATTTCAGGGAAGCATTGAAAACGGCCCTCTAGCCGTACCAGGTAGCGCTGGTAGACTCTTTCTCCTCGCGGTGGGGGATGATGCACTCCTTGATGCCGAAAACATCAATGATCTCTCGCCAGTTGTCAAAGTCCAGATGGAAAATGGCCTGATGCTTGTGGATTCCCCTTCGCACGGCTTCGCTAGGCGCATAGGGCTGGGCAGAATCTGTAGCATCTAATGATTAGCATGATGTGCGATAGACATCGGGCTGGGACAACATACGAAGGGTCGGCAGACCGCGAGAGTCTGTACTAATTCCAGCGTTGCCGTCGCGAACCAAGAAGCTGACATAGAACAGATTCTCGACGCTTTGACCAAAAGAGTGGGGGTTGATGCAGAAGGAGAAAAAAGGGATCCCGCCGTTATCTGCGATACCACTCTCATCCATGACTTTCTGCACAACTTCGGGCGTTGGCTCCCCTGACAACCGATTGAGCTTCTCGTCGACCTCTTTCTCCCGCTCTGTGATTGTCTCTGCGAGGCGATGATTGATGTCAGAGCATATCTCCGTGAGGTTGAAGCTCTCCTGTTCTCCAAGATCCCGCTGTTGTAGGTCCTGAGGCTGAATCGCCTTGGAGGGGTCAATGCGCTCATGTTGACTGCGCTCCTTGAATTGACGCGAGCGCTTCTCGACAGACAGCGGGCCCAACAGGAAACCCGACACGGCCGGACGTCCACTGAAAGGTAGGCAGGCGGCTCGTCCAAGCCAGTCCCAGTTCATCGCATCGCCTTCTTCGTCATCATCGCTCGCGTTGGGGTCCCTCTGGCTTCGGCGATGGCGGCGGCGTTGCTGTGTCGCCGTAGGGAGGGCGGTCGACTCGGGCCCGCGTCGCATGAAGGAAATACATTTCGAAACGAATTCATCCACATCGATACCGGTACTAGTGTCACCGACAACAAGCTGGGAGGTTTTCTTGTGAGAAAGGTCGGCTGCATTGACCAGGAGGCGCGAGTCGAAGGTAGCGTCATTCGGGTGCTTGACATTGGCGAAGATGCGGTTCGCTCCCTCGACGATCTTGAGGAGTCCGTCATTTCCTGACTGGAGGAACTCGGTGCGCGAGTCTAAAGATTGTTAGATGACTAGCTTCCATGGCTTCATGGTTGCGCAAATGGGGTGATATGGAAACATAGTACATACCTTTGACGTCCCTCTCCAGCTCACGGTATTTCTTCACATTCGCCCGTCGCTCCTCTGGATCCTGATCAGGGTCGTAGTACTTGTTTCCTCCGGCGCGTTGGGATGCGGGCCCCTGCGACTGGTCGGCAGCCCGATCTGTGAGGCGGCGGCGTTTGCCGGAGCTGGGAGGTGCCATCTGGATGGAAGTGCGCTTTGTAGCGCTTCGTGGTCGAGGGTTTTCTTTATCAGAGGACGAGGAGGGAGATATGGGAGGGGATCTTTGCGCAAGAGGTTCGTCAAGCTGGGAGAGAGGAATTGGCGCCATAGTCGATTGGCGCTGAAAGGCGCCAGATTAATATGCCAGGGGAAAACAAAGAAAGCCCAAACGAAGTGAATATGGACGGTTGCTTTTGGTGGAAGAATCCGACTATATCTTTAATTCACTGGTCGATACACCGTATTCCGAAAGTTTGAGAGGTCGAATTCCATCCTCGTCGCCCGTCGCGTCCGGTGCGCGTGTCTGCACGTGACCGTGTTGATGGGACTGCTGGTGGGGCCCTCAGGCAGTCAGGGCGTCAGATTGTTACTAGGAATTCATATAAAGTTGGCAGTATCAATAGCAAAGCTTCTTACATGAATGTTCCAATATGAAAATTCGAAGGTACAAAAGTTTCATGATGTAGTTTAGTGCGGCGAGCGAGTCATCATATGTTAAATCTTTCACTTCAATGGGGTAGCCTATTCTCATAGACTCTGTGAAATTTAGGGCCGCATTTATTTCGTACCACAATGAGCAGACCTTCTCTCGCTCCCCGAACAATCTTAAACAGCTACATCACTGGTAAACGCCAGATCTTTCGTATTCAAGTGTGTGAAAACAAAACCACGTGACCAAATCTGCATCACGTGCTGTTATCATGGCTGAGTCAGAAAATGTAAGTATCCCCACTGACTGGCCGCCATCAGGCCTAGCTCCCCGCCCGGACAACAACGCCTCGAGGTCCACAACTCCAAGCACGGAGAGCTGGGACACGACCATGGATAGCTTCACATTTTATCTGTCCAGAGACATCGATCTGCCTGTGCGCATCAAGATGTAAGTGTGCTCTCGAAAGATTGAAAGAAATGCGTGTCGTACCGACTAACAGTGCTATAGCGGGACTCTCGAAGGCAAGCAGAAGCCGATCCCCAATTCTCGTCTTCTCAAGAATCCGGAATTGAAGTATCTCGGGTCTTGTCAGAACCCTGTTTCCGACCTTTTCGTGTCTGTGCAAATATGGTCAGATTCGAAGCCACTCGGCGTGCCTATGCAGACTGCGTACAAGGCATTCAAAACCAGCCGAACATGGAACGAATGGCTGCAAATGCCCATGCCACTTAAGCATGCTGCGCGTCGCTGTCAACTAGCCATCACTATTTGGGATCTGTCTCCACTAGCAGGAGATAAGAGCCACGATGTCCCTTTCGGTGGAACAACGATCCCGCTATTTGATGATGGTGAGGAGGCCAGATTAAAGATGGGGCGGCACAAGTGCAAGATCTACCGTCACAAGGAGGCAGATGGCTATTCGCCTACAAGCACACCATTTACACCACCTCCAAAGCGACAAGAACAACGGACTCGTCGTGCCACCGATCTCTCGGCGGAGGAAGAGGAACTGGAGCGGGTTGAGGGTCAGATCAAGAAGCACGAAATGGGAGAGATTCCTCGAATTGATTGGCTGGACCAGTTGGTCTTTCGTCGACTGGAGAAGCTCAAGATTGAAGCTGAAGAAGCTGCTCGGAAAAGAGACATTCTTTTGCGAGCCGCAAAGGAAGAGAAGGCTAGCGGGGGAGACGAAGATGACAATCTTGATGACGGGGAAATTGACGACGAGAACTTTATCCTGTACGTGGAGTTCCCGCGGTACAACCACCCGATTGTCTGGGTCGATCATGTTTATCCTCCACCGCCTATCTCATCATACCGTGACCCTCAGAATCTCCCGGCTCACCCCAACTCCACACTGAAGCCAGTTCCGGAGGTCAAGCTTGGTCCTGGAATCGGAGAAGGCGATGGTGCAGATTGTATCAAGATTTTTGACCCAGAAGTAGGGCAGACTTCAAACCCTTGTGAGGACAAGCACCGACGCTTGATGCGCAGCTACCGAACGGGAATTATGGACCGAGATCTCAAGCCGAACCCCAAGAATCGTGATGAGTTGAACACAATCGTGTCTTATGAGCCAACGCAGGATCTCACTGCTGAAGAGAAAGACCTTGTATGGAGGTTCAGGTACTATTTGACCCGAGAAAAGCGGGCTCTTACAAAGTTCGTCAAATCCGTTAATTGGCACGACGAGGGAGAATCTCGGCAGGCAGTGGAAATCCTCCCTAAATGGACTGATATTGACGTTGATGATGCTTTGGAGCTCCTGGGCCCCACATTTGATAATCCTGCGGTGCGCTCCTATGCCGTGGCCCGGCTTCGACAGGCGGATGACGAGGAGCTCCTTCTTTACCTGCTCCAGTTGGTCCAGGCCTTGAAGTATGAGGAGAATGCCGAAAGCAGCGCCGATGAGGCAGCTCATGACTCTTCACTGGCCAATTTCCTCATCACTCGTGCGACCAACAATTTCAAACTCGGCAACAATCTCCATTGGTATCTAATGGTTGAATTTGAAGACGCAGGTCCGGATAATATCTCGCCGCATCGCCGACTCTTCGCACGTGTTGAATACTATTTCATGGTAGAGCTGGAGAAGCATCACGCTGAATATCGGAAGACTCTTCGGCGACAAGCCGAAATGATCACTGTTCTCTCGAAGATTGCCAAGGATATTCGTTTCTCCCGTGAATCTCGCGATGTGAAGATTGAAAAACTGAAGAAATCACTTCGTGACCCAAAAAACGACTTGGTCCAAATTGAGCCTCCGTTGCCCTTGCCCTTGGATCCTGATGTCTTGATCACCGGCTGCTACCCGGACGAATCCAGGGTCTTCAAATCGACCCTGTCCCCTCTGCAAATCACATTCAAGACGACCGATGGCAAAAAGTACCCTCTTTTGTTTAAGGTTGGCGACGACCTTCGCCAGGACCAACTGGTCATTCAAATCATCATTCTCATGGACCGGCTTCTACAAAAGGAAAATCTGGATCTGAAGTTGACACCGTACCGGATCCTTGCCACAAGCCCTACGGCGGGTGCAGTGCAATTCATTGAGTCGAAATCCCTCTCCGCCGTTTCAAGCGAATACAAATCCGTCCTCGCGTATCTGAAGGAGAATAATCCGGACGACAGAGAGCCTCTTGGCGTTCGCAAGGAAACGATGGACACGTACATCAAATCTTGCGCTGGATACTGCGTGATTACCTACCTCCTCGGCGTCGGAGATCGCCATCTGGAGAACCTGCTTCTTGCACCAGATGGCCACTTCTTCCATGCCGACTTCGGGTTCATTCTTGGTCGCGACCCCAAGCCCTTCGCGCCAATGATGAAGCTCTGCAAAGAGATGGTTGAAGGCATGGGTGGCACTACTTCTCCTCACTATCTTCAGTTCAAGCAGTACTGCTTCACGGCGTACACGACACTCCGCAAGTCTGCCAACTTGATCCTGAACCTCTTCAGCCTTATGGTGGATGCAAATATTCCCGATATCCGCGTCGAGCCTGACAAGGCTGTGCTGAAGGTCAAGGAGCGGTTTCACCTGGAGATGTCGGAGGAGGAAGCTATCCGCCATTTCGAGCAGCTCATTGGCGACAGCGTCAATGCTATTTTCGGCGTCGTGATTGATCGTCTTCATGAGTTTGTGCAGGGATGGAGAGCGTAAAGCCAAAGTTCTCCGAACCCTTGACTCCAAACCCAGTACTGGAATTTTCGCAACGTTTCTGTTTCTTGCGTGATACCCTTTGGGATCGGCGCATTTTTTTGTTCTGAAACATACTTTCGGCGCACGATGGGCGTACTGGAATTGATACCCAGTTGTTCCTTTTTTAATGGGTCAGGATTTTCTAGCTTCATAATTCAAACAAGACCTTGACAATGAATCTGCCTGTGTATGACCGGAGATGGTAGATCGAGCGGTTTATTCTAATTCTGGTATGTGTGCATCAAGATTTCACCTTACCTATCCCTTCCCAGCTCTTCGTCAGGGCGCACCCGCTCCCCAAGCTCAACCCATTCATGATTTATTTCGTCATCGGTCAAACCCCAAGTTTCCTGGTCTGCAAGGTCAGCCCTCGAGCCTCTGGCTTGGTTCCACTGTGTGCTGGTTTCCGCAATCGAAGACAGTCCATGAGTATTTCCATCAGACCCCTGTCGCAAAATACCTCCGGTAAAATGAGCTCCGCTAGACCTTTCCTCAACGGCCTGCTCATCTTCTTTTGCCTGGGCGTCCTCGTCGTCCTCGGGTGTCCCTTCGCGACAAGCCCAGGCATCGACGAATCGAAGGGCCTCGCGGGGCCACCATCGCTTCATGACGAGTAGACGGAACGGAACGAGGGCAATGATTAACACCGGAAAGGCTGGGGCGCTGCGAGTGAGTGTCACGATGAAAATAATCACGGTAGTGATTATCTGTAGAATAGTGTAGAGGTGAATTGGTAGGTAGGACGGGCTCGTAGGAGTTGTTTCTGCGGTGGATGTCGGTTGTGAGGTTTTGTGCAGGGACTGAGGAAGTGGTGGAAGCTCGGACGGTGGTGTAAGGAGGTAGAAGGTACGGTACAATATAGGGCTGCGATATAGTTAGCGGACTCGTCCCGATATTGAGAGTCATATCAGTAGGTGACCTACTTGACCGACAAACTCTGCTCGCCCATGAAAAGAAAAAGTCCTGCGAGGACACTGGTCGGTGTCAAGCCAAGTACTTTCATGAAAGGTGGACTGACAAACAGTAGGATAGCTCCGGATTGTATAAAAGCAGACCAACGTTGTTCGTAAGCTCGTTTCACCTCTCGGGTTTCAATCTTCTCCTCGCCATCCACAATGATGGTTCTTTCTTCCTTCTCGGTATGCATCAGGGACTCTGAATGCAGTGGAGCTTGGGGGAGAAGGCCATTGGCGGGTGGAATCCCCAGAATGCCACATAGAGCTGTTGTCGTTCCCAGCAGAACGATGTCCCACGCAAAACCACCTGGTTTGCAAGTCCCGTACCGATCGATCGTACAGATAATTGAACTGACTTCGTGGTCGAAAAAGAACAAAATGGTAATTATGAGTCCAGGTATCATAGATGCAAAGATCCAGTCAACCGGAAGCTTCCAGAATTCCACGAAGAAGGTCTCTCTGTCAGGAGCGGTTGGCCGGAATGACGAACTGACAGCTAGCGTCATTTTATCCAGCTGGGCCAGCTCACCAACATAAGGAAGGCCGATGAATATGATGATAGAAATTGCGGCTGCGTACTCTGTAAGTCCGAGGCGGATGTAACGATGAAATAGTGGTTTCCAGCTCTCGGCCGTGGAAAGGAATATGGCAAGCAGCATTGTGCCCACGGCACCAATCACAGCGTAGAGGAATGCCGCAAAAGAGAGATTCTCGTGGGCCCTTTCCAGCTCTTGAATAGCCTTGTGGAAGTAGATGATACTGTTGAGAAGCGAGAAAATCTCTGTTGCAAAGGTAGTCACGTAGCGCATGGTCCAGTCGTGAGCATTGATGATAGCCAAAAGGTAATGCATCCAAGCAGAGTGAATCAGGGACCAGGCCATAAAGGGTAGAAAGGGAATCTATACATATCAGTCTCTAAGGACAGCATCAAGAAAGCGATCCATAGTTTACCTGGAATACTTCATCGCACAGTGAGTAAATATTCTCTGCCAAGACAGAAAACGGGCCGGTGACGCCGAGAATCGTGAGGGGTTGGATTGAGAACCTGAAGCCAATGAATCATCCTGTGCATAGCCACAGCCAAGAAAGAAAATCGATTTCGAGACGTACAGCGAGAAGATAATACCGCACAGCCCGGTACTGAAGACCACCTCGATAGTGCCCCAGGTTTTGCCCGTTAACACATAGAGATCACTGGCAAACGTGATACCGGGAAGAAGATTGGTGAAGAAGACGTAAACTGCGCTAGCAAAGATCAACTGGTTGAACAAGATCCAGTCTGACACCCATCTTCGTCGTAGATTGACAATATCCTGTTTCACCAGGCGAAATGGACGAAGAGGACCACCGGCGGCCATGGAGCCCCGCAACACTCGCAAAGGCTTTGGTGTGTGCTTGGATGGCGTAATGATTGAATGTGCATCTGTATCGTTGAGATGGCCTTCTGAATCGAAGTCTGCAGGCTCGCTTCGACCTGTTTTTCTTCTTCGGCGAGGTCGCGACCTGTGACGGACTGAAGTGACGCGGGTTGATGGTGGGCGAAAGGCCGATATCAAAGACATGGTGGTCTTTTGGGGATGGAGAAGAATGAGTAGTGTCCAGAACGAATTTTCATTTATTGCGGCCAGAAAGAGACCCATTTACTATTTAAGAGAGGGGGCCTCAACAAATTGAGAGGGGGCATGCATAGATTGGGATGCGTCACAGCCCAGTATACTCTGTACGTTACCGCTTTTGCCACCGCCCCTCTTGTCGGGCAATATATTTTGTCCGCGCAGATCAACCTGCTCGTCGACACGCCTGCGACTCGCTCGGAGTGCGAAAATGACTGACAACAACTACCTTGGCTAAATCCTCGAAATACATTGAGCATGGCGCAATTTGTACCGCGAAAAGTATTTCCCAATTATGGGGCAATCCCAAGATCCTACTTCTTGGGGCATCATCGTGCCGGACTGAGCAAGATGAAGAACATGCTCTCATCGATTGACTATGTGGTCGAATGCCGTGACTACCGTGCTCCGGTCACTTCAATCAATCCTATGTTTGAAGAGGCCCTTGGAAAGACGCGGCGACTGATCGTCTATACTAAGAGAGACCTGGGCAGCATTCCTAGATCTCCGGAGCAGAAAGTAGTGAGTTGCGCCAGCCTGTTCCAAGAGAAATTCTGCCGCTTATGAACCGAACTGACATTTGCCTTTCCAGACAGAAAAGAAATTACGAAGCTTCGATTCAAACAGTGCGGTTTTCTTCACTAGCTCATCCTCTCGCGCCGACGTATCCCAAATCATCAAACACCTCCGAACCGATGCCGAAGCTCCAGATAAACTAGTTGGATGTCGAGTGATGGTGGTCGGAATGCCTAATGTGGGCAAATCTACTTTGATCAATCATCTTCGAAATCACGGCGTGGGCAAGGCTAAGGCTTTGAAGACGGGCGGCCAGCCCGGCATTACGCGCAAGATTGCAAGTCCCGTGAAGATTATCGAACGCGAAAGCGGATCGCATACCTATGTGCTGGATACACCGGGTGTCTTCATGCCATATGTCCCCGACGCGGAGAATATGCTCAAGCTAGCACTATGCGGTTGCGTCAAAGATTCTGTCATTTCGCCCGTCACGCTTGCGGATTATTTATTATATCAAATCAACCTGCATGATGCGCAGGCGTATCAGCGTTGGTCTGAACCTACAAACGAGGTCATGCCTCTCCTGGACAATTTTGCGCGAAAGACAGGGCTCCTCGGGAAAGGCGGGGTGCCCATCATAGACTCGGCGGCTCTTCACTTCATCCAAAAATGGCGACAGGGCGACGTGGGTCGCTTTTTACTTGATGACCTGGAAGCGGAGCAGCGCCGACGAGACAATCCGGACGAGACGACATATATGAGCATGTCCCAGGCATTGAAGATTGAGAGGGTCACTCGAAAGAATAAATCGGATGTCAACAACAGCACCGACTAATCTATTGTACACATCAGATAAGAATCTCTCGAATAAAGATCAAATATATCCCGTTCAACCTTTTGAACAACCAGTTCGGCGTACCACGAGAATAAATGAAAAATAAAAATAAGAATAAAAGTAAAGAATAAAGAATAAATATAATACTTGAGATGTGAATATTTCGCCAAGGCATCCGTAACGCCGAGAACTGAAGAGAAAGCACAAGTCCATCGCCGTATGCAAGAGTAAGAGACTAAGAAATCTTTTCCAGGAGCCGCTTGCGCCGTCGCTCAATTAACTCCTCTTGCACTTCCTCAAGCGTGGGAATTCGCCAGTCCGGACCCGGTAGAGGCTCCCAGCCATCTTCGGGGTCATCTTCTTTGTGAGCCTGGGAACGGGCACGGAATTCCTCTTCGAGTTCCTTCTCTCGCTTTCTTTCGTACTCCAGAAGTGTCCCATCCTCTTCATCCAGATAGCCGTAATAGTGAGCATCGAACTTCCCATTCGCAATCATCTGGCGATCGGCGCCATTATCCTCGTCTTCCTCCGCCGGACCCTTTCCGCGGCGCGCGGCCGCCTCGAACATCTCCTTGACACCCGGCAACTCTCTCGCTCGACCGAAATATCGATATCCTTTTCCGCCGCCCGGTATCTCGCGCCCTTCGTCATCGTAGACCCGGCCGGATCCGCGCGTATAATTCGGCCCGCCGAGATTCCGAATTTGCATTTCCCAAGCCCATTTTTCTCGCATGAGCTTGTTGATTTCGTCGTTCAGATCGCGAATCTGAAAATCGCTGAGGCTTTGTTCTTGAATGCGCGACACCTTGCGCGAAATTTCCTTTAGGACCTGGCCGCGCCAGCGCTCGCATGTCGGGACGTCTTCAATGCTTGTGATGGCTTTTGGTCGACGGGTACGAGTGATATCAATGATGCCCATGTCTGCAGCCTGCTGCGCCCGGAAGCGATACAGCATAGACTGCGCCTTTTCACTGTTGCGAGCCTATACATCGCGGGGAATTGGATTAGCCAAAATTGTCCAGTTGGACGCTTCCGGGAGAAACGGTTTTGAGTAACCTGTCGCGATGGGAAGATGAACTTACCATTGTGAAAGATTGGCCAGGTCGGCGACCCGGATCGTGGTAGGGAAAGTCGTGGGAGATGTCCGGAGTGCAAAAGTGAAGCTCGACAGCTGCCGTTGAGGTCCTGCGTCAATTTACCGCCTGCCGACCATAACGGTTTAGCGCCAGTGGCAGTAATACCGTTGCAGAAAGGAGTCGAGATGACTAATGAAGAGGATGGGACGGATTGTGATTCGCCAATTTTGGGAAGGGAGAGTGGGAAGTTTTAACCCCGTCATGTGTCTTAGATCACGTGATGATATCTTCCTGTATAATCGGTAACATACATGAATACCCCGCTACTCTGGCGCGCGGTTATCATAGTGTGATAACTCAACAGAAGGGATTGTCTGGTTCTGAAAACTATCTGGGGCATACGGTCTTATATACATTAGCGTACTGAATCGGAGATTCAGTATTCCGAATGGAACTTAGTAAGCCTGTTCCACACTGTACTGACTGACCTAACCAGGGTTGTCAGTACCAGACCATACCGCGTATTCTGTGCCAAATATCACATCCTCCCCCACTAGATTCGAGCTCGCCCTCGAGATCAAAGACGGGAGGAACTCAGATAGCAATTGGGTAGTAATCAGAACCGGAGTAAGCATGTCAAACAAAGAGTACCGAAATTAGTTCAGGGAAGAGCAGGGATTCGGTACTCCACGTCTTTGTTCGGTACCAGTATCATCTCCATATCCATATTGAAGGATAATCCTTTCAGTAGTGATTCAAAGAGATCAAAGAACGTTTGGTCACCGAATCAAAGACGGTATCAAGGAATGTGTTATGGAAAATCAGTGGGTAAGGGACGTTAGCCTTATAGGAGTGAAAAGGCTCTTCTGTCTCCGTCTGTAAACATTCAACCACTCATCACCATCGTCAGTCCCTCAGCTGCCCGAGCGGCTTCGGACAGCCTGGAGGAAGCTGCTGTGTCAGCGGCCCGTGAGCGACTGGAATGCTTGTGGTCGCCAGAACCCGCCATCATGGCCGGTTCTCAGAGCGGAGATTCGGTTTCTGGGGATCCTCGCTCCCTACGTGACGGAACGCTGCCCTCTCACCAGGAAGAAGCAGAGGAAGAGGAGGAAGAGGAAGAAGAAGAAGAAGAAGAAGAAGAACGGACGGTTCCTGAGGAGGAGAATATTGAAACATCTTCTCCAGTTCCTCGTTGGCGTCTGCGTTTTCAAAGCCAGGTTCCGTTTTTCCAATATTCCGGTCTTCCAACAACCAAACTAGCAGAGTGGTGCATTGATATGAGAGGAAATCCCCTTCTTTCATCATTCACTACCGATGCAGACCGAGCGGTAATTAGGAAGCTGCCTGAGCAACCTCGGTACGTGGATTGGAGGGTGGTGGATGGTATTCCACAGTTCAAAAACTGCAACCGCGCTCAACAGCGCCGAGCAGCAATGGCGCAGCGTTTCGGACAGCTTGCACCTCTGGGTGAGGAGTGTAGCTACTGTTCCTCTGGAAAAGGTTCCTTTGAGAGCTGCCGTGTGGCGATAGATGACAGCAACACTCTGATGTTCCAGGGTAGTTGTCTGTGTTGTGCCTTTCTGGATGGAGGAGCCAAATGCAGCTTCCGTACCATGCGTCCTCTCTGGATAAGGGCGTACGAGAATTCTGAATCCCTTGCAGCTATAGGCTCTGCTCCTTCAACGGTTCAGCGACGAGGTCGTACCAAAGCTTTGGCCAAGACCGCTCCACCTCGTTCTGGCACAGTGATCCGGCATTTGGAACAGCCTACTGCCCCTGTTACTCAAGGCCACAATGGTCAATCCCGTTCTGGTGTTTTCCGAGGATATGGAGCTAGTTCCACTCCGGGAGGCCATTCCCATGGCTTAACTAGGGGTTCTCGTCGTGTTCGAGTCCGTTCCAATATTCAGGAGCATCCGCGCACTTCAGTAGAATCACCTTCTCTAGCCATTCCGACCTCCCTGACCCGTTCAGGCTGGTATTTCGACCTTCCACCAGCAATTAATCCGCATGAGGACATGCCTGCTGTGGATTCTCCCCTATATGTGTCCCCAACCACTCAATTGGATCGGCAGGAGTCTGATCTTCGTGTTCTGCGCCAGGCCTACCATGATGCGCTTTCAGTTCGCCAACGAGCGACATGGGATGCATACCGAATTGGACGTCGGATCCAACTTCTAACCCAGAAGCCACCTACTCAGAGCTCATGGCAAGGTAGTGGTCTTTCGGAATCAGAGAGAGAGCAGAACTAAGAGTCGTAGTGGACATGGTTGAATCTGTCTCTTCTTAATACTGGATCAAGTCAGGGTTTCGGTCTTTGGTTAGCTTCCTTTGGCGCGTGGATTTCCGGATGGGTTTCAGTATCTTCAGAGCGCTCCTGCCCTCCTGGCGTCGGCCAGATGTACTGTATTGAAATGAATCCAATTCAGTATTCAATTGTCGTTCGGTAACCTTTCTAGCAGCCCTAGTTTTACGAGTTTCCGCTCCTTCTGTATCTTCTTTACTTGCAGCAGGGCCTTTTGCTGCGGAAGATTTGACAGCCCTCACGGTACGTTGCTGCTTCATTCGTTTCTTCGAAATGACACGTTCCGTGATAGCCTCATCCTCCCCCACTGAAACTGAATGTTCCCCTGAACGTTCACGTGCTTCCCACTCAGCTCTGGTGATGGTGGAGAGTTCTGAGTATGAGGGGGTGTAGGCTCCTCGCTGTCTAGGATCTTGCGAATTTCCTGTGGTTTGTGTAGCGTGTAGCCCGCTTTTTGAATAGCCCGCTTTGCTAGTGACGATGTCCACAGCCTATCTGGATTATCAACTTGCGCTTCGATAAGCCTCGCTCCGTTGATCAAATTCCTCAAGACCCTTCCTCCTGGTTCGGCCAGCGCATATGTGCCCAATGGATGCGCCTTCAAGATCTGGTAGGGGCCGTACCAGCGGCAATCCAGCTTCTGTCGATACTCATTCCGAAGCAATACCCATTGTCCTGGTTTGAAACTCGTTTTGGTCACAGCTTCATCCCTAATTCTCTGGGTTTTGATAGCTCGATTTAACAGAAGCTCATTTGCTTTAGACCGCGCATGATTTATCAGACGGACTCGATCTTCCCAATCTTGGAAAGGTCCTACTGAGTCGTCCCATTCCGAATTCTCGTCACTCGGAATCCTTGGATGTTCTCCGTACACCAGATAGTACGGGCTCACACCGAGCACACTATGTTCATGAACCCTTGCGGCAAAAAGAGCTTGCGGTAGGTATTCATCCCACAGTCGGGTTGGTTTACCCATTAGGTATTTTGTCAGCATCCGGCCCAGTATCCCGTTGAAGTTTTCAACTTTCCCGTTCGTTCTGGGGTGATACGGGGTGGTGGTCCGGTGCTTGGCTTTCAAAAGTTTGATGTAATATTCCACTGCTTTAGCAATCAGGTTCCGGCCATTGTCGGTAATTATTTCCCGTGGTGCACCGTATTGAATGAAGATATCCTCGTGTAAGAACTGGCCAATGGTTTCTTCCGTGGCATCCGGTACAGCACGAGCCACAGTCCAACCAGTAGCGTAATCAATGGCGGTGATGATCCATTGGTTACCGTTCGGAGTCTTCGGTAAGCGACCCACAAGATCGATCCCCCACCTTTCAAACGGACGGATTCCTTCCTTCACAAGGTGCTGTGCAGTCTCTCTTTCCAGGGATTCGTTTAATCCCTGGGCAACCTGACAGTTTGGACATCTCTTAACAGTTTCCTGGATGTCAGTTCGTATTGTCGGCCACCAGGCGCGGGGCCGTGTTACTCCCTGAAGACCAGGATATCCCAAGTGTCCAAATTCCTCGTGCATTCTGCGCACGAAATCCTCTCGGAGGGGCATTTCAAGATATGGTGCCACCACCCCGTCAGCATGTGTGAAAACCAGTTGACGGTTAGTGTCTGCATCAGCTCTCATCGGTAATTTCACTGTTCTGTAGCCGAGGTGTGGTGCAAATTTTCTGACGTATCGGCTCAGCTTCTTGTTGGTAGGGAGGTGTCCAGAACGCAAGAATTCCTCAGTGGCTTTGAGCCAGTCTTGTTCTGAAAAATCCCCTACTGTAAGAGTGTTTAACTGAGCCACCCAGTCAGGGCGATCTTGAGCTATATTGGCTGGTGTGTCTTCGACGAAATCCGGCCGCCGACTGATTGCATCTGGAACCACAGCTTCTGACCCCTTTCGGTACTGAATCTTAAGGTCATACTGCTGAAATTCATCCACCCATCTAGCCAGTCGCTTGCTATATGTTTTAGTTGTCTGGAGGTATTGCAGGCTGGCATGGTCTGTAATGATTCTTGTGGTGGTTCCGTTCTCGATGTATCGATCCCACAGTCGGAGTGCTTCCTTGATTGCAAGCAGCTCCTTTTCATGGACCGGATAATTCAGTTCTGCGGTACTCAATTTTCGACCGTCAAATGCTACTGGATGCAACTTTTGATCCTCGCCTTCTTGATACAGTACGAAACCGATAGCCCATTCTGATGCATCGGTCTCGATAATGAAGGGTTTGAGTCGGTCTGGCTGCATCAGAACCGGTGCAGTAACCATGGCTTCCTTAAGATTCCGAAAAGCCAATCCTGCTGCGGTGTTCCATCTGACAGGACGAAATCTTTTTACCCGAAGCTGAGCATCAGCTTCTTTTAGAAGCTCATGTAGCGGTGCTGCAATTCGTGCGAAGCTTCGGATAAACCGTCGATAATATGTGGCAAGACCAAGGAACTGTCGAACTTCGTGCACATTCCTTGGCCGTGGCCATTCCTGGATGACTTTGATCTTTTCTGGTTGGGTACGAACTGTTCCATTTCCGACGATATGACCACAGAACTCTAGTTGCTGGGTAGCAAATATGCACTTTTGCGGTCGTGCATATAATTGTTGCTGTTCCAATAGCTGTAGGACCTGGTCAAGATGTCGGTAATGGTCATTCATTGATTCAGAAAAGATTAAGATGTCGTCCAGATACACAACCACACACTTTCCGAGAAGTGGCTGTAAGGTTTGATTCATCAAAGTCTGGAATGTGGCGGGTGCATTGCACAGCCCGAATGGCATGGCGAGCCATTCGAATTTCCCCCAGACTGTGTTGAAAGCTGTCTTCGGAATGGCGGATTCTTCCATACGAACCTGCCAATATCCCGACGCCAGGTCAATCTTTGACAAGAATTTAGCCTTACCGATGATATCAAGGAGTTCTTGAACCCTCGGTAAGGGATAACCATTCTTCAAAGTGACCTCGTTCAGTGCTCGGTAATCAATACACATCCTCCATTTATTGTCCGGTTTCCGAACAAAAACGACTGGGAACCCCCATGGACTTGCGGACGGTTGGATCAGGCCCTTCTGAATCAGATCCTCAATTTGGCGGCCCAACTCATCCAATTTCTCCACGGAAAGCGGATATGCATTAATATTCACAGGGTTGGCGTCCCCTGTATCCACCTCATGCGCGTGGTCACGTTCTGGCGGTAGCTCCTTCGGCAATTCTTCCGGAAAGACCTTCTGATGCTTCAGAAGAATCTCCCTGACTCTCGAGTCGTCATGGTGCGGAACGACCAGCTTGAATTCCGAACCCTCAGCCTCATCTTGTGTAGGCTGCACAAGAAAAAGATAGGCCTGAGTAATGCGCTTCCTCAGAGCGCGTCTCACTTGCTTTCCTGTAAGCAAGTCGAACGAAGCTATGCCCTTCGTGACAACCGGGCTGCCCTGCAGCGGCAGCACCGTATGTTCCCTTCCTTGGTCATCTCGAATCCGCATTTGCGAAGTACGCCAACTTAGCCGCGGGTCGTATTTCCGAAGGAAGTCTCTGCCTAGGATCATATCATGTTCTGGGATATCAAGAACCCAGACATTGATCCTTCCGAACCATCCTCCAATCCTTACAAGGGCTGTAAAGGATCCATGGGTGGGGATCTGTCCGCCGTCCGGTAATCGTACCGAAAGCGATCTCCCACCTTTCTGATACTGAATCTCTCCCCTCATTCTCCGCACTAACCTTTGTGACACAAAGGTGTGGGAGGCTCCTGAATCAAGGAGTATCTTAACAGCGGTTGGTCTAGCTGTTCCCTGTCTTACCGTCCCTGCGAAATAGATCAGCGAGTCTCCTATGACGTTGAGGCTCGCGTCCAAAAGCTCTCGTTCCGACACTACAGTCTCTGAATCAGAATCCGAAATTGCAGTTTCTGAATCTGATGAGTACTCAGGATCCAGAAGATCCTGTACTTCCAGAGGCTTCTGTCTAGAGGCTTTGTCCATTTGGTCGATCAATGCCTCCACATTTACCGACCACTCACTTTTCCCGACGGCGATGTCATTGTGTTCTGCGTTTTCCTCCTTGAGGTTTGGCAGTCTCTTTTGTAATGTCCAGACAGGCCGCAATTGAAACAACGGCCTCTTGGAATCCTGGGCTTTGACTGCTCACCCTTCTTCTCTGATGTCTGTTTGAATTCTTTCTTCCTCCCTGAAGTGGATCCTAGCGGTGCACCTTGCATGTATGAGAGGTCCATAGGGTCACCTGTTATTGATACAGCATGTCCTCTAGTAGCTCCCTCTTCCAGGCCCACAAAGGCTTTCACAACGGCGTTCCATTCGGTAGGATGCTTTGGTAAAGCATGCCACCGGACCTGGAGATCTGCCTTGGCACCATGAATCAGATCCGCTATCATCAGGTCTTCGGACATATTTCTGAATTCCAGATCGTCTGCCGCTTGGCGTAGGTCGGCTGCATACTTATGAAAAGGAGTTTGGTTCCCCTGGGTCATCCTTCGGTATTTGGCATACCTCTTTTCCGGACTGAGGTATTCACTGAATTGTTCTTCAACCCAAGTTTTGAACTCTTCCCATTGCATGCCTTGAATTGATTTTCTTCCGTACATGACCCGCCATCGGTCTTCGGCAGCTTTCCGGAGATTCGATTTGGCTGCAATAATTTTCTGAGTATCTGAGATCTCGACTTCGGTAAGCCCTTCCACATCCTGGAAGTGGCGCTCACACGCGAGTATCCATTTGCGCGCCGCATCGTCCTTGAATTGCCCAAAGTACTCAGGGATTCCCACTAGGTCCTTGAGGAGTGCCTTCCGAGTCTCCCAATCTGCTCTCCCAGGAAGGAGTCCAGCTGTGCTAGCTGTTCCACGGATGGCTGATCCTGAGGAGTTACTCGGAAAGTTGGCTGCCGCTTCGGTAGCTCTTTGTTGTTCCTCCTGTCGGCGCTGACCTTCCTGGATCCCCCACGCCAAGGCCTTGATGGTTTGGGCCTGGGCTGTCGGGTTTGTAGCGGATAGCCACTGAACGTACTGGGCTTCCGCCATGTCTGCTGGGAGTGCATGCAGAGCTTGCATTGTCCCAGGTGATATGGCTCGTGACAATTGGGGGTTCGGAACGGCCCCTGGGGTACCAATGGTCTCCGGTATCGTCCCCTGGGTAGGACCCGTGGTTTCGCCGGATTCCATAAGGTCTCCTTGATTGGACATAGGGATTGTATAAGAACGATCAACAGAATAAAAGATTGAAGAAGCAGTATCAAAGAAACGCAGAACAAAATTGAAGACATAAGATAAAATTCAGTATAGGATGGTTCTTTCCGACTGGATGGTCACTATGAGTTGTTCTCATAGACACTCTTTCTCAGCCGATTCCGAGGCACTATTTATGCCCTCGAAATAGCACTTCCACTTCATGTTGACAAGGAGATTTCAACTGAGGGGGTCCTCTCGTATTCACTGAGTCCGCATCTCAGTAGCCAACGCCTACCAATGGGCGTTCAAGAACAGTGTCGACTTGCCGTTCTTTCCACAAGAGGTCGTCATAGGCTTCAGAATGAGGGACAAAACACACGCTTCCACTAGCCTTGCTCGCTCCTAGCGGCTTCCTGAGGCGTTTCCCCGCTCGAAATAAGATTTCATGACGTCCTCGATGTGTACCGAGCGTCACGGGAGGAGTTGACTGTCCTTATTCCGGGGTAAATGGGGCTCCCACATCTCATGGTAGTCCAACTGTGGAAGAGTATTCTCATTCCTGCTCCTTATCTGGCACCCTCAGTCTCCTGTTCAGGCCCTTGATCGAACTTGGGCACGTAGACCGAAGTTGATGGCGAGTAAACAAAGCTCGCATATTCCGAAGAGCTTTGGCCGAAGCTCATCAGAACGAGCAGTTGCCCGCCGGCCAACACACCACTGGGCCTGCCGTAGGAGGCAGGCCTAGTAGGACATGCTACCAGATGTGATAACTCAACAGAAGGGATTGTCTGGTTCTGAAAACTATCTGGGGCATACGGTCTTATATACATTAGCGTACTGAATCGGAGATTCAGTATTCCGAATGGAACTTAGTAAGCCTGTTCCACACTGTACTGACTGACCTAACCAGGGTTGTCAGTACCAGACCATACCGCGTATTCTGTGCCAAATATCACAATAGTATTGGTCACTGACATGCGCCGGTGATTGTACTCAGCCCGAAAGAAATCTGAGACTGGAGACAATTGAAATACTACAGTTCGATCTGCTAGTATGCATCACTGGGACACGTATCTAATTGAAAATCGGTCAAATCACCTCGTCTAAAGAGGTTCAGCGACCTGCAGTGTACCTCAAATACGAGATAAACCCACGCTAATCTACCAGACACTTTCTAAATTGAGTTTCGTCCTAATATCTTTGCAAAGCGCAAAATTATCAAAAAGGGGGGACGAATTGGGAATTGCTAGGGACACAACAGCTTTTACTACAGACGGGAATTGGTAACTAAGGACACCCCAACTTTTTAGTAATCAATCTTGCCAATATTGTTACCATACATTACCGCAGCAACTACATTACTACTATAGCAACTACATTCTATCTACTACGACTATAAGAGCATCTCTTTCTTCTTATTGATTCTTCATCTTGCTTCCGTCTTTTCTCGTTTTAAAATGTATCGTCTGAGACCTCAAATTACAGTTTCGAGACATCATGATATTGCAAGGGAAATATCCCTTCCCCATCAAAGCCAACATCATTCCGGGCTGCGACGGCGCAGGAACGGTCCTCGCAATCGGCAAGAACGTCACTCGCTTCCAACCCGGCGACAAAGTAGTCACATTCATCAATCAGTGGCATCTAGCAGGCTCTATGAATGCAAGAGTCATGAAAAGCGGACTGGGCGGGTCCCTCGATGGTACATTCCGACAAATCGGAGCCTTCGACGAGCAAGGTTTGGTTACGATGCCAAACGACCTTAGTTTCACCAAGGCTGCAACTTCAAGCTGTGCCGGTTTGACAGCATGGAATGCTTTATTTGGCGATCCTGGACGTCGCACTCAGCCTGGCCATTGGGTTCTCACGCAAGGAACAGGTGGGATGAGTATATTTGTACTGCAATTTGCGAAGGCGGTCGGGGCGAGAGTTATTGCTACGACTAGCTCTACGGAGAAGGAAGAGTTTTTGAGAAAGCTGGGCGCCGATCATGTTATCAATTATCGGGATGAGCCGAATTGGGGGGAGGTTGCGCTGAAGTTGACAGGTGGTGAGGGTGTGGATTGTGTGGTTGATGTTGCTGGCCCAACGACCCTGACGCAGAGTGTTGCTGCTGTGCGGCTGGATGGTTTGATTAATATCATTGGCATTGTTGGGGGTGGAAGCATGGATGCGCCGATGCCCAGCTTGTTGGAATGTTGGTCGAAATTGTTCACGGCTAGAGGCCTCTGGATGGGAAACAGAGAGCAGGTGGAGGAGATGTGTCGGGCCATTCAGGCGGCACCTGAGAAATTACGTCCCGTTGTAGAACAGAGGGTTTTCAAACTGGAGGATCTCAAAGATGCCTATCGCTATTCGGAGTCAGGACATCACCAGGGTAAGGTGTGTGTTGACATGGACCTTCGCTAAGTGCCGCAACATTTGATTATGGATTACGGATCATATATTCTCATTGACGCCGCGGAGGAGGACTGGTTCATATAAATAACGTCCATTCTTGCCACTTTACTCCCCGATTGGACCTTTCTTGTCGCGGGACATCCTGGCATCTATCTGCGTCGTATGTATGACAATAATAATCTGTCTCAAAATGCTGCAGAGTATAGCTTTTTCCGAGCAAAACTGCAAGGTTGTACGAATACCACACTTGGTAGGACAGTGGCACCGCCTCTTGTCTTGACTTTTATTAACCCATCGTAAACTAATAAATAAGCAAATCTCCCAGAGCTCCGCAATTTAAATTCACGACTGGATGATCCTCCTGGCAGTTTCCGCTGCATCGGAGCCATGGCAGAATGGTCGAATATTGCGGCAACAGGCTCTTGGTGGTGACAGCAATATTGGTACCAGTTCAAATTATCTGTGTGACGCTGCGACTTTTCATTCGATATCGCAGTCAGATGAAATTTGGATTGGATGACCTCGTGGTTGTGATCTCGTTAGTGGGACAATTGGCACTTGCCGGAGTTATCATTGGTATGATCCCCTGATCTGAAACTGATAATTGCATTTGGACCCTGCTGATTGGGAGGCACGGTGTAACATTCACAATAGCCGAACTGAAGATTTCTGGTATTGGTTACCACATTGCCTATCTGAAGGCGACAAATCCATCACTCATCGTCATAGAACGCAAATTTCGCCTAGGACAAGCTTACCTCTACGTCGTGACTGCCAACCTGCCGAAGATATCTATTCTTCTGCTTTATCGCCGTTTATTTGCCACTACCATCCTGCTCGCTATTAGCAACGCCATGATAGGGGTCCTTTCACTGTCTATTACCGCTAAGCTCATTCTGGTTTCTATTGTATGCCGACCATTTGCTGCGAATTGGAACCCAAATATACCTGGTGAAAGATGCTTCGACATGAAAAGCGTATCGGCCTGGTCAACTTTGCCGAATATCATTACCGATGTTGTTATGCTGCTTCTCCCAATTCCACTTATATGGTCACTACACACGAGGCTTCGAACCAAGATTCAGCTGACCTTCACCTTGGCTCTTGGTAGTATGTGAGTATGTCTGTTGAAATTTTTAAGTACAAAGGAGCTCTAATATCTTCCCTCCAGAGGTCTCGTCACCTCCATCATGCGATTTCACTTTTTCATGATCATTCGCAGCGCCGACATCACATGGACTTCTGTTGAACGTAGCATATGGACTGAGGTGGAGCCAGCTGTCTATCTCATCTGTGCTTGCATCATCACGTTCAAGCCATTGCTGGATCGAATCAATTGTAGGAGAAAGGAAAAAATACCATCCAGAAGCTCTCATGCCCAGAGGGGCCCGGAGGGTCATTCCAGGGAGGAATGGATAACTCTAGAATGACTGGCTTGGTCAAGAGCTAGCACCACATTGTATATGAATCAATATTTCACATCTCGCCAGAAGTCTCTAAATGCATTCGAAAATCAGTATTAGATCTAATAAATTAGGTAATAATGCCAGTAGGCCTCTGCGTTTCCTCAGAGACATCAAGTTGGGTGGTACTTTTTTGCGAGTCCCTCGTGGCAGGATTTTCTGTCATAAACAAAGAGTTTCCATGGGACTCAGATTCAGCATCGCCAGTCTCCGCTTCTTCAGGCACTTTCGAAGCCTTGTATCTCTTCCACTGGAAGATCCCCAATCCAGTGATACATATCAAAAGAAGCCCCGCTGTCACAACACCCATAACAACCTTTCCGGGATACGAGGCAATATCCCGATTGATGCGATCAATAGACCAAGGATAGGCATCGGACTTGACAACGATGTAGATCCCAAGTCCCATATAAAGGAACGGCACCACATACTCAGCATATTTCTGCGCCAGCCGAAGAATATGCCGTTGTTTCATAACCAAATAAGCAGTCAGACACCAAACGAAAAGCAGGATGTAATAAACAACCACATAAATGGCAATTTCCGTTCCCTTGGCCTGCGAGAAGAGCGGGATGTAGGTGCCGATATTATCGCCTCCATTCATGAGCGTAACCAGCGCGACCTTGAAAACGCTCTTGAGGGACCCGAATCGAGATTCTTCGTCTTCGTCCTCATCGTCCGTCGAGAATATGAGCTTTATTAGGTTCCAGCATCCCAGGAGAATTGGCAGGAGGCCCAGGAAGCCGATCGGTTCGGAGGGGAGGGCGAGCGATACGCCGTAGCCGATCATACTGATCATGATGATGATTGTGAAGCCGAGACATTGTCCAATGGTGATTTTGAGAGGGGTGATGGTCTTTCTTGTGGTTGCTTCTGCGAAGAATGTTACGAGCACGAAGGCGTCGTCGATGTTTGTGATTGCGAATGATGCGCATGCTGTCCCGATTGCTTTGCCGAATTGCATTGTTGCGGTTGGCTTGCGGCGTGGATGCCGCTGTATTCACCGTGGGTAGGTGGAGAGAAGCCGGAATAACGGGGTTAGGAGGATTTTGGGCCTCGCATGGCGGTGGACTGTCCTTTCCTCTGATGGTTTGCTGTCTGCAACCTCTATGCAGACCAGATCATAGGCATCAACTATCGGGGCCGCCAAGCTATAGGGCAGATCACGTGGCGATGATCTATGGAGCTGCCGCCTAAAGGGGTTTCAGCCCTGTGAGCTCACCTTGCGCATCCGCGCACGGTGCACGGGTTGGATAAGTCGAAAAGGTATATTTTCTGAGATAGCATTATGATGGTCATTTAATTCTCTATCAAGTGCGATCTCAGAAAATACGCTACATATTTGTGGTGGATGATGCAATGGCAAATGTAGTGTCTAGGGTCACAGGTGAGTGAGTGCTTTTGAGGTTCCGGGATAAGGCACCGAATTGATGCCTCATTCCCAACCTCTGTCGGCATGCCTGTCCAGGGAAACCGGAGGCACTGAGCTTGATATGCGCTTCACCGCCATCATATTCTACATTCAGGGGATCTTCATGGAAGAACACCGATCGAGACCGATTATGAGGGATTTACTACTGTCAGGGGCTTGCCGCCCGTTCAGGGATAAATACCCCCAGAATCGCATGTAGACAGTTCGATACAGTCAAGTCAAGTTTTGTCAATTCCATTAAGGTCGATTTGTCTAGCAGGCGCTCATTCAATATTCAGTGCTTCGTCGTAGCCGATCTCAACAAGTGCTTGATCTCGGGATATATATCGGGCGGGCGGGCGAAATCCTTCCAAAAAATTGACAGCCATTGGGCATCACGACTGTCCACATCGTATCGAGTTATTGTGAAAGCTCAATAGCACCATCACACATGCGATAAAATGTTTTTCTGAACCGCATTCGCAAGACTCAGTGTGAGCGACCGAATGGAATCAATTGAAACTTAGGAAAACAGCTTAGATTACTGTATAGGTTGGAAAAGACAGACATCGACAAAAAGTCCGGATTCATTGACATTATTCGCTAGGTACAAGACCGTCTCACGGCGGACCGGGTGAGAGGAAGAGGAACTACAAGATAGACAAAAAGAGTATGATCCATTCAGATTTTCATCGCACCAAGCAAAAGTATTCGCAATCGTCGTGGAAAGGAAATCGTAAAACAAAGGAAAGGTAATAATCACATAAAAAGGTTATCATGTGTCTATCAAGACGCAATCCCTCGGACCCGAGCTCACACACGCAAACTCAGGCCAGCGAGGGAACAACCCCGAAAAATACATTTACAGACGGGAGCCGTGGATGACCTTGAAGTCGACGACAAGCTCGCGGCCACCGTCGTTGATGACGAGGGCACGGACGGAGCCACGGCCGTCGGCGAAAGCATCGCGGATGCGCTTGAAGAGGCTACCCTGGCTGATGACAGGCAGACCCTGCTTGACATCACCGGTCTCGGTCATAGCGACAAGGCGGCCATCATCGCGGAGGTCCAGGATGCGGTAGGTCTTGTAGACGGGGCCGAGCATGGTCTGGACAACCACCGAGGGGGAGGGGTTGGAGACGAAGCTCGACTCCTCTTGCAGCTGACGGGTGAACAGATCGACACCGAGGTAACGGTGCTGGCCGGTCTGGGGGAGACCGAGATGCGGATGACCTGGCAGGGACGGCCCTGAAGGATCAGGATGTCGCCAATGCGGACAAAGTGGCAGGGGATGGGGACAGTCTCGCCAGCGGAGCCGCGGTTGCGGGGCTCAATGACGCGGACCTCCTCACGAACACCCTCAGAGAAGCGGGCTGGACCACGCTCGTCAGCGACGATTTCCTCACGGTCGTGATGGTGGTGGAAGGGGTGGAGAACGCGGTCGGCAGCACGCTCCACGCCACGGCGGAAGGAGTGGTACTGACCCTCGTCGTCGTAGTAACCCATCTTGCGAGATGCGGGGACGGAGTCACGGACAGTAGTCTGCTGGACGCGGACGTTGGAAGAAGGGGCGTAGCGAGCGGGCTGGGAGACCTCGACTTCGCGACGGGGAAGGCTTTCGCTGGGGTAAGCGGAAGCGGGCTGGGGCTGGTAGCCGCGGTCGTACGAGACGTCGACGGTTTGGGTCGGCTGGTACTCGTAAGAGTTGACGGGCTGGTAGCGACGGTCGAAAGAGACGTCGGCTTCGTAGGCGGGAGAGGTCCGGCGACGGTACTCTCTCTCAGTGATGTCGAGCTGGTTCTCGACGACCTTGTCGTAGACTTGGGGACGGTCTTCTTGGTAACGAACCGAAGACTGGGTGTAGTCGGGGTAGCTAAAAGGAAAAAAAGATCAGCCGGGTCCGGGGGGTAGTGCATGTAAACATATAAACAAAACAAGAGGCGAGGCGACACCGCTCATTGGGGGTGGTGGAGCCGGTTTCGTGACACGTAATTTAGGCCGGGGCTAAAATCGGCGCCTCCAGACAAATAGTGGCTCAAGCAGGCTCCACCGTGCGCCCAGTAGCTCGTGTTTTGTACCCAAACAAGCGGGTAAACAAGTAAAAAACGCCCTCCACTGGAGAGTTAGACAAACGTACCGTTCGCGGGTCAGATCAACCTCGGCAGAGTAGTTGCGGTCGTATTGCTGCTGGCCCTGCGGGTACTGCTGGGCAGGCTGGTACTGGGGTGGGAAGTGCGAGCGAGGTGCTTCTTCCTTGACGCGGAATTCGACTTCTTCCTTTCCGTAGACACGCGGGTCGGGGAGAGGGGCGGAGGCTCGAGTATCTTCCCGTTCGACGCCTGAAGTGCGATCGAGTTGAACTTCTCCCTCTACTCTCGTCTGAGTAGTTTCAGAGACAGCGTCACTCCGGTACGACGACGGGAAGACACTGAAGGGGATGGGGACGCGGGCGTCAAAGTCCAGATTGACTGACTTTCCGGCGTCTTTTCTCGAATGCTTTCCGAACTGTCGCGAAACAACTCGAAAAGCTAGACAAGAAAAGACTTGACTGGGGGAAGTCTTTCTCGGGGAGAAGGGGAAGAAGAAAGGTGATCGAGATCAGCTTTCAACTCGAAGATGAAGAAGTAAAGTACCGGGGAACCGGGAAGTAAAAGGTGGTGGCAGGAATGTGTGGAGGAGGGAATGGAAGAGGGAGGGGGATGAGCGAGACACTGTTATTTATGGCCGCGCTGTTTGTTTACGCCCTTGGCCCGATCGGTGGTTGCGATCGGCTCCCGAGGTTCCCTTCCCTTTCATTCCTCCCTCTGAGCCCATTGCGCAGGCACAATTCAAATGGGTTGTTCAATGGCTTGATGGGATATTCAGTGATCTTCGATGGCTGGAATGTGTCACTCTTGGAATGCTAGGAGCACTCTAATCCAACATCTGCTTTGCCATCGACCCTGGCCTCATACTCCGCGTACAGCGTACCGTACGTTTGGCCGTACGGTACGCGGTACACGCACCGTACACACCGTCCCCCATTCACATGGCTGGCCAGCCCCCGGCCCAAACCCAGCTGAACGTCTCCATAGCAACGCCCCGGCTCCCGCCGGTTCCGCCGATCGCGTCCGGGTCGATTCTTGGTTCGTGTCCCGATCACAACACTCGTGAAAGTAGCCCCCGATTGCCTTTGTGTACTCCGCTTATGTACGGGGTACTGCACAGCCTGCTGCTCTGCACGGGGTACAGCATGAACATCAGGTATTCAGGGACCTGAACCACTCCCTCCCTCAGTGGAACCGCCAACGCACCGTCTATCCCCACCGGTAATGTGATGGTAACAGATGCATCACGCCCAACCACTCCAATAACACCACGATCGGGCATCCTGCAGACGTCTAGACTCGTCGACCGAGACGCGTACGGTATTACCGAGGCTGGGTAAGCTCAGCAGCCGGCCACTGCATCCCCTGCACGGCGAGGCGATGGGGAGCTCCACCCGAGCACCCTGGTGGATTCGATCCGTGTGGGCTGTGGAGCGTACATTTCATCATTGCGGGCTTCGTGGATACACACGCGGCTTTATCGTAGTACACTTGTACAGTACCAAAAACAAGCTTGCTGGGCGTACATCTTCGAGCGCACTACAGTATGTACTTTGTAGATCAAATAATGAAATTGTCATTGGAGTCATTAAGATTATCCAAGGGTTGCTGACTCAATTGATTCCAACTCCTGAAAGTACATCTATAAAACAGCGTCTAAAAAGGGAACAGGAGCTGGGAGCGCCACTGCTTTTACCCGCCACACTGCCCCAAACGAGAGAAATTATACACGGTGAGAAGAAACGAGGGTATCAAAGTGTATATCGTACGGGCACCTCCAAAGTTCAAAATCAAAATCAAATGACCAAGTAACACCAGATGCCAGAGAGAGATGGGGAAAAATGAAGAGAAAGACAGGGGAGGCCGGTGGCTTCCCCAGACAAAACGAATGTGTTCGGAACAGCAGTGGAAACAGGCGGGGAGAGAAACCCAAGATCGGGACGGCGTATATCAGTCATTAAAGATTAGATCCACTTGGAAATCCGCATTCGGCTCTATGTAGACCGGCGGTATCTCGCATCTCTTCCACAGACGTGAAGAAGAATAGAAAAAAAAAAAATTGACAAGAAGGGGAAAAGGTAAAAAGAAAACCATTAAACGTGGTAAGGTGAATCAAAATTCAATCTGTTTCTTGTGAAGTGGAAAAAAGAAACACCACGTTCAAGCAGGAACTCGTGTATCACTTTCGTAACCCGAATGCCTTGCGGAGCATCGGAAATCGCTTCTTGCGTCCCGAGCCGGCAATCACCACGTTCCGGGCAGCTTGACGCTGGTCTTCGGGATGTGTTGTGCTTGTGATGTCGGAGCCGGCGTCATTGATGTCTGGGCCGTTCCGCGGTGGCTGTGGTTCAGACTCCTTTATAGCCGCGAGCGTTCCTGGTGCACCATCTCCATTGACAATGATGCTGCCATTGCGACCGGCATGATCATCAACCGATGGTTCCTGCTTTTGCGTATGCAATGGCGACGAGGGCAGACTTTGACTTTGCTCAATGACGGGTTCGGGGGTCTCCGCTCGAGGTTCGGAGCGGATCGGCCATGGTTGCCCTCCAGTGCTTTGCCGTTTGGTGAGCCTCTTCATCAGTTTTGGCGAGGAAGGCGGCGGTGGGTTCGTTGCAGTCACCGTCGTTTGCACTCCATTGGTGTAAGGCTCATCGCGCAATTGGTCGCGTTCCAGCCGCGAGCGCTCGAGGGGCGTATCCCGTCGAGAGGGACTTTCCATATCCGATTTGCGAATACGGTTGTCGGGGTTCTTGGACCTTTTGAGGCCGAGCCGGGAAAGTATCGATGGCTTACGACCACGCGAAGGTTGCATGAGAAACTCCTCTAGCTCTCGTTGGGTCATCCCGCGCTGTCGTGCGACGGCCGCCATGCCAGACATATTCGGGGGAACGTTTTGGTCGCGGGATCGCGGCAAGGCAGGATCAATGGAAGGGGCGACCATCTTCGGAGCCTGCTGCCGACGTTCCTCTTCTGAACTATCCTCTAGTTCGGTCGAGTCTCCATCGTTGGCACCTTTGCGGCGTGGGATACCGCGGACGGGGCGCATGTATGCGCTGCCGGACTCCTCTTCGTCACTTGAATCCGCAAACCGACTTTGGAAGATTTGAGGCTGATTGTCGCCTTCATCATCCGAGTCTGCGAATCGCGTTCCACGGGCTTTGGGAGGTGGCCTGGCAAATCCTGCTCTCGGTGCTTTCTTGTTCGTAGAAAAGAATGAAAACTTTTCACTTCCAGGAGCAGGCTCCCGCAGTGTCTTGCGCATTTTTCCGGATCCCGAACCGGAGGATAGCGGCCGATTATCAGTGGGAGAGTCTGTCCTGCTCGAAGGCGACAACAGCTGACCACTCATAGCACTGGCTCTCATTGTTCGGCGCATATTGTGCGGACCGTCACCCCGGGCAGAGGGACTGGCACGCTTGAAGCTGCTGGAGGAATCACTGCCGCTTGACATGGTCCGGCGTGGATCCGGTCCTCGCATCTGGAATGCCGGGCCTAGGGAAAGAGGACGGTGCTTATCCTTCCCACTACCAGTAGCATTGCTTGAATAGCGAGGATCTTGTCCGGCGAAGCTACCATATGCGTCGACTGACATGGGTCTTTTCGGTTTGTTATCTAACACATAACTCCCATTCTGCTGCTGGGACGAACGTGCCTCTGACTTCAATGGCAGGAGAGGGTATGGAGACTGCATATTCATCGGGGAAGCTGGAGGAGAGGGTTCTGCCTGGTGTTGGTTCAATTGCTGCGGTGGAGTTGCTGAGCGGGCCTCCTGCAGGAGCTGGCTTGCGACATGTTGACGCTGAGTATCGACGACGCTGGTTCGCTCGGCGAGCCTTGATGTCGTGTCGCGGCTTTTGTTCAATGGGTCCATGGGCGCAGAGGACCTAGGAATCGGCCGCTCGTCGACTATCGCATTGATAGAACCAAAGCCATCTCCATCAATGTCCTCCGGGGCATCGCTGTAGACACTATCATTATCGCTGTTGTCACTTTCACTATATTGCACGGCGCCCTCCAATTTAGGCACGGCGCTGGCGACAACAGGCTGGTTCTTGCCAGCACCGGCGACACTTTTGATGCTCCGGTCTGAAGCAGACTTAGGAAAACCACCTGGGACTTGGTACTGATCAAGGGAGGACTTGGATGCTCTCTGGGCATCAAAGCTGGGACGATCATCAACTGGAGGTGTAGCTGGCTCCACAGCAATAGAAGGAGCAGGCAACTCGGAGTCAACACCAGAGTATGGTTGTTGCTCCGTGAAGCCTCCAATGGCCACGCGGTCGATCTTTTGGTCTTGAGAGAGGCCATCTTGCTGAGAAGAATCCCCAACCACTGACAATCGCTCCACCGACTTGACATCGTTAAGCTGTGAAGGTTCTTCTGCCTTGTGAAGCACTCCTCCAATGGCATGGTCTGATGAGAAGGAAGCTACCGGTATAGTAGCCTCATTGTCGGAAGAACTGCTGGATTCATTGTCGCTGAAATCGGGGATGGGTGGCCTCAGGGGACCACCGTTGCGATTGCCACGGACACTTCCAAAAGACGGAAGCGTGGGCCTTGGCTTCATAACCTCGTCAAAGTCGTCGTCGCCAGAAATAAATTCGGCAGCTGGCGACTTTTTCTTGCCCACACTGAACCAATTCTTCCGAGATTTCGATTTGGGCGGAGACTCGGGAACATACTCATCGGGCGAGGTTGGAGGACTGGCCGCGACACCAACAATTTCAGCTTCGTCATCGAAGCTCACCTTCACAGCCCGCTTCTTTACACCAATTCGGGAGCCCTCGTCCGAAGCGACTGAAGTCCCACCATCTGATAGTTCACTGGCGACAATTCGTCCAACGGCCCCTGTTTTCCTTTCCGGAGACAAAGAGTTCCCACGAGCATTCTTGAGTGCTGACTTCCCAGGAGAAATAGACCTTGGTGGAGGTTCGTGAACTTGCTCGCCGGCTGCAGTAACGGAGAGCAACCGGGCAAAGCGTGCTGAACGACCAGGACTGCTAGATTGTCGCAAATGGGCCTCTTGTTGGGGTGTGAGTTGCTTCTCAGATTTCGGGGAGGTTTGTGGTGTTGCTTGAGGCGTGATCTGGGGCGTGACTATGAAATCAGTGTACTTAGATGCGACTGAGGCATGCTTTAGTCGATCACTGGCGTCCTGAGCATGGGAAGTATCGACACCCACTTCATCAGTAGGCTCGTTCTCTTCCGGTACCGTCGAGGGCCAACGGTCTGGAACTACCCGAGAAGAGGGATGCTCGATATCGGAGATTTCAACCGCAGATGGAACGGAGCAATCGACATGACGTTCCTGCGGGCTGGTCGCTGGAGGCCCGGAGACTACCCGCTTAACCCTTGCATGCTCAGATTCCGGTCGTGGTCTGTTCTTCTGTCCGCTGACTGCCTGAGCTGCAGCTGCCGCAATGCCAGTGCCAACCGGAGGCCCTGCCGACTTGTTCGCGGAGGTCGCTTCTGCAGGATCCACGACTAGTGGTTTTGACCTCGTGTTGGCCGATTTTTCTGACATTTGAGCCAGAGCTTGTTGAGCGCTAGCCACTTTGACAGATGACACTTCACGAGACGTAGCGGCCCTTAAGCTCACAGACCGATTCTCAGATAGCCCAGGCGAATTCGGGCGTGACCCCCTGGGATATGAGAAATTGACCGAGCTGCGACTTCCTGGTCGTTCCAGCTCCTGTACGGTGCTCAAGCTGCCGACTCGGTTGTGAGCGGGTGACCCCGACCCCGACCCCGACCCCGACCCCGACCCCTGCCCCCGTACATTCGAACGTGCCGGGGACGATGGAGGTGATCGCATTGATGGTTCAAGACTCGTTGCGCGGCGCGGGGGAAGCTTTCGCGACGCATACTGACTGGGCAGCGACGGCAGCGGGGGAACATCGGAATGCATAGAAGAGCTTGGGGCACCGGAGCTTGTCGACGGGCGATTCGGTGAGGGCTCACGAAATGTCCTCGCAGTCATCGAGCTCGAGCTATTTGTCCTGCGAAGCGGTCCACTGACACTTGCCGAGCGGCGGTTTGCCTGCGGACTGGCTTGCGACTGTGTCGAGGCCCGCCGCTGGATCGTCCGCTTTGTCTGCACATTTTCGACATTCGTCGGGGTAGGTGTGAGATTCCGCAGCGCGGCAGCTGCGGCAGCCGACGACAAGCTGTTTGTGGACGGTTGGGATTTCAGGAAGGCATGGCTAGCGGCGGACTGCGCTGATTGTGAGGCGGGTGTGGAGAGAGGCTAGAATAGACAGATAGCGTAGGTTAGCGCATTGCTCATGCTGCTCGAGTCCATGCTCGTCATGTATAAGAAACATGTGTATGGCGGCCAATGCCGAAGGTCAATTCTTTAAGGTCCGAGACGACCTACCTGGTGATGACTGGTCCTGGAGGTGCTCCTTTTGCGACGACTGAACATGATTGCTCAAGGCCTCGTGGGCTCGTGAGAATTCGAGGATCAGACGGCCGACCGGACACTGCACAGAGCAGTGCCGGGGGTGATCCGAGGTTGGACGGAAGACTCGGATGCGATGGTTGAAGCCTGCAGAAAAAAGTCCCCTGGGTCGACGCGCTGATGGGGAGCTCGGGACGGTCGCGAAAACCTGGCGATGCGGAACGAAAGAAGGCCGGACAGCGACCGAGGATCGACGGGGACGAGAAACGAGAGGGAGCCAGTGAGGAGGAGGAGGGCAAGGGGAGGTCGGCCCTTTCTCGCGATGTTACGCCGTGGGGGAAGGTTTGGCAATCGGGAGGAAGGAAAGTTGCGTCATGACTTGGGAAACGGGTCAGGCACGCCCAAACCCAAAACCTTTACCAACAGGCTGATGTTTCCCCCGAATCACCGCTTTATAAACTCCCCTGGGCCACCATGTGTGCCTGCGACGATCCAGACTGATTGTGCCCGATTTGACAGGCCCGATCGATCATCCCCAGCTTCAGAATGTCCCTGGATGCATCGCCGCCCTCGCTGTCCCTCCCCCAGAGCGTCTCTAGTCGCCTCGTCGCGACCTCCGACCTGACCTACCACATTCTCGAGGCCGGCGCCACTCCCGCTCGTGATCGCCCCTTAGTCGTCCTCTTGCATGGGTTTCCTGAAATCGCCTACTCATGGCGCCGTGTCTTGCCCAAGTTGGCCGCCGCTGGGTTCTACGCTGTTGCCCCCGATCAGCGCGGGTTCGGCCGCACCACGGGGTGGGATACTCGGGGTTACGATGATGTCGATCTGCAAAGTTTCTCCCTGACGACCCTGGTGCGCGATATAGTTCTCTTGGTCCATGCATTGGGATACCGGTCGGTGCACTGCGTGGCCGGTCATGATTGCGGCGCCATCACAGCATCAACATGTGCCCTCATTCGACCGGATTTCTTCCGAAGCGTAGCTCTCATGAGCCATCCTTTCAACGGGAGCCCTGACCTGCCGTTCAACACTGCTAATGAGAGTAGTATCGAGAGCCAGGCTAAAGCTGCAGGACAGGGCGGAGGAGGTGGCGCCGAGGGCTCTGCGGCTGCGTCGGGAATTCACGAAGCCCTGGCACGGCATGGGCGCAAACATTACAAGTGGTATTACTCCACGCCCAATGCAGGCCCAGATATGTCCTCGCTCGCTCCGGAAGAACTTCATCGCTTCCTACGTGGCTACTTCCACCTCAAAAGTGGTTCGTGGCCAGGCAACAAGCCCCGGCCCTTAAGTGGGTGGTCCGCTGAAGAGGTTGTTCAGATGCCCGGATATTATATCATGCCAGCAGATGCAACTATGCCCCAAGCTGTGGAAAGAGATATGGCAGACGAGCCGACACAGGGCAAGTCGTCGCACTCGTGGCTTCCCGACGAGGAGCTGGCGGTCTATGTGGCCGAGTATGCTCGCACTGGCTTTCAAGGCGGCCTAAATTGGTATCGTGTGCGTACGGCTCCTGACGGCCGTTACACGCGAGACTACGATATCTTTGCCGGGAAGAAGATTGAACCCCCATGCGCCTTTGTCTCTGGAAAGCAGGACTGGGGTATATACCAGGAACCAGGGGCACTGGACAAGATGACTAGTGGTGCCGTGTGCTCTGATTTCCGATCACTTCGATTGCTTGATGGTGTTGGTCACTGGATACCCCAAGAGAGTCCGGATGAGGTTGCGCAAACCATTATAAGCCTTATAAAAGAGTTGGACAGCTAAGCCTCCATGAAGTAGGTTTTCTGATCGTGGGGATTTGCACAATATATTCCATACATACCTAATCTCATACGTGAATATCGAAATGCTCTTTACAAGTGTTCTTGCATCGAGTACGGAGGGCAGTAACGGCCAGAGCTTACTTTCCTTATTTACACACATGAGAATGCCCTGTTTTCGACTGATGGTTGTTTGATCAAACGCCGACAGACAAAATGCGAAAACGATTCAAATCCAGACGATTCATTGAAGCTTCATCGGCGTCACAAAATTAAGAGTGGTGATATTACATTGAATAACTGTAGGTGATTATATATGACTCTTCAGCTGACAGTCTAGAAGAATTTTGACCTTTTTATACTTGGCACTGAAGAGCATTTGCTCGTTTAGATTCATCTTTGCATGGATGTATGTCATAATGCCATGTTTTCTGTCCGCCTTCCGGGGGGAGGATACTGCCTCAGGCACTATAAACGCTTTGCCTTCTCGAGATATGAGACTACACTTGCCCCCAACGGTCCTGTGCAGAAGACCGACAAAGCTCAACTGCAGTGTTACTTTCCCTCGAACACCTCTTGATATGACATCCTTGTTCTCTGCAACCGCCTAACAATGCCCAAGCGCAAACGCAGATCATCTCCACTCCAACCACCCCACATCTCGGACCGTCCCCCCGTCCCCGCCAACCGCGTCCAATCTTTCCGTCCCAAGGTCCTTTTGTCCAGGATACCTGAGGCTCTAGATAGGACTGGTTGATGCCTGAGTTGAGAAAGACTTTCTCACTGACTATCTCATAGCCAGTTTCCTCAGCGCAGGTTCGATTTAGCGATCTGCGTTTATCGGCTTCTAAAAACTACCAACTTTTGTCTTTATGCCCGTGGGACTTTCTGAGGCGTGTCGGAAAAAGGTTCCCATGGAAACGACCCGGACAGTCACCAGTTGCTGTATACGAGAAAGAGGTTTCTGTATTGGGAAACAATAGTGAAATCGATAGTGCCCCAAGATCGCTTCGGGGGAGAGGCTCAGCCGGCATCCCAGATCAGGAAGCAATGAGAGTAAGGTGTGCCGTTGATGACAATTAATTGCCTGGTGCAACAGGATCAAGCAAGTCAGGAAATTTTCTCTGTTTGAAGTCCTTGTTCTCAAATGCGCCAACAATTTTGCCCTCTTGCAAATAATCCTGTAGAGGTACCCAAAAAACCGTATTATCTTGCCATGTAGAACTACCATCACCATTGAAAAGGTGCTCTTTTTCTTTATCGAGAGCCTGGATGTCATAAGGGCCTTTTTGGAGCAGGCCATTGTCAAAAAGGCACTGAAGCCATTCACTCCACATCTCGAAATGCTCGGTGCAGGCACTCGGGGCAAAGGAAGACGCCCCGCACACGAGAGAAAGAAGATTGAAATCGATAACTGAGATAACGGGAGGAATTTTAGATCGTCCGAGAATTACAATGGTCTGAAGACAGGGTTATATGCGCTGCACCTCCACCCAAACATGGCTGCAGAGGATGGGTGGGACTGGGCAACAGTCTCAGCCTCCTGTGTTGGCATGATCATCCTCACCAACAGACAAATGATCGGGTCCGAAGTTTTAGCTTCCAAGTTTACATCTCATGCGTCACGATCAGGTTCCATAATTTCGAATCTCCTGTTCTTCGGCACTTACCGCAGTTTTCGTGAAAAGGAGGCATAAGAGGCAGATGGAAAGATACAATCCGATTCAATAATTTTGGTGATATTCGGATTAATCAAAAGGAATGGGTATGATGCACGAAGTAAATAATAACGCACGCAAAATGCAAATGAAAAACTGACATCAGCCATATCTACATAAGACCACCGAAAATAGTCGCCAGCAACAAGGGGACCAATGCAAGTAGAGTATGCTGTGGGGGCTGAATCATTGCCGCCCCGGACCCGATGCCGGATGTTGTGTACATGTACTGGAACGTGATATCACTGGAATTGAAGCAGTTGTCGCGGGTGACACTGCCATCGATTTCTGGATCGTGCGGGTCGGCAAACTCAATATCGACACACTGAAGGAAGTAAAGTCAGTCATGGGTCCATATAAAATGGAGAGAGAAGAGATGGGCTGTACATTATACAGAGCAGCACCGTGCTTCGCAACCTCGACCAGCTGGATCGTAGCCTTGTCTCCAATCTTCGCACTGATGTTGGCCGGTAGAGGCACCTGGGGCATGCAGACGGTGCCCGGGTATGGGTCATTGGTCGGACCGGTGATCTGGAAGGGCGACACGACGGGGTGGCTCATGTTCTCTGGGATCTCGCCGAGGCCCAAGTTGATGTAGATCAAGGCAGTCTTGTGGCCAGGGAACCATCCCGGTTGAAACGCAACTGCACCACCATTTACGGGCCACTTGGTTCGGTTATTGGATCGAGGCATACCACCGCCTAGACGACGCTATTGTTAGTCATTTGATCGAAACTTCCCTTGCTCCGTCTGAGTCAAGGGTTGGAATGGCAATATTACATGGATAGATCCATTCCATGCCGTACGGGTAGATGTACGATCCATTTTTCTCGTCCCACGCGACACCCAGGCCATTCGCTTGTGCGACAGTGCCGTTTGTGTGGAGGTTATTTCCTCGGTAGCCGGGGTAGGTGATGACGGTGTGGGCGTGGGCGATGGTGATGCACAGCAGGACCATGAGGGCCGACCATTGCGATATCGAGTTCATTGCTGTGGTAGAATGTGTTTATACCGAGAACGACGAGAAACAGCAAGGCGTGACGAACAAAACGCAGACCAAACCCGCTTTTTTTATTTTTTTATTTTTGAAGCTGCAGCTCAGGATTGCTTCTGGACAGGGCGACGGCCAACGTCGATCTCTCCAGCTATCGACAGCTATCGACAGAAGGGATTCAAGAGGAGGAGGGGAGAGTGCTGGGCCTCAAATCATTCACGAAGCTCGAATCGTGGCCAAGCCAAGGCGAAAGTTGGGAGGGCTGGTCTTTTTGAGGGGTACCGCTCCGACACCGCGTGCAGCCATCGTTGTTGCCGCGGGCGAGTCAGGAAACAGCACTGGATGTGACTGACACTGCAGGTGAAGCGATCGCTGACTGGCCGACGGCGGTCCAGTGGAGTACGATCATCACGGCCCTGCTGCAAGTGCCATCACTTCGAGGCCCGCTGGCCGGCGTGATTGGCGGGGCGCCCGCAGCTTGAGGCGCCGGGGGTGACGCTAACGGGCGTTCTGAGAATTGTGGGCGCTCGCGAGAGGGGTGTACCCTGGTGGGCGCTTAAGTCAGAGATGGTCTCGCGCAGTGTGATGGGTGATGGCCCGGCAGGAATATGCTGGTCGCAGCACTGTGCAAGTCACAGGGGGTTTCATGTTGGAAGTCGGGACTGCACTGACCAGCGATCGCCGTGGGTTCTCCCGAAGAACCGAACTGCTGTGGGCGGTGGTGGGCGTTGCTTGGTAGTCGCGCATCTTGGTCTTCTACCAGTTGCCACTGCCCAAAGAAAAACTAGACATTCGTGGTATCCTGGGTCCTGTCTCAGGGATATCGCATGGCCCAACTTGATCTACAATTTCTACAAATATATGCAAAATTGAGGTAAGATGCCCTCCATTTCTACCCTTCATGCTTGCGACCCTTCCACAACACTCTATTAGCGGTTCTACTTCTGGTAAAAGCGATCATAAGAGACAATATCGTTTATTCATTGTAATGGCATTCGCAAGTAAGAAAGTCTTCCAATAAGTCGTTGACTGCACCGAAATTTCGTCTCTCGGGTGATACAGTCCCGAGGTTGAATTGTATTCCACCAACCAATCACTCATATCGCCAGAGAGGGTTGGCCTAAGTTCCCTCATATGAGGCTTCTAAGGGCAGTAGTATTTGTTGCAGTTCACAGGGCAGTACGCCTGGCCAGTGTTGCCCTTCATCACATGGCACTTGGCACCGTCGCCGCCGCCATTGCCAACGCCCTAAAAGTTGATATCAGTATCTTTATTAATGTATATTATGGGATATCCCGATTCATAGTGACAGTATACTTACCGATCCTTCAGTGCACTCCGTGTTGACCAGGTTGACGAAGCATGAAGTGCCATTGCAGGTCTGTTATTTGTATTAGCACCACTGAAATAAAGTCGAATATTCTGAAGAGCAATTATGTAGCTGGTGGTCTTTAAGAATTGAGCAGGTAGCTGATGATGATCGTGATTATTTTCCCCATAGAATCAATCCCCCTTATATGTTCATCTGTAGTCGTCTGTATACTCCAATTGCCCTCCAGTAAGAACCCAAATCAGGCCTCCCGCAAGGGCGGAAGATGCAAGCCAGCACCCAGGTACACTGCCAAGTCTGCACTACTTGCAGATCGGCCTGAAAATGCTCAAAACAGTCGTTCGTGGCGCTGTTTTTATCTAAGAAATAAACCTGAAGTTCCATTCAAGTGAAGGAGATGTTCGATGGAAAATATAGGCCCTTGGGGATACCCCGAAGGCGGGCTTGGCGGCTTGCGGGCTGTACAGCAACACACACAATATCGGCTGGTGTAGAAACTTGCTTTAAGGTCTTTCAGGAGGACAGGGCTTTGTGCAAGTAGACCGTAATAAGGAATGTTTCACTGCTGATACTTTTGTTGATATACCTGCAAAAGGATTACTAGATTTGAGAACCCCAAAACCGTCCTTCGTGATGTCTTCTGCATGTGGCCCGCGCAGCTAAGAATGCTGACACCTAACCTGGGCAATTGAGTAACAGGCGAGTTGGTAATGTCCTATATCATTTGCTCGACATGCAGGACTGGCAGTCGTATGGAGATCGGGTGAGGAACGAAGCGGAATAACGGACTTGTATTATTGCATTATTGAGGAAGACCACCAGCCTCAATTTTGCCTTTTCTAGCCTTCGGGCTGACTAGCTCGACGAAATGTGGAGAAAATACGACTGGAAATCGCCTTGCCGAGCGGATCCTTGTTCGACTTGCCTATATTTGAGTCTCAGTGCATATAATTCTGCTGCATATGCACGTCTGAAGGTATGTAAATGCCTTGTCGGGGATTCTTCGGCTGAGGGGGTGCCTGGAAAGGGATTGCACACTTGTGCGCGCTCCAAAACGTTGCTGACCGGTGTGAGCTGTAAGCCTTTCTAGCTAACTGAAGGATCCCCGAGAGCATTCAATCAAGCTCAAATCTAGTACAACGCAGAAAATCGTAGGCTTTTCTCGAAACACCATGAACACCCCCATTTAATAACCTCTGGAAGCATGGCCATGGTCCCAGAATCCGCTCTGGATTTTGTGGCCAAATTCATAAGCAATATCATCTTCAATTTCAGTCTCTGCGGAGCTCCAATGGCGAAGTAGATCGGAGGGAAGTAGATAAGCCGCTATGACTGAATTCTTTGCACGAATTGGGCAGTGAAGATCACCATGGTGAGACTGGACGCCTTGGAGGCTGCTTGAACGGCGCAACAGGAGAACTGCAGGAACCCGCATGACTGTGCAACATGGCCGAGTTAATGGACCCTAAGAATGTCTTGTTGAACCATAAGTCTCGCTCTGGATAACCCTGGTCAGGATTTGTGTCCTACTTCCGATAGGTTATCGTAAGTGAGCTAGCAGGACAGGTTGTATGCCGGCACGTTGTGGCTGATTCGGGGGGAGCTCACCAACGGGAGTTGGCGGTTGATTAGCTATCGACTACTAACGGAGGCAGAAGTGAGAGATCGGGGCTTCGAGACTTCTTCAAGAGGGCAGGTCAAAATGCATTTGGGAATGCTCTGGTTTTTGAGGTATCTTCCTTGCCAAATATGCACTTGAGCCGAACGAAAGCTTCCGCCCAAGCAGGCGCCACTGAGTTAATGCCGCCCTTCACATCTCACCTTCCACATCCGACTCTCTTCAATTTCTTCTCACTACCCCCTCTTGCCAGGCTCAGCTGCATCCCAAATTTAGATTTTCCACTCTCTTTCCCTGCTTGCACACCCACCGTTACAACAATATCAACGTGAGTACAACCTACTTCCGCCCTGCCAAATGTGGAACGAGACCCAGGGTTTCACCATCAAGCCCTCGGGTCCATTATTCTGTGTTTCCTCTTCCTAATCCTTTTCAAACTGTGTTTTAGCTCCATGCTTTTTAAAACTAAGCTGACTCGTTCCTAGATAAAGCGCATGCAACAGCGCGTACGAGAACTCGAACGGATTGTGGAGGACCACCGTCGAAAACTGATGCTACTCGCTCTGGATGTACTGAAGATGCGCGACGAGCTATAAAATGTGTTTCAAGAGCTGCAGATTGACTTAAACGTGGTGCTTTTGTATTAGCTCGAGAGGGAATTGTAGGGGTGTTGGTGCACGCCTTATGCACTTGATCACGTTTGTTCGATCGTGTTCTGTGAGCCAAATAAAGCTTTGTATTTTCCAAAATCAAATATAGTTTTCCAAAAACGTTCATTGTAAGCTTGAGCTTCCGTTCACTTCAAAACCTCGTAGATTCTGAGGAAAAAGCCCGAAAATCCTACGTAAACCCATATCTTAAACTCCCTGGAAAGTTGACACTATGTGGTAATTCTGCTACCATCCCCCAGCGCCTTGTATACCTCGCTCTCCACCGCCACCCACAACCCAAGCACATTCACATCTTTGAACGGCAAGATCTGCGTACACACCATCCCGGCAACGCCCTTCTCGCGACCCGCCCACCACCACAGATTTGGAAGCCCAGCCCAGTGCGCAGTACCAGTCGATCGGCCCGTCGCGCCACCATTGCCCAGCATGAACATCAGACCCCAGCCCTGGGGTGGATCTCCAGAGACCGCATACATCTCAGGGATGGGGTTTGTGAGGTCCGGCTTTGCGGCGGGGATGCCTTGGCGACTGTAGCTGGGGAATTGAGGGATTTGGTTCGTGAACATCTCCTTCACGGTCTCTCCACGAAGCAGCTGGCTGCCGGTTTTCGGGCATGTTCCGTCGTTGAGCAGCACCGCGAGGATTTCTGAGACGAGCGTCAGTGGATGGCGTTTGATGAAATTCTCCGGATACTCACTGCAGTACTCCTGTGGCTTCGCAAATATGCCTGCGCCGCCACTGTTGAAGATCCGACCGACGTCGGCCTCGTTATCCAGATCGACAATCAGAGGTGCTCGGAGAGAATGGTCGCGCGGCCCCAGAGTGCCATCTGGCCCTCTGTTATTCATAAATGTCAATTTCTTCCGCACCTCATGACTGGGGATCATGGACATCTCTTTGATACCGCGTGGCTGGAAGACGTGTTTCTGAAGCTAGGCATTGAGCGACAAGTCTGCTGCAAGTTCCAGCGCGATTCCCGCCCAGTCGAAACTGACCTGTTTCTGTTAAAATTGCAACATGGTCTTGGAAAGATACAACTCACACCGTACTCCCAGCCCTCGCCCTCCTGGAAAGGAAGGGGCGTCTTCATATCTTCGATATTCCAAGAGAATTCATCCACGCAAACCGGATATGATTACTGCTTCAGTCGTTCGTTGAAGAAGTTATATCCAAAGCCAGCAGTGTGAGTCAGGAGCATGCGGAGCGTGATTGCACGCTTCTTCTCTTCGCAGCTGCCATCTGGCTGCAAGACCTTGAGGCTTCTCAGTTCAGGGCAAAGGTTCTCTGTTGGTACCCCATCATCCAGCTTGAGAATACCCTGTTCAACCAGTTGCATACAAGCAATACGAACCAACATATTTGTGCACGACGCTATCCAGAATATATTATCTAGAGTCATGGAGTCCTTGGATGCCTTGCCCCAGTTACCGGCAGAGTGGGCCAAGAGCTCGTCGCCATTTTTGTTGACAACCACAACGGTGACTTCAGGGATACCCGACTGTTGATCTTCACAGGCTTTATCTATTATACCGCAAATATGCGACGAGATCTGCGAATCCAGGGCCATGATTACGTGAGTGAGGCGAAGAGATGGAAATGTGATTCGGTTCGAGTCTCGAAGCCGGTCTTACAACTCGTGAGACTGCGGGGTACTGTCGAGAGCATCGCCTAAATAACCATTCTTTTCAAGTACCCTTGTCTTCTCAGCATCACTTGATATCACTAGTGCATGATATTGTCCATGCAAAGGACAGGCAAATCCTCTGCTTACGCAGCGGGTCTATAGCTCTGCGGATCCGCTTTGCGGGACCGCTGCGGATTTCAAACGGGGCGCGGGGGCAGTTACATCCGTCTCCGCACGCCCAGCGTCCAGATATTGACCGAGGCAAACAGACTAGTGGCTGCATAATGACACGTAGCAGTGGCAGCTGATATCGAGAGTGTGGGATCCAATAGGATACTGCATGGGAGCAGCTCTTCGAAAGCCTCGACGGATCTATGAGTTTGAACGTGCACTAACAACGGAACCCTTGTATGGTAGTGCAGACATGGCATTTTTGACGGGCTAGAGATTGCCAGGCTTGTCAAGCAATGGGTAAGGTATAAATATGGATATCCCAGATGCCGAACTAGAATCAAAATTCTTAAGAGTGCCATAGCAGCTGCATGCGACATGGGGAGTCTCGGCGAAACGGTCTCGCGGCCTAAGAAATTTAATACCGAGCTTACCGACTACTCAAAATTTCATGTTGACTCAATTGGACCATATGCCCAGAACCCCGAGGTCGATGCTTTGATTGTGGGAGCCGGGTTCGGTATGTCATCTTCACACATATATTGGCTCCATCGGCTGACAGGACAGCTGGCATCTTCATGCTCAAGACTCTTCGTGACCGCGGCCTCAAAACAGTCATATATGAGGCTGGAAATGATATTGGCGGTACCTGGCGATGGAACTGCTACCCCGGCGCAGGAGTCGACTCCGAAGTTCCTGAATACGAGTTTTCTTGGCCCGAGGTATACGAAACGTGGAACTGGCCCAACAACTATCCTGACTATCAAGATCTTCGCAACTACTTTGATCATGTTGATAAAGTCATCGGGGTGAAGAAGGACTGTGCTTTCAATACCGTTGTGATTGGGGCTCAGTTCGATACTGTGGAAGGAAAATGGCGTGTTGAAACTGCTGATGGCCGTACGACCAAGGCGAAATATCTTGTCCTTGGTACAGGCTTCGTATGAAATCTCCCCCACAACTGATTGACTCTTTACTGATCAAACGTTCCAGGCTGCCAAGCGCTACATCCCGCCATGGTCCGGGATGGACAAATTCAAGGGTATCATACATCACTCCTCCTTCTGGCCCGAAGAGAAAATCAACGTAAAAGGCAAGCGATGCGCGATCATAGGTACCGGAGCCTCAGGCGTACAGATCACGCAGGCCTGGGGTCCCGAAGCCGGCGACCTCAAAGTCTTCCAGCGAACTCCCAACCTCGCCGTCCCGATGCGCAAGCGCGACCTCACGGTCGAAGAGCAGGAAAGAATTAAGCCCTACTATCCCGAGCTCTTCCGGTACCGCGAAGCGAGCTTTGCTGGATTTTTATACGACTGGTGTGAACGTAACACGTTCGACGATACCCCGGAGGAACGTGAAGCCTTCTATGAGAAGGTATGGAAGGAGGGCGGCTTCCGGTACTGGGTCGCTCTGTACAAGGATAATCTCTTCAATGCAGAGGCAAACAAGGAATCCTACAAGTTCTGGGCCAAGAAGACGCGGGATCGTATTGGTGATCCGAAGTTGAGGGATCTGCTTGCGCCTTGGGAAATGCCGCACTATTTCGGTATTAAGCGGCCGTGTCTCGAGAGTACTTATTTTGAGCAGTTTAACCGAGAGTCGGTTCATCTTGTCGACATCAAGAACAATGCTATCAAGGAGTTTACTGAGACGGGTATCACTCTTGAGGACGGTACTCATCATGAGTTGGATGTTATTGCTGTTGCAACTGGATTTGTGAGTTCCACTTAACACACCAAGACCTTCAAATGCTCATGCTAATGTGGACAGGATGTCGTCACTGGCGTCATGACCCAACTCGGGCTTAAGAGCATCGACGGCACTGAGCTTGAGAAAGACTGGATCCCAGGTGCAAATACCTACCTTGGTACGACTGTCAGCGGCTATCCGAATATGTTCCACATCTACGGACCGCACGGCCCTACTCTCCTGAGCAATGGACCGACTTCAGTCGCAGTGCAAGGTCGCTGGATCGCTGATACCATTGCCAAGATCGAGGCGAATGGTGTCAAGTATATCAATCCGAAAGTGGAGGCTGCAAGTAAATGGAAGAAACATATTGTCGAGCTCAATGATCGATCGCTCTTCCCGACGACTAGATCGACTTACATGGGTGGTAGTATCCCTGGTAAGGTCTATGAGCCAGTGTGTTACTCTGGGGGTATACCAGCCTATGCGATTGAAATTAGGAAGGCGTTGGATGATTGGGAGAATGGTTTTGATGTGGTGAAGGCATAGTCTAGAACAACATTTTTCTCACATAATTATTTTCCAAGTTTGAAATGTTTTGCGGGCTATAAGAAATTCGCAAGGACAGTAATAGATACAGTATATAAGAGCAGGGGAACTAACAAAAGAGAGTATCGGTTAGGACTGTGAGAAGCGTACAATGTGTTCCAGATCAGCCGCCTCGGTTTAAAGCTTGGGGAAAGGTGATATGACCATTCATCGTAGTAATAATGCGCGGCGCATAATCGCCATGCTTGTAAACCACAACAATCGGGACGGAAGAGCACCCTTTACCCCTGAGGAGGTGCTCCAAGTGAGCCGGCTCCGAAGAGCCATAGTGAGAAGCAACCTCGTTGTGCTCGTTCCTGTTCTTGTGCTCTTCTAGTAGTAGACCGCCCACGAAAATGTCCTGAATAGCCACGTTCTCGTGGGTGTGGCCGCGCTTGAACTTCTTCAGCTACTCCTGCTGCGCCTTCTGGGCATTATCCTTCTACTCTCAGCTCTGCCTCGAACTTCTGCTGAGTCGCCTTCTCCTCCGAGCTGATTCTCGCTTCGAAATCTGCCTTGCTCTTCTCCTCGAACTACTCCAGCTTTCGGATCTCCTCGTGCATGATGGCCCGTGGGTCTCGTGCTGCTCCTTCAGCTCGTCATTATGGGCCAGGGTCTTGGCGTGCTCGTGGCGCTCATCCTGGATGGCCTTCGACATGGCTGCGCGCTCCTCGTTCCACTCGACCTGCTCATAGTGGAATTCGGTGAGCTTCTCGCTCTGGCTGTCGATCTTGGCCTGCAGAGTTGCCCGGATTTGAAGAACTCGCTCTCGGTCAGAGTGGTTCGCTGCGACTTCGAGAAGAGTGAGCACCGTCTGGAGGCAGATGATCTTCTCACGGACGGCGTTGGACTTACCGTCGACAAATGAACTTGTGCTTCTCTGCCTCGAGAAGCTTTCCGACCGCTTCAATCTCCTCCACGGACATCTTCTTCCACTCGCCGAGCAACTGGTGGTGGATGAGGTTGAGTGCCTGATCCATGCTCTCCTGGTCGTAGTGGCAGACGACGTGAGAGCGCTTCGAGGCAAAGTCGCGCTCCTCCGTGACAGTTTCGATTTCCTGGTTGGCCTTCTCCAACAGGCGCTTGGGCTCATTCCAACGGGTCCTGGTCTCGCTATACCGAGTCTGCGGATCTCGCTCCTCCTGCAGAGCCCGATCGCGCCCGACCTCAGCATGTTCACGCTCCTTGATGGCCTTCTACTCGCGATCAATAGCACCCTGGCGGTCCTTCTCAGCTTTTTTCAGCAGGTCGACGATCTTGACGCGCTCTTCCTCGGACGTTCTGCTCTGCTTGCGGAGAATTTTGAGCTCCTCTTCGAGCTTGATGGCCTTCTTCTCGAAGCTGTCGAGGACCTCCTTGGTGATTTGGGCCCGCCTAAGAGAGTGGTGTACTTGCCGGTGAGCTCGGTGTGTGACTCGAAGAGCTTGGTGTAATCTCTCTCGATCCGCTCCTTGGCCTCCTTCCACTGCTCCTTGCTCGCTCGGCGTTCTATTGAGCCATTCATTCCTCTCGTTGCGCCTGGCGGTATTTTTCGACGGTCTTGGCACATTCGGCTGCCAGAGAGAAGACGAGGTTCTGAATTCGCTCCACTTCCACCTCGAGCTGCTTGATCTGCTCATTTCGGAGAACGACCTGTTGCTCTGCAACGTTGACATCAATAGCCCTGTAATCGCGGCACCGAACCAATTCAATCATGCGAAGACTGGCGCGACTTAATTCACAGTTGAAAAACTTGAGTTGCTTCTCAAGTTCCTCGCTACGGCATTTCTCCGTATCAAACTTTTTAATGGCCAGGTCACACTCATGATCAGCAACGGCCAGGCTTTCGGTGACGCTGGTGAGGGTTTGAAGCAGCTTGTCGCTATCGGCAATGGCAGACTGGAGGTGGAGGGAAATCGACTTTCGCACGTTCATGACTTCTTGGTAGTATTAGTCCTTCTGGACCTTGAGGTCTATCATGGTGTCGAGGAAGGCATCGTTTTCATTTTCAACGTTGACCTTGTCGATGTCAATGTTGGTGATCACCTTCTTGTGAACGGCGTGTTTATTGATGAAGTTGTCGAGGCTGAACTTCTTGGATAGCATGCCGATGGTCTTTGAGTCGACCAGGAGACGTTGCAGCGCCTCTAACAACAGGGCGACTGGCATGTTGTTGTGACCAACATCGCCATTGACTCGGTTGACACCGTTCACTCCATTGGTACCGTTGGTGTGCGAAGGCACTATGACAGCAAGCGCTTCGACGGCCATGTCAGGATCTGTTTATGGAAACTGAACACGAAGATTGAATGCGAGGAAGGAGGGATATGGAGATAATCAGAATTTTATTAATTTTTTTTATTATTATTTTCTGACCATTCCCAAGGAATCTCAAGACTTTATATACATTTGAAGTCGGCCCCAAAGAACGAAATGAAAGCCGGCATCGCTTGTTCTAGCCGCAAATCTCCGTCTCTGTCTCTGAACAGCCAGCTGAAAACGCGTTCTAGCCGGCCACCTTCGCGATGAACCACGGCGATGCTGAAGTGTGTTTCGTCTGCTATGAATGACAAAAAGCAATTCTAATAGGCCATTCGTGCCTAAAACTATCAAGTACCTTTAAAATCGACGAAGATATTTCCCTGGGTTAATCAAATTATTCTTGTGCGAATGAGTCCGTCGCGATTTAGTTTCGGTCGGACGGGTACGTTACCCACAAGCCTTAGACATTCGACACGTTCCAGCAGCCTGCAACCAACCTCTCAATAGCTAAATGATTACTTGAACCTCATCAGCCTTCCACTTGGGCCGGTGTCGTTCAATTTAGCCTAGGCTCCCACTTAATACTTTCAACGCAATGGCACGCAGTTTTGCCTCCAGTAGTTCCAGCCGATCCCCTAGTTCCCGTCCCCACAGTCAGCCCAAAGGTCAAGCTCAAAGCACCTGCCTTATCGTCGCTTACTAACCCCCTTATCAGACCAAAAAAGTTCCCCTCCGCGCCAATGACCGCATCGTCCACACCTTCGCGCAACTGGACTCTGGAGTGCAATTACGCTCCCGACACTCCGCAACATGCCACACAGCCAGCGAAAAAAGCGCAGTACCTCCTCCGCGCAAAAACGCACCCAAGTCACAGACAACGACGGCTGGACTCACGTCACGAGCGGCAGCAACGTGCGGCGCGTAATGCGAAGCACGAAACGAAATGATAACGAGCTCGTCACGTCGGAAGATCAAGATGATAAACCGATAATTGGTCCCGCCTCAGCGCCGGCCCGGCTTACTTTCGAGGAATTGGAGGCGCAGTATAAAGGGTATCGGGAGCGATGGGTCGATTCGGAGACGTGGGAGATGTTGCAGGGGCATTTGGGGGGTAGAATACATGAACGCGTCGCGGATGAGAGTTCGCGGGTGAATTCTGCTGTCTCTGGATCTATCGATGGTATTGTTTGCATTGGACTTGGGAGCCCGAGTGGGTTTCTTCGTGATGGGTGGGTTGATCGGAGGGCTGTTTCGATGTATCAGCTTGCTGCGTTGGAGTGTGTTAAGGATGTGCTATCTGCCAGTGGTGAGTCGCCTCCCCTTCCTCGCTGGGAAATATTTGCTCTGGGTAAGGCTAACCATTCTCGAACCACAGGTAAAACCTCATTCCCAATCTACGCCCAAGACCCCGCATTCAATGAACTAGACCGCGCCCTCCTTGAATCGCTCGGTATGACCGTCGTCAACCACCCAGTCGCATTTGAGCGCCTTACATCCAACACTTTCCTCTTCTGCCCCGGTGCCGAACGCAAACATCTGGAAATGCTGCTCCCGTCCAATCCATGCTTTGTTCTTGGTGGGCCTTTGGAGAATACCGAATCGTCTGTCATTCAGACGTATGTGGAGAAGACCGACTCGAGGGTTCTGATTCCATTCGGGGCGCAGGAGCATGCATTCTGGATGATGCGCCTTTATTTTTGGGTGCAGGGGAATGACTCGTGAGGATTATATTCAGCATTAGCCGGTCTGGAGTTATGCTTATTCTTATGATGATGCTTTTTGTGTTGTCCTCGTATTTACAGATCATGGGGTGGAGTTTAGTCTTATGAGCATTTTATTCCTGATATTTGCTACTTTATTTTCGTCTGTACAATTACCAGAAACAATCATTCGACGATACTAGATACGCAGATAATCGTCCTGCGCTCGGCAATGCAAATTGTAACTGGCAGGAGATCCACGTCTCGTCTTGTGCATTATACACGACGTATCAGCCATCTAGATTGGAGACCAGGAGCAATCTTACTCCTCATTCAGGAGCCATTGATCACCGACTCGGAACCCATTGGGCCAGGGATCGGTTGGATCCAAAACATTGCTTAAATGCGTTAATCCAAGCACTCCCCTTCACAGTCGGCTCGATAGCCTCTTGCTTTCTTATCCTAGTCGTTCCCCGAATATAACACTCAAAAGTACTACCGATAATACTGCGGTGGACAAAGTGCTGACCAACCGCGAGTTGGCCGCGAGCAAGAAGAATAGCCATCCTCGCGCAGCTGCCGGTGCCGCAAGGGCATCGATCAAAGCGACCCGGAGACACCACAACAGTATTCGTGGCTTCCATCGTCTCCTCATTCAACAGTTCCGTGAATTCGAGAATGGACGCCCTTTATATCCGGATTTTCCGGGTGGATGGGAATGTAATCGGACTTACTGAGCGCCGCCTTGATCGCCTCCGCAAGTCGAATAAGAAGCGGGCCATTCTTGTGATTGATCTTGAGTCCAATCGTCGTCGCGTCGACGACAGCATAGATCATGCCTCCCCACACAATGTCGAGCGTAATAGTTCCCAGCTCCGGGAACTCGGGAACGTTGACCTGATAGTCCAGCTTGAAGACGAAAGAGGGGACATTGTTAAAGGAAACGGCCTTGACTTTCCCGTCCTCACAGTCTGCATCCACTGTCACCAGCCCCGCCGGTGTGTCCAACGTCAATCTTGTAACTGGCTCGACCATCTTCACCATCCCCGTCTCCAGTAGAACCGTAAAGGTGACGATCGTGTTGCCTCCAGACATGGGCGGGTATTCGTCGCTCTCCATGATTATAAACCCGGCATCCGCTTTGGGGTTCGTCGGTGGTAGGACTAGACCGACACACATTGCGGAGCGTCTTCGGGGTTCCTGTAGAAGAAGCTGGCGGATTTGATCTTCGTTATCTTGGAAGTGGACTAAGTAGCTTGTCGTACATGGTCTTGCATCCTGTCGGGTCCATCACGCCTCCAGTAATGACATCGCAGACTTCACCTGCGCAGTGGCAGCCCACTACTTGGATGTGCCGGTTGATTTTCACCATGTTGCAGTGTCGGGAGAGGAGGGAATGGAGGAAATTGGATCCCGCGGAGGATAGGGTCAAGCATCGGATGCCGGCGCGGCCGCGCTGGGGGGAACGCTTATTTATGTTGAGCTTCCCCCCTCACAAAAGAATGGTTAAGAGGGGTGTTCCCCGCATGTTCTGGGACTTCCGTGCGATTACCTGAGAGTGAACCCAGTCGGAAGATTACTCGACTAAAATTTTACCCTAGTAGGCTTATCTAGAGTACACCCCCTTAGGCGTGCAGGTGCAATACCATGATAATCCGGCAAATCTAGAGAAATCCTTAGCAGGACACATAATATCATTGAAATCATGATATTCAAATATATGCGGCATCTTATCTCGATCTCTGCTGTGTACGCGCACTCCAACAATGAACCGCCTTCTCGGCAACGGCGAACGATCCCGAACTTTATGTGTAATCTCGGGAGTCCTGCCGGTCAGTTCACACCCGACCTCGGTGCTTCTCTTCATATACCAATTCCTCGCAATGGATGAACCAAAGATCAGTTTCCTAGATCCAGTCTCCTTTTAACGAGACAATCTATTTTTCCACCTGATTCGCCATTCCGCTCGGCTCTTCTGGACTGGCAAAATTCGGCGTGCTCGAGAACCTCGCCATATAGAACACAATTTTTGGGGATGCACAAATTCAGTTAGTGATAGAGACTCGTCTGATGTTGTATATAAAATAGTAAGGACTGAAACATATTTCAGACGGAATTGTCCATTATGTCGAGATCGGTTCTTAAATATGTGGTCACAAGGACGAGGCTTTTGTCATCGACCGCACCGTGTGTATCACAGCTCATCGACATATTGTGATACAGTATGGATGGATGGACTCATTTATCAGATCTACTTTAAGTCCCTCGCTTTTTGTGGGTTTTCTGGTGCCCATTATACAAGAATACGGTTCTGCTTAAGTGTTGTGGTTGGGTTTCAATGTTTATAAGTTAACTACGGGCAAAGCGCCAATTGAAAATATTAGCTACTCATTCAAACTTTATTCGTCTAGAATATGTTGAGATTGGATACGATGAAGCACTGAATATTGAATAAGGGCCTGCTAGACGAATCGACCTTGATGGAATAGAACTTGACTGTATCGTGTTGAACTGCCTACATACGATTCTGGGGGTATTTATCCCTGAACGGGCGGCAAGCCCCTGACAGTAGTAAACCCCTATTATCGGTCTCAATCGGTGTTCTTCCATGAATATCCCCTGAATGTAGAATATAATGTCGCACAAGAGCGTTTGAAGCGCATATCAAGCTCAGTGCCCCGGGTTTCCCTGAACAGGCATGCCGACAGAGGTTGGGAATGAGGCATCAATTCGGTGCCTTATCCTGGAACCTCAACAGAATATTCTCTCACTTATTGTATAGCTGCGTTGTGCTCATGGTGCTTTAAAATCAAAAACTGCGTTCCGGAAATGATATGGACCTCTGATGTATATATGTGATTCAAGCTTGGAATGGTTCAATACACTATGTCCCCCAATATGATCTAATAGAATTACAAGCACAGTTTCAGACATTAGTCCTTAACAATACGGAGAGAAGTAAGCTTGAGCTTCGGTCAATATCCGTGGCTCTGGGAGGGTTGATGCAACCTGTGATAGCACCTGCCTAGTTGGGTATGGTGGATGATCGAGTCATACTTTCCCTCTCTGTAGCACTGACCAGCAGATACGGCTCATATCATTGTGACAATAGTCAAGTCTTCAAGCCTTGCCTGCACTGTAGACGAGGAGTCTCTCAATTATGCAACCTGCAACTCACGGACCCAACTCCAGGGACATTGGTACAAGCTAAGAAATAGTTTGCTGCAAGCCTTCGGTCCTCCCGTGTGCGGGACGTACCTTTCTCAATCCATGTCCATAATAGTCTTACGTTTTCCCCCTAGCAGCCGGAAGAGGGAGAGAGGGGGAGGGCAGGCGGGGCGAAGGGGCATCGCCATGGGGAGAGCCATATTGAAACGGCACCAAAACGCTGGTCGGAACGTGGATGATGCACGATGCGTCTCTTGGAAACTGCTCTGGTAGGCTGATCGGGGCCAAAATGGGGCGATCATACCCGGGGTGGGAATGCACTGGGCGTGGAATATGCCTTGGGAAGGCTGGATCCCTTTCCAAGGGCTAGGGTCGGTTAACAAGGATGTGACGGGGCTTTTTGTGCTCGCGGATGTACTTCCGCTTCCTGGTGGGGATTTCGGGGCAAGGAGTCTTTGCAAGCGTTGCATTGGGAGGTGGAGGTGGTCGGTGCGAGTTTAGATGATGTTGTTGTTGTTTGAATTGTGGTGGGGGTAGTCGTGGTGGACGATGGTGATGGGATGCCGTGCATTGTATACTCCGGGAATGGCCAATCGGGCTGCACTCGAGTGGTTTGTGACTGGATCGAATTCAATGCGAACTACTACCCGCATTTTGGCATTTTGTGGTTGGATGGAGGTCAGCTGGTGTGTTGTCGCCTCGAACAATTCCAGAATGCGCACCTTGGAGGGGGAGTTTCACAATTGCAGCGATACACCTGCGGGCCGGAATATCCCTTTAGTCTGCTCCACTCGATCTTCAGACGGCTAGAAAGTATTTTCCGATGTGGTGGATTGAAGACTCCAAACTCACCGGGAAATATCCGACCATTGCGGATGGCTGAACGAGCTTGGAAGGTGCCATCGCGAGTCCTCTCCGGAGCACACCCCGCCGAGGGCCAGAATCAGAGGCCCGGATATAGCAGGATCAGGATGCAGCGATCACTTCGAATGGGACCCGGCCACCCGGGGCGAGCAACCCGGGCAAATTAGACGTGTGAGAATGGATGGTGGTGGAGTCGGTTGAGCCTCAGGCGATGTCATCGAAGCATTCCACGGGTCTTCCACGCCGACCATGGGCGCGATCTATACACGAGCCAAACTTGACAGCAAATTGTCAACAACCCAGTTCCCCAGCAACAATTGAATTCTCTCATCCCTTCCCTTTAATTCCCACTTGTTACAACCCTACTCTATCCTAAGGTAGACAGTGATTACGTCGATGCCCAACTGGGTGGGGCTTTGTCATCCCACTTCGACCGCGCGCTTTGCGTCATTCATCCCCTTTTTCTTTTTTCGTTTCACAACTTCTCTTCTTCGCCGATTTTGCATCAAAACTCGACCTGCCACCCCCACCTTCCAACGACCCCCGGTGTCAAGTTGATCATCTGGCCCCTCCAATCTCCCGACTACCGGCAGTAGCTCGATTCTTGCCGGCCGATCGCGATCTTGCTTGTTCGGGATTACTTATACTTCATCCCGATCTCATCTTGTAAGTTTTGCATTCATGGATCCGCATCAGGATTTGCTTTTGCTGCACCGGTCTTCTCTTGGGAATCCCGCCTAATGCCGTCGTTGCAGCCCCCGCCCTCGATCCCGGCGTCGACGCCGGCGCCGGCCCTGCCCCAGCGCCCAGTTCCACGCCCTCGCTTCTGGACGACACCAGTCCCACAACGCGTGATGGCGCACTACCGCAACCTCTCGCCGACCGGCGGAAAGAGCCAAATGCATGGTGGGCCGCGGGCGTCGACCGGGATGGTCCAGCTCCCGGGCGTCCACGACCCTTACGACATTCCCCGACGCCATTACGACTATTATGATGACTACCACTACCCGTCCGACGTGGGCTATGGTACGCACCGGTATCAGCCACGGCATCGGTCGACGGTAGATGTGCAGCCCACAGGGCAGCATAAATATCGGGATGCTGGTCATTCCAAGAAACGTACCGAGTACACCATCCAGCCGCAGTCTGTGCAGGCCACGCAGTCCAGACACCGGAGCAGAAGCAACACTACATCAGCCACGGATCTTTATGATACCCCGGTGCGCCTAGCTGTTCCATCGGGCGCTCATCTTCGTCCGGTGGCTCCGCCGGCCGGCCGGGTCGACAATCTTTCGGACTCGGGCCATCACCACCTCGTTCACGCTCAACCATCCCACCACGGTCGTCACCGTCGGGTCTATAGCGGCACCGACTATGCTAGTGACACGGGCCGACTAGATCCTCGTGACAGTGGCATACACCACCGATCTCATCATGGATCGTCTCATCGCGTCCATGCCCCGGTTGGACACCACCGACGCTATCCCACATACGATGGGCTGAAGAAGGGCGACGATATCGACAAATACGATGCCTACTCATATACTACACCACGAGAGCAATTTGACCGCGACTACCCCGTCAAGCCTCGTCATTCAAGCACAAGATCCTCGGTCGATCGGCCTCTCAGCTTGAATGTGATGGAAGAGCATCCGCAATACATGCCCCGCAAAGAACGCCCTCACGGCCCTCCTCCAACCAGCTGGGGCTTTGACAAACTCGACCGCGAAGGCCGGCCTCGCAATTCGAGTCACGGTCTCGAGGTCCCCCGGGCTTCTTCACGTACCAGAGATACATCGCGATCTCGCGGAGATGGTCATGACCGCGCCCTGGTCGCAGTTCCTCACGATTCTGACGATGGCTATGAATCCTATGATCCTCACCGACGGTCTCGTCATCGCCGGTCGCACCGTGACAGAGAGCGATATTCTCGGGATGATCGGTCCCCACGACCTCACCCTCACAATGGCAGTGGTGAGATGGCTCTTGCAGCGACGGGTTTGGGCACGGCCGCCCTGGGCGCCGGTTACTCGGACATGTCAGACTACGACCATCGACCTCGGGCAAGCCATCCTAGACGCTCGCATGATCCCGAGCGCGACTATGAATCTACCAAGCATGTACCTCGAGACCATACGAGAGATTTGAACGATGGCAATGACACCAGCCCCGAGAGAACAAAGCAGATGTATCTGGAGCCTACCGCTAGCAGCCACCACCGCAGTGGCCGATCACGCAGACGCTCCAAGCGTCACACTGACAGCGAATCAGAAGGATACACTGACGATGATGACCTGCGAAAGTATCGGGACGAACCGTCTGCTACTCCGCGACGCCGGCACAGTAGTACTGATACCAGCAGCGGAGACGAGCGTTCGGCCAGACGCCACCCTCGCGACTGGTCCCGCCATGAACCTTCTCGTCCGCAGCAAATGCTCGAGGACCACCGCTCTCATGACTCCCGTGGCTCTCTGTCTGGAAGCCACGAAGATGTGCGGAAGCCTATTACTGTCGAGCCGCCTGTCCAGAAGGAGCCGGAGGTGGCCGCACCCAAGGGTATCCTGAAGCCACCTCGCGAGAGCTTCCCCGAGGAACCCAACCCTATCCGAGAAGGTGTAGCGCCCCTGAAGGATGCGAACAAGAAGGGTATTCCGCCTGGTGCGCGATGGACCAAGATCGATCGAAAGTTAGTGAATCCGGAGGCATTGGAAGCTGGTAATGAGCGGTTTGAAGAACGATCCGACTATGTCATTGTCTTGAGAGTGTTGTCTAAGGAGGAGGTTCAGATGTACGCTGTCAAGACACAGGAGATCCGAGGTAAGTTTTGGTTCATGTTTCTAGGGGATGGAGTTTTCGAACAGACTTTGACCAAGAATATTACAGACGCCCATGAAAAGAAATACATCGAAGACAAACGTCGTCGCATGGAGGAAGACCGCCGCTATGGTCGCCGTGGCGAAGAATCGTCGAGCGATGACGAGGACGACTACGAGGGCGCGCCGTTGAAGATCGAGGCACCCCCAGCGCTGGAGCAGAAGCCGTCCCTGCCAATGCGCCCTCACCCGTCGCAAATTTCAATCCCTGAATCCGAGAGGACGAGAATGAGTCCGTCCGCCGCGCCGGCATAAAGCATACATCTCCAATGCCCACGAGCTGACGTTCAACTCGTCCTCGCCCTGTACGAACAAAACAAAAGATGGAAGCAATACCTTTCCGCCTGGGATGCACATGGACAGCCTCGGGCTCAGCCTTGCCGATAGGATCACTCAAGCGCCTGCAGACCAGCCGCTTCGCTCTAACCCCCTTCCCTTCCCCTTATGATCCTGGTCACACCTGCGCCCCTGTGATACCCCTCTACTTTGTCCAACTGCGTCACTGTATGATAGTCAAACTCGCATTTACATTTGCATAGCCCAGCGCCCCCGAGGAAAAAGGGAGCGATTTAGCCCAATCCATCAGCATCAGCCAAGTGGCACATAAATCCATTTTTGCCTTTTTGTTTTTTTTTTTTTTTTTTTTCAGTCCTCCCATCTTCGTCATCTTCGAAATGAGGCTGCGGCCTTTTCTCCCGACGCCTTGTTCGTGGCCGGCGCTACAACTGCACCGGTGTGTACCCGCGGGGTTGCGAGGGGTTTCAGTGTCGCAAGATGCCACTTCAGCTCTTGTGTTACCATCAGCTTGTTGGAGTCTCATCTGCACATGTAGTAACTGCATTCGATCGTCTTCCCAAGATAGACCTACGCAAGTCAGATGTACATATGTTCATACATGTAATGTAGGTGATGGATATTTGACAGACACGCTGTTAGGGACATCTAATGGACACACTACTGCTGTATCTCAGTCAGGTATTTGGAAGCGCTGACCAACGAGGCGAGTCGCTGTCAGCGCAAAAAGCAAAACCCTGCAGAACCACTCAAAAAGCAGGAAAGTGGGAATGGAAAAAGAAAAGAAAATCTGGCACATCGATTGCTTACTGAATATTCAGACTCTTCTCAAGATTATTCAACGAGTCATCTGATCTTCCTCTGATTTGATTTCTGGTGTACACATCCATTTCTTCTTCTGTGCTGTAGCAGCAAGTGTACCGGTTAATCCCGTACGTACCTCAACCAAATGACCCAACATCCGCATATTCCTTTTTTTTCGGAAATTATCCTGGCGTCTAAACCGTCTCACCCTGATCGCCGAGTCCATCAAAAACAACAAAGGAGCAGCACGTCCCTCTTACTTATTTCGAAATAGTTCCAGCAGCCGTAGCAGTCAAGAGGGGCCAATGCAGAAGCAATTATCCCAGCCCAACTAGTCTCAGATGGTCATGAAGTCCTTCTACCTACTTGGTACTAGGGTGTTAGAAGTACTTTGCGATGTTGGTGGGGGCAAGCAAACACCTCTATCTCAGGCAGGTATGTGACCCTTTCTCGCTAGGAAAGGCGGGCAAAAAGCAAATTGAAATTCAAGATTATGATTATCCTATCTAGGTCGAATATAGACAAAGAAGGAGTCTCGCACGAGGTGCATCCATGTGCACGTCCCATCCATCAACGCCACCTGCGGAGCGTAACCGCGAGCAAACATTTCCGCTGTTGGTTCTTGCCAGTGGTGGGTTCGGTGGATGGCTGGTTCGATGGGGCGCTTCGATGTTTGCAGGTGTTAGTGTTTCGGGGTGGTGTGTGAATCAAATGAGATCTGCCGGTCGTCACATCTACCATCTACATACATACAGGTAACTAAGTCTAAAATACTCTCAGCTTCCTCCCTCTGTTCGGAGTAGATGTAACACGTGCGTCACACTCTGCTCATTCCAAGAATGAGGAATGCCCTTGTCCCGCCCATCACCGTGGCCTCGGACGCGAGCTGGTCCCGAACGTCTCGTACAGTACTGGTGACACGCGCCGTCCTAGCCGAGATAGCACCCCCCTGCCAGGGAAAACGTTTAGACCAGCTCGGCTGCTTGGAATGATCAGCCCGTCCCGCATGGCCCCCGCTAATTCAATGCGGCGCCGGCCTAGCAGGGCCGTATCTTCCAATCCTAATCTAGAATGTGCAGGGGCCTGTATCATACCTTAGGTAGCGTAAGAAAGAAACAGGACGGATAAATGCACACTAGCTCAAGGTCAAGCAGGTTGGCTTCGGGTCCTCCCGACTTCCGAGTCGAGATACAGCTCCGCCAGCAAAGACTCGGAGGGAAAGGGATATCCTTCGATGGTATCACCGTGGAGGGAGGGGGAGGCGTCATACATAAGAGGTTGACTAGTCGAAAGGAGGAAGGGCGTAGGAGCGAAACAGGGAATGGCGATGTGGGAGACGAGACATTGGCCCCCGCTGAGACCTGTTTTTGATCGTTGGGCTGAGGCGTTTGATCGATCTTGATCTTGTGGTCGTTTGCCCTGCGAGTGGGAAAAGTTGGATGGGCGGGATTTCCGCGATCGCCACAGACTCAAAAAGACCACCGGGGCCAGTCACCATTTTTCCTATGTAAATCAATGTCAATCATTTTTACTTACTACTCTGCTAGTAGTAAAATTAGGGCAGCCTAGTCGGAACTAAAAGAAGACTTCGCCGGCGAGAGAAATCACATCAAGGTTGTGATCGTCGTCTTCTCGTCGACCTACCGAGGCGAGTGGCCTATAGTCGGTTGATACGACTGCATGCGCGATAACTCGGGTTACCAGACACGCCTAGCACGATGAACAAGAATAGAGAAGAAAAAAAAAAAAAAAACCAAAAACACAAGAATTTACGGCCCCGGGGTTACAATCGCGGGTACGAGCCATGGGCATCGAATGGCTGTGCGAGCATTGGGGCGGTTGCCATCCAAACATGGAGGCGACCCACCATTTTAGTAAAGAGTGGAAGTGAAGGCAAGACTTGTTTGATCAGTCTTTCTCAAGTGGGCCACCCGTGAAAAGGTGGACACGGGCCGCGATGTTGGAGATTTGATTCGGTGGGAAGTCGCCCGTCTCCCACTGGTGGCAAGTGGATGGTCTCGTGGAAACCAGGGTGAGATCAATCTGAGCCAAGAGGCTTGTTTTTGATATTGCAGTTGCCCCGTGCTCCGCTCCAGCGCGATTATCCCCAGCCCGTTTCGGAGTCTTGGGTGATAAACAACCCTGTTTTGTAGCTTAGTAGGGCTGTACTATACCCTAGGGAAAGGTGGCAACTCGGGTACGACCGCGCCCTAGTTCAGGTTCTTTGTTCTTGCCTTGACACCGAACTTGCGATCGACAGTGCTCTAAGGAAGGTTACCCAGTCGAGGCGTTTGTTGGTTCGCAGCCCCCATGCGTCCAGCCCTAACACCAACCCGTCCCTGTACCTTTGACAATAACCACCGGCGGTTTGGGGATATCTTGTACGGGGAGACTGATATAGCCCTGCCCATAGGTAGAACAGGCAAGTGCCGACGCTAGACGAAGCCGCGCAATATGCCAGAGTTTGGTCCGCCTTCTCAAAGACGGAGATCGTCGCAATTTCTAATCCTGATCCGGTGGGCGCGTTCTGGAACTGCCTACCTCGGTAGGAACCCCGTCTCCCTTCCCATCACTCCATCACCACCGGGAGGGAAAGAGACCGTGGGAAGGCCATCGGAAGGCCATCGGAGTCTGTGGGCTCTGGTTAGCACTGACTGTCCAAGCCACCAGCCTGTGTTAATACTCTGCCAGATATATCGGGCATGCCCACTGGGCAGTATAGCATCGGTGGATTTGCAGCGATCAGCCGCTCGAACTTCCCTGCCCCACCCTGCAGCCATGCAGGAGACATTCTGAAACCGCCCTTCCGGCCACGCGACACGCTACCTGCGCAGGTTGACACAGATGTTCCGAGAGTCGGTGAACACAGCCACCACTCGGAAAGATGCAGGCGCAGGCGCGGAGTCTGCAGGTGCTCATTTCCCCGTCGCCGTGAGTTGCCAGCTTCTTTGTCCTGGCCTCGACCGTGGTTGTCCCCCAGGGAGAGTTGGGGGCCGGATCGCGTTCGGGGCTCGACTGCCTCGGATCCGGGGTGGGCCCGAATAATGCTGCGATGTGTCCATCCCGACCTGCGCAGACAAACAGCAAACTTGAGTAAGCACAAAGGGCTGCACGCCAAGAAGGGGCCGTTAAACGGATTGCGTGTTCATTCGGCCAGGGCCGATGAACAAAGAAACCTGGACATGCCGTGTGCAGCCTAGTCCCTCTCTCGGTACAGTAGGGGAAATAGGGAGAGGGAGAGTCGGAGCAGACCGTCTACGATCCGGAGTGCGGAGATGGGTACCCCTGGCCCCTGCGTGCCCCTAAATCGCTCGACCGTTGGCGCCTCCCGGGGCAGATCCTCCTTCCGTGCGCGAGACCAGGGTCGACAACTTTATTTTGAGAATACTTTACCTAGGTTGTAGTATATTATATGAGAAGTGTCAAATGGGGTCAGTTTACCACTGTGAAACAACACTGTGAAATAGCGAGAGTGATTGCAGGACTAGCTAGCGTGCCGCCTGCTGTAGATCGCTCTAAGCGAGGAAGGCGTACATCTACATCTAAAAGGTTTAGGGTGGTGATATCAAAAGAACTAACCGCTTGCGAGTACATCAGATGTGATTGTACCGCGGGTTCGGCGACCGTGGTCACCTTGGAACCAACAGATCACCAACCACTACTACTTAGTGTCTCTAAGGTAGGAATAGTACTTGAGATACTGTCCTCCCCTCACTTAGCACAGTGTGATGTACCCGCCTCAAGAGTCGTGTCCTATATTAGTTGGAGTTACGTCCATACGTATAACAGCGAGCACTGTAGAGCACAGAATTATGACGCTCCACTGACGCATAGACACGGACAATTTGCTTCCTCGACTAGCGCCAAGCAGGCCTTCGAAGTGGCGGGGCCGAGCATCGTCTGATGGACGCGATCACTTGCCGATTGCCGACTCCATGACTCCTCCGCTGCCCAAGGTGTGCCAAGGCATTATGGCCCCGAGTGGTTGATAACATATACCCCCATAACTATATTGAGCAGAGGAACGATGATCGAAAGCTATAGTCGATCTCAACCGGTGTAGTCACGGTGTATACATCAACATGCAGTCCGCAAGCGCGATCTGCACGCAGCAAGGGCGGCCCCAGTTCTCAACGTGGCCCGCTGGGAACCAGATGTGCATAAAGGGCCCAAGAGCCGAACCAAAGCAACACGGAGCACCGCGGGCCGGCTATACCTGCGAGATACTGGCTGTAAAACTGAAATATAGGGGGAGAAGGGATGATAGGAGGGTTTTCTCCGACGGATCCCCATCTGGATAGATCACCAGTCGAGGTCGGAGGATCGGAGCAACGGCGGACGCGGAGGAATCACCCTAACACCCTAAAGGTAGAAGGATCAATCTGTGGCTGTCGCCTTCAGAACCAGCCCCGACTCACGTTTATTAATGCGTGTTCATGTCCTGCGCTGTAGGTCAGCCACGGGCCAGAACGCCTCGGGCGCTGGCACTAGTCCCGAAATGAGCAAGGCCATATCCAAACGGCGCACAGGCCGAGTTCTTTTCTTCATTGTTGCGCATGACGTATCCTCGATCGACATGCGCCGGAGGTACGGCGGTTTTGAGTCTAGGTGAGGCATTTCTGTTTGACTTTGCTCGGCATGGAATTGCCATCAACATGGGAGGAGGTGAGGCCTATTTTACCCTAAGGTAGGTATCACCCTCCCCCTAAGGAAGGCACTGACCTCGGCACAGCTAGAGGTAAGCATGGTCTAAATGCCGGGCGTACCCTAGTTGGCCGGCCTCGCGTGCTCTGGACCAACGTCCAAGTCGATCCGGGGCCGGTAGTGGCACTCTTAGCAGAGCAAATCGAGGATCGCGAGGATCCGCCCAGGGGTGAGTCTTCTTTCCACCCCTCGTCGTGTACACACACGCCCTCCATCGAGCACAGTAGCAACCCCTGCCCAACCGCAGCCACCATCCGATCGCCGTTCCAACCGTGAAACCTTTCTGGAACGGTACGACGGCGGCGCGCAGGTGCCGTCAGCGACAAATGGACGGTCAGCTGTCCTCCTTGCGTGGGAATGCCGTGCGCGAGTGGAGACAAGCTCGTGCTCAAACCTGCCCACCTTATACTCGATCCAGGTTAGACTTCGTTCCTCGACATCTGTATACCTCCACGGACCACGGAGAATTGCTCTCAACGGAGCCGCTGGGGTGGGTCGCGGCCAGACCAGACCTGCCCGACAGTAGAAGTTCGACGATCATCTCCATCTCTCGAGATCCGACAGGAAACAAAGCCCACACCGCGAGGGCCAGCTGAAGGGTGGGACCGAGTGCGGGTACGGCTACGGCTTAACGCGACGGCGCAGTGCAGCGAGCCTAAGTCCATCCAATCCATCCATGCACCCTGCATCGATCACGAAGAAAGACCAATGAGGGCGCCGCGCGAGAATGGCACCGTTTCCCTTGGTCCCCCCTCCCCACCTCCATTGCTTTTTTTGCTGTGCTCGAAAAGGGGGGGGGCTGGAGGGATAAAATTTTTTTTCTGCCCATGCGACTTCCATGCTGGAACCATGCATCCCATGCACCGGCGGGTTTAGCCCCGACTTTGCTGAGCTCCTGAAGTCCCCGGCTTCAGCTCGATTCCGACCTCTGCCACTCGTCACTCGTCCTCGGTGGGCAACACGATGCGATGGGGAAGGAGGATCGCGGCGAGGCTCTCATTGGACCATGTCGGACCAACGGTGATTGCGATGCGATGGATGGCCACCCCTCCCGGTGAACTAGCCTACTTCTGGAAGCCTGAAATGGCGCCTGCACACCCCCGATGTACCTAGTTCACACACTAGGTCGCCATTGGAGGGCAGTGGAGGGCCGTGGATGGAGCAGCGAGCAGTCCCCGGGCGCGGTGCGAGGCAGTCGCGATCGCGTCTTGCTCTTGTGCTTCCCCCTCCCTTTTGCATTCCCTTTCACCACCGAATTGAGCCTCAGCCGGTTTTCCGTGTACGGCCGTAGCCGTCGCGGGCGTCGAGAATGCGCCGGAGTTTGAGATGGTGCCGGCTTGAGTAGTGGCGACGGGACCAGCCGATCCACCACTCGGGGGGAAGTCGGGGAGAAGTGGGTGACCTGTTCACATGGCGAAGATGTGGTTGACTCGAGAGTCGAGTCGTTGGGTGGTTTGAGTGCTTGTGGTAGTCGTTCTCCTTGGGTGGTTTTGCTGCTGCCTCCGCCACAAGCCGAAGGCTAATGGGAGGAGGCCCGCATCGGGAGGAAGTCGCTCTTCCGCATTCCAACCAGTACATACTCACTAGCAGTCCTAAATGTGCCTCTACTTGTCGCATCGTCACTACCACTGCCTACAACAGCATTGCCTAGGTCATCTACGTCGGTCCTAGGTACTGTGGGACAGCCGAGGATCGATCGAGGTTACACGGGACGAACGCAGTGATGGGCACCGTTAGGGTGTTTCGAGTTTATTTAGGAGGCGACGTCTATTGGGGAGGCAGTTTTACCCCTCTGGCCTGGCAAGCAGCCCGATCGGTCCGCCGATCCTCGATATACTCCGTGAAATCGCTCAGTACCTGAAACCATTAGCTCGGGGGCACGTTGCTAGTACTAGTGAGTGCTCCCCGAGCTCCACCGAGCCGCTAATCTTCATCTCGACACTCTAGACCGATGTCATGCTAGATCGTTCACGTCATATAGCAAACACTCCTAGTCTAGTACAGCAGGGTACGAGTACTCCTGCTGTACATACTAGTAGTAAAGTTGATTGTAATCTTACAGCCCTACATCCTCACATCCTTCATCACTTCTACATACAAGTAGTCTAGCACCTCATGTAGCCCTCACTGCAACTCGGGTGCCGACGGAGGTTTGCTCCCTGGTGCAGACCTCCCTTCTGACTTCTGACTTCTGCGAGGTAAAGTTTGTTGTCTCTCCATCGGCGCTTTGCCCCTTTTGCTCTAGTCCACTCGTGTACCGCCTGCGCAACCAGAACGAATCCTGCCGGCCTCCCCAAACTCTCCCCAACAGCACAGCAGCTGTGCAGCGGGAATAACGTCACCCGGGTCATTCTTTTTGCTCTGTATCTCCGCGCCACTCCCCCTCCTCCCCCCTCCTCTCTTTCCCCATCGCCACCAATCATTCTCGCGATCCAACCTGCCTCGACTCTCTCCCAACGTATCACGATCCCTCCACCCACTCCGAGGAACCAGTCGTGGGCACAGCACGTTCGGGACCCGCTATATCTCAGGCCGTTGGAACCAACGGAGTATAGATCGGCTCTGCTCTACAAAGAAACAAATACATGTTCCCCACCGTCTTCCCCATTTCCCCACCGGTCGAATCTACGTACCTTGTCGTCGCCCTGTGGTATGTAAGTATTGGGTATTGGGGATTCGGTATTTGGTGTCTGTCCAGAAATCCTGCTCCTACAGTTGCCACGCACTCCCTCCGCCTGCATCCTGCACATCATCTCCCCCTTCTATTCTGTCTCCCGCAGGCGTTTAAATCTGCTTCCATCTCGGCTACACGACACATGATGACCCGGATTTAATTTTAAAAAGTTTCCCTCCTGAGGCTCGGATGTTTAGCGGACTCGAGTCTTTGCTAATCTCCCTCCTGCATCCATCCTGGTCAGTATTACACTCGTTTCCACTAGTGACTGGCACGCTCTCCTCCCTCCACTGGCCTTGTCACTCTTCCACGGCGCATCTCTCGACAGCTTCCCTCTATCCCTCATTGGGATTTTTTTTCTTTGGGCCTTTTTTGGGTCAAGCCGTGGGTTTTTTTTTCCCTTTTTTTTACTCTCTTTTTCTTTTTGAATTTTATATTTTATTTTATTCTATTTTATTTTCCAAATTCTTTCATTTCCTTCTAGGACTCCCGCCGCCGACGGTAGGATTAATTTAGCAGCGCAGCTCTCCCGGCAAGATTCAAGCCAGGATGGGTCTCGGTGCAGCTAAATAAACCGACCCTGGACCCTCCCACCGTGACCCTCCCTCTCCCTTGAACCCCAGTCGAGAACAGAGGCTACTAGCCGTGTGTCGCGCATCCGAGAGCCTCAGTGCGGGATCGACCCCCCCATTTGACGTTGGGCATCTCCACGCGCTTCTTCCGTCGCGCGTCAACGAGCCCCCGGCTCTTTTCTTGTCAAACCTCCCTTCCCCATTCCCATCCTCCCACACCCATTCCCTCTTCCTGCCAACGGATTTGCCGTCCCAGCCTGTCCACGGAGGTCGGTGACCGGTATGGTACAGGACCTTGGTTCTCCCGTGTCAAAATACAAGGAAGAACCCGTTAATGATCCCGTGAGTATTCTTTTATTCTCTGTTCGCTGCTTTCGCATTGCCATTGCAAAACTCGCCCATTTTTTCTTCCTGCACCCGATAGAATTGAGTCGCAAGATCTTCCTATTTTCGTCAATATCATTTCCTATCTTCTGGACCTGGTTTTTTCTTTTCTTTATATCGGAGGGATTCCGCGCACACAACTTGCGCATAACACACCGTCTACTCCCTCTCAATCCATTCAATCCGGCGACATTGAAACCCAGCCTCGATGAAGCGCATCTCAGAATCAGCATGCCTCATACAATATCCAAAAACCTTTTGTCAAGGCGCATTTATGTGGCCAAACGGGCGCGAGGTCAATATCCCTACAAGCCTCCTCCAATTTGAATGCCCGGGCACGTCACTCACTCCGACACCATGAGAAGTCGCCATTGCAATGAGGCTGGATCTGCGCAACCCATTTTCCTCGAATCATTGGATTCGCCAATCTGTATGCCGTCGTTACCGAGGCGGCTGTCCCTCAACCAAGCCTCGCAAAGCAATTGGCCCAGCAGAAACAGGAGAGAATCAGGGTACAGGGAACAGGAGAGGCACCGTGAAAGCCACGCACTCTGTTGATTTGATTTGAAACGACATGGGCAAACACGCGGCTGGAGTGCCTTGTCCCTTCGGAAGAAAAGAACCACTCGCAGTCCCAAGCCAGATGTGCAGCGCTACACAGATCCATGGTTTCCTTCGACCCTAGCCGGCGCATCCTGGCTCTACCCTGGCCATTTGTTACGCACCTAACCCCATCCCTGCTGAAGGCATTGTTCATTCTGTGTCCTCTCCTCCAACCACCCCTCGTCGTCCCCTCAGCCCTCGCCCTCAGCCCCCCAGATGAGCCTCTGCGAGTGGAAATTCAAATCCCCGCGCTTATGTCGTCACTCGGAAGATCTGGCTGCGTTCTCAAAGTCCTTCTCGTCCTCCCACGTTCTTAGGTTGTTGTACCACCCTGCAATGCTCGAACTCCTCGGCCGTGGGCCTCCCCCAAGTGTCAGTCCACTGATATGTGCGTTTGCCACAGCTTCGACACGGCAATTCGGGGCGTCCGAGCTTACAGCACTCGCAACTACAGCATCCGCGCCCAATTCTAGCTCATCCAAGAGGTCCCCCGTCTCCGACACACTCTACCGTCTCGATTCCTCCCAGTACCTATCCGCCGCCTCACTCTCTCGCCGCTGGCACTAGCATCCAGCATCAGCACAGTGCCTACGGACCACCTCCAGATTCCCATTATTACCCACATCCAACAAACTATCCCCCGGCAACTGCATCCGCGCAGTATCCTTCCAGCGGTAAGCACTTGCGTCTTTTCTTCAGCTCGAGTCAGCTCTTATGCTCTTTTGCGGATGCCTAGCTTGACCGCCGTGGCACGTGCTATTTATTTAGTTGATGGCCTTGCTGATGTATGAGATAGGACCTGATCTCATGGCCACTACCGCACAAATGCAGAGACCTTACCCACCCATCTACCACACCCCTCAATCCAACTCGCCGGCATCGGTAGCGTCACAGCCGCATGATCCGCATGGCCGGACTCTCTACACGCAATCCCCCCAAATGGCGCCCCAGATGTATGGGTATCCATACTCACCTATGAACCCCATTCAGCCGACGGGGTATGCGACGCATCCATCATCACAATCGCACCCTCTCACCACACAGCCCATGATGATGCCACCGCAGACGACATCGGCACAGATGTCCCCTCACCAATCCTCTCAACCTCCCAACCCCGCCTTGTCCAGCAGCCCAGGAATGAAGATGGATTCAACACCGCAGCCCGGGTCTGGCCAACGGCCAATGCTCAACGCTCCGCCTCTCTCTACCTCCAACCCCAGTATGCCCGGCTCCTCCTTGCACTCCACCTCGCCACTGGGGACCAGCTCTAGCGCAGCACCTGGTCCCATCCCCGCCACGACCCCCCTCGTCGTACGACAAGATAGCAACGGCGTCCAGTGGATCGCCTTCGAATACTCTCGAGACCGAGTCAAGATGGAGTATACTATCCGCTGCGACGTCGAGTCCATCAACACGGAAGAGCTGCCGCAAGATTTCAAGACAGAAAACTGCGTCTACCCGCGCGCCTGTTGTGACAAAAATAACTACAAAGGCAACCGACTCGTCTACGAGAGCGAGTGCAACGCTGTCGGTTGGGCCCTTGCCCAATTGAATCCATCACTCCGCGGTAAGCGTGGTCTCATCCAGCGGGCTGTGGATAGCTGGCGCAATAGCAACCAAGACCCCCGACTCCGGAGCCGACGAGTGCGCCGTCAAGCGAAGGTTAATCGACGACAATCGGTCCCGGCCACCCCAGCTCCTCCACATATGGCCCCTACAGCAGCCATGCCTGGCCTTCCCAGTGCAGGACCTGGGCCCTCGATGCCGGCTCCTGGACCTCGACCTAGCCTCTCGGGGCCCTTGAATATGGGACCCCCGCAACTGCACCATCACCATGCTCAACCGGATGGCAGCCCGAAAATTGAGGAAGTCAGTGGTATGTTTCACCAGATCTGATGCCTCTCGCTTCCGTTTTCCGTGTTCCCCTTCTTGCAACGCGTGGCGGGACAGTGACTTGTTTTTATTTTTATTTTTTTTATTTCTTTTCTTTCCTGTGTTATGTTATGGATTTGATGGACTGGGTGATTTTCCATTGTCTTGTGCCCTATTTCTTTTGTGTCTCTTGTATGTGAGCATGTGTATATGTGGGAGTTATCTTGTCTGATGCATGCTTATGGCTCTTATGTATGAGAATGTGGTGTACGTGTACTTGATTCGGCACATTGGCTCTTCTGTTTCGTGTCTGCTTGCCTTCTCTTCTTACCCGTCTTCATCGTTTTTTCCCATACCCTATGTGTCGTCTTTTTACATTGGATACCGCCGCGCGCTGCTCTCGTGCCTTTGTTCCACTTGGACCTTTACCGCTCCTCCGAAATACCGCGTAGGCTAATTTCTCTTCTCTCAATTTCCACTCTATAGGCGCAACCGACTACGGACCCCAGCGTCCCCTCGAACCAACCCGCCTCCCACAAGCCCCTCTCGCCGCCGACCTCCGGCCCGCACAAGTCTTCCCGGAGGCAACGAACCTCCCCCCGTCCACACTGGGACCGGGACCCTCCATGCCCCCCATGCTCCGAGATACAGGTCTCGGCTCCATGGGCCGCCACCCAGGCTCCATCGCCACCTCCAGTCACATGGACGTCCCCGAAATCGACGAAGAGCAAAGCCCCAGTAACGAAGACCTCTTCGGGCAACTTCCCGGCGGAAAGCGACGAACCTTCATCCTAGTCGAAGATCCCCAGCGTGGCTCGCGTGTCCGCGTGAAAGTCGGCCTGGACAAGGTCAATATGGACGAATTGCCCGACTCCTACCGCATGCAGAACGCCGTCTACCCGCGAACTTATTTTCCCGTGCAAATGAAAGACGCGCCGGGGTCTACGATGCCCTCTAAACGATTCTTCCGCGACGACACCGAGCAGACGGATGATCCCGAGGCTTCGACTGTGGGACGAACGACTGTTCTGGCGCCCTCGTTGGACGGCGACCGAGACATTGATGTGCCTAAGCTTTCGCGGCGCAGACATCGGAAGGAAGTCATGTTAAACGATTTGGGGTATCGACTTAGTTGGAGTCAGAGCCGCGTTTTTGCGGGTAGGATGTTGTTCCTGCAACAGTCGTGTAAGTCTGATGCTTCCTCTTACTTTCTTTATTTTTTAATTTTTTTTTTTTTTGCTCTTTCTTTCCCTTTCGCTCGAGAATCTACATTTCGCTGGATCGTGCATACTCCTTGCCTGGGACGGGTACGCCCACGTGCACGTGCCGGGGGCTGAGACGTGTCTCACCGTTGCATCGCTTCTGCACCCTCCCGCTCTGTACCTACCAGAAACCGAACTAATTTTTATCAGTGGATGCCTACCGCAATAAAATGCGGAGCTCGATGCTTGCAGCGGGGCATGACCCGGCGGAGATTCCAGAGCACTTTGATACTCGGCGTGGGAAGCGACGATTCCTCGACCGGGCGGGTCGACGACTGGAGACGGGACCGTCCGCGGCGCAGAGAACTGCGGAGGAGACAGAGGGTCGATCGTAGCCTGAGATAAATACTGGGAATGTCGTTGTTTCTTACATTTTCTCATTGTCAGATGTATCTGATCGTATGGTCTGTTTATTGTTGGTCCGTGTGGAGGATCGACGGCCAACAAGGGACGGAATGGGCGATGGGCATACTTGGCTTAGATATAACGATGGATTATGAGTTATGGCTTATGAATTCCAATTTGAATGTCATTGCAATCGACGTGAGACGCTCTTATGGACAACTAAACAGTACCTACTAAAGTAATCGAATGGTACAGAGGCGAACCGTGGATGCGATCGCCAAAAATAGTTCGCCCCGCATGCCCGTCAGGGTCCAAGGGCCATTCTACTTTGACAGTCGGAACAGATCAGGCACATTATATTGCAGTGACTGATATTCGAGATAGAACAGCTAAATTGCATTCAACTATTTTAATTCTGACTTCGACTGTGCCAGCTTCGCCCTCGACGACCCTCGTCGCATCGCTCGTATACGTATACTGAGATGGGGTGAGACCTCACTAACGGTTTCCCCGGTCACGCCGTGTTGATCAGACTTCCCGCTCTCACCACTCGCTTCGCCTCTCCCTCTTCCTCTCCCTCGGCTGATGGCAGATTCCATCCTCTTCTTCCCTCGCAAAATACACAATCTATTCTAGGCAGCTTGTCTCATCACAAGCTTTCGCTTTCAACCTGACACACGTCCCTGTGGCGACCCACCATTCCTCTACACCCCTCATCTCGGGAACCGTGGATCTGCACATGCGATGTCTGCATTCTGATCTCCCCTTCCGGCCTCCCTTCTTCTACACAGCGCCTCCCTTTCTTTCCTCCGTTTCCAACGGACACGCCCCATGAACCCCGACTCCTACAACAACCCGCCCCATCCACACCACCCAGACCGACACAACTCAACCGTCACCCCAGGCGTCGACAATCTCGGCCCTGCATCCGTCGGCGGCGGAATCAGCGGCATCGCCCTCGGCGTCGCAAATTCCCACGATCGCCTCAGCGGCATCGACGCGGTCCGCAACATGGACCACGATCACAATACTGACCAGCACGACGCCTTCATCGGCCCGACTGAGCGCGGCTACCACACCACCGGCACCGACAATCCCTACGTCCCACCTGCCGGCTACGGCTCTGCAGAGTCGCTCCAGCCTGAGCGCTCCTATGGCTCCAACATGGCCCTGCGCGGCGCTGCTGCTTCACCGGCCATGCACACCCCAGGTCAATCCTCCACCCGCCTCAGCGAGACCAGTGCCACCCGTCGCAGTATGATCGATCAACAATACCCCGGTCCCTACGGTGGTGGCATTGTCAGTGACGGCCCGTACCAGCGCCAGTCGCAGTACAGCTCGAACATCCCCGACATTAACCCCAATGATATCGCCGACGATGGCGACGACGAGTACGTGCCAAACCGGAATCGGGGCGCCCAGGCGATGCCTGCGGCCGCAGCAGCGGCCGGGGCGCGGCTGCTGGGTCGAGGTTCGGTTTTTTTGGTGCGAACAAAGGGCCTGAACCTGCCTATGGACCCGTCCCCGGCGGCAGCAATGGTCTTGAAGCTGGCCAAGGCGGTGGTGCATCTGGTGCTGCGGAGAAAGGCGGAGTTGGCGCGTCGATGTCGGCGCGCAAGAAGCGCGGTTGGATCGCCGGTCTCATCCTAGGATTCATCGTCATCGGCGCGATTGTCGGCGGTGCGGTGGGTGGAACGCTCGGAACGAAGCATTCGGATGGTCCGAGCCGCAGTGATGGCAGCGCTGAGTCTGATTCGGCGAATAACGGCGATCTTAATAAGGATTCTTCTGAGATCAAAAGTCTCATGAACAATGACAAGCTGCACAAGGTCTTCCCGGGCATGGACTACACGCCCTGGGGCGTGCAGTACCCGCTCTGCCAGAAGTATCCACCCTCGCAGAACAATGTCACCCGTGACATGGCGGTGCTGTCACAACTTACCAACAACGTCCGACTATACGGTACCGACTGCAACCAGACAGAGATGGTCCTACATGCGATCGACCGCCTCGAACTTAAGGACATGAAAGTTTGGCTAGGCGTCTGGATCGACTCGAACGATACAACGACCGACCGCCAACTAAAACAACTCTACAAGATCCTAGACGACACCAAAGACACCTCCATCTACAACGGTGTCATCGTCGGCAACGAAGCGCTCTACCGCGCCGGCTCGACCAAGGCAACCGCAGAGAAGAACCTGATCAGCTATATCAAGGACGTCCGCAGCGAGCTGAAGAAGCGCAGCATCGATTTCACCGTCGCTACCTCGGACCTAGGCGACAACTGGAACTCCCAGCTTGTCGATGCCGTCGATGCCGTCATGTCCAACGTCCACCCCTTCTTCGCTGGTGTCAATGTCGACAATGCCGCGTCCTGGACGTGGGATTTCTGGCAAAATCACGACGTGAGCCTCACCAAGGGCACGAACAAGAAACAAATCATTTCCGAGGTCGGCTGGCCCAGCGGTGGTGGCAAGGATTGCGGTGGAAGCGATGTCTGCAACAAAGATACGCCGGGTTCCGTGGCTAGTATCGAGAACATGAACAAGTTCATGTCTGACTGGATTTGCCAGGCACTGGAGAATGGAACCGATTACTTCTGGTATTTACTGACCCTGCCTCTCTCGGTCAATGCCAATCTTGCTAATTCTTCGATAGGTTCGAAGCCTTCGACGAACCGTGGAAAATCCAATTCAACACTAAAGACCAGAACTGGGAAGACAAGTGGGGTCTCATGGATTCCGCCCGGAAGGTCAAAGACGGCCTGAAGATCCCGGATTGTGGAGGGAAGACTGTTTCTTGAGTGCCGCAAGTTATCTTGGTATGGCAAGCTTTATTCGGGCTATCCCGCTTTTCTAATGGGATCATGATCATGAGAAGCACTTTGTGCATGCATATACGTTTTTGTTTTGGTTCAAGGGGTCTATTGGACGCTCCTTTTCGCGCCATGTTTCTCCCTTCCTCTCATTATATCATGATCACCCAGACCCACTGAGGGTTCTGGGCATTTGCATTCTCATTGCGCTTTCTCGATTGGTGAGATGGCGCGCTTATATGAGTATCTATCCATCTCTTTGTTGCGGGCGTTTACGGTTCCTTTTTTCTTGCCTTGGGCTGGATTTTCGGTGGATGTGCATGGGGTATTGATTGGGTATTTTAGTGGTTTGTGCGATGTGATTTATTTGTAAATATTCAGCGGAATGGAATCGACATTGCGGTTATGATCATTACCGGGCTCAGATGGGTCCTCAGATCCTATTTCATGGTATTCGAAGTCTCATTCTCAGGCTGTTAGATCGCTCGCTCCAGTCGGTTCACGTGATTCGCACCGTTGCTTTACCGGATGACGGAATGCAAGCAAGGCGGACCATCACAATCAAACATCGACCAGATAGAACATATGATCAAACTTCTCGAATTCGAAAACAAACACAGCTGTTATCGATTGAATAACCAAAGAGCCCAAGCTGAATTCGGAGGATCATGAATCAGGCGAGCTCAGCTACCTCGCTCAACACTATATCAACAGCGAGACGACGATCATTGGCACGGCGATCCCCGTCAACTTCCTTCCACCTGGCCATGGGTACGCGATGCGTGGAACAAAGGCAAACCCGAATTTCAGGCTCTAAGCCCTGCATTATTTCCGACTCCCTCCGAAATTCAACTGCCCTTATGACGCCTTCCTCTTGTAGTCACCGCACCTGATCTCACATGAACAGACATCCACAGATGGAACGCGACGACGGCCCGCGCCCTTCCCCGAGCCCCATCCCGCACCGAACCGCAACCACTAACAACATCACCGCAGCTAGAACACCGAATCGCTGGCAAACCACTGAAATAAGGCGCGTCTGTCCGCGTCTCGCGCACCCAGGTTCCATGCGTTGTTCAGGCGCCGGTGCCGGGGCGTGGGCATGGGCTCTGGCTCTGGCTCCGGCTCCGGTGGGCCGATCGCCCTCCTCGACTGTTCTCGCGCCTACCTACTAATTTGCTACCAGTGAAGGTCAGGCTTCTGGATGGTGGAGATCGCTCCTTCAGCTTCACTGGTGCAAATGCAAAGGGGAAAGTTCCTCCCTCGCCCTGGGACTGTACTGCCACGCTTTCGTGGTGTTCTGATATTGGTTGTTCTGCGGGGGTTGGTTTGGGTGTTGTGCCCTGGCGATGGCGAGGGCTTTAGGTGGTCATTGGTTTTGGAAGGCGTGTTGAGGGTTGAGGTGCTATATAATGCCCTTGATGGGCTTTCTTTGTTCCTTTGAGATCAGACAGAAACCAGTATACAGTCTATTTCAAATTCATTGACTCTTCTGAGAATTTATTGACTTGAGCTTATCGACTATTGTCTTGATTACTCTATATTGCTACACTATGTCTTCTCAGAGTATCCCCAGCACCACCATGTACACCACCACGCAAATCACCGCGCCCATGAACGCTGCGAACGCAGTCTACACCGAACAACCCAAGGGGGCCGTCAGTCAAACTCCAATTTCAGACTACAATAACATCAACAATACCGACATCCTCTCAATTCATCGCTCCCGCCTCCACGGACCAAACACATCTGGTGCCACACAGGCGGCAAACGCGGATATCTGGTACTGCTGCCGTTGTGGACATCTAGTCAACAACGCCTTGGCGCCAGAGTGCTGCCCTATCTGTCATCACTATCGCTGCGGTACTTGCGCTGTTTAATTTCATGTTCCTATCACTTCATCGCGGCGCTTGGGAATAAGCATAGGAATATGAGTATAGACACGGCATCAGCAGGACCACGGACGCGGCATTTGAGCGGGATTGATGGCATTTCAGCCATGGTTCTTGTGTGGTTTGGTATTCAGCATTGGGATGGAGCGGGTTTGGATTTGGACTGTGGGACATCTTTTGATGTTGTTTCCTTGGGTCGATATGTTCTTTCTTTGACTCACTCATTATTGTTGAGATTCTTTTCTATTCCTTTTCTCTCCGGTTCGACCGATATACGCAGGGCGGGGTGTCTAGTACACTTCAGCTGTGTAGTATACTCCACTTACCAGCTCGGCAAGCCCGCGACAGCCTCGCGCAGTTTCGGAACAACCCTAGTATCCTGCTCGGGCAAACAAGGAGCCGAATAACGCTCATTTGTTCTGCTATGTCTGGACCGCAATCCGGTTAGCGCTAATCATAACGAATCATTCTTCTTTCGTCGTGTTTCTATTTTAGGCCGTAGGGCTGAACGGCCCCCGCACCTGTAACACTGCACTCGAAGATTTCCGTAGTGGATTTCTAATAGGAACCCCTATAAGTCTGTGCCAGTGCTTATTATTGGAAGTTCTGTGGAATGTGGAAATCATTGGTACACCCTCAGAAGTCTTCTCGTTGCCGATGTTTAGCCCTACACATGGGGCGCGTGGAGATGTTAATCTGCACGGCTTACGAGGCTCTGCAGTGATCCCTCAAGGTACGACTCGAGACAGGGGCGATCAGGGGTTGGGGGCGAGACCGTTGCACGTGGTTCCCGTGGTTCCTTGCTTGTATTAACCATACCCTACCCGAGGGTACAGTAAGTATTATTTTTGGAAGTTACTCGGAGGATAAGGTTTGGGGTCTGAAATTCTGGTTTCTATTGATATCGCGCACTGTGCAGTCAAGTCAGTTTCTATGTTTATCGCTTTGGCGACCCTGTTTAGAATTTCGCCGTCCGTCTTCTCCTTTCGATGAAAGCAGGCCGGCTTCCTGTTTCAGTCGTGTAACCACCGGGCCCAAAGCGAAGGCGCTTTCCTGGCTGCTATGGTCGGCGCAGGGACTGTTTTTGATTGGAAGGAGCCAGTCGATGATGTTGTTACCCATTACTTGCTGCAGGTTCTTGAGCGGGCTGCCGAGGTTGAATGGGTTCTCGCCGGGTTGAGTATGGAGAATTGCGAAAACGTGGCGCTCGCCTGTCTCGTGTTCGGTGGTTTGCGGCTGAGCGGATGTAGGTGGTCGTGGAGGGTAGGTGACCATGCGGAATGTGGGTGCCCAGGGTGAGTCGCTCGCCCATAGACGATCTAGTAGATGCTCGGGGACCCGGATGGCCAGGGTCCAGACGACGGACCGGCGGTTGAGGTTCTCGATTGTGGTGAGATTCAGCCAGGCCAGTTGGAGGGAACTTAGGGTCATGCCGGCTGTAAAGAGACCAAATAGGCCGCTCCTGGGAAGGTATTAGATACGTTATTTCATAGAAGCTGGCGTCAGCGGGAACCCACAGTCCAATACAAACGCACCAATGTGCGTTGACGTGGCCGGTCTGGAAAAGTGTTAGATGGATGCGATCAGGGAGTGGTGTATTAATGCGCTTACATCTCGTTTGATCTCGGCCGTGAAATATGCAGAAACAATGAGGGCAAATGTACAGAACATGGCCGTATAGGAGACGAACTGGATAAAGAATTTGAATGATGTCTCTGACACGACGCCTCCGACCCTGTAATAATCAATTAGCAACCTAGTTTCTCAAATGCAACTCGAAGGCAGTCCTACCAGGGACAAAAATGATCCATCTTGCGAACGCAGCGATCGAGTTCCCGACAGTGATGCGATCGGTCCGTCTTGAACTGGCAGCACGTCGAACAATATGGCGGCCGTCCGTCCTCCTGGCAGACAAACACGTCCTTCGTATAGAATGATTCCAGACCACACGAGTCCAATTCGAAAGCTTTTCCTCCCGCATGATTATGCATCCCCCGCTCGAGGTCCGCATCCGGTTGCGCAACTTTTTCCGCATCGCGTGCCTTTTTCAAGTGGCTCCTCCGACGGCCGCGCTTCTGATGTGACAGCTTCGAGTCCGGCATGGCAGCATCCGCCTGTACACGCTCTGCACCCAGAGGCAGGAACCCCGGGTTCTCTAATACATTATACAGCAGTCGAATGTATGTCGATATGAGCGGAATTAAGAGGACGTAATAGATCGCCAGAATTGCGGCGCCAGCGCCGACTCGAGGCTTGCGGTTATAGAAAGGTAACGGATGGATAAGATAATCGACTGCAGCAGGTTGTCAGTAGGCACAGGGGACCAGCAAAAACCCTGAAATCGAAGAAATTCACGATCGACCAGGCACCGGAATACTCACTGCATAATGGTTTCGTGAACGCGTAGCTCGCGTAAATGACCGCTCCGAGCAACACAGGCGGAATGATTCTCGAGACCGCCAGGTTGACGCGCTTCTGCGCGGTGGTGGCAGCGGCCATCGAGGAAAGGTTCTGCCTCGGTCACGACGGGATGGCAGGCAGACATGGAGGAGTTCGCGATCGCGGACCTGGGTGGTCCCAGCGCCTACTGACGTAATCCGCCGAACCAAGGATCGCATCGTGAGTCCCCGAATTCCTTACTAAGTAAACAACTGGAGATAAACCTCCTCGTCAAAAGACACAAACAAAGAGCACCCTGAAACCCATTGTCAGGCCGATGCTCCACGCCGGCCTCAGCTGCCTGCGACCGTGCGAAAGATTTCCAGTAAAAGGATTGATTAGCAATGTCTGGATCATGCCCATCGTACGCCCATTGATCATACATCAACGTGGATTAACAATGCCTGTTCAAACAATGGTGGTAGGCGGGCGTGCTTAGAAATGGGGTCTTAGAAATCAAAGCCGGGGGGTTGCACGGGTCATCGCAGCACGTAGAAAACGAAATCGAAAGGAACACCAAAAAGGAAAATTAGTAAATCAGAAAATCAGAGAGAAAAAAAACCTTCAATGTTGGGGTACGAGGAGATCGCAGGGCCAACCTAGGATTCGATGACTTAGGCAGCAGTAGGCTTAGCCGCGATGCCTGCGCAGGTGACAGGATGACTCTTCAGCATTTCGACTCATCACGACCGCTGCCTGTCAGAAGCATCCAGATTCCCAAGGCGCCGGACAAGGCAAGTTCAGCAATGAGCAGCACCCAGCTCACAATCAGGGCAATCCCCGTCGAAGAGAACCCGAGTTCGTGACCGTAACTCGGCACAGCCGGGGCGCTGCTTCAAGCCTCTAAACGCTGCATTTCCCCCGGGTCAGACGCCCTGACAAGACGGTGTGCGCGCGCAGCCTTGCTCTCGCCCGGTGGAGCACGCCCACTGACTCAACCCCTTCACACAACAGCTCCTTCAACCCGGCATGCAATGATTCACCTTCCTCAGGCCATCGAGGGCCCCAATGTGGGCGGGGTGGTGGGTGCTAAACCCACCTGGGCAAAGCACCTAGGCTACAAGCCACATCTCTGGACCGTTCGTTGGGGCCCAGCGGGGCCCAGCACCCCGGTAATGATGTGCAAGATAGGGCCGTTTCTCTCATGGCCCCAATGTCACTGGAGACCCGGGTGAATCGTTATTCCCAAATCGGCGCCCAGAGGCAGCCTATGGAGGCTTTTACCATGCTAAACCCAAACGGGCCTCCGCGCCTGCCTGACGTTGCTGCATTGTTTCGTCTTTGCTCGTCGTGTCTATATAACCGTCCGCAAGTCTCGTGCTGTTCGTCTGATTCATTCTTCATCTTCTCATCCAACTCAATTCATCCTGTGTCTTGATCCTTCTACCGTCCACGATCAAGTCACCTGCGCATCTATCGCTGCCATCGTCCAAAACACCATCTTATCAAGATATACACACCATCGCCTCCGGCTTAATATTCTCCTCAAATATGGCCACCCTCTGGTTCTGCTGTGGCTGCCAATTCGGCCCTCACAACGCCGCCCTCTACGACTCCTGCATCAATTGCGGTGACCGACGCTGCGCCGCCTGCGTTGAAGAAAAGGTGGTTGGCAGCGACGCCCTGCGCGCCCACTCCCACGACCACGGCCACTGCCACGCGACCTCGCCGTACCCCTCGGCCGTCGCCCTCGACACTTCGCACACACTCCCCTTGGACACAAGGAGCATGTCTGTCGCCCTCCCAGAACTACCCGGCGTGCGCCCACTATCGCGATTGCGCCCAACGCCCCAGACCACGCTTTTCGGCGGCGTCACGCAGACATACAGCCAGACATACATGTACATCTGCTGCCAATGTCACGACGGACCCAAGGTCTACAACGTCCAGCCACAATGTGTCAACTGCAACCACATGGCCTGCTCCGTCTGCACATATGTGAAGTGAGAAATTCCACTTCTCCGTCTTGTCTTTCTGCGAAAGACCATGAAGCAATGGTGAGTTTAATCCGGATCTTCTGCGACTCAAAAGTGCTTATTTCTGACATTTCCGCTATAGTGAACACGACTGTGTGCTCTGATGTTACTATGTATGATTTGGATTGGTTTTCTTGTTCTGCAAAGCGATGGATATCCGCATAGCCTGGTGTATTTTCTTTCCTACTGCGCTCTTTTCTGACATTCTGTTTTGACTCCTACCGTGTATGTTTGGCATTTGTGGCTTTCCTGCATATTTGTCTTTACCTGCTTGTGTTCTCCTGCTTTTTCTCTGCGACGATTAGATTAGAGACGAGACTCTCAGCTCGGACAGGTTTTATAGTTCGATTACCTCTTTCGGTTTAGTGTGTCAGCTGGTCTGCCTTGCGCTAGTCCCCATCGGGACGAAATCAAACAAATATTATCCTGAATCTTTACTTCCAACCTTCCAAGCTCTCCCTCGTCTGCTCATGTTCTTCCTGATTTTGGGTTTCATACACTCGGGCCATCCTTCTCCACGCCATGTATCGGTGACTCCGTGGCCGACGAGCCAATGGTCGCTCTGCCGGGGGTTTCTCTGCACCCGATCTTCCCTGTCCAACCGAGCCGCAAAGCCCAGGTGACTTGAGCCTCGACGCATCTCTGCCGATCGCCCTCTGCGCCAATGGGCCGGCGGCCCAGGCAGAAAGTGGATTCTCTGCCTGGACACCCTAGGCATCCGGCTCTTCCTGCCTGGCGCCCGCGTCCAGTCCCGTCCTCCACTAGTTCGACTAGCACCGGGCGTCTGCAAGCCGGGGGGTTTATGCGCCCGGGGTGGGACGCGAGCCTGTTGCTCCTGTCCTTGCAAAGACCGCCTTTTGCTGTCGCGTTTTGCTGGCGGCCAGCCCTACAACCCGCGCGAAGGAGCGGTGCGACCGGGCCTCAGGTACATCCCCAGCTGTGTCTACCCTTGCCCACTCTGCATACCCACGCCTGCGCCTACCTCCTACCCAACACTCAGGGGATACAGCCGCCCGGGGGCCAACATGCAGAAAATGTATTATGATCATCCCAGTCCAGACCTCCACGACTGCAGAAACCAGCAATAGCAACAAGACCAACCTGCCCCCAACACTCTCCCCACAACCCAGCTCGATCTGTCCACTTTTTCCTAGCTCGCGACGGCCGGGCTGCCTCCTTCGTAATTCGACAGAGGCTGTGCCAGGCGAATGTCCCGGGTTTGCGCCCGGGCCAATATCCGGCGACAAGATAATCCAATCCCAGTTCCTTGGTGCTAGGTCCACGGAGACAGGGAACCCCTTAGTGCTCGTCTTCCCCTGCACCACGCCTTGGACCTAGGCGTGGTACCTAAAGTAGGTACGAGGCTAAGACTTGCCAGCTCCACCGCATCGCCTCGCCCGTCCACTAACGATCCCCGAGTTCTTAGCGTCGCTTGTCAATAGCCCGGAATATTATCTCGGGCGTGGGCACGAGACTATGCGATGCTGTGCGATGCGCCCGCGGGTTCTCTCCCGAATCTTCCGAAGCTACATTCGCAGAAGGGGCAAAGATTGTGGAGAGAAATGAGGCGTGTAGTTCTATTGAATGCGTAGCCAGTCAGGTCTCGCGGTGCCGGGTCGATCTGGCTCGATCGCTCGCATGTCATCCGGCACATCATCCAGTCTGCCTTGAGGGATTTTGACTCATAGCCTTTGCTTTTATGTCCCCACTACGTTAAGGAAAGGATCGAATGGAATAGCTCTCGAGTTCTTTTTTTTCCCACTTCTTCAGCTCTGTCTGCAGACCCCGAGCTGAGGCCTGCATGCCTCGCGAGAAGAGTCAACGTCTGTGCTTTCGATTGGCCTATCTGCAATGGCTGAATGGCCCCCACCGGTCGTGCAATCTTAAGGTCCGCGCGATTATTTCCCAATTCGATTCGCCCTTCTACAGTAGCCCCCATGTATCAAAGGTACGTTAACTCACATCACTTGCAACTGCTCCATTCGGTGATGTTGGACTTTGCTATTATTATCGACGGACTGAAACGACGAAACGACGAAACGACCTTTCGGCCGGTCGGCATGTTAATACTTTGAGGAGATACGAGATCGAGATTTCGATGTTCGTCCTAGTGCCCATCGGCCGCGGACCCTCCTTCCCAGTTCTCCTTCCCAGTTCTCCTTCCCAGTTCTCCTTCTCTATACTTAGCACAGCTGGCACGTCCGTCAGCACGGGGGCCAAGTATTTCCTACGGTGCTTTAGGTTCTTCGTAGTTGCTATTTCGGGTCTGCCATTCTCGTTGTTGCGTTTCAGGTGAGTTTGCGATTTTGTGTTCTATTCTTATTTTTGTTTGGGCTTGACGGGGTGACCCGTGGACGGGAGCGTTGGGTCTTGGCGGGCAAACACAACACCTCAATATCGTAGGCGGTTGTCGATATACACGGTTCAGGATGCTGGAAATATTGTTGGAAATTCGAAAGGATCGATGAGTCACTGTCGTATACATTAATTTTAATTAGATTCAAATGCAGTCACTGTCGAATAATTATCGGGTGGATTTGAGTCATACACTTACCTTTTGTGCAAATCAGATCAAATCACATATATCGAAAGTCAGGTGCATGATCGGGTGCAGCCGCAGCAACGGGCATATTGTGGCTTGCGTTGTGATTGAGTTTCAAAATAATTGACTATTTTTTAAAAATTATAATACTTACGTTATATCTTTGATGTTACGGTAGATGCTACACTAGATGAAATTCAAGTTTTGGTCGAAAATGGAAAAGGATTGGTATTCGTGATATACACGGACCCTAAAAATATGTGCTGCGAAATCGCCGATCGGCGCCATAGTCATACAGCTCCTCCGAAATAAAAAGTGAATCCATCTGCAGAGCTGAAATCCTGCGAAATGTCGATGAAGCGTTGGATTGAACTGCAAAGTTACGACCAGCTGAAAAGATGCACCAATGCCATCGCGATGCGGGCCAAGATGGTCAAAAGTGTCGACGGGTGTCATGGTATCCCTACTCATGGCTTCCCACTCGGCTGCAAGGCCAGGAAGATCCCGGAGCGTGAGTGATCAGATACTTTCAAAAGCAGGAAAACGCCGCGCTGAGTAAATGCAATGCACGCGAAAACAGCAGTGTTAGAGGGACAAGAAGAAATCACCTCGGCGTCCGAAGGACGGTTGAGGGGGTATCGTAAAGAAAAGGTTGGTGTGGTGGGAGATGGGCAGTCATGAACGGAGACCTGTCGTCGAGGTGGTTGGCGAGGTTGTGTGCCAGCTCACCTTGAGGGTTTGCCTCAAAAAGTTACAAGTGCAAGACTCGCGATGGGTCTTGGAGAACGCGCCTACGGTATGCGGCAATCTCGTTGGCCACAGTGCTGAATTCTTTCACCTTGTCACGTCGCATGCCGTTGATGATTTCTTTCAACCCGGCGACATAGGCTTCTTTTTCTTCTTCAGTTTGGCCCTCGCGGAGAGCTCCCATTTGGACCAGGATCTTGTCATCTATAGAGGTTAATAGTACTGCGGTCAGCATATGGACCGGGGATTTAGAGTAGGCGTGAAAATGGAAAAGGGTTGGAAATTTTGGAACGGGCATTAGCTGAGGGAAATTGGGAACTAAATAGGGGTAATGGTCTGGTGATGGGGAGGTGGGGGGGGGGGATGGGCCGGCAAAGTTCTTGAGCAAAATAAAAACAAATGGAACGCAATAATTGGCTTGAAAGAAGACCATACGGGCCGACACGACTTCAGATCTTTAACGCACCGCTGAGAGTAATGTCCCGGAAATGTTGGAATCCACAAGTGTTGTCGTTGCACACACCGCCGGAAGATTCATAGGGACAGAATGTTCTTGTTGAATCGATATTGTGGCTGTATGTCAGCGAACGGTAGCCGTCCGAAACGTTTTGCAGATAGTCGGGGTGGAAGCGGTATGCTCTGAACATCTTGAGAGAGCTATCGTATGGGGTGAACTGTCGATCTGTTTCCGTGGACGATGCTTGGTCCTGCGGATAGAAGTTAGTGTTAATACTTATAGATCTCTCACGAGAGGTGCTCGTACACGAGAAGCGCCGAGAAATTCGGTCGGATGCTGCGGTACCCCAGTCGGGTCTGACGGGCCTTGCATGGATGTCTCCGGCTGTGGCTCACCAACAGACTGAGAGACGGATTCTCCCAGATTCTCATCCAGAGCTGTAAGTGGGCCGGGTTTCATAGAGGGATTGTCGCTGGGAGTGTAGTGAGGCGAGTAGCTAGGCGATCCAGCACTGGTATCGGGCTCTGGGGGTTCATAGTCATCTGAGTCTTCTGACAATTCATGATGGGACTGCTCTGTTTCGTGGGTTGAATGGACGACGGTAGGAGAATGGTAGGGGAGTTTTGCCCTGAACTGCCGGCATACCCATCACTGGATACATCCATAGAACTTCCGGTAGAGTCAGAACGAGATGGTGATGATTTTCGCGGACTTTTTACGATATTGCTTTCTGTTGCTTTGTTCATATCGGCTGCAGAGGTGCTCGCAGTGGAATCTGCCACAGGAGGCGCGGGTACATCGGTGATAGCGACGGCCATTTCTTCCGTGTTGTCAGCGGCCGATCGAGTCACTGCCGATGCTGCCGAGCTTGGTCCCGAGCTCGTACTGCTAGCGCCCACTGAGCTTGCTGCTGAGCTCGTGCTTGTCGTGCCCTCGCCTGCATGCTGTACTCCTCTCTTCTGCGCTGCACTCCTTGAAGGTACGTTTGAATCATATGGTCCATGTGACTCGGCGAACGGCGATATCCCTTTTGCTGTAACTTGTGTAAGATAAAACCTTGTTGCTCTTCTTCCAGCTCGAAGAAAGACTTACCCTTTTCACTGTCGGGGAGATTCGCAAACAGGCTCCGTCCATACATTTCGTATTCAGTTTCGTTCATGACTGTGTCACCCACGTGGACATCCGTTGTGGTGCGATTTTGATCGTTTATTTCCTGCCGAACATTTCCGTCCACGGCAAGGTCATCTTCGCGCGCATCCGGTATGTGTGATTGTGCACTTGACGAAACGCTGGAGTCATTACCAGTGCGAGGGGATTGGGTGCCGCTGGCCGCCAGTCTTGCTTTCTGTCTTTCTTCGGCTTCTGCTATCTTCCGATGCAGAGCCTCGATTTCCAATTGTTTCTCACGTATGCTCTCTTGATCGTGTTCTTGAGGGGTCGAGGTCGATGCGCGAACAGCCGAAGAATTTCGCGAAAGAGTCGACCTGGTAGAAATGGGAGCAACCGCGGGGCCAGAATCGATGTCCATGCCATCCCCCTGATCATCTCCGTAGAGAGATTCATCATCTTCGCTAATGTCAATGATGAGCTTGGTTTCCGTGAGGGGTGGCGCCTCGGAACTGTTAAAAGGTTTCTTTGGCGAACCGACTGGTTCATCGAAGTCCGAAGCCTGGAGTCTTTTGCGCTGCGCTGACCGAGATACTGGGGTTGAGTTAACAGTAACGGAATTCAAAGCCAACGGGTGAACAGCAGGTGCAGTTTGGTCTGGATTGGACCCCAACAAGGACAACCCTGGAATTTTGGCAGGCTCCGCAGACGGAGAAGGAGGGCGAACAGGAAGTGGGTGCTGCACTGCGGGCGCAGAAGTAACGCCGGGAACTGCAGGCTGGTTAGGTTGAGCAGTGGTCGAAGCCTGGCCAAGCTGTTGAGCCTCGATTTGTTGTTGTTCTCGTTGCTTCAATAGCATTTTCTTCTTTAGTTCTTCGATCCTTTGCCTGGCCAGTTCGGTTTTTGCTTTGTTTATTTCCCGCACTGGAAGTTTGGTTGTTTCTGCCGGTGAATCCTTGGTCGCAGCAGAGATAGAGGTTTCCTTGGACGGGGCGTTCGGTTCGGATGCTTGAGCAGCCTTGGCAGCAAGCATCTTGGCAATGACCTCTTTTCTCTCCATGGGCTTCTTCGAGCTTGGCACAGACGCAGCCGGCACAGGCTCTGACAACTTGGACGCGTCTTTCACTGGCAGCTCAGGATTGGCCCTCTCATGACTCGTAGAATCCTTGATTTCGCTGGATTTGGTAACGTGCGAGGACGAAGCGGTAGGTGCAATTGGGGCAGAAGAGGTCGTCGCGATGATGGGCATGCCCGAGGACTTTGCCGTGGCGAGCGTCGTAGTTGCGGGCTTCTCCGTTCGAAGTGCAGTTGACTTGCCTCTTTTCTCAATGGATGCGTTGTCCGCTTGAGACGTGGGAACCCTGATGCCTATCTCCGCGTAGAGGGTTCTCAAGATTGCAGCGTTGCAACCCTCCGCTACCAATTCGTCATAACGAATGCCATGGGCTGCCAGGCTGAGCAAAGCGCCCTTGGCTTGGATTTTCATCTGCGCTGTGGATTTGGTAGATGCTTCTTCCGACTTTTCCGAACTAGCCAAAGGGACGTCCCGTTTTTGGTTCTCGATCGCACGGTGGACCACGTCGGCATCGGCGGAGACTGATAAAGGAGGGTTGTAAGCTGCGGGTTTCAAAGAAGAATTAGCCTTTCGATCACGTGTAAATGATGTGTAGGGAGATGTACGTGAGCTGCTTCCGCTCGAAGTTGCTGATGAGACGGTCTCACCCTCCTCCAAGCCACAGTGCGGAGCCGAATATGACTGCTGTGCCGAAGCCTTGTTGGGCGTGTCAGTGGGCCTATCTCCATGCTCACTGAGCTCGCCTTCTTCGCGATTCATAATGATGTCGCCTGGGCCTTGTGTTTGCGACCGAGAAGCCGGCGCCTGATTCGCGTCTGTTGAGCGTATCTCCCAAGGTCCGGAGAGAGGCTGCGAGGATCCAGATGGAGCTGGGACCGGCGGATACCCATAGGGAGGGATCGGCAAGTGCGGCAATCCTGGTGTGGAAATGTTCGATGCGTCAAGATGTCCTGTGTAAGGAAAAGCCGGTTGGTAAAAAAGTGCTGGGCCAGCAGAAGCGCTCGGGGGTGGAGCGGGTGCGTTCGCGTCAGGAGCCCGCATGTTGTAAGGAAAAGTGTGACTAGGGTTGGGGAAAGGCGGTGTTGAAGGAAGAGGGGCAGTGGGAAGGTACGGGTTCGAAGGCATCATGCCGGGGTAGGGTGGCCACTGTTCGTAGCCAGCTTGCCCCCAGTGTGAGGGGGGTGGTTGGTTGTTGGACATGATGAAGTCCGATCAACAGTAACGCGATTTCGCTTTGGAGAATCGATCGACTGAAGACAGAGTGAGTGGGTGTAAGAGGACGGTTAGAAGGCGCGTGTCATAGTGGAGAGTACGTGATCTAGCGTTAAGAATTGTAGGCGAGCTCCTAGATCGCCGGTGGTGTGGCGGATGTGTCGCGCTGTTTAGCCCTGGACGTTATGAAATTCACCTGCTCCGTGAGATTGAGCACGGCAAAAGCGAGTGTTGATGACCCAGATGACCGAAGTAAAGTTGCGCGAAGAGGAGTAGAGTCGACGTTGCGGGTAACAGCAGAGGTGAGTCCCGCCGCGAAAAAAGACACTGGGCACGTGACCTGCACGGACCGGGGATCGGCGGGCGCCCGAGGAACGCAGGGTAAACAAACAGCTGCTTCTCCGCCTGATGCCATCATTGTCCCTCACTCCACGTCGGGGACTTCCTTGCCCACTTTCCCTGTTCTCCCGTGTGTTCTGCGGCTTTGTGTTCTTCCTTCACTTGTTCTACCCGTGTCTTCCTCATCGACTAATCGTCAATCTGTGTTCTGTCGGCTATGGGAAGCTACTTTGGAGTTGAATGATGTGCTACTGAACAACTTTCCGACATGCTGCCGTCTCAACTGAAGAACTCGCCCCAGCGGGCCAACCCGTTTGCACGATCATCACCCTCTCCAGCACCGCAATCCCAAGCAAGGCCGAAATCGGCCATCATCACGCCGTCGCAAGGGCTAGAGTCGGCCAGAGGGCATCTCCGCAACTCATCGGTCTCACAAATACCTCCAACATTGTCTCCGGCCTCTGCGAATCGCGAACGATCCAACTCCGGCCGTAACAATGCGTCGCCTGGGACATTCGCACCAAGCTTTATCAAGTCCGAGGAAATGCGACGCGGCGCCGATCAAATCAGAGGACTCGAGGGTGACAATGACTTTTCTGGCAACAAATACGTCTGGTTACGAGATCCTCAAAGGGCCTTCGTGCGGGGATTGGTTCTGGAAGAGCTAGATGGAGGGAGGCTGCTGGTCCAAAGTGACGATGGAGATGTATGAGCCCCGACAACTGTCCCGATTATTTGCAGACAGCTGACAACTCGAAACAGCAACGAGAAGTCGATGCCGACCAAGTCGATAAGGTCAACCCGGCCAAATTTGACAAGGCCGATGACATGGCCGAGTTGACACATTTGAACGAAGCCTCCGTGGTGCACAACCTGCACACCAGATACCAGTCTGATCTAATCTACGTGAGCGACCTTGTCTCCAAAGATATGCACATTAAACGAGTACTGACGCTAGGGAATGCAGACATATTCAGGCCTGTTCTTGGTCACGATCAATCCTTATTGCCCGCTGCCGATCTACACAAACGAGTATGTGAAAATGTACAAGGGTCGCGGAAGGGAGGAGACTCGTCCCCACATATTTGCAATGGCCGATGAAGCCTTCCGAAATTTGGTCGAAGAGGGAGAGAATCAAAGTATTCTCGTCACGTAAGTTCATTGCCCATTGTTCTGCCGCTCCCGCGAGCCCATCAATTAACTTGCTGGACAGAGGTGAATCCGGTGCCGGTAAAACCGAGAACACCAAAAAGGTGATTCAATATCTCGCCGCAGTCGCAACCTCCGATACTCCCTACGGTCGATCCGGGACTAAACATTTGTCCAACCTGTCACAACAAATCCTGCGTGCCAACCCGATTCTCGAGGCATTCGGTAACGCCCAAACGGTGCGGAACAACAACTCTTCACGATTCGGAAAGTTTATTAGGATTGAATTTTCACGATCAGGTCAGATTTGTGGCGCATGGATTGACTGGTATTTACTGGAGAAATCGCGAGTGGTCAAGCCCAACTCCAGTGAACGAAACTATCACATCTTCTACCAGCTCCTCCAAGGTGCGGATCGGACGACTCGTGAGAAATTGTTGCTCAATGATCTCCAGATTGAAGATTTCTCGTACACCAGAGATGGAAATGACTCAATCGTGGGTGTTTCTGATGAGGCCGAGTGGAACTCCCTGATCGAAGCATTCCACGTGATGAACTTCTCCGACGAAGACCAGATGTGTATCCTTCGCACCATCGCGGCCGTTCTCCACCTGGGCAACGTGTCTGTGGCCAAAGCGAGTGCCCGTGCAGAACAGGCGGCGCTCGGGCCAGATGGACATGCAAGCGTGGAAAAAGCATGTCAGCTCTTGGGCATCCCTTCGGAGCCATTCGTCAAGGGCCTACTACACCCAAGGGTCAAAGCTGGTAGAGAATTGGTCGAGAAAGTACAGACCCCTGAGCAAGTACGCCTCGCGCTGGACGCCTTGTCTAAGGGTATCTATGAACGTGGCTTCGGGGATCTTGTCACTCGTATCAACAATCAGCTTGGTCGTTCAATGGCTGATGACAACTATTTCATAGGTGTACTTGATATCGCCGGATTCGAGATTTTTGATAACAATAGTTTCGAACAACTTTGCATCAACTACACCAACGAGAAGCTCCAACAATTCTTTAACCATCACATGTTTGTCCTGGAACAGGAAGAATATGCTCGAGAGCAGATCGAATGGCAGTTCATCGACTTCGGCAAAGACCTCCAGCCAACCATCGATTTGATCGAGTTGACCAACCCGATCGGTATCTTCTCCTGCCTTGATGAGGACTGCGTCATGCCAAAAGCCACAGACAAGAGTTTCACCGAGAAGCTTCACTCGTTGTGGGACCGGAAGACCCCCAAATACAGATCTGCTCGTCTCAACCAAGGCTTCGTCCTCACGCATTATGCGGCTGAGGTCGAGTACACCACTCATGATTGGCTAGAGAAGAATAAAGATCCCATGAACGATAACATCACTCGGATGTTGGCCGATTCTGCGCAACCTCACGTGGCCAATCTCTTCGCCGACTGTGCTGATCCTGAGGCGGGAGGTGATCATCCTCGAAGCCGAGTCAAGAAAGGCCTGTTCCGGACCGTGGCCCAAAAACACAAGGAGCACCTGTCCAGCCTGATGACCCAGTTGCATTCCACGCATCCTCACTTTGTACGCTGTATCCTTCCAAACCACAAGAAACGCCCGAAGATGCTTCATGCCCCATTGGTTTTGGACCAGCTTCGGTGCAACGGTGTCTTGGAGGGTATTCGTATTGCTCGCACCGGCTTTCCGAATCGACTTCCGTTTGCTGAATTCCGAAAACGGTATGAGGTGCTATGCCAAAATATGCCGAAAGGGTACCTGGACGGACAGAGTGCGGCTCAAACTATGCTGGAGAAACTCAACATGGACAAATCCTGGTACCGTGTTGGTCGTACCAAGGTGTTCTTCAGAGCGGGTGTTCTCGCCGACCTGGAAGAGAAGCGAGACCAGGTCATTCGCAGTATTATGACCCGCTTTCAGTCGATCGCTCGAGGATTTGTTCAGCGCCGCATCGCGAACAAGCGACTTTTCCGCGCTGAAGCCACCCGCATTATCCAGCAGAACTTCCATGCCTATCTAAATCTCAAGTCTAGCCCGTGGTGGCGTCTTTTCTCGAATATGAAGCCTCTCATGGGTGACACACGCACAGCTAAAGAAGTTCAGAGGAGAGACGACAAGATCAAGTCCCTCGAGGAGAAAATGAAAAAGGATCTGTCTGATCGTCAAAGGCTGGATGAGGAGCGGCGTCGCACCGAAATCGAGATTCAGAAGATTCAGCAGACTTTGGAAAGTGAGCGAGCACTTGCCCTTGACAAGGAAGAGATCTTCAAGCGATTGCAGGCCCGTGAAGGCGAGCTTGCAGAAAAGCTCGCCGAGGCAATCGCGGACCAGGAGAGCCTGGAGGAACAGCTTGATGAATTGGTCGACGCCAAGAGAAAGACCGACGAACAGCTCCAATTGCGCATCACTCAGCTTGAGCAAGCTGGACAAATTATCCAGACATTGGAGGCCGAAAAGAACGACCTTCAGGCTCGCGTGACGGAGCTTACCGAAAGGCTTGCCGATGCGGAGAGCCGATTCTCTGATAGGGATGGTCAGATCCAGGAACTTGGTCAAGAAATCAAGATGCTGCAGAGTCACCTGAGCCTAAAGGATCGCAAGCTCCAAGACCTCGAGGCCAAGCTGTTAAAGACCGATCAGGATCTGGATGTCAAGCTTGCGAATACTTCCAAGGACCTGGAAAAAGCGAAGACACAAAATCGTGAGCTTCTTGATGAGAATCGATCTATCCGCCAGCAGATTTCTGAGCTCTCAGCCACCTCCACTGGCTATGAGGATCTCTTGCGACGCAAGGAAAGTGAAATGACTGTGCTTCGGAACGACGCAAAAAAGCATTTCGAAGAAAAGCAGACCGTCGAGGCCGAGAAGAGATCTCTCTCATCTCGCCACGACAATATGCAGCAGCGCCTTCGCGAAGTTCAAGCCGAGAGGGATGCCATGCGATCAGAGAAGGCGCACCTGGAACGGGAAGCCGCCGCTGTCAAGCAGCTCCTTGAAGACAAGAGATCCGAAGATGCGGAGGCTGGCGAAAGTCGGAAGCTTCTCGAGAAACAGGTTTATGACCTCAAGGATCAACTATTCAAGGCCGAAGCAGACCTGAGCCGCGAGCGTCAGTCAAGGGACGACGTTCAGATGCTCGCCGATCATAATCTTGCTGAGCTGAACAACAAGTACGAAGCTCTCAACGATTCGAAGATCACCATCGAGAAGGAAATGTACATTCAGCAAGATAGTCTCCGCCGAGCCACCGAAGCCCGGGTTGCAGCAGAGAAATCCCGCAAAGACCTTCAGGCTGAGTTGATCAAGCTTCGCGATAGGTTTACGACTGTGGAAAACGCTCGTTTAAATGCGGAGGCCGAGATTGAACGCAAAATCAAGGGCCAAGCCGATGAGCGTGTCTCTAGTCTCCGCAAGGATTTGCAGGATAAGACTGAGTTGCTGGAGGATATCGAGACTGAACGTGCAGAACTGGCTACCCGTGTTCAAGAGCTCACCCACGCAATCTCCGAGTCCGACAACTTCCGAATTCGCCATGACCAACACAAGGAGCGACTCGAGAGAGAGTTAGTGACTCTGAAGGGTCGCCTGACGGCTTCGGAGAATGACAACCGGTCCTTGCTCACCAAGATACAACAAAAGAATCTTGACATCGCTCGGTCAACCTCCAAGGCTAGCGACAACAACAGACTTCGTCTGACGAACCTACAGAAGGAGAAGGCTAGGATTGACGAAGAGAAGAAGAAACTTGAACGCCAGCTCGGAGAGTCGCAACTCACCATCAACGCTCTCGAGAAGCAAAAAGAGAAACTTTCTTTGAACCTGGAGGATATGAACCACGAGGTCCAACGCGAACACAAGACCAGTCGCAATGCTGAAAAAGCCGCTTCCACCGCCAATCTTCAGCTCGCAGAGGCCAATCGCAACCTTGAGAACGAACGCCAACTGCGGAGCCAAGCTCAGTCAAATACCCGTCAAGTCCAGGGAACCCTGGATAGAGCCAACAAAGAAATTGAAGAGCTGCATCGACAATTGACCCTTCTTCACCGGGTGTTCGAGCCCGAGGCTTCTGAGCCTACACAATCCTGGGAAGCAGTGCAGCCACACCTTTTGAAGCAAGTGGACTTGGCCCAAGTCATTGATACAGTGCAACACAAGCTCCGGGTATCAGAAGAAAAGCATGCCCGTGCTGAGAGCCAGCTCGCTGAAATGCGCCGCCGCCACGCCGATGAAATGAAGGATCTGGACTCGAAGTATTCTTCCTCAAAGCGTGCTTTGCTTGAGGAGATCGATCAAAATGAGGTCGCGAACAACCGTACACCGCAGCACCTCAGGAAGAACTCCGAGAATGCTCTCAAGAGGTTCTCCAACCCCTCTACACCCAACCGTCGCCAGAACGCCTGGGAAGCGCCGAATGAATCGGCCCGCTCGGACAGAACCGTGGATACCGTTGGTTATCAAAGACGCATGGACTCTGCTGCCGAAATTGAGGAGCTGCAGAATAAGCTTCAGATGACTGAAATGCAGAACCGCCATCTGCAAAGCCAGCTTCACGGCTCTACTCCCACCCGGGACATCTGGCAAGATGAGAGCCCCTCCATGCGTCGCATGAATCTTCTGGAGCGCGAAAATGGCCGTCTTCATGACCAACTTGACGACTCCGCCAAGAAGGTCTCGTCCCTGGAGCGAAGCATTCGATCTGGCGAGCTTTCGCTTCGTGACGTCCAGGCCAAATCCCACGAGGAACTGTATGATCTGATCAACTCCCAAGAGCAGTCTCGCCGCTCCTTGCTCAAGATTCACAACGATACCATCGCCGAATTTGGCGAAGCCAAATCTCACTACGAGAAGCTCAAGCGTGCCCGGGCTGCTCTGGAAGTCGAGTTGCGTGACGCTCGCTCTGAGACCCAGGAGATGCAATCCATTCGAGACCAGGATGCCATCAGCCGCAACCAGCTTCTTCAAGAATTCTCAGAATTGCAGATTCGCCTCGATGCTGAGTCGTCGAGGGCTGTGGACCTGGAGTCCAGCCTCAGCCTGTACAAGACTCGCGCCGATGAGTACTTCAACAAGATTGAACAAGCCGAGATTACTGTCCTGAAGGCGACTCGTGCCGAGAGCTTTGCCAAGTCTCGCTGCCAGGAAGCTGAGGAAACCTGCGCGCAGATTACTTCTGAGCGTAAGGAAATGGATGCCCTCGTGGAAGATTTGCAGCGTCAAGCGACATCCCTCGAGGCTCGCATGGAAGACCAGGCGGCTGAGCTTCAGGCTGCCTTGCAGTCCAAGCAGCGTCTTCAGAATGAGCTGGAGGATTACCGCAACCAGCGAGCTATTGATATCGAAGATAAGGAGACCTCCATGGAGCAGACCAGGCAAAAGTACCAGAGAGAGTTCTCGACCATCAACAGCGAGCTTGAGATGGAGCGGGAACGCGTGCTTAATGCCCGTAGCGAGAACACCCGCCTGCGTGATGAACTCGAAGACCTTCGCAGCAAGTGGGACAACGAGGTCCTTAATAGCTCAACCTGGGCCAAAGAGAAGGCTCGTCTCGACATGGTCATGCAGGATCTCTCTAACTCTCGCGATGAAGCCGCCAAGGCACACGGCGAGGCTCAGACTAAGGTGGTTTCTCTGCTTTCCCAGGTTCGAGATCTTCGTACATCTGTGGAAGACGTTACCGCCGAACGGGACTTGCTTCTCAAGGATAAGAAAATGCTGGAGAGCCGCCTCGCTGAGGCTGGCGAGCGTCTTGAGGATCTTGCTAAGGGAGAAAGCCCCTCGATGCGTAATGCCGCCAGCATGGATCGCGAGCTTCTTGAGCTAAAGTCCAAGCTTGCTCAACAGGAAGATGTCTCTGCTGCAGCTGTTGGCAAGATGCGTCGGGCCGATGCTCTGAACACTGAAATGCAGAAGGAGCTTACTGCGGAGCGGGAGGCTCATGCTCAACTTTTCAAGGACAAGGCTGGATTGGAGAAGCAACTGAAGGAAGTTCAACTCCGATGCGTCGACCTTGAGACCAAGGGTTATTCCTCTGGTAGCCAGGATGTGCGGTTCTTGCACAAGCGGATCAAGGAGGTACGTGAACTTCAGCATCAGGTTATGGCAACATCGGTTACTAATATTATACAGCTCGAGAACCACCTCGAAGACCAGGAGAACAAGCATAGCGCCGAACAGCGATCTCTCCGCAACGTCGATCGCACTGTGAAGGATCTCCAGTCTCAGATCGACCGACGCGAGAAGATGAATTCTCAGCTCACCGAGGATATGAACAAAGCTCAGGATAAGATTGCCCGACTCCTTCAGAATATCGATAAACTGCATCAAGGCGATACCGAGACCCAGATGAAGATTCGTCGGGCTGAGCGCGAGCTGCTTCAGGAGAGGGAGAAAGCTCAGCGTCTCGAGCGTGAGCTCGATGGCTACAAGACGCGGAGTAGCACAATCGGTCGGTCCCCCATGGCTGCCCTCAGTAATGCCGGTAGCCGACGAGGAAGTGCGGTCTACGGATCCAATGATACCCCTCAGCGGAAGCCCAGCAACACCAAGGGCTTCCTGTGAATAGGGTGATGGAATGTGTAACATGTTCGTTTGGAGTTTTGCTACGGGCCTGACTGTATTACCGTTTTTGTTTGCTTTCGAGTGTCTTGCGGTTGGCGTACATGTGCATTCGGAGAAGGGTGTGTTAGTGTTTCATTGTTAACGATGGTTCTTCATACTGCTAGCGAATGACTCTATGTCTGATTCGCTTTGGGGTTGTATGTATCTGGATGGGCTTTTTGTTTCACGTTTCGCGGCCGGGGTAAATAAGCATGAGGGGAATATGATTCGGCTATTTACAATTCGACAATTCCAGATCGGTTAATTAATCTTGCCTAGCCCACAGGACGAGCATGTTTGCTACTAGTAGTAGAATAGAGATGGTCCTTGGGAAAGGAACTCGAAGCAATCTATGGCGAGGCCAGGGACTGCACTAGTCCGAACTTGAAAGATCAACACACGTGATCCAGCCACGAGCAGGGCATTCGGCCCACTCCCAGCCAACACCTGGACATCCCACGCAATGCGGAACAACTATTTAGATGGAATCTAAAATATGGGGTACGTCACATAGGCTACCCTGCGATTGTGGGGTCTGCCCGCTCTGCGGATTCAATCGCTCCTAATCCCGGCCCGACCACAGCCTGAATGACTTCCGGTGAATGAATTCCGGCGAAGTTTACGTGCAGATTAGACGGCTTTGATGTGATTGCATCCTACAGCCATCCAGAATATCCAGTGGCAGTATTATATGCTCTACGCCATTTTCAACTTTTGCTATGTCCCTCTCATTTACTAGTTCTATATTGAGACTGCGAGGTTATCGCTTGAACAAGCTGATCGGCTCTATGAAATCAAGCATGATACAGGAAAAGACATCCGGGAGCATTTTGGAAAGCAGGAGGCTGCGAGAGAACGTTCATCCCTAACGGGCTGGTGCCTAAAGCACCCAAGCGCTTTCTGCTTAACTAACTACCTTGAAGCTTCGGAGCGCTTCACTTCTCCCTCCGCATACATCCATCGGATGCTCACGAACAAATTGGCCATCGCCAGCTTATCGCTGGGCCAACACCCTTCCCATTGCCTCGCCACAAGATCCAGGCCACTGCAGAAGTCGGATACAAAGGCATTGAAATCGTTTATTTCGAACTGGAAGCATATTCTCAAGCTCAAAAAATTCCAATCCTCGGAGGCGCAGAGAAGATTCGCGCCTTATGCCAGAGACACAACTTGGAGATTGTGTCTCTAGCACCCTTCGAGAATTACGAAGGTGACCGATCGCCTCTGAGCGACAGATTGCAAAAAGGCACGCGTTGGATCGAGGTAGCGAAGGGACCTTCGTGCGCTTTACCTGCAAGTCCCGTCGAATTTCAAGCCTGACGCTATCGGCGACAAGGCCGTGATCGTGATTATCAGTGAGCTCCAGCAGCTGGCTGATATTGCGAGTGCGGAGCAGCCGGTCATGTCCATTGCGTATGAGTATCTATCTTGGGGAACACACTGCTCGACATGGGAAGTTGCCTTGGAATATGTCAATGAAGTCGATCGGTCGAATTTTGGTCTTTGTCTAGACACATTTCATGAAGGGACGAAGTTATGGGGTGATCTTTTCGATGCGTCGGGTCGCTTCCCTGGTTCTGCTCGAGTTCTTCGCGAATCTCTCAATCGTTTCATTGCCACCTGTCCTGTCGAGAAAGTATTCTTTATTCAGCTCTCTGATGCTGAACGGTTCGATCCTCCGTTCTCCAAAAGTCACCCGTGGTTTGTCGAAGGGGAGGCACCGCAGTTTACTTGGTCTAACATGCACACCCATTCCCTTCTGAGAAAGAACGGGGTGCATATCTGCCTGTCGCGGAGATCCCCAACTCCTGGATCGTTGCGAAAGGCTTCAAGGGCTGGGTTTCGATGGAGGTTTTTGACCGCAGTATGCGGGATAGCGCAAACTCAAAACCAATCTTTGTGATAAATTATGTTATGTGATCATATTATCTCCTACGCAGCGGGCAGCAAAAATCACCCGACACTCAATGCACGTATCGGAACGAAACCATACCATCAACTCTTGTTTTCCCAGCAATAGCAGAGCTACCAGCAAGCACGCCTTCCTCCAACTCAGCCTTCTCAATCTCGGCATTCTGTCGTTTCAAGCGCCGCTTAATACCGAACGCCATAAGTGCACACACCAGACATGCACCACTCATCACGCCTCCACCAGCATAGTACCTCGGCTGCTGAGAATCGGGAAACATGTAAGAAGTGTAGAAGTGTGCAACTCCAGCGCCCATCAGATTCATAATTGCCAGCGCACTCGCGCGCTTTGCCTTGGGACGTGGGAGCGTTGAGCTTAGCCAGGAGACGCAAAGATTGTAGGGTGAGTAGGAACCCGCTGTCATAAGGAACATGCTGAAGTAGCGGCCACCTGTTGATGGGACAAACATTGCCTGTGATTTTATTAGTATAAGTTTTGGCTTCGATTGGGCTTCGATGCTATGACTTACCAGCAAGTTTCCGAGAAGTGCGAAGAGCAATGGGATTGCGATGTGGAAGCCTCGCTCCTGTTTGTGGGCCGCGTGGAAAGAGATTGCCAGTGAGCAGAAAAAGGCGAAGCCATATGGAGGTGCTGTGAGAAGCAGTGTGATGGTATCATTGTAACCCAGTGTACCGACGATAGAAGGGAAGAAGTTGTTGAAGGACTGGGCTGTGAGAAGGGACATCTGCAGGACGATGAACATGTATAGCTTCGGATCGATGAGAGCCTGCTTGACACCCCAGAGGAGAGACTCAGGATCGTCATCAACGAGTCCAGCATTTTCATTGCGCAGGCGCCAGTCCTAGTCTCGATTATCAGTCTCTGGATTCAAGTGAAAATTGTGCTGTTCGAGAGCCGCGACGCAACTTACGGCCAGCAATTGGTGTTCACGACTCATCCACCACCGCTTGGTGGTTCCTGGATAGTCTGGAATGAATGCAATAACAATGAATGCAATTGCAATCGTCATAGATCCTTCGATGATGAAAAGCCATTCCTTAAACTTGGGTTATCCTTTGCTCAATATGCATTAAGTAGATGTACTCACCCACGCAGGCCTCCCCATCTTGCCTTCCATACGGGCTACAATACCCGCAGCAATCAGTCCACCAAAAGCACTAGCCAGCATATTGGCTCCGTAAAGAAGGGCAATTCGCGGAGGCAGCTCGGCCCGCTTATACCAGCAAGACATAAGGAAGAACACGCCTGGCAGAAAAGGCCCTTCTATCATTCCAAGGACGAAGCGCGACATGAACAGCCCAGCAAAAGTGCGCGTAAAGGCCTGGCACATGCTTACAATTCCCCATCCTGCGGTGACTATTCCGATATAGATCGATGGTTTGACCTTCGTGATGACAAGATTGGATGGGACCTGGGTCAAGATGTCTGAAACGTGTTAGCCCTGTAGCAATGTCTTCGCATGGAAGGAATTCTCACATCCGACATAGAATATCATCAGGCAAGTGTTGTACTCGGTATTCGTGATTCCGAGTGTGTCAGTGAGTCCAGCAATTTTCGCATTGGCGATGTTGTTTCTGGGAATAAAGATCAGCTTCAAAGTTCCAGATGGACGGAATATGGAACACACCGATCGAGAATGTTCATCAAGAATAGAATCACCACGGAGGGAAGCAAGCAGCTATCCAGTCTGCGAACTAATCCCTTTTCAAGCATTTCAATCTCCTCATCTCCCCTGGAAGCCAATTCTGCTGGTAGCGGCAGCTGTTGCAAAGGTCCAGGCTTGACAACTTCAACAGCCTCAGTACCAGGCTTGGTTTGCGCGATATCGTCCATTCTTGCGATGCTTCCACTGGCACTGGAACTCTTGTTCTGTCTCAGGATATGTCCAAGGTCTCCCGGTGGAGACCAACGCGGGGTTCGTCATCTCTACCTATTTATACCCTTCAGCCGATAGGCCCTTCTCTTGCAGCTGAGGCATCAATCCACGCGGCAGACACATGCAGTTGACCGGGGATGTTTCCGCAATCCGGGGTAAACGCGGAGAGGGGAACATGGGGTTTCTGGTGGAGAGCCTAGCGATCAAAGACATTATAGGAGCCGAAGTATAAGTCCCGGTGAGAAAGCCGGGGTTGGCAGCGAAGGAGGCTGGAGGCTGGAGGGAGCCTCATAGTTTCGTTCCCACGTGGAGATCGCATGATGCAAACCACCAGGGCGAGATTGATATGTTTGTCCTATGACGCGTATTATTTTCTTACCCAAGATTCGTCAGTCGAAAGTCTCAGGTGCTGCTGTGATCAACAACATCTAAAGAAAACATCAGTCGACATACGATCCTCGGTGTATCGTCCATCCACAAATATATACCAATGTGTACCCCGCCAGTCATATAAATGCAAGTAGATAACAAATGAAGTTCAAAGAATTGGAATAATGATATTGTTCTCACTAAGGTGGAGTTCTGGTAGGAAAATCCATGTGTAGCCCGACTTTCCAGAAAAACGCCAACCCAAACCATTTGAAGCAAGAGTGAAGACAGAACCCAGCATAAACAGAAACTTTCGAAAGATTCATAGGCAAAAATCTGTGACAAGAAAAAACGAAAAATATCTCACGAGAGGAAAACTCGAAATCCGAGAAGGTAAGAGCAGCGTGATTAATCATTACCATGCTCGTTCTCCAGTGATGATTAAGACGCCGATCCGTATGTTTTAAAAAAAAAGGAAAATCCAGAAGAAAAACGAGGGGCAAAGAAAGCAGACACCTGCAGACGCGGTCCTAATGTACAACGGGCGGCAAAGAAGATGAAACAGGGGGTATCGTTATGAGAAGCAGCTGATGATTGGCCTGGCTTGGATTGGGATGTTGGCATACACCACGTGCAGCGCGGTGACACGGCAGAAACTACCGCTCCCCAAACTTGCCGTACTCCTGCTGCCATTTGAGGAGATGACGGGTCAGCACGTCCATCATTTCCACGCTGCTGAGGTCCTTGAAGTCTTTCTCGTGGATAGGGGCATCCCCTTCGCCGTCTGTCGTGGGCGGGGCTGATTCGCCGCCTTCGCTGGTGGTAGATGCCATCGCGGCATCTATTTGATCGACCATACTCTTCAAGAGCAGGCCCTGTGAACGATCGCCATTTCCTGTGGGCGTGGACGAGTTCTCGCTGGCAACGGCCATTTCGACTTGCATTCGTGAGATAAATTCCAAGATGGCGGCCACGCGTCGCTTCATCTCATTCATGGTGGTTCGCTGGGGGTGCATGTGACGAGGCTTGCTCGGTCGACTAGTTTCTCCATTAACGTGCATGCCATTGGGGCCGTTGTTGCCAACTCGGGGCGAATCTCCGCCGATATCATGAGACTGGCCCCGGCGAGGAGACTCGGTTCCATTGCCATTGGCATCGCGGTCTTTGGTGTATTGGTTGCGACCCACCCGGCCGCCCCGCCTGGCAGTCGGGCGTCCCGACTTGCGCGTTGATGGCCGAACAGGCGTTGGTTCTTTGGGGGTGGGAGTATTCGGACTGGGTTGGACCGGCTCAGGCTCGTTCAGCACCGGCTTCGTCGGAGATCCCGGTTCATGTTCGGATTCTAGAAAAACATGTCAGAAATGAGAAACAATGCGCCTGATAAAGACTCATAGGTACTCACCCTCTCCTTTGCGGCGGCTTGGCCTCTCTTTCCGACGGTTCGCGGCTTCTGGAGCTTCCGTTTCGACCTCTTCAGTCTCCTTAGCGGGTTCTTTATCGCGCTGGCCCCGAGAGGTGGCTCTGTGTCGTCGAGTCCCGTTTGTTGCAGGCTTCGCCTTGGACTCGTCATCGGAAGGAGGCTGAGATGCGGGGTTGCTCTGTTTTGACACAGCTGTGGGGGAGGGGGAACTCGTGCGCGGACGTTTCGAGCCGTTTCTGTTGCTGAAGGTACCATGTCAGCTACCAAACAGATTTCAAAGGGGAGCCAGAGATACGCACACTTCGCTATCACTACGGCTTCGCTTGCCGCGGCGGGTTGTAGATGTGTCGTCGGGGATACTCTTCGTATCTTCTTTGCTCTCCTCAATTGCTCGCCGAAGTTGTTCCTCCTCGTCGTAAGCAGCATCACGGCTATTCATAGTTGATCGCCGCTTGGGATTCGACGCACCCTCGCTATTTCGCGATTTTGGGTCCTTTGAACGTCGGGAGATATCTCGTGAAGAAGCCCGAGAGGAGGGCGCGGGCGACGACGGCGGCTGGACAGGGAGGTAGGTGGATGAGCGTGAGCTGCAGGGTTGTCAATAAGATGTCCATTGTAAAGCAGGGCTCGAAGATAAGGAGGTTGGGAGTCTCCGAAGATCTCAATCACCGAGTTGTGCGAAATCCCTCTTGGAGTGTAGCCGACATTGACTCGGCTGTAAGAGCCAGCGTCCGCCGGACCAGCTCCAGCAGAAGAATCGCAACACAACCAGACCCCAATGCAAAGCAAGACGATAAAAAGAAATTGCGAGGCTCGCTCAGGGAACTTACCCATTGGGTTCGCCGCGGATCTTGTGCAGATCCTTTCGGCACTCTTCGCAGAAATATTCGTCGGGACTCGCCTCCTCGTCCATAATCCCGACGCAGCCACCGTGCTGCCATACTTTGCAGGAGTCACACTGAATGAACATGCTCCCGACGTCATCGGAAAGCATATCAGAGGAGTCTGTAGGTGGATGGCCACCCTCTGACTTGACGACACCGCGGGTCAGAGCTTCGCGACGGGAGTGAGGCAAGCCTGGGTAGTCCTGCTGTCCACACAGACACCGAGTGATTTCCTCCTCTTCATCTTCATCGAACGCTTCATCGTCTCCCGCTCGGGGCGGATCTTCGTCATCTTCGTCTTCGCGGGCGCGCTGGCGCTGGCGCGTTTGTGGAAGGTCGACCCTCGAGCCGTGTTCGGCGTCGTCGACGGACTGGGATCGATGGCCGGATGAGCCATGGGGAGAAGGGTTTTTGTGGTTTGAGCGAGTGCTTCTTTCGCGAGTAGTGGAGTTTGAGGAGCTGGAGTTGGTGTGTTGGAGGAGGGCAGGAGAGGGCTGTGTGGTGCGGGCCCTCGAGGAGCGACGAGGCGACATGGCGGCGGTTCGGATAGGTGTAAGTTGGTAGAAGGTTAGACAGTAAGGATTTCACAGATCGACTGAGATAATGAAGGAGTTCCTCGAGGGAATGACGGGTGGTGTCGAGCACCGCCTCGAGCAGAACCGGTTGCGAGGGAGCTCTGTCGCGCGATTGACAGCTCCTTCATGCAGAAGGAGGACAAGACAATTGGAAATCGCAGTGAGATCTGGGTCAAGGCGTCACAAGGCTCGAAGAAGAGCCCGATGACTACATAGTCTGAGGAAAGTGAGGAGATTGGCGGGGGTGACAGCAGAAGGAAGAGAAGGAGAAAAGCGCCGGAACGGGACTCCAAAAGATCCATCGCCCGTCCTTCCCCGCTCTCGACCTCCTCAACGCGCGAGCCCTTTTTGCCCGCCCTGGCCTGTCGCTTTCTTTCACACAATATTGCTGGCCGGTATGACTTTTCGTTTTCCCGACTTTTTAATTGCAGGCTACTTTGTATCTCAAACTGTGTGAGTTGCGCTGACCTTTGCCCCCTCGGCAGAAATCCGTTCTTTGCCTCGTCCAATGCTCACGCGGACCTGCACGTCCTCCTCCCGCTTCCCGCCTTTTTGACACACCGGCAAGACCGCGGTCTTATTCTACACTCTTGAAAATTCGGTGCACGTTGGATTCCAGCCCTTCATAACCTGTCCTTCTTGCTCCGAGACGCGAAACTCGACCGTGTGGCGCAAGGAACGCGAGGCGAGTCCCTGGGCGGGAACCTGCTCAATGCTTGATTTGCATGGCATTGCGCGAATTCCAGTCTCTGCGCGATGTCGTAACTGTCGGAGACATTATATTTTTTCGAGATGAGTGCGATTGGTTATCTACAGGTCCTGGACGTGCAGAGACTCATGGACTTGTTCGGTTTCGGCGAACTCGGCAGCCCAGCAGAGACGCCGCAGGTACTGCTAGTAGATATTACCATTCGAAGTTCGCGCAGGACTTGATTGGGCGCTGGGCCATCAGAACACCTGGAAATGGTTTCTACTGTTGTAAACAATGCGCCTGTCCCCGTGCCTGTCTCCCCTGCCGTACCCGGGTTATGTGTTGCGCTGCCCGCAGTTCCCTCCACGCGTCTAACAAGGCTCCCCGGCCGATACCTTTTCCTGCTTCAGGCTTCATGCTGGGATTAGCCTTCGAATTGTTCCCGGTGGGTGGTGTAACCGGGGAAGAGCTGAGCTGCCGAGTCGAGCTTCTCTTGCGGAATCCGTGCTGTCCAACGCAAAGCACCGGGGCCGTCCGTCACTTACGGCTGGGAATGCAGGTACGGCGGACAAGATCATTTCACCCCACCCTCCGGAGACCGTAGTTTGTAGAGAAACCTCTCCATATGTGTCAAAGCTCGTCGCGGCCTTGAGTAAAGTCTCCATTGGCGCCAAATTCCTTGCTCCAACCCTAGGGTCTTCTCCGATGAACACCGCTTTTCTGTGTGGGGCGACCAGGCCTTCGGCCTGCAGCCGGTGGAAACCCGTAGGATAAACGTGCCACGCAAAGGCGAGGGATTAGAAGGGACGAGCTTTTCAGAGCATCCGATACGCGCGGGTACCAGGGGGAGAAAGGAGCGAGTGCTGCGTAATGGCGTACCCCGGAATACCTCGTTGGGTGCCCAGATTGCCCAAAGCGGCTAGCGTGGTAGTGTTCCGAATTCCCGTGACTCGCTGGTCTTTCGCTTCGCTCAACCCCTCCGCATCTCTAGAACTCATGAGGATCTCCATGCTCGGGCATTTCTTGCAAGAGCCATCGGTGGATTTATTCTACGTTGCTTGGCCCTGACCTGCCCCTGAGGCATCCCGTGCCTAATTTGTGCTAAATATTGACGCTGTCGTCGTTGGTATGTTCATATTCCACCTCCCGGGATTGTGGAACACCGAGGCAGCTTGAATCAGCCATGGACAAGTCCGCTGGGTGATCGGTGGTGCCCGAGTTTCCCCTCATCTCATAATCATTTTATTTTGCCGAGTCTAACACCTTCTCCGTCACAGTACCGTTCATTCTGTCCCACGGTATCACCGTCGCTGAGATATTCGGATTACTGGCGCCCTCACGATTGTTGCCGGAGGAGGGGGAATTCCAAACCAGAGATCACCAGGCTGGCGCCTTTTGTTTGCTTGTCAGTGCCAGTGGTAGTGGTCGAGGGCGAGTGGTGAACTTTGCATAATGACCTCTACTCTAAGTATGTCTTGTTCTTGTCTCCTCTAGAGGTTCATGGGACCATTTCCCTCTCAAGGCCCCCTGATCACCTGTTGAGGTACCCATGTGCTGGGGTAATGTTACTGACATGTTGCCTGCAATGTTTAGACGGGACGTTCAACTCGGCCCCTGACACACCCCCCCCCCTCTACCCCGATCGCCTTATCCGGCCGCTCCCCAAAAAGACCCTGCGCTCTCGCCTGTCCACCGACGCGGCCGACACCATCCTCTATCCGCCAACTCCGCCGGCATCCCAGATCTTTTACGGCGTGCCCGGAGATTCAGAAGAGGCGGTCAACGACGCGAAAGTCTACGTGCAACAGTCCATCGAGTCAGACCGGCATGAACTGACCCCCGAAGCCGACTCTCACCACGGATTTGACACCACTGCGGAATTCGAAAGCGGGGACGAGGATGGGCCTGTAGTTGTTCGTCGCAGCGCAGGATTTCGAAGTTCGGTATCACCAGCTTCCAGCACACAACATCCCCAGGGGTACTCTGGGAACGACGGGCCCCCCAAATCGTCGGCCGGCCCGGACGGCTACGACGCCTTTGAAAACACAAACAACAAGAAGAAGCGAAAGATCCCTACTCCGGGAAATATGAACGGTCATCATTCGGCATTATCCCCGGAGTTCGCGAGTATGGGCTTGGCCAGTCCCAGCCCGGGACCCGCCACGGCCTCGGAAGGCATGCCTACTGGCACGTATTATGGCAGCGGAAATCCTGCGTCGCCCTTGGCGAGTGGGATTTCGGGTTCTGGCCGAGGCAGATTGGGCCGGAGTACAACACGGAGTAACTCCGGGCGGAACCCACTGTCTGCTAATGCACAAACAGCATGGTTGACTTCTCGAACGCCCGGTCGACGTGATGGAGTGATGTCGTCTCCTGTGCCATCCGGTAAGTTTCAATTTGGACTTCCCAGATATCACCGGGTATCCTTGAGAATACTCATTCCATTCGCAGGCGACTCTGATCAAGGTATCATTTCCGCGGCAATTGCAAATGCAGCCACCCTTTCATCTCCGCCCCGGGAGTCTGGCAATGTCAGCCTCTTGGATCAAGAGAATACTACCCCGACCAAGACCCAATTCACTTTTACCTGCGAATCCGACTCCTCCAAAGGGATGGCCCTGCAGCGGCATTCATTCCCTCTTCCGCATCGCTCCCCCACCTCCCCCCTTGCCGCTACCACGCAAAACCCCCGTGGCCACTCCACCCAAGGGACCCAGACCAGCCCGAGCATGGCTGCCCAGATGAATCAACATCTGCCACCGGGTACGCAGCCGCCGCCGGGCGAGCAAGGCTCCACGGGTCGCAAGAAGAAGCGGTCACCTGGCAGCGTTTATGCCATGGCCGCACGCCAGCGCAAGATCCAGCAACAGTACACGAATATCAATCACCCTCCAATCTCCAGTGAGATCTGGATCTGCGAGTTTTGCGAGTACGAGAACATTTTCGGCCATCCGCCGGAGGCATTGATCAGGCAATATGAAATAAAGGACCGGAAAGAGCGGAAGCGACTTGCGGAGAAGAAGCGGCTGTTGGAAAAGGCCAAGATGAAGGGCCGTAAGACCAAGAAGGCGCCGAAGAATGCCTCGAAGGGTGCTGCGGGTCAGCAGGGCTATCAGCAGGGGTACGACCGAGCTTCCGTTGACCACTCCTCTATTGCTGGCTCTGGTCATCCTGACGATGACTATCTTGGACATGAGTATGACGATGAGACAAGCCCAATACCCTCCCACGATCCCGTGTCTCCGGCCGATCTTAAACCTCCTCTTCCATCGGGCAACCACCCCAAGCTGGCTGCGACTGCGGGAGACGTAAAAGGCGCAGCAGATGCAGGGGCGAGTCGACCTGCCTGACAATAGGTGTGGCGATACCCTGCCAGGTGGGTGAGCTCTTCATGTCGTGTTTGGTTGCGCTTCGGTGCGGCGTATCGGTTTATGTTACGATTGCATCACGAAAATCCCCTCTCCAGCATCATCGGTTGGCGCGGTTTGTTAGGTTCGTTTGCTTGAGATATGTAAGTGTCATGACAGAATAGCCACGTAGGGCAATGTGAATGCGAACACTATTTGAGGTGTGATCCGGTACTTTGATTCGTAAGCCGCAGGATTTGACTTCTTTGTAGTCATCTAGACAAAGAACTCATGTATACCCTAAGTATTTTTTGGTGTGATCTTGAGTCCAGCAATCAGCTCTCGCCATTGAATAATTCCGATAGTGACAGCAGCAGTTGAAAATATAGAACGCTAGCACGATTAGACGTCCATTGGTGTATGCAGCGCCATGAAATGACGTTGTCGCGAAATGAATAGCGACGACTAAGCGCGTGGGGCCGCCCATCAGGCGTGGTGGACCCAGGGTTCACCCAGCAGGATCCTCTGCATGTACACAATTCAACCGTTTACCCGAGACCATCACCAGCCCTATTCTCTACGCAGGTATCAGCTTATTGAAGACAAAATTCATCTGGACCAATAGCAGGAAAGCCATCGATGATGTCTGTCCCCCCAGACTTCGAGAGCTGGACACCCCTGCTAGCCGCCGCGAAAGAACGAATCGAAAAGTACAAGCCCGCAGACCGTACCGACGACCAGCTCCTCCGACCTTCCCTCGAGGCCTTCCTCAAATGGCTTCCTCGAGGCGGCCGAGATAATGTGGCGCGGGATATTTTCGAGGCGACTTCGGATGACGCTCTTCACCAGGTCTTCCAAAATCTTCTCCTTGGCCTGGCGACGCCGAGTAAGCTCACTTTAGGGGTGTTGGGTGTGTGAAGCCTCGGTATAGATTCATTTATTAATATGATGAAACAGTGGCTGCGCGCGCCAGATATGAGATCTCTCAGGATTCGCCGGAGCCATTGGATTTCAAGCACCAATCAGAGAAGAAAGAGTCCAAATTCCGCGATCTTGTTATGCGCCGTGACAGCTTTTCCTGTGTTATCACAGGCGACATGGACACTGAGGCGTGGATGAATCTTGACAACCCAATCGATATCCCCTACTGTACTGCATTGGCTACCCATATTCTCCCGTTTTCGTTTGCGGCATGGAACAAGTCATTGGTAAGATCTTGCTAGAGGGTGGTGTGTCTCCGCCGCACTAACAGTTTTTAGGGGCTCCCGGATAGCAGACTGAGTCCCTGGGAGCTTCTATATCGCTGTTTTCCCCGGCTTCGACGGGCGGGTCTCCGGGCTGAAACCATCGACACCCCCTTGAATGGAATTCTCTTGCGGTACAATCTCCAGGCTGCCTTCAAGCGGAACCAGATCGCTTTCAAGTCGACAGTAAGTATTTCAAATCAAGCTATACGCACTGCTTTACTGACCGGATACGCAATAGGGCACGGAAAACAGGTACGAGGTCATTACCTTCGAGGGCTATCTTCAACAGGACAGAAGACGCTTGCCCAACAGTGGCCTCGTGGTACTTCGCCTGCCACTCGAGGAGGACGGTATGGAAGAATTGGACCTCCCAAGCCCGGCCATCTTGGACTGCCACTGGAGACTGGTGGAGATTCTCAACGAAACCCGCATTGCGCCTGCTCTTTGCCGTCACTTCGATGAGTGGAAGAATCTGAAGAAAACATACCACGGACTCGCGGAGGATGGCAGCACGGATGCGGCGAAGTACGTGCGCGCTGGTCTTTGGGGAGTCGGGGATGGCGATGTTAGTTTTGCTCAAAGCCACCCGTGGACCTAGTCTTCAAGTTACCGAAATCGAGACGGTGGGTTGAGACAAAGAACTCGCCCTTTTTTGAACCCTAGGGTAATGGTCATGCAATGAAAATCCAGTCAGATTCCATCCCCTTCATTCTTGTCAAATAAAACTAGAATGACGCATCGATTGGACATGCATCGTTGGCGCCGCGATGAAACGGCAATCCTGGGCGCGCGCGAAGTGAATCGGGCGCTAACTCGCGCCCCGTTGATCAGCGCCAACGCCATTTAGCGCCGCCCTGCACTAACAATAGACAGGAACTATTGGGCTCCAGATTTTCCGTTTCAGGTTCCGTTGTTTAGAATGAATCTGTGGAGGAGCGACAGCGCCGATGTCGACTTGTGGATCCTGGCGCCAACCGCCGAGCTGGTTTCATCTCCAGCAAGCATGAAGAAAATAGAAACATATCATTTCTTTGTTGCATCCATGGATGTGATGGTATTCTAGGCGTCTCGAGATCCTACTATAAAGCCTCCCTGGGGCCCTGACGATAGATGAAACAGCACAGCAACGACTTTCTTTTCTCCTTTTCTTTTTACCCCCTGGTACCGGGGTTATTCGACTCTTTTCTTTCATACGATTCACACGTTCTTTCTTCGAGTGCATCTTGGTTTATGTGGCTTTGCCTAAAACATTGTTTTGTTTCTCCGTCTGATACATATCAAGGCTGCCACTGGCATTCATTGTTTAGCCGCATTCACTTCGACACATTTAACGACCAAACCCGCGCAGCGCGCATATCTACTCGAGTCGTTCCTTCTTCAACCTCAGCTCGCCTCCCACCTTCAAACAAAAACCTAAACAAGCCACCACCACCACCAAAAATGGCCTTCCTCCTCGCCGGCAAAGCTGCCCAATTTGGCTGGGGCCAATACAAAAAACGCAAAGAGCGCAAAGCCGCGCAAGAACACCCATGGTCTCCCCCCCAGGACGCACCTTACCAAATGTCCGGCTACCCGCAAGGCATGGCGCCCGGCACCGAAACCACCTTCCCATCGCACAAGGAAGAACAAAGCAAAGGCTCCAAGCTGATGGGCATGCTTATCTCTGCAACCCGCTTCTTCCAATTCGCCTTCGGACTCGCCGTTATCGGATTGTATGGCCAGGATGTCCGACACGACCACCAGGATAAGCATACCTGGCACGCAAAGTGGGTTTTTGCGCTTATTACGGCGTTCGTGGCGACTGTGACCTCCGCGGTCTATCTTGCTGTACAGCTTTTGCGGAGGGGTAATAGCAACGTTGGGAGTAACCCTGCGCTGCATCTCCCGCGGTTTGTGTGGGAGTTTGTCCTGTGCGTGCTTTGGTTAACGCTTTTTGGCATCTTTGGGAAGATGTATATTGGTGTTTATCCTTCTGACAAGAAAGATGATGAGAAGAATGCTGGGCTTGGTGATGCGTCGAAGATTAATCGCATGCGCCATGCTGTTTGGGTTGATCTTATCAATTTGATTATGTGGGCCACTACTTCTTCGTTTGTGCTGTTGCGCTGGTTGAAGGGGCGTCGTGCTTCTGGGGGTTCTGTGCGGGATGTTGAGAAGGAGGAGGGTCAGGCGTTCTAGGATGCTGGTTTATCCTTTGAGGCCTGAGTGGGGTCGACGCTCTTTTTACTTGAGTGCGTGAGGAAGATAAGAGTTCTATTTGAGCTGGCTTGAATTTGTATGTGTTCTCTTGAGTTTCGAGTGCGGAGTTCTGGCTATGGCTGGTGGCGTTGTTCGAGTATTTTACTAAACTGCATTCAACTCTTCATTTGATACTTATTGCCGAGTTGTAGAGTAAACATTTATCATCAAAAGGCCAAAGGGTGTTATAGTGGCCAGAGCTCGCTTTCCAATTTTAATAGGCCTTTTAGGCCTGAACTATAGAGATTTGTACCCTGATCTGACCAACAATCATCAAAACAGTCGCCTACCTACCTGGTAACGTCGCCACACCTAATATTATACAGTCGATGAAACTTCAGCAAGAGTTATGGATATGGGACTATTTCGTAGTAGGGTTTCAGTAACTTTCAGTCTGTCGTGTTGGATCACCCATCCATCGAAAACAAGGCATGAACTGGGAGTTAAAAAAGGAAAGCGAGCACTGACCGCTATAACTTGCCATAGAAGACCGGAGTTAGGGATCAAATATTCTTACGTTTACTATTACCCTACTTGGTCAAGCAAAAAATGAAATTTCCAGCATATTTCATTGGTAAGATAGAGTTTCTTGCTAAAATTGGGAGGTTCCTGCGGTCATCCACTTGGAACTAGGAACCCACTCAAGAAAACCCTTCAAGAACCCAGTCCATGACTGGCAATAACTTCGTTGGCGAGTGTCTGGAACCATCTACTGGACGACTAGACACCGCACAAAACCCCTTCAAAATCCAGTCCATCACTGGTAATAATTTCAAAAACAATTCTTCAGAAAAACCTCCCATCATTCGGAACACTGCCATTACTGGCAATCACTTCGGAGAACGATCGTTCAGGAAACTCTCCCGGTCGCTCGGAACACTGTTGGGCGGCAGTTGAGGGCCAGTGTCAATGTCGATGTCCCCATACGACAGAGTGAGGTCTCTTAGATTCTCATGGGCATTCTGGGCCTCTGCCTGCTCCAGGCGAATCCGATCAGCCAGGGTCTCCTCAGATTCTTCAAGAGAAAATTCGCTAGGGGTCGTGTTGTCCATCATGAAAGACAGGCCAGAGAAGTTTCGAGTGTGGCCTCTGTGCTCGGAGGCTTGGTCATTTCCGCGCTCTCTGTAGGGAACCACCGTGATAGCCGATGCGTTACTAGCGTTGCTGGTGGAGCGGGAAATAGCTGGCTCAGCTGGAGGCTGAGGGCGTTGTTGAACTTGTTCGGCAAAGCGGGTGCGGAATCCTGGTTCGACGAGTGGAAAGTTGGATGGTTGGCCGTTGTGGTCGTAGTCGGTCAGCATCCAGTCCTCGAGATATTCCTTGCGAGGGAGGGAACCCCAGGCGTCTTCGAATTGCCACCAGGGTCGTGTGGGCAGCGGGACCTTTTCGATGGGCTCGGGGTCGTTGAGCACTTTCGTCAAGGCTTCCTTCATTTTCTCAGGCATGGGGATTCGATAACGGTTCTTGAAGGAGGGGATGTTCTCGAATCCAGGAATTCTGGTCCAGTCGGCGGGGACTCCGTCGCTAGACGAGCTGCTACTGGCGTAGCCGCTGTCGTTGGGTTCAGCTCGTTGTTTTCCCTTACCCTTGTCCTTTGGCTTTGGGGTTTCGTCCTGGGGGTCTTCACTCACGGTCTCTGGGGCCGGGGAGATGAGGGTTTCGGCATCGGAGTCGAGATCAGGGGCGGGGACTGCGGTGGCGGTCGCCGTTGCTTTCTCGCTCGGTGTAGTCTTGGGTAGCTTGAGGGTGCTGAGCTGGTCTAGCATTTCGTCGATGTCGGGAGAATCCATTTTGTCGTAAAGAGGTGTGTTGTGAGGTGATTCTTCGAGTGGTAGCGCGGAATCTTCGCCGAAGACAAGATCGAAAGAGAGAGAATCTCCGTAGGGATGAGGTGGATGCTGAGGTTGAGGTTGAGGCTGAGGACGAGGCTGCTGTGGTTCGGGTTTCTGCTGCTTTGGCGCTGCCGATTCTTCCTTGGGGACCGAAGTCTGCGATGACTTGCGGCGTTGGAAAAGAGGACGACGCCGTCCAGATCGGAATCCTGCGGCGAAATGGGCCGCTTTCTTTGGACCCTGGCGAGCAGCCAGTTTCTGGGGGTGGGATTTAGGAAGGTCGAGAGTAAGAGCGTTAGAAGGGCTGCGGGCGATGCTCTCCCCGTCTGGCTTTTCGACAAGAAGACGCGCGGACTTGTTGGACTCTGCTTGTGGAGTGCTGGACTTCTTCAAGATGGGCTGGGGAGTGGCCTTGGCCTCAATGGGCTGAGACTTCCGCACCGACTGCGGCGAGCCTTTGAAGTGATACGGACTGGTAGAGGTCTGTTGTGGTGGTGAGAATCAGTATGGCGGTGGAGGGAAGAAGAAGGGCAAGACATGGAGGGCCTGAAGGTGCCGCGCTTTGTTTTGGGCGGGAAGGTGACAAGACGGGTGAGGCTGGCCTACCTGCGAGTTGTCGCCACGACGTCGGAAATATCCCATGGGAGCAGCAATGCGAGCAATCAGGTCGCTCAATTGGCCAACGCTGATGCTGGTCAGCAGTTTCTCGCTGCTCCAAACTCGCCAGAAGAGATATCCCAGCCGGCGATGGGCTTGGTCCCGCGTGGCCTGCTCGGTCACGTAGAAGGCTGATAGTGGTGTCAACATGGTCCATTTACCTTTTTAAATGGGATTAGCTACGATCATTAAGCTAGGACTTACCTCTCCAGAGATCTTGGACCATCTGGAGGTCCACGGGCTGATCTCGCCGCATCTCCGGCACCGCCTGAGAGATTCTCACCAGGCTGGGAGCATCTTTCTGCTCCATTGCGGATGTGTCTCTGGCGCTTCGTGAGGCGCAAACTTCATGTAAAGCCTTATGACCACCCGCTTATTACAGGTGGCCGAACGGCCCGGAGTGATCAGATTACCGCTCAGATGACCGCAGGCGAAAATGCTGGTGGTTTATGAAGTGTTGTGGGGTGGACTTGGTGACGGTGCTGAGCGATAGAGAAGAAAAATTGCAAACGAACGAAGACCAACACCTTAGCGACGGCAATGTTGTGAATTGCCGGTAGGGCGGTGCATAACTCGCCTATTAGGAGTAGCGTCATAGGCATTCACCAGAGCTGCCTACAAGTTTCACGGCAAGTGCCGTCGTTCCCTTCCCACCCTGACCCTAGGGTACCCAGCGAGGACTGTCGATTGGGAACGAGACTGATCAGGAAGGTGCGAGGTCACGGGATCATCCAGCGGGAGCAGCAGGCACCTCGAAAGGGTCTGTTGGTCTCTAGGCTTACAGTCCGAACAATGCGAGCAATCGAACGCCGTCTCAGCTGAACTGATTGTTGTTGAAGCAGCAGTATGAGCGGTGAGCAGCTAACGCAGACCAACGCGCCGCAAAACAGCACACAATGACGAAACGGACAGGGAACCGCAGCCTCAAGCAATCCCTGTTCGCCAGTCCAACCCAGCAATCGAGTGGCGTCAAAGGGTTCCCAATCCGGGATCGCAGCACATCGCCGGGGCAGTCGGGACGGCCCGTCACTGGACTGGTGCGAGGATTATAAGAGTCGACCATCGCCAGCCACTGTGGGCCATTGCATCGACCTCACAGGCTCGCCCCATGACAAATCGAGTCATCCAGCTCCGCCTCCTCATCATCGCATTCCGATTCGCCTGCCCCTTGCAACCAGGGACGCCCCTAATTACCTGATACACCCAGCCCTATCGTCTACCGACTACTCTTCCGAGAATACAAGGAACTCAGAGGGAGTCGAGGAAGGGATATTCTGTCAGGCACAACCCAAGGAGCAGGCGCAGGTTCATGTCGGACGGTTGAGCTGGCAATCCACGCGGCATGGCCTCATGCAGCTTCCCGGCGACGGAAAGTCTGGTCCAATCCTGAACGAGGGGTGCAGGAGGAATGCTCGAACTCTGCAGACGCAGACTCGTCATGTCTAGACCGCATTCGTGGAAGCTGGAGAAACCCAGCCCCTTACTATCCCCGCATTGGCCCCCACCTCAAAGCCCCACCTTCTGGAATGTTGAATCTGCGGAGAAGGCGGGAGAAATGCGCCATCATGATTTCTGGGTATGATAGGAAGGTGAGCCGTGATCGATAATCACTGACCTGGATACAAGGGATGACTTCTTCGTTCTACTTTCGGTCGTGAACCCGTCAATCTCGGTTTGCTGACATCACCCGTTCGATCTATATCACCGTTGACCTGTACCGTGGTTCAGCGGCGGGCCTGACAGCCACGGGTGTGCTAGATGTTCTCTGGGTATTTTGTGGCGTTGAAATACGATTGAACGGCTGCTTCGTGAGATCCTCTTAAAGAATAAATGATCAAGCAGATGGCTCTGCAGAGTCTGTCTTGATTACAGAATCACTATCCATCACTGAGTCCAACGCAGTCAGATTTGACGAACTGGTTGACAGGGAGCATTCCTCTCGCACACTACAGTCAACTTCTGAATCATCCATCCTTCTTCAAACTCCACTTTCTCTCAACTATATCGAGCATTCACTGTTGAATCACTTCCATGTACGATGCTCTAATGGAGTCTCATGACAGTGCTACGACGTACAAAGGTGAGTAAGAATCGTGAAACATACCCGAACGCTTGAGAAACGTGACACTCTAACTTTCTCTGATATCTAGTAGCGGTATTCTAACGTCATCAACAACATCATTTATTCTCTGGCTCCACAATCCACTTTGGTGTATTCATCATGCAGACTCGCTGTTACATGTGGCTTGAGATTGGAATGAATTTTCCATCAAAGGTGATGGGAGGGAGGGGGGTAGTGCAGCTCCGAACTCTCTCTAATCCCTTCCCACGAAGGCGCGTCTGAGTGATTTGTGGTTTAAGGAACGCGACACAAGATGTTGCATGGCGGCATTCCCAGTGGAATACTGACCACTGTCATCAATTCTAGACATGTTGTGTCACTTACCTCCTGCGGTGTGGTAAAAGCCGCCCACCTTTATCGTTTCCATCTCCCGGAGAAATAAAGTCCACGATGACTGCCGGTATGGCCTCATGTCTGGCTCTCTAACAATCTACTGGGATGAAGGCGGAAAGAAAGGGCTGGATTTATGACATATTACCGAGCCCTACAAAAAGACTTCTTTTCTTGGGGAGGTAGTAGCACCTCCAGAAACCGAAGCAGAAGCCAAATCCGGTCCTCCATCACCACCGCCTTCTCTGCAACAACAGATTCATATCCGGTATGTTGTCCTCGTCTGTGTCTTCGGTCAATTATGCCTCAATTCACTCACCCACCAACCTAGTGGTGGCAGAGAAAGGAGGAGGAGGAGGAACTATCGACTTACGATTTTTTCCCCACGGTTGTGGAATAGGTTTGATGATTGACAGAACTCTTGGTTTGCACTCAAGCTGCAAACTCTTTCTTGAACTGAACACTCCTCTGCAGGTCAGGGGAAGTCGACCGCTTCAGGGCTACTCTCCGGACTCGTAAGGCCACTGCGACTTGATGAACTGAGAGTAGACCTTTTTGGAATACTTCTCTCGCGGCCCTCAACTCACGGAGTGTTTTTACGACAATCTCATTTCTTCTGCTACAAAGATGCACTGGTATCCCCAAATTCAGAGCGCCTCTCTTTCGCATAAGGGAACAATTCCCTACGAAGTGATGATGCAGACTTTCAGGGACGAAAAACAAATATAGAAGCGATCTCAGCAAGAGGAACTTCTCGAATTCCAGCAGCTCAGTGATGGAGAAAGCTAGAACCAATCGTCCAGACGCATCATGGATACCAATGCCTGTGACCGTCACAACGTACAGTGCCAAGGTTCCTGCTGGCCAACGGTCGTGCTGAAAGCTGACTGGAGTGAAACTCCAGTCAAGCTCAAGCGTGATATGATGTTCTGACTGAGGGAGTCGAGAGAGTTTGGCGAGGTCGGAATCAGGATCAAGGCTTTGAAGGCCAGGGTCATACCGCTGACCGGTAGGTCGCCGAGCAAGAGGACTCCAGGTCGAAGTTCTTGCAGAGCGAACAGACGCATAACAGTTCCTGGCATATGCAGCAGTGCGTAAGAAGGGATACTACTAAAAGAAGCATCGGCACGTGTTCTTCAACTTGGATGGAAAGACATCACATCCAAGCGAAGCCCAGCGACGCATCTCTTCACCCACTAAAAGACTAAGCGCAGAAAAGTTTCATTTGAAACAGACGAGGGAATCCAAAGAAGGCTGCAAACATTTTAATAATGGTATGCCACCAAACAGTTTCTAGTGCGGATTTCACAGCCACAATGCGGCCATATTCGCAAAGATCAATACTCAAACCCTATCATGTCGCCAAAGTGACATGAAACCAAAGTGGACGCGACCATGACGCTTCCTCTATGGAACCGTGGCATTACGATCTTAAGAAACGTTTCAGCATGCCCGCCAGCGAAGCCCGCATGGAGTACAACGCCTTGGAATACAGCCTTAGAAACGTCTATTCGCGACGCGATCGTAGCTTGGATCGAGAGTGACATATCTGGGCAGATTGAAGTTGCAATAGTCACCCTGTTAAGTGAGGCTGGGATATGAAAATGAAAAGCTATAATGGAACAGCACTCTAAGCGGGGTTTTTCTCATTAAGAAAAACAATACAGTGAAAGTTGTTGATACATTATTGTGAGATTGCTGCCTGGTAGGTGTACCACGTGCATGGTGGCACATCATGTGATAATGTGAAATATATAATAATGAGCTCAAACCCATCAGATTGAAATGATTTTCTTTGGCGGATTTGTCAAGGAAATGCACTTTCGTAACACGGGGACAAAAGCCAAATCTATCTCTTTAATGCACAAAAATGATGTGGATCGTGTCTGGTGAGTTTCTGTCAACTCCTTGTGTCTATCTGTCTCAAGAAGCAAAAACAAAAAGATGGACCCGCGGGGAATTGAACCCCGGACCTTTCGTAGTTCCAATAGACCAAATAGGTCACTGCAAAACGAAAATCATACCCCTAGACCACAAGCCCGATTATTTAATCATATAATATTAATTCCATTGTTGTTACAAAGAAATCACGAGGCGTATAGTCTTCGAGCAGAAGTAAAGTAAGTAAAATGTAAGCGGGATGTGGCCATGAAAGGTCTGATTTGCGAAGCCACGCATTTGAGGGTCAAGGCGCAAGCTTCCCACGACACCCTTGGACAATGATGCGACACAAAAACCGTTCAATCTCTGTCCTGCGCGCACAAGGCTCTTCAAGATAGTTTCCAATGATCGGAAAGTCCATGAACCGACATAGTCATCGGCCCCAAGGGCTTGGCGACGAAGGAGTCTTGCCTGCAGCATTTCTTTCATGTTAATTTTGCCCATATATAAACCTAGAAGAAATCGGCGCTTCATAAATGTTGTTGATAAAATCTTGTGAGTGATCACATCTTAGCTCATAGACACAAACAGGGTGCGAAATTTCATCAACTGGGCCTATGGTTTAGGGGTATAATACCCCCTTCGCATATACCGCCTTCCTAATTGGAAGCGGCAAATGAGAATGGGGGTGGTCCGGGGTTCGATTCCCCGTGGGTCCATGTCTTTTTGTTTCTTTTTTATTTATTATTATTATATTTTTATTTATTTCTATATACGTATATATTTTTCGGTCTATATACGAACTGTCGCTCGCGAGTCCAGAAGTAGCCTCTATGAGTGAACGATTTCGGGCCAGTTTGCTAACAGGAGCTGGTTAGGCATGAAGTGAGCTGAGTGGTTCCATCCCACGGACAAGAGTCCTGCGGTGCAATCTGATCTGCGGATGCCGTTTGGAACCTGCAAGGAACACACGTCGCTATTCACCACACTATAGACGTATATATTTGACCGAGCGAGTTGAAGATGGCTGGGAGCAATAACATGCTCCTCACAATTAGGGAGAACATTGGTGGAAATCACGTGATCACTCAATGAGGGCGGCAGAAGACTGGGTATCTAAATGGATATTACTACTTTCTGCCATATCACCTTTTCTCCTATATAATATACCACACTCTTCTCCTGACATATCTTGGATGCTTACCTAGAACACAGGTAAGACAAACGGCCAGATGAGGCTTTGATATCTTGATCACCCTGGCTGGGCGCTCCAAATCCCAATCTTGTCTCGCCTCTCAATTATTTAGTCACCGACATGATCAGTCGCCTAATATGACCACTGAGTCCTCGGATTACCTAGCAAAAGGAAGCAGAGCACAGAATGCGGCTACAAGTGCGCTCAACCAACGCAAATGTCAGCGATGTCTCCGCCGGAGTGCCGAGACCAGTATCGGCCTTGATTTCCCCATTCCGGCATCAGCACGACAATCGTCCTGACAGCCGCCGATCACCCTCTTATTTCCGAGCACTTTACCTACCCAATGTCGGAATATTTCCAAAATACATCTTACGATACATGTAGCGCCTTTATTATTATCTATAACAAACTGCATGTACCCCCGCAGTCTCGCAGATACAACCCAGCAACACAATGCGTCTCAACCAAGCACTGGTCATCCTGCCTGTGGCCACCTACGCCCTCGCCCAATCAACGACCAAACTATTCAATTTCACCAGCGACATCGACATCGAGAACAGCGCGACCCGTCCTAATGGAAACCTCCTCCTCACAACTTTCGAAAAAGGCCGACTCTACCAGCTCAACCCTCTCCAACATGCGCCGCAAGCCGAGCTAGTCGCCGCCCTCCCCGGCGCCACAGCCCTCTGCGGAATCGCGCCCATCGATTTGGACAAATTCGCTGTTATTGGAGGAGTTCGAGGCCATTACAGCTACGTCAATGAGACGGTGTACACGGTGGATTTCAGTCAGAATCCCACGAAACCAACTATCCAAACGATTTCTCGGATTCCAGAGGCCGTGATGCTCAATGGCTTGGCTTCAATGCCTTCTCAACCGCATGTTGTTTTAATCGGGGATGCGCGACGAGGTGCAATTTTCCGCGTGGACACGGCTACCGGCTCCTCGCAGGTCACTTTCAAAGATGAGGCGCTGACGGCGCCGGCAAATGCGTCAATTCCAATTGGCATCAATGGCCTCAAGGTCTTTGGGAACAATGTATTCTTCACTAACTCGGCGCGGAACATCTTTGCCAAAATTCCTGTTAGCGACGATGGTCTCACGTTTGGATCGGTTCAGATCATCGCCCACTTGGAAACGCGCAAGTCAGGCGAAGACTGGGATGATTTCATCATTGATACCGACGGTATCGCGTACGTCGCGCAGCCGAATAACTCCTTGGCGCGAATCACGCTAGATGGAGAGATAAGTGTCATTGCTGGTGGTGGAAACAGCACTATTCTCGCGAGACCTACCTCGGTGCAGATTTCCAAGGATGGAAAGTCGCTTTATGTTATGACTGGCGCGGGATCGATTGTCGAGGTCAAGATTCCGCGGGACTAGTTGTGCCGTGCAGAAAAACTTGTATACTCTATCACAAACTTATCTACAGAAACTTTCTCATTTTTTTTAATAATGCACAGTAACGTCATTGCTTGTCAATATGGCATGGCTGTGAGCTTGATCTCTTTATAGAAATCCTTGGTGGGACCCCATCGGAGTTCCGAAACTGACGTTCTGAACCACGCCTTTCTTGTTGACATTATTGATGACCACTTCCGAGGCCTTCAGTCCAACTTCCTGATAATCCTTAGAAAGATATCTCATGTGAACACGGATTTTTGCTACCCTGGAGAAAACTTGTGTACTGCTGTCGATATGTTCGTAGGTGCACATGATGTGCCAAATAATTCGTACTCATGCAATAGAATAACCCGGAGGAAAGAAGAAGCTTATGTGATGAAATTAATGAAAGTAAACGTAATACTGGGCGACTTAGGTCAAGGTATAACCACCATCAACCCTGAGATCAGCCCCAGTAACATACTTCGACGCATCACTAAGCAAGAACGTCACAGCTCCCATCAAATCCTCCGGCGTTCCCATCTTCCCAACAGGAATAAGCGAAGTCCACTGCTCACGCAACTGCGGATTCTCATCCAAAATCTTGCGAGTCCTAGTAAATCGTCAGCCATAATTCCAACTCACCACCACCCGGCCTCCATCGGAAACTCACAAAGCAGTCAACATATACCCCGGTGAAATGCAATTAACCCTAATCCCATGGACCGCCCACTCAACCGCCAATGAAGCAGCCAGATGCCGCACAGCCGCCTTGGCCGCATTATACGGCGCCTGCGGCTGCGGCACATTCACAATGGACCCAGACATGGATCCGATCATCACGATACTTCCAGGCGCTTTCCGCTCCATGAGATGCTTTGCCACGCCCGTCGCGAAGAGGTACGTTCCGTCGACGTTGACACCCCAGAGTTTCTGCATGCGGTCGAAGGGGTAGTTGATTGCGTCGAAGTTCTCCGTGAAACCGGCGGATGTGACGAGGTTGTCGATTTGGCGGTGTTTTGCGAGGACTTCGGAGAGGGCGGTTGAGACGGAGTCTGGGTTTGAGACGTCGGCGTAGTGTGCTGTTACGGAGGGCATTCTGAGTGTATTAGTTTTATGATGTTATGAGGTTGGTGGAGGTGGGACGGACTGTTCGAGGCCCGGGTTTTCTTTGCGGAATTGCTCGATGATTTTTTCGGCTTGCTCTTCTGCTTCTGCTTCTATGTGTGTGTTAGTGGGTGTTCGGCTGGGAATTATTCTGCATACTTATTCGGTGTACTTACTATTCAAATCAACGATTGCCAGATGCGAGCCCGAGGCAACTAGGCCCTGCGCCATGACGAGTCCTAATCCGCGTGCACCACCGGTTACCATGGAGACTTTATTCTCGAGCGAGAATGAGGCCAGGGTGCGCTTGAAATGCATTCCGCCGCGGCCTTGGACGACCGGTTGGGAGGGCATCTCGCTGTCGGGCGGGTACTCGATCTGGACGCTCTCGTCGGTTCGCGCGAACTGGCCTTCATGTTCGCCCGATGCGCCGTCGGGGGCTTTGTTGGTGGCTGCGAGGTTCGGGTCATTTGTCGGGTCATCTTGTTTGTTGTTGCGGGCTGCAGTGTCTGAGAGCGGGCGGAGGAATAGGCCTGTTGGCCTGCCTCTTGCCGCGAGAGCTACTGGACGGGGAGCCCTGCGGAGGGCTGTGCGGGTGACCGTGCGAGAGAACATCGTTGCAGTTTGTCGGCGTGTGAAGCTGTTGAGGTCGAGGTTGATAGTGTGGAAGTGAAATCGAAGGAAGATAGGACGGGAGGCGGAGGGGAAATATCTCGCGGGGGAGGGGGTGGCCACAGAGCTATTTACTTTTTTTTCATCCTTTTGTATTATTCTGATTCCAACGAAGCTAGAGCTTCTGGAGCCTGTCACACTGGAGCTCGTGAATGGCTGGAATGCGCCACTTGCGGAGGGATACCATCACTCCGAGTCCGCGCTGCCAATGAGCGAGTTGCATGGAGCAGCCTAGGGAAATTGAGTTGCAGATCGGGGCAAGCCAGGAACAAAATAGGACATGTGTTGCAGTAAGATGTGCACTAGCATCGTCAAGGGTGTGGTTGGGGCAGCTGGAGGCGAGCTGGTGGTGATGTCAAGTGGCCGATCTACTTGACCGGAATACAAAGACAGTGCCGAATAGCTAGCTATTCCCTACCCTATCTCTAGGGAGCCTCAGGATACGGAAGTATAGTACTCGGCTAATTATATGGGCTAGGGGTATTTAGGAAAATGTGCCTTTTTTTTTTGAGATCCATCACTTCGCCGACCGTATTTGCCGCCGTCTTACTGGGGCTGTTGTCATGTTTGCCACTAAGCAGCAACCCCTCATTTCTTCGAATCCGATACAAGTCATCATGCAGAATCAAACATTCACAGAATTGACTCGATAGCGATGAAACGATAATCCTAAAATAGTACCGACACCAGGGGATCTATTCCTCGACATCGAAGATCTTCAAATGTGGAGCTAATCGGCTCCACTTCTCCAGCTCCTCTGCGACCCATAAGGATTTCTGTCAGACGATCTGCTACTGATTACTCTCTACCTGTGCAGTTGTAGGTTCTAACATAGCTGTTATTGTACTAGTAATATCCGATACTCCAATAGTGCAAAAGCAAAAACATAAAACCGCCTTTCCTGGAAACAAAATTATTGCTCCTCGGCGAATTCGACCAGCGGCGTCCCGCTCTTACATTGATCCTGTCAACATCATTAGTAAACTGCCTTCATTTGAGATCGCAGGTGTAAAGTCTTAATAGGCCGGGGGGACCAAAGGCCAGGCGGGAGCGAGCCATCCCAAACGGGACGACCGGCGCCAATGCAAACAGCCCGAGATTAAATCCTCAGACTCCTCTGGCCTGAGGCGAGTCTAGAACACAAAGAAAAGGGGCATGGCTTACTCCTTGTTGATGAACGACGCGCGCAATCGTCCCCTGCTGCGGACTGCGAATGACCGTCTCCATCTTCATACTCTCAATCACCACCAATGGCTGATCTTTCTCCACCGTATCGCCCGCCTGCACTTCCACGCGCAGCACCTTGCACGGCATCGGGGCAAGGACACTGTTGGCGACGTCCTTCATTCCCAGTGCTTTCTCCATCCACTTAGCTCGTGGCACTGTGAGTCGATATTGCATGCCTTGTTGGAATGCGAACGGTGTCCTCGTCTTGGACGACGGTTGTGTCCAAGCGGGTGTGGGGAAAAAGGATGTCACGATGTGCGAGACTGGGTCCATGCGGCTCTCAACTTGTTCGAATACTCTGCCGCCTACTTCGATGTTAAATGTGCGGTCCGCTGTCTGCTGCACGCGGACGTCGAAATTCCGCACTTCACTCTGAGGGCCCTTGGATTCGGTGAAAGATAGCTGTCGCTGCTGGTAGCTTGGAGCGAATCCGATCGCACTCCCGGCAAGGCCACCGGATGCCTGGGATGCGGCCTGAGAGTCGCGGTGCAGACACGCCAGCGCAACTTGAGCAAGAACCTCCTCGTCAATCTTCTTTTCGGGGAAGAGCTCTTCACGATGCTTCTCGATATACCCAGTTTCCACCTCACCGGCAATAAAATCAGGACTTCGGCAGATGGTCTTGAGAAATTCAATGTTGGTGACGGGTCCAGCAACCTCATACTGCTCCAGGGCAGCACCGAGTCTCCGGATAGCTTCTTCGCGGGTTTCGCCCCGGACAATCAGCTTGGAGATCATCGGGTCATAGTGCGCCGAGACATCATCGCCTTCGACAAAACCGGCATCAATCCGGATATCTTCGCTTGTAGTAGGTGTTCGAACGTGAATAAGACGGCCCGAGTCTGGGATAAATCCCATCTCGGGATTCTCGGCATAGATTCGGGCTTCAATGCCGTGACCACTCCGGGCAATGTGCTCTTCCACTTCTTCCTGGGTCAGAGGGAGCGGTGCACCTTCCGCTACCATAATCTGCCAGTGGACCAAGTCCTGGCCAGTAACCATTTCAGTGACGGGATGTTCCACCTGGAGACGGGTATTCATCTCCATAAAGTAGAACTCGCCGGTGTCATTGTCGAAAATGAATTCCACAGTACCAGCACCTTCGTAGCCCACAGCGAGAGCGGCCGATCGTGCCTTGGCCCAAAGATCCTTGCGAGTCGCATCTGGTAGATGGGGTGCCGGAGATTCCTCCAGAATCTTCTGGTGTCTCCTCTGAATACTGCAGTCTCGTTCACCCAACGCAACCGAGTTGCCGTGCTTATCCGCAAAGACCTGAACCTCAATGTGACGGGGGGTTGTGATGTATTTCTCCACCAGAACATGATCGTCGCCAAACGAGTTCCGAGCCTCAGACTTGGCCGACTCGAGTTGTGCTTGGAATTCGGCCTTGGAGCTGGCAATTCGCATTCCCTTGCCGCCGCCGCCCTTGATGGCCTTGATGAGGACGGGGTATTTGATCTTGTCGGCTTCGGCTTCGAGGAACTTGGGGTCTTGATTCGAGCCGTGGTAACCAGGGACACAGGGGACACCCGCGGCCAACATAATCTCTTTGGAGCGACTACCGCCGGTCAATAAACTGTTCTGAAAATTCCCACCCTCTGCACATACCTCTTGTCGCCCATGTCCTCAATTGCCTTCCATGGAGGCCCAATAAACACGATTCCAGCCTCGGTGCATTTCTTCGCAAAAGCAGAGTTCTCGCTCAACTACTCCTGAGTTAGTTCCCATGTTCGCTTTAGACAAGACCTCGGCAACTCACAAATCCATATCCGGGGTGAATTCCCCGACAGCCCTCCTTTTTCGCAATTTCAATGATACGGTCTCCGTCGAGGTATGCCGACACCGAGCCCAAATTAAAGGCAAATGGCGAGCTCAGGGCATGTTGTGCTCGGCTATCCGGGTCGGTGTAGAGGGTCGTCACGCGGATTCCATGCTCCGCCGCTGTCCGTCCAACGCGCCTAAAACAGTCAGTCCGAAATGCCTTGTCCAAAAAGTTACAATTCGAGGTTATGTATACAGTGCAATTTCCCCTCGGTTTGCAATCAGGATTGAATCCAAGGAATTTGTTTTGCTCGCCGCCGAGGATGCGGCCCTGGTGGTTCTGCGGGCGGCGATCGGGGCGAGGCGGGGAGTAATGCGGAGAAGGGACGAGACGGTCATGGCGAGTATGAGCGCAGCGAGAGCAGCTACTGAGTAGTGTCCAGCTGCTCGGTGGTGTATTTCCAGTAAATCTGGGGGATCACTCAGAATCTGAATTCATGGTCGGGGGTGGAAGTTACGGCAAGAAAGGGCGGGCTTTCTAGAGCTGCGAGCTGCTTAAGCCGACGCAAAGCGAGATGCGGGGGAAGCCGAGGTGACATAAGCTGACACCGCCTTCCGTTCATTAGGAAACCGCGCCAGACTATATCCCAGCATAGGGAATGTGGGTTTTGACAATACAAGTTGCTTATGACGATGCTATATTGTGTGAAGCTGCTCTAAAGCACTGAATCCAGGCTTACTTCCTCGCCAACCTTTCTCCATTTCGCCACACACCCTGGATATCACCAATCGCGTCAATAGACTCGACAGGATTGCCAGACACCAGCAACAGATCAGCCAGTCGGCCTGTTTCAATCTTCCCACGATCCGACAGCTTGAACCGATCCGCGACCTTCGATGTCGCCGAACAGAGAGCTTCCTGCGGAGTGAACCGGCATCGGTTGACATACATCCACAGCTCATGATGCACAGAAGCCCCAGCTCGAGTACCGAGCAGCTCAGTCGATGTATCAGTACCACTAGAAGAAAATTTAGTACAAAAACTTCGCTTGATATGAGAATGCTCACCAAAGAATGTCGATTCCCGCCTCCTTGAGGGTAGAGACCTGTTCATACACAGTCTTGATGGACAGGTCTTTCCGCGTAATACAAAGACACCCAAGGAGGTGTTCCTTCTCAGGACCCTGGAGGCTACTCGCGAATCTTTCGCGAGATTCTTGCTCTTCGCCGCTGCATGAGGCGTGCACGGCTAGGGTTGGGATGAGAAAAGCGTTGTTTTTCTTGAAAGCTTTGATCACATCTTCGGTGATGGGATCAATCGATGCATGGGCTAGCCCGTCGACTCCTGCTTCAAGTACTGAGAGTGTCGAGTGGTTGGTCAGTGCGTGAGCGACTGTTAGCATGCCCTTGTCGTGCGATGCGTCCACGATTGCTCGCTGGATTTCCAGAGATGGAGTTGGCACGGGTTTTGTGGGAAAGGGAAGAGTCATGGTATGACCATCTTCCTGCATCAGCTTGGTAAAGCTAGAGGGAGTATAATGGTGTTAGAGATGAGATGAGCTCATATGTAGATGTAAGGACATACCTAGCACCAGCTGCACGATTCCTGGCAATAAAGTTGTCGATAGATTGCTTGTCGACAAGATCCGGCCACTTGGAGATTCTTTCTTCGACCTGATAATTGTCAGTTGCCGAATTTCTAGTGATCTTGCGAGCTGCCTTACATTAGGCTCCCGAGAGACCAGCTTGACAATAGCCGCCGGCCACCCGTTCTTGATCGTGGCGCCAAATCCACAAGATTTAACGTCAGCAATATCTTTTCGCTGGCGAGTTACCGCACTAATGTTTTTAAACCACTCGGGCTCATTGTGCATGTCAAACACAGTGGTAACACCGTATTGCATCGACGTCTCCAAGAGACCAACGTCCTGATAAACATGCGTATGGGCATCTATCAGACCAGGCAAAAGGGTACATCCCGTCGCGTCGACCACAGAACATCCTTCCGGTGCTGACAAGGGCTCTCGCAGTGAGATCTGGGAAATACAACCGGCGTTGATTAGAACATGGCCAGATTCGGTGACAACGGAAACGCCGTCGAAGATGCGCGTGTTGGCGATTAATGTAGCTGGCATTTGGGGCGTCATGAAAGGGTGAGCGTTCGGAGGACTGTCAGATGAAAGGTGTTGAAACTTGGTTTCTCAACAGAAAATGAGGTGAGATCTCCGCTTGGCGTGGTGGATGCGCACGGAGTTGCACTGCATTCCGATCCATGCGTGCCCCACGCTTTTGCATTCCAGCCTGATTCGCAAGGCCGGTGTTGTTGCACAAAGCCTACATAAGCGTGGGCATTACCGGATCCGGGGCGTGCGAACTTTCATACGAATTTCAACCCCGATCAAAGTCCATATGTTGAGGAAACAAAATATAAAAACTTAAATACCTCTCTAGGTCCCCTCATAGTGCTTCAAGCGCATTTTAAACATAATGTATTGGCAACAGAGTTGCTTGACTCTCAGGCGCACCCCACCTAGATTGATCGTGTCATTCGATTACCCTGTTGAGGTGAAAGATAGAGGACTTCAGATGAAATCCCCTGACAATTTTCAGATGAAACTTCCATATTTCTGAATGCGTTTATTTCCCTGGCTAGGATAGGACTCGCAATTTCGTGATGTGCAATCGTAGGATCTCGTCCCGGTCGCAACAAATTCGATTATTAGTGGAAAGTGTGCTTTTATTAAATCAGTCAACTGAGTCAAGCTGACCGGTTGAGGAAAAGCAACCAGACGAAAACGGAGCTATGATTTGAAGAGCTGGGAACATCTGAGGTGGTTTCGCTCATGAATCTTCAAAAAGTCATTACTTCGGTGTTGTACCTGTCCGATCCCATCTAGGAACTGAACCAAACCGAGATTCTCTACCTGACGTGCATGTACACCTAACCTTTTGGTCAGGCAGCCACTAGAGAAGTTAGTAATTGGTGAATTACTAATGAAGTTGATTTGTAACTATATCGCGTCTCTAGACGCACCCCTCCCATGGCAAAACTAATTAGTAATCCACATCTAACTATAACTATGTAACTACAGCCGCGCCCTCTTCGTCCTTCTTTCACCAAGAAAGCAACTCCAGAACCATTTTCATCAAATCATAGCCATGGTTCAACCAATAGTCACAGAAAACACCATTATTCAGGGCTGTCGAATCGCGTATGGCGTGCACGGTAGTGGCAAACCCGCTGTCCTCCTTCACGGAACGCCCTCCTCATCAATAATCTGGCGAAACATTGTCCCAAAACTTGTCGAGGCGGGCTTTAAAGTCCACGTTTTTGACCTACTCGGCTATGGACTCTCGGAGCGACCATGGGATCCCTCTGTCGACACATCCATGACCGGCCAGGTCACGATTCTCGAAAGTCTTTTGTCGCTTTGGGGCTTGGATACAACTCACGTCATTGCCCACGATATTGGAGGAGGTATCGCTCAGAGATTTGCCGTTTTCTCTCCTCACAGGGTGCTGTCACTGACGCTCATTGACGTCGTCAGCTTCGACAGCTATCCCTCGAAGCGCACAAAGCAACAGATGCAGATTGGTCTTGAGGCTCTTACGAAGGCAGATAGCGACGACCACCGTACTCACTTCAGAGAGTGGCTACTTCAGGCTGTTGAGAATCCACAAAAGCTCGAGCAATCGGCCCTCGACGACTACTTGAATTACATTTCCGGTCCAATCGGACAGCCGAGCTTGTTCCAGCATCAGGTCCGACACTATGACCCGAAACATACCATGGAAGTGGCACCGCGTCTGGGTGAGCTAGGGGACCTTCCAGTCCAGTTGATCTGGGGTGCCAATGATGCGTGGCAGGTGGTAGACTGGGCTCACAAATTGCATGAGGCTATACCGGGATCTGAGCTCACGATTGTCCAGGATGCTGGTCATTTCTCTCTGGAGGATCAGCCAGAACAGATATCACAGATTCTCCTCAAGTTCCTCTCCAGGCTCTAACTTTGGTGTTTTACCAATGTTAAATGCGTTTCCTGGATGGAATTGAATCAGTCCTCGTATCTGTCTTTTGTGTCTTTCGTTTTGTACACTTATGATACTACAGGTCAAATATGAGTCTCGATCTAGTAAATTTGTTCAAGGTAAAGATATTGTATCAGGTACGTGTTGTAGTGGGAAGAATTCATCGCTTAATCTCATGGCTTCATCGCGCGGGAAATGGCGTCTGATTTAAGCTACGATGTAGTTTTCAGCTAAATACTGCAATTTTCGTCCGAACTCAGAGATAAAATGAAATTACAAATTATAAGCAGACAAAGCGATCCAAATCTGGAAGCATAACCTTCCTTTCACTTTCTCATATTTTCCCCAGGTAAGATAACGCTAGAATGAGTTGAAGGTCGCTAGACTGAAAACCCAGAAATAAAGTCAGAGCGTTGGCAGAGCAAGGGAGGCCGCTTCAACTGCGCCCGCAGTCACGCGAGGTAGAGGAAGAAGTTGATTCCCATCTTGACCCAATGCCATATCAGCTCGCCAAACTATATCGTTATGAGACTTGGTATTCTGCAGTGTCAATTTAGCAGGGTCCCACTTCAAATGACTCATTTTCAAGGCTTTCTTTATTGATTTGGAATTGAACGATTGTGGTGGGAACCAAAGAAAATCGAAAGTTCAGTCAAACGTCGAGTGGTCCTCTCGAATAAGCGGAATTTTTGCTTTGTCTTTACCTTATCCCTCTTCTTTCGATCCATAGCTATGGATTATCTCGGGTCATTCATGCCACACAAAATCAACAAAACCGAATATATAGAGATATATACATGCTCTTCAAAGTACAAAACCTGATCATGGAAGCATGGGATCTCACAAAACTACTAGTCAACTGATAGAAACTGAATATATCGTCAGTATGAGCCTGTTGATACTGAGACTAACCCCAAAGGCGCATAATCCCAACTCTGGTTCAGCTGCCCTCGTTCCCTGGATGACCGCAGAAGCCATCAAAAATTTCGACGACGCCTCGAAACACCAAAATTTCAGAAATAAGTATCACGAGAAATAAACGCAATTCAGGGGACAGGGTAATCATGAACAAAAGTACAAAATCGCGAGTATAAGACACGTCAGCCGTAATCTTGTCCGGGAGGGGGGTTACAGGAACCAGCTGAGTATAGAGAAAATGTGGAGCCGCAGAAAAAAATGCCAAGGCTTACATTAGCAGGCGTGCATCGGCGAAAGATCAGCCCGATCTTCATCACATTCGTCACTTCACCAGTTCTGCTCTGTTTCCATTCTTTGCATGACCTGCCATATGTGCATGATTTCTAGCTGAATTTGCATTTGACCCGACCCCCTTTTCTCTCCGCCCCTGCTCTCCAAACCCTGTCCCCCGTCCTCGCCCTTCTAGCCGCTCTCCGTTCAACCGTTCAATTCGAAGATGTCCGACGACGACGAATACTACGAATTTGAGGACGACCTGATCTACGAAGATTTTGTGCATGATTTTGTCGTGAGTGATACCGCTGCCGTGAACGCAGTCCAATGCGAGCAAACATTAAACCAGCCCTTAAGGATGAACTAGCCCAGACCTCATATTACGAAGCGGCGCTATATGAGGACCCTGCGTTCGACGTCCAGGATTACTACTCAGACTGGGAATACTATTCGGACGATTACTACGATGATGACCCGACCGTGAAACAGCCCAACGCGACAACCAAAGCGCCCGCCACGAAGTCGCGCCGCGCGCAGACCGGCACCGAATCGAAGACCCGCGACGTGCGCCCCCAATCCTCCATCAAGCCCGACATCACCTCCTTCCAGGGCGTTATTTGGAAAACACCTAGTTTGGAGAAAGATCAGGATGTCGCGATCTATTACGAGCCCGGGACTGGGGACAAGGTGGCGCTGCTCAAGAACTGGCGCGAGATCTTCAAGTCGGCTCAGCCGACGCTTGACAAGTCGCGGTTGCGAAAGAGGAAGATGGAGGACCCTGTCGATGATCTCTCGTTTGCCGACGACGAGTCTGGTGGCGACGACGATATCGACTACGATAACAAGGAGAACGACCACGACCAGGTCGACAGCTCCGAGGTGATGTCCGATGTCGCCTCCTTCAACAATACGAGCCAGGATGGGGATGCTGGCGAAGTGTCGAACACGACTCCCGAGTTCACTCAGTCTCCGAAGGAGGCGCCAACGTCGGCACCGGCACCGGCCAAACGGGGACGAAAGCGAAAGGCCGAGGCGCCGGCCGATGAGTTGAACAAGGACAACCCAGGCGCGAACTCGACACGCTCTCGGCAGAAACGAGTCGAGTCGCGGAAGGGAGGTAGCGGAGGAAGTGCAGAGCCTGGCGCTACGACTGCCCCCGTGCGCCGTTCTACACGTCAGAAGAAGTAGTATGCACTAATGCTTTGTCGGATCCTACAACATCTCGCAAGTGTTACTTTAGGAGTTATGATCTCTACCAAAGTAACGTATATTACGAAACTTCATGAATGCAATGAAGCTGCATATAAACGCCAAGCATGCAAATTTTTCCGGTTTCAAACCATCTCTCTTCAATAATACATTCTGTATGGTATCTAATGTTCGAAAATCACTGGGCATACTCCTTGTTAAAGGCACGGCCAATAACCATCCGCCGAATCTCGCTCGTGCCTGCCCCAATCTCGTACAACTTGGCGTCGCGAAGGAGTCGTCCCGCGGAGATTTCATTGATGTATCCGTTTCCACCCATGAGCTGGATAGCGTCCAGTGCGCATTCCGTCGCGCGCTCGGCGGCGTAGAGAATTGCGCCAGCGCAGTCCTGGGTGCGGATTACTAGCTGACCGGGGGCAGCCGCGCCATTGTCGACTTCTCGAGCTGTAGCGTAAGTGTAGGCCCGCGAGGCAGCGAGCTTGGTGTACATATCGGCTAGCTTCCCTTGGATCAGCTGGTTGTGGGCGATCGGAGTGCCGAATTGCTTTCGGACGTGAGTGTACGGGAGGACAAGGTCGAGGGCAGCTTGCATGATACTAGAAGAAGTTAGTACTGGAAGGAGATATCATTTCAGGATTACTTACCCCAGAGGTCCCGCGCTCAGAACGAGGCGCTCTAAATCAAGTCCTTCCATCAACACCTTGACTCCGCGGTTCAACTCGCCAAGGACGTTCGCGTGAGGAACAAAGACATCCTCGAAGACCAGCTCGCCAGTATTTGAGCCACGCATGCCCAGCTTGTCTAGTTTTTGAGCACAAGAGAAGCCCTTGAACTCCTTCTCAACGACAAAGGCTGTGATACCCTTGGAGCCTGCGTCGGGCTCGGTTTTGGCATACACAACGATGAAGTCTGCATCAGGTCCCTAAATAGAGCGGTATGAGCAACAGATCCAAAGGCAAGATCGAAGGCGACCACTTACGTTGGTGATCCACATCTTGGTACCGTTCAACACCCAGCCACCATCCACCGACTTGGCCGTAGTCTTCATGCTGACGACATCCGATCCGGCCCCGTGCTCGGACATTGCGAGAGCACCAATCTTGTCTCCAGACAGCAGACCTGGAAGGAAGCGTGCTTTTTGCTCAGGCGAACCATTGAGGGAAAGTTGGTTGACGCAGAGTTGAGAGTGGGCGGCGTAGGAGAGGCCAATGCTTCCTGCAGAGACAGAGATTAAGCACCATTCTGGAGATATTGATCAAGATGGAAGGACATACCTGAAGCTCGGCTGAGTTCCTCCATCACAATACAGTGCGCCTGGTAGCCCATGCCCAAACCACCAAACTCCTCGTTCGCAGTGACACCAAGTAAACTACACGACACAAATACGTTAGCAAGATACAAAGCACAAGCCTTCAGGAGCAATTACCCAGCATCGCCAAGTTTCTTCCACATCTCCGGAGGAAAGTTATTCTGCTCGTCCGTCCGCTGCGCAACCTCGGCGGGGATCTCGCGTCCTGGAATGGGGTCAGTATAGAGCAAATTTAGTAGGGCTGCGTGAATTACTTGTAAAATCTTGCACCCGTTCCCTCAACTCGAGAAGCTCATCTTCCGTTGGAGGTGCAAAACCGGCCGGGTGCTTGGTTGACACGCCCCGCACGAAACCTGGGGAGATTGTGGGGATAGCCCGCCGCCCGAGCGAACGGGCAGACGTGCGCAGTAGAGAAGGAAGCGCGATAGAGGCCATTGTGAAGAGTTTGAATCAACCCGCTGTAGAGCTGCAGAGGAGGGAGAGTGGGCGGACTATTTGAGAGAATGCGGAGGGGACGGGGCGGCAGTCCTCGGCGCGGAGACACCACATGTATACCGTGATCCGGATGTGGCTACACTGAGCATTCGATAGCATTTTGATTATGTTACGAACGATATGATCTTGTAAAACTGGTTCTGAGTGATTTCTCAATACATTCTTTTGTGCTATTCTACCAACTTCCATTGAGAATTCCTCTAATTGAAATATCGAATATCGCTGTCCTGCTGGAGGCGGTGATGACGCCCTCGGGTAGATGCGGCAATCCTCGCACCTCCGCACATCTGGGGAAGCCGCTGCTCTACATCTCAAGTCGACGCCAACTTCAGTCCGCACTTCTGCTCAGCACAAATACCATGCGCCGGTCATGATATGGCTCTGAGCTCCTGAATTTTCAAAAGAAGACCGCGATCCAACCTTCCATCTTCCACTTCTCTACCCACTCTCCCCGCAATGCGCGCCCCATCCCCGCTCGTGCTTCGGAGCTTGGGCTCGCGAGTTGCACCGCGCAGCTGCCGCCCAGGACATTTCACCGTACCAACTGGCAGAACTCTCCCTTACACAAAGTCGAGGACAGTAGCCAGCTATACGCACCCGCACCATGCCTCCGCCCTCTCCGTACTGCCCACCGCGGTCGATACCTCTTCGCCTGAGTACCGAGAGAACAGCCAGCAGATGCAAGAGCTCCTAGATCGGATGAGCACCCTCCACACGAAGATCTCCCAAGGTGGGTCGGAAAAGGCTCGCGAAAAGCACATCTCCCGAGGCAAGATGCTTCCTCGAGATCGAGTGTCGGCACTCATTGACCCAGGGACTTCCTTCATGGAACTGTCCCCGCTCGCCGGACACGAGGTGTACGAAGGAGAAGACGTACCAGCTGGTGGAATCATCACTGGCATCGGCACAGTCGAAGGAGTAAACTGTATGATCGTCGCCAACGACAGCACCGTCAAGGGCGGCACCTACTACCCCATCACGGTGAAGAAGCACCTACGCGCGCAAGCAATCGCACAGGAGAACAGACTCCCTTGCATCTACCTCGTTGATTCTGGCGGTGCCAACCTTCCCCATCAGGCAGATGTCTTTCCAGACCGCGATCACTTCGGCCGTATCTTCTTCAACCAAGCCCGCATGAGTTCCCTCGGCATCCCCCAACTCTCGGTCGTCATGGGCCCCTGCACCGCCGGCGGCGCCTACGTCCCCGCCATGAGTGACGAAACCATCATCGTCGAGAACCAGGGTACCATCTTCCTTGCCGGACCACCGCTCGTGAAAGCCGCTACCGGCGAAGAAGTCTCAGCCGAAGACCTAGGCGGCGGCCAGCTACACTCCAGCATCTCCGGTGTAACGGATTATCTCGCTGTCGACGACGCACACGCACTCGTCCTTGCCCGGCGCTCCGTCGCGAACCTAAACTACCCTCTCACCAAATTGCCCCAACAACTGGAAGAGCTCACGGTGAAAGAACCGCTTTACGACCCCGCCGAATTAAACGGTATCGTGGGGACAAATCTGCGCCGCCAGATCCCGGCGCACGAGATCATTGCTCGAATCGTCGATGGAAGTGAATTTGCCGAGTTCAAGCGGGATTATGGCACCACGCTGGTAACAGGCTTCGCGCGGATCCACGGCCACCGAGTCGGAATCGTCGCGAATAATGGTATCTTGTTCTCGGAGTCTTCGCTCAAGGGCGCGCATTTCATTGAGCTCTGTGCACAACGTCGGATCCCGCTAGTCTTTTTGCAGAATATTTCAGGGTTCATGGTTGGGGCTGATGCGGAGAAGGGTGGTATTGCAAAGAATGGAGCCAAGCTTGTTACGGCTGTTGCTTGTGCTGATGTCCCCAAGTTTACGGTTGTGTTTGGGTCCAGTGCTGGTGCTGGTAACTACGGCATGTGGTAAGTCTCCTCAGCGTCGTGTGTTTGCTCGGTGGTAATAAACATCTAATAAATAAATCTAGTGGCCGCGCCTACTCCCCCCGCCTGATGTTCATGTGGCCGAACGCCAAAATCGGCGTCATGGGTTCGGAGCAGCTATCCGCCGTGATGGAGGCCGTCGGACGATCCGCTGACCCAGCATTGAAAGCTCGAATTGACCACGAGTCTGAAGCAATCTTCTCTTCTGCTCGACTCTGGGATGACGGTGTGATCCCGCCGGCGCAGACGAGAAAGATGCTTGGACTTGGCCTGGCGGCTGCTGTTAGCGGGAAGACCGAGCCGGATGTTCAGACCAGGTTTGGCGTGTTCCGGATGTAGGCTCGCTAAGGGCTGGGATAGACATAGAAACGAAAATATGGATATTGATCGAATCAAGCATGTTATTCTCGCAGTCTTTTGGATCGAGGAGAGGACGGAGGGGAAGAACACTTAGGAAATATGCAATGCAAACATAATTGACACTCAACAAATAACATCAGCGATCACTTGGAGATATGAGTACTTTTATCAACTTTTTTTGTTGGCCACTGGAAAATTGAAACCCTAATATGAGAGTGAAGAAATGAGCAAAGTCGCATGCGGCTTTGCTAAGAAATGGAATCAAGTAGGAAAGATGAGAAGGCAAAAAGAGGAGAATGGTATAATACGTGATGAATGGCGGCGAGGCGTCGTTCTATGTAGGATGTAGGGGTAAGGTAGATGCATAAAGCGTGATAAACATCATAAGGACACGTCAAAACGTGGATGCGGAGGCAGCGTGACTCGGAATCCTCGACCACACTCGAAGAGGATAGTGAGCGGTGAGTCTAGGAGTAGTACTTTACCCTGGGGTAAGGCAGGGGAAGAAAAAGAATCATCGTAAGTCATCAGAGAATGACACAAGGACTTCTCCGGCGCTGGGAGCGATTTTCTCGCTTGCGGTCTCGGGCAGGATTCTCTCGCTTCCGCGAATCGCTCCCGCCGGAGCCTTGCAGGTCTTTGCGGATGATTTGTCGGCACAGGTCGACGAAGACTTCGTTTACATTTGCGCGGCGGCGGGCGGAGGTCTCGTAGTAGGGGGCGTTACCCCATGTTTGGGAGAGGCCGAAGGCGCGGGCGCGGGGGACAGCGCGGTCTTCTTCTAGGTCGGATTTGTTGCCGACTATTACGAGGGGCACTTTTTCGTCGTCTTTGATTCGGATGATTTGTTCGCGAAGTTCGGAGAGTTCGTTTAGGGAGGAGGCGCTCGTGATCGAGAAGACGAGGAGGAAACCTTGGCCTTGTTTCATGTAGAGTTCTCTGGGTGTATGTTAGTGGTGTTTTTGGTCGATTCTTGTGGTGGACGTGGTGGTTGTACCTCATGGCCGCTGTAGACTGTTAATGTTGATGTACTGGGGGTGTGGGTCGAGGTTAGGACTTACTGAATTGTTCTGTTCCTGCCGTGTCGAGACTGTTTGGGTGGCATGATTAGCTGTTGTGAAGTCGCCCTGTGACTGAGCCAGCACCTACATTTCCAGTATACATTGCCGACCCTGGAAATGTGAGTCAGTGTGTTTGCGCGTTGAATTGATACCCCCAAAGCACTTACATCGACTTCGATCTGTTTGCGGTAGGAGTCCTCGATGGTGGGGTCATAGCTTTCAATCCAGACATTTTGGACGAATTGAGCTGTCAATGCATGAGCTTCTTTGGATCCAGGATGCAGTGCGGTTACAGCATAGCTGTCCACACGGGAGAATGATGTGTACCAGTCAAGCAGCTCTTACCAACACCTCCAGCACCCAAAACAACAATGTGGTATTCCCGTCTGTTCGCGACACGGCCATTAGAAGCTGCAGACAAATCGTCAAGGACCAGCTGTTCCTCGAACGACAACAACAGCGAACGGCGAAAACTTACTGCGGACGCATTGAGAGAGTTGCACGCGTTGCACCGCGGTATTAGGTGGTATGATGGACGAGAGGTGGAAGGAGACTAGGGCGACGGTGGAGGTCAATGGCACGGTCTAGATTCGGACGGAGTTGAGCGCGTGCGTTGTTTGCGGTGTTCGCGGCGCGGAATGGTCGTGACTGTCCGAATGGTCGGACGCGGGGAGGGAGGGGGTGAAAAAAATATCCGAGGCGATTGAAGCAGGACCGCACCGTGTACTGCGGCGGTGGCACCCCTCAATTGGAGCAGGATGGTACAGTGATGGGGGCCGATGGGGGAGTTCAAGGAGGTGGAATCGGTCACATCGGTCGGCCAATCGACGGGGGGACGCACGGACCGAGGGCCCCGCAGGAATCGTTTTGAGGATTTGTGGTGTTCACAAGTGTTCAAGTTGCGTGAGGCCGTGTCCAGCAAAGGGCGAGGACTGGGTTGAGAGAAGAGAAATCCGCAAGAGGGATGGAATGGAATGGTCTGGGGCGTATTTGTGCGGGCCGACTAGGGCGGTTTCTGCAGGTGGGAGAAAGGCAGGGGAAAAACTCAAATACTCAGCAGCGACGAGTTCCTATAGGATCATATCTACAAATATGGGACCATGAGTACATAATCATTTATGAATGTAGGCCCTGGGCTAGTAAGACGTATCTGTAATGGATAGCCCTGTCGTCTCCCACCCGGCGGTGAGTTCCATTTTTTCGGGAGTTCGCTCCCGCACTCAATCCCAGACGACTCCACCGATGATAGAACCGTGCATGCTGAAGAATCCGGGTTCGCACGCAGTGGAATGGTATTGTATTGCACATTAGCACTTGTCCAATGGTTCGTACTCGGACATTGACCCATACTATCTATAGATGTAGATGAAGGTACGATGGAAGTGATATTACTCAGGAGGAGCTGCTGGGGGCTGAGGAGAAAACAAATGCAGCAGAATCCTGGATTTAGCCGAATTCACCTATGACATGTTTGATCGGCCGGAACAAACTACACGGGCACGAAAAAGCAATGTTTCGATTCGATGTATACAATGTCACGGTCATGTGAGGTACAATAAATGCCCCAGAACAGCCGGAGCACCGTTTACCGAATCCAGACGCGGCCTTCTAGAATGCCATTGCCGGGCAGGAAATGATCGGCGATATCGGCAGTGTTTATCGCAGCGATATAGAGACATTCAAAGGTCTCTTAGCGAATATAAAACTGCTCCCAGTACATTGCTGCGAATAGAAAATACCCTGTGAGCAAGGTACTTTGTCGGCTAGTCAGGTAAACCCATAACACAACAGAAGGGGACACATCAATAGATGCTCATGAAATGATATGTAGAGTCGACTCTCCCGCATCCATCCCGACTACTACCTAGTACTTCTGATCAGACATAGGGCATGTAACGCATCGTCCAGTCAAGATGTGTAATCGCGCGAGGGGCATAAGGTGGAGACTAGCAGAGATTCAGAGTGGACGCAGCTTGGATGATATCTCAGGAGCAAGGATCACGCGACACCTTGCTTATTCGACTTGCCCCGAATCTGCTGCACATATTCGAAATCGTCGCTCCATTGTAATTCTACATGTAATATCCAGGGGATGTTCATCGGACCTGCGCTGCCCGAGCCTGCTACGTCATCTCCAAACGGGACGTGCCGGGTCCGGCCACATTGTCCACGTTGCTCTCGAAAGATAAGCGACTGGGGTAATCTCGCAGAATACTATGTGCAATGTACCTCCGAGGCTGCAGAGCATGGGCGTACTTTGTTGCTGCGGGTCGTGGTGGCCGACGTACCTGCTGGGTAGATGACAGCACACTGCATACTGTAGGTGGAATCGTCCCAACACTCTCCTGAACAAGTGCTTCGATAAAAGAACCTGAATCACCTTGGAACATGACATTGAACTTGAGCACATGGATACTATCTCCAGATCAAGTCACACCGTCGCCTTCACATGGCACAGCTGATTCCCGAGTACGTCATGTAATCACGTGACTTCGCACGGGCTGAGGCCAGAAGCGCCAGCTCGACCGGTTGCATTCTCATCCATCCCTCGATCCACCGTCTTCCTCTCGCCTCCACATCGAAGCGATTTCCAAAAAAAATTTCACCAGCCCATCTCGCAACATGGCCTCTTTCCAGGAACGTGCCCAGCACGCCGTCGCTCAGCTCGACAAGGAGGTGCGTACCCGTCCGATTGTGTGGGATCGTGCGAGCCTCGCCAGCTGCATCCCTCGGCCACCCGTCCGTTTGCCGCCCGCACATGTTGCGACGAACTGCGGCGGACGAGGGTAGAGCTTGTTTCAGCAGAGGCGACGCTTCCCTGCTCGATCCTAGACTCTCAATCCTGGTCCCACGTTAAGCTTGGGGCAAATGCTGACTTTCGCACGATAGCTCTCCAAGTACCCGGTCCTCAACAACCTCGAGCGCCAGACCAATGTCCCCAAGGTTTACGCCATCCTGGGCCTTGTCGGCGTGTACTTCTTCCTCGTTTTCTTCAACATCGCTGGCGAGTTCCTCGTCAACTTTGCCGGTTTCCTCCTCCCCGGCTACTACTCCCTCCAGGCCCTCTTTTCGTCGGGTACCGCGGATGACACCCAGGTGAGTTTCCTTCAACTGTACGGCACATATCTATGATCATTTAGCTAATATTTGTTCTTCTCTAGTGGTTGACTGTATGTTCCCATGACCCCGACCCGATCCCGTCGTTGGCAGCTCTGCCTGGCACACGGCAATGCGATCACGAGGAGCTGTCCTTATCAGCTCCACGTGACACATTTCTCGCGCAATAGGACCCAAATCCGCTAACCCAATTCGCTATAGTACTGGGTTGTCTTCGCCTTCCTGACCGTTATTGAGAGCGCCATCAGCGCCGCCTACTGGTTCCGTATGTGAAATCTATCCGCAAAGCTCGGGACAGACATTCTAATCTTATCGCAGCCTTCTACTACATCTTCAAGTTCGTCCTGATCCTCTGGATGGCCCTGCCCCAGACCAAGTGAGTTTCGACCTATTCAATAGACAAGCCGCGGTCCAAGTCTAACCCACCGACCAACAGTGGTGCTCAAATCGTCTTCCACTCCTTCCTCCAGCCCGTCGCTGGCCGCTTCTTCTCCAGCACTGGCACCTCCGCCAACCTCCGTGCTCAGGCCGAGGCTGCTGCCAAGTCCCAGTAAATGGCTGCTTCTGAAGCAGACCACAGCCTTTATTCGCAAGGGTAGAGCTGGTGTCTTGCACGATCAGAGCTTGAAAACGTGCTGTGGAGTTGATTGTCTATGATATTTCCACGCCCGTCGGTACTTTAACGAAGCGCGTTTGAGGCTAGTCCTCAAATGCACATGAACGCCATCTCCTTGCGAGATAACAATAGAGAGGAATGGTTTGAAGGAAGCGATGAGAACCTATGAAATCGTTTCATCAGGTCTTGGAATGAATGGTGATTGCTTTGTGTTTTCGGTGGAAGGGGTATGCTGTCGTTGGCCAGGGCAGAGAAAGGTCGCATTTTTGGCTTTTGCCGATTGTTTCATAAATCAGGAACATAGCCCCGTACCTACTTGCTTCTTGGACACTTCACTTCTAAGTCATATGCATCCAAACTCGGTGCATCATATGTCATATTTGCGCCAAACGTAGTGCTTTGGTACTCCTTGTCCCTAGACGGGAGCATGGGCCAACACTCCGTCAGAGGTACTACTGTAAAATGAGTTGAGAAACTCCAACAATCAGACCACCCGATGAAAATAATGTAACGTATGAAATTATATAGAGTCGACCCATCCTTGAAACAACACGAAACGCAACACCGAACTCCTTTCCGCGTGTTCTTAATGAGGGTAGTTGACAAAAGTACAAAGGAAATTCGTAAGGCACGCCTTAATCCGTCCATCCGGTCATTTTTCTGAGTAATGCTTCATGAGGTAGCTTGTCGGATTGAGGCGAGATGTGTCATTTCTGTCATGAGTAAATTGATGACTCAATGTTGAGCGGGATCAGTACAGGCGGCGCATGGCTCCCCAACCGTCCGTTCGGGGATTGACGACGATTCGATAGGGGAAAGGATTTGAGTCGCTGGTTGTGATGGGTGGGATGTGATCTTTGTCTCTGTTGACGACATTCAGGATCTTGAGCGCGGCTTTCTGGAGCATATTTCCCATGGCCTTACGGACTTTGGCTCGTTCTGTGAGATTGTTAGTATATTTCATATCATAGCAGCCTAGCTCGGAGGGTAGATCGCTGAATGGGAAATATCCGCATATGACAGCCCCTGAAAAATTTCTTGAAATATACCAAGTAATATCATGAGACCAAGCACATGTCGAGACATCCCAATCCCTCCCATGGAGTAGCAGAGGCACCGTAAGGACCAACTTACCAGACTCAGTCCGTGGCGTCGCAATGGTAACATCCAACGTCCAGATCTCCCAGCAAACCTCCTCCTCGCCCTTTCCAGCAAGCCCACCAAACCACATGCCCGAACGCCGCCGCTTCTTCTCATAGAACTCCACGGCAATGCGACCTCGGACACCCCCGCCCCCACCACCCCCATTCCCGTCCTGCGCCCCCGCAGCAGAGGAGAGGTGTTGGCGAACAAGGGCGCTCACACGGGACTCGATGAGCGTCTCAAGATCTGCGTCATTGATTGCGGGGAGGGTAAAGTCCAGGACGTCGAAGGTAACGGGCCGGATGGAAGGGAAGTAGCGGTGGAAGAAGATGAGGTTTAGAACGCCTGGACAAATTAGAACCCTCCGAAGCAAATCGCTCTCGCAGAACGAGTCTCGTACCTTTGAGGACATCGCGCACGGTGGTGGTGTCGGCAAAGATCTCCAGGAAGTACTCCGGAGGGGTTTTGCGGGGCTCCATCCCCGCCAGCTGCGGACCGACCCAGCGCAAGACCGGACGGTGTGTGTTGGGGGGTTATGAGTGGTTTGGGGAGGGTGACAGAGGGCGTCCGTCACGGTGTGAAGGGAGCGACTGGAGTGAAGCGGGGAGGTGGACATGGAGGAAGGGTGGAGTGATGATGATGCCGATGCGTTCGGGGCGGTTTCTATCGGCCATCGGGCGGCGCCGTGGTCGATGACGCTTATCGGCTTATCATTGGCCGGGGCCCCAAAAGGAATAGGCAGGAGGCGAGAAGGGAGGTAGTCAAAGGGAGATGTTCTCTAAAGCTGACAGAAAATCATGCAACTGGGTTCTGTGAGGAAATGAGGGCCAGCTGGGCTGTTGGACAGCGAGTTGCCATTCATGCGGGATGGCCGGTAGCGCCGAATCCGGCGATTTGCGCGGGCATGCTACTGGGCGTGCATGCGACTGGGCGGGCTGTTTGGTACCTGGAATAGATATAGAGAGAGTTAATAGAAGCAGCTTCTTATTGCTAGATTTCAATGGGTTTTGCGTATATTTGCGTGGAATTGCGAGGCTAGTTCACATTCGCCTACCCCAGCCAGTCTAGCCGAGGCCGACTCCCAGGCGATCTGCGACCGAACCTCACCTGCCTCAAGTCTTCTCCATCGCACATGGTCTGGCTCTGGTCCTGCATCACCAGCCATCCGGACACCCATTTCTATCTACCACAACATGATCGGTGCCACGAGGCGCTGGTTCCAGCGCAATCGCAAAGGCCTTGCGATAGGAGCCGGCGTGCTGGGAGCTGGGTACCTGGCCGGACAATACCTGCTCTCCAAGATTTCCGAGGCGCGCGAGCGCATGAGCAGCGATCGGATTGCCAGAGAAAAGTAAGCTCTTCTGCCTTCAATGGTTTGATCGACCATAAAGCCTACCTCGGTTGCTCCTGTAGACTCGCACGCGAGCTCCTACTGGGCTTGATCCCTTCCCCAGACATCTGCTCACCATCATGATAACAGCCTGCGTCGCCGATTCGAACAAAACCAGACCGATTGTACCTATACCGTCCTTGCCCTATTACCGACTGCCACAGAGAATGTTATCGAGGCGCTTCCTGTCGAGGAGCTCACCAAAGAGCTGCAGCAGAAGCGGGCTGAGAGGCTGGCTCGTATCAGCGCCGGGGAAGGCACGGGCTCAGACATGAGCTCCGTCTCGCCTAGCTTACCCGAGGATGACCGGAAGAGTTTTGCAAGCTTCCAGAGCGAAGGCTACGTGCATGCTAGTCAAGTAGAGGCGGAGTTGGATGGACAGCCACGGCCAAAGCGGAACAAGACGCAGCTGTGGAACGAGGTCAAGATTACATGTACGTCTGCACTGGACCTGGGATGAAGACCGGCATGCTAACAAGTTTCCAGCGATTACCCGGTCCTTCACCCTGATCTACACCCTCTCGCTGCTCACCATCTTCACCCGCATCCAACTGAACCTCCTTGGCCGCCGCAACTACCTGTCCAGCGTCATTTCCCTTGCCAAACCTCCCTCCGACTCGACTATCAGCCTTGAAGACCACGATGATGAACTCACACAGACTCTGGGCGATGACTTTGAAACCAACCGACGATACCTCGCGTTCAGCTGGTGGCTACTTCACCGCGGATGGAAGGAGCTGATGGCTCGTGTCCAGCCCGCCGTGGAGGAGGTTTTCGGTCCTCTGAACCCGCGCGAAGATATTAGCCTGACCAAGCTGTCGGAGCTGACCCTTCAGATCCGGAAGAAGGTGGAGGGTCACACGGAAGAGGAACGACGGTGAGCAACTCTGGGATTTTATAGCATGCCGGCATTAGCTAATGAACATGACGCGACAGATCTACTAAGTGGCTTTCTTGCCTGCTTCCCCCACCAGAGGAGGAAAAGACTGTATTGCAGGAATCCGGCGTGGAGGGCGTGGCCGACCCATCTTCCTCGCAGACCGCATCCAAGCTGCGCCATCTCCTCGATGAAACAGCCGACCTGATCGACTCGCCATCCTTCTCCTTCGTTCTGACCCTTCTCAACAACGAAGGCTTCTCTACCCTTGTCGACCAGAAGTGCGCCAACGAGGCCTTCAAGACATCTGCTACTGTTCCCGAGACCGCCCCGCAATCATTCGACTCTATCGCAACCGTCATTCCGCCCTCCTCGGAGCGCAAGACAAAGCTCGCCAACCTCCTTGCTGTCATGGCTCGCCAAGCCCACATCATTGGCAACGGTACCCACGCACCGAACGAGTATCTCACTCCGATGGAGCAGAACGTGCGCGAGCTAGAGGCTTTCTCGGCGGTGATCTACAGCTCTAACTTCGACCTCGAGCTGCTCGGCGCTAACCGCAAAGACGTGGCTCCCGAGGCAGAGGAGCCGCCTGAGTTCGGGTCGGGATCATCGTCTTTCGGGGCTGTCATGGTGGACAAGGAGCTTGATACTGAAGTGACCGAGACTTCCCAAAGTGTCCCTGTCCTCGTCGACAATGACGAGAAGGAAATGAAAGAAGCATCCACCCTCTTTGAAACTCCCACCCTAGTCCAGGAACAGACACAGGAGTCTAAGGAGATTGCGGACTCCGCGTTTGAGCGCGCCTGGGGCAAGGCAACGGAAGATGAGAAGCCGACAGAGACCCAGGCTGAGGACCAATGATCTCTATAATTATCTTCTTCGTCATGTTTTCCTGTCAATACCCTTTTTCTGCATCTGTGATTGTAGATCACCGGGCGCCGTGTCTTTCTATAGTTAGACTAGGTCGTGCTTATGATTATGTCTATATTTGCTATATACATTTCGCTGTTTTGCATCGCAATTTCTGCGTAATTTGATCTTATTCACAAAGATCTGATTAACGGACTTGTATCAGGGAGAGTATTTGTCAAATAAGTTAAATTTCCACGATCGCGCAAACTACGGAGGGTTATAGCGGCCAGAGCTCACTTTCCAATTTCAATAGGGCTTGATCGCTGAATGATATAGATCTATGCCTTAACCAGACCGCCCTACATACTTCAACAGCCAACACAAAAGTCGCCCAAACAGTCTTCTGAAAGTCTGCTGAACGGTCAGCTGAACAGTCATCTGAAAAGGCACCTGATACCACCGCTCTTGTACCGTCGATGAAGTTTCACCCCATCAATTGAAAACAGGGCATCAAAATGTTCGATAAAACATGAAAGTGAGCTCTGTAGCCCACGAACCAGCCACAAGGTGGGTTCTGACGCCAAGGCATGCCCTTGACCTGTTCGGCTAAAGCAGACCAGCAATCGGTGCTTCTCCTTTTAACCGGTGATTATCCAATTTCCTAAAACCACCGTGATGTTCAATCAGAATGGCGGAACTGGCAGGGTTAGAGGGTGCACAACTACCCCATCAACCCCCTTCTTTTCAAGCATCACTCATACATAGGGGGAAAGAGGGCGCTGATGCAGATGGTGAAGATATAGATATTGAATAGCGCTATTGAGAAACGCGGTATTTATGTCTCTAGGTAAGGACAAAGGCGGGTGATGCACAATAAGGTGATGCCCTTCGGACTGACAAATGGACCAGCAACATTTCAGCGATATATCAATCACGCACTGGGTGACTACCTTGATGATTTCTGTACTGCTTTTATTGACGATATCCTGGTTTATACCGATGGCGACCTAAAGCAACACAAGGAGCATGTCAAAAGGGTCTTGGAGCGACTGCGAGCTGCAGAATTACAGGTTACTATTCATAAATGCGAATTCCACACAAAGCAGACGAAGTTCCTAGGGTTCATCGTGGGTACGGAGGGTATCCGCGTTGATCCTGCAAAGATCGACGTTATTGAAGCATGGGAAACACCGAAAACTGTCCGGTGTGTGCAATCATTCTTAGGAATGTGCAACTTCTACCGCCGATTCATCAAAAATTACAGCAAAATCGCGAAGTCATTACATCGACTGACGAGGAAGGAGGTGCCTTTCAAATGGGATCCCACATGTGGAGAGGCCTTCAACGAGCTAAAACGCAGGCTGCTGACAACGCCAGTGTTGATTCACTATAATCCACATGCCTTAACAAAGATTGAAACTGACGCGTCTGATGGTTGCGTGGGCGCGGTACTTTCACAGATGGGATCTGACGACTGTTGGCACCCAGTGGCATTTTTCTCAAAAACAATGGACCCTACAGAACAGCCTTACGATACGCATGATAAGGAGATGCTAGCAATTGTTAGATCTCTCAATGAGTGGCGCGCCGAGCTTGAAGGATTACAGCGGGGAGACCGATTCGAAATTTGGACAGATCACCAATCTCTACAGTGTTTCATGACAGGCAAGAAGTTGAATGCACGCCAGGCCCGTTGGTGTGAATTCCTCTCACGCTACCATTTCTTGATTCGGTACCACCAAGGCAAAGGGAATGTAGTTGCAGATGCTTTATCACGAAAGGATCGACCAACTGAACGTGGACCACAGGAGCAGATCATGTTGCCGAGAGAGGTCCTCGAATATGGCGTACACCCTGACGATGTGGATTCAGATGCCCCCAATCAATGTGGATCCTCGGCATCAGTAAACATTGCACCAATCAGTGTATCACCGATTATTGACCGAATCCTTAACGCAAACCGCACACATCTAAGCCTACAGGAGCTCCGTGAGCTGGCCAAGCACGGGGACGATGGAAAGTGGAAGATGGAAGGTGATCTACTATTGCGAGGTGGAAGATTAGTGGTACCGGATGATGGTGATCTTCGTGCGCGTCTGCTGGATGAGATCCACCGTCAACCATCTATAGCACATCCCGGACAGGAGAGAACGAAACGCATGGTTTCTGCGCGGTACTATTGGCAGAACCTCCCAGATGATGTGAAGCGATATGTCAACAATTGTCAGATCTGCAAGCGCATGAAGACGTGGCGAGATAGAGCTCCAGGCCTCTTGCAACCACTCCCAATCCCAGGTCGACCTTGGCAGCACATCACAATGGATTTTCGCTCATTTCCAAAGGATCGACACGGGTTTGACGCTGTATGCGTGTTTGTGGATCGTCTGACGAAGCGACCGATCTCAGTGCCATGCCACAAGGCGACCGACGCAAAAGCCACAGCACGATTATTCATTGATAATGTGTATCGATGGGTAGGCCTACCAGAATCGATTGTGTCAGACCGGGGTGGCCAATTCGTGTCAGAATTCTGGAAAGAATTCTGTTGAAACCTTGGTATTGAGAGAAGACTATCGACAGCGTATCACCCCCAGACAGATGGGCAGAGTGAAATTGCGAATCAGTACATGGCGCAGAGATTGAGACCCTTTGCGAATCATTATCAGGATAACTGGTCCGAATACCTTCCGATGGTCGACTTTGCTGCAGCCGCATTGCCACAAGAAACAACAGGAGTCTCACCATCCTTCGTTGAACGAGGGTACGAACCACACGTTTCCTTTGATTGGAAAACACCAGCAGAGTGCGATTGGCTGAGCCAGGTATCGCCACGCTTACGTGAATCCCTTGATCCACAAGCACAGGAGGCGCGCGTTTACACGAGCCGTCTCCAAGATATATGGGAAGAAACCCAACAGCGAGCAACTCGAGCACAAAGCCGCCAACAACAACAAGCGAACCGGCATCGACATGAAGAGGACTTTGGAGTGGGAGACCTAGTTTATGTCACAATGAGGAACTGGCGAACAGATCAACCAGGACGAAAGCTCGCAAATCAAGCAAGTGGCCCCTACAGGATTGTTGAAAAGATTGGCCATTCGTATCGACTCGACCTACCAGACTCTATCCGGGTGCACCCAATATTTGCACCTGAAAAACTACGTAAAGCCACTCGGATGGAGCCATTGCCAGGCCAAGTTGTCGACCCTACACCACCAGTGGAAGTGAACGGTGACATTGAATGGGAAGTCGAGGAGATTATTGCTGTTCGGCTACACTACCGGAAGCTCCAGTACAAAGCAAAATGGGTCGGCAACGAAGACGACAACTGGTATCCCGCCAGCAACTTCAAGAATGCACCCGAGAAACTGATGGAGTTCCACCGCCGATATCCTGATCTCCCAGGACCCCCAAAGCGCCTGAATGTCTGAGCAGAAGCAGCATTGAACGACCGATTCGAACCGGACCATCCCGATGACGATAGGTCAGCGTGATACGACGACCTGGTGGGCCAGGTCCTTTTAAAGAGAGGGGCAATGTGACGGATGACCCTGGGAATAGCCTCGTCTCGTGGAAGGATGCCTGAGGCATAATATTGGTCGTTTGCACAACGCGTTTGCTGGGGACTTAACCCCTCTTTTTCTGGCGGACTTTCTTTCTTTCTCTTTCCTTCTTCATCTTCGAGATTCTCGTAAGTAGGCACCGAATGAATGTGTTTCTTTCGAACGGCCCGTAACAATATCTGCAATGGCGTCACTCCTAAAGGAGACCACCCAGTTCGCCTGAACCCGATCCGCTTATCACATCCAGACTCGTCCACGTAGACCAGGTGATATGATTTGAAGTCCGATATATTATGTAGGTAGAAGTCTCGCAAATCAGCATTCTGTTCCTTTGCTCTCTGTCGAGCAACCTTTTCGACCAGCCGACGGAAGCAAGAGCCCGCTTAAGGCTCGAATTGGTCACCTGCACACGAAACTCGTCCCACAAAAAGATGACCATCTCGTCCACATACAACCCAGGCTTTTCGAGTAAATGGTCACACAGGGCCTGTATCATCGGAGGAGTTATGCTTCGTCGTCGGCCGACACGAGTTGGTGGTGCTCTGACATTTCCGAACCGGCGAATGTTGTTGCTGATGTTGATGATGGAACGCTTGCTACATTCAGCAGCTTCAGCCATCTGCGACGTAGTCAGTGAGTTGCTGAGGATCATATGACGGATCATTTCAAGCTTTGAGGGAGGAAGTCTCGGCGCCATTTAGGAGGGGAGTTTGAAGGACAAGGTGAGGAAAGTGTCTGGGGTGGTGACGGAGGACATCTTCAGCCAAATGTTCACATCTTCTGCTCACCCTTGCTCACCCCTTTGCTCAGTGAGCGGGCGAAATGTTTTTTGCTCAAGCTCTGGGGGATGCTGGCGTATTAGGAAATGCACGTGACTTTCCTGTCTCCGTTCCTGGGAGCTTTGTTTCTTGGTGACCCACCTTGAAAGCTGCGGGCCTTGCAAGTAACCAGCACGCTCCAGGAACCACACTGCTTGAATAGAGCAAGAGCAACTGTAATGTAGCTGAGCGGAATACTCCAAGACTAGTGTTTAGGAAATATGCGGCAAGTCCTGATCCTCTAGAAAGCAACTGAGGCTATGCCACTGGGGAGGTCTCATACTGGTCATAACTGACGATCGGCGTTGACGTCGGCGCCTCGATCTAGCAGCATCTGCACTTGCTTTTTATGGCCTCCATCTGCTGCGGCCAGGAGTGCATTGCCATGCTCTCCACCCTGGGTGTTGACGTCGGCACCACGATCCAACAGCATCTGCACCACATTTTCAAGGCCTCCGTGTGATGCGGCCTGGAGATCATTGCCATAGTATCCACCCTGGGCGTTGACGTCGGTCCCTCGATCCAGCAGCATCTGCACAATCTTCTTATGCCCTCCCTCTGATGCTGCCTGAAGTGCATTGCCATATACTCCACCCTGGGCCTTTATGTCGGCACCTCGATCCAACAGCGTCTGCACCAACTTCTCATGACCTTTATCTGCTGCGGCCTGGAGGGCATTGCCGTACCGCCCACCTCGAGAATTGATATTCACTGTTTCCGATGAACCTCTGTCCCTGGTGGCAATTGCTAAGATACTGTTCAGGACGGATTCTAATCCTAATAATGCTGCGTAGTATAGAGGCAAAGCCATATCCGTAACAAGACGATTATAACCCACACTCATATCCCACGGACGGTCCATGTCATGTAACCGTATCCATGTCACGAATGCCTTCATATCGTCCTTGAAAAGCTTCGACGCTAGTTGTTCAATTGCGGGCTTCGCTTCGCTTGATGAGATTGAATAATGATGAAACCAATGCATAGCCGCGAAATGAGCAAACGGGAACTCAGTGAGCTTTGACTTATCTAATGAGTTGGCTCCAGGAGGTAGACCAGGCATATCTGGGCTATTTCCGTATTCGCAGGCGCAGTTCGCATAGCGAATATTCTTGAGCTTTGTTGCAAGATGCGGTCTGACTGAAGATACTCCTGAACTGAGAAATGCGCTATCCGAACAGTCAAGGTGTTCTGTCTGTTGTCTTCCTCCGGGGCTGCGATCTCGATAAGACCGAGGCAAATGTCGATAAGGTCATCTTGCTCGTACGAACGGCCGTCACGATCAAGCTGCGACTCATTGAGATCAACAGCGTGTGCGTCGATGAGCTCATTAGCCGTGAGCGGTCGGGTGGAGAAGCAAAGCAGAGTCAAAACCCGCCGCACGTCCTCGACATATTCTTCGTCGATGTTGCACAAGATTCGCTCGTATGTCTCATCGAGGTCGCGGGGCAATGTGTTTAGACATTTGCCAAGCTGGACCTGGTTGCGGACCCGTCTTATGGCTTTGAACTGACACTCGACATATCTGAACCTAGAAACCGTTTTAGTCATAACGGAGTAAACCATGACTTCTTGCTGTGCTTACACTCCTTGTGCACTTGTTGTCAATTTTGCCTCAAACTCATCGTGGTGCGCTTTCCACCTCTGGAGTTTCTCGTCGTTCTTGAGCTGATAAGAGACAAAGTTTGCTATGTCTCTGTCGACTTCCGAATTCCTCAGCGGAAGATCTTGGTCGCGAGAAGGATGTAACGATTCGCGGATATCTAGCTCGTTGCGACTCGTCAATCTATTTTAGATTGGGCATCCTATGCGTCTAGGGTAGGGGAGGTCTTCAAATAAGTAGCCTTCAATCTGTAAAGAAGTTTAGGAACTTGGTGCGAAAGACGAGTGAAGGGTTTAGATGTGCTCTTTATCTATATCTGCTACTAAGGTAGTTACTATTGGCCCTCCAATCGTGGATCTTACGAACATGCATTCCATCAGTCTCCGAGTCTTCCTATGAAAAGAGCATATGAAAATTGTTGACGGAAGCGTTTCGTAGGTATCGAGTGCTTTTACAGTCGTCCTCAGCTGAGTGTGATACGCTCAATGGATGATCTGCGCTAAGGCCTTGGCAGTGGGGCTGGAAAAGAGATTCTCAGTGTGTTTTGGTCAAGGCGATTGCGAGAATACCCATACAAATTGAGCAAGCTAATGAACTTAGATGAAAAATGGAGTTCGTGGTCCTTCTCTGAGTGTTTTTCGTCTACTTTCAGTCAATCCATCACGAGTGAGCTGTCTAGAGTTCCCTAACTGCCAAATCCCGTGATCGGGCCTCTCCCCGCACCCCGCACCGGACCGAGTGAAGCGCCACCATCCGTGGCTGCCATGGCGTTCAGATGGGAACCTTGGAAGCGGCTTCAACCAATCGTAGTAAAGCCCCCAGTGACCTAAAACGTGGCTTGGAACCTTTTAGAGTTCGCCAAGTCTACCTGTATGGTGTCACGCTTGGGGTATTATCTTCATTCACGAGGCTAAACTCATTGACATTATTCGGACTCGCCGTTAAGGAGGATTTCGGGTCCCTGATACCGCAGATTGCGAATGAGGCTGGAAATCTTGGGGCCCGGAGTGCAGTAATCCCCGAGACTCAGTAAAGTTTCCAGTAAAGGTTCCAGTAAAGTTACTACATAACCCCGTGTTGACCCCATCGTGGGACGCCCGAATTGAGTCTAGGTGTAAGCCATCTTCGCCTCTCCGTCTCGCCTTTTTAGTATCTCATGTCCTGGCCAAATCGCAATTTGAATTTAACCTTTCTCTGAAGTCTAAAGGTGTTCGGTCTCCCACGGCTCTCAGACTCTCCGGGGGATAAATGTTCACCTTACCCGCTTCGAACAGCGTTCATTTCCTTCTTATTGCAAACGTCTACTCCCCTCGCCCTTCCAAGGCAGAAAAAGCAGTTTAAATCGCGATTTATCACTCTGTTCGACCCAACTGCGCTCAAGAGCAAGGCCTGGATCCAGCTCCCCTGTGTGACCCTGCACACAGCCCGTGCACCAAAGCCCATAGGTTACGACACATCTTGACCATTCCCGGCTGTTTACTCTAGCCTCGTTTTCGGCCTTCCAGAAACCTCGTTGTACCAAGAATTTTTGCTTACCAGTTTCATCCAACACTTACCGACATGGAGTTCACAAGTGACAAGGACCACGAGTACCACAAGGGCCATGGTGTGCTGGACACCCTTGGACTCAAGCCCGCCGAACCTCATCAAGATGTCCAGCAGGGTATGTTGGCTGACAATGCTGATAACCTTCAGCGTCACCTGGACAATCGTCAGATCCAACTCATCGCCATTGGTGGTTCTATCGGAACTGCCCTCTTCGTGAGTATCGGTAGTGGTCTGTACAATGGTGGACCCGGCAGCTTGTTCATCGCGTACACTGTTCAGTGTCTCTTCCTGGCTATGGTGAACAACTGTCTCGCCGAGATGACTACCGCGTTCCCGGTCAGCGGTGGTTTCATCCGTCTTGCTGGTAAATGGGTTGACGATGCCCTTGGTTTTATGGTTGGATGGAACTTTTTGTTCGTGCTCGCCCTCTTGCAACTTCTTTTCAACTGATCTAGTCTAACATTCGCAAATAGCTTCTACGAAGCCCTCTTGATTCCTTTCGAGATTTCGGCCTTCACTCTCGTGATCTCATTCTGGAGTCCCGCCATTGCAGAGCCCGGCCCAATTGCTGGAATCTGTGCTGGAGTCATTTGCTGCTATGCGTAAGAATCCACTTCCTCAAAACTATGCCCTCGGCCTCCTAGGCACCTATAGTCTCTACGATATCTTTGGCATGTATTGCATTTTCCATATTTGCTAAAGTCTCTTATCTAGGTTTCTTAACGTTCTGATGGTTAGTACGTACGGTGAAGCCGAGTTCTGGCTTTCCGGTGGAAAGGTCATTCTGATCTTCTCTCTGTTCTTCTTCACCTTTGTTACCATGGTCGGTGGTAACCCTCAGCACCACGCATATGGTTTCACATACTGGAACAACCCAGGCGCCTTTATGGAGTACCTCGACACCGGCGCCCTAGGTCGTTTTGAAGGATTCCTGGGAGCTCTCTGGTCCGCGGCTTTTACCGTCGTCGGGCCTGAGTACATTTCAATGGTCGCTGCGGAAGCTAAGCGTCCCCGTACCTACATCAAGAACGCTTTCAAGACTGTCTACGCTCGGTTTGGCATCTTCTTCATTGGCGGCTCCCTGGCTGTGGGCATTGTTTGCTCCGCTCGTGACCCGAAGTTGGTTGCCCTCGAGAACGGTACCTCCTCCGGCGCCGGGGCGGCCGCTTCGCCCTATGTCATCGGCATGGGCAATCTCGGCATCACGATCTTCCCTTCAATCGTCAACGCGTAAGTGGTGAAACTTAAGAAACATTGTCACCTCTCGCTAACCCTTCCTGTCCGCATAGTCTTCTGTTGACTTCTATCTTCTCCGCCGGCAACACCTACTGCTACTGTTCTATCCGTACCCTGTACGGTCTTGCTTTGGAAGGCCGGGCGCCTAGATTCCTCACCTACACGACACGCAAAGGTGTCCCAATCTACTGCTTCCTCGTTGTGATGATCTTCCCCATGCTATCCTTCCTGCAGGTGGGCAACAGCTCATCTATCGTCATCACCTGGTTCGCCAGTCTTGTGACTGCTGGAGGTACGTTCTTCGAGATCTATCTACACTTCAAATCAAGCATTGCTAACTCCAACATCTAGGTCTCATCAACTACGTCGTCATCACCCTGACCTACATCTTCTTCCACCGTGCTTGCAAGGCACAAGGTGTGGACCGTAGTACCTTCGCGTACTTCGCCCGCTTCCAGCCCTGGTGCGCCTGGGTGGCATTCGTGTGGATGATCCTCGTCACCATCCTATACGGCTACCCGGCCTACAAGCCATGGTCGCTGAAGACCTGGTGGTCCAACTACACTATGCAGATTGTGATCCCGCCGCTCTACCTGATCTGGAAGCTAATCAAGAAGACCAAGGTCGTCAAGCCCCACGAGGCGGATCTGGTTTGGGAGCGACCCTTGATTGATGCCTACGAGGCTAGCTTCACCGATCCCCCTGTCGGCTTCTGGAGGGAGGTTGGTCAGATGTTTGGTTACCGCCGGATCAAGGGCGGCAATGACAAGCGCCGGCCGTCAACAGTGGATTACTCTAATGGCACTACTGAGGGTGCTGTGGCGGCCTGAGTCTTGTACGATATCAATTGATGTACCCACTGTGTCCTCGTCTGTGGCCTGGATGAATTCGACGTCTCGTGTGAACCACCCTGCGAGAATCGACTGATTTAGCCCCTGAATTTATTACTAGGCATTTGGTGATATTCGTTATTTGTGCCGACCCCTAAGGCTGTAGGTTCAAGCACTGTCACTAGAAGCGGTGAGTGTGTCTTTTTATGTTGCTCAGATGTTGAGGCTTGACGGTTTTGATAGCTGGAAGAACGAAGAGCATCTACGTTGGTAGATGGAAGGAGTGAAATCTCTGTACTGGCTGAAGCTATTCAGAGAGATATAGAAGGGAAAACAGAAAACGGGTGTTGTGGGAAAAAGGAGAAACTAGGAGCGCTGATGCCTTGTGAGACCATCAGGCAAACGGAGTTCTCTCAACAGTTGTAGTTGCACGAAAGCCTTATATGAAATCATACCATGGCTTCTATTAAGAAAGCCACCTTGTCTGACGGAACTACCTACGGCTATGTTTCTGTGGCCCCGCTATCACCGTTGAAGCCAACCTTTCTTCTTCTCCACGGATATCCGTCATCCTGCTTCGACTGGCGGCACCAAATCATTGCACTGCAGAAGGCAAGCTATGGCGTAATTGCTCCAGACCTCCTGGGCTATGGAGATACCGATAACCGACAGATCCAGCGGCCTTATACTCGCAGATTTTGTGGTCTGCCATGGAGGCGAATGATGGGCTTGAGTTCCTAGGAATTTAGCTTGTTCCCTAGCCCGATAGATTTTGATGTAACTTCCTGATCACTTAGAAGGATCATAATGTGGCCTGATTTGATCCTAGGACAACATAACCAGCTTCCCAGGAACAAGCTTGTCGAGTGTTATGCAATATTGTAAATCAATAGCTTTTAGAAGAATTCTAATTGGACACCAGAAAACATGATATTATATGCTCATGGGAGCCTTCTGATCCGCTCGCTCCTAGTAGCGTAAAACTTCTCTCCAGATCCTGAATAGGTCACTCTATGATGGCCTAACTACATGGCCGTGATAGGCCTTGAAGGAGGTACAACCTGTCGGGGTAGCCTCTGTAGTAGTCTAGTGTCTAATTAGAAAAATTCGGGGTCCATAATCAAAGCGTTCCTGGGAGTAGCCAAATGACAAACTATTGGTCAATTAAGCAGGTCCTATTACAATTTGCCACCGCGAAGTAACTAGATCACCAGGATCACAGGTCACTTTGAAGATGCCAGTGTTTTGTTAATGGATCAATGGGTGCTAGCTAGAGAGTAAATGTTGCACGTGAAAGGGGCCTAGCGTGTTGCAGTTTATTAAGGTGAGCTGAGGTTGGCCGCTCATCTCTGGGCTTAGGTCGGACTCAGTGAGCGAATCAGTGTGTCCAGGTTAGGCTCAGAGAGTAAATCAGGCCGCCGATATCTGGCTCAATGAACCAATCAGTGTGCCTCTGAGGGGATCAGTGAGCAAGATTGTTGAATGGTGTAATGCTTAGTGCGCGGGCCAAGCTACTTAGTGATCAAAAAGCGGCGAGGGGTGAGCACTAAAACGGAGAGGGAAACCCAAAAGTTGCCAGACATTATCCTGTATATATGAGATAGCCATTATCTCAGAGCCAAGCTTCAGCCTCATCGAGCAGGGCCTCAGTTGCTTTGATGCCCAAAGCGGGGCTGAGCATGGACGATGATAAGAATAGAATCGAATAAGACTAAATTACAGTATCTTTAGAGCATTTCGGACAACAGACATCGCGCTGCCACCTGCGATGGATGGAGCATTTCCAAGCCGATAATGTTCTACTGCGACCAATTATTGAGCATCTGTTCTCCTTATTGAAAGTCCAATACGTTGATAGAGAAAGAAACATTATATCATTCAGAACCAGATATTTTTGAAGTTTTGTAGAATTTACTTGTTGAGCTTTGAAACTCCGCGTTCTTTTCAATGTCCGTGGCCCGCGGGCCCCGCGGCAAACATTACCACGATGATGCTGCAGGCCAAACACTCGGGTCTGTAATGGTATTAAATAGCCACGGTCGCATCTACATTTAGAGCAAGAATAGTCAGACATTTATTAAACCACCATGGCCCCAGGAATCACCACAAACGAAGTCGCCTACATGCCACCCTCAACGAACTCCGAGGCACCTTCTCTATACTCAGGCAGGAACGAGAAAGAACTGCAAGAAAATACGAAAAAATTCCTTGCCAACTACGGCACAAAATTCAGCAACGATGTGGTCGTTGGAAGCAAAGGCTTATACGTCTACACTGCTTCAGGACACAGAGTGCTGGACTGGACCTCGGGCCAAATGTCTTGCTTATTAGGGCACGGACACTCAGAAATCGTCAAAACCATCGCAGACCATGCAGCCTCACTAGACCATCTCTTCTCAGGCATGGTATCCCCGCCAGTAATCAGTCTCGGCGAAAGGCTATGCAACCTCCTTCCACCAGGTCTTGACAAGGCATTCTTCCTCTCAACTGGCGGCGAAAGCAACGAAGCCGCCATAAAGATGGCCAAGGTGTACACAGGCAAATTCGAAGTCGTCGGCCTAGGCGCCAGCTGGCATGGGATGACTGCCCAAGCTCTGGGGACACAATATCACTTCGGTCGGAAGGGCCAGGGTCCTCTGCTACCGGGGATGATGATGCTTCCCGCGCCAAATGCATATCGCTCTATATTCCGCCGACTGGATGGATCTTACGACTGGGAAGCTGAGCTCGAGTATGGCTGGCAAATGATCGACATGCAATCCTGCGGGTCCCTGGCCGCTTGTATCGTAGAATGCATCCAGTCATCGGCAGGAATGCATGTCCTTCCGCCCGGGTATCTGGCCGCGTTGAAAAAGCAATGCGAAAAGCGCGGTATGCTTTTGATTGTCGACGAGGCGCAGACGGGTGTCGGGCGATGCGGCGATATTATGGCAATCGCGCATGAGGATGTCGTTCCTGATATCCTGACGCTTAGCAAGACTCTTGGTAATGGTCTACCCTTGAGTGCTGTTGTAACCAGCGCGGAGATTGATCGGGTGTGCATGGAGCGTGATTATTGCTTCTATACGACGCATGTAAATGATCCGTTGCCGGCTGCGGTTGGGGATAAGGTGCTTGAGATTGTTGTTCGTGATGGGCTGGTGGAGCATTCTCGTGCTATGGGCAAGGTGCTCCACGATGGTCTACATAGATTGAAAGAGAAGCATGGATGCATCGGCGATGTTCGTGGTCGTGGACTCATGGCTGGAGTGGAAATTGTGGAAGATTGTGTCACGAAGGCCCCGGCGATAGACCTGGGTCGTGAAATTGGTGACCGTGCGTATGCACTAGGGCTCTGGGCGAATCTCAGCAGCCATAAAAGCTTTGGTGGTACTTTCCGCATTGCACCGCCGATTACCATTCGCGAAGAAGAGCTGCGGGAGGGACTGGAAATTTTGGAACGGGCATTTGAATCAACTCCCGGCACTCTTCCATTGAGATGATTTGAGGTGACTGAGTCTGTTTGAGATTTGTGTCGGCGCCATTTTGAAGGATCTATATATTCTGAAATGTATCCCAGATGCTCGGGAGTATTGTGTCCATGAAAGTTGTGTCCAGCGTAAATGAGCCGTCAATATCAATATTTTCATCAGTTGAACCGCCCTCTGCTGTATTTGTTGCTAGCAAATTTTCAACTACCTCGGCGTGCTGGGCGAGGCAGATATTAGCAAGATCCCACTCGTAGTTTTGCTGATGCGATCGGAGCGCAGACAAGAATTCACTCGCCATTCGAAGAGAAGAACTTTCCGAGAACCCCACTGGACCTCGCTCTGTCTCTATGGCACAGCGAATCAAGAACGTAACAGTCGAGGAAAATGTAAAAGCGGCAACCGGAAGCCAAAAGTCTCCCAATTCGAATTCTTGGAGTTCCCGAACTAGGTCCACAATTTCTTCGGCTGTTCTTCGGGCGTCTATTGTGCGATTTGCTAAATCTTCCGGGCTAACTTCGTGTTTCTGCCTCACACGATCGAGACTAATCCGTTGCAGAAGGAGTCTCACTGAGAGATAGGATAGGCGTAAGTTTGAGGCCCCATGAATTTGTAGTCGTGCGCCGCGTAGAATGAGCTTTCGGAGATCTCCTGTTAATTCCTCGAACCATTTATTTAATTGCAGCTCAAGGTTCACGGCAGGACCTTCCATGCTGATGCTGTAGACATGCTCTAGGCAACTATCGAGTACCTCGGTGAGGGTGACGAGCGCAATGAATAATTCAGGAGTAGCCGAGCCTCCTTCAGTATCTTGTAGATATTCAGGTGTTGGAACGGGAACATCGTACTGCGATCTTCGGATGTGGGGAGGAGTGCCATAAGCAAGACTCAGCCTAAATTAACACTGTCAGTTATGGTTGTTTTGAGCGCATTTTGTGTGCCGAAGACGTTAACCTACCAGCGGTCATGAATCACAACGCACCACCAGATCTTGATGCGTAAATACTTTTCGGTTTGGGGGATATCCCACGACATCGGATTTCGATTCAATCCCAAAGAATGGCAGAGCGATACTGCTGACCCCAGCTGAATGCCGTTTCCCACCATCGAAGTTGTCGGCCGACCACCAATGTTGAGAAGTATGGCGGTAATGGTAGAGATTCCAGGAGAAATGTGCAGCTCGGAGTATATCGTATCGCTGGCCATATTCCATATGTATCTTGTGTCGGGACAGCGGGTGTGAGATAGCTGCGGATCGTAGCGCCAGAAGGCTAGCGTGTGCGCGTAGAGACAGGCCAGGAGTGCTGGTGAGATACAGCCTTTGGCTTGCGTGTACCTCTGTTGAAATGTAGACCTGTCCAAGATTGGAAAGCATGAATTGACCTTTTCGAAATAACTGGAACTCAGCTTGGTTAGTGCACGATATCGAAAAGACAAGCGTCCACACTCACATGTTGACGAGGTTGAGTGCCCAAGGCTCAACGAGCTTCTCTATCACTTGCAGCTTCTCCAAGGCTGGATTCGAGTTCAAGACCATGCCGACCGGTCGTTTCTGCACCTTCGTGAAGATGATCGGCGATGATGAGCTTCCGGGTTCCACTGGACGGATCGTTCGCATGCCTGGGCCGCCAGGTACGCTGGACAGGTAGTCTGCGAGAACATGGCTATCATTCATCACTGTCGGTCCCAAGATATGCGGGTTGTCCTTTTCGGCCTCTAGTGACAGAGGAGTGTCGACCACAGCATTGCTTGGAGTCCAGTCTGAATATATGGGCTGTGCGGGTGTATCAGGTTCGAAGATTCGAGGTGGCCCAGCAAAAGCTTGCGGTTGTTCGGCGGTGCCCGAGGGGATCGGAACCGGCGGCGTATGAGCTATTGGCTTTTTCGTGATGCTGATGTTTGATTGAGAGATTTCATGGCGGGGCGTCCTTCGCGATTTGCGTCTTTTCTCAGCAGGGAAGGTGCATTCAGTGCCGTGTACACGGCACATCAAGCAAGTCCCAGCATCAACCTCGGCCTTACACCTTGATTTGCGCCGCCGACACGCAAGACATGCTGGACGGACATGTGATCTGTATGGTCGTTCATGTTGCTTTTCGTTGCGAGTGTTGGTCCCGCCGTGCTGGGGTGCATGAGAAAGGCCGCGGAGATTTGACATTTCCGATAATGCCCAGAACCTTTCAATGAAATGGCCAAACTGCCCCACAAAAATCGATAGGCTGATTCCTTCAAGCAGTCCTAGCTCAATGGACACTATATTGCCTTGGTTTCTTCCCGTAATTGTTTGCTGCTGTGAGAGTGACGAGGCCAAGGAGGCAACTTCCCCGCGGTCAACGCAACGCCGCGGCAGAAGCGGACCCACTATGATAAGCCGCCGTACTACTAAGGGACCTTCCTCTCATGTAAGTCTTATTTGAAAGTCTAGTGGCAGTGGGACGCCTTCTAGGAGCATCTAACAACCGCCTGTCGGCTAACAGAGGAAATCGACTTCTGCGTCAATTCGTCAGCTGTTCAGATCGCGATAATGTCTCTCAAACTCGCCTAAAAATGACAAAATGCCACTCAAGACCTGTGCGTAACACACATCGCGAAGCTCGAACGACCACTGGAACCTAATGCGGGCTCTGAATGAAGCCGCGCAGAGTTAGATGGCGTATTCTGTGCCATTTGCAGTCCAATGGTCGTGAGGTTCAGGCCTGGAAGGAGGTAGAATGGAGGAAAAGATGACTAAAAAGAAGGTCGAGGCTCAAATCCATTGATGTTGCTCACCAGGGGAAGAAGTCGACGAAAGGCTGACGCAAAATACTTGCCTGTATTAGGCTTCGAGGCAAAAAAAGAACGCGCCCAGGAATGAACGCGTATTCAGGACATCCAAACGTATCAAACCACGCCCTAAGATGGCCACGCGGACGGCCGATTCACCCCCTGCAACAGCTTCTTCGACGGCCCTAAGATCCAGGGCGTAAACACTCCTCGTACCAATGGTGGTATTTTGACGCCATTGACACCGACAGCGTGTCGTCTCTTGCCGTTGTTTTCTTCCTCGAGGCGAACTGTTTCTGTTTCGCCGTCACCGAGAACTTCACGAACATGGACTTCAGCCAGATATCTTGTACTCTTACCAATGATACTGGCTTCAGTGACTTCCTGTTCGCAGAAAACGCAATTGTGTCCACGAATGGGGACGCGCCCAGTCGTCTGTGGAACGACGCCGGTATCTCCTGGGCTGGCAGCCCGGATCTTCAGGACTATGTCCTGACTATTGATGCTGAGGATTTGGGATACAATGGGTCTTTCTATATGCATTCGGTTAGTGTGAAACGTGAGGTGATGTGATGTGAAGGATGGGTAGAGTGCTGACTGGCGGCTTCGGCAGATCGCCCCGCCGCATCTATCCTTGTAGCCCCAAGCGCGGCAACGTTTCCCTGCTTCGCGGCGTCGGCTGGGCTAGTTTCACCCTTGATGCTGAATCCACTGTGAACCTGACCGTGTATGGCTCCGAGTTGAGCTTCGTAGGATACCACGACAAGGTGCGCAAGACATGTATTTCTCCTTTGCCCCGAAATAAAGAAACTAACGTGTCAGGACTGGGGCGCCCACCGACTTTTATGGAAAACTTCGGCAGCTGGCATTGAGGCCACGCTCGCATGGGGCCTTATCCCCTCGTCTGGCTCGATGCCCTCGATCCCAACTACAACGAATAAGCCACTGGCTACGTCGCCTACCAGGAACAGATTCTGGTTGCTGTGTGGTAACATGAAGGTCCGCCCAACCGGTGACAACGCGACCTTCCCCCCTATGTCCGACTCCTTCTCCCCGACGGATTCAATATCACCGTCGATGTGCCTGAACTCTGCCTTTTGGAGGCGCAGCTCACCCCAACCTTGCTACCTTGGCGAAGCCCAGCTATGGTCGCTGGATAGGATCGCTCAATGGAACGGTTAATGGTGTTACCTATGACGCAGGTGTCTCTGGATTCGAGATATCTCTTTAAAGGGCTGTTTGCATAGACGGTCGCGGCTCGATGCAAGCAAGGTGCAGCGCTTGGAAACCATATGGCACTGGGCGATCGTAGCTAGATTACATGACTGCGAATTGTTATATGTGATTCTTGGAGAAAGGGAAGATTAACTAAGAGGAACTTCTACAATATGATAGTTATCTGGGGGGAGGGGAAAGATCATGATATCATAGTGTCAGGATTAAATTCGATATCTAGACTATTCATCCCAATTTTTTAAGATTATAATATAATGGGATAGACGAAGCATAAAGGTATATCATTATTATTAAGTCTATATCACATGATGTGACTTGTTTTGAGTTCTTCTTGCAGCGTTGATTCATGCTGAGTGATAATTTTATTTCAATTTTTTTTTTATTTTTTTTTTTATTTTTTGGTTGAATGCAGCCCAGTTTTGTTGGAATAATCCAACTTAGGTCTCGCAGATGACTCTATTTAGCCACCGTCGTCTCTCCAACGACAAGGCCTTCCTTTCCGATATTCTGAATTGAGTATTCCTCATCGCCGCCACCCTGTTTCTCGAATTCATCACCGCTTTCGTGCTCAATAGGCTGGTGATCCTTGACTACTAACCAAGTAGGCAGCACCGCAAGACCTATTTGGACTCAGTCAGCTTCTAGTTCTGGGAAGAACACGAGCAAAGATAAACAGCTCGGCATCTTTGAGAATTCATTGCTTACCCAAAAGAATAGTGTTCACGGCGAGCGGAACTCTTCCTCCATACCACTCCTTGGTGTTCAACCCAAACGAGATTGCTTGGGAGAAGCTTTCTTGGCCGCGAAGAATTCCAGATAGACGGGCTTAATCAAGTCAGTTGGGTTTCCAGAGCGGACTGCACAGAGGTGACTTACAAAGCTCAGAAATGTTATCGGTCTTTGTGGCGAGGAGATAATAAAGCCAGTTCTGCAGGGCTTGTCGAGAGAATTCTGGGCACACTAGTTAGATATATACCCAATGATGGAATAGCGCAGAAAATTCGTACCCCAAAGAATGACCACAAACAGTCCTCGAGTATAACCCTTGTCCGACCAGTCTAGCGAGGGCGGGTTGGCTGTGTACATCTCTTGAACGACCCATCCATAGACCCAGGCGATAATGTGGAGAATGATCACGTAGAAAAAGCTGGATTATAATCAGGGAACTGCGCCTCTAAACCGAGATTGAGAGGGCATACATACCTGTATGTGATTCGGCTCTTCACGGGAAGCTTCTTGTAGTCGAGAAATCGACTAATGATCCAAGAGGAAACTAGTGTTCCAAGGTAACCTGCAAAATATTAATCCTGCTCCCAATAGAAGGGAGCTCGCAGATCACGTACTAACGAAGCCTATCAAAGCTCGTGCCCGAACACCAAAGTAATAAGTCTCGAAATCTGCAGAGCTAGGTTAGAAGCCAGAAAGGTTAGACGTATAATATCAAAATACTTACTTCCTTCATACTGATTGAAATACGATGCCCAAAATACGGGAAGAAGAAGCATGATCTGAAAGAAGTAGATCAGCACGTGATCGTAAAACCGAGATGCAATAAACTCACATCCTTGCGACGAGAAAGCCTCCACAATTCCTTCATTTCAGCTCCCCATGAGTCTTGCAAGACGATTTTGACTTTGCTTCCGTCACTGCGTTGAACCTTTTCTGGCCGAGTAAGAAAGATGGCTAGAGGAACGGCAAGACATTGCAAGGCAACGAAAATGAGATAAGTTTCTGTTTCACATCAACAATTAACATCTTCAATAGAAATCGCGGGAAAAAAAGGATGGAATTGACATACCCGATCCAACTTTGCCCTTGCTCTTCGATACCGCGGAGCTATGATGATATCAGTATCGGTCTTTTCTTGGGTTTTTGATTTCTTCCTTACTGGTTAAGACCAAGAACGATGGCGCTGCCCAGCATGGGTCCACCAGTTCGGAACCAGAGCCAAATGCTATGAGTTGTTAGTATAATAAATAAATGATTTCCAAATGGCATTGTGACTCACTTCATGTATTGTCCTCTTTTCGCGGGCTCGGGATAGCCGAGTGCCACGGCGCCTTCGGAGGCCCAGAAAAGACCAGCACTGATTCGTCCCAGTCAGCAAGTTTCTTTACCAGCATAAATAAGGATGGCGTAACTCACGAGAGACCACATGCGACTGCTCCAACGAGTACAAACCATTCGTTCCCCTGTATACTGATGTCAGAAGAGATCGTCATACAGCTGAATCTTAGCGGTTGATCTCACGTATCGGTTGTTTGTATACAAAGCCGCACTGAAAATTGTGTTAGTTTATACCGGCGAATTTTCTCTGAGGTCAATCTTGACTCACGAATAAACCGGATATCCAACGGCGCCCAGCAGCAGAGTCCAGTTCATTCCTATACGATTGGCGATCGGACCACCAAACAAGCACAGAATACCCACTAGGTCCTTTTTTTAGTTGAATATCTCGGGGCCTGATGCTGGTATAACTCACTCAGTCCGAAAACAAGTGCATTCGCTGCATTAACAAGATAGGGCGTTTCAGCTCCTCCAGCACCCAACGAGTTCATGGCATTCCATAGACCCGGGGCCATAAAGCCCACACCTCCAATGATGAACGCATTGTAAAGCGTCGTACGATACCAAACGCGCTTAGTCGGCGGCTCCTGGGGAAGTACCGATACCGGCGTTGACTCGGCCATAGTGTGCTAGGAGGAATCTAGGAGCTCCAAACAGCTCTCCGAAGTATGGAAATTGACGGTTTCAAATTTCGATCGGTATACATCGATCTGGAATCTATCTATACTTTATTTTGTTCAGATACAGTCTTGAATATTTGCTCATCCATGAGCAAGATGGCGTGCTGTCGAAGGAGGAGAAAAATGTTGGAAGCGCAGGGAACCCACTTCTGCTTGCCCCCACCGCGGCCCGCACATCCAGGGCGGAACCAATAACGACAGGCCCTACCCGCCTGCCAATGCTGCTAAACAGTCAAGGCTTTGCCAGATGCTTGTTAGCGTTCGGTCAATACCGCTTGTTTGCCGAGTATGGATTGGGCCCGAAGACGTGCTTTGCGTGGGGTGTGCAGTCGAGGGAAGGTGACAGCCGGTTAAAGACGGATTTCTCGCGAGGCGTGGATTTAACCTCATGGCCAGAACAAGGTTGCATTTCTTGTATAGAAAGCCGGTCGTTGTGATGTCTGGATTCGGGTCCATATCACCTCATTGCGGTCCTTCATGATTCTACTGTTTTGCCAAGGAGGTGGCGGGAAAGCCTGGAGCTAAATCTAGCGAGCACCAGTCAGTAGTTTCAATGAGGATATGCTGTTCGAGTTGAGCAAGAAGTCCACCACGGTCAATCTTCGAGGCAAGACACGACTGCTTCACATTCGCAGAAACCATCTCGAATTGATGCGTCGATAGTAACCGCGCGCACTTGTCATGAAACGAGCTGAAAGCGCGATAGGCATAGGATATCTTGTGCGGCAAGTAGGGGGTTGCTTCCATTGTACTGTTCGTCGTGTAGGAAATAGCTAATATCAGACTTCGTCGAATTTGTATGCAGGATAGACCGACGAATATGAGAAAGCGGGCAATTGTTGAATTATCGAATCGTTCTCGCTCTCTCGATCGCCATTCTGACGTCCTCGCACTTGACTGGATTCTTCAAATCCTCGAGTAATCCTCGGCAGCCTTCTTCGGTGATATTGAATACTCCTGCAGTGTTGAGGCTTTCCGTGACGGAAACGACAGACCGTATTCTAGATGCCTCGTTGAGCGTAGGGTAGGGTAACTATAGCGTGGAAGTGTATTTCGAAAGCTTTCTGACGGCCCCATGCCCCATTTCCACAGCGTCGGGAAAATGTCGACACCTCGAGAGTCAGAAGCCTGCGACGGACATCAAACAAGCCAAACAGCGGAGATGCCAACGAGGCGTCGAATCAAGCGAGTGCGATCAATCAGCCCACTTGACAATGTCCTTTCCGCCGATTCATCAGGCATAAGTGCATTGCGACATGGCCTCGATCATTGTATAGCTCTTTCTTGGGCATTTAAAGCCTGGAGCGCTTCCAAGCATCAAACAATTCAGCCAATGGGTCCAGAAAAACTATGCATGCCCCGAGGTAAGCCAAGCTTCACGCGAGTAAACAAGACGAGCCTTGATGCGGTTCTTGCGGGAGGTATTGAAAATACATTACTTGCCTAGATGAACTGTAGAGTATTCAAGATGTAGAGGCTCGAGTAGACAAGGCTGAGATGGCCTGCAGTTGATTAAGCGGGGTTGGTGGAAATGAAGATCATTCATGCATCACCGCATGAAACGGTCTCTTCAACCTCCATGCAGTCAAGAAATCCTTGCTCCTTTCAGCCCACCATACGCAGCAATTTCCACCCACTGCCAAGGTGCTGCCACATTTCTATACAGCTCAATGAAATAAGTTCATTTGATCGAAATTGAGGCGACGCAATGTAACTTGATTGCACTGTGGCCAGAATTTCTCCGGCAGCTGCAGGGGGCTGAACCTTGACTTTATTTACGACCAATCGGTCGCAAATCGAACATGAATTTCTAGCCACCCCTGAATTGGCCACCTGTAATCAATTCTGTTACTTTAGGTATTCTGAACGGCGCCGAAATGGTTAAAGAGTTGCCAGACGAGCCTGCATCACAGGCATATACAACGCCCGGCACAGAGATACTCTACGACGACATCTCACGACACAGCCATGCGCTGCACCGACTAAAGCATCACTCAGATGGCGACTCCAGGGTCTTTCTCGTGCCACAGGCGTCTATATCGATCCAAATGATCCACTGTGATGGTCGACAATGAAGATAGCCTCACCTTAAACGGCTGCTGGTTCGCGCTCATGGACGCCATAACGGTCCGATCATGGCTGCCGGTATACCCACATGTATTTCAGACCCGATTTCTGGTGATAGACTTACGCAGCTTATAGGAATGATTCAACTATCCGGCACCTTCGACAAGACTCTCCAGCAACTAACCTACGCAAACGGAGCCACGCTCATCAACCAAGGGATATGGAACTGCGCCTGGATGCCCTTTGCCGTCAAATACGGTCGCTGACCTGTCTATCTAGCAATCGACCTTGCTCATGGGTATTGCTTGTATCTGAGTAGCACTCGCGTCGACGGAGAACTACACGATTTTCATCGTCGGTCGAGCGTTCCAAGGCACATTTGAGGCGCCCATCGAGTCGGTCGTTCCGTCCACAACCATAGATATGTTATTTCTCCATAATCGTGTTGAGCTGGTTGCCATTTACGGGCTAGCTGCGCTTGGAGGTAATTAGCTCAGCCCAATTTTCTCAGGCTTCATCGTGCAGTCTTGGGACGAACTAGGGGTTTCGGATCATGGCGATCTTCATCGGGGCGAATCTGACTTTCTTCATGCCAGAGACAAAATTCACGGTTCAACGGCCAAAGATTTGTATTACGGGAGAACCTGGTGCCTCTGACGATGAGACTGAGCACGTTGTGTTCGAAGAGCAGCCTAATTCCATTCCCCGGAAAGCACAACTGGAGGAGCTGAGATTCTGAAGCTGGGATGATACAGATGTTAATATTCTGTATGTCTTTCTGCGTCCCTTCGTATTACTGGCTTACCCAACGGTTGTCTGGTCCTGTTTCATATAGGGGCTGGCTCTTAGCTGGAACGTCAATCTAGGCGCAATAGTCGCACAGCTATTTGCGGTGGCGCCTTATGGGTACAACTCCAATGCGTAAGGATTGTTCTTCCTATCGCCTTTCGTTGGATCTCTGTTCGGGGTATATTTTCTAGACCGGGTGGAGACTGGGTTGCGAATTTCTTCGCGAAAAAAATAAGGGAATCCGGGGGCCCGAGATACGCCTGCCTACTTGATTTCTCGCTGCTTTCTTCGCTTTCTTTGAGGTGCTTTGGTTTGGTCTCTCGTATGAGCACCAGGTGCACTGGGCTATGCCTGTTGTTGGGGCGGGTATTTCTTCTGTTGGAAGTCAGATGAGAACTACACTTGGGATGAATTATGCATGCTTTGGATTGTCATCAGAGAGTGAGTATATCCGTGTTAAATGATACACAGTCGGATCTTCAATCGCTAATTTCTGTATTCATTTCTAGCTTTCTGTTGAGATAGTGGTAGCTGTTTCAGCGCTGAAAGTGCAATCGCTTGGATCTGGACGTGGTTTATCAACGACTTCATCACGACCTGCGGGGTGACATCGGTCTTTATGACAGTCGCCGCGATCCACGTGGCCATCTATTAGCTCTGTATACCTTTCTACCGCCAACGCAAGCAGATCGCCTCTGACTCCACCGGAAGAATCTCTTTGAGTCGTTGGGGCTGTGATCGGCACTGGGTGGAATTGTGGATCCCCAATTCTATCAGATGAACTACGGTTTGTTTACAAAGGTATCCTCGCTTAGTTCGGTTATGAATGTTCACACGAGTGGTTTGAAAGTATTTATATTATACAATTATGATGATGCTATTGCGAAGATCCGTTTATCGTTCGACACATGGAAAAATGCGAGTCGGCTCCTTTCATAAAACAGACATGGATGACTGAACCCATCTAGAGGGCAAGGGCAAGGCCCAGAACACCGGCTGCACCAGCAAGGCTCATGGCAATACCGCCAGTGGCAGCAGGAGCTCCAGCAGTGGAGGTCGAGGTGGCCTCACTGGTGGGGGAAGCGGAGCCCGAAGCGCTGCCGGAGGTGGAAGCCTCGGTGGTAGAGGCAGCGGAGTGGGAGGAAGAGCTGCCGATGGTGGTCTGGACTACGAGAGAGGTAGCGATGGACCGCAAGCCGGAACCGACAATATCGGTTGCAGAGGACGAAGCATCGTCGGTGGCAGTCGCGAACAGGTCGTCGGTCGCGGTGGCGATGTAGCTGAGGTAGGTGGAGGCCTCACCCTGGAGCTCCTCCTCGAAGTAGGTCTGGGCGACCTCGGGCACGTCGCTGACCCAGTCGGGGAAGTCGCCGTTGGCGATGCGGCTGGCCTCGGCATTGGCGAAGCCGGAGTGGGTGTACATGCTCATGAGCCACTCGGTGGGCACGGCAGACTCGATGGCCATGACGATGGAGCTGATGGAGCTGGGGACCTCGCCGCCAAGACCGTAGGAATCGGAGTAATCATCGTAGTCATCGTAGGAGTCCGAGGTAGAGGTAGCGGTAGGCTCAGGAGCCGGGGCAGCAACTGCCGCCGAGGCGAAAAAGAGAGCAGCGAGGGTGGCGTACTGCATTGTGCTAGTGGTGTCTGAAGAGAGGGTGTATAGATCGGACGGGAGAAATAATTAGGACAGAAGTGAGTGCAGAACAATCACCACGGGGGTTCCGACACATTATATATCTGTCAAGGCGGCCTGCCGAGACCCTGTCGCCCAGAACAACGCAGTGCTGAGGCTCTGGCAGCTTGCCCATGTTTTCGCATTTCTCCCAGGGCCGAAGTGGAGACCGGGCGCTGCCCGAAATATCCATTTTCGCACTATTTCTGCACGCTAAAGCTGTTAGTGCCAGTCTCCGAGCCAATAGTAATACATCCGCCCCCCAAATCTCGCTTCTAACAAGTAAAAAAAAAGCACGCTAGCCACGAGGTTGCTCGTCCGGTCAAACGCCTTCCGGCTCGGACTCTCCTGCGCGAGTCTCGCTGGCTGTTGCTGCGCCCCTGGTGAGACTCCTGCCTGATGAAACGCCACGGTCTAAAACAGAACCAAGCCTTTCCTCTCAACGCGCAGTGCCTGGGCTCGCAGTCAATAGCGCCGTGGACTAGACCCTTCTTTCTTCACCCCCAATTTTGTGGCGTGGTCGGCGTTGAATGATGGCTCGTCCGAAACTGGGAAGCGTCGCGGGAATGTCGGCTTTGCGCCGCCACTCGCTTGCCCACGCTTTGTCTTTGTTTCAATTTCTGAGAGACTGCATTGTCACCACCTGCATTTCTGGGGGGTTCTTTACGATTGGGGTCTCTCGATCGTGCCAATGACATCATTTTCCGGGGTGCCGATCTATCGATGCTTCCCAAACAAAAGAGCTGATCTGGCTTGCAGACGCGCGCGAGAAGGCTTGGTCGACCCTGCTGTTCTGGAGTTTTCTCGCACTCTTCTTGGCATTTTGTCCTCTGCTGGAAGCTGGTTCTCATTGCTGGCTCAGATTCTGTCTTGTGGGCTTCTTGACTGCCTGCGACGCCCCACAGTATTCACTCGAATCGCTTGGCGGATACTAGGCTGAAGCAAGCCGCCGACCGCGATGTTTTGCATGAAATACATACCAATCATCCCAGACATATAAAAGACATGTACTCCAAGGCGGTGATGATACTTTTACATGACCACCTGATGACGGGAAACCCTAGCCAGCGACTGTTTTGGGACCCAACCCTAAATCCGGGCGCAGCAGGTCCATCGACATCGCAGACCCTGCCACCTCCTGGGCACTGAACCATACCTCCCAACATACTGCTACTACTCAACCAGACACTGAACTAGCTTGCCCCGGGGCAGTTTTTGCACAGGTCAATTGCAGAAAATTTTGATATCGTTTGGCGAAGTACATATTCCTTGCTTTCTGAGATCACATCGCAAGAACGACTTGGTACTACGACAAAAACGAAGAGACGGTGAGAGATAAAGTTTTGCTCACCTGAGATACAAGAAACAGGTAGTCGGATTTGGGAGGGTCCCCAGAATGCTACCTAACCAAAACATAATAAGCTTGGCACCATCACCGCCGATAGCTATAGTGCCAGTCTGGAGAAGTAATGTCCTCACGAACTTTATAAGCTCTCTCAGCCTCATCAAGGATATCCATATCCAGATCCGCATACTTGACCCCCTCATCACTATTTTCAAACTTCTCCATTTGCCCAACAAACGGCATAGCGACTTGAGAAAGGCCAGCAAAGCCCTCACCCGCAGGACCAGCAACATTGCAAAAAACAATAGCACAGGTATTTTCAAACGCACGACTAACAACAGCCGCATCGAGAAAATCGCCCTCAGACCTGGGGTTCCGCTTTAGCCCCGCCTCGGAGGCATCGCTGTACTTCCAGAAAGCTGGAACAATAATGATTTTAGCGCCTTGGATAATCAGCTCTCGGAAGGCCTCCGGGAATGCCAAGTCCCAGCAGATGAGCATGCCGACTTTTCCCAGTGGCGTGTCGAAGGCTAGATGTCGAGTGTCGTTTTTGGAGCCCTTCACAAAAGGCCGTTCGGGGTGCCAGAGGTTTTTCTTCTCGTATTTCCCTCGGACGGTACCCATGTTGTCGATGAAGTAGGCTGCATTGACGAGTGTGTTGTCTTCATGGAGCTCGCCGAGGGAGCCAGGTACGACGCAGATGTTGCATTCCTTGGCGAGGCTACAGTATGCGTCTAGGTATTTCTTCCACTGTGCGCATTGTTGTCTGATTGCTGGGTCGTGGCTGGGAAAGAAATCGGAAAGGTGATATTCCGGAAGCACGGCGAGATGTGCACCTTTCGCGGCGGCATCTTTGATGAACGATATCGCTCTTTGATGGTTATTTTCTATTTCATTTGGCTTTTTATACACTCAATGATTAGATGAGTCATTCATGGAAGTTCTGGCTATTCAAGACGATAGGGACGTACCTTGGGATAGAGTTGAATGATAGCAACCTTGTGAACAACCATATTGTTCTAAATGTTCTCTGAAACGAAGGAAGAAAATAGATTGGAGATCTTCACATTGTATAATGCGGAAGCTTGGAACTAAATATTCTTCGTATCCGCTTCCCCGCTTTCAGCTGGCATTTCGTAGTAGGAATCGTATGCCCGCTCCTCCCGGAAGAGTAGCATCATTGTAACCTAAATGACTAATTCCATCCTGGTTGGCTCATTTTGCCGATCTAATTCCATTGGATGGGTCTCCAAATTGGAGAGAAGTATAGAAAGTCTACTGGACTCTCTCCTGCCCCCCGAGTGCATGACAATTTATCAGTGGAGAGGTTTAAGCGTAGCGGGCCTGGAAATGTACAGGAATAATTTTGCTGCTTGAGTTGAGTTGAAATGAGAGCTCCCAGATACGTGACATGAAGTTATTCGCGAGCTATAAATTACCATCATATTCATCAAGCTTTTCAAAGAGCCACCAATACTTGAGCACCAAAATGACGATACCGATCAGCCATATTGGCTCGGAACGACTTCCCAAAATAGATAAAAACCAAATTCCCCATCATGATGACCATAGTTATAAGCCCGAACGTGATATAGAACCAGTTCAAGCCTACGCGGTCCACCCAAGGTTGAAGCGCAAAGACAAAACTCGTTGAGATGACGTTTCGGATGAAAGTAAGTGCAATCACCGAGTCGGCGATAATCTGCGATTCGAGTTAGTTTGCTCTTCTAAAGGCAACAAAAGGAAGAACTTACATCTATATATGCATCGGTCAGATATGTGAGCGCAGCACTACTGGCGGGAACAACTCCGAATGCGCTAACCCCAAGACCGAACGCAGGCAACAGCCAGTGGGATCCATTATTCAACCCAATGCCAAACATAAAGAGGCCGGCAGGAACAAGTGGTGTAAATGCCAGGCACATCCAAAGACGCATCTCTGGCTCGAAGATTCCTTGGTTTTTCTTCGTAAGGTATAGGGCAGTGGAATCGCTCAGAGGGCCACAGATGATGGTCGCCAGGCAGGTTCCGATGAACGGCGGGATCCCCATGAGACCGATCTGAGCTGATCCGAAATTGTAGGGCGGGAGTGTCATAACGGAGGAAAGGGTCGTGACTGGAACGGTCGTGCAGGCGGTCATGACTCCGTACTCGATCGCCATGAAGAAGACAGCCGGGATGGAGAACATGATGAGGAATGGGCGGTAGCTGTGTTTGGCTAGTTGACCAATGGAAATCGGTGAGTTGGACCACAGCGCCAGCCTTTTCCAATAGCTCTTTTGAGAGATTGAGTAGTCGATCTGGAAATGCTCGTGTGCTGTCGTCTCAGCTTTCGCAGCTTCGACTTCTTTCTCGGCTGATGCCTCCAGATCTCCCTTGGTAGATAATTTCGCTGATGCTTTATCAACGACTTGTACACCGTCAATAAGCTCAACATCGAACATCGTTTCCTCGTAAAGGAATATGAAAGCAAGAAGTCCCGCGCCGAAAAGAATAGCCATCCACCACCATACCCACCGCCAGCCCTGCGACAGAGTAATGAAGCCCCCCGCCAGTGGTGCAAGAGATGTCCCCACAGTCATGAACCAGTAATAGATAGTATTCATCAGGCCTCGCTCGTGGACGAAGTAAATATCCGCCACAGTCATTTGGACCATCACTTCAGACAGAGCACCGACGATACAGCTGAGAATATTGACCAACATCAGGTCTGCAACATTCTGCATCTTTGCAGACCAGATGCTGATTCCGCACTGGATTGCTGTGCTGAGGATGTAGACTGGTCGTCGGCCAAATTTGAGAGCAAAGGGTATTAGAATTACTCCGCCTATGGCCAGAGAGCCACAGCCTGCTGCGTAACTATCGTTTAGGAGGGCGTAGCTGAAGCCGAGTTCGATGTTCAGTGGGCCCCAGGTAACGGTGGCGACGTTGACCCTGAAATATTAGCTGGGTGTTGGCAAGGGGCGATTCTGGGTTCTTACAATGCCATGACCATGATAACGTAGTATGAGGCGAGTCCGAAGTTGAGGTGTTTCCTCCATCTTGGCCAGTTCTAAGGTAATTGGGAAGTCAGAACTAGGATATTTGTCAAGCATTACATTGCAATGCACTCACTAAGGGGTCGTTTGGATCTTTGCTAGGCTTGGGTTCTAGGATGACTTCTGCCCCTGCGCTGAGATCTGATAGGGGGCTTCATTAGTCGACAGGCCGAGCCGAGATAAAAAAGGCATTCAAATACTCACCCTCCAAGCGAACTGTCCCTGGCGGCCATGCCGGATCGATATTCTGGCTGTGCGGTGACATTGCTATACCACAGCCACAGTAAAGCGAAAGAGAAAGTTTTGTATGTTGGGTAGTAAGGGATGTGCATGCATGAGTGGACTTGGGACCAACTATTATATGCCAGTATACTCAATACCGACCAGGAGGATGGGTTGACGCTGCCTTATCATCATCGGCTGGAGGCTGACGATCTGCAACCATTCAACGTCAATCTAAGAGTCAGAGGTGGAGTGCGCTATTTCACAAGGGGAAGTTTGGAGCAATGGCCAATAATCGATTCGACTTGATTCAAGGTTATCATCGCTTGAGCACCTGGGATCCAATGCGGGGATATAGCCTTCTGATAGTCGGGGAGGCCGGGGTAACGGGATTTACATAATTCATTTTGGCCCTGTGTACGGTAGTCGTAGATATCCATGTGGCTTTCTTATCAATGCCGAGGAGTGGCCCTCAGTCTCCTAAGCTTTGCTAACCCGAAGTGTTTAGAGTCATCTATAATCTGTAGAGGACCGAAGGAAAGTTCGTTTCGATAACTCACCATCCAGGGGTCTGTACATGTCCTTGTAATTCAACCAGCTCGGACGATGAAACATGCTTCGGTAGCACGTTTACCGAGCCCTCTCTGACCCAGCTCGGCCGCGATAGGCAACCATGAAATCGCGGGGATTGATGTTCATGGTTTCGCGTGTCAATCGCCGGCCCCACACTTTCGCCCTCGTGGTTGGATCTGGCCAATGGCGTCAAATTGCGCCGCCCCTCAGCTGCCCCATCGCCCAACCAATCAGCCAGCATAGCCTCCGCCTTCGCCTTCAATATCGCCATTGTGACACCCCGTCGCAACTGCTTTCCTCCTCACCTCGTGTTCAAACTGCAACAGCTATAACATCTTCTCCAAATTTCCCCATTTCTCCAATTCATCTTCCTATAAGGCACTGTCAGAAGCCGTTTAGGGAAACTTCTAGAGACAGTCGGGATCTCAATCGCTTCCGATTACCCCACGTCTTTCATTAAATAGCTGACAAGGTACCAAGTGGACGTTTATTCTTGACAAGGTTCATCGACCAAAACTCCATCTTGAATATGGCTTCTGTCTTTCGCAACGGTCGCATCTTTGCGCCCGCGCTAGCTCAGAATGGCGGCGAGTTTGCCGATGGCATGATTGTCAAAAATGGCCAGATTTCTCACGTTGGATCTCTGGGCGGAATCGAGATTCCTAGCGATGCCACAGTTGTGGACCTGGAAAATCGTGTCGTGATCCCGGGCTTTATCGACGCCCATGTACACATTCTGCAGTACGGCCATTCTTTGCGCAAAGTCAATCTGATTGAATGCACGTCTCTCGAGCAAATCCGAGACGCCATCAAATCATATGCCACGGCAAACCCATCTTCGCCTCGAATCTTGTGTCGAGGATGGATTCAGTCTTCTACCAAAGGCATCGCTCTTGCAAGTATGCTGGACGATCTCGATCCACGACCAATTTTCATTGACGCCTTTGATCTGCACTCGATGTGGTGCAACTCGGCTGCTCTGGACGAGATGAAGGCTCACACTGCCCCGGACCTTCCGGGTGGTACTATTCATCGTGATGAGAATGGAAAAGCTTCTGGCCTTCTCGATGAATCTGCTTTGATAAACCTCGCTTGGCCGTACGTGGAGAGCCTTTACTCCACCGAAGATAATCTCAAGGCCTTGGATATCGCCGTGTCTTCTTATACTGCGGCTGGCTATACCGGGGTTGTAGACATGGCCATGGATGAAGATACATGGCAACTGCTCGATAAATATCGCCGTTACAAGCCTGTCCCTTTCCATATTGCGGCCCACTGGCTTGTCCCATTCTCAGATGATCAAAAAGCAAACTTCACATATGTGGACAGGGCAATCGAGCTGAAGAAGCAGTATACCGATCCAAGCTTCACTGTTGTTGGAATCAAGCTGATTTGCGACGGCGTCGTTGACGGCTGCACCGCAGCCCTCATGCAGCCATATACTGGCAAATCCGATCCAGTGGAGCCCATCTGGCCAGCAGATATGTTGAAAGAAGTTGTACAGCGCGCCGACAACTCAGAGTTGCAGTGTGCGATCCATGCCATCGGAGACAGGGCCATAAACCAAGCAATCAACGTCCTCTCGGATGTCGGAACACCAGGCCGACGACACCGAATCGAACATCTCGAATTATCGACCTCAGAAGACGCAAAGCGTTTGGGTCAACTCGGTATCACCGCCTCTGTTCAACCTGTTCATTCTGACCCATCCCTCTTCAAGGCATGGCCAGGCCTGGTCGGTCCTGACCGGTGCAAGCGAGCTTTTGCATACAAGGAGTTCCTAGACGGTGGCGCTCCTCTCGCAATTGGAACGGACGCTCCCACTGCACGCCATTTTCCCTTCCCCAACCTGTATAATGCCACCACAAGACGCTCCGCCCTTGAGCCCGAGACCACCAACACTGTGAACCCGCATTTCGGTTTGAGCCTAGCAGAGGCTGCAACTGCTGCGACGACGGGGGCGGCGTATGCGCGGTTCGCGGATTCGTGGACGGGAAGTCTCAAGGCTGGGTTGAGTGCGGACTTCTTGGTGGTGGATATGCAGTGGATGCCGGAAACGCTGCTCGAGGCGAGCGTAGCACAGACTTGGTTCCGGGGAAAGAAGGTGTATGATGTTAACTCTCGTTCTCAATAGATCGAATATCTAGATTTATAAAATTATACTGAGATTTATTCGAATGCTGATGAATTTGTAAGTACGTATCAGTGGACCATGATTATTAGTGGGGAGGGAAATGGTTGCAAAGAAGGGGATGATAGAACAGCATTCACGCCGCTCAGCTAGGCACAACGGGTTCGGGTACGAAACCATTGAGAAGGGAAGTTGGCTCGAGGCTGCGAGATGCCCAGGTGGATTGGGCCACGTTGGAATGCGGGGCCGAGGCAGAATGACACTCACTTGCAGAGAGCAGGTGGTGTGTTCATTCCTCAGGATAGCGATCACAAGGGATATAGTCGTGTTCTCACTTCCTTACTTTCAGCGCCCCCGTTTTGCCCTCCCTCTGGGCGCTCAGTTTTTTCGCGTGTCTCTACGGATATAAATTGACTGCGCCTGTCCTGTCCCTCTCTCTCCCATCTTCCGTGATGATATCTCGCCTTCCGTTTCTCTTGCCGTTCACACCTCTTCTGGCCTTCACCCCTTCTTCCTTTACACGCCAAAATCACAGCTGCAATCACGGTACGAACAACCCGCCCGTTTTCGAAGAATGTCTTTCCCCTGGCAGCAGCTAACCTGCAGCCATCAAGGACCACGAGATCGAATAGGCAACGTGCGGCCAATCTACCATGCCACGGGATCCGTCTTCTCTGAAAGGTTCGGGGCAGATCTTGAAAACATTTAGTACATAATGATAGATTTAAACTTTACGTATTAAGGTGTGGCCCGATGATGTCAATCCCGGGGACAAAGTTCATGCGGGGTGAAGCATCACGGTGACATCACCACCCGCGCCGCGCGATCGCAGTCTTCGTGACAAATTTCATTTCAAACACGCTATATTTTGTAGTTTCTGATATACAAGCCCGAAAATTTCAGTATACATCAAAATATTTCACAATAGTCTGCTCCACAAGCCCAGCAGATAGAAGTGGACCTCGCCGAAATGATCATTCCAATTTAGTCTTCCAGGTCTGGCTCGGTGGTGTGCTGGGGATAGATCTGGGGAAAGAAAGGCCCTTTCCGCAATTCTGTTAGCTCATTCACAGCTTGAGTATTTGCATCCTGTGGGGGAAGTGTCGTACCTTTAGCTGGGTTATTCTCCTCCGACATATGATCGGTGACCTTGTGAAGGTCTTCAACAGCATGCTCGTGGGCGAGCTCAGCACAGATAGATTGGGAGGAGCTATGAAAGCAACGTCAGAAAGCTGGAGGGGGCCAATAAATTGCTCTGGTATCTGTAGACATACGGTGCGACATTCTGGCTTCGTTGGATGATAACCTCCAAATCACTCATTCTTCGCCCGGAGGAATCCTTCTGTTCAGTCCCATCGTTCCCGTCGATCGATGTGCGCTTTTGAACGGAGGTGGGATCAAGCGGATTATTATCGACAGTTGTGCCGACCATTTTGGACAGATTCGTGGGTTGTTCAAGGGTGATTGAGGTGAAAATTTGTACAGCGCAAAATTCTGTGCGTTTGTGATGTTATGAGAGAATTTGTGTATTTTGGGGAGTATCGAGAGAAAGGCTTCGACTCTTTATGGCTAGGTGCGGGGGATCGCCCCATGGACATGGGAAGGTATTCGTGGTGGCGAACCTATGATATAAACACTATTTTAGAGGCGGGTAGTGACCAAACCCCTACTGTCCATTTCCGGCCGTCCTGGAAATAGAACTTGGTTCTGGACTTGCGTCTATTGTTACACAGGTATTCGCTTGCTTATTCATTCCTCATTAGTGCCTACTAGTAGCTGCCGGCAGCGGTTAATGTGAACGCAGCTGAGAACATGCCACCCAAGATACAGCCATACGGAAGGAAGTTATAAATTAGGTAACGGGCAGAGCTCACAATATTTCCTATAGTGTTTCCGCCCATTCAATGTTTTAATGCCTTCTCAAGTGTTCTTTCCAATTTATGGCTGATCCAACAACGACAAAAGAAACACTAGAAATACGAAAATAATCCATGTCCCATCGACTGTACCAGATGATGGGTAGTTATTTATATAAGGTGACCTTTCATAAGACCGATTTGATGATTGAGAGAGGTATAGATTACTGAAATGAAAATAGGTGTCTGAAAGTGCGCCCATGCGGTATCGTGATCGAGTCCTAATCAGAAGGCAACGTGCCTAGAATCTAACAAGTGTTGGAAGAACTTCCCGGAGATTCTTAGTGTGACAACAGATTCATTCGCTTTTAAATCTCGAATGGATCCATTGAACACAGAAACAATCCTACCGAAGAACGTAAGCCTTAAATGACGAACAGCAGTCGACACTCGTAGTAATATCTCCTTCCGCACTAGATATCCGCATGATACACATTGGGCCTGCAGCTTTATTTTCTCCCCTGAAGTATCCACTCGCTATGATGTCTCTGAATTGCGATCAGAGAATAGCAGGTATCCTCTTCATCCTCATTCTCTTCTTCGTCGGAGTAAGAGTCTTCTTAATTTGGCGAGGACTGAAACTGACCATGTTGGCTTTCAGTCATCGGGGACAGGCATCCACTTTTCCTTTCTCTTCCAAGACTGTCATATTTAAAGGGATTCTCGAAGTTCAACGCATTTCCAATCTACTTTCTACCCAGTTTGGCAAGCATACAACATTCCAGCTTCGAGCTGCGGTTCATTGGATCTTTGAAAAAGATACTCCCACTACTCTGTTTTGAGATGAGCCTTAGGACCTCGACCCCAAAAATAAGTGGTCAAGATCAATTAAATGACGGTTTTTTGGCGAGAAATGGAATGCTTGCCCAAGCTCGGCTGGGGTCAAACTCAAATCGTGTCCGCAAGGGAAACTGGGCGGAACCGAGTGGAATGGCTTCGGAGCCCCCCGGGAGGGGGGGGGGGGGGGGGTTATTTGGGTTCGGCACATGATGCTGTGATTCCTTAGAATTAAATCCTTCGAGTTTTATAAATCGCTCTCTTATATTTCTCTATTTACCTCCAAGGTTGCTGCGGATCACCCACTCAGGAAACTTATCCTGCGTTCTTGGTTCTCGCTCCAACTCATCCGTTTGTTCGAAGAGAAGCTTCCACCATTTGCATTTGAGATGTGCCCTGCCACCTCCTCCCCAGTATACACTGTCTGAATCGATCTCGTGTCGGTCCTTTGGCGAAAAATAGAATGCCTTCCCAAGTTCGTCATGGGTCAATCTCAGATTCGTGCCTCGCGGGAAGTTTGCTGGCACAAGAATAACGGTTGGTCTGATTTTGACTGTTACGCTTGGCTTAGAATCAACAATATTCCGTGAACGCATCGCACGTTCCGTCGCTCTAGAGCCGATGTTGCTCTGCATAACCCATCTTGGCACTTTGAGAACTGTCTTGTCGCTGCTGGAGTTCACTTCGCCCGGTGATTGAAGGAGACTATTCCACCACTTGCTTTTGAGAGCCCCATGACTACCTCGTGACCAGAAATTCGCGTCGGGGTCGATCATTTGCCTATCCTTCGGAGCTAAGTAGATTCCTTGCGCAATTCATCGGGCGTGAGTTCCAAGTTGTGGCCGCGAGGAAAGTCGGCTGGGACGCTACGGAACATCTTCTGAGTCTCCGTTGGGGCAGAGCCACTCGGAGCAAGGAGCAACGACTCAAAAGAGTCGTCTGGGGCAAGCGAGCTCTCAGGATCCGACTCCATTGGGTTTTCGAATTCCATCGCGCGATCAATCCAGTTGGCACCCAGATTGCTCCGCATCACCCACACCGGCAAGCCATATGGTGTTCCCTCGAGCTCGGGGTCCACCTCACTCGATCTCTCGAAGATATGTTCATCCCACTTGCGTCGAAGGATGGCACCGTGATTGCGGTGCCAGATCTTTCCTTCTGGGTCGATGTCGTGTCGGTCTTCGGGCGAGAAGTAGAAGGCTTGCCGAAGCTGGTTAACAGTGAGAGCTAGATCGGGACCCCGGGGGAAGTCCGTTGGGACAGGATGGTACTGCTTCTTGGTGGGGACTCCTGTAGTCTTCGTAGACTCGGTATTGTTTTGGAGGAACGAAGAAATGGGTGAGGGAGGTGGCGACGATGAGCCGTTGCGAATAGTTCGCAGCGGGGAGGGAGTCGAAGGGCTGGGGCTGAGGGTAGCTCGGGTCGGGGTTTGCTGGTATGGAGTGTTGGGTATTTCGACGGCGACGACGACTTCGTCTCCAGTACGAGTCCTCTTGCGCTTTCGAGTCGCTTCGCTCTGCGTGTTTCGTGACATGGTGATCGCGATCGCTGAAGCGAAGAGTAGAAGTACGGCGGTAAGTGTAGAGACAGACTTGAGAGTGATGAAGTTTGTTGCGTGGATCGAGTTCAGTACCTAAGTGGGGAGGATGTTTACCTGGGGATAGTCGACGGCTGCCTTGAAAGGTTTGGGTTGGTTGCTGCTTTTCCTGCAGCCGTTGACATCTTGGGTTGGCCACGTTCAACAAAAGAGCACCGACAGCTGAGTGGGCGCAGATGGACACTCGTGGAATCTCACTGGTAGTGTAAACAATGGGAAAGTAGGAAGTTGCGGCAGGCGTCAAGTTCAATGTAAGTCCTAGGGAAGCTTCCACGTCCAGTCAGTCAACCTTGATGCCTGGGGACTCTGCTCCCAGTGCGCATCTCTAGGAGAGTCCCAAGTTACCTCTACCTCTCGATAGGGATTAAAAGGGGGAACTCATACAACCACATCCTTTTTATCTTGACCACGCTGCCTCCATAACCTTTCTAGTGTCTATTCCCAGACCGCATGAATAGAAAACGCATATAATTTCTACTCTGTGGGCCAGGATTTCCTATCTTCCCTGGACTTTGATGCATCAGTTTCCAGGGTAGCTAACCAGAAACCCGATCCCCTATGTTATCGGGTAGATGGTCTGGTAGGTTGCTGGGCAAGGAGCACGGCAGTTGGTAGAATCCAGCTTTAAATTGACAAGACCATGGTCGAGGTGATATATCAAGGTGATACCACCGAGGTTCGCACCATCCATGCTTGAACAGGGCACTTATTGTGTATCTAGGAGATGTCACGATGAGTGTGGTCTGAGACGAAGGGGGTGGAGTTTAACAACCTTGAAAAGTAGTTCGGAAAATAAAGTTTAAAAGGGCTAAATTGTATTCTTTGGCTTATCAACTGTCAATAACACTTGCCATTTCGCGAGCCTTTCCTCGTCTACCCTTCTGGCGATCTTTTGTCTGCATCTTTCGAGTCGTCGGTGCAGGTAGATCTAGCGTTGGCGATTGAGAATTTTCAATATCTCGATGTGTCACCTGGGAACACATCCTCCACGAAATATCCGAGTTATCTCCGTCCTTGAATGATGCGAGGCGTCGAGCCAACTCTTCGACAAACGCGACACTTCTATGCCGACCTTCCTCGCAGCATACTGTCACAACGACAGATAGATTCGACTTTTCACCCCCTTGGATTTTCCCTTCGATTGTATCCAAAACATCCCTCTCCACTATTCCTAGCATTGATTGCACAGCATCATTATTAAGAAATTCTTTCTGGAGCCGTCGCGATAGTCCCGTCGAGCAAATTCGCAGATTGCGAGGTGGATTTGGTAGGTGTCGGATATTATATGCTAGAAGTGTGTGCTTCTTTATTGCCTCCTCGTAACCAAGAGGGCCGTTTGCATGACCGTATGAAAATATGGAGATATCGATCTCTGGCTGCGTCTGCGGGCAGACTTCATTTCCAGTTGACTCCATCTTCGTTAGGTACCGTGCCAATAGTAGAGTCAGCAAAATGCTCACGCGTAATCGAATCACTGAAACCAGTTAAGAGACGCGTCGAGTCAGGTGGCATGGTGCACGTGAGGAGATAGTGTCACACGAGTGCTTCCCAAATTTGTCAACACTTGATTGTCAACACGTGAAAAGTGGTCGGCACGGTTGGAGCTGGTACCCAGCTGAATATTTATTTTTTGCAGAAAGAGACACACCCGACGCAGAATCAAGAAGATCTTCAAAATAAGCGCCTGTAGCGTGAGAGGCTGACTACATGAGTCACATGAGTTGGGGCTTCATTTGTGGCACTGCCCTGATGCGGTGTGGCGCAGCCGTACATGCGCAGCTTCCAAGATCGGTTCCGGAATTGTTGGTTTGGATATCGAGGCCAATGCCAAAGAGTTCAATCGCTAGGTAAACTCATGCCCGGTCTAATAACCTGTGTTTTACTTTCCTTGGAATCTTCTTCGGGAAATAGCCAAATTTACTTCATTATATATATTCATGGATGTGACAAGAGTTGAGGTTCCAGGATAAGGCACCGAATTGATGCCTCATTCCCAACTTCTGTCGGCATGCGTGTCCAGGGAAACCGGAGGCACTGAGCTTGATATGCACTTCAAGCGCTCTTGCCGCCATTATATTCTACATTCAGGGGATCTTTATGGAAGAATACCGATCGAGACTGATTATGAGGGGTTTACTACTGTCAGGGGCTTGCCGCCCGTTCAGGGATAAATACCCCCCGAATCGCATGTAGACAGTTTGATACAGTCAAGTCAAGTTCTGTCAATCCCATTAAGGTGGATTTGTCTAGCAGGCCCTCATTCAATATTCAGTGCTTCGTCGTAGCCGATCTCAACAACAAGCACCAGTATGGTTATTGAGCTTAACAGATCAAGGATCTTTGGTCATCTTGCATTAACCTCTTGGGGCGACGCGGTGCTATGATGCATTTCAGAAATATGATATCAAGCTTTTCCCCCGTTCATTCATTGTTCTCATTCTATATCCAAATGCGGTTGATGCCGTTAAGCTCATAGTCGGTCGCTTTTCCGTATGCGCAGCCCAAAAACACAATAGCCAATAATTGAATCGGCATCTAAAAATTAACAAATTCCAAAAGTCACAGAATTCAAATGCCAAGCCCAGCATCGTATAATTTATCCAACAGCAATCCCACAAACTTCCTGCCAGTCATACCCGGGAAAAAAACCTTTAATTTTCAGTCGCCGGGGCTGTCGACAATTCTTCCCAATCGCAGTGACAATGTCGAGCTCGGTAGCGTATAAGTGCGAAGATTGCATCGCTTGTAAGCAAAGTCTGAATAGCGACAGCAGTCCATGCCAACCCCAGGAAGTTGCTTTGGACGTTAGCCGAGATACTGGGACTTCCGCTCTTTGAGAGTAGAGAAACGAATTGTGTGGAGATCATGTTCGCAATGACGGAAGCAGCGAGTAGGAAAAGGGTGCTAGCATCTTTGTCAATGGGTTAGCGCAGAGTATACATGAAGTCTATGTCTAATAGCTTACTATGAAGATTCCTAGCTGTAACCTGGAAGGAGGTAAATCCGAAGAGGAGTTTGGTTTTGGTCTGCTTGCATAGCTTGGCGGTGGTTCGGCAGTACCAAGGGGATGGAAGACCCCCTAGGTCGTTTATCATAGCGAACTCTGCCCAGACGGAGAAGAACCGATAACGCGACAGTACATGTACCCAGTATGAAGAAAATGGCCATAATGTGATTTGTTGGAGCAAGAGCGACGAAGTCATCGCTCACATGACTAGTCCAGTCTAGTTCTGAAAGATCTTTATCTTTTCCGATTACGCTGAGATGGCTTGGCCGGGATCAAAGAGTGACAAAGGATCGAGATCTGAGCATGTGGTGATTGTGCTCTGTATTGTCGTTACGTTTGTGGTTTCGTCGACCACGAATTGTTTTTCGAAGCCGTAGCAATAGGACATCAGATATATGTTGAAGAAGCCGGGGACATTTTCTGAAGATAAGTGCGATGTGTTGATCTAGAAGATAACTTAGCGGGACAACAAATGATCCCCAAGTTTGGTATGACAACAAACCTTTAAAATAGTCACATTCGGTAGAAAATGTCGAGTGCCACCGGCAAACAAGTACAGAAACAGCAAAAACAAGGCCAGCAGAGACAATATAATCCCTAGAAAATGGCGGGAACATATCATCTTGGCGAGATGTGCTGGAAAATCGGAAAACGCCAGGAATAAGGTATCAAAAATAAGAAAGAAAGATTTTTCTGATGGTACATCCTGCTTGCTGCATTCTTGAAAAAGCCCCAAGGTACCATTGGGAAATGATTTTCGCGATGAGCGTATCGTCAACTTTCTAGAGAGATCATTCTCTCGATTTGTTCAATCCAGACCGACCAAACAGCCTGCGGCGTCCGTATTAACATCACACGAAGTCGACAATGTGATGCTGTGCTGTGAATAAATTGATATACATCTGTGTATAGATAAGCTTGGAGGTTCGGATTCTCTTGTCGTACCAGCGGAGGACAATAAACTATCCCTATCTAGCAACCTATTCCCGACCCGCAGCCATTAAGACAGAGATCAAAACTCGTCAGGTCTAGAATTTCGTGCCGTACACAAGTCGCACCTCGGCAGGGTCCGAGGCCAGTGATCCGTATTCTATTATTCATTGCTGACTCAATTGGTGCCACGCGGCTACAATATACGCACCGCGATAGATACGATCCTGCAAGATCACGATCTCGCACGAGGCATACGCGGGGTTGCACGCCTCACTAATCATTTAGCAAATCGAATTCCCTAAAAGCAATCGCCATGATCGACTAGTCCGACAGCCCCGACGAACCAGCGGACGTCGCTGACCTAAAGAGTCTTTTGGGGTCCATCCGCACTAGTCCGAAACGAGTCATTATCTGGAGAGGGTGGATTCGCTCCCATTGGGACCGACTTCTTGTTGCGGCGGCACATGGGCTGCACCGAAAGGAAAAAATTCTTTCGTTTGCTTCACGGGTATTTAAGCTGAGGAGGCTTGTCTCTGCTTGACTCCAGCGATCTGCTTGGCGTGTGTCTTGGTGTTCTCGGCGGCATCTATACATCTCTCGGCGGCGACATTACCAAGACCGGAAGAGTAAGGTCATTCTGGGCATCTCCGCACTCGGCAGGTCGTAGCAGCCATAGCCACAGGATTTGATTACACCAGTCGGAGGGGATGTCAAGGACCATCCCAGAGGGAAAGAGCGATTTCTGGAGTTCGACACGCTTCCCGCGAGGCGTCGGAGAATTATGGTCTTTGCACGTGGCGATGTCTCCGGCCACGACGATCAGGCGCTCGGTATGAACCACCTGCATTCCGGAGATGATTGCGGTCGCAAGCTAACATCCGCACAAGAACACCATACCTCAGCCAGCGATATCACGGTCGTGTCCTGGGACGGAGACAAAGATCCCGGAAACCCGTACAACTGGTCTCCCAAGCAGAAATGGACCCTGACGGCCGTCGCGGCGTTCACGACGTTCATCACCATGATGAATGGCACGATTATCACCGTTGCCCATGAAGCGATCAACGAGGAATTCAATATCTCCGATGCCTCGTTCCCGCACTCGTATTGGCCAGTAACATCCTGGGCCGTCGGTGGCAGCGTCTCCTCGCTCCTTATTCTTCCGCTGATGGAGGACTTTGGCGTCAGATGGGTCTTCCTCATCACGTATGTGGCGTTTCTCTGTTTTATCATCCCCCAGGCGCTGGCCCAGAATTTCGCCACATTGATTGTTACTCGATTTTTTGCTGGCGGCTGTGTCTCGATTCTCGCAAACACTTCGGCCACGGTCATCGGGAATGTTTGGGAGACGGAGAAGGCGCGTAATATCCCAGTTAGTCTGTATATCGTCACCTACCTCGCCGGAAGCAGTATCGGACCTGTTATCGGAGCGCCCATCTACCACTACCTCTCATGGAGATGGATCGGGTACCTGCAGCTGATCTGGTGCGGCGCGCTGCTGCCCATGTATTACTTCATGTTTAAGGAGTGCCGCGGTACTGCGATTCTAGGACAACGGGCAAAGGCGTTGAGGGAGGATGGAGTTCGGGCATATTCGCAACATGAAATCGACAGCGAGGGAAATTCGATGCTGATGATTGTCGTTCGAAGCGCCACGAGACCTATTATCCTCTTCTTCACTGAGTCTGTCGTCTTCGTCTCAACACTGTGGTCCGGGTTCACCGTTGGTACCCTGTATTTGTTTACACAGTCAGTTGAGCAGGTCTTTACAGGACTATATGGCTGGACACCCGCACAAGCAGGCTATGTCCAGGCTGCAATTGTCATCGGTGAGATCCTGGGCTGGGTGGGAACGCTGTTCTCCGGCAAACTATACTTCACCTCTGCCTCAAGAAATACAGAAGTCCCCGGCACCCCCATCCCCGAGGCAAGACTATATCTTGCTATCGTGGGTGGAATGTTTGGACTCTCGGGTGGAATGTTCACTTACGCCTGGACGTCCTATCCAAGTCTCCCCTGGATCGCACCGGCCGTGGGCCTGGCCATGGTCGGCGCCGGCGGCGTCATTGTGGTGACCGGAATCTCGGACTACGTCGTCGACGCTTACAGCAAGTACGCAGCCTCCGCTGTCGGCATCATGGTTGCCGGTGAGAATACGTTCTCGGGCTTTCTACCCCTGGCGGCCATGAGTCTGTATTCGACTCTTGGCTTCAACTGGGCTAGTACCGTGCTGGCATTTATCTCGTTCGGGTTATCTCTGGCGCCGATTCTCTTTGTGATATGGGGCAAAGAGATCCGAGCTCGGAGCCCGTTCATGAAAGAAGCCACGATGGAAAAAAGGACGGAAAGCATTGACTCAGTCTGATACCAATTCACCCAGATCTGTACATAGCTTTTGCCACTCGGAAGAACCGAGTGACCTCATTGTTCTTCAACAAAGGACCAATAACAATGACAAATGACGAACTGAACAAAAAATACAAGAAAAAAAAAATCTTCAAAGCTTCAAGCCCTCGGCTATTCTTGGATCTCTTACGTCCATGTTCCGCTGACGTGCCCACCACATGCGAACCCACGAGGCCAAGGCTTCCACCGGTTGTAAGAAGTAGAGCAAAATACCCGAAAAATGAAGTCGATGAGGCTCGGACAGTGGCTATGGTTTGGTTCCTGGTGGATACGGAGGGTGCTGTATCGGAAACCGTGTCTGAAAGTGAACACCTACAGAAACACCGGAAACACGCGGACTGAACTTTGTTTACAAAATACATCCCAAGTTTGACCGATGGGGGTTATCGTCCAAAGATCTTGTCGGCATTGTTGACCTGAACCCTTGCGCGAGGGGACCACCACGAAGAGGGTGGACCATGCGGTAAGAATCAATATACTTTTAACTAAGAGATGGAGGTGCGTATATCAAGAGCAGAGCGGAGATATTCCAAAATGTGGTTTAGAAGCATCCACTAGCCTCGCGGGCCTCGTGATCCATGGAACCCCCCAAAAACAAACTACCCTACAGTCAAGTCGTTCCTGGATTCGGCCCACTTCTCAGTCCATAGACCGCTTATGCAGCATCGTGCCTTTTTCGCAAATCCAATGTCACCCCACTGAAGATCAGGGCAGAAGATCATGCCCATATGCAAGACGGAAACGCCCGGCAAACCTTCTCCCGGCCCGGATCTTGAGCCCCGGCATCATTTCTCCAGGCCCAGATATTTGCGCAAGGAAAGATCATCCCTGTTTATTTTCTGCAGGGATCGACTGGCATCGGGTTTTGCCAGTACTACGTAGAGAGTTTCCCCATCTGGTGTGTTGCAGACCTCACCCTGAGGCCGGTTGAAAGCTCCGCAGTAATCCCAGCCACCTTCTATACGAGCAGACCGAAGCCAGGCCCCACGCTCTCTCTCGACAACGCTCAGTGCTAGAACTTCTAGATCGTTTCAGGAGGGACGATCAAACCCAGCACGAAGCGTGTGCTGCCCTGTGCTCTCCACCCGTCCGAGTTGTTAGCCGTGTTCGCCCAGGGGGTTGTCGAGCATGTCCACCGAGTTGAAACCTCGATCGGGAGTCTATTCCTATTTTCTGCGCTGCTCACACGGCCCAACACTCTTAGTCTCTCAGGAAGAGGAGTCTGGAGAAGGTTCCCCCTTTCCCGCCCCCCATTGACTTGCTTGGTTAGGCAATGGACTGCGATCTAGTTCATTCTGCCGCGAAAGAGAGTAAGACATGTCGTTCGGCACGATGCTCGCATAGCCCTACAGCAGCGCGGTCCGCAGAAAATCCGGAGTCCGTCCGGCGATCGTCATGTTGGAGGATGAGACACGATGATGCGACAACCTTAACTTCATATAATGGGCGCGCGATCCAGTTTGAGGGGGTGAGAGGGGTGGTACGCTTGTAGATCGGCCGAGGCGAGGATAAACCAAAAAGCAGAAACCCATACTCGGGGCCGACTCCTTTTTTTGGGCGAAATTCAGGTACCCGGCTGATAATCGCAAAAAAGTTTCGCCGAGGTCATGTGGGTGTGGTAATGTTCTGGACCTTGGCGCTGCTGATTGCTTGCCAAGCTTTTGCATTTTGTTTGGTTTTCAGCCTCGCAACCACGGCCGCGCAGACGGGCAGGTCCTGCTGGTCAGTCTAGAACTGCTGATCTGTATATATGACATAACGGATAAAACGGTGCGGGTGAATCAGGGACCAGGTACCAGGCACCGTGGCGAATGGCGTGGGAGAAACGAAATGGACGAGTAGTCAAGTCCAAGAAGAAAAGGAAATCGCAGGGGAGGCCAGTACTTCGTCCGGCAGACAATCGGCAGTGGCATTGTACGGGAGGGTTGTTCTGCATGCACTCCAGACCATGGCGTCCGGGAGTCAGGGATCAATTTCCCGGATGAAATTTGGGTCCGCGATAGGGGCATGCTATACCCTCAAGGTCCTCCATTTGACTAATGTACCAAGGGAAAGATCCATTCTTTCATGCTACTGAGTACACTGCACAACTGCATGCACGATGACTGGTAGTGTACCGGGGATCCCCGTTTCGACTCGTCGGTTCTGATGTGTCGTGCACTAGACCGGGATGCCTCCACGGTCGGGATAGCCGGAAGCGATCAGCTCCAGCCACAGCCGTTTAGACACAGGAGCACGGTCGAGGGATATCGGAGTAATAGCAGAAACGGGGATTGGGCTGAGGGCGAGGTTAGTGCTGGGAGTGGGACGGGGCAATCCCGTTTCAATGGCTGCATGTAAGCGCCCACTGAGACTCTGAAACACCAGCCAGCGGGTGCTTCAAGTCCCAGCGCCAGTTTGACCTGCGCGCGAGGCCTTGGCGAGGCCGTCGGGGACTCCACCGGCTCGTTCCCGTTGGCCTCGCAGCGGCACCCTGGTCACTTTGGCCGGCGAAACGAGGAAGTGATCCCCTCCATATGCACAGACGTCCTGCAGTCTGGCCACCTAAGTGGTGGCGTATGGATGCATCGAATCAGGCTGGCTAGCCCGAGGACTGAGGCCCGGTTGAGTGCTGCAAGGAACATCTCTCTTTGGGCAAGCAAAGAGACGAAAACGAATAGCATGCATTGTTTTCCACTGGAGGTGTCCACCGAGCGAGCGATCCACTTCGGCCCCAGTGGGCCTTGTGGTACGGAAGGTACAGGGAACGGTATGGTCACGTATGGCGGATTACTCAGTATTGGTGTCCATTAACTGCAGATTGGTGCAAGGGATGGCCGTAACTTACACTTCTTACCCGTCCCAACGGTCAATACCCACCGGGCGCTTCCTACTGCTATGCAGCGCGAGCACTTATTCTTAGAGGCTGACGTTGTGTATCTTCTCCCCCCTCCCCTTCTTCCCTCCTCATCCTACTCTGTCGAGAATTCTCTCACCTTCGTTTCTTCTTTCCGCTGTGCGAATTCCACAGAGGCTGCCGGCTGGTCCACAATCTCTGACAACTCTCTTTCTTGTCTTTCTCTTTGTTGCGTTCGGAAAAAAGCACACGAGGCTGGCTCCTCTTCACTCTCAACGCATCACGAATCGGTAGTCGCGTCCCATCGCTCGTCCACCGTATCCAATAGTGTCTCCTACCATATTCCAGTCGCACGATCCCGCTTTCGTCTGTTTGTACGACTCGTTGCGCGCTTTCGTCTAATCTGATCCCTATTTGCGATCGAAATCAGTTGGTGAGTTTGCTGTGGTCTCTTCGAAGTGTCTCAGGCAGAGTCAGGATCCCGATGACCTCGCCCTTGTCTTATGCCTCCGGTCTTTCTTTGTTTGCAAACAGCTCTTATCTAGCTGCCTCTTCCCGACCGACTACTAATAAAAAAATCCCCAGAATAGCGCGTGGAAACCATGTATCCTCAACCGGGGGCTCCGATGCCTCCTCCGCAGAAACCGGAAACTTTCATGCTATCACAGGAAGCGCAGCAGAGCCTGCCGCATGATGCGCAAGTCGCGTTGCAGCAAGTGGATAACCGTACGCCGCCTACTGAGTCGGATCTGCAGGATCAATATTAACCAGCAGCGCAGTGAAATATTTCCTTTTGTCGGCTCCCGTCGACTGGCAACCGGACCAGCTCATTCGCCGTTTTCTCCTCCCCACGGGCGACTATGTTTCCTGTGTTCTCTGGTTAGTAGCGAGCCGAACAATTGCCGATCTTCGCAGCGAAGAGGCCGAAGAGGCCGAAGCTAACATGTAAATGACCTGTAGGAGCAACCTATTCCACATTTCGGGTACCGACATCGTGCGCTGTCTTGCTTTCCGATTCCAGGCGTTTGGTCGTCCCGTGAAGAACTCTAAGAAGTTCGAGGAGGGCATCTTCTCCGATCTGCGGAATCTCAAGGCCGGCACCGATGCCACTCTCGAAGAACCCAAGAGCGCATTCCTAGATTTCCTGTACAAAAACAACTGCATTCGCACCCAGAAGAAGCAGAAAGTGTTCTACTGGTACAGCGTGCCCCACGATCGACTCTTCCTAGATGCGCTCGAACGAGACCTGAAGCGTGAGAAGATGGGCCAGGAAGCGACCACAGTTGCCGTCAGCGAGCCCGCAATGTCGTTCGAATTCGACTCATCCCAGTCCCTCTACGAGCAGTTGACAAAGGCGCAACAAGCGAATTCTTCCTCCTTCGCTGCCCACGCAAGTACGACATATGGCCAGCCCAGTTCCCCCGTGGTTCGGACCGTTGACGCAATGCCTCCTCCCCAGATGGCTCCCCCAGCGATCCCGCTGCTCCAGGACGAATCGGGCCACCCGACGATGTACAGCGCGCCACAAGTGCCCCTGACGAACAACCTAGTCCAAGGTATCATTAAGCGTGAGCAGGATTACGGCCCCATCCACTACGATCGCAACGGAATGCCTGTCGCCCGCATCCACCAGCGCCATTCGTCCATGCCGAACTTCTACGAGTACTCGCCCGCGCCCTCCTTTGTCTCTTCGCAGTACGAGGATTACAGCAACCGCGGCCTATCCTTTGAACCGGTGACTCCCCCGCAGCACTCGGTCGGACTCAGTGCTGAGCCTGCGTACATCGCGAACGAGGACACCGGCTTGTACACTGCGATTCCGGACCTGTCGAATGCGCCCTCGTACAATCCCATGATGCAGCTGCCTCCGTCGAACTTCGCCAGTGGTCACTACCCGTCTGCTTCGCGGTCTTTCTCGTCCAACGCGTACTCCGTTATCGAGGGCTCCCCGACCTACAAGCAGCGCAGGCGCCGTCCGTCCGTCACTCCGGGTGCTTCAAGCATGCCGGGGACTGCCAACGGCTCTGCTCATGGTACCCCGGCTCCGCAACCGCCCACTTATGCTGCTCACCGACCCAGTGACCTCCGTCGATCGGTTTCGAGCTCCGTGGCTCCGGTGGCTGAGGGGGAAGAGGTCGCTCATGAGTACTCTCGGGCCTACCCTTCGATGCTCCCGCAAAAGGACCTGCTTCAGGAGATCTCGCGTCACGGGACCCCGCTGCAGAACTTGGAGGAGACCGTTGATCAGCACCAAGTGCCACTGAGCAACCAAGCGGACAACTTGGCAGCGCTCCCCACCAGCGCCGCACTGGAGACTACGGTTCAAAACAGCACTAGTCGGTCGGATCGGGCAGGCCCTGGTCCTGCCCGTCGGGCTCGAAGTGCGACCATGATGGAGCTGGGACCGTACCCTCAAAAGTCTCACTCATGCCCAATCCCATCCTGTGGCAGACTCTTCAAGAGATTAGAACACCTTAAGAGGTAAGCCATCAATTCTGTTTTTGCATCCTGCAGTCTCCCCCACCCTGAATGTGGGATCTGCAGTCTGCATCCTGTCATAATGTGACAATGTTTCAAATTGCCGCCGGTACTAACATGGGCGCGTAGGCACGTGAGGACCCATACTCAGGAGCGACCATACCCCTGCCCCTACTGCAGCAAAGCCTTTTCGCGTTCCGACAACCTCGCACAGTAAGCTTACACCGGCCCTTCTTCACGCCCTTGTGGCTTTTTCGATTCCCGTTGCTAACTTTCACCATCAGACACCGTCGTATCCACGAAGCCCAGCACGATGGCCAACCTGCCTTGACAGCTGAGGAGGACATAGAGAATGACGCCAACGACTTTGATTCTCAAGGCGAAGACTCGTCTCCGCCCGCGCATCCCGAACACATGGTCAACATGCCGCCGATGACTACGATGGCTACCACAATGAGTATTCCATCTGCCATGCCGAACATGGTTGCGTCCCACATGATCGCTCCTCAGATGCTCCAGCAGCAGATGTGAGAGGCTGGTCTGTGGGGAGTTTCTGCTTAGCGCCGTTTCATGTTTGTGGTTTGCTGGCACTTTGGCTTCGGCTCTACTGTCTTGTAATTTTCTTCACTTTGTTTACATTTCGAGATTTTGTCTTGTGTCAAAGTGTTCTGTCCTTGAATCACGCTCGCGATAGTTTGCGTTGCGCTCAGTGCTTTCGCATGGATTGTTCTGATTTTTTTTTCCCCCCTGCTTATGTTGGGATTCACGGCTGTGCTTTGGGTTAAGGTACAGCATCTTGTATTATGGTTTCGCCGTCCTTGGTGCCGAATCAGGCGCGGTCACGAATCTGTCTGGCTGGTACGGGCACATAGGGTCACATACATACCAAGGAGATCTGGACCATGGTATGTCGCTTTTTCTGGAATATCGGGTATCTTCTCAGAAGAAGGCGGTTTTGGATGCCGTTCACGCGGCTGGGTAAATTATAGACTACTTAACGAATTGACTTGAATACAAAATCGTCAAAAACCAAAAGCCATGTCAGTAGACTAGTAGAAAGAAAGAAAAAGCAGATGTCTAGAAACCCGTCTGGGGTCACTGTCGCCTCCGCGAAGCTGTCGATTGATCATGCCGCCGATTCCGAATACGTGATCGTCACGTGTGCTGACGTCGCCTACTGCTGAACGCCAGCGATCGCCTGAACGCCTCACACCTCCTATCAATAAGACACAATATTCAAGCCAGGGCGCAGCCTCGACACCATTTCCATCTCTCTCGTCCAGTGCCACATAATGCCCGCAGTCCCGACCCAGGCCTCATGACCCGGACACCTCCCCGTAACGCCAATTGATGATTTGTCGAGCGTCACAAGAAACACCCCTGTCGAGCTGGTCAGCAGTGCCCGATCGCTGCTGAAACCTCAAGTTCGTCTTCAAAGGCGCTCAAGGCCGCCTTGTATATTCTGAGATTTTGCACATTCCTCCAAGTACTATCCCGTGTGACTCAGGGTATACCCAAGGTACCCCCTGTACCTTAGCGTTGTCCTTCCCCGCGATTGTAGTGGGTCGCTTCCATCTTTATCTCATATCACCCCCGGACTTGACGGCATCAACAAACCATACACTGGATTATTTGAAGCGAGTTGGAGTTCTATGGGAAATAGCGGTACAATCAAGGACGAGACATCGCCTCTCATGGAGGAGGCGAGGCATGTGGATGTGGAAGAGCGAGTGGAGTTTGTGAGGGAGGAGGTTGATCATCATGAGTCGTCGAAGAGCGCTTGGTATCTCTTTTTACTGACGATTTCGATTGGAGGGTGAGTTAAGTCCTTGTTCCTTGTCTTTTCGCTGCATCTTGAATCTGGCATGTTGCTGACTCAATCCAAATATAGACTCCAGATAGTCTGGTCCGTGGAACTCTCTAATGGATCGGTAAGCAACCCCGAATCAAATGGTCGAACATCAGCCTTCTTGGCATTCTTTGAAAGACCTATGCAGGATTACTGACTGGGTTATCCTCACAGCCCTACCTTTTGTCCCTGGGCATGAGCAAATCGCTCCTCGCCTTTGTTTGGATCGCCGGACCCCTGACGGGAACGCTGGTACAACCCTACGTGGGCATCCGCAGTGACAATTGCCGGATACCATGGGGAAAGCGGAAGCCATTCATGATTATCGGCGGTGCCGCAACGATCGTGTGCTTACTAGCTCTGGCATGGGTACGGGAGATCGTTGGTGGATTCTTATCCATCTTCGGCGTCGATCGAGAATCAAATGGTACGAAAACAATGATTATTATCGTTGCGACCATCGTGATGTATGGGCTTGATTTCGCCGTCAATACTGGTATTGTTCTGTTCCTGATTTCGCAATTGCTTGCTTGTCGTGCTAATCCATCTCTACAGTACAAGCCGGGATCCGAGCATTCATCGTGGATAATTGTCCCGCCCACCAACAGGAACTCGCAAATGCCTGGGCGAGTCGATTGACAGGCGTCGGAAACATCCTAGGCTACATTTTTGGCTACATGGATCTACCAAAAGTCCTGCCCTTCCTGGGGAATACGCAATTCAAGGTCCTCTGCGTGATTGCGTCGATTTCTCTCACCATCACATTGGCAGCTAGCTGCGTCTATATCAAGGAGCGGGATCCACGACTCGAAGGGCCGCCCGCAACAGATGGTCTCGGTCTCATTTCCTTCTTTCGACAGGTCTTCAAATCAATCCGTGACCTGCCGCCGCAAATTGCGCAGGTCTGTAAAGTACAGGTCGCTGCGTGGGTGGGCTGGTTCCCGTTCTTGTTTTACTCAACGACGTATATTGGTCAGCTCTATGTGAATCCGATCTTTGCGGATCACCCGGATATGCCTAAGGATCAAATCGACAAGGCGTGGGAGGATGCGACGCGCACTGGAACATTTGCATTGCTCATCTATGCTGTCATCTCTTTTCTTGCCAACATCATCCTTCCGCTATTTGTAGTGCCTACTTATGGGCAGGTGTCTGAATCTTCGGTGGGCGGTCCGTCTCACAGCTCTGAAGATCCTGCGCATGGAGAGGAAGATGAGGAGCCTGTTCAGTCGCGACGAATGTCGTTTTCGGCTATGCCTTCGGGTATGGTGGCGGAGCCACTACTTGACGCTGGTCCGGGTAAGGACAGCGGCTCGAACGGAGGGCCGAGGTGGCTATCACGCCTTCAAATACCGGGATTGACGCTTCGACGCGTCTGGCTCTCTTCTCATATTTTTTTCGCGCTGTGCATGTTCAGCACGATATTCATCTCTTACTATCCAGCTGGCTCGATCGTGATTGGCTTTGTTGGAATCTGCTGGGCCGTGGCTCTGTGGGTGCCATTTGCCCTTATCTCTGCTGAAGTGGCTCGAATTGACGTCGCTCGACGATTGAATCTGCGTCGGACAAGAGTACCTCCAGCAGGCCAGAGCTCTACTTCTCACAATGGTGGATCCAATTCCTACGCTCCTGTCTCTGTTGAAGATGCAGAAGACGACCATGACGATCACCACGAAACCACTGGTGGATACGACCATGACCTCGAAAACGGCCAGTCGAAGCCTGCGCCAGAAGAGCAAAACAATGCACAAGCCGGCATCATCTTGGGTCTACATAATGTGGCAATTTCATTCCCACAGATTTTCTCCAGTCTCATCTGCAGTGCGATTTTCAAAGCTGCCCAGAAGCCTAGGGGAGAGCCGTGGGATGATAGCGTGGGATGGGTTCTCCGGTTCGGCGGATGTGCTGCGCTCGGTGCGGCATGGTTGACCAAGAAGCTCGCCGAGGGCGCACATTGATTCTGCACGGTAATCTCGGTTTCTTGCAGAACCAACTTGAATTTTCTTCTTTCCCGGTGATCTTCATTGGGTTTCATTTCGGCCCCAGGATATCCTGCAAGGGCAGACCGATGATGTAGTACAAGGTGAGGTGGGTCAGACCAGGCCTGCCTCGTTTGGAGATTAGATGTAAGGACTGCGATATGACACAACAACATAGTAAAATACCATTTGGATGAGTTATGTAGAAATCTGATCGCATCAATGAGTTCTGCAACACTATACTTAGAGGCAGGAGAGTATGGCATGCATGACGATCGCCCCTTAATCGCAGGCCAGCCCGCGTCTTGGCAGTTGCGCGGCCAGGCTGTGCCCACGTGTCAGATAACAGAATTACGCAAACAATACCGTCCCAATACGCCATTCAACCTTACTATTTCCCGCCCAAATGGCCCGCTGCCCCTCACAAGCTGGACCCTCTCGTATCTGTCCCGTTCGCTCGTATACCAGACCGCATCCAGCCGATCTGTCCCTCCAGCGAAGTCCGCGGATGCAACTCCAAGAACCTCAAAAGTCTTCCAACCCCAGCATCGGCCCTCCTTCCTCGCTGAATTCTGGCTACCGGATTATGCGCGCCTGGTCCTGGCTTCTTTGCGCCGGAGTTACTTGCCAGGTGTCAACACCCGCCCTCGAAGGTCCCTGATCGAGTCGCGATGGCCAGTCAACTGATGGGCGATGCCGCCTTCGCCCTGTTAAGTATGTGCACACTCGGAGTCAGGCGCTGGCTTCTTTGGTCTGAGATAGATTCTAACGTTCTTGTTCTTGTTCCAGGGCGAGCGGCGGAAGACACTGATCCCGATGGTACGCGTTCACCAGCCAACCCCCTCCCTCTCTTTTGGAGGCTCTCCCGACGTGGCGAACTAACATATGGCGGTGGGATACAGATGCGCCGGAAGCGGGCTCGAAGGAGATTACCAGTTCCTGGGCACTGTTCATCATGATCATGCTACTGATGTTCGCCCTCTTCACGAGCTACATCCTGCAGCAGAAGAAGATCCAAGCTGTGCACGAGACCGTGCTCTCCATCTTTGCGGGTATGTGAAAAGCCATTGCGGACGCAGGCAAATTCCCATTGTTCCTGGATATCTATCAAATGGATCATTCTGACCCTTTACTGCCAGGCATGTTCGTCGGTCTGATCATCCGACTCACGCCCAAATCCAACCTCCAAGATAGCGTCGCCTTCGACTACCAATTCTTCTTTAACCTCCTTCTTCCTCCGATTATCCTCGCTTCCGGGTATGAATTACATCAAGCGAATTTTTTCCGCCATATCGGCACAATCCTCACATTCGCTTTCGCCGGAACGTTCATCTCGGCCATCGTGTTGGGTTTGGTTTTGTATCTGTGGACGCGCATCCCGCTAGACGGACTGAATATCTCTTTCGTGGAGGCTATTTCCGTTGGCGCGACGCTCTCCGCTACTGATCCAGTGACGATTCTCGCCATTTTCAATCTCTACAAGGTCGAGCCGAAGCTCTATACGGTCATTTTTGGCGAGTCGATCCTGAACGATGCTATTGCTATTGTCCTTTTCGAGACGGCACAGAAGTATGCCGAGAGCGAGGCCGGCTCCTTGACTTTTCTCAACCTGTTTGAGGCTTCGGGACTTTTCTTGCTCGTTTTCTTCGGCAGTATGTTGGTCGGTATCGTCGTGGGCATTGTTACGGCGTTGGGTCTCAAGTATACTTTGGTCCGCCGCATGCCGAAGATTGAGAGCTGTCTCATTGTCTTGATTGCCTATGCTAGTTATTTCTTCTCCAACGGCGTGCATTTGTCAGGTGAGTGTTTTGACCTATATGCAGTAGTTTCAAAGCTAATATCTTTCTAGGCATTGTCTCCCTCTTGTTCTGCGGCATTACTCTGAAGCACTATGCATACTACAACATGTCGCGCCGCACGCAGTTGACCACCAAATACCTTTTCCAGGTCATGGCGCAGCTCTCCGAGAACTTCATCTTTATCTACCTGGGACTGGATCTTTTTGTCGAGTCCAACCTGCAATTCAACCCCCTCTTCATCCTCGTGGCAGTCTTTGGAATCTGCCTTGCTCGCTACCTGGCCGTTTTCCCGCTCTCAAAGGCCATCAACTGGTTCATCCGCTACAAAGCTCGCCGCCGTGGAGTTGAAGTCGCCGATGAACTGCCCTTTGCCTACCAGGCCATGCTCTTCTGGGCTGGTCTGCGTGGTGCTGTCGGTGTTGCATTGGCGGCCGGTCTGACTGGCGTCAATGCGCCTGCGCTGCGTGCTACCGTCCTCGTCGTTGTCGTGTTGACAGTCATCATTTTTGGTGGCACCACAGCACGCATGCTCGAGATTATGGGCATCCGTACCGGCGTCGTTGAAGAAATTGACTCTGACGACGAATTCGATATCGAGGTCACCCACGGAGGTACCTACTACAAACGCTCCGACACAGCACTGGGCTACACCCCTCGCGCCGACTCCACCATCCCTCTCGATGGCCTCGGTGGATCCTCGCGAGCGGGACTCGGCCAGCGTGCAGACAGCTACTCGTCTGGCAACAACCAGCGACCTAGCCCGCCTCACGGCCACACGCGGATGTACTCAGCCGCATACAGCCAAAAGGACGCACAATCGCGACGCGACCGTTCATCCACAGCAACTCTGCTAAACGGTGGCGCCAACGTAGACGGCCATAGCCCCAGCATCAACGGCAGCGACGACGAATTCGGCCTCCCGCCCGCAGGCAAGAACCAATCGACAACAGTCGCGCATCCAGACGAGTTCGACCTAGACCTAGACGCCGGCTCAGACGACGACCTGCCACCCGCAGCAAGCAGCTCATCTCGTCTCCGCCGCTCCCCGTCACACCCAACCCCCACAGGAACGCACACCCCCTCGCCGAACCCAGGCCCCTCCGCAAGTGTTTCCCCAGCCCGCCGTGAGCCAACCCTCAGTGCCCGTGACGCCCTTCGGGATCTGTGGCAAGGCGGTGCCTCGGGCGACCACGCCGCGTGGTTTAGGCAGCTCGATGAGGATTATATCAAGCCGAAACTTCTGCTTGATCAATCGAACCATAAGGGTCCCGGACCTGGGGCTGTGTGATGATGACCTTATACACTGGATACGCATCTCTTCGCATGGTTTTATCTGTGTTTTACAATATGAATGTATATTAGCCTTGTTTGAACGTTGGGAACTTGCACTTATCGTAACAAGATTTTGTGGCATTCTCTCCCCCCGATGTGTCACTACCAGTGGCGGTGCTTTTGTGTTGTCCTTTACATTTCCTGCTGTGCGGGTAAATTCAACTAGATGGGCAATTGTGAGCTGGATGAGCTAGGTATTGCTGTACGAGTCTAGAACAACGTGATAACAGCAGGGAGCATGCATCTCAAGCTGAACCACATACAATGCAGTGTCACTATAAAAAGTTCCTCGGGAAATTCATATATCTTGCTCTACACGAGCAAGATAAAAGCGCTATTACTAGAATATAATAAAGATAAAAAATGCGAGTCAGAAGCTATCGCTATTGAGCAAATTCGCCTCAGTGATAAGAGGTTGCTGGTTGGCTGGTTTCTGCAACAGGAGAGGATATAATCCGGTTAGCTTCTTGGACCGAAGCGGGCTTGGGCGTTGATAGATCGTAATGTAAGAGAGGATAGGGGGAAAAGGAGGTGATTGAAGTTTGTACTTGTTCTTTTGCAGGAGGTTTTGATGACTGTGTGGAAGGATCCAGCTCTGTGAGCTTTCGCTTCCTGGGAATCAGGCTAGCCAATCGACCTTGCTGAAGTCGTTCCGATTTCGTGTGATGATGGATGTGGTATTGTGACGTCCTGATCTCAGCGACACCAGGCGGATCACTGGCGTTCGAGTGCTCGTGGTGGAGTTGGAGTTTGAGCGGACTACCCTGCTTGCCTCTTTTGGGTAACCAGCACATTGGCTGTTCTTGGCTTTGGTATGGTCCTCCATCGTGCGATTGAGAATACCAAAACAATTCGAATCTCAATCCAAGAAGTGGATGGGACGAATGGGTTCCAATTGGAGGGCAACTGCTCGAGTACACGGCAAGGCCCAAAGCCTCACGAAGCAGGTGTGGGGTGCATCAAACTACAAACTGGGCCCCAGATCAACCGCTCTGCGTAAGGTATCTATCTTGAAAGGCAGGAGGTCGTTCCCATTGCGCCCTGGAAACAACTCCGTGGAATGTCCCTTTATTTGACTGGAATTTGCCCGCCCCGCGCCTCGAAGATATCTTCGCTTTGCATGTTAGGCATTCCTTCCCTGTTGTATCAAAGAGATACAATTCGACAAGGTCGGACACTTTTCCAGCAGCTGAACGATGCCGGACTTGAATGCGCTTTCGCATTATAGAGTAGATTCATGTCATCGTGTGGTTTCTTTAGTGTCTCTGACCAAATAGGTTCAAAAAACAACGTTCACAGTTTCATGACGACGTGGGAAGCTGATGAAGATGTGGAAATCGGGGTTATTTTTTATAATCACGATACGGGCTGCAGCCTGACTTGAACTGAAGACTGTACAGTGTGTCAGTGATTGAAACTTCATCGACCGTATCAGTAGGAATGGTGATATTAGGTAACTGTTCAGATGACTGTCCAGCTAACCACTCAGGTGGCTGTCTGGGCGACTGTTTTGATAACCGGGAGAGCTTTGGCCACTAAGACCTTCTGTAGATGTTGCAGCAACGAGGGCAATAAGAGTAAGGAGAATTGGGGCTAGATCGACCATCAGCAACCCAGCCCAAAAGATCACCAAGCACGCGACTCCACCCGTGAATCCGGGGTAGACCCATCACAAGCTTTGACAATAGGCCGAGCTTCGGGCGCCGTCCCAAACCAAATTACCCAAAACGGATGCAAAGACGAGAAAACCACGAAAACTTACTACTGAGTCGATCTTCGCGATAACCAGCGATAATAACGGAATTTACGATCTCCTTATCAGCACCAACCAGACCAACCCCAGGAAGCCCGAGACACTCCTATCTCCATATTGTTATCGCGGAATCCCTCCCCTCCCTTTGGGCAATCCGCCCGCGACTCAACCGATAGGCTCGACCAGCGGGCAATTCCCCGCTTCAACCAAAACAGCCATGATTGACATGCCCTGTCCTCCCTCTGTGCTCTGCCTGTCGCAGCCACTAAAAGGCTATCCCCGCATCTGTCTCGCCGGACACTTTCCACCCCGAGCCTGGATCCTCGATACTTAGCGGTGGCACTTATCGGTGCCGAATGAGGAGGATATGACGAGTCTGATTGGGCCCCAGCCCGTCTGAGGGGTTGACGGGCTGTTGGATAAATCAGGCAGATATTCCACATTGTCAGAAGAGTTTGTTGACTTCTTTCTTTCTATAATTCGGATAGACATATGTGGACTTAGGGTAGAGGTCTGCTGAATTGTGATCTTGCCCGCTTATACCGCTCAGATATACGGTCACGGGCCTCATTGCCTCTCTCACCTCTGTGCTGGGCATATGTTAATCAATCCACGACAATTGCCCCCAGAATTCTGAATCCCCGAATCTCACCCACTATCCACTGCAGCCACCATGGCAGATGTGGTGAAATCGCTCTCACGCGATGAAAAGCCGCCATCGGCCGTCGAGCACGATGCTCCAGCCGAGGCAGGCGACATGGAACTCTTGGGTTCGTCCATTCACCCCGTCTCTTCCAATACTCATAGTGAGTGCTTGAGCTAACCGAACCAGCAACACTGGGCTACAAGCAGGAACTACGACGCCATTACTCGACAATCCAAATCTTCGCCGTGGCATTCAGTATCATGGGCCTACTACCCTCCATCGCGTCGACACTGTCTTTTTCCATGCCGGCTGGGCCTGTGGGGATGGTTTGGGGCTGGTTGGCGGCGAGTTGTTTCATTTTCATTGTTAGTTTGGCGATGGTATGTACAACACCCAACTTCAGCTTCCTTGACTCTGTTGAGATGCTAATTGTTTCTTTTTCTAGGCTGATATGGCTTCCGCAATGCCCACGGCCGGCGGCCTTTACTTTTGGACACACTACTACGCCGCAGAGAAATGGAAGAACCCGCTCAGTTTCGTTGTGGGATATAGCAATACCATCGGGTTAATCGGCGGTATCTGCTCAATCGACTGTACATTGCCCCCACAAACCCCATCTAACTGTTAAACCCACTCTAAATGAAAACAGACGGCTTTGCAAACATGCTCCTCTCAATGATCTCCATAACGCGCGACGGCACCTGGTCTGCAACACGCCCCGTAATCTACGGCACATATGCCGCAACCGTCTTCGCACACGGGTTCATAGCAATCTTCTTCGCGCGGGTAATGCCAAAGATCCAATCCGCCTGCATCTTTCTGAATATCGCACTGGTAATCGCAACCGTCATCGCGCTGCCGATTGGGAAAGCACAGAACAACCCGCCTGTCAACTCAGGCTCGTACGTCTTCGGGCACGTCGAGAACCTCACCTCCTGGCCGACGGGCTGGGGCTTCATTATGGCGTGGTTATCACCCATCTGGACGATTGGTGCATTCGACTCGTGTGTGCATATGAGTGAGGAGGCGACGCATGCAACGCGGGCTGTGCCGTTGGGGATTGTTTCTTCGTCGGGGCTTTGTGGGGTGCTCGGGTGGTTGTGTTTGACTGTTATTGCGGCGAGTATGAGTACGGATATCGAGGGGGTGCTTGGTTCGAGGTTTGGGCAGCCAATGGCTCAGGTTTGTTTCTTCTTCTTCTTCTTCTTCTTTTTTTTTTTTTTTTTTTAGTTGGGTTTGATGCTTATTGTTGCCAGATCTACTACGATGCCCTCGGCAAAAATGGCGCCCTCGGATTCATGGCCGTTAACGCAATCGTTCAATTCTTCATGGGACTAAGCATCGTTCGTCCATGCCACTCTCCATTCAAACCCATGAAAATTAAATCTAACCCTCAGCAGGTGCTAGCCGCCTCCCGCCAAAGCTGGGCCTTCTCCCGTGACGGCGCCCTGCCTTTGTCATCCTACTTCCGGAAAGTAAGCCAACACAGTCTAATGCGCTACCAACCAGTGCGAATGGTCTGCGGCGTAGTAACTGTCACCGCGATCATTGGCCTCCTCTGCTTAATCGACAATGCCGCCTCAAACGCCCTTTTCTCCCTCGCCGTCGCAGGCAACGACCTCGCCTGGCTAACCCCCATCCTAGCGCGTCTCCTCTGGGGCGAGCAGAAGTTCGTGCCGGGCGAGTTTTATACTGGCCGCTACCTCTCGAAACCTATTGCGTGGGTTGCGGTCGTTTATATGGCTTTTGCGATTGTTTTGTGTATGATTCCGACTGAGGGGCCTCGGCCTTCAGGTGAGTTCAAATTGTTTCCTTACTAGCTAAATGGTTTCCGAGAATTGTGAGGTTTCCCGAGAGGATGTGCTGACCGTGGACTGTTCTAGTAAAAAACATGAATTATACGGTTGTCATTAATGGGGCACTCTGGCTTGGGGCACTGCTCTATTATGCGCTTCATGCGAGGAAGACGTTTAAAGGGCCACAGACGACTGTTTCGCCGGAGGATGAGGGGAAGAAGGTTGAGGATTCTCAGTGATTGTGTCAGAATCTTGTTTCTTTGAATATTATCTTTGAATTGTGACACTCCTGCCTTGTTACACTATTGTATTGCTACCCAAGACATTTTAGCTGAATACGAAATCTGGGCTTGATGCTATTTATGACTGGCACATGCATGTTTAGGAGGAACTCGTACTTGCTGTATAGTGCTCGAACGCCTTGGGATCTAGGCCTGAGTCTTTATGTGATTCAGTTATGTGAAAGCCAAGCTTTTTAGTTAGAGAATTACCACCAGTAAATTTCTGGGCTTTGCTCCATGCTGGTGTTTTCCTGTAGGAATGCGTAGACTGCCAAGCTACTGTAGTATAGATACCATGCTCGCCGCTATTCTACGTTTTGGGTCTGCTCAAGTGGAGGTTGATTTCATTTCTTATCGAATGTTCAGGATAATGTATCGACCAGCATCATGCACATCATTTTCAGTCGTGCTCGCTTTGAACTAGGCTCTACGGCCATGTAAGATGGTGCATTTACTCCGGGATCTCAAGGACGTAGCGACCAGCAATCTTGCCATGCTCTGTGAAATCTGTTAGCATTTTTCAGGCAGTATATGGAGCGCTCATTACCCATCAGTTCAAAGATCTTGGGAAGGTCCTCCAGAGGAGCAGTCTTGAACGGGGCGTTGATCAAGCCGCGGGCGAAGAAGTCGACGGCCTCGACACCGTCCTGGCGGTTACCGACATAGCTGCCCTTGATGTTGATCATCTTGACGACGGTTTCGAAAACAGGAGCCTTGAGGAAGGCATTGGCGGGGAGGCCAATGGCGACAATGGATCCACGGGAACGAGCATACGCGACAGCCTGCTGGAACGGCTTCTCGGAGACGGCGAGGAGAAGGACAGCGTGCGCGCCTAGTCCTTCAGGCGTGGCGGCCTTGACATCCGCAACCAGATCCTTAGACTTGGTGAAGTCGACGTAGACCTATAAAATATTAGCACTTATCAAGTAAGATGCAGATACAGATGCAAGTATACCTCAGAGCCAAGCTTCTCACACATAGCACGCTTCTCATCCCCGCCATCAATCGCAATAACCCGCAGTCCCATCGCCTTCGCATACTGTTGCGCCAACGAACCAAGACCACCACCCGCCCCAACAATAGCCACAGTCTGTCCGGGACGAGCACCCGACTCCTTCAACCCCTTGTAGACAGTGATACCCGCGCAAAGAATAGGCGCAATAGCATCAAGAGCAACGTTGTCAGGCAGCTTGGTCACATGCGCCGCCTTGCCAATCACATACTGCTGGAACGTGCCGTCGACGGTGTAACCCGAGAGCTGAGCCTCCGTGCAGAGCGGCTCATCGGCCGTCTTGCAGAACTCACATGTCAGGCACGAACTGTTCAGCCACTTGATACCGGCATGGTCGCCGATCTCAATGCCCTGGGCCAAGTCGCCCTTGGCCACGACGATGCCTGCGCCCTCGTGGCCGCCGACCAGAGGGAGCTTTAGTGGGAGCGGCCAGTCGCCCTTCATGGCGTGCAAGTCGGTGTGGCAGACGCCGGTGTACTTGACTTTCACGAGGACTTCGTCGGGGCCTGGCGTCGGCACAGGGATTTGCTTGTAGATTGGCGGGCCGCCTTTCTTTTCGACGACTTGTGCCCACTGCATCTTAGGGATGGAGTGCGCCATGGTGGAGATATGCTTGTAGATAGATGTAGGTGTAGTTGTAGATGGATGGAGTAGATGGAGATGGACCAGGAAGGGGTAGGGATGGAGTGAAGAAGAGGTGGAGAGGAATTGGGAAGAGGAGGGACAATCTAAAGAACAGGCAGGAGAGTAACGTACGGCCGCCTTGAAGGTCGTCGTGCCTGCCGGATTGGCGGTGGTACCACCAGCCGATGATGGCCACCCGCCGCCGCCTTCCTGCTTTCACCTTCGATCCGGCCTGTCCGGTTCCTGATCCACGGCGATTTTCTCTGTGTCATACTGATGGCTGATTACTGATGCTATTCATTGACTGTTGACAGCTACGCTTCACAATGATTTCCCGGGGTCTCTGGCTGTCCCAGCACCAGCAAGGTCGGGAGGTACTTCTACCAGCATACCACCTCTAGCCCATCTCACGACCGTCATCGAATCCCTCGACCCCGCCACCTTTGGCCCCATCCACAATCGCAGCAATGAGCTGTCATCATCCAGGACTGACGTGCAGAGGCGTGTCTCTGGAGCCAGGCCCTGAAACAGACATGCATGGTACCGCACCCCCACGAAGATCTCTACAGTGAATGGCCAGGCTGCGATATCAGACTGGGAAATCCCCAGAAATTGTCCGGCAGCTGCTGGCAGCAGCAGCAAACTGACTATCTGGGATATTCCGGCGGAGTGCGCGCACAATGGCGACGAAATCTGTGACGGGTGAGAGCTGGAGTTGAGGACGTCACCATCGTCTCTCCACATCGAGCTCGAATGTTCCCCTCAGATTCGACTCCGCAATCAGCCCATCCTCGCAGCTTTATGCGAACGGGCGTTCAATTCCCCGGGTTCGATGGGTTTCTGGTGGTGGTCGTCAATATGATTACCCCAAGATAGTTACTATATTAGGAGTGATTCTCGTTATGGTCTGGCTTGGGGCCAGACAGGTACTGCGCACCTTGCGGGAATTGCGGCTGATCGACGCTGGGTCAGTGACAGTGGGGATTGTGCAAACGAGGGGCTACTGCGTCTGTGAAAGCGGTGCTCGCAGCTGGTGTTTCTAAGGATCTGCTCTCGGGTGATTCTGCCCCGGTCAGCTGGGCCTCGTCGCATGGGCCGCAGAAGTACTGAGGGCGAAGATTCTAGAGAGGGTGCTGGAGATGAGACTGACTTTTCTACTCAATTTGAGAGGGCGCCATGCTGTTGCTACTACCGTTGCTAGCATTGTCTGGCAGTAGCTGGCTATACACAGTACTATAGTGTGCTAGGAGTATACTGAGCAGGCGGGAGGCGGGAGGCGGAAGTACGGGATCGGCCGCGACGAAATCTTCGGAGCTGCTGGAAACTCAGCAACCGGATGGCGATCGTGTTGGGAGTTTAATGCCTCATTTTTGTGTGTGGTTGTTTCATGGCGTCTCTGAATTCTCGTACTCCTTGTCGCATCGCACCCGATCGAGGCTGACAGTCGGCGCGTCCGTGCTGCACCTCCACCGGGGTTATTTGTATGCTTCGCACTGAGACAGCACCCGCCACCAGCAACGGAGCCATCGGCGGACCCAAAGAATCCTAGATAAGCAGAATAAGAGCAAACGCTGTAGACATGAGAATAAAGAAGCCCAGCGGCCTCGATCCAGCGTAGCCCCGATGCCGGCTGGGGACTCCTCCGCCGCGCCGACGAAGCATTCAACCTCGACCAGCAGCTCCCCTTAATCCCTTCGCGCCCTTCCCCTCTCCGACGCCATCATCATCCTTTCCCCATCCCTCCTCCACCTCCGCCCAAGGACCACAGCCACAAGGAAAGTAAAAAAGAACGGCAGCCCCACCCGGTCTTTCATCGCCATCGCCAACTCGTCCTCCCTGCATCCTCGCCTAGCCCCGGCCGCGCATTCTCTGCTTGCTCGGCCACAAAGATCCTCCTTCCTGCAACTTCCCACCACCAAACGAATCCATCCTTCCACCAGGTCCGTCCATCTCCCCTTCCACGCCTCCACCGGTCATCAGCTCCATCCTGCTGCCCGCCATTCGTACCTCTACCACAACCCCCTCCCAAAACCCTCGCTGACGTCGCGTCCGCACTAGACCTCCGAACCCCCCTTGACACCCGTCCATGGGCACTACCCGCCGTCGCTGACGTGCTCTCTGCCCAATTCCATCTCCTTTCCATCCTTCTCGCTCCAAGAGTCCTTGCCGCGCTTGCCCGGCGCAGGGGGACGCGGCCATCATGACAGGCGCTCCGCCGTACAACGCCCAGTCCCCGACTCAGCAGCAACGCTACCCGTCCTACGAGTCGTCGCCGAGCAAGAACCGCCCCTTCTATCCGAACAATGACCAGCCGCAACAACCGGGTCAGCAGCAGTATCCGCCGCATCCTCCCCAGACGCCCCCGGCTTTCCCTCCTGCCTCCGTTTCGCGCAGTCCTCGTTTCTCCCACGCGTCCTCCCCGATGCCCGGCTCGCTTCCGCCACCCGTGAACGGCGCTGCGCCGCCAGCGCACCCGTCCCATCCAGAGTCATCGTCGCAGTATCAAGGCCATTCGGCCAGCGGCACCTCGTCTCTGCCGCCGCCTCGTCCCTTCTCAAGCTCCATCTTGCCCGGCAATGGCGCCTCGCCCTACGGCCCCTCTACGCCGCATGGACACCCATCGGGCCGGCCAGAGGGTCACTCGCAGTCACCGGCTCGTGAATCGGAATCTCCGTATCACGTTCGAGGCAACGGGGCCGGGTATGGGAGCGCTACAGCTCAAGAGCCTCGGCGTTCCCCTCCTCCTAGCGATTCGCGGACGGAAACTCCAAAAGCAATGGTGAGTCCCGCTAAAAAACCCAAGTTCACATTACCTCCAGATTTTCTGACCCGATTTCGAATTTTCAAGCCTGCCCGAGCGGCCGATCCCATGTCCTTTGCAAGCATTCTGTCCGGACCTTCGGAAGACCAGCCCGCACGAAAACCGTCATCACAGCCATCCACCCCAGCTGCATCTGCGCAAACGCCGTCGCAATCGGACTACCGTAATCGTGATGCGGGGCCTACCCCAGGGACATTTTATCATAAAGCCGACAAGATGCCGCAAGAAAAAACGATTCAGCGGGAGCCATTCACTCCCAACGGAATCGCTCGGTCCGATCATGCGGACACCATCCACCGCGCACCGCAGCGCAAGCCCCTCCCGCCGGGTGTGGATGCGGAATCAGTGAATAAGGCGATGGCTGAAATTGAAGCTGGCGATAAAAGCGACCTGGAGGGACCTGGCTTCGAGGACGAATTTCAACGTTATCAAGAAAAGAGTCGCAAGAGAGCTCGAGAGAGCAATACTGCTGAACGAATTCGACGCAAGGTAATTATTTTTCCCACTCGTAGCAAGATAGTTTCGACTAACTTATTTACAGCGCCGCCGCGGTCACTTCCTGGTCGAGCTCGGTCGAGCTTTCGAGAAACAATCCATCCTTGGCAACGAGCGTTTCCGAGCAGTCAACGAACCTGCTGTCGTCGCCGAGGTGCAGCAAAAAGAGATTCAGGACGAGAAAGAGCGCAAGAAGGACATGCAACGCAAGCGTCGCCGCGAGAACACGGTGCGCTTGGAGATGCAAAAGAAGGCCGAAGCCGAACGCAAAGCGGACAACGCTGCGGACTCGGCAGAGAAGGCCAAGTTCCTCCGTGAGGCCGAGAGAGCCCACAAGAAAATCAAGTCCACCAAGCGTGCCCTGGAGGGCGGCAACGCGCAGGACGAGCTGGGCGAGGTCACTCCTCTGGCTCCCAATCTCGAGGGCGGTACGACCAGTTCCTTCTCCATTGGCCGCGGTTCCCCGTCCCGCCGTCGCTCTGGACGCGGTGGGCCTACCACTCGCCCCAAGAAGTCCAAGGAACAGAAGCAGGCCGAGAAGGACGCGGCCGAGGCTGCGTATCTGAACGGCTACGACGACGACTCCATGTACTACACTCCTGCCCGCAAGGGCGGTCGCTCCAAGGAGAGCACTCCCGTCCAGCTGCACTATGACAGCAAGGGCTACAACCAAATCTACGAGCAGATTTGGCGCGACATCGCTCGAAAGGACATCCCCAAGGTCTACCGTATCAAGACCGTGTCATTGTCCACCCGCCAGGAGAACCTGCGCAAGACAGCCCAGCTGGCCAGTAAACAGTCCCGCAAATGGCAGGAGCGGACCAACAAGAGCACCAAGGACACGCAGGCTCGCGCCAAACGTACCATGCGTGAGATGATGTCCTTTTGGAAACGCAACGAACGTGAGGAGCGTGACTTGCGCCGGATGGCAGAGAGACAGGAGCTGGAGTCGGCCAAAAAGGCCGAAGCCGAGCGCGAATCGAACCGACAGAAGCGCAAGCTCAACTTCCTTATTTCCCAGACCGAGCTGTACTCTCACTTCATTGGTCGAAAGATCAAGACGGCGGAAGCCGAGGCCGGTGGAGATGGAGTCACGGGCTCCGACGAGACGATCCAGCCCGGCAAGGAGGGCGCACACACGGTCAATATGCCCAACAGTGTGGCTGATCTCAATGCCAAGGTTACCAACTTTGAAGACCTCGACTTTGATGCGGACGACGAAACGGCTCTCCAGCAGGCCGCCATGGCCAACGCCCAGAGTGCCGTCCAGCAAGCTCAGGACCGGGCCCGTGCCTTCAACCAAGAGCAGCAGGATGGTGATAACATGGCTGCCTTTGACGAGGGAGAGCTCAACTTCCAGAACCCTACCAGTCTGGGTGATATCGAGATTTCGCAGCCCACCATGTTGACGGCTAAGTTGAAGGAGTACCAGCTGAAGGGTCTTAATTGGCTGGTCAACTTGTACGAGCAGGGTATCAACGGTATCTTGGCCGATGAGATGGGTCTCGGTAAAACCATCCAGTCCATCTCCGTCATGGCCTACCTGGCCGAGTTCCATAACATCTGGGGACCGTTCCTGGTTATCGCGCCCGCTTCGACTTTGCACAACTGGCAGCAGGAAATTGCCAAGTTCGTGCCGAATCTCAAGGTCCTGCCGTACTGGGGTAATGCCAAGGATCGAAAGATTCTTCGTAAGTTCTGGGATCGCAAGCATATCACCTACACCCGGGACTCGGAGTTCCATGTGCTGGTGACATCATATCAACTGGTTGTCCTTGACGCCCAATACTTCCAGAAGGTCAAGTGGCAGTACATGATTCTGGACGAGGCTCAGGCCATTAAATCCTCACAGAGTTCTCGATGGAAGAACCTGCTCGGCTTCTCCTGCCGTAACCGTCTTCTGTTGACCGGTACACCTATCCAGAACAACATGCAGGAATTGTGGGCTTTGCTGCACTTCATCATGCCTACTTTGTTCGATTCTCACGATGAGTTCAGCGAGTGGTTCTCCAAGGACATTGAGTCCCACGCTCAGAGTAACACCAAGCTCAACGAGGATCAGCTGAAGCGTCTACACATGATTCTGAAGCCTTTCATGCTTCGCCGTGTCAAGAAGAATGTCCAACAGGAGCTTGGCGACAAGGTCGAGAAGGACATCTTCTGTGACCTGACCTACCGCCAGCGTGCCATCTATGCCAATCTGCGGAACCGAGTCAGTATCATCGATATTATCGAGAAAGCTGCCATCGGAGACGACAGTGATAGCACTACTTTGATGAACTTGGTCATGCAATTCCGAAAGGTCTGCAATCATCCTGATCTGTTTGAGCGTGCTGAGACCAAGTCTCCCTTCTCCGCCGCATCATTTGCGGAGTGCGCCTCTTTCGTTCGTGAGGGATACTTTGTTGATATGCGCTACTCGACCAAAAACTGCATCGAGTACGATTTGCCGCGTATGCTGTGTGGTCCTGAGGCCCGCATTGATATGCCCGGACCTGGTAATGACCGTGCCGGTTTCCGGGGTAAATACCTGACTCATATGATGAACATCTGGACACCGGAGAACATCCAGAAGAGTTCTCGTGAAAATGGAGCATTCTCATTCTTACGCTTTGTGGATACGTCTGCTGGGGAGGCTAGCGAGTTGTCTCGTCTTGGTCCCTTCGAGCGTGCCCTTCGCCAGGGCGATCGACCTAATCGACTCTCCCGCCTGAATGTCAGCTACGATTCTGATTCCGAGAACGGACCTTTGGGAAACTCGGTGTTGCCGCACTCCATGTTGAACATTGTGGACCGCAATGATCGACAGGCCCTTCGAGAGATTGCCAGCGAGGGCCGGATGCGCAACCTCATGAACGTCTCTCGCGCTGCATTCGAGGACCAGGGTCTCAACCTCATTGAGCCCTCTGCTGTTCCCAAAGCGTCCGCGCCGCCTATCATTGTTTCTGCCTCGGGTATGCAAGCGCGACGCGAAACCGAGCGGGATTTGTTCAATGCCAATATCCGACAGGCTTTGTACGGTGTTCCCGACCGGCAGGTCGATGAGCAGATTCTGGAGAAGAAGATTGACCCTGAGCCATACTCTCACCAACCTCTTCTGCCGGCGCCGCTCTCCCTCAAGGGACGCTACACCAACATCGAGGTCCCCTCCATGCGTCGCTTCGTTACGGACTCCGGCAAACTGGCCAAGCTGGACGAACTTCTACGCGAACTCAAGCCGGGCGGTCACCGTGTTTTGCTGTACTTCCAGATGACACGCATGATCGACTTGATGGAAGAGTACCTCACCTACCGCAACTACAAGTACTGCCGACTGGACGGAAGCACCAAGCTCGAAGACCGTCGAGACACAGTCGCCGATTTCCAATCAAACCCGGACATCTTTGTTTTCTTGCTTTCCACCCGTGCCGGTGGTCTGGGTATCAACCTGACAGCCGCCGACACCGTCATCTTCTACGACTCGGACTGGAATCCTACCATCGATTCCCAGGCCATGGACCGTGCTCACCGTCTCGGTCAAACACGCCAAGTCACCGTCTACCGCCTCATCACCCGCGGCACGATCGAAGAGCGCATCCGCAAGCGTGCCCTGCAAAAGGAAGAGGTGCAGCGCGTCGTCATTACCGGAGGCGCCTCCGGCGGCGTCGACTTCAATACCCGCGCGCCTCGCGAGAACCGCACCAAGGATATCGCGATGTGGCTGGCCGATGACGATGAAGCCGAGCTGCTGGAGAAGAGGGAGCGCGAGGCTATTGAGCGTGGCGAACAGATGAATGCCGCCAAGACCAAGAAGGCTGCTGCGCAAAAGCGGAAGCGTGATCTTACGCTTGAAGACATGTATCATGAAGGTCAGTCCCCACTCTTTCTGTCATAATATCGAAACCAATTGCTAACACTTATTACAGGCGAAGGCAACTTCGACGACCAAAGCGCTAAACCCTCCGGCACCGCTACCCCCATGTCCGAGGATACCCCCGTCGCCGGAACCCCGGCCAAACGCGGCCGGGGCCGCGGTCCGGGAAAGGGCACCTCTAAGCGGGCGAAGACGATGAAGGAACGTCTCCGTCTGATCGACGGGGATGGCGGTCTCGATTAGCCTCCAGTGCCTTAGTGCCTTGGCACCTTGGTGAATCGATGCAGATGCGGAGGTGGTTTGTTTCTAATAAGTGCAACTGCAAATGGGTGACGGCGTTTGATAATTTCCGATGGAAAATTTTGTTTCTCCGATTTTCGTTTTGAACCTCATGTTCTCATCCGTTGATGGTCTTTTTTATGAGTTTTGAGGTTTTTTCTTTTCTCAAATAGGGCAGGCAGGTTTGTGCTGCAGTGTATTATCATACAATACTTTTTTGTTTATTGGGTCAGTAAAAAGTGCGACTGTACTAAACATCGCTCTAGTTTCCTCAAGAGGGGTTTCTTACGGCGGGTGCTGCTTTTCGGGTGTGCTTTGTTTGCTAGGAGAGGTGACTTTGAAGCGCTACGTACCCTGCCCCGGTGTAGGTGAGTGTTTGGGTGAGTGAACTTTTTATGTGAGTAATGTTAAGGTAAGACAGCGGTGTACCATTCGGTTGCGATAGATCTGTCGTAAGATCACTTTCAAATTGATATTGTTTATGTTCGTGCGCTAATTGATCCATAGATTAGCACCGTTTGGAAAATCGCTAACTAAAAATGTAGTGCGGTCAGCTGAACTATAAAAAATTCGACGCCACTTGGTACTTTGACCAGGTCGGCCGTCCCCGACATACACATCTCCGCAACATCGGATGGAAGTGACATATCATGTCACTACACTCATCATATGTGATGGGGTTACAATTGGTATTTATTGAAGGGAGTGCCGTATTTCAAAATATCCATCTCATTATCAATAGTGGATCGGAAAATTCAGCCCCTGGCACATGGATCAAATCTATGTACGACCCGCCGCGGATGCCGTTTTCCTGGAGCACACGCCACTCGCCGCATGTGCCGGGGCCGAGTAAATGCAGAGACAGAGCCGAGTCAGAACGGCTTCACGACTGTGAGATTTATGCATTTTCCGTTGGAAACGGTAACATTCCCCGCACCGCGTCCCATCTAGGCAACAAGGCATTCGATCCTCGTGTTTGACCAGCCGGAATGCGGTCCCCGCGATGCGCGTAGAGTTCCGCCACCGCGTTAACCTCGGGCCAGCAGAGTAAAAAGGTGATGACTAACGCGCATGGCAGCCCGTTTACCCGATCGGGAAGGATCTTCCGAGTCTCACCCGCCAACCACACGCCGCCGTTTGTAATCCAGCTGAGTCATGTCCCCCCGCCCTCCGGATTGATTTTCAACTCCTGCAATTCTCCCCTTTCCTTTCTACACCGAACATTGTCCTCTTGTTTTGGCTCCAATTCAGTCCACTATGGAAGCCATGCTTCAGCAGTCCCGGGCCATGTGCCCCTTCCTCAAGCGCACCTCTCCCACCACCCTGCGCACCCTCTCGACGGCCACCCGTCCTAGCACCGGCGGCGGCACTATGTCCAATCTCCAGGTTCTGGCCCGCCGCTGCCCCGTCATGAGCAAGGCTCTAGCTGTGCAGAGTGCCCGTCTGGGTGGAACCAAGCGTTTTACCTCGTCTGCTGCTGGCGTGTCGACCGTCAAGCCGTTCCAGGCTCCGACTGGCAAGCGCGCATTGCACACGACCGGCGGCCACCCCGCCAGTGCCGCCCCCGCAACCTACAAGAAGAACGAGCAAGGTATGCATAACGAAAAGCCGCGAACTTCTCGATCGAATATATCCTAATTGATCCGCTAGCCCACCCCAACCTCGCTCACCTTCGCTCTGCCCCCGCCGCCAATGCCGCGGTCCGCGGTACCCGCTCCGAAACTCCGGCCTCCTCTTCCCGATTCGATTATAATGCATTCTACAATGGCGAGTTGGAGAAGAAGCACAAGGACAAGTCGTACCGCTACTTCAACAACATTAACCGTCTCGCCAAGGAGTTCCCCCGTGCCCACACGGCCTCAGCCGAGGAACGCGTGACTGTCTGGTGCTCCAACGACTATCTCGGTATGGGCCGGAACCCGCAGGTCCTCGAGTCCATGCACCGCACCCTCGATACTTACGGTGCTGGCGCTGGTGGCACCCGTAACATTTCGGGCCACAACCAGCATGCTGTTCACCTGGAGGATACTCTGGCGAAGCTGCATGGCAAGGAGTCTGCACTGGTATTTAGCTCGTGTTTCGTCGCCAACGATGCAACTCTCGCGACTCTCGGTAGCAAGATGCCTAACTGTGTGATCCTGTCTGATAGTTTGAACCACGCGTCCATGATCCAGGGTATCCGTCACTCTGGTGCGGCGAAGATGGTTTTCAAGCATAATGATCTGGAGGACTTGGAAGCCAAGCTGGCATCTCTTCCTCTGAACGTGCCGAAGATCATCGCCTTCGAATCTGTTTACAGTATGTGCGGATCGATTGCACCCATTGAGAAGATCTGCGATCTTGCCGATAAGTACGGCGCCATCACTTTCCTGGACGAGGTCCACGCCGTCGGAATGTATGGTCCGCACGGTGCCGGTGTTGCCGAGCACCTCGACTACGACGTCTATGCCTCGCAGGACACCGCCTCGCCCAAGAGCACCAAGGGCACCGTCATGGACCGCGTCGATATCATCACCGGTACTCTGGGCAAAGCCTACGGCTGCGTCGGCGGCTACATCGCCGGCTCATCCGCACTCGTTGACACCATCCGCTCGCTGGCCCCCGGCTTCATCTTTACCACCTCCCTGCCCCCAGCAACCATGGCCGGCGCCGACACGGCCATCCAATACCAGGCCCAGCAACCGCGTGACCGCGTCCTGCAGCAACTGCACACCCGCGCCGTCAAATCGGCCCTGAAGGACCTTGACATTCCCGTCATCCCGAACCCATCGCACATCGTGCCCTTGCTGGTCGGAGACGCCGAGCTCGCCAAACAAGCCTCCGACAAGCTGCTCGAGGAACACGGCATCTACGTCCAAGCCATCAACTACCCCACCGTCCCCCGCGGCGAGGAACGTCTGCGCATCACCCCGACCCCGGGCCACGTCAAGCCCCTGCGCGACCACCTTGTCCAAGCCGTGCAATCCGTCTGGGACGACCTCGGCCTAAAGCGCGCCAGCGACTGGGAAAGAATGGGCGGCTTCGTCGGTGTGGGCGTTGAAGGCGCCGAGGCTGCCAACCAGCCCATCTGGGAAGAATCCCAGCTCGGCCTCGCCGCATCTGAGTCCCTCGAGTGTGCCATTACCCGCGAATTGGACTCGGCTGAAGCCGAGATCGAGGCGCTTGCGAAGACCCTGCCGAAGATGAAAACCGGTACTCCGCTCGGTAACTCGCCTCTTGCGTCGACCCCTGTTGGTGCTGCGGCGTGAGTTCCTGGAAGGGAATGACTTCGTCCCGTTGGGACTCGGTAGATAATGTGTGACTTTCTTTCTTCACATATCCCGCCCATTCTTTTGCATAGGTTGTGGTTTGTACTTCCAATGGATTTGTATAAGTCATCTAACCTGCATATTCTACCATATGACATTCCATGTTTTTCATGGTCATACCCCGCACCTTTTTTTTTTTTGGTTCCCCGGTTTATATCTGGTCTTGGTCATTGCCCACTTCTCGCCCGGGCTCTGATTCTACTCTGGCATTGGGCTTGAGTGTAGGATGGTCTTGACGATTGGTAAAGTTTGTCTGCACAGTTGGTGGTTGGATCGAGTCAATGCATATCAAATTCGGGGACAACCTGTTCTCTTCCTAAGGTGTAAGTTTCAGTCGTAGTATCACTAATGCTGTTTGTAGAGCTTGCGACGTGCTGGTGTGACTGCATCGGTAAGTATCCATGGATTCCTTTGGCCCGGCATAGTCGGTTCTCTGCGATTATGAGATGCTCAGCAAATATACTCCCGGAATAGCGGGTTTACGGTAGCTGGAAGTGTCAAGCGAAAATTCAAGTGGTGAAATGAACGAGGCAGTCCAGATCATGAATGTGGAGCATGGAGATACCTATTGGGGGACAATCTGTGGTATTTCGCTGATCAGACGGACCTTCCATCCATTTCACAATGTTTATTCTACCACAGCATACGACAACTGTATTCAACCAACCCGCCCTCAATAAGTCTTTCGAGATATATACTCTTAATTTGAAGTAAGTCATACAAGCATTCGCCTTGGCGGTGGCTTTAGCCTGCACTGTGGATCCTGTGGATCCTGGAGTATCCGGATTCTGGGTGGAGTCTTAAGCTTCATGTTGTATTCGATTGTGTCCTGTTGTGGAGAATGCAGGCGAGACTCGAAGTGGTTTGTTGCTATATAATGCGCCAGACATCATTGTGGCTTGAAACAAGTTTCGGGGTGGGATGGCTTGACACTTCTGTATCTACTATTAATGTGAGTATCTGACTGAGGTTGCTTGGACTACTAGTAGGGTTTCAAGGCTTTCTCGTCATGAAAAAAGTTGGGAATATAATCGGGATGTTTCGAAGCTTTTATTTTCTGCATAGATAATTTACTGTGGTCGGGATAGGTAAGAATGTTAGCGTGGTACTTCCACTTCTATTGATGACTAAAATAATGCCGCTTTTTTTAATACAGCAAACTGTAATGAAACCACTACAATACATAAAACTAACATAGTAGTTAATAGGGGGTATGCCCTCCCTGCGCATCAATCACAGCCTGGCAGCGCGCCTGCATCAGATCAATCTGCTCATCTAGGAAGGAAGTAGGGATTGCGTCCCATGCAGCCCTAACCGCCTCACGCAGTTGATCATAGGAAAGCTTGCGATCCTGAGCTATGAGATATCGACCTCCAATCCAATCTTTCATATAGTCCCAAAGCTGCTCCATTGGATTAAGATCAGGCGAATAGGGTGGCCAATCAATAGGGAAAATGCCACGTTCATGTAGTTCCTCAATCGTTAGAAGATTTCGATGTGAGGGCGCCCCATCTTGCATCACGATTAGGTGTGTACCTGAATCACGACACATAGTGACCATCCCATGGATTAGGGGTATAATTCGCGCTGTATATGAACCGCTATTGATTGAACCCCATTCTTTCACCCAAAATAGGCAAGGTCCTTTCTCATTCCCGTAAAATGATCCCCAAAACATCCAACCAGGTGCGTGAGACACCCGCTCACGGACACAGGTATCCTCATATTCCTCACCAGCTTTACGCGTCACATAGATCCGTTGATGATAAATTGATGTGACCCAGGTCTCATCGGTCCAGAGTACCTTTTTCCATTGCTCACGGGTCCAATTGACGTGCTCCAAAGCCCAGGTTAGACGAAGGACTCGTGTACGTTCAGATAATGGAGGCTTTCGGAGTGCCTTACATCGATGATATCCTCGCCTTGCTAAGGCCTTTCGTAAGGTCGCCTTGCAAACTGGAAGATGTAGTTCTTTAATAACCATCTCAAAAGGCATCCGTCGTGTTTCCTTTGAGGAAGTAATAAACTCAATTACTTCATCAAGCTGCTCCTCAGATAGCTTGCGACGTTGGGCACGAGGTTTACGTGGCGTAGGCCTCTCAGAACAGGCTATCTGGACCTGGCGTTGGGTAAGCCCTGTCTGGGCAGCAATGTGCGCGTACGTTTGATTCTGAGCGCGTAGTGTACGCGCTTCAAGACGTTGATCACGAGACGCCCAACGAGAGCTGGCCCTAGGTGTCTGTGGGTCTGTCTGAGGTTCCTTCCGGTGGTTCATCTGGGGGGACTGCATAATAAGTTGGCTAGTTGGGTAAGTAGGTGCGTAAGTAAGGAGGTAGAAGAGAGAGGGGACCTTGAAATAGTAGGGTACTAGTCTAGTGCTAATTAGGAAGGCGGTTGTAGAGGAAATTCACGGCGTTCAAGGACAGAAGTATCACGCTAACATTCTTACCTTTCCCGACCACAGTAACTTGCGAGAAGCGGTACAATGACAATTGCCGGGGAACACTTAAGCGGTACATCTGGGGACATGGCATGGGCCCTGAATATCATTACCAAGCAAATAAGAGCCGATTTCCATAGACTAATCAGATTCCTCTGGATATACTGGTAAGTACACCGGTAGGGTAATATGGCTGATCACACGTCTGCCAGCGGGTTCAACCGGTTTGTACCGAGATGTAACGAACCACGATACGTGGGTCTGAAAGCACACCACCCACCATCATAACACCCGGACTGTGCACTACAGTAGTAGTGTATTCGCACATGAGCAACTCTCGGGCGCCATTATCTCCGTCCCCAATGGGTAATCTTCGGCTTTCAGCTCAACCATGGTATTCAAACGGCGCCTCTGATGAACAAACTCTAAAGCAGGATCTGGCCAGCGTTCACGAATGCTTGTGCTTCGCATAAATCGAACCAAAGACATTCAGAACCACGGAAGAAACACCCAGCGTGGTCGGATCACAATCCCGATGTAATTGGCGCCTGGAGCCAATTTCTGAAAAGAACGATTGGCCTGATAAAGCGACAACTGAACTATGACAACATTGCACTGACCTTCTCTTTTCGTGACCCGCCCCCGTTACACACATACAAAGCCATTGGCGAGCAGACGCACCGCTGTTCGGAGTAACGAAGCAGTGGAGAAAGCCTCTCTATGAATTGACGTAGTTCGGGCCAAAATGACGTCGATGTCGGCAACCCGACCCCGGCCGGCGCGGAGGCGGAGACAAGAACAGGTTTTGCCGCCCTGTTAAATCCTTTCCCTGCAACCTCCGTCCATTCACGTTATGAAAGGTGGAGACGGTTCCTGCGCCGCAGCGCTCTCACTAACGAATCTCATGATGTTCTCGGATTGCAACGGTCGTCTCGGCCCACGGAGGACGGCCGATGGGCCACGCCCTGTCCTGTTCTGGCCATGTGCCAGGATACACGCGAAGGTGTACGCACTGATCCAGGTTCCACTCTCATCGTCGAGATGAATATAAATCTGTCTTGGGCGTCGCGGTGTGCTGTGGTGTTCTGAGATTTTCCCCCATCCATTTTCCCCATGGTCTAACACCCCCGAGTCCACTTTATACCCGACTCCATACTCCATACTCCATACTCCACCCTCCGCAATATTGTACATGTTTCTTCGTTATTTGATATAGCCAATTGATCACACTATCTTGCCACATGGCTGCTCCCAACTATCCCCCACTCTCCGAGAAGCAGGAGGAAGAGCCAAAAATACATAACCCTGCCACAAAACAAACGGGAAAGAAATCCGCACGGGGAGACGACGCCCACGCCGAACATGCCTCCGACTCAGAAACCTCGAGCAACAGCCACGGCCCCCAAATCGAAAAGTCCGGTGAACGCAAACTCACCGAAGACGACTGCTACGATAAACTCGGTTTCTGCTTCCCCTGGTACAAGAAATGGACCATCATCTCCGTGATCTTCATGGTGCAGATGTCCATGAATTTCAACACAGGCGTCTACGCCAACGCCGTAACAGGCCTGACGGAGGAATTCCATATCAGCGAACAGGCTGCGAGAGTGGGCCAGTGTGTTTTCCTCGTCGCATACGCATTCGGATGTGAGCTGTGGGCTCCTTGGTCTGAGGAATTCGGTCGCTGGCCTATCATGCAGCTCTCTCTGTTCCTGGTGAACATCTGGCAGATCCCCTGCGCTTTGGCGCCTAATTTCGGTACGATTGTCGTCTGTCGTGTACTGGGTGGTCTCAGTTCGGCCGGTGGCTCAGTCACTCTCGGTATGACGGCCGATATGTGGGAACCGGATAACCAGGGCTTCGCCGTGGCATATGTGGTGCTTTCTTCTGTGGGAGGCTCAACAATCGGTCCTGTTTTTGGCGGTTTCATCGGCCAGTGGCTTACCTGGGAATGGGTCTTCTGGATCCAGTTGATTGTCGGCGGATTCACCCAAGCACTGCATTTCTTCTTAGTCCCTGAGACCCGCGCCTCAATTCTTGTTGACAAAGAAGCGAAGCGCCGTCGCAAGGCCGGCGAGGAAGAAGTCTATGGACCAAACGAACTAAAGAGCCCCCGCCTAGACGTCCACGAATTCCTCGCCCTCTGGCGCCGACCATTCGAAATGTTCCTCCGTGAACCAATCGTCCTCTTCCTCTCGCTCCTATCCGGTTTCTCCGACGCCCTAATCTTCGTCTTCACTGAATCCTTCACCCTCGTCTTCGAACAATGGAACATGAACACCCTCTGCATCGGCCTAACATTCTGCTCAATCCTCGTCGGCTACCTAATCGCCTACTTCATCTTCCTCCCCGACGTCTACCGCCAAATGCAACTCCGCAAAAAGAAGGCGCAGCCAGCCGCTACGCCGAGCGCCGTCTGCTCCTCCTCCTCTTCATCGCACCCCTGGAACCAATTGGCCTCCTAGGCTTCGCCTGGACCTCCATGGGCCCTCCAATCCCCTGGATCGCCCCGTGCATCTTCGCCTGTCTAATTGCCATGGCCAACTACGCAATCTACATGGCAACAATCGACTACATGGTCGCGGCCTACGGACCGTATTCTGCGTCCGCGACTGGAGGCAATGGATTTGCGCGTGATTTCCTCGCTGGTATCGCGACCATGTATGCTACGCCAATGTACTCGAATATCGGGCAGAAGTACCATCTCCAGTGGGCGAGTACCATTTTGGGATGTGTGGGTTTCTTGGTGCTTATTCCGCTTTATGTGTTTTATTGGAAGGGTCCGGAGATTCGGGCGAAGAGCAAGTTTGCGCAGCAGCTTGCTGCGGATCGGGAGAAGCATACTGAGAGGAGGCAGAGTCAGCTCCGGTCTGAGAATGCTTAAATTTGTTTCTGTGTCTGGGTTGTTTGAGTTATAGATTAGATTTAATGTTACGAGCAATGACTATATACCATTTGTTTATCTTCATATTTCCTCCCCTTGGGGTCATTTTATCGTACATTCAGTGGAAACTGGACAACTCTTCACTTGAAAAGAGAATTGATTCTGGTGATTGGCTGCGCAATCCCCAGGTTCTTTCATACACGCTTGAAGCTTACGTGGGGGCCGGATAGAGTCAGAAGGTCTCCTGAGCTACCGGGAAAATACGCCGTGAGTCAGCCCATAAGCAGGTCCGGGAAGGTCGTCCGCAACTACACTGGCCTAGAGGCTTAACTTTGCAACTACTTGGCTGATCCTTGCAAGGCCTTATGTGCCTGTCGTGTGGGGGTTCGTCAACCTGGGGCTGGCTCAAGCAACATGGAGATCTTATTCGGCCGTTCGTAAGCCCTTGCCCAAAAGATATGTCTGACAGTGCAGGTACAAACTAGTCCGGGCACTTCAAATTTGGTCAATGAGTGCTTGAGTGCTGATTCGTTGTGAGAGACTAACCGAGCTCGAGGCATTTTCATTGCCGACTATGCTGACACTGATCTGTATTGGTTTCAGCAATATTCTGCTCAGGAATGATATTGTGTTCACGCTTTTAGAACAATCTTTTGGGTTTGGTCAGGAACTGTACATTCCTCGAAATTGCAATCTCAAATATGGGATGGATTCCTTGATGGCAAGTTCATCAAAATCTCAGTCCAGTCAGGTATCTTATCAGTCGTCACTTTTACAGGATGCCACGCTGGTGGTTATTTCTTTCATGTCCTGGTGTAAAGAAATTCAGCATGTTTCTTCAAACATCATCTCTGGGTGTTTCCTCGATCTCACCTGGTCGGCTTGGGGCCGAGAGTAAAACCTAGCAGTCCCCACTGATGATCATTCCTGAAGACGATAATCACTTCCAATTGAAGCCTATCACTTCTATAAATCCCTCGGTCTCACTCAGATGCATCTAGCATCAATGGGATAGCCCTGGACAGTCCTAAGGCAACTCCAGAAATTTATAAAAGCACCTATCTCTCCTAGCCCAACACACATCTCATCTCATCCATGGAAACCATTCCAAACTTCCATCCAAACAAATCAAACATGAAACTCCTCTCTCCTCCCCCTCTTCCTCGCCAGCACCCTAGCCGCGGAAGAAACCTCCTGCAAATCCTGCTTCCCAGCCCCAAGCAGCGACTGCGTCGAGCATCCGGACAAATCCCAACAGACGGCTCAACCCTCGACGACAACTCCAACAAGCTCTGGACCTCGGGCTCCTGCACTATCGAGTTCATTCCCAACGGTGGAAGTCCCAATGGAAATGACGTGCTGGGCATTGCACAGTCGTTCCTGAGTGACTGCTGCTCGGGCGATAGCTGTTCTGGCGTTGCGTATGATACGGAGTCTAGTACTGCGCTCCAGAATGGATGTCTTTGTTTCCATGGGGAGGGGAAGACGACTTGTATTTGTGGCGCTGGGACTCCTTCTATGACTTGTATTTGAGGAGCGTATGGAGTATACTAGGTGGTGAGTGATGATTCCTGGTATGGGCTTGTGGTGCTGATATTCATTAGTGGTGATACACTAGTCTAGTCATGAGATTGAGCTGTTATACTCGAGCTCCATTATCTTTGAATGCAACTGGGGTAGACTGAGATCGCTAGTTTATAGTACTGTATTACACTGTGAGTAAAGCTATCTTATGTTATAATGTTCAAGCGAACTCGTTGGGGCTTAGTAGATTCTCTGTGTATTAGTCCATTAATGTTTAGTGTAAAATAAATTGAGAGATTATGATGGCATCAATTTTTCTTCTCGGGTTACATCCAATATCCTCTCCGTCAGCCACTACCATATGAGGGGTAAGCCGACTAAGTAATTCTCTATCAAAGCCACTAACACACAGTATACTGTTAGAGTATGCCCAGAAAAATGAGATCTAGACCCCGTGTTAGCCTTCTAAATATGGCGGCCAATAAAATGAACGTTTGAAATGAAGCCGTTGTTATGTATCAACATTCTCTGTCCATGCTATTTGTTTTGATGCAGTAGTAAATGTGCTGTTCGATACTGTAAATTTTCGAATCGTTTGATACATGAGCCGATCGATCTACTGCAATCTACCTAGGTACCGCGCTAGCGTACCGCTGACCAGAAAACCCTCACCAAATGAAATCGCTACGTATTCCAAAGCCTGGGTAGAGACGAGAATAGATTAGGAATTAAATGACTTTTTTTGGAAAGCCAGATGAAAGTGTGTTGACGCCCCCTGGCCTTAGGTCCCTCAATGGCGGCGGCGTGCGCGGGTTGTCGACGCTATACATCCTGAAAAGGTTGATGGATGGACTGAACCATGCACGCCCCGATGGTGCACCAGCAAAGAAGCCTTGCGAGGTGTTTGACCTGATTGCCGCAGCACAATGGATAAATTGATCCAGTCTGTCTTCTAAAAGCAATGGCTAACCAATGCAGATTGATCGCAATTATGCTGGGCCGATTGGCGATGGATGTTGATGAGTGTATCACGGCATATACTAAGTTCATGAAACTGTCAAGCCATTTGAATCGGGAATATCCAGCATTTTTGGCAAAATCAAGCCCCAATCTGATGACCGCAGGCTCAAGGATGCAATCAGCGAAGTCATTCGCAGCTGCGGAGCTGAGTATCTATTAGTACACTATTGCTGCTACACTTTAACTCATCCTTTTTGCTGGTCTTTCAGGCGCCGAGATTACCGTAACCATGTGATGTGACACACTCTTTGCCAAAAACCACATCCTCGTCTCTTGTCATGTTTTAGATACTCAATAAAATCTATGGCCAGCTATTATGGTGCCAATTTCGCCATCAAACCCTACCTCAACCACTTCAACCAAGCAACAATGTGGTCTTTCTATATTGGCACCTAGATAAAGCTTACGACGGCAACGAAATTTTGGCAAAGGACAAAATCACTCGGTATCACATCCATGGACATAAGAATATGCAACAAATCCATTCATATATAAACATTTTGAAGAACCAATCGAACGCCGGATATATCACAAATGGCATAATACAACCATCTCGCACCCGCCATAGGCCAGGCAAACCGCTACAAACAACGAAAAAGCAACACGTCTAAGCCCGACCACCACGCTTAACCTTAGGGAATTCAAGCGGAATGCGCAAGCGAGCAACACGGCGCAAATTCGCTTCAGCCTGACCACCCTTGACATTCCATTTCTTATACTCCTTCCGAGAAGGCCTCTCGATGCGGCAGCCCAGCTCGCGGAAGTACTGCTGCATGGTGGCCGAATCGAGGCGCAGGTCATCGCGGAGATCGGAGGGGTCAGTTGCGAGTTCGTTGGGGAAGTTGCCGCCCAGGGAGCTGGAGCCGCCGTCTTGCGCGGGCGTAGGGGGATGTGCAGTGACAAGGCGCAGATGGTGGTGTGGAGGAGGGTGATGTCGTGCTTAGTGAGGGTGCTGCCGTCGGAGGCGAAGCGGCGGCGCACGGCATCGACGATGTTTTCGGGGAGGAGCTCGGAGGTCGACTCTTCTCCCTCGCTGGGGGTGGCGCCGGTGGTGTTGGAGAGGATCTTGCGGAGGAGTTCACGGGGTGGCAGACGCTTGCTGTTGGGGCCGGAGGAGGCTTGCCGGCCAGCGCCCTTGAGGGAGCGGGCGAATTCGAGCAGGAGCTGGATGAAGCGGAGGATTTGCAGTTGGGTTTGGTTTTCGGATTTGACGACTGCCACGACGCGGTTCGAGACGTATCGTGAAACAGTCACGACTGCAACGCCGGCTTCCACTTGCTCCTTCCACTCGCTGACGCCGGTCAACTGGCGCAGAGTAGAGTGGCCGCCGGGAACCAGGTTTTCGATAGGGTAGACGTCGTTGGGATGGGCAGCAGTAAGGTTGGGAGTAGGTAGGGGTTTGGCTGCTTGGACTTCGGCCTGTAATTCGGTGGCTTTGGCTGTGCCGGACAGGACGTCGGCCGGCATGGATGACATGAGGGCGGCACCGGCCTCGGTGACGGATCCAGCAGGCGCGCTTGACAGCTGGGCATTCTCGGCCCTGGATTGCACCATTTTGCGGGATTGCTTGGTACCGAATTCGTTGGTGAGGGCCTCGCGTTGCGTCCGCATGTTGTTCTAGTGTAGTTGTTAGTTTGGCCAACCGACTGACCATCGACAGAGTATACGGGACATACCATCTCATCTTCGGATTCCGAGTCTTCCTCAGCCTTGCGTGCGCGCACAGCGCCGCGGAGGGTGACTCGCCGGGCTTCGATGAGCTGCCAGGTCTTTTGCTCGGGGTCCACGACGGCAACGTAGTGCTTCAACTGAGAGTCCGCATCCTCACCAGTTCCCTCGCGACCAATGAAATCCATCTTTTGATGCTGGGAAGATTGTAACAGCATCTCCGAGGATACAATGCCAGGATTGCGAGCGATTGCGGCGGACTTGGAGACATTTCCACGGGACTTGATATACGGGTCCCAACGAAGAGACTTGGTATTCTGAACACCTGGGGTAGTAGCTGCAGAGAGTTCAGCATTAGCAAATCGAATTTCAATTCTCTTCTGGTAACTAGCACTCACCAATAACCGGCGCCAGCTCGCTCTTATCCTCGACGACACTAGCTTTCAGCGGGGGAAGAGCTTGCAGCTCCAAGGCGGGTTTTTTGCTGGGGCGACCATTGATATCGGAAGCGCGCTTGCGCTTCTTTTCGGTCTTATCGATGGGCATTGTGCAAAGAGGCCGTAGAGACCGCAGTGACTTTGAATGCAGCTCGAGGTATCTCAGTGGAATCGATGTCAAAAGTTGTCGGCAGAAAAATTCCCTAGCGGCGATTATGGGGCAGGCGGTGAAGGGTTCCGCACAAACAAAATTGGCGTCATAAAGTCTCATAAGGCGATAACAATATGCAGTGAGCATAGCGATAGCCTCAAATATCTTTTCTTATATTCTTACGAGAATACGGAAATAATACTGATAGTCTTCGTCAAACCGTGACCAACGAAAAGCTACAAAAATGGAAAAGTGATGCTTGTGCAAATATTTTGGTATTTTAAACTCTCGTAAAGAACCTCTCCATGGCCCTAGACCTGGCGAAACGAATTGCCAGGACTAGAAATTGGGTAAAATTGACCAGTCACCGCAATGCCAGGCTCAACGACCAGTTCAGATCCAGTAGGAATAAGACGGGTCCTCCAACCCTCTTCCTGAACACAGGAGTCTCTCCGAGAAAATAACATTGCCTGGCGACAGATCGATCGACGTTCAATGAATCCGAAGGGATTGAAAGAGTGAGAGGAACGGATAGTGTTTGAACAGCGGATTCCATCGACCGATCTGTGGCTTCGTCTGGGGGCGGCGGAAACCATGTCCGGGCAAGCAACTCGATAGCGAGAGACGTGGCACGATAAAAAACGAGAAAGAAGTCGTATCATCGATTCATCAGTTGTCGTGTTCAGCGTTCAAACATGAGCTCGACATGGGAGCTGAGATGGTGAGGGGCGAGTAGTTTATTTGCTAGAACAGAGTTAGTCAATCGATTTCTTTTTTTTTCGAGATATGCAACTCAATTGCTGCATAATGCAGGAGGAACTCACGATCTGGCGCGCATCTTTCTTCTCTTGCGCTTGAGACGGCGAACGCGCTTCTTTCTCCACTTAGCTCTCATCTTCGAAGAGGGTTCGAAACTGGAGGGGTAAGTCAGCAATCATGTCCCAAAGTTCGAGCTTGGTCCTTGGATCCTTGGATCCATTAGGGGTGGCGACTCACACTTCTTTGAGGATGAGGAGAGATGGTTGAAGGAAAGACGAAAGTGCAGCGGCCCGTGTATTTGAAGTGGGCGACAGATTCGCTAAGCGAGGGCCGCTAGCCGCTTTGGGCAGCCATGATGTATACGACACGTGACGGATGGAAGTGCTTGGAAAACTAGGGTTCACGACGGGCAGCACATACGCTCAATATCCCATCGCTCGTCAAATTATTAATGGAATTGGTGAGAGATTTTATTTTTGTCGATGCATTATGTTCGTAGGTTTTGATATTAAAGTGGCCCAGCTGAGTCCAAGCCCTAGTACATATGTTCATATCCTCAAGTGTTTGAGCGTTAAGTCATCGATGCCGTCCAAAAACGGAAAATGAGTTCAGCAATCCATTAAAAGTGTCCATGGAACCGCAGCAAGTGGTACTTGGTCAAGCTGCGTTCCCTTCCTCCGAGCTTTGCTCTAGTAGGTGTACTTATAATTGGGTGCCAGGTCACCTAGCATCTCCTCCTCCGAGTCCGAAATCGCATTCGGGTCCACAGCGGCAAGTTGCTCGTCCTTCTTCTTGTTGTCAAGCCATAGAGCCGCAACGTAGACGAAGATCGAGATCACGGTCAACCCGCAGAATCCGACACAAATAGCGTATCCCGTCGTAAAGGTCTTGTTGTCCGTAGCAAACGCAAAGGTGGAAATGATACCGCCAATGTTGCCAAATCCGACCTGCCAGGCAGTACCCACGCTTCGTCGGTGGTGACCACCAAGGTTCATGGCGAACCAGCAGACAATGACGGGCATGGCGCTGTAGCAGCCGGAGGTGACCAGAAACAGTGCACCATACTCGACGTGGTAGCGGTCATGGATGCCCAAGAGCATGCCAAATCCAGCCACGGCTGCCGCGATCGGGATGAGAGTGAAGACAAATCGATGGCGCAGACGATCGGAGAAGTATGCGATCACCATCGAGAAACCAAAAGCCACAGCCCATGGCGGGATGGAGTAGAGCTGGGTTTTGACCGCTGCGAGCAAGTGTTAGTAATGATATCGCAACAGTGGAGAGTCTTGTACGTACAGTCATAACCAAAGCTCTTGATAATGGTAGGAGCGAAGTAGGCGTATCCTGAGAAAGTCAGCATGTAATGATATCGAAGAATTGGACGAGGGCAACCAACCGTATGCCGGAACAATCAAACCGAAGTACATGAAGCCACCAACAATGACCTTCCCTGCAGGAATTGTTAGCGCATTCGGAACAGAATACCAAACTCGGGCAGAAGCTGCACTTACAGTCCTTGAATACAGCCAGAACCTCCTTCATTCCCAGCTTAGCATGATGAGCAGACTTGCCGACGTCTCTAGCCAGCTTCGCGCGAACAAAAGCACGCTCCTCCTCGGTCAGCCAAGAGACCTCCTCGGGGAAATCCGACATGAAGAAGAACAGGATCATCGCAGCGACGGAGGTAATCACGCCCTCAATGATGAAAACCCAGCGCCAGCCCAGGTACCCGCGAATTCCCTCCATCTGTCCAAGGCCGTATGCGAGCAGGCCACCAAATGCGCCTGCCAGTGTCGTCGAGCTGAAGAAGAAACTGAAGCGCTTCTGGGCCTCGGTTCGAGTGTACCACATACCCAGCAGGTAGAAGCCTGTAAATAAGAAGGTCTATTAGCGCAATTGTTCGGGTAACACTGCATTGGGAAGAGGGCGACTCACATCCGGGGAACATGCCCGACTCGAAGACACCCAGGAAGAATCGGGTGGTCATCAGTCCACCCCAGTTCGAAACGAATCCCTGGCAAAGCATAACAATTCCAAACATGAACATGCAAAAGGTCACTAAAAGCGGAGTTAGTTCAATTACTGCTTCATCCGAAATAGAGCGCGGGAGACATACGCCAAACATGAGGCTTGAACTTTTTCAGCAGGATGTTCGATGGAATTTCGCAAATAATATACGGCACGAAGAATATAGTCAATGCAGTGTTGTACTTGTTGCCGGTCTCGAGATCCAATTCCTTGGTCAATCCCAGAATAGCCGCATTACTGATATTCACACTATGCGACGCCGCCATTAGCACAACATTGTCGCAAACCACAGCATGGCGCGCGCGACTTACCGGTCCAGGAAAGCCAGCAGGTAAAGGATACAGATTGACGGCAAGACATGCCAGTCAATCTTGGCCATGAGCCGGCGCTCGGTGGTGTTGACGAGGGGAGGAAGGTCCGAATCGGAGTTGTAGTTCTCCTGGCTGAGGACCGGACTGTGGCCATCGCCCTCGGATTTGACGTCTAGGGCGCGCACGCAGTTAGCAACAGACCTCAGGTCAAGGTTCGCAGCTCCCCGCAAAGCCATGCAAAGGGAAGCGCATGCGCGCAGGGAATTTGCGGGGGAGCTCGATCTCAGATCGGGAGACTCACCTGGAAGGCCCATGATTGGATGTGACCGCGAAAATCTCGAGGCGGGAAGGGGGACGAGGTTGCCAAGGAGGGGACGCAGGTGAAGACGAGGGGAAAAACACAATGGGGCTGTCGGCGAGCGCTGATCACCGCGGAATGCAGGGATGGAAATGCGCAGTATGTCCGGGGGCAGACTGGGACTTAGCAGGAAGGTCTGGTCGGAACTCCAATGTACCACGCAATTCCAAGCAGCACCGCGCACAGAGGAGGAAGAGAGGGAGACGCAAAGAAAGAGAGGAAAAGATTTGGACGGCCGGCCTTTTTGACTCACGAGCCCCAGAATAGCTGTATACGACTCTACATCTGCCGACCCACTCGACGCGACCCGATCTCGGCCTATACAGTTAGTGTGCCAGCAGATCTTTCAGTTCGCCCGCCACCGCTGGAGTGATCACCTCAGCGACAGCGCATGCATATCCGCAGTACTAACACTGCTGACTCTGCTCTGCTTTACCCTACAGTAGTGTAGGCTACACTATCCTAGGGCATACATATTTTGTGCCAAGTAGACTGTGGCCGACCTCGGGTATTCCGCTCCCCCGCAAACTTTGCCAGCCTTAAAAGGGGCACCGGCCCCTCGGCTCGCATTACTAACCATCCTAGCCTACCCTAGGGTATGTACATGTACATCTTACTGTACTAGGGCATAACTAGGGCCAGGACTGGATAGTCAGCCGGAATCACGCATAACCGTGCATCGTGCAACCACCATCAAAAAGCTTCAATTCGCCAACTAGTCTGTACGCGGGTTGATATCGACGATCCATATCGCCTAAGGCAGGCAAGGCCACTTGCGAGCTGTATGGTCCACACCCATGGAGCCTCTATTGACCAGTTTTCAGAGAGTGGGCCCTTCAGCTCTTGCGATCGCGGATCCTCCATGACCAAAACCTTTCCCGTGCCATAAACTGCAGCAGAAACATAAAGGGTTTCGACGTAGCTGCACGTACTTGCATCACAGCCTTGTACTAAATGTCAGCCGGACGGCTGGTGGTGCTTAGAGAGGAGATTGGTGTTTGGGTACATATCCCAAAAAAGGTTGTCGATTCACATGCAATTACCCCTTCGGGACAGTACACTACATGAGACCGTCAAGCTGGCCGGGCCAGATGCACGGATGACACTGAGGCTGCATCTGATAGATAATCACCCGACGGGGCTCGAGGCTTATTTGTGCGAAATTAATCATTCTATGTTAGCCTCCTGTAGGTAGTACAGAGGTAAGTTCTAGCTGTAAATAGAGTCGATGTAACCGCTCCTTCAATTCTAGAAACATTCAGCACCGTTCTGTCCCTGAAAAAAACGTAATAAAAAAAATAAAAAAATCAGACGTCCTTGATCTCGCATACATCATAGAGGCGATCGAAAATTATGTTCGCTTTAGCTTATCTGGGAATGGAAAAAATGAAGTTATCGAAACGCGTTAGGGAGCAACGGTGTGGGGCGATGCCTTCGTACGTGTCGTCGTTCTCTTTCGAGGAGACTCGGTATGAATTAGTACAGATATCAATGCCATGAAAAAAGGTAAGGCATCACGAACGATTATTTCCATACTTTTGCGAACATCGACAGTCATGGACGTTGCTACTCATCTTCAGTCCACTCGGTGGATCAGTCACGTGATCACATGAGAATTTGATGGCACCATCAGATCCTCATGGCTACTTCAGCCACACCACTGGATCCGCAGCCACAAGTATCAACATGCTCATCAACTGCGGTCCGCTATCGGACTTCGTGCAGGCACGCTACGTGATCCATCTCTCCACGGGGAAACGCTTGGTGCTTTTCCGTCTGCCGGCCATCGACCCATCATGTTCGAAACCCAACGAGGCGCAAGGATGGTCGTATTTCTCCATGGAAGCTGAGTGCCCACATGCTGGCGGTCCAATGGCTGATTCCAGCGTGGACATCGAGGATTCAGCTTACGTCGTGTCGTGCCCGTGGCACGCCTACGATTTCAATGTAGAGACGGGTGAATCGAGCGTCGGCATCAAGGCCTGTACTTTTCCTGTGGATGTTCGGGATGGATCAGTGGTGCTTAATTTCCCCGTTGAGGATGGCGGGAGTGTCTCCCTCGGCAGGATCGAGCCTGTGAGCGAGAAGGTCAAACTGAAGCACGCGTGTCCTTCAGACAAGCCGGTCAACTCAACAGAGAAGCCTGCCAGTGAGAAACAGCAGCCACAACCTGCATTTATCCCGCACGACCTAGGACCCGCACACTATCTGGATGAAAAAGCGACATTCTGTGACTGGGCAGTGCACATCCTCAACACCGCAAACCCAGAACACAAAATCGAACTCACAACCCACCTCTTCACGATCTTCACAGCCCGCGAAGCAAGTTCCAAGCCCATGGGCCTAGGCCGCGGCAAACTGCCCGCACCAAATCAACCACCTCGCGAAAAAATGGTCGAAGTCGAACCAGGCGCGATGCCACGAACCGGCAAAGGTGGTACACTTAAAAGCCGAATTGCAATGCTCCACGCCCTAGCCAACATCGAACTCTGGGCCATCGACCTCGCAATCGACATCTGCGTACGCTTCGCAACCTTCCAAACCACTACATCCAAACAACTCCCCCGCGCCTTCTTCCACGACTGGCTGAAAGTCGCCAGCGACGAAGCAAAGCACTTCTCGCTGCTCCGCACACGCATCGAGGAAATGGGCTCGTACTTCGGTGCCCTGCCAGTGCACCATAGTCTGTGGCAGTCGGCGTTGGAAACGGCGCACGACCTGCGGTCCCGGATTAGTATTATTGCGCTGGTGCATGAGGCGCGCGGGTTGGATGTTAATCCGATGACTATTCAGAAGTTCCGCGTCGCGGGCGATGTCGAGAGCGTGGGGGCTTTGGAGGTTATTCATAATGATGAGATTACGCATGTTACGACGGGCCATCGGTGGTTGACTTGGATTTGCGATCAGGAGGGGACGGATCCGGTGCAGGTGTTCCGGGCTAATGTGTCGAAGCATTTCCGGGGTGCAATTCGGGGTCCATTTAATGAGGAGGCGAGGTTGCAGGCTGGTATGGATCGGAGGTATTATGAAAATACGCCCTCGACTGGTTCTGGGATCGCGGCTACGTGATTTTCTTTTTGATGATATGTGATATGGATATATGAAAAGCGATGATCGGTCGAGTGACCGAATGAAATGCATAGCACTGGCTTTTTGATCAAAATTGTATTCGCACTAAATAAAAGCGTTGTACGTGGAGACGGCCGAATCTCACTCCGGATTCTATTAGCATTAGATCATGTACACACCACCTCCCTAATTCATCAAGGTCGCATGGTTTTCGAGTGTTGGCTTTAGACAGCAACAGGCTTAAGATCCACCTTGTCGCAGTTGGAGGGGATAGTAGCGTTGTAAAAGCGGTTCAGATAGAACAGCTGCGGCACACCATGGTACCAATCGCAAGCTAGAAACCATCAGCATTAGCATCAATCTCGTCAGGGCAATTCAAGGGGAAAAAAACATACCCAACCACCCCCCAAACCCATTCTGCTCCGACCAAACAAACTTCCCCTCCTTGATGGCAAACCCATTACTACCACCACCAGCATTAATCTCAACAGGCTCCCAAGCTAACCCATCGAACGTAATTAGCGCATACATCTCGAGGTCGGGGCGGGAACCGTGGTACTTACCGGCGTAGTTGGTGTCGCCGGTCGCGACAATGCCCCAGGGGAACTCGGACTGCAGGTCGACCAGGGCCTGGGTGCCGTTAAAGTAGACGGGGCTGGCCTTGTCGCTGCCCTTGGTGAAGACAGCGTCGTTCAGGCCCGCACCTGTGTGGTAGGTTTGCAGGTAGAGGTCATTGTGGGCTTCGTTTTGGGCGCCGCTGGTCTTTAGGTGGAATTCTTTGGTGGAGCGCGCGACCGGGGTGGCGGTTGCGGTCGCGACGAGGAGGGCAAGGGTGCTGAGGAACTTCATTCTGGATGTGAGACACTGGAGTAGTTGTGGAAGATGGGGTGGTTGTTGGAGAAGGTGGAAGTGTAGGGAGTTGAAATGGTGGTGGTGCAGGGCGGGAGGAAGGTTTATTTATACGCTTCGCCCATGGTGGATATCTATATAAATCACTCACGGGCGCACGCAATCCCGCTACAAGGGTACCTATGAACGCATGAATTGGCCCGAGAGCTCCGATCGCTCGTGAATTGTGGATGTGAGATGGCTGAACCATGTACAGAGTGTTTGCGCGACGGAATATCAGCTTGGCGGCCCAATGTTTACCTGCAGGAGGTATCGTGCGGCGTGTGTTCCAAGGATCTGAGGCATAAGCGACAGAAGCAACGTGCCTCCAGGTACAGAGAGGAGCTCGTTGAGAATCCTCGTTCGCCACTCAGGGGATTCGAGATGCAGATCCCCCCGCAACGGGTTACGACGGACGAGCTGCGGGACTCGGCAGCGGAGGATCTGAGACATGCCTTGCTTTGCACGTACCTACAGGTTGTGAGGTAGGGTAATGCTAGTGGCTAGTGCAGGAAATGTCCAATGGATTTGAGTGCGCTGTGGGAATGTCCTTGGGAGACACTTGCTACGCCGGATTGAGCAATTGGTAGTGGTGTTTTGAGGGGGGTGTGAATATGATGTCAGGGCTGCTGACTGCTGGAACATAGATGCAGCCTGGGTGTGATCTATTGGGTAGGATTTTGGTGGCTAAAGCTTGCCGGCCTTGCACTAGTGTAGAAATCATCTTGGTTGACTCGAGTGCATTCTATTGCTGTTTATTTTGGGCGCCATTACATGACTCGGCAGGTTCGAGATTCTTTATTTCTGGCTTCTCCTGTTCATAACTGACATAGGGATTTCGTCTTAAAAATCCCCGCTCAAGTCCTCAGGTTCATTTGGTAGTACTCAACAAACCTGCAAAGTCAATTCTTTGATCCCCCTGAACTGCGGAAATCCGACTTTCGGTGAGGGTGGATTTCTATGAATCCCGAGTGGATCTTCAGGCCTCCAACCTATCACCAGGGAACGTGGAAATCGCATATTCGATCATATGATATTATCAGATGTATTCTTGTCGATGCTTACTTTTGTCCAAGCCCGTAAGTTTTGTAGATTTCTGCAGTTAGTGATCTTATTATACCATACCTTAGGTATTGTGATCCATAGTGTATGTACTGGCAGTGCACAGATCAACTTCAAATAACAAATGTCACATTAATGAATCGGAGATCCCAACCAATGGCATTATTTGATCTCATGAGAATTGATCGACTGCAACAAATCAACCGATCCAAGGAACAGCAGACTACACTAGTGTAGGGTAGGCCGATGGACGCGGAACCCGAGATGTTGATCAGCTGCGGGTTGGGCTAGTTGCTTGGCCGAGCCAGGTGCATTTAGCTCCGCTCTAACAACGCATTTGCTGGGGGATCCGGAGTATTTAGTCGAGCGTAGATCCCAGATGGATGTCATAAACTAAAAAGATATCTGCTATTTTAAAAATACATTACCTTCGTAGAAAAAATAAAAAAGAATCGAGCCGGGATGCTGTTTATTTACGTGGGGCTCTCAGGCGGGAGCTGTTTTCCGGGTCGAACTAGAGCTGCGACCGTGGAGTCCCCCTGGATTCGGTGTAACACATTAACTGCGCGATTGCGCCCGGATGCAAACAGAAGCGGACGTTGATGTATATGGAACGCCTTAGTGTATATTAGTTTAAAATGTCGAGACCATGCTGTGTGTTTTTCACGACATGAATGCCCTACTAAAAAAAGTACAGTACTATCTTCAAGGCAATGTCATGTCGACGGACCCACTCTTCCCCCGAAAACTCTTCCCCTGACGACGTCGCATCTGATGGAGTCCTAAGTATACGGGACTGCGCTGCCCATTTTCGAGTTCTTGCATTATCACATCCCTGATCGCCCTTCCCGACGCAGGAGTCCCCATGGTCCCGCGTGTTTCGGACTTGTGATCGACGTAAATCCCGGCTGCATCGGCGCCGATTCCCTGCGAAGACCCCGGTAGTCGCCCAAAATGGATCCCTCAACCTACGTGGATCCCCAGCTCACCACCGCGGATCGCCTGGTGATTGATGCAGTCATCGACGACCCGGCTGCAAAGGGTAGGCCATGCCCGTCACCGCGACCTGTGCCTGCGATGCACCCCCATTAACGCTCACCAGGCGAGACCACCACCTCCACAGAGCCGCGGCTGACGCTCGGGGAGACCATTGAGAAGCTCCAGGGCATGAACGATGCCTCGCATCCGGCCTTTGACCCGACTGTCTTCCAACTCTGGGACACGCCCGACCTGGCCAAGCTGCCGGCGCCCATCCAGCAATATGTCCTGCAGCCGTACATCAACTGGGCCCAAGGCGTTGTTCGGTATCGGACGGACGTGGTCATGTTGACCCATCTGATCCTGTATTTCACCACGCTTGTTCCGAGTGCCTTCTATCTCTACTACCATTTCACCTGGATCCATGGCATCCTGCACTGGGCCATGCAACTCCTCTGTTGCGGCGCCTTCACCCTAATGAAGCATCAGCATATCCACATGAATGGAGTCCTCGCGCCCAAGTACTGGCTGTTCGACACTCTCTTCCCCTATCTGCTGGACCCGATGCTGGGCCATACATGGAACTCCTACTTCTATCACCACATCAAGCACCACCACGTCGAAGGCAACGGTGCAAACGATCTCAGCACGACAATGTTCTACGACCGCGACAGCGCTTTCGACTTCGCCTGCTACGTCGGCCGCTTCTTCTTCTTCGTCTGGCTCGAGCTTCCTCTCTACTTCTGGCGAAAAGGACAGGCCAAGTATGCTGCCAGAGCGGCCTTCTGGGAACTCAGCAACTACGCCACCATCTACCTGTTGTACAACTACGTCAACGCCCGCGCCACCCTCTTCGTACTGATCCTCCCGCTCACGGTAATGCGGTGCGGACTGATGGTCGGAAACTGGGGACAGCACGCCTTTGTGGATCAAGCGGATCCCGACTCGGATTACCTCTCCAGCATCACTCTGATCGATGTTCCGGTAGGTCTAAACTGTCAAGGAGTAGCTTCGGGGACGAAATTAACAAATAACAGAGCAACCGCTTCTCATTCAACGACGGATATCATACATCCCACCACCTGAATCCCCGCCGCCACTGGCGCGACCACCCGGTGGCATTCATCAAGCAAAAGGAGCAGTACGCAAAGGAGCGAGCGCTCGTCTTCCGAAATGTGGATTATATCTTCATCACTGTCAACCTGCTCCGTAAGAACTATCTCCATCTGGCAAAGTGTCTTATCCCCATCGGCGACCAGGTCAATATGACTCTGGAAGAGCGTGCAGAGATGTTGCGCAGTCGGACGCGTCGGTTCTCGCGTCCCGAGGAGAAGAAGACGCGCTGATGTATTGCGATCTTGTGATATCTCTTCGATTTGCTTGAGGTTACCACTGCCATATGATTAATACAAAATTGAGATAGATAATAGATGTCATTGATATTCAAATTCGCTGCTAAATATTTTGAAGTACGATTCTATCTTACAGAAAAGGCTTAAGATACCGGGCCCCTGCAGCTGGAATGTTTCATTCTTCTAGTGATCTCCGGAGAGGCCTTTGTTCGTTGTAGCAACACTACACTAGCGTAGAGTGTATTGTACAGCTGGAGCACGACGGGATAAACAATATTAATTCTCCATCTGGAAACCGAATCTTCGGACATATCTACCCCGAGGCCCACCTCGCATTGATGCATGGCGGGTGCCGCCGCGGTGTATCATCGCGTGAGACCGTGCATCCCGGCGAATTTCTCGGCATTCCTCATTCCTACACTTACCACCACACCTGCACAAATGCACCAGCTCAACATGTCCAGCAAAATAGACGATGGTAAATCGATCCCTGTTACATCTCCTCCCGTGTGTATGGTGATGCTCAGCAGATGACATAGATAAATTGCGGCGTCGCTCACGAGGCCTCGAGACATCATCGGATCGATCCAAGCGCCAGTGCGTGTTCAGATCACCCCTGGCATCAAGCGCAGGGTTCCATCGTCTCAGGGACAGGCACGCATCGCAAACTGGGCTCGAGCCAAGATCGTAGCCCCAACCATCGTGATGATTGGGCGCCCATCACCTGATCCCTGTCACTCAGACTGATGCGGGGAAATGTGCGCCTTGCTTTTGTTTCCTCCCCGAATCTCCAAGAAAAGAGGAAATCCCAAGGGGCGATCCAGAAATCAGGGGAGCGGCTTATAGACTCCGCGACCCTACACTCGCTGCTCCTTCACCACGTTCTCTCTTTCTCTTCTCTTCGGCTCACCTCCTTTCCAAGGGGTTTTTGTTGCGATGCGGTTATTTCCCTCCCTGGCGCTTGCCTCTCTTGCTGCTGGCTTTGTTGTGCACGAGCGAGATACCTGTATTATATTTCCGGAGTCGCTTACACATGATGGTGAAGCGGTCGATGATGCGCCTTCCATCCATGAGGCCTTTGAGCGGTGCGGGAAGAATGGCAAGGTCATTTTTGAAAAGGGCCATGTCTTCAACGTCAATTCCGTGATGAATACCACCGGCCTGGAGAATTGCGATGTCTCATTGCGGGGAGAGCTGCGCTTCTCTACCGACGTCGACTACTGGCTCGCGAATTCATATTCTGTCGTGTTTCAGAAACAGTCGACGGCCTGGTTGTTCGGTGGTGAAAATGTCACATTCCGCGCTGAGGAAGGTGGCTGGTACAATGGGAATGGGCAAACGTGGTATACGCAGAACCGAAACCAGTCCAACCAGCCCGGTCGTCCGATTAGTATCACATTTTACGACTCGAAGAACTTGCATGTGGACGGCTTGTCTATCATCCAACCCCAGTTCTGGGCGACGTTCGTCTGGGCGAGTCAGAATGTTTCTCTCACCAATTTCTACGTCAATGCGACGAGTGATGATGAGTGGGGGACGGTGAATACCGATGGCTATGACTCATGGAATAGCAGGGACCTGCTCGTGGAGAACTGGGTTGTCCAGAACCAGGACGACTGTATCGCAGTGAAGGGAAATACTACGAACCTGCTCGTTCGCAACGTCACCTGCCACTGGAACTTCGGTATGGCAATTGGGTCGGTCGGACAATATGAAGATATGCCGGATTATGTCGAGGACATCACATTCGAGGACGTCCGCTGCTACAACTGCATGGAAGCAGCCCTGATCAAGACCTGGCAGGGAATTCCAGAGGGCCACAGTTCGAATGGCAACGGCGGCGGCGGAGGCAGTGGCTATGTCAAGAACGTGCAATTTCGCAACTTCGAAGTGGAAAATACCGCCTTACCCATCCAGATCTCGCAATGCATCTACACCGAGAACGGGCAGAACTGCAATACGTCCAAGATGGCCATTTCAGACATCACATACTCGAACATCAAGGGAACCTCTCGGTACAATATCGGCAGCTCAATCTACTGCTCGGACGTACACCCCTGCCCCGGAATCAAATTCGAGAATGTGGAGCTCGACTCGGTGAACAGTACCCTCGACCTGCCGCTGTATGGCACAACCTTGCAGGACGAGGTGTTCCAGTGCACAAACATCATCGACCAGGAGCAATCCGGTATCCCCTGCAACCGCAAAGCACCGAGTAATTACGGCCAGGCCGTGTTTACAAATGTCAAGGACGACAGCTCGGCTACTGAAGATACAGAAGACAGGACGGAAGAAAGCACTCGAGACCCGCAGGTGCGACCGAAGAAGAAACCGCAGGAGAAATTGGCTTGGGAATGAGGCAGCCGAAGATACCCCGTGCCCGAAATTTTCTCCCGAATTACTGCGATCTTGACACCGAGCTGGTGCATGTTTGGAGCATTGGATAGCGCAGTGGAACAGAGTTTATATTTCTCCGAAGAAACGAGGGGTGCGATGTGGGTATTCATTTCCCCACGGGGAGTGACTGTAGAAACGAGGGGTATAAATATGCCCTGCTCAAATGGCTTCCTGAAATCTCTACACAATTCTTTCAATTTAATCTCAATCTCAGAGATTCTCTTCATATCACAATGGTCACTCTAAAAGCCCTATCCCTGGGCCTCCTCGCCAGCCCCACATTCGCAATAAACTATACACAACCCTACCGCCCGCAATTCCACTTCTCACCGACAAAGAACTGGATGAATGACCCAGCCGGACTAATCTATCACAATGGAAATTATCATCTCTACTTCCAATATAACCCCGGCGGCATCGAGTGGGGAAATATGTCCTGGGGACATGCGACGAGTGACGACCTAACGCATTGGCAAGAACAACCTGTCGCCCTGCTTGCCCGAGGTTTCCCCGACAATGTGACGGAGATGTTCTTCACAGGTAGTGCTGTGGCGGACGAGCAGAATACCAGTGGCTTTGGTGCTGGTGGGAAGACTCCCCTGGTGGCGCTGTATACTTCCTACGTAAGGATATTACTTCTTTTCCCTGGGTTGCAGATCCAATTATCTAACTTTTATTTGTTGAAAAGTACCCAATCGCCCAGACTCTCCCAAGCGGCAAAGAAGTAAAAACCAATCAACAATCCCAATCCCTCGCCTACAGCCTAGACGACGGCACGACCTGGACAACATACGACGCCGGCAACCCCGTAATCCACAACCCACCCAGCCCCTACGAGGAGGAATACCAAAACTTCCGCGACCCCTTCGTCTTCTGGCACGCCGAGACAAGAAAATGGATAATGGTCAGCACCCTCGCAGGAATCCACAAACTAGCCCTCTGGACCTCGGACAACCTAAAAGACTGGTCCCACGCAAGTTTCTTTGGCCCCTTCAATGCCGTCGGCGGCGTCTGGGAATGCCCCAACCTCTTTCCGCTTGACCTCGACTCCTCCACGAAATGGGTCATGGTCATGGGACTGAATCCCGGTGGTCCGCCTGGGACCGTGGGATCGGGGACGCAGTACTTTATTGGTGACTTTGATGGAACGACTTTCGTGCCGGATGAGGATAGTGTTTATGAGGGAAATAAGTCCGCGAATTGGATGGACTGGGGACCAGATTTTTATGCTGCGGCTAGCTATAATGGGCTCGATGAGCGCATGGCTGTTGGCTGGATGAATAATTGGCAGTATGGCGAGAAGATACCCACGTACCCTTGGCGCAGTGCAATGTCTACGCCGCGACAGCTATCGTTGAAGACGATTGGAGGGAAACCGACTCTAATCCAGCGCCCACATGCCCAGATCCAGTCCATCGAAGGGAAGGATCACTCTTCATCATGGAAGTTCTTCGAAGAGGGAACTCAAGACCTCGGCTCTGTGGGTAAAACCCTCGACATCGAGCTGAGTTTCTCCGCATCAAACGCAACCGACTTTGGAATCATCGTCCAAGCAACCCCAGATTTCAAAGAGCAAACGAAGATCGGATACAACTTCACCAGCCAGATGATATTCGTTGACCGGCGGAACTCCGGCGAGTCCTCATTCGACGGTACCTTTGCGAGTATCTACCATGCGCCGCTGGCGCCGTCTTACGATGGGACGGTGCATCTTCGGATTCTGGTGGATTGGTCTAGTGTTGAGGTTTTTGGAGGACAGGGAGAAACTACACTTACGGCGCAGATATTTCCGGATAGGAGCGCGACATTTGCGAGGCTTTTTTCGAACGGTGGAGGAGTGGAGGATGTGAAGGTTGATATGAAGAGGGTTTCTTCTATTTGGAATTAGGAAGGAGACAGATTGAGGAAAGCCTAGTAGGGTGGAATCTTAGCGGCTATAGCCCACGGCTCCTTTGTCCGATTTGTGCAGAGTAAATTCAACGAGCTTTTAAGAAATATGAAATTCCATCGCATTTCTAAAAATTAAACAAAGAAAAATCTAGAAAAGACGAAACTCTCTTCTTGGCATCAGGTGCTGATTCGTGGGTCGAGATAACATAGTTGCAACACCATGATTGGCGGGAATCCCACCAGCTAGTGAATGACCCACGTACCAAGATGTGTCATGTCAAACAAGCTCTTTTCTCTTGAAAAATGTGATCGGTACTAACCCATGGCACCTGCGTGATTTCGGCCCAGCATGCCGATATGATACTGTGGCGATCATCAGGCTTGAAAACCAATTTGGCCCGGGCATCAACTTGATGTCAACAGCGGGATCGAACACAGCCCTGATTTGCGAGTCCACCACAGTCTACTCCCAGCTTTGCGGGGGCCGTCTGATACCCTGGAATTCATAATCGGGCAATAGATCTGACCGATCGCGAGCTGCTATAGGTAGATATGGAATTTCGAATTTGCCTCCCATGTCCCCGGACGAACCATCGTCAGGTTGATGGAGTCGATCCGGAAGATTTAAAAGTCGTCTTGAGACCTCGAGACTTCTTTCAGTCTGTTTCATTTGGAAATTTCATTTCTTTTTGAAGTGCAAGTCACTGGGATAAATTATTATGGCGGGAGGGAACAGCGAAGGCCACAAAATACTTCCCCACCAACGCTGAACCCGATTGAAGAGCGACATACGCCCAGACTCAACTTCCTCGGTTGAGACGCTGGGCCCCTCATACCAACAGAATACTCTCAGTGAAACTCAGCCCTCCCTGCATAAACGACAAACCGACAAACCCCCCAACCCAAACCCGACACCTTCAGAAAAACCTCGCGACACTCACGACAAAACCCTCAACACCCTCCACCCAAAGACCCGCCTTCTTCCACCAACCAACCGAAAAAGCAAGCACATACCAAATACCGTCCCTACAAAACAAAACCATCAGCCAGCAAGGCAACAGCATCAGCCAATGGCCTTCCCACTCGCTAGCAGGACTCGGCATCGCCCAACCAGGGAAAGTCTACATGGACCCAGAGTACCAAGGTCTCAACCCCCGATATGGCAAGAACAATGAAAAACCCATCTGGGTCTAGCAAAGCCCTTGCCGAGGGTCGTTCGGCTAGGCATGCGCCGCGGTGATAGCAGTGCGCAGAAAGCGTATCAACCAAATCAGCACGGGGAGTCTGAGCCCGCGCCGGAAATTGGGACTACGCCTGGTCTATCGTCTACGCGCTCTGGAGCTGGTAGTGTTCAGCAGGGATAGCAGGGGCTGAGCTATGCCTCTGCGGCGCAGTATGGAAACACCTAGGGAACATGTAATATATGCGCCGCAGCCGGATGGTATGCCCCGACCGATTGAGACTGAAATCAAGGAGCCGCAAGATGGGAGTACAGACGTGCCGGCTCAGGAGGAGGAGTTCTTGAATACGTGGGTGAAATTCCGGCATTACATGAAAGAGCCACTAGCGGAATGGCTTGCAGTATGTCTCCACCACCTCCTAAAACACAACAGCCAATCCTAACACTATTTCAATCACAGACAACAGTCGCAGTATTCATCGGTCTAACCGGCACCCTCTCAATATCAACAGGCGGCACCCAAGCCGGAGCCCGGCTCTCTCAAAACTGGTCCTGGGAACTAGGCATCATGATTGGAATCTACATCGCCGGCGGCGTTTCAGGTGCACACCTGAACCCAGGTATATCCATCGCGCTCTGGATCTTCCGCGACTTCCCCGGCCGCTGCTGTCTCTATTATATTGCAGCGCAGATTCTCGGTGCCATCACGGCTGCGGTTTTGGCGTATATCTTGCATCGGGATTCTATTGTTGCGTTTGCGCCGACGGTCGAGCCGGGCTCGGCTGGTTTGGGCTTGTATACAGGGCCACTGCATCATGTGAGCTCTGCGATAGCGTTTTTTACCGAGTTCGTTGCTGGTGCGCTGCTGCTTTGTGTTATATTTGCGTGGGTTGATGATGGGAATGCGCCGCCTGGGGCGGGTATGCATTCTTTCGTTATTGGGTTGGTTGTTTATGTGCTTTGTATTTGTTTGGGGTTTAATACCCGGGGAGGGGGGTACGTGCAGCTCTTACCATTCGACGCAAAATTATGGTCTGGGTGCTAACTTTTTCTTTAGTTGCCTCAACCCCGTGCGTGACTTCGGACGTCGTCTTGTTGCTCTCATGGCTGGGTATGGAAGTATAACCTTTACGGAGCATGGAGGGTGGTGGTTCTGGGGCTGCTGGGTGGCTACTATAGGTGGGGGCTTGACGGGGACGTTTCTGTATGATATCTTGATTTTCATCGAGGGTGAGTCGCCGGTTAATTATGCCCGGCGGCGGAGGCACCGTACAAAGCTCAAAAAGGACAGTAAGTGGAGGAAGCGACATGGCATTGGGAAGAAGGTACCCGAGTTGGAGGATGGGATTAAGGATTTAGAGGAATTAATTCTTTGAAATTGGGATAAGATATTTTCTAGTACGGTGCTTTTCTAAGCTAAAATAGCATCTATAGATTGCGGTTCATATCTATACGAGTATGTTCGAGGGTACAATACAATGTAGCTGTTGGTCTTGTGATGTCATGGCGCAGATAGTCTCATTTGGCCTAAGCAATAACCAATATCACCCGAACAGGGGACCACTAATTCTACAATACTCCCATTCATCTTCCCAGTTAGAAATTACGTTGTCAAATCCCAGTCATCGGCTCCTACGTCAACCGGGCAGAGCAGCGTGACTCACTCGCCGACCCGCATATAAAATGCAAAAACCACACCTCTTCTCCAAACACCGACACGACACATCACACTCAGGCCCCTCCAATATGACAGGCCCCCTTGACCTCAGCCACCCAACCGCCCTCCTCCTAATCGACAACCAGTCCGGTTTCTCAGACCCAGCAACCCAATCCCACTGGGGCAACAGCCGCTCCAACCCGCTCTACGAAGTCAACATCCAAGCCCTCCTATCCGCCTTCCGCGCCGCGCGCGAAGTATCCCAGATCCCACTGGAAGTGATCCACATCTTCCACTCATCCGTGACGCCCGGATCACCTCTGCACCCCGCGCATCCGGGACGGGGTATCCGGCCGCTGGACTTTGCGGTCCCAGCCTCGGATGGCTCGGAGCCCGTGTTCTGGAAAACGGTGAACTCGTCATTCATCGGGACGAAGCTTGAGGCGCATTTGCGCGAAAGAGGTTTCCGCCAGATTATTGTGGCCGGGTTGACGACGGATCATTGTGTTTCGACGACTGTGCGCATGGCGGCTAATCTGGGGGTTGTGGATCGAGATGTTGACCAGGGTCCTGTGCTGATTGGGGAGGATGGGTCCCATGTTGAGGATGTGAGGGTTGACAAGGGGAGGATTGTTTTGGTTGCCGATGCGACGGCGACGTTTGGGAAGGGGGGTTTTGATGCGGAGACGGTGCATAGGGTCTCGGTTGCGAGTTTGGAGGGGGAGTTTGCGGATGTTATTGGGGCTGAAGAGGTTGTTAAGGCTTTAAGGAGAGTTTATAATTAATCTAATACTTCTAAAGTTGTGAAGTATTACGGTTTTTGGGGCAACCTACGTGGAATAACACTGGGGTTTTAATACGTCTCATATACTTCAATCAACCTTGATGGATCACCATATGGATTCAAGACCTCACCTCATATCGGCGGCTTTTTAAGAGGCGTGGCAGCAATTTAACAAGAATTACCTTACGGAAAAGCTAGACTGGATTCCAGCCGGAGAACGTCAATGACAAAGTAATATCGTTCTGACGGACACTAAGGAATATCAATTCCATCGAAGCTGTGAGCATAAGTGTACCGCTACAGATTTCCAGAAAGCACAATATCAAAGTAAAAGTTACACGAAACTAATTACTTCAAAGGGTCTCTAACACAAAGGAGAAAAGAATACAGGAGCGGCATAGATGAGATGAACCGCAGAACCCCATCGTATAAATGGTGGTAGATATACCTCAGGCGTCCCCAGCCTTTACTTTTCCAGCAAAAGAACCAGGTATAACCAAGGGGCATGAAAGCTTCACACGCACTCTCCAGCGTTGACAGTCTAAACAAGGTCGCGCTTGACGAACTCAGCAAGCAGGGCCTTGCCAAGAGCAGCAGGGCTGCGCTCGACAACGACGCCGGCGTCCTGGAGGGCGGAGATCTTGGAGTCGGCACCACCCTTGCCACCGGAGACGATGGCACCGGCGTGACCCATGCGGCGGCCGGGGGGAGCGGAGATACCGGCAATGAAGGAGACGGCGGGCTTGTTGTGGATGTTGTTGGCCTTGAAGAACTCGGCGGCGTCCTCCTCGGCGGAACCACCGATCTCACCGATCATGATGATACCGTCGGTCTCGGGGTCCTCGAGGAAGATCTTCAGACAGTCGATGAAGTTGGTGCCGGAGAAGGGGTCACCACCGATACCGACGACCAGCGACTGGCCGAGGCCGGCCTGGGTGGTCTGGTTGACGGCCTCGTAGGTCAGGGTACCGGAACGGGAGACGATACCGACGCGACCGCGCTTGTGGATGAAACCCGGCATGATACCGATCTTGCATTGACCCTAGAGTGACATTAACTATGAGTATTTGGATATCATTTCGGGATTCGGGTCGGGACGTGTTGGCACTTACGGGAGCGATGATACCGGGGCAGTTCGGGCCGACCAGACGGGTCTTGTTCTGGGTCTTCAGGATGTCGGTGATGCGGACCATGTCTGTGGGTAATCAATTAGTTTGTGTTATTTCGCACGTTTCTGGGGTCGATTCGTGATGTACCGTGCTGGGGGATACCCTCGGTAATGCTTTGTCGCGAAAAAAAAATAATTAGTTGCGTGTACTTTTTTCGAGCTTCAGAACGCGACACTTACCAGACAACCAGGGGCATCTCAGCGGCGATGGCCTCCTCAATACCGGCAGCGGCGAGAGGGGGGCTATAGTCTCGTTAATTAATCTCGTCTTCAGGTTCGATAAATGGGCGGGTTCATACGGGACGAAGATGGCGGAAGCACTAGCACCGGTCTCCTTGCGAGCCTCCTCGACGTTGGCGAAGACGGGACGCTCAAGGTGCAGAGTGCCGGCCTTCTTGGGGTTGGTACCACCGACGACGTTGGTGCCTGGAACTGTGTGAGCTGTCTTCTTGCGATCGCGATAGGAGAAAAAGTGTACCGTAGGCGATGGCCTGCTCGGCGTGGAAACTGTTCAGGAACTACACGTCAGCACCTGGCGCGTCAAGTCTGGTTCGCATCCGAGGGTTCACGACTTACGTTCCCTGCTTGCCGGTGAAACCCTGGAAGAGAACCCGGGTGTCCTTGTTGATCCGCAGGTTGTTCACGGTCTGAGCATAAGGCGAGTTGGCCTGAGCATATGCGCGGCGCTGCTGGCCAGCGACATTACGGGCGGCCGAAAAGGCGTTACGGCGGAAGGCCTGCATGACTGCAAGAAAAGGATTGAAGGATGGAGGGGAGAGGAGTGAAGAAGAAGAGGTTGACTCGGGGGAGAGTTGGAGCAAGGATTCGGGATGCGCGCCCGGGAGTTTTCGTTCGGGACAAACCTTTACTTAAGCGGACCCGAGTTGACTTCGGCTGCCTCGGCCACCATCTTTTTTTCTATCTAATCGCCAGCACCCCCACCACCTCGACGTCGAGAGCTCCTAAAGGGTGTTCTGAGGTACATTCGGACTCGTCTCTCGTCCGGCGCTGTTTTTTTTTTTTTTTTTAGAACCCGCCCTCCGCGGTGACCTTCGCCCGCCATGGCGACCATGACCATGACCGCGCCGCCGAAGAACGCGGCCAAGAAGAACGCAAAGAGCGTGCCGGAGAATGAGCGCTTCATGCGAGCATGCTCTGAGGTCGCCAATGCGCTCGTCCAGGAATATGAGGCGTCTAAGGACTCTTCGAAGCCAAAGCGAGATATCAACCTCAACAAGCTGCGGGGCAATATCGCAAAGAAGCACCATCTGGCCAGCCAGCCGCCACTGACAGCCATCATCGCGGCTGTTCCAGAGCACTATAAGAAGTACATTCTGCCGAAACTGATTGCGAAGCCCATCCGTATGTCATCTTCCCATCTCTGAGCTGAAGAGAGCGCGAACTGATCTTTTTGAAAAAATGCAGGAAGCGCTTCTGGTATCGCCGTCGTCGCTGTTATGTGCAAGCCTCACCGTTGTCCTCACATCGCATACACTGGAAATATCTGTGTCTACTGCCCCGGTGGTCCAGACTCCGACTTCGAGTACTCCACACAATCCTATACCGGATACGAGCCGACGTCCATGCGTGCGATCCGCGCTCGCTACGATCCATTTGAGCAGGCCCGAGGACGTGTAGACCAAATCAAATCTCTTGGTCACAGCGTGGACAAGGTTGAATACATTATCATGGGTGGAACGTTCATGTCGTTGGCGAAGGATTATCGGGAATCGTTCATTTCGCAACTCCACAATGCGCTCAGCGGCTATCAAACAGACAATGTGGACGAGGCTGTGCTGGCTGGTGAGATGAGCAACGTCAAGTGTGTCGGAATTACCATCGAGACTCGGCCCGATTACTGCTTGGATACGCATTTGAGTGATATGCTGCGCTATGGTTGTACCCGGCTGGAAATCGGCGTACAGAGCTTGTATGAGGATGTCGCACGAGACACGAACCGCGGCCACACCGTTGCCGCCGTGGCGGAGACCTTCAAGTTGGCCAAGGATGCCGGCTTCAAGGTTGTCAGCCACATGATGCCCGACTTGCCGAACGTTGGCATGGAACGTGATCTGTTCCAGTTCCAGGAATACTTCGAGAACCCTGCCTTCCGTACAGACGGTCTCAAAATCTATCCTACCCTTGTAATTCGTGGTACGGGTCTCTACGAGTTGTGGCGGACTGGTCGCTACAAGAACTACACGCCTAATGCGCTGGTCGACTTGGTGGCCCGCATTCTGGCATTGATTCCCCCATGGACTCGCATCTACCGTGTCCAACGTGATATTCCCATGCCGCTGGTCACCTCCGGTGTTGAGAATGGTAACTTGCGCGAACTGGCTCTGGCGCGTATGAAGGATTTTGGAACCACCTGCCGTGACGTCCGTACTCGTGAAGTCGGCATCAACGAGGTGAAGAACAAGATTCGCCCTTCGCAGGTCGAGCTTGTCCGTCGCGATTACACTGCCAATGGAGGCTGGGAGACATTCCTGGCCTACGAGGACCCCAAGCAGGATATCCTAATTGGTCTGCTTCGTCTGCGCAAGTGCAGTGACACCCACACCTTCCGACCCGAATTCACTGGCCAACAAACCAGTATTGTCCGCGAGCTTCATGTCTACGGATCCGCCGTGCCGCTCCACGGCCGTGATGACCGCAAGTTCCAGCACCGTGGCTTCGGTACATTGCTGATGGAGGAGGCTGAGCGGATCGCGCGGGAGGAGCACGGCAGCACGAAGATAAGCGTTATCTCTGGTGTTGGTGTGCGAAACTACTATGCTCGTCTTGGGTACACGTTGGATGGGCCCTACATGTCCAAAGTGTTGGACCCGTGGGAGGCCGAGGAGTAATTGGGAGCTACATACGGACACCGAGGGCGGTACATATCAACGATTGATTCTGCATCTACAGGCGTTGGGGTGTTGAGCACATCCAAAAAGTGATAACAGTCAATAACGAACAATGATGAAATGTCTATGCTTGATCGATATCAGCGTACAGTCAAATAGCTAAGAAAGCATAACGAGGACGTAGCCGCAAATCCGAGTGATCTATGTACACATCGCGGAGGGGATGGCCGATCTTTCTCGAGTGTGGGTGAAGGATCCGCGAGACCTGCCCAGCAAAACCTCCTCGCCCATCACAAAAAGATCGACCACTTCTCCCGTGTCGTACCGACGGGCTCCAAAGCCTAACGGTCGTAATGCGAGGCAATTTGGGTCTCGCATTAAAGGCCAGCTCCGTTGCACCCGCCGATCCGTTTCAGAACTTCCCCGCTCCCTCGGACCAGAGTAACCATGTTCACCCAAAGATAGACCGAAATATATGAGACCCAATGATTGTAAATCAACAGAAGAAACCGTCAGAGACACCGAACGAGATATTGTAGGGGGGTATTTTGGTTGTGATTTGGGTGAGATTTAATGGAGTGATATGGCGCCGCCCCTGCTGCCTCGCAGATGCAGGTAGGCTTGGAATCCGCAGAAAACGAAGAAACCCTATATGATAAAGTAACTGTGTTAGCGACACTGCGACTCGTCTCTCTGATGCAATTCGGGGCTCGGATGGCGGGTGACGTACAGCGTAGATTATCACGGCAGTGTAAATCGAGGCGGCGACGGCGGCTCCATCTTCAGGTTCTCCTTCAGTGCCGGTGTATGCGTGGTTGTTGCTCTGGAATGGACAGTTAGCATGTCATTCTGACAGATCTGCAGGCCGAACGGCGTAACGATGGGACGCAAGCTGGGGTTGGTCTTGACGGGGGCGAGATAAACGTACTCCGAATAGCGAGCCGAGAACTGAGAGAATGACGATGGCAAAGAGAGAGATGACGACGCTGTTCGAGGGGGAAGACCGTTAGAATTAATTCCATAAGCAGCGCAGTGTTGGGGCGAGTAACGTACCAGGACCAAGCGTTCAAGGCAGACACGACGGGCTTCATCTTGGCGGTGGTGCGACTAGGGGAGGCGGAGAAGAATGAGAATCGAGAAGAGTTGGTGAGGGTCTATGAGCCGCAGACACCGAATTGGTGAGAGCGAGGCCGTGGGGAAGAGGATGGGGAGGCGATCGAAGCGATGGCAGGAGTGAAGACGGAGGTTGGCGGGCGGAGTCCAGCCCCTAAGCCGCTTTCGGCCACCACGGCACCATTTGGCGATCAACATCTGGACCGCAATGCTTCCAAGCCGGCTACGGACACAACACATGGAGAAGAAGTTCAGATGCATGGTATTTACAGTCTTTTGTATCATTCATTCGTCGGTAGAGTCTATTTTTTTCGTCCTGGTCGTTTTTTCAATGCGTCTTGTTCCACTCAATACATTCGTCAAACGTCACTCCGGAGCCACCGAAGATATCCAAGGCACTGCCAATGGTCAGGTCTACCTTGCCCTTGCTGCTCACATGGACCTTTTCGAGGTCCTGGAGACTGCGCGCACCACCGGCGTATGTAATGGGAATAGTACACCAGTCAGCGAGTTTCGAGACCAATTCCTCATCGACGCCCTGCTGAAGACCCTCCACGTCCGCAGCATGGATCAAGAATTCAGAGCAGTAGGGTTCCAGAAGTGAGATGGATTCTGTAAGAGATTTAGTTTAGTCTGTGCTCGTTGTGAATGGTGAGCTCAGGGTCCCATACCTTGATTGATCTCCATCTCCGTAATGGTTTGCCAGCGGTCCATCGCGACGAACCAGGTGTTGTCCTTTCGACGGCAGCTCAGGTCCAATACCAGCTTGGACTTGTCACCGCCCAGTGCCGCCAGAACCGATTGGAGCCGCTCGAGGGAGAATTTGCCTGAAGGGAAGAGGAATGAAGTGATGATCACCTATTGTCCGGCATTCCATTGAACCTGATTAGCCTCATCATTGACGATCATGACGAATGACAACAGATGATCAAATAAAAGTGCTTGAAAATGAACTCCTCTGATCACAATGTAACCAAAGAATCCTAACTCGGCGAGGACTACTCACCTTCTCGGCGCCCTGGTCAATCCAGTACTGTGCATTCTTATCGGTGATGCCTCCAGCAACTTGCAACCCATTGGGCCATGTCCGCACAGCCTCCTGGGCTGCCTCGTCATTTCCTGGTCCCAGCTTCACCACATGACCGCCGCGCAAGTTGTGCTTCTGGTAGAGCCCCGAGTAGTGGCTTGCGGGGAGTTTGGAGACGTAGTTGGTCTTCAGATCTTCGGCGACATTGCTGAGGGTGCCTCCCACAATCTGCTTGACCTGCCCCGAGTGCAGGTCAATGCACGGTCTGAATTTTGTCATTCTGCGTAAAAAACTGAGCTTGCGACAGACCTTCAGTTGCTGCTTCTCATCTGAATCCCGCCGGCTCGCCGAGGGGCTTATCCTGCTTATCGCGCTGCACGTGACTTTGAGCTTGGTCCAAAAAAAACTTCGGCGATCACTGACGTGTTGACATCAGCTCCTCGTTCGATTAAAGCACTGAAATCATAGTCGATATGGCCGGAAAACGCAAGAGAGAGACAGCCGTTGTCTCGCGATCGAAAAAGTCCGAAGAGGCGAGCCCTCCGCCAGCAGATAATGCCCAGGACATCTTTCGCAAATACTTTGAGGCGCAGTTCGAGCCGATAGAGGTAGCTCCTGTAAAACCTGTCGATGAGTCCGAGTCGGAGGACGATGAAGACGACGAAGAGGGCAGCGATTTCTCAGGAGAGGAGTGGGACGGTGTCTCAGAAGAAGACGAGGACGAAAACAGGGTGGAGGTTGTTGAACACCGGGACGCCAGCACCGCTGGAGATGAGATGATGGATAAGTTGGCGCGGAAAGCGTTCCTGGTAAGTATAGCCCTCTCGGTTACTCCAGAGTGTCTCTCTAATATGAAATTCGCAGGACGGGAAACCCACCTTCGATCTTACGCCAAAGACAAGTGCGAAATTAAACCCAAAAGAGGAAGAGGAAGAAGCCGCCGCTGATGCCGATAATCTCAAGCACGACCTTGCCCTACAACGACTGCTTAAAGAATCACATCTACTTGAATCCGCAGACGACCTTGCACCTACCGGAAAGAACCGATTGAAGGCTCTGGACTTGCGCATGCAAGAGCTTGGGGCGAAGACGTCGCTTTACAAGCAGAAAATGCCCGACGCACACCGACGAGGCATCAACGCCAAGGCTGCATCCAAGGACGAAAAGCGCCGACGCGAAGCTAAGGAGAACGGCATTATTCTTGAGCGACCCTCTAAAGTTACGAAGTCGAACAACAACGGACGAAGAGAGCGCGGCGTGGGAGGCTCTTCTATCGGTAAGTTCTCGGGGGTACTTTGAACCTGAGCAAGTCAGATCTTCATTCTATGAAAAGTGCTCCGAGGGAACGCTCGGGCAGAGGCGGCCGTGGTGGTCGAGGCGGAAAGGGCGCCAGAGGTCGTCGTTGAGAACAATCTCCCGCGGCTACAAACTTATTTTCGCCATTAATTCATCTATGAATTCATCGCTTTGAAATCATCGGCAAGTGGCGCACGGGTCGTGGCCATCTTTGTCGGCATCCACGAATACATCATCTTATACCCTAATACAAACATCTCAAGGATCATGAGCCACCACCTCAATCTCGACCCGCATATCATCTTCTCCGAGTCTAGTCACCCCGACACAAGTCCAAATCGGCTGGTGATTGGGCATCCAGCGCTTGAAGTTGCGCACCATGGCCGCCAGAGCCTCGTCATTGATCGGGACATGGTACGAGTTCACCCGGAATACCTGCTCCCAGCCCTTTCCACCTGCATCCTTCAGGTTCAATTCGACATTTGAAAAGGCCTGATCAATCTGCTCGTTGATCTCTTTGTAAAAGACGCCGGTTTTCGGGTCCCAGCCCCCTGCAGGAGCTAATGTGAGCGCGATCCAGGCAGTGATGGGGATAAGCCAATTCACCTTGTCCTGCGCATTCGATGCGGTCGCCAATGCGGACGGCTTGACTATATCTGAAGTTTTTTTGGTTTCTCTGGCCAACGCCTTCATAGTTGTAGTATTGCAGGTGCGACATTTTGAGGTCGTCTGGGCTTGACCTTGGTTCTTGAAATGGCGATGTCGCTAAGTTGAACAGTGTCTGAATTTAAAAGGGCTACTTAGAGGCTTTTAATTGAATCCCGAGACGGGGTTTGACTTCAAATTTTCTCAGATGACCCACGCAGTTTCTGTCAATTCGTATAAGAGTGAGGGGCAAAGGTGGAATATATATTCCGCTTGCGGTGCCACGTTTTATGATGCAACCGGTTTACCCACAAAAGCACAGCTTATTTCGTATCATCCCAACGAGGAAAATTTACTCATCATCCTGTTACTTGATTGGTAGTTTAATTCAATTGCTGGAAAGAGGAAGAATTTCTAAATATACGCCCACTGCCTTATGGAGTATGTATACTCCAAATCAAGCATAGAGGACTCCATGTCACAACTTCGACGCTTATTATGGAAGTTAGTTCCTATAGAGACCTGGCTAGAGACTGTGCAAAGACTTGTCGTAGTATGCACCATATCTGGGTATCGGTCATTTCGTAAAACAGCAACACGCGTATCTCGATCTCCACTGATATAGGATTCCTCAGGAGGGGGACGGGCGTGGCAATACTACTATCTAGTCCGATTTGTACCACATTTTACTATTACCACGCACTTTCTTTCGACACACACTATCGATAAAGAAAAATCGAAAAGATCGCGGGGCAACAAGACGATTCGCACTTTTGATGTGAAGGCCCCGCGGAGAGTTGCGACGGATTCACTTTGGAACGAACGATTCGTCACCCCCGGTTCAATATGGCCGAGTCTACGCTTCCCTCGACGCTCGACAGCGCCTTCGAGGCACCTCTCAAAGATCAATATGACCCTGTCCGCCTGACCTCCGAAAACATCGTGCCGATACTCGAGCTGCCCCTCGCAAAGAAGCTCCTGGGCCACAATGCCTCCTACAGCGACACCATTGCTAAGGTCGCCCGCGATGAAACTTCCTATACCACTTTCGTCGCCGACCAAGCCCGCACCGCCCTGCAGACCCCATGCGAAGGTCTGACCTCCGAACAAACACAATCGCAGATCCTACACATCGGTTTAGCTGCTCTGTTCAGCTTCCTGCAGGCGAATGTCACCGGTCCTCCCCTCGAATTCAACTCGGCCGATACTGTCCTCCCCGCTGCCCTCCGAGCCGATGTTCCTACCCTGCGCGCTGTTCGAAACAAGATTGTCAGGGAATGGTCTGTTGATGGAGAAGCTGCATACAAGCTCACGCCGAACCCCGAGCTGTTCGCTGTTGCAAAGGCTCTGCTTTCTGATGCAGGTCTTCGGGGTGCAGTCGCAACTAAGACTGCTCGCATGCGCGTCAACTTCCTCCACCAGAAGATGCTGTCGGAAGTTACGAGCACATTGCAGGATGTGATTTATAAGGATGCGGACGAGTTGACCAAGTCGGAACTCAATCCTGACGAACAGAGCCACTTCTTGCTGGAGCGCGCAATTATCAATACTTACCACGGATTTGATGGCAAGGCACGGGCGGATCTTGATCAGGCTTGCAAGGCTCGGAATTTCGAGTTCGCCTTGACAGGACAAATGGGAAAGCGCACCAAGTTCCAGGAACGCGATACCAGTCAGCTTGTGGTTATTGCTAAGAGTGCTGGGGAAACATCTAAGAATGCCGAGGCCTCTGGCCCCAAGAAGTTGGATTTGAACGATGATACCCTTCTGGAAGCTATTTCGTTTGCCGATAAGAAGTCGGGTACGGTTCAAAATGAACTTCCCACGGCGCTTCAGTCCGTCGACCCTAATGACCAACCGATTTTGAACCCGGTTGACTCTGCCATTCTGCTGGCGATGGCCTCTGCAATCACGAACACGGCACCAGAGAACGGATTGACTCGCGAGGAAACACAGCCCTATGCAACTCGGGTGCTGGAGGGTGGAAGCTCCAACTGGCAAATCTATACTGAGGCACTTCTTGTCCGCAGTCGTGTGGAAGGATATCGTGCCCGTACAGTTGAACGGTCCGTCCTGCAAATGCAGGCGCTTGTTGACCAGGTTATCGCTGATACAGCTACCGATGACTCGGCGGCCCAACAACCATCTTCTGAGCCCACTACTTTCCTGCCGCGTCCTGAAAAGTCCGAGTCGGCCCCGGCCGCTAGCCGTCTGGAATACGTCTGGCTCATGAACTTCTCGACTCGCTGGAAGTTGGAGGCTGAGCTGGCTAAGCGCTGGGTCGAGCTGGGTGGTCTGCGCACAGCTCTTGATATCTACGAGAGACTCCAGATGTGGGCTGAGGCAGCTCTCTGCTATGCTGCAACTGAGCGAGAGGAGAAGGCTAAGGCTATGGTGCGTCGTCAATTGTACGAGGCCACTGGCCAGGATGAAGACGACGAGAATGAGCAGTTCGAAGGCCCCGAGCGGTCACCTTTGCCTGCGGACGCACCTCGTCTCTTTTGTATTCTTGGAGATATCGATAAGGATGAAAAGTTCTATGAGCGTGCTTGGGATGTTTCTGGCCAGAGATATGCTCGCGCTCAACGATCTCTGGCACGACACTACCTTGCCCTTACACCGCCAGAATTGGAAAAGGCGGAGGATGCCTACCGCAAGAGCTTGCACATTAACCGTCTCAACCACGGCTCCTGGTTTGCTTTTGGCTGTGTCCAGCTCGAACTCCAGAAATGGCAGGAAGCCGTTGATTCTTTCACCCGTTGCGTGCAACTAGACGACACCGACGGAGAAGCCTACAGTAACCTGGCAGCGTCCATTATGCGCATGCCAGAGGAAGAGCAGAAGTTCGAGATTACGATCGATGAAAGCACCGGTGAAGAAACCAAGATCGAGTCCGACCCCTACAAGCGGAAGCGCGAGGCTCTCGCTGCCCTCCAGCGCGCCGCTCAACTCAAGAACACCGATGCCCGAATCTGGGACAATGTCCTCACAGTCGCAGCATCAATCCCACCTCCCTCAACACCATTCCGCGACGTCATCACCGCTCAGAAGCGCATCATCGAACTCCTCGGCTCAAAGAAGGGCGAAAAGTGCATTGATGGACCTATTCTGGCTGTCCTCGTCGACTTCTTGATCACAGCTTTCGATTACGAGTCTCTCCTCATCGAATCAGACTCCGGCCCCGTCGTCCGAACTGGTACAATCCCGGGCCAAATCCTCTCTCTTATTGATGACAACGTCGTCCCTCTCATCACACACTCCTCCGCCCTCTGGCTCCTCGTCTCCCGAGTCGAGATGTTCCGCCACCGACCCGGCCGGGCTCTTGAAGTCCAGGAAAAGGCGTGGCGAGCTGCTGTCGCCGCTTCTGCGCAGGGCGCTTTCCAGATGGGTGATGAGAAGCCCTGGTTGGAGGTTGTCCGCGCTACTGAGAGGCTTGTTCGTGATGGTTATGCGAAGTACGGTCCAATGGATCGTGAAGGTCAAGAGGGGGCTGATGGGGAGACGGAAATGGTTGCTCCGGACTGGCGGTTTAAGGCTCGGAGTGCTATTAGAGGAATCCTGGGCAAAGGCAAGGACTTCTGGGTGGACTCTGATGGATGGATGAGGTTGAAGGAGTTGCAAAATGAGGTCACTGGCAACTGAGTATATACTACTTTGGAAAATAGCGTTGATGCATTAGACTTGTCGTTATGGGTTCATGAGTTCATGAAACAATGTCCTTGAATTTTTTTATACTGAAGTTCTTCAAGTCCTAATAAGAAGTCATCCGTGCTGGGTAACTGTAGAAAAGAGTAACTCTGCGACTCTTTAGGCTATTTCTCAGAATTCTGAGGCTTGCTTGCATCGATCTTCCGCTTCAGCATTCCACAGAAACTCTCAAACAACACACTATCCGTGCCCTGGATCCAGCTGATCAAAACAGGCACCTCGTTCGTGCTCGAAGTCTCGGACTGACCCCGAACAAGCTTTGCCTGGATCCGAACACCCAAAGCAACATCTTCGGGGACAGCATCCAAATTTACATAGGAGCCCTCTTGACCAGCCAACTTCATCTTACGTCGTGCCTGTCTCGACCAAACATTCTCCGCAGCAAAGCCGACGCCAGCACTGAGGCTTTTGTCCCAACTCCAGTACCAGCGCAGCGAGCCCAGCTCAGCATTTATTGAGGCAACGGCGCTGTCGATTGAAATCTCCGATGGTAATGTGAAGGTGTAGTCGGCAGGAAATGGAAGCAATTGCTTGGGGAAGCCGGGGATTCCCCTAGCCGCGGTCTGCAAGATATTAGCCATAAGACACTTCATTCTGAAATGAATAGGAAAATCACTCACCATAGCAGGTCGATGATCTCCCCACGACCAGGCGATAGCCCAGCGCTTCGTTTTACTACCTTGCACGAATTCAGTGACAGCGTAATTGTGGTTCCCGTGCTTGATGAGCTTTTCAACGAGCACGGGCACGCTGCTGAATTTTCCCAGCATTGATGTATACCACTGGATCCGCGTTCGGAGATGCAGACTCTCTTCAATCATCTTGGTGACGAATGCAATTTCGCCGCCTGAAGTGACCATTTCCACGTCTGTGCCTGTGCAAACTGAAGAGGGTTTCTGTTGTTTGCCTTCGGCGGATTGGACCATTTCTTCATGTGATGTGTAGAAGGGGGGATTGCACATTGTGAAGTCAAGGCTTGGGTAATCAGTAATTAATTTTGCGCATTCAAGTACTGACATGTATTTACCTTTCCTTCTCGATCTTTTCCAGTGGGAAGAGTAGATCTTTGGTATCTGTTTTTATCACACGAATCCGTGATTCGAGATGATTGAGTTTGACATTTTTCTGGGCAGTGCTTACATTGTTCTCGTCGATATCTGGACAAAAATTAGAGCTGGCTTCAGTCGGATAGGGCCGCAGAGGTCTTACCGGTTGCGACAAATTTCCAGCCAGGTCGCGCTTTGCAGCCGAGCAAAGGATAGATGCTACAGCATCCAGTTCCGCTGCGAATAATCAGCTGACTAGTTCTTGAATAGAAGTCATGCTTTACTTACATGTCAAGTCCCACGACTTCACTTTTCGGATCGTATCCACCGTGGATAGTTCCTGCACTCGAATCGACGAGATCATGCAGCCAGATGATGTAGTTCAATCTGGGAAGGTTAGACTCCCTTCGATAAAGTCATTGGGCATCTGCATACCTGTTCGGGACCTATTGATTTACTCATCAGTCTATGCTCCAATTTCCCACTAATTTCAAACATACTGGTGGGCAAAGTCGGTCTGTAGGCAATTCCACCTTCAAACCAAAGTCCTGCTCGAGCAGAGAGGTCGTCAACTGTCTGCCACAAAGTCAGTCGCCAATCCAACAATCAAAATCCTCTAGGTTGATTAAAGACTCACCGGACAGCATCCGGGTCATTGAAATCCAGCTGGCCATTTGAGTTCACACTGGTGATGAACTCATTAGTTCGAGTCTTCAAAGTGAGTTCCAAGCAAGGCAGTCGACACACTATTTCGCAAGCTCCTTTGACTGTAGCGCGAGAGCTTTGAAGTCAACGTCGTTCTTGTAAAGACTTCGTAGAAACTCCATGGCTGCGATGATTGACGGAGGTGTAGGACGGATGATCGCGCGGGATGGCTGTATAGCGACGGGAGGCAGCAAGGCGGCGAGGCATCAAGGCAGAAATATGAGATAACACGTGATTTGTCTACTGGCACTGCACTTACAACCATGAAAGGAGAGTGCATTCGGCAATGAGAATTCCAAAAGTCTAAAGTTTTAAAAAGCCATTATTTTTCTTTTTCCTACTCAATTTCTCGAAGTCTCGTGTTATTCTGCGAAAATTAATAAGCAGTAGTATTCTTTCTCAAGCCAATTTAAACCACTCTATGTACATCAAGCAGTCCAAAAAAGTAAGTCACAGAAATAATATGTAGGTATAGAAATTGAAAAAGCCAAACACAGGGTTCATATGCAAAAATGCTGAAACACCGTTCATCAAATCGTAGAGAGCCTGGCGCGTCGCAGAGATCAGCTTTTTGCCAGGGGTATTTTGTTCGCCGATGCGAAATATGTTTGTGATTTTCCCCGCAGTTATGCTGGTTCAGCGATGCTATTTCTTTTGGTATGCCTTAAACAGCCTGTTCCTTCCTCTTGAGTCGCTTGTTCCGCTCAAGGCGCCATCCAGCACCCCAACGCATCTCGATGAGGATAAGCGGGACCATGTGGAGGGTGATACCCGCAAGCAAGAGAAATGTATACTCGGCAGTGATGGCATCGATAATGGGTTGGACAACAGCCACGCCCGCGGCACCGATCAAGCACCGGATCAGGTTGTTGACGGCAGTCGCACTGGCACTCGCACCCGGGTAAAGGTCGATAACCAAGGCACTGTTGATTGTGAAGATGGCGGTAGCGCAGTATGCGATGATGTATTGGAGGATAATGGGAAGGGCGAGGTGGGTGTGGAGCGAAAATCCATAGGCAGCTGTGCAGACGATGAAAAGCGCGGTGATCCACCAGGTGTTGCGCATGCGGGCGTATTCGATGGGGAAGTCGGGGTGGGTCTTGGTTGTGATGCGCGTCTCGAGGGGAAGGTTTTTGTGCATGCAATATTCGCGCTCTGTCCGTTTGTGGTTGAAATCCATTAGATAGCCGATGGTGTAGGAGCCGGACATGCATCCGCAGCCTGATTGAGATTAGATTGATGTGAGAAGAATTTGGGTATGGACAACTCACCATTTCCGAGGAAGGTCAAGCCGACTTCTAACGAGTTGAGGCCATATCTAGACTCGAACAAGTCTGAAGTAGAGGATGTCACCATCGACCAAACAGTGTAAACAATGGCGCCAAAGAACAAGGTGATAAAGACGTCTTTTTCTCCGAGGAATCCAAGTGGAGCAAATACAGTCTTAACAGTTACTTTCTTCTTTGGCTCTGACGGGACAGAATCCGGCTTCGCATCCCGCTGGCCGGTGAAGTAGTATATGAAGGGCTTGTAGACACCGTGCAGGGGGACGGTGCCATTACCGGCAATGGTACGAAGAGTCTCGGGAAGGAAGAAAAGGATGGAGAGAAGACTCAGTCCGGAAACAATAGTCAAGAACCAGAATATGGATCTAAACCCCAGGTACTGGGATAGAATACCGCCAAACACCGGACCAACACCTTGACCAAGCATGCGAACTACTCCCTGTTAGACCGGCCCAACTTAACCGTGACGCACATAAACGCCAACTTACCTCCACCAAAGATTCCGACCAAGCTTCCTCGCTCAGCCGATGTGGTGATGTCACCAATCACTCCGGCACCTGTCGTGGTTGTCAGTATGTGTACGACATTGGAATGTAAAGGAGGCGGGGTGACATACCAATTGAAATGGTAGCCGCGCTCCCGGCAGCTTGCACGGCACGGAACGCCATCAACTCTCCGTAATTGGTCGACACGCCCAAGGCAATGTTGGCAATCATGTAGACGATGAAAGTTCCCATGAAAATTGAGCGCCGGCCAAGGACATCGGAGAAGGAGCCCCAAAAACTGGGTGCCAAGCCTTGGACGATCATGTATACGGTAACGGTGAGGGTAGCGAGGGACATGGAGATGTCCAATTCCTAGACGAAAGATAGTGAGATGCTGTCCGAGTCAAACTTTTTTGGCATGATTACTTACTCTGGAAATCTCGCCGAGTGCTGGGAAGTAGATATTGGAGGATAGCGGAGAGAAGATGGCGGCGAGCGAAACTATGCACACCATTTGCAATTTGCGAGATCGGGAGAAGACATGGTAGGGTGGTAGAGATGTAGTTTTTCCTTCCAGGTTGATCGAGTCGGACGAAGGTGTAGGAAGTCGCTTCTCATCTTGGGGTGACAAGGTAGGGCTGGAGTTTGTGCTGGAATTGGTGCTGGAGTTCACGGAGTACTCAGTGACCCGAAGCTCCTTCAGGGAGTCCGGAGATTTGGGCGAAGGCATCGTGGAGTCGGAACGAATCGAGAATAAAACACTGGGTCCGGGAGAGCATAACTCGGAGCACGCAAACAAGCTGGCCAAACGGGTGTGGAAAGGGCTGGTCTTCTTGCCCCAGACTTGTCAAGTCGGAAAATAAACGCTTTGTCTGCTGTCGAGGATTGGCATGTCGTGGACCCTTTTGTATTCCTACGTCAGTCTAATGCCCCTGATAGCTCACGTCTGAAAATACACTTACCCAGGTCTATGCGTCTGGAAGTCAAGACCATGTGCTCCACTGTGGATTCAGCCAAGGGGACCACCCATCCCCCATCCCCTTGGCAGTTGGACCGGAGAAAGTAGCAAGGATCGGACGAAGATGGTAAACCGGACGCCGCTCCCTCGACGATAGATGGGGCGTGATCAGCAGAGAAAGTCCGGCCTAGATGCCTACTAGTAGTATGCATCCGGCTGTCATGGCCACACCATATAATATGAGTACTAGTGTTTTCTTTTCTCGAATGCCGTTCCTTCTCAGCCTCGAGCGCTTACAACGCCCGTACTCAGACACAATTGAGCGCTATAGATCCTAGTAACTTCGAGACATTTGGAATAGATCTCATATGAAACATCCGTCGCCCTGACATACAAACTTTGTAGTCAAATTCCATACCCACTCGGGGGGATTCTTCCGGGGTCTGTATACGCGTATCCCACGTAGTGACTATGGAAGGATCTGCGTATGCATACAACGAGCGGCACGCCAATAGGGCTCACAGGGCTTGCCTTACGACAATCTTTCCGCTGCAGTGCCATGAAACAGCTCGGGAGCTTACTGCCTCCTAAGAATTCCCGGTGTCCTGCAGACATGGACATGCATGATAACAACGTCGTAGAAAACCAGTTGCCAATTAGTTCACCCATGTGAGCTCTTGGCAGAACAAGTATCTCGCACATGGTCTCGAAAGCAGCATCGGACGGGTTGTCGGCGTTGTCCTCTCCATCCGAGACTATCTCGGGCTGTCAAGCAACGCCAAGCTTGCCCACTACCTGCTGGGGGCATGTTTCAGGGGGCAGCAATTCGATTCATACGCCAGTGACTTACGTAGACGGCGTACCAAAAGGGGAATCCATTTTGTGCTATTTTCCGATTTGTATTGGTGCCTCTCTGTATAGGGGAAAGTCCTGTCAGCCCTTGCTGGCCCAGGCAGGAAAAGGGACTCGGGGTTCCATAGCCCAATGACAGCAGGCAAAGCATTGCAAGGGCGCTGATAAGCGTGCGAGGCTGTACCCGCAAAATAATGTGACCAATGCACCTCCAGTGCCTCAAGCCCCGGCATCATCGGTGGATCTGGAAGGGACAAGAATGCGCCCTCGGTTCGCGCTAGATAGGCATGATCGACAATCGAACGGCTTCTACTGACGACTAATTCCTGCCGCCGATCCACGCCCGTCGATCGCAGACCCACCACGCCCCTTTGGCGCCAGCGACAGGGGTGCATTGGGTCCATGGCTGCATCGTCTGCTCGAGGCCTCACGCAGAGGACCATGGACCTCCACTATGCGTGCTAGAACGATGCACGAAGCCGTCTAGACCACATGGCGGAGCTGCTCTTGACTGGCTATTGCCCGTGACGCGCGAGTGTCTTGTCTTGCACCGATCGGCCGTCAGGATCTTGGTCAGTGTTCATTTGCGCTGTCGCCATCGAGGGTCGGAATTTTTCTGCTCGGGTAGAACCTTGCTCGCATTTGCCTTATAATAGGGCTGATGATATTCGTTCTTGGCTCTTAGCTCGGGTTTGTTTGGTCGTTTGGTGTTGGCAACATCCAAGTCTCCAATTTTCAGGTCGACCGAAAAACCCGCCGAGATGCAATTTAGGACCGGCTTCTTGGCTGTCGTGAACCGGCCGACGGACATCCCGACTCGGCTAGCCGATTGCAACCCTCCTCAGCGCCCTCGTGCATACAATTGCAGACGAGGATTGGTGGATCGAGGTCGTCAAATGGAATCAGCACCCGATATCTCCACTTGGGTCAGCGTTGGGCCTGGATTCTTCTGTTCACGGGTTGACGGGAGGGGAAAGGGCTTGATGATGTGTGAAGAGGAATAAGGATCCAGGTCTATTGACTTCATGAAGTGCTCAAAGGGGAAAAGCACCCGGGAAGGTTTTCTCGAAAGGGGATCCACTCACTTCTCCTTGTTTTCAGTCTCCTTGCCGGGCTGCCAGAATAGCAGCCACCATCGCTCTCTCAAAACGAAGTGTCCACCCACGTTTTCTGTCCCGTCCGTTTGGGAGACATCTTCTTAGTCAGGATCTGCTTCACATGGCTTCTGTCTTGTTTCGATCTTGCAACTTCCTTCACCGGCGTACCGTGTCGAACTTGCTTCGTGCGTCTTCGTTTGCGGCCGCTGGCTAGAAGTGGAAGGTTGATTTCTTCACCTACGCCGAATTTTGTCATACTATGACAATGGGTCTTTAGGTCGGCTCTGTGACCTTTCTGCCCAATGCGAAACGATATCAGGTAGTGGCTATGGTGCTCTCTAGTTCTCTGGGCTCTTTGGCTCGTGTCCTAGGATACCATTTCTCCTTTCGCATATTCCCGGAATAGAAATGAGCCCTCCTGGGTTAAGGGGAACGTTCAGGTCGCAGGCATTTGAGACTATCACCAAAATTCTCATCAGATTAATTGACTGCATCATGGTGGCTATACAAAATAAAGCTGGGCAATCAACTAGATGATAAATCAAACCAGCCGTTGCTACAGAACCAAATCAAATGCAAAGCAATTGAAATTTTCCACAATGATTCTGCCTAAATGCTATAGCAACGCCACGGCCGATAAATGTGCTGTGTCTCAATAAAACGCATGGGCCACGTCCTCGGCGGATCTACACAGCCCCTCGGCCCCAAAATGCTTGCTGGGTCGCTGTTGAATAGCTTCTGAGCCCCTTCCCCTTAACAAAGTACTCACTGATTCACCAGACGAGCAAGTCAGCATATTGAGATTAAGGCGTCATCTTCAATGATCGCATATAGATCATAACGGATCCATCGCCAGGGAAAGCCCCATGTCTGCAAGCACACTTGGCGCAAGGCCAAACCAAGGCTATTGAAGCGGCCGGCACAAGGCATGAATATGTAGAATAACCAGGGAAACGCACGAAGAGCTTCCTTGGCTTCTAGGTTGTGGCAAGTACAAGATCTCAAAATCTCGCTCCGCCATTTCAGGGCTTTCTTGGCAAAAGCTAATTCGCTGAATAAATTGACACCAATTGATATGAAGTGAGGATCGAAGTCACTCTAAAATCCACCGTTGTCCAGGGCGACACGCGAACCAGTTCCGCGGTTCCCAGGGGATATGTCTGGCCGTCAGGCTGACACCCTATAAGGCTCTATCCGAGAGAACGCCCCTGATCGTCCTGGCTGGCGAGTAGCGGGGCATAAGGAGAGCTCGAGTGGGGCCGGAGGGTGATTATCGTCTTCCAAATCGTATGGATCCCGATAAATCCACCACGATAACGGGTGATCTGCTCTGGCCTTGGCCAAGGAGGTTGGGCTCGAACTTGCGCGCCGGGGCATGACGATCGCGTAGAACCGATTTGCGCCAGCGGAGCTCGAGCGGAGTGCGAGCGGAGTCCAAATACTCCGGCCCTTGGCATCGCTTGTGTCCTGGTGACCTCAGTGTGGTCTTGTTTTTGGGCGCTGAACCGGCGTTGGTGCGAAAGCTAATCTTCGTTCACGTGTACCTTGGGTGTGCAATCTCCTAACCGAGGGAGATAAAACGTGCTGGCTGGTCAGTGCCCGAGATTGACTTTGATGCGATATCTTCCGAGGTTGAACGAGGACCTTTAGGCGATAAGTAGATTTGAGACTATGCATTAGTGCCAGTCTCGGCATGCGACATCTTCTGCAACGATTGCAGGCGATACCAGATATGCAGGTCTTTCGGGTTTTCTGCTTTCACTGTAGCTGCCAGCTCGTGTTGGTCTCTGTTTCTGGGACACTGCCAGTGTTATTCATCCCTTCGACATGGTCGGTTTTAGGGGTGTCCCGTGACTGTGCTTATCTAGCGTGGAAGCGTGTCGTACACGGGCCACGGTATAGCTGATAATATAATCGCTTTCCATAGTTATGCAAAGGCTACGCCCACTGCGCTGCATAGTTCACGCCATTCTGAGTCTAGGATCCTACCAGGTATGACTGAAAAATGTTGACAGAACTGTGAAGCAAGAATGCCATTTCGGACACTTTTGTCAGCTGCTCATTGCTTGGAAAATGGTGTCTGGCTGTGGGTTACATGAATATGCAGTCGAGGGTTTTCAGTAGCTACGTCACAGAGTTTCCGAGAAGACCTCAGTAAACATAACTAACCTGGAATGTGTCTCCGGTGAAGATACCACGAACGGTATTGAGCTGCAGTAGAGTGGATCCTTCCTCAGAGGAAAGTCCGGTATGCAGAACACTACACAATCTGCAGTCTTTCAGACCAATCTTGGCAGGGATTTAGTTTATTGGCCACTGTGATCAATATGTCACGAAATCTGCAGGTTAAATCGCGCTCTTGGCGGTAATCGAAAAACCTGCAGAATCTAGATCGAGACAGGACCTTTGGTAGCCAAGAATCTGCCTGAATTGCCGCAGAGTTAGCGCTGATCTGATAAGGCATAATTGACGACCGGGAAAGTGAGTAACCGGTGGTATGAGTTGCCACAACGTGTGGGCATGTTACGAAAACCAAGTCGAGATTTTCACAGAGAAGATTGGTTCGTAAGTTGCAGCAGTGCAACCTTAGGATTTTCATGGATGACAAAGCCACGCGATCCCTTGGACTCGGTTTTTCATGAACTCGGCGAGTCGTTGGGGGTCATTCTTGAATGTCGCTGCAGTTTCAGAGCAAGATGATGGTTCAAAAACTCGATTCAAATCAAGGTCAAAAGAGGACTTGAAACCCTTAACTAATGTGATGTTTTTCACATATGAATGACTATATATATCCACGGTCTTTACGGCGGCCAGATCTTGATATGAGGACATGGAATCAACATAACTTTGGTGATAAGCGCCGGAATTGTAACATCTCAATTTCACGCGGGGCCATACAGAGTGCAGCCAGTAATAAATTTACAGAGCCAGGCTTCATGAGGCAGAGGGTGGACCCTCTTCTCAGCAATTAATGTTCAGTTACCAATCGGGAAGATAGAAAGAGATTAACCCTTATGTAATACTTACTCAGTACATTATCAACAATCATCCCATATGGTGTAGTGGTTAACATCGCCGTCTTTCACACGGCAGCCGGGGGTTCGATTCCCCCTATGGGAGATTTCCTTTTTTCTTTTCTTGATTTACAAGATCTATTTTTTTATCTTTAACATTCCAATTTTTTTTATTTTAACCGAACCTTGTAGTTTAATCATAATTCCCAATACGATCGCAATAAGAAACACCCTCACTGCGCCACGCGCGCATGCTCCCTCAAAATGCGATTCAGCCCATCCCGCTGTAAACACTCCTCGAAACTAAAACTTCTCGCCAACTCCTCCAACTCCTCCTCATCTTTCCCCTCAAACAACATGGCAAACTCCTCCACAAAAGAAGCTGCCAAAAATGTATTAAACACATTCCGGGTAACATGCATCTCCGTATTCCAAGACGTCGGATACGTATTCCTCGCCGTCGGACTAACACGATCAATCCACTCGACCAACGGCCTCAGCAAAGCCTCGCCTTCCGTCGCAGGGTGCTGTCCCCACTTATCAAGTCTCAATTCCCGCTTCTTCTTGAGGAACGGCGCGATGGTTTGATTCCATTTACTTTGCGGGTTCGTGTAGACCATTCCCTGCATGCCGATGTCTTTATAGAGCCAGATGGACCAGTTGATGCGGTGCTTTTCGTAGATGCGGAGTTGTTCGCCGAGAAGATTGTATCGTTCTTGGTTTATGGTTTCTGCGTCGGCGTCATCGTGGGCTGCGTAGACGGGGCCGAATTCGCCGTTCCAGATTGGGGTTCTGTGTGAGGCCATGAATTGGATTTTGCGCTCGTATTGTCGCACTAGTCGGTCTTTTTGTGTGGGGGTCCCCTTGTATCGCTCGCCGCTTGGGAAGCCCATGGACTGTTCACAATGTAAGTGTTAGATCTGAGTTATGGGGCTGTATGGAACCTCAGCATACTGAGTAGTCATGCATCGCATAGACACAATTAGGTAAGACGGTATTAAACCCCTTCCACTCCATAGAGAATGTATTCCCATCCAACCAAAGAATATGATCAGGATCAACGGCGCGAATCGCCTTCTCGATCCGAGCGTAGAACACGGGAAGTCGAACATGTTCGGGGTCACATGGTTCATTGAGAGGATTGTACCCAGCGACCCAGGAGTTCTCCTTATACCGCGCGGCAATCTGCTCCCACAGCCAGACCGTGCGATCTTGGTGATCTTTGTAATCCCAGAACGCGGCATAGCTGGTCGGATTGTCGGAGTGCCAGTCAGGATTATGGCCTCCTGGCGCGGTGTGCATGTCGAGGATTGTGTAGATACCGTGCGAAGCACACTTCACGATGAGTTGTGTGAGTATTTTGGTCTCGTCGAAGGGAAGACGGACCGCTGGGGACTTACCAGGTTAACCACCCGATCCAAATGCTCAAATCCCGACTCTTTCAGAACGCGTGGATTCAAATCATCTTCGAAATGGCGATAATTGAATGGTAGTCGAAGACAGTTGAGTCCCAACTCCGCGAAGAACTCGGCGTCCGCTTCGGTGAAGAAATATTCCAACCATTTGTCGAAGAAGAACTCGTACTTCTCCTGTCCAAGAACCTTTTTCATAGCAGCTCGGTGTTGAGACTCGTGGCCTGGGAATCCGGTGATGAAGTTTTCCATGCTGGGAAATGTTATCCCAGCTCTCGCAGGTACATGCAGTATGGGAATAGTTCGACTCACTTCATCCACCCCCCAAGTGCCGCACCTCGCAGCACCACTCGTTGCCCATTCCCATCGACGACAGCGTCATCTTTGACTCGCAGAATTCCAGAGGCCATGATTTCGACGTATTTCGACTTTGTTCTGTACGCTAGAGACAACACTGAGGAATTAACTGGAGGCATCCGGGTATAAATACACAACCCAAGCCCGAGGTTTACCCACAGGCAAATCTCCGCATTGCGAACAGAACCATGAACGCGGGGGAATGAGACCAGTACAAAGCCCTTGGCACGTAAATGTGGCTTGGCTGGACCGAACGGAGTGAACCTATACGCCAGACCGGGTAATTGCAAGGGGTTTAGCCTGTACACATTACTGCGAACCGGTTAATCAACTGAGCACCTTCAGTACATTAATGGTAAGGCAGTACGTAAGGCAGTACACTGTACTTGAATACACCCTATACTGTGGTAGTGATATATTCGTAGAATGAACATGGATTCGATCATAGTAGATACAATGAAAGTCGACCAGTCAAAAATCACCAGGGTATTTGTATCGTACAAATGAAATAATTCGCCCACAACGCCAGCAGGCATAAACGCTCAGAAAATGACTCAAATGAGAAAAGACGGTAGAGAACTACCAATCCTGACCGCGATCCCGCATCAAGATCTCGATCGCCTCGTCCTCAGGAACAGGGTTATCATTCAACTCCTTGACACACTGTGTCAAACCCTCCGCGGCCTCATCTACCTTCTCCGCAGACCAACCTGTGCACGCCATCACCATGCGACGGTAGTTTTGGCCCAGAACCGCATTCTTCGCTTTCAAGCTGTCCACTTCCGCCATGATTCCCGCATTGAATGTCTGGTAGGACTTGAGTCGGTGGTTGAGGGAATCTGGGGCGGGAAGCGTTGCCAGGAAGGCAATTTGCTGTTCAGAAAATCCGGACGAGGTATCAAAATTCTCCGGGAACAATGCATCAAATGTCTCTACGTCAACGCCTGAGTCCCGGTCTGTATTGCCAACAGGGACGATGCGCGAGGGATCAAAGCCAGGTGAACTCTTCAAGGTAGTCAGTAAACCATCGGAAGATCGCTCGAGGTTTTTGATACGTCGTTCAAGTTCCACCCGCTCCGACGACTTGAGCTTGAGGTCGTCAAGCTGCTGTTGCTCGATCTGGCGTGCCTTGGCAGATTCGCGGATCTTTGAATGCCAATGTTCGAACTTTTCTTGCTTCTTGGTCAAATTTGATGCCAAATCTCGGACGATCCCACCGAGTGCCTCCCCAATCAAGGAGGTAACTTGGGACGTGGCGGCTGAAATTTCCGTCAATTGAGGATATATGCATTCATGGGCATTGGTTGACTTACTATCGATAATCTCCTTCTTCGACTTCGCCAGCTGATCAATGAATGTATCCCCCTTTTGCGATTGCGAGTTGCCGTCAACCATGTCAACGCCCACTCCATAGTCGGCAGGTCGCAGGCCAGTGTGATTAGGAATGTAAGGATCAGCACCGACCTCCAAAAGTTGCGGGACAAGAACGGAGCGCGCACGTCCAGCAAGATTAAGAGCCGTGTCACCCTGATCATCACGGAGGTTGACAATATCCGACATAAAACGAGCAAGGGAAATGACATCGCTGCCAGAATTGCCGTTTGGTTTCTGCTCACCATTGGTAGGCGCGATGATTCCTCCGTGTCGGACAATAAACTCAAGTAACGATTCGAGGTAGTGTTTGGCAGAGACATGACCACCGCCACCAGTTGCTGCCATGACGGCGATGTGATGCAGAATGGTTCGGCCACTGTAATCAACCATGTCGATCGTCGGTGCAAGGACCTGGAGCAAACGAGGGAAGCTTCGGTAATCCAAATTGTTGCGAGTGCCCACAGCTTTTTGTAGAGCAGTTTCACCAGCAAGGTTGACACGAGAGATACTCGCCCCCTTCGCGATCAGTGCATTTAACAGCGGCATGCGTGCAAGCATTGCAGCCCAGTGGAGAGCATTGTTGCGATACTCATCCAGAGGGATCTCAAGATCTTCGCCACTCAATTGCATGAGGGCCGGGTGGTTGGCGAAATCCTTGATGCGCTTATCAAGGAACAAGGTCATGATCAACCTCTGCTTCTGGAACCCTTCTGGATCTGAGGCAGGGATCATAGACTCGACACCACGTTTCTGACCATCGTCGATGGGCGGCGGTGGCGCAAGGTCCATGTCTTGGTAGAAGGAGTCGTTGGGTTCCGTTGGGGTAGGTTCGTGCATAGATAAGTTAGAGGGTTCTCGATGCAAGCCGATCGGCGGGCCATGCTGCGACTCCGAGCGAACACGTTTGCGCGGAGGCTCGACGAAGTCATCATTGTCATCCTGTGTGGGATACCGGTTCTGCAAGCTGCTAAACCCGCTATCGGACATGTACATGCTTTGCTGGCTGCTGAAGGCGATGTTGGACGACTCCTGACTGCTCATCTGTTGCGACTGCGACGGCTTGCGGATCACGCTTGAGCGTCTGCTATTGACGCTTGGCGAATCGAATCGCGCTTTGTTGAGCGCAGTGACAGCTGTCGCAGCGGTGCGCGAAATGTTCTGGAAGAATGTACCCTGCTGTGGCTGGGACATGCTCCGATTTTCCGCACCGCTGTAAAGTCGCTTCCGTTGCGCAGCCATGGCCTGTTCTTTGGTGGGTGTATCTAGTGTTCCTTGTGAAGGGGCTCCAGTGCCGTCAGCGCCCATATCGTACTCGAGCAAGGGCCGCAGCATTTCTTCGACGTGGTACTCTCGGCATAACTCAACACCCCTTTGGTAGTTGACCCATGTCCCTTGGTATTTTCCATATCCACCTTGAACCTTCTCATGTTCGCCGGCCGCAATTTCTTTCTCGAGGGTTTTCGTCCGTCGTGCCTTGACCACACCGGCCACCTTGAGGATCTGTGTTGCATTCAACCAGGAATCGGACCGACGCTTCATGACGGCGACTCCATTCACCTCCATTTCATAAACGGAAACGTTCGAATATACGGCCTAGGTTAATTGGTTGTCAGTTGACAGTCGGTCAAGGATTTTGATCGGGACGACGAACCCGATAGATCTGCGGCGCGTATTCCTCTTGATACGACATATTCGACCCATACTCATTGGACCCCTCATACCCTGCGAAGCTGCCACGCGAAGCACCGTTGGACATGTTGAACGAGGATATTTGCGGCCCTTTCGACGTCGGAGGCGTCGCGCGAGGGGTGGAGTTCAGGGATTGCGCAGTTTTCAAGGTGTTGTAGTTGAGCCCGTTCGTGGACCCAGTACTACTCTGCGAGTAGGACATGCCCTATGTAGAATCTTGGAGGTCGGATCAGTATGCCGCAAAAATTGACCAAGGTCGGATGGAGAGTGGGGAGTCTTACCGGGATAGACGCGAGGCAAAAGGAGGCGCGTATGGGCTAACCACCCTGTGAAGGGAAAGCGCAACGGGCCTAGACGAGAACCATACAAGATGGCTCGAGGATCGGGAACGAGATGCAGCGGAATGTGTCAAAAGACGATCGTGATCGGTCAATGCAATGCAGGTAAAGTCGCGGGGTTGGGGTTGGGAAGACAAGGCGCGTCCGTCCCGTGACACGCTTTCCGCCAAGGTTTTCGCGTCTTCGCCGTTTCGAGCACACTTATTTGTGCTCTTCCGTTCAAGGTCCCAATGACGTCGACTACCCCGAGGACCGCCCTCAATATCCCATGGCAGCATCTTCTTCGTGCTTCGCTGCGCGAATGCACTTACCTCCCTGACCCCCTCGCTCGAGACTACATGCGTGGCTATGTTCTCGACCGCTACCGCCGCGCGTCAGATCGGCCCGGCCGACCAGATTCCCAAAAGATTCGATCAGCCCGCCATGGACTGTCACTACTGCGAAGGGCGAACGAGGGATACCAGTTTCCTCTCGAAAAAGTGCTGTTGCTTTCATATGGTCGGGTGGGAAAACGGAGACATGAATTGCTGGCCGATTTCTTGAAACCTCCGACGCCAAAGGATACCGAGGCTGTCAAGGCGCTTGTCGCGCAGCCCGCCGAGTTTGAGGATGGCTGGGAGGCTCCAGCGAAAGTGATGTCTCTCGCCAAATCCCAGCTTCATAATGGAATTATTATGACGTCTCGTCTGAGACCGCGTGTGCTGAAGCTTCAGCCCCAGGTACCAGAGCTAAACGCATGGTTCAAACCCCTCCCTGCAGTACGTCGGAGGAACATCCGCAAAAAATGGTATCAATATACACTGAGCTGCCTGTGGCCACCACTTCCAGAACAGGATTTGGCTACTCTAGATGGATTGATATCGGGAGAAATTCCCTGGAAACCGGTTAAGCGGAGGCAGGTAACCTCTACAACATCCACCGCTGCCAGCACTGATCACCAGCTATCGGATTTCCTGGTAGATGGACCGCAAAAGGGTACGACGTTCCGCCAGTTTGTGAATGGTCGGCCACACAATATCACTGCCAGATTCATGCATCGCCAATGGAGGCGTCTGTCTGCTTTAGTGCCTCGCCAGGAATGGAACCCGCGATCAGGAAAATGGCTTTTCACATGGGATAGTGCCAAGCCTAAGCCGAAGGTGACTCTGCATGTCGATCCGGATGTAGACGTGGCCGATGTCTTTGGGGATCAGACACCGCAGCCGAGGCGCAGGATCAAGCTGACGAACGGATAATAGTCAAGTGTAACAATATAATATCTGTGTACATTAGTATTAGTATGTCCCTAGTCTCAAGTAAGCTAGGCCTCTATATTGTAATCTCAAGCCATGGGAATGAACTAGTGCGATTTATATGAATACACTAGTATAGAGTATCAACCAAGTATGCACCCAGAATAAAGCCGAGTAATAAATTTGCAATAGAATAAGTGCTACCGGACTTTCATACGAGCAAGAGTTATCATTCCGTTCAATCGTAGGGTATAAGAATAAGCTCCACCTGAGTCAAGAGGAACATGATCATCATAAGCCAGCATAGCACCCTAACCACGGGGAACCCATCAGAATCAGAACCAGTAACCGTTGAAACTCCAAAAGAAACCCAACACAAACTCAATCGGAGCTCGAACTCGACGAGCTAGAGCTAGACGAGCCCTTGCGCTTATGGTGCTTGTACTTCTTCTCCTTCTTATGCTTCTTATCCTTCTTATGTTTCTTGTGGTCCTTGCTATTCACAGAAAACCGTCAGAGCCACCCTTACACACAAATCCCGGGGAGAAAAAACTTACTATTCATGCGTAGCCACGTTCATACCAACAGCACCGAGCGCCGCACCCGCCGCAGTCCCCATAAACCCACCACCGAGCTTGTGGCCCGCAAAGCCACCAGCTGCACCACCGACAAGCGTAGAGCCAAGCCCCTTCTCGCCCTCTGGCCCGCCAGGACCCGGCGCGTATCCCGGCTGGCCTGGAGTAGGTCCTTCACCGTAGTACGAGGCATTCGCGCCTTGAGGCGGGTACTGCTGCTGCGGGGGATAGGGCGAGTGGCCGCGGTCTTGGGGCGGGGCGCCGTAGCCAGGTTGCCCGGGATATTGTCCGTGGGGTTGTTGCGCGCTGTATGGAGGGGGGTAGCCCTGCTGGCCATATTGAGCTGGTGGCTGGCCGTACTGCGGCTGGCCGTATTGACTCGGAGGTTGACCGTAGCCGTGTTGCTGCGGGGGTTGTCAGCATGGTGTTTACAGATCCCAGAGATCAGGCGTAGTCCAGTCCCAGTAAATATTCATTGCGCGATGCCCGCGCATGCAGCATGGATTCGCGCTTACCTCTGGAGGATAGTAGCCCTGCGGCGGAGGACCACCGTGGCCCTGAGGGTAGCCCTGGCCCTGCTGGGCATAGTAATCGCCACCACCGTACTGGTTAGGCGGGGGACCACCGTATTGCGACATAATGAAATCGGAGATGTAGGGATATGAGGGGTGAGTGAGAGTTGACGGAGAGAAAAGACAGAGTCAGCACGGCAGTCGCAATTAAATACGGGCGCGGGGCTGAGATTGAAGCACCGCCTCAACGGTTCAGGGGCCCTCAGATCGACGGCACAGCCTCCCACCAGCCTCAGCTCGTCTCACTCGGCTGGTGGGACGGCTATTCCTAACCGGGCGTGCTGTGCGAGCGCTTGCTGGGTGCGCCAAATGGATGTCTTTTTTCTATACATATCGAGATATTGGGGCGGTTCAAAAATATTCTACTGGATGCAGCGATGCGATGCCCCGCAGTTGACACTTGGGATGGCGTCACTGCGGGAACTTGCATGCAGCTGCAAGAAATGTCCGAGAGAGATGGCGATCTGATGTGACTAGAAGGGTTTGGTGCTCGTCTGCTAATTCTCCTGGATATCGATAGACTACGAGTCACTGGAATGTTGTTTCGTTAATGCCGCGGGTAGCCCGGCACTGCGCTACGAGTGGAGTTCAGGGTCCATGACCAAACAAGGCAACAAATACGAGCGACAAGCTTTTGCTAGACTGTTCAGCCCAGTCTTAAAAGGGGACTCCCTCAAAACAAATACTCCCTACAATCGAGCACACTCAATACTAGTCAACGCCAGCACACAAAATGACAGATCCAAAAAACCCAAAGAAATTCCCCCCTTCACCGACACCCACGGCATAATAACAACAACAACAACAACAACAACAACAACAACAAACGACCTCCCAGGCTACAAAATCAAGAGTGTTCTGGGCACAATCTACGGCATCACCGTCCGTACCCGCAACTGGGGCGCAGATCTCGGCGCCGTCGTGCGCTCAGCCGTCGGGGGTGAGATTCGCTTCTTTACGAATCTGATGTATACGTCCCGCGAAGAGGCGATGGAGCGGTTGGTGGGTGAGTGTAAGAGTCGGGGTGGGAACGCGATTGTTGCGGTGAGATTCGATGTTGCGAGTTTTGGGGCTTGTTCGCAGATTTGTGCTTATGGAACTGCTTGTCGGGTGGAGAAGATTGAGGAGTCAGATGATTGATCCGTTCCTTTTCTGATGGTTGTTGGTCGAGATCTATTGGTTGAATGTTCATATCATGTTAATCTAATCTCGTCATCTAGAACATCTGTAGATACATTTTCAAAATCGCTCACATCCTAGAACGACCCAGTAACAGGCGCACCTTCAAGCTTGAAATACCCCGGCTGAAGAGTCTGATAGACACCACGAGGATCATACTTTTTCGCAATGCTCTTCAGCTTCGCCTTATTCGCCTCCCCATAACCAGCAATCGGATCCTGGAACATGCTAGCATAGTTCATGTAGATGTACTCATTGTAAACACCCACACTCTTAGCCTGCGCAATAACCTTCTCCCAGAAACTATTGACAAACGCATAAACCTTTTCATCATCCGCCTCATCACTCCACCAGGTCGAAATATGCATCAGAAGAACCGGACCATCAGCCTTATCGAGACCGAGCGCATTCCCACCAAACCGACTCATCTTCTCCAGGATGAGATCAGTAATAGCCTGGTAGATGATAACAGGTTGAATCCCAGCAACACCTTCAACCTGCGAGATCATGGAGTAAAACGTCTGCGTGACCCAGTTCGCGAAGGCCTCGTCCAGCTCCACCGCAATGGGCCAGTAGACTTCGCGGAGGTGGAACGGGTTATCGGTCTCGAGGTATTTGACGTATTCGACCAGGGTTTTCGAGCTAGCAGTGTCCGAGACGGCGGGGATACTGCGGAATTGCTTAAATATTTGCGGATCTGAGTCGTCTTTTGTGTAGGTTAGTTCGGCAGAAGCGAGGTTTGTCCCGTTGACTTGGAGGAAGGCGACGTATTGCTGGGCGTGCGGGTCGACGGAGGCATTGTTGGCGACGTTGATGAAGGCATTGATGACGCTTTTGAAAGAGGTCTGCAGGAAGGTTCGGGCGCCGCCGTACATTTTTGGGGCGGGGATTGTGTAGAGGTTGTATTTTGTGACGAGGCCGAAGTTGTTGCCACCGCCCCGAAGGGCCCAGTATAGATCCGAATGGGAGGATTCGCTGACTGTGAGAATCAAACCGCTCGCAGCAACAACCTGGCAGTGGTTCGCATTAGATGAGAATCTTCTGAGTTGTATGACCTTATAGAGGACTTACCTCGAAGCTCTCGACGTTGTCGCACGCCCAACCGTACAAGTTGGAGTGGTAGGAGATACCACCGCCCAGAACGAAACCACCAACACCAATGCTGGAAGCACGTCCACCAACAGTAGCCAGTCCGTAGGGCTCAAGAGCCGAGTAAACAGAAAGCCAATTATTTCCAGGCCCGATAGAAGCAACAGACTTGTCCTCGTTGAGAGTAACCTCGTTCATATCCTTGAACCAGATACTAATACCACCAGGGCTGCTGGAAGCCCCCGTGAACGCAGCATGGCCACCACTGCGAGCAGCAAACTCGCAGCCAGTAAGTCGGGAAAGCAGAACGGCAGTGCTGACCTCGGTGTTCTTAGTAGGTCGGAAGACACAGTGAGGCTGAACTTCTTCTTGCTGGACCGACCAGAATGAGTCGGTGAAGTTGCTGTATCCCGCGGAGTTCTGCCCTGAGACTTGCGATTTGTAGAGGAAGCTCAGGCCTGAGCACTGCGTAGATCCGGATGAGTATCTGATTGGGTTGCGGCTGAAGTGTCAGGCCTCCCACTTACCGCCGCAGCGCAGGCCTTTTCCGCCGATCGCGCTTGAATACCATTGAACGACTTCAATGCAGGGATACTCGAGACATCCACGCCCAGGTCCTCCAGTGCACTGGTCACGTTGAAATTCATCGGCTCGATCTCGCTTGCATGGGTTAGAAGGCCCAGCGCGGAGAGACCGCCAAGAAGGGTCCAGAGATGCATAATCGAAGCTCTCCGGTAGTACAAGTCGGTAGAGACAGTAGGAAGCACAGAGCTGAAGAAAAGCAGCTGCAAAGCCGACGGAATCGAGCTCTTTAACTTCCCCGGAGTTAACTGATGGTCCGGGATCTACTCATCCGGGCTTAAGCCGTTCTGGGAAAGCCGCCTGCATTGTGGAGAAGTTAGGCGTATTAATGCATCGCATTCGTCTTCGAGTCGTATTAAACGCGTGAGACATTCTATCGGTAAGCGAGGGCGCAGCCCGGTCGCGTAAGAGCGTGGCCAAGCTGCCGATGTTTTGTTTTGACACGCTTGTCTGCGATTGGTTCGCAGGCAAGGCTCGTTCTTGTCTTTCCTTTCCGGGAAGGAGTACATGTGGTATCTGACTGGATGTTCGATGTTAACTCTTGCACCAGTGTGTGTCTGCTAGCTGAGTACATGAAAGGCAGTAGTAAATTCCTGGCTATCTGAGCAGATTGATTTTGAGATGCCTTGGCTGCTCAGGAGCCTTGTCAGCAAGGAATAAACAAATATTCAACGGAGTGAGGCTAATTGCCCTCCATAGTACTCGCTTAGAGAAAAATTTGAAAAATGGGACAGTCGTAGTGACTTTAGGATTACCCCGTGTGCAAATTGAATTTCTATTGCACCGACAATAGAGAAAGGGGGTGACTGTTCAGATCCTTAAGCGAACTCGGCGCCGGCACGCCACCGGCGACCCAGCAGTCTAACCCATCCCTCTAACACTACAACAACAGACACTCCAGAAAGCAACGTCTACTGTCATAGCCAGGATTCAAGGAACTCTGGAAAAAATCCCACTACCATACCCCAAATCTTTACGGAAACCATTGACTTTGCAATTGGACACGGTTACATCGTGTTCGTGCTAGATTGGCGGCGTCGGCGGGTCAGCCGCCGGGCGTCCGCACTTGGCGATGACTGGCCCGACCCGAGGTGGGGCCTGCATCCTCCATCCTACAAACCACTCCGCGCACCTAGCCATATTACTTGCTTGGGGCTAGATTACACGATCCCTGTCGTTGCAGCCAGAATTTCTCCGTAATGATCTGGCGGGATTTTGACGGGGATGGTGGAGGATGCGGGCACTTGAAGAAAAGCCGGCCGTGTCAGGACGTTTCAGTTGGAGGGCATTTAATATGAGTGTCCAGCGCTGTTCTATATCGTCCGCTTCACTGCAGGACTATCCCCGCGTCTCAGCTGCTTCCGCTGGCAGTGGCAGTGATGGGGTCTGAAGCACATTTTGGTCCGGACACGATTAAAGGAACGGGGATTGCGTTGATCGTGCTGACTTCGCTGGTCGTCGGGGTGCGGTTCATCGGATCGATTCGAAGAGTAAAGGATCTGAAGGCGGAAGACTATCTTTTGCTGGTTGGGTATTTTTTTTTCTGGAACTCAGCGTTCTATACATCTACATTGCTCCCGCCATCTTTCGACTCGCAGCCCTGTCAGCCGGAACGATCCCAATTTATGCGACTGTCGAGGAGGACTCGGTGCAGCTGCAGATTGTGTTCTTCGTTACAACTTCATCGCTATGGCTTTGTTTATGGATGGTCAAGTTCTCGCTTTTGTCGATGTATAAGCGGTTGCTTGTTGGGAGGACGTATCTCATTGCTTGGTGGGCTATTGTGATTTCTTGCATTTTGGTAAGAACCACGTTCCCGCAGACTGCTGATACCGCGGTTTTGACTCTAACAAATGATCAGTTTCTTATCGGCTGCATCTTATCCTCCTGGCTCTCCTGCTCAAGCTTCCACGCCTGGTTCACGGCAGGAGGATGCTCCACCGCACGAGACCACCGCGCCGCCCGAATTAGTCTATACTATGCGTATGCAGTGGACATCGTGACCGACCTAGCAAGTACGTTCATGAAACCTTACTACGATGATAAATATATCCACGAAGTACGGCTAACCCGATCCATGTATATAGTCATGTTCCTACCCCTCCGCCTCATCTGGAATCTCCGCATGAAACGAAAACAAAAACTCAGCATTGGCGGCCTCTTCTGCTTCGGATGGATTTGCATATTAATATCCACGATCCGCGTCATCCAACTCGGCGGTACGATAAATGGTGTACCCGCGCCCTCATGGCTGGCCCTGTGGGCAACAATCGAGGCCTCGATCGGTATCTCTCCTCCACCACCCATCCTGTCACCCATACTAACTGAGCATCCAGCCGTAATGATTGGCTGCTGTCCCGGCCTTTACCGCGTAGTAAAAAACGGCAAATCACCCTCAAAGAACTATGATTACAACTCCTACATGCGCGGTGGTGGGATACCCTCGGGAGGACACCGGGGAGGCGAGATTGCGTTGAATAGTTTTGCGGGTAAAAACGGGACGTACCAATCGGCCAATGCGTATCGCTCTTCGAGTCCGGCGAGTAGTCAGGAGAATTTGGCTGGCCCCGAGAGGGGAAATATTGTGGTTAATTATGGGATTGCCGTTACGGTTGAGGAGAGGTTGGGTGGTTTTGGGCGGACCCAGAGATTCGTTTGATTTATTGTATAGACAGTCCTATTGAATTGCTGGCTTGGTTCTGTTGGGCTTGAGGGCGATTGATGTTTGACAAGCATGTTTTCGGGTATGCATCTTTGTAGTATTTCGAGAGTTTTTCTTTTTCGTTGAGGCACGCTGGATCGTTCCGAATTTGGTATCTAGGACATCATGGAATAGATTTGAATTTCCGAGATCTTTGAGCTCATTCCGCTCAGTTGATTATGGTAGAGTGCCGGAGGGCGATGTTTGCTCTTATAAACAGAGCCAGAGCGTATGAATCGCCAGTATTCCTATCCTGGAAACTAGACGAAGATGGATGGAACCCCAAATCTCAAATTCCCCGGAGATATCATCACTCTCAACAGGTTTCTGACGTCAAGTTCAACACAGCCCCTGAAAACAAGAAAGGACAGGATCACAAAGCGCCAACACCGCTGATCGTGCATCACCTCTAGGTCAGGGAACAGCAATATCCACTCCTCCGCGGAGTCGTACTGACAACGGAGATACACCGACCACATCACCATATCCCCCAGTGTCATAAGGAAAAGGGCCCACAAGCCAAGAAATCACGCATCCCAAACCCGATTCACATGAGCTGACATTCCCCATAAGCTCCAGTGAATGACCACGAGCCCCAGCTACTAGTGCTGTTGTTTTGAAGACATGGGTGCACGGCGTCAGCATCCAATAGGGAGGGCGAATGGTAGAGAGGTAGCGTCGCGAGAAGCTTTCTTGCCAATTCCGTGGCATCCATGGCACTGCAGCCAAGAAAGTTTAGATATCCATCTCTCGGATCTTGTCGTAGGTTTGTTCTTTGTTCAGGAGACAGGTATCGCGAGCTGTGGCTGTGGCTTGGTTTTACAGACCTCCACTCTGAGCAAGGTTGGACGCATATCGCGATCTTATTCTGTTGTCATGTGTTGTGGTTGGAGAGGACGGGTTGACTCCACAGGCTGATTTACCCAGGTCAACCCCCGCACTTCCACAAGTCCCGAAGTCAAGTCACCACCTGTAAGGGTCCTCAGGATCCGAGGGCCGGCTCCTACAGAGGACCCAGACCCGAACAAGCTCGTCGGCCATCGTCCGAAAGCATGTCTGAGCCATATCCCGTCCGCATGAAAGGACAAGCTTTGCAAGCGGCCCGCCGAGTCTCGGAGAAAGTTTATTTCCTGAACGAGCCTCGTGGCCGACGCACGTTGTTGGCGTGGGGTTTCCTGCATTGGTCATCAGTCCCCGATCAAACACCGTGGGGTAGATGCGGTACTAAAGCTCGTTAACACCCTAGCATACCCTAGACATACCCTAGGGTAGGTATGGCGCCGGCATTTGTGCCGTGTTTGTGTGCCGAATCTTATTCTAAGGTAGAAGAATAGTCTAATCGGCAGCACTACACCGGGGTTGATAGAGCCGATGGCAGCCCGACGGCAGAGTGAGGGTAGGGTAAGCATCGTGCTCCGTTGTCCGGAGGCTGGAGTGGGTCTCGGGCTTGGGGTTTTCTGGAGGACCCCACTCCTCCGTTTAGGGCAGATCCACGGAGTAAGTCTGGCCCGGGCGCAGCAAACAAATCGAGAGTCGCTACGCGAGGTGAGAGCTGGCAGCGAGAAAATGCTGGGAATTGTAGTAGCTTTTGCGCTCTACTGCTAGTAGTAGGTGCTTTGAGGGTTTGGCCGATCTGACGTCGTTGACCTGGAGAGGGATTTCCCCAGATGAAAATGAAAATGCGGAGAGAGTCTTGGCCCTACCTTATGTGGAAGTGAATGTGGAGGCACGAGAAAATAAACCAACAGGAACCGAATCAGGTTTGAAGAATCAGGGTCTCTGTAACAGACGGCGATGGCAGCCAATCTAGGTGACTGCCCTCCAGTGGTCAACGGGTGGCGGCCACGTTATCGGGCTGAAGCCGCGTCCATGAAAGGCCGAACATAAACTCAACCCCGTGCGGTGCCCCGGATCGGTCAGCCACCAGGCCGACTACGCAACACATACGGCTCTGCGCGACCCCGTAGGATGAAGGACCATCCGGAAATGACAGACCTATACCCCCAACTGTGAAAGATCGGCATATCCACCCTGGCCAGCCGGCAACCATTCGCGCCTGCCCCCGACTTCCCAGCTGATAGACGAATAAGATAAAGCGGGGTTAGTTGGGTCCGAGAACAAGCGCGAGTGTTGGAAGCGTGGTGGTGAGCGCTTTTCTAGCAGTAGTGGAAGATACAAATTCATGGGGACGTCCTGACCGGGCTCGTACTTAAAACCCGCCAACGCCTCAGCTCCGCCCTTTTTTCCCTCCCTGCCTTCCCTCACCTCGCTCCGTTCTTACCTCCGCGGCGTTTCTTTTCTTCTTTTACCAGTGGTCGCAGTCCTCGGCCTCACTTTTGGTCTCCGACATGGCGCACACGCAGAATCCGTCGTCGGCGCCGGTCAGCTCTGACTCGCCGGACATCGAGGAGCACATGAGTATCGGCCGCTACTTCGCGACCCGCATCCCGACACTCGTGCCGCCAATGAGACCAGCCCCGAACCCCTTTAAGGCTTTGACGCTGCTGAACCGGCAGCAATGGCTCTTCTTCTTGGTATGTGTCTACCCTGTAGTCTCTCCCTTTCACGTGCAGCCCTCATGCATATACGCCGATCCAATCTCGGATTCCCCCAAAAGATTGAGTCGCATTCAAACTAACAGAAGTATAGGTCGCCTTCATCGGCTGGACATGGGACGCCTTTGATTTCTTCACCGTCTCCCTGACAACAACCCAACTCGCCGAAGCCTTTGACAAATCCGTCACCGACATCACCTGGGGCATCACTCTAGTCCTGATGCTCCGATCCGTCGGCGCCATCACCTTCGGAATCGCGTCCGATCGTTGGGGCCGCAAATGGCCATTCGTCGTCAATCAGCTGCTCTTCGTCGTCCTCGAGCTGGGTGCCGGTTTCTGCCAGACCTACAAGCAGTTCCTGGCCTGCCGCGCGCTCTTCGGTATCGCCATGGGCGGTCTGTATGGGAATGCCGCCGCCACGGCCCTCGAGGATTGTCCCTCCGAAGCGCGTGGTATTATCTCGGGTCTGCTGCAGCAGGGCTATGCGTTTGGCTACTTGCTTGCGACGGCTTTTGCGCGCGGGCTTGTGGATACCACTCCTCATGGATGGCGTCCGTTGTACTGGTTCGCTGCTTGTCCGCCCGTGCTTATCATTCTGTTCCGGCTTTGCTTGCCGGAGACGGAGACTTTCCGCCGGAGACAGGAGACGAGAGAGGAAGTGCGTGGTGGTGTTGCGGCGTCGTTTATGTCCGAGGGCAAGGTTGCGCTGAAGCGGCATTGGCTTTTGCTGATTTACCTGGTCTTGCTTATGGCTGGTTTCAACTTTATGGTATGTATACACCCTGAGAAGAGCTATGTATCAAACGCTAACAATGTCTCCAGTCCCACGGCTCCCAGGACCTCTACCCAACAATGCTGGAGAACGAATTCAGCTTCTCCAAAAATGCTGTAACCGTCACGCAAGTCGTAGCCAACCTCGGCGCGTTGACAGGTGGCACTCTGTGCGGCTGGGCAAGTCAGATCTTCGGCCGACGATTCTCCATCATCGCCATCAGCATCGTGGGCGGCGCCCTCCTCTACCCCTACACCTTCATCCAAACCCACTCCGTCATTGCTGCAGCCTTCTTCGAACAATTCATGGTCCAAGGTGCCTGGGGGGTCATTCCCATCCACCTGATGGAGCTCTCCCCGGGACCCATCCGTACCTTTGCAGTCGGAACAGCCTACCAGCTCGGCAACCTCGTTTCGTCGGCCAGTTCGACCATCGAGTCGACTATCGGCGAGCGCTTCCCGCTCCCGCCGACCGAGGAAGCGGCTCATCGCTACGAGTATGGTAAAGTCATTTGCATCTTTATGGGGTGTGTCTTTGCTTATACTATCTTGATTACCCTGGCGGGTCCGGAGCGACTGGGTCGTAACTTTGATGCGGAGCATGATGCTGATTTGGCTGAGGTTGCGGCTCACCGGGGAATGGATCGTGATGATGGTGATTTTGAGAAGGCGACAGCGACACGACATGAGTAGGTGAATGCTTGGCGATGGTTATACGATGGATCTAAGTTGCTTAATACCCGATACGGGTGGATATGATTTGACTACCAGCTTTTTAGCTTAAGGTAGCTACGCTGTTTGATGAGAATTCCATGACATTTGATATTTTGAAGAGCACAAGCAATCACCACAACCCCGTAAAGGACTAATTTATTCAAGTCTCGTCTGACTGTATTACCTCTCCACGATCGCGCCGCCATTCGTATTCGCCACATCGCGGGGATAGGGTGTCTCGGTCCTAAATCAAGGCACTGCGTTAGCTCGATCCACAGCAAACACGCAGCCACCACAAGCCAAAAAATCACGGTCTGAGTCTGCTTAAAGTTATGGGTCATTCCGAACTAACAGTTCGTCCAAGGGTTGAAGGGTATCTTCATGTCGATCTTGTATGAAAGGAAAGGAAAGGGGTCCCACCTGTCAGTCATTACTAGTCAGTGGTAGTGAAGTAAGGCTGGATTTTGGAAGTGGATGGGGCTGTCTCACTGCTTTTATACGCTGACCCCGCATTTCGCCTAGAACCCTGTCGTACGACGGCAAACATCCATGCCCTAACCACCCTAATTCATTACATCTTAGGGTCGGGTACTAGCACTGAGGTCTACGGCGATCTCTACTTGGTTGGTGCGCTGCGCTAAGCGCCCGCGTCACGCCATTTGCCGGCGCCATGGTGATACCGCTCTGCGACTATCAGGTGGCGATGCACTTGGGGTGAGGAGAAATGAGACGGAGAGTACTTTGCACCCTGGATGTATTAATGTGGCCGGGTAAGGAGGCCTGAATTTTCGTACGCGTCCTGCAGGTCCCTCCGACATGGATTGCAGCTGCCTGCGAAGGGGTTGGCCGCGTAAGTCTGTGTCAGGTGTTGGCATTAACTTTTTAACAGAAAATTCGGGGTGAAACAACATGGGATGAATGGATGGATGGATGAATGAATGGATAAATGGATGGATGGATGGATGGATTTGATGAATTTGATGACGGATTTGTCCCGTGTATACTAGCTACTATCTATAGAATCAATAATTGAGTGCCGGCCGCTTCCACGCCAAGCCTTATGCCAAATGCGTCGACTGTGCTGGACTTCCCCAAATGCAGAATTCGAATGTACTGTACAGCACTACCAACCTGAGAATAATAATCGCTGCACTGATCATCCAGACCCTTTCAAGATAATTCGTGCTTATTGTGGTCCTGCTCCACCCTCAGGGACCAGGAACAAGACCAGGGACAGGACCAGACAGGGACGGACAGGCACTACTTTTTTTGCCGCCAAGTCCGACCAGCCGCCCCGTCCACTTCGAACCTCCTCCCTTTCTCTTGCATTCCACCCTTCCACCCCTCTCTCCCTCGCCAGCTCTATTGGGTCCTGCGTGGCCAACGCCAAGATCGAAGAGTGCTGGATGAGTCCCGACTCCGCCTCCTCCAATGCACAGACGCTCGTCTGGCTCCCCTGTCGCGGACGACACTGACGATTCCCCGACGCGATCCCCAGACGACCATGGCCCCGACACCCACGACAAGTCCTCGCAGATAGCCCGGCACGGCACCAGCTTCGACCTCCGCAGGGACAACGGCAGCTCGACGCCGCGCTCGCGGAACTCCAGCCTGTGGCGCACCCCGTCCTCCCATCCGGCCACCGGCTCTTCACACGACTCCAAGAACATGCCATTGGGCTCCCCGCGCCTGCCCATGGAGGCGCCCTCTCCCGAGGGCCGCCGCGCCCGCCAGGCTCGCCAGCGCAGTCCCTGGTCCATCTCCATCCTCACGGCCGTCACTACCTTTGCCGCTGTCGCGTTACTGATCGCTATCATGCGATCCTTTACGGAGCGGCAGGTCGGCGGCAGTGGGTGCGGCGTGCCGATGATGAGCCCGACCTTTATTCGGATGCTCGAATTCGATACGGAACATACACGGTTTGCGAGCAAATACAACTTGTTTCTGTATCGGGAGGAGGGCGTGGATCCGTATACTCAGGATAATATTGGGGTAAGCTTATCAATGCTGTCGCTGCTGTCACTACTCTCAATGGCCGCGACTGGCTCTTTGAGAGGTGAGAAATCCGCTGACCGGCTGATTTGTATTTCTAGTTGAACGGTGTCCCAGTACTCTTCCTTCCCGGCAATGCGGGCAGCTACCGACAGGTCCGATCTCTGGCCGCCGAGGCGTCGCGACACTACTACGATGTGGTTCGACACGACGAGGACCGACATGCGGCCGGTGTTCGCAGCTTGGATTTCTTCATGGTGGATTTCAATGAGGATATGGCTGCGTTCCATGGACAGACGCTGCTCGACCAGGCAGAGTATGTGAACGAGGCGATCTCGTACATTCTGTCCCTCTACCACGATTCCCGACGGACCCGACGAGACCCCGGACTGCCAGATCCCAGCGCGGTAGTGTTGATCGGACACTCCATGGGTGGCATCGTGGCCCGCACGGCTCTGACGATGGCCAACTACCAGGCCAACTCGGTCAACTCGATCATCACCATGTCCGCGCCGCACGCCAAGCCGCCTGTCTCCTTTGACTCTGATATCGTCCATACCTACAAGCAGATCAACGACTACTGGCGCGAGGCCTACTCACAAACCTGGGCCAACAACAACCCGCTGTGGCATGTGACGCTGATCTCAATTGCGGGTGGTGCGCGCGACACCGTGGTGCCGTCGGACTACACGAGTATCTCATCCCTCGTTCCCGAGACGCACGGATTTACAGTCTTCACGCCCTCCATTCCTGATGTGTGGATCGGAATGGACCACCTGTCGATCACGTGGTGTGACCAGTTTAGAAAAGCGATCATCAAGTCGCTCTTCGAGATCATCGACGCGCGGCGTCCAACCCAAACGAAGCCTCGCGCCGAGCGCATGCGAGCACTCAAGCGGTGGTACCTCACTGGACTGGAGTCGGTTGCCGAGAGAACCCTGGCACAGAAGGAGCCGAATACTCTCTTGACACTCGAAGACAACGCAAATACAATTTTGGCTCAGGGTCAACGGCTCATTCTCCGCCAATTGGGCGAGAGACATGGCCCAGATGTACGCCTGCTGCCGATCCCGCCACAAGGCGTCTCCGGAAAGAAGTTTACTCTTCTCACGGACCAGACGCTGAGCAGTCAGGGCAACGTGGAAGTATTGTTTTGCAGCGTGTTCCCTCTCAACAACGGCCGATCGGCTGTCTTTTCGATGAATCTGGACTTCTCGGGTGGCACAGTGGGCTCGACTCGCCTGGCTTGTAAGAGTGCTGCGGAGGATGTTATTCATTTGCCTGCTTCCACTCGCACATCGAAGCTGGCCTATGACCGCGTTGCGCCGTTCTCCTACCTCCAATATGATCTGGAGGGTCTTGCCGAGCATCAATTTGTGGCCGTGGTGGACAAGGCCAATGTGCCTACGCAGGGCTTTTTGGTCGCGGAGTTCTCGGACAGCTCGGACGCCATGATTCGGGCCAAGGTTGGACTTGGCAGTCTATTGAGCGCCGGTCTCAAAATGCGACTGCCTGCCAACCGGCCCATGCTCACCGAAGTGAAGATCCCAGCCCTGCATTCCAGTCTGTTGGATTATCGGTTGAAAATCACCCGCCACACGCCAAAGGATCAAAAGGAGCACAAGGAAGAGCTCTTTGCTCCACTGCTTCGGCAGTCTATCCCCGATCCTCACGAGTCGAAATTTTTCGTGAATGTGGATGAGGTCAATGTCAATCTGCACGGCGTGGCCCCGTTCATGCCATCTCCGCTTCGTGAGCAGGCTACTTCGGGCGGCGTGTCATTCCAACTCTGGACCGACCCTAGTGCCGGTTCAACGGTGGATGTTTCCTTGCAGGTGGATATTGCCGGCAGTCTTGGTGAGCTAGTGATGCGGTATCGCACTGTTTTTGCCGCATTTCCCTTGCTTGTTGTAGCTCTGGTACTCCGCAAGCAGTTCCAGCTCTATGATGAAACAGGCTACTTCATCCCCTTCACCGATGGACTCGACCGAGCTCTGCGAACCTCCCTTCCTCTGTTATTCGTGGCAATGTCTCTTTTGGCATCATCTCTCGCCACCACTAAAGCTCTCCCTCAGTCCGACGACCCGTTCCATTGGCGAACCAACTCAACCGAGACTCCCCTCGACTTCACGAAGAATGACCTCCTTCTTGGATCGCAGGATGCATTCTTCTGGTTCCTGGTCCCAGTCTTCGGGATCATCAGCGTCGGCGTGTGCGTCTTGGTGAATTACGTCGCCCTCCTTCTCGTCAACATCTTCTCCCTGATTTACGGCGCCGTGAACAGCAAGTCAGGCTATATCCGCCGTGAAGACCGAGGGAACCTTCCTATCTTTAGCGCACCAACCCCACGTCGACGCGTAATCCACACCGCCGTCCTCCTAATCCTTGTCTCTACAATCATCCCCTACCAATTCGCTTACATGGTCGCCTGCATCGTACAACTAGCAACCAGCGTCCGGGCCCAATGGCATGCAAAAGAAACAAAATCCACCCAGCACATCAACTTTGGAAACTACGCCCACTCCATCTTAATCCTCATGTTATGGATCCTTCCCATCAACGTCCTCGTCCTCCTAGTCTGGGCCCACAACCTCGTCGTCCACTGGTTCATGCCATTTTCCTCCCATCACAACGTGCTATCCATCATGCCGTTCCTCCTCCTCGTCGAGACAATGACCAGCGGAGCTATGATCCCGCGCATCACGACTCGGTATGTCCCCTTCCCTTGAAATTAAACTAAATCGACTCTAACTAATTGCTCAGTTTCAAACATGTAACCTCAATGATCTTCTTCGCCATCGCAATGTACTCCGCCGTCTACGGCGTAACCTACGCCTACCTCCTCCACCACCTCGCCAACCTCCTGGCCGCATGGTTTGTCGGCATCTACCTATTCGGCAATAATTTCTCCCCACGCCGTCTCTGGCGGATTATCGATGGGGACGAACTCCCCGCCGAGACTGGGAGTCGTCATGTTAAGAAGAAGCCATGAGAGTTTAATTAATACATTTCCTTCCTTTTTTTACTGTCGTTCAGTCTCCCACTCCGCTGGATGTTCTGTTTCAAGTTTTCGCAAGTCCGCATGATATGGAGTTTAGCGTTTCCTTCTGTACAAACACCCCTTTTTCTATCCTGGATCTCCATTCCACTTGTCTTCCTCTGCTCTCGGATGGATGCAGATAGATTACAGGCAGTGAAGAGTCCTGCGTCCTGCTGAGCAGTGCTGGGTTTCTGTTACATTACTAGACGGCCGGTACTTGGCCTGTCTCGGTTCCTCGGGAGGGACAAGGTCTGCTTGTATATACCTCGTTTTGACTGCGGTTACTGTTGTCTGGGTATAGACTTTCTTCTGTTGTTTTCTTTTATGGATTTTAAATAGGGCGCGGTGTGGTGGTTCGTTGCATAATTCAGTTTCGAATTGAATATTTTCGTCTGACTTCCAGGTTGTTTTGGTTGAAAATATAAAAAATATGTTTTTTCATGATAGGTTGGCTAAGGTCATGGGATGAGCCTACTCACCTTAACTCACACTGTACCCTGGCGATGCCATAGAAGTAGGTTTGGATGCTTCGATTCCAGCAAGGAGTTGGGATTTCAGACCTAAATCAGGATGATACCTAAGAACCAAGACTAGTTCCGAAATTCTCAGACGTTCAAGCAAAATGGCTTTCAATGGCTTTGTTTGAGCATCACATGCGAATAACCACAGTATAATGTAGGAAACGACTCATCACATAACCTGCACAAATCCATCAGGAATGTCTTTATTGTAAGCGCGATCAACCTCTTTGTCCATCATCGAAGCAAACACAATGAGCTAGCCTATAAAAACCATATTATCCAGCCCTCCCAGCCTCAATCCTCCATCCTCCAAATTACACTCATGATCACTCACCTCAACCGAAACAAAGACATGGACATTCCACTCGTAACAAAAACCATCGTCGCAATAGCACTCTTCCTCGTGATCAATTCCGAAGCCATCCAATTCCTCCCGCTCGCAATCCTCTACCTCCTCAGTATCCCACTTGCGATTTACCTGTACATTATCCTAGGCGGGAAGGTATCGTAATCACCGAGACTGCGAAGGGCACCAAAATGGAACTACAGAAGTCGACACAAGCCCAAGCCCAACCTCCAGCAAAGGCGAAAGCGACGAAAGAAAACGACATGGAAATACGAGAAGAGACATTCCCCGGAGAAACCCTTTCCGATCAAGTAGACCGATGGATAGACAGGGCTGCAAATCTGTTCAGACCGTGCTTGATCGGGATCGTGGTTAAATTGCTCATCATCTGGGTCATGATTGTTGACATGTATTGTTTTCTTAATAAGGAGATCTTTGAGAATTTTAGGGGGCCGATTTGTCTTGTTCTGGTGGTTATTTCGGGGCTTGCATTTTATTCCTTGACTTGGCTCTTGATCGCTGTTGAGGTATGTGAATAGAAATCCAGGGTCTACGCAAGAACGTAAATCATGATATCGTGCAGGAACGCGATGTAAAGGAACCTGCCTCCATGCTCGAGACGTCACTTTTGGTATCCAAAATGAAGATGGCTGACTCTGCGAGATTCTTCCATCTCAACTGCTGCGTAATGAGCAGCAGTATCACAAAAGCTTTGATCGGGAATACTACACTTCGAGCGTACACGAATACTTTTAGCCGCAGACCGCAAGTAATCTCCTGTAAGTTCAGTCCAGTGCCGGTGTGCACACTTACGTCCACCATGCATAGCCAACCGATCAGCTCAGACACCCAGGCTCGCAGATCCGCGCAATGGGCCACACAAGGTTCGCCCCTTTTCGCAGTCCCGAAATGATAGGCCGATCACGCAGGGCATCGGACGCTGTACCAGGACAAGGGCCCGAGCGAGACAGCGAGAAAAAGGGGCTGGTGCTAGCTGAGGTGATAGACAGGGGCTTAGCGAGACAGGGGGAGACAGGGAGTCGGCGCGGTCGAGGTCATGTGACACGGACAGGACAAAGCCAGTGATTACCCCAGTCTATGAAAAGTGTTAGTATCGAAGATGTCAAGGTCTCCACGTCTGTTCTTCTCGGCTACCCCAGATTCGAAGGGGTGGGCCCGACTAGTTGCGCAAGGGTGAGAATCCTTTGATGGAGGATGGGGAGAGGGAGGGGCGATAAGGGCGCCCCATCGAAAAGACTACTGGGGCTATTCCGGGGCGCATTCAGACGCCAACCATGCGGGTCCACTCTTTGTCTGAGTGCTGTGATTAGCAAACTCTCCAGTCCTCGCATAGCGCTTTGAGGTTGGCGATGACTTCGACAGACGTAACAACACCAGTTCGTTCAAGTTAATCGACCCGAGATGCGAGAGGCGAACGACTCGGCGTCAACGCCACCAGGGACTTTTCCAAGGTGGAATCTGGATAGCGAGAACAAATCGGAGCGGACACGGGTGAACGAAGATTTGCGCCGTTCCCGAAGCCGGGAACAGACCTGGCCCAAAAAAGCAGGCACGGCAACTAAAAAGAGAAGGGGACAGAGTTTGCACGGGGAGGAAGTTCCGCATTGGGAGGCAAGGATTGTTTCGTACAGAGCGATTATCGACCCACCAGCCGCGCGACCCGATTTTGCCACCACGGATTCCGGGGTTGACTACACTTACTCTATAGAGATTATCTACAACTGAGCAGCAGAAGTACTTAGGGTAAGATCAAAGAACTTGACATTAGACACAAAGAGAAACGAGGCTGAGTCCGTGTCTGATTTGATCAAAGACGCCACGAAAAATAAAAAAAAATAAATAAATCAATAAATTTTTTTTTTTAAAAAGATAAGCGATAAGGGGCGGTCAAGCAAAAGGCGGTGGCCCCAGAGGAAATTTGCATGCCTGAACCCTACTAGGCTACCCTGGACTAAATCGTACATGAGTACATAGTATCCCGGGGAGTATCTCAGGGCATGTACATGTCGGTCATCAAGGCACAGCAATCCCGTTCTACCCCTGAATCTGTGATCGCCTCGGGAAGGTGATCGCGCAGCCGACGGTCAGCCTTGGAACCTGTGGACGGAGTATGTACAATATGTTCCTTTCCACCTAAATTTTTTTTTTCTCTCAATTTTTTTGTTTGGGTGCTGATTTCAATTGATTCTTGGATACTGCTCAGAATAACGCTCGCCTCCGCTAACCATCAGGGCTGAGTAATGTATGTACAGTTGTCACCACACATGAAGATCTACAGATGACCACGTCTGAAGTACTATTCCACAAGTAAGAATTCGGATGAGATTCAGATGATGACGGATAAAAACGGGGCCGTCAGATGGTTCTGGACAACTCTAAAAATATGAGATTCGTATTGCTGTTAAACCTTTCCGGAGAGGCCTTGATTGGGTAGGGCTGCGCCACCGGGTCAAGTGGCGAAGGCGCCGGCTGTCACAAGCAGGGGTTTCATGCCCCGGATTCCTCCCCTAGAGCAGACTAGCTAGCTAGCTGTGCTGAGAGGATCTGTGAATTTGATCAGAAAAGCAAAAAATAAAAATAAAAATAAAAATAAAAATAAAAATAAAAAAATAAAAATAAAAAATAATCATTCACTGCAACGATATTCTCGCCTATAGTGAATCTGTCGAGTGAATGAATGTCTAAAGAGGCTGTATAGATGATGATTGACCCTCACACTTCGACATATGTTCTATCTGATATCCAGTTCCTCCAGTCTTCAGTCGCCCTTTTCCGAGTCCCAACTACGTCGTCTTTTCCCGCTGAATCGCCCACCATTTCCCAAGCAACGATCGGCTCGCCAATCACACTGCCTGGATTCGGGAGACTGCCTGCGCACCACCAATCACAGCCGGTGGATGGAGCACTAAGCCACTTGCGGGCGGCGGGCGGAGTCTGCGGCGCCGCAAAGAAAAAAAATTTTTATCGGGCGGCGAGGGGCCACACAGCCGATAAATATCTCGCCCCCCTTCCCTATCGCCCCTCCTTCCTCCTCCCACCCTCTCCATCTTTCATCGAGGTCTGACTCCTCTCTTTTTTTTTCCATTTCTTTTCTGCATAGACAGAATAGAATCGTTCTCCCCTTGAGAACGACCTGCTGCGTCACTGAACAGCCAGACGCAGCGTTTGAGCCATTTGCTCATCCCACCAGTGAATCCGTGATACCCATAGAGAAAATCTCTTTCTTTTAATCCTCGTTTTTCCACCCTCGAAAACCGCCAAAATTTCTTCCAAAATGCCTGCCGCTTCCGTTGCCTCCACCCCGGTGGCCTCCAGCAAGGAGACCGCTCAGTCGGTCGCTGTCCTCGAGGACCTCTTCAAGAACCTCAACGTGACCACCACCGCCGACGAGGCCAACGCCGCCGCCGGCAACCTGGCCACTCTCTTCAGTGGTCCCATCCCCGAGCAGACCCTCCCCGTCAAGGCCGTCGAGCTCTTCAAGAAGCAGCTCGGTAACAAGAAGGATGCTCTCGCCCGTGAGCGTGCCTGCCAGGGTATCCGCGCCATCGCCTCTCACCAGACCATCGCTCCTGGTGTCGAGCCTCACCTGGTTTCCCTGCTTGGTCCCGTCCTCGCTGCCGTCGGTGACAAGATGGTCCCCGTCAAGGAGGCTGCCCAGTCCGCTGCCGCTGCCATCGTGCAGGCCGTCAACCCCAACGCCGTCAAGGCCGTTGTCCCCATCGTCCTCGAGTCTCTCCAGAACGCCCAGAAGTGGCCCGAGAAGAAGGCCGCTCTCGACTGCATCGACACTCTCGTTGAGTCCGCCCCCGCTCAGCTCTCCTTCCAGGTCCCCAGCCTGATCCCCGTCATCTCCGAGGCCATGTGGGATACCAAGTCCGAGATCAAGAAGGCCGCCTACTCCACCATGGAGAAGACCTGTGCCCTGATTGCCAACAAGGATATTGAGCGTTTCATTCCTGAGCTCATCAAGTGTATCGCCAAGCCCGAGAACGTCCCCGAGACCGTTCACCTGCTCGGTGCCACCACTTTCGTTTCCGACGTCACTGGCCCTACCCTGGCCATCATGGTTCCCCTGCTGGACCGTGGTCTGGTTGAGCGTGAGACTGCCATCAAGCGTAAGTCCGCTGTCATTGTCGACAACATGTGTAAGCTGGTCGAGGACCCCCAGATCGTCGCTCCCTTCTTGCCCAAGATGTTGCCCGCTCTGAACAAGAACCACGACACCCTGGCCGACCCCGAGGCCCGTGAGAAGACCAAGCAGGCCCTGGACACCCTCACCCGTGTCGGTGAGATCAAGGACGGCAAAATCCCCGAGATCTCCACTGCTGGTGACATCTCCACCGTCTCCGCTATCCTCAAGGAGATCCTCGAGGCCAAGCACAAGTCCACCATCAAGTCCCACGAGGCCGTCATCGACTACGTTGCCGCCATCGCCGGTCAGCTCGTTGACGAGAAGGACAGCGACGCCACCACCTGGACACAGAACGCTCTCCCCTACATCATCGCCATCGTTGGTGAGGAGTCCGATGCCAAGCCCATCGCTGAGGCCCTCCGCAAGAAGGCCTCCCCTGAGGCTGCTGCCAACGACGATATCCCCTCTGACGAGGAGGAGGGTGTTGACCTGTGCAACTGCACTTTCTCCCTGGCCTATGGTGCCAAGATCTTGCTTAACCAGACCCACCTGCGTCTGAAGCGTGGCCAGCGTTACGGTCTGCTCGGTCCCAACGGTTCCGGCAAGACCACCCTCATGCGCGCCATCAACAACGAGCAGCTTGAGGGTTTCCCCAAGAAGGATGAGGTCAAGACCGTCTACGTCGAGCACGACCTGGACGCTGCCGATACCGAGCTGACTGTCATTGGCTGGACCTGCAAGAAGCTGCAGGAGGTCGGTCTCGACCTGGGTGAGGACAACGTCCGCAAGGAGCTGGTCGGCGAGTTCGGCTTCCAGCCCGAGCAGCTGGATGGCCCCATCACTGCCCTGTCTGGTGGTTGGAAGATGAAGCTCGCTCTGTGCCGTGCTGTCTTCGAGAAGCCCGATATCCTGCTTCTGGACGAGCCCACTAACCACTTGGACGTCAAGAACGTCGAGTGGCTCGAGAACTACCTCAAGAACTCTCCTTGCACCTCCATCATGGTGTCCCACGACTCCCGCTTCCTGGACCACGTTATCCAGCACGTTATCCACTACGAGCGCTTCAAGCTCAAGCGTTACCGTGGTACCCTCTCCGACTTCGTCAAGCGCGTTCCCTCCGCTCGCTCCTACTATGAGCTGGGCGCCTCCGACATGGAGTTCAAGTTCCCCGAGCCTGGTTTCCTTGAGGGTGTCAAGACCAAGTCCAAGGCCATTATCCGTGTCAACAACATGATGTTCCAGTACCCCGGTACCCCCAAGCCCCAGATTTCCGACATCAACTTCCAGGTTTCCCTGGGCTCCCGTATTGCCGTCATCGGTCCTAACGGTGCCGGAAAGTCTACTCTGGTCAACGTCCTGACCGGTGAGCTGATCCCCACCGCTGGTGATGTCTACCAGCACGAGAACATCCGTATCGCCTACATTAAGCAGCACGCTTTCGCTCACATCGATAACCACCTGAACTCCACTCCCTCCGAGTACATCCAGTGGCGTTTCCAGACCGGTGAGGACCGTGAAACCATGGACCGTGCCAACAAGATCGTCACCGAGGACGATGAGAAGGCCATGGACAAGATCTACAAGGTCGAGGGTACCCTGCGTCGTGTCGTCGGTATCCACTCTCGCCGCAAGTTCAAGAACACCTACGAGTACGAGATCTCTTGGGCTCTGGGTGACAACGTCGGCATGAAGTCCGAGAAGTGGACTCCCATGATGTCCAACGACAACACCTGGTTGCCTCGTTCTGAGATCATCATGTCCCACTCCAAGCAGGTCGCCGAGGTTGACCAGAAGGAGGCCCTCGCCTCCGGTCAGTTCCGCCCTCTGGTCCGTAAGGAGATTGAGCAGCACTGCGCCAACTTCGGCCTGGATGCCGAGCTGGTTTCCCACTCCCGCATGCGCGGTCTGTCCGGTGGTCAGCGTGTCAAGGTCGTCCTCGCCGCCTGCTCGTGGCAGCGTCCCCACGTCATCGTCCTGGATGAGCCTACCAACTACCTGGACCGTGACTCCCTTGGTGCTCTGTCCAAGGCCCTCAAGAGCTTCGAGGGTGGTGTTATCATCATCACTCACTCGCGTGAGTTCACTGAGAACCTCACCGAGGAAGTCTGGGCCGTTAACAACGGTCTCATGACCCCCTCCGGCCACAACTGGGTCCAGGGTCAGGGCTCCGGTCCCCGTCTCGACCAGAAGGGTGATGACGAGGAGGACAAGTTCGACGCGATGGGTAACAAGATCGTCGTCGAGAAGAAGAAGAAGCTTACCGGTATGTTTATCCTCGTGCATTCCTGCACTTGCTTTCGATTCATTTGGATTGTTGCTAATTGTTCTCTACAGGCTCTGAGCTGCGTAAGAAGAAGAAGGAGCGTGCTGCCCGCCGCAAGCGCGGTGAGGAGGTCTTCTCCGATGAGGATGACATCTAAGTCATTTGACTTAGATGGGAAATTGATTCATGGAGTTTATGACATGTTGATGAATTTCTTAGTTGTTGCTGAGACAAAAATACATTTTCAGGCTGTTCACATATTTTTTACATTCGCTGTAGTAGTCCTGTAGATTATCTTACCTTCGCTCGTAGACTTGTGAGATGGTATTCCAACTTTTCTCCCGGTTGAGTCTGTCTTGATGCGATCGGCCGCGGCTCTCAGGCTTGTCTATCGCACTGCACTCGCGCGTTGCTCTCGAGTCTACAAATAGCGATGAAACGGGTCATTCGTCGATATTTGATGATAAAATCACTAATGAATGCACTTTCTCTGAAATCTTGCTGAGATTTCCATATATTAACAGTATGTCAAGCAATATTATATATAGAATAAGGCTTCACATCATCAAGCTGCAATTCCTTAAAAAGCTTCTCCAAATTCTCAAGACCAGCAATAACATCATGATAAAACGCTTCCTGGAGCGCAGGACTGGAGAAGTCACTATCGTGACCGAAGTCGCAATGCAGGCATTTCCTGATGATTTCTCTAAAGCTCTTGCTCACGATCTGATTGCTATGACCAACTAATCGGTCCGCGGTGAAATATTCCACAAAGTCCTGCGTTTCCCCCTTGACCAGGTCGATTGGTTCTTCGAGGGTGGCGATGGGAGCTTGGTGTATGAGTTCGATGAACATGATGCCCAGTCCGAAGAGCACGGGGTTCCGTATAAGGTGGTGGTACACAAATGATTTCGGGTGAGTGCTGTCAATGGAGTTTGAGGCTTGGATGGATGTTGTGATGTATGGTAGAGCGCGCTGTGTCTGCTGGAGCAGGGAGTCGTGGCCTCCGAAAAATTGAACGTCGTTGCTTCGCCATGCTTTCTTGAGCCAGGGTGTGGCGTGGTAGTAGAGGACGGCCGTGGCGAGATATTTTGCTAGTCGGACGCACTCGTAAATGCCCATTTCTCTGGTGGGTTTTGATCTTGATAAGGATATTAGTTGGGCGAGTGATGATGCGGACGTGGTCCTGCTGTTGGTCTGGGTGTCGATGTACGCCAGGTGTTTGCAGATTGCATTGTCTCCGAGAAGTCCGATGCAGCTTCCAGAGTTTCCCTGGCAAAGAGACCTCTCAACAAGGGCACAAAGATTGCGCTGTAGATAGAGGTTCGGAATTGCGACGATGGGCTCTTCCGGGCGCAGAGCTTGTAAAGGCCCTGGTATTGATTCTTGTTGCTGGAACTGTACCCGTTTGACAACCTTAGGTGGACAGGTCCCTTCTTCATATTGCCTTGGACGTTTTTGCGAGGAACAGCTTGTTAAAAATGATGAAGAGGCTGACTGGAAGCTGCCTTCGCAAGACTTTATGGTCGATTCTACATTAATCCATACTGCTTTCCCGGGTGTCGTGTTTTGGATCAAGGCCACATTGAACCGCACCTGCGCCAATGGTCCATTGAGGTCCGGTTGAAGAGATAGATGCACGTTATGGACAGAGTGTGCCTGACAAGCTGTTCCAAAGGAATCGTAGAGGTTGCAAGCGGCTTGCTGAACAATGCGAAAATGTTGGAATTCGCGGTGGTCTTCGATAGTCCAGGTCACACTCGTTTCCTGCGATGACCGGGGTTGTCTTTCTTGAAAAATTGAAGATCCAAAGACTCGAACCATGGATTCTAGGTCTTCGACGGCATTCTGTGAAGTTGATGCAATTAATAAACAAATAACTGACGGGTAACTGAAGCCTTTTCTCACCCTTGAGTGGGCTTCTAGGGTGCGATTTGGCCTTGGTGGTAACAGGAAGACGCGTTGTGATTATTTCAATCTCTTCCAGCTTTTTCTGAATTGCCACGGCCAGCTGCAAACAAACCTCCCTCGATGAACCAAGATGCTCGCCGACAGAGACTGAGGTACCTGAAGAAAGATATCTCACGTGGTCTGAGAAAACAGAACGTTGGTTTCTCAGTGTTCTCTTGAGATCCGTGTCTCGAGGTAAAAACTTTCGAAATTGTTTGAGACAGTCAATCGCATTCTTGAAGCCAGATTTAGTTGTCGACAGAACTGCCAAGATCAGATTATAACCAATTATCTTGGAATGACAGTATTTACCTTGCAATATATCCAGCTCGTGATGCTTTTGCAAATCATGCGTTTCGTCATCATTTGTCGAAGGGGGCGTTTGCGGCATAGTATCGAAACTGCACGACTCAACCGCCTGCACTGGCATTTTGTGCAGCTCATGCCTCTCATCGGGATGATCGATGGCTGCCCATTGTTCTAGCAGTGACTTCATGCATGCAGCGGCTGCCCCAGCGGTGTGCTTCTGCCATACTTTGTCCTTGTGACTATCAGCGTAGTCGCAGACTCCCTTTACTACGATGCAGGGCAGATTGTTGCATATACCTGCACCCTCCATTTCGAACGCAATGACATTATCCTCGGCAGCGATCCTGTCTCGATCCACTCCAGACTTCATGACCGTGTCTCCCGAGGCGATCCTCCCGAAGTGGATGCCAATCTGGCTCGGCGATGGACGAAATCGACGGATCAATTTCCTCGAGTCACATCCTAGAGTTTCGCAAGTGGCCTCGTGAGACTCTTTGCAATGCTCGTTCCTCTTGCACTTTTTGCACCTTGTTGGACTGTGATGCTTGTGGTCGTAGGTTGGTTCGAAGAGTCGGTCTCGCACAGGACGGCGATAGTCGCTGGTTCGTTTTTGCAGGGTCTTGAGATGGTAGTTGGTTCTATCGAGAAGGGTACCACGGCCCCTTTTGCTTCGCAACTTGTGCATGAAGGCTTGAACTTCGATGTTCGCCGCGGGATCCGTGACACCCTCTTTGCGGCGAAAACCTCCAGGTAATCTCCTACCCAGGTCGTATACCACAATCTCACTGCTGACGATTATATCACCGAGGAAGATGCACTCGTATAGATCACAACATCAATGATCCGAATCTTGGCTTCGTTGAAATACTTTATCAAACCTGCTCGGCCGCTCTGGTCCATTTGTGGAGGTCGCGTTTCCGATCAACGATAAATGGACCCCACAGAAACACACTGAAGAAAGATGTCGCCAACGTTCGTTTATGGGAAGAGAACTTCCCTCCTGGACATCTCGATACTATCCTGGCGCAAACACGTTCCTTGAGACTGAATGTGGTCGAAAATTTAAAGGGCATCGGCAATATTCTCAGGCCATACTTCGCGAGTTGTGATACAAGCAGTGCAGGAAGCGGGTGCGACGTCACACAAGATCTTGGTCAGGAACTGGAGACCCAGCTAGAGAAAGCTGCGATAATGATTGCGAATGAGGAATTTTCTGACTCGTCTTCGGATGACGAGTCATCTGATGATTCATCTCAGAGCAGTGAAAGTCAGTATAATCGCTTCGGACGGCTCCACTGCTATGTCAAATGCTTGATGGATCTTATACCAGTGATCGAGAGGACCAATTCCTGTTTAGAAAATGAGGAAGAGCGGCAGCACACTCCACTTCAAAACGAATTTCGTTTGTCCCAGAATGCGCAGCCTTTTGCCATGCGTATTCGAGATCGGTCGGCTCCCTGCCCAGAGTCCTTTTTCTTCTAAGCTGACAGTTTAAACAGTTTCACAAATGCCTCAATTCTGTTGGTGGAGCGATTAGCAGAGGCCAATTTGGAAAGATCCATTCGCATCAGGGAACAAGATGAAGAACTTTCCGAAGAACGAGACCATAGGAATCAAGACGCCGTGACTCTATTCAAGCCCTACTCTCAGTTCCATGATTCTGGTATTGGGACATCTCTTGCCCCAACATCTCGCTACGCTGCAACCGCTGCCTCGCATACCTCATTTCTCTCGGTTACCGGAGAAGAAGCTCGAGGTCGCCCTCGAGTGCCTCCTCTGCCGAATGGGGGCGCCCGCGCTTTCCGGTGTGATTATTGTCGAAAAATCGTATCTATGCGAAGTCGGATTGATTGGAAGTAAGTTTCTTTACATTTCATAGCAGAGCGGGGACCTAGCTAACTAACCAGAATTCATGTCTTTTCAGACCTGCAGTCATACCTGTGTACACACGCAGATTGCAAAGTCTCCCTCAAAACGTTCTCAAGTCGTAAGGCCTGGATGGATCACGAATTAACTGCACACTTCAGTCGGCGGATGTGGCGTTGTTTTACATGCAATGCCATCGCCCTAACGCAGGGAGGATTTATCAGCCATTTGGTTAAAAATCACAATTTCGACGCGACTGTAGATATTTTGACGGCAACAATCTCAAGGGCCGAGCAGACTGTTTTGAAGCCTGAGTTCAAAAGTCACAACTGTGCATTGTGCTCCGAGACCGGCTGGAAATCGCAGAAAGCATACGCAACACACGTAGGACGACACTTGGAAGAAATTTCCCTTGCATGTCTTCCAATTGACGAAGAAAGCGATAGCGATGTTGATTCGAATGCTGAAAGGTTGACCAATTCGACCAAGGGGAGCGAGCATGATTCTGAAGGCATCGATCAAAATGAAACCGATCAAAATTCGGAAGATGACAATGTCCGATCTATCTCCAACCTGGACTTGGAGACTTTCGAGGCTAATCTGCCTTCGACACTTGCGCCATCCATGAAAAATGCGTTTCGCCGCTTGGGCCCAGATATATCTCCGCCCCCTACGCAATATATTAACTGGATGGATACTTCCAAAGACAGTCTTGAAAGATGCGACCAACGCAGCGTTCCAGCACCGTCAAATACATATTCGATGGAGGAGGAATTTGCTCCATCCCAGACTCCAGACTCCTCTGCATTGCCTTCCTTTACAACATATATTCCCGATACAGTGAAAGCGTCTCATTGTTATACCGATGGTGACTCCCTGTCCCAACACACCAGTGACAAGTATGTATAGAGACTGTTCCATATCACATACTGCAGCTGTTCTATTCGATGACAAACCTAGCTAATACCAAAAATGAAGCAGAACCGACCCCAAGGAAGGTCTGCGCTGCCCACGACAAGGATGCTTGTCCCGCTTTAAGAGAAAGAAAGACCTAAATAGGCACCTCAGGTCTAAACATAATGATGATGATGCGTTTTTCAAATGCTCGAAGTGTCAGGAGTCATTTGGGCGAATAGACAATCTTCGGCGTCACCAAAGGATGAAACATACATTTCCCCACGAAGAACGGGCACCATATGAGCCACCGGCTCGTCAATCTAGTACTGGCTATGAGACTTTACCATTCTTGTCCATTCCACCAACAAGATCACCTCACTCCAATAATCAGCAGGCTCAGGATGATCTCGCCGAACATGCAATGGGGCGCCCACGACGCTCTTCAGGTCAATTTGAAAATCAATTTGTGACTCCACCCACGACTTATCAGGATAACTAACTAGATCCGTTTTCCGAAAATCGGATTCTTGAACGCCGCTTCCCATGTACTCATTCTGAATGCGACCAATCCTCCAAAGGAAAGCACGATATGCGACGCCACGTCCAGTCCGTTCATAAGGCTTCTCTTTACGAATGCCCTTTTTCTTGACGCGACCGGTTTCTCTTCCCGAGGGATCATTTGGATAGACACCAACGCATTCTTCAAAAGACAACATATGGAACCATGAATACCGCACGCAAAGAGATAATGAGCAAACGGATATGAATTTGGCAGGGAGCCAGGGCATGGCATCTAAGCCAACACTCAGCTCTGAAGATGCTGGCTTTAAACCGAATGTCACAAGGTCACGTGCCCTATGACAGCATCTATGAATCGACTGAGACAATATCATTGTTGACTCGACTCTTGGGTTACAGATTGTAATTTTCTTATGTTGAATTATACCATTGTATGTTAAGCGATCCCAATGGCTCTTTTTTCTAAGTGCATGCGCAGTGAAAGCATGTAAGGTATCACATCTTATTTACTAGGATTATGAGGGTGGGAAGCGGGTGCTCTGTGATAATTTCTAGGCCAAAACGGTTCGCCAATGACCGGTGCGTCCACCACAATGTACCGGAACGCCAATGATAACTGAAATCTTCAGGTGAAAGCTCTAAATCTCCTCGAAAACAGCCATCTTTGGTCTTGGCCCGTCGATCTAGTACCCGCAGTGAGCCCGCACCCTTTGCCCATCACATTCCTGTTCCCGAATAGTCAACACTCGGATTCCATCGGGTTCTTCTAACCCAATGTCTAGACTACGCGTCGGAAAGAAACATGTCTTTTGATACATTCGTTTTGGGAGTTATGAAAACGAGAATTCATAGGCCGGACATGAAATTATCGTTGCGGAGAATTTTTGTGTGATCTCCTACGCTTGTTCTCATCCTCGCGTGCGAACTCGGCGACCCATCCTCGGCTGTATCATCTTGTCGATCTGTGACCTCAAATATCACGAGTGAATCAATAAGTCCAAGATCTCTTTATCCGAAAATGGTGGACTTGATTGGATAAAAAGCGGACTTTCAATTTCAACAAGTATCCCACAACGGGCTCGTCGGCTTTACTTGATTTGAGAAGGACTTTAATCGCGGCTGAAATCGACTCTGGAATGTACAAACTGTAATTGCCTTGATGCAATTTACCAAAAAAAATCTTGGCACTTGTCGAGGCCACTCCAAGTCCTCGGGTCGGTCTCAAGAGTCTAATCAACAAACTCGCCACTGGAATACTCGGATTGAAATTTGAGGACTCCACAGTCTCACTGTTCCAGAAATACACCACATCCAGGAATTGGCAGACATTCGAAGTGTAATCCTGGAAGAATTTCAGCTTAATCGTCGATTGGAACAGCTATTGATGGTATATGGCGGCAAAGGCATAAAGGCGAGGCGGCTGTCTAGGAGCCTATGCAAGTCGATGCCATTTATGCAGAGCAATTCGATGCGCAGACTTTACTAAATTGCTTAGAAGTTTAGAAAAACTCTGATAGTTACAGGAATGTTCATCGGCCTTGCGGAGACAATTTCCCGAAAACCGAGGTGCTCAAAATGAAACATTATGAGTCGAGAATTCCCAAAGGAGCAAAATCAGCAGGAGGTAGTTTCCTGTCGGGTGGTAGGTACCTAGTCTACACCAGGCCTGTTTAAAAGCACTGGCTATGGAATGAATGAATTCCTATCTTAATTCATCGAAATTTTCTATGCAGTGACGGGAACCAAGATAATTGAACGCGTCCTCGAGAAAAGAGCGATACTATGACATGGGTCTCTCGAACTTACATAGTGGGAGGCTAGCAAGCCAATTTTTACACAAACCTTATGATTGTCGAGGCGAAGGTAAGGCGAAGTCTAATTGAAAATTTGGAAAGGGCAAAGGCAGGCGTCGTTATACATGGGTGTCCTCGGACGGCTTGTAACCTTCATTCTCAAAGCATCGCGTATGGTGTTTCCAGGCCTCGCCGGTTTTTGAAAAGGAACACAGCCCTCGGGGTTCAGAGGTTTATAGTATTGTCACTGACAGCACCACTTTCCATTTCTACTGCATTACGTATACCGGACAGGTAAGTGAGGAACATTCCACTGCATCTCATTGCTTATCAATATTCCTGTAACATGACATCTCAAAGTGGTTGATCCACCAGGACTCGAGGAAAATTGAACGGAAGCCATAATTGCAACAGCAATCGAAGCAGAACGTGTTATCCGGACTCAAACCCAGCTATGTACCAAACTCCCAAAATTTGTGGAAAGAATCAGGAGGAAGCAGATCTGTACACGATTCTTGAAATGGATTTTGTATAGCGATGAGTTGACGCTAGCTCACGATTTTCGCCGTCACAGCTGCATTGAAAACAAACGCCGACAATAGGTTTTCGTTCTGCGCAAAATAAAACAGTCTAAACAAGAAATTTCATCCGAAAATCACGCCGAAGGTTCTCAAGAACTATCGAGCTGAACCGGCGAGTGATCTTCTCAGGTACAGAAAGACTTTTCCAATTTCAGGCTTACTATTGGCCCATCGATTGATGCATAATAATGAGTCGCCTCGTGCAGCTGCCACAGCCACCTCGTAAAGAGAGGTAACCAAAAAGGATGAAATTTAGGACATCCTTGATGAGTTTAAATCTCGGCTTTGGAGCGTCATTTACAGATACCCTGGGAAGGGCAGCGCTTTATAGGGGGTGAGGTTCGGCCTCTCACGACTTATCTTGCGCAGACCATATTCGAGCCGATGTTCAACTTACGAAAGAACGCGGAGATTTGGAACAAATAACTGATCCAAAAGAATAATGCGAGATGGCATTCTCAAAATACCAGCGCAAAGCAACAGAAGCGGAATTCGGATTACATGAGCTCGACGAATGACACATCTTCTGGGAAGAGAAGTCTCTTTGTGAGGGCCTCACCCGGAAGCTTATGGTGGTTGCTCCGGACTGAAATCCCTCTAGCCAATATCTTCTTCCTGTGGTTTGCCAATCTTGAAAGGACGCGCCGCTTCCAGTCAACAGCACCGCGGAAAAACACAGGACGATTCACAGTAGAGTGCGCCGATCATAAGTTGAGGAGCTGAGGATTCTGGTTTGACCTATATTCTGTTGTTTCCAAGACTCTTATTCAGATTTCGTCCTCAAAGAGCGAGACGTCAAGACAAGCTTTTATGTGCTACGTGATTTACCTTATTACCACGTTTGTTTTTTGTTCAACGGGACTTAGCTTGCGAGCCGCTAATCCGGTCGAAAGTTACCATATGTCAGGGACTTGCAAATACCAACCATATTCTGGCCAGCCGCTAAAGTGAATGTCAGAGGGCTAATGTAGGTAGGGCTAGTCGATACTGCTGGCTCACTAAGTCTCCTGTGGTCCTCTCATAGTGGAGCACATGGATGAATGAGATGTCATGTCGAAATTTCATCGTAGGAGGAACTCATCATCTAAGCCAATCCGTATCTCTTGACAGGCCACGTCCCAAAGCAAAAAGTTAGAAAAGAAATGTGTTGCGCGGCCGATATTGCCTCTTTTTCGGAAGCACAAAATAAGGTCGCGTATCTGCTAAAGAGAAATTCCTGATTCACAGAAGCTTTCTTTTACTAGCAAGGTCGGGCGGGTCCTATAGTAGAAATCTGCATGCCCCAAAGGTTCGCTGTTAATGACATGTTTTTTCCACATCATGATAACGAGCCCGGTATCGGAAATTTTGTAGCCACTGTTTTTCCAAGAGTTATTAGACTCAAAACATTCCTAGCATCATTGGCTCTGCAGCTTCTCGGCGTCGATACTCAGGCATGTATCCGAATCGAGTGTCGTCGGGCTTGAATAGATCACTGGTCATGTCTTCTGAGGCTTTCATAGACACACGCAGTGTCAGGGAGTTTAAGAAATCTCTTTGTCGATCGTTATCTTTGGGCTCCGCTATTTGACGCTTTAAAGGGTTTTATCCCACTTGATATTAGAGCCCTTGATATTTCGAAGATCATCGATTGACAGAGAGCCCCAAAAAACAGTTATGATGGCTGCTTCGAAGGCGAAATATTGTTTTCGTGTCATCTCTTCCTTTGCGGGTGACTGGGTTGGTAATAGTGTGGCTGACATGGTCTTTCGGGATCATTTGACCTGCGGTCACACCTGTTTTGATGGTGAAACTCCATCTGGATATTTCCGTGGACCCCTCAAAGTTCCCACCGAATAATGCTCGAACCTTACGCTCGAACGCGGCTCATGTGGTTCATGGAACCGAGGGAATCAAGTGATCACACTGTTGTCGCTCAGCGCATAATCACAAGGAAACAATACCGTAGCGGTAATGAAGAGAGTTTGGGGCCTCATTTATTGCGAAGTAATTTCCGTCACGAACATATAGTTCTTCGGGGCCGGTGGCATGTTCTGCCACACTATAAAACGGCCAGTTTAAGAAAAGTTGTTTTTGCTGACCAGTTTTCACGGAGTAATAGGATGCTTCCTCAGTCTGGTACATTGACCGCAGTCGATGTCTGGGCCCCAGGTCTTTCCTCTGGAGGAGTTCGGAGCTTGAAGAGTCGACCTCCAATAGGGAAAACATAGAAATGTCTATTGGCATTCATTCCCCGCCCTTCCTTTGTATTTTAGGACTAAGTGTCACATTTCCAGATTCCAATAAGGATTTCGAGCCAAACTAATAAGTCCAGTGTGTCAAGCAACAGACGCTTATATTTCTGCCGTCGATATTCAGACACGATCGAGCGGCAGAAATTCAAGTCTGATCTGGAACATCCGGCCCCGATAACAATAGCGGGTCCGTGGTCTTCTCAGGTTCCCGTTCATCCCCAGTCTGATCTTCCCGGCTATCACCGTAGAAGGATCAGAAAAGTTTCCCTGGAAAGATAGAGTAACAGATGCTGTGGCAGACTCATTGCAATTTGCGTTCGTGTTTGCTGCCACACATGGAGGAACCCTTATAGACCGCGAGACGAGTAATTCTTCTTTGTCGAAGGAATTGCAGATTCACGAGCTTGAGTGGGTGGTGCCTGCCTTTTTATCGAGGATCGACTGTCGATTCTTGTTTAAATTTCGAGGAGGAAGTCCTTGCTTTCCATCGGCGCTTTCAGAACGAGCGGTTCAAAACCGAAGATGCTGAATAATTGCGACAGCCCATGATTTGTATTTTCCAGTCGAAACAGTGCTTTTGCTGTCTCTGGGCTTCACCATCCTGATGGTATGTGACTGTAGGTTGGTATTATGGCAAGGAAGATTAACAGGCACCGGGTGCAGTAGCAGGAATATTGGCAAGCACAGTATCACATGTACCGTTACATGTAGTGATACATGTGATAGTGGATATGGTGAAGGGTTTCGGTAGTGGGTGGGAGTAAATGTGGTGGTAGATGTGATAGTAGTGCAGATGGTGGTGTATGTTCGAAAGAAACAGATTCATTCGGTGCCTACAGACGAGAATCTCGAAGATTAAGAAGGAAGGAGAAGAAAGAAAGTCCGCCAGAAAAAGAGGGCTTAAGTACCCAGCAAACGCGCACCAGTAATCGCGTAGTGCAAACGACCCAAAATTATGCCTCAGGCACCCTTCCACGAGATGAGGCTATTCCCAGGTTCATCCGTCACATTGCCCCTCTCTTTAAAAGGACCTGGCCCACCAGGTCATCGTATCACGCTGACCTATCGTCATCGGGATTGTCCGGTTCAAATTGGTCGTTCAATGCGGCTTCTGCCCAGACATTCAGGCGCTTTGGGGGCCCTGGGAGATCAGGATATCGGCGGTGGAACTCTATCAGTTTCTCGGGTGCGTTCTTGAAGTCGCTGGCGGGATACCAGTTGTCGTCTTCGCTACCGATCCATTTTGCTTTGTACTGGAACTTTCGGTAGTGCAGCCGAACAGCAATAATCTCTTCGGCTTCCCATTCCGTGTCACCGTTCACTTCCACTGGTGGTGTAGGGTCGACAATTTGGCCTGGCAGTGGCTCCATCAGAGTGGCTTTAAGTAGTTTTTCAGGTGCAAATATTGGGTGCACCCGGATAGAGTCTGGTAGATCGAGTCGATACGAATGGCCAATCTTTTCAACAATCCTGTAGGGGCCACTTGCTTGATTTGCGAGCTTTCGTCCTGGTTGATCTGTTCGCCAGTTCCTCGTTGTGACATAGACTAGGTCTCCCACTCCAAAGTCCTCTTCACGTCGATGCTGGTTCGCTTGTTGTTGTTGGCGGCTTTGTGCTCGAGTTGCTCGCTGTTGGGTTTCTTCCCATATATCTTGGAGACGGCTAGTGTAAACACGCGCCTCCTGTGCTTGTGGATCAAGGGATTCACGTAAGCGTGGCGATACCTGGCTCAGCCAATCGCACTCTGCAGGTGTTTCCCAATCAAAGGAAACGTGTGGTTCGTACCCTCGTTCAACGAAGAATGGTGAGACTCCTGTTGTTTCTTGTGGCAATGCGGCTGCAGCAAAGTCGACCATCGGAAGGTATTCGGACCAGTTATCCTGACAATGATTCACAAAGGGTCTCAATCTCTGCGCCATGTACTGATTCGCAATTTCAATCTGCCCATCTGTTTGGGGGTGATACGCTGTCGATAGTCTTCTCTCAATACCAAGGTTTCTACAGAATTCTTTCCAGAATTCTGACACGAATTGGCCACCCCGGTCTGACACAATCGATTCTGGTAGGCCTACCCATCGATACACATTATCAATGAATAATCGTGCTGTGGCTTTTGCGTCGGTCTCCTTATGGCATGGCACTGAGATCGGTCGCTTCGTCAGAAGATCCACAAACACGCATACATTGTCAAACCCGTGTCGATCCTTTGGAAATGAGCGAAAATCCATTGTAATGTGCTGCCAAGGTCGACCTGGGATTGGGAGTGGTTGCAAGAGGCCTGGAGCTCTATCTCGCCATGTTTTCGTGCGCTTGCAGATCTGACAATTGTTGACATATCGCTTCACATCACCTGAGAGGTTCTGCCAATAGTACCGCGCAGAAACCATGCGTTTCGTTTTCTCCTGTCCAGGATGTGCTATAGATGGTTGACGATGGATCTCATCCAGCAGACGCGCACGAAGATCACCATCATCCGGTACCACTAATCTTCCTCCTCGCAATAGTAAATCACCTTCCATCTTCCACTTTCCATCATCCTCGTGCTTGGCCAGCTCACGGAGCTCATGTAGGCTTAGATGTGTGCGGTTTGCATTAAGGATTCGGTCAATAATCGGTGATACTCTGATTGGTGCAATGATTACTGATGCCGAGGATTCACATTGATTGAGGGCATCTGAATCCTTTGGGTCAGAATCCATATCCTCAGGGTATACGCCATTTTCGAGGACCTCTCTCGGCAACATGATCTGCTCCTTCTTCTTTGGGTAGTCACGAGAAAGATGACCGGATTCCTTGCAGCTGTAACACTTTACTTGCTTTAGGAGCACAGCCTTCTCCTCATCCATCTGTTTCCAGGTTCCTGTACTTTCAGTCCCAGATGAAGTGCCCTTCGTGCTTGTGTTCGGAGCAGTTCGTCCTCGATTACCACCTGCATTCACTTTCGCAGTGCGACTTGCGAACCGCTGGTTAATCAGGCGTGCGATGATTTGACACTTTCTGACAAATTTCTCAAATGAAACATCATTATCTCCTGCTTCCGCCATCACCTGGTTCTGTAGTGACACTGGAAGCTTGCGGTAGAGATCTCCCTTTCGAAGTTCCTCTGGCTGTTCTGCTTCCTCAGCAAGGTAAGTGAATTTGGCTAGGAAATCAGTGAAATCTTGTTTCTTTGGTTCCATCTTCAATGTGAGATACTCGCGCGGCCTGTTTTTGGTTTGGATCATGGAAGACTCCTTCAAGGTGATCAAACACATCTTGGATGTTCTGGTAGGATCGAGGGTTCATGGCATTGTCTTGCATACGCGGATTGATATGCCTTCGTGCTTTCCCTTCACAGCGGCTACTGACATAAGTCAGCTGATGAGCAGCTGTAGGGTAGTGGTCCTCGTTGAGCAGTAGCTTGCGACGTATCTCGTTCCTCCATGTCTTGAATTTCACATCCTTTCCATCATTCAGCATTGGTGGGTCAGGCATCTTGATCGATTTTTTGTTGCTGATAGTCGAAGGGCCAGGGGATTCACGGACTGGAGTCGTTCCCATCAGGCGCATCGTGGTCAACACGCCATCTCGTTCACGGATTGCAGCATCACGCTCCTCACGTATCCGTGCATATTCTTCTGCATATTGCTCAGCGATGGCAGCAGTAGAGGTCTGTTCCCTTAACTGGGCAATCTCATTTTCCAGTCGGGTGTTCTTTTCAGCCAGTTCTATAATGGCTTGGTTTGTGTTCATAACTCCGTCAGCATCCGTGTCAGTATCACGTATCTCGACGAGTTCAGTTTCGAGTTCATTGGTTCGGTCCTGACGTCTCATGATAACACGCCAGGCAGTCTCGGGGTGGCCACGAATCCATTCAATCAATCCATCCGTGTCCTCCAGTTCGATCGCTTCAGGAACTCCTTCATCAGGTCGGATCAGTAGTGAGGGTCGCTGCCTCGATTCTTTTTTCTTGCGCAAACGCGCGCTGGATCGTTCGGTCGACGACATATTGCTTCAGTCGTCGTTCGTGTGCGGGATCTTCGTGGGGTTCACCAGGTAGCTTGGGCGTACGTACGTCCTTTCGCTCAGCTGACTTCAAAGTGAGAAAAAAAAATGAGAACCAGGTAGCTTAACGCGTATTAAATGGTGTGCGTCTTCGCTAGAGAGAAAGATGATCTTCGAGATAATGTTAGGGGCCGTTCGAAAGAAACAGATTCATTCGGTGCCTACAGACGAGAATCTCGAAGATGAAGAAGAAGAAAGAAAGAAAGTCCGCCAGAAAAAGAGTGCTTAAGTACCCAGCAAACGCGCACCAGCAAACGGGTAGTGCAAACGACCCAAATTATGCCTCAGGCACCCTTCCACGAGATGAGGCTATTCCCAGGTTCATCCGTCACAGTGTAGATGGTCGTGTAGATAGTGTATGTGTCAGCGGATGTCGGCAGTGGACACGGTGGACATCGGTAGTGATTCGGTAGTGGGTGTAGTAGGTCTGAGTTCGAATCGTCAATCAAACGTGATAAGATAGCCGACGATTATCAACACTAATAGTGTATACTTTCGCGCTAGGTGGAAGGAAGTGGCAGCCTGAGATCATCTCATGTGATCGAATAACCTGACCACGCCGACAATTAAAAACGAGTCATTAGGAATCTGGTTTTGAATACATCACATGCAAGAATGCTTGAATAAAATACACGTCGGCCGAGGGCGTACCAGCCGTTTTGAAGGTGTCTGTATCTAGCCTGCCAGAGGCCCAACCTTGACATCGGTCCTTGTCCGCAATTCCGCCAGCTCCTGGTTTTTTTGCTGGCTCTTTCGATGTTGCGACAGCAGCCTATCGTATCTCTTCTTGCCGCCAAACTTGAGCTTCGTGATTATATCTGCAGCTTGACCGCGGGTCAGTCCCTCCGGAGGAACATTTCCAGTCTTAATGCGCGACTTATTCAGCATCTGGATCTGCGTAGCTGTTGCTGGGCTCTGTCGCCACGGCTTCCATGATGCAATGAAATGTTCCTCGAATTTGCTGCTGGCAAATGTATCACCTGCTCGAACGGCTGTCTCGAGGTCCGGCCCAGAGGCAATTTGTCGTGGTCGGGTGAATTGCGGTTTCTCGGTGATTGGATCTTTGAATTTCATGACATAACGTACGACGAACATCTCTGCTTCCTTCTCGAGGCTGAGCCATCCATTTGTATCTGATAGAATATACTTTCCATCACCGACTCGCACCCATGAGTTCTTGCTCACGGACCTGATATGCCTCTCGTACCGCGTGTCGCCTAGGAGGTCGTAGATACTGTCATATTTCGTGAACTGCAGTTGCACGTCTTCATCCAGGGAGTTTTCATTGTAAGGTGGTGGTGTTGGTTGACTTGATTTCTGCCGCTCCTCTCGCATTTCCTTCACGGTAGATTTGTTCAAGACTTCGTCGGGATCAAGGCCAAAAAGGGTCGGAGTCGACAGAACTCCCGTTGCCAATGACGCTACCATGTCAATAATATGACAATCCTTCTTCCCAAAGAAGAGCCGCAACCCTCGGCCGATCATTTGAATAAGCAGATTTCTGGACCTAGTTGGCCGAGCCAAGACAACGCAGTCGATATTTGGAATATCAGTTCCCTCTGTGAAGAGGCCACAGTTCAGTAGAACTGGAAACTCCTGTTCTTTGAAGGCCTCGATTTGCTTAGCACGAGTATCCTTGTGTGTATTGGAAGTAATATACCGAGCATCGACACCGTGCTCGCGAAATGTTGCAGTAAGCTGCTTTGTATGCTCGATATCCACGCAGAATACCAGTGTCGACTTGCGGCCCGCCGCATTTGCCATCCAGGCACGTACTGTGATGTTGTTTGTGTTTACAGTATTGACCGCTTCAGAAAGCGACCCAAGAGCAAAGTCACCGAACTTGTCTTTTTTGACTTGAGACAGATTGGCTTCTGATTTGACTGTAGTAAAGACCGCATCTGCTAGCCACTTCTCCCCAATCATATCCACATAGTCCTTGTGGTAGACAATGTGATCAATCGCAGCACCCAGTTTCAGTCCGTCGAACCGCGAAAAGGTCGCTGAGACGCCTACCAGGACTGGCGCACTGGAGGAGGGCTCATTCAGGCCAAAGTGGCCCAGGGCCTCGCGGTAGGATCGCGCGACTATATGATGCGCTTCATCAACCAGTATGAGCTTGAATTCCGCTGGATCAAACCTCCCAATGCGCCCTCGTGCCAGAGTTTGGACCGAGGCAATGATGATGTCTCCAAGCCCTGTAGCCACGTTCTGACCCATCTCAATCTCTACAGAAAGGTCTGGGTATGCGAGACGGCAGTGCTTTGCGGCTTGTTCGACAAGCTCGCGTCGATGAACAATAATCATAGTCTTCGTCGCTTTCGCAGTGCGTGAGGGAACCCGGCTAATGAGCTGCGTGAAGATGACCTGTTAAGCATCAACATCGTAATTCATAAGCCCGATATTGCTTCGACCAACCGTCTTGCCGGCTCCAGTGGCTAATGAGATTCCGAGCCGTCGGTGCCCTTCATCGAGGTATTTGAGTACCGACTGAATGCATTCCTCCTGGTAATCGCGCAACACGATGCTCGATCCAGGCAATGGCGGCGGATACGTCGAGTTGAAGCGAGTATTGCGCGGGCACTGCGGTAAAATAGACCGTACTGGATTCTGTCTCCATGGCTGTCTTATCGAAAGCAGCCCAAGCCTGCGTACGAACTCCATGCGTGTCGGAAGATGAAGTCATGTCGAAGCTGGGCGGAGAGGCAGCGCGTCAAACAGTGCAAACTGCAAACTGTCTTATCGGCGATAAGCCCAGGGCGTGGTTGCCTCAAAGTGGAGCTCGACTTTTTTTTTTGACTTTCGCGCCTCTCCAAAACAATAGTCTATCACTTTGCTGGTGCAGCTGTGATGTTTCGCTTGCGGCTCTTCAGGACGCGCCGCGACTCTGCCATCTCTGCACGATGAGCAGCTCTCCCTACCATGCCCCTGATGATTCCGACTCCGCCTTGGGTTGGCTGGCAGACCTGCAACCCCCGCGACGCTCAACTTCTCCCGCAAAATCGTCGATATCAGTAGCTCTGGAAGGGGCATCTGGAGATGATGATCCCAACGAATATACCGACTTCGATCCAGGCTTCTCGCTTGCTGACCTACAACCCCCGCGTCGCTCAACATCTCCCGTTCAACCGTTGAAACCAGTAGCTTTGGAAGGATCCTTTCGAGACAATGATCCCACCTCGGTGTCCGATTCCGACTCAGACTCAGACGTTCCACTCGCAGTCTTGCGAGCCCAGTTACGCTCGGGAAATGATGATCCCAATCCTGCCTCCGATTCCGATTCAGATGTTCCGCTCGCGACACGACGAGCCCAGCTACGCTCAAATTCTCAGTTTGGATTGCCGGTTTTGAAACCAAACGCAGAGTACGATCGTCGGACGGATCTGAGGCGCAGTTTATACAAGCGCTATCGGTGGATGCGGAGTATTCGCCGAAAAAGGCTTAGGAGATTGTTCCCGGACATCACACCGAACTCCCTGCAAGAGTATACCGACATACTCAAACAAGTCGAGGAAGATTACAGCCCCAAAGCTGTGAGCGAATATGATTCGGTGCTTGGTAAGACTCTGTACGGAGCAATGGAATGGACTGCCAAGGAGAAGGAGATTCTTTTCGATGCGCTTGGTCGAAAGGGGAAAGGCCGCGTCAAAGAGATCGCAGATGCGATTGGAACGAAATCGGCCCTTGAGGTCATGGAATATCTCCGCATTGCCGCTGATTCGTTGAAAACCTACACTTTACTCCCCTCATTCGAAAACCGGTACAGGCCCATTACCATGAGCGATATCCCTGCTGCGGCGGAGATTAGCGAAAAATGCTGTGCTGAGCAGGATGTGCACGCAGAGTACTTGACTCGCAAAGGGGCAATCGACGATGAGCTCATAGGCCGACAGATATATTCTGGATTCGGAATCATCGGTAAACTCGAAGCCCAGAAACTCGATAAAGTCGATTTTGATACCCCGTTGCAAGGTAACATCCAGCTCGCTGCCGGTCTGTTCAGACTGCCTATGTGGATCAAACTCTCTACGAATCTATTCATGAACTTTGGCGGTGAAAGAGCGGATGACCACTGGGAAAATTTCTCTCAATCGGATCTAGAAAGACCCTCTATAGCTGGAGAAGCCATCATGGAGTTTGCCGCCTTGACGATAAGCTTTATCCGGCGTGTCGTTCAATCTTCAATTTTTTGTGCTGAGGCACGAAATCGCACCGCCACTCTCTATAGTGGCAAGAAAGACGAGTCTCAATTCACGGTGCGGTATTCCGACATGAAAACTGCGCTCGAGATGTTGAACCTAAAACGCAAGCGCCCTGACTTCGTTGAGATCGCGCGTGCAAACCATGTGGCCATTGGCGCTTGGCACCGCCCCGATCGCGTAATTCCAGTTAAAATTTTCGACTATGCCCGATCAAAGAAGCTTGTGAACTATAAATTCGCCCGGTTCCACGAAAAGTTGAAGGTATTTGAGGTGAAACCCGCCCCAGGCGCTCGGGACCGAGACGACGATGGAGAGAGAACGGGGACTGCTGTTGACAACATAAAAAACAATGCGGACGAAATCGAGGAAGATGATAATCACAGCCGAGACAAGTATCACGGAGATGACAACGCCGTGACCAATCCCGCAGGCGTGGACCAATCCGCCTCAAACCTCCCAAAACCCGAGCTTCCCGAAGAGGAGTTCCTTGAAGACCAGAACGAACGAGAGGCAGATGCTGTCGACCGCGAACAAAGCCGTCTTGAAGAACTCTTTATGTGGTCTATTCTTGAAAAAAGACCTCCGCGTTCTCTACGCGTCTCCACCATCCAGCAGCCCATTGTCAAAAAAGCGAAGTACGAAGAAAGGAAATTTGACGGGGAGGCGAATAACGACCGGATTGTGCAAATTCCGCCTTCCACTGCCTTTGATTACAAGACTGTCGAAGGATTTGTTGACTGGCGCGATCGTACCCTCTACCGCAGCGAGTGGGAGCAGTATTCCGACCTTGAAGAATTGGCGAACGATCTGGCCTTGAATTCCCGCAAAAGACGCCGTGTTGAAGCCGGTGATGATTCTTCAACTGAGGATAGTGTTTATAATTATTATACAAGTGAGGAAAGTCTCGAAGATGAAGATTTTATTGAGGAAGATCATGACAAGTACTCCTCAAGGGAGCAAGGACATTCTCGATATTCTTCCCCCGATATAGTCATGAGTGGAGTTATTAGCAACAACGACAGCAGAAGCCAACCCGAGCGACACCTTTCCTCTTGTGGACCAATTCGCAATGTGGAAGCTACGGAAGTTGTCAACATTGACGATGACAATGAGGCAGAAGGCGGAGCCATGCAAATCTCCGGCTCTCCAGAATCTATTCCCAGCGACGATGACGACAGCGATAATGGCAATGGAGAACAAGACGCTGCACCAACCCTCTCGTCTGCCGAAATTGTCAATATCGACGACAGTGAAAGCGGAGATGAACAGAAAAGTGCCAGTCTGCGCTCTAATGTGTCGATCAGCAGCGACGAGAGTGAGGCTGGTGGCCCGGTCAATAACAATGGACGACCACAACCTACTTCTACCTCACCAATCATTGTCCTCAGTGGTGATGAAGACGATCGAGATGAGGGTAGAGACACCTCTGGCTCTTTCGAGACCTCGAGGGAAACCCCACAGCCCCCATACAAGGACCCCGACGGAGATTCAATGCAGCTGGATGAGCCTTCTGCGGCACTTCCGCCTCCTAGCTTCATTTAGGAACCCCTGTTTCCCAGAGATACCCCGTGCCTAGCACAAACCATCGATAGTCAGAATAGCACAAGTAATACTTCTAATTGTACAATTACCATGTTCACATGCCGGTCTTAGGTCTCTCTCAATGCGAACTACAAATGTTCCATTTCTATTGAAGCAATTTGGAGTTGGTAGTGAATAATCTCCTTACCATTTCCGTACTCTGTAACAGCTCCTCGCTGCTTCAATGTTTGGATCGCGGCCCAGCCAACCGCCTCTCCAGAATGGCCCCCAATTCGGTCGGGTTACAGGAATTGCCCACCCGCACTTCTTGGTAGGGAGACTATCTATCGAAATGATAACAGTCCACTTGTTATCAGCAGAGATCCATTTGTAGATGTTGGAGTACTTTGGAATACGCATCCGAAGAAAACGCATATGGTCAAACATGCCGCTCACTTCCTAAGATCGTCAACTAGCGACTCTATCCTCATCTCGCGACGCAATATTAACCACGAGGCTTCAGACGAGTGATCGAAATTATCAATGTGGTCCCTGTGAAGCTTCTGCTTTCCGCAGGCCTAGATTTCAGGCGATATGATGGGTTGAACGCAGTTGCAAGAGGCTTTGCGGATATGGTGCGCGTTTTCGTGGATTCTCAGATATATGGAGACACCCTGAGTGATATTTACGGTGGCGCGGGACCTTGGCTGCAGCTGCCCGACAAGGAAATATGGAGATGCTTCTACTTTTTATGGGGGTGGAGATATCAACGGATGCCAGCCTTTTGGCTCGAAAATGTCTCAAGTTTGGTTTTTTTTTTTTTTTCCTGCCATAAACCGACGCAACTCTACTGACAAGCTTGAAAAGCCTCGCGCTAGTCGAAGCCGCGGGAATAGGGCACTTGGAAATGGTCAAGTTTCTCCTTGAATCTGATGCGGATCCAAACGCGCGAACTATAACTGAGTGCGAACAGCTCTTCGACAAGCATGTGAACAAATCACCACTCTTCCAGGCTGCATAGTTTAAAGACGAGGCCATTGTTCGGCTAATTCTGAAACGAGGAGTGCATTTGGCCGTAGCCGGGGATATCAATGCTTGCGAAATTGCACATCTCTCGCATCTCGGGGCCGAAGCAATGGTCACGCTCATCCTGGAACATGTCGATAACGGATCAAGACTAGCTGAGCTCGGCGTGTGGGAAGAGTTTACTTCCTTCACTATGCTGTTGCTGTTGGAGGTGAAGCTCTCGTTCCGCGATTGCTGGATATGAGTTTCACGGTGAATACTCGGATCACTCCTTTGAGATCGCAGGCGTAGGCTCTGCTGATGCGTCATTGGAGTACCAGAAGTGACAGCGCGTTCATCCCACTTGCACCTCGCCTTTGGAGCTCGCTGTAACGCGCCGCTATACGAAATTGTCCAGTCCATTATCGACAGAGAAGATAATATCTCAGAAAATAACTTTCTGGGAAAAAGCGGTGCTATTCTGGCCAAGGTGGCTGCTCGAAACGATGATAAATCCATGACGATGGCCCTCAGATGTGGAGACGAGTCCGAGGTACGACGATGCTGAACTTGTGGGGAAGCCACGATCATCATAGCAGCTGCAAAAGAGTGAACCGAGTCCATGTGCCAGATGATCGTGCAGCAAGGTCTTCTCGCCGATGCCATCAGGAAAATCAAACAGCGACTTCCCGAATTTCTGACCGCGGCCAATACAGCCTCGTGCCGCGGATCCTAGAGCAAGATACTTCTCTATATGAGCTGCCGAAAAAGCCCAGAGACATATCGCCGATCGAAACGGCTCTTTCTATTGCGGCAGCGCTTGGCCCACTCGAAGGATTCAAGCGAGTGCTCGATTTCGCTGTAGCCCTAGGCCCAAGGTCTTCTAAAAGGCTTTCGTCATATCTTAGACGAAGCTACGCGGCGCTTTCAGTCTGAAACTGTCAACTATCTTCATGATCGTTGTGACTTCGGGGCGAACGGGTAAGCAAAATGCATTATGATGCAGCCTTCCTAAGGGGTGCTGCTTCAAGTAGCCATCCAGGCTCACTTTCGACAGTGAAAGCCTTGATTAGTCAGAGCGTCGAGGCAGACGCAGATTCAGCCCAAGGTCGTACGGATTTTGTGGGAATTTCCAGATATGGCGGAAGGCCTCGCCCATGGACTTATCCACAAGTCAATGAAGAAATAATTTCTGGCGGATGGTATACCCCTATTCCTTTCAGGCCAATTATGTAAACTTACAATAATGTGCCGGTTCACAATTGTAGGTAAGCTGGAGGTCTTCAGATTCTGAGAAGACGACGTAAGAATCAACTGTCAACGAATTCAACGCAATGTCACATAGTAATTCCGATGTAGCCATACTAATCCCGACTCATCAAAAGACCACTTGAAACTACCACAATCCTAACTTAAAATCTTACACTGCCCAGGTGCATTGGGTGCAGTAGCAAATCTCCCGTTTTTGGGTAGCCATTTAGCCGATTCTCGTCTACTGTATATCTACGCAGCTCAAACAGATTCAATCATCTAGAGCATTTCCATGGCGGACATATGATTAAGAAAAAAAGTTAAACACATTCAAGAAAAGGTGGAAAAAGAGCAACCCAGCCAACCCCCTCGCATCCCCTGGAAACCTCCAAAACAGTCCTCACATTCGATTCAGTAGGAGGGGGTGCGGGACAAATCAACACAAACTCCCAACAAGTCAGTAGAAAAAAGAAAGTGCGCCTTTTCCTAGCCATATAAAAGTTCAAAGAGAATATTCATAACACCGCTCTCACGGTTCCCCATCCCTCCTCTCTTCCGACATTGCACACCAGACTCGAACCCGAATTCGGCGCAGCCCATTTGCTTATTTCCTTCCTCTTTCTCTCAACATGGGATATCGTACATGCAAGTAAAAAGAAAAAAGAGAGATTGAAAAGGAGATCACAGATCAAGCGACTTAAAGTCTGCGCCCGCCTCGGCACTGAGAGGCTGAGCCCCAGCTCGCAAGTCACCACCAACGGGCTGGAAGCTATAATGGTTCCCAATGCCCGCTGTGGCGGCACTAGCAAGCATGGTATTGGTGTGCTCATTCGGGCCCTGAAGCGACACGGTCTGCAAAGCGTCCTGGGCCTCCTTAACGCGTTTCTTAAATGCCATTCGGTCCAGGAAGAGTTGCTGACGAGCCTGTTCAAGCTCACGACGCTCGGCCTCAATGATCTCCTCCATCTCGTTGAACTGCTGGAGCTTGATCTCAAACTTCTGCAAGGTAACGTTCACGGCGGCGCCGACGAGGCGGGTCATTTCTCGCTCTTCATGCGAGGCAAGAGCACCGGCTCGCGCGGCGGAGGCGGCCATCGCAACGGTTGAGACAGACTCCTTCGGCTTCTCGGCGGTCTGCTCGGCCTCGCGGACGGGGTCGACATCCATGGAGTCGGACTCGGCCTTGACGTCCTTGCCCTTACCATCGCCCTTCTCCAATTGGCTGCGGAGCTCCTTGCGGATCTCTTCAACGGAGCGACCGGCAGCGGCGGCGGCAACAGCGGGCTCGGCCATTTGGGCAAGGAAGGCAACGACGGAGAGGACAGGGTTCTCAGATTGGTTGATGGGATCGCGGCCAGAGCGAGCGCCGAGTTCGGGAATATCTTCAATATACTTGTCCTCAATCTCGAGGGAGAGGAACTTCATCACGCACTCTTCGCGAGTTCGTGTGCCGACGTGATTAGCAATTTGCTCCCAATTATCGTCGAAGTTCTCCAGACCCTCCAGCAGAAGCAACAGCTCTGAATCTGACCACGGAGCGTCCTTGTCTGGGACGTGGCTGTGGCTCTTATCCTCGAGTTTCACGAAGTCGGAGGCATTATGGCTGGAGGGCATGCGGCCCTGCAAGAAGCAGTTGGGGCACAAATCATATTTCGCGTCGGGGGCGTTGGGGTTTGTTGATGTGGGCGCAGACTTGGCATAGTGGAAACGAAGTCTTGTGCAGTCAATACCGCAAGAGAAGCAGTGCGACTTCTTCTTAGGCTCCTGCTCGATGCCATTTGTACCGTCACCGTTGGTTTGCTTGTCCTCGGTCGATGGGGTAACATCCTTGCCCTTGTCGTCGAAGATGTTGCGGCGCAGGTCGAGTCCCTCGCCCTTGGTTGCAGGGGTCGCAGAGGCGGCGCGGTCAGTGGCGGGCAGAGTCTTGCCCGCGGTGACAGCGGGGTTCGGCCCAGGCTGGAAAGGTTGCAGTCCTCGCGGAGTATCGGCGATGACGCGGAAGTGGCCGGTGAATGGGGGTCCGATGTTGGAGGGGCGGGATTGAGGATCAACCTGCGAATGAATTAGACAAGGGCTCGATCGAAACGATTAAGCTGGGGTGTTTACTCACCTGGTAGTTAATAAGACCCCACTGCTCAAGGAAAGAGTGAATTCGCATGATAGCACAGACATCACCCGCTAAGTTACGACGGCAAGCAGTGACAGTCAAGTATTCGATAGGGTTCAAACGGTAAGTGTTGATCATGAAGTCACGGTAGTCCTTGTAGGTAGCCGGGGTCTTGCTGCGGTTACGGGCATTGAAAAACTCGGCGAGAGCCTTCTTCTCAATCTCGTGAATGGTGTTCATATCGAACCATGTCGCGTAGCTAGGAAGAATGATGGCATGGGTCTGCGTAACAAGCTGCTCCCGAGCAGCAGCCTCCAAGGAAGACTTGCTTGGCGCGGGTTGATCTTCACCAACGGCATCTTCAAGGCCCTCACCAGCCTGCTCAGGAGGTTGCGACTCGCCGGCCGCATCTTCCAAGCCCTCGGTATCGCGCTTCGTCTCGGTCTCGGTGCCGCCCATCTCCTCATCCTCCGGTTCGCCATCGCCGTTCTGTCCCTTGGGCGAGGCAGGAGCATCAAGAGGGTTGTCCGATCCGGTGGTATTCTCGTACTTCTTCTCGGGGGACTCTTGGCGCGATTGCGATTCTAATTTCGTGGGTCAGCGTTGACACAAGATGATCCAGGGAGGTGGCTGGGAAGCGTACCGGAGGCACTGCCTGCATTCGTGATGCTCGCGGAGCCTTCTGCGCCGGTTACGGGCTGAGCATTCTCAGGTGCCGTAGACTGGTTGAGAGAAGTGTCATCCATGATGATTTAACGGAAGAAAGCTGCTGTCGCGGGCAGCTGAAGATCGACTCCTTGGCTGTCGTTCGCTGTCGACCTCGCGCAGCGCAACGTGGTTACGCGTGGCAAGTGTACGTAGTCGGCAGGAAGGTCTGGGATCAATAGACGAGGGCCCAATTCGATGGGAAATCAGGCCAAGGGGGGATGATTGGACCAGGTGCTCGATCGCTGGGGGAGGTGGATGTCGCGCTTTCACGGAAAACTCGCGGTCGCTGCCAAGGCAGGCGCTAGCCGAAACAGGTTAGCGTCTAGTTAGTATGTTGACACCGTTTAATTCAGGTATCAGTATTAGTCAGCGTCAGCGATTTATCTCAATTCTAGTCTAGCTCGTGACGATCTTATGTGAGCTACTGATGCAGTTTTGCTGCTAGTTAATACGCTTACTCTTCCGTCATGACTTCGTGCAGTTGTTGTTTTTGTTTTGGATTATAACCGGAGACGAAGCAGCCCTTTTTTAACTACTGATAGCCATCATACGGAATAGTCTACTAGTCTACACAATCTGTAAGAAACATTTTGTCTCCCAATTCATGTTTATATTGGTCGGTGTTCTTGGTTATCATAAAGTCCTACCAGTTCAAATGTACACAGTCCCAAAATAACCAATTAGTGCTGCGCGAGGGCAGCAGCACGAAGCTCCACGGTCTTCGCAACAGCGGGCTTCGCCTTCTGGCGGCTCAACCAAGCCTCCAAATTAGGATAATCAGACACACTAATGCCGAGGAAATCAAGGACCAGGAACCAGGGAATGAACGCCAGGTCCGCGTAACTCCACTTGTTACCGACAAGATATTCCTTATCTTTCAAGACGCGATCCAGCACACCTGAGACACGGCGAATCTCATTATAGTAGCGCTCCTTGGCACTCTCGATCTGCTCTGGGTGGTAGCGGGTGAACCAGACGGCCTGGCCGAAGTAAGGGCCCTGGCCGCTGACCTGGAAGTGCAGCCACTGCTTGGCAAGGAAGTAGTCCTGCGAGCCGGGGGCGAAGCTAATGGTGTTCTGCTTGTCGTAGGTCTCGACGAGGTATTCGAGGATCGCGCCAGATTCCCAAATTGTGATGCCAGTGTTGGGATCTTCAATAGCGGGGACACGGCCATTAGGGTTGATGGACTCGTAGGGTTCCTTCTTCATGTCGGGGAAGGCGACGGGCTTGTTCTCATAGGGGAGGCCGAGCTGCTCGAGGACAATGACAACCTTCCAAGGGTTGGGACCAGGGCCGTGGCCGTAGAGAGTGATGGGCTTGAGAGACATTATGGCTGTTGAAGATGGAATCTGGTGGGAAGAGTGGGAAGACGGAGATAGAGGAGGAAGTTGATGAGTTTGGAAGTGGAATTGGACGAGCCATGGCGTGCTCTTAAATGCTCCTGGCGAGCTGGCTTCATTCCCCAACCTTCGATGCTGGACGACCCCACTTGCGGGTACATCATTGCGGTTCAGGAACTTCGGCCGCAGAGAGCACGCTGACAAATGGACCCATTGTACGAGAAGATGCTTTTGTCAGCGCATACATCGCGGTATTGCTCCGCGATTGGTCGCGCAGGGTTCACTCAAGGTACTCCTCTTGCCGACATGACCTCAACACATGTCGCAGGGCTCGATCAGCCTGATCCGGCCAGCTTCACCTCTGGCACGCCGACGAGTTCCGTCCCGCTCGGACACGCTTGTGTTGGCAGCTAGTAGTAATGGGGGTTAAGGCCTCTGGGGTAATCCTTGTGGCCAGTATAGGTAGCTTAGCCAACATGAGAATGAGAAACGCTCGATCGGGTTTCAAGCACAGAAACCCGCGGAGTTCGCGTTCCGAGCTCGATAATCACTCTCGTGATAGTTAAGACCGAGCTTCACCAGCATTGGTCAGCAAAGCCCGCAGTGTCGCACAAAGAGTGTCGTCAAAAGAAGGCCATCTGCCAGATAGAGAAAATGTAGAAGACTGCCGCGGAGGAGCAGAAGTGCAAATTATCTTCCAACTCTCATCGGGGCTGACAAATCGCTAGTGACACCACCCTACTATTGCAGTCGACGGTAGCGACGCCCTTGCAATCACTTCGAAATGACTGGTCAGTGAGCCATGGTCCATCAAGGCGGGGACTGGGGAGATATACGCTGTCTCGAAGACCGAAGGGCGTGTTTTAGGGTGGTGGATTTAGGATTGAGTCATCATTCGCATCCTGAAAAGGGGGCCAGCCACGTTATTCCGAGCCTCAACTCCCAGGCTATTGTTAGGTCGATACAGCAATCCAGCCCTCGCCAGCGTGACGTCCATCTCGAATTGTTCAGAGAATTGCAGAGATCTAAATTTTTTCTCGCCTCAGTCAAGTTGCACTGCTAAAGAGCCTCGCTGACGATCAAAGACCCTCGGAATTCGCCTCGGAGTTGATCGGACTAAAAAAAGGGTAGCAGACTATGTTCCCAACACGCCACTTCTCTGTTTCAATGAAAATGGACGGAAAAAAACATCTGTTAGACTTCGAGATTGCATTTCATAGCAGATCATCTGAATTCAAACAGTCAAATGAGCCTGTTCGTGGTCACAAGTCCAAACCCGCGTCTTTGACTCATCCCAGCCAAGCCACTTCGTATAACTACCAAACTCAGAGGAGCGATCAAAACATGCAAACTAAAAATGCAAACTTGAAGACTGCAACATCAATGCCAACATGCAAATGCCAATGCAAAACATACAAATAGCAAGTGCAAAGTATGCAAATACAAACATTAATCTATTTCGCACATGCAAACATTGCGAGTCATGGTCGCGGCTAATCGTAAGGCACGTCTACTCTGTCAGAAAGAAAAATATTCCGAATTCTACTCCGTAGCAACCACCCCATTCTAACTCTTTGGCAGTCTAGACGGGAAGTGGAGCCACCTGGATCCCCAACTACAAAGTAAGGCTTAGTTTGCATTCAGAATTCACCAGAACAGAATAAACTTCTCACCCAGGCAGCAAAAGTCGAAAGAAGGTCTGAGACTCTGCTGCCTGAGTTAGGCAGGTAAGGGCCACGCAAGTCCAGAGCAGATCCAATGCGCCCTTTCGCTTATGAGTGCTTCAATCTGGAGTATGACCCGTTCCAGGCCCCGCCAGAGCGGATAGCCCAGCCCTGTGAGACGATAATAAGATGTTATGATCGGCTCTTTCCGTCCAATGAGCTATGTTCCCTGTCTGTCATCTTGCACTGTAAAGTGCCTAAGGCATCGAGTCATCGTTATGGGGTTCTACTCTAGCATGTCACAGTGCAGGAGGAAAGCCCTGTGGGGTCTGGCGACATGCCTAGATCTCCAGATCGGGAGCCCGATTGCGGCCTCCCGGAGTAATACAGTAATATAGCCAACCAAATACAGCACGAAGTGAGGAAAGAACTGTTCTCGAAATCGCCAGAATCGAGCCCCAGGTACACTTGCGATGAATTGTCAGCAGCTTGATTCATCATATTCTCTTGGCGTTTTTGCGCGTCGAACGCCCATCGCGCCCTTTCGCAACATCAGCCTCGTTTTTGGATGGTTTGTGTTCGGAGTGGGCCCACAAGGTTTAGTCCGACGCTCGGTGTGGGGCGCGGCCTACTTGCTCTGACGTCTTTACGAGCGTAGTTTATTCCAGCAGTCATGGATCACGGCGCAGTGGTGGGTCGAGGAAATTTTTTTTAGATGTTGTCAATGTCGGTGTACCAAATCGGAGTTCTACGTGTCAGAGCAAGCCTTGTCTGGAATCTATAAAGACCGGAGAATCACCCGTGGAAAACCAACATTATCAACTCAAGAAGCCGAACACTAAAGGAATATCCGTTCTTTGGTTGATTCTCATCTCATCCGATTCTATTTACATCAACACTCATCAATACCGACACTGACAAAGTCATAAGTACTATCTATCTCACCACCTTCCAACCTCCACAAGTGGTCTACCTACCAACCCACCATACAACTCTACATCCAAAACAAAACAACCACCACAACCACAATGTCCAGCATATTCTCCAAGAGCTCCAAGAGCACCCGCACCGACAGTGTCCCCAGCGACACCGCCTCCACACATTCCACCGTCTCCACCGCAACAACACTCAAGGGCCTCGAGTCACCCAAGAAGAAGTGGTTCTCGCTTCCCAAGACCGAGCCCGCATACATCAACAAGTCGGATGAGCAGTACGCCAAGAAGGCCATACACAACGAGGCCATCGCGAGCTATCTCAGCATTCGCTAAACACGTGCACTAAGCTTTGCTTATTTGATTTGACTTTCACTCGGCTTACGACCAATACCTCCTGCCTTCGACTATTTCGACCACGCTCTTCGGATACCACCTGCATACGCGATTCTCGACCTGCTATACACTTGGCTATTTTGCGCTTTGATATCTGATACCAATCCGCCTACTTGTTTCTTTGATCTTCATACTGATATTTCAGCTGATTCATGATGGAATGATTTAATATTGATATTTTAATACCTTGTGCTTACTTTTGATTTTTGTGAGGACAATCTATTTCATTTGTTAGTTATAGAATGGGCTTTGTTTTGGTTTTACAGTTTGAATGATAACGAATTATTAGAAGATTCGGAAATATGTTCTTTCGTAACATAAACTAAAGATGAAATATTTGCAAACAAGAAATTAACTCAATGGTATAGGATGCACGCCAATAGCACTAAAACATGCCCAATCTTGTAATCAAACAAGAAAACAGAAACAAATCATAACCCAGTCAAAAGCTCAGCCATCGAAATAGGTTTGCGCACCGCATTCGAGAATCCTTCATGATAAGTAATCCAAACCTTCCTCCCGGCCTTGGCCGACTCATTCGCCGGATCGTGACCATCTTTATCCTCGCCGCCTTTACCCTTGGGGCTAGGATCCTGAATAATTCGGCCAAAGAAATCTCGCTTGACAACGCCCTCTTTCATAGCTTTCTTCGCCGTATCGCCGGGTTCTGACGCTGATTTGACTTGGGGATACTTCCCGCCAGTAGCGGCAGTAACGGACTCTGCTTGTTTGCGCGTGGTTTCTTTCCGGTATTCTTGGTCGAGTACTTGTCGGACGGCATACCGCACTGGTGCGCTACCTCCGGATGCCATGCTGAGAGGCATTCTGGAGAAGGAGACTAGCGAGTCGATTGGTCTGTTAGGGAGGGTTAGTTCGGTCTGCGAGACTTGGATGGGGTCGTGTACTTACGGCTCCATTCTGTAAGCCCAGCCGCCGTGGCCTCCGCCTTCGTGCTCAACGCGTACTTTCTCGAAAGTCACTCCCATCCCTGCCATGACGCGGGCGGCAGATTGTACGAGTGTTTTCTCGGAGTCTTTGCGGACGGTGGCTGTACTTCTCTGCTCGCCGCCTCCGCGGACAATCACCGGTTTGACGTCTGGTGAGAGCATGCGCACGAGGTAGGGGACTAGATCCGTAACGACCGACTCGGAGGATCGGAAGATCCGGACGATAGGTGCAGAGAAAGAAGTGTGAAAACCAGTCAGGATTGCACGGTTTGCCTTCAGTGCTTCGAAAGCAGCAAAGTCGGCTCGCGGGCCAGAAAAAGGGTGTTCTTCTTTGGCCTCTTCATCGTCCTCATCTTTTTCCTGGGCGTCGATCTTGCCAGCAGCCGAAGCGAAGAGGTGATGAAACCCCAGTACAGACTGGCTGAGGTAGGGACTCAACTCCCATTCTTGAGAAAAATGGACTTTTGCGGAGATGCAGTCGTGAAAATGCAACCATTCATAAGCAGCATTCGGTTTCGAAAGAAAAGTATCGTCCTGGTATTGCTGGATGGGGTATGCCGCAAAACAATCAGTAACACAACGGTCATGGTCACCGCTTGAATCCACCATCTCCCGCAGTCGATTGATACCATGTCGTTTACGGAGATCCGCCACACCAACAGGGACACGGGTATTCGCATCATCGAACTTATCCTGGAAGGAGGTCACTCCGACGGGAGCATCAGTGAATCCGGCACCTTCAGTGAAAACGCGGTTCACAATCTCGCGGACACCTCCACGGCTCATTTCTTTGAAGAATGAGCCGCCTTCCGTGGAAGCACTGAGTACTCGGTTCTCGAGCCAGTTTCGGGTCAATCGTAGAGCGGACGAACGCTCATTGCGTAGCTTATGTGCAACCCATTCTGCGGCGACGAGGACGCTGCGGATATCACCCTCGGCAGATCCGCTGTTCTTGGTGGAGCGCTGTCTTCGATTCGTGATGCCCCAGGCTGCTTCACAAAGCCGGCGGGCTCCGTCGTTATCGCATGGAATACCTTCGCGGGTAAAGATGCTCCGTACTCGTTGGACGACGTTCTCCAGCGGGGCTTGTCGGACATGAATCATCTCGGCGATAGACGAGGCCCGGAGGGGCCGGAGACTTGGGTGGTATAGGTCGTTACAGACCAAAATCAAAGGTCGAAGAAAACGGAAATTATCGCCCTTGCGCTTCTTGCCTTTGCTGTCTTCCGAAGGACGGTTTGAGTTGCGCTGGTCAAGCAGGACTAGGTCAATGAGGGCTTTCATGAAACCCCCCTCACCACCACTTCCAGCTCCGCCAACGACACCATCGACTTCGTCGACGACGACACAGACGGGCTTCGCAGCTCGACGGACCTTGTTCTCGCCGACTTCGACATTGGCACCCTTGACGTTCTCCGTTGCCAGTGCATCGCGGATGCGGCCCTTAACCACATCTCTGCTGCGTTCGTCACTGGCGTTGATCTCGAGCACCTCGTAGCCTGCCTGTTTGGCGCAGACATGTGCCAATGTCGTCTTTCCCAATCCAGGAGGTCCACTCAATAAGAGGACCTTCCGGTGATAGCGCTCTTCGTCATCCTCTTCTTTGAACTTCTTGGAACGAGACTTGAATAGACCCGGGAAGACAATCGGCTCCCATCCCTTCAGCCAGCGAAGGACGGCTCGGTGCGTACGTTCATCTCCAATTAGATCGGTGAACTTGCGAGCACGGTATTTCTCTGTCCACATCATCGAATCATATTTCTTCTGCTTCGCATCTCCATCGTGTTTTTCTATGGATGGCTGGACAGGCGGCCGAGGTGCTGCCGCGGCAGCTTTTATTTCATTCGCAGCATCATCCATCATCTGGTGAATATCAATACCATAGTAGCTTGTCCTCGCTCTTCCAGGATCCGCTTCAGATCGACTGGCAATCATGCGCTCATAGGAAACTGGGGCTTGGGTCTTCTTCAAGGAAACATTGTGTGTCTTCCCTGCGCAAGTCTTGATCTGAAATCTTTTCAAGGGAGCAGGCGCTGTTCGAATGGTCATTTCAGGCTGTATGGTCGGAACTTCGGGTGTGAAATCATTCGGTTTAGACAGGTCCATAGGAGGTATGCCAGGAAGTTGAGCTTCGGGATTCTCAGGCAATTCGAACTGGCTTTTCAACTGTTCATCCCTGAGTGCGGCCATCTCGTCGTCTTCCTCGTCGTCATCATCATCATCAACGAATCCTCCGACGAATTTCTGTCGCTTGGGTTCGGTCTGTTGCGGACTTTCGTCTACTTCCCCGGCCTTTCGCTTCTCACCGGCCGCATTCTCGTATGAGGTGCCGAGCGGCGAAATGAAAGGCATATTTGGAAACGGAGGAGAGGAAGGGAGTATGGTGGAGTTACGGGTTGGTGTGTAGGCTGTTGCTCGCGGCGTTTCGAGGGAGGACTTTGTCGGTGTATCTATACCAGGCCTGAACATCAGCACAAACACTCCACACTTCTGTAGCGTGAAACAAGAAATCCTAACCAGGCTTTAAATCGTCGTCGCTGCGAAATACATCGGACAAGTTCCAGGCTCGATGCTGGATCACGACTTTATTGCGGGTTAAATCCGCGCGTGCTAGGTGGATTGCTTCGAGGTCGTCGTCGAAGGACTCGGAGGGGGATTGGATGTGTTGGTGGGCTCTTCGGAGTGGAGGTGGAGGGCCGGGTCGAAGGAGGACAGGATTGGTGACGATGGAATCATTCATGCGTCTCGGTCATGTCTTGGGTCTTGAAGTCTTTGTGCTTAATCGCAGTCCCTCCGAAGCGCGTCTCGCGCCCGACGCGTGCCGCGCTAACCTGTTTAGGTCATCTTATTTAGACTACGTAAGTTCTCCGCATTGCCACTAACTCCTAAGACCCTATACTTCATCCTGGGTACCCTAGGGATTCTTTGCTGAATTATTCAACATATTATTAAAGTTTTACATATCACCCTGGGATGGGTTGTCCTGACAATGTTCAACTACCCGATTACTCCCAAACTACCTCATGGTAGAGTACGTCCTCGATTGCTGGAAGAATTGTGTTCATAGATGTGTATTGCAAAGTGACTAGGCTTTTCGACTCTAGTCCTCTAAAAGTGATATGGTATACTGTACTGTTCATTCAACACAAAGCCCATGACCCACGACCAGTCATGGACAAAATCAAATCAAATCAACCCCGATAGCTCACGCAACAAATCTAAGCGCCCTTCACCTTCTCCGTAAGCTCAGGCACCTTCTCGAAAAGATCACCGACGAGACCAACGTCAGCAACCTGGAAGATAGGAGCCTCGGGGTCCTTGTTGATAGCAGCAATAACCTTGCTATCCTTCATACCAGCCAGATGCTGAATAGCACCAGAGATACCAGCGCAGAGGTACAGCTGGGGAGCAACGTTCTTACCAGTCTGACCAACCTGCAGACTGTTATCCGCGAAGCCACTGTCAACAGCAGCGCGGGAAGCACCGATAGCGGCACCAAGCGAGTCAGCGAGAGGGAGCATGATACGATCAAACTCCTCCTTGGACTTCAGACCACGACCACCGGACACGACGCGGGAAGCGGTAGCGAGATCAGGACGCTCGGATTTGGCCAGCTCTTCGGAAACCCACTCAGTTTGGGCGGCGGCGCTGGAGTCCACGCCGTCCACAACCTCGGCGGTTCCACCCTCTGTCTCGACGCACTGAAAAGCGGTGCCTCGCACGGTGATCACCTTGATGTTGTCGGTCGATTGCACGGTCAGGATGGCGTTGCCAGCGTAGATGGGGCGTACGAAGGCTGGTTTCGTGTTAGTGATTGACTATCACATGTCAATCCGCTTTTCTCGCTGTGTACGTACTATCCTCGCTCTCAATGCCGGTGATGTCCGACACCTGCTGGACATCCAGAAGAGCAGCAACTCGGGGAAGAAGGCTCTTGCCGAAGGCAGAGTGGCCGGCGACAATGTGGGTGTACTCGCCCTTCTTGATGTTCTCGACCAGAAGAGGGGCGTAGTTCTCGGGGAGGCCCTACAGAGACAGAAGCAAAAGCCGATTAGGAAATTTTCTTCAAGTCGTAATGCATGCAGAGCTTCGTACCTTCTCATAAGCATCATTCTCAACAGCAACAACCTTCTCCAGACCCTTAATCTTCGCAGCCTCGGCGGCAGAGGTACCCTTCACACCACTACCAGCAAGGAAACCAGTAACAGATCCACCGAGCTTCTGAGCGGCCGCGATTGCGGACAGAGAGGAGTTCTGCAGCTTTCCATCACGCTGCTCGAGAACGGCGAGGGTCGAGAGGAGGCGGGCGAGCGCCGAAGAAACGGGCGAACGCAGAGCGCGGGTTGGGTAGATCTGCGAGCGGGCAGCTCGCAGAGCAGAGTGTCGAGCGATCGGAATCATAGTGACGGCGTTATTGGGAAAGAATATGGGCGTTGCGCTCCCAAGTTGCCAGGAGGAAAGTCGAGATGGAATCTCGGCGATCTGCGGTGATGTGAGGATGTGGTTATCGTCGGGATGCCAAGACCTGCCCTCCCGAGGTCGGACTCGGCTAATGCAGGCATCATATAGGCTGACCGCCGCCAGAACTATGACGATGCCGATGGGCGGTCTGCTGTTAGAATAAGATTGGGATCTACGTCTACTTCTATGCCGAAACCTATTGACGAATTCTGGACTGTAGGGGACTGATATATAGCAGATGTACTGAAAAAGACACGTGATATTTTGTACGCCGAGGATACCTTATACATGCAGAAACATTACGTAGGCAAATCTATGAGGGAACCCATCATGAAGTCGACTTTCTCTTCTTCTTTTCAGCTTTGGGAGCCTCGGCCTTCACCGGCTCGCCATCTTCCAGAGCCTGGGCCTTGAGCTTCTTGAGCTTTTCAATCCGCGCCGCAACCTCAGCCGCATCCTCACCCTCGTCAGCAGCCTTGGACTTCTTGGACTTCTTATCCTCGAGCAGTTTCTCGTCGCCAGTAGATTTGCGCTTCTTGCTAGCCTTGGCATCACCCTCGACCGCAAGAGGATCAACCTCAACGATATCGGTCTCGTCCACCCAGAGCTCACTGGCCAGCCAGATGGGCAAAGCGGTGGTGTTCGCGCCCTTGACGTGAATAGCCTTGATGTTTCTCCAGCCCTTTGTGACAAACTTCTGGACCATACCGTCGACAACAGCTGTGATGTTCTCGGTCAGCTGATCGGCAGTGAACTTGGAGGAACCGACGCGGACGGCGCAGGTGGTGGCGGGGGCAAGTTGAACGGGGGTGCATTGGAGCGTGCGCTCAATCTCCTTGGCGACAATGAGAGGCGAGGCAAAGGCAGCGGTTCTCTCTTCCTTAGGAGCCTTCTTCTTGGGATCCTTCTTGACTCGCTTGCCATCCTCCTTCTCGATCTTGGCAATGCGAATAGGGATCGGGCGCTTGCTAGACTTATAGAAGATCTTTCCGAGGGTGGGCACCAGGCGGTTGATGATGCGGTCATCGGCCAGGAAGACGTCGTGCTCGGAGAGCAACTGGCGACGGCTCTCGAAGCTGGTGTAGCGGGCCTTGAGCTTAGAGAAGCCAATGACCTTTTCGATGCGCGAGCTGATCTCGGAGGGGAAAGCGGAGTCGGCAACGATGTCCTTGACGCTGCGCTGGGGGTCGGCAGTGATAACACAGATGCTGAGCGACGGCGAAGAGTACAGGGAGTGCGGGACGCTGATCTTTCCGGGCTTCAGGCGGTTCTTATCCACGACGTGCTTCTTGGTGGTGAGGATAAGCCAGATGGCCTCGTTCGAGAGAGGGGTGTCCTCATCATCGTCGGAGTCGTTGTCACCAATCAGCGTCTTCTTGGTGGCGGTCTTCTCCTTCTCTTCCTGCTTCGACTTGATGTGTCGCAGCAGCGCCGTAGTAGCTTTGCCGACCTGTGAAGAGTTAGGAGATGCGCCTGGGTTTTGAAAGGCCATTGATAACTGACCTGAGGTTTGTCGAGCTGGTAGGGCGAGCCCGATTCCACCTTTGAGGTGAGAGCAGTAGAAGACGCCATCTTGACGATATGTAGACTCTACAATTTTTCTGCGCCGATATCCAGATCCAAAAAAAAATTCCTCGGAAGGCGGTGACATTTTCACCGGCTTGGCGTCGACTCCGTTTTATGCCTGAGGCATAAAATCTTATCAGCATCAATTCTTAGTAAGCCAGTAAGCAAACAAGCCAACCCCAGCAAAGCAACGGTCGAATATAAACCAAGATGAATGACTTTTTACCACTCAAACACTGTTTTCGGACCGTTGATTAAAAATCACCTGACTCCGGATACCCTTACGGTCTTGTGGTCGCTGAAAGTAGTCCTTGGGTCCAATACGACTTCGCAGATATTGTGAAGTGTTGGGTGGGGCACTCTGGCCCTGCCAAAATATATCTCCAGGTAAAATGCATTGCACTGCAATAGTCCCAGTGCTTCTACCACATGAATGGCCGACTGGCTTTTCAAAGCCCGGTCTATTATAAAAAACCCATATTGATGAATCACCAAAAATCGGCCGAGTGTGAATGAATTTAAAGCTGTCAGCTCAATGGACCACTAGCTGTTGACCTTTGCTCATCTAGAATGGGCAAAATCACATGACATCATGCACACACAGGTCACGAATCGAGAGATCTGCTATCTACTCACAGTGGTTTGATGCGTTGGGCCGCTGCACAAACTGATCCCTTTACTGCAGTATGCTTAAGACACTGAATTTCATAAAATCTCTACTCGAAAGAACTCAACCGAAGCCATAGTGTGACCACGGATATTCCACGAATCTTTGGAACACAGTCAAACACTGCTATCAACCGTCCCACCAAAATACCACAACTGCACCATTGTGGCAGCGTTTCAGAAACCAAATTTTATCAAATAAGCTCAATACTACCATCAGAAAATGACTCAGACCCTTATCGATCTCCACGGCCGCCGCCACGCCCAGAAACGACACTTGACCCATGCGGCTTAGCTTTCTAAATATAGTGCATTCGGGACCGAGGTGATCTCGCCATGCCCTGGGAATAGCATGGCAGCCAAGCATACGGTCGATAGCCCCGTTTAAGAAGAGAGAGAATGGAGTCTACTTTTGCCATGGCGAGCTGCGCTATCATCGGTGTGCACCTGAGTGATCTTAGGTACAGTGTGTTTACGGCCCACTGGCACGCAAGGTACCATCCACATGTGGATTAGGGTGTTGGCAACGCGTCGACATAAACAACACTCATCAAGAAGGAATCGGAATTGGGCAGAATTTCGCAGTATTGGAGCCAACACGTGCCATTGCAACATTTAGATGGGTATTTTCAAGATCCATCGTGCGTGGTTGTCCCCGCCGCGGAAGAAGATCGGGACCGGTCAGGCCCATGTTGACTAGTTCAATGAAATGTTAAGGTCGATGTTTGCACAGTGGGTTAGTCTTTTTACTGTATTAGCCAAATCGAGATCGGATACGTCTAGTGCTCATGCTAGGAGAGCGCCACGCAAGTGTCTGGTTCCACGTCACCCCGGATAGGAGCCCGAGGGATTTGTGAAAAGAGGTCGGCTGTTCAGCTTGAGATGGCGGACTATGAATCCGCGAGAGCAGACTCAGCAGAGAATTTTCTGGACATTGTTTTGATTAATTGGCGGAGTCTGGAGAGTACTTAGTACGGTAGTGTAGCTGAGGTAAGTATCTAGGCGACAGGCACCGAGATTGTTGGAGTGGTTCTGTTCCAGTCGGAACCAACAGAGTATCCGTCTGATTCAAATTTGGGACTGATATGTAGCCGACCGGGCACATAAATTCGTTGTGTTCCGGAATAAATATAGGAATGCAGGGCAGGAACGAGATGATTATAGCAGGAATATGAAAGACAGCTGGTCAATGGAGATTCGCAGAGGTCAATTCAGGTGGCACAGTTGGACTGCCATGCGCGGGCGAGATTCAAATGGAAAGGGGAATACGATTCTCCACGCAATACACGGGGAGTCAATACGGGGCTAGCGGTACCATTACGAGTACAGCAGGTGGTAATGTAATTCCGAGGAGCCATGACGCGGATGATGGGAAGATTAAGATTGCTGCGGATCGACAAGCTAGACGCTTATCGCCATTTGGAAGGCCCATTGAAGCCGTCTGTGCTGCGGTGTATCTACGCAACAGAAGACGAGGCTCATGCGGTGCTTACTTGTACATCCTGTAGTAGTATTCTTGATCTGCCGGCCGACGCCGCTATTGCAGTGAGACTATATTACTAGACGTTGAGCTTTGGACACAAACAGATGCTGACCAGGCTGATTGGACGTGGTGCGTTGGGTCTGGAGAAGCGCACCGACGTTAATTAAACGATCGTTCGACGTCGTCATCTGAGTGGACCGCGAGGACCTGGGGCAGTTCGGCCGTGGTGCCTCGGGCGGTCCTACAGGCTGCCCTTCCGGGTCTAGCGAGCAGGGTTAATTTACGGTAGGAACAGGGCGTTGGTCTGAAATTTGGGTGACGATGAATACAAGGGGATACCAACAAACAGCAGGTATTGCGAATGGCAGGTACCCTATGGCTGGCAGATAGACAAAGAGATGAGCAAAGCGCTGGCTGGAGCGTTGGCTTTCGCTGGCGCCCCTGCTGCCCGCAGGCGCAGGTCGGGGCCACCTGCCAGGGGCACTGGGCCAGCTCGACCCCTTGCGATCATCGGATTAACCTTGCGGAGCATTAGGGGCACTCCGCAACGGTGCCTTGGCAGAGGCCGGCAGAACGAGGTGGCAGCAGAGTTCAATAGAGCAGCATGGAGTGGCAATTACACCAGCAGTCCATGAACTGATGGCTAAAAGGAAGAGGCGACCCCGAAGTACGGTACTATGTACGGTACCCATGGATACGCGAGGCATTTCGGCAGAGGCGGGCGGTGCTGATTGGTGTGCCTGACTGTCCCGCCGCGTCTGCCCCTGGCAGCCCTCAATCTGCCACTGTGATTGGGCGACCCCTGGCGCATGGCCATCTCCCCAAGCTTCTGGCACGAGTCGAGTAAACAGAGATCAAAAAAAAAAATTTCGACTGCGCCCCACGCTGCACTAAGGGTGGACTAAGGGCAAAACGGAGGCAGGTGGGCAAAAAGGCGGGAGATGCTACGCCAAGGCGACAAGAGCAGTCGAGGCCTGCAAAGGCACAGGCAATCTGGACGCAGGCTCCACCCGCAGCGTACAGGAGGGTGTAGCGCTGTATTGTGAGACAGTCACACCCCCTTTTTTGCCCGGCGCCAGTGGGGCACCCTCGGTACCCGGTACAGGTACCGTACGCCTATACACAGAGAAGACTCCTCCCTCCAGGGGTTTTACTTTCCTTCTCCCCTTCTCTTTCCCAGCCTCACTGCACCCGAGTTTTCCCCCCCCATCCGACCAGAGGGATTCGTCTCTCACCCACGCTCATTTACTCGGAAAACCACCACGCTCTCTTTCGCACGATTTCCCACTTTCTGTGTACAGCTCTTTACGAAAGCGCGCGACTGGCTTGCCGTTGATGTACGTGAGATGCCCAATATCTGTGATGGGGTCCCGAGATGGAAATGTGCCAGACGTGGTCAATGATCGATGGACTTGAGAACCCGCGAGTGGCCTGGAGATGATCTGGATGCTGTTCCCTGTGTCGGCGCGCAATAGCGCACGCAAAGTTGCGATCGATCGACTTCAGATCATCTCGCGCGGGACTGGTATGTGGGCACTGGGGACAACGCCCCACGAGCCTAGGCATCGATCATGGACATTCACACGGACGCCTGGACTGGGAAATTCAAGAGATAGAGGCAATTGCTAACACTGACTTGGCACAGATTTCGATTGAAACCCTCACACTTTCGCAATGAAGTTCACCAACTCTGTTGCCGTGACTTTGGCCACGGCAGGCACCCTAGTGGCCGCCCACGGCCACGGCCACGCCCACTTCCACAAGCGCGCTGTCGAGACTGAGACCGACACTGTCCCCGTCGCCGGTCCCACCGTCTACGACTTCGTTGTCCTCGACCCCAAGCAGACTGGTTCCCCTGAGGCCATCAGCAAGGACGAGGCCTGCGAGGGTCTTGCTGACCACAAGTACGAGTGGCTCGGCAGCGCCGTCGCCAACGCTTGCCCGACCAGCACTGCTACTCCTACTCCTACTCCCTCGAGCACCAGCACCCCGACCTCCACTGTCACTCCTCAGGTGCTCCTCGAGACCTCCGCTGCTATCACCCCCAGCACCCCCTCCCCCAGCAGCACTAGCACCGTCGAGCCCACCACCAGCGCTAGCTCCAGCTCCTCGACCTACAGCGCTCCTGCTTCCTCCAGCAGCAGCTCCAGCTCTGGTGCCACTGGCCTCACTGCTGAATTCCCCGATGGCGAGCTGGACTGCGGTACCTTCCCCTCCGAGTACGGTGCCGTCCCTCTGGACTACCTCGGCCTTGGTGGCTGGTCTGGTATCCAGTACGTTACTATCGTCGATGAGGTGGTCAGCGCCATTGTCACTGCCGTCACTGGCGACTCCTGCACCAGCGGCTCCATGTGCTCTTACGCCTGCCCGCCTGGTTACCAGAAGGCTCACTGGCCCTCCACCCAGGGCTCCACCGGTCAGTCCGTTGGTGGTCTGGAGTGCAAGGACGGCAAGCTGTACCGTACCAACAAGGACCACACCACTCTCTGTATCGAAGGTACCGGTGGTGTCCACGTCCGCAACGAGATGAGCGCCGACGTTGCTATCTGCCGTACCGATTACCCCGGTACCGAGTCCGAGACCATTCCCCCTGGCTGCCTCCCCCGGCGCCACCCACCCCCTGACCTGCCCCAACGGTGCCACCTACTTCCACTGGGAGGGCAAGTCTACCTCCGCTCAGTACTACGTCAACAACAAGGGTGTCTCCATCGAGAAGGGTTGCCAGTGGGGTGATGGCTCCGAGCCCGTCGGCAACTGGGCCCCCATGAACTTCGGTGTTGGCTATTCTAGCGGCGCCACCTGGTTGTCCATGTTCAAGAACGAGCCCACCACCGATGCCGACCTGGACTTCAAGGTCAAGCTTGTTGGTGATGACCTCTCTGACAACTGCCGCTACGACGGCCAGGGTAACTTCTACAACAACGCCGGCAAGATCACCAGCGGAAACGGCTGCACTGTAAGTTTACTCTTCAGCTACCTCATCTCAGCAGAATCCCAGCTAACTCCATCTCCAGGCCGCTTCTTCCTCCGGCAACGCCTACTTCGTTTTCTACGAGTAAGGGCTTTCTGGGTGCTCCATTCAAAACACATGTCATCGCGACAAGAATGAGCTTCTATTTTCTTATTTCGCAATAACCGCGCAGACGGTGTGAGCGTGAGAGTCCGCTCTCACTCTTACTCCCACTCTGTGTTTCTGTCTATATCACGGTTTGTCACTTGAAGGTTGCTTTCTTCTGTGTATCTTAAATTTTATCTTTGTTTTATGAGGGTGGATTTTGGGTGGAAATTCAATCTTTGCTATTTCTTCCCTTCTTTTCTCCATGGCTGCCACAGTTGAAGCCGCTGGTTTTTGTTGCGGGAGTTCCATGGTTAGATCTATTGAATACTCCAAGTGCAACCCCTCGATATCTTCTCATCTATCCTGCAATTCTTGTCCCGAGGTCCTTTTTGTCTTTGGTCTTCTCGACCTCATCTCAAAGCTTTGTTGCTTGATGCAGCATTGTCCATTCCTTGACACTGCGCGACTGGGACCCAGTCTTCTCACATCCGACTTTGATTAACTTTCTTTCCATTTCTCAATCCATGACTTATGATTACCTTCAAAGCCTCCCATCCGCTATACACTCGATCGTATGTACCTACGCCAAGATTGACAACGTTCTAGACCACCTCACCCTTGGAAACTTGGGGGAGGTAGCGTGATAGAAAAATGCCCCTTAACAGCATTTCAATTTGGCACTAAACCTAGCAGCGATCATTCCCCACCATAGCTATGGCAAAGTCACCGCATCTACTGCGTAGCATGGGTGTACTACAACGAAATATGGATGGTGATACAACATACCCAATCCGGAAAGGATAGTCTGATCTCCGGAGTAACACGGATCCCCCGATCGCATGGAATGTGACTACTCAAGATCTGGCACCACGACTGTCCATTAACTGGTGTTGTCATCTTGATCGATCAGATGAGCCTTGCTTGGATGGAATTATTGCTGCTTCGCCTCTTTTTTACCATAGGTTGGGTAGGTAGGTAAGAGACGAAATGAAAGTGCAGAGTCACCGCGACCGTCAACTGGCAGCTGGCTGGCATACCGAAGACTATATGGCACTGCACCAGCAACTAGCGATGTCATGCTCTCACCGGGCCAGCCCTACATTCCAAATGAACCGTCTCCCAGGCAAAGATAAATGTGGCGTTGAGATTTTCAGCTCGTCGTTTCTGCACATCATTTCTGCACATCATTTCTGCACCATGCGGCGATAACTTGATAATCTTGATTTGGGCCACGGCGAGGTTAAGTTGGCTGGGCGGTGGCTAGCTAAAACTTGTCTTGGAAGATGGGAAACATAGGTGGCAGGGTGGTGGATATTGAGCCTCAAACCATCTCAGATCACCAAGCTAGGGCAGCTCAGACGAGAGTCACGACCGTGCTGATTCCGGTGGATTCAATTGCAACCTAAGCGAGTTTCAAGAAACCTCATGCACGTACGGGCCAGTATGACCGAGGTTTTCGTGCTTCGCCCCGCCATCTTGCTTGGTATCTTGACGGTCTTTACGGTTATTGGTTTTGAAAGATTGGAGGTGATGGCAAAATTTGGAAGAGAAAAGCCCTTTCAACCCATCAATTCGATTTGTGATAAATACCGAGAATAGAGACAAATCGAATTTGTCTTCACTTGTCGCGAATTGAGGCGTTTAAAGGGCTACTTGCATCGCGAAATCTGTTCAACGACGCGGCGTAAGGTAACCACGCGCCCCGTTAGACCCCGCGGAGTAAAATTTGCTAGCGCGTCACTTCACGTCAATATCCACTATGCCAGGACGCAATTGCTTTCCAATTCGAGGCGGTCAATGCTACGGAGTTTCCAGCCTTTGCCCTACTTCTAGTTTCTGTACGCAATTATTGCATTTCAATGCAATCGTGCCGGCCGAGGCAGAGCTAGGTCTAGCTTTGAGCTACTGTCCTTCCATCCTCCTTGACTTCAGCCTAGTGGTAGTCGTCACCTGGCATCTCCGATGAGAGTCAACTTTCGCCAGAAGGCCGAGGGCGAATGCCAGCCTCATGGGCATGACAACTAGGGCATACCGGGCAAGAGCGCAAGCTGCATACTTCTGGTCGTCTCGCGTGCCCGTCATGGCCCACTTTATAAACACGTGACTTCAGACGCGACCGCGCATTGCCCGAGGAAGGCACGTCTAGTATAGCTACACTGTAGACTGCTGGAGAGGTGGAAAAGTCGGCGTAATTCACGCGAACATTTATTCTACTGCCCAATATTTGTAGTGTTCAATTTCTCGAAGCTCTCGTGAAGTTCAATTGGGGTCGCGACAGTATAGTGGAGCCCGTGAACCCTCGTCGGCGCCTATCGAACGCGTCGGGCTGGTAAGCGTGCATTTCCGCGCAGGGCGAACGAGACGTTCCGCCCCAGGACATTCCACCACACACCTTTTTCTCCCCAAGGCTTCCCTCCCTTCCGACTCCCACCCCTCCCACCTTGCTCGTCCAAGGCCCTCCTCGTCCTATCTCCCTTCCCTCTGGACGTTACCTGCAGTGTTTACTAGTCTCTTCCTTCCTGTCCCTACTCTCACGCGGTGACGCGAGTTCCTCGAGCTCGACTCCGTTCGGTTCTCGTCGAAAAAAGGAGCTCGTCAGGATTTCACCACCATCTGAGAAACTAATTACTGCTGTGAGCAATCATGGACTCCTCTCCGAGCCGCAGCAGCATGGCTCCTGCCGCCGGCATGAAGCGTCCTGCTTCGCTGCTGCCGGCTTTTGAGCCCTTGACCTCGTCCCCGTCTCTGCCTCGCCCGACCAAGCGTGTTGCACGCGAACCAGCCGTCTCAAAGTACCCTACTCCGGTCCCAACCTCCTCGACTCATATCATGTCCTCTTCGCCTCCCGGCATCGCTGCTGCTCGCCCTTCAGAGCGCCGTACCTTCTCGTCCACGTCCGAGCGAGCTCCCTTGTCCACCGTGCCCGAACTCATGCTGCCGGAGAATGGAGAACCCCTCCTGATGGGACGTTCAAGTCTCTCGTGTCAGCATCAGCTGGCTAACAGCCGAATGATCTCTCGTGTTCATGTCAAGGCTACCTACAAGCCTGCGCCTAACCCCTTCGACCGTGACCGAGTCGAGATTATGTGCATGGGCTGGAATGGCATTAAGATCCATTGCCAGGGAAAAAAGTACGATCTGGCCAAGGGGAAGACCTTCACGTCGGACATCAAGGATGCCGACATCATGATTGACGTGCACGAATCTCGCGTCTTGGTTCAATGGCCCCGAAAGGAACTCGAAGATGATAGAAAGGATTGCCCGTCCACCGACTCGGAGCAAACCTGGGATGAGGGAACCCCAACCCAGAAGAGACCTCTTCGTACATTGGAAGGCAGTCCGTTCCCCGAGAACCAACGCCTGGCTTCACCGGTGTCCCCGTCGCCCGCCGTGCAGCGCGCTATTCCTCCTTCCTCGCCGCTCTTTGCTCGCTCCCAGGCCCCCCCGGTGGTCGTTTATGAAGACCAAGGCTCCCCTCTTAAGCGTCACAATACCGTCACCGGAATAACTTCCAGCAGTGCTCGTCGCGCGAGTCTACTTCTCCAGAGCTCCCAGGGAATTGACCTGGGTCACCGTGAAGACGAAGAGTCCGATGGTGAGAATGATGAGGAGAATGATCCCGTTATTCACTCCTTCGGACCCTTTGGTGAGAACCTCTTGCCTCGTATGGCCTCGTTCCACGCCGGTGAATCGCCCGTTCGGGCCCGTTCTCCTATTCGCGCTCGTTCTCCCATTCGCACCGCGTGTTCTCCGCGCAGCCTGCCCCCGGCCGAACATCTTCAACCCGCTCCGTCCCCCAAGCACCATTCTCCTTCTCGCTCGAACTCGCAGCCGAACCTGCAACCTCATTACGAGCGCCATCACTCTGAAGAGTCCAAATATATCAATCCTACCATCGACGACGAGAGCGTCGACCGCATCCGCAACCACGCCGCCAACCAGCTGGCCTTCTCCCGCCTCGCCTCCACGCCCTTCTCGACCATCATGAACAACCTTCCCCCGAGATCCGCCGGTCCGTCGGCACTCCTGATGGTCCCTCCCGTGCTGAAATCCGTTCCATCCTCGAGCACTCCCAGTGCATCGGCAAGGTGCCCCGCCAGGGCAAGGATGCTGCAGGCAAACCCCTCGAGGCGGAGTACTACTATGTCCCCGACTTTGATGACGATCCCACTCGCCTGGAGGCTCACCGGATGGGCAAGCCCGGCCTGCGCAACTGCCGTAAACAGCACAAGGTTAGTAGTCATAATAATTCTCCCGATAGCCTCGAAGTCATCGAGAATAACTCAGCTGATAAACAATTAGCAATACTTCTGGCGCAAGCCAAAATGAACCAACGAAAGAGTAATCTTTCGTCGTCGGCCATTTCCTTGATGCGTGGCTTTCTCAGTACATATTCGTGTTCCTATTCTTGATCCCTACACTTTCAAAAAGGTGAATCGCATAGCGTGGCGTGAGGCATACCCTGACTTTTAATATTATTTCTGTTTGATTTTACCCTGTTTAGAGTTACAAGCTTATGTTCATGCTACCTTGTTGACTTGACCGTCTTGTCCGTCTACCTGTTCTCGTCTCGTTGTTCAAACTACTGTCTTGATTATTGTTCAAAATGGAGGTGTACGATGTGCGTCACAAGCGCCTGTGTGTCGTTTCGCGTCTCACGGGACTTTCAGCGTTCTCATGCTTGATGTTAATCTGATGCTCATGCTCATGCTTCCCCACGGCCTCTTATCTGCAAGTCGTTTTCTGTCTCCTGTTCCCCCTCACACGTTTACCCCCGATTGTCCCCCTCTCGACTTACGGTTCTCGCGTCGGTCAACATAATCAAAGGGACAGTCGGGGCTTTCGTGGGCTTGTATCTTTACCCGTGCGCGATTTTTTTTTTTTTTTTTTTTTTTTTTTTGACTGGACTTGTTTTTTTACCCGTCTCTCGGCCTCGACTCGGGTCTTTGAGTTGATGCTGTTATGACTTGTACGTTAGCTTGAATTAAGGCTGTTTGAGATGCTACAATGTAATTGGTGACCGTGAAAGTAGATGAGTAAGGCCCTGCTACTTATTATCTTAATACTTCTGAGATGAAATTGAAGTACACTGGATTCCATGTCTCACGCTGGAGTAGTGGTGGACTTCCTGTCATCCATCTAACTGAAGAGTCAGTGCTATCCTATATAGTAACTTAATAAACTAGTAAACGGGTCAGGAGACTTTGTCGTGTGGTACACGAGATTCGAAGGTGGTACTGGATATTTGTTTGATTCCTGGTTGCCACCTGTTTTCAAACTTTGTCTTGTGCATTATGTATCTACCGTCACAAGTGTACGTACAGGGTACCCATGGTTCTGGGTTCATTACCTGGTACATACTGTAGGTACTAATTTACTTTTCCACACAGACCTCCCTCGAATTGCAATTTGTCAATTGATAATTCTTGCATCTTACGTCAGTATTTTGCTACCCATATAATCTGGCCTGACTTGATATCATCTGGACTGGCATCGATGCCGCCACCCATCCAGCGTTAAGTTTCGAGCTTTGCAACAACCATATCGTCATCGTATCGCCACTGGCGACATGGGAACATCAAATGCCCGCATCGACAACATGACTTAGACTTTTGTCGCTGAAGAATGTATATAAACCCCACTTGCGCATCTGACCTCAGGAATCTTCATCAACCCACCACATCATACTACATGCATTGATTACCCCGTTTATCATGGAAACCACTGCCCACCAAGGCTCATTCCCAGACCGGTCCGAAGCCAAAGACCAACCTGTCAGTGCCGGTGCCGTGGAAAATACACCCTTCTCAAATCAATCTCATGACCGACAGAGCTCTGATGGTGAAGATCGAGAGTCCACTTGGAAACCCCGATTCGACCGGCGACAGAGCTGGAGTAATGAGGACCGCAAGCATCAGTTGCAGGAGCGATTGTTGAATGTGGAAGGCAGCCGGGAGAGAGGATTCAGCGAGACGGACCATTTCGCTTAAAATAAAATGTTTTGTTGAGATTTGGCTTTTGATATGCGGATCTTTGCAGGGTTGTTATAGTGGCCCGACCGGGAAGCTGGAGATGGTGGGGTTCTCATTCACGAAATTTGTGCGGCGGAAGGGTGCTGTAGGTTCTGGCCATGTAAAAAGTGTCATTAATGAATCTCCAAATCAATGCGATTCAGCCCTACTGTACTTCCGTACCCCAAACTGCCAAAGTGAGCCAGCAGGCGGCGGCGAGTGGTAAACGAAGCCTGAGGCAGGCAAAAGCGGCGCGACGATCGACTCCACTCTCCGACCTCCGCACCGCCTTGAATCAGCCCGCTTCTCCCGCACTGAGACCGCAGGACGTGAAGAACCGACACAGCTCCAAGTTCCTGCGCGCATCAGTCCCACCTTCGATTCCTCAATGTGGCGACCCGGCCACGGCTGCGATCTCGTTTCGGACGTTCTGGGAGGAACCCACCTTTGATTCGTTCGACGCACACACGGCCATGGATCGCCAAAAGAAAAGTATGCGTCTGCAGAGCTCCCCGTTCCCCTCACTCAATCCGCTAACTGATTCTGCGCTACAGGAGAGCTTCGCGACCTGAACGAGAAGGCCTGGACGGGCGAGACTGGTACGTTGTTTCCTCACTCTCTTCTCCGACCTCTGGCGTGCAGCGCGGGCTAACCATGCTTTCTCTAGATATCTTTCCTGTCAGCAAGTCTCTCGATTCGGCCCTGAAGAAGAACACTGCTTTCATCAAACGCTTGCGAACTGGAATTACCGCGTCCGCCCTCTCCACCTTCCTTTCCGATATCCGCACCCTTTCCCTTCACAAGTACCTTTCCGAAATCATCTCCGCCTGCTATGAGGGTCTCTCGAAACTGAAGACGCCGGGCGAAATCGCCGTCGGCGTCGAGATCGTTTGCGCCCTGCACCAGCGGTTCGGGCCCGCTGAGTTCACCCGTTACATTGGTTGGCTACTCGGTCGAGGCCTTATGTCCCCGGATAAGGCCGCTCTTAAGCAGCTGAGCCAGGAGTTCCGCGAGCGAGAAGAAAAAGACCGATTGGCTCGCCACCGGGTCCTGCTTCGCGTTGTCACTGAGCTTTGGCTCGTGGGCGTGTTGCGGACTCTCGATGATGTTGAACGACCTGATGACCTTGGCGTGAAGGCGAAGGACTCCGCCACCAACAAGGCTTCGGAGCCTCCTGCGCCGAAGCAGAAGTTCCTCACGACCACGCGCGATGCGGATAAACAGGCGGAACCGTTTCCTTTGGAAGTGCTGAAGGAGTTGCTGGGTCATGATCGGGACCATGCGAATTTGCCTTTGGTTGTTCTTTTTGTCAAGAGCTTCAGCTGGGATATTCTTGGTACGAAACTTGCCGATGAAGGACGGAAAACTGTTGAGGCTGATGGAGCTACGACGGCGGCTGGTGGTGATGCGCAGAATCCGGATGCTGCAGCTGCCGAAGCGGACCCCCCTTTGACATCGGAGAAGACTCAACTGCGATTCAAGAATATCTTGAACCGGTACCTGAAGGATGTTAAGGAGCATGTTGTTAGCGATCAGAAGGCATTGTCAAACCAGAGTCGTCGCAATGCTGAAGCATACGTCAAGAGCGGCGAAATCTTCGAGGACCGACAGTCGAATTTCGAGAAGCAGACGAAAACACTCGAGAAGCTCGTGGCTAACACCCATGTGCTGTGTGAAGCTTTGGGTGCCGAGATGCCTGATCTCGCTCAGAAGGAAACTACGGATGCCTCTACCAGTGGTGGTATTGGTCTTGTGAAGACCACTGACTATCTTCGTGGACAAGGCGATGGGGCCGGAATTTGGGAAGACGAGGAAGAAAGACGCTTCTATGAAAACCTCGTTGACCTGAAAGGCAAGGTGCCCGCCGTACTGCTGGAGGATGGCAAAAAGAAGAAGAGCGAGGGCGAAGACGCTGGAAAGAAAAAGACGGACGGAGAGAGCACGACCGAACCTTCTGAGAAGACCGAGCCTGCGGAAGACAAAGCCACAGCTGAAGCGGATGATCAATCGACGGCCATCGCCAATAAGACTGTTGGTGCACAGGTAGACGCTCTGCTCGGAAAGCTCCCAGAGTTGCAGACCAAGGACCAAGTGGACGAGTTCGCCCTGGATTTCTGCTTTGTCAATTCGAAAGCATCCCGGAACCGACTTCTTAAGGCCGTTTGCGAGGTCCCCAAGGGCCGTGTCGACCTTCTGCCACTGTACTCGCGTTTGGTGGCTACCCTGGGCCAATATCTTCCCGATATCCCGCAAGGCATCACGACCTACCTCGATGAAGAGTTCCGAAGCCTGCAGCGCCGCAAGTCGAAGGAGTTCCTCGATCAAGTCCGCATGATGAATGCGCGTTACCTTGCGGAGCTGACCAAGTTCGGCGTGGTGCCCGAGCACATCATCTTCCACTGCTTCAAGGTTTCGCTTGACGATTTCTCGCGCAAGAATATCGAGATCATTGGGAACTTGCTGGAAAACTGCGGTCGTTACTTGCTTCGCAACCCCGAGACATCACCTCGCATGGCTTCTTTCCTCGAGACGCTTAGTCGGAAGAAAGTTGTCCAGGCTATCGGTCAGCAGGAGCGTATGGTGATTGAGAATGCGATTTATTACGTGGACCCTCCTCCCCGACCCGCCATTCAGCAGAAGGAACGGACTCCCATGGAGCAGTACATTCGCCGACTGATCTATCTGGATATGAACAAGCGCAACTACACCAAAATCCTCAAGTGCATCCGCAAGCTCCACTGGGAGGAACAAGAGGTTGTCGACATTCTGGAGCGTGTCTTCAGCAAGCCTGTCAAGGTCAAGTATGGCAGCATCCACCTTCTGGCAATCCTGGTGAGCGCCTTGTACCGGTACCACTCCGAATTCGTCATCGGCGTGGTCGACAACGTCCTCGAGAACGTCACCCTCGGCTTGGAGCAAAACGATTTCAAGTTCAACCAGAAGCGCATCGCGGAAGTCAAGTATCTTGGAGAGCTTTACAATTATAAGATGATTGATTCCCCCGTTATCTTCGATACTTTGTACCGCATTGTGACTTTCGGCCACGAGGGTGGCACCCCCATGCCTGGCAAGATCATTCTGCTGGATCTACCCGATGATTACTTCCGGATTCGCCTGGCTTGCACACTCCTGGATACCTGCGGCCACTGCTTCGACCGTGGCTCGGCTAAGAAGAAACTGGATTTCTTCCTCACGTTCTTCCAGTACTACATCTTCACGAAGGATCCAATGCCCATGGACATCGACTTCCTCGTCCAGGATACGTACTCTGCACTCCGACCCCAGTGGAACCTCGCCACCGACGCGGACGAGGCCACCCGCCTGTTCAGTGAAGCCGTTGCTCTGAACTACAACAAACCAGACCAGGAGAACACCGCCGAGGCGGACGAGGATGATGTGGAGAGCAGCTCTTCCGACGAGGGTCTTGAAGAGGACGCCATTCCGATGATCGACGAGGAACAGGAATCCAGCGATGAAGGTGAAGCCGAGGCATCTGGACCGAATGCGGAGCCGGAAGAAAGTGACTCTGAGGATGAACATATCGTCGTCACGCGCCAGGAAGAAGAACTGGACCCCGAGGCCGAGGCTGACTTTGACCGCGAGTACGAAAAGATGATGTCTGAAAGCGTGGACTCGCGACGCTTCGAGCGCAAACACGTCTTCGACATCCCGCTGCCCATGAAGCGTCCGGCTCGCGAAACTGCCCCTACTGATCCCCAGGCCGAGACTGAAGAGCCACAACCCGTTGCCCCGAACACGATGGCCTTCTCGCTCATGACCAAGAAGGGAAACAAGCAGCAGGTAAGTGGCCACCTTCCCTGTGCGTGCATGACCAGGAACAATGATTAACTCGATTATAGACCCGAACCATCGACCTCCCCTCGGACTCCAGCTTCGCCGTCGCAATGCGCACCCAACAACAAGCCGATCGCGAAGAACAGCAACGCATCAAAAACCTGGTTCTGAACTACGAAGCCTCGAACGAAGAACCCGCTGAGAGTGAGCAAGAATCCCCCATTGAACCCAACCTGAACAGGTCTAACCCCCCTCCCAACAAAAGACGACTTCGAAAGAAGAATACCAGCAAACCAGCGTCTCGACAAGCCTGCTACAAGCAGGACTGCGTTCCGATCCCGCAAACTCCAACTGAGTGATGTCAACTGGTAATGAGCTGTTGAATCTAGGTGAATTTTTTCACCTAAAATCTCGCTACAGCATTGCCAGGACAAGGAATGAGAAAGCAACTGAACCAACCATTTTCAGAAGACTCACAAGTCCTTCTATGTGTTCGAGTAATCTACCTTGCGGTATTTCCACCTCTGAAGAGCCCGGCACCTTTCCACCCCGGCACAACCGCCTGTCTGAGTAGGCGACTTCCCACTGGGATTCTCGCGTCCTTCAATTTCAAGGTTGTGTCCCCTGACATCTAATGGCATTGTTGTGCGGTTGCTGCCGTTTAACCGGCGCCTTTGTGTCTCGAATCGGATGGTTTGAAGACTCGAGGCTGCGCTGGTTTCGGCTGACACTTTTTGTCAGGTGAAGGGTGGTGCGTTTAAGCAAGTGAGCATCACTTTGCCTTGTTTTTGTTGCCTCATTTGAGGTTAGGTTAGGATAGTTCAATGCCATGATCTATCTATCTATGAATTTCATTCTTGTAGCTTGTAGGTTCCCCTTGGTACCCCCAAGATACTTGGAGAAGTAAGTTCCCACCCCCACCTCCAGGCGGTGTAATAGGACAGACATTTATCGTATTCTGTTTTACAGACTATCGATACTACACCCTAAGTATGTGAAGCGAATGAACGATGATGCAACAAGTCTATTCTATTTTCCCTCTGTGTCCAACCCAATGAGGACATAGGGCATATCAATACACTAAGTTACACGCATAGACAGGACCAACATAGGAGCGCAGAATGGGGGAATGAATATGCTGAAAAGATAGGGGAGGAAGATGCAAGTGAGCATTGGACTCGGGGAAACGGCGAGAGCATCGGAATTTTATATAATACACACCCCCGATCCCGAATTCCCACTTACATGTTAGAGGAGAGAGTAAGGTGCCGCATTCAACACCTCCACCGTTCGGGGAAGTGTGCCGGCCAACCTAGATGGCGTCAAATAAGATAGGTAGAATTCGACATAATTCATTTCGAGACCTCCTGATTCTTCTGCTCGGCGTCGTGGGCAGCCTTGGGAACCAGCGCCTCGCTCTCGGCGTGCTCGCCCTTCTCGACGTTGTCGGCCTTCACCTGGGTTTTGGCGTCTTTGGCGCGAGCCCGCTTCTCCTCGGGATGCGAGGCAGCGTCAATATCGGCGGCAGTCGGTTGCTCGGCCGGAGCAGCGCCCTCGGCCTCCTCGTCTTCCAGCTCGGCGCCGTACACGTCGGGGTGGGCGCGGAAGCAATTTTGCATACCCCTGTTCATCTCGTCAGTAAATGTCTCAACGAAACAAATCAACAAGAAACAGCATACTGGAACTTCTCAATGCAGTCAATGCCCTTGGGCTCCTCCTGCGAGTACACGAAACAGCTGAAGGCCGCCTTGAACTCCTCTCCGCATGGGCCGTGCGCCATGCCACCCAAGCACGGGCAGTCCCAGTTGATCTCGCCGGTCTCCGGGTTGAAGGCAGCTTCCTGGCCAGCTTCCTCCTCGAGTTGCTCAGGGTTCACACCACCTTCCAGGTTGGCGGATTGGGGCTTCGGCTGGGACCGGGCGGCGGCTTCGCGCTCTGCGCGGATCTTCGGGGTAATGGAGTCAAGGGTCTCGGTGGTTCCATTGCCGTTCTCCTTCTGCGTCGCGAGAATCGAGACTATATAGAATGAGATGGGGCAATTAGTAAACGAATTCACAAGGCCGAGTGGTCATCAACAAGGTAATGCCGGGATGCGATATTCGGAACCTGGCTGGATGGAGATCGAGGGACGGAAATCGAGGGACGGAAGATGAATTGCGACAATGACATACAGGAAGGTTCCTTCGAGAATGCGCTGCTGGTGTTGTAATAGTAGATGGCACCGCCGGCCAAACCGAGGCGGATGACGGTGTTTTTCCAGCTTCTCGACTTCGTCGGACCGGTGCTTATCAATCGTCTGCTGGCCGGGCCACAGGGCGCGGCGACGGGTGCGCGGGCGAGCGCTCGTACGGCGGGACGGAACATTATGAGAGAATGTGAGAACGAGACCGCAATGGACCTCCAGAGGGCGCGGGAGGGGAGGAGGGAGGAGGAGGGAAGCGGAGGGAGAAGTTGGTGGAAGAAGAGTGGATTTCGGCCTGAGGTTTGCCGGCCAGTCACGTTGCGCGGATCAGCCAGTTCCTCCGGCTGGTTCAACGGCACGCGACGCTCCCCGCGCAGCTTCGGCTTCAGCTTCAGCAGTTCGCCGTGCACGCCGCTGAGTATCGCGTGGCTTGTTCAGCATGGAGTGGGATCCCAGTCGTTTCTTCCGGACTGAGGATAGTCCTTCTCCGTACGCTTTGCTCGTGCTGAATCAGCCAATCAATGAGAAGGCGTTTCGAGCACTACGTGAGCATGGTGAGTACAGGAACTGCTGGCGTAGACATGTATTCTACCCGGAAGTTATAGAAAAGGAAGTACTGACTGCAAGCAGCTTCTTTCATCATTTGCGCTGATGGCGCCGCGAATTATTTCTATGAAATGATGAAAGGTCACGGGACAGAGTCTACAGAAGTAAGATCCCTACAACCCCCGAATTCTCTATGAAGAATGCCCGAAATTTCTTGAGACCTATTCAAGAGCAAACTGGTTTAAAATATGGTTATCCAAGAGTACAACCTAACATTATCTATTCAGCTACCCGACAAGATCGTGGGCGATCTGGACTCGATCCGTCCAGCAGTGAAAGAGCACTACGAGAAACTGGGCGTATCAATCTACAAATACCAAGACCAATACCTACCAGACTTCGCCAAGTGCCTGAAATACATCAACGCAAATGCAACCGAGATCATCGCATCTTCCCACCAACAGCCTGCTACAGGAAACACGACGTCAACAAACTCGGAAAATGCACAGTCAGCTGCAGACGCAGAGCAAAACCAAAAACTCGACATCGTCATCCTGGGCGGTCTCGGCGGCCGCGTCGACCAAGCATTTTCCCAAATTCATTATCTCTACATGATGTCCCAGACCCAACAAGAGATGCTCGAAACAAAAGCACGACGCGTAAATGAAGACGACGATCACAGCCGCTCATATATCTTCAAGCAAGCTTCCGGGGGCCAACTTTACCTCGTCTCTGAGGCGAGTATTACGTTCATTTTACAGCAAGGGAAGAATACGATTCACACGCCTGGTACGAAACGTCCGGATCTTCCGCAGGCTGAATCGCGGTCTGAGGATGAATCGCGTAAACGGAAGCGAGATGAAGAGAAAGAACCGGAGTACTTCTTTGAAGAGAATATCGGCATTATCCCGCTTACGGGTCCTACGTCAATCACCACGGAAGGATTTGAATGGGATGTGCAGGATTGGCATACGTCAATTGGAGGAGGCCCGTTGTCAACCAGTAATCATATCCGCGCGGATGTCGTCTCGGTCGAGGCGCCGGTGCCGATACTATTCACCGTGGAACTGGCTGAGAGGTTTAGACGATGATGGAAGAACTACCCTCGGGTACGTTGTACGTGTGATGAGACGGATTGGACATGAGCGATGAATAAGTTTCTCGGTCGTTTACTACATTGATACTTTGCTCGTCGATACCTCCCTATAGGCTCGGACTTTAAGGGAACTAAACCACACAAAAACCAAACGCATTAAAAATCTGCGAAGAAAGTAGAGGTCGAAACCTCTAAACGAAAATCGCCAATACCAAAACCAGAGAACGCCAAAATCCAGGCGCCTTCTCTGGCTGAAAGAGAGACCAGGGATGGAAGAAGGGAAGAAGGGAGTAACAGAAAACAGTCGCATATCGCATCGTCGCATATCCAAGACACTAACACTCGAACCGTAAAACCCCGCGAGCCTTTAAAAACCCAGGAACATAACGTAGCATAACTCAACATGGGAATCCACACGACACGCCTCCGAAAACAAGAGGATATCATCCAAAAAGACCAGTCCGGACAATAATTACTCATGTGATGTACCGAAGTAGCACAACTGGGCAGTGGTGTAAAACAGCAATGACGAAAACAAGGGAAGGAAAAACACCAATAACAAAATCAATCAGCACTGCCATAAAGAGAAGTTCCCATTGCCTGTCTGCAAGCCCAGCTCGATCGAACCTCATGTACAACCCCAAGACAGACAACCTATGTGCTGTATTCAACAGGGGAAGAACCCTAATGGCGTCGCAAGATGGCCTCGTACAGGGCGCCGATAACGCCAATAGCGGTTCCAGTCAACATACCACCCCAGTGACCCGGAACGGAAGCATTGACCCGCGCAATGGTGAAGTTGCTGTACAGAGAGAAACTGAGACGGTCTACATAGACCTTGTACACGAGCAAGGCCTTCGCAATGTTGAAAGTGAGGGGATCAAAGCTCGCGCGCTCCGCAGCCGCAGAACGACCCCGACGCACCGCACCCCCGGTGGCAGCCTGCCAGCTCAGGTTGATAAAGTAAGCCGCAATCAAAGGCAGGACCAGACCACTCAACAGCCACAGCGTGAAGGGAGCCCAGAAAGACCCGCTTAGCAGGACGAACAGATCCGGAACCTTGATGGCGATGGAGGGCAGGTAGATCGCCTCGACGGCAGGGGTGGTGGTCAGGTAGCGCAGGGGAATGAGTTCTTTCAGGACACTACCTCCCTCGAAGAGCAGGACGATGGTCTCAACGGCCTTGAGGCTGCTCAGTGATGCGCGGAGAGCGTGCTGGTACTCCAGAACGCCGGAATCGGTCCAGGCCGTCTCGAGTCCCTCGCGCATGCGCGTGGTTTGCCGGTCAATCGCGTCGGTCACGATGGCTGGGGATGGGGGCATGTTCTGTGTTGTGGACTCGAACACGGAGCGCACGGCACGCGACGATGAGCGGACGGCCGAGGCGGGAGTTCTGGCAGTCTTGGGGGTCTTGACAGTACTGGCGTCTTCGGATTCGCTGTTGCAATTTGTTAGAATGTGCGGGTGGTGCGCGACGCGCCGTTGCGATTGCGATATGTGGGACAGCTTTGTTTTCTTACCTGGTGACCGGTTCCTTCTGCTTGAGGGACTTGCGACCAGGCGTCTTCTTCTCGGTTGCCGGGGTGAGCTCGACCTTGGGTTCGCGCTTAACGGGCGATGGCCCACGAGCAGGCGCATCGAGACGCTTGTAGTAGTCGGCAAGCTTCTTGTCGCTGCTCCAGGAGCGGTTGGAGCTCAGGTGGTCATCCAGCGCGGAGACGAGTTCACTTTTATTATAATCGTCATAGCTGTGAAGACGACGTAGGAGAGCAGATAGTTAGCCTTGTTCATCCGATGCGACCGCGACGTGCGCCGCTGGGGTGTTTTTGTGCGCGCGACGGTGTCACGGTGTCAACATACTCGCTCAATTTGGTGCGCTCGGCAATCTCAGCCAGTTCTGGCTTGCGCAATTTGTTCAGGAACGGTAGACCGCTGGACATGGTGGAGAATATGATACACTGTAGGGTTTTTTTGTGTGGTGATAGCCCAGCTGTTAAGCCCGGGTTGTCCAATGCGCGAAGTAGTTAGAGGGGAAAGATGCAAGGAGGAGGGGAATTGTTTACATCCGGCGATCGCCCAAACAAATCACGCTAGCGCGTTCCCTTCTGGCGCGAATTCCTGGGGAGCGCGTACGGGAAAATATTCAGCGTTGAATTGTTTTGTACGGAGAGAGTGATCGATTATTTGCGAATTTATACACTTATGTCGAAGAGAGATGTATGGTACAGGTGGGCTCGATGGCCCGTCTAGTCTATCACAAAGGGAGCTGGGTAGATGTACACGCGCAAACAAGCTCCCCGGCCCATAATACAAACGCATGCAAAGATAGTGCCAAACGCCACCCAAATGAAATACCGCCCAGATATGCATGGTACAAATCAACCCTAGGAAACTACAGAGGAGACCAATCCTCTAGGGCCTGGTACGCCTCCAGTTGTTTGAGCAGGTACTGATACATGACCAGCATGGTCCCGCTCTGGATACTGGTCCACACACCGCGCGGGCCCACGCCCCGGAACCACCCTGCGATCCCTTCGGTACGGTATATCATCTTGAGCCCGGTAAAGACGGACGAGGTATCCAACCGCGGAGTGCCGGGTGGTGGCACGGAGGTGGAGGGAGAAGATGTGAAGATGGGTCGAGAGTGTGCGCGAGAAGCTTGAGAATGCGATGAGCTCGGGGCGTGTGGCCGAGGGCTTTCCTTGGGAGCGTGATCATGGGAGATCTTTGTGCCCGATGAGCTTGGTGGGTGCTCCGGAGGGTTCTGCTGGGTCTGGATGCGGGTTTTGACAACATCCAGAGGGCAAGTGATCACACCCGCCATACCACCGGCGGTGGCAGCAGTCGCAATCTCGAGTCCCAGTCCAATATCGCGCTTGCCAACCCATTCCTTTGCCATCTTCTGTTCTTGCTCGTAAAAGGCGAATTGCAGCGCGGAGAAAGGCAGATCACGGAAAATGGTGGCCTTGTAGCCGTGGAAGAGAGCGGATAATCCCTCTTGACGGATGATGGTTCGGAAGGCATCGGTGGTACCGCGGTAGTTGTAGCCCGAGTTGAAGTGAGGATTGTTGAATCGACCTTGCAGTTGAAGTCGAGTCTTGAGCACCTCGGATGGTACATAGACAACGGAAGCAGCCAAATCGGCGAAGAAACCACCAGACAGGTATGACAAGCTGGGATTGATTCCTGAATCCAGCATCAACCGCTTGGTGAACTCGTATACTCCGAAGAAGATCACGGTGCCTGGAAAGGAACCCAAAAAGGCAGGTGTCACTCCACTGTAGAGACCTCGGCAGAATCCTTCCTGGCGATAGATAGTCGCATACGAAGAGCCCATCGATGTGTACTTGGGTGGGAAAGTTGGATCACCCTGCTGCCGGGTTTTGACGGTATCCAATGAATGCATTAGCATATCGCCGCATGATCCTCCAGTTCCGCCTGCCAGCATCGCCTGTTCCATCAATCTCCCATTAGTATTTGTCGCAGATAAGTAGATCCACGCAATGGGGGATCTGCAGTCGGAGTTAGCAACTTACATGAAGATACGGCGGACGGGGCTCCTCCTCTTCCCACATTGCGCCCTCCTGCGCATGGCGGCTGGCGCCGGAGCCTAGATCATATTTGAAAGCGCTTGATGATGAGGGCGTCGTATTTGTGTGGGAGGCAGGCAGGTCGCTCGCGGAGGTCGCAGTCGGGTCGGAGTTCGGTGTTGTCGAGAACAGGCCGAACACTCGCGAGGTCAGACTCATGGCAAGGCAGGCTGAAATCCCGAGTTCAGTCGGGACCGGAAGGAAACGGGGGGATGCTTTGAAAGGAAAGAAGCACCCCCGATCACATAGATATGTAAATATTATGGAACAGGTCAAAAGAGTGACGAGGAATGCGATGTGTAATGGGAGGGTTGCCGATGGGGCGGGCCCGCCTCAAATTTCTGGTCGGTGGTGTTTTTCTTTTCTCCGCCCGGTGGCCTCAGGCATAAATGCGTCATCGTTGGTACTGCCACTTCACCGCTTCCTCTTCGGGATGCGATCTATAGACCGAAGTCTACCGGATGAAGAAAATGTCGCAGCAGCTCTCCGAATTTGACTCGAAAAAAAAACGTCAATTAGCGGTACTTTGTCACGAAGGAACGAGTTATACGTTAAGACCTATCAGGTTACAAATAGTAGGTCTAGCCACTCAGATATCAAAGATCGGCCATTTGATGCATGTGAAAACATATATTTCAATTGCGTCGCCTCGGGTACTCTCGACGAAAACCCAATTGGGATCAAATGGCATTATGCTACGAAGGCGAAACACTTCGCAATTGTGAGATTGATGCATTGTTTTCGTTCATACGTCAGATTACTAGCTACTATCAAGGAGATGACTTCGTAATCGTGAATTTCGAGTCGATTTGCACTGGAGAAACACAATACAGAAAAAATGCATCGCAAAAGTTCTAGAGAGAATACCTAGGTAAAATATAAAAGGAAATAACAAAAGGCATGGCGTTACGTTGCGTATTGCATCATCAAAGCCGGAATATCCTATCCGACTGCCTCTTTTCTACAGAGACATTGCACTCTCGATTTCCGTACTCACATTCCCCATTGCTGCTGAACTATCTCACGTCCACAGTCGTGTTAAACACCTCGGTAAGGGTATATCCACGTCAGCACGCCCCAACCCCCTTTCTTCATGAACACACCGTTCACTGCTGAATCCATTGTAAAAGACTCAAGACCGGGCGTCCAGTCGGAAGACTTTGATCTTCACGTGGGAGTAGTTATCCGCCCGGTCGGGGTGGTCATTTATTGTGGCTTCTTGGCAGCAGCAGGGCCAGAGATGTAGCGACCAAGGTCGGTAGCCTCATAGCCCTGGCGCACAATGTTCTTGAAGGTCTCCCAACCCTGACGGAGCTGAGGGGGAGTGCTCTGGTGGGAGAGCGAAGCATCGGCGCGGGCGGTGAGCGAGCGAACAGCCTGTTGAACGAAGGAGCTCTGGGCGTAGCGGGCACGGAAGAAACCGAGGTAGACGAGCAGCAGAACCCAGCTACCCTTGGAGAAGGTAAGAGCGGACAGAACGAGGCGGGCCAGGAGGGCAATCTCAAGGGTGGCGACGATTCCCATGCTGGCATCGTAGTACTGCTTGATGAAGCGACCGATAGTCTCCGCAATAGGGTTCTGCTTGTTGGGGGGCTTGGAGTTGGGGGAGCCAGGCGAAGCTGAGCCAGCGGCAGCGGGGGTAGGATAGAGTGTCGGGATCAGGTACATGCGGCTGTAGGTCGCGACGTGGAAGACCGAGTACACACTGAAGGGAAGAAGGGCCAGGATAAGCTGGCGGGAGTACAGCCAGACCAGAGCCATGCCTGATCATGAAATGTCTTGTCAGCGTCTGCCGCATTCATGTGCATAAAAGAAGGCGAGAGGAGAAAAGAGTCTTACCAAGGTATTGCACGTTCTCATCGGAGATGAGCTTGGTGATGATCTGGGGAACACTGCCTTGCACACCGCGGGCGAAATGGCCCTTGTACACGACGATTCCATAGGTGACAGCGGCAGAGATAAAGGCCAGGCGGTAGACAACTATAGCGGTGGACGAGTAATAGTTGAAGGTGATGAACGAGAACAAGTAACGGAAGACCGCGAGGAGGAGCGTCAGATGCCTAAAAGTTGGTCAGTGATCACGAATTCTTGCTTGTGACGATCCATGAATTCTGAGGGTCGACGTACCCGACAAACCAGGCGAACCTGCAGGAAACAATCAAGTTAGCAATTGAAACAGCATCGATTGAAGCTTCACAAAGCTGCATAAGCCAAGCAGCAGGGACAAAAACTTACTGCAGAGTCTGGGCCAGGGCCTTCAGCCTCTCGCCCGTAGGCAAGTTCGCGGAGGGGGGAGGAGCCATGGAGGTTGGGACTCTTGTTTGTTATTGGGGGCGCGACGAGTTGAGAGGAGAGAGAAAAAGAGAGTCTGCAGCACGCAGAGGGTGAAGCAAGGGTGAAAAAGAAGAGAAAAAAAAGAGGTCACGAAGGAGGCTGGGGAGCGGGGATGAAGAGTTGTGTGTTACCTGTGCTTTCCAGCTCGGGAGCTAAGCGCCCTCTCCGCCTTCTGCCGCGGTGACGTCGGGTACTCGGATGATGCAATCTACATCTAGATCGGGCGCATCCATTTGTAGACGAGAATTGGTTGATTGCCCAATCCGGCAAGATAATTATCTGGCAGATATTGGTGGTATGGGCGACCTCGGTTCTGGCAGTATGAAGATGTGCTCTTTCGGCCGATCAGACCCAGTTCGCTTCGCGGCTCCCAGCATGCTCCAGCGTGTACTCGGATCCCTTGCTACAACCGTCGAGATGCATATGCTGGATCCAGATCGACACGGGCTTTCATAATCACTAAAAAGAACAACTTAGTCTAAAATCGAACAAACTTGAGATTTGGGGATTTCGGGCTTGATCGCTAGTGGCTGGTTCCGCTTCTGCCTTGCCAAGGTGCAAGTTTGCGAGGAAAAATTCTGATGACCTTGAAAGGAATGGATGGAGAGTGTATATGGATAGCTCTCATCATCCAAATCGAATAATCCGCAATGCCAAGCCGAGGAAGACGTGCTGAAATCAAGTGGCGGGAAGGACTGAATGAGAAGATGACAGGTACCTTGGGGTATGTACTCATAGATAAGGCACTAAACACAGGTTCCATTCAAATATTCATAGTTCTAGGCTTACCAAAAGTAATCTTTTTGTCTAATTTCAATTTGCGATAACATAGGAATAAAACGCCTACAAGCAGCAGATCTGGAAATGAGTTAGATTTGTGTGATACGATTATTATGTTTCTCTCAAGGAGAATAGGTTTTCTAGATCAGAACTGAAAATTCTGTTATGGATGTAGGAGATAAAGAGCTTCTGTATTCTATATGTGAGTAAATGACTGGTTCGGGTAGATGGTAAGATGAGCAACGAGGTGCGTCATTGTTCTGCTGATCACGTGGGGTTCGCCTGCTCTTTAAGGTTAAATAAAGGACCAGCGAGTGATCATGTCGACTGAAGGATAGGATGGCAAAGAAAATAGATAAGATTGTATAGGAGTGTAATAAGCACCGGAATGATTTCAAAAAGTACACTGGAACAGATTGAATTTCATAAATTCGAGCTGTACGGTGGAAGAGAAGAGTGCTAGGGGCCAGGGAGTGCAGAAAAGGATGCACAGTAATACATATGACGTGTGAGATAATCTGAGGAAGAAAACGGTGCGCAAGATCTCGGGGGCTGGAATTGTTAAAAGCTGTCTCACGTGAAGGCCTAGGAGCCTTCCTCTTTCTTAGTAAATACTGAGAACCTACAGTATCAATGGGAAGGTATTATGGCCAGTACGAAGACATCCATAAGCTCTGCCCTAGTTTGACCCTTCCTCTAAAATTCCATGCCTCATGTACATTTTATGAAGGTGAGGAAGGATCAATGTCTCAGCTCACAAGTTGAGGTTGTACAGCATAAGCGAATAGCCCCACAATAGCTTCGGTCCCCGCGTCTCAGCCTCGGAGGTGACCAGAGATGCTGAAATTTAACAAGGGCTATTCATCGTGAAATATCACTTGGAATAGAGCGGCATCAAGCGAATGGTAGGACGATAGTACGTCGTTTGCGCCCATAGAATGAATACTCGAGTGCTTGGATTATGAAACTCATTGGGGGCAGGAAATACGTAGAAGGGAAAAGCAAAGATTGGTTCCTTACTTTGTGCCGTTTTAAGAGTACGTACGGCAGAGAGATCTCCCTTACAAAATTCCTTTTGGAGCTGTTCTGCCTTAGCGACCTCCAGGCTGAAGTTTACTTGTTACACAACGCAAATAGTGCTGCATATATTATGTAGTATACGTCATGATAATCTTCTACTAGTATGACTTGTTTTCTTTTGGGGTCCAAGGGAGCACTTGCATACTGTTGCACTGCATATTTATTCTAAACGAATTGTGTTGAGCAATAGGTCATGTACATTGATCACACGCAACGGAAAGACAGATGGTGCAGTCATTTATACTCTGTCTGCATCAAAATCTACATTCTATCTGCGTACTCAACAAGGGGCTGAAGGACTGAACAGAAGCAATTAAAACAAGCACTGGGATGATTTAAAGCTTGCGACCAGCGACTGCCCGTTCTCCTGCTTTTTGCAATTTCTAATTCAAGCTTGTCACAAAGTCGGCTTGATTGATGATTGTCGCATCACTGCGCGTTCATTATGAAGCTGTTCCTTACATATCTCCCCGTGCTGCTAGCGGCAACATCCCAGGCCAGGACTCTCCGTACCACGACCTCAACCTGTGTTGAGGGACATCGCGAACAGATCCTCCCCGGCTATTGGGTCGAGTACAAGTGCAACGTCGCGCTCACTGGGTTCAAATACGAGGATGTTGCCACCGCAAAAGACTGTGCGGAACTTGGAAAGTTCGACAAGCGTGTTTGCACCTGGAAGGAAAGCACAAAAGTCTGCATCGTCGGCGACAAGAATGGCGATGAGGCTGGCAACCCTGGAGCTACCTGCATGATCCCGATATCGTCTCCGGGTTCAGGCTGCGGCGGATCTGACAAATCGTGCAACGACAAGCTGGAGAAATGCGAGAAGAAGGTGGAGGCTCTCGAGAAGAAGGAAGAAACTTGTAAAACGAAGGACGAAGCCTGCGAAAAGAAGGTGGGGGAGCTCGAGAAGAAGGTAGAGGCTCTCGAGAAAAAGGAGGAAACTTGCAAAAAGAAGGACGAAGATTGTGAGAAGAAGACAGAGGCACTCGAGAAGAAAGTTGAGAAATATGGACCAGTTTCGGTCAAATGTAAGTTTCTCACACCCCAACCCAAGTATGTCAACTAATTCATCATTGTAGGTCCTGCCAACGACAGAAAGTTGGTCGAGGTTGGAGGAAAGAAGTTTATTCTTCAATGTGAGATCGGTAAGCTGACCGAGTTTCCAGGGAGAGCAGAACCAGGCCGGACTAATTCTTCTCAGATACCTGGCTCACTAAGAAGGACATTGTTGGAAAGAAGTCAAGCTTTGAAGATTGTATCAAATACTGTGCAAACAAGGGCGATTGCGAGTTCCTTTCTTTTGGGCCTGGGTCAGGCAACTGCTATATTGCCAAGGACAACAAGAGCATCCTCGAGGGTACCAACAAAAAGGCCACTTTGAACATTGTCAGTGCTCAGCGAGTGCTATAGGAGGATTTTGTACATGCCAAAGCGCCGTCAGAAATATTATATCGCGCGGTAATCAATTCTTGTGTTTCAAGGTAGCTGAAACTAGAGAAAGGGAGAAACTCGAGTATTCAGAAAGACTCAGAAGCTGGAGCACTTGATTATTAGACAAAGAAGAATTCAAAAGCGATTTGTAGTCATGCCGATCCCAACACACTAAAGGCACTGGTTGGTCCACGTGACTATACGAGGCGTCTACCGCTGTTTTGTACTTTCCGCTTGATTTCCCTGTAACCAACGAGGCCATCTTCAAAGAGTCCCAATTTAGCATCGAGATACTCTGCTTTCTCAGATCCAATAGGCCATGACTCGTATCGGACACGATTTTCTGGCGAAACAACACTCGGAATCATGGTCTGATCTCCTCTCCCGCGCGGTCATCTGACACGAGTCGCCGAGTCGCCCTGAGGTGAAACAGAGCGACGCTTCTCGGCCTACGATAAACGAAAATACATGCTGGAACTGCAACGTTAGGCAGCGATGGGTGCATACTCCCCACCTTGGGGCGCTTGCAGTAGGGGCTCAGCCTCACCTTAACCTCGCCCAAAACCAGCAATCCTGCCATCCTCTGTCATGAACCCGAGATCCTTCACCACATAGCCGGATATGGAGTCCCAAGGTTCATTTGTCCCACGAGAACTATACGGTCGGATGGATATACGCTTTATCAGTGGAGACAGCAGCTGGCGAGCTGATGCTGGACGAGAGTCACGAGCCTTTCCCCAGTCTACCGAGAGACAACAATGCATACATCCTTGGAAGTATCGGAAAACGAAAAGGCGCTTCCACATGAAAAGTGATTTGCCTGCTTCTGACAAGGCCAATAGTTCTGCTTCAGTAGTGCTTGTGGTGACAGTCTTCTGCTTCGAGGCCTTCCAATCAACAGGTCCTCCAAATATCATGCAGATATATCCGGCAGAGGATTTGCGATCAGGATTATCACCGAATGAAGCATCACTAAAGAATGGAACAGAAGCAGGCAAATCACTTTTCATGTGGAAGCGCCTTTTCGACGCTGTTAAGTTCAATCCTGGTCACCCTGTCACTTTGAAATGCGATAATCAACAAACTATAGGGCTTTTGACTAAGGAATTACCCCAATTGCAGCATGTTGACATCCACCAGTATTGGCTACGTCAAGAAGTACAAGCTGGTCGAATCCCTATCCAATGGGTAAAGACATCCGAGATTGTCGCAGACGGTCTCACGAAGCTCCTTCCTCGCCAGAAGCATCTGGAATTTGTGAAATTGCTTGTTATGGAGGATGTTAGTCATCTTGTTGAAGAGCTCAATTGAGCTTATCCATTCATTTTGCAGCAAAATCCCTATGGAATCTTGCTGAGGGGGTGTGTCAGGAAAATGGTGATCGACACTGTATTGACTTAAACGAATACGCTGAGTTCGTATCGAAGCTTCAGACCAAGATCTCTCGCCTTGCTGCAAATTTTGCGCGACCGACCGAAGAAGATCGCTTATTCCAAGCGGACTATGACCACGTCGCAAATGGAACGCGCGTTAATTGCGATCAACCAAAACTGGTTTCGCGAAAGCCTCGACATCAAAAAGAGCCTGAGATTTACTATAGACTGATTGGATCTGCAAATAGGGTGTTCAAGGATGGCAAGCATCGAGATCAGCTGGCTCGGGATCTACGAGGAAGCCCTAGGGCCAAATGACCCATCCAATCTACTCATAGTCAACAACATTGGTGCTATCTACCGTAGACATAAAAAGCCATTAGAAGCTGAGGAGATGTACCAGCGAGCTCTGATAGGCAGAGAAAAGGCACTGGGCCCGGACCACCCATCCACTCTCAATACAGTCAACAACCTTGGGTATTCTCTACAAACATCAGGGGAAGCTACAACAAGCAGAGGAGATGTACCGGCGAGCCCTGATAGGGAGGGAGAAGGTACTGGGTCCAGAACACCCCTCTACTCTTGCGGTAGTCTACAACCTTGGTAATCTCTACAGTGACCAGGGAAGGCTAAGGGAAGCCAAAAAGAAAAGTATCAGCGATCGCTAGCTGGTCATGAAAATTTCTTTGGTCCAGAACACAGCGAGACTCGGTTGGATATCGGGAGATTGAATGAGCTATCACAGCGGATGAAAGATGGTGCCTAGAAGAGAGTCGATTCTAGAAATTCTCTTGCCAGATAGACCGGACAAACCAACTTTCTACAAAAACGGTCGCATGCATCTTTACCCAAAAAAGCCAATACCAACAACCTCCACAAGACTCCACACCCCACAAACTCCGCACCAAGAACCTGAACCAAGCTCAAACCTACACCACGAAAATCAATCGCAAATAGCCAAAGCCCAAAGCCAGGCCCTCCGATCAGTAGATCATACGACAATTAGGGCATGTACAGAACACGCCCACCACCACACCTACTAGTGTCCATTGAACTCTAATGTACTACCCAACACTACCTAGGTTGTGCGCACGGCTGTAAATCACATGCCGCCTCGGCGCCAGACCCGAACCTAAACTTTTCCTCCCGCAACCCCGCGATCTTTACTCCATCGGAAAATCAAGCCCATCCTTCCTTCGCTAGCGCTCGCGATCTCCCGAATACAGCCTATAGTGTGCCCGTGAAAATGGACAATCCCCACCGGTTGACGGGTGTCGTGAGAAACTATCGCGAGTCCCGCTTCTCCCCGCGATACGCTATACGCATCTTCTTGCACCGGGGCACATGTTACCCCGGAGAGGGATCATTGCTGCGGGGTTGAGTTATTGCAATTGGTTCTGGGATGAGACCGCGATCGGCTCTGGAATTTATCTTGTGCCGATTGGTGGCGTGAAGCGATTTTTGCCCGATTTATTAGTACTTACTGGTTTTACTAGTACACCAGCATCTTGTTGATCTTTCGTCGGGTTAAGTTTATGGGTACCCCGCCTCGGCTGGGCTATCTTATGATTTTGATCGTCCCGGGACTTGAACAGGTGGTTCTTGGGTGTTTGGATGGAATGGTTCGTGGGGTTTGGTCGAACCAGACCTTGTTATGCGGGGAAGATGGAGGTGTGGTAGCGATGTACTATTTGGGATTCAAGGTGACGGTGAAGAAGTTGATAGTTTGGTGTTCTGTGATTGACAGCTTTGACACATTTTTGAGGCTAATGGTCGCCGTTTGATCTTGGTTTTCCCTACGTTGCCACTGCTTAGCACGGTTTGATCTAACCTTACCATTAGGGATCCAAGCCATCGCTTCGACATTCCACCTACACCCCCTACCCAAGCATACACTACTAAACGACCATCAACGACACCCTCCATAATCTATTAAACTCCAACCCGATCCGATGCATACACTATCCAAACGCATCACTAGCTGACAGGCGTCAGCAACCTAGTGGAGACAGCGGCGCACACAGCCCAATGCCGTGCCCACACCACCAGCCGACGCACACCAAGGATTGCGTACTTTACCTGCCCGAGTAAGAGTCAACCACCAACCCAGAACCCCGGCAAAAAGCTATCGTCGTCGCCCTTGGCTTGGTACCTTTTCCACCTAGCCTTGGCTTGGCCAGAGTCTGACCTTGCACGAGGCTCATGCAGGAACGGCGCTCTTACCCCTTAGGGCTGGGGGCAGGGTTGACTCAGGCTGGGATGCCTGTTTCAGGCGTGGAACAATGGCGATGTCTTGGAGGGGTTCTAGATTGTTGGAGCTTTGAGAGTTTCGCGTGTTGCGGGCGCGATTACGTTGTGCCAAGGATCGGGGAGATGGGTTTTTTTGGGAATCCGTGCGGCGGGTCGAAGATGCCGTGTTCGTTGCGTTGATGACCGTCGTGAGACATGCCGGTGGATTGGAATGGGGACTGGATTGGACTTTAGGGGGTGTGGGACGTAACGCAGCTGATGTAGTTGGTGATAAAATAATAGTAATAGTACCATTGAGGATGATAATGTAGTAAATAGTGTAAATGATACAGGATAAAAAAAATAAAACCACATAAATCCTAACCTCGTAAAGCATGGGGGTAACAATAGCCAGCAATAGATCCAGACGCCGAGATAAAAAAATGTAAAAATTTCCCGCAACACCTCGTGAGCCGGAACAGGGGCAGGGGAACCCTGTTTGAAAATCCACTATTTCGCCTCCCCGCCTTTAACCCCTTTTAGAAAAACGAAACTCACCCGCTCTGGCCCCAATTCCACTCAACGGCTATCGTGCATGCCCATGTGCATGTCCATGTCCATACCCCTGCGCAAAAGTGGCCGAAGGGTCCCAGTCCCGCCCACCGGCAGAAGAGCTGGGGGGTCGAGGCCCGCTAAAGCTCATGGAGGGCCGGACGTATCGCGCCTCTTGTCCGAAGTGCACGTTTCGATCAAAGGTTGGACTCGGACTTGCCACGGGGCTCCGCCCCATCATGTGCGCGGGGCTGGGCGAGCGCATGTTGTACGTGTCGGGAGTCTTGATCGTCGTCGTCGTGAGCATCTCGAAGCCCTTGCTATCGTTGTAGCGGGTCACGTCGGCCGAAACGTATTCGTGACGCCGGCTCATGCCCCGGCGGAACAGATCCAGCCAGCCCACGAACATGGATGGTCGGGCGAAGAGGATAAAGTTCCAGAAGCCCACTAGCGAAAGGAGGTAGACGACTGCGAGTAGGGTTGCTTCGTTGGGACCCAGTGCGGAGGCGTATTTCTCGCACTTGTTCTTGTTGCCACCCGTTTCCATGAGACACAGGAGCCAAGGGAGAGCCTTCTTCATGTTCTCTGGGGTGGGATCCACCTCCCGGTCGAGGTTGATAAAGACGACCGCGAAGAAGATCACGTTCCCGATGATGATCAGCACGAGGGCCACGCCCCGCCATTGCAGCTGGAGCACGCGCTTGACTCGTCGGTAGGCCTGGCGGGCTGTGACCGTGCGCACACTTGCGGTGTATGAGGGAATCCCGGAGCTGTTCTCGGTGGTGGAGGCGGATTTGTCGAAGAGCGAGCGCAGGTAGATGTGCATGCAGTAAGCCATGGTGGTTAGCTGCAGGATCAGCGCTGCGGCCGCAAAAGCAATGATCGGGTACCAGTAGTCCTGCGCGCCGTGGTCGATGTTGATATGGCAGATCTCGCCAAATCGGAAGGAGACGCCCGTTATGATCATCATCACTGTGATGCCAATGATGGGGATTCCGAAACCACAGAGGAAAGCCCCCCACATGAATTTGGGACCGAGCACTTTTTCCCAACACACTTGCAGGTGGAAGGCGAGCGTTCGAATGAAACTCCAGATCACGACTAGCCAGCCACCGAAGAGGAGGAACGCACCAGAGAAGGCGCAAGAGAGGTCGGTGTACATGTCGTTGGGTGTGATTGCATTGTAGCATTGTTCAGGTCTGGCCCCAAGGGGAATAATGAACGCAATCTAAATGGTCAGCATTCAGATACTGAGAGTTATTCGGGTTTTTGATATGCCTACCTCCATGCAGCAAATGCCCAGTGTGAAGCAGATGCTCAGATAGTGACGATTCGTCCATTTGACGGGCAGAGCGGCGTATGAGACCAGGAGGAAAATGCAGAGCGGAAGGATGGCGACACTGATCCAGCTTGCGACGTCAACACGTTTCGAAGTGTCTGCGCACTGTTAGACGATAGTCAAGTATACGATTTTACTGGCGGTACTCACTATCAGCATATCGCCAGTCGGCGAGCGGACAGGGCAAGCAGCAGGAGACATTGGTCAGGGTTTCGCAGTATCGGCCGTCGGTGACTAGATTGTGTCGGTTTAGATTTGATTCTAACAGCAGACGAGTTGAGTGTACTTACATCCTCCAGTCGTCGGAAACAACGACTCCTGCAGGAAAGGAGAAGGGCAATGTCCATTCAGCGCCATGATGGGAAAGTCGAGGGCGAGCCCGGCATGCCCTAGAGAACTAACGCGCCAGCGCGACAGCGACGGAACCGCGCGCTCTGGCGCAAAGAATTGTCGAGGTCGAGATCGAAGATGGGACAGGTCGCGATCGCGGGGAGATTGAAGAAGAGAAGTGGGCACCCCTGGTATACATAGTGGTTGCAAGTCCTTGTGGAGGTACCTACGGTAGGCTCCCTCCAATAGGTGCCTCCACTCCGAGAACAGTTGCTACGGTCGAATTCCTGGCAGGTACAGGCTGGGCCAGTACCATAGGCAGACGGGCAGCGGGACTCCACCAACCAGGCCGTATGTGCTGGGATTGGCGATGGACACGGTCCTCGCCGCCCAGGGAACTCAATGGACGGAGCTTGGCGGCGAATTACTTCTCAGTTAGTCGTTAGGGTACGAGACAAGCGAACTGCAGGGGGTAGCGATCTCCACAGCCTTGCACTGGGGCCGGCTGAGGGAAGAGCCGTAGGTACCTGCGAGGACCTGCGAGGATGGGCATGTCTGGTACACTATGCACAAGGCAGCATGGATCGGCATACGGTCAGGATCAATAGCCATGTCAGGGCAGCTCCGGCGTGCCTACCACGGTCACAATGGTTCTGGAAGATATGCCGATCGTGAACCACGTTCGGGCCACGTTGGGCTCGTTCCGTAACCCGGGAGTGAGCCATATTCCTGGGCAGTGTCAGACCGTCTAACCTTGCACCTGGGATAGTATCTCGTGCATACCTCAGGGTAGTGGCGATCTGCCAATCGGACAGAGCCGTAGTCAGCAATGTGACTGTGATGGAAAAGGGGCACAATGGCATTCTCGGCTGCTTTTGCTGCACGGAAAGTGTCTAGAGCGGGTTGGGCGTGTGAGCCCGTGCTGACTAGCGCACCCCGGGTCCACTTAGTCAGAGCGAGGGCATCCACAGCTTCGTGGACTTGTAGAGTTACGTTCTGCATCTTATAATATAAGATTACGAGAATGCGACTAAATACGTTGGTACCTGACAGTAGGGCGAGCATGCATACATGCCATCATGACGAATCCTGCACCTTGTGTAGCAGGTGTATACCAGGGCTGGACTATACCATACCATACCCTAAGTAGGTATTTAATAAACATATACTTTACATTAGTCACGTAGGATTCGATCCCTATCGACACGGCCTTGCAGCTCAACCTTCGCGAGTCAACTACCCATCTCGCCACCTGATTGACTCTCCATCCCCATGAATCAGCTCCGCGATATCCCAACACTTGCATCATTCGTCTCTCAGCGCAGAGACTGGCCGTAGCGTCCATCCTGCGCGGGGATCCTCGCGCCAATCTACCCAATCACCACCGCCAGTCCGCCTCCAGCTGTGATCGCCTCCGGCATTCGTTGTGCCAGCAGCCAATGACGCTCCCCGCGGACTTTTTTCTGACGCTGACAGGCAAATGGCAGTTGATCAGTCGAGTCTGGCCGGCCGATCCATTGATCACTATCACCGTACCTGCGCCATCACGAATGGACCCTCGAATCAAAAAATGGAGAAGAAGCGCAGCAAAACAATAACGGCTTGATCAAGTGATCGCTATCATATTTACTAGTTTGACTAGTTCTCACAACGGGCGCCGATCAGGGAAAAATAGCAGCAAATCGTACGATCTACAACCGTTTCACACAGGTCCAACTTCCCGACAAAAGTAAAATCTCGTCCAACTATCCCCTGCAGCCCCCCAAAACCACCTAAATGACCCCCCACAAACGAGATCACGCCGCGCGCCTCTCTCTCTCTAGCTCAATCTGCAATCCATGCACCATCACCCCAACCGCCATCGCAACAACGCCGACGCCCAGCCCGGTGCATAGTCGGCGAAACCCGTCATGCTTTTCGATGTTGTGCTGACCTGAAAGCCCACCACGAGAAAGTCGTACAGGACTCCTGCCAAATCGAAAGTCGCCCATGGGCACAAACACGCTGCGTGCCCAGAGCTTGAACTGCCAATCGGGATACAGCATTGTGTTTCTTCCTGTGCGCGCGTCGACGTACCAGCTCGTGCAGCCCGTCGCCCACACCAGCTTGCTGGCTGCGGATTGAATTCAGCTGTTATCTGCCTGCTCGGCAGCCGGTGTGACGGCCACGGTATCCGGGAGTAGGGGGAGGAGGTGTTGGATGGGGGTTGTGAGTAACGATATGAGGGTGGATGGGTAGAGGGCGGATAGGATGGGGCGGAGGACGCGGAGGATGAAGTTGATTTCGCATCCTGTGGGGAAGAGGACAAAGAGGTGCCCGGTTGTTGTGTTGGGGCCCATTAAGATGAAGAAATTTGGGAATTCCGAGACGCAGGTTCCGTAGTAGTCTTGTGCGGAGCGGAGGAGAATGTGTGCCACTGAGAAGGTTAGTAGTTGCCCCATCCTCCGTTGTAGAGGGATGTATGACATACATGCTCCGTCAAAAATAAACCCCCTCTCTCTCCGAAACTCCATGGGAAAAAAAAAAGCTGCTGCGTCTGAGACCCCGTCGCAAGAACAATAGCATCAGCATGCACCTCACGTCCAGACCTCGTCTTTACCCCATTCTCCATGATCTCCAGTCTCATCATCGCTCACAAGCTCAACGTTCTCCCGATGCAGACAAGCTAGATATATTCCGTATCCATGACCTTTCGCTTACACCCGATTTCCGTGCGCGGGATCAGGACCTCATGATACCTCTCCGGCGCAGTCTGCTTGAGATACTCGATCTGCGTACGCTCCAAGCCCTCCCGAATTGACCCACCGGTTTCCTGGTAGAAGCCTAGAAAATCCTTCTCCATCATCGCGCACAGGTAGAATCGGTACAGACGTATTGCGAGTGGGACGTAGTGCATAACTCATTGCAATGAGCGCGAGTATCTTGGATTTGGACGTTCGGCGAGCCAGTGTGGTTGCCGACTGAATTGAGAGAGTTTTTTTATTTTTTTTGGCGGATTTGGGACTGTTGCTTAGAACTGGGACGAATTGGGTTGCGCTGCAGCCGTTTCGTACGGTACGAGATGCATATCTTCATTCATCCCGTCCCTCGCAGAGGGGAATAGACATCAGAACAAAACTCACCGATAACAACATCTTTCCCCTCCCACTCAAAAGAATGATCCCACCTCGCCGAATGAAATGTTATCCCCGAATACCTCCCCACGCCCGGAATCTCGCACTCACGGGAAACAGAGAGCGCCCCGACCGCAGATATCAGTATCCTCGAGCGACGTGTGTAAACCGCACCACTAGACTCATCACGCACATTCACAACCCACGTCCCAGTAACCTCATCAAACGCGGGCACTCTGCAACGTAGACCCGAACCGCACGTGGCGTGGGATATCATACGCCTCAGCCAGTGAGACCAGGTACTCGGCGATCTCAGCCTGTGGCGCGTACTTCTTGCTCCAGTTTGGGTTGATGGCGAAGGAGAAGGAGTAGAAATGGGATGGGACCTGGGCGTAAATTTGTTTTGAACGTGTCCACGGATTCAAACAATAGCTGCGAGTGCGTACATCGCATCCGCATCTTTATACGTATTCACGAACCAGGTCCCGCCTAGCCCGGTTGTTTATTTCCAGGATCTCGAAGCTGGCGCTTGGGTAGTGTTTTTGTAGCTGGACTGCGATGCCGATGCCCGCCGAGCCGGCGCCAATTATTAGTATGTCTGTGTCTATGGACATGGTGAGTGAAGCAGAAAGGTCTGGACTGGTGAGCGGGGTGTGTTTTAAACCTATGTATGACTTCTGTAGGACAAGGACAAGGTCACGGATTAGTCCACGTCACAAGCAGCGTGCGATGTCGTGGGGGTCTCTCTTAAATAAAAACAACTTCCAATGAGTAAAGTAGTCTCAACCCCCATTGTCGAAAGCCACCCTCATCACCCCGCCATCGCTATACCTGCCAGTGCTAAGCAACATTCATCAGGTCGAACGTGGCTGCTGTGGCTCACGCATCTCGGGATGCCTAATCAGGGAAATCCCGGGGAGAACCCAGCGGGGCGCCGTGGTCAAGGGAGGTAGGGCAGAAATTAGGGTGAACCCGGAGAGTCAGGCACCCGGTGTGGGACGGGGATGGAGATGAGTACCCACGCCTGTCTGCAGAATGCGGAGGGAATGCCGAGTCGGTTAACCTTCCACTGCCTTATGCCTATCGGTGGGGGCGTGGATTCGGTGACAACGCGATCATGGGTGGCGATTTGCTTGTGAAAATGGGAAGAGATAGTCGCTAAACATAAAAGGTTGGGGTGTGCTATTTTTCAAGGGATAGGGAAAGGAGAGGAGAAGGATAGGGCTGGGTTGATGTCCGTAGCTTCAAGCCAAACCTAAGCCTTCGGGGAGGTTTGCGGGAAAGTTGGACGGGCTCGCGGCTCAGGCTGGGCTGCCGAGGCCTCGGGGAGTGGATGCAACCACGCCGATCGTAGGGCAACTCGACCGAGCACTACTGCAGAACTCAAATTTATATGGAAATTTCTTAAAGAAGGCTTTTCCTCGCGAATGATCCGCGACCGAAAAAGTATTATATTATGCTATGCTAAGGACTCGACCAATCCCCGGACCGGGGGTGTGCTCATGATGCTCGTCAACCTCGTTACGTTCGCCGAAAATGATCGGCTCAGAATCGGTATTTCGAGTGAGAGGGGGTATCTGTGGTATTCGTGTATAAGGAGAAGGAGTTTCGGCGACCGTTTTTGCAGACGCGGTGAGGCTCAGGAACGTTCTGCTTGACGTCCTATGCTTGGCTGCCTGCTTATCGCGAAGAAACCGGGATCGATCCACATCAACGTCATCGTGGGAAGTTGGTGATGGTGGAAATGTGATCTGGCGCGTTGGATGTTGCGGCTCCACCGTTATCAGGAAGAGCTCTCCAACCTCGTGAAAGAAAAGGGGCTGGATAAGACTGTCGGTGGTCAGCCGGTGCCTGGCTGGAGGAAGCTCTCGTTCCATCCCCATTCCTTCAGCAGCTGCTGGACGCGATACTCGGTGGCCCAGCCGAGATCAGACTCGATGGCGCGCAGCATTCGGATTGCAACTCGTCGTTCGCGCGGGTCGGTCACACACTGACCACTGACGAACAGGGGCTGTAGCGAATTGATTCTAACGCTCCCATCAGGTCGGGACAGGGCAATTCCCAGGATCTCCCGGCTATGGAATCCAATATCCGCCTCGATCGACCGGTACGACTGCAGCCGAAGGGTGATGGTATTTCGACGACTGGTCGACTCATGCGGCTTGTTGATCAGCAGCAAGATGCGCGCCATGTGATAGTGCTGCATGATCGAGGCGCACATCGGAAGACTGTGCCAGATCTCTTGCAGAGTGGCAAGGTCTTGGGCTTCCTCGGCTGGCTTGTAATGTGCAATCTGGGATGGCTCGATCCGCGCACAGGGTTGGAACGTATCGGGCAAGCCGCTATACCACGCATCGAGCTCGGCCTCGAGTCGCATCCACCGCTCCAGAAGAAGCTGCTGCGATACGCCGAGAGGCCCGCCTTCGCCTCCATTGTCATGCGTGATCTTGTCCCCGGAACTGATATAGTTGACGATCTTTGACGAGATCCAGATCAACCCGTTGCAAATCAGATCCTCTTTCATTACGTCGTCTCCTTCTGGGTACCCGGCTGCCCCACCATTACTCGGGACTAGGAAACCCCTTTGATCAATCTGCAGGCCGGCCTCTGTCCACAGGACAATGTCATCCGTGTTAAGCCTTGTATGGCATTCATTGATGACTGTGGATGTCAGCAGTGAAGTTCCAGTGAGGAACCAAAAGGCACTTACATGCTGCCAGGTAATCCTGTCGCGCAAAGTTCCAAAAGGTTGCCCGGCGGGCCTTCGAAAGACCATTCTTCATCGGCGCATATCGACCATCTCCACTTAGCCGTCGACGATCGGGCGGCACGATCCCAACCTCGGCCATATCGAGCAACGATTTCACACCACTCAAATGACGATTCCAAGCGGGATCGGTTGCATCTAAGAATTCATATACTGATAAAATGGCGGTCGCGGCCAACACCTCGTCTGAGTGGACACCCTGCGAAATTCGGTTGTTCGAGATGCGTCGTCGGCGCTTCCGCGGATTCTCTACATCATCACGACTACCTGCCTCACCCAACGGCGGCGGACTCTCTGTTCCGGGCTGCAGCTGCTTCATCAGCAATTGGATGGCCTTTTCATAATACTTGGCCCCATGCCAGATGAAGTCGTTTTCTTTGTCCGGCCACACCTCCATGATTGCTTGGCGCGAGCACACTCCGCCCATCTTGGCCTTGGTGCCCTTGACGCGCCCCAGTTGTTTGGCTGCATATGCACATGCTGCATACTTCAAGAGGGGGTTTGATCTTGCCTGTACAGGCACATACGAAGCAAAGTACGTCCCCTGGTCGAATAAATCCATCCTGTTTGAATTATCAGCTTACAGGCGCCCAGTCCTAGCCACGTGTTCACGACGACGCACCATAATCCCGGCCCTTCAGAATAATGCCGCAACAGAAAAGCGATTTCGAAATTTGTCTCCGCCTGTCCATCTACCCTAACCTCTGTGGTTCGATGTACGGCGGCAGGACGAGAAGGCAGAGAGGCGCTCCGTTGGCCAGCGGGATGTGTGATGGGATCGACCGGAGGAGACAACGAGTTGGAGGGGTTGAGGAGGAAGTTAATGTTGGTGTTGTTGCTACTCGCAGAAAGGGATAACGGCGGCGACGTGGGCGGGGGCATCACACTGCTTCGAGAACGATTCGGCGATGGATATGACATGCTGTCGGATATCGAGTGGGGAGAATAGGGGAGACGGTCATGGCTAGCGACTGCAGACAAGGCGTCCAGCCCGTGTGAATCCGCATCGCTGGCTCGAGAACCGCTCCCCCATCTTTGATTCCGTGATTGCGCCAGGGCCAGGGCGCTCGATTCTGCAAGGGAGGATTCGAGGTCGGTCGCGTATGGATCGGAGTTGTCCACAAAGATGACTTGGGGGGGATGGTGAGCGATGCTTTGGTGAGGATGCGATGCAAGAAAGGGGCCTACCGTGTTTTGGAATGTCCAGCCAGACGCTATCCTTGTCGAAAGAGTCCTTGTACGAGAAAAAGCCCTTGAGATCCCCACGACCTTCCTGCGCTTCGGCGAGGCCTGTATTCATCGAGGCATTCTGCTGATGGCGAAAGACGATTCCCTCGCTGGGACGACATTCGCGGCCGCCCTTGCGACATTGCGAGCACTCGGGTTTCTGTTCGTCGCCTGCGGAGAGCGTTAGCGGCGCCGGGGCAGATCGCAGGGGGAAAATACATTTAAGCTTTCGAGTACGACATGTCAGGCTGGCGGACGAGTCAGTAGAGGCGCCTGCAAGTCAGACGGGAGGACGTACCATCCAGTTCGGGATCGCATACCGGGCGATGTAGGCGCGACATGGGGGTGGATGGACTCCGGGGTGGAAAAGAGAAACATGGAGACTTGCGGGGAGCGGCACCTGACCCGGGGAGATTGGCCCCCACAGCCTCTCTTCGCCCACAACCCCAACACCACTCTTCCTTCCCTACTACACACATTGCAGGGGCTACGCATCAGTTCGACTGCGCTTATTACGTGGCTCTCGATTTCCATGGGGGAATCCCTGTTGTCGCCGCCAGCCTATCGGCTTTCCACGCGGGCCGGTCTGCCTTTTCTGCCGTCCTCTATCCGCAAATGAACCCAGCCAACACCAGACTAGCGAATGCACCCAATCTAAACAAGGCCCACGATGCAGTTGGCCAAGAAACTACTTCCACTCCCTCCCCCGGCATAATTCGTCCGATATGCCATCTCGCCTCTCGACGGAAGAATAGATGGCGGATGGCGGTCTAGGGTCAATCCTCGTTGCTCAACTCTCGCACGGATCTCCATCTCGTATTATAGCCGGCATCTCACCCGGTCCCCTCCTGCTCAGGCAGATTCTGATTGATCCGTGTCTGTCAACGTTTCCATGGCGCGCCCGCTCGTTATTGGCGAGTATATCTTGCCAGAACATATACAGCTCACCTGGAGACTCACTGACTCAGGAAGAGTATGCCTTCTGCGGGTCCAAATCGAGGTGCCACCGTTGGCTAACTCCCTTTAGGGCGATCTCTACCCTGCGCAATTAGGCAAGTATTCACGGCCGCTCCCGGAGGACTGTTGACAATGGCCTCTTGACCGTTCTTGGCATCTTGGGGATGGCGCGTCTCTTCGTGAACATCATGACCGTCATGTTGATTCGGATATCCCGATCCCAACCCACCTACTTCTCTCGCAGCCTCCATTACCATCCCCTCCCCCCAACGTGACTGAAGACTTACGACTAACAATGACCTGATGCTATATGATAAAGACTACTGAGTAGAACATACGGACGTCGAGCAGCTTTGCTATTGTCTCGGTCTTTTGACAGCTTTCTGTCAATTACATCTGCTTGCATGCCCGCAAAACTGGCATCAGGGTCGATTGCCCGTTCAATGTATTACTTCCATTCTGTGTCGTAGCAAACCAGAGGCCTCCTACAAGGTTTTCTGATTCTACAAACACCGAGACTGATATCTGATAGTGATAGCTAACCTAAGTAAATACCAGCTATGCATGAACCATCTCGAAACCAAATTGATTCTTCCCAGCGTTTTTAACTCCTTTTCCATCCCCAATCCAATAGAATTGAAAAAAAAAACTTACCTGCTTTATGTACCCATAGAGAAATCCAGTCCATCTTGCATCCATCTAGTTCTCCCACTCACCGAGCGCCCCGGAAGCGGGGAAGCTTAAGTGGGGATGCAAGGTCCCATGACCGCCTCTAGTTTTTAAATTGGCCAAAGAGAACACACGCTCGGACTTCGGCGAAATTGCGAGTCGCCATGGCTAGCCGTTCGGTGGGGCGGGCGTGGGTGGTCCAATCGCTTGATGTGTGGCGAGCCGGGCTTGTTCGATTGCCGGGAGACTTTTGATGTAGTATTGACGGGATGATATTATCGCTATAGCGGAGCGGTAATACATCGCAGCCAGTCATGATATCGATCGAACGGATATCACACCTCATTGTTGTGCCTAGAATACTTTACGGTAGGGAATGCACATTGGGAAGCAGCGAAAGAGTATACTAAGATAGCAAAAGCTAGGACAACTCAACAATATCTTGGAGATTTTATTCTTAAAGATGAACTGTATCATCCCAATATGAGCTGGAATATCATATATAGCAACAAAATGAGTTCATCCCTAAGGATTCTCTGTCGCAGATTTCGGCTATTCGTCATGGCTTTGCGGGGTTTGGCCGATGCCGGGGTCGTGTGGAGACACACGATAGTCTCCAGAAATCCCTGCAGCTTGCATAGGTTTAGTGTTGAGCTAAAAAACGCTGCTTGGTTTTCGAGGGGCTCTTTGTTCCCTCCGTTGTTGTAGCTTTCAATGAATCGTATGTGAGTGAGTGCCATGGCCAACTCGCGGGTTGAGGTTAGGCATCGGGTGGATATTGCTCCACAAGCAGATGATATTGAGAAAGCTAAGGCGGACTTCGGATTTAAGGTAGGTGACACATGAATTCTTTGACTGCTTTAATCTAGTATGTATCAGAGCGATGCAGTCGACTACGAAGAATACAGAGAAAGGTTGAGCCTTGAGATTTCTCCACAAGTGGTTCGTCATCCAAATTGAGTACATCCGGAAATTTTTTCATCTCCAACCAGGATCTAGAATTCAAGAATTCGATGAAATTCTCCCGGGTTTTCCTGATTACCCAAGCACTCCAGTGCATGGACAAAACAATACTAAACTATGCAAATCTTTTCGGATACAAGACCGCTCTAGGCCTACACGGTCAACAATTCAATTACCTATCAGCAAGTAATTCGGACACCACCTCCCTACTAGAGCTCAATCAGCTTATAAATTCCCATAGTGATATACGGTGGTTACATCTTCGGCCAATATCCCCGCGGCTGGCTCATCGGCCGCTTCCCAGCCCAGCGCATTCTATCAATCAGTTGTTTCTTCTGGGGTGTCATGGTAATATTCATGACCCAATGCCACACGTGCTCAGCTGCGCTAGCCGTACGCTTAAGAATGGGTCTCTTCGAAGCAACAGTCACACCAAGCCTCACCGTGATGACTGGCTTTGGTACACGCGCCAAGAGATTCCACTCCGACAATGCATCTGATATTCCTCCATCGGATGGGGAGGTATTACCGGGTCCTACATCTCGTTCGGAGTTTCCAAGTTCCCTGAAAACTTTCGCCCAGCTCGATGGGAGCTTTATTTTCTACATCCTCGGTGTGGCCACTTGCATATGGGCATTCATCTTTTTCGCGCTACATGATGCCTCAAATAACGCCGATTTCCTCACCAAGACCGAGAGGATCTAAGTTGTGAAGTGTGTCGCAGCTAACGAGACTGCTATCAAGAATAAATCTCTCGATAGGAAGCAGGGCTAATCGCATTCTCAGATCCCAAAGCCCATTCTGCTTTCATCTCGATAATCGCAGCGGCTATTCCGAACGGCGTGCTGAATTCATTCTCAACAATCATCATCAAGGATGTGGCATTCTCGACGATGTTGACGACCGAACTCAAGTCTGTCGGCGGTGCAGTACTCATTATAGCGCTGATTATCGGTGGCGTTATCACTCCGAATGTGCCCAACTCACGATTACTTACTTCGACAGCTGCGAATATTTTGTGTACCGTTGCTGCTGGCTACATGACTTACTTGCCTCGCTCGCATACTTGGACGAGGTTGGTTCGCTTTTGGTTGATGAATGAACAGTACAGTCTGTGGGTTTTACGGTTTCCCTCGTGACTTTTTCTTCGAATATGGCGAGCTATACCCACAGAGCGATGGCCAATACTATGTTTTTGTAAGATTCCGCCCCTGCGCAATATATGCAATGAAGATATGGGGCTTAGCTGACAGAGGACAGCACTGCGTATTGCTGGGGAAACTTTGCTGGCCCATTCGTAGTGAAGGAATCTCAAGCACCTGAATTTAAGGGCGCTACTATTGGTCTTCTGGGTGGTTACTTGATCAAGACTGTTTGCCAGTTAAGTCTTCTTGGTATGTACATTTATAATATTTTAGGCAGCAAGCAGGATACTTACAGAGACAGGGTATATGTTCTTTGTCATCCGACGTCGCGATTCGCACTATGGAACGGCGGATAAAGCCCAGAGTGACGAGGCTGGAATGAGGGACTGTACTGAATTCGTGAACAAGAATTTCCGTTATGTACTATAGGAATCTTAGATGCATCAGTACCACATAAGTAGTTGAACAACACTGTTTGGATTTTAGGCTATCTTACGAGATACATGGACGACCCTAGCCCAATGTGACGTGGCGCGACAATACGAGATGATCAGCACTGCCACCCCCTCCAAAGGACCTCAACTGCTGTTCGTAAAGAGCCTCAGGTACTGTGATTAATTTAAATCCTTGAAAAGACACCATGATTTACCCCAACTCCCTATGTAGGAGACACTCATGGATTTATTATCTAAGCTCACGAAGTTGCGACGGAAACGCAAACAAAAGGTTATTCAAGAGGAAAGAAGGTTTATTCAACCCCTACTCCTTTCCACAATGAGAAAATTTAGGATCAAGTAGCGAAGAACGGCCAGTTGAAGCACATAGCACCGCAAAGGCGACTCCGGCAACTATTTCGCAAGAGCCACGACACAATATACCAAGCTCAACCGCAAAAAGCACAGAACCACTTAGTCTACCTCAACCCCGAACGGCAAGCGTAACTTTGGAGGAGAGAATCCGATATCAGCGAATTGTTTTGGGCATGACCGACGAGCAGATATCAAGGGCACTCCCTCCTGAGGTATATCATGTATATGGGTCGAATGACGATATTCGACCTTCAGGAAGGGGCCATCTAGCTTATGCATATCGAGCATAGGGCCACAACCCAAGAAGTGCTCAAGAATAGCAATGCGCTGCTGGAATTATCCAAATATGTAAAACTTATGGGTCGAGAAAACTGCAATATATTAGACCCATCCGATCCCTTGCCTTCAGTCTAATACTTTCAGACAAATACTCACGTTGGTGGGTCGGTTGAGCTTAAAGTTAAAATCTATCCTCGCCATAAAACTCATATCGGATTTCTCAACTTTGAAACCACAGCAGTCGAGGTTGTGCCATTCTCTTTGTGTGCAAATTTTGGGGTTGAAGAGCCAAGAGATGGACTGGGGGAAGGAATACCTGCGCATGAAGCAGGAACGGCGCCTTCAGGCAGGATGATGTCTGGACTTGATAGGTTTACACTAGGCAGTTCGTTTTTACACAGGGCATTCCACTACAAGACAATTAAGTCATCTCATAAATGGGTAGATCGTTGTATTATCCACGTCCCCGGGACGTAATCACTAAGTTACAGACAGGTGTCATATGAACCTTTCAGTGGCATATGCACAAGGGAACTGAGGAAATCAACAAATAGACGGATGCGATGCCACAATCCAATCCTAGAAGAACAGAAAAACGACCAGCGCGATAATGGGTAACATGCACTGACGCTGACAAAATCAAACATTAAGGTGTGGGAGGTTGTGAGATTGGTGGCGGGGTATAAGCAACATTGCTTCTGAACAAGAAAAATGGAACAAAAAAACGCCTTCTCTCAAAATCGAAATTGGCGGACAAACGAGTTTTGTGCATGGGGGAAAATGGGAGAGTAGATGCTTCATTAGATTGCGGGTGCGGTTGGGTTGGTATGGCCCAGGGAATTGAATAGGTACTCTGGTGGCAGGCGCGTCATATCGGTGGGTCGGTCTGTTCCAAAGGTTTGAGGGGCAGCGGCGTAACCCTGGCGGCGGCGTTGAATCTTGTTTAGAATGACACCTGCGGCGACGATGAGGAAAACGCAGCCTAGGGCGCAGCAGAAGGAGACTAGGACGACGATCCCGTTGGAGTGGTGGCTTTCGCTGCCGCTGGTGTAGGGGTTCTGGTTTTCTGAGAAGAGATGCGCCATGCTACCGGGCTGACCGTTAGACTTGGAGGAAAGGATGAAGGGTGTGACCGCGGTTCCGTTGTAGAGCGCTGCGGAGGCATTGCCGAAATCAGGGATGATGAGTTGACCCATGATTAAAAGAATCTGATCGTCATTCAAAAGCGAGACCGACTCGTGGTTCTGGTTGGTGGGGAGAACCTCCATGCCTCGGATGACGGTGCCTTTTGAGAAGAGGTTGCCAGGAGATTTGAAGTCGGATCCGTCGTAGTTCATGAAGAAAGCCGATCCGTTCTTTGCTGTGCCGGCGATCCAGAACTCTGACACGTCCTCACTGGCGGGAGCGAATGCAGTGAGATTTCCAGGAATGGCAGACTTCGAGGCGCCCTCGAACGCAGTCCAGATCTCCTTCTTGTTGTCAAAGGTGGCGATGACGGTCTCGTTGTCAGAAATCTTGAGATCACCCGCAGCATACAGCGTGTTCGAGCTCGCCCACTTAAGTGCAATCACAGTACCGCTGATGGACATCGCCGGCCAACTCCAAGAGTTTTCGGTGGAATCCAATTTGCAGACAGTTTCGCAAGGGAGTGATCCAGCTGACTCGAAGTCACCGCCAACGAAGATATCGGATGAGCCAGGTCGCTTGGCAATGGAGTTCACAACGACGCTGTCACCTCTCAATGACCAAGGCTGATCCTGGGAGAACTCATTCTTGGTCAAATCGTATGTCACGAGCCCAGCCATATCATCACCGTCGATACTTCCAGTAAGGTTACCGCCCACGTACAGGGTGTCATTGTGCACCAACAGGGACATGACGGTGGTAGCGTTGTTTTGCAAGCCCTGAGGAAGACCACTCAGGGTCTGCTGGGTGCCGTTCACAAAGACAACATTTTCGACGGTCGAACCATTGCTAGCGGTGGTAGCGAATTGGCCACCTAGGATAGTGAGGTTACGGTCCGAATCAATGTCGTAGACACCAGTGAGGACACCAGCGCTGGGCTGAGAGCCAGACTTGGTGTGAGCGTGGTTCAATTTCATGGACAGAGAGATGAGGTTCAGGTCATCATCGTCTTCTTCCAAGGAGACGACACCACCAGCGTTGATTCCATCAGTAGCAAGACTGCCAGCAAGGATAGAAGTATTGTTGTAGTCGGTAACGGCCGACAAACGGCCAGCAAACTCCATCTGGGTATCATTGAGAGTCTGCAGCCAGGCCTTCTGGGAGGGAATCCAGATGGCAAAGCCAGGGACGAAGACGTCAGACTTGTCACCAGAGGCAAGAATCTTGTTGAAATCACCGCTCACGGCAATGGTCGTCTCGTTAACGGTCGACGACACATTGAGCTCAAGCGGGTAAATCGTATTGACGTGTCCATTGACACCATTGCCCAGTGCGGACCATTGCTTGGAGGACGATGAGTAAGATGCGACGTAGTTGAGACCCTTGGCACCACCGTCGGAGGTATCCGTGAATTGACCTCCAACATACAAGGTTTTGTCGAGCGAAGTCGTAGCCAAAACCTGCGAGTTCAGACCGCCACCGGACAATGCAGTGGCTTTGCCGTCAGTGATTGACATGATGTTGTGGATTTTGCTGTCCGAAAAGTTTCCGGCAATGTAGACCACGCCATCGTTCGACGACAAGCTCTTGATAGCAGCATCATGCTTGAGAGAGTTGCCGGCTTTGTTGATATCCGACTTGTCGAGCTTGTCGGCATCAATCTTCTTGGAGGATGGGTCGAAATCGTACAGTCCATTCAAATCATCGGAGGTTTTCGTGGCGTTGAGCAATTCGAAGCGAACACGGGATGCGACAACGGTGATGTCGCCTTGTCCAACAATAGGCTGAAGAGTGACGGTAGGGCGGAAGGAATCGCTAGCGGCGTCAACGTATCCGGAGAACAGAGTATCGTACTTTTCGTAGTTGTTGGTCTGGTAGATGGTCGTCGGGGAAGGTTGAGCCTCATCGGAGTCAGTCGCAAGGGTTGCTGTCACGTTGACCATGCCACGCTTAGAGCAAGAGTTATCTTCAACACAGCCGGGCGTGTAGATCTTGACCGTGTAATTGCCAGACTCTTTGATATCGGGCTTGAAGACAACAGAGGTGTCGTCGTCATTAGCATCGGTCACCTGGGCAGATAGATATCCACCAGATTCGATTGTCCAAGAGCCGGTTCGGGTGGCGGTAGCGGGGTATTCAATGCCGGCGCAAGACGGTTCATTGTACGTGTCGACAGCGTAGGTGACAATCTGGTCCTGGAAGACCTCGATGCCGTTCAAACCGGCACCGGCACCGTACCAGGTGAGGAATTCGATCTCGAATCCCTGCATGCCAACAGAGTTGACAAGGGTGAAGTCACGGTACTTCTCGCTGGTGCTGTCGGAAAGCGGGCAGGATTGGTCGCAAGCCTGCTTCTTGCCGGTCTGGTCGATGTAGGTCATATTCATGATGCCATTGTCGGGAAGAGCACGGAACAGGAAGGTCTTGGTACCGCGTCCATCCAGGTGCGTGTTGTAAAGGCGGACCTTGGTCGGGTTAAAATTAAATCCAAGATCGGCACGCCAAAATCCCGGTGCGTTATCGTGGAGCAGGTAGGTCGAGCCCTTGGCCGCTTCGCCGCTAGTCGAACAGATAATGTTACGATTGTCGGAATATCCGCTGAGAGACGAGTCGGTATCGGAGGTTATGGTAGCGTTTTGCAGATTGAGGACCTGCTTTCCGTGTTTGGACGAGGATGTCGAATTACCCAGCCCATCGAACGAGCCACCCCAGACGATATGGCCATCGTCCGTCTTCAAGATCGACTCCACGGGTCCATTGAGACCGTCGAACGGGAGATCGGTCCAGCCGTCATCAGGAGACCAAGCAAGCGCATTTGAGGTATTCTTGTGCGAAAAGGATCCTCCAACGTAGACACGGTTCGTATTCTGGTCGCAAAGCACCGCGGAAACGGAGCCCTTCAAACCGGACAGAGCCGTGACCTTGCTGGAATTGGGATTGAACAGAGCGGCGCCGGGCGAGTCGACTCCGCCCAAGGTTGTGAAGTTTCCACCAACGAAAATCCCGGCAAACGTTCCGTCCTTTTTGGTGAAGGAGCACATGTCCCGTATTTGCGCGTCGGCCGAGGTGAGATTGGTCAGGATTCCATTGGGCAGCGGGGTGAGGATCGAAGAGCCGGTTCGCTGGGTGATCTCAGATTGACCCTCATACTCGTAGAGGGAGACGCCATCGAAGTCACCGGTGATGGTGACACGGCCGAGCGTGGAAAGGTCGAGGTCGGGTATCGACACGGCATCGAACGACAGGGCGTGCGCGGAATTTGCGAGCGACAAGGCGAGCAGGGTCGACAATCCGGCCGCCGCGGACCCATACAATGAAGAAACCCTCATTGCGTCGGGGGCGACGACAGGTAACAGATAGTGAAGTGGAGGCGATTCAGGATCGAGGGCGAAGCGAAGGGAAAACCGAAAGGGTTAAAAAGTTGAAGAATTCAGCAGGCGCCACAGCGCGTCAGAAAGGAACGTAAGAAAGAATGTGGCATGGAACAATCTAAAGAAAGCAAAGGAATGTGGGATGCATGAGGATAAAGCCTCGCAAAGAATCAACGAATGACTGGATGTTTGGAAGGGGAGAACACGAAGGGAACAGAACAGGGGGTACTCGCTGGCGTGGTGTGTATTCTGGGCGGTGGTCACGTCGGTATTGTTTACCGTACGGGATGAGCCACGATGCGCTAGTCCCGCCCTAAACACGACTAAACACCACCAACCTCTCCTCGGTGGAGTCGCTTCTGCCCCCTGGCCCAATCGCCCGCCTCATTTTCCAGTCTTCCGTGCCGGGTGGAACCGCGGATGATGTCGACTGCCATCCCATCCCCGTCGTGTTCCAGTCATGCTGGTGGCAGGCTTCATTCTACCGGCACCACGACACGGAATGGCATCGGTCCTACGAGTCGCGTCACACAACGGGAATCTAATCGGATTCGTTGCTGACTTTACCCCATACATTGCAAACACTGCAGACACTTCTGACCCTCGAGATCCGACTTACGTCGAGATGACGGTCGGTACCCGTGTTGAATGAGGATCTACAGCCCGAATCCGCACCAAACATTGAGGCCCGGTGCTTGGTCCTCATGGTTGACGGTTATCACCAGCTCCTTGCATCAGCTCTGCCAGCACCCCCCAAGCACACCGACTTGGGTCCGTTAAAAAACACTTCTTGTGGGCATCGAGGTGCAGTTCATCGCTGCCTCAAATCCTGAACCGTTAGCTCCGATACAAGTGGGCCGAAACATGAGACCGAAATCTAGCCCCGCGCTGAATGCCACTTAATTATAGCACCAGGTCCACGCTCGACTGTGGTTGACGCACTGTACACGCAGTCCGATGGTGAATGCTGTCTTAAGGCGGCCGGAGAGATCGGGGAGCGAACTCGAGGACGGAATATTTCCTAATAAATTCACCAGCCACCCTGCAGCTCCGACACAGTCAAGCGGCATAACAACAGCTCGAAAAAGTTGTGGCGAGTAGGCCCATCGTCGATTTGGTTGTTTCATCCTAATTTAAGCTTTAGATATAATTAAGGCGACGAAAATCATCGGTCGTCAAAGGAACCATAGGTCAAACCCCATCCCGCTTTACACCCTCGGTGAATCCACAGTTGTTTCAGTCCGTGACATCCAGAGGTACATACCACCGGAAGTATGTCCCCAAGGTGCGATTGTGTGATACGTGCGTCCCACCACATATGGTAGTTTGGTTGCGATCCCATAGTATAGATATTCGAAATCAAAGTCGCTGCATCATTATTTCATAGAAACTTTTTACATAATGTTATGATATCGCTCCTAGCCCTTTGGCTCTGCAGAAAATACTACCATCACTGTTGAGTACAATAGGTTATGTCCCTATGGACATATTCTCTGTCTAGGCACCAAAATATATAGCCGTGCCGTGTGAAGTTGCCACAATCACTCAGAAATTGCTCTAACATTGAATCAGTTTGTGTGTGAGCACCATGACACAGCGATATCTATCGAAGCGATTTGAATTTTTAAATCCGTCTCAAACTGGTTGCAACCAATCCCATCTACTGCATTGTAGACCTGCCTCCCCATGCTAGAATGCAATTTCTGCCTCAGGCACCAGACTAACCAAGGCGGGCAAGAGTGGCAGACCTCCCAGCGGCGCGCAACGCGACCTCCGAGAATTCTTAGAGCTATCACCACCCCATCCAACCTTGTCCCGCTCCCCCCCCAACCGACCTTTCCTCATATTCCCCATTCATCTCATCCACCCGGTTGACTCGCATTCCCAAAGAAGAGAGTCTCCCAGAGCTCCTCCAAGATGTGCGCCTCCACCCTCTGCGTGTATGCCGCGGATCACAACTGACGATTGAGCAGGGAGAGCTTCGACAACATCTATCTAGACCTATCAAAGATCTCTGGGAAGTGCAAGCTTGCCGAGAGTGGTCTAGGATGGAAGCCATCCGGTGGCGGTGAAACCTTCACTCTGGACAGCAGCAATATCGGTGCCGCGCAGTGGAGTCGCGCCGCCAAAGGATTTGAACTGAAGATCCTGTCGCGCTCATCAGGAGTGATTCAGCTGGATGGTTTCGACCAAGAAGTGCGTGGATCGAGGGTGCCCGATCGTGTCAAGACTCAAACTAACGATATTTTCCCCGTAGGACTTTGAACGGCTGACCAAGGCCTTCAAAATCTGGTACGGCATCAACGTCGAGAACCGTGAACACGCCCTCCGAGGATGGAACTGGGGTAAAGCCGAATTCACCAAAGCCGAATTGGCCTTCAACGTCCAGAACCGTCCTGCCTTCGAAATCCCATACTCCGAAATCTCTAATACAAACCTGGCAGGAAAGAACGAGGTGGCTGTGGAGTTCTCGCTCTCTGCAGCGGACGCGGGAGCCAATGGCAAGCCCGCAGGAAGCACAGAGAACCGGGGCCGTAAGGCTGGTGCTGGTGCTGATGAGCTGGTGGAGATGCGCTTCTACATTCCTGGTACGGCAGTGAAGAAGGAGAAGGCCGAGGATGCCGAAGGAGACGACGAGGAGAACAAGGACGAAGAGACCGAGGAGCAGAATGCGGCCAACCTATTCTACGAGACACTCATGGAAAAGGCCGAGATTGGCGATGTTGCTGGCGATACCTTTGCTACCTTCTTGGATGTTCTCCATCTTACTCCCAGGTTCGTTTGCCCTGCTCTTGCTTTGTAAGAGGGCCTTTACTGACTGTATTGCAGAGGTCGTTTCGATATCGATATGTACGAAGCGTCCTTCCGTCTTCGCGGAAAGACCTATGACTACAAAATCCAATACTCCGCCATCAAGAAGTTCTTCCTGCTCCCCAAGAACGATGATACCCATACTCTTATTGTGCTTGGTCTCGACCCCCCTCTGCGACAGGGTCAGACCCGCTACCCATTCCTGGTGATGCAGCTGAAGCTGGATGAGGAGATCAGCCTGGAGCTGAACATGACTGAGTAAGTTTGAATGCATCGGATGATAAAATACACTTGGCTGACAATATTTCTAGTGAACTTTTGCAAAACAACTACAAGGACAAGCTGCAATCGCACTATGAAGAGCCGATTCACCAGGTCGTAACCAAGGTCTTCCGTGGTCTGTCTGGTAAGAAGGTGATCATGCCGTCCAAGGACTTCACTAGCCACCACGGCCACCATGGGGTTAAATGCTCCATCAAAGCCAACGAGGGTCTATTGTACTTCCTGGACAAGAGTCTTATGTTCGTTCCGAAACCCGCCAGCTACATCCAGCTGGAGAACGTCGCGGTTGTGACGATGTCACGCGTGGGTGGAGCCATTTCCGCCAGCCGCACCTTTGATATTACTGTGACCTTGAAGGCCGGTATGGGTGAACACCAGTTCAGCAACATCAACCGGTAAGCATCTTCTCTTGTTTTTCTTGCCTCATTTCCTTTGCTAACATCTTGCAGTGAGGAACAACAACCCCTGGAGGACTTCTTCAAGGCCAAGGGTATCCGCCTCAAGAACGAGATGACGGAAGACGCTTCGGGCCTGATCGCTGCGACTCTCGACCAGGGCGAGTCCAGCGACGACGAGGGTGGTGACCGGGCCGATCGTGGTTCGGCGGACGAAGACTCCGAGTCCCCTGATGAGGACTTCGATGCTTCCTCTGACTCGGATGTGGCCGAGGAGTTTGATTCTGCACACGAGAGTGATGGCGACAGCGATGAGGAAATGGGCGATGCGTCGGATGGGGGCGGCGATGACGAGGATGAGGCCGCTCGGCCCAAGAAGAAGAGCAAGAAATAGTCATTTTCGGAATAGCTTCGTGATTCCCTTTTTACATATTCCTGAGAGATTGCCGGCGTTGCAAATGTGAATCCCCTTTGACAACTTGAAGTATTGTGGTCTGCTTCCCCAAGTCTGGGCCGTACTCCAGTTCGTACCGTTGAGTCTACTGCCATTCTCCACACTGGGTGGACCTCACGTGACCAACCCCTGATCGATCCTCCAGTCCGGAGTACACACATACCATGGCACGTCGACCGTCTTCCCGGCGTGGCACAACCACGGGAAGATGCCGAAGAGGAAAATGATATAGATTGAATTTGTTTTATAGACTCGTGTCCTCGTCGACCGCAATGGCCAGATCGTCGGGTACCTGATTGTATGGGTAGTACCTACCCAGGTTACAGAAGTACTGTACTATGCATGCTCTCTCTCCAGTGCAGTCGAATGAAACCCCTTCAATTCCCTGTCAATCAGAAAATGAAGACCCGCGTAGCAAGCTCGATGCATCTGCACGTCCAAAATGTGCGGTGTCGCGCTGCAAAGTGATGCATCGTAGGACCCCAAAAAGCACGGCGAAGTAGTGGACGCGGGCGATCCACATCCGCCTGAGCTGGCCCGACCTCGCGCCCCCCTTTCTTTCCCAGACTGGCAGTCAACTTCCCCCTTCTCCTCCCCCATCTTCCTCTCTTTTCTCTCTTTTGTCTTTGGCTTCCTCTCCAGGCTTTTTGGTCGTTCGCTTCTGTTTTCTGCCTGAAAGCCCCCCCCTCCCACCCCTTTTTCTGACGTGGTCTCCAGGTATGGATCTCCCTGGGCATGGCCCGATCTTCATCCCCCTCGAATTTTTTTCCTTTCGCGATGACATTGCTCGCAAAACCCCACCCCCGATTCTGTCTCGGAACTGACGATATCATTGCCTTTCAGGGGATATTCTCGCGTCGCTTCTTAACCTCCCGACCTCCCTCGTTCAAGACCAAAGACTTTCGCCATGTGTAAGCTGCCCCCTCCCGAAGTTCGCGATACCCTCTCCCCAGACTGCCAGGGCCACCCCAACTCGATCCCACCGCACCCATCGGAACTGGCCGCTGATGTTTAATTTAGCTTCGCCGACTGCGAATGGTTCTCCTGTCGCGTCTCGCGACTCCCCCACCCCCAGCAGCGGACAGGAGTCGCCTTTCGTCGAGCGCAGCAACCCCATGGGTTCCGGCAATGCCCAGACTGTCAGCTCTCGCGACCCCAAGGCTGTCGCCCAGGCCGCTACCGATATGAAGAACGTTGTCCGCCGCAAGCTCACCGGATACGTTGGTTTCGCCAACCTGCCCAACCAGTGGCACCGCAAGAGTGTCCGTAAGGGATTCAACTTCAATGTCATGGTTGTCGGTACGTACCAGATATCTCCCAGACTCCCTGCCCCCAATGGCCTGCATGAAGATTGCTGACAACTCCTTCTAGGTGAATCCGGCCTCGGAAAGTCGACCCTCGTCAACACTCTGTTCAACACCTCCCTGTACCCCCTAAGGAGCGCACCGGCCCCAACGCCGACATTATCCCCAAGACCGTCTCCATCCAGTCGACTAGCGCCGACATCGAGGAGAACGGAGTCCGCCTCCGCCTGAGTGTTATTGACACTCCGGGCTTCGGTGACTTCGTTAACAACGATGACTCCTGGCGACCTATTGTCGAGAACATCGAGCAGCGCTTCGACACCTACCTCGAGGCCGAGAACAAGGTCAACCGCAGCAACATTGTCGACAACCGCATCCACGCCTGCGTTTACTTTATTCAGCCCACCGGTCACTCTCTGAAGCCTCTGGACATCGAGGTGATGCGCCGCCTGCACACCAAGGTCAACCTGATCCCCGTTATCGCCAAGGCCGATACTCTGACCGACGAGGAGATTGGCAACTTCAAGCAGCGCGTATGTTCTTTGGACCTACAATTTTCGCACCCGCAAATACATTTTGAAGCTAACCTAATTTTCTTTCTAGATCCTTGCCGATATCCAGCACCACTCGATCCAGATCTTCGAGGGTCCCCGCTACGAGCTCGACGACGAGGAGACCATTGCTGAGAACCAGGAGATCATGTCCAAGGTTCCCTTCGCCGTTGTCGGTGCCAACTCCGAGGTTACTGCTGCCGACGGCCGCAAGGTCCGTGGCCGTAGCTACCCCTGGGGTACCATCGAGGTCGACAATGAGGAGCACTGCGACTTTGTCAAGCTGCGCCAGATGCTGATCCGCACCCACATGGAGGAGCTCAAGGAGCACACCAATAACTTCCTGTACGAGAACTACCGCTCCGACAAGCTCACCCAGATGGGTGTCGCCCAGGACCCGAGCGTCTTCAAGGAGGTCAACCCGGCCGTCAAGCAGGAGGAGGAGCGTGCTCTGCACGAGCAGAAGCTGTCCAAGATGGAGGCCGAAATGAAGATGGTCTTCCAGCAAAAGGTATCCGAGAAGGAAAGCAAGCTCAAACAGAGCGAAGACGAACTGCACGCCCGACACCGCGAGATGAAGGAACAGCTAGACCGGCAGCGCCAGGAACTAGAGGAAAAGAAATCCCGCCTCGAAAGCGGACGCCCTATCGAAGAAAAGGGCAAGCGCAAGGGTTTCTCCCTTCGCTAAGACAACATCCTCCCCTCGTTGCCGTTGACGGCTGAATCCGACGTTTTGAATCGAAACTCACATCCCACCCTCGTCTCTCACCTTTCCCAAATTTTTTCCTTTACCTTGTCACACCCACACTCCCTTATCACCATAACGCAGTTTGAACTTTTTTCTTCAAATTTGTTCTTCTCCCTTATTCCGCTGGATGGGCCCACGCATCGCAAAAAAGAAAGAATGGTTTTGATAATATGACCGCACTGGGTTTCTGGATATTCTCTGCTTCAAACCTGGGCTGAACTGAAGAACCGTTTTCAACCTTTTTTTACCCTTCTTGTGATGTACTTTTGCTACGCCATATCTTTGTCCTTGCCTCGATTATTCTGTGTGCCCTATTACCCTCCTTTTTTTTTCTTTTCAGTTAAATTTTTTTTGCTTGTTGGGGTCATTCGGATATTCTTGTCCGTTTGTTCCATGTCTTAGTCAATTGCAGCGCTTCGGCATTTCCTTAGTTTTTATGAGCTTTTCTTGGATGTATAGTCTTGTAGTATCATAGGGTGAAGGGGTTGCTGATGTAGAACAAGATTCCAGAACCATTAATGAGAAGTGCCCGGTTGACTTTCGTCCTGATTTGGGTAAAATCTTGATCGAAGTCTGGTCATAATAGACATCAGCAAAACCAAGATGAATATGTTCGACAATCTTTATTAGCTCATAACGGACTCCGAAATCCTGTCTTTTCACGAAGACCGCCCACACTACACAGCTACAGCCTTTTCCCGCCCACTGTCACCTGCCGTACGTATAGCCAATGAGAGGAGAGGTAGCTACCCCCCACCAATACACCAGTTTCAACTGAATGACGAGCAAACAGATTTTTGATTTGCTGAGCCATGATCTACCAGGTAAGTTTATGTATCCCCAAGTCCTTGAAGAGCACGGGGAAACTCATTGGGCGGGACCGTTGCATATACCCCAGGAAAGGAAAAGCGAGTAGTCTAAATACTTAATCATTGAGTCGAAAGAAGGCTATTCTATTTATCTCCACTCATCCGGTTTTTGTTGGACGATATAAAAGGAGTCAATACGCGAGCTGAGCCGTGATCTGCTTTTATCTCTGTTAAGGTTGATCGAATAGATACGCTTATTTTGTGCTTCTAGGGCAGAGGTGTCCTTTGTGGCTCAGTGATGGATGAGCCCATCTATTAGAGACGAATACGAGGGGACCTGTGCATGCAGCCAATAGGTGAAGTAGAGGTACTGTGATTTAGTGATTTGTGCTTATTTCTTATGGCAATAGCCAGGAATCTAAACTGAAATGCCTCCCAAGAGCATCAAGGGAGACCTGGTATAACCAATGGCCCTATCACAGACAGTGATGTCCGAGTTTGCATGGGCAAAGGCATCCTACCAAGACTTGAACTGATTGGTACTATACTATAACCAATAAGAGTGAACCTGGGACAACCCCACCGCTGTTCCAGTTTCAATTATTGATACGAGGAATACGAGACCCTCCGCTGAGCCGTGATCTTCTACCTACGAGGGGATCCGAGGGTAGCCAGTGGCGTCCAATAAGAGGATGGCTAGACGGTGCTCGTCAATGAATTTGTTTTAATCAACGCCTCCTGGTGGTGGATTAGGACTGAGCCATGATCCCAAGGGGATCCGATGAGAGGATGTTACTATCTTCCACCCTGCGTTACAGTTTCCATTTTGTCGCTAGAAGGTTTCCAGCTGGCTAATCCATGTTCTTCCTTCTAGGCACCCAATGACAGGAGGATAGTATTTTCCATTTAACATTTCAGTTTCTATTTTGTCGGCTCTTGCTGCGCAAGGTGATAGGCTGAGCCATGTTACCCCTTGGTGTATATGAAGGCATTGCCGAACAAGGCCAGTGCTTCGCCATCGATTGCCTGAAGACTGTATCATCCCGAGACAGCCAACTTGTACTGATCGTGGAAGTATTGGGTGAACTCCTGCCCTCAATCTTCATGCTGATTTGAGCCTCAAAGCTTCGACAGCACACTGAACCGCGGCTTGCGTCAGCACCATGCAAGTTCCTACTATTACCACAGCGCACTCGACTAGATCGAGATATCTGCATATACTTGAGGTTTGTATCAAATCAGAGCTGTTCAACTCGACCGGCCTCACTTTGAAGTTTGAATCTGATGGAAGCACGAGAACGACACGGGCATTTTGCAGAAACTGAGCCGTAATCTTTTGCAGGCATCCATTTGGCACAAGGAAAAGTTTGCTCTTATGCAAAGTGTGCTCAATTTGAATAGGACACTTGCATGTGGCCAAGGCTCCCACAGCATCAATAAGAGGTGTTTGAATTGGTAAACTACATTCATTGTTCCGCGTCAATTTGAGGAAGTACTCGTATGCATCTAAGACATGTGTTTCGAATCAAGAAAAAGCAGAGTGTGACCAGACGAGGCTCCCAAAGATGTAGGTGGCTTTCGCCTGGGTGAAGCGGCCAAAAATAGCATAGCCCAATGCACGCAAGCCAGAGGGTCAGTGCGCGGTGATCATGGCTGTGAAGTGCCCCTAAAGCACATCGAGCCAATCGTAAAGACTTCGCGTAGGCTACCTTGACTTTTTGGTTTCATTTTCTGGTTAACCCTTCCCCAGGCAGTCCATGATGAGGCGCCATCTGGGCCGTGATCTGCGACAGATCTATGCAATCGTTGGAAATCATATCGGGTAGACAGGCCTCCGTCGTCTGATTTCATGCCTGATTGAGTATACCCCAGATTTCGCGTCTAGAATGTGTTTACTGCTTTAACACTCGCAGAAATTTTGAAGCTCACTTGTACCAGGGCTTGTTCATTCATAGAGACAGCCTGACGCTGGCGGGAGCACAGTCACGATGCATGGCCAGTGGAGGCGCATCTGGCCAATTAGATTGACTTTGTGTTGTCAACCCCAATTATCGGGTTTCATGCTGCTGCTGACGAAAATAGGCAAGCTGAGCCGGAATGCCTGAAAAACAGGTGTCGCTAACAAAAGCGATAATTGTTTGTCTGTGCTCAACAGGCTGTGCTGACTTTACAGAAAATTCCAGATAATAGGATTCGCTTTCAAGATAGGATACTACTTTTACCTTAAGCGCTTATGTCAGCTGGCCAGCAATCTCATGATTTCTTATGAAGTCCAACTCGAGCTCAAGTATCCCACAGACAAGCGAAAATAAGTTCTCCAAAAATGGATATCCCCGAAATTAGGAAAAACCGCTTCATAAACTTTCACAATACTCCAAGTAAATTCATCGGGAAACGCGACCGTAGATTCTATAATCTATCCAGTTATACGACGCGTCTTTGAAGGTGTTGGGCATAGCATCACCACACAACATATGCCCCCCGGGCGAAGGGTCCTCAAGGTCGACAGCGCGAAGGATCTGCAAAGCACGGACCAGATAGAATTCCCCTGCCAAAACGAGCCAACCAGCAACACCGCGTACCTGAGACTAACCAACTTAGGAAATTTGCTCCACATAGTGCCCCATATATGTCACATGACTGAGGACAAAGGGCTGCTCGGCGGTTTTTGCTACGGAGCAAGAAGACGGATGATTCCATTCTGTATTTCTGAAATTCTACACAGGACTCAAAATCTATTTCTGACACATGGAGCTTAGACCAAAATGTATTCTTAAGCAGAGCAGATACTAATATCCTCAACTACTCGTCCTGAACCCAACAAAAATCCAGAAATGTTCATTCAATCTATTCATCATAACCATCTATCACGAGTCCAGCCAGTGTATATACGACCATAATAATTCTCAGTCAAATTTTTACAGCTTCGATGCCTCAACCCTCTTCCCACTCTCATCAAACTCAATCTTCTTCCCCGTAATAAGCGACTCCTGCAGCGCACAGCCGATCGTAACAGCACGCACCGCGGAATCAAGACGCAGCGGAGGAGGTGTGTTATCCAGACAAGAAGCAGTAAACTCATTCGCCTCGGTGATGAACGCCTCCCGGAACCTCCCGTAGTAATCAGAGGGAATCTCACGGCGGATACCGGTCGGCTCGTACAGGTTGACGAGATTCAGCTGGGGCTGCGTGTTGATCGCGACTTTGCCGTTTGTGCCGAAGATTTCGGTACAGTCTTCTTGTCCCGCGGCCATCATGCGGGAGCAGTAGAGTTGGGCGATTTTACCGCCCTACAACACAATTAGCATTGTAAATGACAGAAAGAGATAGGGTAACTTACGTAAAACTCAATAATACCCAGCGCATTATCCCGATCATTATGCTTGCGCAAATCAGGCTGCACGGCCGTAATTCCAATAGCAGTCACGCTCTTAACCTTGCTGTTCTCGCCGAAGAACCAAAGCGCCAAATCGATGTCGTGGATGGAGCAGTCTACGAAGATACCGCCGGAGAACTCGGCGTAGGCGACGAAGAAGCCGCTGGGATCGAGCTTGTCGCAGGTCTGACTGCGGAAGACGGAGGGCGTGCCGATGTCGCCGTTTGCCATGCGGCGGTGGGCGTCGCGGTAGGAGGCGTCGAAGCGGCGTGAGAAGCCGCAGATTACTTTTTGGTTGGGGAATTTCTTGATGGAGGTGTTGTAGGCGTCGACGACGGATTGGGACTGTAGAAAGATTAGTTAGTATCCTTTTTCTGTAAGGGTTGGGGTTGACGTAGGTAAGGCGGACTTACGATTTCAGGGCTGGTGCTGATCGGCTTCTCGCACAGGACGTGTAGACCGCGCTCGATGGCCTTGATGGCTTGTTCGGCATGAACGGTGGTAGCGCTGGCGACGACGACGGCCTGCAGGGTCTTCTCCTGCGCCAGCATCTGCTCGTAGTCTTTGTACGTGCGGACATTGACGAATTCCTTCTTCGCGGCGTCGAGCTCGGCCTGGACGGGGAGCAGACGGCAATCAACTCGGCGCGGGGGGTGAGGGTAGCGAAGTGGCGGGCATGGCGCATTCCTACGCATTGCATGTGGTAAGCATTTATCCGCGAAGCAAGAGTGTTTGCAATAAAGACCTACCCATGCGACCAATGCCGGCGACGGCGACCTGGAGCTTCTCGGACATGTCGGAGAGTGGTGGAGAGGAATTGGAGGATGAAGGTTGAGAGGTCTGAAGAGAATAACATGCTGGACAGGGGTGGTTATATAGCTGTGTTGTACAGCTTGACGGGCCCCTCCTCGGACCCGCTGCGATTGTTTGCGATCTACTGGCGGTACAAGAATTACTGAAAGAGGTAGAATCCCAGCGAGGGACCTTCGGCGACGATTGCCGCATGGCGACCGGCGGGTCTCCACTGCCTCCGCTTCCCCGCACTTGCTGCATCCACACTCCAGACTCTAAAATAGAGTGACTGGGCAGCAGTGGCGGACAGCGCATTGCTTGGGCGTAACTACAGCGATGCGGAGAAGATCTGTTTGGCGTACTTCCCAAGAATAAAAGTTGGTCGTGGTCATGAATTGCGCACAGTGGAGCTTCTCCACAACACTGGAAGGTAAGTAGTAGCTCGCGACAACCACCTCGAACACCCGAATCAAAAGAAAGGATAAAGTACAATATACACCATGGGGCCACAAGACCTTGACAGTATTACTCCGACCCATCATACCCATCCCAACCCCACGCCCTCTTTAACAATTCCTGCGTACTGAACGTAGGATACGCATGCTCATCCCCAAGCTTCGCCAAAACCCCAAGCAACGCCTCCTGCTCAATCCGCTCCGTAAACCGATCGCCACACATCCCAATCGCAACAGAAGCAGTCACCAGACCCGGCGGCGAATGCTGATTCGAAAGCGCCATCCCACAAAGCCTCAAGACAATCGACCTGACCTTCCGATCCACTGAGCGCATCGCCGTCCGCTGACTCGGCCCCAGCCGCGGCAACTTGGGATTATAAACGACCAGCAAAATGCGCGCCAGCTCGAGAAATTGCAACCCCGCCACGTGGCAGTTATTCAAATACCAGAGTTCGGGGAAGACCTCACCGCGTGACCGGTCCGGTTCACGCGTGTAGATGGGCTTGAAACTCGGCGGGCCGAGCTCGCTCCAGAGTGATTCGAAACTGACTAGTTCGTCGTACCGCGCGATGCGCATGTCGGTTGGCGGGACGGGGTGGAGGATGCCCATGGAGGAACCGAATTGGGGTTGGGTATGTGTGTCGGGGAGGTGTTCTTCTTCTGATCCGAAGCAGTATTGCAGGACGTCGGCGCAGTGGATGACGAGGCGGTCGGCCCAGACGTAGTCGTCTGCGGGCTCGAAGGAGCGGTAGGGCTCACAGGGGCCGAGGGGGAGGCGGAAGGTGCGTTGTTTGCTGAAGGCTGTGATGATTTCTTGGCGAAGGGCGATCCAGTAGGCGGCGTGTCGGAGGCCGAAGCCGGAGACGGCGGACATCGCTTGGGCGTCGAGGAATATTTGGATTCCGCGCAGTGCGCTTTCTGTGTCTTCGCCCATGGAGGGAACTGGACCAGGAGTTAGTTGGGTTGATGCGGTTGGCTGGAGATGGGCGGCGTACTATCTACTTCTTCGTAGAAACGGAGAATCACGGCGGCTGCGAGGAGGTTTTCATCTCGGGATTCGCTGGGATGGTCGGATAATGAGACAAAGTGTGCGATGCATTCATTGTGGTAGTGGATGGCGGTTTCGGGGGTGAGATTGGGAAGGACTTTGCCTCCGTAGTGGATTTGGTTCCCGTGATAGTATTTCTTGATTCGACTCAGGTGTCTGGCGGAGGCGGTATATATGGCATTGAGTAGCGGGGGGCATGTTCGAGCTCGTAAGGGTACAGTGCAAGCAAAATGTCTCTCTCCATCGCATATATCGAACTAGGAGAACATGTTAGTCAGCTTCAACAAGCCCTACTTCCGGAGCAATACCTACCCAAGGAGCAAGCTGCACTACAAAATACCGCATCAGACACGCCTCATGCTCATCCAAGCTGGGCAGTGTATTCTGAATAGAATGAATAAAATCCCTCTCCCCCGTCGAAGCATTGCTACTCGAGAAATTCGGCGACGCAGAAGAGATAGACGAATGCCTCCCCGGCGAGAGTTGCAGTGGGAACGGCGGGTGCGAGCAGGCGGCCAAAGCGTCATCGGGCCGAGGCGGCGACAAGAACTGCTCGGAGGAATGCGATCCCACGGCATCGCTTAGGATGGCATCAGGTCCAGGGAGCGGCGGATCTGACGCCTCACTCCGGCGTCTTTCCGCGAACCAGGAGAGGCCCTCGGTGAATCTCAGGTCGACCGAGTAATGTCGGGCTATGTCGGCCGTCTCGTCGACGTACTTGTAATCCACTGCGGCACGGATGAGCAACTACAATCGGTAATGCCAGAGACCGATATGATACAACGGGCCTGGGTTCGGGTTCGGAGTCGGATCTCATCTCACGTACCTTGGCCGATGGGGAGCCAGGGCTGATCGTCTGCGAAATCATACCGGGCACTGGCGCTGGAGCCATGACGAAAGCCCGAGGGGATTGCTTGCCAGACGCAGGAGGAGCCGGCCCGCTCGCAGCGTTGGCATTTGGGGCGTTGGCCGTCGCCTGGATGGTGTTAGTGAGCCACTAGATAGTACACTAGATTTGGCTTCTCACATTTCACATGTCGGGCTAGCACGGTGCGAGTATCGTATTAGTATAAAACAGCCTAGAGGAGTATCAACGGTGGATGAGCACTCACTGCGGCATTCCTGGCTGTTGACAATGGATGGTTAGTGATTGGTGCATTTCGCGCGAGTGGAGCACTCACCAAGGAACTGTCTTGTTCCGCCGCATATTCCAACGTGGGCAGACAATGCCAGGGTATCTGGAGTATAGTAAGAAAGTCGGCCGGTCTGGCAGGAGATGGTGTTATTAAAGGCAGGCGCGGCGAGAATTTGCCTTCTCCACATCCGCGTAGGGTAGGCTTGCAAGAGCGTGACACCCAAGAAGTGCCAACCCCGCACTCCGCCGCCTCTGGGGGTGGATCTCTCCCACTGCCACCATTGGTGTCGTCCCCCGGACTTGGCCCGAGTCGTCTCGCCAATACAGCGATCGCTTATCCTCAACCGGCATGATGTCGTTGGGGGCGGGATCTCATTTAAACGGACTACTGAGCATGGTGGTGGAGGCCGGCGAACAGAACTGGTCGGGTCCTGCCTGTTTCATTTTCATTGATCAAAATCAATTCGAGGCAGCATACACATATACGGTTCAAGCCACTGTCAACAATGAGTCTTTTGAGTCGACAATCCTCGCATTCCGATGAGGATCTCAAGGATGCGGTCGAGCATGTCGAGACATCACCCTTTGACGAACTCGACACTATCGAGACGACCCGGTGCAGCAAGTATGCCTGGCTTGTCTCACTCACTGCCGCTGTCGGCGGCTTCCTCTTCGGATATGACACAGGTATTATCTCGGCCATCCTGGTATATCTGGGAGATGATCTAGGAAAGACGCTGAATGGCAGCGAAAAGGAGCTCGTCACCTCCATCACCTCGGGCGGTGCCTTTATCGGCGCAGTGGTAGCTGGCCTATGTGCTGATCGCTACGGACGAAAGATGGGAATCTACACCGGATGCATTCTATTCATCGTTGGCGCCATCATCCAAGCAGCTTCATACTCCATCGCCCAGATGACAGTGGGCCGAGCCGTCGTGGGACTGGGCGTTGGGTCCGCCGCCATGATTGTTCCGGTACGCACTCATTCATTGATACCGACTACTCCCATGACACAGTAGACGTACTGACCTCGAAAGCTCTACATAGCCGAAGTAGCACCAGCCAAATACCGCGGCCGAATGATCAGTCTCGACAACCTCTCCATCACAACCGGACAGCTCGTCAGCTACGGCATCGGCGCCGCCTTCGCCAGCGTTTTCGAAGGATGGCGCTACATGGCCGGTATAGGGGTAGTCCCCGCCATAGTCCTCTGCTGCCTTCTACCCTTCTGCCCCGAGTCCCCGCGCCAACTAATCTACCACCACAAACGCGACGAAGCGGCCAAAGTAATCGCCAAGATCTTCCCTGACGGCACACAGCTCCAAGTCCAGCAGAAAGTGCAGCACATCTCGATCCACGTCGAGACGCACCGCAACGCAGACAAAACGCTCTGGTGGCAGATCAAGCAGCTCTATGTCGTGCCCTCGAATTTCCGCGTCATGTTCGCTGCTTGTGGTCTGATGGCTGTTTCGCAATTAGGTGGATTCAATTCCATTCTCTATTATTCAGGCACGATATTCGCGGCTGTTGGATTCGACAAGCCCATCGCCGTGGGGACGATCATCGCTGCCACAAATTGGGTCTTTACATGGATCAATTTACTCCTTGTTGACCGCGTCGGCCGACGACAGATCCTCATGAACTCATTATGGGTGATGGCCGCCGCAATGGCATGCGCGGCAATCTGCTTCCACTGGGTCCCCATAAGCCCGGAACTCGAAATCACCAGCACCCAAACCGGCTGGGCCGCAGACGTTGTCTTGGTGTGCATGGTAGTTTTCGTGGCATTCTACTCCATCGGCGCTGGAAACATCGCATGGATGTCATCAGAATTCTACCCCATCGAAGTCCGCGCCGTGGGAACCATGCTCCTAACCATGAGCTGCTGGGGGTCCAACGTCATCGTATCCTCGACCTTCCTAACTCAAATGGAAAATATCACGCCCTCGGGCGCATTCGGCTTCTACGCAGCCATCTCATTCTTCGGCTGGATTGGCATTTACTTCTGCTACCCAGAAGTCAAGGGGATGACGCTGGAGGATATCCGCGAGGTCTTTCAGCATGGCTTTGGAGTTAGCTTCGCGCGGGAAAAGCAGAAGGAACTAAAGCGCGTCGCGCAGAATCGGAACCCCCACACCGGCGAGGACAATTCCGAGCAAGCTTGAGCCTGGCGTGGGATGCGTTTGTGTGTGAGAGTGTGGGTGGGTGGACGCGGGAAGTAATATTGGATGTACTCTATGACGGCATGTTTTGCATTAGATTTAGATGATCATGATAGATAGCGAGATTCATAGAGGTCTTTTCTTGGAATTGAGGGGTTCGAGCTGGATTTGAGTGTAGATCCTTGAGCCTAGACGGGTAAATGTGGGGCTGCATGAACGAGGCAAGACTCGCCGGCGTTGCTGTTTTGGGTGGCGCGGGGTAGCTGGCTCGACAGCATTTCTCGAGTCGAGGTTAGCGGCGTGAACGAGCTAGGTGTTTTTGCTTGCGTTTTTACTGGTTTGAGTAGGAGTTTGCTGTTGTGCGAGTTCGCAATAAATGCCTGGTGTCTCTTCGACAGTTTACTGGCGTGGTCTATCCTCATCTACTACTACCGAGAATCATAAGGAGTCACGGGCTGAATGACTCTGCTACTACATGCAGACCTAGTCAATCACCGAAACAGATGGTCTAACGAGAGAAGAAATATTCTATTGAACTTAAGCCCACAAATACTCACCTGATCTCATAGCACAGGCGGAGATAAGATCCTTAACCCGCTTACCTTAACTCTTTTAACTCCGAGCCCCCGACACAGCAGTACTCAACTCCAGCACGAAAACAACCAATTCGTTCACAGACAACATCTCGTGTGTAACACAAAGTCACAACAATGCTCACAAAAACAACCCAAACAGCCCTCTCCTACTTGCAGGGCTTCACAACCCTCTCCGCAGACACGTTCCTCCGCTACCTATCCCCAACCGCCAGCCACAGATTCGCCCCGTCCTCCCTCTCCCCACCAAGCCCCATGAGCCCAGAGGCATTCGCAAACCATCTTGAAGGTCTCAGAGAGGTTCTATCGGGGTTTCCCGTCTCAGCGAAAGAGATCTTCGACCACGAGGAGAAGGGGCAGGTGACGATTTGGGCGACGAGCGAGGCGGAGTTCAGGCATGAGGTCAAGGATGGTGGGATTACGGAGGACGAGTGGGCTTATAAGGGAGAGTATATTTTCATTTTTACGATGGATGAAACGGGACAAAAAATTGTGGATATTGTTGAGTTTTTGGATAGTTTGGGGACTGAGAGGTTGAGGGGGTTGATGGCTAGGGCGAGGAAAAATTTGCAGGTTAAGAGGGATTAGGACTGTTGGCATTGAGCTTGAATATTGTGATTTTCAGGCGGGATATCAGTCACCCAAGGCTCATAAGGTGAAATAACAACACTTGATCTTTTGAACCGCTTCGAATCAAAGCTCTCAAGTGCGGAGCATGATCTCGGCAGAGCGGATAGTTGATCCAAGATGAACAAATGTTCCACGCTGGGGCAGCGAAATAATAGTCCCAAAGAGCCAACTAGAGCTCAAATGGAAGGAAAGTTCAGCTCCTGCCCGAAAATGACGATTTCGCAACTGCATCGGTGCGCAAGTTCAGTGATGAGCCATGCGTGGATCCGGAAAAAATGCTTAGCTTTGAGCTACAACTGTCGAGATGAAGATCTTCACTCGGCTGTTGAAAAATCTAATCAGATGGGAACCCTGGAGAAGGGTATAACCGTGAGCTTCAAATCAACTGGCAGTCATGCCACACCAGCTGAGCAAATCGAATATTAACCAAATATCCTTGGCTCTATGCTTAACAATCCTCTCTACTTTCGTAGGAGTCAGAAAACAAAGCCAACTTCAAAGAGAGGCATAGGAGCGCTTCGTCATGCAGACTCTCTAGTTACCCCTCTGAATATTTGCCGACACACGGCAGGTATAGTCGCTGCAACGGCAATGGTCAGGAAAGGATCTCTTCGATCAGCACCGATCCGCAAACCCTTCTACTTGATTCTTGCTAGCATTATGCAGAACGGGACGATTCAACCAGGCTTATCGAGTCGCTTACTGCGCTTAAGTAGACCGGGAGAATTCTTTCGCCTCGCACGGGTGACATCGGCATCCTGATCTCTCCCGCGTGATCAGATTGGGGGCCCTGAAGATCTCAATCAGATAACGCAGGCCAGGGTTAAGGGCGAGCTAGTTTCACCGATCGCTGCCCGTTTCAAGTACAACCCACGCGATCCTTTCCTGGTCTGCGTTAATTACCGAGCTACCCTCGAGCCCTTCTTGACCGGCTAAGCGAATAAGACACGGATCTTGGCCGGTTGGGAAGCCGGTGGAGCATCGGCTGGCTTTCTCGGCGTCAAAAGGCACGCCGCACATGGTTGCGCCCCGTCCTGCTAATCTGATTTGATGTGGAGGATGCCAACGGCCGTCTGAGATAAGCACCTTTCGCTTCATCAGGAAGGCTGGGCTATCGATCCTGCCCGTCTCTCGTGGCTGAAGCAAGCTCCAACTTCCGACACAGCCAAGCACGACCCACCGTGGCATTGTTTCGCACTGCTTATGTGAAGATCGCTAATCGTGCTGTCAGACGTCTCAGACTCTTCCTAGGCCGGACCAGGAAAATTATGCGCTAGGCTAAGAGCAAGATATTACAAAATCATCACTCCGAAATGCCGAATGGAGATCGAGGTCCGGCCCTGGCACCCCGAGGAACAGACCACCGGACATGGAGAATAATGGGGAAAACGGAAAATTCTGGAAATGAGCTGTCTTGAAAAAGATTCGAGGCCCCCCGACCTGCAGGGGGGTTTCCTGTCGATCTCGCCTTTCATTTTCTACTATACTTCAAAATGCGGTTTCTGCAAGCCGGCTGCAAGGCAGCCCTAGTCGCCGCCATTGGAAGCTTGGCATCAGCCTCCAGCTTCAAGAATGAATACTACGACTATATCGTTGTTGGCGGTGGTCCGGCTGGTATCATCACTGCTGAGCGCTTCGTCGAGGCTGGCAAGAAGGTCCTACTGCTTGAGCGAGGCGTTGGCCCTACCGTCGCTACCGGCGCCAACGAAACTCTTCCCTGGAACAAGGACCTGACTGCCATCGACCTGCCCGGTCTCTCTGCCGATGTCGGTAGCCTCGATGTCTGGAACGATTATATGTGCACTGACACCGAGGGCATGGCTGCCTGCGTCCTTGGCGGCGGTGTCACCGTCAACTACATGGTCTTCGTCTACCCTCCCGCGCACGACTTCGACGACAACAACAACTGGCCCGAAGGATGGAAGTGGAAGGATCTCAAGCCCGCCGCCGAGCGTCTGTACCAGCGCAACCCCGGCACCACCCTGCCCTCCGCCGACGGTAAGCACTACGACCAGGGTCTCTACTCCGTGCTCTCCAAGTTCTTCAACAGCGTCGGTTGGAAGTCTGTGGATATGATCTCGCAGCCCGACGAGAAGCACCAGGTCTACAGCTACCCGTCCTGGAACATCAAGGACCAGAAGCGCGCCGGTCCCGTCCGCACCTACCTCCCCCTGGCTGAGAAGCACTCCAACTTCGACCTCTCCCTCTCCTCCAAGGTCCTCCGCGTCGTCCGCTCCGGCAGCAAGGTCACCGGCGTTGAGATCGAGACTGCCTCAAAAAAGACCAAGATCATCTCCCTTGCCCACAACGGCCGCGTCGTCCTCGCCGCCGGCGCCCTCTCCACCCCCCGTCTCCTCTTCAACTCGGGCATTGGCCCCAAGAAGCAGATCGAGACAGCCAAGAAGAGCGGCATCAACGTCCCCGCCGAGAAGGAATGGCTCGACCTGCCCGTCGGCCTCGGCTTCCGTGACCACCCTATCTTCACCCTGAACGTCCAGACCAACGGCTCCTTCGGCATCCCCGACTACGACGCCATCTTGAACGGCACCGACCGCAAGGACATCAGCCTCTACGGAAAGGACAGCGGTCTCCTGACTCAAGGCAAGCACCGCATGATCTTCTTCTCCTCTAACGAAGTCAACGGTCAAACCCGCTACTACCAGGGCTCCTGCGCTCCGGACGCCGACTCCGTCCTCGAGATCAAGGCGTACCTGACACACGGCGCTACCTCTTCCGGTGTCCTGGTCCTGACCTCTGAGCAGAAGACCGTCATCGAGAAGTCTCCTTACATGCAGACAGCTGGTGACCGCAAGGCTGCCGCTGCCTTCATCCAGAGCCTGATCAAGGATATCTCAGACCCCGGCTCCGGTCTGGAGCTGACTACCAAGCCTAACATCACCGCTATTCTGTCAACCATCTCTTCCGGCAACCACTACACCACTACCGCTAAGATGGGTACCGATGATGGTCGCAAGGGCGGTAGCTCTGTTGTTGACACCAACACCAAGGTCTACGGAATGGACAACCTGGTAAATTATATCTCAATTTTGCAATTATTTCGACCAAGACTAACATACTTTCTACCACAGTTCGTCGTCGACGGCAGTATCCACCCCGACCTCCCAACCGGCAACATCCAGACCACCATCATGGTTATTGCCGAGGCTGCCGCTGAGCGGATTCTTGCCCAGCACTAGATGTTGACGGAGCTGGTTGCAAAAACAACATAGATTCATTTTTTGTATTTATAGCAACGTTCAAGATTTTACAGGTAAAATCAAATACATTAGTGCTCTCTAGACTTTTCCAAAAAAACTTGACCTGTCCGATGATGCGAAAGCCTCACATATGCCTGATAGCACTATAAAGAACAGCCTCCTCCCCAGGGCCAACTTTCGAAGTCCAAGCTCCACCGACAGGACCAGGTGCCGGCTCATTTCCAGAAAATGCCGCAACAGTGTGAGTCGGCGATGTCACAACATTACGAACGGCCAGGAACAAAGTAGACGTAGTCGTCATGCTAAGGGAAGTAGTAACAGTAGCAACCGGCGCGACCAGTGTATTCCGCGGAACACCAAGACAAGCACAAGCAGAAGCATAAATCTCAGCCACATTGCATCCCTGACCCAGATAGCCCGGTAAAATCGACGGAAGTGAAGTCATTGCCAGCTGGGCTATGGCCAGTGTAGGATTTGCAGTTGCCGCTGCGGTTATCAAAGCTCTGGGTGTGGGTCTGGCTGTGGAGTGTGCCGGTGGAGTACCGCTCATGGTTACGGTGATGGTTTTCACTCCCAGGATTGCGGTGACCGTTCTGGATTCATTTTTTAGGGATTTATGTTGAAAAGGTATGAGATGATAGACTAACTTTGTAGCAGGCGTCACGACGACATTCTGGTAACTTGAGCAGTCTGCTAGCCGGCCTGGGACAAGGCTGTTTTGTCCGAGGAGAACTTGGATCATGCAGGATTGTGTGTCGCCGCCGCAGGGCACGTAGGGGTGTTCTGTTTGTCCTTGAACGAGGATGGGACTCGCGAGGAGAAGGGGGATGGTTGAAGATAGCGAAAACATTTTTGGATTAATGGTGAAGTTTTAGTTCTTAGTGATAGAATTTAGATCATTAAGAAGTGGATTTTAATAAGTTGAAAGAATAGCAAGAGCCACAATTTATACATTTGTAAGTCCTCAGATGCCGCTTCTAGCCTTCTACTATATTTGAATCCGAACCGGCGGTCTCAATTCAGCTCTGCTTTACCTATTGCATTATCGACTTGACCCGGAAGTACTGGAGAGCTTTTGAGCGGGTACCCGATCTTGTATGGGTACACTGTGACACTGTCTCGGAATTTCCGATTCCTATTCAGGTGTCTTCAATTTTGTATAAACGAATTCTGGGAGCCATTTGTCTTCGACGGCATAGTGACCAATTCTTGAAGACATTTGGATTGGTAATAAGTCTCTAGTGTAGTCTTGAATGGATGCTGTTCCTATACTTGAATGGTACTGCCTTGTTATCTAGCTGCATGTATGCCACCTGGGCTTCGGACTGTTTGTCTCTCTAGTTTACGAGGAAGATTGGAATCAAGTATTTGCCGGGTGGTGGGTACAAATCGATGTTGTGAGTTGAATGAATATCTGAAGCTCTTGGTTAATTCTCTAACTTATGCTGCTTCATTCTAATCAGAATTATCCTGCAGTCGCGAAACGTTGGATAGCTCATGAAGTTGACGGGACGAGGTTGGCGGCTTCACTGCCTTGGCGCCAATTAACCAGCCGGACGTACAGCAGCATCTTCTCTACCTTCACCGGGAGCTTGAACAACAAAACAAGCATTAGTTATTGTCCCACAACGCGGAGAGAAGTTTCTAATATTTGGCTTACCTGAGGCGGATCCTTCACCGTCGCCAGCTCCTTTAATTACTCCATACTGGCTTGAGTTAAAGTTAGTCTACTGCCCAGACTGGGCTCGAGTGTATTGGGGGTTCGGAACTTACCAGCGCGCGCCTGAGTCGGGAAATGACAACGGCTAATTTTCATAGCCTTCCACAATGCCAGGTGATGTTCTTCCTATGTTAGGGTGACCTACCAAAATTTGGCTTATGATTGCCATTCTTGCACATATGGGTGCTCTTGCGTGAAAGAGGATGGAGGTGAGTAAATAGGCGAGCGAGAGCACACGATATGGGGGTAGATGGAAGGAAGAAGGATGGAGGGTGGTGATAGAGGGTAAGTGAGAGTATAAGAAAGTGAGAGTATAAGAAAGTGAGAGTATAAGAAAGTGAGAGTATAAGAAAGTGAGAGTATAAGAAAGTGAGAGTATAAGAAAGTGAGAGTATAAGAAAGTGAGAGTATAAGAAAGTGAGAGTATAAGAAAGTGAGAGTATAAGAAAGTGAGAGTATAAGAAAGTGAGAGTATAAGAAAGTGAGAGTACGTAACAGGAAGATGGATGGAAGGAATGAAGGAAGGAAGGAAGGAAGGAAGGAAGGAAGGAAGGAAAGAGAGGAGCGAGGGTGGGAAATAATAGAGGAGGGGTGGATGTAATAGTAAAGAGAGAATTGTGACAAAGAGAAGGGTGGAAATAGAAATAAGACGTGAGAGAGATGGAAAGAGTTGTAGGGGAAATAAGATCACCAACCCAAGTATCGCAAGTGCTGGGATGCCCAGATATTGAGCTACCTGTAATAAGCGGACTGAGTCTTCATGATCATAAAGATGTAGCGGTTTAAGTTGAGATAGGTTGTTTCCAAAAACTGAAATTATGAGGGTGGGGGGAAGAGCAGCTGTGAAAAGAAAGGTGACAGGCCATGGAAAAGAGGATGGAAGAACAAGCTGGCAATAAAAAAGTGCAGTCTCGAAAGTTCACTCGTCTGAAAGCGTAAGTCCAAGCATTGGCTTGGAACTAATCAGGTGGCCATGTTGATAGACAGACCTTCCAATACTTAAGCCACCTTCGATAGGACCAATTTACTTCAGTCCAGTCTACCAGTGGTCAGTATATGCTGTCTGCCCACGCATTTTACGAAACTTGTCCTGCTACAAATTAGTCGATCTAGATGTGGCCCATTTTTGTACACTTGCCTCAAACAAGGAAGCACTGAATCGAAAAAGGCCGTGGTATTACATTTTGAAGATGACATAACGAATCCCTTGGTGATCATCCGCAAATGGCCTATCAGCTATGGTACATCTCGACTCCGTTGGCTCAAAGCAAATAAAAAATAAAACATGAGAACCATTGTTAATCACCAGGTCATCCGAGATGCTATTTGGGGCTTACTATTCTTCGGCACAGCATCCGGGGAAAAAAAAGTTCGTAACCCTCGCCACAATCTTCAGCTTGCCTGTGTAGAATGTTCAGATGGAGCATTTCCCGATTGGCCTTCAAGCTTGCACTCGAAATATCATCCGAGACACTTCTACCAGGCATCGGAATCAAAGTTCTCCTCCCCGAAATAAGAAGCAACGACGGTACGGTTGTCAAACTGACGGCCGGCAAGAGCCTTGAGAGCCTGGGTAGCGCCCTCCACGTTTTCGAACTTGACATAGATCTTACCGATGCCAGGAGCGCGGCAGCTTGCATCATTGGCGTCCTTGGGGCGGGGAATCTTCATCTTGACGACCTTTCCGAGCTTGTTGCATTCCTCTTCAACCGATTCCCAGATATCCTCGTACTCCTCTTCGTCAAGCAAATCATCCACGGTAACCATGTTCAGGAGCTGCAGGACACGACTGGTAATCATGTCCTGGGAGGTAGTCTGGGCGAACATCGACATGGCGTTGACACTCATGTCGAGACCAGGGGCTTGTCTGGCTCCAGTGCAAGCCATGGTGACCTTCAGGGGGCGCTCGCCTAGCTCCATGCCATTGATACCCTCCAGGGCAACCTCATTGGCTTCCGGCTTGACATACTCGCAGAAAGCGAAACCCTATTAATATGTTAATGGTAATCCTTTGCTGAGAATTGGGGATTTGAACACTTACTCGTGATTCGTCGGTAGAAGCATCCTTGACGAGCACGAATGACTTGAGTTCGCCGAACGACTTCACAAGCATGATCACTGCCTCCTCCGGGATGAAGGGCGGGATGTTGCTGACACAAATCTTGTTGGGTGAATCCGGCACCTCCTTCAGAAGCACGCCTTCCTGGTACTCCTGGTTGCTATCAGGTACAATGTAATCCTTGGGTCGGTGAATTTCAAGTCCCTTCTCTCCGTTGTCAGTCATGGAAATCCCATCCAGGGTGAAAGCAACGGTGGCGTCATTAGCGGTTTTAAACTCGAGAGAAGCAAACTTCTTATCATCCGACACATGAGCTGTGGCACAGGGGTCCACACTATGGACGACGTTGAGCCCATTGAGTTGCAGATTGAAGAAGGACGAGATCGCATCACCAGAGATACCCTCGGGAATGTTGTACACAAAGAGACGCTTGGCCTGTCTGGAGTTGGAAATCTTGAGAGCCGTGATCTCTGTGGATCCACCTGCGGGTTGGTTCATGAAAGCCTGGAGACGACTGGGGTCCGCCTGCTGTCGGGGTGCTCCGGGAAGCGGGAACATGCCAGAAAGCTTTGCCTGTTCAGCAGGGACATTTTCGTAACCAGGGGGCTTGATGTCCCATTGGGTCATGCGACGTCGGCGCTCGAGGACGGAAGGGACATCGGTCAGATCGGGAGTAGGCTCTTTGCGCCCGCGGGGCGGCGACGCACTGCCGCGGCGGCCCTGATCTCTTCTATCACCACCTCGGTAGTTTCCGCGGTCACCACGGTCGCGGTCACCGCGATCATAGCGGTCCCGGTCACCTCCACGGCGGGATCGGTCGTCAAACAAGTCACGTCGGGGTCTGTCATCGTCACGTCGTCGGCGGTCACCACGATCTCCACCACGCTCGCCGCGGTTGCCACGGTCTCGATCCCATTCGCGATCATCCCTTCTGCTAGAGTAACGGTCCTCGCGCTCACGGGCGCGGTAGTCGCGGCTGGACGAGTAGGAGTTCGATTCTTGTTCGCGGCGCGAGCCTCGAGAGCCGTAGTGAGGCGAACGCGAGCGCCGGCGCTCTCCTCTCTCGTGTCTGTCGCCCCTCTCGGGCCGATCGCCTCGGTCTCGATCACGTCGTTCGTCGCGCTGAATCAGGTTAGTATGGGTTTCCTTGAAGTTTTGGGTCCTGCGAGCAACACTCACGTAGTCGCGCGGGCGTCCGGAGTCTGTAAAGAAGGAAAATGTTAGGTCAATTCGTAAAGCACGACAGGCAGGAGGCCACTCACCCCGGGAAGAATACGTATCGCCGTTCATCCTGGGCTTTTGCAAGATGGTCATGCGGGAACAAAACGTAGGATAGTCGATGAAGTTGACCGGGCGAGGTTGGCGGTTCTCGGCCAGGGCGGTGGCAGCTTCACCGCCTTGGCGCCAGTTAAGGAGCCGCACGTATAACAGTATCAGGTCGACCTCCCGCTGAGGGAGAGGATCGAGCTTGAATAACAAACACCATTAGATATTGCCCCACGACGCCGAGCGAGGTTTCTCCTATGTTGACTTACTTGGGGAGGATTCTCTACCGTCGCCAGCTGTCTTAATTTCTCCATACTGCCTTAAGTTAAACGTTATTCTACTGCTCTGGGTGGATTTGAGTGCATTGGGGATTGGGAACTTACCAGCGCACGCGTGGATCAGGGTGTTGACAGGACGAAGTTCCAGGATGGGTTTCAGCAATACTTTGTGCGAGTGGCGGCGGTTGCCTATGAGCCTAAGCGAATTGTGCCTGGCAACGACGCTGCGATGTGGGCAGTCATTCAGGTTCGCACCTACCCTTTTGGAAGGAGCGCCCAGTTGAGGAAGGTACGACTGGGCGCACCTTCCCCGAACCTGTACAACTGGAAGCTGACCATTGGCAGATGGCAGAGCGTTCCCGAAAGCGAGGAATGGCGCTGCGTCCTGTATGGCCGCCTTCTCTGTCTAAAGCAGGACTCGGAATATCTCTATTATCGCACCTGCTCTTCCCCCTCTCCTTCAACTCCTCCTTTATCTGACCTTCCTTCGCAAGAACAAGTGGACACGGGAGGCAAAAAAAGCATTGCAAATTCCGGGAAGAGTCAGGATGATCAAATCCTGTCTATCATCAAGCACTACTTGAATCTTTCTTCCAACCTCAGTGAACTTTACGCCCGATGGTCTGCTCAAGATCCCAACTTCAAGAAAAAAGGTGCTCAATTTTCTGGCATTCGGATCCTGCGCCAGGACCCATGGGAGGCTCTCATCTCGTTTATTTGCAGCAGCAACAACAACATCTCGCGCATTTCGCAGATGGTGGAGAAACTGTGTATCCACTATGGACTATTTGTTGCAAAGATCGATGACCGTTCGTACCATGACTTTCCCACGCCCGAAGCACTGGCCGGCAAGGATGTGGAAAGCAACCTCCGCAGCCTGGGGTTTGGCTACCGAGCCAAGTACATCTACCGAACGGCAGTCATGGTATCCCAAGAGCGGGAAAAAGGCTGGCTGAATAGCATCTGCAATCCCGAGTCACCAGCCTTTGGCATCGGAGCGAAACCCGGCGGCGCAATGGCGCCCGAAGGCCGCCAGGGCTACCGCGAGGCTCATGAAAAACTGCTTGAACTGCAAGGCGTTGGTCCCAAGGTCTCGGACTGCGTATGTCTGATGGGTCTGGGATGGGGTGAATCTGTTCCTGTGGATACCCATGGTGAGTACTCGAGAGAATTGCAACCTAGGAACCCATCTAACCTGAGGCAGTTTGGCAAATCGCGCAACGAGACTATCGCTTTGGCAAAAGCTCACAGAAAACCCTGAACAAGACAACCTATGATGCCGTGGCCAACCATTTCCGCAAGCTATGGGGTCAAGAAGCTGGGTGGGCCCATAGCGTCCTCTTTACCGCCGACCTTCGCTCCTTTGCCGACCGACTCGCTTCTACCAAGAAGGTGGATATCGCCGTAAAAGAGGAAGGAGCCGAGGTGGAAATAAAGACCGAGGTCATGACCGCTGTTGCTCTAACGGCGCCGCAGGAAATCGCGGACGTGAAAATTGAAGTCTCGGAGAGGAAACTCGTCACAAAGTCGCCCAAAGGAAAGAAGCGGAAGCAGTCAGCGGACGGGATCATCCATGCCTCGAAGTCGACAGAGACCAGGAGGATGTCGAAGAGACTCCGATCCGACGCCAAATGAGAACATAATAGACCATTTACTTTTGCACGGTCGACGCCATCCCCGAGCAAACTGCAGTCGCCGAATGAAGGGCCCCTGCAGCTTTTCCTCGGTCCAGAAAGTCGACCTATACGTTATAAAAGCTTCTACTCGGCCCGAGCCGCGTGTGCTTAAACATACCTCGGCGCTTGAATTAATATATACGAGAACACTTTACCTTGCGAGTATCCGCCGAATTTGCCCCGAATTCAAGCACAACGATCGTATCAGCCGGTTTACCACAGTCGAGTATGAGGATGGACACAATACCGCACAGGCCACTGGTGGATCATGTCGCTTGGATACAACTGCAAGGTTGTCCACATGGTCCATTGCCGTACCGCGCTAATTTTGTACGGATATCGCAGCAAAAATTCGCACCCTGTACAATAGTCTCTTCATCTGAATGCACATATGCTGGTTCTCGGCGCGCGATGATCTCGAATAGATTCTAGATTATTCAAGTTATCATAAAACGTTATTCCTGCATTCCCGACGAACGTTAAGGGCATTTAAAGTTCCACGAGCTCTCCCATATACTTAAATCGGACATCGGGTCCCTCGAGAGCTTCTGGATAGGCTGACTTATTTCAGAGTCGTTTATATGAGAATGCTCAATCAACTCAATACCTGTGTATCTAGCCTCCTTTTCAATCCGCTTCGTACGATTTTCAGACGAGATGATCGAATTCCATTTGTCTTTGTTCTCCATCCGCTCAAAAGCGGCCCTTACATCAACGAATTCCAGAACTGCATCGCAATTGGACTTCAATGTCCAAAACGACATCACATGAGTATGCGAAGGAGACGGCTCTGGAATATGTATTTTGCAATTTATTTGATCTTCCAATCAATAACCAATACCCCAGTAGCCAGTTCGATCTCCTATGTGGTCAAATTAAAGTACTGGAAGGCTTCATTCCTAAGTTTGGCGAGGGAAGGTGGGTCGGAGATAAAGACCATGCATTTTGCTACATACTAGGGAAAGGCAAACGTCAAGCCAGGTATCAGTTACATGACTATAGGACATGGAGAAAGAATTTAGCTACCGATACTGATAGGCACTGGGCTTCAGTAAGAATGACATGATGATGGAAGGGTGGGAGGCACAGATGACCGTGCCTCGGGTTGGTTTATGTAGTTGACGAGCCACTCGCACCGGTGAATGCAGTCCGTTAGCGGAGGAATTCTTCGATCTTCATGCGCAGATCTTCATGCGCTACCGTCAACGGTGTTTTTCCTTTGTTCTTTTTGACCTTGACATTGGATCCTCTTTTAAACAGCAGGTTGATAAAGTCATCACCATCAACTTTCATGCTCCATGTGTTCAAATGGGGGTTTCGTTCGTTGTTCCGAGTATCAACGTTGGTTCCTTGTTCAGCAGTTGTCAGTTGTCATGTAAAAACTTGAACGCTCGAATCATGTCAGCAGTCTCTCTTGTATCATGTGAGGAGAGTTGTGGCGTCATTTTGCATTGACCCCCAAGAGCGTTCACGTCAGCACCTTGATCGACCAGGATTCGAACAACTTCAGCATGTCCGCGGATTGACGATGCTTGAAGGGGGGTTTCAAATTGGCCACCTTCAGTGTCAATATTCACTTTCCTGACAAGTGACCGAACAGCACACTCATGCCTACGGAGAGAGGCCGCTTGCAAGGCAGTGCAGTAATCTGGATGCTCAATTGTAGGAACTGCTCCGTTTTTGAAAAGCATTTCGACAATCTTGTCATGGCCCTCGACTGATGCCAGGACTAAGGGCGATCCTCCATTTATGTCCTTTCTGTTGACACTGGCTCCTCTTGCCAGCAGGAGTTCAGCAATGCCTGTGTAACCGAATTGACAGGCAATGTGTAAGCCTGTGGCTTTCCTTGCATTCTGACGGCGAAGGATATTTATTGCCACGCAGGATATCAACATTATTGGCAAGACCAAAGGCACATGCCACGAGAAATGCAGTCACAGGCGCATCAAATAACGTAATTGAAATCTTCTTTTTCAGCGGATCATTTCATGCCAGCCCCACCGAGACAAATTCTATCCGAAGAAGCCAGCTAACAAACTATTATGGTGCCGCGTCAATCGCAGATCACTGTGTCAAGATCAACCCGATATTCATTTGTTGAATTTTATCTCTGTAGGAGTTCTCGATATGAACTGCCCATAAGGGAGTCACATAATGACACAAGCTTGCGTTCTGCCCTTTTTCCCTTGATGAGATCCATTCTCGAGCCAAAAGAGTGTCGATGCATATTTCAGCGACCATGAGATGGTTTAAAGTCGGTGCAAATTCAGGCCTGGTCTGGAGGAACTCTCACACAGACGAATGAAAGAACCGGAAGACATCTAGCTCTTTGTCGGCAATCCACATGTTTCCGCAAATGTCAAAGAATGCTGAACTTTGAGATCGGACTCTCCGTCTTTCCTCCAGTGTCACTGCAGTAGACTGCGCGATGCAGTCGTCTGTTGAAAGAGCCTTCTGGGCACACAAGAGCCATCGTAATGCGTCCTGCAACTTTGCGAGAAAATCGACCGGCTCGGTCGCCCACTGCTTTGTTGAATAATTGCGTATGTACATCGCAAAGTCCTTGAGGCAGTCGTCCAAGCTCCTCGAGGATATCCCCTTCCATTTTGAACTTTTCTGGGTCGCACAGATTCTGTATTTGTAGGCTCACCCATAGGAACCTAGAACAAGTTAGGTTTCTAAAGACCTAGGTCGTGTTATGCATGGTTGTACTCACACTCCTTGGGCACGGTTCTTCAATGTAGAGATTATTTTTTCTTCGAAATGGTTCGGGACTTGGCCCTCGAGCAACCTCTCTTCTTGGAATGCCTTTTTTACTTCCAGATCAATATAATGATCAATGTACTGGGTAGTCTGACTCGCATCGATTGTAAGTCGATGGCGTCTCTAGTCGAGCTGGGAGGCGTGGATCTCGACTCGATACCAGTATTTTGACCAAAAAGTTCTGTGCTTGTGGAAGTTGTGCGATGATGGATATCAGCTCGAATCTTCTTTTGGAATTGCACCCGTCGAGAGTATCTATGACAATCGTAGTCGGAGTATTAACTAGGAGTCTCAGGATCAAATCCTTCACTTCTTCCAGCGTGAGCTGGCTCATATCAAAGCCATGTTCTTGAAGCTCTTGATATTTCTTCAAGGTAGGTTCTCTGAGGTTGCAGTGGTGAGTTGTTGAAGAATGCTCCGTAAAATGCTGTCCGGATCTGCTCTTTGAGATGGATGACATATTAGACGTCCTCATGGGCCAGGTAGCTAGGAAGTGGTGATGATGTTCAAGGTAGATGACTTACACCAGCTTTCTTCTCCCCGAACCGGCTTCAAGAATATCAGATCTGGATAGTAAATAGGCCCAATGATATCGGGAAGCGGGCGAATTCACGCATTCCATGAAGCCAAAGAAGAGATGAAGACAGGCACTTGCCAGTCCATATACTCCGATTGATCGAATAATCATAATCCCGAACCTTCAAGACCCACTCCTGACAGTATCATGGTGTTATGTATATTGCATATTCGAGATCCATTTGACCGCTCAAGACGATTGACGATGCCCTCCAGCTAGTCATTGACAATTTGCATCGGTGATTCAAGCTGATCAAGAGCTTTCCGCATGCCTGCGAGCTCCGTGTCGATCGATCTCGCGATTTCGACCACAGCAACTTGGTCATTTTGGATAACCCAATATGAAAGGTACTCTCCACCACTCTGATCCCTGTCTTCTCAGCGTAGAATTATTTCACTTTAGCGAGAAATGACAATATAGAGCGTAGAGTCTCTCGAACATGGTGTACTTGCTTACATTTTGACGATCATCTCGATTCCATCATAGACAATGCCGGGTTTCTCCGTATCAGCCACAGCTGCCTGGTTAGTTTGATTAATGTATTGTCTCGACAGGTCTATAGGTGTCTCACCTGTAAGAAGGACTTAAACACGGCCCAAGGCACTCCCCCATGTAGCGGATCAATTTGGGTCAACTATCACCGATATCCCTCAGCTTATGCAAGCGCGAAGCAGTTTTGTCGAAGATGTCGCGGAATACCACGGTCGTCCCATGGCTCCTTGTGTACGTCTACCGTTTGTCTTTCTTTTTTTTTTTTTTACCTATTCGTTCGCAGCGGCCAACACCTCGGCCAGGACATGTAATTTGTCATCTTTCTTCCATCGTATTTCTTCTGCGGCCTCGGGACGGAGGAGCTGAATTGCTTCATCTCAGGCTGAACCATACGCGGGGTTGGAGGCCAGGACAGTGCTCGCAGGCGTCGCCATGGCATCAAGCTCCCCAGGTCGTTCACGGAGACGTATAGGCGATTCGAAATCAAGCGCTTTGGATGTGGCAAGGGCAAGAGCTAAGCTGTCACTGAAATTGTACACTGTCGGGCGCAAACGTGGCCTGTTTACCGCGCCACTGCAGAGCCCGGGTGCGTTGATCTGCGTTAGTCGTGGCAGCAGCGCTCACTCTGCACCGTAATTACAGATGCGATCAGGGCATGCAGGTCTCGCGCCCATACAAAAATTATTCATGAAATACTGCACATTATAATACATCAAGGCATATTCTACTGGTAAGCGTGGCATCTCATACAATAATGTCAGCAAAACATTTGAACTATCCGATGTAATCCCGGCAACACGACAAAATATACATCCACTCGAACACTCAAAACTACATACCCCAACCCCGGTTGCTCCCGAATGAGATTTAAACCCCCCGAAGGGCATCGGGAGAGGGTAATGCAGAAATCATGCCCCAAACACAAGGGTACTCGAGTGTTGACGCAGCTGAGACACCCGTGCGCAATGGTGCAGGGCTTGATCGGCAAGAACTTATCAAAGGTGGACCCTCTTCTACATAGGAAGTTTGACTGGAGATAGTGGCTTTTCAAGAATATTTCATTTTCAACTAATGCTAATAGCGACGCTTCAAGAGCCGATGACTATAATACGTGACCTATTCGAATGCAGGACCGCTTCCCCAGGCTCGATCGTATCTCCCCTGAAAGAAGAGCCTGCATTCAAATAGATTAAGTATCATGGGTCTCAGTTCCGCGAAGATACTTTCATATTCGAATCGAGGTAGGCAGGTACTGTCCATGAGAGGCAAAGCCTAGAAAGCAGTCAGTAAGGAAGCTTTACAATATGCTTGAAGATCAAAGCGAGGCAATAAAAAGTGATCAGAAGTCCAGTTAGATCATCGAAGACGCATCCGGAGACACGCTTCTGACATAAGAGGTACCAGAAAAAGTAAAAAAAGTGAGTTATCATCATAAAAGGGGAGGAAGGGCAGCTGCGATAAAGGAAAAAAGCGACCAACTGACCTGTTAGTAGAGAGCGAAGATCGTTGTCAAGAAGTCGTTAATGCGAGGACAGAGACAAAAGCGCATTCAAGCAGGCCGATCATCGACCACACGACCGTCCAGAATGCATCAATTCCAAAGCATGGTCGCGCGTTGAGCCGAGAGAATGGCAAGCAGAGAAGAATGGAAAAAGGTGAGGTCGAAAGGAAAAGGCGGAAGGGAAGGCGGATCCGCCAACCCAAAAGGATTTTCCAGCGAAATAAGCGAACCCCTCACGTGACCCACACACATCGCCTTCCGGCAACCATCGCCAACTCCACCATCGAGTTCTTCCATCCACCTCGACAACCAACCTCGCCGTCGCCAACTTCAGCAATAATGGGTCGTCTTCACTCCAAGGGCAAGGGCATTGCCTCCTCCACCCTCCCCTACTCCCGCTCCGCCCCGGCGTGGCTCAAGACCACCCCCGACCAGGTTGTCGACCACATCTGCAAGCTGGCCAAGAAGGGTGCCACTCCTTCCCAGATCGGTGTTGTCCTCCGTGACTCCCACGGTGTTGCCCAGGTCAAGATTGTGACTGGTACGAATTTTCACTGCGCTCTACAATAATTTGCGAGTTTGCGACTCGCCGGAAGGGAGGAATGAAAATGGCTAACAAAATTTTCGTGAACAGGTAACAAGATCCTCCGTATCCTGAAGTCCAACGGTACGACTCACGCCATCCCCCCACCCATGTCAATCGGCTGAAGGAACGATGAATTGCGTCGGAAATCCTTACTTGGGAATTTTTCACAAGCAAAATTTCTGGCGCAAGGCTCTTCCTCACCGATACAATATAAGCACTATATGTGCATACATACTCTGGTCGCAGAAATGCACCAGCAGCTAAGCCTCTGCTTGGTCAAGAATTAGGCTGACAGAGAGATTTTGGAATAACAGGCCTCGCCCCCGAGCTTCCCGAGGACCTCTACTTCCTGATCAAGAAGGTACCGTACCAACTCTCTTCGAGAGACACCCTTTCATCCTGCGTTACTCAGTTGCTAACAATTCCATTCAGGCCGTCGCTGTCCGCAAGCACCTTGAGCGCAACCGCAAGGACAAGGACTCCAAGTTCCGCCTCATTCTGATCGAGTCCCGCATCCACCGTCTGTCCCGCTACTACAAGACCGTCGGTGTCCTGCCCCCCACCTGGCGCTACGAGTCCGCCACCGCCTCCACCCTGGTCGCATAAGCGAAGGCGTGGTTGTCTGTGGTCATTGGAGTTAAAGGACGCGGGAGTTATTTTCGGCACGATGTGTTTGGACATAGCTTTCGTGTGCTAGATACGCCCATTAAAAAAGAACTATTATGAGTTATACCCGGTCACGCGTTTGATCTTTGGATCTATTTTAAGCATCTCACATACTTGCGTAGTATTTGCCGTAGTGTAGATATGTCGAAAATGTAAAGTCATCTTTGCATGGGTATATCGTTCATGAATGTCGTTCGAGATCACCATGTACAAGTCCAAAATTATACACAACCCCCTCTAGTCCGTTCTCACCTCCCTCGCAACCGCATTGCACAGTTCAACCTGTACTCCAGCCCCAAGAAGAATATGAATCCACAACCGCTGGGTATCACTCAACCGATCATTCTCAGACTTGACCTCAGAGAACATGACAGTCTTCTCTTCATGCTTCCAAAGAAACAAATCCGGGATCCCACCCCCACGCTGCTGATACTCCTGCGCCATGACCTTGCAGATCGTCGCAAGTGCCTCGCCCCGAAAACACTGCACAATCTCCACAAGATCATCCAACTCAAAAGACCAATCAAGTCCAATGGCACAAGGCTGCGCGGCCGATTCACGAGCGTGAACGTCCCTAACAATCCGCTCGGCATCCCCATTCGTAATTTCCACAAGCCGATGGTTAATCTCCGATGCACGAGAAGGATAGAAAACATCCGTATGTAGATCCAGCGGACAGGTCTGGAAGGGCGTCTGGAAGACATTGGGAACATAGGTGAAAAGTATATCGTAGAAGAGGTAGGCGAATAATGTCCTCACAATCCCTCCTTCAGAATGATATCCTTTCCATCCATTATCCCGATACCAACTCAAACACATACTCTCGACTCGACACTCTTCTCCCCCTTCTCGCTCATCAACCCAGATCGTCGCTTTCCCCTTCCTCGAGGCATCGTCACTATCCCGATCAACTCGTATTCCTTCGACGGTTCGCTCGAAAGGTTTGGAAAGCATAACATGCCCGAAATCATGCTGTTCCCTCTTGACGACTTTCAGAGCCTTCTCAAGCTTCGTAATCCGTTTCTGGAGATCATAGTGATAAATCAAATGACAAAGTGGGTCTTCTAGGCCCTCTTCACACGTCCGCAACGCAATCCGTTTCCAGAACTTGCGCTGCTTCTCCTCATTTCGACCCTCTGAGGGCATGAGCGCCCACATATAATGTTCTTCCAGCAGAGCTTTCCGCTGATACCAAGCGCCCCGCCGCGAAGCATGGAACAAGCGCTGCGATAGCAACTCGGATATTATCCCATGTTCACGTTTATGTTCCTTGAATCGACCGAGTGGTTGGAGACTTTTATGTATGATGCGGGTATACACCCAAGCTGGCGAGAAACGGCGGAGATAGGCGCCTTCGCCACTCTCGTAGATCGAGTCTTCTTTCTGCTGTTCCTCTTTCACGAGTTGTGTCCAGCGGGGATGAATATTGACCGCGAGGTCAATGATGCTTTGTAGAGACTCTGTGCTCGGGGGGCCGTTGAATTCGAGGATATTGTCGATGTCGAATTGGGTTCGGATCGCGGACTCGAATTCCAGCAATGCATTTCGGGATGAGAAGATGGAGTTTGATCGGCATACGATGTATTCTGGGAAATTCCTTCGCGAGATCTTGGCCAGAATGATGGTTGTTAAGGACTTTTCGGTCCATTCAGTTGATCGATAGAAGACGAGGTGTACTCGTTCGAAGAGTGCGCGTGGTTCTGGTGAGAGGCGGATACATTCGCCTGTGTAATCCAATATCTTCTGGAGGTAGTGCTCGTCTCGGTTTCCGGGTTGGTTGGTGTGAATTTTCTCTTTGAATCCGAGACCTCTCTGCGATTGACTTGTCACTCGCAGAGCCGTAAGGAGCTCTTTCTTGTTCTTCCCTTGTGCTTTTGCTTCTTTGGCGAAAGCTTTCAGTTCGTCAAGTAACAGGAGAGACGACGCTTCTTCCAGCGTGGTAATCTCCTGCATGCCATCTGCGAATCTAAACGAAGAACCAAAGCCATTCTGTTCATCAATCTCGTTCTCCAGATTTGGCAAGGTGCGATCCTGCTGAAGATCAGCCGCTACTGCAGATAAATCTGATATATCTGAGTAGTAACCTAGACGATTGATACGATGCCAGGCGGATGTCTTGCGTAGGAAGAGGCGCACATATCTGGACCTGTTAATTCATTGACAAATAGAATAAACAGGGGAAAAAGTCCATACAGATATTGCGATTCATAATCTAGCTCCCTCCACTGGTTAAACACCTCCAACTCAGCCCCATCGAAGAGATGTGACTCCTCATCCAACACAGTTTCCAGCGCCAAATTGAACGCATCCACATAGATAGAGCTCTTGCCTTTCTCCCAGACACCATCTCGTAGCCTAACATGCAACCCAGGCTCAGCGTCGCCCTCCTTCCCAGTCTGGGACGACTCGTATTGCCGAATGGCATGCTCATCGGTCTCGATTGCAGGCAAAGAGGTCTCCAGATCAGTCTGGCTGCTCTTCAGCGGAAACTCGTCCAATTCCGGCGCAAGCGTATCCGCAAACCCGGACGAGAGACTCGGACTGGCAGGCCGGGGACTATCCTCGTTCGGCGTTTCGTGGGCAGAGGTAGAGGGCGTGGTGTCCGAAACCTCCCCGGACGTTTTCCTGCGTTTCGAGGAGCGCTGCGTCTCCCAAAAATGCAGTAGAGACATTCTGCCGATAAGCCATGCGACCCCTTCTTTTCGAAGGTATCTCCCGCGTCGCGGATCGCTGGCGCAGTCTAATCTGCGAACGCGCCTCGACTCGAGTGAAACACGAAGTCACGTGAGTCATTTATCCTGAAATGACATGTTTGGCGTGTTTGGTGTGTTTACTCTGTTTGCATACTTGCATTCACGCAGCTACTCGCGAGGTAGGCGCCAGGATGGGAAGTGAGAGAAGACGAAAGTGAGGAAAATAAAAGCAATTCGTGCAGTACTTCAAATTAACCTCCTCCGTCCATCCCCCAAGCCTCTAAAACTGGCACCGCGCACCGCGTTGACGGTGGTCGCAATGGCTGAGGGCACCCTAGAACCCACTCTCCCGCTGGCCAGTGAGGAGCTCGGAGCGGCGGGCGGAGGAGAGCGCATGTCGCCCATCAGCCCTCCGTCTTCCGAGCTCGACCCGAACGACTACGCGCCCGCGCAAGAGCACACCTTCTCCGACGTCGAAACCGTCTGCTCCTCCGGCTACGGCGAAACTCCTTTTCCGACCCCCAGCAACGACTCGGTTATTGTCGTTGAGTTCACGACTACTGCCGACGTTCCTGTGCAGCCAACTCCCGCCGCTCCCACTACCGGACACGAAAGCTCGAATATCAATTCCGGACACGGCAGTATGGAGGCGAGTGGTGCCAATACGCCTCTTGTGGATTTGTCTGCTGCCTCGAGCACCCAGGTTCGGCCTGGTGGTGCGCCGGCTCGTGTGTATCTGAACGAGAAGATCGTTCCGCACTTGTTGGAGGGGATGAAGTCTGTTGCGAGGGAACAGTAAGTATACCCGGATCTTGCAGTTATCATGATTTGGGGAATCTAATTTTTTTTATATTAGGCCCTCCAATCCCCTCAAGGTTCTTGGGGAGTTCTTGCTCCAGAAGAGCGAGGAGGTTGAGCGCGATTCCAAGAAGGAATCGGAGTAGTTTTTTCTGCTCTGGTTGTCTTTTTTTTTATCTTCGGGTTTGCTCTTAAGGTGTTTGCTTCTTTCGTTCTTGGATCTCCTTATTTTTATTTTTATTTTTTTTACTTGGGGAGCTTGTTGGAGTTCAAGGGCATACAACAGGAACGGGAGCAATGGTCTTTTATTTCTATTCATATCTGTCCTTAGCTTCAAGGCAATCTGAGGTGCTATCATGAAGCATCTAGCTATCTTCCTGTAAGAAATATGTAAAGCATCGATGATCGCTGTCCATTCGTAAAGTAAATCATATTTTCCTTTTAATTAGTTCACTATAATTTGATTGTGGACTTAAAGAATGTACGTGTCCAGAGTTGATGGATGTAGATATACTGGTCATTTACAAAATTTCCCAGCTCGAAGAATACATGGGCTCGGTTTCTGTCAATAGACACCACTGACAGTGTCGACGGCTTTAGACCGTGCGGCTCGTGTTGTATTCTTGAAGATATGGTTTCCAACAGATGGCCCGATCCGCTCGCTAAGAGTAGTGTTCAAGCACATTTACCACCCGAATATCAGGGATGACACGGGCTGTATACGTGGACACAACCAGAAAGACTGTCAATCGAATCATTCTCCGCAGTCGGGGGCGTCGAAAGCGCCAAATCGAAGACGGTATAATAGGCTCCTAAAGTGTGTGAGTAGAGTCCCATTGTGACAACTGTAAGTACAGCAATCAGGGAAACAACAGCACGATCCAGGATGAGACAAGGAGGGAGTAAAGATCAGCCAATCGTCAAAAACCGATTGCTTCATCTTTACCTTTGGGTGTTATGGGCGATCCGAATATGATGGTCCAAGGAGGATTGGTCCGAGGGAGTTGGTCCGAGAGAGAGGATCAAAGAAATAGCCTAGAGGTTAGCAGAATGGCGGAACTACGAGCGCGAAGACGAGACGCCCTTGGCCAAAGAGACGGTGTAAAGATAGGTGTAAAAAAAGGTGACGGGTGAAAAAGGGGCGACATTTAAGCTTGTCGAATACAGTCGATCCGGGTTACTGAGGTGGATGTTGTGCATAAGGCGTAGTGATTGACCGAGTGCTGACCATAAGTGGCAACCGAATTACAGCGAAAATTGTTTTCTCCCTTTGGCGCTAAAACCCGAGTTGCGTCGCGAACAGAAAAAAAGAGACACATCATCCAGAGACCGCGAGATGACGAGATCGATATTGGTCGAGTCGGTCACATAAAGGCTGACGGTGGTCCGATTGTGTGGATCGCAGAATCGTGAAAACAGCAAAATAAAGAAATACCGAGACTAAAGTCTCTTGCAAGAAATCCCGATAAAAAAAATAATCCCAGAAAGTTAAAACAATCCCAGAAGAAAAAAAAAACAGAAAAGCACCAGTGGAAAAAAACATCGCATAGGGAACTGCATTAGAGAAAACGTTTCGCCTTACCGTGAACCGGGGGCACTGCCGAAGCAAGGATGTCCTAATCATATATATGAAGAACGACTCGCTTAACGGCCGGCTTAACGGCCAGAGTAACGCTCATCGCCACGACCCTCGTAGGAGCGGCCGCCATAGGCATCACCGCCGGCACCGCCACGGGGCTCACGGGGAGGCGCATCATAACTAGCGGCATTAGCATCACGATCGTAATAAGCACGACCACCAGCATCATCACCAGCAGTACCACTTGGAGCTCCGCCACGGCGGTCATCACGGCGATCATCGCGGCTGTAGCGGTCGTAGCCACCACCGCCGCCACCACCACCACGGTAGCCATAGTCGTCACGGGAGCCACGACGGTAGTCGCGGTCGCCGTAGTCTCGGCCACGGTAGCCGCCGCGGTCGCCGCCACGGTCATAGTCACGGCCGTAGCCACGGCGGTCGCTGTAAGATTCACGGTCGTAGCGATCGTAGCGGTAGTAGTCATCATCACGACGGCGCCAGTTGCCACCGCCAGGAGCACGACGATCATCGTAGCGTTCACCGCGGCGAGGGGGGCCACGGTCATCTGAAAAACATTGTTAGTCTCAGAAAGGAAGAGATGGATAATGGAAGGGGACGAGAAAGAACGGGGCACATACCAAAACCACGCTTGGGAGGTCCGAAGTACTTGCCGGGGGTAGGAGTACGAGGCTTGTTACGACGCGCCTTCTCGATGCTGAGAGTGCGGCCCTCGATGACTTCACCCTGGAGGCCCTCCTTAGCAGCATCGGCTTGCTCGGACGTGATCATGTTGACGAAACCAAAGCCACGGGACTCGCGAGTGTGAGGATCGACCATGATCGAGCAACTCTCCACCTCACCATATTTTTCGAACAGGCGCGTGAGGTCATCCTCAGTCAGACGTGGGTGGATACCAGTCACGAAGAGGTTGGAGCCGGGGTTCTGAGCACCCTCTTCATCTTCTTCAGGCGGGGGTCGGCGCACTCTGGTCCAGCGAGGTTGGTCAGCCCAGTTCCTGCCGTTTCGAATCCACTCGTATTCTTGAACTTCTTCATAGAAGTCTTCATATACGTCTTCATTTACGTACCTTTCACGATCATCAGGGCGGCCGTTGGGGGAGCGAGAGCGGGAGCGAGCGCGGTCGCGGTCAGCACGGGGCTCGTGTCGGGGGGAAGCACTGCGAGCATCGCGGTCGTACCGCGGTTCGTCTTAAAGAGGCGCGAGTCAATATTAGCAAGTCGAGCAAATTTCTGGGTGTTCACAGTTCCCCAGAATATTAGTCTGACATCGGGATCACACATACCGGGATAAGGGGCGGTGTCGTGGTCGAAGTCGGCCATGATGAAAGTTGCGAGGCGGGTGATGAGGAAGGATGGAGGAGGGAAGAGAAATCGCAGCTGATAAGAGCGGGCGCGCTAGTCACCGGAAAGGAACAACACACCCGAGTTCTGGCCACGACTACGCGTGCCAGGAGCGACCAAGTTGGCGGAAATTTGACCAAGAAAAAAGATACTGGAAGACAGAAGAAAAAGCAAAAAAAGAAAGAAAGATATTTTTCCACTAGTCTGCACAAAGGAAAATCGGCGAGGGGGCGCCAAGACTACGACGAGAGCTACTGAGCGACCAGTCCAGGTCTAGATTTACAACTATTCCCCTTGATTCAGTACGGCACCTCATGGTCAAAGATCCAGCAATTCGCTTGGTATTAAATTCTGCCAGATAAAAAAGGCAAGACCACTAGCTACCTGAACTCCTTCCCGCGCCTGATGCTTGCTTGTTCCCATAAAACCTTTAATCACTTGCGCCCACGACGTGTTCGGCGGACCTGCTTGGAACTCCCCGACGCGCCAGTCGGCGCTTTTGTTGGGTCCTGGTCCAGCTCGTCCTCTACCAGATCTTTCAATTCATCCTCGTCCAGTTCGCTAAGTTCCTCGCTCATACCCCGCATCACATCCCGGCCTGTCCATCGTTCCTCGTGAATTGTCGTACCAGTAGGGTCAAAGGGCTGCATGTACCATTGGATACCACCTTGGGCCAAAGGTAGCTGCTGGTCCTCCTCTGAAAGAACCGGGGTAGGGTGTCGACGGTAGACCACGCTAGAACTTGGCTTTGTCTCCTCGGCGGCGCCTTCCTGGGAAACGGTACTCTCAGCAGGGGCAGCGTCGTCACCAGTTGTTTGCACCCTTGCGGACGCCTTGTCGTACCCTTCGGTCTTTGCTGGCTCCACACCCTCCATAGGCTCAGTCTCGTGCTTGGTATCGGATCCTGCAAGATCGAATTCTGTATCCCCTTCATGCTCGGCTGACAAAATGCTGTGATCCAGGATGACGTCCAGATCCTTGAGTTCCTTTTCGAACGGCTTGCGGTTCAGCTCGCTCTCTTTTCGAATAGCGTCCTCAAGGGCCGGCTGAATAGCTTTGATAATCCGCTTAGCGAGCTTCCTCTTTTCTCGCTGCTCGATACTGAGCTCTGGGGCACGGCCACTAATTTGAGCTTGCAGTTCGGCAGTGTCACCCGCGGGTCCCACGCCGATCTCTGAGGTAAAGAGACTGGCCAAATCCGCCGAGAATGATGCTACAGAGGGATAGAATCGTTGTTCGAGTCGCTTGCGAATTGACAGGAGGCCGGCTGCGAAGGTGCCCTTTCCATCAAGTCTAAACTTCGTTAGCAAAGGTTCTGTAGGGTGGATAAGAGGCAGTAGCTTACAATTGAGCTTTCTCAAATATGGGCCAGAGCAAGGGGAATGTAGGGAAGTAGACAAGGTCGACAATGCTACGAAGCATCTCGGCATCCTTAAGCTTCTCCCTCTCGCGCTTCTTCACCTCATCGCAAAGCATTCGAAGTCGATCAAGGTCCTTGTAAAGCCATTCGCCGAATTCCTTGCGACGTTCCAGACGCTTGTAACCAGTTACGCCCATAGCGACATAGTCTCGTCGCGTCATCTCCATCGAAGAAAATGTTTCAAGCTGCAGCTGGAGTCTCTTCAGCAATGCAGCTCCTCGTCTCGCTTCTCGTTTCAAAGTCCAGTATTTGCATGCCTCTTCGGCATACTGCTTTCTTCCACGGACCGTAAATCGTTGGAGGGCGGCCACCACCGAGTTTAAAACAACCTGGGGAACCACAGGAGCACCCGAGGGTAGCTTCCAAATTGTCCTCTGGGTCTGGGGTCGCTTTCGCTTGTTTCCGCCCAGTGTAATTGTGATTCGAGGGGTGTTGGCTCGGTCAGCGTCGTCGGCGGCGGAGGCGGAAGGACCCAGTGAGAGTGCCGCGGCCTGGCTGTCTCCCCATCGTCGGCCGTGCATGGTAGTGCGGTAGTAGTCCATCGCATCGGCCGTAGCAACGTCGGTATTGTGTTCGAGTCTCCAGTCATCGGGAACGTGCTTGTCGCAGAAAGCCTTCAGTAGATGCGAATCCATGAGACCGTGGCCAATTTTCATCTTCAGGTACAGTTGGGCTCGGCGTGCGCATGAAACATGGAAGGCCACAAAACAGTTCTTGTTGCTGCACTGAATTGAAGCACCCATTTTCTGCTTGCAAATGTAGCAGTTGAGCTTCCACCGGCCGCGTGGTACCTTTTCGACGTCGGTCACAGGCTCCATGAGAGACGGGTTTCCAATAGAGACCTCGGGAATCCAAATGGAGCAGAGTAGATGAGCCCACTTGGACGAAGTAGTTTGTTTGAATGCACCTTCAGTATTTGGACAGAAGATACAGTTGGTAGATCCTCTTCCCAGCAGTTGACACTTGCGGCACAGCCACTGGCCTTCCGGAATGAAGGGAACACCGTAGCACTCTTGGTGAACCGCCAGATCACAACCATCGCAGAACACAATCGCATTGGAATTTTCACAATCGCCATCATCGCAGATAGCGCACTTGCTATCCTGGTCCTCCCCAGGCCCAGCGGTCTCGCCATTAACGGCCGCTGCGGAGCTGGAGCGTAGGCGGTGTGTCTGAGGGGGTTTCGGGTTGGGCTTGGGAATCCGCTTCTCAAGAGCATGCCACTCCTTCTCAATCTTGGTCATGGTGATTTCGAATATGGCGGGTTTGATGGGCTCCAGTTGGTCTGCTCGGCGCTTGGAATTGAAGTCCTCCAGCCATTTCTCGTCCTGCTCATCCATGTCGTACTCCACTCGGCCAGTGGTAGCATTGGCGTCTCCTTCGGTTACTGCTGGCTGGATGATGTCCATGTCGTCTTCCTGCGCACCTTCAGTCATCCGAATGAAGCGCCGGTCATGTCGAAGGAACAAGTCGCTCTCCTGATATCCCACGGAGGCCATGGTTCGGTCCACATAGTTCTGCTGTCCAAGGCCCTTTTGCTCGTAGAATGTGAAAGGATCGCGTAACCGGAAAGATGGCCTGGGGAGCGTCAGTCGTTCGCGGGGGTTCGGTCCTGGTGGCGGGATGATCTTTGGGCCTTGCTGCGTGAGGAGGGCATTGAGGACGGCTTCAGGGCGACGCGGTGGACGTCCCGGCCGGCGCTTGAACGGAACGGGGGAGTCACTGGCCTGGGAGCCCGGTGTTGCTGAATAATCCTGGACATTTGCACCGTTTACTGAATCCAAAGCCAAGGCATTCGCGCCAGTATCATAGGTGTCGACTTCCTCGGCAGTGAAAACAGCAAGCTTGCCATCGATGTCCAGATCTGGATGGAACTCCTCCCACCCCCGCTCCTCGCGCGGCTTATAGCCGTCTCCCTGTTGTAGAGCCAATGCGGCGGCTGTAGAGGACGTAAAACGACCGCGGTTCTGACTCTTGTCTCGTCGGGGGCGCGTCACGGATGGAGGTGTAGTCGGCACAGGGGGAGGTGGCGGAGGGGCAAGCATGGTGTGGTCGAGCTCGCGTACTGGGCGACTGCGCGCGCTGCTGGGCCGCGCACTGTTCGAGTGCCGTCGAGGGGGTTTCTCTTTCTTCTTCGGCGTGGTCTCTTGCGATACTTCGACTTCGATGAATCTACCACCGCCGCCGGGTCCACCAGGGACGTACTTGCGCTTCTTCAAAGGAGGACCGGCCAGTGAACCTCCGGCGCGCGAGCTTTTCAAAGACGACTTGGGCTGGGCCCGTGACGGCCGACTAGGCAGTGAATGTCTAGACATCGGCGCCATTGTGCATATCAAGCCTCGCGGGCTCCGTATGTTGATCGACGTTGGAGCTTGGGGGAATGCCAATCAGACACGTCAGGTCGCGTTCAGGGGCCAGCGAGGGGGTCTGAGGCAACAGGTGCTAAGGCGATGCAAGGTCTGCAGTAGGCGATCCGAATCACATCGGCGCCGAAGAAAATAAAACGCGGTGGCAGCCTGGACCAGAGCGAGCTGGGGTGGATTTGGGGTGTCAGGTGTTTTGTTATCTCACCAAGGCGGAGACCATCAAATCGGCTGCAAGCCTCAGGTGTCGATCCATCTGTCAACGCTGGCCGGACGCGCACAGCTTCCCCGCATACTCTTGCCTCGACTTTTCCAGCGTTCCACAAAACTTTCAAATACTTTCTACTGCTACAATCATGCCCGGAGGCGGCAGGTGAGCTTCTGCTTTTGCCTTCAGGCGTCTTCATCGCGTCCATTCCCGGACCACGCTAAGTGATATTTGCCGCAGATGGCGCGGCGGACCGCATCGCCAATCGTCACAGCGCCAATCTGGCAACCGTGATCGGGCCCAAGGAGGATATCCGGGTCGGCACCATGGAGGTCCCCCTCCTGCCTGGCAGATCGCTGCTGCCAACAACGCTGCCAACAGCCACGGCAACAACCAAGTCCAGAATCATAACTCGGCGCATGACCAGCATTCTTCTGTGAACAAGTTCAATGCGGAGGAGCTCAAGAACGTCATGAAGAGTGGTAAGTACGAGAGTAGATACCGCGCAGTCAAGGATGAAGCTAAAAAGGTGCTCTTTCGTGCTTTCAGAACTCGAAGGTAATACGACCCGTCCTCTACAAATGCAATCCACTCTACCACAACACCACACTAATACAACCCTCCCCAGGCTCGAAGGCCCGCGTCTACAGGCCCATCGGAAAGAATCCTGCCAGTGACAAGGCATGGGGCCAAAAGCGTACGTCGAGCTGTCCATCTAACCCCCTTTGATACCTCTTGACAGACCCCTAACGCTCGCGTATAACAGCCCACGCTATGGCGAACGGAAAGGACTTCCTGACCGAGCTTCGAAAGCAGATCGGCACTCTCAAACGACGCGGCCCTCCCATCGGCGGATGAACCCGAACACTAGCGAGCGCGATTGATATTATGATTTATTCTTTATTTGCCTGTTTTGCACAGCGTACCATACCTAGGTGGCACCGGTCATGGTTTTGCACGGGCTTGGTTAGAACGGCGCATTATCGATACCCTTTTGTGAAGGAGGACTCGGGCGGCAGGAATGTTATCTCCAAAGGTTTCGGCTTAGGCATTTACATTGCATCGGCGTCTGTGTTTTCGTATGGGTCTCTGTCTTGTAGGCCCGTTGGCAGTGATATGTATTCTCAAATACATTCATATGGGATTGCTTGATCCCGACTCCTAGACTCTGGTTATTTCGGAGAGTAGAATTGTCTTTTGATTTATACAGTAGAGGACAGATATTATGGGTATCGCTAATATACACTTGATGGAAGATTAATATACATCTTTTCGGACTTCTAACTAAGCGTTCGTCTGGACCCATCCATTTGGCCCAAGGACTCCGCCATCCTCGGCATTGGGATCAAGAGTCCACTTGCGGAGAGCACGACAGCTCAGATCGGTCTGCCATCCAGCCTGGAACATCTCAATGCCAGCCCATCCAATCATAGCAGCATTGTCCGTACAGAGGTAAGGAGGCGGCGCAACAATCTCGATATGCCCAAATCCACGGATATCCAAAAAGGACCGGAGAACAGTCACCAAGAACTTATTAGCCGCAACACCACCACTAACAACCAGAGTCTTAATCTCCTCATCACCAGTATGTCTCAACCTCAGCGCCTCAAGCGCAATGACGGTCCGCGAGGCAAGATGTTCAAAGCTCACCCGCATAGTCTCCCGACCCAACTCAACCCGTTCATCCTGAGACATATCACCACCCTTGCTCTGAACAATTTTGTTCACCATACTCGCAATGGAAGAAAAGCTCAGCTGCAACTGCCGGGTATTCGCGAACGGCGTCGTCAAACTCCAACCCCAGGGACTCTGTCGCTTAATCACCTCCTCACCGCGATTTACAGGCGGCCGATACTCCGCGAAATCAGCCATACCATTCGGAAAGACGAATCGCTCCAACGTCTTCCCGTACATCGTATTCTTTGCGCCCTGCAGCAAATCGGCAGGTAGGATCTCTCTCGCTCCCTTGTCCAATGCTTCTCCGATCGCAATGTCCTCGCTGGACGCCATGATTTTATGATCGACCAGAGACTTGGAATGAACCAGAATCGAATGACCTCCAGAAACAAGGATGGAGAGGAATGGAAATTCGGGAGACGTCCTCGAGTCGGCTTTCTCTTCTAGACACGATACAAGACGCGGCGTCAAGAGATGTGCTTGCATATGGTGAACACCCACCATGGGAATCTGCCACGCGACCGAAAGTGCCTTTCCTGTATCGAGTCCGACAGACAGATTCGACCGCATACCAGGTCCCCTGGTCGCCGAGATGAAATCCGGTCGACGGCGCGTTGATCTATCAGCCAGATTTATGGCGGCTTGTCCTTCTTTCGTGACTGGGAGGTTCTGTAGAGCTTTGTTGACTAGTTTGGCGAGGCTTTCTTGGTGAGACTCGAGGGCTAGAATTGGGTGGATGCCCCGGTGTGCGCGTGAGTCGGCAGTTATGTTCTCAAGGAAGTGGATGGTGGCTTTTTGGGTGGATTGGTTATCTTTGTGCTTTTCGACGATCGCGACGGACGTATCGTCGCTGTTGAGAATGAGAGTCAATATCGTGATGGGTTGGGTATGGCTGTTGTCTCCCGCTTACCATGACGTCTCGATCGCGAGGGTAAGAAGTCCTCGTCGACATCGCAGGAAGCTGCGCGCCGCGCCTGCAGACCTGCGCAAGGCGATACCTGGGGCTATTGAGGAGAACATTGGAGGTTTGAAGAGCGATCTGGACGGCGGCGAAAAAGATCGGAGGTGCACGGACCAGGTAGCCCTCAAAAGCTGCCCTAAACAAATACGATCGGCGGTCCAGCCATCCCATACTCCAAATGTGACGAATACAGAATCCATCCGATCGTCCTTGGGATGAACCCAAAATCTACGAAAACATATCTCAATATTTGGCACAAGGTGTCAAGCACCATCATATTCGCGCGGTAGTGACCGACTTGGTTAAACTATCAAAATGCAGCGCAGTCATCAATCGGAGGCCCATCAACGTCATAAATATAATCATCTCTTCAACACAATGCATCATCTTCCTTCTCACTCGCTGAATATCCGAGGTCGAGTCATACGAGCAGCCTGAACCAAATGATTTCCGATACTATATCTCGATATCAGATCGGAAATCACGATCTAAACAAAGCGCCAGCCTGGACGCCGCGTCTTGATGTCGAAGCTGGCTGCAAGGTGCCGTTCGTCATGTCGGTATACAGTGGAGTCAGATTCAGATCTCGGGGGTATGTTGCTTCGTCTTGTCGATCGCTCTGGGGTGTGTAGACTTCGTAGCCAACCAAGAACATCTTGGCCAGTGTCATTAAGAGCGCGACTCATTCACTCGCGCACTGTCCATCGGCGCTCCTCGCGAGACATCTTTGTATGCTTGCCATAATACTCATCCGGGTTCTCGATTGGTGTCACGCAGTGCACAGTCGGTGTGCCCTTGAACTTGATGCGCTTGTCGGCGACACCGTGTCGTGCGACAGGCTGCTTCTTGAGAATGCTCTTGGACGAGCAGGAGTTGTTGTATGAGTAGGGTGGGACTTGCAAGGAAGAGAATCTCTGCACTGTCGGGCTGGCCGCATTGACTGGCGAGATAGGTGTGCGAGGAAGGCCGGGCGACTTTAGGGAAAGCGAGGATCGGGGGGCGTTTTGTGTGGCGGCGATGCTCAAGGAGAGCTTTGGCTTTGCGACGGTGCGAGCAGCGTACATGTTGACTCGGAAGTAAAATTGATGGAAATCAAGAGAAAATGAAGATGATTATGTCTTTTGGCACCAATATGGACTTTGATCAACAAAGTGGTAACCTTGTGGAAGGATGGGAAAAGATAATTATTGACGTAGAGTAGACTTGAAGACGAAGACAGAGTTCGTTTGGACCAGCCAACACGAAGCGCGTAACGAAAATAGAAGAGAGAGAAAATAGAAAAACCCTCAAACAACGATATGCAGGGAGAGAGAGGAGACTGGTTCGGGGTGGGCGTCTATATACTTAGAAGCAGACCCCGTTGCGGGGCGGGGGCCAACTACCGTTGTTTTTCTCTAAGCGCCCCCATTGCATCCTCCTGCATTATCACCCTCCCATCACACCTTAGTCCCAACCTTGTAAGGCTACGTGCCGATCTACAGCCAACCAGCAGAGCCGCTGCCACCACTCGAGTTAATTTTGGTCTGGGAAAATGTGATCAACCGTGACTTCCCAGCAGACGCTGGTGCCCGATGCATAGGGCCCACCGAGCAACCCAACGAGCGATGGCCCTCGTTCTTCACGGATGCAAGCGAGTGGAAAGAGCTTTGACCAACCATCGCGATTTTTCTGCGGTCGCAGCGGTCTGCAACAGGTGCAGCGTTGTCACCCATTATCACCACGCTAGCAGTAAGCGGTATCTGACTGGTGTAGAGACAAACTCTCTTCAGGGCGGCTTCGAGTGTTGACGAACAGTTTATGCAGAACTTCTATAGAAGTCGATTGCAGCACTACATAGTCTCATTCCTTGAGACGAAGCAATCCCATTCCAATCGCATTTTCCAATCCCTCATTGAAGCCGAGATCATTGTGATACCACTCCAGTGCTGCTTCCGAGTCTCAACTGCTCCACTGAAACTCACCCGAGACCTCCTAGGCCTTCCAAAATCCAGCAAAAAGCGCAAGTAACTCTCCTCTGTCCTCAAAATTGTAATCACAACAGAAACAGAAGCATTTACAGGAGCCAACTCTTCTCAGCAATCATCCCGAAATTCGAATGCCCCTTGGTAAATTTGTCCTCATATAGGTGCTTGACACACATGACGATTGCATGGGATGTATTCACCTTGTGTGCGGATCGAGGCCCCGCTGCGACCTTCGAAACCACTAGCCATATAAGTTGCCGGCCTTTCGTATCATACCCTGAGGTATTGACTCAAAAAGGGTAAAAGAAGGCACTACCTGAGATGCCGTGTGCGAGGCTGGAACAGCGGTCCATGTCTAGATGCCCCGCCAGGTAAATGCCATGAATACATATATTGTATAATGCCGAACCTGAGATCATTCTGCCTTCACTGTCTTTCTGGCCTTGTCGAAATATCATCCATACCAAGAAATCATGAAATGTGCGGTTGGATAGCTCTCCGATGAGCTTTGCGCGAGTAGAACACAGCTATGCCGGGCATACAGGGATGTAAGGCCACCACTTCCGAAAGTGCCAGTCGTGGAGGTCTTGGTAGCCCATAGCCCAACGTTGTCACTGTATTCCTTTTCTGCATCTTCATAATTTCACTCCAGTATAGCACAGCAATATGGGTCTCGTGAGAAGCATATAGGAACCATTTGGTCAGTGCTTGTTTCTTCATTGAATAACAGTCAAATCCGGGGTTAGTGTACTGATACTTTCCACCCTAGTGATCGCCACGATATTTGGATTCGGTACCTGGATCAACAGAGCAAAGCAGCCCTGGCACCATAATCTTCGCACACCTTTGCTGAAAGATGAGGACTCAGACGAGCTCGGAGAAGAAGACGGAGCCCTGGAAGATACCATTCAACCAACAGAAAGCCATCCACCAAATGCCGCAACCCGCATCCTCGCACGATTCCCATTTCTGCTCGAAATATGGTACTGGCTACTTACCTACTGGGTACTTCGACACCAGCATTTTTTAGATCATGGCATACCACAGGACCAGCCCACGCTAACCAAGACTCATGAAACAGATCTACCAAGGCGCCCGCGCCCTCTCCGCCCACTTCATCGCAAACAACGAAGCCATCTTCGACCAAGCCGAACACCACGCCCTCCGACTCCTCTCGATCGAGAACCACATCCCTCTAGACCTCGAACGTCGCCTGCAACAATACATCCTCAAAAAGACACCGGCACTAACCCCCCTCCTCGCCCAAATCTACTATTCTAACGCCACAATCGTCATCACCTACCTCGTCTACAGCTACACCGTCTTCCGTCGCAAAGACTACCAGCGCCTCCGACGCACGTTGGCCCTAACCAACATATTCGCCTTCATAATATTCACTTTCTGGCACAGCAAGTCACCCCGTTTTCTTCCGGCGGAATACGGCTTCATCGATGTCCTCCATGATGATGAGGGCGGATCAGCCTGGATGCAGAATAAGTTACAGTTGACCATTGCTGCGATGCCGTCGTTGCATTTTGGGAATGCGGTGCTCGTGTCTTTTGGGCTCGTGTGCTTTAGTCCGCATTTGCTGGCTAGAGTTTTTGCGCTCTTTTGGCCGGTGACAATGGGAGTGACGATTTTTGCGACGGCGAGTCATTTTGTGCTGGATGCTGTTGTTGGGGTGGTCGTCGTTGCTTTTGCGTATTGGGGGAATTGGGTTATGTTGGGTCTTTTGCCGGTTGAGAGGGTTGTGTTTGGGTTTTGCAGGTTGGAGAAGCCGGTTGAGGTCTTGGATGAATAATTCGTAGCAGGCTGGAATTATCTTGAGCCTCTCTGACATAAAGGTTGGAAAATAGAAACATACAGCAGATAGACCTTACGACATCTTTAGCTCACATCTCAGTCCGTAGTACTTCAAAGGGCTGTGGAGAGCTTTACAAGTTGATTCAATTCCTAGGAAATTGATAACTCCGGGTGTATACTACATTCGACCCTAGGGAAGAGCAGAATGGTATGAGTATCACCTGTGATGACCTCATTTGGCGAAATAAGGGGTTTGTGCGGGCAGATGAATATGATAGACTGGTCTTCCTCCACCATGCAGATTCGTTCGTTGTTCTGAGCGATGAGCAAAATCCGTTATGTCTCGGGGAATTTATTTCTAGAGCGGTTCCTACCGGATTTTGGAATTTCACACTAGACATCTACCATCTTTTTTGCTCCCTTGCTGAAACTAGATTTTCAAGGCATCTGTCGCTCATATAGTCGCATCAAGTTTTTATTAATTATGTCTCTATCTTTCATTGCGTTTGCAAGGGCAGGTCGTTGTATACATGACTTGCACAACGAACCCAGAGGGCGGACGCCTTGTCCAGAGCGAAGTTATTCTTCCAATGCAAGATCCTTATACGGAACAAATTATTAGTGGGCGGAAAAACTATGAGTTCAGAAAATATCGCCTTAGTTCTGAAGTTGAATAGAATCTGGTTTTATCGTAATTCGCCGCATTCCAGAATCACTCATATCTGTGAAGTCCTACCAGCACAAATGCGAAACGCTGGTGATTCTCCCCTTGGGTAATATAGCCTAGGTAATATAGAATTCAACACAAAGCCTAACGAGTGGGCGGTATATGATTTTGTTTACAAAATGGTCACAGTATACGAACTCCGACAGCCAATTACCCTCAAAGACATGAAGCAAAAGTATGGTTTCAAGTCCTTACCAAAGGGGTTTATGTACCTACCGAAGCCTATTAGCGCTAGCCATGACTAGAAGCAACAGAAACTGGTATGTCCTCAAAGCCTTGGTACCAGACTCTAGTCTGATTACAATGCAGGTACTTGATAGGGTTGAGATCGGCTACGACGAAGCACTGAATATTGAATGAGGGCCTGCTAGACAAATCGACCTTAATGGAATTGACAGAACTTGACTTGACTGTATCGAACTGTGTACATGCGATTCTGGGGGTATTTAGCCTTGAACGGGCGGCAAGGCCCTGACAGTAGTAAACCCCTCATAATCGGTCTCAATCGCTGTCCTTCCATGAAGATCCCCTGAATGTAGAATATAATGGCGGCAAGAGCGCTTGAAGCGCATCTCAAGCTCAGTGCCTCCGGTTTCCCTGGACAGGCATGCCGACAGAGGTTGGGAATGAGGCATCAATTCGGTGCCTTAACCTGGAACCTCAACAGATAGGAGGAGCGAGCAACACGAGAAGTAAAACGACAGCGGCAGAAAGGAAGTCTTAGCAAACCGTGGTTTCAAATATATCTTTGTCATTCCTGTCATTCAATATTTCCGCGGATTTAAAAGTGCTTGGACGATACCCCAGCTCCTCGTCCTAGTCTGGCTTCACAGATCTCCGCCACTGCTATCTAGCTGCACGTGGCTACCGCTTCAAAAAACTACACCAGGCCCATAGTATGAGGCGTGTATCCGTGCCTTTCTGCCCACCCAAACCGCTACCCGCTTTGGGTGCGCCACGCATTCTTCGTAATAACAGTTTCTTCGTAGATTTCGAAGCTAAATCGTAAATTTCACCACCAATTGGCTATCTATCAATAAAAAATACCTCTCCTGCCTCTCTACCCTCTCTCTCGGCCTGCATTGACCGTTGAATACTCTCCTCCGATCTCTGTGCGGGCGCGTAGCCATAAACCTTCTTGAACTGCCTGACCAGCTTCCGCTCCTCCTTCGCCTTATCCTCGGCCTTCCTGACTGCAATTGACCGATTCGCATCGCGTGTGCTTAATATACCAGTCTGGCTAAGCGGTTTAATTTGCCGCTTAGTGTATTTGCGACGTACTGGCATCTGCGCTTCTCTAATACGCCGAATCGATTCCTGCGTCATCGCAAGCTCCTCCGCTATCCCCCGCTGGTGCGCCATCATCCTCGTCAGATTTCGCTGCATCTTATCCGACAGACCCTCGAGGTGTTTAGTAATCTTCGCCTGGTTCTTGATGAGAGCTTCAACAGATTTTGGAGGGCTGTTTTCAACACTAGAAGACGAGAGATTTGGTGGTGGTGATAGTGATGGTGTATGCGATCCCCATGACCGAAGATCAGGGGCGATTAGATCAGGGATTTCTAACTGATTCGCAAGGTTTTGGACGATTTTACTACCATCAACCGGCCAAATACCACGATCTTTGAAGGATTCACGAATAATTCGCTGCGTCAAGGCTTTCTTACGAATTGGCCCGATAATTGCGAGGAAATCCGATTTCCCATACGGTAGGCCGCCCCAGAAAGCCAGATCGTTATTCATCATCCGAAATTGCTGTTTATAATTCAGAAAGGGCTTTCCGTCAAGTGGCTGACAGAGTTGTGTTGAATGCGGTAGAAATGCGAATGGTATAATATGGTGATCCTCGCATCTCTGTAGAAATTCGAGGGTAAGATGCGCACCATGACCATCGAATATAAGATAGCGCTTTTCGCCACGCTTAAGACGATCTGCAGTAGCCGTGGCCTTGATAAAGCAGCTTAGCCAGGCTAGGGCTAGTTCATCAGAAATCCAGCCGTTTGGAGACATAGCCGTATTCGCAGGTAGGTCTTCGCTGCCGTAGTACCAGGCCTCCATGAAGTTTTTGCCGGAACCTTTGAATATAAAGAGCGGGTCCATAAGCCAACCATCAGCAGCAATACACTCGACCGCAGTGATATTTTCGCCTCTCTCTCCTTCTGGCAGGTCAGGGCAAGATGATTTAACCCCAATAACGTTTCGGGCGCGTCCTTGACCGGGTTGAAAACCACATTCATCGAAGTTGTATACTAGCCGGGCGGGGACGTCATGGAGCTGTTTTTCAAGCAGGTCGTACCAGTGCTGAAGAAGGCCTGCATCCTCGGCTTGGATTCGCTTCAGTTCCTTGGTCTTCTGCTTCACTGGGGCTAGATTTAGGTGCTTTGGTAGACGTGCTTCGAAGCGATACGCCCACATCTTGCTAACCTGTCTATCGTGGCCCGCCCTCTGCAGTGCGCGATTTGCCCACGCTTGTATAAGCCCTGCAGTGGGAGGTAGGTTCCACGAATACATTTTTACTATCCAATTGGTCAAGGCCTTCTCCTGGTCTGGCTGTAAAGCATTCTTATGCGATTTGGTAGGGGTAATTGGCGATTTGGCCTTTTTGACGCGACTGGTAAGGGTGGTATAGGACACGCTGAATTCACGCGCAATCCTCGAGAGATTTGGTTTTTTTTCGGCCATGGCGGCTGCGAAGGCTTCGGCCATGCGGGATTCATCAAAATTAGGAGATTTAGGCATGTTGGGTGGCTTGGATAGGTGATTGAATAGGAGATTCGAAAATTTACGAAGAATCTGTTATTACGAAGAATGCGTGGCGCACCCAAAGCGGGTAGCGGTTTGGGTGGGCAGAAAGGCACACTGGGCAGAATGGGCTCTCCTTTGGCGAGTGTTCGAGCGATTAAAGATAGTATTTATGGACCCAACACAAAATGCGTCAAAGATCTGAACTATGGTTTGACAAGTGGCACGCACACAAAATTATATTGGAACACGAAAAGATCAATTGGAGTACGAATCGGCACTGGAAGGAGCACCCAGGGCATGTGATTGGCAAAATACCTTTACCGCCTTTCCCACGCTATTCCCCTTCCAGCCATTCCAAGTCAATTTTCACACTTCAAGTCTTTCGTGAAGGTCATGACCATGATGACTGATCCTGTTCCGAGCGCTTAGAGACATGCTTAGGTCGACTCGGGAGCAAAAGAGCAGCACTCAGTGGGCATTCCACTTCCGCTGTTGATATATCATATGACGGTACTGAACAGTTGGCATTGAGCCAAGTCTGCCAGTGAGTCCAGACTGGAATAAGGTCTTCAATGGGCCTGAGTTAATCTGGGCACCTTCATAAGAGCGACAGTCACTGGAATTGAAAGCTGCAGGGAGGAGCCCGCTATGGGAAGGCACCCCCTAATGCAGTGGGAGCATAAAGTATATTAGTGTCGTACCTACCCTTGGGTAGCTACTTTAGGTACTAAGGTACGGCAGGATCTCCGTGAGCTCTCGCAGCTCGGCAGCTTCGGATGGAGTAATTTTTTCCTGCATCTCCTCTCCAGCTTCGGAATCGCAGACCGTGCACCTGGAGACGAGATGTCGCCGCTTTAGGCAGGTTTATGCGCCGGCAAGGTATTACTTGAACAGTGTGGTCATATATACATTAGAATACGAAGACTACAAGATGTGTAGGTTGTAGTTTGCTAACACGATTAATTGTTAACACAATCCCTCTTTGTGAGGTAAGGCAGCTTCCCCAGAACGCCAACGAGCAGCACCGGTGAGGAGACGCGGAGTAAACACGGCGGAGTTGGGCCGAGTTCGGGGCCCTGCGGAGAACCCGCTGTCCAATCTTGGCCGCGTCTCCAACTCTGGGCCCGCTGCTCCGCACAGGACTGTAGGGGAGTGGTCTGGACATCGGAGTTGCACGGAGACACCCGATCGTTGCTTTATTGCCCAGTCTCCCTCACCGGACATGTGAACTAGCTCGCGCCCGGTTTCCCCCTGGAACCCCGAAACGAAATCGAGGTCATCTGCCCCGATCTCGACCCAGGTGCTGACTGTGTGGTTCCTGTGGTGGCAACATCCCTTCACACCGAGAAAAAAAGTAGCATTGCTCCGAATAATTTGAACAGCGTAATCGATCCTCTTTTACAGAATATCATCGGGTAATATGGGATGTTCGGTTACCCCATCCCCAAGTATTTTGAATGCGGAGATCGGTCACCCCAAGTCGGTCCCCAGGCCGATCGCCGGGTAAATAACGCCATCCGACGGCGGTGAAAAAACTCACTCGCGTGGCCACGAACAATTTTGGAAGCCAATCCAGTACCAGAACCACCGTTAGAAATTTGGTAGATGGACGAGTGAATGGCAAATTCTAGAAAATCAAAATTTAATGGTACTACCCACGGGTCTAAAAAAAGTTGGTTGTGCCTGTCGGGACCGGGCTTATTGATTATCGTCGGGGGATGGCCATTCCTCTTGACTCAACCTCCCCGTCTCCACCCTTGATCTTCCCCCCTTCCCCCCTCCCAAGTCGTTCTGTGCGGTGGATTTTCGCATTTTGGTCTTCCAGTCTTCGAACCTCTAATTGCCCTGTGACACAATGGCAAGCGTGAAGGAAACCGTCAAGGAGACCTTGGTCGGCAGCACAGAGGAGCCTCATCTGTCGCACCAGGCCCGCTCCAATTTCCTGCGCCATGCGCGGAAGGACGACAAGGGCGAGCATTTCATGACCGAGGACGACTTTATCAATGCTGTCGCTCCTAAGCAAGAAGATTATGTGAGTGATTCCTCTCTCCTTATCCTTTTCGTCGCTGCGTTGGTGTTGTGTTTTGCGCTGAGCGCGGCCCTGCGTGACCACCGTGCTGACCTGTCCCCTTCCCTCCCCAGCACAAAATCAAGCGCGAGCAATATGGCATCCTCTTTCGCGTGGCCGACCGACGGAGGACTGGCAAGCTGAGCCTGTCCGACTGGGCCACCTTCGAGAACCTCCTGGCCAAGCCCGATGCCGAGTACGAGATCGCCTTCCGTCTTTTCGACCTCGAGGGCAACGGCACGGTCAAGTTCGACACCGTGCAAGCATTGTATAACCAGAGCAAGACCCCCGACAGCATCCCCTTCGACTGGAACTCCGAATGGGCCTCGCTCTACACCGGCCGCATCAAGTCCCGCCACGACATGACCTACCCGCAATTCTCCCAGATGCTGCGCGGTCTGCAGGGCGAGAAGATCCGCCAAGCCTTCCACATCTTCGACAAGGACGGCGACGGTTATATCGAGCCCGAGGACTTCCAGCGCATCATCCTCGAGACGTCCAAGCACAAGCTCTCCGACCATGTCCTGGAGAACCTGCCCTCCCTGTGCAACATCTCCACCAGCAACAAGATCTCCTACGCCAATGTTCGCGCCTTCCAGAACATCATGCGCGAGATGGATATCATCGATCTGATCGTCCGCGAGGCCACCAAGAAGAGCAGAGACGGCAAGATCACTCGTACCGATTTCCTGAACGAGGCCGCGCGCGTCACCCGCTTCTCCCTTTTTACTCCCATGGAGGCCGATATCCTCTTCCACTTCGCCGGTCTCGATGCGCCTTCCGGTCGTCTCGCCCAGAAGGACTTCGCCAAGGTCATTGATGCCTCATGGCGCATTCCCGTCGCTGTCGCCGGTCAGATTGCCGCTGGCGCGTCCGAGACCGCAGAGAAGGCCGGTTCGTTCCTGCACAGTGTTCTCGAGTCCGCGCACCACTTTGCTCTGGGTAGTATCGCGGGTGCTTTTGGTGCGTTCATGGTGTACCCCATTGATCTGGTCAAGACGCGCATGCAGAACCAGCGGTCCACTCGTCCTGGTGAGAGACTGTACAACAACTCGATCGACTGTGCCAAGAAGGTCATTCGGAACGAGGGTTTTACCGGTTTGTACTCGGGTGTCATCCCCCAGCTGATTGGTGTTGCTCCCGAGAAGGCCATCAAGCTCACGGTCAACGATCTTGTCCGTGGTTGGTTCACCGACAAGGAAACGAAGCGGATCCGATATCCTGCTGAGATTCTGGCTGGTGGTGCCGCTGGTGGTTGTCAAGTTGTAAGTTAGCCAGCATCCGATTGTTTGGGGAAGTGTTCTTCAAGATTTACTGACATCATCTGCTTCATCTAGGTCTTCACCAACCCTCTGGAGATTGTCAAGATTCGCCTGCAGGTTCAGGGTGAGATCGCCAAGAACGTCGAGGGTGCTCCTCGCCGCTCAGCTCTGTGGATTGTGAAGAACCTGGGTCTGGTCGGTCTGTACAAGGGCGCCAGCGCTTGTCTGCTGCGAGATGGTAAGGAAACAAGATCAACTTCACCTCACATCCGAACACAAACTAACCATCGCTTCCTTACTAGTCCCCTTCTCAGCAATCTACTTCCCCACCTACGCCCACCTAAAGAGCGACCTTTTCGGCGAAACCCCCACCAACAAGCTCGGCGTCCTCCACCTCTTGACTGCTGGTGCCATTGCCGGCATGCCAGCCGCCTACCTGACCACCCCCTGTGACGTGATCAAAACCCGTCTGCAAGTCGAAGCCCGCAAGGGCGAGACCAAGTACACCGGCCTCCGGCACTGCGCAACAACAGTGTGGAAGGAAGAAGGTCTGCAAGCCTTCTTCAAGGGCGGACCCGCCCGAATCCTGCGCTCGTCCCCGCAATTCGGCTTCACCCTCGCCGCATACGAGGTCCTGCAGAAGATGCTGCCCCTGCCGGGCACGCACGAGGAGACGCCCAGCGGACACGTTGAGCCGGGTATTGGGCTGCAGGGCGCGAAGGCGCCGCTCCCGTACCTCCGTTCAAGGAATGCGCTGAAGCTGATTCTGGATCTGGATCAGAATATCGGTCGCGTGCAGGTTCCCAGTCCCGGGAACTGGCCCAAGTTCATGCAGAAGCAGTGATTGCCAGTAGGGGTTAGTATTTAGTTTCATAGCGTTTTTTTTGGTTTTGTTGTTGCTGTTGACCTACCCCGATTTCGGGGTGAGGAGATTGGTTGATTTGGAACCTTTTAAAGCATGGATCTTGTTTCCTCCTTTTCTCTTGTATCGGATTGGGCTTTTTTCTGTCATCTTCCCCATTTCACCCCTCTGGATTTCTGACTGATTGTGATGTGGAATGGTCGGTTGAACCTCAAAATTCCCGCCTGCATGATTTCATCTCTTGCTTCTTTCTTCATCTGATGGCCTTGTGCATGTGCATTGTACCAATAAAGATAGATAGACTTGGAAAGGAAGGACGGGAAGAGCTATAGATGAGTATCTCTTTGGGCTTCCTGGGTCAATATAGAGGTACATATTACCGCGGTTTTTAACTTAGTCCTCCACAGTGTCCGAAGATCAGTCCGCTAAAACCAACATCAACAAACTAAGAATAGTCCGCCATGCCTACAGCTGCACCCAATTACCTAAAGTCCAAACATGCCCACGAAACCACGTTTGGCAGCAACAAACCCTGGAACTACCTCACCTTCATCGCCAGACCACTACTAGATAGAAATCTCCTCCATCAAATAGCAACCCGAACCCATACTTCCAGCACACCCGAATCACATTGATCCCCCCCAACAAAATCAGAAACAGGCGGCGTTTCCCCAAAATACCGCATCCCTCAATACAAATACGAGAATAAACTCACTCAGTTCGAAGAAGAGTTTGAGAACATCTGCCGAGATGAATTCTCTGTGCACACGGAGATGCGGTTGATAGCACACTACGAAGCTGGACACGCTTCTACACCAACGTTGGGTTACTTCGGGTGTAGCAAGAAGACATATTTGCTATACGAGACTTTTCTGAGCGCCTGTCCAGCCCGTCCACTCATACCTAACCGACGCAGCGCAAAGTCGTCGATACAGGTCCCTGGATGGATCTTGATGTACATCCCGATCTCGGAACGGATCGTCCTTCTATACGCCAATTGCGCGTTAAATGCAACCTGGGCGCCTAAATACTGGAATAGGGAAATTGGGAATGTTTTGGTTGTTCGTGAGGATGATAAAGATCGTTCTGTCAAGGATGTGGCGATGATGTGTCACTTTGCAACGTTTATTTTGGAGTCTAAGTTCTCGCGGAGTTGCTGGAGTCTGGGGCAGGTTATCGGGAGAGACGGCGTGTTTTGGATTTTATCAGCTGGGAGAACACTGTGAACTACGCCGGGACGAAAGGTATGGAGCAGGAAGAAGAGGAATCGTCATGAGTTGTGTAGATTGAACGACATGCAAGATATCTGCTCGGTTCGTTCAACCTTGAATCAGATATGCATAATATTCACAAGTATAATACAATGACCGGAAAACCGGGTTAGAAAAAGTTCATTTTCCGGGTCGACTGAGTTTTCCTCATAGTCTCATCATCCGCACTAGCCGTCGAAGGCACGGCGGAATCCTTGCCTTGAGACATTTGCGTAGGCTCAGTACGTTCCTTAGGAGGTTCAGGAATCGTTTCCTTCTTCGACCTTTGGCTCCACAGGGTGTCTTCCTGTTCGATTTCTCGCAGAACTGCAAATCCCGGGAGGAATTAGGAACTCGAGCAGCAAATAAATGAGGGCAGAAAAGCTCGACGTACCTTCTTCCCATTCCTTCTCCTTCGCCTCGTCACCCGTGCCCAGCAATTTTTCCACATCCACCTTCTCCCCACTCTTCACGCGCTCAATGACCTCCTTCAGCAGCTCGATCTTCGCGTCCGTCGTCCGTCGGTATCCCGCATAGTCGTTCTTCAATGTGAGCATTCGGATGGCTTGCGAGCCGATGAGCGTGAACATGATGATGTAGAAAGTAGCTGGGTTCCATTCTTTCGACTCGCTCTTCTGGCGCGGCTTGCGATTGCGAATAAATCGAGGAATCATCGCTGTCCATACTGAGGCATCTGCGATCTTCGGGAGTCGGTCGGAGGTACCGTAGCTTCGTGACGGTGATACGCGGCACCGGGCGGGAGGGGTAATTTGCTTAGGGACATTAAAGAGGTTCCGACTCAGCCCGGAGGGCCTTAATCGGAGTGGCATGGCCATGGCTGTGAGAATGAGGCGGATTGTCGCTGTCGCGAGGGTCCCGCAGCGGCAAAGGCAAAGTTTTTGATGCCTGAGGCAGATACACCGTATCGGGTTTAGCGTGTGTTGTTGCTGCGACAACACGCCGTCGGAGCCACACTGGTGATCCAGCTGCGAGCGTGTGGTGACGCCGATAGCAGCTGCACAGCTTCAATTCGCCCCGGCCGATGACTGCAGACCTCCTGCACGTCTACTAACTCCGACATGGCGGTCACCATCCTACCAGCCAACTCCCTCACGGAGTCTGTCAAGCTAGCAGTCCGGTCAACAACAACATGCTCCGATTCAACCGTGTTGTCCCTCCAAACCCTCCTCCGCGGATCGTCAAAGGCCCCCTCAAAGCCCGCACGAAGGAATACAAAGACCTCCAAGGAACCGACACAGCCTGCCAGCCGTACGAGAACCGCCCGAACGACCAAAACAAAAGCAAGCGCTGACGCCGCGCTGCACACCGTTAGCGACCAGGATGCGGCGGCATTGACGCTCCAGGAGAAGCTGGTGCTTGCTACAGAGGTGTTTAATGTCACATTGAAGACACTGACCGACGCGTCGAAAGTCGCTGCTATGAAGCGCCAAACACCTATCTCCGACAATGCCTCGACCAAGCCCGAAGGAAGGACAAACGCAACGGGTGTTGATTCGGGTATCTATTCGGCTGCAGAGTGTGCGCGTCTCGCTCTATCGACATTGCGCACTCTCAAGAATGATGTGGGAAGCCAGGATTTGCCCAACATGCAACTCGAGCAAGGGGTCTGCGTGTTGGCGGGGAAGTTGATCTCTCTCGGATTGAATGATATGGCATGCAAGGAACTTCGGTCTCTTAAGCGGAGGATGCAACAAAACCTCGATTCAAAAGAGACTGGGAAGAAGTTGGCAGAGTCGAAGGATACGGCAGATGAGGACAACGGAAAGGAGAGAATGTCTGATCTGCTCACCTTCTCGAACATCGCTCACGCGCAGCCCTTGTACGGACTCTTGGTTCCCTACCACTCGAATGCGATGCGCCTTCTTGCCTCGGAAAGGCGAGCCTCGACTATCCAGAAAATATGTCCGCTTTTGCAACTCTCCGACCCAAGCAGCCCTGCTCAAATTATTATCGCCGCCATGACATCCGGCGCCCTGCCCAGCGATAAGGCCGCCCTCCAACTGCAACTGCTGTCGAACACTGTCCTTTCACTATGCTCTGGGAAATCTGCCTCGAACGAAGACTCAACAAGCAAAGAAGTCCTTAAGCCAATCACAGCATTGACGCTTCAATTGCTGTCCCTCGAAATCCGATCTTTGGGGTGGAAGATATCCGGCCATGTGTGCGACGAGAGCAAAGAGACCTTCGACCCTCTTCTCCGATACCTTGGCAACTTCTCGCACCGCAGCAAAGGAGTTGAGAAGGCCGAGTTTTCCCACGATTTACAAAGCGGTTTCTCGAATTCAGTCAACAATGGCCGAGGTCAAGAAGAGGCCCCAGGATACAAAGGATTTAAATTCCGGCGCCAAAATTATGACTATTCTTGGCCAACTTGCTTTGGATTCTGGCTGCTTTGAGGAGTCTCTGAAGCTTTTTTCACAAGCCATTACCCCGTTTACAACGTCCCAAAGCCTTTCTCTTGCTACAGTTCGATGTAAAATCGCCTCGGTGTATTTCCAAGCTCTCAAGGGCTCGAGCAAATATCTGGATGGAGCTCTGAAGTCTACTTCTGAAGCTACAGATGCTTTGGGCTTGCAGTTGAGGGGAAGTTCGGGGGACTTGGACGAGTTACTCGTTGAAGCTGCGAGGTTGAAGAAGCTTGCTCTCGCCTGGTTTGGCGAAGCAATGACGAAGAAGTTGAAGAGCGACAACGAAAAGAACGAGGTCGCTTCTCAAATTCGAGAATATCTTCAAGCATTCCTCAGGTTCTTGAGGCGATACGTTGGACGATCACTGGCAGAGAATAGCGAAGAAAAAGAAGTGGAAATGTTCAAGAACCGCATTTCCGTGTCAAAAAGCATCATCCTGGCCGCCGTGGACTCTGCCATCGCGGTTGGAAAGCTATCGATCGTGTCCCAAAGACCACCTTGGGAGGACATGCTTCCAATTTTGACAGATTGCCATCGCCTGCTCTCGAGCATTAAAACTGCCGTTGACGCCGACTCTGATGCGTCATTGACAGAAAACATCGGCTTGGGACTCGTGAAGCTTTCCAACCTTTTCTGGTCCCGCTACATCAAGGAGAAAGAGGCTGGTCAAGGGCATCGTGAACTGGTTCCTCTTCTCAAGCAGTCGACCCAGCTTTTGTCGGGATGTTCGTTGTCTCACAGAACGACCGCTTTTGCGGCACTTAAGTTCGAGCGTACCGCTTATCTCTACCTTGATGGTAATATGTCTGCCGATGCCGAGAAAGCCTTCCGACAGTCTATTTCCGAGTACATCGATGCTGGTACCCTGGAACAGGTACTTGATAGCCATGCCGCATGTCTACCTTCACCTAACCAGGACCCCCAAAGTCCCAACTTTATGCTCAACCGGGTTCTTACCGGCTTGCTCAAGTTAAAGCTGCGCGGGAAGGGATCGAAATCTTTAAGCTTCTATGATGACAATGGACTTGAAGCTGATGCAAGAGGCATTCTTCTGGAATGGCAGATGAGCTTGCTTTTTGATCTCCAAAATTACTCCTCGAACGAAGAAGATTTTCGCTCAATTTTCAGCACCCTTGTCTTCACCCTTCTCGACATTTACTCCCCCGAGGCCTACCCTGTCCGCCATGGCCGCGTAACCCTCTCAATTCTCCGATTCTTGCTGGAACAGCCCAGTGCCTTGGACTCGGACATGACTAATAAGATCATGATCGAAGGAGCTCAAGATTTGGACCGAGCGATTACAGTTAGCCAAGACAAGACCTTGGCCCGATTCGTCACACACATCACTAACTCACTGCGTGTCATCGTTGGCTTCCACGAAGGCAAGTTGGATGCAGGTGAATTGGATGATATCCTCGCTTCCTGGACCTCGATCACTCGTCAATGTCCTGACTGGGACTCTCTAAATCTCTACGTTCATGACACAGACTACTTGGTTCTCCAGCTTAAGGCTCTAGTTGACTATACGGAGATTCATGGGCTTTGGAAAGCGCAGCTTAGTGCCCTGGAGCTGATTCTGCGCGTGGCAGAACTCCAGAAATCCGGCGATCTCTCAGACGCCATTGTTATTCTCTCTCGCTTGGTGCTGCAGCATTGTCAGCTCGGACACTGCCAAAAGGCAGGTAGCCTCCTCTCTCGCGGGGAGCAGTATCTCGCTCAGCATAAGGTTTCCTCTTTGGCGACTATCTCGCTCAAGTTGGCTCGCGTGGAATATCTCCTCGAGACTGGGGAAGTCGTCAAAGCCGCAGCAACTCTTTCGGCGGCTAGGGTACTGTACGAGAAGAGCCAGAAGTCGGACGAGCTGGGTAATTTGTCGGTCCTCGCCAAAATCTCATGGGAGCGTCTGGTTGCAGATGCCGCCTTTGTTCAGTCGCGGCTGTCAACGGCGCAGGGTTCAATGACACATGCTTTGTACTTTGCTAAGCTGTCCGTGCGATTGAACTGCCGGATATGGGCGAAGGTTGAGAGACTGGCCCAAAAGAAGCAAGACAAATCCTTACCTGCAACAGCAAGCTCCGATGTTGAGGCTGTTGCAGAGGGAATGGCTAAGCTGGAATTGTCACAAAATGGGTCATCTCCTGATGTCTCAGCCAGCTACACCCAAGGAGCTCCATTCTGGCCTCATCTTGGCTCGCACCATACTTGCTTGTTGAACCTTGCAACTCTATCTGCCCACCACGGCCTGTTCCAAGATGCCATTTATTATGGAGAACAGGCTTTGAAGATCGACAAGACACTTGATGCCAACGTCCGTCTCGTGGCTGCTCAGACACAACTGGGCTGCTACCGGACCCTTGGTGGCAATGTCGTTGAAGGCCAGGAACTTCTCACGGCGGCTTCGCAATCGTCAAAGCAACTCCCGGCTAGTATCGAGACAGTTGCTTTGCAGATGGCTCTTGCTTCGCTTTACAAGGCACAGGGCCATCATGATAAAGCACTTCGATTGCTTCAGGAGGCTGATAAAGTGATTACCTCTATCGCTGCTTCTGATTCCGCCAACGTTTCGGAAGCGCCGAACGTTGCTGCCCTTGAGGAGAAGATGGAGAAGCTGCAGGTGCGGACTTCTCGGCGAACACAATCGACCACTACAACAACCACGACCCGCCGCACCCGTGCTACGAGCTCAGCAGCTTCGACTGCTCCCACCAAGAGAGCTTCGGCTCCCAAGGCCCCGCGACCTGTGGCTGAAGTTCAATCCAAGTCCATCATGCGTCTCAAGGGTGACGTACTCCGGCAACAGGCGAACTGTCTACGTGCTCTTCGGGACTTCGATCGTTCCGCCCGCACTTTGACTGAAGCTAGACAATTTGCCACTGCTCGTGAAAGCAAGGTTTCCCTTGAAATTGGAGAAAGTGAGCATCTTCTCGCTGATGCTATTCGCAAATTCGCCAGTCACGCCGTGTACTGCGTTCTTCCCGAATCAACCATCTCGCTTCCGTCGCTCAAATCACCATCTAAGAATGCTGAAGAGACAGCCCCGCCACCCGCGAAGCCTTCTACGACTAGAAGAACCAGAGCACCTACTCGGGGAACTCGCGACAAGGCTCAAAAGGCCAGCGAGGATTATTCCATGATGCTTTCGAAGGCTAGCGAATGCCTCACGAGCGTCTTTGCTGATGCTACCGTTCTTGGATCGACTCTTGAAAGCCATGCGGCGTCTCGACTCATGAGCCGGATTTCGATGCTTTCCCACGCTACTAGCCCTGGAGGCTCAGCGACACTTGGCCAATCGCCCGCGAACATGAACGGTAAGCATTTTCACCTGCTCAAACTGTCAGTAGTTCTAGGTATCTAACTCCACCGAAGAAATCGGTCGTGTCGGCGCATTTTCGCGAGAGCGTGTTGCTATTGACTTCGATCGTAAACTAGTCGACTACGCAGATCCACTCCTCTGGCCTTCATCGGCACCATCAACCATCGAAATGGACGAAGAGATCTGCTCTAACTTTGCTGAGAACTACATCGACATCCTACCTGAGAGTTGGAACGTTCTCTCCCTTTCTCTGAACGCAGACCAAACCGAGTTCGTCGTGTCGCGCCTTCAGAAGAACCGCTCTCCCTTCCTTTTGCGACTTCCCCTTCGCAGAGGAAACTCTGAAGATGACGAAGAAGAGCAGTTTACCTTTGAGGATGGCAAGGAGGAGATGCAAGAGCTGGTCCGATTGGCAAACGAGAGCGCGCACGCCGCCAAGCTCCAAACAGACAAGCAAATGAAGAAGGACTGGTGGAAAAATCGCGAAGCGCTCGACCGTCGCATGGAAGGCCTGTTGCAGAATGTAGAAAACATTTGGTTCGGAGGCTTCCGCGGCATATTCTCGCCTCTCTCGCGGCATAGTGCTGCCCTGGCCCGATTCGCGAACGCCTTCCAAGGTATCCTCGATAAGCACCTGCCTTCTCGACAAAAGGGTGGCAAGGCGGCTTCGCCTCGACTTACGCTGCATCAGAATGTCGTGGAGTTGTTTATTGGGCTGAGGGATTTGGAGGAGCAGGAAGAACCTGAGGATATCCTGATGGATCTGCTCTACTTTGTGGTCGACATTCTCCAGTTCCAGGGTGAGCGCAATGCCTACGATGAGATCGACTTTGATATGATGGTTGTCGATACACTCGATGCTCTGCGTGGGTATCACGAGGCTGCAAAGGAAGAACTTGCCTCCCGACCACCAAGTCACACGGTATTGGTTCTTGATAAGGCCCTCCATCTTTTCCCGTGGGAATCGCTCCCTTGTCTCCAGGGCTTTCCGGTCTGCCGTGTTCCATCTCTGGAGTGTCTCCGCGAGCGTGTTCTTCAATTCCGCGACTCTGCCTCCGGTACTATTCTCGATCGCTCGTCGGGTGCTTACATTCTCAATCCGACCGGCGATTTGCGCACGACACAGGAGACATTCGAAAAGGATCTCTCGAGTCAAAAGTCATGGACCGGCATCACGAAGCGCGAGCCGACTGAAGATGAATTCCGAACCTCCCTGGAGACCAAAGATCTCTTCTTGTACTTCGGTCATGGAAGCGGTGCCCAGTACATTCGCGGCCGCACGGTGAAGCGACTGACCAAGTGCGCTGTTGCCTTCCTCATGGGCTGCAGCAGTGGCTCGCTGACCGAGGCGGGCGAGTACGAGCCATACGGCACCCCGATGAACTATCTCCAAGCGGGCAGTCCGGCTCTTGTTGCGACATTATGGGATGTGACAGACAAGGACATTGACCGATTCTCGACATCAGCTTTTGACACGTGGGGCTTGCTGGGGAAGGAGAAGATGGATAGAAAGTCTCATGCTGAATCGGGCGACATTGGCTTGGATACGGCGATCGCAGGGGCGAGGAGTTCGTGTGTGCTGAAGTATCTGAATGGAGCTGCGCCGGTGGTTTATGGTGTGCCGGTTTTTTTGGAATGATTGTGAATGATGGCATGACTGGCGTGGATTCTGTTACCATTTCTGTGTTTGTTTTTTTTTTTTTTTCTTTGTACATTTTCCTTTATCTCGGCGTTTCTCCACTGTGGGCAGCATCTGGATTCGTTTCTCCGACCATCAGTGATACCTTGAGCGTCTATCTGTATTCTTTGGGTGCCTGTATTAGCACAGTGCCGCATTTCAGCGTGAATTGCATTCTTTGGACACAGAAAGTTCCGGTAGTTTCAGTAGAGCACCCTAAATCCCTTGTTAAGCTCCGACACTGCACAGACGGAGTCTCGTCCGATCCGACCGAACCCGGTCCCTCATCTTTGATGACATTCTCCGAGAGTGGAGCTTCCCCTCACGGGGGGCAGTTAAACCCCGCGGTAAACGTCAGTCCGCCTTCAACGCCGCTTTCGAATATAAATCATCAGCTGCCCCCTCCGCTCTACCCCCCTTTCCTCTTCGAGCTATCTCTAATAATGTCGGTCACCACAAAAGCTACCATCGCCTCCTTCGGCGGCAAGCTGCTCAAGCTTAGCCACAATGCCACCACCACCCGTTGCGAAATGTCTTTCAACCTCTACCTGCCTCCGCAGGCGCAAACCCAGAAGGTCCCTGTTCTGATCTACCTGTCTGGTTTGACTTGCACTGCTGAGAACTGCTCTGAGAAGGGCTTCTTCCAGCATGGTGCTAGCAAGAAGGGCATTGCTGTGCTTTACCCTGATACCAGTCCCCGTATGTGAAGATTTGTCAACCTTTGTTTCTGAAAAGGGAAGCGTGTTTGGAACTCGCTTCCATCAGAGAGAGCATGCGCTGACTCTGTCAATCTCAGGTGGTCTCAAGATTGAGGGCGAGGATGACTCTTATGACTTTGGCTCCGGTGCTGGCTTCTATGTTGACGCAACCAAGGCTCCCTACAATGCTGGCTATAACATGTACAGCTACGTCACTGAGGAGCTGCCCCAGACTGTCTTTGCTGCTTTCCCCCAGCTTGACTCTAGCCGCGTATCTATTACCGGTCACAGCATGGGTGGCCACGGTGCCTTGACTCTGGTAAGCAAATCACATTTCTCTATCGCCATTCCATTATCCCGCACTCAACTCTGGCATTTCAAGCACTTCAAAACATGATCCAGTATGTTTACTAACGTTATCTACTAGTTCCTCCGCAACCCCGGAAAGTACAAGTCCGTCTCTGCCTTCGCCCCCATCACCAACCCCATCAACTGCCCCTGGGGCCAGAAGGCTTTCAAGGGTTACTTCGGCGAGGACCAGCAGCAGAAGTGGAAGGAGCACGACGCCACTGAGCTTCTGAAGAAATGGTCCGGCGGTCCCCTCGATATCCTAATTGACGTGGTACGTTTCCCTCCCCCTCCCTCAGACTTCAACATTATACACAATGAATGACCACTAATACTGATCCAGGGCACGGGCGACAACTTCTACAAGCAAGGTCAACTCCTCCCCGAGAATTTCGAGGCCGCAGCCAAGGAGGTCGGCCAATCCGGCTTGACTGTGCGGTACCAGCCGGATTACGATCACTCCTACTACACAATGGCTTCCTTTGCCGATGACCATGTCGAACATGCGGCGAAGTACCTCTTTGCATAGTGTGTGATCCTCCTTATCTCCCCTGACAACCTTACGCTCCGGAGTTGTTAGATTATTATCAGATTCTCTCGGGAATCGATGTATAGATTGGAGCTTTGTTTTTGCGAAAATTTGATGACGAAATGTTTGAACACGATTTCTGATTTTGGCTCTTTTTCAAGTTCGAATGGGCGCCAGAGTACGGTTAAGGCTTCTATCTGAGAGGTGGATGTTTTCGAAAAGACCGAGGCGTGAAAAGCTTTGAGAGATTAGCACAGCAAATCACTAGTTCACAACCTGAACATCGTGATGGCCGTCACATGGAGCATCACGTGATGCTCTTCGTGGTAATCCCCTAGGGTTGGCGGAGACTCAGTTGGCATCTTCTACCAGAAGAGTTTTAGCTGTATCAGCTAGATTTGTGGGCGACCTGCAATGATTTCTCATAATCCTAAAAATAAATGTTGATGCCTTAATTTCCCTTGAACCCTGAGAAAGTCATCTTTTAAGCAGCTTCCATTCATCTTGGGACGATATATTTGGAGGTTGATGCTTCCTCCTGGTCCCAGACCACACCCCCATCATGGCTTCGCTCATCAAAGCAAGTCAATTTTATCAGGTGAAAGATTATCATATAATTACCTAATCAAAAACTCGAGGTAAGCGTCCCATGTCCGAAGATCAGATAAAAAATAGGTCTAATATAAGGTCGAGGTTGTTGTCCAATCCTGCCGAGTACTCGAGTTTAGCGACTGATATATGTAGATCAGATAAACAAGGTCCAATAATGGTCGATTTATTGTTCAATTCTAGTCGAGTCCGGACCAAAACAATAATATAAATTAAGACCAATCAAGTCCACAAAAGTGCCAAATCACTTTTCCCTTAGTTTCCACTCACTTCTGTAGAAGAATGACTAGGCGCAAACCCGCCTGGTGCAAGACGGCCCTCTGGCGCCGAGTTGATACTAACATCCTTAGTATGCGACCCAACTTGGCGTCGGTGGGGCGTTTTCTGTCCGGCGGACCTGCGTCAAGTCTTCCAGTTTCAAAAATGAGGGATCACTGAGGCGTGGGCGAGTTCAGGTTACCTGGGCGTCTTCGGGCAGGTGAGCGCATACGTGCTGAGTTGGTACTAAGTCCCATAGTATGCGACCCAACTTAGCGGCGGTGGGGCGTCTCTGAGCAGGCGAGCCTAAACTGAGTCTCCCAGTTTCAAGAGTGGGAGGTATCACTAAGAAATAGGCAAGTTTGGACTACTTAGGAGTCTCTGGCCAGGTCACATGAGCCTGTGCTAAGTTGGTACTAGGTGCCATACTGTACGACCCAACTTAGCGTCATTGATGCATTTTCTGCCAGGTGAACCAGCGCCGAGCCTCACAATTTCAAAATTGGTGGATCACCGAGGCGCAGGGGAGCTTGGATTACTTGGGCGTTTTAGACAGAGGGATACCGTCACATACTGCCTTTCATCTTATATTTGCGTGGTACAGCCTGTCCCTGTCCAGGGAGTGTAATTGTGGGCTTCACGAATCTTCGCCTTTTTATACTCGAGACGTCTGCTGATGCCTCCGTGCATCTAATACGGGCTCCCTCGACCCCAAGAGATGAGGTTCCCTCACTTCTACCATGCTTTACGAGATGATATAGGTGACAGTCAGGGGACTGTGAAACATGCTTGTCGAGAAAGAGAGAGAAGGCACAGCTCGGATACTTCTATCTGGTATGCCAGATCATGCCACGATCAAAGATCCCCGGATCCTGACCGGTTATTCAACATAATAGGTGGAAATGCTTTTGACTTTTCTTGCCTGAAGCTTTTTTAACATGAGTCTTCCAAGAGGCGGTGAGTTATCTGCCTGGGCTTTAACAGATAAAGACTGACAAATTATCCCAGGGACTCTCAACCGGCGGTCTAACTCATTTCAAATACAGCGTTGTTCAGATTTCGCACACGGTTGGTCTCGAGCTGGCCATTATGGATGAGGCCAGAAAGGTCATAGATGCTGATAGGTGACCGGTTTTCGCATGATACAAGCCAATCGCATTTGATCTCTTTGGGTACAGTTTCCAACTACCTCCATATCCTCACGTCCTCCACCACGTAGTACTTTTCCGCGACGAGAATAAACCGCTAGTCAAAATGGCTTCATTTACTATCTGGCGATTCGAGCTCGGCAGACTGAATCTTCAGAGATTAATGTCGTCCTCAACACATCTCGAAATCAATTCATTCATCTACCTAATCCGACCCAACCTTACGCTACCACAGTAGACGAAATCCAGCTCGATCAAAAACGTAGTAATCAATTCCTCCACCAACCAGCCCTTGCTAGACCTCGCTGAAATGAAAAGACATTCACACTAGGGTAAAAGAATGGGGAAACGCCCGCGGTACGATGCTGCAACTGCAAATGCAATGCACCATGAAATAAAAGATCGCTATGTACTCAATCATTCTCGATGTTTTTAGATTCAATTGTATTCCAGAACCTTTTTTATTGCTTTTTGAAAAGGGTATTCTTTTGGGGGGTTGGGAGTGTGACACGCGGTGCGGTGGTATCGGTATTGGATCCATGAGGCGGACGGGCTCAGATGAACGTAGATGGTATGAATTTCACGGCCTGGATGTATATGCGTTTTCATTACATTTTACATCTCAGGTTAGTGCGAGGATAGACATCACCTCGTTTTCTCGTCAAACAAAATATGGCATGGGGGAATCTAGTAACCAGAATGGAAAGAAATGTCGTAGAAAGGGGCAGAGGTAGGGGTGCTTCAGCCGCTCAGACGCTGAATGAAAGACTATGAAAATGAGTGTTAGCAGGAGACACGGAAAATATCGAGGGGAATGGCTTCTTACCGGGAAGAACTGCCGGAAATTCCTCAGGTCCAGCTGGGTCAATGCCGTCAGGAATTCCTCGATGAGGTCGGAGCCCATGCCCATGCCAGGCAGCTCGTTGTTCCGGAGGTAGTCGGCATATTCCATACCCGTCTTCTGGTAGATAGTGCGTTGCAGGGTGCCAGCTTCGGCAAGAACCTGCTTCGCCTGAGCGTCTTTCGAGTTGAAGGATGGGTTGGCGGGGAGTGCCCAGCACAGGGGCGAGAAGCGGGTGATCATGAAGCCGCCGAAGCCGGGGAGTGCGGCCCGGTTAGGGGCGGTTCCGTTGGCTGCAGCTGGAGCAATGTCGGGTCCTCCCCAAGAAAGACCCATTTTGGACAACACCGAGAATGCCATCTTGGCGGTGGTGTAGTCTTCAATGTCCTTGGCAAAATGCTCGAGGCTGGTAACGACGGTTTCGAAGAGAGTTTGGTTTCCTGTTGAAAGTTAGCTATGACACTATGATTCAAAAGCCAAGTTAGACTTACTCTCGCTAATGATCACAGCTCCGAGATCGTTGTTCAGAACTGCCAGCAAGAAGTTCAAATATTCACGCTTGAGCTCTGCAAGCTGAATCTCATCGTCGGTACCCGTTGTCGGCTCGGCGATTCCAGCAAACACACGCTGGAGGAAGGGGGTCAGGAGAGTATCAAGAATGCTGTAAATTTCACTCTTAAAGCCGAAAATCACCTGGTCCAAAAGACGCAGGAACAGGGCCATTTCATCCCGCGACGAAGTCTCAGTCATAAGCCCATCAATCCAGCGGGGCAACTGAGGCAGAATGCGTGCGCCCTGAACGCCAATGAAGCGCGAGAACGCGAACCGAGAAGCAGTGCGAACGTTGAAAGAGCCCTTGAGAGACTCGAGTGCAACCAAAGTCGCTTCAGCAACTTGAGAAAAGGCCTCGGAGACCTCGGGGGCAGGCAAGTTCGCCGTAGTGTGGCTGCCAGGGGTCCAGTCGGAAAATCCACGGGCGAAAGTACCCAAAGCCATGATGTCGTGGTGGATCTGCAGGATGGCTCGCTCGTCGTTGGTCTTGGCCACTTGGATGGCCTGCTCCATATCGGTAAAAATAGGCTGCAACACTGTTTGCGCGTAGAGAACCTGTTTATCGGCAGGGACTCCATGGGTGGAGCAAATGATGCCGACAGCTTCAAAGAGATACAGCTGGCTGTTGAAAATGGCATCGGCAGAGCTCTCATGGTCTTCCGAAGACATTCCATCGCCATCATCGCCTTCTGAAGGAAGCTCGGCCTTGATCACGAGGAGCTTGAGCAGAGCCTCAACGACAGTCTGAGCGACATTGCCGATGAGTGCTCGCAACTGCTTCACCAGTCGCTGGAACAGGTACCAAGAACGGGTCTTGACCTTCCGGTTAGGGTGGTGGACGAGCTTAAGGAAACTATCAAGGACAACGGGGATAAGGTGCTGGTGGTGCTGGAAGAAAATGCTGTAGCGGACGCAGATCTCCATGTACTGAAGTTGGGTGGCAGGGTGTGTGAAGAACTGGATATCACACTCCATCATACGGTTCATCATGTCAATAAGCTTGACTGCGGCAGGACCTGCAGGGGCATTCTTGTGATAGATACCACCACCCTTGACGGCCAGATCGCCAAACAGGAACATCTCATGCAGAGCGAGTTCCAAGTCGCGCCAATCGATTTGACCCTGTGTAGCACGCACACTTGAGAACGTATTTTCGACCGACTGCGAAATGACACTGATATAAAGCTCCTCGTGGGAGTTGGCAATGACATGCTGCAGTACGCCCAATCCTTTACGAAGCTCCAGGAACTCGGCTTCATCTGTTTGCTCGTCTTCATTGCCCCAGTCCGAGGTCTCATCATAGCGTGTCTTCGCGATGATCGCCGTCAAGAAACCGCGCAGAAGCTCAGCGTTTACGGGTTCGTAGTAGGATGGGTTTGACTTGTTGAGCTTGCGGATGTATTGAAGCATGTCGTTCACACAAGCGACAACCGTCGAGCACACTTCGTCATACTCGTCGGAGAAGTAGCGCAGCATGTGGGGAACGAATTCTTGCAGAAGAGTCTCGGCTTTCTCCTTGACAGGGCCGGTATCGGACTCCAGCACCCGCACAATATCCAGAACAGTGATATTCACAAGCTTGGCCACGGTCTCTGCCAAGTCCGTATCGTAGTCGGGCGTTGATCGGTTCTGGTGAAGGGGCGGGCTGTTCGACAACTCGGTAACAATCAGGTTAAGCTTCAAGAAATCAATCATTTCGATCTTGTCCGCAGGCTTCATCTTCTTGCCGATAATCTCTGTGAAAACATCAACAGCCGCATCGCGCACCCGCCGTTCTCCATCACGCAGCTCCTGTTTCTTGGCCCGACCGAGCAGCTGGAAGAGCAAGTCCAACATGGTCTGGTTCACAACAAGACCAATATCGATCCAGCTAACCCAGCTACCGACAGCCTTCAGACACATGGCAACCACCACATCTTCACCATCCTGCCACGCGGAAAGAATCTCTTGCCAAGAGCTGGCAATCTTCTGCATGTCCCGCTCCCGAATCAGATCCTTCAGATTGTTCGCCTTGTCCTGCTCACCCCGCGACCGCGAGACGAGCACATCGCCAATCTCCTCGTGGATCGAGTTCACCACACGCAGGTAAAAAACAATTCCGAGCGGGTTGTCACGAGTCGTGCTGGTGGAGGACTTGTAGGTGAGGCCTAGGAGATCATCGAAGCAGGTTTCCCAACCATTGGCGTAAAGAGCGGAGAAGAGGAAAGTAACGGTCTGCGCAATTTTGTTTTGGATGTAGGGGGCATCGGGGACACCGGTAGCATCAGGTCCGTACACCTGCCGAAGGTACGAGAGCAGTCCATCCTTGACGACGACCAGCGAGCCCAAATGAATCAAGCCCGCCTGGGCTGCGCTGTTGACGATCTCTAAGCTTGCATGTCGCACGATCTCGGGCTGTGGTGGAGACTTGATGAAGAGGCTGAGGCAGACCTGCCACCCGGAGGGATCGGAGCGGAGTTGGTTAAGATAGTCGAAGGCTTGCGACTTCAGGGCTTGGTCGGAGGACGGATTCCAGGCGATCTCAATGGCATTTGCTACCTGTGATAAAATGTGTCAATGCGCCGGTCAAGATTCGAAGTCGGTCGAGGGGCCCTCGTGTGGAGGGGCAGCGGTGGGGGAGGGGTCCAGGAATAATTTTTTGCAGGATTTCAAAGGGACCAGAAATGAAAAAGCATACCTGTTCTTCCATCTTCGACCAGCCGGACTCCCTCTGAGTGTGGACGGGGGGAGGAGGACGTAACGAGGGGGGGTGTGTGTTGGGTTCAAAATTGTTTTCGGTGGAGGAGCACATCCATGGTATCGTAATCGGATTTCCGTGCCTAGGCTCCGCCCTTGTCTTTGTGCCCACTTCTCGACAAAATTGCGGTCGGTTGGGGGTTTGCAGATGGGAGATTCGAATAACGACAAAGGATGCTTTTACGGGGTGTTCGGTGCGTCCGAATAGGGCAAGGGGTTGCGTGATTCCGTGCTGTTTAGCTGCCTGACATCACAGATCAGACATCACACGACTACACTAACCCCCCAAGTACACTACAAATTACATCACAACCTGGATCTACAAGATAAAACAGATATGAGAGAATGTCTATGTCCAAGACGATCTATTTTCAAGATAGACACCTCTTGCTAAACTCGCCATCGGGGGTATCATAGCAGGGTCAACAACTGCCGATCAAGGGCAACCCGAAGAATACTCCGATTCTTTGTGCATTTCACATCCAACGCTCCACCTCACTCATACTTCTCATCTACCGTATTTTCCGGGATGTGCCATCCTCATGACTATGAGAACCAGATGCGTTGCCGTTGGTTGTATGATCATGGTCGTGGTCGTGGTCGTGGTCGTGGTCATAGTCATGTTCTTGAGACTCGGGGCTCGCCTCAATATCTTGTGTGATGAACTCCTCTTGAAAAGTAAGTTCGGGTTGCTCGACGGGAATGACGTGGAACTTCACACGCTTCACACCGCGAACTTTGTCGCCGATCGCCTTGCGGACAGCCTCCTCGACGTTCCGTGACCGATTAATCGCCCACGCTCCAGGCACGGCCAACTCAACATCCATGAGGTAGTTCTGTCCAGATTTCATGCCCTGAATATCGCGGATAACCACTTGTCCTCCATCGGCAAGGTCCTTGAGAGCCTTGGCGGCAGCTTTCTGCACATTGGTCTTGATATCATCGTCCACGGTCGTATCGGCCAGCTCCAGGAGGGAAGTAATAGTGTTGCCCCAACCCGCTTTGATGACCATCAAGGAGATCAGAAGTCCGCCAACCGGATCCAGCCAGGTGGCGTCTTGGAACACATAGCTTCCACCAATCGTAAATAAGGCCACGATGCTTGTCAGGGAATCGATGCGGTGGTGGATGGCGTTGGAGGCAAGCACGGACGACTTGCGCTCTTCTGCAACTTTCATAGCTTTGGAAAGGTTAGCGGGTTGGCCGAGGCATGTCATTGCGTATGCCGGTATACTCACTGGCATGGTAGAGCCACTCCTTAATGACAATTGAGCCAGCGGCGAGCCAGGCCGCGTGGATGCTGGGGCCCAGCACCTCGATGCCATGGCTGTGTGAATGACCATGACCCAAAATCCCGGAGTGAGCTACCGTTTCAGCTACGTCTGGGTAGAATTGGGCCAGCAGGACCTGTCCTGCATTGAGACCCATGAACACACCGCCGCAAAGCAGGAGACCGCTCACCCCTAGGGCGCCGATGCTCTCCACTTTCCCGTATCCATTCGGGAATTGATCACTGGGCGGTTTGAGGGACCAGGCGACCGTTCCCAGTGTCAGAAAGTCGGAGACGAGGTCGGTGAGGGCGTGGTAGGCGTCGGCAATGAGGGCTTGGGAATGGAAGACGTAGCCGCCAATGAACTTGCCAATGGCCATGGCAAGGTTGGCGACCAAGCCGATGCGAGTGATGCGCACACCGGCATCTTTTTTGTTAGTCGAAGTCAGGTAAACATTGTCGTGATGATGGTGGTGGTGGCCATGGCTGTGGCCGTGGGAGTGGCCTCCATGGCCCCTGGTTTGTGACATGGCGATCGATGTTACAGAGGAAAGTCGCAGAGAACGAGGTCGGTCATGGGAGAGAAAGGAAGGACGGGTTTTTAAAAAGGGAACGGAGGTCAGGACGCGCCGCTGGGCAGATCGGAGACTGGAGACCCTGAGGAGGGAGTGGAGGGAGGGACGAAGCCTGCACCGCAGGGGCTGCGTCAGCGGCATCACGGCCCTGGTTTTAGGTCGAGGCACGCGAGCACGGGCGAAAAGGCTGAGTGGACAAGGTGTTCACTCCGACCATGGGCACGACACCTTGGGGGGGAAATTGAGGGTTTTGGAGCGGAGGAGCTGGCATCATTCGATGCTCATGTAATCCGGCAGACGGAGATTCCAGATGCGCTGATGTCCTTCCGGTCCAATCTGCGCGGGCGCGTTATTCACGATTGCCAGCAGGCCTACGAGTATTCTACGAGTACGAGTATTTTAGCTCAGCTCCTACTAGAAGATTTAGGGCGTTTCCAGTTTTTAATTATTTTTTTGCTTTTTTAAATTATGTATGATGTACGTCCACTGCCACTCTTCCTAAGCCGATTACATACTTGTCCGTTCCTGTTCGAGCCCGACCCGCCCCGGCCAAGAACCGTGCAATCGCCGCAACTTCCGCCTCCTCCCGCCAAGACATCCGATGATGCGTCTTCAATGACGACGCCCGCGATCCGCATTCCCTTCACGGGCCCATTGCCGCCAGCCATTATAGTCCCGCCGTCGGCCAGTACCCTGGCTGGTGCGATTGATGCCGTGAGGGCCTTCTTTGCAGCGCCACCAGCCTTCACACTTCGAGGCGTGGATGTGGGAAGACACTCCCAGACGGTTCTTTTGACTGGCGCTGGCATTTCTGTCGCATCTGGGCTGTCGGACTATCGCGGTGAGCAAGGGACCTATCGTCGGAATAAATCCTACCGGCCAATCTACTTTCATGAATTCGTGTCACAGCACGAATCGCGCAAGCGATATTGGGCCCGCAGCTTCGTGGGATGGCCCGGCCTCGTAAAAGCACGGCCGAATTCAACGCATGAAGCTATCAGAGATCTTGGAAAGAAAGAGTATATCAGCTCGGTCGTGACGCAGAATGTCGACTCCTTCCACTCTCTCGCTCATCCGGAGCTATCGACTTTGGAACTACACGGATACCTCCGGTCAGTCGTCTGCACCAGCTGTCGTAACCAGTTCCCTCGACAGGATTTCCAATCCTCACTGGAGAAGCTGAACCCAGCATGGGCGGAGTTCCTTGCGCGCATGGTGGAACAAGGCGCGCTCGATACCGATAACCCGGAAGAGCAACGGCGAAAGGGCCTCAAGCTGAATCCAGACGGTGACGTCGACCTCGCAGAGGCACCGTACTCGACTTTTCGATATCCGTCATGTCCGACATGCTTAGAAAGTCCCCCGACACTGACGGACGGCACCAAAGCCCGTGTCGAGGTGGAACAGGACGGCGCGTGGATGGCGACTTCCAACGCTGGGATACTGAAACCCGCGGTGATCATGTTTGGAGAGAACATCGACCCAGCGGTCAAGACAGCGGCTGAGGAAGCGATCGACGATGCAGGGCGCCTACTGGTGCTCGGCAGCAGTCTGGCGACCTTTTCGGCCTGGCGGTTGGTGGAACGAGCGCACAAACGGGGCATGCCCATTGGCATCATCAATGTCGGCGGCGTGAGGAACGAAATGCTTCTCTTTGGCGGCCATGGCCACTCGGGCTCAGGCCCAACGTTCCATGTGCGCTGCAGCCATCCCGCTCAGTCCATCCTGCCGAGTGTCGCTGCCGGGCTCCCTCAAAATCATCTTTAAAGCACATTTACATGGCATCAGTAGACCTAGCAGCATCAGCAATACTATCAGAATTCAGTTTGTTGTTAATCCTCGTAGAAATGCCGTGGTTCCTCAACTCAAGTTCATGGTCAAAGTTCAGTTGCCGCCGTTGAACACATAAGCGGAAAGCCTCCCCACCCCGCGGGGCTGCCTCCTTCATCAGCGCACGCTCCATGGAGCGCCTCAGGGATTCTGCAGCTCGCCCTTTAAAGTCCGCATCCACGCTTGTCTCGCCCGGTTCCTTTCTTTTCCATTCCAATCCCCGGCCCGAGCAACGTCCTCCACCGCCCCCTCGGAAGATGGACAAGCAACAGCCCAGTTCCTTCCAGCAGCTGGAAAAGGTAAATCGTCCCCCCCTCCTCCAGTGATCTGCGAACCCCAAACTGACTCTGTTCTCCATAGCTCGGCGAAGGCACTTATGCCACTGTACGTACCGGACTTCCGTGCCCCTGCGACACAGACGACCCCCTGTCGCCTCCCCCGAGTGTGTCGCTGACGCAGAGAATAACCGCAGGTCTTCAAAGGGCGCAATCGCCAAACGGGCGAGATGGTGGCGCTGAAGGAAATCCACCTCGACTCCGAAGAAGGAACGCCGTCGACCGCCATTCGTGAGATCTCACTGATGAAGGAGTTGAAGCACGACAGCATCGTCTCGCTTTACGATGTCATCCACACCGAGAACAAGCTCATGCTCGTTTTCGAGTTCATGGACAAGGATCTGAAGAGATACATGGATACTCGCGGAGACCGCGGCCAGTTGGACCCCGTCACCATCAAGTCCTTCATGCACCAGCTGCTGAAGGGAATCGCTTTCTGCCATGAGAACCGAGTCCTCCACCGCGACCTGAAGCCTCAGAACCTGCTGATTAACAAGAAGGGTCAGTTGAAGCTGGGCGATTTCGGTCTGGCTCGAGCCTTCGGTATCCCGGTCAACACATTCTCCAATGAGGTCGTTACCCTGTGGTACCGCGCACCCGATGTCCTGCTGGGCAGTCGCACCTACAACACCAGCATTGACATCTGGTCGGCCGGCTGCATCATGGCGGAGATGTACACGGGACGTCCGCTCTTCCCGGGTACCACGAACGAAGACCAGCTATTGAAGATTTTCCGATTGATGGGCACGCCGTCCGAACGCTCCTGGCCCGGTATCGCCCAGCTGCCGGAGTATAAGCCCACATTCCACGTTTATGCGACGCAAGATCTCGGCTTGATTCTCCCGCAGATTGACCCTCTCGGCCTGGATCTCCTCAACCGGATGCTTCAGCTTCGCCCGGAGATGCGCATCAGCGCTGCCGATGCCCTGCAGCATCCCTGGTTCAATGACCTGCCCCAGCTTCAGGCTCAATTACAGCACCAGCAGCAACAGCAGCAGATGGCTGGTGCGTATGGAGGAATGGTTCCCCCTCAGTCTGCATACTAATGATGACGGAGACTGCGTATGATGAGACGACGAGCTCGATTTTAGACAATCGCACGGGAGAATTCGGCGTTATACCCGATGATGGCATCTCTTTCTTTTTTTTCTGCGTCCTGCTTTCCTGTACTTCTTTTTTGGCTTTGATATTTGGCATGCACTACTTTGGGGAAAGTCGCTACTTGGAAGACAAAGGAGTGAAAGGTTCTGTTATGCTGCGAGCCTTTTGCTCTTTGCGCATCTATTTTTCCAAGCCTTGGTGGCTAGTTTGGACACAGATCAGCTAGAGCTACTTACGATCAATCTATAACACAGTTCATCGCGGCCAAGGGTTCATTCTTCTAGGGATATGTATTCACAGGATATTTCTCGCGTGCCATATCAGCCTTACTATTTCGGCTGCCCTTCCACGCTACCAGGGTTCTCCGAGTGCCACTGGACAAAGCGCTTTGAGTGTAAGCCGAGGCTTTTCCAGGATAGCTTGCGCAGTAAACCCCTGTCCAGTCGCGGCTCCTTTCAGGCACACTCTGATGAACATGAACGATCCTGAATAAAGAGAAAGAGACATCTTAACAATACTCACGTTTGAGTTTCCGATTCTTTCGGGGAGACATCAACCTGATCATCTTTTCCACTATAATCACTCTCTACATCCTCCACAAGCCCATAGCAATCTAGACCATCCCACTTGACGTCCATTGGACCAGAAAAGTCACTGGCGTACGAAAGAGCTTTGCCGGCCCGAGTTAAGCAGGGGGTGTCACACACGGAACGCACCGACTCTCTCCCTTTTCCGGTTCCTCGAGGGCCCTCGAATCGACAGAGATTCAGGGCTTTCGGAGAATTTACTCCAGAAAGGCCCTCCAGGTCCGCCAGTGACAGGTAATACCGGCTGCTGGATTTTCCGGACAAGACAATCTCAATGATCGGTGTCGCCATTTCTCTTGATGAGATCGGTACCGGCAAGGCGAGACCTGACACAATAGACCCTAGTCACCCGACGCGAGTACCTGCTCAGACGAATTCGTGTTCTTTGTGTGCAAGCGTGTATTCATTCATTTGCAAATTGGCTCCTGTCCTCCTACATATTATGAACGACTTTAAATCAAGTCTGTGTGGCCTTTTGAGCGCCCGCTCCTTTCTTTTGTCACCCATCTTCATGCCCAGGCTATTTGTCTTGTATGTTACGCTCCAAATATCCTTATCGATTGGCGCTGGAAGTGTGATGATCTCATAGTTAGCATGAATCTACTCTTCAGGCCCCCCGCCATCCTTTGAGATTTGTTGCTATTTCCGTGAGATGCTGTCAGTGGGTTGAATGGAGACCGAACACGAGGGTCTTTCGAATCACCGAGGCTCTGTCTACACATGCAAGTACTTCATCAAAGTACCCTCCCCGACGATCGCGAGAATCAATAGCCATTCCCCCTCGTGGGTCATCGTATACGGGCTAGGAAAGGTGGAGGCGAATGGTGGCTGGAGTCCCGCCAGACGGAATGAAACAGCAATACATGCGACCATGAAACAATAACCATGGCACCTTCACAGCAGCAGCTCTTCGCCATCTCAATCACAGAACGAATCTGCTCCGCCATCTCGCTAATCGGAACATTCATCATAGTCACGACATTCATCGGGTCGCGCTCGTTTCGAAGACCCATCAACCGGCTCGTCTTTTATGCTTCCTGGGGTAATATCATGGCCAATATAGCAACTTTGATATCGCAGGATAGTATCCATGCCGGTGTTGGCAGTTCTCTGTGTCAATTTCAGGCATTTTTGATTCAGTGGTAAGTGCTCCACGAGCTTGAAAATTATTAGTATCATTATGTATAATGGCTTGTTTCTGATCGTACTCTAGGTTCATGCCCGCAGATGCCCTGTGGACATTCGCCATGGCCTGCAACGTCTACCTCACCTTCTTCCACAAGTACAACTCAGAACAACTGCGCCAGCTAGAATGGAAATACGTCATCTTCTGCTACGGTCTCCCGTTTATTCCGGCCTTCGCATATTTCTTCATCAAGACACAAGGTCGAGGCCGGATATACGGTTCCGCGATAGTAAGCCACCCACATCCAAATATTCAGTCGCAAGTATTCATCCCCTCCTGACCACCATCACAATATCTCCAGATATGGTGCTGGGTCTCGCTAAAATGGGACTACCTCCGCATAGCCGTTTTCTACGGCCCGGTCTGGCTAGTAATCTTCCTGACATTCGCCATCTACCTCCGCGCCGGCTCAGTAATCTACCAAAAGCGGCGTCAACTCCGCATCGCGGGCGCCATGGACTCCTTCGATTCAGAGCATCAGCTTGAGGCTCCGCTCGTCAAATTATCCGGCATTCACGTCACCTCCGAAATAGCGTACTCGACGCCGGAACGGCAGTCTTTTGTCTCGGGTTTCGGGCCCCCGGGTCCAAGTTTCATCTCGACGTTCAGTCCCTATTCCGTAACGATCGAGGCTGGTCCTCATGATCCTGATCCCGTCGATATATTTCAGGGATCTGTTCCGCCATTGGTTTCAGCTGGATCGTCAAATTTGAGGCCCGGTCCGACTCCGCTGCAGATGGAAATGAGGTCGTCGAGGGTGGTTGTTCCGGAGAGATATTCACGGCGAAGATCTGTGGTTGCGACGGCGGGGACGGAGACGAGGTCGGCTGCTTTGGCATATACGAAATATGCGGTGCTGTTTTTTGTTGCGTTGCTTGTTACTTGGGTATGTCCATTGTTTTTCGATTGATTCGGTTTCCACTGGCTAATCTCGACATATAATCAGGTACCTTCAACTGCTAATAGGGTTTACGCGCTTGTTCTTCCGGATGACTTTTCGTTTGGATTGAACTTTGCTTCTAGCTTCGTGCTTCCCCTGCAGGGATTCTGGAATAGTCTTATTTATATTTCGATATCGTGGCCGGCGTTCAAAGCTCTCTGGAGAGATTTCAGGCGTGGGTCGCCTACACTTCAGAAAATGGCTAGATAGCTTGATCGGCGCTAGTTTTTCAGATTTATTCTCTAGTTATCGTTTCATTCACATACATTAGTCAGAGTATTCCATTACTTTTCAACTGATTGGTGTCAAGAGAAAGCAGTGGCGTCATCAGCTCTCACCCTCACAGCTGTCAAGCAGAATATATAATTTGTAGAGATACCATAGCTTCACAGGTTTTTTTCATTAATACAGTGTACTAACGAGCATTACACATACTTGAAAAATCACAAAGACACATTACATGAACATAAATTCATCCATCCTCCTCTTCAAGAACTGGTAGCTCTACTCTTTTCGGATATCCAAAATCACGTGATCATCGCGTCGCGGTGCCAATGGATCCCCGACAGCGAGTCCAAATTCCTCGCAAATCAACAACCCCTCCGATCGCAGTCGCCACCAGCAGAAGCCACCCTCAGCTAAAGAGCGACTCTTACGACCGCGCAAAGCTCGAATTTGACCACCATGGCCGAACAAAGCTCACAAGCAACCGGCGCCCCTCCACCTCTCGGCCTACGCGCCTCGCGTCTACACCAAGTCTTCGACCAAGCGCTCGCTCGCACGCTTCGCGCAAATTCATTCGCCAACTTCGCGAGCTGCTTCCCGACACCTTCGCGACATGTGCCAGCCAGCCTGGAGAATGTTTGGAGACAGCTGAATGCGAAGTTGGAGGAGAGTGCGAAGGCGGAGTTTGAGGAGATCATTGCGGAGAGGGAGGCGGTGGGACATTTGAATGAGCTTGATCGGCTTGTTAACGAGGCGAGGGAGAGGAAGAATGCTGAGGGGAAGAATGGGGAGGGTCAGAAGACTGGTAATGCGTATGTTTATTTACCTTGAAAGGTTGATGATGAGTGATTTTACTGATGGGATTTAGACCGCATACGCTTGGCGCAGATGAGCTTTTCAAGGCGCATTTGACGCCTTATCTTCAGGAGGTGCAGTCGAGTTTGAATGAGAAGCTTGAGGAGACGCATGTTCAGAATGCGGAGCTTGCGCAGACGGTTCAGAAGCAGCGGTTGGAGATTGAGCAGCTTCTTTCGCATCTTGAGTCTGTTGTTTCGGATATTGAGGGTGCTGCAACTGCTTCTACAAACTTCAGTGCTGAGAATCATCTTCGTGAGGATGCGGTTCAGATGGATGAGGAGCTTAATGTCCGGCCTGGTTTGTGAAGATATGTTGTATTCTTTTTACTTGATTTGTCGCTGTACGGTTTTTATGAGATCAGGGCACCCATTTCCGTGGCTTCGATCATTCCATCCTCCACCATCTCAGTCGCGACGGCTATCACCTGCTCAAACGACCTGGACTTGAGTTCCTGCAACTTGGTATTCTGGCCCTCGACCGCTGCCGCAATTGCCTCCTTGCACGACCCATCCCGCTCTTCAATCACGGCGCCATCACGACGAGCCAAAGCTGCGGCTCCGCGGTAATATGTCTGAGCATTGCGCAAAAGTGTCGCGCCATTCTGCTTCGCCATGCTATGATTCCACGGCTCCCGGCCCAATCGCCAACGCTGCATCTCCACATCTCCTCGAGCGAGGTGAATTTTGGGGAGGTTCTCGGCATTGGGAAGTTTGGATGCTGCCGTCAAGGCATCCAATGCAGCGGAAAGGGATTGCCAACGCACGGAGATGGAAATTTGGAGGGTTTCGGGATCCTCATGGGGCGGTACCTCGGCAAAAGCTGCATTGAGCGAAACCAGTGCCTCGGCCTTGTTGCACAATCCCTCTGGGTCGGCTGAAACGTCCAACTCAGAGCCAAATGCCTGTCCGACTTCCTCCTGGTAGGTCTGAACATCGGTATGGCCACCCCGGTAAAGCACTTCGTGAATCGCACAGACGAGCTTGGCCTTCGACAAGGCCGCCTCGTACTGTCTGTCAGAACCTTCTACATAAGCGGGTAAGCGGGTCTCAACGAGTCCCGATGAATACTCTTGCACCCAGCCGAGACCACCTGCGTTGGGGTTGGAGGTTAGGAGATTGCACAGGGCCGTCAGGGTATCCAGCTGCGCAACGGCGGTATCCACCAGCGTATTCTTGGTAACAGGTTCGACAATCGCCGCCCAGTGTTCCTGCGACTCATCCGACGGCTCGGCCTCATCTGGTGCGGAAGGCTGGGGCTGTGGCGGGGGTGGTGCCTGCTGCTCCGGGGCTTGAGCTTCGGTCGACTCCATCTGTTCCATCTGCTCCTGCATCTCCGTGTACTTCATCTCTTGTAGTATGAGACAACGCTGGAAGAGCTCAACTGCCTCTTCCAAATACGTGCTGGCCTGCATTATGGCGCCCTCGCTTGGATGCTTGGAGTCGGCGATCGCCTCTGCCAGACTGGTCAGCACCTGGCCACTGTTGAAGAGGGCGTCAGCATTGTCCTGCTCGAGGACCAGGGCATCGCGGTGTGACTGCAGTGCAATCTGCAAGATTTCAATTTGCGGGGCCGGCAATTGAGCGGCTAGTTTGGGATGTTGTGTGATTTCGTATTGCACTCGGGCTCTGGAGGGATGTTAGTTGATTTTTTCATAGGTTTGTAATAGTAGTTCCTATAACCATATGCATAGGTGATGAAAAACACATATCCATCCGACATGAAATGTTCGAAAATGTCCAAACTTGACAAAAGTAATACACAAACAATGACATACTTGTTGTAGGCCAGATCAAAAGCCGCGGGATGCTTCTGCAGCCCTTCATCGTAGTTGGCGATAGCGCGCATAAAAAAGCGCATGGACTTGGTCGCATCGCCGGCGCGCCATTTCTCGCCCGCCTCTTCTAATTCCACGCCCGCTATTCATTGGAAAAGTCAGTTCTCTATTCTCCTACCATACGTCGACCCAACCTTTTCTGCCCAGTGTGCTCTGGGTGACTGAACAGGCGGGGACCAGGACGATCCTCACCGGCAAGAAAATCATCGGCCGTGACCGGGGCGGCCTGGCAATGATCATATGTTAGCTACCTGATGGGTCCAGGTTGAACTCGGGCAGGATCGATTGGGTTAGGCTCAGCTTGGTAAGGGCGAAGGACAAATAGAAGAACATATCGGGTATGGGGTCGAGTTTCCTGGATTGGAGGAAACCACTAGCGCAAGCACCTACCTGCTTTGCAGCCTTTTTCTTGGGCTTGAAATCCCTGAGTAGGCTCTTTGGTTTGGGCATGTTCGACTCTCGGCGTCGAGGCTGGAGGAGAGTAAAGTACTTCAGCGTTCTGCAGTGGATTTACTAGGTCGTGAGATGCTTAGCGAAGCGCAGAGTGGGTGATGCAATGTGCCAAGACCGCGACTTGCTTACTACCGTTCCCTCAGCTCTGTATGTATTGGCTGTGGTAATTACCCTACTCTTTGATCAAATTCTCCGCCACCAGCTGGTTACACTTCCTCCACTTCATCTCCATCCTGGCTGATCCGCACGTGGCAAAGTTCCACCCGGTGTGAGACGCATGGTTACTCTGTACTTCGTCCTTTGTACTCGCTGTACTCTCACCCCTGACGACTTCCTTCTTACTAGTATATCATTATACTACTAATCACCATCCTGCATTCATCCCATCTCGTGCCCCTCGCAACCGTAAAACCCTGACCGCTCCACGCGGCTAGCTGAACGATCGCTGCGACGACTGCCCTCGCACATCCCTCCATCCGGCCTCCTTTCTTACACCAACCCCGCCGGCGCGACCCACTCCTGCCGTTTCGGCCTCCTGAGTCGTCGTCTCATCAAAATACAGAATTGGGACGCCCGCGCCTGCAGCTGTTTCAGTCCCGCCCTCCATTTTCCCTTTCTTCAATCCTCAGCCTCAAAACTCTCTCCCTCAATCCACTTTTTGTCACCTTTTTCACCCCTCGTGAGACTCGCGTGGTATGTCTCCCTCCCAGGAATGCGCCCGACGGAATTTAAACCGTGGAGCCGGCCGATGACCCGTACTAACCGTCTGCCTTTTCTAGTGTACGACGCCCGTCTACATCTACCGCCGAGAACATCATCCCACCACCTCCCTCACAAATACATTCCCCTCGGTCGACGGCTGCGTCGCCCACAACGAAGACATGGCCCGCCAACCGTCCCTCGACTCAGAGCGGCCCATCATGACCAACTCGGTGAGTGGCGTGACCGCCCCTTTTGCCCCTCCAACGATCTTGCGCCGAGCGCACCCTTTGTCGCACCACACAATCAAACTAATGAATTCATGGATAGAACCGCACCTCCAAGCGTTTCTCCACCATCAGCGGAAGCCCTTCGATGGCTGCCTCCGAACGTACAATTGGTAGCCTGCCGAGCGGAGACCCCAGAGTCCGCGACATTCACCACCTCGGCGACGGCCTGGAGCGCCTCGAGAACAAGCCCCTGCAAGCACAACGATTTGTCCCGACCGCTGAAAAATCCGATAACTTGAATAAGCTGGCCCTCGGTGCCAAGGTCGAGCGCGCCCTTGGGCGCCGCATGACGAGCCAGGATGCCGTCATGCGCAAGCCGACTTTGAATGAGAAGGCCGCGGCCAGCACCACCTCTTAGACTATCTGAGGGCGCAGATTCAAGGAAAAGTCTGACTATGTTTTCGGTGGCCTGTGCTGTTGTTGATTCTGTCTTCTTTCATCATCCCTCAGCGGACCTCGTCTACGAGGCTCTACGATCGCTTTCATATGTTTTCAGTCGAGCTCATCACGTCTCATCATACCCCCTTTCTTTTGAGGTTCTTTTTTTCGTGGCGTTTGATTTGATGAATATCGCATTTTTTCCCCCCTTTATTCAAAATTCTCCGGTATATGTCTCCTGGTCTTGATGTTCTCTTCTTAATATCTACCTCGTGATCCTACTTTGAAAATACGTTAGAACTATCCTCTCGGGCTTCCATCTTAGTGTATTTTGAATATACGTTCAGCTGATACTCAGTGCAGTGCATGATGACTTTGCGTTGCCTAATATATTTGGTCAGCGGCATAGATGGTACAACCAGCGGTTGAGCTGCCAAATGTTACCTAGTGCTACCAGTAGTACCATATACCATATAAAGGTGAGCATGCTGATATCCTACGATTATCCTCCACTAGTGTGAGTTCATCTCTCTGCTCTGCTTGTGACTGAGTGTCCTTCTCTCCTGTCTTCCCCGCCATTCATTCCTCGTCGCATTCCTGTCGTCATCCCGCTATACTTCTCGAAGGCTCCTCGGTTCTGCCGGGCGGTGAGCCGTGCCAAGCGCACGCGAAACCCGCACGGAGAAGTCATTGTGAATGAAGTCGCTTTTTCCCCAAGGTGCTATTTCTTCCCTCCTCGAGCTTCGTTTCCTCTTCAGCTGCCTCTCTTCCACCCTTCTCAATTCTCACACACCACACTGTTCGCATCCCGCTTTCGTGAAACTCGACTTCGCGCTCGTCCGTCCAAGCTCTCGTGTCTGATTCAATCCGCACAAGAGGCATTTTCCCGTTCACGCCCTCCCCAGCTACCTCACCTCTCCCGCCACGCTTTCGGTTTTCTGTCTAGACGCTCCTCCGTCGAGACCTCTCGCCTTTACTCTTCTTTGCTTCTCTCCTTCCGCTCCCAATTGTTTGCATTGTAAGTTGCGCCCGCCTCAGCTGGTCTGTGTGGAGATATCTAAACTCACCTAGTGCCTGCAGTTCAAGCAAACGAATCTCCAAACTCCCAGAACATCCTCTCCAGCCCAAGTGAATTAGAAGAGTCAATTATTCTCTAGTATTGGGCCTCAATCATCTCCATCACTTCCGATTACATATTCATCTAAACCGCATCTTCAACCAATCCTCGGACACCGGAGTTCCTACGATTCACCATGTCGGACATCAGCCAGATCAACCAGGTTCCCATCAACGGCAACTACCCCGCTCAGCACTCCTACCCTGATCACTTCAACCCTGGTCATGCCGCCATGAACACCGCGGCCAACTTTCAGCCGGCTCAGTCCTCCACCCCGACTACTGCCACTCCCACCGACCCCAAGAACAACATCCCCAAGGATGAGGTCGGCTGGTTCTTCGTCGAGCAGTACTACACCACCCTGAGCCGCAACCCCGACAAGGTCCACCTCTTCTACTCTCGGCGTTCTCAGTTCGTCTTCGGCACTGAGGCCGAGTCGGTCCCCGTTGCCGTTGGCACTAAGGTAAGTTATTTCCGCAAACTCCCATTCCGCATTTCATTACAGGCACTAATTGCGTGTTCGTTGCGAATGATAGGCCATCAACGAGCGGATCAAGCAGATCGGTTGGCAGGACTGCAAGGTGCGCGTCCTGAACGTCGACTCCCAGGAGTCTTTCGACAACATCCTGGTCACCGTTATCGGCGAGATCTCCAACCAGGGCAAGCCCTCTTGCAAGTTCACCCAAACCTTTGTTCTTGCCGAGCAGCCTAACGGCTACTATGTCCTGAACGACATCTTCCGTTACCTGGCGGATGAGGAGGAGCTTGTTAACGAGGAAGAGGAGGCCACTCCTGCTGTCGAGGCCCCCAAGCCCGAGGAGCCCTCCCTCGCCGTTGAGGCTCAGGTGACTGATGAGGCTGCTGCCTCCAAGATTGACGAGAAGCTCGAGCAGGAGGCCAATGGCGAGGCCGAGCAGGCCCTGGAGGTGCCTGCCGAGACCAACGGGGCTCCCGCCGCCGCCACCGCCGCCGAAGAGCAAGCTCCTGTTCCCGCTGTTGAGGCTGAACTCACCAAGAATGAAGCGCCTCTGACCCCGGAGCCCACTCCCGTGCCCGAGAAGCAGAAGGAGGTTGCCGAGAAGGAGCATGCTCCCGCACCCGCTGGCCCTAAGTCCTGGGCTTCCATGCTTGCCTCCAAGGTTGGCAACGCCCCGGCTATCCCCGCCATTCCCGCTGCCCCTAAGGGTGCTCCTCAGTCTGCTGCTACTGCGGCTGCCCCCGCCGCCCGCGCCCCCACCACCGAGGCTCGCCCTCAGGAGGCTGCTCCCACCGACGGCTCCGGCTGGCAGACCGCCGGCGCGGAGCACAAGAAGACCCAGTCTCGCGCCGATGAGCCGCCCACCCACGGCTACATCAAGAACGTCACGGACAAGGTCGATTACCATGCGCTCAAGCAGACCTTGGCCCGCTTTGGCAAGCTGAACTATTTCGACATCAGCCGCCAAAAGGTAAGCAAAGATTCACCCTCGAATTATTCCGCTTTCAGCCATTTTATACTGACTTTCCACTCAAGAACTGCGCGTTCGTTGAGTACGCCGAGCCCGCCGGCTACGCTACGGCCGTCGCTGCCAACCCTCACCAGGTTGGCAGCGAGCAGCTGACCGTGGAGGAGCGCCGCCCCCGCGGTAACGCCTACAGCGGCAATGTCGGCCGCGGCGGTGCTGGTCGCGGTCGTGGTGACCGCGCCAGCCAGGGCCGCGGCGGTTTCCAACGCGACGGCCGTGGTGGCTTTGCTCCTCGCGGTCGTGGCGGCAACGTGGCCAAGAGCCGCGGCCAGGCCCAGGCTGCTTAAGCATCTTAAGAATCCTTCTGTCTGTGCCCTTTTTTTAACCCTTTTTTTGGTTTCTAAATTCTTTTTAAAGCTTCGATGTAGTGTTTTTCTCTTCTTCTTTCTATATTTCACCTTTTGCATTGCGACCTGTATTAATCTGGTTTTTTCCCTCCCTTTTCGTCCCATGTTTCCCCCTTCTCATCCCATCTGTTTCTGTTCTGTTTTGTCGATTTTCCTAATGACATGTGATATGTGACTCGATTTCTTTCTTTTTGTCACAGTGCATATTAGCGGTAGGATCCGGCCTGGCGGGAAAAAGTCGTTTCTCTTTTCCTTTCCCTCACTGAGTGCTGATTCATCTTATCCTCAGTTTCATCTTCATCTGAATATACCATTCCGGTATTAAGGGTAGGGCTGGCTGTCGCGATGTCTGAATTCACGATTCTTTGCCCGATGAGGTGTTTCTTGTGTCTTTTATTTGTGCCATGACCCTGTGTCTCTCCAGACCTATATCGCATATTTCGAGTTCTAGCATAGCAAGCTCCATGGTTTTGAGGTGTCGTCCCATCTTGCTCGCTCTTTTCTTTTTCTTTTTCTTTTTTTTTCCACTCTTCATGTTTTATTTGACTCCTTTAGGTTTTCTTTCCTTCGTTTCATGTGTATCTTGCCAGAGCTTCATACAGGAGAGATGGATGCGTAAGCCGCAGGGCCTCCGGAGATGTCCAAATCGTTGCTCGAGCATCTACCTTAGACGGTGCTATCTCAATCCAAGACAGTCGTACAAGCCCCTGTCCTATTTCCCATTGCAATCGTAGTCTACCTCAGGGTAATGTCATCTTTGTCGTACAAACCCCGTACGCTTGCAGGACGGCGACCAAATCAACCGTATTGCGACGAAGATTCTAGATGTGGGTGCCTCAGGCACCGACGCAGCTCTCCCCAGGCTTTGACAGGCAGCTCTCCCCCAAATGCAATAAAAAGTGGCGACGCCAAACAAAGAAAAAGCAAAGAGTGGCCCATTTCCGGCCCCCCCAGGAAGCCTCTAGAATGGTGGTTGGGGCAAGTTGCCTGACCGACCAGCGGTGGAAGTTGCTGGATCGCCGTGGAAACCCGCCAGAAATTTTTGGAAACACAAAAAGCTACCCGCTCTCCTCTCTTCTTCATCTCCCTTCTCCCCCATCGGTTCTGCTCTGGTTGTCTCCAGCAGTTCTTTCTCTTTTCCCATCTTCCTTCTTTAGCATTTTCTTGTACGTTCACCCTTCTGGGTCCCTATCTCTCATCGCTCTCCCTCTCCCCTCTTCGCTTCCCCACCTTCCAATCTGGTGCCTGCAGAAAGAGCGAGACCGAGAAGTGAGAGACCGGATCCTCCCCATTGATCTCGCCTCACAATTTGCCATTCTAACTTCATTACAGTATTCAACCGCTATCATGCCGGAGACCTTCGAGTTCCAGGCTGAGATCTCTCAGCTGCTCTCGCTGATCATTAACACCGTCTACTCCAACAAGGAGATCTTCCTGCGTGAACTGATCTCCAACGCCTCCGATGCTCTGGACAAGATCCGCTATGAGTCCCTCTCGGATCCCTCCAAGCTCGACTCCAACAAGGACCTCCGCATCGACATCATTCCCGACAAGGAGAACAAGACCTTGACCATCCGCGATACCGGTATTGGTATGACCAAGGCTGTAAGTTGAACCAAGTTGAACCCTCATGTCTTCTCATTGGATTAGTCATACTCATTTTTCATCATCGTATAGGATCTGATCAACAACCTTGGTACAATTGCCCGCTCCGGTACCAAGCAGTTCATGGAGGCCCTGTCCGCCGGTGCCGATATCTCCATGATCGGCCAGTTCGGTGTCGGTTTCTACTCCGCCTACCTGGTTGCCGACAAGGTCACCTTCGTCTCCAAGCACAACGATGACGAGCAGTACGTCTGGGAGTCCGCCGCCGGTGGTACCTTCACCCTGACCCAGGACACCGAGGGCGAGCAGCTCGGCCGCGGTTCCAAGATCATCCTGCACCTGAAGGATGAGCAGATGGACTACCTCAACGAGGCCCGCATCAAGGAGGTTGTCCGCAAGCACTCCGAGTTCATCTCCTACCCCATCTACCTGCACGTCCTGAAGGAGACCGAGAAGGAGGTCCCCGACGAGGAGGCTGAGGAGTCCAAGGAGGAGGACGAGGAGAAGAAGCCCAAGGTTGAGGAGGTCGACGAGGATGAGGAGAAGAAGGACAAGAAGACCAAGACCGTCAAGGAGTCGAAGATCGAGGAGGAGGAGCTTAACAAGACCAAGCCCATCTGGACTCGCAACCCCGCTGACATCACCACCGAGGAGTACGCCTCCTTCTACAAGTCCCTCTCCAACGACTGGGAGGACCACCTGGGTGTCAAGCACTTCTCCGTTGAGGGTCAGCTTGAGTTCCGCGCCATCCTCTTCGTCCCCAAGCGCGCTCCCTTCGACCTGTTCGAGACCAAGAAGACCAAGAACAACATCAAGCTGTACGTTCGCCGCGTCTTCATCACCGACGATGCTACCGACCTGATCCCCGAGTGGCTCGGCTTCGTCAAGGGTGTCGTCGACTCCGAGGACCTGCCCCTCAACCTGTCCCGTGAGACCTTGCAGCAGAACAAGATCATGAAGGTCATCAAGAAGAACATTGTCAAGAAGACCCTCGAGCTCTTCACTGAGATCGCCGAGGACCGTGAGCAGTTCGACAAGTTCTACTCCGCCTTCAGCAAGAACATCAAGCTCGGTATTCACGAGGACGCCCAGAACCGCCCTACCCTGGCCAAGCTGCTCCGCTACCAGTCCACCAAGTCTGGCGACGAGGCCACCTCGCTCACCGACTACGTCACCCGCATGCCCGAGCACCAGAAGAACATGTACTACATCACCGGCGAGTCCATCAAGGCTGTCGCTCAGTCTCCCTTCCTGGACACCCTCAAGCAGAAGAACTTTGAGGTTCTGTACCTGGTTGACCCCATTGATGAGTACGCCTTCACCCAGCTGAAGGAGTTTGACGGCAAGAAGCTGGTCGACATTACCAAGGACTTCGAGCTCGAGGAGACCGAGGAGGAGAAGGCCGAGCGCGAGAAGGAGGAGAAGGAGTTCGAGGAGCTCGCCAAGTCTCTGAAGAACGTCCTCGGCGACAAGGTCGAGAAGGTCGTCGTCTCCCACAAGCTCATGGGTGCCCCCTGCGCCATCCGTACCGGCCAGTTCGGTTGGTCCGCCAACATGGAGCGTATCATGAAGGCCCAGGCCCTCCGTGACACCTCCATGTCCTCCTACATGTCCTCCAAGAAGACCTTCGAGATCTCCCCCAAGTCCTCCATCATCAAGGAGCTCAAGAAGAAGGTCGAGGCTGACGGCGAGAACGACCGCACCGTCAAGTCCATCACCCAGCTTCTGTTCGAGACCTCCCTGTTGGTCTCCGGCTTCACCATCGAGGAGCCTGCCAGCTTCGCTGAGCGCATTCACAAGCTCGTTTCTCTGGGTCTGAACATCGACGAGGATGCCGAGACCGCTGAGGAGAAGGCTGCTGAGGAGGCTCCCGCCGCCGAGGCCACTGGTGAGAGCGCTATGGAGGAGGTTGACTAAATGCTCTTCACCTCTTGTCTTGTTGCTAAAGTTCTTACGGGAAATGGGAAACGGGATTACGACCCTTGATGTTTTTTCTTTTTTTTCTTTACAAATCCAGATGATTTCTTTCTACCTTTTTTTCCGTGCGTTTCTAAGATTGTTTTAAAGTTCAGGCGTTGGAAGACGTGTATCTTGAACTTGAATACAGCTTGCTTAGGTCAAAGCCGTAACCCAAGTACACCTTACTACAGTAGACGTTGCTCATTGCTATGGCATCAGTACTGCTTGCGATGCTATAATGAAATTGTAACACAGCCTCTACCTACCTCACCCCAAGGTCCTCCCTGTACCTTCCATGAAGTTGGAGGATACATCCACAGCACAACCACCACTCCAACCTTTACACCCACACCCACACCCACACCCAAACTCAACCTTAGGTAGTCCGTAAAGTTCCGAAACAAGTGGATAAACCCCAGAATCGAAAATATCCCGCCACTGACGCACTCGGGATCGCACTCGGGGGGAATCTCGGAGTTTCTGATCCACACGGCCCACGCCCGCCCTTCACCGATGCATATAAAGAGCGGCGGCATGCCCCTCCCCCGCTTCCAATTCAATTGAATTCAGTTCAAGAGAGCTGCCCCTCACAACTTCCAAGCCAAAAAGAAAACGAGTCGAGAAGAACTCAATCGCCCATCATGGTCTACACGATCGTCGTCCGTACGTTTTCGCGTCATCGATTCTACATACCCAATCTTGAAAAAAGGGGTCAGCTAATAATGTGATTGCAGACATGCGCGCCAAACCCGACCAAGAGTCCATCAGCAAGCTGCACGCGAAGCTCCTCGAGGCTTCCGCCATCTACTCCAAGGACAAGGAGACTCTGTCCTGGTTCGTGATGCAGTCTGTTCACGATCCCCAGGATTTCACGATCGTCGAGCGCTATGAGAAGGAGTCATCGCAGGAGTACCATCTCAATAACCCTTACTGGAAGACTTTTGATCCTTATGTCATTCCCTTGCTTGAAAAAGATATGGATCTTAGGAGGTTTGAGGAGCTTGTCCCCACCTCCAACTAAGTTTCTTTAGTTACAGCGGAGGATTTGGGGTCCTTGTGAGGAACTTCTTAAATGAGATAGCCTCGAATTGTTGATATGAGAATTTCCTTGAGTATTGTGTGTAGTGTTGGGATGTGTTGAGGAGCTTACTCTTATGTGAGGGATATGGTTTAAGTGGTAGTGTATTCCGGCTGTGCTTATTATCTAGCCCAGTTACGAAAGGAATGCAGCGTAACCACGGAACAAGATGCCAGAACGCCAAAAACGCCGATGGGGAATCGGGAATGATAACAAAAGGAAAAAGAACCACCATCAAGAAACGCCAACCTGCTACCAGATTTTCCTGCCGCCAAACCGTAATATCGTGCGCATTAGATCTGCACTCAGCCTGAATAGAAGTAAAAGCAGACTAGCGCTCAAAACCTCCATACCAGTGCTCAAGATGCAGATCCGCCAGACTGCGCGTGGGAAGACCCAAGGTCCGCGCAAGCCAGAACGCAAGTCCACCCACGACACCCACGCTCCCGACGATCTGGACCAGAACCCATCCACGCCGTCCAAGATCGTCGATCCATCCAACGACGCCCAGAGGATCGTGAGAACTGAGGGAGACGTGGTAGTCGGCGTGCGCGCGCATCTTCTCGCTGGATCGCATGTTCAACCCGCAGAATCCAGGAGTCTTTGAGACGGGGATGAGCGAGCCGTCCATCACGCATTCGCTTAGCTTCTCTGTCAGCCAGACGGCTCTATCGCCTCGGGCGAGAGAAGCGTAGCGGTCCCTTTCGTTCTGTAGACTTCTCTGGAGATCGGTTGCCCAGTGGGCCAGGCGGACTTGTGCCATTTGTTCTTCGTGGCGGCTGAGATCGACGAATCGGGCCATGGCGTAGCTTTGTCGTGAGGGACGGGAATTGTCGCCGTAGCAGACGGAAGGGTCCAGTGACATGCCCGATGATGCGCGCCATGCAGATCGTCCATCTTGGGTTGGCAGGCCCATTGGCGAAGGGATTGGTGCTGTAAAGTCCCCTCCTCGCTGGACGAGTTTCTTTGCAGCGGAATGGCGCATCCATGCCAGATACTCGCGGTCGAAGAGCTTTTCGACCAGAATTTCTAGGTCGGATGGGAAAAGTGGTTGTTGGTAATCTGATCTCATCAATGTGCTGGCGTCCATAACGTCTAGATCAGCTGTTCGAACAGATGACACGGTGTATGGTGGCTGGGGGTCAAGTCCTTCCAATCCTTCCGGGGGTGCACCGAAGAGGAAGGGCTTGACGCCGGCAAGTTGAGCATCTTGGTGGAAACGGACTTTGGTCATTTCAATTTGCTCAGGGGAAAGTGTGTCGGCTTTGGCAATCACGGGGATGACGTTGCTCAGCTGACAGAGCTTGCGGATGCATTCCATATCCACAGACAATGTATCTACAACAAATGAATATAGATTCCTTCAGAGTATGGGAGGAAATACTTACCGTTGGATATGAGGTAAAGAACCGCATCCACCTGAGAGCCTCCATTTCCTGCAAGAAGATTTTGCAAATCCACACTGGATCCTGAAAGAGCAGCGGTGGCCCGGGTAAACTGCTGTCCCATGTACTGCAAGATGGCATCGGTTTGACCAGCCCGACTCAGTGAAATAGCCGGAGTGTCCACAAAACAGAGATTCCGCTCCAGAATGATCTCGCCGATACTCTTTCGGCGTCGGAGCACGCGCGAGTCTTCCAGGTCTGACCACCACGGAGGATACGGTTTGGTGCTAGCGTAGATCTCGGTGGTAGCGGCGGGCATCCCGCGAGTGGGGACAGATCCAGAGTGGGGTCGTGACGAACGGCGCCGCTCGAGCGAGGTACTGTGGGAGGAAGTATCAATTGGATCGATGTGAACAATGTCCTCGCAAGTGTGGACGATTGATTTGATGAGCGATGTCTTTCCCGAGCCTGGTTGTTTGGGTATGGGTAAGAACCTGTGTTGCATGTGCATCCATCGAACAAAAGCACTTACCTGAAGCTCCAGCAATCATGACTTTGAACCTTCCCATCGCTTTTCCCCGTTCCGTGAATGGTCGTCGGCTGGGCATCTCGATACTTGGCATGATGAACTGAGATGCTCCATTAAACCCCGCGTGCGGCGATGGACTCGGTCTTCTAATCCTTTCGTCCTCGTCCCCCGATAAGACCGCTTGACTGTTGGTGTCATCTGTGATCGAAATGTCGTCGAGCGGTCGCAACGAGTAGTTGGAGACAGACCTAGGGCTGCTTCCCGGCAAGGAGAGCGCATCATCGGGGTTGAGCGGGGTTAACGGCCGGGAGATGGTATTGGGGACAACAGGTGGGACAGGCGAATCTCGAGACATGGCGTCAGCTGGCTTGAGTGTTGATCGTCGCCGCGATGCTTGGAGCTCCTCTGCTTCGTCGGGGATGTGCAAGGAACTGTTGTCGTTGTCGGCGGCGTGACTATCGGAAGGAGGTACGCGCGGCGAGCTTGCGGCTGACGGGGAATGCAGTAGAGAATCGCCGAGGCTGTGAACACCGTACATGCTGTCTTTCGAGTCGCTTGGCTCGTCCATGGTTGGACTTGGACTTGCAAGCGACTCTAGATCGGATGCATCCGGATTGCGCGATAGGAAGAACGCTGTGGGGGTCTGGAGAAAAGTGCGGGGATCGAGAGATGGGGAGGGGTGGTCGAGGGAGGGTTTTCGATGGAAAGGCGCGAGGTCAGGAGCGGGTCGCATGGTCGAAACATGGAAGGGCGTAGGGGAAGCTGAAGAAGCCAAGTTGGTCGCGGGGCTTTCTTTATCTGCCTGCATATAGCGGGGAGGTGGTCAGGTCATGCTGCGTATGTAAGCCATCACGCGGTGAGCGCGGGACCAACAAAACATGCCATGAAATGATCGAAGGGGTTCTTGATTTTCATGTAGGATGAATTCTCACTGTGTTACAATATCTTATGATACAAACAACATATGATGCTATGAAGATGTTCCTAGATCTACAAACACATCCACTGATAAGTAGGGCAGTTGGGTCAAAGTGGGACTTGCCCATCTCATCTCGTCATTGAGTAGACAATTTCCTAGGTGTGAGCAGGGCGAGTGGTCTGCGTGAATTTGTTAGTCGCGATTCTCATTCTTGTCGATCGCTCTTCCTGTGATGTACGGAAAATGGACCGGTACTAAATAATTGCGGGGATCGACGTGAATGACACCGTAGTGTGGATGTCCGAGTATAGCTCCCAACTACGTACCTTGGTGGGGAACTGCCTTCGGATTGTTCTTACTCATGTGGCGCTATTTCCTAGTATGTCTCATTCAATGGCAAGATGGCCGAGCGGTCCAAGGCGCACGGTTCAGGTTAACCTGTTCCTCAGAGATCTTAACAGATTTCCGTGTCTCGAAAGGGGCGTGGGTTCGAATCCCACTCTTGTCAATTCTTTTTTTCATTTTCTTTTTGTTGACATTAAAATATTGCGAGTGAAGTGGAGCACTTCTTTTCTTTTTTTGTAGTGGGATCTCGTCTTATTCCAACAAGTAAGCAAGCCGCGGGCAGCTATTCATCTACACAATTAGCATGCGCCTCATTCCCCGTGGGGGCCAAACCACTCAGTCACCTGAACGTGCATGAGCCTCAACCCCTAATCTCGCACTCATCATGATTTTCCCTTCTCGTCTTGGTTTTCAGCAAACCTCCTCATGGACGTGAAAGGCATCACTGCGGCTATCATACAGCTCGCAGGGATTGGCCTCGTGCTGGCTCAAGCACTCTATACTCTCTACGATGGGGCTATATAGAACGAGCAGGTGAAAAAAGTATCCTTCAACGTCCGGCCGACTTCCACTGGTTCCGAAGAAATGGGCAAAATCTTTGAAGAGGCAAGTGTTGCCCCGCGCCGTGTTATATCCGAAAAATGCTATCGCCGCAGCGAGGGAGATGACCGCGATGTGCGAAATTCTTTGATACACTTCTGAAGTGGCCAAGGATGCTAGAAAGAACTCATTTGGCACGTTATTGTTGCTTTTGAAGAGCTTGTATCTTCGAGAGCTTCGAATGAAGCTCGAGCAGAATAAGGTTCATATACAGCTTTTGCTGCAGGTCATTGTTTATGCTCGTTTCAAGGCTGGCACAAGGTGAGAGCGTGGCCTAAGAGCTCCTTTGATTTGCTTCTCACTGAGTCAATTTGCTGATTCGGATACAGTCAAATCTTGCTCCGAATGAGAGATATATTCATCAAGATGTGCATATTCGTCAGGCTTGTACGATTTGATGTATCGAGGTACAATAGACCGCGAAAGTGGAAATCCTGGTGATGTTAGACAGGAAAATAGGATCAAAGAGCATCGCCCGTTACAGCAGGAGCATCATTCAACGGGACAAATGCCAGGACAGACGGCTTCGAGCAACAACAAAACAAACCCCCTGGTTCGGCACACTGACGAGCCACATACTCGTGAGGACTGATATATCATATTGAATCGCGCTGTATACGGTCTTATGTCCTTGTCTTGCCCAAAAGAAGACTCGGAAATACTACTATGGAAGCGAGGGCCAGGCACTCGAGACACAACCACAGGCCTCGATTCCCGAAGTATTCAGCCGGATATGACCCGATAATACGGAAATATTCGACCTCACATGCCCGGAGGGATCAAAGAAGCACGGCTGGAGAGGATTAGCCTGCAGAGAGGTCACTTCCCAAGGTGGTCCCCTCGATAGCTGATCCGGTATTTGAGGATCAAGCTGTTCAGCTACTCCAGCGCTGGACAACCACCTACGATGATCCATCTAGTGGTGTGGAAGCATGTGCCAGTTTAGAATATAACATAGTGCTGGGGAGTATGTGATACAGGAGTATGTGATACACTATTCTCTGCAGATCTTATTTTCATGGCGTGCATTAGGCCCCGGCTTCCCAAATAATTATGGAACCTCTTACCACACATCATTTATTTCGCTCTGGGATGGTGGCGCGGCGGTGCCGATTGAGGTTGCTGGCTTCGCAGTGGAATGAGTCGCCGGCCTATGAGAAGCCGTCCTTCTCGGCGGGCGGCACGAGGGATATTTTGTTTCCGAAGGGTGGCGGTGAATGCTGTGGCCAGCTTTCGACGGAAAGAAGCCTGATAGGAGTGAGGTGCAGCTGGCTTCACGTGGGGCGGGGTGCGTCGCGATTCAGGAGGTGTAAGGTGCCAGGTCGGGGGTGGCCTACGCGTGACTTGTAAGTCTCCCGAGTCTGCGATTAATGAGAATAAGCGAAAGGAAGCTCGATCATTGCATCGGAAATAATTATGACGGGTCCACTTTGCACGAAATGAGGGAGTTAGGACGGGTCACCCTGAAGCACGTCCGAATCCGAGATAGGCATTCTGTCATCCTATGTCGACTCCGCAAGATCATTCTAGACTGCATTCTCCACGGGCCTTCTATGGTCCCACGCTTGAATGAGAACATCGGCTCGACCTAAATGGTTTTGCGTGTACTGACTTTTGCATATAGGTATCTGTCCTTGCTGTTCTCTCGACTTCAGTGTTTCATGTTATTACTCCATTTATTGATGGTGCCGCGCCCAAAAGATATATCTCCGCGATGACTGATTCAACAACCCAAGAAAATAAAAATTTCCGACTCAAGTCGACTAAACTACCCCCAAATGAAATAGATACAAGATCAACATTGATTACATCGCCCTTTTTATGTTCAGAATCTAGCCCGAACCAAACTTAAAAGTGGACCCTCGCTTATACAGCCACATAACGCACAAATCCACCTAGCTTTCCATCCAAATTGGCAAGATGGCCGAGTTGGTCCAAGGCGTCAGGTTAAGGTCTACCTTAACATCAATTTCCTGATCTCCGCAAGGGGGCGTGGGTTCGAATCCCACTCTTGTCATTATTTTTTGTCTTCAATATTTTTTCCTGGCTTCCCTACAATACACCTTTCCAGTCTCGAATGACAAGCACATTTGTATGACTCGGAAAACTTTGAATAGACCCTGCTACCGAATGGAGTATGGCACTGCCAGTTCCGGTAATTACTACTACTGTACTATTTCGGCACTTCCATAGAGAAGCTAGACCCTGAACTCAAGGACCAGCAGACCAGCCACATGGGACGAGCCATGTGCTCGCAATGAGCCTCAGTATTAGTCATATCAATACTGTTCGGGCGTTACACAAATAGCCATTAGAGAACAGCTCTCACCAGCATGGTTATTTTATGCTAGAATTGGTCAAGTTTGTTTCACAATATTTCATTTCCCTCTCATTACAGAATTAACAGTGCTCCAACTCTTTTCAAAAGCCAGTTGTCCCCATCCTTTCATCCATTCGGAATTCAATTCCTGCTGTGCTGTCGCTCTTTCGTTCGACCCGCTAGGATCGATCGAAGAATCGTCTCGAAAGTCCTTCGCAATTTCTCTATCATGGTCTCTAGGCCCATCTCAGCCCGAGGCTCCTGTATGCAGTAGCCAAATCTCTCGGCCCGGGTCCTGCACTTGCCGTCGTGACCACTAGACGCGTCTGGTTTCAAATCCAACTCGCCCCTCCTCGTTGAACCATTCCATCCTTCTGCTCCACTTTTCCACCACTCAGGAGGTAAGATGCCAATGATCTCTACTTGCTCTGCGGTGACGCGGTCTGCCGTAGGGTGAAAGCCCCCAATAAAGGTCGTTGGCAAAAAATCTCCAGATGGTGCAGGCAAGTGTCCAAATGTCCAAGGCAAAACAGAGGGGCTCGTTAGAAAGTTGGCATTAGGTGGGCGGAGGAGAGGAAGGATCTTCGAGGGGAACCTCGAAGTTGTCATGCGATTAAATGGCCAGAAGCTTTGCGGTTTTGAAATGAACGGGAGGCCTACCAAATGCACTAAATCCAAGGTGTCAATTGAGCTGGAGAATTTCAGACGCGGGTGATAGTCTCATGCTCTGCATGTTCAGTCTATTCGCAGACATCCTACCTCATTATAAGTGTATGCAACCTCTCAGCGGGCGAAGGATCAACTCGACGATGCTCGTGTAGAGAAATCAAAAAGAATACTTCATGAAGATCATCGGCACGCCTCAATATAAACTCGCGGTAGCTTGCACGTCATACCTGGTGAACTATGTGCCGGATCCCACCAAAACAGATCTCGCAACGACAAACGTGAATATGGTTTTCATACTGTGTCGGGTCGGTATTACTAGCCGACGGCGTTTCGTTCCGCTTGGGTCCAAGCATAATCTGGCGCGGAGCCCGGCATCACTGTCGTTATCATTCCTTGCAAAGTCCAAAAAGCTCAATTTGTCAACACTAGACCTCGCCATATTGCTTTTTTGGGTGCCATACGGGTACCCGCGAACCTGCCCAAGAACCCATCAGCCCGTATATTACAGAATAACAGTTGTAATACTACCTGTAACGAATATAAATATGTGTAATATGGTATATATTACCTGTATTCAAATCTCTTGGCGGGTTTTGGGTCAAGGGTCGAAACTCAACCCGCGATTTTGGCGAGGTCTAGTCAACACGAATTAAAGATTTACAGGTAGCCGATCTGGCCATAAATCAAAGACAAACAGTGGAAGGAACCCGGCCCCGTCATTTTCTAATACTAAATAGCCGTTGTGAATGTGATTGGCTAATGGCGGTCGAGCCCGTTCACGTGGTAGTACGAGACTAATCTGAAACCGATAGGCTGGCTTGGGCTTCATTAAACTTCAACTTTCGCAACACCCTCAACTCACACAAATTGGACTGAAAGCAAGATATTACTTCAGCAATGGCATTTAACCGCTGCGGCCCACCGGTCCCAGCTTCCCAGTCTGATGTTACACCAAGCGCGGGTCCAAGTGAAGAGACGAGCAGTTGCAAGAATTCTTGCTGCGCTAGCGACGATGCTAAGCCTCTCGACAACCCGGCCCAGAAAGAGCTTATCCAGGAGAAATCGGATGAGTTATGCTCTCCTGGAAAATGCACAGATAGCAGAATCGAGCTTGATAGCGGCGCGCCTGACTGTTGCCGTGGCAAAGTTGGCCCCTGTTGCGACACGTCTTGCCTTGACCGCTTAGCAATGCGGGGATGCGCGATGAGTGTTGCCCCCGGTCCAAGCGTTCAGCCGAAGAGTGAGTAGCCGCTCTCCAAGGATGGCACTCAAAGATTACTGATTTCTCTCAGATTTTGATGCAGCTACCGACCACAAGGCATGCAGCCAGCACACTCTCTCTGCCCTCGACCGTTACGGCGCTACCCTACAAGCCTTGGGATGTATTTGCCGCACTCTTATTGCTCTTGGCGAGGAAACCTGCTGTGAAGTTCGCGAACGCCATTCACTGGCACCAAGTGGGAAACAAGATTCCAGTACGTCATCTGCAAGCTCCCTTCTTCGGACCTCGCTGGATTCCGTTAGGAGCAACCGCTCCCTCACCAAGGACCAGTCTGTGCAGAATCTTCCTCGCTTGCAAAGGGTCTCTGGTGAAAGCGACAGGTCTGTCAAGAACCAGTCCGCTGATGCTTGCATCGTCTCTACTTTTTCAATGGACAAACCCACCACAGGCCCTCCTATCAAAAACAAGTCTTCGAAGATGTGCTGCTCCAAGGGCAAATCTGTCAAGCAGCTCCCGCCAAAGGGCAATCATGCTGGCTCTCCCTGCACGGACGAAAAACCTATCCAAGAAGCAGAAAGGAAGGAAGAGTGCTCCTCCTCTTGCTGCTCTGGAAACGAGGCCACCACGGTTCCATCCGACGAGATGAAACGCACCAAATCTTGCCATTCCCTCGAAAATTCTGCAAAACATCCTGCTGTAAGAACTGGAAGCCTTGAATTTTGCCGCTCGGAGACCCCTCGTATTGAAGAATCTGCCCTCAAGGTTGGCTGCCCCGGTTCCCATCGTCTAGGAAACCAACCCGACAAAGACAACGACGCCAAGGGCACCCTTGAAAACTCGTGTTATTTGAAGATCAACCCCGTTGTTGAACTTCCAGCTAGTTCGCGTGCAGGATCTTGTTGCGGAACCAGTAAGAACGCGATCACCGAAGAATACCTCATTGCCGACTCTTCCGGCTCTTGCTGTAAGCCACCCAAGCAGGATATCGTGCAGACTCCAAAGAGTAGTTGCGCAGACTCCTGTTGCACGAACATTCAGCCGGTCATGACTCAAGGCTCCTGCGCCGATGCTTGCTGCTCCTCTGCTGCGCCAGATCCTGGCTCTAAGATTGTTAAAGCCCCAGTTCAGGACGCCACCGACATAGAGAACCAGGGTACCGGCAAGGAATATGTTATTCTCAGCATTTCTGGCATGACTTGTACTGGGTGCGAAACAAAGCTCAAACGAACCCTTGGTTCTGTCGCCGCCGTCGAAGACCTGAAAACCAGTCTGGTTCTCTCCCGGGCCGAGTTCAACATTGACCTCCGCTTTGGGTCGGTGGAGGAAGTCATGAAACATCTAGAGCGAACGACTGAATTCAAGTGCCAAAGAGTCCAGAACCACGGTTCAAGCCTAGATTTTATTGTGCCCGGTGAGCTCTCGAAACTAATTAATCAGACGTGGCCGGACGGAGTCATTGACATTGTCCCCGTGGACAAACATACTGTGCGAGTTGCGTTTGATCCGAATGTAGTGGGAGCTCGAGACCTCACCGAGAAGATTTGGGGCCCGCCAATTCAACTTGCTCCTCTACGCGGTGATCCTTCTCTAGAGGCTGGCGGCAAGCATGTCCGCCATGTCGGATATATGACCGTACTCTCTGCTGTCTTGACCATTCCGGTCCTGGTTATGGCATGGGCTACGCTTCCCGAGAGGGAGGTAGTATATTCCTCGGCTTCACTCGCCTTGGCCACCATTGTTCAAGTTGTCATAGCAGGGCCTTTCTACCCCAAGGCCCTTAAAGCTCTCCTTTTCTCGAGAGTTATAGAAATGGACCTTTTGATCGTCTTGAGTACCAGCACTGCCTACGTCTTCTCGGTTGTCTCCTTTGGGTATCTCATTGCAGAGAAACCCCTTTCGACCGGTCAATTCTTTGAAACGAGCACTCTTTTGGTCACTTTGATCATGGTTGGTCGATGGGTTGCCGCTCTCGCTCGTCAGAGAGCTGTCGAGTCCATTTCTATTCTGTCCCTTCAGGCATCGACAGCTATTCTTGTCGACAAAGAAGGTGGAAGAGACCGTGAAATTGACGCCCGCCTTCTTCAATACGGCGACACCTTTAGAGTTCTCCCTGATACTAAAATTCCGACCGACGGCACTGTTATTCATGGGTCATCTGAGGTCGACGAGTCTATGCTAACTGGTGAGTCTAGACCGGTGGAGAAATATCCCAAGTCTGTTGTGATTGCCGGGTCTATCAATGGACCTGGAACCGTGACTGTTCGACTCAATCGTTTACCCAGCGAGAACACTATCAATAATATCGCTGCCATGGTCGATGAGGCGAAACTGTCGAAACCCAAGCTTCAGGATCTAGCGGACCGGGTTGCAGCCTATTTCGTTCCGATTATAATGGCACTGACGATCATCACGTTTGTGATTTGGGTTGCAGTGGGCATGACGATTCGTGAACACGATGGAGCCGAAGCTACAATTCAGGCTATCACCTATGCCGTTACTGTCCTCATTGTCTCTTGTCCCTGCGCCATCGGACTGGCCGTTCCTATGGTCGTTGTGATTTCCAGCGGAATCGCAGCGGAGAGAGGTATTATTTTCAAGTCAGCGGATGCTATTGAATTGGCTCATAAGACTATGCACGTGGTGTTCGACAAGACTGGGACCTTGACTCGGGGAAAACTTTCTGTTGTCGCGCAAAACTGCGTTGACGGGGACAAACTTCCGATTCTTCTAGGCCTCATCGAAAACAGTCGACACCCAGTCTCAGTTTCTGTGGCTGCCCACCTTAAGGATGCTGGGATTATTGCTTCGACTGTCCCCGGGTCTAAGAGCCTAACTGGTAAAGGCATTGAAGCTATTTTAGGTGGCCAGAGCCTTCGAGCAGGCAATTCTCGCTGGCTGGATTTATCGGAACATGAACTTGTTCAACCAATGCTCGCCCGAGGTTACACTGTCTTCTGCTTTACAATTGAAAATGAGTTTGTGGCCGTCTATGGCCTGGAAGATGAGCTCCGACCTGACGCCACAGGGACAATTGAGATCCTGAAAAGGCGAGGCGTCTCGGTGCATGTGGTTTCTGGCGACGATGACGGAGCTGTCCAGACACTAGCAGCCAAGCTTAGCATTCCTGGCAGCAATATTCGCTCTCGGAGCTCACCTGCTGACAAGAAGGACTACATCCAGGAGCTCCTTGGAGATGGCATCGACCGCAAGGAACCGGTTGTTGTGTTCTGCGGTGACGGCACGAACGATGCCGTTGCTCTTGCGCGGGCTACAATCGGCGTTCATATCAACGAAGGCACGGATGTCGCACAATCCGCAGCGGATGTGGTTCTCATGCGGCCTTCTCTGGCTGGAATACCCACCATGATGAATGCCAGTCGGACGGCTGTCAACCGCATTAAGTTCAATTTTACATGGAGCTTCGTATATAACATCTTTGCAGTCCTTCTAGCTGCGGGTGCTTTCGTGGATGCGAGAATTCCTCCAGAGTTTGCAGGGCTTGGAGAGTTGGTGAGCGTGTTGCCGGTCATTGCAGCTGCGGTGCTTCTGCGCTGGTCGAAGATCTAAGCAAAGAGGTAACAGTGGCTGAATTCCAGAAACTCTCATTGTGTCCGTCTAAAATCGTCGCTCTCCGACGAAGGGTTGCGAGAGCCCCTGTCAATCGAGCTCAAATCTGAGTCGCAAACGATGGATTTCTGTCCTTATCGCTAGCTAGTCTGCTTCCGTTTCAGAGAAGACTCCTCAAGGAAGTCTTAACTCATTGTGTTCCAGCCCCACATATCATATTAAATCAGGTGTAGTTGTCAACTGTCACGACTTGTCGGGTAATCAGTCGTAGATGGACCATCTGAAGGGGTTCGCAATATCCTTAGCTACATTCTCACTGTCAACGAATATACTTATATACATATATACTGAAGAGGGAAACGCTCGATGGCAGCACGCGCTCAGACGTGCGTGTCGATTCAGCAGAAAAGCCAGCACAAAACACATGCGTAGCAATCAGGAAATAGCGAGAAGCCCAAATGTAAGGGTCAGGTCAGGGAGGTGTAAGAAGGTGTATTCTAGAACTAGCTATCCGGCCACCGTATAACTGCCGGCTATGTCACATAGCCTGGATGGCACCCATGTAGTAGGGGGAGGGGGTCTCGCCAATACAATAGTTATTACATGAGGCTCAGCCCCTAGGCTGTACATCATGAGGCAAAGGACAAATATCAGTGACGAACAACATTTATTATATCTAGCCTATATGCACTCTGCCGTGCTCCATTACAGGAGCCAACTATAGATCTTGCCTTCCCATCGGCCTCGCCCTTCACTTCTGTCGGGATATATTCTCCTGTCAGAACAAACTGGCTGTGACCCACTGCTAGCGACCGATGGATAACATCCCTTGCTTGGTGTACGCATTCTTGCGCTGGGCTGTGGCCTCGGTGTTGTGACCGCCGAAGGCCGGCGTGTGGGATCTAGGGGTGTTTTTCCAACTAGACTGAACATCTACACATCACACATCTATCAACAGGAATCAATTGACTTTTGCTTTGGAGCATACACACTGTCCACTTAACTGTGTACACAGTACCTAGCTGGTGATACCAACATATTCTATTGGGACATCTTCAGTACTAGCCAGTACATCAATTCCTCATCCTGACAGATAATGAAAGGATCTCGAGTTTATAAGCTGAACTAATAAAGATTCAAGCCTTTATACCAAGTTCGGAACAAACCAGAGCTAACTAAAGAGTGTTGAAAGTGTGACGGTTTTTGACTTCCAGGCCTTTTAGGCCTAGGAATAACTTCATTCTGTGGGATTAGTGCCTGAGATACTTTCGTCCCGTTGGTACTGAATAGATCTGTTCTCTTCGATTGACCCGTAACAAGAAGAATCTAGATTGTTTCTGATCAAGACTCGCGAAATACACCAGACATTTATTACATTATTGTAAGCCTAAAATAGACTAACTATTGATGAAGCAGTTCTTCCTCTTCCAGCGCTAATAGTTTCAGTTGAAGTGGTATTCTCTTCCGCAGAATTTCTTTGATTCGCTCCGAGTTTTGGGAGGTAGCTGTGGCGGAAGACTAGCGAATGCGAAAGGTTCCGGAGTCGACTTAGATAGTTCCTGAGACGTGATTGATATATCCTAGTTATCTTCGGTAGGATCTGAAGGGGTTGGCTCAGTCTGAGAGGGCTTCAGAATTCTAGAACCAGAGAAATGGGTAGGCCGGATCCTTTTTGATCCTTCAGTGCACGGCGACCAGACCTACTGCGAACCAGACGGAGATTGCTTGCTATAAGATAGACTAGCCCCTATTGATCGCCCACGTTTCTTTCTCGGTGTAATCAGATCAATCACTATTGAATTTAGTTCTAATTATAAGTTATCAGAAATCACTAAGGTTGAAGCGTGGATATTATAGTCAAGAGATAAAACTCACCGGTCGGGGATGTCTGGTTAGTAGAGGCTTGCTCTTTCTCGGGTGAAACTAAATCAATCACCTCAATGTCTGGTGCTAAGTATAGAATTTTAAAGTCAATTAAATGACAATGATTAGCTCTGGTGCAAAATGGTACATACTAGTCGAAGTTCCCTTCTTGGGAGGTCGGCGCCGGTTAGCCATTGTCACTGGCTTTTCCCGGATACCAGTCTAAATCCAGTTTGCACGCTCCCAGTAGGTATTATATTCAAACTCATAAGCGATAGAATTGTTAGTTATATCAAACGTTACTGGAGTAAATCCAGAACATAGGGCTTAATGCTAACCAGGAGCGGAACATCTCGGCTAGTCCGGTTGATCAGGGAATAGAGTCCTTCAACTAGATTAGTTGTAGACTGATACGATCCGAAGACACCCTCTGGAATCTAGGACCAAGTAGGATTCAGGCCCGAAAGAATCCACGGGATCTTCTTATGGTCTAGCCAGTTCCGAAGATCCTCGTCGATTCTAGCGTGGAACTCGAGCAACTCTATTACTTGCTTACTCTCTTTAGCATCAGTAACTTGGTTTAACTGGCGCATAATAGTAGAGTACTCTTTCCGCCCAAACGTTTGGTTGATCCCACGATTGAAGTGGACGGAACAGTATATCACAAGATGCATAATATATGTGGACCAATGTCGGGTAGGAATAGGATCAACTAGGCAAAGGTATTAACCAAGACCTAAGTAATAGTTTTAGTATATTATAAAACAATCTATAAAGTACTAATGCTTACTAGAAATCTGCTTAAAGCATATGTCTGACACCACGCACTCAATGCCTAGTCGATGGATATGTTGCCACCGGATTTGAATCCGCCCAATTTGTCCGAGAAGTGCCTCGAAAAGCTTGATGTACATTGCAGCAGACTCTGAATTCACAAATACTCTCGCGAGAACTTGGGCTACTCAAATATTAGTAGTAAAAGATGAACGGGGATTAATACTTACCAGACGAATCAAGGACGTCTTTAGTTGCAAAGACCACCCCTCGGATCGACCCGCAGATTCTCTTGAAACTCATGTCCAATTGGAAGCATTTAATCTGGCCCCAGTACTGGGCTTGCTCTGGAGTAAAGCAGATCACTCTGAAGTTAGAGCCGTCGTTATAGACGCTCTGGATATAGGCCTGTGCAGGATAGCGGGAATCATGCAGGAGCTATTGATGGATGACAGCTAACATGAATTATTAGTAACGTATAATTCAACCTGAAATAAAACTAGGCTTTACTATGTAGATAATTTCTAGCTTGGTTTAACAGGAGTTGCTCCTTTTTAATCCAGCCTCTAACCTTGTCCTCATTAGCAAGCGACGGTCCGGAATGAAGCTTCCCCAGAAGATGGACCGGCCGCCCAGGTTGAAGCCTTGGCCACCATTGTACCGAGTCTTCTACTTTGTCGTAGTTTATGACCTTGAAGTCTTCCCACAGTGACCAGATGTGCTTCTGGAACTGGCCGATGAGCAAGCGCCGGGGCAAGTTTCCAATGTGCGTTGGGAAGAGCAGGGAGCCGGCCTCCAGGATCAGCACCCGCTTTCCAGCGTCCGCGAGCGCACTCGCCGGGACCCCGCCGCCCATACCAGAGCCAACGACTATCACATCGTAGCGACCCGTCGTGTCCACGTTGCGATTGAGTAGCGTGCGGGCCACGACGCCGTTTTCAGTCACAAGAGCTTGGGATGGCATCTCGGAAGCTGTCGCGAGAGAGCGGTTGAACAACGCGCGCTTGTGAGACAATCATGTTTTTCTACGCTGAAGGGGACAATCAATTATGCACGGAATTTGCAGCTTTCGTACGTAAGACGTAACCCAGCTACACGGACCCTCGGGAGCTCTTTTAGCGCATGCTGTGGCACAGTCCTCGGGAGTTGCGACAGTACTCTGTTCGTTAGCGTAGTCGCCCACGTTATGGATCTCTCCACAACCATAGGTAGCCACAACACCGGGCTCAATCTCCTGATCCCCCGTGGGGGTGGGTTGCAAGTTTTGTCGTAGGCACTGTGGGCGTTGGCGCACCCGAAAAGTAGGGCAAGACCGATAAGAGAGGTAGGATTGGCTCTCATGGTGGCTGAAAGGGCGAGGAGGTATGAGAGGATAACAATGGCTTGTAAGAGATACTAAAGTATGTTTTGATGATTGAGAAAGGATATCGAGATTCGGGGATAGGGAGGGCTATTTAGGATTTCAACCCGAAGCAAAAGGGGTGATATTTCTCACCTCGTCATTCTACAGTTTTTGATCTGCAAAGATCTACAAATCTGAGTATTATGCAGAAAATGAGGTCATTTTGAGACAATACTGCTAGTGTAGCTGCCGTGTAACATCAGGTGGAGATGCCGCTGCCTCGATGGTAGTGAGTGTGTGCAACCCTTACGTGAGTTACAGCTGCAGGTTAAATAACTCAGGATCATTTCTATCATTAGCTGTTGCTATATTGGCCCTTTAAATCGTCGGTTGATAATATGTAGCTGTCCCTCAGATTCACTAATACTAGCACTATAGTACTACCATAGCTTAAAGAAGATAGCAAACTTGGTGAACAATGCTTTTTCCTCTAATTATTGGTCGACCATGTTAAGCCCAAGTAACGCACGTCGATCATGTAGATCTGCTAATAGTGCGGCGCCCTAATATGATCAGAACAAGCTCAATCGCCGAAAAAATATCATTTCTGGGATACACGCCGCATGCTAGCTTATCCTTACCTTTGGTAGTGAGAAGTGACCGTCCGTTAGCCTCATTTATTTTACCCTTACATTCTTGACCTGCGCCAACCCAGTGGCTGGCTCAATGGTTACAACTCTGTCTCCTGGATCAGCCAGGGATAATCAACCATTATTAGTATCACGACAGGTCGTGTTATGATCGACAAATCTATAAGATCGACGACTGTATCCCTAGATAAAGGATCTTCACAAGCGCCTCGGTTCACTTAAGGTCTGTACTTCACTAGCTAGTATCAGGGTTAGGGTGTGACTATTACAGAGATGAATAGTTATGGTTACACGGCAGATAGGCAGATACTCAGGTGCGCCCGCGTGATTTAGGAAAGTCACAGATAAAGCAAGGAGAAGTGATGTGGTATTACAGTAGCGTGCGTACATCCTCTCAGTGCGTTATCGTCGCCACCCGTCCAATATTATTACATTCGTTGAGAGTTCAAGTTGCTACCTTGCCGAGAGACGCAAGAGACACACCGGCTCAGATACCCCTTGACGGCATCAGCGCTCTCGGAGGCTTGTATACGCTGTGCTCGGCATTCCGCGCAGCTGTTGGCCCAATCTTGGACGATGGATCTTTTGTCATTTTCGATTGTTTCTTCAGCATGTATCTGTTTTCTTCTCTTATTGTCTTGACCATTTCAAATATACTGGATGGGCAAGACAATCAAGCCGATCGCGACGCTACTTCAAATGCGTCGCGACTTCTGAGAGAGCTCAAGGATACCGGTAATTGCATGGCCAAGGAATATTGTCACCATATTGAGGCAGTTGAAGCTTGCCTGTCCGCATATGGGAGAAGAGCAATGACAGCAGCCCCGCTGATGCTACCCGAAATTACTGGCATCGACAGAGCGGTAGCCTCTGAATTTCCTCAGAGTATTACACACGCGGAAATACCAACATCAGCCATTCCGCGGAACGATTCAACTCTACAGCACCTTTTCTCTCAGCCTGGGCTTGATATTCGATTTCTAGAGGATGCCGTCGGAGACACCTATTTTGAAAGGATTTATCAACCCGACGTTGATGCTGGAAGTTGATTGGTACATGAGCCAGGGCTATATCGAGAAATGTAGCTTTGGCCCTGATGATGTGGGACTATTACGAAACCCCAAATTATTTATGATGGCTACGAGACCCGCTCTGACGGGGCATCCCAACGTAGAAAAACCAACAACTGGCAGTACCGAGCAAGGAAAAGCGACAATATGTTTCTGTTTTCAAATTTGGCCCATGAAAGCGCTATGCTACTCGTGTGATGCGTCTGGTATGCGATGCCATCTGTGCACGAATTAAGGGCTAGGCCTCTGTCGCTCGACCATTTGAGAAAGTGAGAGATGACAATTGTCGCGTCTTTTTTGCTCTGCTTTGGCCAAAGCCTATATGTCGTATACATGGCCGAACTAATACTCAATACTTGGATTTACAAAAGGGATTTTCTTTTTTCCAGCAGGCTCGGCTCTTTGGCATTCCGCCGAGGCTTCGACATACGGCGCCCCAAATATTTCAACCCGATCCCGCCTCTTTCCTTACTTACCTTTCGCGATTCGGCTATCACATGTCAAGATATTTCCCTTCTTTGATAACATGAAATGGCTCCTTCCTTTTTCTTCTCGGCGGCATCTCCCACACTTGCGCAATTCCATTCCCGACCAATTGCCACGCCGCGGCGCTAAACGCCATCTGTCCAACTTGAGGCCCCCAAGACCCACTGCACCACTCTCACAAGAAGGTCTGGAATGATTCAACTTGGTCTGAGTAATGGTGCTTATTAAAGCCCTGTGCTAACTTTTGATCACCTCAGACCATCCCTCTGGCGGTGCATTGCGCCTAATGCCCCTAGGCGGATCCGTCACCCGTGGCGTCGGTTCTTCTCATGGGACAGGGTATAGGAAGTTGCTCTTACAAATGCTCGAGCAGCAGGGTGTCAATGCTCGAATGGTGGGCTCGCGCAAAGATGGACCCATACCCAATAATGAGCACGAGGGCTGGCGCGGTTTCAGAATCGATGAGATCGAAAAGAAGGCCAGGAGGTCAGTGGAAGGACTATCTCCAGACCTTTTCATGGTAAATGCTGGCTCCAATGATTGTCTTCAAGACTTTGAAGTCGAAGGGGCTGGAGAGCGCATGAGTCAAATGGTCGATTTTCTTTGGTGGGCATGCCCCCAGTCATCGGTCCTGCTCTCTACTTTAATTGTCAGTGCAGACAAGCAGGTTGATTCGGTTGTGAGAGCCATCAATACGCAGTTCCGCGCATTAGCGGAAAAGAAGGCAACCGAGCAGAAGAAAATTATTCTAGTTGACATGTACTCATCGGAAGGACCTGATGTCCGGGATCTCGTTGATGGCATACATCCCGATGATGAAGGCTATGACAAGATGGCGAAACTCTGGTTTCACGGCATACAGGAAGTTATCCATAAGGGGTTCATTGACACTTCGAAATATAAGTTTTGATGCAGAACGAATCGGTGATCTAGATCCTCGTACTCTTCGGGTTTCTCTCCTATGCTTCCGGTTCGGCATTTTGTATGCTGGGCCGAGGCGCCATCTGGACCCACTGGCAGGGGCGTGCACTCCGGACCCACTTCACAGGGCGCGTCTCCACGCACGTTGCCCAAGATGCGCTGCACACCTTACTCAATGAATCAGTTCACAGCCGCGAAAGCAGAAAAATACGCGCAGAATGTGACCTTTTACTTCTCAAAAGATGAGGAACAAACCTTCGGACAGCCAGGATCAGTCTCATGTTACGGCGACGATCCTGTGTGAGAGCAAATCCAGTCGAATCGTATGTATGGGGACACTACAAGAATGGGAAATTTTCTCATCTCGTAGCAATGGAATGCACCAATGCAGTCGAGGTCGTCAACACTTTGGCTCGCTTTCAATTGCCAGAGTTTGACTTTCTCGATGATTAACCTCCTATTCCGGATGAATCGTCAGTCATCCCCACCGTAAATCCGAATATGACTTTCGATGACCTCAGCGCCCTGAACTCGCTATCGGAAGATCTTGCTGGTGCTCATTTTGATATCTTCTTTGTATCGGAAAATATGCTATACCGGAAGAAAAGCTTTAAACTGCTGACGGTACTGATGATGTTGTCAAAGCGATCGAATTCCAACAGAAGCTCATTATGGCGCAAGAGCTCAACTACACAGACATGACCAATAAATCTCTGAGTAATTCCTACTCGGGTGATATCTTCCTCCGCGATCGTCTAAAGGTTTTCCGGGACGCTAATTCCACGAGGGTGCTAGACGCTCTTCTTGCGTCTATAGTGATTCTCGGGGTCTTCGGTTCTTTTCTTTTGAACACTGATCATGTTCTGCCGAAGAATCCTGGCAGCATTGCCGCAATTGCTAGTCTGCTAGCCGACTCCAACTTCTTGGACCTGTATCAATTTATCGAAGAAGATCCAAATGGAGCCTCCTTTGGACGAAGAGTCTTTGTAGAAGTGTGCTGCTGAAGATAGATTCAAGTATGTCGTTGAGGATTTGTGCAGAGGATCGATTCACAGTATAGTTTGAAGCTTGCGAAAAAAGTGTGCTTCCATTGAGAGAGGAAAATATCAACTCATCCTCATCGCGTGAGAGAGTCGGAGTAGTCAGAGTTTGGCTTTTTGTGACTACCAAAGCGCGATAGCCATTTGAATTATGGCAGTTGTTACTATATTGCTTTTCACACCAGCTGAGTGAGCATTCTGTCAACACTGGCTTTTGCTCCCATATTGTGGTATTCTGGGCCGTATAAATGGACTTTGGTTCCTCGTATCTGGCAGAGAGAAATGATACAATTTGCGATCTTAATAAACGAAAAGAATGTTATGATCGATGTCCATGGCTGGCGATAAACCATCACTTCCGTTTTCGAATCTAGCCCTTGCCCCGTGAATAATAGAGGCTCAATCGTATTATTATTTGGTGTAAAAAAGGTGACGGTAAAACTGCCGCCTCGGGAAGCGATCGGCTCCCGGAGCCCAGCTTGAGTTAATCCCCCCGCCGCCCTGAGCTGCTCCCTAAGCAACCGTGAGCGACCTTGAGCGATCCCGAGCACCCTGATCGCTCACCCCTGATGCTCCGACTGGCCGACGTCATTCTTCCTTCTTTGTTTCACATCCTCCGATGATAAGCGCTTTGCTGCCTACGGTTGGAGGGGCACTTGTTAGGATACCTAGCTTAGTCAGCCTGGTCGGGGCATATCCTCATTGTAGGTAAGAGAGTCATTAATTTCGCTATCGTCTTCCGCATCGGACTGGTAATTGCCATCGTTGTCGCCGTCGTCGTATCTTTCTTCGTCACTCCCATTGTTTTCGGCATCAGTTGCGGCACTGTCATCCTGTGGTTCTTCACAGCTCGCTTCGCAACGGGCGACGTTGCCAGGCGCTTGCGGCTAGACATTGTAGTTGAGCCTGATTGTCACTGCTGAACATAAGTAAGTGCTTCGTCCAGAAAAATAGCCTGTCTGGAGAGTCAGCAACGGATGCTCCTAGTTGATTACCTAGCTGGTCTACCTTGCATTCCGCACTATCACCCCTGGGTACCACAGTCCCACTTGCCTTTCCTGGACAGATAGCGAGACTCAAGGCTTAACTAGGCTAGACTACAACAGAAGCAATATTGCGGTGGCAAATCTCTGGTAAATTCAAAGTTCGTGGGTTCAAAGATTGTCTTGATCTTTAACTGTATTGACATGACGGTAAGTTTACATCCTACCCGTATTCCTGCTTCCACAAACTAAATCCGACGCGCTTACATCGAATCAACAAGATAGTCAAGCATCGCGGCTGAAAGATGGTGCTCGATTATCCCAACACGGCATAGATGGCTCGCTCGAACTCACCCAGAAGATCGACAGCCCTTTGGTCGCCGGTGGGGAGAAGTTGGGACAAGAACACGCCAGCAACACCTTTCTTCGTGTCGATCCACTATCGAGACGTCAGTGACAGGTCCATAAAATGGATACAAAAGACAATGTTAAAAATTTACCCAGTAGCAATTGGGGCGTCCGGACCAGGACAGCGAGTACTGGCCGCGAGCACCAGGCATGTCGATCGTGTTAAGCAGACCGCTAAGCCCATAGTCCACAGGTATATTGCTAGAAACGGCATTATAAATCGCATTGCGGTTTGCTAGAATGTGGTCCTCTTGGTTATCCAAGCCCTTGCGGCTCTCCAAGTGTGGCTTGAACATCAGTTGCAGACTCTCGGGTCGGAGCAGTCTTTCCTGCAACACCCCTAAGTAGATCTTGAGGAGATCAGGGACAGTTGTGTAGATTCCGCCACCTCCAATGTCGTCTATAACTGGGTCGGGCATCCAGAAGTTTGTGACCTCTCTGAGTCGGTGATGATCTCGTTCCCACTGCTTCACCTTTCGGGCGCGCAGGTCTGGTCTCTCATCCAGATGGAAAGTAATGTCTCTAGCTCCCACTGGTTGAAAGATATTTTTCTCCATGTATTCACCTAGTTTCAGTCCCGTCACATTCTCGATCTGGTTGTTATCCTCTCAGCCAATTTCCAGTGTGGTTTTTGCAACGATTTCTGTAGGGCCGACTGCTTACCATTAGCCCAGCCCACTCAAGTCCAGGGCCATACATCCATTGTTCTCCTGGCTCGAACACCAGAAACGTGTGGAATGATTCCCGCTGTTTTGGTTAGTCAATTGCGCCAAGTCTCGGCAGTAAATGGACATACGATTGTCTGCAGAAACACGGGCCGCTCGCCCTCCAGCTCTTGGTAGCGCATCGAAAGCGGGTGCATGAAGGTATAGGCCATCCCAGATGAGTGGGTCAAGAGGAGCCTTGGAAAGAAGCGACTTAGTGATGAGGGATTTATGCATAGTTGATTTCAAGTGCAGCGTACCGAAGAGTAAGAGGTCGTTTTGCTGGTCGGAATTGGGGCTCGTTCTTCTCGCTGAATCCAGTCAAGATCTTGGGGTCTTTCCACTCAGGCAGGATTGCAGAGATGTCTGCGTCCAAGTCCAACAGCCCCTTTTCGACGCATTGCATGACCGCAATGCTTGTGATGAATTTGGTTGCGGACGCAATCCAGTGTACATCATCAAACCTGTAATCTTCCTCCTGGTTGCCACCAAAACACTTTGCGTAGTGTAGAGTTCCTGTGGATTGTTAGAAATATGGTGTTCAAATGTGTTTGTTCTTTGGTGGAATTTACCTTCTCGATTAACGGCACCAAGGGTGATGCGAGGCAGGGGTAGTCCATCCCGACTGAGGAAGGATTGAACAGCTTCATCAATGAACTCCATTGTTTAAAGAAGGTCGTATAGTCTCCAGATGGCTTGCTTCAAGAGCATATGGCCCAACCTTTAAGGGAGATATTGCGCTTTTATGTTCGAATGCCTGCGCACTTTCCGACTCCTGTGCCCGCTTTCCCTCTTGGAGTAATGATGTTCGATCTTCTGCTTCTTTTCTATGGTAAAGCAGACCCGATTGATGCTATGCGTATTCGTTCCAGTGATACATTCTGAACTTAAATTCAATACGTAAGCCAGACATCGCAAAGTGGCCGAAGGAGCAAAAGATGTGGGCGAATCCACGAGCTGCCTACGCAGATCTTGTTTGCAATATCAGAAGTACCCGTTTTTTTTCTTCTTTTTTCGACGACTTTGCGGATTAGCAGTTGAAGTCATCAGTGACAATACCGGTGAAGGCGAACACGCCAATAGAAACCAATCTGTGGAGTCGGTCTGACACTCGTGACCTCGCGATCTGTCCTAAAACGGAAAAAATATGGGGTACAAGGTTGTAGTGCATGGCGCGAACCCCGTTCCAAGGTTCTATGGGTACAACCACTAACCGAACGTCCTATTACATCACTGATGTTATTGTCTCATGTTCCGAGCCAAGAACGTCAATACCTAACACCATTAGTATATTGAATATATTTACAAATTAGGTCCTTTACCTGGCCCTTGACAAAAACCACACCGACTAAAGATGACCGACAATGACACTCCTATTGACACTCCTATTGACACTCCAGTCCAGGATCGCTTACGGCGTCTCATGCCGAGCTTGTATATACATTTTGGAGGCAGGCATTATCAGGACTGCCTCAAGCTGTATAATCATGCGCTGAGCGAGCAACCACAAGTCTGCGCCCGGCCGCGGACAGAACAAGAGGTCTCACAGCTGGTTCAGTTCTGTACTGAAGAATCGATTGCCTTTTCTGTTCGCTCAGGGGGTCATGACTTCTTCGGTCGCTCCCTGGTTCACGACGGCATACTAATCGACATGCGCGCAATGGACTCGGTCATAGTCGAGCCGGACCGAGCCAGCGCGCGAGTTGGTGGAGGGGTGATTACCGGCGCCCTGCAGGAAACACTCGAACCCCACGGCTTATTCACTCCTACTGGACATGCAAAATCCGTGGGCTATGTTTCATGGGCCTGCGGTGGAGGGTATGGCTTCTATGTTGGAACGTACGGGTTTGGGGTTGATCAGGTCCTTGCGGCTCGAGTGGTATTGGCGGGGGGCCACGTTGTTGATACCGATGAAGATCCAGAATTGCTGTGGGCGCTCCGCGGCTCCGGGGCAGGCACATTTGGCATCGTCACGGAACTTCGCGTGAAGGTGTACCAAGTGCCTAAATTGTATGCTGGCTTCCTAGCCTTCCCCCTGGCCGAGGCCACAACTGTCATGGACAGGATTGAAAAGCTCTTCGAGGATGTCTTCCCCGATGAATTTAGCGGAGATGCCATTGCCGTGAATCCTGAAATGGCCCCGATGCCGGTAGCTGAACCTTGTTTTATTTTGCTTTGGTGCTGGACTTCTGTCAACGGAGACCTTGCGCCTGCGCAAAGCTTTCTTGAGCAGACGATGCAGGCCGGCAAGGTTCTAGGCAACTCGGTGACGGAGAGTAAGCTCCATGTTTCTGTCATGCGCTACATAATTTCCAGCTAACTTGACTTGATCCAGCTACTCCAGCCGCCTTCGGCTTGAGTGATTCATCATCAGCGACCTTCTTCCGCAGTCGAAATGTCGATCGGATACAACAGAAACTTGGCGCCATCCTTGCACGACACCCTCTACCGCATCCACTGTCCGCTGTCATCTTTCACAATAACCATGGCAAGGGGGTTCGGCATGAAGTCGCAGACAATGTCGGGGCGGTCTTTCCGAATCGGCGCCGACACGTCATTCTCGGGCTCCATGGTGGCACTAGACCAGGCCAGGCTGATGCAGAAGAGCTTGCCGACGCAGGCAGATGGGTCACAGAATTAGAGGAGGCTATTGATCAGAACGGTCTTTCCCTGCAAGGGGGGTTCTCTGCCTTTTGGCCCCCCAACCAGATGGATGTAGAATGGTTCTTTGGGAGGCAGGCGGCGGCAAGATTGCGGCGATTGAAAACACGGCTGGATCCGAATGATCTATTTCACCGTGCGCTTCCCGATCTCAAAGCAGGATGAACAGATTGGCTTTAGTACTCTCTTCTTGCAGAATCCGGCTTGATGCAGGTATAGATATAGTGGTTCTAACGTAATTCACTACCGAATCGCCCACCTGACCGATTACTAAGCATTCAAAGGTAGATAAAACCACCAAAACACTATTGATTCAAAAAAACTATTGATTAGGGCACCGGTTAATTGAGTGGCCAGTATTATTACAGTCGCTACATCTCCGGGGTGCACGTTTAGTGGTGGGATGGCAAAACAGGTGATTCAACTGGTACGGGACGAGGCTGTTCAACGTGTTCAACTGGCTGCATTGGCTGCACTGGTGGTGGTAGGCCCTCTCCAACTGTAACACCCTGATCGTATCGAACTAGGCGATTCGCGTGTTAGATTTTGCCCGTTTCTTCTTAATTCCCAGCCCGTGAATCAGCAATTTCCTGAGCTTGTAGCCCGTTGGTATGCATTAAGACACAGTAGCGCTTCATAATCTGATCTAGGACAATCTTTGAATGGGAAGGAGGGCATCTTGATCGTTTTTTGAGTATTTTTTTTGAGTGAAGAAACTTGTTTCTGTAGTTGAATGACAGTTTTTGTGCTGAAACGACTTGATCAGCTGGAAGGTCGCCCCCCCGGGGGGGGTTGTAGGTGCTCGGAGAGATATATTTAGCTTAGAGAGCACCCGTTCAGGATCTAGTGGAACTAGACCTGCTGCTGTGAAACTATTTTGAATAGACTCTGTTTTGAAGGTCTCTTCTCTTGCCTGAGGATATTTTGCTAGGAAATCTAGCTTATCAAATATTGATTGAATCCTAGCCGTGCTTGATCGGTAATCAAGCGACCATAAGCATGTTTGAGAACAGCAAAATATCCAATATCCAGAGGTTGAAGAAGATGGGATGATTGAGGTTTCAGCACAAATCCGGTTGAATTGAGGCGTGAGATGGCTATCATGGCCATCAAGAATCCGAAGGCGATATGTTCCTTTCATCCGAGTTGAGGTGAATGGGATGAATAGATTTTGAAGTCATCTGGTACTGATTTCGTCTGAAGTCCAGCCATTTGGAGAGACTTCGATTCGCCAGTCTTTTGGAAGGCCATCAAGCTAACTGATGTTGTGGTTTTTGGCTTTAAAAATTATGCATGGTGGGAGAGCAAAACCAGCCGCACTGATTGACTCGATAACAGTCACCCATTCTCGATTTTCTGGCTGTAGAACTGCCCAACGACCATGATAGTCGGCTCGAGCAACCACCTTTTGTGCTGACATAAGGCCCATCGCGAATCCAGTCTCATCAAAGTTGTAGATACCATCTGATTGGATGCCGTTCTTATTGATCACATTTTGAACGGGTTTAAAACACTCACGTAAGACCTTTGGGTCCTCATTTTGATCGAGCACGTTGATAGTCATAGCGTCTTGAGAAGCATGTTTGAAGCTCTTTTTGGCGATCGATAAAATTTGATGCCCAGTTATTCCAACTGTTGGTGGGGGGGGGGGGTTGTTTCCACGGTCGGCAAGTAGAATATTCGCCATTTCTCTCACACTTGAGGGCCTAGGCGCTGCACCGCGTGAATCCATTGAGAGTATCCACTGTACAAGCGATTCTTCTTCAAATCCAGTCAATTTATGACTATTAGCGTGTGTATTCGCGCGAAGACTAACCCGCACATCGGCGGGGACTGTAGCCTCAGATACGTTATATGTCTTGGCTGCAGCGCGAAGTCTAGAAAATTGACTACTTTGAAAAGCCTGAACAGCTAATAAGATTCGGCCCTCACAATTAGCCGAATCATGGCTTGATTGAGCATGTTTTGGTGGCATGGTGGGTGGTTGAAGACAGTGGGTACGCGTCGGGACGCGATTTTTGGTGGGGGCGCGTCACTCGCTTGGGTGCGCCACTCGCTTGGGTGCGCCACTAGCTTGGGTGCGCCACTAGCTTGGGAACTCCGTTATCCGGGTTTCAAATCCAATCCAATCTCTAGCCTCCGACGCCACTGTTGAATGTGAAGAATTATACAGAAAGCCAACTGTCCATGTGGCCGAACAAGGATATGTCCTTCCTCGGTTTACGTTTCAAGGAAGTTATAGTTAGCTCGTCCGGACACGCGACCACGCAACAGGAACAAGAATCTTCAGCTCGTCCACGGCGGAGCAAGAGCAAATTTGGCTGTCGAGAATGCAAGGCAAGGCGGGTCAAATGCGATGAGGCCTATCCGACATGCAAGCGGTGCCAGCGTCAAGGCATTGTCTGCTCGTCAGCCCCACGATTGACACAGTGGCAGATTGAGACGCCCTGGCTCTCACTGCAACCAAAAACGTTCGTTAACCGAAGACTATTGCAATATTGGCTCGAGAAAGTCAGCCAAACACTGGTCATAGATCCTGAAAATAATCCTTTTTCATTTCCCGCTCTGGAATATATTGCCCAGTCATCCGCACTCCTCCATGCTATCCAGTCGGTCAGTGCCAGCCACGAGCAGTATTTCTCGGCCAACACCCCCATTATCGCCCTTGAGGAACGTGGCAAAGCCATAGCCTGCCTTCGGAAAGAGATAAACCAAAGTCAACACGCGCCTAACGCACTCATTCTGACTATTATGTTACTGGCTCTCGCGCAATGCGCTGATTCTGACACGAAAGATTATGGCAAGCAGCATTTATTTGCTACCCGCGCCATGATCCACAGTATGCTCCAGAACACATCTATGTTGGCTACTAATGGCCCTGCGATCCAGCTCTGCCTCGGAATGTATCTTTATTGGGACATGTGCAGTTCGTTCCTGGTAGACCCATGTGAGTCACAGGGGCTCAACTCACTTAACATATCCAATGCAGTGCATAGGATGGGAGACTGGCATCATCCGATGTACGGAACATGCAGCGGATTACTCCTTATCATGGCAAATGTCGGACGGTATTGCCGACAGATCCTTGACTCGCCACAGAACCGCAACTTCGTGCAAGAAGCCGTGTTGGAGGCCCAGCTTACTACCTGGAAGACAAGCCCCGCAAATCCCCGCCTGGGCCACTTATATGAGGCGTTCCGCAACCACGGGCTCATTTTCCTTTATCGAGCCGGTGCGCATGCACAAAGTAGTTGCCTCATGGATCCAGATTCGTCTGAAGCGCAAGAGTCTTTGATTCAACAATACGCCGAAGAAACAGTCCGCCATTTGATGCAAATCCCTGCAACCTCACACTACCTTAATTTCCAATCTCTCCCTCTCCTCACAGTTGGGTCCGAACTGACGGAATCGAATCAATCTCTGCGCGATCAAGTGCGCGACAGGCTTCGAGCCATCTACTCTTTGAATCGCCTTCCTGCAAATCTGCTGGCCCTTCGACTTCTTGAAGAGCTCTGGGATGCCCGAGACCGCGGCAACCCATCATTCTGGCTACCGCACATGCTACAGAAGGATTGGCGATTACTTCTAGGATGAGGTTTTATTTTGACAAATATATGCTACTAGCGTCGATGGAAAGTTTTGGAAGCAACGTTGCAAAGCTTCCGAGTCAAGACGGTCGTACTTGTGCGTGCTGTCTTTGCAGCCATCGTCACCAACACCATAACTCCACGAATGCTGAACCCAACGGCCTGGGTCTGGAAGGGGAAACCATGCTTCTTCTTCTTCTTCCTGGGATTCAGTGCGATATACTTTGATTGGTGTTATTGGCGGCTCCCGGAGACGTTTGGACTGAGCTATCTGGAGATTGATATTTTATTTGAGAAGAGGGCCAAAACTAGCAAATTTAAGGAACTTTAGAGAAATCTGATGATGACTGGGTATTTCAATGTACCTAGTAACTCGGGAGAGGAAGCAATATAGTGGCTATTTGGCAATAATCACTGGAATTATATAACAGTGCGCGTCATCAGGGAGGCTCGTCGATGGTCTCTTGGTTCTCTAGGCCTGGTGTGCTTTCTAGACGTGTCACTATCATTTTGAATTGGCTGGAAGTTACATCCCAGACTTGGTGCTTCTGTCAAATGCAGTGTCTCGACATGAATTCCCAAGTTATTCAGAATTGGAGATATTAGTACTCTGCTCTCAATAGCAGAACTGCGAATGAACATCAGTGCTGTTGACAGGCAGTCTTGAGAAATACCTTGGAGCGGGGCGAAGTCATATGTTTTTCAACCCAATACCAGTAGTCCATGTAACCTGGCCCAGTTCCATCGAGATTATAGCTTTGAAGCGCTTTAGGAAAGGGTTGAGACCATTTCAAATAAGCCTTGATTAGTCGATAATACAGAAGATGCCTATTGAATTAAGGTATTTGTCTGCGAACTAAGTACGCCCACCGAGGAATAGTATAAGATACGACAGAGGAGAAATTAAGGATAGTTTTGGAAGAGATGGTAATCTAAATTGATTTCATCGGTGCAAAGAAGCTTGTATGTACACATCAATCCTTAGCATCTAGCTCAGCGCCATTCCATATCCTAACTGTTGTACAGTAACTTCTTACTACCCTATATAATGATTGTCTGATTTATTTACTAGGATGGATCATCGCTGGCAACTTGCTATTGATCCTTCCACCTAGCATTCCAGCCCAAGAGTCCTGGCGCTGAGCGGTGGGGGAAATTCCTATCGGTCAAATTCCTGACGATCCCACCCGCAGTTAAGCTTCCGCGACATGATCGGTAATCAAGCACTTGTAGTCATCCGTGCCATAGTAAATTGTATAATGGTCATCCGGGGAGTTACCTGTGCTGAGCTTGTCTCCATATTGCCAGAAGAGGTCTGCGCCAATCCCCTTAGTCTCAAGGGCGGTTTGTTGCCATTGGCCTTCGACGGTGCATTTGGTAGTTTCCACTCCGTACTCCTCCATGAGGCAGGGTTTATGTGCTGCTACACAGGCTTTGGCGTGAGCTGTAATCCAGCCATTTCCGAAGGAGTTCGCTACACCCCCTATAGAGGTGATATCAGTACGATATTAACGAGTCGAAGGGTGACGAAGTGAAAAGGATGGGGGGCGATCGATGACATACAAGTGGAAGGGTACAGGTGAAAGGTTCCAAAGTCAATAGTGTCGATCTCCAGGTTCTTTTCAAAGTCAAGTCCCTCGGCGTATGTGTAGGGGTAGCTCCCGTCTGAGCCGACATTCAAACCAAACCCCTCTACATATGAGGTCAGTGACAGAGTGTTGACTCGTAGAATTGTAGCTCACTTACCATCTCCAATGGCCACCATGTGCTGGGAATCGAGGGACTTGATATAGGCGCTAGTAGAGGCAGCCCAGTTATAGATAACCGAGGTGTTGCAACCACTGCAACGAGGCTCATTAGCCAATTCCCAAGCGAAAATTGCCGATGACTGGCTATATCTCGAAATAATGGCTTTTATATATTTGCGGTAGACGTTCTGAATCACTGGAGTGGTGTACCAGCTCGTACTGGTACCCCCAAACGCTGTGGTATATGCGTTAATACCTCCATAGTCGGACCAGTTGTTGACAAAGTTGATGATCAATTTGATTCCACGTTTCTCAGCGGCAGCGACAACATAGTCCAGACGTTGGAGGCCGTCAGAACCGGTGTTAATGGTTGCCGTTCCGTTCTGCAGGAGTTGAAAATACACTTTGCCGTCGGTAGGCTTGCTGTTCACATCACTGAACCCCCAGACGCGGAGGATTCGGAGGCCAGACTCTTGTAGGTGATCGAGCACGAGATCAACATCGGCGTTGTTGGTCAGATAACCAATCCAATAACTGTTGGTTCCGGCGAAGTAGTCTGCCTCGCCATCGATCGTGAAATTTAAACCTTGGGTACTGGGAACGTCGATGCTGGTGGCGTTCCGGCGAACGTGTGTCCGAACTGCGCCGAGAGTCGTCAATATACCGGAGCATAACTTCCTTGGCTGTTAGATGGGTACCATTTCGTGTTTTACCCACTTGATGGTTAGGAATACCATGGTGGGAGGCTGCTACCTGCGCAACCAGGCAGGCGATGGAGAGCAGAACAGTAGAAACTTTCATCGTGAAGGGGATGTCTGATTGCCTTCAAAAGGGCAAAAATCGTCAGGGTTTTATATACACCATTGTTGAAGTGTAAATAGGAAATATAATTTCGAAGCTCCTTGTCTAATATGGATACCTCTCTTGAATTTTCGTTGAAACTTCGTTTGACCCACCCAACTTGGAAAATCTTTTCCAATCGGGGAGGCTGAGTCGGATGATTGACACAAACAAGAGGCCTCTGCTTTCGTTCTTTTCACTCCAATTTCCTCAAGAGCATTCTCGACTCCGGGAAGACAGAGCGGTGCCGAGGCCGGGAGAGGATCCCCGCCTCCCTCTTACTGGAAACGGTTTAGCCACCAAGACATTGCATGTGATATTAACAACAGACACGGCCGTGGCCGTGCTGAATCCGGCACCTCGCACGAGCGCAAAGCGTAAGCGACACTGACGATTGACGCAGATGGTTGCTTTTCCCTCTTCTCCCGGTTTCTTGCTCTTGTTCCTTCGTCCTTTCTCCGCCCCCTATTTCCCCAGAAAAAACTAAGCGATGTCTGACTCTCCATGAGCTAAAATACAGCTTAACACTGGAAAAAAGCGGGGTTGGGTGTTGGTGTCTCCCCCATGGACCATTCTCTTCTTTTGTTGTTGAAACACGTATAATACCGGCAGTCCCATCTTCCGGGCATCCCCCGTCGCTGAAACCACCGTACCATCGTGGTGAAACCAGCGTTCTGAAACGATCGTCTTTTTGACCTCTCGAATAGATTTTTGTTTCTCTTTCTCGGCCGCGTCTCCACATGCATCGCCATTAATTTTCATTTTGCTTCATCTTTTTTGCCCGAGTGCCCTGTAGTCCTGCTCGTCGCCATGTTTATCGCGTTCGACTCCTCCCCGAGCGGCGAGGAGGGCCTGTGTAACCCCAAGCACCCCAGACGCAGTGAACGGATCGGCCGACGAGGACTTATGGTGCACGCATGCAATTCCTGTCGTCGTCGGAAAATCAAATGTACGGGCGACAAGCCGTGTGAGTCCTGCCGCTGGTACAAAACACCGGAACTGTGTTCTTATCCGGAACGGCGGCAGTCGTCAAGGTAAGCAGACACCATCTCATTAAAGCGAGAATAGAAGAAGCGACCCGGACACGTTGGCGCTCCAATTCCAGGGATATGGACTGAACCAAGTAGCCACTCAGAGAAACCGGGAACATCGCCAAACCAGTATCGAGCCGCCCTGGAAAGGCTCTTTCCAGACAAGACCCCCGAGAACATAGTCGATCTGCCCCGGGAGGCGCTGGTCGAGTTGATGAATGGAGGCGGGTCTCAATCGGGCCAGCATCTGGATTCGCCGACCATCGCTGCGTCTATACAAACCCATAACTCCGCATTGTCTCTAGGACAGCCAGTGCTGGAGTCCTTGCATTCGATGCCCGAGGAAGGCCTCGACCAAGGCCAGTGTACTAGCCGCTCCGGGTCCCTGGAGCAGATCTCCGATGATGTTAATGCGCTTTCCCTGACCACCCGGCAGCCCGCTTCGTACTTGGGGGTATCCTCTATCCAGGCGGCGTTGAAGGTCATCGCATGGCTGCTGCCGCAGTCCAAGCCATACGCATCCCAAGCCCTGCCGCGAGATCACAGCGACCGAGCCGCGAATCCAACCCCGTCGTTAAGCACGCAGTCCGGCCTTGCGCCCACCGAAGGGGAAATCCTAGATGCGTATTTTGTCGACTTTCACACGCTCGCGCCACTGCTGGATGAAAAAAGTTTTCGCGGCACCCACTTGGCTGGGAACAGGACAGATAGTCGATGGCTAGCGCTGTTGAACATAGTGCTCGCGTTGGGGAGTATTGCCGCCTCGGGCCCAGATAACCACACCCACAGGACATATTTTGACCGTTCGATGAATCTCCTGAATTTAGCGACCCTCGGAGCACCTACCATAGAGACTGTTCAGACCCTAGGTCTCATCGGGGGCTGGTATTGTCACTATATCAGCCAGCCAAACCTCGGGTATTCTCTGATAGGCGTGGCTCTGCGCATGGCGGTTTCGCTAGGGCTACAACGTGAGCCCTATGACAGCCATTTGGTGCTGGACCCTGCACAGGCTGCGTATCAGGAGTACAAACGTCGTGTATGGTGGGCCCTCTGCTGTCTGGAAACATGGGGCCATGAAACCCTCGGCCGGGCGTGTATGGATTTCTTTGCTCCAACCATCACCGTCTCCCAGCCTCGCTTGCTTGATGAGGTGCGATTTACTTTGCGTTCCCCGTTCTTCTCCATTCTGCCTTCCTGCACTGAGTACTAAAATCTGACGGGTCAACAACGCTTTCTAGGAAAGCTATATAGCAATCCTTCCATTGATTGAAAATGTCGAATTCATCAAAGTCGCTTCCAGAATACAGGAAGCGTTAGCCTCCATGCCAATGATCACACACTCAGAAACACTTGGCATGGATACACAGCTTCTCCAATGGTGGGACAACTTACCCCCGGCCCTTAGAGATTATGAACCATGCCCTGAGTCACTGTACACCGCGCGGACGGTCATGCGCTGGCGGTTTTATAATCAACGCATGCTGCTATATCGCCCAACGCTTCTAGGCTACGCCATGCGACGGGTCCCTTTTATGACTATTCGGATGGAGGAGCGTAATGCCATTCTTAAGTGTCGTGAAATTGCGGAAATTACTATTCAAGATATTTCCATGGCGACAAGATTGAATCAAATCATCGGCTGGAATGGCGTCTGGTTTTTGTTTCAGGCAACTATGGTGCCTTTAATTTATTTATCCACTCGCTCCAGAAATGACGATTCCGCCGCTTCCTTTGCAGCTTGCAAGTCGCAGGTTGAGATAGCTATGTTGACACTCGACCGAATGACACCCTACGGACACACCGCACAACGCTCCTTGGAGGTTATTTCGGGAATTCTTGAAGCTTGTCTGGGAGGAACTGCCGTGGAAACGCAAACGCCCAGTACAACCACCGAGGGTCTCAGATACCAGAATATCACTGGAGTGAATGCGTTTGATTCTTACCCACTTGCTACAGGAGATCAACTTTCGGACTGGACTGTTATGTCTTTCGAAAACCTTCCATCACAGTCGATGTGGGAATTTTTGAGTTGGGGTGCTGAAGATTTCTGGTCAGGCGTGCCTGGTCTCGATGTTGCCAATCAGGACATTTCTATGTTACAACCCCCAGGGGGACGGAGGTGGCCGAATGCGGAGCATCATTGAGTTATAATACAATCCTTAAATCCCAAAACGAACTCTGAGATATACCATACATTGTCCAGACCTTCCGATTTGCACATAATATTTGTCGCAAGATTGAGCTCTCCCGTCTCTGCATAATAACCATTATTATGCTGAGTTTCATGCTCATAACAGGTTTCTTGTTCTTGGTTGAAACCGGCCAAGCTTTTGTATGAGTGTTGCCCCGTGAGGGATATTGTAGGTATCGTTTATTCAAGTGCATTTGCACACGTTTTTCCTGTAGTCCTGGAATCATGAAGTGAACGAAGACTTCGAACTTCGTGATGGGGCAAATTGCTTTCCCAACAGTAGAACTGCTGCCGAAGCACCGAGACGCAGCGGCGCCCCAGAGCACTGTGACAAAGTTTGCCGAAGTCAATAAGTAGGTCAAAAGGGAGATGGGTCGTGTTTTGAACGGTTTCTTTGGGAGCCGAGTTGAAGTGAAATGTAAGTCGAGGATAAATTGACCTTCTGTTAACTAATTCACTCAAATCTGACCAATTTTATCCTGGGCGATTCTGTGGTCTCGAATGAACTGATATTCTACTTTGGTTTAGAAGCTCATTTTTATCATATTGAATGAATTCGATAACCAAGGCCAAAATTGCAACTTACTTACAGTGTCTTTGCAGAACATGATGGAGATATACTACTTGCAATGACAAACACCCTCTCAGATATCATTTAGATAAACCTCCGGCGGAACAGAGCACGCTTCAGAGAGAACATCAGAGTTTAAGCTTCTTTGAGTTGCAGCACCTCATCAGTCTCCGTAGAAACGATGACCTGGTGTGGCTGGGTGCTCTTCTTTCTCGGGTTAGGGGCAGCGAAAATATCCGAGAGTTCCTCGAGAGTCCGCTTGCATGTTTCAACTGCGAAGAAGTAGATGAAAACGCATTGAAAAATATTCCAGCCAGCCAGGATGATATAAGTATGCCATGAGATGGCCGCCATGGCATTCCCGATACCGAACTGGTTCACGAGCAAAGCGATGTTAGTGAAGACGGAGTAAACAGCCATGCCCTTGGCGCGAGTCTCATATGCCAGGCACTCGACAGGATACATGGCTTGCAATGGCGTCCAACCAAAGCTATAAGTAAATCCAGTGAGAAAGATGATCACAATTGAAGCTGTAGCGGCTGCCGGTTGTTGCGACTTTGAGTAAATACCCGTGGCAGCTGACAACCCAGCGAAGAAGAGCTAATTATTTAAGGTCAGAAAATAAGGGATATTTAACCGGCGTGTTAGCAGACTAGTACTCACGGCCGAAGAAATAGACGATCCCATTAACATAGGCCGTCGTCGCAATTTGGGGGTGAAAATGCCGCCAATATAGGCCCCTCCAGCAGAAAGGACAGTGTAGCCGAGATTGACGTCCAGGATTCGAGTCGTATCAGTCACACCAGCACTTTCCAAAAGTCCACCCATATAGTAAGTGGTAATGCCTCCCTGCGACCACTGACTAAGGAAAGATGCAATACCAACGCACACAAGACGCCATCTCGCAGCCTTGGTGTTGACGAGCTCTCGGAAGTCCCACACCCGTTTATCTGATCCTTCTAAATTGATTGCCTCCTGATATTCACGGATTTGGAGAGTGACATAGGCATTTTGGCGATTACCTTCGCCGTGGTATTTGGTGATGATGTCCCAAGCCTTCTCGCTGTGGCCATGGCTATAAAGCCACCGGGGGGATTCAGGAATAAACCAAACAAACACTACAACAAAGCAGGACGAAATCAGCTGGCACCAAATAGGAATACGCCATGCGCGTGAGTCTGGATATACCAAACATCCTCTGCAGGCCCCTGCAGCGGCAATTGCACCAACATAATATTGGCAGTTGTATAAACCAGTCAGGATGTCACGGTAGGCGGGGTGGCTCATCTCGACCACATAGGCGGGCGCAGCCGAAGCAGCGATAGAGTATCCAAAGCCTGTAGTGCTTTGTATTAAGATTCCAATGTTGATACGCGACCTATCTGTCTAAAGTTTAAGGATCACTCACCAAGGAAGAACCGGCTGGCAAGGAGTTGATCGATGTGATAGGCGGTACCACCCAGAATCGTACCGAGAATGACCGAAAGGGATCCGATGAACATGCCGAAACGTCGACCTAGGTTGTCGAGCAGGAAACCAACAAAAAGTAGCGCGCTGACACCACCAATCGTGTACATTCCCTGGATAAGGGAAGCTTGAGAGCCAACCAAGCCGGCCCCAAAGGTTTCTCGAAACTGGGGGATAGGAAGGAGAGAGCCCATGAGCGAGCCATCGAATCCTAAATTAAATCATTAGATTATATACCAGTGACATAATCTTTCTCTTACCGTTCAAGGCTGAGCACAAATATGCCACAGTCAGGAAACCATATAGCCTTAACATCGACCGACTCAACGGATTCGGGGGATCGGTCCGTTTGGCCAAGTCCAGGACCATTGATCCCTGGAGAACCTCGACCCTAATACCATCCGCCATCTCCAGGTGAGTCATGTCACCGGACCCTTCTTTCTCAGTGAGCTGAGATTGCACCGCTTCTGCTGTCATGATATCAAAAGTCCTGGATTTCGGTGGTTCTTGTCGCAAATCACAGACCTCGAAGATCGTATATGGATTTATCGAAGTAATTGAATGCTTTGGTGACGCCGCCCATTCCTGTCTTCTGGACTTTGGGCAGTTCGGTTCCTCCCCTTATTTATTGGCTGTCTCAAGATTTCGAATCCCCTCATGGACAACCTAAACGGATGCTGTTGGCGGATCTCCTTGGCCAAAAGAGACGAAATTGTGGAGTAAGCTTTTCTTCGCTTGCCAGGACTCAACTTTTCTCCGTTGCCTCGGACGGGGCAATGAGCGGAGGTCAGGGGAGAGATTGTGGGGTTATTTCGTTACCCTAGCCAACTCGCCGTCTGCGAAAATTGACAATTTGCCATCTCCGCCTCTTCCTTGACCAAATAGGCAACATTTCTGCCTGGCTCCGTATTCCCCATACAGGCGACCCCAGCTCCACGGCACGACTGGAATTATGTGGAATTTGAAATACAACAAAATACACATCCTTGAACATCCCATTGCAAGCTGATAAAATGTCGACATGGTGATCGTCACCGCATGAGGCCTGAGAACCTCTTTGGATAAACCCGAGGCTCGATTATCCATTTTTGATAGGGAATAAAGTCTTGATCTACTCGAGTGACAAACCGATAATATCCAAAATTAGGGACTCTCGACTGAAGACGACGACAGATTATTACCTTCTGTCTAGATAACGGTTGTCCATGAGGTTGGTCGACGAGACAGGAGATATGTAAGACCTGCGTTTGATCTACTCATGAGATCCGACCGCGAAAGAATATTGCGTTCATGATAAATCTAACTGATTATCGCTAAATTCTACCAAATCCCCGTCACTTCGTTATTCAGGACATCCACTTACGTTCAACACGCAATATATACAAAGTGCCTGCATATGTCGACCTGGACAATTTTGAGCTGGATGTTGACAGACAGTATGCAATCCCATACAATGCCATCAGATATTGCACACTAGGAGAGCGTGTAAACATAGCCACCTTTCCCAAAAATTTTTACGATACTTGAAACCTGATATCACCCATAACCCATCTCACTGGCCTTACGTCACCAATCTTCTTATGAACAGGTCTGGATAAAGAAACAATGCCAGCCAAGCAACGATTCGATAACTGCAAGAGCAAACTAGTTAGACATCTAAATGTGTCGAAGCCCAAATGTTAATCCCTTTACTAAATTCAGAGAAGGAAAATTGACCATCCAGTGTCCTATAGCGAGATACACAAGCAATTATGTACTCAAGCGTAGTACAAGCAAAAAGAATCACTGGCCCAAGTAGCGATACTTGAGTGGAGAGTGGCTCTCACTGAACCCTGAGACTGTCACCGTCTGCTCGTCGCCTGGCATGATATCCAACGCGCTGTCGCTGAGGTGTACGTTCTCCCGTTCCTCAAATACGAGGCACTTCACCGGTCTGCGTGCACTGATAGTGAGGATCTGCTGTCCAGGTGTAGTCCCATTATGGGCCTTTACTTCCAGGCCGCGGTCACTAAAATCAAGGTACTTGAACGGCTGCGGCCAATCGGCATCACGGGCCACAACGTGACCGTCTACCCAGAGTCGCGCGGCGAGCACGTGAGCCTCGGGCTGCGTGAGGTGATCAATGATTCCGTCAGAAACCATATTAGTCGTACCGTTGGGAGTGATGGTGACATCGTAAACACTTGGGGGCCGTAGATCTTGCCCGCTCGCTACCGACAAAAACCGAAGCTCGACGGTACCATGCAGCACCTCTCGGCCACTACTAGCAACCCATACCTCATACTTGCTCGTAGTTGGGGGTCTCGCGTGAACGACACTCCAGTCGTGGTGTTCTCGGCGAACGCCAATCGCTAGCGGCCCCATCACACGTCTAACTGTATAGTACGCTGGTTTGGGTCGTAGGAAGTAGTCTATAATCGCCCATGAGATTGTCGGCCAGCAATCGTTGATTTGCCATAACAATGCCCCGCCACATTGGCGATCATTTCCCCATTGGCGACGCCATCCACGGTATCCAAACATCATCGTCTCCGCCTGCACCACCTGGGTAAGATAAATATACGTCTAAATATAATTATGAGTATAGTTATTCAATCAGAGGGTATTATTGATTATCGACTAAAGCCAACGCACCTCAAGATCAGTTGCCATACGAAGGTTCTCCACGAGATAGGTCGCTAGTCGTCGTTCGTGGCCATCCGCCTTATTATGAAAGTCCATAACCTGAGATTGCGGGAACTTTTCGGATTCGTTTTCGATAAAATACTCGATCGTTGCCATGTGTGGAAACGCTTCCATACCAAATTCGCTATTGAAGCGACCGCCTAGGGTATCAAATATCTGGTACTTTTCCTGTGTTCCGTGCCAAACTATCGAGATATTAGCACGGTTCATATCGCAATTCAGATAGACATACCATTCCACTGATGAATGTCTCCAATAGTAGGATCAGAAGTGACTTTTCCATCACCCCAAGGGCTCCCTGGGTGGTAGAAGGTACTCGGGGAGAGCTTAGCCATCGCTTCCGGCAGTAGCTTCTCATAGATGTAGCGCGCAGGGAAATCCGTCTTGAGCCAGGATTCTGGATCCTTATCATCGTAATTGTAGGTAAGGTTGGCCTGCTCCTGAACTTGGTAGTCTTCGTTGTTTCCCACGTATAAGACGATGGAAGGGTGGTGTCGTAAGCGGCAGACATTGTAAGTTACCTCCTGCTGTATCGATTCCAGAAACTCAGGCCAGACTGGGTAATTTCCGCAGGCAAACATGAAGTCTTGCCAGACTAGTAGACCCGACTCATCGCAAGCCTCGTAGAAGGCTTTATCCTCGTAAATTCCTCCGCCCCATACTCTAATAATCAATGAACGTTAGAGAGGGGGCTCTAAGTATGTGGGTGCTTTTTTATCTTACCTGACCATGGTCTGACCTCCCTTAACCATGAGGTCAATCCACTTTCTGTATCGCTCTTGACTAATGCTGGGGAGGAGGTTATCGGCCGGAATCCAGCAAGAACCACCACAGAATATATCTTCTCCGTTGATTCGAAAGAAAAAAGATTTCCCGTGCTTGTCAGGCTGTTGGATAACTTCGGCTGACCGAATGCCGAACTTCTTCGACATTTTATGTAGCTCCTTTGCATTTCCAGAAACTGATACTGACATATCGTACAGGGGCTGAGAGCCATATCCATGAGGCCACCACAGCTCTGGATTGTTAATCTGCAACTTGGCTTCGACAGACTTACTAGAGCTCACTTTCACAGAAAAGTTTTGACGGACAATCTCCTCTCCACGCAGAGACAGACAGAAGCTAGCTGTATAGTTTCCGGAGATGGCGGCATCGATTTCTGCAGTTACTGTGACGGTGGCTGTCTTGTGATTGGGCTCCAGCTGTGTCTGTGGCCATAATTCAGCTACTCGCGCAGAGTATACCTCTAAGCGTACATCGCGCCAGATACCAGCGGTCATGATGACTGGGCCCCAATCCCAACCCCAATGGTATTGTGCCTTGCGTACGGCCAGACGTGCCATATCACCGTTGAAGCCATCCCATCGGTGATCTGGGTACTTGCTGCGTACCTCCTGCGCCTTGAGCTGGGCGCAATCAAACTCGATCTCTAGTATGTGTGGGCCGTCGGATTCGAGCAGCAACTTTGTTACATCTACCCGATGACCAATGAACATATTGCTGCTTGTCAGGATGTTCTGGCCATTGAGCGTGACTGATGCAAATGTGTCTAAGCCATCGAACACCAAGTCCACTTTCGTGCCAATAGGGATTTCTGGTCTCTTCAGCTCTGTTCGGTATATCCATGATTTTTCGTTGACCCAGTGAGCCTTTAGTTCGTTGAGACCAATGTACGGATCCTCGAGCCTATATTTTCAAGGTCAGCCTGGGATGCATTGAATATGCCGCTTCTGAATACAACTTTCTGTTCGCAATGAGGTCCTGCTGCACAGTCGAGGGTACTGCCGTTACAGGCATCCACGCGTCTGGAGCATCATCGTCCCGGTCCTTGAATGCCCACCCAGTGGACAAAGGCTGTTCAAAAAAATTCATATTTTGCGACAATCCAAACGACGAGCTTTCTTCTAACAGCAAATTGGAGGTATTTGCAAGTGCATGAGATAGCTTTCATTGATACCGAGCACGACCTTTGGCGATCTGAATTCATTTTATATATCCCATTTTTCCGTCTTGTGCATTATCTCCTCCCATCGAGATCCGAGTTTCAGCTAAAATGGGAGACGCGGCTTCCTTGACAGTCGCGGTGTTGCTCTGCTGAAAAGGTAACGGAACTTTCGGCCTTGACTTACTAACTGCCTATTTAGGCAATCAACAGGCGGAGCTTCCGGTGGTTCAAACAGTGTGGAACCCGTCCCGGAATGAAGATTTCACAGAACTGCTCCCCGAGTCCTCTGCGGCTTTTTGTATCATCCCCGCCTTGGTGGGTTACGTATCTGGGGTCGAAAGCCGTATTTTTGCGTTTTTGTAGCCACGTCTTCGAGCCGAGTAAATTCTCACATCTCTGTAAAGATCATCGAGGAGCTCTACATAGAGTGGTTGCACCGTCCTGCATATGTATTCTCTTCTAATCGTGGAATGATGGTCTCTGTGATGAATTCTTCGTTGGCGCAGATAGCACCGCTGTGCAATCGCAAGCTCTCAACCGTTGACATCTTTATACTGAAGACATCATATCCAGGGCCAAGGTTATACACAAAAATCCCAACCCTACCGGGCGTGATGGGGCATTCATTGCAAATATTACTTGACATGGGGCTGGTGTGAATTCCGTAACTGCCAAGGGATTCGGATTAAGTATGAGAGAACTAAGGGTCCACTATAAGGCCCCACAACCCCGCAAGGAGCATACGGTACAATCCCTAATTCCGAAAGCTTATTGTAGGTCTTATCCTTACGGGAATGTTGTCAGCCTCATCCGTTCAGTCTAGCTTTTACCTCAATTTGAAATATATCCTGCGCGTAACTTGGAATTATATCGGGAATTGGCACAGTGCCGAATGAGGGATTTGTCTCAATATTCACCCTCAGAAGGGTATTTTGAAGGTTTTTGCAGAGACAGGAAACGAAGGAATACGGAGCACCCTTTGCCAAGTTTCCCGATGCATGAACGGAACAGATACCCCTGCCGGCAGGTCATCGAGTACGGCAGGTAATTGAGTAGCCTCGAACGTTAGCTGATCTTTCCTATTTTCTACACGGGCGGGCTGGAGGCCTTCACTTACCTTTTGTTTGCTGCTTTGGATAGGTATAACAAACTCCAAACATAAACTATTTAAGACGCAATTAGTTCTCTTTCTTCATCACAACATTCATCATTCATCATTCATCATACTTGCTCTGTCTGCACAGAAAACCAAGAATCGATAATCTTTCTCATTCAGCATATCAAGATGCGGCTTTTGACCTTCTTCGGTGCTCTCGCACTTATTCCTGCTGTCACCTCGTCGCCCGTGACAGGATACAAGCTTGCTGCCCGTGATGATAAACGAGGCAATGAGACTGTTGCTGGGCTCGGAGCTCGTAAGCAAGCGGTGACTGGTGCTGGCGGCAACACTCGCGACCTGGCTATTGCGATGCTGGAGACTACGACCATGACTGCTGACTATACCTATGGTATGTCCTAAATCGACCTAGTGGGTTCAATCAGTGCACTTACAGATAGATGCACAGGGGATGGTAAGACTGGAGAAGCTACCAACTTTGGTATTTTCAAGCAGAACTGGTATATGCTGCGCCACTCTGCGTCTGAGTTCTTGGGCGAGACCGTGGACCAGGTTGCCGATGGAGCGATTTTGAAGTGCGTGTCCAAGCTAGTTTATAGCGTTTGAGATTTTTGTTAGCTAATACATTGAGGACTTAAGCACCGATTTGGGCAAGGACATCCAGGCCCGTCATGACGGCGAGGAGAAGTATGGCTTTGACGTTTGGTTTGCCGGTCATCGCAATGGAGAGTCTGGCGTTAATGATCCCAATACTTCTGACATAAACGGTCAGTTTATTTTATGGTCATAACCACACCTATGCATAACGCGGCTGACTTGATGAACAGCATACAAGGATGCGGTTCTGTGGATCCAACAGCAGATCGAGAGCGATGAGAAGTACCAAAGTGATGATACTCGCTTCTGGGTCGACGTCCAGGCTATCTAAGCATGGAAAAGGTAGTTTCCAGTGAACCTTCTTGCTGGATTCTATATCACTTTCGAATCTATATCGGATCTTAAGCGACGGAGTGTCGAATGACACTGCATTGTTTACAATTCGTGTATTGATATTTCACTTTGTTGCGAACTTTCGCACGTCCTGTCGTTTACAAACAATCAAAATTGGTCTTTTTCAAAACTAGGAAAGATATATAGATTGTATGCAACATGGTCTGTTTGGCTGAATCTAAAATCTTTCGTCGAAAGAGCTACATGAGGTTTCCAGGTTCTTGCTTTGTCAAAACCACCTGTCCCTTATTATACCCAATAATCCTTCCCCGAAAAAGGTGGTGCAAGTTCCGGAGGTACATAAATATTATTCTAACGAAATCTGGGATGAGCTTTTTAACAGTGTATTCGTCTGATTACCAATCAGGCACTGCTAACTAATGTAGTGGGGAGACCCCCTCCCCATACTACATGGGTGCCATCCAGACTATGTGACATAGCCGGCAGTAGACGGTGGCTGGATAGCTAGTTCTAGAATACACCTTCTTACACCTCCCCGACCTGACCCCCCCTACGGGAGTTCAGCTGCAAGATATCCGGAGAGGACTGAGCCACGAGCAACTGAATTATCAGGACTATGTGCCAACCGAATCACGTTTTTCTCCTGGTAATCTTATCCAGGACTTCTTAACAGCAGACGGATCTGCAACGACACACTACTTCGACCAGTCATATTGGCTCCACCAAGTAGATGGCATATTTTCTGCTGCTAATTATGCCTCGGACCTTGACCCATTACTAGAGCCGCGCCGAGATTGAGCGACGTTTTACAAAAGTTACAAAAGCCTAGAATGGTCGTTTATTGGCATTGGGAAAGGTGAACAATGAACAACATGCGGATCTGTTAATGAATCCAGCAGGGTCTGACAATGCGGCATCGGACGATGTACCCCTGTCAGATCCATCATGCGATATAAGAGTTCCTCATTTTTCATTAAGCAAATTCAGAGTTTTGGTCCACAGTCTTGCTTCCATTCCTAGACTGTACGCCCATGCCGCATAGCCGGGCCCATGCCACTGTACAGGATCGGCCGGTGGTGCGATTTGACAGTCATCCAAGTACTGCTTTCGGTGCCTTCTAGTTCCCTGGCAACTGCTCCCCTAACGGTGGTCGCGGCACCTTGTTCGGGGCTCTTCCAATAGTTCGTCAAAAACTCATTTCTCTCCCAGTCAGCTTTCTGTTCGCCTGATACATGACGAAGAAGCTCAGTCATGATGGCACCAGGATGCAAACTGAAAGCGTGGAGGCCCTGGGCATCGTATCGTCTTTCGATTTCGTTCGCCGTCCAGATGTTGGCAGTTTTGCTCTGGCCATAGGCCTTCCAGGGCTCATACTCCCCTTCCAGGCTGAGATTGTCAAAGTGAACGTAGGAGACACAGTGGGCACTAGACGCAACAATGACGACCCGAGAATTGAAAGCCGGGGTTGACGAGCAAAGGAGGCGGGATTTTAGAAGATAAAACAACAAAAATTGGGCTAGATGGTTTGTTCCAATTGGTTTTCAAATCCATCTGCGGTTCGACCTTCCGGGCATGCCATCACGCCGGCATTCGCAATGAGGACGTTCAGAGTATTAGATTTTGAGTTGAATTCCTCAGCGCATGCACGCACAGATGCCAGGGAGTTGAAGTCAAGGTGCAAAAGGCGGACTCGAGTGCTTGCCATTATATCGCCCAATGCAGACTTTGCCTTCTCCATGTCGCGAGCAGTAAGGTATAGTGTTGCTCCAGTGTGGTATAATGCGCGCGCGGTCTCTATGCCCAAGCCAGACGAGCAACCTGTGATTAGGATCACTTTTCCGATCAAGGCATCTTCGCAGCCTGCGTCTTTGACGATTTGGAGCGCGGTGGGACGGGCGTCTCCTGGGGGCCTTTTGGTGATTGGTGGACTTGGGTGTACTTGGAATACATTCTGAGAATTAAAATCGACGACCTATTTTGGGTGGGTGGGATTTTCGCTAAGTGCGCTTGAAAGTAGAATGGGATGCGGGGAATATATTACATCCGCGTGATCAATCTGGCTATATACTTTTGCATCCACACTCTAAATTGCCCTCCGATAGAGATCGTGGATTTTCGGCGTTTTCGGGGAGGCAATCCCGTTTGTGCATGTCATCCATGTCATCGACGAGTTCGACTCCAGGCGATATCACGGTATTGAGACTCATTTCAAATGCTGACAAATGGCAACTTCCTACAAGTCGCTGGTCCAATGCTTCTATCCCTTTCTTTCTCATCAGTGACCTAGATTAACTCGGCAAACCAATTCGTCATTATATTAGATTTAGGCTTTTCATTAATACATTCCCTTGGCGGTTCTTCGGCAAAAGATCTGCAATTCCAAACAAACTTCGGGAAATGATGACGTATGAGGTGCCAAGCACAAAGTCGCTGGGGGGAAGGTCCTGGCCCGGCAAAATACTGCGGGCCTTGTATAGGCCTTCGCTCCAAAACTCCGGGCTCCTCATGTGAAGGCGATAGTTACGAAGTGTGGGGTATAGAGATGATGTTTGGAAACGATAAAGGATTGTGGCCTTGTGCTTCACAGACCAATGTTGAATAGGCTCGTAGAGACCCGAAGCCTGTATTTTCTTGGTTGTGATCGCGATGCGCAATCAAGAAACAGCCACTCCGAAAAGAAGAGCAGTTCAATTCAGCTTTCATCCCTCAGAATCAGCTAATTTCCTAGTATAACTTAAACAACACACTGCCAAGGGCTGATGGTCCGAGGCTGAGATCGATCCAACAATGACGCCAGATGGCAGATATTCATTTTGCATGCTTTTGAATAATACTTTTGATCGCGAAGATCTCCAAGGAATCCGCCATTGATATGTAAAGGTTAACACAGCACTAGTTCTAGTGCATAGTTACAGAAAAAAGAAAAAGGCAAAACACCCTTCAAATTCCCTCTCACGCTCACTCAAATCTCAACATCGCCCTTAAAGATTCCTTTCGAAAAATTCCACAAGCTTTGGGCCAGACACTGTAAGGTCATCATAGAGGTCGAAGTGGTTCTTTCCTTCAACGATGAACAGTTCCTTGGGTTCACGGGCTGCAGCAACAGCGTCCTCACTGTAGTGAAGAGTCTGGGCCTTAGATCCGGCAACCATCAATAATGGCCGCGGAGAGATCAGGTGCTGGAAGTTGAATGAGTCATAGCTGACCATGAGATCGTAGCTGGATGGTGGAACTTTCTGGTCCGAACGTGGGTGGGTTCCGCGCCTGGACCCGTAGTATAAGGCGGCATCTTTGAAGAAGGGGTCGGCGTCCTCCGGAATTTGGGAGATATCGCTGCTGAACATAGGCGGGGGTTCAACATTAGGGCCCTTGGCCACGCTCGTACGCCACTGGCCGGCTGCCTGGAGCGCTCCAGCTATGGCCTGAGGGACTTCCTTGTTGTTCTCCTTGTGTAGGCCACCATTGCGGGTCATACGGCCAACGCAAGCGGCACTCACGGTGGCAAGTGCCTTGATACGGCTGTCAGACTGCGCGGCATACGAGGTATAACCACCCGAGGCGCAAATTCCAAGGACACCAATCCGGCTGGGGTCAACTTTGAACTCCAGCGTGGTCAAGTAGGTCACAGCAGCCTTATTATCTTCGGCTCGCTGATGGGGGTCTTCTAGCCCACGAGGCTGTCCCGTGCTCTCACCCTGATACCCTGCGTCGAAGGTAAGGGCGTAGAACCCGGCCTTAGAAAGCAGTCTGGCATGGTCTGCAGCGGTTTGTTCTTTGACACCGGTCATGGGATGGCTGATCACGACAGCAGCGCCATTGCGGTGGGGGGCGCCAGCAACAGGAGCATAGAGCTCGCCGCTGATCTGCAGCATGAAGGATGGGAAGGTGACTTTCATTGGGGCAGACATTGTGTGAGATAAAGACCACCAGGAGTAGTGACGGATTCACGGATACAGGTTGCGTAGAACAAATATCGATTTTGGTCAAAGAGAGGCCCTTTTATCCTCATGAATTAAGCTTAAGTCTCATACACATAGGTGTCTATGACGTAAGCGGCCCACTGCTTTTCCCGAAAAACTTCGGGAACACCCCTTGATCGGGGCTGACAGTATATTGCTTCTCAGAATATGCGATCATGCCCGGCGATAACGTCTACACCATTCCAAGCGACGGGCATAATGGTTTGATACTTATAAATCAGAACTGCTGTATTACAAATCGAGTTTGGTGCGTTATTATGAAATGCCAACACCGAAGGTGTGAAACCACGACGAAAAATTCTGTTTTACTCTTCGTTGTCCGATGTTCAGGTATTTTTTGCACCAGAGGTTCGCCCTCCTCTAACCAGTACTGCTTTGCCTTGATATGCGTACCGAAGGTACAGGATGAAGAAAAATAGTTGGTGGCTCGGAAATCGACCATATCCTCAACGGTGTAGAGCTCTCCAGTCGATATCATGTTCGCGCTGTGACTCGCAATCCAAATTGCCAAGCTGCCCTAGACAGAGAATTTGTTTCGGAAGCCTTGCCACCAGACCTTGGGGACAGTCTTCTGGAGACTATGAAGTACTTTGAGAATTATGGATACTTTGGCCCACCCACAAGGAAAAGGTTACGGCAACTGCGTAAATCGCCCCAGGGAAACTGACCACATTCCAAGAGTATCTAGAGAGGGAGCCTATAGAGCTGTGATGCAAATCTATCGAGACTGTCTACAATTTGGGCTCAATTTACTAATAGCAAGACACCTGCTCTGAAGACCATCCTCGTGAAAGACCGAGTAGACCTATTGAAATTTTAATACGTGTCAAGCTTAGCACAAAATCACACGCCGCCATCAACGGAAACGAGACAAGACTTTGGAGCTAGTCATGGCGGTATTTATTCAATTGTACAATCACAGCTTATCAGCGTATTTGCCGACACTCTCTGGAAAATAGCCGAAGCTGTCATGATAGCAGATAATCTCCATCATCCCGCTCACCACTTAATTGACATGACACAGTGGTGATCTTAAGGCGCGCAGTCCCAATAGAGGACGGGTTGATCTATCGGTGAACTATAGTCCGCTAGACGACCGAGTCATTCAGCAGATAGTCAGCTCAATGTGAGGCCGATTTGCTGCAGAAAGAAAAGGCTTACCCAGTTAAGGGTAGGTGGGTGCCTAGGCGGTGAATTTACTTTGGGTAATTGACGATGTGACCGAGTGGCCTCAATTGCTTGCCGTAATTGTCTTCGATATTCTTGAGCATATTCGTGCTTATGTCAGTAACTCACAAGCAAAATAGTCAGTCAATTTCTATGTTGCTTTGTTTCTGCCGGCGGGGACCTCATTTTGGTCTGAGTGCGCATTTACCGCCTCTCCTCAAACCATCTAATTAGTTAAAACTAGTTATCCGGCTGATGCTGCTGAATCAGCTCTGAAGGCGATATTTAATTTAGCCTATCCTCAGGCGAAGAGAAGAGGATGATTGAACTTGGTCAGCCAGTTCATACTAACAGTTATACTCCCCTCCTTTGAACGAACACATGGCGGCCGCAATTCCGCAAGCCGATTCAAGTGAGGCATTACATGCATGAGTCAACAGTAGGATGTGACGTGACCCTTGACATACTATGTACTCTTGTCCAGTTGCCCTCGCCTGCGTCGTGAGGGTCGTCGTGGACCTGGTGCCACTTCGACTTATCTCGTCCGAGAGTGAGCAGAGAAAGATCAATTGGAATAATGTGATAGCATCGTATACTGCTGCTGTATTTGCAAACAGAACCTCTCGGGCAAACCTATCCGGCTCTAGGCGAAATAGTTCATGAAGATATCCACATTGCTTAAAGTGCTTGGCAATGGCCAGCTTTAGAAGGAGTCCGATAGGCTGAAAAGCCCCACCCCAGCTTACGACCCAACTTACCGAGGCAAATCCAGTCTTACTTCAGATCGCCTCGGCATCAATATTCACCACGCAGCGGAGAAGATGAGTCAACGCCGAATTGTGAGGATAAAATTCGAAAACACTTAGCTTCGCCCTCTTCCTTTCCTACTCAGGTCTCACTCTTCCACGTACGTTAACGCACTTTGGGTCAACAGAAAATCTCTTCCTGTATCTCTGATCAGCAAGCCTCCATATAACTTGGAATCTTGGTTTTACTGCTCGATAGCTGTTGATCGCTCGATAGAAAGCATGAATATGGCTGCCGCCGCCGATAAATCCAAGCCTTATGTACCTCTTGCCGGTGTCGCTGATGATGGCTGGTCCAAAGAAGAACAAGCAACGGCTACATGCTACTGTGGTGCTGTACAACTAGCGTTCGTGAGTGATTCTTTATCGACTCGTCTTCTACACGGAGTATGCCACAAATAGTTAGAACCACCGATTACTAATGTCAAGAGCGAGCTCAAGCCGACTCAAGGACCAGGACTGATCGACAGATTTGTCTGCCACTGCACAGACTGCCGCAAGATCACGGCATCAATGTTTGCATCCAACTTCATTGTCGCAGACTCATATCTGCGACACCTACGAGGACGTGAAACTCTCAAAACATTTAGACAGTCGCGGACCACCGCGTCCGGCAAAGCAATGACCAACTTCTTCTGTTCAGAGTGTGGCACGCTCATGTACCGTGTTGGAGAGGCATTTCCGGGGCACAGTATCCTGCGTATCGGGACGGTTGATGACTTCAATCTGCATGAAACGAAATTGAGGCCCAGAATTGAGCAGTACACTAAGGACCGTGTGGGGTGGTTGTGCAGTGCTGTTGGTGTGAAGCAGGTTGAGGGATCGGCCTACAGTCCAAAAAGTCGAGCTGCCACTAAGGGAGCCCTTTGAAAGGTCATCATGAAGAGAGATGTCCCCCTGAAAATCATAATAAACTGATCAGAAATCCTCTTTCTTGTAGCCACGGGCTCAACAAGGCTCATATCCAACGTTGCATCATGAGCAGGACTAGACGTTGGAGTCCCCTTTTGCTTGTATGCCTGATATTGCCTGTGCAGAGACACCTTCTTGCCATCGTCTGATATGCTCAAATTCGGGGTCTTTTGCTCCGTCTTCAACTACAGATGAGCTAGATTCGCTTGAAAAGCACCTGTAGGCGACCATCTGCAGCCAATCATGCTCCCACAGCGGTTTCTCCTCCGTCCAGATCCCGTCTGTGAAAAATGTCCATGAGAACAAGTTCCGTGTAGCAAGCCCGGAAAGCCGGTCATTGAAGGCCTCCTCTTCTTCCTTCGGTTGTCTGAAACTCGGGCGTAACGCCGAAGTAGCGACTGAAATGACCAGGTATAACTAAAGGTACAACCACAGCACCTCACAAAAACCCTCAAAGCACTCTTCACCATTACACTACAGTCGAGTAATAGTCTCAAAACCCAATCCATTCCAATTTAATAATATACTACAAGACCGAACCGGCCATAACAATGCAAGGCCATATATACACTTCTGAACCGATTCACAACCACTTTAGTGAGGGAAAGGAATCCACCATGAGAATAGTAAGAATAAACCTCGCAAACCACCAGAACAAAGCCCTCAAAGCTTCGCACGGGGGGCGTTCTGCTCCTCCAGAGCCTGGGCGTAGAGCTGGTCAAGCAGTTGGCGGTAGAGTTTTGTGGTGGGAGGACGTTTCAGTTTGAGGCTATGACAGAATTAGTATCGTAATGCAAGTGGTGGAAATATAGGTGAAGGGGACATACGTCGGAGTCAGCAGGTTGTTCTCAACAGTAAACGGCTCAACCTTAAGCGAAACATTCTTAACACGCTCATAGCCAGCTAGCTTATGCTTCTTCGCGACGCGCTCAAGGTCACGGAGGACAGCGCGGCGGAGCTTATCATCCGAAAGGGAAGCCTTGATAGCCTCGATATCATTCGGGGCGATATTCTTCCCCAGAACCTTGGACGCGAACGGCGCAAACATATCCGGTGCGACACCGAAGATACCAACCAAGAAGGTCTGGACGCTGTCGCCATGGACGTAGGCCTGGCCGATATAGCCCAGTTCGGAGAGGATGATGCCCTCCAGACGCTCGGGGGAGATGTACTCGCCCTGCGCGAGCTTGAGGACGTTCTTGCGGCGGTCGATGATAATGAAGCGGCCCATCTCGTCGATCTGGCAGACGTCGCCGGTGCGGAACCAGCCGTCCTCGGTCATGGCCTTGGAGGTTTCTTCGGGGTTCTTGAAGTACTCGGTGAACATGTTGTTGCCACGGAGGAGCAGCTCGCCGCGTGGGTAGGGCTTGTCGTCGACGGAGTATTCCATGTCTGGGAGGGAGACGAGGCAGGCTTCGACGCAGGGGGCGAGGCGGCCGCAGTTGCCGGAGGTTAGGTCGTCGGTGGACTGGGCGGTGCCGCAGGCATAGGACTCGGTTAGACCGTAGCCCTGGAGGACATCGGTGCCGGTCGCGACGCGAAGGAAGTTGTGCAGGGTTGGGTCGAGGGGGCCGAGCCCGAGACCATGTACCTGGCGCGCTCGAGGCCGAGCGCGGAAGCGACCTTCTTCGCCCAGATGCGGTCGTACAGGGCATGGCGGATCGTCGCCTTGGAGGGGTCAGGGTTCTTGAGGTTGGCTGTCTTGGTCGCAACGATGTGGCGGGACAATGCGCCCTTGAAGCCGGGCTGCTCGACGGTGGCAGCGCGCACGGCGGTGCCGAAGCGGGAGTACAGACGGGGCACGGACATGAAGCCTGTCGGCTTCAGGAGCTTGAGGTCGTCGACCAGCTCGACGATGTTGCCATGGAAATAGCCAATTCGCGCACCACCCCAGAAGGCTGTGTGCTCGGCCAGTCGGGCATAAATGTGTGCCAGCGGGAGGTACGAGCACATGGTGTCACCCCGGGCCTGGCCAATGGTGATCAGACCGGCTGAGGTGGCGGCGACGGCGTTTTGGTGAGTCAGGACGACACCCTTGGGGGACCGGTGGTACCGGAGGTGTAGTTGATAGTAACAATGTCTGAGGGCGAGGGAGGATTGTATCCGCGCTTGGAGGCTTCGCCGAGGGCCTCCACCTCGCTGATGGTGTAGATAGAGACGTCCAGGCCAGCGGCGACGGACTCGAGCAGAGCGCGCTTCGAGTGGCCGTCCTGCTCGCCGGCGTCGAGCGGGTCCAGACTAACAATCATCTTAAGACCGGGCATGGTCGACTTCAGCTTAAGGAGAGTAGGGATATGCGGGAGCGAGGTGACGACGCAGCTAAGTTCGGCATGGTTAATAATGTATTCAGTGGCGTCCGAAGCCAGGACATCGTAGATGGAGACAGAGTAAAGACCCTGGGACATGCAGGCCAGATCTAAGCTTGATGTTAGTACATCCTAAACTTTGTCAGGGGTCGGAGAATTTACCGGTGATCTGCCACTCAGGACGGTTCTGACACCACAGGCCGATTCCATACTGGCCTGGACGGTGAACGTTGTGCTTCTGATGCAGCTCGACCAGTCCAGCACCGAATGCAGCCCGCCGTTTCTGCACCTCCTCATAGGTGATCCATTGATATTGATCGAACGACTTGGTAGCCGGGTTATATGAGCGCCAGCCGAGGCAGTGGTTCTTGGGTTGGCGGTTGGCGGTCGACTCAAACATATCGTGGGCAGTGACGACCTGATGAGAAAAGTGTCAGCCTGTGTCATCTCCTAATGAATCGGCCGAGGTAATCCATACCTGAGGATCCAGCGTCTTCAGCAGCTCCTTCTGGTAGTTCCATGCTCGGTAAACACGACTCCGACCAGCCTGCTCAGTACCCGGGATGCCCACCGAGTAGGGAGTGCCCTTGGGCGGGGGCTGCTTGAGCTCCTCTGCCTTGGCGAGGTGAGCCGGCAGTTGCGAGAAAAACATGACGGTCTAATCTGGACGGGGGCGTTCGGCTGTTAGTATGGTGAGAAGCATATGCATCGCATTCAGAAGTCGCGGGACAGCGAGACATCAGCACTTACCACGCGGATCGAAAAAAATGTAGAAAAGGGAGAGGTATTCGAGACTCCCAGAGCTGACGAGGCCGGGCGTAGAAAGCGAGAGAATGTGGGGGAGAAAGAAGGGAGTCTGGAGTAAAAAGGGAAATCCGGAGAGAGCGACCTTTTTGGGTGAAATCTCCAGGCGCACGATGGGTCGAGCGCAAGTACCTCGGCTCTTTGAGAGGCGGTACCTCGCTCCAGGCCGGTAGCCCCATACTTTGCACAGGTACCGCACTAGTGGGTCGCCACCACCCCTGGTCGGATTATGCAGCACGATGTCATCTGCGGGCCTCACATGCCGCGGGGATTCACATGCGGTCAGCCTTGAGTAGCTTCGGGATTGTGATGATTCTAATTATCGAGGGAAACTTTGTTGCTGCGGCTGTACAGAAAAGGTATGCTTTGCGTGGTCTTACTGTAGTAGAGATGCGATGACTCGAATAACTAAGAATATGTAAGGTCCCATAATATGTATGAATATGATACAAATAGTTTTAAAAAAGGTCCTCAAAACGCCATGCCACATGCCAGAAATTATATACAAGACCAAATAATATAACATGGCATCGAATTGCTTAGTCACAGATCCAGTGCCAGGCCTTGCCGTACCACGTGGTCGGCTCGGTTGTCTCCCACGTCTCGTTGTCAAACGTCGTCCGGCCCGTATCCAGATCAGCATCAAGCGGCTTGACGAACTTGGGCCGGAACAGAGCCCAGTGGCCGAGGTACAGCACCACGAACAGGATCAGACTGAGGTAACTGATGAAGAACTCCTTGACCTGGAAGTGGGGAATGAACGAGGTAAAGCCCTGGGTGAGGATAATGAGGATGTTGAAGAACAGGCCGTAGTACGACAGCCAGGGCTGCCATATCGCCTTGTAAGGCAGAATATCGCGCGACACGTCCCGCGCCTTGAGCGCCCGCTGGAACGCGATGTGGCAGGCGTTCAGAGAGCACCAGGTGATGAAACCGGCCACACCGGAGATCTGCAGGAGCCAGTTGAAGACCTCTGCACCCTCGTTCGAGACGTTCAGGAAACCGAGTAGACCGAACGCGGCGGTGAAGCCCACGGCGTAGTAGGGGACACCACCCTTGGAGGTCTTCTTCATGAAGTGCGGCGCGAAGCCTTCCTGGGCCAGACCGACGATGATACGGCTGCCACTGTAGACGTTGGAGTTGGCCGCCGAGAGCACGACTGTCAAGAGAACGGCGTTGATGATGTCGGGAAGAACGCTCACACCGGCACGGTTGGCGGCGATCACAAATGGCGAAGCATTGGCGTTGTAAGCGTCGGCGCCGGCACCCTCGCTCGTCACGAGACCGTCGTCGGTGGAGGGCACGACAATTCCGATGAAGAAAATGGTCAGGATGAAGAAGACGACAATTCGGATAAAAGTCTTGCGGATGGCAGACGGCACGGTCTTGCGAGGGTTTTCAGTCTCACCAGCCGCGATACCGACAAGCTCGGTACCCTGGTAAGAGAAACCGGCCTTGATCAGAACCGACCAAAATCCGACAAACTTAGCCACAGACGGAGTCATAGTTTCCACCAAATATGCCTTTGGAGCCACAAAAGGACCAGGGTCCACCCAGTAACGGAATCCGATATATCCCTCGTCACCCACACCGGCGTTCATGCAGATGGCGAAGATCATGAAGCCAATAACGGTAATCACTTTGATGCTGGAGAACCAGAACTCCATTTCACCATAGAAGCTCACGGGCATCAAGTTAAAAATGATGATCATAACCCAGAATACAGCGATAAAGATAGAGATGGGAATGGTGCTGTCCCAGAACTGAATAATCAAACCGGTCGTGGTCAATTCGAGAGCAAAGGTCGACGCCCACGAGAACCAATAGATCCAACCCATCGAGAAACCCAAGCTGGGATGGATCAACCGTGCCGCGTACGTCGTGAACGAACCGGGAATGGGTATATACGTCGCAAGTTCACCCAGCGCCGTCATGACCGAGTAGACGATAGTTCCGACAAAGATATAAGCGATCAGCGCACCCACAGGACCAGCGTCGACAATAGCCGTTCCGCTCGAGATGAAAAGACCAGTTCCGATGGTACCACCTGAGTCACAAGACAATCAGTATAAAAGATTTCCACACCGTCCAAGCGTGAGTACTCACCAATGGCAATCATCTGCAAATGTCTGCTCTTCAGCTTGCGCTTCAGCTCCGGCAGCGGATTCGACTCGCGGCTGGCGCCGTACTTCTCGTAGTCGACATCCTCAAAGCCCTTTTCCGGTAACTGCTGCTCGTGCTGGGGCTGCGCCTCCGTGACGGGGCTCTCAGACACCATCTTCGACTTTGTCTTATCCGACCACGGCGCGTTGAAGACCCGGTCGTCTGCCATACCTGGAGCGAGAGCGTGGTACGAAAGAGAGGAGAGGAGAGATCACGGGTAAGGGTAAGGATCTGACCAGCGCGAAACTGCCAGTGGGCTCCACCACGACCAGCGTAGGTCGCGCGGGTACCACCGAGGGCTTTCGAGTGGAGAAGCACGCGACGCTTGTCAAACCACTGCGAGATCGCGGAGGAGGGGAAATGTATTATGTAAAAATAACGCCGTGGGCACTCTGCTTGCAGACCTGGGGCGAGTCTCTTAGAAATGTTTTGGGCCCTTCACTAGTTTTCTAATGTGAATGAAAAATTTTCTCCATTCTCTGGTACTGGCGAATGCGACCCGGCTCGTTTTTGCCCATGTGGGCCATCGCGGACCAGATCAGAAAATTTTCGTTGGTGGCGACTGCCAGTGCCGCACTTCCATCTCAGCCTGTTCAGCATTACTGTACGCCTGCCGACCTTGAATTGCATCAACACTGCCTCACCGTGTTCGGTCGGGGTCGAGCGCAGGTTCAAGCTAGTCGATGTGACTCTGTTCGGGGCCAAGCCACCCGCCATGCCGCGCCGATCGCGATATCGCACTTACCTAACATTCCCTATGTATATCCAGCTACTACATACGACTGTACCATATACATAATGTGGAATTAAATAAACGACAAATTGCATATTCAATTAGATCCTAAATAATAATCACCTACCAGTAATAGCAAATAGCAGCCCGTCAATTGCCATTACTCGAGTTGAATCCCGAACCGGACAACAGCCGTTTCCGGCCGAGTGGGGCGATAAGCCGAATCCAACAAATCGGTATGACCAACCGATGATTATTCTTAGATGCCCTAAGGAGGTACGCATCCAGTGGAACGCTTTATCACCTTGGCTGCTGACTGGTTACTTGAAGTATACACTCACAGCCTGCATCTACCCTATAGAAGTATATCATACGATCTGGCACTATCAATCTCGCATGTGTCCTGGTTTCATGCATGCAAACTAACACTGAAGGTATCATGATACAAAGACTATTCTCATTATTAAGGTCATAAGATCGTCAACAGAAAGACAAGACATAAAGACCTCAGGGGGTATCGTGAATCGAATAAATCGCAAACTCGTCGCGTCAGCACCTCACTCTCCATCGCATCGAAAGGTTCGTCCTCAGGTATGAATCGCATGAATCATTGTCGCGAGCTAAACCCCGAGGTGGGCATTATGCTGCGTCTTCTGCGCACTCTCGCCCGAATTCCGATGGTGCAGCAGGTCAATAATGGCAAAGTACGTCGTGACGGAGAAGAGGACCCTAAAACCATCCAAAGAGATTAGCAACAGCCAGGCTTAAGAAAAATAAAAATAAAAATACAAACCGAGGGAAGCATACCACTCAAAAGCCCCAAAAACAGTAACCGCCTGCAAAGACCGACAGGTGCTATAATGACAATACCTAGGCGGCGGCAACTCCGCACCGAGGGCAATGAAGCCCGCAAACCAGAAGATCATCGTGACGACCTCGACACCGGGAATAACGAAGCGGTGCGCGAGGCGCGGGAAGAAGATTGGGGCGGCGCCGAGGTAGGGTGTTGCGACAAAGGCGGTCCAGCAGCCTAGGAAGAGGAGGAAGTCGACTGTGCTGGAGAAGGACCACCAGTCGTAGAAGGAGCTGATGACTTTTGGCAGAGTGAGGTTAGGATGCTGCTGCAGGTAATGTGGGTGAGTGACCGGGCTGAATGAACATACCGTAGGCGGTTAGGCCGACGACGATGAGGCCGAAAATTATCTGGATGATCCGGATGGCTTGGATCCAGGGGAGGTTCATCTTGGTGGTGGATGTTAGAGAAGTTGAGTTGGGTGTGGGGTGCTGGAAAAGCTGGTTGTGGTTGTCAGCCAGAGAAAGGAAGAAAGCGCGACGCGAAGCAAGGCAGCTGGGATATAAAGCGGCCCAAGTCAGCCACGTCGTCGCGCCGGCGTCATCGGTGACATCTTGGCAGTCAGGTGGCTTGCATGATAGGGCTGACCGTACCTTGGGGTATCCCAGGGTAGCCTAGGGTGATTTACGGCGATCGACGGGGAACTACAGTAGAACTGTAGAGTGATGCAGGTGAGTGTGGCAGCTGATGCGGGGTGTGGAGATGGACTTTTCGAGAGCAAAAGATCTAGGACGAATATCTAGAGGAGGGATCGCTTTTGTTTGTCTTTTTCTGCTGCCTATCCATAATACTAAGTAGTAATGTATTCTTGAAGAAACGCACCGCCACGGGTGGACCCCTTGGCAGCGCTGCCTAAACCTGGTAAACCGGTACTTTTCATTGGTGTATTGGGCGCTGATACCCGCTGGTGTCCAAGTTGACATGCAATTTCAGGGTCTCTCAGCCACTTGAAACATTTCTCGCCTAGCAATTATAAAAATAGCCTGCGAAGTGACGAACAAAGAAAAGCCACCTGGACTTGGCTTGTCGTTATTGGAAGACCGCTTTTCTGAATTGCCGCCTGCATCACTTGAAGTGTATTAAGAATCTCTTGGCTGTGGAACCGTCGACGTCCCTGTAGGCGGTGCGGCAAAAGCGCATTGTTGCTGGCATTTGCCGAATCCTTTGTTGCAAGCTACGACGGCTGGAGGTGCGTCTGCTGCTAGACTGGTGCCGAAAGTGTAGCCGGCCGCCTTGTAGCCTTGTAGCAGGGGACGACTAGTGCTGCGCATCCTGCATGGCATATTGCGTAGGTATCGGGGCTAGCTAGGCCGGGTACGGTGGGGAGTAAGGTGCGGAATAATTTCATTTTGTTCAAATGTGGTCTAGTTGACTCTAGTAGTGGTAGATAGTGCTTGCGGGGGATTCAAGGCAGAGATGGACTAGCGAGGAGATCAGGTGTATTAACATGAGAGGGAAGTGAGGGATATTTATGCTACGGAGGCTTTAACTATGACAGTGGGCTCCATGATGTTTTCATCGATAGCAATTGCCTTCATCATTTATCATAGATTGCCCTATCCTATAAATCCACCATAAAAGACCCAGGAGATCTCACAGCGTTGGAGTAAACAACACTGCAGCACGGGCCTTCTGGCATGCGCCGAACGCTGCATTACAAGTCATTATGCTGGCAGGGTAAAACCCGCTGCGCCGTAGCAAGCCATGACGACGGCTGCACACCCTACCTGGCAGACTCCGTCGGCTACTGGGCCGGCCACGGGGGTGATGAATGGTAAGGCCCGGAACACCTTCATTGCGATTGTAAATTTGATGATGATTGGTGGGAGGTGGATTTTTTTGATTGAGGTATAGCAGATATGGAAGTGATGAGGCTGAGATCGTAATATCAAGAGGGCAAGAAGGTGGCTTTTATAAGGTAATACTACAGTTTGTTTGGCAATTTTTGTTTGGTCAGGCAGTTAGCAATAACGTCTTTGCTAACTAATGACAATTGCTTTCGTGATTCGTCCTAACCTTAGAATTGCCCGTCAAATGCAGAGGACTGCAAGGATGTTTGCACAGCTACACCAGTAGTTATGAAGAGCTAAGATCAGAGGTGGGCACTTGGGTGGCTGTTAGCGATTCCAAATGGCGGCCTGAACGATGTACGGGTACCTGAAGTGTAAGGCGTGGAGGCCGGTGAGCTAACTAAGTTAACTAATCCGGGGTAAACACCACAACGATGTAGTACAGACAAGAGAAGGCAGAATAGTGTGAGAAGACAACATGAAACAACCATGCTGCACGAAAAGTCAGGTGATGCGACAATCTAGTAAACAGCCGGAATTACTGGTATATATTAGCACTCTATAGAATTGCGACCAAACTACCTAGGATGGGATGATTTAGCACTGGCATACATCTGGTGTATACATTTAGATTGCACGACAAAAGGACAGTCGCACCTGGTGGCAGAATCCCTGTTACAACCGAAATACGAACTAGCGGGGTCGGACCCCGCCAGAGTCGACTCTCACGCGAGAATGCGTGATTGGCACCGCGTAACGAAAAATAAAAATCGCGGAACCAAAAGGAAGCTCAAGTACGATCACGCCATCGAAACCCGCGGTAGCTCTGTCCCTCTCCTCGGTTAGGGGAGTACATAAGGAGGACATTTCCAGATCCCAATTCTATTGCATTATATCCCTACACGAATACTTCTGTCTTAGTAGTTACTATTGTATCGCCGTCCCGTCGACACCTGAACCCACCCGCTTCCCCGCAATCCACCATGTCCGATCCCCAGAATCTCCACTTTGAGACCCTCCAGTTGCACGCCGGGTACAGCTACTTCCCCTTCGTACACCAGCACCTGCTCTATCCTAGTATCCGGCGCTAACAACACCAAATGCAGCCACGAACCAGACTCAGCAACCAACTCCCGCGCAGTCCCCATCTACGCCACAACCTCCTACACCTTCAATGACTCCGCGCACGGCGCCCGACTCTTCGGGCTGAAAGAATTCGGCAACATCTACAGCCGAATCATGAATCCGACCGTCGACGTCTTCGAAAAGCGCATCGCGGCTCTAGAGGGCGGCGTTGCGGCCGTCGCAGCTGCCTCGGGCCAAGCAGCACAGTTCATGGCGATTTCGGCGCTCGCGCATGCGGGCGATAATATCGTTTCCACGAGCAATTTGTACGGTGGCACATATAACCAGTTCAAGGTGCTTTTCCCGCGTCTCGGGATCACGACGAAGTTTGTTGCTGGTGACAAGCCCGCTGATATTGCGGCTGCTATTGATGAGAAGACGAAGGCGGTTTATGTTGAGACTATTGGGAATCCCAGGTATAATGTTCCGGATTTTGAGGAGATCGCGAGGGTTGCGCATGAGAAGGGGGTTCCGGTTGTTGTACGCCACTCCTCTCAAAATTGTCAAGAGATTACATGTCAGCTTTACTCACTATTCTCATAGGTCGACAACACCTTCGGCGCAGGTGGCTACTTCGCCCGACCCATCGACCACGGTGCCGACATAGTCGTACACAGCGCAACCAAATGGATCGGCGGGCACGGTACAACAATCGGCGGCGTAGTAATCGACAGCGGCAAATTCGACTGGGGCGCGCACGGGTCTCGATTCCCACAATTCATCGAGCCATCCGAGGGGTACCACGGCCTGAAATTCTGGGAGACGTTCGGCTCAATTGCGTACGCGATTCGGGTGCGGGTTGAGATTCTGCGCGACCTCGGCTCAGCGCTGAACCCGTTCGCGGCGCAGCAGCTGATTCTGGGACTGGAGACGTTGTCCCTGCGCTCGGAGCGTCATGCGACTAATGCCCTTGCGCTTGCGCGGTGGTTGCAGAAGAATGAGCATGTTAGCTGGGTTTCGTATCCGGGTTTGGAGGATCATCCGTCGCATGCTCTTGCGAAGAAATATTTACCCCGTGGGTTTGGAGGTGTGCTTTCTTTTGGGGTTAAGGGGGGTGCGGCGGCCGGGAGTCAGGTTGTTGATGGGTTCAAGTTGATTTCGAATTTGGCTAAGTATGTGCTGCGATTGCTGTCGAGGGCTTGTTTGACTGACTCCTTTTTAGTGTTGGTGATTCTAAGACGCTGGCTATTCATCCTTGGTCAACGACCCATGAGCAGCTCTCTGATAAGGAAAAAGAGGATTCGGGTGTTACGGAGGATGGAATTCGGATTTCTGTTGGAACGGAGCATATTGATGATATAATTGCTGACTTTGAGCAGTCGTTTAAGGCTTCGAAGGCTGCGGTGCCGGATCGTACTGCATAAGGAGATTCGATTCAAGTATTGACACGAAGGAAATATTTTTCGTCTTGATACGGCTCGGTCTGTAGGAGGCTAAGTCTAGAACAGTACAGTTTCTATGGATATAGTGACGAGTATACGGTAATACCTTCAAGGACAGCGCAAATGACAATGCCCAAGATATCTCTCTAGTAACCCAGGGCTTGCCGATTGGTCTCCCTAATCTCCCCTTCAGATATAATCCGCAACCCCAACCGCTCATTCCAATTAACTCCATAAAGTCACTACCCTTATACCTCTTCCCATACATCATCTGAAAGTAATAATCAATAAACACAGACATATCACCCTGCTTCAACTTCTCATCCGACATCTAAATAACCTCCCTAACCGAAACCTCTTCCGGAATCCCAAAGTCAATACCAGTAAAATCAGAAACAAGCTCCGTCAACCGACGCTCCGAGACAGCAGCCGAGCAGATATAAATGGGCTGATTAACAGCAGCCTCAAAGGTACTCTCATTGCCCAATAATTTGACAATCGCTGTGGCGATATTCGAGAGCGTAGAGACAGCGATAACCTTGTCGCCTCCGCTATAAAAAACAGCCTTCTTGCTCACGGGATTCGGACCAAGAACACCGTACTTGATGCCCATATCGAAGAAGGCGCCGAATGTTGACGGAGGTCCATGTCGTGGCGCCGGAGGGCCTGGTCATTACGGACGAGAGATATTGGCGGAATGAAATCTTTTCCTTGGGATTCGAGTATGGGTGGTGAATTCAGTTGGAATGAAGCGCTTGATGGAAGCGGTGACGTAGGCATCGATGATCAGTTTTTCGGTGGTGAGGTTGGTGAATGGGACGGCGCTAGTATTGTCAGTTAGAATAGCTTTGGATATAGAAGAAGGGCAGGATCTGTACCTAATAACAACATCCTGCCCGGTGAAGGTAGATACCAGTTCCACCTTGTTCTGATAGTCGACCTTGACAACCTTGAGACATTCTGGCGCGGGTTTGTTTGAGTCTTTGCGTTATATGGCGGTGACCTTATGGCCAGCAGCTTCAAGGCCTGGCGATGCGAGAGCTGAGAGTCCCGGTTGCCTTTCTCTTGTTGTTAGTGGTACCTAAGGCGAGGTGGTGGAAAGTGGAAAGTATTATACTCCGATGATGGACACTTTTCTCATGATGGCAGCCCTTTGGAGTGAGAATTGCAAGATTGATCTCGAAAAGAACTTTGGAAATATGATTATTTCTGGAGTACCCTTACATTCGAAATATAAATATTCTGGTCATGTCGCGACTCGGCATTCCGATGTACCGATTTGCCTCCTCGGGGTTGAGGTCAACACTGATATATTAAGCCCAGGCTTGAAATCATAGCCGAACGCAGTAATCAACCACCGCCAGCACTAACTAATACACTCCAGATATTCCAACACACCGATAGTAATTGATCTACTAAGACTACGTTTCCTTGAATTTAAATAAACTATTCGAGACACGTATTCGGATATTCCAATTCCACTCGCTGACCCCGCTTCACGACGAACACTGCGTAGAGGGCGACTATGCGGTACTACTATACTCCACATGACTCGGTCCAATATCCTTCGCATCAGATTGGGCAGGCTCAATATCGACCAATGCCTCAGCAAACCCTGCCTTCTTTCTCGCCTTCGCCTCATTAACAGCCATCCAGGCCCGAGGCACAACCTTCCATTGAAAAGACTTTTGATAAAAAGTCTGCTTCGCTTCAATCTCTCGGTCCCGCACCTCATCATTCAAGAAAAGGAGATCAACAGACTCCAAATTGAGGTCTCGGGGTAAAGCAGTAAACAATAAAAGCAGCGACAACATTAAAACCGCGAAAATGATATAGGTCTTGTGCCTGATATTTTTGAAGGGCGGGTGGTGTGATTTCGACGACCTAGCGATGTAGAAAAGTTAGGAATCTCAGCCGAAACTTGTATTGGTAATTCTGGGCCTGTCTTACCAGAAAATTCCCAAGGAAATCCGCCGCCGCAGCTAGCGCCGTGCCCTTGGATCAATTGTCAGCGAAAGGATCTCGGCGGGATACACCCTGACCGTGGCCATCCAGCCTGTAAAGTGATGTTAACTTGCCCACATAACTATCTGAGTACAAAGATAAAAAGGAATGCAACTCACCCCACGTGAGGGAGGCCTCGAATGCGAAGACGAAGAATACGGCTGCGATGCCGGAGGGCTTTTTGTCGATGGCTACGGTGATGGCTTCGCAAACTAGCACGGTGCACATTCCGATTGCCATGATGATGAATAGACATCTTCTACCAACTGAGTCGATCATTTGTCACTGCGATGTATCAGATAGAACCAGATTGGCAAGTGGTGGAGCTCATACCGTCAGAAATGAGGCGATGATATACCACACTTGAAGGAAGCAGCCAACGAACAAAGATTCCTCTTGGCCCCTTCCAAGGCTATCCTGGAATAGTGTTGGAGCGTAGTAGCTCACGATATTGATACCTGTGGACCAAGTAAGCTTTGTGAAATTCAAGTACTCATAGCAAGTCTTACCAGAAGTCTGCTGCATGAACTAAATCCCAAGTGCCAGGAAGAACCGCTTATTTAGCAGCGCCCCCCCCCCCCCCCCCCCCCCCCATCTATAAGCACGGATTTCCAAGTACCCTCCTCCTCCGCTTTGATATTGTTAAACAGGTCTCTCGCCAGCATATTATTTGGGCCAAGATAGCCAAGCATCTTTAAGCATTTAAGGCGTGACTCAAATGCGTGAAGTGGAACTCGAAGGGATCGATTGAGGTATTTCCTGTTTGAGGGTTACCCCCGCGTGTCGATCGAAGCTTCGCTGGCGCTATGCGACGTTGTAGAGGCTCTGACCTTACTGGGTCCACTTCGGATTTGGGCCGTGAAGGAGTAGGAGGAGGAATAAAGGGCATTGTGAGTGAGGGCTTGGGGAGAAGGGCTATGTTGTTTGTTTTGGGTGGGTTGAGGCAACTTGTCGATGTGTATAATCGAGACGGGCGATGGTTGTAGGTATTCTGGCAGATTTCTAGTAGCCACTAGGATGCGCTAGAAGAGTTCTGTTTGAAGATCGCTTCTGACGGTTATGTTGTGGTATTTTTTTTCTAGGCTCAGACTAAACTGCAGGAGTAGTAACGCGTTGAAAGGCCCAACGGAGCCGGAAGTATGTAACAGGCCATGGCATGGTCATTGTATACTTAAGCGTAGGGGACATCTCCTCGAAAGCATAGAATTTAGCTAATCCCGAATTTCTTTCCGAATTTCTTTATCCGCACTGGGCAGTTCCCACTGAAAAGTGACAACTCAAGTCCAGGTTTCTTTCAATGTCATGCCAGATACTTCATCTTGCGGGATTTTGGGAAAAAATTGTTTAAAAATGAATCTAATGCTCTCTTAAAAAACCGAAAAGATGACGAGAAGATGCCTTTCCCAAACATCCCACGGCAATGATCATGAGGTCCAACCCTAGACATAAAAACAGAAAAAGCTAATAGCTTTTGAAGTTCATGCTCAAAAGCATATGCCAAAAGTGCGTATAGTAAAAAACAAATCTCTTTAAACCGAACCACACGTATGTGATCCTAAAATAATATACCCATCTCCATTAAACAACGTAACTCCAGGGGTGATCCTCATCACCGTACTGGATACCCTCAATCCAGTTCTTCATCTTGAGGGCAATCTCACCAGCCTCCTCATTCTCCTTCAGACCGCAGTCCACCATCTTGCCGCGGTAGCTGATGTTCCGCACCGGACTGACAATGGCAGCGGTGCCGGCACCGAAGACCTCAATCATGCGGCCCTCCTCGGCGGCCTCGGCGACATCCGCCATGCGGATCTTGCGCTCCGAGATCTCCCAGCCCTCGGGCACAAGACGCTCGCGGGCTAGGGAGAGCACGGAGTCACGAGTGACACCTTCCAGAATGGTACCGTCCAGAGGAGCAGTGATGAGCTCCTTCTTGCCGGTCTCCTTGTTCTTCAGAGCGATGAAGAGATTCATAGTACCGACCTCGGTCACGTACTCCTCCTCGCCGAAGAGCCACAGATTCTGCTGGAAGCCGCGGGACGCAGCCTCGAGCTGGGGCAGGATGCACGGGGCGTAGTTGGCACCGAGCTTCTTGTCACCAACACCACCGGGCCAGGCGCGGACGGCATAGTCGGTGGCCTCCAGGGAGATGGCCTTGAAGCCGGTGGGGTAGTAAGGACCGACAGGGCTTGCAATGACGAACAGCAGGGCCGAGCCGGGGGGACCGACGCCAAGAGTCTTCTGGGTACCGATCATGGTGGGTCGCAGGTACAGAGAGTAGCCACGGGCACTATAAAAGTAAGTCATCGGCAACATATTTAGATGACCAGAACAAACAAGAGTCACTCACTCCGGAATGAAACGGTCGTCGACCTTCACAAACTCTCCAATCAGCTTGGTCAAAGCCTCGCCGTCAAAGGTCGGCAGGGCAATGCGCGCGGAGGACTTGTTCAGACGCTCCATGTTCTTGTTGGGCCGGAACAGACGGGTCCCCCCATTGTGATCCTTGTATGCCTTCATTCCCTCGAAGCACTCGAAAGCGTAGTGGAACACACAGGTGGACGGGTCCAGGCTGAGGTTCTGGTAGGGGATAATGCGGGGAGTGTGCCACCCATCGGTGGCGGTCCATTCAATCGAGAGCATGTGGTCTAGATCCAATTAGCAATTGAAGCAGCGCATAGTGCATGGATGAAACACGTACCAGTGAAGGTCCGGCCAAAGACAAGCTCATTGTTAGGAGTAAGCTCCTTAGGAGTGCTCGTCTTGGTAATGCTCAGCTTGGAGGGATCCAGGCCAAGCAACTGAGAAGCCGCAGCGGCCGTCGCACCAAAGTTGCGCTGCCATGACCGGGTGGATGGGATCTGCGAGGACAAACGGGGGCGTGTAAGGCCGGCCAACGCCGCACGGCGGGTCAATTGTTGAAGCGACTTCATGACTGAATCTATATGTGAGCTGGATTGAAGTATGGGGGGAAGGGAGGGAGGACCGACTGTTTTTAAACGATGACTCCGCACGTCTCGGAGTGCAAGACCAACTCCGACGCGCCCAAAAAGGGAAATCAACGCCCTCACCGCCTTCGCGGTTCTCCCCGGAGACGATGACTTAGCGGCCGTGTACCCGATCGGGCCAATCAGAGAGGCTCGATACGTCCCAGACCCGCCGACTTCGGATGCGCAGGGCTGCAGTTCTGGCCGGCCTTTGAAGTTTTGGCCGACGCAAAGCGGGGGATCACCTGACCGGCCCCGAGAGTTCAGCTCGAGCTTTCCAGCACGTGACCCCTGCGATAGGAACATTGTTATCGCAGCCGAGATTGGGGCTGGAGCTCGCCAGGGCTAGTGTCCACTGGACTCGAGCGAGTGGACGTCTCGATCGCGACGTAAAGCGCGCAAAGCACCGCGTCGCATACTCCATCTTCGGTCCAGATCAATCCGCTCGATGCGGAGGAGTTATGTACGCTACCAGTCTCGTCACGGTCCTGTGAAACGAACCGTCATCAACCCAGTTTCGACCTGTCTTCTATGATCTGCACGTCCACCGTGCACTCGGATCCACGATGTTTTCGAACGCGTTGAAGTCATTCAGCTCGAATATTTCCGCCAATTATCAGATCGCTCCCCACGCGACTATCTACTCAGGCCCCTGGAAAATCCACGATGCCAAGAAGAAATCCACCGGCACCCCGGCGTCTGTTTTCATCTTCGAACGCAAGACCCTCGAACCGCGATCAGGCGGATTTGGCACCCGCTCATCAGGATCCGGAACGAAGAAGATACAGGAGGATGTGATTGAGCGACTCAAACGGGAGGCCAGCAATCTGGCCAGATTGCGACACCCTCCATCCTTCAAGTGCTCGAGCCCGTCGAGGAAACCCGCAACGGTGGTCTCATGTTTGCGACAGAACATCTGACAGCCTCGCTTTCTGGTCTTTTATTGGATAAAAACGAGCAAGAAGGTGCTTCGGGTGGTTCGAGAGCTAATCGCTATATGGTAGAGGATGCCGATGGAACTCGCAGGCGGAGGGAATTTGAGATTGATGAACTAGAAATCCAAAAGGGCTTACTGCAAGTGGCAAAGGGTCTTGAATTCCTTCACGAATCCGCAGGCCTTGTCCACGGTAACCTGAGTCCGGATGCCATCTATGTCAATGCTAAATCGGATTGGAAGATCTCTGGTCTTGGATTTGCGGGGCCTCCAGATTCGTCGGAAACTCGTTCGACGCTGCCACCACTGGCCGTCTCCGAGGTTCTCTATCAAGATCCAAGACTACCACCTTCTGTGCAGCTCAACATGAATTACACTTCTCCGGATTTTGCCATGGATTCCAACGTGTCGTCCGCCGCCGACATGTTCTCTTTGGGTCTGATCATCATCGCTCTCTACAATTCACCCCACGTCTCCCCACTGGAAACCCATGCGAACTTGTCGACCTATAAAAAGCTGCTCAGCTCCCCTTCCACTACTCCCTCTCAGAGCAATAACTTCCTCTGCTCTAATCCTATCCCGAGGGATGTTCTATCCCAGGTGCTACCCAGGTTGATCACACGGAGGCCTGCCCAGCGTATGAATGCGCGCGAGTTTCAACAATCACCATATTTTGATAATGTTCTGGTATCGACTATCCGATTTTTGGAGTCTCTCCCGGCCAAGAACCCGAACGAAAAGTCTCAGTTCTTGCGAGGCCTCCAACGAGTCCTACCAGACTTTCCTGTCTCGGTGTTGGAAAGGAAGCTTTTGGGCGCGCTGCTTGATGAACTGAAGGACCGCGATTTGCTGGCCCTTCTATTGCAGAACGTCTTTGGTATCCTTCAACGCATTCCAAATGGACGCCGTGTCTTTCCCGAAAAGATCATCCCCCGTTTGAAGGAGTTATTTGGCACTGCGTCGGGCAAACCAGCCCAAGAACGCGACTCAAAGAAAGATGCAGGCCTTATGGTTCTTCTTGAGAATATGAAGCTGGTGACGGAGAACTGCACTGGCATGGAATTCAAAGATGGTACGTTTTCCCTTGATTTCAGCATACTTTGCGAGCGTGAACTGACTGTTCTTCCAGAAATCTTACCACTCATCCGCCTTGGACTGGACTCGCCCACCCACTCTTTGGTAGATGCTTCAATCAAATGCCTCCCGGTATTCCTTCCTACGCTTGATTTCAGTACCGTCAAAAATGAAGTCTTTCCACCAATCGCCAGCACCTTCAGCCGCACTAGCAGCCTTGCGATCAAGGTCCGCAGTCTGGAAGCATTCAGTGTGCTGTGTGGCGGCTCTACAGATGAGTCTGATGGTCTCGATGACCTATCTGGCGCTGTGGCACCATCCAAGACTGTCAAGTCCTCCATCCTAGACAAATATACTATCCAAGAGAAGCTTGTCCCCTCTCTCAAGGCGATCAAGACAAAAGAGCCTTCGGTCATGATGGCAGCACTGAAGGTCTTCCGTGAAGTTGGAAAAATCGCAGACAGTGATTTCCTCGCCCTCGAGGTTCTACCTATTCTCTGGAGCTTCAGTCTTGGACCTCTCCTGAATTTGAAACAGTTCAATGACTACATGGCCCTGATCAAGTCCCTTTCCACCAAGGTCGAGAAGGAGCAGGTCCGCAAGTTGCAAGAGCTCTCGTCGGGTGGAGACTCTGGCGGGTTCCAGAATGGTGCCAACAGCTTCTCCCAGTCCACGACTGATCTCACATCCTCTGAAACAGATAGCACAAGAAACAACTTTGAGCGTCTCGTCCTCGGCAACAAACCTGCATCGCTGAATGGCAAAGAGGCCGATATCTGGGGAAGTATGGAGCCAGAGCCAGCCACGAAACGACCGAGCATGTCTCCTGCGTTTTCGTGGTCCACAAACAATAACTCGGGAGGTTTCCGCTCTATCACGCCCGATCAGAAGCTCAACTCCATTCCATCTCTGCAGCCCGCGCCTCAAGCACCTCCTGCGATGTCTACCTCACAGCTCCCATCTATGCAACCCATGCAGCCCATGCAGCCATCGAATCCCTGGGCTGCACCGGCTCAAACAGCCAATCGAACTGGGTCTTCATTGGCATCGCTGTCTAACATGTCAGCAGCTGCGCCAATGTCTCAACCGGCTGCTCAGCAAAACCCCAACTACTCCGCCTTCTCCATTCCGCCTCCTCCAAGCGGCATGGGAGGAGGTATGAGTAGTATGGGCGGCATGGGCACGAACAATGCCATGAGGTCTCCGTCGCTGAACATGAACATGAACACGACATCAGCATTCCCCATGCAGGCCCCCATGCAGGCTCCGCCGCCACCACAATCGCAACCACCGCAAAAGTCTGGTCTGGATAAATATGAAAGTCTGCTATGAAAGGAACGAATTAGTTTCTTTATCTTCCTGCAAATACCCCTCATGTTGCTGTTATACCCACTGTTGCGCGATTTTCTGGTGCATAAGTACATAGACACGTTCAATGAGGAAGAATCAAATGCATTGCTGTATTTAGGTTTGATGATAGTTCAATTTCACCCTAAATACAACATTTTCAAGTCGCTATTATTGATAAATCTGGCAAAGACTAGTGCCAAGTACTCCGAGGTACTCCACAGCGATGCCGAGGGCGGAGAAGTACCTGATTGGTACACTGCACCTCGATATGTCATAGCTACAACCTAACCCTCGACCCTCCAATGCACTCCCTGCGTGGCATTGCGCCGCGTTTGTCACTTACCCGGAGCTCCATTCGACCTCCGCTACCCCTCCATCGTCTCCCTTCCCACCGACTATCTGCGCTCCACTCCAAACCCTTCTCCCTCTCCCATTCCTACAGAGCGCTCAGCATGGACGACAGCGTCAAGCAACACTATCTGGCCGACTCGCCGCCCACTGTGGTCAAGCTGGAAATCAAGTCGCACTGGGATACGCTGAAGGACGACAGCCTGAAGCGATATGCCCACCACATGAGCCGGTGAGAATCAATTTTGGCCCCCATCGCAAATGCAGTTTTTGCGCGACGAGAGATGTCTCGTCCTCGACAACTCCAAGCTGACCGCCGCGGGGTACTTGCATAGAGCTGCATTCGAAGGCACTCGAGTCACTTTGCGCCAGGTTTCCCCCGAGTCCGAACCCATCTACGACTTCATCCTTGCCCTGCACCGCGCCGCCAATGGCGACTGGAATGGGCTTGCGAAGAAGACCTCCGTCAGCGACGAACACCTCCGTTTCTTCCTCGAATATGCCGCTCAGTTCCTTGGTAACTGCGGTAACTACAAGGGCTTCGGCGATTCCAAGTTCATTCCCCGTTTGCCTGCGGAGGCCCTGGAGGCCCTGGCCTCTGCCACGCTGGAGACCAAGGCTGCGTACCAGAAGGCGAGCACCACTGGTGGTGGCATCTACGAGACCAGCGAGCAGTCATTAATGCACTTGGGATATCCAGCCAGCGGCCACATGACAACCTACTACCCCGACTCGCCCTCCATTACCAAGGATGAAATTACTGCTGTTGGAGATCTGATGGAGAAGAAGAGTCTCGCATTGGAGAACACAAGACTACGCAAGACTGCTTCGGGTGACTTTGAACTCTTGATTGCTTCTGGTGTCTCTAATCCACCCGCGCGGGATCGTGATCTGGGTAAATTGGATACTTTTGAGCTAGAAGGTTCGCTGAAGGGCAAGACTCTGCGTCTAGTCTTTGGTGACTACAAGGAAGAGATGGCCAAGGTGTCCCACAGCATCAAGAAGGCCGAACTCAATGCGGCTAACGATAACCAAAAGCGTATGTTGGATGCTTATGCTCTCTCCTTTGGCGCTGGCTCCATTGAATCTTTCAAGGAGAGTCAGCGTGTCTGGGTGAAGGACCAGAAGCCGGTTCTGGAGACCAACCTGGGCTTTGTGGAGACCTACAGAGACCCCCACGGTGTGCGTGGAGAGTGGGAGGGTTTCGTTGCCTTGGTAAGTTTGCCCAATAAGATACACAGTTATTTTCAGTTCTGACTTCATCAGGTCAACCTGGAACGCACCCGCGCATTCGGCACTTTGGTGGACAGTGCCGAGAGCATGATCCCGAAGCTACCCTGGAGCCAGGACTTTGAGAAGGACAAGTTCCTGAGTCCCGATTTCACTTCGCTAGAGGTTCTGAGCTTCGCTTGCTCTGGTCTCCCCGCTGGCATCAACCTGCCCAATTACGATGACATCCGTCAGAACCTGGGCTTCAAGAACGTGTCCTTGGGTAACGTCCTCAGTGCAAAGGCACCCAACGAGCCGATACCCTTCATTTCGGAGAAGGATCACGAAGTGTACCGTCGCTGCCGTGATCCCGCCTTCGAGGTGCAGGTCGGTATTCACGAGCTGCTCGGTCACGGTACTGGTAAGCTCCTGCAGGAGACTGCTCCTGGCGAGTACAACTTCGATATTTCCAACCCTCCCATTAGCCCTGTGACCAACAAGCCCGTCACCACCTGGTACAAGCCCGGTCAGACCTGGAGCTCCGTCTTCGGTGCCATTGCCTCGTCCTACGAGGAGTGCCGTGCCGAGTGTGTTGCCATGGCTCTGGGCTGTGACTTCAGCATCCTGAAAATTTTCGGTTTCGGCGATGGCACCGAGAACATGGACGGCGAGGCTGGAGACGTTCTCTTCACGGCCTACCTCCAGATGGCTCGTGCTGGTCTTGTTGCTGTCGAATTCTGGGATCCCAAGACCCAGAAATGGGGCCAGGCTCACATGCAGGCTCGTTACAGTATCCTGCGCACCTTCCTTGATGCTGGCGATGACTTTGTCAAGCTGCATTACACCAAGGACGACTTGTCCGACCTTGAGATCCACCTGGATCGATCCAAAATCCTCTCCCACGGACGCCCTGCTGTCGAGAAGTACCTGCAGAAGCTGCATGTCTACAAGAGCACGGCTGATGTCGAGGCTGGTAAGGCCATGTACGATGATATTACCTCGGTGGATAGCTGGTGGGCATCTCAGGTCCGTGAGGTCGTTCTGGCGAACAAGGTTCCTCGCAAGGTCTTTGTGCAGGCCAACACTGTCTTGGAGGGCGACAAGGTGACTCTCAAGGAGTATGAGCCCACCCTAGAGGGTATGATCCAAAGCTTCGCCGAGCGCAATGTCTAAGCACCGTTCTGCTTTGATGATTAGTCGAAAACAATATCCAATCCATATGCGAGTCATACCGAGGCTCATATAGTTTCTAGCATGCCGGAAAATTTCAAACCCTATGAATTTTTTTCTCTTGACTTAATGTAAGAAGCAAAACATCATTAAAACCAGACGAAGTGACACTGTCAGGTGGACGGCGGGCATTCAAGTCGTGCAGTAGCGTGGTGGACTTACCGCCAGGGTGATCTACGCCTCCTCTAAGCGCTGCCCATTCCATTCCTCCTCGCCCCTCCCAGCTCCCTCGAAACCCTGCAACCGACAAACTCCCAGAGCCCCATTCACATTGCCTGTGCATCTCCAAGTACGCCCTTCATTGACGGCAGGAAATCCGGTCGGGCGTCGTTTCCACCTGCCTCCTGATCGACAATCCGCGGACCCTTTAGGGCGCAAGTCCAGACTCCATCAGATCAACCGCCTCGCAGCGATTGGATCTGATCCCCATAGCACTAGCACCGTGTCGGAGTCAACACCCCTTCGACATCCATCAACCACGGCGCGACCGCCCTCTCCAACGGACTCCCTAGGGGAGGACGACTATTACACCGCGCCCCCGCCGCATTCGCCCTCCGAAGCGTCTGCCCCGAGTTCACTCGGTCCGCCACCTTCTCTCTTCTCTCTACTTCGCATCCTCCGACCCCAATCGTCTCGAAGTCACCGAGTCCTCTACCTCCGCTTCGCTTCCAGCTTTCGCGCCGCCGCCCCCTGTTGAGGAGTCGCTTGACCCGGCCCCTTCGTCGTCGGTCGTCGCAGATACCAAAGCGTCTTTCTCGGATCCCAAGGGGGACGCGCCTGGCAAGAGCTCGGACGATAGTGAACCGCCCCCACCTTACACCGAAGGCTACAGTCCACTCGAATCATTCACCTACGTGATGGCTACCGCCGGAGGTGCTTCTAGCATTATCACCCAGGTCCAACAGACCGGGGGACCGCCGATCAACACCCTTGGTGGTAAGTGCTGCTCGAGGCGAGTTGATGGCTCAGAGGCCTCATACTAATATCCTTTGATGCGCTTAGACATCGGCGGAGATGAAAATATTACATTGGATCTTCGGTAAGAGATTCCTGTTCTCTCTAACCGACTGGCTTAGCGCTGACAGTTGGCGCAGTGGCACCCGGTTCACACTCTCCCGCGATGAGTTGTTGACATTGCCCGAGTTCGTCCTTCTTTCCCTGTTCCCGAATGGTCTTCTCCCCGACGGACACATCGGTGGGTTTCATGAAGGAGACATTTACCCGGTTGATGTGAGAAAGCATACCACCACATCCTTTTATTGAACATCCAACTGACAATAGTCTCTAGTACGACCCTGCTTCGCTTCAGTACATGCTTGATTTCTTCCGCACCGTGGCCCAATCCATTCCGTCCTCGCTGCCGTCGGCGTCGACCTCGCCAGAACTGGACATGCCTGATGCGATGCAGAACTCCGCGCGTGATATGCTCCAAGACCGTGCTGGCATCATCGTTCTCCGTGAAGACCTCGACTTCTATGTTATACCACCGCGCCCTGAGATCGGGCATGAGGAGATGCTCGAAGTCAAGCGGAATGCTGGCCGCGCATTGCTGGAGCAGGATGGTATCTTTTCCGGACTGCGAAAAAGCGAGGAAACTGGATCAACAGAGCAGCACCTCATTGAAATGCTCACAGCTGGGTGAGTATATTCCCCCGTTGTTGATACGTCCTCAATACTAAAGTCTTGAATAGCGGATTCGACCGAGAGGACCAATGGGGCCACCGAGCCCCGGAACCCAACAAGGCTGTCATCTGCAGCTTGGCCCTTGCAAAGCTCCGTACTGATATTCGCGGCGACATGGCCAACAACAATGCGGTGGGCATGGCCCAGAAGCTGTTGCTCTTCTGGCGAAAGCCCGCCCGCCGATGCTGGTGGGAGGGTATTGATCTCGAGAAGGTCGAGGGTGTCAAGGGTCCAGTCAAGGTCTGGATCCGCCGAGTCTGGACACTGGAGATGGTAAGATTGGAAATCCTCACTTTGATCAGCCTAGTTCCCATCTTCTAACCCTCACCTCACAGAGCGTTATCGGTCTCCGGTGATCCATCGATATCTTTACTCTTCTTCCATGCCCCCATCTGTACCGATACCCAGATCCTGGCAATTAGCCATGAAAGTATTCTTGACTCTCTTTTAGCAATCGTGCACTTTATACATATGATAGGCCAGTCTGTTTCTTATGTGAACTTTTTTTTTATTTTTAATTTCCTTCTACAGTAGGGCTGGCGTATTGACTATTAGGTGTCTACGTTCTCTTTTCCTACTTTCTTTTCGTTCTCTATTCATATTCATTTGAGCTGTGTTCAGAGCATGCCCATGGACATATGGTACAGGTCAAGGAATCAATTTCAGTATTCTCATTTGAATGATATCTGATAGTTGCAGGCTCCTATGTGCGTCAATAGCCGGTCCAATTCCGAAGTCAAGCACCGTATCACATCAGTCAGCTCAGGGAATTCCTACGACTACAACCTACAGACATCTCTGTGATGTTTGATTAGTGACCAGGTCAAACGTAGTGCCAGTTTCATATTTACGTCATTAACATCGAACCGAACTTTCTAATCTTCTAATAGCTTTTTGCATGAAACCGTGCAACCGCCTGCACGACTACTTACCTACTACTACTTGCGTAGCCATAAACTCCTGTTTCTATTGACTTCCTAGAGTGGAAGACAAAGACGTGGACTGAGTGCTAGGCAGCTTCTATGCAGAACATAAATTTTTATTTTGTGCCACTCACAGATATCGAGTCCCAAAGTTAGGCACTCAACAGTCAGGGCCATTGTCCCTTCAATATAATATCTACCCTAAATCTAATTTAACACGTCCTCCTATATGTGCCGTATATCACGTGATTATGGACTGGTCCTTGCTCCGATGATCGCCGTTCGCCTGAGGCCTAAAACACGTGACCCCAGGAATGGACTCGGCTCGATTGGCTCAAACGCGACAGCGCAGAATCCAAGCTCAGCGAATTCACATACCCATCCTCAATCAACTGTCTGGTTAGAGCTTGGGGGCGGTGAACAATAGGGCTTTATCCTGTTCCCGTTTCTCACAATCACGATTCGTGATCACTTGTCCGTGCTTCCTCCATCCTTGGCCTTCCAATTACCCGTCGATCAACAGAGGCTTTCGCGACTTCAATCCCCGCAAAGGGGCATGTATTAGTCGAGCCAAATCGCCAACATGGACCCTCTTCGCGGTTACATTACTTCATACCCGCCGCGCGTGCGCCAGTACGGCAACGCGTTGCTCACTCCCGTCTATCCAGTGCAAACTGGCCCGACACCGCGAACCACGAAGCGCGGCACGACCGCAATCAATTATGCCGAAGATGGATACGATGACGAAGATTTCGAAGATAGCGATGGCTTCCGGCGACCTACAGGTCTCAGGAGTCTCCGGCGCGAGGAATCCTCTGGTGGTGGCGCCCTGTCGGCACCTCAAAAGCTGGGCAAGGAAGCGCATGCGCCAGTCGAAGTCCAAGGCATATTTCGTGAATGGATGATCAAGCGGATGCTGCGGCCAGCGTACGTCTTTCCCCCTACAGCCGAATTCCCGTCGTCCGAGTTGGTAATCCCTTTCCGTTACCTCCCTGCTAAAATATTACCCTCCAACAGCTGTGCAGATCAGCTGCAAATCCAGGCTCAGCTACCTCTTACACTTGTTCCTATCCGCATCGATGTCGAAGTCCCTTCACACACACCTCTCGAACCTTTTCCCGTACCGCGTGGCATGGATCCCAGCTTCACACTTCCTGCATATCAACGACCAGAAATGCTACCTCCGTTTCGCATCAAGGATACGTTCCTCTGGAACCTCCATGAGGCTCTTGCGACACCGGAGGAGTTTGCTGTTGGATTCGTGCGCGACCTCGACTTGCCCAACCCGCAAGCGACTACAATGACGATCAGCAACCAGATCCGTCAACAATTGGAGGAGTACGCAGGTGTGGCATTGCACCCACTTTTCTCAAGTACACAGTCATTCCATGACCCAAGCGTGCCTCCGCAAACCGAGGCTTCCCGAGATACCTCTATGACACCTGCTGCGACCACCAATATCGCGACGCCCGATAGCCGAATGAATGGCTCCTCGGTAACAGCGACAAAGGAGGCTTTGGTCAATGACAGTCTGCTCAATCCGGACGATGCTTACCGCTGTCTGATCAATTTGAACATCAATCTGCAAAATAAGCTGTACACCGACAAGTTTGAGTGGTCACTGTTGCACCCGCCAGGCATGGCCGAAGAGTTTGCGCAGATCACCTGTGCAGACCTGCATCTAGGTGGTGAATGGGTTAGTGCTATCGCACACGGTATCTACGAGACAGTCCTCAAGCTCAAGAAGGAAGTCTGCGAAAGCGGCGGCCTCATGAGCGGAATCAATGGGTACGGCAACGAAATCGACAATCAGGCGGCCAACGGCGTCGAGGCGGGCTGGCGATATGACCCCGAGACCCTTGGTGACGAGTGGGAGCCCAAGGTGGAGACATTGTCCAAGGACGAAATCGAGAGACGAGAGGGCGATCGTGAACGGCAGATTAGACGTCTGCGCCGTGAAACCGCTCGCTTCTCGTCAACCACCGGCATCACGCCAGAAGCCTCCCGACAAAGCACTAGTGGCCCTGGATACTTTGACGTCGACAGTGAGACCCCACTGGGTCGTGGTGAGCGCAACAAGCGCAAGCGCCGTTTCCGCAGCCTCAGTCCCCTGGGCCGAGGAACCCCAGGTGGTCGTGGTACACCGGAGACAGGCTCAGGTGCTGGATATGGTGGCGGTGGCGGTACTCTTTCGGAATGGGAACGTCAAAGCTGGCGGTGCACAAACTGCATGGTTTGGGGCACAGCCGTATGGGCTGTTCGGGATGGTCCTGATGGCCCACGGACACTGTGCCATAATTGTGGCTTCCTTTACGAACGAGACAAGATCGCACCGGAGTGGTCGAAAGACCTCCATCGTCACGATATCCCCATCGGGCGATTCGTTGCCTAGTTCATCTGTCAAAACATCGCTTTTTTACCCCTCAATACACCTCTTGACTGGCTTTGATATCCTGCACGCAACTGGCTTCATTTCGCAACAAATTCTCAACATTCATCCACCTTTGCCACACCCTCGATCATACCAAGTCAACAAAACTTGTGAAACCTTGAAATCTCAGGGCATTCAGTAGTTTTTCTTCTCGAACTTTTTCAAACAGGCCTTTGCTTCTTTCTTCAAAAAAAACAAGCCCTCCGCCGATATTTGTATGTTTATTCCATGGTCTTCGCATGCATACTCTGATCTATGCTGTCAGGGACCGGTGTGGTCTTTTTCTTCAAATTTGGTGTTTCTCTAGACCAATCGTGTTTTCGATGGTTAGGGGCTTTTGTTTTTCTTTCTCTCTCTCCCTGTTCTTTCTGGTGCTATTGAGATTTTTGGGTGGGCGTAGAGATGGTGCTCCTGAATCTTCAAGTTAATGTATGAATATGACCATGGATTGATCTCGTTAGTGTTTATTTCTCATAGTTTGGTATGTTTTCTAACGGCAGGTAGGAGAGGTGTTTCAATTTACGCGCAAGCCCCGTGTATCCGGGCGGCCGAGTTCTACAACTTGGAAATTCTATATAGTAGTTGCCTTTGGGTTATATTGGATCTTATTGAATCAGTGTCCCAAGAACTAGATTCTAGAGATATAAACTCGCACAGCCAAATCGACCAACCGAGTCAATACTTCTAGAGACTTCACAACATTGAGAACGGTTCGCAGGCGTCTGTCCAGATAGTGGGTCCTGATACTCCAGAGCGGGTAGTATATGCGATGATTCTCATAAAAGACCGACAGTAGATACCGACAGTAGATACCGAAAAAGCGCGCTTCCTCCCCGACAAAACCTTCAACGAGTAAGACCTCGCCTCCTTATTAGAAGTAGCCTTATTATTACTCCCCTTCACATTAATACCACACCTCAGCACAACAATAACATTCTGCTTGCGACCCATTTCTTCCGTCAGGCAGTCGGCCTGTTGCACAGCCTTGAGGATAATAAAGGCCAGTCTAGAGGCCTTTAACCTCTCTGTCCTATTTACTAGCGGATATCGCAGGCTTGGGTTCGGGAATTCGTGCTGGCCTCTAGTATAGTTATCAACGCTTTCAACTCGGCATGAGGTTGCGGTCCGAAGGTCATGGTGTTGTTGCTCACTATGTTGATGGTTGAGTCGATGGTTATGGCGACGGGGATCAGTTCGTCCGGGTACATTAGATCGGACATGTAGTCTAGCATCGTCGCTCGTGATAGGGGGTCGGTGCTGTATTGTGGAGGGGTTGGTGGTGTTGCGCCGTTGCGGATTGATTGGGTTTCTGGGAACTTGTGGTGTTGGTGACGGAGGGAGTCGGAAGGAGTTATGATGGACAGGCAGGCTTGGAATTTGGGAAGAGAGGGAATGAAGTATATGCAATTTGCAAAGAGGGTACTGTCAGAGAAATATGTACTGTACCTCAGCACGTGTATATATACTGCGAAATAAAAACGCCGGCTATGAGGATAAAAGCTAATTCCACAAAATGATGCACCACGGCCCCAAGCGCTATTGAGAACTGATCGAGGCAGACATTGTTCCGGGGCTGAATGAAATGACATGGGTCTCAATGGAGACTGGATTTAATTGTTCCTTCGGGTCTCAACAGGCGCACGCGACCTTGTGCACCAGAAGAAGGATGGATGTCTCACCACGAAGGGCACACCTCGCCCTCGCCACGAAAGCAGAAGGTGGGAGTCCGTCGTCGGTCGAGTAGCCAAGGTTCATGAACCACGCCCTCGTAGAGTGCATTGCTATCTCCCGGCCCTGCTGAGCCAGTACCAAAGGAGATGGGGCTTCCCTCAGCCAACACTGGCGTATCCTCTAGCCAGAGCAAGCGAGGTCAGGTTTATTGCTCAAGGTTGTAATGTTCTTGGGAACATCAAACCCCGGCCATGGGGAGGGAAGGTTCCTTACTGTTATTGCCGGGTGGCGCGGCTGGTCCTACGGGAGACTGTCCGGGGTAGTAACGCCCGCCTGGGTGGAGAGACTGTGTAGTCTGAATAAAGAGATAGGAGTTAGCAAGGACAGGGATCGAATCAGATTCACTTAACGATACCGGTGGTTCTGTCAGGCTTGACAGCCAATCCGTTAAGTGTTGTTACTAACTTCACGGAAATGTTCTCCCTCCACTTCAACCTCCCGATCTCGAACCCGACGCATCAACTCCATGAAACTGCTCTCCTTGAACTTCTTGCTCTGTTCGTGACGAAGGTTGTCGATGAGTTGTCCGGCGGTCTGAGCCAGAGCGTCGTTGTCGTGGATACGTTCCAGTGGATCTTCCTTCACCTGCCCTGGACCGATTCTGTCGGATCCAATGCGAATTTCGGGCTCGAGTACTTCATCGGGAAGGACGGTTCCGGGGTCAGCTTGGCTCATCTCCTCAAAAGATGTTTCGGTTTGGCTTGAGACCTCGGATTCAAGAAGGTGCTCTAGATTTGCCCGGGCCTGGTCGAATGCAGCTTCAAAGGCGGCGTCGTCAAACTGCTCACTTGGAGCTTGAGAGCTTTGCTGTGTGTTCTGCGGCATTTGCTGTTGCATGTTCATCGGGGTATTGAAGGCTCCGTAACTAGGTGCAAAAGTGGGCTGGAATCCGCGATTGGCCATTGGCTGAGCTTGCATGTGCTGCGCTGGCGTAGGCTGTTGCTGTTGCTGCTTCAAAAATTCCTGATGCCATCCTCCCGGGGCCTGCGCGACAGGCGGGGTATGTACTTGCGGGGCCGATGGCCCGGAGATATGTAGATTTTGGAAGTCCGATGCCCAGTTGGCAGTTGGATAGGGCGCATGGGGAAGCTGTGCCGGTCCTCTGAAATGAGCCGGGTGTTGCAAGTCTTGGAGCGGTGGGCCTCCATGGTTGGCTTCGAAGGCCGCGAACTCGGGGTCGAGGATCCCATCGTGAGGGTTTTGAGATCGGAAACCCTGCTGAGCGTTATAGTTAGTATACAGAGTCCATTGCGACAGAAAGATGTACTGTGCGTACTTGATTCGCAGAATGCCTGGTAGTCAACCGATCCTGCTGAAGAGTCCGGTCGGTCGACGCATGCTTCTGGAAGTTCTGAAGCGCGTTCGACGGGCCACAGAGCGCATCACCCATGATGATGTCTTGTCGGACAAGGCCGATATGCAGTAAAAATAGGCCGACGAAGATAAGGATATCTCACGGGAGTAGCGAGGTTGTGAATGTATGTCCGTAGGCAAAACGAGCCAGTGGGTATCTTCAAGCGCGAAAGCCGAAAGCGAGAGTGAACAAGAGGAGTTAGTGAGTCGCCGCCGTGGAGAACCCCACGGTTTACCGGATAGACCGAGGCACGTGCCGAGCTCAACGTGACCTGCTGAGTCATCAAGATAAGATAGCAAGCGGCCACTTGGAGCCAGCGGGAGGTTGTTTGGCGTTGGCCATCGCGCAGCTCCCTCATCTTTAATTTGCGATTCAAACTACCCCCCGGGACCCTGACAAAATGGTGTGTTCTGCCCAATGTTAACTGGCGATACTCTTGCTAATGCTCTATGACTAGGCAGCCGCTCAGGTTATTTCGAACTCGGGGCACGAAGACATGATTGTACGTTGAGTTGTCGATTCAATAGCCACACTCGGGCAGCACCCCCCGTCGCCGGCGAATGCGATTGAGCTGACAATTCAATTCCACATGCAGCACGATGCCGGACTGGACTACTACGGTCGCAGGCTAGCCACCTGCTCCTCCGATAAAACGATTAAGATCTTCGAGATTGAGGGAGAATCGCACCGCCTGGTCGAGACCCTGAAGGGGTAAGCTTGGTTTCCCGCAATGATGATATCAAGAGATGATTTGGTAGCTAACCCGGATTCCTTGGATATAGTCACGAAGGCGCGGTTTGGTGCGTCGCATGGGTTAGTTGGATAACACCATTGATTACTCTAGAACCTCCGCGCAAGTTGACTGACCGACAATCCCGTCCCTCGCAGGCTCACCCCAAATTCGGCACCATCCTGGCATCCTCCTCCTACGACGGCAAGGTCTTGATCTGGCGCGAACAGCCTCAGAATGCCACCTCCCCCGTCGGTGGCAGCACATGGACCAAGGTCTTTGACTTCTCTCTCCACACCGCTTCCGTCAACATGGTATCGTGGGCCCCTCACGAGAGTGGCTGTCTCCTTGCTTGCGCCTCCTCCGACGGCCATGTCAGTGTTCTCGAGTTCCGCGACAACAACTGGACACACCAGACCTTCCATGCGCACGGAATGGGCGTGAACTCGATCAGCTGGGCTCCCGCTGCTTTCACGGGAAGCTTGATCAGCTCCAATCCCGGACCTGGACAGCAGAGACGGTTTGTGACCGGTGGTAGTGACAACCTGGTCAAGATCTGGGACTACAAGTATGCTCATTGCCAGCTATTGCTCTTCTGCAGAGGTAGTTGTTTTGTTACTAACAAATGTGTCCCTTTAGCCCCGAGTCCAAGACTTACAACCTTACTCAAACCCTCGAAGGTCACTCTGACTGGGTCCGTGATGTGTCCTGGTCTCCTAGTATCCTCTCCAAGTCGTACATCGCCTCGGCCTCGCAAGACAAGACCGTCCGCATCTGGACTTCCGATGCATCTAACCCGGGCCAATGGACCAGCCAGACACTCGAATTCGACAGTGTGCTCTGGCGCGTGAGCTGGAGCTTGAGCGGTAACATTCTCGCTGTCAGCGGTGGCGATAATAAGGTGAGCTTATGGAAGGAGAATCTTAAGGGTCAGTGGGAAAAGGTGAAGGACATCGAGGAGTAGTCGTCGGGTTTCCATTCTCGTACTTTACGTTATTTCATGGCATGAACTTGTTCTTCTGGATATTTTTTTATACTTTTTTTCTTTTCCTCTCTCACTCCCCGCCATAAATGTGATCAAGAATCACACTCTTCCCCCTCCCCCCCCCCTCCTTCCCCTCCACCTTTCGCTCCCCTCCTCCCGCAGACATAACGCATGAGGCCTCCCGGAGCTTTGGCCGGCAAGAGATGAGATCACCCGACCATCAAATATCCCAGAGGATGAATGGTCCGCATTTCTTGGCGATCCCATCCAGAAGCTCTTGCCACCGGCCCAGCATCATTCGACGGCCGGGAAGAATCAAACCTTCCATTGCATACATGCAGTCATCCGGTGCCAGTATCACGCCGGGAGTGTCATCAGTGCCTGGACACTGAACTCTCACCGCCATGCAGATACGGCTCCATCCATCGATTCCTCCATAGGGTTGTTGAAATGGCTCAATCAAGCCTTCGACGATGTAGGTAAACTCTGAAATCCCGGGAATATACTGAGTCCAATTCGCGAAGCTGGTGAAATACTCTCGGTCTCTGTTGGGCATGCAGCCCAGAGGCATCCAACCCAAAGGCATCCAGCGGCCGTAGAGTTTGCGCCAGTGTTCAGCCTTTTCATCCTCCTTCCCAGGTCTGAAAGTCAGATCCTGAGATCTATTAGTATCTCTGTGGCTGCTGTGGATGGGTCTTGGAGAATTTCATCCTTACCATGTGAAGTCTGCCAAGCAATTCATGAGGGAGGATTCTCTGTTGGGCACAGGTTTGCACTTGTGCAGGTACATTGCCATCCGCAACCATGTGAGTTGGTCTTGTGGCATGCAAACACGCTAATTTCTGATTAGCTCCACGTTCAAATATCAATCAAAAGTGAGGGCAGAACTCACAAATATAACCAGTCCATTGGCTAGGAAAGAATGATCCGTCACTGTCCATCCGCATTCCGGGCTGCCACTTCCTACTGGCTTCCTCATAAGATTCGAAGAAACTTCTTTCGCCAGGGTGCAGAAAGTGACGCTGCCAGAAACTTCGGATGTGGAGGAACTTATGGAAGTCGGTACTGAGACTTGCCGGTGCAATGTACGGGGTTTCATCAGAGTCATCGTACACGACGGCCATGTTATAATGAATACGAGCACAAGGTTCGGTAACATCGGGGTTCAAGGCGAATGCAGTGAGACTCTAGAAAATGGTCAGTATAAAATCATTTTCAGATATATCTCTCACTTCCCTGGGATGTGAACTCACGAGTTGGACTGCAATGAAAAGGTATTTATTCGGCTTCGACGTCCATATCTTCAATGGGTTATTGAGAAAGTTGGATTGCGCCAGGACTGCACGCAGTCTGTTGAGGGTCTTTGGGCCGGTCGGCGAGATGGGAGCTGTCAATCCTTCGACGACCATGTCCCTGACAATGGCAATCCAGGCCATCTGCCTCTCATTCAACATGTATGGAAGGAAGCCCATGGCCTCCGCCGAGAGAGCGACGCCACGGACCCGGTACGTACGTCCAAGATCCTTCGCGCTGTGTCGCTTGGGGACGTCGTACTTTCGTTGGTAAAGATCTCTCCAGACCAGGGAGTCTTCATTCAGGATCGCATGACGCATCGCCCAGCAGGAATTGCTCAACTTGATGGCATCCTCTTCACGGGGCAAATAGGAGATGATCTCGAGGAGGATCTGTCGGGAATGGAGAGTCAGATTGACCTTCGAGGACCGTATAAGGATCACTTACCTCGTGGGGGATTCTGAGAAGCCTGCTCTCGGGAAGGTGTGTCATGTTCTGGACCTGTTCGACAGAGGTCTCATTGAGACTGCCCTCGAGAGGGGATGCCGTCTCGTGCAGATCGTCCGTCATCTTATCGAACTTGCGCTTCGACATCGTGAGATCAGATGTTGATGCTATGTTATGATGATTCGCTCAGAGAGGGTATGAGTGGGTAAAGATGGAAGTGGGTAAGGATGCCAGTGGATAAGATTGAGCGAGGGTGGGTGTGGAAGAGTGGGTGGGAGAGTGGGTGGAGGACTGAGGAACTGACTGGAGTGGGAGGACTCACTTAAGACTCGTCAAGTCCCCTGTGAAGGCAGCCACCCTCACTCTTCAATGTGAATGAGCATTTCAGTCTCGCTTGCATTTGTCAGAGGCGGTATTATTGTTTACCTGAATGAATTCACATGTGACCACCTACCATAGATCGACTACGCAAGAGGGCTCAGTGATTTATTTGGTAATATAAGGGGTTGGCTGCTGGAGGTGAGGCTTTTTGCTCTATACCCTTTGAAACGGTCTTCGAGTTTCCTGCTTTACAGGCGGAGAAGATTGGTGGGATTGGGAGCAGGGTATGACATTGATTATCTGTTACAATTTTTACTTTCTCGCAGAATATAAAGACATTCCGCTATGAGATTCCTACTGGATATCTGAACCTGAGGAGGAGAGGCTTGTCTTCTTCTGCTGACACACCAAGTCAGGTGCTACTCGTGCCCTAGTTGATGGCAAGCCATTCTCCTACAGTGAGCATCAGCGTCAACTTTAGGTTATACCCGAGGCATCGCAGTAGTTAACTTCTACGTAGTGGTAATCACGATTGCAATGACTTGTCGCGAATTGAGAACACATGAAGAGACAGTACCTTGTTTATAAGACTTAAGAAGAGCGTTTGTAGTGATGGCCATTTGTTCTAAATTCCCTTTTGGGACACAATCCCAGAAGATCTCAGTTTGTAAACGAGAAAAGAAAGATGGAATGAGATTAGATTCATGACACTATACTGTGAAGCTCAGCTTAAGAAATAACCGCACTACATTCTAGAACATGTCTGGTACGTACTAGCAGTAGGATTTTGCTACTGCCACGCTTTCAATACTCATTTCAAAGCGCGTCTTCGCCGCAGGCTCTCTTCCACTCCCCACCCATCAGCCAACAAACCCTTGACATCCTCGAGTCCCATTCCGCTCATTTCCGGGTATATCCTTTGAACGGCTATCCAGCCCAAAGCACACACACCGGAATAGATGACGAAAGTCCATGTCGGCGACAACCATTGCATCATAGGCAAGAATGTAAGACCGACGACAAAGTTTGATCCCCAGTTCGTCGCCGTAGCCAAAGCTGATCCCAAAGATCGGACGTTCAAAGGGAAGAGTTCTGCTTGTTGCCAAGGCACGTTTCCAAGCCCGAATGCGTATGCTGCAACGAAGACTGCCAGACAGAATAGGATCAACAAGGGCGAGCCACCGCGTGTGTCTGAGTTTTGATTTTGCGAACTCTCGGGGTCGAAAGAGATGTCCATTCCGGAAAACACGAGGGCACAGGCTCCCAGGGCGAGGATCATCACGGGAATCGAGTACAGAAGGATACGACGTCGGCCGATCTTATCGATGAGTCCGAATGCGACGAGGGTGAAGAGGAAGTTGGTGACGGCGACCGTAAGCGAGGTTAAGGTTGGCGAGGAGAAGGACAGCGCGGTGAAAATAATTCCTGAAAAATACATTAGGCTGTTGAATCCGCAGAGTTGTTGTAGTCCCTGCAGCATCATGGCGATGGTCAGGGCTCTTCTGTTTCCGCCGACGTAGAACAGATCATGAGCACGCTGGGATGAATCATGAAACCAGTGCATATTCGCGTCTGGAACATCACTTTGGCCCATCTCTTCTGCTTCCTCGTCGATTTCCTTTCTAATGCCTCGTAAGACTCGACGCACGCCTTCGTCCCGATCCGGACAACCATGGTAGATCCGAGTCAATACTTTCGCGGCTTGCTCATCAGACCCCGCCTGCACAAGCCACCGAGGCGTTTCAGGGAGAGAGATGAGAATAGCGAATTGTAGGAATGCAGGCGCAGCTCCAAGACCGACGATCCAGCGCCAGCCTCCGGACATTTCGGAGAACAGCCACCCAACAACATATGCAACGACTTGGCCGCCGGTGATGAGTAGGGACAGAATGGTAACAAGCTGTCCTCTTGCCTGTGCCGGAGCTACTTCAGATATGTACCTTTCAAGGTGAAGGTTCATTAGCTTATGTGCTTGCTTCCCACGTCGCTGGTACCACCGTGCGACTTTGAGCTTGTAGACTAGGGCCATACTTACAATGGCGTGACGGCACTCGCACTTCCAACTGCAAGGCCAATAATACTGCGTCCAAAGATCATGCCTCCGACTTGACTCGTAAAGGCCTGGGCAAGTGCCCCCAGTACGAATAACGCATCGGCGATAAGAATGACTCGCCGGCGGCCGTATTTGTCGGCCAGTACACCCGTAAACGGGCTCGCGATAAGAGCAAACAGACCCGTGCATGAAGTAATCAGACTCTCGTCCAGAGTCGTCAAAGGCCGATTCGAGAGATCAGAGCCAATCGTCACGAGTGTAGAAGAGATGACGCCAGTGCTTCACAGTAGGTGTACCTTATTAGTTTACTAGCGCCGCAGAAGCTCTTCAAAGAAACTATACTTACTCATAGCCAAAGAGAAGGCCACTGATCCCCGCAGAGAAGGTCAAGATCCAAATAAACCATCCTCCAGCGTATTGCAGCTCCGGCGCAAGACCGTCATTGCCGTTGGCCGGATCGGGAGATGTGTCGGTCTGGGTGAGTAGCGGGGCGTTGGGCCCAGCGTGATCTGGCTCATCGCGGGCAGCCATGATGCAGAGCTCCCCGAGTGTAGGAGAGCAAGAGGAGCTTCATGTGTCTGCGTCAGAGGGAGTGTAAGGAGATTGGGGATTCGGGGCGGACCCCCGGGCTTGGAGATCGATTGCCGCTACGTCGATTGCCGGGCGGGACCCACTCTCTGCCGTTGCCGTTCCAGGGTTGGCGGAGCCACCAAGTAGCTATTCACAGTGCAAAATGTAGTCAGATAGCTGGAAAATCTACGTCTAGAAGGGTCTATTCTGACAGTGGGACTTCCACTTGTCTAAATATTGATTTCAAGAATGATCGAAGGATCTCGCGGGAATCACGAGATATACCGAGTTGCACGTGACTTGGGTCTATAAACAGAAGTAGTAAGGTGTCCAAGGTACTACTCCAACCTTAAGATAACAATGCCCTACAGGATATTGAGCATATGCAATAGCAAGCAGCTGAGCTGGACTGCAGAAATTGACAGTATGATGGAGCCCAATCGGGATTGTCTTGGATTTTGGCAACGTGTTAAAGATTCACAAATGCACTATCTTCGAGTCACAAAGAACGTCATAGTCTCGAAGGATCGTTCGGAACAGATACATTCCACAAATAATTGCCAGCTCAAATTTTGTCCTGAAATAATTGTAAAGTAACATATTACTTGCGTCATCGAAAATAGCTGCATTGCTGGCACGAAGACAGTACTTGAGGCCGCCGTGTTCCACATGTACTCATGAGAAACAGACGCCCACTGCCTTGGAGGTCTTTTGATTAGAAATAGTACTCTCCATGGGCAGCTCCACATACCTGGTGACAAAGCTTTTAATATAGTCCCTCTTCGACTCCGATGATGAGCTGACAATCGCTTTGAGGATACGCGACATCAGTCAGGATGTATCCATCTACGATCTGATCATCATCTAGAAAGGATTGGTCGGACTGATCGACTTCCTCAGATCAATGCGATTGACGGTGTATCATCGCACGAAGGCCGAATTCTGATAATGACGACCAATATGCCGCAGAATTTGGACCGCGCTGATTCGGCCGGGTCGTGTGGATTTGCATGTTCGTTTTGAGCTGCCGTCTCGTGGGGAGCTACGGAGTCTCTTTTTGAGTATCTACTGTGATGTGGTTCGGAGTGCGGAAATCCCTGTCGAGCAGGAGAAAGAGAAGAAAGACATGGGAAAACTGGAGAACCTGGCGGATCAATTCGCGGAGAACCTGCCAGAAAGACGGTTCAGCATTGCGGATGTACAGGGTTTCCTGTGGTGCTACAAGTGGCAGCCGGAGGAGGCGTGTGTCAATGTTGAAGACTGGGTCAAGGAGATGGAAATAGAGGACTGATTTCTACGACCAGTCAATTTTCGCAAATTCCACATTCGTGTGATGAAGACCAAGAAGAACTTTTCATTTCCTCTAAATCGTAAATCAAAATCTAGTGCTTGGCCACGACACCAGCCGCATCAGCCTGAGCAGTAATCATCTTCTTATAGGCCTTGACGTCGCCGTCGAACTTGTGCACAGTACCCTTGTCACAGACCCAGAGGCTGGTGCAGACGTTCTGCAGCATAGTCACATCGTGAGAGACCATGACCACACCACCCTCGAAACGCTGCAGAGCTTCCGAAAGCGCATCCATACCCTCGATATCCAGGTGGTTAGAAGGCTCGTCAAGAACCAGGATGTGCGGGTTAGTAAGGGACAGGCAGGCGAATGCAACACGGGACTTTTGACCTCCGGAAAGGAGGCCCATCTTCTGAAGACCGGTCATACCGGTGATACCGAAGCTATAGAACGAGTAATCAGCATGCATGTTAATGGTAGCGGGACAATGGTTTGACTTACGCGCCCAGGTGTCTACGGTACTCCTCGTCGGACTTTCCGGGGTAGGTCTTGGCCATGAAGGTGACGGCACTGGCGTTCATATCCAAAGCATCCACGTGGTGTTGGGCGAAGAATCCAATGCGCAGTCGTGAGTGGGTGGAGATCAATCCCTTTGTTGGTGATAATTGGTTGGTGAGAAGCTTCAGCACCGTAGTCTTACCGGCACCGTTAGGTCCGACAATACCGATACGAGAGTCCAGTTGGACATCAAGGTCGACATCCTTGAGGAGGGGCTTATCCTTAGTGTATCCGAAGCAAACCTCGGACATTTGCACAATAGGCGGAGACAGCTTCTCGACCTCGGGGAACTGAAAGTGCACTGTGTACTCGCTCTCTGGAGCCTCAAGAACCGGCATACGCTCCAGCTTCTTGATTCTGGATTGGGCTTCCGAGGACTTGGCGGCATTATAACGGAATTTGTCAATGAAGGCTAGAAGATGAAAATGTTAGTCATGAGCAGACAAGTATGAAGAGCACCAAACGAACCCTGAAGATGCGCCCTCTCGGCCATCTGCTTCTCGTACTCGCGCTTGGCCATCTTCCTCCGCTCCTCCTTGGTGGCGTAGAAGGATTCGAAGTTAGCACCCTTGTAGTAATCCAATCGCTCGGAGTGCTGGTGGACAATATCGGTGGCAACTTCGTTCAGGAATGCACGATCGTGAGAAACAACCAGAACAGTACTGGGGTAACCCTGAAGATAGTTGGCAAGGAAAGTAATAGACGGAACATCCAACATGTTAGAAGGCTCGTCAAGAAGCAGAAGATCAGGTTCGCAGAACAGGGCTCGGGCCAGGGCCAGACGCATTCGCCAACCTCCGGAGAACGTCTTGGTGGCATATTGTTGGCGCTCGGGAGAGAAACCAAGACCAGCCAAGATACTGGCGGCCCGAGACTCTGCCTTGTCGGATTCCATTTCTGAAAGCTTAGCGTGGATATCGGAGAGGGTGATATCCAGACCCTCTCGGTCGTTGTCCAACCTGGCAGCATCCTTCGATGTATCTGCCAGCTGCGAACGTTCTTCTTCAATAGCGTTCAGCTGTTTCGTGATCTTATCTTGTTCTGCAAGAAGATGCTTGCGCCATACATCGGCATCCAGGACGGCTTGAATTGCTGAGGTATCATCACCCGTAATCTGACATAGGGTTAGTATTCAACCGTTGTCTGGACCGGGAAAACATACTTCTTGCTCGACGTGAAGAATCGAGACGTGTGTAGGAACGGCGACTTCTCGGCGACTCAAAGCACGCAGCAGAGTAGATTTACCGATACCGTTCTGACCAACAAGACCATAGCGGCGACCGTACGCAAGAGTAAACGAAGCATCCGTAAGAATACGGAGACCACCAATCGAGATATCGATGTTGTCCAACTTGATATCCTTACTCTTGTGCTGGGAGTCGGATCCGAGCTGCAGAGGGTTGACGGCCATGAAGAACTCCTCATAACTCATAGTCTCGTCGGGCTGGTTGAGCAAGCGAGAAGACTCGTATTCCACGTTCTTCATCTGCTTCTTCTCTTGCTTGGCACGAATCTTGCGCTCGGCCTTCTCCAGCTTCTTCTTGTCGACCTTGGACTCGACCTTGCGGGCATTGGCAGACTCTAGGTCCACATTACCACCCGTCAAACCCAGAGTCGAAGACATGTTCCGCTGGGAAGCAACATTGATAGTGTGGTCGAGCTTCTTAGCCGCAAAGGGCATCTGCTGTCTCTCCGGGTCGACACCATTCGACGAGCTTAGGGTTGTAATGAACTTTTCCACGAGGTTGGCGATTGCGTCACGGTTCTGCGAAGAGAAATCTCCTGAGGCCGAGATGAGCAGTTCGGTCACGGTCTCGGCGGCTTCGGCTAGCGGCGACGGAGCGTTCGCATCTTCGACATATTGGTTGGAGGCATGGGTCAGGTATCCCTGGGAGTTGGTGAGCGTTTGCGAAAGGGCTCCTGGTGCACATTTGCGACTGAGCATACCACCGAGTATTCCGAGATGACACGGTCCAGACCAGGGATCTGGGCCTGGATTTGGGCCTCCATGTCGCTCACTTGAGTCTCGAGCAGGTTTCTGCAGTCAAAAAGCCAAGAACCCGAGTAGGGTCAGCGCAGCGTCCACTCGATGAGCTTTCTGGGGTAATTCGACCACACGACTGGCCCCGCTGACTGTTTTTCGAGGTGTGTTATCGATAAGGTCATGTGACTCTGACGACCCTTTTTGCCTAATTGGGTAGCCTTCTAGTTCTCTTCCATACCTCAAATCGTCTCATCCCACACCGCTGAGACATGGTTTGCCCAATATTGTTCAAAATTCCGAGGTATAATATCTGGCAATAATCTGTCCTACGGCCACCAGCTTGAAACAGCACCATGTACACCCGCTGTCTGGAATTCACAACCTCCAAAACCCTCTTCTCCAGGTTGCCAGGCTCACCAAGCTGCCCGCCGGTGTGATATTCCCAGGTGTATTGGAAATCACAATGGCGTTTGCTGTGAGCGGGCCTGCATGAAACAAGCATAACACTACCCGACCGTTACACAAGAGAACAAGCCACCGTCGCAAGCTTGTCCTAATGGCCGAGACCAGGGCATATCATCTGGGAGTTATGTAGTGGGGGATGTGAACGTAGTGTCCATGACGTGCGATTTCCGGCGGCAATTATAAAATCCTTGACGCTCAAGGTGCAGGGATTCCAGCCCCATTGAACAATTTGACTGCTTCGTGACGACAGTGCAGCCTTCCAGATTGAGACCGCCTGTGATCGTCCTTCAAGACATTTTAGTTGCAGCTGCTGAATACGGGGCGGCGACCTCTCTTCTGCGGCTCTCCATCTATCTGCAATGACGATCACGAGCGCGAACAAAGCTCTGTACATGTATGTATATTCTGGAATATCGAGGAGGCTGGAAATGCTTTTGTGCTTTATTTTCCTTTTTCCAATTCAGGTTTGTGCTCGTCCTGCATGGCCTGGAGAGATGGTGTTGCAATTCGCCAGATTATGACCAGGGCACCTGCACGAAGTGAAAATGTACCATGAGTCGATGCTATTCTTCGTTCGTGGAAGCATGTCGAGTAGCACGACAGCTACTTCAACTATCTCGACCGTTTCTGCCTCATCGCAAGATCTTTCCATATGAAAATGAACTTGATAACCCCAATCAAGACAATCATCTAGCAACATCTCGTGAAAAGAAATCTCTTCACTTACTCTCGGTAATAAAGTTCATACCGCTCACCGGCAATTAGGGTCTTTGCAAAAGCGCCCGATGGTACAGGGGCAGATCTCTGTTCGGGCTGCATCCCAAGCCTCGGGCGAAACCGATACAACGGATATCGACAGTTCGTCGGCGCCGATCCCATTGGCTAATTTAAAACCATCGACAAGAATAGATCCTGAAATCGATGCTAGTTAGTTCCGACCACACGAACAAGCTTGAACGGGTCGCTTCGCTAAATCGCTTGCGAAATTAACATCGTCGCGGAAAAAGGCGAAATGTGAGCACCTCCAGTGTGGATCAGCCATGGTCAGTGTTCCAAGGACATCCCTGTCAATCAGCTGTATAATAGAAATTGACTATTGACCTTCCCAAGCCGACGATTGGCCATGTCGATCGTTGCGAGGCGAAAGTTGCCAGGGTTCACGCTTGTCGGCTTGGCTCCGGTCGGTGATGATCGTCGACGTGTGAGGTAGGAGGAGATGGAAATGAGCCAGCTTGGGGTTTTTTTTTTTCTTTTGCCTTTCTTTGTCCCAGGCATCGTTTTCGACGGTACACTAATGATTGAGGTTGAGCTAAATCTCCATCTGACGGAGGTAAGCGATACCGATTCGGCAGCAAGAACCGATTGTTGTTCGCGTCTGACCCACGGGCGTTTCCTTTTCATTTACAAGAGTGGGGGGGTTATGACGATAGCGATCGGTGTCCTATCGAACCTATGCCAGGTTTGATTTTCCCGTTTTCTCAGCCTGGTTCCCAGTGGTTTTTTTTATCCCGTGCCTTTTCCTGCTCAAGTGGTTCTCGGCCACCCGGGGACCCGCTTCGAGCGGAGATGAGCGCAAAATGTCGAACGTTCGCCGCGATCAGCAGGGAGAAGAATGGAATGTGTGGATGTCGATGGACCTTCGAGAAGGATAGTAAAGGGTTACAGCTTGAGGCAGCATGAGGCAGCAACAGCGACATGCGTAGAAGATGTACAACGGCTGGCGATGGTGGGTTCCCCCGCTTTGCTGTCTCGTGCGGTGTGTTTGGACTCCAGGCTCGATGTCGGCTTGTACGGTTGGGGATTGGGCACAGCGTGTTTCAGATGGGGGCATATCTCGCAGGACTCAAGCAGGTCAGCGCAACTGCAGCGAGGCACAGGCTAAAGAAGCAAGCCCTTTGCCTCGGGAACGGTTCGTTGTCCAGTCGGTGGACTCAGATCGGCCGCACTGGGTCCCTGCGATCGCGCGACTAAACCGTCCAGGCAAGGCTAGGGGGCCCAAAGACGCGATCCCAGCCAGCCGAGACGAGATGTGTGGGGAACGCTGGATCGCATGGCTGAAGTCGCTGGTCACGAAATTTCCCTGACCCTCTTGGGAGGGCCCCTCAGCCACGTCTTGCTCGGCGGACTTGTCCGTCTGGTTGGTTCTCGCCTGGACGTCTGGACACGAGCAGCCTGCAATGTGAGCCGCAAGGGATGCCGGTGGGGGCCTGCCAATGTCATGACTTGCTGACTTGCAACCTGGATGTCGGACGTCGGGGGATTTGGTCCACTTGAAGGATGGCAGCGGAGAGAAGAAGGATGCATACATAAGTAAAGGCGGACAGGCCTGACCTACCATCAGATCATCTGTAGATTAGAGACGAGACGTACTGCCAACACATCAGGGGAAATTGCTCCCAAGTTTCCCAGGGAACGTGCCAAACAAGGAGATCTGTCACTTTCTGCAGGGAAGCATTAATAGTCGCGCAGCTCCTAGCGTGCCCAATTGCCCTGGGCCGACCAGCTGAGTTTAGCGGGTTAATCCCCGTCTTGTTGTGTTGACCCCATCTTCCGTCATCAGCCCTCCGGGAGCTCAATTCTTCCCAACCCACTCTCATTCTGGTGCCTCTCGTTTGATCTTCAACCCCCCAAGAGAGAAAGGGTCTTAGGACGGATTCTGTGATCTGCAGGCTTGAGAGAGGCCCCATTCACTGCACCTGCCTCTCGGCGCGGCTGCTGCCTCCGTTGCTTGTTTACCTCCGTGACCAGCCCCTCTCGAATCTTCCCCCCATTCCTTCTCTCTCCATGTCCTTCGCAAAGACGCACCCTGCCGAGCTACGCTGGAGGGTGCTCGTCACTCTTTGCAGCGATCTCTGAGCATGGAGCACGTTTCAACGGTGAGTTTGCCTCCTTTTTTCAATGGCTCGGCGATGCGCTGGGGAGCCCCGGACTGACGACAAACGCGTGCCCACAGCTGTGTGCACTGAGCACATTTGCGATCGCTCCGACCGGCCTTGCCCTGGGTCGCGCGGAAAAGTCCAAGAAAGCGCCCAAGAGTGATCTCCTGCGAAGAAGGCTATCGCAACCTCCGCAGCGGTCATCATCCACCGCGACCCCAGCCGACGTCCGGCCTAAAACATCTCGATCGACCCGCCCTCCTCTCTCTTCGGTAGACTACTGGACCATCAGCGAAAAAGAGCCGGTCCAGCCTACCCAGCACCCCCTACATCCTGTCGAACTGCCCCAAACTGGGAAGGATAAGCGAAACAGTTTGCAAGATCCGCAATGGCAGGAGCCCGACCTGCGCCGCGCATCCATGTCCTTTGGAGCGGCCCGCCGTCGTCGTCGCGGCCAAACCCTGACCGGTCCGCCATTGCGAATTCCTGAACATGGCCCGACTGAGGCGTCTGCCGCCGAATCGCATGCGCGACGACCTTCGACCAGTTGGCTGCACCGACTATCAATCACGTCCTTCCAGTCGGACAGCCCATCGGCCGGGACCATGAGTCCCGTCACGTCCTCGATCAATGGATCGGATAGTCCGATGCTGCCGCGGACGCCAGTTCAACGCAGGGTGCCCAACAAGCTGGTGAAGCGCCCATCATCAAAGCGATCCGATGTCACTTCTCTCTTTGTTGATACAAGTGCATCACCGGCAATGGCATTACGTCGGCCGGCAACCAGCTATCAAAAGTCGGAGTCGATGGGGCTGCAGACCCCTTTCACTCCAGATTTCGAGGCTCAGTTCTCAGCGCACTCGTCCCAGCTGGATTCGCCGGCAATGAGCGAATTCGATCTCAGTTCGTATGATACCTTGAGCCCGTACTTTGCCCGAAAGGCATTGGGTCTTGCGCAGAAGCTGACCCGACGGATGTCCATTTCTGGGACTCCCAGGGCGGAAAACGTGCGGTGTCTGGTCTCGAATCCGACTGCTTGTCCTGCATTGGTGTCGGCAACTGCCATCGTGAACAACACCAATGCGAGTCAGGACAAGCCGTCCACGCCGGTCGAGTTTCGTAACCCATTCGCCGCACCAGTCAAGACTGGCCCTGCCACGGCGGCGCCAGTGCCTCAAACGGCACCGCCGCCTAGGACGGCACCACCATGCGCACCTGAAAAGCCCGCGCATAAGCAATCCTATTCGGTCAGCGACATAGAGCGCAAGAAGATCGTAGTGCCTACGGTAACCGGATTGGGGGCCCCTGTTCTTGGGCCCCGTGGTGGCTCTCTGAAGCGGGTTAAAGGACGTACCTTCTCTATCCCTCGCGCAGAACTACCCATGATGGCTACACTGGAAAACATGGCACCGATCTCACCATTGGCCCCGCAGAGGCGCAACATTACTGATCCGACTGTTTTCCGCCGGCCGCCACCCCCGTCAACATCTGGTTTGGCAGTCGGCAGACAGTCGGCAGGTATGCCCCGATCTGTGTCTCACGACTACAACCTCGGGCTGCGTGAGCGCCCTCCTTTGACCCCCGATGCGGTAGCCGTCGCTGCATGGCAGGATCCCAGCCGACGAGGTAGTCATGCACACTCGCTACGACGTCGACCTAAGCGGCACTCGATTGCTGCTTCTGACCCAGCTTCGACCATTATTGGCTCTGACGACACGCGCGTTTTTACCTCGGGCGATGAATACGAAACGGATATGATGACCGACTATTGGGACTCTATTCGGACTCGCGAGACAGAAGTGAACACCTTGCATGGACTGCGGATCGAAACAATGTTCGACAAGGCCGGCACGCAGCTGTCAAACGAGGAAGTCGCAACCCTGGAAGATCTACTCCCGCGGGGTTCCTTTGCTTCTCGGGTCGACCACGACCCGCCCCTCTTCCCTTCACTTTCCCCCACTACCTCGCGGGCTCACGTTAATGACAACCCATCCTTCTCTGATGGGGATGATGACGAGACGCACAGTATGATCGGGGCATTACCAGGCGAGCTCAACGGTCCTTCGCCCTCGGCCCCTCTGACATCTCCCTCCTCGGGCCCTTTGGGCCAGGACAACCCTGCTTCTCCCTCCGCTCTGTTCTTTGCCGACTCGCATATTGAACGTAATGAACATTCGCAAAGTGCTCAAAAGATGAACATCTTTGATTGGTCAGAGCAGGCACGGCCTGACCGTGATCAATCCGACACCGACGCTCGACCCAGTACGGTGCATGGCAAACAAAACATGATCGATCGAGGAAGTCGTGCGGCCTGTAGAAAAGTGCCATCGACCGTTCACCTTCGCAGCCAAAGTGTCCCGGTGGCCAGAGACCTCCCGGCAAATGAATCTCGTCAGCCTTCTGGCAAGTTCGGCACATGGAATCTGGGCGGTAAGGGCCCGAGTGAAGAATGGGATAACGATTTCGAGTTCGATGATGGCGAGGAAGACGATGCTCCCAGCCAAAAGACCAAGAGCACTGAATCGGAAGTCGCCCCGCAACAAAGCATGACCGTGCCGCAGGCCATTCTCGAGCGACAAGCCAGCCTGCGCGGTCAGTACGGCCAGGTGCAGGAACTGACTTTGCTGGTGGAGGAGTTGAAGCGTCTCAGACACCAGGGCAGTGTCCTGGGCCTCGCCGACGGACCGTCGGCCGAACTTTGGAAGGAAGCTGAGGGGATCATCAACCTTGCTACGATTGATGATGAGGAAGATCGCCGCTCGCCTCCTGGATCCCCTTCGTCTCTCACTTTCAGCTTCGATGACTCCGATGAAGAAGGACTGAACGCTCCCCCGGCGAAGCGTGATAGCGACTCGTTCAAGCCACCTCTCAAGCAACTCTCGAAGAATCCGCCCAAGTCGCAATCCGTACTCGATATCTTGCAGCCTCCCTCCGGTCACAATCGGTCGTCTACCTTGCCTGATCTCCGTCCGTCGTCCCGTGCTCAGAAACTTCCGTTTGATACTTCTTCGCTTCGCAATCTCGTTGTCCGCGCCGGTGTCGTTACCCGCGCCTTGAAGGAAGTCATTCGCAAAGCCGAGGGCGTTGACTCGAACCCGCAAACCATGTTCCCTTCGGATCCCCCTTCCGACGCATCTTCGACCAACCGTCTCACGATGATCTTGCAAGCTTCGAAGCTGCACTGGCCGAGATGCATTGAGCACATCACAAGGAGTTTCTTTACTGCCATTTCCATATTCCCTTCAAAAACAACCTCTCAAATCCGACACGACACGCCTCCCGGCAGGATCACCATCACGAGAATTTCCTTCCCCTTATTCTCACTGAAGCCTTTTCAGAGTCAGCATCCTCCTTATCTCATACTCTAATAGAGATGATGATGACCCGATTCTTTTCCCATTCTGTGACGCCAAAAGTCGTTCCAACTTTCTTCTGTCTGTACAACTTCCCCCTCTGTACATTGCCCAATACCTTTTTTTTTTCTTTTTCCAACGTGCAAGCGCTGCACTGTACCCTACGGCCTCGCCATTTTCTTTTTGTGTTGTGTTCTTTCAAGGGCACCAGCGTCATCCTCTTTCTCTTCGAATTTCTTGTTCAAAATTTGCGCGTGAATATCTTAATTGCGCTCTAATAATCAAGAGAGGATGACCTTGTGATGTGGTTGAAGCTGAATGAAGATCAGACAGATGAAACGCAATGAAATTTCTATGTCATGACAATAGTTTGAGATATTGTTTTCCTTCGGAGGTCTATATAATTACCATTAAATACGGCCGGCATCATCGTGTTTTTAGAAGCATCAACTCAGCCCGTCCTGTATTTGTATCAGAAATGGTAGGCGTGAAAAAAATACCCTCATTCAATCCGCTCATCCAATGTATGCGCCTGCATCGTCATCATATAACCCGTCGCGAACGTGCTCTTAGCTCGAATTCGAGGGACGTAGAGGTAGAAGATGATCGGAAGGGGGATCAGGAGAGCAGCAATACAGCCGAGGGTACTGGCCCAATTCACGTCCATTGAAACGAACTATCACACGAATCATTGGCTCGGAATTTATTTTTCAGGCGAATTCTGGGTTGGTTCTTACCATGTAAGTTGCGAGAAGAGGAGAGGCTGCGCCGGCCAAGGAGCGGAGGCTGCTATTTGCTACTAGAGCAGATGCAGCACTTTGAACAATTATTATAGACTCCCATCGTGTGAAGGTTCGAACTGGTAAGAGGTGAAGTGGTCACAAAAGAAGATAAGCATCAACAGTATAATATAATTCAACGCCTGCAAAAAGATATACCACAGGCCAAACCCAGTCAATAACCCCGAAAGCGTAGGCACAATCCAATGAACTTGCCCCGTATACCCAGCCCACCCAAACCAAAACAGACCCCCAGAGAATACAAAACTCCCAAAATAGCAGGCAGTAACCTCCATTCAGGATTCGGGATCTCGGACTTCGCGTCCAGTTTCCAATTATACCATGGCTGCATGAGGATGATGAGGGTCCCAGGAACTCGCCGACCACGGTGCCCAGACACGGGAGTCCAGAAACGCCCTTTTCGAAGCCGTGGATTTGCTGGAAGACGATTTGGTAGGCTATTAGGAAGGGGTATAATAATCCGTATAGGAAAGCCATGTAGACGCTTAGCGATAGCACGATTAGTTCTGTGAAGAGGATTCTAACCGGCCGACTGAAGTTCTTCAAGGATAGCTCGCTGAAATGACTCCTCTTTTGTATGTATACCCCAATTCTTCGTTCGGCAACGGAGTTCCGCTGCTTTGTCGATGAGTACGACGTGGGGGGGGGGGGGATATGTCTCGTGCAGAAACAACATATTCAACACCAGGGCTGACGACCCCATTATTCCAGAGGTATTTTGTCCAGTGCCAGCCGAGAAAACTCTGCACGATGAAGCCGCCGATTGTGGAGGCGATGAGCGGGCCGGTGAAGACCACCATTGTGAAGAGGGTTATTGCGAGCCCGGGGGTGCGGTTTTCGAAGATATCGCTAAAGACAGCGGCCACGACGGCGATTGGGCAGGCGCCGAAAAATCGGCAGCCCATTAAGGTTTGAAGGTCCTTTGAGGTTGCGACGGCGAATTGGAAGATTGTGAAGCCTGTCATTGCGGTTAGGATGGGCAGGCGGCTGCCGCGGAGTTCGGAGAAGGGGCCCAGAGGATTGGGCCTGTCTGTTCACGAAACTTGAATGTAAGTTATTTTTTGATTCTATACTAACCTTAGTGTAGTGTATTTGTAGTGGTATACTCACAGCAAACCCAAGAATATAAAGCGACAAACTCCTAACGTGCCCACCTCAGTGGAAACATGAAAACTTCGGCGAAACAACCGACACCGCAGTCGAGTATATACTACTCGTAACGTCACATTGAAAGTAGTGTATGCCAACATTACGACCGTCGCAACTTTCTTCGCCGCAGTCCATTCCACCACATATTCCCCCTTCGCCAGCCGGATGGGGGAGAGGTTTCCGGGTACGCGATTCCAGACAGCCGCTGACGGTTGCGTGTTGTTGGCTGCGTTGGATTGCGATGCGGCTGAGTGCTGTTGGGTGTTGGTCTAGATTGGAGCGGGCTGTATCACATGTTGTGTTGTCGAGGTCGAAGCGGGCGGTTTGGACTTGGGATATATCTGTCTGCGGTCTTGGGCGGAGGCGAAGGCGGAGCAAGGGGTGGAGGTTGAGGAGATGGGGGTTCAGAAGGTGTGGAAATTTGTGTAGATGCTGCGGTTTCTTGCGTGGTTGGGGTCTGGAGCGGTACCGTGGGGTTTGGGTTGGGCTTTTTCGAGGTCTTGGTAGGGCTGCATCATGGCTTGGTGTTGTTGGCTGCTATTTTGTTTAAACATTACTGGTCATTGTGTACTAGAGCTGGGTGATTCAAGGTTCAGGTGTAGACAGTCTCGTTTTGATTAGTCTATATTTGCCTCTTCGTAGGAGAACTCTCATACTGGAGGCGAGAGAAACACCAGAATGATCTCAGGAGGCTGGTTCTATCGGATGGCTTCCCACGCCTCTCTTTTCCGTGTTTTGGTCCAATTGACATTGCTCGCTGCTTGGGAGGCTTTGACGTCACGCTGGCTGTTGGCGTATTGTAGTCAGAAAATTATTTAAATATTAGTTGAGCACTATTTCAATATAATGGCATTGTAGACTGGAAGTATTTGATGCGGTTAGGTAGGGGTACACTAGCGTAGTCTAGACGTGATATATATCCTCCGTAGCCGCTGGGCACCTACACAGGCACCCCCTGGACAAGCATATATAAAGATGCACTATTCTGTTTCAAACTGACTCGCACCATCTCTACCGTAAATGCATATTTGATAAGTCAATTGAGCGTGCAGATTTGATGTCAGAGATAGAGAGTAGGCTAGTGTATTCCAAACTGGCGACGCATGCGGCAACAATACCTCGGCGCGGCCTATCGATTCTGCCCTGGAGATTTGCTCAACCCCTACCTTGGGGTAGAGTTGCCATGGCACGAGGACATTAAGCTCTTCGATCCTAGCCGTGAAGAACGAAAATAATATACTACGCACAGACAAGGAAGAATTCGATCGTGGTCAAGGTACCCGTCGCAACTGGCGCGGTTGAGCGTATACACGTCAACTCCGTACAAGCTACCGCGCCCCCGCCAAGATCAACAATGAATTGTCCCGTTTGAACAATAGCCAGCTGGATGATCCGGTATGTTCCTCCGAGCTGCAGTGGCCCCATGACAGTTCCCGATCGCCAGGCCATCCTATCAGACCGTCAGAAAAATAATTCCAAGGGAGGTCCTGGGGAATTGAGGCCAGGTCCAAACTCTACGATGGAGAAATATGTGATCGCCTCGCGCACAACCTGGCGTACAACCTTCACCAAGAAATCATCCAAGGCTGGTCGGGACTGAACAGTGCCGAAATTGCGCTGCAATACACAGTACCTATATTTGCATGGGTGTACTGTAGATAATGAATACCCTGAATCGACGTTGTGGGCTTAACCCCCACTGTGCCCTGCCAAGCACCGTCAAAAAAGCTACCCGGGGCAGAGGGCGGGTTGGAATGTGGCGTGAAATGAGGGAGCACCGGGTGTCTCAAGTTGAGGGAGAGGATCGCCGTTGGGACCGGTGGTGTGTCCGTATTTTATACTGTACAGTGATGTATCGAAGAAGGACACAGCCCCATCAAAAGTGCCCTTACATTTCAGCAGCTGTTCATGCTCATCTCCGGTTCAGGGGCATCGCGCTCGTGATTGGGCGGTGGCGGGCGGGTTCCTGACGCTAAGGTTTGCCCCATCCGGTCTCACACGTCCTTGCGTACGACTGCATCTTGGGAGTGAGAGTTGCAGTGCTGGGTTGCTGGGAGAGCAGAGAAATAGCATAGGGCGAAACACATGTTTGAGCGCTATCAGATCAAAACAAACACTGACAGAGAGCCATCGAAGCAGGGGTTCGTTCGTTCTAAATCGGGAGTTTGGAGCTCAGGGGATGCGGAGACATTACACAATACCCTAAAGGTATCGTACGGTGTACGGCCCATACACACACGGCCAGAACGCCCCCTTCTCCTCTTTTCTCGTCAATCTCGTCTCATCTCGACTCTTCACTCTTCGTTTGCAGCGACTCCGACCCTCATTCACTCTCTTTTGGCTGCTGGCCGCCATTCCAGGACGCCTCGTCCGTTCACTCCTTAACCCACGCTCTCTACACTGCACGCAGCTTGCGTCTGCCCCGATCACCGTCAATTCGAATTGCCCAGGCCGAGTCTTTAAATGTCGCCCGTATAATCCCCCCGGCTCTCGCCCAACTTCGTTTGTCGACTGGTTCGCCTGCCAGAAGTGTCCCTCTACATCTCTACGAGTCGTCCCTCCGGACGCCCACTAAAAATATGCCTCACGCCCATCATATCGATTCGGCGATGAGGCACGCTCACGTTCGACGGGAGGTCGTCCCGGCGGCTAGACTGCCTCTGCTCGTCCCGTCTTCTTCGGTCCAACCGACTCAGTTCCCGTCTCTGATGGCCAGAGATTCAGAAAGTACCAGCAGCTCCTGCTCGAGTGGGGGCCATTGTGAAAAGCCCACTAGCAACTTGACCACGACGGTCTTGCCAGTCGTGCTCGGTGCAGGGTATGTGACGAATTATCTAGTGGAGCAGATCTGGCAGTAATGCAGAGCTAATGATCCCATCAGTGTCCCTGTGCTCTGTGCCATCGTTGTACTGATCTTCCTCCACCGCCGCCATGTCAAGAAACTCATGCGTGAGGACGCCAACGACAAGCACAAGTCTCTGGATTTCGGAATGGATATGGACCCCGTCGGTGGAAGGAGGAAAAAACACGGCCCACCCGGTCCGGATGGCATGCCCCAGATGATGGAACCGAGTCATACCAAAGGAGGCATGTCCATTGACATGATGCACCCGTATCTGCTGCCTCCCGGTCTCCACGGTTCCCACGACTCGTTGCATTCAATGTCTCGCTCAATTGACGATGACAAGTATCGACCGTCCGCCGTCGGTGCTTTCAGCGCATACGACAATGCTTCCATGCGCTCCCATCCCCGTCCTCCCCGTGATGATGCCTCGAGCTTCGCGGGTTCCACTACTCGCTTCGGTGGGCTCGAGGAGCCCAAATCGGGCTTGCTGCAGAACGCCCAGCGCATGTCCCGCTCATCACCTCCGCTGTATAAGAGTCCGTCCCCTGAGTCGGTTGGACAGGCTCGCAACCAGTCTCCGCAAGATCATATCGGCCCTGTTCCTGGCTTGACCCGGTCTCCTGAGCATGAAGAACGTGGACTACCCGGGGCGATCGGTAGTACTACGACCGATAGACATGACCATAGCACGGATCGGGCTGCCCCATATCCGGAATCCAACACGACCAGCCTGCACTTTGACACCGATCCTCACCACTATGGTCACGACAGCCACGACAGTGCCCCTGAAGATCGTCCCAACTTTCCCCTGCCAGACCCTCCGTCTCAACGGGACTCTGAACATGCTCAAACCTCCATGCAACTTCCCCGAATCTCTCTGCCGGCAAGTGACATTACGGCGAGTGATTATGGCGAAGACCGTCACGAGCGGAGGTCATCCCTGATGATCCCGGCCGTGAACGTCCACGGAGCAGATGAGCTGCACAAGCACGAGGAGACAAAGGAAAATAAACTACCGGAACTGCCCGAAGAGCCTCCGCAGAACCTGGATGCCGCCTACGACAGCCGCCGGGACACCCGCCGGTTGACTCTCGGCGTCCGTCCTCTGCCCCCAGAAGACCCCGCCGACAACCCCGAGCAGCGCGCCAACCGTATCCGCTCCTTCTACAAGGAGTACTTCGACGATAGTAAGCGGGAAACCACCTACTACGAAGACTACGGCCCGGAGTTCTACGACGGCGGCGGCGGCGGCTACGCCTACGATCCGACCACAGGTGACTACTACGATGCCGCACCACCACCTCCCATGCCCTTCGCCGAGCCCATGGGCCGTCGAGCCATGACTCCTCCCCCACGAGCACCCCTCGATTCCAAGGGGCGGCTCGCCACATGGCTACCAACTCGGCCGGCTACAATGGCTTCGCGCCGCCCCCGCGCGCCTTTTCTTCCGCTTCTGGAGCCTTCGGCGGCGGCCCACGAGCCTTCTCCTCTGCTTCAGGCCGCATGCCTGGCCCCCGCGGTCCTCGCCGACCAATGCCACCACCTGCACCACTCCAGATCCTCCCAACCCCGCACATGCTCAAGGACGACTCCATTATGATGGCCGCCGAATTCGCACCAGGCAAGAACTTCCGCGACCAGGCGTCTGGACGTCCGGAGACGCCCACCGGCGGCATGAGGCCGTTTAGCCCCGGTATGCGCGCGCACACGCCGCTGGCCTCGGCCTTTGACGAGCTGGCCGCCATCCCCAGCCCGCATGCCCTCCGCAAGTCCGGCACCTTCACCAGTCTGGACTTTGCGCCGCCGCCGCGATTCAAGAATGAGGGCCCGGCCAGCGACGCGGGTAGTATCCGTAGTAACCGGACGGGCATCTCGAATGTGCATATGAACAATGTTCGCATGGGCAATTATCGGGTGAGCCGGTTGCCGCCGGATATGGTTGGGACCAAGGATGATCTGATGGCTTCGCTGAAGCCTGATTGGGATATGAAGCGGTAATCCACCGCGGTAGTCGTGGATTACATGTTTTTGATATCTACCGCAGCTCTTTCGTTACGACCATTGCTTCTGTCTGCCGCCTTGTTTGGGAGCGGATGAACCTGTGATGACCTGCATTTGTTTCTTGGTACCTGTCCTTGGTGCTCGGGACGCGTCGACCTTCCCTTCTCCCATCGTCCTTGTACTCGTTCATTTTTTGGATATGCTCCGGCGTAAATAAGATGGTTGGATTTTCTTTCTCGTGTGCTCTTTGTTTTGTTTCTTTGTCCTCGACTGGAGGACTGTATATATGCAATGGATTCACCCGGCCACCTTGCCGGGCTTGCTGCAAGCTAATGCCCCTCTCTGCCTTAGGGTCATACGTAAGGAAATAGCGTAGCCGCCCACTTTGCTCAGCAGTGTTGCTCAGAATCTGACGAGGAAACCCTGTCGTCACCACTTGTTCTCGTTCTCCGTTCCGACTTGAGTAAATCTAGATCTACACTAATTGGCCCATTGCTTGGGAAGGGCATCTAGACTGTCCTCTTCAACGTGGGTACTCTCCCACTGGTGCAAAACGCAGGCGACTCCACCGGCGAGACCGCGTCCGTTGGCGGTGGGTCCCCCCTTTTCTCTTGCCAGTGACTTGGGCACCCCCAGAATCTGCGATCAGAGGGAGCATCGTGATCATTCAGTGTGAAGTGAAAGCAAAAATGAAAGTAGAGAAAAACCGCTGAATTGACGTTGACAGAATGGGATTGTTCATCCATGGATGGTTCGGTCGGAGTGAACCGCGGCGCCGCAACGGGAGACTGCCCGGATTGTCAGGCGTCCGTGAACAATCGATGCAACCCTGGGTTTTGTTGTGGCGATGTCTCGATCAATTCTTTGTTTGGGGGTATTGAGAAGAGGATTGAAGTGATGATAATCTTAAGTGTGTAGAGGGATTGGATACTAGTCTATCCATATCATTGTTATTGTTAATGTAGTTTTATTCTCTGTTCGATGATGCCATGACTGAAACTAGCGCTGCAAAACCGGCCCATCATCGCCTCTCGGGGCCCGTCCGGTCGGCTTCAGCAAGGGCTTCCCCAAACAGCATGGCCGCATGGCCGCATCTAGGGGTATAAACATGCAAGCGGCGAGTGGTGATAACAATCGTAGCAACAGGTAGGCGACGTCGTAGTACAGTACCTGTGTGTACAGCAAATAACGATGCATGCAATCTATTAATACCGGAATGCGGATACTCAACGCCGCGATCGTATCGACTCCACCGGCCCCGTTTCCCTCTTCCCACACAACTTGGAACCTGCCATCTCCCATGGCTCCCGACTAGATTCGGCGACAAGTCTGAGTCTGCGCCTCTTTTCGCTTCTTTCGATTCTTCCTCGTTTTTTTTTGGGTGATATGTCGTTGACCTGATTTCGTTTTTCTTCTCGACCCCCCTGAACTTCCCCCAAGTCGTTCACCATCTCAACCCCCCCGTATCACCCTCCTTAACGCGTCCAACTCGACCCTGTCACTCGTTCTTTGCTCTCGCCGCTCTAATAATTCACACGCCTGCGACCGTGCTGGATCGTGCTTTCGATCCTCCCCACCCCGGCCTCTTTCCATCCCGTCCTGACCGGGTGGCCTTGGCCTGGTTGAGGATTCTGTCCTCAGCTTCCCTGATCTCTCACTGATCGGCTTGCCAACCACCCTCGACCATCATGTCGTCCAGCAACAACAAGAGGGCCGGTAGTTCCGCGAACCCAGCGAACCCCGCCGAATCCGCTGCGACCACTGCTTCGGAGGCTGCTTCTTCCTCGGTCGCAGAGACAACGACGTCGGAGAGCGCGAAAACCACTGCCACCACCACGTCTTCCTCGTCAAGTGAACCGGCCACCACCACGACAACCAACCATACGACCACCAGCAGCAGCGAGTCGGCCACGCCGTCTGCGACCACGGCCCCGACTACGACAACCACCTCTTCGTCGAGCTCGTCTTCGGCCCCCACGACCACAACCACTTCTTCCTCCACCACTTCCGACAATGTGATCACCACCACCTCCAGCTCCAGCGGCAAGTCGACCGTGGTCGTGATCACGCAAACCCAAACGGAATCGCAAGCGACCGCAACCAACACCTCCCCTAGCCCAACATCGACCTCAACCGACGTCGCCTCGCTCTCTTCTGGCTCCGCAGCAGGCTCCAGCTCAGGACTGTCGGACAGCGGCAAAATCGCCGTCGCGGTTGTCGTCCCCGTCGTCTCCGTCGCCCTGATCATCCTCGCCGCAATCTTCTTCTGGCGCAAGCGCAAAGCAAACAAAGCCGCCGAAGAAGAACGCCGCAAGGAAGTCGAAGAATACGGCTTCAACCCGAACAACGACCCCACCCTGCCCGGCGTGGGCATGGCCGTCGGCAGCGTCGCCCCCAAGGACGATACCTCCTCCGGATACAGAGGCTGGGGCACGACATCCGCCGGCCGCAAGGCCTCGACAAATCTCTCTAGCGGCATGGGCGGCCTGGCCATGTCCGAAGGAAGCGGCGGAGCCTATCACCACCCGAGCCCCAGCGAAGGTACCGCCAACTATTCCGACGGCGCTCGGCCCGACTCCGGCGAAGTGGAGCCAATCGGGGTTCTGGGTGCCGCACCCGTCGCGGCGAATAATCGGACTGGTGATATCCATCGCGGGCCTTCGAATGCTTCCTCCGCCTACTCGGCTGCGAACCGCTCCGAGGCCTCGGAGGAAAGTCACATGTCTGCCGCGCATCCTTCTGGTGGATACTATGGTGATAATCCCTATTATGGGGAGATGACGGGCCATGGTGCCTACGGGGGTGATGACTACCAGCCTGTCATTAGGGATGTGCAGGCTAGGAGGAATACCCGGATTGAGAATCCTGGTGTTTACCCCCGACAAGGCAATGCGGGTATTGCGCAGAACTTCTAGGTTTTTTTTTCGAGTGATTGGATTTTGAGTAAGCTTTCTTTTTTTTCTTTTACTTTTCCCGTTGAGATTGGATCTTGATCTTTGGAATCTCCGCATCTATGAATCATTTGGCGATACAAAAGTTCGGCTTTCCGTTCTTGCACACATACATACATACTCTCCTTGACATTTGCAGCAATTGCAGGTACATATCGTACATCGAGAGTACATCAATTGCATTGCATTTCCCTTGTTTATTCTGATGGTTACCGCCGATTCCACTCCTTGGCTCCTGTCTATGTCAATTGGCCCAGCCTCTCGACCCGGCATGATGGACATTCGTTCATGTATCTGTACACATGTCTCCTACCGTTTCCTTTCAGCCTTGTCTTGCCCTTTTACTTCTGCTTTATGCTTTCTGCCCTCTATCTTAGGGCTGGTTTGTTCTCTCCATCCATAATTATGGATGTGTTCTAGTAATTGGCTCGGATTTGTTTTTGATATATCCCCGCATCAATCTGAGTTTTTGTTTTGTTTTGAATGGGCGTGTCCCGTATCCAGCTTCACTGTTATCTCATCAGATCTCATTTCATCTAGTCACCAATCTGGAAGACGGTGCTGTGTGTTCCTGGGATCGTTTATGGGAGCATGTCTTGTACAGATTTTGGATGTCTGGATTTTTTTGTTTATAGTTTTGTAGTGTGGGTAACTTATATCATGATGGTTTCTTTACTTAATTAGGTACTGGTATTGGTCGTATAGATTGATCATTGGGAGGGGAGCTGTGTAGTTGGTGTTGATAGGCCAAGAGGAAGATTGTAGGTTGATAGCTTGACTAGTTCCCGGTGAGCTTGTATAATAGCGGTGTTATTATCCAATATGGTTTGTGTATTACTTTTGATACCATTTGCAGAAAGAAATTAAAAACCCAAAATCTAAACTATGTAGCACTAATACCAAAAAATACCAACACGCATCACTGCACCCACACCTCAATAGAAAGCGAAAACCAGCCCCCCAAAAACATAAAAAAAGAGAACTCACTAGTAACCGAACTCCAATTCCTCAACCGCATTGTCATAAACCCGTTCATAAGGATCTGCTGCAAGCGATTCACCTCGAGCCCCTGCACAATCTCCGACATCTGCGCGCGGCTCGTGGTTCTATCACTCCAAACCCGCCACCCGACCAAATCCACCTAGATCCTGTACACACCAACGCAGAGAGTGGGGTACATGGCCCAGCCGGTATTGTCCCAGTTATCGTTGAGAGCTCGTCGGCGAGGCGTCGGGCTGCGGTCTCAGTTAGAATATGCTGTTGGGACGATGGCTGTGCCGGTTGTTAGGATGTGGTGTCGTTTGGGCGTAGTCGGTTGTTACCCAGCGTCCAGCGCGGAGGCGAGCGAGGCCTTGGCCTATGTAGTTGTATAGGTGCATGTGCCAGTCGAGGACACATTTGGAGAAGATGTGCGAGGAGATTGAGGCTTCAAGTCGAGTTTGGATCGTGAGGTTCAAGTTGGATCTGGACTTCCAGTTCCCGCTCCGAAACCGAGCCATCACCATCCGTCCCATTCATTGGTACAAAGCAGATTTTTTTAGACAACATATCCACCCATAGAGGTTACCTTTTAAAAATTCTCCAGCAAAATACACAAGAGTGTGTCAATACGTAGCTGAAAACCTGACAAGTTAGCTCAAATGAAATTTTTAACGGATTTACACCATGGGAATCCGCCTGTGTTGGTATTGTGATCATTTTTCGCAGCTGCCGTCTCTCCAGTGCATCAGCGCCAAAATTTATAATCACGCTATAGGCTCTTTGGGGATCCAACCTAATATCACAAGTTTTCTACATGAACTACTGCACGAAATTTACTATGAAATCTGATCGAGGCGCCCTTGGCGGGTAAAAGCGGGGCCCGCCTGTTTCAATCCAGTGGATGCGGGCTGGCTTAGGTGGGTCCTAGCTCGGGAATGGACGGTTCTGGTGAACTGACACTTGAACGGGTATCCCCAGCTGACATGGGTTTGGTTCCCGCAGAAATGAATGCGGAAATGAGGTTTACAAGCACAAAGTACCGCATTCATTGACGTTCAAATTTTCTTACCTGTCTTGTTCTTGGTAATGTGGCATAACCTTCTTGTTGATATAGCCAAAAAATTAAGAACGGAGATGCATGCACAATTTAAAAAGATCATTCGTCTGGGTGGAAGACTGGTAACGAGCAGATTCGCCCATCCCTAATGGCGTCCAAAACAGGGTTAGCTTCAATCTTGATGTTGCTTGCATTGACCAGATGTGTCAAGGAAAAAGTCACTGAGATCATTACTGCCTAGTTGCCTGGCAGAATCGTGTGCATAACAGAGCCAGAACGAGCGGTCAAACCCATGGGTATAAGATGGGTATAAGACCCCTCACCTAGAGACCGATACACTTGAGTTCTTCAAGAGTCAATCTTGTTTTTACGAGAATACACGTATCCTACCTAATTCCCTCTTGCCTACCACCTAGTCACTTGGCGCCAACCAACCTGGCTGTTTTCTCTACAACATGTGCATTACAATCCACAAGAATCAGTTTTGTTCTGAATCTGACTATAATATTTCCCCTTCAATCACATCTGCTTCTTCTTACCTAGTTGACGGAGTTTGATCCAGTATACCTCCTTTCCAATATACCTGACAAAGGATGAAAGTAGAAAACTGAAAAATACCTACAGATTCCGCATAAATGATGCAGACTACGGGGTTTTCTATATTTGTGTTGTTTGTAGGAACGCAAGACCGGACTAGACCGCAGTAGTGCGGTCCTAATAGCTAGGACTAAGCTCTATATAGTCTGGTCCGGTCTTTTGCGGCCCTTGCCGAGGTCTAAGTAGACTGCACCGACCCCTATTGGATTGACTACTTAGCGTTCCGTAACAATACGCTACGCGTGGTAGGCAAGCGAGGCATGTATTATGATGATGATGTGATGCGTGTCTAAAGAAGGTCTATAGACTAGAGAAAAGCAACTCCTAGGCGGAGAAAGGCACTAGCCCCAAAAGGGTCTTTACACCAAGTCTAGTCGATTGAAAGAGAGAACGACCCTAAGAGAGAGATGGATTGAGGAAGAATCCTAGCACAAGATAGCTATCTGTACGGCAGGGACGATGACAAAGAACAGCCAGCGAACAAGAGGAAACTGCGCTGCGGTACAATCCAATCAGTTAGTCGACCAATCTCCGTTCAATCCGACAGTGGCAACTAACTCTCTGCTCAAAAGGAGTCCCTCCACCACTTGTCATCGCTCCAATCCGTCTATCTGATTGGCCTGCCGAGCTGCTTTGTAAAATTGTAACTCTCATGTGGGCACATCCCGCTGGTCCAGAATCGACAAATTCGTGAAACGCAACCAACGCTCGTTATCGACACTGTAAGGCATAGCGCCAATGGAAGTGCCATGACTCTCCAATGCATGGGCGATGGAACCCTTCTGCCTCCCGTCACGCCCGTAGACCACCAGGCTACAACTGTCGCCATTTCGCACCGGGCCCTCTCGACTTTTATCCCGGAACTCAAAGAGTGTCGCCTGGCTCTTGGGACCGGCTGCCAGCAGAGTGATCTCTTTGCCTTTGAGAGTGACTGTGAAAGCTCGAAGCCACAGGCCTCTTTTACGATTGTAGATGTGGTACCGTTTCTTGAATTCGATCTGCCAGGATCCATTAGTGTTGTGTTTGTGACGATTTGGGGGAAAGCTTACTGTGGGGGCCTGGTTCAGCAGCGTCTCAACCTCGATATCAAAGACATTTTCCAAGCTGTTCGTCTCCATGGAAAGGCACGGGTATCCGTTGTTGTAGATATCCAGGATGGTGTCCGGGATCGATACGTTTTGTATAAGCGTTGAGAATCCGTCTGCGGGAGGGTTTAGTATTTCACTCATCCAGGCAAGCGGGAAACGGGTGATACCAAAGGTAGTTTCTTTCTCCCCGCTCAATGCTTCTTCCACCTCGCCCTCTTTCAAAAATGTTAATCTCCTATCCACTGTCATTGTTGGCATAAGAGGAAGCTTACTGATTTTCCAAGCATGATGCAGTGACAGATACTCAGGCTTCTTGCTATCCGCTCTCTGGTATTCTTGGAGGCTGATGCGGAAGCTAACAACCTCTTTTTTCCTTGTTACCTCCGCTATACGCTTAAACTTTTCTGGGATATCCTCATAGCCGGGGATTTGGCCAATGAAGTCGCCGAGCGGGGTGACATCTTCTTGCTGTAATCGGGTATCAGAATTGGGACAAAGATTGTCATGAGGAATATGCAGGTAATACCTTGATTACTCTCCAGTTCTGAGACGGGGCAACGGTCGGGCACCATGCAGGGGGGCTTCAAGAGAATGTAAGTTTATTAGGTCAAAAGATGGCGCAAAATAACAACTTACTTGTTGCAAAGTAACGTGTCTCCGCCTTGGGCCTGCCATGAAATAGAGCTTTGCATGGCTCGATTTGAGCTGGAATTCTGTGCATTTGTCTGTTTCTCCTGGCCGTAGCTGACATTTCCAGACACATAGCTGGAAGAGAAGGATGCAGCAGCTGCAATTTTCATGGCCGTGGCGGCCTCATCCTGGGTCTTTGAACCAAGGGCGGAGAACTTTTCAGATGAAAAGAGCCTGCCTCCGAGCTCAATCCGGGTCGCAAAGAAGTGGCCTGTTGTTGATCAGCTTTGCTCGTAATGCATGCCTATCCATTCAAGCCTTACCGTATTTATGATGGAAAGCGATTAGAGAAGACGCGTCCTTCACACCCGCTAGGTCGCTTGCACATTCTTGCGACAGATCGACGCCAAATTGATCCAAATATAGAACGACGCGGGGAAACTAGCCGAAAGGCGTCAATGAGTCGTTTGATAGTGAAAGAACCGAGCTGGGAAACTCACATTGTAAGTGATGTTCATGGTACTGGTGTCAACAGTGTTTTGCGTGCTCAGAGCATTGTTCTCACTCTGAGAGAAGCCAGCACTGACGGCAGCACTAAAGCCGAATGCCCCACCTTCCCTGCTATGCAATTAGAGAATGTCTGGAATAGACTAAGAGCGACGTACACGGAGGCTTCGGCCTCTATTGAGGAGAATGAACTGCGCGCCATGGCTGATGCTGTGGAGGATTTGGTTTCGAACGCGTCCACATAGGAATCGTCTCCGACAGTAAATCGGGGGATGTGGAACAGTTGCTGAGGTCATGTTAGCACTGCGGTGTAATTATTCAAGGGTTGCCGAGACTAACTTCGACCTTGACATCTGCGTCGAGTATTTCATGCGACGCGAATTTCCTGGGTTTTAGAACGAAGGCTAGGAAGGAGTCAGATAAGCACCTCCCGCAAGATGCAGACCAGGTCACTTACCACTATAGGGAGCACGCTCAATTCTGCGAAACTTGACCTTCTTCGATCCATCGGTTAGTCGCCCCAGATTCGAAAAAACCAGCCGATGAGCACTCAAAAGGTTATTGTTGCGGATGACAGCGTTCCATTCCTTCTCGGACATGTCGGCCGGGTTCCTGGTGTTGTAGCTTATCAATGACGGTCCTTATAATCGTGGAAACATACCACTTACACAGATGTCTCATTGCCTTCGGCCACCCAGTCTCCGCGATTGAAGGAGCTCGCTAGTTGTTCCAGCGACGTCTGAAGTAGCTCGGGCTTGTCCTGCATGGATTGTCAATTCTGATTGTTTGCACAACGTTACAAAGTCGAGATAATACACTCAGTTTCAAGTTCAGCTCCTGCTTGATGAGCTCTTTTGCCTCTGCCTTCCGATCGGTGCGTTTTTTGTCTTTTGCCTTTATGTAGACATTATGGACCGTAACTTTGGTGGAATTCTCAGGTTTCTCCTCATCCTTCTCAACATTCTCGGAGAGAATCTCCAAGTAGTCTGCAAACGATGTAGAATCATTGACCTGGGCGCCAGTCGCACTACAGAATGCAGATCCCGCTCTAGATAGCCATCAGCTCTTGATTGTCACATTGTCACCTCCCACGTCCACGTACCTGCTAGCGTCGAGACCACCATTGTCGATCAGTGCTTTTCGTATGTCTGAGAGCGTCTTGTTGATGCTGAATTCTTTAAGGGGGACGCAGTTGGTCTTCTTGGCCTTCTCCTCCTTGCCATCAAAGACGTTGACATCAACCCGAACCGTCATAGTTAGGCTGTGGATGAGTGAACCTCTAAAGGCAAAGTGAAGAGGAATGTGTCGATTCTTTTGAATTGCGTGTCCGGCTAATCTAGCTGCCTTTATATAGGCGTGCCTGCGCGGCAGCTAACATTTCAATGCCCCTCAGCTCAGCTCAGCTCAGCACAGCTCCACTTCATCGGGAATTGCCATCTGGTGGCACCGCGAAATTTGCCGACTGATCGTAGATCCCACCTCTATGGACCTAAGAACTTGTGGGGTGACGGGTCTATGCTTGGACTCGGCCCAATTGCCACTTACATGCGAGAACCGTACTAAGTGCTTCTAAAAGTAAATTAATGAGGAATCAATCCGTGGCCACACCGCTATTCCTTTTCTCAGAGGCATCAACTATGAGATCAGGCGCCACAAGATCTAGAAGTGGATTCCTTGGGTGGGCCTTTTCCCTTACGTTTTTATTTCTGCATTAGCCACGGTAATCATCGCTGGTCTTCGCGGTGGGTACATCGCCCTTCTACACCGCTAAATTGAGCTGCAAGATGTCGATTTCGCATGGATTTCATTCTCTTCAGAGTGGATCCCAATCACCCTATGACTGTTGAGGATCGACACCTACTAATGACGATACTCCGGAGATATAGTTCTGTTAGAATCCACAGGGTAGATGAGATCATGAAGGAGTACAATAGCTTGTAACGTAGTTCCCAAGCGAGCCGGCCACCTGACCCACTACTGCATATTCGAACATAAATAAAATCACCAAAACACTATTTGTTGGTATCACCAGCTAGGTACTGTGTACACAGTTAAGTGGACAGTGTGTATGCTCCAAAGCAAAAGTCAATTGTGTTGATAGATGTAGATAGATGTTCAGTCTAGTTGGAAAAACACCCCTAGATCCCACACGCCGGCCTTCGGCGGTCACAACACCGAGGCCACAGCCCAGCGCAAGAATGCGTACACCAAGCAAGGGATGTTATCCATCGGTCGCTAGCAGTGGGTCACAGCCAGTTTGTTCTAACAGGAGAATATATCCCGACACTATTAATTCAAAAGACTATCGAGTAGGACACCGGGTAATTGAATGGCCAATATTATTGCAGCCGCTACATCTCCGGGGTGCACGTTCAGCTAGTGAGGGGTGGCAAAATAAGCGATTCAACCGGTGCGGGCGGAGGCTGTTCAACAGGCTGCACTGGCTGCACTGGCTGCACTGGTGGCAGTAGGCCCTCTCCGACTGTAATATCCTGTTCGCATCAAACTAGTCGATTTGTATGTGCTCGCTTTTGTTGCTCCTTTTCATTCGCAGCCTGTAAATCAGCAATTTCATGTGCCAATAGCACAACATTATGCATTGAGATAGAGGCGCTCTTAATGATCTGATCTAGGGCGATCTTGGATGGTGTAGGAAGGCTTCTTGATCATATTTTGAGTAATGTTTTGAGTGAATAAGCCTGATTTTATAGTCAAATGACTGTTTTTGGTATTTTTGGGCTGAATTGACTTGATCGGTTGGAAGGTCGGCTGGGTGGGGTGTAGGTGTTCGGAGAGAAATATTGAGTTTTGAAAATACCCGTTCAGGATCTAGTGGAGCTAGACCTGCTTCTGTATAACTAGACTAGATAATATTTGATTTAAATGTCTCTTGACGTGCTTGAGGATATTCTGCTAGGAAATCTAGCTTATCAATATGACTGAATCCTTGCCGTACTTGATTGGTAATTAAGCGACCATAGGCAAGTTAAGAACAGCAAAACATCCAATATCCAGAGGTTAAAGAAGATAGGATGAATGTGCTGGTATGAAGAGTGGGATGATTGAGTTTTCAGCGCAAATTCGGTCGAACTGAGGCGTGAGATAACTACCATGGCCATCAAGAATCAGAAGGCGATATTTTTCTTTCATCCGATTTAATGTGAATAGGATGAATATATTTTCAAACCATCTGTTGCTAATTTCATCTGAAGTCCAGCCTTTTGGAGACTTCGATTCGCCAGTCTTTGGGAAGCCTATCAAGCCAACCTATGTTTTGGTTTTAGGCTTTGAAGATTATACATGGTGGAAGAGCAATACCAGCCGCATTAATTGACTCAATAACAGTCACCCATTCACGATTTCCAAGCCATGATATTCAGCTCGAGTAACCACCTTTTGTGCTAATATAAGGTCCATCGCAAAACCAGTCTCATCAAAGATATATATATCCTTTATTAGATGTCGCTCTCACTGATAATATTTTGAGCCACTCACGTAAGACATTTGGGTCCTCATTTTGAGCACGATGACAGTCATAGCGCTTTCAAAAACGTGTTTGGAGCTCTTCTCGGCGTTTGACAAATCTGATACCCAGTTCTTTCCAACAACCATTGGGGTAGTTGACGTAGGGGGTGTTTCCACGATCGGCTAATAGAATATTGGCCATATCTCTCACAGTTGAGGGCCTAGGCGCTGAATCTCGAGAGACCATAGAGAGTATCCATTAAATAAGTGAATCTTCTTCGAACTTAGTCAATTTATGACTATTAGCGCGTGAAGCAGGCCGAAATTGGTGATTTTTAATACGGTCCTGTAGCGTAGTGCGAGGTATTTGGTAACACGCTGCGATCGCGCGTAAAGAGTCGGTAAAGCCATTCTGAATATCTTTGATAGCTAAAAGGATTCGACCTTCCTGTTCGATCGAGTTTTCGCCTGATTGAACGTGTTTTGGTGGCATGATGGGTGGTCGAAGATGGTGGGTACGGGTTCCGACGCGTTGTCGGCCAAAGTGGCCGGCTCGCTTGGGAACTACGTTAGTTACCTCGTCGGTAAGAAAGCCTTGTTGTTTCTGAATATAAAGTGGTGCTCAAAAAATAGTATCTGGAGCAGATTTGAGCGTTTTTGAACCAACATCCCGCACTCGTACCTTTCACAGTGATTGCTTTAGAGTAGACCAATGATCGGAGAGGAAAGCAGAAATGGGCAGCACGTGGTTGTTTCAAATGAATGGCCGTCCGCCTAAATAACGAATTGAAAAAAAGGTACAAAGAGCTATCTGCTCCTGGTGGTGGTGCCATTTCTTTCTTGGTTCATTTTTTGTTTCACGTTGGAGCATTTGAGGATAAGAAAACCAAGTCTGTTAGTTTTACCTTGACGAATACTTTTAGGAAAGGGTATGCGAGATCGTATTTGGCGGTAATGGCGGGTTCGCATCGGCACAGATAGGACTTCATTGGCGGTCGCGTGGCCGAGGGGCGCCTGCCAGATACGGCAGGTGCGGTTATGTGATCTGACACCTTACCTACTAGCAGTTCGTAGGAGATGCTAGTAGTTGCTTCATCTCGCCGTCTCCGTTCCTACTCTCTAGCTCATTAACCAGTCCTGTGCACCCCGGTCTGTTTCCCTGGCCCGCCCATCTTCGCTTTATGGCTTGCCAAGAAAGTCATACACTTGCCCTCACAGGGCTTGGAAGCTCAGCTCCGCCTGGGGCGGCTTGCATTTCCGAGTAGGGAAGTGTTGGCGTGTGGGAGATCATGCGATTTTACGCTCTGTCTTTCCCCACAGAGCATGAAGACCTCACGTGCATATTACCGCAAATTCGCTCGCCAAGGTACGTAGACGAACGGACAGTGAGCACAAATGAGATGGCGGCGTTCTTGGCTGTTGGTGCCTTGACGGGTCGGGCCTGGGCCAGAGTTGTCGCGTGTTTTCTGAGCTTCCAACCTCTGATTCTCTCCATCTTACGGTATAATATCCCAACGCGTTTTTTAATAACATTTAAATGCCATAGGTAGAAAATATCTTATTCTCACACTGGACAAGGAACGGAAGACTCATGGGTTGAAAGGGCTCGGTTTCCAAGACGTACTTCGGGTTTACCTGCTACGAGGGAGTGAATCCTAGTGGTTTGCCACAGCATTCAATGTGTCGTCGAGCCTGGCTTACTGAAGGGTTGGGGTCGGAAGTGGCCTGTGGGTGGACTTTATCCCTCTGGATTAGCATTTCACTCTACTGCTGGTATTCTTCCTTTGTCCGGTTATCTTTATTTCGATGCATTGGAAAGGCTTGAAGAGAACTCCGCATTATTGCACATACTGTTTATGCTCCGTATGTGCTGGTATTCTTGGGATACATAGCAAATCAAGTGTGCAGTTGTTTGATGGCATTTCTCGATTTGTGCGCCAATAAATATCTTGATTGATAATACCAAAAGCACCCAAAATATGAGACCTTTCCAAAAGTGGCGCAAAGCCAATGAAAAGACGGAAACAAACAGAATACGATAAGCTTCGAGACGAACAGGAATCAACGTCCAAAGGGCTTCCCAGTGACTCGCAATCTCTTAGAAACGTGGGACAACACAATTGACCATATTCTCCCCACACCTAACATTAGACCCGACCAAGCCAGCAAGTGGCGGTGTTTAATTGACTCGCCCGCAGTTTATTGCATTTTGATCAAGCATTGATATCTACGTACTGCAGTGCTCGATGAAGCACCCCTCACTTTGCACATAACTCTCATTACACTCCCCAATGTCTTTTTTTTTTTTTTTTTTAAAGCACAGTACCGTAAGTCTAGGTGAAGCCATTTGGCATCCAATAATACCTTCACATAAGTATATTGTTGATGATAGCTTGTTCCTTGGTCAAACGAAACGTGATTTAATTCACGATTCAATTCCCTCGTAAGCGACCTATGGCTGGTCATTTACATCAAGTAGGCGCGAGAACCAATGGCCATTGGCTGGCTTGAAGACACGAAGACCAGTGCTGCTTAACCGGCTCCTGCCCTTTCTTCACCACCCTCACTTTTCATCACCGTATCTTTCCCGATATCTGCTCTCTAGATCATAAGATATAGATCGGATTGACTATCCGAGAAAAGGCCCACCACATATAAGCCAAGGCAACTATAGACATGGGTAAAGAAGCGGCTAACGCACACAGAAAACGGCGGATTAGGAGGCAAGCGTGTGTTAGTCGGAGAGAGCCAAATAGCTAAACAGAGGAGCATTCACCTTTCTAACGCCTATTTATTCGATAATTAAGTTATTTTGTGCTTGGGAGCAGATATGGCGATGGATATGTTAATTAGAGTAGAGTGAGTTAAGTGAGGACGTTGCGGATGCATGGGCCCGTCCATGTTAGGAAGAAAGGCGCGGGAAGTCTAAGTATGGAATATTATAGCTCATAGAGACTTAAGACAGAAGTTGAGCAGGATTAGTTCTGTAATTATGGGATACCAAAAGAGCAGGACGGTCAAGTAGGGCCATACTAAAGCCAACCAGATCTAATAGGACCGATTGTATTTACCCCTATGAGATAACAGCGAATTACCCGAAGACCCTACTTTATCAAGCTTTCTTCTCTTGTGTTATTTATCAAACCTGGGAGGGAGGATTGTTCACCCCTAAATTCCGGCTGATTGGGCATACTCACAATCTGTCAAATAGGATCGCAGAAACGGGCCCTCTTCGAGTCGAGGCGTGCATCTCCTATACCTCATATTCGAGAATTGGGTCTATCACTGCTGAAAAGTTTTATCGATAGCGTGGGCAACCATTCATTTCTGAATCCTTTTATTTTTTTTTTCCTTTTGAAAAAGTTACAGGCATGACATATAAGCTAGGCATATATTGATCATGGATACATCCACTAAAGGATAGGTCATTTCTGACTCTGTAAAGACTGTAGAGATAATTTGGTCAGATTTTATAGACTAAAAGACGTCTAGATATTTTGCTTTAGCGGGTGCAAACGACATCACCGTTGTCCTATTCTCTATTAGTTCTTTCCTATTTTGGAGTAGATAGGAATAGGTAAACTCACGATAAGCTGGTTGTTGCTACAACAAAGGAAATTAGTTCTTCCCTGGGTTTGAAACCCAGCGCAGCTATAGGTACTCGGTGCAGTTTGAGCTAAAATGGCCAATCAGTAGGTTCATTTCCAAAATCTACCTAGGGACGCCTTACCGGCTTTGACACAGTTCGAACCCACACTCTGGATAAAGAAGAAGTTGAAGGGAAATGCAGAGGCACAGCACCACGCATGACTTTGACCTGCCGGACAATTGCCACCTAGTGCTCTCTCTTGAATGTCTTCAACTGGAGAAGCAGTAGCTAGGCCAGCAATAGCAAAAGCGGCAAGAATGTTCTTCAGAAGCATGTTGGATTGCAAGGGTGGGAGTCCTTCTGTGTCATATAATATGATTGTTGATGGAGCATTTAATGAAGAGGGTACCAGAGAAATCCTCGGCCCTTAAATAAACCAAGTGGTGTGTTTAAGATATAGAACCCATGAATGGACCATCTAGAACCGATATATTTGTTGGTCAATGACTCGCTTCTTGTTGCGTCTTGCTCATGGAGCTAGGAGACCGCCAATTATGTTTCACCGCGGCAAGTTATATGACCAAAAGCAGGGAATACGCACAAACATACCTGTTCTATTTAGTGGTCATATTATGTGGCATACTGTCGTTTTCATCTTAGGTTCGTGTTAGATCCGCGGTTTATGTTAAAGCTAGGTCTAGATCGGTAGTTGAATGACGAGTTATGAATTGAGAGGCAACTTTATTTTAAGTTTTAGTGGAACCATGTAGTAGATTTACTGGTAGAAAGTTCATTGTTCAATGACGTCAAATAGATTCAGCCTAGAATCTCAGCATCTCGTTCGAATGATATTCTCTGCTAGCAGAAGACAAGACACATCTGCAAATAGACCTGCTCGTGTGATCTTAGCAAACAAGGTTAAACGGCGTAAGCTTGATTAGAGTTTGGGATCACGTCGATCTAGGTTCGATAGATCGAACAGACAGTAATACCAGGACAAAATCAAAATGAGCAGCCGTGTATTTGAACGAAGCTTCGAAATCTGGAGAAAAGAAGGACTAGTGGTGTCAAGGAATTCAGGATTGCGGCCTAAGGGCTTGGCAATATAGTTTGTTGTGAAAGATGGGAAGAACACCGCGTTCCTATTGGGTGATTGAATCCTACTATAATAGTCACTGGGAACACCCGGAGGGTTGTGGGTCACCTGGGCGAGGGCGGTCGGCCGGCCCCCTAAGCGCAGTGACTGTTTCAGTTGACTACCTCGGGGCGCTGAACTCGAAGGGAAAGGGAAATTCTTAACAGAAACTTGCCAATGGATTAAGTTACCTAGAAAAGCTTCATCTTGTCAAAGCCTACGACCCCACGATGCGCGCAAATTCTTTTAGTCCATCCTGCGTTTCGCAGAACAGAGCTGCCATGAAAATATCTAGATTGAGAATGAAGGCAAGTCATTCATCGAAACGGAATGGAAAATCTTGATAATAAATCGTGAATGATGCTCGTTCTCCAGTAATGCCGAACTCGAGCTTTCCGACCCCTTATGTGAATCCAGTCCCCTTCCTAACACGCATCTCTTCAATCAACATCCCGGGTTTGATACTCTGGTAAGCGACAAACCCAAGACATTTCCCTATTTCAAACACATGGCTTGAATCTGGTATCAACTGGAACCACAATTGTCTCCCCTTGCTCGGGCGCATGGCCATCCCCTCTACAGCACTTGCAAACCAGCAAAATAAATGATTGTTTCCTCGAAAGTTCCCGTTATGAGGTACCACATATGGATAATACTCCCAGCCAACCTTTTACTCTCAAGCCCCATTTGCGCATCGTTACTCGCAATACGATACCATAGATAGACTACTCCATACTTCGTCACTCAACAGTGAACAAACAAACTCGGTTGCCAACATGACGATACGTGCAGGCTTTTCCGGTAAAACTGGCGATGATTCGATTGCTGAGTACGAAAGGTATGATACGGATTTATTTGGTATTTCCTATATACTGCACATATACACCAGAGTAAGTCTGCATATTGGTGGCCTTATGAACATGGAAGAAACCAGGCCTTTTAAAATGGTGAACTTTCCTCGGACGCGCTAGCGAGGTTGCGATGCATCTACTGCTTTGACAGCACGTGTAAAACGCAATTCCTGATGGCTCAATGGTGCTCAGGCTTCCTAGGCCCAGTCAACGAAGTTGGCGACGGCGGCATGAGTGGCGTAAAATTCACTCTTGGGCTTGTAACACTCGTCGAACATCAATGGTTTTGCTCCCGGCACCCAGGTGTAGGCGTGCTTATCCGTGAAGCCCCAGAAGCTAATGTCGGTGATTCCTGCTTTAAGGGCCTCGCGGATAACGGCACCGTAAATAGATGTCTCGAGAGCGTTGTCAAGCGTGTGGACATCCATTTCCGCAATTGCCACTTCCAGTCCGAGCGCCTTATAGGAGTCGACCATGTGCGTGATCACCCCCGGTTTTGGGGCTACTTCAGTGATGTGCATCTGCAGAGCGATTCCGTCAATTGGGACCTCCTTCGCCACGAGTTTGGAGACCAGATTGTAGAGTTCATTGCGCTTCTCGGGGATTGACTCGACGAGGTTTTCGTTAATGAATAGCTTCGCGCCTGGGGCTGCTGCTCGGGCGATGCGGAAGGCATCTTCGATGTAGCCGGGTCCGAGCACTTTAAGAAAGGTGTTGTTGTTCAGGCCGCCGCCCATTGTTTTAAGAGCTTCGGTGACGACGTCCCATCGATCCATCTTGCCATCGTACCGGTGCATGATCGCCTCAAAATGAGTCTTCATCGCAGCGCGAATGGCTGTGGGTTCGGTGATGTTGAGCAGGAAGTCAGGGTTACAACAGCTCGAGATGAGCCCGTGTCCCTTGACCACCATGTTGTTGTCTTCTGCGAAGTTCACGAGGCGGTCGAGCGTATCCCAGTTGTAGTGCCCTTTGATCGGGTTGATGAACGACCATTTCATCTCATTTTCGGGAGAAAGGCTGTTGAATTGGTTGGCAAGAACGGCCGCGAACTCTGGATCATTGAGAAATGTCGGATTGATCGCTCCAGACCCGATAAGAATATTCTTTTTGCTTGCCTCCTTTCTCAGCGGGGTGGTTCCAGTACTGGGAAACGCATAGATCCCTTCGGCGACAGCGAGGAGTGCGGTGATGAGTGTTGTGGCAAAGGTCTTCATGATTCAGTCTCAAATGTGCTTTCTGTCTCTTTGGCGCCCAACTTTCCGTGGACTATAAAAACCGTCTCGGCAGAGCCAACAGCTTTATAGCTGAGAAAATGGTTGACCACGCAGTGGCATAACGCCATGGACATATCGTGGGGCTGATCCTACCGCTGTATCAGAGCAAGGTACGAACACGATAGCTATATTCGTAAATGACTTCGCCCTCTGATTCGAGGGACTACTTGCCTGAAGAGACTCAAGCAAGCCCAGGCTTCTAGCTGAAGAAGTGCGGCAGGGTGGGACACCCCACTGCCGATGTTGAAAGCGTACGATTCGTGGACCTTAACGAGCAGACCCACTCGCCATTCATACGAGGTAAAATCGATTATGGAACGCTTTTATTCGTATGCTGAGTCTGCTAGTTTTAGAATCAACGTAACTACTGTGCTACTAACAACCCAATTTCCCCAATATGACATGCGAACTAACAATCCTAACGGCAATATGACATGTAGTTGGAACCAAGGTAGAACCATTCATAACCATTTCCATAGCCAGTGGCTATGGAGCCTCGAGACAATTATAGGTTCAAGTTACTTCAAGTTGCCTGCACCCCGCACTTGTTTCAAACTTCCAAGCGAAAAAAAAACCTTGCAATTGGTCGAGAAAAACTTAGTTGTATGTATACGAATACGCCCCACATTCCGGTTCAAGCTTAAAATTGGGCTGAACTTCAATTTAACAAGTGGAGATGACGGGTCGTATTCGTTTATTGGAACTGGATCAACGTGTCGGCATGTGGAACTTGTCTTGCCATATGTTCTATATTGAGAAACGTTATGTTGTTTATTGAGAAACGTTATTGGATTATTGCCAGTTTAGTCCGCCAGCATTCCAGACAAAACCGTCTGATTTCACACTACTTGGTATCTCATTCGTGCACGCTACCTAGGCCCCCAGCATTTTTGACACAAATTCCAATGCCGTCATTCATTTGCCAAATATCGTTTCCAGATACGTCCTTTTGCACCGTTTTTACACACGGCCATCCTTGTTGGTTTCTCTTGGCTTCCCTTTCACTTCATCCGCCTACGAAATTACGACAAATATGGCTAGCAATAGATTTCCTGGGGAGTTTTTCGAGCTACCCGGTGAACCGACCGTGGAGTCATCTAGGAATGATCCCTCGACAACTGGTATGAGTGGTATTATTAATTTGAATGGTATGTTTACTTTCGCTGTGGGGGTATGTCGATGACGGATTTGATGGTCGATTTACTACTATATGACCGCGACGAATAGATACCGGCCGCGTTGATATCGACTGGGATTCGAAGGTCGTACGAGGATTTCGAAACTCTGCACTGGCCCTTTCTTAAGGATTCCTACACCACCGCCTGAATACTCTGAGCTACCGACTCAAGATGCCGATTTTACTATCGTTAGGTCCGATAGTGCCCTCGGAAATGAACATGCGGTACGGACATCGTGTACGTATGGCCACACACGATCTGTTCTAAAATTTTGTCAGGGAGTCGGGATTGAAGTTTACCCAATCGGAGGCGATCCAAAAGAGCTAATGTCATACATGGTCAAATCTCCCAGGCTCATCCCTGGCATGGTGAGTTTTCGAGCAGGCGATATCCGTCGCAAGCGCGTCATGATTCGGGAAATGCTTTATGGATGCTGGAGCTCATGTATAGAGCCGGATACGGTAACAGACCAACCGTTCGTGGCTGATGCTATCATCGCCAACCCACCGAGCCTTGCACATGTTCACTGTGCTCAGGCTCTCAGCATTCCGGTGCATTTAATGTTTACCATGCCTTGGAGCAATACAAAATCGTTTCCACATCCCCTGGCGAACTAAAAGGCCGACGGTCCAGACGATGGGTTCAAAAATTATGCTTCGTATGATTATGGGGACAAAGTACTAATCCATTGTATTAGGGTAGGGGATATGGTCAATCGGTGGCGAAACGAGCTTGATCTAGACAAACTGGCCATGTTTGAGGAGCTCCATCTTGCGGAAATACTGAAAGTCCCATTCGCATACTCTTGGTCTCCAGCTCTTATATCTAACCCGTTGGACTGGCCGTCTTATGCCCCGATAGGTACCGATAGACGTGGCTGACAAAATCTGTAGACGTCAGCGGCTTCTTCTTCCGTGGCACCTCTGCATTCGAACCTCCCATGGATCTCCAGGGTTTTTATCGTCTGGTCCACCGCCAGTGAACATTGGATTTGGGAGTATTGTACTTGAGCACAGGGTCAGGTTTAAAGATGCCATTCTTGACACGGTTAATGCTGCTGGTGTTAGGGCTATCATTTCCAAGGGCTGATCAAAACTGGGCGGAGGACATACCGAAAACGTATATTCCATTGGAGATTGCCCTCATGAGTGGCTGTTCCAACACGTGGCGGCGGTGGCCTACAAGCAGCCCTACCCGAAACCGCTCCCTACAGACCACACAAGAGGAAGCCGATGATACAATAAGTATGCATTACCCAACTAATGCATCGTCGGCCTCTGGTAATAATGGTTCTAGAATTGCAGGGAGGATGGCCGAAGCTTCAAACAAGAGCCTTGCCAAATTTGTGCCGAGTGCGCTTAAAGGCATGACTGTCGACATTCCGCTCGCCATCACAGAAGGAATGTGCAATGTCCCTCGTTCATATGGCGAAATGCCACAACACCAAGGTTCCGTTACTGGCATCAAGAGCGGATTTGCTCTTAGGGGCACAGGTTTCGCATTGGGGATGTCAGGAGCAGTGAGCGAATTGGTCGTGAAACCATATGAAGGCGTGCGAAAGGATGGTGCGAAGGGCGTTGTGACAGGCATTGGCAGGGGCATAGCAAATATGACTTCTAAAGCGGCTCGTGCCCTGTTTGGTGTTGTGGTCTATCCTGGCGTCGATATTGCGAAATGCCTGAGATCGTCCATCTACTCTAGGACAAGAAAGAGGATTGTCAAGGAACGTCGCGCTAAAGTAACATGGTTGTTGGAGAACGGTAGACTTAATAGCAGCATTGCCAGCTTCCAGAGGTTGCTCAAGGGTAAAAACACCTGATTCAACTTTCGCGTTGACGGCAATGTGGGATGCAAATTTAACCCTTCTAATGTATTGTGACGCACTACTCAATCTCAGCCCTTTGCAAATCACGATCACTGATGTTTATCACTGGAGTATAGGACGTGCGTCCTAGATAGCCAGATTGACCGAGTTGCAATGAATGTCAGCACAGATCTCCAGTGTTACTAGCTCTACCAATGTCACCAGACTAACCGGGAACCCAGTACACACCACTCGATCGCAAAAAGAACAGATGTGTCTCCGCTGCCCCAATTTGGACCTAGTAAATAGAACATATTAGGGAACTTACTCATTGCCACGGTCTTGTAAGCGCCGATGCCGCCTTGATCGTACCAATGTTGTTTCAGCGAGTCCCCTCGCCTACCTGTCACAGTCTTGGCCTTCCACTGTGCGAACTTGAATTCCGTCAGAATCTACGATCCATGGTCAACATGAGTTATAGATGCATCTGTCCAAGTCAAGCTCACAATGGAACCACCGGGTATCTATTTCCTGAACCTGTTATCACACTGTTCGAGCGAACTTGGCAATCGAGTCTTCGATTCGCTTCATTTCAGGACTGCGAAGCCGCCGGATGTAGTTACTATCCAATATCCTTTGCTGCCCACGATGGTAACGGTGGCTCGACGTAGTTCAAACACTCGCTAACTGTACTCTGCATCCAAGTTCATAACTGGGGGTGAGCAAAAGCCAGTATCGCTCTAGAATGTCTTATACAGCACGACAGCGGCGACATCTTCTGCTACATACTCCCCAAGGACGTTCTCCGTAAAATAGAAGAAGCTCTCTTCTCTCGGTGTCTATCTCTCTTAGAGTTGTTATAGAATTGCCCAAGTGTTATATCAAGGATCCAAAAGATCGCCCGACGGAGAAAAAGCAAACTGCCCGGAATTTTGGAGAAATAAAAGCCTAATATTTTTCCAAACCAGTAAATGCTCAAGGGTATTGGGATATAAAATTGCGGGTGATACTCACACGTAACAGTATAAGAATCTGCCGAGCAAGCTCATTGGAATGTATCGTAGTTCAGAGGAAATACGTGGGGTTGTATATAGCAACTTGCTTCTTCGTCCTGCTGGTAGCTCGTCATCTCTCACCATCAAGCCTCGATTTTGTCCCGCTCACTTTGCCGTATATATAATCCACTTCAATCAATATACAGATACATTGCCTCCTTAACGAAGGAGCGCGGACGGGCCGATCTGGCGCCATGGTCCAATGCGTGAGGTCACCAATAAAGTGGAGTAATTTTCCAAACCATTCGAGGAAGTGTTGTCACGTCAATATGCAGCCGTCCATCGAATTGTCCACATCAGATGATTTTTAAGGAGCTTCTAGCGTAGTCAAGGCTCGTCCGATAATACAATGAAAATTTGACTTGAAAATCTACTTGCGTGAAGTAAAGAGACTGCATCGCATGGCGGCAATCAATATTTATCTAAAAAATTGACCCGCCCACTGGCTCACATAATAGGTTCTAGGCTATGTACAACCAGGAATCGTGTGTAGAGAATATTGTATCTTTGCGCGTAATCAAACTAGACTTCTCCTGTGGGGAGCAATTCTGTGTTTGATAAATATGACTTTCTCGAAGCACGCTGTGACTTCGTTGACCGGGAAAGAACCTTGGATGGGTGGAAAATACTCATCACAACCATGGTGAAGAACATTAACATTGAATCAAAGACATACATGAACACCTCGTGACTGATGAGGTATCCATCGTTGCCTTGGGCGTATTCAATAAGACGGAAAATAGACCGAATGAGAATCAGAATGCTGGACACATATAGCCCAGTCATGATAGTTTCCCAGGTATTTGTGTGTAGTACTGTAGATAAAGGCGATGGGGTGACAGCGTTCTCCGTAGGATTATTGCGAATACGGCCGTGGAAAATTGCTGAAGTTGCGATGAAAATGCTGAAGAACACCAATTGTACAGCGAGGCCACCAATTGTGATGTGTTCGCCGGTGGTCATCGCGCTGATAGTTCCACTTGCCATGATACCGCCGCCTTCATACATGATTAACTTTAATCGGCCGTCGACACTTGTGTGAACGGAGAGGACTAATTACCTGCTGCTTGCATCACGAACGCGATCACATCCCCGGTGACAAAAATTGCGGTAAGCCATTTTACTGGCACCATGCTCAGACCCTCAGCGTCCAAATGCATAATGAGTCGGCCTAGAGTCATGTATATCGAGGCTGCGTAGAGAGGAGGAGCAAGCAGAATCATGATTGTGCCAACTGAGTAAATTGGGATGCTTTCTTTGTCGTCATGAGCCAGTGCGCGGCAAATGTAACCTATTATTTGAACTGTAACATCTGTCAGAGATGTCATGGGCTCCCACAGTGACAATAAGGGAATGGGCATGGCATAGTATTGAATCCAGGCAGGCCAACTTACAGGTACCTCCAACGACGAAGACTGTAAAGTACCAGCATCTCGTACGAACAACCTGGTAAAGATGATAGAAAGTCAAGAAGACAAACAGAACAAGGAAGATGATTGCAGCCACGAGAGAGGGTGTATAGCGGTATAGTTTAAAGTCGGCGTTGTCATTGGAAGCCATGACGGACGGGCGTTGAAACCGAATCCACCGATTATCAAAGTAGATTAAGGGTACTTCGACTTCGACTGAGGCGAGGTGTTTAGAAGGTCTGAAGGGGCTGTTCGAAGTTTGACGTCCTGAATAGGGGCAGGCGGAGTTGATTATACATTTTCAAGCGCCCTGGCTTGGTATTTGAATTTAGCTCCGGAGGGATTTTTGTGCGTCGTAATCGTATCTGGGCGAAGCATGGACTATTTTTTTCATGTTTCGCTCTTTGTTTCCGTGGCACGAGCTGTACTGACGAATTGGCACTGAAATATGGTAAGACCGTAACTGGCCCCACTCGTATTCGGGTTCACGGATTCGGGCTTCACCAGTCCCCACACAGTCGGAGCGGGGCTTGACTGAGAACGCCTGTGTCTGCTTAGATTCGCGGTTACCGAGGCATCAAGTCTAGGCCAAAATTGTCAGGAAGAGCAAATCATCGCCCAGAGCTGTCCTTGCGGTGCCAGGTACATTGGTACCATTGAACTGATGCGGTGTGTGATATACGCTATTTTCATGTACAAATATGTAGCAAATGGCGTTGCCTATGATAAGGTTTGGTTGGATTTCATTGATCGTGAATAAGTGATTCAAGAAGTACATGTCAGTGACAACTTCATGACTTCGTTGGGCCACAGCATGAATGTTGACAGTTGGCTCTCATTCAGGGTATCGATAAGCGCATTGACTTTAAGTATCTCTCTTTCAAACGAGCCCCGCATAAACCAAGTATCAACTAGAGTATTTACCAAATAGAAATGAGCAAGGATTATAAGTGAGTGTCCATGAAGGCAGTCATGTTCGCTTCTCTCAAGCGATGCCAAGAATGGACTTGGAAGCTGGACTGGCCAGGACAGAATCGCCGCCTCTTCAAAATCCAGCTGGATTTCCAGATCAGCAGAATTCTCAGTTGCTGCACACCGCAATACGGAGAGGATGCGCGAATATACCTTGTCTAGGACTTCTATAGCCCCAGAGTGCGCGTTCACAATCCAGTCTAGAGTCATGGAAGGTGAAGGTTGGGATGTCCAGCAGCTGGATAAGTTATTCTTAGCAGGTTCAAACACATTCAAAGAAGCCTGTAGGTTGGCGACTGCTTGGCTGGCGCCTTCACCAAATTTGAATAGCCGGGGTGAGCAATGAGAAAGTCGAGATGATGGTGCATCGAGCGGTAATTCCTTCCAAAACTCATCGCCATGTGGATATACCACCATTTGCCGGAGCCTGCTGGCTTTTAACACATGCCATTGAGCACTTATCACAGATGATATCCCTCGGTTGAGGTATAACCAGTTGAGATGTAAGATGTCATTTGTTGAAGAGGGATTTCCCGCGGCGCTGTTCATCTCCTTGGGAGTCCCAGTAAGTGGATTAAGCTTCTGAACCTTCAGTGATGCAAATGCAAACCCGACAAGAAGCAAAGACCCCGTGAAGACAAGTTCAGCATTGGACGGAGAGATGCAGGATACCTCTTCTCTGAAGCCTTCCAGTCCTCTTTGATGGTGTTCCACGATGGTTGCTAAGTCCACCGTATCTGAATCTTCAATGCCGCTGGAACTGTTGGCCTCAGCCTGATGCGTAATCATGTGGATGCCACCCAGTGCTAGGAGCAAATGCATCAGATACCGATTTTTGGTCCCCAGTTCAGGGATAATCCGCTGCCAGACCATGGCTCTCCTCGGGTGCAATGACATCTGTTTCGCAGTGTGTAAATGGAAGAACTGAAGTAACTTCAAATCATTCATGGCTAGATCCCCATGCCCATGGTTAGACTGGCTCGAGAAAATCGCTGGCAAGGTTGCGTTTATTCCCAGTGGCTGAATCAACCCGAGCGGTGGACCTCCATCCGAAGGCGCGAGGGAATCTGTTGATAGAGATCCATCATTGTTCTCTGCCTCTTCTCCTCTGGGTCTGGGGGTTTTCTTCGAAGGGATGCGTGGGCATGGGTAAGAGCAAGGTTCGCCTCTGGAAGTGCATGTGCCGCAGGCCGGTCGCAGTTCGTCACACTTTGAGAAGTCAGCTTCTTCTACGCAACGGGAAATTGGGGGACTATAACTTGATGGCCATACTTTTACCCTTCGTGATTTGCAAGGATAGCAGCCATTGCGAGACTTGGTGTGGCGGGCGCGATGTCTTCTGAAAACACGTAGATTGTCTGCACCGGAGTCCGAAACTACCGAACCTACAGTGTTTTCGTCCATCGCTCGAGTAATCCAAATTTCTGAAGGTAAAAGGAATATCCACCCTCATGATGGGCAAATGTGTAAGGCTGGAGCCTAGCTAAGAATAGGGTAAGTAGATTCGGCGAAGGATTCTGGTTGTAGGGCGGCCGACAGCAACCAAAGACGTATACACCAAACGGGTTCCAATTCCGGTCATCCAACCTCACTGGCCTGGAGGCAATTTTAGGGAAGATCTTCGACTCCAGGTCTGAATATAACTCGAACGTGGAATATTCCCCTCAAAGCTAGAGTAGTCGGCGGTGACACAGTAGAGAGCGTATAGCGATATAGCTTGAAGTCTATCAGTCCATCACTGTTGGCAGCCTTGTCTAGCTTTTATTGGAAAAGGAGTGAGAAAACAGCCTTAGGGAGGGAGATGCATTTATTTCGACTCAAGAGGTCTTTCGGGAAATGGAAGATAGCCCCATTGGTAGCTCCGATATCCCTTTTTTTTTTAGTCCGCTGCGATCCGCTGAGCTTTGTGGGCACGAGATTAAGGGCTTTTATGCAGGTAAAATGCGCTCAAACGTGATTAGATCGACGACCCGTTCGCGGGTGATCATAGCCTGCACAGGTGGAAAACTCTTCTATTTAATTTTAGTGGTTTGAAAGACCTCAAGTACAGCGAATATCTCAAGGCAAACCAACCCGTACCGAACCAATATCCGACCCACCATCAAGGCTTTAGATTCATCTGCCATGCTTTCCTCCCCTAAAAGCCATACTAGTATCCCCGGTCGAATAGAACAACCCTCTATTCAAGTGGTCGTATTGATGGGCGAGCTTGTTATTTAACTACTTATTTTCGCCCTCTTCGCCAGTGCCTATCCTGACTGGCACAGGACCATACTGTGGCTCAGCGGAGGAACTCAAGGTTGAATTACGACCTGGCACTACGCCTCTATTTCTATGCCAATCACCAGGAACCACCCGAGATACCATGGATTTGGACACAAAGCTTGCCAATACAAACACAAACGTGATTTGCAATTCGAGCGAATCAGATTACTCTAGTTCTACCGAGGCTAATCTTGCCACGGCTATATCTTCTGTCGCGATGTGCTTGGCTAAAGGGGTGTTACATTGCATTTGCCAAGAGATGGAGGTAGTAACATCCAACTCTCGACTGCTTGGGTCCTTTACGTCTCGAGTAAGTTATCTCGTGATTTCTCCGATTCCGAACATCCCAGTTCCCGCCCGTGGTATCTTGAGAGGAGTTGAACGCCGTCGAGAGTGAAGCTTTGGGAGCTTGCACAGTCGCTCAGCTATTCTTTGCGATCTCAGTTTTGCTAGCGTGGGTTTCCCAGCAGATCGATCAACTAAATTCTACGCGAAGCTTTGGCTTAAACTAACATCTCATTGCTCAGTGTATTCCATTTATCTCTGATAGCCAACTGGTTCTCACGTCCTGTATATAGACTTGGGAAGAGGCGTGCGAGGACCCAAAGGAAGGTAGCAGCTCCATATCCTGTATGGGATGAATAAATGCATTGTGATCGGTATGACGACGTCGATTCCGAGTTGAACGAAAGTCGATCAATGCTGCATGGCGGCTATGAGACAGTATCAGTGAATGAGAGATATCAGCTTCATGGCCTTAAGAATCTTTTGGGTGGTAATCGAGATGGGGCTTTCGGGAGCCAAGCAACAGGTTGTATCCCGATAGAAGCCGTATTTCTAGCCACAATATTTCTCGCAGCACTGCTTTTTCTTAGCCACGAGGTAATCGCTGACACAGTTAGCTCAGCTGAGCCGCGCGAGAAATTGACTGAGGGGGTATTCTTTTAGCCACAAGGCTTAGTGTGAATCCCTGGTCGTGTGATGCTAAAGTGGTGCCCATCCTAAACTCAGCCGGGCCGCACATACCTGGCTACCACTTACAAGTCACACATTGGCAGTTTAGTAGGAGGTGGACACTATGCGAATTCCTCCTTTTTGAATATTTTGGTTTTGTTTTTCTTTGTGTTTCGTCTTAATTTTTATTTTTTTTTTATTTTTTTTTTGGATGACTTGGCTTTTTCATCTGTATGTACAAAATTTCTTTGAGTTGAAGACCCACGACCCACCCTACTCCCAATACTGGCACATCACGACCAAGGCAAAAGGGCCACACTTATATCCCCCTAGTCAAATACTAACCCTAAAAATATAATTAGCTCAGCACCAAATAGTCGGTGCCGAAGCAACTATAAAGTGCGGAGCGCGTATGGAGATTTCTGATGGCAATATAGACAACCACAAACCGAACTATGCCTATTTAGGCAAGATAAAGTGTGTCGAAGGTACTATGTAGTGTACAAATGTGCACAGTCAAAAACATATGGCTTACAACGATGCCTCATGCAATTTCCATTCATCCAGCACCACTTTACACCTTTCATACCCCCTTCAACACCATGACCATCCACACCACCCGAACAGACAGTGTGGCATTCAGTACTCATCTACTAGTTTCATGTTGTCCTATATGTACGGGCTCGGGTGAGGCCTGAAGTTGAGAGCCTGAGGCATGAATCTTGCTTGTACGGATCATAACAGAATCAAGCGTGGTATTCCTAAAAACCCCAAATATTTGCTAAACTCGGCCGACGTCTAGCACACAAGCTCACATAATCTTCACCAAACCACCGGGACGCAAGTCCAACACTACGGGCTAATGGTGCTAGGTAGCAATATGCAACTATTTTAGCCCGCCGATCAGGCTAGCGTTGGTGCTTTTGGAATTCCGCTTCCGCCGGAATTGCAGATTCGAGCCAATTATGTTCTGCTGCGTTGAATTAGACGCTGTCTGCGCTCAGGCCTTTGTACTACACAGCACTAATTGGTGATCACGCGCGCTTTATAGAAACCGATTTTGATATAGTTTTGATAAAGAGTGGTTTGCGTGTAATAGATCGAGTCGAAACGCACAGCCAATGTTGGTAAACTGGAGTGGGTAGGTACTGTGTGCTGACCGTATTGAGAAGGAAGCGACAATCCGGCCGTCAGGCTGATGAGTGGCTCCACTGTCAGTGTGGGAGATAGCCCATATATTTCCTTTACAGCCGTAGTCTGTTGGTCGACTTGCGTATAAAAATCTTCTCATGACTATGGCTTTTTAGGAATAACAAGAAGAACGTGGATACTTCTAGGCTAAAATGGTCTGATACCCCACCGGGAACCGATTTTTAATCTCCGTGTTCCGTGTTCTGTGTTTACTGCATCTAGCAGGAGGATTGTACAGGGCTAGACTGCAATAGGTGATGTCTCAGCTCGGTATTTGATGGCTGCCTTTGCGATGTTTTCAGCGACGGGTTCCGAGCCAATGGCTGAGCATGATTCATGCGTGCGGCTTGGTATCTTACATAGTGACTCGGCAACTTTTATCCCATAGTCTCATTGGATGAGTGGTTCCTACCCTAGAGTAGTGGGTGTATAATAAGTCGAGGTTTATGATGAGCAGGGCGGCTATTTACCCTTTCTTCGACTCTGAGGAAATTAAGCATTGAAAAAATTGCTTGAGACCCTGAAGTCCCTCACGGCCCAATCCCACGAAGTCCGACTTGTCCGCATTGGCGTAGCGTTGGCACCCCTGCTACGGGCAAACTACCAGGCGAATTGTCTAGACCTGCATGATGGACAAGACTACACTAAACAGCGATCTACAGGTTCAGATCCATGATTCATGAACCATTCATCAAGCAATTGGCTCTTTTCTTTTTCACCCTTTTCCTTTTGTCATGGTGTTTGGAATAATGGTATTGTCACCTGACAGATTTTTGGTGGTCCTCGGTTTATCCGAGTCTCCCTGGTAAAATGCGGGCCAAGTATACCCGCGTCAAAGAGCCCCGATTTTAATTACGCCAATGGCAGAGAAAACGAAGAAATGACTATTGGTAACGAAGGGGCGCACTTACGGTACTAAAGTGTACAGGTCTATGGCTGAATTGACTCGGCCTCGTGGGATGGGGCGAACAGAGGAGTCAACGGTCTCGAGTAAACGAGGCGGACAGCGTAGCCGAGAATGGCAGGAGAAGAGCTTCTACGCGGGTCGGGTACGTACAGGGACAGCAGACTAGGTACACTACGTAGGGTAATAAGTAGCACACTAAGTACTTCGCTGGGGGTAGTCTGATATACGGCTGGCAGTTTGGTGGCTGCGGCCGAAAAGGCGGAACCGCGACTTGTAGTCAGCAATCCCGCAACGTGCGCGCGCTGAATGCGGTGATTGGCACCCGGAGCTCCCCACCACCACCTCCGACCATCTGCCTCGCCTTAGTCCCGATGCTCTGCTCAGGCACGCTGTGTCGCTGACAGCTTCACCTTTAACCATCGTTAACAGCGTCAACCCGCACCGCTTGAACTTCGCAGTCGATCCCGCGCGGCGCCCGGCACAGAAAAAGAGCTACTCACCCCGCGTTCATGGACTCCGCCAAAGGGTGTCGTCGATAAACCTTCTTGTCATACAGTGACACACGCGTGTCCCACACCTTCCTACTTATCATTGCCATTCCCCACCTCGTTGCGCCGGCCCCTCCCCCCTCGACTCGAGGGTTCCCTGGTCCTCGCCCTCGTCCGCTCGTCTTTCTCTCTCCTTCTTCCTCAATTCCTCCTGAGTCCTGATATCAACCCTTGTGTCCGTGAGAGCAGACGCTCTCGCCCTGAGAGCTTGCGAAGATGTGAGTGACCCCTTGCCGGAAACTACTACCAGTATGCTGCGGCGCAACCGCGGCAGCACTGCAGTCGTGACAGAACAATGGCTGATCTCCCTTGCAGGAAGTTCGGAAAGCAGATTCAGCGCCGGCAGCTTGATCTCCCCGAATATGCGGCGAGCTTTGTGAACTACAAGGCCCTGAAGAAGGTATGCGCCTTTCCACTGACATCATTGGCAGCAGATTGCTGGCGCCAGACTGGACATGTCCTAACCCTCCTTTCCAGCTCATCAAGCAACTCAGTGCTACCCCGACAATCCCCGCGCAGAGGACCGCCGAGGAAATTGCCCAAGATGGCACCTTGGATCCTCAGGCTGCGCTCCGCGCCAACAAGGAGGTCTTTTTCTTCCGTTTGGTATGTTCCAGGGAATGCGTGTTAAATGGGAGAACTAGCACTAACCGAAATGATATAGGAACGTGAAATTGAAAAGGTCAATGCTTTTTATCTCCAGAAGGAATCAGAGGTAAGCCGAGCCCCGACTCTGATTCAACATGATAGAAACTGACAGATCCAGTTCTCTCTGCGCCTCAAAACCCTAGTCGATAAGAAGCGCGTAGTCCAGACGCGCACCGTTTCCAACTCCAAGGCTCCGTCAAATTTCGTGGCGCTCTTTGAAGGGTTTCAGCAATTCGACGGCGATTTGAATAAACTGCAACAATTCGTTGAAATCAACGAAACCGCCGTGTCCAAAATTCTGAAGAAGTGGGATAAAACGTCCAAGTCCCGCATGAAAGAGCTGTATCTACACCGTGCAGTGGAGGTACAACCGTGTTTCAACAGAGAAGTCCTCCGCGATCTATCAGACCGAGCGACCACCGCGAGGTTAGAGTTGGAGGCGTGGGCCGAAGGAGAGAACTTGCAGTTTGATCCAACCCGGCCCTCCGAGCGCCCGGCGCTTACTTTCGGGTCGGAGGAAGAGGAGCTGGACCAGCAGGTCTTGCAGTCGGCCTCGACTGGTAACCTCCAGACCCTGCGCGAGTGGCTCGGAAAGCTCTCTTCATTCGCCGACGCTCGCGATCGAGCCACACGGACCTTCCTCACTGCGATCAACGGGTTCTCGGACGAAGTCCTCGCTCTGCTGCTCGAAAGCGGACTGGTTGATATCCATTCCGAGGACGATATCAACGAGCGGAACTGCTTGCATGAGGCGGCTATTTCTGGCCGAGACTTCGTTTTCAAGGCTGGCCTGGCGGCATCGGTCGACATTGCTCGTTCCGATGTCTACGGTCGAATCCCCCTTCACTACGCGTGCAGGAATGGCAGAGCAGAGATGGTGCGGGAGCTGCTGGCAGTGGGTCCGCATACGGTCGATCTCATGGATCATGACAACTTCACTCCCTTGATCCACAGTATCGTCAAGGGCCAGCTGGCGTGTGCCGAACAGGTGCTCAAAAGCAATGCTCGCATTGATCCTACGTCTGATTCGGACCACATCCCGCTGAACCTGGCTTGCCAACACGGCTCCCTTCCGATCGTGAAGATGCTTCTTGAGCGAAAAGCCAAGCTGTTGCCCGATGCAGAAGGCCTGTACCCTCAACATATGGTGGCACGAGCCTCGCAATCCCCCGAGCTACTCCTCTTGCTCAAGCAGCATGGAGCGGATCTCGACCAACGAGACAAGCTCTACCAGTGGACTCCACTCTTCCATGCTGCAAGCGAAGGCTGTGTACCATGCTTGCGTACGCTGCTGGAACTCGGCGTGGATGCAAAGGTTGCTGACGAAAAAGGCCTTTCAGCTATGTACTACGCTGCATGGGAGGGCCACCTGGAGTGCATGCTCCTGTTGTGGGCTCAGCCTTCGGCGGATCGGGCGGGGGCGCGGCCACTCGATGTTCTGAATGGTCTGCAGTTCCAAGATCCCATGGTGGAAGACGGCCCCTCAAGACGTGCCAGCGAAGCCGAGATGGAAATTGCCGATGGTATTCCTGACCTTGAACTTCCGCCTCCCATCATTCCTCTCCGCCGCTATGGCCACAACTTCTTGGACAAGAAGGTCTTCGTACAGCTTCTCTTCGATCAGGGAACACCCGGATCCATCGCTTTCGACCAGTCAGGACGCCATCCTGCTGCCCGCTTGACAATTTCTTCCAAACTCTCCGATCTCATCCCTCGCACAATTGTACTACCCATCCAAGAAGACTCTCGGACAATATCCTTCCACGTCGACAAGCTGGATACTTTTGCCGTGGACTTTGAGATTTTCCCCACCTTTGGCTCTAAAGTGATTGCAAAGAGTGTGGCTCTGCCGATCAACTTCCGGGCAGAGACCTCCAGCACCGGCTCTTGCTGCCTGCCACTCTTCGATCCGCGTCTCCGAAGTATTGGTCAGCTTCGTTTCAACTTCCAGGTCATCAAGCCGTACCACGGCGATCCCTTAGAGATTACTCAATTCGCGACTTACTGGAAGGCTACAAGCTCCGTGGATTCCGAACACAATGGTCTGATCACTGGGTCAAGTTTGTCGGGCGACTATGTCCAGCTCTTTATTCAATTGACCCGTGACCGAGTGCCGGTCCTTCACCCTCAATTCATGATCAACCACTACGGCATCGAAATCCCCATCTGCCAATTGACGTTTGCTCAATTCCAGATGATCGGCAAAGAAAGAGGCGTCAACTCCAACGATATTGTCCAGTACTTGCAGACCCAGGCCGCGAACAACATGCCACAAGCCCATCTGATCCTGGCTGAATCCTTTATGTCATTGCGTGACGTCCTGCGGGAGCTGCCCGTCGACCTCAATGTCAACCTCTCCATTCTCTACCCGTCTGCCGCAGAGGAAAAAGCTCTGGAGATGACCTCTCTAACCGACGTCAATACTTTCGCCGACTCTATCTTGACGGATGTCTTTGATCATGCGCGCGTGGCTCGTGAGAAGAACCCCGACTTTATGCGTTCTGTCGTTTTTACCTCCTACAACCCCAACATTTGCACTGCATTGAATTGGAAGCAGCCAAATTGTGAGTTTCTCTCTTGGTAAATCAAGTCCAGCTCCTGACTAACATCTACAGACCCGGTTCTCTTGTGTAACGATCTTGGACAAATTAGAGATTTGGCTCGCAATGTCGACTCAATGCCTCACGTTGACAGCAGCGGAAGAGCCTCAATGTCCATCAAGGAGTCCGCCCGAATTGCCCAGAGCAACAACTTCATGGGCTTGATCTGCCGGTCCAGCCTTCTGGTTAGTACAATCAGCTACTGACCTCTCCGCAAACCATTGCTAAGCACTTCACTTATAGAACGTCGTCCCTGCCCTCGTGGAAACAATCAAAGAACTCGGCCTTGTCCTGGTAGCCGACACCTCCGACGAAACCGGACATCCAGATGGCGACGCCCTCCCCGCCGCAAACTCAATGGGCGTAGCGGACTGGGCATACCGCATGCCAGACGGCGTAAACGGCGTGATGAAAGCCAACGGTATTTTGAGATTCAACGATATGATCGACATGTAATCGGGCTCCCATGAGTCACTCCAGGCTATGTTGGGGCTTTGCTGTGCTATCTGTGCCATTTGCATCCGTGGATACGATCTGATCTACACCATCCATCCCCCATCCCCATTTTTACTATTACGAGACGAAGACCACGAGAATCAAGTAGCTTATGCTCATGCTCATGCTCATGACGATTTTCCTTGGCCGTATTTGGCGCTGAAATATGGATTGCTTTTTGTTTGCGGTGTGTCGGTGTATCATATGTAGAGTGGGGACATCCCTGGATTAGATTCTATGGCTAATGTACATCAACGTCGCTATGTTCTATAAAACAGTTTCTCAGCTGTAGGTGGGTGATTTCAAATCCTTGGAAAGGGGAGAAGTAGGGAAATGGTAGCAACAGCACAAAATCCCAGTAGCAACCCATTCAGATATTACGAAAAACCCTAAGTACTCTTAGGCTTCCGCTTCCCAATATCCCACCCCCACCGCCGCAACACCTTAACAACCTTAGGCGTCACGGCCGCCGTAAGCGGAACCCGCACAAAGATAAGCAGACTCTTGTGAATAGCGTACGCGAAAACAAGCTGCGTCCAGATGCCTTCACACACTCAAAATTAGTATGAACCCACTGAAAGCTCCGTCAGGGACAGGATAACTTACTCGCTTCCTCCTGCTTCTCAACCTCCCCACCCTTCTGTTCCTGCGCCTGCTCACCTCCAGCCTGACTCTCCTCGCCCGACTTCTCCTTCGAAAGCGCAGCAGGCCAAACAGACTTAAATGTCTCCTTCAAATATCCCAGCACCACTTGCTCGAAATGACCTATGCGCTCAACGCCCAGTAACCGCACCGCCGCGAAGCAGAATGGGAAGTCCAGCGCGCTGAGCGTTAAGTACACGCCCAGCGCGGCCCAGCCGTATTCGCGGGTGAGCTTTTTAGGCGTGCTGTTAGGCCGGTTGGTTCTTTTGCACTTGAATTCGAGCTTGAGCCTGCGCCAGCGGAACTGGAACTGGAGCTGTTTGTGTTGGTCTTTGGGCCGGAGGAGTTGAGACGGCGTTGGGTGCGGAAGTGGGTTGAGCGAAACGCGCTATTTCGGAGAGAAGGTGTGTCTTTTGAGGCGGTGCTGAGGTTTTGTCGGAATGCGCGAAGGAACTGTGGGCGCTGGACTGAGGCTTGTTTGGATAATGTTGGGAGGAGGCGCGGTAGGACTGGGCGGAGGGACATGTTGTTGGTTACCCCAGTGTGGGTATGTGGCTGTGGAGGGTATCAGTTCGGATAATGATGGAATGTGAAAGAGATGGTGGGCGTTATGTACGTGCGTGCTGGACGGATGTGAGGAAGGGTGGCTTTCACAGCGCGGATGATCGGTTTTTTTGGGGCGATCCCGGCGTCGGCGGGTTCGGTCCGATCGGATTTAGGGTGTATTTTGTGGCTTAGCTACGTGGAAGGGAGTAGAAGGGTACTGGGTTGAGTCATGTTCATTTCGAGTGGTTAGTTAGATATCTAGAGCTATTATCATGATTATTTTATTTATGAGTTTCCTTGCTTGCCTGAGGCGCGTTAGCTAAGTGATGGCTTGATTATGTGTGGTGTTGTTATAGATCTGGTTGTGTTGCTTGGCGTCTGGATTTAATCGGTTTTTGGATCGAGATGGGAATACTGACATTGTTGTAGGAGACTTTAATTATTGGTTGGTTTTGATTGTTTCTTATCTTCACGCTTACAGGAGATTCAATCACCTTAAAGAAAGTATGGTCAATTGTCACGATTGTTGGATGACTTGGCTACAAATTGGTGCTGAGTTCATGCTATTAGAAGAAAGTAGCAATAGGCTAGATAGATTATTTCGAGCCTTTTCAAGCATTATAGCCGTATATTCTAGTTTCTATGACTATATTTGATCATTCCGCCATAATAGTTTACAGTGCATCCGCCTCGTTTCTACTCCAGCGACCGCTGTGACAGTCCGCCCGCTTACTCATCAACGCCAAAAACTTCCATCGAACCGAACAGTACAACCACCTCAACCACCGCAACCATGTCACCAAGTCTAGCAGGGAAGCTCCTGCAGCTTTCCCCCTCCCTACGGGAGACCCAATCGCTGCTCCCACGCATCCCAATCCGAGAATTCGGCATCCGCTCCCTTAACCCCCCCAAACCCAACCGCTTCAATGTCGGCGCCGGCCTGCCCGTCCTCGAATCAACCTCGACCGCCGCCCTCCGCCGCAAAGCAAACTCCCTGCCACTGCGCAGCGGCGCAATCGCCACAAAAAAAGGCATGACCGCCATCTTTGACCCGGAGACCGGCAAGCGCATTCCCTGCACCGTCCTCCAGCTCGACCGGGTCGAGGTCGTCTCCCACAAGACGCGCGAGAAGCACGGTTACTACGCTGTGCAGGTCGGTGCGGGATGGAAACACCCATCGAACATGACCAAGTCGTTGCTCGGCCATTTTGCCGCGAATGGTCTCTCGCCTAAGCGTCATGTTTATGAATTCCGCGTTAAGGGTGAGGAGGGTCTTTTACCTGTTGGCGAGAGTATTTATGCCAGTTGGTTCCAGGAGGGCCAGTTTGTCGATGCCAAGTCCAATACCAAGGGAAAGGGCTTTGCGGGTGTGATGAAGAGACATGGGTTTGGTGGTCAGGATCGCAGTCACGGTGTTAGTTTGACGCATCGTTCTATGGGTTCGTCTGGTCCTGGTCAGGGTGGTGGTTCTCGTGTCTACCCTGGCAAGAAAATGGCTGGAAATATGGGCAACACTCAGAATACGGTGCAGAATCTGAAGATTCTCAAGGTGGACCGTGAGACTGGCGTTGTCGTTGTGAGCGGTTAGTTTCTCCTACACTATTGACCTCGGTGTTTTTTACTGACAATTGATTTACAGGCGCCATCAGTGGTCCCAAGGGCTGCACTGTCAGAATTCAGGATGCAATCAAGAAGCCCTGGCCGGAGGTTGCTTCTGCTTCCGCTCCTGCTGATGCTGAAGCTGCGACGGCCTAATTGACTGTCGACAACGGACAGCATGTACTACTACACCATTCGCGCAATATTGTTCACTTGAGCGGCGTTTGTATATGATACATCAAATGATATCCTTTATCCTTTTTTCTTCGCTGGACGGTTCGACTCTCCGGTACATTTCAGCTTGAAAACGATAACTTCTCCCGTAATGAGATCCCATAACGCCAAACCCTATGCGCAACAATCAAGATATTTGTACAAGCTTTCCCTTCACGACCACAAGGTACACACTCCCTCATTTGCACGTAGTTCAGTCAGATCTAATCCTGTCGGAAAGGATCGGTATCCTTATCCAATAACTGCACAACTGTTCCATCCTCGGTCTCCAAGCTCCACTCCTCAGTTCGGAACTACAAGAGGAGAGGAATAACTGTCAGAAATGCACATGTCTCATAATATCGGGCATAATAGGCGTGACTTACGAAGCTCATCCGATCAGGCCGAATGCTGCGGAACCGCATCTTTCCCTGGGTCTTGGTCCCCTTCACCCAAAACGAAATATCAATCCGTCCATGCAGCTGGTTCATCTCCCCACTGATCCACGGAATCTGCTGCGCAAAGTAGATCTCGTCACCGAGGATCTCGCGCGCGGCAGGCGACGTCCGCAGCGCATACAGGGTGCTGTTCACAACACTGCTGGACGACTTCTGGTAGTTGAAGATACCGAACATTCCAGCGCCGACGCACACAGCGAAGATGGGGAGCGTGTAGAGCCAGCGGCGGTTGGTGTTCAGCTCGGGGAGGGCGCGGTCTGCACGGCGTTCCATGATCGGGCCGGTGTTGGGGCCGGGCGCGGGCATGAGGTTTCGTCGGGGCACATTGCGTGGGTTGCGGAGGGTGCGGAGCCCCGCGAATCGGGGCAGTGCTCGGTTGAAGAGCATATTGCGCGGTGGGATGAAGAGTGGTGGTTCGAGTATAGGTGAGGCGTGGTCAGGGCGAATTCAGTTGCTGGTGGGAGAAAATCCGGCCAAACAAGACAAACATCGGCGGGTCCAGCTTCAGCTGCCGCTTGCGACGTCACGAAGTCATTCTGCCTTTCGTATATCACGCTCGCTGCTATGGCTGCTGTGAGATTGCGCAAGGCATTTCGGTATCCGGAGGAATCGGATGAGGAGCGTGAGGAGCTGGATGAGCAGGAGCAGGAACGTCTGATTCTGCAGTTGCAAAGCCAGAATGAGGCGCGGAATAAACAGTACAGTGTATATCCCACCTACCACCTCCGGGGACTCATTTGCAGATACTAAAGCTCTCTCGTAGCTGGTATTCACGGTGATCCCACTGATCTCGCTGGTGGCTTTCTTGCCTTCATTATTTACGGCACCTGGTCTGGGTGAACGGCTGCTTTCGCTCTTGGGCGTCCTCTCGCTTCTAGCTTCGGCTTATACGATGAGACTTGCTCCTTTATATCCAGATCGCAAGGGTAAAAAGCCCCTCTTGGCTGCAGATGAGCGTTTAGATTGGATTCAGTCGGCTTTTATGCCCGCCAACGGGGCGGTTTGTGTTCTTCTCACTGTTGTTTATTTGTTCTTGCGCGGAGGATCCTCATTTGACATTCGACCTGTTCTATACCTGATCCCAGGAGGTATGTATTTCTTACACTGGTGCCCGCTGCGAATAAAATTCGTGAACTGACTACTCTCTAGCTATGTTGGCAGTTATACTGCTTGCCAAAGAAACCATGCTCTCGGTGGATGTTACGACTCTGAAGGGCCTTCAATATGAGTACAAGGGAGCTTAAATGACTTGCACTTGGCAAAATACATTTAAAATTCGTCATACCGTCATGATTAAAAAGTGATAAAAGAGCAAAGCTAGTGTTTAGTATCATTGAGTGCAAGAACCAGGGGAACTTGCTCCAAGGGGAAATCAAAGGACCTTGTCATGGCTCGGTCTTCGATCGTAAGAACATGGCGTCGGTGGTTCTTCTCAATGACATCTCAAAGCAGGGTCAAGAGCCAGAAAAGTGTCGCCCAGTTCCAACGCAGGGTCAACTGGAATCTCATTATCCCGGTCTTTTCTTGGGGATATCTGGTCGGCGCATAACAAAGTCTCCAAGTGCAGGATCAATGGGGAAATATGGTTCAGTCGTAGTCTCTTCTCTAGGCGCAGTACGGGTTCCGTCGAGTCGTAGGTGCTCTTCTGCTTCGCGCCGGAGCCGTTGCAGTCGCTCCGCGCTGTTTTGGCTATTCCGGTCGCTAAACTTCTTCATCCACGCAACATTCGACTGTTTCAGACTGACCAACGACTCGACGCTTCGAGGATCGGCGATTGCGAGCGTGTTGTGGCCAAGCAAGATCTTTCTCGGTTCGTAAGGTACCATGCTCTTGTCTCGGCTGCCGCAGGTGGAACAGCTGCAAATCTTCTGGCATTTCGGACAACTCCAGAGTGTGTCTTGTAAAGCATCTATCGGTTGCTTGTCAAACAAGCGAAAGAGACAACCATAGCAGCAATGGAGGTCACAGGTCGAGCATTTCTTCAACTTCCACATGGGAGAGGTTTGCACATATAGCATCGGCCCATCCCCTCAGACTTCCTTCGACTGTTATTGGTCTTTCGACGTTCTGCGGGTCGACGATCTGATTCTTCGCCGCGCTATTCAGAGTCACTGGGCGTCGGTACTTGTGTCTGGGGCTTGTTGCAATCGACCCAGGGTCGCACTTTCAGTGGTTGCTGGCAAATTTCAGCAAGAGCGAGACCATGAGAATTAGAAAAGGTGAGGAAAAATCCGAGATATGCTTCTCGTTGTTCTTGTCCTGGTCGATGATCTGCTGTCGCCATTTTTCATGACGAGCGAGAAGGTCTTTCCAGCGGAATTGTTCAATCCACTTCAGTTTGGAGACGCATCAGTAACTTCGACCAAACACATAACAGTCCATGCAGATGTCATATGTCTCTTCCCCATCGAAACCTGACGGGCAGGTCAGGAATCGGTTGAAGATGTTGCAGTGACAATACGAGCAGGTCACATCACCTGTGAACTTGAGAAATTCGACCTTTCTCTCGGCCGGCAGCTTCGCCGAGAAACGCTCAGACATAAGTATGTCAGTGAAAATGTTGTACAGGTGTTCGAAGTCGGCCCAAAGGCTCTTCACCGCGGGATATGATGTTCCCGGGTCCTGCTGGAGAAGATTGGAATACTTCTCGACGGTGTAGAATATGATGGCCTTGTTTTTGTATTGCTCATCACGACAAACCAACCGCGCGCGAGATAGTTTTTCATCCACGGCCCACTCGAGAGTTTCCACCGTAGTCCGATTCCAAGCAACCTTCATGTTTCTGGTGCCGCGGTTCCATACCTGGTGCGCAGCAAGTGGAGGTACCAGAATGAGGTCACCGGGTTTTTGTTCAGTTTTTTGTTCAACCACAAAGATTGTAAACGGGGCTTTTGTCCAGGCATTGAGCTGAGTAAAGTGATCTTCCAAGTCGAGGTCGTGACCTAGTGTTGATCTCCAGCATTCGAACACTATGTGGCGATCTTTGTTTCAGTCATGAGTCAGATCGAAGACCCTGGTTGAATGTTTTTGCCGTCTGCCTGTGAAGACGCTTCTACCATAAGGTTGTGGCCAAAACTGGCGCACATTTCTTGATGCGCTGGCGTGTAGGTGCCTTCATGTCCAATGTAGCACATGAGATTCTCTGCTTGCATCTCCGGAGGCACCCTGCCTTCGCAATTGGCACGCCTTCCTTAGTTCGAGGGCATTCAGGTACCCTGGAATGTTGCGAACCCGGTCCAGCGTAAGGTTGGGGGGACTCATTCAAGTAGAACATGAACGGTGGGATGATCGACTCGAGTGATTTGCGCCATTCTGGGGGACAATCGATATCCTTGAGATACAACCGCTGACGCTCCGGTGCGCGGTAGTTCCTCAAATGCTTGGGCTGCGTCAGTTTGGGCAGGCTATCAGTTTGGGCAGGCTATCCAGGTAGGCCCCGATTCTGAAACGGATTGTTTGCTTTTCGCCGAGGTCTCGACAATTCTCGACTGCCCACGGTCTTGATTAGTGAAATAGGTAGCTAGATTGTGAGAACTTACCTTGCTGGCTCTTGTGTTGTCGCAACCAGTCCGCTGAGAATAAGTTTTGGTCCAGACGCTGCTGGAACCCATCAACTATAAGCGACTTGCCACAGTGGATAACATGGGTGTAGACGAGGTTTTCGAAATCTTCACGGGGGAACTTGTTGATAGCATCGCAGCTAATCCGGTCCGCAAACCGCATGTTTTCCCTGGACTGGATCAGCTTCGCGATGTTCAGGTGGGGGGAATCGGGGCTCGAAGGCTGCGCGCCGATAGAAACTCATGGTGATCGAGCAGATGCGCGCCGTGTGGGCTCAGCTGCAGCACGGACGGTTCGCCCTGGCGGTGACTGGACCTTTCATCAGGAGATCCGGGGCTGGAGAATGGTTTGGTTTGCGACGTGCGGTGCTATGCGATGTGCGCGTGTGAGGCGCGTGTTACGGGGTCTGTCAGTGTTCACTGCAGGTCGAAAAGGCAGGTCGAAGAAGCGAGTCGGAAGGATTGAGAGCAATAGCTGAGTGGAAATTACGGGGAAATTGGAGTCGAGTAGAGTGAGGGAAGCAAGGTGAGGACTGGAGTGGGAGCAGCGGAGGAAGTCAACAGGTGCCGCTGTATACTGCATGCTTCCCCTTCGGTGGATCCTTTTCGCGTCGGCCACTAAAGTTTACGACCACTTTTTTTCTGGGCTTCCGTTCAACGTCCTGCTGCTCGCCGCACACCTCACGAGACTATGAAACGGTAGCAGCCAGCCCATTGACGATCGTCGCCATTATCCTCTCCGCCCTACCAACTCCCCCCCTTCGGTCGTAATGCTATCCTCCGTCTCCTCCCGACTTCTCCGCCGGTCCCGTTTGCCGCAATGCTGGCAGGCGCAAGGCTACTTCCGATCAAATAGCGCATTGTCGACACTCGTTCGGACACAATCATTGACTACAACAAAATACATCCGGCCTGTCCGCCTACAAACACCGAGTCCGTCTTTGCAACTCGTACCGAGGCGCAATTCGCAGGTACAAGCGGTCGATCAGAATACACAGAATGCCAACCCAGCAACACATTATATTCCACCGCAAACGGGGCTGATTGCGTCCTTGCCCAAGTCATGGATTCCGTACGCCGAATTGGTCCGGCTGGATAAACCGGCTGGCACATACTATCTCTTCTTCCCAACGCTCTTCTCCACACTGCTCGCCGCTCCGATGGCTGGCGCGGCACCAACACACGTGCTGGGAACCGTTGCGCTCTTTTTCACTGGTGCGCTGATCATGCGTGGTGCAGGCTGTGCCATCAACGACTTTTGGGATAGGAAATTGGATCCTCAAGTTGAACGAACGAAGTTCCGGCCAATTGCGAGAGGCGCAATCTCTCCCCAGAACGCCTTGCTCTTTACTGGCTCTCAGATGCTGGCAGGACTCGGTGTTCTGGTTTCCTTCCCCACACAATGCATTTATTACGGTGTTCCAAGTGTGCCTCTAGTGATTGCCTACCCGCTGGCTAAGCGGGTGACCAATTATCCCCAGGTGGTCTTGGGTTTGGCCTTCTCCTGGGGAGCTATGATGGGATTCCCTGCCCTCGGCGTGGATTTACTCTCTAATCGTGATGCTTTGATGGCAGCGGGAGCTCTGTATACCAGTTGCATTTCATGGGCTGTTCTCTACGATATGATTTATGCACACATGGATATCAAAGATGATGTCAAGGCCGGGATCAAATCCATCGCTCTGCGTCACGAAAAGAATACCAAGGCTGTACTTAGTGGTCTAGCCGTGACACAAGTCGGCCTGCTGGGCGCGGCTGGTGTCGCTGCAGGATGTGGCCCCGTCTTCTTCGTTGGCAGCTGCGGTAGTGCCATTCTCACCCTCGGCATCATGATCTGGAAGGTTCAGTTGAAGAACGTTCGGAACTGCTGGTGGTGGTTCGTGAACGGAGGTCTCCTAACGGGCGGTGGTATCTCGTTGGGACTCCTTGGTGAGTATATCACACAATACCTGGGTTTGTACAATAGCAATGATTCTTCCGAGTCCGAGTCAACGCAATGATAGATCAAAAATCGATCGCCGGGAGAACCAGGTACTCTCGGATGGCCTCGACAATATTTCTCCAATCCATCATTCCACCTGTTCCCGCGTCTCCGCAGGCCAGGGATTTTTCAATGGGCGGAAGTATGGTGATCCAGCCTTCGGGTTTGGAGCTACTCCACCCCCACTCATCTCGTAGCACCTTGAGTGATTTCTCCGTTACTGGATGGACATACATTGCGGTGTTCATGGCCGGAGCCAGGAAGACCATTGGTTTCTTTGGCTTAAATCCCAAGTCCACCAGACCCGTTGTGTCCCACGCACGCAACACAGATAGCAAAAGATTGTCAGACATTCCCATCGTCATCTTTGCCATCGTGTTGGCTGACAGTGGCGCCACCAGGAGAATATGTGCCCATTTCCGCAGCTCGATATGTAGAATTGGCGCCCCGCGAATCCAAGGTCTTGACCACTCGTCACTGTCCCTATAAATACCATCCACTCCCGGTGTATTGCGCAAGCTGTCAAGAAGGGGCTGCTCCGAGCTCTGCGCAGCGAGGAATCGCTCGGCCGAATCGGTGACTATGATACGTATAGAGACATCTGGATGGCGACCGAGAGCTTCCGCGATATTCGGGATTTTGATGGTGGCGACGGAGCCGGACGCTGCAAGAAGAATGTGGATTTTGTTGTCTTGGAGGTGCTCTTGCGCAGAGAATGGGGTTTCCACGTGGGAATCCATCGAGTTGCCTTGGAGGAAAATGGTGGCCAGGAGAAGAAAGAAGCAATGGAGTCCGCGGCCGATAAGTCAATGTGGGGCAGCGACGTAAAGCCGCAGCACACGCATTACTAAACCAAACCTCCGAGGTCAACTCCGACGACATTTTGAACCCGGCCTCTCCCATCTTCACCTTCACAACCCACAATGTTCTCCCGAACTGCATTCTCGGTACGCGAACAAATCCTTTCCTGACTATTAAGCTCTCGCAATTCTGACCATCCCAGGCTTTCCGCCCGATCGCGCGGCCAACTGCTCTGCGCCCCGTCCGCGCCCCGGCTTTCCAGCTGCCCTCCATCCTCCACGCTCGCCTCCTGTCCTCTGAGACCAAGGCCGCGATCGACAAGGCCGTTGGCTCCGCTCCCGTCGTCCTCTTCATGAAGGGTACACCCGAGACTCCTCAGTGTGGTTTCTCGCGCGCCAGCATTCAGATTCTCGGTCTGCAGGGTGTCGACCCTAAGAAGTTTGTCGCGTTCAACGTGCTCGAGGACCCCGAGCTTCGTCAGGGTAAGACATACACCTATATTCGTGCTGCTGTCATTTCTTGGTCTTTGTTTACTAACTATATTGCAGGCGTCAAGGAGTACTCCGACTGGCCTACCATCCCCCAGCTATATCTCGACAAGGAGTTCGTTGGAGGCTGCGATATTCTGATGTCCATGCACCAGAACGGCGAGCTCTCTAAAATGCTCGAGGAGAAGGGTGTTCTTGTTGCGGCGGACCAATAAATGATACCTCGGCTTCGGGAAGCCCATGGCATTTCCCTGCGGATTTTAATACCTGTGTAAAATATCTTCATCTTTAGACTGAATATCCTCTCTCTGGCGTATTCTTGAATTTTATTGCTTTGGAGAATCTCAACCTTTTATCATCCAGTATATGGCTGATATTTCGATACAATTCAAGGTCGACATGGTGCTTGCTTTTGCTGGACATGAACAGAGTATCTGCGCACTTAAGATGCATATACTTGGTCTAAATCTCTTAGCTCAGGTTGCGAGTATGAGCAGCATCTGCTCGCTTTCGGTCCGTTGCCTTTGGCATTGCATTGGGTCCTTGATTTATATTAGAAAAAGAGTTCGAGGTGCGATGTCACTACTGAGTCACATGAGGCTGCATCAGGCTCGAAATGTGCGTCTTGTCTAGACGATACTGTTTGAAGGAAGGTGGTGAGTGAAGCGTTGTATACCGTCCGCCTACTCGAGGGACGTTCTTCTCTTCCTTCTCTCCTTCTCTCTCTTAGTTCGAATGTATATTTTCACGTTCACTACGTACTCTGCACTTCTAGCCCACTAATTCAATCAGAGACTACATTAGTAACGGAGACGAGATGCGGCGAATCATAAAAGATTACCCATGCATATTGGGGTCGGTTGTGATAGCATCTATACGCCGCATGGATCAGAATCCACTAATCGTCTTTGACTTGTCAGGGGTTGAGGGGCTGGATGTATCAAGAAAAAGAAAGATCTTCCGGGTGATCGTGGTGATAATATCACTAATTCTATCCATTTTTTTGACTCTCTTGAGTGATATGTAGTAAGCCCCAGTTGATGAGGACTAGCATATGTACAGTTGATTATTGTCCTTTTCCTTTACAAGGTAAACATTCCGCTCAGACACTGAGACAGAATTAAGCAGAGCTTTCCTGCGATTTCACCAAGTCCTCAGCAACGCCCTTCTGCAGCTTAGCACGCTGTCTGGCTTCATAAGCCTCACGGCTCTTGAGAATACGGTCGACAATCTCGCCAGCGTTGACATGCTGGAAGGCATGTTGGTCGACTTCACGGAAGATGCCCATCTTCTTGGGGGCAGTGTACGGGTCATATGTCAAGGGGATGAAAGTTGTGGGTCCGTGGTAGACGACACTGGGCACCCCGAACGGCATGGCCTCGAGGTAAGGCTGGCTGGGGACGAAGGGGGCGGAGAAAACGACAGCGTGGATGTACTAAATTTCGTTAGTGGGTATGAAGAACCTTGGGGGCCCAAAATTACGAAATGTCTCACCTTGCACTGGAGAACGCAGAGACCGCGCTCGAAAATGTTCATGATCGGGTAGTTGAGGCCCTTCCAGTGGTTGATCACGTCGTCGTCATGAATACCCGCGACAATGTAGGCCGGCGCATAGTCCTCGCCGTGCTCCTGGATCCTCTTCTCCTTCTGCTCGGGCTCGTACCAGCCTCGTGCACGTCCTTCGGCCTCTTCGTACTCCATGGCCTTGCGGAGGAATTCAATGTGACCTGACGAGAAGAGATCGAACCCTCCATCGACGTAGACGACCCGTTGACCAGGCTTGGGCCCTTTTCCATTGACCAAAGTCTCGTATTTACCGGCTTCCTCGATGTGGTCGTCGATCTTCGCGGTGCCCGAGCCGGTCCAGGTCCAGACCTGAGGACCGGGTTGCAGGCCGCTCTCGTCAGTCGCATAGTCGGTGATTCTCTGCAGAAGTTCCGTGGCAGTCGCCTTGCGCTCCTCGGGGCTTCCTGATCCCTCCTCTCCGGACAGAGTGTTCTTAACAGACTTGACGAAGTGGTTCTTGGTGCAGAGCAGCATGCGGCCGACCAGGTCGGTTGTAGAGATACCAGGGGTACGCTTGACGACCTTGAAGCGGCCAGCGGCCTTGACGAATCGGTAGCAGTCGTTGCCATCGCTATCGGAGGTGATGTCGTCACCGTGGACAACGTACTTGCAGCCGTAATGCGAAACCCAAGGCAAGTATGTCACGTAAGGAGCGTGCGGGACGCTCTGAGTGGCCCAGCGACAAGCATCAACTGCAGAGACACTAAAAACATCAAGAATACCATCGTTAGCAAGTGTTGGAGAGGCATGAGGGGTTGTTCGCAAATTGTGGAGCTCACCGTTCGTCCAAAGACATGACCGTTGGACCCTTATTTTCTAAAATGGCTTGATCGGAATGAATGCCCACGTAAAGCTCCTTGCCAAGGCGGCGAGCCTGCAGCATGGCGCCAGCATGACCTATGCGTAGATCGTTGGTCAGTTTCTATACTGCAGATCAAGAGGGGCGTTTAGATTTCTTACCGTGGTGGGTGAAGTCGAAGCAGCCGTCGACCCAAATCTTATCTTCAGAGATGGGCTGGTCCTCCTGGGGGTCCACAGGCCATTGGCCCGGTGAGGGGACTTGTTCGTCAAGAGGTGTAGAGCTCATTGGCGCAAGCAGTCGCAAAATGAAGCTGGAAAGGTAAAGGAGAGAAAGGGTTTCGAGGGGCGGAGCCGGGAGTAAATTACATGTACGGCGGAAAGGGACCGGAGGGGCTGTGGGGAACTCTCCAGATCTCCTGAGATTCGATCCCTTCGTTACAGCGCCGTTGCATTTCAGCGCCATCTGCCCCTTCGACCGGCCTCGCCTTGTCCACGGTTCTCGCGATCGCCCTGGCCCGGGGGAAACCCCTGTCTGTTATCCCTGTCCTGCGCCCAACGTCATAACGCCTGCAGTCTTGCTGCAGTTTCGGCGAAGTCGACCACCAGCCCACCATGATTTCGTCCTCGTTCGCCCCGAGTCTCACGCGGAGGGATACGGCCAAGTCGACTGGTGGATATGAAAACACCCATGGAGGAATCCCGCCAGTGTCGAGTGGTGGAGGACCGTTTGGGCCGCAGAGTGCTGGTGCCATATATCAACAGATTCACGAGATGGCCGCCAAGCGGATCTCAACTTTGGGATACTTGAGGAAGGCGTAAGTGGTGCATTACCTTGCTACACTGTGGAATTATATCTATGAATACGATGCTAATATGGATGGTTTGTTCGTGCAGACTCGAAGGCCGCGTTTACTGGTTCAATACAGTGCATTTCTCCAGGGCAGACATCAGTCGCATGCCGTACTTCGATGCCCGGAAGCTCTCGCGCCGGGCTGTCAACTACCTGCTTCTTGGTCTATCCATCCCACCGGTCCTCGATGCCAGCTCAACCCCGTTCGAATACCTGCGAGCTCTTAACGCCCTCCTCCTCGAATTCGAAGCTTACCAACAAGTCCACCCGCCAGACGGAAGTTCCTCATCCAGTCTCGCCCGAGCTCGTATCCCTCAGATGTTCAAGCGGGCAGCACACGCCGGTACCAAAACTCGGCGGGCCAGTTCTGCGACGGATATTGGACTGCCAATGCAAACCAGCGACCCGTCGGACCTCAAAAGCTCGGGCAACAGCATTACGTCGCCATCCACCGCCGCAGCGGCCTCAATGATCTCGTTCCCCCTCACCGAGTCCTCCGATCTTCTTCCTGGTGAAGAATACACATACCTCCTGACGCCATCGTTGCCCTTCGAGCCAGATTTCTTCGAGACATTCGCTACTCTGTGCGACGTCTTGATTGACTGCTATACTCGGATTTTGAGTCTGGTCTCGTCCCCGTCCACCTGCACAGTAGGGCTGGGTGAACTGTTCTCCAAAGCAGATGCCAAATTGCGCAAAATCATGGTCGCAGGTGCAGTGCGGGAGTTCGAAGATGCGAGCCGTAATAGCGTCAAGAATGAGGTTTCTGGTGTCAGTCGTGTGGTGCTTGGTGGGTTGATGGGGTAGAAGCACGGCATACTTGCCCCGCCGATTTCTACTCTTTACGTTGAAACCCATGACTCGGATGAGCTTGGGCGAGTATATAATTATTCTGCTAACGATTTGAAGATGGTGTTTCGGGAGTTTTGACCAATAAATACCTGTACATGGCTTTATTTCTCCGAGATATTGTTTGCATTTAGTGGTTATTGAGATATCGATTCAAAAAGCAATGTACAGTAGCTGAGAGTTTCGGCTCATAACTGGAAATCTTTCTCTATGCATCTATGGTTCGCAAGGCGGATATCACTCGTTTGTCTGAAAACAGAATAGCAGGTCGCTTGAGAACAATTCATGAGAACTTTTTTGGTAGTTTCTGGCCGTGTCGCATCGTGAAGCACTGGGGCTGGTGTATGCGTAGCGCAGAGTCCCCGAGGTCGTGGGTTGATAATAGGTGTAAAAATAAGAATATCAATGGAAACTCCAAGTCGCGCCGCAGGCTTCAAAATGCAGTGAAAATCGAAAAGCGCCGAAATATGCAATCGCTCGATGCAAGGAACGTGAAGGAGAGGTTTGTGCTTCGAAAATATCGTCGGTTCAAGGGGGAGTGGTGGTAATTCGTGGAGAGTTCGAATCAGTCCGTTTACAGCTTCTGTTTCTCGAGATCGCGCTGCTCGCCAAAGACTCGGCGGCTCATCTCGAGGACAGTCTCAAAGCCCTCACGACCGATCTTGGCGTTCTCACGGAATCGCTCCACGCTAGCCTCCTCGACCTTGTTCTTAATTTTCTGCCATCCACCGCAGAGGGCGGTAATCTTGGCCTCCTGAGTGAACTGGGTGGTGGCGGACGGATCGATCGACGACGGCTGGTAGGTGACGGTCTCACGGACGTTAAGGACGTTGGACCAGGTGAGGTTGTTGGAGCACATGGTGACCTTCTTGGAAACGGGGTCGACGTAGGATACTTCGTAGACGTGGGAGGTGGTTGTGCCGCCGAGCAGAGTCAGAACCCACTGAGGAACTGATTGATTGCAGGTGATCAGACGTTCGGTTCGCAACTGAGAGAATGTTAGCTCAGGGTTCATCAATAGCACATGCTAGCATCTTGACTCACAATTCCGGTCGAGGGATCGACGGTGCGAGAGAGGGTGTCGACACCAACGACATGGGTGACCTTGTCGTTCCACGGGCAATACTTGCGCCAGTTGGCCGTGGACACCTCATCCCAGGAGTAGTCGAAGGTGCAGGCGGACGAAAAGACCTTCATGGCGAAGCGCGTTCCGTGAACGAGTCGCTCAAACGAGAGGAGTGCAAAGTGCGAAATGCAAAGCGCAATGCGGGAAGTGAAAAGGGGTATCGAGTGGTTGAAGGACGAAACGACCGAGGTGGCAAGGTCGAAATAAACGTCAAAAAGGGCTCTGAAAATCCCTAGATGAGTCAGGCTCGAACGAGCAGAAAGATGGGGAATGTGGGTTTCAGTGGCGATCGTGAGGGAACGTCAAATCGATTTTTTTCGCGCGCGGGTCAGGACGGCCGAGAAGAGCCGTGGGTCGGAAAGTCCCGGTGTGCTTATGTGAGGCGGGCCAGCCGCAGTGAATTGCAGCTCGCTCGTGCACGTTACTAAGATTAGGTTGACTAAGGTTGCCAAGAGCCTGGACTTTACCCCAAACATTCTGGCGAAGCGTCTGGAGCTATCCAATTCCACCCCATCTCCTCTTCGCCATGGTTGAACTTCGCAAGCGCAAGGCGCCCGCTCCCCCTCCCGTCGTGGAGAAGAAAAGCAAGCCAGCCCCCACGGCCAAGGCGGCCGACAAGAACGATGCCTCTCCCGACAAGGAAGCTCCCAAAGTGCCTCAGGTGGGCGATGTCATCGACCTGGAGACCTTTGGTGGCGACATTGAGACCAATGACGGCACCGCCACTTCGCTGAAGAAGCTTGTCGAGGAGAGCAAGGCCGGTGTTGTTCTGTTTACCTATCCCAAAGCTTCTACTCCCGGTTGTAGGTGCCCATTTGATATTCATAGCGTGGCCATTCCCACGCGCTTTTGATTCGCCAGCCGTGCGTGAACTCGACCATCTAACCTCCTCCATCCAGGTACCAAGCAAGCTTGCCTGTTCCGCGACAATTTCGAACATCTTTCGTCGACTGGCCTGGCCATCTATGGCCTCTCGGGTGATTCACCCAAGGCAAACACTACTTTCAAGACCAAGCAGAACCTTCCCTACCCGCTGCTTTGCAACCCCGCCTATGGTCTTATCAGCGCAATTGGCCTCAAGAAGTCCCCCAAGGGAACGATCCGTGGTGTCTTCGCCGTCGACAAGACGGGTAAGGTTCTGCTTCGCGAGCAGGGCGGCCCTGACGCGACCGTTGATGCTGTCCAAAAGATCGTTGCCCAGAGCCCCATTGCATCTAAGGTTGACGCCAAGGAGGACACTACCGAGAATTCCAACGGCGCTACCAAGGAAGAGCCCAAGGATGGGTCCAAGGATGAATCCAAGGAAGAGTCTAAGAAAGATTCAAAGGTGGAAAATGGCCCTGGGGCCAAGTAATCTGATATCGTCAAATAGTGTGGGGAATCACCGACTATGTACTGCGACCCAGCCTGTTCAACATAACTTAGGTGCCGCCCACTGTGACCTGTAGCTGCACGCCTTTACACCCTGATGTTCATAGGAACACCCCAAGGTGAAAAACATCATTTCCTCTCTTTTCCTTGACGTGGAGTATCTTCCAATTGTTAAATCGTTCGACACTGTAGCTTGTTTGAGACAGCAGATGGCGGGCCATGAACAACAGCTTTTTTGGCCTGAAAGTTTTAGCCAATAGATATGGAAGGCCATGTGAATAGACAGATACATGAGCTCAAACATTCAAGGAGATCCCTTGAATTTCTCATGTCTTAGTCCTATGACACGAGAAATTGCTGCTACTAGTAGAAACACCTTTCAATTAACTAATTACTATACGAAGTCCTGCTGGAGTCATGTAATATACATACCGTATATAACCATCTAATGTACTTAATATACTTCACAATACGGTAATAAATATACATAACTATACCTTTGAAAGCATGCAATCCAAGCAATGGCAGTATTATTCCCAACTAAGTAGGCACGCGCCCTCGAAGTCGCCTGATCGCTCCATTCCTAGCATTGGCTCGAGTATTCGCACACAGACACACTCAGCAGTCTGTCTAAAAATCATTGAGCTCATTCGGAAATCTTTGACTCTACAACCTCCACAGCTACCTCTTCAGAGACACTCCCAGATGTTCATTGGCTCTTTCACTTCATCCAAATAGCCTCGTGGACAGTTCTTCTGATTTACCTACCTGGTATCTCGCTTTTCTGGGTTTCTCTCCCGAGGTCCTGTTTCCACCGTCGGATTTCCTGCTTCGGACTCTCGCTGCCCTCGAGTCCCGACCAACGGGGCCATCTTCAACCCGACAACCATAATATCCTCGACCCTAATAAGGATAATTCATAAACTCTGAACTGCGCTGAAGCACCTTTTTCACCCTCTCGGCCTTTATTCGACCCCATATGCCAAAATGGCGCTCGACAATCTCCGTCCCGAATTCCTCCACTCATTCTCCCCCACTCATTCTCCCCCTTCTCTTTTCCAACAAGGGCATTACCGCCCTGTCCCTCCAATCTCGATACCTGAACGCTGTTTACGATATGAAGACGTCAAAGCGCTTTCACAGCATCAAGGACTCCACTAGGTTTTGAAGACTTAACCCGGCCTTCGAGTTCCTAGTGGAGGTGCTGAAAGACAAGTTGCTCGCTGCACTCGTTCGCCATATCGAGTGCAATCATTGGCCATTCATTATGAATACTCATGAATACTCTATGGAAGAAGAATATCGATAGCTGGGCGATGGCGACATGCGGCGCTTGAAGAAAGTGTTTGACAAAATCGCCTACTTTCTTCACTTCCAGGGCATGAGAGGGTGACATGGAAGAACGTGCTTCTCCGTAACAAAGCAATTATTAAATTGTATAGTGACGAAGATTGGGAGGTCGACGATGAGATCGAGGAATGGAGGGCTGGGGATCTCACTAAAGAAGACGTCACCCGCATGGCACTCTCGGATAGTGCCTGGGATAACTGGATCGCTCAGGGGATCATCGGCGTCCGGCATATGTAAGTAAACACCATGACCGACCTGCACCTTCTTCGCATGGTGCTCACTAAAGAACAGTAACAAGTCGTCGGATGGCCCATACATCGCGCAGGCCCTCGCCACCCTGCTAATCTCACCCGCCCCTAATCTCACTTCTCTGGCTCTCGTGCTTCCCAGCCCATCTTTCGCATCCGAGGGTTGGATCATCATGATGCCGAAGAATGGACCCCCTATCCGCTTTATTTCTTCTTCAAAAGAGCAAACATGGTACTTGGCCCGGAATACCTCCTCCCCTTCCTCCAAAACCCCCGCCATATCTACTTCATCAATAAGTCATCAATCAACGGCGAGATAGGGTAGGCGGAGGTAGACTTGAATCGATGTCTCGCGCGTCTCAACCACTTGCCGTCAATTGAGTCTTTCGGGGTCGACCTTATGAGACCCAAGCATGCCGGAGAGTTGTGGGAGTTGACGGGCAATTTCGAGAGGTTCTCAATACGCCACTCCGAAGTTCCCAACATCCACCTCTGTCGACTCTTGAACAGTGTTGAAACTCTTCGAGAATTCAACTACTCGGACAGGGGAAGATTGGAAAAGTAGAACGTTGGGTGTCGCGTGAGATCAACCACAAATCCGTCATAAAGGTTTTGTGCAAGCACTAATGCACTTTAGAAAGTGCTTGATGTTGACGCCCTAACCCCGTTATACCAAGATGGCCGTTCATATGACACGTTGATGGACCCGTTACCCCTCAGAAAGATATACCCATGACCGAATCCCGAGCCATAGAAGTGAGCTTCTATGAATCGGTATGGGGAAATGAGGGCTCGCTGAGAGACTTCACTGCTTTAAAGCGCCTATCCCTGTCCATCAACTTCCTGCTGTACTTTACAACAGAAGTCAAGAGCGGTCTGGGCGAGTTCGGGGAGGATGAGAAGAATCTGGTGGATAACCTGCCAAGTTGCCTGGAGTACCTCTGGATCCGGGACTACAAGAGACACGCAACGTCTCGGTGGGGGGCATGTCTCGACAGCACGCGGACTGGGACGAGCAGGTTGATGCCCTGATAGCAGCCATCGAAGAAGGGATATTCCCACACCTCAAGGAGGTCACTGGGGTCGACAGAAAGATCCCGAGCTCGATACATGGCACCCATCAAGATCGATACGCGACCATTTGGTCTCTTAGTGAGAATGGATATGAGACAGATGGTGTCATCGAGGCCCGAGAGCGTGGGGACGTGGACTACACAACGGGCGAGAAGGCCTTTTCCAAACACATGAATAGTGACATATTTTCTTCCGCCAATGAGCCCAAATGAACTCAAGAATAAAAGCGAGTTGGGTAATGATTAACGGAGTTCATTCTGGCTAACCAACTTCTCAAGCGCTGTAATCCATCCATGTCACCGATTTAGTCCACAAGAACTCATCCAGCATGTTGGTTCCGAATCGTCCATATCCGCTGCTCTTGAATCCTCCATGAGGAAGAGCAGACTCATCATGGACAGTCATGGAGTTGATGTGTACCGCACTAGTTCTTTTGTTAGAACAATACGAACCAACTCAGAGCGAATCACTTACCCAGAGTCAATTTGGCCCGCAACATGCAGTCCCCTGGCCAGATTCTCCGTATACACCGCAGCACTCAATCCGTACTCTGTGTCGTTTGCAACCTTGATCGCCTCCTCGTCGCTGTCAACCACGAAAAGTGACACGGTAGGACCAAACGATTCGGTCTGATAGATGTCCATGTCCTTCGTCACATTCTCCACAACAATTGCACCCATCCGAGTATCGGAAGACACTTGAGTATCAAGATCGCCGAGAAGAACTTTGCCACCTTTTGCAACAGCGTCCCGAATCAAATCCTTGTTCTTAGAAATAGCTTTGGAATTAATCGCCACCAACCCGGTGCTGGGGCCACCAAGGACATTGTTGACTGCGACTTTCAAGGCCTCACGGAACTTATCGGCGACGCTTCTGTGGACAATAATTCGTTCTGTGCACATGCAGACTTGACCGGTCTGGTATTTGTGTTAGCTGTCAGCTCTCATATTCAAGGGCAGATAGACTTACATGCATGAATGATCCGATGGCAGCCCCCAGGGCGGCCTTTTCCACGTCGGCATCTTCAAGAACGACAGTGGGTGCCTTCCCTCCAAGCTCCAAGATCACGGGCTTAATGTAAGTCGCCGCGATCTGGCCAATCTTCCGACCGACAGCAGTACTTCCAGTGAAGCTCAACTTCCTCACTGCGGGATGGGCGATGAGTGCCGTAGTCACATCCGCGGCATATGCAGGCTGAGAATAAATGACATTGAGACAGCCATCTGGAAGTCCAGCTTGGCGGAATGCGTCTCCAATCGCCCAGAAACATTTCGGAGACAGCTCTGAGCCCTTCAGCACGGTTGTGTTTCCGGCTGCGAGAGGGAGAGCTACGGATCGGATACCCAAAACGAAGGGACCATTCCTGGTCACGGATTAGTCCTGAGACAAAGATTCGGACCATGTTTACTTACCAGGGCGCGATTCCGAGGACGACTCCGTAGGGCTGCTTATAGACCATTGCACTCATTCCTTCCTGTGCCAGGACGGGGGAAGTGGCTTGGATACCCGACACCTTGCCTGCGACATCCCTCAAAAGATTCACACCAAGCATAAGGATGAACTCGGCATATGGAACCTGCGAGCCGGTTTCTTCGCACATGTACCCGACGAATTCATCCTTCCGAGCCTCGCAGATATCGGCTGTCTTCAGTAGAATATCTCGTCGTGTCGCGGGCTTGGTCTTTGACCACTCGGGGAAAGCACTCTGAGCTGAATCAACAGTTTGTGTCACACTTTCGACAGAAGCGGAACTGCATTTGTGCTCGACCTTGCCATTGGCGGGATTGATCACGTCAAACGTGGTTGTCGTCGTGATGTCCTTGTTTCCGATGATGAGAGGCACCGTCGGGCCGGGCGTTCTAGCTTCGGAAGCCGTCATGTTCGAAGGATACTGAGGACGAGAAGGGAAAAGAGTGAGACGTGGGGTGATGTCCGCAGATGTGAAGAAGGCGTGAGATCCGCGTTGGAAAGCCGTGTACGTGCCCCTCTAGAGCTCTGGCCATCGTGCTGACTTTATAGCTAAATCAGTGATTCATGCAGCTATCGTCTGATGACACTTCTACCGAATCCTTTACCGCATGATTGGCCGCATTGGCCGCGTTGGCCGCTATAGAGCTAGCCTAGTCGCAATTATAGGAGATTATGAAGCGGGGTTGAATCAATGCAGATCCCGGGCCCTCGATAACATTATCGGAAGCTGTCAATGGTGCGGTTCCGAAACACTTGGCCAGTACCCTTCCCCAAAAGAGACAGCACGGAAGCCAAATCTGGGGTGCGGGGCTCGATTGCAGAGGTGCGGGGATCGTTGGGGGAAGATTGCCGATTTTCGATCCCGAACGCTTCGGCTTCATCATCGGGTGGCGACGAAAGTCTAATCGCGATAGAGCTTCGGCCGACTTTGGAATATGCAGCTTCAGTAAGGAGTTCATACTTGGATATACAGAACAAAGCATGGGTCACGAAAACAGTGTCTCATATTTCGTAGATTGATGACAATAAAGCCTGCTAAAGCATCCGGGTGTCGGGAAATAAACAGAAGAATTTTCTATAAGTCTTCAGTCTTTACCTCCCTGGCTCTTTTCTCATCGAAACATTTTTCATCCCAAAATGCCAGTTACCACAGAAGCCCTCATTTTCAGAGAGCTTAGCTCGCCTGTAAAGCTGGAGAATATTGTGCTCGATGCTTTACTTCCAGATTAAGTCCAGGTCGAGATTCATGCCTCTGGACTCTGCCACGCGGACTTTTCTTGCATGAGCGGAACCTATACCGGCAACCTTCCCGTGTGTCTTTGGACACGAAGGTATGTATCATTCTCCGATCTCTCTAAGCTTCGCTACTGACATGCGAAACAGGAGCTGGTGTAATCCTAGAAGTTGGAAGCAACATCAAACACATCGAGTAGTAAGACAAGGTCTTAGTCAGTTTCGACTCCTGTGGATCCTGTGCATAGTGCACCTCCGACCACCCAGCATATTGCGTGGAGTGAGCCCAACGCAACTTCGGACAGAGACAAATGGACGGGAGCGCGAAGATGGCGCGAAGGTCCACTGGAACTTTGTCGGCCAGAGCTCATTCGCTCGGCATACCATCGTCCACGGCAGCTCGATTGTCAATGTCCCTTCCGAAACCTCACTGGGCCCTTTCTCCCAGCTCGGATGTGGCATTCAGACTGGTGCTGGAGCTATTTTGAACACAATGGACGTGCAGCCTGGTAAGTCGGTGGCTATTTTTGGCGTCGGGTCCGTAGGCGGAACTCAGAGATGCCGTGATCATCATCGCGGTAGACCTGCAACCCCAGAGATTGGAGTTGGCGAAAAAGCCTGGGGCGACTCATGCTGTGGTTGGCTCTGATGAGGATGCCGTTGCCCAGATTCAGAAGATTACTGGGTCTAGCGGTGTTGACTATTTTATTGGTTGTGCTGGTGTGCCCCAAGTAGTTGAAAAGGCGCTGGAGTGTCTTGGTAAGTGTGGAAAAGCAGCAACTCTCAGCGCACCAGCACCTGGAAAGCGAGCGGGAGTGGATGTTATTTCTCACTTGGTTACGGGACACCAGTATATTGGCTGCTGTGAGGGCGACAGCGTTCCTCAGAAGGCAAGCAGGCCTTCTCCTTTATTATGTAAAACTTGCTAATTTCCTCATAGATGCTCCCTTATCTCATTGGACAACATTTCACAGACCGATTTCCCCTCGGCCAAATCGTTTCGTTCTATTCCGTCAGTGAATATGGACGGCTTTTTAAGGATATCAAAGATGGCATGGCCCTGAAAGCTGTTCTTCTCTGGGAATAGAATCAGACAGTCAAATATTGTCCATTTGGCCTCCTTATTTAGCTTCTTTATAATGGTGCTGCAATATCAATTGAATTTACCGATTGTCGCTTCATCGCAATCGTCTTTAGCTTCTTAAATGCTTATCAACAGCTACAAGTTCGTTTCTGCAAACTCCGAGAATTCTAAAGATTACGCTCTATTATATGCCAAAAATGATGTTATAGGAATGTGTTTTCTGATATGCATCTTTTCCTCGGTATTTCAAACTTTTGAGCTTCTGAATCATTTTTCTCATCCGATATTCAGAAGGCTGTTGTCCTCATCGGAGGGATGTCGGGGATACAACTTTGCTTTTTCTTCTCGGGAAGCTATTCGGCAGTCCTATCATGTCGCACCACGAAAACTCAATCCATAGTCTTAATTGTATGTGAGCTCACAATACGCCAAGGCAATTCCGGGTTTTATCCGTGGCTGTCTGCCGTATTCGGTAACCGGCTGGGGTCAATGCAGAGTGGATCGGCGGAGAAATTTGCGGGGTGTCACCCTCAGAATTGAGTCGTCAGAGGAGGCATCACAGATGATATGTGGAGATACTCATTGGTAAACCAAGTTTGAGCTAAGTTCTAAAATGTGGGTTCTCGTCTCAACGGGGGAGATTAGACGGATAGTCAATTGTGTTAGAATTCACCGGTAAGGAGTAGAAAGTGTCAGAATTTACATAGTATTTCTTGGTATTAGCACTTGAAGTGCGTATATACAAAAGGTGTTTGATATACAAATTGCGTCAACTCACAGCCTAAATGAATAAGGAATTGTGTTACGGGCCGTTCGAAAGAAACAGATTGATTCGGTGCCTACAGGACGAGAATCTCGAAGATGAAGAAGGAGAAATAAAGAAAGTCCGCCAGAAAAAGAGGAGTTATGTCCCCAGCAAACGCGTAGTGCAAACGACCCAATATTATGCCTCAGGCATCCTTCCACGAGACGAGGCTATTCCCAGGTTCATCCGTCACATTGTGGAGTAAATGACCGCAGTAAGCAATCAATCTGCCACTAACGGATCCCAGTATTCAGCTGACAAGGCGCATGGAGAAGTTTCGCACATGTCAAGGAGCTAACAGGAATCTTGGAGCACCTTTCTTCATTTGTCACTGTTGGTCGCCGACTCAAGATCTTGCGAGCAATCCCTGTGAAGCCGTTAGAACAAACATGGAAATTCAGTGAGTTCGTTGCACACTTACGCTTTCTTCAAACGATCCCAAAGCCCACTGAGATCTCCAACAGGCAAGGTAAGAGGGAATCCAACAGAATCAAGGAGTTGTGCTGTCAGCAAGTAGAAGCCAAGCACACTAGCCAGGAATAATGCAGCACCGCCGCCCTGGACGCAAAGGCATTAGCGACTTGAAAAGCGAAGAAATCGATCGGAAGGATAAAACTCACCACTGTCAAGCGGTTACCAAGCACCTCATCTCCAGCGCCCAGCTTCCAATAAGCGGCAGCTAGAAGCGAGAAAACCACAACGAGAGACGTGAAAATGACGACGTATACCACATTCGTACGCGACGCGCAAATGGTATAGATGAACATCAGAAGCGCCATGAATAGGAAGAAGAATGCTGATGCAAAGTCAGTCCCTGGACAATTGAATAAACGTATTGTAGGACGTACCGAATGTGTTCACGAAGCCAGGACTATGAAGTCCTGCGATTGTATCCGATGTCGAGGGGGAATAAGGGGCTAAAAAAGGGTTAGCGAGTTCAATGTGTGGAGGAAATTTTAATCTTAGCACATACCTGCAGCATTGAAAGCTGGAGTCATACTCGCGCCGAAGGCCAAGCAGAAAGCACCTGAAATGGTCAGTTCCTCGTGTCGGCGAGTTGATGAGCTTCAAGTTTGACATACCTAGATGTCCAAAGACAACGGAGGAGAATGTATTTCCAATGACAAACTCGAGGATACTAGAAAGTACCAGGAGAACTCCGCCAAATAGAATCAAGACGCCACTATAAAGGTCAGTAAATTGCAACTCGGATATTGCCAACGAGGGAACTCTTACGTGAACGCAGCACCAGCTCCGCCAGCACCTCTCCAGGCCATCAAGCAACAAGAGACCGGTGTGGTTGTCAACACAAAACCCCCCAGTCCCCTATAATATAAATTGTCAGCGATGTTTCATCGAGGCTTCGGAAATCATATCTGTAGGGAGTTCTTACAATGGAGTTGGGTTTCCCAAATTCTTCGTCAGAGCCGACTGGCGGTGCATCATGGGGTTGAGATAGAGCCTCTCAAACTGCTCCGCAGACAGGGTCACGGAGGTAGGGACCTGGGTTAAACCAGGCATGACTCCAACTTCATGATGCGAAGCCTTTGAATTGATGCGATGGTTTTCGTGAGCCATTTTGTCGCTTATTGTACTCGCGTGCACCCAGACGCACACGGATAAAAAGACGAAAATGAGGAAGTAGACAGAACGATCGAGCAGACACAATAAAGTCGAATCCACAACCACTCCATCTCTGCAGCCATCACTCTCTTTGTAGCTCCTTCAACTGCAGAAGGGTACGCAACCAGAATCCCCAAACTCAAAAACCATGTCGGGAGCCAGACCGGCAGTCTTCAGATGCACTGAGAGTATGTCGGAAGTGCCATCGGGAGCGCTGATAGACAGTCCCATATTAAGGGCTCACATATATTCTGGAGAAAGATTGGAGTACCCCACTAAATATTGAGCTCTGGTTTGCGGAGAGTTCAGGAGAGTTCAGGATCGATATAGTGTGTGCATGATCGCTGTCGTCCTAATAAGATGGTTAGCGACGAAGAAATCCGTGGGTCTGCCGAACCTTATGATAGACCGAACGAGGTACCGAAGCTGAGCTTAGGATCCGATACTTGTTTCCGACATTGATGGCTTCCGAATGAGTAGGGCCGTTTTCCTCGGGCTGACTTGAGAATAGAGAATTAAGGAGCTCTCAGACCTATATTTACATTACTATGAGAACGCTGCCATCGTTTAGACTGCTCACTGCTGGTCTTAGCTGGTGTAGGTGATTTCTATTTCATGGCAGGCGCAATACGATATCGGCTTCTATTGGTCACATAGGTTGATTCTCGCTGAACTAAAAGTCCATGCCTCCGCCTGACTTTTCAGGTGTTTATGCACTTCAACTTTTGACAACTACCGCTCCTTTCACGTGGTCGGCCTTTGAGTCTGATTGATGAGGGCTGGTTAGTCGGTTGATTGATTTTGCCGCTCTGTAGAAGTAAGGACAAATCAATCAACCAATCGACCAGCCAACTTACTGGCCTATCGATCAACGAAATGCTTTGGCCGACCGCAGGGGCCATCGAAGAGAGCAGGAGGGAGAGACATGGCCGTTATTTTGCGGGAGCTGTCGGGGCGGGCATTAGTAATGCCTCCCGCCGTGCGCGACGATCGGGTCCGGCGGTACAATTCTCCGCGCTCTGCACCTCCGGAGTTACCCTGACGTGCCGCATTTCGAACTTCAAGGCTGCCACGACCGCTTGACGCACTTTACAGACTTTTAGAGGTCAGTCAAAGATCCAATTCCAACCCTACACCACCCCCCAGCTTCAATTTCCGGTGTCCCAAGACCTGATGCGCTGACAAGACGGCACAGGTCAAAGTCTTCAATATGGCCGGCGGTGCTCAGAAAGCCGCCAAGGTGGCGTCGTCCGTCGTTCCGCTCGCCCAAGTACGTTCTCTCGATAAATTAAGGCTATATTGGACAGACATTGACTCGTTCGCGACAGAAATACACCCTCCAGTCCACCGGGTTCTGGGAGTTCGTCCGCCGCACCCTCGCCGTCGACCCCAACCGTTCCACCGGTGTCCCCTTGAACTCCCAGTACCGTCTCCCGACTCCCGGTTCCATCCCTCCCCTGGCTTACGATGACCCCGTCACCGTTCCGGCCGGTGACATTGCCGACAACCCCTACTGGAAGCGCGATGTCCGAAGGAATTACCCGAAACTGAGCACCGTGACCCAGGCCGATGCCGTTGGCCTGTTGACCGTCGGCAGCCAGGCTGCTCCCAAGGACGATGTTCTGCAGATTGGCGAGGCTGGCGAGAAGCAAATTGCCGAGGTCAAGGAGCAGGGCCAAGACCGTGGTCTGTCTGCGTTCTTTGAGAAGGACAAGAGCACTGTCGTCAGTGTTCTTGGCGCCAATGGTCTCCCTCCTACCCCCGCCAACCTCAACACTGTTCCTAAGGAGAACCAGTCTAAGTATGATCTTGACTCGGAGCACGGTTATCCCGAGAAGTATGTTGTCCTTGTGGGACTCTTTATGGATGCCTTGAGACTAACGGTTGTTTTTAGGTACCCCTGCCGCATGTTTATTTGATTAGATCATTTTTTGGAGAGGTTTTCATTCCGCTCGTAAAAGGGCCAGCTAGTTTCTGTGACATCCAATATACATTTCCTTTTTCCATTTCTTGTTATCATATGCCTTGAATATATGGCAGAGAAATATGACCTGGTACGATAAAGGATAAAGTGACTGTTTTGCTCGGTTCTTTGATTCCTGTCTTCGTTCCCATTTGAAGTACACGGCTCTCTTTTCTCTGCCCTTTTTCTGGGTGATAATCTCTGCAAGATCTCATCGCCCTGGAATGTATGCTTTGAAGTAGGACAGCATGAACAGAGTTCCAGGGTAGAAACATACAACATGAGACGATATGGCTCATTGGCGAATCCTGGTTGTGGCCCACTGTAATATGAGGGGGAAAATGAGGAGACAGCAGCATGCCTGCATACAGACCAAGGAACCAGTACACGAATTCCCAATGACCCTCATGCTTGACCCTAATGCGTGAAAGGCTGATGCTGTTGGGTAAACTCGTGAGAAACGAATAGTTCATTCTGGATAGTTGAATTGTAAAAGATTTGGCGTTCACGGTGTTCAATCATTGCTTGGTACGATATCGCGGAAACCCATCGACCTTTCCCAAGTTTCGGGCCATGAGTCGAATTTCGTTCTCCTGGTCAAAGGAACTCATGACGAGATGAAGCTAGGATAAATTTTTACTTAGTGTCAAAATCTTCCTCGAAGTCCTCAAAATAGAGCAGGCTTGAAGCTGAGCTCTTCGGCAGAGCGTTGTCAGGGTGCTTTTGGTGATTCCAATGAACTTCTCTCGGTTAAAGAGAGATCATGAAGCCTAATAGACTGGCCGTTGAGAACCAAGACCACCAAAGGATTGTGTGGTCCTTCCAGTCATCTCATTTTGATCAGAACTCAGATCTCGATGCAGGTTGAATCGTTGCTCGGCTCGAATCTCCGCTACAGTGAATATGCCCGAGATTGACAGTTCATGCGTACTTTCTGGGACCTAGGAAAGATTTTAATTGCCAAAAATGGTTGTAATCGCATGAAGATCAACTGGGAAGCTATTCCAAACGTACACGAGCAGTTTGTGGTAAGATCAGGTCTCCCGAAACCAAAGTGCGTGGTATCAAAGTTGTTGGGTTGGTGAAGAAATGGTGAGATAGTGTATTTGATGAATCCCAATTTAGTCGCACTGTAATACCAATTGATTCTGCATCAAGTGAACAAAATCTTAAAACGGAATAGGTGAATTTGAGGCAGATCCAATCCACCTAACTCGGCTCATGGATCATGGGCCTGGCCGGAGTTAATGCACCACCACCGGGCATCATTCCAAAGAATATCGAAGATGAGGAAAGGAAGATGATGCAAGGAACAGAAAGGGGAGGAGGAGACATTGTGGTGGTACACCGCTCGAGGTTTACCTATGAGGGCTGGAGAGGGGTTGTGACACGTGGAGAGCCGATGCCCAGGAAGATGTGAAGGTAAGGGAATATGTGTAGAAAGTGTATATAGTGTCCACACTCGAAACCCAAACCCGCATTTTCTTGATGCGAAAAGGAACCGAGCACACACTACGTCTTGCATTTACAGCTCGACCCAAGTATCTGAACGGTCCACCACGGTATACTCAAGTGACCCTCCAAGAGGCTCCGACACTAGCACGACAATCACATGTCCTTCATAAGTGATTCCAGGGTGACACAAATTGGATTCATTTACAATTAAATAAAAGCGTAAGATACACAGACGCCATCCACTCTGGATATTGATCATGTCTGGCCCAAACTACTGTAAAGTAACGGGATCATTTATCCGGCAAGATCATGCGGGATCTAATCGAAGGGGTTGGTGCGGGTTCCCCACCAGGTGAGGAACAAGCTCAGACCAACAGTCTCGAACACGCGAGACACGGCTCCAACCGCAACGGTATCCAGAGGCCTCTTCTCTGCGAAGATTTGGCTGACGAACTGATGGAGAAATTAGCACATGAGCTTGTGAGGTTGAAGCTGATCTGAGCTGGAATACATACACCTGGAGCGGAGCTGGCGAAGAAGATCAATGTACCAAGGTAAGCGGCTCCCTTGTAGCTGAGGGTGCCAGTGGCGTTGATCAGAGCGGCAACACCGTAGGTCTGCACGGCGCTGCCGATGAGGGAGCTACCCCATGCGGCCGCGGCGCCGGCGGCCTCCTTGGACTTGATGAACTCCTCCTTCGAGTTGGCGGCCTGGGCGCGGTGGTAGGTGTCACCGAAGACCGGGGCGAGGATGCCCAGGGAGGCAGTGTGGGTGAAGAACGTACCCAGCGCGATGGCGGAGGGCTTCACGGGAGGGAGGTCTGGATGATAGTAACTGGTGTTAGTGATACTGTTGCTTGTCCGGTTCCAAGAGATGATCTCTTGAGGTACTCACAGTGCAGGGTAGTCATGATGGGTGAATTGCTGATTCGATGATTCGAGTTAGTAGAAAGAAAAGGGAACCAGGGGGCTGATGAGGTTTAAGAAGCGCTTTCTGAAGCTGGCCAGGCTTGCCAGGCATGCGGTGACGTCGTCATGATTCAGCGCAATGGGGAAGGCGCATGACGTCAGGTTGCAGCGAAACTGGGCCAGCTTGAGTTGCGTCCTCCCTTTTCGACTGCTCCTTCCGGCTTGAGATGGTTCGCGTCGGCCGGAAGACTTTGGACCTTGTTTTAGGAAGCACGTCAGATGGCCTGCTTGTTCCCCGCTAGTCGACCCCGGATGTCGTACATCCACCATGTGGGTTCGTCCCCAGCGGACTGGATTGCCGATCCCGTTGAGGCACCACGCACGGGCGCACGCTTCTTTTTGCTTCTTGCCGTATATCCTCCGATCAGATTAAGCGGTCGAGTGATACAACAGGGGCCTATGAAAAAAAAAATTGGTTTCGCACTTCTGCATAGCGGTGCTAGGACGTGCCTCATACAGTCAAGCTTTTTTATGGTTCGACCAACAAGTACAGGCCAAGATTTATTCAAGTTCGTATTGTACTAGTGCCCTTTCTAATAGCTCGAAGGGCTATACTCTTCATAAACACACCCCCAATAACCCTCTCCCATTCTCTAATTGAGCCTCTCTATTTCTCCTTCAGCACATCATGTGATTCGCCGGCGATAAACACCGGGCTAAGGCGACGAGGCCCACTAGCGTAGATTAGATTTGCCGCACCGAGATTCTTTGCTGTTCCATCCGAAAACACAATTCACTCACCCCCAGCGCCCTTGCACACAGCCACGAGGCCAAAAACCACTATGCTGTCAAGATCCCCGAGCCCAGTTTCCGATCCGGACGCCCCTTTCAACGTGAGCGACGCATTGGCCCCGCCACGAGTCAACAAGGCCGCGAGCACGACAAAAATCACCTTCGACGGACTCCTAAACGATCCCCTCCTCCTAAAAGAAGATCTAAAGAATGGATGTGGTGGCCAGCTCTGGCCTGCAGGCATGGTTTTGACAAAATATATGCTCAGTCAACGCGCCTCGGAGCTGGCCGGGAAATCGATGTCGGTAGTCCATGTGGTCTGGGGGAAGCCTCTTTCACAACTTTTCTAATTCCCTTCCTCGGATGCTTGATTTGTGAACACGAGCAAGGGCTGACATTTTGCACCAACAGTGTCGAACTCGGAGCCGGAGGAGGCCTTGTCGGACTAGGCGTCGCGCGAGAATGTGAATTCGCAGCACCCCTTCACATCACAGACCAACTCCCCATGTTCGAATTGATGAAGGAAAATGTTGCACTGAACGACCTCGAAAGCAAAGTGCAAGCTTCAATACTAGACTGGGGCGAACCGATCCCGACTCACATTCCAGCACATCCCGATATCATCCTTGCGGCCGACTGCGTCTACTTCGAACCCGCCTTCCCGCTACTTATCACGACACTCAAGGATCTCATCGGGCCAAACACAACGTGCTATTTCTGCTATAAGAGGCGGAGAAGAGCCGATTTGCGGTTTATCAAAATGGCGAAGAAGGCCTTCGATTTTCAAGAAGTTCGTGACGACCCCAATGCGCCAGCCTATAATCGGGAGAACATCTTTCTCTACACCCTTCGGCGCAAGGCTCCCAAATGCGCCAACAAGCAACTTGCGATGGAATAGATCATAATCGACAGCGACAATCACATCTTTCATTATCGACAGCGACGAATACGACGACAAGCTTGGCTCTTTTATTTTTCACTAGATGCAGCGATTGACATTCTCCAAATGATGAACTCAGAATGCTATACATATGTGCTCCACAACTCCCATCACCATAGATTTTTACAGCTTTCACAGCTTAAATGTATCGCCCTTGTTCTTGTGGCCGGGACGGGCCTTGTCACCATCCATATTGGTGACCTTGCCTTCCTTGTCGATAACCTTGACACCACCCTTCTTCAAGTCCGACACGAGCTGCTGCTTCTCTGCAGTCTTGCCCTGAGATCCAGAAGAAGACTTGTCGCTGGCCTTGTGCTGGGCCTTGTTCTGTCTCCTCTTGCGAGCCTTCTCCTCCCGACTCATCTCATCTTTGGAAATAGAGGCGCCAGTCTTGAGCACAACTTCTCCAACAACCTTGCCATCGTCGCCAGGAGCGTAGACCTCCTGGGGTGCAAGAGCTGAGGGTCCACCAGCGGCACTGCCAACCGTAGGACGGGCATCTTCCATCATGATAGTTGGCGCATCGGTGACAACGTTGATGTTGGCCTGAGGTGTCTTGGGCTTGTAGTGCCAGTTGCACAGAGTATCCAATTGAGAGCTGACCTCCTTCCAGAGATTCTGGATCTCGGCATGCTCCCGCGCAAGCTTCTTGTCCTTGGTATCGACGAAGTTCGGGTCGTTGGCGCGCAGGTGGTCGGTTTCGTACATCTCGGCCAGACTCTGTTGCGGCTTGGTATCTTCCAGCTCAAATCTGGCGCGGCGTTGAGCCTTGTTGTCACCAGCGCCGGGGCGACGACGAATGACCTCGTCAAACTCGTTGGCGAGAATGCGACGCTTGACAAGTTCCTCGATGTCCTCGCTGGTCTCGTTCGTCACGACAGGAACAGGCTTGCCTACACGCTCGAAGTCAAGATCCTCTTCAATGAGCGAGTTGACAGGTCGCTCCACGGCTCGTGCTTCACCGGCCATTGTCCACTCCTTCTTCGCAACATTGGCGGCTTCTAATCGGCGAATCTCATCCGCAATCTTGGCTCTTTGCTTCTCGTGTGTTGAGCGCGGACCCTGGGGCTCGCCATCCTCGCCCATTTCGATGTCTTCTTCTTCCACCTCTTCCTCGTCATCGAAAAGATCTCGTCGGACATCAGCCATAGCGCGGTTGACATCGTCATCGGTAATGTTTTGAGCTGGCTGGGTCTTTGGGAGAGCGCGTGATCGCTTGGACGAAGCTTTGCGGGGCGGCGGCGCAAAGAAGTCGGCATATCGGACGTTACTTGTGTCGCCGTAACTGGTCGCTTCGGGGTCAACGTCAGGCTCGGCATCGTCATCGTCGTCGGAGTCGGCATTGAGATCGGCATTGCCAAATGTTGGGCCGTCTTCTTCGCTGTCGTCGTCTTCCATATCATCGTCTCCGCCAGTCGCCCCAACATCTACCTTCTTGGCGTTAGGCAGGGCATCGCCAGCAACGAAGGGGTCCGCGTGCCAGTTGACTTCCTCCTCTTCATCATCGTCATCATCATCGGCACCACCCTTCATATCTTGTCTCTCTAGCAATTCAGTCTGCTTGTTGAAATCGTCGATAGAGAAGAATCCATCGTTCAATCCGAACTTGTCTTCAGTGTAGGTGCCAACATCCTCCTCTTCAGAGGCATCCGAGCCTTCTTCATCGCTTAGTTTCTCCTCCTCGATCGCCTCAGCGTCGTCCAATTCCTCGTCGTCGATATCGGATCCAGCCTCCAGCTCTGCATCAGAGCCGTTGTCTTCAAGGTCTTCACCCTCCTCCTCCTCCTCCTCCTCCTCCTCCTCCGAGAAAGCATCTGACATGCTCTCGGCACCATCGCTCTCAGATCCAATATCTTCGGGACCAGAGCCTTCCAAGGAACCCAACTCCTCATCTGACGACGCAAGTCCACCGTACTGAGACAGGAGGGCAACGTCCCTTTCAATCTCGCCCCCAGCAGACTCCAGAATGCGTGTCGCTTGTTCCCATACTTGGTTCGATGTGAAGCCGTCCACATAGAGGTTCTTCAGTTGGAGAGGCGGCGCGGTCGACTCAGGCTCTGTTCGCTTGCGCTTTCTGTTAAGCTGCTTCCGGATGGTTTGCTCGTCTACGACGGAGGTAGCGAGCGGGTCGAGAATTCGTTTCGCAGAGTCTGCGAGTAGGGCGTGCAGGTCTGCGGAGGGCTGGAGGAAGGTCCAGGGAGTGGATAGCGCTGAAGGGAGGTCATTGTTGGTGGCTGTTGCCACTGTGCTGACAGCGTCGGAGCTCTTCTTCCGTTTCACCATTTTGAGGTGTTTTGGGAGGAGCGTAGGCGTTTGCGTTGGGCGAGTTGTTCCGAAGCGGACGAACTCGAAAGCCGCGAAGAAAAATTGTACAGGCCCGGAGCCAATCACGACCGTCAATGATAAGATAAGGATCGCATAGAAAATGGGCACATCGTGCAATACCAAATAATTGAATAATTGAAACAATTAAATATACTGTAGAAGAATTATCATTACTGAGCATAGCTCAGCTAATCTGAGGTACTATGACTGCCTTTCGAGGTCCAAAATAGGCAGATCCACGTGATGTCTTCCGTCCAAAACGTTCAAGTCTGTCTGGCACGCCGCAACCATGAAATATCAATTTCTCAAAAGTATTCTCAGTTTGAATAAAGTCAAGTCCAGTCAGGATTCTAATTGAATTGTATCACTAAAACATTCGACGCCACATTCATCCTGAAAAATTGAATTTTCTAGTTGGCTCAAGTCATTCTTGTGGTCCAGCATCTTTATCCGTCTGTATTCTATCAACATGTAAGCAACAAACCCCCAGGCTTATTTGCGCTCATTGTTCTCGCTATACTACTTATATGCAACTAGATAAGTTGCAATACATTGTCAGATATGTTGGGAATGACGACAAGTCACCATCATATTGTCGGACTAGCAGATTTGCCATCCGTCCCGATGTGGCAAGTTGTAGCCACACCCACTCATCTCAGATGAAAGCACCCACGTGAATCGCTCCAGCTTCTAGACCCTCCCAGGCTTAATGTCTGCCACTTCTATATGCCCCTTGCCATCGAATTTGCCAGAGCGTAGCTATAAGTGGAAAGTCAGGCACAACATATGCTTGGTGGCCCTGATTTCCTTCTACCCTAGTATTGTACCGGGTAGACAAATAGTTTCGAATGTCATTGTGACGGAAAGATCCATCAGTTGCTTAAATAGAGGCGTGCCAGGAATCTGAATGCAGTCCTCCTTTACGTTATTCGGACCATCGCCAACTCCGATTGATATCCTTAACTGCATCCTATTACAACTGGCTCGTTCTCAATTTTTGTTAAGGATCGCAATTGCCCATCATGCCTTCAGCTGCACAGTACACCGAAAGACCAGCCAGTGGCTCAAAGTCTCAATTCCAGCCAGGTGAGATGAGAACAGCGATGTTCTTGCTCAGCGCTAACAAAAGTAATAGGCCACAAGATTCCCATCCAGCATCTGAAAATGCCTGGCTTGCAGGCAGATATGGAAAACCCCAAGCCAGTCTCTATGCAGATCCCAACCGAAGACGGAGGATATCAGACGTACAAGGCGGCCGGCAAGCTTGAAGGAAAAAGAGCCATTATCACTGGCGGTGACTCTGGTATTGGACGAGCTTGTGCAATCTTATTCGCCATGGAGGGTGCATCCAGCCTGATTGTATACCTCCCCGAAGAAGAAACAGACGCCAAAGAGACGAAGAAGCTCGTCGAGCAGGCTGGTCAGCAATGTCATTGTCTTGCAATTGATATTCGCAAGAAGGAAAATTGCAAGAAGATCATCGATATGGCGGTTCAGAATATGGGTGGAATCGACATCTTGGTTAACAACGCTGCTTTCCAAAATATGCTGAGTGATATCAGTGAACTTGACGAGTAAGTTGACCTTTTGGAGGGTCTATCGGGAGAGGGGACCTCGTGAGAGGTTGGACAGATGGCTAATAGATTGACGACTAGGGATCAATGGGAGAAAACGTTTGATACGAATATCCACCCGTTCTTCTATCTTTCGAAATATTCTCTGCCGCATATGAAGCAAGGCTCAACTATCATCAATTGTGCCTCTGTTAACCCGTACATTGGTCGAGGTGATCTATTAGACTATACGTCTACCAAGGGTTCCATCGTGGCGTTCACACGCGCTCTTTCGAATCAGCAGGTGAAGAAAGGAATTCGTGTTAATTGTGTTTGCCCAGGTCCGAGTAAGTCTTCCGCCTGAAGTGATGCCCCTTGAGATCATGCTCTAATCCCATCGGCTAGTTTGGACTCCGCTTATCCCAGCGACGATGCAAACTGGTGCAATGGAGCAATTCCATGCTGTGCCGATCGGTCGACCGGGACAACCGAGTGAGGTTGCAACTTGCTTTGTCTTCCTTGCAAGCCAGGATAGTAGTTATATCTCTGGGCAGTGTCTGCATCCCAACGGCGGTGTTATGGTCAATGGCTAAACGGCTGTTTGAGGACTGGAACATTGACCCTGGAAAGGAAATAGATGAAGATAAATCTGTACATTCTGGTCCACAAAAAGGTTGATATTATCCTCGGAGGAAGCGCGATCATGTATTATGGTAGATGCGATCCAAAGCAAAAAGCCAAACAGCATATTATACTTGAACAGCATGACAAAGACATGTTTTGCCCTGTGTGCATGGTGATGTAAACCGCTGAGGGATAGAACATGGAGTACCAAACGCCTCCGAATGTCGACCGACCAGTCGGCTCCCAGTATCTTGATGATGAATAGATCATCTGTGAAATCCAAAAGACGGAAATTCTGAGAAAATTCATTCGACTAATCAAGGAAATTGGAGTCACAACCAGAGGCCAAAATATACAGTAATAGAACACAAGGACTCCACGATGGCTTGGTATGCATTTTGAATCCACCGTGTCTAACGGAACCAAAAGATATCAAAAAATAGCGGTTTATAAATTGCTTAGCGGCGGTACCACATGCGGGTGATGCGAGTGTGGCGCATCTTCTTCTGGAGCTGGAAGATACCGTACATCAGGGCTTCGGAGGTAGGAGGGCCTGCATTGAATCAGGTTAGGGAGAGTTACGATAGAAAATACAAAAGTAGGTGAAAACTCACATCCAGGAACATAAACATCGACGGGCACGATACGATCGCAACCACGGACAACCGAATAACTGTAGTGGTAGTAGCCACCACCGTTGGCGCAGCTACCCATTGAGATGACCCAACGGGGATCGGGCATCTGATCGTAAACCTGGCGCAGAGCAGGAGCCATCTTGTTGGTGAGAGTACCGGCGACAATCATAACGTCGGACTGGCGAGGAGAGGCACGGAAAATGATACCGAGACGATCCTGATCATAGCGGGGGGTTGAAAGGTGCATCATCTCGATGGCGCAGCAGGCCAGACCGAAGGTCATGGGCCACAGCGAGGACTGACGGGCCCAGTTGGTAACTTGATCGAGGGTAGTCCTGTTCGATTGATGTTAGCAAGGGGGGTTCCGTGGCGGGCTGTGAGGGATATATGGCCGAGGTCAAACGAACAAGACATATTGCATGGCACCCTTCTTGGGCTCCTGGGTGAGGAGAGGCACCTCCTGGCGAACCTTGCCGGAGGCAGTCAGGTTCTTTCCTGATGACTGCTGCTCAAGAGCAGTAGCCGATTTCGCAGACGAGGTCGACAGGGCGGCAATGGGCTGGGCGCGAGGAAGGCATGTTGCCAGTCGGGAACGCGCTGTTGGGCGGGTTAGTGCAGCTCGCGGCATTGAGGATAGAGAAGGCATACCACTCAAAGCGCCAGAGATGGCGGGTCGCGCCATGGGCATCATGATTATAGTCTCACGGAGTTGGCGAGTCTGAACCCGGGCAGCTTCACAGGTGGCGGTCCTCTCTGGGTAGGGGAGGACTTTTGCCGGGTGGAATCGGTAATATGACGCTCGATCAGGTAAGCTATTCTGGAGAAAGTGATTGGTGGATAGGCGTTATTTTTCCGTTCCTGTGTCGCGTATGGTAAAGGCGGTGAAACGCTTGCAAAAAGAATCGGAGCCACGGTGATTGGCTCTCTAATGTGGCCTTACAAATGAGGCCGCAAGGCTGGAATAAGGCGTCAGTTGTCAGTTCCGCTATCGCCAGCTATCGATGATATGCGGGCTAGAGTTGAAGCTCCGTCTATCACTCCATTTCCTTACACATTCTCGGCAAACGAATTGATAAGTCGGTCCGTTCCTCTAGCCCACACTTGAGCGCTCATTCATAACCGACTATTACCTAGTCTGCGGCAACAGTGGCCGGCGTAGTTTGGAAAGGAGAACGCAGTCCAAACAAGTTGCCCCTCCAACTCTGAACACACGGGAACCGCCTTTTGGCATTGAACGCAACAGTATGGCTGGACCAAAGATTGCCTGCATTGGCGTGATCGGAAAATCTGTACGAATGCCCTCTCTTGCTGATGCTTTCCAGTTCTGAGCTGACTTCGATCCAGGACAACCCGCTTCACATCTCCCTCTTCCCTCCATACACAGATTCTACGATTGAATTCTCCTTCCTATTAAATTCGTGCCTTGACATTTTCGAGATCCGGCGCAAACACACATCTATCGACCAAGATCTCGGTCTCCTACATGCCATTGACGAGAGGCTAGCAGTTTACGGCTGGCTCACAACAACGGGTGTCAAGCTGCTGATTATCGTGGACCTTTTTGGTCAGGAGAATGCCAGTAATGGAAAACCAACGGGCTCTGCAGTTAGCGGCTTGAGGGACGCGGATGTGAAGCCAGTGAGTAGACGAGCTCTCCGTTTCTTCAAAGATGGTTGACTGACCATGGATGAACTAGGCGTTCCGAGCTCTTCAGAGCGCATACATTCAGCTATTGCAGAACCCCTTCTACTCCCCCGATGACCACGCGCCGGCGCCAGGCTCAGCTGCAAGCTCGGCTTCCAATTCTCTACCCATCTCAAATCCGAAATTCATCGCCGAAGTCCAGCGCATTGGCGAAACTTGGATTCCTGGTGCCGCCGCATAGATACCATTAATAGTAATAAAAAGACCTTTCCCGTTCGCATGAATATAATTAAATTGCTTTTAAGAAACTCTTGGAGTATACTGTCATCAATAAGGCACGAGAGGTGCATAGAATTACAGAGAAATCGAGTGCGCGTCCATATATAACTTCAAAATGGCTCAATGATTTCTGACTTCCGACTCGGTTTGTTCCAATGCCACAATCATGTCCTCCATTTCTTTGGGATTGCAAACAGCCCATACACCACCTCCCTTGGCGTTTACTCTTCCAACTTCTTTTCCGACCAAATTTCGACCTACCTTTCCAGGTCCAATACCAATCCAACGTCTCACGCCCTCTTCCTGATGGAGATAACGGACACTGTCCCACCATCTCACCGTATCGGTACATTGTCGCGACAGGAGGTTCTTCAGGTCTTGCTTCGACTGGAACGGCAGTGCCGAGACATTCGAGATACAAGGCATTCTGCCAGGGAAAGTAATATTGACTTCTTCGAGAGCGGATCGCATGTATTCAGTAGCGGGAAACATCACAGGACTGTGAAAGGGGCTCTCGCTTTTGAGTCTCACGGCACGGGGATCATGTCCCCCAAATTGGCGCAGCTGGACAAGGAGAGTCCGTATCCGTTCAATGCTGCCACTGAGAACAATTTGATTCGGCGAATTGATGTTCGCTACCATGACTTGTTGGATCGATGGGGCTTGGATTGTGTCGTCGGCTCCTAGCCCAAGGAACTCCTGAACAGTTCTGAGGAGGCTTTCGAGATGTTCGGGTTCACATATCAATGCTACCATTCCATATGTTTCACCGGAGTGTTCGACCATTTCTTTGGTACATCGTGCCATTACTTCGGCTCGGTGTCGCACCAGCTTGAGCGCGTCAGGAAATTGAAGATAGCCACCGGCGACTAGTGCCGTGAACTCTCCAAGACTGTGCCCTAGAGTCACGTCGACTCGCGATCTAGTATCCAACCCGAATTCATTTTCCAGTATGCGGAGAATAAGAACGGATATGGCCATGATGGCGGGCTGCGCATTCTCTGTTTTGTTTAATTTCGAATTTGGTCCATCGGATATGATACGCGATAGGTTGAACCCCAGGATAGAATCCATTTCATCCAAGAGTCTGTTTGTGGTCCGGGGGAACGATCCATCCAGGTATCCGCCATGCCCACCCGCTGTACTCCATGCCCTATACGTCATTTAGCACGAGACAGCTTTGTCGCAACAAGGGAGAATATACACACCTGGGAAAAAGAGAGCAGTATGCAACTCTCTCCTAGGTAGAGAGGACCGGGTTATCGATCTGAGAGCCCCGGCCATCGCTGGGGAATTCAATCCCCACAGGTGACGCCTTGAATTCATTGAGGTAGCCGAGAGCATAATAGGACTGCGTGTGGGGCGACTCTGGCCTTCGTCAAGACCCGACACAGCATATGATCATCGTGATTGTCGCAGGCTCCCGGATGAAGGCCACACGTCGAAATGAGGACAGAAGACCAAGCATAAAACCGTCCACCTCCTTCCGAGTTCCCCAGGCCGGCGTGGGGCTGGGGATTCACGTGAGCCTCTTCGGTTCCGCTTATCGGGGGAATCGGGCCCGAGATGCGGCACTTGTCCAGTCCCAGACCGCGAATTACCGTATGGTCGGAATAGACGAGATTCATATGGTCCTAGTCTGATTTACAAAAACTTAAAAATGCTGATGGATTCTCACAGCATTAAAGTGGTGTCATGTATATATATTTTCATGTTTTTAAGCATGAATAGAGTTATTTCAACGAGTTATTTCAACAAGTCCGGGGGTTATCAGTACACTAATGTTGAGAACGTTGTTAAAAAATTTTTGGCGAATTGAGTGACTAGGTGATTCATGATCAGATCAATTTCTAGGTTCTCAAGTTGCATTACGAACTTGCTTAAAATTGATCTGTCGGTCCTACTATCTCTATGCAGTTGTTGACCTAGTTAACTAACCCTGCAGGTTGTATTAGTGCCTCAGGCACCAATTGCATTGGAGCTCTGCCGCATTCCGCCTCAGCTTGAGCGCGATCGCACTCACCGCCTGGGCAGAACGCCAAACACTTTGTTATTTACCATTCACACCAGTGCTCCAAGCTCATCCTTCGATCGCCAGCCCATTGCCCTTCCTCTAGCTGATCCGAGGCGCATTTCCCCCGGATAACCCTTTCACTCTCCCTCCTGGCTTTGGCCAGTGTAATGTGAAGGGCTGCGAAAGGATCCGAAAAATGTTCGTCCCCCGAGCCACTCGCGGCTCTCGACGCCGCCAGAGAACCGGCTCCGACGACTCGAATGGACCCCCGAAAGCGAAAAGACAGCGTTCCGTACTGCGGCAATCCGGCGACACTACCTCTGCGAGTTTGAAGGACAATGGCGCAGAGATTCAGCCCGCGGCCGCGGCCCAGTCCAACGATTACGACCTTGCTATGGACCCCACAGGCGGCGACCTGCATCTACCTTTTCGAGGCGCGAAGCCGAGTGAAGGACCCAAGGCCGACTCTGAGGGGACAGTTGTACTGGTGAGTTGTCCCTTGCCTGGCCGCTAGCTCGTCACGGAGATCACAATATAGGCGCAAGGAATGATTGCTAACACCGCAGAAAATAGTCAAGCACAGATTACTACACCGTCAACCAACTCCCAGCTCTCCCTGACCAGATTCGAGGCTCGCAGTCAGGTAATTATTTCTGCATATGTTGTTCTGCGACAACACGACTAACTTTTTGAGTCGCAGATCCACTGAAGTGCTTTTTTGCACCTGGCCAGGATCACGCCCTTGCCCTGACACACTCGCATGCCATCGTATGGCCCTACTCAGTCGCTACATCGTCCCCATCACCTTCGGAAACGTTCACGGTATCGATCCCCGAATCATGCAGAGATCCATACGGCCCGGTGCCGCTGGGTGTTTTGTTGTCTACCGCTACTGGAGAGCACCCTGGTCTCTTAGTCATGATTCCCTCAACTGGTCGAATCATATACTGGGAGACTGTTTCCAGTGCTGCATCCCTGGCTTTGTCTCGACAGAAGCAATATGGTATTCAAGGTTCAACCTCCGGCATGCTCTCCGGGGAATACGCCATCGAAATTATGAATTGTGAACCCTCAGGAATCATCGTCATGTTTTCTAGTGGAAGAGTGGCGCATGTGACTCTTCGAGACTCACAGGGCAAGCCATCCGTCCTGGTCAATTTCCTCAGGAGTTCTGGGGGCAACGGAGGTGGACTGCTCGGTGGACTCAAGAATGTCCTCGGTGGAGGTTACTGGAGAAAGGAAGTCACCGCTGTTCATCCTGGTGGCTCTCGCCAGCGTGGCCAACGTGATGTGATCGTTGCAACTTCAACTGGTCTGGTGGAGATCTGGGACACCCACTGGCATCATGGAACAGCGTTGAAGAAGAAGTTCGATGTTAAGGACGAGATTGCGGCATCGCTCCCTTCAAGTATGAAAACTGTGAACGACCTCGATCTCAAGATCTTGGATTTCGCTTTCTCTACCCAGTCCTCTGATGAGCAGGACTCCGACGAATCTTGGAGTCTTTTCGTCGCTGTTAGCACGCCTCAATCTCTGGAAGCTAAGACAATGTTTATCATTCAGCTCCAACTATCTGGAAACGACGCCCGGGTTCAGTCCACCTACACTGTGAGCCTGCAAAGCATCCCCACCATTAACCAAGATGTCAAACCGAAAATTTTGGTCTCGCGACCGGGTGATACTGCTTTTATCTACATCGGTCAATCGCTCATTGTTCTTTCTCTCACGACTGTCGATGAATCTCCGACTACCCAGCTGCTTCACGACACCGAGAAACTAGCTCTACCATTCCAGGACACTATTCACCTCCGATCTGGCAAAGAGTTCGAAATCTTGGGTTATGGCACAGAGGAAAGAACTGATGATGATGAAGAGGGTTCCTCGTGCGTGATGATGGTTCGAAACTTTGGTGTCGTTCGAGTTGACGTGGTTCCTCAATACTCCACGGCACGCGAGGTGGAGGAAGGCCCTGTTACAGCCAAGCACAAACTTGAGCAAGCTATCTTCTTTGGTACCATGGCAAAGAACCCATTGAACCTGATCGGCGATGGTGGTCTCAATTTTCCCCCCGAAGAAATTGAGCAAGCGTCTCTGGAAATTTGCGAAGAGCTTCTCCAGTCCGAGACACGATTTATCCCGAGCACCGCCATCTCAATCGATCAAAATCTGCGACTCAGAGCAAAAGCGTTGAGTGATCTAGCATCTTTGCTGTCGAAGAAGGGCAATCCTCTGGGTCGCACGGCTAGATGGGAATTGCTTTGGGGTGCAGAGAAGCTTGCATCGCAGCGGGCTTTGTGGAAACTGGAAGAGACTCTCAGAGCCAAAAATGAAGGCCTCCTCCTTGGTCAGGTCATTGAATCGATGAATGACAAATTCAAGACACGCCCTAGTGGTGATACCGATCCTGTCCGGCAATGGTTCTTGAAGGACACCTACCAGATGGAGCACATTATTCCCTGGATCAAACACTCCATTAAATCACGGAAGGGCAGCACTAAGCAGTCCCGGAAGAACTCGGAGCAGATTATGGAAGCCAGCGAGCTTTTCCTTTCTGTCATGGAAACCGCCTACCGATATCGCGATGATCATGCTTCGATGTATGGACTCGGTGACGATTTTGTGGAGGACGGTGTGCTCGCTGATGGATATGAAACTCTTCCCGAGTTCTGGACCTCTCGACGAATGGCATACACCGAAACAGCGGATCTTTTGGACATCGAAACGGAAGCGGCTCTCAATTTGCAGCAGAAATCCACTGCGGAGACGCCCGATGGCCAAATGGCAAAGAAACTCGCCTCGAATTGTTCACGCCATCTGCGAGCCCTTGGCCAAATGCATCGCGAACGAGTACGCTGGCTTGCTGTACAGGACGATTCTAAACTCCTGGACGAGAGTGTGTCGATCGAGCAATCGTTTGTTAAGGACCGTAAGTGGTACCTTTTCAAACTTGGTGGAATCAATCAGCTGCAAGACGCCATTGTGCTGGCAGAACGCTTCCGTGACATGGTAGCTCTTGTCGAACTCCTCCTAGAGTTGACGAACCAAGTCAGGGAGATAGTCAATAAGGGACTCCCGCGACCCGACATGGTGGAGACTCCAGTCTTCGGTGCACCTGCTATCGGGTACACCTTTGCAGATCTTGACATTCGGATTGCGCATTATTTCGACAAGTTCGGCGAGCCTTTTTCGGATGCATACTTCACACGAAAGATTTCGATGGGAAATCCGGGTCCATTGCTCATGATGAGGAAATACCAAGGCCCGTTGACCCGTTTCCTGCGCAAACACCCTGCATATGCTAAGTTGAGTTGGATGAACGATGTGATCGGCGAAGAAGATTACGAAACCGCTGCTTTATGTCTGGAGAACCTGGCCATCGGCAACGAAACACAGCTCTGGAACCGCCATGTTCAGATTTCGCTGGCGAAGCTCAGCCAGCTGGCTGCAAGCGAGAAGAATCCTGCTTTGGGAAGTACTGCATCATTCCAGGAGGACATCAGTCGTATCGATGATTGTATTGCAAATGGTGAAATCCAGGACAAGCTATCCTGGTACATCCGTGCCTTCACCGAAGGTGCAATCGACCCGGAAGCCGAGCAAGAGCTGGCCTTACAGTCCTTAGGAGGTTATCTTGCCGAAGATCGTCCATCTCTTCATGAAATTTTGGGCGACGCTTTATCCACCCTTGTCAACCGAAATGTCACCGACACCGATGGACTCATCGATATTCTCACGCTGATCGGTCCCTTTGAAAACGCCGAAGAAGTGGACTCTGACCTTTGTGGCCACGAATTCTATCAAGCTCTCCGGGTTCTTGATCGCAGTCGCTACATCCAGCAGGACCCCTCCTATGTATCTGCATTGCGGAAGTTGATCTGGCGACGATGCATGATTAAGGATGACTGGGAAGCCCGTGGAAAGGCTGCCGAGGGAGTCAATGGTGATTCTGACAGTGCCACTCGCGACACGTCTCTTTTCAAGACCTTGTCTTCCTGCATCACTGGTAAGTCCTCTTTGAAAGTCAGAAAAACTCGAACTTGTCTCACATTTTCTGTAGAAGGCACGGATTCACGCCACAAGTCACTCTTCCAGCCCCTTTCCCCCGCCGAAGCTATGATGGCCGGTTCCGAGTCGGACATCCTCGTCTCGCGCTTCCGACCTGAGCAACGGGCCCGTGTCGCCACCGACTTGCAACGGGAGGATGATATTCTACGTGATTACATTGAAACTGGAAAGCTCGACTTCTGGTACCAGAACCTCCTAGGTTCGCTTGATCCGGAGGCATCTAATGGTGTGAATGGTGCCGACGCCTCCCCTTCAGAGAAGGCGCGACTGACGTTTGTTTAATCTGGTGCGGTTCTTTTCTATGGTCAGTGACGGTGCTAGAGGTTTCAATGGTCTGCAGGCTTGATGATTTGTATTTGTAGCATTTACGAAATATCTGGATTTCCTCTTTCCTCAGATGCTTGTTTCAATTGTAAGCCTATCAACCTTCCATAGTCGGGATAATATGACTAAGGGCAGTCATCGACCCCGCCTCTGCACGGGTATCCTGTTGGCCGAAACACATTATGAACCCAACTTCCGTAGGACAGCATTATCAACATTTATCTACGTCTAGGGCAATACAAGCATATAATTAATGTATCAGGGCTACTTTTTTAATTCATGAGCACAGATAATACACTATCATCAATCCGGTAAGTACTGAATTCAATTGGCATCGTAATCCCGTAGTTGTATGAAGTGTTAACACAATGTATACTAAATAAAGAAACGAATCAATCAGACTCGCTAAAACTTGACCCCATTCTGGTCGCCCACGCTAGCACTGCTGCTGCTTGTACTCTCAACCTTGGTCACAGTATCCTCATTCACGTTTTCGACTTCGGCGCCGTGAACCTGTTCTTCGAACACGGGCTCGGGGTCGATGGTTTCGAACTTGGTTCTGAAGTCAGAGAGGCCTTGCGTACTGCTGTTCGAGCGACGGCGGGCATTGGTAAAGGTGTATCCGTAATCATGAACTTCTTCGCCATCACGACCCCTGAAAGGAGAATAAGAGCGTTAGCCATCGAGTTGACGGTATATGATGAGGTTGGGTTGATGCATTTACCAGTTACCCTTGCCGCCACCATCTTTTTTTGTTTTCTTTGGGTCGGCGTCGGTTGGACCGGATCGGCCGAAGAAGCGAGGGAGATTGTCGTGGGGTGGCATGATGCCACCCTCGGCCTGGTATTCACGGTCATTGACCTTGTGAGTGCGAGTCACTGCTCGCTGGTTAGTCTGGGGTAGGGCAATTCATGTCTTGGTGGGCGGGGATGCGTACTGATGGTTCTTGGGTGAGATGTTTGGGAGCGGGAGAGATGGAAAGGGGAAGATAGCCACAGCTGAGCTGAGAGCCAAAGAGGAGCTCTTCGCGTGACTCGTGACCTCATACCTCCCGGGGGGGGTTTGAAATGCGGGGGGTTGCACTAAGCCCGGCCCCACCAACCTTAATGCATCATGGAGGAGGCCGCAATTCAGAGCAAGGGGTTGGGGTATGAAGATTCAGAACGTAGTTGGTGATATCTTCGTGGATTATTGTGGTCTATTGAAATTTTTGCAAATGGGAAAGGTGTAGAGTGTAGGGGGAGATGGGATCAAGTGTCTGTCTATTCGGAGATGTTTCGGAAAACAAACATGGTGTTTAATTGAAAACCCCCTAAGTGGCCTTTTCATTTTGTCATTTTCCTGGGTTGTATGAGCTCTCAGTCCTCGTTGTCTGCTTGTGGAATTTATGCTTTCGACATGAGAGTCAAATGATGTGATGAGTCACGCCATCAATGTCACGCCATGAGTTCAATTAATGGGTGGCCCGAGATAAGGTGATAATAAGCGGTTCTGGGGACTCTGTGATACCATGACTATCATTCTATTGCGCTACTAATGGTGCAATGCTTCAGAAGTCTTTTTGTATTGGCTCGGCAGATTTGCATTCGGATCTACTGGGCAATTTAGAATGTCTTGGCACTCTGCCTCCGTGCATTCCAGTACTCATTCCGTGGCGTCATAATTGGCCTATCATACCCTGGATCGAACAATTAGAGATTTTGTTAAGCATTCAGAGAGTCAATTGACCCTTGAACACCCTGATTTTGAAGTCAAATTGCTGAAGCGCTGATGGGTCACGTGGATACGTGTTTAGTTCTTTTCAAGCGACATCTAATCCAGGCGATGTATCTACTTGCATAGGAGAACAAGCTTTTAATAGTCTTTCAGAAGTGGATTCAAATTTCTGAAACTCAAATTCTAAATGGCTATGTCGAAGAAATAAAAGTGGTCTGGTAGAATATAAACAAATTGAAGACACAAAGAACATGTAAGTGAAGGTAAAAGATTTAGGAGACCCTGCTCCTGGATCGAGGCACTCAATGGCAGTCTCAAGCATGGGCATGATTTGCCTGTCTTGCGACATGTCGTCGGCGGACCACGGGGATAATGGAGCTCGAGCTGGACCCGCTGCTAGGCACAGAGACTGGCACAGATGAAGAATGAGGAGGCTGAGGAGGTGTTGTCACAGAGGAAGGGGGTGGCATTGGGATAGAGGAGTGTGGGGGAACAGGAATAGACGATGGAAAGAGAGGGGTGGACAATGGAGGAAGGGGAGCCGAGGACGAATGAGCGGGGGGCAACGAAGATGGCGGCAGGGGAATCGAAGACGAGGGCTTAGAAGCCGACGACGAGGGCACCGAAGTCGATGAAGGAATATCCCAAGACGAAGGGTGGGGAATGGTTGGCAGAGGTGAAGGGAACGATGATGGGGGTGCGGATGTCAAGTAGTGAGGGGAGGGTTTCGAGTAGCTGGGAATCGAGTAGAGAGGAGCGCTAGAGAAGGATTCGGTGGGAAGGCTTGGGCCAGCGTTGAAGGCGGTGCAGAAGGTGGGCAAGGTGTAGACGTATGACTGGTCATGTTTTGTTAGTCGAGCACATGACTCGAGCCCAGGTGAACTTACGGCAAGCGTTGCGCTCAGGAATGGACTCTCGGTCCCATCCTTGACAGCGGCTTCTCCAATGAGCGCCGCGCCAACAGAGGGCAGCAGCTTCACAGCTTCGTGCTTTCCTTCCTGCCCGACGCAGGCATCGCCAGAATCTAGAGTCGGTCAGTAAGTGACTTCTTTCTTCACATCGAACCAGAAGAGCTACTACTTACTCGCTGCCAGCGAAACAGTTGCACCACCAAATGGCTGCAGCTTGACACCAACATCGAAGCCATGGTCTAGAAGCGAGTGAGTTAGCGAGCACAATGAGAGTCGATGAGAACGCAGTCTTACCGAGAGCCTCCAGCGCAAGCTGGATCTTGGCAAACAGGTCCAGTTCAACAGATCCGCTCAGAGCAGCATCGACAGTAAACTCCTTGGGGGTGAATTTCGGCTCCCATCCATTCTGAGAAACATCAGGGTCCAGCAGGTCGATGGTCATCGACGCCGAATCAGAGAGGCTGAGGGTACCTCCAGTCGTGATTCCGGCGCTGCCCTTCAGCGGACCAGCAGAGAATCCCCAACCGAACTCAAGTTCGGGGCCAAGATCCAAAATGCCACCAGCGATAGAGATTCCATCGATGGGGATGGTTCCCAGAGGATATTCCTTGCTGATCTCGCCAGGGAGATTGGCGACGATACCAACACGAGGCTCGAAGACGGCTTCAACGCCGTGGGGCGAAAGGACAAGCTCGACATCCTTCGGAATTCCCATCCAGGTGGAAATGTGGAAGGCGAATTCAAACTCTCCCTTGGTTCCGCAGCCGTAGCAGTCGTACGAGAGCTTGATATCACCATCGCCGACCTGGACGTGGCTAAGAGGCAGATTGTGGTTGACATCGAATGAATAGCTGTCGTCGTAGTCGCGCTTGTTCGAAGCGGGACGACCTCCAACGAAGAGCTCGTACGAGTGAGAGACCTTCTTCCAGTCGCTGGCGTGGCCAATTGCCTTGATGGTGTTGCTTGCATCGTCGAATTCGACATCAGTGATGACGAATGGGAGACGGTCTTCGTTCCAGTTGCAGTGGCCTTGGCCGGCGACGAGAACAAAGGTTCGGTTCTTCTCATCGTTGACCCATTGCCAGGCTTTGGCACCATAGCGGTAGGCCTGGTCGTCGTCGAAATTCATGGTCAAGCTGTGGGGTGTGCATTCGGTCGACTTGAGCATGGGGTAAATCTTCTCCAAGGAGATGATGTTCTCGTGCTTGCCGGGATAGAAGGTGGTGAAATTTCCGAGGGCATACCGGCTGTTGCCAGTCGAACCTGTTATACACATTGGCTATTGGACCCTGCCACAATACTCAATGATTGAACTTACCACCCCAGAGGAAAGTCTCAGAGCTGAGGAGATCCAGTTTCGAATAATCATTGTCACGAGATACCTTCTGGCCGGTATGCTGAACAAGATCGAGGGGCTTCAACGCAACGGCCGAGCTGACATCGACATGCAGAGCCGATAGAAGGCCCAGAGCCAACCAAGAAAGCCTTTGGAGACCCATATCTGCCGATTCCTGCTCAGAGTGACCAAAATCGACAATTTGTGATGTTACGGACAGCCAAGAACGAACGCTGGTGTCTTCTCTTATATCAATCTAATGACAGAGGGCGTTGCCGATGTCGTTCAAGGTTTGACTTGCCGATCCATCTGAGAATTTCCGCGAGATAAAACCACGTTGGGAGAAGACGGGCACGGGAAATCTGCAATACGAACTAATAGCCCCATTATCTGGCGATCCCTTCCCGCCGTGCCGATGGCGATCTCCTTGTTCCTGCGACTGGCCCTCAGGGGTGGAGAATATCCAACCAACGAAAGACTGACAATGTCTTGGTGGCTGAGCTTAAGCTCTGGGACGGCATATTAAATGTTACATGGCGTGTTTCGGGCAGTCTCGTAAGAGATACTCGAAGCGTGGTGGACTGCTCGTATTCCAGTGCTTATCCTAATTTAAGGGCGATGGCTGCGGTTAGCGTCCGCTTCTGCCAAGCAAACCATTCTATTCTTATCGCGGCTGAATAGCGAGGATAGCTTCTTAACAACTGAAAGGGAAAGTATGATTTATTTGAACGATTAAGTTACCGCAGTAATGCTAGTAGGTTCTGCTTACAGTGGGGGCTGACTGTTGTAGGAGTGGGGGTTTAACAAAGTGCAACCCTTCTGACAGCCCTTCCACCTCGTGTTCCAAAATATCATACGAAATACCCACTTTGGTCATTGCAGATCGGATAGACTGGCCTTTTGAGCTCTCAGCCTGTTTGTCGGGTCGTCTAGAATAGACGACGGCTCTCTTTTTTTCCACGTCCATTCCTGTCCCGCCTACGGGATAAATTTGGATCATAAATGGGCTCGTCGACTACGATTACAGGGACAACCTACCACTGTTGCAATCATGATGTGGAATTACTCGTCAAACTATCCTCATCCTTCTTCATTTATTAAGTCGCCTTCTCCCTAGCACTCGACCTGCTTTTGCACAAGTAGAAGAATCTAGAAGCGCCAAATTAAAGATGGCTCTTGCACATTTCTACCCTTCCAGGATTTCGATGGAAGGTATACATACTACGGAAGTTTATAGCGGCCAAAGCTCACTTTTAAATCTCAGTCGGGCCTGGCGCCTAGATGATAGAGGTCTGTACCTGAGTCTGGCTGCCCGACATAATAGTCATCAAAAAGTCTCCCAAACAGTCGTCTGAACGATCACCTACCTACCTACCTCGTAATACCACCACTCCTAATCTTGTACGGTCCATGAAGCTTCGACAAGTGTTATGACATTTGATATCTTTTCGTACTTCTAGTGTGTGTTCTTCTGTCGGTGTAATATCAGCCATCAGTCTAAAACAGGGCATCAACATGGGCAAAAAAAGGAAAGTGGGTTTTGGCAGCAATAACCTTCTGTATTACACATACGTATATTTGGGGTCATCCTGGCCATTATCAATAGGCTACACTAGTAAACTAGCTTGTGATTGGATGCAACCGGCCTATAGTTGACTTGTTACCTACTAGGTAGCACGACTTGGTCGTGAGCGGGTAACTATATAATGCAGTAAACGGGCTGATACCGTGGATAGAAGATAGAATAATGGAAACACTGCCGAATTGACAAGAAAAACCGAAAATCGCTCCTCTTCTGTCTGATCTGCATTCTAGTTATGAAGTATGTCTTATGAGATTCAGGAAGAGGGCATGATTGCATCAATTTCATCGATGCACCGTTTACCGTGACCCTGAATGCCTCAGGCGCCACAACCCGCCGCGCCAAACGTTTCAGCGGTCGCAAAGCCTAACCGGTCGAACCAATCACAAGCCGGCGCGTGCCTTGCATTGGTCACGCAGGAACAATTGCTTTGTCGTTCCGCCGTCCCATTGGTCCCCACAACACTATGAGATTGTTTCAGGGACAAAGCGTTCGGACAAGAGGCGTGCCAAGTTTGACCAGCTAGGAGGCATACTTACTACACGTCTACATTCCCCGCGACCCTCCACCCCCTTGGTAATATGGAATTGCCCACTCTACTCCACAAATTTCCTTGTTACGAAGCATTCATCCCCCTCACATTTCCCGGAAATAATAAGAGTGGAAAATGTGTGTCTGAGTGGCAATACAATATAAAGGGTCTTTTCTCCCATCCCTGCTTATGCTTTAGCTCAGTCTGTTGTTTACGGAGCTGCTGGATCATTATTTTACGGCCTATTTATTCCTCTCTGCAAATATCTTCAATATGCACTCCATACTTATCACAACACTCTTCTTGGTTGTTGCCCCCTTTTCCACGGCCGCTCCGGCTCCGTTATCCCTGACTAGGAAAGACACTGCCCTCACCGAGGCGCAAATCGTCCAAATCGCACCTACTTCTGAAAATTGCGATAATCCGCCCGCCAAAGGAGAATGTGCCACGGCTCACACTGCTGCCAAGTTCGCGTCCCAGTCCTTTGATCAGTACAAGGTCACCAATAAAGCTGAGCAGGCTGCCGTGCTCGCTATAATGGCCTATGAAAGCGGGGATTTCAAGTACAACAAGAATCACTATCCCGGGATACCTGGGCAGGGCAGTAAGTTCTTTGCAACATTGTCGAAATGAACTTTCGATACTGATATATGGTACTAGCTCGTAATATGCAATCTGCCGCTTTCAATAAGAAATATATCGCTTCTATCCCTGCACTCCGCGAAAGCAGTGCCCGCGTTGCAGACGATGCCGCAGCCTTGTTGGAACTTCTGCTTGAGAATGAGACTTATGACTTTGGTTCTGGGGCTTGGTTTCTTACGACTCAGTGTACTGATGAGGTGCGCAAGGCTCTGCAGAGTGGCTCTGAGGCTGGCTGGCAGAGTTATATCACCCAATGTGTCGGGACCTCAGCTAGTGGCGACCGCAAGGCCTATTGGGACCGGGCTGTCAAAGCTCTTGGCGCGTAGGGTGCTGGAGTGGAATAAATCCCGGTCTGGTCATGGGAGGCGTTTTTGCTTTGGGGTTTGGAGAATAGGGCTGTCCTAGTCGAAGCTGTTCTTCGAGGCGTTTGGCGATTGGGACTCAAATGTTGAGCTAGATTTAATTGTATCGCATGGTTTATATGACTTACGTTTACGATCACCGAACACGAATGCATGATCATATACAATTGAGAGAGCCACAGCATAACTTATCTCTATATCTGGTATCATCATTAACAAATCTGGTATCTCATCTCATTGCCATAGCCTCATTTCGTATAGTAAGTTCACTTTTTATATATTTAGAGCACACCCTTGGTGCTGACCACGTCGCCAGCACCGACCTGACCGGCAGTCTTCCGAGCACAAGCAGTGCGGATGGCAACAGCCAGAGCCTTGAAGGCACTCTCGGCACGGTGGTGGTCGTTGTCACCGTAAGTGCACCCGACGTGAAGGGTCACATCAGCGGCCTGGGCGAAACTCTGAAGACCATGAGTAATCATCTCGGTGCTCAGGTCACCGATCTTCTCGCGGCGGAATCCAAGGTTGATCACGGCCCAGGGACGACTTGACAGGTCAATAACGGCCCATGAGAGGGCCTCGTCTAGCGGAGCGTCACCGCGGCCGAAACGGGCAAGAGATTGCCGGGCACCCAGAGCCTTTGTGAAAGCAGTGCCGACGGCAAGGAAAGTGTCTTCGACGGTGTGATGGTCATCAACTATAGCAATTTGATGTATTAGCGACCTGACGATTCGAAAATTGACCGCCATGTGGCAGGACTGTCTTGTAGGGGCGCAACTCACTATACAGATCGCCCTTGGCGCGCACCGCCAGACTCATTCCCGAGTGCTTCGCCAGCGCATGCAGCATATGGTCCAGGAACCCAATTCCTGTGCTGATGGTGATCTGCTGGGTCGGGGTGAACTGTGTGGCGTGACCGGCATCCTTAGGAGGCACAATGCCCTTCTTGGCCGCCTCTGCTTCTTCGGGGTCTGTCGGCGGGGCGAAGTGCGAGGAAGGCTCGTAGGGTGGGAGGACGCCACCGTCGAGGGAGAGCGACACTTGGATCTTGGTTTCGTTGGTGACGCGCGAGACGACCGCGGTGCGAACAGGGAGAGTCATGGTGCTCAATTGGGAGGTTGGCAGCGGTGAAAGGGCGGCGTGACTGTATTTCAAGGTTTAGATGGTTGATAATCGAGATTCCGTTGTATCTGACTCGCTATCGGGAGAATCGTTGATCCGTATTGCTCTCCCGGTGTCTGCTCCAAAGACCGATCGGCTCTTTTTCCACCTCACCACTGGCTGGCCCAGGTTTCTTGCTTCTTTCTCTACAGCATTAGCTTCCATTGAGCTTCTAAAAGTACCTAAAAACTCTCTTTCTTGTCTGTCCCAATTGCGGCCCGCCACCTTTGCTTCCGTCGGCTTCCCCGCACGCAGCAGTCACCAGCCGATAACCTCCAACCACCAGTCGGCATCTTGAACTGCGAGATCGAGCATCTTGGTCTGGCGGTGTCGACAGACACTCAATTCCAGCCATCATGCCCCCACCATCGAACCAAAGAGCCGACATTGAGCCCCCGGCCGAAGTCACTACTCAAGCTATGATGGGCTTTATGACCGGTGTTTTCCGCGTAAGTACCCTCACATCCAATGCAGGTAGACCGCTCCATGATCTAACCGAACTCTATGCAACCAGTTCGGCTCTGTATCAATCTTCGCACATATGATCATGAACCTGCCCCATCCCTTCATCTTCGCTCGTCCCGGTCCACCAACTCCGCAATCACAACCTCGGCCGCGTCCGTCTGTATTCTCGCGCGAGTATATCCGCTCGCGCCTTTTCTACCGGCCTCTCGAGGGATTCTCCGAATGGATCTCGCCTGGTTCCCGTGTGTACCGTGGTCTGACGCCTCAATTCAAAGTCTTTCTGCAAATCGCCGCTATGACACTGGGTGGCTGTATCTGGGCCGAGCGACGAGTGACGGAATATATTGAATTGATGCGTCGGATTAAAAGAGCTGAGCGGCTTCAAGCCGAGCGCGAACAGGGCTCCCGACCGTAAATTGGGAGCGGCCAAGTCGCATATGCATTGCAATCGATTCACCGCACGGGTGTGCATAAGATCGACGGGCTCGTATCTGCGAGAACTACTTGTCGGAATAAGCAAGCATGAATTCCCGAAGCCTCTGACAGGGTTCTATTGTTTTTTGAAAGATGACGCAGTGATTCCGGAGGCCACTGGAGAAGATCAAGCTTCCTCCTTATGGCACTGTGTCGATCTATTGCGATCTCCATCGTCGTGGGCCTCCGAGACGTCAGTCTACCCCATTGATCCCTGAGGCATCCCCATATCCAGCACGGCGCGTGGAGCGCGCGAGTCGATCAGCCTCTTTCGATGTGGATCCGGCAAAATATCTCACTCTCATCATCACATACAAACCGTATCATTCAGATAGTCGATAGTTTGTCATGGAGCGCAATTTTGTACCACACTCGGAGCCCTTTCACGACGAATGAGCGCCCACAAGCGCGCGGGGAACGGGTGGTTCCTGCGGAGCAGCAGCAGCAGCAGCATTAGCTGGCCAGAATCCCTGCTATTAGTGGGCTGCACTATGGCCTCTTAGCGGATGCAAACCTTGGGGTGGAGCACACCTCTTACGTGGCCAAGAGCCGCCAAATCGCTCGCGTCCGCACGCAATTCGACATGTCGCGAAGGCATGTCTCATCGGACGATGGCAGGCGTCGCGAGACGCGCAGCTGGCCGAGACTTTGTATACAGAAAGGGCCCAGAATGGATTCTATGTGGTTCTATTTGGGGGTGTTTCCCCCGTGTTTACAGTAGTTTCAAGCTTCGCCGTAGTGGGAACACGGAAAAAGAAAATTGTATCGAATGGAGCAGGCAGCCGGCCCGGCAATGTAGAAAACCAGAAGGAAAAAAGCAAGACGAGCAACTTGAAACATGGAGATGCTCATCGGCGAAGTACAGTTGGGAAGACCGTTTTGCTGCATCCGTCCATTCCTCACCTCCTTTTTTCCCTCTCTCCACCCCAACGAGGGACCGCCCGGTGATCCGCATCGCTGCACTCGTCCGTTTTCTGGCTCTCGGTTCTCTCAGCAAGGTCCCTGCTCATGGGTTTGTGAGTTTCCTCCTTGCCCTGAGCCCTGAGGAGAACCCCACCATCCCATATCCAATATCCGCGGTGGCCCAGTGCCCATACCGATCGGCACCTCTCTGACCTCATACGCGGATCAGCCCTCTTGAAGCCCCGAGAGATCCTCGGCGCATCGATCAATTGATCACCGCCCTTTCTTTCCCCAGGCCCAGTCGCTATTTCTGGGTCCGTGTTTGGAGAGCCAAGCTCTTGAAATCTCCCCTTCCGGCGAACTTCGGTGCAACCATCGGTCCCTTCCTCGCCACATTGTTGACAGCTGCCACTGAGGAGCCTTTGTTCTCTCCGTTTTCTTTTTTGCCAGCATCGATATAATCGCCAGGTCCGCTTTTGATGGTGGAGTCGTCCTGCTATCTCTAGCATCTCGCCCGTCAGTTGCTTCCATGGCGCCGTGAAGCTGTACGTCCTTTACCCCGGTACCCCCGCTTTCCGCCAGTCCTCAAGCCTCTCGGAACTTGCCAGCTTCAGCTCTTCTGCCTGAAAGACACTATCATGTCTGTCGGATCTCTCTGCTAACCGCGACTGCCCAGTGAGAACGACGTCGGGGTCGTCAATGGGACAAGCTCGTTTCTCACCACTATTTCCGCCGATTCTTTCGACGCCTACATTCGCTACTGTTCAAATTCCACCCCTGCCTCGCACATCTTCGCCATGGCCGAACTCAATATTGACAAGAAAGAACGAAGAAAAAGCTTCGGCATGTTCAGCCCGTCCTCAACAACCTCAGCCCCGCCTCTCCGACCCTCTCTCCACGACCGCACCCCTTCCGATGATACCTTCACCAGAGACAAGAAAACCCGTCGCAATTCGGGCTTCTTTGGCCGGTCCCAAAGCCCAAACAGATGGTCTACCGGTCCTAATGTCTTTCGCCGACCAGGCACTGCCAACTCCGAAGTTGCGGCTTGGTCTGCGGCCATGAATTCTGCGCCCACCCCCACCCTGGAAGTCCCTCGCCCACGTCGCAAGTCGTTGCAGAAGAAGCGGACGTCTGTCTTTGGATCTCTCAAGTCGCTCCACTCTCTGGAGGATGACGATCCTCTCAGCGCCTCCGTCGGTTCGGTGGGAGACGAGCAGGGCGTGATTAGTCCCCGGAACGGGATCTGGTCCTCTGCGATCCTCCACCATGGCGAAATTCAATCGACGGGCGGCATGTGGAGGAAAAAGAGCCAGTATCTAGTCCTCACTGACTCGCACATCGTTCGCTTCAAGAACCAGGCCAAGGCGGCCGACGCTTTTCCTTCCATCCCGCATTCATATGCTCGGGCTCCAGCGTCGCATCGGCAGTCTGTTGCCTCAATAAGTTCGTTGCAGGATATGCAGCTCATGGTCGCAAACGAATCCTCTGCAGGTATTCCGTTGAACAGTATTATTGCGGTCTACATGTTGGAGGATGCGCGACTATCCCCCACGGTGGAGGTTGCCTATCTAGATGAGCGCACACACAAAGCTGCGCTGGTCCAAATGCAGACATCCGACCTTCAGGAGCTCAACCTATGGATGGTGGGAATTCGCCAGGCCGCACAGATGACGCGAGCAAAGGACCCTCTGCCTTTCGACCGGGGCTCGGTTGAGTATGTAACGAGGATGCTGGAACACGAACGAGATTACGACCCGGCTGTATTCCGAATGTTCCGGGTCATACAGATTGCATCCAGCAAATCTCCGACTCGGTCTTCTTCCGACGATCTTACAAAGTTGTCGCCGACAGGCTGCTACCTCGCCATTGGACTGCACAAAGTCCATTTGATCCCTATGCAAAAGGCGGCCAATCGATCATCCGCCGTATCCCTCAACGAATTGGTGGATGCCGCCACCTCTTTCGGCCTTATGAACTTGACCGGCCTGTCCATGGAATACGGTGACGACAGTCTGCATTTGACTTTCCGGTAAGTTGATTCTTGGGAAATGCGCAACGTCGCCTGATTTCGCTAACAAGTGAACAGTATCCCGCTCAAGAAGCCATTCAATGTCTTTTTGGCTTCGGTTCATTCGGTCGAGGTCGCATGCTGGATCCGACAACATACTGAGTACCTGCGCCCGTTGTGGACACGACAGCCGTACGATTTCCTGGTTCCACGCGAGCTGCATAGCGAGGAATACTTCCCTCCTGTGGCCTTGGATGAAGACTATGGCTGCTTTGACCGCACATTGGTTGCTTACTCGGCTAGCTACAACATCGATACTTCCAACATTCGGTACACCATTGACCTGGAATGCGAAGATGCGCCATGCTTTCGACTGCTTCGACCGGCATCTTCGAGGATCTCTCGATACAGCGCCCATGAGCTGATTGCTGTCATGCGTGCTTTGCGGTACAATGAGTCATTCAGAAGCATTTCATTCCGTGGTATCAACCTGGATTCCTTGCAGGGCATTCGTGATGTCCATGGTGTGGATGCGGATGTTCATCTTGATCGGACTGGATCCCACGTGAATATCCCGGGACAAGCCAATTTGACCGTTCTGTCACAGGAGGTGCGCGCATTAGCATTGAAGAGCCAATGGCTTCGACGACTCGACTTTTCATACTGCCTCACGCGAACGCCTACCCTGGACAAAGGAAGTCGGGATCCCGGCTGTGGAATTCCTGAAGCAATCTTCCCCGTTTGCCGTCGCGAACTGACGAGTGTTGACTGGGTCGTGCTGAACGGTATCAAGCTTGGCGAGTCGGATTTGGACTATCTGGTTGATGCGGCATCGCAGAAACGCAGTCATCTACGAGCATTGGAAGTTGGGGATTGCGGATTGTCTGTGCACGATCTGGATCTGCTGCTGTCAACTATTGTTGCTCAAGAGTCAACGCTTGAGGCGATCAATATTTCGGGGGTGCAGGGTCGCCTCAATCCTGACGTTTTGCAGCAGTACATCGGATATTTCAGCCAGATCCGAAAGATCAACCTTTCCCGTATCTCGAGAACATCTGGCTCGGACCCACTGATCACAGCAGAAATGCTGTTCAATTGGCGGCTCGAAGAGCTGATTCTCAGTCGAACGGCAGTCAATCGCGAGACTGTGGACTCAATTGCAACTTACCTGGCTAGTGACCGCTCCCAAAATCTTCGCATGGTTCGACTTGACCAGTGTGGCCTGAGCGGAGAGGATGTTGCCATGTTCATGCACTCGATGTCTGCTGGCCCAGGCACTCCCCGAAGCCTTCACTTGCATGTAAATGAAAATCGTCTCGACAATGGTTGTTCGTTCCTCTTTGATGCCATTGCAAAGAACATGACACCTTCACATCTTTCCATGCAAATGATTGATTTCAAGAAAGAGGAACATTTCCGCCAACTAGTTGATGCACTCCGCAAGAACAGCACCCTTCGATACTTGGATATCTCAAAGGCGTCTCTGCCTTACGATGCTGGCCCCGAGACCTGCCGGGCACTGCAGCTGATGTTTGAGGAGAATGATACCCTCGAAGCTCTCGATATCAGCGGAGAGTCCGCACATCTGGATGTCGCACGCTTCGGAATTGGCCTCAATCTTGCACTGACTGGTTTGAAGAAGAACACATCTCTCAAGGTCTTGAGAATCGAGCATCAGAAGCTCGGCTTGCAAGGAGCAAATACCTTGGCATCTGTGTTGGAAGAGAACGACTCTCTACGCGAGGTACACTGCGAGAACAACGATATCAATCTACAATCGTTCACAGTGCTGGTAAACGGTCTTCAATGCAATCGCACCCTACTCAGTCTATCAAATATGGACCGAGATCGGCATTTGTCTCTAGAGAAGGTTCGGCGAGAGGTTGACAACGTCCGCTGGGACGCAAGCAACTCTCAAAGCTCTACAGCAAACTCGATTCGCCGCTCTTTGCATCTATCGATGGGTGTCAAGTCCAGCCACCGTCTAAGCAAGCACCAACCTGCCAACTTCTCCGCCTCGCCTCTGGAGGCCTCGTCGCTTGCAGCAGGTCACAACGTGGACTTGATTCTGCATTCGCTTCAACAAAAATGGGATATGGAGCTTGCCCGTCTGCGCCGATATCTCGCTCGTAACTACAATGTCGCCCACGGCGTCGAGGACCCTGCGACGGACGATGCAGCTAGTGATGGCCGACCTGCAACCGCTGCAAGCCTAGGAACAATGCTCGACAACCTGAAATTCGACGTCGCTGTATCCGCAGACGAGGTTCATGCCTCTCCCCCGAAGAGCCTGCCGCAGCAATCCATCTCCCCGCAGAAACTCCCATCTTCCCAACCGACCGCCGTGACTCCGAGCCCAAGCCAAAAGTCCCAGCTAAGTCGGAACGCAAAGCAAGCCGAATGAAGAGCGTGCCGAATCTACGTCCACACACGGCGCGCCCCTCACAAGTTCTTCCTTCAGATATCGGATCACCAAGCCCTTCCTCCCAACTCGCTCTTCCAGTTCCCCCATTGCCATCTGCAGTCACAAAAGCGAACAGCGTTCGCAGTGCACGCAGCTCCAGCACTGTGTCGACAGGAACTGGTAGTGCACGCAGTACCTACGGCACCGCCTCATCCACTCTACGAAACTTCATTACTGGTAGCGCCTTGAAGGAACGTCGCCGGGTAGACTCCATGCGCCCTGTTTGTGTCTCAAATGATAAACCTCCACAACTGGACTGGTCACCACCAAAAGTCGACTTGGGAGAGCTCCAGTAGCCTCCTACGAGATTGTACATATAAGATGTACAGCGAGGAGCTAACCGCGTCTCCATCCTCCTTTCACTTCTAGAAGCTTGTCTTCACAATTTGCATATAGGGGTTTCCGAGCTTGCCTCATCTCTTCCTATAAATCTTTCCCAATCACCCTCTTTATACCACCCTATCCCATCCAACCCCCTTCAAATCCTCGGCACCGATACCCTGGATACGGTTATTGTCTACTTGGCGCAACTGTGGATACGGTTATTGTTTATTTGTGCGGCGCCCGGCATTCAGAGCGATGGCGTTTTTTTTTTTTTTTTTGACTGCTTCAAGCCCTTTTTGGGGTTTTTTATCTTTATTTTTACTGGTTCGATGTCCTATTTCGTCTAAGCTGCTCATTGTGATTGATCATGAGCTTTACGGCATTCTCCTTTTCATGATGCCTTTGCTGTTTTGATGAGTGCCACTGGGTATTTGGTTTCGTGGTAATTGTTAATGGGTGTCTAGGTGATAGTGCTAAATGCATACTGAATGTCTATTCCATGGTCAGGGTCAAAAGTAGCAACGCTCGTTTTCTGTGAAGTTTTCTGTGGCGCAGCTGAGAAGGCATGGGAAGCAAAAATCAAACAATACCGTAGTGCAGCTTGGAAAATCCGGGAAACAGTGTAAAAAGAAAAGGACTTGCAATGTGGTGTTATTGAAAGTCAAAATGGTCATGTAAGTCAGCCAGGCGGCCATGCCCAATGATCATTCTTTTGCGCTCGCTTACACGTAGTGTTCCAGCCAGAGCCCTTCAATATCTGTAAGATGCTTTTGAATCTTTTTGTCAAGCTCAGCTGTATATGAAGCCAAAATGTACTCCGGCATGCCTCCTGTGTATTGGTCGGCTTTTCCGGGCCATGTACATTCGATATAATTCTTCATCCGGGTGACGCAACGACCAATTTAAGAAGCCGTGTGTGCATATAGGTCACAAGTTAGCCAATGTCTTGCCTTTCGCAAGGCCCACATGTACTTGCCTGCCCTTACTATGTGAAAAGGTCAACCGTAGAAAATGTCAGCCGTAGATGGTTGTGAAGTGAGAATTCGAAGAGGTTAGGTAGATGTAGAAGTGTCGAGATTGCATTGAATTCTAGCTTTATAGTCCAAGCCATGGCGATTTAAGGAAAGTCAGTGTATTCCAAACAAAAACATACTACGGTGCAACACTAGTGTAGCATCTTACTCGATGAGATGGTCCTCAAAGTGCTTTCTCTGCACTTTCTTTTTATCGATGTTTCGGCCAGCGATAGTTGACTTCAGAGAGAGAAGGTCAGGAATGCTTTGTATGGTACGGCATCATAAGAAATAAGGTACAATTCCCTAGACGATAGTCTCCCCAAAAAGATCAAAAAACCCAAATGCAACCCAACAATGCCAGCAGAAATGTGAGAGAAGTCTCTAATAATATACATGGAGAAGAGCAATGCTCTCTCAATAGGTATCAAAAAATCACACAGCTCACAAGGCTATATATATCTTACACGGATTTATAAACCACAACACCCTGCTCAGCATCTCGCTTCTTTTGCTTCTCGCGGAACTTGCGTCCGTCCTGGCTAATCTTCTGCAGCTTGCGGATGTAAATGTTACTCGCAAGGTCGAGTTCGTCCTCGCCTCGGCCGGCCAGGGCCTTCTCTCGCCTGGCCTGGCACATCTTGTACAGCTGACGGCCTTGCGTCTCGTTCAGCTCACTGATCTGCCACTGAAGGGACCACTCATCATTCTTGGTGAAGTTCTCCGGTCGGTCAACGGCCTTTCCGTTGACGATGTTGCGGGTTGTCAATGTCATTGCCAGGAGTGGAGCTTTTGGTTCCGGAATATCACTCTCTCCAGCATCAAAGGTTTCATCCGGAGGTAAGGAGGAGTCATAGACATCAGAGGACTCTTGAGATTCGGTTTTATCAGCCTCGGCCTCGTCGATCTTTTTCTCATGGGCGTCATTTCCTTCGGGTTCGCGGAAAGCAGACTCCATCGCCCTCTGGGCCAATCCATCCTCCTTTGGCATGAGGTTCAGAAGGCGCTTCTGGTATTCCTCGACCTCGGCCTTGTTCTTATTCTGGATGGCGTGGATCTCTTCTTGAGTGACGGGCTCGGCAAAAATGTACATGAAAGGTGTGACGGTGTCACGGGTATCAAAATGGAAGCGAAGGGATTGACCAGGAAACTTCTCTGTGGCTCTGTCCAACACCTTGTTCCATAGTCCCAGACTGAGCTGGAATTCAGTGTCACCTAGAGAAGTGTCGGTTTGTCCATGAAGGGCCTGGTCCATCTCCGGCAAACTCACGTATTGGAATCCAAAGATGCGTTCCACATTGTGGAAGGCAACGAAGATACCGTCCATGCGGCCAATGCGCACCTGAAGCGAGTACTTGAGGAAGGCGGCACGAATCATGTCATAGAATTCACGCTCGTATGATTCATATGCACCGAAGCGGTCCTTGATTTCGTATCCCATTCCCTGTTCAAAGTTCTTGGAGTCCATGCGGATAGACACAACAGCTCGCGTCTTCAAGTCAAACATGCCGGTTCCCGGCAAACGAGGGTCATACGCATCCAATTGGGAGCGCATGACGAAGTCGCCGTAGGTAGAGTAGTGGTAAGATTCGGGAATTGCCTCCTCTTCCTCGGGGGAGATTTTATTCTCGTGTGATCGTCGATAACGTTCAAAATCCTCCTTAGGCAAGGTGAGAAGTTTTTCCATGGATTTTCCCAGGTTCATGAGGATGTTGGCTGAATCAAATTCCTTGTCCGCATCAATCGCATACACGCCATCCTGGTAGTGAAGGAACATGGCAGCAGGCGACCGGAGAAGGCGAGTGAAAGACTTCATAGTTTCCGGGAAGCCGCGAGAAACGGTGCGAGTATCAACTCCTCTCCAGCTGGACAAGAGGTAGTGGAAGTGTGATAGGACCGAGGTCATGCTGGAGGAGGATCCAACATATTTCTTTTTCTCTTTGACGGCGACGTCGCGGAGAGTGGTATCCTTGGAAGAGGTAATATACTCCTTCAAGGTATTAAAATCGAACTCTGTCACAGGCATTATAGAATCGAGATAAGGGTCGAAATTGTAAACGCGAGAACGAGGATCCCGTAAATGATAAACGCCCGGGCTATATCGATGTCAGCACCGAAGAGGAAGATACACGAGAAAAGTGAACAACTCACTTGAAAAGCACTCGGTCAAGACCGAATGAAAGACCGGGAACTGGGGCTGTAGGGATATCGAGAGCTGAGGAACGTTAAATGTGCTCTTAACAACAGTTGGAGGGGCCCAGGGATCAAACTCACGCAGCACCTCTTTTCCCCACGACGTAAGTGTTCCCGAGTGTGACCGATCAACGTTCTTGGCGACATGCTTCAAAGTCGAATTATCTAGCTCTTTGGCTTCGTTCGTTTCTTCCCAGCTCGGTTTTTCTTGCTCTTGTTGGCGCTGCTTGGCCACATTGAGTGCCTCCGTGACCCTCAGTACTGCCGCCTTGTTTCGCTCGACCCTCCACTCTTGCGAATGCTGATTATTTCCAGCAGACTTCTGCGACTTATCTGCATCTTGTGAATCATTGCGGGCGTGCTTTGATTTCTTTTCGCTCTGAATTGGAAATCGTGTTAGTCTCTTCCTAACGATCCAGTCCATATGAGCGAGGGATGCTTGTTCACGTACCAACTTTCCGGAGGGCTTTCCAACGATTTTCCTAGATTTCCCACTCTTATCTTTCCGCTCTTTGGCATTCAGCACTGGTGTCGTGTGCAATTGACGGAACCTGGCTGGCGCATTGGATTGGACAGCTAGACAGGAGTAGCAGACATGGCCTCGTACAGGGCCCAGAGCAGGGCGAAGTGAGGCGCGGAGCATCCCACCTAGCTTGCAATAAGGTCCGATAAGAGCAGGAAACATAAAAGGGCCTCTCCTGCAAAGAGACTGCGCGCGACGTCCGACCAAACCAGTGTCGCGCGCTCCTGTTTTTTTTTTTCTGCCAGGCACCACCGCTCTAGTGCTTATGCCTGAGGCATGATTGTAGATTGGCTTAAAAGAGCGATTCTTCGAGGCATAGATGCAGATTTTAAATTGATTCATTTTCACTTCGGTATTCTTATCGAATGTATGCTAACAAAGGGATATTTTCAAGATCGCAAGTATGGCTAATCCAAATGAAAGAATGGTTCCGTTCTGCCTACTCATTTAAGGTTATCAGCATACTAACATTTTGATCTTGTCTGAGTAGAACAATAATCCAGCCTCTAATCCACAGTCTATACTATAGAAATACCAATTCTAAGAGTTAATTGATTTTTGATAACTCGGCTGCTCCACAAATTGTATTCGTGGCCCTCTACTATGAACTCAGGTCCGCAACCCCGACACCGGGTAGTCCTGGGGTCGGAGAAATCGTGCCGCCGGCAGAAAAAAAGTTATCCAACGCTACAAAGTCTCTCTCGACTGCCATCCACTCCCTTTGCAGTTGCCTCTAAGCTCCTCTCGAGGTAAGTATCTGAATGGCCCTGTAAACCGTTTATTGCTGTTTTTTGAACACTCAACCTTCTCAATTCCCATCCTGCACTCTCCAATCTGCCCGAAGAGGGGCATACCCCGCGGTGGGCTCCCACAGTCGCTAACTTCAACACAGTCCCTCGAGACACTGCTCCCACTATGGCTTCGGAACAATTGCGCATCCTCATTGTCGGCAATGGTGGCCGTGAACATGCTCTGGCTTGGAAGCTGAGCGAATCACCCCTTGTCGACATCATCTACGTCGCTCCCGGAAACGGCGGCACTGGTCTTGGTGTCTCCAGCAAGATCGCCAATGCCAACGTCAAGGGCGATGACTACCCCGGCCTTGTGGCCTTTGCGCATAAGAACCAAGTCAACCTGGTCGTCCCGGGCCCCGAGGCTCCTCTGGTTGACGGTATTCAGGGTTACTTCCAGGCTGGTAAGTTCGATCTTGAATTCTTCATTCTATTCTATCCATCTCAGGTTTGATTGCTAATACTTTCTCGCAAAATAGTCGGCATCCGATGCTTCGGTCCCTCCAAGGCTGCTGCCCGCATGGAGGGCTCGAAGACCTTCTCCAAGGACTTCATGCACCGTCACCAGATCCCCACCGCTGAGTTTGGAAATTTCTCCGACTACGAATCCGCCGCCAAGTACCTCGACTCTGTCAACCACAACGTTGTGATTAAGGCCGATGGTCTGGCCGGTGGAAAGGGTGTCATAATCCCCACCACCAAGGAGGAGGCGCACCAGGCCCTGCGCGAGATGATGCTTGAGCACCAGTTCGGCAAGGCTGGTGACGAGGTTGTCATCGAGGAGTTCATGGAGGGTGATGAGCTGAGCGTGCTTACCTTCAGTGATGGCTACACCATTCGCTCTCTGCCCCCGGCGCAGGACCACAAGCGCATCTTCGACGGTGACCAGGGCCCCAACACTGGTGGTATGGGCTGCTATGCGCCTACTCGCATTGCGCCTAAGGAGGTCCGCGAGGAGATTGATCGTACTATCATCCAGCCTTCCATTGATGGCATGCGCCGGGATGGTATGCCATTTGTCGGTATCCTCTTCACCGGTCTCATGATGACCAAGAACGGACCTAAGGTCCTCGAGTACAACGTCCGCGGTGGTGACCCCGAGACCCAGACTCTCCTGCCGCTGCTGAGCAAGGACACCGATCTGGCTCAGATCATGGTCGCCTGTACCGAGCACTGGCTAGACGGCGTCTCCGTCAAGGTCGAGGACAACTACTCTACCACCGTCGTCGCCGTTGCTGGCGGCTACCCTGGCTCCTACGCCAAGGGCAAGGCCATTACTCTGGACCCTGCTCCTGCTGGCACTCTCATTTTCCACGCCGGTACCACCCTGTCCGGTAATGAGCTTCAGACCTCCGGTGGCCGTGTGATTGCTGCCACTGCCACCGCTCCTACTCTCGAGGAGGCTGTTTCCAAAAGCTACGAGGGCGTTGCCACCATCCACTTCGAGGGCATGTTCTACCGCAAAGACATTGCTCACCGTGCATTCCGTCAAACCGCCGACACCTCCCTCACCTACGCCCAAGCCGGTGTCTCCATTGATGCCGGTAATGAGCTAGTCAACCGCATCAAGAGCTCCGTCGCCCGCACCAAGCGTCCCGGCACTGACGCCGTCATCGGTGGTTTTGGTGGCCTCTTCTCTCTTCCCGCTGCCAACTCTGAATACCACCCTCACTCGCCGACTCTCATTGGCGCCATTGATGGCGTCGGCACCAAGCTGAAGATTGCCCACGCTGTTGGCATCCACGACACCGTCGGTGTTGATCTCGTCGCCATGAACGTCAACGACCTCGTCGTCCAGGGTGCTGAGCCCCTCTTCTTCCTGGACTGCTACTCCTGTGGCCACCTGGACGTCCCTACTGCCACTGCCTTCGTGACTGGTGTCGCTGAGGGCTGCGTTCAAGCCGGCTGCGCCTTGATCGGTGGTGAAACCGCCGAGATGCCCGGTCTCTTCGTGGACAACAGCTACGACGCTGTCGGTGCCGCCGTCGGTGCCATCAACACCACTGGCGACCACGCACGCAAGATCCTGCCTCACACCGATAACATGCGTGCCGGTGACGTTCTTCTTGCCCTTGGCTCTTCGGGCCCCCATTCGAATGGATATTCTCTCGTCCGCAAGATCGTCGAGCGTGCTGGTCTGAGCTACACCGACCCTGCTCCCTTCTCTATGCCCGGCCAATCCTCCAACCTCTCCGTCGGCGCCGCCCTCCTCACCCCTACCCGCATCTACGTCAAGCCTATCCTTCACGCCCTCTCTTCCCACCCCACCGCTATCAAGGGTCTCGCTCACATCACCGGTGGCGGTCTCGTTGAGAACGTCCCCCGTATGCTTCCCGCTACTCTGACTGCCCAGATTGACGTTAGCACCTGGGCCCAGCCCTCTGTCTTCTCCTGGCTTCAACGTGCGGGTAACGTCTCTGCTGCGGAGATGGCCCGTGCTTTCAACTGCGGTATTGGTATGATCATCGCCGTTGATGCTGCCTCTGAGACTGCTGTCCGCCAGAGCTTTGAGGAGAAGGGTGAGACTGTCTACCGCATTGGTGAGCTTCGGGCTCGTGCTGAGGGTGAAGAGGGCTGTGTCCTCTCCGGATTGGAGTCTTGGAGCGCATAGACGCTTTCCTGATTCCGATTCTTTTCTTTGCGAGATATTTCGAGTTCTTGTTGATTTTTTGACTCGTTTGCCCTTTTTTATCTCCGTTTCTTGCAACTAAAATAAGGACTCGAGTTCGAGTTCGAGACGATTGATGCGAATCCCGTATGATGGATGAAATGATATATACACCTATATCTTGGTCAAATGAAGAATTTCCAGATATTCGCTCTCTTCGTCCTCTTTGTAGACCAACACACAGAATAGAGTAGCCACTGATAAGAGGAAGAACTCATCAGAACGCAACATGCAACACCTGGTATGCGGCATGCACACTGCTGTAGTCAGCATAAGGTATGCCCCACGGGCTGCCCTTCGTTTCAGGTTGAATTGAACGAACCTTGATGCGGCTAGGGAGACCCCTATTTGCTCCTTTGATACTATGCGGCCATAGCTCTGAACGCTTCCAGCCATGACAGATGATACATCTGCGCTATGGCATGACAGTCTACGACTTCTACAGTAGTCTACGAAGTAAATACACAGGAGTCAATTCAAGACAATTTGGTCGGAGATACAACGCATAAAGCTAGAACATAAAGGAACGCGACCTGTGCCAACTCCCATGTACACACATCCTCGCCTACACCGAGTCGCCGTAGCGCCAAGGAGGGTTTTTTTTTCCGGGAGTTCGAAAGAGGAAGAGAGGGGCTGTGGCGGCGTTCAAAGATTGGAGGCGACTCGCACCTGGCGCAGAAGAACTGAAGATGAAGAAGACAAAAGCAAAAGAGGAGACGACGAGAATGAAGTAAACGACCGACTCTATTCCACTAAAATCGAGATTTCCATTTTCAGGCTATCCGCTGGGTAATGCGAGTCCAACAAAGCTTGCGATCCACCAGTGCCTCCATCCTGCCTTTTGATACACCAGGAAAGTACGAGCGAAGACGATCAAGGCTAGAAAATAGCTTAGAAGCACTTGCGGTGAACGATCGAAGGACCGCTCTCGTCGTACTCCTGCTTGGAGATCCACATCTGCTGGAAGGTCGACAGGGAGGCCAGGATGGAACCACCGATCCAGACGGAGTACTTACGCTCGGGGGGAGCGATGATCTTGACCTTCATGGACGAGGGGGCCAGAGCGGTGATCTCCTTCTGCATACGGTCGGAGATACCGGGGTACATGGTGGTACCACCAGACTAGGGACAGTTAGCGGGGACATTCAAATTACTGTGGGGGTGTTCGAGGGTGATTCATACCATGACGATGTTACCGTACAGATCCTTACGGACATCAACATCGCACTTCATGATGGAGTTGAAAGTGGTGACGTGGATACCGCCAGACTCCAGACCCAGGACGTTAGGCTGGAACAGAGCCTCGGGAGCACGGAAGCGCTCGTTACCAATGGTGATGACCTGACCGTCGGGAAGCTCGTAGGACTTCTCGAGGGTGGAGCTCTGGGAAGCGGTCTGGATCTCCTGCTCGAAGTCGAGAGCGACGTAGCACAGCTTCTCCTTGATGTCACGGACGATTTCACGCTCGGCAGTGGTGGAGAAGGAGTAACCACGCTCAGCCAGAATCTTCATCAGGTAGTCGGTAAGGTCACGACCAGCCATATCGATACGGGAAATGGCGTGGGGCAGGGAGAAACCCTCGTAGATGGGGACAACGTGGGTGACACCGTCACCGGAGTCGAGAACAATACCGGTGGTACGACCGGAGGCGTACAGAGACAGGACGGCCTGGATGGAGACGTAGAAGGCGGGGGCATTAAAGGTCTCGAAGACAATCTGGGTCATCTTCTCACGGTTGGACTTGGGGTTGATAGGAGCCTCAGTCAAGAGGATGGGGTGCTCCTCGGGGGCGACACGGAGTTCGTTGTAGAAGGTGTGGTGCCAGATCTTCTCCATGTCATCCCAGTTGGTGACAACACCGTGCTCAATGGGGTAGCGCAGAGTCAGGATACCACGCTTGGACTGAGCCTCATCACCGACGTAGGAGTCCTTCTGACCCATACCGATCATGATACTAGGCGATTGTTAGTTTTCCATTTCTGATCTCTGACAAGCGGATTCTCTTGTGCATTTCGGATGATTCCGCAATCGAGGGTGTAGAGGGAAGGTTTACCCATGGTGACGGGGACGACCGACAATGGAGGCTAGATTCAACAGTCAGTATTTATTTTTTACCCTTGTTCTCTGCCTCCCTGGTTTTTGGGCCCTTCTGAGTGCCTCGCCCGCATGTGAAATTGGAGAACTCAATGATCACATTACCCCTCAATGTGAAAAACACAATCGGAAGCAAGGGCGGGCGGGCTGGCCAGAAAGGGTGATTTGGGAGCTGTGGGGGTGGCACTTACGGAAGACAGCTCGGGGTGCGTCGTCACCGGCGAAACCGGCCTTGCACATACCCGAACTAAACAAATCATCAGTAAATTATCCTTATGACCCGGGGGAGATCAATTTGCGGCTCGGTCGGGGTTCCTGGAGCAGGTCTGGTGTGCGATTGGGACTCAATTTGCCGGGGCGGCCGATTTAGGGGGGGATGATGAAGTGGGCGCGACCGGGCGGCGAGACCCCCCAAACAACCAGCACAAGCTCGCAGGCGACCGAGGATTCGTTCACATACCCATTGTCGATAACGAGAGCAGCGACTTCCTCTGTAGGAGACAACATGAATTAGCCAGGGTGTCCAGAAAGATGGGGGCGATGGTCCACGAGCTGAGGCTGCGGCTCAGACTCAGGCTCAGCTCTCCCCAGAACAGAGCTGGGCAGGCCAGCGATGAGGGCTGAGGTGGCCTCAAGACAGCATGACGAGACGAGCAGAACTTACCTTCCATGGTGATTGAGAAAGGAGATGTGGACTAAAGAAAAGGAAGATGGAAGGGGGAGGGGGAAGTATAGCGATGGTAGGGGGGAAAGGGAGGGAAGGGAAGGAGGGAAGAAGTGGAGAGGAGGGGAGGGTTTGTGATGGTTGGGACACCTGGTGTGTGCGCGAGGCCTCGACTACCTCCAGCAGCCCCCCGATCGACCGCTTCTTCGACTTTTATATCCATGGCTCTTTCCAAGGCAGAACCATTCGCCCTGCCCTCTTGTACGCCCAGCGCTGTTTCCCCCAAGCAGGCATTGCGCATCCTCGTGGGGCTTGTCAACCTGGGACGACCCTATTCGGGCCGGCGCACTTTCCAGGACACCGTAATCCATACCTCTACTAGGCTGGCCTAATCTACATTCAGCTCCCGCCGGGGCTACGTAGTCCACCCAATTGACCTTCACGAGTACGGCCTCCCAGGGTCCAAATGCGCCGGTGGTCGCCAATGCCCGTTGCTGACCCAGGCTCCCGCAATCCCCGTTCCGGCCTGTTTGGTGTGGCGGGGAGGGAGGCTGTACAGTTACGAAGTCACTTCTAAGTATAGAAACCCCTCCTTTCGCTGCGAGGGCCTCCTTGGAATGCCCGAAGGTACTCGTGTGGTACTTGCCTGCACCAAAAATGCGTACAATTGTCGAGGGCCCTACGCTGTCGGGATGGGCCAAATCCTCTCTACTGTAGGGCTGTCATGCACGCCCCTAACAGCTGGGCCTCACCACGAGGAGCAACAGCCTGACGCAAGCCGCCCCCATTTACCGCCATTTCGAGACGGTGAGTGGCAAGTCACATGCTGGCACGTGAGGTCACCTGATCGAAGCCGCTGGGCGCCGCGCGAAACCTCCAGATAATTCTTAGCTAAGCCGTTTTGGGCTGCGGAGGTTATATCATAGCAGCTCTCGCATACACTTTTTTGCACGCTTGCTTTCGCACTGTTCACCACCAGCTTGGCATATAGCAAATACAGATCACTCCACACATACATACCGCCAGAATGGACCCTCAAATGAACAAGCTCCTCAAATGGAGTGTCCAGAACTCCCAGCAACGCCAGGAAGATGGCACTCTCACTGCCCCTCCAACCGCCGAGGAGGCTTCGCGCAACCTGACCCCGGACATGATCAATGCGCTTTTTGGTGGACCCAGCGATGCCGATCTCCTGAAGATGAATATGCAATTGCTGCAATCGGACGAGGCGGATCTGGAGAACAAGATGATCGCTTTCGACAATTTCGAACAGCTGATCGAGTCCATTGACAATGCGAACAACCTGGAACCTTTGGGTCTGTGGACTCCGCTTGTTGCCTTGCTCAAGCACGAGGAGCCTGATATGCGCCGTATGGCTGCCTGGTGTGTTGGTACTGCCGTGCAAAATAACCAGAAGGCTCAGGATAAGGTAAGTTCTTCCCCCCACTATTCCACAGCAAAAGCAAAAATATCCGTAAGACAGAAACCTAATATTTGTGGCATACAGCTGATTGTTTTGAACGCTATCCCCACTCTCGTGGCCATTGCGACGACCGATTCCAACCTCGCTACCCGTAAGAAGGCCGTCTATGCCCTCTCCTCCGCTGTCCGGAACTACCAGCCCGCCATGAACGAGCTCACCAAGAGCCTTCCGGAGGGCTTTTCCAAGGATAAGACCGAGGCGGGTGATATGGAGGCTATTGATGAGGTTATGAACAAGCTCCGGGCTCACGAGGTCGCTGCATGAAGAGCTTTTATAGGCGGTGATGTTCCCTCATACATCTCACTTTAGCCGCATCCCGGCGAACAGCCATGAGGTTCGCTTCGTGGCCGTCAGCGGCGGCTGCTAAAGGCGCTCAGTTTGGTGATCGCAGCTGGATTTCTTGACTCGATTTGTGGATTGAAGCCGGCTGCATAGTTCCATACCCCCACCCCCCTGGTCAAGGGAGCCTGTCTTCCTTTGGTGTGTACACTGTCGGGGAGCAAAAGGTATAGGCTGGAGATGTTACCGGACCCTGGTTACGTTAGGAGCATTACGCAAGCTAGGGGTCCAGGCAGAAAAAAAGTGATTGGACCAGACATGTATATACCCCAGGACGGTTGTCCTACTCTGAATGAATTGCATGATATTGAAACAAACTTGGCTACCTAAAATTATTACTTGCAAACTATAAGCTAGTCACTCCCCACGTTTAAACTCTGGGATTAGGCTGCATATATATATCTGCTTGGCCTGAGCAGATAGCAAAGAGAAATTAAAGACATTATGAATCCCACTGAAGCCTAAATCCCAGAAAAGCAGAAATATTATCCAAATACAGTCAATATGCATGCACAATTATCATCCGTGAACTGAAACACTTGTGAACATTCAAACCCATGCCCATGTCCATGTGCGGTGCTGCATACCGCCAGGCCGTATAAACACCCACCGCCCGGCCCGACATTCCTCCGGGCACCCGTCGTCATCGCAAGCAGCTCCAACCCAGCTCAACCCCCATCGAAATATCAAGCAAAAATGGACGTCTCCAACAACCGACTCTTCCGCTTCTCCAAGCCAGAATGGCTCAATAACTCCGCCGTCCGCAATGCAGGCGTCTACACCTCCGGCGCACTGGTGAGTTCGACTCCACCTCCGACCCGCGCCCAGGCAGCGATCCGTCGTAAACGGCACATTGATACCGCGATCAAGACAAGAAGCTAACAAATTGGGAATGGGACAGTTCGCCGCAGGCTTCTTCTTCCTCATCGATGTAGCCGCCTTCTCGCACAGCCCGCGCAACGGCTCAGAAGTACACATCAAGTTCGTCGATTGGATCCCCGGTATCTGTTCCGCGCTGGGCATGCTGGTTATCAATTCGATTGAAAAGTCCCGGTTGCAAGCCGATAGCTTCAGCTACAGTGGGAGTGGGGTTGCGTGGAAGGCGCGCTTTGTGCTGTTCTTAGGCTTTGCGCTTTTGGCGGGTGGTTTGGCGGGGAGTGTTGTATGTTGATTTTCTCCCTTTCCGTCTTATCGATGGATTGGGCTGCTTTCTGGGTGCTCAAATGCTAACCATGTCTCTGCAGACGGTTATGGTACTTAAGTATCTCATTAAGGATTACCCGATTCAAACGCTTTACTTTGGTATTGCGAACGTGGTTGCGAATGGTCTGGTTATGCTAAGGTATGTCTTCCGAGACTTGCCGACTGGCTTATTCTTTCACCTTGGTTGTATTGTCGAAGGAGATGCTAATATTGCCTGCAGTTCCATCGTTCTCTGGGTATCGCAGAACATCGAGGATGACTACACCTACAATCTTGCTCTGTGAAGCAAAACTATGGCTTTGGTATCTAGCGTCTCATCGTGGATTGCTTTGTATTTTAAGCAAGTATTTATGACTTGGATGTTTGGTTCGCATCTCGGCTTAGATCATCTAGCTAGAGCTTAGCGTGGATGAATTCATTTCGTATGACTCTTTTATGACACTGTTGTATGTGGTTCCAGGAATTCACAGTCGCGTATCCGATTATCTACTTGGTAATATTCCCCGCCATCCAGCTAATTCCTACGATGAGCAGCCCTCGGTGTCTCGTGGTTAGATGCACAGGAATGATAATGTTCAACCCCGAATCGCTGATAAATAGCACAGAAATCCACATGTTCACCTTAAATTATCATGAGTTCTTTGAGATGTCAAATTGCATCAAATAATCAATCCGTCGAACGGGTTAGTGATTCTAAACGACTGAACTATGTTTGAGATGAAAGGGGAGAGAGATCATGTGATGGTGCCTGCATTAGCTTGAGCAAGGTGAGGCTGACTGGGAGGCTGGGCGACTTGCTGAAGCATGGTTCATGACCGCCTCGACAACCCCGCTGTCGCGACTCTAGGGCGGGCGATGCTACACCGTAACTCAAGGGGTGATACAGTGTATAGTGAGAACACTAACGAAGCAACGTCATGGCCCCATTCGAAAGAGTCACCAAGCGCAACATACACTCATGGTGGAGCGGTGATCAGCGATCTCACGGAAGGTCGAGACATAAACATCAGTATGAGCACAACCGCCGACTCATTATCTGGGATGCGAGGCTCACGGTTCGTCAGATCATATCACGGAGATTTTCCCGCTAGCCGACTCCTCTATCAATCGCTCTTCCACTCGCCCGATCTATTCAGCCAAATTCAAGATCAAATTGGTCGACTCTCCTCCGCCCTAAGAGCAACTGGCGACTATCACAGCAGACTATACGGAAGATAGTCATGAGATTGATACGGTGCTGCTGGATTGCTACAATGTGTTTGTGGAGTTATCCCAGATGAAGCAGCACTGCGATAGTGGGAATCGTCAGACTCAGATTAGCTGGGAGAGAATGACATCGGTGCACGACAACCTAGGGGAGATGGAGAAAAGGTTAATGTCATATGTTCAAACCTTGAAAAGGTTGAACTCCAGCATTGTCGAGTCATCACAAGCTAGCATCGAGCGCAAATTGAAGATTCTCACGGACGAAATGCGACAACGACATAGCTCGGCGGCCTCGGCAATAACCGGTGGCTCACTAGACTTGCCTGAGAAAGAGGCTTGGAGAGAAATTTGAATAGAACTGCAAGGCACCGGGGTTACGCCGGAGCTCTTCTCGCAACATCGCGAGTTCATCACTTCGACACTCCGAGACTTCTTAGATCAAGAAGCGCAGGGAGAACCTCACTTCTCAAAGGCCCCAGAAGGGTTGGAAGATTTCTCAAAGAATACAACAAGAGCCAGGACTGATTACTTCGCGACTTTACTAAATTCAGGAGCGAGAAATGTCGAGACTGAATCACGAAACCAAGTTGAAGAAGCACATATCTCTGAACCATTTTTCAAGAAGCCCAGCCGCATGACCCGGATACCATAATCGTTCACTCATGGTTACCACGAGGTACTCGATGTTACTCAGAGGGAGATTCCGCTGCTGTTGCAGAATTGCTAGCAAAGGGTGCAAAACCTTGATCGCGCGATACTCAAACATCGCAGTGCTGTCCGAAGCAGCTCCATGTGGGCACAAGGAATTTGTTGCTCGGCTGGTGCCCAGCTTTCCCTAGACACCTGTGATGGGAGCAATGATCTCGGCTGCCCATGCGGGGCACCTGTCAAGTTGTTGAGAGCCTACCGGACTACCTGGTGGGTAAGGGGCCAGCCGGATCCCTGGGATTGGTATGATGGAAAGCGCAATAGCACGCAAGCTTCGACAGGTAGACTCGACAGTGTGTAGGTATGTAGGATAGCATTGGCGCTACAGGATTGAACAATATGGTATTGCTGAATCCCGTTGAGTATCATTGCAGTTTAGAACCTACTATAAAGCACCTAATCAGAAATTGTGAACTCCTTGCAGAATGGAACGCGCCAGAACCATTCCATGCAGTCCGAAACGCCTAGCTAAATGTGTAAAATGCATCAATCCGTAAAGTCATAAGATCCCTTACCCACCCCCCAGGTCGTCAGCAGTTCAGTTCAAACTCAGTGGTCCTCGCAGAAAAGTCGCAGAATCTCATCGATACAAGTCATAGCCTTCTCCTTCTCCAGAGGCATAGGCGAAGAACCAGACCCGCCAGCGGGATCCTTGACATACTTGCGCAGTGCAAATGCAGCCGCTTTGTAAGTCGCGTGATACACGGCCTTGAACTCGTCATCGTCAGTCGAAGCACCTGGAGTAGGCGTCTCGGCACGAAGTGTTTCGGACTTGGTGTTTGAGCGGTGAAAGCCGTAGAGACGCATGCAGGTGAGGATGGTGCGGGTGATGATGTTTTTGTTGTCTGCGATTATGGTCTCTGGGCTCCTGGGCGGGGAGGATGGCGCGGTGGTGCCTGGCTTGTTTTTCTCTTCCACCGAAGATGCGCAAGAAGGTGCGGTAGTGCAATGGGATCCACATCGAGATTGCGATTCGAGGAACGGATTCGGGGTTGTTGCGCGCTTTTGAGGATCAGCGTTAGGGTTCATGGCTGCACTGGTGGTGCCGCGGGTAGTACCGCGGACGCTTCCTTGACGGGCTTGGTGAAGATTGGCACCGATCGAGGCTGAGCGTGATCTTCCTGCTGCGATACGGTCGAGAGATGGGAGACCGGGGGGCTCTTCGTCGGGCTCCCGTTTGATGCGAAGCGAAGAGATGTTTTGGGATGAGGATGAGGGACGGGAAGGTGCCATCATTTGTGAGACAGCCTCCCCGCCTCTCTGCCGGACCCGTCGGTGGTGCAAGGCAGCACTCTCAAAGAGGGTGGCTACTCGTTTTCGTTTCGGGCTCGGCGAGCTTATGTCCGGCAGGAACTCCGCAGGAGCAGAAGCATGTTCTCCGCTAGAACTTTGAGGTGGAGAGGGGAAGGCTTGCGCTTGCGTGAGGAGATTCGTTGAGAGAGGTGCCGCATAGATCCGCAGTTCATATGGCTTGGGTGCAGGGTTATTCGCGTTGTTGCCGTTATTAGTGGCAGTGTTGTCCTCGGACGGAGATGAGTGCGGAGGTGTGGGTGGTCGCGCGCAGGATGTTGCGTTGGATAATACGCCGTAGATCAGGAAATCAGAGATGATGGGGCCACTCTTCCTGACAGTGTTTCCGTTGACACTGACCAGTAGGCCAGCTGGGCACTGAAGAGACTGACGAAGATCCAGGATGTCCCCGTTCAGCCAGATCGCGCCTGTCAGCTTGCTTTGGAGCCATTGCGACGTCTGCGAGTGTCTCGAGTGTAGTTCGAGGCTCGGGCCAGCGCGGGCGTGTAGCGGGATTAAAGCCGGGTTTACAAAGCTTCGAAGTTCGAGTTGCGCATCTTTTGATACATCGCTTTGCCAGTGTGATGTGGGATCAACAAACCGGAGTCCTGGTTCGAGGTCAACGTAGTGCGCATATGGCGCACTGCTTACTACTTACCTTGCAGTTGCCGGTCTGAATCCAGGGAAATGGACCCTTCCCAAATATATCCCATATTCAAGACTGATTGGGCCGAGATACCCTCGCTTTCATCTTTGTGGTGTTGTTGAAGTGGGCGGTCTGGCTGACGTTCTGCTTCGACGCGCCTGGACGCGCGCAGTCACGTGGACTCAGGGCATTTAGCAGATTACGTGCAGCAAAACCACCACCACATACTACTTGATTTGGATATGCAAACAAAAAGACCCAAGAATTAATGCGTCTATATATACACTGCGTTAAAATACACCCAGAGTATCATAGCCAAGCAAATGCTAGCCACAGAGCCATGGCGAATTGACGCTGGGACCATCCCGCTTCAATCATTCGAAGGATATCGTGCATACGTCGATGAAATCAAATTATTCGCGCAAAAGAAACGTCATCATGAAAGGAAATTGAATGCTCGCGGAACCTACAAACCTATTTGGTAACCGAGAAGGAAGAAGGCCTTTACTCACTCCGCAGTCGATATCCATCATCCGCAATCAAAACTCCTCTTGTTCTTGGAAGAACATGGAAAAGCTGATGATAGTTCCATAAATAAGAAGGCCTCCGAAAATAGACATGATCATAGCAGGGATTTCAATCGCCCCGCTGTGCGCCAGAACGACCGGGAGAGCTAAAAGAGGGGTGTTAGCAACGTATTTGGGGTAGAAACAGCGAAAGTAGAACATCGGAACAAAGGGAACAGCATAACTTGCGCAATGCCCACATAGTCTTTCAAGCTGATCGCTTTGAATCTTCCATGACATCGGCTGTTCAAGAGACGGAGGGGGAGGGTGTTCGGAAAGCAACCAACTCACCAATACCAGTCAGGACTAGGAATCCGGTCATAAACCGCCCAAAGTCCATAGCCGAGTTACTCGAGCTGTCCATGAAATCGTCTGGGTTCGCACATCGTCCACAGATCCAATTGGGGAGCGGCGCAATGATATAGATTGCAACGACCAGCAGAGGCCAGTACTTGTGCCAGAGAGCAGAGGAGAGAATGACGAGGAGGAATCCGATCGCAAGCACCTGTACAGAGTCATGTCAGTCATCCTGATTCCAACGATGCAAGCTAGCGGGTGCGATCTTGCGTACAAACGAGAGCGCGATGATGGTCTTGAGTCCAGCCGCCATGATTGCGGAGTCGCCGAAGGTGTCCGGTCGACGAGACGAGATTAATGTGGTGATTGAGTTGCAGCGCAGGCGTCCGAGTGAGAGATTCAGCAGCAGTCGAGGAATGACGTCCCCATTGATCGGGATCGAGGGGAGAGGGAATTCGGAGGTGTGCGAGGAATGAGTGACGTTGGCGCCTGAAGGTCACTGGGTGCTGGTGCCTCAGGCCACCAGAGCTCCAATGCTTCACACCGCGTCACCTTACCTGCCTGGTCCAGCTTCCCCATCTCCGCCCCGAGTCGTTCTCTTTCTGTTCAGCTTATTTCACCCCTCATTGACTGTCAAGACCGATCTCGTCCTCACATCCTCTCGACTGATTAGTCTCTTTCCTTCAGGATGTTCAGAAACAACTACGACAACGACGCCGTCACCTTGTAAGACCTACCCCGACCACTCCGCGATTCACAATCAGCTACTAACTCAACACACTAAAGCTCCCCGCAAGGGCGGATATTCCAGGTCGAATATGCACATGAAGCAGTGAAGCAAGGATCTGTCGTCGTGGGATTGGTGAACAAGACACATGTAGTGCTGGTCGGCCTCAAGGTTCGTTCTCCATCCCGTCCCTCAACAAGGACAAGACAACACTGCAACGAAAGCACGATGAACTAACTGTCCCAATCCAGCGTAATGCCGAAGAACTCTCCTCGTATCAGAAGAAGATCATCGAGATTGACTCGCACATGGCCATTGCCATCGCCGGCCTAGCCTCAGATGCCCGCGTTCTCTCCAACTTCATGAAGCAGCAATCGCTCGGCTCGAAGATGACCTACGGCCGACCAATCCCCGTTGACCGCATCGTTTCACAAATCGGTGACCGCGCGCAGACCAACACTCAGCACTATGGAAAACGGCCGTACGGTGTGGGCCTATTGGTGGCCGGTGTGGATGAGGCCGGTCCGCACCTGTTTGAGTTCCAGCCTTCGGGCCTGACACACGAGATGGTCGCCTGTGCTATTGGCGCCCGCTCCCAGATGGCGCGTACGTACCTGGAGCGGAATCTCGATAAGTTCGCCAATTGCAGCCGTGACGAGCTGATTAACCACGGCTTGCTGGCCCTCAAGGAGACTCTGTCGCAGGATAAGGAGCTCACCGTTGATAATACTTCCGTTGGTGTGGTTGGACTGGCCCCCGAGGGCTCCAAGGGTCGGATCGAGAGCTTCAAGCTGTATGAGGGCCAGGAGACAGTGCCGTTGCTGGAGGCTCTTGAGCGGGCAGACGGTGCTGGAGAGGAGTCAATGGAGGTCGACTCATAATTTTCTGGACTTTTAATGATTCCGCGTAGACATGAATTAATTGCTTATGCTGTGCATTCTCTACGTCATGGACGCCGATAGTAAAGAGTAGTCATCCATTTCAAGCTCTTATGATCTATTATCTAGAGATGTGTCTGGATATGCAAAGTGTCCCGAAAGTGTAGTCTCCAAATCCCCAGCTCCGGCGTCCCGTCAGGACTCATCAAACATTATGTAGAGAAGTCAACCCATAATGATCAGTGATCCTCTTACTCCTCGCCCCAGTTCAGCTGCATGCGATCACAACTGCACTGGTATTCCAGCAGCTTAGGCCATACCTCCGTAGCATCACGGGCTTCGGCCAAGATTGAACCATTTTCACCATTGATGAAGCCCTCCTTGACTGCTTTTCGCACCCAGGCGAGTAGACCATCCCAATATCCATTAATGTTGACCAACACCACGGCTACCCGGTGAATACCGAGCTGATTCCAGGTCGTCATTTCCATGACCTCCTCAATCGTGCCAAATCCACCGGCAAGCGAGACAAAGCCGGAACCTCGGCCACCCTGCATCACCTTTGTTGCCATCAAACGCTTGCGAGTATGCATGTCGGGCACAATAGTCGTAATGCCGTACTCGGACTCGGGAATCCCGTATTCGTCGTCGGGCGAGACGATCCGCTCGGCAGCCTTGCCTCCGCCGCTCTGTTCTGAGTTGCCATTTCCATTGCCATTGCCGTTCTTTGTCGAGACCTTGACCAGAGCACGGGGAATGATACCATGCACGGCTTGAGGACCGGAGAGGGAAACGAGAGTTTTGGCGATCTCGCCCATCAACCCCATTGTACCGCCGCCATAGACTAGTTTGACGTTGTTCTTGTGGAATTCGCGGGCAAGAGTTCGGGCTGCCTCGAGGTGGGCAGGGTTATTTCCTCCTGTTGAGCCGCAGCTGAAGAAAAATGAATTAATCGAGGATTCATTCTTTGGTCCGTTGCAAGTCTTTTTGAGCTGAATTTTTACCAAGCTCTTTGGAGGGCTGTCTGTTGAGGGTCGGGGAGGGATCGGCGGATGAAGGGGGAGGGGCTATACGGTTGACTCACAATACGCAGACCACCGCAGGTCTCTCTTGAGTCATGGTGATCGAGTTTCGTGCAGATGTACAAATAAATGCTTATGGATAGACACAAGTGAAGGAAAGAAGTGCAAGTCTTCTTGTGACGAAGAAAGAACAATTGCAGGTTTTCGAGTTGGGGCAAGCATGACCCAGCTGGTCCCACTGCGATAAGAGATAAAAGTGACTCAAAGCGGGCCGGCTAGTTGGCCCTTCCGACTGGCTGCATTCCTGCTCGACGTACCAAGGCAGTAGTACTTCGGAGAGCCCAGACTAGTCCAGTGACTCCAAGTATAAGTGCATCGTGGCCTTTAATCAGCTGATATTGGCATGTCATGTCGCAACTGCCCCTACGTTCTTTTATGCTTCATACTTTCAAACCACTGGCAAAGAACTAGCCCCAGGTAAAATACTGACCATGTTGGTATTCTGTGTCTAACAGAAAGGGTATATTAATGCAAATTAACTCGCAACTCGACTCTTCTTCCGCTTTCCCTTGTTCTCCCCCGAGCTAGGCGGCGAATTACTCTTGTCCGAAGCCTTTCCAGGAGTGTCGACCCGGACCTGCGGTGTCGACACACGCCCCGGTACAGAGGGCGTGTTAGCGGTGGCTGGACCCGGTGCTGCCTTTGGCGCAGGCTTCGCTGCAGCACGATCGTTATCGCTTCCATTTCTGGACAAAATGAACGAGCCAGGTTCGCCCTGCAAGGGAGTCTCGTCCATGAACTCGTCGCCATAACGGGTGAAAAGGCTAAATGCATCGGCAAGGCTGCGAGTATCTTGGTAGCTGGTACTGGAATTCGAATTTCCGAGACCAGTCTTGCTAGAGCCTTGTGCCTCGGTACTCGATTGTGTTTGAGATGGCATGTCCGGCATGGGTGTGTTTTCCTTGCTTTGCTGAGAAGCTTGCTGACCAGGTTCGGCGGTGCGGGTTGTCGGTGGCATGTAGGTGTGTCCGTGCGAGGACGTGAAATTCGGGAGGGTTGATGCGGTTTTCATGAATCGCGATAGAGACGTGACGGCTGAGAGCTGGTAGTGAGAAGCGTTAGCACTCTGGTCCGTTCTATAAAAGTAGACAACCTGAAGGAGAAGCTGCGTACAATTCGATTGCCGACCACACTGGAAATTGACGGTGCCATGTAGATACAGTCGCCAACAACAAAGTATGTCGAAACGATGGTCACTTCGTCGTCCATTCCACCGCGCTTCCGCCGGTTCTGCTTTCGAATGACCCAGACATTTGACGGCTCGTGAGCGAAGCGACCGTCGGCCTGCGCCGCTGCCTGTAAGGGATCGTAGCTGACGACAAATTCGAGACCCTGCATCGTCTTCAACCGGTCTTCGAATGCTTCGCGCGTCTCGATGAAGTGACGGAAGGCTTCGTTGTAGCTTGCTTGGATGGCGAGAGAGGCATTGTTCGAGGTAGGATCAAAGAAGGGAGATTCGGCGAAATAGAAAAGGACTAGATAGTCGCATAAGAGATTAGTACCCTGAAAGCCAATTTCGACGGGCGCGCTTACTATTGTTGGAGTGCAAGAATCCGCCCATCATTTGGACGTGCGGGGGAGACCGCCAGAGGATCTCCTCCATGGCGGCATCTTGGCCAGCCATGACTGCCTCGAGGATATCGTGTCGTTTCGACACCGGAATAGCCCGAGGCAAATTTCTCTCAGCTCCTGAAGGGGATATTCGAGCGTAGCAGAGGGAGCAGATAAGAAGGGCGGAGAGATGAAGCGGAGGAAAAGTACCTTGTTTAGCTTGTTTGCATGGCCGATCTCAACTCTATCCATCGCGGCGACCCTGCCATTCACCAATCCGCGTTGATTAACCACCTGGGGCATTTAATTTACTGATAGTATATTGGAACTCCAAGTCTGAACCAAAAAGAAATGACTAGTCTTCACATATTTGCGCACTCGATACACTATATACTACGTCTACTACTCTCAATTTTGGTTCAGCCATTTTATTGTGATGACAACTTCTCATTTCTATATTCACAGAGCTCTATAACTCTGAATATTGTATATATGCAAGTATGGAAAAACCCCAACTCCAACGCTAGATGTTGAATGGACTTTCTTTTCCAACCCGTAGGTCCGGATGTTGAAGGCACAGCGTGCTCCGTGAACTTATTAAGGTTGGTCGAAATCAGACGAGAAAAAAGCAAGCAAATGTGTACAGAGCCCATTTAGTGGTCGGGCTATAAAGAAACGTCAGATGGAGTGAAGATGTTTTGGACAGTGCGTAGCTTGGTCAGCATCTCCTGCCATTCGCCTTCAGCAGTGCTGAGAGTAGTGACGGCTCCCCCGGCACCAATCCGCCAGATTTGTCGACTGTTATCTTTCGGCTCTTTACTGACAGCAGAGCCAGAAGTAAAGGCAGTGCGAATCAAGACCGAGAAGCTGCCGCCACCGCCAAGGTCAAGATAGCCCATCACTCCAGAGTAGATTCCGCGCTTCCGCGCCTCGATTGTTTGGAGATGCATGCAGGAGCGTTCCTTGGGTGCCCCTGTCATAGAACCAGGAGGCAAGCATCGCTGAAGAGCCGTGAGTCCATGGGCAGCCATATTAGATGTTCTCAATTGAGGCATGTGCCGAACAGAGCACCCGAGCTTGTCGGGTCGAACCTCGCCCTTAACATGGGTAATCATTTGATAGACCCTGCCATGATCCTCAACCTCGAGCAGCTTTTCAACGTGAACACCGCCAGAACCACAGATACCGTACAAATCGTGGCGGATCAAGTCGGCAATCATCAGATTTTCGGCCATTTCCTTCGTTGAACTGAGGACTTCTTTGGCTTTTTCGAGTGTCATTTCAGGTGTTTTCCGAACAGTGCCTTTCATCGGTTTCATCTCCAACGTTGAATCGCGGTCCCAATTCAGGAAGCATTCCGGACTGCTGCTGATGACCTTTGTATCGCCCAAGTCCATAAAAGCACTGAAGGCTGCCGGGTTGTACCTGCGCAATCGCTTGTATAGCTTCCAGGGAAACTCGAGTCGATCGGTTTCTTTTGCTGGAATTGGTAGAGATATTGATGTCTCACCAGTGAGGCAAAGCTCATAAGATTCGCCGGCTTCGAGCTCTGCTTGACAAGCTGCAATCCTTTGTTTATAAGTCGCTTCTTCAGGGGTTGACATGATGCCTTCGCGGAGAATAGGGTCCAGGAAGGTAGAATCATCTTCTTGGCCAGCTGCCGTGTTGAGAGCATGATTCTGTAACTGCTGCAGGGCCTCATCGATCCATCCTGCTGGCAAATCATCCGATTCCACAGTTGATTGAACCACAACATTTCCGTCTTCGTTGTCAATGACAATACTTCTTTCACACCAGAGCAGACTGACGCCAGGTGGGTCGTCGACAGAGGATTCGGTCGAATTTTTTGAATTTTCGGATAGCAATGATGAGTCTGATGTCTTCATCGAATGGGGAAGACAAGCGAGACCTAGCTCATAAGAGAAGTATCCCAGAAAGCCACCCCAGAAAGGGATTTCGGCACTTCCAGAGTCAACTTTCTTCATTACCATCAAATAGCGCAAGGCATCCCATAGCTGGGCCACGCTAATGCTCTTTTCGATTTCTTTCTTATCCCCATGGAGCTGGAGTATGTTAATCTTCTGAGTTTCAAGCGTATATTTTAACCTCCAAGACCCAGGGCTGGGAACTGAGACAATGCTATATCGTCCATTGGACTGAAAAAGCACCGTTGGAGATCCCGGACTGTTGAAAATATCACTTATCGCTTCAGCAGTCAAGTTGGCTCGGGCCAGAGATCGGTAGGCGGAACAGGTAGAAGTGGCATGGCTCCAGTTCAACATATCGTACGCAATATTCGGAAATGGCGTAGTGTTCTCATTGGGGCTGATTATTGCATCAGGAAGCGGGCCGTATCCATTTCGTCCCACGACTTTGTTGAACTTCAGAGCGAGCTGCCACCAATTTCGTAGCAAGGTCTTGCAAGCTTCTTTTTCCGACTTGCATGATTCAGGGTGAAATTGAACACCCCAAAATGGCTTGCGGCAATGACGAACAGCCATAGGAACCTGAGTGTTTGGACCAGAGCCATTTTCAAGGGAAAGAGATGCCAAAAAGTCCAAGTCCTTAGATGACGAATGTTGCAATCCATTCGATTTTTCGAGATTCGCATAGAGTGAATGATAGAGAGTCACCTCCAGGGAGGAGATATTTTCGAATACATCCTTGGCTTTCGTCTGAATCCGACGGACTTGCCCGTGAAGTGGGTAGGGTAATCTCTCGATAGGAGTGTCGTGATGTAAGCACAAACTCTGAAACCCAAGACAGATGCCGAAAACCGGAAGTAATTCGGCATCTTTCAGGTTCCAGATATCTTGCATAATACCGACATCCTTAGGAAGATTCGGGTTTCCTGGACCAGGCCCAAGAACGATAGCTTCGTAGTGGCGTAAAAATTCGTGAATGTTGCCGTCCGGCCAGTCGGAGTCGATCGTCATCACGGTGACTTCGACGCCGAGCGTTTCTTCCAGCATTGCGACGACATTGTAGGAGAATGAGTCATATGCATCGACATAGAGAATGCTTTTGAGAGGAGCTGTGTCACTGCCCGCTTTGCAAGGTGAGCACGTCGCCCCTCCATCCCAAGTCCCATCCGTCCCTAGGAGTGGTGCCATTATGGATCTGAGCCACCGCTAAAGAGACGAGATCTAGGCGATAGCAAATACAAGCAGGGCCAAATGATCAGCAACAAGAAAAAATGCGATGACTGGTGCCTGAGACACTTGGCGACAACTGGCAATTTTGCGAGTCAGAGGTATGTCCCGATTGAGGTTTCGGAGAATGGTAAGGCCTGAGGTTCCCCTCACAGCACGGCGCGCCTCTTTCCGCGGGAAGGAAAATGCAGGATATCAACGGCTCATAGTGTGCACTCGGTTGGGTGAGGATCTTATACGAGTGAAGCCGTCTTAACAATGCATTGTGCGAGATGAGGTTGCTGGGGAAGAAAATTAAGGTTGGGAGAAGGTAAAAAGCGGGTACCGCCGGAATGGTTTCGGGTGGCGACGCACCTTCGTCTATTCATGACATTGACATCTATCGGACAGTAATCTACAGAGCATGCTGGGTATTTCAACTATCTCAACAATAAATCATCGCAGTATCAAGCTGGATTTGGCATCGGAGCCTGCAGGCTAGCAAGCTTAGCAGCCACCTTGGGGAAATATTGGCCCACAAAGCTCTCCGTGTAGTAACTGTGCGCTGAGCTGTGGTCTCCCACAAGGTTGTGGGCTAACTCATGGCACAAGATTACCCACCAGTAGACAATTGCATCGGTACGATCGGTCGGACTAGTCGATTGGAGGAGCGGCTTCTCATGCAATTGCTGGAAGTAGAAATAGTTGCAGAAGATGCTGCCCGCTCGGTTGAAAGCGATCGTCTTGCCACCTGGGTCGTAGAAGATGCTCAGGCTGTCTGCGCGCATAGTAAAAATGAAACCGCAATCGAGAATGATTGAAGCAAAGATGTTGATTCCGGTGCGGTTGTTCGCGAGGAACGCAGAGCGATCCGTTATCGACCTGACGAACAAGACGTTGACGCCGCAGGGGAGTGTTGCAACGAACTCCAAATCATGACTTGGTCGTTCATCGCAATAGGACTTGCTTTCTGATATTTGATTTGTCTCGGGCCGACTAAAAACATCGGACGATCCATGTGGACGGCACGCTTGCACAGCAGAAAGGAGTTGTCGATTCAGCTGATGCGGCGAGCTGACATTGACCGGCTGTTCTGGGCGCTGCTTCTGGGGGTCTGTGGAGGAATAAGGAGGCGGCGGAGGAGGAGGAGGGGGAGTTGAGGATTCCGGAAGTGCAGGTTGGGGTTGCTCGCTACCGCGCGATCCTGAGCGGTTCCCGTCCAGGCCAAATCGTTTCTGCAAGTTTGCAAATAGGCCACGAGGAGCCCGCTCCGGCATAGGTGGCTCGGTCGGAGCAGCATGCGTCTCCTCCACCGATCGTTTGCTCTTGGGTGATTCAGGAAAGTCGCCGGGCATTGCATCCTTCGATGTCGACTGAGACTGCTCATGTGACTCTTCGTTGGCTCGTTGGGTCTGCGCCGCTGCCCACGCAGCCTCCTTCTCTTGCAGGACACGTCTCTCTTCCTCTAATTGCTTCTGTCTTTTGTCTTCCGCCATTCGAGCCTCCTGGGCCTTCTGTCTGAGGATACGTTCCACATTATATCCTCTAGCACGAAGTTCGAAAAGATCCGTTTTTAACAACATCTCGAGTGTCAGAGTAGAATGGAGTTTCGGCCGCTTCAGAATCAGATGAACCAGAGATTGACTGATCTGATATAGGTCGTAACTGCCAGGGCAGATACACAGCCCCCAGTTGCTGGACAGGCGAGCGACAATGGCGCTTCGCTTTTGTGTGTGCGATACACGCCGACCCTTCAGAGACCGGGTCAGAGAAATCGAGTTCACGACCTGTACGGTGAAGCTGTTTTCGAGCCATCGGGCTCCATGCTGGATCGCATCCGAGGGTTGGTCATGCAGGAACAGCCGAGCACGCTCCAAGATAAGCTTGTGTAACTTGGCTCCGGCGCTTTGGTCCGCTGCCACACCTCCAAATCGCGCCTGTTCTTCGACAAGTGAGCTCAAAGGGATCGTCCCAAGAGCAACATAGAAGTTTTCCAGGGTTTCCTCCTGCGGTGCAGCAAGGATATGCTCCTTGAAAAGATTGAAGCTTTGGAAGTCATCCACAACAACAATGTCTCTAGGCGACGAAAGGCTCCATTCCCTGATGTCTAGATCTTCATCTAGGTCTAGAAGATTTTTTCGGCAGCCTCCGCCTTGCCGGCCTGCTTTTGAGGAGGGATATCACGGCTGGCCAGCAAAAACTTCGCCCGCTTCATCTCGCTGAAAAGCTCTTTGTCTTTCTTGAGAATCGGAAGATGCTCCGCGAGAGTTCTCAAGAGCATAAGGTACTTCTCAGAGCTTTGGAATGCTGAAGAAACTCGAGCAGGTTCTTTCACAAGCATGCGAGCAATCTCAGTCTTAGTTGGCTCTCTTCTCGAGCCCACCGCCATGAGGAAGAGATTTGCTTCTTGACCAAAGTCCACAAAGTCGAATATGTCTTTGTAGTCTTCTCCTTCACCAAGATAGCAGAGTCTTGGGGCAACAAGTCGGGTTCGAGGAGCTTTCTCTGCGTGATCCCTTGTGGTAATAGGGATAATGGGAGCTCTCCCAACACGCTCAATATCCTGCGAGCTAAGATCGGAAACTCGACCAGCCAGATATTTGAAGACGACTCTTGCATCCTTTTGAGTGGATGGAGGGTTGCGAATAAGTATCTGAAGACATTCCGCCATGGGAGGGTGGGGTTTGACTCCAAACTTGGATGCATGTGGATGAAGGCGTTTTTGGAGAATCTGTAAGCCAAACAAAGACGCGCCCTCGTCCGTGAAGCACTTTTTAGGGGTGCTGAGAGCTTCAGACCCTTCAACAGGCAAGAAAGGAACGGTGACGGCACCAACGTCATAGGCGTCGTAACCATTCGTATGATACTCGTTGATGAAGTAAGCCAGCACTTTGCTCTTCCGGGGACTGTCCTTCTCCTGGTCACTCATGATCATGAGTCGAATGAGGTCAGACGCGGATGGGTGGCTCTTCAAGCCCATCATTGTGAGGAATCTACCCTCGTTGCTAGAACTGACATATAGACCTGGCCATTCAATGACTGGCAAGCCCAAGGCTCGAAGAGAATCTTTCGGTTCGTACATTTCGGAAATCTTGTAGCGAGGTCCGGGTGCTTCCTGAGAGACTTTTCGACTCTCTGCAGTACAGATGCTCGTGTTTTTGAGCCTCTGAATATCATTCGCAGGAATGTCTTCGCGAACAGAGGTGAGGTAGCGAATAAGATCCACGTGGTTCCACTTTCTTGTCGGAGGACCTTTGGCATCTCCCGACTCGGGATTGTTGATAAGACGATCGAAAATGACACCCAATTCAACAGTCTTGCGAACTCCAAGTGACACTAGGAATTTCTCCTTGACGCCGTTCAGGCCGTGCACAACGGGAAGGTCGTCAAAAAGGCGGACGGAAGCGAAGTATGTCTGCATAGGTTGCTTCATCCCAACTCTGGTAGGAATCACAGTTTGAGGTTGCAGGGTATCAATAATCGATTGCTTGGCAGCAGAGCTCAAGCCTTCCCATTGCTTTGATAGAACTGGTAGAACCTGACCAGCGAAAGAAGGATTTTGCGTGATGTCTTGATCCGCCCCGAGAAGGCCACGGTCACTAGAGCTAACGACAAGCCAGCGCAGCCAAGGAACGATCTGCAGTTCCACCCATCCCAGGCTTTCGAGCTCATGTTTGCTCAGAGCTTTTGTGAATTGGAAAGGCATAACGGACGATGGCACTGGGAGGTCGGCCGGGATACGTTGAGGGTTTAAGAAGCGCGTAATGTCGGCGAAGACGATCAATCGCGTCGATTTACCCTCTTTGTCCTCATGATTTGCGACCGCAACCCGGAGAAGACTCTGAACGGATTGTCTATCAAGTTGTCCTGATACAGTCTTGCGGCCCAGCCACGTCAGGAACTCAACAATTTGACCAGATCGTAATGTATTAGACTCAAGCTCACGCTTGATATCCGACACTGTGATTTCTGTTACCAAGCCGAAAGAAGTCAGCCTCTCGACGAACTCCTTTGCATTATTCACAAACTCATCTGGAAGAGCAGGGATTGAATCCATGAAGCTGAGATCCTTAGGGGCAATTCGCGTTTGGTGACTTGGAATGACACCGCATGTTGAAAGGATCTCGATAGAGGCATTCTTGTTGCACATCCAGAACGCATCCTCGATAGTCTGCCCAAGAACGGAAGACGGAGTAGATTCACGGAACACAAATTGATTCGCAGTGTGTATCGCTTCGGGCAACACGTCAACGATATCCTCCTTGCGGATTTTTGTACGTGAAGGCCCGATTTTGGAAGCGATCCTCGACTTGATGGTAGACATCTCTGCAGACCAAGCAATTCGACAAACAACACCAACTGCCCGCAGCATCTCCAGATTCCATTTACTGATGTAACGAGTGTTGAGGTCAATGCTTTCTCGCTCAACTGTGGGAATGACCGACGGTGCCGATACATGGGCGTTGAGACCAGTAGTTTGTTGCGTGGGGAATCCAATGAACACCCTTCCTGACTTGGAGGGCAAGATCGAAGCAAGGATCTCAGACTGGGAGTCAGATGCACCGCTTGCGATATCGGCATCGTAGGATGGAGTCAAGATTGCGATGGTGGCTTTCTTGGGCGGTGGTTTGCGCGTAGCTCTCTCAAGCTCTTTGCTCAGAGAATAGCTGATCGAGGGCACAATCGAGGCGGTGTTTATGTGCAAGAACACGGTTGCATTCACCATGGTCGCCATATTGCTCGGCTCTTCCGGTCGTTCTGCCTGCTGGGTGATTGCTTGTTTTTCTGGTCCGCTCTGTCCAGTAAACTTTGAGAAGAAGCTGCGCAAGGAGCTTGTTGTATCACGAATATTGTCAAGGCGGAACAAGCTTGTATTTGGGTTCCATTCCACGATGCGCATCCAGGATGCATCGACTTGCGCAATTTCCTGGGTGATACCGGTGACCTTCATTAAGCCCTCCGCGGTCTTTGTCTCGATATCTCGAGGAATCGGCACATTGACACCTGGTGCGGTCTTCTTGGATAGACGCAGGAGGCTCCAATCGTCGAGAAGTAGCTCTATCTCCTGCAAAGAAACAAATGTCAAGCTGCTGGATAGGAACTGACAAAGCTGCATCAAAGATGGGATAGGAGAGGAATCGTTGCGATAATCCAGGACAAATGTAGTGTCTTGGTTTAAAGTCTCCCCAAGATCCAAGCGACGGGTAAACAGCCCATTGCCTTTCCAGTAAAAGGCCATGGCTTGGTTGCCTGACGACACAAATGGCTCTTCACAGTCATCAAATACGCTGTAGAATCCAACACCGAAGGCACCAATCTTGGTTTCGTCGGGGTTGCCGTCCGCAATGCGCTTCAGCCGAGCCCAGTCCTTTTCGCTGAAAGGCAATCCGTTGTTTGATATCAAGAGGCGACGGAGAGTATGATTGGAGATGGTGTGTTTGAGATGCGCTGTCTGGTCTGCTGACGCAGGAGACGGTACTGTTGTCGAGGGTAAGGTTTCGAATTTAATGGTCACTTTGGTCGCAGAGGCATCGGCTGCGTTTTGAATCATTTCTCGGAGGACAGTCCTATTCACCCGTATCAATAGAAACTTCTACTGTAGAAGAAATGTGAATACGTACCATTTTCCCGAATACCGAGCAAGAACCTTCGAGATCAGTCCTCTTGTATCTACGGTCACAGCCTCCTCGTCCGCGCCGGATCCCATGGTCCGCGCTTTCAGCGCGTTAAAGTCCACATTCATAGCCATATTGAAGTTCAGTGACACGGAAAAGATTCAAGGATAGGTTGCAATATGCAAGGAAGGTGTATCTCGAGGTGTGTAGTCGATTATGCGTGCAGGCGTATGCCTACCGCATCTTGCGATGTAAACAAGCACGTCGGAAGGTATCGGGCGGTCAGGGAAAACTCGGAGAAAATTACGAACAGGATATTGTCGTAGATTTGACGTAGATTTTGCACGAGAGCAAAGCAGACGAAAAACTGGCGTTAGCGACAGAAATAATCCAGCGATGGAATGGATGTTTGACACTCCGCGGCGGCCTCAGAGGCGGAGGTGGCTTATCGATAAGGCTGCTTAGATCATCACGTTAGTCAGCATGTTATTGGAGGTCCACCAGCGGCCGGCTTCAGGAGCCCTCGAGACATGGGATTTACTTGCCGAGCTCGAATCGCCTGTGAATTCTGCTGCTGGCCCTGTCGCTGCAGTTGATCTGCTGCGGCGAACCTATCCATTTGGCGGCGCACTCCTGTCGCATGACTCTTAGCCGCCAGTCTGGACGTACTGTTGTGGATGCGGGCCTGATATCGCAAACCGTTTCTTCAAGTCTCCCTCAAAGGACAGCATGGGGGTCGACCCCCTATCTCCCATTGCGCCGGCGCGCCTGAGGGCGCTGCTGCTTCCAATTGGCAAAATCAAGCGTTCTCGGTTCCTGAGCTTTGCTGCCAGACTCCAAGCCGAAAATGTGGTTCGGTTAGGGGATATCAGCCCTGATTCACGGCCAAACCGAAGTATGACAGGACCCGGACGTCGAGCAATAGAAGCGACTTATTGACCAGGAATACTAATTGTTCTTTTCCACAGACATGTTCTCCCCGCTCGCCTTTCCTACTGGAATGATCCTATACGACCTCTCCTTCTCGGTTCCCCCCACATCACACCTCGAACTGTTCCCTTTCGAGATATACAGAGAGCCAGTGGTTATTATTGCAATTGCTGATGGTACAGAGCTTTCACAAAGCTCTGGGTCGGATGCGAAGCACCCGACGCCCGAGGGCCTGGGTAAATTGCTAGAGGAGATCGATGCGGTGAAAGAAAGGAACCCGCGGGCATTGGTGAACCAGCTGCTGGTATTCGACTACGATGGTCTGGAAAAGCTCACAAATGGACCGGACAATGTTCTCTGGGTTCCGCGGCCCGAGGCCTCCAAAGCTACTACCATGAAAACGGTTCTGTGTGACATCACGTCTGTTTTGCTCGGGGAGCTCGATGAGTTCGCGAAGACGATTCAGACCATTCCATCAATCGAATCACCAAGGGCTTTCTCATGGGGACCACACCGAAATCCAGAACTACGGCCTCGGCCAGTGGACCGAATATTAAATCGGATGACATTGCCTGCACAAATGCCACAAAATGCGAATAACGGAGGACCACCGGAGACCCCATTGAGCTCCAATGCTAGCTCGCCCGCGCCAAGTGATCATGAGACGCCGACGACGTTTGATGAAATCACTCGGTCTATTCATCTCTCGCGTACCAACTCCGGGGGCAGAAGCCCGTCGATCACTTCGCCGAAGGAACATAGTCGTGAGCGAATGTCTGTCAGTGGATTGAGTGCGACTGATAGAACAAAAAACCGCATCAAGGGCCGTGCTGGTGTCGTGATTGGTACTCTTTTCCTGCAGGCAGGAAGATGGCCAGATGCTCTGAAAGAATTGACAGAAGCGGCGAACAATGCCCGCGCATCAAGCGATTATGTGTGGCACGGCAAAGCCCTTGAATCATGTCTTCTTTGTCTGTTGATGATGGGATGGGCCGGCATGGATTTCCAGGTATGTGCTTTGTTCTGTACCATATATTACCAATCTAACAATTACTGACTCAAACTATAGATTCCTTCGATTCTCTATCCTGCCGCCGAAAAAACTTCCAAAGCAATTCGGGACTCTATAACTCCCCCGGCCCCTGGAAACCGGGTAGTGTCTCTACAAAACCTCGCCAACCTTCTGCCTGATCTTTCCAACACTATAGTCAATCTCTATCACCGTGCTGCCAACATAACGGATGAGCCTCTTCCCCAGTTGGTCTTTTCTGAGACAGTCATCCGGCTATCAAGGCTCATGGTGTCAGCACGTACTCGAGATGGCTCCCTTGATGACAATGCACTCAAGCAGATCGTCATGAACGAGCCTCTTGTTCCCTTACTTCTACCGGAACTTCCGCGAGGAATCGTCGTGCTTCGCAAGTCAGATATTGCTAATTTCCTCTTCCGTGCTCTTCCACTCGCACCTGGTGCAGACTTGCCAGCAACTGATGCCGTCCCCATCATAGTCGGTGTTGTTTCTGTCCTAAATGTTCTGGATCTGCCCCGCAAGAAAGCCTTTGTGATGCGCGAGCTTCTCTCCGTGATGATCCCAACACTTGTTCAAGCACGCAAAATTGGAGCTGCCGAGGTTGGTATCCACCCTGCTGCAGGATTGGCATCTCTCAGCGATACTGTGTTCGATGTCAATGCTCTTGATATTGGTCCTGGAAACATGGAAACAAGTGTGCGACTCCTTCTTGCTACGATTGGTGAGATCTATGGTGTCCAGCCCTCTGCATACTATGAATGGGAGAAGCGTCTTAGCACTTCCTCTACGCCCGGTGAATATGACTCGGTTGCTGCTATTGCAGAGCGCTCGTTCCGACATGGTGTCTTGGATCAATACGGTGATCTCAACCTCAAGATTGATGTCCTGAAGGCATGCATCAACTGCTGTGAAGCACTTCCTGATTTTGATGGTGTTCTTCGATTTACCGTTGAGCTGATGCAAACCATCCGAGGGGATTTGATGCTAGGTGAAAACTATAAAATTCCACCGTACTTGCCCCAAGATGAGCAAGTACGCCTGTTGAACAACATCAAGCGCACGGTTGGGGCAGCTAATCGGCTGGGAGCCCCCAACATGACTGCGGAATACTGGGATGACTTCCTCGTGCGGGATGTTCAACTTCTCGCTTTGCCAGACCCAAGGAGGCCTGTTCGCCGGTCTAAAACCGAGTTGCAGGCTGTTACTACCGGCTCTAATAAATCGAAGAGAGACCCTTTCCTGTACAATCCATTTGCGAAGCCAAGCAGCAAGGCCCTTGAGATGCTCACTGTGACGGGCGAATCTGCTTCATTCCGTGTGACGCTCCAAAACCCCTACGAATTCGAGCTAGAGATTGAACACCTTCGACTGGAAGGCGAGGGCGTATTTTTTGAAGCTGTTGCTGAAAACATCACCCTTCCGCCTCTCTGCCTGCAGGATGTCATCGTCCTCGGAATCGCCCATGAGGAGGGAAATCTTAACATCTCCGGTTGTATCATTAAGGTACGCAACTGTCGGATGCGAAGATTCCCAATTTTCAAAACATTCTGGAAGCCCGAGCCGGAGGTCAAGTTCAAGCGAACGGGACTGGCATCCAAGAACCCTCTTAATGAACGTCCAATGTCATGGAGCTCGACGACTTCGAAAGACGGTAAAGTGTTTGCAAAGAAGGGTCCTGAAACCGAAACATGTCAGGTCAAAGTCATCGGAAAGCAGCCGTCTTTGGTGATTGAATCCATGTCGCTCTCCCAATCCGCAATGATGGTTCTGGAGGGCGAAGTCAGGTCATTCACCATTACACTCCAGAATACCTCTTGCTGTCCGGTGGATTTCGTGCTGTTCACCTTCCAAGACTCAACCACCAGACAGCTTCAGTCGGCACTCAGGAACAAGGATCTTCTCCCAGTTGAGATATATGAGTTGGAGCTGAAACTAGCCACTCAGCCAGCCTTAAGCTGGCGCCGTGAGGACTCAGAGTCGAGCGATTGCTCGATTCCAGCAAACCAGAATGCTACATTCACTGTCGATGTACTGGGCAAGCCTGGTCTGCAGGATACGACCGTGCAGATCGATTACTCGTGCTTCGGGTTCAAGCAGGATGAATTGCCTGATGTCTTCTATACCCGGCAGCTGTTTGTGCCGCTGACTGTTACGGTCAATGCGAGCGTCGAGGTTGCTCGCTGCGACGTTCTACCATTCAGCGGTGACTTCGCCTGGAGAAACAACATCAATGCTCCTGTCAATTTAGAACAAGAGCCCAACTCCCCTCTATCCACCACCGATCACGACCCCTTCTCTCAAGTTTTAACTCGCCTTGGCAATGGGGCCTATGGCCCAGACCACTGTGTCGTCTTGTTGGATCTTCGAAACGCGTGGCCAAGCCCTCTATCTGTATGGTTGCGTGTTGACGAACACTCCATCTCGGGCAAGAAGGACCACATCAGTCAATATTCCGTGGACGGAGACCTCCAACCTGGTCAAACCTCTCGATTTGTCCTTGTCCTTCCTCGTGTCTACCTGGATAATCCACATGCAACCATTCCAGTCGTCAATACGGGAACCAGACGGCAATTCGTCGTCAGCGCAAATAAGATGACATTCGAAGCCGAGGCAGCTTCTCGAGAAGCTTTCTGGTTCCGTGAGGAATTCCTCAAACGTGTCGTTGGAGGTTGGAGCGAGCCTGCTACAGGCCGCAAGGGCACCATTGACCTGCGCAATATTCGCCTGAATGCCCGCATGGTGGAAGCGATGCGTCTCGAGGATGTGGAAATGACCTTTTCTCTATATCCACCCCCAAATTACCCCGTTGATGCTGAATCTTCCCCCGTAGTTGTCCAAAACGGCCGGTCTCGATTCGACGCCAAAACAGACGACCTCCTAACACTCTCTGTGAATGTGCGCAATCGCTCCTCGCGCCCCATTCACCCCCTTCTTCGTCTGCAGCCCAGCCTTCGTCACCAACCAAGCAACGTTGCTCTGGACCTCAGTCGACGCCTGGTGTGGACGGGTATGCTCCAGCAGGCTCTGCCTATTCTACAGAGCGGCGAGTCTACACAGGCCTCGATCGGAGTGACGGTTTTATGTCGGGGTGAATACGAATTCGGCGCGAGTGTCGAAGAAGCACGACTTTTGCGGCCTTTCGGCGAAGAACCTAAAGGTGATGCTGATCCCCATGACGATGGCATCAAGGATACGTTTGGAGCGGATGTCGTAAGACGACGACGCATCTGGCATGCGAAGGAGACCTGTATCATCCATGCTCGCGATTGAAGTCCCTTCAATTCACTCTTATGATCATGACCCATGTGTCTCTTTGTTTTTGTTATGATATAGATCTCACTCTCGATTGACGCCCGCGTCTTTCCGAGCCTAATATTATGGGTCATGTAGCATGATTTATTCCTTGTACAATCTTATTCTACATAGTATCAGCGTGGTACATATCACATATTGAGCCATAAAATAAAATCCATGTCAGTAGCAGAGCATGTCAATTCATAAAAGTAGTTACGAAGATGGATACTAGTGATCTGTCTTGGCACCTTTATCAAGCTACGCAGTAGTTCCCAGATGCTTACAATAGTCTCAAGGTACAAAAGTTTAACACGAGTTGCATTCATCATGATTCCATTTCGATGTGTGACATTATAAATAAGCCAATCACCGACCAACCTCCCGTCGCAGCCGTCCTGCAGCTGTCGTGGGGCCCAACTCCGGCCAGTGGCCGACGGCATCATCGACTTCTTCCAAGAAAGTGGTGCTGTTATGAATTGTAGTGCCCCCCAAAACAACACGAACTCCCGGAGAGCTGGCATTAACCTGCGCAACCATCTTGGATTCCTCGTACGTCACACCGCCAACCATGAATATAATGATATCCTGCGGCTTGTCTCGGGTGTGTCCGCTACCTTCCAAGAACGGGTATTGCAGTTCTTTCAGACGACCCTTGATAAGGTTTTGGAGAGTTACTTCCAGGCGCGGTGAGTGCTGGGTGTAGACATTTTCAACACCCTTGAGTCCCTTGAATCGGTCCCTGGCCCCGGAGAAGAATGAGGTCGATTCGAAGAGGTCTGTGAAGCCACCTGCAACGGGCGGGGCTTGGAGAGAGTGGTGGTAGGCCAGGAGGTTAGGAATGATATTGACTCGGTTGGCGGGAACGTTGCCTGCCGTCACGAGCAGGTCAAGCAGGACTGGCAGGGAGTTGTTTGGCTGCTTCTCATAGCGAAGTGCATATAGAGCCACCAAGCGCAGTTTATTCTCTGCAGGGACATTTGGCAATGTAATAATTCGTTGCAACGACTAGAAGATGTCAGAACCAAATGCAGTAAAACGGAGTTTCTGGGCTTACCTTGAGGTCATTGGAATGGTTTTCATTGCAGGCCAAGCTCTGCTCCAACTCACTCACATCCAGAAGATTATCTTCACCGACACGTCGGCTCAGTTCACCAACCAATGTGACATGTTTGCTGACGTTTCCAGACAGTTTGCGGAACTCGGGATAGTCTTCCACAAAGCGCTTCATGTCCGCGATTGATTCGATGTTCATATTGGTCTGCGTCTTGACCTGATATTGCTCCACGTACTCCTTGATGTTCTGACCCAGATCACCAAAGTTCTGGTACATATTCTTTTTGAAGAATGGATCTTGATCCTGCGCCAGGACAATTTCCTTAAGCTCTGGCCGAATCTCAGGGACGTCCTTTAGATCAACGCGGCCATTATTTATTCCAAGCAACTCATGTACCATCGCTTGGTAGGTCCATTGTGTAAGTAGCGGCGTGATGGGATCGTCACGGCGATCGAGAATGAGCAGGATAGGCGGAGTATCCGTCCGGCGGAAATTAAACAGCTGCTCTTCCTGCGTTAGGTGATATCGGACTTCTGTCGCCAGTTTCCGGGCCAAAAGACTGTTCTTCTCGTAGCGAATCAATGGGTTCTTCTTCAGCGATAGTAGCAGGGCCAGGACTCCTTCGGTAGCTCTTTGCAGAGAATCGGGATTCCACAGATCAGGCGACTGACTCCACAGGCGCGATAGAGGAAAGCCGAGATTCAAAGAACAAAGGTCTGGGTTGACCACGAGGAAGTCGGCAAACTGCTCCTGCACACACTGCACGACCTCGTGACTATCTGCCTCGGCAAGCCGCTCGAGGGATGACTTGCGGATGATGTTGCTCATATAGATATAATATTCGCCGTACTTGGGCTCGCGAAGCTCATCGATTAGGAGCTGGATGGATCCGGGTGATGGGCGCACGAAACAGAGGCATCGCAGATGTCGCATCTTCTCCCGTGCGGAGTTGTCCAGGCGGTCGATGAGGTAGACTTCATGATTAAGGAGAGCGGACTGGGTGATGGCAGTCGAGACGATCGGAACCTGGTCGAAGAGCATGTCAGCTGCCCATTCCTTTTATGAAATGGCCCAGAACATTACCTACTGTCTCACTGTCAAGTAGCAAGATCTTCATCTTGTTGGACGAAGATCCCGTGGCCGACTCGCCGGCCGTCACCATCTTGGAGATGTAGCCCGAGACGGCCGCGACGACGTCCATTGTGAAGAGAGCGCCCGGGCGCGGCGAGCAAACTGAACGAGAAGGCTAGGGAGGGCGTAGATTGCGGTGGTGTCGTAACCGTGGGGGAAGGTGGAGAAGGTGAAGTTGTTGAATGTTGGGCGCGTCCGCTTCCACATGACACCTTCCCCGGTGATCCTCGACTTTTTTTCTGCCTATTTTCTTCGCGGACTTCCCCCTCTTCGCATGCGGACTATCTTCTGCAGCTGTTTGTGAGCTGGGTCGACACCATGTTGCCCTTCATAGATCTCTGTGCGTTTCTTACCCCTCGGGGAGCTCCAGAGAGCCAACTAACAAGCTCCCCGCAGTGTTCGAGTATCCTGCCAACCTGACGGGCGCTTCCGTCGATGAGCGTACGTATAGACAAATTCGGTCTCACTAGCGATCCAGCTCCAGCTCCTAACTCCCTACAGTAAAGCTGATCGCCTCATTCCTGCTGTCCTACCCCCTGGCCGCTCTGTTGAAGCGCATCCCCGACGCTCAGCCCTGGAAGAAGAACGCGTTCATCATCGGCGTCTCTCTTTTCTATATCATCGGTCTATTTGGTCTTTGGGATGGACTTCGCACGCTTCTGTATAGTGCTGCTGGCACCTATGCCATTGCATACTATTTGGATGGCTCCCTGATGCCCTGGGTCGGCTTCATCTTCCTCATGGGTCACATGTCGATCAGTCACATTTACCGCCAGATCCAGGATGACTCTCAGGTGGTCGATATCACGGGAGCGCAGATGGTCATGGTCATGAAGCTTTCCTCATTCTGCTGGAACATTCATGATGGCCGTTTGCCTCAGGAGAGCTTGTCCGATGCGCAGAAGTACTCAGCCATCACCGAGTTCCCGTCCATCATCAACTACCTGGGATATGTCCTATTCTTCCCATCGCTTTTCGCTGGCCCATCGTTCGAATATGTCGACTACCGTCGCTGGCTCGACACTACTCTCTTCGACATTCCCCCGGGTACCGACCCGTCCAAGGTTCCGAAGACTCGGAAGAAGCGCAAGATCCCTCGTAGTGGAACTCCTGCTGCAAAGAAGCTGGCGGTTGGACTGGTCTGGATCTTCATTTTCCTGCAGCTGAGCTCTTGGTTCACACCGGACTTTGTCCTTTCGGATGCATTCCTCGAATTCGGCATTCTCCGTCGTGTGTTTACTGTCTACATGCTTGGCTTCTCCACCCGCTTCAAGTACTACGGTGTCTGGTCCCTCACCGAGGGTGCTTGTATCCTGTCTGGAATGGGATACAACGGATTCGATGACAAAACGGGCAAGGTTTTCTGGAATCGGCTTGAGAACGTCGATCCTTGGGGCCTAGAAACTGCGCAGAACTCCCACGCTTACCTCGGAAGCTGGAACAAGAACACCAACCACTGGCTGCGCAACTATGTCTACTTGCGTGTTACTCCCAAGGGCAAGAAGCCTGGTTTCCGAGCTAGCATGGCTACCTTCGCTACCAGTGCGCTTTGGCACGGTTTCTATCCAGGCTACTACCTGACCTTCATCCTCGGATCGTTCATTCAAACTGTTGCGAAAAGTAAGACCCCCTGACCCTCTCTTTCAAAACCTATCTATAACATTTACATCCAGACTTCCGACGCTATGTCCGCCCCTTCTTCCTCACACCCGACGGCGCGCGCCCTATGCATTACAAGCATTACTACGACATTCTCAGCTGGTTCGTAACACAACTGACACTCGGCTTTGCCGTGATACCATTCATCATTCTCGGTCTGAATGAGTCTATCGCCGTCTGGTCCCGCGTCTACTACTACGGTATCCTCAACATCGTGATCTCGATGGTGTTCTTCGCTTCTCCGGCTAAGGGTATCCTTATCGGCAAGCTGAAGCGCCGGAACCGCCCTTACGCCCAGCGTACCGTCAGCCAGGAGACTATTCGGCCTCCCACTCTCGGTCTGCCGAATGATCCTGAGCGCGACTTTGATGAGGCTGTCGCTGAGGTCAAAGCTGAGATTGAATCTCGTCGTCGTCGGGGAAGCGCAGTGACTATGCCTACCGGTGAAGAGCTGAAGATCGCTGTTGAGCAGAAGATCGGGCGTAAGCTCTAGGCGTGTTATGGGAGGTGGTTTCAATAGGGGAGGCCTTTCTCCGGATTTTCTCCATTTTTGACTCTACAGTCTTAATATTCGAGAGTCGAACTCTTTTAGTTCTATTAGTTAACACCTTTATTTCGGTTAGAACATAGATATCATTCCGACAAGCCGGCTGCTTGCGGTTCAGTTCACATATTAATCGTTTTGATGATTGACATTTGTTGTGAGAAAGTCGTTGCATGGATCAATCATATGAAATTGAATATCAATATCTGCTACAGATGTGTGAAGAAAAGATACATGGCGAAAGTTCAAATACATCGAACACGAAAACCCGAATTAAGGCCAAGAGTATAACCAACACAGATGTCATACCATTAAGAAAAGAAATCAAGATCCGAGCGTAGTCGGGGGCCTGTATATGGTTTTCACCAATATCAAACGATGAAAGAGAACGAAGGGGGAATATTATGAGTGGTGCGTATAGTCGTTTCATGTAAATCGTATCAAAATGTCCAGCGAAATGAAGAGAAATGAGCAAGTCGTGCATCAAGGCAAAAGGTTCCTCGAGCATGGTCGGAATAAATAAACAAAAAAAAGAAAGGCTGTTGTTTGGATCGTTGACGAAAAATGAGATCAAGCCGAATAGGTGGATTGGATAAACATGTCCGGGAATTTCGGTTGGAAAAGAGGAGAATGTGTTATAAACAATGAAGTCGTCAGAAGTTTGTAACAAGATACTCCGAGTCGCGAGGGGGGTATGAGAGAAACGAAGGTCGTGAGAATTGTAAGCAGAGTAAGAGAGTGTTGCAGACTCCAATGAGAGGTTGTTGAATTAGAAGCCGGTAGTGGTGCCAATGACAGCAAGTGCAATCTAGAAATTGTTAGACGGTGGTAAATTTTGTGAATACGAGGCTTGACTTACGATAATTACGGTGATCACAACGCCAAGTGAGATCATCCAGCGGTTGAGATTTCTCCACCACCGAGCATTGTCGTATCGCCGTTGTTGAAGATTCAACAACTGCGATTCGAGGGCCATTTCCACATCATCGTCGGAGTCCATCATCTCAGAGCCCATTTTGGGCTTTGGCGGAAGAGGAAGAAATGAAGCGATGATCCAGGCTATGATACGTTAGGAAGTTTCTGGTGGCGACCATAGATGTGGACTTACCAAGAGGGAAGATGAACCCCAAACAGAAGGAGTAGACCTGGACATTCCTCCGCCCAAACACGGCCTCCGTCGTGGAATCCATTGATGGTGCAGTCCATGCACTAGTCGAGTGGTGAATTGTTCGTCGATCCGTATACAAATGCGGCGACCAGCTGTGTCGAAGACGATGGCGAGGGGTGCCATATACCTCACCCTCTACAGGCTCGGGATCCGGGACCCAGTGAGCTCGCGGGTCTCGAGGATCACTTTCAATACGTCGTTGAGCAAAGCGAACACGTTCGCGAGAGCGAGAACGATCAGGACAACGGGCACGCTCGGGGAATTGAACACGCTCAGGCGAGTGAGGCCGTTCAGGTGAGCGAGGTCTTGGGACATTAAGCGGTGTAGGCATGAGATTGTAGACGCTGGAATTGCTGGTGCCAGGGCGTGCAGAAGATGGGCGGCTGCCATGCGTCATGGAAAAAGCTGAGTTGAGACTCATCGGATCCGCGCGATAGTAGATTTTGGCCCAAGTGGGGAGGATGTGGAAAACATTGCTCGAGCTTGTACCGGGCCGTTTGGAACTTCGCATGCTGTTGCTACGCTTGCTGTTGCTCCGCTTGGATCCTGATGAGAGACTTTGCAAGAAGCCACTGCGATTTGGGAGATTTGTCAGACTATCCAAGCGCTCCTCTTCGTGCGATTCCCTGACAAGCCAAACGGTCGACTTCGACTTGGGCTGCAGGACAGCAACCGGGGGCAGGGTGGGCTCTGAATCATCACTGGCACTGGCAGACTCTTCTTCCGCTGAGGCTTCAGCGGAAGAAGCTTGAATGGCGACTTCCTCATCAGACCAGACTGATGATACTCTTGACAGGTGCGGGTTCCAACGACCGGAGGCCGGGCCCGGTGTAAAATCACGTTCTGAAGAAACCGATGTATCGGCTCGCGAGCTTGAAGATGGAGCACGAATGCGGGGATATTGAACAGGCACGCCACTCTCGATGGCAGCTGCGATTTCTGAGACTGATCGAAATGATCCTGAACGGAAACTGCGTGAGGATGAAGTTGCAGATCGTGACCGGCTGGCAGAAGGATGTCTTGAGACAGAGCGGAAAGACCGAACGGACCGAAGTGGTGGGCTGGAGTGGAAAGACGGCGAGCGAGAGCTCAGTTGCTCTGACGAGCCGGCCGCATAGATCCACGGCGCAGTGACGGCACCGGCATGTCGTACAGCGGTTCCTCGCGAGTTCCAAGAAGACAACGAGTCTGAGCGAGGGTCCGAATCGATGGGTGCACCTGGAGGCAGAATGTTCACACTTGAGTTGTCCAATGTGACGAAGTTGGGACTCGAGGGGGCTCCAATTGGCTCAACATTTGGGCTGGAGTAACCGGCAATAGTGGAATCTACTTCATCAGACACAGACTTGGGTGACGTTGGCGGTTCAGATACTACAGCTTTGATAGTTGGCGTAGCTGTGGGCAGGACAATTAGGTCGTCATCAGAGAATTCCGCTTCTGAACCATCAGAACCATGGTCCAGTGCCTTTCCTGAGGGAATCTCAGGCAGTGACGATTTGCTGGAGGTTGGATCTTCATCCCACATTTGCGGAGGCGACATGCCGGTATCTGCTGTCGAGGAAACATCCCAGATCTCGCGAATGCTGTTTGCGGCGCCATGACTCAGTGCTGGTGACGACCACGATGGTCCGGGAGTGTCTGCGTAGTTGAAGCCCGTATCCGCGATATACTTTTGCTGCGGCTGTTGCTGCCCTTTGCCGGGAATTGGCAGCAAGATCTGCTCTGGCTTGGTTGGAAATGGAGTGGCGGTATAGTAATCGACACCGGCATCGATGTCGACATCCTCTTGATCATGAACCATGCGCAACGAACGTGTGGGAGATCTCTCATTGGCGTGTGCTGAGCTGCGTTCCTCCAATGCCCGCCGCTGCCGAGGCCGCGGCGAGCGCGACTGGGTGTGTGAAGACATTTTGTCGAACCAGAATTAGATCATGGTCCGCGGGACCAACGGGGCACCAAAAGAATAATAACGGAAGATTCTCTTCAACGTGGTGGTAATAAACAATGAGTGACGTTAACCGAAAAGGGAGATGTTTTTGTTTTCCTATATTGGTTTGATGTAAGGAATGCCTCGCCCTGGGGTCGAGTCGATCGATATCGATAGTGGTCTCTATATGGCCGAATTCTTCATGGAAAGAGCGTAAAGACGTCAAAAAGGTCGTCAGGGACAATTAGAAGGTCGTTTCAGACGTAGCAGGCCATTGAAAAGAGCGACAAGAAGCGAAAAAGGACATTAGTTTCAAAAAAGAACGACGGGGAAGAGAACGACTGGAAAACAACACCGCACACAAAACATGAGACACAAAACGAGCCAAGGGGGGGCCAGGAATTTTGTTGCCCAGCGGCGGTGAAGCGCCGACGAGCAAGGCAGGGCCCAGCAGCAGCCAGCGCCTATCACAGCAGATCCAGACTCCCCAGGGGTATGCAGCCATGCACGGTCCTGGAGCACCGTTGGCCTCGCGGGGCTCAGTGACGATTGGAGGAGACCCGCCCGTGAGAGCGATTGTCGGACGCGTTGCCCGACGGAGTAATGCTGCTGCAGACGCTGCGGTGCTCATTTCGTTTCTCCTGCAGCTAGGCTTGACTGGCCTGATGGGCCTGAAGTGGGAGGGGGGGCCTTCCCCCAGGCCCCTCAGAGGAATTGTCCTGGAGTGATACACCAGACCGAGACCCAAACTCAGTCGTGCGTGTACACTACTGTAGGGCGACGCTCTTTTCGCGATGGCGATCCCAGCAATCGCGAACCAAAAATCCAGAGAACGAGCTCCGCCCAGCCCAGCCCCGAGTGGAGACCCAGTGCGTTGTCAAGGATTTAGCGTGATTTCTGGCTGACCTCATTTTGGTCGCCCTCGCTCTGCATTTTTCAATATGTTTGTCCCTAGCAGCCCACCTGCGATGGCCGCTCGTGAGGTCGGAGAATTTTTGTCCACGATTTCCATCTCCCCTCGCATTGACTCAGGTTGAAATGAGGATGGGCGACAGGGATAAGCCGCATATGATGCCTCACTTGGGCCACGAGTTGCTGGACGCTCGGCCCACCGGTTCGGGATTGAGACTTCTCGCGGGTTAATAATAGTAATCGGTCGAGTGTGCAATATGGCCGGCAATTGATATATGATTGAGCACGGTGGAAGGTCCCGCCATCTGGCATGATGTCGTCTGCTTCGTGAAGAAGTGTAGATGCCACTTTCGACGGGGCAAAACCAGCTCATCCCATGGACCCTGTCGTGACCGCGTATTTACCACTCACTGCCACTTTAGCCCCACCAACTCCCCGCGTATCTTTGCCCCGTATGGTCACGCCCTGTCACGGCCCAACAAAGGCGGGTCGCAGCTGTCTGTCTTCTGCCTTCGAAGACTTCGTGAAAGCCGCCCGGCATTCCTCGAGAGTCATCCATCATGGCGCCCGTCGGAGTACTGGCTCGCCTTAAGAGCCTATATTCCAAGCATCAGGGTGAGTGAATGCCCCGAAAGCTCTGCGATCGTCAGGGCAAGGTTTGGACAGGTCAGCTAACGCGCCTGCCAGATGAGCCATCGCTGTCGGTGCAGACCGTCGCCGTCTTTTCTGTAAAGCAACCCCATCCCTTCCAAATTGCGGTTTAATCAAGTTATACAGTCAAAGGTGAATGCCTTCCTAACTCATCAATCTCCAGGTCGCCCTTACTTTGCTCTATGTTGTGCCATTCTATCTGTCGCCTACCACGCGGCCGTCGCCGAGTCTCAGTCGAGATGCCCCGTCAGTGATTCGCGCGCGCATTCGGGCTGTCACGGGTTCCTGCATCGTCAGTTCGCTCATTGTGCTCTGGCTGATCGTCGAGGAGGGCAACTCCTCGCTCGGCGCAGGTCTCAGTCTGATGGGCTGGTGGCCGATCGATTTGGCGGATATCTTCCGCAGCCTGTTTCTGACGGCTATTTTGTTCTTGGGCCCTCTCTTTGAGCGCGGGATCGCCGAGGGCGAATGGCGAACTTGGTTTCGCCGCAGTAAACTTTCCGAGAGCCTCAGTGGATGGATCGGCTGGAGAAATTATGTCGCAGTAAGTTCCTTGCCCTGACGCTACCATGGTTCACCACCGAGGGTTTTGATATTAACTGATCCGTGAAGGGGCCCATCACTGAGGAGGTCATGTTTCGGTCTGCCATTGTGCCCCTGCATCTTCTGGCCCATGTGTCGCCGACTCGGGTGGTTTTCATCGCGCCATTGTATTTTGGCATCGCCCATGTGCACCATTTCTACGAGTTCACCCTGACGCACCCGGACACTCCAGCCCTTGCTGCGCTACTGCGCTCGATCCTTCAGTTTGGATATACCACCATCTTCGGTTGGTATGCGACTTTCATCTACCTGCGCACAGGATCCTTGATTGCCGCCATTCTTGTCCACAGTTTCTGCAACTGGTGTGGCCTGCCTCGCTTCTGGGGCCGTGTTGAAGCCGGAGAGCCCCTTGGCCCACCCATCAATACGCGTGGCAAGGATGACTCCGACGAAGCTTCTACTTCCGTAGGCAACGGCCAACTGGGTGTCGGCTGGACTGTCGCATACTATTTGCTCCTCGTTGCCGGTGCCATATCATTCACCCAGTGCCTGTGGCCTTTGACCGAGTCGTACTATGGTCTTGTGTCGTTCGCTGTATCCAAGACTGGAACCAGCTAAGCTCGGGAGCCTCATGAATGACCGCTTTTTCCCTTGTATTTATGCATCGTGGTGTATGGTGTATTTTATCAGGCTTGACAAAACCCTCCTAGCAATTGTTCATAATGATGCAAGCGATAAATTTGATTTTTGTGTAGTTTTTATTTTGATTAGCTGGGAAGGGCAACGGGTTTCGGTGTCTTTTAGGTACTCATTTATTTTCACTCATCTCAATCTTTGAAGCTTTGGTTGGTGCTCATGCCAGCTACTTTCATATTAACAGAGTAAACAAATCAATCAACTGTTTAATTCATCATCATGGGCTATATTGCATCATATGCACTGGATCATGCTTAAGCAGTTGCACCACGCGTTGCAGTCTTGCAAATTGCAGTGTGATACCATCATGATGTGGGCATCTGCAATGTGGTCTTGGATATACATTTGTGGATCTCCCGGGTTTGGTAACCCCCACCATCCATCAAGTGTCGACCATCCACCAACACACTGTTGCATGATAGTGTGATTGCGCTTGGGAATATACTCGGGAATGGTAATTCTGAAACCCAATGTGATTAAATTGATTCACAGAGTTACTGTTGTTGATTCACAGTCAAAACAGAGCCTGATGAAGTAGTTAAGTTAACCGAACTAACCAAGATGAACGAATGACTAAGCAAAACACATGTCATGTGCCTTCCATTGCTCTTTTATTTCTTAGCACCAAAATGATTCCACAACCAAAATCATTAAACAAAACAAAGTCGCACTACCCCTCTAAACAATTCTATTCCAAAAAACCGATCTTCAGCGGAGCTACCGAATTCAAAATTTCGTAGGTCTAAATTTTTGCACTGAGACGTCGAGGCGCCCTTGCAGCCTACTCGCCAAGCCCCAGCCCCTCCCAAATCCAACAAAGAATGTAAGACAAGCATGCATCACAATATCAATAGTATGAATCAAGTTGCGAGGGACGGGTGTTCCTGACCCGAGAGCGGGAGTCGGCAGCTTGGGTACCTGCTGCTCGTACTAGTCTTCGCCTGCTGGAAGGAGGCGTCGACGCCAAATGTGAGAGTGTGCTCTGTAGCGACGGTCGCCGATTGGAAAACTGATATGCTTGCTAGGGTCGAAAATTTTCATTTTCTGGCCTAGAATACTGCTTGTTCATCTATTTAGTCATCTACTCTATAGCTTACTATTGCACAGACTAGTAACCCCGTTTTGCTTACTGAAAAGGAGACAAGTTGCCTTAGAGCCTCTCTACAGAGGAGACATATCCTCCTGACCTACCCGAGTAAGATGCGAGGCCTTTGGTTGAGCTTTTGCACACAACCCGAGGATAATTTCTTTAAGTATTTGCCTATGGAGTATATACAGCTCCTTTTCAGACAGACTCTACAAGCCATGCGAGATGGATCGGACGTGTTCCGTCTGAATTTGAATACAGCTATTTGCAAGGCTAGTAAAAGATAACTGTCTACTGATTAAAGTCTCAACTCTTCGCGCTGCTGCTGATCTGTTGCATGAGTGCGAAACAAGCCGTCACAGCTTTTGCTGGAGAGATGGAACCCACTGATCAAGAAAGATGATGGGACGAAACAAGAGTTATGGAAATTTGCCCCAATACCATGACAAGGATTGCTCAGTGACATCAAGCCAGCTAGGTCTGTAATATTTACCAAGCCTAGAAAGGCTATTAGCGACAGAAACCTTCATCGGGGGACAGAATTCCCTGTCAGCGAGCTACGAAGTCCTGCAAGCTGCATAGTCGTACATGAGATCCCTACCGCATAGGCTAATCAGAGCCACGACCCACCCACATCCGTGTATCTTTGTTCTGTCATAACAGGCATTAGACGGCATCTCTGCAGAAATACCATGCAGGTGTTTCCTACGAAGCAATAAGAACGCATCGCTTTGATTTTCGAAACTCTGATAGGACCTCGAGCGGGATAGACTAGTTCAGGTTGTAGGTCTCGTGTATATTTGGCATATTCCCGCCACTTCTCGAGCTGTTTACCCCTCAAAGCATTTTGATTTCTCTTAAATCTACTAGTCGTGATGGTTTTCGCCTTACTCTTTGCTTTCTGTCTTTGCGGCTTGGTGTATGCTTGCCTCACTCTGGGGCGAAGAGGCAAGAACCTGCCACCTGGTCAGTATACTTCAACTAAAACGAAGAAAATGAAAATCATCAGTGCTGATAGGGTGCTAACGTCGAACAGGCCCTCCGACTTTTCCTATTCTGGGGAATCTTCATCAGCTTCCTAAGTCTGGCACATTTTTCAAGTATAGGATTCCCTTCCAAAACTGTATATACATCCGTACTTTTTGTAGTGGGTTCCTTGACCTGCTCAGGCTCACTCTCCCACTCACCCCCACACCTTCTTCAACCTCGACCTTGCTAAAAAGAACTTGAATTAATGACTCTTTGCCTCCAGACTCACAGAATGGGCTCAACTGTACGGCAAAATATACTCCATCAAAATCGGCTCGGGGACAGTAATCGTCCTAACAGATCGCCGACTCGTCCGCGAGCTCATCGACAAACGCAGCTTCAAATACAGCCAGCGACCCCAATCCTATGTCTCCGATAATCTGATCACGAACGGTGAGCACATGCTGGTCATGCAATATGGCCCACTGTGGCGTGTCTTCCGAAAGCTTGTCCACCAAAAATTCATGGAATCCGTCGTTGAAAGGGAGTATGTGCCTGTGCAAGATGCCGAGGCGGTACAGATGCTTTATGATCTATGCCAGCAGCCGGATCAGCATATGTTGCATCCCAAGCGGTTTAGTAATAGTATTGCCATAAGTTTAAGTATGCATATCTCCCTCAAGGCCTGGTTTTCATGCTAATGCCTGACCAGTGTTTGGGATGCGCACGCCCAGGATTGATACGCCGCATATGCGTCGTTTGTATGAGATCATGGTGAGGATTTCATCTGAGAAGTATATAAACAGTCGAATCCTTACCATCTGATCTCTTTAGGACGGCTGGGTCCAGGTCATGGAACTCGGTGCTACACCTCCAGTGGACATCTTCCCCATTTTCCACTGGCTTCCAGAAAGTCTCTACAAAAACTGGATAACGACCTCCAAAACAGTCGGATCAAACATGAACTCTCTTTACAGCTCATTTTTAAATCGAGTCCGACAGCGCCGTCAAAACCCCGATTACAGCCGAGGCTCCATGATGGACATGGTACTCGACCAGAATGAGAAGCTCGGCTTAACAGACCACCAGATTTATTTCATCTGCGGAGTTAGGGTAGAAGGGGCCTCAGATACCACGGCGACCGCTATTCAATCGTTCATTCATGCCATGACCAAGTGGCCGAGTGTCCTGCGTAAGGCGCAGGCGGAAGTTGATAGCGTTGTTGGAGAGGAAAGGACGCCGACTTGGGAGGATTATGCTAGCCTTCCTTATGTCGCTGCTACCGTCAAGGAGACGATGCGGTGGAGACCTGTTGTTCCCCTGGCATTTCCTCATGCTGCTACAGATGGTCAGTTTTGTGTTTCTTGTGACGACGATAAGTCTGCCTCCTTTTTCTTGACCGCTGACCTGAAAACACATTGATTAGATGACTGGATCGATGGCTACTTCATCCCCCAAGGCTCAAGCGTCATCATCAATGTTTGGGGCCTTCACCAAGACCCAGCATACTTTGCGAACCCGGACGTCTTCGATCCGGACCATTTCAAAGGCAAGACAACGCTTGCCCCAGAACTTGCAGCGTCTATTGATGTTAATCTTCGTGACCACTATGGTTATGGATCTGGTCGTCGGATATGCCCCGGGATGCATCTTGCCGAGCGTAATCTGTTCTTGGCGATTGTGAAGTTGATATGGGCCTTTAACATCGGCCCTGGTGTCGAAGAGAAGAGTGGATTGCCCATGGTGCCAGATGTGGATGCGGTGACTGGATATAACGAGGGACTGGTGCTGAGTGCTAAGCCGTTTGGTTGTCGGGTTTCGGTGCGATCCGAGGCGAGGAAGAATACGATTGTGCGCGAGTTTGAGAAGGCTAGCGTGGAAGTCTTTCCGAGGTTTGCGGCTTGATCATTTCAACGTTGAATTAAGATTGTTGTTTCGGACTCTGTTGCCCTGTTCTAATAGAGTACATTGTTCAGAATGAAGATATCTAGTTATGACACATTTGATGATTAGAATACAACGTTCACAAGTTTACCACCCTTGACGACGATCACCCGTCGTCGCTTTTCCCAATCGTTCTTCTCTCGAAGCCAGTGCTTGCCTTCGGTGGTTTCCAGCACGCGGCTGATTATCCACTCCTGTTCCTCTTGCGTCGGGCCAGAGTTCTTCCCCTTGGGAGGGGAGGTTGTTGGGGAAAGCATGCGCGGGATAGTAATAACACACCGCATCTTTCCATTGATCTGGATAGCAACGGTCTGGCCACCGCGAGCAGAGAGGACATCGGCTTGCTGGGAAGAGAGAAGAGGCGTAGGCCAGGAGGAGGCCTGGATGGAAGGTACATTGGCTGTCGGGTCGGCCTTTTGAATGAGGGGTTTGTGCAGCATTTCCCATGACTCGGATGCTAGTGCTGGGGCGATTGGTGAGAGGAGGCGGAGGAGAGTGGAAACGGAGAGGTAGAGGGCAAGTGGTGAGGAGGGAGGTGACGATATGAGGGCATTGGTCAGTTTTGTCAAGTCGGAGATAACTGTGTTGAGGCCGTAAGGATTGCTCTCGATGCAGGAAGTCACCGAGGATATGGTGTTGTGAGCTGCCAAGATCGCATCCGCGTCAGAATCACTGAATTCCTCTAGCGAAGAGGGGAGAGAAGCTGCGTGACCGTGAGATGCATCTAAATCAGCAATGGAGACGGCAAAAGATGAGCTGTCCAGTGTTTCCTGGGTATCGATGACAAACTTCCACAGTCGACCGAACCAGCGCTCAACACCAACAATCTTGGCCTCGTCCCACTCCAATACTTCACTGACGGGTGCGGAGAATAGAATCTGTGCACGGGTAGCGTCCGCTCCGTATTTAATTGCGCAATCTGTTGGATCAACACCATTGTGTTTGCTCTTAGACATCTTCTCGAAAGAGATGTTAGGAGCGATATCAGTGCCCTTGATCAAGGGCTTATCCGGACTAGAGATATCCACCGCGGACGGGTGCAAAAATCGACCGGTAGAGGGCTCGGTGAAAGTCTTACCGTGCACCATGCCCTGAGAAAGAAGAATCTTGAAGGGTTCTGCAGGTTCTGACAGGTTCTCAACATGAGAAATTGCGGGGAACAGTTCAGACCGAGCAAGGAACTTGTAGATGAACCGAGCATAAAGCAAATGTAGAATGGCGTGTTCGACACCACCAATGTAGACATCCACAGGGCGTGCGAGAGCCGGCGAGAAAGGAGACTCCTTGTTCTTCGGGTCCAAGAAGCGCAGATAGTACCAGGATGAATCTACAAATGTGTCCATGGTATCGGTATCACGTTTCGCTGAGCCTCCACAACTGGGGCAGTTGGTGTGGAGGAATTTCTCGGAGAACTCCAGGGGATTTCCTTTTTTGCCTTTCAGCCATTCTCCGCCGATCTTTGGTAGCTTCACGGGCAGATCCTTTGCTGGAACAGGGACAGGGCCACAGTCGCCGCAGTGAATAATTGGAATAGGTGCACCCCAATACCGTTGCCGACTGATCAACCAATCCCTCAACCGCCAGGTCTCCTGGAACTCAGCCTGACCCACTTGCTTAAGGTCGGTGACAATCTGCTTTGCTGCCTCTTTGGACGACAGGCCTTGATACTTCCAGCAACGTGAGGTGAGAAAACCTTCCTGAGTAAAGGCCGTTGCGTCACGTGCAGGAATAACCGAGTCTGCTGGATCACTGCCTTGCAACTTCGACGGCTCTGATTGAATAACAATGGGAACGGAGTCGGGGTTCATGTTCTCCTTGAAGAAAGACATGTCCCTAGCATCGTGACCAGGAACAGCCATCACTGCACCCTCACCATAGTCACTGAGCACATATGGTGCCGCGAAGATTGGTAACTTCCTTTGCAAATGAGGACTCTCCTTGTCAATTTTCCGCAGAGGATGAGATGCCTCAACACCCTTGAGGATGTAGCCAGTTTTGGAGTCCGGCGGAAGCGACGATGCTTCATCCAGGAACTTCCGGAGAGAAGGGTCTTTCTCGGCCGCCTCTAACACGATAGGGTGGTTTAGCGACAGGGCGAGGTATTCAACACCATACAATGTGTCTGGTCGCGTCGTGAAGACGAACACATTGACTTCCTTGTCACCATGGATGGTAACCGGAAAGGTAACCTTAGCTCCTAGGGACTTTCCCAGCCAGTTCCGTTGCATTGACAGCACGCGCTCAGGCCAGCCGCCAGCAAGAGAATCAAGATCCTTCAATAGCATCTCCTTGAATTCCGTGATTCGGAAAAACCATTGTTTGAGATTCAATTTCTCCACCTTGGCACCAGACCGCCACGAGAAACCATTGGCATCGACCTGTTCATTCGCCAGAACTGTCTTGTCAACAGGATCGTAGTTAACAAGCGCTTCAGCTTGGTATGCCAGGCCCTTCTCGTAGAGCATCAAGAAAATTCGCTGCGTTTGTTCGTAGAATTCTGGAGAACAGGTGGCCAGCTCCTAACACATGGCGAGTTAGCCAACAGCGCATATAATTCTGGGCGGGAATAATTCTTCGATTCAACGTACCCTATCCCAGTCAAATGAAGCAGAGATTCTCCGCAGCTGCTCCTTCATCTTCGCGATATTCTGCTCCGTCCACTCCGCCGGATCAACTCCCCTCTCAATCGCCGCATTTTCCGCCGGCAATCCAAACGCGTCCCACCCCATTGGGTGTAGAACATCATGCCCGCGCATTTTGTAGAATCGCGATAGCACATCGGAAATCGTGTATACACGCAGATGGCCCATATGCAGCGTACCGGACGGGTAAGGAAACATCGACAGGATGTAAGATTGCGGCTTCGGTTCGACACCCTTTTCGGGGTTCACTTGGGTTAGAGTCGCGTCGGTTTGCCATTTCGCTTGCCATTTCTTGTCTAGGGCGGGCAGATCAAGTTTCCGAGAGTTCGAGGACGTCGTCGCGAGGCGGGCGAAGGCATTGAGGGCGTGTGGGAATCGGAGTTTGCCAGGGCGTATGCACCTCCGGCTTCGGATGGCCAGGGGCGTCAATCGTACACGGGAGAGTGTGTGCATGATGAATGGATCATCATGTCCCCGCAGAGTCAAACGAGAGTTGAACGAGAGCGGTGGTAACCACTTGTTGCTAGGACGGTCGTCCGATCTTCAGTCAAAACTTCCCTGGGCCCCGGACAGCTTTAGCCCCGATCGGGACTAGCGCTAATATATCCATCCGAGGCAAGCGTCTACCATGTATGAACATCAAGACCAACTTCAATTTACTATAGTAAATTTAGGAGATCACTGTGATATGGATTCACTATTTTTGGTATGAATTTCGCTCTAACTGGTTTTCCAAGTCACTCGTCTGACCATATACTATTCATCTACCCAGTCATTTGTGGATCTGAAAGGCCACAGAAAGGCTACGTTGTGAAACAAACAAGATCAAACAAGTTAGCAGTAATCTCCTGGATCTAGGGTGCGTTAAGTGAAAAATCGGACTGCTCATATGAATTCGCTTGTCTATATGCAATGTATCTCATATTGTACACTCTTAATACACACTCAATCTATAGTCTATCATCTACATCCGCAAAATGTCTCCATTGCGGTCAATCCCACCCCGGAAATGATCCGTCACCACCCTTCCTCCAAGAATAGTCTCGTCAACGATACCTTGCACATGCTTCGGCTCAATGCGACCATACCAAATACCCTTACCCGCCAGCGGGTGAGGCTCGTCAGTTGTTCCCACCGTCATCTTAGGCGGGATATATACAATGACATTGCCGGCATATTTATGTCCGCCAACATGACTAATCAAGCCAATATTGGCATGATTGGGCCCATCAATGGTAGAACTGTCGCTACCCGCGAACGTGAATCCTTGCGATTGAAGCACGCGCTGGAATTCGCTTTCGAGGGCGGGCGCCATGACGCCACAGCGCATATCTCGGCCTCCGTGTCCGCAAATCAAGACTGTAGGAGAGTGGTTTATATAGACGATTCCTTCGAACTTCGAAGATAGCTCTGGGGCCCTAGTCATGCCTGCTTGTTTCTCGGCTGGGAGGGAAGAATGCATGTCATGTAGTCGCTCCGGGAGAAGGAATGCCCGGACAAAAGTTCTCAAGTCGGTGGCGTTAGTGGAGGACAGGGTTTCCACTGGTATGGAAGGAATATATTTGAAGCTGGGGAAGAGGAAGGCGGATGCTGTGGTGGAGTTGGTCGCAGCTGGGGCGATGGAGGAAGTCGTGACGAGGACATTGTTGAAAGGCTAAATTGGTCAAGAGTATTACTGTTAGTTGCTGTCCATTCATGTAGCCTGATAGGAGTGATTGAGGGCAAAGAGGCGCATACATCCAGATATGGTCCACCACGACCGAGCAAACGCTTGAGTCCTCGAACAAGATGTCCCCATGTTTCGTTCTCTCCGTCATTCTCAATCCGACTCGTCCAATCCCTCTGCCCTGTGCAGACCAATATTTGTTGTGCATAGGCAGCCATCGTGCCATTCAGTGCTTGCTCGTGATCAATTGGTAATCCCTCGGGCATGGCTGGCCTCGGCGGGCAATTGCAGGTCGGCTCCGGACACGACTTGGTGACAGGGAAAGGGGGAGGGATCTCGAGACGCGCACGGAGGCGACTCGTACGACATGGTGTAGTTGACAAGAACCGCGAGGGTCTAGTGTAGTGGTATACTCGCCCGCTCCAATCCCGCGCGAGCGACTGGGCGAGGGTTGTTGATCGCGCTCTCATCGGAGGAGGTTTGTTGGTTGCTCAGAGGCGGGCTGGAAGGGGATGAGGAATTTGAGCTGATAGATCGAAGGAGCGACCCGGACAAGAGCATGCAAGGGTTAAGCGATCGTGATTGAAAACTACTAAGTACCTGGGAACATCTCCGAGAATTTCGGAGCGGAGATTAGCGTTGCCTGGCGGGATTATCAATCGCCGCGTGCCATTCGCCGCGGCTTTCACGTGGTGGGGCTAAACAATGCCTTGTCAAGGACCATGCAAAACCATTGTTTGTCTTGAAACCTTCATTGAATTACGTGTATTTCTTTTGGCAAGGAGGCTGGCTGACAGGAAAAGAATTATTATTAACACCTATGAGCTAGACCTCAATAATTACGATTTGGAATCCTGTGCGCCGCCTGGATTTTAGGGAGACGCAAGGCATTGACCCAGATTCACAATTCATCCAGAGCTCAATCTGAGCCCAAAACCGCACCCAGCCAAGCAGATTGTCCACCATGAAGCCCGAGGGAACTGAATTCGTTTATGCCAGATAGGATCATAATACTGATTGATTTTTGAGATAGTTATATCTGCAATTGTTTGGGAGTCCCTCCATGTTTTAAAGAAGCCATATGAAGCTTTGTGGATCCCTCTCAATATCGGGTTAATATCCAAAACTTCACATGTATGGATTCTCATCACAATGCAATGCCTCGGTATAGTCGATCGAGCCGTTGACTGGTGATTCGCGTATGAAATGGACATGGGATGGATCTCGACGTGGGTAAACATTGAGCTTGGACAAGATAGGGGATGCGTATGAGGTTCGGTTCTCGATCGTTGTATCCGTAAACATCTGATAGTCGAATCCAGCTCGCGGATATTTTCTGTTCTTGAAATCGATCCTGTTTGGCATTAAGCGGCAGCCAGGCGCATCGTTGAACGATGCGATCTCATGCACCATTCTTCCCACGCGAAATAATGATGTGTTTTGCGACACCGCGAGCACAGGAGTGCGAAATGGAAAGGAGTTCATGGCTTGATTTCAAGATCCATAAGTAGGGGCTGGTTGTTTTCAATGTTAAAAGTACGAGTTTGTTAGCAGGTTGACCGGAGGCAGTGAATTAAGACGAATCCCCAGCGACCACGTCTGGAAACAGATCAATCGCGACCATCACAAGAGGAGCCCTTGCTCATGCGACCACCGGGACACTTGGAGATCCGCGATCGCAGACTCCGGGATAGGTTCCGTGCTTGCAGGGAATGCCACCAACAACCCCCGCCAGACATTGGGAGACTCGAATCAAGGATCACAAGTCGGATCCGAGTCCAAACCAGCGACAATGTACGATCACATCCCAGATCATCTCTTGCCCATGGAATTCAACGATTCCATTGCTCAATTGACAGCCGCAACGTCACAGCAAAGGCCATTGCCCTCACCAAAAACATTAGCCACCGTCAGATCCTCAGCGCAGGTTCATCGCGTGCCGACGTCGCTCTGGCGATGGTGAAATCGAGGAAATGTCCCCGTTGCAATGCTGGCTCAATGTGGTATTCTATCCCGGCGTGGGAAGCCGTGCCTGGAGCGAGTAACCGGGTGCTTCAGTGGATCCGCCGTGAGGGCCGTTCTCCAACAACCTCTCCTCACCGGAAAAAACAAGGTGGGCGCAGATGACTGCGGGCCCCACGAAGTTGGAGAATGAGGGAAGGCGAGGGCCGAAGTTCGGCAGAAAGACGGAGATGGCTCGGGAGGTTCCCCTGAGGAGATGGGGATGGCCGGGACTCACGGCATCTTTAGTAGATTGTCCGGGGAGCTTCAATTGCGGTGTGAAGCCTCCAAATCTCCGCGGCGCGTAGCACTGCGTGGCTCCGAATGTCTGGTACTTTATGATTCTTTTTGGATGCGTGCCAGCTACCCCTCATTATGTCAGCTACCCCTCTGCGGGGTAGCTATCCCACTCAGGTTAGTCCCAATTCCATGTTAGTGTGTCCTTCCCACTGGATGGGCTGATGGCGGATATGCAGATGTGCAGCTGTGTTGCAGCGATGGTTACACGGGCTGACGGAGCGGGCAACCGGGTATGGGGCCGACTATTGTGGTCGATCGTGCGACCTTAGGCCGACAGAGCCTTATCACGGCCACGAGCCCCAAAAATGAGGTTCCCCGCACCTGTCACTCGCCAACGAAAGGTCGCGAGACCGCGGCAATGAGGGTCTAGGAGGTGCTTGCGCAAAACGTCCGCGGAGTAACAAGCTACATGAGGACCTGGCTAGTGTAGGCTCGATCGTAGATGGTAACTCGCGGGCCAGCGCCAGCGGGAACCCGGCGTGTGCATGAACACGAACCACAAAGTCTCCTCCCCCCCTGTCCCTCATGCGGAGAGACCAGCGCCGCCATGAGTGGTGCGTTCCCCATCAACCGGTAGCCCCGTCCGAAGTCCCGTCCCGTTTGAAACGGCGCCGACTGGGATCTGAGGGGAGTACAGCGTGTTTTGGGTTCGGCTCCATCCACATTCACGCTCTCCCTGTTGTCTAAGAGGGGCTCGAGGAGAGGGGCCCGCCATCTATATAATTGGGCCTCCTGGCCGGTCGGATTCTTACTTTTTCATCATCGTCCTTTTTCCACCCTCTCCTCACTTCAGATCCAAAACACAACTTTTAAGGTATGCAAAACCCAAAAATATCTCTCCCTTACTTTGCCCGAGTCCAAGCTCTGCTAGCTATGGCCTGCATGTTCCCCACTCTCCCCGCTTCGCCATTAGCCGCTGCTCTTCTCCAACGCCGTTTTGGGCGATTGACTTCATCGACCTTTATGACCGGTTTTTGATTTAAAAAGAGCTTCGCTGACCTCTTTGTTCCAGCTTCGTGCTTCCATCTTCTTTTCAAGTTAATATTCACTTGATCATCTTTCACAATGGTATTTATCCGTTCCATTTCTCGTCAACTCCGACGTCCTGCGTCCCAGTTCCTCTCTGGTCCTCTCAAACCAGCCGCTCCCTCCGGGTCCTTTAGCAGAGCTCCCGTGGCTGGTGCATTTTCCAATGCCCGTACGCTAACCGCATCTGCAAAACTTCAGGGCAAGGTTCTTCTGGTTCTCTACGACGTAAGTGACCACCTCTTCTATACATCGCGGGTTTCAATGGCTAACGTGACAAACAGGGTGGCGAGCACTCCAAGCAGCAGCCCGGTCTACTGGGTACCACCGAGAACGAGCTTGGTATCCGCAAGTGGCTCGAGGATGCCGGTCACACCCTGGTGACCACCTCCGACAAGGAGGGCGAGAACTCCACCTTCGACAAGGAGCTCGTCGATGCTGAGGTTATCATCACCACTCCGTTCGTCCACCCCAGCCCTCAACATCTCTCAGGAACTTTCCAGCTAAAATTTGCTCTCCTATAGCTTCCACCCCGGTTACCTCACCGCTGAGCGTCTGGCCAAGGCCAAGAAGCTCAAGCTGGCTGTCACTGCCGGTATTGGTTCCGACCACGTTGACCTGAACGCTGCCAACACCACCAACGGTGGTATCACCGTCGCCGAGGTCACCGGTTCCAACGTCGTCTCCGTCGCTGAGCACGTTGTCATGACCATCCTGACCCTGGTCCGCAACTTCGTCCCCGCCCACGAGCAGATCAAGCGCGGTGACTGGGATGTCGCTGCTGTCGCTAAGAACGAGTACGACCTTGAGGGCAAGGTTGTCGGTACCGTCGCTGTCGGCCGTATCGGTGAGCGTGTGCTGCGCCGTCTCAAGCCCTTCGACTGCAAGGAGCTCCTCTACTATGACTACCAGCCCCTGAGCCCCGAGGCCGAGAAGGAGATTGGCTGCCGTCGTGTTGAGAACCTCGAGGAGATGCTCGCTCAGTGCGATGTTGTCACCATTAACTGCCCCCTGCACGAGAAGACCCGCGGTCTGTTCAACAAGGACCTCATCTCCAAGATGAAGCCCGGTTCCTGGTTGGTCAACACCGCCCGTGGCGCTATCGTTGTCAAGGAGGACGTTGCCGAGGCCCTCAAGTCTGGCCACCTCCGCGGCTACGGTGGTGATGTCTGGTTCCCCCAGCCCGCTCCCAAGGACCACCCTCTGCGCTACGCTGAGCACCCCTGGGGCGGTGGTAACGCCATGGTCCCCCACATGTCGGGTACCTCCATTGACGCCCAGATCCGCTACGCTCAGGGCACCAAGAACATCCTGGACAGCTACTTCTCTGGCCGCCACGACTATCGCCCTGAGGACCTGATCGTCCACAAGGGTGACTACGCCACCAAGGCCTACGGTCAGCGCAAGTAAAACTGAAAAGGTTTGGCGATATTAGCACCAAATTAGCCCCTGGGTTCATGAATTTCCTTTTCTGATTGTTTATATTCTTTGATCCCCATTTGCCTACTTGGAGGGACTAGGCTTCAAAAGAGAGCATCAACGATACCAATGAAATGAAAGGTTCAATTTCACGTTTTTCTTTTTCGTAATTCATTCTTTGCTATGCAGGGGCTCTGCATCTCCGATTATCAAAGTGGGGCGCGCCGATCTCTCGTAGATTGGCAGGTCCAGAACAGGAACGGACTTTGTGGTGGATCCCGTAGCTTTAGCTGGTCTTTTGACAGGCGCAGGAAAAAAGATCTTGTATAAACTTCAGACTACTTTGGGCAATCTGCATATTTGCCAAATACCTTAGTGTACACAGTGTATACTTGTTCAACCAAATTTGTGATTTAAGAAATTGTGGTCTTTCTCATTGTTATCAAGCAAAACAGGTCTAGACACTCATGATGTATGATGTATGACGTTTCTCGTAATGTCAACCAGGAAATGAGCTAGAAACATAAAACCGAGTTCCTCCCAATATGCATGTGTCGCTGAGAATCTTGGAAACCAAAAACGCCGATCCATGACAGCCTGATATGACGGTAGCCGTGAAAAGTAATCAACGTCTACCACCAGTGTGCCCTCTCCCGTCATTGTCTTCGTCGTCACTGTCGTCCATAAAACCTTCCTCTAATTCTCGACTAAGGCGACTTTGGGACTCGGCCGTACTGCGCCGCTGCTCCAGAGCCTCCCGCCGCGCAGCATCCATGTTCATCCCAGTCATGAGTTCTCCTTCCTCGTCATCGATACTGATGTTATCGTGATCTTCAATGTTTGCGCCCCGTCGCCATGACGAAGGTAGAAATAAGCGCATGACTACATCGGCCATGCGATCACGGAGCGAAAGGGTATGCGCTGAGATGGTATGCAAAGGGAGGTATTGGGAGTAGCGTTGTTGGTAGCGTCGGAAGAACGGGATGATGAGGAACGAGAAGAGAACATATACCGTTAGTGCAATAGATGCCGGAATCAAAATAGTCTTCAGTTTGGAATAGTTAACCCCTGGGCCGGGAATCACGCGGCCCGATCGACAGATGCGGATCTCGCGATAAGACGGAAGAGAGACAGAGACCAACCTTTGCAAAACCTGCGAAGGACCCCATCTTGTCGGGCAATCCTCTAGGGTATCAAGAAGTCGAGTATGGGCTTATGAGGGCAGATTTGAGCGGCTCAGTGTGGATTGCAGTTCTGTTTACCGGCCTGGGATCGGGTGCATGGACGAGGGCGGCTTCCGGATCGGCAATGTGCATTGGGTGAAGCAGAAGTGATTAACCAAACAATATGGCAGGAAACCGCGCGATCAAATAACTTCGAGGCAACCGGCGGCACCGTCTCAACCGATCGCTGGATGTCCAGTTTCCCCTTGAGCAGAACAGCACTTCCTGGCAAGACGCGATGACTCAGCACATCACGTGCGCGCGGTCGGGGAGTTTCTCCGGACATTGGCAGCAGCCCCCTAATCAGGCACTTGGGACCGTGCTTTGATCGACCCTGGCGTCAGAACTCACTGGGACTTGCATATTGCAACCCTCCTAGGTTTCATATTACTTTCGTTTCTTTGTGTGGTGAGCGCCAACATATCCCCTCCATTTTACCCCTCTACATTAGAGTGGCTCCGCCATAGCAACCGAAGCGGGTATACTAACTTAGCCAGGGAGGGACAAAAACAGACCGTCGAATGATTGTGAATGTCACCATTTTCGTCCACCAGATCCATAGCGATCGACCCCGCTACAACCTGCACATCGATTACCCAGCCTCCGACCGTCTCTGAGTGTGCCAAGGGAGCGCTCTTTATGTTGCTCCCTGCCACTTCATAGGGACCACCCGCAAAAATGCCAACTAATGCACCCTCCGACAAGTCGAGGCAAACGTCGGCCGGGAAATCGTTCTTTGGGAGGAAACTGTACAAGGGAGGGTCCTCAGACGACCGTTCCCAGGGACACGATGGATCATACTACGCAGGCTCCTACGATAGTCTGGCGCCTCCCGGAAGCGCCGCGGGCTCTCGCTCGTCCCGCTATTCGAAGCGATCGTCGATTCAGTCCGTCGACTTAAGCCATGATATGGATCCCGGCAGCATCGCTCCAACAGCCGGTGTCATCACGTCTATACCCTTCGAGAGCCTGCCGTCCGACACCAGAACTCCGATCCCGATTGACAACATGTCGCGACCCGACTCCGCCCGCCACGAGCCCTCTCCCAACCACATTGGCAAGACCGGAGGAGATTTTCATCAGTATCCAACCTGGACCTCTTCCTCAGCACCGAATGGATCTGGTTCCCATCCGTCCGGTCCTCGCCCACCCCCGCATGCCTCGAATATGACGATGACGAGCAGCGCCTCAGGCTCAGGAGAGCGCGGGACACGATATCAGCAGTGGGGACGGCCTGGGAGCTCAGCGGCAAACCATAACTCCTCGTTTGACTCTTCATCGAACTCTCGCACATCGCTTGACCAGGCTAGTGTGTATTCCGGACATTCGTCAAACCCTCGAGCCTCGAATTATTTTCCGTCAGAACCTTCAAGTCGCACCCTTACGAGCTCGCATTCAAGTGATCGCAGCACTATATTCCCAAGTAGTGCAAGTGCTGGCAGACTGTCGAATGCCCCGTCTATACACCAACCTATACCTGCAGCCGTGCCTCGGCCTCCCGATAATTATTTGACCCGCCCCAGAGACGACCGTATTGTCGACCAATTGTTCTTGGAGCTTATGCAGAAACGTGGATGGCAGAACCTTCCAGAGCAGGCCAAACGGCAAATGTTGTCGTACCCTGCGTCCAAGAAGTGGACCCTGGTTCACCAGGATCGATTGACGGAGCTTCAAGGGGAGCAGAAAAGACGACAAAATGCGCGCCAGACTCACGGACATGATGGCTTGTCGGGTCTATTGGAACGCGCAGATGAGGAAGGTAGCCCTGAGTGGTATGTCAAGAAAGTCATGGACGACACGATTACATCGAAGCAGTTGGCCAGTTTGAGTGTCAGTCTGCGAACGCAGCCCATCAGGTGAGTGTGCATTGAGTTTTGACCCCTGCAAATGATTTTACGAACTGCCACGCTAACAATTCTGATAGCTGGGTGAAAGCTTTTGTTGAAGCTCAGGGACAAGTTGCCTTGACCAATGTTCTTCAGAAGATCAACCGGCGAAAAGCTTCTGGCCCCGTACCCGCTCCTCCAACTGGCGACAAGGACCTCGACCGCGAGTATGATATCGCAAAGTGTTTGAAAGGTCTTATGAACAACAAATATGGTGCAGATGATGCACTCGAGCACCAAGGGGTCCTCGTGGCGCTTGTCAACTCATTAGCTTCGCCTCGCCTGAACACCCGAAAGCTTGTGAGCGAAGTTCTTACTTTTCTATGCCACTGGGCCGATGGCCAAGGTCATCAAAAGGTTCTCCAGGCTATGGATAAAGTCAAGCATGACCATAACGAAACCGGTCGTTTTGATGCCTGGATGCGCATCGTCGAAGTTACTGTCGATGGCCGCGGTAAGATGGGAAGTTTGGTGGGCGCAAGCGAAGAGTATCGAAGTGGTGGAATTGGCATGGAGAATCTCCTTATGGAGTATGCCGTTTCTACCATGATTCTCATCAACATGCTGGTGGATGGCGCAGAAACCGATTTGCAACTACGATGCCACATTCGTGCCCAATTTATCTCTTGTGGAATCAAACGTCTACTGACGAAGATGGAGGGCTTCCAATACGAGGTAATCGACAAGCAGATCGAACGATTCCGGGAGAATGAAGCCATCGATTACGAAGATCTTCTTCAACGGGAGGGAAGCAGCATGAAGGATAGTGTCGAGGGTGAAGTCAAGGATATGAGTGACCCTCTCCAGATTGCGGATGCTATTGCAACCAAGATCAATGGAACTCGGTCTCATGACTACTTCCTCTCAGCGATGCAGCATATGCTGCTGATCCGCGAGAACTCCGGCGAAGAAGGTCTACGGATGTTCCAGCTCGTAGACGCCATGATGAGCTACGTTGCTATGGACAGGAGACTTCCTGATCTTGATCTTCGACAAGGATTGAACTTCACTGTTCAGAGTTTGTTGGATCGACTTCATACCGATGCCGAGGCTAGACGTGTGTACGATGAATCATTGGAAGCTCGTCAGATTGCCGAGGCTGCTATCGCTGAACGCGATGAGATGAAGGCCCAGGTGGAGCTTGGTGCTGAGGGATTGGTCAAAAAGCTCCAAAAGCAGATTGACGAACAGACCGGTATCATTGAACTTCAGGCACGGCAAAACGAGTCTTTGAAGGCCGAGGCTAGTGAACTCCAGAGACTGCGGGCCCAGGAATTGCAGCGCAATGAACTGGAAACTCGTGAGCTCTACCTGATGCTTCGGGATGCGCAAGATATCGCTGCATCCAATGCCCGGAAGGTCGCGAGCCCTGATCAAGAAGCCTCGGCGGATCCGTCCCAGATGCCCGGAATTTTGGACCGCGAGCGTCTCATGGAACGCCTGGAGCGTCAGCTGGAGAGAACAAAAACCCAATTCAAGCTTGAAGGCAAGGTCTGGGGCCAGCATGGCCCATCTGATCGTCTTCGTGAGCTCCGTGAGAAGATGGATGGCGAAGAGGACGATTCTGGCGAAGAGTTTACTGCTCAAACCCGTCGTCACCTTGACCCAGGTTCTCTTGGATCCTACCGTAAGCGCAGCCATGTGCCTGATCTGCAAGATACCTCTGATGACAAGGCATTGTCCCCTGTGGATGAGGATGAAGAGGCTGTGTATGAGAAGCCTCGTCTGGTGGAAATGCAGAGACCTCGTCTCAATCCTGCTCAGGCCACTGGCCTACTCGGTGAACTTGCTTCTAAGGTCCCGAAGTATGATGAAGGCCTAGAGGGCACTGGAAAGGTCGAAGATGTCACTATGGAGGAAGCTTCTGCTGCTAAAGATGAAGCTTCTGCTGAAGATGCTGAGTCTAAAGCACAGCAGGATTCCAGAGCAATGCCTCCACCACCTCTTCCTGTTCCAGGCGGTGCCAAACTTCCAATTCCTCCACCTCCACCACCGCCACCACCAGGAGGCAGCGCTTTCCCTGCTCCACCTCCGCCCCCAGGTGGCAGTGTCGTTCCTCCCCCTCCTCCACCAGGCGGTGCTGCCCTTCCTCCTCCTCCGCCTCCGCCAGGTGGTGCCAAGGGTCTTCCTGTTCCGCCGCCTCCTCCGCCCCCCGGTGGTGCCAAAGCCGGGATCCCCCCTCCTCCACCTCCGCCAGGTGGTGCCGGAGGTCCCCCGCCGCCTCCACCCCCTGGAGGTGCCGGCGGATTTGTTGTACCGCCCCCTCCGCCGCCAAATGCACCACTGGGCGCTGGCTGGAAGGCATCTTATCTGCCACAAACTTCCATTGTTCCTATGAACAAGTTTGCTCAGTCTAAGAATAACCTCAAGAAGGTCCACTGGGACAAGGTTGATACTCCTGAAGTAACAGTCTGGGCTGCTCATGCCGTCTCGGCCGAGGAGAAAGAGCAGAAATATACCGATCTTGCCAAGAAGGGTGTTTTGGATGAGGTGGAACGACTCTTCAGAGCCAAGGAAGCCAAGAATCTCTTCGGAGCCAGTGCAGCAGCCAAGCAACGCAAAGACAAGAAACAAATCATCTCGAACGACTTGTCGAAGAATTTTCAAATTGCGTTGGCCAAATTTTCTCAGTTCCCTCCTGATCATGTGGTCCAGATGATCATTCATTGTGATCGAGAAATCCTGGACAACATGGTCGTCATGGATTTCCTGCAACGTGATGAGATGTGCACTATTCCGGAAAACGTTGCGAAGTTGATGGCGCCATATAGTCGTGACTGGACTGTTCCAGGAGCTGCAAGCTCTGAGCGTGAACAAGACCCCAGTGAACTCACCCGCGAAGATCAGATCTATCTTTCCACAGCTTATGAGTTGAACCACTACTGGAAGGCAAGAATGAGAGCTCTTACTCTGACCCGCTCTTACGAGCAGGAGTACGAGTACACTTCGTCCAGGCTACAGGAGGTTGTCCGAGTCAGTGAATCTTTGCGAGATTCCGTGTCTCTCATGAACGTTCTTGGTCTGATTCTGGATATTGGTAACTACATGAACGACGCCAACAAGCAGGCTCAAGGTTTCAAGCTGAGCTCGCTTGCTCGTCTGGGCATGGTCAAGGATGACAAGAACGAGACCACTTTTGCCGACTTGGTCGAACGTATCGTGCGCAACCAGTATCCCGAGTGGGAAATTTTCTCTGAGGAGATTTCCGGTGTTGTTGGGTTGCAAAAGGTCAATGTTGATCAACTTTGCACTGATTCCAAGAAGTACATCAACAACATCAAGAATGTGCAGTCAAGCTTGGATGCAGGCAACCTGAGCGACCCGAAGAAGTTCCATCCCCAGGACCGCGTGAGCCAAGTGGTTCAACGGAGTATGAAGGACGCTCGGCGCAAGGCTGAGCAGTTGCAGCTTTACTTGGATGACATGGTAAAAACTTATGACGATATCATGGTCTTCTACGGTGAAGATAACACCGATGAGAATGCTCGCCGAGACTTCTTTGCCAAATTGGCTTCATTCTTGGTTGAATGGAAAGTAAGTGCACTCATTACAATTATCATTATCTCCACGCCTTTTATTTGATTACTCACATTGTTCACAAACAGAAATCTCGCGAGAAGAACATCGGTCTGGAGGAGGCCAGGAGGCGTACTGAGGCATCTTTGGCCCGCAAGCGTGCCAATGTCAACCTTGCCAATGGCAACAATGCTACTCCCGAGCAGCAGAACACGCCCGCTAACAGCGGCGCGATGGATTCGCTGCTCGAGAAGCTGCGTGCTGCCGCACCCCAAGCCAAGGACCAACGAGACCGCCGCCGCCGTGCTCGTCTCAAGGAGCGCCATCAAGTCCGCGTTGCTTCCGGTCAGCATGTGCCCGATGGCGGTGCTGAAGAAGGCAACAACGAGAACGACAATGCGGCCAAGACCGAGGCCGCTACCGACGAGAATGGCCTTTTGAGTCCACCGCTCCCCGAAGAGGGTGAAAATACCACCATGGAGGCCCAAACCTCCGAAGGCGAAGACATTGCAGACCGCGCAGCCAGTATGCTTCTTGGATTGAGGAGTAACTCCGATGCTGGCGGCGAGCGCCAGAGACGACGACGAGAGAGTGCCGACGAAGAACGTCGGAATCGCCGCATGAGACGGCGAAATGGAGCAACGAGTGGAAGTAAGGATAGTGCTGATGGGTCTGGTCTTCCGCCCGTACAAGAACCCATGTCTCCGTCACGAACGGATTCTATAGGGACAGAAGACCAAGCTCCGCCGAGCCCGCCTCAGGACGGCTCACAGGCATCCGCACCACCTTCTATCGTTGTTTCCGACCAGCATGATGACCAACACAAACAAGAACACTCGGCTGACGGTACATCTGCCAGCCACCCGATTGAATTGTCGGATTGAGACGGTGTATCGCGATACGGCCCCCTTAATCTAATGTCTGATAGATTTTTACTTGATGCCGTCTCGGAATCTTTTCATTTTTCTTTCTTGCATTACACCCCTCCCCACCTCCCACCCTCGACTCGACTGTATAATACCCTTTGTCTCCCCCTCCCATTCTTTGATCCGCCATTTTCTCTATTCACCTCGTGATGAGTTTAGCATGGGTCATGATACCACTGTCTTTTTTTACCTTGTTCTCTTCTGTTTCTGGTTCATTCCATGTGCAATTTTGTTTGGTCTGTCGAGGGCTCCCGCTTCGCATACCCACCTTGTGTACTGGCTATTGTACGGTTCTCTCTCCTTGTACATACCTTTCCTCTTTAACATCTACGGCGATATCGACTGTGATACCAATCATGATCGAAGACTTGCCTAACATCGCATTGTATCTTTGTTCGATGTGGACCATCGACTTTGTTTGCTGAATTATGGGTCTTGTATCTTTTCCAGGTTGAGTGTAGGCTGCTGATTTTTGGAGTTCGATTGATCGCTGGAAGTGAGGTCTTTTTTTAAGGTTAAAGACGGGGCTGGAAGATAGAATTGTTGAATATTTCCTCTTCGTCTAGTGCCAACCCAATGCATTCTGAACTAGCTAGCTGATTCTTAATGAATTAACCTAGGACAATAACTTTGTCTACCCCTACAACGGCACACTACTTGGGAGCGGTCTAGACCGAGGCCTCGGTATACTTTTGACGCCAGCCCACGTGACCTTATCTTTTATCTTTCGATATCAATCTCGAGCGCGACGACTACCGTTTTCGCGACGCAGGTTTCACGGCCTACTGTTCTGCGCATGCGAGCATATAATCCTCGAGCGTTGCGTTGGGCTACTCCCATCCGCCCCCCACGGCCCCGAACGCGAACCGCAGGGCTCGATAGTCTCTTTCACCGACGCCATGTCCCGACACGCGAAACGCCGACTTCAAATGGGACTGCCATGCCCGTTCGGAGCTTCTCCAGCTCGAGACCGGCGCAATTCATGCTAGATGCAGATTCTACGATCTACGCACTATCAACGGCTCCCGGGAGAGCTGCGATTGCCGTCGTGCGCGTATCTGGTCCTGCATGCGTCTCGGTATGATTTCCGACAGCTAACTCCGTCACGAACCTCTATCCTAACGTCATTTTATCTGTATGTAGATCTATAATGGACTGTGTCCCCAATCTCCACTACCAAACCCCCGCTTCGCAGCCCTGCGCACGCTCTACGACCCGACAAAGCCGCCTTCCGCAAATACAGTCCTCGACGCCGGCGCTTTAGTCCTCTACTTCCCGGGCCCGAAAACCGTAACAGGTGAAGACGTCCTGGAACTGCATATCCACGGCGGCCCAGCAATCGTCAAAGCCGTCCTGAGCGCCATCGCAAAATCAAGCACAGACCCCAACACCACCATCCGATACGCCGAACCAGGTGAATTCACCCGCCGCGCCTTCGTGAACGACCGCCTCAGCTTACCGCAGATCGAAGCGCTGGGCGATACCCTCTCCGCGGACACGGAGCAGCAGCGACGGTTGGCTGTCCGCGGATCCAGCGATGCGCTGCTGAAGCGCTATGAACTCTGGCGGCAGCAGCTTCTGTATGCGCGCGGGGAATTGGAGGCTTTGATTGATTTCTCTGAGGATCAGCATTTTGACGAGTCAACGGAGGAGCTGGTATCTTCTGTTTCGGTGCAGGTGAGCGATTTGTGTGTGCGGATTCGGGTTCATGTGAGGAATGCGTCTAGGGGGAGTTGTTGAGGAATGGGATTCGGGTTGCGCTTTTGGGGGCTCCTAATGCTGGCAAGAGCTCGTTGCTTAATCGGATTGTTGGGAAGGAGGCGGCTATTGTGAGTACCGAGGAGGGGACGACGAGGGATATTGTTGATGTTGGGGTTGATCTTGGGGGTTGGTATTGCAAGCTTGGTGATATGGCTGGGATTCGGGCGGAGGGCGATGCTGCGGGTCCTGCTGGACGGGGTGTTATTGGTGACGTTGAGAAGGAGGGGATACGGAGGGCCAGGGAGAGGGCTTTGGAGTCGGATGTTGTTGTTGTCGTTGTCTCGCTCGAGGAGACTTCAATAGGCCCGAGGCTTTTGGTCGAGCCGGAGGTTCTTGATGCTGTCAATGATTGTGTCAAGGCGGACAAGTGTCTCGTCGTTGCGATCAACAAATGTGACAGACTGACCCCTGATGAGAGGGGCAGTTCAATTCCTCAAGTCTTGGAAGAGACAATTTCTGACGTCTTCCCGGCCGTGCCTAGGGAACGAGTCTTTGCTATTTCCTGCAATGAAGCACAACAGGGGATCTCACCGCTGAGCGAAACAGATCCCGGCCATCTACAGACATTTCTACGTGGAATGATCTCGACTTTTGAACAGATTGCCTCTCCGCTGGGCATGGAGGGAGATACCAGTGGCCAATATGATATTTCGTATTGGGAAGATTCATTGGGGGTGACTCATCGACAAAGCTCTAATCTACAAAAATGTCTCGACCACCTGGAAGATTTCCTATCCCAAACGTCCCCCTCCACCGACCCCGACGCAACCCCTCTTGAGCGTGGCTTTGCTGCCGAAGAGGCAGAAATTGACATTGTCACAGCGGCCGAACACCTGCGATTTGCAGCGGATATGCTGGCGAAAATCACCGGCAAGGGCGAGAGCGGAGATGTTGAAGACGTGCTGGGGGTCGTGTTCGAGAAGTGAGTTTTTTTTTGGTTTCTTCCTCTATGATCCTGATTCCATCGTCTGAATTGTCGTGCTGATTCATTGTGTAGATTTTGTGTCGGCAAGTAACACGGATTGGAGATTCCTCGATTGGATCCGAATCGATGTGGTCTGTCTGCCACCCTGCCCCCGTGACGGGTGCCTCTTTGCAAAAGCAGAAGCCCTTTCAACCGAGTGGCGAATCCAAGCCAGGTTGTCTAGATAGAGGGCAATGACTGCCTTCGTGTCCATGGATTGCCGTGTTCATGGGGCCCGAGATCGTGTCGTCTACTGAAGTGTTCGTGGTGCAAATACTGGCACACGAAAGGAGCTCAGTTGCACAAAGATGGATCATCTGCCCGGTTGGCAGGTCCGTTGTAGCCACCACGGCCCATGCTGGAGTTGTCTTGGTCGTCGCCGAGGTACATTTCCGAGAATATAGTGGATGGAGATGGAGTGTAAGAGTGCTTGTATAGTAACGTGTTGACGGTTGACCACAATGTGTAAATAATATAGAGTAATTAAAGCAGACCGGAGATCTTGGATATCTTTTAAAGTGGAGTCTGTCTGATGATCGTGTCTGAAGAATGTCCTCTCGATTGAGTTTCCAACGGTTGATATTTATACTGGCCCCTCTCTCATACTCGATGACAACCCCCAAACCCGCAGCGAGCGAAAAATACCAGAGTCTGCCTTAACGCATGAATCATTCAGTCATCCAGGTACCCAGAATCTTCCAGTGCAGCCCATTCGGGCAATCTTCTAGATGAAAGGCGGCCGAAGCCTCGTGCTCTCGTGTGATGGTCTGAGTCAGGGCCTCCCATGCCTCTCTAGCTGCGTTCCTCTAGCGAACGAGCCACTCACCCAGCGAACCTGCTGCTGCGCCAATCGTCCTTGGCACGCCGTAATTTTATGGTCGCGATGATTCACGCTAATGCTACCGTATGATGACGATGCGTATCTTAGTCGAGGGAGGCTTGGGGGTTGAATGTTCAGCTGAAACTTCTGATGTTGAAACATGCTACTGGGGCTCAGCCGGTGACTCCTGGGCTGAGTGCCTGAAGACTTTGCCCTAGCCGCTCCGACCTTTCTACCCCAGGTACCCTATTACCTCCAGTCTGTCCTCTTTTCCCAGCTCCGTCCTTTCTATACCTGAGCATCTCCGAGCTGCTTAGAAATCATCGGCTCGCGGAATTGTGCTGGCCTTGTTCGCCTTGTCCCCAATTTCGCGTCAGATTCTAAGAATAGCCCCCTCTTCTAACCATCCCGCTTTGCACTCACTCAGTGCAGCAACCGAGAGTGAATGAACAACGAGAGCACCTTCCCTATCCCTCCGTGGCGTCTGATTCTATCCGAACCGCATTGGTGCGACTAAAAATAAAAACAAGAAACCCACGTTGCGCCCCTGCAGCGATGTCAGGGGCCGTTGGGGGTGTGCGGATTACTCGATCGGTTCCCCGGTCGCTTTTATTTTCCTGTTTATTGACACTCCGTCGCGACAGGGCTGACGGGCGCAAGCACTGCGATGGAGATGGACGATTACAGGGTCTTGTTTTACGCCCGCGACGATGCAGAGACGGCTTGCAGGCGCCGACATCGCGAAATGGGGGCCGTTTGTGGCCGGCACTATGGTATACATACCCTTAGGGTAACTGGCTAGTGGTCTATTAATAATACCACCCGACCTCATCGACCCTTGTTCGGCCATGTGGCCTACTGGTCGCTCTGTGTGCCCCGCATGGATTTGACCGTGGAGTGCGTGCTCTCTATTCTGCCGGGAATCAACTGCTGCTACTAGTAAAGAGGGTGCAGACTCGCCCAACGTCCCGGGTTCCGAACTACGCTCGTTCTGCAACACTCCCCCGGGACTCGACGTATCGACTCGCGAACAGCGCAAACGGGTAACAACGGCTAATTTTGGGTGCTCTGCAGGTTCCATTCCAGAATGATGGATGCAACCACGTCTAAATTTGTGCTAGTTGGAGAGCGCATCCATGGAGAGATTCTATTTTTGCCGTGGGAAGCACAGGGGCCGAGGCTTCCTAGATGTCTTCGATGGGAAGGTCGCACAGAGGGGAACGACAGATGACAGAATTGACGTTTGACAGATTTGAAATCATGCTGGGAGTGACAAGAATAGCGAAGCTCTCGACCGGCCCCATGGGATTTGGTTGCGGGCGCTTGTTGTTGTCTTGGATCATGTTGAAATCGCACAATCACTGGGCAGTGCGTTGCACTCGTCGTGTGGCCAGCTTTGGTCGAGAGCCTCCAACGACTTGGCTTCTGACGGTGCGTGGGGATTGGTCGAAGCTCGTGTACCATTGTCCATTCAGGTCCTCCTGAGAAATAGCGCACTAATGTTGCGTGGTGATGTCTAAATATATCTAATTATATAGATCCGTCTAAGACATGCGGGAACTATAACCAGAACCATGGAACGAGCTCGGCACGACTAGTCCAATACAATGCGATCAATCAACAGATAATAAGACCAAACTGACCACCTTCCAAAATGCATGATAGTACGCTCCCTGCTCTGTGGACTAGTACTTAGTAGTGGCTTAGATAGGATATTACCATCAGTGATCGTCAGTGCGGCCCCCCAAACAAACCTACACTTAGTGTCAGGGTGGAAGTGGAGAGGCGAGGCTTCCCCGCCGCGTCTCATGTCTCCAAACCTCACCCAAACATCCATGGATGACATGCACACCCTCTTCACGACAATGTAGTATGGATCCCGCCTCAATTTTCGGGCTCGTCTCCGGCGGCGTGCAGGTCGTGCAGGCCATCACCTCCACCGTCCAGAGCCTCAACCAGCTCGTCGGCAAATTCAGAGAGGCCGAATCTCAAGATTCAATCCCTGATTCAGGAGTTAACCTGTATCGGCACGGCGCTGACGAACCTGCGCGAGTGGGCGCGGATGAACGCCCATGCGTAGCACACAGAGGAGTTTGGCCGAGACCTCGTCGTTGCGATGGTAGGGCTGCGGCGTTGTCATGGATGTCGTCTCGCGAGATGTGTCCACTCTCGTGCAGAGTACCCGCGAAGACGGTATGAACAGTTTTTGGGCTAGAATTCGGGTGGAGTGGAATGAGGAGACTATGCGCGGCCACCAGGAGAAGTTGCATGTGCAGGTTATGGCCTTGCAGTTGTTGTTTCAGTTTTGTCAGTGGTGAGTGAGATTCAAGACTGTTTTTGGCGGAGGTTGCTGATTGCGGATATAGCCATACGACAAGTGAGCAGATGAGGTTGCTGGGAACGGCGACGACGAGGAGAATCTTTCATCGTGATGCCGATGATACGGCGACTATCTTGTCCACCCGCGGGAGCCGCGGCACGTCGTACGCCGGGAGTATTTCACAGGGGAGTAGGCAATCAATCGGTCAGTCCGACTTTGACAGGGCGATAGCAGAGTCCTCAGCCTACCACCGAGTGCTGGAGCATACGATTCGCGACTTGGATGCTGCCTCGTTGGACTAATCCCAGCAATCCGTGCCGGACCGCGAACAAAGTCACTCTGCGTTCGCGGACGAGGGGTATACAAGCAACCAGACTCCGGCCACCAGCTTGATGGTGCCGTCACTGCATATCCCTACGCCTGATGCCCAGCAAGAACAGGAAGGCTACTTCCCTTTACCAAGTAGTCCGTCTGGACGAGTGCAGCATCCCGCACTCCCGATCCATCGCAGAAGTGTTTCTGTGACGCAGACGTAGCAACGGCCGCCGTACCAAACGAATGTTAGGAGAAATGCTTCGCACTCTGAATCTCAGAGATCACGAACGTCGGATTCGAGAAGAGAAAGATTATCCTCGTTCCTCCGCATGAATACTTGCAGTTGAGCAAACCTTGCAGTGTCACCAGGTGGCTCGGATCTATCCAATAACACGAACGCAATGAGACGAAGACAGACACACTATGAGGATTTTACCACTAGCATAGATTTTGGTGGGCCAATTCCGCAGATCATCAAAGCTGCGCAGGAAGGATCGTGCGATGATGTCGAAAGACTCATTGAACAAGGCTGTGACATTGAAGAGTGTCACACCCGCTCACATCGAAATGCTCTCCTCGTTGCAGCGCATTGGGGAAATGCTGATATCGTTGAATTGCTCATTCAACGCCGCGCCAAACTGAACGTCATCGATACAGGAGGCTGGCCGGCATTTTATCTCTCTGCATCGCGGGGCCACCGTGATGTTTTTGAATGTCCTTCTAGCTGAGAGACTCGATCTTAAAGATGTGTTCAATTCTCTCGGGCAGACGCCGTTGAGGGTAGCTGCAGATTCTGGCCAGCTGGACACTGTGCAGACTCTTTCTCGATTTCAATGCGAGAATCAATTCAAGGGCTGAGGATCAGATGACTGCGCTGATAAGACATTCGGATCTGACTTCGATTTTATCAGAGGAACTGACCATATTGGATGATGTAGCATGCCGCCTCTAAACGAGGAGATAGCGAAATAGCCCAGCTTCTCATCTCGCACAACGCCGACCTGGAAGCCAATGACAGAAACATGATGACGGCACTCCACCACGCCTGTGAAAGAGGCCATTCCGAAACCATTTCCATACTTCTCGACAACCGGGCAGCAACTGAAGCACCGGTTGAGACCTCAAGATACGGCTCACCTGCGCGACCGACGCAGGCCGAGCCAAAGCCAATTATCGTAGTACTGATGATACAGGCATGACAGCCCTCCACTGGGCTGAGTACAACGGACATGAAAAACACCGTCCGTACCCTCAGCGAGAAGAAAGGATCCCTCGACATAGTGGGAGTCGTACAAACCCTGCTTGATCGGGGCTCGCCGCTGTCTCTCAAGTTCGGCACAGGATTCCGTGAAGACTCGCCTCTCTGGCTGCTTTCAGCGGACATCTGGCTGTTGCTTCTTTGCTTCTAGCTCGGGGCGCGTCGATCGTTAAGAAATATGAATCTGGTTGGCATTCTGTTCGATATGCAAGTTATTATGGACATGCGGATGTTCTACAGCTCTTTCTTTCTAGCAATAAGATTCCGGAGTCAAGTTTTGCGGAGATTGCTCAGTTGCCTAGGACTTTGGGATTTGCTTCGAGCGTTTCTGATGAGAATGAAGGCAAGGGTGCCGCAGCTTCTCAGGCAGTCTTTGAGATATCCAGTCTCAGATCTGACATCACCCCAATTCCAAGCTCCCGTGATGCCAGCTCCATCCTCGATGCCAAACCCAACCCCCTATGTCGGTACCAGCTCAATTCCAAACATCGCATCCTCAAACCCAACACCCACAACAAAGACCCGAACCGCCAATCTCAGGATACACACCACCCGTCCACCTTCGCCATAGAAGCAGGCAGCTCAATGATCCACGAACTCACCACAACACTAGACGAAGGCTTGGGAAGAAACTATCCTACAAGACCCGAGGCCGAGAGCACGCACATAGCCAGGCCCGGCAACAACAATCGCCAGCCGACGATCACAACCCCCCGAAATGAGACAGCCCGAGCCCACGCAGCCGCTAGAGCGCGATCGTATGGCCGCCATCTTACGAGGTGACAGTGAGACGCCTGCTCCGAATCCCGGATGGTGAGTTAGTACTGGCTCTACCACCACTGCTAGTGCCGGTACAGGACCCAACCTGAATCGACGTGAAAATGAGCCGCCGCTCGCCTCGGCTACTTTCAGGTCTGTTTCTTTTGTCGTCCCGCCTACCCCATCGACATGGGAATAGAGATAGTATAAGGAAAGTACACTATGGCGTCACCGCCGTCTAGTTTGGATAGACCAGTTGAGACGACATAGGTGCCAAGGTCTATGCCGACGGTGGAATATACCCGGTTACCTGAATAGGATTCGAGGCTTGCGGCTGAAGTGGATGATACGGGGGGATTCAGATTCGGATTCGATTTCTTCTGTTTATACGGCGCCCTAGGAAGGTGGGAATGATATTCAGTCTGTGCAGCGTGGAACAACGCTCGAAGGCCGGATTTGCTCATGTATGGAGTGAAAGGACGGCGCTACGAATTGTTACCATATGGAAAATACTAGGCGTGGATAGAAGAAATGAACATAGTGTGATCTAAATTAACACTCATGCGACAATGCTTTTTATACAATATACAGATACCATCCAAAACACGAAAGATCCTCGCTGCAAGCTTGCGTCTATAGTATAACCAAAGGCTCGGGTATCACGTCAAAAACGCCAATTTCCGCAACGGAACAAAATCGACACACCTAAACTACTTCCTCACTTTGGAAGAAATATCTAGGCCGCGATGGCATTCTTCACCCACTTCTCCAGTCCGCCCTTGGCGATAATTTCCTGCACATTCGCAGGCAGCTCACCAACCTTGTGAGTCCACTTCGCGCCATTAGGTCCCTCCTGCACCTCGATCTGGCTGCGGCGCACGTCCCAGGTCAGAGTCCAGCCGGTGCGGCGGGTCAGGGACTTGCCCTCGGAAGCGTAGTGTTCGCGCAGACGGTTGATAAGGCGGGGGACTTCGAGACCCATCAGGGCGTTGTTGATGCTGTTGCGGGAGAAGATGTTGCCGAAGCTGCCAGAAACGACGAGCGGGATCTTCTTGGCGAGAATGGCGGTGGCGGCTTGCTCGCGGGAGCTACCGCAGCCGAAGTTGAAGCCGGAGACGAGGATGTCGCCCTCCTTGGCGATTGTCGCGAAGTCGGTGTCGTAGTTGGACATGCAGACTTGGGCCATGGTTTCTTCGGAGACGTTGTCTTGGTAGGTGTACTTGCCTGTAGGTGGATCTGTTAGAGGTTGTTTTGGACAAATAATTTGCTGTGTACGTACCGGGATAGATTCCGTCAGTGTTGATGTTGTCGGCGTCACAGAAGACAAGTTCACCGGAAATACGCTCGGGGAAACCAGGGTAGAGCTCGGTCAAGGAGTCGGAGGAGGGTGCCTCCTCGGCCTCGGCTGAGGGCTCAGGAGCGAATTCCTTCTCGCCATCGGCGACCAGGTCATCCATCTGACCAAGGAGCTTCTCCAGGGCTTCCTCGGTGGTAAGCATACGGTCCTCCTCGCGGATACCATCACCCTCACCACGGATGACGCCCTGGTAGTCTTCAGGAGTCTGGTACCAGCCGGGGCCGGACAGGGTACCGCTCAGAGCGGATGCCGCGACGACCTCAGGGCTACCCAGGTAGGCCTTAGCGTCGGGGCTCCCCATGCGGCCCTTGAAGTTACGGTTCGAGGCACTGATACCAACCTCGCCAGGCTCAAGCAGACCGGTGCCCAGTCCAATGCAAGGACCACAGCCAGCAGGGAGCACAGTGGCGCCAGCGTCGACCAGGGTCTGCCAGTCACCAGCACCTTCGGCAGCCATCTGCTCCGGAATGGAAGCAGCACCGATGTAGAACTGCACACCCTCGGCTATCTTGGGAACAACACCACCGTTCTTTTCGGCAGCCTCCTTGAATACGCGAGCCGCAGCAGCGATATCCGAGGCACGCGAGTTGGTACAAGAAACAAGGTAGGCCTTGTTGACCTTGATGTCCTTGAGCTCGCTAAGAGGAGTAGCAACCTTGACGGAGTTCGGTCCAGAAATGTAGGGGGAGAGCGTAGAGAGGTCAAGGAAGAGCTCCTTGGAGTATTTGGCACCCTTGTCAGCAATCAAGCGATTGGCAAACAGCTCCTCGATGGCCTCGTGGGTGAACCGCTGGGGAGCGGTGGTCTTGTAGATACCCTCACCATCGGCCAGACCCATAGCGGCAGTGGTAGCCTTGCCCTTCATCCAACCCTTCAGCACGTCGTCCATAGGGAACAGACCGGACAAAGCGCCCCACTCAGTGGTCATGTTGGCGATGGTCAATCGGTCATCCACGGAAAGACTGCGCATGGTCTCCTCGGAGCCAGTGAACTCAATGGTGTGGTTCAGAACGTCGTCCTTGTCGAAAAGTCCGCAGAGGGCCACAATCACGTCCTTGCCAGTCACGCCGGGGGGCAGAACACCGGTGAAAGTGACCTTGGCGGAGGCGGGCAATTGCCACCAGGACTTTCCGGTGGCCCAGATACTTGCGGCATCAGTACGCACAACAGGGGTACCCAGACACGAGATTCCACCGTACATGTTCGAGTGACTATCAGACGCAACCGCCATAGTACCGGGCCAAGCCAGACCCTCTTCAATCATGACTTGGTGGCCAATACCACGTCCAGCGGGGTAGAATTCGACACCATGGTGCTTAGCAAAGTCCTCGATCTGTTGGTACTTCTGTAGGTTCTTCTCGGTCTTGTTTTGCACGTCGTGGTCGAGGGTCATGATGATCTGGTTTGGATTGTGGATCTTTGAGGCACCGATGGACATGAACTTCAAGGCAACGGGCCAAGAGTTATCGTGGGTCATGCAGCGGTGCGGGGAGATCGTGACATAGTCGCCGGACTTGACGAACTTGTCCTTGGGGAGACCGACGGAGTATTGCTGCACGATCTTCTCGGTCAAGGTCTGGGGGACGGCCTTGGACGTTTGCATAGATGAGAACAGGGCGGCGGTGGCGGGATCTTCCAGCTGCGAGCTGAAGGCGGTTTGCAGGAAGATTCGCGAGGTCATGAAGGTCCGGCGCAGGGTGCTGGGGAAGCGAATGCGGCCCAGCATGGCCTGCTGGCCAGTGATGGACGGCATCAATCGGGACTGCATGAGGAGACAATGGTCAGTGGTCGCAATTGAGGGTCGAGGAATTGATCAGGGGCCACGTACGGTCATGGTGCCACCGAGAACGAGGATGCAATTGTCGGCAGGTCGCTCTTCCTGTTCCTGAGAGAAAATCGGCCCGCCGAATGAACGGCCGGCTATTTGGTCGATGACTCATCCGACTGTTGATTGGACCGGATGGGAGGCAAACAATGCAAATGTGGCAAACTCCGCAAACACCAAGCATCATTTCGCACGTGACATCATTCTTTACGCCGATGTCGGATGAACATTCTTGACATTGGCCGTGTCGCAAGAAGCAGACAAGATATAAGTCTCTGCATTGGACTGTGATTTTAATTTACCAGGAAACTTGGAAACTGAGCATGAGATGGGTTAATATTGGCTTGTTTGCTGCTATTCTCACTGTTCAGCCGTGTTGATTAACCCCGCCATCATCGATCATGGAAGATCTCCGCAATTGCCACAGCTAAACAATTACAGTTGACCAGATATCAGAAAGAACAAACAAATTAAAATTGAATAACCTGTTTCCATTTGCAAATTAATTTGCTAGCAGTTTCAAACCCATCAATGTCGAGCCACGCTGAGACAGTAGATATGTCTTGGCGGCTCCGGAACAGCCTTGACTCATACCCCGCCATTGCCGCGAAATTACATGCACTTCAGAAAAGGCTATTAGCCCCGTAGAGAAATCCCGGTGAATTGAACAAGGACACGCAGCCGAAAAGGTCGTCTGGTGGGAAAATATGAAAATACACTCGCGATGACTCCAAGGTTGATCCACCTTGCGGTCCACTCTTGAGCTTTTCCCTTCCCGCTTTTTTCTTTCCTTTCTATACTCGAGATTCCTCCAAACCAACCCTACAATTTCCCCGATTCCTCCAATCAAAAATGCCTTCTCGGCAAGAAGTCTCTTACTTCGGAGCTGGTCCCGCCCCGCTGCCCACCTCCGTCGTCGAGGCTGGCGCAAAGGCCTTCGTCAACTACAACGACAGCGGACTCGGTCTCGGCGAGATCTCCCACCGCTCGCCTACCGCCAACAAGATCCTCGCGGACGCCAAAGCGAACCTCTCTACTCTCCTCGATATTCCGGATAATTATGAGATCCTCTTCATGCAGGGTGGTGGTAGCGGCGAGTTCAGCGCTGTCGTGCAGAACCTCGTACCCGTCTGGATTGAGCGCCGTCGCCGCAGAGCGGAGGCTGAGATTCTGAAGGCTAACCCTGGTACTGAGAAGGATCAGCTCAATGAGCTTGTTTACCAGAGACTGCAAAAGGAAGTGGATGAGGAGCTGAAGCTTGATTACCTGATTACCGGTTCCTGGTCGCTCAAGGCCTCGCAGGAAGCGGCTAAGCTGGTTGGTTCCAAGTATGTCAATGTTGCGCTGGATGCGCGCAAGGCCAATGATGGCAAGTTTGGAAAGATCCCGACCGAGGAGACTTGGTCTTTGACTCCTACCAAGCGGGAAGGTGGCAAGGGCTCGGCTTTCGTCTACTTTTGCGACAATGAGACTGTCGATGGTGTTGAATTCCAGAGTTTCCCTAAGTCATTGGAGGCGCAGGGTCAGGATGAGGAGGATGAGCGTCTTGTCGTTGCCGACATGAGCTCTAACTTCATCAGCCGTAAGGTTGATGTTAGCAAATATGCTGTCATTTTCGTACGTCTTCTGCACTCCCAGATTGCTATCGTCATACTAATTCCTATCTCTACAGGGAGGCGCCCAAAAGAACATCGGTGTCACCGGTATCACTCTTGCTATTGTTCGCAAGGACCTGCTTCCCCCTCACACCGCGACTCCTCCCCCAACCCTCCTGCACCGCTTGAACATCGGCGGTCTCCCCGGCCCCGTCGTTCTGGACTACGCCACCATCGCCAAGAACAACTCCCTCTACAACACCCTCCCCATCTTCAACCTCTGGATCGCCGGCCAGGTCATGGCCGACCTTGTCTCCGAATTCGGCGCCCAGAAGGTCAGCGGCCAAGAAGCCGTCGCCAACAAGAAGGCCCAGCTTATCTACGGCGCCCTGGACAAGTACCCCGCTGTGTACCAGGTCGTGCCCGACAAGAGCATCCGCAGCCGCATGAACATCTGCTTCCGTGTTAGCGGTGGTGATGATGCCAAGGAGAAGGAGTTCATTGCTGGTGCTGAGAAGCGTCTTCTGCAGGGTCTGAAGGGCCACCGCAGTGTTGGCGGTATGCGGGCCAGTAACTACAACGCTGTCCCGCTGGAGAATGTCCAGAAACTGGTTCAGTACCTCGAGGACTTTGCCAATGGACAGTAGGTTTGCCCTGGCGGCGATGTTTCTTTTGTTGACATGTTAGCGGATTCAACCTGGGGCTTCAGTAATGGAAAGCAGAGCAATTAGAAGGATTATCAACCATCCACACTATTGCACTATTCAACATAACTCTTTTGACACGAGCTAGGATATGCATTGTATGCAGCAAAACCTTCCGAAAGTCATTTTTAATATATACCAATTTGCTCTTGCTACTCAAAAGCCTTTTTGATTTTCAAGAACAGCTGTATAGAGGGTAGATGCAAGATTATTGATTATTTGATCTATGAGATAGTGGAACAGATCACCCAAAAAATAAGGATAATAAAACAGCGAGAAAAAGAAGACCCAAATGCACTTGTGCAGAGCCACCGTCATCACTTCGTATGCCAGCAAGCGCGCTCACAAGATGCAACTCAGGAGCACGCAGTGACAAAAAAAAAACATCAGAGCGCAAGGCTCTTTCCATACACCCGGGGTTATATGCATGGGTATCAAATCATAAAGAGAAACAAGTAGAGGCACGATCTCATCATGGAAACTTCATCGAGAGCGCCATTTCCAGAACTTCCAGCCTGAGATCCCGGTCTCCCCGTCGCGCTGATAGATGCGCCAGTAATATACCGGTACGCCCGTAATGATAAAGGCGACCACAATGAGGGTCTGAAGAGGTTCTGCGATAACAGCACGACTGAGAAGAAAGAGGCTGACACAGCAGAAGATGATTGGGGTGGTGATCCATGTCTTGTAGGGACGCTCCAGGTGAGGTTCGCGGATGCGAAGAACGATCAAGCCGAGGACCGTGAGGAAGTAGAATGTGTAGCCGGCTACACCGTAGAAGGTGACTAACGTACCGAACTCGCCGACGGCAATGTATACGGCAGTAAGAGCCGCATTGAATCCCATAGCGTAAATGGGTGTGAATCCTAGACGAGACTCGTCGCCAAACAGACGAGAGAGGGACTTGCGAGCCCAGGAGCGACGGCGCAGACGAGTACCAGCCGCAGGTGTTGGGGAAGACGAGCTGCCGAGTCCAATACGGCCAAATAGTGAGGGCAGGTACCCTTCTTTGCCGGCCGCGTAGACGAGTCGGCCGCTAGTGAAGGTGGTGGCATTGAGAGCTCCAAAGCAGCTGGCTCCGACGACCAGCGCGAGAATAATAGCGCCCGCGGGGCCGAAAACTTTGCCGCCGAATTGGACAGCAATGGTGTTGCTGGAGTCGATGGTCGCGTGAGGCAAAACAAGGAAATATGAGACATTGGCCATGAGATAACAAAGAATAACCAAAGGCATAGCAGTGTGAATCACACGCGGCAAGTCGCGGTTGGGATTCTTAAACTCGCCAGTGACGTAGTTGGTCTGAAGTAGACATGTTAGGATTAAGCATTGTTGTGCCGGAAGAACCTATACTTACATTGTCCCACCCGTCGAATGCCCATAATCCTGCGTATAATGCCACAGCAAAGTCGGAGATTTCTGTGTTCGTGCCGGCAAACCAGCTCGAGTTCTTCCACTCGTCACTCGCACTGCCCTTCGACGAGTAGCCAGTCACAGCAACCACAATTCCGGTGACCGTAACTCCAATCAAAGCGACGAACTTGAAGAACATAAACAAATCTCCAATGCGAGTCGCCATCTTGGTAGAGATGCAGTTGAACAAGGTAACTGCAAGAAGACCTCCAACTGCCACACCCTTGTTAATCCACGGGGTGACCTGCTCTACATCGGCACCCACAAATGCACGCACGACGTATTCTCCAAAGATAATTGAGATGATAGCCGCAGAGCCAGGTTTCAACACCAGCGCCGCACACCAGGTGAACAGGAAACCCGGAAGTTCGCCGAAAATCTTCGCCAGATAGACTTGCGATCCTCCATTGAGCGGGATAGCTCCTCCCAGCTCTGCATAGCTCGCCGCGCCGGTCCAGGCCAGCAGACCAGCCACCGCCCAAATAATAAGCGACGCACCTGGTGAGCCCGCATTCGCATTGACTTGACTCGGCGATGAAAAGATGCCAGACCCAATAATAAGACCAACAATGAGCGAAAGTCCATTCAGATACGTCAATGTCTTGTTCTTTTCCAGTGACCCATCCGGCCCTTGTCGATCCAACGTCGTCAGGGCCCCTAGCGGAGCGTACCCGCCTTGGGTTTGCGATAGCGGAAAGAGGTTTCGCCCGAAATCGAACGCAGAGGATATGGAATAGTTTCGTTGGCGGCCAGATTCGAGGTAAACACCCCCTGGGCATCGGCCAGCGGATCTTCATCCTCCAGCGAGAGCTTGCGTGAGGACGAGATTCCCTCGGGGGAAGAGGATCGCGACGACCCGGCGACAGACGCCGGCGAGGAGGAAGCGAGCGAGGCGAGCTCTAATGAGTCTCGTGGGGCAGCGAGGCCATGATCGCGTGAGAATGCGGGATTCGACATTCTCCCGTATCAATTGGATGCGGGACAAGGAGAGCTCGATTCGACGGAGAGGCTGTCAGCAGATGTCGGCAGAACTCTCCATTTCCCGGCGATCCAGGGTGGGCTGCGAGAGTGTCGAAGTCGAAAAGATGGGAGGCGAGAAGGCGAAGAAGGAGAAGGTGGAACGTGCCAAGGGGTCTTTTCGAGGACGTCGATCACCCAATCGGCTTTCCGTCTGCGCCTCCCAGTTTCCCCGCGGTTTCTCAACTACTTTGGACTGGAAAGATGTGGTGAATCGACCGCCCTCAAAACCCCATGAACGCCTCCATTCCCTCTCTGTGTGGCCGGTGCAGACCTGCTCTGCGGCAGGCTGCGATTCTATCTCGCCGTTACGCCTCGACCGCCCCGAAATCCGCGCCGTCTCCGAAAAATCGTTGGATCGGCATTGCTATTGTGACCGTTGCAGCAGGTGGCACGGGCGCATATCTGCGATCGCAGGGTCCGGGGTCTGTGACACTCAATCAGGAAACCTTTACCAAGTACAGTCTCGTGTCGAGAGAGCCGGTCTCGTCGACGAGTAGCCTATTCACCCTCCGGCCCCGATACCACAGCGACCACAGCTACGATGTCTATGAAGATGCCTGGAAGACGGGTGTATGGAGTGTGATGTTCAAGCAGCCCCAGCTGCAAATTGGAAGGGACTATACACCTCTGCCAGTGACAGCTGCAACGCCGTTGACAGTGGACGAGGAGAATGAAGGCTACCTGCGGTTTTTTATCCGCAAAGACCCCTTTGGAGAGGTGTCACGATACCTACACAGCCTCGCTATTGGAGCAGACATTGAGATGCGAGGCCCACAAATTGAATGCGCCATCCCCGAGGAGACCCAGGAGATACTTTTTATTGCTGGAGGGACAGGCATTGCGCCAGCGTTGCAGGCTGGGTACTCCTTGCTCAACCGCACAACCGAGGCGAATCGCCCACGGATACACATTCTATGGGCTAGTCGACTAAAAGAGGACTGCCTGGGTGGCAAAGGTGACACGCCTTTGGCCACCTCATCTCAACGGTCCTGGTTTTCTGGGTGGTTTGGATCCTCTGGAAATACCGGTCAGGGCAGCCAGGTCGCAATCCCGCAGGACAAAGAAAAGTCTCTCATTGTCCGCGAGCTGGATGGGCTCAAGTCTCAGTACCCGGGTCAGATTACTGTCGATTACTACTTGGATGAGGAGAATCGCTTCATCAGTAAGAAGAATATCTCAGATTATATTGAATCCATGCCGAGGTCTCCAGCTGACCCGCGCGGGAGAAAACTGATCTTGGTATCTGGTCCCGAGGGTTTCATCAGCTACATGGCCGGGCCTAAACTATGGGCTGATGGAAGGGAGCTGCAAGGCCCCTTGCGAGGAATCATCAAAGAACTCGATCTGAAAGGATGGGCTGTGTGGAAACTCTGATTGAACTAGAACCAGAACCAGTCCGTTCATCTGTAATATATTTTGTTGCATAAAGCATCTCGCATATATTGGGGTTAAAATGTACCTTAATGCCAGTTGTCAAGAGAAAGTCATCTTGTTCATATTCTTGAAATCATTACGGGCCCCAACAAGCATTCGACATTAATTATATTATCCACATTATGCCCCGAGTCCGTCCCACATGTCGGCCTGGAGAATCGTTGCCAATGCCTCGTGGGACTCGTCTTCGGCCGCCTCAGCAAAGAATCTGATACCGAAGCATCGTTCCGAGGGGTGATAGACCCTGGTCGTAATGACTGTTCTATCATTCACAAAGACTTCTAGCACGCTCTTGTCGAAGAATGCATGCACGTGCAGTGACTCTTCGACTTCCTCGCCTTGTGCAGTGCGGGATGTGAAGAGCGTATGAGGTGCCGACTCATGTCCATGATTGGTCTCGGTATTGATGACTGTCGGCCGGTGGATCGTAAGTGTTTCGCTTGATGTATCCCACGCAAGCGTGGTGCATTGATCATTATCTGGAAAAATCATGTTAGCTACCGCGCTTTTAATACATCGGAGAGATATCAGGGTACTCACTGGCATTATGCGCGATCTCAATCCCAACGCGCTTGCATCTTTGCCCGACGGAGATTTCCGTCCGGAATTCCCAGCGAGCTGTCGTTAGAGGCAATGTTGGCTCCGATGACACAGCGTGAGAAGCTGACAAGGGCAGACGAGCCAATTGCTGATGCTTAGCTGCATTTCGAAGTCGAGAGAGTCGCGAGTCTGGGCTAATACCCAAAGTATGGATAGTAAACGTGTCAGAATTAGAGGGCTCTGTAATGGTCTCTATGGAAGTGATCGCTTCCAATGGTGAGCTGCGAGCCTTCTTGACATTATGCAACGTCATTAATCGCACCACACGCGGTAATGAGACCATACTGCTCCAACCCTGGCGATGGCGAGGACCATCAGGCAGATCCTCTTCGGTAACCCAGCCGTACACTATACGTTGGGAAGTCTGTGGGTCCCAGAATGAGTTGGCAGCGTACAAACAACCGTGATCAAAGTATCCAGCGAAGGCATAATCTGCCAATGGTTCATCGCCAGAGGTGTGTTCGCGTGCTTTCACCGACATCCACATCTGACCCCGAGGATCTCTCCTAGAGCGAGCTTGTTGGCGTGTTTCCTGGTCCGGATTTTCAGGACGCAGGCACCCTTCGACACCCATCACGACGAAATCTCGCGAGTCTCCCGAGTCATTGCTTAATGTGAGCAGGTTCGATACCTCCCAATTGACTCCAAAGTCGCCTGACCAGCGTGAGGGTCGGAAGTTAAGGCCAACATCTACCAGACGTCCGGTATATTGCCATTGGCGAAGATCTTCAGGGTTGACGGTATAGACAAAGACGGCAGGAGCTTGGTCGACAATTCCGCCCGCTGTGATGCCATAAAAGCCTGGATACTGGTTGTTTGCGTCTTTTTGGCCACCGCGATACCAGTTTGTGAGAAAAGGGTCTCGCCATCCAGTTACTGAGAGGTGTTCAGGCGGACCAGAGACGACAGGGTTGCAATCCTGTCGCCCCCACGTCTTACCCCCGTCCTTCGAGACAGAAAGGCTAATAGACTCACAGCCGTAGGTGTAGGGCAAAGTGAAGTGAATAGGAAGATGACTGACTGATGTGTAGATGGCTGTGAGCTGCCCCGGTTTCCCCTGGATGTCGGTAGCCCGCATGCAGCCTGTGAAAACACCACGGCAGTCATATTTGGCGGACGGCGTCATGGCGGGTTCAGCGAATGTCTCCCATGATACAAGATCCTTCGAGATTGCATGCCCCCAGGACATATTGCCCCAGTCGTTGCCCCATGGATTCCACTGGAAGAAAAGATGGTAGATGCCTGTGGATGGATCGTATCCAAGTCCACACGGGTCATTCATCCAGCCATGGGGCGCAGTCAGGTGGTAGAAGGGTTTCGAAGTAGATGTCTTTGATGCACTGATGTTGGCGTCATAGCAGTTTTCCTGCGAAGTCCGCAAGTGTCTGTTTTGCGCTGCCAGATCTGGCGAGTCGAGGACGACAGACATATCCGCATCGAATAAGATAGGTCGAATCAAGAGAGACTTGAAACGAGGTGCAGGATATGAGCAGGTGGCTTGGCAGCTCCAATATTACCTGAGAAATAGAATGCGACCGACTGGATGGGTCCTTTTTACATAAGGCTGGGCACCACAATGCTCGGAGAAACTGGGGGCGTCACTTGACACATTTCGGCAAAATTGCAGATCCTGATAAGTCGTTTGCCCTGCTCGGCAAGGATTTTTAATGCAGGCAGAACTGGATGGGGGCTTGTCCAATCTCCCCGGGGTTGTGTCGGAGTCGCGCTCGGCAGATGCTGCGCGACGGAGGATTGTCGGCGAAATTCCCGTGCAGTGTAAAACGCCGTCACACGCGGGCTGCAATGACGGTTGTCTTTTCAGGGTTGTATCCTTTTATAATGCTTGTTGGCCATGATCACTGCATGTGATTAGAATACATCCGATTAATATGGTAGAATAAGATGACATCTACATCTCGTTGCCTGGACGGGAAGATGATTGCCGGAAACGGTGTTCACGTTGTGGCTCCTCTGAAGTTAATCACTATGGTTTGGAATGCTAGAATTCTTTTTTGATCAGGTTCGAAGAGCTTTCTTGTTCAGATGAAAAAAGGATATGTTCGTGCCTACTGGCTCTGGCCTTCATCTCATGTACAAACCACTACTCCAGTGGAACCTCCACCCTGTCGATATCCGGGCCATATCCAGTGTCATACCCGTCAATAACAATTGTGTTATATGGACCCGCCTTCAACTGCGTGTTGATAACACTTCTCTTGACAGCTCCTCCAGTTGTCAAAAAAGCCACCTTTTGTGGGGGCAAGTCATTGAAGGTTACATTCGCATAACGTGTCCCAGAATCACCGTTCCTATATTCGAAAGTGACCGTAGTTTCCGCAGAATCTTTCGCCTCAAAATCTCTCAGAGTGACACTTCCCCCGTCCGGCCCACCAATGTAGCCAGCCGCGTAACCGCCAGAACAGCCGCTGCAGCTTATATTCCTTGCGTCTCCATCATAGGTACCGTTCTCACCCTGGATGGTTGTATTGGCAGGAGCAGCTAAAAATCCGGACTGAGACAAAAGATTCGGGACCCATTGGTCATACCACTTCATAATCACACTTGTACCGTTGATGTTGAGTGGTAGCCAGACATATGTGCTTGTCATCAGATTTTCGCTGACCCAGCGATCTCCCATGTACATGATTTGTTTGTCATCGATAGAGAGTACGAAGGTTGTCTGGGATTCGTATGTATTGCTTCCGACATCTGCGAATGTTTTCCAGTCGGCCCAGCCACTGCTTAGAGATTTGGATGTGGTGTAGACGTTGTCGTTGTTTGACCATCCTGATAAGTGAGAGCCGAAAAGATAGTAAAGACCATCGCGTTTAATAAGGGCTGGTGCCTCAACATTTCCAGGGTCGGGAAACAAATAGGTCTCAGAAGAAACGTTGTGATAGTCATCCGTCAACTTGTAGATATGAAGACCGTTTGGACGCTAGATGCAGTATTCGGTAAGTATTATCAGAAGCCCGTGGTGAAGCTGGCAAGGAGAAAACGTACATCCTCCGAGATCAAATATCCTGATCCATCGTCATCTTTGAACAAGGTCATGTCTCTGCTGGTGTTACCATTGGGCTGAAAACTACCAAGGTAATCTGGGGTATCCCATCAGCTTCCGGTAATGGCCAATAACTTGGTATTCACTCACCGTATTTTCCACAGACTGAGTCTCCAGTTGCAACGCCCACTTTTGCCTCGCCGTAGTTTGAGCTGTCAATGTGGACATAGAGCACATATTTCTTAGTCTTGTCATTGTAAATGACCTTCGGTCGCTCCACGACTCTTCCAGGACCAAGGTCGCCAGACTCCGTTTGACTGAGAAGAGCACCGACGTATTTCCACTGAACCAAATCGGTAGAGGAATAGCAGTTGATGTTTAGAAAATTAGTTCCGTTCGTCTTGTCTTCTCCAACCATATAGTATGTGCCGTCTTCTTCGATGAATCCAGCGCCATGGGCTTGCAGATGTTCGCCATTCGTCTGCGATTTACCAGATGTCAATGTCAATGTTAGAGATTGCCTCTTAGTTAAGTTGAAATTAATAATTGGAGGCTCACAGCAGTCCAAGAGGCACCAGGTACAAGCTCCAAGCTGGCAAGAGTTGATGGTACCAAAGCACCTAAAATGGCCAAGAGTAATTTCATTTTGAGTATATTGTGAGCAAAATGGCTCGAAGGAAAAGCATGGAAAGCGAGACCGGAAAACGTAGTCGTAGAGAACGTCCTTGTCAGGCGCTATTTAAAGCAGACATTCCGAGACTCCAGTGCTACCTGGCACACCGGAAAATTCCCCTTCGAGGTACTCAAAGTTTAGTATTCTGATTCGCAATTGGCGAATCAAATAATTCATTGCACCTGGCAACTTATGCGTTACTATGGGGTTCTCCGCTTCATCTCTCCATAGTTACGTGACATGCATACAAACTGCAACACTGTCTCTGCCGATCAACGCCATGAAGGTACTGGTGCCAAATTACCACCAATGACATTCACTGCAGTAAATTGCTTAGTTCAGGGGATGTCTTAGACGGGGTATCTTGGCGTGTATTTACATGTTCATCGGAGGAGGTTTATCGAAGCAAGAAGCTCGAGGATGTAGGACCGAAATGTCGCTTTCTTAGGACAAATCCCCAACATAAGCCTAAGAAGATCATTCAAGCACTCGGTCTGGTTAGTCTACAGGTTGTATAACCCTGTCTCTGTACTTATCTCGCGTTAAGCTTCTCATTTTCCCACTCACGATCCCCAGCTCCCAGTCCATTTCTCTTATGTTCTTGTTATTCTTACACCTCACACTTCGAATACAATTGTCCTGTTGTCAAGTCTCACTTCTTCTCTTTGTCCTCCATCGGACCAATCACAGCTCCGTATTCAGAAACCCCACAATCACCCAAAGGCGAGCGGTGAGCGAAGCGGTGACACTCCGAAGCTTAATTCGTGGCTAGTCAGCATACCCCGGCCTTTCCAGCAGAAATCTCGGGGACCCCGTCAACCTGCATGCTTCTCCAGTTTCTCCATGGGGAAATCGTCATCATCCACCCCGCTATGGCCCTGGCAGACGCACCCTGCATATAAATACTCATGGAGGCGGCTCGACTCTCATTCAGGGCCTACACTCCCAGCGCCCTATTTTCACATTGGGCTTGTTCGCTCCGAGCAGCCATGACGGCAGACAAAGAGGAGGTCGGCTCCGCGGAGATCGAGCATGCCGATCTGCCTCGATCCGAGAAAGGAGCTGTTAACGCTCGCCTTGTCTTTGCTTGTGTAGTATTCAGTGCCGCCTCGTTTATGTTTGGTTATGATGATAAACTCATCTCCCCTGTTGCGGCATTGGAGTCATTTGTAAGTGCTTCTTCGCGTGGTGGGCTATGGCTGGGTATTGACGTTGTCACCAGGTCGCCAAGTTCCAAGGCGTTAACCCAGCTACCGGTACATTTGTTCTAACGGCTCGCAACCAAAATATCATCTTTTCTATCCCCTTGGTTGGCGCTGCGATCGGTGGCTTGCTGGCCTCGCCACTCAACTTCCACTTTGGCCGCAAATGGCCTGTGGTCGCAGCGTATATAATCTCAATTGGGGGTGGACTCCTGCAGGTATTCGCGCCAAGCTTAGGTGCATTTGTGGGTGGTCGCTTTATCAATGGCCTTGCCATGGGTACTGCCATGGCGACTGCTCCACTCTATCTTTCGGAGGTAGTACCTCCCCCGGTGAGAGGTAGAAGCGTCAGCTCCCTCAACATTCTGAATCTGATAGCTGGTGTCGTGGCGACAGTTGTGGTCTGGGGCACAAACAAAATCAGTGGCCGCTTAGCCTATCAGATCCCTCTCGCCATCCAAAGCGCTATTCCGGTCATCTTGTTGGCCTTAACGATCCTGCTTCCCGAGAGTCCGGAGTGGCTCATGTCAAAGGGAAACATAGAACAAGCACGTCACAATTTGCGCAAACTCCGTGGCTACAGTGACGAACATCTCGATGACGAAATCCGACTGATGAAGCTCTGTGAAAGAACCACCCGCGAAATGCTGTCCGATGTCAAGTTCTGGCACATCTTCTCGCGTGAACATCTCAAGCGAACTATTGTTGCGGGTTCCTTCTTTTCTCTCAACCAGGTCTCGGGTATCATCCTATCCACAACTTATACAACCGTCTTCCTTACGCAATTAAATGTGGCCAATGCTTTCTCCTTGACCATCATCGCCTCATGCTGCACTTTGGCTGGCACAATTGCAGCACCGTTAGTCATCGACCGCGCTGGTAGACGTCCAACCGCACTCGTCGGCATGACCATCCTCTTCGCCATCGACGTCGTTGCCGGCTGTCTCGCTATCAAGAAAGAAAATCGACATGCATCCCTCACGATCGCCATTTTATCTTTCATCTTCAATTTCTTCTGGGCATCGTCATTCTTCTCTCTGTCGAGTCTGATGCCCTCGGAGATGGCCACGCCAAAGCTCCGCCACTACACCATGTCTTATACAATTACTTGCCAGGAAATCACAGCCGTCATCACCACCCTCGCTGTGCCACAGTTGACTTCAGCCGATGCGGCGAACCTTGGGGCCAAAACTTACCTGGTCTTCGCTGGATGCATGGCCTGCATTATCGTCTTTATGTACTTTTACATGCCGGAAACCCGTGGCCGCACATTTGCTGAGATCGATGAGATGTACGCTGCCAAAGTCCCGGCGAGAAAGTGGCGGTCTTATAAGACTTCGGCTGAAGCGAGGACGGGCGAGTCGGCAGCGGATTCTTCAGATAAAATTCGGACATGATAGATCATATGGAGGCTATGAATTATGCTACCTCATTTTCAATCAATCAGAATAAAAATAGCATTGGTATAATTACCGAAAGAATCTCTTAAAACGCAGGTATGGGGATACGCGACCCGTTCGTACTGTACATTTGGAATCTATATCAAATATTTGTGAGAACACCAAAAAATATCATTGCAAAGATTCGAAAATAACAGAAACTGCAGTAATGGATACAAAACTCATAGTTAAGTATGAGGCTCCATTACGGCTCTATATCCTGGCTGTAACGGGTCCACGGGGCCAAATATCTCTGCTAGTTCCAACAGAAGCCGATAAAGATAGATAGACATATCAATCTCACGGAGAGCTTGCCGAGACCATGTGGATGCTGTTTGCGCAATCTTTAGTGAAAGTTGCTCACCCTCGGGGTCATTAATCAGGAAATTGAGTAGCTCAGGAAGCTCGTCCATACTCATTGTGACCGGAATATAGTGAGCCCATGGGATGAGACGGTCATCATGCCACTCTTGGAACAACGTCTGTTTTAGAACGACGGCTTGTTGAGAAAGAAGACGGTAAAAGCGGGACGTCATGCTGTTTCCATCGAGGTCGAATAGATATCGGTAGTTAAGAGATGATTCCCCTGGTTCTCCATATTCGTGGCCGAGAACTCGCTGCATATCGTCACATGCAGACTTATCTTCGCACTGAATATAGTCTGCCATCTGAACATCAAACACGTCTTTGAAGAGTGAAATCTTCTTCTGATCCAGATTCCCGATTTTGGCGCCGAAGTACCGGCTAGTGTCGATCGACTTGGCCGCATTTTGAAGTGACTGTGTGAATGATACAAATCGTTGTCGATGGCCATCCTTCCAATATAGTCGTTGGACCCTCCCCCCAGTAGACCTTCCCCGCCAGTAAACGCCTGCTTTCTTCTCCAAGAAAGGGATAAGATTATCAGAATCTAACACAGGCTGTCGAACATAGTCGGGACATGGTATTAAGATATCCCTGAATGCAGACATTCGAGCATAGCTCAAAATTGGAAGGAGTGAATAAGTATATGAGAAAGAAGAGGGAGATGCAATCATCGAATGGAGTTTGCCAGGCGTAGAGAACTGGCAGACGTCCTTCTCGGGGTCCAAATGACCAGTAAGTTCACGTGGAATTTGTGAACATGAGGCCTTCACAAGGTCTTCAATCGATTGACCGGCAGATTCGGCAAACTTGATTTGATCTGGTGGGGGTCCAGGACGGCTTAAGACCCGTGGCTCGTCGAGAGTGTTTATATAAAAGACACTATTATTTGGTAGAGCATGGAGGAACGGGGTAACCAGCCTATTCCAAAATCCGTCGGACGACGAGGCATTTATCGCTCCATTCTCTATAATAACACGGCGGGTATTGGCCCAATCCTCCTTCCGATTATTGAGTTGATGAAACCAACGTTGAGCTTCAGGTGTCCGAAACGGCTCAAGGTCGCGGTGGATTTCGTCGAAATCGTCAATCACTTTCGAGCCATGGTCAAGGGCGAACTGGACCCAATTGCTAAAACCAGAGGGAGGGTCGCGCCGATAGCGGCGTTTATACTCAGATATAGCCTCTTGAGGATTGGTTGACTGAGTTGTGAAGGCCACGTTCGCGTGCTCGTGGGCAGCACGGATTCGCCAACGGATTGCATCTGGCGAAAAGTCGTTATGATTGGGTTTGCTCGAGCGGTATAAGTTGAGATCCGAGTTCACAGGATTCATAAAAGTAGCAACCGGGGATATTTGGAATAAACATATAAGTAGAAGCAAGATAGAAGAGATGGCCAGTATAGAAAACAAGATGGCTCTCCTAATCTTGGTGACCAAGTGGAGATGGACTGTATGGAACGTATGCACCGGCATTGCGTTCGAACCGTCTGCGATCTACCTCGTAGGGCCCAAGGTGGTACAAAACGAGGTGATTAATAAATGAATTCGAGCAACAGGAAAAATGACTCTCTCTCGTCGATGACCACACCACTAAACTATTGCGGCCGGAAGACCCGGCCTAGGCTAAGCCACTTGTGGACTTAATTTCCATTCATACAGACGCTACATAGTACAATAATGTAACAATTTGGAATAAGGTGATTTCCAGGCGTTGCCGGGTGATGTAAATCAAGGACTCTGATTTGCTGCCGTGAACATATTTTGGAAAATGTCGGGCCATATAAGGCTCTAGATTGGCCCGAGGCTCTCGGCTGGTCGATCGGGTGGGGAATGCGGGCCCTCAGCGCTTCTGGAATGAAGGAAAAACAGGATGGACGTATCACGTATCACTCCATGTCACGATCGATGAACATGTTCAACACCGCTGCTACACTACCCTTGATATGAACCTGGGCCAGTAGCTCAAAGATTTTCTGCCTGCGAATTCGCAGGCACAGTGTAAGCAGGACGTTTCCGCAAACGGACTGCCCAGAGATTTTCTGCCTGCGAATTCGCAGACACAGTGTAGGCCGGACGTTTCCGCAAACGGACTGGCCCAGCGAAGCAGCCCAGAATGTTTCCGTGACATTGACCGAAATGTCAATGAGGACTCTTATTCATGGACTTCATTTATATTATATAATAAAGAGAGTTGGTTATAAACCATTTTTCATATATCCAGCATGAGCAACCGTCTTCCTGTGGCCCCAAAATATTGCCTCATGTCGACGACCATCAGACTTTCGCATTCGCTACTATATGTAACTTGATACAAGATCAACTCCTTGAACTTTTCAGCTCCTACTGGGTTGCGGGATTCTCTAAAAGAGAGTTGTAAGTCTATTTGAACCGAGGTATATAAATTAACTTACCCTATAATAATTCATCAACTAATGAGCGCTATATAAAGCATGGCACCACCGTTGGGGTTTCTCAGCAGCAAATATTTCGGCCTTTACTGTCTGTTATCGATCGGCTTCACCATATACTTACTTGTGGTGTCTTCCCCTCCGATTACTTTTGGCACCCTATCAACTGCCGACCGCCATCCCAAGCAGCACATCCAATATCGAGGTCCCTACGCCATCGCCATTTTTCTGGCCTCGAAATCCAATGAGAGACCAGAAGACAGCGATAATGACGACGGCTATTACGTGAGCGCCCGGACAATCGTGTACCAGCTGCTACATTCCCCCAGCACCAAGCTGAGAAATCCAGTCCCTGTGGTAATCTTGGTTAGCCAACATGCCAGGGAAAGCAAGCGCCAGAGGCTGAGAGATGATGGGGCCATTGTCGTCAATGTCGACGACGTGGCGCACAATATGACCATCACGATAGACCGCTGGACTGACACTTTCACTAAACTCCGCCTGTTTGATCCTAACGTCGTGCCCTACGAGAAAGTCCTCCTCATGGATGCGGACATAGCGTTGACACATCCCATCGACGCAATTTTCCAAGACAGTAATACCGACCCACGCGAGACGAACCAAACAGCCCTTACCGAGCCGGAACGAGAACCACTCCCTGAGAAATACATCATGGCGGCGTCACCCGAGTCACTACAACGAGACCATTCCTATCCCTTTCTTGATCCTGACAATCTATCAACTCGTTTCAACTCCGGCTTGCTCATGTATTCACCTTCCACTGAGCTTTTCCAACATTACTTGAAACTCCTTGAAAATCCAGACCTGTATTACACCGGTGGCCCTGACCAGGATCTCCTGAACTACGCACACCGCTGGGGAGGACCCATGCCGTGGAGAAGGTTGCATTATTCGTGGTATCTCAATTGGCCCAACGATAATGACTTTAAAGGCAATATGGCTATGTTGCATACCAAGTGGTGGGATCATGAATTTTCTTATTCCTCCGATAGCGTGGAGAAGTTTGCTTTTGCACGGAGATGGGAAATGGAAGGCTACTGGATAGGAAAAGAAGGATATATATCTCACTAGAAAAATGAACCTTGCCGTTATCGTTCTTTCCTGAACTATTTTATGTTAAGCACCTGAGGGCATTGTGCCATGGGCTGCAGCTCCTTCCAAGACAGATGAAGAATATATTGTGGTAGAAAAGACTAGCCTTACGCGTCCCGACACCGTCCTTAGGGGTAGAGATTGCCTGCCTTCAAAAGGTTTACTACAGTGGACTACAGCGGCTGCTCGAAAAACCCCTGCAGCAATATTCTCAGACTTGACCACCCGTGGAGCACTCGAATCCCCGTATTCGGAATCCTCCCTCCCAACGCATCGCCCACGCCTTTCCCTACAAGTTCGTCAGACATTCCCAGAACATTCCCTAAACATTCCCCACGCGTCAGGCCGCAGTATATACATAGTAGCTAGATGGTAGATTCTCGCTCTTATAATTGGTATATAGCAAACCCCCCTAATTCTCTGGTTTTATTAGGCTCCTAGTATATCTCTCGAATCGCAAGATAGATCTCTTTACCTTCTACCCGCCCTCCGCATCTGTATCTGCTAGCCCTCTAAGAAAGCCTGGGAGCTAGGCCCATGGGACACTAAGAAGGAGCTATTCCACCCTCCGCCACCAGAACACCCTCCAGTGCCTGGCATCCCAGTATATCCTGGCTATGCCTGTCCCGATCCTGAATGTATCTCTTTGCAGCAAGCCGGCCCTCCGGAGTAAAAAAAACACCAACGAAAATTCCATACGGGGGCTACCACTATCTGGAAGAGCGATCTATGCCCGGTTGCTTGCAACGCGTATTTACGAATATAAAAGGGGGGTGCAAGCTTTTTTATCGTAAACCCCCCCCCCCCCCCGGGGGATCAGGCGAGACGCACGCGCCCAACAGGGTGCAATGGGTATCGAAAGCAAGTAGGAAACTATTAAAGAGATGTATATGCAAAATAAGAAAGGACCGATCGTGTTTCACACAGGGTTCAAGGTCGTTTCTTCCTCCGATTCCAGGAAAGCAACACCGAGTATGATGATGATGATGATGATGATGATGAATTCAGTTGCCCGATGTAGCTTGCTCTAAATATATGCTGCTATGCGGGAGTGCTGTCAGGCCTGCCGACAGCTTGAAGGTGGTCGCCAGTCCACTGAACGATTGTTTCCATGGGTTGCAACGCAAGCCCCTGATTGGTCGCCCGAGAATGTATGCAAGCATGACAAAATAGACAAAATAAAGAAAAGAAATCCAAAACGAACGTCGCTTCCCCTCTACCCACTCTCCTTTCCACAAGCAGACTTCATTCTCTGATCTACTTCATCCCCCACCGCCTTCATCTGCGCAGCCCTCTGGGCCGTCGGCTGCCGCTCCTGCGCTCGCTTGCATCAAGGGAGTACAGTGGACCTGGCACTGCACTCCTAACGGGCACCATCCTTCTCCTTCCGTCACACTGTCCTGAGGGGTCATCCTTTTTCGTCGCCTTTTTCCGTGCCGAGTGCCAATGGGTCCAATACTTGAAACTGGTTTAAGAGACCTGACCAGACCATGAATTCGGCCACAATTATGCGAGCCTCTGGCCGCGTCAGGAGCTCGTCGCGTCGAAGAGCAACCCCGCGGTCGGACAGAGCGTTTCTCATCCAGTTGCGCTCGTCTTGGAGTAGCGGGCATTCAAGCAAGATATGATTGACCGTCTGGTTCCCCAGATCGCAACCACATCTCGCTGACTCGTGCCGATTGATGCGAGTCAAGTAGGCAGCAAGGCCGATTCGTCCAGTACGAAGGCTGCATCAGAATGGACGCTGTCGCTTTCCGCAGGTCGGACCAGTATTCCAGGGCCTTCTTTGTTGGTCGTTCGACTAAGCGTTTCGTCCGTCGACCTGTTCTCTCTATAGACCATGACCTTTCCCACTCGATTTTTGCCTCGCGGCGAATTCGGCATTTAGCTGCAGCTGCAAGGCGAATATAACGATTGTTTGGGGTTTGTGGTCCTTCTGGTTCCTGGGCCGCCTCCTTTGCGTGTCGGTCGACACGTTCATTGCCGGCCACTCCTTGATGAGCAGGTATCCACCTGAGGTGGATTTGACGGCCATTGGCTGCGTGTTGCCTTACCAGGTGGAGGCATTCTTCCAGGTAGACCTGTCCTGATGGCATCCGTGGTTGGCGGAACGCCTTCAATGCCGCTTGGTTGTCTGCAAAGATGACAAGCCCGTTTCTCGCCTGTGCCGCCCACGGTTCCGTAGTCTCCAAGATTAATTTGAGTGCCATTTCGATGGCACGGAGCTCGGCAGCGTATACAGTGGACGTGTCTTCGCCGCCCATTTGGCTGTGAGCGTGGTGATCCTCGAGATCAACGACTACTGCTGTTCCAATTTTTCCGTCGATCCCACTCCCGTCGGTGTAGAGAATCAAGGGTCTTTCTCTTGGGTCTTTGGATAGAATGTGGTCGTGAGTTTTCACTGCCATCTCTCTGTCCTCGATGAACACTTCAGGCGGCGCTTGCCACGGTGCCTGGACGAATGCCTTCCGACTCTCCCAGTCCCTCGCCAAAGTTCCCGGGGGAGCCATAAGGCATCCGCTCGTTTTCCAGGCTTGCGCCTCCATCGGTGTCCATCCAGACCAATCTCTCTCGTCCACCGGTCGGCGTGGTAGCATTGTTGGTGGGACAGCGAATACTGGTCCAGTCCGTAACCGTAAAGCCGTTTCTTTTACAAGGCTGTTCATATGGATCGCAATTGGTGGTAGGTGTAGTTCTGTGTTCAGTGCCTCCGCTGCTGTCGTTCTGAAAGCTCCGCTGATCAGGCATGCTACCCGCTTCTGGATGGCCACGAACGGTTGACTGATTATTCGTGCCTTCATCTTGCTGATCACCATTGGGTAGTACCAGGCCAATACTCCGAAGAGCATCTGTGGGATGACTACCGCTTGGTAGATCCTGCGCATAGCTGAAAGAGAGGCCCCCCACGCCGAGCCAGCCAAGCTTCGTAGCGCCTGGAGGGACACGCTTGCCTTCGAAATTGCTTTTTCGCGGTGATGCTGAAACTCCAAGTTGGGATCAAGCCAGTAGCCCAGATAGCGTTCCGCCGTCCTTGTCGCAGGTACTGTGTGCCCCTGCAGTGACAGTGGTGTGTACCGAGGCTCGATTTCTTTCGTATTTACGAAATGCACGAGCGCGTACTTCTTCGTGTCGAATACTGAGGCATGCTTTCTGGCCCACTGTTCGGCCTTCCCGCAAGCAATTGTGAGCTTCCTGATGGTCTCTCGCTCGCTATCTCCTTTGGTCAAATATTCCTACAAAAAGACCTCTCTGGGATAATGCAACCGTCGGGCTCATGGATTCTGGCCTTCTCCCTCCCTCACTAAATGGCACCAACATCCTTCGCAATCTCAATTGCTCTTCCCAAAGTCTCCTTTTCGGCATAGGTAAAGTTGGATATATGGTTCGCTGACAGGCAGCAGACATTATTCTTCTCAAGTCTCCAAGATCCAGTGCCACCAACTGCACCAGGTTCGCGAATAAACGCGTCGAATTGACCAGGCTGCTGATGTTCAACATGAGAGAACTTGTTCGGAAGTATCCACCCATTAAACCATAGTGGGTGGCCGTCAACACCTAGGTGTAATAACTGCGGCGCACAGATGGTAAACTGGAGATCCTGACCTCCTTTGGTTCCGTTAGCTCTCGGTAAACCATATTTTGGGTTCACTTCTACCATTCCCATGACAGCAGCATCACCTTCATGAAAGGCATAGTCAGTATCTCCAACGAGCTCCCAACCCAACCAAAATGTTTCTTTATCTCCTGCTGGAAGTAAGTAAAACCATTAATTTAGCGAATTATGAAGTGACTTACCGAATACCATATCATATACACCGACTTGGTCTTCAGATTTCTTTCCGTCACGATCCGGCCCATTCATTCGTGTCACCATGAGAAGTGCAACAAAATGCCTCCACTTATCGACAACCACAACTCCAGACTCTTGCATGTGAATACTTTCCCCCGTCCAGAATCGACTCTTCCTAGCCTGCTTGGAAATAGGGGACGGTAGGATATTCCTTAACCACGCCTTCTTGGATCCAGGCATAAAGAGTCGGTCCTTGAAAAATAATGCACCAGTCTTTTGGTAAAGTCGGTACCGGAATAACTCTTCCGGGTTTTGAAGAAAAAGCGAATCGGCATCAATGAATATCGCTTCTCGAAAGCTTGACAGAAGAATGGCGAAAGGCTTTGCAGCCCACCCTCTTAATTTCCATCCTTCATCGGAGACCATTGGGTTCAAATCCCGTGTAATCATACCTGGTATAGATTCCAACTCTTCCCTGAAGTCCTCACCCAGGTCATCATTTCCGAGATACATAACTTCAATTGGTAAATCACACCCCAGCTCCCGAATAGATTGAATCGAAGTAAGTACGTAGGGTGCCTGTTGATCGCCTGCAGTAAAGACAATACCGCGACCCGCGTTCCAAAATTGGGTGTGTAAAATCATATGATCGGCAAAATAGGGTGTTGTCCAAGAAAATAGACGACTTGATAATTGTGTGAGGAAGCACTGTACTTGCTCAAACGCATGGGTCATAGGAATTCGATCCATCTTATGATCCTCGGCTATTCGAGGATGATTTCTCAAAAGCTGTAGAATATCGTTGCGAACAAGCATTTGCTCACTCGTTTGGACGAGGTGAATTGCTTCCCATGCCTCGAAGAGAGTTTTGAATGCGCGAGCCCTAAACCCTACCTCGCGAAGCTTCTCCTCGCCTGTTCCTTCGATAGTACCAGTGATATCTTGGATATGAGAGTTGTCTGGTAAAAGTAATAAGAGATTATCAAAGCATTTCCCAAAACTTTCACAAGAGCCGTTCTCTGGTTCAATAGCTATCGAAAGACCAGTTGTCGAATTCAATGGTCTTTGTAATTAGACCTCTGTAACCAAGCCGTTTCGACCCAGCTTTTCGTGAACGGAGGGCGCATTTCGGGGACGTGTGGTGGAAAAATGGTGTTCGAGTCCCCAGATGGTCTCTTTGCAATAATATCCCACGGCGAAGAGGATGGCTAAGGCTCTGAAAACCGCAGCACCTCGTCTGCTTTTATTAGGGAGATGAGATAAAGTGAGCATTTGGCAGGGACTCCCCCTCAAGGGTGGGGTCTAGTTGATGAAATTGCAAGCAAAAACTTCTACTCGATCAGAACCTTTTATCACTGGAACATATAATGAGGTAGCTGCTAGTAACATGGTGCTTGCACCGGAAGAATTAATGACGTAGTACTCTTCAAATCTAGACGCAATTGACATCCTACATGAGCTTGCGCAAACGACCCAGACCACCTCGGAACCCTCCGGGTGCAATCCTCACCACAGTCACAAAACGCTTGAAATATGAAACCGACCGATTATATAAAAAATGGTGTTTCGCTCCGCGGAGAATCTTTATTATTTGGTAAGGTTGCTTGAATCTAGAACTTTAGATGCTGTTGGGTGGGAGAGGGTGGGTCGCGGCCAAGCCACAAAAGTTAACGTTAATCCCCGGTCGGGAACTCTATCAGCTAAATCATGAATCTAATTGAGTTTACTGACGAACGTGAGTAGCATTTGCAATTTAGAAGTTGGTTTTCTTCAAGATAAAATTCAATTACGAATGAGGTCATGACTCAGAGTAGTAGATCCTGTCTCTGTTTTCGGTTTCCACATCAATTATTAAAACCCCGTACACACAAGATGGTAGCACTAGATTCGAACGAAAAAAATTATTTCATATTCGCCTAAATTACTAAACCAACAACAAAATGAAGGCTTTTTCGAAACTATCGCTGAGCTACCTTGTTCTCGGATTATTCTCTATCACTGTTGCTGCCGATGAAGGAGGCTGGGAGACGAGCACCCGTCAATGGAACCACCCTGTGTTTGAAAGACAGACGAGTAATACACCAACCGGTGTAGTTCCTCAGTGTGCTCCATTTTTAATTGGGCAGGTTTCTTACGGAACACAAGTCTGCCTCGACGTATCTGGCTCTAATCTTATCGTCAATTACCCAATTACGGAAGATTTTACCTACACAGACGCTCATGTTTGGATCGGTACCGGCACACCACCCAATCCTCCTCAATTCGGTCAATACCCCTATACAATTGCAAATGGACAATGTGAATATGGTCCTGGGCAGACCAGTGTGACATGCACTATTCCAATCAACTCATTCGCAAATCCAAGCACCGCTTGTGAGACAACATTCAGTATTGTCACTCATGCAAGTCTCACGTCTCCTAATTCGCCTGATATGGAGACTGGAACGGCTGGAGACCAGACGTGGACAAACACCTGGTTTACATATTTCTCTTTTGATTTTACGTGCTCCCCCACCACCACTACGACTACCACCACCACCACTACGACTACCACCGAGCCAACGACTAGCACGACTACCACTGAGTCTACGACTACCACTGAGCCGACGACTACCACCACCACTACGACTACCACCGAGCCAACGACTAGCACGACTACCACTGAGTCTACGACTACCACCGAGTCCACGACTACCACCGAGTCCACGACTACCACCGAGCCAACGACTAGCACGACTACCACTGAGTCTACGACTACCACCGAGTCCACGACTACCACCGAGCCAACGACTAGCACGACTACCACCGAGTCCACGACTACCACCGAGCCAACGACTAGCACGACTACCACCGAGTCCACGACTACCACCGAGTCCACGACTACCACCGAGCCAACGACTAGCACGACTACCACCGAGTCCACGACTACCACCGAGCCAACGACTAGCACGACTACCACCGAGTCCACGACTACCGCCGAGCCAACGACTACCACCAAGCCAACAACCACCACCAAGCCAACTACTACCACCAAGCCAACTACTACCACCAAGCCAACGACTACCACCAAGCCAACTACTACCACCAAGCCAACGACTACCACCAAGCCAACTACTACCACCAAGCCAACTACTACCACCAAGCCAACGACTACCACAACGTCCGATTGTACAACCTATACTGTTAGCAGCTACTCCAACGGCCCCTGTGAAACAATCACCCACTGCGACTCAAAGTGGCAAACGAAACCCTGGACAACAAGTACGAGCTACTCTTGGAAGCATTGGAACAGGGACCAAATCTACGATAAGTTCGTACCCGAGCAGTAGGGGGGTGCTTAAAATGCGTTTTTGGATAGCGCGATACTATTTCCTTTGCCAACAAGGAACCTTTTGATGAGCCCAGTCCGAAAGGTGTCATGTTAATGTTTAATGTTTAATGTTATTTTTCTTTTGCTCAATTCATCGAGAACAAGGACTTATATTCCGTTCTTGTTTTTCTTGGATTATTCTTTTTCCAATGCGAATGTTGATTCAATGGGCTTCACTATCGCTCTATCCATGATGCTTAAATTGCCTTGTTTCTGTGTGTATGGGACCTCATTATCAAGAGTGTAGTTTGTTTTTCTTCGGTGTGAAGTAAAAATGTAGGCATGGATTATGAATCGTTAACTACGTAATGACCCATCTTGGATGGTAAAAGTTGTATTACAACGGTTCTGTGATGAGAAACAGGCAAATACATTCACAGGTGGTTGTAGGCGTGTGTGTGACGTTCGTAAGCCCTGGACATAGGTAGAATGTGTAAGGCTTAACGTGATTCCCGGCTACGCGGTCACCGCCTCGCAATTTTCGTCTCCGTAGTAACCCTCTGTTTTCAAACAAACACCATGCCTCCAAAACGCTCAGAAAAAGCTCAAAAATCAATTCAACAGGAAGGTCGTATTCTGCTTGCTATCAAAGCTATTCAGAATGGCAGATTTACCTCGGTCGCTGCTGCTGCTCGGTCTTTTGATGTCCCACGTACAACTCTCGGTGCTAGGATCCAAGGGCGAAAAAATCAGTCCGGTACTCGCTCAGCTCTGTATAAATTTACTCAGCTTGAAGAGGATTCTATCCAGGATTGGTTAATATCTATGGATCAGAGAGGTGCAGCTCTCACAATCTCTATGTTAAGAGATATGGCTAGTTTACTGTTGCAATCTCGCGGTTCTAGCTCCTCTTCAAACCCACCAACTGTGGGTAAAAATTGGCCAACTGAGTTTATTAAAAGGCATCCAGGCCTGAAAACTCGTTTCTCACGCAAATATGACTACAAGAGGGCCGAGAATGAGGACCCAGCCATAATAATTGAGTGGTTTAAGCTGGTTGAGAAAACAATCCGAGAAAATGGCATTATTTCGGACGATATCTACAACTTTGACGAATGTGGCTTTTCCATGGGGATAAATGCGACTTCGAAGGTTATCACGCAAGCATTTTTCCATGGTCGGAGAGGTGTTTTGCAGCCTGGGAATCGTGAATGGGTCACAGTTATCGAAACTATCTGCGCATCTGGGAGGACCCTTCCACCATACATCATTTTCAAAGGCAAGAACTTCATGGCTAGATGGTTCGATCACCTTCCAAAGCAGTGGGCTCTTAATGTTAGTCCTAGAGGCTGGACTAGCAATGATATTGGATTAGATTGGCTCCAGAAACACTTTATTCCACATACAACAAGTCAGACAAAGGGGAAGTTCAGACTTCTAGTCCTTGATGGCCACGACAGCCATCTTACAGCCAGATTCGACCAGATCTGCCAAGAAAACAACATCATTCCGATTTGTATGCCTTCGCATGCCTCTCATCTTTTACAGCCTTTGGATGTTGGCTGTTTTGCTGTTCTAAAGAAGCTTTACGGCACGGAAGTTGCAGAGTATATGAGATTGGGTATCGATTCTATTGAGAAAGACGACTTCCTAGAGATTTTTCCACAAACACGAGGGCACGCTTTTAAAGAGGCTACTATTCAGAATGCCTTTGCGGCTACTGGTTTAGTTCCCTTAGACCCGAATCGCGTGCTAGAAAAGCTCAATATTCGTCTTCAATCACCACCTCTCCCGGATCGACCAACCTCACAGGGTTCAACTTCTGATAGCAATATCTCTGCCGGTATCCCTCAGACAACCAAACAACTCAAAAAAAGGAAATCTAGGCTCGATTCTGGCCTAAGTTCAGTCACAGATAAGATCTCTTCGCCCACTAAGCGAGATCTTCAACAGTATTATAACATGACTGTCAAAATGCTTCATTCGCATATCTTAATGAAGGATGAAATCAAGCGTTTACGGGAGGCAAACAAAAAAACAGGTGAAGAAAAGAGCTAGATCTAGAAGGCAAATTGCTCATGAAGGCAGTTTGACCGAAGATTTGGATATCATACATCCTGTTGGTGGAGAAGGAGGTGGTGCAGGTGAATATATATCTGGTCTCGTAGCTGCTCCACAACCTACTGTTGAACCTTCACTACCGGTTTTACCTGCTATACGACGCCGGATAACCTGTTCTGGGGGTGGAAAACAAGATCACAATATATCTAGATGTCCACAGAAAGTTTAAACAGCAAAATTCAATCTTTTTTGGGTATTAAAATCGTTGTTGAAGATTTTACAAATTTTGAATTTTTGATGGGGTGACCGCGTAGCCGGGAATCACGTTAGCCCATTCCTGCCTTACGTAATGAACAAGTCTCAAATGTTTAGATAATAGTTCGAATCCCAAGGAATAATAGCAATATATCATTACTTGAAGATTATTAGGAAGTGATGATCTTTGCGTTATCTGGGCATGGTATATGTGAGCTAGACAGGCTGATATCATAGAATTGATCACTGAGAAGTTAAGTGATAATTTGACCGTTAAAAAGTACAATGAGCATCACTGGCATAGATGACTCTCAGATAAAAACTCCGAGCTTTTCACACTGCGAGTTTGGCCAGCTGCAACCCTGGCATTTAGGTTTGATTTTGGGGCAGCTAGATACCCGCAATCGTAAAATATTCAATTTTGCCTTTTATCGTAGTTCCACTTTCACTTGTATTCGTCAACGTGGTCCGTGTACCATTCCGGCCAGAAGTTCCATCCAATAGCGGCCACTGCCCCACAACCACAAACCAGAGAAATGACCCGAGCTTACTGGGCCTCATGTAACTGTTACTAAGCTACATGGGGCTCTGGGAATTGATAACTAACGTAATCCACGGCCGTGTGACGCACGCCGAAACACCATAATAAATGCGATAAATGATATTTTCATGTCTCAACAACCACATCCTGTGGAATCTACTTTGGAAGCTAGCTAGCATAATTGAAGATTCTGAGTACTGTAGTGGACCCTAAATTTAAAATTTCATGGGGAGATACATATTTACATGCTCAAGGTCGAGATTACCTTGTAATTTTTTGTAATCATACCAAAATGATAATTCAAATAATTGATATGAACCTATGTTGCCTTTGATGATTAGAAAAGTCTTGAGACAAATTCTGAAGTCATGTAATTAGACAGCCGGTCACGCGGGTGACCAGGTAGGCGACTTGACAAGGAATGTTGCACTAGGTAGAGTGTAGCTTTCAGGTTGATAGAGCCATAGCGGGCACATTGATGGCATTCAAATTCACACTGTTCCTGTCGAAGTTGGTACTATCCTAAACCAGGCATCGATTCTAATTGTGTATTTTGAGATGTCATTATGGGGGTGCAACATTCTTCAGTTCATGTATATATCAGATACGCATTGCGAAGAACCAAATATCTAATTGCACCAGTGTGTAGTAGGCGGATCTTTTCACACTTTGATGACAACCTTACCCACATGTTTCGCAGAGTAAAGGTGATCAAAGGCTTTCTGGGGATCTTCAAACGAGAAATTTGACTCATCAAGCAGAGGCTTTAGCGTGATTCTCTTATCCTCCAAATACCTGCACAGATTTACTTGATCAGTTCTAGAACCAACAAAGATTGCCCTAAAAATCACTTATGTTAATACCAAGCTGTTTAGTGGTATGCGCATTCTACACAGTAGCTCACTTACTTGATAGTCGCGGTATTCAGCAACAAAGGTGTAAAAGCATCAGGATACTGATCCATATGAAGACCTCCCAGGATCCCAATCAGAGAAATGGTACCTCTTCGGACGAGTGAATGAAGACTTTGGACGATTGTCGTAGGCCCTCCCGTTTCAATCACCGTGTCGACACCTCGGCCATTTGTTAGGCGCTTTACTTCATCTTCCCAATTTGGGAAAGTTTTGTAGTTGACGGTCTCTATAGAGCCAGGTGGACCTAGGTCTTTGACTTTTCGCAGTTTATCGTCGGAAGAGGATGTGATGATCACGCGGATGCCAGCTTCTAAACAGAGCAACAGTGCAAATATACTGACGCCACCGGTACCTGTTCTAATCAGTACCAAGATATTAAAATTGAAAATTGTGGAGAGAGTATTAACTACCTTGAAGAAGTACAGTACCCTTGGCATGTGGCATATTCAAGCTGTTCCAAGCCGTCGTGCCGGAGACAGTCACACAAGCGGCCTGTATACCAATCAGTCATTAGAGGGAATAACATTCTTTGTTGTCCCCGGTGCAATACCAACCTCTTCCCAAGAAAGATGATGCGGTAAGTGCACGAGCACCTTCTGGTCAAAGATAGCATATTCGCGCAAAACACCATCGATATCTCCTCCCAGAGTCTTCTTAGTAATCTCCGTTCCTTCCAGCGCATTCAAATCAAAGATGGGAGCAACGCGATCCCCGATCTTGAACTCTGATACATTCTTTCCAGTAGCAATTACTTCAGCAGAGCAATCAGATGCCGGGATACCTCGATCAAGGGCAAAACTGGGATATTTCCCATTTAGCATCGCGGCATCTCTGTAGTTGAGAGATACGGCTCGGATGCGAATTAGGACTTCATCAGGAGTCAGAGAGCAAGGAAGTTCTTCCGTTACAGGCTCAATGGATAGCGGAGCTTCCCCTGAGGTGCGACGATATGCCTTGTAGGCTTTCGGGAACGGAATTGGGGTGGTCATTTTGCTCTTCTGTGTAGAGTGAAATTTGATGGACTGATCACTCCTCCGTTCGAGACTAAATATTTATAAGTCGATTTTTGGAGGGTGGGGGGGGGGGGGGGGAGGAAATCTTCGAGTCTGGTATTAATCAGTATTGCCAGAGGCTGATAAATCCACACCCTTGCCTTAGTCTGCTTTTAGCAGCTGTCACAACGGCCCCTCCCGGATCGATCCGTTTCATCATGAAAATACAAAAGAACCCGTACACTAGCGTAGAGAATTTTTGGTCCCTCGGGGGTTTCATGGCCTATCGACCTATGGCGATTCGGCAGTATTTCAGGAAGAATAGTCCGGTCTGAAAAGGTTACAAATGCTTATCTTTGTATAGTTACAATGTTATTGTAGTGATCTTTTAGGCAAACAACCTTCGCACGTGTCAACGCACGCTATACCTTTGTCTAAAATATCCAAGTTTAAATAAATGTATTGAACATTTAATTCAGTCCTCCGCCCTCATCCCCAAATTCGCGCTTCCAACCACCTCGCACACGTCAGCCAAGGTCAAAGTCAAAAAGGGGGTCTCCACTTAAATTTTGTGGGGGAACCACAGCTGGATGTAGTCCCCGACAATCCTGAGTTCGCGTTCTCAACGGCTATCCCAACCCAAAATATACACAAAGGCACATCTTTTCATCGCTTGCGAATTTCAAGGTCCAAGCATTAAAAATGCAAACCTCAAGAATAGAACTAGTTCGCCTCACTTCAGACCACCTCCCCGGGTACCACGCAATCTGGTCCGACCGCGTCGCAACTCGCTGGAGTCCTCACGGCCCCTGTTCGACCCTGGAAGATAGTAAAGAGTGGATGTCCCCCTTACTCCCAGAAACCAACGCTAAAGGGGACAATTACGCCGTTCTACTCCGGACACCCCTCGCTCCTGAAATTATCAACTCGCGCGGTCTGGCCGGTGACGAGGTTCTCGTTCCTGGTGGCTTTCTGGGATGGGTCGGGACGTGGAGGTCGGATCCTGTTCCTGAGGTGGGATTGATTTTCCATCGGGCGTGTTGGGGACTGGGCTTTGCGACGGAGGCGCTAGAGGCGTTTTTGAAGGTGTTCTGGGCGAATCGGCCTGAGTTTGAACTCTTGGATGCTTGGTGTGATACGGAGAATATTGCTTCGCAGAATGTGTTGAAGAAGTGTAGGTTTGCCCTGGTGGAGTCTGTTACGGGGGATTATACGTTGCCATGGATGGTGCCCGCTCTGAGGAGTAGTTTGAGGTTTCAGATTAGGAGATCAACGATTAGTCCTGGTGGTGTGGGGAAAGAGGACTAGGGGAGTTGGCGATCCCCCGGGGATATCACGCAGTGCGACGATGTATATGTGTACAGGGTGGGGTTTGATATTTGCATTTAGGTTATTCATACAAGTGTTTCAAATATCGCAGACATCATTGCGTTGCCCAGGCTGTCACTTTGCTGCTCGGAATCTGTAGCGAGTGCAGGTGCGCCTTGTATTTCTCCAAGAAGGGATGATTGCCACCACGAAAGCTGCTCAACAGCAGCAAAAAGTCCTCCGCAAGTGTCTGCGGAGTCGAGCTTGTGGGTATCGAGTCCGTGAAGCTCCCAAGGGGCGCCATTCCAGTCCCATAGGGTGGGTTGATATTGCAGAGGATGTCAGTTGCACTGACGGCTATATCGTATAATTTCTCGGTCTGCGGAAAGTCAGTCAGCAAGATATTAGAGACAATCTGAAGTGACGTGGAAACATACAAATCCAATGCCATGAGCTTCCATCGAGCTCAGCTTCAATGATCGACAGAGCTGGAGCGTTGATTCAGCCACGGACACAGCATAACCGAATGTCAAGTCGGGCCGCTCCGAGTGTGATCTTAGAATGCCATGGTTTAGACACAGTAGCCAGACACGGTTCTGAATCCATCGTTGAGTGATGAAAACATCTGCAGCCTGCGTTTCTCGCAGCCCCATCGCCAAGAGAGCGTTATTGTCGTTACGGTCTCCCTTTGCTTTCTCGAACCAGTCGTATCCCTTGAACCGCTCATTTTGGCTGATTCGGTCCAAGCTGTCATACATGGACATGGCTTTGGCCTCGGTGAACCGGGAGCAGAATCCCTTACTGATGTCACATCGTCGGTTCCAGCAATGGATGATGTCTTCATCGATAACATCGAATAATTCCATCAGTCGGGCCAGACCCATCATTCCCTCCGCATCTTTCTCGTTGTGAACGATGATGCCGGAGACGAGGCTGTGGGTTGCGTTATGGAGGAAGTCGTGTACGGAACGCATGCTGAAGCCCGGCTTCCCCGAAAATGTTACCGGGTGAAGCCGCTGGAGAGCATAGGCTCTATAGGAGTAATTAGCACACATCCTTTCTTCTCTGTTTGCATTATTGACCTACCTTTCTGTGATTGAAAGGACAAGATATGTCCGCAGCCGCTGGCCCTTTTCATCGCCAGTTAAGTCACGATAAGATTCTGGGTCGTTCAGCCCCAGCGTCGAAGCCAGGTCCAATGCTTCCCGTAACCGAAGCCAGGCCGCATTGTGCTGGTTGCTGCCGAATAGACAGCCAAAAAGGAAGAAGCTTGTCAATACGGCCTCGATGGTGGGGTTCTCACCGAAATCGGAGCAGCTTCGCATCTTGGTGGCCTCGTGCATCATGGATCGTGCTTGGGTGGCACGCGAGGAGGTTGTCGCCCGCTCGTTAATCTCAATCGGCTGCGTTAGAGAGAACGCGCACAATGAAAGCAACATCGCACCGAATTGTGTATTTTTCCGATGCTCCTGTGACATCATGCGGGTGAAGAGGGAAGAACGGCTCAGCACTGGGAGAGTCGGGTGTAGTCGATCGAAGTAGACATCGATCCAGGGTATCATGTTCGACTCGTTGATCGAGGAGGGCCAGAATTCATCTGCTTCCTGGCTGTCTGACTGGATCGATGAGGTTCCCGTTCCCACGGCAGGAGAGAATGGGATTCCCTGGTGTTGTTCCTGCGGTGGCATGTTCATCGCCGACACATCGGGTAGTGGCTGGATGATTGAGGGGAGGGAGGGTTTGAGATAGATGTTGCTTCCGGGGAATTCGAAGACGGGGACTTGCGAGCCCAGGTGGTCCGGCAGCCAGTATTCGACGTCGGGACGGTCGTTCCACCCCACGGCACTGTTCGCGTGCGAATCCATCGACGCAGTCTCGTTGCCCCATGCATCCACAACCGGCTGTGATGGACCAGACGGTGCCAGCCCGGATGACCCATTCATGCCAATCGGCATTTCGCTATGAGGCGCCCAGGATGCCCCCGGCATGGAGACGGGCTGACCCGGTTCCACCGATGAAGTCGGGACATGATACGGGAAGGAGTCTTGCTTAGGAATCGGAGCCTCGGAAGGGTCTCGAGAGATGATATGCGTCTGCTGCTGTCGAATTTGTGACACCCGACTGGCGACCTGGTTAGAGCTCTGTCCTCCGGCGCGTCTCAGGCGATGATCGTGACTTACTGGCCGGTTGGTCCGCGCTTCTTCTGCGGCTGAAGGAAGGTACAGTCGAAGCCCATCGATTGGCAGGCTTTACAGGGCTGCGACAGGCTGCACTGCGCGGGATCAGCATAGATTCAAGTTCGAGGCAGGAGGGGCCGCGGCGAAGCTACCTTGATCTTGCGGAACTTGCATTGGTCGCAGGCGCGCTTAGCGATGCTGCTGGCGTTCTTGTTGCGCGTGCGAATGGCGCCGGGCGCGCCGTCGGACGGCGACCCTGTCGTGGAATCCATAGCCAGGGTGCCTCGGTGGCTCCATCCAGCTGGCGAGAAGAGAGAGATGGGGGGTGGATGAGGTTGAGGATCTCCCGACCCACTTGGTTTTCGACGGTTGGGTATTCCCCGCCTAAAGACGCCGCGAACGGCTGACCCATACGACTCGGCTCGGCGCCATGCTGGAGATGCGAAACAGACTAACTGCTAGGAAGGTAGTCAAGTCTATGCTAGGATGGGAATGGCAAGGGCCTCGGGCTGGCCACGAGCAGCCTGGAAGACCTCTGGCGTCCCCAGTCTCCAATCTCCAAGCAATGCGCCATGCGACCCTCCGCATCGCCGACCCCCCACCTTTGCGCAAGGATTTTGATGGCGGGACGTCTTTCCGAGCCGAGCGGAGTCTGGAGTCCGCTGTTACTATTTAAGGGCCCGTCGGGGCCCGGCGCGAGGGCGAGGCATCCAGCAGCTGCAGAATGGGGGCCACACAGCTCCCATGGGAGCACATCGTTACTCAAAAACGTTTGGCCAGAGATCAATTGCTTGCTCCCTACTTGGTCGGTGATGTAGAGCGCCGAGTGCCCCAAGTCGCACACGTGGAAGATCGTAGTCGACTCGAAGACCCCGAGGCCCAGAAGATCACCGATATCGACAATGTGGGGGATCTGCTGCAGCTTCTTCAAAAGGGAGAGGTGACGGCCGAACAGGTTGTTCAGGCATATATCAAACGGTACGAATCCGTAGTTGATAACATCGTGATAACAGAGAGAAGTAGTAACTAACACTCTTGATAGAGCCGTGGTGGCACACCAACTGGTAATTCATCCCTCCTTACTTCTCGTCCGAATCCAAGCATATATCTGATCGTAACACAAGACAAATTGCCTTACAGAAGTATGCTTCGAGGAAGCCCTGGAACAAGCAAAGAGTCTCGACGTCGATTTCAAAGCAACCCATAAACCCAAAGGCCTGCTCCATGGCGTCGTGGTGACTCTCAAAGACCAGTTCAACGTCAAGGGGCTCGATACAACGCTGGGATATGTCGGCCGATCCTTTTCCCCAGCGTACGAGGATGCAGCTCTCGTCCGGATATTGAAAGACATGGGAGCGATTGTCATCGGTAAGACAAACCTTTGCCAAAGCATCATGGTCTGTATACCCCTTTTGCCTGTGCTACTCATGGTATGATCTAACTCATCATCGATAGTGGGCTGAAACCGAAAATCCACTCTGGGGCTTAACAACGAATCCCCGAAACCCGGCCTTCACACCAGGCGGCTCAACCGGGGGTGAGGGCCCGCTCCTCGCCTTGCACGGCTCTCTTCTGGGCTTTGGTACCGATATTGGAGGCAGCATTCGTATTCCACAGGCCGTCGCGGGCTTATACGGCCTCAAGCCCAGTGTAAGCTCCTCTTAACGAATACTAGATGTGGAATTTCACTCATCACTTCGATAGAGTAGCCGGTTTCCGTACAATGGCGTCCCCGTCTCCACTGAAGGCCAGGAACATATCCCTTCATCCGTCGGTCCCATGGCGCGAGATCTTGCATCCATCTGCTACATCACACAGCTCGTAGCAAACGCACGACCCTGGGACTTAGATCCCCGTTGTACACCTCTCCCCTGGAACGAATTGACCTTCCGGGAGATCCAGCAACGTCCGATGGTCATCGGTTTCATCCTCGACGACGGTGTTGTGAAGGTGCATCCACCTATCGCTCGAGCCCTGCAGGAACTTTCCGCCGCATTGAAAGCACAGGGTCACGAAATCCTTATCTGGGATACATCTGACCATGCGGCATGTATCGAACTGATGGACCTATACTACACCGTTGACGGTGGCGAGGATATTCGTCGTGACATGGCTGTGGCAGGCGAACCGTATATTCCTCACGTTGAGGCGTTGGTTAATCGTGGACAGCCGATGTCAGTATATGAATACTGGCAGTTAAATAAGCGCAAAGCGGCCGCGCATAAGAAATATCTCGACAAGTGGAATGCGGTCCGGTCTCCCTCTGGAAAGCCGGTGGATGTGTTGCTGGCTCCAACGCTGCCACATACAAGTGTTCCACACCGAAAATTCCGCTGGGTTGGATATACGAAGATCTGGAACTTCCTCGACTATCCGGCTTTGACGTTCCCAGTGGATCGGGTGAGAGCCGATCGAGATCAGGTGCCCGCAGAACCGTATACTCCTAGAAATCCTCTGGATGAGTGGAATTGGGGTCTCTACGATGTGGACCAGGTAGATGGGTACCCAGTCAACCTGCAGATCATCGGGAAGAAACTTGACGAGGAGAAGGTGCTAGGGGCTGCAACTGTTATCGAGAAGATTTGGAAGAATCAGGTCTAGAATCATCTGCCTGTCGCATGCAAATAGCTTCGATAAGTAAATGGCCTCTACAAGATAGAATCAAATTCGGCATGCACGTAAAACATGATGGATTGAACCTAGGATCCAATTCCTTGTTCCAATTCACTAAAGCCAGACACCGCCAACGCCTCTAGAATATGCTGCGGGATATCGATTTTTGGGGGTTCCTGTTTGTTTTCTGTATTAGGCCTTCGGAGGCTGGAAAAGCTCAGGCTTCATGTTGATCTTGCAAAGCTTCGAGACACAGCCGCTCAGCTGCAGAAGTGACTGCACACCATCGAGAATACGCATGTGCGTAAACCCAATCTCTCGAATGAACTCTAATTTGGAATGCTCCGAAAGTGTCGGGATAGTCTTAGTGACTCGGAACATAGTGCTGATGATATCATGAGAAGAATAGCCAAGAGCCCTAGTAACAGCCGAGTTAGCCAGAATTTATGTATTCTTCAGTGAGATGATATACCATAGCTCATTGAGACCCGCCAGTGCGGAGTCAACCTTGCCCTCCCAGCATGCCTTGATCATAGCCTGCACCTTGACAGGGTGAGGACTATCAACAACGCGGAACACATTGTCTCCACTGACAAAGCCAAAGCCCGACCAAGTACTTTGCAGGTTGTTGATTGCTTGACGCATATCACCCTCTGCGCTGAAGACCAGTGCGGCAATTCCATCTTCAGAGTGCTTGACCTGCTCCGCCTCACAGATTTGCATCAGTCGCTTAACGACCTGCGCATCGGTCAGACGGGCATAACGAAGAATGGCACAACGTGATTGAAGGGGTTCAATGATCTTGTTCGATTGGTTGCAAGCGAAGGCGAATCGAGTCGTGGTTGAGTAGATCTCCATTGTGCGGCGCAGAGCTTGTTGGGCACCGGGTGTCATGCTTTACGCAGGATCAGCTCAGCCAAGATACATATACCAGCTGTTTAAAAACTCACCTATCCGCTTCATCGAGTATGACAAGCTTGTGACGACCCTGGGGCAGTGTGACCTTCTTCTGAGCAAAGCCCTTGATGCGGTTACGAACCACATCGATACCTAACCAGACTATCAGCAACCGAGTTTCTATCTTTCAACCCCAAAGATGGACCAACCTCTCTCATCACTTGCGTTTAGCTCAAGAACAGCCTCTTTATAGGAATCACCGAGCAATTGCCGGGCAAGACATAGAACCGAAGTCGTCTTTCCAATACCCGGCATGCCAGAGATAATAACGTGAGGCATGTTGCCATCTTTCGCGATAATCTTCAACCGTTCAATAGTTTCAGTGTTGCCGACGATATCATCGAGGAAAATAGGACGGTATTTCTCAACCCTATAATAGCAAAGTCAGCTGGCGAACTCCCAATACCAGAGCTGGAAATATCCTAACCAAGGAAGCTCGTAATCTGTTGGGGCACCGGCAGTGACAGCTTTGGCGCCACTGCGTGCCGCGCTCGAGGAAGATTCGGCCTGTGTCATGTTGTGGGCGTGGCTGGGATTCGTGACGTCTCGGAGGGAGGTCAAAATGCAAAGACGCGAAAGTCGGCCTCGCACAAGTCGCGTCCCGCGATAGCTGCTTATCGGCTGGCCTGTGCGCCAACAATGAACTCATTCGCGACTACGATCAACCTTCGTTTTGTTCTGCCATTTGCAACATTTCTCCCTCGCTTTCTCTCATCCAGGGGGCAGCCCTTATCCGCAGCAGAGCCACTGGAAGTCAGCTTATTTCGCAGTCTGGTTTATCGCTCCAGTGGGTTGCTTCTCACTCTCCGCTACAAGATCAACCCGCATCACACCTTCCCTTGCGAGCAAACCGTTTCTTTCGGAATACTCGCTCTCTACGCAACATACACAACAATGAACCCAAGCTCTGGTCGTCATCCATCTCAGCAGGGCTTCAGCCGTCGCCCGGCCGCTCCATGTCCACCTAGCAGCAATGCGCCGACAGGAAATAATGGACTCTCAAGCCGCCCTTCGCACAGACTCCACCCGACAAACTCGGACTCCGGTTCCAATCGGAACATCAAGGTATCGGAGAATAAGGATATTGTGGTGCGGGACAAGAATGGGGCCTACAAGTTCGATGCCCCGAATCTCCCCAGTAAGCCTCATGTGGTTGATGCGAATGATGAGGAGATTGAGGCGGAGCTGGAGACGGAGTACAATTCTACGGAACCCAGTGACGCGGATAGAGCTAGTATGTTGTTACTTTGTCCCCTTCCCCTTTGATTATGTGGTACTCGTGTCTAATCGTTTCTAGGGCTCATCCACGCTACCTACGACTCAGTGATCCGCCATGGTAACATACAATCGAATGAGGAGCATGAAGCAGGTGAGACTGAGCTTCCGGAACCTCCCCGACTTGGCCAGTTTCCCCGGATTTATGCTGACTGCAAATGCGAAGGCTGCAAACAACTTCTGGAACTTCTCCGTGAGGACCTGCGCAAAAAAGCGGCGTCTTTGGACGAAGATAACTGGATGTTCGAGCCGGAGAGAGACATGCGGTCTTGATGTGCAGTTTAATTGAAACTCCAATTGTACGCTTCACTTATCTTCGTTTTTGCATTACACAGAATTTGGTATGTTCAACAATGTCCAATGGGGACATCCTTTCGTCATCAGAGTGCACTTAATCCAGCTCCATACTCGAAGGAGGAGCCTCAACCTTCTTTGCAGGTCTCTGAGCAGTCCGTCTACCACCAGTATTATCCTGTCCGCCTTGTCCACCGAAAAGCATGTTGCTCATCATATCCATGAGCGGGTTACCCTGTCGCGGAACCTTGATGGCGAAGTACTGCTCGCCAATCTGAGCCAGGAAGTCATCCCAAATACCCACATCCCGAATTTGTGTCGCATAGTGTGCAGTGAGCTGTTGGAAAAGATCTGCACTGCCTCTCTGGACTGTCAGAAGCAGTAAATTGAGGAAGTTCAGCAGTGGAAGTGCGGGGTACACGCGGACGTCGGAGCTCGAACTGCTCACGTCTTGCACGCCAAGCGAAGGGCTCGATGTCGAGAGTCGGGTAGTGAAGATGAGCAGAGCCTTATTGGCGCTGCGCAAATTTCCTGTCAAGAGATAGGGGAAGACGGCGCGCGATGCATAAATAGCTGCCGTGTGCGGCTCATCATGGGTGTACCACTCGTACTCCAGCTTCGCCAGTGTCTCCGCTGATTCCGATGTTCCCAAGACCAAGTGCTTCTCGGCATCATACGGCTCGTTGTCTAAAGAGAAAGCAGCTGGATTAGCCAACCCGAATCAAATATCACACATTCCAAGAAACCAACCTTCTGCGTAGACAGAGCCAGCAGCATGGTGCAGCTCCGGATCTCCTCGCTCCAGCGGTCCGTATCGTCCACTCCACCCAATCATTTCCTGAATATATCGCTTTCTCGTAGGTTCGTCCGAGGGAAATTCGCGCAAAAGCTCGACCAAGCGCTCTGCAGGATTTGTTAGCTGATGTAAACGGATGCCGACCTATTTTGAATCTTTGCCGTGGCAAAGTCATAGTCCAGTAGAGCAAGAAAAGAAAAACGCACTCTTTCTAGCACGACCCTCCATATCGTCATCTTCTCCTGAAATCTCCCACTCAGCCTTGTTGTAAACCTCCACCACAAGCATAATTGCCAGATCTCCACCACTTGCCGAGGCACCCTGCTGGGCACCAGCTCTCAACAGAGCAGTCGCACCACCAGCCAGGAGATCGGCGGCGGCATCGTAGTTCGACTGTTTGATATAGCGCACAGCGATAGTTCGCAGCTGTTGGTGAGCTTCGTAGTAGGCGCCATCCGCGATCCTGAGGAGAGAAAATAATGGAACTGTCAGCAACCCAGAAACAGGCGAGAAATCAGAGAGCGGGGGTTTGTTGCTCACTTTTCTCGCTGGCGAGCGATGACCTTTTCGATGCGGGAGGTCATTGTCAAGCTGGATGGTCCAAAACAATGGAAGAAACCGTGGTGAGAGGCGCGATGCGATGGGGAGCGGGAGGGCAGTTTCGCGGGGAGGGCGCAGATGCAGGTGAGGAAAGTTGGTGGGGACGCGGCAGCTCCATGCACCTTCAACTGCCCTTACATTTTCCTCCGCCTCAACGCCCACGACCCCTGCGTGTGCAAAATTCGTGGGCTTCTTGTTTTATCCATACCTTCATTCTTGTCGCATTGTCAATACGCAGCTTTATCTGCTAGAGAGAGACCGAGCCCCCTTGTGACAGAGTCCGGGCTGGCCGCTTCGGCGCCTCGCCCAGTGAGCCTTCGCGAATCAAGGGCTAAATCACGTTTTCACGCCTCAGTGATTTTGTTCCTTCTGGTTTCGAGATCTGTCCATACGATTCAAATCATGGAGTTCCAACATGAAATGTTCGATCTTTCGAGGCCGGAGGAACGCTTCCAACATATGAAGGTTCCCATGCGCCGCCCTCAGGTTAGTCAAAGTCATCTTTTACTCAAGAGAGGTTCGCATGATTGAACGAATAAATAGGAGATCGCTTGTTTCTCTTATGATGAAAACCACGAGTTCTTACTGGGTGACGCCTCTATGTCCTACTATTACCCGCCAAAACTACCAGCCGATCTGAATCCGGGCTTCGACACATTTCGCGAGCTCATCAAGACCGCAGATGAGCATCTAGATGCTTTGCTCGATACTATCACTGCTCTGGAGAAAGAAAAAGGCAAGAAATGCGAGGCCGACATCATCACATGGAGAGGCATGATGACGAAGGCAAGTGACTTTACCGGGCTACGAAATCGCAGGATCATTTCTAACAAATTACATAGATCATGACTGCTCCCTACATCCAGCGGGATGGGTAAGCTTCTGTGATATCATTAAACCAAGAAGAATCTTTCTAACTGTCTTGGTACCGCATCTAGCTTCGAAATGAATGCGACTTGTTTCCAGGTAAGATGCCCGTACAGTGCTTGTATGGTTCATTCTATTCTAACTCGGAGTTAGGGCACAATGTATGATACTCTTGAGTCTACTCCGCTTTAAACCGGATCTACTAACGTATTATAGTTTCATCGAAGAAAACAACTCTTTCAAGAATGAGGAAAAGGAGCGGCAGTTTGCAGAGCCGCCACGACCTGGAGCGCCTTCGCAAGAGCTCATGTGTTATTGGGGTATGTTCAACTGCTTACGCTTATTATATTATGTGATTTTAACCCAGTCCAATTTCAGGTTACAAATTTGAGACTCTCTCCGTCTTGAAAAAGCCCTGGGACGCTTCAACCCGTCAAGAAATCGAGAACCGCCCCAATGAAATCGTGAACAACCACGCCCAATACTGCTCGGTGGTCGCTACGCGCTTTGGGGATTTGCGTGCGATCCTCGGCGGGGAAGTTGATGCCAGTATGTCTCACTGCCTATGCTTCCACGAATCCTCCGCTCCTAACCATCAATCTAGTATGGGACTGCAAACCAGAGCGCAAGAACGATCAAATTCACTGGGTGGAACTCAAAACGACAGAGGAACCAGCTCGAAACAAGTACGGCATGCTGAAGATGGAACGGAAGTTGCTAAAATACTGGGCACAATCATTCTTGCTCGGCGTACCTACCATCATCGTCGGCTTCCGGGACAAATATGGAATCGTTCAACGCATCGAAGAAATGGACACTGCTCAAATCCCCGTTAGAGTCCAGCGTGGATTGAATTCGTGGAATGCACAAGTCTGCATCAACTTTGCTGCGTCATTCCTTGAGTGTAAAATCGGATTCCTGTGCGTTCCATTGCTTATCACGCTAACTTTCTACAGGGCTAAAACAAGTCATCGGTGGACGAGATGGCACGTGGAGGATTCGCAAAGGATCGCACGATCCTCAAATCAGTGTTTATCGGCTTGAGACCGGGGGACACGGTGATATCCTCCCCATCTCTTTCGAGCAGTGGCGCACCCAGACCTAGGGCATGGGCGTGTCTTATCGTGTGAACTGCCCGTCTTACAAGGGCAAATATCTACTTTATTTTGGGTCCGCTGCTTAAGGCACAGTCGGTTGTCTAGCAGCAACATTGTACGTTAGGGAAGTGGACGATTTCATTGTCCCACTTAGGTCGTCTTGAAGAGCCATAGTATTTCAATGTGAATTTGCTTGGCCTCATACTTTACTAGCCTCGCTTTCGGGAGCCTCTTGGGACTCCAGTTCCGTTTTTCGAAAGTATGCATCGCGCTCTGCCTTCTTCGCAGCAGATTTCAGCCCTCTCTTGTGTCCGTAGCTGGTCAAATGGATCTTCCACTGTTCCTCGCCGGCCATGGTTTTGCGACATATCTCACATGTGAAGCATTTTGTTGTAGACTCGGGCTTTTCACGAGTCTGCTCCTCCTTGGCACCAAGGACAGTCTTGGCGAGTTCTGAGAGGGACTTGGGGTCAGGGGTAGGCTCGCCATCCAGCATTGTTTGAACAAGCTTTTCAGACGGCTCAGTAATGCATGTCTTCCAGTTGCCGACGTCGCTGCTGTCCAAGAGATATAAACGATGCGTCATGCCTGCATCAGACAAAGATTTCCATAGCTTGTTTCGGATCCATTTGATTTGGGATCTGCCGTATTGGCGAGTGGCATTCCTGATTGACTCGATGCAGGTCAACCTCAACTCCTCCAGCTCCTTCTCGCTCTTTTCGGGCTGTTGGAGGGCTTCGAAATAAGGCGCCAGTTCTTTAAATCCAATAGACACCCAAACACCCCGTGTCAAATCGACGTCGATACCTTCTGAGCGCTTGTCTCGTAGATAATCGGACATGGCCTGAGCTTCGGACATCAAGCCCTGCTTCAACATGTCGCCAACGCGCGCATTTAAACGCGAATTGAGAATCTCCTTCTCAGCGTGCACCCAAAAGATCAAAGTGTTGTCGAAGCGCAATAACCCTTCGTTTTTACTAACCGCTTCATTTTTCATCATTTGCTGCTCCGCGTAGATCTCCGAAGCACGCCGTCCAGTCTGGAAATATATCTCTAACGACCGTCGAATCTTGCGCGCATCCTTCGGATGCCATCGCTGAGCCATGACAGGATCAACCTCTGTGAGCTTTTCCATGAGAACTTCAGGCGGCGAATCAAGAATTGGCCATTTCTCAGAGGTCGAGACAAGCTCCGTAGACGGCTCCGGTCCGTCTTCATCCTCCGAGCCTTCGCCCACCAGTTGGTCCTTGAACAGCACAGCTTGGGTATAATAATGTGTACCGCCCACAAGTACCGGTGTCTTCCCACGCGCCCGGATTTCCTCAATGAGCCGGAGTGTCTCCTTCTTGAATTTGCCAATGCGCCAGGCTTCCTCATCCAGATCGACGCAGCTCAGCAGGTGGTGTGGGATGCCATTTCGCTCGTCAACGGGGATCTGATTCGTAATGATCGGAAGACCACGGTACATCTGCATCGCGTCGCCATTGATGATTTCCCCGTTGAACCGGGAGGCCAAGTCCACCGCGAGCTGTCTGTAGCTGTTAGCCCCAATATTCGAGCGTTCGCGCGGAGGAGGGGCATATTCTGCATTACCTTGGACTTGCCTGTGCCCGTTGCACCGACAACTGCGATGAGGGGATCCATCACTGCTCTTCTTTGACGGGGCCAGAATGATCGGAGGAACGGGAGCATCCCGCGCTCATCCTGTGGGTGGAGGTGTCGCGTTGGAATCGGATGGAGAACAGAAAAAAGGGTGTTATCGCAATCGCGCATTACCTCATCCCGCGACGTCGACGCTAGGATCAGCGCAGTCTAGTCCTGACTCATTGCTACTACCTTAGTCTCTGGCCTGATTTCTCCTTTCTTTCCCGTGTTTCATTTGTCCATTTATTGAGGCCTTGCGCAACATGGCGTCTCCTAATGATTCCCCAAAGCCGTCAATAGAGGTGCAGAACCTCTCCTACAAGTTCCAAGATGGATCTGCGGGGCTGGACCATGTGCAATTGGATCTCCCACCGGGAAGCCGAACGCTGTTGATCGGCGGTAAGTCGAAATGTTCCATGTTCAGATTGGTTTTCCTGTCTAATCCTTTTCGTATAGCCAATGGAGCGGGCAAGACCACCCTGTTGCGCCTAGTATCGGGGAAGCGCCTTGCGCCTAACAACACGATTGCTGTGGGCGGCAAGGACCCCTTTAAGGAGGGACTGGAAGGCGTCACATATCTCGGTGTGGAATGGGTGCTGAACAGCATTGTCCGCACAGATATCGATGTGCCCACGCTGCTGGCATCCGTCGGTGGCAATGCCTACCCGGAACGACGTGACGAGCTGGTTGATATCCTTGATATCGATCTCAGCTGGCGCATGCATGCCGTTTCCGATGGTGAGCGCCGCCGCGTTCAACTAGCTATGGGTTTGCTGCGGCCTTGGCAGGTCCTGCTGCTCGATGAGATTACTGTCGACTTGGACCTGCTCTCTCGGAGCAACTTCCTCGCTTTCCTCAAGCGCGAGACGGAGACTCGGGCATGCACAATTGTATATGCTACGCACATCCTGGATAATCTCGCTCAATGGCCTACCCATCTTGTGCATATGCATCTGGGTAAGGTTAAGGCATGGGGTCCCGTGGAGACGTTCTATAACCAGATTCCGCAGTGGACTTCCGAGAACAGTCGTCTCGGGGAGCTGGTTCTCAAGTGGCTGAAAGAAGACCTTGATGCCCGGGGACCGCGAAATGGCCGGTCAAACCAGGGTAAAACCTACCAGTCTCTCGAGGGATTAGGAGGTTATGGGCTAGAAAAGCGCAGCTAAGCTAATTGGCCATCTCTTGCTGCTAGGGCCGCTGCTTGACGATAGTCTTTTGCTTTTTTTTTATTCTATTTTCCGGCATGCCGACGCAAGGAGTCTTGTTGAATTATGTCGTTCAACAGCATTGGGTTCATCGCCTGACACGGGCGGGTTTTTGCGGGCATCTGAATCTACGGGATAGGTTCATTCAACATATGGTGTTTTTCAACCAGGACTCATAGAGGGCCTATGACATGAATATATGAAAAGTCGGGCGACATGGTAGACACGTGGGAAACATTCTTCAACCGATAGTTGAGACCACTTGGAATACATTGAAATGCATTTGAAATAAGCGGCGAAAACTTCAAAATATAATCGTAGATTTACACTACTGATGCTTCTTTCGGGTAGATATGTTATGATTGATTTCATTTCATGAACATATCATATTTATTTTGGTATCTAAGTACTGATCATGAAAGTATGTCCGAGACTGTGTATATGCGGACTGAGGTGTCCTCGCTAGCGACGGCAAGTTCAAACCGTGTCTTGGTGTTGGCCTCGGTGGCCGACACCGGCCGCCATGATAATTGTGTAATCGCTCTTGAGGGGGCAATCTCCCAATCGACATTGACTACAAGCTGGGCCTCCAAAGTATCAATCGAAATACAATAGATAGACAGAGCACCACTGTCCTCTCCCGCAGCAAGAATGAACGAATTCTGGCATGCCGTGGGCAGGAATGCAATGGCCGAGACTGCAGATGTCAAAGGCACAGTGGTCTTGCAGGTGAATGTATCCTCGGTCTTTTGCCAGATCTTGACAGATTTATCACGTCCCGCCGTCGCAAAGATGCGGTCGGTGGTGGTCGGAGCCCACGCCGCCCCGAGGATCATTCGAGAGTGACCCTTAGGGTTCGAGGTATAGTTGTAAAAAAGAGTTGGATCTTCGTCGCTGCGCGCAAAGACGGCCCATTGTCGATCTCGGCCCACACTGAGAAGGTACTTGTCATCGTCGGAGAAAGAAAGGTCATAGATAGTAAGAGAGTGGGCCGTGAGAGGAGGCTTGATCTCATGCCAGTCTGATGTATCGTACAGTCGGATCACGGCGTGATCAAGAGAGGTTGCCTTGCAGGCAGTGGCGATGAGTCGACGATCGTGGCTAACAGCAACGGCGGAGATCTCATAACCATGGCCATAGAGCTTCTCATGCTCCGGCCACAGTGTATAACGAGAAAGTTGGTCCTCCAGAGGTGGCTTATCACCGACCAGAGAAGCAATAGGCGCGGGGGTTTTGCCTGCGTTCTCTTCCTCATCCTCAATCACATTCTCGTCACCTTGTGCCTTGTTCGAGAGGCCGAGTACTGGGATTTCGGCTGTATCGGGCAGTTCATCCTTGGCCGTTTGTTTAAAACCAGTCAGTTTCTCGAGCAGCTCGGCGGTTTGTTTGGGCTCATTGAAAACACGTAGCAATTTCTCTTCCGCACCAGATACGAACTGCAATGGACCCAATGTATCCACGCAGTTCAAGTCATATCCGTGAATTTGTGGCCGTGCAAACTCATGCCACGATTGTCGATCGTTCCGCAACCATTTGGCATGAAGACGAGTTGTTTGGTCTGCACTGGTGGAGAGTAGATAGCCGCCACTAGGCTCCCATTGAACACCGTTTACCGAGCGGACATGTCCTGAGATACCGAAGTGCTGTTCCCAGATGTCCGCTTCGGAGTCATGTTGCCATACTCTCCAGCTACCAGTGCGGCCGAGACTGACAACCTGCTTACCACTAGGAGACCAAAGTCCAATCCAGAAGCCACCCGCACTTCCGGTTGCAGTCGTGGAGCCTTTTTGTACGCTGATCTCACCCATTCGCTCTGCAGACATCCAAACGCCTGATACAGGGTCTTGCTCCCAGATGGTGACCGTGTTATCCGCAGAAACCGATAGAAGCTGTGATTTTGTCGGGACAGGGTTCCATGTGGCAGTGTAGATCCAGTCTTCATTGCCGAAAAGAAGAGCTTCAAAGGTTACTGAATACTTCGCGCCATCAGCCTCAAATCCATGGGCTTTGTTTGACAGCGTGGGTTCCATTCCGCCTAGCAATGGGTCTGCTTCGTCGATTGGTGCAGCAATGTTCGCTTCACCGCGACGCAACCGCCATAGACGGATATATTTATCTTGACTAGCTGATGCCAGCAAGAGATCGTTGGGGTCATTCTGCTTGTCCTGAGTGAACGAAAGGGACCGAACCCAAGCTTCGTGGCCTGTCAAAATAGCGCGACGCGAGAAAACTGGCTTGTCGGTGGACGACTCTGCTACAAAGATCTGGATTGCTGTCATGGTGCCCGCAACAGCCAACACCAACGGTCCACCATTCACATTCCCGAGTGACCGTAGCGCCAGAGTCAGCGGGAAGAATCGAGGTTTCATGGTGATTGTACCCAGTAGCTCGGACTTCAATTCGTCCTGCGCATTGATTCTCCATATCCGAACAGTCCCATCTGCGGCGCCCGATGCGATGATGTCCGTGCCATCCGCCACGGCTATCGCATTCACAGACCCCGTATGGCCTTCGAGAGTGCAGGCATGTCTGTAGTTGTGCGAGTCTTTCGGATCTTGTTGCCATACTCGAATGGTGCGATCGACCGATCCGGTAATGATAAATCTCGTTCCGGTGGAGGGGCATGTGTAAAATCTGACGACGCTGACCTTGTCGGTGTGGCCAACAAGTAGGGCATAGACACCTCGCTGGGAGGACTCCTAAATGAATGATCAGATCGTTTCTCTAGGTCAATTGTTGTTCTCAACAACTTTAATTAACTTACCAGAGGCTCCCACAGCGCGACATTGTTGTCCGCACCGTAGGCAAGCACGCCGGACTGAACGTCCCAGTCGGCGGCACCTGGGTGGCGGTTACCACCGACGCTGATGTAGTTTGTTGCAACAGACGCCATGATTTGCAAATATGCGTTCCTCCAGCGGAGTGTTCGCAACTGACGTTGAGCAGAGGCAGAAAAAGAGCTGTCGCAAAAGTGAGTGGAATTGAGCGGCTTATCGATAAGTTCTTCCGCCCGCATCAAATCAGCTGGAAATCCAGAGCCCCTCCGTCACGCCTCTTCCAGCTTCCGAGCTTCGCCTGTTGGACTTTCGACAAGAAAGGGATATTCCTGTACAGAGAGCGACTCTAGCGACTCTACTTTGTACGCTTCGTCTACACAATCAATAAACGCCATGGCCGACTCTACGAACGGCAATTCCGCTGCCACCATCTCTATTACTGTTGAATTCACGTACGACTCCCGAATGTCGATTTTGTGACCCTGTCTGACTATGAATCATAGCGGTGGCCTCGAAATCCTTTTCTCCAATGAGCGTGAACATACCATCACACTTCCTGCTCGCTTGAGTGACGGGAGTCAACCGACAATTTCATACTTACTTCAACATCTGGTGGAACATGTTATGAAGGATGATCGGAAAGGGCTCTTCATTATGGAAGACAATGTGTATGTTTATCGAAATTGCTCAAACTATCCTTGTGAAGTCTATTAACAAAACTTGTAGGCGGCCTGGAATTCTCGTCTTGATCAACGACGCCGACTGGGAGCTTGAAGGCGAGGAGAATTACGAGCTTCAACAGGGTGATAATATCGTCTTTGTCTCAACCTTGCATGGAGGATAGACTGAGCTAGTGTGAAATTATAAAAATAATAAAAAATGCTGTGAATTTTGTTGCTATCGATGAAGTGCTTAGCACATAAAGGAAAAGTTTAACCCTCGTCATATCGGGAGAAAGGAAAGTCTTCGAGCGGTCTATGATCAAACGACGTCTTCAACGTGTTGCTGAGAAATTCTCTCGGGTTCCCGAGGAGTTCGAATTCCACTTGGAGTACGGCTGATTCCAGTCGGAGTGGCATTGCCATCCTGTGGACTGCCTAATCCTTGGGCGGGAGAAACTCCGCCACTTGGAGGCACTGGGATCTTCAAGTCTTCAGGTGAGGCTGGGATGATTTCTTCTGGAAGACCGGGAATATGAATGCGGCTTGCCTCGTTTTGATAGCTCTCGGGGATGATCTAAAATGAAAATGACTGTCAGTTTGGGATCAAGTACATATTAATTAGCGGCACTCTGTACCTCAATGATTTCATCGCGAGGGAACTCCAGGAACGGTATATCGGCAGCATTGCAGGCCATGAGATAGCCGTACAAGACTCTCAGAACGCTTTCGTGGGCAATGATGAGTAGGTCATTCTGCTCTCTCTCGAGTTCGAGAATAATGGGTTCAAGACGAACGGCCAGATCATGATAAGACTGTTAGATGAATATTAGTAAAGGCTCGAATATATGCCCCAATCGATATATTACCTCTGCACGGGGGTAGCGATGGTGATAGGGGTCAAGCTCATGCTTTGACACCTCGTCGGCATACTCAGCTCGAATTCGCTTTTCGGACATCTTCTCACAGACTCCTGGGTTGAGCTGGCTCATCTGAGATCGCTGTCGAACCTTATAACCCTGTTCATAAAGATACTTCGCGGTTTCGACAGTTCGACGGCGGGTGGACGTCCAGACCTTCAAAGGTCGGAGCTCATAGCCAGTCTCGCCTCGATCGATCATTTCTTGTTTTTCAGATTCCCGGTGAGCCATCAGACATTCGGTCATTTTCTTAGCATAATCCTCTCCTTGCTCCGAGAGAGAAGCGTCGGCTTTGTAAGAGTCTGCTTCCACAGAAACGCCGGCCTAGATGCATTATTAGACAATTCGATCGATGTACAGGAGTGAGGGCAGAAAGCTGCTTACCCGTGCAAAGTAAGTTCGTCTGGATTTGATATGCAGGTTCAAGAGATAAAACACGATGCGGTTTGAGAGATATCCGAAACTTCGGTTGTTAACGATGAGCCGTTCACCTGCGTTAATCATCTGAAAAGGATTAGCGAAGAGTTTGGTCATAATCCAAAAGGTTCCAACCTTGATATAGTTCAGGTCCTTTTCCTCCATCGTTTGGAATTGGGGAATGCGAGCAGAGATACGGGTTAGATAATGCTTGACAGCATCCTCGGGCTTCCATGAAACGTACTAGAATATCAATTAGCTCATCTCAAATAGACATCAGACAAGTAATTGCACTCACATCAGGAGAAGAGATTTTGACTCTGCGGACGTTTTCCTCGATGATCTTCTCGTCATCACACCAGGACTCAATGAAAAGTGTCTAAAAGAAAAATTTCAGTAACCTTACCATCAATGGAGAGAAATGGGGCAAATTTACCTCAATATCATGTTTCGCGAATTCCTTGGCGAGCGAACGGCGTCCCGAAGCCAGAGGGTTTACCGCATCGTAGATTGCAATTTGACCATTTTCGTGATTCAAAAAATGGTAAATATCTTCTCGGCACTTGCGAACAATCTTCTGGCGCAAAAGGACTGATGATGCAGTGGCTAGAGCAATGTCGGTATGTTGAAATGAAGGGAAGGACCGGAGCAGACGTACCATTGACATAGAAATAATCATCTGGCATATCCTCCCCAAATGGAATGGTGGCGCGTCGATAATCTCCAAGATGGAAGATCCTAGTCTTGACTCCAAGCCTATTTTGTGTATTAATCGATCAGCCAGGGCCCACAATGCAATTGAATCATCTCAACATACCATCGAAGATACCGTGCCAAGGCCACAGACATGTGTCTTATTTTCCACAGAAATCATAATGTTAGTATTTGAAATCGGCGAGGGTGGCTGACTGGGCTAGGCATACGTCTTTCCTCTTGCGGGCAACCCCACGGTGATGATCACGATCCGGCCCGAGTGAAAGAGCCGGCCCGATTCGGTGCTGTACAGCTGGGCCGGAGCAAGATCGGCCTTTTCGGGCAGATCGTGGATAGCATCGACGAAAATCGACGACTTGCGGCGAAACTGCGGCGAGTTGGCCACAATTTCGGCAGTTCTGGTTGACGTCAGCTGTGTGTCGGACAAAGAACACATCTCGTTCGGCGGTCTTTTCGACTGCGACCCAATGCGCATGCTGAGGGAAGCCGATGTCTTCCTGGGAAAAGTATAGGATCTGCGAGGTAGGAAGAATCTTGAACGGAGAAGAGGCTTACAATAGAGTATCCATGATGGCGGGGCTGAGCAGGGTGGACGAAAGAAACCGCGTGTAATTGTCCTAATATGCGGCAAATCAGAGAGTCACGCCAAGTAGAATGCCAAAGGAGCGGAGAGTCTGTAGATGCCTTGCCAGAAGGCAGGATTTTCTCGATGGAGAGCAAGTTGGAGAGACGAAGACAGAGCACGATGTTGCCGCAACGAGGCGGTATAGGCGATAACGGAGAGTAGATATCAAATCAGGTGGATCCAAGCTGCCTCTTATTGCTCCGGTCAACAACAATGCGGATTCTCGCGACCACCGGCTCTGAAGAACGTACTTCTTTTTAACTGCATTCGAATCAATCAAGCCTGGAAATGCCTGTGTGTCTTTTATTTCACTCGAAATCATTCGACACGACTGGTCTTTCACCTTGGGGGCGGCCGAGCAAGCTTGAGGCGCTTACCTAAGGATCCGGCGGACGGCAGGGGCCAACCGCGCCGAGGATCTGGCAGTTGGCATTTTTCACGGAAAGTCTTCAGCTCCGCTTCCTCCAAATCAACCCCCCGACTCCCCCGAGCGGATCCGATCCAGTCCTTTCTCCAAAGCCTACACCATCAGCGACGTTTACTCGCTCCAGATCAATCGGGCTGGTCTCAATCCTTCCTCGCTCGTCCACTGTCCTCTTTCCGCCATCCCATCCGTTACCCGGCAAGCGCGTTAAGACACCTCCATAACTTCAACCTTTTCAATCCCAAAATGTCCGATCTCACTTCATCCCTCGGTGTCGTGACCGACAACCCCGCTATGGCTGCTATCAAGGATGCATACAACTCGTTCTCCGAGCGGAGGGCGTTGCTCAACCTGCCCAACCCCGGCACTGTCGAGAACATCGCGCGTGAGGTTCAGAAGGATGTGCTGTTGACCAACTTCATGTTCACAGGCCTTCGGGCAGACCTTACCAAGGTCTTTGGCATGACTCCTCTGTTCCGCGTCTCGCACGCTTTCTCCATGGGCTCGGCCTCAGGCACCATGCCCCCCTACGCCTTCTCCGCTATGTACGGAAGCCCCAAGGTAAGTAAATCCCATCCCGATCAAGGGCGATCTTCCAATGCCATCATCTCCGAGCTCAAAATCTAAGTAATTTCTTCCTTTGCCAAAAAAGGTCTTTATGCAAGGCAACATGGGCAGTGATGGCACCCTCTCCGCCGTCTACAACTACCGCTGGAACCAGGCTTTGGTCACCAAGACCAATGCCCAGGTTATGGCCGGTGCTACCCAGGGTCTTCTCCAGATTGATAACGACTACACTGGTGCCGATTTCTCTGCTTCCATCAAGGCTTTCAACCCGTCCATCTTCGAGGGCGGTCTGACCGGAATTTTCGTCGGTAGCTATCTGCAGTCCATTACACCTGGTCTGGCTCTTGGTTTTGAGGCTATCTGGCAGCGCCAGGGCATGAACTCCCGCCCCGAGACTGCTCTTTCCTACTGTGCCAAGTACAAGGGTGACGACTGGATTGGTACCGCCAACCTGCAGGCTCAGGGTAACTTCGCCGCGACCTACTGGCGCAAGCTCTCCGAGCGCGTCGAGGCTGGTGTCGACATGAACCTCCAGTTCGCTCCCAGCCCTGCTGCGATGATGATGGGTGGCCCCAGCCGCGATGGCACCACCGCCATCGGTGCCAAGTACGACTTCCGTGCCTCCTCTTTCCGTGCCCAGGTCGACAGCGCTGGTAAGGTTAGCTGCCTGCTTGAGAAGCGCATCGCCATGCCTATCCAACTGAGCTTCGCTGGTGAGATCGACCAGGCCAAGGTATGACTAACCCCATTCTGCTTATTTTTTCATTCTACTTTTTTGAGGTTTGAGATACTAATTATTTAATAGCAAACGGCCAAGGTCGGCCTTGCCGTCTCTCTGGAGATCGCCGGCGAGGAGCTGATGGAGCAGCAGGAGAAGGCTGATCCTGCTGCCCTGGTTCCTCCTCCCTTCTAAGCTCCTCTCTCCTCTCTTCCCGAGACCTTTCTCTCGACTCGAGTGCATTTGATCCACACCACTCGAGCTAATCACCACCCTTCAACACCTCTGTTTTAGTAGTTCTTCGCTCTCCTCCCACGATGTCTGAATTAACATGGCATGTCACTTTTTCCTCCCTCGGTATGTCCATTTTGTAACGGTTGCTGGTGCAGGCGGCAGTTGTTTGGCGCCATGGAGACTTCCACATGTTCTTTTCTGTATAGATTCACACTCCGTTTTTTTCCCTTTCTGATGACCTTCTCCTGACTCCGCCTACTCAACACCCGCATCTTGTCTGGTGATCTATTGGTCCGTGTCTTGTTTATCTTCTTACTTGATGTCCTTCCATGGCCCTGTGTCCTATGGCCGATGATTTGAACGAGGGGGTTGAGTTGCGAGGTGGGAGATGCGCGGTGCCCTTGATATGGGTATCGTGGTTATGGTTTCTTGCATCATAGACGGACCAATGTAAAACAGTCTTTTCAAACTTAATCAGATTTGCATACAAATCATTTCGGAAGGCCCGTAGTGCTTGGTACCCTAAGGTAGAAGATAAATATTTCGTTACTTGATCACAGTTACTTTATCACACCCGGCAAGCAAACCTGATCAACGTCCACGGATCAAATGATGGTGCTGTGAGTCCGATCTGAGAGACATGTACTACCGAAACCAAATCATGAAATCACCCTGTATTTCACATCAGTGGATTCCCATGTATATCCTCTATGTATTGAGTACATCCCACGTTGTAAGACTGCTCTTGCTGTGTAGCAATCCTCCCATCAGCACAACTCAGCGAAAAGCACAACCAGCCACTCCGATTCGGTACCCAACCACCCGGCATCCGAGGGTCACCTGACGCTCACCTGACTGGCACATGACCATTCCAGACTCGCAGGTCTTCCCAGGCGTCGTCGTCGGTATACGAGGCAACCGAGCAAGCGTCCTGTGTGGCCCTGGGGTGGACGTGTGTGGAACCCGGTGTGGGCTGCTGGAGAACCGCGCCCTCCAACGAATGCGCCAAAGACTCCGGAGTGCAGATGTGGACTTGGGCCTTATGCATCTCCTTGTGGCATTCGAGCAAACGGTTCGACGTTCGACCTTGAGCGTCCCCCACCCCCCACCCTCTGGACCCAGCTTTTGTCGAGGCGAAATCAGATTTCCAGCTTGCCCCATTTTGGCGGGACTTGCAATGCGGTTTTGGCGATTGCCTGGTTCACCAGTTCCCCAGGTGTCGTAGAGTTTCCCCCGGTCCGGTTGGACACAGGATCGTTAACGGGGACCTTGAATAGATGAATTAGCCGGGACTTGGCTACATATTTGGCTACATATGTGGTTGCAATCTACTTCCGACTCCGTCCCGTCTGGTTGGCGGCTTTGCTTTATCCGCGACTGGGACTGTCGGGGTTGTACTGCCACATATCTCAGTGGCTGGGACAGGCCAGTTTTTTTCCTGCTTCTACTATAGAGGAGGTACATGATACCGACATCGTGGATCGAGTACAAACCACGGGTACTCCTGTTGGTCCATGTGGTGGGTGGCTGGAGGATTTCTTGTTTCTGCTTCCGCTTCTGCTGGTCTCTCGGTTTCTTGTTTTGGATCAGCAGGACCAGGACCGGCGCCGACTGGCTGACATGTAATGGATTTCCACTCTCGCGTGCGCTCTCCCACAAAGTCCACATCTGCCCTCCTCCGTACTCCGTAGTTTCCCCCTCTCTTTACCCCCAAAACTCGCCAGGGCTGACATCATTCGGCCGTTGGCCTCGTCCGTCCGTCCTCCAGGTTTGTCGACCTGCAGTGGCTCTCCTGGGGCCTTTGGCTGGCTGCGGGACTAAGGGCAGTCAAATGGAGAGGGCACGACGGTCCCGGCTTTCTTTTTCGCGGGCGGATTTACAGTTTCGACGGCGGGGGCCCGAGACCCTCCCATCCCGGCCGCCCAATCGTCGCCGCCGTGCGTCTCCTGGTCCTTCGCCTGCGCGGTAATTCCTCGTTTTTTTCCCTTGAAATTGATGTGGGTTTGGTTTCCACTCGCCGGATCTGGTCGACGTCCTACGGACGTGGGCTCGGTAAATCTCTGCTTTTTGTTTGTCTAATCTCCTTTTTTTTCTATCTCTTTTTTCCTGAGGGGAGAGTGGTAGTCGATGTGCGTGATGTGGGTTGTGGATAATTATGTAGGGTGCTTTTCATGTCAAGGTATTGTCAGTACCGAGTACATAGTAGCTCAAGTAAATATCTTAGGGCATGCACTCGACGGACTACAAGGACAAGGTGAGACAACTGCTGCACACGAATGTTGCAAGTACATCGGTATGCACAGTTAGTGAAAGATAGCGTATAGATCAACGAGACCGTGACGTGATGCTGGTTACCCGTCTCCACGCTATGGTTGAAAAGAGCCCAACATTCCCCGAACAGGTATAGGTTCGCCAATAGACGCGCGATGTCTCCCGATGGGAGGCAGATGGAAGATTGCAGGATGCCACCCAAGAGTGCGAGAGACAAGTATATTTGGATCGTCGCTTGCGATGGCAGATCTTTCCTGCTAGCGCCCTCGGGATGGGTTAGCATTGAACAGCATTGAGAGGCACAACGCCATGAGAAAATTAGATCCCAATCTCAGGAGAACAGCCAATGAGCCGCGTCGGAGATCATGATTCGCATACATCGTTGGTATGCATTCAATCGTTCTCCGCGAGCGTGTCGGCATTCCGCGAACTGTGAAGAGAATTGAGCATCGAATTCTTTGGTTTTTGTGAAACTGCGCACCGATGTTTTCCTCCTTCTCCAGGTGGTATGGAATGCGTGAGAGCCCACGTGTCTGACAGTAGAGCGGCGTAGGAATGCAAAGTCCTTGTACCTTGCTTATCCATGGCCACCGAAATGAAAAAACCACATGCCGGGCCGTGCTGAATGGACATTCCCCCTCGGGTCCGAGCCCATGCATGGGAAGGGGGCAGGATGCATACTTTTCATGCCGGGTCAAACCCAGAAAAAAGGGGAAAGCAAAAAGGGCCAGGAACACACGGCTTCGTCGGGAGGGTCAAGAACGGTATGCGGCATGGAGATATACGATCTCCAGGTCCACTCGAACCATCATGAACGCTCTCTTTTCCCAGGAGACTTCTGCTTGGAACACGCCGTAGAAGAGCATGCAGTACAGTGCAGCGGGAGCAAAGCACGGAGCGCCTGGGAAATCAAATGAATGACCGGGGTTCGGGGCCCGGATTAGTATTGAAAGATGGCACACTGGATCAGGGCTCGCTCTCCGAACAAGACCCAAGACCCGGTGGCCCCGTTCCAGTCCCAGATGGCCGTGCCTCATTGAGGGACGAGCCTCATTGAGGGACGACGGTCGAGGGCCCCCTTGTAGTCACGATCCGAAGGGCTGAAAAGGACCTTAGGAAACGTCACTATGGAGATGACAGCTGTGTCGCCTGACGAACTGTGGCGAAGGTGTGAGGTCTGGTGATGTCGATCGCCGCAACGGCTCTAGCGGCGTCTCTCCGGCCTTTGCGCTACGACTCTCGTACCTACTAAATTCGAAGGTACTGGAGAAAGTTGGATCGAACAGTTATGGGGCGGTAAATACGCGGTTTTACAAGGACCGGCGCGCAGCCGCAGCTGCAGCGCGGTCGCTTCTCAACATGAACATTTTCAGCGAGGTGCAGGACCGTTCCCAATCCTTCCTCAACTCTCAACTTGTCTCGTCCCCCCGAGAGTGCGAGGAGGGGAGCTGGATCCTCAACGACCTAGTCTCCATTATTGGCGGATCTTGGTCAGTGCGCGAGATCTGGGAGGTTTCCTCAGGGGAACATTCTCTTGGTGCTTTACTTCTGGTGGATGAACAAAGAAATATTATTTTTTTTTTACGTCTGTTGGTTTCTTTGGCAAATAAAGTATGTCGAACCAGTCGGTGTGGCTCGATCTCCGGCATCTGTATCTCGGCGGTGACGACGGTTCCGGCTAGGCCAATTCCTCAATTTTCTATTCCTCAGAACCGAGACATGCCCCCCCCCCCCCGTCCCGGATGCCGAACTGAAGCTGGGAGCTCTGGAGAGCTACCAGCTTCCCAGGTACCCCGGCGGGTGCAGGTGGCCCGGTTGGAATCCCAATCACTCGGAGCTGGGCGTCGGCTGGGATCACTTTTGGGCCCTCACATGCCAAGGGGATCCCTGCGGGAGGCGATGGGGATCGACGTTCGGTTTTGAGCTGCCGGGTCCCGTTCATGCCGTATCTTGCATGGCATCGTGTTCCCAGCTATGTCGAAAAAGCAAAGGGAAGCGAGCCGCGATCGAGGCCTCGACCTCGTTCCCAATGCTTCCCGTGCAGGCCTGGCGTGGACTGGTCACTGCGTGGATCGCAGGGTGGCCCAAGCTTCGTAAGTCAGCTGGACTCTATGACATCGCGGTCACGAGGGCGGCTCGGCCAATGAACGCGGTTCCTGAGAAAATCACGGCCGGTCACCCGACGTGCGGTACTTCGAGCTGTCGTCTATTGATAGTACAGACCACTGCTAGTAGTAGGCTAGTCGGCCTACTAGTAGTCTAAAGTGACAGTGGGGACATCCGAATCGCTAGCAGCCCGTCTCGCAGCCCAGACACACAAGCGTGAGTAATGCGTGGGAGATACATACCTGGCTCACTTAGTACATACTGCACTATACGTACGGGAGGGGAAAAGTGTGGTACTGAATCGGTATATGTAACTGCTCCTCCAATCCCGGCCGCGATGATATCATTCCGCTGGAACGGTACCGTATCGGTTATACCGTATTGTGTCCAGCAGAGGCAGAAAGGGCACACCATCGTGAGAGGGGAATCGAGAGATCAGATCTAACATACTAAGAATAGTGTATAAAAGTGCTGACAATGGAGGCCATTCGACCCGTTTGTTTCCCCTTCAAAAAAGTCTTAATAAAAAAAACCACTTAGGTCCATTGGGGAGACCCCAAAAAAGAGAGGCTATTGTGCTTCTCGCACCCGCCCCTCTCTTTCCCCTCCCACATCCACTTCTCCCTCCCATCCCCCCGTTTTCCCAAATCCCCGTAAGACCAGAACCGCAAAACCACCAAACCACACAAAACCAAACCAAACCCGTCAAACAACCACAACGTCACCTGCGACTCGCCCTGACCCGATTTTGGTCTTGCACCTCCCCCCGTCGAACCCGCCGAAGTCCACCAGTCCACCCGGCCACCGTCGAACTCCCCCATTTACCCTCATTGGCCCGCTCACCACTGCTGCCCATTCATCTCTTACTCTTCTCTCCCTCGTGCTTGGCACCTCTCGTCGTTTCTTCTCACCCCCGTTCGGACCTTCCGCCCAACCCACCCCTCCCCCCCCCCCCCCCCCCTCTCTTCCCTAAGCTTCTCCACCGCTTATACCCTGCCCAAAACGGATTCTCTTCAACTTCTTCGATAGCACTTCCTCCCGCCTCCCCCGCGATGTCCCAGAGTCGGCCTGGGCTGATCCCAAGTTTGCGCATGGGCGGTATGTTACCTTCCCCCCTCCACCGTCAATTGCGCGGGAGAAGTCACACTAACGCTTCCGCTTCACCGTCACCAGAGGTCATCCGCGAAAAGGTCCAAGATGGACTGACCGGCGAGGCCAAGGAGATCGCCTACACTCAGTGCAAGATCGTCGGCAATGGATCCTTCGGCGTCGTGTTCCAGACCAAGATGGCGCCCAGCGGCGAGGACGCTGCCATCAAGCGAGTCCTCCAAGACAAGAGGTTCAAGGTAAGGCGGATTCACCCGGAAATTCTACACTGCAGTACACCATGCTGACCATCCCTAGAACCGTGAGCTTCAGATTATGCGCATCGTGCGCCATCCTAACATCGTCGAGCTCAAGGCCTTTTACTACTCCAACGGCGACCGGGTATGTGTGACGATTCCCCTCAGCCTCCTCTCGCTCCCTCCATTGCCCCCACCACCAGGACCTCGCTAACCTTTGCTCCCCCGTTCATAGAAAGATGAAGTTTATCTCAACTTGGTTCTCGAGTATGTCCCGGAAACCGTGTATCGGGCATCGCGCTATTTCAACAAGCTGAAGACGACTATGCCCATGCTGGAAGTGAAGCTGTACATTTACCAGCTGTTCCGGTCGCTGGCCTACATCCACTCCCAAGGGATCTGCCACCGAGACATCAAGCCCCAGAACCTTCTCCTGGACCAATCCACCGGTATTTTGAAGCTCTGCGACTTCGGTTCCGCCAAGATTCTTATCGAAAACGAACCCAACGTTTCTTACATCTGCTCTCGCTACTACAGAGCCCCGGAGTTGATCTTCGGCGCCACCAACTACACAACTAAGATCGGTACGTGACCCCATGGCCTACCCGCCAATGGTCCATTCGCCCTATAGTGGTCATGGCATAATGCTGAATTTTTTTTTTCTCTAGATGTCTGGTCAACTGGCTGTGTGATGGCGGAGCTGATGCTGGGTCAACCCCTCTTCCCTGGTGAGTCGGGCATTGACCAGTTGGTGGAAATCATCAAGGTGCTAGGTACACCGACCCGCGAACAGATTCGCACGATGAACCCTAACTACATGGAGCACAAATTCCCCCAGATTAAGCCCCATCCCTTCAACAAGGTCTGTTTTCCATCTTCGCCCCCGATGCCCTGGCCAAGCAATGCTGACGTTCAATTCCCAGGTCTTCCGCAAGGCGCCTCCGGAGGCCATCGACCTCATCTCAGCCCTGTTGGAGTACACACCCACACAACGACTGTCGGCAGTTGAAGCTATGGTTCATCCCTTCTTTGATGAGCTGCGGGATCCCAACACACGGCTGCCAGACTCGCGCCACCACAACAACCCCACAAAGGAACTCCCACCCTTGTTTGATTTCTCACGGCATGGTAAGTCAACCCCCTCCCAGTTCTCGTCCTCTTTTTTATATTACATTGTCTTTCGTTGGGGAGAGAAGTTGAGATGTGTATTGACGACTTTGCAGAACTTTCAATTGCTCCCGAACTGAACTCCCAGCTGATTCCGCCTCACGCTCGCCCCGCTCTGGAAGCCCGTGGTCTCGATATCAACAACTTCAAGCCGCTTTCCAAGGAGGAGATGATTGCTCACCTCGACTGAGCGAACAGCCATCGCCTCGACGAGAAACTCGTTTTTTCATATCACGCACCGCGTCCGACCTGGATAATTCGATGTTCTACTGACCGAGTACTATCGCATTTGTGAGTGGAGTGAATTGAAGAGCATGGGTTTCTCTCGGGCTTGTACACTTTTTTTCATCATCCGGCACTCATGGCGGGACGAATATCTGTCAGAAACGAACTCGGGTGTGAAAGATGGGGAAATGGTTGATATCTGTTTTCATGGCTGAGCAGAAAGCCAGATTTCGATTCATCGGGGCTAGGGCTCATGATTGTCACGCAACGGTGGGAGGTCATGGCCTGGAGTTTATTTATTGAGGTGTCTGCGACAACTCTTGGGAAGAAAAAGTGATACCCTTATCTGTGCAAGTCTGCCTTTCCGGGATTGAAGACTGCATGGCTTCATCGGTCGAGGGGAGGAAATCCCAAATACAGCCGAACTCGACCCCGGGACATTCGATATGCATCACCGACGGGTCTAGAGGCTTTCTTTTATCCCACAATGGATCCTCACGGGTCGCCTTGTGACTTCCCCTCGACTTGCAGCGCTAGAAACCTTGTTTATTTTCTTCCCTTTGCGTCTCTTTTGTTCTCCTCTTTTTCCCTTTTCTTTTGCTTGTTGTTCTCCCCTTTCCTATTGCAGTGTCATTGTCCGGATCTCATTGGGCTTGGCTGGTTCCTCCTCTTGCCCTCCCGCTCGCCTGCGATGAGCTACATGTTCCAATTCTGAAGCAGACGGTTTTCTTTGTTTCACTCGAGCTTGTAAATGTCTTGTACCGTAGAGTTCTTCGTGTGGGAGGGATTTTGAGGCTACTGCTGCAGCTCGCACCCAGGGTATAAATGGGGTATCTACCGTCGGGGAGAGTATCCCACTTATTTACATTTTTCTACCTCGATACACGTTTCAATTCACAGCTTGCCAATACTATAGCGACCCAACTGCCTTCCGCCATACAAGCAGCATCGGAGCAAGAATGCCAAAGTAAATGCTCTGATTGCTAATAAGTGTACTGAGATGCCACGTAAAATCACAACCCCTGTGAAGAGATACACTTAAGTACTATTTGCACTACATATCTTGACCTTTATTCGCAGTTTGGCTCAAATTCTCTTCCAGCATTCAGTTAATTTTCCGCGTTGGCAATCCATCCGTTGGCGGCCAATCCAAGTGATTTTGTTGACGCGATCGGATCGGAAAATCTCACTTTCCGGGCCTGGCATTTACCTTGCAAGCTCCGAACCTCCAGTTCCCCCATCTGAATCCACAACCAAGCTCTGAGATTCCATTGAACGAAACTACACGCGCGATGGCTGATTACGAGCGCCGGAACAACGGCTACCGCGGCGGCGGTGGCGGGCGCAAGCGCCGTTACAGAGGTGAGGGAACCTTCCCTGGGTGGATTAACTGCTGGGGAGCTGAGATGAGCTGACACGATACCTCTCAGATGACGATGACTACGATCGCCGACCCCAGAGAAGAAAATATGAAGAGCCTCTGTTTGTCCAGGTTCGGCGTCAGTTGCTGACAATCGCGGAATCGGTATGTCCGTCTTTACGCTCTTGAGCGCGCTGCGGATGAAGCCGGTATACTAATGCGGTGAATGTTTCTAGGCGGTGCGACGAGTCGAAGATGATATCGTTGGAATTGCAAAGTCTGTGGCCGAGCATTATGAGGATGAGGAGTTGCGCGACACATTCATTAACATCTCGTTGGACCTGTATGTCTCTCCCACCCATACAACTGCTCTCTGGCCCGCAAGACCACCTACTGACCAATTGACTTTGATGATAGTGTCCGCGAGCAACCTATGAAGATTCCCTTTGTCGCCGCCATTACGTTGGTTACGCATAACCTGAAGCCGGAGCTTGGAGCGGAGGTCTTGAAGAAAGCCGGCGGACTCTTGCAGAAATACATCGACACAGGAGCCTGGCGCGAGGTCAAGCTACTTGTTCGGTTCCTCGGTTGCTTGCAAGCCATGTTTGAAGGTGACGGTGTTTTTCCACTTCTGGAAGAGTTCTTTGCTCGTGCGGTGGATCTCCAGACCGCGTCTTCTGAAGATGTATGTAGCAGCCCTTATACTGACACAACGGCCTTTTGCTAACATGTTTCAAAATAGCTGCTCGGATTGGAACTAGTCAAGATTATTCTCTTCACAATCCCCTACGTGATGTCGTCCCCTGCGACTGGTTTTGAAACCCAGGCCTCGGCGCTTCTTGACAAGACCGATATCATCGCGTCCACCCCTCACGCCCTCGTCGATCTCGTGAATACTTTCAGCCCTGATGAGAACAAGGAGGCAGCTGGTCCCAGTGTGATCAGCCTGATGCAGACCCAACTCCAGGCCGAGGCCGGCCGCGGCTGGGAATTGAAGTGCCTTCCCCGTCCGTGGAAGAGTGTGCAAGAGAGCAACGAAGATGAATCAAAGCCCTTTGAGGTTGCAAGCAAGATCCCTTTTCCGGAAATCAATGTCCCAAATCCGGTTCTCCATGGCAGTCACCCGCTTTTCCCAGAAGTCTACCTCTCGGTATATGCCGATCAGGATATCAACACCGTGCCCCCAACCTCGGATATTACATCCTCTCTGTTGAGAGAAGTCCTGGTTGATACGATCAATCTCCTCGACTTTAACAGAGTTGCCACGGCTAAGTATCTGATTGACATCGACTGCTACTTTACCCCTCACACATTCGTCAAACGTGCAACTACCTTCGACCGCATGCGTGATCTGGCTGGCGAAGGCCAATCATGGAAGCCAGAGGATGTCGCCGTGGATGCAGTCTTCTCCCAGCTGTACCAACTGCCTACTCCGGAGCACAAGCTTGTTTATTATCACTCCGTATTGACTGAATGCTGCAAGATCGCTCCGGCAGCCATTGCGCCAAGTCTGGGCCGTGCTATCCGCTACCTGTACAACAACCTCCAGACAATGGATTTGGAGCTGAGCAACCGTTTCTTGGATTGGTTCGCTCACCATCTGAGCAATTTTGGTTTCACGTGGAAGTGGAGCGAATGGTAAGTCGACTCCCCTCACCTTTTCTAAGATTTGAGGTTAATCACGATCATAGGATTGACGATCTTGAGCTCCCTGCCGTTCATCCCCGGATGGCCTTCATCAATGGTGCACTTGATAAGGAAATTCGACTGAGCTTTGCCCAGCGTATCAAGGGTACTCTCCCGGAGCCTTACATCCCCCTTATCACCGAGGGCAAAGAGAAGGATACCCCCGAGTTCAAATACCTTTCCGAGAGTAAGTCCTCCTTTTTCACGAATATTGCATCCCGGAAATCGCATCTAACGACATGGAAAGTGACGCCCTACTCTAAGGAAGGGCAAGAACTCAACCAACTGATCCGAAAGAAAGCTGGTGACGACGAAATTCAACCCGTAATCGCCGCCATCGAAGAGCAAGCCCAGGATCTGGGCGTTGAAGATCCCAAGGTGCCTTCCACAGATGCCTTCGTCACATCGATCTGCTTTGCTGGCTCCAAATCCCTCTCTCATGTCCTGTCTTGCATCGAACGGAACAAAGAGCGTCTCCTTGCCATAGGCCCAGCCTCCCAAGCAGCCCGCTGCCAGATTATTACCTCTGTCATGGAATACTGGACCGACCAACCCGGCATCGCAATCAATATCATCGACAAACTCCTCAACTACACCATCCTCAGCCCCCTCTCGGTCCTTGAATGGGCTCTCTCCGAAAACATGGCCGCGGGAACTATTCTCGCGAAGCCGCACATCTTCGAAATGATTTCCGCAACAGTCGGTAAAGTCACGAATCGCATGCGTCAAATTGTCACTGCCCGCACACAGCCCGGTATCTACGAGCCCCAATTGAGCATTCTGGATGAGACACTTTCCCGGGAGCGTGCCGATATGCAGTCTCTTTTCAGATTTATCGAGGATGCGATTGTCTCCGTTGCCGCTGGAAGCAATGATGAACAGATGGAGCGTGGCGATGGTAGTGGAGATTTGCCTGAAGATGCCATTATTCGTCAGTGGGGTCGTCGCTGGTTGAGAGTCTTCCGTCGCAAGGCCGGTGTTGAAGAGTCTTTCATTAACGGTGCCCTGGTCAATGCTACGCCAGTTGGAACAGTTGCTCCGCAGCAGGATACCCCTGCCACCGAAGATGGAGATGTCCAGATCGAAGATGCTGACAACCAGTAAGCGTGGGTAGCCAAGACACCTTCTAGCGGGTGTGGCTAAATGGTGATCTCTTGGGGCTTTCTCTCTAATTTAAGCTGACTTTCAATGGTTTTTTTTTTTTTTTTTTTTTTTTTTTTTTTTTTTTAACCTTGGCCTTTTCCGTTCAATTCCTGTGTCACGGCATGACGTCCGTAGATGCTAGGCGGATCTGGATCTGGATCTCGACTACCTGGATGTGTACACTACCAAAACTAAGCCTGTTACCATTACCTATTCTTGCAAATCAAGTGGCTTACCCGCTGTTAAATTTATAATATAACAACAACCTACTTGCATTCCATCTCAAATAATTACAATATGAATGACAGACTAGAATAAAAGTTTTGTGTACTAGTCGGAGTACATTCGCCGGAAAAAGCCTCCTGGATCGCAAAGTATAAAGTAGCACATCTGGACCCAACAGAGATGCACAAGATTAGTTATAAGCATTGTAAGATGGAGATAAGAGTTCCCGGCATCGAAAGGCATTGAGGCGGAATATGTTTTCTATGTAAAGGACGCTTCTTGAAAGTGATTTTCTTATGAGATGGGCGGTCCTCGGTTCCAGTGTTCGGTCAAAGGTGTGAATCGCGAAGGCAAAGCAGGTTAGAAAGAACAGCCTTTATGAACTGCGAATGTGGCAATACTCTTCAGCTTAAATCTGCGCCCAAGGACTGGGCAAGAATCTATTTTGTTTCGTTTCGTTTCCCGAGACCCTTAGGATTTCCCTCGTATCATTCCAGCTTTCAAGTGCTGAAATTTCTCAAGTCGACTATAATACCGGGTACGACGTTGAGTACAATGAAGGAGAAAAGCGAGCAGAAAGCGAAAGGGAAGGAATAAACAATGACCCCTCCTGATATCGTGTACATCTTTGAATCCTAAATCCATAGCCCGTTAAGATAAAAGAGATGATCACCGAATAATAAATAATTATAAAGCCTGCTGGCTTTTCCTTCTTTACCACTTCAGTCAGAACTGGCTGCGCTCCTTCCTTACGGAGCTCGTCGGTCCATGAAATAGGGACCCGATTCATCCACATCACTACTCGACCCACGCGTATAAATTGACATATTATCCTCATAGCTCCCGCGGCGTGTATGGGGCTGAAGCCCGTCTTCATCCGACTCCATTGATGAAAGACGTTTTATGTTCATGTGGTGGTGGTCGACATTGCTGCCGAGCCGTTTCGTGGTGCTGATGCGACGGTCTTTGCCGCGGCCTTTGATTCCCTTATTGCTGTTTTTGTATAATGCAGCGAAATATTCCCAGAGTTCTCTGTCTTGAGGATTCGAGGGCCCAGACTCGTTGATTTGGGAGAAGCGAAGAGTCAGCGTTCGGAGGGTTGGTGTGTGGAATTTATTTTGGTGGGACTATATCCGAACAAACAAACATTGGCTGTTAACAACAACTCTTCTTGAGGTCGATGTAATCAAGGGTGGAACTAGGTTGGGGTGTTTGAGGTGGGCTCGTCTTACCTTGAGGTTGCCTAATTGTGTAAAGTTCTTGCCACAATCATCTAATAGACAGGTGAAAGGTTTCCGTTGAAGGTGGGTGGTCTTGTGGGCGCGCACGTTGCCACGTTGGGCGAACCGCTTATGGCAGATTTCACAAGCATACGGTTTCTCGCCTGTGTGACGACGCTGATGTGTCTGTATGCGAGGGTAAGCCGTCAAATTCTGTGCAATCATGCCTCATGCAAGGGAGGGAGAAGAATGGGGCTGGCCGGCTTACTTTGAGGTTGCCTAGCTGCGAGAAACGCTGCCCGCAGGACGGCTCATGGCAGACCTGAAACCACCAGTCAGCACGAAATCTCACTCTCAGCTGGCCTCGTCCCTTCTTGTTTCTTTTGGGGGGGTTGGCTGAGGTTACTCACAAATGGTTTATCGCCTGTATGCGCTCGGGTATGGATATCCAAATGGGTCTTCTGGGCAAAGCTCTTGCCGCAGTTGGGTAATTGGCAGGTATACTTTTTCTTCTTTCCAGACCGGGACACCTGTCCTTCGTCGTTGAGAAGACACTGCGGTGGCGACATGACATAATTAGAATATCCTGGCGGGGCGACGTGCTGGAGAGGCGGCAACGAATGCTGCGGGATGGGCGATGACCCGGACCCTGGCGGTTTCGCCTGGATGGCCTTCATCAGCACGTCGACATCGGTCGAGAAATCGACGCCAGGTCCCTCCTTCTTTTCTTGAGAGCCATAGTTCCCCTTCTGAAAGCCTGCGACGGGCGAGGGCAGACTGTGATCTGGCGTCTTGGCCACCTGGCTGATGGCATTTTTGGCCGGGCGGATCTCCGGCAATGACGGCGGTTGCTCCGTCGTCAGACGCGTCGAAGAAGTGAGCGGCGGCTGGCTCCCAACAAAGTATTGGTATGGATGAGACTGCTGGCTCAAGGACCCGAGACCATACGGGGCTGATGTGGGGGTCTGGTACGGCAGCCCTGAGTATGAGGCCGTGGTCGGGTGCGAATAGTATGGGTACAAGGGCGCGTCCATAGTTCGCCGATGGGCAAATGCGCCCACGGCATGGCCAGGGAATTCATAGGAGACCGGCTCGGCGGTTTCCATGATGATCTCGCAAGAGTCGGGGAGGGGGTGACCAGCAAGGAGGGTTGGCTCTTTTGCTTTTTGTCTTACCCCAGGATTCCCACGCCGGGCACCACCACGTCGGGCCCGAAACTTGGGGATGGATGGCTCGTTGATTTGGGAAAGGGTGAGAAGAAGTCGAGATAGGCTTTCTTCTGGCCGGAGCTAGGATGAACCCTCAGGAAGAAAGAAGAGAATTTGGGTTCTGTCCGAGCTGGAGTTGCTTTTGAAGGAGGTATAGAGACGGGAGTGTCACTAGGGCCGGGGTCGATCTATATAGCAGGGCGCCGACAGGCTGGAAGTCATGGCCTGAAGATGATGATTGACGACTAGTGGTGATCACCCGGGCCCAAGAATATCTTGTATGACGCTCCCAGGGAAAAGGGGAGCAGTTCGAGGCCAGACGTGCATGGGCGATCTCCCTGGGATCATGGATGAGGCGACCTGAAAACTTCCCGCATCGTGGACGCATCATTTTCTGTGCCACGGGGGGTGGGCAGCCCCTCTGCCGCTAACTGACTAGTGACTCGTCCTGGGGTTCTGTGGGAAAAGCTGGTGGATGGGAATTCTCGGTGAGCGTCACACAAAATACTCGCAGCCGCGACTGGCGACAGCCTCCCCGTGACTTGCTCCAGCTCCTCCACCTCGCCATTTCTGCCTCCGCTTCCCACAACCATCACCTCGACAAACTACAACCGCGACAACAATTACTGTGGCCTGCATCCTGTTTGCATCGCATTCTTCACGTTCTCCTCATATTGTTTCTTCTGGCATCCGCAAAAACAAAACACGCAGCTCCTCGAGGGCGGGCCGGGCCTTCGGGCTTTCGAAGTGGACCAGGGATCTGCAGTCAACAGTCGACAGGTCGAGTAAGCCGACCCTCATTGGGGCACACCCGGATGCACCCGCCCGATAGTCGCCAATAGCGTCGATTCCTCGCCCATCGAATATCCTGGTTAGCCGCCCATGGCCTTGGAAATTCCCTTCGTGATCCCCTCCGATCGGTTTCAGCTCCCAGATCTCGCCCCGTCGATCAGAGCTATGCCCGGCCTAGCCCGGCTGGTGGCTGTCGCCAGTGCCTCCATCGCCCATCGGGTTTGGGGAAAATCGTGAATCATGAATGGCAGAGGACGAATGGATGAATAGCCTTCCTCCCCCCTAATACCTCGTCGCGCGGCCTTGACTCCCCCCAAATCAAACAGAAATACCCTGCACGTCTTGCGTCTGGAGGCGTCGCACCCATGGTTCCTGCAGGGATCGGTGTCTGGTCACGAACTCCTGCCCAAATAGGATGGTGCGAAACATGGTGGAGGGTCTGCTCTCCTCTCCCCAAGCAGCCATGTCCTCCGTCCAAAAAGTGACAGGACTCGGGGAAGCAACACGACAGGACCGGTTCCTGGCCTGTACCTGATGGAGGTCCCCACCCACCCCATAATGATCGGCCTTGCCTTACACCTTCGTCTTTCGTTCCCAGGGAAGATCGCACTCGCATCTTCCCACTTTCTGTCAGTCTGTCACTGTCAGTGCCACTCTTCTTTTAGAAGAGAGATGATTTATTAATTTCTTTTCCCTTTTTGGCACTTTTGGCCCCCGCGTGGTCCGCGAGGGCAATTTGCCTACCCTACTGCATAAGAATACCGACCCAACTTGGCCTAGTTTGAATGTCTATCCAGCCTACCCGCCCAGGAAGGGCAATAATTAGCGTGTCAAAGGAACGAAGTGGAGGCGATCAGGGGGTGTAGCTGATCGACTCTTGTCCCAGTCGACAGGTCACGATCCTGTACCACCCCACGGACCAGAGAGAGGCTCTGTGGCGATTCGGACGGGCAGGGGTGGAATTGCCGGGACCCAGAAAGTCGGTCCCCTCCCCTGTGCAACGTAGAGAGCTGGTCGGAAAGGGTCTGTGTGGTGGGTTGTTTGCTTTTTCTTTCTTACTTATGGACATCTGCATTTTGTTTGCGAGTGCATTTGATGGGAGACAAAAAGAGAAAAAAAAATTTTGAGAAATGAAGCGAATCCAGTAGAATAAGAAGCCCTAAACCTGGCTACGAAGAAATCAAATCAAGTTACATTTGCGCCGACGCATCCGCCACCCTTTTACCGTCCAGTGTAGTTCGAGTACCTAGAGGAAAACACGTCAGTATAATGGGATCGTCAAAAGATCAGGCTACCATGAGATCGTGGTAGGACAGGGGAATAGCTCACCTCCAGATCCGTGCACGCATGTCTCCACTGCCAGTTGCAAAGAGATTGCCGGTTGGGGCGGGTGCCACCGAGATAACTATCCGCGGAAAAATGAGGTTAACGAAGATCATAAAATCGATAGACAGGAGCTAGTCTCGTAAACTCACCGGAGTTCTTGTGGCCCTGCAACATCATCTGAGCATTGCCGGTGATCGGATCCCAGAACTGAACCCCACGGTCCTTCGAGCCACTCATGACCCACTGACCATCGGGCGTCAGGCAAACACTAAGAACAAAGTCCTGCGGAAAGAAAGTCAATTAGAGGAGTTCTTTCAGGGGGGAAGAGGCAACGGCCGTTGAAGGTGGTGGGGAATTCGGTTTGACAGTGACAGTGACAGGAGACGGGACGGGGAATGGAGACAAACCTTGTGGCCCTCGAATGTCCGAACGCACTTGCCGCCCTTCACGCCGCTGTGAGGGTGCATGCCACGAGGGACGGTAAGCTCCCAGAGCTTGATAGTCTTGTCGAGACTGCCGCTAACCAGGTCGCGGCCATTGGGCGCGAAGGCAACCGAGTACACGCTGTCCTTGTGGCCATCAGGGTTCTCCAGACGCTCCACCAGGTAGCCAGTGGTCGTGTCCCAGACACGCACGCTCTTGTCCAGCGAGCCGGCAGCGACGTAGTGACCATCGGGCGACATAGCCACCGTGGTGACGCCATCCTCAATGCTGAGGGTGTAAACGAGCTTGCCGTCGAGAATATCCCAGAGGCGCACGGTCTTGTCGCCACTGCCTGAAGCAATGTAACGACCGTTGCCGGCAAAGTCAAGGGAATAGATGTCCTGCTCGTGACCGGTGAAGATGTGCTTGATAGTGCGCGCCTGGATATCCCAAACCTATATGTTCCCGAAGCAGACCCGGTTAGCAATCCACCCATTGCGAAAAAGAAAGGTAGGAACCTTCCAGTGAGATATTTAAAGGAGAAACACTTACCCGAATCTGCTTGTCTTCGGCACCGGTAGCCAAATACTTGCCATCAGGGCTGAAGCAAACGCTACGGATGTAGAGGTCGCCATCCTTGTCGACATTCTCATCTTGAAGGGTAGCCACGTTCTGACCAGTGGTCACATCGAAGATCTGAGCAGAGCGGTTGCAACCAGTGGCCAGGTACTTGCCGTCACGGCTGAAACGAACACAGCAAACCACACTGTCGTGAAGGAGGTGGTGCACAAGCTCGACATCCAGCACGCGCTGCACCTCTGGGTTGAATACAGCATACCAGTCCTGGCCCTCACGCTTTTGGGATGGGGGCAGGTCCTCGGGGTTCCAGTTGGCCAACATATTACCCACGCGCTCGGTACGGACGATCGACTGATTCGGCGGGGTCGGACGAGGAATCTGCGGCGAAGCGCGAGGGTCCGGATAGGCGGCAACGTGCGTCTGTTGAGGAGTGGCCGGGCCAGGAGCAGGGCGACGGCCCTTACCAGGACCAGGAGAAGCAGTCGGAGGGGGAGGAGGTCCGTAACCTATGAAAGAAAAACATCACATTAGCTCCTGATCCAGTCCCCCCAATCACACTCACATACCGTTCACAGCAGCGCCAGGCGGATATCCTCCAGATGAGCTCTGCGGGGGCGGCGGCGCACCAGATAGGGCAACCGCGGCAGGCTGTTGAAGGTTCTGCTGGGCAGTCTGCTGATCCTGGGAAGGGGGAGGGGCAAGACCGGGTCCACTACCTCCGGGGTTGGTCATGATACCGCTGAATAGATTGCTAGGGCCGTGGCCCAACGATGGGGGCTGAGCCTGGGGGCCCGTATGCTGCGCGGGCGCAATGTGAGAGACGGGCTGCACGCCGCGAGATTCAAGTTCGTGTCGCAACATTCGGATCTCGGCTTCGTAGCTATTGTGCGCGCGGGAGATGTCAGTAAGCATCATCAAGAGTCGGTGTAGCAGAGTAGGGGCATTCATAGAAACATACTCTTGCTTCATCTTGATCTGGGTCTGCTCCAGCTGGTAAACCTTCTGACGGATCATCTCCATTTCCTGGAGCTGTCCGGTCACTGCGTGATCTGTCAGTTAGAAAAGGTTTCAGCGAATTTCGCGGACCATGATTCGCCGCCAGAGGTCTGGCGACATTTCGAACGGACGGAGGGGGCAGGGGGAAGAGGGTGCCGACAATGCTTGGCATTGCCAGCTAGGGGGATCAGAGGTGGTATGGTGCAAGAGAGACCTACACTGATGTTCATATTCGCCGGTGCTTCGCGACTGGTTCTCGAACTCCTGTCGCAGTTGATCCAGCAACTCCGTCAGGCGAGAGTTGGGAGCGGGCACCATCCCGCGGTGGGCGTTGTACATTGCGGTTTTGCGATTTGGATGCCGAAATCACTCAGAGATAGTTCGCTGTACAGGAAGTCGTTTCTGGACAGCGATATTGGAATCAGCGACAGCTCGCGACGGCGGATCGCAGCTCAGCCGGTGAGAGCGGTAACGGAGGGCGATGCTGCTTGGTGGACGACACCACGCAGCGAGCCACAGCGATGATAGGGCCGAATGGAAAGTGATGTAAGAGAGAGAGTCGTATTGGGGAGGGGTGAAGGCGGGTGGAGGGGGTGGAGGTGAAGAGGCTGGGTAGCGGGAAGGTTGGGGGTGAGATGGAATTGGCGGCTGCCGTTTGGCGCGAGAAGCGAGTTGCAGGCGACGGCCCCAGCAGAACCAGTCCCAAGGACCAAGAACCACAATTGCAGAACCAGAACCAGAACCACGCCTACGTCAGGGACGTTTCGAGAAATCCCAAGAGGGAAAAAAACGGGGGCGTGGAAAAAAAGAAAAGAAAACCCACTCTGGCTTTATTCGTGAGAGCCGCACAAGAGACCGTTTTCGTGCCGACCCAGTGGGAGAGTCCAGATCGAAGAGCTTTCCACGGGACCCTCCAAGCTTGGATCGGCGCGGTTGCGCGGTGCCTTGTGAATGCCTGAGGCACACCAGTCTCCCGGTCTGACAGAATGGCGGTAGGCGTCAGTATTGATGCCTTACTGCCTTACTTCTTGCCAGTTCCTGCCTGACGGCCCAGGCCACAATTGCCACGCTAGATCCCGTGAAGATTATGCTGTATGGCCATGTCACCTGCTCCCCTACGAATACTGTAGCAGTATGTACCTGGAGACGCCCAGACCCGATGTATGGCGTGGTGGGCTTATGCAGGTACCAAAATATAATCCCCTCATAATGAATGGCCTGATACTGCTCCGTTGAAATAAAGTCCGACGCCATCTCCCCCTATTCCGCCCATTAATGCTGGCTTATTAAGAGTTCATAACGGCTGTGCCTGTTCCGCGCTGGTGTGATGCGAGCAGAATTTATTATTTGCCCCGGCCCGGATAACTCTCTCCCTTTCCAACCCACTTCCCCAACCGCCCCTCACCACCTTCTCCTCGCCCGTTGTGAGTCAAGATGGATATCATTCTCGAAGTCTGGGACACCTTCATCGGTGATCGCCTGTACTCCTCCCTCCTCCCCGCCTCCCTGTCAACCTCCGTCTCTTTTCCGACCTTTGTCAATGCTGCCGCCAACACCTCGCTCGCTCTGTTTGGCGCCAACGAGCCGTTCGTCTACGAGCCTGCCACGCAGTTGATTCACTTGGAGCCGTCCAAGTATGCCTACCTCAGTGCGTGGCCGCGCAATAACATCTATCGCCAGTTCACCAGTTTTTTTCTGATAACATGGTGCGCGCCACCTCCCCTGGGTCCTCCGCATATTTATTTTGTCTGCGGCCAGAAACTGACAATTCCCTCTCTTTAGGATCTTTGGTCTTCTCGTCTACTTCATTGTCGCCAGTCTTTCGTACGTCTTCATCTGGGACAAGACTACATACAACCACCCCAAGTTCCTTCGAAACCAGATCGCGTTGGAGATCAAGCAGGCCATGGGCGCCATGCCCCCAATGGCTCTCCTGACTGCTCCCTTCTTCGTCTTGGAAGTACGCGGATTCGCCAAGCTGTACGACACCGTGGCTGAGGAGCCTTTCCCCTACTACAGCATTCTGCAGTTCCCGCTCTTCATCTGCTTCACCGATTTCTTCATCTACTGGATTCACCGAGGCCTGCATCACCCGCGCGTCTACAAGGCTCTTCACAAGCCGCACCACAAGTGGATCATGCCGAGCCCTTACGCGTCGCACGCTTTCCACCCTCTGGATGGCTGGTCTCAGAGTGTACCGTACCACGTTTTCCCGTTCATCTTCCCTCTGCAGAAGATAGCCTACGTTTTCCTATTCGGCTTCATCAACCTGTGGACCGTCTTCATCCACGATGGCGAGTATGTCGCAAACAGCCCCGTGGTCAACGGAGCCGCTTGCCACACCATGCACCACTTGTATTTCAACTACAACTACGGCCAGTTCACCACTCTGTGGGACCGTATGGGTGGTAGCTACCGCAAGCCCAACGAGGAACTCTTCCGCCGGGAGACCAAGATGGGCGAGAAGGAATGGAAGCGTCAGGCCAAGGAGATGGAGTCTATTCTCAAGGACGTGGAAGGCGAGGATGACCGCAGCTACTCTACCGTCGACAAGAAGACTCTTTAAGCCTATGGCTTGAAGGTCCAGGGTTTCCGCTTGGATCGTTGACCCGGTACGATCTTCTCTTCTCCCCTTGTCTGTTTTGGATAACAATCGAGACACGAACTTACGTTGGCAACCCGTCATTTTGTAAACGGGCAGCCCTTCAAGTACATTAATGTTGCACTGTGCACACCCCCTACACCTGTTTTAATAATCACGAAAATGGCCCGGTTTTTGGAGTCCGTGGTCTACCCCTTATTTGTACATAATCTCCTGCATGGTGGCAAGAATGCAATTCTAATGACTTGCGAATGGAAATTTTAAAAAATTACTCCAACCGCACCCTTGAAATTTTGGATTCTACTAGACCTTCCAATTCCTACTTCCATGAGAAGAGCGCTGTAAGCTTTCTCTGTACTATACACGTCAACAACCTTTCTCTGGCAGTTATCAAGATCTATGGTTAAAGAAGAAAGAACCAAGGATAAGAAAAAACGGATCTATACTGTCTATGGAAAGTACCCTACCTACCTCTCATAGGTTTATAGCACTGTTCCTCCCGTTACTTTCCAAAAACCAATCCATGTACTTCCGCTGCAACGCGGGTGTGACGAGTAGTAATCGGATGAGCAGGCTCTCTCCCAGCACAAAACTTCTGGAAGTTTGGAGCAAAAGCACCAATAGCATGCGGTGGAAGCGGTTCAGTCGCCAGTCTCACAGACTGAGGCTGTAAATGAGCTACCCATCCTCAAATCGGATATGCTGGACCTACCCAGTGAGACGGCCCCATATCGGGCGGTGTTCGGCGAGGTTGACGTCTCTGAGAATTCGTTCGATGGAATGGGTACTATTAACTTCACTGACGAGGAGGACTGGCTTTTTTTGGTTAGTTGGTATCCAGTCTGACTGAGTAGGCAATCATTCGACTAACAGTATCCAAGAACCTTCTTCGAACATTGCTTTTCTTCCACAAATCTCTCACGCTATTGCGCGAGGGAATGCGCAGGGCCCCCATGGGACATCTGCCACCTCCCCTACTCATGCAGATGCAGGTGGGGCATGTTGAATGTATCAAGATCGCGTCCACTATCCGACGATACCCGAAAGAAACGGGCAGCCCGTAAAAGCGAAATCAACATCTTTGCTCTACCCTCCGAAGAGCGCACTTGGAGTCTAATCCAGATCTACTTTGAGGAAACAGGCCAATGACTTCCGTTCATCCACGAGGCATCTTTCTGCCAGACGTATTTCCAGATGCGAAAGGATAATTTCACAAGAGTTCGCCGAACATGGCTTGGTCTACTCAATATCGTGCTTGCAATCGCAACCAGCTTACGTTCAGAAGGCGATTTACCGGCTGGTAAACGGATTCAGGAGTCGGATATCTATATTCAACGAGCAAATGGGCTGTGTGATCGGGATTCTAAGCGGAATGCGAGTCTGGAAATGGGTTTGTGACGCCTGCCTGTTGAAGCAGTCTGGAGACGTTGAACCGGATTTGCTGACTTTGCCAGTGCAATACCTTTTGATTCTGGGGCAGTATCTCCAGGGAACTCAGAAATCAGTTCTGGCGTGGACGACTCACGGACTAGCTATTTCAGCTGCTTTTCAGCTTGGCTTGCACTCGCCTGAAGCGAATCGGCGGTTTTCATCGTTGGAGGGTGAAATTCGGAAGAGGACTTGGCACGGGTGTATCTTGCTTGATAGGTGAGGATTTTCTTGCTTGCGTCATTTGTTCGGTACAGGTCCACTGATACATGTCATATATCAGAACACCCAGTATGACATTCGGCCGACCATGTACTATTCCAGAATCATATGTGAAACTGGAGATGCCTCTCAGAGATACGCCTGTGCTCGGCAGCCCACCTAAACCTGAGATAATCCACCAGCTGGATGGCTGGTTCTTTTACCGCGGCAATGTAAGCTAAACTATTCCGCTCCCGTCTGGGCCGTTAACCCATGCTTATATGGTGTCCTGGAAAGAAAACTCTACGTTGTCATGTTTAACGTTCTTGACAGCTGCTACTGTCAGAATCCAGGCTTCGACCAGTCTTTTTCTACAGCATCGATCGTACCCCAGATCCTAGAAGGAGAGCGTCAACTCGAGGAATGGTATGCGCAGACCGAGTCGGAGCTCGGAATCCGCCTCTGGCATGAATTGCTATTGGCAGAGGATTTAGCAAAGATGGACCAGCAGTCTACTATTTGTCACCTATTTGGAATTGTCCTTTCTGTGCGATATCATAACCTGCGGATTCTACTCTATCACGAGTTCTTGGAGAGCTTCCTGGGTTCGTGTTCTCATGGCCCTGCACAGTCGACTGCGGGATTTTCGTGGAGGAGCCTCATTACGCAGATCGAATTTACGGGAGTGCAGAATTGCATTGAGTCGGCCAAGTCGATTATTTCGACTGTTCATACGATTACTTCGTCGATTGGGTGGCAACGGGGTCTTCTTGGCGCCTGGAACTATTCGCTTTACTACATTGAGTTTTTCTCCCGTGTCGTCAATGTTTGGAATTTTATTTCTCATCTCTCTTAGCATTCAATGCTGGCCTGGTCGTTTTCGGGGCTCGATTGATTTCTTCTAGGGACAAACGACTGAGCTCTGATCAGCGGGACGTAATTGAGCAAGCCCAGCCGTATGTCGATCTTGCAGCGGAGGCATTGCGACGACTGGATTCTGGTAATCGGGTGGTCGAACGCTGTACTGAGTATCTATCTCAGCGTTCCATGATTCTACGGACGACTGGTATGTTTCTCACCTCCCCCCAGTGGGGTGACTCTTTCTTTGAAATTGTGCTAATTATGATTAGCTTTCAATGGGACTGATTCTATGACGATTCCCCATGCGGCATCCGTCGGCGTCCCATGTACGCCACAGAATTCGTGTCACCAGAGGATGCCGGTGCTGTATGGTCCAATGTGGATCTGGACGAGTTCATGATGGTCAACGACCTAGGTTTCCTTGGGTGGTTAGTTAACTTCAATCAGCCTGGTCATACAGAGGTTTAAGTGATCTGATCAAGTTGTCCTATGATTGGCTCCGTTCAACATTAGTCTTAAAGGAGATCTATAATTCATGGCTAGATTGGAAGGAGCAGTTTGAAGATCTATCTGTAGACTTGACTGAACAAGCTTATCTAATGTAGTACATGATCATCAGCTGCCTAGGTATGATGTGTTTCGTGAAGTATTATAGATAGCCTCAAGGGAGAGGTTATGTCTATCCCCTGCGTGAGCATTATTTGGAGTGTCACCTCGAATAAGGCATAGCACCCGAGTATAGACTTAGTACCATTCTTCTCAGGCCAGTTGCTCCACTTGCCGACTTGTTCAAATCAATTTTGTCGCCTTTGAATGATCACGCACCGGGATCCTTGATGAGGATGGAATCCGTGACTTGACATGTCTTGTTCAGTGCTCGGCCATATCTCTGTTTCGAAGACGTCGGGATTCTCCGTGGTCATTGAGGTATGTATCGCTACCACTCGTTCGGCCTGCTTGATATCACCACATTCGAGTACGGTGATTTTGGTTTGCATTTTCAATGACAGTGCAAGTATACGGGTATAAAATACATCTTCAGGGCGACTATGTTCATCACCCGAGGGACAGTTATTTGTCGGGGGTACTAGGGCCAGCTTGGGCTCGAAAAGCCGCACACTTCGCGACGTTGTGCCATTGCGGAAGTCGGATGTGGAAATATAGGGCGGATTCGAAATAAGTAGGTCACATCTAGGCCGCGGGGGTGCTCCATCCGATTCTTCGGCGGGATCGAGATACTCAGATGCGATCTTCTCCACGTTCGGAGTGAGGTCGTCGCCCGGTCCGAGAACATCCGCGCGATGGAATTGGATTTCTGTCGATGCGCGTTGACCCAGCAAGCCTCGGTGCAGGTTGTAGTCGAGGTTCTGGCGGGCTAGGCTCAAAGCTTTGGGACTAATATCAATTCCAATGATTCGCATTCGTTCGAACCGTGGGGCGAGAAGGGTATGGACCAAGAGCGCTATGCAGCCCGTGCCGGTGCAAAGATCCAATATCTGCAGTGGCTTAGACCCATGGAGCGAATCGGGGCGTTCTTCACCCTGTTGCCCCTCCTGCGCCTCCTGGGGTATAGCCACTTGGTCCACTACTAGCTTTGCTGCCTGGTATGCATAAGCCTCGGTATCTGACCTATGAGCCAGGTCAGCAACTCTGCACAATGGTGTGGCGGAACGATCAAACCTTGGTATCAACACGCCGGGCCGGCATAGAATCTCCAGATTTCCAAACGGTTGGTCGCCGAGAATGTACTGGAGGGGGTATCCGCGTGACCGTCTATAGCACATGGATGCGAGACGCGTCCGCCATCGCCACCCCGAACTGGATATGGGCGCGAGTTGGGACGTGGCGCGGCGCGCGTGTTCGCGGAGCCAACGGAGTTCGTTACGTGCGGAATCGATGGTCCGACATTCTTTGAGCAGTAGGGAGAGGAGCTGGTTTTCCCAGCGTGCGCTGTTCAGCACGGCGGGGGATATTCGAGGCATCTGCGTGAGTACAGAGAAAGAGCAGTTTGATGTCAAGCCGCAGGGCGGGCGGGCGGTGGGCGGCGCCAAGCTTGTCGATGTGGGGGCCGAAGTATAAACGATCGCGCCTTCATCATGAACGACTCCCTCGGTAAGAGTGTAGTCTCCTAGCAGGTTGACGAGGGTGTGTTATGGATGATCGCTATTTTGGGACGATTTTGGTTGTACGGGCCATTCTCGGGGGCCAAATTACAAGCGGGTGGTGGTTTGGATGAGAATTTTTATTATTGTAGCCTGCTCGAGGGTATACTTCAAATACAATGCATGAATTACATATATTGTAATTGTACTGCTCCATCCGGACTGGCCTTGGGCTACACAATATAATCGCAGATGGCATGAACCACTGATCAGAAACTGTTTTTTTATGTACACCGCATTTAGTGTCGAATTTCACCATGAACAAGACACCCGCCACGGCTCTGACGGCTTCTCTGCGCGCCTAGACTCGAAATGGGCTGGCGGGTGGAGCGCACATCCGCGTCATCAGTGCTGGAGGACCCAACCACGTAGGCTGCGTACGTATGCTTTGTCGACCAGCATCTTCAGTGCTCCATGGCAGGCGCAGCGTGGTCTGCAACCATTACTCGGGTAGGTACCTGTACAATGGACCGTGGAGGTAACCGGAGCTGCCGGGGGAGGTGGACGGAAGCGGGCGGTGCAACTGGTGACGACATCTCCAGCACTTCCGCGGCCAAAAAAAGCCCCATGAGGACTCCAGAGGCTCCACCCAGCCTCGATGATGTGCCAAGTCTGGGGCATACGACAGCCCGGTCTTTTAGGTAGACTCGTTTTTTCGTTTCGGTCCATCGTCCTCGTCCGCGCTGGCGCCTTTTTTTCCTCCGACCTCCCCCCGGTACCCCCAGCCCCAAAAGTCCATCATTCTCGTCAGAAGACGCAAAGTCACTCCATTCACTCCAAACCCACGCGATCCTCGTCGCATCAGGTCGAAAGAAGCTCGAGCTGAACGAGCAGCTCATCGGGCCGATAGCCGCACATTTCTACCACCGGGAAGATACAATCGGGGGGAATACAACAAAAAGGAGCAATGAGGAATTCTTGGCTGCTGTGGACATCCCTTGCGTTGCCCGCGCTGGGGCTGACCCTCCACGAGCGCGATGCGCCCGCCGTGATCGGCATGGACATTCAACGCAAGGATGTCGTCGACCCTGTGGCCAGAGATCGGGTGAGAAGAAAGCGCGACAAGACCGTCGTGAGCCAGGCGCTGGATAATGAGGTATGTGCTGCATCTATACCCGGGCTCTTTGCCCTCAATGTCTGAAACATCCCTCACTGACATCCTCGCCTTACAGGAAACCCTCTACTACTGCAACGTCACCCTGGGTACTCCGGCGCAAAGCTTGCGCCTGGTCCTGGACACCGGCAGTAGCGATCTGTGGTGCAATGCGGCCAATTCGACACTGTGCGAGAAGAGGTCCGACCCGTGCCAGGATTCCGGTACCTACGATGCTAGCGCCTCGTCCTCGCAGGCCTACGTCAATTCCGACTTCAACATCACCTATGCCGATGGCTCCGGTGCGGTCGGCGACTACGTCACGGATAAGCTTACGATCGGCGGCGCTATAATCAAAGACTTCCAGTTCGGCGTAGGCTATTCGTCTTCCTCATCAGGTACGTGTTAATTTATCTCTTTCTTCTAGAAGAGTCATTGGCGTGATTCTCAAAACCATGGGGTTGACTGACCAATGGGTCTATATAGAGGGTGTACTGGGTATCGGATATACCGCAAACGAAGTCCAAGTCGGCCGCAATGGAGACTCCGCCTATTCAAATTTGCCTAAAGCGATGGTCGAGAAGGGCCTGATCAAATCCAACGCCTACAGCCTGTGGCTGAATGATCTGGACGCCAGCACCGGTTCTATTCTCTTTGGCGGTGTCAACACCGCAAAGTACCACGGATCGCTGGAATCCTTGCCAATCCAAAAAGTCGGCAGTACTTTCTCCGAATTCGTCCTCGCTCTGACGGCCGTGGCGGTCTCCACCTCGACCAGGACGCACAACTACTCGTCCAGTGCTCTGCCCGTCGGTGTTCTGCTCGACTCGGGAAGCTCCCTGACCTATCTGCCTGATTCCATCGTCAATGACATCTATAATGATCTGGAGGTAACCTACTCGGAATCCAGCGGAGTCGGGATTGTCCCTTGCAGCCTCGCTCAGAAGGACGTGAATGTTTCCTATACCTTCTCGTCTCCAACGATCCACGTGGCAGCTAGCGAACTCGTCATCGACATGGGCGACTATACCTATAGCAACGGTGAGCGTGCCTGTATCTTTGGTATTGCCCCGGCTGGCAGCAGCACGGCCGTGCTGGGAGATACGTTCTTGCGCAGTGCCTACGTTGTATACGACCTGGCCAACAATGAGATTTCCCTCGCAAACACCAACTTCAACACAACGGAAAATAACATCCTCGAAATCGGAACCGGGACGGACTCGGTCCCTAGCGCGACGGCGGTTTCCAACCCCGTCACCTCCGTGGCTGTGGGTGGCTCGGGAGCGCGCATCGGTGGCATCGGCGGAGGCAGCAGCGGCATTTTCACCTCGACCGCAACTGGAAATGCGGCGCCGAAACAGACCGGCATGGGTCAGCAACTGGCCCTCGGGTTGGCTGGTGCTGGATACCTCCTAGCTCTGTGAGAATGTGCTGATGTAGATATGATCTTTGCACTTTTCTTTACATATTTTATAGATTTTCTGCATGTTTTGGGCGGTGTTTTTGGAGTCAAAACGGGAAATACCTGGTCCAGTGTTGAGTTTTTTGTGTGCCATGGAATTCACAAGCAAAATTCAATGTTCTGGAATTTAATCAACTATTACATAGCGTTATACCTTCCACTCTTACAATCAATGATCTCTCGATTGCTAGCCTTTTTACCACACCATGCCTAACAATTTGCGTGCCTTTGTTGCTTCTAGCATGGGAGATCGAACATTTTTATCAGGATATGATCTTGGATACAAGAAATTATGGGGCATCTCTGGTGTTCATTCGACGCAGAGTAGGAGACTTAATCGTATATTGGAGATCCCTATACACCGTAGGTATATTCATATAATACAGGTCACACGTACCAGGTAGATCCACCAAAGTAAACCAAGGACAATATTCAAACAGCCAAATACTATCGTACAGGATACTGTTACAGTCACAGCCCCATCGCATCCTTAATCTTCCGCATCGTCAAGTCTGCATTACTTTGAGCAGCCTGCGCACCCTCCCGAGCCACGGAATCAAGATATCCATTCCGATCACCCGTAATGGAAATATACCGCTCACGAATTTCCGACAGATGATGCGCAACCCGAGTACCAACGTGCTCTTTCAGAGCCCGAAGACTGGCGGTCTCGTATTCAGACGCAATTTCCTCGCACGAGATACCTTCAAAATGGCTTAAAATCTCAATCAAGTTCGAGACTCCAGGTCGACGGGCAGGGTCGTAGGTGATCCCAGGCTCAGAGTCGGTGAGGGCGACTTTGACCTTCTTTTGAATGTCGGTTGGCGAGTCGGTGAGAAGAATTCGGGAGCGTGGGTCGACGTGAGATTTTGACATTTTTGAGGTTGGTTCTTTAAGTGACATGACACGTTTTGCGGGAGCTGGGTTGGTTATTCTTTCAATCTTCTGGTTGGTTCGGTATTTGTTTTCCTTTGGGGGATACGTACAAATGAGGGCTTCGGGCGTGGGGAATATTGGGCCATAGAGGTGATTGAAGCTGTTTGCGGTGTACCTGGAGAACTCCAGGTGTTGTCGCTGGTCTTCACCAACTGGTACATGTGTGGCTCTGGGGCACCATTAGCATCAAGATCAATTTGAATGCAGCGGAAATCGTACCGGTGGACAAGAATGTCGGCGGCCTGGAGCACTGGGTACGAAAAGAGACCTAGTCGCAACTGCGCTCGAGCCTCAGAATGTTCAAGTGTTACATCCTCGGGTAGTTGAAGTTTGCTCTGTGCCAAACCGTATCAGCTGCTGCTGTCGCTGACACCTAGATCGGACTAGACAGTGTAGACTTACCTTCCACTGCGTCATACGGGAGAGGTAGCCCATTGAGGCAACTGTACTGAGAATCCACATCAACTCAGCATGTGCCGGCACCTATATCATGGATCAATGTCATTGTTCTCGGTAACCGTCCGCGTTGTACTTACTGCTGATTGATAGAAGATAGTCGAGCGCTTCGGATCAAGTCCAACAGCAAGTAGGGTTGCGAATGCTTCCGCCCTCCATTTCCTCAATTGGTGGGCATCCTGAGGAACCGTCAAGGCGTGTAGGTCGACAATGGAAAAGAGGAGCTTTGTGCCAGGCTCCGCTTCGTCTTGAAGCTTGACCCATTGGCGTAGTGCTCCAAGATAGTTGCCCAGATGCGGAACTCCAGTTGGCTGAATACCGGAGAAGATGACGGGTTCTTTGGAAGTCGGGCTTGTTCCCGTGCTCGTAGTTGTACTGAATGTTCGATGCCAATTAAATAGTTGAGTCGTTTGTCCCGAGCACGCGCGCGTGAATTTCTTCCCAGCAGACCACATTGAGATGCCACCAGGGCGACAAACGAAGGGTTGCATTACGGCCGCGAGCGATACACGTCGGTCTCAAGGTGATATTTGAGGCCACGTTGAATCCTTGCCTTTGGTCAACGGACACCCGCGTCTCGGCCACGCAGCATGCAATCTTCGTCGATCACGTGATATAGAGGTGAAAACGTTACTTTCGCCAGCTACAGACAAGCAGACAAGATATGCTGTGGTCACAGAACTGATTAAGCAGTTGTGAATTCTTTGGGAGACATATTTGACAAAATATACTGTTGACTACAGGAAGTTTCCGGAAGTATCAGGATGCATCATAACAGATTGAGTCCCAGTATTTTTTTCTCAGGGACGGATATGACGGAATAGAATACACAGGGCCCCGTTAGACCATTCAAAAACGGAAGGAAAACAATAATAGTACACATAATGACGCCCAGGTGTTCCCCAAAAATGCAAATCCCGAGCCATGGTACAAACCAAGGCAAGGATTACAATGAGCTCAAGTTCAGACGTTCTTGCGCTCGGCAAACCGATCACTGTCCAAGATATCGAATATGTTGTTTCCGGCCGAGTTATCCTTTCGTTGGCCAAATTGGGCTAAGTGTGGCTCAAGGCTCTTCTGGATTTCCGGAGCGGATTGGTCCATTGACTTGCTGACATCTATTGTTCCATTAGCAAACTTGTCGTAGACGTAGGAGGGAGTACATTAGAAAGGAATCGAGGAATCGTACCGAGGCTCTCGTGCTCCCAGACGTTGGCCTTCATACCAACTCCGTAGAAGGCGTGTTTCCGGAGGAAAGCCAGCCACGCCTGCACGGCTTGCGGGTTTCCATCTTTGATCTGAATCAATCGACGGAGAGTGATTCGCTCGAAATTCTCCTGGCTCTTCTTGTGTACGAAGTTACTTCGCGGGACGGTCCAACGTTCGACGATGCGAGGGAGAGGAACGGGTCCGGAGACCGGGAGGTCCAGATAATAGGCTGCGCGGATGGCGAAGTCGGCAAAGAATTCCACGTTTTCGACGCTGTAGGATCGTAGCTGAAGGTCGCAGACGGGGAGACCGTATTCCGCTTTCCTCCGGAGGGGCCGCAAATATACTGCTTGCACGCTGCGTGGTAGGCGGGCATTCTCGCCTAGAGCTCCTAGACGCTCAGACCTGATTGCTGGTCAGAGGCGTGTTCTTTGATTTTGCTGCCGAGGACGACGGGCGATACGCTGGACTCACCATTCTTTCACACGTTGCTCGGGGAGTGGCTCCGCGCTGGTGGACCTGTATCAAATGCAGTTCGGTCAGTCAACATGGTTCCGCAGCATGCAGTACAGTGTGTCTCGTACGTCGCGGTTGCCTCCGGGGCGGATGTGGGATTGGCCTGGGGGGCTGCCTTCGTTTCCGGCGCGTTGAGCTGGCTGGGGGAGGATAGCGAGCGAATCGACAGGGGCACCTGTGCAACCAGTCGGTCAGTATGGTGGTGGTATGAAGGAGGGACATAAGAGCACAACATACCCTCAGGTGCTTTCCGGCTCCCAGCAATGAACGTGTTGCGTTTGCGAACATCGTCAATGACTGGCGTCTCATCGTCTGTTTGGTGTGGGTTTTTTGGGGGTTGGAGAGATGCGGGCTGACCTGACCGCCTTCAGCTGGGCCACGGCTCTCGACCACAACCACCCAAGGGTCTGCCATTTCAATTCCTCGAGGATTCTGGGGAATCGGTAGTATCGCAGCATCAATTCAGTCTTAGTCCATGCGGGCGACATCCGGAAGGTATTGAGCGAAGTGCAACAAGGGTCAGCATGCTCTATTGACACCGGTGGCATGCGATTGCTGTACCATCCGATCTATATTAGCAGAATATGCAGGATATGTTACAGCCGAATACAACAGAATACACCTGGCCGCGTCTCGCCAATCCCATGACTATTTTGCTACTTCTCTATATAACCAGGGGCCTGTTGGTCAACATTACTAACTAGTACTACCCGTAGTAGTCTCTACTGCAGCGTGCAGTCCATGGCCGTTCGTCGCGCCCAGCCAATGGGACCGCACGCGACTCCGCAGCATCAGAAGACTCCGAGTCTTGGGAGATCCACCCCGCTCTGCTCGAGTCTCAACCTTGCTTCTCCCATTGATATCACGTCCAGTATGTCTTCGTACGAGCGGGCCGCCGAGGCGGTTTCATTCCTGACCAGCAGTCTGCCTGAGGGCCTCCGGAAGCCTCAGGTGGCCATCGTGTGCGGTTCTGGCTTGGGTGGTCTCGCAGAAACCGTCCAGGCCGATCCTCGCGCCGAGTACGACTACACCTCGATTCCCCATTTCCCTCGTCCGACTGGTGAGCATCCTTGATCCAATCCGCCTTCGAAAGCTACTGACAATCCAAAGTTGCTGGCCATGCTGGGAAATTGGTGTTTGGATTTCTCGGCCAAAAAATTCCCGCCGTCTTGATGGTTGGCCGAGCTCAGTAAGACTATTGTGCCCTTTTTTTACCTTCTTCCTTTCTCTCGCTTTCCCTTTATCTGCCCAGGAATGATTGCTAATATGCGACACAAAAACCAAAAGCTATTACGAAGGTCATTCGATGGACCAAGTCACTTTTCCAATCCGGGTGTTCAAGCTACTGGGTGTGGACACTGTCGTGCGTAAGTGCTGCCCGAGGACATGATCAAGGTCACTTCCATTGTTGCAACATCTAATATTGTGATTGGCAGTGACGAATGCGGCCGGTGGCCTCAATTCTGAATACAGCGTGGGTGATATCACCTTGCTGAACGATGTAAAATATACTACTTCTTTCCACCGGGAATGTGAATACATGACTGACCCGATCTAGCATATCTTCCTGGCAGGCCTGGCAGGAGTTCATCCACTGAGAGGTCCTAACGACGAAGACTTTGGCGTCCGCTTTCCACCTTTGTCGGATGCGTATGACCTCGAACTTCGTCGTCATGTGCACCGAGCATGGAACGAAATCAAGCCTAGTCAGGGTAGCCGGAAGCTGCATGAAGGAGTGTATGCTTACGTCGGAGGCCCCACGTAAGCCCGTCAAATCCTTTCAAACATACGACATGAATTATCTGACAACAAAAAGCTACGAAACACGAGCCGAGAGCCGGATGCTTCGAATGATGGGCGCCGACGTGGTTGGAATGTCGACCGTCCCCGAGATTGTGACTGCTAGACACTGCGGACTTCGAGTGCTAGCGATAAGCTTGGTGACGAACAATGCAGTTCTGGCTCCCGTCCCCCGAGGAGACGAACAGTTGCTCCAAGACAAAGCCGCAGTTGAGCTCAATGCTCTCCTGGAGGAAGGGAAGGCCGGTCACGAAGAGGTTCTGGAGGCAGGTCGTACAGCAGCCGTGGATATGCAGGTATGAGCCCTTCCAACTGCTGCCAAAAAAAAGGTATTGACCATTTCGGCAGAAATTGGTGTTGCACACCCTCGTGAACGTCTTCGGTAGCGTATAAATAGCAGCGAGGTTATACAGCCGACCCGAGCGAAAGCTGTGAGTGGCAACCAGCAAGCCAGTCGAGCTCAGCAGGCCACTGAGAGTTGGTGATATATTTGGGCATAATTACCTCGCGTCTCTTCATTCTCCGGTCACTTGTTCTTTCGGTTTCGCTTGGCCCGGAGACTGTTGTAATATGCCTTCTTGCCACTTTGCTTGGTATCTTGAATGTCACGATATTTCGACTCAAAGCGCCGTGTCTGACGCTCCATAGCCATAGTTTCCTCAACGAAAGTCTTCTTGCGGTCTTTCTTCGCGATGCGGCCGCTGAAGAATTCAGTCGGACCCTGGATAATCGTTCCGACCTGAGAGTACTCGGGGGCTCTCGCCTTGCTGCTTTCCTTTTTGTAGTGTCGCTTGGGATCCAGGACAGATCGCATGCGAAGCAATTGCAGATCTCTCTTGAAATCTGTCGTCATCTCCGTCTTGGGAAGATCAAACCAATCGGCTCCAGCAGTGGGTTTTTCCTACAGTGTCGACAGTTAGCTCAACATGAACAAAACTCCACATTTTCGAAACGAATTGGAATCAAGATGAATGCTCAGAGTAACTATGAAAAATAAAAGCTCTCACTGGTGCAGCACAGCCCAAGACGGACTGGTGACGCCGCATCAAGCGCTTGTGCGTTGGGAAAATTTTCCTCATAGCATGGGGTAGGAAATTATCGGGGTGTGTTTGTCTTACCTTGCTTGGTTTTTGTTGAGGAGCAATAGCATGCAAGGAGTTGGCGAGTTTCTTCTGCTTGGGGTCGACGAGCTGGGCCGATTCCGCGGTAGCAATATCGTCATTTTGGCGAACATATGGTTCCAGTGAGGAACCGGGCGAGAGCTTGGGAATCCTGAAGACTGTTAGTATCAATTTCCAAAGAGAGAGGAAGTGAGCGGCCATCAGAGAATAGACACATACCTCAAGTATGCGACATCTAGCTCTTTGGTGGTCTGGACGTCGGGGCCACGAAGACGGCCCTCTGCTTCGAGCAGAAGCTGTTGAATCTGCTCATCCGTCAGGTCTACCTCATCCCGAGGCTGGGCAGCGGCATCCACGCATGTCGAGTCAACCATCCCTGCTCAAGTAGGGTGTTGGGAATGTGTAGTCCGGCTGGGCTAAGGCGGCTTTTATAGATTTTTTTTTTCTGTTGTTGCTGCTCGGCTCGGACAAACTTTTGTGAGGAGTCCGGCGTGGTTATCATGTGACTTCGGAACGGAGGAGCCTTGGGGCTTGGTACCAGATACTTTGAATATGTTAGGTAATAACGCGGAAAAGCAGGTATCCGATACCTATAGACTTAGTACCCAGCTCCCTATATAGAATCGCATTGGCTACACTTGAACATGAAGAAGTAGATCTTTTGAAACATACGCTTATTTGCTCAAAAAGAATGAGAATGCCAGCTTATGGACGAAAACGCCAAGTGTACGCACGATTCTGGGACATGCGGGCGTTCCTTTAGGTGTCGCAGCCTCCGGCGGGGGAACACCCGGAAACGTCAGACAGCTGAGGCACCTCCATGCTTGGCACGACCCGACGCGCTTCTTTCATCACCTCGAACGCGCCAGCGGTTGGGTTGAACTGCTCTCCTTCCTGATACTGTCTCTAGTCGCCCATATTTTTCTTCTCACCGCTCTCCGACACGGCCGCGTCTCCTCTTCGAGCTCAATCGTTCTCCTTTCACGACCGTTTCGGCCTAAATCCTGAATCCATCTTGCGCGCGCGCGTTTCTTCACCATGGATCCCACATCTCAGGGCGCTGGCCAGCAACAGGGGCGTCAGCAGCAGCAACAACAACAACCTGTCTACGACATCAGAAATGGCGGTCACTATGGTACTTGATCCCCCACCGATTCCCTCGCCTTACGGATACCTCCACCCAATTTCCTTCTCCCACCCCCCCCTTCGCCCGATTGTGGTGAGACCCTCGTTCTCAACTCTATATGCGAACATGATGGCTTGTATAGGATTCATGGTTTTTGATACTGACACTTCTCGTTTCTCTAGGTGCCAGTGCAGCGGTATGCTATCAACTAACGGACTGACGATTGGCTGCCGATTCAAGTGGCCGAGATCGCAGGCCGAGATACTCGAGTGGAATGGTCGTTAACTAAATATCACAGCTTTCGGCACAAGGCTATGCGCCAGTCGCCGAGCTGTATACAGGAACTTGGGCTAATGTAAGTGCGCGATATGTTCAGGTTATGCTCCCTGATTGCTCACATCCAGCAGGTCAACCAAGGCCTCCAAGGAACAGCTCGCGACATCTTGACGACGTACTGGCAGCATGTAATTAATCACCTGGAGTCGGATAGCCATGATTACAAGATTCACCAACTACCACTCGCCCGCATCAAGAAGGTGATGAAGGCCGACCCAGAAGTGAAGATGATTTCTGCCGAGGCGCCCATCCTGTTTGCGAAGGGCTGCGATATCTTCATTACCGAGCTGACGATGCGCGCCTGGATCCATGCTGAGGATAACAAGCGCCGCACCCTCCAGCGCTCCGACATTGCCGCGGCTCTTTCCAAGTCGGACATGTTTGACTTTCTCATTGACATTGTTCCCCGTGAAGAAGCCACCTCGCATGCTAAGCGGTCAAGCCAGGCCGGTGCGGCACCAGGACCGTCTGGGACCGCAGGTCAGCTTCCGCCATCCCAGCATGGCGTACAGGCCCATCTCGGCCCCGCCGATTATGGATCTCTTGGTCAACATGGCATTCCTCAAGAGCAGGAATACCGCCCGCAGCCTACTATGTACCCTGGCGCCGTTCAGTCGGACCCAACAGCCGCGTATGGCCAGCCTCAGTCCCAGATGTTTGAGGGAATGTATGCCTACCCGCACCTACCCCCTCAGCAGGTATGTCCTTTTTTCTGGTTTCTCTAGATGTGCCAGTTTAGTATGCTAATACTCGCAGTGATGCCGTCGTACACTCTATCTTGATTTTCCTATCTGCTTTGAATGCGAGGCTCCTGGCGAATACTGGGCTTCTATGGATTTTTTTTACTTGGTTTTCGTTCTGAAGAATCACCTTCGCGCCAGATTAGGGACTACTCTGATGCCGAGTGCTATGAATAAATCCTACAGGAGAAATATATAGCACCCAGAGTCCCCTTTGGGTTGATCTTATTCATTTTTGTTTCAAGTCGTGTTTTTGGATCATATATACCTTTTTGTACCTAGGAAACCAGAGAATTCCCAACAACTCTTCTTAAACAGCTTTTTGCAAATGTTACGCAAATCAAGTCTTCTTGAATCGCGAAGACAAGTTCACAAATTTATCCACCCTCGTCGGCGCTTGGACAGTTCGAGTGAGCCTAAGAGCGGAATGGTTAGCAAAGGGTATGAACCATGTGTAGATCGACCGCATGCCATACTTTTCTAGCAAAACAGGCCCCTGCATGGCATCAACACGTCCATATTTCTTGTTTCGTGTCGATATATCGTAGAACTCATCTGCATTATCGGCTTGCATAAGCTGCACTGTTTGCTGCAACTCGTCGAGATTTTCGCGCAGAATAGGAACATTCAGACTGTCCACGAATTGGGCCAGATATTCCACATCCTTTGCCAATGCCATGACACCGTTTGGATTGATATTCTTGACTTCCGGTGCCATCGGTTGAGCCTAATCCCTTAAGTCAGTCAGATGTCATGGAATACAGAGAGTGCACAAGTCTTACCAGTATCATATTCGCAGCATGGCTCAGTGCGTCGAAATAGATCAGCTCTTTGATTTCTGTCGGCAATCCGAGCAGCGTCGAGTTCATAATGTTAGAAAGGAACCGAGTTAAAGTTTGCATGTAGTTGCTGGGCTCGGCGGGAGGTGTGGTTGCCATCCATTCGTACTCCGCTGTTTCGATGAGATCATCAATCTTGGAGTTGACGACTTCGAAGATCCGTTTTTCAGCCGCTTTCTTGTTGCTTCGAAACTTCTCCGTGGCACGAAGAGTTATTGAGGTTCCAGTGGAATTTTGAGACCGGGCCGCTGCTAAAAGCAATTCCAGCTCATGACAAGCCAGCTCAAAGTGTTCCAGGTTGATTAGAATCTGAACAATCTGTCCAAGATATTGCGAAGACAGACGTTCAACAAGGGTATCGCATACTTTACGTGAAAGGAGATCGTCCAGCGCCTATTTGGTTTTAGCAATCCGAGCTATCAGGCTTGTAGGGGCCACTCTCACGTCTTTCAATGTATCGTCGATCACATTGGGATGTGAGAAGTCGTCATTGGCGAAGAAATAGAATTGGTTCAAAAAATTTCGTATGTCGATGCAACACAGAGGATACATCCTTGAGAATGGCAGAATGCAAGGGAAACTAAAACATTAGCCAGACCATCCAGATGTTCATCGAAAAGAGGTAGAAACTTACAGCTGCTCGTCGCGGGAGCTTTCTGGAGCGTACCAGCTCACATTGAGCACCTTGTCATATTCTTCCAATGTTTGTATTGGCATGGGCATGTAGTCGTCCGTTGAGACAATCTGCCGACGCCAAGTTAGTGGACCAAGAAGGAAAGGAGGGATGCAAGCAATGGTACTGTACCTCTTGGAAGTCATCACTGAAGCGTCTTTTCAGGAGCTCAGCATACTTTTCGAAGAGCGTAAGCAAGAAATCATCGAAGACTCTCACTGAAAAGTTCCAAGTCTGTTCGATGAATGAGTATTGATAAGCACGAGTTGTAAATGGACCACTCGAATAACATACATTCATAGTCTGCATAAACAAAGCAATCAGGTTCTTTGTTTTCAGTATGCTTTCGGCGTTATCCACCTCATGAAGAGCTTTGGATATCACACCGACGGCGGCCTGACACATCGAATCCCAGAGTTCATCAACCTATTTGCATTAGTCAGAGAGGGTATTTCTTTTTAGGTCATCTCCCCGAGGGGCCCCAAGGGAAAGGGAAAGGAAAGGGAAAGGGAAAGGAAAGGGAAAGGGAAAGGAAAGGGAAAGGGAGAGGAGAGGGAGAGGGAGAGGGAGAGGGAGATGGAGAAGGAGAGAGAGAGAGAGAGAGAGCGCGCATACATCAACAGAGGATCTCAAATCTGGAACTTTTTTCATGGTTGCTCGTTCGACAATGGCAAATCCGGCCATCTCTTCCAGGAGGTTATGAAGGCTTGCTCCACCTTCATCGACCAGGGTGACAGAAGAAGGAAGGAGAAGGTCTTTTTGGCGGCGGCGTGTGTTTGCATACTCGATACGAAACTTGTCCATCTGTCCCAAAGACTGGTGGATGTGCATACATTCAAAAAGTGGCGCAAAAGGAACTTGCAGATCCTCGTTCTGCAGCAGGTCGTATTCTTCGTCTTCGTCCGCTACCAACTCGATGGCGGAATTGAGTTTGAAGTGTTCCAAATATGGAAAATTCTCCGCGCGTTCTTTCAGCCTCGACTTGCGCTGATCGGTGTGAAATAGAGCTAGCTCGCCCAGGAAAGGAGACATTTCTCGGATGCGATAAAGCCATGTATTGAGATCCGACATGACCGCTTCCGCGATGGCGCGCTGGGTGGCCGGCACCGAGCGTTGGATCATTTCCGCGATTTTGTATTGTGTCACACCCTTGAGATGGACATTCTGCAGCTCCTCCAAAGCACGTAGCGCCGCATAGTGGTTTTTTTTGGCCAGCAAATCATGGACTTGGTTCGCTAGGCGTAAGACTTCCAGACAATCTTGGATAGCACGAGACGTCTCGTCAATATTTTGGCGATGACCACGGGACTCCACTAGGGACTTCTTTTGCTCCGCAAGGCGCTCCGTAGATGTTTGAATGGATTGGTTGAGATCGAGAATCTCGGCGGTCAGGCTAACAGTACCCTCTCGGATGCGAAGAAGGGAGTTCACGGAGGAGACGAATTCTTGGTGATTGGTGTTGCATATTCTTTCGATTTCCGCTTCCTTGTCCGTGGCGAAGCGGGACAGGGATTGTAGCAGCTGGGGAGTTCGGTTCCCAACACTGTACTCGCGTATGGAGGGAATGAGTTGGTCGAGATAATCGGTGTCGGACGGGGAGATAATGATCTGTCGATACTTAGCATGCAGTCATTCAGGAGCAAAACAACGGGGCAAATAACCTGGTTCAGAACATGGGGCTCCGGAAATGTAGGTGCCATGGTGGACATGGAGCATGAGCGGAGCTGGCGGAGCTGGAGGAGCTGCCGATGCCAACACGCGGGACGCCCGTGCCTGGGGAGTCGGCGTTACCGTATCGGGCTTAGGGCACTGCACGTGCCACACCAGCCATTAACTTAGGGTTGGGCGACGGCACGTGCCGCTGGGAGTATAGCTGTCGACAACCGTTGCTGCTTTCACAACCACTCTCCCTTCTCACCCTCCGATCCTAACGCACACACCTCACAAATTCAGACACCAAGCCTCAATGCTGTTTAGGAGTCGAAGCTCTTCTTAGATTATAGATAGACACAAGTTAATCACATATCCACCAAGAAGACGGCCAACAAAATCTTGGTGATACTTGAGCTACGAGTAATTCTAAGAAATGCTTCCTGGAAACTCTTTGCCCCTGTAAAAGGTCTAATATTCTATCAAAGCTGCGTATAGTCTTATAATTGAACTATCTTTTTCCTCGCACATCTTGCTTTCCGCTACAATGATCAGGCCCGGCCGACAGTTGGCTGGTATCATGTTTCAAAACAGGGCCCAAGCACCAATAATTAGCTAAAATGTAAAAGCTCCTTTCCTGGCCCTTCTTGACTCTCTATATATTCTCGTGGGGTTTGGGCATTAGACTGAATCGTTAAGAGATAGATTCTACTGATCCTCGGGCTTTCGGTCTCCACCGGGGAACCTTTCTCGGTGTATCGGAGAAGACCTGATTTCAATGGCCACGCATACTTAGAGCGTATGGATATTCAATACTACCCGAAGCAATTTTTGTTATCTACAAGTGTTTAATCGATTCATGTGGTCAAAGTGCTCTGCCATCAGCATCCGAGAGCAATCTCTACATGCGCCTTATGCCAGACATGGACATTGAACAGTATGCCGCAATAGCATCGGTGAGCTATCGAGTTGAAAAGAACCCCACGGCGACTAACACAGTCGAGATGCTGCGCTGTCACTCGACACCGTCCTCTTCATACCGCGGCATTCTCGTTGCCTCCCGGCGTCTTCGGTGAAACCCAGCTCAGCCTATCACATGGGAAGTTCGCAGCACACCACGCCTGCCTGGGGGCAGCAGACCTACAGCTGGTAGGTGTAGTCATGATTGAATAGCTGGGCGCAGTGAATAGTTGCTTGCCTGAAAGTGGGGCTCTGCAGTCGTGCAATAAATGCTTGTACTTTCATGAACCTTCCTTCCTCTCCTCTTCCTATCCTCCAACCCTTCTTCTTTCCATCTTCACCTCTGTCCGCGTCTCTTCCTCTCTTTTATCTACTCCTTGCCTTTTCACAAGCTCATCGCAGTTTAAGGCATCAACCCTTTTCTCTTCAACAAACCCTTTTTCCTCAGCACTCCTCTTTTCCTTCTCGTGAGCAAGTCCATCGGCGCATCGTACCGCGATGTCGTCTCCTCTCGCAGAATATTCGGCCTCCAAGGCCTCTTTGAGTCCCTCCGCTGTTGTGCCTCCAGGCACTTCTGCTCGTCATTCCCCATCTCTCCACGTGCGAGACGAAGAATCTCGCAGTGTCCACAGTCGACCCCAGCTTGAAAACCGTCTGATGAACCGACGAGTCCCGTGAGTATACCAGCGACACCCTGTCACAATATACCTACTAAAGATTTATTTGTGCAGTAAATACTCTTTTCGTGTTAGTTTCCCTGATCCGCCTCTTCGTCAGACTCGCCCCCAGGATCGCATAAATCCGGGTCTTACCCACGATTCTAGAGAAACTATGTCCTCTTTGACTCGTACCGACGCAGCCGGCTCTCCTCGCGACAGCTCTGCACAGCCTGGCCATACCGAAAAGGTCAAGGAAGCCATTTACCGCCCCCCTCACCAGCGCGTTGCTGGGTATCAGGCGACCATGGCCCAGGGTACCTTCAATACCGCCCGTCAGGAAAAGCGCGACAATGACAGTCGGGGCACCAGGTGGGAAATTGGTGACCGTGGCAAGGGCAAGGACAAGAACGAAAAAGCTTCAATTCTCCGTGGCCCTACCAAGACCCTGGCCTCCCGGCAGTCTGCTGTTGTCCGTGAAGATGAAGCACCGTCCTTCGGATTTCTTGTCCGCGACGTCTCCACAGACATGGAGGGACTTGACCTCCTCCGCTTCCTAGATGTGAGTTTCTTTCAGTCACATGTCTAAGGTCTTTGAGCATCTAACACTGAAAACAGGCGAAATTCCCCTCTGTGGTCGGCCCATTCATGCCATTCTTGAACACTCACGGCTATTTCCATATCGGGTTCAACGATTCGAACGACTCGAACCGGGCCATAATGAGAATGAACCAGACCTTCCCAGATTGGGTGATCATTCCCATGCCTTCCAAGGAGTTTGCTGAGGCGACCCGCCCCGCGGTGGCCCTTCCCCAGGGTTCTGAAGATTGTGTGTTTGTTCGGATGTACACAACCAATCGCTCTGGTATTACCTCCGCCGATGTTTCCGACCGCCTCAGACCTTTTTTCGCCCTCGTAGGCCAGTTTTACTGGATCCAGCCCTATCGTCTCGGGGTGAGCTCGGAAGGTGTCGATTCTGAGGGTACCCGTTCTGAAGGTGCTGGCATATTTGTTCACGAGCTTGTTGTTCGATACCGCGATCATCGATATGCACTGAATGCGATCCGCGCACTCAACGCTATCCGAACCTCGGTATGTTTTATCCTAGCCTACGATAGCCTGCGACCGTATATGAATCTTGTTGTTCTTTTGCTACCTGTTTTGGCCCAGACTGATCTCGCTCATTTCTTACAGGAGTTTGTGCTTGAAGTGCTTGCGATGGAGCCTGATATGCCCGAGGACCGACACTGGTCTTCTGTGAGTCGACAGTATCAGGACCAGGGTAGTGGCCAAGTGTCCAAGCCGATGACCAAGACCCTACGACAGTCGGCCGACACCGCTGCGGATAAGAAAGCCAAACTTAAGAAAAACGAAATCAATCCGAGTACGCTCAGCGAAGATTCGGACACACGAAAAACGGTAAGAATCAGGTCCCCCAGCATTCGAAGACAGCTGGCTAAAGCCGCATCCAATGAAGATCATGATTCGCAGCATTCCAAATGTGATAACTTGGGTGAGATCCCCCTCCTTCTCCCTTTCTCTCGTGGACATCCTCAACTTCAAACAGCTAACTAGGAAATCAGCAAGATCTGAAGGAGATCCTGGATCAGACCTGCTCCTGCGAGTATGACTTCATGTACTTGCGTATGGGTATGCTTTCCTCGTTCATTGCACACAATTGGTATCATTTTCTAATGGTTGTTCAAAGATTTCTCGACCAAGAAGACGTATGTTTCCCTTAGTTTTGTTCCAAATTGATACTCTTGTGTTTCCTTTGCTAAACTAGTCTCCAGCGTTGGCTACGCATTTGTCAACTTCACCACAGTGAGTTTGAGCGCTTATTTTGTTGATGATCTTCACTAACGTCTCTTTCTAGCGAGCTGCCCTCGTGAAGGTACAGTATCGATATTATTTCTGGTGTTTTATTTGTTTGAATTTTTGCTCACTATATCTCAGTTTGTGAAGGCCCGTGTGGATCAGGCTTGGTAAGAAATTGATCTGTTGCTGCGATCTCAAGACGGCACCTTGCTAACTTGCCTTTACCTAGGCCCGGCTTCGAGGCATACGAGAAGCTTGCCAGGGTCGCCTATGCCGGTCTGTTTCCCTTCTTCCTCCCTTCCCTTTGCCATTTCTAATCATTGCCTCAGTGGTCCAAGGCCGAGATGCAGCTGTTGCGGAATTCCGCAACAAGCCGGTGATGCTCCAACGGGCTGATCACCGGCCTAAGGTAAGTAATCACATGCTTAAGGTCCAGGAACATTCATTTTCTGACCTGTACTAGCTTTTCCATACCTCTGGTCCTCGAGCGGGACGGCTGGCCACCTTCCCCCCCATGGACACCTTCACCATCCTGGCCCGGAGCGTGGGGCAGGGCCCGCTTTCTGGTGGTGGTAAGTCGCTTCCTCCGTCTCAATGCCAAATGGCAAATGGGCAGCTCGTTAACAAGTCGAGTAGGCCTGTTCCCGTTCCGGTCCGGCTCGCGTCCGCAGGTCACCCCGGCGAGCAATTCCCGCCATCCCAGTTCACGCCAGCCTCATCCTGGCCCTGGCGTGTCCTCCGCTAACTGGCGGCGGACCTAGGATAGCGCCGCGGCTGGGCAGTAGGAGGGTGGTGGCCAGGGCGAGGAGGGGGCGCCGAGTTCGTTCCTCGGGTGAGCGGTCGGGGAGTGGCCCGGTAGAAGGACACAAAGATCTCGAGAAGATCTTTCTTCAATTTTTCTTCTCTTTTTTTTATTTTTCGTTCACTTTTGCTGTTCTCGAGTTTTCGATTCTGGGGTGGCCGCGGGCTTCGTGCGCGGAATTCTATCTTTCCTGATGTTGCCACGGGGGGTTTGACCCCCCTGGCAGCGTTCATTCAATCCAAGCCCCAAGGGGACCATTTCTCTTTGCCCTCTCCTTTCTTTTCGATTTCTCCTGCTAAAAGAAATACGTAGTACGCCATGCAGACCTTGATATATATTTGATAGATATGTGAGATCAGTTACCACTACTCGTATATCCTATTTAATATATATGCTGCTACATGGCCTCACAGCGGTAGTACGCAGTATCCATATTATATCACCAGAATACATAATATAGCACATATAGTATGCGTGGTAGAGTATATCAGTATCTACTTTTAGCCTTGTTTAGATCGCAGCGGTGGAGCGCTGTGGGGCTTCCCGCCGCGCGACAAGAATTTGCTCGCAGCTCTTGCAACCCACGTCGACTGAGTCCCCCTTCGCGGCCTTGACACTATGGACCATCAAGAGATTCGCGCTGTCTACTCCATCTTGCACCTACTCTACCATCGCAATAAAAATCAACACCAACGGGCGAAATGGTGGAAATGGCTGTCAATGCTGAAGCGCACCGCTTCCGAGCTTGCCTTCCCCGAGTCGAAGGTCTTCGCAGCAAGCTCGTGCCCGCAATATCTGAGCTTGCGATTGATCCCAAGATGCTACCAGTGCGTCACTCAACATATTTCCGATAGCCTTAGTTTAATCTCAAGAGGATTTCCGCTAATGTGCCCAGTGCATTCTCGACGGTGGTTGCTGATAATCAATTCGCCACGCTTGGCGTAGTGCTTTTAGCCGCCCTAGCGCGACTGGCGAAGGCGACAGGCATCAAATACGAAAGACCAGCACGTACTGAGTTAAAAGCCCCGAAAGCCCCAAGAATGAAACCAACAGAGGATCGTGGCGAGCGTATTTGCCGTGATGATGCCGATGCCGATGCTGTTGCGAATGCGCTTCCCGGGACTGGCAGAAGGCACCAACCCCAGTCGGCTAAGGTGGGCAAGCCCCTCAAAGAAAAGACCAAACGTGTGAAAGCTGCCAAGAGTTCCGCCAAAAAGAAGAAGAACGCCATCGATGATCTGTTCAGTGGGTTGCTCTGAATGACTCCCGCCGCTACTCAGATACGGCGGTGTGACGTGCGCAACGGAATAACGATAACCTTTTGGAATTGCATTATATTCATCGATTGAAAGCTTCTATTTCCGTGACCAGAGACTTGCGAAACCAATTCCTCCTAGCAGATTCACAATAACATGATTTGCCGTCGCCCATGCCATGCTATAAAGATATTTCGGCGAGAATACGGTCCAGATGAAAAGGTGTGTTCTCAGGGCTGTACAAGCCGCCATGACCGAGACTAATGAGGTGGCAACATGGAAGGTCAAAAGCGCTGCCGAGTCATGATTATCCTTAGAAGTCACGCGCGGACGCAGAAGGTGACTCATTGAAATCCACCAAATTGGACCAGCCCAGTTGCTGACGAAAGTTAGAACACCAACCAAGGCGACGCTGTAGCTGCCGATGCCGTTATAAGCACTTGACAGGTCGACCGAGGAGATCGCATTGGACCCGCCAAAGGCGAAAAAGGTCATATACTGCTGGATGAGCGTGGTTACCGTCACCTCGATTCCAGTGAGATCCAACGATGAAAAAAGTGTGGCCTGTAGCCGGAATATGAGGAAGAGCGGAACATTCGTGGCTCTGGATTGGGTCATCAAGAAGAGATGGACCACTTCATGGAGATAGGTATTGGAAGCTGGAGTCGACGGTCAGCTGAGGCCCAAAGCCAATTTGGTCTGAAGTTTTCATTTCTGTGCAGTTACTTACTTTGTGTGTGCTGCGTATGTTTCTTGCAAAGAACCGCCAGAAGGCTACAGCAAGCTAGTCCACCAAAAACCAATCTTGCCTGAAAAACCAAAGATAGGTCATCAGGCCAGGTTTCCACGACCTTTGCCAAAAAGGAATTAGCAAGAAGCTCCGGAGAATCATTCGCCACGAAATTCAGCTTGAAAATAAAAGCCAGAGTGGGCAGAACCAAAGACACGAGCCATGAGAGAGCTGCAGATGGCAGGTTCAAGAACAGATGGAAGCCGGAGTCCATGTAGGTCACAATTATCAATCCCCACAGAACAACGGGATGCTCAGCGAAAAAGGCTCGAGCGATATCCGGCTCGGCTGTGAACTTTTGTCCCGTCTGGTTCCAGCGTCTTAAAATTCGCTGGGAAATAATAAGCCCTAGTGTCGCTAGCATTGTGATGCAGAAAGAGAAAAGTCCAGTCTTTCCATGCGAGCGGGGCCTGGACGATTTTGATCTCACATGGAGATAGACTATCCATCCCGAACAAATCCAATACCAAAACTGTTGCTCTTCCTCGACGTAGCTGCTTGCAAACATCATACATCCGTAGCCAATGACCATGAAGGTCAAAAACACACCCGCAGAGACAGCCTGGGAGATTTCCTGGTAGATAGTTGGCAGAAGCAGGATTACAGCAACAGCTAGGGCCAGTAGGCCGAAACAGAGCCGGCTCAAGTCGTAATTGCTGGCAGTGTTACTCATTACTTCTTGTGCGATACGAGAAAACCGAAGCAAGGCTGGCCCAGCATCCGAGAACACATCTTCGGTCAGTTTCTCAAGAGAAGAGAGTCGATGAGCTCGTGACCAGGCACACTGCGCCCCTTCGATCCCGGAAAGCGTGTCTAGTTCACAACACGATGAAGTCTGTGGATCGAATGTGGCATCGGGAAATGTAGATTTGACGATATTCAGCAATTGTTGGGCATTCCGAGATAGAAGCTGGAGCTTCTGGGTCCCTGCATTTCAGTCAGTTACCCAGTCACGGGGACATGTCAAACAGTGAGTGAGGTTTGGTGCCTACCGGTCTCCCACATATCCAAAAAGACTGGAATGAAAACGCCCAGACTGTTCATGGGGATTGGCAATCCCAGTAAGCCTGCCAGTGTTGCTGTAATGTCTGCTTGCTCGACGGTTTGATAAAATCGAAGGTCCTCGGGGGTTTTGATAGGACTTTCTGCCCGATTACCTAGAATCTCAAATTTTGGCGACATGAAAAGAAGTGCCGGTGATGTTTCGCCGGCAGACGAACCTCCGTGATTACCAGCTTCGTTCATGCCATGATCCCCACATAGAACGAAAAGAGTTGATTGGAGATGTTCCTGCTGTTGAATGGCAGTGTAGATGGTGTTCACCACATCATCCATTTCTCGCTGTTTGAAAAGCATGAAGGGACTTGTCGAGGTGTCAGAAGTTGTGTGCGAAGATTAAACTACCCACAGCCAGTACTGGCTTACCTTCTTGGTCCTGCCTTGTGCCCGATATGATCTAGGCCTAGGTAATGCATGATCAAGGCTGACCAGTCGCTCTGAGCAAGCTCGTCGGGGATGTGACGCGTCACATTGTTATCCACTTCGAAAAAGTCCTGCATGTTTAACACTCAGAGTAAGCTGGGTGACTTTCGGACGCTTATATTGAGATACCACTGACCGATACAAAAAAGCTCGTTGTTCCATCGGCGCGGTCGAACATGCCGGGGAAGAGTTTGAGCCACGTATCATCGCCGTACATGACGAGGCGGTCTCCTCTGGCCCTCAACTGCGCCAGCCATGTATCTTGATATGCAAGAGTCGAGGTGGTATCTGACTCGGCAATGTTGAGAATCACATCAAGGAACGAAGGCACCGAACCCGTGGTCATTGCCTTCAAGCGAGGCATTGTAACAGTTGGCGAGCTAGCATGGGCAGTGAAAGGCACAGCAGCCCCGGATCGTATCAGACTTGAAGGAAATAAGTAGATGCTCATCTAGCTTATTCCCATTGGTCTACAAGAGAGGGGTTTGACAGACCTTTGCGTGAAGGAGAACCCAGACTCATCCGAATAGACAAAATCACTAGAAAACGGTTATTAGACATGGGGCTGTCGACAGGAAGGGGTAAAATGGATCCAGAGCCCACCTGCGAAGTGCATCGACTACCATGAAAACAACCTTATCGAAAATTGCCGGAGTGGCATCTTGGCCAACCTCATCAAAAGTCGCCAAACCGGGTAGCAGCGGTTTATAGGGGAAGAAGCCAGAGGAGAAGACCAGGATACCCAATGGTACCAAGATATTGGCGAGGACAACTGCCCAGTTGGATCGAAGTACTGTCATTATGCTCAGCCTCCCCCCGTCTTGCTGCAGCACTCAGAGTGACTGAAAAGACCAAGCAACGCGGTCTCGCGTCTGCTGATAACGGCCCAGGCCGACAGGGATGTTTATGATCAACCACACCGCCTTCTCCATGGATCTACAAAGTGGAATCTACACACCATGAGCCCCAACTGCGAAGGGTATATATGCTAGTTCATGCACCGTGGAGGTGAATCTTGATATACACATGGGCAAATTGTTTCTCCCGTTAAAGAGAAAACAAAAAGGGGCTGAACCAAAAAAAAAAAAAAGGACAAAGTTGGAAAATAACGAGGCATAAACCTAGAACCTCAGCAGACTCCCAACGCCGTTGATGCTTGTTCAGTCGCATCCAATCTTCTCAACCGCTTTTGCGTGTTTTGGGCATACAACAGTCATTTGCAGCGATCTAAACATCTCACTTTCTCTTGGAGCCCTTCTTGTCCTTGTTGGTCTTCTTCTGGAACACTATGGAGTTGCGAGGCTTCCGGTTGCGCTTTTGCACACGCCCAGGCTTCTGGGACGATTTCGAGGAGGGTTTGGTATCGACATCCATTTCTAGAGGCTCACGTTAAATCCAGGGCTCGATGAGTTCAGCGAGCAAGTGATAACCCACCTTCGCCGGTCGCAGCGGCCTGAGCGACACCGTCAGGTTGCTCTGCGGAGGAGAGGAGATTTAGCGGGAGACCGGAGACGCACTCAAAGCCAACAGTAGCATACATACCGGTATCTTCTTTTCCAGGGGCCTCAGGACGAGGCTGCGAGGCAAGTTCTTGGAGTTTGGCGGCAAGACGTTCGGTTCGAGCATCAACGACTGGACCGAACACCTTCTTACGGAGGTTTGCTCTGTTGCGCTTGGAAACGCTGGCACGAACACTTTTCGCCATGGTATCAGAATGAAGCGCGAGTCGTGATATCTGAAGAATGGTGACGACCGAAAAAGGGTGTTCAAGCGTGAGGGGATTGTAACTCCCGCTGGCTTGGCCGACTTTTTTTTTTATCGCGATAGGCCGCCGTCTTATGTCATCCAACCTCACCTCTTGCGACGGGCTGGATCTCTTCTCGAGGCTCTGCGGCACCAAGATCCTTTAGGAGCAAAACGAGGCTCCGGTGACGAGAATATTGAGATGCGTCTATATAGGTCTTTCGATCGCTGACCTAGTCGCACTGTGATCTCCCCGACTACCTCGCCATCCTGAAACTTCACCACCGCAATGGCGTCGTCGGAGGTGCAACATCTAGTGGCCCTCATCAAGACCCTCACCAACCCACAATTGAAGGAACTTCTGCGCTATGAAGGCCTCGCTGTCTCCGGTATAAAAGCGGTGCTACAGATGCGCATCATTGATTGTATGTTCTTCACTCTTCTCCCCCTCTGCTTTCCGCCCTCCAGCCTCACTCCACCCGCTGGGCCATCCTTCATACCCTTCCCTTCGTGAGGCCTCGACACCTCCTTACCCCCTCCCTTACTCTATCTCTATACATGCTTACTTTTTACCATATCAGATCTCGAGCGTCTTGCAGCTTCTGAAGGGAATGGCGCCCGCTACGACACGCTGAAACGACGTATCTATGAATCAGCAATACCTGGCACATTGTCATTTCAATCCAACCCCGGTTTCCAAGCTCCACCAGCCTCTCAGGCAGCACCATCTCAATCCCGACCGGCTCCACTTGGTACTTCGATGGCGTCAACTTCACATATCCACGGTTCGATCCCCATCGCTTGAGCCCAGGGTCTACATGCAGTACTGATCCATAACTAGGCCCCATCATCTTTAAAGACAGTCCTTTCTTTAGCATCCTCACGAATCTAACATCGGTGGTGGAATGTAAAGGTGAGCACTCTATCTGCACAGTTATAGATCCGCACCACTTTAGTTACTCACGAAATTCTCCAGTCCGCGAGCAAACAAGAGATAGTGTTGAGCTCAAGGTCAATCTTTCGCCGTCGATCGCGGCAGACTTGCAAACGGACCCTACCCTTCGCGTGATGATCTACTGCGCGGCTGACTCGGGGCTAAAGCAATTCACCAAGTCTGATATCGCCTTCCCTCATCAGGTGGAGCTTAAAGCCAACCTTGACGAAGTCAAGGCCAATCTCCGAGGCCTGAAGAACCGTCCTGGTACTACTCAGCCTGCCGATGTCACGAACTACATACGCAAGAAGCCGAATTACACGAACAACATAGTAATGACTTACGCATTGACGCAAAAGGTAAATAGGGTCCCGATTCCAATGGGGTTGTCTGAAAATCCTATGCTAACATGTTCCCTTTTTCACAGAAATTCTTCGTACTTGTCAATCTCGTTCGACAGCATCCAGTGGAAGAACTTGTCGGTCAGCTCCAAACGCGAAAGTTGATATCTAAGGAACAGGTCATCCGAGAGAGTAAGTATCCTACCTTATTTTGATCCCAAGAAGCTCCCTTGTCTGTCTCTTTTTACTTGCTGATAACGACCTTTCTTAAGTGGAAAACCGCGCCCAGGATTCGGACATCGTTGCAACGTCAAGTGTTATGTCTTTGAAATGTCCTTTATCCACATTACGGATACAAGTCCCTTGTCGCTCAATCATCTGCACTCACAATCAGTGCTTTGACGCATCCTCATTCTTGGAGTTGCAGAAACAAGCCCCTACGTGGACATGCCCCGTTTGCTCCAAGTCTACGAGTTTTGAATCCCTGCAGGTTGATCAGTAAGTGTGAAATTTCTGCGGTTCCAAAACTGAAACCCCTGGTCACTAATGGATGCTAGGTATGTTCATGAAATTCTGCGATCGACTTCTTCAGATGTAGATCAGGTTGTCGTCGAACCGAATGGAGAATGGTCGAACCCAAGCCAGACAGATCTCGCTCAGCCCGGCGGAGTTACACCGGCGTCAGACGACGATGAGTTGATTGAAATAAGTGAACCAGGTATTCCGACGCCGGTGGTCAAGCGGGAACCAATACCTTCTTCTATCATGTTGGAACGAACACCCGCGCAGTCCCGGGAGACATCGACGCCGTCCTCTGCGGCCAGGTTTTCTAGCAGAAAACGACCGGCTTCTCAAGTGATTGACCTGACGGGAAGTGATGACGAGGATGATGAGTCCCCTGTGCCTCCGGTCAAGCGGCCGGCTCTGAGTTTTGGCATTGGAGGGCTACCCCCTCCAGAACCTCATCACGCGCTTGCCAGGAGTCCCCTTCAGAGCAGGCATTATCCACCATCGCAATGAAAGCATGGCTTTTCCCCCGGACTCAGATTCTATTCTTTTCTCTCTATGATTATTATTATTTGCATTTTGCTGCGGTGTTTGGCGTGGCCATGGTCTACTCTGGAATGCATCTGGGCTGTTTAGGCGAACAATGATCTTCAATCTCGTTTTCATTTTCTCTATTTTCACCTTTAAATGTGTGGGGTCTTTCTCTTATCAAATGATTCTAATAGAAATAAATACGAGAGAATATTTGAGGTCCCTTGTTCCAGGGAGCCCTAGTTAGTAAGTCTTGTAGTTAGTTCAGCAAACAGCGTCCTGGTGCCTGAGGCGGAAGGAGGGGGGTCGGATCACTGCCCGCCTATCCCCGAGCCTTGGCAGAACAACTTCCCCAATTCAACCTCCCCCCAACCAGATCGCCCGTCATGTCGTTTGATGCTTCTGCATCATTGACGGTCTCCGATCCGAATGCCCGTGCCCTCAGCTCCTCATGCTTTGACTTCCTTCTCATTGAGCTGGTTCCTATGGCTGAGCGCCTTGCCAAAGAACTCTCGGCGGATGAGACTGATCCAGAAGATGAAGAGGTCAGGGAGACAACCTATTTCCGTCTTGAGACCTTAGGATACCGAGTTGGGCAAGGTCTTGCTGAAAGGTGAGTCAATATTTGTACCTGAGTGCTGCTTTTCCCTTCTCATCCCCTACGCTCGCGCATAGAGCAATCGCGAAAGGCATTCCGTCCAACTAACGGCCCTTCCCTGCAGATTTTCCCGAGATCGCCCTCGTTTCACCGACAATCTCGACGTAATAAAGTTTCTCTGCAAGGATCTCTGGACGGTTCTATTCAGAAAACAAGTGGATAATTTGAAAACGAATCATCGAGTACGTCCATACGGCAGTTAGAGCACGCTGAGTTTCTGTCCTTCCAACCGAGAAACAGCTGTTGCTAACGTATTTCCGTTAGGGTGTTTACGTCTTGACCGACAATGCGTTCCGTTCATTCGCCAGGATGAGTATGGCGGTACGAAGTGATGCTGTATCGATGGCGCAGGCGGTAGGATAATCCAGCTCTCCGTTCGTCCGTTCGTCCATAATCACCAGTCTAATTTTGACCTTTGCAGTATCTCTGGTTCCCATGCGGTGTCATTCGCGGTGCACTGGCGAACCTTGGCATCAATACCACCGTGCAAGCAGAAACCTCGGAACTCCCAGGGGCAACGTTCCAGATCAAAACCATACAGGCTCGGCCTTGAAATAACGGCGGCAGCATCCAGGCCGGCCTGGATTCGCAAAACAGTGAACAGAGCCAAGTTTCGCGAACAACAGAACCATCCTCAGCTGGTCTGGGGAAAGTGACATGGTGCCTTCTTCCACGGTCCCTTCGTCCTGACTCTTGTGGTCTATTGAATGAAATGTTGACCGATATGTCGACTACGCAGAACAAAATACACATTTGAGCGTGGAGTTGGAAGTGTGTTTTATTTTCCTTGCATGCACGATTACCAACATATAGTATGCCTAATAGCTACTAACCTGGCTGAGCTTCACTCTATCATACTGCTTCGTTCATAATCTCATGATGTCACGCTTAAAGCCTATCTTTCCGAGATGACCATGATTAGCAAGACTCTGTCACTTTCGACTGGGTAATTCAAGAGGTGGACCAGTCAACAAGTACAAATCGCAACAATTGAATCAAACACCAATACATGGCAGTTGGGGGAGGGGGTAGGGAAGGTAGTCTTACTTTGGTGGGGGGTTCTTGATGAAATCAACTCCCTTCTCAATGTTGCCCTTGAGACCCTTAACACAAGCCTCGAGGAGCTTCTTCTCCTGCTCAGTCACGCCATCAAGGATGTTGATAGCCTTCTCGGCACCGTTGGGCTGTACGAATTGTGTCAGTTTGTTGAGACCTCAAATGTGCTTTTTCGTCGGGACAACTTACACCAAGCTGCACGGGGGTCGAGAAGAACTCAACGCCGGTAGCCTTGACGATCTCATCACCACCAGTAACACCAGGCAGGTAAACGAAAGTAGGCTCAACAATGCCCTTTTCACCCTTTGCGGCCTTAATAACGGCCTCGGCGAATCTGCTTTCGAGTCAGCGATCCTTGGTCTGTCAAAAGTTTTAAGAGATTAATTGATATCGGACCTGAAACCGGCAAAGGCCATGGAAAGAGTAGCGGATCCGGCACCATCCTTAGCCTTGACAACTTCATCACCGCCGAATTGAACGCCTATACAATGTCAATGAGTTATGAACTTTGGTGCTATGAACCAGGAAAACGCACGGTTGATCAGAGCATCATAGCGGTCTGCGGGGATTTGGAAGCCAGGGGAAACCTTGCTGAACAAGGGAACAATGGTCTCGCCGGAGTGACCACCGATGACGGGGACGGTAGCCTTGGAAGGGTCCTGCAGACCGGAGAATTCCTGGGTGAAAGTTTCGGCACGAACAACATCCAGAGTGGTGACACCAAAGAGGCGCTTGGGGTCGAAAACACCGGCCGCCTTCAGCACCTCCGCGGCGATGGGGACAGTGGAGTTGACGGGGTTGGAGATGACGAGGGTGAAGGCCTTGGGGCTGAATTCGGCGATGCCCTTGACCAGGTCACGCACGATACCAGCATTGATCTTAAAGAGGTCATCACGAGTCATACCAGGCTTGCCTGCGAGACGGTCAGTGGATCAGGATCGCCATTATTGAATCCCGATCGATTCGAAACTCACGAGGGATGCCGGCCGGGATGACAACGACGTCAGCACCAGTCAAGGCCTTCTTAAGACCATCGTCCTGGGGCAGGTAACCGGTGATTTTCTGTTGATCTTGTCAGACATGGTTCCTGGCTGCCAGTTCCCGGATGGACTTCGCGCGATAATCCAAAGGCAACCTACAGCAACCGATGAAATGTGAGACAGGTCGGCAGTGACACCGGGGGTGTTCACAACATCGTAAAGAGCGAGCTCATCGACAAGAGGGCATGCCTTAAGCAAGAGCGAGAGAGGCTTTGAGGGTAATTAGCTTTGGGTAACGACAAGGAGCAGGAAGGATGTAATGCTAACCTGGCCAATGCCGCCAGAGGCTCCGAGAACAACTGAATGAAGCGTGCATATTAGTCGAACGAACCCGATTCGAAGATTCCAAGGCGGGGGAGGGGAAGGATGGACCTACCAGCCTTAACCATGATGGGGGAGGTATGGAGTAGTGGATGAGAATGTGGGGGAGAGAGTGATCGAAACGGGGAAGAAAGATTGAGGGGGAGGGGGGATTTATAAGGAAGGACGCTGGGAAGGTACGGAGGGGCATGAGGGGTAGTCCCAGAGGTACCTTCTGCTAGCACGAGCTGGAACCCCGGAGTTACTCAAGTGATTACCACCCAGCTGCGCGGGAGCGGCCAAGTGGAACCGGGGGCCTGTTCCTATCTACACCGGAGCGCCTGATGCGTCTTGAGGCAGCTCGGCCCGCTATACTCAAAAAACTACTGGCATTTCTCACTACGTGCCATATCCTGGGTACCTTAGATACATGCTACCAGGGGTAGGCCCTGACAACATTGCCCGTGCAACCTGTGAAGAGTGGAAATTGCCGCCGTTCCGGTTATTCTCGTCTCGCCCTTGTGATTTCCGACGGTCTGGCTCCGTGACCCGGAAAAAGGCGGGAACAGGGAACACCGTAGGGAATCCCACGGCAAACGACATCATCGCGCTACATGCTGTTGGTCTACGCGACCCGGTTGGTCCCTCTAGGTAGAAACGTCCACAGGCACGGTCTTCCCGAGATCTTTGCTTATGAGCTCGGCCCGACCTTCGGCTGGTGGAAGACTCAATCGGCCCTATACTTGTATACATCCCGTCTTGCAGGCTCAATATTTTCCCGCGCCCTTCTGGATGTGAGTATGAGATTTCTTTTGAATTCAATACTCTCCTTTCCCTTTTCTTCTTTTTCTCCGTTGAAAAGATCGGAGTGGGGAGATTATCCCCTCTTGTGAGGCAAAAGGTTCGCTAGATTACACAGGCGCTTTCGTCCTCATCCAGCACGGCATGACTGTCAGATATGCATTCCCATCCAATCCGCCACTTCATCGCCATCTGTCTTCAACTCTCAACCGTCGCATCGAAACAGATTTACTCCTGGTCCTTCTCGGCTGCCTGGCGGGCCTTGGCACCGCGGGGCTTCCGGGCGGGGACATCCTTCTTGGACTTCTGCGAACGGCGGATGGCGCTCACGCGGGCAACGGCCTCCTCGCGGAGATCACCACGGTAGCCGTGCTGGGCGGTCTTGTCGGCAACACCCTTGTAGATCCTGTAGAGTTTGGATCCCTCCCGGTCAGCAATCGCGATTCGGTATACCCGTATGTCCCATCGATGGGGATTTGGTATCGTGGTGGCCTTACTTGCGGGTGGCGGTGTTGGGACCGTAGGAAACGGTGACCTGGTTCTTGCCGGGCTGCTGGGGATTGCTGGGCTTCTTGGTGGTCACAGCCACGCCACCGTTCTCGGTGGCCTGGACACCAACGGCCTTCAATTAAGGACATGGGGTCAGTCTTTCAAGTTCGAGGAATTTTCTTAGTAGAACATATGTAGGAATCGATACCTTGTTGTTGGCATAACCGGCATACTAAATTTTGACCTCGATATTAGCTACCACACGCGAACAGGGATGCCTCAAGACCAAAAGACTTCGATCGGTCTTAGTGGGATTATTATCACGGTCATACCTTGAACGACTGCTTGTTCACCAGGTTCAGGGGGTCCCGGGAGAACTGGGAGCCACCACCGGCATTGCGGCGAACCAGATAAGCGTTCTGGTTACCTATTCCCGAGTGTCAGTCCAGGCAAAATTTCCTTCCAAAATAAAAAGAAAGGCGAATTTTGGTTGTGCGTACGGGTAATCTGCCAGATCAGGTCGTTGGAGACGTTTGTGCGTTCGGCGGCCATGGTGACGGTATGCTGGAATCGGTGGGATTGAGAGAGATCGAACTATAAGGTCTCGAAGTGCCTCCAAAGTGTGCGAATCGAACGACTCGCTAAGCGGGCCGCTTTAGGAATAGACTTAGATGCCTGACCCGTCAGGCGGCAATCCCATGAGTGTCGCATCCCCGTTGCGTGTTACGTCGACTACCCCGGCGCCGCGATCTTTTTCACTTGCGAGCATTTTCGCGGCCTTGGAGCTCACATTTATCCTCCAACGCTTTTTCACCCAGCATGACTTACTTTATCTTCTACGCACTTTTGTTCTCGGTCATCATCTCCGGAACAGGTAAGTCGATTCTCCCTCCCCGGATTTCCCGGACTGGAACCTGATCTAATCCGATCGACCCCCAGCGCTTTATCTCACGCGATCGCGATGGATCCCTTTGTTGCCAGTCCCCGATTACATCTACCACCGTCTTCCTTCAAGCTTTGCAGCGGACCTGGAAGCCGGTCTGAGCTCGTCACAGTTCGATATTGCCGCCAACGTCGCTGACGGAGACACAAGGGCTGGCCTGGACCAGAGAGCCAAACAAGAAGTGAGAAAGATTATGAAGAGCAGAAGAGTTGATTTTGATGAAGCGCGGCGCATCTACACCGAGCAACGATTTGCAAGGAATAATATTGGACCGGATGGGCGTCCCCGCGATCCCAAATTCGTCTCGTTCTCATGATTGTTACTATTATCCTTTACTTTACCTCTACTTCGATGCCTCTTTCGTCTTTGTCAGTTTGAAGCGCCACGTCAAATCGCTTTCAATCATTTATCGGTTCATCATTCCGACTGAAATAAACAGTACAATAATTTCTATTCTGAATTGCAAATTCGTCTGTAAGCAGGCTACTAGTATTTGGGAACATACATGTTGGAGACACCTCAGCCTTGGAATCGGAAAACATACTTTATTCATCGTATCATACGTAGTTATTTTTTTCTCCCTAGACTAATAACAAGTTCGCAAAGTGTCCCGCTTAACATGGGGAAGATGTCCGATTCAGACTTCATGTCACTGGTCTCTGCTTAAACTGGGCCGAAATTCTATCGTGAACCCATCGAAAGACAGAGCCTCTCGTCATATGTCAGCTTGCTACTGGCATTTTGTACTTTAAATATGATACTTGACCCTGTGTTTTGGGTATCAAAAAGCAGGTATGAGGAACAATCACAAGGGCCATTCAACTAGGCTGAGCAGTGGCAAAAGCTTGAATGTCAAGGTGAAAAAGATGCTCAGCGACCATTTCCATAGCCTGGCTGGAAGCCAGGAGGAAGTGGAGGGGGCACGCCAGCTGCAGCGGCCGGTGAGCCAAATCCAGGCGGGCCAAATCCGGGCGGCTGCTGGCCGGGGGCATTGAAGCCTGGGGGTACGAAGGATTGCGGGCCACCGTAGCCTGCTTGAGATGGCGGAGGTCGAGCGGGTAAGCCAGGTGGTGGAGTAGCAAGAGAGTTGGCACCAGGAGGGGCTCGATTCGGAGGAGGGACATTTTGGGTAAGCCATCGGAGGAATGCCTCTGCCCATCCCCAAGTCCGGAGTGTGTGGGCCAGTGCTGACAGGCCGTGAGCTATCGCCGCTCGGTATGGCGACAGATCCCGCCGGAGGTCCAGTGATCTGCTGTGCCGGTGGTCGTACATTGTGCTTTCGAGCTTGCGCCGCTAGCATTCGCTCTGCCTCGTCGCCATGCCTCTCGCCCTTGCCATCCTTCTTGTAGGCATACTGCACAGACACTTGCTTGTTCATCAAGTATTGGCCATTCATGTTGGCAATGGCTGAATCGGAAGATTCGAAGTCGGCGAAGGAAACGAAGCCATATCCCTTAGACAGGTTATTGTCATCGCGAGCAATCTAAAATTCGTTAGCGCGTCCCATCTAGCATCTAAGCGTAGAAAGATTCTGACCTTGGGAAGGTTGAGTAGGTTTCCAAAACGACTAAAGGTGTCGTATAGGTTCTGCTCAGAAACCATAGGATCAAGGTTTCCAACAAAGAGCTCTGCCCCGATTTCCACTGATTTCTGCTTGTCTGCCGATGCCTTGTTCACACGGATTGGCTTTCCATATAGACGGATGCCGTTCATGATTCTTGAGGCATACTCTGCGTCTTCTTCGCTGATGAACTCAACAAAACCATAGCCTTGGTGCGATTGTGTGACTCGGTCTTTTGGTAGGTGGACATTCACGACGCGCCCGGCTTGGATCATGAGCTCCCACACCAACTTATCCGTCATGCGTTCATCGAGGTTGCCGACATACACTGTGGCTTCCTTGTCTTGTTCGCTGCGGTTGTTTAGCTCCAATTCTCTATTGCCGCTCTCTCACAGGGGAGACAGGCCGTGGGTTAGAAGGTTGAACCGTACCGTCTTGCGCCGGACATGACGCCGACCGATCAACCGCAAATTCGTAAATCTGTATTGTATGGAGTACGTTGGCGGTAGCAGAAGTAGAAAAAGGTATCAGCAGGATGGTGAGATCGCTGGAGATGCCAATTTTGTCGCGGATAGGAGATTTGCGCGTCTTAGGGAGGGGAGGAAGTGTTGAACCTGGTGCTGATCATGGGTCGGTCACTCCCGAAAACTTTTTGAGCCAGAGACCTCCGCTTCCGCTATCACTTTCTCCGTCAACCACCTCACCCCCAACTTCACCCTCGCAATCTTTCCCTACCAGCGGGTTCCCCTCTACGTTTCGAACTTTCTCTCTGTTATCTCCATTACTCAGGCCTTACTACACTATCCTAGCCAAGATGGTCCAGTTCTCTGAAGAAACCAAGGTTAGCCGTTCCTTTGACATCTACCAAGCGGTTCTTTGAAAACTGACTATAATCATCTTCTCAATTATTAGGAACGCGTTTCCAAGGTGATTGACATCTCGCGTGTTGCCATTCACTAGTAAGCTACCTGTCAACCTGGCTGCTTCTATTCTGCGACCGTACTAACGTGTGGCCAACCACCAGCGGTTACCTCCCTCTCATTGTCTATCTCGGTATGCCTGAGCAATTTCCAAACATAAAACTCTTCTCTAGGTAACTAACTTTGAGGAAACAGGATATTCATACAGCGAACCGAAGCCCTCGCTGTTCAAGTAAGACCTTTCCGTTCCAAGTGCCCTCGCCAAGCACTCTCGTCTCGGTCAATCAATAGCAATCGGTGCTAATAATACAAACAGGCTATTTTCTCCACTGGCATGAAGGCGAAATTTGGTTTTCTTTAGGTGGCAGGAAAGGATATGGGAGACATCGTCATGTCAGAGAGCAACCGGCTTATTTCCCGTTTGCCAGCTTTCTCCGGGTCTCCGATGAAGCACAGTGTCTAGGGGAGTTGATAATCTAACCTATCCTTATGTATTTTTAAATCATTGATTGTAATCTCCATTCCGTGTGTCCGTCTGCAAGATCGGCCTTGTCTGAAGCGTCACGGGCACATGTCATCTACGGTGATCGTTATTGACCCTGTCCAAATCTGCGTACCTTTGCAACTGAGTAAGACAGATTTTTGTGAAAATACCATCAATGCTCTTCGTAAATAAGCCAGACCTTGAGTGATTGTGCCTACGCGCGCGACTACGCCTTTGACGCGAGGCAACTTCTAACCTACCATTTCCGGACCGCCTGGCAAAAAAAGGGAATCTAGTTGACGGCTCTCCTACGCCGGCCCACCTATCCTTGCGTTGCTTAACACACTGCGGCTTCAAAAATAGTTCCATGACTGCGCAGGATGGCTTGTCGTCATCCGTTGTGGAGACCTTAGCAGGATTCACAGCAGGAATAGCCTCAACACTGTCCCTGCATCCGTTGGATTTGGTGAAAACAAGACTCCAAGGTATGTCTGCAACCACCTTCTGCGGCAAATGCCTATCTTTGTTCTGAACTGACGTCGGCTTCTATTCAGTTGATCGATCTTCCTCTTCGCGCCTCGGTGGCTCGTTACGTATCATACGCCAGATCGCGAGACATGAAGGAGGGTTCACTGCTTTCTACAGGGGTTTAGCTCCAAATCTGATCGGCAACTCGACCAGTTGGGGCTTATATTTCTTGTGCTATGGAGGCTTCAAGGATATAATTGGCAAATTCCGAGCGCGGGGGGGAGGAAGTCTTACATCGTCTGATTATTTTCTCGCGTCGGGCACCGCAGGTATGTTGACAAGTCACCCTTGAGATTTTGTAAGCTCTTATCTGATTGAATGTCTCCTAGGGGCTCTAACCGCGATCCTGACAAATCCAGTCTGGGTGATCAAGACGCGAATGCTCTCTACAGGGTCCCAGGTCCCAGGGGCATATTCCTCATTTTCATCTGGGGCTCGATTGATTTACCGCACAGAAGGTATACTAGGGTTCTATCGAGGTCTTGTGCCTGCTCTGTTCGGCGTCAGCCATGGTGCTCTTCAGTTTATGGCGTATGAAAAGCTCAAGATCTTTCGATTCCGTTCTCTACAGAGTGACCCTCTGGAGGGGACACGTGAAGCTACCCTAGAGCGACAGCTGGGAAATATGGATTTTCTGGTTCTATCCAGCCTATCAAAGATATTTGCTGGTTGTATCACTTACCCTTATCAGGTGGTCAGGTCACGATTACAAACTTATGATGCCCATTTGCTGTATCGTGGTGTGACCGACACTGTTACTCAGATTTGGCGGCAAGAGGGCATTGCAGGTTTCTATAAAGGACTTGGGCCCAATTTGTTCCGAGTCTTACCAAGCACATGGGTTACCTTTCTGGTGTATGAGAATACTAAAGTTTATCTAACCTAGCATAGTGTGGAATATGATATCCGAATGTTACTATGTATCTCTACACAGTCGAAGATCAAAATTCTATAATTTTGAACAAAGTGGTGGATTAAGATCCTAATATATGATGTGGCGTAGAAAACCATCGAACGCCCGGGGGAAATGATATACCAAAAATATTAGAATTAACAGTCAACAGCTGAGATAACAGCATGGAGGATAAGCAAGGAGGGAAATGAGTGGGTGGAAGAATATTACTTAGTGTTAGAGTACTAATTATTACAGACTATTATCACATAAGCAGTTGCGTGGTCTAATGGTTATGACGTCTCGTTCACATCAGTGAACTCTTGACCCGAGAAGGTTCCCGGTTCGATCCCGGGCGCGACTAAATTTTTTTTTATGCATTACATTTGCCATTGAAACCCCTTCTTTATTTAACTAACTAGTTAACTAGTTAACGTAATCGGTAAGCGAGCCGCGCATGTAAGCCAGTCGCGCACCCACCCCAAAACGCGTCTATGAATTAGCACTTAATTCATTCAACCACCCACCATGCCACCAATTCGTGCCAGAGGCTCTACAAATTCAACAGAGCAAGAGGGTAGGATATTATTAGCCATCCAGGCTATTAAAAATCAAGAAATATCCTCCGTTCGCAAAGCTGCGCGCATTTATAATGTGCCTGAAACTACACTTCGCGATCGTCGTCACGGCACCACAAATCGCGCGATTTCTCGCGCAAATTCGCATAAATTAACAGAAATCGAAGAGGAATCACTTCAAAAATGGATACTCTCTTTAGATGATCGCGGAGCAGCGCCCCGGCCATCTACTGTACGCGAAACTGCGAATCTTCTTCTCGCGGCCCGCGGAACTACACCAGTTCAAACCGTCGGAGAAAAATGGGTTTATAACTTCGTAAAACGACACCCAAGCCTATCATCCCGATTCTCAAGACGTTATAATTACGAACGTGCGAAGTGCGAAGATCCAAGAATCATTAGGGAGTGGTTTGATCTTGTTCAAAACACCATTCTTCAATACGGCATCGATCCCGACGATATTTATAACTTCGATGAGACTGGTTTCGCGATGGGATTAACAGCGACCGCGAAGGTTATCTCGAGGGCTGAATACTACGGTCGGCGATCGCTTTTACAGCCCGGAAATCGCGAGTGGGTGACTACAATCGAGTGTACGAATGCTTCAGGGTGGGCGCTCCCTCCGTGTGTGATTTTTAAAGGCAAAGTTTTGATCGAGGGTTGGTTCGATAATCTTCCGATAGACTGGAGATTCGAGGTTAGTCCGAATGGCTGGACTTCCGATGAGATCGGCCTTCGTTGGCTCGAAAAGCTCTTTATTCCGTCGACTTCTTCGCGTGTGAAGGGAAGGTATCGACTTTTGATACTCGATGGTCACGGAAGCCATTTGACTCCGAAATTCGATGAACTTTGTGAAAAAAACGATATTATACCAATCTGTATGCCTGCGCATTCGTCTCACCTTTTACAGCCACTCGATATCGGCTGTTTTGCCGTGTTAAAGCGCTCGTACGGTCGGCTAGTTGAAACGAAAATGCGGAACGGAATCAACCATATCGACAAACTTGATTTCCTCGAGGCTTATCCTTCCGCGCGAAACGAAGCCTTCCGCTCCGATACTATTTTAAATAGCTTCAGAGCAGCTGGTTTGGTACCTTTTTCACCCGATCAAGTGATCTTAAAGCTTGATATTTGTCTTCGAACCCCGACCCCCCCTCCGAGCCGGGATAGCGAATCAAGCCAGAATTTTACACCAAAAACCCCTTTTACCGATAAACAGGTACGTCGGCAAGCTTCATCAATCAAAGCTTTACTTCGTACGGGGTCTCGAAGTCCACCAAGCCCATCAGATCGAGCGTTAAACCAGCTTATTAAAGGCTGCCAACTTTCGATGCAGAGCGCTACTTTACTAGCGGAGGAAGTCAAAGGATTACGGGCGGAAAACGAGAAGAAGAAACAAAAACGCACTAGATCTCGCAGGCAGATGCCTTCCACTGAGGGCCTCTCGGTTTTCGAGGCCTCTGCATTAAAAATGCAGTCGCAGCAAGCAATTGAACCCGCTCCACCCCCCGGGGATGGAAGGCCTTCGGAGGGTTTACAGCCACCTACGCGGGCCCAGCGAGGATGTGGAATATGTAGGCGCCCGGGACATAGAAGGGAGACATGCCCAGATAGACCAGCAAGTTAGCTGAATTAGATTAATAGCGTTTTTGTTGAAATAAATGCATTTAAAATTAATAGGTTGCTTAAGGTGCGCGACTGGCTTACATGCGCGGCTCGCTTACCGATTACGTTAGCATTATAGGAATACTATAACGTAATTCACTACCGAGTGACGCACCCGACCCACTATTGAATATTCAAATATAAATAAAACCACCAAAACACTATTAATTTAAAAAACTAACGACAAGGGCACCGGGTAATTGAATAGCCAATATTATTGCACCCGCTGCATCTCCGGGGTGCACCTTTGGCTGGTGGGAGTGGCAAAATAGGCGATTCAACCGGTGCGGGTGGAGGCTGTTCAACAGGTTCAACAGGCTGTACTGGCTGCACTAGTGGTGGTATGCCCTCTCCAACCGTAATACCCTGCTCACATCGAAC